ATCGGCGATCTGCTGAAGGAAGCGAGATGCCCATCGGCCGGCTTCTCCATGCATATACGAAAGGGCCGTAGAGATCCATTCCTTGTCGTCGCGAGTGCCATCGTCCTTCTTCAACTGGGGTTGGTGTCGGGATCTGGAAGCTTGAATGAACCGGCTTTGGCAGCAGGGGAGGTGTTTGCGGAACGGTAAGCTTGGTACGGGGTTTCTGGAGATTCGGCGGCGGTGGGTTGCGTTTCAGAGGGCGGAGTCCTGGGGTTGTTGCGGGCGAATTCTTCAACTGCTTGCTGATTAACGGGGGACGGTGATTCGGCGTTTAACTTGAGGGAGTTGATATAGACCCAGTCGTGTACGGAAGGTTCGTGGTAACGGTTGGGGCAGGGCTGTTCAGAGCAGGCGGTCCAACGGTTGAGGCTCGGTAGATGGACGTCTAGGACGATGGGGTGACCGTCGCTGACCCGAACGACGAAGTGCGGCTTAAACAGACAGGAGGTGTCTTCCGGTGCGGCGGAAATCTTGACGGAGTGCGGGGACCAGAGTTGCCAGGGAGGGACCTGATCGGCAGGTCAACCAGGAGCCAGAAATGCGGATGATGCAGGAGCAACGATCGGTGTTGCCGGTGCACAAAGGTAGCTTGACCTAATGTCGCGAAGAGCGAACACTAAACCAAACCAAAGACCAGTGATGCGGAGCAGATAAGAACGGCGAGCAAGATAAGAGCGATGAGCGACGAATGCTGATGAATGCTGAAGCGGTGTATTGACGAAGAGGTCAAGCTGAGGAAATACAGAGGAATCTACCTAGCTTATATACCTATTCTACAGTCTACATAGCCGCAATGAGTCAGGATGACGAGCAAATGGTGAAATGCAAAAGAACAATAAGAAGTCATGAGGCTGCGCGAAGGCTGCGCGAAGAATGAAGAAGACAGTGGCGGAGTAACGAGGCAGTGCAAGAATGAAGAGAACAATAAGATGTAGGGCAAAGGGCATAACGAGGCAGTGTTCCATGGGAGAAAGTGTCCGTGTCGAGAATAAAGGCAAGAATAAGAATAAAGAGGAAGTGATAAGGGCGATGAAAGCGATAAGATAAGATAGGGAAAAATAGGGGCTCGTACCCGCTGTTCACGACAGGGACAGAAAGGAAGACGACGAACGGGTCGAATAGAACGACGAGTTGGCATTGGCTTCTTCTTCTTCGTCAGTGGACTCGTCTTCTATCTCTTCCTCCCCACCTGATTCTTCCTCAGTCGCAACTGGGAGCTCCTCCTCTTCGTCTCCATCTACATCTCCTTCACCTTCCTCCTCGCTCTCGCTCTCGTCATCTGAGAGAGGAATCGTGACTACGATAGGCTGGCGATTGATGAACTCGAAGACCGGGGTATAGTCGCAGTCATCGGGATTGTCACTCCAATCCGAAGAGGGAATAGCAGGGTCAGACGATGGGATCTCGGCAGGATAGGACGGTGGAAGTGTGGCGTTGTCCGCGAACAGAGTGCTCGGAGCAAAGTCAAGCGATGTGAAGATATTCCGGTTGAATGGCCAGATTCCGGTTGTCGCAAATGCTTCCTTGATAAGATTGGGCGTGATTGAGCGAGACCGAACTTGAAGATATTCGGGAATGACAGTCCATCGACTAAGCTTGTAGTTCTTGAGTGCGCAGTTGTCACAGTGTTTCTTCCATTCCTTTTGAATAGGATTGAAGACGGTGACGTCCAAAGGCTGCATCTTGTGAGTGCACTTGGAGGGGAAGCAGAGGATGATGATCTTGACATCGGTGATGCTGTAGACGAGACGTTTGAGGAGTCGGGACTCGTGCGAGTCATGGCCGTCCATGATGAGGAGAATAGGCTTCGTCTCGTCAACCCGCCTGTCCTTCGCGTAGGGCAAGAAGGTTTCGGCAAACCAAGCGTTGGCTATTTCGTTGTCAGTCCAACCATTCTCGGAGATTGCGAGTCTAAAGAAGCATGAGGATTGTTATTCGAACGGTCTAGGGTACTGAAAGTTAATTATCGCACCCTCCAAGAGGTTCCTTCAAATTCTTTATCTCCTCCATCTCATGAAACGTCGTTCCACCCTCGCTGGAGCTGCCCTTCAGAACAAAGAAAGGAGGAACCGAGTCCCCAGCAGCAGATACACACTCAAGGACAGTAATGAGCTCGAGGTTATCATCCTGGTACTTGTAGCGGTACTTCTGTTCCATGTAACTGGGAAATACAAACTTCCTACCCAACCCTTTCCGACCTCCACCCAACTGGATACCATGTTCCAGATGTGCTCTGGCGGGATGGTGTCGTACGTCTCGTTGAGGCCTTCCAAGAGGTCGAAGTACTCGGAGACATTCTCCGCGGTGAAGTTCTGGCCTCGCTTGGGGTCTAAGCCGGCTGCTGTCGAGCGCGAGTGTCCTTGGCGTTGGGAGTAGCAATAGTCCCAGATGCAGCCAGTCATCTGACCGCTCATTTCCTATACCACTTGACGCATGTCCTTGCCATTGAAGGGGCGGGCCTGGGCAGCTGCGAGTGCGATGTGCTCCTCCAGGACTTGCGATTGGCTGTCATCGAGAAGGCGGCGGTCCTCGAACGCGACAGCCCTGGCCTGGTGCTTTTGGTTGATCCTGCCCGATAAGGTCGACTCTTTGACCTAATGACAGCTGTGTGAGTTTTGTGACAGGTAGCGAGAAGAGAAGACACGAACGCCGTAATGGGCTGCAGCTTCCTTTTGTGTCGCGAACTTGCCGGTTCTGATTGATTCGATGCATTCTTGCATTCGTTTTTCGTAAGTTGGGTCGTTAGTAGACTGGTGGTGGCGATTTGGCTTTTTGGTCATGGTGGTTACAAGAGAACAAGAGGATGGATTGAGTGAGAGTGGAATGGGTTGCGACACGCCAATATATTGGCGCGTCTGAAGTGGCGAAAATTAGGTTCACGCAAGGTTCACGCTGATTGGATTTGTGATGGCCATCAATTGGAGTTGGTGGCCGCGACGGCAGGTGGTTTTTCTACCTCTCAAATTTTAGAGCCTTTTCGCCGTCCATCCTCAAAAAAAGTTGATATTCATGCTCAAGTACAGTTCGAGATGCTGTATACCAAGTTTCAGAGGGATAGAAGCAGCAGAAGCCGAGATTCAATTCAGTGGTGGATTCGATGTACTGGTGAGCCATAGTATGGTGCGTCGCGGCTCCCCCAAAAAAAAAAAAAAAAAAAAAATAATAAAAAAAAAAAAGATGGGGGAAAGACGGTTCTGAGTCCAGGCTCTTGCCCTCTGTTTCAATCTCGTATATGAGATGCCAATACAGTCGTAGCGGGGGCGGATACTCGAGTATATAGCTAGGGATAGTGGTTTGCCACTTCGACCCCTTGTCTGTACGAACTGCGCCAACAGGGTTCGAACCCGACGCTCGTCCCAGCCCCTCCAAGTTTGATGTCATCAAGGCTTCCCATCAGATGCGCCCGAGGCGCGCTCGACTTTAAGGGCGCTCGCGTCAGCGCTCAGGAGTTGGCGCTTATTCGCAGCGAAGTTTGCGTTCCTCAATGGTACAATATACGCAGAGTAGAGAATCAGCCGTCCAATAATTGTAAAATACCCTTTCTGAGACTGCTGGATACTGAAATAGAGCCACTGAAGCAAACATTGTGCTTCCGCCCGACGCCAAATTCCAGTGCTAAGTAGCTACATTTCGCTCGATTTACCGCGGCACGGTAAATCAGAACGTTTGGCATTGTTTGGGTGGGAGATTCGGATTCCGAAAGGGGAGGTACAAGGAGGCTTGGTGTTGGGCCATCCCATCAATCACCGAGCCTCTCCGTAAGCGAGCGCGTAAGGCCGGCCCTCTGCAGGACATCTCAATGACGGCTATGAATACCACCAAGGGCCCGGCATTTGCGTTGTAATGGGTATTATTTAACAGTATGAACAGCTGTGTACATCTATGGTTCTATGTAGTATATACTGCTGAAATGGCAAGGTAGGATGGACCGCAAGGAGTACCCCGGCGAAGCCGGGAAGAAAAAATTGTGATGCAGAACGGGGAGCCTCATCAATTTTCGCCGTCGATGGAGAACGAATCGGGTCCAAGGCGCGATCCTGATGGGCGTGTACACACAAGCCAGCTCACCGTAAAACCGAGCGGCTTGTTTTACTGGATTTACTGGATTTACCGTAAATCGAGCAAAATAAGCTATTTAACGCACTTATTTCACTTATTTACCACTCATTTGACTGATCCTGCAGCTCAGGAGTGAGGGAATAGCTTAGATTGGGGGAAGGATGAAGTATAGACCAAAAAAACAGTATATTTTGCATGTTCTACATAGTACATGGGGCTTATCCTACAGTAAAGACATAGAAGACGTGGGGGAACATGTTCTGAGGCAAATTACCCCCGGAAACGAGGCCCACCCGCGCCCGCAGGCGATTTCGGGTCGCCACGACAGCGGGCGCTTACCGCGCTCAGGGGGTTCTCACGGCGGGGCGCTTTTGATGCCGCCTCCCGGCATCACTCGGCGCGGCCGAGCGTAAATCGGTGGCGGTGCGCGCGTTCCCACCCGCCAATGGAGCGTAAAACACTCCGCATAAGTACGTTTATTATAAAGTCGTATCCGGCTAGACTCTATCCGAAAGTGATCTTCCTTCCCAGACCAACACATAATGACGTGATGTGTATTTGAACATCCAAGACTTCCCCTCCCCTCTCGAGGTCGATCCTTGGGATTCGTCTACTGAATAATCCTGATGCATGATGATCCACTTTGGGGCCCGGCGGCCCGCACCGCCAAATTACACGGTTTCCTCGCTCGGTCTGGTTCCCAAAAAAAGTTCTCACAACTGCGCCTTCAAGAATCAACAATCAACAAACTGTGCTTCTTCGCGCCTGTCATTATTGGAGGCTTACTGGTGTCGTTTCATTGCTTCGATGGTTGTGCCGCTCATTCCCCGCGGGTTCGATGCACCCATACATGTAACTTGACTGTGTATTTGATGCGCCCCTGGTTGGATGTTGGAAAGATGTTCGATACGGCATCGAACAGGTCGGATGGGAGGCGGCCAGCACATGGGTGGGGCGGGTGGTCGGTCCTGCCATTGGACCAATCATCGCCAGCTCCTAAGCCCTGGGTCGTCGAAGTCTCAGTGCCCCCACTTGGAACCCCGTAAAATTATCGAGTGCGGTGTGGAACAAACATTCCCTCCTGTCCCTGTCCGAACGTCTACTGTACCAGCAAACTCCCAACCCTTCTTCCTATCGAAGCCGTTAACATTTAAATTAAGCGCCCACTTGGTATATAGCATACATTCGCAATACATTCTTATCAACTGTGACGAGAGTTCATGCCGTTAGGATGGAGGTGGTGAGATAGTGTCACTACTTAGAGGCTGAAGCGACTCCGAGTCTAACGTACACGACATATCCAAGACTCCAGTATCATCGGCGCTATGTAACACCTTCGGGGCAAGGAATTCGCCCTCAACGTCCTTCCCTCCTCACTGCCTTCAAACCGCTGTTGGGACACACCGCACTTTCCCAGCTATACTTGCTTAATTTAATGGATTTTTTAGAGACATGTCCTCTCTATCTGCGCGGAGCCGGACGGCCATCAACTACACTCGTACTTCTGGTCTTCGAAGGACTTCGAGGAAGTGGGTCCTGGAAAGCTACTGCAAAGCATATCACCCTGTCTAATCTGTGAAGGATGTAACATGTTAGTGTCGATTGACTAGCTTCGAATTCCCATCATATAGAGGATTAAGTGATTTAGTGTATCTGGCGTTCTGGAAAAACTTGGTTTTGTATGTGTGTAGGCGGTAGTCTAATCCACGACGATGTCAACTTCATGATCGTCTTTCCTAGTTGGAGTAAACATCGTCGTAGGGAAGTGTTTTTTACCACCGTTCTAGCTCACTTGGACATGAAACTTCGAACGGGCGTGGCGGTCCCAACGCCATGGCGCTCAGAATCGCAAAAAAAATCCCCCACGAGAACCTCGGGAAGCGAGAGAACGATAAACGGAAGGTGGCCGTTAGGGCGGGTATGTGCCTCAATTTTCTGGAGCTGGGCGGCTCTCACTGTGAGCTCAGAGGGACCCGCTGAGTTGTGTGCGGAGTTGGAGATGCCTAGAACTTCATGTGGGATGGCCGTTGCACACAGGTCAGCCTAAAAGATACCCTTGGCCCCGGTCTTCGCCCACTAGCGGTGTGGAGGTTTCAAACTGCCTCCTTCGTCACGTAACGTTTGCATTCCCACTAAAGCTGGTCGGAGGCGAGGAGAGCGAGGTGGGAGCAATACCTTTGTCCTCCTGAGAGGGCGGGATATGGTATGTACCCCATGGGCAGGCAGGCTGGGCTCGACGTAAGCACATTTAATTTATTGGAATAATAGGTCTAGAGCAACACAAAATAGATACAACGGGGTTAACAAAGGGAAAGGAAAGCGAGTATGGATACAGTGAAGAGTCGATCGATCGAGAGATAATGGCTACAATGGTGTAAAAACTGTGAAAGCACTGGTTAATGAAGAGGAGTGGGAGAGAAATCTGTAGTGTCAATGGAAGAAGACAACAATTTGCTAATAGAATATGTAAGCGGTGACCAACGAGGGAGAGGTGATAATCGATACAGTAGTGGGATGTTGAGAAGAGTGAATGAATAATAGTGAAACCATAATAAATCCCAGACAGATAGTCAGTTTTTGAAGAGAGGAAAAGAAGAAATAGAGACAGTGTCAATGAGTTGAATCAAACCGACAACGCGACGATAGCGAATTAAACTGTTCATCGAGAGTGACGACAGGGACGTTTGGAGCGAATGAGCGAGAGAGCGACGGGGTGACGATTAATGAATGGTGACCGATAAAGCCGGAATTATCGCGGAATATTCAAGGAAAGGGAGGATTCTGGGGTTGAAACGTTGAATAACTGCCTGGGGCGGGGTGCCAGTTGGCGACGAGCCGGACGCTGACGGCATATTAGGGTATGGGTTGCCGTGGGGTATAGGCGTTCGAGACACGATAGGGCGATAAGACCCTGCAGAGCCTGGTTGTTCTGTAGGGCTGCTGGGGTGCGATTGGTGAGGAGAGCCAGTATGTGGTTGACGATGATGCGAAGGGTGGGTATTGTAGGACGACGACGGAAGGCCCATGGCCTGAGACTGGTAAGGAACGGAAGCAGGGATCGACAATGGCGGCGGCGGTTGGCTGGCGGCGTGTCTAATAAAATCGGGGAAGTCGGTGGAGTGGAAGATGGCGCCAATCAAGTATGCGCCAGAGTTGCTCGCTGGATAGATGACTATCCCAGCGCCGGTTTGGCTGAGCTCGCTGGTGTGGCCCCAGTACGCGATGGCAACCTATTCGGGGACCGCAGTTAGCGCTATGGGCGACAATGTCCACGAAGCGCGTACACACCTCGTGATTCTCATTCATTTGTCTGGATAGCGTTCTAAAATTGGCACGATTGGCTTCATGGAAGTCGGGATTGAGTCGTTCGGGCAGGAAGTTGCACGTAGGTTGGGCGTATTGCTGAACATATTGGATCATTTGACGAAGGATGGGGCGGTTGGGAAGGCGCTGCACAACGAAATCGCGTGGCCATAACTCGACTCTGCTGTTCAAGGTCCATTAACCAGATATCACGGAAGGAAGATAGACACGAACTTGTCCCCATCGGTCTCGACTGCGGAGACCTGGATATAATCTGTCGCGCTTCTATTGGAATTGCGCAGTCCAGTAACGATGAGTCTACCTCTCCATGGGCGCTGTGGGCTCCGCTGAAGAGCCGCAGGCTGCCCTGGATGCGAAGGAGAGGCGACGAAGGAGTCGAACTGAGTGGGGATGCGGAAGACCATGCTATGAGATGTCGGAAAAAACATCAAACCATGTCGCTCTTTAACTGTTCGAGCTGATGGCGCGTTCCGTGTCCGATTTGGAATCAAGTCCGTCTCAGGACTCGAATCGAACAGGGATGGAGAAAACTCCTCGACCAGGTTGGTTGGATCCGGGCTTGGTCGCGTGGTAGTGAGTCGCGACGGAGGATCGTCAGGGTTTGCCGCTTAGTTTGGGGGAGAGTAACGGCAGAAAGACGCGTTGCAGACCAAGCGCCAGAGTAGTTGCTACAGACTGGCTGGCTTGGAAACCTGATGAAAATTTGGGATGTGTTTGGAAAAAAGCCAAGATCAACGATGTGAAAATCTGTCCTCTCGGTTTACATCATGGGGTTTTCGGAGCCACCGATACCCACCTTCTGTGATAAGTCACCAAGATTAATTTCTGCGGCGCACTGCGGCCCAACCCCTGTAAGAAGCACGCCTGGACAAAGAAGAGATTACAGAAGTCATGAGAATATGGAGAATCCGGGCACCTACTCCAAATGACGATAAAAAATGATGTGAACACACCGAGCCGAATCAACATAGGAACGAAAACATACGGCCCACAGTTCTTGCGGACTTCGAGCACACACCCAAGGTATTGTCCTTGAAGAGAAAGGAAATAATTTCAGTAGTCGACGCTTCAAAGCTTCTATTCAGAATAGTTTTGCAGGGTGTTTTGCAGGCCAACTGGAGATCGTGGTCGGAGCAGGCCTGGCGACGACGGAACAAATCGCCACGTTGTCAAGGATCAATCTTCCCACGTGGCTCACGCGCTTTCAAGCTTCCGTTTCGGGAGCGCGGCCAAAATCGCCGCCCATCCCCTTTCGACCGCCCAGCTCGACAATCACTGGACAACCGGAAACGCTTTGCCACGCGTTCGAGGCCATCCACATCGTCCAATCCCCCTTCGGTCGCCAGGAAAAGTTTAATAGAAGGGCGCTGACCAGCTAGGCAATTATTTCAGAACGTTGCTCAGGTCAGTCGCCCTTTCTCACCTGTTAAAAAGTCGTTTCTTCTACAAGGAGTCGTCGCTGTAGCCTCTCTTCGCTTCCAGCTCAGCTATCAGAAGGGGTCTAATGGAGGTAGGAACAGTTTGTGGACATCCATGTGACCTCCTTCCTGGAGGGCCGAATTGTAAATTCAGGAATCTGGAGCAATTGCGTTACATTGATGCCCACCTGCCCAGAGATGGCAAAACGCTTAAACCCGTATACTATCACCACCTTTTTCATTCTCAGCGAGTGACGACACCACCAATCTATCACTTCAGTACTAGCCTGTAGAGTGCATCAAACAATTCAATTTTGGACTTTACAAAACCCAGCTAGGCACCACCCGAATCAATGTGGACTGACATGGACCAACAGTCCGATCGCCAAGGTGCGAGTGCTTGGGGCCGAGTCCCAGCGAGTACCTCCCAAAGTATCACATAACCGCGTTGCAAAACAGGTGTCCATAAGCTCGAAATCCTTCGATCCTTCTGTTGGCCTCTCACCATCCTTCGCAAAAGCCATCGCCAGCATTGGGCGCCTCAGGCTGCTGTTTCTCCTTCCCCGCTTGTGGACGGAGGCCGTGCCGCTGCACACGGAATCTGCTTTTAATAGAAATCGCTTTCGCCGTTGATCGGCGTAGAGCAGAACAGGGTAAGGCCCCTCGTTTTAACGCCCACTTCTTTCCACAGAACGACGCCATTGTATATAGACAGATTTCTATTAATGTCGCGCATCCAATTCGATATTTTTAGCCACGTTTTCGAGGGAGTTGCTACCCAGTATTGCGCACCAAGTATGGCTTCAACAACGACGAATCACATTGAGAAACAGGTTGCTACAGGGTAGCCCAAAAACAGGGTACGATAGATAACGGAATTCCATACAGAACGATTAGATAGAGATCATAACTGAAGATCGAATCACATATACAATAGCGTCGCAAACACGAGATAGGCGAAAGGGTCGCGGTGTACGCTCCGGTAATCTCACAATCAAATGGGTCAGGATCCCAATGTGGACGAATCCATTTTTCAGCCGACGGAAACGGGCGCTTGAGGGATAGCTTTGGCCTAGATGATACAGATCTTTGCGTCAGTCATATCCGAAGAGCCCGATGCGAGAAAGAATCCACCTGGGTATCGAGTTCCATCGCAAGGCCATGGAATTTCGCCACCAACGCGCGAAGGGCTTTATTTTCTTCCTGGAGGGCCTCGTTCCCCTTCATTGCACGTGCCAGCTGATCCTGCGCTTCTTGAGTCTTGGCGAGTTGATTCCCCAAATCCAATTCCAACGCGACACCTCGTTGCTTTTCACCCTCCAACTCCATGCGGGCAGTCAACAAATCAGCCTGCAAGCCGACACCTTGTGCTCTGAGTTCCTCCCTTTCCAACTCCGTCACTGTCAACTTTCTCTGCGACTCTTCTACATCAAACCGCAACTCCCCAATCGTCCTCTCCAGCTGGGATATAGCATCCTTTAATACCCTCTCCTCCTCTTCGTGCCTGGTCACCTCGGCTACCCTCGAAACTTCCAGAGCTTGCAGGCTGTCCGTCGCTGTGGCAAGTTGCAACTCCAAATCTCGCACCGTATCTTTTTGTTGTTCCACTTCGAGGCCCAAACGTTCCACTTCCGATGACGACGTGTCCAAATCTTGACGGACCTGGATTAGCTCCCGTTCCTTCGTCGCCAACTCGTCATCCCGACGAATGCGTCGCTCTGTCTCCTCCCCGAGGTCAGCGGTTGCTTTCGCCAGTGCCTCTTGCCGGTCTAGTGCCTGACTCCGGAGACTGTCCAACTCGTTACTCAGCGACACCAACTGGGACTGGAGCAGATCGAGTTGTTGGTCCTTGCCCCTGGAAGTCGATTCCAATTCGGCGCACCTCTCTTGGGCTGCCAAGAGCTGCTGTCGTCCGTCAGATACCGAGGCCTCCAACTCGGCGATGGTGGTGGCATTAGAATCACAACGCGTCTCCAGAGCCTCCGCCTTCGAACTGGACTCTTCCAGCTCCCGGTACACCTGCTGAAGCTGTGCCTCCTTCTGATTCAACTGCTCCCCAAGAGACGCGCCACTCTCGCGATGCACCCGCAACTGCTCCCTCAGGAACTCGTTTTCCTTTTGCAGTGATTGGAGAGTTTGTTCCATATCCGAGATTTTGCTCGCGTGGCTAGAGAGCTCCGAGGTCGCATGGGCTGCCTTCTCCCGCACATTCTCTAGTTCCCGATTCAGCTCTTCAATCCTCGTGTCCCTGGAGTGGACCTCATCCTCGAGAGCTTGGATACGATCAGAGAATGCCGCCTTGGCCTTCTCCAATTCGGTCTCCGCGTGGTCGACTCTATCATTCAGTAGATCGCGCGCCACCTCGATGTCGTCCTGAAGTTCCTGGATGTGGGTGATTGGGCTCGACTCTGGAGAGGGCAAGGCATTATTGACTTGTTCGACTTCATCGGTATGATGTTCGCCCTCGCTCGGCGCTGGGGTAGGCTGCTTGCTGATGTCAGGGATAACAGAACCCGACAGGGTGCGAGTCAACCCCTTCGAAACCAAGTTTCTAGCCTGGGGACGACCTGGTCTATCCTGAATGGTAGGGGAAGAGAACTGGTGCTCACTGTCACATATCAGAAATCCATTATCCAGTAGACTGAAGGGTATACGACTTACGTGACTGTCGTGGTCGGCGGCCGATAAGCTCTGGTTTGGCCCGCCACCGTCGCGACATTCCCGTCGCCGTCTCCATCGTCGTCGTCATCGTCGTCGCGTGGCCGAGGCGCCGCAGTGGCAACCGGACGACTTGAGACCGCCTCCTCCAAACGACGCTGCAACCCCGAAATCACATCATCTCTTCGCCTCAACGCCTCCCTCAATTGAGCATTATTTTCAGCGTACTCGGCATCAAGGTCGGAGATGTCTGTTAATGGAGAGGCATCGCGATCGGACTGAGCAAGTGGGGCAGCAATTCTAACTGTAGATTTGCGGGATGGACGACCGGGACCGCGGCGGACGGGCGTAGCTGAGTTTGCATCCGTAGTATTGACAGCAGTTGCCCTGGCGTTCCTTGCCCTTGTACTTTGAAGGGGTGCCTGAGAATAGTGCGCTGTATGTCTCCTGGGTCGCTTGGGAGCTCGAGCTGCCGAGATGGATGTAGCGGCCTCATCGTAGTATGCAGCACCCGGCGCAACAGACACGGAGTAACGTCGCTTTGAAGCAGCGATGCTCGCAACCTGCTTGAAAACGCGCTCTTCAGGGTCGCCGACATGGCGGACACTGCGTTTCGCAGTAGCAATTCTAGAAACGCGAGTTGTTAACCTTCCATTTACATTGAGAAAGCTGAAAGGAGAATTGAGACGTACGTGCTCTTTCCTTCGGGAGTTAGGAACACACGTTGGTTGCCCATGCCAAGTATGCCATCTTCTGTCTGAGGCACGTCAGCTCGAGCGCTTAGAACAAGTGGTTCATGAAACACACCAGCTTATCGACTGCCTTGGATACCCAGTGAGACCAATTAGGGCCTAGCTGCTCGCCTTTCTCTTCTGCAGTCCTCTTGACTGCGATTGACTCGGTGTTAGCCACATCATCATAGGGCGGGGAAGGGTACGAGGTGGCAGCGACACGTACCTTGTGCTCGAATGCCCGCCAAATGAATATTCCCTACACGCCGTTCCTTTTTCAATGCATGATAGGCATTCAACACACCTATTCACGAGTCACGTCAATAACAGACCAATGCCACAGCAAATCATGCTCCACTCACGCTCAGCGTACGTGACTTTTGGTGTTTTGGGTTTAGTCGACTTTCGCGGTGCCATCTTCTCCTAATACTCGTTCGAAACTCGTTACAAAGGGTGTCGCAGAAAGAGAGGAAAGAGATGAAGGTGGAAAAAAGCGAAGGGAGGATACAAAACGCGTCCAGGCGGCGCAGCAATCCTAAATGACTCTTAAGCGACCCTGGTGGCGTCGTGGACTCATTTATAATGGCGGGATCTGATGTCATAAATCACCGCTCGGTACCGACCGATTACCCGATCTGGCACTCCCGCAGCTCGGCAAAACCTAAACCGGTAATCCCGCCTTTATATCTAAGCACGTGCCACATGCCCTTTATCTCGTTGCCTGGGCACCGTGAGATGGCCAGAGTAACACTGTGTCTTAGGATGCCTCTCAATGCAACGTCTCCTATCGCGAACCTTCTCATGGGCCCACGCACTAGCTCCACGAGGAGAAGCATCCTGAACCCCGATCAATCCCTAAAATACACCCAACGTCGAACACCTCGAGAACCCCTTGACCCCTTGACCTTACCCTCGACGACCCACTATCCTAGCACGCCCTTCTGTCTTGGGGCGCCAAACGGTCATTCCTTGAGGTCAAATTGTAATTCGATAGCACAGGGAATACGCGTTCTTGGTCTGGGAGTGCGTGACACAGAAAGGGAGGTATTGGCCATGTTCATGGGAAGTGGGTGAATTAGGCTTCAAGGTTTGAGGGGACAGGTTACAACGTTCCAGTCAAGACCCCCTCGCGTCACCTTACGATGTTCAAACTGGACCTCGCATGTTGTACCATCAGGAAGTGCAATACCCGTCGAGTCTGAACAGGGATAGTAAGCGCCCGTGAAACTTCAATGTTCCTGGGGGGCAATATCATATGGAAGCCCTGACGGAGGAGCAAGAAGCACGAATCCTTGCGCCACAAGTTCCATTATAATACATCCACTTCATTCGTAATTCCCATCGACGAAAATATAACTGTTATCAGTACCCCGTTTTTCAAACTCCTCTCAGCGTGAGGGGTCAATGTGTCTCACCACCCTACCACAAGAACCCCTCCCATGCCTCACCAATGGACCTACGCAGACAGAGAGGGAAAAAAATAGATAATATCATACAAGAAAAAAGAAAATCACTAACTAGTCATGACTCAAAAAACTACTAGCGCTGACTTCTCTCCATATGCGAGTTGAAGAGGGGGCAGAGCAGAAAAAGGATCATCACTACGACAACAACAACTGTAAGAGAGCAAAGAGGGAGCACAAATACACAGTAAGTAGTACTTAGCAATACGAAAAAGAAAAAAGGAACATCGAGACATGGGTAACGAGGGGTAGGATACGACTGGACAGGATAGTACAGGATAACCTGCTAGCTAGCTATCCAGTAAATAGCCGTAGCAGAGAAATGAAACCATCGTTAGAGCTAAGGGCAAAGAAAGAGAAAAAGTGGATGACCAAGGCAAGTCCGGTAGCCGTGGGCGATGGGGATCGGCTGGCAGCGAAGCGACAACACTGAAAATAGTTCTCCTAAACCTATGACGAAAAGAAATAGTCGGTCTGAGCTTTATCATGTACGTCTAAAACGAGTTTCGTGATTCGATAGAAAAGGGTGTTTAACCCCTTGTCAAACTCCCTGCAAAACAGGTCAGCACTCCATCACTGGTTCATGGGCAGAGGAGCACTCACAGATCCTGGCAAAGCTGTCCCCGCTTCCAGTCGCAAGCAGGTCATTGTTCGAGTTCAAGTCAAGCGAGATCACTGCAAAAGATGCGTTAGCACACACCGCCACGAGGAACGACATGCACACAACACCCACCAGAGTTTTTATGGCCCTGCAGCGTCAACTGCAGCGTAGCAGTCGTCGAATCCCATACATGCACACACCGATCCTTCGAACCCGACACAACCCACCGGCTATCACTGCTCATCGACACCGAAAGGACGTAATCCTTGTGCCCAATAAAGTCCATCACGCAGTTGGCACTCTGCACAACCTTGCCTTCGCGCTCCATCCGCTCCATGCGTTCCCGCTCCACCCGATCCCGCATGTCGGGGTCAGCGGCAGCCTTCCTCCTGCCCTCGGGACTGTTCAGATGACTGACGTCCCATAATTTGAGTGTCTTATCCAGACTGCCGGTGACGAGACCCTTGCCGTCTGGCGTGAACGCGACGCTGTACACACTGTTGGTATGGCCCCTCAACCTCTCCAAAAGCTGGCCTGTTTGCACGTCCCAGATACGGATAATGTTGTCAAGCGAGCCCGCGGCGACGAGTGCAGTCGATGGCGAGATGGCGACGGAGGTGACGCCTGCGTCAGCGTTGGGATCGATCACGTCAGTGATCGTGAACACTTTGACGCTGTGGTCATGCATGTTCCAGATTCGCGTTGTGCGGTCGCCGGATCCGGACACGATGAGTCGTCCATCTTGCGAGAAATCGAGAGAGTAGATTTCTTGTTGGTGGCCGTCGAAGACGTGGCGGATGCATTTGCGGGAGATGTCCCAAATCTGGGGATGGATTAGAACTGGTGAGAGGAGGGAGGTGGAAGACACGTACTCGGATTTGTCGATCCTCGGCACCGGTGGCGAGGAACTTGCCATCCGGGCTGAACCGCACACTACGGATGTAGAGGTCGCCTGTATGAGCTTCGCTCTCATGGGCCAACTCGCTGTATGGGCATCAGAATCCCGCTCCTCTGAAGCAGACCAAGCGACTCACCAAACCTTCATTCCACTCTTGGTATCGAAAATCTGCGCAGTCTGGTTGCAACCTGTCGCCAGATATCGTCCGTCCTGTGAGAACTGGACACAACATACCACGCTACGATTGGTCTGTCAGAGTACTTCCTCTTTCACAGGCAATAAAACAGACCTCGAATGCTGGAAGGAGTGAACCAAATTGATATCAAGCGTCCTCTTGATCTTGGGATTGAATGCAGCAAACCAATCAGGCCCGTCCTTCCTATACTCCGGCGGGACAGTGTTGTAGTTAAACTCCTCCGGGGGTGCACCTGGAACGAGAGCCACTTGTGTCGAACTCGAACTTGCGCTTGGTCCTCCAGCAGCAGACGCAGAGCCACCAGTGAGGGAAGGAGGAGGTCCGAGACCTAGCGCACCAGCTTCGGACTTGGTTAGCGCCTGCGATGAAGACGAGGGAGGGAGGCCACTCGCACTACCTGGTGGTCCGCCGCCTACGGGCGGTAACTGGTTCGATCCGTTTGCTGGGTGACCGAGGGGTGCTGGGCCAGGGCCTCCGGGGCCAGGTGGAGGTGGGGGGCCTCCTGCTGCGGTATAGGGAGATCCACCTGGTCCGCCGGGGTACATGGGTGGAGGGAGTCGAGGAGTAGTTGTGTGGCTTCCACCAGTGTAAGTTGACGGGCCTCCGTTATCTGTGCAGCAGTGTTGAATACAACACGTAATCGCCTTTTGGATTGAAAACCTTACCTTTCTTCACTCTCTTCGGGTCCCTCGAATCTGCCAACCGATCCATCTCCCTCTCCCTTTCACGCTCCCTATCCAGCTCAAAATCGCGCCTATCCCCCGGCCTGCCGCGATCTCTACCATCACGATCTACAACCATATCCCTATCCCGCTCCCTCTCGCGCTCCCTCAACTCTCTTTCCCTGTCCCTCTCGCGTCCCAGAGGTACTGGCTCCCTCTCCCTGTCTTTGAGCAGCGCACCCCGTTGATCCATCGCGCTGGGCGGCAACTCCCTCAATCTCCCATTTGGTTCACCATACGGCGGTGGATGCGGTGGAGCTCCATTGGGTCCTAGGTCTACTGACCCCCCCGGCACACCAGGGCCACCCACAGCCCCTGCAAATCCACTTGAAGATGACGATGCCAGGCCGGCGATACCCTGAGTAGACGGATGAGGGGGCGGACCATGTCTCGTGGCAGCGGCCAATTCCGCTCGGAGTCTTGCTAATTCGTCTTCATATTGTTGTCGAACTTTGGTGTGCTGCGCCTCCAGATCGTACAACGCCCGTCGGATATGGTTTAGTTCGCTCACTTGAGCTCCGACTAGATATGGATAAAAGTTGGGTCAGCCTGTATTCAACGTGGCCTCTGAAACGCAAATTAGATGAAGAATGCAAGGTATCGGAAAAACCGATACCGTGACGTTAACAGCAAATGTCCTCAGCAGAGCCACTGACAGCACCAAATGGGGGTCTAAAAGAGAGAGGACTCACGCTTGACCTCGACTTCGTCCTTCTGGTTCTTTGTGAGCTCAATCTCCGTCGCCATAGCCTCAAACTCAGCCTTGATGGCTTCCAAACTCTCGTTCAGCCTGATGGACCCAACCGAAGGTGGGACGTTGATATTTATCGCATTGGGATTTCCGGCGCCTCCTGGCGCACCCATCGTGGGCGGACCTCCTGGCACGCCACCGCCAGGCCCGCCTCCCATTCCTGGCCCCCCTGCTGTCATTCCCATTCCGACTCCAGGCGGTGGACCGGCATTGGGGCCTGCACCTAGACCCACAGGTGGTGGGGGACCTCCAGGTGGACCAGCAGGTGGGCCACCCGCGCCTCCAGCTCCTGAGCGCCCGGCAGGTTGTAAACTTCGATGCTATACAAGAAAGACCAGGATATGTCAGAACGTGTCCTTGCTGCAATTCAACGCACAGATTGCTTGTAGAGATATCCAGAACGGATAGGATATTGGCAACGTTTTAAACGCACATTATATATTGAATTGGCCGACATTAAATCCTCGTTTTATTCGAACGGGCAATGTTGTCGAATACTGTCGTCCAGGTCGACGGTGCCGTTGTCGTCTTCAGAGATTCGACTTGGGAAATCTGTAGGGGGATTTGATAGTCGATTTGGGTTATCCAGAGGTCGCTGGTCGTCGATGTTAAGCGAGAATCGGGTTTGGGCTGCAACAATCTAAATTTCGTTGATTCTTCAAGTTGATTTGAAGGACAGTATTGTTGGGAAATAGAATGAGGGTTGTTGTGTGGATGGAGAAGGGAAGAGCCAAAGTGCAGCGTCACAAAACAACCACCAACCCTACTCACAAATTTCCCACGTTTCTCAGATCTGCGATCACCCCCGACACCGCACAGCCACACACATCATCCCCGGCTACTGCCGCCGGCTAATTTCCTTTCAGAGTCCGTGGCCAACCTCCTGGGTTGTGGGACGGGGCTCTGGTTTCTCTGACGTACTCTACAACGGCAAAGAAAAGGCAGAGAGGAACGTATTTAAGTGCATTGTACTTTCATTTTCGAGTTGATCTCACTCCACCCATCCATGTTGCTTCCGAAATCCATTCTCTTGGCAGATCGAACGCGAGGAACCAATGTAGTGGGTAGATAGGGGCTGTCGAGCCGTACCTGGACACCAAAACAGAGTGTGTTCATTAAACCCGCCCTCACCACACACCGTCATCTTTCAATCGCATACGCAATTTTCAATTCACTCATTGGTCACGTTTGTCCGATTTTCAAGTAACCCACAGCTCCTACGCAAACAGTTGAACACCGACTTGACCTGCCGCCGAATCCCCGGACATTGGTGCACTCTTCTCACTCTAATTCGACATTTTGACTGTCAGCGACATTGGAATCTCCAATCAGATCTATTGCCTTTGTCCTCGTCATCGCCGCCGACCACGCTTTGTGCTGTCTGGCCTTGTTCAATGAAGTGTGACAGCATCCCTTATCTCCTCTAGACTTTAATGTGCTGAACTTGTGCCTATACTGCTCGAAAAGGACATAATGAGCTCTCTTATCCAGCCCGGCGGCGGGTGGATTTTCGCACAGACTGCCTTAATGGCCCTTCGCTTTCTCCCAGCGAATCACAGACGGCTTCTCAACCTCACTAAGCGGACACCCCTTCAGAACGCCAGACATATAAGGTAAGTATAAGTACCATGTACATACATCCGGTGTCTGCAATTCGCTAATTCCGCCTATCTTCCATCGCATACATCTTCCATCGTTCATCTCATCTATGCAGCCGAGCCTCAAGGGCCCATGACTTGGCTTTTCAAATCACCATTCACAGTCCACTGCCACGGCGCTCTAAAACAGACAAACTCCTTCTCAAACTCCGGTGGTCCAACTATGGATCGAATACTTCGAGTTCCCAATTATGTGATGCTTGAAGTTACTCCGCTTTCCTTTCATTGGATGTGCAACTTAGCATCTCGACTCCGACCATTGACGATAACCACGAAGCAAGGGGACTCCTCTGGCACTTACAAAGCTTCGTAACCTGAACTTAGCATGTCACCATCTCTCCATTGTTCAACCGCCTCGCAGACAGAGATGCCTAGGAAAGGGAACGAAACACGAGGCTGCATCTGAATGATTATTTCTGGTTTGATTCCACCTCCCCACCTTACTCCTTACTCGTTCCGGTATCGTCTTTAATGCTGTTCTTCCTGCCCCTCCAGCCGGTGAGTTCTTTCCTTTTGTTGAAAGAAGCTTCGAGCGCCCAATCATGGGCCCCTCCACATCTCCATAGGTGTCTACTTACCCAGTACACGGCAATAAGTCGATTCTTTGCGTCAAGTTGAGCAGGGCGGCATATGTTTGGATTCCACTGTAATGCCAAACACTGTTAGGTTCCATTTGAATCTGAGAAGCTGATCCGGAGGCTGCGGTGATGATCTTCTCTCATGTCGACGACTCTAGACTGGACGGCGGAGCCGCTACCTCCTTCCCTTCCTGAAAGGCTTCGAGGGCATTCCAACTTACAGATTGCCTATGATATGGTTCGCCGACTCGAACGATCTTTGGACAACAGGAGGCCGCAGTCGAATCGCGAGACCGTGTTTTGCCGGATCCTTGGTTACTTGTTGATTCACGCTCCCACCGACACTGCCAGAGCTGCGGTAGCGCTAGAGATACGCTCCGCCAACGCTGAAGGAGACCTTGACGCGAAACTACTGCAAATAGGGGAATGTTATTACCAGTTTTTAGTCAAACTTTGTGAGGATGAGGAGATCTTCCGCCCTCTGTGTACACTTCGGACTGGCCAACACTGACGCGAGGAATAGTCTGGTCCGCCAAGGGCAGAACAGGAACGCCTTCCAACCACTCCTCTCGTCCTTTGTTCGATCTTGGAGTGGATATGGTCGGCGATACTCTCGCAGAATCCCCTCGAGACTATGCCACCGCGAAGAAATACGTACGTCGTTCCACTAGCAAACGTTGAGTACTTTGGTCTCGCGCTGATAACTTACCTGCAATGTCTGCCAGGCATTGAAACGAGATGACTATCGGTGCATGATCACGGGCCACTATGACCGATCAGCGTACATAGCCTTCCCCTCGATACGAGACAAAATGGCTGGAGAATAGAACTCTCGACTTCGCAAGACAAAATGCGTGCATATCATCCCAGTACCCATAAACAGCGGGGCGGATATCAATCTAAACGTGGTGACTGAACTCCTGTACTAGCAGTCCAATCACAAGTTGACGGCTTTGGCCACAGGGGAGCACGACCGTCTGGACGGTACTCGAGCGTTTTGGGTACGGCGAGCTCCTTGACCAGTTGAACGGCCCTGGGATTCATCGATTGGACAATGTAATGGCATTGTCGCTGGAGGTGCACGAGCCGTTCGAGAGCCTCGTGTTTTGGCTGGTGCCCTCGGTGAGACGAACCAATCGTGTTTTATGTCTGTCTGAAAGCTCGTTTACGTCTCCTGCTTCCCAGACGGCGCACCCTGATTGGCAGCCGAACACCTACGATATCCAATCCTTGTATCCCCCCGAGCTCCTTCGCCTCCCCAAAACCGTCCGATTCGAATCCAGTGATCCCGAGCGACTCCCCCTCCCCAACCCGCGATGTCTGGAGATCCATGCCGCGTGTGCGAAGGTTGCGCACCTTTCGGGCGCAGCGGAGTACCTGGAAAATGTCTTGAGGGGATATGAAGAAACGCGAGTGCTTGCAGAGGACGGAACGTCTGCTGAGCTTCTGTCTCATCTCCTGACTGGATCCTAACTGCGGTGGCTGACACCGAGTCTGGCGTCGCTGGAGATGGTCCTTGTGTGCAGCGTCTGGGCGCGTAGTCGGAGTAGTCGGTATGCCATCCGATCGCTTTGCCATGGGCTACCGCACCCAAGTCGGGGTTCACCATCGCACGAGTGCGAGCCTCGTTTGATGTTCAATCCAGTTCCATCGCAATTTAGAGTAATACCAACCAAGGCGTCCAATATTCAACAGTCCCGCTCACATGGCCATAGCCTCTACGTCTGCAATGGCCCCGGTTCCCGTGTAGACTCGCGACAATCTTCACGCACTGCTCAAACATTGGATAAATAGTTTGTCTAAACCTGTCCCACTATGCCTTCTTTGCGACAAATTTCGCGAAACTTTCACTCCGGAAGCAACGTCCCTGACAGATCCGGAGTGGGCGATGGCGGCGGGATTAGCAGGGACATCCAGTACCAGCGGCCATCTCTCAATTCCGACCGTCAACCTTGTTCTCGGTGCGGGGACATGCAGCTCCGGTGGATACCTAGACACCGTCTATCGAAGCGATGCTTTGCGTATAAAACTGTTCCACCCTTCTTGAGGATTGATTTCCTTTGATCCCACCATGGATTCAGGGAAGCTGCCCGATGGTGGTCGACCCTCTCCCGAGCTCTGTCTCCCGCTGCCGCCCAGCCTATCTTCTATTGATCTCTCGCCCACCTTCCTTACAGTCGCTCTCGAAAGTCTTCTCGTCGGTATCTTCATCATCCTCACCTCCGCATCACTTTATCTATGGTTCGGCCGAGCCAGGAGGAATGCGACAACGACTTCACGTTCTAAACTCCGCGCGGGCTGCCTCACATTCTGTAGATGGATTCGAAACCCTTTGGTCTTTGGGAGCATTGTACTCTTCGTCATCGTCCTGGCTGTGAGTGTCCATTGCAAAGCCCTTGAACCCCGCTAATTATAGCTTTGTGCAGCACTGGGCCGGCACAACCACGCGCTTGATGATAGCGATATCTATTCTAAACGAGAACCGCTCACCGCTCATGTTCTACACCGACCTCGCCCATCCAACTTCCGTGTTGCTGTGTTTACTCGTCGCCATCTCTGCGCCCGTTGTAGACTCTCTCTTGGTGGGTTTTCGAACTATAGCCAGACGTCAGGAACACTAACAACAGCCACCTTAACTACAACAGATATGGAGATTATGGGTAGTCTCTGGTAGATCCAAGATCCTGATCCTCCCACCCATTCTCGCAGTCGCGACGTTCCTCGGTAAGGCGCATTTCTCTTTGTCCCGACTCGGCAAAGTGGCTAAATGGGTCTTCGAAATTAGCGGATGGCCTGAGAGTCACAGTTTGGTTCACGAATGCGCACGGAAAGTCGATATTCGACCCTGAAATCAAGTACTGGATACTCGCAAACATCGTCCTTACAGCACTGTGCGTCTATGCATCAGAAGGTCTTGGGGACTTAATTAATCTAATTAATCTGACTGTTTTATCTCTTACAGATCTAATCTTTACTGTTCCGGCGAGTGTTCCCCGCTTTCTCTCCGTCTAATCATTGTCGCTAAATTTCGAATTCTAGTTGGCCTCATGTACCACATTTATCGAATCAGCACCGAAATGAGCAAGGCGTACACAGAAGACTCCTCTCTTCCACCTACGCGGGTACGTCCTGGCATACCTCTCTCTCTCCTTCCTGCCTTCGAAACGCGTTTCTTCTTTCCTCTTTAGTCCATACTAAACATCATCATCGAAAGTGCCACCATCCATACGTAAGTCCCTCCTCACCTCAACACCCCTTATCTACACCTTGAGTCTAACCTTTGGGTTTCTCTCTCCACACCCGTGATCCAGCGCCTGGTCGATTCTCACCCTCGTCTCCTACATAACCCAAAACAACATCGCGATCATGACACTCGACATGGGTCCAGTGGTCGCCTCCATCGCCTTTATGCTCATCAACGTCCGAGTGGGGCTTGGATGGGATATTCGTCGTCGAACAGAGTGCGAGTATGACCATGATAGTCGGTATACTCAGCCGCCGTCGAGGTTCGAAGCTGCACGGAGGTCGCGGACGTCGTCGAATCAGGAGTTGTTATCCGAGTCGTCCTCGAAGCGGAGTACGTTGAGGAGTACATTGAGGAGTTCTGACATCCCGATGTCTAGTTTGAGTCGATGGGACACGAATACGACTAAGGTTTGAGCCTTAGGTAGATATGGGATTGTTTATACCACACGTAACATTGTAAGATAGGTGTACTTTACATATAGCGGGATTGAGCCCCGGGACAATGAGATTGCTAGAGTTGTTTATCATCATACCAAGCTCGAGTAAGTACAACTTCTCGATGACGGAGCGCCATGGAATGCTTGATTTCTCGACACCAACACGACCATTGAAGTACAAGATAGGCTCGTTCTCTCGAGAGCCGTGACGAAGCGTGAAGCCAAGTAAACCTAATCAGGTTTCCTTGGTGTTGCCTGGGCCAGCTTGCTGGCCGGAACGCCCAGATGACCACCGAGCCGGAGCAACCGTGGCTGGATGGCCAAGCGTAGGCGCTGGTGGTGGGCGGGAGCGGTGGGACGCGAAAACGAGAGAGGAACGAGTAGAGAGGATGGGGACCTCTCGAGAACGGCGAGAAGATGAGAGATACCATCTCTCATCGGCGCGAGGAAGACGAGGCTGTTTGGTCTGACCAAACAGGTGCGCCGCCTCCGGATCACTCGACCTCATCTTGTCCACGGATGTTGTGCTTGCACTACATCCACCCAACAAGATAGGCTCGTTCTCTCGAGAGCCGTGACGAAGCGTGAAGCCAAGTAAACCTAATCAGGTTTCCTTGGTGTTGCCTGGGCCAGCTTGCTGGCCGGAACGCCCAGATGACCACCGAGCCGGAGCAACCGTGGCTGGATGGCCAAGCTCCAACTAGAGAGTCAGAGACTGAGTCTCACAACTGACAGCCAGGCAAGGGTGCGAGGTCTGGTGGTCATACCCAACCAGAGACGAGGTCGATGAACTGGATAACTAGTGTAGAATACACGGTGACATTATATACTTGGCTATGCAATGGCTTGGCTACGCAACGAATTAAAGTCTGTATCTCGAGGCAGTGATAATGAAATGCAGGTAAAATTACAGTCTAGTTAATAATGCGAATAATGCGATGATGTTGACGGTGACGAAACGAAAGCGACGAGCGATGCAAGTTATGATGAAAGGTGATTGTTCAGTGCTGTTATGTGTCCCAAGAAATTAGCGAAGGTCATAAGTTAATCCGATGCATGATCGGTATCTCGCAATGACTGGGCAGTCGTGGAGAGGTATTCCGGCAGGTTGTTGTCCCTTCGGAACTTCTCAAAGATGGCGGCGAGCGAGTTCTTGAGCTGAGATTCATGGTATGCTCTAGTCGTACTCATAGGAAGTACCTCCTCAACCCTTCTCCAGTAGAGCAGGAAGGCCAGGGAGGTCCAACCGCCTGTGGAAGCGACGATCTCGGGAGGAACGCCGGCGAGGAGCAGCTCGACAGCGCCCCCAATGCGAAAGCTGTGGCCTGATACATGTCCCAGGCCGGCGCTCCGCCAGATCCCCATGACGTGCTCGAGGAACTGAGCTCTTGTGAGATGTTTCCAAGAATTTCCGGACCTGTAGGCGAAGAGGGATGCCGATAATGGGAGGCCGTGGTTGACTGCAAGGTGATTTTTCATGGCCTTGACTGGGCAGATGCCGAGCTCCCGTGCCCACTTGTCCGTCCGGGCAGTGAGGACGACCAATGCTCCTCGTTCCTTCGTGGTCTTAGTCCATGGGATGTCGAAGGCGACGGCTGAGGACCCATCTCGGTGTGTGCGAAAACGGGGTTCACATGAGCGACAGACATTGTACTTGGGGGAGAACTTGGACTTCACGGCCACGACGATTTCAGCGAGTCGGCGGCAGCCAAAGAAGGCAGCAGTGGCAGCGGCCCACACCGCAGCGTGGAAAGGATCTGACAAACGTAAAGTGCGACGAAGAGCAATGAGATGCTCCATAGACACGGGAGATCTCGGAGGCTTCCTGAAAGCCTGACCCTCCTTGGCTACGCACGAGCGAGCTAGTTGCACCCACGAGTCGTCTCCAAACCAAGGGGCATGATGGAACTGGTGCCAGGCGCGCACGCCAGCGAGCCATCCCCTGATGGTGCCGTCTCCCTTCTTCCCTGACCATTCGCTCATAAATCCCGTGAGCAATGCGTACGATGCGGGCATCCTCTCCTCCTCTGACACGCCATACTTGTCGCAGAATTGGGTGAAGCGTAGGATCCCAGCGGCGTAGGTGGATCTGGTATTGGGAGCGAGGGCTCCCATGAGTGTGACAAAGGATGATGAAATAAGTCCGGGCGGGAGGCCGAGTTTGCTACGGTGACAGCGGGCGTATGGGGTGTCCCATGCGTAAATTCTATCTTCGGCGACTACGTGCGGGCGGTACTCGCTTTTGAGGATCTCGCTTCCACTTTTAGGAGCCCTGGCTGCAGGGCGAGTTGGGGGTAGAGGTGGTGGGTTTGCTTTTGTATCAGTTGGGGGGTTGGGGCTAAGGGCGGGCGACTTTGAAGAGGTGCGGATAGCGTTCAACGTGCGGTCACGATGCTTCTGAATAATTTCTCGAAAACGTGGGTGGTTCTTTTTGGGAGAGCGCGTGTTATGGTGGGTAACAGGCATGGGAGGTATGTTGGTGGTCAGAGGAAATAAAGAGCCTTGTCGATGTCGGGCGGGAGGCGGATATCGGTGACCAACTTTTTCCCAGGCGGTCCCGGCAGTCCTCGTGACAACGGGTCAGCGGGGTTTTTCTCGGACTCGATGTACTCAAGGGTTGGGGTGAGTCCCACAGCAAGAACAAGGTCATAGAGGCGTCGCACTGAGTGGTTGATATGGTAGTTCCTGCTACGACCCTTGGTAATGGAGCCAACGGTGCCCTTGTTGTCCGAGTGAATAAGTATGTGCTGGTCCCGATAGCCCAGTGAGTCTAGGAGATATACGAGAATCTCGACTGCCACTGTCTCCAGCCAGCAGATATCCCTTCCCTTCACCTTCCAATCCTCGCGAAGACGTAGCGCCGCCCAACGTTCGCCGATAACGATACCGATGCCCCATGATGTAGAGGCATCAACAAAAATGCGATGGTCCATGGGGGGTCCGCGATTCCGGATTGAGCGCTCGCGAGGAGCCATCTCCAGGCAGCCTGCCCACCACTTCAAGTCCGAAACCACCGAGGTAGGCGGGTAGTGAGCAGTTTTGGGGTCGCGGCCGTCGAAGGTGGCAGCAAAGTTGGAGAGAGATGGAAGACGAGAGCGGCCGTCGATATGGACGAAGGAAACATGACACATTGAGCCATGGATACGCTCGACGTCGCGTCTGGAACATCTCTTCCCATCGAAGGCGTCCAGGAAGTCCCGGACTCTCCTGAGAAACTTCGACCTCTTGCGCTCGGGAAGTGATACCACCTTCCGGGGAATATCCCACAAAAAGCCGATGAACTCCACGACGGGCCTGTAGACACCATCTCCCTTCTCCCTGTTGATGGGGAACCCGAGGTAGGTGAGGATATCAGCCACACGGCCGGAAGGGACGTCGTAGGTGTAACCGGAGTCCTCGATGCGTCCCTCGGCGACTGGGACCCGCAGGTTCTTGAGGTCGTCCTCGTACTTCATGGTGGGGCCCGCACCGGAAGCCTGTATAATGTCGACACCGGCATTGGCGACCATTCCGGAGTTGGAACTGGCACTGGCACACCCGAACGGTACATTGTGCTCTATCCAAAACTCGCCTGGGTCACCCTGGACCACGAGCCAACACTTGTGGGGGGGAACAACGGGAATGGTGCGGTGAAATTTCTCGATGTCGAGAGTACAGGCCTGCGTCCCTGGAGGAGCGGCAGATATCTGAAACGGCAAGTCAGATTCTGTGTGATCGTCTCGATGTCGAAATTATCGGATCTCGATAGTGCAGGGTGTCACCCGCGGTGCACCCAGACGTTCCATCCTGGCCGCGCCAGGTGGAGGCACTTTCTATCTGAGTGCCAGGCGAGACCACCCCGCGAGTGGTCTCCCCACCGGCGTACCGGTGAGACGTCTGGTGCCCGCGGCACCAGCCCTGGCTATACGAGATCCGATATGGAGAGAGTACTCACTATATCGGCGACCCGTAAGGCCGTATCAAATCGAGTTGGAAACGATTCCTTCTCGATGTACGAGTTGACGGAAGAGTCAACTTTAGTCCCCTTCGACAGGTGACGACAAATCCTGAGCTTGTCTGGAGTGCCGGGAGCTTGGGTCTGAACGGAGACGATCAGCGGCGATGCGAAGAAAGGCCCGCCTAAGATCTCCTCCACTCGTTCCCTCGTGTATGGTCCCGACATCCTCCCCGCGTTCCTTTCTCCAAGAAGGTAATCGTCGACGGCCTGCTTGTATAGCATGCAGGAGGGGTGGTTAGGAATAATGACAGTGCTGTTCAATCGAGGCATGTTGCCAATGGGGAAGCCGGTTCTGAGATTATAAACGAGATTAGGATAGTCGTTGGTGAGTTCAAACTTGTTGAGCAATTCGTCGAAAGCATTGGCGTCATAAGGCGTGCAAATACGGTTGAAAATCTCTATGTCTTCTGGTTGGTTTGATCTGCAATATCGAGGGACGATGGTGTTGGAGAAATCTGAATAACAAAGCTTTTGGGGAGAGGCCAGCCTCTCAAATTGCGCGAACGTAGCGTCCGCGCTAGTTTCGGCAGGTGCGGGAGAGGGCGTGGTGTTGGCCGTCCCCGCAAAAGCTGCAGACGTGCAACCTCTCGTCGAGGTTGTGGCTACATCGGGCGTCTGGGCCGACTGCGTTCCAGGTGATGCACACCTCCTTGTAGGGGGCGTTGGTTTGGACGAGGCTTCCTCCGACCTTCTTGACGTAGAACTCTCTTCCGTCCCGAAACCGAGGCGCCCTGGCGAAGTCGTGGCGCTTCGCGGTGTGCCCTGTGACGCCACATACGACGCAGTCGGAGGACTCCTGCTGCGCCTGGTTGCGTTCCTTCCTCCTCGCGATGAACTCGGACGCCCTTCTGCCGCCAGAAGAACCACTGGGGGGGCCGGTGGTGCCCTTCGGAGGAGTGGGGTTACGAAAGGACCGGTTGTCCTGCTCCGCCCTGTAGCTTGAGAGCATGACCTCCCACCTCAGATCCGCTACCCTCTTGTCGTATGGCGTTGGGTACGAGCGCCTCTCCAGGCGGTCGCGGCGTTCCTGCGCAATCCAACGCTGGAAAAGACCTTCCTCGCTTATCTCCGGCCGGTTGAGGTAGTTGTCGTAGTGCTGCTCGTACCACCTGACCTGATGGTCTTCGCCGGGTTGCTGACGCTTGGATTGGAGAAGTAGCATATTTGCTTTCGTTGCCACAAATTCTCCGTAATTGCGAGGGCTCTCTTCGGCGAGGTGCGCAAGTTCGGTCTTCTGGGATGATGACATGCCGTGTTGCGTCAGCACCTTCTGCACGTCTATGACCGTCAAGGACACAGTGGCACCGATCTTGTTAAAGACCTTGGCTGTGGTGGTAGGCAGCTTGCTGGAATGTTCGGAGATCCACCTCCAGTTGGATTCCGTGAGCCAGCGCAAAGGGACGGGTTCGACGATCTCAGTGTTGAGGAGGACGAACGGAACGCTCTTCGCCTGGATGCCGCCTGGCGCAAAGTTCTGCTCGTCGGCCGGGTCAAGGTAGAGCAAGGCCTTCTTTGCCTGGGGCATGCCATCGCCGTCGGAGTCCGATGAGTCCTCCTCGTATCTCCTCTTCTTCTTACTCCTTCCCCGATCCTGTTCCCCAAGAGTCATCCCCCTACGCCTCTCCTCTTCTTCCTCTCTGTCCCTCCTGTGAATGGCCGACATCGTGATGGTGAAGCCTCTCGAGCAGAAGCCCTTCACCGCCTCCCATGCCGTCATGTCTCTGAGGTCGTCGATGTCGTCGTCCGGAATGGTGACTTCAGAGGCTAGGGTTGATGTCGAGCCATTACCCTGCGCAGCCGCCAGGTTCTTGAGGGTACGTTGGTCGTTCTCCTCTTCGATCCGCTTGTTCATCTGGAGCTTGAGATGTAGCGCCATCGAAGATAGCAACCTGGACACTCTGTCATCGGCGTGAGTCTTGCGCGTGCGGATATCCTGGGCGGCGGCGACGCCGCCAGCACCGCCAGTGCCTTCACCGCCTCCGCCACTACCTTCAGCTCCTCCGTCTGCCATATCGAAGGAAAATTTTTCAACGAGTGAAAAGGAGTGTGGGGCGCGAAAATTGGGTGAAAGAGACAGGTGTAGATTAAGGGTGCTAATACAGGAGCCTAGTGACCAGAGCAGACGCGAAAACGAGAGAGGAACGAGTAGAGAGGATGGGGACCTCTCGAGAACGGCGAGAAGATGAGAGATACCATCTCTCATCGGCGCGAGGAAGACGAGGCTGTTTGGTCTGACCAAACAGGTGCGCCGCCTCCGGATCACTCGACCTCATCTTGTCCACGGATGTTGTGCTTGCACTACATCCACCCACAAAGCACGACACCATGGCAAAACCCCGCCGCCTTGCGAGCATCCCTTCAATAAACCATCGTCACCATGCTCGCTCTCCTCCAACTATCACATCCTCTTTCAATGCTCACCGGTCACCCCTTGAGTGACTCCATCTTTCGCGGCATCTCCTGGTGAGAAGCGAAGTCACTGATGGCAACTAAGTATCCTGAAACAGGTGGAAACGCTGATCACTGATCCCGAGTCCTCAGATCAAAGTACCAAACAACGTGGTGGAGAGCGATGATCTTCTCCAAGGAATTGAGTCTGGTTCACGACAATAACCTAGAGCGCTTGTCAAAGTTATCCAGGCGCTCAAGTCGAGCCTTGGAAGGCAGGGATTAAAACAAGGACTGGACCACAGGTTTTCTGAGAGGCGACTCGATGTTTAGGCGAAGAAGTTTCAAGGGACACATCGGAATCAAAAGGTCGTGAAGAGCGCCCGTGGACCCTTTCTGCAGTTCCCAACGCCCAAGACATTCCCAAGCCGAGTCGTTTTCGGTGCATGTTCCCCCAGAGTGCATCAGGATCCCATGTAGAGCTCAACGCGCTACGCGTCGTTCTAGGGCCGACAGTTCCGGCGAACGCAATTCCCGCCTTGGCCGGATTCCATCACAACTAGACACCCTTCCTTGGGAAGGTGTTGTACGATTCAGACGATGACCCTACTTCCCAATCAAATACCCAAGTGCCAAGGTGATCCGAAAGCTCGTACGTTGTCGCCCCCTCCCCGGATCGACGCTAGAGACGAAACATTGATGAAACACGTATCTCCCGTCGGGATTTTGCAGCTGCCCGCCTCAGGTGTCGGGCCAAGAGGCCCTGGTCGTGACTATTGCCTCCTTCAGCCAAAAACATATAAAATGCCCAACAAATGGCAGTGGAAAACAGCAGCGAACAAGCTCTCGACACTCCAAGTTCCACTAGTCGCTTCTTATTCTCAATCCACAATGGTCAAGCCTCTTTCCCTGCTCTCAGTCGTCAGCCTCGTTGCTGGAGCTTTCGCTCTCCCTCAAGCTTCCGGAATCTCCGACGAAGCCGCCACTTTGGATTTCAAGCCCGGTCCTGGCCTTCCCACCGTGGAGGAATTGGGGCTCACCACAGAAGACCTTCTCAAGCCCATTCCAGAGGAAGTTCTCGCCTCAGTCCGTACGTCCTCATCACATATCACCCACACCGAGACAGCACAATTCCTAACAAACGCATCCTTCCGGGTACCCGCAGAAGCCGACTACGCCTCCCTCGACGCCGGCTCAGGCTCCTCAGCATCCAGCGACGGCTCATCAAGCCTCACAAAGCGCCAATGGACACCCGCCTGCAAGGGTCCCCACCGCGCCTCCCTCGCCAGCGCCAACGCCTGCTACAACTACCTCTTGAGTCTGGGTACCACCGCGTGCACTGTCCCCGATTCAGGCTCCGTCTGGCTTTCCCTGATCACCATGTGCGAGATTGGTGACGCTAAGGTCACGGGCAAGTGCTTCCCACCGAACTGCCCTGCCTCTTCCTGGTGGTAAGTCCATTACTCAGTACTTATGCTTGGCATTCCTGCATTATTCGTTGAGAACGCGTACTGACCCACCCTGTGTACTACTACAGCCAACACGCGGCTCATGGCGTCGCCTGGGTAATGCAGAACTGCAACGTTGACAACTTTGTCGGAGGTGCGTGGACACTGTGTTTTGACTCCTTTCGACGCATGTTTGAACTGACCTGGATGTCCATGCGGATTTATAGGCGAGCAAGCTGCTTGGGGCAACGGCCACCTGATCATCGGTGTTCAGAGCCGTTAAATCCAAGTCCCGGCTTACTGCTATCTTACGGGTTTCGCATTCTGAGAGTAGAACGTAACGAGGGCCTATTTCTTAGAGATAGAGTACCATGCTCAATACAATATTCCACCTTTAACCTTGAAACAAGTGCACTGCCAGGACCTGTCAGTGTCTGTCGTTCACTGCTGGCGCCTGATCATGATCCAGTTTGGCAAGAGCCCCGGCGCTAATCACAAGCGGCGGCAAAGGCGTCTGATTCAAATACAGACAAACACAAATTCTGCGCGATCAGTTGTTCTCGTCGTTCCTGACCGCGACCAACGACCACAAAATGCCCGCCCCGGTGCGCTCGCTACCGCCAACGAAGAAAAGGAAACTAGACCCTTCATCATCATCTACCTCGACTGTTTCTCAAATCAAATCGCTCGAAGAGTCTCTGGCTGAGGCGATCAAGAGCCAAACCTCGCTGAATGCCCTCGCGGACCTTATCCAACTGGTTCTTTCGTCCTCCGATGCACAAGACGTCTCAAAGGGAATCTATGCCTTGTATAGGACGTTTGTGATTATAGTTTCCACTGGGAAGCTTGGGCTAGTGGGAGGCGATGAAGCCGCGAAGAAGGTCAAGGCCTGGTTATGGGAGCGTCTAAATGAATACACCGACTATCTCGTCGGGCTGTTGAAGGACGAAGAGAAACATCTACGGGTGCGTTTTTCTGGCCTTGTAAATCTCTATAAATTCACTGAACATATATTAGACATCGTCTATCCAAATCCTTTTCTCACTTCAAAAACACCTATCGAGTTCACTCTCGACTACCTCGTCGGGCGATTCAAAACCACAACCACAGTTCCACGTATCCCACTTCAAAAAGATCACTAATGGTCTGCTTACCTGCCCTCCCTCTTCACGGTCAACGTCGAACGCCAGCTCCAACGACGGCGATGCAACCCTCATTGACCCAGACGTCCTCCACCTCTTTTACGAAACCTGGCTCAGCGTCTACGACGATGTTCGGTGGTTCTTCCTGCGCGAAGCTGCGTGCGTAGCATCTTTCTCTTTTACAAGCCCAAAGCTAACGCTTATTCGTTCACCTGGTATAGCACAATCCTCAACACCACCTCCACCAAAAAGCTTTCCTCATCCCTCAACGCAACCAAAAACCTCCTTCTAATCCTCGAAAAGCTCAACACCTTCCCCACCGAACAATCCGAACTCAACGCCTGGTGGGTGCCCGAACTCGGCACCAAACCCCCCAAACCCAAAAAACTGCGCGACGGCGAAGACGAGGACGACGCCTCGCTCTCCAAACCGCCAGGCGAAGAAGAGGAGGAAGAAGACGACTGGCGCAAGTTCTTTGAAGACGATCCAACGCCCAAGGACCCGAAGGACAAACAGCCCTCAGCACGATTACACCAGCTCACGATCCACCAATCCCTACATTCGCTTGCATCGCATCGGGCGGTGTTCACGAGAACATGGTTGACGCTGTTGCCGCGAGTCGCTGCCTCATCAAGCGGGAAAGGTGGAAGCGACGAGACAAGGCGCGCACTTTCAGTTCGCGTGCTGAACATCATGCATCGCGGTGTTCTGCCACACCTCACCCGACCTATCCTCGTCATGGATTGGATTGCCGGGTGTGTTGATATGGGCGGCTCACTCGGCCTCCTGGGTCTCAACGCCCTCTTCACCTTGATGAAGGACTACAACCTCGACTACCCATCCTTCTACACCCGCCTATACGCATTCCTCGACCGAGACCTCCTCACCTCTAAATACCGAGCCCGGTTCTTCCGAATGGCCGACCTCTTTTTGGCATCTACGTGAGTCCTCCCCCCGTGTTTCTGTTGCTATGGTGTAGGTTTTTACCGTGCTCTAGTCACCTCCCAGCAACCCTCCTCGCCTCATTCATCAAGCGCCTCGCTCGGCTCTCGTTGAACGCGCCGCCAGCCGCAATCGTCATGATAATTCCCTTCACATACAACATCCTCAAGCGACACCCCGCGTTGATGGTGATGATCCACCGGGATGCTGATGACGAGGAAGGTAGGTTGACCTCCCGACTGCTCTTAATTCCCTCCATACTCCATACTCCGTTTCCACCGAACACGCGCTAACCCTCTTTTACTACCCCAACGCAGACCCCTACTCACCAACCGAACCGAACCCTCTCTCAACCAACGCCCTCTCCTCCTCCCTCTGGGAACTCTACACCCACCGCTCGCACTACCACGCTACCGTCTCCACTCTAACCAAAATCTTCAGCGAGGCGTTCACAAAACCCAATTATTCAATGGAGGATTTCTTGGATCATACATACGGGACTGTGAGTCTACTTCTCGCCTTCTTTTACTATAATGTTCTCCATCTTTTCTCAACTTCTAAATTTATTCCGTTCTTTGTAACGACACCATCGTCATCAATTGCTTACTGACCGACCGACCTTTTGCGTTGTAGCTATTCGACACGGAGGTGAACAGGAAGATCAAGAAGGAACCGCCGCTCTCTATGGATTGTGATAAGAAGTTTGAGTTGTTCCCTAGTGTGGAGTTGAAGTTGAAGTCCTTGAAGGACCATGAAGCAGAGGGGGGCGGGGAGGAAGGAGAAGAACAGGTCCAGTCGTCGACGGTACAAGGGGATCTGGTTTCTGAGCTGTGGGGTTTCTAAGAGAGTGCGAGAGCGGTGTGTCAATATGTGGCATATGGATGTACCTAGGTCCTTGAAAATCCACCATCACGACCTTCACCCACGGAATGTCGTTCGAAATGGGGACGGAAAGCTTACTCTCATTAACTTAGGGTTCTCGGGACCATGCCAGGAGAGGTGACGACTGCCAAGACGTGTGGCGATTGAACAATTGGTATTGAGCTGAACCAGCTTCTCTACGTCCAGGCGATTGGTCATTTTTCTGCTTGTTCCTTGGACCCCCGCTGCTTTGTTACGATTAGATAGAAGACAACTGCAAATGGAGTGTAGTGTCCGTCCTTTGGGGAGACGCGAACTCCATCGGCCTGAGGGACGAGTCTACCAGACTTGTTGAGGTCCGAGAACGGTAAGCGTTTCTTTTTTTGTTCGCCCGAAGGGCAGACTTCGCAGCGATGGGAAATCACTTCGAGCGCGTCCTCTATCCAGATCCTCTTCCCACTTCAAGAAACACCTCTCGAGTGCTCTCTCAATTACCTCGTCGAGCGAATCAACCTGGGTCAGCGTCTACGTCGACACCCGGTGGTTCTTCCTGCGTGCGTAGCATCCTTATATTTGGTTTCCGAGTTGTGGGGTATCTAGAAAACAGGCTGAACTGTACGGTGGTTTCAAGTTATGGCGGTTATGAGATAGGAGCAGCTGGTGTCACTGAATCCAAAACCGATATTTTCACCTCAACGGGGACATAAACTTCAACCGCGGTCTAAGATCTATTACAGCTCTAATTGGTCTACACACACATCGACAGTGGGAAATCGAAAAGGCCTCAGGCTATTCCACAGAAGTATGGCTGGTTCGGGCCGAGCGCTAAACGACGGGAAGCGTGAAAAGCTGAACGGCGACGTTGCACTCGGCGGGTTCGTTTGAAGAATCAGCCTTCCAGTAAATCTACGGGACGAAAGAAAGGTCAGCCACACACGCCACTCCAATCCACTCTCAAAACTTTCAAGAACGGTGAAACCAAAACTGATTAAAACTCACATTCCTCTCCTTCCCACAGCTATACAGATTCGTCCAGTTACTATTCATAACCAACTTGGCGCCTAGGATCGGACCCATCCGATCAGAGAACAACGAAAAGGTATCAAAGTTGGCGCATTTGGGCGGATGGAAGGTTGACCCGTCGGGGCGGGTGCGCTGGACGAAGATGAGGGGGCCAGAGGTTGAGATGCAGTGGTCGTTGGGGTCGGAGAGGGTGGGGTCGTAGACGCTGTTTTCGTTTCGGCCTGCAAACATGGCGGTTATGTCGTTTGGTGGATCAGATGATGGGATGTGGACGTGGCTACACACCTAGCTTATCGCTCAAGTCGACGTAAGGACTGTATACATATGGCGAAGTCGGTCCACCCGCTGGGTCTTGAGCCACAAGTTTCCCATTCATAAAATAGAACTGCCCAATCGGTCCGTCGCCTGTAAGCGTCGACTGGTTCCTCCCTCCCGAAATGCGAAGCGGCTACGTTTACACCAACCATCCAAGATAAGTGCGCGCATGATAGGTCGGTCAGCCAAGCCGCCGACTCAATCTTAACAGAACAATGGACATTTGATCACTCACCAAAAAGTTATCGTTCTCGCTAAATGGATCTGTCGCTACGAGGTAAAAGAGGGGCGTGTCCGCGCCGGGCACTAAAACCGCAGAAGCGGGCGTGATTCGTTGCAATGTCGTGATCGTCAAGGCTGCAAGGCCGAGTACCAAAGCGCTCGTCTTGTTCGTTGTCGTGATGCCGAGTTTCATATCTGGAGGCTTTGTGATCGATGAAAGGAAGTTGGGATATGTACAGAGAAGGAAGATGTCATCCAAAGCTCCAAAGCGAACATGCTTCCAGCATCACTCCGGACTTAAGTATCACCTTTTAGAAATCGGGCAGCCGCCGGTACAATTGCAGAATCAACCATGTCAGACACTTGCGACAGTCCCTCCTTGACCGAGCTTTGAGTTCAAGGCCACCACAAGCATATATTCGAATGGAGGCGATAGCCCGAGTTGGAGCGTTCACGGGTCCTCAGATCAACAGGCAGCTCCACCCGGAGCGGCCAAGTGGATGTCAACAATCGGATGTACGGATCTTTCTGGGCTGGGCAGTCAACGTCATCCACCTGCCTTTCAGAACTTGCGCCTTGAGTCACTCGTAGCAGAACTTTGGGAGTCACATTTCGAAGTATTTAAGTTCATTGACGTATGGAATATAGGAAAAGTCGAAGTAACCATATCGAATTATCGCTCCCAGCACAACATCAAAACGCGGGGAGAGCGCCCGTAGTTGGGTCCACACGGTAAACCCTTTCCCTCATCTCGACATGGGTCCTAAATCTAAAACCGTTCTTCCCTTCATGGAAACCCCTCGATCGCAAAAACGGGAACAAGACACGCGGCTTCGTGGATAGGAGAACCGTGGACGCCTCGGAATCCCCGCCCACCGCCAAATCAGATACAGCGTTCCAGTAATACTCCAATTTCTTCATTCTCGCATTCCCTAGTTCCGCCTTGGCACAATGACAAACCATCGGACTCCCACCCTCCAACAGACCTTCCAGCTTCACCTTAAACGCCCGCGTCTCCTCCAGAATATCCTCATCTTCGACAGTAAAGTCGGCGTTTCGTAGTCGGAGGGGTCGAATGACGATGTGTACAGAGACGGAGCGAAGGTGGGGAAGGGCATAGGTATGATTGCAGTCGTAACACATGGCTCCGCGGCGAGAACCAAATGAAGAGTTTGCTTCCTCAGCGGCGTTGGACCTATCGCACTCGTAGCCGCCCAATGCCCTGTCAACCTGGCCCCAGGTGTAACCCAAGTCGAGTCGATCCAAGGATCCGTGAATATGAAGAGTGAGGTCGAGAGTCGTCAGAGAAGCGAAGGTATGAATAAAGGGTGTACCAACCCCAGTAAGTTCAAGGAAATCGTCACCCCCGTGACTTGCGGGTTGTGGTGCATGAGGGATAGTGATCCCCGCATTTCTAGCCGCCAGCGTAACCACTTCCTGCTGAGGGAGTTCACCAAACTTGCTAGTCCACTTCCAGGCAGACTTAGATGGCTTCGGCCAGGTATTCAACAAGGCAGGTTTGCTTTCACATAGGCCCAGAAACATGTTGGAGAAGGAAGTCGGTTGTCTTGGGTTGACAAAGCGATGACTTGTAAGAGAGAGATGCTCGAGTGTTTTGAACGAGTCGGGGTTGGTGTACACCAAAGGAAGAGGGAGGGACTCCGAATTTGCGTCTGCCCCCTCCGGACGACAGTCGCTATCTAAGGTCAAAAGAGCCAAGCGGTCAGCCATCGTACCGAATCAAAAAAGGGAGAAAGAAACGTACAGATTAAATTGAGCGTTCGCAAATTCTCCGATGATGCTAGCAACCGGATGGTCAAAACGTACTGCTCTTCAGAAGCGATGCGAACGTCGAGGTGGGCAAGCTGGGCAAAGGAGATGGCATTCGGAGAGTCGAGAAAGTTCTCCACTGCCGGTGGGTAGAATCCTCTCAAGGTGAGGGATGAAAACCTATGAGGCGCGTCAAAAGACTTGACTTGGAAGTTCCTTGAAGAACGTCAGCACCACACCGTTTGAAGATATGAACTTACTCCAACGTCCCAAATTGCGCAGTGTCAGGCGATTCAAAGATATCCAAGGATATCTCATTCCAAGCCGGGACGTTCTTACTAATCAGCGCACGATTTGGAAACCCGAGCCCACCAAGGTGCAGCCGTCGAAGAAAGCCTCCCTTTGCCGAAAGAGGGCCGCCTCCCGGATGGCCAGCTGAAGGCGCTGAGGAAGTGCAGAGAATAAACCATGGCCCTTCAACTCAACATGAAGATCTTCCAACTGCGAAAATTTCACCACTAGACGCGCCAGAGCCGAACTAATCCACCACTTGGTATCGATATCCTTGTTCCACTTGACCACCAGCTTGCGAACAAATGTTCTCAGCTCGCGGTTCTGCTCAAGGACGGCAGCAAGGTTATAGTATATCTTCGGGAAGGGACTAGACCCCTTTTTTCCTCTGGAATTTGGGATTGGAAGCACGATCGTGTGGAACACGTAGGGCCGAGAATAGGTCAGAAAGCCCTTCCAAGCAAGAGAACATACTTTGAGGTCACGTATAGTGTTCTTCCAAGGCCCTTTACGAGATAAGTAAAGGTAGTCAATGATGAGAGAGATCAACTCTGTTGGTAGGGAAGAGAGAGTCGCCATTGTGGTTGAAGTTCAAGGCGAAGAAGCGGAAGCGCGTGGGTGGCAACTTTGACCTTGAAGGCATAACGAATTTCCCACGATCAATTTGCCGCTCCTCGCGCGCTCGCCTCGCGTGTTAGTGGTCGTTACTGATACTGGTTACTGAAAATTGAAAATAATTAATAAATATAGTAATCCCTCACGTGAAACTTCCCGCGCGCGTTAAGCGCGCGCGAACGCGCAAAACCTGGGCTCGCAATATGATGTTCATGCCAACCCAGCAATGCTCAATTACTGCAGATTCGATAGAACTATCGCTCTAAGGCTGATAAATTGGCTCTAAGTGCTCCCTTCTGCCCTTGCATCCTTCTATACTCCATGAAATCTGAATACTGTTTGAAAGTGTGCCTAAATTCTCATTTCGGGCATGCATTGGGCCCAGTCCAACCACGGAACGACTCGGGACGCTGGATGAAGCGCTATAAAGATATCTGAGGCTTTACTTCCACTTTGAACTGGGATTGAGGACGGCACACACCTCGGACACATGAACAAGCCTTGAACAAGGTAGTTCCTCACCCGGATTGCTGCCCAAGCACCAACTACCTCTCCTGCCTGCTAGCCGCTCTCATTTGCCTTAGTCTATGACCTTCCATGCTAAACTTCCCACCTCGGGTGCTCATGCCATCCAAGCTTGAGTGCTTGAGCCTCGAGTACGGTCATGTACGATTGCCATTGAGATGACCTTCCGAATCATTCGGACAGAGATTAGATGCATCACCGATTCCTACTGCCGCCCGCGTCGTTATCGCGTCGTCCTCGTGCCGAGTAACGACCTTCTAAATGGGCAACGGCGCTCGATTTGGAGAAATTATAGTGAGAAACCCTAGGAAACCATCAAAAAGCCACCACTTTAGGGAAAACCCCATGAATTATAGTGAAAATGGCCGAAAGCGTCACTTCTCCTGACTTCCCGCACCTACCCCAGCTCGAGCTGCAGAAGTCAAGGAAGCCTGGGATGCTGTGAGACGTCATATACTGTAGATATCCTCCCTTCTCTCTTCCCTCTCTCTTCCCCTTTCCTCTTTTGGAATTATTTTTTCTTTTCTTTTTCTTTTTTCTTTTTCACCCACATACACCAGTATCGAGCCCTCGCGCGCGCGTCGCTTGTCGATCGCTTTTTTTTGGTGGCCTTCTGCAACTTTCCAGGTGAGTACAGACCGTTCGTCACAGTTCAAGTCTGGGGAATGATTTGTGAATACGACTCGTAAATCAGGCTGAACGATGACGACTTGTCCTTAAAAATTGGTACGGAATAAGCCTTTCATGGCGTAAATAAAAATTTGGAAGAGTTCACAACAATGTAGTCAACTAGTAGGTCTCCTCCCTATAAGTGCGAAGTAATGGCGATCAAGTGTCCATTGCCCCAAGCAGCTTGTCGACCTGTTAATAGAAGTGTGCATCACTCAGCTCCCGGAGTGTGGTGCGCTAAACAGAAACGCAACGCACCTGCAACTTGACCATTGACATTACAGTTAGCAATCGTCCAAGCAACGCCATGCGCAACATGTTGGCTATATAGACGGAGATCAACTCGCTTGTTAAACATTTGGACCACCGGAATATGGCAGGCCACTCACCACCAGGAAGTAGCAGGGCAATTGGGTGGGAAACACAATCCCTGGACTTGTGCTTGTCCAAAAACGCACATACGGGTAGTTGAACCCCAAACTGAACCAGAGTTGTGGACAGTGCAAGCGGTGGTTCCCAAGGCGTTAAGGTAGTTGTAGCAGCCGAGGGCGTCATTGACGTTAACATATCCAGAGTGGCATACTGGATCGAAACGCTTGACGAGGCTCGACCCCTCGGAGGTATCCATGGCAGTGTACTCCGCAGCTGAAAACGTTAACGCATTCTGTGAGTCTGACGACGAATAGCGACGGAAATGGCGACGTACTAATATTTGCAAGAGTCTCCTCAGGGATGGGCTTGAGTAGGTCATCGATCGTGAGTCCCAGCTCTTCGAGCGTAGGAAGCCCAGGTCCAGGCTCAAACCTGATAGAGGCCTTTTCCGGGGCCTCAGCGGCCTGAGGAAGAGCAAAAGCTCCAACAAGGCAGGCGAGTGAGAGCAAAGAAAAAGAGGGCTTGACCATTGTAATCTGAGGAAGAAGTTGATCACCTTGGTTGGTGGCTTTCGACTTCCATTTCTTCATGACTTTTATATGTTTTCCAAGCGGATTAGTCATGAGAAAGGCGCCGCTTTACTGTCCCTAGCTGTGTTAACTTTCCCTTTCACGGGGCCAACTTTCAATGTTTCATCATTGTCGGCAATCCAGGAAGGGGTATTTACGTACAACGGCGCTTTCCAACGTCAGTGAAATGTCCGTACGATACGTTTGGTAGCTCACCATCCATGCGTTTCTCAATAATATAATGCTGTCCTATGATGTTAGCCCTCCCAGCTTATATGCAACCTGCATTCGAGCGATTGGCAAGTGCGCGGTGCCGGGGATTGGACTGCATAGAGCCAATCACTAAGCGCCCGTCCTCAGTACAGGGCCCCGACGGACTCAGGCCGGCGGCTTCGTACGTACATGTACTTTTGGGAAACCGCGTTTGGTATTGATTGGTGAGTTCTTACCGTATGTCGGAGTTGCCGGCGCTCTTGAGCTGTTTCAGGTGAGTTTCCAGTTCTCGAATCTTTGATCACGACGCACTTGGAAGGCATTCCGCTCGCGGAATATCATACCGGAACATGCTACACGTAAAACTACTCCACTGCATACAGTATACATTGCATCGTCGCTCTTGGTATCTCAATATGCATGGCGTCAAAGTCTCCATCGAGACCTGAGCTCACCTGTTGTGGTTCAACCCCGACGTTTTGAAGGGAATTTGTATTCACTGGTGAGAATCTCCCGCCGACTTCAAAGTTCCGATGAGCGCTCGTCACCAGCGCAGTACGTGCATCCCGTTCCAACAAGTACATACACCGAAATCAATTGTAAATACGGTCATCATTCAGATCACCTCTACTTCAAACCGAAAGACAAAGGGAAGATCTGCTAGTCCTGCCTTGTCATTTACTTTCTCCTCCAACTTCCCACATCGCTCTTCCAATTTACGAAATTCGCCCTCCTTCATCGACAGTACAACGGTGAGCTTCTCCAAATTGGGGAACCGTTTCGGTCTGTCTGAAGGTGAAACGATACGTTTGACGGCAGCCGGTATTGAGGACGAAAGGTAGTATTCCCAGGAGGGAGGGACGACAATAATGTGAAGCGAGTCACCCACTTCGAAGCGGATAGTGAGATACTTGATGGCTGCCAATGCTCGTGATTGACACCGAAGGCCTTGAAGCGCACCCTCTAAATTGACCTTATGCGCTATAAGGCCTCGTACCTCGTCTCTGCCCTCATACTCTGCGCCGAGACAAGACACGAGTTCAAGGTGTCGCAGGCGGGGAAAAGGTTCAAGCTCGAGAGTCCTGAATTCGGTGTGATCTTTTCATAGCAATTTTCCAGTAGATATATCAGTCAAAAAGAGATCTTAAGAGACAAGCAAATATGCACTCACCATCCTGTTCCATCGTAGACGTGATGACGGAGACAAGAGACATCTCCTCCAAAGAGTCGGCTTGTGGGTTGAGTAGTTGGCTAACCTCTTGGCCCGAGGCATAAGGCCGATACCCCATCCAAAGCTTCAAGGTCCTGAGGGATGAGAACATCGGGACTGGAATCAAGACGCTTTTCATTAGCGCGAAGGGCAGGGCCCGCCACTCCAGCGACTCGATAGTCGAAGTCGATATCGGGGCCAATTCAGGATTGATACGGTCGAGAATCTCGAAGTGTACCCGCTCTAGTGTGAGACGATGGGTGACCGACATCCATGATTGGATAACGCTGCGCGGTACGTTTGTCGACCTTGCTACGTGGAAAGCGGGAAGTCGATGGCTGTGCGTTATCCAATCTTGTAGGGCGAGCGCGGATGATATAGGTGTGTCCCTAGGAAACTGGTTCCAGTCGAGGGCGATGAGGAGGTCAAGCTTCTGCAACTTTCCTCCTGAAGCAAAACTTCTGAGAATATTGCCCAGAACAACGTCGGAAACTCCGGAGAGAATCCAAGGTTTTGCTGAGCGGAGACCGTGACCTCGCGCCGAGATCGTGAGGCGCTTGGCGTGGCTGAGGAGGCCTGGGTTTCCTTCGATCAGGACTTGAAGCTTATATGCCTTGTCCGGGGACCTCAAGATTATCCTCTCGAAGACATTGGGGATGAATACGGCACGATAGATGCTGGAGACTTGGAAGAGTGCAACGTAGGCTTGACGCCTTTCTTCGCGACTCGGAAAAGCATGAATGTATGTTGCAATCTTGTTGATAAGTTCGACTGGAAGTTGGTGAGAAGGTACGATTGTCTCAGAGGTAGCCATTTGTGGAGGGTAGCTGTCGAGGAGATTGCAGATGGTTCGTTGCAGACTGCCACAAGGCCCAGTTGGATGCCATGCTGTGGACGTGATCAGCACGTTGATCATTGATGGCATCAGGACCAATGCTGTGTTCAAGTTAGGGGCGACTCGCAGCAGCTCGCAGCGTCGTTCTCGAGCCCAACGAAAGAGATCCAATGGCATCCTCGCCTCGGAGTTGGAAAAGAATTGCCCAGACGTGAGCGCCTCGAAAGCTCGAATGAACATGATTCAGATCCAGCAGGCGCCGGCCCATTCCACCGTATTTGGCAACATTTCCCGCAAGGAGCACAGCCACATGCCCGTCACGACCCATCACATTCGTGAAGCGCCGAGTTCGAACCACGATGTCGACGTGCTGTACCTCTGTTTCGCCCCATCTTCTTCCCTATTTCCCTGGAAGTGTATAGCATGACCGTAAAACTATCCCTAAAGATCTACCGTACCACCAGCCTTCATAACTGACCGCATCAACAACTTTGGAGAACAATGCATTTCTGGAACAATGGGGGCATCCAGCTTGCAAACACGCAGCGTCTCAGTTAGACGCCCTGGAACAATATGGGAGCGTCTTCTTTGGCTATCAGCATGGCGGCTAAATGTTTTGACAACAATACTGACGCGAATGGCTCTTAAACCGTGGTCTACCGATTCGGTCGTCTTTCCCTCCCTGACCCCAACTATGCCAACAAGGATTCCGTCTATGTGGACAAGAACGTACTCGAAACTTTGCTACCACACAAAGCCGAATATTAGCTCGACAACTCAATCTTCAGTCCAGACGCTTTCTCCAGAATCAAACTCCCCATCCACAAATACCAGTCTCGACGAGCGATGAACGCTGGTAACATGTTGTATGTAAACGATCCCTTACTCGCTCTTTCTTCAGACATCTGACCGTTTCTTTTCAGATATGCGTGAGTACACGATTTCTGTCATACCCTTTACATATCCCAACCCCCTTATCTACAGGTCGCCACAGCAGCGATACTCCCCATGGTCCTTCGAATTCGAAGGGTTGAACTACGCGTCGCCCTGGCCGTGGCAAATGTACTGGTTCTACCAGCAACAGCAACAAGCCAACTATTGCCATCCATCGTACCAAGTCCAACCAACCTACCGTCCGCTCCAAACGATCCCGCTACCTCCCACTTCGGACACATCGGACTCGGAAGGTGAACCTCACACTACCGCGAGGATCACCCCAGCCACTCCGGAGAGGGACAGGACGTCGACTACGACCCAGGATATTTCACGCAGGGATAACTCTCGCCCAAAGAAGAAGAATGCCAAAAAGAAGCCACAGCTCGCTCCTCTGACGCTCTCGCCTGCCTCTCCTGCGAAATCCGAGGTCACCCGGCTGACAGAAATGGATTCGCCGTCGCCGAAGAGTATGGTTCCAATGATACCAGGTCTTTCCTACTCGGAGCAGTGCTCGTTGCTCCGCAACGCTTCGCTGAGCTCGAGCGTTGGAAGTCCCGGAAGACGAGGGCGTGAGTTTGCGAGGCCGTCTCACTGGCGCGAAGACTACGTCCCGCCCTCCTCTCCCTGGATCAAGAAGCGCTTCCTCCAGCTGCGCTCGATCGTCAAAGGTATAATTCTCTTTCGTTAACCTGAGCCTTGATCCAATTTAACGTCGTTAACAGCTTCAGACGAGATCCTTCCAACTACGCTCCTCGCGCGCTCGCAACCGATCACATTAAACCCCCTCCTCCAATACCACTGTCCACTTCTCTCAACCTCCCTCCTATCCCCCTCCCACACCTCGTATGCATACTTCTTCGACCTCCGCCAAGACGCCCTCTCCGACTCGTCCATCCACCTCCCAGCGAGCAACGGGCCTGTCAACGCCCTCCATCACCTCCAGCTTGCCACCACGCCCCCAACGCACCACCTCACCCTCATGCATCCGCTCCTTCCATGGACACTCACAGTCCGCTCGTCGCACCCCAACGGCGTTTTGGTTTCAGATGTCCTACGTTGCATGTACGACGAGTTGATGAAACCGATCAGTAGGGAAGACTGGTGGAACGCCGAGATGGAGGCGGAGGATCGAGAAGCAGTCGAGGATGCGTACAGGCGGAGGTGTAAAACTGACGTCAAGCTGTTGATGGAAGGTGTGAAGAGAGTTGATTGGTTAGGAGACTCTGTTGGGTTCATAGGACTTGCTCCGGTGAAAGTGAATGGGATGTGGGAGATTAAGACGGTACCAGTCTTGGATTCGGATGTATGAACGAAGGGCATTCATCATTACATGCCATGCTTTTAGAATTGAACGAAACTGCACCATTCTCGTGGGTCGGAAACACCTTTGGTTGTCGCACTCTTGCCAGCGGCGCGTGACTGCACTGTCCAGCACTACCAGATTTCGTGAAGAGCGGAGAGAGTCTGGTGTTAGGCTTCAAGCGCCTGTGGATGTCCGATGAAGTGACGCTTAACGTATTCCGAGTTCTTCTGTTGTGAGTGAGACCGCCTTCTCAGAATCTTTACGAACGCGGTAGGTGCTATAATACAATTCACTTTGGTGCCACTGGGTTCGCCTCAAGGAACACACGCGTGAAACCATCGAAGACACGAGGCTTATGAAGTCCATAATCTCCAATCACCTCGTGAGTGCACCGGCATATCTATGCCCTCGCCTCCTGGATAGAAGCCTACAATTGGAGGCTGAATAGCGTCCAAACGTGGTATGTTTGGAGAAGAGCTTCCGCGTGTACGTCCTCCACATTCAACGCCCCGACTACGTTCAGTCTGCGCGTACTAATACTTAACCCCGCTTCCTGAAGGTCTTCCATTTATAGACACCGGTGTCTAGACACAGATTTATCAGGTAGAATCGCCAGTGTCCGGGAGAGGTGGATATCGAAGGAATGGGGTACCTGAAACTAACAGATTTCTGACTCCCCACCATTGCACTGGGGGTAGACGTTATAAAACGCTGCGGCGCCGCGCTGGCCGCCACTTTCACGAATAGCAACTATGAAAGGAAGGAACCCAAGTGCTAGCGCACGAGGAGGTCGATGACAACCGGCGTTGGCGATTATCAGGTCATTCGGAATAATCACTGGATTGGGCACCACGAGGTTACAACGTTGACTTACGGAGGTCATATATACATTAGCCCAAGACTAGTCCTCCAACTTAATGCACGTCACCCAGAAGACAATGAGCACTGGAACTGGAATTCCACGCCCCGAAGATTACGACGGTGCAATCTTGTACGTTCTCTTGTCATCTTCAAGGCCGATGTCTGAGAATAAACACAGAGTGGTGGGGGTAACTGGAAGTGGAAAAAGCACGGTGCGCATTCTCGCGGACAACTTGAATGGGCCTATTCTTACACCCTTCGTCGGCAGCTTATAAACAAAATGTGTGGCCATAACAAACTCGGCATCTCTTCCGGGTTAGAATCCTGTACGAAGAGGGTTCAGTGGGCTATCGAAGGACGATGGTTGTTTATTGACACACCGGGCTTCGACCACTCAGAAATGTGCTTGGAGGAAATCCTGGAGCAAATTGCGCACTTCGTACTTAAGATACAGTAAGGTCCAGGATTTGGGAGCTGCTCTCTTTTACCATGCTCACTCAGCTTCATAGGGCACATAGAGGCTTCGTATCGTCCAGTGTCGTGCTTTTACTTGATGACGGCAGCTTGAATGAGCGAACCGCCTGGTTCAATCAGATCTGCGATTTTATGGCAGGCCTAGCATGGGAGAAAGAACTTCACTGGAAGATCATCGTGGCCATAGGAAAGGCCAACGGCGGGGACGAAGGGGCTTTAGGGCGCGTCCAACAAGTGCTCCAGCCCATCATCCATAAAAGCCACTTCTATGACAAGGCGCTCAACACTCGTTCACAATTGGTCGAGTTCCTCAGATGGGTTCCCAAGGTTCAAGGATACAGGCAGCCCTTAGACTTGACCCGGGAGTTGAGCCTTCTGAGGATACGTTTACGGGCGAAACATAGTCTGAAATGGCTCTTGTATCTTTGGGTCTCTACAAACGTCTCTTGCAAAGGTCGTGTCAGCCACTAGTACCTGCCAACCTCGGACGGTCCACTTGCCTCCCATTTGTGTACGTAGTAACGTGTTAAAGAGAAAAGCCTCTTGTCTGCAATGCTGTCTACCAGCAAATGAGCCTCTATGCTGGATTCCATAGTTCTAGCCAATCGCATTCGCTCAGCGCTCAGGGCTTCACGATTCAATATTCAAGTATGATCGCGTGTCAGGTGGACTCCTCGTTGTCTTGAGTCCATTCGCACTGTCTGGTGGGAGGCTTCATGCTAGAGAACGAACTCTACCAGAGTATGGGTTGTCTACCGGACCAGCGAAATCAACCCACGAGGCACCTTTGACTCCGCAATGTGATATGGAAGGAAGTTTACGCACCGCCTCGTATTATCCGCGAGGCATTTGTGCAGGTGTTAGTTAATTCATTTGAAGTGACATCCGAGGCTTGAGGACGGACACTTTCGCTTACTATGGAAGTGTGAAACGTTGGTTCATAGGGCCCCAGGGATGATCGATGATCTCATAGAGGTCATGGGATACCCTTCTAGCGCCGCGTAGCAAACGTCCACATGGTATTTTGGCCGGTGAATCGAAGGCCCCACCTCCAGCGCTTGCCACGGTCGTACTGCATATTCTCCTTCCCCTCGTGTATTTTTTGCGACACAACGGGGTGTTCGAGTGTAGCATGCATTCCATGATCGATATCTTCAACCGATCAGCGTGCACCTGCGACTACACAAGGAGACAATTTACAGATTTTGATCACTACTTGCCGTTTTCCATCCTGGAATAGACGCCCGGGCCTATTGTCGTACGCAACCTTCACCCGTTCACGGTTAACACCGTTGGCCAGCCTGCCGGCACAGGAACTATCGATCGCAGAAAGCGAAGATGGTGCACATGTCAACCACCCACCCCTCGTAGGTTTAAATACCAAGCGACCGGAGCAAGTATACACGAGCTACAACGCTTCGCTAACACCTCGCCTCTCAAACTCCAACCGGAGCTTCGACGAAAAAATGACCACCACGGGGAAGGCGGCAAAGAAAACCAAGCATACATCGTCTGGAGACCGTGTAATGGAGAACACACAACCCGGCGACATTATTGTACCGTGCGTTTCAAAACACTCAGATCTTAATACGTTTCTGCTTACCGCGGCTGCAGAATTATGGGGGCATCAGGGGCAGGGAAGAGTTCGGTACGACGTAGATTCTTGCCGATAGGGCCGTGTACTAACTTTGACCCGCTCCTCCAGTTCATTAACCACATACTGGGGGACACTTCCAACCAGAGAGTTAAAGTCGGGGCGGATGTAGTCTCGTGCACTCAACTCGTACAACCGGTCTGCATCGACATCCGCGACACATTTCCCTACCTAATGCGTCCAGGGGACAGTGGTCGGTTGGTGCTGGTGGACACTCCTGGATTTGACGATACATATAAAGGGGATATGGACATCTTGTCGAGAATAACCAAGTGGCTCGCGCGATCGTGAGTACAGTTCAACTGGTCGATGCTGATTTCGACTCGGAATACTAACGAATGGCTGCAGATACAGTAAATCGATGACTGTCAGAGGTGTCATCTTTATGCACGATATCACTGAAGTACGGCTGAGAGGAACCATGCAGAGGTGCCTCAAGACGTTCGAGAAGCTTTGCGGCCAGGATGCATACCAGAAGGTCATCATAGTCACCTCGAAGTGGGATAGCGTGACGCCATGTGAAAGCGAGGCGCACCTTTCTCCGGCGGCGGTGGGAGAGAAAAGGGTGCAGGACTTGAAGGAGAAGGCATGGAACGAGCTGACTAGCGGAGGCGCCATTGTCTATAACTTCACTCCGGCGGACCGAGAAAAGGCGCTGGAGGTTGTCAAACTCGTCCTCATGAATAGAGCCAAGGACTCTGCCCTTGCCGCTCAGAGAGAAGTTGTCGACCGCCAAAGAGAGGTGTATCAGATTGGTGCCGCAAAGACACTGGTGAAGCAAATCCAAGAAGGTTTCGGCGTGAATGTGGCGAAAAAACCCCCGTTCGGTACCAGGTTCAAACAAATGCTGGGTATGAATGTGGGCGACTTCTTTCCTCATAAGTATGTTGTTGTCGCTGATGTCTTTGATCCTATAGAAACCCGATATCGACGATCATGATGATGCTAGTTCCAGTCCTTGTGCTTGTTGTTGTACCCGTGCCCATGCTTGTGCTTGTGCTTGTGCTACTCGTGATAGTCACCAGCAGTGATGGCGACAGTACTAGTAGTGTGTGTATTCAGTAGCAGCTCAATAGCAGGCCTATAAGTTAGCAGGGATCCGTCAGACTCGATATTACGTACATATGTCCTATGCACGAATCCCCCTATGTACAATACTTATTTCATATCCAAGTCTCAAGTACGTGCCATGGAAAGCGATACTACTCGTGGGCACCAAAAGTGATGGCACTCTCACGGTTTCTCTGCCAAAATCGCGACATTGTAGCCTCAATAAGCCAGTACCTACTGTACGTATTCCTTGAAAATTTTTGCATGAAGAGTTCGTTCTCAGCCTTGTATAAGCTACCCAAAGATGAACCCCAGTGAGAACCGCGTCGGCTCAGATCGTGCCACACGTGCTCCCAGCATGTCAACTAGATTGCCCTCGGCTCAGATAACGCCAAATCGGCTGCGGGCAACTTTTTCGTTTCTAACCACCACGTCGACATGCAATCTTCGCCGTCATTTTCAGGATTCCTCACATCTCCTCACATATACTTTTGGCCCTCGTCCCAGAATCGCTTGTACCAGCGTCATTTGACGCGTATTAACTTTTCATAAATGCTAGGTCACGGTGTTTGTGGACTCGTTTATAAGTCCTCGCCTTTCTCCCTCTACCACCATACCTCAAGACTTTACGCTGCCATACCCCGTTGTACCGGGCGTTTGGCCCAACCCGCCCTTCGTTGCTCGCTACTCACAGTCCGGCGTCACGCTGTTGGTACCGTCAATGCCACCTCCAGCCCACGCCCGGGGCACGACTTCCTTGTGAGTCGCGCCCACTGCCCAGTCTCTTCCGGCTGGCTACGTTCACTAACCCCCCTTCCCGCAGGGTATCCTCTCAGCTCTGCATGGGAAGAATTACCCCCTGCCTACGTTAGCACCTCGGCTAACATTCTGCTGTCTTCAGTATGCCTTTAATCCCTCTTCTCTCGCCCCTACTGACTTTATACTGTGTCTCTTACAGGAACAGCGAAGCTAGACTGACTTGTAACAGTGAAGACTTATCATGTACGTGTAGTTCTATTGTTTTTCCTTTATTCTTTTCTATTGGGCTTTTCGAGCTCCTGTGTATTCTCTATGTAGTGTAGAAAGTGTATTAATAGTGTATTATAAAATGGACAAATGTTTTGTGTTTTCTACGAGACGAGCGAGACCGATTTGAGCCAGCAAAAGTGGGCAATATTGCTGCTCCAGTATGCTCCAGTGAGATCGTAGCGGCTTTGCATGTTGGCCGCTGGAATATGATCTGAGACGATCTGGGCCGATGGAAATCTCACTGGGGATGAACTCAATAGAGACAATACTCGCCGAGATCCACATTGGCCCACCTCAGGGACTACAGTGTAACCTGTATATAGCCTCTCGTAGCGGCCTTCTTTGTAGTGCAAGGAAGGTATCTAAGAGCCCGAAACTGATTGATTGATGGAGCAGTTGTCCCAAAATGGCAGCCTCCATCAGATGCCATACACCATATTGGGAGCGAACCCACGTCACCGCCCTGTCGCCAGCTGCCACAGGGAAGAGCGCCCATAAGCACTACACGCACGGTTGCACTTGTGTTCTGCCACAAAAAACATTTAATCCCGCTTTCTTCGACAATCCTGCCCTGCATGTTTCGGTGGAGACAAGTTTGGGTTGTCCTTGGAACTGTGAGTTTCTCCTGGTCGCATGTAATGTTCCCCGCGAATCAGAACTAACCGTTGAACCCAGTGGAGGTGATGCTATGATTGCCGTCGATGGTAATTTCAATCATCGACACAATCGTGGGGTCAAGCACTGTCCCAAGTTCTACGAACCTGAACATTTCCTGTCCAAGGAGCTCGTCGATACAATCGGTGAACGGATGAAGGCCGCCAGAACGGGACCCAAGCGCGAAGTAACAACGAAAGTCCCGAAAGAGGCTGTCAAAGCGTGTCAAAAGTCACACCAAGCAGGGAGTGGTTCCAACGTCAAGACCTCTCTTGACAAGTTCGATGCCGGAGGAGTCATGGCGGCGGTATGCCGCCATGACATTCCTTTGTTCGCCGCCAACATCGACACCGCAGGTGAACAACAGAAATTTGCGGTGGCCCTTATCGAAAAGATCGCGAGTCTTATGCCTTCTAATGCCACATTAGTGGTGCTCTACGATGTAGGGTGCGTCCTTGATCGAAGCGTTCAACTCGTACGTACCTTTTACCCCCAATTACGAACCATTGTTGCTCAGACATCCAGCAGCATCCTATCATGGACTCCCGTCTCACCACTCGGCTGAAGTTTGTCACAAGTGCCATGCACGCGTACGCTCATCAATGGGCGTGTCAACTCGGGTACAACCCCCGCCTGCAAACTGGACTGGCATTGAGCGATGGGGAAGGGGTGGAACGAATATGGTCGATGCTGAGACGGCTGATAGCAATACAGCGAAACTGCTCGGTAAGTCCCTTGGCTGTAGCGGTGTTGTCGAGATTTAACGTCGTCAACTCAAGGCTGAAAAACGTATCTGGCTCCTCGATCGACAATTGCACTACATCAACAGGGCCTTTCGCGATGAACTGGGGGATATTATTCGACGTCGACTGACAAAATCGGTTCCAAAGCAAGAACAAGAAGCTCTCGCGATTTTGGAAGAAACCGAAATGCTTAGGGACGAACTCGAGAGACAGTGGCAAGACCAGAGGGCCACGGAGATGTCCGTCAACGCGGGTGAGTTCGTTGTATCTTATCATCTCGCCTTCCATGCTGAAACCAAGCTCATTGGCCAGGGTCCAAGGCAACAGGAAAGAAGGAACTTGACGCAGTCATCAACGTTCAGGCAGAGCTCAAGGCCATGGAGAAAAATCTCAAGGTTGCCCGCAAGATTCTGAAGAAAAGCAGTACCAAGGCGGCCAAGGCGCAGGCCCAGAAGCTCGCGAACAAGTCAGCGGAGATGCAGGAAGCTGTCAACAAGATCTACGAGGCCCTTGACGTGGCTGAAGACCTACCCGACCTCGAAGGGGTGAGTTTCGAATACATCCGCGAGCTCCTTATATTGCGCGACGTCAAGGCCAGGAGCTCGCCACACGCATCAACTGGAACGAAGCGCCTTTACGTTCTCAGTACTACACTGGCCTCTCCGACCGCATCAAGAACGAGTTGGCTAAACGTCCTCGGCCTGCTACGCTTTTGGAGTTGCAGAATGTCGTCTTCGATATGGACGAACGTTGGCACGAACGACAAGAGGAGATTCGTCGTGATCAAGCTCTCCTCAAGGCCCTCCAAGCCAAGCTATCTGGCAAGGCTTCGTCTTCACCCTCTCTCTCGTCTGGCTCTTTGGCCACCCCGGCTTCGACTTCATCTAACTCGACCAAGACTTCGCCTCAGTCGGCCGGTAACACTTCGTCTTCGTCGACCTCTTCCTCTGCCAAAGGAAAGTCGAACAAGACTTCATCTTCTTCTTCGTCTACGACTCCCTCGACTTCATCGTCGACACCCTCGACGTCCTCTGCCCCTCCTCGCCCTTACGCCGACAAGCTTGACGCTAGCGGAAAGCTCAAGCCTGAGGAGCGTGCCCGCCGTATCAAGGAAAGCCTTTGTATGGTGTGTGGCAGCACAGAGCACAAGGCGTCAGAGTGCCCCAAGTCTAGACATCGCGCTCGCTTTGCTTCCGCCGGTCAGCCTGCCACTGACACGTCTGCGGGAAAAGCTTGAGCAGTCTGCTGACCTCGCCTCCTCCAGTTGACTGCAGCCTCTCAGCAGGAGTGCCTGAGGTTCGACTTAATGCTGCTGCTCTCTCCGATCCCCATGCTCTCTCGTTTTCGGTCTCCGTTTATTCTTCGACGTCTTCGCCTATCGACCTCGACTCCCTGGTGGATTCGGGTTGTACGGACTGTTTCCTCGACTCAGACTTTGTCAATTCTCATTCGACTTTGCAATTTTACGAAATTCCGCCAGTGCCCCTTAGACTCCTTGATGGATCTGTTCGTACTTGGCTCACTTCTGCAGCGGATATCATCCTCTGCTTTCCGTCTGGTGATGAGTTCTTTCTCAAGTGCTTCATCACAAAGCTGGATGCTCCGTATCCCCTGATTCTTGGACACAACTGGCTCCGCCGATACAATCCGTTGATTGACTGGCGTCGTGGTCAGATACTTTCGTTCGAATCGGCCGATAACCCCTCTTCTTTGAGCTCACTCGTCGCAGCAAACGTCGAGACCTCCGTTTCTTCATCCAGCCTTCCGTCACAGGCGTCTCAGCCTTCCGTGGTCCCTTCTTCGACCAAATCTTCCGTCTCTCTTCCTTCCCCCATCGACTTCGACTCACTCGACTCCGACCATTTATCACCGCAGGAACCGATTGTTCCTTTACTTCAAGATTCGCCTCAAGACTCGTCGATGTCGATTCCTCCTTCCATTTCCCTTTCTTCTTCTACTTCCAAGTCTTCACCTTCTCCTTCTAAGTCTTCTCCTTCTTTCACTTCTAACCCTGTGCCAATCGCTTTTGTGAACGCTTCAGCCTATCGTCGAGCTGTTCGCATGAGTGGTTCGCAGACCTTCTTGCTTTCTATTTCTCCTTCTTCAGACAACGTCTCGCGGGCTTGTGCTGCTTCGACTAGCACCACCGACACTCCAGATCTCTCCAATGTCCCGGAAGAGTATCACGAATTTGCCGACGTCTTCAGCAACGCCAAGGCTTATTCGCTTGCGCCACATCGCCCTTACGACTTGCGCATTGATCTGGACGAGTCTCAGCCCCTTCCTCCGAGTCGGCTTTATTCTCTCTCCCCAGCCGAAACCCTTGCGCTACGCGAGTTCTTGGACGAGAATTTGCGCGCTGGTTTCATTCGCTCTTCGACTTCTCCGCTAGGCGCACCCATTCTCTTCGTCAAGAAGAAGGATGGCTCCCTACGTCTTTGTGTGGATTACCGGGCGCTTAACCGCATCTCCAAGAAGGACCGCTATCCGTTACCCCTCATCTCGGACCTTCTTGCAGCCCCAGCTCGTGCCAAAGTCTATTCCAAGATCGACTTGAAGCACGCCTACCACCTTGTGCGCATTGCGGATGGGGACGAGTGGAAGACTGCTTTTCGAACTCGCTATGGCTCTTTCGAGTGGTTGGTGATGCCTTTTGGTCTCACTAACGCGCCGTCCGCTTTTCAGCGTTTTATGAACGACATCTTCGCCGATATGACCGACGTCTCGGTTATCGTATACCTCGACGACATCCTGGTTTTCTCCGACAATCTCTCTCAGCATCGTGAACACGTCAAAGAGGTGCTTAGACGTCTCCGCAAGCACGGGCTTTATGCTTCGCCTAAGAAGTGTGAGTTCCACGCTGACCGCGTCGAGTACCTTGGGTACATTCTTTCACCCGACGGCCTCACCATGTCGCCTGAGAAAGTCAAAGTCATCCAGGATTGGGCCTGAACCTCGTTCAGTGAAAGACGTCCAGTCTTTCCCTCGGTTTCGCCAACTTCTATCGTCGTTTCATCCACGGCTACTCCGACATCGTCGTTCCGCTCACGCGCCTTACTCGCAAAGACACGCCTTTGAGTTTCTTCCGCCGCTCGCAAGTCTTTCGAGACCCTCAAGTCTGCTTTCATTTCTGCTCCTATTCTTGTTCACTGGCAACCTGATCGGCCTCTCATCATCGAGACAGACGCCTCCGACTACGCCTTGGCCGCCATTCTCTCTATTCAGCTCGAGTCTGGAGAGATCCACCCAGTCGCCTTTCACTCCCGCACTTTCCAAGCCGCCGAACTCAACTACGACGTCCATGACAAAGAACTCCTTGCCATCTTCGAGGCGTTCAAAGTCTGGCGTCACTACTTGGAAGGCGCAGGCGACCCGGTCAACGTCGTCACAGACCATAAGAACCTCGAGTACTTCTCGACTACCAAGGTTCTCACTCGCCGTCAGGCGCGGTGGTCTGAATACCTTTCCCAGTTTAACCTCGTCGTCCGTTTCCGTCCTGGCAAATTGGGCACCAAGCCTGATGCGCTAACACGACGATGGGACGTCTACCTTAAACAGGGGGGTAGTGACTTCGCCAGCGTAAATCCGGTCAACCTTCGTCCAATCTTCGCGTCTGAGCAGCTGGCTTCGTCATTGAGGGCTTCGACTATCTACATCCCTGCCCTCCGAGCCTCGCTGGTTGTCGACTCTGCTAGTCTTCATTCTGATATCAAGGCTTCTTATTCTTCGGACCCCCTCGCCTCTTCACAACTTCCCACTCCTTCTGACCCTCGTTGGGAGCTTCCATCCGACGGTCTTCTTAGACTTGATGGGCGTATCTACGTTCCAGATAGTCCCGGGCTTACGTCTTCGAGTCTTGCAGCTCAAGCATGATCACCCTCTCGCTGGTCACTTCGGTCGCAACAAAACGATCGAATTGGTTAGACGTGACTATGTTTGGCCTAAACTGCGTTCGTTTGTCGCAGACTACGTCAATTCTTGCACGACTTGTCGCCGTACGAAGACTCCTCGCCACAAGCTTTATGGTCTCCTGAAGCAGCTACCCATTCCCCTCCGTCCTTGGGAATCCATCTCCATGGATCTCATCGAGCAACTCCCTTCCTCTGGTGGTTTCACAGACATCCTCGTCGATCGTTGATCGCCTGTCCAAGCAAGCTATCTTCATCCCCACAGACCAACATCTCACGTCTGCGGAGCTTGCACGCCTTTTCGTCATCCACGTCTTCTCCAAGCACGGCGTCCCTTCGAACGTGACGTCTGATCGTGGTTCAGAGTTCGTCTCCCACTTTTTCCGTGCTTTGGGCGAAGCCTTGGACATGAAGCTTCACTTCACCTCAGGTTATCACCCTGAAGGCGACGGACAGACCGAACGAGTTAACCAGACCTTGGAGCAGTACCTTCGGGCGTATTGTTCTTACCAGCAGGATGATTGGCATCGACTCCTTCCCCTCGCCGAATTCGCTTACAACAACGCGCCTTCAGCTACCACTGGTGTCTCGCCTTTCTTCGCAAACAAGGGTTACCATCCAAGTCTTAACATCCACCCTGAACGCGACTTAGCCAGTTCCGCCGCGCAAGAATTTGCAGTCGACCTCGCCTCGTTGCACGAGTACCTTCGGGAATCTATCACCGCCGCACAGAAGTCTTACCAGCTATACGCCGATTGCAAACGTCTAGCACCCCCAGACTTCAAAGTCGGTGATCGCGTCTTCGTCAAAGCTGCCTTCTTCCGAACCACCCGACCTACCAAGAAGTTGTCTGAACGATATCTCGGTCCTTACGAGATTATTGCTCAGGTTGGCACCCACTCCTTCACCCTTCGACTTCCAGACTCCATGCGTTCCGTTCACCCCGTCTTCCACGTCTCGATGCTCGAACCCCATCACGAGTCTCAGATTCCTCTTCGTCACGAGCCTCCTCCACCTCCGGTAGAGGTAGACGGCGAATTGGAGTATGAGATTGCCGAAATCCTAGACTCGAAAGTGGATCGTCGTAGACGCGCCTGCAAGCTTCTCTATGAAGTACGCTGGTTAGGCTACGAGAACACAGACGAAGAACGCTCCTGGCTCCTTGCTACCGAGTTGAGCCATGCCAGGGAGTTAGTCGAAGACTTCCATCGTCGATATCCCGACAAGCCTGGACCCGAGTGGTGACCCGTCCGCCTTCGCCTTGTTGTCTCGACTTCTCATTTTTTCCTTCGACTTCATTTTCTTTTCTTTCACATTCCTATGCTTCAATTTCTCTTCGACATCGACTTCACCTTTGGCCTCGAGGGCTCGGCCGTAACAGGGGGGTACTGTCAGGGCTCGTGCACTTAGCAGAACTCTGATATACACTCGCGCCTTCCCTAGACTCGGCTTAGACTTCGACACTTCGACTTCACATCCCGACGTCTCGACTTTCGCTTCCAGCCATACTCGAACCCTCGACTTCCCCAACGTCTTCAGCCGCACCGCCACCTAGACTCCGGTCGTGTCAATGTCTACTGATCTAGACTTCACCGGATCAGGCAAGACGCGCGACTCGGCTCCTTCCGTGATCTCGGATCCTCCGGAAGTCTAGTGGACTTTAGGCGCGCGCTTGGTATTTCGAAGCCTTCGACTCTGTATTGTTCTTTGGAAGTATGTTCCCTTTTTAGACGTATTCGTTCTTTGTTGTTGTCCGAAGTTCCCTTGTACGTCATATCTCGACTTTCCTGATTTATCGATGTTATTATCTTTCTTTTCTTCGGCTTATCTTTCCTCATCACATGTTCTTTGCTCAAGACTTGTCTTCGACCTTTCTACTTCATGTCTTTGCTCTAGACTTTCTTATCATGTTGTGATTGGTTCGTAGATAGCTTCTTCGACTCTCTTGTGTTGTTCTTGGATCGATTCGCCTTCATGTCGTTTGCATTTCTCATTCATACATCTTAGTCTCGCCTTCATGTTTCTCCATCGTTTTCTCCGCACTTCTCTTGTCGAAGATTCTCTAGACGTGTCCTCTATAAGTACTGTATGGTTTTGTAGTAGATACCTCATCCGGAATCTCGACTAGGACTCAATCCCCTCTCCTCCATCGACTAGGACTTTCCCCTCATCGAATCCTCTGTCCGAATTCCTAAGTCTAACTTAACTCTCTCCACGTCTTCGACCGTTGAGCCTTTAGCTCCAGTCGTCTCTCTACGTCGCGCTCTCGCCGCAAGGCGTCCGTCCGGTCCGTCGGCCTAGCCAGCCATAGGAACCTTGACGAAGGGTACACGTTCTTATAACGTGAGACCAAGGCTAACCTCCGACCCCGAAGTCTCCTCTCCATCTCAGACTTCGCCTCACTCCTCTTCACTCACGCCCATCGTCTGACACTTCGCGAGGACGCAGCCACCCACCAATACCGCCTCCAATCAATGGTCGACAATGCAAGATTATTCGGACCCTCGATGCCCCCCTTCCTATACGCCAAACGACGTGTACCCGCCTTCTTACCAGCCAGACCTGCGTCACCAGTCCGCTCAATACAGCGCTCAGTTCTACGACCAGTACAACCCGGCCTACAATGGACAACCGGAGATCACGTTCATGCCGCAGATGGGACAGCAGCCTCCTTCGAGTATGCAGAATCTGCAGGGCCGTTGACGAGGGGGAGACATTTCATCTCTGTCTTTTACACGCTTCCGTAACTGATATGGTAACTCCTCCCCTGTGGCCTGCCCTGCCTCTTGCTCTCTTGGACGTTCGGAAGTAGCATGCCTCCCCGATGAGACCCCCCCCCCCCGGGGTCTCATCCGTTTTTGTTATCTTATCTGTGTGTCGTTTCTCTCGTCTTCATTGGACAATGTCTATTTATTGTACCCGACGTATCTTAGTATCTTACAATCCTCCGAGTCCTCTAATTTGTACCTATACGTCTCTTGGTGTCATTTTTGAGATCTACTACTATCATCTGTAGCGTCTCCATCTTCAAATATATCTTCTTGCTTTTTTGATCAAGCTCGCATTATGCGTCATTTGGGTCATTGGCGAGGGTACTAAGATGAGTTTGTTAAGTAAGTGACCAGGTCCATGGCCGTGTTACAGTTTTACCTAGTCAGAATCTAACAAATGTTTGAAAGAAACCCTGTAGTTCCGACCGGTAAAAATATTGTTGACTCGGAAAACACGCTCGTTGAGTCTTCCATAAATCATCACGCTATAATCGGCACCGGCATAAAGCAGTACCGGAAAGATTTCTAGGAAAACATACACGAATGATTTGTTGGAAAACATACGGTGTTTGGAAAACATACAGGGAGATAGCGGAGAGACAGACGGATTTGATGGGGAGGGCCTGCCTAATGATTTGGGATCTCGCGGCGTAACTCGATGAATGCCTGCGTATGGGGCCTTTGGGTTTCACGCTATGTGCTCGCTCCGGGTTGCGGTATGTTGGTCGCGTTGCTCGTGTTGCTGATAAGTAGACAAAAGTGGATATGTAGACAGCGTGTAGACAGCAGGGGGAGCAGGGAGAGGGTATGTCGGGCTCCAAATAGCTTGGGGGACATACCCCGCTCGACCCCGCTCGGCCCGGTGTTCCCCCGAGCTTGAGCACTACTGAGCGCCGAGATGATGAGCAGGAGGTGCACTCCTCCACCTCCCCCCCATACTGCCCGACGAGCGACCCTCGAGCGACCCTAACTGCATTAGGCCTATAGGGAAACTGCGCTATAGCAGTTTGGCTGATAGCCCTATTGCGCCCCATACAAAGATGTGCGCTACATGCCTTCACGTGACGTCAAGGCACTTCAAACTGCGTGCCCTGGGGTGCATTGGCCTCGAATGTATATTTTCGACATAATTTTCCTCTTGCACTTTCAGCTTAAAGTCATTCCAACTCAAACTCCTTGATATGATAGGTACGTACAGCCTAAAGTTATATCTCAAACAGTTTGGTGAAATCTTTATGCATTGCTGAGAAAGGTCGAAAACGAATTGCCAGTAACAGAGTGCCATCACTTTTGGTGCCCGCGAGTAACTCTTCACCTCTTAAAGTGACTTGCTTGCAACGAATCCCGTGTGGTGCCTCTGATTCTAACGCATCTCTATACGCGTCGCGTAAGTAGATATAGGTAGCTTCTTGACTGACGATGAGGTGAGGAGGTCGTGATTACCTGAGAGTGTGTGTGTGTGTGTGTGTGCGCTTCCAAGGTCGATGTGGTCGGTCAAATGATCTGAAAGGTCGGCTGGGCGCCGACGCGTATACCTTGCGAAGCAAACGTTGACTTGCCTTCTCCGACGTCGCTGACGCAGCTGGCTCGATGCCCGGGTAGTCGCAGCGACTAGTGACGACCCTGGGTGTCTGACTTTCCTCTTCTCTCTCGCGCAGTTTTCAGGCATTGCCGTCGCGCCATCCGTCGGCGGTCGCAGGACAGACTCACGAGCTCTCGCTGAACCCAATTTCATGCCGGCGATTATTCGCAACGACATCAGAACACGCAATGAAACTCGAAACAAGGGTATGTTTAATTATTTACGGCCCGCTTCAGTGGTCCACTGAAGCGGGCCGTAAATAATTAAACTGACAGTGGAACATCCGAAACTGTGACCAAAGATACAAGTGCAGAAGAATCTACGGCTCCCACTGGCAGACCATCGGGAACTTTGGTCGACGCTTCAAGAGAACAGAACGCAAACACGGAGGAGTACGTCCCATGTATAAATACCCCGTCACACCACTGTATACATTCGCAAGCCACCAATCCCGCAGACCAAAGGTCAGCAGGTTGATTCATTTATTTGGGGCAGGATTCAGCGGTTCAGGCTGTTTGAGGTGGAGTATATTTCTGTACCGGTGACCATGTTTCGAACGATTAGACGAAGAGACGAGGGATATTTTGCCGAGGGTAGAGACTTGATTTGGAAATTCGCTCCTATGTACTTAGTTTCGCATCGACTGTTTGTATTGCTTTGTCAATTGGGACAGGGGGCTTATCTAATACTGGTTGGGAGGAAACCTTGCTTCGCAAGGTAATCAGTTTCGGCTTTTCCGCGATCTCTTCGATCCCCCTTCCTCTAAGAAGCTGGACGTCATGCTACCACTCCTCACAGGTAAAGCGAAAGATTTTGTCATTATGTATGTCCACTGGCATTTTTGTGACGTCCCTCCATCATCCTGACATCGCAATGGTGTCCAAGTGTTGTGGGTATTACAGGAGCTGGAAAAAGCACGGTCGGCATACATGATCATCTCGATGCATGAACTTCACGCCGACGCTGTCTTGTAGTTTATCAACCATTCACTGGGGGTTGGGCTCCAGAGAAAGCATGTCCAAGTGGGCCCCAAGGACTCCGTCCACTCTTGTACCAAGCGCTGCCACTTTGTGGAACTGGAAGTTCCGAACAACTTGGAGATTCTGCCCAAGCAGGGCCCACGGAGACTTGTATTGGTGGATACGCCAGGGCTCAACAACTCGGATGGATCCCTCTCAGACGATGCGATCATGAAGCAAGTCTTAGGGAAGGTTAAAAAATCGTAAACATCCAGCATTTTCTTCATTGGGTGGCAGGCGGTGCTTATGATTTCCGTAGATATGGCGCCGGAGTGACTGGAGTGGGATTTATTTACCTTTACGATCTATCTGCCTCTCCAGGTCAAAACTCTGTCGAAGAGAACCTAGAGTTACTCGCAAAATACTGGGGAAAAGACGCATTCAGAAGGACGGTCGTAATGTCATCGCACTGGGGAAGCATTCCACGCGAGAAGATGCAAGAAGCGACCAGGCGCGAAAGAGAACTCAAAATAAAATTCGGGAACGAGCGACTAGAAGATTGCGTCCGTTACATACCCTTCGACCCAGCAGACCACCAAACCGCCTGGAAAGCTCTTCGTACCATTCTCTGCCAGTATGACCGCGACTTGGTATGTGGGCAGTGTCGTAGCGCCCCAAGATCTCTCTTTAACTCGGGGGAAACCAATCTTGCAGTCGGGGAACGATGCCGCGCTGATCCTTGGGCCGCAGCCCAATGATAGCATTATCCTGTGCGTTTTTGTGGCTAGCATCGGACTTGACATTTTCTTACCACCTTTGCGCAGAGTTACTGGGCTATCGGGGGCAGGAAAGAGTTCAGTAAGTAATTATGCGCTGCCGTACAGAAGTAACACGCTTTCTCTGACCGTGATGTACATAGCTTATCAACCACATATTGGGCCCGAATTCTAAACAGAAGGTGAAAGTCGGGAACCAGCTGGAGGGGTGCACCCAGGATGTACATGCAATCTGCACCGACATGCCAGTGCAGCTTTCCCACCTGCTGGGGGAAGGAGACAGTGGCCGGCTGGTTCTGGTAGACACACCCGCCTTTGACGGCGCTTATGAAGGGGAGATGATAACTTTGACTCGAGTCGCCAACTGGCTTGCGCGATCGTGAGTTTCTGCACACTTTCATTAATTTTGATACCTGACATTGGTGTACGTGCAGCGCCCCGATGACGGTTAGAGGCGTTATTTATGTTCATGACATGAGCGAATCACGGATCACAGGCTCTATGAGAAGGTATCTCTGGACATTGGAGAAGCTTTGTGGGGAGGAAATGTTCGGGAAATTGGTGATTGTTACCTCGAAGTGGGACAGTGTGAGGCCAAGAGAGAGCCAGGGTCACCTTTCCCCCTCTCAGGTGGGAGAGGAGAGAGTGGAGGTTTTCAAAATGAGGGCTTGGAACGAACTAATCAACGGAGGGGCCATCGTACGCAACTTCCATCCGGCAAACCAGGCTCAGGCATTGGAGATTGTCAAGCTCGTCCTCACGAACAGATCTGGGGTTGAAGACGTTCCCCTTGCCGTCCAGAGGGAAATCATTGTGGAGGGAAGAGAGCTGCGCCAAACCAGTGCTGCAAAGGGCCTGTTGCAAGGGATTCACAACAATTTGGACGCAGATGTGTCGTCCAAAGTCTGGTTCGACAAAAAAATCAAGCAATTCTGGCGTGTCTGAATTTTAATATCTCCCGGAAATCAGAATGCTGAAGTGGGTCGAGTTTGTAACGTGATTTTGCCTTGTCCCTCAGTGGGTGTCAGGATCGACCGGAAAGACGCAATCTCCGACGAAGTTAGTGCGTTCTGAGTTAACTCATTAGTGATGGCGACAATACCAATAACTGGTTGCGCTTTGGTTCTTCTCCCTCGTTTCGATCCTGCTGCTCTTCAAAACTCCGCGAAAACAGGCGTCAATCGGAGTTTTTCTTCCTATATTTCATTCATATATTTAGTCCCAAGAGCTGTTTCAGTTTGACGAAAAAGGGTGTTCGGAACTGCTTCTGAACCTGTTCAAGTGCAGTTCCGTTGCCCTGTTGTAAGGCGGCATGCTCTCTAATAAGCGAGTATTTCAGCTGTCGTCCAGCGTCAGTCTGAGGAAGGATTCAGTTCCAGTCTACGTTCCTGTTGGATTATAAGCTTCACGGTAATTGTAAGTGCTGTCTGCCCATACTGTACTGCACTGTAACATTTTTGTCATCGTTTCACTTTCATCGGCGGGAAACCACGGCTATACAGTGTACATCACTGGAACTTCTGGAATCGCAACAGTTCACGTTAACAGAGGCGCGCCGCGAGCAGCGCGACCATATCAGCTTAATTTAGATCTTCTCGTAACCATTCAATTGAATTCTCATTTTCTTCCGTTTCCTTGTTCCTACCCTTTCTACGACAAAAGCAATGGCTGGGAACGCGTATATATGATGGACGGGAAAGATCTTACCGACTTCCCCGCCTCCTTGACATCCCTCCTTCCCCCGGCCCAATCTATCTACTTCAACCGTCCTATCCTTCGTCAAGGGGCCTCGCAGCACCATGGATGACGAATCTTTCTCCTTTCCCCCACACTTCGAATTTGCAGCTCAGCGCAGACGAGACGAGATTGAGCAGGTTTATATGCTAGCCGGATTCTGGATCGAGGTGAATCTTCCCTCCAATCCCCTCCATCGGATTTACTGAAGAACGGGTTCAGTCAGCACTCTACGGTTTGTCCTCACTCGTCATTAGAGTACATACCCGATCGGAAGAACTCATCGAAGGATAAGGGATCTACTTTGTCTTGTTCATGGGGTTCACCAGGTTCACGCTTAGCCGACGCTCAATAGGTTCGGATCCCCTAGCCAAGGTCTCTTCCCGTTCCGACCCATCCTGTTCCCCACCCGAAGGCTTACATCCATTTGACAGCGTGTGTTCACCTACCTCATCACAGTCATGTTCATACTCTCGACATACTGGATGGGTGTGTCGGCTCGATTACCTCCGTCTACGTCCCTCCCTAACTCCGTCCTCTCCGCGACTGTGCCTGCAGGCGTCAACATCTACCGATTTCTTGAAGCATACGCTCTGATGAACGCACCAGGCGGTCTCCCCATCTACTACTTTCGCGATTTCAGCACCTGGTACAACTTTTCGTACGCGATAATCAGCTCCATGCTATTCTGGATCGCAGACTTCCTGGCGGTACGTCCCCATCAAAATTTACCCGTTAAGGGGCGCGGAGCGTTAAGGTCTCGGCGACTACAGCCACCCTCGTACTCAACGACGCCCTTACAGATATACAGATGTTTCATAATCTGGGATAGGAGCTATAGGATTGTAGCGCTCCCATTCCTACTCCTGGTTGCTAGTATAGGTGAGTCGTCATGTCGACACTCTTCTGAACTTCATTTCCCCACTTTCCTATTCCATCTTCGTTTTCCACCTTCCACCTTCCATTCCTCATACCCATTTCCGGACATCTCTCTTCAATTTTCTCTGTTCCTCATATCACCTCATCCCCACCGAAATGATAAATCACGTCGACAACTAACACAAACTCCCAAAAAAAGGCACCAACGGGGTAAATTTCCACTTCTTCCTGAACGGTCCAAAGGCGATCCCCAACGGCTTCCGCACCATCCTTCCCCTTCTCGACTTTGTCTACCCAGGACACCTCGGGCAGAACGTCATGACGACTGCGCTTATAGCGTACAAGATCTGGCGCCGCCATTCTGAAAGCCGCGCCGCTGGAATACGCGTTACATCGACCATAACCCTGCTGGGCGTGGCTAGGATTGTAGTGGAAAGCGCGATGATCTACACGATGCAGATGCTTGCGCTCGTGGTTCTGCATATCAAGAAACACCCGCTCAGAGTCGTTTTCCAGGCGGCTATTGTCCCGAGTACAGGTGCGCCACCGCTCTCTTTTCTCGATTTTCTATATCTCCATCATTCCCAGACTTCATTCCAGAAACCACCACTCTCTCTTTCCCCACCTTCTTCGGAGTAATTCTCCTTCCCGCGGTACTCGCACTAAACTAACTTTAACCTCTCTTTCTCTCTCATCACCCCAGGTATCGTCTTCGTCCTAATCACCATGCGAATCCAACGCGCAGTCAAAGAAAGCGCCCGACAAGCGCCTCCCACGAGTATCCTCTTTCCTCGCTGGGTCGACCCCGAAGATCCAACAAGCACTACGTACACTAGTCCAAGAAGAAGGACTCAGCAATCAATCATGACTTCCCCCTTCACAAGCCCAGTCCCCGTTTTCGTAAACCCCGACGCCTCCGATGTCGATTTGGAAAGCAATCGCTATAGCAGCTATACGGCACCCACCACTGGCAGGCACCATCGGGAATCGCTGATTTCTATTCTTCATCCTAGTGTTGTGCGTGAAACTCCACGGGTGGGAAGGCAGTGGTCGAGGTCAACGAGGTCGAGTCGGCAGCCTGCGTGGATGTGATCGAGGGTCATCCTCGGCCAGCTCCAGTATAGGATTACTTACACTGAATCGCTCATAAAATATACCCAATAAAGAGGACACTTCGGACATTAGTAGACTAATACGCTCTTTTCGGACACACTTACACTCGTTCATATTTTTCGGTTTAGACGTTACAGAGTTGTACCAATTGGGACATTACCAGCATTCTTCCAGTGTGTACAATAGTCGTTGTTGGCATGACAAGTAACATAAATAAAATCCGGTCAGACTTCTCAAGAAAAAAGAAAAAAATTGGGGTGGCATCCTAACGTACTCTAAACACTGGCCGCCTAATGAAAACAATCTTCTCTCTAGAAAGAGGAACCTCCAAGTGATCTATCCGAGCACTCGCACAGCACGCAACGACCCCAACGCATTCCAGGACACTTCTCCAAAATCTGCCTCTAGGGTCGAATCCAACACAGCCATGTCAGGGCCTTCAGCGGATGCCAACCCGCCTCGCCACCCACGCTCTCCCCAACCTGTCTAAACTCGCGCCTCATATCCACAATCGACATCGGCCGCTCGTTCAACACCTCGTCCACCAATCTAGCCGCTCTCCCTTTCCTACCCGCTCCCGCCGTGGTGGTCGTTCCCCCATCCCCCAAATCATCATCAGCAGTCAACATATCCCCCACACCCCTCGTGCAAATCTTCGCTCCGTGGACCAACAACTTAGACAAAGAGTCTTCTCTCAACTCTCGTACGTTCTTTTGGAAAGTAGCCTCGGAGATCCTCTTGGATGCTGTAAACGCGATGTGAACGAGTGGTGCGAGTGTACTGGTGGAGAGGGACGAGGGCGACATTGGGTTCGATGGGGATCGTCTGAGGCGGTTCTGTCCGATGTCGTGGAGGTATATTATACCACCCAGAACGTATTTATCGAATTCCCTATAAAGACAGTTCGGAAGAAGGGAATGTCAGCGTTGCGCACACCAGAGAAGCAAGTAGCAAGAAGACGGGTGTCGATGCGAGATAGAATAGGAATAGAAAATGTGGTGACGGAAACCCCCCAGCACAACCCACCCCCGGCGTTGCGGTCACAGACAGAAGGAATTTGTCGAAGTTGACTAGAGCCAAAATGCGAGAAACAGATACGGACGGTTTTCGCAAAAACTTGCGAATATTCTGCAACGTCTTGATATCCTTGATATAAGCATCGTTGAAGCCAGGTGTATCAACGAACACTACGCTCCTCCCAGAAGCCGGATGTATGTAGGTGTATTTTTGGATTTCGGAGGTTCCGGAATCCATGCCATGGCTTACAGATGCGAGTTCCGGCTGGCCCAGGACATTGTTGATAAACTACAGGTAGAAACGCAGATGAGATTGGTGGTTAGCCGATGTACGGCTCCGAAAGGGACGGGGGTGGAAGATGGGCGATATGGAATGGGAAGTGAACTTGAACGTACTGTACTTTTTCCAACGCCCGTTTCACCGAGGACAAGGCTGCGAGAAGTTGAAAACTGGGGTCAGCAACGTGGATGTAAAAGGATGCATTTAGCACTTACATCAATGATGGATAGAGGATGGACGATATCGGTTGCGGAGGGCCCTTCAATAAATCCTCCACCATCCCCTTAAGCGATTCGGGCGGCCTTCCTGAGACAAGTTGGCCAAACTCACGGTCAAACTGCGACGCCTCGAGGAGGCCCTCTCCAACCACACTCCCAATAAGTGAGTCCACGTTGGTCCGAAACTTCTCCCTGGTAATGGGTATGCCAGTGGTGAACGAAACGTGAAGGAAGGGCCGAAGGGATGCCCGCGGAACGGATTTCAGGACGCCGCTTAACCGAGGTCGTAGTTGCGAGATATCGTGGATGCAGAGTATACCACCCAACAGCGCATTTTTGTCTCTGATAAGGACGAGGGTCAGGTCAGAATGAATCAGACAAGGAGATAGAGAATAAGGCGCACTGGTTCCTCATCCATCGGTCGATCTGTTGCCATATCGTATGGTCAGATATGGTACCATTGTTGAAACCCGGTGTGTCGACGAGGGTGAGCGTGGAGCCGGGGCGCCAGGGGTCGAGGGTGTAGGCCTCTACTTCTTGTGTCGTCAGCACGATCGAATCGTTAACCTGAGCGTAGTTCGGCCTTCCTCCAGCAATGGAGTTGATGAGCTAATTGGATACTATGTTGGGCTACTATGGGATACGTGAAATAGGCGGAGGACGTACTGAACTTTTACCGACGCCCGTTTCGCCGATGACGATCCTAGTAAATTCGAATAGATCAGGGGGAGATAAAGGTTGGGGTGTATTGACTCGCAATTCGGACGCACACGATTACGTTCTTTCCGGACATAATTGGACGGGGCAGTCAGGTGGATGGGTAGGTACGAACAGGCCTGGAGGAACCTTCTAAGGAGTTTAAGAGACAGTCTTGCGAGTCGCCATAAGACGCCAGAGATGGAGGCACAATCACGATACACGTGTCGTTTGCGGTAAATAGATGTGATTCGATAGGGATTCATACGCGTTTCCTTCGACACGCGTTGAACCAGACAGCTGGACCATGCCGAGAACCGAGACAGCAATGTCATAGGACGATGGTGAATGATGGAATTGAGGTCATGGAGAATCGCGGTGAGTTGGTTTTCCATCTGGATAACAGGTACCTCGGGGGAATCTCGAGGCAGGTGATCAAGAGAACGTATGCAAGCAGGCAAGCGGGTATACAAATATAAAGCTGCGAGAAATCGATGGGGCAGACGGCGACTAGACTTCGGAGACTTGGACCGGTTTCTATGCTGAAAGCCTCGTTTCCATTGTATTGTCCATCTGATGAAAGGCTTCCACGCTCAATACGATGTAGGAAAGCATGGGAGAGGTAAAATGCCCCAGGCATCGAGAGATCACATTCCTGAGTCTGTCTGGCAGAAACATGACGCTTCGAATGATTGTGGGTGGAGTGACCGTAGCAATTTGGGAAATCGACCATGTCCGCCTTAAGAATTCGTGGAGTTGGATGAAGAGGCTGCGGTAGAAATGCCGCTTTTCTTCAGGCGAAGGGAGATGGTCAAAGGACGAAGAGGAACGGAAGAGAACCAGGACTCTGCCAGCGACTGGGTGAAAGTTAGGGGCTGATTATGTGATCAGCACGTGGCTGGACTGCAGTTTTGCAGGGAATCTACTCTTGGCAATCTGTCGATTTCCTCTTCCCTTCACCTCCGCCAAAATTGTGCTTTCTTATTCCCCCCACGACCGCCAAAATCGATATATAATCAGCTTAATTCCTCTTCTTCTCTATCGTGTCCACTTTTCAGCCCCAGAATGCCGTCGAACGACCACAACGACAATGACCGCGATAGACATAGGGACAGGGATTTCGAGCGAGGAGATCGTTCAGAGAAATCGGGCTCTAAACAAAAATCCTCCAATTCGAAATGTATGTCGGTTCCAAAATTTAAAGGGTCCTTTATCTGAGCAGCTGTATAGCCAAGGACCTCTCCCATGTCCCTTGCAAGTTTTTCAAAGTCGGCGGGTGCACTGCAGGATCGTCCTGCCCATTCTCGCACCACTTGTCTGAACCAGGTCAGAAGGAGACCTGCGCGTGGTTCGTGAAGGGGAACTGCAAGTTTGGCCACAAATGTGCATTGGCCCACATCCTGCCTGGGCAGGACATGTCGATGGACAGGAAGAACAAGAAGGCTGCACAGCAGGCCGCTGCGGCAGCTGGTGGTAACGACAAGACGTCCAAGGGTAAAGGAGGAAGGCGAGACGGAGGAGGCTCTGGTGCTGGCAATCAAGGAAAGAATGCCCTCCTTGCCGGCGGTTCAACCGCACCCACTCGAATTCTCAACTCCGGACCATCCGGCGCTTCGTCTACTGGCCGTCCACCAATGAATCTTGCCCTCAAAGCTTCCATATCACCCTCTGCACCCGCACCACCCCTCAAGGATAGCGATTTTGCCTCGTTCACCGCCCTCGACGATATGGAGGGCGTCAAGAACGATCCCCCGAAACAGGAGGAGAAACCCAAGGAAGAGAAGAAGAAAACCAACGAGAAGCCTTCAGAAACATCCGACTCTACTCCTGTCCCACTTCCTCCGTCAGCTCCAAGGAACGCTTCGACCACTGTTCAAAACGATTTCGGTCCCATTGGATCTCCTCCTAACGCCCGTGATCAAGGACCGAATGGAAAAGGCGCCTTCTCTCCAGGTACCTCTCCTCGTGCCGTAAACGGTGCCAACCTCGCCTCGTCTCCCAACCAAGGCCTCCTATCGTCATCCCCCTTCTCTGTCCCAGGCAATCAGCAAAACTTCCGACCGTCATCGTATTCAGCTACCTTGGGTCTCGGAGGTGGGGTTGCTGCCAGCCTTGGCAGCGGTCTCGCAATGATGGGAGGTCGCAAGGGATGGGCAGATACCCCAGAGTCATCCGTCAACGCTGGATTCTCTGATCTTCTTTCAGCACACATCTCATCCTCAGTCACACACCACCGATCGTCCGGTTTGACGAACAGCATCGCCCGTGCCGAGTACGACGTGAGCTTCGAGTACGACGAATATGTAGGCGCCAAGAACCTTCGACGCATCCCTCGCAACGACACCGCTGTTGAAGATGGTGACCTGGAAGATTTCATCCCTGGATCACTGACCGACTTGTTGACTCCAGAAGAACGAAATCGTCGCATGTCGAGGAGCAACTCTGGCCAGCCAGCCACTGCTGGCCTGGGTGTTGCTGCTAATGCCTTGAAGGCTGGCGAGGGGGCAGACCAGACTGGTGGATCCGGCCTTGGGCATCGTTATTCCCGATCGGTCCCTGCTCCTTCCCTCCTTGGCGACATCAAGTCCATCTGGGCTGACACTACCGCTAACCCGCTTCCCGCCTCTCCTCGTACGACCACTATGCATAGAGGTACGCCATCGACATCAGGTCTCAGTGCTCGCTTCGAAGGTCTCAATGTCACTGGAGTGGACGAATCCGGCCTCAGCATGAGCGTCGGCAGTCCCTCTTCGATCAACAATATGCTCAGTCCCAGCAACGCCAGCGCCGCCTTCTTGCCTGGTTTCCATTCTCATTATCTTTCCGCGAAAGCCAAGCAGGCTCAACAAGCTCAACTCGGCCAAGGCGGATTAGGACGTGGTCTCCGTGGCGCAAGTGGTGGAACAGGCTTCGCGTCCAACAACAGCCTCGCAAGCAACTACCTGCAACCCTTGACTGCAACCGGCCTTCCAGGTTCTCCTTCCAACTCGACCCTGCACACCCACGTGCATGGCAATACCCAACATACCTATAGGACAACTCCATCCCCCTTCGATCTCACCCAGAACCTCCCCAGCCGAAACCTCAACGCGCGTCCGATCCCATCCGTTCAGGGAGACGATCACCTTCTGGGACCTCACGTCCTTTCCCCTGGAACTCGGGCTTTGCAGTCCCATGCGCCCGGCCAGAGTCTGCCTCAAGGCTTGGCAGCCGGTCTCTCCAGGATCCACGCCCTGCCGCCATCGAACCTCATCTCACCCGGAACTCCAGGTGCCTTCATGCCGGGCACTTCCCCCGGCGTCTCCGCTGGACTCTCCGCCAACGTGCCTTACGGCGAGTGGCAGCCACACACGCCATCGAGTCTCTCGCAACCACACCCGCTCTCTAACAACGTTTCCGGAATCGGGGCGACGAGTGCCACACCCGACCCTACTGCTCCGCCGAAGCTATCGTATTCTGCTGCGGCTAGCAGGGCTGCCACTGCCACTCCCTCAGCTCCACCTGGTCTCACCAGGCATGCTCCTGCCAGCAACAACGGCGGATATGGAGCTCAGCAGACGCCTCGCCCTCCTGCTCATGATGATGACGATCTGTTCAGCATGGATGGTTAATATGTTTCTGACACTGGTATGTCGATCGCGGTCCCGGGATGGGATCACTTCATAATGGAAATACATTGACTGATCGACTGTGATGTAGGGTGTTATTTTCGGAACGGACGGGTCCTATAGTACCTTCCCTCCTTTTCTTTCTATTCTTCGCGGCTACCTAGAGCATAATCGTTTCTCATCCCGTGCGTTTGTTTACTATCTTTTTTTCTTTCTTTCTGGGCTCCACTTCCGCTTTTACTTTTCACATTTTCTGCATGCTATACGACGGCGATGACGACGATTTGGAGCAAGGACTGGCACTGGCATAACCGCAAACCACAGACCATCTTTTTCTATGTATATTTCTGCTAGCCTTTCTTCTCAAACCCCAAAAGCACCGTATACTAATCTCTTAACTACATTGTACTCATCAAACCATTTTTTACGGAATGGTTGATTGTATATCGAAACTTCTTTTTGGTTCTCCTCCGCTGCCTTATCCCTTTGCTCCACCTATACTTTGTTTCATCCCTTTCCCGCTCTCGGTTTTAGGCCTTTGCTCCTGCGTCTATTGGACTACATACATACGACCCAAAGGTATGCATCTCTGTGACAATCCCTTTCTTCCATTTGTCACATCTACTCACAGGGTTCGAACCAATGAACCGAAAAGATGATCTTCTACCGCTTGCTTCTAATTATAGCTAGCTAATGACACTGCCATCTCGGCCGAAGGGCTACCTACTTTCAATCTCCCTACTCTCTATAGCTAGAGCGTCCCTTCTTTTTCTTCTTTTTGTTTTCCTACTCCGCCTTAAGACACGATGTCGCGTTTTGTTACGTTTTCCTGTACTAATTGCTGTATCACGATTTGTATTGCTTACCTTCCATTCACCTCCTTCACAAAACTTTCCAGGCTTGTCCTGTCCCCAGCCCATGCATTCGGATTGACAGGTCTCGCCATCCCTTCAGTCTACTACGAATCCGCCCAAACGGATTAAGTATCATTGGCCAATAGAAACACAGAATTGAAGGCATAGCTGAGCAACGCAATTACCACAGCTGTATGTTCAGGACGAAATCAGGTTAGATCGACAATTGAAATGACGATGATCCATGCCTAGATTGGCAACCTTCATACCCGGACTCGGAGAGGGGGAGCATTCCCAGTCACAGTCCAAAAAGGCGCCGGGAGGATCTTGATTCTGAACCCTAATCTCCGCTTTTCATCCAAAAAGCTCCAAATCGCAGTTTCGACGCTTTGAACTGTGCCCTTGTAAGTACATCGCTGGGGCCTATTGCGCGGTACGTTATAACCCTGTCATGGTGGCACGTTTGTTCCTCGATCGATGATGATAATGTTTGCCTTTTGGGTGGATAGTGTTCTCCATCCCCATAGCCTTATACCGACCGAGTCTTTGCAGTTTCAAGTCTGATCAAGACAGATGGCAAGTGAAGAAGACACTCCAAGTGTAAGTGGAGTATAATCGTAACAAGAACCTGCAACGGCTCAAAAACCCTGATCACACTGGTCCAAACCCTGTCCAAAAAAACCTATCACTTCCTTTCATATTCTTATGCTTTCTCGTTCGATTGATGCTGATGTTTTCCACTTTGGCTGGGGCGGTTTGGTCGGAAAACTAGATCCAGAAGCAGCCTGGTACCCATGTCGCCGTTCAGACCAAGTTGGATCATGGCAAGGGACTGGAAGAGGCAGTAGTACGGATCGCAGGTGGAGCTGAAACTGGTAGTCAAAGGGCAGGGGTTGAAAAAGTAGAGAACGAGGCTCATCAAATTGAGGTGAGTTCTAAGGGACCACTGGGGCTTTTGGCCGCCACGCAGCTCTATTACGAAAGGGATGAGGTCTAGACGAAGACTTTAATCCTATCTATCAAACACCAGGTGGTCGGCGAAGTTGGGAATTGTTTTTGTGTGCCAATCTTGTACTTAAAGGACGTTGTTTCTCCGATTGGACAGGATGTTCAAGTTGCTGGTGCCCCCGGTCCCGAAGAGTCGACTGCTTCTGTCAGTGGACTCGAGGTTTCTGTTTCTGAACTCTCGCTCGACAACGACGACGGATTTGCTGCAGACATGACTCCGAACAGGCCTTTTGGCACATCCAAGTGCGCTGTACGCGGTTCTATTAGTATGTCTTCCCCGCCGCTTCCCGCCGTTCGCTTGCACTAATCCTTGATCCCTGTCCTCCAATACAGACCACGACGAATATTTCTTTGGTACGTCGCCAAGTTACTCGCCCAGCCGCTAGAACGTTCGCTGACCTCTGTTATGACGACCTCTGTGTGTGCGCGGTGTATCCACACAAAACTACGCCTAACCTATACAACTTGCAGTGGATCAAATCGCCAAGCCTGGTGAGACCAAGGCGTCGAAGCTGCACGAAAGCAGGATTGGTGGGAAAGGCGCTAATCAGGCTGTTGCGATTGCGAGGGCTGGTGGTTTAGTCCAGTTTTACGGTACGATTGGGAAGGACGGGGTTTGGATCAAAGAACAGCTGAAAGAGCATGGTATCGATGTCAGTGCGATCCTTGTTGCAGAGGTATGGTTTCCTTCCCCCTTCTTCGAGCTGGCTGCCGTTCCTGGACTTGGACTGACAGACAAACCTGGCTTTTAGAAACCGACAGGAAGAGCCATCATCCAGGTTGGTGATGACGGAGAGAACAGTATCAGTACGTTCCTGGTTCTCTTCTCGTAAGCCCTTACGGGATTCTGATAGAACTTCTGCCCTATCCAATTCCAGTTTTATTCCCCGGTGCGAACCACAGCGAGCTACACGAGCAACAGAAATTCTCGTCCGGTCGACCATGGTTCGGCAACGCAACACACCTCCTGCTGCAGAACGAGATCCATCCGCGCTCGACTCTGCATGCACTGCACGAGGCAGCCAACATGGTGACCATCTTCAACCCGTCTCCAATGCCACCGGCGGACCAGATCCGCGAGTTTCCGTGGACCAAGATAGATTGGCTTTTGGTGAACGAAGGGGAGGCTGAGGCGCTTCTTCGCATCCTCGGACCTCCCCCGCCGCTTAACATCCGACCAGCCTCTATCAGCGCTATGTCAACCAAGGATATCGTCTTTTGTCTCGCCAGCCACCCGTCCTTTGCGAGTACGAATATCATTTGTACGTTGGGACCCGATGGCGTTTTGGCGTTCGTCCCCGAGTTCCATCGACCGGGGACGAAACATGAAGCGCCGTCGTTCATGCATCTCCCGCCTGCCAAATTGGAAGGGGACTTCAGGGATACGACCGGTGCGGGAGATTGCTTTACGGGATACTTTGTACAGGGGCTCATGGAATTCGGACCGGATGCGAGACCTGGACACCACATTACGGAGAGGGATCTGGCGATGTTGTTGAGGAAGTGTAATTTGGTAAGTGTATACTCTATGTAATAAACTGAAGCGAGGTGTGACTAATGGCGTAATTATGTACAGGCTGCTGGAATGTCGGTGGAGAAACCGGGGACTATTGATAGCATCCCCTCTCGAGCTGCTGTCGAGTCTAGGCTGGCTGCATCGTATGCCGGGAGCCCGATTATTACAGGAATGAAGGGGCCTTCGGGGGTTTAGTCGACTATGTAGACGAAACATACTTTGTAATTATATCATGACCCAGGTTGTGCCTATTTAAACTTCGCAGCAACTCGACAAATGTTGTGTGATCTGCAGACTCGCGCTCTTGGGCTGAGCCGCTGAGGACTGTGGGACAAGAGCCGGCAACGTTAACGGCAGCCAATGTTGATGATCCCATCAAACCATCAATGTCAAAACTAGGGCAAACTTGAGACTCGTCCGTGCGCATTGGTAAACTTAGCAAACTACCACCACCACCATGGCGCAGCGTTTCCTTTACAAGATATGGTATGTAGCATGCCAGGTAAACTTGTGTCTGAATGTATTGCGCCTGGAACACTAGTGGCCCATGGAAGCCTCCAAATATCTGGTCCTGCTATTCGGCTCCGCTTCTCTATGGTTTTGCGATTTCCACCTGGCGGTCAACGACATCATTGGTTCTTCTTCGTTGGTCGTTGCCCCTTCCGCTGCTACGCAACATCCTCTCCTTTCCATCACATCTGTAGCGTCTCTTGTCACCCTCACTTGACCCACTGCTTCAATTCTCTCCAGCAGTCTCCGGATGGCGAATCCCATATCGACGCGCGCTCTAAGACTCATCGGGCGTCAATCTGTTCATAGTACTTCTGACATTACATTGACATTGGTTGACACTCCCGAAACATGGAAGACCAACCTATGTGTCTACCTGCAGGCTCCAGCGTGCACTTAGACGCTCAAACCAAATAGGCTATATGTACCTGTAAGGACCCCACCTGTTCCTCCCCAGGCGGTCTGCAACTGCACCCATCCATTCGTCATGATCCTCCTCCTCCTTCTTCTCTACTCCACTCTGCGTCCCCTCCACCCAGGCTCAGCCGCACCAATCCTCGAATCTCCCGTCCCCGACCTGCTTGCTCGGGCATCCGAATCCTTCAGCGATTCCTGCGCCTCCATCGAGTTCTACGACGGTATCCCTGTGCAGACGAACTACCGGTCCGTCGCGGACGTCATTGTCACTTGTCTAGTAACGATCTTCTCCTGTACGTGGGTCTCCGTGCACCCGAATGTGCGGGGGTACAACTCGACGACTTGGGAAAGGTTCTTGCAGCGGGCGGAGGCGATGCTCTGGGGTATCGTTGCCCCGGAGCTGATTGTGACGTGGGCCATCAAGCAGTGGGATTCGGCGAGGGATATTAATTATCTTATTAATGAGTATTTGAGGAGGAGGAAAGAGAGTGGAGGGGATGGTATGTTCGTTCTTTGCGGTTTCGTGTCTGAATGTGGACTGATCATGTCATTACTATGTACGACGTATTCCGAACCGTGTAGGTTTCATCGAATGGACGCTGGTTCATTCACACTTCCTCCAGATGGGAGGGTACATATTCAAACGAGGCGACACGCTGCAATGGGTCGACGTATGCGAAGCACTACACCACTTCGAATCCGACGAAACCGATCTGGTAGCGGTGAACTGGGCGACGGGGTATGGGCACGAGAGGGCCGGACGCGGGACCGTCGCCAAAGACGACATGCTCGACGCCCTCGAATCCCTCATCCACCGCACAGACACCAAAGAGGAATTGGCCGACCGCAGCAAAACGGACGCCCTATCCAAAACGTTCGTCGTGATGCAGACCTCGTGGTTTATGATGCGGTGTATTGCGCGTTATGCTGAAGGTCTTGCGGTCACCGAGTTAGAACTGACGACGGCGGCCTATGCGCTGCTGAATATTGTCATGTACTTTTGTTGGTGGAATAAGCCGCTGGGGGTGCAGTGCCCGATTGTTGTCCATGTTGAGCCGCGGAGGAGACCGGAGTCTGATGTGAACACGGATATCGACTTTCCGGAAAAGGTTGCTTGGAAACCATTCTCGGAAGGTGTGCTGTCGATCTGGAGTACTGCGAGGAGGTTGTTTTCGGCTTTGTCTTCCAATCGTGCGAAGTCGGATTCGGAGGGTACGCGGTTGAGGCGGTGGTTGCCTTCGGAAAAGGCTCTCGGCGATTTTTTGTATAGGTCGGTAGGGAAGGAGTACAAGGAGGGAATGCGTAGCAGGTCTTTCCTCATCAGTATGTATATACTCTGTTCCAGGAAGCAGCAACTAATCCATCTTCCGCCAGCAATAATCGTCATTTTCTTCCCCGTCCTCTCCTTCCTCATGGCGATACGACGGATAGCCGAGGCTGTACAACCGAGAGTGCCTTCGGAAAAAGCCCTCGGCGAATTTCTGTTCATGTTGGCGGGGAGGAAATACGTAGAGGGAACACATAGCAGATCTTTCCTCATTGGTGCGCATCTCGCTCTCCCCCAACTTAGCCGCAACTAACCCCTTTCTGTCTACCAGCAATAATCGTCATTTTCTTCCCCTTCGTCGCCTTCCTCACAATGACACGGCGCATGGCCATTGTCATCATCTCACCTTACCTCCCCGAACGACCGCACGCCATCCAAAAGGATGCACCCCCACCTCGCGTGCCCTACCCCTCCTTCTACAACAAATGGCTCCGAAGAGGCTCGGAAAAGGTGTTCCTAGTCCTACCCGCCTCGCTCCTCGGATCCGCGTTCGGTGCTGTCCACTGCATCGCCTGGATGCCCGGCTGGCACTTTTCCTCTCCGGTCCTTCGGCTCCTATGGCGGATATTCTCGATGTATATTTGTGTTATACCGATTGTGCCGTGGTTTGCGTATGCGGGTGGTAAGTGGCTTTTTGCCAATAGGCTGCCTAAGTTGTTGGTGAAGTGGGGGTTGTGGGTGGGTGTTTTACCGGTTTTGGTGTATGTGCCGGCGAGGGTTGTGTTGGTTGTTGTGACTGTTGTTGAGTTGTTTTATTTGCCGCCTTCGGCGTATTTGACGATTGAGTGGTTGGAGTATTTGCCGCATGTTTAGGTTGTATATAATGTGTTTATTTAGACTAGTCTATACGGCCTGGAACCCTCCATTGTAGCATCTACCTACTGATCCTTCGGAATCCTTATTCCTTCCCCGTGAACTCCTTGTGCAACACGTATTTCTTGAAGGTGAGTGTAACCTTTGCCGAGACTTCCTGTGTGCGGGGAGTGGAAGCTCATACTGCGGTGCATTGGTCGAGAGAGCCTTGCACGCGTCGCTATACGCGATCTCGGGGGTGTCGAGGTCGTAGATGGCTAGCCAGGTGGGCTGGTGCCCGTCGGATGAGCGGTAGCGGGCTGCAGTTTGGAATCCGGGGACTTTGAGGCGGAGGGGTGCGTGGTCTTTGTCGTACCAGACTGCAGTATGGTGTTTAGACTTGGGTTGGGTATGAAGGTGACATACAGATCTACAAGGGAGGCTGGCGTACCGTTGAACTCTTCTTCGGAGACGGAGGCGCCTGGTTCGCCTAGGACGTAGAGGAGGCCTTGGGCTTCGGGTTTTGTCATTGTGACTCGAGGGTCTAGTCAGAGATAACGGCGACCAGGGAGAGAGGAGCTCAGTCAGGAGTGCTGATTAGAGGTATATTGACTCCGATCAGACGTGTATCAACCAGCTTCGAGGAGCTCAATTCCCTTCGCTGACTACACGTTCCTGGCGACGTGTTTCATGGTAATCAACAAAGGGCCTGACATACCCAATCCCCGTAATCACCTCCCCAAATGACTCGGCGCACCACTAAACAAACCTCGGATCCAACCAATGCCCCTATTTCCCCGCCTAATGACGCCACCCGAAAGCCGACGGCCCCAGTTCCTAACACTGCCACAAACACTGCTTACTCATACCGCCTCTTGGCACTCTTTAGTCATCTCACCGAAAAAGATTCAAAAGCAAAAGGCCGCAGCACGGACCATCACCCTTGCTCTTCCTACCCCCAACACACGAATGTGAGTACGCCGTTTTGCTGCTTGGTCTCTGCGTTTCGAACGAGTGGTTGAGGTTTGGGTGGAAATTTGGAGCGTTGGACGGGATTTTGGGGTGGATGCGTCGTTGGAGGGGTTGGATGTGGTGGGAATTGGGCCTGATGGGATGGGATGTAGGGACGGGGCAGGGCTTTACGTTTATCTTGGGGAGACTGCGAAAAGAGAAAAACAGGGTTACTGATGCGAGGTTGATCTGCAGAATTAACAATGGGTCGTCGTCCTGCTCGCTGCTACCGCTACTGCAAAAACAAGCCGTACCCCAAGTCGAGGTACAACCGTGGTGTTCCTGATCCCAAGGTGAGTTTTGCACTCTGGCTCTGTCTTTCATTCATTAGGCGGTTCATGTCCGCTTAATGTTCTATCGTTTGGCTAAGGTGCTGACTGCTCTCTTCTAGATCAGGATCTTCGATCTCGGCCGTAAGCGTGCCAACGTCGACGAATTCCCCTTCTGCGCGCACCTCGTTTCCGATGAATACGAGCAGCTCTCCTCCGAGGCTCTCGAAGCCGCCCGTATTTGTGCCAACAAGTACATGACCAAGACCTCTGGAAAGGACTCTTTCCATCTCCGTGTCCGTGTCCACCCATTCCACGTCCTCCGTATCAACAAGATGTTGTCCTGTGCTGGAGCCGATCGGTGAGGCGTGCCATGTAATTTTCACATTTCTGGCATTTTTTGCTGATATGAATGATTGTGTGTGATAGACTCCAAACCGGTATGCGTGGTGCATGGGGTAAGCCCTACGGCACTGTGGCCCGTGTCAACATTGGCCAGGTCATTCTCTCCATCCGATCCAGGGACAACAACGCCCACGTTGTCATGGAGGCTCTCCGCCGTGCTCGCTACAAGTTCCCTGGTCGCCAAAAGATTATCGTCTCCAAGAAGTGGGGCTTCACGAACGTCAACAAGGAGGAGTACTTGAAGCTCAAGGAGGAGAAGCGTGTGTTGCAGTAAGTGCCGGGAGCTTGAGTATGTGTGGTATAGTCGATCGTGCTAACGCTTGTTCCTTCTCTTCTTTAGGGATGGTGCCTACGTGCAATTCATTCGCCCCAAGGGCAACCTCGAGCAGAACCTCCGCAACCAGCTGCGTGCTTAAGCGTTGCGTGTGTGTCGTTCTTGCCATTGTATTTGTTATGCCGATTCCCATTTGTATACGACGAGCGCAATGCATATGGTATTCGCGAGGTAATGTGTGCTGCTGATTCATTTAGATTTGAGAAGGTGAGGATGCAGGTAGGAAGGTTTTTGATGTGGGCCGCCTTGTACGTTTTGTGGCGTAGGGCAGTTGCCGGGACCCCTTTTTTAGATTGCACCCTTCTTTCTTCCCTTCTCGCTATCACATTCTGTAGTTTTTAGTACATGCCTCCTATTCACTACAGCACCTGGATTCAATGGGTGTTGGTTAGGGGAAACGGGGCAAAGATTGACTTCTGCTGTGGATTCTTTGTTTTCTTCCGCACTACACTCTCCGAGGCTGCGAAGATTCAATCCGAATGTAGACACATCTTTTTTAATGACGTCAGAATTTTGTGTGATGATCACGAGATCGACACAAGGCTTGGGTGCCCTGAATTTAGTTAAAGTAACCATCTTCGTCTGCAATCCATTCCTTTCTTCCCCTTCACCCAATCGCCTTCGTCACAGAAAATATTGTACTTGTCATCATCGTCAGCCTCAGCGAGCTCGACATTTTGCTCATCGCGGACGACGTTGTCCGGCACAGAAAGCTTAATTGGTTAGGATGGCGTACGATGATTACTACACGTCGACGCAGCAGTACAACAGCAGCAGTGGTTCTGCCTTTTCGTTTCTCGATTCGGACCCTCCCATCATCGACACCACCAGCATCGCATCGGGACACCATGTCCCGCAATCCCACCAGGACCTTTTCTCTGAACCGGTGACTTTCCAGATGCCTGCGTTCATGCAGGAGACCAACACCGTACCCAGCTTGGCCTCTGGTGGTGGAGCCCTTTTCTACCCATTTGGACCCCCACCTACTACCGGTAAAGACTGGATGCCGTATTCTGTATATCAAGACGAACCGTACGTTGGTTTTGTCGCTGGCGAAGTATTTTATGGCGGGCTGACAGCTATCGTGATGGATTGTTCAGTAGCTGCAAGACGGCCGCCGCCGCCCCCGTCATTCATACGCAGATCTACGACCCTGCTTCCGCTCAGCAGCAAACTGGCGTTGTTGCGTTCGACAATCCTGGTGCTGCTCCGTTCGAGTATGAGCCGATCCCTGCCCCACTCCCCACCAACCCTGCGCGGGATACCCACCTCGACTCCTTCCTCTCCAACTCTGGCGCATTGATGCAAACTCAGGCCAGTAACGAGGGGCAACAATCACAACAGGGCTTTGACGAAGCTCCACTCGAACAGCCGCAACAGCCGCACCCGCAGCTAGAACTTGTCGAAGGGAGCCAAATGGGAGATGGGGTGGTGCACCCAACGCCTGCCGCTGCCCAGAACAGCGTTCATCATCATCCCAATAACGCTCTCCAAGCTCTACCCAATCACGAGCACGGTATCCCCAGCTTAGCCCCGCCGCCACCACCACCGCCTCCCCCATTACCTCTCGCCCCTCCGTCTTCTTTAGTTTCGACGTCCTTCTCCACGGCTGCTTCGACGCTAGGCCTTCCGATATACTCTGCCTCAGGCTTCGACCTCCTCTCTATCCTCGCGCGGGTCGCTACCCGGCCTTACCCTCGCGTTCAGCTAGGTCCGGTGGATCTGACATGCTCGTTTGTGGTGGTTGATACCCGCCGACAAGACCACCCTATCGTCTACTGCTCGCCGAGCTTTTTGAAGCTCACGGGCTACCCCGAGGACGAGGTCATTGGCCGCAACTGTCGCTTCCTGCAATCGCCGACGGGGAAGATGGAGCAGGGCGAACCACGGCCCGACCCAGCCACGCAAACCGCCGCCGCGCAGATGAAAAAGTGTCTGAATGCGGACAAGGAGTGCCAGTTGGTGTTGACCAACTACCGTAAGGATGGGACGCCGTTTACGAATCTCGTAACGGTCATTCCGATTCCTGGTGGTTTGACTGGTGCAGCGCACGAGGAGAATGAGGTGGTTTTCCATGTTGGATTCCAGGTTGATATGACGCAGCAGCCAAATGTCATCCTGGAAAAGTTGAGGAATGGGAGCTATTTGATTGATTATTCGTCGCAGTCGTTTTTGCAGCCGCCTGTGCCTAGGGGGCATACGGGGGCGGTGGCGACGAGGGAGAGGAGGTCGACGAATATCCCCAAGATCGTCATTTCGAAGGAGTTGAAGAAGTTGCTTAATGATCCTACGTTTGTGCGCTCGATACCGATTACGACGACGACGAATCATCCGCCGCCGACTTCGTCTGCTTTGGACATGCAGGATGTGTATGGGGGGAACCATCCGCTTCACATGATGCTCCTCGAGATGGGCCCGGATTTTATTCACGTTGTCTCTCTCAAGGGTTCGTTCCTCTACGTTGCGCCGAGTGTGCGGAGGGTGCTGGGATACGAGCCTGATGATCTAGTGGGGAAGAGTATCTCGGATCTCGCTCATCCGGAGGACGTGGTCCCTCTGATGCGTGAGCTCAAGGAGAGCAGCTCCACCGGCCTCACGACTGCCACCACCACGACGACCGAAGGAGCGATGGGACTCTCCGGCACGCACGCAGCCCCAACGATCGGCCAACCACGCACCGTCGACCTGCTCTTCCGCGCACGTACCAAGAACGGGTGTTATGTTTGGGTGGAGTCTCGCGGTCGGCTGCACGTCGAGCCGGGTAAAGGACGTAAAGCGATCATCCTTTCTGGACGGGCGAGGGAGATTCCGAAGATGAGTTGGGGGTTGGTGATCAAGACGGGTGGGTTGGCGAAGATGGTCAAGGCTCAGAGGAGGGTTGTGGGGAGTGGGGGTGTGGAGCAGGTCGAGGAGGTTGATCAGTTCCAGGAGTGGTGGGGTACGATGAGCCCGCAGATGGTGATGCTGATGATTGGGAAGGGGTTCCCCGACGTGATGGGGTATTCGCAGTCGGAATTCCATGGACGCAATTTCAAGCTTTTGCTTGATTCGAGCTCGTCTTCGTCTGTTTCGCTCTCTGACGTCGTCCAGCAACTCGGTACATTGTCCAAGTCGAAGGAGGATTGTGTGGAGAAGGTGGAGAGTGTCAAGTGTCGGGTGAGACATAGGGATGGGCATTTGTTGGATGTGGTTGTGAATGTGTATAGGCCGGAGAGGGATGTGAGGGTCCTCGAGGCGACGCGGAATCTGGGTGGTGTTTTGCCCGCTCATCTCATCTACCAGGTTCGGAAAATAGGCGCGGAGACTTACCCTCTTACCGACACTTCGTCGTCTTCCGCGCTGTCCTCGCCCTCCTCGACTTCATCATTGACATCGAGCTCGTCCCATCCGTCACTTTCCAAACGGTTCACGATCGACCCCGGGGCGAATATGTTTGAAGAGTTGGAAGTGAGCCGAGGGTCGAGTTGGCAGTACGAGTTACAACAACTCAAGTTTGCGAATCAGCGGTTGAGGGATGATATTAAGATGTTGGAGGCTGCGGTTCGGGCTCACAAGGGGCGGAAGAACTTGGGCAAGGCTATGTCTTCATCGTCGTCGTCGACTTCGGGGTCGTCGAGTGTTTCCCCGCCGGCTTCGGCCCCGCCTACACAGCAGCATTTCGCGCAGCAGCAGATGTATGGAGGAGGAGGGGGAGGAGGGATGTATAGTCATCAGCCATTTGTGTCGGGTGCGGTGCCGTATTTCGTGCAGTCCGCGGGTTCGGGTGTGGGTTTGGGAGGTGCTGCACTGCCTTCTCGAACGTCGTCGTTGGGTCGGAGACAGAGTATATCTGGTCCCCCTTCACATCTAGGGTTGCAGCCCCTCCATCCTTCGTATATGCAGCCTCTTCGTCGGCCTGGGGCGGGTATGATGGCAACCCCACCGCCTAACTCCTCGACACCTTCGGCGAACGCGAATGGGAATGGGAAGGGAAGGAGCTTACCCCCGGTACCTTTGGCGATGGATTGGACTAGTGGGAGTGGTGGGTGGGTGCAGAGGATTCAGCAGGAGGCGAGGTATCAGGCGGCTCAGCAGGTGCAGCAGGCGCAGGAGTATTCGGGTTCTCAACATGGACAGCATTCGACGACGAGGCAGTTGCAACATGGGCATGGGCACGGAAATGGAGGCGGAAGCGGAAGCGGTCAGGGGCATGGACTTGGACATGGACATTACCAGCAGCAACAGCAGCAGCATCATTCTCAGATGATGCACCAACAACAGCACCAGCACCAGCAGAGGGTCGGGGTTGGGATGAAGAGGCCGTGGGGTGCGGTTGATCGGTAGTACGGTGTTGGCGTTGGCTCGATAGGTATCCAGTCGGATGGATGGATGGATGTGGACACTCTCTCGCGCCTCTCTTCTCTCATGTGCATTTTTGCTCGTTGATCCACTGCTCGATACTGACGACTCCCTCACGAAACGGCTACCTCTAACTTTCCCAGTATTCCTTTATTCGCACTTGCTTTCTTGGTTGGGTTACGGGTTACACTTCGCATCACGCTCGTCCTGCTTTCCTTTTCTGTGCTTGTGCTCACTCTTTTTCTTCTTTCTTCGCTGTGCATTCAGTCTTTGTCTGTACATTTACTCGGGCTATAATTCTTTACGGGTTTGTTTGGGCTTTACTTCCCCAAGCGACGAGGGCCAGCGGTCTTGCGATGATCCCACTTTTTTCCTTCATTGTTTGTACATACATAGTCAACCGTATCGTATTGTATTCAGTTGTAGTCTCTTGTCCTAAGTATTATCGGGTTTTCGGGTTTTATCATATTTTTTCCAAAAGACGGTGGTATGTTACGACTTTGCATTGTGTAGAATACGAATAGGACCTGAATCTGGCAGGGGTTGGATGAGATTTGTAGAATACGCGCAAGCATATGAAATGGCGGGTTAACGTTTGACTGTATGTTTGTCGAAATGGGCTCACTACCGTCAGAAAGGTAAGTCGAACTGTCGTAAAAGGAAATTGACGTCGCTGATGCCCCTATTCTACACCTTTAGTGACCGACGCGTTGCGGTGGATAGACAATCAGGCACCGTAGCATCTTCGTCCTGCCACGTCCCAAAAGCTGCTACGACGTCCTATGGGAAGGTCAAAAGCCCAGAAATTGCCCTTAAATCGAGCCCGACTCGGCAAATCGCCATGACGCTCACTGGCATCCTGAGTGGCACTCTTGTTAGTGCCGCGTTGTGTGGCTTAGGTATTGTCAGTGATGTGTTCACGCGCAAGTTCGCGTGGAAAAAATGTCTGCGAAATCGATGGGCAATTCCCGTGTGCCACTCTGGGTGGCACTTTGGTTCAGGCTTGCGAGATCATTGTATAACCCCACTACCTCGACCTGGAAACATCTCAGTAGCAATGTCGTTTCGGCCTGACATTCTCGCAAGTCGCGACATCATGCTGTACATCCACCGGTATTTGGAGCCGCGAGACTTCATTTCCATGCGCCGGGCAAGTCTATTCTGCATGATCGCCACTCATCGGTCATCATCGACAAAACTTGACTGAGGCGTTACCTCTAGACATGCAAATCGTTCTATAAGCTATCCAAGTTGAAGATCCTGTGGATCTACGCAGTTCGGGATTCATACCGTCGCCATGGCCTTCAGAACTTCGTCTCCCAATTCTCGCTCGAGAAGATGTCACTGGAAGAACTTGAGCGACTTGCTCTCTCTCCTTCCCGATTCTTGGACTGGATGAGACGCGCACACTCCAAGTTCATCCCAACATTCGAGGATGTTGCAATCGTGCGCCCACCACCCCCTTGCGCCACCGAATTCGACTGCGCCTTTATGGTGCCTGGAGGCCGCTTTCTGGTGACCACTTCCCGGGACAAGGCATATTTTGACGATGGGGAAACTGTAGCCTGCTTGTGGGACCTGGGGTTTGGGCAGAGTCATCCTATCAAATCTAGTCCAGTCGCCCACGTCTTACTCCCAAAGGAGTTCCGTACTACAGATATCGGCGCAACAGCCTCAGGTCATATCGTTCTTTGCGGCGTGGAGTGAGTAGTCTATGTTTCCTTCACAATAAACATCTTTTATTTATCCTTTCGAGAAACAGTGACGCCGTTGAACGACAGTGCACCATTTACACGGTAGACATTCGCAATCCGTTGCAAGGCTTTCGACTAGAAGCGCAGCTCGACAATACTCCTGCGCCCGAAGAGCACGAGTTGTTGTATTTCAACGTCTCGGGAGATTATATCTGGATGACAAGGAACCGAGCGGAAAACGATATCAAAGTGGTTGAAATCTTTGTTTGGAACTATCGCTGCGACGGTGCGGCACTCTTAAACCCGGGGATGATCTCAATCGATTGGGTCTGTTTCGCTTTCAATCCTGTCTCTGTTTCTTATTACCCTTGCTAACCTGGATGACATGGCAACCAAAGGTTTCGATTTTTGGAGATACCCTGGTGACAGTCCACAGAAATATCCAATCGTCCGTGATGGAGATTAGGACGTTCGATATACCGCTCCGCAGGAGGGCTGATTTTTCCGACCTCAACGACCTCCCCAGCGTCAGAGTCACCGACAAGTCAACCCTGCGTCAAGAATTCGAGTACGGGTTTGAAGAGGCGAACGAAGCCCGCGTGCTTTTTTCGCCGAATTGGGCGGTTTCGGACGAGGGGACGCTGCCTGCCGTTGTGGTCATGGATGGCGAGGGCGATGGCGCCGAGGTCTATGAAGAGGAGGACGAGGAGCTTTCATGGGGTTTGGAAGTTTACGCGATCGGAGTGGATACGGTGGAGGGGGGCGGCGACTTGAATATGGAGGAAGGATCAACAGCTCAAACTCCTAGTACTACGTCGAGGCGCATCGGTTCTACCGGGAGCTACACGGGGCGGGGGCGCTACACTGTGGAGTCAGAGGTCGACGGTCCTTTTCCTTCTGGGAGCAATATCGCCTACGCCGACAACCACCTTTTCTTCTTCAGCGGGCAGGCGATCCAAGAGCTGCCCGAGATACCGGCTGCGGCTGTTACAGCGGTGCCCATCTCTAGACGCGGTTTGGACGCCGGAGAGCCCCTTGCTTGCTACACGTTCTATACGGACCTTGGGAAGCACTGCGATCTTCCAATTATCAGTATTTGTGCCATCTGTCCGTTGACCGGCCGGATGGCTGTCATTAGGGCAGATCATGAAAACGAGGAGGAGGAGATTCGTATCATAGATCTTTTGGATTCGGATATTCCAGATGATTCCGAGGAGTAACTTGAACACTTTGTGCGTACATACTTAGTAGGAGCCTAATATGAGGGTCTCTTCTTTAAAGATTCTCGATGCCCTGCGTTCGGCTGGTTTATAGAAAAGGTTACCTATCAATGGCCATGCCAGGTGATGTAGCATGCGCACCAGGGTTGTGGCCAGTAGACTCTACGTCAATCTGGTCGTGCTTTCGCTTCCCCTTCAACCCACTGGTACCGACCGGTACGCCGTGCTTTGTCTGACGAATCCCGGATTTTATCATAAACATTGATGAATTGTCGTAACTGTCCGGGATGACTGCGTATTGGCGTTAGTAAAGGCAATCTCATCTCTGGCGATTGGGTCAGCATTGAAACGAGGAAATCGGCCTCACCAAACTCGGGCCCTTCCTCTCATTTCAGGCTGTGGGTTTGTGTATGTTGGCATCGAGTGTCAACCAAGCCTCAGGTCCCTCGCGTTGTTGCTTTTCCTTCTCGACGGACGTTAGCTACCTTGTCTATTTTCCAAGCTCTTCCTCAGCCAGTGTCCATTCAGGAAGCAACATCTCCACCCGAGTATATACTAAAAGAATTTCTACTCATCTTGTTGGTTTAAAAGACACGGCGAACCAACCCACATCACAAGCACCCGTGAGTGGGGGACGGAATGAGGTATGGTGCCGCATAAATATAGGTCAGGATTGTGGCCGACGTGAATGTAGGCGCCGTAACTCGAGGAGGCTGGGAAAGAAATGCCACGAGGCATGGGTGTAGTCAGTGACGCTTGTCACTTGCGTGTGTTTTGAGAACTCAGTCTGTATGGTATGTCAACGGAGTCAATTGAGCGGTTTTGTTTGATTAGTTCAGTGCAGGGAGGTAAGATGTGTTCAAGTTCGAGAGTCGGTGCGAGCGCTTATCGAAGCGCTCTCGCTCGAACGGATTTGGGCCAGGCGCTCCGCCACATTTTTGCAGATGGTCATTTTCCGTGATGGCCTCAAGGTTACCTCGAGGGGGATAATTCTATTGAGAAACCCGGTATGAGGGGTTTCTCAATAGGGAACCCGGTATGCGAGGGTTCTTCGAGGCCACCTCGCCGGCCGAAGTCTCCGCCCGCACGGGGAGCGTCGGTAAGGCGGCTGATGACCGCCGGCCTTCAAGACAATAAGCGCCCGGACCTCGTACCTTCACGAGATTTCTATACAGACAGCTACCTAGCCCAGTGTAAATCGATTACGATCCAACGAAATAGAAGATATTGAATTATAACACAGAGTTTATACTGCGGGTGATAAACACTTCAAACCATGCTTGACTTAGAGCAGTCGGACAAGGTCTCCGATTGTGACCTTGTGCCCGGCAGATACAACATCTTCTCCCAACCAACGCAGTCTCCTGCTCTGGAGATACATCGGCATTCCTCCTGGCCATGTTCTGGGCCATTCATAACCGGGCGGTCGGATTACCACCTCGTGCATGGCCTTTGAATGCGCCTGTAATTCTAGATGTCTGTCTGCCTTTGGGATTCAATACCGGCGATTTGCATCACATTCCGTCTGTATTATCTCTCCACTTCAAGGCTAATTTTAATTCTTCACAAATCCTTTTCATTTCTGCTGATGGCGAGAAAGTTCTCTCCATCGTTTGAGGCTGTGCTTTGCACTGTATTGACGATATAGACGTTGAGAGACATGTTGTCCTACAGGTCAGAAATATGACCATGGATGGCCCAGATCCTCCCAGATTCGTTCTACTCGACGGAATTCAAGCACCCAGCATCTTAATATACATTAAGGAGAACCAATATTGGGACCAGGGACTCTCCTCAAGTGGAGCTGTATCCAACCAAATGTCGGGACGCGGCTTGCTGCTTTTCGCATGAGTCTCGAGCATCCAGGATTAGTACCAGCCAGCCTCCGGATCACCGAAACATCAGACAGGGACAGTATAGCTCAGAGCTTCAGCCACCATTCATCAAAAGACGGGTGAACTATCGGGGTCCGGTGATAAGGGCGCCTGTGAGTAAAAGTCGTTGGGACCCCAGGGTGCCCAGTAGACCCGGGTTTCTAGCCTCATACCGGGTTTCTCAATAGAATTATCCCCTCGAGGGACCTTAAGGTGATCGGGCTTTCAAATTTGAGACCTCCAGCTACCTTCGCCTTGAGGTGCCCTTACCTTGCAGCAACAATAGAACTTTAAAGTGAGCAAAGGGACTGTCTATGATATGTTGGTTCACGCAGGCTGTGGCAACGACCTCAAGATACCTCGCCCTTACCTTGCGGCAACACTAGTTCAACTGCGCCGCAGTTAAACCCTCAATCCTTCCCCCAATCACTGGTAACTGACGCTGAGTAGCATCCTCGAGGATATTGATGTGCTCACCGGATTGGTCTAGAATCCTAGTCGATTAGGAAGCCTCGCTAATTAATTTGACTTTCTGCTGTCACAGTAGATAATTGCGTGGAGATAAGTAGTTCATAAAGCACGACGAATTGGTATGAATCACCATGGACATTGGCGTCTATCTGCAGGAGGGCGCCGTGCCTGCAGTGTGACCTCAAGCTCGCAGCGTCATTCAATTCCATATCGCACACCCGGCGCTCACCCGGCGAAAAAAGACCTGTCGAAGTTGATCGTTGTTAGATAGATTTTTCTCTACGGTTACCTCATCACCTTACACGATCACATGCATACTAGATTAGTCGCGTCTCCCTCATTCTCACTCTCCAGACTATTATCACCATCTGGACAGTGAGTATGGTTTCGTCGTCTTCATCGTTCCATTCATCTCATGTATTCGTAGTTCATTCTCACCTGTGTGGTGATTCATCAGGTATATAGACTATTATCACCATCTGGACATTCATTCTCACCTGTGTGGTGATTCATCAGACCTGGAGTGTCTGATTAACAGGTTATGAGCCCCGTGCTCTACCACCTTCATTCTCACCTGTGTGGTGATTCATCAGACCTGGAGTGTCTGATTAACAATCGTGAGTGACACAGCCGTCTGAACTCAAAACTGGAACTAGGTCGGAACTACTTATAGTGGCTTCTCGACATTTCGCACCATGGGCTAGGGCCAACCCGAAGCCAGTGCATGGTGAGTACCTTTCCGATATTTACAGGATAGGGGGGAATAAGTTTTCCAGTGGATCTCCATGCAAAAGAATGTCATGGACTCGTATAGTCAGTAAATAGCAAAGATCCTCGCCCGGAGACCTGTATGAATGGTTATGTCACACCGCGACCCCCAATGGTTACAATTTCCGTACTGTCAGTAATATCTGGCTCCTCCGAAAATAAATAAATAAACACCTTACCTTGTGTCGGAGGACTGAAAGAGAATCAGCTCTCTGCCATCAATGCGAGTGACCGGTGAGTTCTCTAAGCCACTAGAAACCGGAATGGATGTGGAAATATGAAAGGAATCCACAAGCAGTGCATCTCGCCGTGAATCGCGCTGTTTGGAATAGGGTCCATCCCTCACCACACATTCCGGCCCAAGGATATTTGCCGTTGACCCGATCACACCCACTGGCAGTACTTAAGCCATCTATACCACTTGAACGCCAAAGTCGCCTTCTTTTCTACCCACCTCTCGCTCAGGTAAATGACCACTAATGGGCAACATGACCAGCGTTCGACCGGGGAGGCCCCCTTCGACAAAACAGGAGGAGTGGCTACCAAGAGAGATGTTCAAGTTGTCGTGTGCGTAGGTTGTCTCAATGTTGAGTGGCGACAGAAACTTATTGTTCGACAGCGTGATGGGACCCTCTGGAGCGGGTAAAAGCACGGTGAAGTTTGGATTCTCCCATTGTTCACTCGCACACACTGACTGGCCCCTCCAAGTTTATAAACTTGGTTATAGGAGAAAGCAACACATAACAACATCTGAAAGTGGGGCATACTCAGGAGGCTTGCACGGACAGAGTAGAGGACGTCACCATTGATCTCGAAGAGTTCACATTTGAAGGCCATGGTCTCATACTTGTTGATACTCCGGGATTCGATGTCCCGCGAAAGCATGGGATAACAGATATCGACATCCTAAAGCAAATATCGAGGTGGTTAGCCAAGTGGTATGTATTACCTTTAGCCCCGTCGAGTGGGTGGGATCGGAGAGCTCACAGGAGCTCACCCTGATTCATCAGCTACCGCAACCCGAGTATGACGCTCGCAGGGATCATCTACGTCCACGACATCACGGATGACCGACTCGACTCGACTGCTCTCAGAAACCTGTCGTTATTCCATGAAATTTGTGGTAGCGACGCTTTCAGTCAGGTTACCATTCTTACCTCGAAATGGCAACAATTAGGGGAAGCGGTCAGGGGTCCTGCTGAAGACCGCGAAACGGAGCTCCTCAGCAACCCCCAGTGGAAATCCATGACCCAGCATGGGGCGGAGGTCAACTCACTCCGAAGTGCAGAGAGTAACGCAGCTCGGGACGTTGTTATTTCTCTTCTGAGTCGGCCTCAAGCTCGGGAGTACAGAATGAAGCTTAAAATCCAAGTAGAACTCATAGACCAGAACCGAACCCTTCCTCAGACAGGGGCTGGACGACAGCTGAAATCCATACTCAAAAACACGGCTAAAAGGGAAAACAACAATCCAGTTCTTAGACAGGCTCTAGCGCAATTTAGAACGCCCTTTTCCGTCAGGTGGAAACAATTCCTAGGAATCTATGTGAGTTGACTCAGAAACGACAGGGATATTAGCATCAACTGACGCCTCTCTTTCCAGAGGTTCAATGAGGATGAGGCGTTCGGAAAGGAGACGGTTGTGCGGAGCTCCCCTTCGCCTAACGCCTAAGCGGGCCTCGAAGCGCGCTCCAGTGACTCTCAGGCCTCAGGTTGTATGTCCCCATTTCTCTTCTTGATACCTACTATTTTTCCTAAATGTCGTTGTACCTATTATGCTTCTCTTTCTCGCTGGTATCCTTACGTCCACTATTTTTGGCTCACGAGAATGACATAGGATTCATTCAATGTTCTAAAAGAATGGCATGCAATGGCTACGAGCTAATATAAGTTCATACTCCTCGCTCCTGAACACTATGGACCCTGCACCCATTTAAAATAAACGGATTTGCAAACGGCTGGTGCGTCGTCAGTAAACGCACCAGCCGTCAACTCCAAACGCCCAGTCACGGATGCTGTGTTAGTTTTCGCGCGTTACTTACCCGTTTAGAATAAACTCGGATTTGATGTACCTAAACGCATTTGAGAAATATACCGATTCACGCACAACCCCAGGAGCATCCGTATCTTTCCGTTTCTTCTACAAATGTTCAACAAACTGGTGCGCTACGTCTCCGTTTGCTTGTACTGCCCTTGGGCCTTTTCTCCTACCCATTCCGTTACTTACCTGCTCAAAACATACGGAGTACGAACGGAAAGCACGCTAGTGGGTCACGCAAGCTACGTCAGATTGTAATTTTGATTATAGCGGCAGTTGGTAATGTACAGGCGTGTGCACAACACTATACTACGGGGCTACTGTTTTCAGATGAGTAAATACATACCTTTGTTTGCAGCGAGTTGGTCCTGGAGGTCGCCAATCTGGGCAGTTGAATCTTGTATGATTTCTTCACAGAGCGTTGGTCTGGGAGGACGACAGCGCTTCTTGCCAGAATTGGAGCCCTCGCTCTGAGAAACCACGCGATATTAAATTTGGAAAAGAGGGAAAACATACAATTATCCGTGTTTTGTCCGCCATTCACCTTCTCAACCTTGTCCTTCTCGGAATCTCGCCCTGCTTCGGCATCCTCTGCGAAAGTCAGAAATATGTCAAAGTGACACAGAATATGTGTACACACCTTGCCACTACCGCCCTCCTCGAAGCCTCAGGCTCACTGCGTTTCAATAGGTACTGTGAGAGTAGCATTCGCGCAGAAGAGGATGAGAGGTTGGTTGGTAGGAAAGAGAAAGGGCTTGCACGCCGCACACTCTGGCGTGGTTGGTCTCTGTTTGGCAAAGAGCGTGATCACCTGATGTGGGGAGACGCGCGAACGCCTAAGTCCACCTTCAAGTCGAATCTCTTGTCCCCGTACCTTACTCTCCCTACCTCTCCAATGAAACCTCTCAACTTACCTTTCTCAGACTCTCCTAATGCCTAGGTCATACAAAAAGAATTAGGTATTGGGCATAGTTGTGATGGATAGCAAACGGAGAATCCAGGCAGATTCCGTTACTTCCAAATCTGTGAGTTCTCGCTCACGAGCAACTCACGGAGAATGCTGGGGCTCAAAAGTCACACATTTTCGAGGTAACACATAGGTAACGTGTTGTACGTGAATTCTGGACCTTTTCACGGACGGTACGTGCGAATTAAACGGATACAGGGTCCATAGTGGAAGGACCTGTACTATTTTTATCTCCTGTTCACCTTCATCGGAGCAGGTCCTACGAACCGAACTGAATCTCCCAACCAATCGATTCGCTTTACACCTTCCTATCGACCCCGTCTCGATCCTCATTCCTCCATTTTAGTGTCCCACTTGTCTTCCTGTCGAGTCATCCGTTGGCAGTTGCATCAACTCATCATACATGCATCGCAGGACATCAGAGACCAGGGTGCGACGAACGGATGTGAGTGTCCGCGGAAAATATGGATGGACGAGGGTGAAATGGCGCGTGCAGCGTTGGGAGTCGTGCTGGAGAACTCGAGATTGTGGAGGGTAGTCGACAGGCTTGCTGCTCGTTGGGAGGTCGGCAAACGAGGTCGGAGAGAGGGTCTTGACGGTGGTCGAAGAAGTAGGCGCACGAGGTGTCGGTGATGGCGGTAGATAGAAGGGAGGTCGAGAGAAGTGGACAACGACATTGCAGGACGATGTTCAAGGCTATCGTTGGCGGACGCGGGGCGTCGGAGGGAGGATTCCGTACTCAATCCGTACTGTTAAAAATGTTACTTAGATTAAAGTCAGGTTCAAGGTGACGAGGATGGCTCTCTCACCTTCGACGGGCGAGCGTAACTGTAGGACGCGTTTATTGATCCAGGGGAGAGTAGGTTGCCGCAGCTCGCGCCCTCGCCTTCCGGACGTTCGGTCGCTCGAGCTTAGCGAGACGTAGTGGCACAGCGAGCGCTGCTCCGAGCCTAGGAGGGACCCACCCGCTAGTGATTCCATCTCTGTTAGCCGGGTGACTACAGCTAGCTCGGACCTGATCCCCGCGCATGGCATCCTGGGTCCTGGTCGAAGTCTTCTCTCCGGGGCGGCTGCCAGGGTGACAAGTTCGCAGTGGTCTGTGGTTCATCGCCCGCCGAGCCCTCGAATGTATCCGAAGAGTGACTGTGGAAGGTAGCAGGATCACTTGAAGCGGACGGTAGGTAGGCTGGTTGGGCTTGGTACGATGGATGGATGGCAGTAGTCGCGCTGTACTAGCTGCCGCCGCTGGTAGAACCAGTACACCCACAGGCACGGCGGCGACGCATACTAGTTTCACAATCCTTCAAATTCGAAGGACCGCGGGGGATTTCGTTACCGCAGCGAGCTGTTGGTCAGACTCGATGAAGGAGCGAGCAAGACGAAGGCTGTGTACCTGTAGATCTAGAGCGCACGTACGCATATCTGAAAGACAAGTAGTAGGTCAGATCCGTGAAGAAGAACGGTCAAAGCCTGGGGGGTCTTGGTTTACGCACTGCATAAGTTACCAGCATTCACAGTACGACGTAGTACGTCGAGACCAGCCATTCGTGGATGAGGATTTTGGTCGTTGTGAGGAAGCCTGGGATTGAACACATAGACGGAATCCTGGTTGGCATACTAGTTGGGGGTCAGAGGCCCGGGAAAGACGGCCAATTCCCTTCGACAGTGAGTGTCACAGCCAAGGTATTCAGATGCCACGTAGTCATCCCCCATAAGAAAAAAACAAAAAGAAAAGAGATTCAAGGGTATCCACCTTGACATCTCTGGTGAGATGATCCACTTAATGTCCCATTGTTCCAAAAATATGCTTTGTCCTCCAAATTCGTTGGTGTGGAGCCTGGACATTACGGCGGAATGTTAGGACATCTCCGGCGTCCTCATTGCATATAGAATTCCAGGAGAGAAGAGCGAATACATTGGGGTCCGGGACCGCCGGACCTGGTCCGCGGGCTGTGAGCAGGGCCGCGAGAGTCATCGCACACCTGTGAACCCAGTCTATTGGGAGTCTGATGTACTGCATGCGTACTGCATAGGCCAAAGATAAGTACGATTAATTTGTAGGTCTATACTAGTCCTTTTTTGCTTCGGGACAAGGATACGTTATAATTACAGGCAACTTCAAACCTCCCTCCACAAGCACGTCGCACGACAGACGCTGTCTTGTTGGGTCAGTAGGCATATTTAAAGACGAGATCGAACCCCAAGAACACACTGTATATAAGGATATATCAAGCACGATGACTACAAGGTCAGGGAAGATGCAAGGGAGAACGTGTACGCTGGGGCTTAGGCGCTCGATCGTGTTTGATCGTGTTAGGATCAGACGCCCTGGTTCGTCCTCTCTGAACAGTGAACCTCTTCATTTCTTTATTTACACATACTACATGTCTGTGTAATGTAACTCAAAAGCCCCTACCATGCATTTATAACGGCTACACCCTCGTGGAAGACGAGCAAAAGCGATGCTCTTCGTCGTGCAGCCCAGCCCGTGGCCCCGGACCCCGATAAATCTGCGCCAGAGTAGGCATTATGTATACTTACAGCGCCAGCACCGACCTTGTGGTTTGGCTGGCTTCCGTCACCGCACGTCTCGGGGGGTCCGGTCAAGTTTGTCACCCCTCGTCGATGTTCCGAGGGATTTCTAACAGGAGTGACGCGAAATGGGGTTGAAAGAAAACAATGGATCATATTAAAGAGGTATCAGAGTAACATATACCCATCACTCTCACTATACCCGACCAGATGTCCGTCCATATTGGCAGTGGTTAGAGGGAAAGAGGTCATGATAATCGATTTGCGCTGTTAATTAATATTGCCACCACCCAACTGTAATGGCTGAGCCAGAAACCGGGGGTTCGAGCTTGGTTCGAGCAAACAATATTATAATGAACAAAACGAATACATACGAGAATCGTTATGTACACGAACGCGGCTGCAGAAAAACCGAACCAAACCAAACTTCGAGAAATGCCAAACCACTCAACGTTCAACGGTACTCATCAATATCAATATAACAGTAAATAAGGGTGATATTGTACTAAGTTACAAAATATGGTACACGACAGACAGCACAACAAAAAAAAAAGGGAAAAAAATGAGGATACGGAGTGAAAGAACGAACCACTTCCTTCCAGTCCAGTCCAGTCCAGTTCAACCCAACCCCTCCCCTCCCCTCCCGTCCAACAACTGCCAGGATGAAAGAAAGGATGATAAGGTACGCCTTCCGCACCCCTACGTCCCCCGTCCAAAATACACTTCTAGGCTGACAGGGATTCTTCCTCCTGCTCCTCCAGGCACCCACCACGCGGTGGGTAGACGGTACGTGGTAGTAGACGGTAAGTGTATCGACGGTGAACTCCACGCTTCTCCATCCGCGAGATCGGCAAGGTGTGGGAGCAGTCATCTCCTTTAGACGAAGCGAGAGGTGATGCGTTGGGATACCCCCATTGAGTGTTCAGATAGCAGTCCAAGAATGGAAATTCGAAAGGACAGTGGGTTCGGAGAGGGCAAGGCGGGTCAGAATGGCAATGGGCAAGGCGGGTCGGAGATGATGGATGTGCAGTAGCGAGCGTGAGTGAAGCCGGTCGGGCGGTCGGTCGGATGGGTGGACGGATGATAGACGAGTGAGATAGACAGGAAGGAAAACGAAAAAAAAAGGTCGATCAAGGTAGAGGTTCTCTACTACTCGACAACCTATTCAGGTGGATGTATACATCCGTCCCAAATCCATCCATCGCGATTAACCGTAGGTCGCCACCGAAATATCTTGCGTACTGATAATAGTAAACAATAAAAAGGGGGATTAGCGATCAGCATCTGCTCTGAGGGGAACAACAACACGAAAATGCGAGAGAGAGCGAGAGAAAGGGAGAGACAGAGACGCACCAATCTACTCAGAGGCAACCCATATCCAAACCCAGCCATCGGAGCTTTGAAATCGCTCGCTTGGAAGTCTTCGTCTAAACTTGTCTGGTGCTGTCAGGAATCGAAGAGGTGGCAAGCATCAAGCGGTCGTCAGCACCAAATGGTCCTTAACAGCCAGAAACGTCTTCATACCTCCATAGTCGTATACATATACGTCCAAATCAACGGAATCGCACTCCTCGCAATCCCACCTCCCTCATCACTAATCTTGATCGTGATATCCTCCTTTCCCTCTACAACGATGACCTTGATAGGCGGGAAATGGTCCTCCGCATCCACACCATACCGTTCCACAACAGCTCGTAAAGAGTTCTTGAGAAGCTCGAAGCAGATATGTGATAAATGGCCTATCATCGTGGGAGGAGTGAGTTATGTCATATCGCACGAAGATAACGGAGATGAAGTGAGACGAAATCGAGATTGAAATGAACGAGATGAAACGAGCAAGGTTGACATGAGGCGAAAACAAAATGGAAGCCTTACAAAATAGAGCACCACGAAATCCAAAGCAAGAAAGAGGGAAGCACCAAAAAAGTCGTACGATAACAACAAGTAAAAAAGAAACCAACAAAAACATCGTGATCGAGAAAAAAAAAAAAAAAAAGACTAGATGGAGCATAGGGCGAGAAGGAAAAGGAAAAGAAACTCACCAGGAACATAAGCAAATGTCAAAGAAGGTGGACAAATCAACTGCACAGGCGGCCCTTTGAACATCGCATAATGCTCTTCACACACAAATCGAGCATTCTCAATCGCTTCTTGCACAATGTCGTGCACGTTCTGTTTTTTGGAGGGGGGTTCGGAATAGGTTTGCGTTTACGATGCGGCGTTCGATCAGGACGTGGTGTCAGTTTGGCACGGTGTAGGTCGGGACGTGGTGCAGGTCGGGATGTAGCATGGGTTGGAACGTGGTGTCGGTCGGTCGGTCGGTCGGAACGGTCGAATAAAACACCGAGTCGGGTATCCGTCAAATCGCCAAATAGACACACCACACACCCACAAGCCGGAGATTACGGCGCAGGTGTAAAAGGTTCGAGAAATGGCACCATAACCACCGAGATCAAGGCAAAACCAGATCCCAAACACATCACAACGACCGAGTCGAGTCGAGTCGAGATAACGAGAGCGCATCACGACAACCAGGGTGTCCATTACGATAACATCCACCACCACCACAACGAGTCGCATACGAAAAAGAAATAAGAAAGCGGTTTCGTCAGTATGCGGTTCAATTGCCGATGAAGTGCCGAAAAAATGAAAGAGCGTGTCGAAAGGTGAAGGCGAAGCTTAAGATGAAAGGGGAACGTGTCGAAAGTGTGAAGAGGTTGAAATGATAACATGAAGTGTTCAAATGAACGGAACGGGTCCAACGTGTCGAACACATCAGCGGTAATGAAGTGGCGTGGACGAAGGATAGCAAAATCGAAACGAGACCGGAAATCTGAAAAAAACAAACCCCCCAAAAGCGCGCTCAAGGGTAGAAACAACACACAGGACGGACAAGGAGAGCGAAAAAAAAAAAAAGCAAAAAAGAGAACGAGGAACACGTACAGCTTTCGTACAAATAATCCCCACATAATCTTCATGAGCTTGTTGCGTGTTCAGCGCCACATCTGCAAAAAACGAAAAAAAAAAGATGAACGGAAATTGATCAGTGGTCCGTCTCCTTCCTGGGTTCAAATCCTCCGAAACAGAAAAAGCAAAAGCAACAGCAACAGCAAATCCGGAATCCCATCTCAAATCATACGTCCAACCACGTCCTCGTCGCTATACCATCATTTTCTCCCAAGCCCGTTCCACCCAACTCCCCACGGTTTCAAACCCAAGTCTTACTCTTTCATCTTTCACCCCTTCACTCGCGTAACACTTTCACCATCCCACTTCTGTGACCTACCCCACCCCCATCCTACCTCCCATCCCATCTGTCATTTTCGCCCGTTCACCCTCTTCTTCCACCTCCCAAAAATAAACCCCGTCCCACTCCCAAATCCTCCCCCCGAATAATACAAAAAACCAAAAGCCAAAGCAAACCAAAAAAAAAATGAAACCAAAACAGAGTACTCACGCTGCCCAATCAAAAACCGAATCCCAATCCGACTCATATAAAACCGATCCAACCACGCTTGGATATCTAACCCGATATGTCGTGCGTTTTGGGAACGTTTCCATTCGAGGACGCCTATTTTTTTGCCCGATATCCCAATATCCCGTTTTTTTTTATTATTATTATTTATTTTTTTGGGTCAAGCGAGTAGTGGTTGGCGAACGTAGTGGGTAGTGGTGAACGTGGTTGGTGTGTAGACGGCGTCGCGGACGGTTTGTAGATCGGGAGTGTTCAGACCCAATCGGTGCACGGCGTGGGCGTAATTGCAGAGAGGGTTGCAGTGTGTGCGGTAAGTCCACGAGTGCAGATTCATCGTAAAACCAAAAGTGGTCAAGATGATCCCAATAACACCAGATGCGTCCCATCCAAGCGCCGAATCACAAGCATACATTCCAACGTCGAAAGAACCCCAACATGCCATCGCAGGGGTCGCGATTCCGACCATTCGGAGCGCAGCATTCGCGTTCGCGGAGTGTGATTTGATGTGTGCGGTGGCGGCGTGATATCGTCGTCATAGGCGGGAGGTCCAATAGCCAAGGATGGTGTGGCGGGAACAAAGCAAGTCGGTTCGTGGCAGGCGGGGTCCAGTAACCAAGAAAGTTGGTGGCAGGCGAGAGGCGAGAGCGTGCGTCAAGGACAACGAAAGGAAGCCAAGTAAGGGAGCGTGAAGACATTGAGGGAGAGTGAAAGGAATTGATAGTTCCGTTAGCGCATGTTCTTCACATATCACAAAGGGATCCATGGAACGGGAGTAGAGTGAAGGAAGGGGAACTGAACCGAGCCCAGACGCCCAGAACACACCCAGAACGCCGAAGAAGGCGGGAAGGCGAAACGAACGCCCTAGAGCGGGAAATAGAAAGAAAAGGGAGGCGAAGCACCCCAAGGACACGAACAAGAGGACGAGAATAGCGTAGGGAAAAGAGAAGAGAAGGGAGGCAAAACATACCCTGAGCAACGGTGGTAACAGTCGGGTCATGTCTAGACTTGATATGCTCCAGCAACTTTGTAAATCGCTTGTTGTAGTCTTGCACTTCGGGTGGCCAATGTGTGATATTGGAGGTATTAGCGTAGTATCTGTCACGACAATTCATTCGTCAATTCCCTCTTCACAAACCCCCACTCAAACGTTCGTTAAAGAACCACGACGACTCACCTCCGCTCCATAGGCACTCTCAGCCTCAGCTTGTTGAAACCGTTACCCCCATTTCCATTACCGTTGGAAGGCGAGGAACCGTAGATGGTATCTATCAAGGAAGGGTTTGGTTTGGATTCTGGGAGGGCGAGTTCGTCGGATCGGGAGGTGATGAGTGCTTGGCGGATTTCAGGCGGGAGTTGCGGGTGCGGGAAGTTTATTAGTTCCTGTAGGGTATACGAGTTAGCATCTGGTACAGTGAATGTTTCATTGCAAAGAAATGTGTGGGATACAGACCTCAAACGACTGGGCATACCAGTTCTTCACGCGCTTGATGGACGGCATGTCGCTCAAATTGTGCGGTAGCTCGTCGAGTTCCTTTACTCGATGTGCCAGTCGTACAGGCAGTTCCTCTGTAACACCATCGCTATCAACAACGACTTTCCTTCATCCAGGCACATATGACCCACGCACCTGATAGAAACTGACTCGCTTTCAACAACGTCCCTTGACTGGGATTCTGACCGAACAACACCATCTGCTGCAGTGACACTACGAAAGCGGTGTGAAGACATGTACACTCGATAGACGTAGAAAGTACTCACCTCCCGTCTGAGGAAAGGACGCAAAATGGTGAATCTTGTCCCATAGGGCTGGTGTTATCCTGAATCCCGCCGACATCCTTCAATACCCAATACAATCCTGATCTCTACGAAGTGCGCCGTGGTGGTTTCTAGAACTAGAGAGTTGAGAATAGGGTATGCCTGTGACAAGAGAAGGAGCAAGGAGGATGAGGAGGGGAAAGCTAAAACGTCCGACGGTCGTCGAGCGTCGTGTGCAACTCCAGCGCGGTTGGTCGATGAGCCGATCAAATCACATGAGTCGGCCTTTTCGTGCCGGAATCCGCCATGGCTCAGAGTCAATGCGGGGAAGCCAAGAGAAATCCCAAGTTTCCCCGGACGCTTGTTGTGTGGCTTGTTGGACCAGTAATCTGGGTTCAATTTGACTATGGTCTGCAAGCTCAAGCTCGACCCTGGATGACGAGGTGTATGGAGGAGTCGATGCTAGTAAAACCAAGGTATGCTTGTAGCAAGCCTTCATCGTGATATCGACCATGGACGCCTGTACGAAACACGCTCAAGATGGTCCTCCGTGTCGTTCCCGTTATCACTCGACGCCCGACGGTTCCCTTCCGACTGCTTCCATTCGCCTGGCCTGTGCTTTCGACCGTTCCGCCCACCTTTTTGCATCCTTTTTGCATGGGCTATCAACATTCACCTTTGCGCTGTCCTTCGGCTCTAGCGTCGGAGGTGCACCGAGGGCCCATCGTATCTGTTACCCCGCATCTCTGACAGTCCATGTGGGGTCGGATGAAGTCTATCTAACCTTTGTCTAGACTCTTCCCCTTCCTTCCTCTCCACCACATTCACCTCCTGATCGAACTGCATTCCAACATAACACCAACCTTGGCCGTCTCCCTCAGCATAAGCTAACGCTAACCGCTTAGCACCTCGCTTAGACTCACAACAGCATTTTAAGATTCTCTCGACCGACGTCATACACCATTTCCTCGCCCAGCGCTCGGTAGTCTTTGTGTGGCTTTGTGTGCGGCCTCAATGCAACCTCTCGACTTTGGACCTTGGAGCCTGCCATGTATGATGTTGCGCTACAACGCGCCCTTACACCACTACATCCGCCAAACCGCTTGGAACGTGGCGCCCATAACATTTTCGATGCCGGTGTGGGCTCCACATGTCGACGTCATATGTACCCAACAATTGTCCTTTAGCTTCGGCGCTTAGCTCTAGCTTTTTCCAGGAGTCCGCTTTCGCTTCCAGCCTACAGCACTTCTCCTGACCATCGCCCGAAGTTGAACCACCTCCCATCCACCAGTCGAACAAGCTCTGCATTTCCCGAGCCTTTCCCTCTGGTACCCTCAGGAATAAGGTGTCGATGCTTCAAAGCCGCTCTCAGATCTCCGTTCCCAGACCTCTCAGAACGCCGTCCATGATAAACCTTTCGATGTGGATACACACTCCACAATTTGTCACAACCCCCTCAACACTAGAGTAGGTTTTCCCTAGTCCATTCCCCTGTGCGTCGAGCATTCCAATTTCCAGCACCGCTTCCGCTCCGGCCCTTACCTCCCAAAAATCCTCACGATTATGCTCAAGGACTGCCACCCGCATTCCAAGGTACTCACTACTCTGACCAGTGACACTATACCCCACTCTGCGGCACTCAATTCCAACCCGCCTGCTCTTCTTTCCCTTCCGTGGCTCTTATCGCGGCACAATCGCAGCACATCTTGAGCCCCAGGCGCCCGGCCGCCGCGAGCCTAGAATGGAATGCCGCCTTCCATACTGAGTGCCACCGGTGCCAGTGATGTGGGCGCCGCGTCCTTCTGCGATTCTTCTCCTCGACATCCCATGGCAGCTCGATTCCCGCTGCATCAGAAACCCGGTGTTTCCTCATTTCCGCCGTCCTTCGTTTCGCCACGCCAACCTGGACCTTCCATATATATCTAGTCTGCCACTCCCCGAGCTGTGGTTATGACATGGCTGTGGCTTCCACCCACGACATCTAAAAAAAAAATCAGGCTACTTTGTCATTAGACGCCCTGCCAAAATTAGATCTCCTCCGCACCTGGACGACTCTGTTATAGGCTGGAGAGCTCACCTTCCTCTCTCTCCGTCAAAAACCCACCCTGCCTCATTCCTTGCTCCGAGCAAGACTCTAGAAAGACCTGTATGCTTGACGGTCGTGTTCTCTGTCATCTTCAGCCCTCGTACCTGGGCCCACCGCCGTCCTTAGGGTGCCTCTAATTCATCCGCCAGACTGTTGGTCTAGATTTATGACGTCAAGAACGCTCGCGTAGTATCTGTCCCGCAGTATTCCCTTCACACCTTCGTTCCCGGACACCGTCGACCATGGGAATATACAGATCTGTCCTGATACATCCTCGCGCCCATCTAAAGGGAACCCCACGACAAATGGTTGCAACAATTACGATCACCCCAGAAACGACCACCAGAGCTCGAGAACTACCTTCAGTCAGTGAAATCCATTTACACGACGCCGAGTTCGGCGAGAAGACAGTGCCATTTCACCTGTACCGCTCCCAAACTGGAAAAAATTGCACGAAAGGTCCCCATATAACCGTCATAGAGAACCTACCACCCTACTGCTAGACCCCGGGTTCGTCATACCGTAGCACCCACAACGTCCGCTTTCATCTACATCTTGAAGAAACAACCCAGTCGGCCCAACGGATGACTTTGTAAACCGACACAAGCCGAGCCCTTGAATAAAAGAAGAATACTGTAAATGGGGAGTGGTCGATGAGCACCAGCTCACCGCTTTTCTTGAGTTCAGACGCACCTCAAGGAGCGATCCCCAGTGGGGACAACCGTGACCGCTCGTGCGTGTCGGCAGCGACGACGATGATGGCGAATGTCGTTATCAGGATATTCCCCTCCGCCTGGAGTTGGCAGTCGCACGGCCTGAAACACGCATCTGTCCAGCTGTCAATGAAGGTGACAGCTGGGAGTCTTCATATACCCTAGTCTTCATATCCCCTCTTAACCATATGATGGGCCCTGTCAACGCACCCTCGAGCTCTCGTGTTCCTTTTCTGCAGCAATCCTTGTTCTCCATTGTTACTGTAATAAAACAACAGCCTACATTGGCGTTATCTCGTACACATCCGTACGGTCGTTATCACGTCTGGGTACGAGACAACGTCTGCGCTTCGGAACTAAGGCCGATCGCTGACCGCGTGGTGCCAGAGTACTCCGCAGCTGGACGCTCTGCTCTCGCCCCCTGTCTCAGGCGCAGCGGCGCTATGCAATCGCTTCTACTAATCCTTGAAATAGATATGGATCGATAAATTAAAAACTTGATGGGACAGTCTGGGACTACAAAAAAGACGAGAACTAAAAGGGAAGGGAGGATACACTCGAGGATTGCAATTGGAGAAGGGCAGTGCTCGGAGTCCTTTTTCCAACTGTTATATCAATCACCCGAGGATCGCTACACCTCATATACCCTGAACAAAGCGTCGTTACTCCCATCCGTCCACTCCGTCATAGTGTAAACGAACTTGAGGTCGCGATGCTGGGCTCCGCTCACTCCAGAGATTTGTCGAGGTCGTCGAGAATGGTATGAACGACTTCCCATGCCGCTTCATGGTCAGCGGGGTTCAAACGTACCCACGGACGTCCGCCAACTGTCTCCTTGAGCCCATTATCGAGATCCGTTTGGGCTGTGCAACCGTCAGACTGGACCTTTAGCTTCTCCCACTTGGTTGTTGTGAAGACCATTCGCTCGCTGACATCCGCTCCCCATCCAGTGGTCTGCCTTCCAGTGAGGAGACCAATGCTTTTCTTCTCTTCTTCTACGCCTCGTGGACTAAAGATATCGCAAACCCAAATAACCCCAGCTCTAAGAGGGGCGGGGCGGCCAACTTGAAGCCTCCTACTAGTGTCGTCGTCGTAAGCTCAACTGCCAAATAAAGAGCGTACACGTCAAGCAACCTACGACTTTTCCAACATGGCTGAGATCAGACCCATTATCTTGTTGTCCGTGAGGGATTCGTCCGCGTTGTCAAAACCAGGGGTATCCACCAGTACAATCGTATTCAGACCCGCGTTGTGAAGGCGGTTGTATTCGACCGGGAGCTCCAGTTTCACGAGGTGCAGATCCTTGGTACAAGAGTCGAGGCTGGATTGACTAACAGGTACGTGCTCGTTCTTGCGCCCGTCTCCCAAAATAAGGTTGGCAAACTGAGATGAGAAGTCATCGGGCGCCTCTCTGAAGGACGAGGAAGACCTACCGTGCTTTTGCCCGTCCCGGTGGCACCCAAGATCCTTGGTGTACATGTCAGTAAAGAACCGCGCATGGTCAAGGAACAGCGCGCACAGGATAATTATCGTATTCTTGAACTCGAGTACCTGTACTGGCCTGCCAGTGGGTTTCTTCTTGGATTGGAAAAGTCCCATGGTTCTATTCTACGAGAGGAAGGAGATGATCGAGGTGGAAGAGAGAAAGGGAGATGACGACCTTGAGGGAAGTCGGGAATTACGCCGAAACGGGCCACCACGAGCCCTTCAAGTTCGTTTTCACCACAGCCAGAAACAAATATTTGGAATGGACCGCTTCGCCTTTAGGCTATGTATAGCCTGGACAAACAGGATGGTTGTATCCGATCGCGGCGAATTTCGAAGGGGGTGATGCCCATGCATATGTTAACCCGAAGGTCCTTGAAGTGTTAACAACGTTAACCGGTGCATAACCATCTAATCGGAGACAAAGGCAACTGCAAGATCTATGACGTTTACAGGGCTCCTCAATTCTAAAAGTTCAGTTCGAGTTCAGTTCGCAACGAGTTCAATTGATGTGATGTCGGGATCAATGAGCTCCTCATCAAGTAGTACCTCCAGCCAAGAGCCCGAAGATCGTTCTGAGTTCTTGCGTTCGACAGACAAATCGGTGGTCTTTGCTCAATATTTTTCGTCTTCCTGGAAGTGAATATACTGTACACAAGTCTAATCTACTTTTTAAAGCCGCATCTCAATGCTTTCGACGAGATACGATTGCTTTCTGGTTACGCTGGTGTTTGCAGGAATGACCTTAGTCCAGTGACAAGCGTGGAAAGGCCACTGTCAATTGAACTCGTTGCGAACTGAACTCGAATTGAACTTTTAGAATTGAGGAGCCCTTACGGCATTCAATATGTCAGTGAACACACTTAATTTTCCCAGTGAAAATTCACATCGCAGCGAGCGCTTTCGTTATCAGATTTAATGAACTCCTTTTTGAATGTTCAACGTTCAGATTTTAGCGAACACATTTTCGAATCTCGCGCCTGCAGGCTATAGCAGCTTTCCACTAATACCTTAAGCTCTACTGTCCGCATAGAAAGCTACTAACGGGCTACTTGACTATAACGGACTCCTGGCAGCCCATGCTGAGCCGCGTGTCGTCGCCTACAAACAATGTATACTTCTCGCTGGATATTCCCTTAGCTCCGGTCGGCCCCGTTCTTTTTGAGCTCATAGGGACGTTTCTTCACTCGCCTTTTCCCTTCTCTACGTATATTGCCAGCCACCATCCTGCTCCGTATCGGAAGGCATAATTGGAACCATTACGGAAGGCAGAGAAGTTAGATGGATAGATTAGTACGGGATTAGACTCACCGTCAGTGCTTGAGAACCCCTGAAAATGGCGGAGGTTGGATCTGAAAATAGCAATTTTTCCGGACAGAAAAGCGCGCCTCCTTATTCCCCGCTGGAAAGGTCATCAGGTGACATCCCGCGTTACGACGATCTTCTTCTAGTCTCGACACATGTATGTAAGTAGAAGAGATTCGAAAAAGGGGGTCACCAGATGACATCCCCCGTTACGGAGATCTTCTTCTAGTCTCGACACAAGACCGTCGTGCAAGTCTTGTTCCTCCCCCGCTAATTCCCTCCACCAATCCGACGATAGAACTCGTACACCGCCAATCATCTCTCACTGTGCCGGCAACTGGAGCCGAAACTTCGGGATCAAAACTCGGGTGCCGCCCATATCCACACCATCAGGCAGCTATGCGGGCGCGCTCATGTGGCTGCCAAAAGGTGGCTGCGAGGCCCCGGCCACATCTCATGAAACATGGAAGTCAGGTTTCCATTTCAGAAAAAGGTATAGAGGCAAGGAAAACAAAATGAGGCGAGCTGCGCACATATGGAAGATAGTATATATGAGTATGGACGTACCAGTCTGTATATCGATGCCCCTTCTGCGAGAGAACTCTCTGTACAATGAGCTGCACAACGTGAGGGTGACTTCACTCGAAATTGAGATAGACTCACGGACGAGCTGATGCCGACAATATTTGAACTCCGCCGGTGGTGGACTAAATAAGCGTCGATCTGTTATCTCAAACATCAGTGGACACGGGCCTTCTCGCAGCAGTCCGAGTTCAGAAGTATCCGTAATCGAAACGGTAAAACCAACGTTGGGCTGCGGAGAGTGCGCCGGCGATAATCTTCCCTTTCGCCCCGATCCAAGCCTTGCAGATGTCCTTCACCCTCACACCCAGGGCCGCCAGGATGGCGCTGAAGGACACGGAGTAAACGAAAGCCGGAGGATTCAACGTCCCTCCAGATCAGGATAAATTGGCTGAAAACATTCATGTTGGCTTGGACAAGGACTTCAATTTCGCTTCCAAACCGTGCAGCTGACATTTCATTCGCCGATGATCTCGGCGGCAGTGCAGGCGCCATCGCCATCCCACTGAATCCTGTAACCTCTTCTTTCTCTCAACACTTTGGTGTGACCTCGTCCTCTCGATCCCGCGACTTCGCGTACGCCCTAGGCCTTATATGAGTTTATACGTAGGTTCTTCCCATTTCGTCGTACTGCTCGACGTAAATATCATCTTCAAGCCATTAACGGCTTCAAGTGCCTAATTTCAAGCCATGTACAAAACCTCTTGGAACGTCGCCCGTAACTTTGCAATACTGGTAGGTAATCCTGATTTTGTTTTCTCGCTCGATATACCAAACAATTGTCCTTTAGCGCCCAAATCTAGAAGCTTTATTCGAGTCCGTGTAGGGAATCGAGCGACGATGCTCCAGGGTCATCGACAGATTCTAGGCTATGTACAAAACTGGAACGTCATCCATGAGTTTTCAGGGTGCGCTATTCGTTGCCTCTATTCACTCAAAGGCGCCGATGGCCTATTCATATCACTCCATGCCCGGGTCGAGAGAGGTGGTAGTACTATTGATTGCCTGGTTCGGACGACGGATAAATGCCCTTCACCTTTGTCTAGACCTCCCTCTCGCTCTTCACTTCTAATTTCATTCCAACGTCACGCTCCAGGTTAGCCCCCGTTTAGGCACAAAATTGTACTTCAACAATCAATCCGACCATCATTCGCTCGCTCTGATTAATATTGCGCATTCAATATTCAATGCCTGTGCTCTGCAACCTGGACGTCTTCACCTCTGGCCTTGGAAGCCCTCAACCTTTGCAGATACGGCGTGTACGTGCTCCACCTCTCGCCATCCCTCGGCAGAAGTACCAAACGATTATCCTTTAGCGACTAACTCTGGCTCCTCTAGGAATGCTGCCCATCCAGCATTTCGCCTGCAGAAACAACAACCGACCACTCCTTCTCTCCATCTGTCCAGTTACCTCTACGTGCATTTGCCCCTCTGGCCGCCTAGCACACCCTGCCGACCGTGCTAAGCTTTTCGACATGAGTGGGGGATACATTTTCGTCATACCCCTAAACGCACCAAGCAATTGTCCATTAGCGCTGAGCTCTATCATTTCGGTGGGAGCTCTTATCGACCCTCGTGAAAAGCCATCCCTGGGCCTTTGGGTGCGCGAGCGCTAAAAATCCCCTTCCCCCTCCCTTCGCTCAGCTTTGTGGCATACCGTATTTGTCAGTCACCCGGTGGCGCTTGTCCCAGCTGGACATGAGAAAACCCGCTTTTGCGAGGGAGTTGCTGGTCATGAGACATTGTCAAATTCCTTTTCGCGGTCCCCATGAACCGATCCTGGAAGATGTCGTGGATGGAAATAGCCCTCTTCACAGTGACCTTGGCGCGATACCTGAGCAGGTAAGGGACGAACGACGTCATCCAAGGTAGCGAACCTGCGACTTAACAAGCCAAGTTGCATTACCTTCAGAATGGCAAGGTCGTCAACCACTGGATTGTCATCGAACCGGGAGTGTCGACCAATACAGGTCGAGTCTTGCCTGTTAAGGCGAAGCTTTGGGGGAGATCGGTGACCGTGACCGCCTTCAAGGACGTCGTGCAAGAGTCGGGGTGTTTCCCAACTTTGACGTGGTCCTTACAACGACCGGGACTGAGAAGGTGGTTAATAAACTGCATTTAAATGCTATCAATTCGCCGGCTCCCATGCAAAGACTGTTGAACCGAACCATACTTTCCCCAGCGCCTGTTGCACCCATTGACCCTAAAGAGAGGAGCCGTCAGGATTGCGAAAACACAAGAGATAAGACTCGCAATGGCTCACGGTATCACGATTTCAGTATTAGGTCCCGCATTGACAAGAATCGGATCAGTGGTTGAAAGCTTCGGGAGAGTTTCTCTCTTCAAGGGTTGCTGCAAGCAAGTTCACGAACGAAGATGGGTCGTTCCGATATGTACTTACATAGGTGGATGACCCACGCGTCCCGAGTTTGTGGTCGAGAAGCCTGCCACAGATGACCAATTCAGTCCACAACGAGGGTCAGGCGTGTCACTGAAGCAGTCACTAGAGCCCACCGTCACGGCGTGTATCTTGATAAGCCTCGTGTGTCCTCCATCGTTTCATCTCGGCGCGGCGACGCCTACTCGTGTAGGCTAGTCACGGTGGAGAAGTGGCTAGTGATAGTGAATTGTATCGTCCCCCAATGGAGAAAAGAGAACAGTCCTTTGGATCCTACGAGGGCGTTGTGTTTGGCACATCAAAGGCGGAAGTCTTGAAATGCAATGTCACTTCATTAGCGCTACATAGACAGTGGACACCGCTACACTCACGTTAGCCAGAGAGCCTGGATCGATGGTTGCCGAAGCTGATATCGTCATCCTGTATGTATGGTCACCATAAGATATTGCACTGGACTTCGACTACTAACCCGTTGACGATATCGATGTTCCCCCAGGGTTGTTGGGATGGTAGGAGCTGGACGAAGTTCAGTGAGTGCTTTTCGCGACCGTATACTCGGCTAGATGGCGATGATTAAACGAGGACCTTAGTTTATCAACCTCTTGCTCGAAGAAGGAGCACCCAAGATGGAGGTCGGCCGGGAAGAGTCTCTGTTTCCATGCACCACAGCGACCCAACATGTCACAATAGACTTTGCGCGGCGAGACGGCTCAGTCCAACGCATTGCGCTAGTGGACACCCCTGGGCTAAACCAGCCGGTGAAGTCAGACGGCAAAGTTTTCCAAGAGATTATCACATACCTGCGTAAAAGGTAAGCCAAATCGCTCACCATTTTCCCATCTCTTGCATTTGACATAGTCTGTGAAGATGTCGCCAAGGGATTTCTCGAGGCGGCGTCATCTATCTCCATGATCTCAGCGACTGCCGATGGAGGAATAACATGCATGATGAGCTTCGATTGCTCAATAGTGCATTCAGAGAGCACGGAGGCAAGGTCCGCCAGCGAATCTGCCTTGCGACCACGAAATGGGAGGACCAGCGGATCGAGAAGGGCAACCGGTCTGCACAACAGCGACACGATGAACTAGCGAGGCAAACTCGATGGGAAAGCCTCGTGCTCCAGTGCTGCAATTCGTCGCTCTACCCAGCTCGCTGCGAGGAGGATGCCAGGAAAATAGTCGACGACTTGTTGGACCAAATCGCTCCTCCCCAGGCCGCCTTTCCAGTGGATAAAGAATTGGACACCGTGCTTGCTAAGTTCAGGCGCATTAACGGAAACATTTGGACCCAGTGGTGGGCCACGCTGTCCGAGAAGGCTAAGCAGGTGTTCACTTCATTGGTACAATCGGCTGCATTGTTCGGCAAGTGAAATTGTCGTAGGTAGGAGCAGTTGGAGAGTCCGTGTCATGAGTACGTTGAATTGTCAGAATCGTTAAAGGTCCAATCGTTCGAGAAGTTCAGAACTGTCCGTGAGAAACCAATTACAGAAGGAAAAAAGGAAGGATAAGGGGCGACAGGAACAGTCGACTGGTCCAATTAGACGCCCAGGGTCCAGACTTGATTGTTGTTTCCATTGCTGCACTGCCAGGTCTGGACGACATTGCCGTTGGCCAAGTCTCCGTCAGTGAGGTCGAGGCATTGACCTAAAACGAGTACGAGGGAAGGGAAAGTCAGAGGGGACGCGTACATTGATATGAATCGATGAGCATACCTTGGCCTTCCAGCGCCAAGCGATAATCGAGCGTGTAGAACCATTGTTGCGCCGGGAGGTTGTCGTAGCATTGCCAAATCTTCATCGGGACGCCATTCCCGGGAGTAGACCCAGCGTCCAAGCAGAAGTTGGTATCAGCCACGCGAACCTTGGTGCTCCCTTGGCTGAGGACCCATTTCTGCGCGTTGGTTCCGTTGCAGTCGTAGCTAAAGGCGGCAGGGTGTTAGAGTGCCTAGTCGATACCGAAAAAGGGAAGTATGACGTACACCTGGACAGGGGTTCCGTTGGCGAATACGGCGCCCTGGACATCCAAGCATTTGTTCTCGTTGAAGTTTGGCTTGACCTCGACGCCGGGAGCTTGAGGCCAGGTACCAGAAGGACAGAATCTAATGACAAACCGATTACTTTTACGAGGCAATTGTAGGCAAAAACGGCTTACGTGATCAAGAAATTGACGTCTGGTTCCTTGCATTGGTAAATGGGAGGGTTCTGAGCGGGAGCATCCGCTGGAGGCGGGACAGGCGAATGGAACACGGGAGGAGAGTTGTAAGCCGTAGTGCAGTTCCCAAAGTTGCAAGTTGCAACCGTGCAGAAGCCGTCGGACTGTGAGATGAAATAAAAACGGAGTTAATCCTGCGACTCTGCTACAAGGGAAGGTGAAACTTACAACAGGCTTGTCCGGGGTAATACTGATCCCAGTGTTGAAATTGTTTGGGTTCTGATCGCGGACAATGTAATAGTACCAGTAGGTAGGCTAAAGCAAGACAAATGTGTGAATAGGCTCGGCGTATCGCAACGCGTGAATATCTCACCTCCAAAAAGAAGCCAGCGCGAGCAGCCACTAGTTGACCGTTCACCACACCTCCATTGGTGGTGGTATAGAAAAACCCGGCAGTCGGACCAAGGCCAGTCTTGACAATCGACGCACCGGTCGCCAAACTGCCCTCTGAGTTCTGACCAATGAACAAGTCAATGGCAGTAGGGCAGTTGTTCGTGACCGTATAGGTCTGCGCATGGACACTACCAGCCAGGAGAGTGGCGGAGACCAATGCACTGAAGAAACCCGAGCGAATCATGGTGGAGGCGGTGAAAGAAAAAAGTGGGGGAGAGCACCGAAGAGTGACGTTGCTCGAACTGCTGCTATATATGTTCCAAAGAAATCAGAAGGTTTTCATTTTCCAGAACGTCATGGTAGATGAGCCGAGAGGACGAGGTCATTCCAGCACCCCACGACAGATTGCTATCAACACAAATCCAGGGATTGTATTGTATAAGGGGAGAGCGCAACAAAAGATCAAAGTCATACCGAATTTCGACGACAGACCGAACGTAAAAATAGATGCGTTAACTTCACAGGAACGGGAGAGGACAATGGATCCTTACCGACATCAGAGATGTAAGCGGGGATTTAAGCCCGTTTGCAAAGGCCTGATCCTCGGTGAGACAAAGTACTCCAGAGTACTCCACAATGCGCGACCTTTGCGGACTGAACATTTAAGGCGGTGTAACGGCATAGATTTGACTTCCCGTGCGTTGCAGGGAGCGCTGCAGACAGCTATTCCAGCTGCTAAACAAAGTTGTAAGCCCAAAGCCATGGGAAGTGTTGTGATATTGATCAGTGAAGCGGAAATCCAGCGAAGGCCAGGAGATGCCGCACTATAGCGCCCGTGGTCAGGGTTGGGTTCGTCCGCAAGCGATGTCTCCGTGGGCATCCAGGGATATCGTAGGGAGACATCTTAGCTAATCCCAACATCACCATCATGACGATGAGCGACGAACGCGGGTTGCCAGACACTCGCAGTCGGACTGAATTCGTGTTTAGTTCTCAGTGGACTCCCTCGATCGGGCGTGCTGCCCTCTATAGAGCTCATTCCTGGCCGAGGTTTCGTGTATTCAGGTGGACTATCCGACGGGTTGCCAGTAAGGACGGAGCCTGCGGTCTGTATCAGGAACGTTTTAGGGGCCACCGAAGTAAGAAAACAAGTAGCTCAGAGGGGCGCCAGCCGACTCCAGAGCTCCAGACAGAGGCTTAAGGTCGTCTTCAGGCTGAATCAGGGTGGTCAGAGGATGAAGCTCACGAAGCATGTTGCAGGCCCTCGCGAGGGTATTAATTAAGAAGTACAGTATGAATCCTACAAGCTCCAGGGTCAGCGACGTAGGACAAAGCCAAATTCAATCACGCACTAGAGACAGAAGGCACAATCAGGCCGTTGCGGCGGGAGTTGGTGCCTTTGGAGGTAGTACTGGTGTTCCTCTCTTCTTTTCAACCTTCTGCAGAGCATTCAACCATGAAGGCGCTTTGGCACCGAGGAACTCGCGACCCATTTGTTCCATGCGATATCGTTCTCTGGAAACTCGGAGGAAATGCTCAGGCGTCAATCCTTCGGCGTGTCTGAATCGTCCATATGGCAGCCTTTCCTCCTCTTTGGTGAGATTGACCTTAACTGAGACGTATGGCTTGAGCTATTCGAGAAAACCATGAGACGACGTCAGAACCTAAATTCGATGGAAACGGTACGCACTGGCGACGAGTTAATGGTCTCTATTGGTGGTGCCACAAACACCCTGACCTTTTCGTCAATGAGCCTGTACTTGGCCTTACCGCCAACGACATGTTTTCCAGGTGCCCCCGTTCGATGTCCACCAGGGAGAAAAGCCTGTCTCGTGCCTGCGGTAAATGTCGTGGTCAGAGATTGGCTTGTGGCCCAACGAACGACGACACAGACCTTTATAGAAGTCCTTGTTGGCCTTCTTTCCCGTCAGCGGCGCCCTGGACGCTTTGGACAGCCTGGCTATCGTCGGATACATTGTGGTCGCTGTGCAACGCAACGAGCTCAGCCCAAAACCATTGACGCGACGGGGCCAGGTTTCCCACGAATTTTGGCCTAGCGGATCACCCGGTGCGGCCTTCCCACACAGCTATCTTCTGCCCCACGACCTTGAGCAGCATTTGCCGGTGTATTTTTCTACCTTTTTCCAACCTTTTTCCTGTTTTCTGCACGCCATGGGTCGAAAAAATTCTGGAGAACCGAGCTCAACACACAGGTCGACGGCAAAGAGGGGCAGAGGTGGGTCTAGTCGTGGTCGGGGACGTGGTCGAGGGGGATCTTCCAAAAAGGGAGGCCCGATTAGACATTTTGGCGATGAACGGCCAGAAAGCGCTATCGACACCATTTCAGACGATGAAGACGAAAGAGATGAATCAGACGGTAAGCCTTATCCATTGTACATGACTCTACTTTATTCAAAACCTCCAGATGGCAGTGACGGTGGACAAAGCCCAGTTGTAATCGACGTTCCAGTTGCAATGTGGGTGAGCATCGTCAACTTGATTCTGGGTCGAAAGAATCTGAGTCTCTGCTAGGATTTTAACCACTGTGACCCCAAACGATGTTCTGGAAAGAAATTGGCTCGTCAGGGTCTCATAAAGGATCTCAAAGTTGGATCAAGGTTCCGAGGAATCGTTCTCTCGTGAGTAGGTCCAAGGTCTTGAAATCCGGGGGTCACACTTACGACGATCTCTCAAGTCCCAAGGGAAAGCAGATCGTAAGCCCTTCTGACCGAGATATAATCCTCAACGGAGGACTGGCTGTGGTGGAATGCTCCTGGGCTCGTCTAGACGAGGTTCCCTTTGGGAAGATAGCCAGTCCTCATGAACGATTGCGTAAGTTCGCTGTGCATGGCAGGCCGTACATGTCTCATGGATACGCCGCCTCAGTTCCATATCTGCTCGCCACAAACCCCACCAACTATGGCAAACCGTGGCGACTGAACTGCGTCGAGGCTCTGGCAGCGGCTTTCTATCTCACAGGATTTGACTCATACGCAGAACAGCTGCTATCCTGCTTTGGATGGGGAGGCTCCTTCTGGAGGGTCAACAAGTGCGGTTTTTTTCTATCGTAATCCTACTGCATTCTATCTTAACCTCAATTGCCAAGGTCGTATATCGAGCGGTACCGAACATGTACGACCGCGGAAGACATGTCGAAGATGCAGGACGCGATCATGGACGAACTGGAAAGAAGTTACCAAGAGTCAAGGAAAGAGAAAGGTAGCTCCTACAGTGCATGTGGTACTAGCTCGCAATACTGACGACTGATTTCCTGGTAGAGCGTGCTCAGGACGACGATACAGAGGACCTCCTTGTATCGAACCCAAATCATGCATTCCAACACTTATCACTGGAGGACTCTTCAGCAGAAGATTCCGACACCGAGTGATTCCCTATCTACCTATTTCAACGTCCGTCGAAATTGCACTACTCGCCACATCATCTGGCGTGTTTGTCAAACCTTAAATCACGCTGTTCGACAGCATCCAATCCCAAGGTACCCGGTGAGGTTTCCATCGGGGCATCGAAGGGGATGGAGAGGACTGGTCGATGGCTTCATCCTCACGCTCCCCTTAACCCGTTCTCGCGGTGCACTGCATCCCTGTTTCCATTGGTCCTCCGCTGATTGCGGTTGCCGTTCTCAGCCCCATTCCTGGAAACCCAGACAGCATTCTGGAGGCAGCGCGTTAAGCTGCAGGTTTCTTCTGGTATCACCGTTTTCGAGTGAATTGGCGTACCAATGGTCACATTATCGCTACCAACGGACGGATAACGGTTGGATTCCTTTCGACGTCCTGGTGATTATAGAGTCTGTCGGAAGTTTCCAGCCCAGGCTTCCAGTCACAGGACACTGTTGCGCTAACACGAGGAAGGAGCAAGTTCGACATGATACCAGATCGAACTTTCAACTTGACATCACCTTTCTGGTTCACACCTGTTGCTTCTGAGTCCTAGAGGTCGTGTGTCAGATGGACGTGGATGTATGGCCAGGCCTTCGGGACATCAGCGCAATCGACCACGTTCACCATCTATTTAAATTTCCTTTCACAGATCACCGGCGATAGATAAGTACTTGAAAGAGATGCGGATTCTCCTTCAACAACATCACCAGTCACGACGATGGCAGAGTCGACATCTTCCTCGAATACCGTCCTAATATTGTGAGTACTGTCTGATGCATCCGACAGAGCTGGGGTAACCAGGGCTTGCTTCTTCACAGGGTGGCTGGGCGGACTGGCTGTGGAAAAAGTAGCGTGGGTTTTACCGATCCTGGTTCTGATGCCACGAAATATTAAACTGCTAATTATGCGTCAGTTTATCAACGAGATAGTGTCGCGGGTCGATACCACTAGCGCACTTTCTAATGTATCTTCCAGCCTCATGAGCACAGCGCAAACTGTAGAGGAAGTGCGTCTGCATCTCGGATGCCGTACGGTATTACTGGCGGAAGCGCCTGGGCTGGATCATACAAACCTGTCGGATGCGGAAGTTCTAACAAGGGTATACACGTATCTCCTCGGAAAGTGAGTCCTGGATCGTCTTTTTGAAGTCTCTGATGTCGTTGACGTGATAGATTCTCGGAGGGAGTCCATCGCTGGGGCATCATCTTCCTCGTTGAAGCTGATCGTCCGCCTTATAATGTGGGCAATGTTAGAGGACTGAGAAGGCTCAAAGACCGATGTCGGAAAGCTGGTGTTGGCAGGGCCGCTCTGAAGAGGACGATGGTTGCTCTGACAAAGACGGACATCGCACTGTCGAGCGACATGGATGAAGTTGTAAGGGCAGTTCAAAGATACCTCGAACAATATGTGGATGAGGTCCCAATCAAGAAAATTCCGCAACCGGACGCTGAATGGGAGGTTTTTCGAGAAGCAATCAGCGATCGTAGCTTTGGCTCTCCCTGTGACGTTACCGTTCAAAACGATCTTCAAAGGATCTTCCAGAGGCAACTCAGGAAGGATTTAACGCCTCAAACAGTCGATTGCTCATCCTTTTTTAAACGCATATTGACCCGTATCTTTGGTAGATGAAGCTAGTCGTAAGGATATTAATTGGATAATGCATCGTGCTCTGTGATCATGATCCATGACCCGACATGCCGGCGCATCATGGCCACCCACGTCCGGCGATGTGCATGGACGATGCAGACGTATTCCGAGCCCGAGGCCTGAGCATGCGTATCCCTCATGTTCTAACGACATGACTAACTCGATAGGCAGGACCAGAGCGATTGTCTATTGAATGGCCTCACGTTTTATCCTAGATCCAGCATTGTTCCCGATCCACCTGACAATATATCTTCACCACAACCCGTCGAACCTCCAACAGCCAGCTCCATGATGAAAGGCCCGCGGATCGTTGTCTTGTATGTGTTGACCTTTAGGGCGCCTTTCTGCTCGTTAACGTCCGACCAGGGTCACAGGACCGGCAGGATCTGGGAAAAGCACGGTGCTGCTTACTCGTTCTCTTGCACTTTCAAAGACAATAACTAATGCCAGTTCTTAGCTGATTAACAGCATAGTGGGCAGCGATATCATGCCTGTGGGGAAAGGATTGTCACTGTGTACGCGCGATGTCAAAGAGTCGGACGTGGTCAACATCTCAGGGCACCAAGTAATATTCGTCGACACCCCTGGATTTGATAACAACACTATGTCGGATAAGGACGTCTTAAAGAAAATCTATGGATATTTGGATGGAAAGTGAGCTAGCCATCTTTCATCATCTTTCACTGTTATTGGCGTCGATCGCTAAGCTTTTGTACCCCCCTAGATTGGCAGAAGGGGCTATTGCGGGTGGCCTAATCTATTTGCACGACATAACCATCGACGTGAGCCCGAAGAACACAGCTCTGGCACCCATGAAGAAAGTCTTTGAGCCCAGAGACGAGGTGTATTCTAAACTTTTGCTCGTCGCTGGGAAATGGGAGGCTCTCCCAGACTATGAGATGACGAAGGCGGAGGACAAGTGGAACCAACTTCGGACAGTCCAGTGGGCGGGCCTGATGGACAGTGGAGCGAGGGTGCTTGCAATCAGAGATCTCAGAGAAGCGAGGGAGAGTTTTAAAGGCCTGATTGGTACCTTTGCCAAGGAGTGCGAAATCCAACCCAAAGTGCAACAATTGAAATCGCAGGGAGGAAGCCAGAGCAGTACTCGCCGTCGAGATAGCGGCGTATTGGCGCGAATTCATAACCTTTTGTCGAAGATGTTCTCCTCGTCGACGGATCTATAGCCATGCTCTCTGTACGATTTTTGGGAATTCTATCTAGAGAGAGACGTCAAGCTACAGATATCGTACTGTAACCTTCAGCCGAGCCTACGTCTAGGAATGTATTGTGTCAACCAGAAGTGACCGTGTGACGGGTGGAAAGCTCAGATCTCAGAGTCAAATTGGTGTGCCGTTCGACACCATCGTGACAACGAACTCAATAATCGCCAGATGAGAGGTCGATCTCTTAGCCTGCGAACACACCGCCTTCGCGTGTTGGCTCTTTCCTTCCTCGGTGGTCACCTCCTTGCCAATGATGGGCCAACTGCTCGGTTCTGGTATGCGTTTTGGGTGTCACTCGAACAACGAGGTAACGAGGCGCTAACAAGACGGTAGGGCATGCGATGGCCTCATGTTCACTGAATTCGCTCGTCGGAGCTTCGATGCATACTAGTGAATGGACAGGGAACGGTCGAGAACCCACCTGTTTCATCCACCCTCTTCGTTATTCACTTTCTACCGAGGTTCGCTGCACACTGGCCCCGAGGGAGCACGCTGAAACAACAAACAACCTGTTCGAGCTTTCGGTTGAAGTACGACCGTTTAAGCCTGATCTCTACTCGTAAACTGACCCACACTCTGAAGAATTACCGCATCCAAGAATGACCCCCAAAGGGAAGAAAGCTAGCGTGCTGGATGACCCCGCCTTTAAAGACGCGAAGCCGACAGATATTGTTATTCCGTACGTTCTCTGGCGAGTACGTGAACCAAACGGTCTCACTGACACTAATGGGCTCAGCGTGATGGGCGCCACAGGAGCGGGGAAAAGCACGGTCGGTTACAAGTCCTTAATGTATGCCCCTTCAGTTTGTTATTTAACATTCTCTTCCTCAGTTTGTGAACCTTGCGCTAGGACCCAGACGGGATGGGGAGCACGTCCGCGTCGGCAGCAACCTGGAGTCTTGTACCAAGTCATTGGAATTTGTGATCCTGGATATACCGGATCGTTACCGCAACCTTCACAGTGCCGGAGCGAAGAGGATCATATTAGTCGATACACCGGGGTTCGACGACACTATGGAGTCTGATGTCGCGATTTTGAAACGAATATCGAATTGGTTGGCTAAATCGTAGGCCCTTTTGCCGTTTAACTTGTATCGAAGCTAACCCGAACGTTCGATTATAGATATCGCCTCGGAATGACTGTTGGGGGACTGGTTTACATGCACGACCTCTCCGCCGCCAGATTCACAGGCTCGGCGAAGAGAAACTTGAAGATGTTCAATCAGCTTTGCGGTGGAGACGCGATAAACAGGGTGATCCTGACCACATCCAAGTGGGGGAAATTTCGCACCGAGGACCTCCCTGAGGCAGCGCAACGGCAGGAGGAGCTGCAAAAAAGTTTCTGGGATAGGATGCTGAAGGACGGTGCTCGTTGTGAGCCCTTAAACCCAGCAACCCACGAGGCAGCATGGAATGTACTTCATCTGATCCTCGACAATCTCAATCGAAAAGGTGGTCAGAAGTTGAAGTCACTCCAGATTCAACGGGAGATCATTGACCAGAGGAAATCTCTTCCCCAAACTGATGCTGGGCAGGAACTCACCTACACGATGGGAGAGGTTTTGGAAATGTGGGAAAGGCAAGAAATGGAGAGGGAGGAGATCGAGAGACTGAAGCAAATGAAGAGAGCCTTCAGAACATCTTTTGGGGTCAGGGTCAGGCAGATTTTGAGAGTATATGTAAGCGGAATATGATCTTTTCCCTTTTATCGACTAACGACCGTCATAGCGACCCGACTTGGATTAGTATGGGGAACAGGATGACATCGATCTTCTCCGCGACTGGCTTGAAGTTGCCCACGTTGCATTTCTCCACCGATAAATTCCGCGTTCATTTCAGATAGCTCTAAGTTTTATTTTTGACCGAAATCTATATGGAACACGAACAATCTCTGATGGTTGAGGCTTCATTTCCTAGCTCTTGGGTAAAATCATGCGGTCGCGCTCTCGAAGGCAATAACATCATGGTCATATCTATCGGCGCGCAATGAGAACCGCATATCAGCGCGGCAACTACTAATCGAGTTCATCCAGGCTACTGTCGATCGATCGCGCCTCAAATCCAACCCCGTCCTCCCTTCCGAACAAGAATCTCTTGACACCACCAAACACTTTTCCAATGAAGGGATCGCGAACTTCAAGGTCCTGAGTCCCTCCAAGTTCAATATGCCTTCCAAACAAGAACCTCTTGGCACCGCCCAGGATCTTGCCGATGAACGGATCACGGGCTTCAATTGCCTCCAAATCATCCCGCCCAAACAGCACGTTCTTCACTCCCCTGAAGATCTTCCCGATGAACGGCGAACGAGCCTCCATGGCTTCTATTTCTTCGAGGTCGCGTCCAAAGAGGAAGCGCTTCGCACCGCCGAGGATTTTTCCAATAAAGGGGTCACGAGCGACAACATCCTCGATGAGGTCGTCAACATCGCGGTCGGAGAGGTCTTCGATGTCGAGTCCCCTGCCGAAGAGGAAACGCTTAGCGCCTCCGAGAATGCGCCCAATGAATGGGTCGCGTTGGTAAAATTGGATGGCTTCTTCGACCTCACGGGCTTCGATGTACTCGCGAAGGTCGAGTTCGAAAGGCTCGTACAAGTCGCGCTCGTAGAGGTCTGCCTCGATCAGGTCACGGCTGTAAGGATTTCAATGCGATTAGCCTGCGTTTTGGCACATTGGAACGCCCATGAGATGGTACGACTCACCTGTCGAGGTCGTCATAGCTGCTAACAAAAGCCAAAGCTGACCCGACAGCAAAGAGGGAGGCAACAACGATAGAGGAAGCTTTAACCATGTTGGGTAAAGAGTGGGATCACAAATGGATATGAAGGGTGGACGTTGAGTGTGTTAAGTCGCCTCGGTTGGCTCGAGTAGACTGTAGTGGAGATAATATGATGAGACCAGCTGATGACAGCCAAGGCCGCCTTCCCTTTATATATCCCAACCCGCTCTTCCACGAGCCACCTTTGGAAAAGTTTATCTTTCCCCGCTTTGAACATCAAGGATACTCAGATAATTGCTGGGCGTACAGCCCATCACGAAAACTTGTTACGGCGCCTCGATGACTTAAATATACATACTATCTATCTAGATAGTCGTTAAAAACACAGCCAACCACGTACAGTTCTGAACGTAACCTTTCGCAGGCTGTATTTCTCCGGAGTCCGTGGAGCCCGATTCATCCATACTTAACGAACGGTCCAAAAATAACGGAAACACATCCGCGGGCGCCCGAACGAGCGATAAACTCTCTAGCTTCAAACCTGTAAGGGGTAATAATATAATTCACATAAGATGTAGGACTTCGAGTATCAAAACCATTCTACCTACTCCGCAGGTTCGTATAGGGCTCGCGGTCCCTTCAGTTCCAAGAAGCCCCCCGACCGTGGCTCAAATCAAAAAAAAAAAAAAAAATTAATGGCACTTTGCAACAATCAATGACTTAGTACATCATTGTTCTCTGCTGTCGAGATACCGCCCATTGTCCAAACGATCATAAACTGATATTCTGCGCATCACGAGGGCCTACCCTTGCACGTCTCAGTCGGGGCTATAAATAGAGCATTCCCAGAACACAGATGCGAAGACTGAGCGAGCGTCAGGTGGGGAAACGGAATTTCTTGAGTAACGACCGGTATTTTCACCATTCAGTTAGGGTATTCCCGCGCTTTTGGGGTCGGCCAATGTGTTTCCCTTTCCTTTACAAACATCCTGCTGGCCTTCCTCAACCCTGGTTGGGTGATCGAGTTGACATCCGATTCGGAAATATTTGGAGCGCCGACGGAAACTGAATAATTCCCGCCAAATCCACTACAAGCTCGATTTGTTGTTGGTTCGATCTCACTGTCCATACCCTGTTAACGAGGAAATCGCTCGTAGTCAGGTACAACAAACCTGTACACTAGGGTCGTTGAAGAAAATGTCATCTACAGGTGCGCATTTGGCCCTTCACGCGAGAGAATGCCAGCTTATCGTGAGTTTTCGGGGGCACATAAAGTATCTCCACATTTCCAGAAAGTCCTGCCCGGAGGGAGTGAGAATTCCCTGGGCCCGGGCGTCATATTTTCAGTTGGGGAGACGCTTCCTCGTCAATAAGAAGCACTGTACGAGAGGAGCCCTCTGGTTCTTTCAGCCACGGGAAGCATACCGTGCGTGCGGCGGACTTGCACGACTATGTGACACATGATATCATAGCAATCCCCTATCTCATCCCTTTCGATATAAAGGCACCCTGTTTGAAATCGAACTATACTGGTCTTCTTACACCTCGACCTAACCTTATAGGAGGCCCTCGTATCCAACGCAACCCGCTATAATCGACTATCTGTATTCGAACTTTAATGGCCACTTCACCCCGCCCAGGAGTCTCCTCCGTGGCATCCTCTCAAACCCAACAGGCGCCCCGACGCTCAGTTTTCCAAACACTTTCCCTCACCAACCAAGTCGCAGTCATCACAGGAGGTGCTCGAGGCATCGGTCTCGAGATTGCACAGGCATTCGCCGAAGCGGGTGCGGTCGCCTATTGCTTGGACTTGCCCGAGAAACCGAACGAAGAATTTGTCAAGGTCTCGCAATGGGTTGAATCCCTCCCCGACTTACCCGCGGAGCTCATCTTGTCGTCGGAGAAGGATGGTAGGAAGAAAGGTCGCCTGGTCTATGCTCGCGCTGATGTGACCGACCAAATGGAAATGTGGAGGAAACTCGAAAAGATTTACGAAGTCGAGGGTAGAGTCGACGTCTGTGTCGCGAACGCCGGTATTTTGGGTGGAAAGGATTGTCTTGACTACCCTGCTGAAGAGTGGGAACAGGCGAGTTGGAATCATCTCTATGCACGTCAACCTCAGTGCTAACGAGTCTCCAAAAACCATAGATCATCAAGGTGAACGTCGACGGGGCTTTCTACACCGCCCAGGCTGCCGCCAGACAGATGAAAAAGCATGATCGAGGTGGTAGCATCATCTTCACTGCAAGCATGAGCGGTAGTATCTCCAACCAGGTGGGACTTTAACGCCGCCGATTTGGAGGTTCTGACTTTCTCCCTAGGGCCAGCCATGGTCTGCGTACACGACCAGCAAAGCCGCCGTCGTTCAAATGGCGAGGTCTATGGCCTGTGAACTTGGCAAGGACAAAATACGCGTCAACAGCGTCAGCCCTGGATACATCTACACGGAGTGGGCTATCTTTGCAACCCTTCTTTGATACGTCTGCTGACCCTTGTAATGTATAGAATGACTAAACAGTTCCTCCTGAAGAATCCAGAAACCCAAGCTCGTTGGTCGTCGCAGAATCCCCTGGGAAGAATCGGCTTCCCAGATGAGTTGAGAAGTGTTTATCTTTGGCTTGCCGGAAATGGTTCGAGCTTCTGCACTGGGAGCGAGTGAGTCCCGCGCGTTGTTAGTTCCCTCAGTTCCGATGCTAACCCTAATCACGCAGTATCCTTGTCGATGGTGGTCATAGGGCTTGGTAGTAGGGATATTGTCTCATCGAATTCGTCACTGAAGACCTATTGTCACTGTACGTCCGAATTCCAAATTGATCAGGCTTTCCGGGTCATGTCTGATGTCATAGCTGGACGCACCTGTTTGTCTGTCAGCTCCTATCCCTTTGTTTCTAGACTTCCGATTCAGAAGAAAGGGTGCGAGGTAAGGCCTGCAGCCTGCTTGCTTCCTGCTTGCTTGGGTCAATTCCGTTTCATTTCAATCCAACTGAGCCAGTCTCGTTTCACGTATGAACAGCAATAGTCAATTCGAATATAACAGTCTTTACATTCTACCAAGTCCTTTCACTTCAGTCACGAGTACCATCTAACGTCCATCTGAAAGAGCGAATCATTGCAACTCGGGAGGAAGAGCGTTGTAGATTGGGCATAGGTCGAGCCACTCCTGCTTAATGACTTGAGCCTGCGGTCCATCACGTATCTGGTCAGGAGCCTCAGCGAAGACGACCGCCAAACCAGCTTCCAGATGCCAGTCTTGATGCAAGGGCGTGAGTATACGTTCGATGGAGCCCGAATTGACGTAGGAAGAGACTTACCAATGTCTAATACGATGGCCGAAAGCACATTATTCAGTACTTTGAAAAAAAAAAAACCATCGTCAAAAAGACTACTCACGGCAATGCAAGAACCTGGAATGAACGATGAGCGACATCAAAGCTTATACGATGTATGTCCTGGAACTCACCATGGCCCAGGATTATCCGTCCTGAAACGAATGATTCCAGTACCGCTCTTGATGCCGAATACGTCGCGGCGAGGAGGGTTCACATAGTTCTCAGGTCCACTCTCGCCTTTGATGACGCTAAAGGCGTGACCATGAAGACTAATTGAATGAAGTGAGATTGGCGCCGACTGCTAGGCTGATGTCGACTTACTGGAAAGGGCTGCAAGTTCGGCGCAGTAAGCGGATCGTTAAAAAACTCTGATTGAAAGAAGCTTCGAACTTACTGGACGTGTCCTAGAAAGGCGGGTGCCGGGTTAGCCAACAAGTTGAAATACATGGGGCGAGATGTCTGTACCGTTAGAAGAGCCGTGCAGGCGCAACTCGACAGTTTCGTTATGGTTAAGAATGATGGTGTGCTCGGAAGGCGTGAAATCACTGGCGATAGTCGCGCCTGCCATCACCTTCAAAAGTGTATTGGTGTTGGGAGAATGGTACTGAATCCCATTGAAGGTCCACTACAAGCCAAAGCGACCATTATAAGCCTTTCGACCAACAACCCAGCAGGGAATCCACGTACCTTGGTACCTCCAGACGTCGAGCGAGAATATTGCAGATCGATCACTCTGTCTGCTGGACCAGTGCCTCCCGGAACGCCTGGATTATCGAGAGGAACCAATTCGTGCTCTCTGAGCATATTGTCCGCGTCCCTGTCGGCGCGAGTGGTAGGATCGGCGTTGGGCGCTCCGTCGTAGTGGAGAACAGCGTAGATGAGCTCGTCGTCCACTATTCCAAAACAAAATCTCATCAATACCCGATGGCAAGGAAACGGGAACTCGGACTCACGGTTATCATTGTCACTGTCGCCCTTCACATCCATAGGCGCGCGAATCCAGTAGTTGCGGACGGGTTGGTTAGCATTCAAGACGACCGAGTAGCGTTGTCCAGCGAAAATCTCGAAGCCCCCTACAGTCTTCGGGACATGGTTGATCCCGTCGACCTAGCAGTTACACGCAGGTGAATCAACGACCGCTCAGATGACACCGGAATACCCACCTCAATGATCGTGACCGGGTGATTCTCAATCGAGAACTCGAAACTACCATAGGCAGAGATGTTGATGACTCGAAGGCGATAGCGTTTGCCTCGCACGACGTTGATCCTCGACCAGGGAAGCCTGGGACCTCGGACGTAACGTCCAACCCCATTGATTGTTCCACAGTCAGGAACCTTGAATGACTTGTAAGGATGTATTCCATTCATGAAGCATCGCAGAGACGTACCGGCTCGTCAGTTCGGTCGGCCAGGTACGCAGCCTGGATACCTGGCGCGGGCTGTAGGCAACCGTGATTAACTGGGGTCTAGTAGACAATAGGTGTGACAGTCAAGCGAACCTTGTGGTACCAATCGCCGAGCTGAATGATGGTATTGGCGTCGTCTTCATCGTACAACGACTTGTGAGGATCATCGGGGTCTAATTCACATGTGTATGAGTAGAGTCTACCATTCCGAAGACAAGATGGGCATACCATAGATCACAATAGCGCTACACACATCAGCGTCAGCAAGAAGATACCTCACTGGCTGAATGTCGAAGCGAACTCACCCGCGAAGCCCGTCGACATATTGGGAAGAAAGATGACTACCACCCTTGGATTGAGTAACCGATGTCGTCAACATATCAACACCATCTCACCTGTGGTACCTGGATAAGACGAGGATGTTATAAAACGGCGAAACAGGTTAATTGAAAGCAACCACTCACCAATGGGTTCCTGCCTGTCCATTGAGAGGGACTAGGAATTAAAGTTGGTCGGGTCAGGGTCATGACGTCATGGAAAGCAGCGAGGGCGCTTACTATCATAGGTGTACGAATGGCCCGGAGAGATGGGGCACTGTGTAACGCCAGCCGCTGGAAGGAAAGCGCCATAAGTAAACGGTCACAATCAACTATCGATTTCATTTAACACGTACGTCCATCCTCAGAAGCGGTTTGCCTTTGAAACTGTAGATATCTTCAGCCAAAGCGACAGACTCTGTGAGAAGCTGGGAACGGACCAGACCGTGCCAATGAATGGCCGTGCTTCGTCTATGAAAGCAGAAGATTAATCCTGATGTCCGAGGAGATAGGTAAGACGTCAAGACCTACCTCATGAGTGGGTTCGTCAACTGGTTGTTGACCGTGATGTGCAATATGTCGTCCTTGTTCGCCTGGATGAGAGTACCAGGGAATTGACCGTTAACGACGACGGTGGGACGGGTGAAGCCATCAGGAGCGAGATTGGCGTTCACGATGTTAAACGTATAGTTAACATGGGCAGCGAACGTAGTGGAGGCCAGAGCCAACTGTACGAGAAGCGCGAGCTTGGAAGAAATGAAAGAGAACATGTTGCGGGATGGTTCTAGGGTCATTCACTACCATTACCTGACATTATATATGTTTTCTGAAAAGCTGAAGGCAGCTCCCAGAGCAGGAAGTAGCAGCAACGACCCGATCGAGATCCCTGGCAACGATAATCCGTCTCTACAGGAGAGAAGAATATTCTTATACTATCAAAAAAGTCATGAAGCCGAAGTCTTGCGAACTCGGTGGGAAGAAGACTCACAAATGCGTATAGAGAACAAAGAGATATCCACATTGACAGTCACCGTACTCGTGGAGTAGCACAGCAGAGAAGTCGCTGGCTTATGTGTCGTAACGCGAAAGAATGATGTCGTAGAATTAACGTAGAACTGAAGATCATGCTGCCCATAGCCGGAAGAACCGCAAACCAGCGAAACATTTCAACATCGAAGACCCAGGGCAGCATTTTGTTCCTCGATTAAAGCACCTATGCAAGATGCACAGCGACAAGGTGGAACGTTAATCTTCAAAACCAGGGTTCGAGCGCTTATCGGGCAGTTGAAGCGACCTGTAGCAGTATGACATTGGTAAGAAGCATCGGCTTTACGTGGCCGTTCTGATGAAAGGCAACGTATTGTCAGTGTCGAACAGCATACTACAGAACCAGGTTGCTCGCCTTTCAAGATAGTTATGTCGGTGGAGCATCAGCCAGGACCTGAGCATGGAGGCGCCAAAAAAGTAACTCTCTCTGAGAGCAAGTCCCACGTTGGCAGAAGAGGACCCTCCGAATCGCATCTAGACGATGCTGCGAACCGAGACGGGACTTCGTTCGCCTCGGGAATCCAGCGTACCGACCGAGAAGGACAGAGAGATAAGTAGCCAAGAAGTCAGGCAACGGCGGCACCAGCCAACCCAGAGAGGAGCCCATGTGGAGAGGAGACTGTCAAGGCACAATCCTGTCAGAGAGAGTTCAAAGGGCAGTGCTGCGATTTATGCGAGTCAGGTCATTGGTTGAAACATGAGATACGATGTTAACCAAATATACCCGTCTTGGAAAGAGAATTCAGGTGGGGCACAAACAGATGACCTTGCAGAGTCGCCGATTGCGACTAACCCATTCAGAACATATTCTGAATCAGAAGCGTTAACCCAGGTCGCGAAGAATATTTACGAAAAAAACCTTGGTATGCCACAACTTTGCCAAGTGAGCGGGAGGGGACGGGAAATAGAACGTAATCACTCGCCAGGACTGCCGGTGACATGATATCGACATAGCCCGCTCCAACGTTACCTCGATGATTGAGACAGCGCCTGAACGGTAATCTGGACGAGTTAAATCCACCCAAGGGGGAGGTAGACTGGCCCTCCCTTCCCCTGGGTCCCAGAGGAAAGGTATGAAGTGCTGAAATGCCTCGAGGTTGAACCAAGCGACTGTAACGCATAATGCGCCCGGGATTGGGTTTACGAAGTTGCCGTTTCGGACAACTCGTCCATGTCATCGTGAAGTGCGCAGCCATGATAGGTCCTGGACTATCGTGGGTCAGTTCCGCGCCAGATTGGTAGGGAAGGACTACACTCACCGCTCATGGGGTACATCGGAAAGGCAAGGGATGCGAATCGGAAGATGAGTTTGACCTGAGAAAAACAGATGGGGACATATGACCCAATCCACGGTAAGGGGCACATCATTCGGAACGATGGAACGGTATGGCGAACCCTTACCACACTTCCCTTTCTTGAAATTGATATAATGAATCCTTAGAGGGTCGACTTCGCAAGCGTACCATGGGACGGGCTACAAGCCCGCAGTTACGGATGGGCTGACCAAAGGAGGGACCTGGGTTCACACCATCAGATCGACGACAGATTGCAGAATGATGGACGTCAAGTCGCCCGTCATTGGGCAGTGCCTTTTGCGAGCTGGGATAATGGTGGGCAGCGGGATCCTGGATTCAGATCTGTGTCGTGAGGTGGTGATGGTTTGCATTCTGACCCTGACATGGCCATGAGTTTTGGATGCCCTGAGAATAGGAAAGAACCAGACTCACACATAACGCAGGAAAAGGAACTCTTCACACTTCGCACTTCTGAAGTGGATGACTGGGAGGAATGCTCCGTATCATCCGATTGCTGGAACACAGAGTCAGAGCCTTGGCTCTGGGTGCTGGCCAATAGCAACGTTTAGAACACAGATATTGGCATGGGGACGCATGAAATATGATGGGTAGGCTATAACCAAGCCAGTCCAAGGATATGGGATATCTTGTAGAATATTCCAAAAATGTTTGAAGACGCCTGACTGTAGGACCCCCGAAAACCAGCTGAGAGGTCAGTGCAGATCCGGTTAAAATTGGGGGGGTCTGGGGGTGGAGGTCAGAAATTTTCCGGGTATTTTGTGGGGGGTTTCGAGGTCGAGGTCGGTTCCTAAATCCGGGTATCATCGACTCTCTGAGGAGGTCACTTCCAAAATCCGGGTATTGGTGCACGGCAGGCTCGCGCGACCTGATGATCTTGGGTGGTCCTGGGTGGTCTCGACCGTGAATTTACTTGCCATTTTGGGCCCATTTTCTACTCAAAACATGTAGAAGTATCTTGACTCACAATCGACTACGATTTGCGACGGTAAATCACCAAACTGGGTTATGAATTGGAATCAATGAGTACATTTTTTGTAGCCTGTAGCCATATGTAGGCTTGGGTCTACATTCTGGTAACAGCTATCCGTCAAAAGACGCCCAGGACCGTCAATACGAGCGCCTTGTCCTTAACTCGCAAGAGTCCAATTCCCTTCGTGTCAACCGCTGCTGAAGCCGTGAAGGGACTGGTGGCGAAACAGCCAAAGAAAGGGGACAGCAACGGAGATGAAGACGAGGGTTGATCATACCATAGTGTTTGCACGTAGTTACATGGATATACGAGCGAAATATGAGAATTCAGACGAGTTTTCGTGACTTTGAGGTCTGTTCCAAAATCCGGGTATCGATTTTTGGCTTGGCACGGAGGTCACTGCAAAACCCGGTTAAAATCTGGGGGGTTTTGCGAGATAAAATCCGGTTAACAAATCCATTTCCCAGAACTGACCTCTCAGCTGGTTTTCGGGGGTCCTCTGACTGTCGAACGTTTAGACGGCAGTGATGGGAAGAGCGAGAAATTGCAAAGCGAAGAGAGTCGGCCCGTGCGAAGATGATCTAAGCGGCAATCACACATTGAATGATCCGTCATGATGGTGGAGAGTCGGCGAAGAGTCTCAGTCTCCCGTACGATGACTGACGGCGCTTGCCACCTGTCGAAGACAGAGTTGCTCAACTATATTTCCGCACTGCGATTATGAGAGGCCACGGAACCTCAGTCAACAATTTACGCATCCTCCTTTCCCTATGAATCTCGGTCCCTCACCATTCAACCAACATCTCTTGCGATGGGCACCGCTAGAAGGTCAGGCGACTGTGCAAAACGGTTCAGACCAAGCGCGTACACGAGCGGGCAGGAAGACAAGGCCTTGGAAGTTGGAACCTTGGATAGTTCGGGGAATACTCGGGCTCAAATTGCCATTTGATTAATTCCGTGCGCCAAACTGAAACTAGCCAACGTTAGCCTGGATTTCGCCATGCACAACGAGTGCAGCTTGTTAAATTATAGTGGATTAGATGGACGCGAGGGGAAGGGGATGACAACTGAAAGCTTTCGGCCTCTAGAAGCTAGAAGGCTTCATCGAATGACTTGGTTACCCGGAGGTCATGATATCTCAACAGCTCGCCTCAGGATGCTCCCGCTAGTCGGGGCGCTTGGGCTGATCCGAGTTTCTTGGCAGGCCCTTTCCACGGGCGCTTAAATCCCGGACAGAGTCCATTGGCCGGCGCTTTTGCTTATGTGGAGAAAATCCCCCATGGAGGCGCTCAGGGACGGCCCCTCGCGGCATTTATCCGAAGGGTCCGAGGTTTGAGAGACGGAATTGCGTGAAACTCTAACGGCGAAACTGGAACGTGCAACATGCATGAGAAAATCTTGGGAACTTCTGATCTTCCTGCGACTTCTCCCTACTTCCTCCCCCATATCATGTTGTTCTGGCTCTCCAAACCAAGGATATGAATTCGGATAACCTCCAAAAAAAGAAAAGAAGAACTCTAAAAAGGGTTTATGGGAACGTGGAAGTGATAAAGTGATGGAATCACAATCTGATAACTGAGTTTATTGTATCCGAAGGCCCAAGCGGTAAACCGCGTGAACGTCTTCCTTCTTCTTCCAGCTTCCCCATTCTTTGGCTCTCAACGACGTCCAGTGTCTCCGAACAACGTCTAGCGCCACGACGGAGGTGTTGACGTGGGCCAGACAACCTGCACGGCGGCGCCCTAGCAGCCTCCAGTCGGTTCCCGTTTGCTGGCATTCAAGTGAGTAAATTCATACGCGATTCACGCTGGTTTGACTTTACTCATGTAACCCCCCTTACTCTGCGACTGCCATTATTAAGGACTAGAACTGAACTCGGCTGAAAAACGTCTACAAGGAGTAGGTATTCAAACCCAAATTGCCACTCCGAGCGCTCCAAGGGAACGAACTTGGACGGCAATTACTCAACCTTAACGAGAAACGGGGTTCTTCAATTCCTTCGAAGAAAGATCTATCCACTCAAGGAGATTGGTGGGCCGAACCAAGCGAATCCGAGGCAAGAACCTTGTTAATCGAATTTCTGTTCAGGAAGCTTCGACCACACGACGACTACAACACGTACACACACGGCCTCGCTTTACTGGGGCTAGCTGCGCAACAGCCTCTTTGTCTCCGCCATCCAGGGCGACTCGAACGACCACTGAAACGACTTGTACGACCCCAGGGCCTTCTTGAAGCTGTTGAGCCTGCGCCACACACACAAACACAGCGTTCAGCCGACCTGAATCCTCACAGCGAACCACAGCGACGTTTCAACCACATATCTGTACGGTATCCGCTAAACCTCTTCGTCTAACGAGGTTGACACTAAAGGAGACCAGAGAGAGCTCTGGACGGTCTAGGATGTCGTCCGGGATTTACAATGTGCGTATCATTCATGCCGGGTGCTCATTCCTTGTTCCGTCCCCCACCATCCAATTGCCTGCACACTTCAACGTGCAGTCGCAGCCATGTTATCAGATCTCATTTGGCTTCAGCCTTTTTTGCCTCTTGACTGCGGCGTTAGAGGGAGCTGGCTTGAGGTGGACCCGATATGAAAGAGTCCTGCGGGATCTGGGTCGATCCATCCCATTCTCCAGTGGTAAACCCTGCACGCTCATGATTGTCGGTGGTGATCCACATAGATTAACTCTTCCTTACTTATTTCCATTTCGCTAAACGGATAAACTGACTATTTCGACTCAAGCAGCACCGAACGCTCCAACCGAATGCTGGACAACCTCCCCCAACAGCATCGCATCCGCACCCTCATACTCCTCACCAGCCTCATGCCCCACCTCACCCTCCTCATCCACATCCATCGCATACCCCGCTGATTCCCGGCCACCCAGGGACACCCCACGCATCGCACACCCATGCCCACCCACACCATCCACACGGCCACGGTGGCCCTCAAGGACCCCCTCCTCCGGGTGGACCACCCACCCACCACCACCCCCACAGCGGGAGTCACAGCTCGCAGGGAGGACACGTAGGCCACGCCGGGCACCACCCGCATTCGCATCCAGGCCACCACGCCCACGGCGCACCACCTCCACCCCAACAGCACCCATCGCATTCGGGCCATGGACACCACGGACACCACGGGCACCATCAAGTCCACCATCATCATTCAAGGACGCAATCGATTCCAGGTGGGAACCCGCCTGGTGGTCCACCTGGTGCCGAGAGGGAACGCGAGAGGGAGAGAGATAGGGGTGGGGAGGTTCTACATCCTCGTGAGCGGGAGAGGGAGCGAGAGAGGGTGGGAGGACCGCAACATGGGAATATCGCAGCAATGATGGACCGTGATAGGGAACGAGTTGAACATGTCCGTGAACGCGACCGCGAAAGGCTTCCACCTCAGCCCCAAGGCCCACCCGTTCCTCTAGGGGTCCCAACCAACCATCTCGACCGTGAACACCATCGCGATCGGGGCCATCCAGCGCCGCCCCCACAGCAACCACACCCACCACTCCCCCAATTCAGATTGGAGCGTGAACGCGAACGACACGTTCCTGATGGAAGAGGCGATCGTGACGTGCGAATGCAAGACCGGGAGCGGGAGAGAGAGCGGGAGAGGGAAACTCGTGAGCCTATTCCACTCGGCCGACCTCATGCCAACTCGAACGCTGGTGCCGGGCCTCCACCGCCGCCCATTCCGGGTGCTTCTATTGCAGGGCCGGGAGTTGTGGGACCGCTGCCTGTGGTTGGAGGAGTGAGCAGTGCGCCTCCGCCTGTTGGCGTGCCAATGGCTGTGGGTCACGTCGTACCCGCAGGACCGTTGCCCAACGGTATCGTCACGAATGGCGCTCCAAATGGTGTGCCAGGACCTGGCGCTGTACCAGGTGTTGGCGCGTCGGGGGCTGTGGGTGTAGCAGGACCACCTGCCGTTGTGGCGCGGTTGAACGAGAACTTTGATGTTGTCAGGCAGGAGTTTGAGATGCTGAATGCCGAACTTGGATTGGTGCGGAACCAGAGGGACGAATTCGAAGCTAAAGGTGTGTATTAATAGCCCTGATCTCACAGCTACATCTGATCAAGAATCGCATCTTGGTGCTTAGTCCAATCTCAAGTAAATGAACTGAACATCATCCGACAAGCACTGTACGACTTGGAGAGTCAGCATGGCAAAGTACGACAGCAATTTGAGGAGGAGCTGGCGAGGGTTAGGGCTGAACTACATGTCGCGAAGCAACAAGTGCTAGCTGCTCAGAATGGAGGTGGAGCTGGTGGTGGAGGGCCTGGCGGTAGTGGGGGTCCAGCTGGCGGCAGTGGCGGTGGTCGGGATAGAGAGCGAGACGAACGAGGGGGAGGTGGCGGTGGTTCCGGAGGTCCTAGTCAACAGCATCGCTCACCACGTCAACTCGAAATCGACCAAATCATCCGGGATGTCACTGTTGGGAAGACCAATAATGGACAGGCATACGAAACTCTGAACGACTCGGTGTTCTACACAGGAAGGGAGAGGGATGTGGTTATGCGTGATATACCGCTGCGGGAACGAGACCTGCGTGGACACGATCGTGAGCGTGAACGGGGGGTTGAGAGGCAGAGACTCGGAGGCGAGAGGGATGGCCCTCGCCCACAGGCTGAGAGAGGGGAGAGGGATGCGAGGGAAGGAGGCGAGAGGGGTCTGAGGGAGGTGATGCTTCGCGAACGAGAGCAGGATTTGGAACAGTTGGACCGGGAGAGAGACACGTTGATGGGAAAGATGAGGGAGAGGGAGATCGCCAGTTGGGAGCGCGACAGGGAGAAAGCCCGACAGGAACGTGAGCGCGGAAATGACAGGGATAGGGACAGGCTTGTCGACTCGAGAGATCCAAAGAGAGTCAAAAGTGATCACGGTCTTCCAGGACCAAGTAGTCTCACGATGGGGTCCAGGAGGGAGAGAGTCACTGGTGAGTACCTGAACAATTCTACGGGACACGTCGTTGACCAAACCAACTGTCGCAGACCCGTTTGCACCTACAAGTCCAACACACGGCCTTCAGATTGTCCCTCTTAACAGTGTCATTGGCCCCACTCCGAAACTTCCGCCGATCCCAGGGACGACGAACACCGGCTCTGCTGCTGTCACCGCTGCAGCTAATAATACCAACAATCCTTCCGGATCTGGACCTTATGGAACAGGATACCAGCCATCGGAGAGCCGTCAAGTCGTCCTAGCCAGTCGAGAAAGCGGGCAAGAGCCACACTTCCCAGAGGACTTCGACCATTTCAGTCTACCGCCTGAATGCAGAAAAGAGGGACAGGAGTGGTTCGCAATGTTCAATCCCAAGATGAAGCGAAGAATGGACATCTCCTTGATGCACACACTCATCCATGAGAGGTATGGCATTACATCCCTTGTATTATACTTGCCTTCTGACACTGTGACTCTTAGTGTTGTCTGCTGCGTGCGATTCAGTGCTGATGGAAAATACCTTGCCACGGGGTGCAACAGGACAGCTCAGATCTACGACACGAAGACGGGAGCCAAGACTTGCGTGCTAGTGGACGAAAACGCTGGAAAGCAGGGCGACCTCTACATTCGCAGTGTATGCTTCAGCCCAGATGGCCAGTACCTCGCCACAGGGGCAGAAGACAAGCAGATCAGGGTGCGTCCCTCTCCTGTCCTGTTTCTTCCACATTGAAAATGATTTCATTTCCTCTAGATATGGGACATCGCCAAACGACGAATCCGGAACGTCTTCGACGGCCATCAGCAAGAGATCTACTCTCTCGAATTTTCCCTGGATGGACGATTGATTGTCAGTGGGTCTGGTGACAAGACCGCGAGGATATGGGATATGGTCACGTTAGAAAGCACTGTCTTGACGATCAATGACCCGATCCCAAGCGAGTCCAGCCATGGCGACGATGCAATGGATATCGATGGAGGGGATTCTGTCCTTCCTGTGGCAGCTACGGCACCTACTACTAGTGGCTCAGGAGAAGAGTCGGGAGGATCGTCGACGACGCCTCATAACAACGACGGCGGCGTTACCACTGTGGCAATCTCTCCTGATAGCCGATATGTGGCATCTGGCTCTTTGGATCGAATTGTGAGGATATGGGAACTGACCACCTGTCCTAACAGTATGTCTCCATTCAAGTCGCCTTTTCACTTCTAGTGCGCATTTAGACTGACTTCCGTCGTCCTCAGCTTCCACCAGAACTGGTACCCTCGTCGAGAGATTACGCGGTCATCGGGATTCGGTGTATAGCGTCGCTTTCACACCAGATGGCAAGGGGTTGGTCAGTGGGAGTCTCGATCGCACAATCAAATATTGGGACATCAGCCACCTCGGGATCACGCCACATAAACCCTCATCGGGGTCTTCGAACTCGACAGCGTCCTCGGCGACCATCGATACCCATCGGCCCAGCAGCAAACCTCCGAGCACATCGAGCACGACCTCATCCCCGACGAAAAAACCGCCCGGTCATGGTTTTATCGGCTTGGCCAAGTGCACGAGTACCTTCGTCGGTCACAAAGACTACGTCCTCAGCGTTGCCGTGAGTGGGGATGGGCAGTGGGTGGTGAGTGGAAGCAAAGATCGGGGCGTGCAGTTTTGGGACTTGGCCGGCGTATCGGCCTCTTCGGCTGGGGCTAATTCCAAATCGGATTCGTCGAAAAACGAAGCTGGGTCGAAACCTGGCCACGAACAGCTTGGGACGGCTGTTGAGAAGCGGCGGAGGGGTGACTGTGCCTGTGCATTGCAGGGCCATAAAAATAGCGTCATTTCGATTGATTTGAGTCCCGTGGGCTCCTTGCTTGCTACTGGGAGCGGGGACTGGCAGGCACGGATATGTAAGTAGTCGCCATCGGCTCTATTGACTCTGACTGACATCTCGACTTCATTATATAGGGAACTATCAACCATCATCATGATCGTCTTCGCTTTTTGGGTGTATATTGGTTCTAGATTATTTATTCTCCCCCATTTGTTGTTCAATAATGTCTAGGGACCTTCGAACGCTGTAATGTCCCCTTCACTCACGGTTTTCCTTCCGAAACAAGGCACGTTCTGTGTATATCCATACCCTGTAATTTACTCGGCTTTCTCCATTTCTTGCGTTGACTGGCATGTATAACGAAGGCGTTACGATACATTGTTTTGCGTTTCTTGACCCCTGGTATGTAGCAGCAAAATCAATAGCAATAATCGCGTTGTACGATCGTTCTGGTTTCATTGGGATGGAAACACCGAGTTCGACGCAACCTCAATTTGGCCACCCGAACTCCACGAAGCGCTCACACCATGTATATCCTGCCAGCTTGGCCTGGAAAGCACTAGCTGTTAGCCAAGGGTACACCATGATAGGATGATATCTCACGTAGTTGTACCAATCGTCCTCGCTGTCGAATGTCGGTAGTTGGTCCTCGTGATCGTCGAGTGATATTCGGAATCGCTGCCAGTGCGCAAGATGCTCTAGTAAGTACCCTCGGACTGGAGGACAGGTGATCATGATAACATACGTGTGGGACGATCGTGTGTTTGCTGCGCAACGATAATCCAGTCTTCTCCAAAGCATCATTAAGGCCCACTTTCCTCAAATATTCGCTGAATGGTTTGGAGTTGTCGTAAAATGCGTCCATTACGGATAATGCCTGAAGCATTTCAGAGTGTACTTGATCTTGAGGACTGGAATAAGCATTGGAAAGCGCGATACTTTACAGTCACTCACTGAGGGATGCAGAAGAGTCCAGTTGAAGTTTCAACGACTTGAAATTCGATTAGCATTGACTAGTTCTGGGAACGGGGGAAAGGCAACAACCTTTGTTTTCTTTACATATTCACCGGAAACACGTTCAAGGACGGCTTCGCCGGCGTCGCGAACCCGTCCATTCCTCTGTATGAACGGCCAATTCATGAAGTAAGCGACGATCGTCGCCCACTTGCTCTTCGAAAGCAAAGGGGCCCAGCTTGTTAACGCCTTGCGAATGCCAACGTAATTCTCGTCCACGATATTCGAAAATATGATCCTGTCAAAATTAGTCATTCTGCCCTTCGAGCTGGACTCTCCCTGTTCCCCGCTCTTCATCTGAAGGGAGTTACCCAGCATACATGCCTCCATAGGAAGGAGAGTGAAGCGAATGCAGAACTTGCTCAATCGTTCCGTGAATAATCTCAGCTGCTCTGATACATAGAAGTACAGGCAGCCATAGATATCTTCCGGCGTGGCCCCGTGTTGCTTCCCTGTTGCAAGAACTTCGTCGACCCTGAAAGACGAAATAGTATGATCGGGATATTAGATATCAAATGCGACGCAGGACAATCAGAAAGGACGCACTCCCAGCCATTCAAAGGCTCTGCAAAATCACTCTGCACCCACTTGCCCTCTTTAGAAAAGAGGGAGGAGTTTGGGTGGTTGAAGTGATGATTAGGGGCACCGAACGGCAAAAGCAATCCAAATCGACGAAACTCTTGGTAAGCCACTCGATGCGAAGGCTTCAGCCTGAGATAATAGCGGTCCCGATAGTCCCTTCGACTGGGGTCGTGCTTCACTCGGTCGCATTCTTTCTGGGCGTCTTCAATATCGAAGTTTGCGGAACTAAAGTGACGCAAAAGCTCGACGGCACCAGGGGCTGACAAGATCGCTGCGCCGTCTACCGCCGAACGTAGTCCTAACTTGAAGCCTATTTCCCCCTTCCCCTCCGATCGCGAGTCCAAGTGCGAAACAAATCTGGTGATTGCGAGTGTGATGTGCAAGTTGTACTCGATTGGCATGAATGTCGAGTACCAGAAATGGGTAGCAATGTCGACTCCCAGAGCTTCATCCTCTGCGGTGCCCAATATGAGGAGAAGAACAAGGTTTCGAAGGGCGACATTTAAGCAACCATCGTTCAGCAGAATGTTGATATTTCCCGAGAAATCATCAGGAAGTTTGTTGATAGTTCTTACGACGTGCCGCAGGTCTCCTGACGCTGAAAAAGGGATGAGAACAGGTTGTAGACACCCAAACAGCACGGAGCTCACCCGGAAATGCAACAGAATAGTCCCTGTGGGAGTTGTTCTCGTTTCTTGGAAGGTTGAGAGCGTCCACAGCGGGTGTATTTCCCCATCTAATAAGGCTGGCTTAGTCCTTATTAACTGAGCATCCTAAGGCTGCTAAGGCTTACAGCGCTAAACCGACAGCCATCGACTTTCCGTAATTTGGGTCCGACCTTGAGAGGGTCTCCGGAGTGGTCGAGTTATTCATGAAAGTTGGGGCGCGGCCCTCTCGAAGCCAGCACGGCTCCCAATCTGATGCTCGCATCGGGTTCTTGCAATCTGAAAGGCGTCAAGTTAACATTTCGCTCGATTTTAGCCGGAGTCCATGCACCTTGTTTATGCACTTTCCAATGAGCTTTCTGACATTGCTGCGCGACATAAGTGAAGTTAGGCGACGGGAAAGGCCTGTGACACAAGGCTTCTAGCCCACCTTGGAACAGTACGAAACTAGTCGGCACGCGCTGCACGCCATGTTCCCTGGTTGGTCACAGAAGGTGTGGAGTTCCGGTTGACCATTTGCACACGGCAAGTTAGTCAAAGGGGGATGCCTTGGCCTCAGGTCTGGAACAGAACCACCCAATGCATTTGCAAGACTGTGCAGATCGGAATGTTGGACGTTTCCTATAGTCTCCATGAAACGGGCTGCCCTCGCATCGTCGAGGGCATCGCCGGGGATCGGCCGAATGGGGTTAAGCATGAATTGCGGGTGACAAGTGGTGGAAGCGATAATGTCCAGCTAGAGCGACGAAACAGAGGCGATGGCTCTTATCGTGAGCTCTACGTCGACTCTGTGTTGGAGAAGGGGCTCTGGGCGCTCAAGCTTTTAAGTGGGAAATCCCACTGTGACCGTGGGTTACATGACAAAGCAACAGCCGACGGCAGTGCCCGGCGCTAATTACTGATTGGCGCCAGTGGTGGGCACAATCGGATGGGAGGCTCGGGCATTGGGGATGGCCATGCGTGGCTATGTTCAGTAACTCTACGCTAATAATTCTCTCGAACACGAAGAATCTCAGATTCTGTTGTTTTTTTTTTCGACCGGCGGTTTGTTCGATCCAGCCTGACAGTAGAGCGCCCAAGCTGATATTCTCACGGTTTATGTAACTAACTCTATCTTAAAGAGTTTTCGCGGAGGGCAACTGTTCCCTGCGGTACGAGCGATACAGCAATGTCCCTTGATCCATTATTATGGGAGATCGGTATGCATCTAGGTAAATATGTAAGAGGCTTGGTGAGACGCCGTATGATTGAACGGCATGGGCGGTGTTGTAAAGCCTGCTTCTGGCTTGTACCTTGGCAATTGAGAGGAGTCAGAATATCATCGTCGTCTCTCTCTCAAAGGCGACCTCCTGGAGAAATGGTGGCTCACCCGGTTCATCATTCCGAATTTTGACTTTGACTTGACAGCGTGAAAAGAGTCCCGCATTTGGTACTGTTGCAATCAGGTACCAATCCCATGGTACGTTATCTAGTAGTCAACTCCGTGGACGGAAATATTTGAACAAAATGTGGAAGGGCGTCGAGATCTTTACCGATATATGACAAAGCCAGATATACAAGCAAAGGTGCGATTGTCTTCAACTGGCTCGGTACTGCGTTTACGCACGAGTGTCGGCATTACTGTGTCTATCTGAAGCTAAGTCAGGCTCACCGACAGGCACTCCATTGTACCTATTGACGATGTTGACGAATCTTGCACCCACGGCATTCGAGGAATCGCCATTCACCTACCATGGGCAGGTTGGCTGCTATTGTACTACCGACGATAGACACTCCCTCGGCTCTACAGGGGGATGAGTGGAAGTGTAGCTATTCCCTTCTTTCGGGACCCAGGCCAACGGAGCTCGAAGCCTCTCCCGGCGTTTGTATGTGGAAGACACCTTGTAAGACCTGACGCAGGCTCGTTTCTTTGAATGGAGTAATATTTTGCGCTCCGAACCTTCCAATGTTATCTTCTTCTCTTGCATAGCACTTGCAGAGGCGTGCTCTCCGTTGGTAACCGTTTACTCACCTGATCACCGACACGGGATGCAGAGGCGGATTCATTGATCGTGGTATACCTCAGCCACTCCGACCTTGCGGATTTTCGTTCCGTCCCCTCCAGTCCTCCAATCACAACAACTACTCTAACCTCAGGGAGTCTGTGCTTTCACTGACCATATCACTGCCGAGAACCTTTGATCCAGCTTCTTTCTTGTTCTGGGACGTGCATCTGGCCGGGCTCGCTCCAAAGCAAGAATAAAATCTCCAGTTGTCAATTCCGCCGATTCTCTCAAGGCAATAATGGGGCACGATTCGGGCATATCCAAATTCAGCACAGTTAACTGGAATCAACCTCTTTTGTCTAACGTCACCCTTAGATGGGTCGCTGATGTCGTAGTCGGGAGCTGAGCCATTTCTAAGATCAGCTTTACGTCCAATAGCATATCGCGCGATAGTGATAATTCCTCAGAGTAAAACGAGAGAACTGACCGCAGCTCGATTTCGACATTGGAGCTCTGTGCCTTGATCTGGGTCGCTGATCAGAGCCACGGCATGATTTTCCAGAGGAACATTTTGTCAAAGGTAATTCCTTTCATATTACCTCCGTTAACCTGAATGGTGACTGGAAAAGTCATTGGGATCGGGGCAAGCAAGCCGTCACCTCGTTCACGAGACAGATTGTCTCTCCTTTGCTGCACTTGTGCGAGTTATCATGGGACCATGTCTTCGGACTTTACACCTCAATGGTGCCCGCCATTCCCACCAACATAGCCTTGAACTTGTCAACGCCGTCGCTAACTCCATTCCATTCCATTTTCCGAGGGAGAGAGAGATTTTATTTTCTGGATCTCGATCCAAAAACAACGGGAAGTCCTATCTTTGGTCAAGGTAAATTAACATCTCGCATATTTAAGGACCTGACCCACCACCAGTGGTCGCCAGAGTCATTTTCTCCAATGGTCTCCCTTAGCTCCTCTTTCAAATTCCTCTCCCAGTTTGCTCTCTTTTCTGCCGTTCTCGCTGCGGATGTGTACTACACATTCGACATTGTGAACGCTAACCTCGCTCCCGACGGCTTCACTCGCCCCACTGTCGTCGTGAACGGTCAGTTCCCTGGAACCCTCATCCAGGCGAACAAGGACGACGTCCTCCACATCACCGTCAACAACCTGTTGACTAACCCCCTCATGCGGTAATTCTGTGTCACGACTTTTGCTTCATGAGGCGGTGAGCTCATTCCTTGTGATCAGACGCAGCACTGCTATCCATTGGCACGGATTGGTGAGCCCCTTAAAAACAAGGGGAAGATGAAGTTCTAACGGGAGCCTTCAGTTCCAGAAAAAGACTGCATCTGAAGATGGACGTAAGGCCTCCTGACTGTATCACATTCCATTGAAATATTGAACCGTTACTTTTCTAGCTGCTGGTGTGACGCAGTGCCCTATTTCGCCAGGACACTCCTACACATACGATAGTCGGTCTACTCTGTCTTTTCCTACAATATCTTATCAACTCAACGGCTGAATACACAGTCCCGCTCAACGGTCAAGCTGGAACCCATTGGTATGTATGCTTACTACTAAAGTGTCGTTTACCTTTGACTGACCTCCGTCTAGGTATCACAGGTACGGCTGTCCTGTCAACCGCTATGGATTGAACGCGGTTGACGACGTCTTCGACTAGCCATTTATCGTCTCAATATGTCGACGGTCTTCGAGGGTAGGTTCTATCTTCTTGGAGTGCTTCTGCGTCGCCTGATTTTTTTATTCCAAGTCCAATTGTTATCTATGGTTTGTCCACGGACTCATCTGAAACGAGCTCCGGCTTGACAATATCCTGCGCCTTTTGACAGACCCCACTGATCCTCATCTGTCCCTTTACGACGAGGATGATGAGAACACCATTATCCAGCTCGGTGACTGGTACCATAATGTTAGTGTCTCTCTTTCTCGGCTACCCTAAGCGTTACACTAACCTTGTGCGTTTCAGCCTGCCCCAGCCATCCAAGAGGACTACCTCAACGACATAACCGACGAGCCGGTTCCAGACTCCGGAACTATTAACGGAGTAGGGCGTTATAGGGGCGGTCCTGCCATCCCGTGGGCTAGGGTGAACGTGGTTCAAGGAAAGAGGTATCGACTCCGCGTGATTAACAACTCCGCTTATGGGAGCTTTGAGTTCTCTATCGAGAATCACGAGCTCACTATCATCGAGGTAAGTTAGTCCTTGTGTAATGGCTCGTTGAAGACCCACGGTTAACCCTTCCGTACACAGGTCGACGGAATCAACCACGTTCCAAAGACAGTGGGAGGGTTCGAAATCTATGCCGGACAGCGCTACTCAGTCGTCATTGATGCCAATAAACCAATCCGGAACTACTGGATTCGAGCTCCCATGGACGTCAAGGACGACAGTCCCACATGTGTGTACCAATCCTGAAGTGCAGTTTCAATGCTGACTGGAGTACAGTGGACGACGAGAACATCTACGCCGTGCTTCACTACGAGGGTGCACCTAACGCAAACCCTACCACCCGCGCGGACCGAAGCCCAAGTAATGTTCTCAAGGAGCACGAGTTGGTACCCCTCGACCCTGGCCCTCCAGGAGGCTGTGGACCTGCGGACAAGATTATTGACCTCCAGTACTCCCGTGACACTTCGGGAACCACCAAGGTTAGTTCTTGCGTTTCAATGGACAATTATCGTTGGAAATGACATATCTGCGCTCCAGTGGAAGTTCAACGGGGTCAGATATCACTCACCCACCGATAACACACTCTTGAACATCATGGGAGGTGCCACAATTGCAAGCGATTTTACACCTTCTGAGCATACATTGATTCTCAATCACAATGACATCGTGGAGATCCATCTCCACGGCTCGTCGAACGGTATGTGTCTGTCTCCTTCTTTTCCGACGCTCCCAGGTTCACCTATCCTTGGCCATTAGGTCACGTCCAGTAAGCATATCATGAACTTCCATCTCAGACCCTCTCAGACTCTAATGCGTGGTTGGCCCCTCTCGCGTGTAACAGCCCATTCCAGTACGTGCTCGTCGCCCAATTATAACCTCTCTTACTGAATTTTCCTACTTCACCAGTCTTCATGGCCATGCGTTCGACATCATTCAAGGACGAAGCGGTGGCTCGAATTGTGTAAACCCACCCCGCCGAGATGTTGTTGGCCTTACGAGTGGTACCGGAATCATTCGATTCAAAGCAGATAATCCTGGACCCTGGTAAGTCTTTCGGTAACCTGCGTGAATCCGTTCAATACGTTAACGAATGCTTTCTCCCCTAGGTTTTTGCACTGTCGTACGTGTTCCTTTATGAATTAGAGTTAGGATCGCCCTCTCACGCGGATCGTCATCGACTGTTTGGTGGTCGATAGATATCGGTGAGTTGAATTACTCCCCACAGTCCCCCAGCTTACTGACCGGCTTCCAACTCTTTAGATTGGCATCTCGAAGCTGGCTTGGCTGTCGTATTCGCGGAAGCCCCCGATGAACAGCGCACTGGGCCGCAGTCCCAGATCATCAAGCAGGAGTGGTTGGACCTGTGTCCCATCTACAACGCCCTCTCTCCTGATCTGCAGTAAAGTGGCCGATTGGCTTCGTTTCGTTGCCCTCTGGGACCTTTACCTTCATTGAAATACTACAGTGTATATCATCATGAGTTTCCGTTTGCTCCATTCAACTGGGGGCTTTTTTATTGCTCTATTCTGTAAGCGCTGCAGACACTATTGGACAATGAATTGAACTTGCCAAGTTGTAACAATGTACTTCGAATTGGGGATTGAATACGGATTGAATACATGCCTTAGCCAGCCTGTGTCCCTAAACCATACCTTGATCCGCTTGATCCGACTTGTCACCAATCCTCGACGTCCAAGACTGGACCAGCCACCAATCGCCCTGGAAGCGCTGAAATGGTGTGTATTAGTCCGATAAATGTACAATAACAATATACAAGAACACTGGAGAAACGGATAGCGAAAATTTTGCAAGAAATGTACAGAGAGTAGTGGCCGTGTCTTCCTACACGAAATCGGCGCTCTTGAGATGGTCCCGAAGGATGATGTCTTTCACTATGGATAGATCGATCAGTGACATACTCCATGGGGGATGGCAATGTCCCGAACCTGTTTTCAATGTGGCATAGGTGGTTTTAATATCCTGGCGAACTCCACGTCGTTAGCAGCGCATAGATTTCGGGGCTCCTGAAAGGCTCACAGTTACAGAAGTAGCATAGTAGTATGCAACACGCCCGCCATCGGTGGTGTTGGCCCTCACGATATCCCTGAACTTGTCTTTCAGGTCTAACGCCAAAAGGAATTAGAAGGAAAGTCACACCCGCCGATGAAGGGAAACTTACATTTCACCACACTCGGGGCTTCGTTAGGCCGATCACCATAGCTTGGAAGGTGGTCCTTCACTTGAACGCCCATTTTCAGTTTCCGCTTCAACAGGTCGCATTTATTCATGAACAGGATCAAACTTGTCTTCTCGAGGAGCTTGTTTGAGCAGACATCCCGCCAGAGCAAGAATGAATCTTCAAGTCTATTGATTCGCGAGTCTTCCAGTAACCGTTCGTCGAAGCATGAGACAGCTGGTGAAGCAAGTTAGTCCGGTGTCAGTCAGGATGAGTGCAAAGGCACTAACGGGCAACTGAAATGGGAGGGAGTGATCAGTCTGAGTAAGTTGGGCGAATGAATGTACCCACGGAAGATGATCGCAGTGACGTTGTCGAAGTATGGAACCCAGGCGTGCCTCTGGCGTCTGTGTCAGATATCGAACTGTAGATCAGAGCGGATTCTACGTACACAGGTTCTAGACCCTCCAACGTCGTACAACGACCAGTCGGTTATACCAGAACCTGCTATGGTGAGGGTCAGCGAGAAGTCGCGTGTCGTTTGGGAAGAGCACTTGATGAGGCACGATAACAGCAGACCGAGTAAAAGAGCCTCACGCACCCACAAGGAAAGGCGTAGGTTGATACACCTTGATTTTGTATTCTTGTACACCCATGGTCCGTAACCTTGCTCGAACAACATCGTCGTCGGACGGTACGTACTCCCGTGTGGCGATTCGATCAACGTCATCGAGGAAACTGTACGGGAAAGCCATTAGGACGGGTCGGCGTACATGAGAAAAGGGCACGTACAATCCCGCAGAATCCTCCAAGCGAATATCCCGCTTCTTCAAGACCTCTCCCACAGCCGGGTCCGACCACAACGTTTTGATATCTTCTCTGCAGTTGGCAATGACATCCGTAGCCTCATCCACATCATCGTTGTCGCTTCCACTCCCGTCCGAGTTCGGCCGTGACCGTGAATGGGACCTCGGCGATCGTGTGCCAGTCCCTGAGGTGTTGCGGGTCAGGGCATCCTTCAACCTCCGAACCGAGAACTCCCTGCTTCTTGTCATCTTCTTGCTGAGAGCGCCACCTGCTGGAGCCAGACCCCCATCACCCCCAAAGCGCCCCAAAGTCCCATACTCATCGCTAGCAGCACCATCTGCCAGCTCATCTTCTGCGCTTGCGCCAAGTTGTTTTTTTAGATCCGCTTCCACTCGCCGAAGTGGTGCAAGTCGAAGTTTGAGAAGCTGGTGCTGCCCCGTCAGCAGTGGTCGCGTGTTAGAGTTGGCAGAGCTGGATTGTGGTTCGTGCCCAGGTTCTGAGTCGGAGAAGAGAAACTCTGTCTCGTCATCTTCGTCACCAGTTAAGAAAGGTTGGTTGGGTTCATTGTCGAGTTCGGCTTTAATCGCGTCGAGAATGGAGAGGACAGAGCGAATGAGGTTGAGTTGAATGACGGCTCTCCATGAAACCAGTTCAGCCTGCCATTCTTCAGGCGCAAAACGCATCCGAAAGTCTGGCGCCACGTTAGCTTCTATTTCGTCCAGTATGTGAATGCCTCGTACTTTTCAAGGTTGTCGACTTGCCTGGAGAGAATGTGGATACATTAGCCTCAATCAGCTACATCAATCATCTACCAAAGCACTAACCGCTTTCCGATTGTCCCAACAGCAGCACACGAACAGTCGATTGCTGTTTCTTCAAGGCTGCCCTCTCCTTCCGGATATCGTTGTCGATCTCGTCGCTAACCCTCCTTGCTTCTGCTTCCTTGCGCTCTCTGTCAGCTCGTTCTTCCGGAGTCTCATTAGGTGGTGGACGAATGAGGCGGTCGAGTGGGTCCTCGTCGAACGACTTCATAGTGGGTGATGGTACGAAGAAGGAAGTTGTGGCAAAGTCGTTTGCGTGTGGGCAGACAACCTGTCATCAGACAAAGATACACATACCCCAGCCCCAACCAAACATGAGTCTCAGCCGTGCCTCCGCAGATGCTTGACAGAGAAAACTCATCGTACAAATCACCAAGACATTGGTGGTGGCCGCTAGCCGAATGCCGGCACTATTTCGCACTAATGATTTTCGACTATTAAAGCAGGGGAAGCGATCAGCGGAGAGCAGGGAGCAGTGGAGAAGGTCTGAAGGACAGAAGTTAGCATGTGGACGCCAGCTACTGTTTTCATGAACTCAACCGAGCATATCTTGTTCGAAAGGGAGGCTCAGCGCTCGAAAGTTGAACTCACTGTCGACCCTCCCAACAGGTGTCCTGAAAGCTAACCGAAAGAAGCGAGCAACATTCATTTTGCCTGGCAACCCAATTATCACGGCATCGTATCGTTTCTCAATCAGATAATAGCCATCAGGCACCAACAGAGCCTAACGGAACCTTACGCGGAGGCAAAAGCTCCGCGTTTCGAGACCTGGCATCCCGCTCTTCAAGAGGCCAAAATTCTTCTAGACAAAGTCGAGAATCAGCTCAGGTATTTTTCCAGACAGAATAAGAAAAAGCGAAGATGCCATGACAGGGCTGTCATAGGACACTCACACAGTGGAGAACCTTGACTTATGTTCAGTCTGATGGAATCATTCTTTTCGCCGACAGCCTCCGACAAATGACATTCTTCGTTTAGTAGCGATTGGATAAAATTATATATCTAAATGTGGAGGTGAGCACCAAGTGTTTTTGGCTGGGTCGACATGTAAAGACGAAGGGGCCAAAGAGGAGTAAGAGCTCGCATTGACGCCCAAACGGGTGCCTAGCGCGCCTATCACGATCGAGCAGGCCGAACGCGGCCGTCACTGCACGTGATGTAACGCGTGACATCGCGTTGGTTGGTCGCGACCAAACCGCGACATTGCTTTCACCACGACCACCAACTCGATAGTCGACGACGAAACGTTCTGAAATGGCGACGACAAGGACATCTCTGGAAGCCCAGGAACAAGACAAGCGTCTTGAATCAGCCAAAAGGCTGCAACTCCAACTAGAACAAGCCGATTTACGACTGGAAAAGCATAACAAGGATTTTTCGACATATCGACTTCAAACCGACGATTTGGAGGATGGAGAGGACCTGAGTCTGAAGGACCCGGCAATTGTAGCTACAGATGTCTCTGAGCAAATAGTGAGTCACACGCCCAATACCAGAGGGGAAAACTGACTAACCCCAGGTGCGAAGTCTTTCCTACGGAAACTCAAGTTCCAATACCTGGAGCAAAACGCGAAGGATAAATACGTGAAATCGATCGTTAGTGACATCGACGATGCGCCTATCGTCACCGCGGACGATAACAGGGAACTTGCTGCCTTGAATGAGGAAAAGAAGGCCAAACTGAAGGTGGCGAAGGAGGCTTTGGCTGAGGTGCAACACAATGTCCGCACATTAGCGCCCATGGTGGAGGAAGGTGCGGAGACCCCTTTTACAACCAAGTTCCTCCAGTAACATTGGTCTACCAGACTACATTCGCGTCAAGCAAGCAACGGAACGCGCCAATTTCCTTGCTCAGAAGATCCTGGATGCTCGGCTGGCCTTGCTGCGACTGCGTCAGACCCATCCACATCCACGACTTACGATCACTACGGCCGAACAGAAACTTGCAGATCAAGTAACCGAGATGCAGGAACTGAGCGATCAGGTGGATGCCGTGAAGAAAGAGGTGAAAGTTGTGAAGGAGAAGGTGAAGACTGGTGCATTGGAGGTAGAGAAACTGCGCATTCAGCAAACAGAGTCGGAGAGGATGATGGAAGCCTTGCACTTGGAGGACGACGACAACCGTTTGGTGCCATTATACGACTGGTATGTCCTCTGCATGGTCTCACACGCCTTTCGCTGACCCCCTCTCAGGTACACAGCATCGCTACATTTGCATCGGTCAATATTCAACCTCGAGGAGTCGGACTCGGTTTCAGAAAACGAGCTACGGCTGACATACCGGCTGACAGAGTCAGCGACCGCTACTGTCGTTCTCATCTTCGCGCCAGATACAAGGGAGCTAGCGGGAGTGGAGACTGTTGGCTTCGAAGAGGTTGGGGTGGACACGACAGATATCATCGAGCAGCACATTCAGACCAACGATCCGGCCGGCCTTATCGCCCTTCTGCTATCGAGAGCTCGTGCAGCACTGGACGGAGACACTTGATACTTGGCGTATATTCTTGGTATTACTGCAGGTAATTTACTTGGATTCTGGGCTGATTCGCATACGCACAATCTCGACAAAACGCTCGGTCCAGGAAGACGGTGCGAGGGAAGTCTGTACCGCTTCCCCTAAGGCAGTCACAATGAGGGATTGTCGAGCTCCTTTTGGAAGGTTTGCTAGGGCCGGGACAAGTTGGGATTATTGCTGAAAAGGCTGCCGAGCGTCTAGTGACAGAGACACGACCCGCTATTTTCTGCTGACGTTGAAAGAAACAAGCGATCTGGAAAGGATAGGACGTCAGAATGCTCATTCGACGTCACTGGGTAACCTCGAGATAAACGCCCTCGTCGACAGGAAGAGGAGACGCGATAAAAGGAAGATGGGCAGGACATAGGCTGGCGGGCTTCGATGCCAAAAGCTTCGAGAAGCAGACAACGTCAAAGACAGCGTATTTATTCAGCAGATTGCACGTAAAACGAACAAGAAGGGACAGGGAACCGAATTCAAGTTTATATCAACAGAGTTCTTGGAGGTTCAAAGGCTACTTTTTCTGGTGAATGAATTCGACAAACCGCTCGCACCAGGTATTGGAGACCAAATTCGTCTGTCCACTACATTTCAGCGACAAAGAGCGATACATAAATTGGAAAAGGAACTCACCGCCTGGTACCAACTTTCCTCATCCGGCCAATCAGGAACGGCGTTCACCGGTGCACCAAGGGGCACTCCGAGTCGCTATTAGTATGTGCGGCAAAGAAGTAAGAATCAAAGGCCACATGGAAAGAGAAGGAACTGCTACTGACATGAGGGACGATAGCATGCTTCTCTCTCAGACTCAGTCGTGTCTTCTTCAAGACCTCGCCCAATCCTTTAGCTTTCAGATACGCATCGAAAGGTGCAGAGTTGTCGTAAACGCTGTCGAGATCAACCAAGAAACAAAACATCATAGTCGCTGCCGTCTCTGGAGTAGCGAAAAAAAAAGTCAGTGCGGGAATCGCTCGTCCAGAGATGCTATGTAGCGCACCGGGATCCATTCCGCCGTTCAAGCGACTTTTCCACTAAAGCAAGAGATTGTCGTGAAAGCCTATTGAAAAATCATGCTGAAAGAACATGTTTGCTACTTACCTTCTCTCCCAACTTCTCCATAGCCTCCCGCACAACCCTCGATCGAGGCCCGGCATCCACAACTCGACCACCCTTCTGACCGAACGGCCAGTTCATAAAGTAGCCAACGATAGCAGCCGTTGGACTGTCCGCCAAAAGCGGGGCCCAATTCTCCAGAACCCCCCGCAAACCAACATACTGCTCGTCAAAAATATTGGAAACCGAGATTCGATCAAAACGAACGGGCGTCGGTGATGCACGTAGCGTCTTCGCAAGTTCAGTCGCATCGAGGGAGGATAACTTGAAGGAAACCCTGAATTTTTGGAGCCTCCTGGAGAACTTCTGAAGTTGTTCAGAAAGATGAAAGTAGAGGCATCCATAAATGTCTTCAGACTGAGCGCCGTATTTCTTCCCTGTAGCAATTACTTCGCGCGTGCTGCCGATGCGATGGACAGTCAGATACTTAGAACGGTGAACAAGTAAAAGGACAACTTACTCCCAACCGGACAACGGATCCGCATAGTCTTTTTGCAGCCACTCCCCTCCAGGGGAGAACAGAGACCGATTAGGATAGTTAAAGTGGGCATTCACAGCTCCAAACGGCAAAACAATCCCAAACAGCCGGTATTCCTGGAACGCAACACGGTGCGAGGGGCGCAGCCTCGCGTACATGCGGTCCCTAAAGTCCGCTCGAGAAGGGGCCCTCCGAACAGCGTCATACGCTTGTTGCACCGATTCCGTCGAAGCTTCGGGAACGAGGTAGTACTGAAAGCACATCATCAATTTCTCGTATTCTTCGCCTGAGACGGCGAAAATGAGCTCAGACGAGCCTCCACCGAGGAGAGTCGGAACGTCCGATCTACCGTCGGCAGCACCAAGTGTCTTCATGAACGACAAGAGGGCGACGGAGATCTTCTGCTTGTATTCGACTGGCATGCAGATTGAGTACCAGAAGTGGATGGCGACGTTGGCTGCGAGAACTGGATCCGTGATTGTACCAAGAAGGAGAAGTAGGACAAGGTTGCGTGCGACGACGGGCACACAGCCATCGTTGAGGTACACATCCAGTTTACCAGTGTAGTCGTCCGGAAGGCTGTTGATAGTCTTTACAACATGACGAAGGTCGCCGGAGGCTGGAAGGATGGCGGTCAGCGCCATACGTCTAAGAGTACTGTAGATGTAGCCGGGATGCAACTACGACTCACCAGGAAACACAATGGAAAAATCCCTTTTGGAGTCCTTCTCATTCGCCGAAAGGTTGATGAGGTCAAAGGCTGGCGTATTGCCCCAACTATTCGTGAAAGAAGTTAGCACATAAGCAAGTCCACCATGGTCAACCTATTTACAGCGAGAGACCGCGTGAATGGCCATCGGCCATCCTAGACTCGAACGTATCCGGCTCGTTATTAACAAACCTCGGTTGACGACCCTCTCGCACCCAGATCGGTTTCCAAGTGTTCGACTTCATGGGGTTCTTGCAATCTAAAGAGTCAAATAGGCGTCAATCACGGTGACATGCCAGAGTACATAGCCCATGCCGCCAAATTAAAATCACAGACCTTGCTTGTGCACTTTCCAATGCTGCTGTTGACACTCCTGGCGGCATCACCTCCAAGTTACCACAATCCAATCACGAACAACAAGAACGCAAAAAAACATACCTTTGAACAATACGAAACCAGCCTGCAGCCGGCACACGCCCTCGTTCCCAGTTGCTCACACGCTTTGTAAAGGTGAACTTGAACATTGGCGCACGGGAGTCTTTCAGGGGGCGGGAAACGAGGAGTGCAATCCGCGAGAAAACCGAGAAGTCTATCCCTATCCGCAGACGAAGATGGATCCAATTGATCAATATCGGGGAGTCTCGCGCTCAGATTTTGTTCTGCGATGGGATCAGGAGGCATCGCGAAGAGACTTTTGGCGAAGGAAAACATGGCGGATTGAGGAGGGGGGAGCTGAGCGCTGAGCACCGATCGATCGCACGCAGAACAAAAGTTGGGGCGTTTATGTGGGTGCTGCTTGTTCCCCCCTTTTTGAAGTGTCCAACCTAGATTGGCTTTGTAGTCGTATGTTTTGACTACAAAGTCAACCACGAGGCTTGGGCGCTAAAGCAATAAGCATCATCTGGGCTGCAATTCCTGCTGCGGAAGCCTACAGTTATTGATTGCCACCCGAAGCCGTGCCACGAGGCTGAAAGAAGAAAGCGGGGAGACGCCGATATTTCCAATTGTCTGACACGACGACAACGATGAATTAAGAGCCCTGTCCATACCAAACCTCTGTACGCCCATGAGCACAGGTAACCGGTAATCAAGAAGAGTGTTAGACACATACCAGGCCCTGGTATATCATAGGTTGTGATATTGCACGCACCCGGATCGTACAAGTTGACGTTAAGACCCGGGTCATCGTTCTTGTACCCCCCAGGGAACTTGACGAGATACCGCGATGGGGGAAGCTTGCCTCCACCTCCTCTAACGACCAAGTCATCAGGAAAAGACAATCGCCGTGGCGGGTGTGGAGGCCGTGGCGCCTGTGGCTGATCAGCCTCCACATCAGTCCACACCCTCCACACCCCTTCACACCATACACAATCCACATCCTGCCACAACGTACTATTTTTGTTTAGAGCTGTAACATGCATATTTGACGAAATAGTACCCCAGAAGCTTGAGAATGAAACACTTGGAATACAGGACCTCTTAGAGGGATAGACCACTGCGATGCTCGCGACTTAGTAGATTCCACGCGCGGATCTCAATTTGCGGATGTTTGACGCGGTCACATGACTAAGTTGATTCCTCGTATTTGAAATTTGTCGACCGTGACGTTCCTTCAACTTGACCACCACCACCACCACCACCACCACCACCCATCCTTTATCCTATTCGATTCTCTATGTACGTGTGCTTGCGCTTCTAAGCCACGTCTTAGCACAGCGTCTCTGGAGTATGCGACAGGAGTACATGTGGTAAGTCATTGTCTTCATTTGGTGCCCAAAAAATGATCGACTTACCGTCATATCTACAGATAGCAGCCTGAAGCTCCGGTAAATCAAGATTCAGCGAAAGGTGCGTGTTCCGCTGCTCCCTATTGATACTGATATCCTGATCCTTGCGTAGAGGCTCATCTCCTGATTTCCCCGGTGTGTATGTTCTTTGGAGGTCGTAGCACAGGGTACGTCCCTAAACACTTTTTTCTATTCCAAACGGTTCTGAGATGTCACCAAGTTCCTTCCAGGAACCGTCGAACCTGCAGAGGGCTGGATTGACTGCCGATTTGTAGAACCTGTCTTCCAGGTAAGTTTTCTGGCCCCCGATTTATTATTCCAGCCCGTAGTAGCGTGTTTGCATGGACTCTCATGTATCATACACTGAATATTGAATATATTTGCTTGTTTCCCTACAACTGCGGATGTCTACCATGAAATGAAGATTGTGGGCCGTCGTTGAAAGGTGTTGTCTGCTGTGGATGGCCATGGATTATGGCCGCACAACGTTTGTTGTGTCGCCACAATCGAGATGTGGGGTTTCGTACCCCCGTATAGTCCCACACCATGGTGTGAGGGTGTGGAGGGGTGTGGAGGGTGTGGGGCCACGGCTGCCACGGCGATTGTCTTTTCCTGATGAACTGCGCACCTGTATGCCCAGTCAGACGCATAAAGAATCATTACCCCAGCCGAGGCATGTACGAACATTCGACGTAGAACTGGGGACCAACCCATTGCGGATGAAGGGCGATAAGCTCGTGCTGCGGGAATCGAAGTTAGAAGTCGGAAGTTAGAAGTCAGAAGAACCCACTTCGGGCGGCACAGCAGGGGACGATGATAAAGGATACTTACCCTAATCAGGTATTCACCATCTGCGAGTGCTTCTGGGATGGTGGCGTTGTAGATGCCCGTGGCGACTACTTGGCCTCCACCCCAAGTACCATCCCTGAAAATAACCATTCGGTCAACGTATGCAATCCAGGGAAGGGGGGTGCATACACGAGGTTTCCATCAATCAAACCTGACAGTAGTCAGCAACGGGAACGTAATATATTGTCATCGGACTGACCAGTATGTTCGATCTTAAACCAATCAAGTTCCGTGCTATTAACAGCAGTGCACGATCCAGGGCATCGCGCCATATACACCATCCCAGGTCCAAACGGATGAATCCAGTACCTAGTTTTCGTGAGCGACCAGCGAAAGCGACGTCCGTATCGTTGTGGCAATAGCCTTACCCCCACACAGCGATGATAAAGTCTCCAGCACGAATAGGGGCGGAGATCTGACCACCACCTCGCGTCGGCCCACCGTCGTTATTGCATGCCAGCCACTGGTAAGTATGCACACAGAGTCAGGAGTGACGTCCACGGGCTCGAGGAGAGCGAACCGCACCGGGTGGTTTGCATCGTAAAGAGGATCGATGGAGGCTGGAAATAGAGCTTAAGATGACATGAATCGAAGCAAACGTAGAGATGGTCTGACTGTAAGGCCTCCCTATCGTTACCTGGCCTTCAGGCGGATCGTACGGCTGATAGCCAATGTAAGTCTCATCTGGGGGGTTCGTTAGCTTTAAGCTTATGTCGAAGGGAGGCGCAAGGACGGAGGACGGTACTGAGTGCTCACCTCTGATAATCCAACTCTGGACACCACCGTGGCCAGCTACGCGCGCGATAAAGAGAGTAACAGAGAGTGCGATGGAGAGGATGGAGAACATATCGGGAGACTCTGAGACGACTATAGGATACACTGGCGCAAGAAAGGAAAACGAGGGAGAAGAACCCTTTTTCGCAATCCACCCATTTCGAGAGACACCAATACCCATACCCCTCCACTAAGCAGTGAGCACTTGGGAGACGTCTAAACCTTTCACCAGACCCACCACCACCCATACAATCATGTTTCCGCAAATTCTCCAGCATCCACACAACCCAACACTCAAAAGTCTCAACCAGAAGTCATAAAAATAGAAAAACGCCAATATTCTCGGCGTTTTATTGGCAGGGTGCCAAGTCATGAGGGAGTGCTCGGAACTTCGGAACCCAGGCGGCGATTTGTGTGTTTGATGAAGACAGAAGTTCTTCCATACAGTTTAGGGCACGAGGAACACGTAGAAGAGGACGGGGAGGGTTCTATCGTCGGAGCCGTGGGGTTCGAGTGGATGGAATTCCAGGATTCTCGCACTGTTTGGTTAGGATAAGCACTAGAGCCGGAGTTATCGTTCGAGATGATGGTTCCAACGGACAGAGAGAACCGCAGGATAAAAATTTGAAGCAAGACGGCGGCCAGATGGTGGTTGAGGTCCAGGAGAAAGAGATCGACATCGCCCTCAGGTCGCGTGCGAAGTTCAAAGTTGCCGAGGGCAGCCGAGGTCCACGTGATCGTATTAATCCCGTGACCGTTGATTTAAGCGCCGAGGCATTGGCCCCACGGGCCCTGGCAGTGGCAGTCGCGACAACGAGGAGGATCCTATTTTGTCTGTGGATACCCACCTGTGCAAGCATCTGACTCTCTACCAATGTCCCTGCACAGAGGATGATCTGTACCAGGTGCACCCCGGTCACCAAGCCACAGCCTCAATTCAATCGATCAGCACCAGAACCCGATGCCTATCAGGGCTATCAGGGCTATCACAAAGGATCTTCAGCAACCGCATGCAATTCCCTGTCACTCCCCGCACTATGTCCGAGTGTAGAGATCGACGGGCAGTGCTACCTCCAACCGCAATACAAAGACGACACGCAGAGATGACGATGATGATAGTCATCTCACGATGGATGGAGTCCCGAGGAAGATATAAAGGCCAGGGGTTGGCCAGTCCATTCTTTCCCTCATCCCGAGCAGGTCTCGCGATTCCACTCCCGGCTTCCAGCAACCACTTTTACCTCCCCCACGCGCAGGTCGTTTCAACGTCTACTCTATCACACTATCTATCCCTATCGTCCATTGAAGATGAAGTTCGCCAATATCATCCTCGCCGCATCCCTCCTCGTCGGCACTGCTTTTGCCAGTACCGAGGGTTCTGCCAGTGACTTTGAAGCGTATGTTCTAACTCCCTTCATAAATGGAGAGTTTGCCTCTGAAAACTTTCTTTATAGGCGTGCGCTTTCCCCCGTCGCAGACGAAATACTCGGCTCCCGAGCCATCACGGAAGACATTGACGTCTTCGAAAGAGACGTGGAGGATTACCTCTTCGAGAGGGACGACCTCGACGACCTCGAGATGCGAGAACCCATCCTGCCAGCCCTAGGCATCCGCGTCGGGTATGCAACCATTCTCAATACATACATACCCATCCACTAATCTAACCTTTGCCTTGCATTAATCATTAATACAGACTCAAGGCCGCCAAAGGACTCTACCACGTCGTCAAGAACCGCCGCCGAAAGCGAGACTTGGAGGACGCGTTCACTGAGGAAATCTTCCGGCGCGTGATGGATGAGGATCTTAGTCCTGAACTTGCACTGCGGGCGTTGGAGGTGATGGATGTTGATGAGCTGGTTGCTCGGTTTGAAGAGGATTTGGATTGAACTTGGGTGTATACAGACACATCACGGAAATAAGATACTTGTCTGCGTCCATGAGACAAAGTTCACTTAAGCGCCCACATTGAATCGGAGATCGTGTACTTTGCGTCGGAGCTCGAGCTCCCTGGGTCACCCAAACAATTTGTCGTCATGGCCATCATGCTCCCGGAGGCAGTTTCCATGGTTTTGTCATAATTAGATCATGCATCCATTCCAGCCACCATACTTCTTCACGATACTCCTCCTTCGAGCCTGCTCAGAGACCGTTGTATCATCCATCTCTTTAGAGCCCCACAGGCTGGGGTTGCATTCCCTCTTCTTCTTTCTTTTCATATCTTCTTTATACCCTTCTTACAGCACCACAGCCAGTGGAAGGCAGACAAAGCCTTCCTTAACCGGTCCTCTTTTTGAATCGGACGACTCTCGACTGACACCTCGAAGGCTTGAAACCTGGAACAACTAACTAGTGTCCAGAGCTCTTTCTTCACGACGACGACCAACTCGAAAGACCACAACCATGGCGAAACACCGTCTCCGAGTTCTAGCAGGCCCTTCTCTAGAACAAATGCGGCCCATCTCCGTGAACGACTCACACCCCCACAAGATCAGCTCTGACCTCTTCGAAGGCGAGGTCGTCGCGAACATCAAAGGGTTCACGAACGGAGAGGGGGAGGTCATAGATTCGGAGTATTTCGAAAGGGAGGATCGTCAAGGCGTTACATGGAGTATACAAGTGCAAGGTGCGTTTGTTTCGTTCTACTATAGGTGGTAGAGCGATACTGAAGGTGAAGTGCCGGTATCGCAGGCAGGTTCCTCGTTCCCTACAGCGCAGACGACATTCTATTCGGTAACACCTTCGACCGGCCACTCAAACTACCATGGGGCACAGGGGCCGTTCTCCGATTCATGAAGTGAGTACCTGTTCTTCAATCCCCCAAGGCCTCCTTTAACATAACCTCCTTCGCCTTCCCCTTTCAAAAGCTACATCGACCCAACCCTCGAACACGACCTCCAATCACCCACCAAACCCTGGGCACTCTCACCCCTCATCTCAACAATGCCTCATTTCGCCCACCACCGCGTAAGAACCGACGACGGTGAAGAGCACGAAGCAGACCGTTTCCCGCCCAAGACCTCTTTGACAGACAACACCTCCCAGCTCTACCTCGCGTGCAACGATACCGTGTCTTCCAGTTCAGAAGGTTCCTCAGGGTCCGCGTCGCCCAGTAGTAGCTCAGGCGGGTTATCACCTTCCCCCACCGCCTCGTCCGCGTCTCTCTCCACTCCACACAGTGTTCGAGTCGAGCCTCCGACGAGTGCCCTAAGCACAGGCACAGGCACAGCTGCTTCGGGAGCCAATGGAAAGTTGAGGACCGGCCTCCGCAAGGCGTTCAAGTCTAAATCTCGACGGAGACAACAGCTGCAGAACGAGATGTCGTTTGAATCTGCTTCGCAGCGGAGGACGTACTTTAGTTCTCCGGAGAAGAGGCAGAAAGTCGTGTTTGGTCCTCTCGTGCGTCTCCCTCTCAACCCATTCATACCACTCGTACTAACTCTTATGATATCTCTATTAGGACGTGATCACGACCGATTTTTGTTACGGCTTTATCAACTTCAGTCCGTCGTTGTCACTGCAACTTCCGGGCGGGCTGTCGTTCGACTTGATGAGGTACTGGGATGGGCAGCCTGTGAGGTTTGTGTGCTGCGAGCGTAGACAACCAGACTCGCCTGATCCATGGGGTCGACTGTTTTGGTGTGTCTCCATCGAGATGGTAGAGGAGGAGGGCTCTGTGGATGGGTCCAACGGGACAGGGCCTTCCCCGGTCGATTCAGACATCGATTAGAAGAGATGGACCATCCGTCTCCAGGCCGTGCAGTCAGTATGTATGTACACATGTCTATAATACCCCTAATGAGAGACATTGTATGCAGTCGTGACATTACCCGACGACGCACACACATAATCACCACGGAACAGTATCTCCTACAGCCTCCTGCAGCAACACACTCCGAGTCCTCCACTAAAACCAGACATGTAGAGATGAAGGAGAGGAGGAACAGCGGTCGAAAAAAGGGAAATCACGCTACGGGCCGACGAGTAAAGAGAGAAGAATTTTTGACAGGCTCTTCGACGTCCATCAGCCTGGACGTTCAGTTCGACGATCACTCGAGCCTCCAGTCTCTATGCATATGATCAATCGGACACCAAAAAAATTGGATTAAACGAGACCCTTCTGCGGGGCCTGGTATCAAGTGATTCAATCCATCAGCGTCTAAAGGCCAGAGCGTTGGAGATGAGGTACGCCAATCGCTAATTCCTAAAGGTGTCAGCGATAGTCGTAATGTTGTCTCCCTCAAGCTGGAGTAGGTTCTGTGTTATCAGTAGCCGGTCAGTTACATACTGTAAGCCCACTGGCAGCTGAATGTAAAAAATAAAACCACGAACCTGGTTCCTGTTGGTGTACGAAGGCCAAACGGGACCTACCATACATAATGATATCAATGGCGAGGACCAAAAAAAACCGTCAGTCAGTCAGTCACTTCATGGAAGGGATGCACATAGAAAGCAACGAGTACTTACGCTGCACTCCCTTTCCATCATTAGGATCCAAACTGTCGGTGAAAGAGATCCAATAATCCACCATAGCGACGCTCAAGCTCTGAGCAGCCGCCAAAGGGTCCGGTGGTGGTCCATAGACGAATGGAATCTCAGCCGCATGGAGGACTGGAGAAGAAAGAAGCTCAGCAGTCGATCGAGAAATATCGAACAACACGGGTTTCATGACCTACATACATACCTCCAAGCGGTCCAGGATGGGGATGCGTAAACAAGTATCCGTATGACTTGACGCCACGCTGGGCGGTGGCCTGCATCCACTGTCGGCGGGGAGCGTCGAACAACATGTCGCCCTCTGCCAACACTTCGAGTTCAATCCCAGCTGCGCAGTAAAGGAGATATGTACACGAGACATACGGATCGCCGAGTGTCGCTTGTACACCGAGGGGAAGCCAAAGAGTTCGTCACCTGTGTTATAAGGGGAGCCCAGTGCCGGGACGTCGGGGTACTGCTCCATCAAACCGTCGATCGCCTGCTCGAATTGGGTACTGTCGACGAGGGGAGGAGATACACTTGCGACAATTCCCGCTTCAAGATCTGCATTGCCGTCTGAGGTGGCGAACAACGTGCCTAGGAAAAGGAACGTGGAAATGTATCACTGAAACGTTGAGGGTCATGCACGACCCTAATAATGCTCACCTTCATCGAGATTGGTCCCAGCAATGTATGGAATCCGAGCAAATTTGCCCTGACTGTACAGCCTGGATGGAATTTCGGGGAGAAGGCTTCCAGGACCTCGATCCCGAGTAGGACTAAAGACCATGTCGACCATAAAGTTCGGTCCAAGAGAGTTAAGATAATTGCCTGCAATTTCTTCCCTAGTCGCATTTTGCAAGCAGGCGAATGTGTTGCCACTCGTAGCGAGGTTTGCGCAGGAAGGGATAGCCCGGACGAAGGCTTGCCACTCGGACTCGCGTTCCGCTGCGGTGCAGAGAGGGAGACTGTTCGATGAGCCGGATTGGAAAATCTCACATAACGGCGGGGTCAATGCCTAGCGACGATGGGAAGAGAAGAGACTCACTGCGCCTCTAACAAGTTTCTCGAACTGCCTATTGAGATAGAGGATCCCGATAGTTATGGCTCCAGCGCTTTCGCCGAAGATAGTAATCTGAGAAAGATACGATAAGCACACGAGATTGGAGAGGTAAATGAGCGTCACACCTTGTTCTTGTCGCCTCCAAAGAAGTTAATGTTGGCATGAACCCACTCAAGCGCAGCCGTGACGTCCTTCATGCCCAAGTTGAGCTCGCGTCGATCGTGAGCTACGAGCCCTCGTCTGTGAGCCACCGAATGAAACAACAATCTCGAATCGCAATCACCTTCTTGTCCTTGTGGGAAACCAAATGGTCCCAGTCGATAGTTGAAGTTGACATAGATGACCGGGGTTCCCTGGTCAACAGATGAATGAGCAAGGAATGATTTCGCGCAAGAGGAACGTCCCGCTCACTCTTTGAACACTACGAGTAACGAGGCTGGTTCCATCGTAGGAGGATGCGCCCCCGATGACGTACGACCCTCCTTAGCTGCAAGACGTCAGCCGGCGTAAATCTCAGTCAGAGGAGACGTGGATGGCTGACTTCCAGAAAAGTTATGTAAAGAAGTAGTTCGGTACAGCCTGGAACGGAGAACGAAATAAACGCGTACCACGGGGAGCTTGTCGCCAATCCTCGTGCCTGTCGGTCCGACGACGTTGATTGAGAGGCAGTCCTCCGATGTATCAGCGAGAGGAATCACCAAAGGCTTCAATTTTTTTCGATTCAGTGAAGCGGTTACGACGACGGACCGGTCGTGTACGCACCGGTTGAAGACACGCCTTTCCATAGCTGCTTGCCTCGAGAGAGTAGTCTCGGTGTAGCGCGTCTTGAGGATAGGCGAGCGGAATCTTAGGCTTCCAACAGGAGGTTCTGCGAACGGAATGCCTGGACGATTCCGCTTATCAGCAAAGAATCTTGTCTGAAGGTCAAGATTTCTGGATCGCTTACCGCCAAAGAAATCTACTCCAGCAGTTGCATTTTCGCGACCAACGACGGTGGTGCGGCCAATCTTGACCTTTGGAGTCGCAGCGACGGCAGTGGCAGTGACTGCTCCCAGTACAGCAAACCTTTTCAACTTCATTGTCGGTCGTGTGATCTTCAGCGAGAAAGAGAGAGAGATCTACAAATGACAGCATACCCGCTCTCTTTATAGGCGCTGTAAGTGGTCGTCTGTATTTCTCCGGGTCCTGGGCATTTTCTTGTTTGGTTGCTGCGGAAGGTCGCGTTTTCACAGAAATCGCTTTACATCCAGGGGGGCGTCGCATTTTGGGCGTGTCGGGATCGTCACAGTGCCATAGCAGCGTTTCGTGATTTTCGCCTTCCTACAGGCTGCCGCATTAGAGACGCTCGGTGGTTTTCGAATTGCAGGTTTTCTCAGTTTGTTGATTCTTCGCTGTTCAGAGCAGTAGACTGTAGCTCCGGGATAAGGAGCTGGTTTTTGGTAAAGAGCGGTCAGAGAATATGTCCCAGAAAAACACGTCTAAGGGGCAGGTGATGGTCCTGGTGCAAGTCGAAGTACTAGTAGACAAGTAATTGATGGCATCAGAGATTACGTACGATCTTATCTTATCTCTAGGTTGGGTAGATGAAGGCTAACCAGACCGAAGTCTCTTTCATTGCTGTAACGTGGCCTATGCCCATTGCAACCCGGGGGGAAGAGCATTGTAGACGAGTCAGATCCAATACTGAACCTATCACATAGTATCCTTGTCGATGATGGTGGTCATAATGCATAGGGCTTGGTAGTAAGTAGGGATCTTGCCTCATCGAATTCGTCACTGAAGACCCTATTGTACGTCCAAATTCCAAAATGTAGTTCAAAGTCAGGCCTTCCGAGTCATGTCTGATGTCATAGCTGGAGGCACCTGTTTGTCTGTCAGTTCATGTCAGCTCCTATCCCTTTATTTCTGGACATCTTCAGAAGAAAGAGTGCGAAGCAAGGCCCGCAGCCGTCAATTCCATTTCATTTCAGTCCAACTGACCCAGTCTAACCCAAAATCTAGTCCAAACGTGCTACACAAGGTCCGACACCGCTCCACAAACGAAGGCAATATTGCCCCATGAGCCGCCTTTGGGGGTATCCAATCCTCAAGTCCAATTTATTACTAGCCGAGAAACGAGACTGAAATCGAAGCCGGACGACGTCATGTTGGGGCTGAGAGACTGTTCCAGCGAGGCCACTGTATATAAATTCGCCCATAGCCTCGAATACTACGACCTCAGTCTCCAGACTCCCGCCATTCCCCCAGAAACACCACACACACACGCTGAAACGAATTAACCATGGTCGCCGATTGCACCTGCCAAAGCAACTGCACGTAAGCGACCCTGCTTTTGTGGGACATCAACTCGAGTTGACCATTTGTTTCTTTCCATTTAGCGCTTGCGGCCCTCAGGGCACTGGCTGCGCCTGCCCGAAAGACAAGTGCAATTGCGCACAATGTCCTAATAAAGCTCACACTGAACAGGTTCGTCGATCATGGTTTCCTCCCGCTTTCACAACCCCGGGCCCTCGCTGACATCCACATTTCGGGTTTGTTTTTTGCAGTGCACTTGCAGCGCTGGTGGCGACCACTGCGGATGCAAGACCAGTGACAAACCGTGCAAATGCTCTTGAGCGACTTGAGCTTTGTCCTCCATTCCCCGCCACTTGCGTGAAATCTCCCAGACCATTCAGACTCTTCCTCCTGTTATGTTTTCCCCCCATCCATTGTCGACGATCACCAAGGGCGTACTGCGTAGTCTCGTTTCATGTATGAACATCAATTTCAATTCAAATGCAACAGTCTTTACATCCATTACGACCCTCAGTCCAATCTCGAGTACTCTCTAACGTCCATCTGAAAGAGCGAATCAAGCCAGCCTGCCCTTCATGGCGCTAATTACTTATCGTTCCTCGACACCAATAGCCTCACAAACGGTCCACAGATCGACACAAAATCCCTAATTTCAAAGCCAAATGATAGACAGTTGTAGAAATGCAAAGGTAATAAATAATCCCAAGAAAAGTGGAAGCCCCGATAGGTATTTATGTACGTAAAGCTGAAGGTATATAGAACTGCATGCCGATAGAAGAGAAAGGGTAAAACAAAACAAATGACACACAGCGAAGAAGAATAGTCTGAGGGTGTACGATACACTACATACATAAATGATGAAAAGTTTCCTTCCGAAGGAGAATGGAGTATGTAAAAAACCGTCTGAGTGAGAAGGGGGAGTATAATAATAATGATACACCCAAAATCCTACACCAACAGCGCCATCAAGACAGCCACAACGGGGCCCACCGCCATCGTCGCCCCGCCCACCCTGACCGAACTCGCACTGCCAGCCAAACCCGTTAAAGCGTACCCAACACCACACTTGCCCTGCGTCAGTTCCGCAGCGCTCTCGTACGTCTTCTCCAGCCCAGGCAGCAGCTCCGGCCCACCGGGGCTCTTCAGCGCCTCTCCGTACAGTCCCATCAAGTCCTTCAAACACGCCGTGCATTGCGGGTCGGAGCTTTTGGGTGGGATCGGGAGACCGAGCGGGAGGTGGTAGTAGTACAGGTTCGTCGGGTTGACGTCGCGCGCGGCGTTGATGAAGCAGTAGGTGTTCGTCGTGGGGTCGCTGAGGCAGGCTGCTTCGCGCATGAGACCGTAGGCCTTGAGGGCTAGAAGAGGCGTTACGTTAGTTATGAATGTGATGATCAGAGGTAAAGGAAGGGGGCTTCGATTTCGAAATCGAAATGGGCAGAAAAGATCATATCGCAGGGGTGGTAATGAGACGTACCGAGAAGAGTGTCCGTGGCCAACAGGTTGCCGTCCTTCAAATCCGCCTCGCACTCCTTCTGGAGCGAGTCCGCAAACCAAGCCATGTTGGACAGGCATTCGCTTTCCTCGGTGTTGGTATTACACGTCCCCCATACAAGTTCGTTGAGAAGGGTGATGTTCTGCTGAGCCTAGAAGCATTCGAAACGAACGTCAGCAACTCCAAGCATTCGGTAAAGCAAACAATCGTAGGGAAAAAAAAAACGTAGAGTTGCGCCACCAGAAAAGAAGAAAGAAGACACAGAAGCTAAAAAAGACAAAGGGCCATTAAACCGAAAACGTACCGAAATGAAGGTGCTTGAAGTTTGTAGCAAGAGTGAAAAGGGTCGGCATGATCTAAAGGGTCGCGTGTTCGTCATGTTCGTGAAAAAGGCAAGGCATGAATTGCTTGAAAAGTTCTGTGGGAGCCGACTGTCGAAGGCCTGGATGAAAGGGGTCGGAAGGGTGGGCGGTGCTGCTGGATCTGGGATTGTGGGTACGACTTGGCTCGGTCGTGGGGTGCTCGAACTGGACGGGGCGCTCCCCGAGGGAGTGGGCCTCTCAGAGCCGCTGGGACTGGAACTCGAATCGTCCTCCTCATCGCTGTCCGTGCTTTGCCGTCTATGCAGCGAATGGCGGTGCTTGATAAGACCGTGTCGACGAATCGAGGATGTTAGCGAACTGAGGTCGTAAGTTGAAGGTCCCTCTGTGGCCAGGAATCGTGCTGTGGCGCTGATTGCGAGCAGAACGATGGGAACAAGGAGGACCAGCAACCGGAATCGTCGTCCGATCCGGCGCTTTTCCTCTTCGTGAAATAGATACTCTGCCCGCGTCGGTGAAGACTCTAGCAGCGGAGTCGTCGGCACCGACGAACTCGAAGCCTTCTCCTGGCGCCTTGGAGGGTTCGGGGACGGCGGAGGGGTGAACATGATGGTGGGAGGGGAGAGAAGAAGAGCCAAAAGCTCGGGGAAAAAGGGAGCGAAACTGGAAAGAGAGTGTATATCCAAAAGAATGTGGGTGGCTGATGCCTTGAAAGTCAGAAGATGGCGCCCCTAGTCAATTGCTGATCAAGAGCCCAAACCTATAAAGCAAAAGAATCAATTAGCATCATGACAGGCTGTACAAGATTGGGCGCCCGAACGCTGAGCAGGACGAGATAAAACGCCGGGCTTCGGTCGAACCGAGTGTAAATATCCGAGAAACTCACTTCCGAGAAAGTTGGGGTTAAAAGTTGAGAAAAGGAAGCACAGGTGGAGTGCGGGGGAGTTCGTCGTGAACGTCAGAGAACAAGGTCCTTTGAAACCAGCAAGGCCTGTGAACGCTGTCTGCTGAAGATCGAGACCCTTGGGAACGCCAGCGAACTTTCCGGGCAGCATGATTTGATGGCCAAACGCCAACCCTGATGTGGCCTGATGTTCCCAGGAACATTCCCCCATCGAGGCTAAAACGCCTGACAAGAATGCTCGGGGCTTGAAACTCAGGAACGTGAAGCGTGGACGTCTTCGAACACGCGTGAAGGCTCCAAGGAACCGACGAAACCAAAAGTCTTGGAAGGAGAAGCTACGCGAGGATACACGGAAGCGCTTACCCTAAACTTCAAATCAAAAAAGGGTTTACGAGGGTACGAAGGTAGAGGCAAACCTCCAGATTCCAGAAGGAAGACCACGTAAAGGAGTTCAGGGTCGCATCTCAAAAAAACACAAGCACGTCGTCCAATTGGTCCGTTTGGCGGATTCCTTTAGTTTCTTTATCTCCCTTTAATCACAGAGCTTCCGGAAGTGACGCGAGGAGCCGCCACGGAGGTTGAAAGCGAGAGCATCCGGAGGTAAGGGAGGCGAAATAGGCGTTTATCATGGAAGTTGACCGACGGAAAGCGGCGCCGTTGTGTGTGGAGCATCGAGAACTTGACAACTCCACGCGTAAATCAGTCGGTAAAAGAAAGGCAGTAACTGCCATAACGGGGAGTGTAGACTCCAGGCTATCCACAGTGTACCTGTAGAAACTCTTCTTTGAAATTCAAGCTTCTGTGAGGTAAGTAAGTAAGTGTATGTGCATTCAAAAGAACCCTGTGCATACTTACCATCGGTGATCTAATTCCGCCCTTTACGGTGGGACGGACATAACAGAATCATGAAACGTGCGCCAACAGTCGGTGAATTGACTAAGGCTGGCTGCGCGTAGCCGGAAGTGTCAATCGCCAGAATGGCATCCGAAAGTCTGCGAAAGATTGTCCGGAAGTCCTTGCACAGCCAGTTCTGCAAGCCATTAATTGTATCTGACATGCGCGCTCCAACGAGCAAGGAGAAAAGATTAGAAGAATCAAATGGTCAACAAGCCGTAGCCTGACATTGATTGATATTGATGCTTCAAATGTATGTATGGTAAAGGTCAATGAATATGTCATGGGGCAGTGAATTCTCCGAACATACCTTGCGTCATGGGGACACAGCACACTGAGATCTAATGATATCGAATTCCAGCCGTATCACCTGCAACTTCCAAAGCGACAGTCAGTCACTGGTGGAGCTGCCCTTCAGAAAGATACCCGATACATAGTTAGATGACTGACAGCCCAGCGCAAGGGCAGACTGGACCCAGGGAGCTCAGAGAAGCGAAGGAGTCCTGCCGGTAGCCGCAGCACCGAATCCGTACATGAAACCACGCTCGGGATAAAGGATGACGGAAGAAGATAACCGACGACTCGGAGCGCCCAAGAGATCGTCAGGTTTCAACCCAGATTCCAGATACGTATGCATGTACGTCCGACTGAGCCCCCAGCTGCCATCAACGAGGTGGCATATCCGAACGCAGCGACAGAATAGTACACCTGGATTAAAGTGACTAGGATCCTCGTTCACTAGTTCGGGTTTCATGGCGGTGAGGGCGGGCAGGTTGAATGTCGGGGGAAGCCGCCCAAAAGCAGGAATCCGGAAGCTCCTTCATGGTCCAACCACGCACACCCAAATCGCACCCAGACTCCAGTCCCCAAACTTGAAAGCTGTCATTCCACCAGCCGAACAAGCACACCCATCCAACAACACAATATCGATCGCTGAACATCGAACCGCTGAATGTCGACGGACAGGCTGACAGCCTGAGGTTGCAGTGGAGGATAGGTATGAGGATGCGTATCACCAAATTCAACCGGTAGACATGTCATCGTACAATGGTCAAGCACAGATCTAGAGAGAAACTTGCGTCACTTGCCCTTGCACGTTAGTCGTTTCATCCCGGGCCTCTTTCGCGTACTAGGATCTCTGCACACACATCCTTGTCACTTGGTCGCTCCTCGGACGGCTATCACCCATCCACATTAGACGACGGAAAACCAGATACCCAGAATCCAGAGACCGTGACGTTCCATGAATAAGGGGATGTCCCAGTGCCAGACGCGTCGCTTCGTAAACCCGAGCCAGTCCGCAGACTTCCAGTTGGCCCAGAGGTCCGGAAGTATGTCAAGCAGGGTCGCCACTGAGTGCTGAGCCTCGATATCCCCTCTGATCTCCCCGCCGAGTGGATACACAGTGCATGTATCCACCCCGAGAGCCCTCCAGCGCCGGTAGTCTGAACCCGACGCCTATTATAACAACCAGAGACGCAGTGGAAATCCAAAGCAGAAATCCAGCACCGAAATCGACTATGCATATCCGCCCACTGTCTCTAGAGCAGCATGCAGCACGTCGAACTTCACGATAGGTAAACCAGCTAAGACGGGAGGATTCTCTGAAGATGGTGCATGATGATGATGGAGCGAAGCCAAGAAACGTCGTACTTCCACAAGTTGCCCGCCGATGCTCCTCTTCTCTTCTCTTCTCGGACCAAGGGCCTGGTTCACGAGACTATATATAGACAATGACCTTGCACATCGTTCACAATTTTCGAAAAACCATCGCTCACCACAACCAGAAGCCTATTCACCCAGAACGAAATCAACGGATTCACACCACAAACCCCAATCTCTTCAAACGATTTTTTTTTATTCGACTAAACACTCAACTCGAAGCTCGAAAGCAGTAATCTAAATAGTAGGATCCACGTAGTAACAAAGGTAAGGGTCCATGGTAGTAAGTAGTGGGTTAGGGTAAAGCGTAAGATCGTCGTAAGCTCGCTCGTACGTAGTACAAAAAAGAAAAAGAAATATACACCTGGTCGAGGTAAACGGTTGGTGTAACGGGTGAAGTGGAAAGAAAGAATAATGAAAAAAGATACAACAACAAACAGCACACACAAAAAAAACGCCAACAACCACGAAAGAAGGAGGAAACGAGGCGTAGATGATACGGTACGAAGACCAGGGCAAGGGATGAGTACCACGAAACAAAACAAAACAAACGATACTACCCAACGAACGCACGATACTACCCACAACGTGCAAAACCTCGAACCCAAACTACGCAAAGAACCCACTGAAGACTAACAAACCTCCAAGCAATCGAACAAGGTGAACAAAGCCGAACGGAAAGGGAAAAAAAAAAAAACACGTTTGAACGGAAAAAAAGGGGGGGGGGGTTCAATATGGTTGGTGTGCGGGGTAAGAGGACGGGGCGGCGATGATGACGGGGAGTCTCAAGACGGGATGCGGGAATGGATGGCGGGGAGGTATTGGTATGCGCTGCGCGAAAGAACGGGTGGGATGGGTTCCAAGTGCAAGAGGAATCGGGTACAAGGGGGTGCGTGAGGATGCAGAACCTTGGACAACAAAAAACGAATGCGACGTAGGATGAGTCGGAGTCCAAAGGTCCCAACACATCTACAATGCGTAGTAGGCAACGGTTGAGGTTGAGGGGTTCGTGCGAGGGGTGAGTGAGAGGAAGGAAGTGAGGGAGGGTGGAAAAAGGGGGGTTACAAATGGCGTGTAAAAAACGTAGTGGCGACCATGTGCGATGTTATACAACTGTGAATGGGGTGAAAAAGAAAGAGATGGTGTGATTGAGTGTACAAGTGGTCGGTCGCCGATGACGATGGGTGGGAACAACTTGCAGTGGTGTCAACGATGAGGGTGTTGGGATGGGTGGATAACGACAGCCAGCAAACAGCAGATTGTGGGTATGCGAGAGTCGGTGGGGGCGGGGTAAAGTGGCAATGAGGCGAGACGAGGCGAGGGGGGCCAATAACGGGATATATGAAACGAAACAGAAAAAAACACATCTTCCGACAAGCGAATAAAAACTTCTTCGACTACTCCTCCATCTTCGTAAATTTGTTCACGGGAAGAGAATTCGCTCATCGTCCGACGGGGACGCCTCCTCTATATGCGGGTTGTTGTTGTTGCTGTTGTTGCACTCGAGGGGGCTGGCCGTTCTGCCTTTGTTGCATGCCCTGGTTATACGCGACCTGCTGCTGCTGCTGCTGTTGTTGTTGCTGCTGCTGCTGGGGATGCTGCTGAGCGGGCACTTGTCCGTTCCTGGGTGGTGCGGGGCCAGCAACCTGACGTTGTTGCATCTGCTGCTGCTGTTGAGATTGGTGCTGGAAAGGCTTCTGCTTCTGATCCTCCGTCGCATTAGGAGCGACATACAGGCTCCTGTCGATGGACTGAGGAATGGGCTGAATCTCGGTACCCAACTCTTGCTCGATCTTGTACAGGTTGAATCGGTCCTCGTATGTCACCAGGTTAATGGCAAGACCCAAGTGACCGAATCGACCTGATCGACCGATACGATGGAGGTAGGTTTCGCTGTTCTTGGGAAAGTCAAAGTTAATGACAACGTTGACGGCTTGGATATCGATACCACGGGTGAGGAGATCCGAGCAGACGAGGTTGCGGCAGACGCCGTTTCGGAAATCGTGGAAGACGCGGTTACGATGCGACTGGAGCATCTTTGCGTGCGAGTAGAAACACGAGTAGCCGAGCTCGGTGATCTTCTTTGCGAGAAGCTCGACTCGGTTGGTGCTGTTGCAGAAGATGATGGACTGGTTGATTTGGAGTTTGGAGAAGAGGGTGTTGAGGCAGTGGACCTTTTGTCGCTCCTCGACGTAGGCGTAGTACTGGGTCACACCGCGTAGTGTCAGTTCTTCCATCAAGTTGATCTCGTATGGGGAACGCATGTGTTTGTCCTGCACAAACGCGTCAGCCTACAACACAGGGACACGAGCGCGTGGATAACATACCTTGAAATCCTTGACGATCATAGGGAAAGTTGCGCTGAACAACATAACCTGTCGTTCTGAAGGGAGGAAAGACAACAGCTGCTCCATGACGGGCGCGAACTCGGGCGAAAGAAGTTTATCGGCTTCGTCCATAACAAAGACAGGGCATTCGCTCAAGTCGGCCACGTTCTTTCCTGCCAGATCCAATATCCGGCCAGGCGTGCCGACGAGGACATGCACGGTATCGCTCAATCGGATGATGTCGTCCTTCAGGGTTGTGCCGCCAGTGGTGACCATGACCTGTACGCCCATATGCTTCCCTAGAATCTTGCAGACCTGGGCTGTCTGGAGCGCCAGCTCACGTGTTGGTACGAGGAGGAGGGCTTGGATCTTGGGCTTGGCAACGTCGATTTGCTGGAGAGAGGGGATAACGAAGGCGGCGGTCTTGCCTGTGCCGTTCTTTGCGCGGGCGAGGATGTCTTGCTTGGTCAGGGCGACGGGGATGGCCTCTTCTTGGATGGGGGACGGCTTCTCGAACCCAGCCTCGAAGATGCCCATGAGCAGCTCGCGACCGAGCCTCATGTCCTCGAATTCGAGTCCTTTGGTCGCCGTGACATCTTCAGTTTGGGGTCGCAGGTCTTTTGGTGGTGGTTTGAGGCCAGTCTTCCAGTTGTCAGACGTGCTGCTTCTGCATATGGTCGTCGTCAGTCGTCGTCGCCACAATGAGCCTCCTTTGAAAAAATCGGTGCATCGAGACTCACGTTGATGATGAAGCAGGTGCTACTTGGGCCATTTCTGTAGATATCGGTGTGCTTGCGCTCCAGAAGTTCCTTCAAAAACCCAAAATCAAGGTGGCGGTTGGGGGAATTTTTCTGCGGTGTGTTTGTTGTATATCGTGCGTGGGCAGATAAGACGACGTGTATTTGGTGTTGGAGCTTTGTAGTGGTGCTCTATTCCAGAGTATAATGGGGTTATCGAGTTGGGTGTGGGCGTTGTTGTCGACGACGATGGACGCTGGATGCAGACGGTGTCAAGCGACGACCACCGACAATTTCCAGACACAAGGCGGATTGTTTTCAGTTCCCACGCTCACGCATTTGGAAGGTCCTTCCGATGGCGGGGCGCGGGGTCGACGATGTTCCGCGAGTGCCTTCATCCTCCGTACACCTGCTTTCGAACTAAACGGCCTTGCTAACCAGTATCTATCCAATATTCCATGAAGACTGGATTGGAAATGGCGGCTCTAAAGCTTATCAGGCTGTCGGAACTCGCACTTTCCGAGTCGGTCTCTGGTAGGCTTGCTCCTTCGGTTTTCGGCTTTGCTCCTCTGGGATCCCAAGCCTTTTATCATTGTAATTGTAAAGGGCTCAAGATCTAGAGAACCATGTCGCTTATCTCGTTCTGCGGAGATCACGTCCAACCGCATCTCCCCATCGTCCAAATATGTGGGCGCAGGGCAGACAGGTAGCGCCCACTGCTATCCTCCAAAGTCGGAGCCATAGCCTTTTCACCAACCCCCTCATCTCGATTGTCGCAGCGGCCATGGCAGCTACGAAACCTCCATATCCTTACACTAATGGTACACCCCTAACCTTCCAAACACCCAATAGACACAGACCGCCAGGCAATCAACGACGAACGCCAGTGCATCAAGGATTTCGCCAGCCATTCGATTTCGGCCTTTCAGCACTCTCAACCTTTGTGTCTTCTTTATCTTCTTCGTCAACAGTGTCTTCGCAATGGGCTGCCAGGGCTCACGCATCTGACCATGTTTCACAGTTGACGTGAGGACCTGAACGCCTCCGACGTACTCACTATTCTGAAGTCAGCTCCAATGGTCGAAGTTCTCCGCTTGAACTTCGACCGCAAAGGAACCGATTTTGCGCAGGACTTTGAACCTGTTCTCCTCCGCCGCGTCCTCCAACTTCAACACTCCCTTGCTCAAATACAATACGAAACTCTCTCGTTTCCTCCTCACCCCGGCACTACAACGCCTTGACCCCATCGTTACCCGGGACATGGCACCGCAGTACTCTGATGACGACACGCTCAGGCTCGACACCATTTCTCTCACTAGGCGGCTCCCCAAACTCAAGGAAGTTGGGGTGTGTGTTGGCAACCCGGCCTATCTTGGAGGAGACGAGCCAGACGAGACAGACGACCTCCATTACTTTGTTACTTGAAGAGCAGCGACAAGACGCAGTGGAATGACGTGTTGCGCCTGCTCCGGCGGACGGGGTATTATGGCACACCAGATCTGTGTGTACTATGTACGACGAACCTTCAGAGAGGTGGAGGCTCCCGATGGCGGGTTGTATGGGTCGGATTCGGAACACAGGAAGCGCTTCCTGGAGGACCAAATTGGCGCCATCCTTGGCAGCACCGGAGTGGCAGAAAGAGGGGCTCCTGGTACTGATGCTTGCCAGCTTCATATGCCAGTGGACAGGAGGAGTTGGGACAACTTGGCTGGATGGCTCGCCTTCGTAGGCAGATTTTCTCCTGAGCTGGAGGGAACTGTCGCCCTGGTCCTGTGAGTCCGAGGATTGCTGCCAGATTTCGGGTTCCGTTGCGTGCAGTTTGAGTTTCGTTTACCCTGATAATTCCTAAACGGCCATTTACATCCTGCGAATTACATGGTGTTTAGTATACCCCCCTTTGTGCACGAGTACCCAATGAAATTGTCCGACTCGCCTGGGGATGAAACCCTGGCCGGGTCGCTGACGATGGGCGGGACTAGGCGCGACTTGGTAGAATTTGAAACCCCTGCCGGGGTGTCTCGATCATCCGAAACCATTTCTCAAGTTAGCTGGAGACGCAAAACTTGCCGTTTTCGCGTGATTTCGGGGAACTGCCAAATTCCTGGGTGCGAAATCCGGTACCCAGGCGACATGCCTTCGACTACGACTACGACAATGACCAATGACTCCTGGGACTCTGGCAATTCCACTCGATACGTCGCAATTCTCAACCTTATCCGAGGGATCAGCAGACATTAGAGGCACTTCTTGCAAAATCCTCTGAAACGCTGGAAGTTCTGAAGGACAAGAGAGAGAGAAGACTCAGCGGGAATTAGGTCTGGAGTTCGACATCGCCATTAACAAGAAGGAAATACAAAACCTGAAGTACTCGATGAGGCCCAGCTTGGTCCAAAGTTTCCCAGTGGAAATTTTGACCAAGATCTTTACGCTAGCATGCCAGGATATCGAATGCATCTCGTTATGCGGTGGTTTCAGGGTCCATGACCATCAGGAGCTCACGCCCGTTGTTCTCCTGAAGGTCTGCAGGAACTGGAACGCGATCGCGAAGCAATGTCACTGGTTTTGGAATCGCGTTAGCGTCTCGACTATGGGCTCCTTGAACAAGGACGAGTTACCCCGCTTCACGTCGACTTTCCGAAGCACACTCCAGCGCTCCAAACATGCCCCTATCCAGCTCACGTTCGACGAAAACTGGGATGGACGTGTTCGGGACGAGAATTGGACAGCTTTCTGGACTACCGTCGCCGAATTTATGGACCAGTATTCCACTTTAACTTTCGAGGACACCGAAACCATTGAATGGCCAGAGGGCACCAGCGTCCAAGCACCTTCCGCAACTCCGCAACTGCACACACTCAAGCTAATCAATTCACCAGGTCGCTTTTTCACCGCTATTCCCCTCGCCTCCCTTACCCATCTCACCTTCTTCTACCCCGCGGAATATCTCGAGGGGCTGACAACCGCAGACGTGCTGAACGTTCTCCGCTCAGCTCCCCTCCTTCAAGTCCTCCGGTTGAACCTCGACGAGGAAGGCGTTGAAGCCGCCGCGCAACAGCCAGCACCATTCTCCCTGCCTCATCTCCACACCTTCGAGGTCCAAGACACCTACAACGCCTTCTACGAACAGTACCTTTTCCGCCTACTTTCCGCCCCTTCGTTGGAGTGCCTCGACATCGCGGTCGCTTGGGTGGAAGTTGCACCAAGCTCCAACCAGCTCTCCCTCTACGACTTCATCGCACGAGCCCCCAACCTCAAAGAGTTCCGCATCTGCTTCAGAAAACCGTCGTACCTGGGGCATGATCTCGACACAGAAGAACCATACTACTTCCGGAGCGTCAAAACGTCCAAATGGCGAGACTGGAACGGTCAGATTTTTGCCAGCGCCAATCAAGCAACCGACTTGTTTGACTCGCGGGAGATGTGCGAGGTGGCGATGAGGAAATTACAGGAGTTGGAGGAGCCCGATGAGAAGTATGGGCAGGATTATGAGAAGAGGAGGATTTTTAAAGAGGGTTAAATTGGTATTATGATGCGGGGAGGGAAGAAAGATAGGCCTAGCCCGCATATGTTTTGGAACTCTCCGTGGATGCAGTTGACACTGTACGAGATGTCTGGACTGGGGAATTGGTTCCGAGTTATGTGCCACAGTAGTCTGCGTAATGTAAAGCGAACCTTAGAATGTCGTCAATCTTGTATGTTAAACTTACCTTTTATTCGGTGGTGTACCGATCGCATCCCTGCTGTGCTTGGTGCATAGACGATTGACAACTGCCATCGACTGGGCGAAGGGTCGATTTGACCTGACCAAGAACCGACCCTTGTTACCTCACATCTTTGCATCAATCCGGAAAGCCCGGATGCGTGTGTCAAGTTGAGTCCACACGAGAATTATTTTTCCATCTCAGTCGTAATTAGAGAACCATAATTCCGGATCGACTAATACGTGGCTCGTTCCTGCGCATGTTTCGAGATCCCCTGAAATGTCTGTTACTCCCAACATCTCTGATCACAATGACATTGACACCAGAATACGGCCCCCTAATGTCCATTATCCATAAACCCAGTTACAACCATTCAAGGGCTCAAGCCGAATACACGAGGGAATAAAAGTTTACTACAAGATCTCAATAGTCCGTGATTCTCCATTCAGAACTTGTTGAACTCCTGCTTCGTCTCGCCCTTCTCCTGACGAAGATTTCCTGTGAACAAACGAAGACCATCTCAGCACAACTCTCACACGAGGGCTCAAAAATAGACTATGTACATACCTTCAGCCTGTTGGCTTCGGTCACCAGTGACAGCACCGACGATGGAGTCCTTCTTTCCAACGAGGCGATCAGCAGCGCCTTCGGCGTAGGCCTTGGCCTTTGCAGCATTGATCTCAGCCTCGCCGGCGGCGTGCTCCTCCTTTCCGGAGCGCTGCCATTCGGCTGAGCCGGTGAGGTTACCGATGGCCTCGACGGCGGTACCCTTCATGGAGTGGAATTGGCCAGAGACCTTTCTGTTAGAAGGCAAGTCAGGCAGGGTCAAAGGGCAACGTTGGGAAGGGTGACTTACGAAGGCTCGCCAGAAGCGGTGTTGTTAGCGGAAGAAGACATTGTTGAAGTGGTAGAATTCGAGAGGTGATTGGAATGCGAGTTGGTTGTTTCTGTGGTCGTTGTTGTTGGGGATCTTCCGACCAGCGACGTCGCCTTTTATATGTCTGCACGGCTTGGACTTTCCAGTCCCTGTGATTCTTTCCCAACTTCCCGAAGCCGAACAACCAAGTTACGCACTTGTCGTTTCGGTATGCAGAACACTCTTCCATCTTCCCGATGTCTCTTGAACAATGACGTCCATTTTTCCTATCTCGAAGACCTTCGCGTCGAACACCGATCGCGAAACAGTATGAACGAATTGGGGAAGGCTGCGCGTGACGTCATAAGCGCCCAAATCTCAATGGCGTCAGAGTCAAGCATGGACAAACAACGCGTCGCTGGCTCCATTCCATAGGGGTACAATGACGCGCAGTGACGGAGTGTTTCATCATTCGCTCCACCCATCCCTCTCGATGTGATTCTCGGTTGTCAAGGCTCGCAAGGTCGTCAATCCGGTTGACGATGTCGCCAGAATCCAAGTCAGGAAGATCGTGCAGTGTTTCGTCAAGTTCCCCCAAACTGAGTCAAGGTGTTGACGTCGGGGAGAACTGAAGGATGATCCGGTGTGGGGCTCTGCGCATTTCAGCGGTTGTGTGTCGTCACAGTTGTTGACGTAGAGGAATTTACGTCGAAGTCGGAAGCGTGTATATAAAGGAGACTGTGGGTGACCGAGGAGAACATCAACAAATCCACCACATTCAATAGCTCCTATCAAACACTCAAACCAACAAACCAACCACTTATTCGAAATGTCTTCCTACAACAACAACGAGCCCAAGTAAGCCTACGCCTACTACAGCTGTCTACTTCGTTACTGACCCACTACACCCTTACAGCAAGACCACCGGCCAATTCCACTCCATGAAGGGTTCAGCCGTCGAGACCATCGGCAACCTCACCGGTTCAACCGAGTGGCAGCGCTCCGGAAAGGAGGAGCACGCTGCTGGTGAAGCCGAGTACAAGGCTGCCCAGACGAAGGGCTACGCTGAGGGTACGGCCGACAGGATCACCGGCAAGAAGGACTCCATTGTTGGAGCTGTTACTGGTGATAAGTCCCAGCAGGCTGAGGGTATGTGTTTTCCTGTTAGTAGACTCGGATTTAGGCGGTTGTACTGACTTGTTCTGGTAGGCAACGCACGTCATGATAAGGGCGAAGCCCAGCAGGAGATCAACAAGCGTGCTTAAGCGCCCAGTTTGATTTGTACTTCTAGATCGTCACTTTTGTAGCATACCATCGACACCCCATGTATCATGTAAACCTACGGTCTTTTCTATAACATAAACGTAATCGCATCATTAAACTTCACCTCTGAGATACTCAACAGTATGGGTTGGGCTGCTCGTCTTTTTGACTTCTTCAGCTCTAGTCAGCTCTTCGGCTTTGATCGTGAGAGTGATGCCATCAGGGGGATAATCCGTTCGAGTAGAGCTTGTTTTCCTCTTTTACCTTCTCCGCCTTGGATTATGGATATGCAGGCTACACCCGATTTCTTGGTTTCGATACTCGACAAATGGGATATCTCTCTCCAACCATGACGCAACTCGATTCTGGATCTGAGTGGCTCGAGGCAATCGGCGTCATGACTTGTTGGATTCGTCTGGGTGGCACAGCGGGTACTTATAAGAGAACTGAAAGCGCTACAGAAACGCACGAGGGCTATGGGTCATGGCTACTAATACACCGCACTCGGGATATCTAAAAACTGTCTCACTACCACCTCTGTCCGGTCACATCATGAACCAGCCGCCGACTTACTTACAAAAGCAATCCGGCCAAACCAGCAATCACCAACCCGACAACACCAGCCCTTCCCCTGACAGCACCGCTCTCCTCTCCGTCATCCTCATCCGCGCCCTCAGTAGGCAGCGCCAAGTTCTCAACGTCGCTGATCGTGGCAATGGGTCGCTGGGTGCCAGTCGTATGATGGGAAACGGCGGTGGAAGGCTGGCCGTTGTTATCGACGACGACTTTGTGCGAGCATTTGATGCTTCCGTCGTCCTCGTAGAAGCACTCTGTGATATCCTCCGCGGAAACGGTGCCGCGTGTGGTGGGGAAGGCGTGGTAGTACCGCGAAGCGTCCGCGCGGAACGTGTCTACGCGACAAAAACAAAGACATTATTGGTAAATCCTCTTATAACACTTGTCAATGCCCGAATCCGAGCGACTGGGACTTACATTCAGTGGTGGTCGGGGTGGCCAACAGCGTCGACGTCTGGTCGGCCTTCTCGACGTAGACGAGGGAGTTGACACGTGTAGCGACGTAGACGGTTGCGCCTTCCTGGTCGACGGCGATGGGGGATACGCCGAGGAATGTCCCGGAGGCGAGGTAGGTCTCGGCGGTGCCGGTGGGGGTGGGGTCCATATCATAGACGGTAACGACCTGCGGGTCTCCGTGGGCAAGGACGGCGGAGAGGCCTGTGGAGGGAGGCGTGTTGGTAAGCGTTGTTCACACTACCCCGGATGCAAAGGAGGAGACGTACTAGAGGCCAGGAGCGCGCAGTAAATTCCCTTTCGCATCGTGATTCGTATGGGTCGTTATTGACGGTCGTTTCAAGTTCGCGCAGGAGACGGCCTGAAGGAAGAATGGGGCTTCAGAAGCGCACTTCTGCTATTCCTTCATCTCATTCGTTTAAAAGGGTTTGTATTGTGATGTTCGCTAGCTTTCTTTCCGACTCTTGGGATGATTGGTGGACGTACCAAGGACAGCATGCGTATTCCCAAGGCTCCCTAGTCTCTTCTTTCAATTGGTTGTGCCGCCTTGGCTTACACCTTCTTGCCGTGGAGAAAGGTCACGGGGCGACGAATATTGACGGACTTTATCCATGCCTCCAGAACTTTGAAAAGTGTGGTTAGCTTTCTCTGAGGATGGTCAAACCCTGCAGTTGAGCGTCAAGAGTCCAGATGTCAGCCCGGTAGGCCGATAACTTGCTCTTATTTTAAGATTGTTCTTCGTTGTTAATGAAATCTCTTCCAACCGCTGTAGCGATAGTCTCGCAGCAGCTCGAAAACTCTCTCATCCTCATGCGAAAATTATCCGAATACTCTGCGTATTGACATTTCAACGGACTTTACATGGTAAGTCCATCACGGAACCAAGGGATTCTCGATCACAAAGGTCCCGAAGTATCTGATAAGATTGGTGTGAGAAGGTCGCGACGTGCCGACGACGTGTCCAATAGCCAGCTTGGTTTAGATACTTCAAGACCCGAATTCAACCTTTTTCCACACAACAAGTATATGTCCCTTTGCTCCTAACTGCTGGGTTTAACAACTACGGAGAACATCGCTTCATGAAGCGTGGTCTGCAGTTGCTTTTGGCCGCAGCGGCTCTGTCGCTGTCTGCGGCAGACGAGATTCCCCAGGTTGAAATCTCGTTGAAGACATCATGGCCGGCACCGCCGCTTATGCACGAGATTCTGTGAGTTCGTCGTTGTTTCGCCCTTGAAACAGTACTGACGTCTATGTAGTGAGTCGATTGCATTGGAGAACCCCTATGAATACTTTACATTCCTCGACGCCTTGACCGACCCAACCGCCGTTCCCAAGAACACGGAACTCAACCCAGAGGACATCTACAAGGCCGCCATCGAGCTTGGAATTTCCAGAGGTTTCAACCTCGCGACCGGATGGATTGCGAACCTCAAGGCCAACCTGGCTCTGCACAGCACGTCGCCCAAGATTGAGGCGTTCTACAACTACTACACCAACTATGTCAACAACACCAAGGGCAACGAATGTGGCTCTTGGGTTGACTGGTATGGCGAGGTCGTTTGCGACGTCGACACCTTGACCCGGCTTACCGCCAAGGATCCTATTGGAGACGGGTATGTGACTTCTCTCTCAATACCCACATTCCGGAAACTGACTTACCCATGGTAGGAAATATCCTCGACCCCAGAGTTTGTCGTTCGACCATATCTACCCACCACCTGACCGAGTTGCTGAGAAACCACCCCGGACCGCGATCCTCTACGCCCAATTCGCCTCTCCGAACTTCCGGGCCCTGCACTCCCATCTCTACGACCTCGCCCGACAGGAAGATGCCCGTGTGGAATACGTCCTTCGCTATGTCCCTCCCCCGCCCTCGGACAAGCCCAGGGAGCCCAACGTCCTCAGCGGATATGGTGTCGCTTTGGACTTGAAGAAGATGGACTACCTCGCCCTTGACGACCGGTTCCAGCAAGAGAACTCCGTGGCCCAGCATAATGGCTGGGGTCGACCCTATGACCCCGTCCTCGACTTGATCGAAGCTCACCCTGAGAAGCCTGATGCCCCTAACGCGACTGTCCCTCTTACCGAGGAGGAACTTGCAGGTATGTATAATGCATTCCTTTCTATCTCTTGACTTGGACTAAAGGGTTCCTCACAGGTTTGGGTGCGCAAGCCATTCAGGTCATCTCCGAGGGCTACGCCCCGATGGAGATCTTCCAGCAATTGGCTGAAGACTTCCCCAAGTACGCCACCTCGCTCGCTCGCCGCGTCGTCGCCAACGAGAGCATCGTCGAGGAGCTCAAGGAGAACAGCGTCAAGGCCAAGGGCGGCGTGAACATGTTCTGGCTCAACGGCGCCCTCGTCGAGAACTACGACGTCGAGGCTCTCCCCCTGTTGCGAATGCTCAGGAAGGAGCGGGACCTCATGCTCAGCTTGACTCGTCTGGGATTGTCGCGCGAGCAAGCGTTCGACGTGCTGACCCACCCCATCATCAGCGCTGCTCACCGAGACACCTCGGACGCGCTTTTCGACGCCAGTGACAGGCAGGAGGGCGGAGATGTCGTCTTCTACTTCAACGACATCGAGAAAGACTCCAGGTACTCGAACTGGGCCCCTAGCTTGCATGAGGTATGTTCCCGAGTTTACCGTCCTCTGGACTGTGCTGACAACGGCCATGCAGCTCATTCGACCCATGTACCCTGGTCAATTCCCCAACATCAAGGCTAACTTGTTCAACGTCATTCTCGCTCTCGACCTTTCCCAAGTCACTAGCCTCAACTTTATCGCAGGCCCTGTCTCCAACATCATTGAGCGTGGCATGCCATTCCGATTTGCGGTCGCCCCCATTATTGAGACTGAGGATGGTGAGTGGACAGGGCGTCTTCTGGATGGCATCGCAATACTTACGGTTCCCGTCCAGGCAAGAAGATGGCCAGACTCTTCTACTACGCCACCAAGACCTTTGGCAAGAAGAAGACTGTTGAGCTTCTACGAAATGTAAGTCTGTTCTTGCTACATTAGTTGTACATTTGCTTACCGTCCGCCTAGGGTGCCGTCCACGATCTGCAACCCGACGACCCGATCCCTCCCGTCCGCTGGTCCGCCATTGAAGAAGGCTTCAACCAAATCGCTTCTGCTCTCGAGACAGAGGATCCCGAGAAGAAGATTCTCCCCTTCAAACAGGTCCTCGAGGGCAAGGCTATGGCTGAGGGCTTGGAGGACAAGATCCAGGCTTACCACAAGCGACTTGATACCACGCTCGCCACTGGACCCACTGGACACGCGTTCTTCAACGGCAAGCACATCGTCTTTGATCAGGTATGTGGATGGTCGGTCGTCAAGTTTGCGCTCTGCTAACGAGCTATGGCTATCGCAGACCTTCTTGAAGCATCTCAGAGAGGGTGGTATGGAGCAGCAGCAGTTCCTCATGGAACAGGTAAACTCTCTCCCTAATTTCATTCCCCCTTCCTAACTGACCACACACTCCGCTTAGGTCTATCGAGGTGTCCTCAAGGACGACATCCTCAAGGAAAAGGGCATGGGCGACTACTGGTACGACCTCCCCAAGACCAACAAGAGGAGGAACCGCTACATCTTCCCCACGTCGCACAAGGACCTCAAGGTCGTCAACCTCCCCGACGCTCTGCACACCAAGGCTGAAATGTCGTTTGGCGCGGAATCGTTTGTGTACCCCAAGAACGCGCAGATCCAGACCCCGATTTTCACCACTTTCATTGTTGGAGACTTTGAGAGTGAGGCTGGGTTGGCGCTTGCTAGGGAGGCGCTCAAGCTTGTGGTATGTGCAACCCGCTTCTGGTTGTCTTTCTCATGGACTCAGAACCCTTCCAGGAGAGCGAGAAGTCGCAGTCAAGGATCACTTTCGTTCCCAACCCCGCGGAATGGGCCGCAGTCAAGGACGAGTCCGCCAACGCTCTCGTCTCCAAGCTGGTCACCAAGAAGGCTCTCAAGGCTGCTTCTCCCAGCATCGTCGCCAAAGCCCTGAACGTCGACATCTCCTCGCCTGTTTCCTCTGGAGATGACAAGCAGGTGCCTTTGTCGAGCAAAGTCGCCATCACCCAGCTCCTCGGTTCCGAGCCTGGAGAGGTGGACAAGAAGGAGGTTAGACGCTACCTTAAGCGAAGCAGGATCTTTGCGCGCGAGGCGGGTGTTAAGCCTGGTGAAACTGCTATCATCATCAACGGTCGTGTTATTGGCCCCATCCCCGTCAATGACTTTAGCGTCAGTGACTTTGAGGCTTTGGAGGAGTATGAAGCTGTCAAGAGGACTGGACCTGTTTTGGGCGCTTTGAACGCTGTTGCTGGATCGTTGAATGAGGACAAGTGAGTCTTCCCCCTGGTGTACGGCCGCATGAAGCGGGATGCTGACTTGGGAAGCAGGGACAAGTTCGCTGATGCGATTTATCTCGCGTCGTCTATTATCTCGTGGACCCAGATCCCAGACCCGAGCCAGGCCGGTTTGTTCGACGCACCTCCGCGACCTAGGACTCGCAACTATGAGCAGCTGAATGATACCTATACGTGCGTGCTTTGTTCCGTCCTCTGCCCCCTGTAAACTGACTAAAGTCTGTTACGACAGTTCATTCGAGTTTGGAGATCGCGAATATGCGCTGTACTATCTCACCTTCCTCGTCGATCCCTTGAGCCCCACCGGTCAAAAGTGGGCTGGTATCATGAGGTGGCTCTCCATGTCCGCCAACGTGTACATCAAGGTTTATTTGAACCCTGATACTTACAAGGAGGTTCGTAGACGCTTGCTTGGTCTGGTGGCCGTGTGGCTGACTGTCCCTTGTTGCTGTAGATGCCCGTGAAGCGGTTCTACCGATCATGCTTGGAGCCTCAGATCCTGTTCAACTTCTGGAGGTAAGTCCAATCCCTTTCTTTTCGTTTCAAATAGACAATGAACTAACGAAACGATGTCGCAGCCGCGAGGATCCCGCCAAGGTCCAATTCAAGGGACTCCCCACCGATCCCATCTACACCCTCTCCATGGACGTCCCAGCCTCGTGGCTCGTACGACCCAAGGAATCCCGCTACGACCTCGACAACATCCAACTTACCCAACTCTTCCCCGAAGACAAGTCGCTCAAGGCCGTGTTCTCGCTTGACGCGCTCATCCTCGAAGGCCACGCCCGCGAGACCGCCACCCAGACTCCACCCCGCGGTGTCCAACTCCAAGTCGTCGCCTCTGATCCTAGCAAGGAAGAAAAGGCCGTTCCAGTCCAGGACACCCTCGTCGTCGCGAACCTCGGCTACTTCCAGTTCCGATTGAACCCTGGTGTATACGGGTTGGAGATCCGCGAGGGCAATGGAAGGAAGATTTATGATATGGAGAGTGTTGGTGGGCTTGGGTGGGATAGTCCTGGTGTTGATGAGGTTGGGAACCAGGTTGCGTTGACTGACTTTGAGGGTGTGACGTTGTTCCCGAGGTTGAAGAGGAAGCCTGGCATGGAGAAGGTTGATGTGCTTGAGGAGGATAAGGCGAGTAGTGGGGTGTTGGAGAATATTTCGACCAAGTAAGTGGTTCTCTGAGACTATGGGTGCCAGGCGAGTGATGTGCTGACGATGGGTAATTTGGTGTAGGGTCAAGTCGATCTTCAAGGGCAAGGAGACTGGTGTTGTTCCCGTCAAGGAGCAGGCTGAGATTAATATCTTCACCGTTGCTTCTGGCTTGCTCTACGAGGTAAGCGATTGGCTTTTGTTGAGTTTGTGTCGGGGTATTCATGGTCTCCCAGCGATTTGCCTCCATCATGATTCTTAGCGTTCTCAAGAACACCAAGTCCACCGTCAAGTTCTGGTTCATCGAGAACTTCTTGTCCCCGTCGTTCCTCGTAAGTCGTATTCCTGAGCTCTTTCCCCTTTATCCAACTCTGACCGACCTCCGTGTTACAGGAATTCATCCCCCACTTCGCCAAAGAGTACAACTTCGACTACGAACTCGTGACCTACCGCTGGCCATCCTGGCTCCGCGCCCAAACCGAGAAACAACGCATCATCTGGGCGTACAAGATCCTCTTCCTCGACGTTCTCTTCCCCATGGACCTGAAGAAGGTCATCTTCGTCGACGCTGATCAGATTGTTCGAGCGGATTTGAAGGAGCTCGTTGATCTTGATTTGCAGGGAGCGCCTTATGGATATACTCCGATGGGCGATGATAACAAGGAGATGGAGGGCTTCAGGTTCTGGAAGACGGGCTACTGGAAGGACTTTTTGCAGGGCAAGCCGTACCATATTAGTGCGCTCTATGTGATTGACCTTGTTAGGTTCCGACATGTACGTGTCTTTTGTTCTTCGTGTCTGGATGTGGACTGACCCGTTTGCGTTTTTCTTTAGATGGCTGCAGGAGTATGTGGAGCGCGTGTTTCTTGGGGGAGTATGGGACTGACTTGTGTTATAGGATATCCTCCGTGGACAGTACCAGGCTTTGTCCGCTGATCCTGGCTCGTTGGCCAACCTCGACCAAGGTAAGGGTCTCCATACTCACCGATTGAGATTACTGTGCTGACCATTCGATAGACTTGCCCAACAACCTCCAGCGCCAAGTTCCTATTGTAAGTCCTATTTCGTCCCGTACTTTCGCTATGATTGTTTAACCTTCTTCAAGTTCTCACTCGACGAAGACTGGCTCTGGGTAAGTTACAATTCTTATTCAGTTCGTACGCCAACTGACGATCATCCTACAGTGCGAGACCTGGTGTAGCAAGGACCGACTTCACAGGGCCAAGACCATCGATCTCTGCCAGAACCCGCTCACTGTACGTGCCATCCACCCCAACCTTCCGTCCTTTTTACTCACTCTATCCACAGAAAGAACCCAAGCTCTCTCGGGCCCGACAGATCCCCGAATGGGAAGAGTACGACGCGGAGATTGCCAGATTTACTCGTCGCTTGGCGGAGGAGGGCAAGATTAGCTCTGGTCTCTCGACTGCTGACGCCAACGTTCTCGCTGGTGCAAGCAATACTGAGCCTGAGGAGGTTGCTAAGCCTGAGGAAGTCAAGCCAGAGACAAAGGAAGAATCTTCCCCCGTCCCCGAGACGAAGGAGGAGCCTGCCGTTCCGGAGAAGAAGGAAGAGCCTAAAGAGACTGTGGAAGAGGAGGCTGCGCCATCGAGTGCGACCTCGGTCGAAGCTGAAGCTGCTCGACCTACTGATGAGCTATGATACGTATAACAACTGTGATGTGATTTATGGGTTAATTAAAAGGCTATACCAATGCTATTTTCTTTCTCAACGAAATCATGCTGGGGGACCGGAAAGGGAGCGGAATCGTCGAGCACAGTCTCGGCGCAAGAAAAAAAATAGGTGGACATCGAGGAGAATGGAAGTCGGCATAGAGTTGAGTGTATACCAGTGTAACAAGTAGATCCGCTTCATGCACCAAGCCTCGAATGTCGAGATTCGATAGGGGAAGACCAGAGAAAAAACGATCTGACAAAAAAAGAAATTTCGCGATACTTAATCTGCCCCAGTGAGGCTCGAACTCACGACCTTCCGATAGTCTGCCAACCAAAGTCGCTAACAGTCGGACGCTGTAACCAACTCAGCCATGGGGCATATAGCATATTGCCCTCTCCAGAACGTCTCAGTCTGGGGTATGGAATCTACATCTTCACAGACCGCGGTTCTCCAAAGTCCATCCAAAAAGCCCTCCCTGGCGGTGCCGTCAGAGAGCCCAGAAAATGGATTTTGCTTTCCCTAGAACAGCTCGAGGTGGGTGTGGTAAGTACCCGAATCCTACTACCTCTTGGCCATGCCAGTGTCCACACTTCTACCTTGTTCCAGATAAGCCCGACTCGCTCGCTCGACGCTTACGCTATGTGGAAGAAGAAAGAAGTGTTTAGTGAGCCCTCCGGACGTTTCTCGGTAAAAGTCAATCCACACGAGTCCAAGTCCTCTATTGCGCGTGTTTATAGCTCTCGAATCTGGAGAGCACACCTCATCGATGGAGCTCTTCGACTATTTTCATTGTAGCTTCACCGAGCGCTTGCATCACAGGTTGCTCCACTTCGAAACGAGTTTGCGTGGCAAAGACGCTTCGCTTAGCCACCGGTCACTGTCACTCTTTACGCCTTTTGGTGCTCAAGGTGACCAACGCGACATTGGCTATGTTTTATTGTACAAGTTGCAACTGGCATACGATCGTCGTGGGAGAATGGGAGGGGGCCGCTAAAGTTTCTTATATCCCTGGAGATGGAGAACCTCTGTGCTCCTCCTTCTCCCTTGAACCGCTTGGTCGCATGACCCGACCTCAAAATCAAACACATGAAAAAAGGCTGATCCATGCCCATTTTCGGCGAATCCAAAGCTTCTTTGGGTCCGAACATTTCCTATCTGGGACAATGTACCCCCGGCACTTTCACCACCGTGCGGTCTACTTGCATCTGCGGTCTTGAGCGAGCGCACAGAGGTGATACAGGGAATAAGCAAGAAATACCCAAGAGGAAGAAGAAGTAGAATGTCGGATGGCAGCGGATAGGTTTCCTTGGTTATCACGGGTGTGGGTCGGTGTGGGTAGGCCTTTCCAAAAAAACTTCGGACGACAAGAAGTCATCGGGATTGGCCAACCACCATTACGGCTTGGTGGATGTTGCTCATATCCATATCGTTGCCTATCGATGTCATCACAACGCGTTACACCTCTCAAAAGCCACGACTGGGATTAGATTGACAGGCCCCTTCATATCACACATACCCCAGGTTCGCCACCCCCGCATTCACCACGTTATTTACGTTGGTGGAATTCTGTTATAGAAATCGCAATTCAAAACCCCACAGTCCATATCAGTTCACGGTTTTCAACCGCATATCTTCTTAATGGACATCTTGCTGTTTTTTGATTTTGATCCTTCTGATGCCGAGCCTAGAGCAGAACAGTCGTGACATCACTTGCAAGTTGCCAGCCACTTCGTTTCGAACCTTTTAAACTCTCTAGAACTCGCTCTCGGTAAAATGTAGGCAAAAGGTCTCTTGCTTCCAGCTCAACTTGACTGCATTCTTACGACATGGAAGCGAAGCGTAGGAGGGAACGTGGAATTCAATCAAGGCAAGAAGCAACCGGACTTTGGACAATCCAGTCCAACTTACAATCGTCCTCCCACAAGGTCATCCAAAACGGAATATGGTTACCGAAAGGTCGTGGCTATGTTCAGAAACGGGCAAACGCAGCGCTGTCTCTCATCGATGCCAAGGTAAAGAACCAGGGGATCGACTTCGAACTTCGAGCCACCTCCTTTCGAGTCAACGTCCGGCCTTCTGAAATCCCCATTTGCAGATATCCTCATGAACAGGGCTTTACACGGTCGCTTTTATGTTTTCTCCAAAGTTAGAGGTTGAGGTAAGCAGAACGATAGTAGGTATAAAAGGGCTGGGATAGTGCCTCAATCTGCATTCAGCAGGGCAGCCGAACATGAAGTTGCCGCAGCTGTGGTCGATTTCCTTCGCCCTCCTTGGGCTGGTGTTCAGCTTTGCCTCAGCTTCGCCGGCGATGCCGCTTTCTGACACGCGACATGTCAAGCGTGCACCCCAGGTCTCTTTGATCAACCACTCGTATGACAACGATGTTCTCTCTGGGACCATCAATGTATGTCGACAACAACCTGCATTATCGAAACTCACACTAACCAGATATTGCTCACCTCCCAGGTCCAAAACATCGCGTACTCCAAGGTAGTCGTTGTCCATTGGGCGTCTGGCGACACCTGGAGCGACTCTCAAACCATAGCTGCTACCTACTCTTCCTCCGGTTCTAACAACTTCGAAACTTGGTCTTTCTCTGGTCGGGCTCCTGGCGCTACTCAATTCTACATCCGTTACGTCGTCTCCGGTCAGACCTACTACGACCCCGGCAACTACCAGAACCACCAGATCTCTCGTCCTCCCGGAGGTGGCAACCCTAGCCCGCCCGGCCCTGCGCCGACTGGGCCTGCCAACCTCCCCGCTATCCTTCCCTCCAACGTACCTTATGAAGCGCCTGCCAACCCCCCTTCGGGATGCAGCAACTTCAATGGTTGGGATAACTGCAACGGTGGAAACACCGAGATGGTTGCCTCCTCCGAACGTCGCCGCTGGCAAACCCCTCCTCGTGGCGATCCCGCCTACTTCGAGTCCTTCCAGGACTACAGCCACCTCGTCGGATATGCCAACATTCAGTACAATTCTGGCCGCACCAGCGCAGTCGTCACCGTCAACGCTGTGCACAAGGAGGGCGCTGAGCTCACCTACAGCTTCAATGGCGTCGAGCAATCGTCCCCCAGCTTCGAAGTCGATAGCAGCCTTCAAGGAACTCTGGCCATTACTGTCACCAGCTCAGATGGCAAGAAGCTTGTTCTCGAGCCTCTCAACTTCTTCTGGCAGCACCAGTCTCTGTCGGCCGCACAGAGCAACTTCAACAACGGCCAGAAGGGTGGTATCGTCGAGTTGTTCGGCTGGCCCTGGAAGGATATTGAGAAGGAGTGCGAGTTCCTTGGCAAGGCTGGTACGTGTTCCCCTGGATCCTCTGGTGGTAGCGTTGTCCTGACCTTTCCCCTCTAGGATACATGGGTGTCAAGGTTTGGCCTCCTACCGAGCACGTCTGGGGCTCCCACCACTACGAGCCCGACACCCAATTCCGCCCTTGGTATCAGGTGTAAGTACCACTTCCTTACATTTCAGCTCTCCATTTACTCATAAACCATCCCTAGCTACCAGCCTGTATCCTACCGGTTGACCAGCCGAATGGGTACTCGAGCTGAGCTCCGCAGCATGATTAACTCCTGCCGCCGTCATGGTGTTCGAGTCTATGCTGACGCAGTTATCAACCACATGTCTGGTCAAGGCAACGGTATGAACTTCTGCGTCTTCTTTAACCAAGGTGTTCTCTGACCGTTTTGAGCAGATGTCCAGAACCACCGCAACACTGACTGCAGCTTGTACAGCGGCCGCAACGCGACTGACTACTCCCCCTATTACACCAATGGCAACACCTACCTCATCAACCCCTTCACCGGTACCCGCCCTACCCTCGAGTTCCCCGCCGTCCCTTTCGGCCCTACCGACTTCCACTGCGAGCGCGGCATCGACGACTGGAACAACGGCTTCCTCATCACCCGCGGCTGGCTCGTCGGCCTCACCGACCTCAACACCGCCAAGCCCTACGTCCAGGACCGAATTGCGACCTTCCTCGTCGACCTCATCTCCATCGGTTTCTCTGGGTTCCGGGTCGACGCTGCCAAGCACATTGGTCCCAACGAGATGGCTCAGATTCTCGGGCGAGTGAAGAACAAATTGGGCGGATCGTTGCCGGCTGACTTCCTCACCTGGATGGAAGTTATCATCGGTGGTGAAACGCAGCTGAATGCCTGTGGTGGTGGAGAGTACAGCTGGTACACCAACTTCGACAATAGACTGCGGGCCAATGGCTTCGGCAACGACGATATCCAGAAGGTCAAGATTTGGAGCTCTGGTATGTGCTGCTTTAACTTCAACAAGCCTTATCAGACTCTTACAATTCCTTAGACTACCCCGCTAGCATGCCTATCTGCGGCCACTGGATCCTCCCCCCTTCCCGCTTCGCCGTCCAGAACGATGATCACGACCAACAGCACGAGGTGAGTTTATCATCCCCCGTACGACCCTCGCATCAAATCACTTACCACTCTCTCCTAGGGCTCCTCACCCCGCTGGATGGGCGACAAGGGATCCGTTCTCATCAAGGATAAGAACGTCGGCGCCCACCGCCACTTCTCCGTTAACCTCTTCTCCCGCCGCGACCACGACTGGCACATCAAGCTCCTCCTGTCTTCCTACATGTTCAGCCACGAAGGCGGAAACGGCTTCCCCGACGGCCTGAGCGACTGCAACACCCACTACACCGGTACCCTCCCCCGCTCCGGCTGCAGGGGTATCGGCTTCGACCAGGCATACGTCGCCAATGCCTGCGGTTACACCATGGTCCCCGGCAAATATACCAGACCCCACCGTGACATCAGCATCATCAACGCGATGAGAGGATGGGTCGGACTTCCCCCTACCAATGCTCACGACCTGGGCATTCCTGGCTGCCATTAGTAAAATACCAAACGACTTCGCTAAGATAGTTGCTTTGTGAGGTGCCTAAAGTACCTCTTTTTTCCCTTCACACACATGTATTACCTAGCGATACTTTAAATAAACTAAATGTCCATCAAACTACCTAACCAAAAATGAAAATGAACGCATAAATTCTACACTACAATCAAGATCGACCGTTCGGGAGCCTCACACCAGAACTCCATCAACTGGAAGAGCCACATCAACTGGTCCAGCTCCCACTCACCGAGAAGGCTTCCAGGGGAGTGAGTGAGCTCCGTCTCGGTTTCCACAGTCGTGTCAATGAAGCGAGTGATGAAGTCCTCATAGTATCCTTCCTCCCCAGCCATCCTCTGACGAAAGTCCGAAGGAACCCTAAGGGTCCGACAAAGATCCAGCAAAGCAATTTCACTCTCTTCCCATGATAGTCCACCTCGAAACACCGCTCCCCACCGGTCCCACTGGCCTCGGGATCCGCTCTCGAGGTACCCCGCATAGCGAACCTCGTCCTCGTCCTCTGGGTCGAGGAACTTTAGAGAGTCGCCGTAACAGATCCGGAAGCGCTTGAGCGCAGACCGACTCTCGTGCTGGAAAAAGTCCATCAAGACGTCAATGTTAACGCTGTCCGTTTCGTCATCCTCACCCGAAACGTCGACCTCCTCCTCAGAGGGGAAGAAGAGGTCGAAGTACTCGAGCTTGGGCGTGGAAAGCGAGCAGAGGAGTCCGGCGTGCATGAAAGGGAGGTGGGTGTGTTGCAGTTCGAGGGTGTGGAGGTTGGGGAGCTCGATGCAGTAGCGGTTGTGCGATGATAATCCTTCCAGCAACCACCTCGAGTTCAGGTTCGCCCGAAAGACGATCAAGGACTTGGCGAATGTCTGGAGGACGTCGCTGAGCTGTTCCGCTGTGGGGATGCGGTCCACGCTCAAGTCTGAAGGGTAGAATAAGGAGAGGTGGGTGAGCTTGGGGTAGTCGAGGTTCATCCACCCGAAATTGTCCCCGGGGACATTGTACAGGGAAAGGTGGGTGAGGTTTGGAGCGGGGATCTGAATCGTCTTCCCCGGCTGCTGGTTCCTCACGACCAAGTGGGTCAAAGAAGTCTGATCTTTTTCAGCGACGAGGTACGAGTCATCCAAAACGAGGAGGGAGTAGCGGTCAGCAAACTTCAGTATCGCATCTGCCGCCAAATGGTGCGAAGGAAGCTCGGTGTTCAGCCCGTGGAGAGTAAGTCGGAGAGGTCGAGGATGCGATCGCTGAAGGATATCTTCGAGAGCTGCGATAAAGGCCTGTACCTGATCTACTGGAACGTCCCCAAAGCCATCGAAGTCCACCTCCACCCTCGTCCAGAGCTGCCGCATTCGTTTCGCGACGCTCTGCCACTCTTTGCAGACACCGGTCAGGACGAGGGCTGGGGGGACGGACGCCGGCGTCCTCGAGGAGTGGCCCGCTGCGACGAGCCTGATTTTAGGATCTCGCCCACACACCTGCGAGAACATGTCGGAGAGGAGCTCGATCGGGATGGTTTCGATGGAGGCGGGTCGTGGTCGACCTGCGTATCGCACGATCTGGGAGGATGTGTCGGCATCGTTGCTGGTATCGCCGAGAGGAACTCGAACACGCGGAGGGCTGCTTTTGGATGGTGGTTTCGATCGAGGCTTGGATGGAGTAGATGGAGGAGACCATGACTTCCACGGTCTGGGAGGGAGGTTCTCGCAGGAGCGGCGTACGCGTCGTGTTCGTGGTGACATGTTGGTTGGCGTGTTTCAAGGTGCACCCTCAGTGGCGGACCCTGTATATAAGGTACGCGGTGGAAGGCAGATGGTCCAACTGAAATTGCAGGGCACGATGTGCCACTTGGAAACGGAATGACAAAGGTTGCGGCATGGGGACGACAGACTTTATTAGTTTATGATATAAAGGGATCGCAATCCAGGAAGGGTCGGATCTGAAAGGACGTCAACAATCGTGTTGACGTCTTCGAGGAAGCGAACGCCGTTCATATCAAGTCAACTATAAAGCATGCCCAGCGCACAGAGCCAGTCCAATGTTTGGGGTTGACGTCTGGGTGCACAACCATGGAACAATCCGACCAAGTCGCCCCAAAAGTGTTCTGGCCACTCCTCGACACGAGAAGGGAAGTGCTGGAAGGAAGAAAAGAGGCTGGAGATTGTGCGATGATCTTTGTTGACGCCCATTGCTTTATGGAAATCGCCGAGTGCAAGGTCGCGGGTTCTATAGCACCTGAGTACATCCGGATTGGGTGGGGTCTGCCTCCAAAAAGGAATCCCGCAAACAGTAGAAAAAGGCCGTTTCCTCCAACGTTCGAGCATGGGATAGGAATTCGATAAGAGACAAGGCGGATGCCGAGAAATCGAGGACTTCGGAGGGGTAAAGGAAGAAGTGGAACGTCTTCAGACTGGAGGTACCAAGCACGCTTAAGAATCCTATCCATGTTCCAAGCAACCTAGAATGTGGTCTTACACCTCCAGAATGGGCGGGCGGGGGAGGCGGACCGACTGCCTCGTGAATGGGAATTGTCGAAATTCGAAGAGTTGACTGAGAATAAGATAGTACGTAATGTTTTGGGTCGCGGTGTGTTGGAAAGATTTTAAGGAGATGTCGCAGATGGTCCCCAGTAAATGACGTCCTGGCGAGCGACACGCAGGGTTCAGTGAGCAGTCCCTATGGAAAGGACGGCTCTATTGACCCGTCGTTAGTTAGAAGCTGGAGCCTCGTGAGCTCGATTCAACGCTCGGTGGAGCACCGGCGCGTCACACCCCACGGAAGATAAGCTCCTTCACACTCTGAAGCGCCAGTACGTGAAGGCGGAGGCCATGAGGAGCTCTAGGGAGAGCTGGGGGATTGTTTGCATAGCGTCTGGTAGCGTCCTGGCGCACCTTGCTTCGCTATCCCTCGATGTACAGTATGCCAACGTAAGCCCAGAACTGTGGATAGAAGAGTGAGACCCCCTTGCAACATCTCGAGGCTTGCTTCAAGGAGATAGCAGTTCCAATGAGCGGAGTAGGATCGAGTAAGGCTCTGATCCAGGTGACTTCGCTATGGTAGGCGTCCTTGAATGTCTTGGACAGAACCTCAGCAGGAAGACTCCCTCCAAGAGAAGACCGTTTTAATGGTTATCTCGACGCCTCCAGGCCATTCTTCAATGGAGAAAAGCAGAGAGGACCAGGCTTCCGGTCGCACAAGTGCAGAAACCGCAGGACCCACAAAGACCCGCGAAGGCGCCATAGCACCACGGCGCATCTAGCGAGTCATTAGATCTAGAGGGCAAATAGCACAACAAATGTTGACATCAGACATCCCTCTAAACAAGACGGATGGGACTTACTTCGCGAGATTGCGAGAACGCGGTGTAAGCAGATACAAAAAGACCAAAAAGCCAACAAAAAGCCAACACAAAGGGTTGGGGCTTTGGCTGTGAAGGAATTGATGGCATCAGCGCTCCGTTTCGCACAGCCTGGGAGACCGCAGATGTGATCCCGACCCAACACCGACAATTGGACCAACAAGGCCTACGACCTTGGATGAGCTCTGAGCCTCTACATTAGGTCGTCTGCGCTGAGCGACGTGTTGACGGACGCTGCTAAAGCCACAAGTGACAGTTTGTATTCCACCACCTACCTTATGTTCCACCACATTTGCTGACGGTTCACAAGGCCATGTTAGTCAACTGATAGTCCAAAGTCAGTACATCCTTCAAGGTTCCTTCCAATTCTAAGACAGGAGGTCCGTCTCTTGAGCCGACGCGCTGGTCGCAGTTCTCTTGGTGTGGAATCCCAGTGAAAAGCGGAACAGAATTCCTTCCGAATTTGGTTGAATCGATCTGAAGCGAACGGAACGCGAAAGGCGGGAGTCAGAAAAAAATCGATCGGTTCTGAAACAGAGGCAAGATTGGTGCATTTCTGTAAGAGTCCCAACCCAATTCCGAATGATTTCTCATGTACGATTCTGGCTGCTTGAACTTGGACGTGCCTGTGGGAATCCTCTACCTGAGAGCGCGGCTGCTCGCATTTTTTTCTTTTTCGCTCCCCTTCCAATACACCACTTTGTCAATGCCTACAGCCTCTCCAAACGTCGAATCTCGTAGTAAAAGAAAAGGTGTTCCTAAAGCTCCAAGGACCCTCCAGGACCACCAGAAGAAATATGGGTCTTACCCCACGACACCAGCAGCCCACGGTCGAATCATTTGCTGAGTGGGCCACCAAAAAGGAACTGGGGCAATTACTGGGGCGTGCGTGCGATACTAGTAGGGCTCTGGGACAACGTGACGGAGAAGGTATGGATGTGGACGACATGCATGAAGGTCACGTCAATACGAACAAACAAAGCTGTCGCAGTGTAGACAGAGGTACCGACGCGCGCGATTCTGTATTGCACCACCACCATCCTCCCTTTGTACCTCTTCTACCAACCCCAATACTGTATGAATACCTTGTAATATTCACCTTTTCTATCTTACTTAACCCCGCCTTGAACAGTTTTTTTTGATTTACTATCTCGCTCTTATTCTTTGCGTTTTGAATGGCTTTTCCCTAGACCCAGCTTCCTATCTGACAGTACACACTTTTTTCGACCTCTGGAACGACTAACTATGGCATGGGCACCCCGACGTCTGGAGCAATCAACAACTCTGGAGCGAGCTCGTGAGCGACCAGCAACGGCTCTCCAACGTCTGGAGCACTCGACCCCCGGAACGCCCAACGACGGTTCCTCGACCTCTGGATTGCCAAACGCAAATTCGTCGAGCCCAGGGTCGTCTGGCGCAGGCAATAGTGTAACGTGCATCCTCTGCCTTCCTCTCGCATCTGTAATGAGTCTACTAATGACTTGTAATTCCTGCAGTTTAACCCACTGTCACCTGTGAGTATTGTCAAACCTTTCCATCGCGTCACCGCCGCTTATCTGTCTCTCTCAAGTGCTAAAGAGCGCGAAAAAACAATTCGAATCTTACTGGAAGAAGCTTGATGTAGAGGCGAAGCAGATACGTCTATGATTTCTTTGCTCTCAACCGTTTTCTCATTCTTGATATAGGTTTGCTACGCGCGTTTCGACGAACTTAAAGCAGCCGCGAAGAAGGGAAAGACCACCGAAGACCGAAAGAAGTAAGGAATTTCTCACCTTTTCTGAACCATTCAAGATATTGGGCTTTCTGTTTCTCTCCGGGCATTTCTGTAGCATTCCCTGTATTGTGAATGGGTAAATACTATTGTAATCGTATGTTTTCTTAACAATTCTGTCAGAATCACGAGTTCTGAATGAGCCCAATTCCGAATGGATCTGCCAGTTTCTGAAAGAAATCGGTATTGACATTCTTCCAAATTCTGTAAGACTCTACTACAGTCAATCGTAGCTTTAGGAAAGGTAGTAGAAAGCCACCAGAAATCGTCCAGAACCGCGGCAAAATCATGGATTCTTTCGGAATCCTTTGGATCGATCGGGGATTCCGCAGATATCAGTAGATTTCACTCAAATGCCTTAGAATTTCTTGATCCGTTCTCACTGGGGTGGAATAGCGATACCGCCAAAGACGACATAACCAAGTGACTAGCCGCGACAGTCGCGTCGTGACAGGATTATTGTCCCCCTTCGCGTCCAAAATCCCCGTTTGAGTTCCCCTAACCTTCTCTGCTTCCTTGCAACCCGCTCTGCTTCCTCCATAGGGTGGGCCTCTGTATCTCGCCTACGGGTCACAATGTCGGCAACGGTGAAGGTGAAATGTACTGTTTAGGGTCAGAATGGCTGTCAGGGTGACAACCAGCTGCGAGGATGCGATGTCGGTATGCCAGTGCCTGGCCAGTGCGCATGAGCTCGAGGACCTTGTCCGTCGAGTGAGGCCAACTTTCCGCCATAATGATACGGTGCAATGTCGTCTTTTATGTGTCGCTGCACTGGCTTCAAGGGTTGTTCTCCGAAGAAGATGACGTTAATGGACATCGATTTCGGCGGACAAAGGTCGCTAGACATGCGTTCCATGTACACAGCAGCCTTTCCGTGCTGTTCTTTAGGTGGGGACTTTCATTTAGCCATTCGAAAAGAGCGCTCAATGTCACCTGTCAACTTTGTGTTCTAGCCCAAAGAACCCGGTCCTCTTGTCCGTTCGCGTTCGACCATTATAGTGGTGGACCTTCCCAACTCAGACTGTGGCAGTGCGCCATGTTCATACCCAACTGCTCAGGCAGCCTCTTCGCTCGTCCAACCTGCGTTCGAAATCCAGAATTAGCTCCATACAAGCCACGGCCAGCCATACAACCCTCACCGAATCCCAATCGGCTACATCTGCAATTATGAAGCCAACAAGAATCGTTAATACCATTGTCGATGTTCTTTACGCTCCCCTTCCCACCGAGGCTATATTTTAGGGTCTCCCAATCTCCCCCCGAATCTGTGGTGTCACCGCCTAGCTCTTGGGCCCTTGTCCATCTCACCGTGGTCGAGGATTTCAGGAATCAGGGCTGGCGACGGAGCCCCAGTTACCGATCGGTGGCGGAGTCGTTGGTTGTCGAGCCGACGGGGGCGTTTGGCTGGCCTTCCATCCGAGGTTGCCTGAACTGGTGTGCGTCGTGTCTGACTGGCTGTTGCTTCATCCATCAGTTGAGTGCACATGTCCGGACGGCCCTCCTCGCCTTAACGACGCGCCCCGTCCGTCCCTGAAGGTGAGGCGGAAGTTGGAACACCCGCCAACTGCTGCTGGCTGGGGCTTCCGGGAAAGTCGATGGCTGCGTGACCAGCTGCTTTGGAGATGCCTCTTATAGCCCGCGTATGAGCGTGGTGCGTCGAACGGTTCAGTGTGAGGAGTGCCCAACTGCATGTCAACAACCATCGGTCAGTGAGCATGGGCCGGGCGAGAGGGAAGAGAAGACGTACGCGGGGTAACTGGAAATTCAAGTGAGCACCCGGAAGAGAGTTCCTCGCAATAACGGGGGCGACTGTCTCGGTTCTGTGCTGCAGAGTGATCAGGTGTCAGCACTTGACTGTGAGAGCGCGATAATACGACGACCCTACAGTCTCGAGCACTCAAATCTCCACTCCCGTTCGGCCGAGAGCACGACCACACGAGTGGCAGTGTCGTCATTGGTCGCCATTGAATAAGCGTCGCAACATCTCGTCGCATCGAGGCTTGAGCGCATGAGTGGTTTTGAACGGGGTATCGACGCTGTGCTGCGCCTGTCGACAGGAACTGGAACGAGATTCTCGTGTCATGCATTGTGCATCTTTGACCGCTTGAACGCGGGACGGCGGAATCTCCAAGGTTGTGGCGGTAGACCCCCGCCATTATGAATTATGTAGCCCAAATTTTTGTTAAGACGACCTTGATAAAAGAATAACGGTCAGTCCAAGGCACAAGGTCATGAATGACTTATTTCACTATTACCTGGACCATTAACGGGCCATCCCGGCGGGCACTAGAGAAGCCAGGACGTCCGTTGCTCGGCTCCTGGCATGATAGGGGAAAAGGTGGTGGTTGGGAGTTGAGCGTTGGAAGGAAGAATCGAGGAAGAATCGAAACGAGTAGCCACCATTGATCCGCGCGCGGATTGTGCCGATGTCTCCTGGATCTTATCTTATCTCTCTCTCCGCTGTGGCTTCAGACTATGTAACGTAGAGTCGGCATATGCAGCCACAGTCAATCATCAATATATACGTTGTGAAGGAACATATCATAATATGAAGATAAGCGTTCTAGCTACCTCTTCAGTAAAGCTAGTCTTGAATAAATCCAAAATTCCTTCGAGAGCTTCCATCTCATCTCCATACACCTGGTCCCAAACATCACTATGTCCAGCCGGTTCATCGTCGTCCTCTTTTTCTGCAAGTAACCACCCAATGTGATCTTCCATATAATCCTTCCTGTCCATGTATAATACTTCGTGTTCCAGCAGCGGGAGCTCTGTCTTCGTAAAGGTATTCCTCACTATCCTCTTCTTCTTCCCCAACGACCCCGCCCCAGAGACGGCCGTTGACCATTTAACCCAGTCCGCACGAGAGTTGCTTTGGAGGTACCCAGCCCATTCAGGGTCGCCGTAGTCGCCATCAAAGAAATACGGATTCCCAATCACGATGCGCAATTGCTTGAGTCGAGGGACTTTGGCGGGTGACAGGAATTCTGTGAGTGCGTTCGGATCCATTGCTACTGCGATCTCCAGGAGATCAATGTTCTCCAGGACTGGAGTTGATAGGTTGGGTAGGAGGGTGGATGCATAGAACTCGGCGTACGAATGCTGCAGCTCGAGTGTTCGAAGGGAAGGGAGGGTGATGGGACGGAAGGGTCGTCCATCGTGGTCAACATCTGGGCCTGTATCGCCAAAATTCAAGCGAAGCGTCTCCAATGACGGTGAGGCTTTCAGAAGATCGAACAAAATCCCGGGGGATACATTCGGAAGACCGAGGTTGAGGCGGGAGAATATCGTGAGATTGACTAGACGAGGGAAGGAGCCGATGAACGTCTTGGCTGAGACGTTCACCGCGTTGTCGAGGAAGAGGTTGGTGAGGTTGGGGAAGTGGTACGAAAGGTCCTGATCAAGTTCGCAGAGTTGTATCCTCAGGTTGGAGAGAACTGGGAATGAAATGCAGTTCGTATTGGTGCTTGGCCCGAAAGGGTCCGCTGACTGAACGGCCTCGAAACTGGACCACCTGTGACGACTTTCGAGGAGAACCCCCCAAAATGGCGGCCAGCCGAAGTAGCCGATACCATCTTCAGCATCGTAGCATGGAAGAGGATTGAGGGTGAGATGTAGTGGGAGGGATTTCGAGCGACGTAGGACAACTTTAAGGAAGGCGAGAAATGAAGGCAGTGGTTCGTCCTCTCCGTACCCCCCAGGGCGCAGCTCGTCCAGGTTGGTCAAGGACAGCCGCGTCCAGAGCCTGGGGCAGCTATCAGCAATCTTATACCACCGCCTGCAGACATGGGACAACGCCACCGCTGTCGTTTGTCGAAAGCTGGAGTCATCCCTCCCCAAGTTCTCCGCAAACAGAATCCACTCTCCCTCGCATGCCACTGAGAATATTTCCCGAACTATCTCTTCCGGAAGAGTCTGGGTGTAATCACTTCCGTCCAAAGAGGTGAGCTCTTCAAGGCGCCGCTTCGTCCTGTCGATCTCGTCTTCGAGCCTGTCCAGCTCTCGTTCGGTCTCCTCCTTCTTGGCTTCGAGGTCTTTCAACCTGGCAGAGAACCTGGCTGTAAGCGCCTCGACATCCTGGCTTTCGTCAAGCAGAAGAGTGCTGAATGCTGTTGGATCCATGGTGGCGACAAGGGCTAGTCTGACAGGGGAGTCAAGCTGGCCGTCCTGTGCACTTTATGTAAAGCATGTCGCGCACATGTTGATGACTTTGATGCTGCGCTGGGTATGAAGCCCCGCAAGTAATGTCACGTGCGGGCGTTACCCTTCAGATCTTAGAAAACCCCTAGTGAACAGAAACGAGATGACCTGCGAGTCAGATCGAGTCGAGTTCGCCGACTCGGCAGAGGCTGTGCTTGACTGTGTTTTTTCTAGAAGCTGTTGTAGCTCCATGACAAACAAAAGACAATTGACCGTTGCCTAGTTGGGCGAAGGGTGCTCGCCAACCTTCTTGATCGTCGACCACAACGTTCTCCTTGCAAATCGCCTCAGGGTCGTCCAAAGCCCCCTGCTGGACTGTACACTATACAAAAGGACACGACTTATACCCTAATCTAACGCCTTTTTACGATGGTAAGCCCGTTGTCACCCTCTAAAGCCCGTTTAGCCACCTGACCAGGTTTCTCCAGTCTACCACATGCAGGAGGAGGTTGATTCGCGATTTCAAGCGTCTCACCACAGATCCACCAGGCGGTGTGTCGGGCAGCCCATGTCCAGACAACATCATGCTCTGGAACGCTGTCATCTTTGGGCCAGGTGCGTGCTAGTGGCTGTTGTTTCAAACCACCGATTTTAAACACATTCTTCATCCAGGTGACACCCCTTTCGAGGACGGCACATTCAAACTGACACTTACATTCGACGAATCCTACCCCAATAAACCTCCAACCGTCCGCTTTCTTTCGCGCATGTTCCACCCCAACGTCTACGCCAACGGCGAACTCTGCTTGGACATCCTCCAGAACCGATGGTCCCCAACTTACGATGTGGCAGCCATCCTGACAAGCATACAAAGCTTGCTCCACGACCCAAACCCTAACTCGCCGGCCAATGCGGAGGCCGCTCAACTTTATCGGGAGAACATGAAGGAGTACGTGCGGAGAGTCAAGCTGACTGTCGAGGAGAGTTGGCTAGACCCAGAGGAGAGGATCGACGATGCCGAGGGTTCCAGTTCCTCGGATTCTGGTGCAAACGCCGCAGCTTGATGTTGGGGCCCCGACTGGATCTTGCATATGGACTCGCGTCGTCCTTCCTTTTACTGGAACATTATCATCTTATTATTATCTCCTTTTCGCCGATACGCTCGGATGAAGAGGTAATCCCTGGCTAGTATGGTCCTCTTTCTGACCTGTTCTCATTGCGGTTTCCCCTAACCAATTCATGTGTATTTGTGGTTCGTAGCAATCTAATAGGGTTCCTTTCACCAGTGCCATGCCCACGGCCTCTTTTATAGGCATCTGCAGCGCCACCATCTTTGGGAATTCTCGTCTCCTATCTGGTCTGCTTGGAACCGGTTCTTTCAGAGTATGTAAAGAACGGGCAACATCCGTTTCTCTGACCAGTCCTGTATCCAGTCGGTGCATGATATGCTTGCCTTGAGTCCTGGCGGCGGAATCGAGCCCGTTCAGTCGCCGTAAACGTTTTCAGAATGAGATTGATCCGGTAGAGCGCCCAATGGAATGCCCGCCGTCGAAACGCCCAGTATTGAACATGAATTGAAGTCCATTCAAAGTTCACTAGACAAACCACAAGCTAAACAACAACCATGTCCGTACGATACCATGTCAGTCCAGGTGTCCAATGATACGAAGGAGGAGGGGAAATAGCTAAATCAAGGCTGAGGACCGTAATTACTCCAATTAATGATATAGGGCCTAATCTCGATGTAGACGTCGGTGCACTGAGCCTGGTCGTAGTGCGGGTGTCCAGAAACAGGCGAGTAAACAACGTCAGGTCTTCCACTCGCAGTGTTGTTGGGGCACAGAGCCCACGAATCGGTGTCACCGTTCACCGAAAGAAGGGGGAAACCAATGAAGCCTCCGTGAGGGGACAGTGGGCTCGGCTATTCATACGACATACGAGAGTATCGTTAGCTCCTATGCGTCGTGAAAGGGTAAGAGGGAGAGAGAGCGCGCACCTTGCCGCAATATCCGGGGTGTCCGTTGGACACGGCAGGGTGGTAGCGTTCGAAGGACTGGCCTCCACCAACGGCGACACCTACACCCTTAGCTTCGTACGAGGTCAGACGGTTATCGAGTATTCCAATGTTGAAGGAATCAGTCCAGGTGCATCCAGCAGGGCACGTCTACCACCAGGTCAGAAAAAAGGCCCTTCAGCACCCCTCCCAATTCACAAACCCAAACGAAGTAGGACGACATACCGTCATCAACCGATAGTTAACCTGGGACCCACCCCCAAGCTGCACCCAATCGCGCGAAGGAATGCTATACAGCGCCTCTGCACTCCCAGAGCCCGACTTGGGAATGGCATACATCCTGGCGTTCTGGAAGGTGGTCCAGATACGCCAGTCGATGCACGAGCTGGGGCTGGGAGGCGTAGCAGCTGTGTTCTCGTACAGGACCATACGGTTACCCGCGCCGCACCACTCGGTGTCGTCGCCTGGGCAGGCAAAGTTGCATTGCCCGTCTGCGACGACGGGGAGCGTGCCGTAGATGTTGTAGTTGTCGCACCCTGGTGAGAGTTAGCGCAGGAATGAGCTATCGTAGAGAAGGGATGTGGAAGAAGGGGAGAAAGAAAGACGTACAGCATTCTGAACCGTATTCGAGCCCAGCGAGGCCGTAGCCGTGGCTAGCACATAGCGCCGTGCATCGCTCAGCTGTGTTTCCTTCTGGGACGTCAAATCGGAAGTTGAGGATACGTGGGCCAAAATCACTGCATAAATTCATGAATAAGCATAGCTTCACCAACTGAAAGAATGAATACACCCACATGTAGCACCCTCGATACTCCCAAGTCCCAACGGTCTCTTTGATAGACGACCCAGGGGGAGCAGGAGGATGACCATTCGCCTTGAATTCGTGACGATACATAAGACACGCAGCAGACATCACACGATAGAAAAGCGCGTACCTTCCCAAGCAACGCAGCGACCGAAAGAAGAGACGCAAAGATAGGAGCAACCATGACGAGAAAGAGCAGAATCTGGCAAGGGACTGGAAGTAGAACTGGAACCAGAGCCGACAGAACCTCCATCCTCCTCCGCGTTTTTATGCCGCATCCACCCGCTCTGTCTATTTTTAATCAGGGTCGCAAATGTCAGAGAGAGTTTCCCCTTCTCCCACCGCCTGACAGATGGTGAACAATGGGATGAGGTACACCGCGTCTACATTTCAAGACCGGAGGTAGAGTGCTCCTGTGCGTTTATGAAACCCTATTCCTCGGAACATCTGATAGACATCGAAAAACTGGGGTAAGGGCCAAGGCAAGGGAAAAAGACGAGAGCGTGGCTAGACGGTTTAGCGAGACTTTGGTAGCATGGAACTGGCCAACGGTTGTGTTTCGGCACAAAAACGCGACGGTACTGACCATTTATAGGCGCATCAGCACGATAAGCGCCCGCGGACTTGCCTGCCCTCGACTCGGCACGGACAAGAATGATTGACACCCTTGAGAAGACTTTCGAGGGCTAGAATGGGCAATCAGAAGAAAAAGACAGTCAAACGACGGGCTTACATTTGTGATTTACACAAGATTAACGTTACAGACCAAACGTAGAAGCGGGACATACCTAGAACGAACTGGTGCGGACTGATGGGGGCATATCTGGACACTCATTTCAGAGATGACGAGCGCTACAAACGTACTCACAGCAATAAGCAATATCCGCGACAGACAAAATGGAACTAAGATTGCCTCTATCAGTCTCTCAAAAACCGCGACAGCTCTTGGCCAGGTCCAGTGTCTACACCGTGACTCTGATCTCGATTCAGACTATGAAAAAAACATACATGATGAGCCTCTCGACTACGGAGCAGAACTCCAGACACGACTATACCAAGCCTCATCAATTGGCGGCAGGCGTCTCCTCTTCTACTCCTTCACCCGCATTCAACGTCATCTCGTCAAACTCGTCCAACAACTCCTCGATCTTAATCTCGGGGAAGTCAGCCTCATTCTCGTCATGGTCATCATCCGTCGACTCCTGAACTTCGTCCACATCCATCGAGTACTGTCCTCCCTTCTTCCTGGTCTTGGCAGCACCGTCAGTAGTGTCCATCTTGACATCCGCCTTGTAAAGGTTGACTGCGGCCCGAAGATCTGGGTCCTCCTCGATTTCCCTCAGGAACAACTCGTAGTCCTCCTCAATCTTCTTCGCATCTCGTCCGCCCATTCGGCCAATGGCACCCCTAGCACCGCCAGTATCGCCGTCCTCACCAGCCTCCTTGGCGATACTCCTCAACTTCCAGTTCCTAGCCTTGTTGCTGTGCTTCTTCCTCCTGTTGGGATACGCCTTCTTCACGAGGATGACGTCGGGTATCCGGTCGCTCGGGAGCTCTGTGAACGCGTCCGAGTTGAAGTTGCTGTTGGATACGTAGTAGCCCATCGCGCTGTCGCCCGGTTGGAGGATCGCACCAAGGTGGGTACGGGTGTGGAAGATCATCGTAGGTGCTCCGCCGTTCCCTTCGTAATCCATCATCATACTATCGTCATGTCGGTGTTTCGACGACTTGAAGGCACCCGACAACGCAACCTGGGCATCCGCCATCACCCATTTGCCCCTCGTCTTCGTCCTGTCAGGTTCGATGTCGAGAACGGTGAATTCGACGAGGTCGGTCACAGCCGCTAAAGAGTCGAATGGACTGCGCCAATAAAGGGTGGCGGGGATTTCAGCGGTTTGGAGGGTGGAAGGGTCGAGGAGTTGCAGCGAGTTGCCGACTCGCGTGCAGAGCGTCAACGGACTGATGTTTGAGAGCGATCTCGCTTGTTTGAGCGGTAGGCAAACCAAATCGTCCTTGCACACAGGAACGATCTCAACGGAGTATGTGTACTTGAAGTTGGCCGTGCTGGTATGAGTATCCGAAGAGATAATCTGTTCTGCGGATTTCGATCTGAAAAAAACACTTGTTAGCACAAGGCAGTACAAGAAAGGAAGCAAAAAGCGCACCGAATAGGTACGACACCACCCAAGAATTCAACCATCTTCAAAGCATGACTACGCGTGCTGTAGAAAAAGTCGAGGCCGTCGCGGACTTCCTTGATCGAAATGGTGTCTTTTTGTGCGTTGTGCTTGAGAATTAGCTGTTCGAGGAAGAGGAAAGTTCGTTTGTGCGACACTTTTTGTCGAACCTGGACCATCGCCCTCCAGGTGTTCTTCGCAGCCAATCGTGCACAGTCGGGGCATTGTCCATACTGGACGAGGTATTCGATCTCGAAGGTTTGTTCGAGAATGGTGTTTGTGAGGACCTGGGGCGTGTTAAAGGAATTTCATGTATACTAAAAGATAAAGCTCACCTCTTTCTGAATCGTCAAAGCCACCTTCAACCGTTTCGAGTGGGGCTCCGTCCAGATAAATCTTGCGTCGGTCAGCCTGACCTTCGACAATCCCTTCAATTTCTTCAAGCAAATGGCAAGGAGTTCTGAAGACTCGGGTTTTGCAATTGTCCAGCCTCCAGGAGGTGACAAGAAACGTTCACAGTTTCTGCAAAAGGCCACAGATGCTGTAAACAAAATCAGAATCGGTCCTCTTGCCTCTAGAATGAGCGAACGCACTTTGTTTTGGGATACCTTCCGTGATATCGATGCTAATAACAGTCAGTTTGGATGTTACACCAGCTATTGAGTCTTAACTCACGTATTCCTCAAGCAAGCGACGCAAAGATTGGCAGAATTGGGCACAATCGGTGTACCTTTGTCGAGATCAGCCTCTTTTTCCACAGAACAGAATATAGAGCTCTGCTTACCGCAATCCGCGCACAGCACTCGGTGTACCGCTGGTCCTGGTGTAAATTCCATGTTTTCTTCTTGTTCAGGCGGTCGTAATGGTCGTAAATCAAGGGGCGACTGGCCTTTAAGCCTTTTGGTGGTTGCTGAGTGAGCAAAAGCTGGAGCTGCTCGCGCTACCGAAATGACTGAATCAGAAAAATCGGATTATCTTATCTCCGCTGGGAATTGATAAGATAAGATCGTGACGCGGGCTGCCAGCAGCGCGATTAGACGCTCTAACCTGTAAGGAGCCTCGAGGCTCGCTGCATCTGACCAGAACTTCTACTTACCACAAGTCTGAACTCTGAACATCTAACTATAACGCTAGACCCCATCCAACTGCTTGCGGGAATTCTTGAGGTACGACACCAGCAACTTCCCTTCCATAATACTTACTGACGGCCTTTAGAGGCTCACGTTTACGTCGACAGACATGAAGAGCCCTTTCCTCAAATCTGACCCCGTATTCTCTCCTTTTGTTCCGGCCAATGAAAAAGGCATTCGACAAGAATTACAAGGCAAGGAGAGACAGCTCTCCGTACTCGAAGGGCAAGCAAGACAGCTGAGACTCGAGATAAACCGTCTTCGAAGCTTCCTCTCACCCATCCAATCCCTTCCCGTCGAGTTACTTGCTTGCATCTTTGCTATAGCCTGTGAGGGCGAGGTTATCAAGCTTTGGGAAGAGTTCTCCATGGCGCCCCCTCCCACCGCAATCCTGATTGCTCAGGTCTGCAAACACTGGCGCGCCGTCGCCACGACTACGCCTGAGCTGTGGTCACAGCTAGATATGTACATCGGGGATTGCCACAACGAAGGCAAGCTCAAGGAATTAGAGCCATGCATCATCCATTCGAAGACACGTGCTGGCCGCCGTCACTCGTGGTTCATCAGAACGGTGAAAGCGTTTCTCGACCGCTCACAGTCATTACCGCTCAACCTCGAGCTATTCAATTACGAGGAAAAGCTTCACTCAAAAAACAGGTGCACCGTGCACTCTGCAGAGCGCATTGTCATCGACAACGCGGACAGGATCCAAGAGCTCTACCTCAGTTTCGTCGATCTGGGGACATTCCCCTCCTCCCTCCAGTTCCCAATTCTAGAAACTCTGACTCTCCGGCACTTCCGCTTCCCAGAAACGGCCACCCGCTTCGTTGCCCCCAGATTATCCAAGCTCGTCTATATCGACCCGGATGTCCAAATGGTCCATCGTCAAATCAAGTTCCAACTCTCCTGGCCGTCCCTCTCCGAACTCACTTTCTTCTGGGATCTGAATTCAAAAGGGGTCAGCAAAGCATTCTTCACAGTCCTGAAGCAAGTGGAGCAGCTCAAAACACTTTGCGTCAAATTCAACAAATGGCGTTTTGTCGACACTGGAACACAGCACTCGTACATCCGACTACCGCACCTCCAGACTCTTGAAATACAAGATGCCTCGGAGCAATTCCTCTGTAGAGGATATTTGGCGAATTTCGCTGCCCCAGCGCTAGAAACGTTTGAACTGTTCATCGCGGACTACCCATATGAAGACCAGCCGGAAGTGCTCGCTGATATTCGAGACTTTCTGGAATTCGTTCCTGGTTTGAAGTCATTACGAATAGGTCTATGCGACGCCAACTTCCTCATTCCAGATGACCGCATTCAACCGAACAGTTATAAGATTTTTGCTTTACTGGACAAGACGGTTGCTGCCATGAAAGATGCAGACGAGCGAGTCTTTGGAAGGACTAATTCGACTGACCGGCAGAAGATGGCGTTTGCCGCTGCCGTACCAGAAAGAACTGTGACCGTGACAGAGTGGCCTGAAACGCGCGAGTCTGGATGTTTGGTCGAAAAACTGTTTGGTTGGGCTGCGAGAAATACTGAGCCCAGGCGCCGTCGCAGGCGCAACATGTTAAGGAAGGAGTACTTAGACAAGGCACTCGACTCGGAGCGCATGGAAGCCCTAGAATCCATATTCCAGCTACTGGTAGATGACGAGATTCCAGGACGGCGTTCGTTACTTGTGCAGTTGTAAAATATCTCCCTCAAGCTGTCCCCATATTGACTATATTACTCTCGAGAGTGGTCAAGTTCACGGCGCTTCGGAGTCAAACTGGGAGATACCGATTAAGGGTACGGGCGCCTATCAATACCCCTGTCGGAACTCTTGAGAGCCTCGTCGCTATATGCCCACGTTTCAGAATTGAAGTGCAGCTTCAACGTGTATTCTGTCACGCTAAGAGAATGTACGCCCTTGCGCAACTGTCCTTCTCCCATTTCTGAGGGAGTTGAGTAACCAAAGTCAGGATGCCGCCCGTCAGCGCAATGCCGGGTAAATCCCGGCAAATCCCGCGAGGCAAGCAGCAACAAGGCGGGCGCCGTTTTGGCTTGGGTATAATTGCCTTCAGACTTAATCATCCCATAGAGTCTCAGGAAATCATTTTAGAATCAAAGTACGAATTTATTACTCCAGACAAACCGCTCTCCTCACAATACACCAGGTTTACAATCGCCTCCTATCCAGTACCATGGACCAATCTTCTGACCCCGGCGAGCGGATTGCTGTACGGCGCGCCATCCAAGAACGCGAAGACCTGGTCTTCAAGTTGGAAGGGGAGATCCAAGAACGCGAGGCCATTATTGAAAGGCTCGAACGCGAGATAGCAGGTCTCCACGAGCGCCTCCGAGTCTGCTTCATCGAGATGGTCCCTGTCGAATTGCTTTCGCGCATCTTCGTCTTCACCTGCGAGGGTGAAACAATCGCCTTTTCACAGGGACCGGAAAGCCACGATTCGCATCTATCGACTGATGCTACGGCCATCATTCTCACTCAAGTCAGCAAACTGTGGAGAACCGTGGCCATGAATCTCCCAGCATTATGGTCCCGTCTGGACGTATACATGGTCCCTTGCAGCCCATTCAATCCTTGTGATGACTCGGCTTGCCCGATGGCCGCATCCCAGTCTCGGTTCATCCAACTCTTCAAAACCTTCCTTGACCGCTCGAAAGACTTCCCCCTCGACTTGACACTCCACAACGATCATAATAGGAAGTATCCGGGGTGTTACTCCAATTCTTCTGAGCGTCTTCTAGCGGAGAACGCAAATAGGTTGACGAAGTTGGAGATGTGCTGGGTTGACCTAGAGTTTCTGGAACCTTCTGTCGAATGTCCTGTTCTCGAACAGTTGACACTTTCGAATTTCCACTTCCCTCGAACCAAAGTCGTCACACTCAATGCCCCAAAACTAACCAAAGTGGTATATTCGGACTGGCTCCTCAATGGGATACCTTCTTGTCCCAACTTCCAACTTCCATGGATACAGCTCACCGAGCTCTTCTTCGTATTCCGGGGTAGTGGTGGAACTGAGTGGGAGCCTGAAGAATATAACGAACAATTCTTCTACGTTCTTCGCCAAAGCACCAATATTACCACCCTTCGCATCAGCATTGGCCTCGCATGGGGCCGAAACCCTCTACCTTGGTCCAGCGCATCATACAGCCAAATCCAGCTTCCCCGGCTCCGAAAGCTGGAAATCCAAGACCAGTCGCAGGTCTTCTTCAGCCAGCGATATCTGGCGGCATTCAACACACCATCACTGCAAACATTCGACTTCCTCATCGCAGATGTCGGGAAGATTGCATCTACCGAGATCATGGCCTCGTACATGGTCATCCTTACCTTCCTTCAAAGGTGCCCACGTCTGCAAACGCTGAGGCTGGGTGTCTGTGATCGGTCATTCTTCATCCCAGCTGAACGAAACACTCGACACGATGACTGCAAAATCTTCATGATGCGAGACAAGGAACCCACCGACTTTGCGCGTGTGTTGCAAGCGGTCTTCTTCATCGATCCGGCGCGTCAAAACAACCCAGACAGTCAACTGGGCTGGTATCTCGACGAGCAAGTCGTTACCGCTTCCGAATGGCCCCAAAACTACGTGGAGGACATCTTTGATTGGGTGCTCGATAATACCACTACAGTAATGCCATATCACAAGCGGACTCGTCCCGCCTTCATTCGAAAACTGCTTACTGATCAGCATTTAACAATCGTCCAGCACTGCTTGGAGATTCTTCAAGTCGGGCACGACGTTATTCCCGGAGAGCGCGCCTTGCTGGTGCAACTGTAGCCTCCCTAGCGAACCCCTTTGGCATTCAATATTCCTTCTTGCTCCATATCGTGACACTTGTTCAAAGTCCCACTAGTTGAAGACTGAGTGCTACATTATCATAGGTAAACGAGAAACTACTGTACTTCCGAGTGAATGATGTGCAAGTCCGATGCCCTTCGGTCGACTCCCACTAGTGCACCCAACGGGCTCCTATTCGACGATAAGGACTGTGTGCAACCGACCTGGTGCTGCCAGAAAGTGCCACCGGAATCAGTAGTCGCTACCCCGCATTTTTACGACGTCGACGATCCACGAGACTTTCCTCAAAAGTACAGACGTTCTTTACAAATTCCGCAGATCTTTTTCCATATACCGCAGTGACTTCATCGAGCGTAGAATCGCAAGGCGACTACACATGTAAACGGAAGAGTCAAGACCCTTCAAGCCTCCCCTCCAGCCTGGCCTAGTACAAGTTACTAACCTATACCCGACACTCGTTTGCAAATCACCTTGCAATAAATTACACATCACATTCCTCACCGGTTCACTTGTCACGACGACGCTGACCATCTGCTCAGGTCTGTACGCCGCCGCCGCGGCTCCCAAGTTGGTCGATATGTGACCAGGCGGAGGCCGCCCCTCTCGGACTCGGACGGCACTCGCTCGATCCAGACGCCGACGACGTCAATCACCGTGGCCTGGCCAACGACTGGGAGGGGCGTAGGCCCATGATTCTAATTAAAAGACACAGTCCATCCTGATTGTGACCCCCCCCCCCCCGTCCTTGCTTTTTCAGCTTCCAATTTCCATACAACGAATGATGCGTGCCCCAAGTTCTTCACCGTGCAGGTCCTCCTCCTCGGGCCCATTCAATGGTCCAAGACCAAGCAGCGCGTGGCGCGCAATATGTCCTAAGGCGGCTAACAGGCGGCTATCCGGCGAACAGAAATCAATTCGACCACGCTTTGCTTCACGAACGTTTGCTACGATTCTTCAAAAACAAGACTTAACCCAGGGCATAGGGCTGCGTAGTACTCCATACATACTGTAACATAAGGTCGTGGTCCGTGGTCCGACATCTATTCATAGAACCGAACTCTATTGAATCCATAAGTTAAAACACCATGCGAGACCATACGTTCGAATTCTTCTGTCAAATTAGAGCGGCCACCGTACCGCACGGCGCATCAAAGCTTCCATGCTTTAGCCTACACAAGAAGCGATCAGAACCGGACATAAGGAGAGAGACCCTTCTGGTGCGGTACGAGGGGGAGTAATTTGGGCTTTTGCGCTCGTGTGCCAGAATTTACCAACGACTTCTGCTCAAACCCAAACTTTTACATACCATCTGAGAATATTTGAGTATATTCTAAAAGACCTTTCTGTGCATCGATTCAGATTGCAAAAGTGATAAGCCACAGCCCAACCTTAACGATCCCCTCCACCCGCATTGCACCAGACTGTATCTCCAAAGCTTCCCCGCGGGACCCATACGAAATCCAATCTAATCAGTCATCGTACGACACGACACACGTCCATCTCCTCAAATCAAAAATCAAATTCCATCCTACCGGTATTCAGAATGACGGAACCTTAAAATCATCGGTGAAATAAAAACGTTAGTAACCTCGCGCAAATTGATCGACACCCACCGGCATTGTCGGTCTGCAAGGGTCTGCACCAAGACCAAGCCTTCGTAACCATAACTAGTAACTAGTCAGTCACTTGAAAGCCCAGCCCTCAAAAAAATATTCGCTATTTTTCGTCATTTCGCTCTCATTTTCCGTTCACCTGACCCCTCGGATCCCTCTATCCCAATTCTATCCATCGCCAATTCGAATTCCCATCGCATCCGCCGGCGGCTCACATTGATCAGTGAGCCTTCTATGACACTGTGACACCATCTCGACGCGGGTATATCTATATCGATGCGGATGTTGCCCGGTATACGAGTACAGTGGGACAATTCAATCGGCCGTAGCGAGTCGCCGTGGAATTCCAAGCTTAAGTCTTGGTACTTGGACTTTGGATATGCCCCTCATGGTACACCGCCCCGCCATACATACGAATAGTACATACCGATGCCCCAACCAACTCCACCTACCCGTTCATGTGGGCCCCAATTCTATCCATACCGTAGAGTCGTAGGGATGATCGTATAGAATTACAGTTGTATCGAGCTCCCCAGAGATGTAAACACACAATGGATCCGGGTACATACCCCAAATCGCAACCCCACCTCCTCTCCAAAGAAACATCGCAACACTACAAATCGGGGATGGACCGACCTCGAGGCTCACTTTGGAACATACCATCAGAACAACGAAGTATGTACATAGTCAAGACAAAACTCCTTGAAAGCCGGCAAGCGCTTCTCGCCATTCCGATGAACTCAGCTCAACTGAACACACACAACCAAGGTGGATAGAGAAAAACATCTAATAAATTAGTTTGTTTTCAACGACACAGGACAGTAGTAAAGACTACGTTTTGGAAACGTTAAAAGCGTGAGGACGAGGGAAGAAAGAGAGTAGTGGAAAGTAACACGACGTTAACACGCATTAGGATCATGAAGAAAAAACAGAAGTGGAAGAGATGGAATCCAGACTCCAACCACATCCAATCGAGAGTAGAAGGAACATGAACACGGTCGAGCGGGAAGATGAAAGAAAGAAAAGAACAGACAAGAGAGCAGTATGGAATAGGGCGCACGAAACATTAAAAGGGGGAATCAACGATACAGCCCATGAAGCGAACAAAATGCCCTCCATCCATCCATCCTCCTCCACACCTCCCACAACCAACCCACTCTCGAAGGGGGGACATACACCATCAATAGAAAGGAAAAACTCGTAAAAGGGGAAATAAAAGAAACGTAACAACCTTCCATATAACCAAATCTCCAAAATTCAAATCATAACGGACGGGAGGCGCGTTCGTGGGTTCTCGAGCGTTTGATTCGATTTCGATTATTCTATGCGAGGTATTCGACAGATGGTTATAATGCTTGTGAAAGCTGGGAGGGGCGGAAGAGGTATGCAGATGGAGAGCGATGACATGGAAAACGCGACGGCGACGGCAACAGCACCAGAACCACAACCGGATCGGCGGCGTGTGGGGGATAGGGGGCCCGTTATCGTGGTGTTCGTGTTAGCCGGACGACGAGAGGGGGTTGGAACGTCGTCACCGATAACGATGGGGATATAGGAGGTCCAAGGGGAAAAAAGGAGTAGAAGTGGTGGAGTGAGCGAAGCGTCGATCTCGAGTCATCAAGGGAAAAAGCGCGGATAGGAGGCAGTAAGAAGTACAACAGTTTAGTGATTAATATCGTGGTATCCCAATAGAACAAAACAACAGTCCGCGACCGTCTAGTTGGTTTTGCTTGGGTTGCGAGCCAAGGTCTGGCCCACTCTTTGGGCTTGGATGCTGCTGAAGCGTTGGAGTTCTTCGGGCTTGACATGGACGTTGACCTTGCCGCCGAAGCCAACCTTGCGGGCCGCACGCTTGATGAACGACACACGGTTGGAGTAGAGGGATTCGTGGATGGAGGCGACACGGGACTGGGTTCGGGTGAGAGGAACGCCAGTAATGCCGGTGAGGGCCTGCTTGGCGATCTCGGCTTCGTGACGGGCACGTAGGTACTTGATGATGGTAGCCTTCATGGCGAACTTGACCCAGTCCAAAGGAATGAACCAGATGATGTTCTGAAGATGAATGTAAGCAAATTGCGCGAGGGAAGAATAGAGAAATGGAAACGTACCCAGATCCAGACAATACCAATCCAGCCACCAGAGATAGCCTTGACATTGGTGAAGCCCCAGTTGCCGTAAGCAGCGATGATGGAGGAGACGAGCTGGGCAATGCAGAAGGCAACAAGGAGGGCGGTGGATGGTCGTTCCATGAAGAAGAATCCGTGCGAACGGGTGACGAAGATCAAGGCTTGCGAGATGATGGCGACTTGGAGGTAGATGATCATGTGCAATTGAGGATCGTTAGAGTCGACGGAGTCGGTGTTGGGGAAGCCAGTTTCGAGGCTGACGCCGAACTTGTCCTGGAAGAAGGTGGTCTCCTTGATGATGCAAACGAGAGCAACACTGGAATGCGAATCAGTAACAGCGATAGAAAAGGCGAGACAAGAACAACGTACGTGGAGGCGGTAAGGAGAAGACCGTAGGCGACGGCATAGGCGTAGATCTCGGGCAAGTTCCAGCTGTCCGGCGAGGTGGAAGGCAAGACACGGTCAACGGAGAGGGTCATGATGGTACCATCGTTGAGCAAGGCAATGATCAAAATCATGAAGGGAGGGAAGTCGAGCTTGTAGGCGAAGGCGAGGATGGCGAAGCAGACGACGATACGGATGGTGACGGCGCAAGCGTAGATGGCGTAGTTACGCATACGCTGGAAGATGATACGGGATTGACGGATGGCGTGGATGATGGTGGAGAGACCGGGCTCAGTCAAGACGATATCAGCAGCACCACGGGCAGCATCAGTAGAACCTTCGACGGCAATACCGACGTTGGCACGGGACAAAGCGGGAGCGTCGTTGGCACCATCACCAGTCATGGCGCAGAGGTGACCAAGAGCCTGGACACGCTTGACGATCTCGTACTTGTGCTCGGGGAAGACACCAGCGAAACCGTCGGCATCCATGATCATCTCGTCGAGGTTGGCGTGCTTGGAGCCGGGGGCAGGTCCATCCTTCAAAACCTTGGCGGGGTACATGTGGTCACCCATACCGAGACGACGACCGGTTTCCTTTGCAATAGCGAGCTGATCACCAGTGACCATCTTGACCTTGACACCGAGGGCGATGGCATCGTCGATAGTCTGCTTGGTATCGTCACGAGGGGGATCGAAGATGGCGAGGAGACCGATGAGCTCGAAGCCGTTGCCCTCAGCCTCATGGTCGTCGCCTTCAACCTCTTCGAAGGCGACAGCGAGAGCACGGAGACCACGAGAGGCGAATTCCTCGACGTCAGCCTCAAGTCGGTTCTCGATTTCTTCGGTCTTGTTGCGGGTGCAAAGCTCGATGATGACACCGGTCATACCCTTGGTCACACGCTTGAGCTTGCCGCTGGACTCCTCGCGGTAAGTGATCTCGGTACGCTTGTCGACGGGGTTGAAGGGCTTGAAGTCCAACAGGGTAATACCAGCACGGGCCTTGGCGGGGTCATCGAGAGTACCAACAACGCAAGTATCGATGGCGTCCTGGTTCTCGGTACGGGAAGCGTAGGCGGCAAGGAGGATGACATCATCGGGGCTGAAGGGGCCGTAGGTGCGGATCGTGTTGCGGTCGATGGTGAGCTTGTTGGTGGTGAGGGTACCGGTCTTGTCGGAGCAGAGAATGGTAACGCCAGCCAATTCCTCGATAGCGGTGATACGAGTGACAATGGCCTTGTACTTGGCGAGCTGCTGGGCGCCGACGGCGAGGGTGACTGAGAGGACAGTAGGCATGGCAATGGGGATACCACCGATGAGGAGGACGAGGATGTTGTCCAAACCGCGACGGTATTGGTACCTGAAGCCGGCGTAGAGGACGAAGATCTCTGCAATGACGAAGATACCGATACTGACAAGGCAGAAGGAACCGATTTGGGCGAGGATCTTCTGCAAGTGACCGGTGGTATCATCATCCTGGCCGACCAGGGAGGCGGCACGACCGAAGAAAGTGTTGGCACCGGTGGAGATGACGACACCCTCAGCTTCACCGTTCTTGCAAGTGGAGCCACTGGAAGGGAGCAATCAGCGAGTGCTATGGGATGCATGGATGAACGGAGACTTACGAGAAGCACTGATCACCGGCCTTCTTGGATTGAGGAAGGGATTCACCAGTGAGGGCGGCTTGGTCGATGGAGACGTTGATGGCCTCAGTGAGACGGCAATCGGCGGGGACGATATCACCAATCTTGAAGGAAACCATATCACCGGGAACAAGGATAGCAGACTCGATTTCGGACCAAGTTCCGTCACGCTTGACCTTAGCCTTGGGGGCGAGAGAGTCCATGAGGGCCTTCACAGCGTTACCGGCATTGCGTTCTTCGTAGTAACCGATGGTGGAGTTGGCGAGCAAGAGGAGGACGATACCGGTGAAATCGGGCCAGTTCGGAGGGCGACCTTGACCGTTGGAAAGGGCGATAGCGACGATGGCGGCCGCCTCCATGACCCAGGACAGGGGGTTCCACATGAAGGACAAGAACTGGAGCGAAGTCTCGTCAGAAACGCAGCGCGGGGCGATTCGGAAGGAAACGTACCTGGAGGATGGGGTTTTGCTCCTCAGTCTCGAGCTTGTTGGGACCAAAGAGACCGAGACGACGCTCTGCCTCTTGCGTGGTGAGGCCGTTCTCGTCACACTGCAGCAGCTTGAAGACATCCTCAATGACGATGGTCTCCAAATCAACCTTCTCCTTGTCGTAAAGGTCGTCTGCCGTGAGTTCAATCTGTGCTCGGGGTCAGTAGGCGTCCACAGAAGCGCTCAAGGGGTACCCACAGTGTTCATGTCGACCTTGGCATCTGGAGAGCGTCGTCAGCGACGAGGACGTCGATGAGAAGAAGAAAAAGACATACGAGTCGGAGCGTCCTCCTCATGGCCAAAGTCCTTGTACTCCCTCTTCTTCTTCTCTCCATCGCCAACGTTTGTGACCTGGATGTCGTCGGCGGGACCTGGTTCTTTTTCGTTCGCGCTCATTGCTGACAGCGGTGACGGGGGCAAGCTGAGGACAGCGCCAGCGGAGATCGAGACGGGGTTGGAAGAGGTAGGGGTGAGAGGAAAAGAGTGGCCGTAGGCCGGGGATTTGAGGAAAAGCGGTTTGGGTTGTGTTTACCTCTATTAGGCCAACATCAATTTCGCTTTTTCTGTCCTTTTATTGCTTATCTCTGTTTTGATGCCAAGCCCTTCACCGGCTTATCCCTCCCGAATTCGGCCTGTCACAACATCCCTTCCCCCTTTTGTCACCACACCCGACGCCTTTTCTTGGAATTATTCAAACCTTATAATAACTTTGCTATCCCCCCCTCCGCTCGCTGTCGGACAAACCCACCGCATGATACTATTTTGCTGATGGTCAACGATTTTTGATAGCGAAAAGCCCGCACTGTCTCTACCAGGGGCACAGGCCCTCTACTACCTCACAGATTACATTGAGTCGACGCTAGTCATGGCCTGACCCACAGAGCCCAATTGTTCGGATGGGACAAATCGCTCGGTTTATCGACTCGCCAGGAAACAATTCTCGCGAGAACCTTAGCCAAGCCGATCGCTTCTCAATTAGTCCATAAGGAATGCAGAAAGGGGAAAGGCCAATCCCTCTTTCGACATCCATTGCCAATGCGCACAACCCAAGCCTTAGGCTTCTCCCCTTCAACCAAGCTATAGGAGTAGACGCCTATCTCAATGCCAGGCTTGGCTAAGCCCGTTCGAGGAGGACCAGCCGCCTGCCAGCCAAAAAAAAAGCCCCAACGACGACGCCAATCGCATCCTTGGCTAAACTGTCTTCCAGGTCGCACCCATACGATCTTGTTTCCATGTGGAGCGTGTGCTCACCATTTTCCTCCGCGATTGACTTCGGGCGGTGGTGACGACAACAAAACTTGATAAAAACCCGAGCCTCAATTGATCCTCGAGATCGTGGAGGCTCATCCTTTATTCATGACGTCCCCCTGGACCTCTCCGGCAAATTATGTGGACGTCAGCGCGTTGACTTTTGTCTTCTTTGTTCAATGTTGAACGTGCGAGGCGCTCGGACTGTCGGACACAAATTGCTCGTGTGAGCTGGTTGGGGAGGAAGATATGTACTCCTTTGGAACCTTGCTTCTCATCGCCGACCGCACCGACCGCATCATACATCACCGCCGGCATCCTGGCGACACACCGCACTCTGTTCATCATCGTCCGAACACCGTACTCCGCACCAACAACCAAACTTACGTTTCCTCAGTTGTAATGGACATCGACGACAACCATTTCTCGCGCACTGTCCATTCACCTATTGTCGAACGTCTGTCCATTCTCATCGCCATCGCTGCCCCCTCGCAACACCCTCAATTATGATCATCACAATCCAATAGGGTCCCACCGTCAATTCAATGTTGAGTCTATACCCTCCCCCAACGTAACATCTCCACCGAGGTCTGGCGAATCAGACGCATCAGATATGTCTGTCTCCCCCAACCCACGCCTTCTCCAGATTCGAACTTTCTGATTCGGCCGTCGCTGTTGGTCCCACATGCAATATCCGGTCAAGCCGACAAGTCTTGACGTGCCTGCACGCCCTTATCTACTTGGTGGCGGGTTCCTTCCACTCCGTATTTGACGATATCCACATCTTGCCGCCGCTCGACGTCGGCCACGCGTCTGGTCACGTCGAGCACGAGGTACGAGAAGTTGTCAGTGGAGAAGGAACATAGCGTCTTCGCGTCTTCTCGTGACAGTCCTTCCGGTATCCCATTACGACCCGTTCTTCTCCGTGTTTCGCGACTATCTATCCTGGTTCTCCTAGTATCTGTCAATAAGAAACGACATCGAAAAAATGGAATCAACTAATGTTATCTATAATTATCTCATGACAAGCGTTACACCCTACTCCGGCTTCGAGTTCATAGCAATGAAGTCATCCTTGGTCTCATCTTCCTTCTGCATTCCGAGTCGCCCCTCTCCTCCCTAGTAGTACGGCCTTCTATGTCTCCGAGTATCACCATCCACAACGGCATCCAAGGTCTCGGTCACCTAAAGCCCTCCAGTCCGCACCTCCTCTTTCTCCGACATGACCCCCCTCCGCTCAAATCAAACCAAGCCCATCCCATCCCAATCTCCCAATCACAACTCAAAAACCCACAACACCAAAACTCCGCATACTTCCCCAGCGGTATGTACCCAACACGACGGGTCTAAACTACACACAATCCAAGTGAAGAGAACGCAATATGACGACATCCACCATCCATTCACGCCGCTTAAACCACCATAACCCGACAAGTTCGAGTCCAACGTCAACTTGAACGCCGCGCTCAAGCTAGCCATAATCCCTCACTCTTGGACGTAGTGTGTATCACCGTGACCGCCGTGACGAGCCCCCTCGTGCCGCTGTCGTTACTTATCGCAACAAGCCGCAGGCGGCGGTATGTTTGGATGTACATAACAGGAGCACGCGCCGACAATACGCTATTTTCGCCACAGGTAGAGGAGAGCGGCAGCGCTGGAGCCCTCACTCGCTTCTCGTAACTGCCGAATCTCAAATCTACATCGAAGTATCACCGAGGGTTTTGGGTATTTGGTATGTACTGGTCGTCCTCGTCACCGCTTCACAGCCTAATAGCTGTCACTTCAACCCCTCGAACGTGATGCTATGATGATCACACAACTCTCTTTCTCTTATGGCAGCGAGAGATGGATCTCGCGACCTTCCATCTCCTTCGTGCTATACTTGCTTGTCTTGTCGTCTTCTTTTATCTGCGGTATCACACCTCGCGTCGAACTGGATGGGGTCCCAGATTGCCGGCGGCGATGCTACGGTAACTTCGACTAGTGACTTCCTCTCGGGCGGGTGACGAAGGTGAAGTGAACCTTAGGCGACGGAACGATACGAGTCCGACGAGCGCTATGTTTCAATGCACGCCCTATCCTCCCTTAGCTGGTACAGCAAGGTACAGTAAGGTACCACACCTAGAGATTATTTCCCGTTCTATGTTTGGTTTGCGACGTAATCCAATACAGTTATTTTTGGACAGTGTCCAACGCGCGGCTGACGATTGGCTGAGAGGCCCCCAAAGTTAAGCGCTCTAAGCGCCCAGGGGTGACTCATCAACGTACGGACTCGGAAGCTTCGACCGACCATGTACGCGGCAGAACAAGGCATTGAGCCTATTCGCTCTACTGTATTGAAATCTATTCTCAGGTTGAGTTATTTTTGCACCTCACGCCCGTTCCCAGTGTGGGAGTGGAGCTGTAGATGATCATGAGGGCCCGGGCGTGGGGGGTTGCGCCCCACACGAACACCTTCGTCACTCGCCAGTTCCGAGGCATGGGCCCAAGTACGGTAGGGGTTATTTCTCTATGCATCTCTCTTCATTCTTGCAAAATCAACTTCAATTCATTTCGGTCGCTTGATCCATGCAGAGCCACCTGCAAACCCTCTGCAAGACCCTGACTCCTCGGACCGACTCGCACGAACCAAGTACATTCACAAACTTGAACCCCAAGGACTCGGTTTCGAAAACCCCTCTCCGACACCAGCCTCACCTCGCAACAACAACAGTGACGTTACTGACAGTGCCCCGCTAATTATAACTTAACCTCACGTAAAATAAACATATGCCGTAAAGCTGGATTCTATTGATATCGGTCTCGAGAGTCGTGATACCAGGATAAGGGTAGAGGCCATCAGGTACTCGCACCCCCTTATGTAAGCCAGAATCCCCGCCAACGTCGAGCGTTATTGGGTCACGATGAAGATACCAATCGCGTATCTGACTTCAGGGAACATTTCCTTTCATGAATTGGAAGAGCTCCCAGTTTTCCGTTTTAAAAAATATTTTTATTTGGGTGAGAAATAAGGACTTTTTCCAAAACACTAAAAACGCCCCAAATGGTGTTTTGAGCACTTCTGCGTCGAGAGAGAAAAATAGGAATTTCGGGAACGACTTTTTCGCCGCTCTTGGCGCCAAGACAATCGTCCATTTTAGGAAACTTAGCCCCTCATCTACCAGATGACTATGCAACGGGCTGTGGTAGCCTCAGAAAAGTTCCAACCATGGGTAATTCGACCATTACAAGGCTTAGAAATAGTCCTAGTTCCCCTCTCCACTATACCTGGGAGCTTCACTTTTTTTTTCGAATGCGAAAGTCCAAATTTCGCCGCTCTTGGCGCCAAGACCTCTGCTTACATAAGGGTGCTAGTACCTGGTGGCCTCTACCTTAAGTACTTGCGATGCTTCCCAGAGAGAGCAAGTTACGCCGTCGTGACGGCGATGAACCAGGCGTCCGTAGTGGACTTAGGATCAAACAGGGTCGTACATACATTAATCTCCATGCACCCACCATAGCTTCATTCAGGACAATTCGAGATCAATGGGCTTCACACCGTTACACCTCCCATCCCCACATGGGCCTTCCTTTACTATGGACATATGGGAGCACCAATTCACCGAATTATCCTTCACCCGAAGCCTGGGCATCCAATATCCAACTTTCAAACCGCGAAACGCCAACTAACGGCCCTCTGACCACCCTACTGTGATCCCCGTCTTCCTGGAAGAGGCCCAAACTAATGGAAATGTCAAGTAAATGCGCGACTTTAGCTATAGTTTCAGGTATACCAGCGGCTCCTTGGCATCGTCCAAGACCTCTCGGATCGCAGCTTCCAGCGTCTAAGAGAAAGAGCGACTTTAGCTATAGGCTTCATCCAACTTATCAACGTCGTCCACCTCACTTGGCATCGCGAGGGTGACCTACTCGTTCCCTCAAGAACCAGCCCACTCCGCCATCGTCGCGTTCTTAGCACCCATTGCTCATTCTCGCGTCTCGCTGCCATGAGCACTGAGCACACGCGCACGCTGGACGGGAAAAACGATCACAAGGTCACTGACAACACTCGACACGCCCTCCTTCTTTGCTCCTTCGAGGGTCCAACCTTCCTTCTTTCTCATTCTCCATCCTTCCAATTCCCCAAATCCCCAACCAAAGGGAAAAATGTCGTTACCCGTACACCTCGATTGACGCCTTGAGGTGCTCATGCGACCCCCCTCCTCCGAACCGTATCCTTCCGTTCCATCCCACATCAGGGCTGCATCAGGCCCATGGCGTCATGTGGGGTTGGAGTTTATAGCGTCCACCGTCGCACTTATTCCCCAGATTATGCCCTTACTGCCTCCGACGCGCCCTCCCCCCTGAATGGCCCATGTCGGCCACGGCGGAGCGTCTCATCTATCTGCCATGCCCTTCTATCTTTCTTCGAACTCGTGGATGGATCGAGCAGTTGGGTTGCCGTGGGTGGGCTTGGTACGGGAGCCCTTCGGAGTGAGGTGCGGTGAGCGGCAGAGGGGGTACAATTGCAAAGCCAATTCGTGGATTTCAGGAGTACGTACGTACATAGCTAAGTTCAGCCCGGTTATCTGCCTAACCCTTGTAAGTACTCGAGCGCCACTTTGTGGAAGATAACTTGAATAAGGCCTGAGAGTTCGTCTCTGACCTCATATCTGCGTTTCTGTGTGAACGTCTGCGTCTTCATTGAATACTACGTGTTGGTAGGCCCACATACGTCCGTACTAGACCATGATTCGAAGTTCTTCTCAGTGACACATCTCGGCTTGGCCAGTTAACCAGTGGAGTCTCCTGGATTCAATTCAATCCAGCACAATGATACTAAGTATATCGCAAAGGCCTGCTAAGTACATCTTACCCCACACGCTTGCTCCGTCGTCCGATACTTAGCACGCCCTCCGATCCTCCGACGGTACCCGCTCAGTAAAATAGGGTCTATTGATACCTTTTAAATCCACACTATTCCCCTAAGGCCATACATAAGTATGTAACTGAAGTGATAACTACCGCGAATGTATTCGCCACAACTTGATCTGACTCTTCACCGGGGATTGCGTGAAGGATGGCCGACCCCTTCCGCCGGCGGAGAGCAGGGCACGGCGTCCTTCCTAACCCCGATCCCAATAAGTAGCTGGATATGTGCTGAGTCCAAGAAGCGGATCGGTGACCCCTCGAGGAACACAATCCGCACTTCTGGCACTTCTGGAGTTCCTTTCATCACTACTTCGCATGATCTTCATTCAAATCGGACCCCCATTTCAAAAGCTCCTGGAAAGCATGCCTATGTTGTGTTCTGCGCGGTCTGCCGATGGTTGTGGCGTAAAGATTCGCAGACATGTGTGCTCCTGCAAAGGGTCTAGGGTGATTCTCGAGGGATAATTAGAAAGATCATCGTGGAAAGGATGAACCCGGATCTGCAGGTGAGTCGAGAAGTTCATTTTAGCGACTTGGATCATCCCGTGAAGCGGTTCTTCAATCGTGGCGCTCGTTCTGCTAACACCTTTGCAGAGTCATGTCCCTTGTGGGACTTGAATTCGGAAATATTGGGTGAATGCGAATCCTCTTCCCCTGTGACCTGATAGATAACCCATCGGCCGGACATCGCGAATTCCCAGCCCTGAACTGAACCTAAGCGAGAGTTGCGACCGAAAGACCCCTACCTACCCTCAGATCCGAAGCTCTTTTTGAATGAGGGTAGGGTCCGTGGTAGTACCATATCGTGACAGCGGCGGTGGGTGGTGGCGCACGTCTCCCGCAACTCGGGCGTCGGCAGCTCGCTTTCGTCCAACCATCCACGCACGTTCCGCAAAACACCATCAACCATATCAATTATGACTCGACTGCAAGTTCCAAATGTCATTTCCGAGTATGACCCACCAATAGTCGGAGGTGCGTTTCACATCGCTCGGAGCACGAGTTCGAGTCGGACCACGTTTTCTGCAAGAAGGGGGTCCAAAGTCCTGAGAGAACTGTGTTTCTCTTACTCCAAGGGTTAAAGGCGTGAGGGAGATGCTGCGTGAGTGGGCTCTTCGGGTCGGTCGAGCGAGCCACGATGCAGTTAAGAAGAGTCTAGGGTCTGATTCATGATCCTCAGATATGAAAGAAGCCTGCACGCCGAATGTTCGCATATCTGATTTAGGATCGCCTTTACGATGACTTGTCTGCCAAGGGCTTGGTAAAGACATGTCGTACCCACTATGTCCAGCATCTTGACGCCATATTCCATCATTTAGAAAAGATGTAGACGCATTGGAAAACCACGCAATCTTCAGGAGCTGGGTGAGAAGTGCATAGAGGCATCTGAGTGGCGGAAAGTCTGCCAAGACAAAACCTGATCAGAAAGGCGCGCGGTGATTGAGTTAAGCGCCTAGCAACCCGCCGGGATTACGTGTGCAAAATGGCGGACGTAAAAGAACACCGACAGGCTACTTTCCAGTAAAGCCTACATACCCATAAGCATCTAGGCTCGAAACCAGCCGTTACACAAATTTTCGCAAATGGGATTTGCTGGTGTATTACATTTTCCTTCCTCTTATTTTTTCGTCCTTCCCCATTTTTTGGTTATTTAGCCTGTACTACGACATACTCGGAGTGCTACCAAGAGAGACTGGGAACGAGTCTAATAAGCATCTGTAGAAGTACGATCGGGTGCGAGGAATGCGGTCAACTCGGAGAACTTGGAGGAATTGTGAGGAATCGGAACCACCTTTGGTCTCATTCCAAAAAGTTGTCTTCTCATCCGATTCTTCATCCTCTTTGGGCCATGGTACCTTGCAGTTCGCCCTGATTCAGCCAAAAACACACTTCAGCTCCACACAATGCTCCACCGACCACTCGTATCAGTAAGGTTCCAACCTAGGCCTACGGAAAAATGACTCTGCACAATGTCGAATCTCCACTTACTTTGGAAAATTTTATGACGAATGGGCTGTGCAGCCATGCGTCAGTCATCTCGAGCGTTCAAGGTTGAATCCAAATCGTTGTCGTCGAAAGTAATCTACCTTTGTCGGGCCTGGTTGAAGTGGGAACTAGCCAGCAAAGAACTGACCAGGGCGCAGCAAAGGAAGGCGGTGGTTGGAAAAAAGAACGACCAATCGAGAAGGCTGAATTGACAGCGTTACATCAACACTTTACTTTGGCGCAGAGTTTGGCCTATCAGGCACGAGCGCTCCGAGGACCGAGCGCGAGCGCTAACTCCCCAATGGTCGAAAGCTCCAAAACAAAACGGATTCAAAAAACAAACAGGTATATAACGAGCCACCTTAGTTGGTAAGTATAGCTCTAAATCGACTAGCGGTATTTGTGACAAACTGAATAAGTATAGCCTCTCCCTGTCTCTTCACTTCCCAAGATGAATAGCATTGTCATGGTGGAACGAAATCCTCTCCTCCCTGAAATCATCGCGGATAACGGTGGTGTTCTCGCTGTCCAGCTGGAGGAGATTCTAAATGGTTCGTCTTCAGTCAGCACCGACTCCATGCAAAAGTCAACACGTAGAGACTTACCGGTGCTCTCTTTGTATACTCAGGCCAGACAGGACCTGCAAACGGAACTTCTTAGCGAAATCGTCACGAGGACAGATGATATGCAACTCACGTTCAGAGCCCTTGCCGTCGTTGGGGTCCAAGCTGACAGTGAACGAGATCCAGTAGTCCATTAAGGATACGCTAAAGCCCTGTGCGGAAGGAGATTGGTCTGGAGGAGTTCCGTAGACCCAAGGGATCTCAGCGGCGTGCGCAACTATGAAGACTTTTCAGCGAGGTTGCGGACATCGGAAAAGAACAAATCTTACCACCATTGGCAGGGTCTGCCGGCTGGGGCTGGGTGAACAGATAACCGTACGACTTCACCTTCTTCTGCGCAGCTGCTTGGGACAGCTGTCGTCGGGGTGCGTCAAAGACCAAATCACCCTCTGAACAAAATCTATTAGCATAACTCTGTATAAAGGATTGGCTACAGGTGTACTTACGGATGGCCGCGGCACGTTTATAGATCGAGGGGAATCCAAACAACTCGTCGCCAGTGTTATAAGGCGACCCAAGAGCTGGCACATCAGGGTAGAGTCTCAACATACGGTCAACAGCGTTGGTGAGACGGCGGCCTGGGTTTTTGGCGGGGGAAATAGTCGCCAGCGTGCTTGCCCGCAGCAGGTCTTCATTGGCCTCTGGGCTACGGAATGCCATTGCGAACAATGTTCCTGAATTACGAAGGGCCTGGTTGATGAAAGGAAGAAAGATGTTATCGCAAATTACTTACCTTCGTCCATGTTAGTTCCAGCAATGAACGGAATTCGAGCAAATTTTCCTGACTTATAGAGCTGGGAGGGAACGCCAGGGAAGAGGCTGCCACGGCGGAAGTCCAGGGTTGGGACCCAAGAGAGGCCTCCCAAGAAATCGAGACCAGGGAGCCCGAGGTAGCTGGTCATGATTTCTTCCTCACTAGCCTCCTGCAGACACTGGAATGTCCTACCGCTCTTGGCTACCCTTGCGCATGAAGGGATACTGCCAACGAAGGCCTCCCAGACGGCGTTCCGTTCTACAGCGCGAGTGGCGGAGACACTGCTGGGCGAGCCAGATTGCAGGATCTGGACAAAACTATCAGTTGTTGTCCGAACGAGAATGATAGACGGGACATACGGCGGCCCTGACGAGGGTATCGAAGCCTGGGCTAAGCATGAGATGCCCGATGTTCATAGCGCCAGCGCTTTCGCCGAAGATGGAGATCTATGGAATATTCAGCAAAGGTAATACTAAGAAACATAAGACAAGACTGACCTTGCTTGCATCGCCGCCGAATGTCTCTGCGTTGGCATGGACCCATTTCAACGCAGCGACAATGTCCTTGAGTCCCAAGTTGAGTGCTCCCTCGTTGTCCGCTGTCAAAAGCCATGGTAAGCCCGAAACGTGGACGGTTTGCCTCTTGTCCGCGTACCTTCTTGACCTTGGGGATAACCGAACGGGCCAACGCGATAATTGAAATTGACGTAGATGATCGGGGTACCCTGCTGCAAATGAGCCTATTTAACTTCAAGGCCGTGAAAGAGACACTCACCCTTTCAATGCCGCGGGATACCAGCGTGCTTCCATCAAACGTACTCGCCCCTCCGACAACGAATGCCCCACCGTAGCTGAAAGTGATTAAGCCAAGAGCAATACCTTTAGCTAACCAATACCCACACCCATAGAAGCTGAAAATTACACGTCAGGTCCAGGCCCATAAACGTTACTGTACTGCACACAGGCTAACTCACGATTGGCAGCTTCTCCCGTGGTTGGGTACCAGCGGGACGGACAATGTTGATAGTCAAGCAATCCTCAGATATGTCCATCGGGGGACCGAACATAGCCTAACATGTTCGTCAGGGCAGATATGACCGCGACGCGTTCAAGCCACTAACCGGTTGGAGGCAGGACTTTCCGAATGCTGTCGCGTTGAAGGTTGTCACACCGGGGGTCGTCTTCAGGACCGGATCCCTGAACCTCAGGGTTCCAACAGGCGGCTCAGCAAACGGAATACCTATCCAAAGACACGTTAGATTTCGGTTCTAAATAAACCATGCGCAACTGGTTTACTCACCCCCAAAGAATTCTGTGTTAGACTCGGTCAAGCCTTTACCGACGACGGTAGTCTCGCCAATCTGGATCTCTGGAGCTGCCAGACCATAGCTGCACAGCACAGAGAGTAAAACGAACGGCTTGAGCAACATCCTTTTGCTCTGTGGGTTTGGGATCCTGCATCCACACAATGACATTCCCGTGCAACTCCAACCTCTTATCTAAATTTCGACAGACCCCTACTTCACGCGCTCCCTCCGGCCCAGCTTCAGGGTCACCAAGCCTACCGAGCCGGTTACTCTGGAGACTTCTTCTTTCCTTCAGCGTTCTTCCCCTAATAGCATCCTTGGCCAATTTTCATGCCGTGGTTGAAAAAACTGACGGTCCGCCGTGGAAAAACGCCTTGAGCGGTTTTAGTACGCGATTGTAGGATTTTCTAAAGACCTGTATTTCATTCTTTGTGGATGCTCGTGCTCTGTAACCACCGATTTCGAGATGGGAGAGGGAGAACAAAAAACGGACAAGGGATGCTGCAAGGTGGGATACATCAGTACCCACATCACGTATTGACGACGGACGTGGGAATTCGCTCGTCCCCGATTCAGCTTCCGCCTGCCGGGCGCTTAAATCGTCCGCACCGATTATCCAGCCGTTATGCTGCCAACTTCAAAGCAGAAGTGCCGCAAGCCGTCCTCAGATCACTTCGGAAATTATAAAAATACACTAGACAAGGCAATGGAAATCAACCTGATACTACGACTGCACAACTTTTGTCTCAAGTCTCGTATCAAACCTCATATTGCTCATGGTCTCCCAGTGCTTTTGCCCGGTCCGGCCCTCTCTCCAAGTCCAATTCGTCCAAGTCATTCCTCACTCGAGTTTCGTCATCCGGGACACCGAACACCTCAAAGGTCACGTCGTCCGCACTACGTCGTTTCCCACTGCTGCCGTGACCGCCCTCTGAAAAGGTCGACCGACGAGCCCTCCCAGATTGTTTCTTCCCGCCTCTGTCACGTTGAGCTCCCGGTTCTTGTGCAGTAGGCAGGGATTGAAGCCGTTCAGATGCTGGACAGTACAGGTAAGTATCACCAGACCCTGTCATTCCCATGCATGAGAGTAGGAATATCCTGCCCAAACCCATGCATGGGATAGGACGTATCCAACCAGGCCTTTGCCTAGGACCATGCATGGGATTCCGAACTGCCTTTTATAGCTATTCCGAGATCTGGAATACTATCTCACAGATCCATACACCTTCCATCGGGATACTTGCCTTAAAATATTTTTTTTAGGTAGGTTATTTTTAGAATGTCATCCGATTTATCAAGAAATGAATCCAACCTTAGAAAGCTTTGTTTTGACAAAAGACACAGTCTAAACAAACGAGAGGGAGGCTTATTTTCTTTGAAAGGAGACACCTTTGTTAAACAGATGGAAAACATAGGTGAAAACCCTGTTTTTTCTTCCGAAAGCGCCTGCAACAGCTCAGAGAAGCGCCCATGGATATGTTTTCGGCCAGCCGAGAAAGCCGAGATCAACCGCGCGCCGAGAACGGACAATGCCGAGAGCGATCAAAAATCCTGGTCGTAAAACATTCCGTTCCATTTACCCTCTTCCTGTGCTCGACAAATCACGAAAAAATGTTCACAATTCTCAGAATAATTGGTTTTGTCAGATGGTTCGGTTGCATTTTTCGTTCTGTATGCCATATAGTAAAAATCAGACGAAATCTTGAATGGTGTTGGTACTTGCCTATAATTTCCGCTAGTTTCTCTATTCTCAAGCATTGATCCATCATCTTCTTCGAGTTTCTCAGTCCATGCTGCTCCGTTTGGCGTGATACTGGGCTTGAAATGTAGGAGGAATTGTACACAGTTGTGCCACGCGCTAGCTGAGGCAGGTCGCAGGGCATCTATCCCATTTGGTTCGCTTTTTCCGAAAATTTAACTGTCAGATTGTTTAGGTTGTAGTGCGAGCTACATAGCGTTGTCGTGCTCGAGAATTGGTGAGTACGTAGCACTCCATTGTCGCTTTTGATAGCTCAACTACTACGCATGTACCTGTCCATCCTGCCCCGCTATTACAGATTCGTTGTTTTTCTTTTATCCCTTTTCTAGTGCGGCGTCGCAATGAATAACGATGATATTTTGGCATTCCCAAAAACGCTACAGCGCGTAGAATAAATGTGCAAAATTCTAAGGTAATCGGACCAAAAACGAGCCCGTAATTTGGGTTGTAACATATCTAATAACATACATTCTATGACATCTCATTGACTTCCCATCTATTATTAGACACAGGGAAGCAGCTATCGACCGTCATTTAGGTGCCTTCTCAGATGTCAAAGGCTGTCAACCTATGACAGCTGGCAGGAAGAAGCAGAAGCACATCTTTTTACATACGGAAGGGTACTAGGGTGAGTCCTTCTCCATGCATGGATTCCGGTAGGATGTATCCTATGCTCCATGTATGAATATGACAGGGTCGACTCTAAGTATGACAATGTATGCTCACCGGGTCCGGTTTCAAATTCCTCGGTCGCGTGGCTATCGGTGCGGGCCCAATTGGCCAGCTTCTGAAGATGCCCCGGGAGTCAATGATTGACGTTGTGAGTAGAACCTACGTCCAACCGGCGACCGCAAGCGCTCACCTCGCCTTTCGTGTTCTTGGGGGTCGACATGGTGGTATAAAGTCAAGGTCAGTTCATGCATTTCGTCATCCCTAATGTGTCGTCGCATGGTTGGAGCATTGAGACACTACCCCTAGCCGTGCTCCACGAGCAATAGTCGGGAGTTTTGGGCTTCTTACAGGGTATCACATCTACTGCACCCTGGATTAACTTGCTATGGTATACAGATAGGCGAAAAAGCGGACAGGGCTACGGCAATGGCCTCCCAGAGCTTGCAGCCTCAGGTGCCCAGTTCCGGTCGGCATTGGAAGTTGTCCAATTTTATCTCCCGTCTGCAGCCATATCTTTTCTATCGTGGTTCTTCTCTTCTAAGTCGGCGATACGATGGCTCCCTGAGCCCACTTGCATTTTGGGTGGCGAAAAAGACGAATCTTTTCTTACGGGTACTTTCACGGAACCCCTGACCCGTACCTTGACAAGTTCAACGGCGCTCCTACCCTACAATATTTCCTGTCATGAACCTGTGATAAGCGCCCAACGCAGGGCCTCCTCAATGAATGTGGAGTTGAATGCGCTGTACTATATTTCGAGTTTTTCGAATCTGAATATTACAATTTATCCATTTCAATATCACATTCAACAATAATCCATGTCCCATCGTCGCATCGTTCCCAAATACTAGTCACAAGCAATTCGTCCTCGACCACACCCCCTTCCCTCATACTATCGTACAAGTCTCTGAGAACACCATAGTCAGGTGTCCAGTACTCGTTCGAAAGTATCGCAGATGGCCGCAGATACAGCAGTCGTGGATCAATGGCCTTGCGGATAGAGCTGATCCATGATCGATACTTGTCGTTCTCTCCCAGCGGCAGACTACCTTTGTCTTGGGTGGAGTCAAGAGATCTCGCGGCATGTCTGGTGGGTCGAAGATGCGCTGGTGCTTGTCGAACAAGGATTTCCGTCTTCTGAAAGCCATAGCACCACCTCAGGCGACACTCCCCAAAGACGAAAGGGAAGACGGTAGAGCGGAAAAGGATGTAGGATGCCGTTCCGACAACGAGGACGTGGGTAAGGGCGAAGGTGGCATGTAAAGCGGCGGGATAGGTGTCGTAAAAGTCGTTAAAGATCGTGGTCCATGCGAGGACGGAGACGCAGCAAATGATAAAGAGGTTCAGCAAGCATGCTTGAATGAAGACAAGGCTATAGATCCAGCATCTGTGTCAGCGTTGATCAATCAAGGATGAACGGAGGAGGTACCGTTTCGAGGAGGTTGGTGAGGTATCTGGTCCTATGATAAAGAGTCCATCCTTTGAATCTCTGCAGTGTCTGGCGAGAATTCGGGGAATGGCCTCATCGCGTGCGACCTGTAACTTCTGAATCAACCCTGCTTTCCCATCGGACATGGTACACGCCTGCCTGCACTTCATGCAGGACAAGGGCAAAGATGGGTTGACGAAAGGGAGGTTCGTCTGCACTGCCCTCGCTTATTTATGTAAATTGAGGGTTTTAACGCCGCTGTTGTGGGCCCACCAGCGTCAGCGTCAACGGGGGGGGGGCCCTGGACACCTGGGCTTCAATGACAGAACCAGCCCGTTCTGCGGTCGAAAAGCGTGTGTACCATGTGTTAGCATTCCGCAGAGAAGGGTAGAGATAGTCAAAATCTCACCGTGAGCAATAGGACTGAATTGAAGTACTGGTCAGCGCCTGTCTCACAAGGACCCGAGTTCGACGGAGCTTGGACCTCTGGGCGGCCAACGAAATCTCAATCAGAGTTTGTCCAAATGCACCCATCAGCCTGGTCCTGAAGACATTATCCCAACACCATCCTCCACAGAAAGCAGATTCCACCTATTCCAAACGCATTCACTGCAGCAATAATTTAGCGCCCCCAGTAAACAAGAACAGGCAGACGTACAAATATGGAACATTCATGATTTTCCACCTGGCAGGGAGGACGAGCATGATGGTGGCGGCACATTCAATTTCCTTCGACCGATGGTCAGTTTCAGACTGCACCGACTGCCATTGCGCACTGCTATCCTCTTCATCCTTCTCGCTGTTATTCTCTGCACACAAGTCAGCAGCTGGATCCCATCGTTCGACGTCTACACCCACCTCCGGCCTCACGATGTAGAAGAAGAACGGCCTTGCAAAGTCGACAATTTGGTTTTGACGAGGACTGCGACCACGACAGTTTTCAGCCCACCACAAACAGTCACCGTCCAAGAACCGGTCCACACCACGGAAAGTCGCGACGTATTCGGCTTTCCTGTCGTTGGATCGAGAGCGCCGCCCCCCAGCGATGCAGTAGACGAAACACGACAGACTACCCACCACTTCTATCGTGACGATGGACTTCTCGAGGTCAACCCAGATGGGCCACACCCTATTTTCGAGCTCATGGAACAGGCAGAGCAGAGGTGGAAGAAGAAGAATGAAAAGGCCAGCCGAACCCTTAAGGAAGCCTGCGAAGAGTACGAGAGGCGGTACAATCGCAAACCTCCTCACGGGTTCGATGTCTGGTGAGTACAAAATAAATAAATTCGTCCTCAAGGTTCCATTGACGTTCGTGATGACAGGTGGATTTACGTCCAATCCTACGACGTGCGCCTTCCAGATGAATACGATCAAATTTCCAAAAACATGGAGCCTTTCTGGGGAATAGACCCCCGTCGTCTGCAGCAGATTCAGCGAGATTGGGAAGACTACACGAATACCTTCACCGTCGGAAAGGAGACCGACACGTCCCCCATTGAGATGGTGAACCACGCGTTCGACGCGGAAGGCGGGAAATCACCACGAATGACGGGCGCCAAAATGGTCGCTGACATCCTCGAAGAAGTGTCTAGTTTCCTGTCCCCATTCAGAGCCGTATTCAGCTCCGACGACAACCCCAACCTGCACACCGATTACGAGCTAATGAAGATGGCTATCCAGGCTGGGAAGGAAGGCCGATGTAAGTAGTGTTGCCTCTGTTTGAATCGCACCAACACCGTTGAATTTAGACATCGATATCGACAACCCCCCTCCTGTAAAGTTGGATGGTTGGATATCCGCCTGCCCTCCAGATTCGCCAGCATGGGTAAACCGCGTGGAATACACCAACCCCCTCCCACCCCTCCCCGAACTCTCCAGGATGAAGCATAACACAGCCTACGCATCCTCTCCTTCTTCCCCTGAGGCCCTGCCCCCAAAAACCTTCATCCACAACCACAAACTCTCGATGGACCCCTGCCTCCACCCTGCCCACCTCCTCATGCACGGCCAATTCATCTCCCACGAACGCGGACCCGTCCCACACCGCCTCATCATCCCCCAATTCAGCTTCAGCCCTACGTCCTTGCACCACGACATCACAGTCGCACTATCCATCAACTGGATCGACGATATCCGTCCAAGAGGGCACGATCCCCTGTTTGACGACAAGGACGACGAGCGGTTGCAGTGGCGGGGGAGTAATACAGGCAGCTGGTTCGGCGGGAACACGCAGTGGTGGGTCAGCCATCGGACGAGGCTGGTGGATTGGGCGAACCCCCGCCGTTTGCAACCGTCGACTGTCGACTCGGTGTTATGGAGTCCACCAGATAGCCGGTGGAAAGTGGGTGAACCCTCCGTGCCACCTTCGAAGTCTGCTTGGGCACCGGCGATGGCTGACATTGCGTTTGCGAATAAACCTATCAGCTGTGCGCCGGAGGTGTGCAATGGTCGACTGGCGCAGGAATACGAGTTCAGGCATCCTCATAATATTCCCACCCAGGGAAAGTATAAATACATCATCGACGTGGGTCCGATTTCTCTGTTTTATTCAAGCAAGATGCCTCATAGTGGTCGATAGGTCGATGGCAACGCGTGGTCTTCCAGGTTCAAGCGACTCATAACCTCCAACAGCCTCATTTTCAAGTCTACAATCTACCAAGAATGGTACAGACCCGCGCCCTTCCATCCTTTCCTACAACACTGACGAGTCTACTTTTTCAGGTTCGCAGATAGGATAGAACCCTGGCTCCACTACGTCCCCATCCAAATCGACTACTCCGACCTTCTCGATGCGCTCTACTTCTTCCGTGGCGACCCAGGCGGTCGCGGAGCCCACCCTGAGCTAGCCAAAAAGATCGCAGAAGCGGGACGTGAATGGAGCTTGACACATTGGCGCAGAGCGGATCTCACAGCTTACATGTTCAGGTGGGTTATTTATTCCTTCAGGGATTCATCTACCGTCGTGGCACCTGGTCCTGTTCCTTTGCTTACACGCTCTCGTCTAGGCTATTCCTGGAGTACACACGGATAATGTCGCCCGAAAGGGAGAACGGTGGACTCGACTATGTCTACGACGAGGCCGACGAGTTTGACCCCGATGTACCGGTCTTTGGCGCGGAGGAGGAGGCTGAACCTCGTAGCGGACAATCTCTGTTCTTACGAGCAATGGAGAAGCGTCGCCAGTGTCGCGCCCCATAGGCCTTCTATCACATCACTCGACTCATACATCTGCCTCGAGTGAGATCAGCATCACCCGTGTGTTGATATTGGTGTGTCTCGAGTAATGATTTTAGGGTTGGATAACGGACCTCTCATTTAGTACGGCGTTGTTGTATAATGTATTCGATCATGAACCGAAAACTATAGAGTTGCAATGAGCAGGGAGCAGGGGAAGTTTGCATCCCGGGATTCACATCATCATTTCCTGAACACAGGTGCGTTCGCATTAATAAACCCAATCGGTTCCTTTCTGTAATCATCGAGGATGGCCGTCGTGTTTCCACCTTCAAGTTGAAGCAGAATCTGATTTGTCCACGCTCTGTCAGCACCTGCTACAAGGAAGAAATATGTGTTGAGGCTTACCGGATCCTGGTCGGTATACTGAGGCCAAATAGGACCTAGCACGGGCCGCCATTCGTTAGGAATTCGCTAGTATGTAGATCACGTCCACTTACGCTCAGAGCCATTATCGTCATTGGGATCCAAGTTGACAGTGAAAGAAATCCAATAGTCCATCATGACCTCACTAAACTTCTGAGCCGAAGGAGACGGGTCTGGGGGTGTCCCGTAGACCCAAGAAATTTCCGCTGCATGAGGGACTGCAGATAGCCCTATTCAGAAAAATGGCAATATTCAAGACAAACGGGTTTCTTACCACCAGCCGCCGGGTCTCCTGGCTGAGGTTGTGTGAATAGGTAACCATATGCCTTCAGTCCGTGTTCCGCTGCAGCTTCGGACCACTGTCGTCGAGGAGCGTCGAAGACCAGGTCACCCTCTGAAAACAGCTTTAGCAGGGTTAGCCTTAAGAGCAGGCGATCCACTCACGCAAGGCAGAGGCACGTTTATAGATTGAAGGGAATCCAAACAATTCGTCGCCGGTACCATAAGGAGACCCAAGGGCTGGCACATCAGGGTATAACTCCAGGATACGATCGACAATCCTGGCGGCACGTCCTGGGTCAACAGAGGGGGAGACCGTGGCCAATGTGCTCGCTCGAAGTTCGGCTTCAGTGGCGTTAGGGCTACGGAATCCAATTGCGAAGAGCGTTCCTAAAACGCGACGAGATTAAGATCACGACAAAGAAAGGTGCCTGGAGTTGCGTACCCTCGTCGAGATTGGTCCCGGCGATGAACGGAATTCGCGCAAATTTGCCTTCTCTGTAGAGCTCAGAGGGCACGCCAGGGAAGAGGCTACCAGGACCCAAATCGAGCGTTGGGACCCAGGACAGGCCAGCCATGAAATTGGTACCAACGAACTCGAGGTAGCTTGTCAAGATCTCATCTTCGGTAGCGTCCTGCAGGCATGGGAATGTCTTCCCACTCGTCGCCACACTCACGCAGGAGGGAACACTGCCAACAAATGATTCCCAAACAGAGTCCCGCTCTGCAGCTGGAACAGCGGAAACGCTGCTGGCGGAACCGGATTCAAGGATCTATAACAAATGGTCAGTGGATATCAACGGAAAAGGGGCTGGAACATACCGCGCCTCGAACGAGTTTCTCAAAGTCCTGGTTTAAAAGGAGGGTTCCTATGTTCATAGCGCCAGCGCTTTCTCCAAAAATAGTTATCTGTAGAGCGTTGAATGGCAGCGACAGAGGTTAAGACACCATGCTGACCTTACTCGCATCGCCACCAAAGGCGTCTGCATTTGCGTGAAGCCACTCCAAGGCTGCAATAACATCCTTCAGCCCAAGGTTGAGTTCTCTTTCACCATGCGCTGTAGACCCCTTATTCAGATGGTGACATGGATTCTCGAGCATCTAACCCCACCTTCTTGACCTTGCGGGTAGCCGAATGGTCCAAGGCGATAGTTGAAATTGGCGTAGATAATCGGTGTACCCTGGGGTAGAGTGAACATTGGCCAATCCTAAGGCAGGCAGAATGACACTCACCCTTGCAACCCCGCGCGATACCAATCCACTACCGTCGTATGTATTCGCCCCTCCAATGATGAACGCCCCTCCGTAGCTGAAGGGAATGTTAGTATCCGAGCGATAAGCCCTAGTGAGCTATTACCCACACCCATAGAAGCTAGGAAGGCGTCGTCAGATTCCGGGTCCCAAAGTTATATTTCAGGCACTCACAATTGGAAGCTTTTCTTCTGGCTGTGTGCCAGCAGGGCGGTATATGTTGATGGTCAAACAGTCCTCAGATATGCCCGTCGCAGGACCAAACATCGGCTGGAGTGAATCGTCAGCTTTAGGACAGGAAAACATCGCTCCTGTGGCAACTAACCGGCTGCAGACAGGACTTGCCGTACTCTGTCGCATTAAAGGTGTCCGTATCGAGTCTCGTCTTCAAAACCGGAGATCTAAACCTGAGTTTTCCAACAGGGGGCTTAGCAAATGGGATGCCTATCCAGGGCGATGTCAGGCGTTGGAGGGCGCGTGAACAGATTCTCCACTCACCTCCGAAGAATTCAACTTTGGACTCTGTCAGGTCACGACCGACGACGGTTGTGTCGCCAATCTTCACCTCGGGGGCACCTAGGACATAGCTGAAGAGCACGGAAAGCGTAACAAACGACTTGAGCAACATCTTGCCTGTCAAATTGGATTGAATACATACCTGTTCAACCGTTTATATACTATATCCTGTAGTTTTCGGTAGAACCCTCTCAGGCCAGCCTCGTGTGTTCCCCACGGCCAACTTCCTGGTCACGAGCGAATCATATACTGAGACTTCTCGCTCTGAAGCTCTCTTCCTTGGGACGCTCTCTGGCTACCCCGATGCCGTATTGCCTTGGCTAAAAACCGATGGTCGGACAAACTTGAATGCATTCGTTCATTTCGTGGATTGCGACGCGTCGACGATGTGGAGATTGAGCGAACTTTTGGGTCCCTGCGTCCTGTACACAGCTTTTTTCGACAGCGTCGCGCATCGTGGGGAGCATAGAGCGGTGAAACTTTGAACGGCAGAAGAAACTTGGAAAGAAAGGAATCATGGGATTCAACATCATGGATTTACGAAACGAATAACGTGGGAATTCTCCGTTCAGCCTCCGACCATTGGGCGCTTAATGCCAGTTAACAATGGGAATCGGGCTCCGTGACTGCAACCTTCAAGACTTACAATATGAGTACGTACGCTGGTATCTCATGTCGAAACCGGAGATCAGATCCGCTCATCCGTGCGGGGCCCTATTTACGGCCTCGGAACCCAGAGGACGATTCAATGCCAATAAAAAGATTTAAGGATATCGAATAGATGCCTCATTCGATACCAACACGCGGTAGAGTCATAGTTCTGTCGGACGATGGGAATGAGACCTCATGGCCATAAACAGTGTGCCGAATGAAGCGTCATCATCGAAGTAGCCGACAGATGATAGTTTGTGGAGCGTGTACATAGAACTTGAACCTCATCTTCACCTCCTGAAAACCGCCGTATTCCTAATAATAAACCCAATCGGCTCCTTCCTATAGTTATCGGGGATGGCCGTCGTGTTTCCACCTTCAAGCTGAAGCAAAACCTGGAATGTTCAGGTTCAGTCAGCATTCAACGCAAAGGAACAATGCATCGAGGCTTACCGGCTCCTTCTTGGTATACTCGGGCCAAATAGGACCTAGCACGTCACGAGTTGTCAAGATTCCGTCCACTGTTTGTATCGAGTGCACTCACGTTCAGAGCCCTTGCCATCGTTTGGATCCAGGCTGACTGCAAAAGAGATCCAGTAGTCCATCATGATTTTACTAAACTGTTGCGCAGAAGGAGACGGATCTGGTGGTCCCCCATACATCCAAGGGATCTCCGTTCCATGAGTGACTGGAAAACGGTATCTCAGCTACACGAGAAGCAGTCGAGACAATTATCTTACCACCAACTGCAGGGTCACCGGGTTGGGGTTGGGTGAATAAATAACCATATGCCCGGTGCCCATGGCTGGCTGCAGCTTGGGACCACTGTCGTCGGGGTGCGTCGAAGCCCATATCACCCTCTGAGTAAACTATTAAGCAATGCGAGGTAAAGTATCGAAACAATGCACTCACGCAAAGAAGATGCACGTTTATAGATCGAAGGAAGTCCCCACAGCTCGTCGCCAGTACCGTAGGGGGATCCGAGGGCTGGTACATCAGGATACAATTCCAAGATACGATCTGAGACTCTGGCGGCACGGGATGGCGCGACCAAGGGAGAAATCATCCCTGATATATACCTTCGAAGAGCTTCTTCAGTGGTATTGGGGTTACGGAACTGGCCAGCGAGCGATGTCCCTGAAACGCAAACACAAAGTTAGCAGACCATGACGACAGCCAAGAAATAAATGTTACACACCCTCATCGAGAGTGGTCCCTGCAATGAATGGAATCCTGGCAAATTTACCCTTTCTGTACAGTTCTGAAGGTACACCGGGGAAGAGACTACCGGGACCCAGATCCAGAGTAGGGACCCAAGCGAGACCGCTAGCCAAGAAATCAGTGTTGATGAACTTGAGGTAGCTGGTCAAGATTTCATCTTCCGTAGCGTCTTGTAGGCAAGGGAGTGTCTTGCCACTCGCCGCCACACCTGCGCAAGAGGGGACGCTACGAACGAAGGACTCCCAAAGCGTGTTCTTTTCGGCAGCTGGGACAGCGGAAAGACAGCTGGCTGTACCAGATTCGAGGATCTATAAAACGTGTAATTGTCTATCACAGACGAAACTTGGAATCGCAAGAGCTAGGGAACGTACAGCACCTCGGATCAGTTTCTCGACTTTCCGGTTGAGCAGTAGGGTTCCTATGTTGATAGAGCCGGCGCTGTTCCCAAATACGGTGATCTGTCGTAGAGGATGAATGAAGTCACCTAGGGTAAAGACAAGTTACTGACTTTGCTCGCATCACCGCCAAAAGTGTCTGCGTTTGCGTGGAGCCATTCCAGGGCAGCCACAATATCCTCAAGACCCAGGTTGAGTACTCTTTCATCTTGGGCTGTAGACGCTTGTTCAGCTGGCTGAATGGATTCTTCGAGCCCCATAACCCACCTTCTTGACCTTGTGGATAGCCGAATGGTCCAAGGCGATAGTTGAAATTGACGTAAATAACCGGAGTACCCTGGAAGAGAGCGAACGGTTAATACCAAAAGGCATGAAATTTGAAATTTGAAAGGCGAGAAGATGCTCACTCTTTCAACCCCATGAGCTACCAAGCCACTGCCGTCGTATGAATTCGCCTCCCCGACGAAGAAACCCCCTCCATATCTGGCGACAGGTCAGCACAAGCGTTGCGCTCCAAGACACCAGAACCTACACCCAAAAGAGCTGGCATCATACTGTCAGATCCAATTCAGAAACGCCGCCTAGGACAAACTCACGATTGGCAATTTTGCCTTTGGCCGTGTGCCAGCAGGACGATAAATATTGATGAACAAACAGTCTTCAGATATGTCCTTCGGAGGCCCAGAAAAGTCCTGGGGTAGGGGTTATCAGCATCACTGCAGGAACGTATCATTCCTAAGGCCACTGACCGGTTGCAGGCATGTCTTTCCGTATTGCGTCGCATTGAATGTATCTGTATCGAGTCTCGTCTTCAAAACCGGAGGCTTGAACCTCAACTTCCCAACTGGGGGCTCAGTGAATGGGATGCCTATAGAAATTCCAAACCGGCATCAGATAAATAGACGCGTCGACAGGAATTCCACTCACTGCCAAAGAATTCGACGTTTCTCTCGGTCACGTCGCGACCAACGACGGTCGTGCCGCCAATCTTGAATTCGGGAGCTGCCAGGCCATAGCTGCAGAGAACAGCGAGCGCGAAGAAGGATTTGAGAAACATCTTGCGCTATGAACTTGGGTTCCATGTACCTGTTGAACCGTTCATATACAGCGTCGGCAGAACTCTTCTGCTTCGTGCGTTCCCCTCGGCCCTCTTCCTGGTCACGAGCTAGTTATCCTGGAGACTTCTTATTCTGTTTGTTCGAAAGTCACTTACAAGTTCCTCGAGAAGCTCTCTGGCGACTTCAATGCCGTATTATTGTCGTGTCTCAAAACCGATGGTCGGACTGGGACAAGCAGAATCTTGCGCTTCGTTCAGCTGCCCCGACGTAAAGGTTTGGAGGATTGAGCGGTCTTCTGGAGTATGGCGTCCTGTATCGAGTCATTTTCACCAAAGAGACGCGTTGTGGTGAGCAGAGGACGGCGAAACCTCGAAACGCAAAAGGAAGTCGCGAGTTGCAAAGAAAACATTACAGTAGCGCCGATTTCCCGATCGAGGACGTGAGAGTCTGGATTCAGCCTCCGACGTCTGAGCGCTTAAATCCCACTCACAGCGAATCGGGACTCGAGGTGCGAACAGTGAAGGTGTAGCTGGGCCAAACATTCGCTGAAGTGATAGTGTTTACCGGCTCAAAAGTACTCTGGAGGTTGAAATTATAACTCAAGGCAGTTGATGCAGAAAGTGCCATGTTGTCGTGATATCGAGTTGACCCTGTTGGTAAAAAGATTGACCCAACTGCGTAACATACTACACTAAATACCCTTGGGTAACCTGAAGAACAAATTTTCTAGTGCCCGGAATTTCCTCAAGCGCAAGAAACCGGATGATCTCAAGCACAGTATGATCATCCAGCGCGGACTGTAAGCCTCGAGTTGTCCCATCCGGCTCCATCACCCTCGAGTTCTCCTCAATCCACCCTACTAAATCCTCAACAAAGCCACATTCGGGCCACCTAGACTTTGTAAACCTCCTAAAATTCACGACATCGCACAGAAAATTGCTATATTTCGCCGAATGTCGTCTGAAGTTCTCCTTGAGCTCTTGGTGTATCTTCCCAAAATCAGAGGGTTGCAACTCCTGCGACACCAAGAAACGATAGTCGGTGATGGGGCGATGCAGGTCGAGAAACTGATAATGGTTCGAGTATCCGAATCGGAGGCATTTGAGCTTGGGCGTGTGTTGGAGGAACTCTGTGAGCGAGCTCGTCACTCTCCGTGCACCTGCCAGGGCTTGATCGATAGATCCCTTGTGGATGAAAACATCAAGGTTCTCCAAATTCGGGGTATCAAGCGCACAAATGAAGGACGAATGTACTCCATTTGCCTCCAGTGTCTTTAAATTCGCCAACGGGACCGACCTCTTGTCCTCCGATCCCCCACCCCACATGAATTTTGACGCTGGCGTAATTCGAAGAACAGCGAGGTTTGGTGTATGGCGGAGGGAGGCCAGAAGATCGAGTGAGTCGAGACCACATCCGCTCCCGTGGCGACTATTCTGGAAGAAACACATCTCCGTGAGGTTGGACAGTTGAAGGCGGGGGTCGGCCAGGCATGAACCAGGTATGGGGTTGAGAAGGATTAACTTGTTAAGGCTGGGCGTGTGCAAGGCGCTCTCCAACGGGAAGAAAGCGTTACTACAAAGTAGCGAGCGAAGGAGGGGTAGGCTAACACCCATTCGTATAAACCTCATATCCAAGGTCTCCACGTCCAGCGTCGTCAGCCGATTAGCCTCCTTCGTGATGAGTGGACGCAATGCTTTTGCTGTCGCGACAAGGGCAGTCTTGGGCGTGTAGGTGCCGGGAAACAATAGAGAGATATGCAAAGGGGTAGGCCTCGATCGTATGAGCAACCTCTTCACAAAGATGAGGAACGACCGGATTCCGATGTCATGCGTCCACTGGCCCCCTCCAACGCCATCGTCCCCGTCCCCATCCGAGGACGACCCTTCATCAGTGGTTAGCATCTCGCAAAGTCTAAAATACATCGTAGTCTCCCAAGCCAGGCTGGCGCAGGCCCAGACCCCACAGGAGCTTCAGGAAATGGCTGTAAGACAGTGGAACACCCGCAAGTCACACGTCTTCGAAGGCACATCGTAGTCCAAAATCCCATATCATTAAACCCAACATATCTCAGAAATACCCAATCACGAACTAGAACCATGAAACCCACCCTGCGAGAACCGCTGCTCCGACCCGGAGGCAACAGTCGCACTAAGCGGCACCTCCCCCTCCTGCACATGCGGCTGCAACTCCTCCCTTCTCACCCCCCTAACCCTAACCGCATACTCCCTACACGCCTCCCTACTCTCCACCAACCTCGGATCCTCCCTATCATACACAACCACCCTAAACCCCCTCCTCGCAGGGTCTACACTCGGCAACCCACACCCAAAGTTACTCTCCAAACACTCTTGGACGGTGGGTAGAACCATCTTGTCAGGCGCGTACGTCCCCGAGTTGTTGTCCACCACCAGCTCCCAGTCCACCTGGTCGTCAGAGATGGAGTCGGTAAAGTTGGCCCAGCCACCTACAGGCCGCGGGTGAACTCGCCCGAATACCGAACCTGCGGCGCGCAGTTGGCGTGCAGCGCATGTTTAGACGCAAAGTCCACAAAGAACGCAGCACCAGTCTCGCTAAACCGCAGGGTATCATCGATGGATGAAATAATATAGGTGTAGACGGCGGGTTTGATGCGCTCATTCGCACTGCCCCCCGCATGCAGCACCTCTTTAAGACTGATGGGCTCCTCGATCTCCGGGTTGTCCTTGTTGCGCGTATCGAGGATGCCGGAGCCGTTATCCGCAAAGCGGGCGTAGAGCATGCTATGCCCAGCCTGCACCGTCCCGCGCACAGCGAGGCTCGTAGGACCCTGCCCAAAGATCTTCTGCGCAGCGGGATAGTCCCTATTCCACGGCTGATGGACGTCACGGAAGAACAGAGGCACACCCTTGATGTGGAACTTCCACGTCGAGTACAGCCGAGGGTCGTGGACAGGCTCGGACGGCGTCTCCCCGATGGCACGAACCGTGGACGAGGCAGTGAATAACCCGACGGTGGGCGAAAAGTGTCGGGTGAAGCGGATAGGTCCGTCGAAGAGGTACTGGAATTCTTGTTGTTGTCGCATAGTCGATGGTGTGCTCTCGACTTTGAGCCAGAACGTGCCCCTGGACTTGCGTAGGGCGATGGAGGGCGCCTCGATCTCGAGCTCCTTCGCGGCCGCTGTAACGCTCGTCAATGACTTGCCAATATAGTCGTCCGTAGCTGAACCCTCGTCCTTATCCCAAACCTCCACGCGCAAGGACGCCGTACTGGGTACGTTCTTCACCCTCCACACCTCGTTCCACACAGGCGAAAGCGTGTTCTTGATAACGTTGGACACGAATGTTATGCGATCGTCGAGTTTGGCGACAAAGTAGGGGTCCGCGGAGCCCACCACGTCCATCTTGGGGAGTCCATTGGCTCCGATGAACTGTGAGGAGAGTGTCGGATCCAAGCCTATCCCAGCTAATGAAGAAGACGAACCTGGATTTCCAGATCGACTAGGGGGATCGAAACGCCCGAGTCGACCAGCTTCTGGGTCAAGGACTCTTTCTTCCTATGAACCTTCTCCCTCGCTTTCTTCACAGTTTCATTGAGTGCATCGAGCACCCCAGACGCCTTCAACTGCCCCTTCAAATGGTTCATCCTAGTTCTAACGCCAAGTCGCTCCAGGGTTGTCCGTCGTTGCGTTCGTGGTAGTCAAGGCCGAAGAATGATTATCGTGTTCCTTCACCTGAAAAGCCTCGGTTCAGTAACAGCCGCCTACAACCCTTCTCGCTGCACCGCTCACCTATCGATGGAGTTCCAGTCTACGGGCTGTGCTGGGTTGTAGTAGTCGTACGAGGGAAGGCCGCCCATCGATGTCAGGTCTTTATATGGATCGATGCCAACCTTGATTTCAAGTGGCTTTGTACTAAGACTGCCGTATTCTTGGCTACGCAGCGTGGACCGGGGATGAGGACGAGCACGGACTCGTCGAAGTGGGTGTACGAGGACAAGGGCTGGATGCCGAGACCCTGCCGGCACTGCCAAGTAAGCTTGATTATGTCGTGCCGCTTGGCCCGGAAGCGCCCACCACTCAACTGGGCGCCATGGTTCTCGTTCCCTCGCAACTTGGTTCCCGCAACATGAGGGGAAGGCACCTCTTGAAGCCACTGGGGGTGCAATACAGCAGAGCTCTTCAACTGAGCTCAGTTTCATGCTGTCGACTGTCGCAAATCAACGTCAAAGAGGCGGGTACCCCGAGAGGCATCCAGAAATAGCACGCTGCATCTTGGAGACTCTTGGAGAGCCTTAGGCTACTCGGGTACCGAGGAGAACGAGCAATGCACCACGGCAATCTGACCTGAATACGTGATGGCAAACAGAGGAAGCAAATCGATACCAAATCGCCTTGAGCACAAAGAATCCGCCCGAAGAGAATGATAATCACACCATATCTTGGAATACGACAATGGGTCTAATGGGCAGTAGGCCGGTGAGCCGCTCTATTCTCCGCCTTCTGCGATAGCGGTGCATCCGCGGTATGGGGAGCGGGTACCTCTAGTTCAGAAGCGACCTCCCTTTTCACGCTCCTCATATCGCCTTTGAACCCAATGTAGTAGATCCGGGACACCTCTTCACCCACTGCTTCGTTCTAGCGGATATTCAGAATTAAGTCTAGAAAAAGGTATAGGCAGAATGGAGAACTCACGAAGAACAACGAGAGGGAATGTACACTCGAGAATGCAGCCGCTCGGAGCGGGTACTCGACCACAGACGTTTCCCCTTCCTGTAACGAGATATTCAAGTGGGGTTTGGTGGCTTCAGCGGCCGCGAAATCAACGATCGTCGAATGGTTTGCGAATACCCGTAGATGTCGAGGTGTAGATTCTCCCCTGCCTGCAGTCCCGTCAGACAAATGCCGCAACTTCGAACCATGGGTTCAAGTACCAAGTTTCAACAATACCGAGCGCAGCCTCACGTTCTCCATGAATGGTATATGGATGATCAGCTACCCCCATGTAATAAGCCTCAACTCAACAAATCAAGTCAATAACAACGACGAACCTGGTCGTCAACATTCGACTCTGCCCAGATCGTATCATCCTCCCTCTCCGCCCAAGGCTTAATGATCGCCTTCGCATCTTCCGGCGTCGTCAAGTTCAATCCGTGCACGCTTGGCTCGATTGTCGACGAGATTAGCGGGGGCCACACCCTCGTGTCTCTCTTGATTGCTTGGGGAGCTCACTTTTGTCTATCAATCGCGCCGTATAGATTCGAGAAATTCATTCCATTCAAATCGTTAACAATCGAGTTTCCATCTTCGTTGTGTGAAGACATATTTAACGTTGTCGCCGTCGTCGTTGCGGTCGTCGTGGTCGTCAGTCAAGTGCAAACACAACTGCAGACAGCGACCGCGCAACCCCCTACCGGAAGGTCGGCCCGCCCGGACGCTTTAGGCTTGGCAGGCGGCTTTTCCGGCCACGGAGACTCGACGCCAAATTTGAGTTTGTTCACGCTCGTCACGAAACGGACGACGACGACGTCGACAACGGCACAATGAACCGGCTGGCTCTCCAAAACGCTCTGCGCGCAACGCGCCCCTCACAACGACCATGCTCAGCCCGCCTCTCCCGCGTCGTCGCCCTCCCGTCACAACAACAACCAACCCGCCGGTTTGCCAGCACAAAAACCGTCACGCCACCCAGCCCCGAATTCGTGAAGATATTCACGTCGCTAAATGCTGGAATGAAGCATGACGAGCTTGCGAGACGCGTTGCTGCTTTGTTCTTGATTACGGACAAGAAGAACGAGGTTGAGCAGGTTGAGAAGAAGCTCCAGGCGATATTGGGTGGTCAGCATTTCGAGGAAGTCTCTGCCCGGATAAAGCACTACCTTAAGAATCCTCCGGAGAATTTGGTCAAGCTGGGTAGGTTGCTGTGATGCTGTTGAGACCGTTCTCTGACGTTGTTGGCAGGTTATGACCCTCAGGCACCAGCCTGGCTCAACTCCGAAGCCCAAAAGGCCTTGTCCGACGCTGGTATGTACAATTATTTTTCACTATAGACTCTACTAAACTTTATTCTAGGAATCACTTCATTCGACTATCTCAGCACCCTAATGGAGTCGGACGTTTCCGTGCAACTGCTGAACAAGATTGACACACCAACAGCCGAAGCCGTCGAACTCGACTGGCTTGCGTTCAAGGAATCCAAAGACCCAGAAGCCCTAGAGAGGATTCTGCAATTCTACTCGAAACACGGCTTAGACTTTGTCCCTCCCTCGCCGACGACTGCGCAGACAGTCAAGGAGATTCGCCAAAAGGCTCAACTGGATACGACACCCGTCATCCCCGAATCCGAGATTACCTCTGAGGAAGACCTTGCTCTGCTTGCTCAAAACGCAGCGCGAGATTCGACACTCAGTAAGTATGAATCATATAGTCCACTGTACACGCAACCTAACTCTCTTATAGGCCCATTCGAACCGCCAACATCCCAAATCGAGCATCCCAACCTCATGGAACCCCACCCCCTCCTCGACCCCAAACACGTCGAAGAATTCCCTCCAGACGAGACCTGCCCCTTCCACAACCGCGTCATCGTCTACAACCACCGCTCCGTCTTCCACAACTACGCCAAGCTCGACGACGGCGAAACACCCGAAATCGTCGAATCCGTGGACGAATTCGCCAAAGCCCTGCCAGTGCCCAAGGCCTTCTACGAGAACCTCCACCAATCCATCCTCATCCGCCGCGGCGTCGTCCAGCAAACCGGCAAGGGCAAAATCCGGCGCGTCGCGTATATGGTTTTGCTCGGTAACGCGGACGGCCTGGTCGGCCTCGGCGAAGGCAAGCACGCCAACTCGATGGTCGCGCTCAAGTCTGCGCGCATCGACGCGGTGCGCAAGATGGACTGGGTGGAGCGCTTCGAGAAGCGGACGGTGTGGACAGAGATGCGCACGAAGCTCGGGTCGACGGAGCTCATCCTCCGACCTCGACCGGTCGGGTTCGGTCTGCGATGCAACCCGTACCTCCACCAGATCCTTCGAGCCGCCGGGTTCAAGGATATTTCAGCAAAAGTATGGGGAAGCCGGAACAGGCTTAATGTCATCAAGGCTGCGTTCCGCTTGCTCCAGGCTGGCCATGCGCCAACCGGCATGGGTGATGGTCTTGGAGGACCTGGCAAGAAGATGAGCAAGGGCTCTGGGTTGATTGGTATGAAAGAGCTGGAGAGGGCTCGGGGAAGGAAGTTGGTCCCCTTGCGGAAGTAGAACAACTGCAAAACTTGGTATCCTTCTATGTGTGTCGATCGTCGGCTTGGCTTTGTTGGCTTGTTAACCTCTACACTCATTTTTTTGCTATACTTAATTTTACTAATGAACTAGATTTTCGAGATGGAAGGTGGGACCTTGTTTGATTCAACGGACCGTTTGCGTTGGGTGGACATGGGCCCTGAGTGGACCACCAGCACCCGGTACCGAGCATTTGTCGGGCCTAAGAACTATCCGATGGTCCTGTTAGCCTTCCTCTTCCTAACCCCGTCGACAGTTCCCTTAGGCCTTGGCTTACTGACAGTTTCGGTGCCTACACTGAACAGGTCCAACTGTGCCTTTACCTGTCTGGCCCCATCCCCGATTTCGTCGCGGTTCCGCTAAATGGCTGGTCCTACCACGATAACCTCGTCCGCTGTTTTCGTCATCCCAGCTAATTGTTAAACATGCGCCTTGGAGCCCCAAGTAAGATGGGTGTCGAATTTCTACGTATATGTACGTGGATCCGGGGAACGGTCTCAGGAAATGGCCCTGTCACTTCGACTTTCGGCTGTTCCGATACTCAGTTGCGGTTCGTGGCCCCAGTAAGCAGTTCTTATCGAGCTTTCACTGCGTTTTGCACTCCTCGACACCGACACCAACTTACGGATTCGTACTAATTGTGCAGCGACGAGCTTGAGGCATGTACAAGCTCCTCGGTCCCCCACTGTGCACGGAACAAATAGCGAATCGACGCGTTTCCTACACAGTGAGCGCTCAGCCTTGAACTCGATGGTCCACCCTTAAATGCCTTCCACCGGCCATCGATGAGCTCTCTTGTTGGTCCCGCATTGCACGCAGCGGGCGGGGATTGGACCTACAAGCAGGCGGACATTTCGGATCGGAACCCCCGAGGGGTCAATGATGCCGAATCTTGCGATGCACCTGCGGTTCCGACGGTGGATGGTCTTTTCAACCCTCTCCCACTTGACCAAGGCGATTTTTGCAGCTCGTGGTACTTGAGTGAGCAGTGGGCAGATTTCTGAGAGGTATGTACGCTAAAATATTTCCGACATACGCACGGCAGCGAGGGCGACTTGTAAAATGGTTTCAATTATCCGAAGATCACCTCCACTGGCAAGCGGGCGCTCATCAAAAATCATCATCATCAATGAGGGTTGGTCGCCCTGACGTTTCATCTCGTAAAACGGTCAAGGGAGCCCCCCTTTGAACAGCCTCCTCTGTCGTCATCTGCCATGGATTTCAAGAGGATTTCCTAATGTTTTTGATAGCTCGCTGCAGATGATTGGTTTGGGCGCAGTGAACTGCACGTTCTATCTGCTTGGCTTCAACTTAGCTTGACGTTTCGCAACACAGGAACACCGGGAATCATGGGCGCCACTCCAACCAACAACAACTCGTGACGTGCTACATACTTACTCCCGACAACACATGTACTATTCCTCTTTTAATTTTTCGCGCCCCGTTCTGAAGGTCAGGTTGAAACACCCTAGCCGGATGGGGTGGCCTCGAGGAAGTGGGGTCCTTGCCGACCAAATTTCTCATACATATCACGAACATGGATCTTTCCTCTCTGATAGCCGAGATAGCTAACCAGGCATCTAAAGTCTATATAAACCCCTTCCCCCAACGAGCCAGGGATCCCCCCCAGAGCCGGACTCTCCCAACCCAATCCTTCCAACCAGAAAGACCTGCGTTGACCGCACCGTCCTTCTTCGTAACTGATCAATTAATATCTCCCTCTTCTAACGACTACGAAGCCCTCTTTCTCGTCATCATGGTCCAGATCGCCGCCACCCTCCTCGTCGCTGCTCTCGCTGTTGCCCCAGCGCTTGCCGCCCCCTTCGCTGAACCCGTTACCGAGGACCTCGTCACGTAAGCCTACTCCCTCACCTTCTCACAAGCCCTATAATCTGATCGCACCTCCTCATTACAGCCGCGACTTTGACTTCGACCTCGAGGTGCGCGCCGACGCCATCCCCCACCCCGAGCTCCAAACCCGCGACTCGTTCGCCGACGTCGACCTCAAAGTCCGCAACGAGCCGGGTGGCAAGAAGAAGAAGAAGACTCGGTCGCAGAGGAGGCGCGAGCGTAATAATACTCCCGCTGCGCGCCCCGCCTCCGGGCCCGCCCATGCCCCCGCCCCCGCCTCTCAGCAGGGCAGTGGCCGTGGCGTCCAGCTCCTCAAAGGCCTCGGCAACTCCCTCGGTCGTTTCACAGTCTCCGCCGCCGAGACCTTCGCCAACAACAACGGGGCTAATTCCATCGTGGCTCGCGACTTTGACAACCTCGAGGCGCGGGCTTTCGACTTGAATGAATTCCTCGAGGCGCGGGGTAGGAAGAACAAGAACAAGAAGCGCCGCTCCAAGGGCAGGGGCAGGGGTAGGAGGTCGAGGAAGGGCAGGAAGTCGAGGAAGGGCCGCAAGTCCCGCAAGCAGCGTCTGGCCCAGAGCATGCCTCAGGCTGCTGAAGGTGCTGTCGAGGCAGCCGCTGAAGCTAGCGCCGAGTCTGTTCCCCCTCCCGAGACCCGCGACTACGCCGATTTCCTGGATGTCCGCACCCCCATTAAGAGGCGCGGTAGTAGCGGTGTTTCATCTGCTCTCGGACAAGCTGCTGGAACCGTACTCACTGGCGTGTTGAACAAGTGGATGTCGAAGACTGAGCCTGTACCTGAACCCGTTAACGCCCGGGCGTACTCAGGCTTTGATGATCTTGACTAGGTCTTGGAGGTGTAAACTGTATTGTAGTCCTGTCGTGGTAGTAGGAAGAAGTGAATACGAAGTGCTTTCTGGTCTGAAACTTGCGTTCGCTTTTGCCGTGAACTGGAATTCTTCGCTCGACCCCACAGTGTCTACGAACTCGTCTTGACACGGCATATAATCTGGCTATGTTCAATGCTGCGAGTCCCGGAGGAGAATATTCTGCACTTACAGTAAGCTCAGATCAACGAGGTAAGGATCGTGAAAAAATAAGCGCCCACCACCATGACATCCCTATTCGAACTCACTGCCTCGCTAAACAAAGTGCACGGATGGTACTTAGGATCAGGGGATCTACCTGGCAATGAGTGACCGGGGTAGTAGATCTATCTATAGTTGTCACTGCAACACAGCCAACCGACGCGGATGGAGTTGGTTGGGATGTTGGTTCTAAAAATACGTTCGAAGATCAGACTGGTTGCCGAGCTGGGGCTGGAGTTTACTGAGTTGAAACCACACTGGCGACGAAACGTACAGTACAACATCATCCTGGCGATAATGAGCATGGTAAAAGACACATCAGAGCTATAATTAGGGCAGCAGTTTGAACATCAAGTCAGCCGTCTGTCTCCTTAACGCGGCAAGACTTACCCCGAATCGGGTCGCGATCTACTGAAGGATCATCGCCCAAGAAGAACCCTAGCCAAGTCTCAAATAACCACCCCATACACTGCAGCACTTCGAAGCGAGGAAACGATCATACCCGCCCAGCAGAGCCAATGGTGGGGAACGGCGCAGTCCCAAGTGAGGACCACATTGCACAATGCTCCGGAGGAGTTTGGGCTTCACCTCGCGAAGCAATGCCTGGACTCTGCAGCCTCTCTCATTGGGCAAGTGGTATGTAATGCGACGGAGAAAGACGTTAGAGAGACGTTTGAAAGGGTATGAAGCGTATGGAATAAGGGTGGCCATATGCCTCAGCCCCTGAACTGGCCCATGTACTTTGCGGGATTGTGAAACGATAGGACTGACTTCTCTGGCTCCGGTAATACAACGCGTAAGAAGCATCGGCAGTGGAGTTACCCTTGGAGGTGAGCAGGTTATGTCTAGCCGGAAGGAGTACCAGCAGGGTCTGTAATCGTCATAGGTGTGAACACCCATGAATGGACGCCCGGGATTCAACACAAAGTAGAAACAGACTCTGAATCGCCCGCGTGCACTGGACGAGACACCTGACGAATAGGAGACCAAACTGCCGGTACTTATAACGACCCGAACCAGAACAAAGGAAGCATGAAGTCTAGACTCGGGGTGCTTCATTCTGAAGGCGAAGGTAAGCCATTCAAAAGCCCAAAGCAGTGTCGAGCGGAGGTAAGAAACTGACGTTCTCGACTCTTCCATCACAGTAGACGAAACACATACGGGTATTCATCCGCTCCAAGCGACATTACCCTGTACACCACTCGTACCCGTTCTCCGCCTATCCATGACTGCACGCCATATCACTGTCAGTCGGCGGTAATCCGCAACAGCGGGAATACCTTCAGGAAGGAAGGTCCAGAGGCGGGGATTGAGTTGAACCCGGGACCAGAATAGGCACTCACCAAGCCATCACCTTCGATTTAATGAACACCACAGGACTTATACATTCCCAATCCCGTGCGTGCAGCCACCAACGACCGGGGCAAGGTCGCATGCAAGACGGTGGTACTCGTCGGGCTCAAACAAATGAAAGGCGCACTGACAAACCCATACATGATCCAAACACAACGAGGCTTCAAGCCACCTGCGCCATCGACGATGTGATCACCCATACGGTTGCATAGTTAACCTCTGTTAGGAGAAAGAGTTCCAGTTGATATGAGAGGCTGCGCGGCGCACGTCCCAACGTTGAAACGCTAACCAGTCGGCTATCGAGCTAGAGAAACCCGTATTTAGACCTGACGAAACGAGGAAGTAATGTGACAACGAACAAGTTTACTGGACATGTAGTGTGAAAAGCAAAGGTTGACTCACCACCAAGTAAGTAAACGTAGTTTCAGCGGTGGCACTGGACACCAAGAAGTCGTCTTTCTGGAGGCTCGTGTAATCATTCAAGTCAACGGATACAGTTATCACAGTGAAGAGAACTGTGATTTACGTTGGCGTAGAGTTGACGTAGGTCAGGCATGGTCGCATGTACAATGTCGAATGCGCGCCTCTGCGATCGTCCCAATGGAACGCGTGTTGCTGTTACATCGATCGCCGGAGCACGACAAACAGATGTTAGCCGTTGATCGACAGCGACGGCGGATGCGTATGTCGAAGTCGATGGCAAAGTGCCAACAGTACAAGGAAGGGGCATACCAGCGCCCATCGAGCCGGGCAGGTCCTTCCCAATCCAAGCGGTCAAGTGGTGGTGACAGATAGAGGAAGCCTGGAAAGCCTGGGAGCGAACACGAAGGGAAAGAACCACACTCGCTCCGAAATCACCTTTCCTTCCATTTGGCGCATAAAAACCTGTAGGGTATCACAGTCCAGTGACCTGTTGGACTGGAAGAGTGAAGTTCGCCCTTGGTGGTCCTAGTTTACCCCTCCGATAAGTGCTCGATGTGCTCGGAAAGGAATCCTCTATCAGACTCCTTATCTCTTTCGGCCTGAACTGGAGGCAGAGGAAAGAAATGCGACGCAAAGAAAATGGAAGCCATAAAGCAGATAGAGGAATGTGACGTTGGCAAAGGTGGTGGTTACAGTTCAAGCCAGGCCGAGGTTCCTCGCGTCCACGGGCTTGGCGAGCTGTGAAGTAAATCCAGGAATGGAAATGGCCCCTGAATACATGCTTTAACGCGACGCGTCAGGACGCGTCGGCACTACGGAAATTTGACCACAAACAGCCCAGGACGACGCAGAAATGACACCGTATCAGGGAGTGAGAGAGTGTCAGAACGACAAAATATATTTGAAGGTAAGTAAATCGCTAAAAGATGCCGCTTAAAAAGAACAAAGATGATAATGATAGCCGACCGACCAAGTGCGACGCTCAATACGAGCGACACATCCTGGTCTTAAGATTTCAAAAACATCAGGCGACAGGGCACTGTAACTTGTAAGTAAATAACAACCAGGACAACCAAAAAAAGAAAGCGGTGAGTAAATGAGTAAAGAAATAGAACGGAAAATCAAATGCAACACAATATTGAAATGAGTGGATGCCGGATAGATTGTGCGCGAACAAAAAACTCGATGCCATGCCATATGCGGTACAATGCAATGTCAGAGTTCAAGATGCTCGAAATGTCCAACGGAACGATGATGGAGATGGTGTGCGAAGAAGGAACAAGTGCAATTTTATGGATGTATGTGTTGTTGTTGGTATTGGATAGACGATGAGTGGATGAGATGAAGTGAAATGTGGAATGAAATGAAAAGCTAAATAGAACACGAGAACAAGGACGTCGTCCCGACGAAACCCCAGAAGGATAACAAGGAAAGACGGTGAGATCGGGTGAATGACGACATCGAAAGAAGGAAGAGCGGTGAAACGATGGGAATGGTGGGATCACCAATAAATAGGGGAGAAACGCGACGAGCGGACAGACAGCAATGTGACAATGGTTGCGCCAGAGGAATGGTGGGGAGGGAACAACGACCAGAGCAGGATGAGACACAACGCGACAAACGCGTCAATGATGACACAAAAAATAGAAGGCATGAATGAGGGTCGAACATGAGCAATGAATGGAATGCAGTGCGGATTGCGGGTTGTGATGTCGGAAAGAGGCGTGTACTGCATGCGGCGTGGAGATATTGTGAAATTACACTGGAAAAAGCATGTTCGTTGAATTCATCTTCAGTCTTCGTGCCCATCTTCGTGTTTTGATCCTGATCGAGCGTTGGTTTGCAATATTGATAAAAGGGGAATCGTTGGGAAAAGGATGATGATTCCACGGTAATCTCGTTAGGAAGAATCGTGGTCAGCTGCCGTTGAACCGATAGGAGATGGTGGGGTCCCAGTGGCGAAGGGAGTAGGCGACCCTGAACGGTTGAGCAATTCCCTGAATCGTTTGGCGGAAGGTGATGGTGAAGAGAACGTGAAAGCCGAGTAGATCTTCTTCCTCTCGGGAGTAGAGAAGACGACAGAAGTTTTACTCTCCTCTTCGACGAATCGACCAAGTTGGGTGGCTCCTAGGGAGGATGATGTATGAGTCGGCGAGAAGTAATCGCGAAGCTCGGGTTCAACAGAGGGTTCCTGCACGGTGAAAAGGTGTATTAGCACCGTACAATCACAGGCATGAGGGTCTAGATGAACGTCATACCTTGATGATACGGAAAGCACCCTTTGGCTCCCCAACAAGCTCGGTCGAGGCAGGAACTTCATAGGCATCAGAGACGTCGGCAAGAGGCTTGACGGTCAGCTCATAGCAGCGGGAATCGATGGCCGCCTGTTTGAGATCCTGAGTCTGGTCCTTGGGCTCGGAACCGGTCTCTTCTTCCACAACCTTGGGCATAGGAGGTACCCGGCGAGATGGCGTCGATCGCTTGCTCTTTCTGGTAGATGAAGTGGACTTTGCATCCTTCTTACTGGAAGAGGACTTGGTCGTTGTAGACTTCTTCGTCGTCGCCGTAGTCCTACGTTTCTTGGGTTCTGGTTGGGCTACCTTGTCCGCCCTTTGTTTTTTGGTGGTCGTGGCGGCCGGAGGCACGTGAGCTTTGGTTGCAAGGACAGTTTTGCGCTTCTTGTCGGCGGCACCGGCCGCGGCCGCGCGCTCTCCAGTGAGGGGATTGTAGTTCTCCTTGTCGGTCGCTGCCTTTACGTCGAGCGCAGTGGTAACATTGAGGCGGGACCCTGATCGAGTGAGCAGAATGCCGCTGGCGGCACGGGCCACCTTGGTGCCAGACGTTGATGCCTCGCTGCTCGATGGAGCGTCTTGAAATACGGTGAAACTACGGCCTGTCATAGAGACTGCTGTGCTGAAGACTCTAGTCTAGATTGTGGAAATGTGGGGTAGAGAAATGTTGCCTGGAGGGCACGAGGCAGTTGATTTTTACTGATGGAAATGTGGCTTAAAGAGAGTAATGTTTTAGTTCGCCGCTGTCGGAGGAGATGGAGTATGTGTCGCCGTCGCTGTGGGAGATGAGTAGGAAATACGTTGCTCGACGTTGCCGACAGCGAGCACGACGAAAGGAAAACTTGGGAACACCAAGCGAACACCGCCGCCGGATGCAAACCGGGTTAAACGGCACGCCCGTCACGTGCGCACCTGTAACGCGTGTGGGAATTTCGCGTCGTGCACGTGAGCGTTTTGCCTCCATCAACTCGTGTCTGCACAGCTTTTCCCTTCTCCCTCTGTCGCCGACAAGGCCTTGTGGATCAGGGTTGCCTTGTGTGCTTACCGTCACCGTGATATTGCCCGACCTGCCGCTCTGACAGTCTCTGTTGTCTGCCTCGCTGCGTTCGACACCTCCCATTGTTCGCCTAGTGCGAGATGATGCACGCTGCCATGAATCGTCGCCACGATGATAGGCGCTAGCGCCATGCAACGGTCTTGTTCGGGTTATGGCAGCCATCGTGGACCTCCATTGCTTTGGTACGGACGCCTGGACCAGTTTGTGTACTGGAGCGGGTTTTATCGGTCCACATATTGGGTTTTGTTTCTCCGCGGTGGCGAAGTGCCGAGGGTGTTTCTAAATGTTATTCACCGGTTCATCGATCCACAACTGCCCTTCGTGGATTAATGACGACCCCAACGGCGGTCTCTTTGGCGGTTCCAAGTTCTGACACTGCGTTTCGGCTCCTTTCCATGACGTTCTCTTCTGGGCTCGTTCCAAGACCTAGAGGTTAGAGCCTTGCTTTCTCTTCTGACTAGTTCCTTTTGCTTCTCGTTCCGTGATTTAGTCTGACATCTCCCATAGCAAGCAAGATTCACCCCCTTTAGCTCTTTCATATCGTTGCGGGTACGTCTTGAAGACTTCACTTATCTGCTCTTTGCGGCGTGTCTCGATCACATTGACGAGAAGCCTACAAAATCGGGAAATTCTGAGTTGCCCACTCGATCACATTCTTCTAAAGGGTCCTAGCGCCATTTCTCCCTCTCTTCGTCCTAAAATGTCTCCTCTCGTTTTTGTTTGAGGGTTCTTTATCTTCTGACCCAATAACGTGAGCAATGCTCCGTTATCTAACCATTAGCAGTACACTTGACGTCCGGCAACTTCGCTACTGAACCTGAAGAGTACCTCCCCGCCAGAAATGCCGAATCCTTCTGTGGTTGCCAAAGGTGCGCCGTTTGACCGCAAGATATCCGCAAGGTTAACAAGCTTTTCACAGCCAAATGCCCTCCGTACAACTTAGAACCTAGGGATCGATGGAATGGAGTGCCCTGATTGGCTTCATTTCTCAAGGGTCCTTGCACCCAATTTGGTAGGCGCTCGCCACATGGCATAATATTTTCCGATTTTCGTGGTGCGGTCCCGCTGACGAGTTCCATCTTTCGTATTCGAGTTTGAGACCTCTAAATACTACACTGCAGGCGATATTCGAGGTTCCTCTCCTTCGTCGTTTCCCCACTCAACCTCGTCAAAATATCGTGGCTTCTCAAGCAGCTCCGGATCAAACGTGCGGACTTCGCCTGTGAGTGATGGCACATTTCTGATACCTCAAGCCTCATGTTCTACACGCACCTGCAGTGTGTCAGTCACGTTGTCTGCACCTCAGGCCATGACCCCACCTCATATATAATACCTCCCATTCTTCTCGGTTTTTCCTTACCCTTCGAAGTTGCACTGGTGCTAACTCCCCTCCTCCCTCCCTCTTCCTCCCTCGGACCCTTTTCCCTCTAGTTACGCCCCTATCACGAGTCCATGTCTTCGAAGATGCCTCAACCCTCCTCCGCCGTTCACCCGCCCGTTGGGACTCTCATTGACGGAGACTCCCTAGAACTCGTAGAAGTTCTCGGCGTCGGCGGCTACGGCGTCGTCTACCGTGCAGTCGACGCCCGCTATCCCACGGGTCCGAAGTCCTACGCCGTGAAGTGCCTGGTCACCTCTGGCCACCAGTCAGCGCGCCAGCGCCAAGTCCACATCCGTGAAATCGCCCTGCACCAGCTCGCCTCTGCTCACCCTGGTGTCGTCACTCTCCACCGAGTAGTGGAGCAGTACAACCACACTTATATTATTATGGAATACGCCTCCGACCACGACCTATTTACGCAGATTCTTCACAACTGTCGATATCTCGGTAACGACGCCCTTATCAAAGACATCTTCTTGCAGATGCTCGATGCAGTGGAATATTGCCACTCGCTTGGTATTTATCATCGGGATCTCAAACCCGAGAACATCCTTTGTTTCGACGATGGCCTCCGTGTCGCCATCACCGACTTTGGTCTGGCTACCACCGACAAAATTAGCGACGAGTTTCGCACAGGAAGCGTCTATCATATGAGCCCAGGTATGTTCTTACCTCGTCGTTTTTCCCTTACGTTTTCCTTACATTCGATTTCAGAGTGCCAGGGTGGAGCTTTTGCACCTGGAGGCAAATACTCTCCCATGTTTAACGACATCTGGTCCCTTGGCATCATCCTTCTCAATCTCGCGACTGGTCGCAACCCATGGAAGTCTGCGACTCCCGACGACCCCACTTTCCAAGCCTACCTCCGCGACCCATATACCTTCCTTCCCACCGTCCTCCCCATCTCCGCCGAGCTCAACGAAATCCTCGTCCAGATGCTCGATGTCGACTGGCGCCGGCGTATGAAGCTCCACGAGATCCGCTACGCCATCGAAGAGCTCACTACCTTCTACTCGGACGGTGTTATCTTCGAAGGAAGCATGGCTCGATGCCCATGGGAAGCCGGTATGGATATCGACAGCGAGTCGTCCGCCAACACCCAGGAGGTGTCCTCCTCCCCTCCCGTCTCCCCTGTTCAGGAACAGCGTCTCACTTCGCAATGGAGCAAGGACTCCACCTCCGACATCGTCTTTGCACCCCGCTCCCCCACCGACGACTCTACCTATGGTGTTCCATGGCCCGCCGAGTACTCTTCTTGTGGTGCTACCTGGGCTTACGAATCCCCTGTCTCCTCGTTCTCGAGTGAAGACGATGATCACTTTCGGATGGACACCTTTGACCGACCCGACACCCCGTCTGAAGCGTCAACGCAATCACCGCCACCTTCGCTCCCTGCTACTCCCAACGACCTTGACGTGACGTTTGCTGCCCAGCAAGACGCCAAGCCTCGTGCTCGCCTCACTCTCGACACCAATGTCCACAAGCCTCGCATCGTCCAGGCCAATACGAGCATGGAGCCTTCGTTCTCTACCGACAGCGACATGATGCATACCGCGATCGAGTATGACCCGTACTCGTCGCTCTTCTTCCTCGCCACTCCACTGTCGTCCAAGCTCATGGGTCCCGACTCAGCCGTCACGGCTGTTGCAGAGGACAGGGAGATGACCTCTCCCAGCGCTTGGAGGACGTCGGTCGTCATGTCGTCTCCCTCCCTCTACTCTTCTTCGGCAGTTCTTCCTCCGACGACATTGTGTTCTCTCGATCTGGCACGCCCTCTCCTGAACCTTGGCCTCTGTCAACAACGTATTCCGCTCAGGTACAGTCCACGCCTTCTCAGCAATGTCAGCCCATTTCTCCGCTCTCTGGCATGATGACCGACTCCCCTTCAAGGCCCTCTCTCTCGCCCTTCGTCGCCCACAAGAAGCTCAGGGTCCCACCAACCTCCGGCCTCTCCAAGCCCAGCTCCCCCATCCGAGTCTTCTCTCCGCCCTCACCTACAACTCCAACTGTCTACAACGCCGCCTCCGGCAGCAGCAACGACAGCGGAAGCAGCCAAGCCTCCCAACTCCACTATCGATTCTCCAAGCTCTTCCCTCGCACGAACGCACCGACGCCTGCACCGGCTGCACCAAGTTCGACAGTCCGTCCTGCTTCACGTGGGCGCGCTTTCCACGCTAAACCTTATCCAACCTTTGGTCGCCGTAAAGCGGGCGTGGCAAAAGCTGGGAAGGGTGACCGCGACGGGAAGAGGCCGCAGCAACAGCGATCCGTTGGGAGTGCAGATGGCGGGGAGCAAGGTTCCTTGGTGGCGTCCGTCGAGTCTTCTTCAACGACGGCCAGTGCCTGCTCGGGCCATGACAGCGCCGGAACTTGTGGGTCTGCGAGCTCCTCAGTCTCCGGTGGGAGTTGTGGGGTTGTAGTCGAGAACGTGGAGAGGAAGAGAGTGCTTGGGAAGAGGATTGCGACGAAGCACTGGTTTCCGGGCAGGTTCTTCAACTCGGGGGTGCATGTTGGCGTCTGACGGACTCTTTCCCTCTCTTGCTTCGACTCTTTACCCTTCGTTCTTCGCATTCCATTGGGCACGCTTTTCTTTCAATTTCACTGGCTTTTTTTCCATCCTTCTTCCATTTTATCCATGCGTCGAAACAACGCCTCTTTTGCATCATCATCATACATCCGCATCATCATCGACATCCAGCATCAGCATTTCATCGTTAGAAGAAAAACTCATTTGAACGACGCTTTACGAGAAAAAAACACATACGAAACTTTATGACTTTTATGAAAGCATTAGGCATTTCATCGTCATCACCATCATCACACCGCATTGCATATGTATTTTTATTAGCATGGATTTTCTTTCTCTCTTCTTCATCTGCATCTCTCCGCTCCTTTATCTCCTTTCTTCTTGTTTCTTATCTGTTGTACTCTCGGATGCGTTAGGCATCGACGTTGTTGTACATTTCGGCAACCCTAGTGACCGAGCATTGTGTAGTGTAAAAACCGGAATATGTCCCTTGTTGTATGTGTAGTTCAAAGTGGATTGTACACAATGTAATCGAATCGAAATTGTACTTCAATAACTTGACTTGCAGCAGGCCTTGTGGTCAAAGAACTGATCGACCATTCTCCCCAGCCTCTTCAAGCTCGGGCGCCATCCGCAGAACCGAGGCGCCGGTGGGCGTTTGGGGGAGTTGGTTCGTTGTTCGATACCAATTTCAGCTAGTCGCGATCCAGGCTTCGTTAGATATCGCTGGTGCTTGATAAGATAAGATGGGACGATCAAATATCCCTACGCCATCGGTTTTCTTTTCTCACCACAACTCTTCTCAGAACCACCACCATGGCCTTACCTGTCGACATTCTATATTCTATATTCGACCATCTTGCCCACGATAGATGTACACTGCGAGCAGGATCTATCACCACCAAGGTCCTCACAGCACATTGCCAACGGTATCTCTTTCGATCAGCATCTTTCGATCTAGAGGTTGGCCCAATCCCAAAGTTTGCTCAAGCACTGGAGGAGAAGCCTATCCTAGGCACCTATGTGAAGGATTTTGGAGCTATATTCCCTGGGAGCTATGTGGACCTACATCCGGGGGACGATGGTCGGAATGCTATCGAATTCCTTGCTCGTGTACTCTCCCGCCTCACGGAATTGGAAAGCCTGCGGTTAGAATCTACATACGATGGAGAGAGAATCCAAGAAGCTATCCACCGTTCTGAAAGCCTTTTCAGTCCCATAACCTCTCGCAATCTTCGGAAGATTGAACTCGTCGGAATGTGCATCCATATCCCAACCTCCGGACTCGGGAGGTTCCAAAAGCTCGACACCCTCGCTCTCATCGAATGCCGACCGTGGACTTTATCAATGGGCGATCCAGGGGAAATGCTCAAAATCGGAGAGTTGGTATACGAAGGCGACCGAGCCTATCTCGACTCGGTCGTCACTGCCCTCGAGCCTAGTTCGTTCCGCCACTTCCACTTTGCTTCCAACATCCTCTTGGACCGACTCATGGCAATCGAACTTTTGTCGAGATCTGCCATGAATCTGACTTCGTTCACATATGCGGTGCCTGGATGGTCCGCGGGCGGATTACATACAGGTATGTCGTCGATCTTACTTGGAGTTGGCTACCATTATTGAACGGCATGTTCTAAGACGATTCTGGATTTTCGTTCTTCGCCCGACAGAACATCCCGGTTCTATCCTCCCTTGGAGCTCTGAAGACTTTCAAGTTTCAAGTCCTCGGGGATGACCTAAACGACGACCTAGCTTACACCGGGACGCAGTACACAACTCTCCCCGAATTCATCGTCTCCTCCCTCACCAGCGATGCCGTCGCCGCCATCCCCAACCTCACTACTCTCGAGATCAGGATTATGTCTTTGTGGAACATGGTACTTTTTTACCGGCTAAACAAGTATTGGAAGCAAATCGAGGAGCATCTCCTCGATCACCCACTCCCTCGCTTGCAGACACTCCGAATTCACTTGAACTTGAGCGAAGAGTGGAAGAAACAGGAAGGGTTCGATGAAGGGAAGGTGTACACGTACACGAGGGACGCGGTGCAGTTGGCGTTTGGGAAGTTGGAGCGGAAGGGTATTGTCGTGGAGGTGACGACAGATTTTGATCAGGACTACTGGAGGCGGCATTACTCCTCGTAACTGGTGCGTACACACTTTCCTCTGCCGTCTTCGACTTCCCTGTCTCAAGATGTCAGGTGGTATGTTGTATGTTGTTCATCGCGGCATTTCTGCACCGAAAGCTTTTCAAATCTTAAAGTCATCCTTCCAAGGGCGTGTCGCCTAAGATAAGATGAGCGACCGGATCACGAGTTCGACTCACGCGGTCGCATCCTCGCCTGCTTCAGCATCATTATTTCAGTCTTCCTTCGCCCAATTGTTATCTATAGCGAGATCCACGGCAAGAAGAAACGCATACTACCCTAATGATAGAGTACCTGAATGCCCTCACAAGGTGTCTTCACGACATCGCGCAGATATCTCGAACGAATCTGGCAAAGTGCCGCTGACATTCTCAAAGATTGGCAAGTTTAAACCATCCGTCCATACTCCGCTTCCTACTTGACTCTGATCAATCTCTTTCGCAGTTCCTAAAATACCTCATGCTTCCCTTTATCCCGACGAATTCGCAATTTCTTCGCAAAAGATGCGGTTTCTCGTGGGTAACGGTGAACCTATAAAGCTGAGGGTTGTCTTCGTAATTTATTTGAGGCCAAGACCCTACACCTTCGTGCTGCGCTTAGCTTGAATGACTTCCGCGGCAAGGGAGCTCATCGTCCATGATCACGAGAAGGGTCTAGACGACGAAAAGGCCTCTGTCCGCCCTTCTATCACCTCAGTTGGCGAGACTACAGCCGCGTCCAATCCGTGGACGACTAGGCTACTGAAAGCCGGCGTCGAAGAGCGAGGTGAGCTAGTCGGCTCGAGACATTACCTCAGGCACGAGTTACTGACAACCATTAGGCACAGAGCCCGTTCCAGAGGCGCGTAGAACAGACACGCAGTTCTTCAAACTCTTCTTTCTATTTCTGACATGGAATCTTAACATTTTGACGTGAGTCAAGTATTTACTGCCTTGCTTCACGAGAGAGACTTGCTTACCTCAGGCTCTGGATTTATCTCATTCAGCTTCACTGCTGGAACCATTGGTCCCGTCGTTTTCGGTCTTGGACTTGGGGATTCGTGCCTTGTCATCATCTTTTTCGATGCTCTCTTCTGTTCTCTTGCTTCATACATGTGCGTTTTTTCAAAGTCTCAGTTATTTAATCCGCCTCACAGTTCTTTAGATGTACATGGGGACCAAAGCTTGGTATGCGGACGATGATACTGGCTCGATATTCGTTCGGATATTATGGCACCATCCCCCTGGCCCTCCTAAACCTCCTCACGATGATGGGGTTCTCGGTTCTCTGTGCGATCGTAGGAGGACAAGCCCTGGCGAGCGTCACAGAGGGACTCACTTGGACGTAAGCACTCCGGGAATTGGTGATCATAAATCCATACCTACTAAAACGATGACAGAGTCGGTATTGTCGTGATTGCGAGCATCGCGTTGTTGGTGTCGTTCTGCGGAGTAAATGCTCTCAACTGGTACGGCTTCCTATGACATCTTTTCTGCACACATCTGAAGGAGTAGATGTACAGGCTCGGGTTAGTTGGATGGGTCCCCCTCCTCACTGCGTTTGCTGTCGTTGCCGGGGTTGGAGGAAAACACTTCTCTGATCCGCCTCCTGTGGAACCGGTCACAGCGCCTGCGCTTCTGAGCTTTGCAGCAACTCTAGCCGGATTTTCCATTACGTTCTGCCCCCTCGCGACCGATATCTCTGTTTACTATCGGCATGACGTCTCTGGGTGGAGGGTCTTCATGTATGTCTACGCTGGACTGCTGACCTCGCTCGTAAGCCCTGTCCCTGGTTTTCTCATCCATCGATTCATAGGACGCTCACAATCGTTACAGGCCTCGATCCAGATCCTGGGAGCGGCAACCGCAGTTGCGGCCATGAACGTACCCGAGTGGGAGCGACGTTATGGCGGGGAGGATGTAGGCGCGCTTCTAGCTGCAGTCCTTGAACCCGTCAACGGGTTCGGGAAGTTTATCTCTGTCTTGCTCGCTCTTTCCGTCACACCCAACATCTCTGCAACTGCCTATTCTATCACCGTGATTTGGCAGGCGTGTGTCCCACGATTCTCAGCGATTCCAAGATATGTATTCGCGATCGTTTCCACTGGAATGTAAGTGTCACAGTTCCCCCATAGACCAGTGTACTAACGTGCCTGCAAAGTGTGATAGGGCTCGCCATCCCCGGTGCGACTAGATTCTACGACACCCTGACCAATCTCCTCGGCCTGGTAGGGTACTGGGCTGCAGCCTTCATCGCCATCGTCCTCATCGAGCACCTTCACTTCCGGAAGAACGATCCCTACAACTACGACGGCGCTGCCTGGAATGTTCCCAATAAACTCCCGCTGGGCATTGCGGCCGTGGCGGCAGTCGTCTGCTCGTTTGGCCTGGTCGTGCCTTGCATGAACCAGACGTGGTATACGGGTCCCATCGCTAAGATGACGGGGGACATTGGTTTTGAGATTGCAATTGTACTGACCGGGATGTTGTATTTTCCATTCAGATCGGTTGAGAAACGGTTTACGGGCCTGTAAACTTTCCGTTGGAAACACGCTGCTTGCAGGCCGGACAACTCAGGCAGCTTTGTCCGGCAGTGTCAGGTAGCTTGAATTATGCACAGGAACGAAGCAACGTATGGCGAATGGTATAATAACGGCGGGATTGGCCTGGGATTCGATGTTCCAGAACTTGATGAAGGTTTCGTATAATACTATGGCGTTTCCTCCTATTTACAGAGCAAGGGCCAGGGTCCGCTCTACTTTACGCAGATGCTTGTGACACATCACCTCGAACCAATCCTCCAAGTTTGCCAGTTCCTCCGTTTTAAGGTTCCCCCATCCAGTGTTGAGCGGGATAACATCTCTCTTTCTCGGATCATTGGAAACGATTTCCCCAATCTGATCCTCCACAAAGCATACCTCACCCCACTCATCCCGTCCGTATTCTTTCGCTGGCCTTTTGACTTCAGTGAACACCGACCATCCTTGTCCCCAAATCCGGTGGTGCCGTATGGAGTGGTGTTCGAACTCTTCGAAATCGCCATCGGAATCGTAGAACGTGAACATCTTCTCGGTCCATCTCTTCCACTGGCGATGGTCGCTGCTTTTGATGTAAGCGAAGTACTCGAGTTCATCGCCCACTCCCTCAACTCTCCCTAAATATATTGGATTGCCGTATCCAACCCTGAATTCCCTAAGGTTGGGGACGCGTTTCGGAGAGATGAAGCTGAAAAGATTGTCATCGGAGTCTGGAGCAGGCGAATTCCAGGCGTCAACGATATCCAGGCGTTCCAAAGAAGGTGTGGACAGTAGAGGGAGGAGTGTGCCGTCATACGCGTCGATAAACCAATGTTGTAGCTCGAGGACGCGTAGACGAGGAAGGTCAACTGGGGGCAACTTGCTCTCCGATTCCTGAAGTCCATGTTCTCCGAAATTCAGTCGGAGGACTTCTAGAAGTGGGGCCGATCGTAGAATTGTGACCAAGGATTCGGGAGACATGTCGTAGGAATCGGAAACAAAGATTGTAAGGTGGGTGAGAGCATTGAGGGGCACGACGGGAAGTAGATTCGGGGGCGAGCTGACAGTCTTCACATTGGTAAGTTGCAAAGCCTGGTTTGGCAATGGACTCGTATCGATCGAGCCGATTGGACCGAGTTCCGTGCGGTCGAGGTGAAAGGTTGCAAAACGGTGTCGGAATTCGAGGATGGTGGTCCAAAATTTCAACCAGATGAGGTCTTCAATATCTCTTTGTACATTGTTGTAGAATCCGAGATACAAGGGGACGGGATTTGACCGCTGAAGTGTCGTACGAACGACATCCAAGAAAGGGTCCCTCCTGCTGCGCGAGCCCAGGCTCCGCTCTATGCAAGATATCCCGACCTTGTTCCAGAGGAGCGGACATCGTTTCGCAATGGCGTTCCATTGCTTGCAGACTTTTGACAGGACCACGGCGGTGGCAGTCCTGTGTCGCTTGTTCCCCTTGGCACCACAAAGCGCCAGCGTTTGGCCTTCGCATGCCATCGTGAAGATCCTCGACAACAATTCCACGGGGAATTCCTGGATCAGGGTGGTCTTTGTTGCATACCGCAAGTTTGTAATGTCGCTATTGACAAGGTTGATATCGACTTTGACGCTTTCGAGCTCTTGTAAAAGCCACTTCTTCCTCTTTTCCAGCGTGCTTAGGCTCGCTGAAGACCGTGCAATAAGCGCCTCGAGCGCCTGTTTTCCTTTGGGGTAGGGCAGTGGAACGATCTTGTACCGAGGGAACTTCGACTCTGAAAAGGACGTTTCAGAGGCCATTGCGTCTTTGTTGGTGTCACCGGTATTGTCGTCGTCGTCGCCGTCGTCGCGTAAGGTCGCGTCGTGACTCGTCACGGCGCGCAGCCGTGTGGGCCCGGGCCATGGCACGCCGTGGGGCCTGGGCTGGATCACGAGTTCGAACCTGGATGAGGGAGATCATGTTGTTCCCCATCTAGTCCACATGGCCTCGCTCAACATCCTCCATTCAGCTTCTTCCTTGCAAGTCCTTCGTATGAACCTGGGCGACTTGACCTCACAGAAATGGTAACAATGGCCATCCACAACAGTTTGACAGGCCACCTGGACCGTCGTCTCCGCCTTTGATTACTTCAACAAGAGTATAGAAAGAACTCTCCTCCTCCTTGTTTATCTCTGTAGAGCATTACAAAGTGACTATGTCTCCCACCAACGTAGAATGAAACAGATATTTAATGACCCCTATGATATTCCTGACTGAGCTTTTCGACTTCGTCGACAACCTGAGCATCCCGTGAGTTCAAAATCTTCGAAGTCAAAAAATGCAGGCAGCGCACCTGGTCCAATTTCTGTCTGATCGGTTGTAGCTCTGAGATTACCATCCTCTTGAAGTCCTCATCCAAAGCCCTCGGTTCCTTGGGTGGTAAATCAGAAGTGGAAACATCGGCGATCCTGTTGGAGGACTCGAATCTTCCTCGTTGGATTTGCCGTATTTCAGCGACGACAGTTTCTTCCCAGTTCTTCCCCGCGCCGGGCCTCGAGGTAATGTCGGCGATAGCTTCCTCGATGTTCCTGTGGGAAGGAGGTTGAAGATGTCGAATTTCTGCCACTATCGTGTCTTCCCAACTGTGAGGTGTTGGGGTTTGTTTCCAATCTGTTGCGCCAATTACAATAACGGTCAGTGGTGGACCGGCGACCCCTTGTTAGCTAGTACTCCAGATTTCGAACATACCACCAAGACGAGTAGTGCGTGAAGAGCTGGCCGACATGTTCTTCCTGAGTCATATAACCAATTGAGAAGAATTTAACGATTGGCTCCTCCACCAGTGAACGAAAACGAGACAATGTCTCACCGAGCTCGGGCGATCATGACGTCATTAAGCGCCCACCTTTACTTATGAGCCTGAGTCCGCGACCCCCTGACGTGAAATAGTTGATAGAAAACGCAGCGTGAGTATGATATGTACAAATCGAGAAAGACTAGAAGGTACAACAATATGGCGCGGGTAACCTAAAAATAGCAGCAAAAAAGCAGAATTATGTACAATGCGAAATGAGGAAAAAATTACAGGTCGACTCGGATGGAAGGATGATGTACAACTACAAGCAGAAGGGATCATATACAGGGGGAGCCAAGAAGCGTGTTCGGAAAGGGATCAGTCCTCTCCAACATCAAGTAAGCTTTGTTGAATTTCTTCTTCCTCGTCTGAATCGTCGGGTCCTCTCGTGGTGTCTAAGATGGAATCCCAGGACGTCTCCCCCTCGTCATCAGCCTCAGCGCCGTCTCCCATCGCAGGACTCAGCAGCCTGCTCATACATTGATCAAGCCTCGCCTCGTCATCGTCCTCGTCTGTAGTGGTTGACACCCTTCTCCGCCTGGGAAGGAAAAACGCGTCAGGTTGCATTGCTATTGGAATAAGGAATGTCATACTTGGGAGGATTAATCTCGTGAATAACCGGTTTGATATTTTCACAGTCATTACCTTTGGCCATAAAATTCAACGAGCGTCTGCACGTAACCTGAGCATCAGAGACCATCCCACTCAAGATAAGTTAAGGTCCCTACCTTTTTTGACCTCGAGTCCGAGGCTCAGCCACAACATCTTCGTCATCCGGGAATATATCTTTTACTTCCTCGAAGATTCTCTCGAGTTGCTCCAGCTCGCGGAACTCATCATCAGACATCGGTTCCAACAGCGTTTGATATCTGGTGGTGAAAGCTGTCTCGAACAAGCCGAACCATTTGCTGGGATGACTGTCACGAGGAGGCCGACACTGTTCGAAGGGAAACGAATGTCAGAGCTGCGAAGGCGGACTTCTGACCGAAGGCATACGTACTGCCTTCACTTTATCGATTAAGATTTTTATGCCGAACACCAAGATTGTCGACGATGTGGCGAAGCTGTCGTCCGAGTTGAATTTAGGGAGGTTGCTCGGTGCTGACCAATTGTCAGACAAAGAACGGAAGAGGTCCTTCCTGTGGCCTTCTATGCCGACAGGCGCGATTAGGAACGCTGTTTCATTTAGAGAGGACGACTCACTTTGAAGACTGGGTTCTTTCAGGATGATGATTAGCATCGATTCTATCAGGCGGAACTGCGCTTCAGGATCATTTGACCTGCGTATACGTGGAGGAATGTAAGTAAAGTGTCAAACGTGAAAAGTGAAGGAGCGTACACATTCCGTTTCAGATTCAGATAGCTCGTATAGTGGACGAATTTGTTGCACAAGATTGGCAGCGTAACAGGGTCGTCTTCCTTCCGTCTTTGTACCAAGTCGACAAATACGGATTTGAAGATCTGCAGTCATTGTTGATCATCATGGCCCTGGAACCATCGCTGTAGACTCACCTCCTGCATCCTCATTTGGTTCTTCGGGTGTGATGTACTATATTCCTCGAAGAAGTGGTCGAGGCACTGTCGAAGAGCATGGTTTCCAGCGGTTTCAGGCAGGATCAGAGTCTTGTACAATTCGCGGAGTGCCTGTAGGCATTGTCATCCGTGACAATTCCATAGAAGCTGAAGGCAACAACTTGAACTTACGTCTGGACTGTCCAGAATCCCACTATGCAGCAACTTTGCAAGACCTTGGCAGATCGTCGCCAGCGTTTCGGGGTGTCTTCCTTCGTGTGTGTTCACACTGATTTTCTCCTCGAGTACAACATAGACGGGCGAATGGGGAGTGAAGCGCATCGTGATGGTCACTTCGAGTTGCTGGGATTTGTTCATCTTCACCAAAATGCCCTTGCCATCGGAATCAAGCAGGTGCTTGTACTTGACCACAAGATCGAAGATAGCTTGGAGGTAAATCAATTTGACCTCTAGGGAAACCTCATCATCGCAGATCGTCCTTGTAGCCCGGTCGAATACCACAGGAGCGAGGGACTTGATTTATCACGTCAACCATGTGTTACCGCATTTCATCACTTCACTCACCTCGCAGACCAATGAAGCCAGACACAGCGATCGAACACCCACTTCATACAGGGCCGCAGAGGTTGAATCTTCCGGAGCCTTGTGGTCCGTTCCCTCAGCGGGTGAGCTCTCTGTAGTCTTCACCACGGGGTAGATGAGGTCTTCGATAATAGCCTTCAACAAGGAATACCGCTCGACGGGCTGCAAAGCGGGTTAGTATATTTGTAGCGACTTCGGGATAGAACGCTATGCACATACCATCTCGACTCTTTCGAGCATAGTTCGACACAGTCGCAGACATCTTAATCGTCTCTTCGCCTTGTCATCCGCCGAACCAGCGCTGGAGTCGGGGTCTTGAGGCGCGGACTCGAGATCTTGGGTTTCCTGAAAGGATACGTTAAGACGTGTAGGCGGAGAACGAGGCTGCGGGTCGTACAACTGGTTCCTCATCCGATTCGCTAGCGTCCAAGATATCGTGCACGAGTTCCACCACAGTCTGGATAAAATCACTCTCGCTCTGCACCAAGGCTACGAGAACATCCAAACATGGATCGAACAATTCTTCTGGCAGCTTGGGCTGTACTATCATTGTTTCTGAATAGAGTCAGCTAAAGTCGAGTTCCCCCCGGGTCTGTCAAGCTGGAGAGATCCACTCACTCATACACTGGCGCATCACATTCGTGCCCACATAGTCAGAGTAATCCAGGTGAACAGCAAGCTCGAGCAACTGTATCAAGATGAACCTCGCCGAAAGTTCGTCGTCTTGTTCGGCGGCCTGCAGGAGAACACCACACCTCACAGCGATGATTTGAGCCATTTCAGCAACTGTAGGAAGCATCTCCTCCAATCTGCCGTCCAACTTGTTGTCACGCTTGGCGTCGAGGAAGTATTGAGCGACAGACCGAATGAGCAAGGCCTCTTCGGGTACAGCATCTTCTCTCCAATACGCTAGATCTATGGAACAGTCAGTTGAGGTAAGGAAGAGCCTAGGCCGTGCCGACAACCTACCTTGGAACCCAATATTGTCGCAAATATCAGAGTTGTTTTTAAGGACAGTTTTCACCATGAGACAAACGAGCCTGAGCTCCTTTTCTTCGCGCTTTTGGACCCGGAAGAATTTCAGTAAGCAAACTAGTCGCTCCAAAGCGTCATACTGAGCTGCTTCCTGGCCATTCTCTGGTTCCGGTGCATTCAGCCAGGCGTCAATGAACTCTTCAGCAGCTTTTTGAACTCCATCTTCTCGGTCATCAAGGCCTGCCAGTGCCGCGAGACGCTGCGAAGGTTTGATGCTGGATGGATGGCAGTAGGCCGGCGAGCCGTCCTTTGGCGAAACTTGGGGAGTTAAGACTTGAGTATAGATAGCCTTGCGGATTGTTTGCTCGCGGTCACGTAAATGGGGCAATATGTGGTCCAGAGTGGTTCGGTCCACCGGCAGGTTGCATAGAATCGCTTTCCGTACTTCACTGGGAACTGTATCAGCTTCGGCATCATCGGAAAGTTGACGGTCAAGCTTACGGTTTGTCATCGAACTGCATAACTTCGTACAGTTCCTCAAGCGTCTCTTGGACGCCTTCGCGCACACAGCCGTCCAATGAGCACAGCAGGGCAAGGCATGATCCCGCCCTAGCTCTGATTTGAGAATCAGAGTCTCGAAGCAGGGTTCGTTCCAGCCGGGCCCTGAGGTCGTCATCTCTGTCCACGTATAAGAGAAGGCTCTACAACTTGAATCAAACCACAAAACCTACCCCAGAGTAACCTTTGAATGAAGCAGCTCTGACAAGGTATGCACGACGCGAAAACGGACCGATTTGTCCTTCGCCTCAAAGCCATCCATGAGGAACGCCAACACGGACTTCGTAAAACGAGGTTCTATTGGCCTCCTTTCCGTCAAACAAGCCTGGTCTTCATCTTCCGGGTTGACGTTTTCGATGCCGTTTTCATCTACTTCCCAATAAGCCCGCGTACTAAGCATAAAACCCCGCCTACTTACCTTGCTTTTTCAAATACTTGATGTACGTCACAAGAAACTTGAGGACGTTATCCGCTGCGCACTTTTGCTCTGCCGTAACCTTCAAAGTTCGAGAAAACGCGATTAAAAACGCGTCACAGAAGACCCGCTGGCCAACACGGTCGGGCTTGCTCCTGTGGCCCTTCATAACATGCCTCTGCGCATCCCGATGGACCTTGTACAGCGCGACACTGTTTTTGCAGTGGTTCGCGACTGACCCCTGAATTTCGTGGAGAATATCAGGAATCGCCGAACAGACTGCCTTGAGCCGGGCGTCGGTTGGCTTGTCTATGAAGACCAACACCATAGTGAGGTCTGAAGGCAGAGCGCTGGTTCGGTCAAGGCCAATGTTCAGAATGAACGTTTAACAAACTTGAACGCGACGCGACGAGCCAGTATTTGCGCCCTGCTTGTAGTTGTTATTCTCGGAGCACGTATTCGGCGAGCCCAAACGCTAGACAGAGTTGCCAATATAGGTATTTTCGCGCTCAAGCAGGCCAGACGACATGGGAGACAAAGAATATTGAAAAAAGTAAAAAGCAACTAGACGATAGCCAGCTCGAAAAAAAATCGCGCTGCTTATGCCCGTCGACGCGACGCGATTGCCGATTTGTTTGGCGATAGACTTTCGGTCCGAACTTCCGAACAACTGGGTCCGAGGCTGGTTGTTCGAACCCCAACCATGCATCCTTTATTCCGACGAAAGAAGTGTATAATACAACAATAAAAGGTAAGTAGCCTATGAATAACCAAGAAAAAATATAATTACAGCCTATGTGTAGGAATGGAAAGTAGTAATAGCAATGTAATGGAATTCCAACAGTAGAAAATGTGCTAGCGTAGAAGGAAGCAACAGGAAGCGTGTAAAAGTAAGAAGGAACAACTGGAGCCAGTATGTCCCAAGCGAAACAGTAGTCTGCACATTCACCCGATGACAATCAATCATCCGGTGCAAGCAGCGACTGTAGAATCTCATCCTCTTCATCCTCCTCTTCCCACTCTCCCGAAACATCCCGCCCACCTTCGGCCCCCACGTCACGCTCCATTGCCGCCTGGTCATCATCTTCATACTCCTCATATTGCTCGTGGCCCTGTTCCTCCTCTTCCTCTTCTTCAGAGTCTTCAGGAGGCATCGTATCATCCATAATCGAGTCCCAGGGTTCCTCGCTGTCTTCCCCGTTCTCTTCTTCTTCCTCTCCCCGACCACCCCGAGCCCAATCAGAGGGTCTACCCTTAGCACTCAATAACCGCGAAAGGGACCGATCAACCCTCTCCTCTTCATCTTCATCTTCATCCTCATCATCAACCAGATCTATCACCTCTGGCTCTCTCCGCCGTGCTTGCACAGGAGGTTCTTCCGTCTCGTCTTCCTCGTCCGAGCTAATAACTATTGGATCATCAGCTCTTCCTTGGGTTTCGAACCTATCGTGCGGAGGTCAGCCAAATCTACAAGCAACGAGCCCAGATAGGGGCTTACTCAGGGGTGCCCATGGCCGATTGATCCTCCGACTCCTCGTCAGCTCTGGATACGCGTCGTCGTCTGCAAATCACATCTCGTCAGACTGACAAGAGGGTGACAGAGGATGAACGTACTTGCTCGGAGGATCAAGATCCTCAATGACAGGCTTCACGTCCTCCATATCACTGTTGGTTGTTGCCATACTCATCGAGCGCCTACACCAACGACATCAGTATGATCCAATTCCATTCCGCCGGAGAAGGAACTGAGAGAATGAAAACACCAGCACATACCTCTTCTGACCTCTCGTCCTAGGCCCACCAAAGTCCGCCCCAGAGGTATCCCCATCATCCTCCATAATACTATCCACGTCCCTAAAGAAGTCCACCAACGACTCCAACTGGCGCATCTCATCATCTTTCAAGCCCTCCAGCTGAGACTTATATTTGGCCGTAAAGTTGGCTTCGAGTTTGTTGAACGCGTTTCTGGAGACGGCGTCTTGGGGTAGTCGGGCCTGGTTATCATGGGCGGAGGGAGATGCCGAGCGGGGAAGAAGTCGACAGTGAGAAACGTGTGCGTGCAAATGGAAGGCACAGAAGACGACGTACCAGCCTGATTTTATCAATCACAATCTTAACTTCATACATCCTCGAGTCGTCCACCTTCTCGCCGTCGGGAAGGTTCGCTGGGTGGGTCATCCTTGCCACACTCTGCAGTAAAACCTTTCTGTGCTCCTCTAAAACCAGATGATACTAGTCAGCAAGCAGGGTTTAACGAAGCGAAGGGTGATAGGTGATATTCACTCTTCAGCTCAGTGTCCTTTGCAACCGCCATGAGCATGTCTTTCATAAGCTGCAACTGGACATTCCAATCCACCAATTCGTCCTCCTTACTATTGAACACAGTCAGCCGCCAAAATACAAACCACGAAACCAAGGAGAAATACGCACACGCAATCCTTCAGCCTCAACGGGTTCGTATACGCTTCGAACATCTCACACAACCGCGGCAAGGAGACCACTTCTTCTTCCTCATCATCATCGCTCCGTTCCTTCAATGCTTGTTCTTTGAAGATACCCATGAAGATCTGGAACAGGGTAATAGGGCCCATTAGCTTCACGCCCCAAGCAGCCCAAACCAATAATAGAAAACATACATCCTTCATAACCTCCTGATGCCCCTTCTTTGAGAAACTATACATCTGGAAGAAATACTGCAATCCCTGACGAAGAGGTTGATTGTCCGCAGTTTCAGGCAGGATCAACATCCTAAAAAGCTCGCTGACAGCCTGAGCAACAAAGACAGACTCATTAACCAATGCCATAATAGCCAACAGCCGGATGCACTCACACTAGGATCCTGAATAACCCCCGGCAAAATCAACTTTGCCAAACCCTGACACACAACCGCCAATGTCTCCGGATGGTCCGACTGTCGAGAAACCTGCTCGACAAGCGTCTTTCCAATGTCATCAAGCTACGTTAGCCCATTGGTCATATTAAGCACTTGATAGCCTCCACACAGGGGACGAGGAACGGACTTACCGTGATCTCCTTCCGTTCCGGCGGGATAACCTTCGCCCCGTACCGTAGCACCAAATCAAAGATGGCCTGCAGGATTATCATCCTCACACTATGCGATAAACCTTCCTTGTCGATGGTCTTCGCGAATCGCTCAAAGGTGTGCACGGCGAGTTCCTGTATCAGGCCCGCCAGATTAGATTAGATGAGCCAGAGTCAGGAAAGGGCGGATCGAACCTCGTAAACCAAAGACGCCAAACTCAAGCAAAGCAAGCTGTTCTCAAACAGCCTCTCATGTATCTCGTACTCGGGCGAATTTGCGTTCTCGTCCGCATTGATGAAGTTTTGGGCGTTGGTGAGGATGGGGACTACAACGTCTTGGATAATGGCGTTCAAAATCGAGTAATGCCTGACTGGCTAGAGAGGAAAAGATTAGCAACGTGCAGGAGCGAGATCAAGCGGTCACTCACCTCCTGGACACGCTCGAGCATACTGCGACATATGAAGAGGCATGTCAGGTCGATCTCGTTCAAGAGCTCCCTCGTAAATCGCGGCATCTCGTTCCGTGGCCTCTGAAGCAGGTCCTTGCGAGGTACTCGTTGGGTGCTCCCAGAACTAGACTCTGCATCTTGCGTGTCCTAAAACACATCCATCTGAGCTCGTGAGCGACTAGAAAGACAGGAAGACAAACGCACAGGTGATCCATCAACTTCTCCCTCTCGATCCCGGATTTCGTGGATGAGGTCGACCACAATCCGAATGAAGTCCCGCTCGTTGACCGTCACAGAATACAACACGTCCATGCATAGAGCGGTCAACGTCTCGGTGAGGTACTCGTCGATCATCCCCCCTTTCGAAGTCCTTAGTACCATATCATTGCAGCGAAGAGCAGAACTCACTCATGCAATCTTGCATTTTCCGGCAGCCCCTGTGATCAGAAAAATCGAGATGGGGAGCGAGCTTGAGCAATTCTTTGAGAATAAACTCCTGAGCACGGTAGGTCGGTTTTGGCCCGTCGTCGGTGTAGAGTTCCGGGAGGGCCTTATGCCGTTTCTCGATGATGTCCGCCAGCTCCGACACTGTCGGTAGCACCTCGTCCACCCGGTTCGTCCGCTTGTTCTCCACGCAATACTCGACAAACGAGCGCATCACGAATGCGTTTTCAGGCTCGACAAACTTGTCCCAGTATTCCCTGTCTGAGAAACTGTCAGGTGCGGGCACTCCGTAAAGTGAAGCCTCACGTACCCCCAAATTGAATTGCGTCAAAGATGTCCTGTCGAACTTTGAAGATGCACTTCACCATGGTAGCGAGCACCTCCAAATTGGCGGAAGATGTCCGCAGAAGTCTGAATTTGCCCAGAAGGGCAGTTATCGGCGCCTCGACACGCTTTTGTTCGGTATCAGGCTCGTCTTTGACACCTTCCAGCTCTTCGAACTCGTGAATCCACTCCTTCACTAACAACTCCGCAGCAGTGCAAACAGACGGATCGCGGTCGCGAAGTCCATTCTTCAGAATCTCGAGGCAATCTTTCCGGTTGAGTTTCGTCGGATGGCAAGGTCCCATTTCCTTTTCTTCGTCCTTTACATTGCTGATCTTGGCTTTCAACACGTTCTGGTAGACAGCTTTCCGTACCGCTTCATCTCGGTCACGTAGTCGGTCGAGGATATGCGGAAAGGTGCCTTTGTCGATTGCTAAGGAGCACAAGACTGCCTTCCGGACTTCACTGGGCAGTTTGTGAGCATTCGGCTAATGAACAGCGCTGCTGAGACTTACGCCTTGGGATCGTAAGACAACGCGTCAAATAGAGCCTTGTACGCAAGATCCGTTTCGTCGTCTGGATCGTCGTCCAGGGCACAGAGCAACGCAAGGCATCCCGCAACTTTTGCCCGGACACTGTCTTCCCTGTCTTCCATACGTTCCATTAGTAGTTTCCTGAGTGGAAAGAATATGTCTCCGCTGCCAAACAGTCAGCTTTCGGCAACCTCTTCGAAGTCTGGAACATACTCGAGGGTTCCCAAGTTCTTCACCATTTCAGAAAGAGCGTTCACGATGCGATATCTGACGTTCTTGTCTTTGGCTGTAAACCCTTCCATGAGGAACAACAACAGGTCTTTCGTGAACCGTGCACCGGTGGTTGTCTCCAGCTCATCCAGGTCACCGGCCTCCTCAGCAGCTGTAAGTATTATCAGTATCCTGTAAAGCTCGCCATAACATAACCAACCTTTTTCGTTGACATGCTTGACATAGACAGCAGCGAATTTAGCTGTCCGGTCTGCAGCCGGATCGCCTTTCTTCACGGCAAGACTTCTGCAAAACGCCAGCTGGAACGATTCTCTAAATCTCTTCTCGCCAACGCCCTTGTAACCACTTTTCGTCTCCTTCACGAAACGACCGATATCGCAATGTAGCTTGTACAGCGCGACGCTGTTTTTGCCATGATTTCGTTCAGAACGTTGGACTTCATCGAAAATGCCGGGTATTCTGCTGCACAACTCGTCCAGTCGCGCTGCGGTAGCATCGTTGATGATTATAAGGTCGTCGTCGTCCATGATGAAACAACCATGAGGCTTGCACAATGTCGACGGCGACCAAGAGAAGCTGTCACCGTCAATCATCGCGTCTTGGGCGCTTGGGCGTGCTTGCCTTTGTTACACCTGGACGTTGTTGCCAAACATCGCGCTGCCAGTCCATCGTCAACGGCTTTGCCGCCAACATTGACGTCCAACTTCATTGTCGGGGTCACGATGCAGGACGGTAGAGCACCAAGGTATGTGTTCTGCTCAGAATTTAGGCCTGTATGTTGACCAAAAATGAAATAGAATCAAAAACCGGGCGCCGGCCGCCATCCAGGTGCGTTGAACCCAATGAATTGAGGAATTGATGCTCATTTCATTGTCTAGATTACAGCGGAACAACTCTTGCGAGAGGTAAGAATATAATCCTACATATATTGAATAAACTAACCTTTTGCTACTAGGCCCAAGAGCGACAAGAAACCGCATTCCGAGCGCCAAAACAACGGGTTGAAGACTTTGAGGAACTCAGTGAATATCGCGGTCGAAAGCGAAAAGAGTTCGAGGAACGTATACGACGGACTCGAGGAAGCATGTAAGTTCAAACTTAGACTCAAATTTGTCCCTTTTCTAACGTAAACCAGAAAAGAATGGCTTCAATATGCGAACTGGGAGGTACGTACCCATATCGCCCACAAATGAACTTATTACTGACTCGATTTAGGCCTCCCAAAACGAGTTCGCTCGTTCTCGTTCAGTATTCGAACGTGCCCTCGACGTCGACCCACGGAGCATTCAATTATGGCTCTCCTACACCGAGATGGAGCTGAAGAACCGCAACGTCCAGCACGCCCGCAACCTCTTCGACCGCGCAGTGACCCTCCTCCCACGTGTCGACCAACTCTGGTACAAATACGTCTACCTCGAGGAACTCCTCCAGAACATCCCCGGCGCACGACAGGTGTTTGAGCGATGGATGCAGTGGGAACCCGATGACAAGGCCTGGCAAGCGTACATTAAGCTGGAGGAACGCTATCAGGAATACGACCGCGCCAGCGCCATCTACGAACGCTGGATCGCAGTCCGACCAGAACCGCGCGCCTGGGTCAAGTGGGCCAAGTTTGAGGAGGACAGAGGGAGGTTGGACAAGGCTCGCGAAGTATTCCAAACAGCCTTGGAATTCTTCGGCGACGATGAGGAGCAGGTAGAGAAGGCGCAGGCCGTGTTCGGTGCATTTGCAAGGATGGAGACGCGACAGAAGGAATACGACCGAGCACGCGTGATCTACAAGTTCGCCCTCGACCGAATCCCTCGATCCAAATCCGCGGGTCTTTACGCCAGTTACACCAAATTCGAGAAACAGCACGGCACGAAATCCACACTTGAAAACACAGTACTCGGCAAGCGGAGGATACAGTACGAGGAGGAGTTGTCGCACGACGGTCGGAATTACGATGCCTGGTTCGACTATACCCGCCTCGAGGAGGGTGCGTGGCGAGATCTGAAAGACGAAGGTGCCACCGCAGAGGAGCTAGAAGCAGCTACTGGCCGAGTCCGTGAAGTCTACGAACGCGCCGTCGCACAGGTACCTCCGGGTGGAGAGAAACGCCATTGGAGACGGTACATCTTCCTCTGGCTCAACTATGCTCTGTTCGAGGAGATCGAGACCAAAGACTACCAACGAGCCCGGGAAATCTACCAAACCGCCATCAAATTGGTACCCCACAAGCAGTTTACGTTCGCGAAGTTGTGGCTCATGTATGCCAAATTCGAAGTTCGGCGTCTAGAGCTGCAATCGGCTCGAAGAATCCTTGGAACCGCCATTGGCATGTGTCCCAAGGAGGCTTTGTTCAAGGGTTACATTGACCTGGAAATCGAGGTATGCATCCTTTGCGATCTTACTTGAACAGCGCCTAACGAGTCGTCCCAGCTCCGTGAATTCGATCGAGTCCGAACACTCTATGAGAAATACCTGGAGGTACGTACACCTGTATCGCCCTTGTCCTACCCATCTAACCCAACCGACCCAGTTCGATCCAAGCAACTCCCCTGCCTGGATCAAGTACGCCGAACTCGAGGCACAACTACAGGACTTTGCCCGGTGCCGCGCCATCTTCGAGTTGGGCGTCTCCCAATCGCCACTCTCCATGCCCGAAATCCTCTGGAAAGCGTACATCGATTTCGAGATCGAGGAAGGCGAGCGCGAAGCTGCACGGGCGTTGTACGAGCGACTTATTGCACTCAGTGGGCATGTCAAGGTCTGGATCTCGTATGCAACGTTCGAGGCGGAGCCCATTCCTTTGCCGAGGGCTGAGAGGGAGGAAGAAGAAGACGAGGAAGAAGACGAGGAGGCTGAGAGGAAGATGGTACCCGGCGATCCTACTATTGCTCGACAGGTGTTCGAGCGTGGTTATAAGGACTTGAAGAGCAAGGGTCTCAAAGACGAGGTACGTTTTCTTCCTCTGCCGTTGAATATGTCACTGAATATGAGTTTACTAGCGTGTTGCACTCTTGGAGGTCTGGAAGACGTTCGAGGAGAACTACGGAACATCGGAGACGGTTAATAAGGTCGAGGGCATGAAGCCGGTGATCACCAAGAGACGCCATGTCGATCCCGAAACTGGCGGTATGGTCGAAGGTACGATTCAACCCAAGATCCGATGTTGTTTAGCATCCTCAGCACCGTTTGTTACTGCAGATTGGGACTTGGTCTTCCCCGACGACGAAAAGGAGAAGAACCCGACATCCTTCAAGTTCTTGCAAATGGCGCACAAATGGAAGCAGTCACAGGCTAGTAAGACTCAGACTCAGGCTTCTGAGAGCACCACTAGTAGTGCTCCTGAAACCTCTCGGTCATCCATGCAAGTCGATCAAGACGAGGGGAGCGTCGCGAGCTCGGATGATGAATCTTCATAGTGTAGTTGTTACCTGCATACCTGTTGTATTTTCGTCTCTCTTTATACCTGAATTTAGGTGCCAATCCTTGGATGATCTTCTGTTAATCGTTATGGCATTACGAAGGCCGTACATTAATTGATACAAGATATATCGCGACTAGTAATTGGAAGGAACTAGAGTGAATGGGACTGAAGGAGCGCGGAAGGCAGCTCCAACCAAAGAAACACTAACGGTACTTCAAATTCGGGTGAAACTCGACCTGCCTCGCCCTCAGCGTCTTTCCATAATTATCAACAAAATCCGGAGACTTGGTGTACACCTTCCCGCTCCCATCTCTCCGGCCTTTCTGGGGAGTCGGCTCCATGCGCCTCATCTCAGGATCGCTATCCGGGGACTTCGCAAACTCCTCGATAGTAGCGTGCCGACTGTTGTGTTCTTTGGTGGGGATTTGGGGCGGTATCTCGCCGAATCTGACGTTCATGGGCTTGAGATTGTCAAGGTCGACGCCAGTGCCACCACGGGTGGGTGGTTCGGAGAGGCGGGCGACGATTTGCTCGTCTGAGACAAGTAGGGAAAGAGTCGGTCAGTCCGTGGAGGGATGGAAGAGAGGACACACGCACGATAGGGATTCTTTCCAGCAGCCTGTTCACGCTTCTTGTGTTGGATAAGTGAGTACCAGGTGCCGATAAAACCTGCAGCGACTATCGAGCCGCCGATGAGGAACGACTAAATGTATGGAAAACCATGAGCGTCCCAAGACGAGTCATGCGGCGAAAACACGACGCACCTTCCCAAAGCCAGTAGGAACCTCGCGCGGACCGACCGATGAGTGGGCCATGCTGATAGAAAGTGCTGGAAACTAGACTGTTCGCTGTGTTTGGAAAATGAAAGAATGGAACGCGTTTCGTGCACAAGGTACAATGAACTCGGGGTGAACTCGTGAAGGTTTTGTTTGTTTCAAAGGTAGCAGATTGCGCGGTGCGAGGAATGGAAAAAATGTAGGAAAAGAAGGAAGAAACGGGGTTGAGAAAATGGGTTGTTCATATTGTAGGGTTTGAGGAGTTTCGAAACATGTACGATGTCATGGGGGGTTCCACTCGGACTCGGAATGGATCGAAGCAAGGGGTACGTGCCACAATTCAATCCTGGATATAGAATCGCAGTGTCTTCGATCACCAAAGACGTCCGGCATTTCTGCATAACGAGATAACCCGGGGGCGCATGGAATAAGGTCGTATAGGCGCCCATTGAACTCGGCTCAAAACGTCAACTTGGTCACAGGTGATGAAGGATGATTCTATTGGTTTGCAGAATTGCCTTCATTCTGACCTGTAAACTGTTTCAGGAACGATTTCATATGTTCTAGTGACTCGATTACTCACTCCTCCTGTATTCAGCCAGAACGGCTTTGCGTTTTTGAGCGATCCTTTGTTTCGCCGCGTAGAAAGTCAGACCAAAAATGACGAATCCACCTGCGAAGCCCCAGGTCTAGAAAACCTCAGTTCGCGGTCCAGTCAACAGCAATATAAGAACTCACAAGCTTTTGCCTCGTCGTTAGCTGTACCCTTGGCATCATTTAAACCACGGACTGGATGAGACGGTCAGAGGGAGAGAAAGTCGCAGTCAGGATTCGGCACTGTGCGAGCGAGCCAGCCAGCGCGAACCGTTCCGGGCTTGATGACTAAGAAATGCGGTGATGCCATCAAAATTCCAAGCCTCGTGGAAGCGCCCGGTCGTGGAAGTCTGGAACAGCAAGTAGTGCTCAGAGCGCCAGTGTGGTCGCTTGCACGGTATTCCAATCCCTATCTAAAGTGAGGGTGCGCTTATTCTAGTTGAAAACTACTTACTTGGGAGTAAGAAGTCCGGAGGCCGCGTTTCGTTGAACTCCGGTAATCAAGCGCCCAGCGCTCTGGTGCCTGCGAGGTCCCCAAGGTACTTACCCAGCGTCCTGACTCTCGCTTCTCGCCGAGTACCCAAGACACAAAGCTGATTGCTAGTCAATACATAGTGTACATACGACCCATCTCCACGGAGAGCGACTCTCACTCGGAAAGTTACCCGCAAGTAGCACTTAGCCTCGCCTCGGGTGGATACTTCATTCCGCACCGCCGATCTTATCAAAAGTACACTACTTAAGAGTTTGAGAGTGAGCCATGAGCGCGTCATCTATGTGCTCATTGCGGTTGTCGTGCTCACCCAGAGCCGCGAATCTCGTTATGAATCTTATGGCCCGCTTTGTCGACGCTCGGGAGAAGGGCTTGAGAAGGGCAGGATACAGCTAGGATACAGCATGGTGCATTCACGACATGAGTCTAGGAGCGCATTGAGCTTCTTGCAGCGTCACCTTCGAGGAATGTTAATCTCCAGTTGCTAAACTTGCCGCAACGATCACATTTAGACTACTTCTCAGAATCCTGTTCAAAGCTAATCGAGCCGTCTTGTCGGAAACATACCCAAGAAAACACGCTTTTAGCAGCACTCATTGGGTCACTCTCCCTACGATAGATTTGAATGACCAATGTAGGCCACAGAAATATATCAATAATTGGCATTTCTAGTAAAGGGCTCCGAGAGCCATGATTTCCAACAGAATATTCAGGCGCCAAACTTCAACTTGTTCAAGAGTGGATCAATCCCTGTCCCCTTCAATTAATTCTGATATGGCCCTTCATCTTATAGTACACCGGAGATCTCCTTGACTTACGTTCCCTCGCCTTTCCTCCGTAGTCGTCGATGCAATTGGCCATATTTAGCTTTTCGGAGCGTTCACAAATTGTAGCGTCTCCCACTTACTCCACAACCCTCAAAGAAGTCTTCTTCCAGTTTCATAAAAGACCTTGCCAACTCCAGGGTACTCAAGTGCTTCCAAACGCACTAACTTTCATTCGAATGGAGATACAAGTACGTTCACCTCGCCCTTCGCGCCGTCCAACAACTCTAGTGAAACGAATGCGCGGCTGCCGCTCCACTTAGATTACACTCCACAGACACTGAGCACCCAATCTCCACATCCCGAAGCACCCAAATCGCTTGGTCGCTACGGGCAGTTTCAAAGTCCGTCAAGAACCCTGCAGCTTTACCTTTCGGAAGTCGAAAACGTCGCCTTGGCATTTTAATATCCTTTGCAGCCTTTCAACGTTTCAACTTCAAGGGTGAATTCGAGTTCGTAGACAAAGGGCTGTGATAAGCCAAGGATAAACGCTTTTCGGAAGGTGAATTATGAGGCGGAAATGAACAAGGACTTAGGAGATATGCGTCACAGCAGGGGATTGAGGCGCCAATGATCCATGCTCCTGTTCCTTTGAGGTATTAGATCTCTCTGTCGGTCTTACAGGCCGGATTAGAGGACGAACCACCAGCCACTGAAGAAATGAACCGAGCTACACATGCAACGCGGCAACTAAAGGCTCATAATTGGTTCGGAATTAGCGAAGACCATCACCTATCGAGTAATAAAGTTGACCTTTCGGGAACATTTGTCCTGAGTCCTCTTCCCGAGTGCGAGGTCCGAACTTCGCGGAAGACCTACATATTCGTTCCGACCCCAAAACGTATGCGGAAAGATGATAGGACATAAGCCACGTATGCAGGGACCATATGCTGGAGACCGGCGAATTGTTTTAGTTTGGTTTTAGTAATCCCAGCGAGAGAGCCGGCAACTGAAATCAATCAGATTTATTCTGCATAGCGAACCGTGATCAGTAGACGCTGGCGTTTACTTGGCCCCGCTCAGCAGGGATCAGCAGAAACAGAACCTACAAGCGGCGAAGACGTTTCACCTGAAGTGAACATCTTCCAGAAGGACAACGACGGGGATTCTCAACAGACCCAAATATACCCGGTAAATCAAGAGAAGGCCGTTCACTTGTTCGGAAACATGAGTCGTACTGAGTGCTATCTGAAGACGAAGAGAGGCATACGTTCGTCATACAGGCCTTCAATGTGACATTCTTCTGTGCCATCGAATGCTTCAGATCACTAACCAATTCAATCCCCAAGAAGGGGACACTCTCTGTATCACCTAAGCGGTTCTTCAGGCTATGCACTGATCATGCCAGGCGCCAACAAAAGATACTCAATGCCCGTCTAACCCACCAACCTCACAGCCTTCCTTCCAAGCTCCATGTCCAGAAGCCTCGTTCCCGCTTTTTTAAAACAAGGTTCACCAAAAGGCAACCCACAAGCTCTCATGACCTCCGGCGGTAATGGAACCAAGGTTGATATGAACCGCCTCTATCGCTGAAAGCCAGTTCTCCTCGGCGAAAGGTTGGATCAAGTCATCGTCATCGGTAAGAAGGACCAGAGGCTCCTCGTTCTTGGGCTGACTAGGTACCTGGGTTTAAACGATCAAAAGTCCGATTCCATCCATACGTACCGGGGATATGTCAGAAAGCTAGGAACGAGGGTGGTTCGCCTGGACGACGATAGGACCCCCCAATACCTCGATAAAGGCCCGATACAGGTTCCCGGTCTCCCGTCCGGAGCAAAAATCTCGAATTTGGAGTTCCTGTCCGGGCGTTTATCAGGCCTCGCGCCTCAGAAACCGCAAAAAATGTCCGGGTGCGGCGCTCGTTTCGCAAATTGGCGTTTTTTTTTTTTCCGCCGTTGAGGCCAAAAATGCCAATTTTGTCCGGGATTTCACTGGCCTTGCGGCCTCAAAATTCCCTTTTCTGTCCGGATTTGACCTCCAGCCTGTCCCCAAAACCTGAAAATCCTGTCCGGAATCCGCTCGGACCTTCGTCGAGATTTTGGGGGGTCCTACGACGATCCCTATCTATTTTTGACGTGAGACTGTAAGACGTCCAGATGGTGGGCCGACCTAACCTCAGGTACAGAAGTCCATTGCGGTTGTATAACCTCCAGTTCAGAACAGTATACCCCAAAGTTTGAGCGGCGTCGGCGGAACATCCGCGCCCGCGGTGTGTCCAGACTGAGACAGACGCCAGGTAGTGCGGCTGTCACCGAGTGTTCGAGCCTATGGAAAAGGTTAAGCTGGATCATGCCGGCGGCGGGAGTCATTGTTCCACTCCCAGCGGGAATTCGACGCTGGGAATCCTCGCTATAGTTAGTCGGAATTGGCCAGCAGTCTCCCATCGTTAAGCTGTGGCAAGTACCTGATCCCATGGGTGGGTAAAGATCTGGCCTCGGGGAAGCTCTTCTCGTCGACGAGTTTGGAGAACAGCACCCCCCAGATGGACTAGAGATCTGGGTCCTATCCCCACTCCGCCGATGCCATCGCAAAGTCAAAATGTCTGGGAAGACCGTCTCGGCTGTGTCATCGAATGGTGGATAATGCTAATGGTCGTAGAAGACGCCAACGAGAGTTGCCTCGGCAGCACCTGCCAGAAACAATACAAGGATAGAAAAACGAGGTGACCTGTGTGATTCGTTTGGTGATTAGGGCAAGGGTGGCTTGATAACAAGCTGTCAGACGATCGCAGATGGGCAATTGGTCAACCAGCTTACTGACCTTCAATTCAGAAGGCGTACACGAGGCATGGTTGCGCGTCTGGTGAAACCACTTTCATCAATTTCGGATGATGTTCGTGACCCGTGAAGAACGCGTCGCGTTATTTTAGCCTACCTGTGAGACAGGTTATGCATTCAATGGTGGTTCTGGACCTCCTGAAGACGTCCAGTTAGTTACGCGCCCATAGGTGGTATGTAAATACACACCTCGTTTGCCGGCAACTGATGGTTACTGCTCCAATGGGCCAGATCCCTGAGATCTACAGCAAACTGCAGTTGAACCAACCGAACCCTGTCTTCCTTTTCCTTTGTCTTCCCAAACCAGGCCACGCGACCAAAACGTGAGCGAGTCGAGAAAAAAAAAACAGTCCATGCCAAAGTACCGATTAGAAACGTGGCGCTGCGTTGATCAGGGAAAAGCAATTCATCTCCGAGTGTGGCACACAAAGCCTATCCATACCATGCGAACAAAGGCCAGAGTGAAGGGCGCGGGAGATTGGAAGTCGAAAACAAGTGGGTCCTTTCAACTCCACACCACGGAGATTGGATGGTGTGATAGTGATGAGAAGTTTCCCATTGACCGTGGCACGCTGTGGCCCTAAGTTAATTCGTGGTAGGAGCCCCCGCACGCCCTCTGTGGATATGAAAGAGACACAGGAAGGCTCAGGAAGGGCAGATGCTAGAGCCTTCCGATATACGAATCGTTACCTTGGAACTGTAAAATGAAAGGTCTTCGTTGATCAGTTCAAGGGCTATTAGTACGATTTGAAATTCGAGTGTTTGCATACCTGTACAGACATGAAGTGCTGGAGAAAAAAAAAATGCAGGTACGAACGCTCGGCAGGCATCGTACTTTTGAAACTGATCTTACCAAGTTCAACGCACGACGAACCGCCGAACAAAACACCACGCTCCCCATCTTGCCTTTCTCCTGCCGGATGATAGGTATGCAAATCCTGGGATCAATATCGACCATCGTCCACCTTGGCTTGTAGCAACACCGAGGGTACCTGGATACTCGGTCAACGTTCCGGGTGGAAGAGACCATCAAGGGTGATTGCAAAGGACCTTCAGACTGGTCTTTGTCTTGGCTTGCGTGCACGAGATTTTTTGACAGACAAGGCGGCGATGCAATTCCGTCACTGCAGTGCAATGTCGGTGTGTCGGTGAGAGGGGATGATGCTCTGTTGGACATTGCACCCTTCATCTGGCATGTCATCTCTTCCCAAAGCTCTGCTACAGCAAATACAATGGCCCATGTAACTCCCGGACATAGTACTCATCGACGAACGGTTGTCGCTAAATTGAAACCCAGTGAACGTCAAAAAAACATGCCGAACGGCGAGGAGATTTTTGGAGTGTGTCTCACTTTGTTGTCCCGGTAACCATCCTCGGGAACAATATTACTCTCGGCGCGAAGGGTTGAACGACAAAGATATCCGACACGGTTCCAAGCCTTGGCCGGTCGACTCGAGGGCCCCGATTCATTGTCACTGGTTCAGACGGCTTTCTTTCACCTGCCAGCGTTGAATGGGGTCGACCTTGGCTAAGCTCCTCCTATCTGTGCCATCTTTGAACCTATACGTATGCATGGCAATATCGATTTCTTGTAACGAGTCTCCTTTTCATGAACTTCAAGTTGATTGTATCATTATCACGATTTCGGATGACAGTGGAGAGAGTGTGCGTACTGTATGAACTCAGCGTTATCACTGCTACTCCACCTGTCGTGTTTTCTCGACGAATCGCGACGGTTTGAGTGCGCGCGGTGTTCGAAAAAGCACGGATACAAAATCAGCTATGACATAATGGATCATGCGGGTCGGACTTGGGCGTTGGTTCGTTACAGACCTTTGATCTCAAACCAAACCATTCCACCGAAACAAACCGCATGCCAAAGGGCGAAATCTTCCCCGATCCCAATCTTGGAAAGATGCTGAAATATAAATTAGCTCCATACCTTTTGACCCTTCGTTCCCTGTGCCCAGCTTGACCCTCGCATTCCAATCAGGCCCTTCGTCCACATCCCATACCAAAAATTTCGTTGCTCACCACTTCGCCTTAACCAACGCTCACATCCATCCACAACAATGCCCGGCACTGTCATCTCCACTGCAACAAGGATCTGGGAGCTCAACGTCCACTGGACAATGTACAGCCAATGCGGAGTATGGGATCCCAAGGGAAAGGGAGTGGACATCTGGGAGTGCATTCGAGATCGTGAGTATAGGTCCTTGTCGTTCCCTACGCTCTGGGCTCACCGGCAAACGTACCCTTGCATAGATGACTCGACTCCCGGAACCCAGGTTAGTAGTCATCTTGACCCGTCCGCCCGCTCCCGCAGTCGCTGATGTGATATTCATCTCTCCTTTCAGCCACCAAATGCACTCTATTGGCGATATGTTGCCAGGAGATAGTACGATGCACGCGCCGTCCCCCGCTCAGTGCGCGCTGTGCACTGCGGGGCGAGAATCAAAATTCCTTGGAACGCGCCAGGACACCCCACCATGTCACATGCGACCACCATCCCAATCCTGGTGACGAAGACAAATTGCTTCAGTTGCCCGACGACGACGGCTCGTCGCAACCCACCACTCACCGAATGGAACACTACACGCACCCGTCGAAACCTATCATATCGAACACTTCTCTAATCGACCGACACTTGCTTCTATACCATCCACCAGCGCTTCAGTCGACTTCACCTGGCACAGTCTCCGGCATTCGTTTCTTCACCGTTGGCAGCTGCGCTGTCGTTTTTGGGCCTTTTGTATTCGTTTTCCGGGTTGGACACAAGGGGGCTTCATGGCGCTTTCCGATACACAAGCGGCCATTCAGAACATTTCTCCTTCTAAATTAGTCGCAATTTCATGATCGATTATTTTTTTCTTTCTTCAATCGTCTTGGTTTCATGGTGTCGCACCCTTCGCCTTCTGTTTCGTTGCATGACCAGAGGAACATTCATAGCGCACCTATAGCATATTAGTTTTCTTTTATTCTCTTTAGGGTTTCTCGGATAGCAAGCAATACACTCAATGTACCCATACCTTTCCATAATTTCATACATCTCTCGCGACGAGCTTGCTCCTTGAGTTGTGTTTGTAAAGTTGTCGCAAACCGGAATCGACGGCGCTGTTACTATGACATCATTCTACGTCATGCATCAAAAAACATATCCGGCCCCTGTCAAGTGAAGGTCAACAGAGAGAACTCACCCCGAAGAGGGCTACAGCGAGAAGCGTACCAGTCCGAATCAAGCTCATACGAGCACTACCATGGGATCACATCGCGCTTCCCATCGACGATTAGCCGACGATGGGAAGAACGAGCGTAAGATGAGCTCAGGAGGCAGACAATTGGCTTCAGGCCTGAATTGCATATTTGTGGAGGCAACGGCGCGAGCGCTCAGCTGGTTTGCTTGGGGGAGTATGAAACTGTTGCTTGGAGTCTAAAACGGTTCTTCCGCCGGTACGAGGCATCACACAAGTCCTATGATGTGAAGAAGTTCCAAAAGAAGTCAGTTAAACGATGTCAAGGGTGTTGCCATCCCGCCTTCACCTTCCGTAACGGTACCTTCATATGTCAGTTTCTGGTTTGCGTGGTCAGTTCATCACCACAACGGGTACGACGAACGGAAGTACTCAGTGGGCGCCCTGTCCCCGCATGCCGAACTGTGTCACACAACTGACAAGCTGGGGGAAGTTGGGCATTTGAACCCCAATTTCTTTTACATTGTGCTGCGCACTTGAGACTAGCTCATTCAAGGCAAGTAAACTGGTTGATCAATCCCGTTTGTTAGACGTTCACCAGGTTTCATCACTTTGCCTTCCAATTATGCGGCAGTCGCATCATTCAGCGAAAACGTCGATCCTTCTTTAGGGACAATAGTTAAACGAAATCAGATTGATACGACGCGTGAACCTACCATGACGTCGTCTTCCAACGCTTACGTCGAGGGTGGGTCCCCAAACCAGAGTTTTACAAGGGTAGCCGACTAGTCCATCCATTTTGGTGCGGCACTATAACTCCCAGAGAGAAGCTGGCTTCTGGTATTCCATTGAATCGTAACTGCCATTCTTTAGTCATCGGGTGAGCCGTGATATCAAAGGACGCCGAAGGTAAGAGCTTCCCTTCGTTTCAAGAGCAAATAGAATTCGGTACCGGGAGATTGGAGGAAGACGCATTGCCTCTCTCTGCTGATGGCCTTGGTACACTCTTTTGGTGTTGCGTTAATGTAGGAACTTTATCTGCGGTGGTTATAAAATGCGGAGTCAAATCTGGGACAAGATAAGCTTGGTATTCGTATACAGAGAAATACTTACTCGGTACACTTGTCGGTGGCGTTGCTACATCCCGTCGCAATGAACCATTAACAGGTTCTTCCAGGAAGTAAATGGTTGTCACAAATAACCGCCGGCGGTCGTTGGACATGATGACAGCCTGAGGTTTGGGCGATTGTGACACCTGAACATCGCCACTCTTCGCGGAACGTGAATGTCCTCGTGTAACAAGAAAGGTTATACAGACAGACACTCACCGTGATTTCAAACCAGCTCAGTTTGGGCTTTAGGGTAGTCCCAATCCTCCCTTGGCGAGCTTCGGGCTCAAATGCACTTTTATGAGCCCGCCGTTCGCAATTTCAACAACGAAGTCCTTGCGCATACATACAAAGAATGACAATTCTGCTGAGAGCGTTCTTCACGAGATTGTTGAGGGATGAGTGATTGCTTTCTAATAGAGCTGATGCCTGGCGGCAGTGAACATGGACGTACACGACAGAAAGGGAGAAGGGACGCTGCCCAGCGCGAAGCACAACAGATATCAATTTTGTTTGGCAACCAAATAACGCGATGGTATATAAGTCAAAAAAAATGTGAAATACATCCATTCCTTCCTTTTCCTTTCCTCTGCCTCTTCGCATCCACCATTATCTTTCCCAAATTCAAGTCTCAAGGAAATCTCGCTTAGGCGCTTGCTTATTTCCCGGAACGCTTCCAGTAGATCATCAAATGTTTATCATTTTTCGCGATTCTGGTTTGAGATTGGTATGAGCATGTACCATATGGACTCGGATCCAAATTTCTTACTTCTATTTCCCGTCTTCTACTGACCAGGGAGGAGGGTCTCTCATTGCAAGTCCCAGCGCGGTAGCATTCGTGATTGATGAGATCATGTGATCGCTCTTGCGTCTCACGTGGAAGACTAAGTACGGCCCGGTAACGCCGCTCGAGCAATTTCTTCATCTTGAACCGCGACGAGCGCGAGCCTTTTGGCCGTTTCGACTCCTTTTTGACTCAAGTTCGAATCCAAAGGAAGATGAGAAGATGAAAGCAAATTACAAGGTGCGATTCACAATGCTGAAAAGTCTTCAGGGCCCTCATTTTATGTCAGTTTTCAAACATCTGCGGCACAGTCTACCGCCAAGGAAATATCGTCTTCTCTGCCGATGGAAATACGCTCTACAGTCCTGTGGGCAATCGGGTTTCTGTGTTTGACCTTGTCAAGTGCGTCCCATAGCATTGTATATCGTTGGAAATCACTGATCTCGTTTCTAGTAACAAGTCCTTCACATTCCCGTTCGAGAATAGGAAGAACATCACGACTATCGCCCTGAGTCCGGACGGCAATGTGCTTATCTCGGTGGACGAAGGTGCGTCCTCAGACGCCTTATTTGAACATCAATGAACTGTATATTGAAGATCCTCCCCAGACGGGCGTGCACTTTTGGTCAACGCAAGGCGAGGCGTTGTAATGCATCATTTCAACTTCCATAAAACCGTGAAGGATATCAAGTTCTCTCCGGATGGAAAGTACGTCGCTCAGTATATACAAAGGGTTTATCTGACCAAGAGAAACAGATACATCGCCGTGACCCATGGTCCTCATGTCCAGGTCTGGTGTACACCAAACCACCTGGTTCGCGAATTCGCTCCATTCAACCTACACCGGACATACACTGGACATCACGACGAAGTTTTGAGCATATCTTGGTCGCCTGACTCGAGGTGCGTTCGTGTCGCTTGCTAAGCGTTGTATACCAATCCTTCCTCAGATGTTTCATTACCACCTCGCGAGATATGACTGCGCGTCTCTTCACGCTGAATCCATTGGATGGATTCCGACCGAAGACCTTCGCTGGACATCGAGACGCTGTTCAATCTGCTTATTTCTCCGCCAACGGCGACACTGTGCGTCTTATCTTCTGTCCAAGATGCGCATTCAACTTACACTGTCCTTTTAGATCTATACCGTTAGCAAGGATGGCGCCGTGTTCACTTGGAAAGCCAAGGACGAAGATGGGTCGGACTCGGATGAGCCCATGGCTTCGACGTCGACAGAAATATACGGACGGATAGCCAATACCCGTTGGGGCATTCAGAAGAGGAATTACTTCAACCAAGCCAATACGAAAGTCGTCTGCTCTACTTTCCACCCTGCCTCAAACCTTCTCGTCGTTGGCTTCACCTCTGGAATCTTCGGCATCTGGGAACTACCGGAATTTACGAGCATCCACACTCTCAGTATATCGCAAGAGAAGATTTCATCGGTCGCGATCAACGCCTCAGGAGAATGGCTCGCCTTCGGTGCCCGGAAACTGGGCCAACTGCTCGTGTGGGAATGGCAATCCGAATCCTACGTGCTGAAACAACAAGGGCACTTCTTCGACATGAATACTCTCGATTACGCCCCAGATGGCCAGACGATCGCCACGGGTGGAGATGACGGCAAAGTTAAACTCTGGTCATCTTTTTCCGGATTCTGCTTCGTGACGTTCACGGAACACACCGCCCCGGTATCGACAGTCAGCTTCGCAAAACAAGGCAGCGTCCTGTTCACAGCATCGCTTGACGGTACTGTCAGAGCCTACGACCTCATCCGATATCGCAATTTCCGAGTGTTCACATCTCCCAGACCTGTCCAGTTCTCGTGCCTCGCGGTAGACCCTTCGGGCGAAGTCGTCGCCGCTGGCTCCACCGATTCATTCGAAGTATTCCTGTGGTCGGTACAAACAGGGAAGCTCCTTGACATCCTCACAGGACACGAAGGCCCGATCAGCTCTCTCGCATTCTCCCCCGCTGGTGACAACCAGTTGGCGAGTGGATCATGGGACAAGACGGTCCGCATCTGGAGTGTGTTTGGGCGCTCCCGTGCTGTCGAACCATTCAATTTGTCGGGAGATGTCCTTGCTGTCGCATTCCGACCGGATGGGAACGAACTGGCTGTCTCTACCCTGGATGGGCAGATCACGTTCTTCGATGTCCGTGACGGAAAACAAACCAATGTCATCGAGGGGAGGAAGGACGTTTCAGGAGGACGTAAAGCTGACGACAGGGTCTCAGCTGCCAACAGTTCGTCTGGAAAATCCTACAACAGCCTTGCTTACACCGCCGACGGACGATGTCTGCTCGCCGGTGGTAATAGCAAGTATGTCGTTCTGTATGACGTACGGGAGGGAGAAGGTCTTATGCTCAAGAAGTTCCAAATTTCACAAAATCTTTCGCTGGACGGAACGGAAGAATTCCTCGACAGCCGCAAGGTCAACGAAGTAGGAATCAACACCGATTTGATTGATGACGGAGACGAGAGTGATCTCGAAGACAGGCTCGACACCACTTTGCCTGGAGCCCGGAGAGGAGCAGGTGACATGTCGGTTCGGAAATACCGTCAAGAAGCTCGGACAAAGTGTATACGATTCTCGCCGACGGGAAGGGCGTGGGCGGCAGCATCGACAGAAGGCCTGCTCATCTATTCTCTCGACGAAGCTGTGACCTTCGACCCCTTCGACCTCTCGATAGATCTCACCCCACAAGCGGTGCTCGAAGTCTTGTCGCAACGCGAATACCTCAAAGCCCTCGTGATGGCCTTCCGACTGAACGAGAAGCCGCTGATTCAACGTGTATACGAAAGCATCCCCCCAGCTGATATTCGACTCTTATCACGCCAACTGCCACTCGTATACGTCCCGAATCTGCTCAGGTTCGTCGCCGAACACCTGGAGAAGAGCCCGCATTTGGAGTTTGATCTGATTTGGAGTAAAACCTTGCTCATGCTCCACGGGCGGTACCTCAAGGAACGCTCGGGCGAGTATGCGAGCGTGTTCCGGGTGTTGCAAAAAGGGTTGTCGGATTCCGAACAGTCCATTTCACGGATGTGAGTGCATTGCTGTCTATTTGAGTTATCCTGACTCTTCGCTGACATTTCTTCTCCTGCGACAGATGTGACGAGAACACCTCTCTTCTCTCGTATCTCGTGGATCAAACCAAAATTCGACAACAAAAAGACGTCGAAATGTCGTCATCGTAGTGGATGATTGTACAGTACTCTTATTGACATTGCTGATTACTTTGGCATGACTTCTACTTCAGACTCGAGGGTGAATCTTGGTTTCCCTTGGTTCGCAACGTTTCCGTTTTCACTACGAACGGCGGTTAAATTGATTATCGCGCCCGTAGAGAGACAGGAAGCGGCCCACCTTGCCCCTGGTCAACATTGGTCTGGACTCCCGCCGGCACTGCAGGTTGCTTCCCGGATGCTGTCGATGTTGGATGTTGCCTATGAGACGCTGGAGGGTAACCAGGAACGCAGGAGAGAGCACGCACATTGTTTATTGGAGGAGCCAACAAACCACCACACCCCCACGAGGAACGTGGCTGCTGCTGCTCCCCATAACTAAGAGACAAGATGTCTTCCAGTGAGCGGGTATTTCTAGGTATTCATGTGGGCCCTTTGAGAGGGCGGAAGACGACGCACCACTGGGTTGCCGTCAGCTTTGTATGGGTTGCCATTGAGACCTGAGCCGCCGCTCATTTTTGCATTTCGGCGTACGATCGAGGCGAACATGGTTCGGCTTTCGCGCGACTTGGGTTGGGGGAAATGCTCTGGAAAATGGGGGATCGCAAAAGTTGGTGAGCCGGCTGGAGGTTCGATTGCTTATGTAGGGAGGTTGCGCTAAGGCGCCCGCGTGATGTCATGGATGATCTCGCGAGCAGCGAGAGGGAGCTTCGAGTTGGGAAGTGGGAGAGTCGGTGGCTCCAATGGTCTGGTAGTTGGCTCGACCGAGGGAGAAATTCCAGAGCGTTATTCCATAGTAGACACTGCAATCGGGCCTATTGTAGGAAGCCCCGACATATGCTTACAGACGTCCCTGAGGGCTCTTGGAAATTCCGAGTCGGATTTAGACGCTTATTAGATGGTTGTCGAAGATGCAATGTTTCTACTGCTACAAGTTCAAGGAAATACTACTCTACACGTATTGAATAGACCTCATGCGATGATTCATGTCCACAGATTTACTACATTCTTGAAGGCGAGTTCTCGTTGCCTTTGGTGCGACTGGTCTCTGTGGGGGCTACAGTAACTTCCCTCGTCAGCCTCTCTGGCATTCATTCAAACCGAAGTAAAAGATACGCACCGTGTCCCCTCTGCATTTCCTCTCTAGCATGCTTTGGTATATCCTCGTGACGATTTGTCCCTGTAGGATGCAAATGTTAAGGCCGCTTTAGAGTTAGGCATTGCACTACGCACATATTTTCGCACCATAAAAGGTACTGTACACCGTCACGCCCACCAACAAAGCTGCAGCACCTGCTTTCTGGTATCGACAGTCACAGTTTGAGCATCGAAGGCGTGCAGTAACAGGGCGAGCTGACGCACCACTGTGCTATTACTAGCTTTCTTGTTCAATGTACTCGCCGTCTTGCTGAAATGCGCATTTCTACGGGCCATTGTCGCAAACATGATGAATCAGACACTTGAAAAGAAGGTGACGCTGAGTATATCGTAGAAGGAGAAAGCAAAATGACGAGGAGGACGATCTAATTATATGTCAGTGGGGGTGGTCTTGGCGAGCATTTGTGTTCACAGGGTTCTGATGTCATTTTTGGGTCATTTCGCAAGGAACTAGGCGAACTCCGCAGAAGGAGGTTTGGTTCGTCGTCCTTCAATTTCGACGAGCTCGAGCTCCAGTTCGTTTCCTTTGCGTATGTTACGTGAAACGTTGCGCATTTCAGGGGGTTGAACTTAGTAACTCCCCGCCTGTGATCATGTGGATGACCCAGAAGTGCTTCCAGGAGGGAGTACCCCATCCGACATGCGCGACTTAATGAAGGGGAAGAAGCAGACATTCGTATTCCGACAACGTAGGTAAGGTTAGGTTAATGGCTAAAACTACAATCAATGTCCAGACTAGAACTTTATGCTCAGAATGTTCCTTCCGAGTTCAACGTTTACGAGGGCTTTTGTTGCGAAGGTGAAGCTGTTTGGACGTGCCGATTGAACCGTGAACCGCGCCGTAGGAGCCCGTACAATGTTCACTGCGTACCTTGTTTCTTGGTATCGTAGTTCATGTAGTAGTACACCCCCAAGAGTGCAGCAGCGCCCGCTGCTCCTATGATCTAAGAACAAATCAGGTCAGCCAGGGGTAGGGTAATAGATAGCTCGTTCGAAACGGCATACGATGTTGTTGTTGTTGGCCCCCTTCTTTGGCCCATTGTTCAGGTTGTTGCCTCCAGCGCTGACAGTTCGTCGGATGAGGGTTGAAAACATGGTAGTAGCGAGTCGTCGTGGTCTGGAGACGTGCAAGGTGAAGGTACTCCCAGAGGACTTGAACACCGTGAGAGGCCGTCGTTCTGGACAACGCTATATATGCATCGTGAAGGGTTGTTACTAAAGAGCTGATGTCATGAGACAGGCCGAGGCTATCTGAAGACGAGAATGGGGACCCTTCGCGAAGTCGATTCCTGGGATCATGGGGTCCACGGCCGGGGCTTGAGGGTAGATCTCTAATCGACGAAGCTCACTTCGACACGATCCTCTATTCCAAGGTAAAGCTGTACGCTCGCGGCAGTGGGAAACGTTAAGGGAGTCAAAGTGAACCAATGGTTTGTCAAAGTAGTGTTACAAAGTGCAGTATATTACACGAAGATGAAGCCAAAAGGATTGGAAAGTTCATCACAAGGATCCAAAGTTAGAAGTGAAATCAATAAGGCGTAAAGTTGGCCAACATGAGACCTTCAGCGTCGTTCTCAGCTGGTACACCGCGACTGGTCAGCGTATGACCGTACGACGTTAAACTGTGTCCCAAGAAAGAGCGGCACCTTCAGTAGATCTGCTCGACGCTTGAAAGGAAGAGGGTCTTTACTCCAAGTGAGCTTTCTCTGGATTTTGACCGTTAGGGGTTGATTCTAACGCGCATTATAATAGCATAAACGTACTGGTTTCACGACGCCCCTCTGCGACCCATCCCCAATAATAAGCGAGGCCAGTCGCGACTGTCAAGGCCCCAAAAGTCATAAACTACGGTGCATGAAGGGGTCAGAAGACAGGGGTCTATGTTGCGCGATTCGACGAACCATAGTTGCAGAGTCGGATCTTGGCTTGAATCCAGGCATAGGCTTAGTACGGCCCCAAAGTTCCTGGATGGGAGTGTTACGGGCGATTCTGGACGGGATCATCGTGACTGAAGGTTTAGCAAAAGCAGAAAGGAGATGAGCGTTGCTGAGGTTGAACGTTGAACAGTAGCAGTGATAAAGATAGGCGCAGTGGATAGTTGGGACATCCTTCCTGGCTTATATGACATGTCTCAAAAGAAGCCGCACTCGCACTCCAATCCACCTCCATACTACCATGTCTATGTTTGGATCGCCCATCCCCACACCCAACTCAATCTTGATATCATGTCTCTCTCCCATTCAATGGAGAGTCAATGCGGAACTTCCCGCATCTGACAGGGTTCTGGGGCCGTTCGATGGGCGGAGACGCTGCGCAGGACCTCAGACACGATCATAAATGGCAGGTATGCATCCTATTTAGGAACGTTAATGCCCCGAACTTCGGATCCTGTTACGTCGGTGGCATACGAAGGAAGAAAGATACAGAGCAGAGGGTGATGGTATGTTTGTGCAAGGTCAAGTACACGGTAAAGCAAGCTTTAGTCCGGAATTTAATTAGAAGCAGAACCTTTCTTTTTCTGTTGCTTTTTCGGCTTCTTGGCTACCCTGACTTCTTCTCTGGCCTGTACCTGCTTCACGCCAATCATCGCCGGGTTAACTAAAGGAAGAAAGAAAATCAGTAAGCGACAAAGCGCGGTTGGACTGTGGCTTACTAGTTCCAGCGAGCAGGTCGTCAACGACGGGTCGGCTTCCAGCGGTGATGTATTTGGCCGAGATACCACGCGCGACTAGCGGTTGTGCGAGCATTTGCTTGAGCTCAGCTTTCAAACTGGCGAGTTTGGCGTTATGTGCTTTTTGCTGTTGCTTCGTCGATGCCGAATCTTCTTCATCACTGAGAAGTAAAGCATAAGTTTTCTCCTCCAGGTGAAGAGCGGCAAAAGCAACCCCACCTAAAGAAATCCGAATCCAAATCGACTTCCAAAGCATCTGCAGCTTCCTTCACCCAATTCTTTTCAAACTTGCCCTTCTTCACACGATGTTGCATCCCCTCGATCTCCTTTGCAAGCTTCACCCTCTCCTTCAGCCGATCCAGCAAACTCAACTCCAGATCCAATTCGGGTATCTCTGCCTCGTCTCTTCCTAGGCTGTTCATGAGGGCTTTGACGATCCGGCGCTCGTCGGGCGCGCACATGAGCATGCTGAAGCCTTCGCGGGAGGCACGGGCGGTACGGCCGTTACGGTGGATGTAGGTGTCGGCGGTACGAGGAATCTGGAAATGGATAACGTGGTCGACGGAGGGGATGTCGAGACCGCGGGCTGCAACGTCTGTCGCCAGAAGGACGGAGTTGGGGATGGATTTGAAGCTGTAATATCAGTCAGCCACTGTGAGTAGTAGAAATCGATGAGGAGGGCGTACCGATCCAGGTTCTTCAGCCGCTGCCTCTGCTCCATCTGCGAATGCAGTGGGAATGCTTTGACATTAAGCAGTTCGAGCAGTGGGTTGAGGCGACGGATGCCATCGATTGACGATAGGAAGACAAGAGTACGACCAGGATGGCGGAGGAGGAAGTAGAATAGATACACGTCCTTATCGGCAGTCAAGCAGTTGACCCTCCCTTCTTGCAGCGTTGAGACAACACCGCCCTTGGGGCTGAGGTCAATAACCTCTGGTTCAGGATCTCGGAAATCGAGTCTGAGGAGGAGGTCATCTGGGAATCCAAACTACATGAGTACACTTCGACGCGACGGCATCAAGTGTTCCACCAACCTAATGTTGAAGAAGGCTCGCGCTTTTTCTTTTTCGAGAACCCGCTTGATCGCTTTCGTCGTTTGAGATTGCGTTGGAGGTCTTTGCTCAGCGTAGCCGAGAAGACGAATGTCTGCAGGTCAGTTCCCTTCTGGGCGGACGAGGGCTTGTCGTCTGCCTTATCATCCATGTTGGTATCCTCGTCTTCCGATTTCTCGTTGTCGATGCCAGGAATTTCATCCTCGCTGAGAGACCCATTAGGTTTTCCAGACTAGATGATAAGGTACACTCTTACCTCGACTCGCGTAAGGTCAATCGTAAGATATTATCCAATTCAGCGAAATGGCCTGTCTCAATCATTCTGTCTGCTTCGTCGAGGACCAGGAACCGAAGGTTTCTGATCTCATTGGCGAGGTTATCGTCCTGGCAAAAATCAGCGCTACGTCCATAAACCACGCGACGGGAATCACCTACCGTGCTAACAATGTCCCAAAGTCGACCAGGTGTGGCGATCAACACGTCTACACCACGATCCAATACCCGCTTTTGCTTTTGCGCAGACATTCCCCCGACGATAGCCGCTACACTGACATGGGGAGGAGGTTTCACCGCCTGTTTCTTTTCGTCCCCTTCATCTTCTTGAGGTTCTATCGCCCTTAGGGTATCGGTAAGATGTTGAGAGACTTGAAGAGCCAGTTCACGGGTAGGGGCGAGGATAAGGGCGCGAAGGGGTCGTCGACGCTTGGAGGAAGGTCGTTTTTGGTTGAGAAGGGTGTGGAGGATCGGTAGACCGTATGCGAGTGTTTTGCCAGAGCCCTGTAGAGAACAATACGTCAGGATGACAGGGAATAAGAAACTCAGGCTAAACACAGACAGTCTGCGCCACTCCGACGACATCTCGTCCCTGCAAAGCGAGAGGGATGGCTTCCTTCTGGATTTCGGTTGGTTTTGAAAAGTTTCTGGCGTGTATTGAACGCGTCAGTCTTGGGTGAAGGCCAAGAGGGTGCCATTCCGGCAACAGCGTTTCTGCTACGTTGTAAGCTTAGTCTCGAAACAATCCCTTGATAAATGAGAGCTCGTACAGTCGAAGGGTTCTTTCTCTGGTTCTGAATCCGCGGATTCGTCGCTATCTTCGTCTGGAGATTCTTGGTTCTCTGGCTCTTCATTATTCGAAGGTTTTTTTGGGGATGGATCATCCGTATACTGTAGAGATAATCAGAATTTAGCCTCGTAAGACTAAAGACGAATACGCACTTTAAATTTTGCGACCTTTCCCGTTTCCGTTTCCTCGTAGTAAACCTCGACTCCTTCGACTTCCTCTAGCTCTAGGATTCCATCATCACCGCCGAGACCAGTTTCTAAGGGTCTGGAAACTGTTTTCCAAGGCAACTCGTCGAGGCGAACAGTCCGTTTGTTAGCGCCGTCTACTTTGGCCTTTTTCCGAGACGAGAATGAGGACGCTGATTTAAGCTTTCTTTTTAGAGCTAGCCTTTTTGTTGTTGAGGACATGGATTGAGTGAACGATGTCGGGGACTGGTTGTTGTTGACGTCCTCGTCGTTGTCGTTGTCGATGAGCAAGTGCAGAACTAGACTCGTAGATGCCGATGCAGGAGGGTGCCGAACACGGCCATCAGTCTATTCCCACGTACTGCCCCTATGAGTTGACCAGTTTGTCCCAGGTTCGTCCAGGTTCGTTCCTTTCTTCTACACTTCATCCACCAGTCTCTACACTTAGCACGGTCAGACATGACTAGGAAGATCAGAACACAAAATGAGGAAGCAATAGTGAAGATCCATTCATTACCGACCGTTTTTTTTTTTTTTTTTTTTCGAAAACAATTCACCAATCATACCAACTTCTACCATCGCCTCGAGACGACCCAGATAAAAAACAGGATATGAAGTTCCCCGTGTCCAGCGCACTTTGGTGCTCGAGTCCTCGTACAACTATTTCTCTTCTAGGGCTCCATTCTGGTGACCAAAGGAAGCCAAATCATTCTTGATGGCCGAGGACGCTAAATTGACAGTCGAAAGGTGTCCGTCGTGGGTCACGGCAATCCCCATTGACAGTGCTGCGCAAAGCATGTAGGATGCCAGCAAATCTCAATCGACGACGTTTTTCTCCTAGCCATTTCCTACCTCCACCTCGAACGCGAAGTCCCAGCAGTACGTAGCTACTCGCGTTGCCTTCGCCATATGTTGTTGCTGACGGTGACGATGAAAAGCTACTCAGGATGCTGTCTTGGCTAGAGGCCGCCTGTCAGGCCCTGGGGCTAGGATTTCATACGCTTGCGCCCGCAAAAGAGACCGCTGAAATCGAAAACCTTCCCCGATCCTTGCCTATTTTCCCTCCCGAGATCTGGAGGATCATACTGGGCTATGCCACTCGCCTCTGCGGTGCGCAATCAGTCGATCTCCCAAATCCTCTCTCAGGATCTTCAGAGGAAGATTACTGCCGAACAGACCCCGGGTTCTTTCAAGATCGAATGAACCTCAGCCAGGTCTGCTCGGTATTCCGCACACTCGTGCTTGACATGTCTTTCGAATACTTGGTCATTGAAACGGGCCATCAACTTGCCTATGTCGCCAAGTTGGTGGACATCCAGAAGCACCTTGGTGAAAAAATCCGGCGAATTGACCTCCAGATTACCGGAAAGTACAAGATGAAGCATTTCTTGGCCCTCATTCAGCATGCCCCAAATCTCTCTATCTTGATTAACCGGAATAATCTCAACAAAGGCAGCTTCGAGCAGGTTCCCAGCGACATGGTGAACGCATTGGTGAACCATGGCCGCAGTATCCAACGACTCGAATTTCAAAGCACAGCGGAATCTCCCGCCCTTGAGGACCTCCTCGATATCTCTCGACACCTACCTAAACTCGAAACCCTTCATCTCGTGAACATGCATTTCTTTCCTATGCGCGTCGAACTTCTGAGCGCTCTTCCTCTTCTCCAACTCACCAACCTCAAATCTCTTTCCCTAGGCCTGATCCCCATTCCATGTCCCGAAGACCGAGAAACCTATCCGGAAACTTGGGATCCACTCCTCGCAGTCCTCTGTTGCGACCCGACCACCCAGCTGCCCAACCTGACGCGTTTGGAAGTTGACATCTTCCCCACTGGCTTCACCCAATTCTTCACGTACCACGGCCACAAGCTACGTACGCTCCGCACCGCCATCTGTGCGCCCAGCCAGCCTCTACTCCCTGAAGGCCTCGAGGCATGCCCCAATCTCACTTCCCTTATAATCACGCCCTCACGCGAAGTCAGGATCAACCTGCCCAGCTCGCACCCTTCCATTCAGCGTATCTGTATCGTTCCTCCCTCGGACGAGCGTATCGATGTACCGTTGAAGTTGTTTCGAGCCGCTGCCATGGATCCTTTGAACAACCTCTTGAACGACCTGTTCGATAATTGCAAATTACCCAAGTTGGAGGAGGTCAGGATACGGAATACGGGGTTGTTCTCGGGGCTGGCGGTGCACAAGTCGTGGCTCTCTCCGTGGACCTTGAGGTGGGGGTTGAGGGGAGTCAGGTTTGTGGATAAAGCAGGTATGGGGTTCAAGGATTGTGTTTCTGGTGAGCGTCTCTTGATGGAGATCGGGGGACTGGGCTGACCTTGATTTGTCTACAGATGACGAGGCATTGCTAAATACCATCCGGTTGTGAGCGAACCCCATCGCCTCCTGTACATTCATTGGCTCGTGAGAGCACGCACATCATGTATCGAATTGGCAACTTGAATGCCGTTCAACCTTGCACATTTTCTAGACGTTCGCTCCGGAACTTATCATTTGTAGATTACAGTAGAACTCTTTGTACATAGCATATTTCATTGTCTGCTTTCTCAGTGTACACTTGAGCGTCAGCTGGGACACCGTCTGGACTAGTCCTCCATCCAACATCCCATGACTAAGGACTTCCGTTCGATGCGTGGGCATAGGGATGTAAGTATTGCAATGTATAGGATACGGGTGCTCATTCAGATTCTGTCTGGGTACATTTGACATAAAAAGTCGTACGCCGAACGAGCGGCCTTGTCTTTGGCTTCTTCCAAAGTCGTCCCAGAGCCCATACCGATGTTAATCAGCTCCCGCTGCTTCCCATTGCGGCTGGTCCTTGTAATGGATACCAGAGCCCAGAATCCCAGCCCGCTGGGGTCTGGCTCGACAAAGTGGCTCAACGTCTCTGGTCCAAAGAGCCCCCGGCACAGGGAGCTCAGCTGCGTCAAAATTGGCTGTTTCCTGAGGTATGAGTCCCTGCCACTGCGCGGCCGTCAGTATTCAAAGCAGAGAAGGTTAAATAAAGGCGCACCCCTGGCCACCGCGCCCACCAATACTGTCATCATGTCTTGAATGACCTCTATCGCTGGGGTTGTAATAGTCGTCATGAACCTCGGTGAAATTGGAATCGTGGACAAAGTCGCGAGCATGGTGAAGGTGGGCCATGGTGCGAGGGCAAGTGGAGATGGGAGTGCTCATCTTAGTGGACGTTAGCTTCCATATATAAAGTGCTGCGGCATGCTGCAGAGGCGTGTACATTGTACATCTTTGGCTTCTATACCTAGCGCCCGGCAACTCTCTTACTCAGGCTCCCCGAGCAGTAAAAAGGGAAGAAGTGAAAGGGAGTTGGACTGAAGGGTCTTCATTGACCATGCATAAGAAGCATGATGGACTCAAGAGAGAGCGTTACCTCTCGTGGTTCAGTGAAGACTTTTGAGGTGACCGTTGGATTGGTCGTGGCTCGTGTAGTTCGCGCATAGCCAATACATTGAAGGGTATACCTCTCTAGAGAACCTGGCCTTAGATCTTTCCCTATCTCAAGACTCCAACTCAACCTGTTAAACTACTTTTTGCCCCCCATCAGCCGATGTCAGCATGAGGCCGGGCCAGTGCCACTGCATAAGCGCCGATCGACTGTTTGGCTTCCATGCTTGCGCCAAACAAATGATACACTTGCCTAATCCAGAGTTGGCAGGCGCCGCCAACACCACTCAACACCAGCCCAATGTTGGGCCTTTAAAGCCGTTTCCAACCTCTCGACGACAACCAACACGACGACTGGCGCCATATGTCGAGCTCACAGCGGCCAGGAGCCCCAATTCGATCCTTTGGAGTCCAAGATGCGACCAACGAAGAGGAGACACCCAGTACTCCGTCCGCAGTGCGCCGGATGCTCAGTCGGCTGTCATTTGCCAGCTCCATGCGACGACCGAGCTTCCTGAGGAACCACGATGAGCAGGGAGAAGACGCCGTCATTGAGCGAGCCCCGATACCGACGACCAAGGCTGAGGCAGATGCGACGCCGCTCCCTGTACTCTCCATGATTGTCCTATCTATCGTATGTCAACGTTGCGTTTACAGATTGACGACGTTTAACGCTTTGTAGACGATGTTGGGCGAGTTTCTGTCGGCGAACGTATCCACGCCCTTCTTGTTGTTCATGGTCAAAGGTGCGAGGTCTGAGATTTCCCTGAACAATGTTCGAATCTAACGGCATCGCTCAGGCTTTGGCGAGTTGAACTCTGAAGCAGAGGTTGCTTTCTGGACCGGGATTATTGGTACATCGGACGTTTTCGCTAAAACCACTCGCCTTTCTGATCCAGTTTACAGTTTCAACATTCTTCTTGACCCAATTCATGACTTCTTTGCTTTGGGTGCGTGGATACCGCGAGGGAGGGAGTCTTGAATCCCCCTAATCGTGTTTCTTGACAGGCGACTGTAGCGGAGAAGCACGGACGTCGAGCTGTATTAGTCGTCTCTTTGTCCGGGGGAGCTTTTACGTGCCTTGTTTTTGGAACTGCGACAACCCTGAAGCAAGCTGTATGCATTCGGTTACTCCAAGGTGTATTTGCAGGGTCGGTGGGCGTAGCTCGGGGTTCCGTCGCTTTCATCACAGACCCCAGTAATGAGGGAAGGGCGTACGCAATACTTGGGTGAGTGCTGAAGTTATTGACTCCATTTCTCGTTATTTAAACATATGTGATTAGTTTCTGTTGGGGATTTGGTGGTGTTGCAGGGGCTATTATCGGAGGATCATGTGGGTCGATTACAGATTTTACGAGTGCGACATGGCGTTAACCGCTCGACTAGTCGAACGCCCTGCAACGAAATGGCCGGAGATCTTCGCCGACATCCCGCTGTTTGTCAACTATCCCTATCTATTACCGTGTGCTATCGCAGCGGCCATCATGTTTACAGGTAATCACATCCCATCCCCTTTATTGCCGGGCTAACTGTGCATTCAGGGTCGTTCCTTGCCTGTTTCCTGGGTCGAGACGGGGGTCCTCGCTCAGGTGCCATCCAACTTCCACCGGAGAAGGATAACAATCTTCCCCCCACCATTCCAGAAGAGGAACCCGGTCCGTTAGATTCGACGTTCGAAGATGACGAGGAGACAGGACTTCTCGGTCTTCGAAAGAAGATCTCGAGACGCTTCTCAAACATCTTTGCGAAGCGCGTTCCTGATGCTGGTTCCAGTCTCAATGCTAATTCACCGCCGGTGCCCTTGCATACCTCCCCTAGCGCAAATCTGGAAAGGCCAAGAGCGTTCTCAAGAACGAGTCGGGCCAACGGTTCCGCGTATGGCTATTCCGGAGCTTATCGTAATCGACTGGCGAGTGCGCCAACATGGAACGTTAGGAGAGGAAGCCTTGCAAGCACCTTGCGCCGCAGGAGAGGCAGTAACTACGAAGCCCTTCGAAGAGATTCGACGACCGCAGAGGGATCGGACCTTAACTTTGCCCAGCGGCTGTTGATGGCCAACGAGAATGCAGTCACCAACATCGCCGATCTCTGGGTGGCTGCTGCAATGAACGTTGATAACGAAGAAGTGTTCGAAACTGATTCGGACGAGGAGTTCAACGATAACGATGAAGCAGTGGAAGATGAGGATGCTGAAGAGCTCGAGGGTGGTCCCTCTGCAGGCCGGAGGTTATCGACGGCCACAGCTACACCTCCGATCCCCAGCAGCTCACGACATCGTCCAAGCACAGCTTCCTTGCATCCTTCTCTACGCTCTCCCTCTCACCGCCACCCCTCCGTATCATACTCTCCTTTGATGCATCGTCGCCCATCCTTCGTGCCGAGTATCTTCTCCCACTCCGGAGTGCGAACCCCACCCGCTTTGCTGGAAGCTCAACGCCTGCTGTCAGGAGAGGGCGAAGATGCCGAAACTTTGGCTACCATTGCTGAGTCAAGACAGCCGTCGCAAGTGGACGTCGAGTCGCTTCAGCAGGCCGAGAAGGCTCCGTCTCTTGCTTCACAGATACCCGTCCTCATCATCATCCAATACGGTGTCCTTGCGCTGCATACGACAACTCATGACCAGGTGTTCATGTCCTATCTCGTTTCGTGAGTGCCTCGTATTTAGAGTATCTTGCTGCTTGACTCATAAGCTTTCCAGGGACTACGAAACAGGAGGTCTGAACCTGAATGCAGGACACTTTGCCCAACTCAGTGAGTCGTCTTGTGCTGTGTTCGGGAGCGCACGCTGACCTTTCTCCAGTCGCCCTCATGTGTCTTGCGCAAATCGCATACCAGTTCTATCTATATCCGTGAGTAAAGACTACGAAGTTTACTTCTTGAACTAATTCGATTCTCTCTTCAGTAACATGGGGTCAGTTGCTTTCTGTCACTTCTTTCATCGGGATTCATCTGAATTGTTACGTCTATTTGCAGGCCTCCACGGGGACGATTCTCCCATTTAGCAATGTTCCGAATCGGCTCCATCATCTTCATCCCCTCATACCTCACCGTTACCCTCTACCGGCCTCTTGCCAGCGCCGAAGATGGCGGTAACCTCCTCCTGATGTGTGCCCTGGTTTTGAGCACGTACGTACCCAGCTCTATTCCCTGAAAGCCCGCGCCGACTTATGGACCAACTCACAGGGCCCTTCGATACTGTGGTATCGTCTTTGGATACACTTCAATATCCATTCTCCTGAACTACAGTACGTCGCCATCGCCCTTAAAGCCCTGTTCTGAGACTGACCTCTTTCTCAGTGACACCGCCCGCGGCAGTTGGATACGCCAACGGTGTTGCACAGAGTATTGTCAGCTTGGCCCGGTGTGTCGGGCCAGTCATTGGTGGATATGTATGTACAGGCTTTCGTCCATTCCTTGTGATGCGGGAGAACTAACTGGACCCTTCAGCTCTGGTCAGCGAGTGTTGAAGACCATCCGTCTGGTTATTACCTCGGTTTCCTTGTCTGCGCAGGTGTCTGTGCATTGACGGTTGTCCAGAGCTTTTTGATTCGATGAGGTGTACGTTGGATATCCCTTCCCCTCAATTCCCGACTTCTCCGCTATGAATCAATCCCTGCGGTACACCATGCCCTATTTTGTGTCGGTATCATGCTGTTAGCTCACCCATAAGGACATTCTCTTTTCCGCTATCTCGATGGCTGTTACACATTTACACATAGGCCGTGCATACATTTCAATCGCAACCTTTACAGTCTCGTCTTCCGTAAATACAGTTTTCGCGCGCTTTCTTCGTGTTTCCGACTTGTATACACTTTCGTTTCCCTCAATTACATGCCTGTCTTCGTCTGCAGCATAGCGTGTATTGGGTCCCGAGTGACATGTCTCCTTCTCGTATGGCTTAGGATGACTTGGGACACTTACTCGGGTTGGACTGTTTATTATATGCCTCTCGGGGTTTCCGGTGCTTCCGAAAACGAAAAGGGTATAAGACGGGGGAGAAGACGCGTTGGTTTGGTGGATAACTTGATTCTGCTCATAGAAGCGATGTCAAGGTGTCTTGAGACTGCGGGGAATGAATGGATTCTGAGAAGAAGCTGCTCGTAATTTTAGGAATGATCTTCTTGAGAGATTGAGACATTCTCCCTGTATGCCCAGAGTCGACATGAGCTCCCAATTCCCAAGGCGATCATGTCGCTGCTGACGAGTTCATCCTTGCGGACCCAGCTAAAAGCCATGGCGCTGTTCACATAAGGTCCATAGAGCTTGCATTCTCCCTTGCTGCAGTTGCAAAAATCGTGAACAAGCTTTATCGCCCGCGAGTTTCGTGAGCTTGGAGCCGGGCGGCGGGCGCTTCGTCCAATTTGTTTGGTTTGGCCTTCGGTTTCAAATCGATGACTAAGCACATGATTGACAGCGGGCGCTAACGACGAAGCTTAGTTTTCGACCTTCGGTCGTTTATCTGGGACTTTCTTGCTCTTGGATCATCCTCGTCGTAACACTGGACTGAATACACTGTGGTGATTGCCCTTCCGACTCGAACCCTTCCCGTATGTCCCCGCGACTACAAAACCACCACCAACGCCATCGTTTTCAATCCCAAGTGGTGCAGCTGCCACGGATTAGTGGGGGGTTCTAGCTCTTCTCAAGGGTCACCGAGACGCCGCGGCGGAATGCTTGTTTGCCTTCTGTTCTCTGCGGTGTCGCGAGGCGGAATACATGATAATTTACTCCTTCATCAGTCGGCTGCCCCATCCTCCCATATTTCTTTTGTGTACGGGACTGAGGACTGATCTAGACTGTCGGCCTTTCTTATTGGTATTTTTTTAGAAAAAGAGTCCAGAGCTCGCATGCAGCGCCCCCGCAAGTCCATACCAAGTCAACAGGCCGCGGAAACATGGATTTAGTCGTGTAATACTAATCGGTATGCATCGAAGGAGCTCGTAGGTGAAGTCGATCTTGGTGGCTAAATCTCCTGCTATCTTCGTACAGTCTTAGATTCACAAGCTTCCGAATAGGTCTCTCAAAGCTCGAAGTATAGATCCTCACTGGTTCCGAATGGCTCGCGATCTAGTGGATTACAATCTAGTGGCGGTCGAGTCCACCCAAGTTTTTGACGCAGCCATAATTCTTTGCATCTGGGCGTATCTTGTGGCTCTCTGGAAATCATCTCAACCTGAATGGAGGAACATGGCCTGCTACTGCCAGACCATATTTGTCCAGTCAACGTGTCGGCGTGACCAGCTTTTGGTCTCACGATGGTCAACTTGAGCTGGTATTGGCAGGGTCAGGGCAACATAAGTAAGAGTAGGTCCATATGTCAGTGACATACTCCAACCGTTGATAACCCTTGTTTGTTACAGATCGTGATCTTTTTGCTATTCTTTAAGGCACCCGCTGCTGCCTTCAAGTTGGCAGTTGTTCACCGCTCACCGATGTCATGACATGCTGGACTTGCAACATCATCAAAGGAGATCATGCAGCGCCTCAAGCACTCGCCTTTTGGAGACGGAACGGCTTCAAGCGTTGTGATATTCTCACACACTACCATGAGCCCTGCCTAGGCATCGGGCCCCCAAGCCAGTTCGTGTCTCAGCGCGTCAAGGACAACAGAAACAACTGATTTCAGGTCCGTGACCTTGCCTTCTCAAACGAAGCCTTTCATTTCCTGACGTCTTCCAGAACCTACACCAAGAGCGTTCTTCGCGAGCAGTCCATGACCTTCCGAATGGTGATGCTGTTAAATCGTCCCTGCCATGCAAACGGTCGCAATCCACGACACTCGCCTAATGGATTTTTTTGTTGACCGTCCTCATCTGGCTTCATTGTATACCGTCAATCCCAAGATTCACAGCGACAGTTTCGGATCGACCGTGCGTGCCTAACGAGATGGGGAAACGACACATATGGAAACCCATGCCGGATAGCCTCATCGCGAGAGATCTCTCCACCCGCCCGTCCAGATTTACTTCAGCAAAGTCTGAAAGCTACTTTGGGAATATAGCTGGCATTGCAATCGGGCCTAAAGAGGTGGCTACTTTGCTGTTTTTGAATTCGACCGATCACCTCAAAAAGCCCTATAAGTGCAGCTTCCGACCATGTCAGCACCTCAGGCTCAGGCATCCTCCGCTTTCTCTCTCGCATCCTTCCCGCCAACACCACTCGCCGCTGTTCAGCTTGCTGCACCGAGATGTCTTCGCTTGACGCAACCATCCACCCGGTTTTGAACTTCGAGGACAAGAAGATTGTCCTTCCCGACCTCGTCTCCCACTGCAACTTCAAGCTTCGCGTCAGTCGACACCGAAAACGAATTACTGGCGAGACCAAACGCTGGTTGTTCAAGGGCGACAATCTTGTCGGCCCTGCGCGAAACAAGTACCATGGATTGAAAGCTGGCCTCCTCACCGCCATGACTTACCCTGATGCTGCATACCCCCAATTGCGTCTTTGCAACGACTTCCTCACATATCTGTTCCATATTGACAACCTCTCGGACGATATGGACAACCGAGGGACGTGGAGCACTGCGAATGAAGTTCTTAACAGCCTCTATCATCCCTACACCTATCATGGCCAAGCGCGAGTTGGGAGGATGACCAGAGAGTGAGTCTTTGTGACTCTTATTTACCCGTTTCCTATGCTAATCGATGCCTTCCATTCTACGATATGAACAGTTACTGGAGGCGGATGATTCTTACCGCCTCACCCGGCTCTCAACAACGTTTCATCGAGACGTTTGACTTTTTCTTCCAAAGTGTCACACAACAAGCGATTGATCGCTTGACCGGAGAGATACCTGACCTGGAGTCCTACATCGCCCTTCGAAGGGATACCTCTGGATGCAAGCCATGCTGGGCCTTGATAGAATGTAATTTTTCTTGTCTTCCATCGTTATGTCACGCTTTGCTGACTGTTTGACATGTTAGACGCCAACAATCTTGATCTTCCGGACGAGGTCATGGACCACCCTGTTGTCCGTAGTCTTGGAGAGGCCGCCAATGATCTTGTGACGTGGTCCAACGTACGTGAATTTACTGATACGACTATCTCGCTTTCTTCCGTGATGCTTATTCTTTCATTTCAGGATATCTTTTCCTTCAATGTCGAACAGTCCAAAGGCGATACGCATAACATGATCCCTGTGGTGATGCATCAAGAAGGCTTGGATCTTCAGTCAGCTGTCGACTTTGTTGGCGAAATGTGTAAGTCAGCAATTGACAGGTTCATCGAAGACCAAAACTACCTGCCTTCTTGGGGTCCTAAAATCGACCGGGACCTGGCTGTCTACATCAATGGACTTGCAGACTGGATCGTTGGGTCACTACACTGGTCCTTCGAAACCGAGCGATACTTTGGCAAGAATGGACGACAGGTCAAGTCGAGTCGAGTAATTGATTTGCTCCCTCGACGATCACAGTAGACCACACTAGCACTTGTTGTGGGCTGGAATCTCCCTTGGTGAGTGGTTATCTGCTGCCCGACTGGCAATGTTCATTTCGCTAATGGCCCTTATCTCCTCTAGTGGTTGACACCACCACTGCGCATTAGACGCAACGCCCCCAGGCTATACCGGGTATTCCTCTAGGAGGCCCTCAAAACGGATTGGATTCGTTTTTATCCATCAGAGGGTTCGACGCAGATCGTCGACATCCGGCCATTAGGCGCCCTTCCATTCAATATTTGGTCTGCAACATCAAGGATATCCGTTTCGTGCTTCAGTCCACACCACTCTATCCATACCACTTTCCTTTCGGTCCTTTCCTTGGTTTCCTCTTAAATCTTCGCATTTTCTCCATTCACCTGGCTTTCATTTCAAAATATTCATTCGCATTGTTGGTTTCGTTGTCCTTTTCAATTGGTTAATTCCACCTATCCACATTCGTTAATTTATTACAAGCATTTTCTCCTTTTTTTGTACTTTTTTATGTTCCTTTCTCCCCTCCGCGTTTCTCGTTTTTCCTAAATTCTGCTTTGTTCTAGCCATTCTAGTTGTACAATATGCACATGTCTGCGTTGTTCTACCGTGCGCACTTGTCTCCAATTAATGCCTTGTCACCTTTTGTCCACACACCGTTCCCTTGACCTGGAAGGCTTGAAAGGCAACCTGGCGGATGAAATACTACACCGTCACCTCCATTTCTTGAGAGGGATGAAAAATCCTCCGTTGCTCGAGTCGTACCACATGTTGAGTCGAAAAAAGCCCAGTCCGTGACGACTACTTGTACATACGGGTTAACGACAAACCCATTCATTCCATGGTTTGTTCAGTACCATTTCGTCCATTCAGTATGTACTCTGGAGATCCATCTATCCATCTCTCTGACCCACCTTGTCTCCGAAGTTCCACTCCTACTATGCCTCAAATATCAATACCATCATTACCATCATCACGGGCGTTACTGTAACCTGTCTTCAAACCTCTATATCGAGCAGGGGTAGAGGCCACCTTGAGTCCACTTGTATGGCCAGGCTCACACATACATGATGTTGTAGGGTTTTTCTGGGGTAAAGGGAGGTTGGGTGGAGCGAGATGTCAAATGGCCACGGGCGGGCGACAGCCTGGGCTATTCATTCCAGTCCTTGGAAGGCTTAGGAAGGGATGTGGGGTGGGTGTGTGGGAGTGGATTGGCCCATTGGATTGATTCTGACGGTTTTTTGCAATGGGCTCTTTCATTGATGGTGTTAATGAAGAAGCAGGACTTCAATGAGCGACTCGGACGGCGGGTTCCTTAGTTCTTAATGAAACGGAACAGTTCGGTTGTGGGGTTGCTGTTGGGTTGGTGCGGCTTTTCAGCTCTTCCTCGCAGTTCGTTCGTTCCTGAGTCTGGGCGTGAGGGTTGGTTATTCTGTTAATGCTATGTCAGTGTAGCGCTCGAGTCTGGACCACGTGGACGACTGTCGGTATCGCTGACACTGGGGGAGCGAAGCATGGTAGGGCGCTATTGACGTACTCCATATCGTACTCGTTGCGTACACTAGGTGTATGCTCTCTCCTTCTAATTGGCTATAATACGGCTTTGGTCAGGGTAGGATAGGCCATACGGAGAGTTTACTAAAGTCTTGCGTTATATTTAGAGTTTTCTCTCGGAGAGCTAAACCGTTTGAGGTATGAGTTTACAGACTTTTAGGGTAAGTAAATTCAGGTGGTGGACAGTCCGCGTCGGGGGTAGAGCATACGAGAGAACGAGAACAAAAGGGTAAGGAGAAAGATGACGCGAGATCTACTTTAGAGTTTAAATGTAAGCGCATCCTATCTAGCGCTCACACAGGCGTACTACGTTGAAGCGCTAGCAGTTTTCGGCTTGCTTTCACCACCCTTCTGTATCAGTCGATCTTCCCAATGGCTGTAACTTACGAGTCTAGACGCCACCATCATCTCGCTCCCTCCTCCCATTATCCCGCGCTCCACCCAGCCTGTCTCCCTGCAACCCTCGGAGAAAATTAGAGACCAGTTAAGAGCACAGAAACGAAAGATCCAAAGCACCCCAGAAAAGGCCCTTGTCGCTCTGTACCATCACTTTTCCCGATCATGTCAAGTAGTATACTTTACACACCCCTCCCGTGTTCATGGGAGTAAACAACAAGTCCATCGTTTTCATGGTCCAACGACTCGTAAAAGGAGCCAGAAAAATGCCGCGCTCCATGAACCTGGGATTCCGAGCGTGTCCCTAGATGCATGTCAGTTGGGTTAACGTTGTTCTCATGGCGGCTCTCCCACTACAGATAATCTGGGGTCACGGCATTGGTAGACTACTAGAGGGGGCTAGCACTCCGTGCTTGTGATCGATAGGGTGTACTTGGAGCGAAGGTCGGGCGTTGGTTGGAGCTCAGATAAGGATCGAATTGGTTTTGGGCGCAATGTCGAATAGTAGTAGTACATCAAGGCTGTGCCGGAGTGTAGCGTGGTTCAAGATCGAATGTGCTTAACAGAACGGGTAAAGGCCAGCAGTTTTGATCCACTAAACCAACGGGATCTTCATGAGTTCCCATTTCGAGCCTTATGTGCATGCCAAAGCCACGGTCAAAAGGCAGATCTTCGCGGGCCTGAATCTACCTCTGCCTAATGTATTAGACATAATGGTGGCGTTCACGTTGTGAAACAAGTCCAGACATACAGTTGATAGGATGCTGAAACACCAATGTCACAGATGGTGGATGTGGAGTTGTAACCGCTGAAAATAGAACGTGGTAGTCTTTGAAGCGCCCGTGATCGATTCTGAATCAAGCGCCCGCGCGGGGTGCACTTTAAGGTCCGCATCCGAGCCGATGCGGCATTAATGAATGCTGATATCTGAATCAGGTTAGTGGTTCCCCCCCAGCTCTTCTTCCCAGTCTCCCCTCTGCTTGATTTTTCAAACAACTGGAGTTACTCACCGCAAACGAGTTGTCTATCCAAAGAAGAGGGCGCCGTGAGATGGAAATGGAAAACCTAGGAAGAAAGAAGTCCGGTTCTCACTCAGAACTCGTGCCTGAAAACTAAAGCGGTACCGCCTCCCTTGACTTCTGCCCTGAGAAGAAGACGGCTAAAGACCGCACAATGACGCTGGTTAATCAAGGGGTGTCGGTTCGGGGTGCGGAAGTCTGGCGATTCCGAATACCCAAGTGTTACATTGTTGAAATATCGCTTGCCTTGACAGGCTTCTCTACCCCCGCCAGCACTCCTCCGGGGGTGAAGCTCGTGTGGAGCTTCGACTCGCTTGCGGGCGACTAGTGGGTAGCCAATGGCTCCTGTGCATGTGAAACCTGACATGGTGGCCTACTGGTAGGTCGGCACCATGACAAACCCGCATTCGACGGCTTCAAGTGCAAGCCCGGTGCTGCAAGATAATACCGTACCGAAGGTTCTGACCACCCGGTCCGCTCGACAGAACTTCTCATTCACCCGAGCTTCACCAAACAATCACTCAACTGCACTCAACAGTCAAGGGGCTCAGACAACCATAGGTTTGGATGAACGTCCGACAAGTTTCCGTTTGGGAAGGTTGGACACTGGCCAAGTGTAAACTCGACCAGCGATGCCAAGAAAGTCGACCAGCAAGGCCGCGAGTTCGATTCCGCTCAAACGCAGAACCAGGGCTGAGCTAGGCCACGCCTGCCAACTGGTGCAAGGCGTGACCACGATGCATTCAGACGAATGAACCCTTGCAGCCAACTTGCAACATGTTCGGTAACGAGCGAGCGAGCGAGCCAAAGTCAAAGGTGCATGTACATACACATCTCAGAGACCATGCAAAACTGCAAAATGAGCGGACTAGGAACTTTTGAAGGTCGAAAGTGCAACGTGGAAGGAAAAAAATGGAAATAAGAAAGTAGAAGAACTATGTAGGTATCATCATCATCATCGTAAATGAGAACTTAGAAAAAGGTGGTAAGGGCTGAAGGGAAGGAAGGCTAAGGGTGTAAATGGTACGGTACCAGGTGCGCGTAATGAACAGGGCAAGGGCAAAGGGCAAACGTAAAGGGTAAATACCTAGCCTGAAAAAATGCACGCAGTAGCCTACTCGTACAAAAGTAATGAAACACGAAAGATGCAGTATGTAAAACTTGAACACAGTTCAGGTCAGGTCGTTAGAAGATGCAGTCCATCCAAAGCCGAAAACTCGGGCCGCCCTCGTCCTCCTGTGTACCGCGTCTCGAAGCGGCAGCGCACGCGACCCTGTGTCCATCACGCGACCACCCCCTTCCTTCTTCCTTCCCCCTGTTCCAAACCCCTCTCTCCTGCAGAAATAAACATACAACTCGCCGCTAGCACTCACACCAACGACTCTCTGAATCACGCAGCCTTTCCATCCATCGCACTCTCCACTAGGCCCCCAACCCACCTCTCCAACGCCTCCTGATCCAACACGCCCTTCTCATCAAAGAACTTGGCATAGGGACTGCTTGCCTTCGTCCGTCCGCGGCCCAGGAGGCTCTTACCACCGTTGGTGGAGCGGACGTATTGGATTGAGACAGAGTATTGTGGGGAGGGGGAGGAGGGTGCGCGTGCGGGGAGGGTGGTGGAGGAGAGTGTGATGCGTTCGGTTATTATCTGTTTATGGATTAAGGGGGTAGGGGTGAGTTGAATTGAGTTGAAATGGAAATGGAGGGAGAAGGGGAACGCACGCGTTTAGAGAAGGTCTTCCGCTTCCCCACGAAGATGGTGTCGCCTTCGATGAAGTAGGCGTATAGCGTTGACAGAGTGGTCAATAGGATGTATCTGGAAATTGTTCACCTGGGGTCAGCACACACACCTCCCATTGAAGCAGGGTAGAAGGAGGACGTACACGATGAGCCCAACCGTCACTACAGGCTTGGACGTCTCGAAATCGACCTTGTACCCGTAGAACGCCGTGCCTGCAGCCACGAACACGCTCAGCCATCCCAGCGCTAGTCGGACATCGGTGTGTAGGTGTATTTGTTTGAAGAGTTCTGGCCGTGCGAGGAACTAGGGAACGATAGTGAGTCATCACGAACGGTCAACGAGAGAATCCCCCCGTCGCCGCCCAAGGTGGCATAGGGAACCGAGGGTACATACACGTTTCACAGCGTCATCGCAGGCATTTTTGAGTTCAGTCAGGTTTGCATTGTTCACTTTGACTTGTTCGCGTTCAGAGGCTGGTATGGAGACAGCGAGGGGGCCTAGGGGTCTGTCCGAGGACGACTCGGGGCTCTGTGAGCGGTGCTTGGTCGACGTCGACGAGGAGGTGGAGGTGGCCTTGGACGTGTCGTCTGAGCGGACTTCTTTTATGCGCGCCATTGGGTGTGGTGTGGGTTGGGCAGGCGGTGGTGCGTGAATAGAGATATGATTCCCGTCTAGTATAGATAAGAAAGTAATTAGTGGTCAATTGAAGCTACCTAACACGATAGCTGTCTTCCTTACCAGAGTAGATAGATAGTTCCTCTTGAGGGGTATTACAAGCTTTCCTATAGACTATCCTTGGTTGAATACCGAGAAGAAGAAGGAAAGGAAAGAAGAAAAGGAGGAAAAAGAGGGGCAAGAGTTAGGGGGAGATATTGAATAAGGTAGGAAGAGCAAAGCGGGGGGTGGGAGCTCGAAAGAATTGATGCCCAAATTGAAACAGCTCGCGACGTGTCGTTGCGTGTTTGCGAATGCCCACGTGTTGCATCCCTTTTGAATTTCGGCCTTCTCCTCCGCTCTTCCTGCGCCTTTTTGGTCTTTGGATTGCCTTTGAATGTGCCCTCTGGTGACGAGATATGAAGCAGAGCTATGTCATCTTGACCGTCGTTCTCCACAATTTTGGAGTCTCCACGGAAATCAGGAACGCGGGCGAGGAGTTTAGGGGCATGAGGCGTGCGGAGTCGTGTCGTGTGCGGGGAAACAATTGAAATTCAGCGGCCAGCGACCTCGAATATCCAATTTCAACCTCCTCGTCAGTCATCCGGAAAGAATATATCAGCAGGACAACTGACAGCATAAAGAGAAGGGGTTCTGATGGCTAGATTCACCTAGGTTGCTTGCACCGCGCTTACTCTCACCGTGGGTCTGAGTTCTAGCTCTTGTCGCCTTTTCAGCTCTGATAGGTAGATTTTCTTTGGATTCTGCTGGTCTGAACGGGACTACTTGGACTACTTTTCAGGACGTCGACTAGGGTTCTCTTTCGAGCGACCTCGCGCACCATAACATCCACTGACGAGCTATCTCAGTGCGATTAAAATGAAATCTCATCTAATTCGAATGACTACGAACAATTCCTTTAAATTTGTATGTAGTTGTACCAATGCTAATGGACGCCTAACGAACGGGGGGAAATCGAAAGAAGGTACACTAAGTCCTAGTAATGCAACAGAAATAATACCCAAGGAAGGCTGGAGAAAGTCGAAAAGTACGTGCGTCTTCCTTGGAATCTGGGGATTGGGTGGGAGCGTAAAGTATAACAATAATGATATTGCAGTTGTGCAGACGAGAGGGTTGGTGGATGAAATGCTCGTGGAAAGTATTCATGATGCTTGAAGTTATGGTACATTTGCCGGGAGGTGTCGAAGCGGGGCGTGGATATTCGGATGTGAAGGTTGGGCTATGCCAGGGAACGATGTGGTGTACGGGGTTCATAGATGCGAGTAGATCTATGATAACATTTTTCGTCAGCCCTCGAGCTCCTTTTCAAGCCATAAAGCAAACACGAACCTAACGAGACCGTATTCCCTCAGATGCTTTGTAAACCACGGCTTTTTTCAAGCGATAACGCAGTAAGCACCATTCCCACTGCCTCCTCCAGTCTCAAAGTCGGTTGGGACTTGGAGGATAGTGGACACCGCCTCGGCGGTAGCGGGTGCGCCGGAAGTGGCGGAGGAGGAGGTGAAGAGGGCAGAGAAGATGGTGAAGGAATCCATTGAGATGATTTAGCGGAGTGATAGAGGGAGGAGGGGAGCAGAGCGGTGAAGAGAGAGCTTTCTCTGAGGACTTTCCAAACCACCGTTGGAGGTTTATATACCCCCTCTCGCCCTCATTTATTCCTACACAGACCACTAAGTAGCCGTTCACATTTCCGGATTAGTCTCGAAGCCTTCGTCCATGCAAGCCAAGAAAATCATCCAAGGATAGGATCTTGTTGTTCCCGACTCCCACTAGGTACTTACATAGGCCAAAGTTCAATCTGAAGCTCCAGAATACCATCCGGACACTGTAGGACAATCAGCGTTGGCAAACCCGGAAACGCAAACCGTCTGCCAAGGTCCGCCACCCTTCCATTGTTCATTGGCTTCCATGCTTGGTCCCGTTTTACATACCTCTAATTGTCTTTTGGTACTCCATAGAGGTAAGAGATCGAGTCCTTTTTGTTGTTTGACGACATCGAGCCGGGAAGTATGACAACGCCTAGGGGGACTTTATTGTCTCGAAGTGCACCCCGGGTGCATTTTTGGGCGATGGGGATGTAGAGAAAGGTTAAATGTGGAGCGAACGCCGTCATGGGGGAAGGAGCATGTGGACTAGGGGGAATGTGATCAACATTGTAGGGAGGTGGAAGGTGTTCTTGTCCATCCAAATGGCCAGCGCTGGGTTGGAATAAAAGGGAGGATTAGGTTGCCGGTTTGAAGGGCGAAAGGTCGTCACAGGGACGTGCTACCAGGTATGACGCCGGGTTGTTGAGAGACAATGTCGGTAGTCTACCAGGGTGAAGGCCAGTTTCAGCCTTTTTGTTTCCTTCTTTCGCACAAGAGATTCATGCGAAGTCTTGATTCTTCATGATGCTTGGAACTTAGCGATCGAGTATGTATTCCTGGAAGCAGCACAAGAACTTCACGAAGTCGGGAGATGACTCGTTCAGAGGGCGTTAAAGTTGGCAATATCAATCCCATTTGAATCGACCAAGACAATTAGGCGGGCACAAAGGGGAGTGGCGGGTGTCAGTGATTGTGGGACCACGCATAGAGAGTATGATTCGTGCTAGCCAGGAATAGAGACTTGGGTTAGAGCAAAAATAAAGGGCAAACTGTGAACTGCGATGACCCAGGGAAGTCGGTAGATCCGGAGATGATGAGGTTAGTGCCGTCCCGGATGGTCTTTTCAGACCACGGTATTCGGGTGTCGAACCGACGCGGATGGGAGACAAGACAAGACTCGTTATTGTTGTCTGGAGCTGAAGAGGGCTGGGCGGAAGAAGAGCGAGACTGGGAGGGACATTCCGATCCGCCGTCGATTAGTCGTCGACTGCCGTCGAATCAATTCATTTCAAAGTCCGCACTTGGACTCCCAGCAGGGATCGTCGCTTCCGTCAGTGCTTGGCCTTGGACCACCACAGCAAACTCGATTTCGCCTCCTTGAATCACAAAATGCCTAAATCCACTATGAAACAGTCTAGAAATCTCTGTCTGCAGGTCCAGGACTGCAATTCTCTACTCTGAAGATGCGTACCGCCCTGAGAAGATCATTTGGTCACAAGACAACGACGTCCAACAAGATATTCCCAACTGGGGTTGCGGTGGTCTTGACTTTCAGCACTGCCAGGAGCTGAAAGGCTCTCTCGGATCTCCTTGTACTCTCCAGAGGCAGCCATGATGCATGGTCGACGTGCACCTTCACGAACCTCCAGCGGGGACGCAGCAAACGCCAGCCATAGATCCAGAGGACCCAGCCGGAAACCGAGCCAAACCTTCTTCCGCAGCAAATCCCGAAATGTGCATTCGAGGGTGTCTGCGAAACAGAGTTTTAGCGCGCAGGACGTGGCATTGGATTTCGAACATGTTTTGGAAGAGGCGCTGTTCAGTACGCCCGACGTATCTGTGAGTCTCCCAGCCGGCGTCTAGTGGGACTGTGGGCGCTGACGGTATGGCGCGCAAAGGATACGGCAGCGCGCGGTCAGTGGAAAACGGGCGATCCGTACCACCATCCTATACCCAGCCAGGGAGACGCATGGGAGGAGTCGTTTAGGGTAGTCCAGCGGTTCGACGACGAGATGTGTAGAGGATGGAGGGAGGAGATTGACACGCTCTTGGTTTTCGTACGTCGGCTCAGCGGTCTTTCGAGCGCTTATTCATTGATCCTCGTCTAGGCGGGTTTGTTCTCGGCCACCGTCACCGCATTCACCGTGGAATCGTATCGACAACTACATCCAGACAGTGTCAGCGACGACCTCTCAATCCAGCTCCTTGCGAGAATATCTGACCAGCTCCTGGCTGCATCCCCAAATGTGAACCTCCCTCCGAATCCTGTAGCTTTAAAATCTGTTGTGGAAGAGTTTACGCCAACACCCTCCTCGGTCCGCGTCAACGTGTTTTGGTTTACCAGCCTTACCATTGCACTGACTACTGTGCTGGTCGGGATACTGTGCAAACAATGGCTCCGGGAGTACCAGCGGTACGAAGGGCTCTCTCCCAAAGAGGCCTTTCCCGTCCGCCAAATGCGCTACGAAGGTCTTCTGCGATGGCATGTCCCTACCATGCTTTCGTGCCTCCCGCTCTTCCTCCAAGCATCACTCATCCTTTTCTTCGCCGGACTCCTCGACCTCCTGTGGTCAATCCACAACGTGGTGGCTACGGTCGTTTCCCTCTTGGTAGGAATCACCATGCTATTCATCGTCACCACCACCATCCTCCCCTTCTCCCAATACCTCTTCCATTTCTCGCGGTTGAACCCTACGGTCGACCCACAGAGCCAGTGCGCATTCAAGTCTCCGCAGTCACGGGCGTTCCATCTCTTAGGCACGTCCATCCTTAACCTTGCCCGTCAGTGCAAGGATCTCGTTTATGGATATGGCGTGGCTCGGGATTACCTGCGAATTTCGATATGGAATTCGGACGTTCACTGGGTCAACTACGATTTGGAATGGACGCGAGGGGGCCGGTACATGCAACGCGCAGTGTCGTGGTTCGAGAGGACGTTTTCAAGGAATATCGTCAACGCTTTCCACATCTTCCATTGTCTGCAAGACCTCAACGTCGATGTCGCCGCGGGGTGTATTACGGAAATCATACATAGCACGTGGAATCCGTTCACCCCTTTTGCTGGGTTGTTGCTCCCGCGACTGAGGGAAGTGGATGCACTGGCACAGACGGATGAGGAGGATGTTTTGGTGTCGCAGGACCTGGTGATGATGGGTTATTTGATCACACACCATCGGAATGCGCCGTGCTTTTTGGAACGGTGCTTGGAGCTTTGCACGAGGCTGATCAACTCACCAATCGATGGGACCGATGCTGTCCCACTTGTGTTGGAAGTTCTCGCTGTTATCACGCCTGACAAGAATCTCTCGGAAAGTACGTATACATTTCTCATTTTTTTCATCTCGGATGCGTCTGACAATAATCGTATTCGCAGCTTTACTGTCCCAACTTGTCGACTCTTTGTCATCTATATTCCGTTCTGACAAACTAAATCTAGCAACGTCTGATGTCCAGACGTTTTGGAAAACCTTTGATCTCCTCCAACACCACCAAACGTCTCTAAGCCCATCGCCCTCGCGTCTGAAACCCTCCAGCTCGCTATCTACCTCCATGACAGCACTGCCATCTCCGCCATCCGACATCCCACGCCGACCAGCCTACGCCATCCTCCGCGAAATGCAATCCTGGCTCCGCCGCATAATGGACGATCCAGACACGCCGGCTGTCGAGAAGGAGTACCTCATCAACGAATGTTGTTTAGGTATTTTGCGGGTGTACTCGTCCTTACGCGCTCGGCATCCCGACGTGATGGCGGTGGATTCAAAGTTTAGGATGAGTGCGGATTTTCAGATTTTGGTTGATTTTGTGAAGAGTGTGGATGAGTTTATTGTGCAGTATGAGGGATTGACGGATTTGTTGGTTGTTTGGGAGATGGTTAGGGTTGAGGTGCTTGGGTCTGTGGAGGAGGTTACGGACGAGGAGGAGGTGCTCATGGGGAAAGTTGAGGGGAAGGATGCGGATGTGAAGACGGACATCGTTGTTGTGGAGGGGTGATACCTTATGGGACTATAAATATAAAATACATGGGAGACATTGGAACGGGGAGCTAAAAGGTACGGTGCACTTAAACGCTCTTCCCTACTAAAAGATTCCTAAACCGAATTTGAAAATTAGCATAACGCCAGTGGCAGACAAAGCACCTAAAGAAAACACACCTCTAAGCCAAAAGGACCTGCCAGTACCTTCATTCGAATTCTTCCTCAATCCAATCTTCCTCCTAGCAGTCGCCAAACTACTCTCACCACGGGACACGGCCTCGAAATGGTCCAACAGGCCCTGATGGGATGCACCTCTGATAGGGAAGCCTACGCACCTCAGGTTGTCTAAAGCAGAGACGATCCAAGCCTGCGGATGCAATTTTTGTTTCTTACTCTTTTTAGCGAGGGGGGAGCCTGCGGGGTAGGCCGTAGCCTGAGCCCACTCGATCACGCCTCCGAAACGGTTCAGGCGGCTTATGGGCATCGCGCCTACGCGGAACATGGAGGAGAAGGTGTCGCCTAGGTTTTTAACGGGGATTTGGCGGGTGGACCCTGTGCGGTCGTAGATGATCGCTTGGTGGTTGCCTGCTGTGCCGAGTTCGGGGTCTGAAGCGGATCTCATGCCACTAGTAATAGTATTAGCAGTAGCGCTGGTAGGACTGGTAGGGATGTAGATGTGATTTCTGGATTGGAGGAGACATGATGTGGGGATTAGGATGATTGCCCAGGGTTTTATGAGGTGTCGGCTGGATTTGTACTCGCCGACCATGACGAGGTGGGTTGGGTGTGTGTCTGCTAGGATCATCAAACCTGTCAAGCTTGTTGAGGCCGACATTGTGAGTGGTGGTAGCTAAAGTAGTGGTTGTGTGGGAGAAGTGCGACGGGGAAGGTGGAGTGTGTTGGGTGTGCATTATATTCGTTGTGTGGAATTTGACGCTTTGATAGTTTTCTGTCTGTGGCGGGTTGAAAGGACAATGTGTCAAAGCGGGTGTGGTTTGGACGTCGAGCTTTGACTTTGGTTTCCTTTTTTGGATGCGGTGCTCATTGTATGCGGTTTACAGCCATGGTCAAAGCGCCATCTGGAAAGGAAGCGGGCATGTTGTGGCGACGAAGGAGGCTGGCCGATGGAACAATGGGAGCTCCGGATGACCGGATGATTCAGGTGCAGCCTCTAGCGGTAGGACCGGGCCAAGTCAAGTCATCTGCACCACGTAGACTGTCTACTCACTCTACTTTACTCTCATGTGTAGAAGGAGGGCCTTGTCTAAGGCGACGGTGAGGCTATCCAGGATACCAGCGCTAGCACTTTGTGGTTAGAGGACAATGACAGTGCATACCCTGAGAAGGCCTTTGTGAGGGTGAGTGGGGGAGGAGAGGTAGCTATAATATTTTCGTCGCTCCTCTGAGAAGCGTACCCTATGCATTTGGCCCGGTGCGAGGAGGCGGGCCTAATGGATTGTGTCCAAGGGATGAGCACCTCGACGAGAATAGGGGGTGTACCTACTGCTTTGACCCGTGAGAATCTAGAGCGGATTGGGGTACGGACCCCTATCTCGCGCGTGATTCCAGCAACGCACCTGCGCTCGCGGGTTACATCGCAACGTCCGCAGCCCAGTCTTCCACTTTTCTGTCTATCTACCAACGCCATCACCGCTCAAATTTCTCTACTACCTTGAAGGAAAATGTCAGCCAAAGCATCGCTCATATTCCCGCCAAACCCGACCACAACGAGGGGTTCATCCACAAAGCTCAGCAGCCATAAAGATAAAGTCGTGTACACCACCGGCAAAGTCGTCGTTGTACGTCTTTCTCTCTGCCCTATGTTAACTTTACCGTCCTCTAAAACTAAAAGCTTACTTTGTCTGACTTTCCCTAGGTCCGCGATCTAAAGGTAACTACTACCCAGCTATGAATGAATGCGACGAGACTTTGGATCTGGGAGTGTTAACTGACACTGTGCTGGAGAACCCAGGGCTTACGTTCGCGTACAGCGGCCACCTTCATAACGCGACTGTTGCGCGATTCTCGCCGTCTGGTTTTTATTGCGCTTCTGGGGATGCGTCTGGGACAGGTGGGTTTTTGCTGGATATCTGGAATTAAGCGTTCGTTCATCTTGTAACCTTTGATCGTGATCGCTAGTGCGCGTTTGGGACGTTGTCGGGGAGGACAAGGCGTTGAAGGGGGAGTATAGGGTTTTGGCTGGTCGGATGTGAGTAGTGTAGTATCCGTCTAGTGATACGCAAAGGCTTGCTGATATTAAACCCTTACAGAAACGATCTCGCATGGGACGGCGAAAGCAAGCGAATCATCGCTGTTGGCGATGGACGTGACAAGTCAGTACGATCGCTGTCTCTCTAATGAATATCGGATACTGAAGGATTCAATAGATTCGGACACGCGTTTATGATGGACACTGGATCATCCTCTGGTGAAATCATCGGGCATTCCAAGGTACTTTCAAGATACCCCCCTCCTTACCTGTGTTCTCCTTCGGTGTAACTCAAGCACCTGCGTTTGATATAGGCCGTCAATGCAGTCTCGATCAGACCCCAGCGACCTTTCAAAGCCATCACAGCCAGCGACGACGCCCAAATCAACTTCCACGCTGGTGTGCCATTCAAGTACGAGAGGGTATGTCGCACCCATCATTGCGGGCACTCGGAACCTAGGACTTGAACCAACTAACAACCCGTTGCCCATCCTTATAGACCATCAAGACCCACACCAAGTTCGTGCAGGACGTCAAGTTCTCCCCCTCCGGAGACCACTTCCTGAGCGTCGGATCGGACGCGAAGATCTTTATTTATGAGGGGAAGACTGGGGATACGGTGGCTGAATTCACTGATTCGCCCCATACTGGAACGATTGTGAGTTCTCTCTACTCTGCAGTGACCCTTTGTCTATCAGCGCTGACGTTGTTGTATTGTGCAGTTTGCGGGAAACTGGAGCCCGGATGGTAAATCCATCGTGACGTCCTCTGGGGATAGGACTGTGAAACTATGTACGGTGTCCTCGTCATATTCAATGTGCAGAGCATGGTTTCTAATGTTGATGATGGTGGGGACGTAGGGGACGTCGAGACCCGCAAGGTCGTCTCGAGCTGGGCGCTCGGTACAGCCATCGAAGCCCAGCAAGTCGGCAACACCTGGAACGACGACATCAACATCGTCTCCTTGTCCATGTCTGGTGCCCTCAACCAGTTCGACCCGCGCGTAGGCGATAAGCCCGTGCACGTTTACACTGTTCGTACTCTTTCCCTCTCACACCCAACACCATTTCTTCCTACAACTCTTACTTACCGAATGCTTTCTCTCTCACCAGGCACCCCAAATGCCCATCACCTCCCTCCTCTCTACCAAATCTGACACTTTCCTCGCGGGCACAGCAGACGGCCGCGTCTACTCCTACTCGACGTCCAAACAAGAGTCGACTCCCGTAGGCGGGCCCGGCCACTCGAGCTACGTCGTCGACCTCGCCGCTTCGCCTTCTTCGAGTTCTGGCACGACGACGGCTTACTCTGTTGGGTTTGACGATCATGTACGTGAGATTGATTCGGTTGGTGAATCTTATGTGTAAGTGATGATGTCCTCTGGTTATCATTCAAAGCTAATGGTTTGTGTTATATCTGATGTTTGGGGTATGGGTGTATGGGTGTAGACAAGCAGCAGTCAAAACGACCGCCCAGCCCAAATCCATCTCGATCTCCTCCAACGACACCATCTTCGTCGCGCAACCCGAGCTCATCGAAGTATTCCGATCCAACCAGAAACTCTACTCTCTTGCTCCCAAGGCGTTCAAACCCACCGCCATCGCCGCACGCCCAAGTGGTAACGGCAATGAGAATGAGAGTGTTTCGTTGGTGGCAGTCGGAGCGGAGGACAACAAAGTCTACCTATTCGAATGGGACGGGAAAGAGTTGAAGCCTAAAGAGAGTGGTGGAGTGTTTGATAATAACAAGGGCCCCATCTCGGTTTTGGCGTTCTCGCCTGATGGGAAGGTGTTGGCTGCTGGAGATGTGCGTTTTTTTCTTTCTTTCTTTTTTTCGTTGCACTTTTTGCTTTGCACTTTAAGTTTCTGGATGATGTTTTTCATTCGGGTGTTCGTTTTATCGCGCCCTTGGACGGATTGACTGACTGACGTTTCCCTTGATGTTTAGACCAAAGGCAAGATCATGCCCTACAGCATCGAAGAGAAAAAGGTTCGTTCACCCTTTCCCACCCCTCCCTTCTCACTCACTAACACCCCACCTAAAAACTTGAAACCTAAAACTCAAAACAGCCAATCACACCAACCTGGGTCTTCCACACCGCCCGCATCAACACCCTCTCCTGGACCTCCAATTCACAATTCCTAGCCTCCGGATCCCTAGACACAAACGTCTACATCTGGAGCCTCGCCAAGCCTTCGAAAAAGGTTGTCATCAAGGAAGCAAACCCGGGTGGTGTTAATGGTGTGCAGTGGGTTAATGGTGGGGAGGGTGGAAAGTTGGTTTCGGCGGGTGCGGATGGGTGTGCGAGGGTGTGGGATGTTGTGTTTCCGGAGGCTTGAGGGTGAGCCTGTTTGAGGTTTGGGTTTGGGTATGGTGGATTTTGGAGGGTTGGATGGCAGGAAGGGATATGGAATGGGGTTGGGGTACAAAGATGACGATGTGGTTTTTTGGGATTATGAACAAGAATGTACAATGGAAGAAGTGAAGGAAGTGAAGCTCTACGAATGCTGGCTGATGTACAATATAAAGGAATCAAGTCAAAAACAACGCGATTGAAAGGATTATCGGTTATCTGTTAACTAGTATGGCTATTGTGAAAGGACTGTCGATTATTTGTTATCGTGGATAAGGCCTATGGAGTCAATAACACGGTTTATCGCGGCTAAGGAGTCAAGTACATAGCACGGTTTATCGTGGATGAGGAGTCAAGTAGCACGGTTTATCATGGACAAGGAAGTCAAATAACACGCTTTATCGTGGATAGCTGCTAATCAAATCACTCCCAAAGCAAACGAATAGAAAAAGAGAATCAAGACATATTGGAAAGCGTCCGCGAAAGCCCTAGAATTAACGTATACAAAACCCTAAAGGCGGGGAGGGGTTAGTCTAGACGACTAATAAGCCGTCTAGGCCATCTCCACATCTCCTGCAGAGGCAGCTGCAGCAGGTGCAGGTTGAGCCGACGTGGGTGCACCAGCCGAAACACCAGTACCAGCAGTAGTAGTGGGAGCCTGAGTAGGCTCAACGTCACCCATGAACGCATCCAGCTCTTTATCCAGTTCTTCCGCCGTTTTGGGTTTCTTGGGTTGTTTCTTTGGTTTGTTGTGAGTGGTGCGGGTGGCTTTGGCGCGGATGGGGCCGATGCGTCCGCCTTTTGCTTGGGCTGGGCTGTAGAAAGTCCAGTATGATCAGTAAGTATATGTATGAATGGATGAACAAGAGAGGAAAGCAGCCCACGTTTTCTTATTCACAGCAGCTGTATCGTCCTGCGCCAACCGATCCAACAAGGCGGGCTTTTCGATCCTGTTGAGGAGGGAGACGCTGGGTGCGCTTGCGGCTCTGCGTGGGGGTGGACGGGCGGGGGTGTAGTAGGTTATGGACATTGGTTGGCCTGGTGGGTGGGTGGTCGGGAGTAAATGGGATGAGTTGGATGGGATGAGGTGGGTGGGAGTAGGTGGGTTGTTAGAATCTTGTTTCTTGTGTGGTTAGGGATATGGCTGGGCGACTCACCTTTGGCGAGGATACCGTTGAATTGGTTCATCGCCCGTGTTGCTTCGGCTGCGGTCTCGAATGTGACGATGGCTTGTCCTGTTGAGCGGCCGCTTTCGTCGTACTGGTTGGTCGTTCGTTCGAGTCCAGAAAAGTCGTCCGTCGTTGGTCGCGTTGGCGCGTTGGTTCATTAGCGAGTCGCGGTGGGTTTGAAGTAGTTGTAGTTCACACGGCCATGTTCATGTTCACGTCCACGTCGCGTACCGCGTAATAATATAAAAGGAACAGAAAGAGGAGTCGAATGTTATGTTGGCAAAACTGGACTTTTTCAGACGGTAGAGCTTTGGGGCGAATTGTCGTACCCAGAGAACTGGCTCGCGGACGAGCGTGCCTATTTGCCCGAAGATGGCCTGGAAGGAGGGGTGGTTAGTTGGGTCTTGCGGTTCATAAAGAGGTTATCGAGAAGAGAACAGAAGGAGAGAATAGAAAAACTAAATGTAGAGGGAAAGCGTACATTCAAATCCTTCGGAGTAACTTCATAATGGAGATTTGAGACTTTGAGTTTGGTGGCCTGGCCTGGTGCACCAGCGCCCGCAGTAGGCGCTGCGACGTTTCCGCCGTTCAGGCCTTGGTTCTTGCGGTTGTGCTGGTGTCCTTCGTAGCGGTCGTGTGTCCATCGTTCGTTTGTGTTTGGTCTATTGGAGGGCCTCTGTAAAACCCAAACGCAGTTTCTCCGTTTAGCGCCATTACTCTAAAGATATTTTGAAACAGGCGAGCTCACGCTGTAAGGCTTTCGGGCGTTTGATCGTAGAGAGGACATTCTGGGAGGATAAACTTGGGTGTGATAGTGGAGGTCGTGACAAGAAACGCGATGGCTGCGAGTCAGCGAGGGCTCCGTAAACGAGAGGTCGGACCGCCCGGAGCCGCTTTTGATAGGTGGATGGAAAAGGAAGGTTGGCCCCTGTGTGTACAGCGCTCCTGGTCGATGGACTCTGGGGACAGGTTGGGGACAGGCTGCGTTATCATTTTGGTGTTGGCCATCGATTAAGATCCATCTGGGATATTTGCGGGTCGCGAGCATGGCGAGTGCCTGCCCCCAATACTCCATCGGTAACTGATCGAACGTCGATAATATAATATCCCAGGTGCACCATTTCCTCGTGGTTCCCTTGCTTTATCCTTTCCGACGACAGAGCTCAGGGATGAGAGAGCATAAATCTACCCATTCTTTCCCCACTTGACCTACGGCTCTCCGTGTTTTCTCCGCCCCTCTCAATGCATACTCTCGGTACTTTTGTCCAAGTCAAGTTCATTAACTCTCATTATTGGCAATACACTTTCCATGCAATGGATGTAATTAGATAGTTTTTCATGTTCACCACGAGCCTTGGATCAATAGAGGAATGCCCCTAATCGACATACAGCCTGCTGGCTGTCATATATTGCTTAGTCAGCGACTTGTGCGAGAAAGGATTTTTCAGTGTTCGCGAGGTTTAACCTGCGCCTCGTCGAGCGACCATCGCAGAGGTCGAAACAGTGTATACTGCTCTGTAAAAGGGACAGTATTGACCCTAGACTTTCATCTCTTTCCGATAATCCATCAAGATGGACGCCGACTACAGTGCAGCAGGTCCACCGTCGCAGGAGGAGCACTCCCCTCAGCCCCATCCCTACCTCCACGAACCCCTGTTGTACATAACAAATCTCCCAGCTTTCGTTACAGATGAGATGCTGGCAGTCGCTTTCATGTACTGTGGCCCCTTCAGACCAAAAATCCAGCGAAATACCCCGTCAGGAACACTTTCAGGCACGATTGAATTCAAGTTCCTCGAGAAGGGTGTGTCTGCAACAAGTCCCACTTCAATTCCATACTAAATGACTATATATTAGCTGAAAAGGCGTTGGCAACGTTGCACAACCGACCAATCCCAGAGGTGCCTCAAAATGTCATCCTCGTCCTGTCCCCGTATCCTCCTACGAACCCACCAACACCGCTCCCACCCCCGTCCGCACTGCCGCGCCTCGTCAAGCAGCTGCCCCAAGGCTACACCGATTCACAGCTCTACGATCTCTTCAGACCCTACGGCGCCCTCGCCTCAGCCCGTACCCAAACCCCCTTTGGCCCAGACACCGGCATGGTAGAGTTTTGGAACGAGAACGACGCTCGCACCGCGGAGGAGGCGCTGCACTGCGCAGAGGTCGAAGGGCAGAACATCGCAGTCCAGATATACCAACAACCTAGACGGACCAGCGCATCCTTCTCTGAATTCAACCCGTCCGCCGCTGCCTTCGTGCCCTCGGGGTCGTTCTTCAGCCCACCACCTTATGCTGGACAGGTGAGTGGTAGTAGCCCTTACCGTCCACCGATGAACCCGTTCACACCGCCGCGCCAGTACTCGCCGCACTCGCCTCCCCGCGGGAGCCCGTATAGATCCCCACTCGGCAGCCCCTACCTCAACAAATCGCCCCTCCCCTTCGTCCACGGGCCCGGCCAGCAGGTCCAGTTCGCCCCCGCGGGTGCCTCGAGTCACAGCGGCCTTATCGATCCATGCAACCTCTTCTGCAAGAATCTCGATCCCGATATCGATTCCAACAGCCTCTTCACGCACTTCCGTCGCGTAGGTATCATTTTCCACGCGCTTTACGCATGTTCTGATGATGGTTATATTTTCCAGTTCGGTCAGATCGTCAGTGCGCGCGTCATGCGCAACGAGCAGGGCGAGTCTCGAGGGTTCGGCTTTGTTTCCTTCCAAACGCCAGAGCAAGGTGCGTGTCTTATATCATATAGTGTGATCTTTACTGATACTCCGTTGCAGCAAGTGCTGCTCTGCACGCGATGAATGGGGCCCAACTGGGCTCGAAGCAGATCGTGGTTCGTCTCCACGAGCCAAAACAGCTCAGGCAAGAGAAGCTTGCCCATCGGTTTGGACATAACGGTCACCCAAGAAGCGCGAGTGGCGCTACGAGCCCCACCATCAGCGAAGCGGGTGATTATCACCCTGGATGGGGAAGTCCTCGTGGACACCCCTCCGGATTGGCTTCCCCTTCATCCAAGCACCTCTCTGAGAGGACCGATAGAGCTAGACGCGGTTCTGGGAGTTACTACAATGTAAAGCGATTTGTTCCCCTCTCAGTCTTTTTGCTAACGCTACTCGATAGGCTGCCCGTTCCGGTACACTGAACCTACCCATGAAGTACGACGAACTGGCAGCATTGACTCCAGTCGTGAGGAAGGAAGTCCTGACAGGCGAGCTCAACCGCCGCATCACGGAGATGAACATCGTCCCCTCGAACGAGATCAACGACATTGTCGAGGGTATTGCGAACCTCACTCTGAGCGTCGTCGTCCAGACATTGGAGAACCCCGATAAGCTGCGAGAGCAAGTGGAGCTGCGAGCGAAGAACTTGACAGTGCCGCGCGAAACGCCAGGCAAGTCCGCAAGCCCCGTTTCCACCTCTCAAGAATCGAGCACGTCCGATTTGAACGCTGCCAATGCAACCGCCAGCGCACCCGAACACCCCTCCACGCCCATCTCCGTCAGCGCCACCCTTTCCACGCCCCCACGCACCTCCTCGCCCAGCGGCTCGGTCCCGCCCATGTCCGAACGCGAGCGCATCTTCGCGGCTGTCAACAAGTTTGAAAACACCCGTCAAAACGAGCTGACAGAGCTGTTGATGGGTCTACCGAAGAGAGAGCGCGCAATGTGTTTGTTTAACCCCGAGGTGTTGCGTGTCAAGTTGGTGGATGCGAAGGCGATTTTGGATAGTGAGGAGGAGGAAGAGGAGCAGCAGAAACAGCAACAGGCGGCTGAGCCTGGGAAGGCGTCGTCGCCTGTGAGAGCGTCGGAGGGTACGAACACGGCTGTGCAGTCCCCCGTCACACCCAAGACCAAGGCAATCAACAAGGTGGATGACTCGCCTACGACGCCCGACTTGTCCTCCCGCGGTCCCTCGGCCACCGCCTCCCCTCTCCCTGGTACACCCGGCGGTCCAGCTTCCTCAACCACCCACACCATCGCGTCGCTCGCCAAACTCCCGGCGGCTGAGATTGTCCGCCTGGCGAATTTATCGAGTACGACGGGGCTGCCGCTGCCCAAGGCTGATCCGTTGGTCGTGCAAGCTACAGACGAGTTCATTGATGGGTTGATGACTCAAACTTTGCTCGTTCAGAAGCAAAAGTTGGGTGATAAGCTTTACAAGGTTGTCAAGTCGTTTGGGATCAAGGGTTCTGTACGTGTTCTTTTTCTTCTTATCGTTTTAGGTGATGTGTTGAACGTGGTGTACTGATGATGGGTTGGTTGTTGTTTTTTGTAGCCCAAGATCACGATTGCGTTGTTGGATAGTGAGGATTTGCGCGCGTTGGCGCATTTGATGAATAGTTATCCTGCGGTGCTGAAGGAGAAGGCGCTGAATCTTGTTGCTCCCAAGTAAAGCTCTCCTGGTCGACCTCCATCTTCCGCCCCGCCTTCACTCCATTCCGTCACCCCCTATCTTCGCCGACAAGTTGATCTTTCAACGCTTTCAACTCCCCTAATCCCCATCCAATCCAACTAGTACACACGCACAAACCAACATACCGGCCGGAATGTCTTTTTTTCACGAATTTCTCTTTTGAACATCGATATCTATCCGATCACCGTTACGATGACCCACCGCCTTTATACCTCTACGATTACCCTCTGCCTTTACACCTCTACGATTTTCTACTGTCTTACACACCTACGATTTGCTACTGCCTACTACCATTTATCTACTGGAAAACGAGTATTCCGTGGTCTCTTCTTTTCTTTTTCTATCTATCTTTGTCTTTGTCTTTGTGTGGAATTTGGAACATTTCTTTACTCCTTTTTCTTCTACCCGTTAACGTTTCTGTGTCTCGTCTATTATCCGGCCTTTGTTTCCTTTCTTCAATTCCTAACTCTCATATTTCCCTGTTGCTACCCTTGCGCGATTGATTTTCCACGTCCCCATATACTCTACGTACGTATCTACCTACCTATCATCGCTTCACCCCTCCTTGTCCATTCGGTACTACCCCGCTTATAGCGACCCCCTTTTTCACGACCCCTTGCTTTCAAGTTCTCCCGTTACGATTTCTGTTTCTTTGTTTTCTTTCTATCTGTTTCACGTTTCTATCGTCGTATATACGTCTACGTTTACTCGTACTTTTTACATCTATAAATTCGACGTGGGCTCCTCTTTTTCTTTCCTCGTTTGTTTCTTCCGTTTCAAGTTGTTCATTCTCATTCTACATTGCTCATGATCACTCTACCCCGTTCAAATTTAGTGTCCGATTGTCTGTTCCCTTTAAGCGCCTCGTTCTGTCCTTCTGTTCAAGCTCCCCTCATATGTTCATTGTTCTCTGTTCAAGTGAAAGGCGCGCCTAATTCCTCGCATCCTCCGTTCCTACTTGTTTCCAATCTTCTCCTCTGTTGTTTTCGCCCTCGTCATCGTCAATTGTCATTCATCGTCGCTTTCAAGTTTTTGAATCTTTGTTCTCGTTTGTTTGTTCGTAGTAATGCGCCTGAGGTGATCGATGCGCCTCTTTTTTTCTTCATAGACTTTTAGCATTTTTTATTTCATTTCCATCTGTATCCCGCTGCCCTCCTGAATCCCACTTCGCACCATGGTTTTCCCCCCGAGCTTCGAGTTCTCTCTTCTCTCCCCCTATAATTCTGTTTTTAGAGAATTAGTCACGCAGTCACTAGTCATCCATCCCACTCCTGTCTTTTCAGAAGTCGAAATTAGTATGTATTCCATGGAATTCTGTCCCGACGTGTTTCAGGTTGGCCGTCATTTGTAGCGTCATTCCATACTGGATGTCGTGCTTCTAGAACCCCTCTTAATTCCGGTGCGTCCTACGTACTTTCTAACCTTGGGGTATACTTCTACTAACATTTTTGGTTGGCAGGTCTATGATGATTAGTGAGCCGCTGCTCCTTACTCGCCGGAAGGCGGTCGATGTTATGTGAGGGACGCCGACACCCAGTGCTGTCGTGCTCGTTAGGAGGGACGGTTCGAGTTTACCCTCACTAGCGTCTCGCCGCGATGGTTGCACCTTCGACGAGGCTTCATGGCACGATCTTGAGGCGGGGCCAATGTGACATCACGGGCGCTTAAATTGGATGGGCGCTCCCTCTGGCGTTGACGCGTTTGGTTCTCTCTTAGAACTCTTAATCCCGACGCGGAGAATCGACGCGCAATGAAACCAGTACATTGACACATTGTAGGAATAGGGCTGCGGTATACTCAGTAATCCCAGCAGTGTCTGTAATCACCCTTAGAACGTAAACACTGCGGCAGGCAAGAATGCCGACGCAGTGCGCCTTTCTACCCCAACTGCACGCCCTCGAGGATGTGTGCAAAAGGATCCGGCTGGGCAGGGTTCGGCTTGTACTCGACGATGCCCTCAACCGTGGCGACGAGCTCGGGATCCAGATGCTGGCGCAGAAACTCGGCGGCGAGGTCAAGGCCAGCCGTAACGCCCCCTGCACTCCACACCTTGCCGTCCCTGACGAAGCGCCTGTCTCCTACCCACTTGACGTTCTTGTTGAGGGATTTCTGGGACGCGAGCATGAGGAGGACGACTTTGTTGGACGCGACGTTGAGGCCGTCTAGGAGCCCCGTCTGGGCGACGACGAGTGAGCCCGTGCAGACTGTCAGGAGACCTTTGACCTCGATGAAGCGCGCCTTGAGGAAGGTGCAGGTTGCTTCGGAGAGGGGGATGCGCGGGTCGGCGCCTGGGACGAGGAGGTAGTCGAGGGGCGGGCAGTCGGCGAGGGTGGTGGATGGAATTTGGAGTGGTCCGGCGGAGGTGGCGACCGGATCGAGATTATCGGACAGGGAGATGTAGTGCCAGGTTATGATTGGCGCTTTATTGAGGAGCGAGGGTGGGAGGTGGAGGGCCTCGAGATAAGTCCGGCTGTGGCAGTTGATGTGGTCGACCGGTCCTGCAGCATCGAGCAGCTGGTGCTGTGGGAAAAGCAGGACACCGATGCTCCAGATGAGAGGGGTGGTGGCCATTGTGGGCTGCCAAGAGGCTTTCTGGAGCCAGCAGGTAATGTCACCATCGTTTATATAACCCTTTACACTATCGATACCGTACATACCATCCCACAAGTCTTGGCCGTGCGAGTCACTGCGGCACCGATAGCCACTGGATAAAGATCTAAGAAAGTTGCCGACCGATGCGGTCGTTCTTTCGAGACAAAGGAATGCCCACCAGACAAGGCTTCCGACCGGCACGAAAGGAAGTGGGGACAGGAAGCATGTTTTCAATGCTCACGAGCGAACATTGTATGTAAATTCCTGCTGTGCAAGGGAGCTGCGGCTAAGCCGACGACGTAAACCATTCGGCCGTACCTTGCCATGTTCGCAGATCTCCCGTTTTATGAGAGCCTGTGTGAATGCTGCGGGACGAGCTGCGCGGAACGATGATGGTCAAGGGTTCGTACCTTGTTTCAGGTTGGTTAACGACGTGGCAACACCGTGGTGGGAGGCACTCAGCTCGTGGTGGAAGCCAGACACACAGAACATAATTACACTCATCTCAAGAGAATCGAAAAAGGTCTAGTTTCACGGTCGGTACTGGGAAGCTGCTGAATCACCGACTTTGAATTCTATACAATCGTTACCTCATCAGATGGTCATCTGAAGAGACCTTTGTCAAATTATCTAGCCCGTTCTCGCGGACCTTGGAAGATTTTGGCGCCTGCAGGCACATCCTGTGCTCTGTAGCATAACTCGATAAGCGCTCAGACAAGCCGGAAAAAACATAGCACCTGCAGTCTTCAAGGGGCACATGGTGTAGTTGGTTATCACATCCGCTTAGCATTTCACAGCCCGTGAATTGGTTGCGGGGGGTGTCCGGTTCAATTCCGGATGTGTCCATTTCTTTTTCGACCACCCTTCCTTACTAACCCTACACTCGTTGCCTTTTACCTGTACTCGAGACTAAGAGGCCTCCTATACAGTTTGTGTGGCACCAATGTCGTGGGACGCCATCTGTCTTCGAACAGGACATATAATGCAAAGGGGAGACGACCTAGGAGGTAACAAAAGTGTCCGGTTCAATTCCGGATGTGCCCATTTCCTATTCAATCTCCCTCTTTTCTCTAGTGGTACAGAAACAAAACCTACTATTAAGGGAAGCCATCTAGGTAGACACATCCGGAATTGAACCACCCCTCTATATCCCGGAATGTCCGGTTCAATTCCCCAAGTGCCATCCTCTCCACCCCTAAAAGGCGTGTTTCCCTCGTACACAGTGCCTTTGTACGTTCTTGGGCTACCAATTAGTTGGCATGTGTGCCCAATGAGTTTATTTAACTAAGTCAGTCCAATCTCCGACGCCTGCCTGCAGTATAATGGTTCGCAACTGTACGACGTATGTAGGAGGCGACGCTAGCGCTGGGCGGCTGTGTGGGCGCTTATTGGGTTTTCGCCTGAACCCTAGAGGAACCCATGGGAATTTGGGGTTGGGGTTAGTATCGATATTTCTGCCAAACCTTACCTCCAACTTGTCAGGGCGCGAGCCTCCCGGAGCCCAAAGGTATGTTGTAGGGAACGGACAGCAGGGGAGGAGTTCTTCCAGCGCCTAAGGTCGTCAAGTTTGCTCCCTGCTTTGTGACACGAACGTTGAGGACACAAATGGGCAGACTTCACACACACATATCCATAGTCTAACGGAGGAGCCCATCTATATTTTCCAAACACCTCTAAGCTCTAACTAGCAACTAAGTAACAACTGACAGCGGAAAGTAAAGATAACAACACGTCTTTTTCATTACACCAAATGGATCAAAAACTCTAAGGTATACGGTATCGACATAAATATTAGCTACAAAAACATACAGTAAATGCAGTTGCGTTGCGTTGCGGTGCGTGCATGGAACATGACTAGTGACTCTCCTCGACTGACAAAAATAATGTGGTATGTACATATCGAAAAAATGTCAAACTTGAAACCCCGGGACTGAGAAAACTGGAAGATAAAAGATGGTTAGGTTCTACTACTAGGTCTATGCAAATGGGATCATGATTTTGTTTTTGATGTGTAGAATGCTGGGATGGTGAATAAATGTAATGTGGTAGGGTAGGCAGACAGACGGTCGTAGGCGGACGTTTTGTTTGCTTGGGGTATCTATCATGCGTTGGGTTTTCTCGTGAGGGGGTTTGCTGCACGCAGCTCGGCGCCCTTAAAGTAGAGGAATACTGGGAAGGGGATACCGAGGACGATGGAAAGGCCAGCGAGGAGCTATTGAACACAGTAAGCACCGAGTGGGTCTGGAAGAAAGGAAGACAGCGTACAGAGTTTCCTGGGCCAATGCCCATAGCATCGAACATCTGCTTTCCGAACAGAGGGAAAGCAAAGCCGAAGAGAGAACGGAATAGCGAGGCTGCTGCGACTGCGCTAGCGGCGAACTGGAAGGAGTCGACAAGATATAGTTGGGCAGGAAGGCTATAAGAAGCGTAAGCTTAATGAAGACCATGAACCACGACAAAGTACTCACAAAGTAGTCATCATGCCGAAAGCAAAGATTCCAGAGCCGATAATAGGCATAATCCAGTGGAGTTTTGCATGTGCAGACCAGCCATACCAGCTAGAACAACCTGTCAGGAGAATCCTTCGCCTAGAACCTTCGTCCAACTTACAAGATGCCCACAGGGACGAACCACGAGCCGAAGAAGAGGGCGGGAATACGCATCTCAGGGGTTCCAACACCACCGTTGCGAGCAGCGAGCTGGGGAAGTATATTAGCTTCGGGTACCTCATTGATGATGGCGAGGATGAAATTACCTTGTGGTAAATGGTGTCCGCGAACTTGGCGCCAAAGATAGTAGCCGACATGAAGCCAACACCGAGACCTAGGTACGCGAGACCACCGACACCGGCCTTGAATCCATACGTCGTGGCGAAGAATTCTAGACCGAGGCATGAGATCGTCGCCCACGTCCAGCGAGGAGAAAGGAAACGTACCGGCAAAAGTAGCGAACATAAGGTAGAAGATACCGTACATGCTACCGGGGATGTTAGAGCAACATCGACGCGGTCCATTGAAATGAAGACGTACACAGCCATGTAAGCAGACAGAATGAAGCAGATGAAGCTCTTGTAAAGCATCTGGACGGGTCGAGCCAAGTTCTCCCACAAAAGCTTCATCTTGTTTCCATGGGAGGCTTGCAGATGGGGGAAGAACTCGGCGGCCTTGTCAAGTTGTCCGCGTCGCTTTGCACGACGGAAACGAATGACGGGGGCGTAGGTCTCCTTAAGCAAGGGAATGCCATATACCGATGCAACACCGCAGACGACTGGAGAAGCGCGATGAGAAACATCCGTGACTATAAAAGGTCGAGCAACTTACTTGCAATGACGATGAAGACCCACTTGATACCGGCACCTTGAGCGATGAAGCCACCAGCTACAGGTCCGATGACAGGGCCTATACACCGAAAGGAATAAACAACTGCGGATGATCCATCATACGGGGAAGCACATACCAATCAGAGGTCCCAAGCTAAACATAGCCATAGCGGAAGCACGATCCTTCTCCGAGAACAAGTCTCCGACTGAACCACCACCACAAGCGATTGGCGCGCTTCCGGAGATACCGGCTACATAGAGGCAATGAACGATGAGCGCCTGTGACTCGCGAAGGATAAAAATAGGCAGCGCGACGTACAAAGGAAACGGAAGGCGACGAAGGCACCGGTGTTGGGTGCGAACGCGCAGCCCAAGCTGAACGCGATGGTGAAGAGGTTGCCGATGTGGAGAATCTACAGGGCGTTTGTGAGATAAGGAGCGTGGATTGGACGGCGGGAAGCGTACCCATGTTCGACCGTAGATCTCGGATAGAGGGGCGAGGATTAGAGGCTAGAACGCGGATATCAGTTCTGTTCCCTACATCATCACTGACTGTGTGACTCACAGCGATGGCGAAGGAGAGCAAGAAGATACTGAGAGTGAGGGCAGCAACTGTGCTGTTGGTGATCCCATATTTCATGGCGAGCTCGGGCATACCGGGTGCCATCATTGACGACGCCAAAGGCGAAACAAAGGTATAGAACGAGACCTATCATTACCCAAACCAGTTAACAAATCGCATACTCGAATTGAGGGGAAAAAAGTACGCACCACGGACACAGCGAGCCATTTCTGTTTGCTGGGCCAGTTCCTGGCATTTTCAGGATCACACTCCCAATCCTCCTCCAAATTCTCGACGGCCTCAGCCTCTTTATCTTCCGGGAACGCGCTCTCGCCGTGGCCGGGTTTGTTGTGTTCGTGGTGCTCGCCAGAGGGTGTCTTCTTATGTGACGAGCCGTTCTCCGGCACATGCGTCAACGAAGACGCGATAGAGTTGGTCTGCGAGAACGGGACCCCGCCATGTCCATCTTGGTGCTGCACCTGCAGCTGCGGTTGCTCAACGATGCCCCCGTCACCGCCCTTCTCGTTCACAGTGGCCATTCGTACGTGTGTCGCTCGGGTCGATTTGGTGTAATGGCGATGTGTCGTCGTATGCCCTAGAGTGGGTGAAAGTTGAAGACAACGGCGAAGAATAAAGAGATGAAAAGAAGAGAGAAGGGGGTATTAAAAGGAAAGAAAGGGAACCTGAAGGAACGGTGAAAAAACCGGCAAAGCCTTAAATTAACCGAGGCGTCTGTATAGTAATGTGGGTTGGAGGCCGAGGGAGCGGATTCTGACGTTATGTTTTTTGTGTCACTCGCCGTTCGTAAGCACATTGTCGACGGATCACTATCCGTCCCTCGACCCTTCTGAGTCCGTTCACAGCAAGCGCCGATGGCCAGGTACAGGCGAGCTGAAATGACACAATGACGACTCCACTTGACCTCTCCAGACTGAACCTCGACTCAGATTTTGTGTGCACGCAGGAAAAAAGTGTAAAGAAACGCGGCTGCGAGGTGTCTCGAGACTCGAGGTGGCAGCCTCGGGGCCCACTCCGGGCGACGGAAAATCGTAATGCTTCCTGATGTAAACGAGGGGGGCCGATGGTTGTCGCACGAAACTTCACTCCAGCAACTGGAAACGCGGAACATAACTATAGGGCTACGTATCACCATGCCGAAGGATTATGAAGGAGGGTATTATATGTACATGTCGGTAACCTACGAAAAGAAGTCCATGGCGTGAATATGCCAACCATTTGAATAAATAGCTGTAAGCGGCGTGTAGTTGAGAAGAGTCCAATATGGGGTGCGGATAAGACTAAATGATCATGAGGGCAGACAGCCAGCCGGCTACCGTTCTTTCCTGGCGAGAATTTCATGAATGGTGTTCGCCAGTGCATCAGCATCGACGCTAACAGGCTGATTTGTTTCCGTCGAGGTGGTCGGTAGATTTTCACCTGAAAACGCCCTGGAAAACCCTTGTTAACATGATGTAAATCAATCACCGGCACCGAACACGACTCAACTGATTTCCCCTCCATGCAACGTAGTTGACCCCAATGGACCGAGCAGGCAGTTCGCGTGTTAGGACGAACTCGTCTTGAGGGAAGATTTCAATCAACGTCGCCTTGGACGAAGGCCGCATCCAAACGGAATCCAGTAGATGGTTACCGTGAGTACCCAGCACAATCTAAAAAACGGAACGCATCACCCATCTGCCAAACGATAAGATATAATTGGGACTCACCGTAGACCGAACTATCGTGTCCATCCTGTGATCCCAAGACGTCTCTGTCAAATTGGTGGAAACAGTATGGAACTCGTATCCCCTCTCCCTCGCCATCCTCCTCAACGAACGCCCGAGCCTGCTGTAATCTTCAGCAGCGAGAACAGCCTGACCCTTCGCAGCCCCTTCCTTCTGGTTATCAATAAACGTGATCACAGGCTTGGGACCACCTCTGAACGAGAAAAACCCCTGCTTCTTCGCACTCGCCGCATCAACCTCTTCCATTAGTCTATCAAAATAGAGCGCCAACGTTCGACGGATGGGTTCCCACCAGTATTTTGACGTCTCCAGACCAAACACGGGCGAGTTGACAGGCTGACCTCGATTCACAGACGCAGCAGCGGCTTTACGATCGGAGACAACGAGGCGTTCGTAGACGAATGGAACAGCCATCTTGTGTATATCTTCCCAGTCTTCATAGTACTGAATGTCGAGGTGTGGGAAGGCTGCCTTTACGAGGTAGGGATGGAACCCAGTCTCCGCACGTACACGGCGAATCCAGTGTTGTTCGTTTGGTGGATTGGGATCGGTGAAGAAGCGGGTGTGGGGGAAGATGAGGCGGTGTGGTGGAGAAAGGGTGGTTCGTCCTTCAGCATCTATGGATGGGTCTAGAGTGCTCTGAAGCCGCCAAAGGTCGAATAGGGTGAGATTGTCTGTTCCGCGGTTTGATGAGACCTCTGCAACGCGTAAAGGGACTGGGCTTACATGGAGAAGGATTGCCAGACATCCAAGAGACGCCTCGAATTCTAGTGGTGAAGTGAGCCTACGAGGTCTAGCTTCAGATTGGAACAAGGACGTACATTCCACCGTACTTCCCAAGGGTTCGCTGACCTTCCTCCTTGGTCAATACTTCCCAGCGAGAGAAGCCAGTGCCCATAGTCTCCATGATAGACGTTACTGGAGGCAAACTAGACTTGTCGTCTGTAACAAGATACACAGATCCATTGAACGCAAAGACGTTGTCCACAATAGAATAGCCTACAAGCAATAGGTCAACGGCGCGAACACTCCCAAAACTCTGAGGCTACTCACCAGGTGCATGCTTGATGACTTGGGTCAGAGGGATATCGTCGCCCCACCACAGACGAGCATTGTTGACGGATTCATTGTCTTGTGGGCTCCGGGCGTTCACACTGTTGATTGTGTCTCTGCGCACCCACTGTGCGCCATGTCGACCAGAACCCTTGCCTTGGCTTCTCTCTGCCCCGTCACCTGCAACATTCCCTTCTTGCCAATCCCAAGACCCAAAGATTTCCAACTCCAACTCGTCCCGCCATCCTGGAGGTTTACGTCCGTCGCGACCGATAACCTTGGTGCTGCCGAGGCCTAGTGAACGTAGGACAGTGCCTTGTGCTGCGACCGGGTCGATGCCAACAAAGTTTAAGGACGTCTCGAGGTTGTACGCGAACAGGTAGATGGAGATTGAGAAGAGAGCTAGGATGAGTTCACGACGCTCTGGTCTGGACAACCATCGCATATTGGAGCTGCACGTTGCAGACGACGGTGACGAGGACGCTCGAGTCGATGGGGGGTTGAAATGTCTGAGTGTCAGCGTTGTTCGCCGCTCAGAAGCTGTCACTCATACATAATAGGGACAAACAGTCACCTCGGATGCACGAAATGGACGCAAGCTCATGCGCATAAAGTCTGGTAATTACGAGGAATGAAATTGACAATACTTTACAGCGTAATAATACAAGTGGTACAACACCAGAAACATAGAAGAGTAATAATATAACAGAAGAAATGGAAGCACATTTAGGCTTCCTCGTCCTTCTTGCCACGGCTGGGGACAGAGTCAATTGAAGTCCAACTTTTTGGAAGATAAAAGCAACTAACCTGGACTTGCTTGGGAGAAGTTCCTGCAGAAAGAAAGAGTTGAGCAAAAGTCGTAGACTTGACATGAGGACAGGGTCCTTACAGCAGCAATGTGTGGCACGACACCACCCTGCGAGATGACAACGTCGCCGAGGAGACGGTTCAATCTGAAGAGCACGTTAGTCGAGTCCAGGCGAACGAGAGCCAATCCGACTCACTCTTCGTCGTTACGGATGGCGAGTTGCAAGTGTCGGGGAACAATACGTTGCTTCTTGTTATCACGAGCGGCATTACCAGCCAACTCGAGAATCTCAGCAGCGAGGTATTCAAGAACGGCAGCAAGATAAACTACAAGCGAAATCAGATTAGCCGATCGATAAAGGTCTTGAAGACAAAAACTCACCTGGGGCACCAGCTCCTACACGCTGGGCGTAGTTGCCCTTCTTCAACAGACGGTGCACACGACCGACTGGGAATTGGAGACCAGCCTTTGCTGATCGGGATTGGGACTTGTTGTCACCACCAGCCTTGCCGCCAGAAGATTTGCCGGCTTTTCCTGTTGAAGAACCGTTAGACGTCGCCCTTGTGTCCAGTGTCGTTCCAAATCGTACCCTTTCCGCTCTGCAAGGACCTTTGGATCAGTATACGAGCTTCCTAGACATATAGAAGCGACTAACCATGTCGATAAAGTATTATTACAAGGGTCGAAGGGCAGGAAACGAGGGGGAAGGTGGTGGTAGGAACTCAAGGAGTGTGAATCAACAAACGGAGCCCAAACGCGTCAATTTATGTGGCCGTGTTTACATCTCACGTGAGCTCGTGCATTCTCGCCTTGGCGCGTCGTCGACGTCAAACAGCATCCGGCAACGGGCGTTCCGCTTTTTGCTCTGCGAGCTCGACGGCCTCGACGACAACGACGAAGAAATGTCGCTCCTAGCACAGTGGTCAGCGCGAAACTCGTGTCTCCGATCTCATACCCATGTATATCTCCGACGGACAATCTATACCTCGCCCCGACGACTAAAGGACGCCCCCGAGTCTCCGAATGCTGCATCCAAGGACAGCGCCCCGGGACCCAAGCCTGACGGCGAAAAGTCTGGAAAGAAGGCTGAGCTTGGACCTTTACAAAGACCTTTGGGAGTCACGCAGCGACCGACGACTGTGGTCAAGACGACGACGCAGAAACTAAAGGACTTAATGGACAGTGACTACCGTATGGCCCAACGGAGACACCTGTACGCATCCTGTACTTGGTTTCTGTCTTCTCTTTGACTCATTCAGACCACTAGTATCAAGGAAGCAAACAAAGGATACTTCCATGATCTCAATATGACTCGACAGCACGGTGGAAAGACCTGGATAGCCCCCAAAGTCTTGATTCGCGAGGATGTACGTGTCCGTCCTTGGGTCTTGTTATCTCCTTGATTAGACGTTACCTGTCTTACAGAGGGCGCTGTATCTGCCCAATATCTCCGGATCCTCCCTGCTGGATAAATCCGAAAAACACACGACGACCCTTTGTTTCGGCAAGATCTCAGTTATTTCGATGCTGAGCACCAAAATCTCTGAAGTGCGTCACGGTGTTTAATTCGAAACTGACCAAGAAACTCACAACTCCTCCTAGATCCACGCAAAGGCATTCACAGATCTGACAAATGCCAGGTTCTTATCAAATCCGCACTACCAGTACATCCAAGTGAACCTGCAAGAGAACGTAATGAAAGCGTTCCTCGTGAACCTTTTCCTCAGCGGGCTCCGCAAAACTGTTCCTTCAGAGTTGCAGGCGAACTACCTCATCTCAGGACAGAACATGGAGTATGTTCGGGAGGCGATGGGCATGACAAACAGCAGAGTGGGATACGTTTACCTTGTCGACGAGAACTTGCGGATACGATGGGCTGGCTGTGCCGATCCGACAGCGGAAGAGATCCAGTCCCTGGAAAGCTGCACGGGTGTGCTACTGAAACGCCTGGAACGCAAGACCCAGCAGGGGAAACCTGACTCGTCCAAAAAGACAGTCTCTGACACCCCAGAACCTTCTCCCTGAGTCTCGCAAATGGAACAAGGCCAATGCACATGTGAGTTAGCATAGCATCTTTTCCTTCCTCCACATATCATTGATCGTTGTGACCCATGATGTAGCGTATGCGCGGCTACTTGGACTCCGAATCCAGCGCCTAATACTGTGGGTCCATATTCCCCTGAAACTGCACGTTGATTGTGGTTGAAACAGCATTGGGTAGAGGATTCAAGGGCCGCTGCAAGTACTTGCTTTCTGACGGTGTCTCAGTCAGGGATGAAGGTGTCCATCGTTATCTCTATTGCACGTAGATTACTTTTTTAGACAACTCCGGATGGAAATTTGAACGTGAATGCGAACTGCAAGGCCGAGGACATCTCATCTGAAATAATGAACCAGCTACAGTCGTACTGAAGTTTCCAAGTAGAATGCTCAGGGACGGAGAGACAAGGCGGGTTCGAAGTGTCGTTGACTCGCTCATGGGAGTCCACTGGTCATATTCACGCCAAATGGATAATCACAGGGGCTTGCAAGCCGTGTACCTTCTTCTTCGCGGTGTAGCTGACCATCGTTGCTACCAGCGATGCTGTGCGCTGACTCTTCTGAGGTCGCCAAACAGCGAGTGTGGCTTGAATCCTCGCGCCCTGACTCTCCACGGAGTGCGGGCTCATGAACTTCGGAGGTATTTCCTTCTTCAACGGGGCTCAATGCCCAGAATCTTTGCCACCCCCTCCGCGCCTAGTTCACAAGCAGGTGGAAAGTACTTTTGCCCTTGTACTTTCATCCTAAGCGATTTTCTGTCCAGCGCACGCGACCTCAGTTCAGCGCGCGTGGAGTTGCATTGACCTGCAAGCGCGCGTCGTGATGATTGATCCGGGATGCCAGTGTTTCCCCTTTTGATAATCCTTCCTCGTGACGATCGCCTGGCTCGACACAATTCGCTGGAACAGTACGCTACACGGTTTACAGCATTGAGGCTAACAACAACACAGAGGCTGATCGATATGTGCGACGCCTGCGCCAGTCTGCTTCGTCGCCCCATTATTGATTGGCGCCGTGGATCACTTGGCGACCGAGTTTCCCCTTTGATTTCTAGGGCAGTTTCCGATAGGAGTTCCTCACATACGGGCAGATCTAGATACCCTCACTTTGTTTTCCAGGTCCAAGGCTCTCCACGCCAACAAGCCCTTCTCTGAAGAGAGATGGCTTCTCAATTAGCATCTCCGGCCAGCTGTCATGCCGCGACATTCTGACGATGACCGCAGATTTTGCACATCCCCGGGACATGTACAAGGTTATTGGGTGAAGAATGTCCTCGCTACGGGCAGTGAGGCGCGTCAACGCGTGAGCCCATGTGCGCGCATACCCCTGTTCCAAGCATTCGACCTGACGGCACCGCGACAATCAACTCTATGCTGAAGCAGACGTGCTTTCGGGACCGTTTACGGTACTCATGGAACGGGAGTTTATTGGGATCTGCCTCGCTTAGGTGGTACTCCTACATCCCTATAAAAGCGCTCGGAGAATTGGCGATTAAACACCAAACCAACCCGCCTTTCCACTAGCTTTCAGCTTGAAACCCTCGAAACAACCAACCCGACTTTACTTCCAACTCGAGCTCTTACAGATATGTCTGGAATCAACAATCCTTATGCTCAAGGCGGCTGGGTTAACCCTCAAAACCCATACTCCATCAACGATCCCCGCGGCTCTGGAGCTCCCCCGCCATCGATCTACGGCGCGCTCCCGTACTCCCAATCCCAGGGACCACCGCGATTCGTCGAGTTCCAGTTCACTGGTCTAAATCCCGACGTGCTAAACTGCATAGTCATGGGCCCCAACGCAAGGCACTGCTACACCATCGCCACGAGCCCCGCATCGTCAAATTCACCTAGTGTTACTGGGATTCGCAATGATAGAGGAGTGGTCGTTGCGAAGATCGAGTGGTACCAACGGCCGTCGGTCGAAGCGCCAGAGTTCTTGCCGAAGCAATATGCTGGGCAGTGGATGCCTTTGTCGAATGATATGAGGTGAGCAGGGCTGGATTGGTGTTGCTGTGTGAGCCGGTTGGACTGATGCGAGAGTTGGTTCCCTAGTCATAGGACGCTGTTGGTCAATGGACGGCCGTATGCGTTAACAACGAATGACGGGTCTTTGCAGCTGTATAACACGGCATATAATCCCCCCGAACTGCTTGCAAAGATCTCGCAAACGCATACAGCTGTTGTGTTGAATGTAACTCAAGAAGGCGTTCATAGAGGGATACTCGAGGTTTCCGTTTTAATTGCTACTTTGCTGTATTCTGGGCGGCGTATAGATTGAGAAACGGGCACTAACGAGTCAATTTTCCTACTATATCTTGTATTTATTAAAGCCTGTGCTATGCAACTATGCTCGTAGTAGCGTGTATTTGTTTTTTTACTACACTGTAGCTATAGGCTATGTATTCCTGTATCCAAGAACACTATTTATGCTTGACGTCATTGCTACTCCTTATTCCCCCCTTCGAGTTCCGGCTCGGAATCTGCGACTGGCAATGAGCGGCCTCTGATTGGAATTTTTGGGTAACGGTAGCAATCCAACTACTAGTCTCTTCACGCTTTGTTTCCAAGAAGAAAGTAGAGTCTTTGTGGACAAAGTCTTACGAGCGCTGTTATGAAGCGCCTTCTACTCTTCAATGTTTTCTGAGCTCTCTGTTTCGGCCTTCGATTGACGCTCGAGGTCCATTGGGCGATACAAGTGTAGACCCAACCTGGGACCACGTGGTGGACCCACCAAGTCGGGGATCTTGGACACATAGTCTCTCTGAGGTAGCGAAGATCTCAGGCTGAGGCCCGACACGTCTCAGAATTATTCCCACCAGACCATCGTCTCCGGAGAATCAGACTGAGCTAGCGTCGCGCTTGCAGTTTCTCCTCGAGTCTCAGCGGTTGGCCCAATCGTAATTATCGTAATTACTCAATTAGAGACTCAAACTAAGGAAGCGTGAGATGGGATCTCTTGTCTTGGTCATATTTCTCCGTCCACGACGTAAGCCCTAAACTTTCTGGTGGGCGCCTTCACTGACGGGCGCCAATTGCGAGAGCGTGTGAATCCCGCCCACTTGCCAAATAGGGGTGCTTGGTGTTGTTAGGCAATGCCGGGTTTGGCCTTGTTGTTGGTGGACGTGGCGATTTCGCTGCGCGGACACGCAGTCGCGGCTATCCCTTTTCCTGCGAAACGAGAACAAAATGGCATCGTCTGAACAGACTCTTCCTCCAGGCTGGCATTCTGAATGGTATGTGCACAATCTGGCGTCCAGATGAATGAAAATGAACGACGATGGCCACAGGGATGCAAATGCACAGCGATGGCTTTACATTGGTGAGTTGGGCCAATGATCGCGGTATTGGATATGTATAACCAGATCTATTAGAAACTGCGACGGGTCGCACTCAATGGGAAGAGCCTCAGGTAGCACCTGTAGGCGCGCAGGTGCCCTACGACGGGGTCCCGACTGGAACACCACCGCCGACAACCCACCATACCAAGCGTCGCCAGTATGCTCCAGGCCAAACTCAGGCGTATTATGGTGGCGATTCGACCCTTGATCCTGGATATCTAGGAGGAGTTCCTCCCCAGCAGGGCGGTGCCCAATTGTTCACCCCAGGTCTCGTTGGCGAGAACCAATTCGCGACGCAGCAGCAACAAGCGCAGCCTGGTGCGCAGGTACCCCCAGGGCAGCCCGGATACTATGGACAGCAAGGCCCGGAATACATCAACGCACCCACTTATGGTCAACCCCAGCCTGCATATGGACAACCGGTCGATAATCTCGCCAATCAATTTGGTCAAATGGGCATCGGAGGACAGAAACAGTTCTCGTTGTACACCGCCAATCTCTTGACTTCACCGCCTGATCCAAGGGAACTTCACAACCCACCCCCGGAGATTCGGCTGCCACCCAACTCCTGCCTCTCGCCCGCTCCGACCGCCAATGCAGACCCATCTTATCAGCGATGCACACTCAATGCCATCCCGACGTCATCGTCTTTGCTCAATAAATCGAAACTCCCATTAGCACTCGTGTTGACGCCCTACCGATCCCTGAATGAGGGCGAGGAACCTGTCCCAGTCGTCTCCGATACTGTCATTGCCCGTTGCCGAAGGTGTAGGACCTATATTAACCCCTATGTCCAATTCATTGAAGGTGGTAATCGGTATGTGTATTGTGAGCGCTATGTCATTTTCCCAATTCCTGATTCGCGTCTAGCTGGCGCTGCTGCATGTGCAACATGACGAATGAGGTTCCTCAACTGTTCGATTGGGATCAAGTACGAAATCAACCTGGAGATCGCTGGGCACGAGCCGAGTTGAACCACTCTGTTGTTGAATTCGTTGCGCCCACTGAATACATGGTCCGGCCACCTCAACCCGCTGTGTACGTCTTCTTGATTGACGTCAGCAACCCCGCCGTGCAAACTGGTGAGTACTTTGGTTCGATCTATGATCATCTCACACCTAACACGCCTGGTTAGGCATGGTTGCTACTGCTACACGCACCATTCGCGAGAACCTCGACCGCATTCCAGATGAAGATGGACGAACCAAGGTCGCCATTATCTGTTTCGACACTTCGCTGTACTTCTTCTCGATGCCTGTGAGTGGATTTGTAGTCGGAGGGTTCAATGGTATTCATCGCGTCGCTTTAGACTGGAACCACAGAGTCCTCCATGCTCGTGGTTTCCGACATCGACGATGTTTTCCTTCCCAAGCCCAACGATCTCCTTGTCAACCTCGCCGAGTCACGCGAGTCATTGGAAAATCTGCTCGACAAGATTGGCGCCATGTTCCAGGATAACAGCATCATCGGAAGTGCCATGGGTCCCGCTCTCCAGGCTGGTTTCAAGTTGATGGTAGGTTTCTCGGTGTTACTTCTGCAACACGAAAGGCTCGATCTGAAATCGTGTTACAGTCACCAATTGGTGGAAAGATCATGGTTCTGTCATCGAGCTTGCCTAGTGTGGGTGCTGGTGCCCTCAAGAATCGTGAAGATCCCAAGATTTTGGGCACGGCCAAGGTGAGCTCGGTCTTTGAAGACCGTTGAATCTCAGTGCTCAATGGTCGCAGGAATCGGGATTGCTTCAAGCCGCGGTGCCTTTCTACAAGACCTTTGCGATTGAATGTTCCCGAGCACAAGTCTCAGTTGACATGTTCCTCTTCAGCACTGCCTATCAAGACGTTGCGACACTAGGTAGGAATAATATTTCTGTTGATATTGTTTCAGTATTGATTGGTTTTCTTTCAGCTGGCTTGCCTCACTATACCTCCGGTCAAACGTACTATTACCCCGGATTTAACGCTGGCCGAGCGGAGGATGCCCTGAAGTTTGCTCACGAGTTTGGCAAAGTGCTCGCGATGCCCATCATGTTGGAAGCCGTCATGCGAGTTCGTGCCTCACGAGGTAATTGTTTTGACGATAGTTTTCATCCAGGGCTCTTCTGACTCGGTCTCAGGTCTCCGAATGTCCTCCTTCCATGGCAACTTCTTCGTCCGCTCGACCGACTTGCTTGCCATGCCCGCCGTTCCTCAGGATCAGTCGTACGCTATCGAAATCCAAATCGAGGAGGCCATCACGACACCATTCGTCGTCTTCCAGACCGCCGTTCTGCACACAACCTGCTACGGCGAGCGGCGTATTCGTGTTGTCACTCTGGCACTCCCGACTACTTCCAACCTCTCCGAAGTATTCGCATCCGCAGATCAGGTCGCGCTTGCCACCTACTTTGCCAACAAGGCCGTGGAAAGGTCGATTACGCACAAGCTGGAGGACAGCCGCGACTTCATCCTGCAGAAGTTGGTGGATATCTTGATTGCGTACAAGACGAGCATGACCTCTGGAGGTGCTGGTGCGAGTGCACAACTTGCAATTTCTGAGAACATGAAGATGCTCCCCGCTCTCATTCTCGGATTGCTCAAGAACGTAAGGCTCAATTCTCCTTGGTCTTGACATCTTCTGAACTGTGAAACAGGTCGGCATCCGTCAAAGTGCCCAAATTCCACCCGATCTCCGGGCTTATGCTCAAGCACTCTTGACCTCCCTCCCCTCGCAATTGTTGATCCCCTACCTCTACCCCACTTTCTACTCACTTCACAATATGCCTCCTGAGGTAAGGCGCCTTTCTGAGACGCGTTTCATGAATCTATTCTCATGACCTTTAGGCTGGAACTATTGGAGAACAAGGCGTTATCCTCCCACCTCCTCTCCCTCTGACCTCCGAACGTCTGGAGCGTCACGGTCTCTTCTTGATCGAGGACGGCCAAACGATGTTCTTGTGGGTCGGCCGCGACGCTGTTCCTCAGCTCATCATGGACGTGTTCGATCTCCCCAACTACGAGGCTCTGCGTGGTGGCAAGGCAGGTATTTCCTGTTGCTGGGTACTACAAATTCTAATCTATCTTCCTTAGACGATACTCCGTGTCCTCGACAACCCCTTCTCCGAACGAGTCAACGCTGTTATCCAGAAGGTCCGCGAGATGCGCCGTGGCCCATACTTCCCCCAACTCTATGTTGTTAAGGAAGACGGCGAGCCTTCTCTCCGCTTATGGGCCCTGAGTGCTCTTATCCAAGATCGCGCGGACGTTTTGCCCAGCTACCAGCAGTTCATCTCTTCCTTGAAAGAAAAGGTTAGTAACGCTTAGAGCTGATCGTCCCTAGCAGACCGGAAGCTAGTCGCCGACGCTCAATTTCTCTCGTTTACGAACCCGGACTGGTTGACACGTTTTGCTCTGTTCCTCTTGCAGGTCAGTGCCAGTGGAAGTGGGTACTAAAACCTCTATGGACACTGTGGTCATCTGGCTTGGAGTCTGCAGTATTAGATTCACTTTTTATACGGTTGGAGTGTAGACTTGTCGAGGAATTATCTATTTCGGTTTCCTTCTCCTTGAAATGGGCCGGCCCTAAAGTCAAGGGGCTGCGCGATCACGTGGATGCTTTTGACATAACGAGAACGCGGAGGCTTTTGTGAGTTGAACAACTTTAGTCTTTGACCTCGACGACCATGATATCCGCAGACGACGTTTTCCAAGAATCTGAGCCCGTCGTCGTCGACTGCGACCTTCTCGAGGCTGCCAAAGAGAATGTTCAGCCCCTCGCCACCGGTCGACGTGTGACGGCTCTTTCCACTGTTCTGGCGACCCCCGCCGCACAACGCGATGCTAAATTGTCGGCGACACGAAATAGACTTCGAATCAACGTCGAGCTAGCACTGGAAGATGAAGACGGTGATCCATTGGAAGCTTACTGTCGTCTCGTGTACTGGACCATGGAGAACTACCCTCAAGGTCACAGCGCAGAGTCGGGGCTGTTGGAACTGTTGGAAGAAGCCACTCGCGTTCTCAAAGACCACAACGGCGGGGTGTACCGTGGAGACATGAAGTACCTCAAGTTATGGCTGATATACGCCAGCTACGTGGAACGGCCCACCATCATTTATCGGTTCCTGCTCGCCAATGATATCGGAATCGGGTTCGCGCTACTGTACGAAGAGCACGCAGCTGTTCTAGAAAGGGATGGCCGGTGAGTACGAATGTATACCTCTATCCCATGGTTACGCTTTGAGCTCAATCATTGCGAGAACTCAGGAAACAAGAGGCAGATGAGATTTATGCTTTGGGTATCGCTCGTAAAGCAGAACCCCTCGATCACCTAGAAAGCCGGTATCAAGATTTCCAGAAGAGGATGATCTCGACCTTTACGGCGCCTGCCCCTGAACCCGCGAGGACGACCCAAGCTGCTCAGCCTAAACGTCAGGCGCTCGCTACGACGTCGAAGATCCCCACCTCGACATCGAGAACCGGCGGCACGCGAATCGCGTCATCGAGCCGAAATACGACGGTAGCTGCTCCCACCAATATGCCACCACCCTCGAATCGTGGGGGATTCCAAATCTTTGTGGATCCTTCTGGTCAGAATGGAGAAGCGCGTGAAGGAGGGGAGAATGGGTGGCACGATCTCGGAACACGTAAGACGAGGGTGAAGGAGAATGTTCCGGAGACGAAGAAACTCGTTGGGACGACCATCAAGCAGGCTGGGAAGACGAGGAGGGTGGTATCGGCTTCGGCTGCTTCTGGTTCTGGGTCCGGCTCCTCGGGAAGCTCAGGCTCCAAGTTTGCGATATTCAGGGACCCAGTGGATGCCCCAACCCCAACCCCACCAGCGCCTGCTGCGGCTTCATCCTCGAGAAAGCCGTCGTCTAGCGGGAAGGCTACCAAGGCATTTGTGCCTTTTGTTGATGAGGCTGATGTGAAAAAGCCATCTCCTATACCACCGGAGACTCCTCGTGCTGCGACGCCTAAGTTCACTCCCTTCCGTGACGAGGTAAGCTCTCCATAACTCTCCTTCATCGATAACCTGACTGATCGCCTTATCCTTAGGGTGATGCTGAGTCATCGCGGGCGACTGCAGTCCCAGTGGGCGATGCAGTGATCAAGGTCAAGAAGACAGGGCCCAAGGCTCCGGTGCCAACTTCTGAAGCAGAGGCGCTCAGAAAAGATCCTCTGAAAAACTATTCGACGAATGATACGTGAACTCGCCTATACCTATTCTTGCACATATGTCCTTTCCTTTTTTGCACGGTGTATTGTCATTCACTCATTGCTTGAATTCCATTGTATTTGCTGCACAGTCTCGACCCTGGGTTCTCTCAAAGTTTCCGTCTTCCGACTTCTGGACTCTAGACCTTCATATCCCTTCAGCGAATGGATAACTCATAGACTGAATCTCCTTCTCTTCTCCGGTGGTTCCTGTCCCTTCCCGTAATCCGTAGTGTTGTCGCTCAACTATGCTCAAGCTCTGCCAGGTGAGTTTCCCTCCGGCTCGTTCGCTCATTCACTCAGTCCAGTCACAAAGGAGTACTGGTGAGGTACTTTGTTACCATATCACCATGCGAAGGACGGTGGCGGAGTCCCTTCCGTTCTCTCCAGCCCTTCCTGCAGTGGAAAAGGCTTTGATCTTGAGCCGAATTCGATGTCACCGGATATTGGTCATGACATTGAAGTGCTGTTACTTCGCCACGTTACACTATCCGTTATTAGGTGGATTTCCTTTTCATTTTTGTGAGAAGGAAGATTATGTTCTGCTTGGCGGAGCTCCCCAGACTCTGCCGAGTGTGATCTTCCTGGGGTGAAGGTAAGCCGAGGATCATCCCCGGTAAGCCCTCCGTTGCTGGGGCGCTCTGTGCGCACCAAAGGCTGGTCCCAAGTAGGGCTTCCCAGCTAGGAGGATCACGTAGGTGGATCGCTGGTGGCTCAAGCTGGTTGCTTGGAACACATGCACCTTATGGGACTCTGCAGCTCGAACAGCATGGTGCGTTTCATCTCGGGAAGCTCATTGAGGCCACCACTGACCTCCAGTGCACACAGGGCCACGCAGCACTCTGAATCATTCTCTGTATACCGCCGTAACGGGAACCACATTATGTGTATACCACCCCTCCAAGCTTAGACTCCATTTCAGGTAAGTAGGTTGATGAGTCGTGCTTGCCAAATAGCGCGGCCTTACATGCCATCAACAGCCCACGATATAGGCTTCTCTCCTGCAACGAAGGATCAAAATTTCATTCCGCGGATGAACGACTTCGCACCTGTCCAGGGTTGTCGCAGCAACGCCACCCTTTTAGCGTGGCACGCGAAGGAAACACATCAAGCGAAGATAGGGTATGGGCGAGTATAAGAAGGTAGGGGGGGAGGCGTGCCAATGCCTTTTCCTCACCGCACCTGGCTCTCACCCAGCTCAACGGTCAACAACAACAACAACAACAACAACTGGATACCACAAGCCTCTCGCCTTCTTCAAACAGTTTATATCATCTCTCCTTCTGACATCTCCGACATGTTCTTCACTCGCATTCTCATCGTCGCTTTTGCCCTCGCCCTGTCGGCGTTCACGGTCTCAGCAGCACCGACTGGAATTAGGAGCATCATCCGACCCCATCATGAAGCCATCCACATCCTAAACAAACATCACATGCCACGCTCTGTGGACGGAGCGGCCATTGGTGGTGTCGCACAGGTTGTCAACGTCGCTCAAGGTTCGGAGGCTCTCGTTGACACCGGCGCGGACGTCCCTGTCTTGTCGGAAGTTCCGGTTATCCGTGAAGCTACGCACAAATTCGAATGGGCCCCTCAGCAGGCCATTGTTCCGAAGTAAGTGGCTCCTCACACCATTTGCTGTGAAGGGTAAAGTCTGACAATTTGTTCTGCATGATTGTGCAGGCCTCCGGCAGTTGCTGAGCAAGGAGTGTTCTCTGAGATCGTCAGGATCTTCCTCAACCCCTCGTCGCCGACTGCATCTGGCCAAACGCATGGCAAGAGACGCCGTGTTGCCCGACGCAGGCATCCTGTGAGTCGTGTTTCCCTTTTGTTTGTTGTCAGTTTGCCTGACCTTGGGAACGTTTTGTAGTAAATCACCGCATTCCCACATCGTGTTTTGTTACCCTATACCCACCGGCTGGCACAAAGTGCTCTCACTTGTACGTTTTCCATTTCATTGTACCAATCGTTGAAAGGCTAATCATGCATCGGTCTTGCCCAGTGAAATTATACCCCCTCTCTCATGCGACGCTATATGACCCCTAACTTATTCTTGGATGACGATCCCTTTGGAAGAATCGGCCCTTGGGAAACGAACGAGACTTAGAAGACTCACGGAGCAAAAATGGGCTAGATGGGATCTGCTTCATTCATTGCGAACACGCGAGCGACTCCACTTTCTGGCTCCTTTTGATGACTATAGCTGGTGGTGGTAGGGTGCCTTTCACTATGTGAGGTGCTTCTTTATCCCCTGGCATGCACGAACCAACGATTTCGAACGACACTATCTATGTATCTATTCACGTTACGCGAGGGAAGGATTGGCCGGAGCTCGGTTCTTTGGGGGATACACTTGGGGCCAAAAGAAGTTTGGGAAGAGTGGATGTATAGAGATGATGACAAGTAGGAAGACGAAGAAGCTGTAACGATAGATGATTCCACCTAGATGTATCAACGACTTGATTGTGGTACGACAATTGTACATTTCTTCATGATCTATTCGAGGACTTCTGGAAGATAACCACATCTCTAGTTAATCTTGCTACCATGAGTCGCCCAGCGCGTATCTGCAGATGCGGCCAACATAGTCTGGGAGGGTTCACCGCGCCAAGAGAGATCATCAGGGACGCCGAGTCGGAAACCTCCCTTTGTCCAAAAGCTTTTGATCACTGCAGGGCTGACATCCCGGATCCCAATATGTTGCATGTGGCAGTAGGCACGGTCATGGCGTATTCGCAACGCCTTCGAGGTGAAGTTTGGACAAAGACCCGTTATTTGGACCTCGTGTGAGGGTAACTGATATTGTCCGTAGAGGTTTGGAGGCGGAGACCAAGGCTCCCGCGCTCGCCATTGCTAGATGGCCTTTCACTCCAGTTTAATTTCCTACGACTTTGACCCGACGCTTTGTTGAGACCAACTGTCTTCCTTTCCCGCGTTATAATGTCCCTTGAAGGAGTGTCTTGCCCTTTCATAAGTGCGGGCCATTGTTCACTTAACGACGTCTTTCGACGGTGATTATTCCCTTTGTGTCATTCCGAGAGTTCATTTACTTGTTTTGAAAGTAAACGACAATGATCACACCGCAACCACATACCACACTTGGTAAAAGCGCGGGAGTAGACAATGGGTCAAAGCTGTGGCATCTGTCGTTACTTCTGCGCTTTGGCTTCACGGATAGGGCTATAAAAGGCGCTGGGATTTGGACGAGAATTCTTCAGAACCGCAATTCCCCCAGCTACTCCAACCAGCCCAAGTCTTCAGCACTCTAAAGTCACCTACTTCTACTACCAAACAACCACCACCCACAATGTCCTCCAACAAGGTCCTTGTCGTCGCTCAATATGGCCACCCCAAGCTTCCCGGAAGCAAGCACTGGGCTCTCCTCATCATGAACATCAACGATAAAATGACTCCCGGTACTGCCTACGAGATTACTGGCTCTACCACCACCTACACCCTGAAGACCCCCGAGGTCGTCACACCTGGCAAGGCTAGCTCTTTCATGGGAATGATTCCTGTGGGAACGATCCCCGAGATCCAACTCAAATACGCCGACACAATCCTCCGCAATACTGCAGTTAGGACTGGAGACAAGACTTGGCACTGTCAACACTGGGTCATGGATGCTCTTGACAACTTGAAGCGCGCTGGACTCCCGATCTCGACTGTCACCCATGAGAGCCTTCTCGCCCAGTTTGGGGCTATGATGTAGGCCCTCTCCAAGCTGCGACCAGCCTCTCATCACCCTTCTGAGTTTCTTCTCTTTAAATTCTACATTTTATGTGCCTCATTATCTTACCCTACTCCTGTTTTAATTCTGCGCCATATTGCCGCCTTTAATATAATTAGTTGACGCTTATTAGAATGTCCGATCGGTAGTGTTTTGCGAAGGAACCCAATGGCAATGTCGTGATTTTTTACGGATAAGAATCAATGCTTCAAGGTTATTAAAGGCTACTGAAGTATAGGTGTGAGAGGCCGTATACGTGCCCAGTCTGTGTGCGATCTCGTACGCAACGCAGACGATTCGAGTCCGCTCTGAATCCTGATCAGTCAATGGGCATTCAAGCAAGGTATCGTGAGCCCGGGGATCTCGGTGATGGCCAATCAATCCTGGGAATCCAAGCAAAGCCCACGGCATTTGGCGCGTCGCTGGATGCATGCTCGCTTCACCGTGACCAGGACGGCGACTCGGACGTTGGGCTTGCCGATACAATGCAGAAAGCAGCTCTCTCGTTGATGAACTAACTAACCAGCCATGCGCAGCTCGCACACAGCAGGGGTGAAAGTCCCGTGCACGTGGCTATTACGAACATACTCGTTTGCTTTCAAGTTATGGGGCGACCCATTCGCCGGAGAGTAAGTCAAGCGTACTCCATGACACATTTACGAGATTTTCTCTGAGGCATCTGACAGAAATGATAAGCATTGGAATTCCAAGGAAGAGCAATCTATCCTTCCCTAGACACCGTCCAAACTTGGCATGATGAACGAGGCACAAAGGCAAGTTTACCTGGCGACCCTTTTGTTCTTGGACACAGAGATGCATTCCGAAGTGCAAGGCGCGACGGCATCCGCTCTTCTTTCCTCCCCTTTTGTGCGTGTTAGGCGTACTACGTCCCATTGGGGTGCACTGACGCGTTGAACTAGGTAGGGACGGTCAGAGCCTGGCAGTTCAACCTGGTCAGGCGGATTCATTTCTATGGGCTGATCTGTTCAAGGAATAAAAAGCCTCTAATACAATATCTGGCCTTCTAATCCTGCCCTCCCATCGAGTGATTTCCTACCTGGAGCGCTCGCGATGATGATCACTTCCAGCTCTGGCCTAGAGCCTATGGTGTCTCTTACTCGCCTTTTTCTACTCGCGCTCACTCTCGCTCAACTCTTCACATCGACAACGGCTGTTCGAGGTCAAGGGATAATTGGTGCAGGGAAAGTAATCTACGACCTTCCTTGCGCCCACGCTTGTCGTCAAATCATCGCTCCCAGTCCACTCCTATGCGACTCCAAGCTCCCAGGGGAAACCCACACGACGGACCCCACCAACCTGACGGAGTGCTATAGCAAGGATGCAGCATTCTTTTGCGCACTTTGGCCCTCTGTATCGAAGAGCATTGTCGGCGGGACAACCCCCAGATCTCCAAGATCGAGAGGTTTTGGGAGACCTATCCACTCGCTGGCACCGGCGTTTTCTTGGACCCTGCACAAGTAGGACCGATCATGAGTTACCAGGAGGCACTTCGTTACGCCCATGTAGATGTGGAAGAATTCGGTGAAGGGAACATCCCGTCTGTCGTGGCCTGGGAACCCTTGAATGCGACGAGCCTCGTCCGCGCAGAGGACTGGCTTGTAATCTACAACGGATTGCTCCTCCTCAACACAGGCGGCCTGGTTCATGGGCGAAACGGGTAGGCTTCCCATTCAGAATTTATTTGGAACGGATAAACCTGACCGGGCTTGTTCTTGTTTTACAGGGTCATTGTCGCTGTTACCAGCGTTTTTCTCCCCGTACTCCTTTCCTTATTGAGGTTTCTCCCTGGGCGGCTTGTTTGGTACAGTCGCTTGGTGATCTACCTCGAAAACCGTTCATTGGCTATCGTCATCGCACGCCGGTGGCTGCCAATATCGGTTTCATGCCGACGCGAGGCCAGACGCTATACATCATCTACCTTGTGGTGACCCAGATCACTCTTGCCATACTCCCCTTAAACTTCTTCAAACCATGGGGCTACATGTCACCGCCCTACTTCTCGCAGCGCCTTTTGGAGTATCTCTACTCGCACCCTGCTCTGCAAATCCTTGGCGACCGGACGGGCGTCATAGCGATGGCCGACTTTGTCGCTCTTTTCCTTTTTTCCAGCCGCAACAACATCCTTCTATGGATCACCGATTGGAGCCACGGAACCTTCATTCTCCTTCATCGATGGGTCGGTTACTGCACCATCATCCAAACCTGCATGCACTCCCTCCTCCTCCTCATCTTGTACGGGAAAGACCACGAGTACCAGTCTCATCGGAAATTCTGGGTCTGGGGTATCGTTGGCACTCTCGCCTTTGTGATACTCTGGCCGGCGTCCCTCCTCCCCGTTCGCCAGAGATGCCACGAATTCTTCCTCATATCCCATCAAGTCCTCTCCGTCATCGCCCTAGTTGGGACCTTCCTTCACATCTACATATTCTATGGCTATAGATGGGGGTTTGAGATATGGGTGTATGTCGGAGGAACCATTTGGTTCCTCGACCGCTTCATTCGAGTTCTGAGGATGTTCGCGAATGGTTATCGGACAGCAGCCATTACCGCCATCGACCCCAGTGGTGAATACCTCCGCGTCGAGATAGATGGGATCGTTGCGGAAGGACATGTGTACTTAACCTTCCCCACTCTTGGTTGGAGATTCTGGGAGAGTCATCCCTTCTCCGTGTTATCGACAGTCACAGCGGGTCGAGCAAAGGTCGCTAAAGGTGTCGAAGATGTCGCTACATCGAAAGTCGCAGGTCTTGACCCGGAGAAAACCAGTCGACCCAGTTCTTCATCGTCAGGCTCGGGTGGTCACTCAACAACCGTTCGTCCACGAATTACCCTCCTTTTCCGCCCAATGACTGGTATTACAAGGACGATCGGTCAGCGCTTATCAGCATTGGGCAAGGGGCAGCGCCTGGCCCTTCCAGTTCTGGTCGAGTCGTCGTATCACGCTAATCCAGCTACCCGAAATCTTGCCCATTGTACCACTTTACTCTGTATTGCGGGCGGTGTAGGCATTACCGCCATTCTCCCAATCGTCAGGACATTCGGAGGCGCTCGTGCTCGAGTTGCGTGGGGAATGCGCAACGAATGGCTTCTTCGGGCAGTCGAATCCGACCTAGCGGCTCTCAACCCTACCACCGTCCACGTCGAAACAAGTATAGGACAACGGCTGGACGTTGTTCGATTGCTGAGGGAAGAATTGATGGATAGCGAGGACGCTGGTGATCTGGGCGTGGTTGTGTGTGGTCCGAGTGGAATGTCAGATGATGTACGGAATGCAGTCAGTGAACTCGGAGCGAAGGCAAAGAGGGGAATCGTGTTTATCGACGAGGCGTTTGGTTGGTAAAATTCTTTCCAGGATCTACTTAACACTTGTATTGGTATCCTCACGCTCGCTTTCCCAATACACATGTCCAATTCCTCCTACTAGTCATCAAGCCGTCGATTACGAGTGAAAGAGCACATCCATTGAACGCCGAGGAAACGAGCTCAGGGGAGCGTTGTGCGTGATTAAAAAAGCGCGGGGGATGCCTGAAGAGGATACAATGAAAAGAGGCATTGACTGGTAACTTACTACAGCTGAGAAGGCGAGACTAAGAAATCCATAATCCGTATGTCATCCGCAAAGTCATGCGCATCTTTCGAAACAAACACCATCCGTCCAGTCACAGGGCACAACGAACACCGATCGGGGGTCGTGTCATCTTCTGGAGGGCGGGCATTCACAAACACCGTCCAAGGCGTGAACGGTTCTGGATTCGAGGCAGGGACACTACTGATCGCGATAGACCTCGACGTGCTGGTCGATCGAGATTGATAAGAGTGGAAGACAAAATAGTTTTCGGTGTAGCGAGTCGTGTCTTGTGGGGAGTACAGAGGTGTGTTTCCAGACCACGATGGACCGACGTAGTTGTCGACAGTGCCGACGCGAATAGGAATCCGGATACGCGGGCTTTGTCCCAATCCCCTATCATCTTCGAGCGTTCCCCGAGCCAGACTGTACAATTCCAGACCCCATCCGTTCCGCCGAGATGCATGAGGGTCTCCTGACCCTGGAATCGCCATATCGTGGTTTTCGGGGAACGCAAAATATAAGTCCAGCAGCATAAAATACGGCCTGGAGAGGCCATGACACGTCCATGTCGGAGAACGAAGGAATGCATAGTCGAAAGGTTGGTTGGCTCGTACGAAGTTGAATGTCGGTGGATTGATGGTGATAGGAACACTGTTGAGGTCATCTAAGTGTGGTTGTAAAGGCGGTATTTCGTAGAGGCGCATCGTTGGAGTGTTCTCTGAATCGTCCAGCGTGACAACGGCGTCTTTGAAGAGTAGAACCTGTTGGGAATGCCATTAGTTAAGGCAAGTCGCGTACAGAGCGAAGCTGAGGCGTACATGATACATGTTATCAGTGCCTTGCCACCGACATGCAGTGCCCTCTCGCACGTTCCACACAACCAGTTCCCCATCAATACCCAAGCAAAACAGGTCGTCACAGAGACCCAATGGATCAGTGTCGAGACGCAGATTTTTCAATTCTCCTTGTAGTTTAAATTGGGGGTCTTCCGAGTCAGGTTGGAGGGTATATACTTGGGCAGAAGAGGCGTTTTGGGCTCTACAAAGGTTAACAGAAAGATGTGTTTGAAAGAGAGGGTGCTTACTCTATTTTCCGGATCCCATTGAGCAAGATGGTGGCCCCGTCTTGAGAGAGGTTGATTTCAGAGATGCAGAATCCTGCGGGGAATGTGAATTGCGCCACTGGCGCAAGCTTCAGTGGCATTGCTGTACCACATCCGAGGTCCCACAAAGAGGCGGACTGGATGTCAGAATTGTCGGTATATGCGGCGACAAGATAACGCCCGCCAGGGACCAAGAACACCGTCTTCACAGTTAGATTAGTCTGGGCCACCTGCGGGTTTAGAATCCGGATGGACGGTGGTCGTATCGTTCCATGATTATGACGCTTCAGTAAAGAGAGGAATCGCGACGGAGAAAGTGCCAAATGTTCAAGATCCGGAAGCGACATATCTTCAAGAGGAAACCAAGCTTTCCGTACGCCGTTGCGAAGGCACATTCTTTCGATTGCCTGAATCCAAACGATGCGGCTTTTCGACTGCGCGTACCAAGTCTTACAGGTCTAGTAGATTGATATTAGCGAATTACATACTGACATGAGCAATACGGATTGCCTTTCTCAGAGTCATTAAATCCAAAGGCTCGAGGAACCTTTGGACGCTCAACATGACATCTTGTGATGCAAGGCACTTCGGGAGCGTAGTTGCCGGTGGCTGGGACTTGACATCAACGCTGGGCGCTTCTGTAGGAGACCCATTAGTAGCCGCCTTGCGTCGCTTTGGCTGTTTTCGTCTGGTTGAAGTTGTCGATTCAGCCATGGATGAAGATGAGGTCAAATTGAAAGAGGCCGCCGCCGGCAGTGGCAACCCGCAAACGATCACTGGAAGCCTTGTATTCTAACAACTACAAACAAGCTACATCTGCGACGGAGAAACCAAAAGGTCCATCACCCGTATCTCATCCTTTGTACCGCTATAAGAGTCTTTAGTAACGGCCACCACCCGTCCACTAAAAGGACAGACGTCGTAACGGTCAGGTTTTGGAGCGTTACCCCGGTCATGGGGGTTGATGAAAATGGTCGAGCACGAAAGATGAGGAGGGCGAGTTGGCAACGACGGGTCAGGAATAGAAAAGCTGGTCACCGCCAGCATGCGTGTCGGCGAGTTTCGCAGCTCCTGACTTGAAAAGAAAACAAAGTGGCCGTCCGCAAACCCGCAGTTGTCCTTGAGAGGAGGATCAGGGGAGCTTGGACTCCAGTTGGGACCGACGTAATTTCCCGCTATACCCATGAGGGAGGGGAATACGGTGGGCATCGCACTGTTCGCTTGAAGGAAGGCGTGAAGCTCCATTCCCCAGCCGTTTCGTTGTGCAGCATGGGCGTCGATGGCTGGTGTACCATCCTCGCGGTCGCGGCTTTCATACCAGTCTAACATGGCTAGGAACGGGGAGGGAAGGAGATGTTGCATCCAGTGTGGCGAACGGAAATACGAAAAGTCGGACGGCTGGCAGACTCGCACAAAGTTCAACTTTGGCGGCGTGATGTCTGACACGACAAGCCTGGAAAAGTCATCCACGCGGGGTTCGAACGGTGGTATGTCGTAGATGTAAACTTGTGTGGTCGGCTGCTTGTTGGCCATCAGAAGTGCAGTTTTTCCAAACGTGGTTCCCTAGATAGACTTTATAGTCAGCTCTCGGAGGGGGAGGAGGTGCACTTACATATGAGATGTTGTCTTCCGCCTTGGTACCCCAGCAAGAGGTCATGTTGTTCTCGAAATCCCAGACGACGACGGTGCCTGTTGCGCGGTCCCACAGCAGGAAGCGGTCTTCTGAGATACCCAGAGGTTCTGCGGTCAATGGAATATGGTTGAATTCCGCGCGAAGCTCAAATGTGGGCTGTTCCAATCCTGGGGAAACCGAGTATATATAGGTCGAGTACGAATCCCTGCGATGCAATGAGAATGGGCGATTGTTAACCAGCGGATAGACTCACTCGTGCTCTCTGAAGCAAGGCATGATGACAGCTTCTCCGTTGGCAGAAAGGGTGATATCAGTAATGATAAGTCTATCCGGAAAGTCGAGGTGGGCAATGGGGAATAGCTTCATAGGATACCTTTCCCCAAATCCGAGGTCCCAAAGCAAGCAACCAGCGTCGTAAAGATGCTCGTCTGCATCCTGACACGTAACGGTGATCAGGAAGCGACCACCGGGTACGAGAAAAGCGCGGTTGATCTCGAACGTGTCGTCGTCTCCTGCTCTGGGCTGAGGAACCAGTGAGCGCGTGAGCAATGGTCGAACTGTGTCGTAATTATGGTTGTCCAGTAATCGCAGAAAGCGCGACGGTGACAGTGTGAGATGTTCCAGGTCTGAGAGACTCATCTCTCGGACAGGAAGCCACGCTTTCTGGATGCCATTGCGCAGACAAACGCGTTCGGCAGCGCGTATCCATGCAGCGCGGTTTTTGGAATGATCATACCAGGTTTTGCAGGTCTAAAGTAGTGTGAATGGGATGTCTGCTTGTTACCGACTGTAACCACACCTTTCTGAGCGTTAACAAATCTTGCGGGTCCAGAAATCTCTGCACATTAAGCATGATATCCTGAGAAGCGAGGCATTTCGGTATCGGCTGTTCCAGTTTGATTGAGCTTGGCCCTGGACTGTCCTCTGCAAGTTTTCTTATTTTCGTTCGTTTTCTTCTGCCAATGGCTCCTCCTTCGCCCATGGTGAGAAATCCTAAATGGAGGGGCACAAGAGAGTAGAGAACCAAGGCGTTAGTTGCCGAGCACAGCCTACACCCGGGAGGCGGTGATGCCCGGCCCACAGGAACGGCGAGGTTCGATCCAGTGCTGGCGTCGTTTTTTTTTTTTTATTCCCTCGGAAAGGAACGTTGATTCATGAGGACTTGGCGAACATTGAGATTCTTGACTATTGTTGGTACATTCTAAGTGAATAAACGGAAAAGCTTCTATTCTACAACCCCTCAAAGGCAGACGCCAGCACCTCCTTCTGCTGGACCTGGTACATCTTTCCAATTCCAGGGGCGGGCACCGCGCTCTCCTTCCTTCCCACAAAACGGAGTGGAGTCGATTCTCCGATATCGCGCAACACATCCTGGATGCGCGAAAGAGCATGCGGACCACAGCCTTGGTTCCTGGGCTCCTCCTGAAGCCAGACAAATTCCTCTGCTCTCGTATACGGCTCCAGGATCTCTTTCAGCTCTTCGAATGGGAATGGGGCCAGTTCTTCGAGCCGAACAAATGCGACTTGGTCGGTGAGCGAACGTGCTTCGCGTTCCTTGATCAGTTCATAGTACACTTTGCCGGACAGCATCACTACGCGCTTGACGGTAGACTTGTCAGTGATAGCGGGGTCATCGAGGACGGGTTGGAACTTGGTTCCGGGTTCAAGGTCTTTCATCGTAGAAGAAGCAGCCTGGAAGCATGTCAGAGCAAGTCATCGCGGATCGCAAACTACGTACCGAGAGTCGAAGCAAGCCCTTGGGCCCCGCAATGACGAGAGGCTTGCGATAGTTGCGGACCAACTGCCTTCGAAGGAGATGGAAGTACTGAGCAGGCGTTGTAGGGTACACTACGTGCATGTTAATGTTGGCGGGGTCTTCGCTAATGGAATAGCGGTCGTTCGTCAACTGGAGCATCCGCTCAATCCGAGAGGACGAGTGTTCGGGCCCAGCACCGTCGAGTCCGTGTGGAAGCATAAGAACAATACCGCTCTGCCTCATCCACTTGGCTACCGAGTCATCAGTACACTGAGGAAGACCTAACAGTAGAGGACTTACTCTCCGCAGAGGATATATAGGTGTCGATGATGATTTGAGCGCCATTGAAAAAGTCACCAAACTGTGGAATGGTCAGCAGTGCTGTAATTGCAAGCCAGTGTACTCACCTGGGCTTCCCAGATAGGAAGTATAGAAGGTCGTTCCCAGCTAACGCCGTATTCAAACTAGAGTAGCAATTAGTGGATACACAAGGGAGTCTTCACTTGCGCTTACCCCAAGAACGCCCATCTCGCTCAAAGAACCTGGAATTCGCTGTCAGTTCAGCATAGCTTCAACATGAAGTAAACGTACTGTTTGCGAGTTCGAGTTTTCCATTCGCCGCCAGTTCGTCATTCAGAGGAACAATGACACCTTCAGTCTTCTGGTTCACAAGCATAGCGTGTCTGTGACTAAAGGTACCACGACCAACGTCCTGACCAGAGATTCGAACATCATTGCCCTCGAGCATCAATGAACCAAATGCCATCGCCTCTGCAGTAGCCCAATCGATCCCCTTGCCAGTTTCGACACTCTGAAGCCTGTTCTTGACGTGTCGGTGTAGCTTGGGATGGATTTCCTGATAACCTGTCAGTACTTGTACCATTCCCAAGAAACATAAACTCACAAAGCCTTCCGGAACTTTGACACTGGCACGCCCAACCTTTTCCAGTACATTGCGTCCAACACCAGTATCCGGGTTATGTTGGGCCTCTTTGCTTGTCGGCCAAACCATGTCTTTCCAGGACCCGTCCAGGGTCGGAGGATACCATGGAGTGAAACTCGAAGAAACCTTGGCGAGTTCGGCTTCGAGATGGCTCTTCCAGTTACCCCTCACCCGTGTAACGTCGTCGGCAGTGAGAACCCCCTCATCCTACCAACAAACGTGAGAACGATCGCAGCGAAATGGCGACGCAACCCACCAGCAGCTTTTCCTCATACAGCTGAGGAACAGACTTTCGGGCGGCGATCTTTTCATACATGAGCGGGCTCGTGATACCAGGCAAATCCAGTTCGTTATGACTGAGAGATCGTCAAGGTCCGCCATCTCACGGAGCGAGGAAGACGACTTACCCCCATCGACGGTAGACCAGTAGGTCGACGATGATGTCCTGTTCGGTTGTCAGTTGCCCTGCTGGAATACGAGAACGACCTACTACGCACCTTTCTAAAGTAATCCCTATACCTGAACGCAATTTCCATGGCCCGTGCGACGTCTTGCAAAGCGTAAGGACATTGTCAACGCCAACTTGAAGAGACATACCCTCAGGATAATCGCCATTGACGTGAAGGACAGGTGCATTGATCATCTTGCCAATGTCCGAGCAATACATCGAGGATCGGGCGCCTGAAGCTGGGGTTGTATATCCAATGCTGCAGGGGGGTGAGCTCTCGACTATACCCTAGGCGCAAAGACCGCTCACTTGTTACTGAGGAAAGGATTAGCAATAATGTCAAAGAAGAAGCGGGAGGCAAACTTACTCGACGACCAGATGGACACTTCCACCACTCGTATAGTGGGGTAGATTGCCTGCAACATGTGTGAGCAGAGGTCAGACTCGAAACCGACAATACCCACTCATTCCCAGCGTCTCCATTATAACACCTTGACCGATGAAACTGGCATCACCGTGGAGTTGTACGCACATGACCCTGTCTCCAAGCTTGCAGTCTGCTGGTGAGGTCTTAAGCAAGGAATACTGCTTGGCGCGCGTCTTTCCAATGGCAACGGGATTCACGGCCTCTGTCGGCCAAGCGTTAGCCTTTGCGTCGAATAACAACGCTTTCACCTACCGAGATGGGAAGGGTTGGGCTGTAGAGATACCTTGATCGAGGCACCGGATCCATAGGACAGGGTTGGAGACGAGACCAGATGACTGAGAACATCCCCTTCGGCCCCATACTCCTCCGGAAGTTCTGAACCTCCCTTGATCTTGTGGAAGAGTGCCGAAGGTGGATACTGTAGCAAGTCGGTCAAGAGGTTCAACCTCCCACGGTGGGGCATAGCTAGACAAAGCATTTAGTACGTGGCGATACCGTCAGCAATAAAACATACCGAGAACTGTGTGTCTGACACCGCTCGATGCAGCTGAGCTGAACAGCACGTCGAGAGCAGGAAGCATTGATTCACCTCCTTCAAGACCATACTGAGAGCGGACAGGTTAGCGTCATGAGTACATGCGAGGACGACAATGTCATACCCGTTTCAAGTTAGGAAACTTGGCCTGTAAGAAGTGGTCGAGGACTTCACTCCGTGCTAAGAGTTGATATATCCTTCGCTTCTTCTCGTCACAGATCTCGGTAAGCGTGCTCTTCTCTGGTGATGGCAGGGACTGGGACTCGAGCAGGTGAGAGAACCAGAGGCGCTCAGTCTTGGAGGTGGAGTGCATGAACTGTTGGGCAGCATTAGAAACTGGTAAGACGGAAATCGACAAGGGCGAGTCACCTCGTAGCCAATTCGACCGACGTAGATTCCCTCCAAGGTCTTTACAATATCCTCCAAGCTCCACAAATCTTCACCCTTGCCAGATCCCACTGGGCGGGTCCATACAATACCGTCGACGTTGTATTGCTGTTGCTCCCCTTGATCTTGGCCCAAGCCATACCGAGTTGGACTGAGAGCAGCGACTTCTTCCCGGTGTATAAGATCCAAGGGGTCAATCCTCGCAGCGCGATGGCCGTGAATACGCATAGAGTCGACGTAGCGCAGCAGCGATGCATTGACAGACCGATTCTTCAGCTGTTCAGCCGTGTCTAAGCTGGGGTAAGTGGTGACCATCCACTGAGCACGCCGTGTTACCTACAGTCTGGGAAGACGAATTCGTGTGGCTTGCGATATCCAAAAGACTCGTCGTGGTAGCCGCGCAGACCTGTCACGGCCTTGGCTACTTCCCGCCGTGGGTAGCGGGCAACGCTGCCTCTCGTTCGAGACAGCACATACATGGTGGTCAACCAAGAAGAGGCTCCCCCTATGTGCCGGCCTTGTCGGTATGTTCAGTACTCTGTTATCAGCGCAGGTAAGCCAGATGCATGTGGGTATATCATTGAAGGCGACCCACAAGGCTCTGAGCTCGCCGTTGATGACGGTGTCGACAAGCGAGAAGACTGGGGAATCTGGGGAAAGCAGAACTGGGGGCGTCGAGGCTAAATAGCAGATGGTCCGATTCACGTAACATGCCTATAACAGAAGCGACCCTCCCTGAAATGATGATGGAGCGGGGTGAGGGACGGGCGGACCTTCGCGTAGCGAGTGGGACGCGGCCACGTGATGGGAGAATCGGATCTTGCCGCAAATTAGACGCCCATTGGTTCGGGGCAGCGACATCCATTTCTTTTTCTTCCCCCACCATCATCTGTTGGGCCTCCGACATCCGCGTCGGTGAAATCAACACAGGAACTCAGTTCAATCCTTTACAAGCGCCTACCGCTTAAGGCGGGACTGCCAAATTTGCCCCAAATTTTCTTAGATTCGCGTGCTGTCACGTATGATGCGGATTTTTTTGTAATTTTGGGAAAGGGGGGACAAAGGGGCGACGCTATCTAAGGTACCCTTTCGTTCTCCATTCCACTCAACGATCGCACATAGAGAGTTGACCAGACCAAAGCATTAAAATTGAAAAACGTTAACTCCAAACTTGCTAAATAGGACATCGGTTGTACTAGTGAAAAAGGTGACGACGTGGTTTGACATCTCGAGATCAAAGAGCTGAAATGGATTCTGCAGTGTCGTGAATCATAGTTCGAATGGCAGGCGAGCGAGGCTCGATTCGGCATTCGAACTTGGGCGGCGTGCTGAAACAGGATCAGGTCACGCATGGAGTTAATCGCCAACTGGGAAGACTTACAGGGTAATGGTTCCTACCCGCTCGTTCTTAAGCTTGATGGGCTTGCCAGACTTGTCAAGAGGAGGTGAAATGTTGAACCCAGCCAAAACACCAACACTGGTCATGAATAGCGTCTCATCGGCCAAGTAGCGACCAGGGCAGATACTAGGACCCGTCAGTAAACAGAGGACTTTCCAAGGACAGGAAGGGTAACTTACCGACGACCACGACCGAAGGCCAAATCTTCAGGCCTTGGAGCATCCGGGTTCATGACGCCGTTCTTCAAGTACCTCTCAGGCTTGAAGGCGAAGGGGTCGGGATAGGTGACCGGGTCGGTGAGGATGGACCTTGGACGAGTTTAGCCTGTGACGCTATCGACACGGTGTTTAAGCCCTTACCAGGCGTTGGTCATGACAATAGTGCCCTTTGGGATGAAGTACCCTTTGTACTCGTCATCTTCGGTGGTGGAGTGGTAAATTCCTGAGCGAAGGTGAGTTTCCTCCTACTATTCATATCCAAGAGGTATCTGGCTTACCGAGTGGTGCGACTTCAGACCAGCGGATAAGTTCTTTGACCAGAGCGTTGACGTATGGGAGCTGGTCCCTGTCTTCGAAAGTCGGCAAGCGCTTGTCTCCGACCACAGCATCGATCTCGGCCTGAGCCTTCTTCTGAACCTCGGGGAATTGTGCCATGGCATAGAAGAACGCTTGAGTGGTGGAGTGGATCTAACTTTTGTGAGTTCTCCTTTCTTGGAATTAGGCATTCTCATGATACTTACTGTGTCAATGCCAGCTGTGATGATGTGCGAAGTTAGAACGCCGGTGCTCCACTCGAAGCCGCAAACATAACGCACCAAGGAAGGTAGTCGCCGAGATATTGCGGGCAATGGTCTCCTTCTCTTTGCGATCAGGGCTATTCTGGTCTGGAAGTTCCTCGATCAAGGTGGCGGAGACGCTCTGTGACGCTACTCCCTTTTTCTTTATCGTGGGTTAGCGTGGGCTGACAGATCTGAGCAGGAACACATACCAATTGATCAAGGACGTGCTTGAATGGTCTCTCGAGAGAGATGTCATTGAGGCGGGCCCAGCGTGCAGCCTTACGCTTGAACTCGGCACCAGGCATCCAACTTGGGACGTATTTAAGCGCTGGGAACAAATCAACCCAGAAGCGTCCGGGAATACCGGCCTCCATGAAACCAGACATAGCTCCTTCGGCATCGAGAAGATATTGGTCTTCAGCACTCTTGACGTTGATTCCATAGGAAACTTTCATGGAAATGGATCCGTAGAACCTTGAAGTGGTTGCTTCAGGATGAGCCTCGTGGAAACAACATCGAAGAAACTTACAAGCGAAGGTGCTTAGAGAATTGCTCCGGACTTTCAACGAGGTTGTTCAGGAAAGTGTATACCGAATTCTCTTGGATTTGACGATAATTTGAGACAGCTGTAGGGCTCATGAAGCGATGGAATTCTCGGCGGAGGAAACGCCAGCGTTCGCCATATGGCAAGAGTCCCAATGTGTAGTCCCATCCCATCCTAAAAGTAGAAGGTCAGTCCATCCACAGCTTCCATGTATGTTATGCTACTCACAACTCGACGACCATCGGCATTCTCGGGCGACTGGAGTAAATCGTCGATCGCTTGTCCAACAAGTCCGTGATCGTTTCCTCAGAACTAAGAATGAGGAACGGCTGTCCAAGGACCTTGAAGAAGATCATATCGCCTACAAAGATCAGTCAGCCGTGTGCTTCGCAATTCAAGAGCCTTGCGCACCATAGGTCTTGGCCCATTCCTTGTATACGACGTGGGCATTTTGAATCGGCATTTCGAACAAGCTGCCGATGAGAGGATGTCCTTTAGGGCCGGGTGGGTATTTTTTCCCTCTATTTCTCCCTGCAACTATCGCATAGACTGCGATGCCAGCACATACGGCGGCTGCGACATGGTTGGTGGTAATGTTGGAAAGGTCGAGCGAGTTGACGATGTTCATGGTGAAGGGAGGCGGTCGGCTGGTGTTCCACTGGTCAGAGTTGGGACACTTAATATACTGGCGTACCCTACCACTTTATTTATCCCCGTACGGACTTTGGCTGTAAGGAATCGACAACGAGTGGGATATGAGTGGATGCTTCCGGCGAAGCAACCTGGGATACGGCTGAATCGCGCCAAGAATTCGTGAGTTGCATTCCTGAGGAGAGCAAAGTCGAACAGTACTGGATAATCATTGCATGTCATCATCTAACCTTCTCAATTGATGATTGTTAATCCACACGCTGGTCCGCATCTGGCTCCCACTGGGTGGTATTCATCGCCGTAACTGATAGGTTGTGAAGAACGCCCGAAGGTTCTTTGAGAACATCGTCATTGTCGGAGACACTCTGCGCTATCTTCCACCTTTAGTATCTGTTTTCTTGCTCCCGAGACGACCTGACGTCGTTCCTCCCTGCGGACAGCGCTTCTGTTACTCGGGGCCTCTCATCGCGGGAATCAAGGCTTCACGTTAATGCTGTATTTGGTAACGATCAATCCAAATTAGGAAGTCCATCGGAGATGAGGATCTCGCGGGCTGCACGAGCGTGGCCGAAGAGATAGGCCATCTCATTGAGCACAAAGTATGTGTTTTTTCCAAAGGTATGCAGGCCATGGCCGGAGACTCGACACTCTAGAACTTGGACTCATGCGGCCTTCACATCCGATGTTTCCACCCAGCACGGTGATTATTCCGGTCCGGCAGACCTCCACCGACTGTAGTCTCGGGGTGCGAGCCTTCTACTCCTTCGATCTAAAGGGATCTCAAAGAGAACCCAGCATGAATGTTTGTCTCCAAGACATAAAGAACCGGGGTGGTGACAATCACACCCATGGTTATGCCGGAAGAAGCTGCAAATCCACACTGACTACTGCGTCACCGAATCGAGAAAAAACACATTTGATACCTCAGGACGGCGTAAGATATGATAGTTACCGCCCGCCCGTCTATATAAGCTACATACCCATGTACACCCAGGTTCAGTCTATCGCTTTTTCACTTACCAACTCTATCCGGAACGCCACTATGCCTGCAGGTACTGTGACTGTTTCTGCTTAGGCCCGCACTATATTGACTGTTTGCATCCATAGCTTTGCCATACAACGTGTCCCGAGACAACAAGTGGGACATCAAGAAGATTATCCAAGACTTCTTCAAGCGCTGCGACGTTCCGTACCAGGTCATTCCATACGACACAGAGCTTTGGAATGCCTGCTTGAAGCGCGCGAAGGAGAAGGGCTATCCTGTCGAGCCCGACAGCCCCATGAGTCTTTACAGGTCATTCAAAGTGGGGGTTGTTATCACAAGGACGTCCTACGGCCACATCCAGGATTACGAGATCCTGATCTGGGTGGCAACATTCACCGCCTTCGTCACCTACGCCGACGACGCTTTCCAGGAGGACATCCAACACCTCCACTCCTTTGCTAGAACTTTCCTCCAAAACGAGAAGCACGAGCACCCAGTCCTCGAAGCCTTCGCCCAGTTTCTCCGAGAGTCGTCCATCCGCTTCAGTCACTTCGTCGCCAACACCGTTGTCTCGTCGGCACTCCGCTTCATGATGAGCATCGCCCTGGAATTCGAGGGCCAGAATGTATCTGTGAGTGTCGCTCCGTTCAGTCTTTCTTAGATTCTCACGCTGACTTGTCCTTTGAAGGTGTCTACAGAGGCTCGCGAATATCCCGGATACATTCGAATTCTGTCTGGTCTGTCCGACATCTACGCGCTGTTTGCTTTCCCTATGGACCTGCCCCGTTCCACGTACATTCAGGTCGGTCTCGGCTACATGCCCGCTACAGACGAGTAGCTAACCTCCGACTCGCACCTCTAGGCCTTCCCCGAGCAAATCGACTACATAAACGGAACCAAGTGAGTGCCCAGCCCATATCCTCGACTTTTCTGACGCGTGTGTCCTTTGATAGCGACCTCCTCTCGTTCTACAAGGAGGAGCTGGACTGCGAGACAGTCAACTTCATTTCAGCAGCTGCTACGTCGCAACAAGTCTCCAAACTCGAGGTACTACGGAACGCAGCAGAGAAAGCAGCGTATTCGTACGACGTCGTCGTTAACGTTCTGAAACCTTATCCCGAGGCCCTGGCAGCGTGGAAGAGCTTTGCGCGAGGGTTCTGCTACTTCCACACATCCTCACCACGTTACAGGCTGGGCGAGATGTTCCATGACTTTGAGCATGATTTGGTTTGCAAGTGTGCGAGCTGCACGGAGATTTAGATTACTTTAACTGCTTCTCGAGTATGTTTTTATTAATAGTCGCGGTTCCTGTCATTATCATATAGATTCACTTCAACACATATATAACTGGCTTTCAGCTTATGATGAGTCACTTCCAGCTTGCATCTCTCTCTATGGCCATGATGCGATGGGTACGGCATAGTGAACTTTTTCAAAGCCTTATCACGCACCTTACCTGCTCCATTACGTTGCCATGCGATTGCTCAGAACGACTGAAAATCCGCAGTGAATGATTGAGTAAGAAAAACGTTGCAGAAGCGTGGAGGTTCCGGCTCCGGCTCTCCACTGGGTGCCAATTGAGCGCCCGAAAAAGTAGATAGATTGTTATCACGATCAAACCCTTCTACAAACTCAATACTAGGGACAGAACTGAGTAGATTCAACAATCTCTATTTCTGCATACAGATGCCAGACAAAGGGCGGTCGTGCTTGACCGCTTGAAACACCGGTATATATGGCGTGCCCCACATCCGCCGCAGCCGTCCGAGTCTGTTTGGTATGTCAAAAAATAGACTTATCGACACTCTACTTCGCATCGACTCTACCGAGGGCGGTAAGTCACCTTGGTTTCTCCGAGTGCGTTAGCATGCTGGCGTCAAGGAACGCAGTGAAAAGCTCCACTAGAAGCCCGCCGGCGAATGCAGTGTTAAGGCGACGAGTACTTACTGCAGATTCAGCCCCACCCCGTACTGGGCGCCAACTCGAGTCCTTGATAACGATGAACAAACTTAGTCGGAGTCGTGAGAGGGCAGATAGAGAGGCTTATCGCAATCGAGTCATATTCTACAAACTCGATTGGGACAGAACAGAGTAGATTAACCATATTCTACAAATGCCACGCGAACGGCACGAGTGCCTGACCGCAAACACCGCTATAGGCACTCACTACATCCACCGCACCATCCGAGTTAATTTTGACATACTACATACTATCAAATATAGATCGATCGGCAGTCTATTTCTGGAGCAGGGCCGCATATTTAGGAGAACGGAGTTGGAACTCGCAGTCATAAGGCAGTGGGGCACTAAAAGAAGTTCATCGAATGTTCAGAACGCGTGCTTATAGAAACAGAGGAACTCGGGTGACGTACGTGATAAGATGCGACGAGGTATCCAACGACAGAGGGATGGGTTTGCCCGTCCTATCCTTGGGCGCGGCGATGTTGAAGGTAGCCAACAGTGAAGCGGCCATCAGGAACAGAGAATCGTTGCTCAGCCAGCGTCCGGGGCAAATTCTACATCGAAGGAGAAACCCTGTTAGTGGACGGGTGCTAAAAACTGAATTTTGACGTACCGGCGACCAAAGCCGAAGGTTGCTGCTTCCGGATCCAGCACAGAAGTGTCAATCTGGCCGTTCTTGAGGTAGCGCTCGGGGTTGAACTGGAGTGGATTTTTGAAGACATCAGGATCGTGCATAATGGCCCTAAGTAAATGAACAAGCAGAGGAGGTTAGAACCGAGTCATAGTGGAGCTGAAAATGCAGACAGAGTAACCCTTACCAAGTGTTGACGAAGATGAAGGATCCCTTGGGGATGAAATACCCATCGTACTCGTCCTCCTTTGCACTAACGTGGATGAAGCCTGGGGTAGAAGAAGGTGGAGTCAACCTCATAATTCCTGATCCGCAAAAGAAAGGAGAACGAACCAAGCGGCAAGACGGTGTGCCAGCGCCCGGCTTCCTTGACGATCGCTTGGACGTACGGCATGTTAGGTTTATCGCTCATGTTAGGAAGTCGGTCCGTTCCAACGACAGAGTCAATCTCCTTTTGTGCTTTTCGCTGGACTTCGGGGTGCATAGCGAGAGCCAAAATTAGCGCTTGAGCAGAGCTCACAGTCTACGGGGGAGAATAAGTCATGGAATGAAGTAGTCACTGGAAATGACCTACCGTGTCAGCACCAGCAATGTAAGACAAGGCACTGGTATTCCTAGCCACAACTTCGAGAGAAGTTCGGTTCGCATGGGTTTCATCGGGCAAACTCTCGATGAGGCCAACAGCCAAACTGGGTCCAACTTGTCTGTTACCGGTTTTCTATATACAGGCATTAGCCCAGCCAGAACGAGGAGTATATAGGTACTTACAAGAGCTTCCTTGACGTTGTCGAAAGGCTCGGAAAGGGTCTTCTCGCTAATCTTCCTGAGGTACTGCATAGTCCTCTGGAAACCGGCACCAGGGAGCCATGAAGGAACATGCCTGAGGAAAGGGAAAGCGTTGACGAGGTATCTGCCCGGGATGATCGACTCTGAGAAACCCGACGCCAGGGCCTCAGCTTCCTCGACCAAGACCTTGTTGTATTCCTCGTCTTCAAATCCATACGAAATGCGGATGATGATGGACCCGAAAAGGCTATGATTCTTGTCAGCTTTGAACAGATAATTGAGTATCGGTTGGGACGCACTGTCGGGTGTGAGCGAGGAAGTCCTTGGGGCGAGCAATCAGAGCTCGGAGGAACTCTTGCGTCTCTTGCTCTTGGATGGGGTGGTAGTTGTGGACCATATTGTGGTTCAGGTACTGGTGGAATGCGCGTCGATGGTTGCGCCAGTCTGCTCCATACTGCATGAACGCGAATACCCAGTCAAGCTTCATCCTACAGAAGGGTCAGAGGTTATCACTAGGCCGAGTTCTAGAACAAGTACAATACGCACAAGTCCATAGTAGGAACATGAGGTCGGTCCGAGTAGTTGACTGCGCGTTTGTCCAGCAAGTCCAACGCTCGAGAGAGGGAATTGATGATGATCATCGGTTGGCCCATCGCCTCGAGGTACATGAGATCGCCTGGAACAAGAGAGCATTAGTTCAAGGACGCATAGGAAGGGATGAGGACGGGACTGACCATAGGTTCGACCCCATTCCTTGTACACGAGCCACGGTTTGTGCTGGGGAAGCTGCGTGAGGTTGCCGATGACGGGGAGGCCCTTGGGTCCAGGAGGGTAAGGCAAGCCACGGGGGTTCAACTTGCGCTTCGCCAGCGCAGTCTTGACGAAATACGCCACAACGATACTCGAGAGCGCAATGAGAACCTGCGTTGTAGAAGTCATGATGTGGGGATGGATACAACAAGAATGGGGGGGCGCGGGCGTCCAGGGCCTCAAACGCTCCCCATGTTAAAAGACGCGAGTACTTGACTTGTCCTTCTTCCGAGCCCCTTACCCCGATACAAGTCTAATCCGAATAGCGCAGGACGTCACATAACCCACAGCACACCACGTTTCGTTACTTCGTACTTGGTTCCAATTCCAGAGATAGCTGTCAATGGAAACGTGACCAATGGCCATGTCGGCATTACCCGTTGTCACAATCCCTTGTTATCGAATTCCGCCATCCCTCTAGCCAAGGCTAGAGCGATCATCCGATTTCGCGAGAACCAAAAGATAATGGAACCCGTATTCAAATCCTCGACGCCGAGTAGAAAGGGTGTCAAACGCATGGTTGTCGCCAATCCCGTTCCCTAAATCCAGCGGTGGTAGCCATCTGGGTTCTGTCATTCTGCGAGGGTAAGAACCAAGTCTTTCAGATGGTCAATTATCAAGAGAAAGTTCCGTTGCCTAACGGAGACTCCTCGCTAGAAATTGTCGCAAGGTGGAGTCCGTATGTTGCGACAACTCGGCCTCGGTGACATCCATCTGAAGACATGCAGAGACCGGAAGAATCGCGTTGCTTGTTGCTTGTGAGTTCGTTCGCCGTGATAATAGGAGATGAAAACGCCGAAGAGATCTTATCCAAAGCACCACCCAAGAAACTCTCCGAATGCCCGCAAAATGGAAGTCGAGAAAAAAAGGTGGGTTCGTTGAGAAACGAAATCATGAACAACGAGACGCCCGAGATGCCCGCACACACCGAGGCCATCTACTACTTGTACGTACCGATTCGATCTCCGCTTCAACTCAAATCGCGCCAAGCATCGCTCGCGTTCGAATCTTAGCGCTCATTTTCCCGCAAATCCGAAGTCCCAACGCGCAATGGTAAGCAACCTCAAACACCCCAAACCGCAATTGTAAATAATACAAAAGTCGTCCAGAATCGAAATCCTCAACGACGCCGGGTTCCGTTCAGACGGTCGAAGGCAGTATGAGCTGCGCGACTTGAGCATCGATCTGTCGAGACATGGCGAAGCGGATGGGTCTGCGCTTATCTCCCATGGCTTGACCCAGGTTTTGGTGTCTGTTCATGGACCTAGAGAAGCCAAGATGCGGTCGCATACTTTCCATGATAGGGCGAATATCAATGTGGAGGTTACGGTTGCGTCGTTTAGTACTGGTGAGAGGAGGAAGAGGTTGAAAGGCGACAAGTACGTTTTGTCTCTCCCTCAATAGTCATCACTGTATAACCGAAGTCTGATTCTATTAATCCTTTTCCGAACCATTAAAGGCGAATCCTAGAATTCGCAGCAACCATAAAATCAACCTTCGAACCCGTAGTCCGCACCTCCCTCTACCCACGCTCCCAAATCGACATCTACATTCAAATCCTGCAACAAGACGGCGGAACCCTCCAAACCTGCATAAACGGCACCACCCTTGCACTAATCAACGCCGGCATCCCCATGTCCGACTTTGTCTGCGCCATCAGCGGCGGCGTGCACTCCACCTCGCCCATGCTCGACCTCACCACCCTCGAGGAGAACGACGTCCCGCACGTAACGGTCGCTGTGATGCCCAAGTCGAAGAAGGTGGTCCTGGTGACGATGGAGACGAGGTTGCATGTGGAGAGGTTTGAGGAGGTGTTGTGTTTGGCGAGGGATGCGGCTGCGGTGCTGCATAAGGAGATGAAGGAGGCGGTTTTGGGGAGGTCGGAGGGGTTGATTAAGATGGGGGAGGTTGCGATTGGACAGAAGGGGAGGGGAGAGGATGATATGGTGTTGGATTCGTAGAGTTCGTCGGGTTGAGATTACCTTGGTCGTCCATCCTTCGACTAACTTTCCAAGTCACTTTCCATGGCTCGAAGGCACAAAAGGTCCTGCTCTCCAGGTCTCATAATCCGTTGTATAAATACATACATAAAATTACAATCACACTCTCGGAATCTTATATCACAGTAGCTTGTTGCTAGCAAACAAACACTCGAAACATAGAAAAAAAACGAAGAAGGGAACCGGCGAAGAAAAGTGAAGAGGTTGAGACACGATGACCAGTGGCAAGAGGAAGGAACGACAAGTGATCGACAAGGATGAATTGAACACTGAACGATATGTGCTAGGTAAGAAATGGAAGATTGAGATCCCCAAGGTCGCTCAAAAACGGGTGTCGACCGGCCTCAGAAGTGGAGGCGGAGGGAAGGGCGGGATAGGTCCAGGAGGGGGAGGCCCAGGAGGGGGAGGCCTTGGTCCATTCGGGCCCAGATTCATCCGATTTCCCGGTGGAGGTGCTCTTCCCATACTCTGCAAAGGTGTCGAACTCGGATGCTGCTGCTGATGACCCCCAATCGAATTCACAGTCGAAACCGTATTCGAAGGCGGCAGCGGGAACACCATCGCCGAAGACTGGTGGTGGTGGAACGCCGGCGGTTGGTACTGCACCTGCACCGGCGTCTGCGGTACAGGCGGGTAGCTCAACCCCAGCGGGAGGTTTAGATTCAAATTGGGATTCGAGAGGTTCGCGTAGGCGTTATTGGCATACCCATGAAGGCCCTGCGACGTCGAAGAAGACTCGGAGTAGAACGAGGACGACGATCCTTCACCGCGGCTTACTGACCGACTCGACGCCGTCGAGTGGCTCACAGAGCGCGGTCGACCGCGTATAGAGTTGAACGATGGGACGGTGAGGTTGTTCTCTCCTCTTGGAGGGGAATGGTGCCCTTGATCGCTATGCGAAGGGCGGTACCGTTCATGCGAACCGGGTGTTGGAGACCCGTACGTTCTCGAATGGTAGTTCTCGGATGACTGCGCGTCCGACGGCGTAGAATGGTTGAAGTGGAAGCCGGTGCCGTATTCGGGGACGGGAGTCGTAGGTTGAGAGACGTAGGCGGGCGGAGGGGGCGTAATAGGCGACAAAGGACCGCCCACGCTAAACGTGCTCGTCGTCGTGTTCGGCGATACAGTCGAGGAAGGGAACCGGTGATTATCATCATACGAACTTGTATATAGCGATTTATCGTGTGACGAGTCGTCCGACGTTGCGCTGGGTTCGCTAGGACTCGATGGGTGCCCTCCAACCCTAATCCGCGCTCCATTCCAGTCTTGCGCACGCGCACGACGGCGGTTCTCCTCCCGCCCGTATTCCTGGACGGTCTGTGGACCGGCGTATGGCGCGACGGCGTTTTTGTCGCGGAAGAGCGGGGAGGCGTAGAACCACATGTAGATTCCGAAGAGGGTTGCGCTCAGGGAGAGTGCGAGAACTGTAAGATGGAACGCGTATCGAGACGCGTATCAGCAGAGTCCTTCCAAGTGAATGGAGTAGAGAAACGCACTGATAGGCCAACTCATTCGCGTAGGAGTCAACTCGTGCAGTTAACCATCGAGAGTGGGATATAAACCTGGGTCAGAGGGGTCGGGAAAAAATTGGACGACACGCCCAGCGAGTGGAGAAGCAGGGATAGTAAGGACAGGAAGGGGTGGGACAGACGGGCAGTAGGCGGTTGACAGGAATTTAGTTGCTGTGGGTGGGGCTAGCTAGAGCCAGTTTTCATGAAACCCTAGAGGCTGACTGGCCTGCTGGTCGAAATGCAAACAGACCTGCTGGTTAGGTGGTAGGCCACAAGCGCGTTGAGTGGACAAGAAGCGTGAGCTAGGCATTTGGTTTGTTGGTTTGCCCAGTGCATGAATGGAATGTCAGGGGATGCATGTTTGACTCCACCCCTTCGATATGAATGTTGGAGGGAATTCTGCCTGGCTGGATGCTCTTCCAGTCAACCTGTCTTTTCCAAGACGTTGCCGTATTATTGAGGGCAGGGAGCCATTGGGCTGGGACACTTAACCCAAAGGCTTGGAGAGTAGTCCCGAGTAGCAGTGGAGTGTGCGTCTTCTTGCTGTCATAATGGTCATTCTGAGTTACGGTAAGAACTGATCCTTTAGTTAGCAAATCCAGGCGAATGGATAGAACGAGTTGAAATTAAACGACGCGAGGGCGTAGCAGGACCCTTGATGACGGGGACCCACGGAAAAGCGGATTCAATTCCCTGCTGATCAGATCGATGATCATTGCGTCAGTCAAGATAAGATAACGCAACACCCTCACAAAACAGCGTAGAGCGCAAGAAGTTTCATTCCTGTTCCTAATGTTACAATTTGTTTCTTTGTCTGCTAACCAAAGCCGTCACAGTCGAACACTTGTGAAACTTTTGGATTGTCCAGGAACTTGCTTAGAGCTTGGAAGCGCCAGAAGCCTCGACGAGACGGGCCTCAGCCTCCTCAAAGTTGATGACGTTCCAGATGGCAGTGAGGTACTATAAAAGAGCCATTAGTATTGTTTCAGAAGATCTAAACGGATGATACTCACATCAGCCTTGACGTTCAAGTACTGGAGGTAGAAAGCGTGCTCCCAAATGTCAACACCGATGATAGGGACGAGGGTGAGCAAGGGGTCCTGGTTAGCGGTGGTGGCGATCTCGAGGCGCTTGGTCTGGGTGTTGTAGCCGAGCCATCCCCAGCCGGAGCCCTGGATGCCCAAAGTGGCAGCGTTGAATTCCTTCTTGAGGTTGTCCAAGGAGCCGAAAGCCTCCTCGATGGCCTTCTTGAGGGGGCCTTCCTTGAGGACACCACCGTTGCCCTTGTTGACGGCGGCGGAGGGAGCGAGGTTCTTCCAGAAGAGGGAGTGGTTGATGTGGCCTAGGCAGTTGGTTCAATGAAAGGTGATCGGGGCTGTCAGGGGCTGGGTGACTGACCTCCTCCGTTGAACTTCAAGGCAGCCTGGAGGGCGATCCTCTCCTTGGGGGTGGAAGCCTTGGCGTAGGCAGCCTCAGCGGCGTTGAGGGCGTTGACGTAGGTCTGGTGATGCTTCTGGTGGTGCAGAGTCATGATCTGCTTCGAGATGTAGGGCTCGAGAGCATCATAGTCGTAGGGGAGAGGGGGAAGAGTGTTCGACATGGTGGCTATCACTAAACTTTGAGCTTAGGGACTTGGGATGCGGCGACCTTGGACTGACCTTGTTGTTGTTGAGAGAGAGAAGTGGTGGCGAGAGATTAAGAAGGATCTAGAGACTCGGACTCTCTTGTGATAATTTGTAATTATCGCGTTTAGAGGTCTTATCGATGACATGTTCGATTACGAATCTCCCTCTGAAATCACACCACGTGAAGCTCCTGTCGCGATTCCGAGACGCGCCTTCCCGATGTTTCTTCCTTTCCTTCCAAGTTCTTAGGAATCGGAAAGCGGCCTGCTCATACGTATAGCACTCTAGCGTGCAAACATAAGCATTTGACACAGTTCAATGGGCTGGATGAGCGACTACGTCGTGACAAGGATCAGACCGCCACATTAGCGCCGGGTTGTATTCCGGAGCAAAGTCATGGACAGTTGGTAGCTCATCATGAAATTCTTTACCTGGGGCAGAGGAGGTACTACACCAACAACCTATGATCCTTGATACGGGTCAGATCGCAACGTTTTGGACTCTGCTCGAAGCTTTGACGTCCGCTGCGTGCCCAAGGCCGAAGTCTCTGACTGAATGAGCATCGAGGGGTCGCTCTGTGTTCACGGCGGAGTTAAGAATTGCCCTATGAGTGACCAGAGGCTTCCAGTCTTGGTGATCTGTGTCTTTCACAGTCGCCGTCTGTACGTCGTCAGTGGTGTATAGGCTTCTATAGGGGTCCCAAATCCCATCGTTCAGAGGATGGAATATTTAGAGCGGCACGGATCATGCTTGCAAGGCTCCACCTTTCCACTTCCCAGCGATCTCAAACTGCGAGGACGGTGAACGAGTCATCGGAGAGGGGCTGAAAGGCCAAACATAGCGAGTCTTGGCGTTCCTAATCAACGACGCGTCGACACGTGCAAACAACAACGCGGTTGGGATTCCGACGTGACCGCTCCCTCTGTCGGCGACGACGACAACCACCAATCCTGCCTCCACATCGCGCTACACAACGCCCTCGGTGCCACAACGATGGCCAAGTCAGCCGAGCCCTACGACCTTGAAGAGCTTCCTGAAGCTATTGCGACGATATTCGACCAAGTCCAGCTGTCACTCGCCAACCATAAGAAGAATTGCGTCGCGCTTTACAAGCTACATCTTCGCGCCGCGACGGTGACCAAGACGGTTCAGAAGAAGAATGGAACGACGAGCACGAAATATGTAGGAGAAAAGGCGTTTGCGGATACCTTTTTGGATATGGTGAATCGTGTTTTGGTCATCAAGAAAGGCCCTCCCGCTGCAGATCGTATAGTCAAATTTGTTGGGTCATATGTTGAATATCTAAATGAAAAAGGTGAGTTGTGACATTGAATATGGTGTGAACTCTATTTCAATGCCTTTCAGTTATGCAAGAACAAGCAAAGGGAGAATCCGAGGAGGCCGACGATACAACTACTTCCCGGTTTATAGCCAGAATACTCGGCTGGCTTTTGGAGGGTTTCTCAGCAAAGAACAAGATCGTCCGCTTCAGATGTCTCCATGTCGTCTCTGAACTGATATCCCACATTGGAGAAATAGAGTGCGCTCGTCCGTCTCCTTCAAAATTCCAACATCTATGCTAACTCCAGTATCGCAGCGAAGACACATACTCATTACTCCGCGAAGGCCTCATTGAACGTCTAAGCGACAAAGAAACAATCATCCGCGCAAACGCTGCGGCCGCACTCTCCAAACTCGTCGGCAGCGAAGACCCAGACGAGATCGAAACGGGAGAACAATCCGTCCTCGACATCCTCCTCGACGTCCTCGCTTCAGATCCCACGGCGTACGTTCTCCCCTTCAAAAGCTTTGTTTCGGCTAACCCGGTTCCTTACTCTACAGTGAAGTCCGACGAGCAGCTTTACTCAATGTTCCGTTAACCTCTGCAACCATCGACGCTGTCCTCTTGCGAACACGGGATGTGGACACCATTACGCGGAAAATCATGTACACCGCGGTACTCCCTAAACTCGGACACCCGCGGCAGCTGACCCTCGTACAACGGGAGCAGGTTATCAAAGATGGACTGGGAGACCGGGAGCCTGGCGTGCGCGTAGCCGCAGGCAAATTGCTCGCCAAGTGGTTTGATATTGTGCAAGCGGAATCGAGCGCTGAGGAGGAGCAAGACCCTGAGGCTTGGGTAGGCGATGACGGGGGTCTTATGAAGGCGTTTATCAAGTTCATGGGACTGTTCGACGTTATTGGGTCTGGAGAGGCTATCGCTGTGGATGCTGTTACCTGCATCTTTGTAACGCGACCGGATATTCCGGATGCATTTGTGTTCCCAGGTCAGTTCTTCCTCACCTACTCAAAATACATTTGACTCAATCGTGTGGTTAGACCTATACTGGCGACAGTTAACCCCAGAATCAGCAGTCATAGCCCGGGTCTTTGTCGAACACTGCATAAAAACCAACAACGAAACCCGGCTCGAGAGCGCTTCGCTCCCCGTCGTGACGGCCTTTGCATTCCACATCCAAGAAGCGTACAACCGCCTTCTCAGTGCCCTCGAGCAACTCGATGCCGCCCGCCTAGTCCAGACGAGTGTGGATGACGACCACGAGGAGCTCGAAGAGGAGCTGGCGAAACGCGAAGTTGTCCTTGGCGAGCTGTTGAGGATGGCGCTGAAGTTGGATTATATGGATGAGATTGGTAGGAGGAAGGTTTTTACTGTTGTTAGTAAGTGGATTTTAGTTGGACTAGGGAAGGAGTGGATGGTACTGACGAGGTGGGTCTGCAGAGGATATGTTGGCCCATCCTCAACTTCCGCCTGGGCTGATTGAGCGATGCGTGGATGTGCTGAAGGAGATTATGCCCTCTGAGCGAGACCTCATCCGAGTCGTTGTCGAGATCATCGTCGAACTGCGAGAAAGCGAGGATATCGAAGAGACAGAGAACCTCCTTGAGAGCGTAGGTCGTCTCCCATCCCCCGTCTAATCCTCTCTAATCCATTCTTTCACCTTCTCCAGCTTGACGACGACCCAGACCAATCGGTTGCAACTGAAAACGCGAGCGCGGTGAATCGTTCGGTTCGGAGACCGCGAGATAGGGAGGCGATGTCTGCTGAAGCACGGCGTGAGGCGGATATCACGGATATTCGGTGTCTTATGCTTTGTATTGCTGTGTTGGAGAGGGTGAATGGGGTACGGTTATGTCTTCTTCTCGACAAGGTTATTCGTAGTCCTGACGCCCTTCGCACTTTAGAGCTTTGAAGATAACTCGACGCTTGAAGGTATCCTCGCGGATCTCATCATCCCGTCTGTGAAGCGGAAAGAGCTGGCCATGCGGGAGAAAGCTCTTGTCAGTCTGGGATTGTGTTGTTTGCTTGCCAAGGTGAGTCTCTATACAGGAAACATCCTCCTTTCTCTTCTGACCCATAGTCGGTTTTGCGTAGAACATGGCTCTCCGCTCCTTCCAGCTCTTCCTCGGTCAAGTCGAGAACGCGCCTCCGGAACTCAAACTTCAAGTCCTCCGCGTCATTCTGGACTTGTTGATCATGTATGATACGGAGTTTTTTAAGAATTCTGGGGATATTGTACGTGCTTTCTTTTTTTTCTCTTTTCGTTTTTTGGTTGGTGCGGTTTTGGTTGACGGTTGGTGTAGGCACAACAAGTGACTACTTTCCTAGTCCAAACGCTTCAGACGGAAGAGTTGCCCCAGGCTCAAGCTGTGCTTTGTACGGGGATTTGCAAGTTGTTGTTGGCGGGTATTATCACGGATACTACTGTAAGTCTATTCCATTCTTTTGCTGTTCCTTTTTGCTGTAATGCCGCAACGCGATTTAGGTTCTGGAATCGCTCGCACTGTTGTACATCTCCCCCACCACGGTCGACAACCAAGAACTGCGCCAATGCCTCTCGTACTTCTTCCCTGCGTACTCGTATGCGACATATGCGAATCAACTGCGGATGCAATCGGTATGCCTCTTTGTCTTCGTTGTTCTGCATATGAACATAAGGCTGACGGGAACTTTTCTTTCTTTCTTCCTTTCTTTGCTTTCGTTCTTGAATACGTAGATGTTCCTGTCGGCGTACGACCATGCTAAACGCCTACACGAAGAACTGGATGATGACCAGGATATGATCAGTCCTGCGGACTTTGGGCTGATGTTTGTGGATTGGTCTGATCCTACCAAGGCTGTTCATATGTACGTGCCCTCCTCTACCGCACCTTTTTTCTTTTTTTGTCCCCTTTTTTTGGCAAGGCAAACGTTGACTGACGTTTTTGTGGTGCAGTGCCGACGCTGAGCTCTCCGAATCCGAGAATGCTCATATCGACCTTGGGATTCAGGTGTTGAGCGCGTTGTATGATGAGGAACGGACAGGTGAGATTGAACCCAGTCGTTTGATCAAGTACGAAACAGTGGTTGATTTCTATTTTGACTTTCTCTTCTGAAAGATGACGACAAGAAGGCGTTCTGCCAGGTGTTGACGCACCTTGTTCTACCGGCCACTATCGAGACGAAAGCGGTGCATAAATTGGATTTGTTGATTTCGAATCAGGAGGATGTGCGTTTTTACTTGCTTGCCTTCCCTTTGTTATGTTCATGTACTGACGACCTATCCCTCCCTCTACCGCTCCCTCCACTCCCCACTAAACCGCTTCCACGAAAAACAGCACTGCCCGTTCGAAAACCCCTCCCTCGACAAACTCTTTGCCCGGTTCAAGAAATCGTTTTATGGCACGTTCCAAGAGCGGATAAAGGAAATTGATGCGAGGGAGTATGCGGAGGATGAGGATGTTGTGAAGGTTTATAAGGAGATTGGGGTGAAGCCGCCGGTTGTTGATGAGGAGTTTAGGGCGGGGAGGGAGGAGAGGAGTGTTGCGAGGCTTCTGGCGAGGGAGGAGGGGCTTAAGGCAGGGGAGAAGGAGGAGGGGGAGAAGGAGAGGGAGAGGGAGAGGGAGAAACGGGAGGAGAAGGAGGAGAGGGAAGAAGAGCAGGAAGATGAAGTGGTTTCTGCTGCTCCTTCTACTACTGCTGCTCCCTCCGAACAGGAGGATGAGGAACGTGAAGTTGAAGAGGAGGTGGAGGCGGAGGCGGAGGAGGCTGAGATGAATGGACCTTCGTGCGTATCGGAGTTTCGCCCGAATACTGGTAAATTCGCTGACCGTTCTTTGGCTATAGGCGTGTTGAGTCGGAGAAGGAGGAATCGATGGAGCCGGAACCTCAACCGGAGCCAGAGGCGGAGGTGGAGGTGGAACGACCGTCGACGCCACCGCCTAGTAAGGGTACCAAGCGGGTGCATAACACGCCTGGGACGACGCGTGATGATAGGAAGCGGACGCGTACGACGAGGGGAGCTGCGACTCGGTGAGTAATGGTCCTGTTCTTGGTTGTCCGAGTTTCTTGGTCGTCCGAGGCTTGCGTTCATACAAGTCAGTCACTAACTTCATCCCAATCACAGGAAAGTAAAAGAGGAAAAGGAGGAGGAGGAAGTTGAGCCTGCGAGGGACCCGTCGCCGACGCCCAAGGCGACTCGGACGAGGGGTGCAAGAGCTAAAGCTGCCTCTGCTGCGACTGCGGCGGCGACTGCTTCCAAGAAAGCGCCTGCTACCAAGGCTACGACGAGGACATCGAGGGCTTCGGCTCAGAAGGCCTCTACTCAAAAGACTTCAACTGCTTCAACTCAAAAGACCTCCACTGCTTCAGGGCAGAAGACCAAAGCTGCGACGACTACACGGACGAGTGGACGAACGAGTGGGAGGCGGAAGGTTGTTGTGAAGGAGCCTACGCCTGTTGAGAGTGATGAGGAGAAGGAGAATAATGTGGATAGTGAGATGGAGGGGGTTGAGTCTGGGGAGGAGTGAGGGTTGTGACTAGGCGGGGGTTGGTGATTGTTGGAGGGAGTTGGAAGTGAAGGTGTTGTTTGAACTGTGATCTGGATGGGGTATCTGTTCTACGCAGCCTGTATATGGTATCTGTTTTTAAGTCTGCCTGTGATATATGTTTATTCAAGTCTAGTCTTTTTCTTTTTTATCTGTATATGCGGTGTCTGATATAGACTTGTACAATCGTAGTCTTTTGACTGATTTTGTGTAATGTTTTGTCCTGTAAGTAGTATGTTGTTTGAATTATAAGTGTCAGGTCGGACTGCGAGAAGAGGGTATGCGAAGAGGTATATTCCAGCGTGTAATAGATGACTACAGTTCCTCGTGGTTTATTGTGCTAGTAGTCCGTGGTGTATCTTCCTCTGAGGCAGTTGAGACGGCGATGGAGAGTGTGGATGAGATTGTTGTGTCCGAGGGCTCAGAAGGTAGGGAAGACGAATCGACAGAGGACGACTGGGTAGACATTGCAGAGGAAGCTGCTGCAACGACAGACGAGGCAATCACACTTCCCAGACTCGTTGCCGTCGAGACCGTACTGGCAGCAGCTTTGACGCCCTTCTCCAAATCCACCCCACTCCCTGCCATTACACTGCTCGTACTATACCCGATTCCAGGGATCCACTTGAACCACCACAGCACCATCCCCACACCTCGGTCCACGACCCTCTGTTTCACAATGAACAAGACGACGAGGAGGAAGAAGCCAAACGCCGAGAGGATGAGTACGCGGTCTAGCCAGTCACTCTTCTCGAGTGCGGTCACAATGGTGCGTGTGGTGAGTATGGCGGTGTTGAGGGAGTCGTGTTGGTTGGATGTGGCTTGGAGCGAGGCGGTGGAGGATTGGAGGAGTTGGTTTGTGAGTACTGAGCGCTCGAGTTCTGCTTGCAGAGAAGTGAGTGTGCGTTGCATTGCGGCTGTTAGAGAGGATTGGGCTGCTTCTACTGTGTCGGAGCTGTTGGGGTTGTTAGGTAGGAAGTGGGGGTCAGAGGGAGGGAGGGTGTACCTGTATTTTTCGTTTGTGGGTTGTTTTTCAGAGTCTGGTGTGGAGGGTTGGAACAAGAGTTCGTTCCTCCTGGATCGTTGGAGGGCGTCTATTGTCTTTTTGGAGGTTAGGACTGCCGAACGGGTTTTAGCACGGAGACTGCATCCATATCGTTAAGTCACAAGTAAGCATAGAGATAAGGACCAACACGTACTCTTGTAACGAACTCCTAAACTCTTCGACGACTTTACTCAGTTCCCTGCGCGTCCGTTCGCCCTTTTGGTCGTCCACCATCGCGTCCAAGTTCTGTCGGCAGTGTCATTAAGTCGAGGATAGACACCGGATCTAAAAGAAAGCCTTTCCAACCTCGACATGTCGAGAGAACACGACCAAGTCCTCTCGCAATTCATCAGCCAAGCTTTGCTGGAGCGTCAAGGGCCCTTTGCAGTCTCGCAGTTCGGGGATTTGGGAGTTGACGAGATGGCTTTGGCGTCGTTCGAGGTTGGTTATGAGGTCCTGCGCCTCCTCGGAGAACTTTGTGGGTAGAGGCGGCATGTTGCGGCGGGGCGTTGACTTTGTCCAGGAACGATGACGATGGTTGAGCGAGGCGGACACGAGATTGCGGGCTAGCGCCATCACAAGCGTGAGACACACCTTCCCTTTATGGAGACATTAAATTAGGGATTCGCGGTCCCCCATTCCCTTTCTTCCTCTGTCCCCACTTTTTTTCGTTGGACGGTCGTCGAGACGCGGCGACCACAGCGTCTTCTCGAAGGCGAGACTTGAAAATAACGGTGAGCACTGTTCTTTGTTGTCTCCTGGAAAGACAGACATTGATCTTGGGTCATGGATGAATATTCCCTTGTCCACAAATTGGATCCAGCACTTAATTGAATCCCAGAATCATTGTTGGTCGACTCTACCACATTCTTACCCAGAAATCTGCTCAAAGCGATCCCTACTTGACTTAATACCGGTATGTACGCCTGGCCATCAATTCCTATGTAGCCTATTTGGCCCCCTAATAAGCGCACATCCAGGAACTTTTGATCTTGATCCCATTCGCCTTTGTTATTGAAGCCGATTCTTCAAAGAGTAGAACATGGCAAAGTCACCATCGACCAGTCGGAAGCGGCAGCGACCTGTCAGCCCACCGCCTGAAGCCAGCACGAGTGCATCGCCAGCGGAGGTTCTTACGACGCGCCGTTCTTCGCCTCTCAAGAAAGCTCGCGTGGAGGAAGGAGCGAGTGAAAGCGCGACCCTCACCGACGGGCCTGCCGCTGCTGCGTCGACATCTACGCAGGCTCAGCAAGGTGGTGTGGAAAGCACTGCGGTTGATGTCAATGAAGAAGCGACCGCCTCAGCCAACCAAGAACCCGCCCCTGAACCACGTCGAAGCCGCCGCCTTGCTGCTTCTGAAGCCTCCTCTTCCAAAGTCGGTGCTCCTTCTACCCCGGCCAAGAGGAAACGCGCAGCTAGCCCTGCTGACGAGGAGGCCACGACCTCGAAATCAACCGACGCTTCGCCGTCCAAAGGCAAAGGCAAAGAGCCTGTTAAGGTTGCTCCCACTCCAGCCAAGAAACGCAAGACAGCTGGCGAGCCTGTTCGTGAACAGCCGACATCTCAGGACGAGCAGGCAGCGAGGACTTCAAGAGCCGGGAAGCGAAAGAGAGCGGAGGAGAGCGATCCTCCCGCTCCTGAAGCTCCAGCTGGTGACCAAGACAATAAACGACAAAAGCAAGAACAGACTATTGAAGAGACGGAACAGCATTCCGAATCGACTGTCGCACCTCCTGCTGTAAGGGGCCAGACCCCTCAAGCACCAACGACTATCTACTCCGTTCCTTTCGAAATCCTTGCCGAAATCCTCCTCTACACCAAGTCCTCCAAGGCCGTCTTGTCCTTGGCCTCAACCTGCAAACACTTCTGCCACACCCTCCTCCAGCCTGAAGCTACCTACGTCTGGAAGTACGTACGGGAGAACAACGTCCCATTACCTCCTCCCGATTACCACCAATACGGCTTTGGGCGTATCTTTGCGAGTGAAGCTAGCTATGCCAAGTTTGTCTTTGGTGGTGGCAAGTGCGAGATGTGCGGGGAGGAGACGGAGAAGAATTTTACGTCGTATGCCTTGAGGATTATGTTGTGCAAGAAGGTGCGTGCGCAGTGCTGATTTGATTTGGTCAGGATGATTATTGATTACTGACACAATTTGGCAGCCCGAGTGTGAAACGCGATTCCTCAATGCGAGATACTTGGAAACTAGGGATTCGGTTGTACGCGCGAATCAGCTTACCTCGTATTCTCAACTTTTGCCTACGTTGGAGGATAGTCAGCTTTGTGAGTTTGTCTGCTACGACTGGTTCTGTTGAACATTGATCCCTAATTCGGCATTGCAGTCAACCGTGGAGGTGCTTCGTCTCATACTGCCCTACGTGAGTGAACTTCGAGGTCTATCGAATGTGTCGAGTTCTGAAATATAGGGTGTTCCAGTCACTCGTAAAGAGGTCCCTGAGGAAGTCAGGGCTTTCTTGGTCGAGCAGAGGGATAAGCCGGACTTCCGCGAGGTACGTGAACCATTATCGTGGTGTGCTTTGAAGCTGATTGTAGCTCTCTCGTTCAGAAACTCGACAGGTTCAAGGTTAAGCAGATGAAATGGATGGGGGTAAGTGGCTCGTGACAGCCTCCTGACGTAGAAAGTTTAATCACCGTCTACCAGCTTTGTAGGGAAATCATCAAGTGGCGTCGCAAGGTTAGATCCACGTACTACGAGGTGAAGGAGAGGAATACCGAGCTGTACGTGTGGTGTTTGTCCCAAAGGGCTTTGCCGCCTAACCGTTTTGCTACGATAGTGGAAAAGCCATCGCGGAGCGAATGGGTTGGGACTTTGAGCAGATGATGAACTGCACCGACTATGGTCCTTACCATCGTCAGAAGTGCCATGTCTTTGAGGAAGTCAGATTAGAAGGTAGCGCGTCCACCTACTAGAGCGTTCGATTTGCTGACGACTTGATGATAGATGTCAACGCCGTACTTTCGACAAAGATTCAAGGGCAACTGGCTCGCCTCTTGGACAAGATCGACCGGCGCACTCACGAGATGCGCTACCAGGAAACGCGAAAGCAGATCATCAACCACTATAACTATCTCAAGTCCTCACGGAACAAGGATGCCATACCCATTCTGCCCGCGTTGACCGCATTCCGCACGCTCCCTGTTATCGCGATGCTCCAGGACGACGAGGCCTCCACCACCCCTGCCAACGAGGTCAGCAAGTCGCTCAAGAACGACAAAGTGCTCTCCAACATGCTCAGAACCCAAATCACCACTTGGGTGAACAAGGCGCGAACCGACCTCGGCACGCAGATCGGTTTATCACCATTGGAGAAGCGTTGGAAGAGTGTGAACAAGACGGATTTGCATCCTGTTGAGAGGGTTAATGTGCGGTATCGGTGTAAGCGGTGTACGGTGTTGGGTGAGAGGTATGAGGAGGATGGGTGTTTTGATTTTGCGGGTGCTTGTGCGCATGATTGTTCCAAGGCTGGTGCGCCGCCCAAGAAGAAGAATCGGGGGTGGAAGTGGAGTGCAGAGAATTTTGAGAAGGATGTCAAGGTGTGTTTTGGATTCTCTTTTTTTTTGGGTGGGTTTGTTGCAGTGTCTGATCCTTTTTTGTTTGATTTTCTGTTTTTGTTTTGGGTGGTTGGGTAGGCAAGCGCTGCGATTACTAGTTTCCTTGAGAAGCTTCGTCCTTTGGCCACTACGTCCATGTTTGTTCCGCTGTACCAGTTGGAGGAGAAGTATAACGGTGTAGCGGGTATTCTTGAACGGTTGGGCGACAGCCATTCTGTCGTGTGTACGTCGTGTCCTACACCTATCGTTATGAAATTCAAGAACCTCGTGCGTTTTTTCCACACTGTCCCTCCCGTTCAAGTGCCCTGCTCACCTCCTCACCTTCATAACATGTAGATTGGACATTCACACCGCCACGACAAGATGGAGTTCTACATCTCCAATGGAATTCCGTCCACCGATTTGGTGGGGAGGTACCCCTTCCAAGCGGGGTATACCAGGCATCTTTTGAAGTCGGGTCAGAAGATGAAGGAGGCGAGGGATGCGAAGGTTTATGGGTGTCGGTATTGTTATGGGAAGTTGGTTGAGGAGTGTAGGGTGAAGCGGGAGGCGCGGGAGCGGGAGAGGGAGGAGCAGGGAGCGGTGCAAGGGGAGGAGCTAGGTCAATCGCAGGAACAGGAGGGACAAGGAGATGCGAATGCGACTGCGGGGACCTCGGCTGCGCCCCAGTCGAATGTGGACTCTGACCTCCCCAAGCCCTCGGTGTTGTGTTCGTTTGATGGGTTGAGATCGCATTTGAAAGCCAAGTACTTTGTCACATTTACTTTTACTTGTCGGGAACCCGGAGCTGATCATCTGCTACTTTTTCTAGACATCAAATTGAGGATGTTAGAGATGAGGATTGGTTTTTGATCAGTGTTCCTGTGGGGCTTGGTGAGGCTATGAAGAGGAAGTAAGGGGAAGTGTGTCGCGACAGGGATGGAGAGGGTGTAGATATGAGTTTTGGGTTGTTCTTGGACTGTTATGATTCCTTGTGTCTTTCTTGGACGCTGGTAATTAGCCTTGTAGGTTCACTTATCAGTAGGTTAGTTTTTGGTAAATTTTACGTGTATATACAGTGTTCTCGGTTCTCGCAGGCAGGTTATTACTTTAACGTTCATCCTCCTTGGAGTGTAGTTTGGATGGGAATTGATAAGTTCGAAGTCGCTGCACAGTGCGCAAGCTACGGAGTGCGGGTTGCTTCGTCATTCTGATGACGCGCTCAGCATCTCGGGGATTGATCCGTGCCTTGATTGGCAGGTTGTTGGCACGCGTCGGGTGATTCGGGGTTTGGCTTCTCGCGCGACGAGCATGGAGAAATCTTGCGTGTTCTCCAAACTTCAAGTCTTTTATCTGACTCCGAGGTAATAACAACAGAGGTGTGCAACTTCGTGCTGTAACAAAAGACTTAACTTGATTGTGCTTGCAGAGTGGTTTTACGTGAGCGGGTATGGATTTCCTCCGATGGGTTGGCGACGGCAATCGTACGATAGGACGAGAGAGGAGAATGAGAGTGTTTTGCTAGAGTTGTTGGAGGATGTTAACTGGTTCATCGCGCAGATCGATGATGGCCTTCTCTTCCTTTCCTTCGACTCTGCTCCAACGAACTTTGTCCAAAGGCCAGACCCCGACAGCCAGCACACCCATGGGACAGGCCTACGCGCCCTCTAAGTAGCAGGAACCCACGCGTTTCAGTCATTTGCCGATGGGAACATGGCAACATTAGAAGCGCTGCTACATACTTACATACAAGGTGCTGCTTCTTCGGAGCCTTGTGTATTCGGAAAGTTTTTCCTCGCCTTATCTCCATGTGTTGGGATGCCAGCAGAAGAGGATAAGTAGGGGTCGGATTTGGGTGGATGGAGGATTGTTACTGCCCCGGCCGTTGATTATCGCGACACGACCTTTGGAACACTAGCAAGATATACTGGCAACGTCTGGTACCCAACACACGCAGGCACGTCAGTACACTCTGAAAAATCGATTTGGACATGGTGGAAGATTCGAAAGCGCAGACGCAGACGTCGCCCACAAATCAAGAGCAGAACACGGAGTGGGCGTGGTACCCTCTGACGCTATGCGACAATATGTCGGAGGGAGGGAATATGGGCAAGGCGTGGATTGTGGAGGGGATCCTTGATGCTGGCAAGGTTAGGAGTGCGTTGGATAGGGTTGTGAAAAAGTGGCCTGCGTTGGGCGGTCGCGTTGAGGTTACAGGCAAAAAGGTGTGTATTCAGTTCTATCTTTACACCCGTGTGGTACACCGTGAAACCCGTTGCTAATCCTCTCCCTACCCCTTACCCCCTTTTTTACAGAGATACCAAATAAGAGTACCTCTGGGTGACCTACCTGCTGGGTACGAGCCGTACGGATTCTCAGTCACAGAATCGCCGCTACCGCTTTCGCACTATGTCCAACTCCCTCTGCCCGCGATCACCGAGTACCCCCCTGTGCACCTTTTCACCCCAGCAGAAAGGCTCAAGATAACTGGATTCGAGGGGTACGCGAAGCACCGCGCGCCGCTCACGCATTGGCATATCACCCACTTTAAGCACCCCGGAGAAGAGTACTCGATCATCAATATTCATTATTCGCATGGGGTCCATGATGGGGTCGGGTTCGCGTTGTTGATTCATGCCGTTGTAGCTGAGCTCGCAGGGAAAGAGTGGGACGCCCCGCCGCTCCCCACACCCGGCCTCAACGAGAATCGGTACAAGACGTTGGTCGAGGAAGAGGTTCGCAAGGTGGGCGAGAGCCAGAAGGTGCTGGAGCCGTTGTACAATTTTAGTGCGGTTGGGTTGTGGGGGATTTTGGTGTTTGTTTTTGGGAGTTTGTGGGATCGGTGGGTGAATGGGTATGGGGAGTGGAATTTGGTTATTCCGTATAATGTGCATATGAAGCTTGCGGAGGAGACGAGGAGGGAAGCGGAGGAGGCTGGGTGGACGGATGTGAGACCGACGAGTGGGGATATTTTGTTTGCTTGGTTGGTGCAGGTGAGTTGGTTAGCCGGGATTTTAGATTCTGTCATTGACCAGAAATGTTCTTTTAGTCGATATACAAGGATGGCACCAAGCCGAATCGAACTATCGGGTTGAACAGCATGGTCTCGCTCCGGTCTGAATGGAACGGAGAACTCGCGCTCTACCCACACAACTGTCTGGGCGGACTGCGCTACCCAACCTTCACAGTGCACGAAGTGACGATTCGTCCACTACACGAACTCTCCGTCTCCCTCGCCAAAGCCAAGACCAAAGGTTCCAAAGCAGAAGAAGGGGCATTATTCTACAAGAGGCTCGCAGAGGCCGACGCGGCGTGGCCTACGGGCGGTCTTCTCCCCATTGATTCGAGGACGGACGAGACGGTGACGATGTCGAATGTGTCGATGGCGCGTGTGGCTGCGTTGGATTGGTCCGCTGCGGGTGGGGGTGCGACGTTGACGCATTACAAGTTGTTCCCTAATGCGATCAAGGTTGCGAATATTGTGAATATTAATGGGAGGTTGGAGAATGGGGATTTGGTGGTTAATCTTTTGCTTAATAGGAGGAGGATGGAGAGTCTTGAGAGGGAGTATCGGAAGTTGGAGGAGAGGTTTAGGTAGTGTGTTGGGTTAGATTAGATTAGGGTATTGGTGTGTTTGCGCGACTAGACTATAGTAAGAGATGCGCGATGCCAGTTGGTATTCTCCCCTACTGCTAAAGATTTGGAAAGCAACCGACAACTTAAGAATTCTCGCTATCATTTGTCTTGCCTGCAGCAAGGCGTTGGGCGCTTAACCACGCCTTGCCAAGACAATACGAGATCATAAATGATCTCATCAAGCGATCAACTTGCCCATCTGCATGGGCGCTGCACAGCCCGGTTTATCCTCGTCCACTTGCTTGCTGCTCCCCTTCAGAATCACGTCAAGGCAATGTCACCACCTCCCTATAATCCTTGTAGGCCCTTTCGAGTCCCCCTAGCTCGTAACTCGACAGAAAACTTTTCAACTGCCCTCCCGATCCAAAGGGAAACCAGCTGAAACGCGACGCCCATGAATCCATCAAACCCTTTCCGATTAAACTTCTCGAGAAGCTGATATGTCAGCGCTCGTCGGAATTTGAAGCTCCTTGCAGACGTTTTGCCTCGCCCATTTAAGCCCACCAAGGTTTCCACGACCTAAAACTCGAACCATCACCCCACAACAACCAGCGCGTTCGACTACCCAGCGCGTTCAACAACGAGACCATGGGACCCAAAGGAACTCCAGTCGCGGGCGGTTCAGCCGAAGGCAAAGCAGCCACAGCAGTTGCTGAATCTGCACCGCAGAATGTCGCGCTCTACCCTCTCACCCTTTTCGACAAAATGGCGGAAAGCTCGGCGTTGGGCAAGTCGTGGGTTGTGGAGGGGCTGTTGGATGTTGAGAAGTTGAGATGTGCCTTGGATCGGATTGTAGCCAAGTGGCCTATGTTGGCTGCTAGAGTCGAGGTATTGGTTCCTAGAAAGGTGCGTTTCTTCCTCTTTCAATTGTCGTTGTGGCGCACCAGAGCTGAGCTGAGCTGACCACACTGGTTTGTTTGATAGAGGTTCCAACTTCGTATTCCATTGGGTGAACTCCCAGCTGGATACAAGGCTTATGGCCTAACATCGACGACGTCGGACGTGCCACTCTCGCATTACACCAAAATCCCGCTTCCGGCTTTCAGCGAGTACCTCCCCGAGCACCTCTTCATCGCGCCCGAAAGGATGCCGCTGGGCGACCTGCAGTCCTTCTCGGACGCGGACGCCCCTCTTACGCACTGGCACATCACCCACTTCAAGCAGGAAGGCGCAGAGTATTCATGTATCGGTGTGCACTACAGCCATGGGGTGTTTGATGGACTTGGGTTTGCGATTCTTACCAAGGCGCTGCAGGCGGAGTTGTTGGGGAGGGAGTGGGAGGCGCCGCCGCTGCCTAAGCCTGGCAAGAACGAGAACCCGGTTGAGAAAGTGGTTGAGGAGGCGGCGAGGGAGGCCAAGGCCAAGTCTGGTGGGAAGTTGCCAGAGTGGAATAATTTTGCGTGTGTGGGTGCGTGGGGCATTATTTGCTTCCTGTGTTTCCATCTCTGGCAGAAGTGGAGGTATGGGATTGGGGATTATAAGATTATTCTGCCCTATAAAGTGCATACGGGCTTGGTTGAGAAGACGAGGAAGGAGTTGGAGGAGTCTGGTGTTAAGGATGTTCGGTTGACGAGTGGGGATGTTATTTCTGCATGGGTGATCAAGGTATGTTCGTCCACTGTGTTTAAACGTAACCAGAGCTCAAGTTCTCGTCTACTTCCATTCCAGTCCCTCCTTGGATTCGGAAGTTCCCCCCGCCGAACCCTAGGCCTGAACAACATCGCTTCTTTCCGCTCAGAATGGAGCGACGAGCTCGCTCTGTACCCCCACAACGCGTACACCGGAATCCCCCTCCCCATGCTCACCTTTGGTGACGTCGCCAAACTCCCGATCCACGAACTAGCCCTGATATTCGCCAAGAGCCGCGCAGGCTCGAGGGTCCCCGACGCCGTAGCCCTCTGGAACCTCCTTGACACGGCCGACAAGAAGAAAGTGGGCGCCGTCATCCCCGAGCACTCGATCGCCCAAGAGTCATTATCCGTTTCGAACGTCTCTATTGCCCGGTTTACTGATATGGATTGGAGTGGAGCTGGAGGCGGAAGGGTTGTTGGGTATTATAGGATGTGGCCGAATGCGCAGCTCAAGTTGGTGAATATGGTTGGGATTGCTGGGCGCTTGACGGATGGGGATCTTGTTATTACTGTTGTAGCGAATAGGAGGAGGGGGGAGAGGTTGAGGACTGAGGTGGAAAAGTTGATTGAGAGGTTCCAGGGTTGAGGTTGTATTTTTGTAGATTTGTAGGAGGATGCTATCCAGAGATTTAGGTGGAATTAGTCTGTATATCTAGGTGTAAAGGATTTAGTGTCAGGGTATGATCTACACGAGTGTAGGATGTCCCGTGCCAGTGATATAAATAGGCTAAGGGGCTGCTACTTAGTACATAGTGGTTGGGCTCTGCCCCTGCGCTGAAATAGGGGTATGCCTTCCTCTTTCTGCATCACCCGATCGGCGCTTGACGCCATCTGCCAAGCTCCCGTACGACAAAGTGAGCCCACGCTCGTTGTCGTCATCATCGACTGACCTGGTCTGCTCTCATCCTCGACGACGACCTCGACGACGACAGGAACGGTGAGCAAGGATCACCACGAACTCTGGGTTTTGTGGTGAACTGACGAATGCACTAGAAAATTTCAATAAACACTGGAACCAGCATGTCGAATTTGAACCGTGGTCGACGAGACCACCGCGATAGTGTTCCACACCTTCAAGTCCCCCGCAGGAGCTCAGGATCCCACCGGCCCCCAGGCGTCGGAATTGGTCGTCTGGCGTCCCCTTCAGTGTCCAGCCCAGGACTAGCAACCTCAACGACAGCGACATCCCAAATGGGCACAGAACAGTTGAACACAGACGACGCACCAGTTTTGTCTAGCACACGGCCCATAGCCGCACGAACGAGGTCATTTGGCGGTACCACCCATGCTTCACGGAGGCGGTCGAAGATTACCAGTGGGGAAGCTCTAGATTTGGCGACAGGTGGAGCAAGTCTGAGAAGACCACAGTCCTCTAAGCATTCATCCAGCGGTGCCGCAATGCTGCCCTCGTCCAGCTCGTTCCGCCAAACAAGGTCGTTCCTACTACCAGTAACCACCTCGTCAGGTCTCTCAGGAACAGGGAGCGGAGGCGGAGGCGGTGGAGGAGGAGGCGCAGGGGGGACGCACGGGGGTAGCACAACAGGCCCCACCAACAAGTCGATTATGGCGCCTCTCCCCAAGCCCAAGCGGACCACCAAAACGTCGCAAAAGCTCGTCGTGCTACCGTCTGCGCCGCAGACTAAACCGCTGCTTGATGAAGAACCTGAGACGTCGGATGAGGAGGCCTTACCTCGGGTTGCTATCACCAGGAGTCGCTTGCCGCACCCGTTACCGCCTAGGGTGCCGACGAAAGGGAGGATTGAACGTGCTCATATGGAACGAGCGGCGCGGGGGACGGAGGAAGTTGGGAGTGAGGAGGAGGGCAAGGGTCGCGCCGTCGAAGAACCCCGCCCTATGAAGCGCGTTCGGGAGTACAAGAGTGCTGCTGAACGTATGACCAAGGAGGAGAGGAAGAAAGCCGGTCTCAAGCGTATCACCGCGTACTGTGTTGCTGAAGGGCTCAGGATGAAGTCGTTGGCTGGGTTCTTGAAACGGGAGCATAACGTTCAGCCACGGATATTTGACGAGGCGCTCTATGCTGTGAGTGTCAATGTCTTGTTCGGTTTAATTATCTCCTAACCATTTCCAGATGTACCACCTGCCTCTTCTCCCTGGATATGGTCCTCAAATTAACGTCCGCTCAGGAGCTGCACCTTCCATACTGAAAGAGTCCAGCCCTCTCAACCGTCAGAAGGACCTCTTGGGAGCGTTGGAAGAAACCGAAGAAGACGGCTACCACGATCCTTATTTCCAATCTCAACAGCATGGGTCCAACTTGGAAATGCACCATTCGGAACGCCCTCTACATTCCCTGTCCGACACCCAGCTAATTACGACAGACGCCACGGATGGACCTGGAGATCTCGGGTCTACGTTACCTGGTCTTGTTCGTCCTGCGTCTGTGGAGGAAGTCAGAGGTGCGGACGGCTATGTCACGAGCGACTCCTTCGCACCAGTGGATCCCAGCAGCTACGAATCAACCGCTCATCTCGAAGCGGAGATGCTGAAGAAACAATCCTCTTCCCGTTTCGACCAGTCCGCCTCCACCTTCCAGCCCGAATACAACCCATATCCATCCTCAAGCGAGGCATCATCGCCCAAGACCCTACGAGAATTATCCGGACCATTCCATTCCGAGCTTGGAGGAGGAGGAGAGAACGTCACGCAAGTGATACTTCCGACCTCCGAGTCGTTCGTAGAGGCCGCCGCTGCCAGCCGAGGGCAGCTAGACGACCATCTTGAAGGTGATCGGTCAATAGCTGCTTCGGATGAGACTTCGTTGCACAATCCAACGGTTGACACGAGTCTTAGCAGTAGTGCCCTAGACTCTGGCCTCGAGACTGACGACCCCGGTGCGTTCACTGATCCTGGCGTCTATGGCCCATGGCCTAGGAACCCGAAATCAGGATTGTCGTCGTCCAATGAGGAAAGAGGCTCGCGTCTCAACATGGCCGCTACCACCTCAACGGGAACACAGACGGACACGGATGGAGCAACGACTGAAGCGGATGGCGAGGACAGCGGACAACTACACGGAGATCGCCCAGTTACAGAGTCGACGCTCACAGAGACGGGCTCGGTCACTGCGGGGCAGGCCACGAGCGATCTGCTACGGCCTCTCCAGAAGGATGGGAGCGGGAGTGGGAGTGATGTGACCGCAACCGCGGTCCTCGCCAAGAGCGATGGCCAGTCGCCCGAGTCGACCCAGGTGCACACTAGTAACAACGTCACGGCCGTGAATAGCTCTAGCAGTGGCGACAACTCGCAGACTGCAGATAAACACGGGGGTGTTTTGTCGGCTTATGAAACCCAGATGGCGTACGATAGGGAGAGGGAAGACGCGGAGTACCAGTTTGAGCAGGAGAGGGAGCGGGCGCGGCAGTTGGAATACGAGCGTGCTTTGGAGAGGGAACGTGAAAGGGAGCGGGAGAGGGAGTTGGATAATGTGGCGGAGGTGGTGTTCTTTGAGTATGGTGTGGTTGTTTTCTTTGGGCTGGATGAGCGGGGTGAGAGGGATATTCTGGATGACCTTGAACAAGCGGGCGCTTATCGGCGCTTGATGAAAGAAGATGATTGGGAGATTGAGGAATGTCATTTTGCGGTATGTTCTTGTTGCATATCAATTCGAACCATTTCTCACATCTGTTATAGCACGACCCTCAGATCGCGTATCCGCGTATTTACAATGACTTTTTCAGTGAGTTCTTCGTTCCATAGGATTCGATTCGGTGCTGAAGTTTTCGTTTTTTTCAGCACTCAAATCCCGTTCTCACCTCCTAAAACTCGCCATCGCACACGGTCTAGCACAATCCACCCTTCTCGCGCGATACGAAGCCGTCACAGCCGAAACCCTCACTTCCCCAATGGCCCTCTCTATCCCCCGCCAAATGGCTGAATCAGGCTCCCTCCAACTGCGGCGCCACGACGCTCTCAAACTGACAGGCCGCCTCTTCAAACTACGACGCGACGTCAACTTGGTCTCGAACGTCCTTGATATCCCCGAGCTGTTCTGGAGCGAGTCGAGTTTGAAGGAGCTTTATGATGCTGTGAGAGATTATATGGAGATTGACCCGCGGGTTGACAATCTGAATGAGAGGCTTGGTGTTGCGAGTGATTTCGTGAGTACCTACCTCCTTTTGCCATGTATCTTTCTTTCTACTCTTTCTACATCTTGACCGAATCGTTTAACGGTTTGGTTTCGAGTTTGGTTCAGTTTTCCTGGGGTTTCTTTACTCCTTTGATTTGGACTGGATTGCGTTACTGACGTACTTACTCTTTCCTTTCGGATCCGCCGATCACAAGTTGGATGCAATCCATGATCATTTGAATAATAATGCTATGGATCGTATCACCCGAATCATCATCTGGTGAGTGGTCGTCTCTTGTCCGACTCGCTCTGTCTATCTTTTCTGGGCTTCACGGCATCACAATTTATATCTATCCCTTTCAACTCTTTCGGTGCAATCAACGTTTCATATTGACAACAATTTTACTAACGCACACTTTTTTTCTGCCTCTTTGCATGGACGTTACTATAGGTTGATTGCCGTCGCTATTGTGGTGGAACTGGTGAGTCTTCGTTCGGTTTTCATCAGCGTTTCATCCTATCTTTCCGATCTTTCACTAACCACTTCCTTCTTTCTTCCTTTCATCCGACCTTAGGGCGAAATCCTAGCTCGACTCGTGGTACACGCAACACTGGGCAAGCAGTCCTCGACAGCATCATCATCATGGTCCTTGATCTCCGGAATCTCGGACAAACTCTCTTCCTCTTCTTCAGCAAGCACGCTTCAAACGGCTAGTCGCACAACCTCGACTGTGATAGGCAGCGGTGCACAAGTTGTCGCACAACAACTGCAGCAACAGCAACAGTTGTCGAGAGCCGAGGCGTTGGAAGCTTTGGAGCGGATCATGCAGTCGAGTTCGTCGTGAATGTGAACGTGAACGCTTGATGGGAGCTTTCTCGATGACTAGACCAGTGTTTGCGGCAATCCATCATTTCTGGGGAATGATTTTAACTGGACTTGGCTAGGGTAGGTGGGTCCTGGAGGGTTGATAGGTCCCTCCGATCTGGTGCAAGGGTGTTGTTAGCTGCTGGTGGATCCACGGTGTGCCCAGAGAAAGATGGTGTTTGGACTACCGGAAATGCCAGTGCACTAGTATACCCCGGATCGTTTGTGGACGTGGTAGTTTCAGCCCGATCCGACGCGTATAACGGACCATTATCACACCAGATTTCAATTTTTTCACTGTCACTTCGTTCTTTCAATTTCTTTTTTGTATACAAGCAGAGCAATGTGTTGATTGTTTCGTAGGAGGCCTGTTGTTGTAGTAGTCGCTTGTTTGTAGACTTTTCGTAGACCCTTGCATACATTCTCCGAGTCATTTGCTTTCTTTTCAAATCTTCAAATGCTGTCACTCGATAGATGTGAAACGACGGACTTGCATCTCGTCCGTCGTCCTTTTCCTTCAACGAACCTGAAGCCTGGTCAACCTTGAGCTTGATCGCCGCCTGTAAAACCTACATCCCCGAATCTCCAAGACTGTAATGCATGTCGTGAATGAATGTCATTAATACGAAACCCAAATACCGAAACAAACAAAAAGAATCTCTAAGTTAATCTACACATCGAAAAAAAGATGAAAAAACGACATGACATTACTAGGCACATATACGCGCTCGAAAAAGGATTATACCACGGTGGGGTCAACGACGGATTGTACAGATACGATTCCAGGCTCTTTCGGTTTATCAGGTCGGAAGTAAAAAGAAAGGTCCATGTAATGAAGGCTTTTTAGTCCATGAGATGGTGCACCCGCTCGAGTAGGAGCCGAGTCTTGTGAAGGTGGAATGACTCGTGAATGTGTGTGAGGTGCGGGGTTTACTTCCCACCGGATGTCTTGAAGAGAACCAATCCTCCGAGAGCGATGGAATAACCTGTGACAAGAGAAAGAGTTGTGTTAGCAAACGAATACAAAACCGTGACCATGGATGGGATGGAAAAGGAGAAGAGAGGCAAGGTGCTTCAATCTTAGCTGCGGCGAAAACGGGGAATCAAGTGGGTTCAGTGCTTCAAGTCAAGGTGAAACACCAAGCTATCTCGTCAAGGTGCAAAAGAGCCCGAAAACATGCATGGTATGTGGAAGCCAGCACTGTTCCAATGGAACGGGGGAGTGTAAAATTCAAGGCGGAAAGACTCACCAAATACTTGCAGTGGTGTGACCGTTGATCCAAAAATGATTACGGAGCCAGTAATGAGAAGAATATCCTGGTGGACGGGGCCGAAAGATAGCAGTTTTCCAAAAGTGGGAGGTGGAGAGGTGGAAGGACGAACGGAAAGAGCAAGGTGGTCAGCACACGTTCACGAAGTTGAATACAATTGAAAAGCATGAGAAATTGGAACAAGTCTAATGGCAGTTACGTATCCTTGCCAGTGGCGCCCACTGAGAGAATTACGCAATGGTAGAAATTTCCGCAGGGCGAAAAGTGTATTGAGATGACAGATGACAATGTACTCACCTTGAAGACACCAGCGAGGGTGAGAACAAGACCGCTAGCAGCACCGACCAAGAAGACAGCGGCGATGTTGAGCAAGAACGCGACAGAGGCGTTGCTGATCAAGATAGCGGCTCCGAGCTCCTTCAATTCGTAGAATGGTGCGAGACCCTCAGTGAAGGGGATGAAGAAACCAGTGATGACGGCGCAGACGGGGGCGTAGTAATGCAAAGAGACAAGCGGATCCATCTTGAGATTGTGGAGAAGGATTTGGATCATCACTAGCCTGGAAGACTCGAACTAGCGGGGCGGAATGCGGCGTTAGCGTGTACCGAGGAGATGCACGACGGAAATCACTTACACCGACAGCTGCAGCTTGGGTAAGGAAGCCAAAGAGGTTAAATTTGAGCTCTCCGTGGGACGCAAGTGCAACACCAGTGGAAATCAGGACCACGATGATAGCAAGTTTCTTGTTTGGTTCCTGGAGTCGGAACGCCCATGAAATGAGAAGGATTGCCACTGGGGTAAAGGCCTGTAAAGCGGGGTCAGATTCGAGCAAGTGGGGTTAAACGGTAAACCCGCCTTGAGCATTTGAATGTAAGCCACGCTCAGGTACAGATAGGCAGTGTTACTGAGGATAAGGCTGCCAGAGAAGAGAAGGCCAATGGGAAGGATTGACTTCATGAACATATCCTTGCTCATATGAATGTCCTTCGCGCCATCAACGAGATGTGTTGTCCGCTGGAGTACGCGGGTGCCGACTGCTGCAAAGGCGAGGTGGAAGGTGACGAGGAAGACGGGATATTTGAAATTGAGGGTGTTGTAGAGGTAATTGTTGTAGATGATGACCGATGAGCTTAACGCGATCCATACTGGGATGATCATGGCCGCAGAAAGCTTAGGCTTTTGTGGTCTCGGTGCCTGGCTGGAGACTGGGGTCGGCAGCGGGGTGTCTCTGTTGGCAGCCTCATTGTCGGCGTCGAAGAGAGTGGTCTTGTTGCCGCCCAACATCGACTCTGCAGCCTGTTTCTCATCATCTCTGAGCGTCTTCATTGGATGCGCTGACATTTCCCTTGATTTCTCTTGAACGGTGTAATGAAGGTTCCCTTGCCTGGGTCAATACAGGTAAACGGGTGTGATAAGGCTGTGAATTTGTTAGATTTTTATTGAATAGACTTGAAGATGAAGCGTACAGCGACTGGAAGAGAAATGAAAGGAAGAAAGAAAGGGCGGGTGTCGTGGAAGTAATGGGGAAGGATGAAATGGAGTTGTCTCGCCGTGCATCATTGGCGATGTTTGCCCTAAAGTGAGGCACGTGCAACATTGACCCTGCCAGAATCCGGCGCCACGGGCCATCGTTGCTGGGCCTTGTCCTTTCACCACCGTCGCAAGTCCAATGTCTAGCCTTGCTGGCTACGTTGACCGACGTGTTGTCCTTATTCTCCAGGATGGTCGCGTAATTGTCGTATGTATTCTCCTTCTTTTCAATTCACAACCTATTCATTGGAATCTAGGGCTTGTTGGCGGGCTTTGATCAAAAATCAAACGTTGTACTTTCAGATTCCAAGGAACGCGTCTTCAGCACAGATGAAGGAGTTGAAGAGATTCCTCTGGGGCTGTACCTCGTAAAAGGCGACATGATGTGCGTGTTTCCTTCTCCAATCTGTGGTGATCGCTTAACTTTTGTTTCAGCATCCTCATCGGCGAACTCGACGAAGAAATCGACAAAACAACTGATCTATCAACAATACGTGCAGAACCGATACCTCCAATTCGCTACTAGCACAAACCAGCCCGCACAACGCTTGGATTCGACATGGATCGCAGCAGCAAGATGAGACCGACACGCGTCATCCATTGCGGACCCATCCCATCCCCACATAGCGAACCGGCCTCTCAGCGACCCGGTCAAGTCGATCAAGCAACGTGGAAGCCTTGTTCCATTGGATGTCACAGCCAAACGAGACGCCGTCATTTCGCCATTGTTTTCGTCGCCTCGTACCAGTTTCCGATCATAGCCCATTTGTGTATGTTCCCTCTTCTCCCTCTGGAACCGGTTCAGCGCAATTTCAATCGGATTAGACATCCGATCCTTCGTCTCAACCCTCACCCATGGACATCCCATGGTATGCCGACAAGGCCAGCCCACGTACCAATACCAATCTCCCCTCTCACAGGGATTTTTGCCATCTTCTCGATATCGTCGCTTCTGATAGTCCATCAGCCTCGAAAATAATGAGAAACGTGGAGAAGCCATGCTACATTGATAAGAAATCTATGATACATAGATGATAGGTCAGTCCCAGTTGTCCGCAATCCAACCTCTTGCTCTTCTATTCCTTCCCATCAATCGATGTTCCTGCCAGAGGTGAACAGAACGGCCGCAAGCACACAAGCATCCAACAATCCGGCCTGTACAGCCTTGGCTGTTATGTCTAGAGCGACCATCACACCACTACCCTCCTTCCCTTGGACGATCCGAGCAACGAATTCCGATGGGTTATGCCCAGACGTATACAGCTGAGGCCCGAGGAAGCCCGTCAGCGGTCATAAATGGAGTGGGAATTGCCCGCAGGCGGAAGAAGGCAAAAGAGGATGAACATCAGCACTTAATCCCATTAGCGTCATCCACGGAGGAAACCAAACTCACGCATATCATGCCTGTGGATGGAACCCAACTATACTGTTGGCCCCGCAGCGTCATACTCCGGTACCGTTTGTCGGCACTCAGAGCTAGCCACTGCTTCGCCGTTTGCCGCGCCACGATGTCCATTAGAGACACGATGGGGTACCGCTGCCATTCAATGCTTCCTCCTGCCTCCCCGCTTCCGCCAGCCTGCTCATTGATAACAACCGTGTTCCCAATGGCATGGGTCGCGATCGTGAAGTACTTCTTTCCATCTGCACCCATGAGTGTAGAATTCAAGATGGTTCGCGCGGGAGACACGAATCGGAAAGACATTATTTGAAGTTGTGAATTGCCGCCAGAGTTCACGGATGATGATGATGCGTTAGTGCTCGATGACGCATATCGCCCGGGGAGGTTGTATGGGACCGGCGTCGATTGGCCTAACGGCAGCGCTCCGTAAATTGAAGGAGAGAGATTTGGCTGGTCGCGTTCGCCGCCCCACTGAGCAAATGGATTATCGCCAGACATGGTCGTAGTTGGTTGTAAGGACGGGAGGGTTTGGTACTAGGAGACGGGGGAGGGTTTGAGGCGTCGAAGAAAACTGGGCAAGACGTGCACCAAATGCTATCAGCTTTATAGTTCTCGGACCGGGCGAAAGAGACTATTCGAGTAGGGCGGGTAGGAATCAGTTTAGATCTTGAGATCTCTACATCCATCAATTCACTTACACATTGGGTGCGTCCAAGGTGTATTTTTTTTCTTTTCGCGCCTGATATGAGCTCTCGAGGGTCAGCCCGGAGATCAAACTATGAATAGAGGAAATCGGAACTGCTTCAATGCAGTGGCTTGTCACCCTCCAAATTGGTGTGTAGTATGATCGAGTCCAGATGTACACACCCAGGGGACACCTATCCCAGGGGGCGCTTCAGCTTACAGCTCTAAACGGCCTTAGTGCTCGCAAGGTCTTGCCTCGATTGCCTGCTAATACGGCCATCCGGAGCCCCCCATCACCATGAATAGCCCTGAAACTGAAACGACCGCAACATGAAGAGCCACGTACCGAAGGGGTCGTCATCACCCGAGAGTGTGAGGGCAACCGCGTTTTCTCTCCTAGTCATTATTGCATATTGGGTCCTCCGCCGGGTGAGTGATGGCCGGGGGATGATTGATAATGGGGTTAACGCTCCTGTACGACGACTATGATACTATACAAGTTCCCTTTGGAGGTCTCGTCCGATTCGCAGCATACTGTCCTTGAAAGGTGGCTAGCGGTCGCAGAGGATATGTAACTAAGAACGCCTTCTAACCCATGACGCTTCACATTAGCGGGGAACCGTTGGCAGATTCACGCTGTTTCCCCCTTGTGTGGCGATCTCGGACATTGGAAGTTGGATGAAATGAGATGGCGTCGAATCGGAAGGGGGAATTGCTATCAGATCATGGACAGTCTTACCCCCACTCCCGGGGCCGAGCATGACTCCAAGAGGCTTGGGCGGCTTGCCGACAAGCGCTTAGAGTTTCGGAAATGGAGCTCTTGAGTCCTAGCGGAAGAGTGCTTTCCGACAAAGTGAGGCGCTAGCTCTCGGAGCTGGGGCGCTCGCGCTACTCAGGCTGCGGACTGCTGCGTATACGCTCGGTTGGGAGGAAAAAAGGATGGGACTATCCGAGCGAGGCTTGTTGGATAGCAACTTGAATTGGCAACAAGGCTCACAAGCGCCAGTGCGGTTGGGAGGGTGGTCGTCTCGCTTAATTTTTTGGTCTGCTGTGTACTCAGACCAACTCTGATCGCACACACGCAGGTATGTACCTGGGTCACACGAGCGCCGAGAAGACCAAGAATAGTCAGGACGATTGTGGGCGGAAGGGGGTGATCGGGTTGTACGGGCAGAAACCAACTCGTGACTTGTTGAAGATCGCCGCTGGGGGAGAGTGCCAATCGAGTTTTATACTGAGCATCGGGCGTCTAATTTTGATCCGCTCCAGGTTGGCCCCTAAAAAGCCCCTAATTCGAGAGTCAACACCCATGGCATAGCTTTTGCGGTACTTGGAATCAGATTTCCAGCTATAGAGGCTTGGAAACAGGGTAAAGGATGCGTTTAACCGGTTTAAATTTGGAGGAAGCCAGCCCTCTCAAATTACATGTAGGTTGACTCGTGCATTGATCGATGTTACGCTTCTAAACTTCTGATTAACAGAGCCTTAACAGCATCTTGTAGACATCCGAGGTGGCCTTGCGGCGTTGTTTCGTGAATGCTTGCCTGATGTCTCGAGGATAAGTAGACTACAACTACCAGACTGTGTACTAGGTGGTACACAAACGTCTATTGGAACGTCCCTCCGCTCAATGCGGGACACTAGTACTATCCCTGAGAGTCCGCGTCGCAAAAAGTGCTCGTTAAAGGTGCTACAAGCAGACCACCTACACCAAGAATAGCCTCCCTAATACACGATGAGACCACACGAATACCTCGATCGAATGGTAGCCTATCCTCCTTTAGGGAAACGAGACCACTTAACATGTTAATTAGGGAATGGGATGATGGGGCTGAACGATTGTGGGGCCCCCTCATGCCGGACAACTCGGCCAAGAGCCCAGGCTTCCTTGCGCGTCATCCGATAGAAATCAGCTAGAGAATAAGTAAACCTTCTGTTGCTGTAAGCCTTCGCCCTTGAAACCCGTGGAAGCAGCTTCAGTTTGACCTCGTGAGCGCCGAAGCGGGGTTATACTTTCCTTTCCTAGCAAGGGCTGTTCGGCATCACAACGCGCACTGTAGGCTTGAAGGGCGAATGGGATTGACAAGGGGAAGACTAAGTTGATCTGGACAATTGGGGTTTCCGGTGCAATATACATTTGAAAACGGATGACGAGGCTGGCGATGCGAAGGAGACGGAGGGTATCAGCCCTGGCCAGTACGAGTAAGTGCTTACGGATGAAAGTCGTCTCGAGCTAGGACTGCCTACAAACAGACGAGTACAAGGATGACTTACAGATACGTCCCCAGGATCTCTTCATCCACTAGTAAGCGCCCTCCGCTAGTTCTAGTACTGTCATCTCAGCACGTGCAACGCAGATTTCCCTTCACTCTCGGAGACTAGCTCTCGCGTCGCGGGCATCCCGGTTACCACTACACCCACTGCCTGACCTTCCCACTCGGTAATGAATGGAGCTCTGATCCTTATTTCCGAGACGACCTTGATGGTCACTATATAATAACGGGCCAGGTGGACCACTGTGGATCATTGCGATTCTCGGTGCCCGCAAGAGACCTCCGCAAGTCCCTGCATGCAACCAGAGATTCATACTAGAACTGCGATCAGGTGTCTTCGCAATGAAGGTCCTTCGAGTGACGCTCCTGTGACCGCAGAGCCGGCAGAAGCGCGTCCGAGAGCCCCAACATGAGCGAATCCGTCACTGAGACGCCGCCGTACCTATGCATATGAAGCACAAAGTAGCCATGACACGGCCGGGACGATAAGTATACAAGAGTCTCACTTAACTTCACTGATGGGTGCCAACGAGTAATGCCCCAAAGTCGAAGAACCAAATGAGATCTCGGGGCACAGAAACCCGCAACCAGGGTTAGGGCATGTCGGATAGGCGCCCACAATTTCCATCGGGCTACAGCATCCGATGTTCCATCCTACAGCAGTTGCAAGGTTTAATTAATCTCTCACAAGCACTGTACGAGTCTCTTTCATACGCCCGATAGAATTAGAGGGTTCCTGACATTTGGAAACATCGTCGAAAGACCGGACACATGTTAGCGCCGGTTTCTTGGAACGATCATTAATGAGGCATCCACGCAGTAGCAGGATCGGGACAGGCGGCAAGATATTGTCTTGAGCTGTAAATGTTACTATTACCGCCCAGTTGAAACCAGGGAATGATCATGTCCCTGGGCGATTCCCGAGCATCCAGAAGGCCGCGAGGACCGTTGACCGTTACTCCTTCTTTCCTCCCAAATAGCTAGCCCACCATTCCTCGAAAAGGCACTGGTCAAGGCCACCTTCGACCCCAAGGGCTTCGGTTTCTCGGGTGTCCAGATGGCAGTCCCGCGGTCGGCTAGCAGTTCCTGGACCTGGAGGGGGGTGGGTAACAGGAACGATGTGGCCATGGGGTAGTCCCAAGATCTTGGCGAAGATAAGACACATCTCGTACTTGGTGAACGGTTCGTGTGCCGAGTAATGCAGGATAGAAGGAACCGGCTTCTTGAGCGCTAACGGTGCACGAGTTTAATGGTAGTTCAGGCGTAACCCGTTTCATCTGCGACTCACCCGATAGGCGTACTAGGAATTTGGCGATATCGAGAACGTTGGTCGGGTATCTCGTCGCGTCGTGGTCCATCTTGTACTGCTTTCCTGACTGATCTTGCACGACGTCCACCAGGATGTTGACCGCGGAGTCCGAGTTCTTGGGAGCGGGTCCGTACCTTGGACTTCTTGAGAGATGCATCGAAGGAGTGAAGAAAAGATCGCGTACAGTACGGGCACTCTCAGGACGATAGTCTTTGCTCCTTCAACGCCCAAGACGGCAACCTCACCATCCCGTTTGGTGACACCATACAGGTTCAATGGGTTAGTGGGTGACGAGGGCTGATACGGTGGTGCTTGACCGTCGAACACATAGTCTGCGATGACGTCGTGAGGATCAGCCGCTCAGAGCCCAGCACGAGAAGGAGCCAACCAGTTGAGATGTAGACAAGGGTAAAGCCAAGCTGCTTTGAAAGCTGAGAAAGATGGCCAGGAACGCCCTCGTTAAGCTGAAGGTTGCAGAGTGGATCGGAGAACGGAGCGAGTTGAGCATGTCAATCGATAATAACGAGAAGGTTCACGTACAATCTTGCATGCGGCAGGATCCTTCCTCGGATATGGGGATTAGTAGAAGACATCGCTCAGGAGAGGGCAAACCGACTTTCTCAGCAACGTCAGGTCGACGTTCTGCTGCACAGTGGATGACCCCTGAATTCCCAGCAAAGTGTCAAGAGCGATGGGCGACAGACAGGCATGAGGTCGAATCCCCATTGACAACCTCAAAACTCACAGTCAGGCTTGAATTCAGAAAACTTTTTCTCTACTGCCTCCTTATCAGTCAAATCCAGTTTCTCAAGTCCTGGACCCGCTCGACTGAATGCCAAACCCAAAACATCAGCTTGAGCCTGCTCGAAAGCTGCCTTGACAGCTGATCCAAGTACGCCGGACGCGCCTTTTCCCCAGAGAAAGTGAGAAAGTGAGTACGGTTTCGGTAGGTAGCATTAGCGAAAGCCTGGTGTGAGCTACTGACCTGTGACGATAACCTTCATTTCTGATAAAATGAGAAAGACTTTGGGCTGAGAACCAGCGATCGTGCGGGTTGTGAGAACTGGAGAAGCCGAGAAGCCGGTGCATTGAACATCACGGTCCTGGCCCTTGCCGGCTGCGCTCGGGTACTCCGGACAGCGGTCCCGCTCTTTATTTAGCCTTTTCTTCCGCTTTTCTCTCTTGGTTCTCCCTTGCTCTTTCTGTGACTGCGAATTTTTCTTGGAGGAGGAAAGACTGTCTTCTGCTCCAAAGCCTTTCTGACTTCTCTCTTGCGGCTCGAGAGGCTTCGAAGAAATATTCTCTGGAATTCTGGGACCTTTCAAAATTCTTTCTTTGCATTTAGACTCCCTGCTTCAACGGACGAAAGAGACCGAAGAGGATTTTGGATTTTCTCATGTCATGGTGGTTCCAAACCCCATTATCTCTCCTCTCTTCTACTGCTCCTTTCGAAGGCTCATAGATCGCCCCGTCCTCTTGCATAAGCTTTTGGTACCTGTGCTGACAACAACACTTGCGAACTCGCCACCTCATAGTACTGGTACTTGAAGCAAGAACGCAAAGCTGCTCGCAGAACTCTTTGGGAACAGAGGTTTCGAGGACTCACCAACCCATGTCGAACGAGACTAATGAACTTATCGTGACCGAGCAGAAAAGGATCCGATTTCTTGGATATTGAGGCCAACCTTCCTTGAAGTCTGTTCTACTAGGTTCCACACTTTACAGCTGACCAGCGGGGGAAGCGGTATGTGAATTTATTCTGTACGTATATCTGCCGATTCTGCAATACGCCATCAAACTAATCGTCTTTCCGTACGAATTAATATAGACTTACCGCTTTCGTCCTATTGTGTCCTGCCCACAAGTCACGAAAACATCATCTGTTCTATCAAAGAAGTCAGCATTTGTGAAGGTGGACGTTCCGGTGTTCCTTTTCCATGGCGTATTCCGTGGCCTATGTTTGCCCCCAGTGGCCTGATCCACGCGACCGTGGTCTGGTCAAATGGAGGAACGACTTTGCTTCTTCCAATTCATACTGTTCTCATCGTCTCGACTTGTTCCAACGAGTGCAACTGCTTTAGGATGAGATATCTCCATCCATCTCTGCTTCGGCTATCGATGTCTTTCCCGGATTGGACCTTGCCTTCGAGATGTCCGTAGGCTTCTCGAGTTCGCCGTCGCTAGTGGTCATTTGTATCATTTCTTCTTCCGTCACTGGGTGGGTCTACTGACTACACCTAGCCCTGAACACGAAGAGGAGGGAGAGACTTCGAATGACGAGGGTAGACTTGTTCACAAGCAACTTGAGAATGCTACTCTCACTTGCGACTGGATGGTATTCGAATGAGAAGATCCCTATCCACCCCATGAATGGCTATGGTGAGCAATAAAACATATTTTCCCACTCTTTTACGACACTAACTGTTCCATCATTAAAGTCTACCGTTACAGCAAGGTTACTTGAATTGGAAATCTCTACGGTTTGTGCTCTCAAAGTATATCGAACCCCAAAACCTTACCCCAATGCTACCCGCTCAGCCGCCGATTGCGTAGAGGTTATAACTACGGGTCCAGCTCGATGGTGTACGCACCTGAAGGGTTGAACCCAAGCGTTCTACAACCTGGGAGAGCCTGGGAGCCTCGAGTCAATATCAGGCCGCAACTGGTCGGTACCCGCCAGTCCGTATATATCGGTTGTTATGGCGCTTGGTGCCTTTCGTTTGGTCAGGGCGTCCACGCGGCCGCTTTTCGACGATTCACCGACCTCTCAGAGCGTGAGGTTTCTCAACTCCCATTTATGGTAATCTCCTAACAGAACGCGGTGGTTAGAAGCAGTTTCTGGCCTTCGAGCTTTGGTAACTTCATCTCCAGGTCACCAGATGGAACCCCACTGCAGAAGAGCCAGGATTCTGATTCGCTGAGAATTTCAGACATGCTGGTTCCCCGCAAACCCTATGTCAACAGTCCCTGGTATTTTCCTTTGGAATGTTCCCCCACCATCAAGTCTTGAAAGCCGTGAGATGAATGACGCTTGCTTCCGACATTCAATTGATATCTTTGACGCTTTTTCCAGGAGAAATACGAGATTCTTCTGCGGCGAGGGATTTTTTCGTTCCCAAACTTTCCAATTTTGTTCTGGAAGTTAGAGCAACGGGGATTGGTCACCAGAGCGTCTGATCTACCTACCCAATATTGATTATCCCAGAAGGTTGTGAAGAAACGCCATTTCTGTTTTTGACAGAAGTACGATCTTGTACCACCACACGGATATATAACCTCGGCGTTCCAATAGCTACAAGCGGCTATTTGAGACTGCCTCCTACCCCGGTGAATATGCGTCGTCGTGCAATGACCGAATCGCACCCTTCTGGGCAAGAAACTGCCTCCCATATTACGCCTTGCATATACTCTCATGTGTCGACCTATAGGTGAGCATTCAACTTCAACGTCTCCAACTTAGTCCTTCAGCATTTTCTTACATTTATTCTAGATCGCTCCACCTTGAGCTACATCTCTATAGTCCCTCCCTGAAGGTCGACACACGAGGGCCAATAGCCGTCTTCAGCAACCACGACGACATAGGTGGCAAGGTTGTACTCGATTGCCCAGGTCACCAAACTGGCAAGCTCGCGCTGACGGTGAGGAATTTGAACACACCAATCGTCACGGTCCTCGCTCATAGCTATGGTCAGGTCGAAGGGTCGATCATCTACCCCATGCAATCCGACTCGCCGTATTCTGAAATCCGCAGACATGTCTTCTATTCCCACTCCCATGTCATCTCGGTAGCTTCAGAGGAGTCCAGTAGGTTCGCCTTCCGAGACGCCTTCATGAAGCGCCGGCCCAGTTCATCGAACCTCAACTTCAAGCCCGGATCAATAGAGCGATCGTTTCCCTTTCACTTTCCATTGTCTCAGGGCTCCCATCCCAAACAAGAGCTTCCGTCGACATTTACTTCGCAATGGGACGGCGAGAGGCCACTCGTCATGACCTCAGAAGTTTCCTACAAGATGATCGTTACTTGGGAGCCCGACTCTCTGAGCGATCAGCCGTCCCAGTACGTCCGAGCCCTTTGCGTTTCGTATTGCCTCAGAACTCAAATCCATCCGCAGACTTGAAATTCCCTTCATTCTCCAACAAGATGCTGAATTCCACTCGCTGGACAGCAACAGCACTGAGGATGCCTGGTTGGAAATCCCGCTACTAACTGAACGCCCGATGCCTGTCCGCCTTGCAGTACGTTAGCCCACCCTCTAACAAGGCCTCCCTTTCCAACAACCTATTTTTAGATCGCGCTACCATCGTCTACAAGCTTTTCCCGAAAGTCATCCGTTCCTTACTACGTCGTCTTCACAACAACACCCCGGTCACCTTCAACCGCAAAAGAAATCGCCGCAGATTCGACCATTTACGTCGCTCTAACCCGCCAGATTGTCATTAACGAACCCCAAACAATGATGCAACTCACCCCTCCGTCATCCCCCTCCACCTCCGAGGAAGGTGAAACCTCCCCTCGACGGCTGCTCCGAAGAGTAGCAAAATCCAGTCCTCGACTAAACCGAAAACGCCGGATCGACGAAATCTTCGACAAACCCCTCCCCGAGCTGCCCATGAAGGCCTGTTTCTCAGAATCCAAGACTATCTACAACGACTTCTTCGTGGGGTTCCCCAAGCGCCCACGACACCGATGTGAGAAGGGGAAGCACCCAACTCTAGCGGAGCAATCCGCTTTACCTGATGGCCTTCTCAAATCCAAGATCGCTCTTGATGCGGACATGCTTCCTTCCGTAGATTGGGTTGGTGTTAGTGTCAAGGTACGTAGGCGCTTCTGATCGATTCTGTCGACCCTCTCTGATCCCGACTGTCCCTGTCATCTTCAGTACTACCTTGAGATCTCTGTATCAATCGGCCAGGATGACTGGAGAGCCCGCATACCGATTCGTGTTTTCTAACGACCCCAGTGATGCCCTTTTTTTGCTTCCTCACCCATAGATTTCTCCAGCTTTCGACCTTCGTCTGTATTCTGCTTTCCTCTTTGCGCGCGCTCAGGTTTTGTTTTCTATAGTTATTGGTAATGTTATGTGTATTGTTGGAACAGCCCGCAGTGTCTGATGTAAATCGAAATGTATTGCATAGTCATCAACGTGTGTAAAATAGCATTTGGGTACCCACTGCATTACCGGCGGCCAGGTCTTCACCATTCATAATTGGGTGTGAACTTCCCATGCTGGTACAGGTCCGCGAGCAGCGACACCTATTCACGCCCAAGCTGACAGCCTGTGTATAGCAACGGATGGGAGCCACCATATGCATCAAACATATCACCGCATGGTATTAGCAATCTGTTCCAACTCTCGGGCGATCATGGTATTGGGGCACTTCCTCCTCAATTCCCTGTTCAGAAAAAGGCGCAGTCAGCCAACCAAACGTCTCCAAAATTACAGCCAAACCGTGACGTACTCCAATTTAGCCTTATCTCCCCGCTCCTTGCACTCTTTCCCTGCAAGGCGCCACTCCCCACACTCAGCATAGAGGTCAACCCGTTTGGGCGAATCACACTTCGCGACGTACCCCGCCGCCTCCTTCGCGTGACCTTGCTCGAGGAGGTGACGCACAAAGGGCTCGTAACCAATAGGACTGCGCTTCGACTTCGCGAAGGCGTCGAGCCCTTCGAAGTCTTTTGCCTCCGTGAGCGCTTTCATCTTCACGTACCAGAACCTGGACACATGAGAGAACGAGAGATGATGAAAGGAACCCATCAGGAATGGTAATTGCGGGGTATACTCCGGGATCGACGTACCGCTTGTCTGGAATCTTGAAGTCGCTCTTGAGCTTATCTGCTCTCTTGGACAACCCATTGACGAGGCAGGTCCTCAACGTTTCGTTCACGCTGAGGCCAAAGAAGGGAATCTTGTTGTCAGTCTCTGCCTCTAGTTGCTGTTGGAAAGCGAGAAGCCGGGCGTTTTCATCCATCATCTGTTCTCGTGTTTCAGATTCGTCCAAAGGGGATGAAGGGTCGGTAACTACTACCTTTGCTTCAAACGCTCTATCTTTGTCCTCTGAGAAGAATCGCCTTGCAGCTTTCACGGTCTCTAGCTTCGCTGCGGGGTCCTAGTCATCCATGAGAACCCGCACAATCATTTGCGTTCAAACAAGTAACCGTACCTTCATGGAGGCTGCTTCCTCCAGACAAAGAATCGCACTCTCGACTCTTCGATCTTCCGCATAATAGAAATCCCGCAACATCTCCCTGTTCTGTTCTCGTGCATATACCTCTAAAAGGCGTGTCGCAGGTGCGAGTTGTGCACCTCCATCTTCGAGCAGCCTGAAAAAGGATCCGAGGGGAAGACGTTTGTGAAGGTGCAAGAGAACATGATAAACTGAACAGAGAAGTCGTCAGAACCGCTGGCCAATGCACCCGGCGGAATGTATGACCTACCTAAATCAGTATCCCCACTGTCGACCGCTTTGATCAATGCCAGCTTGTCTTCTTTCATGTCCAATAAAAGTGGTACTTGGTCTGAGCCTTTGGACTCGTGATCCAGCAGCTAATACAAACGCAACAGGCACCGACCGAGAAGCCGCTGAGTACGAGGCACCGAAGATCATGGAGGTATTGGGAACACTGTACCTTGGTTGCCAATCCTCCTCTTCCCACTTCCCATGCTTTCTTGGCAATCTCAGCATAGCTAAAGTCTGCCCCTCCAAGCTGCTCAAACTTCTCCACTATCGCTCGACACACTTCTTCATCGGCGGCTATTACTGCATCTTTGCCCAATCCAGCAGCGACCGGTTTCGATCGCATGATCTTCGAGCAGGCCCAGTGTTTCAAGACTGTATCTGCTTTCAGAGAAAGGAAATTGGATATTCGAAGGGCGAGCAGGTGCATGTTGCGCGAGGTCAGCCGGTTGATGAGATGGGAAGGCGAAGCGTAGTTGTATCTATAGATAGGTCATGAAGCGGTCACTTTTCGCTTTTAACGGAAAGAAACTCACTGGGTGTAGGTCAGTGGAATCCCAACTTCGTAGAAGCGAACTGCATTCAGTACTTTCAGAGTCTGGCCCATGTTGACAAAGTCGGTTGGATTGTGGAAGTCCAAGAAGCCGCGACCAAACTTTGCGGCCTGGGGGCGCTGTCAGAAAATATTCCGTGCCGAGGAGAGTGTCAGGAAACGCACGTTGAGGAGGTTGCGTTGCCACTGCGGTTCCCATTCCTGCCCGGCGGCGTCAATACATTCGTCCACTGCCTTCGCGAGGTCAGGTCGTATCGAACGGATGCTCTCATCAGCCTTCGGGGAGCGCTTCGTAAAGCTATCCCATGCATCGTACAGGATTGCGGAAGGCGTCGTCGATCCGGGTCTGAAAATGGACATGGTAGTGGCTTCGAAGCCCACCAGGTTAGAGAGAAAAAAAAGGACGAAACTATTGGGATAAAGATACATACAAGGGACCTTTTGGATCAAGTCACAAACGTCGGAACTTGTGATACGAACACCATCCATTTCGGTCACAGCAAATGCTGAGCCAGAATAGAAGTACCTTCGAGGATGTCTGTGAGTATTGGTTTGTAACGCGAAGAGTGCAAGGCCTACTGCAGCGTGTCACCTGAAGGACCGACGAGAAGGACCAGGGAAGACCAAGCCACGATAATCGCGTCGTTCCCGCACCATTCCAGTTGCCTGATAGGACCTTCTCCCTCGACAACATGCGAGGTTTCGAATTCGGTAATATTACGATGGAAGTCACTCGAGACGACCCAGAGAGTCCCGTTAAACGTTAACAAAGCTAAAAATTTGCCATTTGGCGACGGTGAGATGTGAGTAAAGGGACCCCGAGCAATCCTCTGGTCGATGGATTCGAGGTTGTCAACGGTGTAGATCGTCTGGTCTACCGAGAGCAGCACTTCAACGTGTCGTGAGATGTTGAGATCTGGCGGGATGATTGACCATGCGTGAGGGGGTTCCGTCATTCCTGACGACCGAAGTTGTGTGAGCTTGGAGTAGCAGGAGCGGGGTAGAGATCGTACCAGGGTTAGCGAGGGTCAAGGGACGACCGCCTTCCCATCCTTTGACTTCCAACAGCGACAACGAGCTCGTGAGGGCGACGAGACCATTTCCATGGATTCGAGCGTCGATAACGCCTGTTTCCGAGGCGTCTGGTCCCAGCGAATGCTGCGTGTATTCCCCTTGGAGGTCGTATATCCGGTACACGCCTTCCTCATTCAGGACAACCAGTCTTTCGTCAAGGGTCCATCCAAACTTGACTATCCTCCCTTGGTCCCACTGTAGGACACAGTATTAGAGGGGAATTATTGGAGTGAAGGAGAGACCATCCACACTGAGCAAAAGCAAGCCTTCGCCGGCTGCAGAATAGACCTGGATTTGGGGTTTGGTGATTGCTGGCGTGAGTTGCCCGATAGCGAGGAGCTTCGTCGTGTCGCGCATTATGGCTGTCCGAGGTCGATGAGCGTCTGTTGGTCCATGGATATCCAAAACCACCCACCCAGGGGACCACCATACTGGCATCCAGCAACGATATAATCACCAAGGTCGGGTAGCTTTCCCGGGATCGAGTATAGCTGCTGGCGCCTGTAGAACGTATTTCCATCTCCTATTGGTTCCCATGATGCTGTTGGATGGCTCGCCATCGTCGTCGCGCGTTCGACACGATGGGTTTACGTCGAGGTCGAGGACAAGGGATGGTGGTGTCATGTGCGCGGCCCCTTGCGTTGATGGCGTTGATGGCCACCGCGAACGGCGTCGGGCAATTGAATGATTGCCGCGCGAACTTGTTCAACGTCGTCATCGTCGTCGTTGTGCGCAGCGTCGACCTCAACTCATGTGGGGCATTGCATATGTCCTGCTACTCCCAGTTCGATTTTACTTTGCTCTTTCGACGTCGTATATCCACCCTGATGAACACTTTCAAGGTCCAGAGGTCGTAGCAGGTGAGTGTCAGCTAATTAAGCAGTTTGTTGACCTCGTATTTACCCCGGGTAATACACTAGGCGAGCTGTTCAACTGGCACTCGCAACGTACTTGGGAGTTTACCTCGAACACACCGATTAGGAGCTTCTTTCCTCTATGGCTCACATACGGTCTACCCTTGAAGGCGGCGCAATGGCTATCGCCTGAGCCACTGACGCCCAGTGCTGCCTTTACCTTTCTGCGCCTGTCGTTTCTCGCGTTTTCGCTCTTGTTTGGTGAGTTCCCGTCGTTTCTAGCACGCAAAAATACTCAACTTTAGCAGAGGATTGGGCATTCTACAAACTAATCCCTGATTCTCGTCGGAAAGGCTGGGGATTAGCCCTGTTGGCGAGCAGCTATGTCACCTGGACGTTCCAAACGCACACGTTCTCCAACTCAATCGAAACGATTCTCGTGTTAACGGCGCTGGTTCTCATGCAACACATCAGAAGACGTAAAAGCGCACCGATATCCTCGGCCTTGCTTGGATTCGTTTGTGTCTTTGGCACTTTCAATCGAATCACATTCCCTGCGTTCATTGTCCTACCAGGACTTGGCATGCTTCATAAACTTTTGACGAGCCCTTCCACGTTCATTCCACTCACTCTAGCGGCGGCGATCACAGCGGCGTACGCTATACAGCTCGACACGGAATTCTACCAAGGAACGCAGCCGGTGATCACTCCACTCAACAACCTTATCTACAATACACAAACTTCAAACTTGGCCCAGCATGGTCTACATCCACGGATCACGCATCTACTCGTCAATCTCCCTCAGCTACTGGGGCCTGCACTCATACTATTCGTAATGTCTGCCTCTGGCCGATACTTGACTTCCCTGCCTATCCTTTCGGCCGTGTCAGGAGTCGCCGTACTCTCGATATTACCCCACCAAGAAGCTCGCTTCCTGATCCCTTGCGTCCCATTGATACTTAGCCAAGTATCTTTGCCGCGGTGGAAAGGCACATGGCTTGCTTCCTGGGTTCTTTTCAACCTAGCTTTGGGCATGCTCATGGGCGTGTATCACCAAGGTGGGATCGTCCCTGCCCAAGTTTTCCTCGGCACCCGTACGAACGCAACCGACATTCTGTATTGGAAGACCTACATGCCGCCCACCTGGCTCTTGGGACCACGGACGAAAGCAGTGGATATCGTTGATGTTCCATCGTCATTGAACGAGCTGGTGCCGGCCATCGAGAGGAAAGCCGCTAGATGCGGCCGAGAAGTGTACCTGGTCGCCCCACTATCAGCAACACAGCTGGATCCGTTAGTGGATGATCCTGGGAGGGGATGGAGCTTGGACCGTGTGTGGGTCACCAGAAGGCATCTCAATCTCGACGATTTGGATATCGGGGAAGAAGGGGCGATGGGTACGGTGGAGAGGGTGCTGGGAAGGAGAGGATTGGGAATTTGGAAGGTCAATTGGAGTTGTTGTTGAGATAAGTATTACGCCATTACATCTGGTACATTACTGCTACCACTCTCTAGTCCACTTTCTATGACGTTTATTTCTGTTCAACTGTCAAATGACCAGCCGAGGATCCCAAGTTAGGGGCTTGTTTGTTTTGCAAATGAGTGTGGGCCAAACATCGCGTCATGACTGACGGGCGATTTGGTGACGTGAAAGTCTATTTTTGGATTTCAAAATCTACAAGCTCCGTCGAGCTGTCAGTTTCCTCTTCCCATTGCCCTATAATTCATGTCGCCGACACCGTTTGGGCGTTTCTTCCTCTTCCTTTCTTTTCTTTCTTGCTAGTCGTCTGTAACCATGAAATTTGCACAGTGAGTCCCTTCCACTTTTCAAGAGTCCCCCAATTCGGCACCGCTCATGTCCGTCTCCACCTAGATATCTAAAAGATACCCAGGTACGAGAAAAAGAAGTCCCAGGAACGCCAGCTCCATGCTTAAGACTGTCCCCAGACCCCTGAATGGAAGAAAGCCTACATGTGCGTTGCTCGTTGCGTCGTCGGCGCGCCCGCTTTCGCCGGGGCCGCCTTTGTTGGCACCGAAAAACTCACGGAACCCACACAGCGACTATCGCGGGCTGAAGAAAAAAATCACCGCCATCCGACGCGCACAACAGGGCCAGCAGTTCAACATCGACACCGAGTCGCCAGATGAGGCTGGAAGCCAGACTCCCGACGCCCCGCCAGCAACTCCTCGCCCTTCCTTCAGTTCGTCGGTGCCCACGGAGGGTGTACATGTAACCCCCAGACCACCGACAAGGGAGAGATCTGAATCGACAGCGGTTCAGTCGCGCCCTGTAACGCCTCGGAACAAGAAAGGACTGACTATTTCGACGAGCGGGATTCACCACAACGAATCGGCCATCGCGGACAGTCCGTCTTTCACCAGGAGAAACACTGCAAAAACCGATGAGATCGCTCATAGCACTGGAGTAGATGGGCATACAATGCCTGAGCTCCCTCGGCGTCCTTCGTTGTTCTCGCGTGGTTCTTTTTCGGTGGCGAGGAGTATCTCTAGTCGTGGTGAGTCTCGAGGTCGGCGTTTACGTGTTTCCTTTTGACGTGAACCTTACAGGCGGTATAGCTGGACTATACAACAATGATAACGTCCGGCCTCTCAAACCGATGCCAATACACGAGCTTATGACCCACCTCTCACCGCCAGAGGTTGCATTTTTCATTTTACTGGACGCACAGCTGGACAAGGTCGAAGATTTCTACACGAGCCAAGAGAAAGAGGCACTGGAGAGGGGACGTATGCTACAGGAGCAACTGGCGGAATTGAAGGAGCATAGACGGCTATTCCTGGTATGTACTCTCCTCATTCCATGCTTCCCCCGTGTGCCTGTCGAAAGCTAATGTGTTCTATTCTTGCGTGTGGTTTAGGCCGCCCGTGCCAAGGTGCCTTGGGCTGCTGCTCTCGCTGCAGCGTTCCGGCCGAACAGGAAGCAACTCAAAGTTACGAGGACCATGAGTTTACAAGATGATAATAATAGGCCACCCAAGCGGTCGTCTAAATCGGTTCGTTGATCGAGCTTCCTTTTCCTATCCCTTGCGTTGTATTCAATCGATGGCATCGCTTCCGCCCAGGTTATTGACCGACTGTGGACGTCCCTCAAGTCGCTTCAGCAGTCAACAAACACAAGCCTTCGCCGGGAACCTTCCCAGATCTCCAGTCCCTGCGATATCCATGATGCTGAAGAGAAGTTCGATCCTACGCGCCTCTCACCCCCGGTCGGCAATCAAGACAAAGTTTCAGAGAGTGGGATTCGCTTCGCCGACACTAGGAGTACAGCCTCTGGTGCTTCTCCGCCCCGTTCACCGCTATCGCCGTCGTTTGGACCTGGTGCTGACAACTATCTCTACGCGAAGCGAAAGCTGAAGAAGGCTGTCATGGAGCATTACAGGTTAGTGCTGCTCCACTTTTTGAAAGGACGAATGGATGATCTTGACATGCCATTTCACTGGCAGGCATCTGGAACTGTTGCACAACTATCGCGTTCTCAACCTCACCGGCTTCCGAAAGGCGCTGAAGAAGTTTGAGAAAGTTACCAGGATCCCGGCTCAGGACCAGTATATGGCGGAGAAGGTGGAAAAGAGCGGGTTTGCTTCCGATAAGACTTTGAAGCAGCTGATGAAGGAGACGGAGGACATGTTCTCCATTTCCTTTTGTAAGTTTCGTCGTTTTCCCTTTGGAGTATCTGTGTTGACTCAGGCGATTGGTAGTCCATGGAAATAAGAAAAAGGCTATGAAGCGCCTACGAGGTGGTACTCGCGTCAAGAGTCACCATTTCAGCACCTATCGGTCTGGGTTCTTGATGGGACTGGCTATCCCGGCTGTCGTCTCTGGCTTATTCCATGGTATGTTCCGACAATCCAATTGCACCAATTGTCAATGAATTGACGCAATATATTTCTAGCCTTCCAAGAAGAAACGATGGAAGCTATGCCAGGTTGGGAAGCACTCATGATGGTCTACGCGATTTTGTTGGTTCCTACGCTGTTCGCTACCGTCGTTGGTCTCAATCTCTTGGTGTGGGCACGGTCCAGGATCAACTACGTCTTTATCTTTGGTATGTTCGCCCCCTGGCTTTCTAAACATTGTCACAATTGACTGGGTACCATAGAGCTCAATGTCGCCACTTGTCTTGATTACCGGGAATACTTCGAGGTAAGGTGCTGTCAGATAAGATTTGTTCTTGCAATGCCAATACGCTTCGTAGATTCCGACCATACTTCTGTCCCTGTTGGCGTACGCTTTCTGGCTATCATTCACGATGGTTGGATATCCAACAATCTCACCGAGTTTATGGCCTCTGGTCTGGTTGGGTGCTGTTGCGCTAGTGATGTGGAATCCCCTTCCCATCTTCTTCCGTCCCTCACGCTACTGGTTGACACGAATGGTCGGACGGCTCTTCCTTTCTGGTACAAGGCGCGTCGAGGTAGGTACCCATGTCAATATCTCAGCGCCTGGTAAATGACTGATTTCTTCTCCAGTTCACAGACTTCTGGCTCGGCGATCAATTCTGCAGTTTGGTGTTTACACTTTCGAACATGTACTTCTTCGGATGTGTCTATGCGGATGGCTTTACCTCAGAATGGAAGAAGTGTAGTTTGGAGTCGAAATATTGGCCGGTTGCCTACATTCTGGGAACCCTTCCGTTTATTATCCGTTTGGTGCAGAGTATCAAGCGTTACTTTGATTCTGGGCTTGCGACGCACTTGATAAACGTAAGTGCTATGGACCTTTGCTATCATGAATTGGTATTGATATAACGTTCTCCAGGCTGGTAAATACGGCTCGGGCATCTTGATGTTCCTGTTCTATAATCTGTGGAGACACCATGGTATGTACAGTACGTCAGCGTCGGTGGTTCGTCGAGCTCATGGCGGTCGTCAGGCACGGAAAGAACTGGTCCCTTCTTCGCGTTCTACTGCTTCTTGTCAGTATCGTACGCGATCTATTCTCTCACTTGGGTTCGTCATATCTCGATTCCACATATCATTCTTCTCAAATACTGATGATGTTTCTCCATTCATATAGGACTTCCTGATGGATTGGTCCGTGCTGCGACTCCGCTCGCCCCACGTTCTCCTTCGCCCGGATCTTGTCTACTCTAATCACGTTTCTGTACGTTGTCGTCGCTCTTCATTTCGAAGCCCCACTGACTTTTGGGTTGGATTTCAGTTATATTATCTCGCTATATTATCCAATATCTTATTACGGTTTACATGGGTCATCTACCTGCCCTCGGAGGGCCCTGATATGTTCCTCAGGACGTTCATTGTGGCCATTCTCGAGATGCTCAGGAGATGCCAGTGGAACTTTTGTGAGTCTTTTTATTGTCAATCAGTGAGAGTTGCCACTTATAGGGATGGGTTCAGATCGATTGGAGAACGAACACCTCGGTAACATGGATCAGTACCGTGTCACGAGGGAAGTTCCTCTCCCGTACCTCTTCGATGACCCTCACCAAGACGACCGCGATGAGGATGACGATGAAGATGCCAAGAACTGAACGGTCACGGTTTGTTCTACAACGCTCCGGCTCGACGGTCACACGAATACCCACACCATCTGGAAGTCTAATCCTATCTTACATTGGTCCTTCCCTTCCTTTTTTACACATAGACTAGACAAAATAGATGCCACCCAGGCACACGACTCTCCCTTTCTCTTGTCGCTCTCTTTCTCTCCCTCCGTTCCTTTCTTGTCTCCCTCCCTTGTCTCGGTTTCTCTCCCACTTTTCCATTTATCTACCTATCCTCTTTTTATGCATCCGTCCATCGCTCTCGTTTTGTCATCCTACTCTTTGACATTGTGTATTATTTATAGGAGGTTTTCTACATCTGCTACTACTCGTTTGTATCATAGACTTTTTCTTTATTTCTTGTCGCTACTTTTGTGTCATGCATAGGTCATCTTGGAATGTAGTCCGATTTCTGTGCTGGAGGATTTCATTTGCATGGATGCCGCCAGCCAATCTGTGGTGCGGGAAGGCCCTGAAACTTGGGGTACCGCTTAGACGCCCACCAGCCAGCAGCCCATAAGCGCGCAATCAGTAGGCCGGACCGGAGCCGGAGGTTCCGGGATTGGTTCTCACGCGTTTGCCAAACAAAGGTCGACTGGCAACACTTCCACCCAAATTTCTACCTACCGCAGTCGAGTTGAAACCATGTCATGCAGTTCGCGCTCCTGCTCGCCTGTGAGCGCGCAAAATCACAGAATGGGCTAAACGACTGGGAAATCTGGCGGTTTCGTGGCCGAGAGTTCGGGGTTTCTGTGGCGTAAAAGTTAAGCACCGGCCCAATTCAGAAAGTGTGGTTGAGAGACGAAGCTTCGCTATCGATAGAAGGAAGGCGATTCACATCGGACGATAGTAAGTTTCTCACTGTGCTTTACGTGTCAAGCATTATGAACGCATCGTAACAGGTTCTGAAAAGGGTACGAAGGTGTGATATAAGTAGACGTCTCAGGAGACGTCTGTCGTTTACGTTCCCCTTTTTGTGGTCTAGTCGACTGTCAACAGGCCCCGCCGGTGCTCTGTGGGTCTACTATTGGTGCCTGGTATTTGAAATTGGACGGTCTGCGATTCTACTTGGTCTTGAATCGCGAGCCTGTGCTCACCGAGTTTGACGAACGAGCTCAGGTTCCAAGTGGTTTGGTTGGAAACTCGGTGCTGTCGGCTAGAACTGCTATTCTATCTCGCTTAGAGGCAGGACTGCTTCCGACTGTTGCAGCGGGAAGGTACAGTGGTTCTCTTCACATTCCCCACCTATTCGTGACTCAACCTCTTTTCCTTTCCTCCTTTCCCTGCGCCTCAGGCCTTCGTGTTGTCGCCACTTGAACTGAATTGCAACCCTTCAGTTCAGGAATGAGCTCAGAACGACAGTCGACGCCGGAGATTGCGACGCCTCGCGACGACGGGAGCGATCGCCTAGTGCAACTCCCCAGAACCTCGGGGGTGGATTCGTCGTCGCAGACGATTGCCCAAGATGCTTCATCACCCAGGTGCAGCGAAAAAGATCCTGAAGTTCTTGCAGAAGTTGTTCCCAAGGATTGCGGTGACGATATCTGTGACGACTGGGACAACGATCCAGACAATGCTAGGAATTGGAGTAGGAAGAAAAAGTGGACGGCGGTATCCATTGTAAGTTGTAACGCTTGTGTTCCTTTCCTTCCCGTTTCATTGACCTTGGAGCTGTTAGGTGGCCTTCTACTGTTTTGTCACCCCATTATCGAGCTCGATGATGGCCCCCGGGTTGCCCCAGATTGCAGAACAGTACGGGATTACGAATTCGACGATGTTGGGGTTGACTTTGAGCATATTCCTTCTTTCTTTCTCACTTGGAGTACGCTTCGGTTTCTGCTCGAGAAGTTTATTGGTTTAATTGCGAGCTTCTAGCCTTTAATCATGGCTCCCTTATCCGAAATCTATGGGAGAACATGGGTACGCAGGTTTCTGTTCGCCGAGTCATGTCTGCCATCTAAGTTTTGCCCTTCCCAGATTCTTCACATATCCAACCTGCTCACATTGGGCTTCAATCTTGGGTGCGCCTTTGCTCCAAATACTGCGACGTTACTCGTGCTTCGGCTCATAGGTATGACGCGCTTCCAACATCACGAGAAGCCGACGGCCAAGTTAACGCATCTTCTTCGCAGCTGGGTTCTGGTCAAGTGCCCCTGTGGCAATAGGTGGGGGAACCATCGGCGACCTGTTCGATGAGTCAGACCGCGCTTCTGCGATGGCACTATTCAGTGTGGGGCCCCTGTTCGGTCGGTTATCTTTTTGTCTGGATACACAAACATTGGGGTTTTTACACGAACTCGACAGGCCCGGCAATTGGTCCAGCAGCAGCTGGTTTCATTGTTCAAGACGTAGGGATTAAATGGGTATTCATTATCATTGCCGGTGCGTCGTGCCTCCCATGCTACTCCGCACGGCCTGGAACGACGCGTCAATTTTTGCAGCCACCTCTGCGGTAGCTGCTGCCGTTGGTATTCCGCTCCTGCGCGAAACGTATGCTCCAGTCATACGAATGCGTAAAGCCAGAAATTCCCCGGACCCTCAGGCAGCTACTGAGAACCTTCTCAAACAGATTGGCACCCTGGAGGGTTCGAAAGCGCGTATTATATGGGTTAACCTTTCGAGGCCTATGGCACTGCTGTTTGGTAACTTCATTTGCTTCATTCTGAGCTTATACATGGCTCTGTACGTCCCTCTGTTTAACGCGCCTTAACTGTCAGTTTAGTGATGATCCCATTCTCGCCCTCGCAGGAATTATGGTACGCTTCAAGTCAATCGTCCTTTGGACAAGATGCTCACGCTGAATTTATCACTGAAAGGCATCTATTATTTGATGTTCGCGACCTTTGCTCGTTAGTATTTCTTTACCGTGGACCTATCATTGTTGCTAAGCGGCTTCCTCCAGAGCTCTTCCGCGATGTCTATGGTTTCGAGCCTGGCGTTGGTGGTCTCTCTTACCTAGGACTTGGCCTCGGTTTCTTCGCAGCCACCTTCATTGGTGCATGGCTCTCTGATGGGATGTATCGCAGAGTACGTCATGGAATTCGTTTCAATATCACGACGCTTAACACGAGGCTCGTTTCCGTCCAGTTCGCAAATAAGAACGGTGGTAAAGGTACGCCAGAGATGCGCATGCCAGCGCTCTTTGTCGCAGGCTTGATTACCCCTGTTGGTCTTCTGTGAGTTAGTCGCAACTTGGCTGGCAGCTAGCCACTCAACGGAGCTCAGGTGGTATGGGTGGTCGGCGCATGCTAAGCTCCATTGGATGATGCCTATTACTGGCACCTTTATTTATGGATTCGGTGGGTAATGTTGCAACTCCCCGTGTTCCAAGCCTAATACGCTACAGGCCTGATGACTGCATAGTAAGCTGCCTCAGTGCCGAGCGACTGATCCCGCAGGCTGACCGTCGAGTTCTGTTAAGCCTGCCGATTCAACTATACCTCGTGGATGCGTTCACTTATGCAGCCAGTGCAACTGGAGCAGCATCGGTAAGCTAATGTATTTCCTCTACCCTCTGGAACTTTCCAATTGACATTCGCTATCACTATTTTTCAGGTTTTTCGCTCGTTGCTCGGCTTCGTATTTCCCCTCTTTGGGCAAAGGATGACGGATACTCTGGGCCTTGGACCCGCGAATACTGTACGTGGTCTACTTTATTAGCTTTGGCGATTTCGTTGAAATTTATCGTTCGTAGCTTCTGGCGGGGATCGCCATAGTGGTTGGTATTCCGTTTCCAATCTGGATTTACTACAAGGGTGCAGCTATTCGCGAAAAGTCCAATGTCAATCGATAGAGGCTAGGACTATTTTCAAGCGTTCCGGAGTACTCAATAAACACACGAACTTTCCACTGGATGCAGGGGAGTGAGTGGCCTCTCGAGGCCCCAAGACGGCAAACCTCTAGAAATACTCCCCAGGCTTCTGATGCCCGGGTGATAAGGCTGGAGGTATGGAGGTATGCATAGGTATGCAGCTTCACGCCGTTTCGCACTGGAGGCCCACATGGTCCTTGTGAACTAACCAATGTCCAAGACTGAGAAATTTCCATTGAATTTCCAGCAAAATTCCCCACCACCGGCGAATATTTATTGAAGGTCCCTTCCATCAGGAATATTCAAGACAATGGCTTCACCAAAATTAGTCTCTTGCGGCATCTCGAACTCCACATGGAACGCAACCGTCCGACATGCCTGGGACTGTGGGTGAAACTGCCGGGAGGTCGGGAACGAGGATGGGAGTCCGTCGAAGGCGATGTAACCCATTGTTACTTTCAACGTTAACAGTGGCAGACGGTGATGCCTACCCGCTGCCTGGGGTTTCGACTGTTGTGGGATGATCTACGCTAGAGTAGTACTTACTCATATTTCTGACTAGCAGGGCGTGCGCAGGCTGCTACATGCGCTTCTGTTTGGTTAGTTCGGATAATGATCTCCCTGCATTCCGTAGATCTTTGTCTACCAGAGTCTCCCGTCTATCGGAGGGTCAGCTCTTCTTTTCGTTAGCCAGAAATTGCCCCGTGACGACTGGGTACCACCAGTGGGCTTTCCGTTACCGGGCTCTCATCATGGCACCACAGTCTGCAAAACTATATAACATGGAGTACGTCTCTCATCCAGACGGTATTCCGAGTTCTAACCCTCAATATGTTTCGTCCTGCCTTTCTAGCCGTTGTCCTCGCTGTATTCGCTGCCCAGTCGGCGGTCGCTGTCATCCCAGTTGGGGGTCTCTGTAGGTTTATCTGCACATCCGTCCGCCCAGTGTTTGTCCGACAAAGAGTCTGACCCCTTGTTGTGTACAGGCGTTGGTATTGCTGGCCCAGTGAACGACACCTGTACGTCACGTATGCGTTTACCCATGCCTGCTCAACCGTCCTCGGTATTACTCTAGGTGTGGAAGGGAGTATCTGTTGCAACGTTTCGCCCGATAGGTCTTTGTAAGTGCTGCTTCAACTGACTTCGACACTGTTCGTCATATATCAATGTCGACCTCGACATCATAGGTGCACTCAAGTTGAAGAGGGAGCAGAATGCCCTCCCAAGGTCATCGAAGAAAACGGATTATGTGCGTCCACATTTACTCTTTCCCAGCCAAAACTAAATCCAATACCGTGGCAGGCGCTGGGATCGCAGGACCCTCCGAGGTTAGTTTTATCCTGCGTTGAAGGAGACGGTGAATCTGAAAGGCGCTCTAGTACCCTTGCATCCCCGGTACTGTTTGCTGCAATATTAGCCCTGATAATTCTCAGTGAGTATACCTTCATGCTGCAAGTCTGAACGACGTTCTAATTGGCCAATCCGACGAAGGTGCCTCCCGCGGTGTCGCTGAGTTCCACGGGGGACGGCAATACAGAAGCCTTAGGCTGACGTTGACGACATACAACAATGATAGCACCCGTATTAAAGTTGAATACGAACTGCTTCCCAAGAACCCATTTGAAGTTAGCAGGGTCATTGCTGAATTGATCCGCCAAACCCCCATGTTCCTATACGAGTCAGCCTTCTTCACTCCTGCCATAAAGCAGAACAAGGATGAGCACCCCACACCGGATTAAACTCGCAATTAGAGACGTATCCCGTGCTACTCTGAGTTCCGACAGTCACGGCTTCCAGTCCCCGGGTACGTTTCTTGGAGAGGGTATATAATGAAGTCTTCGAATTCGCATTTCTCACCCAACCTTCATCGGCCATGGTCCGTCACCTCTTGCTCCCCGTTCTTGTAACAGTCCTTACGGCCCGTGAGGCTTTCGCTGCCATTCTTGTCGGTGGTCTCTGTGAGTTAACCAGTTCGCCTTGGGCGCCAGTTGGGCGCTTATAGCGTTTGCTCTTCTCTTCGTCCAGGTGCCGGAATCGCCGGTCCAGTGAATGACACCTGTAAGAAACCTGTACAATTCTGCATCAGCGTGCAATAATTTGGATCTACTACGACAGGTGTAGAAGGCAGTACCTGTTGTGAAGTCTCTCCCGACAGGTCTTTGTGAGTAGCCTCAATGGTTTCCCTCAACCAAGCCCGTTAACGCCAAGAACCAACTATGTGAATTCGTCCCACCATTTCAGATGCACAATTGTATCGAAAGAAGGGAAATGCCCGGATAGGTTCATTGAAGAATGCGGGTTATGTATGCAACCCCACATCCGCTGTATCTCAGATATTCAGGGCTGATAGTACTAATTCTGCAGGTGCCACTGCATTTGGAGGGCCAGTCAAGGTGCGTGAATTGATAATAATCAAGCATATGACTATACCCATAGTCTGGGTTTCCATAGGATGCACTCTGCATTGCTGGTACCACCTGCTGCTATGTATATGTGGATGTCGGCTTGTAAGTTGGCATTTAGACATCCGCGGCTCTCCCTGCACTCGCTGACTATTGTCGACAACAGGTGCTTGCGACCAGAGCAGTGCAATAAGCAGGGGTGGCCAAGGCCCTTGTGAGCCCTCGAACCGCCGGAGGCTTGACTATGCCCATTCGTTCTTAGGTCTCTGTGAATATACTCCAAGTGCCAGTGACTACTCAGGGCGACAACTACAACATCCCACTCAATTTCAATTTGAATGTGATCGGCCTACTAGTACGGCCCCCGTTGGATTCTATGGCTTCCTCTCCTCAATGAGTTGATCCGCCATACCCCCACGCTCGTCAAAGAACCGCCCTTCTTTACTTCTCCCACTCAGTACAAGGACGACCCCCACGTCGGATTAAACTCGCCGCTAGAGATAGATCTCGTGTTACTCTGTGTTCCGACAGTTGACGGTTCATGGGTACGCATCTGCGAGGGGGTATATAATGAGTGAGGTCTTCGGACGTCTGGATTCTCATCCAACCTTCATTAACCATGGTCCGTCAGCTCTTGCTCCCCATTCTCCTAGCAGCCCTTGTGGCTCGTGATGCTCTCGCCGTCATCCCTGTAGGTGGCCTCTGTGAGTGAACATGACACCGTTAACGGGCCGGGCGCTTACCCTTCGTTCCAGGTGTCGGCATCGCCGGACCAGTAAAAGACACTTGTAAGATAGCCACACAATACTGCATCAGCAGGCACTAACACGAGCCCAACTGCGACAGGCGTGGAAGGCAGTGTCTGCTGCAACGTCTCTCCAGACAGGTCTTTGTGCGTAGCATGATCCTCCCCACTCTCCAACGGCTGACTCTTGATTTTGTTCCAATGCTACAGGTGTACGATTGTACCGAAGGGAGGGAAATGCCCTGACAAGTTCATTGAAGAAGGCGGATTCTGTATGTGACCCCAGCGACCTGTATCTTTCAATGCCGACTGATGGTTTCACAGGTGCTGGAATCGCAGGACCAGTTAGGGTGAGTGGACTGATAATGATCAAACATACAGGCATACCCATAGCTTCTATAGGATGGAACCTGTATTGCTGGCACCAGTTGCTGCTACGTATACCCTGACCTTGGGCTGTAAGTTCATATTCACTTCGATTTTTCCCTGCACTTGTTGACCATCTTCTGTAACAGGTGCCTGTCACCAGAGCGCTGCGGTAAACCCGGCTTCCCAAAGCCTATCGAGCCAAAGAGCGATTAAGGGTGTCCATTCGTCCTTCCTAGTCCTCAGAGAATATACGCGATTCGTAATTACCCTCCCTCGCCTCACGATTGCCTAAGCTCCTCCTCCACCTTATCCGCCATCTCCCCAAGCGTCTCAAACCTCCACGTCCAAATCTTCTTCGCCTGACCACCCGCACCAGGGAGCTCGTTGCACGTTACCGCCGACTGCCTATCAATCCACACACTCTTGGTCCCGAGCCGATTGGCTGGAACGTGGTCGTGGGGTAAGCTCTGGGCAACGATGAGCACCTTCTCTTTGATATCCTCCCCTTCTCCGAGGCTTCCACCAAGGAGATCGGGGTGGGATTTCGCGTAGTCCAGTAGGGCTTGGAACCCGCCTAGAGATGGCTTGTAGCACCCCGTATCCTGCGCGGTGGCGAGGACTGTGAATGGTGAAGCCGAGTTGGGACTCGTAGCCTGCGGATGCCAGAACTTGTTAGGGTTGTTGGTGGGGTAGAGGTATGGCTCCAAAACCTCCTTTGTAGACGGAAGACTTCCGGTGGAAAGAACAGCATGAGTGAACTGGAATGAACCCCGATCCACGTTCGACAAGACGACAAGCTTGAAGTGTTTGGAGAGTCGCTTGAGGGCGTCGGTTGTATCAGGGAAGATCGGCCAGTTCTTAACCGAGTTGCCAAACGCGGTGTGGGGATTGGATTCGCTTGATGAGGCGCTTGTTCCTGCGTCTGCAGAGGTAGAGGCGCCCGTGGCGCTAGAGCCACTAGGTGCCTCTCCAGCAACCTGATGACCGGCATCCAAAGTCGCCGCCTGAGTGTCCTGCGAAGAGAGAGCCTTCAACCTCTGTTCGAGGACTTCATGAACTTTTGCCAGTAGCTCCGAGTATGGCATCTCTGGAAACTGGGTCTGCAAGTCTGTCTCGACAGCGCCAAAGGCTTGCAATGCTTCCTTCCTAGACCATTTCTTCGCCACTTCGAATTTGGAGAATAAAGGCTGTAGGGCGTCGTAGATCCCACTTTCCCAGTCCTTTGTGACGATGGCAATAGCATTTAAGCTTTAATCCTCGTGAGATAAGCGAAGCGACATACCATTAACGTCCCATAGACGTCGAAGATGAGGATCTTTCTATCGGTAAGTTGGCCATTATCGGGGGTAGACATGATGTGCAGAGATTTGAAGAGATCGAGACAAATTGTTCAAGATTGGGGTATCCTGGTTACTCGTAGATGGATGATTGCAGTTCGAGTCAGGCGAAGACTTGAGGGACCGAAACCGAACGCATGGTGCGAGGGGTCACCGGGTGAGCCTGTGACGTCAGTGGTGATTGACGAAACGGCCCGGAGTCCGCGGGCGCTAATGACCAAACACAAGCGCTCGTTGCACAGGTCCTTTTTCTCGAGCTGATGCAGCCCTCCGGCAAGTCGATTTAGCCTGTGGCCCAGAATTTTCCAACTTATAGATCGTCCGGTCCTGCTCACTCCAGGGCGTTGCAAGGTTTGGCTTGGGTTAGAATGGACGGGCAAGTCCGGCATCCGGAGCAGATCAGTTCCCCTCCGAACGTCCGGCCGTGACTCAGGCGCTCGCACTGTCAGGGGTCGGGGTAGCACCGTCCTTTAACCAGCCAGCCTAGGAAAAGAGCATGTCCTGCAGGACATATGTACTTTCGTTGCCACTTCTCTAGAGCATGGGGCCAGCCTGCTAGCTCCCCGTCATCAGTGCGCTGGCTTCATGGCGGATTGGGGGAACACACGAATAAATTAGAACAGACGGTAGGTAGGGAGGAAAGACCGAACGAAGGGGGCCGAACAATAACGCTGTAAACAAGAGTCGCTCTGTAGTGCCAGCAGACGGTATGTAGATCCCAGGACGAGTCGTTCCACTTCCAAATCATGCCCCCCGAAATCCATAGTCCCCCCACGGTCGCAGTGGTGACGACTCGAAATCCAGAATCGACATCTATGCATCCTCGTCCTCCACCTCCTCAACCATGGCGGACCTGGTTCGCCGCTGAGGCTGGGACTGGGGTGCTTGAGCGTCATCTTCCACGACTTCCTCGATGTAGGCGCCACCACCGTTGCTAGAGCCTGTAGGAGCGGGAGCAGCCGCCTTGGACTTGCCCTTTTTCTCCGACTTGCCCTCCTTATCACCCTTCTTCTTCTTGCCCTTCTTCTTAGGAATGTCCCATTCCCATAGAGGGATGAATGAGTCAACCTGGATAGCGAGGTAAGAAGGTGGACGCTACGGGATGGCAAGGATGAGACTTACAAATCCAACATCAGCGAACAGTTGAGGGAAGATCCAGATACCAGGACTGGCCACTATCACGGTGATGATATAGAATATCAACCGCACAATGGCAATAGCGAAGAATAGGCCAATGAGACCCAACATGCCCATACTCAGGTACCACACGCCCAATCGCATCACCGGAGGCCAAAGCGGGAACATGACACCCGCCAGCATGATCAACACCATGAGCACTCCTCCAGCATACGTAGTCCATTGAGAGCCTTCGTAGAACCACGCGTAGTATTCGTCTGGTTGGAAGGTTTGTTCAGGGATGATTTGGAGACTCCGTGGAGGCTTGGTTCCACCGCCGGCAGCAGCTGGAGACGCAGATTTCGAGGAAATGTGACCGCCGCGCTGGACACGGAGGAAGAAGGCGAATGCGTTGATTGCCTGCAGAACGGTCTTGGCTTCGTCTTCAGTTGTGATTTTTGGGACGTTTTTCTGTTTGGCGAATGCGGGGGAGAGGAGGGCTTTGATAGCGGACTTGCCTATACAAAATCCGTTGAAACGATAAGCTTTAGGGCCCAGATACGTGTGAATTGAACTGACCCTTGAAGTAATCTATCCGCTTTCCACCCAGAGCGCCTACGCGAATCTTTATTCCAGACCCTGATCCGCGCAGAAACTCGGCCACCTTTTTCAGCTCAGGCGGAGCCTTGAGTTGCTGTTCCAACATACTCATGGCGAGTGCTCAATATTGTTTATATTCGACGTCCCTGGTGTTGGTTCGAGCGCTTCACAGCTCTTTAAGACCTAGACTGCATCATACGGGCGTCCAGTGAGCATCTGAGCCAGGATATAAGGAATTTCAAGACTTACAAGGAGAGACAAGGGACGGACAGAGGTATGTGGAAGGAGTTGGGAAGATAAATGAGCTGGCGGAGGACAAGCGTGTGTGATGTGTTTGGCCAACGGCACGTCGGTCGGGCAAAGACACGTCACAGCCAAGCCAAACTTTCCCCATTATCGCACAGCCACAAATCATCCACGCGACAGAACTGGCTTCCTTCAACCCAAACCACTCCTTCGAATTTTTTTGACTCTGGTAAAAAGCTTAAACTTCGAAGCGCAAACGCCTTTCCTAACTACAGAAAGCCTCATTGCATTGTGCTTTGGAAGTCACTTGGACAACCTAGAAATTTAAACCCAGAAAACAACGCCTTCACGGACAACAATAGTCTGGATAACGACGCCTGCCAGTCTCTGTCAACAGCACTTCAGTAATCCTCGAGGCTCGAAGAACGACTGGTTGCGCATATCAGACAAAGGGCTTTTGATATCTCCTCGAAACGCTTCCTTGATCTATGTATTACCACCGTTGCCTGGCTAAGGTCTTGGATTGTGCGGACAAAAATAACAAAGCTTCCGGGACGAGCGAGTCAAAGCGTACCCACAGTGCCCTTTTCCAAGTCCTACCTAGGCAACATGGAGTCATTGTTCACTTTGACAATGTCTTGAATTCGTATAAATGCACCTCGGGCTGCCTGGTTTCTCCTTCCAAACAACCTCTCACTCGGTTCTCTCTCGCCTGCAAGTCTAGGCGACCGTATCGACGCTTTAGATTTTAGATCTTATCCAGAGACTCTATCCTTCCCTCAGGATTTATCGACTGAAATAATGTCTTCCAGCAACTCGTCCACCGTTGCTCGATTTGAGGATCTCCCTCCCCCACCCCCGGCGCCGACCAGCTCCGAGTTCCCTTCTTCAATCTGGGATGGCTTGTAAGTTTTCCATTCTTTTCTCTCAGAAAAAACATACATTTACCCATATACTATTCCTCTCATAGCCCATCCTCCAAACCATCCGAGTATTCCGGTAAATCCGCTTCCGAACCCGCTCAACCTGACACTGACCCCTCCGGGAAGAAGTGACGCTGTGACCGCGCCTGGCAGATAGTCTTGAGCTTTGGGGACGAACCATTAGGAAATCTTTGCGCGAGTGCTGGCACCCCGTGCTTTTGACCTCCCGCTCGTGGATCTCTGTTTAATTAAGATGTTTAACATACACTAGTATTATTTTACTGCATTAATACACGAGGGCAACGATAATCGAACACGATTGGCCAATAACGACCAGTATCAAACCCTGTCACAATCCTCCATTCCGTAAGTTGACATTCAAGGGAGGATTATAACCAACTGCGACACACACCTTGTTCCTTCACCGTACCATCGGAGTATAAACTGGAGGTGGACCACCCTGAGACCCAGTATACGAACTCCTGCCATGATGGCGCGAAAGCGACGAGGCCGGACGAGAAGGACTTGAAGGGCGCACGGCGGAGTAAGAGCCACTCAAGGACATCTTTCTAGCCCGACGACGGCGTATAATAGACATGACGGACAAGAAGATAACGACTGCACCGACCGCGGATCCACCGATGATTCCTCCAAGCTGGCCTACGGTGAGCGGTTTGGGAGGATCATCTCGGCTTGGGCGGTAGGTCGGAGCCAGTATTATTCCATTTCTTTCATAGATAAAGTGGTCCAACGCCAGCGGTACAGTCGAGGAATTGCCGTGGTAAACGACCTTGAGGCTGTGAACCGTGTTCAACAACACCGGCGATTTGAAAAATAATTGATTCGTGAGCGTTTCGTTGGTCTCTGGGAAGCCACTGATGAAGACCGAGTTTGGAGGTTTGCGGTCGATGGTCCATTCGATTCGAGCTGGGAGCGAAGGGGACCCGGCTGGGATTATACCATACCACGCCACAGACGATCCTGTGCGCCGCTACCCTCAGAGACAGCCCACAACAGAAGACGACAAAATATCACTTACCCATGAAAGTATACTCCAATTGGGCACCAGGGGTATTTGTCATGCGGTGGGGCCCCGTACTACCAGTCACGCTTGTCCACGAAGAGTCGTATTCAATCGACGAGTCCAGTGGGCTCACGAACCGCGTTGAAGGTGGATCAATACGTGCAAAGGCGGGCATGTATCGGAAGGAATCCACCCAGAACGGATCACCCCCTCCTTCGACGTTGAGGGTGAGGGTGTGGAGGGCCGGTGAAATTTCGCCCGTGTCGCAGAGGACTTGGTTATTGAGGAGGCCGAAGGAGGGGGAAACTGAGGGCACCGGCTTGCCGTTCAATGTACAGGTCCATGTTGGACAGGTTGAACATGGTGAGCTGGTCAGGTTGGTTGTTCCCAGTATTAGAGCGCGCCGAATAACGATGAGGAATCGCGGAAATGATGTGAGGATTAGTTACTTAGTGGGTTCGGACATACCGTGAAAGGTAGCGGATACACTCCCGTTACCCGTTGTCCACCGAGAGGTGTGATTGAAGAGGGGCCCTGCCCGATTCGACTGATTGATAGCATCGACCTCTTCCAGGTTCGTCTCCCATTCACCTTTGTACCGTAAAAGAGAGTCGTCGTTATCGAGAATCAGCCCATTGAAGACGGGACGCATATCCATGGTGAGGCAAAGTTACAGTAGCGTCGAAAGACGCCCCGAGCTGTATTTGACTGCATAGCGCCCTCTAGAGGTCCGTCCAACGGGTTTGTCGGGGACCACTAGAGCAGTTCGTCGAAGGAGACGGTGGCTGCTGTGTTACTCGTCTCGGCACTCTTTCCATCAAAATAACCCTGTCAAATGGTGCTTGCAGAGATACCACCTCCCTTTCCCACATGAAACAACACTTGGAAAGAAGCCAAGTTCTGTTGGTAGCATAGCGCTCGAACCTTGAGCTTCCCAGGCTGTACGAATTCTATCAACATTGCCGCCCATTTTGTCACTGCCAATCATCTACGTCGACGTCATTGTTAGCCGTGCGATTAGAGCGGTACTGATACTCGCTCACAGATGCGTTCCATTTCTTCATGAGACAAAACACTTGTTCAGCTGACTCCATTCATTTTAAAGTCGTTGAGCAGGCAGGAGAACAAAGTCAAATCCAAGAATCAGATGGGCTCATGATCACAGCGAGACTTTGCTTGGTTTCGAAGATGGCGCCAAATATTGATGGAATTACATCGCGATTCGCCACCCACATCCGGGAAGAGATGGGAGAAAGCTGCAAGACAACCTTCCAGCGGGTAGACGACTGTTGGAGGTCGGAGGACCATTCACGGTGCATTCCTCCACATTGGTCGTCGAATCCGCGTTCGGTGAGAAGCACTCGGAGAAGTACAAAATCAAGCACGTCTCCCTTTAACTTGGAGTATAAACTGGAGGTCGGTCTTCTGGATTATCCTGGGCCCTCTGCACCGCCGTGCGCCCCTCCGGATCCGTGGACATGCCACTAGTGCTCCAACCTGAACTTGAACCCGAATGCCCTTCAGCTGGAGACAAAGGTGACGATATCCCAGGTGAAGTGGCACGGGTTTTGAACACGGGCGCTCCCCCAAATATGGAGCGATTAAAGGTGCTCGACGGTAAAGTTGGCTCATTAAAGGTGTTCGCAGCGACACGTGGGTGGAATGGGTGTATCGCCATCTCCGAGACTGGGGGAGCTGAGCTGGGCTGGTGCAAGGTTGAGTACCTGCCGTCTGAGGGCTTCCTGGAGCGGCGAAGGTAGATGATATAGGCGAGCAACAAGAGAATAAGCACCGCAGCGACGCTGGCTCCGCCGATGATCCCTCCGAGCTGTGCCTTGGAGAGCCCATGCTCGACAGGAGGTTCTTGACCTCCACCTCCACTCGCGCCTTCGCCTCCACCTGGGCCCGGGTCCTCGATTGCTGAGTCATTGAGCCATCCACCTCTTTCAACGATGAAGTAGTCTAAAGACAGTGGTGCGGATGATGGATCGCCACGATAAACGACATTGAGGTCGTGGCGCCCATCGGGCAAAGACCGTGATTTGAAAAACAGCTGGTTTGTGAGTCTGTCGCCGGGACTCTCTGGAAAGTCGTTGATGAAGAAGGGAATTGGAGGGCCGCCATCGATGGAGTATTCGGCTCTAGCATAAACCGAAGGGGATCTCCAGGGAATGATACCATACCATGCGATGGATGTCCCTAGGTGGTACATTCAGCGCCCCATGCCAGCTGAAAGCGAGTCGTAGTCACATACCGACAAAAGTAAAGTTAAGCTGGGCGCCAGGGGCATGTGTCATGCGGTTCGGCCATCCATTCGCCAGCATCGTCCAGGAAGAATCATATTGAACCCCCGGGACAAGTGCATCCACAAACAATGTTGGGGGTGGACTGATAGATGCTTGGGCTGAGGGAATGTACCGGAAGAAGTCGACCCAGAATGGGTCGCCCCTTCCTGTGACATCAACGGTAAGGGTGTGGGAGCCAGGTTGGAGTGGACCCGAGTCGCAGAGGACTCGGTTGCTGAGGAGGCCAAAGGAGGGTTCGACTAAGGGCACCGACTGGCCGTCCACTGCACAGGTCCATGTTGGACAAGTGGAGCATGAAGCGCTATTCCGAGTCAGGTTGGTGGTTCCCTGTAGTCGAGCCCATGTACCTAGCCAGATATATGATGAAATTTAATTTATTTGTGAGGATCTGCGGGTGACATACCGTCAAAGGTAATGGACACACTCCCGCTAGTCGTTGTCCACCGAGCTGTGTAATTGTAGAGGGGCCCAGCCCAATTTGGTCGGTTAATCGCCGCCACTCCTTCCGGATTCGTCTCCCATTCCCCGTCGTACTGCAGGATTGGATTGTCGTCATCAACAATCACCCAATTGGAAATGGGAGGTTCAGCCATGTCGAGGTGAAGACAGTAGAGTTTGGCGGCGCTCTCTGAGTTGCATTTGGCTTCAAAGAGCTGTTCTTCATCTAACGGGTCTGTCGGGCATCAGCAAGGCAGTTCGTCGAAGCAGACCACTGGCATAGCCGTCCCGCCGATCGGAATCCTTGCGTCGCAAGGTTAAAGTTGGACGTCGGACCAGCTCCACTTTTCCGCACGGAGTATTTTCAGTTGCTGGTAGAACTCAGTATAGTAGAGCGCTCAAGTTGATATCTTCCCATGGACAGCCTGACAGGTGTCGGATCGAATTCTTCCACCAATATTGCAGCCCAACTGACATCGCCAATGATTTCACTACATTGCATTCAAATGTGAAGTGATCTCCAAGAGCTCAAATTGAAATTCCAGAATGGATGGGGCACTACAAAGTACAAAGTACAAACGGTCACATCTATGTATACAGTATTTCACAAGACATACAACTACAAGGGCATAAGGGCCATCGCATACAGGGTCGTAAAAAGTTCGTGACACAACACATGACAGAGCATACCACTTCAAGGAGCATAAACCAGAGTCACAGTGCCTGTTCCTGATGAATGTAATCAGAATCGGGCCTTAAAGGTACAATAGGCCAAGGTGAGTCGTCAGAGTCCTCCCCAAGTCCATACTGACACCGAGGCGGCCCAAGGTTAAGACCAGCTGAAGGGAGCTCATCATAGTTGTAGGGTAAATCACCCAGCGAAGACGAAGCCGGTCCAGGTGTGAACTCTGCTTGGGGGACAGGAATACCACCCAACCGAGACGCAAAACTTGCGCGTGCAGAGTTGAGTGCTGACGTTGGTGTATAGGGAGCGACGGCTGTGTTGAAGGGGAGGATCGCGGGAGAGCTATCGTGATCGTTGTTGTTGTCAATGCCGAGGCTGCCCAGCTGAGGTTCCAAACCGGTTTCGAGGCTCGATGGTCGAGGTGCCTCCATTGCAACTTGCTTCGCCTGGACGTCGTTGACCTTTTCAGGTGCACCCGCGCTTTCCGACTCGCTAGACGCGTAATAAGAAGAGCTTGAAGAAGCCGGACTGGGTGCTGGGACAGAGCCGGCAGACTGAGGGCGGAGGAAGTCGAAGTCATCAAGCAAAACTGTACCGCCAGCACCCTTCTCTCCAGCCCTCTTCTTCCCAACCTTCGGCTTCACACCCGGTCCTTTCGACTTCCTAGAATTTGGCACGTACTGGTGCTCCGGATACATCAAGTTATGCCTCCGCACTTCCTCCTCGTGCAGCCGCTGGAACGGCTTCCGCTCTTCAGCAGACATCATGTTCCAAATCTGCCCAGCCTGCACACTCAACTCGTTCTGGTTGACCTTCTTCCCATCGGCATGAGTCGCATCGCGACGGGTTTTGCAGAATTCGGAGCGGAAGATTATGAAGACATTTTTCGGACGAGGGGGACGTGTAGTTGTCGGCTCCTTCTTCTTGGGGGATGGTGGTTGGTAGACGGGGGATTGAGGGGACGTCGGAGTGGTGTTCGGGGACGGTTCGTTGCAACGTAAGGCATTGGAGTCAGGAAGTATAAGTCCCAACTTGGAGACAAAAGCCACGACGCTATCGAGCGCGGGCTGCAAAGACCCGTACGTGTCGTAGGCTGCCGCTCGGTCAGGGACCATCGAATTGTCTAAATCGAGACACCAAGGGGTGAGCAAACAATCCAGTCGATCACAGAGGATGAAAGAACAACTTACGATTGCAAGGAGGCGTCAAGTAATAAGGGTGGTCGTAATGGCGCACGCGTGTATTGCTGCGATAGACGGGCATTGTGTTGCGAAAAGATATCGGAGAGGGTGATGAAAGCTGCGACTGGAAGGGGACGATGAAGGAGCAACGATTGGCTTTCCGGGTCCTCTTTCTTTACCCATTTTGAACCCACAGGCGCCCTGGTTTTAAAGGATTTCGCATTCGCCATTCCGACTTTCCTGCTATAGACCGTTGGAAAAATGCCCTATGCTCGTAGCACAGTTATTGCACAGTGTGATGGAGTCGAGGGTGGGGCCCAAAGTTGTTGGCATCACCGCCGTCACGCCGTCACGTTCCTGGTCCTCTTCGAAGGCGAAATCGTCGCTCGATATCCTCCCACTGCCTTTGTTTTTCTGGGGGGTACAAGGTCCGGGTCGGAGTCCCTTTGTCTAGCCGTCGAGTTGGGTTTTAGGACGACCAGTTTCTGACATTTCAAAGGGCAGAGTGTCGCTTCTCTCGAATTCAGTCTCACGATGCAAAAGTTCTCTACCTGCAAAAAATATTCTGAGGTCAGTTCCCCTTTGTCCCTGGCTAGAGAACCTACCATTCGCGTGACCCATTTTCTACCAAGTTTTCCTTGTAGTTTTCTATGGTACTTGCGGACCGTCGCGCCGAGGTTGTGATCATGAAGGAGAAAGTGGGAAGACGTTTGGAGGACGTCGTTTGCATGGGCCGTGGGACGCTTGATGGCCGCGTTTTCCCGCGCCCAAATCCCGATACGCTGTTTGTGATGCGCTGATGGCGGGAAGATTCGGCCACGGTCGCACCATATTGTCATCTCTAACAAACTCGTGACAGATAAAATAAAATTGTCAGTAAGTTATCCGTCATCTAGTGCACGCGCCTCTCACCAGTGACGATCATTCTTCCAGTAATCAGCATGGCTGATATTACCATCCCTCCCTGCGAGCTCCCTTCCTGCCACCCTCGAGCGCTCGTACATTGAATTAAACACGGTGAGCCCAGGGTGGAGGTACGACTCCTCAGACAATGGCGAGCTATTTTTAGGGTTCCAGGCGCGCTTGAAGGTCACCTACGGTGCCGTCCAACCCATGGCCATCCCTTTTCAAAGGACTTCGAACCCGCGATCCTTCCGAAATGAATTGCTACACACACGAGTACAGTGGTCCCTCGTATAATTAAATGAAGCCCTCCATGCTCCAAGTTACATCCACCAGAGAAAAGTTGTAGGCATGCAGTGAAACAAGATGACGAAACGACGTACCTCTGAATCGAGTGGCAATTAGCGCCAAGCCTCATGCCCTCCTCGTGTTCAAGTTGTGGGGCCACAGAGGGTAAGTCTACCATGTCACGCAATATCCTATGATCACAACAAACTCAGTATCGTTTAAGGTCACCAGGTCTTATCGGTGACATCTTCAAGCCTCGAGCTTATTTTGGGAGGAGACACGAGTGCGGTTCAATCGGGGGTTGGTCGAAATTGGTGGTCAGCTCGCAGCATGGTTAGTGGCAAGTTTATCTCCCCCCTCATCTGTTGATTCTGTTCAATTGACAGTTAATCACACAAGACGAAAGTTACAGTTACAAAGTTACATACTCGACCCTCTAGAGGCTAGCTATAGCTCACAAAGTTTAGATTCCCGTTCATCCTACTACTCAGCTGTCGAAACGGGGTTCGAAGACTCGATAACGATAATGTAAAACGCACCACAAGAGACTGGATTAGTTAGCCTGAGCGTGTACCCCAGAGTGTTACACGTATTCCCGTGTCACTGACTAGATAACGTACGAAGGCACCGGAGTTAGACATCTCCGTCGGCGAAGTCAAGATTTTGACAGACCAAGATCGTTGTCAGCAACTTTCAAAATGGGCGTCTGTCCCCTCAAGACGACGTGAAGTCCGCAAGTGGCCCCTGAATCCAAAATGAAGCTGGGGAATCTGAATGTTAAGTTGACAAGCAGGAATAGGCTTCGAGCTCAACTGAGATGCGGCATGCCCATACCAGTTAGGAAATGACCTATTTCTGTCTCCAGCCTCCTTCGAGGGATGAGGGAGTCGCCGATTTACGGGTTGTCCTGCAATAGAAGCGTGTCCTTGGGAACGAGGGAGGGAGTATTTCGAGCGAGCGCAGCAGGGCGCTACATCAAAAGGGAATCTCCTGTGGAGCAAGAATGAGCAAAAATCTATCCGTACTCCACCAAAAGCATACCCTAAAGCTTCCTCGCAAACTTCGAGTTCTGAGAAGCACGCCATTTCGTGAGGACATGGAGGCATTGGGCGCTTAATTACTGAGAATCACAGGGATACAACTGAACCTACGCTAGAACCCAAGTTTGATTGTGGACGTTGGCATAAAGACAATCACCTATCTCGCGTGCCCATGGATTTTAGACCTCGCACCGGAGGCGAACGGTGTAATCTAAACTGCGACGTTAGGGTCCACGGATTCGGTGCATCGATCAATCCATGGCCATGGGCGCTTGATGCCAGCGGGTGCGGAGGCAATAGCAAGTCTCGATTCGTTCCCGAGGTATCATTTATTCTGAAGATCATTCGCGGGATAAAGCGATTTGGCTCGCTCGGAAAGGAAGGGCTGAACAAAAGGAGGAATGGCGGATTAGACGCTTGAGGGGAAGGAGGGAACCAGAATAGCTGGCGATTGATGGATGGGCATGTCGGCCATCCCGGTGACTTGCCATTTTGGTGTACTTGGAAATCGAAGCAGATGACGGTTGTGATCGTGCATAGATGGTAGATGTAAGATGGCCTCGTGGTGAGTGAATAATGGCTTTGAATGTGAAGGCGGATGTTGTGTTGCAAAGGGAGGCTCTGATGAAACAAAGGCGGGAGAAGAGACTGTTCAAGTGCTTTCGAAAGGGAAGGGGTTGCAGTCGACGTTTCGACATTCCGAGTCGTTTGTTCATGGAGAAGTCGAGCGTAAGTCGTTCATGATCACCTGGCCAAGAGGACGAAACACTGCGTTCCTGAGAATCCGCGACGTTCTGGAGATCATGGTTCTATCTCCCGGCCTGACAACACGAGAACCAGTCCAAACCGATGTCGAGGAGTGATGATAGATATCTAGGGCGGCGAGTGACTAGGATAACTTCTTTCATTGATGATCACAGAGTATCGCCCGTCCACTGGATCAACAAGGTCTCGTTGGAATGCTCGTTGTTCCGCTGAAACGTGGTTTGAGTGGATGAAAGCAACCTAGTCAGGAGGCCATCCTCGGCATCCAAGTGAAGACAAGCGGAGATGAGCGAATAACCATCGCCGGTCGGTTCTCAGAGGGCTTGGGTTGCGCTCATCAAACCAAGTTTTGTAGAAATGAAACCCGGGTTATGAATGTGGAGTAGGACGCCTGAGGATATTTCGACCCAGAAACAAAAAGTTTCCAGGGTTCTGAAGACAAAAAACGGCATTCAGGTCGATTACCTTGCTCAGGTGACGCCTGGCGACACGGGGGAGGAGGCGAAAAAGGGATAGAGGAGAGCGTTGCCATCAATTCAATTCGAGACTAAGAATCAAACTCCGCGGGTAGACACGTTTATTTCTTCTAGAGCGCCCGATTTCGGTGCTAGTCATATAAAGGACCCCACAAGCCTCTCCCTTTGTGATCCTCACTTGTCTGCCCCTTCCTCGATCGACAATCCCCTACACACCTTACTCTCGGTGCCATACAGGCCCAGCTCCACATCGATACAAAGCCGTAAACTCCAAAGGGGCTCGAAGACTATAAAACCGCCAAAATGTCAATGTTCCGTTCACGAACAAGGTCTGGAGGTGTTCGCCCAGCTCCCACATACCCCCCATCGACCACCACCACCAGTCCACCGCCAGACGCACAAGAAACAACCAGGAAGGGCAAACTCACCTTTTCCGACGTCGCAAGCATGTTTATTCGTCTCCGCCGATTCTCGCTACGAGCTGGAGTCAGACCGACCCCACGGATGACTGCCGAGCCAGCCAGCGACGACCAGGTCGAAATCGCACCGGTTCCATCGACACCCACCAGGCGGTCACACTCGAGAGGCCTGTCACTCACCAAGTCTCGCTCCAACACGCATGCGTTCCCGATGGCCCAATCCCCGACTTCAGGGTCCTCCACCGTTATCCCAATGTCCTCCCCACCGACGTCGCCCACACGTCTAAAAGTGCGCAAACTCAGCGGTGGAATGCCATACGCCAGACCCAGCCCAAAACCACTCAAAGCCAAGCCTCATCACCTCGTCTCGACCTCTGGAGAGAGACCTATCACCCACCCGGGTCTTGTCCCTCTTGTCCAGGACGCCTCTGAAGAAGAGGAGACGCTCCAGGTTGTGTGCCAGGACTACTACGAGTGTGCTGGAGGTGTCAACGTCGCCACTCTCCTCCGAGCCACCAGGGCTAGCATTATGGAGAAAGTCTCGCAAATGCCGAACGCAAACGTACTTGTGGAGGAACAGTGAGTACCCATTCTTCTCTCTTCACTGTGCACATCTGATTGCGATTTTCCCCTGTAGATGGCAGAGCACTATTTGCGGACCAAAAAACGGAATCTACCGCGTCCAGGTGTGTTGCCGTTCACTTTGTGGTTTCCATTCTGCGCTTTGCCCCTTCCGGATTTCTTTCGTTCTTTTTTTTCTCCCGCGACGTTTTCCTTGGATTCAGAGAGCACGTCGCGAACAAGAGCCGGATCGGTGGAGCTGCTACTACAAGCGACGTCGCTCCTCGTCATCCTCCGTCACTTTCATCACACCCATCCAATCGCCACCGCTCTTCCCCGCGCTAAGTGAGATTGAAACGATCAATTTTATCGTTATCGCTGCTGCTGCTGAGTACCTTCTGGGCAACCTTCGAGCAAGAAACCCAATCAAAGCATTGATTGTCGTTCTACCCTCATTCTTTTCTACTCTTGAAGCCTCATCCAGGTTTCAGTTTAGCCTTTACTTTCCCTAATGTCCGCCTTCTCCCGCAACTTCTCTTGTTTCGCTTTTCGCGTCTGAGCTAAAGATAGGAGATGAGACCACGCATGCTAACCCCTCTCTCCATTTATAGATTCGATACGCAGCTACTCCACGCCTCGCTTCGAAGCCTGATCCTCGACGACCGGTCGCGTTGGACAAGGTCCAGAACATCCCTGGGTTGATGACCATCTTGAAGAGGAACGAAATCTGAACGGCTCAATCCGACGGCAAACTTTCGACATGAACTTGGGGATCGAATCGGCGACAGAACGGGTTCAGTTTCGACTTGCTCGCCCCTCTCCTGTCGTTCCTTTGAAATTTTCCCTTCGTGAACCAATGTTCGCCCCCCTCTATCCCCTCGACATATTTTAGCGGCACCAGTGACTTCAAATGACTCGACCTCGACACGCTATTTTTGGCTACGTCATTCTATTCATTCAGGACGAACACCTTCCCGGTTACCGGTTACCTTTTGCGACAAACGCGATTCCGCAGGATGCTCCGACATTCATTCGCTTTTCAGAACTTCGAACGTTCCTCTGCGGCGTGTTTTTATGCTCCGTGCCAGCCACGGTCGTCTAAAACTTCTGCGCCGTGTTTCATGGGAGTCGTAAGGCCCTGGGACGCGCTGGTGTATGCATCATCCCGATATAGCCTAGTGTGTCCAGGTCCTACTCCTCGCCTCGGACTTTGCCTTTGATATTCTATCGTTATCTTCAGCTTTGGCCCATGGACACTGTCTTTTCTCAGTTTTCCTTCCCTTCCTTTCCTCGCTTCCTCTTCATTCCATTCGCATTCCATAAATAAGACAAAAACGCTTCGTCCAATCATTTTTCACCAATCATTCTCAACGGACGCTTGTGCAACATCCAAAAAATTGCATAAACCAAACCAATTCTTATATACCACTCATACTTACTGTACTTAGTATTACGACTCATTGTTATATCGCTACACTATCCTCCCTCCTAACTTTTTCTTTTGACTCTGCTAGTACTGCTACCCTAGTTGTTCCGTAGTCTTTTGCCGTTTTGTGCTTTTTAATCTTCTTCGAATTCGGTTGAAGCTTAGTTCCCTTGTCATTGTCACTGTAACACACTCAGTCCTAATGGCGAAGAGCGTTCACGCTGACGGGGACGTTTTCACAACTCAGGTTTCTGGCAGCGCTTCACCCGCTTCTTGTGACCCGGATGATACTCCAACTTCGCGAACAAGCAGAAAAAGACAGCACGCTGTTTCATATGTCCGGAAGAACATATACCAATGGGCGCAGTGAAGGGCAATGCTCAAGGATTCGCTTTGCAGCGCAAGATCTATCCGTGGCCAGCAGTCGACTGGATTGTGGCGCCGTGCAGACTATTACAACTGCTGGTCACAGTGGTGCCTAGTTGGGATACGGGGTATTGTGACTGTAATCATTAGGCCTGTGTATAAAATCTGATCTTGTATAACTAGCCTTGTGTCCTCCGTGAAACGGCGCTTCGTCCTCTAAGCGCGCAAGATTGACAGGGGCCGCTAAGTTTCCCACGACCGGCCACCGAGTTTTTCGGATTGTCTTGGGTTCTCGCCATCTCCATCGCTCCCAATTCCACACACCCCAAACGCCTGCTGCCGAAACCATATGAGCTCCAAGAGATCCAATTCAAGTGAACAGATCTCGCTGATTTGGTTCCTAGACATCTGGAGCGTTTCAGTGACTCCCATGTGTAGCGACACAAAACTATGATTCTACCGTCGTTGGCAGGGTGAAGAACCTTTTGTCACCTCGAAATCAACCCGTATATAGTCAATATGTCAGTCAACGCTCGTTTTGTCACGCTTTTCCTTCCCGTACGGCCAGGTTTTTCCTGCGAAGCTCTTTGGTGACTTCGAGAATGCCCGGCAAGCTCATCGCTGCACGTACGATTTCCAACGGACCTCCTCCCCCTGCTCGTGAAGCGGCCTCCCGCTCCGGCTCTGTCGCTGGCTCCAAATCCAGCCCCGCTTCCACCAACTCTTCGAACATAAGTAACGACTCCGCCGAATTCGTGTCCAAAGTCGGCTTCGACATCCCCGCCGAGCAGCAGTCGGTGTTCCGATCGGCTGAAACTGACACGGCGCCTGGCGAACGGTTAGGAGGGGTGCTGGGAAAGGGTGAGGCGATTCCGACGATGGGGAGCGGTGAGACTGGTCCTGGGACCAACACACAACCCATAGGATTCGACACCTCCGCGTTTACTTTGACTGCGGATGCCAGGGCTGGGGCTTCAGAGCATCTGGGCGCCACTGCGGCTGCTGGAACGGGACTTCCGCATCCCGGACAGCGTAGGGTTACGCCTGGAGCTTCTCCCGGACGAGAATACGACATTCCATTCGAACAGGAGTCGGTGCTCAGATCCGTCCTGGCACAAGCCGGTGGAAGGAGGACCGATTCGAGCTTCAACTATCCGCTGTTGGGGACCGGAGGGCAGAGAGCCAGTGCTGCTTCCTCCCTAGCCAACCTCCGAGGTTTTGCGACCAACAATTCCAACTTTTCGGGCACCCAGCTGGAGCCCGGCCCTGTCTCCAGGCTCTCTTCCATGTTGACAGCGTTGATGGTACTTGGTTTGGGTATCACTGCTTACTCGATGTGCGTACATTCGCCTCTACATAATCGCTTCAAATACTGATTTTCGGGACAGTGGGAACCTATCCAATTCTCTATCACTCTGGCCCATGTCCCTTCGAAGCGACCTTCGCGCGGGCCTCGACGAGTCAGTCAATCCCTCCCCCGAGTCCAGACAGCTGGCCGCAGACTATCTGTCCCGCGCTTGGTCACGCGCCCTTGAACTCCCTATCTCGAGATTTGGCGACGAAGATCCGCATTTGAAGCTGACCGGCATTGCCCTTGCCCTTGGCGGAATCCTCGAAGAGGACGGCAACATTCAAGATGCGTACACCGTCTACAAGCAGGCGTTGACTAGCTTGCAGGTGGGGTTGGGGTCAGAGATTGGCTCGTCGACCTCTGTCCTTCCGACCACTTCTGCGTCTGCTATGAAGGCGGAAGCGATGGAGAGAGCCACTAACCCACTGTTGCCGAGCCTTTCCACACGTGAACGCATGCGTGCTGTGGGGTTGTCCTATAAATTGGCTGAGTTGGCAGAGGAGCTGAAATTGCCAAAGTCGGAGCAGGAGAAGTGGCTGGTGTACAGCTCCGACACAGTCATCGCTGACGTTTTGGAGAGCGAAGAGTTGGCCCGGGTCACGACGGTAGAGGAGGGTACGTGCCCTTTAGGCTCAGTCATGTTGCTTACCGCTGACCGTTGGGTGAATGTTAGATGTATCCAACCTTGATGGTAGTGTGGTCGAAATGTCCCAGGAAGTCGTTGGTCAGCTCAATCCTCCCTGGTGGGCCCAAGCACGCGATTTAGCTGCTCCATTGGTGGCTTTGGGTAAGTTCTATGTGAATGAAGGCAAGGTTGAGTAAGTGACTCTACACCATGTCGTCGTCCCCTCTCACTCACGCCGGCGTTAGCGACGCGATTCCACTTTATGTCCAAGCAATCAACATCCTCAACCCTCCTGAAGGCACTGCCAATGTCAGTGACCGATGCCATGGTAAGTGTGTTACTTGGTGTCATTTGTTAGTCTACCTCACGCGATATAATGAATAGCCGCTCAGCTCATGGGCAACGTCTCTGAGCTCATGGTTCGTTCTGCAATCGGTTCGAATCCCAAGTCCTGGGACACGTCACCCTCCTTCGCCTCCTCCGTCTCGTCCTTTGCCCCGATTATCCCAGGCCATCCTTCGGTCAAGTCCTCGAACAGCAATCCTAACTCGGCCGCCCTGTTGCGTGAAGCCGAAGGGTGGGCGATTGAAGGTCTGGGGACCGCCCAAAGTGCGCAGAGGGCAGATAAATTCGATCACAATCCCGACTGTGAAATGGCGCACGCCTTGAACTTGTTCAACCTAGCAGTACTGAGAGAGGTGAGTTCCACACCGTTGGAGTTTGCGTTGAAGGTTCTCTGATACCTGGATCCTACAGTTGAATGGTGAACAATCCAATGCTCGAACTCTGTTTACGCAGTCGTTGGAGGAGTCCAAGGGTATTGGGTTCAAAGAAGGTATCAAAAACGCCGAGCGGGCAATTAGGAACCTTGGGTCGAACATTAGCTCTAGTTTCAGCAGGGCAGAGTTGGCCGAACTCGCGTCGTCGTCGTTGGAGTAAACCGTCAAGACTTTCTTCTTTCAGTACAGAACACCGTTCGATGTATCCAATGTAGCGCACTCAATCTCTTTTCACCATTGCCACTGTCAGCCCTTCAATGATCGGCGATACGACAGCTTATGTACAGCTGACAGCCGCGACATCTCGCGACATCTCTCTTTTCTTCCCTCTTCAGCGTACCGAGACTAACGGTGGCGACGAGAACATGGTCGCTACCGCTAGGTTTACACGCCTTTTGTGGATTGTCGTTCCTACTTTCGCCATCACGTTCATCGTGTTCTATGTCGACTCTCGCTCCTCCTTCGTGGACAATCCCCCGCCTCGCAAACCACCTCTCAAGAACCTCCTCAAGATCCACGAACGCCCATTCCTTTGTGACCACAACGAACACACTGTAACAGCTACAACCACAAGGACTGTCATTAGTCCTCCCCAGACTACCACCATCGTCAAATCTCCAACGCACACCCCGTCTACCTTCCAGGACATGTTTGGCTTTCCTCTGGTTGACCCAAAGGACGCCTCGCCTTTACCCAACGAGGCTGTATCGGGCCCGTCTGCCCGCCATTTCTACCGCAAGGACGGGTTATTGGAAGTTAACCCCGATGCACCCCATCCTATCTTTGAATTAATGGAGCAGGCTGAGAAGAACTGGGATGAGAAGAATAATAAGGCGAGTCGAACACTGCGCGATGCCTGCAAGGAGTATGAGAGGCGGTATGGAAGGAAGCCGCCGAAAGGCTTTGATCTATGGTACGTCCATACCATTACCCATCGACGTCGACGTCGACTAATGTGAGCGAGCAGGTGGGCCTACACCAAGGCATACAATGTTGCGCTACCGGACGAGTACGACCAAATATATCGCGAAATTGAGCCCTATTGGGGGGCTGACCCACGCCAATTGCAGCAATCTCAGCGAGAAATCGAGGACGGGTGGGACGCTATCACGCTGGGGAAAGACAAGCCCGAGGACCCGATCAGTTTGCTCAAGCACACTGACCGCACGTCGAACATTGAGTCCCATTTGTCGCTGGGGGTGCCTGCGATCTTGAAATTGCTTGAAGAAGTGCAGGACTACCTTCCTCCATTTCGAGCGGTGTTCAACCTGCATGATAATCCTTCGATTCACAAGGATTACGAACTGTTCCAGATGGGAATCCAGGCAGCCAAGGAGGGAAGATGTAAGTGGCGTGCCTCCGGGTTTACCGCTTACGTTGCTTACTATTTGATCCTTTCAAAGACATTGACTTCGATAAACCTCCTCCAGAGAAATTGGACGGCTGGAAGTCAGCGTGCGCGCAAGACTCCCCTGCCTGGGTCAATGAGATCAGATACACAAATCCCCTTCCTCCACTTCCCGAGCTTCTCGTGATGAAGTACAAGTCCCCGTATGCCTCGCCGTCGACGCCCTTGGATTCCCAGGTTCCTAAAACGTTCATTCACAACCACCGACTCACCATGGACCCATGTCTTCATCCATCTCACCTGCTAACTCATGGTCAATTCCTCTCACATGGAACCGGCCCCATCCCGAAACGCAAGTTCATCCCCGTGTTCAGCTACAGCCCCACCCTTTTGCATACCGACTTCACGCTTCCGATGACCCATGGTTTCGTCGGAGATATCTTACCACGGAGCAATGATCCCGAGTTCGATGAAAAAGAGGACCAGCGCTTGCAGTGGAGAGGGAGCAACACCGGTATATGGCCAGGAGGGGATATGCAATGGTGGCTCTCTCAACGTCCGAGACTTGTCGATTGGGCCGACCCTCGTCGGAACAATCCACCAAGTTTGGATTCCATGCTCAGGAGCCCTCCGGATGGTCGATGGAAGGTCGGAACTCCGGTTGCCCTTGATGAGAAGAATGTTTCGAAAGCGTTGTGGGCGCCATCTTTTGCTGATATTGCTTTCTCGTCGGACCCCGTGGAATGCGAACGCGATGACTGCGCTAGCAGTAGAAGTCGTGCAGAGCAGTACGAGGTACGACAAAGCCATAACGTTCCGACGCAAGGAATGTACAAATATATCGTCGATGTGCGTGTTGCTCTTGTCCGCGGGCGTACCTTCTGACCAAGCTTAGGTTGATGGGAACGCGTGGTCATCGAGGTTCAAGAGGCTACTGACTTCTAATAGTCTGATTTTCAAGGCGACCATTTATCCTGAATGGTAAATCCCATGGTTTTCCGGTCGACATTGCTTATCATCGCTTCAGGTTCGCGGATCGTATACAGCCCTGGCTGCATTACGTCCCCATTCAAGTAGACTATTCGGACCTCCTAGACTCACTCTATTTCTTCCGTGGCGACCCATCTGGAAATGGAGGACACCCTGAATTAGCGAAGCGGATCGCCAAGAAAGGTAGAGAATGGAGTTTGACGCAGTGGAGGAGAGAAGATTTGACTGCATATCTGTTCCGGTTCGCATTGCCAATGGTATATCGGGTCCTCGAATCTGACAATGGAACAGGCTTCTTCTCGAATATGCAAGGGTTATGTCTGTCGAGAGGGAGAATGGCGAACTTGACTATAGCTATAACTCCGAGGATGAAGTGGATTCTTTGCTTGGATCAGATACCGCGATGGTCGACGAGCCGCAGCAGGCGTTTAGACTGGTGATGCTTCAGAAACAGGAGGGACGGAGGAAGCTCCGAGTCCGGGCGTTGGCGTGACTGACATAATGTGAAGCCAAAAGATAGGGTCGCTTTAAAGGCATTTTCTGTTACTACTGTATACACCAATCTATCAGCATCTTACTCCAGTGAGTGGATTCAAGTAGCAGCAGGCTCTGCGGCGACACCTGATCGTCCGAGTCGGATGCCGCCAAATGCCTTCTTTTAGAAAGAGCGCGGGAACATGGCAAGCAAGAGCAAATACCTTATGTCCGTGACAGCGACCTGGCCGATCTTGCCCATCATCCACTTCGCCATGTCGACAAGAAAGCCAGTATTCTCCAAGGCGATCCTGGACATAATCTACCACGAGGCGTGCAATGATCTCAAAGACGACCTAAATGATCCAGACTCAGAAACGCGTGAATACGCTAGATGGATTTTGGGTCGCCTCTCTCTTATTTCTCGACAAGCTGAACGACACTTTCGCGCTGTTCTCTTCCACGGGTTTACAATCAGGCGTCCTAAAGCTGTAGACCTCGACTCTTTGGTCTCTCTCGAGTCATGGATTTACCGACAAATGAGATTGCTCGAGCAGGAGGCTGGGCCTGCACGCTACATCAAGGACCTTACATTGAGCTTCATGGGTCCAATAGACAAACCAAAGGAGGGTGACAGCGACTGCGATAGTTCAGACGACGATTCTTCCGAATTTGAATTCAAGTCGAAGCCATATCCCGATTCCAACATGTTCCGTTGCTCAGTCACGCTTTTCATCGACGCCATTCCGAAGCTTTTGGCCAACTTCAAGAACCTAACCCGCTTCCATATCGACAATGGCGGACCTCTTGACAAACGCCATTGCAATGGATATGCAATGTACGAGTCTACTAGCAATGTTACGGTCAACGCCCTCTTCGACTGTATCCGGCGCAATCATTCGCTAAAAGAAGTCGCCTTCACGAAGGTCGTCGGCCTCCCTATACGACATTTGATCCAGGCACTTCCGGCTTCGGTCAAATCACTCCAACTTCAAGACGTCTCATTTAGACCGGTAGAAGTCACAGACAGCGAAGAGGATCCTACAGCATTGTGCTCCTTAGAGGCGGCCACTCTGATCCTGAAACCAAAGGAGCGACTACCTTCGTGGCTATCTTCTCCGTCGTCGTCACTATTTAGGGACTTGACCAAGTTTACGTTCCACTTCCACGACGAAGGGGACGTAGCCAAAGGCTTTGGCATCTTGTCCCGGGCAGCAACGACTCTCCAGCAAATCACGCTTCATTACTACACCTGCCCACTCTCCGACAATGCTTTAGGTATGACTCAACTGTTTTGCTTGGACTATGAGACCTAACCAATATTCAATTAGGGTCATTCCCGACTCTCGAACTTCCCAATCTCTGCTCTCTGTCTCTGAAACTCGTATCAACGCCGGTTAACACTTCACATGACTTGACATGCCCGCCCACCCTTTCGACTTTCGCCTACGATCATCTCTCCAAGTGGACCTCGTCTTCTCTCGAATCCCTTGTCTTGGACTTTGAATGGCACATCGGACCTGACTCCTCAGTTCTCTACGAAGCGGAGGATGAGGAAGATGAACACGGTGATTTCCCGGGCAAGTTTGTCGACAGGAATATCAGCAGGCTGGGTCCCATCGACGACATCCTCTCTAACAACAACACTTTTCCGAAGCTCCAAACAGTCAGGTTCTTTCTCCTGGGAAAAGAGGGCGGATCGTCTGGCTTCTACAGCGATCGCGCGTCGTGGAACGAGCTCTACGGGCTTCGGAAGCAGTACATAGACGAGGCAAAAACGGCACTGTGCAGCACCATGTATCGCGTGCGAGGTGCTGGTGGGACGTTTAAAGTGGAGACGGGCTTACTCGAGTACTGGGAGAAGTACGAATCCGAGATCGAAGATCCTTTCAACGAGCCGAAATGGTGGCAACGAAAAAACGAGGACCCTTTTGACTTTCTCCTGGAATAGACGGGCGAATTCATGAACAACGCCGGTATGGGGAACACGGAGGGTGCGAGCGTAGTGATATCGCTGTGTACAACATAAAGTGAATGTGAACGGACGCCCGTAATGCAAGATGGCCCATTCCATGTACACATACTCCCGGTATTCTTTAGATACACTGGATCATGGAATTGTTAGTTGCTTCGCTCCAGACTATATTCCATTGCCAGCGCACCTGAGAGTACCATTGGTTCGAAGCTCGGCAGGTGTATGGTGAAACACACTGGGTAGGCCCAGTCCATCCTTGTCTGCAGCGAAGAGTTGTAACACCCCCTTTCCAATGCGAAACGCAATGCAAGAAACTTACCCTCCACACTGGCCGTACTGGGTTTGCAAAGGTTGACCTGGTTGAGTGACAGGAGGTTGGACGACTGGAGGCTGGGTGACCACAGGGGGTTGAGTGACGACCGGAGGTTGGGTGACAGCTGGGGGTGGCTCCTGGTTGACGGGGGGAGTGACTGTGGGGATGGTGGAGGGCTGGAGGGCGGTGTTCCAGGTGGCGGTCCTCGGGTAGGGTGTGGTCGCGATGGGAGGAGCGGTGTATCCGTATGGCCTTGGTCCAGGAACTGAGTGTTTGTTACGGGATTAGCGGTTGCTGCGATGTGGAGAGGGAATTGGACTGACTCTCGTAACTCGAAAGTTGCCTATGGATGTTGACCAAGACACCAGGATGGTTGGCACCGTAGGCACCTGAAGTGTTTAAGTACTTGTATGGGTACGCAATGAATGCCCAGCAAACACGAACCTGGGATTTTGACAGTGGGAGGTCGAGCAGTTCCGTTGCCAATGACATTCACTTGCCAGCATCCAGGATAGAATCTGAAAAATCAAGTCAGCGCAAGTGAGTCAATGAAGACATTGAGACGCACTGAGCACCGCCAGAGCCGCTAGCAACGTGAAGAGCTGGGGTAGAGGAACGTCAGGACGTCGAGTACAGCTATTTCGACACGGTGAACTTACCAAGAGCCTCGGCACGGAGGAGGTAGTTTCCAGGAGCGATATCAGGGACAGTGAAGGTGTAGTGTCCGCAGTTGTCCTTGACATAACCACGGCGATTAGCGTCCAACTCCGAGGCACATCTATCGACTTACGTTGAGGACCTGGACAGCCCAGTACATGGGGTTGTTAGAGACCAAACCCATCTCGTGGACCTTGAACCAGTTGGCCGAAGGGGCATTAGCAGTTTTGGCGTCGGAAACGGCGGCCATGTAGACTGAGATGGGACCATAGTGGTTTCCACCGAGGGCCTCGTTTCGGCAGGAGCGGTCATCGTGACTGTGCATCTCGACGGTGACCTTGTCGCCAGCTGTTCGACAAGGTGAGCAATCTGGGAGGAAGTGGGAGAGTAGGTCTTGTTACGCACGTTTGATAGTGCAGACATTAGGGCTGTTGGTGTGCCTGTTGCAAGCAAGTTCCTATGGATGGACGTGGTAAGTGATACTTCAGAGACGCGCATGAACGCCAGGATAGTACCTGCTGGTTAACGCTAATCGGATTGTTGTTAGCAGCACGTCGGAGGCAGGAAACACCACCGTCGACGCCATTAATCCAGATCTGCTGCCACGTAGAGTGGGCAGTGGCGGAAGCTGCTAAAAGTAAGAGACCGGTAAGAGATTTCATCGCAACCTCTACACCGAAAAAGCGAGTCAATTATCACATAGAGGCCACTGTATAGGCGAGACACTCACATCTTGGGGTCAAAACTCGCAGAAGTGCTTTAGGAACACGGAGGAAGGGGGTTGAGGCACTAGGCCCCCTTTTATAGAGTGCGGGGTAATGCTTCTGAGAAGCCAACAATTTGGTTGTTTGTTTCAGATAGAAGGGAGAATAGAGTCCCTAAATGGCTCGTTGAGGAGAAGCGCCATTGGTTTGGATCCATAGTTATTCCATCCTTCCGGGGTTTTTGAGAGATATAGCAGACGACGAGCTGGAAAACGGTCTTTTTTCTTATTGGTTCTTTCAAGTCGGGGGATGGTCGAATAGAGTCGCTGCATTTATTGTCAAAGACGCGTCATCAGCATCCAGAGACGGAAAGTGGCGACAAGAGTGAGGCATTTAGTTCACGACCAATGAGGCATTTCGGTAGAATTCCTGGTCATGAGGAGCTTAAATGCGCGACTGAGCTCATATCTACCCATTGAAGAAGCCTGTAACGGAATCAATGATTGAGTTTCTATAAGTATCTGCTTTTTCGCACTTACTGAGACGACCTGTTCAGTCGAACTGCATGTTGAGCTGGGTGCGACATGGTCGTCGCGGAAAGAGGGAAAGAAAGCGGAAGCTTGGCGAGGATTAGCATGGCGATGTGGCTGTGCGATTAGATAACGGCGATCTGCCATGGAGTTAGGGGCTTGGCTTTCTCCTTCCAAAAAGCCCTATTGGTGTCAAATGTGCATACTGATATCGTGATAGTCGTGGCATCGTAAAATACATACATCACAAGAAAGCATGAAAACAGAAAATACATTCTAATGCAGCAACTCTGTGGTCGTCAAAATCGTCCAAGTTTTCCTTCCACCCAACACATCAAGCACGGTGACTGGAATCTTCCCCGACTTTCGCAGTCGTCACTCCAATCTGGTATTCAGGACTAGGAGGCGGCTTCCTCTTAATCTTGTTCACTCCACTCGGCATCGCAACTATAACCGCGACTTCCATGCGCTTCTCCTCACCACTAACGACATGGTCCGTTGCCGGCGACACAACTCCCTTCTCCAAGTCCACGCCTGATCCGGTGCGAAGTGAACGATCTCTCTGAATGAATGGCTCGCTGCTGGCTCGAGAGATGGGGGACAGAGGGTAACCAGTAGATTCCGAGGAAACGGCTGTTGGACTACCGAGACGCCCGCGTTTGGAAAAGAATCGCGAGAACCAGCCTCGATTTTCGTCTTCGTAATCCTCGTGGGATGGGGTGGGTGTAGCGCTCGAAGTGACATAACCAGTAGTGGGATAGCGTGCCCAGTAGGATGGAGGGGGTCCGGTGTCGGTAGCAGTAGAGGAGAGAGCAGTTTCAAAGTGGTCGTAGGGTTGAAGATCTTTGGGGGCTCGGATCATCGAGGCTGAAAGAGGCTAGCGGATGATCATCAACATCGTTTGCAACTTGAGATGGGGACGTAGGACGACTTACGGTAATGCTCGTCCAGCTCCAGTTAGATCCCTTCCTACTATGTCCGTTTCCCTGCGCGTCAAAGATGACGGTGTTTCCCCACTTCTCTTCCGGGGTCCTGTCACCCTTCAAGAATTTGGACTGCCCAACTGGACTCTCTCCGGTGGCTTGAACACCCAGCAACTGCACTTCATGAAACTTCGGCTTCTCCTTCTCTCCACCTCCCTCCGCCGCGCCTACATCCAAATCGCGGTTCATCCCCAAAAGCCCTCCAAAGCCCATAAACCTATGCCCTCCACCAGTAAACCCAGAACCCTCGATCAACGAGTCCATCCGCCTCTGCCGCTGTCTCGAAAGGTACCTCCTCCTCGATGCAATCGCACAGCAGACAAACATGAGCAACAAAACCACAAAGGTGATCAGGAACCCGAAGAAGTAACTCGCGCCTCGTCGCGCAGCGTTGCCGTTCGCGGTGTCCTCTTGGCCGAACGCTTTGGCGGAATCGGGGCCAAAGCCGTAGGCAGATCCAGTGTAGTGGCCGTAGTAGGGACCGGTATAGGTGTAGCGACCATTGAAGCCTGTCATGGTTGGATACAGAGTCACGCTATGGGGAGAGTCGACCATGGAGGTCGGCGGTGTGAAGAGAAGCAGGTAGTGGTATACTGTACGTAGAAGAGCGTGGCCGCCTGCGTCTTGGGTGTAGGCTAGCGACGAACAAAGTTAAACGGCCTCTAGCTTTGGTTCCTGGGCCGATCGTCGTGTACGCAGAGGTGAGCAAGGTGCCGCCTCGTGTGTTGAACTCTAGAACGAATTCAAAAGTAAGTCGTGAACGTCGTATTCCGTCGTTGCTGCTCGTATAATAGTCGTCCAATGCTCAAGTCTTGATAACAACTAAAAGGATAAAAAGCATGGATCAGTCTCCATGAAACACGGAGCAGAGAAGAAGAAGAAAGGTACAGATGGCTCGTATCGAGGTACAACTAGAGGCGAGACCCGCTCATATGAAGTTCATCGAGGGTTTCTGACCGAGCACGATGGGAAGAGAAGAGGAAGAGGAGGAAAGAAAAGAAGAGGGGGTTCGTAGAGGGCGCAGATAACGTGCATTAGAAATGGCCTGCCAGTCTTCGGACAGATGATCAGTTTCAAACCGAAAAACGTCAAGAAACTGCGTCACAGTGTATTTAGCACAAAACTGTGCTACTCGTGATCGCGCCACAGTGAGGCCTGGAGTCCCCTGCGTTGGCAGCGGGTATGTGACTCAGGGCCAGGCCGGAATTGAATTTTGTGAAGGGATGAACGCAGCTTGGGCATGCCTCGAGGTAAGATCCAAATAAAAGGAGAATTGCGCTCACCTATTCTCTTGAATATGATTAGGTACAGATGGCCATACTGCTTCTTCGAAGTCGTCTTAAAAAGATTATTTCTTCTTTTTCAACCTTATCTAGAGTTGTAATGGGTTCTGGAAACGTAAGCTCCAGACCGCTCATCACCAACTTCAGGAGACAGTGGCTTACCGAGTTTCTTTAGGAGGAGCTCGTAAAGTGGATGGGGGAACTAGCATTCGAGTTGGCTCCAGCTCAAGTTCAGTCCAGCCTGGTGTGGGTAATGACGTCATAGGGCGGAGGAAATCGAAAAGGCGAAATCCGAATACCGGATCAACGGCGTCCCGCGGTGACTGCACGGGCGCTTAAGTGCGATGGTCCCCCAAAGGCTTTGTCTCCAACCATCCCGCTAGAGAGCTGCGCAATTGCAATCTAGACATCAATTATTATTCTAAGGGACGATTAAGTGAGCGACTAATGACCATGAAAACGAACGACAGACGAAGATGATGTTCTACTCTAAATACCAATTGCGATGTGGGCGAGAAAAAACGATGATGCTAACGCTACAAAGGAGAAAAAGAAAACCAATTCAACTCTGGAAATCATAAGCCAGAGACCAATTACGACCTCCAACAAGACCAATACCCACTATCACGACTCCTCTAAAACCTGCCCAAAGTCGCACCAATAGCGGCAGGACCACGTGCGACCCAATCCTCCGGAGGAATACGATCATGAAGGGAAGACGAGAACAACAGGTTATTTTCGGGGTGGAACGCCCATTTGGCCGGGTCTGGAAGAGGTGCGGAGGTGACAGCCTTTAGCTCGTTGCCTGCGTGTATTCGCGTCAGGGTGATGTGGAAGGATGTGAGGCGTACTGGTACTCACGGATGATGTTGGATGTGAAATGGTCCAGGTTCTGTTTCGACAAGTAAGTTACGGCGATTTGAGAGAACAGAGGAATTGGGACCGACCAAATCATTCTTGTCGTAACCGAATGGATTCTCAATCTCTTCACCAGCCACGAGGAACCCAAAGAAGATGAAGCTCTGATTATCCGGTCAGTCTATCTATTGTGGAAGCGACGGCGCAGAGCTAGGCACTCACAGCAATCGTTGTGGCAGGGATCGTAACCCATTGAAGAGGTTTCCAAAGCTGGAAAGGCTTTGGAGTAACAGGCTCTCAGTATATGCCGTCGAGATATAACGCGGACAAGCATACCAATGCCAAGCAATAAACGATGGTGGTCACCCATAGGTGGATGGAGTACCTAAACTATCGTCAGCACCGGCACGATTTCGAGAAAATGTTTAGTCGTGACTCACGAGAAAGGAACAGGGGTAGTCAGGATACGCTCCAAGCCAGTCAGACTGTCAGTGAGGAGGTTGAGGTTGTAATGCAAATAGTCTATAATATCTTTTTCAGCGCTCTCGTTCTCCCGACATTTGAGGATCACATACTGTATGTAGGCACATCGCAATGCTTCCGCCTTTGAAGAGCCGAAACATACGAGCTCTGAAAGGGCAACATCAGCTTTGCTCAAACCCGCATTCCAACCCCAACTCGAACGCACCAAATACAACGAAATCTCCAACGGCAAATTCTGCGAAATAATCTTACTCCGCATCTTCGCCCTAATCCTCGCCGCCTTCTTCCCCTTTACATCATGACCCCGCGTATTGAAGAATCCAATCAATAGCGAAAAGGGGAACAAATCAAAGATGGTGTACTTGGGCGGGTTGGACGCGGGGAACAAGTACATCTCCTCTTCAGCGGGAAGGATAACCCTTGATTTCTCGGGAATGTGGAAGCTGACGCGGGAGTTGGGAGATTTTATGGAACCGCTGCGGAAGGAGGACTTGCGGTTGCGAGCTTTGCCTGAGGATGGAGATGCGGGCGAGGCTTGGGCCGGTAAAGGCAATGATGTCGAGTTTGCCGTGGCGGTTGTGTCGTCGTCGTTCTCCTTGTGAGGAGAGGCCGGCACCAGGTCGACCTGGATATTATCGGAATATGAGGGGCGGCCGGGAGGAAGCGCATACGCTGGTAGGAACTTGACAAGGTGGTAAAGGTCCCTGGATCAAAACGGGTGAGGGAGGATCGCCTGGACTTGGGAAGACCATGACGTACTCGTAGTAGATACCATCTTCAGCCCTGAGATAATGCTTGGTAGCAACAGCGAAGGCCTCCAGCAAATTTATGACAGTCTTCTTCTCGACGAGTGACCTTGCTTTGAGTTCCTGAGCATGTTCCGGGGTCTCCCCAGCCTCGTCTGAGGCGATCAATAACCTCGGTCAGTACCTCATTCAAAGTGCAATTTGAATACCGACGCACCGGGCACAAAGAACCAAACCAACCGCGCAAAGTTTCTCGAGGCAAAGATAATCTGGGACCAAAGCCTCCTCCCTTCATTATACCGCTCAAAAGAGGACGTCGTTCTGTACGAAATGACGAAACCAAGCACGGTACCAAGCCTATGATCGATCGACATTAATCATAATCCTTTTGGGACTGACATTTTGGTTCCGCTTGAACCTAAACATGAACATTGAACTTACACTGTGAGCAACGTGGTTTCAATGCGGAGGGGATGCCCTTGGTGGTTGAGGACGGTAATGAGGGTGGACCAAGCGCCGAAGAAAACTAGGATGTGCCAGCATCGGAAGAGCGCTGTAGCGAGTACGGCGTGAACAAAGGAACTCCCTGGTTTCTCTCGCGGTGCGAACCTAAGTAAACGGGCGGTTAAATAACCTTCAACTCGAAACTGAGAGTCGGGACATACGGATCGGGCACGCGAAACCCTTTATGCGAGAATACAGTGTCGCTTCGCTGTCAGGGACGTCGATAAAGGTCATTTAGAATGCGATGCTAAGCGGTGATGGCGTTGCACGTACAGATAGAGGCGGAACTGGCGGAGGGTCGTTGTTCTGGCTTGCCATGAACAGAGGATGAGATGATGGTCTTTGTGAACGTTAACGGTCGCCGAGCACGACGTTGTGCCCAACTATAGATGGTCTTGGCACGGTGTGACACAGCCGTGGCAGCCTCTGGCCGCCGCAAGGCCACCATTCCGGACGATGTCCATCCCTCATCACATCTTCATCACTTTCGCTAAAACAGCGGTGTATCAGGCTATCTTTAGACCAAGTTCTGACGCCTATTTTTGAGTCTACTTTCCGACTTGTTCATCAACTGTAACACGCTCTGGCAGAAAAAGTCAGAAGTCCGCCAGGGTCTTGAAGGACCTGGGTTCAATCCATCCTCGTCGTATTACTATTATTATAGTTTTCTCAAATTTCACCTTACGAAATGGACATGGCACCAACGAAGATGTTCACGGAGACCACAACATAGATGGATGGCGAAACATTTATTTCTCCTGTGTTCACATATCAAAATAAACCCACATCTACCAATACGATTGATTGTCCAGCCACACTTGAGGCTTCGCAACCTGGTTCCGTACCACTTAGAGGCACTACAAAAGGCACAGTCAGTATCGTCTTTACAACGAATATCACTCATAGAGCATACCTGGTGGTACCATTGGTTAGAAACGTTGCAAGTATAAGGAGGCTGGCATTGAGTAGGTCCGGTCCATCCCTGGCCTCCGCACTGGCCGTATTGAGTCTGCATAGGTCCGCCGGGTTGGGTGTTAGGCGGGGGTGGTTGGACGACAGGGGGTTGAGTGACGACGGGGGGCTGGGTCACGACGGGAGGCTGAGGGTTGGGCTCAACGTTGACCGGAGGCACGACGGTAGGGACAGTTGAGGGTTGGTTGGCGGTGTTCCAGGTGGCGGTCCTTGGGTAAGGGGTGTTGGCAATGGGAGGAGCGGTGTAGCCGTAGGGCCTTGGGCCGGGGACTGCACATCATGTCTGAGCGAAGATACTTTGGGAAGCACATGAGGAACACGTACTGATGTAGGTGGACAACTGCTGGTGGATGTTGATCAAGACACCGGGGTCGTTGGCGGAGATGGCACCTGGGAGCCTGACGGTGGGGGGTCGGGCAGTTCCGTTGCCGATGACGTTGACTTGGAAGCATCCAGGGTAGAATCTGTCGAGATTCGGTGAGATCCTATTCAGACGCTCAACCGAGGAATAAACTTACTGAGCACCACCAGGGCTACCAGCAGTGTGGAGAGCTAGAATGAAAACATTAGGATTTCCCACCTATGATAGAGAAGTGAACGTACCCAAAGCCTCAGCACGGAGGAGGTAGTTTCCAGGAGCGATGTCCGGGATGGTGAAGGTGTAGTGACCGCAGTTGTCCTAACCCACTCTCAGTATCCTTTCCTCAACTCAACAGTGGAGCTGATACTCACGTTGAGGACCTGGTCAGCCCAGTAGACAGGGTTGTTGGAGACCATACCCATCTCGTGGATCTTGAACCAGCCAGCAGCAGCACCATCGGCGGTTCTGGCGTCGCTGACAGCAGCCATGTAGATGGAGATGGGGCCGTGGTGGTTGCCACCGAGAGCCTCGTTTCTGCAGGACCTGTCGTTGTGTTGGGCGTGCATCTCGACGGTAACCCTGTCGCCGGCTATATGGCATGAAGTTTAGGACAGGACCATCCGCGCGAAAGGACGAGTAAACATACGCTTGATGGTACAGATGTTGGGACTGTTGGTGGCTTGGTTGCAGGCCATTTGCTATTGAGGAGATCAGATACATTAACCAGAAGCCTCCAATGAGAGTTTACTTACAGGCTGGTTCACGCTAATGGGGTTGTTGTTGGCAGCTCGTCGAAGGCAAGATGTACCACCATCGACACCGTTAATCCAAATCTGTTGCCATGTCGAGTGGGCAGTGACCGAAGCGGCCAAAAACAAGATTGCTGCCAAAGACTTCATGTCTGATTCTGCAGGGACAAGGTCAGAGGGATGCTGTTGATGATTGGGAGCAAAATTTCGACGCACGTCTCCGCTTTTATACGAACGGTGCAGAACGAGGGAAGAGAGAGAGAGGAAGACGAAGCACGACGTTTATAGGAATCCGGGGGTGCTTCTGAGAAGCAGCATTCTTGTGTGTCTTGTTTTCGGATAATATGTGCGGGGTCACATTCAGTCAGGGAGGGAAAGTACCACACATGATCCAGGGTTCTTCCAGTCGTTTCCGAGGTTATCGAGTTCACTGAGATGCATCGGCGGGAAGTGACTTGTCGGGTAGAAGCAGGCATACGGCCTTCCATCATCGCGACAGACGACTCGTCTGCTTGGCTTGGTCAATCGTTGGATTCCATCCGAATAGCCAGAGAGAAGAGACTCACCTCAACCTTCTTGACATCCGGCAAATTCCTCCGAGAGCAAAGAGACACCATGGGTCTGACCCGATTGCGGTGTCTACAACTCTATAGCCGATGTATCTGAGCATTTTGGGAGCACCTGGTGCCCAATGTTTTTAACGTTCTAGCGCGCCAACTGAAACTGTATGTCAGTGTCATGGTGGAAGGAGGCAAAGTTGTAGCAGGTGGCTGTGCTCACCTTTACCAAACTCGACATCGCCCCTGTCACGTAAGGTCGCGTCTAGTCTCAGTCGCGTTCTACGCGTTCCCTGAGTCGCAGAACGCTCGATATCACCATATCGCGTCTAAAGAAGTAAAGTCAATCCTTTCCATACCAAACAAGCTGGCTTAAAAGAAACGTTCACACCCAACCAATCGAGATAACGATACAATGTTGAATTCAAACCTCGAAGAAAAAATACAAGAATTGAAAGGCCAACAGACCATTCGAGAGAATATGATACATGTTCTACTACAGATTAAATACTAAGCGGGTATACATCTTCACAATCACCAAACACTTTTGCTTCGCGCCCAAGCCTTCAGCACTTCAGTCCCGAAAGCTGAAGCTCTAAAGAGGCTTAGAGGCACTGGTGGTACCACTGGTTGGAAGCAGTACAAGTGTAAGGAGGCTGGCACTGGGTAGGGCCGTTCCAGCCCTGGCCACCGCACTGGCCGTACTGAGTCTGGAGGGGTCCGCTGGGGGGAGCGGTGGGGGTCACGACGGGGGGCTGCTGGGTGGTGGGAGGAACAGGGGGCTGGGAGGTCACGACGGGGGGAGCAACGGTGGTGACGGGTGGGGGGTTGGTGCCGCCACCGACAGGGGGAGTGACGGTGGGGACGGTCGTGGGCTGGAGAGCGGTGTTCCAGGTGGCGGTGGTGGGGTAGGGAGTGTTGGCCACGGTGGCGGGGGAGGTGCCGTAGGGGCGGGGACCGGGGACTAGGGTAACGCGTCGTCAATATCCAGATAAATATATAATTAAGGAGGGTGATACTCACTGATGTAGGTGCTCTGAGGGCGGTACATGTCGAACAAGACACCAGGGTCGGTAGCCTTGTAAGCACCAGGGAACTTGACAGTCTCAGTGGGCCTGCCAGATCCGTTGCCAACAACGTTGACCTGGAAGCATCCGGGGTAGAACTGGGCACCACCGATGGAGCCAGCAACGTGCAAGGCGATAACCTCGGAACGGATGAGGTAGTTGCCAGGGGCGAGGTCAGGGACAGTGAAGGTCCAGTGACCGCAGTTGTCGTTCAAGACTTGGACAGCCCAGTAGACAGGGTTGTTGGAGGCCATACCCATCTCGGAGACCTTGAACCAGTCGGCAGCGTTGGCATCGGCGGTGCGGGCATCGTCAACCTTGGCCATGTAGACCATGACGGGGCCGTAGTGGTTGCCGCCAATGGCTTCCTGAGCACAGGATCGGTCGCCATGCTGAGCGTGCATCTCGACAGTGACCTTGTCGCCGGCTAGAGTACAAAAGTTCAATTAAGTGTGAACATCACTCGGTTGCGTAAATCAAGACGTACGTTTGATGGTGCAGACATTAGGGCTGAGAGTGTGAGCATTGCAGGCAAGTTCCTTCAAGACCAACGCGTCAGTAAGATCCCAAGTCGACGCGTAACAGTGGAACATACCTTTGCACCAACGTCAATAGGGTTGTTGTTAGCAGCCCTTCGGAGGCAAGAAGTACCACCATCAACACCGTTGACCCAGATCTGCTGCCAGGTAGCATGGGCAGCAGCAGTAGCAGCGAGGAACAAGAGCGAGGCGAACGACTTCATCTTGTAAAATGAAAGTGAGATAGGAGTTCTAGGGTGAGTGGTGGATGGGAAGGGTACGTTGACCTGTCCTCCACCCTCCAAATCCCATGGGCTTTATATACCCCACCTCGCAGTCAATGGAACATTCCATCCCACCCCGACCAAGGCCAGCCCGAGGGGTGCAATCCAGACACCACAACGGTCAAATTGTCATAGTAGGAAACCGACCAGCCACACTCCATACCGCACCATACGGTAACCAACGCATAATTTCCCAGTACCACGGAGATTTTAGATCAAACGCCCGTCTGAGCCGAATCCCGAAGAGGGCTTGGTGGTGCAGAGACGTCCAGAGAAGGGCAGAAAGGCACCTGAAAAGGGAGAGTCCGTGGAGCGTCATAACCATGATAACATCCGAGTTCCCTGTTGTCCAATTAGAGGCTATAGACACCTTCAGTTGGGAAACCAATGGGGATACAGGTGATCGCGAAGGCTGAGCGTTCGAAGATCGTAGGAGACAGTCGAGTCCCGTGGAGGTTTTAGAAGTTCTCCAGAGGCGTTTTTAGGAAAAACCGTTCACGCCATAAATCCGCACTTTATCCAGAGAGAATGCGGGGAAACAAGAGGATCGAGTGGGAGAGTGCCAAGTACGGGGTCTTTCATCGTGGGTGGGTCTTGCAGGAGAAGGTGGAGAGTGTGCGATTTTGTCACTTGAAGCTGCCTTCAATTCGCACTCTTTGGATCCTGCTTCAAACACCTAAATACACCCAATAATCATTAGGTCGACACTAGAAACGTCGTCCGAATCGAACGCACCTCGATCCCCATACCCCACCCTCCTCGAATAGTACCGCAGTTGATCCGGACAACTTCCACCCAACGACACTCTCATACAGACTGCCTTTGGGGCGCCGACGTTTCCATTATAGGCTCACGCTGCAGAGTCCATTGGCACCGAAAAACGACTGGGTGCAATGTCACTGTGAACGATCAAGCAAAAATCACGCACCCACCCTTCAATTTCATATCATTGGGCTAACATCGGGCCCAGGTGTGAGTAGTTAAGAGAGTGAGACAGCAACAGCAATGCTCGGAGAACAAGGCGAGCCTAGAAAGGACGGTTGTACATACCTACGCCGTATCCAAGGTACCCTGGTGAAACCTCGTCAAAACCACACAACGGAGCAAGGTCTTGAAACTGGGTTTTGGAGCTGGGATGACGAAGGGACGACGTATAGTCGGCAAAGAGACTTGACGCAACCGTCAGAGCTTCTCAGATAAGTAATAGGACGAGAGGACAGGAATACGTCATTCATTGAAAGAAAGCAAGAGAACACAACATTAGCCACGCAGTACATCTCGTCGAATCTCAAGGAAGCAAAGAAGTAATCACTTCAAGAATAAACAAAAGCAGCGGATAGAACTGGAGAGAATTAAAAAGAACAGTCGGCAGCGGAAAAGAAGAGGAAAGGAATATAAACGGCAGCGGAAGGAACTGGATAGAAAGGAAGGTACAACGGAAACAAGAACGGAGGCTTACTGAGATAGAAGTGCAACTCAATTACCGAAGAAATGTCATGGCCCATCTGTCCCCTGCAGCCCTGGCCATGATGCTTCGCAAGGGGTTTTGTTCCGAGGTTAAATGTCAAAGGCACGAGGCGGCCAATTAGCCAATCAGCCGAGCGTCTGAGTGTGAAGTGGGGAGTAGTGTATCCTGAATTTCGCCTCTGCAGAAAAAGGGAGAGAGGGGAGGAGATACTAAGCACGTGCGACGGAATTTTGAAATCACAAACACGCAGACAAAAAGGTTGAACAGAGAAAGTTGGAAAGAAAAAGTAACGGTGGAGGGGTACTTGCCACCCAGCCCTATGCCAAACATCCACCAAAAATCCATTCCGCCTCCCATTTCAGCCATCCATATTCAATCGTTAGGATGAGCCCTCTAACTCGTCTTCCTAGTCCGGATAACTTTGTTCCTCAAGGCCTTCTCCTTAAGTTCATTCTCCCTCTTCTGCAACTCTCTCCTCCTAGCAGCCTATACGGGGAACGCAAAGAAGAAACAATCCAGTCAGTGTCAAGGCACACAAAAACCACCAAAAATGCTAACGAACATACCTCATCATCATCGACTTCCATTCCATCCGCATCTCCACCGCTCACACTACCCCCACTAGCACTTCCCCGCGCACCATAATCATCGCGATCTCTGTCCCGGTCACGCGGGGCACCTCGTCGATCTTCCTCTGGTTCATTTTCCCAACGACTCTTCTTTTGGAGTTGAGCTTGGCCTTTAATTTTGAGTTCTTGGACAGGTGGTAGATCGCGTTCGTGGTCACGGTCACGGTCGATATCCATCCGGCCTCCCCTGCGTCCATCGTCTCCCTCCCTATACCTGTCCGTCTCGCGGTCGCGGCCATGTCGGTCACGGTCACCTCTTCGTGGAGGAGGGGGGCTCCTTGACCTGGACCTCGATCGACTGCTGGCGTATGAACCGCGGTCAGGCGACCTGCTATACCCTCTTCCTCGTTCTCTGTCCCTCTCATCATCAGAACTGGGGCTCCTACGGCGTGGAGGTGTCCTAGACCGGCTCCTCGAGGGAGACCTTCCACCCCTTCTACGTCTGGGAGGAGATTCAGAGTCGTACCTCGCCCTTCTAGGCGGTGGCGAAACACTCCTACGCCTTCCTGAGCCGCGAGGTCCAGGAGAAGGCGACCTGTCCACCGACTCTGAGCGCGAATCAATAGGGGTCCGGGAGTGAGAACGAGACCTGGATCGAGGAGAACGGGAACGGGGGCCAGGTGAGAGACGACGGCGTCTCGCAGGAGGGCTGCGGCTGTCCCTGAACCTCTTGCCCCCACGGCCAGCTCTATCTCGAGGCGGCGAGTAGGATGGAGACCTGACACGTCTCTTTTGCGGAGGAGTTCGGGAGCGAGAGCGTGAAGCGGAGGAAGCAATTGAGCGTCTGGACGGGCTCGGTCGGCGGGGCGAATGCCGTCGGCGCATTGGCGGAGTTCGGGAAGGCGACCTGCGGCGTGGAGGAGGTGATCTGTAGCGTCTATTCGGGGGTGGAGAATGAGAATCGTCGCGAGACGGGGTCCTCGAGCGCGACCGGCGTCTGGGCGGGGGCGAGCGGCGCCTGGGGGGACCTCCGCCGTGACCTCCGCCTCTGCTTCCCCAACCAGAGTCTCGAGGCCGTCCTCCACCGTCATCAAACCCGCCTCTCCCGCGTCCTCGGCCTCTTCCGCCTCCCCTGCCTCCGCGGTCGCCCCGTCCACGATCGCCTCTCCCGTCTCCCCGATAATCTCCACCGCGCCCGCCACCAGGAGGTCCCCGCATCTCGTCCAACCTCATTCTGCGGTCCCGCTCGTCGATAGCCCTAGCATCATTCTCCCTCGCCCGCCTCAACTCTTCTTTCTTCTGCTCGACGAATGTCCTCGGTACACCAGTAACCTCTTCTTGAGCTTCGATTAGCAGCTTCCATAATTCAGTCATGAATGACGCGGTCTTGTTGGTTAGGAAACCTTGGAGGGAGATTTGCATTTTCCTAGGGTCTGGCGTCTGCATGCAATCGTTTGTGAGGAACGTAGGAATAGGACCATGAGTAGAGGAAAACGCACAGGATTCGAGTCGTCTTCCAAAAGACCCATAGCATACTCAACAACAACTTCATCCTCGAAGCCAATGAGCTCGATAATCTTTTTGGCAACCCATGGTCTGATGACGGTGAGGTTGACTTTTCTCATATCCACCTAATTCAACACCATTTCTTTCAGCCTCATCCTTCCCTTTACGGCTTGGGGAAAAGACATACCCGTTTCTCAAACTCTGCAGGAAACTTCATCGTCTTCATGAGTTTAGCTTCTTTGTCGGCGAACCGCCTGTCTTGCTCGGCAGACGTTCCTTTGAAGAATCCTACGCATTTGACGTTAGCTTATAGCGTTGTGATGACTCTGGGAGACGTACCTGCGTCCGCCATGATTCAGTATCGTCTGGTACTAGCTTGGAGACAACGGGTTTCGTCGACTTGAACGACAAGCCAGGTGTGGGCGTTGAGAAACCCGCTGTCACTGGCCCTGCACATGAAGAAGCGTGGGAACTGCTTACTAGGCACGACGCGACGTCGGTGGGGCACGTGCGCAATGCCCTCGATGACGAGCTCGTCGTCCAGCGCTTTGTGGACGTTGTGGACGACAACGGTGAGGGGCCAAATCCATTGCTTTGCCCTCTGGCGGCGTCATGGGCGTCATATCGCCAGTAATCAAAAGCCTGTCGCCACTCAACGCGTGCATAGGCAGGACTCTCTCCTCATGGCACTGTTCCAATCTTACACCAGGACCCCGGAAAACCTAGGGGGGACCCAGATCCTTTTTGGCCCAAAATTTCCGGATTTTTCGAGGCATTTTCTTTCCGGATTTCACCCAGGTCCCACCCCGAGCAACCAAAATTTCCGGATTTTGGAACCTAGGTTCTCCAAAATATCCTACCGACGCGGTTTTGTCTCACAATACGCCAGTTTTGACTATCTCTCGCCTTTCTGTACGGATTTACAACCATATAGAGTACTAATAATGTTGAAAGTATCGATTATCGTCTATAATCCATCCTCCTTCTCAGACTCGTCTTCTGCGGCTTTTCTTGAACGAGAGAGCTTGATGGCCTTTGTCAACGCTGTCTCCCTCGACTTCAACGTGTTGACAGAGCAGAGAAGCAACAAAACAAACCAAACCAAAAAAAAAAAAAAAAAAAAAAAAACAGGCTGTACGGGACTCGAACGACCGTGGAGAGAAACACTGCACCGAAGGCTTGGGGGTACGTACACCAAGTCAGCGAAGTTTCCGTATTTTTCATCCAGGTTATGCACTCAGAATCCACTACTTCCGGATTACGGATCCAGGTGAATCGACTTTTTGTCTGTATTTATCCGGATTATTTTCTAGGTCTCGCCGCCTTCGGCGGCGCTTTTTTTCCGGATTAGGCCCCTGGTTCGTCCCAGGTTTTCCGGGGTCCTCTTACACCACGCATATTCGAGACCGAGAAATGAAAGCATGCATTACAATGTACAAATGATAACAATACAAATGCGACGAGAGATAAATTACAACGAAAGAACCCAATTACTTGGCACCAGCGGACGAGAACTCTGTAAAAGGCCATGGTCAACGGAAGTTCTCGGCAGTCACACAGGGAAAGGTACTCACTGGTTACTGACTTGGTGCCCTCAGAGATAGCGTGCTTGGCGAGTTCACCAGGGAGGATGAGGCGCACAGCAGTTTGGATTTCTCTTGACGAGATGGTGGACTTCTTGGAGTAAGAAGCGAGTTCTAGAGGCGACAAGTCAGGAAACGCTGGTAATGTGAAGTGCCAGAAAACGCACTGGAAGCCTCCGTGGCAATTCGCTCGAAGATGTCGTTGACAAAGGAGTTCAAAATGGCCATGGCCTTGTTGGAGATACCAGTGTCGGGGTGGACCTGCTTGAGGACTGCAGAACAAGTCAGATTGTGTCAAGTCGAAATCGTCGCGAAACGACATACCCTTGTAGATGTAGGAAGAGTAAGTCTCCTTTCGGACCTTCTTTCGCTTCTTCTTCTCGCCATCGGCAGGTGCAGGCTTGGAGGTCTTCTTAGCGGCCTTGGATGCCTCTGCAGACTTTGCGGGGGCCTTGGAGGCGGTGGAGGCAGGAGCCTTGCCAGCAGTGGAAGCGGGTTTGGGGGCCATTGGTGTTGAAGTTGGGTGGCGGAGAAGGAAAGCGGTTTGTGGTGGTGGTGGACGTCGAAAGGGCGATGATGGCGTCCAACGTCAAACGATCAGTCATAAATATGCACGCGTCAATTTGTCTTTGTTTACCCTGCGCGCGTCTTTGTTGATTTGTTTGAAAGGGGAAAGTGGCAGCGCGCGCACCACGTGACACGCGTCGCCCTACCAAACAAAGCTCCGTTTTCGGCAAGTGCCAGTCGCCCCGCGAGTATAAAGAGCGCGCGTCGTCCCTTCTTGAGCGACAAATCGCTTCCTTTGCCCACCACCACCACCACCACCAACCACCACCAACCACCCTCACCAACCACTTAACTACTTCAATCAACATGTCTGGCAAAGGAAAGGCTGGAAAGTCCGGAGGAAAGGCTGGCGGCTCTGACAAGGCCCAATCCCGCTCTTCCAAGGCTGGTCTCCAATTCCCCGTCGGTCGTGTCCACCGTCTCTTGAAGAAGGGCAACTATGCCCAACGTGTCGGCGCTGGTGCACCTGGTATGTCTTTCCCCGACTTGTCCTATTTCTGCCAATTTCTGACTTTGCCACCTTAGTGTACCTCGCTGCTGTCCTCGAATACCTCGCTGCAGAGATTCTGGAACTCGCTGGCAACGCCGCCCGTGATAACAAGAAGCAACGTATTGTCCCCCGTCACCTGCAACTTGCCATCCGAAACGACGAGGAACTGCAAAAACTTCTCGGCAACGTCGTCATCTCACAAGGTGGTGTCGTGCCACACATTGCACCTGTACGTCCCTTGCTCTCATCCCCTCCTTGTGCATTTGCTGACCCCGCCCGCAGGAACTTCTCCCAACGAAGTCAGGAAAGGGCAGGAAAGACGATGGCATCAGCCAAGAAATCTAATTTCTTCCTTGTGTCGTCTTTTCTTTATTTTGCTTTCGTGTTGTTCTTATATCCTCATTTTTTGGTCTCGCATCCGCATTTTCTGTATTTTTGTCTAATGCATTGTATCATTGTTCAGTAGCAAGCAATAATCGCATCATATCCATCTTGCATACGACTTTTGCGCCTTTGGCCATCGAATCTTCAGGGCAGTCCTTGTGCCTCCGGGAGTAGATAGGGTGTGTGGGAAGTTAAGAAGCCGTCGCCCTCCAAAAATCCTGCGTTGCTCGCCCTCGGTACCTTGCATGGTACCCTCTGACTCTTTCCTGGTTGCCACCGGCTCCATTCTTCAGACACATTAGCCTTTCCACATGGAAGTCTCCTTCGAAATGACTCTTGACTCGCTCCATTACCATCGAAAGGGCGCCCCGAACAAAGAAGGCTGTGCTGGAATCTTGAAAGGGTGTCGAAAGGGTGCTCCTGTGTCGTTGGTCTATCGATGGTCTTTAGAGGAGAAAGGAAGGGACTTGTGTCACATATCGAAACGAGAGAGGCTCAGAGAGAAAGGAAGGCACTGGGCTAACAGGTCAGTAGACGACGAAGGCGGTGCATGGACGCACTATTGAGCCCTGAACTGCCCGTTCGTTTCCTTCTTCTCTTCCTTCGACACCCGATACCAAGCAAGACACAGCGAATAGCCACAGGCGACGATTGTGACATGTAAACAGACGCAAAGCGAGGTTGACTTTTCTATGGGTCGCCACAGAGGTGGAGTGAGGAATCGAATGGCATTAGACGTAAAGGAATGTAACGAGGACACTGATACGAAATGTGAGTAATGCGGTTAGAGAATGGACAGGATTGTTAACTCATCAGTTATGCTACAATGAGGTGCTCGCCTTTGTCCAACTCGGGCGAGCAATTGCCAAACAAAGTTCAAACCTCCTGGGAAGCCGGGAACGAGGGAAATATAGCACTCCGAATCTTGCGGATTCCACATGGATTGATAGCCGGACGGGTGTTACCGAGATTAGTTCACACGGGCCATGCCGGGAGCGCGTGCCGACGATCGTGGTCTCGCCTTTGCTTTCGACCGTCACGCCCTCTGCCCTCGGGCGCTAAAACACTGCCAAAAGGCCCTTTAAACTTCCCAGGTACTCGTTGACACCATAGAGCTTATTCACCAAAATCCCAAGGTCTCTCTAACCGAGCTCCAGCCGGTCAAAGCCTCCGTAAGGAACCAAAAACGCGGAGTTGTCGTGAAGACTTTACCCCACACAGTCCCCCTCCTCGCGCCCCGAATCCTTCGAAAACAGGCGAAGAAGCTCAAAAGGTCGATATAACTCAGCCAATCCTAGCTCTATCACGTCTTCTTCTCCCACAAGAACCCAGCCAAACACCGCCAAAGGGATAAAACGCCCTCCAAGCGCACATGCAATCGATGGGTCATCTGGTCCACCCTCCGGGAAAACCTCGGGAAAACACTTTCCTCGACTTTTGCTGCTGCTTTTGGGATGGGAAGAGCTGGGGCGGGCGGGTAATAAAATCGTGACAGGGTTGGAGAAGTGGTGTGATGCTGTAACTGCTCTCCCCTGACCTTTGAGCCTCTGCGCGTACCATAGGCGAGCTTCAGCTCTTGTGGCACCGCAGGTTGTCAGTGACGAGCGCCAACGACACCGACGATTCGAGCGCCCGGAGAAACCACGACGAAACGCTCCTAATATGTCAACGATAACGCCTAATGGCGACAAGACTGCTCTGCCTGCGAGCCAGGGACATTCGGATGCGCAGGCAGCGCTTGGGATAGACGAGAAGGTAGATGCTGCCTCCGAGTCTACTCCTGAGACGGGCTCGAAGGGCGTGGAGGATAACAGGACGCCAGCGCAGAAACGCGCTGGACGGATCCAGTTCTACACGTTGCTTTGGTGTCTGTTCATCATGGGTTGGAACGATGGCACGACGGGCCCGCTGCTTCCTAGGATTCGAGAGGTGTACAATGTAGGCCCTTCCATCCGTCCTCTGGGAACGAGGATATGACCTGACCTATCGTTGTAGTTGAATTTCACCGTTGTGTCGCTCGTGTTCGTTTTGGCTTGCATCGTACGTTTTCAACCGCTTATATCAACGACACATCCTTGACGACGTTCATGTAGGGTTTCGTTCTCGGAGCGTTGTTGAACATGTGGGTTGGTCCACGGTATGGCATTGGAAAGGTCAGTACATATCACCCATTGCACGTCCTTTCAAGGACTCTGACCTCGTGTCCTCGTTACAGACGCTTGTCTTCGGTTAGTTTCTACACTCCGGGGGCCGGCCGTTCGTCGTTGAACGATTTCTCATGTTCGCAGGTGCCATCCTCCAAGTCGCAACATACTGTGTCCAGGCACCCGCTCCACCCTTCGCCGCCTTCGTCGCCATGAACCTCGTCAACGGAGTTGGTATCGCCTTCCAGGTGTGCCGAACAACTGTCCTTCCCCACGACGTACGAGCTAACACATCGCCCTACGTGTTTCCAGGACGCCCAAGCAAACGGGTTCGTCGGCGCTCTAACGTATAACCAAGAGGCAAAGATGGGTGTTCTGCACGCTGCCTATGGTATGTCTCTCTCCACTCTCCCGTCGTACCGCTTCTGTTGAAATTAACGACGATGTTGATGTCGATGTTGTACAGGTCTCGGGGCATTCGCAGCACCGCTGGTTTCAACCCAGTTCGCTCAGATGACGCGGTGGTCGTTCCACTACCTCGTCTCCCTTGGCTGTGCGATCGTCAACCTTGTCCTCATGATCGTCGTCTTCCGATTCAAGGACCAGGAAAGTAAGTGTATTTCGACATCGTTAATCAACTGACCACTTTGTTGACCATTCGTTCTACTTTTTTCCGTCGTTGTTTGTTGTGCGCGTCATAGCTTGCATGCGCGAAGCGGGCGAGTTGATCGAGCTTCCCAGCGCCCCTGGGAAGAAGGTCGAATCCCAGAAGCAAGAAACAAACTTCAAGGAGATCATGACCACTCGTGCTGTTCATTTCTTGGCGTTCTTCATTCTCATCTATGTTGGTGTCGAGGTTACCATCGGAGGTCAGTACACCTTTGCGTAGGAATCTTATTGCTGGCTGATGGAATGACATTGTTTCAGGTTGGATCGTTACGTTCATTATTGAGGAGCGAGGGGGTGGTCCTTCGTCTGGGTATATCTCTTCTGGTTTCTTCGGAGGTTGATGGACATCCCCCGTTATGTCGATATTGAGCTGATAAATGTGCTTAGGTCTGACACTTGGAAGGGTAATCCTGTTGTGGGTCAACGAAAAGGTATGCAGTGTGTTCCTCAGACTCGGGTTGTCACCCGTTAATGCATTGACAGGTCGGGGAACGTCTTGTCCTCTACTTCTATGCGGTCCTTTCACTTGGGTACGCTCGTCCACCACCTCGCAATCTCCCTCATTAATTCTGACCTCTTCCCGCAGTCTCGAATTCATTGTCTGGTTTGTCCCTTCACTCGTGGGCAACGCCGTTGCCGTGTCCTTCATCGGTCTCTTCTTGGGTCCCATGTTCCCTCTCGCCGTGAACCACGCCTCGCGCGTCCTCCCTCGTCGACTCCTCACCAGCTCGATTGGCTGGATCGCTGGATTCGGTCAAGCTGGCAGTGCTCTCATCCCGTTCATGACTGGCGCCATTGCGGAGAATCATGGCATTAAGAGTTTGCATCCCTTGTACGTTTTACTGTCATCACTTTCTTTCGAGACAGTCGCTGACTCCGCTTGTGTTGCAGGCTGGTTGCGATGATGGCAGTGCTAATTTTGCTCTGGTGGGTGCTCCCAGAGAGGCCTGTAGCAGCTTCGCCAGCTGCTACTCCAGCTGTTGAGGATGTGGCGGTCGATGAGAAGGATAAGGAACAAGTTGTGTAAATGGGTTTCTTCTGGTTTTCTGGGATTGGTCTTTTTCGAGTGGTACACGATTCTTCATGGGTCTTTCACGTTTTCGGTTTTTTACGAGTGTTTGTATGTAACGAAGTTCTTTATGTTGGATGGTTTGCACAAATTCCTGTGCTCCCAGCACCCCACCCTGGTTCACAACGTTCTCCAGTGCAAACTCCAGAGTCCAGACGATCTCGACCACTCAGATTACATCATCAAAGCCCATCCGCGCATGCCGGCGGCTAGGCCCGTCCGCAAGCGCCGATCATCGTGTTCTCCTCACGACAACCACGGACGACGCTCCAAACCTTTTGCCTTGTATTGGCGCGGAGCATAGAAGAGCATAGAGCACAGCGTTGTTCACTGGTCACCCGCTTTTATGAAATAGCGGGCCTGATCGAGTGTAGTGTGGAGCAGAGAGAGCAATTGCAAGACGGGGTGTCTTACCCGACCCTCCAACCCTTTCCACGCCAGAATCACGCTATTCAAACCTGTTCGTGCCTCCATTTGGGTGCAAATTTCCAGATAGAAGGGGGGGGCTAGATCAAAAAGGGTACGTGTCACTACTAAATGAACTGGTCTAAACATGGAGCGAAGACGCTGACGAATGGTGTGAGCGCGCTGTATGGGTTGTTCCGGGGAAACCTCGGATAAATAGCCTATACCCTTTGCAGAACTCCGCCGCGTCTTTAAAGCCCACTCCAGTCCTCTTGTCCTGGAGAGCACTGCTTATCCTTGCCCTCTTCCTCCTCCCTCCATCTTCTCCGGCGTCGCCGACGAGATACACGACCTTTCCGAATCGTTGGAAGACTGGACAAAAGCAAAGAGCACTCGTTTACCCCGCATACGTTACGCCTCGGAGAAACCACGATAAAACTCGCCTAAAATGTCAAGAACAACGCCTAATGGCGACTACGACTCTACGAACGACATTGTCGCGCATGCGGGATCAGATGTCGGTGGCCCTGGCAGGAATGGGCACGAGAAGGGGGATGTTGCGGCGGCGGCGTCTCCTGGCCTCACCGGCAAGAGTCTGGTCTCAGAGGCCTTGAAGGTCACACCTTCGACATCCCAGGAAAACTCTACACTCCTTACTAGACGGGATACGTCTGAGTCGTTGAAGAGCGTACGCTCGGATGGAGGTGCGGGTAAGGAAGCTGCCGTTGTGGAGAAGACGAGGAAGCAGCGGAGAGTGGGGATGCTCCAGTTTTTGACCTTGTGTTGGTGCCTATTCATTTTGGGATGGAACGACGGGACTTTGGGTCCGTTGCTACCGAGGATTAGGGAGGTCTATGATGTGAGTTTTCTTTCTTTTGCTTGTGTGGCCAATGCTGGGTGCTTATGGATTTTAGGTCGGATTTACGATTGTGTCTTTGGCGTTCGTGATGACTTGTTGTGTGAGTTGACTTCTTCACATTTTGAGTGTCGTAATTAAATGCATTTCATGATTGGCGATTCTAGGGCTTCATCGCGGGTGCCCTATTAAACATGTGGATGGGTCCCAAATTCGGTCTCGGAAAGGTATGTGAAGCAATTACATCCATGGGTGGCTCCAGACTAACGTGAACGCATTTATAGACCATGGCCATTGGTTGGACCTGTCCTTTACGCCGACGGAATTTCACTTTGCTAACCAGCCTTCTACAGGTGCATGTCTTCAAGTGATCACCTATTGCGTTCAGGCACCAGCGCCGCCGTTCGCCGCTTTCGTAGCCGTGAACGTTCTCAATGGTATCGGTCTCGCTCTTCAGGTAAGCGTTACCATAATCCTTGTCGACCTCCTTCTCACGTCCATGATTACCAGGATGCTCAAGCCAATGGTTTCGTTGGCGCTCTATCCGAGAAGCCCGAAGCCAAAATGGGTGTCCTACATGCCGCTTATGGTACGTGCTCACCCCCGATATTTCGCGTTATCACGGGCGCTTAATGGGCTTGTAAACAGGACTAGGAGCATTCGCCTCCCCTCTGGTATCGACCCAATTCGCGCAAATGGAGCGATGGTCGTTCCACTACCTCGTCTCCCTCGGCCTGGCAACTCTGAACACTCTCTTCGTTATTGTTGTCTTCAGGTTTAGACCGCAAGACGGTACGAGCCTCTTCCTTTTTCATTTACTGTTCTAACTTGTCGAATGTTTGGCAGAATGCATGAGGGAAGCTGGGGAGCCTGTTTCACATCACGACGATAGTACCAAGAAGGAAACTAACTTCAAGGAGATCATGACGAACAAGACTGTGCATTTCCTCGCCTTCTTTATCCTCATCTACGTTGGTGCCGAGGTTACCATTGGTGGTTGGATTGTCACGTATATTATCGATGAGCGTGGTGGAGGACCATCGGCTGGGTACATTGCTTCCGGTTTCTTTGGAGGTGAGTCTCTGCTTTCCCCGGTAACATCATAGGCCCGGAATGTTTACATTTTTCACGCAGGTTTGACTCTCGGACGTGTAGTCCTCCTATGGGTCAACGAAAAGGTTGGAGAACGCCTAGTGGTCTACATTTATGCAATCCTATCCTTGGGGTACGTTCCTCTAATACATATCTTCATAGCCCAATACTCACACGAACCGACAGCCTGGAATTCATCGTCTGGTTCGTACCCTCACTCGTGGGCAACGCCGTCGCCGTTTCCTTCATCGGTCTCTTCCTCGGCCCCATGTTCCCTCTCGCAATTAACCATGCCTCCCGCGTCCTCCCCCGCCACATCCTCACCAGCTCCATCGGCTGGATTGCTGGGTTCGGTCAAGCTGGAAGCGCGCTCATGCCGTTCGCTACTGGTGCTATTGCCCAGAATCATGGAATTAAGAGGTTGCACCCTCTGCTGGTAGCGATGTTGGGTGTTTTGATTGTTTTGTGGTGGTTGATTCCAAACCAACCACGCCCTATTACGCCCCCTTCTACACCTGCATCCGAACCTGAGCCCTCGAATACGCCTACCATAGCCGAGGTGTGATGCATTGATACATCTAGTAGTACTGATATTGGACAATATTGCGGTTTTGTCGTTCTCTTTGTGCTTCATCATCTCTTCTTGGATTTATGGATAGGGTTGTTTACTTACATCGAATAGTCGTGCTACTAAAATTCCTGGCTAATGGACATGTTCAACATCTACCACCATGCTTAATAAAGACAGCGGATCGGTAACTAAATTCTTCGTGATCATAGCATACAACTGCAAAGCACAGAAGAGCACCTGCAATGGATGTGCTCGCCCGACTAATGATGCTAATGAGCCTGAGGCGGAAAGTTGACAACCGCGACAACCGACAACCGAAGGGCACGACAAATGGTAGCCACCAACACAGACCGCTACTATCACACACATTGCATTACAAAAGTTCGAACGATTGATTTTGGTAGGTGAGTGCACATGTACACTACCATCACGATTCAAGAATCAGTTTCGACCACCAGGCCTCGACGGGTCACCAGAGGCACTATATCCTTGGTTAAGCCTGGTGACATCTGCTACTACCTGGATGCATTCACATTAATACTTTTTCCTCTCTTATCAACGATGTACAATGTACATACCTTTTCCAATGTCTCCTTCATCGGCGCAAGCTCTGATCTCAAAACCTTCCCCATCTCCGATTCATTTCCGGAACCAGAGACGCTCGTGGAAGGGTCCTGCTGAGACTGAACGCTGGGAGCCTGCGGGAACCCTCCCGTTTTGTCGGTGAGGGTGACCCCAAGCCCTCCTCTCTGAATTTGTCGAATCTCAGCAACGATGTTCTCTTGCCAGGATTGAGCTGAGCCCGTTCCCGATGCAATTAAAGCGACAACTTCGTCGATGGACCGGGATAAGGGTGGTTGGATGTGTCGATACTCGGCTAGTACCGAGTCCTCCCATGTGCGAACTGGTACGTCAGGGACGTCATCTACTCTTGCGTACACCGCAAAGAGGAGCCGTGAGGCTCCGGCGAATCATGAAGAACTGCGCAAAGCGTACCGATCCGAGCCTGAAGCTGTGGCTGAGCCATTCTGTCGTCAAGTGAATGCTGTCGAGGCTTTGCTGTTGTAAGTAGCGGGTTAAGCTTGTGATTTGGTGTCAGGGGTAAGGGGGTTGGAGTGCTAACCCTGGTCTTTTAGGTGCTGGAATAGACTTCCCGAAACTGCCGACGTCATTGAGTCGTAGAAAACGACGTCAGATGGGATGGTCAGATCTCCTGTGAGATGTTATGCGAAAGGTAGCCTATGTATAGAGATTACCACAGGGGATTGGAGTGTAGCGAGCATGATCAGTAGCGGCTGCGCAGTTGGGTTGAAGGCGACAGTGATGGGGAATCCCCGGAAGAACGGACACACCATTGATCTGAGACTGGCGCTCAACTCCAGACGCACCGCGAATAAAATTTTGAAACTTGAAAGAATCTGTCCTGCTCACTTGCTCAGCATTCATCGGCATTGGCCAGGCTGGTCTTCGAATTTAATCATCCATTGTAAGTCCACTCAACGTGTCCTAGAAATAAATAGATGCCGACACGCCCAAAGAGCCTCCCCCTTCACCCATTACCAGTGCTTGTAAGTTGCCCATTCATCCTCTCCAGGCTCATAATATAATTATCCCATTCCTCGATACTAACGACTAGCCCTCAGCACACGCGTTGAGAACATCTAAGAAATGAACACACCTATAAGCAACCGGAGCTTGACTCCAAAGCGTCGTGCTGGGATCCGCAAACAAGGACTGGAACTGCGCATCCGGACTTGTGGGCCCCGAACCATGGTTTGAACCGGGATTGTTGAAGAGCGCGACATCCTGTTGGTTCATCCCGGAATACTGTGGCACAATCACATTCGACCCAGGGGACGTTTGGATGTGAGAGAAGTCGAAGTTGAAAGGCGTGTCAGTCGGAAGTTGGGAGACGTTGAGAGGAGCGGTGACTTGATCTTGCGCCTTGGACGGTCCAGGTGGACTAGGCGTCGACAGGGCTGTGACCGAAGGGTAGCTTCCAAGCAGCGTATCTCCGTATATCGATAGGTTGGAAGGCTGGCCTTGCTGATGGGAATGGCTTGTTGAAGACATGCTTGATTGTGAGGCCTCGACCTTATCTCCTTCGACGTGAACACTTCGTACTGAGCGGAACTCGGCCAACATGTCACTATAGGTACCATGTCAGTCGATGGTTGGACAATAAACAAGTAAGCCATACCCCATTCGAGCAGAGCCGGGCCAACTATGTCCACCGTTAGACCTCCTAAACAACTCATGCTTGGCCAGCTACTCACCGGTTCTCCGAGCGCTTGATATATGTGACACAACTTTCAATATTCGTGTTATATCTTGCAACCTCGTCCGGCGAGATGAACTCTCGCTCAGCCCAAAGGTCGATGATAAGAGTTAATGCCGATGCGAAAGCTGCCATCTGCACAGGGATGAGAGTTTGCCATGGTCAGGTCAAAGGCAGCGATCACTTACCACGATGTGCGGGTCTGTCAGGCCACCCCTCACAGAAGCGGCTTGTAGTAGGTGAGCACACTCTGTTGACACCTCTCTACAAACGATGAAAGGCGTGGTCGAGAGACAGTCATTGCGAAGCAGTGGCCGGTGGATTTGGATTCGAACGTAACAGAAGAACGTGTTGAGGAATAGCGATTGTTGGAAGAAGGTGCGGTCGGAAATCTCGGGGTTCCACTGAACTGTGGAATCGTCAGCAGGGAACGACAAGAAGTTGTGTCAGACATACGGTGTCGAGGTAACGACCGTCTCCAAGTCACCAAAGCGGAATCCAGTTCAGCAACAACCCGAACCTCCCAGTTCTCACCGATCAGCCCATGGATTATTCTGCACTTCTTGGTCGAGTAGAGAGTCCGCAACATGGAGCCAATGATATCACATAGACCTAGATAGGACAGGAAGGCCGACATGAACGAAGGACGATCGGGTGGTTGTCTAAAGGCCTGGGTCGGGTCCTCTGTTTCCCAATATTCGTCGTCACACTCGACAGGGTAATCGACATCGATGCTGCGAAAACGGTTAGCTACGAATGTGCTGAAATGTTAGGATGACTCACTCTTCCCCGTAAAGTGCACACGGCCGTCCCAGTAGGGAGCTCATCGTCCGATCCATTGCCACCAGACACCTAAAAGTCTCTGTTAGAAGGACCATCGGAATTTCATTTGCTGACATACCAGAATGCGCGCTTCCTTAGCTCGGCTTCTTTGTTCGGTCTATATTTGTTGCGTTGCCGTCTGTGTAGTCCACCATCCTGTGCAAGTCGGAGGCCAATTCCAGCAAGAGTCCAGGCTGTATGGTTCATGGACGACCCTAGGAAATACATTGCTGCTAGCTGCGACCGGTAAGTCGCGACGTTACCCGGTTTTCAAAGACAAGTAACTCACTGCGTAGCGCTGAAGGTCATATACGGTTGTCTGGACGAGCGATATAGTTGAAGCAAGTGGCACCTGCGATATGTATTTCCACCCGGACGATGTTTGATCTGCGTCCTTGAGATAAACGCGGGGGTCGGTGCTGAACCTCGAAGCAAGTGCACACACAGTAAGGAGGGTCGCAGCAAAAGATGGATTTCGGAGATGCAATTGGTTTCTGACGTCATTCTCGAACGTGGGCCTGTGCAGGACGGGTAGCAGAATGTGGCAATTGTCGAAGTAGAGGGATATCAATGACTCGAGGAGATCCGGCTCAGGGAACACGTAGTTGAAGTCCTTCATTCGAAGGTAGTCCTTCTCCCACTGTAAAGGATGAAAATCACCACATGAATGAAGCCGAGAGGGATGGTAGACGAACCTCTCGCAATTCCCAAAACACAGGTCGCTTAGTACGTGCAAAGTTTCCGCCATGAGTGCCACTGCGTTCGTTCTTGAACTCGATACAGTTCTGAGCGTATAAAAACATGCTAGAAGGGTCATATTAGCCACTCTCCAGAACGACTTGGCGGGAATGATTCATACCTAGATCGTCCAAAGAAGCGGTTCTCCGTGATATCAAGCGATAAATTCTTCAGCCTCTCGGCCAGAGTAACGTGCGAAAGGTCGTCTGGGTCCGAGAGGTCGTTTTCTTCGGTCATTGGCGCAGTAGATTGGATGAAGGAAGTCGAAGCTTCCACCGAGAGCGAGCGCTCTGCCAGTTGAAAGGCACCTGGATTGGTCGAAAGCTGAGGAAGAGAACTCGTGGAGGCTATCTTTGTCGGAGGCATCGGTGGTCGAGGTAGAATGGACTGTGGTCTGGGCGTTGCTTCACCTATCTGGGTAGGTAGTGGTTGGCCTACTGTACGCAAGTAAGCCTCCATTGTCTTCAGCCTCTCTTCCAAGGCTTGGAGATGCCTGCACCGAGCGTAAGTCTTGCCCTGGCAACTTAGAATCGGTCACTCAACATGCTGGTTGGTTGCACCACCTCTGACATACGCTTCTACATGAACTATCGGTTCAACGCCCTTCAAAACATGAAGCTAGAATAACTCACCTTTCGACGACTGGTTTCGTGCGTACATGGGATCCTGCAGTTTATGCAATTCGAGCAAATGTTATCAGGTTTGATGGCGCTGTCGCCTGACGATCCCTCCAATCAGCGACCAAAGCACCAAAGACGACCTGCATCATATCAAATTAAACAACATACATTTCGCTGCTTAAATGTCGATAAACCGTGCAATAGGCTTGGGAATGACTCACTTTTCTTCCTTCGACAAGCATCGCAGGCGCCATGGAGGCGCTTTCGCTTGATCGTCGACGTTGAGCCTGACGCAGAGCCTACTCTGGATTCTGAATCCGAAACTGGATTACTGCTAGGCTTAGCTTCGGTCATTGCGGTTAATTAGGTGGTGGTGGTTAAGCTTTAAGCCAAGGGTTCGCGTTTGTCCACCGGCAAATGGTCGCGTCGGAATCACGAAAGCTGACTCAGCCCCCTATTTCATGCTTTCGGCCGTAGACAAAGAGGGGCCTCTCGGTCGAGATACTTGTCAACGCCCAGGCGCCCAGGCCCCGGATTGCGTCAGGGTTACACTTCGTTTCCAGATGTCACTAGTAGTTAAGGTAGTCGGATGGAAGGATGAAAGGAAGCAACCTCAGCATGAGGGAACATCGGATGTGACAAGCTGTCAAGGAAGCTAACGGACATTCTAGAGCAGAATCAAAAGAACAAACGTCGTTGACTATAGGAAGGTATTACTACAAGAGAATATCAGATAGTAGGGTATAAGACTGAAGATAAACGTGTATCTATTGCAGTCAAGGCTTGAAGGAAGGAGAAGGATATGCTACAGGTGCGAGATTGAACACAGTGAAGCTGGGGCAGGAATTCGTGCGAGGCGAAAGCATGGGGGATAGGGCACACTATGCTGGAGGTTTCGATAACGGTCGAGAAATAGGAACTCCTCGATGGACAGATGCACGACTCGGATGCCGTGCAAGAGTAGTCCCAGCCCGCTGCGCCTGAATACTGCTGAACCTAGACAGCTCTTCAGGCTTAACAGAGACCTTGTTGCCAATGTTGAAACGCCGCATTGTCCTCCGCAGGAAACTCGTTCGGTTCGAGTAGAGTGATTCGTGTATCGACTGAACTCGAGATGGACTGGGTGCAAGAGGAGCACCACCAGCTGAGGCCGCAATCTCTTGCGCCATTCGCCGTTGAGCACGCTCGTGGAGAGTTTTGATGACAGTGGCACGCATCGCGAACTTGATCCAGTCGAGCGGGATGAACCAGATTATGTTCTACAGTGAGTGATCTTTAGTGATAATCAATAGAAAGAAACAAACGCTCACTGACCCAAACCCAGATGATGCCAATCCAACCTCCAGAAATCGAGTGAATGTTGGTGAAACCCCAGTCACCATAAGCAGCGATAATAGACGAGACGAGTTGTGCGACAGCAAAGGCTCCGAGAAGCGCAAAAGACGGACGTTCCATGAAGAAGAAACTATGTGCGCGGGTGACGAAGATCAGAGCCTGCGAAATGATAGCAACCTGAAGATAGGCGATCATGTGCAATTGAGGATCGTTTTTGTCAATGAGGGTTCCATTATTGCGGGACGGGTCGTTTAAGGTGACACCAAATTTGCGTTCAAAGAAGTTGGTCTCGACGATGACCACGATCAGCGCGACACTGGAGGGAATGAAATCAGCGGGGAATGCGACAAATGGAACAGGAAACTTACGTCGACGCTGTAAGGTATAGACCGTAGGCGATAGCATAGGCAAAGATCTCCGCGAGGTTCCAAGAGTCAGGAGAATGAGAAGGGAGTACACGATCGAGAGAAAGGGTCATGATGGTGCCATCGTTGAGCAAAGCCACGACTAGAATCATGAATGGCGGGAAGTCAAACTTGTAGGTGAAAGCCAGGACGGCAAAACAGACGACAATACGGATGGTAACCGCACAGGCATAGATCGAGTAGTTTCTCATACGTTGGAAGATGATACGAGATTGACGAATGGCGTGGACGATTGTGGAGAGACCTGGCTCAGTCAGGACGATATCAGCGGCACCACGAGCAGCATCGGTTGCGCCTTCGACGGCGATACCAACATTAGCACGGGAGAGAGCAGGGGCATCGTTGGCTCCGTCACCAGTCATGGCAGTCAGATGGCCAAGCGCTTGGAGCCGTTTAACGATCTCATACTTGTGCTCAGGAAAGACGCCAGCGAAGCCGTCGGCGTCCATGATCATAGCGTCGAGGGTGGCGAATTTGCTGTCAGGGCCAGGACCATCCTTCAAGACCTTGGCAGGGTACATATGGTCGCCGAGACCAAGACGTCGACCAGTTTCCTTTGCGATCGCGAGTTGGTCGCCGGTCACCATCTTCACTTTGACACCCAAGGACATAGCCTCATCGATAGTCTGTTTGGTGTCGTCGCGGGGAGGGTCAAAAATGGACAATAATCCGATCAACTCGAAACCGTTTCCGGGTGCTTCAGGGTCGTCGCCTGATACCTCCTCATACGCCACAGCGAGGGCACGGAGACCACGGCTGGCATACTCCTCGACGTCCTTCTCGACCTTGTCCTCCTGTTCCTCCGTCTTGTCGCGAGTACACAAGTCCATGATGATGCCGGTCATGCCCTTGGAGACGCGTTTCAGCTTCCCAGACGATTCTTCTCGATAGGTAATCTCCGTCCGCTTGTCGACAGGGTTGAAAGGCTTGAAGTCTAGCAGCTTGATACCCTCGCGCGCAAGCTTCACGTCACCTAGGGCGGAGACGACAGCGGAGTCGATAGCGTCCTGGTTCTCTGTACGCGAGGCGTAGGCTGCGAAGAGGATGACCTCGTCGGCGGAGAAGCGGCTGAACGTCTTGATAGTACTTCGGTCGATGGTCAACTTGTTTGTGGTGAGGGTGCCAGTCTTGTCGGAGCAGAGGATCGTGACACCAGCCAGTTCTTCGATGGCCGTAATACGCGTGACGATAGCTTTGTGCTTGGCCAGCTGGGTGGCACCGACGGCCAGGGTGACGGAAAGAACGGTTGGCATTGCAATGGGGATCCCGCCGATGAGGAGGACAAGGATGTTGTTGAGACCGCGGCGGTACTGGTACCGGAACCCTGCGTAGAGCACGAAGATTTCTGCGATGACGAAGATCCCGATGGTGACCAAACAGAATGAACCAATGTACGCCAAAATTCGCTGCAAATGCCCAGTGGAGTCATCATCTTGTCCAACCAGCGAGGCTGCTCGTCCGAAGAAAGTGTTGGGTCCGGTGGAGATGACTACTCCTTCTGCTTCGCCCTGTTTGCACGTAGATCCACTATCAACCAGATTAGAACGGGCCGAGACAAAATTAAAGCGTGAACTCACGAGAAACACTCGTCCCCCACCTTCTTCGACTGCGGCAATGATTCTCCCGTTAGAGCAGCCTGGTCTATAGAAACATTGATAGCCTCGAGAAGCCGACAATCCGCAGGAACAATGTCTCCAATCTTGAAAGCGACAATGTCCCCCGGTACCAAGTACGCCGACTCCATCTCCACCCACCCGCCGTCTCGCCGTACCTTCGCCTTGGGAGCCAGTGCGTCCATGAGTGCCTTGACCGCATTACCCGCATTCCTCTCTTCGTAGAACCCGATCGCCGAGTTGGCGAACAAAAGCGCGACGATACCGACAAAATCTTCCCAATCAGGGGGCGAACCTTGACCGTTGGACAGGATGATTGCAACTACGGCTGCCGCCTCCATGACCCAGGAAAGGGGGTTCCACATGAAACTTAGGAACTGAATACCTAGGCTCAGAGAGAATCCCCGCAGGAGAGACGGAACAAGCGTACCTGGAGAAACGCGTTCTGCGATTTCTCTTCTAGTTTGTTGGGCCCGAATATCTGCAGTCGCCTTTCCGCCTCTTCATGGCTAAGACCATGCTCATTACACTGCAACAGCTGCAGCACATCGTCGACCTCAATAGTCTCAAGATCGACCTTCTCTTTATCGTAGAGATCCTCTGCTGTGAGTTGGATCTATCCAAGGTCGGTAAGATTCCCTTGTCATTCAATGCATCAACAGCACACTCACAGCACTCATATCAACCTTCGCATCTGAGAAATGGATGAGATTCAGAATAGACGGGAGGCGAATTGAAACGTACGCGAAGCCTTCTCACTCGTATGCTCAAAATCCTTGTATTCCCGCTTCCTCTTCTCTTGATTCTCTGCAGGCGGTGGCTGACTGGTTCCATTGGCGGCGCTTGCGGGATTAGCCTCAAAATGCGCTGACGGATTGCCCTACGAAAGATCAGCTCAACGCACTCCCACCTCAGAGAAAGCACTCACCGTCGGATTGGGATTCGCGCTCATTGCAGTTCAATGACTGTCAGATGAGTAATTGGGTTGTGGGTCGAGGGGTGGACGGAAAGAAGGAAGACAACAACGAAATTCAGTTCCTTTTGAAACTTTGAAAAGCCTGGAATGATAACACATTGAGTCACCGGACTAGGTTCTTCTGAACCGTCCTGAGGCCAGTTTGCCGCCAAATGCAATATTTAGTGGAGGAGTTGGGCATGTACGCCGAGGTCTCAGGCTCAGGCTGGTCAGAAGTCATCGCGCCCTATCCTTGGGTTTCAGGTTGATAAGGGTTGGTTTGAGCTCGATGTCTGTCGAGGCTGTGGTTGCAGGAAGAAAGATCTTAGGTCAACTTCAGCCTCGCAAGTTGCATGATGGGAAGCGCGCATTGATCCGACGAGTTCGGAGCACAACCTGCCTCGTCAAGAAGAACGAAAAATCGTGTACGAGAGAGAAAATAGATGTATTTACAACAACAAGCAAAGTACAAGGGGGCCTAGCGTATAGTGTCCTCGTTAGTAAGTAAAAAGTGGTCATTAGCAGTCCATCCATCCAAAGAAACTGCAGGTATGTATCAAGCATCTCAAAATGTAGTAGTTCATATGGTGAGCTCAATCCCTACTAAATACACTCGTAACACCATGCAGAACACCCTTACCCGCGTTAACAGGAAGAGCGCCAATCTGCGTCATAGCCCTCCCTCCAACACTGGTAAACGTCGACGCAGTCTTTCGAGTCTTGGCGATGATCATAGGGTTGAAAAGGAGTTGAAGGCGGATACGCCCCTTTTGACCGTGCTTGGGTGTAGAAAGGGCGATAATGCGCTCGGTTGCTCGGAAGGGTTCGAGGGACTGGAGGTCGATTTGGGCACTGCCGAGAGATTCGTCTGATTCGACCCTATTCCAGTCGAACACTTCGATCTGGAAGTCGGCTGCAGCACGGGAGGGCTACGAAGCGGGTGAATCAGCAAATTCGTAAAGGAAAGAAAGAGAAAGACGGGGACTTACAACGGTGACTTCGAAATCAACATTCCACACTGGGGTCAGAGTCTTCTTGTGAGGCTCAGACTTGAAAACCTTTGAGCCGTCCAGGGTGAAGACAGCGTAAGGATCCGATCGGGTGCCTCCTCTATCAACAGCGAGGATGTCTTCTCCATCAAGCAGAGTCACACGGAGGATACCCTGGTCTGAGTCGGGCAAGGTGTTTAGCAACACGATGGAATGTGGAGGCACCGAAGTCACTTACTGCTGACAGTCTCCCGAGGCTCGAGGACAATCGAAACAGGGATGTAGCGAGCTTCGACCAGAACCGTCGAAGGATTCTTCCCGTTCTTATCAGTAAGGACGTATTCCTTCGGTCCATCCTACAGGAAGACAAAGTAACCTGAGCACCGGTCACCAGGAGGCATGAAAGAGACCACGTACGAAAGTATCCCTCAAAAAGTCCTTCACGGGCCCATTCCATTCAGAAACAACCTTATCCTCACCCTCCTCATCGGCCGCATCCAAGTACAGATGAACCTGTCCGAAATCAATCTCCTTGATAAAGCCCTCGCCAACGAACTCCCAGCGGGCAGACTTGCTCCTGGACTTAGGAGTGCTGACACAAGGCCACTCGAAATCGTCCAAGGCGACTTCGATACGTCCCTTGACCGAAAGGATACCTGAGACGACGTTCACCACGATGATGCCGGATTCTAAACCAATTCGTCAGAACGAGAGGAAGCAACAATATGACGGAGAACATACGTTGAGCCAACAACTCTTCCACAGGGTACTGGATACGAACAGGTGCCGCAGACTGAGGGGGAGTCGAAGGCGCGGTGGGACTGGGCTCAGTAGGCGATCCAGGCACCGCCGTAGCTTCACCGTCTTCAGCCTGAACCTTCGTATTGATCTTGGATAGGGTATGCCTCTTGCTAGGCCTATACGTGATACGAACCGGCGACGAATCAGCATGATCACTAGACGCATCTGACACATCTCCACCATCTTCGTCATCCTTGACTTTCTTCGCATTGGGATGCCCCTTCTGCTTGTCAAACTGAATATCCACCTGCCACGCTGGAACAAAGGTAGCCTCGTAGTGCAAGACGCCCTTGGTCTTGTCCCTCTTGAGAACGAGAGGATCGGCGGCCTTTTTCGTACCAGTGGATTCGTAGGGTGTGCGGGGGTCGTCGCTCTTCTTGGCCACTTGGGATACGAGGAGTTCGACAGAGCCGAGAGGTCGATCCTTTGTCACCGTTTGCTCGTCGAAGCAGTCCATCATGATTGACTATCAACCTTCGTCAGCACGATGAATATTAAAGGTTTGGCGTTTGTCATACCTCGGTCAGGTCGTGAACTGCAACGAAGGATTAACGTTCCGAACAACGAAAGAACGAATGAAACGACGCACCAGGAACATAGAAAATCTCGTCCCAAACAGGATTGAGGTCTAAGATCGACTAGGTAAGGTCCAAATAGTTTCCGTACGTGCACCGACTTACTATTATCGATGACCTTGGTCTTGCCCTTGGTTTCATTCCTGACTTGCACCCGAACATAGGGATCGCTCTGTGCGAGCAGAGGCCGATTCAATGAAAGCCCTAGCTTGTACAAACGTCACGCTCACCTTTCCACCAAAGCCACTCTCCACGTTCCTTGATCATCCATTCAGCTCCACGAATCGCGCAAACCAAGGAACCAAAGCACTCACTTAACATCAACCGCCTTCTTAATCCATAACTTGACAGCACCAATCGGCGGTACATATCGATCCGCACCATGCAAGCTCCCCGACATCGCAACAGGTTTCCAAGTCGCCGATACCCTAATCTTGCCAGACTTGCAGTCGTTCAGATTAAACCACTCCTTGCCATACGACTTGCACTCCAACAGATCTTTCAACGCAACGGACATGAAACCAATAGTAGGATTGCGTCGGAAATCCCGGTCGTTGATAACCTTGATAGTGATGATGTCGGTGTCCTTGGACGAGCAGAGGAATTCATAGGGAGCTTCCCAGACGGGGTTGAGTGTGTGTTTATAGGTTGCGGTGGTGAATGAGGACTTGGGACCATTGTTGATGTAGACCTTTGCGAGAGGACTGAGTTCGCCGTTCAGAGACGTAGCAGTGTCCAACTCCTTCGCTTGGTGAATGACGAGTCGAACAATACCGATAGCTGGGGGAGAATAGTTAGTCCAGAGTACAAGAGCTATAAAGTAGAGTACATACTTGAATCCTCTGTGTCAATTGCTTCATCCTTGTCAGCAGTCTCGGCGCCAGGTTCGGGAGGTTCAATGACGGGATAGTAAGTGACGTTGTATCGCAGCTCGCCACGGTCCTTTTCTCCGTCCATCAACCGACTAGTAATATTCTCCTGAACGGAGTCTTCCCTGAGCAGTGCCAAATCGAAGGATGCCGTGCTAAGCTTGACGTTCGACCGACGGTCGTTATAGTCATAGACATGGAGGTTGAGCTTTCCTTCGAGCTTGTTGACCAGAACGTATTTGGTTTCCATCCATGTAGGGTTGGTCCTGAAGTTCAAGGTAAGCAAATGGGAGAAAGGATGTAAGGCAATTCACGAACGTGTTGCTTCGCCATTTAGTACGAGCAACTGCGGGGCGTTGGTCGATAGCAAGGGAAACGTAAGGATCGGGAGTCTTGTCTCCGAGACTGCTCCCCTTGACACCACGAGCCGAGTGCACCATGACTTCCAAAACACCGATAGCAGTTTCGAGTGGCCTTCCTGACATGATTTGCTCCAGGTTGAGACGGTACATGGCGGGGTGGTACATCATGGGACCAAGGACCCAATGCGTAGTGTCCCGAATGAACGAGGATAGACCCGGAATCTGAATGAAGGGTCAATAGCCGAAATTCAGACGGGAATTAACCACTCACGTTGGTGATGTCCACACCAAAGGTATCTCCACCAAGAGGTTTCAAGGAGTAGTCGATAACTGGCTTCTCCATGAAGCAGAAGTCGAGGACCTGAACATAGGGGAATTCCGCAGACAACTTCATCCGAATCCGAATGCGGCCAGTCACAGTGATATCTTCAACCAAGACGGGGATGGTCACAACAGCAAGTCCTTTTCCAATTCGAATCTCGAGAAGAACTCGAGGGTTGAGCTTCTTGTCCACCTGAGCAATAGTCATATTGGCGACATCGTTGGGGGCGAAAGAGATATCCCAGTCCATTTGGACGACATCGTCCTCCTCTTCCACCATGGTCCAAATCTTTTCAATTCTCGGCGCTTTGCTTCCAAGGCTGAATTCAGAGAGACGAAGGGCATCGAGGAAGGTCGGTGTACTGATGCTGAGGATTTGGTCAACGGAGGTGGTGATGGTCGCAGAGAGGACGGGTTCGTAGATGTTCCAGAAGCGCTCCAGGAAGCCGTTCATCCACTCAACAGTCTCCGGATGATCAGGGCCCCGCTTTGCTTTAGTCATTTCGCGAACCATGTCGTCCCGGGCATCGCGTTCGAAGCGTTTTACTGTCGTGGTATAGTGGGTATAACAGACGCCCAGGATGACGAGGAGCCATCCCCAGCCGAAGCCAAGCCAGGTGACGAAATGTGAAGAGAGAACAGCCTGCATGCAATGTCAATGATTTCGCGCATCCCAAAGACAGCCAATACTGACGAAGACGATGATTCCTGCATTGTTGTACCAAGCCACGTAGAATTGCTCGCTCACAAACTTGCTGAGGATGGCGTTGTCCTTCTCTTCGCCTTCGGTGAGAGGTGGCTTGTCCAGACCCAGCGCCTGGCGCCAGCCGACGATATACCAATCCGGAATGGTGTACTTGGTGGTGGTGGGTGCGGCTTCTTCGGTCGCTTCATCCTTCCCTTCTACTTTGACGACAGGGGCCGGTGTACCATCTGGTTTGACTTCTTCAGGTTTGTCCGAGTCTTCAACGACGATGCTTGGGATTTCGAATGGGGCGGCAGTCGACACCGCAGCCGAAATGCCTGGCACCTAATCAGTCTACCTCATATACCGAGTGCAAGATGCGTGCTCACCTTGTGCCAGCTTAGCCCCTGTGTTTTCACCGACCCCTTTCATGGGCGCGAGCTTGTCCTGCGCGACCCGCAGAGCCTCTGCCCCCTTCTGCTCTGGCGGAGCATCGGGGTCGAAGTGGTACACGTTGCCGCCTTTTGCTTTATCTTCGTCGAAAACCTGAGGCCCTTTTTCGAGAAGCGGTTGCTCCTCCTGTGGGTTCGTTGCCATCGCGGTTCGACCAGCTCAAGGCAACAACACAGCGCGGGGATGCACACAGCGGTCGCCTCGTGTTCGTCGAGTGCAGATATGAGGACGGTGTTGGTGGGGAAGAGCGAGGGACGACGCCGACGTCAACGTCCGCAACAGGTCAAATGCAAAAGCCTGAGGCTATTCGGGCCTGATGTCATCCCCAACCATTCCTGCGGTGCTGATGTATAAAACTCCCGCACAAGAAAGACGCCTCGTGTTCTAAAATTAGACTTAAGAAATGGATTGGGGTCTTGAACTACTGTCTTGAGCCACTAGTTTCGCGCCCGTTTGTGAATTGAGAAAGATATAGTAAAAGCAAGGTAATAAAAAACAAGAGAGTCATGGTAAAAGCGCGTCTCTACCGCGGCGTCTTGGCCGTAATTGTGCCAAGCGCAGGCAAACATTTCTTCCCGGTCGTGCACAGCCGGTTGATCTTGGGATTCACCTTGATCAAGGGTTCCAGCGAGGGCACCCTGCGGTCTGCACGCTTGGTGCATGCAGCACAAAGGCAGCGTCTCTGCCAATTGTCACTTGATGTGGACAAATTTATCCTTGCTTTGACTAAACCCTCAAGATCCTTAGACTCGAACGAGTCCATGAGGCTCTGCTCGCGGAACCGTGTTTTGATGTCGCCAGACAGGAAGTTTGAGGTACGGGAGTTGTACGGGAGCTTCAGGGTTTCATTGTGTGGAAGTTTCGACGTCAAGTGAACAGGAGAGCAGGACGAGGGTGACCAGAGAGCAGACACTTAGACGATTGCCAGAAATGTCAGAAGCTGACCCCGGCTGTAAGCAATCGGTGGAGGTCGATGGTAGCGCTGATATGTTGATATCTAGCTCTAGTGCTGATTCGTGCCTGAAAATTGCCCTGTGTTGAATATCGAGCAAACAGCAGACCTGCAAATCGGTAGAGAGCACAGAAGAAGGGATGGCGCTTGTGCGCCCAAAGCGTCAATTGGTTCCAATGCCAAAATGAGGCGTACAGTCTGATCAGATGAAATGACCCGCTCTGCTACAAGTTCCCTCCCCAGTGAGGTTACCAGTAGCACCTCCAGTCGTCATGGCCTCCTAGTTCAACCACTGGTCTTGTCTGAGCTCGCCCTTAAATCTGTACGCGTTGAGATTATGTTTCAACCGGGATTCGATGTGAACGGAGCTAGTCATTGCGAGGAACGAGATTCCAGAACATGAGGTCCAAGGGCAAGTTTGGGTTCAAGCTGCGACAGGGTTCTCAGTCTGTTGGGCTCTAATGCCGGAACAACGGATCAGATGCCCGTTGGGTGCGTTCGCAGGGTATTCTCGTCGAGTCGCACTTCAACTTGATTTCAACGATTCCATCAAACTCAGCAAGGGCCAGGGCACTATTATCTTCACAAAAGGGATATCACAAGAGCATAGATAAGCATGGATGACGCCAAAATCTATATCGCATAAAGGTGAGTTCAATTTCCCGGGTTGAGAAAAAGCCCGAGCGCTGAGAGTCATGGAAATTCGTTCTCAGTGGTGAGGTTAATTAACCCCCCAGGACCTCTAGGATAGAACCCCTGTGGAATGCTAATATTGCCTTGACTCGCCAGAGCCTTGCTACTCAGGTAGTAGTAGTAGCACTACCTGGTCCTGCCATGCGAGGGTATTCAGAACGTGATGACAAGGACAGGCCTACTCATGGCTTTGGTCAACCGAGTCCCCCCCGGCGAAAGTGGCCCTTCCTCGCCGACATTCCTCGCATATCGCATGGCACCTCGCAATTCTCGACATCTTTGACGCAAACGCGTTTCATCCATTATGTACCTTTTCCGCCACAAATAACCCAAGGTTCTCCCAAGGCCAAGCCACAGGCGCCCTCCCCTCCTATCCCGCCCAATCAGGAAGGTCCTTCAGCAAATAAGGGCACCGCCTCCCGAATGTTTGACAGTTCTGACAGCGCCATGACGTCCCAATGCAAATTATGCATTTTCAATCTTCCGCCCCGACACCACCCTCCGTGGAACTAATTCTCGAATCCGGTAAAACACATTTTGCCGGTCCCTGTGGCTTGGTATGGCTTGCATGACATATAATGTCACGCATACCCTCGCGAGGTACGAGGTTTTCGAGGGTGGTCCATCGTCTTCCGTTCCCAAATTTTCCCTGAACGTTCCCGTAACGCGTCGAACACACCTTCGCCACCGTTCATTCGAAGATGAAGTTCCAACTCGTTGCAACCCTTCTCGTCCTCGCCTCTCCCGCTCTCAGCTGGGGAGTGAAACGCGATGTCGCTCAAGAATCCGTTGCTGGGCTCACCAACGCTGAACGTTTGGCGCGTGGTTTGCCTTTGAACCCACCTGTTATCCGTGGTTCAAAGATCGGTATGTACAAAACCTTCGATCCAGCGTTTAGTTTGTACAATGGTGACCAATTTTTCTCAATCATGCAGCCCGTCAGGCCGCTTCTCCCGTCCCTGTTCCTGTCGCAGCCGCTGCTGCCATTCCTACCTCCACCTCGTGAGTTATCTCATTTCAGCATGGTCTTCAAAAAAATCTCAATGCAGTGTCCATCTAGCGTCAACGCGTACATCGAAGTCAGGGCGGTCGAACCCGAGCAATCGCGGATTAGGAGAAATTTCGCCGGAATCAAGTCCAAATCCATTGGCTGGGTTAGCAGCACCCGCGACGAGGATGGTGTCTACGTCTCAACCACCAAGCGCTCCGAACGTCTCGTCGTAAAAGTCGACACTCAGGAATTGCAAAAGGGCAGAGGTTATCTCAAGGTGCGTTCAGCCGCCCATACCGTTCCTTATCTCATTCCCGGGCCTATTTCATACTGATTATTTCAATTTTACCTTCCAGTCGACCAATACCAGTGACCCCTATCCCTATATTGGCGGTATCGTCCCCGATACGCGCGAGGTTTGGGACAAGGGGTCAAACAGCACTGCTCTCTTGGTTGGTACCGAGAAGACCCCTCGAGGCGTTGGCTCGATCTCTGTCGGTTACAGCTACAATACCACCGAGACTTTGAAGGAGGAATTCGATGCTCAAAGTGCACTCGTGAGTTACCGTCCTTTCGCAGAAGGCGAGCATCCTCTGATACCGATTTCTCCTCTGGTAGTGGAAGCTCAACCCTACGACCAAAGAGCTCTCCGCTGTATGGCTCAACGACGATGGCACGAAGCACGACGCTTTGATCTCCGGTGTCGAGGTCAAGACCGTCAAGTCGAAGGACTCTGAGGGTGACAACGAGGTCTTCCAATTGTTCCTCCTTTCCAACCTCACCGAGAAATCTGTTCTTCCTGAGGTACGTGGTGGTATACCTCACAAATCCTCAGCCCTGCTGACGCTACGATCTAGCTGAAATTTTATTTCGTCCCAGTCTGACCGGCGAATGTCAATCGGATTTCGTCACCGCAGTGAACACCTAACTCATAGATGTTCGGAGAATAGACTATGCAACTCGCGGACTCGACTATGTATAGAGACAAGACATTGTTAAATTTAGAAGTTTTGAGGACCCTTTAGATAGACATTATACATCGTAGAAATTGAACGACTTACACTTCGTCAGTTAGCCGCCCGTCCTTTCTTTATCAGACAGCCACCATATGATGCGTCCTGCCAAGTGCCATCGGCACGCAATGTAAAATTGTAATAGGGGCCAGCTGCTCCTTTCCGAGGGGTTCCATGTTGCCGTCGTCCATCGCGACACAAAAGCGCAGCTGAGCCACGGCCAACACTAATCGTCTCTCGTAGATTATGACTGCAGCCCCGATGCAGTTCAGTGGCCCTAACCAACCACCCCAGCCTCCCGTCCCGAGCCAACTGTCTTTCCGACTCCACCCCTCGATACCGTCCCGGGCAATCCAAAACGGGGCTGACCAACTGGTGGCCCTCATCAACAAGGAGAAGGCTCCGCTCCTGGACGAAATTCAGAGGCAGAAAACCCAGATTACTGAGCTGCGGCTCGCGAAGGGGACCCAGAACGACGCGACATCGAGGCTGGCCGCTGAATTGGAAGACACCAAACGCAAGTTCGCCGAGCTGCAAGCCAAGTACGACGCGCATGTTCAGGCGACCGCAATCAGTCAAGGAAGCCGCAACGAGGATGCCCTCTTCCAAGCTCAATGCGAGCTCGCATCCAGAAAATGGCGGTCGGAGCTCCAGGAATTGGACGCGAAGGAGGCAGAGAGCAAGGCTGAGCGGCTCCAGAATGCAAACGCGAACATCAAGAACGCTCTGCAGAAACATGGGATTCAGATGTCGTACACCGAGGGCCCCAGTGGGTCCGTCTCTCTATCGTTCCACGAGAACATCTCTCGGGTTATGTCCGACGTCCTGGTAGAAGCGAAGCGTCGGTGCATCCTCCCTCCGCACCTAGACGCGTCTTCACTCGAAGCGAGTAACCTCACGCTAGGCGAATTTGCGGCGTTGGTGGAGAGTGTTGTTCGGCGTTCCAGGGCAAGCGAGGTGAGGCTCATTGAGTCGTTGAGGGCTGGAAGGGAGAAAGGCTGGTCCATCGCGCAGTGGATGGAGCATGCTTCGAGAGCTGGCGCTGCGGAGAGGCAGAACCGCGCGTTCGATAATGGTGCTGCCTGAGGGGTTCCACATTGGAGACGCCCATGGGATCGTCGTGAAGGGTACCGTGACGTTGAGGAACAACACAGGTAAGCCTGTCGGTCCAATATTCCCATTCACTCCATCTGAGCGTTCTTCCACTCCGTTTTCCTACAGCTTTCCGACTTCATCTCCACCACTCCACTCATGGTGGTCTCGACCAAGAGTAGCTACCAACTAGTCGTAATCTCCGAGCAACGATAGGGGGATGGCCTACCGTTGGGGGGAATGGCAGTGATCCTCCGACACGTAGAGTGAACCGTTCCGACAAGCGCTTTTCGCGGGCTCTTCGCCTCTCCTGATTCGCTTCGACCTACAAGAAGTACAGCAATCCATCATGCCACCACCACCACATCATCACTCCAACACCCAGCCGCCTCCAGGATATGCACCATGCAGACACTAACATCTTGTGTCCGGTGCTAGGACAGTGCTTGTATCCTAATTCAACATTAATTATGATACGATTCATCATACGGACCCCTATTTCCTTTGACCGTTTCGGTCTGTTGACCCTCGTGGATATCCTTCCCGTGTTCTCAAGCGTTTCAGTGGCCCGAATCTCCGCATGCAGGCATTGTGTTGTCTATAACAAGGCTGGTGGCCTCCGTTCTCATCGCGGAGTAGACAAGACTGAGCTCCCCAACAAGCTCTATTACTTGCTACTTGTGTGATGTGTCAAGAATACCCGCTCGCAACGATTGAATGTCGATTAAAGCTTTTGGCGCCCATAGTAAAGCCCAAAGAGCCCACTCACATCCCTTCCTTCCGACTGCATCGCACCTGTCCCAGAGCTCGCTTCGTCAACAACTGGTGAAACGTCAAGGTCACTGCTATAATTCGGAAAATACTGGGCCTCCACTAAGCGAGTCGATAGATTTTCGGTCTGACCTTCATGCATGGTCTTGACCGCATTAGCGGCGTTACATAACGTCCCTTTGCAATGGGCGCTTAAACGCAATTTCGAAATGTGGCGTACGTACAAACCTACTTCAAGTCAAGATGCGGATGACTCGGTATGACACAATCAGTCCTCTTCGCTTCTGGTGTTAATTCTTTGTTAATTCAGAATTTGAGGCGGTCTTGGGGTTCGTGGTCTCGAGACAACCCAGGACTCGGAGGTTTACTAGGCTTGATTTGGGCAATAGGTAAGGAACGTTTGTGCATTTAGTCGTCACTCCAATTGAATGCTCAAATGAGTAGACAGCGCCCCAGAGTACACCTTTCACAGTCACCACGTTCCTCCGAGTTACTCGTACCCTTTCGTGCCACAGGGGTACGACGATATCAACCACGCCGATGTTCCATGTTCCGTCAACTGAGCCCTCTCCGAGAGTCCGACCATCGCGTCCGCTAGCACCACCGAGTCTTCACCGTTGCGCTCAGGGTTGCACTCCTCGTCCAAAGTTCGCCGTGTCCAACCGCTGGCAGCTTGCCTCGTTGGTGCCGCTCCAGACTCCCTGACGCCACATTTTGGAAGACCCTCAATGCGGTACAGGCACAAGCACTCACGAGACCGCCGTGCCCGGTGTGTACGAGGGTCCATATAGGGCTCCTCAATTCTAAAAGTTCAATTCGAGTTCAGTTCGCAACGAGTTCAATTGATGGCCTTTCCACGCTTGTCACTGGACTAAGGTCATTCCTGCAAACACCAGCGTAACCAGAAAGCAATCGTATCTCGTCGAAAGCATTGAGATGCGGCTTTAAAAAGTAGATTAGACTTGTGTACAGTATATTCACTTCCAGGAAGACGAAAAATATTGAGCAAAGACCACCGATTTGTCTGTCGAACGCAAGAACTCAGAACGATCTTCGGGCTCTTGGCTGGAGGTACTACTTGATGAGGAGCTCATTGATCCCGACATCACATCAATTGAACTCGTTGCGAACTGAACTCGAACTGAACTTTTAGAATTGAGGAGCCCTTATGTCGTGATAAATGATAAAGATTTTCATGAAGGTTTTCTTGAAGCCTCGTGCTTGTGGAAATGAGCCTTCGAGTGTAGCTTCTTTCGGATTTCGGTCCCCAGAAAGTACTGACTGCAGAAAGTGCATTACATTGCCAAGGAAGTTCCGGGCGCTCATCTGCGCTCATACGTAGACGTGCGGTAGTCGTGCGGTCCAAATATGATCCATTCTCTCTGCCATGGTCACCAAGCGTGGTTTTTTGAACGTTCTCGTAACCGGAGACAAAGAAGCCGTCTGATGCAGGAGCCGTCGCTTGAGACAGTGCCGTGCTGGTTCCTGTGCGGCGCAGCGCTGCTCCATGGTTTAGAGCGTCTAAGAAGCTTGGCTGTTTCATCTTGTGCAGGGAATTCAAAGCAGGATTCGAGTCATCGACGTCAAGCATCTCAAGTAGGGGGTTGAACAAAGAGGACTTGACCAGTTGACCACTTGGGATTCAAAGGAATCGAAGCCGTTCTAAATTACCCCCTCTTTGGGCGCCCCTTTTTGTCCACTTTGCTCTCAATTACTTTTAGAACCTTCGAATTCCATCTCCACGAGCTAAATAAGCGTAGAGTAGGCGCCCAGATAGACAGATTGAATGGTGCTCCTGTTACCCTTGCGATCTTCCATTCATTTTTTCCAAGTTGCCGGCCCTGGTGGGAAACAACTCGACGTAAAGGCTCCAAAGGCAATTTAGCGCCCACGCACGCTGGCACCGGCAGTGACGACTCCAGGTATCAGAAACACATCAATTTTGTACCACCGCACGTTACACACTTACTGTAAATGCTGAATGGGTCCTGATACCGAATTCCTGAATGGTATCCATTCCGCTTTCCCGAGTCTGCCGGTGAGCCGAAAGCATGTATTGCAGAGCTCCATACTTAGCACTCAAATGAGTGGAGACACCAGGGCAACCCAAACGATATCCATACGATTGAAGTACAGAACAAATGGAAGCCCATCTAATTCCAAGAACTGGAGGGCTCCTATGAGCTCCTATGTCACGACAAAAAAAGCAGTTCGAATTCCTCGGGCTCCATTGGCGTCCTCGCCAACCAAAATAACCCATGCGACAACAATGACAGAACGAACTTGAAAACATCGGCATGATTTCTCGTCGGGCTGAGCATGATGATGGCCTGCGCGGTTACTTACTAAAAGTTACCTTGTTGCACTTTGGTGTGACGAGATGAGCGCGGCCGCACGCGCGCCCGACGTTCTCGGCGTCTAAAATCACTTCGAGACCGTCGACCCTCTCCGCCACGTTGTTCTCCACGTACGTAACAAACCCACACCACCACATCCACAATCCGTTCCACAAAAGGCCTCATCATGCTCATCATCGCTTGGGTACGTATGTACAAACTGACGTTCTGAATTTTACGGAAAAAGGGAAGGGTGGTATTGTAATTACACATGACTTGAGTGTTCCGATGGCACGACAACAATGGTTCCACCAATCTGAAATCAAGGGATTTGAGGCTTGGATTACGGTATGGGTAATGTACTTGGCTTCGAAACTTGACATACATACGCACTTGCGCTAATTATAGCTAGGCTCTATTCAGTTCGTCCGACGGACTGCTTGCCGCAATGGCCAGGTCAAAATTGAAGGGCTACGTACGTACGTACTCCTTAGGCGACCCGTAGAGCCGGAGAGAATGGTGGTGGTGCGGTTAACGTTACGGGCAGAATGGCAACATCCACCCAATGTCATGATGATTTCCAGAAGATGCCGGTTCTCCTTATTTCTATCCTATAAATATTTATAGAGCCTGCGGTCCTCCCGGGCTCTTCCCCTTCATTCCTCCTCTTCCTTTGGAATCCCTACCGCGGAGCTCAAGTTTAAGGGTTCAATCGAAGCTTCCCTTTGCGATTGTTCAACCCTCCGACGCGAAAGAGGAGGAACACACGTTCTGCGACATAGGTTTAAAGTGTTGTCTCGTCTCGTGCGTGCGAGTCTCGATTCACCTCCGTAGTTCGTACCAGCTGACTCGTCCTCCTGGCTCCAGGCGTCACACAAACAAACGACTCCGGGTTTTCCCCCTACATTAATTCAAAACCCTTTCAAGCCTGCCCATTCATACTATTACTTGTGCACACTCCTCCTGACGTCGACGGAACCACGAGTGACGACCCTCCCATTCAATTCCATCATCACACGGCTCTAATTCCCCGATCCACAAGCCCTGTTTCAAAGGGCATCATTCAGGCAGAGTAGCTGGAGCCTGGTAGCCCACTCTGCGTCCGACCCATCCGCATCCGAGAACCTTGGAACAACAAATCTTGGGGTTCTAATTAGCCGTTTGAACAGTCCGGACCCCCCTCGCTACCCGTATAATCCATAATCCACACAGACACACACCACAACCCACCCTCGTCACCATCATCACCGCTGCCCGCACCACCACAACCGTCCGCCCCTTCCAAGACATAAGGCAAGACAAGAGCCGTTCTTGATTCCTTGATTCCCTTGAATTAAAAAAAAAAACGAAATCAAGGATCTTGTACATAAGGGATCGCTATCATTATAGTAACCGAGCCGACTTTTAGTCGACTTGTCGTGTCACCCGCCGCAGTGCCCTTTTCGCCCTCCCCTATATATATTATATACATATTCTGCGCGACCCGAATTCCGCGTCGCACCGCATCCCCACATCTACCCACCCACCCTACGTCTATCCACCCAACCACTTACCCACCATCCATCCATCCACGACGATGCCAACTCCAATCCCATCCCAACCACACCCTCCCTCCAACTCGGCATCATACTACTACAACCTAAACTACGCCCTCCCATTCGAAAAAGTCCAGCAAATCGCGATGTGGAGGATCGAAGTCGACCGGTATCGAGGGGGGATGCCTGTGATCGACTTGACAGAAGAGGAGGAAGAGGAAGAAGAAGGGAAAGGAGAGGATTATTTCAAAAGGAAAGAAGGCTTGGATGTAGACGTCGACGCGGACGGAGAACCAGACGACAGAAGATACCTTTACTCGGAATACACCTTCGACCCTCGCCCTAGAACCGCACTCCGACGAATGAATTACGACGGGGTCGGAATGGACTTGGAGAGGGAGATGGAGATGGCCATGGGGATGGACATGGACGTCGAGATGTACGACGAAGCTGCTGGAATGGGTGTTGACCAAGCCGACGATGATTTCGACTGGGACCGACTGACGTACGTCGCAGAGGGCGACAAACGGGTGTTCGAACTCCCGCATCCGGACGTGAACCCCCTGGTGAGTAATAACCTTCCCATCCAAATCCGCGTGTTGTTTCCAAACGCCTTTTGGCGTTTCGAATACTCGTGTTTTACGACGAAGCGCAATGTGCTGACGGAGTTTCTGTCTTCTGTCGTTCCATGCTCCTTCCCGGTCGCCTCGTTCGTTCCGGATTCCGTCTTCCGCCACCCTGAAACGCATCCCCACCATCTCTCTGTTTCCCCCTCCCAGATGTGCACCGACAAAGACCTAATCGAGAAGGAATACGTCCGCGTCATAATCCAATGGAACCACTTTGAAGAAGAAAAATACCTCGCCTCCAAAGTCCTTCGCAAACTCCCTCCACCTTCCCCCGACCACAAAGCTTCTCAATGGAACAACGCTGTCGACCATAAAGCCCAGTGGCACAACGCAGACCGCGCAGTCAAGTTCTGCGCCAACGCAACGCGGTACATTGAGCTCCACGCGCGCAGGCATCGACTACCCATCGACTTTGAGGCCCTGTTCTTCAAGTGGTATCGGCCGCCTGCGGTGTACCTGTATTTGCCCGACGAGACGTGCCAGTGGGATCCCGAGACGATGTACATCTTTGAGCAGGTGGAGACAGTGTTGTTGGGGAATTTGGCGGCGTCGGGGGAACCGCTGCCTGAGTGGTCGTATTACACCCCGCCGCCGATGCAGGCCGAGTATGTCCAGGTATAGACAGGTCGGGGATCGTCGCTTTCGTTCCTTCGTCGCACATAGTTTTTGTCGTTGTTCACACCAGGTTATATTTCCAATGGTCGAGATAGGCCTTCTAATTGGGTTATTGGGAGGCCGATAGGATGAAACCTTCCAAAGCGTATCGTATTATCTATATATTCGCGTAAAAAACATGGTATAATCTTAATATAACGTTGTATGAGTGGTGGTATTTAGAGAGATGGCATTGCAAAGGGGTCGTACACACAAGGTCCCGAATCATCATCGACCCTACTACATCCTCCCCGAGCTCGCAAAGTTGCTCGAGAATGAATGTTAACGCGCCTTCCATCCAGTCAATTAGTAAGGGGCAGCGGCAGCTTGGCACTATCGAACGAAAAAAAACACGCGTCAGAGTTCGTCCCGGAACCAGGGTAAGAAGAGGGCAACGTACAGCCTTGAGCTGCTCAAGATACCACGTGCAAGAAGGGAGATCGGCCTTCTCCAAACACTTGGTGAAATCTAGCGAAATGAGTCGATCAGCAAGACTGCTGACGTGGTAAAAACGAGAAAACCTACCCTTGGCCTGAGCCTCACAGTTAATCCCACTCGACTGTTGCTGTTGGTGTTGGACAGGAGGGGCTTCAGCAGCAGGCGCAGCAGCGCTTCCTCCACCACTGCCAAAGAGCATGCTGGAAATGCCATGGCCAATGGTCGATCCAACTGCTACAGAGCCGGCAGTTGCAGCCATCTGTGCGAGCATGCCGGGCCCGGAGCTCTGAGCAGAGGCAGCACCTGCGGGTGGTGCGGGTGCGTGGTGGGCGGGAGGAGCTGCTGCGTAGCCTGGGGCAGCAGCGGTCGAGGCGGTACGGGTTTGAGCGGGAGCTGCGCGGGGAGCAGCAGCACGGGGAGCAGTGCGTCCACGAGATTGACGCTATTCCATTTCTATTCAGATTGAATTCAGGATATCTAGAAAAATAGACTTACAGCCATGATTATAGACGTGAAGGGTTAGAGGATGGTGGTGGTTAGAGGTAGAGTTACGGAAATGCACTGTCCCTTGGCCAAATCGAAGTGCCAGGAAATTTCGAAAAAGATGCCGAAGCCGGGCCGCCGCGTAAGCACCCGGATCTAACAGGGACAAACACAGGACTTGGCTCCGGGATAGACTCAGCCCCAACCCGAGTGACGCAGCTGACAATTTGCGACCATGTCCGCGTATAGGGCTTATGCTCTCGGGCTGCGGTGCTCGGGGTACACTCCAATAGGACTGCCGCCATGCCAGGCGACACGATACCTGTCCTCGCGCCGGACGTACGCAACAGAAAGCGCGTTGGCGTCCAAAACCAAAGGCGCTCCCTCAGCCAAAGCAACACACCGCGCCACCTCAGTCTCCTCAGCCTCACCAAAACGTACACCAGCCAAGGTCGAAGGACGCGCTGCAGGGCACCAGGGCCAGAACCAAGCCGCGGCGGAGGTGAAGACGCTCCCGCAACGCTCCACGTCAAAAGCGGGGCACACTCATGCCTCGGCTTCGACGGTGCAGGAGACTGCTAGCAAGCCTCCTACCAAACCCGCGGAGAAGACGCTGGAGGAGAAGCAGTTGGAGGAGTTGGAGGCGTTGCAGTATTTTGGTCAGGTCATGAAGTCGTCGGATCCGTATGGCCAGCCTATCCCCCAATCCCTAGGTGCGACTCTCGTTTTTTCGCGTGCGTGAGACTCGGAGACTCACGCTCGTTTTTTGAAGAAAGATGTCGTCCTTCCCCGTTCAGGCCAGTTTTGGAAGAACCGGCTAAATGACGCGAAGAGTGCTATGAGGTGAGTTCTTCGTATTCCAAAACCCTACTAAAACCTAACCTGTCTCGTAGTCTTCTCTATCTCGCAGCAGACAACGTCATCCCCGGCGTACACCTCGGCCGGACGCCCTGGTACAAGTACTTTGGCTGGCTATGGAAAGCCTTCAAGGTCAAGTCTACAAAAGACAACACTTGGCTCGCACCCTTCCGCCGCATCGCTCTCGAGACCTACGTCGAGCTCAACACCTCCCTCGCAAACAGGGACAGCAAGACCCTCCGAGCCCTCACGACGAGCGAGTACCAGAGCGAGATCCTCCGGCGTCTCAAAAAGCAGCCCCATGGCCTCCACTTCAAGTGGAACCTCGAACGCGAAGTCTCGCCGACCCAAGTGCTCTCCCTCCGCGTCGTCCAATACTACATGGCCAAGGAGGAGCCCAAGTTTGGCAGCCGATATCTTGTACATGCCCTTGTCAAGTTTGATACTGAGCAGGTACGTTCGCTGTCCTTTCATGGTGTCCAAGTTGTCATTGCTAACGGGAATGATTTGAATAGTCATTGGAGATCTACGGACCTCGTGGTGAAGCCTTGCACGAAGTTGCAGAGGGAGCTGTGAAGCGCCCCAACGGCACCATCGCTGCTAAGCCCAAACGCGTAACAGAGTACCTCATCTTGGAGAAGAGGCTCTGGTACGACACCCCTTGGATCTTCCGAGAGCAGATGTGGGAGACCAAGAATTAAAACATTCGGCCCTGGACAAGTCAGCTCCGTTTGGAGTGCAAAGTGAGAGTGTTGTGCTCAACTCCGCAGCTTGGCTACGCTGTTTATCGACTTTTGGTTTGGTCGATGCAATGTCATGGAATACATTCGTCCTCTTCCCCACCTGTTCAACCATAGACTATTAATAACACGCTAATCTTTGTTACTATCTCTGATGTTGGATGGTGAAGCATTCCATTTCTACGGTCAGAACCTGGCTGCTTGGCCTCGTGTGAAGGGCATGTCTAACACTCAAAGCGTAACAGCGTGTATTGAAAAATCGAACCTGGACGATGCAGTTCGGCGCGTTTAGATGCACCCCATAACATTAGACACACATAGCGCAACCATACAACTCCGGGGACGAATAAAGACTCTAGTCGATAAGGTACTTTCGCTTAAAGTAAGATCGAAGATGGAGGACCTGCCACACTCCCAAAGCAGTCAACGCGAAAATGGTGAACCATGCAAAGTTGTGGACTCGTCTGCTTGTCGAGACTGCGGAATAAATGACACCAGTTAATGGAATTGGACGGAGGTTTGGAGCAAGGGTACGCACTGTTCGTCTTCGTGAACCGTTCTTGCCGTTTTTTGATATAGGTCATGTCGTCGATGAGTTCCTTGATGACACCCTCGATTTTGCGCATCTCGGTTTCGAGGCCTGAGAGGGATTCTTGGTTGGCGATGGCACTGCGGGAAAGGGAGGGTTTAGCAGTCGGAATGAGACAATAGATAGAAGAGTTGAACGTACTTGTAGTCAACAGCATCTGCACCGATATCCACGTCCAAATCCACGATCCTCGCCAGCGACTGCGTGCCCGAGACAGCTATATCGTACATACCTAGTTAGCATGCATTACTTTCCTTTATATTCCAAGGTTGCAAAAAAGACAGAATAACCCCCCCAAGGCCCACTCCAATAACCAACGCACGAATTGAAAGAAGGAAACCAAAACACTCACTACCCTCAATCGTATTCTTCAAACACACACCAACCTCACCCTCCGCATGCGTCGTCACCGCCAACCTCGTCTCACCCTTAATCCCCTTCTTATTCAAATACACATTCTTAGCGGGACTCGAGTCGACAATTTCGATGTCCACGCGCTGGTTGGGCCCGGGGCTGACGTTGGCGGTGACGATCACGAGCTGGTTGTCGTGGACCGAGTTCCAGATGCATTTGGAGGCGGGGTAGCGAGAGGCGGGGAGGGAGAATTTGATCGCTTGGGCTTGGAGTGGGAGGGATGAGAGGAGGAAGAGGCCGAGGAATGTGAGTGTGAGTAATGAGTTCGGGAAGAATGAGGATGAGGATGGCCGGGAGGACGAGGCGCGTGGTGCCATATTTGCCAGGTCACTGAGCGGGCGGTGGCGGATTACGAGGGGTTATATGTAGAATGAGCAGCTCGACGTCTGTTGTAGGCGACGAAGAGAGATTAGAGGTGAGTAAGCGTCGTCTTGGGCGGCGACGACGACGTCGCTGGGGGTCGTTACGGTTATGCAAAGGATTTCGTTTGGGTCAGTCCTGAACCGACGTGGAACTTTCCCGATCCGCTCGGAGAGATCTGTTTGGCGCAGGCTTGCGATTCAATCAATGCCCCCAGTACTGCCCCATCGACCCCGTTCTCAGTCTTCATTTGACCAGATGGCGCTGATATTTTTTGCGACCTACTATTTAAACATGTACGTATAAATCCCAGTTTGGTCACCATCCTAAGTACCAAGGCAAAAACGACTCTACGTTATTCACCGAAACATACCTCTGCACTCGCTCACCCGGCCTTTCACTCCCACTCTCACCTCCAGGAGTACCCAAGTCCAGGCTTTTATCCTCTTCCCACACCGGTACCCACCTCTCCCTCCAAACCGCCAGCAGCGGTAACTTCCTATCGCCAACCCCATGGTATCGATAATCCCGAATGCGCTGACGCATGCTAGTCCACCCAGACTCTGACCAATACCGTGAAAACTGATCGTATTCAAAGAACTCCAATTCTTCAAAGAGCACCTCCAACGCGTCCGCGTCCTCGAATGGGTCGTAGGGACGCTCTTCGAGGTCCGTCGCTTCTGCTTCGTTCCACCAGTCTACCTGCTCCGGTGTCGCAGAGTCCGTCTTTGCGCCAGGCTGAGTACAGTCAGGTTCACCAAGCTGCGGTTGCGTGCCGTTCAGGTGGTGCCAGATTACCTTGTCTGCCGCCTCTTGCATATGATCGGTGTTGGCAACCCGGATGTTGATTTGTTGGATGGAGGGACAGTAGGTCATCACACCCTCGAGGAGGTTGGTCTGTCGACAAGATGTCATTGAATCAACGATATTAGTCTGAGTGTACGTTCGGACACCGGGCACAAGAAACTCACGGGATCCATCACATCGTCTGGCTCCTGAAGCCATTTCGTAGGTGGGTTAAAGAAGATCGTCAACTCCTCCAGCCGCTCATACGGATTTGAAAACAGATCTTTCACCAGATCGTCTAGACAGTAGACTTCGCGATGCCTCCGCATCGCTCCCACGACTGCATCATAGACCTCCAAACGACGCAACGATGCATGGTGGTGGTAGACGGTATCTTTGAACAACGTCTCCATGGATGAAAGTGGCGCTGCCGCCGACCAGGATCCACCGTACAGTATCACGGAGAGGTCCTCCAGCCCTTCAAACGACGTGAGGAAATCCGTGACGATGGAATGTAACGGGAACACCACCACTGCACGGAGATTCCTGAGTTTGATCCCAGCTCTATGGAGAAGATGCCAAATGAGGTGCTCCTGCTTTGGGTTTTTGACGTCGCGATCCAGTGGGGACGCCAGAACGAGCTCCCTCAAGGCTGGTAATAATCGGTATGGATATGATTGCGGCAAGGGATGACGTGGAAAGTGAACAAAGACCCTAGCCTCAGGGACGAGAGCCTCGGAAGACCCTGAAGCACGGGCGACCCCAGCTGAATGATATCCTCCACGTTGCCCGTACTCAGCGCGAGAGACTCGAGTGTAAGAGCCGAGCGCCCGACGAGTCCCCGTACGGATTCGAAGAACTGGAGCGTTTCTTCTGCCCATTGTTCTCGATCTCCTCGTGTGATTGTGAGGTCCACGGAGAGAGACGCCAGGACCGAGAGTACTTCGACAAGCGGTATCGTCGCTTGGAGGAAGAGCTTTGAACCGTGAAGTGTGATGTGGCGCAGTCGGTGGAGAAGGGTGGAGGGATGTGTCTTGAAGGAGGTCTACCCATATACCATTTCCGAGGCCGCCGAACCTGTTCGACCGCGTTCCGCCTGTCCACCTTATAACAAACAAGTCAGGATGAGAATTACTATCCATCGTAGAGAGGCGAAAAACTTACGCAAACTCGTCCAGATTCTTCAGTGACTTGATAATAAAGCGCAGGCCAGACAAAAGGTCTGTAGCTGACAATGTACCGTACCGGAGATCGCACGTTGCGATGTGAAGAGCTCGTGTTACAAACGAGAGTCGACCGCCTTGCTTCAAGTGGTCGAGGATATCCAAGAACATTTGAGGTCCCTTTCCAAACGAAAGCTTGACGCGGGCGATTGTGAACCCCTCTAAAGCATAAGCCAGGTCTTTGCAGACGAGGCGCAAGTGTTTGCCCTCGTCGCGTGGTAGCTGAAGGAAGTGTGTTTAGCAGGTCGAAAGCAGTGGTAAGGTTGCTTCTACGTACAATCTCTGCGATCTCGGTAATGAGCTCGACGGGAAGGGTATCGAGGCTAGGCTTTAAGTCAGTCGGAATGGTCATGTTTAGTGGGGAAGAACGTTGAGCGGGGATCTCGGTTCAGGCAAAGTTAGGGCGACAGCCTTTTCCAACTCCGATAAACGAGAACAGCAGGCGGGACCCAGGTGAACAGTCAATTCAGTGGAACAAAAAACAATAATGGAAGAAATTATAATCATACAAAACAAATTTACAAAATCCAATGTTACAGAAAAACCCCACACGACGCGTGTCGTGCGAACGTCAGCACTACACCTTCTTTAATGCGGTTCATACACATTACATCCCATCTCGTAGAGCCATTTGGATCGGTTCTTCTCGACGTGGCAAGAGACCGTGTTCTTCGTGCCCATGCACTCCCCGGTATCACAAAGAGGGACGCTGCCACCTTCGAGAGCCCAAACTTTGTTCACCACTCCGAACGTGACATTTCCGGGGTCAGGGAGGCATCCATCGGTTGAGCCTGCCCTCGTCAGACGGGGTAACAAAGGAGGAAGGGTGGATGGAGAGGCTGCGTAGCGGAAGATCCGGTGTCGCTGGGCAGGTGAAAGTGAAGGTGCGAGGAGGGAGAGAATGTGAAGCTGCAACTCGATTGGCAAGGATGTAAAAGGGAAGATGTCGCGCTTGGAACGATCGAGAGACGGTGAACGAGGAGCTTCATCCTCCGGGCTGTCGAGCTTCCGGTGTAGCAGAAGTGTGCGGGCATACCGCAGTAAACGCAAAGCCTGTCGCTCGGACTCGTTCTTCAGGAGGCTGTTGCGCGTAGCGGCGGCTTTCAGGCGTTCCTGCAAAGTCTTCCAAGCGTCAAACGATGTTTGTTGGGGTGTCTCTTCTTCTTCTTCATTATCAGACTCGTATTCAACAGCTTCACTCGCCGGATCCGATGGAAGGTCGTTGGCGTGAAACTCGATGATGGTCAAGGAGTGGTTTCGTTGTTCTACGGCTCGCACGAGAGATTGGACGCCCTTCAGTCCCAATGCATTCCCGTTGCATTTGAGCGTAGTTAACCTGCACCTGTCTGGCGAGCGGATGAAACCAGACAGATGGGGAACGGAGCGAGGGGTGAGGCCGATGCTGGAGATGTGGAGTTCCTGCAGAGACGGGCAGTTGAGGACCGGGAAGAACGTCTCTGCAAAGCCGTCGCCCAGGGCGTGGTTGCCGGTGAGAGATAGGGTCTCGAGGGAGGACGAGTTTAGAGCTTTGGCAAACGTTTCGATAACATGACGGTCGCCAGTGAAGGTGTTCTAAACCACGAGGTCAATGCTCTGCTCGACATAGGAGCAGCATTGGATGACTCACTGCTTGAATGAATAGTTCCTTCAGTGCCGCATTCTGTGTCAGATACTGTGATATCGCGAGAAGACCTTGGTTCCCAATCTTATTCGAGTTCAGGCTAATCTCCGCAATAGGATAGCGTCTTCCGATCTGTGAGCCCAAGAACCTGAATAGGACCGTGCACCCGTCGTTGCCCAATTCATTGTGCCCCAAAAGAAGCTTGGTGACGGTGCGTCTATCCGAGATCAAGGAGATAACCTCCTGTGCACCTGAGCAAGACCAAGAAGTTAGAAGGTCAGCAATCGTAGTTCTCGGAATCTCGGACGAACCCCAATATTCATGATTGTACCTCGAACAGAATGTAAACCAGAGTCTAGTTTGTGAACCTCGGACCTGCTGGATAGAGGTTCCTTGGCAGCGTAGCGTTTGTAGCTGAAGGCCATATGAATTCCGTCGCTGTCGTCGTGGTCGTCGGTGTCTATGGATCGTCTATATCGTCTGGGGTAGCGTCGAGGTAATGGCGGTTTGGGTATAAGAGGCGTGGGAAGATATAAATGACAGCGACACGATGACGTAGGCATTTCTCAGAGTTCGAGCCTTTGAGTTGCCTTCTTGGTCTTGCAATATGACCACATCCAGCTACAAGTTCCTTCGAGAGACTCGCAAAATGTTCGGGGTGTAAAGAATCAGAGACCAAGCCTTCAGCTGTCCAGGAAGATTCAGCCTTCTCGAGCTCGTCGACGACGGAAACCCGCCGCGGAATCTCTATAACGACACCTAGACTGGCGACATGACCCCAGAGAAGCACCGTCGACGGTGAAATTGCCGGACATTTAGAGTTTGCACTTACGGACAGAACCCGCCAATCCTGATTGACTGACAGAGTGGTTTGAAGTCTTCGTTGCGCCCCCCCGAGGTGGTGAGTACCGTACTTTCTCTTAAATAACATTCTCCAATCTTATTCCGCGTAAGGATTTCTTCCGATAATAATGTGCCCCTCGAACTTCTTCGCGCAAATCCTACGGCTTCCGTTGACATTCTCCAGGTCATCACATGAAGTCAACATCTCCGTTGATTACCCGACTGACTTCGCAGGCCAGTCAACACATATGGTCGTTCTCTGGTCACGACTATAAAAGTGATCCAACACACGTTGACTTGCTCGTTGCTTCATCGAACCACCATGCAGCTTGCATCGTTCTCCTGGTTTCTGTGGCTGTTCTCCCTGATCTCGAGCGTCCACGCCATTACCTACCGTGGTGCAGACTTCTCGTCTCTCGTCAACCTCGAGAACCAAGGTATCCGGTACCGAGACAATGGCAACGTCCAACCGCTCGAGAGGATCCTTGCCAACTATGGTGCTAACCTTGCTCGAATCCGCGTCTGGACGAGCAACGACTACAGCCAGTACAGTTTGAACTATGCGCTCAATTTGGCTAAGCGCGCCCAGGCTGCTGGAATGGACATCTATGTCGACCTGCACTACAGCGACTCTTGTAGGCTCATGTCTACTGACTGACAGTACGCAATTACTGACAAACTTGTGAAGGGGCCGACCCTGGAAAGCAATGGATTCCTTCTTCGTGGCCGAAGGACCTGGCTGGTCTCAACACCCAGATCTATACGTGAGTTCTAGTCGAGATAACATACGCCTCGTCTTGTTGATTCCCTCCAGGTACACCCGGGATGTGGTCCGCGCCTTCCAGAACCAAGGAACCCCAATTAAATACATCGAGGTGGGTCTCACCTAGTGTTTCTTTGACCCTCTTGACTCACTGTGAGCCAGATAGGAAACGAAATCAACGACGGCATGCTCTGGCCCGTCGGTCGCATCTCGCAAAACGGCTACGGCAACCTCTCCGAACTCCTCCACTCCGCTGCAGCCGGTGTCCGCGATGCCTCCTCTTCCGTCAAGATCATGGTCCACCTCGCCAACGGATGGAACTGGTCTGCTGTCAACGGGTTCTTCAACCAGATCTTCATGCCGGGCAAGTTCGCTACCAGCGATGTGGACGTGCTTGGTTTCTCCTTCTATCCGTTCTACGGGACGAGCGCTACTTTGAATAATCTGAGGTCGAGTTTGACGAATATTGTGAACAAGCTTAACAAGGTATGCTTCGAACCGTGGGTGATTGTTGCTCTGGCTGGATACTCACTCGGGTCGGTTTGTAGGAAGTGATGGTGGTTGAGGTCAATTGGCCATATTACTGCCCGGACGTCGCCCTCAGCGAGCCCGGCTACCCAACTGGTGCCAGCGGTCAGCTATCATTCGTGAACCAGGTCAGGAGTATTGTCGAGAACCTGCCTAATGGCCGTGGAACTGGTATCGTCTACTGGGAGCCTGGGTGGATTGGAAACGCCGGTCTTGGCTCTGCGTGCTGGGTAGGTCAACCATCTTTCTGGCTATTGTATGGTTTCTAATGCGTATGTTTCTGCTTAGGATAACATCCTGGTCGACGGCTCTGGAAACGTTAGATCACCCAGTTTCAACATGTTCAACCGCTGAAGAGGATTTACGAATGCCGGGCCTTGTGTAATATTTAATGCCAATGAGAAAGTTACGGTTTTGTCTCGTTAGCGACCTTGTGCAGTATTGGGCCGACTTTACGACTCATAGGACAGTTGGTCGCTTTAGAAGATACATAAATACAAAATGCCAAGTGGAAGGCAGTAATTTGTTTAGGTTGAACTCACCATGAGAATTCAAAATCATTTGCCACCTCCATGGATCGAACATTCAGCGCCATCAAAGTTTGGTCTTGTTTTGGAGTGGAGATGATGGCGGACTGTACGCGGGTCGTGTTCGAAGTTTCTGTTCGCGTTCACCGACGACGAAAGGATGGCCCGGTTCCGTGCATACGCCAGCGACAGCAGCAGTAGCGACGACGACGAGCCGGAGGTCAAGTCGACTACCTCCCAAAAACCGCCATCCAAACACTACGAAGAAGAGTCGGAATCTGAACCTGAAGAAAGCGAACAAGACGAGGACGACGAAGACGACGATGAAGAGGAGTCGGACGAATCTTCGGAGGAGAGCGAGTCGTCTTCAGGCCTATCGGATGACGAGATTATCTATGGACGGTCTCGAAGGCGACCGCGAACGGCCTTGGTGGAGGACGAGAATGGGGACATTCAACTGACAGGAAGCGAGGACGTGGATATTCGCGTTTCGTCTGCATCGTCGTCGCGCTCTTCGGCAACGCCAGAACCTAGGGGCATCAATGGAGATCCCAACATTATTCCTTGGGCACGACAAATTGGCGTCGACGCACAGAAAATGCATGTCATGCAGACGTCGCTATTCCGCATGCCTGAAGAGGCAGCCGCGCTCAAAGCCTTAAGTCAGCCTCAGACTCGACCTAAAACCCTCAACTTGCAGCCTTCAACGCTATCGTTGAACCGGAAACATAGTCGAGACTCTGAAGGGGATGGACTCAGGCATGATTCTCGGGAGGTAGGCCAATGTTCGTCTTTGAATGGGCGTCGTGGTTAAGCTTTGTTCGATTAGCGCGCCTCTTTTGCACATGATCTCGACCAGAGCATGTTCAGGCCGTCTCGCAAGTATACGAGGGTGGAAATAGCGTCGTCTATTGCAAAGGGCAAGGAAGGAGATTACGCCGACGCTGGTCTTGCTTTTGGTCGTTCGTTCCGTGCAGGTTGGGGACCGGGCGGCACCGTTGTACATGTTGGGGCCATTTCTGGATTGTCAGGATCATCGTACGTATTCGTGCATACGCGTATTTCTGCCCTCAAGAGGGACTCAACGCTTGGTTGTAGACCACCAGACAGCCCTTCAACTCTCACATTCACCCGAACACCCTTCCCGCCCGTGAAAACTCAATCCCCAGAAACCTCGCCACCCGCAATCGCTTTGAAGCTCCTGCAACATCATCTCTCTGCGACCCCGATTGAAACCGACGAATTCAAGATTCCCGCTGCGAGACCTAAACAACACGACCCTCGTCTCCAGTTTGCGTCCTTCGCCGCCCTATTCCCCACGACAGACGCCCTCGATCCCGCGCCTCTATTCCGCCTTGGAAGTGCACTGTTCGACCCGATAGACCTCAAACTCAATTCGAAAGGGAAAAATGGCAGTACTCTACCGGGCGCGACTCTCATCACACCTGACGTTCGCAATCGAATCATATTACTCAGAAGACGAACGGCACTCAGCAAGTGGCTGGAGACTGTGGTCAGCCCCGCTGTTGAGGGCGATATCCGGACGAGAGTCAATGGGGCTATTACTGGTAAGGGTAATTCACGTTGTGCACACTCCCAAGTTGATCGTCTGGACACAGGTTCACCATATTCCCCTGCCGACACCGTTTATACCCAACTTACCGGCCATCAGGTCTCTCAAGCATGTGCGACCGCGATGGACGCTGGATACCTCAAGTTAGCGACTCTGATTAGTCAAGCTGGGGGAGATGAGATATTCAGAGCGGACATCCAAGAGCAGTTGGCGATCTGGAGGGAAGAGAAGCTGGCGCCTACCAACACTCCGCCATTGCCGGGTACACCACCAGCTCTCCTAAGCAAAGGCATATGGAAAGTGTATCAGTTGCTCGGAGGTCCTCCGTTAGACAACAACGACGCGGCGCTTTCGAGCTGGGTGGAGGACGTCTGTGCGGGTTTGGACTGGAAACGAGTGCTGGGCCTGTGCATATGGTACGGGACAAGCATCGACACATCTGTCGCAGAGGTGGTACGGCTGTATGAAGGTCTCGTACGAAGATACAGCCAAACAATCATCGCCAGACCGTTACCCAAGTGGCAGCTCGAGCGTAACTCGAATCCACCGTCATCGACAGCACCCTCCTTTTCCGCGTTTGGGTCGCGGGCTCCACTTGCTCTTATAGGTGCATCACCACACACACCGGGAAACAAGCAACAAGCCGAAGACCCTCTTTACTCTCTCATCCGATTGCACGCGGATCCTGCCCTTTCGTTATCACAAATTCTGGACCCTCGTTCATTTGGACCGGACGAGAGATGGGGCGGTATTGGAATGTGCTGGCATCTTTACATGATCCTTTCCCGGGTTATGAGGATTCGCGACTTTACTGATCGAACGAATCCGACATCTGCACGGGCGAATGGCCGTGCTGATAGCGCAGATGCTGTTGAAGACATCCCGTCCGATGGCCACAGTCCTACAGCCGACCTTCTCACCAGCAGCTACGCCTTCCAACTCGAGAGTTGGGACATGATCCAAGAGGCAGCATTTGTGCTTCTCCATCTCGAAAACCCCCAAGGGTGCGTTCATCGGAGATTACCCAGCCGCACGTTCTCACTGAACTGAATCTAATTCGTTTTCATTAGGCGAGAAAAGGCATTGAAAGACCTAATTGCGCGATCGGCGCCCAAGATGGACGACTGGACGACGCGAGGTCTCCAAGGGAGCCTGAAAATCCCGGGGACTTGGGTCGAGGAAGCCAAGGTGGGTTGTTTGCCTCGTGCCTTCGGAAAACACTGTGGCGCTTTTACTGACTTTTGGCCTGTTCTGTGATTCTTCTTTTAATGTGATTAGGCCATGTATGCGCTTGATCAGGGTGACGTCTTCAAAGCGTACGAGCTTTACCTTAGGGCTCAGCTGTACAATTCAGCCCATGAATTGGCCGTCCTGGAGTTGGCTCCTGATGCTATCTTGCGCCGAGACCTCGATCTTTTGAGGAACTTGTTCGAACCTTTCGATCTTGAGGGAAGGAGGGACAAGATTGATGGATGGTTCGTCCGTGGCAAGGTAACCACGTCCCTTTCTCACTGTTTCGGCCGAGCTGTCATTAATCACATTTGTCTGATTATAGGTCTTCCTTGACTATGTGAATATCATGACCCGAGTACCGATCCTGCAAGACCAGGTTGAGTCGGAGCGGAATGAGCAGGGCCTGGACACGACCATTCCTGATGCTGCGGTGGCGGATGAATTGGATGAGCTTACGAGGAAGATTCCAAAGCTTATCGCGCTCCTTCCGGATGTGCTTTATCGCAATAGGAATGTGGATGACAGGCATGCAGCAGCGATCGAGGAGATGACCCAGGGCCTATTGCACGTTATGGGCAAAGCAAAACCGAGCATGTTGGTTAGTATTTCCCTGCCCTTTCTGTTACCCGACTTGGCACTGACGATGTTCCGTGCCGAACAGCTTAAACAACCCATCCTTGGCTTTATGGACGGAGCTACGAAAATTAGTCTCATTCGAGGCAAAGGTTATGCGAGGTTCTTACAGGGCGTTGCGGCATAACAATTGTTGTGATGTATTTTTCGATTCTTCTCTTGTTTTCTATTTTTAGATTTGCAGTTTTCCGTCTTTGCCTATTTACTGTTAATCTCTCGACGGTGTTGGTTGTATATCGTCACTCTGAGCTGAATGTACATCTGCTGGTATACTAATGGCTTGGTTCAAAGAGAGCTGCGCCAAGCCTGGCCAGGCTTTTGGCCGAGTCGGACTTGACCTTGGTCCACCAGTTGTCGCAGTTTGAGGACGGGCATCTCACGAGTGAATCCAGGACAAGACCTGGGTATTAATAGATAGGGCCTATGGTATCTCATATATTTCACGCTCTATGATGTATAGAAATGCTGTTATTTTCAAACCGCATCACGTAGCCTCAACATCATCTTGTTGAGGGAAAGATACAGACAAGGGCAAGAGAAGTAAAGAGAGATTATTTACTGTTGAATAAGGTCCCAGACCCAGACCTCCAGACACTGGCACAGCTTACTTGTTCTCGGCATTGGCATTGAAACGAGCGAGAAGGCCATCATGGGTAATGGGAGTAATATCAAACCCAGCCTCCCTCAGCTTATCAAGCGCCGCAATAACCCAGTGCTGGCAATGCCAGTTCCGATTTTTCTGCTCAAGGGACGTATTCAAGAGGAGTTCTTCTACTTGGTTTAGCTGGGAAGCAGGAATTGTACCGAGAGTTTCCATTCCCTTGAATGTCTTGGCTTTGCCCGGGACGACCTGCTCAGGGCCGTTGATATCGTATCTCCTGGGAGAACCGATGACCTCGTAAACTGTACCTGGAGTCATTTTGTCGTTGGACTCCATGAAGATAATGGACCAATGCCTTGGGCCGGGCATGTTGGGGTGTTCATATTGAGCGATGTTGACGAAGTAGGTGTTGGATGCCATTGAAGGGTTAGTTGGAGGCGATTCTTTCGAGGATTGGACTTGTATCAGGTGAAAGGTCTCGGGGTTTATGTGGGGACCTTTTTCAAGATGGAAGGAGATATATTCTATATCGGTTAGCGTGGCCGTGGCAGGAGTAAGTCTGATTTGTTCATCTTAATCGATTGTCCGTCGGCGCCCCCCCCCCTCCCCAGGTTAATTCGAAGTCAAAGCGTTGGTCGGACAATGATTTCTTCCCAGCTCTCTGTTGCCAAGGTTCCCTAGTGGCTTGGAGATATAGTTGTTAGAATTGTCCATTGTGCGCTCTTCTTCTCCAGCTTCAATCAAGGCGCTCGTGCGGAGCTGATCGTTCTCCGTCGTGGAGCCCTTGAAGTCATATCAGGAAGTCGACGGCCTGTGCAACATCATGATGGGTATTGCGATAATGGTAGTTGAGAAATCACGGCGAAGAACAATGGGGCTCGCACTAGAGTGTCCCTGTGCACGTGAAGAGTAGCTGTGGTCTATCTCTTATTCCCCTCGTTCTTGTAAACTTAATTGGGGTGAACCGTCTTGAATCACAGCATCCGAGTCCTCGTCGTATCTCAATACCGGTCGGGAGGCCTCACGGCTTTGCAGATGCTACTACCCATTATTGAAAGGACATTGTTCTCTCAGGCTTAAGACTATAATTGCATATCCCATGGTCGCTTTGACTCCATTGTATGCCCTTGTCCGTGGCTTGCGAATCCTCGGAGAAGATAATGGATGTCGCACAATCGTTGTGGCATCCCTGCGTCCTGGACGTGGACCGTAAAGCTATAAATACGCTCCTTCTTCACTCTCAAGCTCCAGAACTCGAACCCACTTCAAGTAACTCAAACAAGTCAGCACTCCCAGATTTTCTAAGCCGCTTCTCTCTAACCGACGAAATCATGTCTAAGTCCGTCAACAAATTTGTCGTCGTCGCTCAATACGGTCACCCCAAACTTCCTGGCAACAAACACTGGGCCCTCATCCTCATGGACGCCAATGACAAAATGTCTCCTGGTGTTGTATACGAAGTCACTGGGTCCACCGATAGTTACACCCTCAAGAAGCCTGAGACTGTCACTCCTGGCAAGGCCAGCTCCTTTATGGGAATGATTGCTGTGGGCATGGTTCCCGTTCACCAAATCGACAACATCGACAATATTCTTCGCAACACCCCGGTCAAGACTGGGGACAAGACCTGGCACTGTCAACACTGGGTTATGGCTGCTCTGTACAATCTCCGAGCTGCTGGCTTTGCGGTCACTCCTGTTGATCGTGACCAATTGCTCGCTCAATTCAAAGCTATGGAGACTGTTTAGTACTACTAGTCGTCGACTCGACTCGACTCGGTGTGCATCTCGACGCCTTGCTCCAATTTCCTTCTCGTTTCCAATTTTCCCGGGCCTTCTCGTTTCTCGATCCAGCCTAAATCAAGTGTCTTCTTCCGCGTGATCGTGCCTTGTGTACATATTGTAATAGTGACTGTATAAATGTAATGCTTCTCGAACGTCAGTGTGAATGGAAATATCCGGTTACCCGCCTTTGAATTGAATTTGCATCGATGTGAATAGGGGCTTGTTTGGAATACAAGGTGATGGCAATTAACGCGGTGGTAGGTGAATCGGTTCCGGCGGACTTGCTCAGCATCGACCACGATGAAGCCAGTTTTGGATGAGATCGTTATCCTCTATCATATCACGTCGGTCTATATTCTCGGACCTTGACTTAACTCCAATAGAAGGGTCAAACAGATGAAAGCATTACCAAAGCTTGGAACGCCGCATAATCGTGGCTGCCGCATGTCTACTTTACTCTGACACCTCAAGTTCGTCCTCTTCTCGATTTGTTCATCGTCGACGAAGAAACGTGCACGACACCCATGTCGCGCAACCCTTCTGTTTCCCATCCAGGACGCTCCCCGTCCTCACCACCTGACACAGTCGAGCCAGGACGTTCTTCCAAAGGGAAGAGAACAGGCAGAACTCGACCAAGGCCTGACAGAAACTTTCGGCCGGAAGAAGAAAGGTTTAATGTCGGGCCCAAGGCGAACCGCAACACATCTGCCGCTCGTACCGCCGGGAGAAGGCAGACTCGTTCTGCTCGAGCAGATCGAGTCCATCTCAACGACATCATCAACGATGGTGAGTGGCCACCATAGTACAATGGCGAGCGCCAAGTGCTGAATCCCCCTAGGTGTCCCCAATTACCCCCCTCCGTCATTCCAGGAGGCCATCTCCACACCGCCTCTCTCTGGATGTCCCAGCACGGTCACCCTTGTACCTTCAAGCTCTCCGTCTCCAATGGCCTCCCTACCGCCACTGGTTATTCCAGGCAATAACGCTGAGCCTCAGCAATCCACACCGATGGGGCAGCCGCCGAGCACAGCATCCAGTGGACCCAATTCGGACTCGGATGAATCATTGCAAATCGTCGATGAAGACGACGCAGTCCCGCCTGGCGTTGACCCCACCTTTCTTCGCAAAGTCCGACAGGACTATCGCAACCGACGAGGAGTGGACTTCCCCAGCCCTGTCTGTCCACCGTCTCCCCAGCCACAGGATAACATCGCAAGGCGTTTGGATTTGGTGGCTATTCTCGATGGACCCGACGATACGCCTCGATCACCATCGATAGTGTCCTCACCTGCCAGGAGGTTCTTGTCATTGTCGCCACTTCGTACCTTCTTTCCTTCACGTTCTCCGACTCCGGGCCAGCCCGATCGGCCTCATTCTGCACACCCCTCCCCAGGAACCTCACCCTATGCCCACGGCGGAAGGAACGGCTCCTCAATATTCAGAAGTACCACGTCTCTTTCCACCAACTCGTTCCTTCGTCTCCCTTTGACTTCGAGCCCGCACCAAGGAAGGTCAGAAAGCTTTATTGCGCGCAGGATTTTCTCGGGTAAAGGGAAGGAGAAAGCGAAGGACACTCAACCGCAGGAGGCACTAGATTCATGGGAGGAGTTGAAGAAGGAAGAATTGGACGAGAGCGAAAACGGGCAACCCCAGAGTCTCATGGCAGTCGTAGCTAACGTATCGAAACAAACTTCTGTCAAGGCAGGACCCTCACCCACTCGTAGTCTGAGTTTCACTTATGGAGCTCCACCGTCTGAAAGCCTTCCTTCTCTACACGCGTCTCTGGCGCAATCAGCGATCCATTTGCCTGTAACCCCTCGCCAAGAAGCGGCCACTCCTCCCCCTCGCGAAGTGAGCACTCCTCCAGCGATTCAAACCCCGCCAGCTACACCACCTGCGCCTCCAGCCGTTCACCCGCTATCTCTCCGCGATCGTAAGACTCCATTCGTGCAACGACCCGTTCGCAAAAAGTCCCCGTCCCCTCGACCACCGCCAATTTATGTCCCCCCACCTGTCTCGGATCCTGTCATCACTACCGTTCGAACCCGCATGGCTGCAACGCCACCCCCGTCTCAACCGACCGTTCCAAAACCCCATTCCTCAGTTACTCGTCCTTCCCCTCTTGGTCTCGAATCGTTCTCAATACAACAGGAAGAAGGGCCAGTGCCTGTTGAAGTGCCCGACGTTAGTGTAGCATCCCCTCCAATTCAAACCCCTATCCCGGCCCGGCCGACCGTGAGCGGAGTTTCAATCTGCCGTTGTGGATCCCCCGATGGCCAAGCAACCCTCCCTGCTCTTTCGCGCACACCGTCGCCGGCGTCGCCAGACGATTCGATTACCCCTACCCGTCATTACCCAGGTCGCCCTCTACCACGACCGCCCACACAAACTCGACCACATATTGATTCGACCTTTGCACCGAACGAAGAGTACGCTGAAACATCGATCGAAAGCAGCGCCTCGATCTGCCCTGAGGGATTGCTCATTGATCTAGACGATTCCGGTGCGGACGGGCAAGGAGTAACAGCTTCTACTCGTGGCACGGATGTTTTGCGAAGACACTCTCCTCCTCCCCTCATCGATCTGGATTCTTCTTCTGAGGATATCCCCTCACTTTTGACTACACCCGACGCGACGCAGGTGGTGGCACCAATCCCAACCATGAATGCGTACTCGGAGATCACTGACCTCGATCTGCTGGTGTCGAACCTCGCCGACAGCGAAGGGAACGATAACAGCAATTATGACGTGAGTTCCCATACCCAGTGGAAGGGCACCCCCGATCCCAGCGCACTCAATGCTGTAAACCGTGAAGGCGCTCCTGGCGATTACGGAATTTATAGGCCCGGCAGTACCACCCCCAGGGACTGCTGGAACCCAGACCCCCTTGCAGAGCAATGGCGCCGTAGCAGCCCCACTCTCAACGACGACGACAGCGAGGTCGCGTCCATCTTCATGCGACAATACCAATATCGACAGCAACATTTCGGTCCTCGGGCTTGTTGAGCTCGTGCGTAGGAGGGTGACGAAGGATGGGCGGGTGAAGTTGAAGCTCGCGATTTGCGGAGTTGCGGTTGATAAGTGTGGAATTTGTCTTTCCCAGTTCAGGAGTGGGCAGATGGGGTGTTTGACTTCGGAATGCCGACACACGTTCCATGACAGGTGCTTGGCGACGTGGTTGGTTAGGAGTAGGAGTTGTCCAATGTGCCGAGTGCCTTTGGATGTTGATAGTTAGTACGTATTCTCAATTTCGTTTTAGGCGTTTGACTTGTTTGTCTTTTTTGTTCTCGTCGCTGGATTGTTGTCTTTTTTTGGCATTCGACGTTGAACGATCATTTAGCATTGTCTTGCATGCATGGTACTCTGTCGCTGTACGGGTTGATACATTTCTCTGTGTAGGAGGCTGGATGCTTGGGCCTTGTCGCGATCAGGAATTGTACCGAAAATATCATAAAGGCGCTGAAGAACTGAACAATGTCCATTGGGACATCCATTTACAGGTAATCGGGGTGGAGGAGAGGGCTAATCGTGTACACGTCGATCGAAGATTGGCCGTGTCGGGAACAGAGAGCTAGATAGCAAGCGAGAGCAGCCGTTTCAATGGTGCAACATAGGACTTGCCCGTCTGGCGATATCGTCTCAATGGGAATAGTCAGAATACGCTCGCTTGGGCTGTGAACATGGTCACAGGTCGTGCAATTCCTTCTCCAGGTTGAAACGTTGAGAGGGTTTCGGTCCTTGCGATCACGCATGTGCCGAGTCGGACATGTATTTAGAATCAGTTTGAAAGTCCTGCAGGACCTGTAGTGTAGATGGACTTTGTGAAAGACAATAGATATCAATGTCTATGGGCTTCAGTGACCTCTACTGCGCGTGGACCGAGACATAATCGAAGGCGCATTCCAATGAATTGTCGCTGCCCTACGCATGAACCCTCTCTTTTCTGGACTTGCGTGGCTGATTCTATTCATAGTTTTTTGCACGACACTGCTCACAAATTAGTTTCGACTTTTATCGTAGATGGAATAACATGAGACAAGCTAAATCAAAGAGTTGACTAGGAGCACCATAAGCTGGTCTCTCAAGGCTGCCTTCAGCACCAGACAAAGTTAGGGAAAACGCAGCAGAGATCGCGCTCGCAAAACCTAATTAACACCAGGCCCCTCAGACAGGGGTAGAAGTCGACCCCACCTACCAAATCAGGATGCGAAGCTTCCTTCTCTGTCAATCCACTGTCAAACTAAACGATACAGAAATCAGTGCTAATTACCGTGGTAAAAAGATAAGATTCCGAGGTATTTAAGTCTGGTGCTAGTCCTCTCCCTTTGCCTTTTGCCTCTGCCTCTTGCACCCACGTCCAAGCACCGAGGAAGGTCTTCTTTTACGACAACCCCAAAAGACGACAAGAACGATGCCCCTGACCTCGTCGCCGACTAGTTCGCCAATCGTCGAGGCGTCGTCACCAAGGCCGGAGTCTCCTCCTAACCAAGGTGGCATGCAAACCCACGGAAGCTGTGAGTAGACCGGTTTTTTGTGCGCATATAGCCGGATCGAACGTGATGATCGTTCGCTCGGTTGAATAGGGGATCAGGGTGGCCCGTTGAGCCAGGGCTCGCAGCCTACAGCACAGGGCCGACAGGGGCCGACGTCATCTTCGACAAAGGCGCCCTCCTTGTCCTTTGCCAATGTGGAGCAAGCGGGTTCTGCTCGCTCGTCTGAAGCTGGAGCTGGACGAGGCACGGCCACTGCAGACGGCTCTGCTTCTACTTCTGCGTCGTCAGCGTTGGTGAAGAGAAGTGATCCCATGGAACTCGTCCTTCAAGAGTTCGAGCCTTTCGATAGTCAGTCGTTGGTCATCCAGCCTTTTGAAGAGGATGCATTGAGCGATGAGGAGTTTCATCAGGGTAAGCGCGGTGGTTAGGCACTGAAGGTGCATATATGCGTGGCATTGCCTACGACCCAGTTTCATACATCCAGTACTGCAGCTAACCACCCGATACATATAGAGTTGACCCGCCGAATCCTCCAACTAATGTTGGAGACCCACGCCTGGTGTGCGGTGAAGCCCAGAGCGGAGCGACAAGCACAGACCGAGCAGCTCGAGAGGAGGATCAACGAAATGACTGAGGCTGAACATAAGCATGGTACGCATCCCCTTTCATGATTCTTTTTCGATCCACCGGGGTCTGAGAAGTGCGCGATGCATAGCGAGCACGACTGGGGGATTGGGTGTTAGAAGGTCGTGGCCTGCGCTTGCTGGTACGCGGAGCCCTTTTCTTTTCTTTTCTTCGTTTGGTTTGAGGTCTCTTGATTGAGTGCTTGCTGATATCCGTTATTTCAGAGGAGGCGCGTCGAAAGTTGATGTCGTTCGTCCAGATGATGCGGAAGGCTGTTGATGCCCTTACTTAGCGCAGTGGGCTATCGATTGGCGTGTCTCTGCATCGGTTTATCATCGCTCGGACGGTTGTAAAAGTACAAAGTATCCCATTGTCCAATGAATGTCGTTCGTCGTCCTTGTCAGACGGTCAATATCGCGGTCGATGAGCAAAGTCCATTCCGACTGGCCCGTCGGGCGTCGCGCCGAAAGTCCTTGAGCAACAAAAACAAACAAAACCGATAAACCACAAAATCGATCAAACGTTTTTCTCTTCTTACTCAACCACGACAGACGAAAAACCGCGAGGCTCGCACAGAACAGAAAGTAAGGGCTTTGCCCGAGCCCTTTGCTTTCGTATTCGCGAGCGGGTTAAGGTCTGAGTATTCTAGTCATTCTCGATCGGTCCTAGCTGGACCAAGGCTTTAACGAGCCTTCGCAACGTATCAGAAATCCGACTTGCAGCTCTCCAGCTTCCTCGAGGCAGCCCAACGACTGGATCTATCCAGGAGGGTGGTTCTCCTCTCTTCGTGATTGGGGAAGGCGGGCTGTGGGTCATGGAAGTCGTTGCAATGACCGGGTTGGCCATGTAAAGCAAGGCTGTTGTTGTGCTCTTTCGGGCACTGGACGGTTTCCCCTGGGTGGCTTGATCCTTTAGCTCACTTCGCGGTGCGCCAGTTACGGGCGGCCTTTTCCCTCGGGAGGGGTCGTCTTGGTGTAACTCGATTCAGACTACTCTTCGTCTGTCGTGGTCCCAAGCTCCTTTGGAGCGCAATTTTTTCCGTCTTTTTGGTGCTCGTTTTCGGATGAGCTTTGAGGAGAGAAGGAGGGTTGGGATAGTTGTGAGTAGCAGGATTATCGTATTTGGTTATTGGCTATTGATTTTTGAATAGATTTTTTTTGTAGTGTGTATTAGAACCCGAATCAATAAACGATCGTTGCTTCTTTCATCCCACTACAATCATGGTCCTCTGCATGCCTTACACCCTTGTCCTCAACGAGCCGTCGATTATCTTCATCCCGCCGCCAGACGTCGACCTCCACAGCGACTACAACGACTGTGACGATGAGGAACGCGCCGAGGCTGAAGCTGTTGTCGAAGAGCTCACACCTGGCCACCGTCCATTCGCGATGCAGGTGATCATCAAGCAAGCAGGGTATGCTCACGACTTCTGCACGACGGCGAGCGCTTCATTGAGCATATCGGAACACCAGGAAACGCTACCTGAGTGAATTACTGGTCTACTTTGCGGCTCAGCGCGAGATCGTCGTTCGTAGACCCTTTTTCTCCTTTCCACCTGGATATATGCGCTCAGATTGCGTCGATTCTTCCTCTTCTTCCCTGTATGCGACTCTTAGAAAGCGATTGAGACCCTCGTTGTGAGAGAGGCGCGTGGAGAGTATGTTCCTGCTATGATTCAGATTGAGGGCGAGGAACTGGGAGGTAGACGATATCTTTTGACTGGCGGTGAGTAACAATTCAGAGCATGGATACTGGTGTTTGAGCTCGCCGTTGTCCAAATGTGCTGACCACCTCGACATTTGATCTGAAGAGCGGAAGCCGTGGCCGTTGCACGACAAAGTGCGCCTCATGTGGGGCTCGAGGCCAATTGAATGCTGCCCTGAAAAATGGAAATTCGAATTCGAGCTGTTTTAGCGCTTACATACCGTACAACCTCCCTTTGCATCGTTGAGCTAGGTCGCCGTTTGTAGTGGTTGTGGTCATCGTGTGCCGTGTTGAGCGCGTTTTTGATGGCGGCGACGCTTGTCTTTCGTCCATGATGTAACTCTCTTTGCTTTCGACTTTCTACACCGTTTTTTACGATCCTTTGGACGTTTCGTCGTCGGACTTGAATCTTGGACAATGTCGGCCCCGGGAGAAGAAGAAATCTCGCCTTATGAGCTCCTCGAGCTCCCGATGGAGGCGACGGAGCAGGAGATTAAGACTTCCTATCGCAAACGGTCCTTGAAAGTCCATCCGGATAGGAATCCTAATAATCCAGATGCAGGTTCGTAGTCCCCCTCTACCGAAACATAATACAAAATCCTAACTAGTACCAACCTAACCAGCCCGAAAGTTCCACGAACTAAACCAAGCCTACGAGCTCCTCCTCGACCCCCTACGCCGCCTCGCACTTGATGCCAAACTGCGCCTGAAAAACGCACGCAAGGAACGATACAAAGCGTACGATGCCAAACGGAAGAACCTGGTCGAGGAATTGGAGGAGCGGGAGAAGGCGTTTAAGAAGGCTAAGATGGAGAAGCAGAGGGAGGATGAGCAGTTGCAGTATCAGACTGAGAGGATTAAGGAGGAAGGGAGGCGGTTGAGGGAGGAGAAGGAGAGGAAGGCCAGGGAGGCTGAGAAGGAGAAGATTAGAATGGAGGAAGTGGCGAAGAAGGCGGAGAAGATGGATGTGGATGTGGAGGAGCCGCCGCCGTTGGGTAAGTCGCTCTTCCTTGATGGGTGCTGGAGAAATGCTGATGATGGTGTTAGACCAATTTGATACCACTGTTAGACTCAAGTATGCCTTGAAGTCGCATCCGGGGTTGACCACGAAAGAAGCTATTGCGGCGTTCCTGTCGCCCTTCGGAGCTGTGGATGTGGATTCTATCGTGTTCAGTCTCAAGACCAAGGCTAAGAAGAAGGCAAAGGCTGCTGGTGTGTATTCCTTTCTCTGCCTTTCCATACCTGAGATGCTGACTGCCTTTGCAAGGGGATGTGACGGGACCACCGACACATGCTACAGCCCTCGTCCCCTTCAAGACTATTGGAGACGCTTATGCCGCTGTCTGCGCGTCAACCTCACCTTCCCCCAAGGTCGATCTAAAGGGCATGGAGATTGGATGGGTGAACAATAAGGAACCTTTGATTCTGGGCTGGCTCAAGAAGATGGGAAAACTACCCTCATCTCGGGAACCTTCAAAGTCACCCCCGACGGATTCTGCCAAGCAGGAGGATAGTAGTCGGTCCACACCCTCTTTCTCGTTCGTGGCTCCTTCAACGAACGACAATGCCTCGAAATCCACTCCGTTTTCGTCTTTCGTATGTTTCTCTTTGACTCATTTTATACACATCTGATTAACGATGGTTTCATTGCAGCCCGATCTGGAACCTCCTTCGATTCCGTCAACGACGGACGTACCTTCGTTCTCCGGCTTCACTGGCGCACCAGGGTTGGATTACGAGAGCTTGACGTTGTTGAGGTTGAGGCAGGCGGAGAAGGAGAGGCTGGAAAGGGAGATTTTGGAAAGGGAAAGAGAGGAGGAAGAGGCTGCGGCTAAGGGGTCGTGAAGCGTTCTTTTGGGCCTTTCTGGTTCAAGGACTGAGGTGTGCCTTAATATTTACCCCCTGGGTTCGGTGGGGATCTATTCACACGGAAGATCTCAGGGTTCAGGCGTTTCTTGTAGTAACACTTGTGGATCTATTCCTTCAGAGGCACACAGAAAGGCAGTTACTACTTTATCATAATTTACGTTCGGGAGTTACATAGGTAAGACGCGAAGGAGTGTGGATGGGGATGGCTGACCTGCAGTTCTGGGAGACTTGAATATATAATTCACAGGGAAGAGTCAGGAGCGTGGAGATTCTTAGTCTTTCCAGAAGACGAAAGGGGACGGGCCAGCACCAGAGGTTGGTTGGTTGGTTGGTTGGACGGCACAAGGACCCATAAGAGTCGGCCGGGACGACACTGCAGATTTGCCGACTCGACGGTCTCGTTAAAGGGGATTCAGGCGGATTGGGAAGACTAGGTCGGACGCGGCTTAGCGCCTGTCCTTGACCCGATGTGGGACTTTGGTGGCGTACCGAATCAACAAGAAAAATATCACAGACGTCACGGCAGAGGCTGCTGAAAAGATTGCAGGGACCTTGGACCTTACTGGGCCCTTATCATAGAGGTACAAAACCGCAGAGACCCCCAGGATTAGAGCGTTCGAAAAGAACATGATCATGATGAAGAAGGTCATCCTCGCAATGCAGTCGTACAATTTCTGAATGAGTCGTTCAGCGCCCGGGTCTTTGGGAGCTAGATCCTTGAACTGCATGCGGAGGCTGTTGAAGGAGGGTAGAACGATATCTGTGAAACCCTCGGCTACGACTTTCTCTAGAGCAGAGTACGCCCAGAGACGGTCGTCGTTGTCCAAAACGATGGCAGATCCTTTGTTAGCCTCGAGGTCAACCATTGAGCCCGTACCTACGTCCTGATCCAGAGTAGGAAATTCGGGAATGCGCGGCGTACCCTTCACGACATTCGCAAACCGGTCCAGTTGGTCGATCTTAACGAAGCCGAGGGAGAGGAAAGCTTGGAATTCGAAGCCTTCGAGGTTAGTTGGTGCGATGTTATCCCATTGCAGGCCGGGTGGTTGGAAGATGCTCGTGGCGGGGCTGCTGGGGAGGTAGGTGGAGGTGACGACGATGGCCCATTGTCGGGGGACTTTGGGCTCGAGGCCGGTTTGGGTGTAGGGGTGAATGCGACCGGTGGTACTCTTTGGTTTGGGGACGTACTGTGCCAGGCAGACGAACCTCGTCTCTAGGGGGATGGCGTTGGTGTTGGCAGCGGAGGACATCTTGGCTAGAGTTACTAGGTTGCTTAGAGTGGTGTTGGGAGGTGGGGTGAGGGAATGGCAAGAGAAAAGATACAGGGCTCTTATATCCTTCTTGTGGCATGCTTGTGTCCGCGTTCTGTTCCATTGTCCTTTGGCATCCTAGTCAAAGCGTGGAGGTAGGGAGATCAAAGCCACTTTTGATGGACGCGCGATCTTAAGCGCTCGTCCTAATCCGGAAGCAGTCATTATTCACAGAGGAGAATGGTGTGGCATTCAACGTAATCCAAGGATTAACCTTCTGGGGGTATTCTAGCGATTGACAATGGAGATAGCAAGGGACGACTAAAGTCAGCGTGCGGCATTGTTACCTGGTCCAAGCATTCGAAGTTCTAGTTGCACTGGGTCCATGAGTTTCTTAATTAATACACTGCTTCAAGTTACTAACGTGCCTTCGGCATACTATGGGAGCTGAGAGCATCTAAGAAAATGGAAAGAGTTTGTATGTACATCGCTAAGGGCCCCCATGGAAGACCATCAAGCAGTTCCCGACTTTGCCATTGCCGATCCTTTCACGTACGCCTTCAACCCCCAAATGATGTAGATTAGGGCGACGGGAAACATCAACGCAACCCCGGTCTTCTTGAGACGTTGATTATTGCGGGTGGGTGTGGTGCTGAGATCAAGGTTTCCGGACGACATCCTTGGGGAATATTCTCTGAGTGTGAATCGACTGGCGATTGGATATTCGAAAGTCAAGAAGTGTCGTCCGTATATCAGGAAATGGTAAGACTTGAGGAGTAGATAGGCCGTGCTGCTGGACTGGTGGCTGGGGAGCCACGCTTTATAGAGAGTTTTCTGTTGTTACGGGCTGACCGGTGTCGTTGTCCGATCGTTTTTGTTTACTGTATAAGGAGCTGTGGCGGGCATACTTGGTTTGTTTGGTCCAAGCAGTGGCAATGGCAACACGTCCTCTGTTGTGTTGTCGTCTCTATAGCATCATTTTATTTTTCTGGTGCGGCTCAGAGCCCAAATCCTCTCCAAGGTTAAAAGTGGAATGGTCTGTACCGACGAAACCCGTGGCAAGGCTTTGAATGATGCTTTGAATGATAATGTTGACCAGAGCGGTACCGGACGAAGGGTGGTACACAGGTGAAAGAGGGGTCCAACCCCAGATGTTCCATGAGATTCCGCGAATGTTAGGGCTCGTTTGGATCTCCTGGACGCGCGGATTCCTAGGATTCTCATCCCGACGTCCAGGAGATTCTTCAGGATATGAGGGAGGCGGCAGGGCTTTGACCTCTGACCATTCGAGGTTTGGTAGATGAAGACTGAACCGATTGACAGCACTCTTGCATGTCTTGCTGGAGCATCCAAAGATGTCGAGATGCAGCTTCATCGAGCAAGGCATTCAAGATTGGCGACACCGTCTCTGTAATGTTCTGTGGCTTCGAAATGACACACAACACTTCTGCAGTTTCGTGATATCGTACTCGTTATCCCGCGCACACACCACAAGAAATGCCCCGAGAAATCCAGGATATGATTGGATGATATATCAAAGGGAACAGCGCGAGCTAAAGGATATAAGTGATGTATGTACTCTATGAATATAGGTGTCTAGAATTTAGATAGCATGGATAAGCGCCCGTCGGGCTGACAACATGCACGCGGAAACTGATTGGGGCTGATCAGAGTCTAGAGCCCTCCTCCGTCTGTTTCTTCTTTTTTCCGACATCTTCACCCAGAGCCTTTTTGCCCCTACCCTTGAAACCCCACCCAATCTGCTTAGCGGCGGTGATATCGACATCGAGATCGTCTGCCATAGCCCAAACGACACCAGGGTTCTTCTGGAACATGCGGCCGACGAAGATGGCATCGGCCCAGCCCTTGTCGAGGATGCCCTGGGCGACATTGCCGTCGTACAAACCACCAACAGCGCTGACGAACAACTTCGAGCCGAGTGCTTGCTTGACAGCTCCGGCGAAGGGCGCCTGGTATGCCGTCCCTGACTTGATCTTCTGTCGAGGGTCGTTGCCGCCGGAAGAGACGTCGAGAAGGTCAACGCCGTGATCGGCAAGGATGCCTGCAAGACGGACAGTATCCTCCGATCTCCACGAAGGCTCCTCGGGAAGCACCTCTTCGAGCCATTCAGTGCCCGAAACTCTGCATTTCTATCAGCCTGCTATTTGTGGAATATATAATCAACGATAATCACTCACCTCACGAACAAAGGCATCGTCTCTGGGATAACAGCTCGGACAGCGTCCACGACTTCTACGAGCAACCGTGTTCGGTTCTCGAAGCTTCCTCCGTACTCGTCAGTGCGTTTGTTGCTAACGGGGGAGAGGAATTCGTGCAAAAGGTATCCGTGGGCACTGTGGATTTCGATAACGTCGAAACCAGCCTGGACGGCACGCTTGGCAGCGCTAGCCCAATCCTCGACAATCTTCTTGATCCCTTCCCTTGTCAAGGCCTTGGGCTTGGCGAACGCTGGGTGGAATGGAATCTCGGAAGGTCCCCAAACATCGTCCGGCCACCCACTTGCTTCGGTACTCGCGAGGATGGCGCCTTCAGACCAAGGTGGAAGGGTTGAGGCTTTGCGGCCGGCATGTGCGAGCTGGATGCCGATTTTCTGGTTCTGTGTGTGTGCAAATTCGACGATGTCGGCGAGAGGCTTGATTTGTTCGTCCGACCAGAGACCGAGGTCCCATGGAGAGATACGACCTTGAGGTTGCACGGCGGTAGCCTCAACGATGGTCAGACCAGGTCCTCGCGTAAAGATACCACCGACTGAAAGGGGACACGGATGTCAGAATACAACCGATGAACGATTAGAGCGCGGAAACATACGATGTGCCGTGTGCCATGGTTGTGCAACACCGTCTTTGGCGGAGTATTGACAGAGAGGGGAGAGCTGTCGCAAAGGAGGTTAGGGAGATGAAAGTCCACCAGATGGAAGAACACATACGAAGATTCGGTTTTGGAACGTGACGCCTCGGATGGTCAATGGCTGGAACAAGGTTGGGACAGGCTTGCCATCGGGTTGGGGGACAACGGCGGTACCAGATGGGATATCTTGATAGGGAGTGAAGTACGGAACGCCAGGGGCAGGCTCGTTGGTGATAACTTGGTTGGAGATAGATCCCATGGTGCGTGGTGGATGCAGAGTACGGGTTGAGGAGGTGGGATTCAAGCGTCGGGACGAAATTCTTCGCGCTTAAGTAGTGAAGGTTTCCTGGATGATAAAGCAAAGAAAAGACCGTAGAGTGTTTTGTAATCCGCAAAGAAGCCGATTACCGCGATGGGTTTTCAACATCTCAGCATTGGAGCATGACTGAGCCTAAGCCAGTCGGATGCAAAGGCCTGCGGAGGACACAGTTCCGGAAACTTGAGCCGGGACAGTTGCCCCAAGCTGCAAGGCCACAGAGAGTCTAGGCATTCCATTGCGACTTTCGAAGTCGGAGCCTTGCTTACTTAGAACTTGGGCGCCCAGGTATGTAGCGTTTCTGTTTGTACTTGAGAGTCTCGAGGAGTCTCGCCGGAGGGGAGGGAGCCCATGTGGTTGAAGCCAAGTGAATCCACAGTTGGCGTTGATGAATCATATGATCAGATCGCGAGAAAAAATATAATGACGCAATCGCAAGTACACGGGCGCTTAAGGAGGAAAGCGCTGGAAATATCTGGAACCCGTTGCTACAAAGTACTTCCGTAGAACCCTGAGAGTAAAGCGGGTGGTCAGCATGGTAGTTTGAATATAGGTTCGATGGATACCCACAGTACTTGGAAACATATTTTATCGTGATGGTGGAACCGGGTCGGCACTGAATAGTTTTGAACTCAACCATTTAGACTCAATGTGAAGAACAAAGGACGAACCGTTCCGCCTGGTGGGTATCCACCACGAGTGTCAGTTCGATATACCTGCTTTGACAAAGATCCGGAGATACTGTTCAAAGCGAGCCAATCCACGTCACGTTGGGAATTAGGAGCAGGGACCCCTGCAGCAAGGGCAGCTACCACATAGGCTTCAGGATTCCCTTTCGTCGCGCCTTGCGATGTGAAGTCCCATTTGGGACTAACGCCTTGTCCGGTGATGGGATTGGGGATAAAGTAGTGTTGTCCTGTGGTGAGATGTGTTAGCCTGAGACTGACGTGGACGCAGAGTTGAAAAGACTTGTAACCCACCGAGTATCATGGCAGCGTTCACCGGTAGCAGCACGGCAATGATTGCCTGAGTGCTGAGGAACGGTGGTGCCTGCTTCCAAAACGCCCAGAGACTGTCAGCGAGATCGTCCTGGGCGCCTGGAGTTGACAGGCACGAAATGTCAAACAGTTGTGCCAGGGCACCAGCCGCCCTGCATGGACGTATAAGCGAATATAAGCCTCATCAATGTGATATCCACCTACGTATAGTTTCCCGCTTCTGTGCATGTATAGTTTTGCGTGCCGAGAGCGATGGACACATACGAGAGAGGCGCAGTGGGTTCGGGAAGCCCAGCGGGCGCGCCTTGAATGGATAAACCCTTCAAGTCGCATCCAGATAACTTAGAAGGAAGGGAAGCTACAGGAATAACCATAGTCGCCAACGCATGTAATCCCAAGTAAAGTCGAAAGAGCATGGTGGATAGTGGTGCGGGGACAGAGAAATCCTGCGGGGGCTATTCGACGTGCTAAGGCACAATGAGACGCTCTTGATTTCGCGAAGCATTTATACCGCGCGCATGGTGCTTCGGCCAGTTCGAAGCCCTGTTCAGCATCATCTTTCAGTTCACCACTTCATCACCGCAAGTATAGAAGCGCATTACTGATGCGCTCGTATTGGTTCGACTGACAGCAGTGAACAGAACTGCCGAGATGCTTGTCTAAAGCGAAGTCAAGGGATTCGCTAACAGCAGAGAAGATGTGGAAAAGAACAGAAAGCGAACATACACTTGTATCAGGCTGGTACTATGAGGCCGAGGTTCACTGGCAGGACATTCAACTCGTCAAGTCACTGACTGGAGAAGGATTGAATGACCCCGTTGGCTAGGGCTGCCAATGGGCAGTTCAGTATAGGTGGCCCCATCGGACGAAAAGCATTAGCCGATATTTGAGCAATAGATGGTCTTATTTGAACAATTCCCGCTTATTTGTGCAATAGACCTTATTTGATGAATAGACCTTAGTTAAGCAATAGACCTTGGTTGAGCAATAGAGCTTATCTGAGCTTACCTCCAGACCATTCTAACTTTGAGCAATATGTCGAATGAACTTTATTAGAAGTAACCACCAGGGTCGTTTTCGCAAGTCGCAGCTGAGGCTCTGAAGGGATCGAGCCTGGTCCCTGGTAGCGTAATAGGGGCTGGCAGGCTGCCAGCTGAACGCGTGAATAACTCGGAATAGAGCGCTCTTCGCCGCAGAGTCTGCTACTGCCTTCCGCAGCCACATTCCACGAACTCAGGCATACACCCTACATATCTACTCAACTCAACCAAATCCGAAATCATATCCTAGATGCTTACCCAGTGTCCGTGTATGACTCCATCACTCGGAAAAGTATTTCTATCTTTGTCGCTCGGGGGTTGAAACGATGCCCTGGAAATCCGAAACAAACGGCGGTGCTGGTAAGCACCTTTGGGAAAAGGAACGACAGGACACCCACACTTGGATATCCCCTACAAGCTGATCGAAATTTGACATTCATAATTAGGAAACTATGGGATCCCAACCCATCCGGATTCGGTATTGTCTTTTCAACTGAATGACTACCACCAGCCCTGTGAAGAGGTAGTCTCAGGTAGATGGTGGGTTAGCTGAGAGAAGGAGAGGGAGATGGCTGCTTCCAACCACAACACGTTGAATATAACGAGCAACGATTCACCGTCACGTCAAGGAACAAGGAGAAGAGGTTTGGTGAAGGAAGAATGAGATGGGCTTAGGGTAGGATTGTCAGATTGACACTTGGTATGAGAACGGAATTGTGAGTGATCTACGGCAGATAAAGGGGTGGTATTTGACGAGATACATGTGGTACTCGAGTTTCCACGTACAAGACCCGGTCGGCGGTCTGAAAACCTTTAATATTTATCAAGGCAGGATTGAGGGAAATATTTCAAAGATAAATACGCTCCCCGAGATGAAATGTAAAAGAAGAAAACTCAGCTCCCCTCTCAACTCCCGGGACCCGTTCGTGCAGTGTGCTAGCAATCGGCCTTACAATGATACACACACTTAATTCCAGGAATTTTATTCGACCTTCCCTTTGACATGGGCTTCTGCCCTTAACTTCCTTTCCCTCGCTGAATCCACGCCTTCCAATGTCCATCGTGCATCCTCTGTCCGCTCCTTTGTCCGTGCTGAGTTCACGAGTTGTTCCGCTCCTTTCCTCTCTCTCCATTAATTTTTCTCCTGCTTCCTCACTCGCGACCATTCTGTCGCGTCTAAACGGTCTCATTCTCCACCCCAATTTGAGCCCGAATTCCCTTCTTTGAGTAGCTGTTTCCTCTCCTTATCCACTCAGTGGTGGGCGCTTATGTGTGATCCGGAAAGCGGCATTGCGGCAGTCACTTTAGGGCAGGGCAGGGGCGGGGCTGTTCCGATACTAACAAATGTTGCATCGACAAAAGAAGATCTACTATGCCTCAAATATTTTGCCTCCAAATAGGATGTGTTGCGCAAGTAAGTCCTGTCCGTCAGTAACCCTATTGTCGAAATAAGATGTCTTCACAAAATAGGGTGTAGTAATGTCGCTCCGCGACGTATTGTCGAAATTAGACAACGTAATGCTCAAATAAGGACGTAATGATTATTGTCCGGTGCGGTCCCCCATAGTTCAGAGAATTAGACTTATCATCCAAGGTAGCAACGGGAAAGATAGCCTGACCTTTAGACAGGGTAACAATCAAAGGAGCTTCCAACGAAGACCTCGAAATCATGAAGTTTACTGTATCCCCTGGATGATGCTATTCGCATTTTCGGCATCCTAATCCGCTTCAGGAACGCTGGGGCGATACGAGGAAAAGATCCCTACTGCGCAGACAATGGATCCACTGTGTCGCAATAGATGTTGTTTTTAACGGGCGCTTGGAGCTCGAGCTAGCAAGCAGCGATAACTGCGCTCAAATCAGCTCTGTGTACTAGATGTCATGGGGTGGTTTGTGATGGGTTTGACAGAGCAAGACGATGTTCTGTGGATTGACGTTGAGCGATCACAGAGATACGCCGATGAAAAGAGTATCGCTTCTGATGAACTCCACGGAATGTCTTCGAGACCGTCAAAACATATGCCCACGGCTCCTTGAGCGCACACCTTCTCCTGTCAGTCGGGCGGCGTGCCTTCCTTGAGGCTATAAATAAGAGAGACTATACTTGGGTCTTGACAGATATTGAGGCGCTGCGTGGAATACTTGAATAGCGACAAGGGGTGATCATGACAGTCGTTCGTTATCCTTCAAGAGGCTTGCCAGCGGAACAAGCGGATGGGCCTGTGGGAATGTCGTCGGAAAATTCCGAAAACGGGGCTGCCTTATCATTGGGTGCTGGTTCCTCGAGTACTCATTGCCACGCGGCGACTCCAAGGTCGACCCAGCTGACTGCGGGTGCGACCGAAGCCACCTCTGCCTGCCTCGGAAAGCAAGAAGATGCGCGAGTTCTATCAGCGGATAAGGCAGGCCAACCGACGTCACGACAGGCTCCAGTTTCTCAGTATACAGTGCATTTCCGAACCCTTTCCCTGACAACCTGTCGTTTCCTCATCGAATGTGGACTCTCCAGGACTTTCCTTACATCTTGGAGCTGATCGAGAATGGAAGTTGGAACACTGATCTCGAATTCTACTGTTCGCCACATTGACACAACCCTTTGGTCCATCTCTGGTTTCGAATTGCTGGAATGTTTACCAGGCACACTCTTCTCAGTGGCTCGGCTAGCAATTCAATAGGCAAGGGCTCCTCCACCAGTGGGCTGTGATGCCTGTCCTCATTCACATCACCAAGACTTGTAGTGGATTTCTCAAGGATGTCACTTCAATGCTGGCTTGGTCCTGGCTGTCAAACGTGGAACAGTGCCCGACGGCATCTTCCTCGACGAGGCTCAGTGGCGTTTGTACGTCGCTCGGTTCCCTCCACGTGGATCAAATGTGGGCGGTCGCGCTCGAACCCCGACAACACGTTGAGGATGTTCCTACCATTTGTAGCAAGTGTCTGCTGAGTATACTAGCTGGACCCCAGCCTGTACCACACCAATACTAGCGCCGATAGCACCCTGGTGATTGACGGTGCGTAGAATATCAAGATTTTAAAGCAGTCTGTCTGCATCTAATCGCCCGCAGCACAGTAGATTGCACCAGAGTTGCCTGGCGCAGGCGAAAACAGCTCTAGACCCTCCTTGGTCTTTAACCCAGCGTACTTGATCCTTTCTGTCTGAAGTGAGTGTCAGATGGTTTACATGGCACCGATTGTTAACGTACCAGCTTGCATACTGCTGGCGCTTTCCTATAGTTCAAACGGCCGCCGCTGGGTAGACGGTGTACGTAAAGGAAGACCTTGTGTCTGAAGCTGATATTCAAGATGTTCTCAGCGATCTCGACGTGAGGATTGCAGCATGGTCCCAGGACGCGGATGCAAAAAGGTGTATCTTATCGTGTTGCCCATTTCGACTCTTCTCTCGACAGGTTCGTCGAAAGTTCTGTCAACTAAGTTCAGCAATCTCATTGACCAAGTACCTCCCGTAATCGACTTCGACATTCTTCAGCGATCTACGAATCGGTATAATTATTTGAACTCATACCAGGCACAGCTTTCGCGCGTTGACGCCGAACCGAGACCAAACGGTGCCCAAGTAACGAGAAGTTACGACGGTGTTCCTTGGTGTGGATTCAATTCTACTATATCACTCATGCCGACGCCTTCGGGTACCGGGACCAGATGTGCGGGTACTTTTCCAAAAGCAACCAATTGTCGTTTTCTGTCTTCGGGTTGATCCCTCCTTTGGGTTGCGGACTTTCTGAAAAAGGGAACTTTGGTAACTGCCGTGGGTTTGTTTGTCTCCAGGCGTGGGCCCTCCCAACATCATGTCATTCTCACAGCAGATTCTGTTCTCGTGGTCACTTTCAATTCATTCGTAATGATCTCGCTAACCGAGTAGCAGGGTAATTTCTCGGGCTTACGCGGGTCACTGAAGATTACTTCTGGCAGCCTTCCAGAGCTCAGGAAGATGCACCGGTAAAGAGAAGGCAAGTCTAACATACATTTCGATTGTATACTCAGCGATAGCCTAGTGACTGTGGATTGATTCAATATTAGACAACGAAACTTCACGCATTCAAACCAGTTGACAGGTAGCTCAACACTTGCCGCCATTGCCGCTCTTTTCCCGAGCGTCTGGGCGTTCCGGATGATCAGGATAATGAATGATTCGACGCCGCTGCCACAACATTCCAGGTCCCAACTTCAGGATTACGGATCTGGGGATGATCTAGTGGACGGGTTATGTCGGTGAGCTCATGGTCGTGAGAGAGCCCTCTCAATTCGTGGTAATAACTCAAATTTTTGGTAACGTATGTATGGGACCCAGGAACTTCGAACGAGATTGCTTTTGGAAGTGGAGCCACAGAATTTCCCCGCACGAAGACTTCTTAAGGAACCGATACTCCACAAAATTAAACAGAGCCATCCCCTCATTTCCCTCCAGTGCTCTCACTCGAGCAACCCCAAACTACCACCATGGCTGAAGTCACAGACGAAGCAGCTCTCGCTGCATTGAACCAACAATACCAGATATACTATCTGGCTGCATGTTGGACAGAGGTATGTTCAAGCTGTCTGACCTTGAGATGTTGAATGCTGGATAGAACTTCAGGGCATAGTCTATGGGATTTACCTAACACTCTTTGTGTGGACTGTGCGGATCATGACCCAGAAGCGGGCCCTGGACCAGACCGCGTCTCGCATTTTCCTAGTAGGCGTCCTGGTGATGTTCGTTCTCATCACAATACACGTCGGTGCGTTCTCTCTTCTGTACACTGTGACCTGACCAGCTTGGCTCACGAGTTCCCCTTTCCAGGGAGTGTTGGTTATAAATTGATTCGAGCCTACGCTCTCTTCGTTGGTACTCCTCCTGGCCTCCCAGTTGTCTACTTCCAAGACTTCATCAAATGGGACAACTACATTCACCCCGTTATTCTGGCGCTGCTTACATGGCTGGGAGATTACTTGGTGGTAAGTCTCTTGCAATTCGCCTACATCGCAAAGCTGTGATGATGACGCCCGCCAGATTTATCGTTGCTTCTTGATCTGGAGACGAAACTGGTGGATTATCTCTGTCCCTTCTTTCTTCCTCCTCGTTAGTGTTGGTAGGTAATCTTCCTGTTCCTAGGGACCACGCTAACTCTGAGCTACAGGTACCACGTCGGTGAACTTGCACTGGTTCAGGAACCCGGAGAGCATACCCTTCGAGACCATGACGCACTTCTTGAACGTCATCTTCCCAGTCAATCTCATCCAAAACGTCTTGACCACCGGCCTCATTGCCTTCAAAATCTGGAAGCAGTACCGAGACACCAGATCCGCTGGTCTGCTGCTCACGTCCACCAGTGAATTGCTCACCATTATCCGAATCATCGTCGAGAGCGCTTTGATCTACACTATTGAGACGTTTGCCATGATCATCCTCTACTACAAGAATCATCCTGGTTTGGTGATCGTTCAGCACATGCTCAACCCCAGCATCGGTGAGTTCTTCAATCAGAATACCTCGCCTAAACTGACACATCTTCTCCAGGCATTGTCTTCTGCCTCATCGCCATTCGAACGCACGTCGTCAAATCAGAGTCTGTTGTCCGGAATGCATACCCCTCCAACTCGATGATGCCTTCTTGGATGTCGATGAGCGGTAACGAGCACCAGCACCAAAGCCGACGGGGACCCATGCCGATCATCACCACCGTCACGGAACATCACCACCTCGACACTATGACTCCCACCAAAATTGACCACGAGTCCGGCGAGTCATACAGCCCCGGCTCGGGGGATCGAAAGATCTACCTTCAAGAAGCCAAAGGATCGCCTTCCTAATTGCTATCGGTCGCATACGACCCACCTTGTAGCTTTATTGGATTCTTTATTGGGACTACAGTGCGAGCTGCGTAAGTTAATGACCCGGATGATCCCCACTTTTGTATCCATAGCCTTATTTGATTGTTGTTGTTTCCGGTACCGCGTTGTTGTGCCATTTTTCTGTAGTAATTCCTTGCTTCTTCACTAGGAAGAAAAAAACCAATATACCACACACTCGTTTGATCTCCGAATATTATCGCATTTGGGGTGCTAGCTAATGAGGGCGTGGATCTCTTATACGCTGTACACTGGTATTACACGACGTCCATGACATTTCGATGCGTATCACGAGTCAATTTATCCACTTAGAAGCGGTCTCTTCCTCCACCGAACTGCGTGTCATTGGTGTGCGGACCTGGATCACAAGATCATCAGCGAACCATCCAACGCGAAATTGATCCTATACCCCACATACCATGCCCCATCGGAGCAGTGGCACGTTCTCGATGCCTCTGTGCTTCTCTCTCCAACCTTTCCGCCTCTGCCAATTCCGCTCCTTGCATCTTCACCAAATCAGCTTCCCTACATGGAAGGTATAACGTTAAATTGGTACTCAAAATGGAGGGAAAAGGGGGATAATGTGGATGTCGATGACCACGTACCGTTGCTTTTCAAGGCCTTTGGCCTGCATGGATTGGCTGTTGAAAGCCGTACCAATGGCCTCCTCGACTTTGCCTGTCATGCGTTGGCCGGCGCCCCCGCCCCCGCTCCCGGTAGTTGGCCCAGCTGCACCACTTGCTCTGCCTCCGGAGTGGTGGGCCGCAGGGGGGACGCCGGGGATATTAGCGTTTCCAGGACCGGACCCTGCGGTACCGGTGTAGTTGGCACGATTGGCATTATCATTGTATCCGAAGTTCTACCAAAGTTTAGAAGAGTCAATGGTCATCTTCGAAACTGGAAGGCGGGCGCTCACTTGACCGGTGTAGTTGGTATCACCTACCGCTTGGTGACCGGGCTGGGCGTGACCGGTTCCTCCGTGACGGGGAGGAAGAGGAGGTTGGTTCGCACTGTTGTGGGTGGTGGCTGGGTCAGTGAACCCCTGGTCACGTCGGAGATCTGTTCGACGAGGGGCTTCCTGTATAAGGCATTAGATCGTAGGTCGTGGTGCAAGTAGGCAACAAGACCGACCTCTTTGTGCTTGCTAGATCCGAAGAGAGGCATGTTGTATGAGTGTGAATGTTACTGTGGGTATGCGTTAAAGTTGCTATTGTCTTCTGGTGTAGATTCCTGTCGACTTATATACTGGAGGATGAAGTGGGTGATGGAGTCGTTGACGCGTTTCGCGCCACTTGCACTGATTCCAAGGAACGGAGTGGCCATGGAGTAGGTCCTATGGTGAAATTGGTCGCGTCATAGGAAGGCATTTTTGGCACGGCAGAGCTCTGCTCAGCGCGCGCCCCACGAGTGACGCCCCAACCCAAGGTAAGCCCTGCTCTTGGCCTTGTTGGCATCAGGACCCGTAATTTGATGCGTCGGACTGTGATGGCGGATGCGGAGCCGACGGGATTGCCTAATTAGGAATCTTCCCGCTTTGCGGGGCTGGTCTGAGAACTGAGAGGAGGAACCGAGAACAAAGAAACAAGGAGTGGTTTCAGCCAGTAAGTCCGTTATCTTGAACACAGGAAGCACCTAAGAGTAAGTTATACTCACCGTCGCCCTTGACGACTTTGTCCTCCCACCCAACGCTTCCTCGACCTCAAGAATGTGGACATTGAAGAAGCTATCCTTCCTGGCATTCGCAACCTTCATGGTGTCCGTTCACGGACAGGTCCTTCGAATGGCAAATGAGTGTACGCCTGCTGGAGGGTACACGCTGTGTCAGAATATCTTAGCAGGTGAGCCAGACGCGTTGATTTTGCGGGACTATGGCAGGGTTAACACGATACAGACGGTGGAGACCAGATGTCAACTGCTATTAGATCTTCACCAGCATCCGTTTCGTGGTCTTCCGAGTTCAACTGGAACTCAAGGGATTTCAACACTGCAAAGAGCTGTGAGTAAGGTGAATGACACCTCCGCGGTATTGAGTTGCTCACCAGGCCAACTCTGACAGTTCCAAATGTCGAGTCTCACGCAGCGAGAGGCATTTCAGTATGTATTCCTTCTTCTTTTCACAATACACGAACTGACGAGCTTCGCGATAGCTCCACAGTCTACCCACGGTTGCAGCTGCCTGGAACTGGAACTACAGAACAAGGTCGGAAACATTGAAATCTGTCGTTGCGTAAGTTGTCGTCTGCCGCGCATTTCAGACCGTGGAAGCTCAGAAGTCGCTAGCTTTGACATTTGGATTGGAGCCGGTTCAGCGAGAGGAGCAGGGTCATCGCACCAAGTGTGAGTACTGCAATTGGTCGCCACGGACACGAACACAACAAGTTGACATCTTTCAGACAAATTTGGTTATCTAAAGTGGGAGGGTGAGTGAGATGTGCGACAATTGAAGGAACGAAGCTGACCCGTTTCTCAGAGCATGGCCTACCGGATCCCAAGCAGGGATTGCACCTTGCATCGCGGGTTACGATTGGGAGGTTTGGCGTGGCCGGAATGGCTCAACCGAGGTGGTCACCTTCACCAACCTCGAGAACGCGGACATCACAAACTTCACAGGGGATATGGGTGAATTCTTCGGTGAGGATGTTTTACCTCTACCGCGGGTGCACCATTCGCTGACCTGCTAGTGACGGTTAGATTACCTTGTCCTTGAAGCAGGTGTACCGGAGAGCAACGTACGTTGTGCTGACTCTTCGCATGGTCCTGGAGGTCGCTGATGATATTCGCAGTACATCCAGAGCATTCAGGCTGGGAATACCGTCTTCAATGGCAGAGGAAATTTCCAAACTTCTCTGTACACCCTTTGGGTCGAGTACCCTCAGCGGTAACCGCCTTCTTCCAGTTATAGATGTCTCTATAGCTTAACTATTAGACTCATATTGCCAACGTACAGATGCCCTAGCAGAGTGTTCAGTGCGAGATGATTTTTAGCGGCAGCTTGACGCTCGTCGAAGACTAGGGCTGGTGACTGTATCGATACTGGTATTGTGTTGGGACGGCAGGTAAGGAGTAGAGTCAATTGTTATAGCATTGAAGCCTCGAGTTGCATCTGAACCGACGAGCAAATTGAGGTCGTCGTTCGAGACAGCGAGCTCGACGCAAGCGCTGGTGACCGGCCCTGTCCGATTACGGAATGATGGCGTGCATCAGCCTCGGGACCAAACAAAGGAATTTCGTTGGCCAGCTTGGCCGCTAGACGTAGCGCGCGAACTTCCTCCGCTCATTGACGTTGGTCGTGCTCGCTGTCTTCCACGATGAGCACAGCCCTTCGTTCAACTCAAGCCGCCAACGACGTCCTTAAATTCCTTCGAAAGGAGTCCCGAGACCTCGCCGAACACATTCGACGATTCGGTCCTCTTCCGTCCACCAGCAAGGAAGGCGTCCAGCACCTCCCAAACCCTTTTATTCCGCGATTAAACCCTAAGACCAAGCGATGGGCAGACCCTAAATACTCTCTCCGTCGACAGGCCGAGCTCGTGAAGAAGGCCAAGGCGGCTGGTCTTCTCCACATGCTTCCTCCAGGCCCGAAGACTCCTCTCCTCGACCCGGCAAACCCAACTGTGCAAAAGTACAACCCAAACTTTGCTGCTGTCGCTGCGGAAGCGTTCCAGAAGCAGTCCACAGAAGAGAAGAAGTGGCGACAACCTGTTCTCCCGGCTGTACGAGCGGACCCAAGCTGGACGTCACATCCGGAAACTCCGGAGACGAACGAGCTGCAGCCGGTGCATTGGGAGGGTAAGGTCGACTTGCACATGAAGCCTGGTGCCGATATTGGTATCAAGCTTTATGCTGGCAAGAAGAGGATGTTCAAGGGCCATGCCTACGAGCGTCTCAAAGTCAAGCGGGAGGCCCGTACCCAGCTCGCCCTTGCGACCATGGACAAGAGGATCGCTGCCTACAAAAACGTACGGTCTTCTTTGACTCTGACACCCTTTCCCGCTCACCGTGTTTCGATAGTACTACAAGAAGAGGCGTCCCAACCCTCTCAAGCCGCCGAAGAGCACGACCAAGATGCCCAAGCTACCATTCTAATTTACTCCTCTACTATATACGCCTTAATATCATCCTCTTTGCGACATCTTGGGTTTGCGACATCTCAGATACCGCGGCCACCACACCATGCATGCTCCAAGACCATGAGGGCGCGTTACGTCGACCGGGTTTTGTTCTAGGACAACTGCGAGCGCGGACGAGGGTCGACTGTTTCTCCCGCGCTACTGATTCGCTCACCTTCCATTTACTCTGTACATATGACTGACCATCGACAATTCTTCGCGTCCAGGTCCTCAGGTTTTCGGTTCTTGAGGCTAGGTCATTCTGCGTTTTGACGTACATTGTTTTGCGGCGTGGAGAGCACTGGATAAAGCAGATTCGCCCTTCGCGGGGCAAGAAAAGTGACCTCAGTTGAGGTGCTAATCCAGGGTCTGGATGATCAGGGTTAGGCTCAAACTCTGCGATCTCCTTCACCAACTTGGCCAACTCGAGATCCAAAAACTTCGGCACCAGCGCAGCACCCAAGTCAGCTCCCTCGCAAGCCCCGCCGCACTCTCAAGTACCATCACCCATCTACCTCCTGTTCCCGGCCCACTTGACGTTCTTGTTGAGGTGGAGACCCTTCTTAGCAAGGACGTCAAGACGAACTTGTTGGCGGCGACGCGGTGCCCGTCGAGATCCCGGTTTGGGTGACGATGAGGGACCTGGTGCAGATGGCGAAGAGGGCATCGAGCTCGGATTCTGAGAGCTCGAGGTCGGGGATGGTCCCTGGAATGGGGAGGTCGTCGAGACGGGGCCAGGTGTCGACGGTGGTGCCGGGGAGTTGGAGAGGAGGCATTACTCATTCGTGCGGGTTCATCACACCGAATACACGGGGAATGCCCCCCCGACTCGGACGGAGTGCGGGCGCTTACTAAGGGGGGAACTCCTCGCCCGACAGGTATCCCATTGAATGTGTACACAAAAGGTGAGCTACCTAGTGCAATAATCTACCTGTGAGCTTTCCGAACTCGAGGTCCACCTGCCTTGCCCCATGGTTATCAAGAACGCAATTAACGATTAAATCCCCGTTATCCAAGCGGCCGTTGTTCCCCACAAGATTTGTCACCCTAAACGGCGGGGTGGGGAAGTACTTGTAGTGGCAAAGGACTCTGCCTCCTCCAGCACCTCTGAAGTCCAACTCGGAGACACGGGCCACAGAAACATTGGACATGATGAACTGCTGGTCCGCTTCTTTGTGGATTGGTAGGAGGTACCCTGACTTTCTTTCCGCCTCTGAGAATAGCTCGTAGAGGGCGACAGCTTCGGGGATTCGGGTGCTACTCGAGCGTGCTTTTGCCAGCAGGTATGCGACTTTGTGCAGTGGGAGGGTAGAGAGGTCGTGAACGGAAATGGGGTTGGACCGGAGGACAGTGACACAGTTATGGGGGTAAAGTTTCAATTCTCCTGCCCATTCACCACGTAGAGAGCCGACATTTTGGAGTCCTACCAGACTATCTGGACTCCCTCGCTCGGAGTAGACGGCCTTCAATCGTATCGATCAGATAACAATTCCAGGATTCTCAGATTTTAAGATAACATACCTTCATCAACCAAGCAGTAATTACATCTCCGCTTGTCGGTCGGACGTCGGTCGCATCCTCCTCTTCCAAAGCCTTTCGAGCCTCTGCGGCCAGCTTGGTGTGTACGGAAAATGGGATAACGACGTTGTAATCCCCGACGCCGTTTCGTAAGTTGTACCAAAAGTTTCGGAGGAGGTAAGCAATGAAGTTCGCAGTTCCCCCAACAGAGAGGTTCGGGTATGAGAACCGTTCTCCGACCTCCTTTGCCTTCGCCGCCTCGCGTTCCATCAATTTCTCGCAGGGATTCTCGTTCAGCCCTGGTGACGGTAGTGGGGGCACCTCCCACTCCTTTCCAGAGAATTCGGCCTCGAGAGCGTGCATGACCATCGCGAAGCCAATACCGTCGAACACCCCATGGGAGTAGGTGACCCCCAGGCATGTGTATTGCTCTCCGGGATAGTCAAAAGAGGTCAGATGCCAGTGGGTAATGGGAGCTGTCTTCTTTGCGTAGGCTTTCATGTTTGCTAAGGAAAGGCTATTCTTCGGTTTGAAGAGGTGAATCGGAGGGAATTTGGTGAAGGAGGCGAGTGGGAGGGTTATGTAACGGGATAGGGGAGTTGAGGAGACGGTGGAAGTTAAGACGTAGGCGTTGTAGCCAGCTGGAAGAGGTCCGAGGGGGATACGAAGTTGGAATCTCTACTAGAGGGATTAGGTGTCCGAGTCTTCTCAGTAGGTTTAACCTGGACTGACCATTCTTCTGACAACCTCAACCCGTGCGGCCAGCAGTGGCCATTTTTCAACGATCCTGTCCAGGGCGGCTTTTACTTTGTCGACATCAAGAAGGCCTTCAATGATCCATGCCTTTGTCAGGCTCTCCTGCGATAGGTTGTCGCACAGGGTGAGGGGATAAAGAGCAAAGGTGTCAGAGGCGGAAGGTGTTTCGGCGGGCAGTAACATTTAGGTGGAGGCTCTAAACTAGATGCTACGAGACCCTGGTCTTCTTGAAGTACCAGATGGCTACCTCCGAGGACTTCGTTCAGAAGAAGGACAGCAGATGGCGTCCCAACGGCATTGAGGCCCATCATCACGATCCGCATCTTCATAGACAGGCCAGAATACAGCAATATGACAGTCAAAAATACATAGCAATAGGCTTCGAGACCGTCCAGCTTCAAAAGAGGTGGCTGACCCTTTTAAGCGCCCATTCCAGAAATATTTGGCTCTGCTTGTTTCCTTACGTAACCCTCCATATAAAAGGCTCGGCTGACCCTCAAATCGCTTCTTCAACCCTCTCTCTTCGCGACGACCACTCGTTTGGTTCTCCAGTCCGTGAAACGGTTATTCACACGGCTCCCTGTTTAACGCTACCAAGCGGACAGGAGCTCCCCACCCCCTTTCCTTCCGGGCAGAACCCTGCAGCGGTGAGCAGGTCCCGGGGGATTGGCCAACGACCCACCTCGCCTCCATCCCGCTATGAAACGCTGGGGCTCCATCTCCTTCGTGGACGGGGCTCCGGATAGGGGAGAAATTTGGGCAAGGGTGGTGGAGGCGCGTCGAGGAGGACCCACCCGCTCTTTTGAGCACAATTTTTTGCACCCTTTTACCTGTTCGCAGGTGTCTTGCGGTAGTAGGATGACAAGTTGCACAGTGTGAGTGTCGATGTCATCCATATACATGTGCTATTCTGTGATGTTTGCCACAGACCGCTCGCCAGTGAGGATCTGATTGTATTTTCTGCTTTGAACTTCTTGGTCTGGGTGTCATGATATAAGGGGTGCCTTTCGTGTCCTCACTCCACTGTCACTATTTTCTTCTGCGACAACAGTGTGGTATTCCTTCGGAATTGTCTGAATCACGATCCTTCCAGTGACCATGTATATTGGCTAAGTTGGGTTTCTAATGAATACAATCTGATGATGATTATAGCTACAATTTTCAAGGTGGCAAAAGTGAAAGGTACCCAGAGGTTATGAGAGTATAATTGTCCATATGTCCGAAAAAGACGAGACGTGTACTGTTCTGCGGCATTTCAAGGGACGACGACATTCGTCCTCGAAGGGGAGGGCCGCGTATTGGATGCCCATGGGGTCGCAAACGTGGCCTGGATGGTCGTCAACCCGTTAGCGTAGCACGACCACTGACGTCCTCAGCGGAGGCTGCCAGCGCCTATGAAAGGAGGACGTGGAGGTCTATGATGGCTATCCACGTTCCTCCAGGACGTAAAGAAGACGCAAATCTACCGCATCCAGATCACGAAATCCACCCCGATCCGTCCGCATACCGCCCATGGCCATGTCCTGCCAGCCTCACCCGCTCGCCCTCCCAGCCTTCCCTCTCCCACATCTCCTTCATCATTTCCCGCTCACAAGTACTCTCGCTGAGCTCAATATCGCCAGAATTCGATGACTCGCCCATTGTGTCCGGGATGATGGTCGTGAAGATGTTGTGAGTTCCGTAAACATCTATGGATCGTCGACGCGCCGTTCGTTGTTGTTCCGCAAAATGGTGACGGTACTTGAGGATTTGGAGGATGACGCGACTGCTGAAAATTGAGTGGAAGACGTGCTGAGGCCTAAGGTTTATGGGTTGGCTGGGGCTGAGTGATGGGTGGGGAAGTTAGGGCTTACATTCGGAAGGTTTGCTTATAGACGTAAGGCTTGAGGGGGTCAGGGATAGTCAGTTGTCAAGGCCTGAAGATGAGCGCATGGAAGACGAACCAGCTTGGGCAAAAGATGCACTACGATGTTGATAAGAGTGAACACTAGATAGGTGGATAGGTGTTAGACGACAGCCTCCAGACTGAAAGGCGTCATACGAACAGAGAATACAAATGCAGTAGAAAATTCCTGTCAAGGGCGTGGATTTAGCTGGTATGCACAGCCAGGCCAGAGATTTCGACGTACCGTTTTTATACAGTTGTGAAAGCCATGACCTTTGATTGCGTCGGACTAAATACGGGCCATTAGACTGACACATCTCTGTTTGTGAGATCCATACGCACGGTGCTGAATTGCTTTGACGACAGTGAGACCAATGATGACTGTGGAAAGAACTCCGTTAGAGCTGCGATCGAAGTAAAAGGCGGTCACACTCACTGAGTTCGGCGATGAACAACGTGATGTAAACGTAGAGCGAGACGTTCACGCCTTCTATGATGAGGCAGCCAGGGATGAAGCTGGGCGTCGGAGCGACTGCGACAGAGAGCAGAAAGTCAGAAAGAAATCGCGTTTCGATGATGGAGAGCCACGTACAGGACATATGTGACAGCTGCTTCCATGTGAAGAAAAACGTTGTCGCCATCGTTCCCTGGTACCATATATTAGATTCAGGCCTTCTTTCAGAGTGCGCTGGGAGCCCATGCGTACCAGTAGAAGAAGCAGTAGCGTTGTGACGATCGTGATTTGGTTTCTCCACAGGGCGCACGTCCGGAGAACGATGATCACTGTTCAGGCTGGTAAGTTTCAAAGGTGACGATCCCTTTGAGGATGCCTCTTACACTGAGAGAAGAACGAAGAGATCGCTATGGACCCTGTATGATGCGAGTCAGCTTTCAGTGTTTGATCTGGGACGGGAAAGCTAACCTACAGATAACAAACTGCACTAATGTGTTACATTGCTGGTTGGAGGGTTAGAAGGAAGCGAAGGTGAATCGCGAGAGGAGAGCTTACTGAGCTCGTCATATGATTTGAGTTTACTAGAACGATCGTCAGAGTGTGCGAGTTGACTGGAACTGCATCACTTACTGTATACGAATAGGATTGTGTTCACAAAGGGAGCATATCGATTAATATAGAATAGTGGGAGTCCAAAGGACCAAGGGCACGTCCAGACGTAGTTAACCTGGTGTCGCCTGTTGTGTTAATTGCACGCGCCTTCATTGCCACGCGAGATATCACCCACCTCTTGATCGAAAGTACATAAATAGTCAAACGACTGTCGTGAACAACCATTGAGTACCGGATAACCTCGAGGGTGTGAAGCGGCGCTGTACGCACCAAAACGGTCAAGCATCCTGCGAGGATGTAGCCCTCGATGGGTACATCCGCGTTATAGCCTTCCAACAGATGGCCATGCTTTCTCAAGAAAGCCAAAAACTCTGCCAAAAGCTGCGCATCAGACTTTGACAGAGTGATCATTGCCCGCAGGAGAGGAGGGCAGCCAACATAGGATCCCTTCGAGCTTGAGGAGGGGTGAAGTGATGTGGCTGGCTGGCTGGAGGGGAGGGGAACCAGGGGTCTGAGAAAGAAAAAACCTGTCGTCGATAATTGTCGGTTACTATATACAAGGGGAGGGCGCGCCGTGCCCTGGTGTGGGTGTTCAATCGTCAGTTCTGATCTCGGCCGGAATCTGTGCCACAGGTCGCGGACAGAATTACAGTTAGACTAAAATAGCCGCGGCGTGGATTGATAGAAGTGAAGTGGAACCTGTTGCGGGTGATCTCTGTAGTTGAGTTGTCGGGTTTGGCAGCTGGCTATGCGGTTTGTACCCGACTTTGAGGGTTTCCTTGAAGCCTGGGGGGTGGAATGAATCGTAGGACACCTTACTTTCGGGCAGCGTAGCCTACATTGACCGCTGATGGTGGTTTACCGGACGGAAATGACAAGCGCCGGAGGCAGATGTGGCTCTTGGCTGCCGCTTTAGCACCCTCAAGAGCATTGCCCGTTCCATTGTGCACACACTGAGACCAGGGAACCGAGGTACTCAGAAGAGCATGATCATGCCTTCTCGAGGGTCGAATCGCGCTGGGAATGCCTCGAGGATAGCCAATTGGAACGCTAAAAGCCAAGAAGGTGAGATCCAAGCTGACCGAGAATACACCGACTGATAAGAGTCTCACCAATCCCACTCCAAGGTGCCAGTAAGCGGTGGTTTTGAGTTTGAGAAAGCTCACGGGTGTGTGATGGTCTCCAAGAGAGGAACACTCTCCGCTCGAGAGAAGATCGTAAAGCTGGTTCTTGTGGCTTTAGAAGCGAACGTTATGCATGTCAGAACAAGCGAGAACCTCGTCAACCATGACGCTGAGATGCCTGCATCCAGCAGAGGCAAGGTCTGTGGGAATCTTAGCCTCGACACGGCGCGGCTGCGGCGATTGAATTTGATGGATGCCGCAACAAACCCAAACCCTCTTTCTTCTCCTTCGTCTACGGTCTAGGGCATTGAGCAGTGCCATCAGCCTATTGTACGAAACCAAAAATCAAGTATGGACTCTAAATACCAACAGAACAATGAATTACTGAATGTTAAAAGGAAATATCGACCCCGGATCGATCCCTCGGCTGATACTTACCTCGGAACATTGCCTCGTGCATAGCACATGCCAATCCTTTCTACAGACGGGTCGAAGACGGCCTTGACCTTTCTACTACCACCTCAACCCTACCCTTACTGATAGTAAGTATCTGGGTCCTTTTCATTCTGAAAGTACACTAAGGCTATGTCAAGGGAAATTGTCAGCCTTGGCGCTTCCTATCAAGAACCAGAGCCTCAAATTCGGGAGCGCCAATACACCAAATAATAGAGCGTTCGTCCAGTCTGAATGAGGGCCAGGAAGATACAGCTCTCGTAGAGCAAACAAGAGCGACACCCATACAGCCATTCGAAGATTCCCATGAACTTATAAAAGTCATGGATGATGTCGCAATGTCTGCTGGTCTCGCAAACTAAGGCTGGACGCGGGTGCAGGTCGTACACAGGTACCCGTGACCCGACCCGCCAAGAAACCCATGGGTATGTGACCCGTGGGTCCAGGTAACCCGTGGCCAAAATACCCGCAAGGGTGCAGGTATAGCTTTTAGCCTCACAGGTACCTGTGGGTGGGTACCTGCCAGCCTGTTGGTGACCATGTCCACTGTAATAATGCTTCAAAACCGCTCAGAAATGAACCTAATCTCTGTATATCATATTAGACAATGAATTCACTTATTAATTAAGGTCCATGGCCATGGATAATGGAGGGAATTCACTTCTAACTGATCCATTTTTAGCAGGTACCTACAGGTTTACCTTTGGGTACCTGTAGGACCTGTGCCCAACAGGTACCCATGGGTAGGACCCGCAGGTAACAGGTACCTGTTCGGAAATACCTGTGAGGGTGCAGGTATGGATTTTGGGGGCATGGGTACCTGTGTCAAGGGTGCGGGTACCCGTACAGGTGCACCCGCGTCCAGCCTTATTAGTGAAAAGCAGGGGTACGGCAGACCCTGCAGGTTTCGGGTAGGGGTAAGGGCGGGTCCGGGTCCGGGTACACATTTTCGTAGTATCGTACCCGCGATCTCTAAAACAAGCCCTTACACGTCCAAATCAGCCATGAAATGGCCGAGTTATGCTTGATTTAAGTAAATTGAGCATAACTCGCCCATTTCTGGGCCGTTTTGGACGAAATAAAGTTCAAACCCTGCGGAAAACCCGCAGGATTGCGGGTAGGGTTTTGGCAGGGTCCGGGTCCGGGTCCTGGCTTTCAGACCCGGGGTTTACCCGTGGTGAACACTAAGCCTTATCGCAAACCCAAACGAGGCAGAGCGGGCTAGTGGAGAAGACCAAAAAACCGGACAGCTTGAAGCTCCTGGACAGCCTCTTCCGACTCAGACCAGTGATGTCGATGCAGAGCCGCCATCCTCAATTGCACCACTGCGCGTTATCGACAACCAGACACCAGAAGCCCAAAGAGATCAGGTCGTCAGAAGATCGAAGGAAGAGAGAAGAAAGGCCAGAACCTTACTATGCGCCCAACACGGCGATCATAGGCCAGATGTGTTACCTTCCCCCGAATTTACCTTATGTTCCTACACGGACGACAAGGAGCTCGAACAGATTCACATCCCTCTCCAGGTCAAATACACCAGCTCGAAACGAGTCCTCAAGGATGTGTTGGTGGATAAGCCGTGCTCGGCATTCCAGGACCTCGATGGACTGCTGCGGCAGTTAAACAGAACCCTAGGGACAACATACACCCTCGACGAGTTGGAAATATCAGAGAACGCGTGCGGTCTTCGCGATATCCTCCAGTATTGTATCGACAACTCATATGACTTTGGAACTGCATATGGTCTCTTGAGACCACGATGGTATCGCGACAAATTTGCCAATATGGTGAAATTATTCAACAGCCTGGAGGCGAGCGACAAGGAGATGAGGGCTTCTTCGATTGACCGTGTTAAAGGTCAGATTATTGGTGTTCACCTCCCTCCTCGTCGGGTCTGGGATCTTGTCAGCAACCGGGTGATCCCTCAATGAATTGTAGGGATGAAGGATCCGTGGGCGATATCGCACAGCTGGATGGAGACCGAGTTGCAGCAGAGTGTCTACACGCCCGTTAATGGATGGGAATGGCCTGTGCCGATTCCCCGGGATACCACTCTTGCACGCATCCGCATTGAGCTTCTCAACCTGGGAGCTGAATACGTATGGTTGGATGTGTTGTGTTTCCGCCAAAAGAAGGAGGGTGACCCAGAGAAGGAGGCTCTCCGGGTGGAGGAATGGAGATTAGATGTACCAACAATTGGAAACGTTTATCACCAAGGCGCGGTCATTGTGCATTACTTCAGCGGGTTAGGAAGGCCTTTTCAAGTAGGCGACCTCGACAGCAACAGACATTGGCTTAATCGGGCCTGGACGCTGCAAGAAATCAGCATGAATAGCGTCAAAGGTGGAATCGCATCCTATTCAGAGGGCGTTGCCAATCCCAAAGTGGACGAAAACGGAGAATATATCGATCCGGATGTTGGTCGGTTCTACATTGCCTATAACAAGCTCTACGTTATCGCACAAGAAGTGGAGAATGTCTTTCCGGTACTCTCCGCAATGCGTAGATGTGCAGCAATGAACGAGTTGGATAAGATAACAGGGCTGGCGTACCTCCTTCGATGCAAGCCTCTGCCACAGTACGACGTCACCCTAACCCCGAATCAAGCTTTCTCCAAGCTTCTTGAAGTGACCAATGAGCGCTACCGTGGGGACCTCTTCTTCCGCTTTCCATATCCAGGGACAGATGCAGATAGTGGTAGGAAGTGGGCACCATCATGGGATCAAGTCCTGGCGGCTTCCGAATCAGGCCTTCCCGAAACAAAGGGCTTGTACCTGTTCGAACCTATCAGGTTCGAACCAGATTCCTGCTACTACCCTGTAGTAGTAGGTTTTCAATAGAGTTGCCGCAGGGTCTTGGCGCTCAGTTCTCCCACGAAAATGCAAGCTGGGACCTTTCAAAGGTTTCGACGTTTTGTTGCAGAATCCGAGCCTCAGCCCAGCGCGACGGACAAAAGAAGCCTTCGGCCTTGGGTACAAATGAAGTTGTCCTGTTCGTTACTGATTGAGGGTTTGGTGCATGTGTTGAGCTGATATTGGGAACTGCAGAGGTGAGTGTCGCTCGTGGCCACCTTATCGGCTGCTCTAACTTTTCCAGGAAAATACAACCTTCTACTCGAGTGATCACCTTTATCCAGCCCCCAGTCGATAGCAAGCGCGTTCACCGTCTTCCTCTGCCCGTTTTTGCGGTTATTCAACACCATTCTGGGCTCTCTCATGGATGGCCTGCACCGGTTGAGAAACTTATAAGTTATCGCAGCGTTTCGGACACGAAAGGTGAACATTGCACCATTCAATGAAGAGGTAGGGTAGACTCTCGAGTCTCTACAGCAACTAGAAGTTGGGGGAAGGTGTACTAGTTGGTTGAACAAACAATTTCAAAAATGCGGTGAATCGTCTGTTCCTCAAGCACTTCCTCGGTACGTTTACCTTCCCGTGTTCGCAAATAACCACTGACGTGTCCCTTTAGACGACGTGGTTCCAACAGCGACCACTACTAGCCTGACCACAATCTCTCGTACCGCCGACCATCCACCCTTCGGCCCATCGGCTGCCTCTTCCTCCTCAAACGCATCTAGCTTTGCGCTGTGTCTCACAGTCTCCCTGCCCCTGAACAGAACGAGGTCGTAGTTGTTACAACACATAGCTCCTCCTCACAACTCAAACGCGCACTCTTTTCTCCCAAATGTCGTCTCAGCTCGAATAGGTGGGCGTCCCGCTGGTTTCTGTACCGGTCGTTCTCTCTTCAAAAGTCCTATCCGGCATTTGTGACCTTTTCAGGTAGCTATCTTGCCGCTTCGCTTGCGTCGGTCTACCGTGACAGTGGTCTACTCCCACAGGTCCATTCACGACTTTGGTAAATCGAACCTCATTTCGCATTCCGCCCGTTGATACACTACCTGCATACATCTATTGGCATAAGACGCCCTTGATGTACATCCTGTCTAGCGGCAACCATGTACGATGTCGTTTTCGTGTTCATCCTGCCTTTTGCGTGTGCGTATGGCCTGCATTCGGTTGTGCGCCTCCCAAAGGTTGGGTCGTACTTATCCGCGGTCGATTGCTTGCTTCCGTTGATGATTTGGAGACCATTTACTCAGGACAGATGCTGGTCCTCACTCGTAGGCCTGCTCGTGTCCCGACCTCAACAATGATATTCATCCCTGGCTGTCTTCTCTGGACGAGGACGGCTTTAGTAGCGCCCACGACGTGTCGCCCTCACATGCCATTGTCTCTGACCTCTGGCTCATCAAGCATTTTGACAGTGAACCGCCAGGTTTTTGATGAGATATCGACTCCAAGGATGGCTTGGAGCATCTTTATCTCTGCTCGGATGACGGTCCCCTATCGAGGTGTTCGCCTTTATACTGCTGGAACCGTCGCTGAAGACTTAGACCCTCGTCTTGGAGATCCAATACCACAGGCGGCGTTGTTTGCGACGATTGTCACGAGGATTCAGACTGCGGCCTGGGCGTCCCTTGTCTTGTGTAGCTTGCCGATTTCCGTGGATCGAGACTGACGGAGGTCATGCAGTTGAACAGGCAGTGCGCTTTTAGGCGCGGTGAATGGGAACGGGAAGTTGTTAGCTGGCTGATGAAGAATCCGTGATTCTCGAGGGTCGAACATCTGACCACTGGTGAGATGTCGAGGAACTGCTGATTCTATGTTTCTATGCCCCTCTGCTTTCGTTACACGGCGCTCTATCGATATCTTTACCATGACTGCGACCGCATGCCTTCGTGCACATGACAAGTCCGCTGTAGTCTGTCGCCCTTTGTTGGAGTCTGTCTGCGACTATGTCGTCTGGATCCCAACAAGTTCGCCTCAACATGCCATCGCGTACCGATCGTGGTTCGGACGCGGAATTTGCGGTCATGGTGCTGAAGGGGTCGGGAAGTGCTTTGTGCAAAGCGACTATGAATGTTCACGGAGCGTTGGGTGCGTAGTTTTAACACTTGATGCACAGACTCACCGTTGATGATATTTCCAGCAAACCTCGAGATTATAGATAGGTATTAGGGATGGACGAGCTGTGTATTCTCTTGCCTAAAGTGTGAACTAATTATAACAGCGCAGTTTCGTTCGAGATTGTTTCCTGAAACAGTGAAAGGAATGTAATTGAATGTGGCGGCATAGGGCTACTGAGATTGGTTGTTCTGACAGGTGCTTTGTGTAGATACAAGAGGAGATCATCATCATTGACCACCAGAGTCTCCCTTCGCCTCACATCGAGCAGCTGCACCATCCTCCGCCGATTATCTCCAAACCTCCAAAGATTTGTCCTGAAAGATGAATTGGCATGACATGCCAGTCAGAAATTGTTTGGACTTCGAGTCTTCGACGTTTTAGGTTCTGGGACGGTTCTGGGACGAACGCGCAAGAACGGACGCAATTTTCGGAATTTGACCTACGTAGTGCGATGAACAGAGTGTCAAGTTGCTTGTGTGATGAAGAGGTTTGTGCGTAAGAGGCAGTGGGTATGTATCAGCGGAGTTCGGTAGTAGCAGGCTCTGCGGCGAAGCGCGCTCTTTTAGTTATAAAGGGTACTTATATCATGGCCCAATCATGGCCTATGCGCAGAGGGGGTCTCCACCCCAGGGCACGCAGTTTGAAGTGCCTTGAGGTCACGTGAAGGCAAGTAGAGGACTTCTTTGTATGGGGCGCAATAGGGCTACAAGCGATACTGCTCTAGGGCAGTTTCTCTATAGTCCTAATGCAGTTAGGGTGTCTCGTGAGGCAGTATGGGAGGTAGGGTGGGCTCGAGTGCGCTCGAGTGCTCATGCATCGCTCATACTGCTTGAGTTCACCAGCGGGCCGAGCCGATAACGTCTGGATGCCGCGGCTTATGTTCAAAGGTGCCGAGTGCGCAGTACGCAGGGTGCACAACATACCGGAACATACCCTCCCCTCCCCTCCCTCCCTCCCTGACCTCCGTTCTGAGCTCCGTATGATGACTATGGACAAGGCTACCTACAATATATTACTGCGTCACACATACACCAGCGTGACGCGATGCCCCCGTTGTCGCCTTGTGCAGAACAGTCACTTCTGACGTTGATGGCATCACAGTTCTCACTATCACCTACCTCTTCAGCCTCCTACGATATGTTTTCCAACGACACGTCTTATGTTTTCCATGAAACACAAACCCATATGTTTATCAGACAAAAAACAAAAAATGAAATGAAAATTGAAAAAAATCAAAGAAACAAGAAGAAAAGCCGTTTGCTCAGCATTACTTATTCAGTAAAAGAGTGATGTTGTGTACATCTAGTAGCAATGGGGTAGGAGCTTGGAATCGGATATAGTTATTAGTTCTATCATATACCTGCTCCGCCTGGTCTCTCCCCGTCTCCCATCCTATCAGATGAATTTCTAACACAGGGCGTGCCCTCTCAGTCCTCATTTGGATTCATTTTCCCAGACATTCTAACCTTACGACTTGCGCCTGACATAAAACTCCAAGAAAGCAAGAAGGTTTATTTCAAGAGTAGGCATATCATCGTACATGGGTAGAGGTAGATAACGCAGAGTCTAACTCAAATCGGTACAAATACGAGGGCTCGGATGGTCGTTATCAGGAAACATCAAGGAGCGGAGAACGCAATGTCCAAGAATAACTGGAAACGCCGCGAAAGACGTTTGATGCCAGAATAGTACAAAAAGGGGGAGAGCAGAAGGTACGAGGAAGAAAGAAGGTACCTGAAGGTAGCAGAACACCAAGGAGCGTCCGAACGCCCCATCGTCTCCCTCATCGACTGGTCTCGTCATTTACTACTACTAGCGGCCTTGCACCCCCGATGGGGGGTGTTGCCCATGGGGTCGAGTGCTCATATAGGTGGTCTCGGATTGTCGACTGTAGCCGGAATTAAACTGGTCGTAGCATTGCGGGTTGTACGGAGCGGGCTGGTGGCCAAATTCGGACTGGTAGGAAGGCGGGTAGTTGTTTGGTGTGTAGGAAGGAGGATATCGAGTGTCCACGTATTCTTGCATTGTCGGGCGTTGAGTTGACGCGGCATTAGCTGGTGCTTGCGTCCCATTGTAGTGCCATTGTGCATCGGAATATGTATCCTGAGGGGGGGGATACGGCTGCGAACCATCCCAGTGCTGCCCGTATGACGCTTGGAGCCAGGCCTCCTGGTTTCTCTGCTGCTGCTGAGGTGGACCCCAATCGGAGTAAACGTGAGGCGGCGGCTGGGGTAGACTTAACTGACCGTTCTGGTTAGGAAGGGAGTAAGCAGCTTGATGTGGATGACGGTGGTGATGAGGCACGCGAACCGGATGATGAGAATGCTGCGATACTTGGGAAAGATGAGAGGGATGAGGTAAAGGAGGAGGACCAGGAGGTAGCTGCCCCTGAGACACGGTGGTGGTTCCTTTGAAGGGCCTACCCTCCCCCGATTCTGGGAAGGAAGCCGACGATCCCCATGGTCCTGAAGGAAAGCTATTTGAACTGTTGAGGTCACGGGGTGGATGAGAGGGAAGTGGAGGGGCGTCGCTAGCCCCGGTGCGCGATCCTTGAGGGCTACTGTCGTCTTGAGAGGGTGGAACAGGGGGCAACACCTGGACAGCTGGGGCCACATTGGTGCCACCCCGAGGTTTCTTGGCATTGGTCTCTCCTTCTGGTCTTCCCTCGGCTGGACGCTTCGGAGGAGCGCAGGGTACAGACGTGACAGCGCAGGGGCGCAGCCCGTCCGCCAGCGTTGATGGAGACGGAGTCACGATGGGGGACGGCTTGGGGCCCGTCGATGGCGCGGTGAGAGTCGTTTTCAGGGCCAGAGACGATTGCGTCTGGGGTGCGATCTGTGCGGGTCCCATCCCACCCATCCCTGCCCGGCCTTCCTCTGCTTGTACGAGGACTTGGTCCTCGTCGTCCTGCTCGTCCACATCTGATCCATCTGAAACGTGATCCTTGCGCGTTGTGGCCTTGACTACGCCGCCGACACTTGCTTCGTAGTCATCGTCGTCGGAGTCGGATGCTGAACTTTCGTCGTCAGAGGTGCTGACGAACAGGTTGGACTTGTACCGGCGTCCACCATTTCGAGTAGTGCGTCGAGGAAGGTCGATGCCTGATTCGGTGTCCTCAGAGTCCGTGGACTCAACCGATGAGGATGAGCCGTCCGCTGCATCCCCTCCGCCGCCGACTTGCTTTCGCTTTGCAGGCATCTTCGCGGTGTGTTTTGAGCTCGAGGCGGCTTTAGAGGCACCTTTTTGTTTAGTGTTTGACTTCTTCTTGGCTGGGGCTTTATCGGACTTGGCCCGCTTGGTACCCTTTCTCGCCGCCGCTTTCTCTTTGGGGACTTCAGAAGAGGTTGGAGGTTTCCCTTTGGCTGGTTTGGGCTTCGCGGTCGCAGAAGCCGCGGCGACAGACGTCTTGGGTGTGGTGATGGCAGTGCGAGGGGGGCCTATGTAGTCGTCGCTATCCAAGGAACAGGGACCAAGCTGATCGACTGAGCCGTCAAGAAAAACTCTTGTACCTCGAGCGGCAGGGCGAGAGGCAATCCTGGGCGGACGAAAGACGATAACGGGCAGCACCGAGGTGCGTATATCTGTTTAATGAGTCAGTACATTGCCACCAGGATCAGTACACATTGGACGCACCGGCACTGTTGGATTTCACTGGCTTCAGTCCCCGACCATGGCGTACATCGTTAGCCAGGAACCTGGAGCACTCCGCGCCAGCCTCTCGGATGCCCTTCCCCGTCTGGTCCGTATTAACCGGCACTTTAGCGCGTGGATTCCATTTCGTCAAGGTGAGACCTCGTTTGGCAAGGTATGTCGGCAACCTCCTCCAATGTAGAACCTTCCATGGCTTCTCGCGTGCGAATTCAGGCAGCTTACCTAGTGAAACATGAAAGCATAACGGTGAGCAATCGATCGCATGAATTGTTGGTCGACACTTACAGATCTCCGACGATAGATGGTCCTTGATAACGGCGTGCAATTCCTTAGAACCCATCTGAGCGAAGACCTCGTCACTGATAGATTTGGAGGAGGTATCGACGTCGTCGTCGTCGTCCTCCTCCTCCTCCTCGGTCTTCCTCTTCGAAGGCTTCCCCGGTTTTCCACCTTTTCCGGTGGCTGCGACCCCTTTTGAACTTGCTATTCCACCCATCCCACTCTGCTCTCCCTCCGGGTTAAATGTATCATCAGGCTTCTTGAGCTCATCATCGAAGAGGGTGAATGGTTTCTTCTTCTCGAGGGCATCACTAGAGGTCGCGTCAGCTGACAGTAAACCCGCAAAAAACAGATTCAACTGTACCTTGCATGCACTTGGAGTCTGATGCCAAGGTTGCTGGGGGTCGTTCTCAGCCTATCCTCCACAAATCCCTGGGCACCCGCTGTTTCGTAGACGTAGACAAGGTTCTTATCGGAATGGTGCGATCCTGACAGGATGAGAACTGCTTCGAACTCGTGAAGGCGTGAGGCGTTATCCATGAGGTTACAGAGAGATGCTTTGGTGGATTCGAAGTTGATTTTCCGGGTTTGCAAAGTCACTGTTTCCCGCTCTTTGCATTCCAATTCAGCCACCTCGAGCTGGAGGATTTCCTTCCAGAGTTCTTCCTGATGGTGCAGCCGGTAGACTGAGTAGCATTCGGACCCTGCAGAAGGTTTCAGAAAACACCCAATGCGTAGAAGAGACGAACTTACTGGTGGGTTCCTTTTCGAGCCCCGTCTTCTCTTTTTCAGTTAGGGTGGCACGGTGTTCGAGGGCCCTATTGATTTCCCTCTGTTTCTTGTCCGGATTCCCCCAGAGTTGACCATAAAGATTGTAGTGGTTGACGCCGTTACCACCTCTCGGTTTGGTCGTGAGCATCCTGAACCTCTGGGTCCAAACATTCTTCACTCTGTTCACCGGATACCCCAGCTCAGCGGCGAGCGAAGCGAATTGTTCCTCGATGCGGTCGAAACCCTGTTGCATGATGCGAGCCTGGTTCCCAGTAGGCCGCCCCATCGTCCCCGGCATCGACTGGCGCAGAGCTTGGTTTTGGCCGTCAAGAGCTGTCAAATCTTGTCCTGGAGGTGATATCGCATGCGGTCGCTGCCCCTCATGTTCCATATCCATCTGGTTATCCCATGCTACTGCCTGCTCATTCCAACCCTCCATTTGTGCCTCATTCTCGAAAGTCTCGCCGCCCAACTCCCCGTCCAACTGCTGCGTCCGTTTCTCGTCACGTTCCTCCTCGTTCCTGTCATGTAGGTCACCCTCACCAGGGCCAAGGTCTTCATGTATAGGTGTCAACGTCAGGCGGGAGGTTCCAGCGAGCTGAGGATTGGTTGGGACCGTGGATCCTGCACCCTTCGTGGAATCGGGGGTTCGCGGTATTGATTTGAGTTTCGCAACCAGGTCCCGGTGATGGGCTGCGGACGCCTCGTCATCGCACCCCGCTGGAGGGACACTTGTTGCTCTATTTGTATTGTCCCCAAGGTGGGACTGTTCTGAGGGGAGCGGGACTGATCGTTGGCGATGGAAGGTAGGGACCTTCTTTTTCTGCAGCTGGGTCTGCACGAGGGGAGATGGTGTGGGGAATAGCGCATCTGAGAGTTGGGCTGTACTCCAGGCGGGGTTCTCCTTGCGGGGAGGGCTATGGACAGGGGCAAAAGAGTCGCCCTCCAAAACGGATGCCGGACCAGCGGAAGGAGGACGGGGTGGATGATTAACTTTTGGGAGGGGTCGGTACTGGGGAGGGGTCTGCAATCCATAGCTGCCCAAGTGCCCAGCCGACGAGAGGTGGTACGGCTTGGATGCTACATCGACCCTGGTGGAGGAGGTGCTGTGAGCCGGTGGAGGAAGGCAAATGCTGTCGTTTTCCTTTGTCACGTAGCCGTTAGGAGGGTTGTCTGCGGGGCGCGAGTATATCTGGGAGCGTTGGAAGATTGTTAGAGGCGGGGGAGGACCCAGCGAAGACCCCTGTGACGGCGGCAGCGAAGGTTCATGGTTGCCTACGGAGGTTCCGGAGGGCTGGTTGGATAGGTGGACATTGGTATGCGAGCTTCCGACGAGAGAGGCAACGATTTTGGTCGTCTTGGTTTGTGTAGGTCGTGAGCTCCGTTTCTTAGGAGCCTGCGGGACAGCATTGGAGGAGGAACTGAGGAAAACACCGTCGTTGACGGCTAATGGGCGTCTCGTAGCAGGTCGAGGAGCAGTCGGGGTCATGAGGAGGGTGTCCTCCTCCGATTCCGCATGACCTGATTCACGAGACTGATCCAGGCGCCTTGTTCTCGACTTTCGAACAGTTTCCGGAGATTTGGAGGTAAGGGTGATGTTTCGTCGTAGGGCGTAAGGGCCAGCGCCCCCAACTTGAGACCCTCGCAAGAAGGACGAGGTGTCCATGGCACTGTAAACGATTATAGTTAACCTAAACAACCATTCACTGTGAGTTACCCTCACCTGGCGGTTTCCTCGCTATCCTGCTTGTCCGCTTGAGACGGTGGGGAGGTGGCGCGAAGAATAGGCATTTGTGATGCTCGCTCGTGCGCGCTGGCTGGACCTCTGTTTTCTGGGTTAGCAACAATGCTATGCTAACCTTAAGATACTCACCTTTGGTCCTGGTCGTTCCAATACGCCATTGTCTTGCTGTAGCGATCCAAAAAAGAATGGAAAGCTCGATGTGACCACTGCCAACAGTTTCAACGAAGAGTCAGTTCAAACGGTTCAAACATGACGGGCAGAACTCGCCTGATTTCCTGATGCATCTGTAGAGTACGCAGATTCAAAGTGCTTGGAGGAGGGGTGCTGAGCAGCCTGCGACGCGAGCAGATTGAAACGTGGAGTGATCCCGCGGCGCACTCGGAACAAGATCACAGCTGAACTGGCCCTCTTTTTTCCGAATTCAGCAGGCGTCTCCAGGCGTCAAAGTGGTGTCACGCCAAAGCTGAGAATCTATAAACAGTATCCCCTCACTTGGGGAGGGCTCGATTCATCCTGTTTCGTGGGCGGGAGGCCCTCCTAAACATACTGGCGCAGTTCATGCTTAGATTTAGTGTGCATTTTCAACAGCCAATGCAATAAAGCATGCTCTACCTGGGCCTACATGATGATGTCGGGACGCCGGTGCCTGATGTCGCAGAACGAAAGTTCAAAGAACCCAAAGCCTGAAGCTAGAGACGTGGCTGAGCGAACCCACGCATTGCCACATTGATACCATCAAACCCTAAACGTCGGCATGTGGACCTATTTATTGTGATTGATAGGCGCCCATCACTCATTCAATTTCAAGCGCCAGGACGGACTGGAATCGCACAATTGCGTCGATGCGGTTAAGAATGACATTGGATACACGAAATATACATGGTACAGATATCGATGATACATTGGAACGTCACAGTGTCTACAGTCGTCATATCGAGGAAGGAGGGAGGGGGTAGCTTGTTAGAATACAGAGGGGGTAGACACTGGAGAATCAAGAGATAGATGCAGCGAGCTTCGTAGTGAAGTAAGGGGAAAGCTACAATAGAACCTCGACCTTCCCTTCAGCCATGGCATTCTTGAAGGCCTCGACAGCTGCTTCCTTGGAGGGATACTTGAGTCGGAAGGCCCCGCTGACACCTTCAACCTGCTCATTGACGGTTTTCTGTCCAAAACGGAGTCAGTGGGCGAATATCATAGACAGAAAGGAGTGAATGACTTACCGCGTCTGTAAAGATGCCAACCGACTTTCCTTTGAAGACACAATAGTAGCTCCTGTGCTCGAGGCCGACTGTGACAAGACTGCGGCACCCTTCACAGTGGAAGGTGATGACCTCCAGGCCAGTGTCGACGGGGTGAGGCGCACGTCCAACGACACGACCAGGAGCCACGCGAGTCAAGTCAATGTCCATGCCGGTGTGGGGGAGAATGGTGCCAACATAAGCTGGAATCAGAATGGTGAGCGACACGGGAAGATATCATGGCAGGAGGTGGGAATGGACTTACGAGTAGACATGGTGGTAAAGACGAGAGGACGCTTGTAGACGTTGGAGGTTTGTAAACGATTAACGTTGAGGATGGAGCCACCAGAGGCTCGCTCGTTATGCTATATAACCCGTGGAGCTGCTTGGCAACATCATCTTGTGCAAACACTGCTGATGGCGGCATTGAACTTTCGAGGTTGCTACCCGCGTCAATAGCGAAGTGACTTCGCAATGTTACTCGTGAATCCCCTGTCTTGACGGCGTCCTCACCAATATTTAGTTCCCCGTCGTGCGTTATCCGAGTTGGGATGGTTGCTGCGTCAAGGATGTGGGCATCGGATGGTTGGACCAGGAAGGTGGGCATAGGTGCTTGGATTTGGTAGAACGACTGCCAAATTAACCAGTTTCGAGATCCGACTCTTTGTGACTGCGCAATATTACTCGTAAAAGCCCGTTTCTTGGCGGCGTCCTCACCAATATTGGGTTCCCCGTCGTACGTTATCCGACTTTGAATGGTTCCTGCGTCAAGGATGTGGTCGTCGGATGGTTTGACCAGGAATGTGGGCACAGGGGCTCAGCGATTTTGGTAGAACGACTGCCCCATTAAGCAGTTTCAAGGCCCGACACTTCTGAGGGTACAGGAGAGGTTGCCATGAATTTCCCGGGGACGCCAGGAAGCCGAAATTGGAAGAAGCTCAAGGGGTGATCAGCGACCTTGGCAACTGTGGCACTAGGGTGAGGTTGCTGTTGTGTTCGCCATCTCCCAATCAGAGATCCTCTGGACTTGAGAGTGGCTTCCATCGCCTCAGGCCAGACCTCAGCATCCCCAGCGCTTAACCTCCGAAAAGTAGACTGAGAATAATAATATATGTAAATTATTGGCTCTGGGAGCCGCCTGCGTTGCTTCACACTACGATCCACATTGCACGAGCAGTTAACGACGGCGTAAAAATGCAGTGAATTTCTCAGATTGTCCATACGTCACTTTAAACGTGTTTACCTTCGACAAGAGGAAGTGCACGGGATCTTCTCACTGACACCGCGTCTTCATACGATCCACTCCAATTTTAGCACCACAGAAAGCACACCAGCTGCTCGCGATGTATACAGCAATCCCTGTGAGTAACCCGAATCATGCGACAAGCGAGTGGTCTATACATTCACTGTAAAATATTATTATTGATTCCTTTTATTGGAACGAAAACACCGGGAGTTCTCGCGGCAGAAGCCCTTGATCTTGATACAAAGTTATTATTCAGGGGCTGTGGTGCACGATGACTTCTTGCGGCAGAAGCCTATGGCGGGAGAAGCACTTGATCTTGATACAAAGTCCTTATCCAGGGGCTCTGGTGCACGATGACTTCTCGCGGCCGAAGCCTTTGAACGTGACATTGTCCTTTTTCAACTTAGCACTTAGACAGGACTACCTAATTTCAAACAGTATCATGGCGCTGGCGTGGCAGCTCGCCTCGGAGAAACACAAGAAACACGCTGGCCGGGAAGGAAAGGAGTCGTGGTCAGAACCGAAGGAGGAAATCCGAGAGCGTGCGCCATGCTTTGGAATCGCCTGCAGCACTGAAGACATTATTCAGGCATGGTAACCGACGGGGATTGAAAACATGCTACCTGCGCAATTCCCAACACCTTGAACGTGTTCTGCAGACGTTTCCTCCGGAAGGTGGTCTGTATGATAGTCAGTGAGAGATGCGATGAATCACGGGCGTTGAACTTACATGCAACCCATACCATCCTCTGTCACCGAGCCAAAAGATCTGCGACCAATGGCAGTCCACTTCGACTAAGCCTCGGGTTGCATGACTGATGGACTCAAGTCGGGATTTAATGGCCTGTTTGAGGTGTCAGTAACACGTCATAACTGAACAGGTAACACCGAACCTTTGCAGTGTTCAACATACGGATCTGCACGAACTCTATGTCGTCGTCCCAGAGGGGAGGTCTAATTGTGTAGTATCGCAGCATTACCTGCGTTAGCAAGTCTTGGGTATCACCACTTGCGAGCGCAGCCTCCCAGAAGACGGCACAGTCTTCGATCATAGCGCATACAGTGGGATCCCTCAACTCGTTCACCTGTCTCTCTGGTATGAAGATGTCTGGTTGCTAGCCCGCCATCAGAAAATGATTACAGCCTCAAGGCTTGAAGGGGAATGAAACGGCGTACCATAACTTTGGGTATAACGTAGAATACTACAATTCGGCGAATGACACCGATAGTGAGATAGGCCATTGAATATCGTTGACAAGATGCAAAGTGCGCGTAAAAGATGCGAGCAGATGTAATGAGTCGAGAGGGCACCACTGAAACGATGTAGCCCTTTTTATGTACCTTTTGAGCCCGGATTCAGAAATGACACGTTGGATATCTAACGCCCTATCCGATGTACAGGGAGACGCGTGGCAGAAGCTAGGTGTATCAGTGGATCTCGGATAATAACAGGAGTCCAAGAGAGAGAGTATGAGCGCAAGCAGGGAAATCAGATACAGAAAAGCGCGTAATTTTAGTCGAGCCGATAAGCGTCGAGGAGGACACAGAATGCGAAATATTGTACCCTATGCGTCAAGCAATCGACGATACTCAGCCCAAGTGTTGTCTCGGCGGGCTTTGCAAGCATCGAAAGAAGCCCGAGGGCTGGGAGTCAGATGCTGGCGCAGCTGATAAGCACCGGCAAGCCTCTTCCGTCCTTCAAAAGAGTGGCGCACGGCGTCGGACGCGTATTCTGTAGGAGTGATTTTGGTACGGAGAGCGTAGGTCTTCACTGGGCTGTGGCCCAAGCCAATGGCTGATCGAGATCGACGAGGAGAGGATGTGGTTTGGACGCCGACATGGCGCTTTTGGCTATGTGGTGCAGGGTTGGTTCGGGTGGTGACAGCGCCTTGAGCAGCTTCGGAGATCCTGCGAGGACGCGCAGAGCGCGGTGAGGTTCGCTTGAGCTTTGCTACGTTTTTGTCTGACCGCTGGTGAACGTCTTCATGGCGGCGAAGGTGTGCAAGAGAGTAGGGGTGATTTGCTAAGCCAGGCTTCCCGGCGCTGATGGCAAGGCGCGGTCGGATACGCCTAGTTTCCACGTGAGGAGAGGGCGGTGCAGGTGCAGTACGAGTGTTCTCGCTGGGCGAAGGGCTGCAAAGGCGAGCATTTGGGGGTGGCGGGGTGGGAAGTTGCGGCGGGGCGGGTGGTGGGGTGGGAGTAGCGCGGCGTCCGCGCAGATTGTGCTTAACCTTGTGCGGCAAGCGACATCCAGTCCAGCGAGGTAACTGCAAACGCGACATCTTGGCGATTGTCTAGACAGACAGTAGGAAGGAGGCGACGAGTCCACCTCGCTTGCCCTTCCCTTATAACCTCAAATTCGGGCTTCCCTGTTGGCGCCAGAGTGGAACGCGAAGGTAGTGTATTCATCTAGACATTTGATCGTCGCCAGAGTCCGTAAAATCGGGGTATACACGGTACAGACGAAGAGAATGTGCTGCTACGCGCTCACTGAGCAGATGGAACTGTACTCAAAAGGTGTTTCGGATTTATCCGAGAGTCCCGATATCGGAAAGGGGATTAGAAGCGGCAAGCGCCCAAAATCACCATTGTGGTAAGTTACATGTATTGGTCGGTATCCCTCAGGAGGGTGGCGTAAGGTCAGCGAAACAGCTACTCTTCCTGCCTTTGGTAGTACAAACTACCCATGCTAAACCTTCGCGCAAACTTTTCTCCATCCACGTCCATCTCAGCCGCAACATCCTCCAAGTCGACAATGAGGTCCACGATGGGTTTGGTGTAGCCTTCAATCCTCTTCAGGGATTCACCCGTTCCGGAAATCTGTAGTACCTTCCTGTGTAACTCTTCCAATCTTTCCCTACTCCTCTCGAAAGCCGATAGATGAGTTTCAATAGTCCTCCGGATTAATTGTGGATCGTCTGATGATCGGAGGCGGAGGTAATCTGAGCAGAGCCGGTCCAGAAACTTGCGAGAGGATTGGTTGATGACAAGACGCCAGTCTAGGAAGATCTTCTCGGCCTGTTCTACCAAGCATTCTACCTGAAGATCCTGGTAATCCCTGATATTTTGTTAATGAGGACCATGCAGAATGACACCCTCAATGTGTTAACTCGCCTCGGGCTCTTAGTTCTCGATGCAGGCGCCTGGTAATGGTTCTTCTGATCTGACTTGGGTTTCCTGGGAGTCTTCCTTCCAGAGACTCTGAGCATAGGGTCAGGATAGAATAGCGCTTTACATTGGAGGGGTGGAAACGAACGAGCTTCGTTGGCGAGCATACTTCTCTCGTCGTCGCGTGTTAATGTCTTCCTTGTTTCTACGTTCAAGGTTAGTGTTTTGACGTTGAGAAAAGGTAGTTGCCTATTGACCTTTCATACGATCTCTTGCTCTTCTCGCACTTGGCACGCCGCAAGTCCTCTTCACTCTTGTATTTCCGTGTTCGCGCCATGGGAGGAAAGGGAAGCAATGGCTGGGTGAAGCGGATCAGTTACTTGCTTATGAAGCTCCGTCTACTTCGTCTGACCTTTACAGATGGCTTGTGGGCTGATGAAACTTGGGCGTTATTGTCTTCGAGCGGTGCCAATTGACAGGGGCTCATTCTATATCACATTATCCGAAGTCAAAGGCAGACACGATGAATATCCCGTAGTGTACTAATTTCGAGATATTCAGTTGTGTTACGCCTGGACCTTTGTCTCAATTACAAACTCAGATCGCCCTTGCTCGCACAGAGATGTAATGGTGTATTTACATTGCCTCGCCCCAATATTTGCTTCTGAAACGAGCACGCATGTCCCCAAAGCCATCAGAACCTTAAGGGCAGCCCTTATAAATATCGACAGCTTCATTCTCCAAAGCTTCTCGCGCCCCGGACGTTTCCAATGGCCTCTCCGTCCTCTGAATCCCCTTTACGTCTGCGCTCTAACGAGCAACAAAGGACTGATTTTCTCGTCGTCGCTGCTCCCTTCTATGAAGAGGCTGCCTGGGATAATTGTCGAGACCAGTTTGTCCAGCACCTCGTCCGTAACCTGCTGGAACGTTGGCCTTTGGTCTTGACTGCTCGCATTTCCAAGGAAGATCGTAGGAGGGTCAAGACTCGCCTTCTCAATGTGCGTTACTCCCTTCATGTCAAACGCTTAAGCTTCAGGCTAATCAATTTATTGCCCCAGTTTCTGTACACTGAGCTCGGTTACATGAGTTCTGTAATCAGCCCTCCCGAGCTTCCAATGACATGGAGGGAGTTTCTTGAGCTCGACACCAGTCTGCAGTCTACGGAGTGGGATGATGTAGCGGTAGGTCGCTTCGAAATTTCGATTCCAGGGCACAGATACTCACCATCACGGTAGGGACCTATGCTGACCGCTCTCGATCAGACATCCCCGGGAGATCTATATTTGGCTTACCTCCATCCCGAAGAGAGATCCGTTGCCGACTATGACCCTGGAACAGTGGCTCCTTCCCGGCGTGTCAGCAGCGGTGCGGCCAGCCCTCTCGTCCCTTCCATTAACGGCAACAGTGTCTGTTTCCAAGATGACGGAGGGGACTTTCAGGAAAGACCAGGTCGCTGGGCGTCTGTCTTGGCTACCGACTCGGAATATGGCAACCTCCGTCCCAATTGGGTGCCCTGGAGAGTCTGGTCCTCTGAGGACGAAAACTCGGAGAACTCGGAGGAGGATGAGGACATAGTCCGCGAGCTTTGCTCTTTGGACAACTCTATCCATACTTAGTTAGGCTTGTATCTATAGTTAGACAATGCTGGCCTTGTCAGAGGGGCTCCGTAGGGAATTTTCAGCGTGAATATTATTACTTCTTGCGCATTCCTCACTGTAATTGGTCGACTCATCCGAGGAGATACACCTGGAGAAGACTTCCGGGCCCTGGAGATACTGTGACAGGCTCGGAGACCAGTTCGGGCACGTTGACTCCCTGACAGTTCTTCCGTACTTCTGGCAATCTCTGTGCTAATAACTGAAACATGGAGGGCGTTCAGACGACCTCTTTGATCTGGGTGCGTCGTTCCCATCCGCATCCCACCTCTCCAGCATGCCTCTTCAATCTCCATTGCGCTCTGGCCCAGTCCCCATCCAGCGACAGAACTATCTTCGAGTGACCGCCCTCTTCTTCACTCCAGCACGTAGGGCGCGCGCAGACGAGCAGTTTCTCGAGCAGAACTTTGATAATCTCGAAGATCGTTGGCCATTCCGGTTCCGTGAAGGTTTGTCGGAACGAGGGCGTTCCCGAGCCAGAGCCCGACATTACCTGGTGAGTGCCCACGGATTGTTCGCGTTTTGAGGGAAGCTGATTTCTCTGGATGCGTGCTAGCGTTTACAGGACGAGCTTCGTTATTTGTGCAGTATTACCAAACCAGAGGATTCGCCGGCTCTTCCTATGACCTGGGAAGAGTATCTAGCGCTCGATTCGCGCATGGAGTCGACTGAATGGGATGAAGTTGCGGTACGTTGATTCCCGACCTGTCCGCCACAATTCCTCACCCTGCACGCAAACAGATCCCTTTGCTTGAAGCGCTCAACAGCATCCCCGACAACGAGCGTCTCGCATTCCTTCCAGCAGAAGAGCGTCCACCGGTGCCATACCTCGAAAGCGACAGGCTTGTGGATACACGTATGTTTATCGAGGCGTCCCTTATCGCCAGAGGGGTGACTCGAGGCTATGTACGCAGCCTGGGACGGTCCCCTTCTGCCCAGACAGCACGCTCTGACGATGATTTGCCTCCCAACTACGTCGCCTTTATGGGTGACTCTGACAGCTCAGGCTCCGAGACTGAGTCAGACGATTCAGACGACGAGTGCTATTGGTCAGACACTCCAGGGCCCAACGACGGTTTCGTGGTAGGAATGTTGGAGCTTGGTTTGTGGTCCGAGCGCTCACTTCCTTTGAATGCACGGGGCGTGATTCTCATAGACACTAGCGAGATCTCGTAAACCAGCTGCTGCAGAGGGGTGGGGGGAAGTGGGTTTACCTGTAGAAGAGGGTGGCGAACTTAGGTACTTAAGCACCGAACAGCTGCTAGTAGTTAAATCACTCTTGTTAGACCATGTTACTGAATCATGAATATTTTTCTTGGTCCCCTGTCAATCGCAAATGCATACCTCGCCTTGATTCTTGGATTAATGTTGAATGACCCCGGGCTTCGCTCATACTCGGTAATTTGGCGAGCTATACCGATTCTACATATTCGGCAAGAGCGCTCTTAGGTCGTAATTTTAAATCAGAGTGAGGAGGTTGACAGATTGTGTCAGATTAATAACTAGGAAGGGGCTGATTAAGATTCAGAATGATGTTCCGACCATGACTGGAGAGGGGCGCGTTCTCCCTGAGCCTCTTGCGGACCTTGGAAAGGAGATACCGGCACCTTTTTATACGTTTTATGGACCATACCTCTCCTGCGCTTATATTCTCGAGTCATTCCTTTCCCTTTGCGAAACAGTAAGACGAATTGTATAGCGGGATGTTCGCACCAGAGTTACGTAGTGGGCATGTACCCCACCTTCACCCATATCCTGTTCCTCCGAGTTTGAATGATATGCGGGATATCTTAAATATAGTAGAATGGGTGCGTATAATTCCTACTGGCCTCTTTCTCCGTCGTTCCGGGCTTATTTTCTGTGGGGAATTTCGGTATAGCCATTCGGTCAGACGAAACTCATAGCGAGAGCGTTCGCACCAGAGTTACATAGTGGTTATACACCCCACCTTCACCCATATCCTGTTCTCGAGTTTGAATGATATGCGGTATGTCTCAAATATAGTAGAATGGGTGCGTATGATTGCTACTGGCCTCTTTCTCCATCGTGCGGGGCGTATATTCTGTGGGGAATTTCGATATAGCCAATCGGTCAGACGAAAAGGGGCAACTGTGCTTCAGGGAGCTCCTTTTTATTCGGAGTCTTCTATTGTTCCGTTCACGCGCCAGTGTGCCTCTCTTGGAGCTTCGGTATTGTACGAGCGCTGGGTCTTTCTGTTAAGACATAGCAAGAATGTCATTTAATGGTACTGGTTCTAGACTAATCCTACTGTTTACGAGGGGGTGCTTGCGACGGGAGCTGGTTAATAAGAAGATAAAGTTGTCGCCGAAAAACTGTAATATCTGCTTCTCCAATGTCCGCCATGTGGAACCCTTTGAAAAGGCTCACTATGACAGACAAGACCCATAAACCGCAGCTGTGGGTAGTGGTTTGTCGCGAGACTACCGACATGGGACGGGCGGTCCACTCGGTAGACATCCTGTAGCCCAACGAATGTCCATGCTTAGTGGCTAGATGGTTCAGCGACGCAATGAGTACAGCGACTTCCTGAGGATGATGTCAGTCATCTTGCCAACATCAGGTGCAATGTGTACGCCCTACCTTGAGATCCCCTTTCCAAGGCTTTCGCGCCCCGAGACTGTCGAAGACATATACCTCCCCGTTCTTTGGATACAAGACGGCCACGACCCAGTGCTCGTCGGGATAGGTCCTGTGAATGGGGAGGATCCATACGTCCTTCTTCCAATACTCCGAACGTCGAACAAGCCTCCAAATATCATCGGACGAGCTATGGTGGCGGATGAGGACCAGGGTGAACGTAGAAAGCAGGGCGCAGTTGTCGGCTATCCCGTGGGCCTTGAGATGTTGCTGGAGTAGGGCTCCGCCCGAGTTCATACACACATCGTTGAGTCGTTCTTCAGGTGAATGCAAGATGTTAATGTCGGAAAACTCAAACTCATGTAGCACATTCCGCGGATTAGCTGCGACCACCAGATATCGGCTTTGTGGTGTCGGAGGCGTGTCTGATGACATGCTCTCGTCGGGAAGCAATGTCAGCAGACTGCTAGGACCCGTCTTTAAAGTCTCCTGCAAGAGTATAAGTTCCCAAGCTGAAGCTGTTCGTGCGATTCGTACTCACAGGGATGGACCAATCCAAATTCACTACGACGTTTTCCAGCTCCTCGTCTTCGTCTTCATCGCCCTCTGTTCCATCGGAGGAGAGCCACTCAGTCATCTGCACGTGCTCTGAGGTGAGAGTCTCAGAAGGTAGACCGTCGTCGTCCTCATCTTCCTCGTCGCCAACCAGGGTGCGCGCGTCGTCCTCGTCGGGCTGGGAGGCTGAATTGGGGCCGATACCTGCCGTTACTTCATGAACCCAAAAGATCGGTGAAGGTGGTACGGGACGTCCAAGGACACCTTCAACAATGGGTTTGGAGAAGGCGGTAGAGTGTTTTGCCCAGATAGGTGTGGACGTGCCATTGATCCAGCGCTGTTTAATGGCGGCCAATCGAGCTCGATGCTGTAAGAGGATGAACCGAATGTCAGAGTCTACGTTCGAGTGTCAGCGGGGCCCGTAAGACTGAGAAAGAGTACCCACTCGATGGAAGAGCTATGGCAATCTCCACTGCAGTTGATTCACGCCCATACCAGCGGGAGAGATTGTCTGCTTCGCGCCCTAATCGGATTCGTTCCTCGGAGCACCGTTTGAGCTTGAGATGGGCGCGTATGCCTCGCCGCACATCGGGGTTTTCTAGCCATTCAGGCATCGGTCCATTGATACGCGTAATCCAGACGTCCTCGAGAAGTGCGGGGGAATTGCGCAGGTCACCGAGTTTTGTCGGGAGGGGCTTGGGCAGAGGCAACTTCCATTTCCGCTTATGGAGCTTCGCCAGCTTGGTACATATTTCGTTGTGCTTGTGGATCGCTCGCATTAGCGCAGGCTTGCGTCGCTGGATGGACTTGCGCGTCGCTTGGTGCAATTTGGTTCCTGCATTCAAGAGTCAGACCGGGTGGATGCCGTTTCCCCTTCACATTATCGCGCACCTATGGTCGCGTCTCGTCCTCCAACAGCTTGATCAAGACGGTCGATCTCGAAAAAGCTTCCAACCGCTCGCTTCTGAATGCTTGCCTTGACATCGCGCAATAGGAGTAATTCGCGGATGTATTCGAAACTGACGCCTTCGAGGTCGGGGAGGTCTTGGGCCACGTCGAGAGCCTCGTAAATGTTGTCCACGGCTTCCTGCATCTCTGCCGACTTCGCTGCCAATTTCTGCACCTGCGCCTTCGCCGCCTTGGTATTGCTGTTCTTCAGAACCTTCCGCGCGATTTTGAGGTTTTTTTCCATGGCCTTGAGTTCCGCTTGGACATTGATGACTGCATCAATCTCTTTCTTCCCCGTGGCCTTGGACCCTGAAGGTGAAGATTGATTTCAGAATAAAGGGACAGATTCGATAGGCTGGACACTCACCTGCATTGACTGACATCTCCGTGGCTCTCTGGTCTTGCCATTGTTTCTCGAGATCGTCCCTGAGAATCTCAATTTCTTCCAGGATGGCGGAAGCTTCCGCTTCCTGCTTTGGAACTGATTTGGTGAGCCGACGCCGAATGATATCTCCTAGTTCATCGCGGAACGCTCTGTTGATGTAATGTAGTTGTCGATCGAGTAGCCAAATGCGTTTTTCTGCCTGGGAATGGCTTCAGCTTGAAGACGTCGCCCGTTTTGAGACGTACATACCGAGCAGTTGCGTTGTATTGCTATCAGTCGTCTGAGCAACGACCATATCCGTTCCACTCCCTCCCCGTCGCTCAATGCAAGTCCGATTTGCAAGCGGGGGTTGTACCCGAGTTGACATGCCCATTGGTGAGCGTACGCGTGCATGGCGCTCGTAGCGAACTTCAAACGACCGGTGAGGCTGGAGGCCATAATCGGGTGCTACGCGGAGGTATCAGCAACGCTCAGGCACCGATGATGAAACGGGTGGACGCACAAGTTGTGTACTTCGATCGAGAACGCACCCGACGTCGTATAGAACAACCAAAGTGGCGTTGGGCGGCATCAGACTCGCAATCTTCTCGATAAGAGCAACGGCATATTTCTGTTGTTCACCCGCGGTGTCGATGTTTGCCGCGAACAATGGTATGTCGTGACGGCATACAGCCGCCATGACTCCTCCGGCATCGAACTTCTCGAGACATGTCTTGACATTCGACCCACTCCCTGCTTGGTGAGACTTCTGACATGCTTTGACCGCTTCTTTAGGGACTTTCGTCGTAACTTCCCGCTTCGGTTTCGTTCTCGCCTCCCGCATTCGTTGGCCGATTGTATCGACGTAGTCCTTGGACAGGAAATGTTCAGGCTCGTAGAACTTAGGACAATGCTTGACTCCTCGATTATGTCGATGGTTGAAATTGCCATCGATGGCAATCATGGCGTCGCCGCCGCTGCACAGCTCATCCGTTAGTTCGTAGTTCGCATTTGCGGGCAGCGTACATGGGATAGGATACACTCACTTGTCCAAAGACAGTCCGAACTCATCTCCACCAAAGCATGCTGGGCAGAACTGTCGAAGTACGCGGTCACACTCCCCCAGAGTCAGAGTGGACTGGGTCGGGGTCTCCGGCGCTGAGGTCGATGGGGATGCTGCGCCATTAGCGGATGGATTAGCGGTGTTTAGAAGCGCTTGCGCAATGTCGGCGTCATGGTCGCTACTTCGCGGACAATTTGACGACTGCTGCTTCAGTTTGAACTCGCAGGCCGCCTCGTCGGCTTCCTTAAGCGCTGCCTCCAAACGGATGCGTACTTGGCCCAGAAGTCGATCGTACCACTGCACTGCCAGACCAAATGGCTTGCGAAGACCGTCTTTTGCATATTCCTTCTGCGATGGGCGTCAGCCGGAACATTCTCTGAATCCAACGCGTCGTATTTACCTTCCGGTTAAGTAAGACAAATCCCCTTTTTTCGTAGTAAGTTTGCAAGGCGCCAGATATGGCGTAGATGGCATCACAGGTCTTCTCAAAAATGGCATTATAAAGGTCCAATAGAGGCATATAGATAGCCATACGAGGTTGAGTTGGGGCAGTTGGGAACAGGCCGTATCGTACGAGCGCTTCAACTGGATGGTGACATTCGCATCCCTCGGCGCAGACTTCGTGAAAGGCTTCAGATGTAAAAGATATCGTGTTATTCACAGTCTTCTCGAAAACGTGGGCTACTCACATGAGAGAAAAAAGCCTACAACGTTCAAGATTCGCGAGGCACACTCGGGATTGTCGCATCGTCGCTTGATACTCCTGGGGTCAGGCGGTAGTTCCTTCCCTGTGGTTTCTTCCAGGAACTCGAGGTAGACGGATACAAGTTGTGGAATCCGGGCTATCCATCGTCCGTACAGCGTTTGGGTTTGGAACAGCGGAAGCGAGGACCGTAACCGCGCCGGTAGATCGTCCTCGTCGTCGTCTTCTTCGTCATACACTGCAGTGACATCCAAGACTTCTGAGTCATGGCCATTATCTTCCGCCTCTGCACGGCCTATCTCTGCTCCTTCTCCTTCCCCTGCGTCTGATTCTCCTTCGTCTTCCATGTCAGTGTCGACCCAGTCACCCGCATCTCCAGTCTTGTGGTCTAGCGCCATTGGGACTTCTGTCGTGCTGACCGGCGTGTGAGGTGTCGCATAGGAGCTGGTGGTGGCCTCGTTCTCGCTTTGAAGGTTGGATGCGCGAGTGTTACGCAGTTGTTGAGCTTGAGCCTTGAGTGTTTCTATCCGTCGACTAAGGGAGGTCATCTCGGAGTCTAGTCCGATATAGCTGACACGGGTGCGGGTTTTGTACGCATCTCGTTTCTTGACTGGACTGTAGGCGGAAGTTCCAAGCCCTGTGGTATCCCTGCGGAAGTCGCGCCGTTGCTGTTTTGCTGGGTTCAAGGGTTGGTGATCCTGACGGGGCATCGCTCCCCTCAGTAGCTCGTCGTTGCAGGAGGTGGTGGTGGTGGCGGATAAAGAAGAACAGGGCCGCTTGGCCGATGATTGAGCCACAATGTGTGAAGTACTCTTCTACTCAGATCTGGGTCCAAAGGAAGCAGGACAAGTGCTGAATGGGCGCTGGTGAGCAGTATGGCGGGGGGAAAGGGATTGTCACTCACCTAATGGGGAGCGCCTAGCGGCGGCCATAGTTAAACTAGTTGATACAGAGGCCGCGTAAACGTTGAAATTGAGGCGTATGTCAGAGAATGTGGGCAGGGGTGTGTGTTTTCGGTGGACCCACTCACAGGCGCAAGTGCTCATGGGCGCTGCGCCCCGTGACAGCTGGTGATGTGGTTCGCTCCCAATAGGGCAGGTGGCAGCTGATGGGAACTGCCATTTTTGGATAACTGCTCCATCAATCAATCAGTTACGGGCTCTTAGACACCTTCCTTGCACTACAAAGAAGGCCTCTACGAGAGGCTATATACAGGTTAGACTGTAGTCCCTGAGGTGGGGGTCTCGGTGAAAGGATTCTCGACAAAAGGCACTGTCAGCAACGAACGTCGCGTCGGAACTCTCGTATTTGGGGATAGTGAAGGGGTTGACCATGCTTTCCAGGCTTATGCCACCAATTTGCACCAGTGGCCCATACCGGAAGGTATGTATGCGGTAGTTGGAAGTAGCGGATACAGCTGTTGGATTGTTGGGCAAATGGCGCCTGGAGGGAAATTCAGCAAGCTGTCGGTTCTTAGGCTCCTGGGTACTGGGGAAGAAGTCAGAATGGAGGATCTACGTCCGAAGCTGGGTATCAAAAAAATGTTCATCTACTTGCTTTGATATTTAGGCTTATGCATAACATATAGTTTCTCTGTGTCACAAGATTTATAATATATCATACATTGCTACTCGGTCAAAGTACTCGACTTTCTTCACTGCACTAATAAATCTTCAAGCAAGCTATGGTGTTTAGAAAGGAAAAGTCGAGCGGGTGGTGTGTTCCTGTGACTTGTTGCACTCGGTCACAAAGAGTCGGAGTCTACGGCGTCCTTACTTGCCATGAGCAATCGTCTGTTTGTGAACACTTCTGGATTTGGGCTGAAGCCCTCGCTGGAATCTTCTCGCTTTCACACTCATCTTAGCGGGTCCCCACTGCCATCGGTGACATAATCCCCGACCTCTTTGCGGCCTTTCGTGATGTTCACACAGTTCACGTTCATACTCCCGTGCTGTCCATCGACCTGACGGCTGCCTCATTGCCCATCATGAGGGGGCCCCAATTCGACACACTCTTGAACTGCGTTCCTTCCTTCGTTTCTTCAAACCTCCCTTCAAACGTTGCCGCCAAGCTAGAAATGTCCTTGAGCAAGAGTTCGATCTCCGGCCTTTCTTTGGATGCAGCTGGCCTCATCGCGCTCGCCGACCTCACCACCATTGCTGAACGCACCGCCCTCAGAGGAAATGCGTCGTGGCTCGACGTTCTCTTCCTAGCACCCGGTATACACCGCCAGCAGCTGGCAGCCGAGGTTAACAAAGGAGAACACCCTGTTTGCGGAGCCATGCATAGCGGATATGTGTTCAGGGTAGAGAACCAGGCTACGGTCGCGTTCCTCCAAAGGGTCAGCACTACCGGTCATTTGACCGTCGTCCAGGTGGACAGCCCAGTGGAGGAAGGGCGCATCTGGCAGAAGCTTAGGTCGTGGTTTGCACCAAAGTATTTTGCTCCATCGGTGCTGTACCTTACCGGATTCACCTTCACCCTTATTTCCATCGCCCTCATTGGCGCAATACGCGACTTTTGGGCTCTCGGTGTGCTCTGCATGCTCATTGGCGCCCGTCTCATTAATACGGTGGTGATCAAACGTCGGGCACAACTCACGTGGAAAGGGGCTCCCGAACCTGGGGTAATGGGGGATTTGTTTGTTCTACTCAGCCAAGATCGCTGGGTGAGGATCCAGGGAACAGTGGACGATTTGAAGGCGGTCACAGCAGGGCAATGGCTACGGGATGAGCAGACCATCGAGTCATTCTTCACAGCACTTGCAACCTTGCTCGTGTACCTGTCTGCCGCTCTCGCACCCAACACATCCACGGTGGGGTCGCTTATTATTGCTGTTCTTATCCTCACTTCGGTCGCTCTCCTCGGGCTGGCAAACTCGTTGACCCGTGATTTGATAATGTTCGGGAGGACGCTGAGGGTGAGCGAAGGTCCTAAAGCGTATGCTCGTCGATTGGACTTGGCGAAGGAGTTGGTTGAACAGAGTGGGAGAGACGACTGGGCTATTGGCATCGGGATGATCTTACCAAAGAGCGGGGAGGCTGCGGGTAAGGTTTCTGTCTGACGATTATATTTGGTACTACCGCTCGCTATGTAAAGTAGTGATTCAGGAGGCGCCATCATATGCCCTCCTGAATGCTTATTAGAAATATCTCTCGTTCACCTCTTTAAGTCTCACTGCTTAAAGAGGGCCCTGGTGTAAGGGCCTTGGCCCGAGCGTCTATTTACTTTCCTTTGACTTGCGATGTGTATAAACAGTTGACTCTAGCTGTAACGCCTAGTTAGGACTCTCTTGAATACCACGATTTACGCCTGTCTATCGCTTGAGAGAATAACTTTGCGTAACGAGATCCTTGCTTCGGCTCGCCTCGTTACAGTCCGTTGGCGGACGCACCTGGCCGAATAGGGGCTCTTTCCTATTGCGGACACCTTTGGTCTTCCTCCTCGCCCCTGATGCTCTGCGACGACTCTGCTTGTGTTTCGAATTGTGCCGACGCGTATAAACGACGACAAGGCGTGAATGCAGACGGAGTCGACAGCGCCTGTCTTAACCTCACACTAGAACGATGGCGACCTTGCCACGGTCAGCGACCAAATCCTCAATCCTAGCCAGACCAACAACCGATTTCGATAGCGGGATCAATTCCTCCGCCGCTTGGACAGAGTCCAATAAGCCTTCAATTCCGCAAGGACCCAGCACGCGCAGGTATCTTTCAGAATCCCACCTTCAATCGCACGGATCGCTCTCGGACGACGAATTCGACGATGGAGGCGACGAGTTAGAGGAACCGGCGCGTAAAGCCCGCGCCTTGTTCGACTTTCAGGGCAAACCCGAATTTCGTGAACTCGACGTGAACGCTGGAGACCCCATCGACGTGCTCAAGGAGGACGTGGGCGAAGGATGGAGTCTGGTGCGCAACGAGAGCGGCGAGATGGGGTTGCTACCTCAGACGTACTATACGGTTCGTGAAATCATTCTCAACATGCCTCATTGGACCCACGATGACCACCTCCCTATAGTTTACCTCTGAACTAAGTGCTGCTCCTGACCTCGAGATCGACAGCTCTCCCAATGCAAAGCAGTATCCTAAGCAACGAGAACCCTCCAGCGACAGTATCACACCCCGAGGTTCTCCCAGAAACTCCCAAGCAGCACTACCGCTCTTCCCTCAGAACACCGGCGAATGGCAGGCCTTCCCAAACTTCCGACGCAGTCTATTGGGTGGAAAGTCCTTGAATAGGTTCTCTGCGTTTGTGACAAGCGGTGCAGAGGAGTTCGTTCTCAAAGGCTCTCCTGTTCAACCCGAGGAGGACGCTGAACCGACGATATCTCACGGCAAGGAAGACTCGACCGCCTCACTTGACGAAGAGGAACAGAACCGCCTCAGCCGCGTTGAATCAGACAGACACTTCGTCGACCCCGGTCCTACATGGAAGGAAAAAGTTGGGCCTTTCCGTGTCCTGGTGCATTCCCCTTCGAAACGCACGTCCTTGCTTTCTGGCGCCTACACGGTATACAGCATCACCTCCCTCTTCCATGAATCGGACACGGATGAAGAAGCTATCGCTCGCGTTACAGTACATCGCCGGTTCTCGCATTTCGTTGTTCTGCATACAGCCTTGACGAGGAGGTTACCCGGGATTGCGTTACCTCCGCTTCCAGAGAAGCAGTATGCGGGGAGGTTTAGTGCTGATTTTGTTGAAGCCAGACGCGGTGATCTGGAACGATACATGAACAAGATTGTGAAGCATCCAATTGCTCGATACGCAGAAATTGTGACGTTCTTCCTCAGTTGCGAGAGTGACAGCGTGAGTGGTTTGTATCGCCGTTTGCTCCAGCGAATACTCATGCTCTTCTGGTAGGAATGGAAACACCTTCTACCAGAGCACCTCGCAATGCCTCCAGCTGGGCCATCCTTCTACGCTCGAGTGTACCACCCCGCCTTCAATGTCGATGCAGACGAGGCCCAGGATTCTGTGGGGCTATTTGAAGCGCACACCAAGGCAGTGGATAAAGGGGTGCAGAATCTACGCGGTGTGTTTTCTAGAATACGGGAGGCCCGAGTCGGTTCGTGCTTCATTCAATCCCCTCGTCCCATTTGGACCTGACAAAACACGCTGCCAGAAATGTCCAAGGCAGAAAGGCTACTTTCGTATTCACTACTGTCATTGATCACATCCAAGCCCATGGCGTCTGGCTCCAGCATCCAGGAATCACCGAGCAGTCGAGTGACCAGCATTCCGCCAGAGCGTCCAAAAGGGTTGATGAATGGGGAGGGAGCCTGGTGCTGGCGGGACAAGTGTCCAAGTGAGGCTTTATATTGTTCTTGAGATGAACTTGTCCTGACGTGATAAGGCTGTTTACAGTTGACCAAGGCCATGCAAAAGACTTCAGAGACGCTCCAGAGCGTTGCGGACCTCTATGATGACCACGTGTGTAGCACCCCGTCCGTTTTCTCCCTAGTGCTTGCGTTGACAATATTATAGGCTCGACGGACCCAGTTGGCAACCCATGAATATCTTAAGACGATGGCGCATCCTTCATCCATCTACGAGGTAAGACGCCTTGCACTAAATGCTCAACCACGATATGCTCATTACCGCAGGGTGTGATAACTACCCATCGCGAGACACTTACGCGGTGGAACGAAGCTGTATATGGAAACATGGTGCGTCCCTTGGGCTAAAATACCATACCCGTGACTGACACTGCTTCTCAGCCCGACGAAGATGTTGCTGCGCGTTGCGAAACCGTCCTCAACATCACCATGGCCGAAATGAACACCTACCACACACAGAAAGTCGATGACTTCCGCACCCTAGCTGTTGATCACCTCGACGGGGAGATCCATTTCTACGAACAAATAGTCGCTCGCCTCAAAGCTGCCCGTCAGAATTTCGACCCTGATCAGCTAGAAGAACTTGGAACTTCACCTCGGAAATCGTCCATCTATGAACGCGAGTTGGATCAACCACGGTTGGACCCTACACCTCTGCCCCAACCTTGTCCTCATGTGTATGACTCTACTCCGATGCGCCCGGTTAGTGTTGCGATCCAGGAAGGGGTGAATTTGTTCTTGGGGTCTGAAGGGCGGGGGAGTGTGTTTAGTAAACTGTGGTCCCATTAGAGTGGCAACACTCTGTGTTGTACATCCTTCCCTCGGTGTTTGTAAATTACATTGGTGTGTACCATGACTGTCCTTTTCATGAGACCAGAGCCAGGGGACGCATGGAGGGGCCCGAGATGAATATTTTCCCTGGTAATCAGTATTTGCCCTGACACAGGCTAGCCGGGGCCGTTAGACTGCATTGGTTCCGCGCTACGCGCATTGCGGTACATTGACAGGCCTCGTTTCTCTTTAGACGCTGGCCCTTTGACGAAGACGGAAAGGCAAGAGGCGTAGGACAGCAGATTAAGAGCTAACTGAATTCAAGAATGGCGGGCCCGACGTCCGGGGCGTCATGTGGGAAAATGATGGGAGATCAGCGACGGCCAATCCGTTCGCATCAGGGGCCATTTGCGTTGCTGGAGACAACGCCGTCCCCTCTTGGTTAACGATTACGAAAAACGACGCACGCTGAGCAGCGACGCCAATGGTCGTTAGCCCTTAATCCACCCACCGCCGCCTCCTCCCCGCCGACCGCAAGCGATGCTAGCAGGGGTACGTTCTCCAAACACCGCCATTACCGAAGTGAAGAATCCCATTTGATTTCACCTTTGCGTTTTCAATCAAACAGCGAAAAGATGTGCTCGAGTTGTTCAAGAATGCGAACCAGGTTGATCAGTGGATTAAGGCGATTATAGCGGTTCCAGCTTCGAATTGGGCTAATTTCTCGTGCTATACTATGCTGGTGAGTTTGGAGGAGGCTCGCTTTTTGGCGTTTTTGATGCGTTTCTAACGAGGGGGTTTGGCACTTGGTTACAAGGTGTACGACTATCTATGCACGCTGGAAAAGGAGGTGCGAGGAAGGGAATCACATCTTTGGAGATGAAGACTGACTGAATGGCGCGTAGGTTGCGTACGTCTGGACGTGCCCGTGGTCGTGGGGGCTTCCCCTGTTTTATGTCAACCGATATCTACCATTTATCGACCAGCTCCTTATGTTACACGGTGAGTGCGCGAGACTCGTTCTTTGTCTGAATGCAACTGAAAAACACGTTATTTGTTGCAGTTCAGCTAGGCGGGGCACTACCGGAGGTATGTAGGATTATTCGCGTTGGATGAGGGCCAGAGTCTGATGGTGGTTACAACTACAGAGCTGCACGATACAGATGAAAGTGGCTGCCTGTGAGTACAACCTTATTGGCATTGAGGGGGGACGATGATTCACAAGGTGTCTCTAGTATTGATGTATATCGGCTCGGTGGTCTCTCAAAGTACGACGGCCCTTTATCTCGCCATTTCATTTTGAAACTGACAAATCGTTCATCCAAGTGATCATCGTCCTACGGACACTGGCGATATGGAGGGGCAATAAAAAAGTCTGTCTACTTGTTCTGGCTGTCTTGGTTGTGAGTGAATTTCGTCGATTATCGCTATTAATGTATACAGACAACACTGTCCGTCAGGGTTCGGTTGTCTCTTCTGGGTTCATCGTGCACACCCAGGTCATGTCCATTAAATGTGGGTCGTCGTTCGTTTGTGGTTTCTTCCTCAGCTTGCTCAAGCCTTCGCCCTCAGTCTTTGATCCTGGGATTCCGCAGACGCGTTGCCTCGTGCTCGAGTACAGTGTAACCCCCAGATACGCCTTCATCTCAATTCTAGTCCTGGAAATCTGTGAGCTTCCTCGAGCCTTTTGGGTTTAACATTCAACTGAAAACACCTGCAGTAATTGTCATTCTGACCATAATCAAAGCCCGACAACACTGTATGTCATTGGCGATAATACGCAGTGCTCCGAAGCTGACTGATTTCCAGTCCGCCAATCCAACTCGTCATGGGTTATTCAGATCTATAAAAACGGTGCGTTTTGTTCCCTCCAACTGCGCAACTATTGCCATACTCACCCTCACTATCAGGAATATTCTTCTGCATTTGCATGACAAGTAAGAGCCCCTGATTCCCAAGCTGTTTGTTAACTGATCTGTGGCAATGTGCAGTCCTTACGTTACTCAACCTTCTACTTACCAACATTCCCTCGGTTGTGAGTACTCTTCCCCCATCAAGCGCTTGTTCTGGCGGCTAATCCCTCCCTTCTAAAGCCTCTTTATTACACAATCCTATCAGCACCGTAAGCCACTCTTGCCGCGCCTTATCTGATAACTTTGATGCTCATCGTTAACAGAACACAACGAGTCCTTCATTCGATCTTCTGCAACCGCGTAATGCTTCAAATTCTGGAACACCGGAAACAAGTCCTAGGAGCCTCCGAAGAATCTCAAGACATCGACACGCACGATGGTAGCAATCTCTTCACAACAATACACCTCCATACCTTTGGCCAAAGCACGCACGGCGAATTCATTATCCATACCCTTCCAACACCCAATGACGATGCGCATCAGCTCCGCAATGGCCATCATCCCCCAATAGTACCAGGCGTTTCAGGTCTCCCGCAACCAGGTCAACGGCGGCGGACAAAAGGATGGATACTTTAGTCACCGGGTGCGCACTGTAGAACTTGTAAACTTATCTAGACTGTACTTGTATCATATGTATGTGTCATTGGGCTTGTACGTTGGATGAATTTGCTTCCGTCTGTTTCAGGTCCCTTCACGGTGACTTTCGACTTCTCCCATTTACTTCCGAGTGTAGCTCCCTGACTAATTCACACCTGCTTCAGCGAATTCACAGCTTTCCACAGTGTCGACAGCCGTGTATGGTCTGGCACTATGTATAGACCTGCTGCACGGCCTGCGGGGCGCTGGACATGGGCGAGTTGCGGGAGAAGTGCGGCCCAAGTCGTCGACAAAGTGACCCAAGGATTATCATGATCAGCGAAAGGCCCGAATTCCTTCCGGAGATTAACGACGCTCAACCAGATGGTCTCAACCTCGAAATCCCCACAACCATGTTGCTCGACGCTGCTCGAGCACTACACGAGGTGGTTACCGGCAGCATGGCGTCGCTGTCGATAACGCAAAGAACTCAGCTTGACTACGAATCGACCTCGCTATCAAACGTTGCGGGATTCTCAGAGGTTCGAAGAAGCGGAAAAACATGCTCGCACTCTGACATCAGTCCGCTTCAAACCGCCGCAAAATCTACGCTTTTGGTGGTACAGTACCCATGCTACGCTAATCCAGCACAAGGGCTCTCTGGCTTGTGACCAATCTGTGCTCGTCTCCCTTGGATGGTGCCTGGCTTGCGCTTCGTCGTTCTGCTTCCATTGTTGTGGATGCACCCTGATGCACCCTGATGCACCCACGGCGGGCTTCTTTTTGTCATCTCACTACCCCAGTTGTGGACGCGTGTAGCGGCTGAACCAACGCATTTGTGGCAATGGCACTAACAGTGGCTGTTTGACTTTCCCCAAATCTATCTTTGGACTACACGCCAACGCCATATAAACCTCGACGAGATGCATTCGGATAACTCGGTGCACCGAGCGACTTCCCCGCATCCCTGGTGTTTACTACAATCGCCCTCATTGCCATGCCTCAACTTCCCTCGTCTCTCGTTGTTGCCGTTTCGCTTTTGAGCGTGGTGCGGGCGCTTAACGTGACTCTCCCCGCGAGGGCTCCATCTAGCGCCAACTCCATCGCTCCTGATCACTTTTCGCTCTCCATCGAGCTGGACGGATGGTTGAATTGGATTGGGAACGATACCAGAAACGAGTTCTTCTACAATGCCTTGGACAACATTGTTAGGCTTACTGGTGTCCCTCCGCGTATCAGAGTAGGAGGCAAGAGCCAGGACAAGACCTTTTGGGCTCAGACAGCAGATGTGAGCCATGATTTTATATTTACTCTGCTTTTTTCGGAGGGCCAATTAACGTTGCTGCTTTTAGACGATTACAGCCGTATATCCCCCTGCGACCGATGATGTTCCCTTCCCCGAGCCTTTGCGGGTGACGGTTGGGGACAACTTCTACTACAAATCGCTTTTCCTTCCAGACAGTGGGTGATAGCAGATGGCCATCTCATCCACCAGCTTACATTGTTGTCGTATCAACAGACACCAAACTTATTCATGGCCTCAACTTCCAATCAATGGACAGTCTGCGAGGGGTCTATCATCTCAATTCGATTCTCAACTCGTACTCGGTCCTTCCAGAATTCAAGGAGAGGAATATCAGGCTGGATGCCGTCGAGGCCGGGCACGAGCCTGATTTGTACGACAACAAGTATCCTCCCCCGTATACCCCACAAAAATATGTCAACGAGTACGCCGTCATTCCGCTGGACATGTCCTGTCACCTTATTCTCACCGCTTATCTCCCTAGGTGGACAAGTTGGACCTCGGGTGTGCTCGACTTTATTCCATTCCTTCATCCTGAAATCCACGAATATGGGTTGAAGTACTGGGCTGGTTCACTGTCGGCCTCATCCCGCGAATCGGACGCTGGGTTCTCGCCACATGCACTCTTCAAAGAGGGCCTTTTGACCAAGACGAAGGCGGGCACTGCCATCACAACGTCAGTGTCAATACCAACCATCCATGGTGGAGAACGTCGCTGACTTGTCCCTCCAGTGTATCGCAGCATCACTACAGTGGAGGTTCGAACTGTGCAAGCAGCGCGACTTTGCAGGACTTCGTGGGCAAATCCCAAGTCAGGTCCAGTCTTTCTGTGCTGTCAACTGACATCTCGGTCACGAGAGCTAACAAGCTGGAGTATGTTCTTGGCGAGACTGGAATCTTGTCTTGCCAGAAGGCTGGCGTGAGCAACGTCGCTGGTTCGGTGATCTGGTCACTTGACTATCTCTTGCAAGCGTACGTCGCTTGTGGTTGCTTCAAAAGGATACTGTATACTGACACGCCGGAGCAGTGCACAACTTGGTGTATCTCGTGTGTTCTTCCATCAGCGCATTGGATCCCTCTCGAACATCGTGCGTTTTCTTGCCTCTCCGAGACAGACTCAATCTCACACCTGTATGCAGATCCAACCTTCACCTCTCAGCCGCTCACCTATCGATGGGAAAGAGCTCTCTTCCCCTCTCCAACCCCACGTCCAGCCCCAATACTACGCTGCGATCATCGCTGCTGAGGCTATTGGTTCCAGTGGGAACGTCCGCGTTTCAGAACTAAAAATAGACAACCCATCCGTATCCGCATACGCGTTTTACGAAGGAAACACCCTGTCTCGCGCCATCTTCATCAACTCCCAGGTGTATCGCAGGTCAGATGGAAGGAGACCCTCTGTCCGCGTCACCCTCAACCTTCCAGGACAAGGACCTCGAATTCAACCTGCGATTCTGAAACGCCTGGCTATTGCGTGAGTACATACATACATCCGTGTTTCTTCTCGTGGGTTCTTCGAGCAGTATTGTTTGAAGACTTGTTTCGTCCGTTCATAGTCCATCGAGTGATGTGTTACTTACCGTCCCCTCTCTAGGTCCGCCGACGATACTTCGAATCTCAGCTGGGGCGGCGTGACATATGAGACGGAGGACGCCCGGCCCAGCGGGCGGGAGTGGAGAGAGCACATTATCCCTGGGCAAGGGTTCGACCTCAGGGCCACCGAGGTTGTGCTCGTGTCTTTCGACTGAAAATCAGTGGTCCCGTGTCCAAGTAGTGGCTTATCGAGATACCCGTGCTATTGTTCTTGTATTTATAGCTTCAAGTTGAACACCGAAACAAATACAATGTCGAATTGGAGTTCGTAGCAAAGACTTCTGCTCGAAAGACGTCCTTCTGCACCCGGTCCCGACCGTGACCATCGTCCTCGGGCCGCCGCAAGTTCGGATTGCGCTTCGAAATACTCCGCTACGGCTTAAGCGGACTTGTGCTTTCATCGACGGGCCTCGAGGAGAAGATCGCCACGGTCCATTTGAGGGAGTTCCACTCGGTAAAACACTTACAGAAACGACAGTAAGGCTTGTCGATATGTCTTCTAATCCATGCAAACGAGGCCGTGCTTTAGAGCTTCTTGCGACGATCAGTCGGACGCATTCCACTTCTGCGATGTCTTTCGCAAGGATACGCCTTCCCTCGAGGTCACTTGACGGTTCGAGGTCATTCAAATCCGCTGATTTGGACGTCGGTTCCGAGCTCTGGCACTTCAATACAGCGGGAGCCGTTTCACGAAGTCGCGAACCCTCGAATCGCGTTTGTTGCGGGGAAATTACGACCTGTTGATTGCACCATTCAAGTGCGTTTCTTCACACTTCATTCACCTTTGAGATGGAAATTGCAGGAGTTATTTATCCGTGAAGCTAAGAATAGAGCACTTCCCTCGGTTTTAATGGTCTGCGAAGGATCGTCGGAACCGAGAGACCTTGCTTCGAAAGATGAACAAACATAGCAGGCTAGCACAGTGGGTTGCAGGTTGATTTGGGGGTCCCCATGGAACAGCGAGGCTTGAGATAACCGCCAATGACGCCTGGACCTTGCCTGTGTGTCAGGATTCCAGTTGTTGGGGCCGGAGGTGTAGCACCGCCAGGCAGAGGTCGTTTGATGTGATCTCCCGAAAAGTCCATGCCTTGCCCAAGCGTGGCGCGGGTGATCCAAAAGTCCAATGATCAATCGGCACCGAAAACCCTTGGGGGCCCCAAAGCCGTGGTTAGAACGCGATCGAAGCAAGTACCTAGCGCAAGAGGGCCTGGGGCTTGCGTTATTGAGAAGACGACAATCAGCCGGTAGATTCTTGTGTCAGTGAGAATCGATGCCTCCCGCCACGAGGTTTTGGGAGCTTCGAATTAACCATCGTATTTCAAGAATGTTCCAGTAACGCACCTCCCATTCAGATCCGGCAAAATACCAGGAAAAATACTGAGGAGAACCTCTCCCAATCGTACCTCTTTCTGGGTAAAATCCGGGTCAGAAAACCTATAAAAGAGGTCAGGAATCTAGCATTATTTCTTCACTCGAAAACCCACCTTTCCGAGTACCACCCAAGAGGCAGAAGCGTCTTTAATCGACAGTTCGAAATGCAGTTCAAGGCTCTCTTCGCCACCCTTGCTCTTGCCTGCGTCGTCAGCGCTCTCCCCGTCGCCGACACAGAAAGTAAGCCGCCCGTGCCCACGGCCACTGGAGGACCAAAGCCCCCCGTCCTCCCCAGCTTGCCACCCAGGCCAACTGTCGTCCCGCCCAAGCCCACCGGTGTCCCCCCTAAGCCAACCTTCGTTCCACCCACTCCCCCCAAGCCACCCGTTCTCCCCAGCTTGCCACCCAAGCCCACTGGTCTCCCTCCCAAGCCAACCTTCGTTCCTCCCAAGCCAATCGGCGAGCCACCCGCTCCCCCTAAGCCTCCGGTCCTTCCTCCTCTCCCTCCCAAGCCCACTGGCGAGCCACCCACTCCCCCTAAGCCTCCGGTTCTTCCTCCTCTCCCTCCCAAGCCCACTGGAATTCCTCCCAAGCCTACTGGGATTCCTCCCAAGCCCACTGGAGTTCCTCCCAAGCCCACCTTCGTCCCACCCACTCCTAAGCCACCCGTCATCCCTTCCCTCCCGCCGAAGCCAACTGGCCTTCCTCCTAAGCCCACCGGCCTCCCGCCCAGGCCCACCGTCGTTCCTCCCAAGCCCGAGCCCCCCAAGCCCGAGCCCACCGAGGGTGAGGAGTAAATGGGTTCTCTAAGGTTAGTTTTTCATCATCCTCTGACAGACGTTCAAGTCTCTCAATCATATCCTTCCATTAGAACCTCATCGAATTGGTTTCCTTGAAGGAATACTAAAACATCTTTCCGAGCCACCCGGATCCGTCTTGCAGGCGGGGATGGAAGAAAATAAATCAAGGATTTTTGGGATACACGGATCCGCTTGAAATTGAATTGAGAATCAAGAAGAAGAGAACAGAAATAAATTAACCCATACATTTGTTTTATCGCTATGTATCTGACCTCGTGTTTGTGAAATGTCGACTGTGTTGTGCCTGTAAACGTGCGTTTCAAGAAGTTTCTCTGGAAGGGCGAGTAGCGCAAGAATGCGAGTAATGACAGCAATGATTTCACTGCAACACAATGTCATCCTCCATCCGAACAGTAGACAGGCATCAGCCGATAAGTAGCCTTGAGTGTACCCGTGCCCATATACCTCCGCACACCGGTCAGCTTGGATTATCGCCATGTACCTGAGAACGCCAGGGGTCGATTCGACATCCACAAAAGCCCGTCCATTCACAATTGTAACCCCAGTAGATTCCCATAAAATCCTGTAAAAGGCCATTTTCCCCACCGCACTTGGAACGTAGGAATTCTAGACCTCGTAAAATAACTCGGGGTACGTTCGGACACTGCCATGACGGATCAGTCAGAAAGAAAATGACAGGGGTCGACGAGAGGAGAGAGTCCGACTCAACACATTCAAGGCGTCGAACGTTTTTCGACTTTTATGGCCATGCAGATCCGCCGAATCCCAGGAGAAATATTAACAACCGCGTACCATCCCGAAAGTTGCTGACCTCTAGAGTCTCGGTCGTACCTGGCTCTGGGGAAAGAGCGGCAATGGGAACCCTATAAGATAGGTCAGAAAAACAGTCGTGAAATCAGCACTCGAAACCTTACCTTCTCCGAGTACTATAGTTCCTCCAGCACAAGCTTGAAGATGAAGTTCCAAGCTCTTCTGGCTACTCTCAGCCTCGCTTGCGTCGTCGGTGCACTCCCCGTGGCACAAGAGGCCGTTCCTCCCATCTCGTCGTTCGGACCTCCAACCACTCGCATACCCCCCTTCCCCACGACTATAATCACCAGCAGCAGTACCAGGGGTCCAGTGAGACCAACGCTCTCGACAGTGATTATCGACCCCACCGCCATCGTCCCAACTCCACCAAGGCCCGATGCAGCCCGTCCCCCCAGCGTCCTCCCAACCTTGGTTAGACCCACAGACGTCACCTTGCTCCCACCAGTCGACCCTTCACCCACCACGACCAAACCCACGGTCCTCCCAACCTTTACTCTTATAAGGCCAACGGACATAACACTCATCACCGTCCGCCCGCCAAGGCCTACTCTCGCTCCTTCGGACACGACCACAACCACCGCGAGCACCACTCGCACGGTCCGTCCCACTCTCCCCCCGATCACGTTGGACCCGACGTTCATCACTGTCCGGCCTCCCAGGCCCACAGTGTTCCCTACTCTCATAACCGGTGTTCCTCCCAAGCCCACTGAGGAACCGCCGAAGCCCACCGAGCCGACCAAGGAGCCTCCCAAACCGACTGAAGAGCCGCCCAAGCCAACCGAGCCCACCAAGGAGCCTCCTAGGCCGACTGAGCCTACGAAGGAACCTCCCAGGCCGACTGAGCCTACGAAGGAACCTCCCAGGCCGACTGAGCCTACGAGGGAACTCCCAGGCAACGGACCTACAAAAGAACCTCCCAGGCCCACTGAGCCTACGAAGGAACCTCCCAGGCCGACCGAACCAACCAAGGAGCCGCCCAAGCCGACTGAACCAACCAAAGAGCCGCCCAAACCGACTGAACCAACCAAGGAACCCCCCAGGCCGACCGAGCCCACGAAGGAACCTCCGAAGCCCACCGAGCCAACCAAGGAACCGCCCAAGCCAACTGAGCCAACCAAGGAACCTCCTAGGCCCACTGCGACGGTCAAGCCCACTAGCTTCCCCAAGTCTGAGGAGTCTGAAGACTAGGGTGGGTTATTGAGGTGAATATCCTCGTGAATCGTTAGAACCTTGTTTTGCTCGGCCTGTAAATGTGTAAAGCGCGTTCTTCGGGTTAGAGTAGTAGGTACACACCTGTAACCGTGCCATTTATGCAATGAAGTGTTTGCTTTCTCTGGAAATCGTATGTTAGTATGGCAAAAGGGTGGGAAGCCTCAAGAGGTCTCTAGGTACATCGTTCGCCTCAGGAAACGCAAAGGAAACGACAGCAATGAAATGGACACGCATCATAGTGGTTATGCACCAGTCCACTGAAGAAAGAATTCGGGAATTGACGGAGGAAGGACCTCTTGAAGGGTGAGTCGGGCAGCACGAGAGTTCAACGAGGGGCATCAGAAAACTGGACCTTCTATTGCCAAAAGCGAGTCAAGCCGCCGGAATACAAAATCCACTCTATATCGCCGTCTATGACTTATCCGAGCCCTCTCGGTTGATGAGGCCAACACCAACGACGACACCCTCTGCCAGCGGTTCAGAAGATTTCTTGCTCTCCTTGATGGCCTTGTCGACTTTGCGGAGGTACTCCTTCTCGATGGCTAATGCTCGTTGGGTCTGTGGGTAGATAGATGTTTTTAGTTGTGTTTGGTGCGGTTAGGGAGCGTCACGCACCTCTTTAGGATGGTGGAGACATTCGAGGTAGTCGTTTGCAGCAGGTCTGCATTCCCTTGGCGAGTCAGTTTGGGCGTAGCACTGGAATTGGGAGTTAGATTGAGTTGTTTCAGTAAGGTCAAGAGTTCTGCTCACCTTCTGGAATTCTTGCCAATAGGCAAAGCATCGTGGTCGTCCTGAGGAAGACTGTGCATCAGAATTGCTTCAACGCCAGCAAAGAGCCTGACAAACCTCCGCTCCAGCTGAATCCAGACTATAGAGAACGTCAGTAAGCAGCGCATAGAAAGAGTACGCTGTGAACCTACCGCCATTGTTGTTGGTTAATTAGGTCGTCGCCGTCGTGGTCGTCGTGCAGAACGTTGAGCGCGGATTCCCGGCTCCATGCAACACGTGACCAGCTGGGAACGGAGCCACGTGCATCTTGGGGCTGTGCCGAGCCCTTCCAAATCGACTGGCAAGCCCCTGTTTCTCTTGGACTTCCACGAACTCCAGTAGCTGTGCAAAAGCTGTAAAAGTCCGACCCCATTTGACCCTTTCGGTCTTCCAGAACGTCTGTGAGTGGATTTATAGATTGAATTCTGAGGCCATTACTAATGTAACTCGTCTCACAACGGTTCGGGATCATTCAGGAACTCGCAATCTAGACACATTGACGAGCAGTATTTGAACCACCCCATACGATCAGAATGGCATCAGCAGACTTCCAGGCTGAACAAGCATTTGCCCGCTCTTTCTTGAACACTATCGGTCGACAGCCAATCACCTACAACGACGACTATCGCCAGCCCCTGCAAAGTTCCCTGCGAAAGGTTCCAGTGTTAGGGGTGAGTTGATTATCACTACTCGTCCATTCTGGCGCCCAAGCACGCGCTAGATAAGATTTTATCTTTGTCGCGAGCCTTTGTTGAGTGTCGATCTAACATGAGACATTGTGTAGATCCCTGTTCCTCCCGTGCCAGAGCGTAAAGTCGGCGAATCTTCCACTGCAGGAGGTGCGTGCGGCCATCGGTTAATGAGTCTATGAACATAGATCACTGATGGACCCTTCAATTCTATGTTCTTCTCTCCCTTGGACACGACGCGTCGGCATTGATTCTGTGGGCTATGCTCCTCCTTGGCACTTGGCTTGGTCTCATCGATCACCACGATGGTGCTGCGTGTGCTTTGTCCCTGCATCTATAAACTTAAAATCATTGGCCACCACCTCGCTTCTATAATTCCCGGTCTTCCCTTCTCCCGACCCACCAGCCACCGTCACCCTCACCTTCAAGTCTCTCAAGCCCCCCGTTGCCTACACCCTCCCAGTCTCGTTGACGGACAGCGTCCTCTCTATCAAGAACGTCCTCCACGAGAAGCACTCCGACGTCCTACCCGCCGCCGAACACCAGCGTATCCTTCTTAAAGGCAAAGCCCTCGCAGACCAGAAACTCCTGAAGGAGTACAACGTCAAGGACGGCGACACACTCAACCTCGTTTTCAAAGCAGCCCCAGCAGCGGAGAAAGCACAAGAGCCGACAATCGCTGCACCCCAACCAGTTACACCCGCAAGTTCAATGAGTAGCCCGTTCGGTTCCGTTGGGGGATCCCTTGATCCCAACGCTAAACCATCCGGCGGGAGGAAACACCAGAGAATACCGTCGGTTGTGCTCAGTCCTTCCCCGTCGAACGATACCCTCGAAGAGAAGCCAAAGGAGATTACGCTGGATTTGGATTCAGTCGCCGCGGATCCTATTAGCCCGGTCCTAAGAGACGAACTCAGCCTGGCGAGCACGTACCATGATACCGTCGCCAACCCTGAGTTCTGGGAGAGACTAGTTGCGTTCCTGAGGTAAGGGCCATCATCGTTCCATAGAAATATCACGGCTGACAATAGAAATAGGGCTGAGTTCGTCACAGAATCCGACTTCCACCAAGCCTTTGAAGACTTTTTGTGCGCCACCAAGGGCGCGTTAACGGCCAACCAGATTGCAAAGATTCGGGACCATGTTAAGATTTATGGGATGGCGGGTCAATAGTTGAACCCAGTCGCGCTGCTTTCTACATAATGAACATTTGGGCTTTTGGTTTGAAGTTTCCGGCCATGTAATTCGACTATCTTTTGGCTATTCTGGAGTTTATGGGTGGTGATATCGCTAATAGGGACTAAACCCTAACCTGAGTTGAGTACTCTCGGATCCGAGCCTATGTACCATGTCATTTGCGAAACTTGTCCCTGCGCAGTCGCGTTACTGACAGTTCGCGTCTTTCCATCTCTTCCTCCACAATGAACGCGTTCACAAAATACAACGACCACTGCTCGCTCCACCGTCCCAACGCTAATGCCGAAGACCAAGACAATGCTTGCCCGTAAATTGCAACCGTGGTAGTCTGAGGGGCTCGACGACAACGCCGACAGCATCAAGGCAAACGTCGAAAGTCCGCGATGAACTCCGACTTGAAACCCGAAGCTGCTCCACCATCGTGCTCTGAGAGGTCGCGTCGCAGTCGACATGGTGCGAGCATGCGCGCCCCGCGAATCTGATGATGTTGCGTGCTATTTCGACATCGGGCGAATTCAGGCGCTCTTGAATGCTGTTTTCCCTTGGCGACAACATTGCAAATTGAATGCCCACGTCCTCCGTGTTTCGCCCGAAACCACACTCTATGTTTGACCGGGGACCATATGGGTGGAAGATTGCACCGTACGTCCATCCTCTTGTCTGCTCCCCGTATTGGGCTCGTCTGGCTTGGTGCTTATCCCAATGTTATGTGATCAGGCATTATCATCTCGATGGTTATCAGATTCGTTTTGCGAGGACCAGCATCTAGGCTAGTGCTGCACTATGCTCAGCGTAAGAAGGATGCGCAAGGCCCATTTGTCAGGAGCCCAGTTGGAGTCTTCGAGGCACAGAAGCTCGACCCGGACAATCAGTCTTCGTTTCAGGGGCAACCTCCCTCGAGCGATCAAGAACCAATGAATGCAAAAATTGCTTCTGGGGCCCTCGAATGACATCCATTCAGGATGACCTTCTATCCATCCGAAACTAGACTTCTTTCTGACAAACCCGCGGCACCCTCAATTGCAAAGGCGAGATGTCACCTGGTGTGTAGCCTTGTGTAGCGATACGCCGAGTAGCAGCTCGACCTTGTGGGGACTAGGTCGCACGCGGTGCTTGCATCGGTTTGGTGATGGCCCACATGCTACAAAGCAACCTGGTCAGTCTTCGCTCCACTCGTTCCCCGCGCTGGATGCTAATACTTTCCTCTCTTCAGTAGCGTGATTCTCGGAACCAAGAAATATCCTCATGCAAGGTAGACTCGTGGAGATCACGGTGGAGGGAAATCGGGTTGTGGTGGGCTTGAAGAGTACGTATGTCAAGTCCTCACTTTTTCACCAAGTCTACTACTAGAATCACATCAGTCAATAGACTTGTAACCGTCTACATAACATCGGAGCTTTCTCTTATCGACTTCCCGGGAGAATGCATCCATTCTACACTCCAACAGTGTCACTAGTGACTTCTCTCCACGGTCGCTCAGGATCAAAGACAGCCATCACAGAATGCCAAGCGCCCAAAAAGGAAAGGAACGAGTCCAATCCGACAGCCCAGCTTTTGCTTTACACCCTGTGCATCGAAACCCCGTGAATAGAGGCAACCTGGAACCGCCTCTCCTCGCATCTGGGTTCACCGACATTCCGCCAGTCCCTTCCGCGCATACGTATTGTTATCTCAGAATGACGGGACGGTCACCACACGACAACACACGACACCATGGTTTGACAGGGTACCCGCATGGATGCTAGTACGCAACTCGCCCGCATGAAGCAGGACATATCAAAGTAACAGATGGGACACCCTTCATTTTGGGCTTGTGAACCTAAGAAAAGAAAGAAGTTCCACCTCACGTCCATTCGCCCAGATCCAACCATGCCCATGTGGATACTCTATCGCCTAATTGACTCCGACAGGTGTTGCTTCTATCTACACACGAAGTGGATGCTTATGGACGCCGGATATTTCATTCAAAAGGACGGCCTCATCCTCGGTTGAATACCCCGTCTTCTCGACTTCCCCTCCCGCCCCCCTCACCCATCCTCTGTGACACGAGTTCCCCGTCAGCTTTGACGTGGGCGTTGTTCGGGTACATCTAGACCGACTTGATTAGTACGGTTAGAAGGGAAGCATGGCAAGCACCGCCGTTGATCACCAGCCGGGAGCGCTCGAGTCCAGGAAGAGGACCGACGTGGAAGAGGGCCTCGACGAGAAGCGACAAGACTCGTCTGTGAGCAGCATCAACCACCAGTTGGACGAAGGGTTCGAAGGCCATGATGTGTATGTTCTCGTTGCTTGTTTCGATCTTTGCAGAACTCTGACCCTTGGTATCGAACAGGACGAACCCATTCCCCGTGGACCCCGATGAGCCAATCGAGACTCATCAACTCACCTTCCGGTATGTGTCTCTGATTGACGGAGTCTCGTCTTCTTTGGCTCTAACTTCCGTTTCTAGAGCCATCTTCGTTGGATGCTGCTTGGGTGCCGTCGTCGGCTCGTCCAACATTTATCTCGGTTTGAAGACTGGTTTCACTTTCGGTGCCCAGTTGTTCGGTGTACGTTACATTCCTACCTGGTGTTTCGATGGTAGTAAGGATATTGACTGGTTGTCTGGATGGTTGTATAGGCTATTTTCGGTTTCGCTATCCTCAAGTCCGTGTCCAAGATTGTCCCTGAGTCGGGCATCTTGGGCAAGTTCCTGGGTGGACCTTTTGGACCCAAGGAGAACTGTACTGTTCAGACGTAAGTTTCCGCGTTATACATCTCCGCTCATGTGCTGATAATACCTCTTTTTGATAGTGCCGCAACTGCCGCTGGTGGTTTGGGTATCCTGTTCGTCTCCGCCGTCCCTGCCATGTACCGTCTGGACTTGCTCTCCGAAGACCCCGCCAAGGATATCGGAAAGTTGATCGCCCTCACTGTCTGCGCTGGTTTCTTCGGTGTCTTCTTCGTCATCCCCCTCCGAAGGTACTACATCATCCACCAGAAGCTCACCTTCCCCACACCCGCCGCCACTGCCTACACTATCCGCCAGTTGCACAAAGGAAAGTCTGGTGCCGTGGTCGCTAAGAAGAAGTCTTTGGCTCTGTTGTACACTTTCCTTGGCGTGTTTGCGTACAAGGTCGCCACTGGCTACGCCCCTGGTATCGTGAGTTCGGCCACTTGATTGGTATTTCGAGACTAGATTTAATCTTCGCGTCTAGATCTATGACTGGCACATTGGTTGGACCCTCTACCAGCTCGGATGGAAGGGTGCCATCTCAATCGAGAACTATGGCTGGATTATCGAATTCACCCCCGCTTTCTTCGGTGCTGGTATGCTTAGCGGCTTGAACGCCAGTTGGAGTTTCTTTGGTGGTGCCATCATGGCTTGGGGTATCAGTGAGTGCACATTCGTTCTGGACCTCCCACGAGTCGTATGTTGACATTGCGCCCAGTTGCTCCCTCTTTGATCAAGAACGGATTGGCGTTTGGCCGACCCAATCCCGAGCTCCCCGAATATGTCAGCTACTACGCAATGGTCTTCACCAACACTGACGACTACATTGATCGTCCTTCTCCTCGATACTGGCTCCTCTGGCCCGGTGTCTTCATCATGTTGCTCTACTCGTTCGCTGATATCTTCGTTGGCTTGCTTCCTTTCCTCACTGGTGGGTATCTTTCCTCGGCTGAATTCTAACACGAGCTCTGACCGTCATTTACAGCCATGAAAGCGTCGACGTTGAAGAAGTACCTCGACCCCCGCGGTTGGTTCGTTCGAGGAAACCCCGAAGACGATGAGGACAAGACTCCCCATGAAGACCGTGTCCCCTTCCTCTGGTGGTCTGTGGGTTTACTCGCCAGCACCATCACCTCGGTCGCCATCCTCGCCACCTTGTTCCACATGAACGTCGGCACCGCCCTCCTCTCCCTCATCCTCGGTTTCATCTTCTCCTTCATCGCTGTGCAATCTGCCGGTCACACCGACGTTAACCCGGTGTCCACTGTCGCCAAGGCTTCGCAGCTTGTGTTCGGTGGTATCTCCAAGGGTACTGGTATGGCTGAGCAGCCTGCTCAGACCATCAACTTGGTTTCTGGTATCATTGCTGCTGGATCTGCTGCTCAAGCCTCCGACATGTGTGGTGACCTCAAGACTGGTTACCTCCTCCGTGCGAAGCCCAGGAACCAGTTCATTGCTCAGCTCTGCGGTTCCGTCGTCGCTGTCTTCCTCACTTGCGGTCTCTTCCTTCTCTTCACCAAGGCTACTCCTTGTATCCTGTACGTTCTTTTTCTGTTGGTTTCGGTGGGAAGGATGTATACTGACGATCTCAACAGTAAGGAAGTTGAGGGTGAGCTTTGCACGTACGGTGCTCCTTCCGTCGCTGCATGGGCTGCTGTTGCTCTCGCTGTCACCCGCCCCCGTCTCCCCGTTCCCCCCTCATCCGGATACACTGCTATCGGCCTCGGTATTGCGAGTGTCCTGACTGTCTTCGCTAGGGTGAGTACCTCTCAGTCTCCAGTAAGGCTGCCCGGACTCACGCATTTGCCCCTCCAGCACTGGCTCATCCCCAAGAAATACCACGCTTGGGTCCCCAACTGGAACGCCATCGGTCTTGCCTTTGTCGTCCCTCAGGTCTACTACCCCATTGCCATGGCCGTTGGCTCCATCTTCAACTTCTTCTGGTTGAAGAGGTCTCCTGCCACTTTCGACTTGTACATGTTCCCCATCTCCGTATGTTCTTTTTTACTTGTGGGGTGTTTGGAGACTGAAGCTGATTGGTTGTTGTTTACAGGCTGGTCTTCTTGCCGGTGAGGGTCTCGGTGGTGTGTTGCAAGCTCTCCTCGCTATCGTTGGCGCCGACGGAGCCAGTACGTTATCTCTTTGCTCTTGTCCTCCAAAGCTCCATACTTACAACCCTCTCCTTTCTTCTAGCCTACGGTACCGCTGTCGGATGCCCTCTCAATAGCTACTGCGGTTAAAAAGAACCATTTCATATCTTCTACCACGACCTGATCGACGTCCCATATAATGAAGTTGCGTTATACGTATTGGAATGACTTTTTGTTGTGACGCATTATTCTTGCTCTCGCTTTTGGGTTGCACACATTTTTTTTCTAGTACAAGTTTTGTAATATAGTGTAATTTAGATCCTCACTCAAGATCGACAAAAAATTCGAAAAATTTCTGTCTCTATTGTTGCGCCTTGAGTTGGGAACGTCAAGGAACCTTGAAAGCCCCTAAAACCATCCAGACTCGAGTGGATATGCCATCAACGGGTGGCAGTGAAATTGATGCCATTTTCCTGGCTTCGAAGTCGGGATGTCGTGCACCTTCCACTCGGACCGCGTTGCGCAAACCTCTTCCCTGCCGTCATCCTTGACCTTCAACAATGGCTTCGAAGATACCCAAGGCCAACCTCTCGAAATATCCAAATGTACGACCGCTATTCAAGCGTCCGATGCCATGGTGGGGGACGACGGTTGGATCTGGTGCACTACTGCTCTGCGTCTTCGGTATAACGTGCGTGGTTCTGTCATGACTTTCTGCTCACTAATAATTGACAGTCGATAACCCGGATATACAGAGGAGTTGCAGCGCATTCAACATGGAACTACTGGACTGAACCCACAGTCGTGAAGATACCCGCCTCCGAATCCTCCACCGGCCAGGAAACCGAGAAAGTCGAATGGAATTTACGGCCAGCCTGGCAACGCGGTGGACTCTGCGTAGCACATGTCCTAGCAGGCTGCATGTTCGCCGGTGGTCTGCTAGGCAAACGCCAACTCTTCATCCGCTCTGTCTATCTCGCGTCACCCGAAATCCCGGCTGGCACAAAACCCGTTGCAGACGTTCGGAGGTTGATCATCCAGTCTGCAGCGGAGACTAAAGACGTTGGATATGATTACCCCGTCAAGGGATCGTGGTTGGAACCGGGGCAGAGCAACGATGAAATTATTCTGCGGTCGAGTTGGGCGAATTTGAATTCGAGGTTCTCGCTGCCGCTGCGCTCAGCGGAGGTTAGTGGGACCAAGTATGCGACTGTGGAAGAGGCGAGGGATAAGCTGGCGGAGGAGTGGAAACAACTGCTGCCCCTTGCGACCACGACTCAAAAACGATAACCGCAGGGTTTTCGACACGACTACATATCCACCATCTAATATGATACCGACGGTATAACGCAGCCTAATACACCCCATTTGCATTCACAAGGCGCCTGGTCATTGGAGGACACGCAAATGCGACTTGTCTGGGTGGCAGAATCGATCCCTCGACGTTGCTTCGCCCTTGGTGGTCGAAGAATCGAGTCGTACAGGACAAGCTTTGGGGTTCCTCACGGTCCCTTTCAAGCGTTCAGAAGCTGGAGGATGCACCAGGTCTTTGACGAGAATTTTTCTACCCCTTTGGATTGGATGATATTCCTGACTCGCTGGGATCAACGTCGTCCTCTTGAGCGCGAGCTCTCCCAACACCCGACGCGACTGTGGGCGTGGCTTGGCATCCGACCGGAGGCAACGCGGGAAATTTGAGTGCGGCGCGGTCATGTGATCGCTGATCCTTACTACCTGATCGGGCGGTGTGTTCGTGAACACTTCGACCAAGACGACAATTGTTGTGCAGCCAAAAGCCACCCTCTGACATTCACTTCCAGTGAAGAAAGCAGTCATTCATTAACATGCCTTCTCTTCGATGGCCTCGTAAGGTCATCCCTTCTGGTATGTTTCCTTTTCATTTTGTCCCCGAGCACTGACTGATGGCGAAATCGTAGGGCCACTAAGCCAAATGCTGATCAATGCAAAAGTTCGCCGTCGACGGAGCAAAAACGAGAAGCTTCCTGTCTATCAGCTCCCAGTGGAGATTCTCTCTTACATCTTCTTCATTTGTCGTCAGATCAGCTGGGAACCGGTCGAATCGATCGAAGATATCCGCGAGCACGATCTCCTTAACACAAATGACCCGCGCAATGCCACTCGAGATTTGGCACGAATCGTTTGGGACTGGACAATTGTTACCCTCGTTTCTCACCGCTGGAGAGAAGTCGCGCTCAGTTGTCCTGGACTCTGGTCCGACTTCCACTGGTTCGAATTCCAGGACCTATTTTCCCTCCACGAAAAGTTGCGACGGTCGCATTGTGTCCCATTGTCGATGCAAGTTCCTCTCGACGTCCCCCTCAAAGTTGCCACCGGGATCTTTACTCTCGCCAGTCGTCTCAAAGAACTTGAACTGCAGCTCCTTTTGAGCGATGGCGACGATTTTGTTAACTGTGTCCAACGGTATATTCGAGGCTTTACAATGGAGCGGCTTCAGAGTTTCGTAATCACAGGATACCGCACAGACAACCCCGTTGATCCGTACACCCTCCCTGCGAACTTTCTTCAAGGCGCTACGCCGATTCTCTCTCGACTCAAGGCTCGAGGAATCCTTGGCTGGAATGCTTCACTGCTTCGTGTGGGAAGCTTGACCTCTCTTGAGCTCAACGTGGTGCATGCTCCAACTGCGGAAGAACTCTTCGACGTACTCAAAGCCCTGACGAACCTCAAAGAACTAAAGCTAAACACACCCCTTCCAGGGTATGACAAGCTCCTCTTCTACAGTCGAGCCTCGCACGAACGCGTTTCCCTTCCCTCGCTCGAACTCTTCGAACTCGAGACCGATCACTGGAGGCCTTCCACCGGACTCTTGCGAAACATCACCCTACCACCTTCCGTGGTAGTATCTCTTTGCACCACGAGCACCGCGATCACCTCGACGACAGACTTCAATGACAACGTTCCGTCGATCTACCAACCTGATGCCGATAATGTAATCTTGCCTGAAGTAACCGAGTTCGTTAAAGCCTTGCGCGCGGCGTGGCTGATCTCCGTGCCGGCCTCGAATCCCCTCTTGCTCGACCTCAGAGCGTTCGGATGGACCAGCGCTTTTAAGAAGATGGTTTCACTCGAGAATAGCGCCTGCCAGCTGCGAGATGTTATTTGGGAGGCTTGTGTGTCATCTCTTACAGATAGTGAGTTTGGCAGAGATTTCAAGCGATGGATTCCTCCAGTGGAGATCACGATGAAAGTTGCTCGATAGAGGGGCTTAGGTTGAAACGCGATCGATGGGAAACGAAATGAGATTTGCAAGGCCTAGACATGTACTCACAATATCCTATTTACAAGTAGCCAAGCTACCTAGAAGATGACTAGGACCAGTCCTGCGTGTAGGTCTGGAACTCGCGAACATAATGAAATGAAGCATGATCGCTCTATTCGTAGGACTGGAAGCCACGTTGAAGTGTTCTCACAAAGTCGGAGGTGAGCGCGAGCTTCGATGTTGTGACCAAAACATCGCAAGTGAACGCAGTTAATGGGCGCTTATTCAACACTATTGCGCCACGTTCGCGGGGGCTAATGGGTGTTAAATTGGGAACTAGGCGCCTCGCACGCAATCGCACAATGTTTTGGAGTATCCGCTATTCCAGGAACCTCGCCGCGGCTGGCCCCTCTCTGCCAGTGGTAATTCCGCCGATAGGTCAGTGTAAGTACTAATTATGAAATGAACGCGAGACGAGCCCTTCCCACCAATGAATACCTCAACATGCGTACGGGGCGGAGTAGATAGAGTCAGACTCACCTACGATATCGAACGAGCACGGGCGATCGCCGTCTGTAGCAAATTCAAGTATGGTTCCATACCGGCTGAGTTATGTCCCCTGGCTGGGCGCCTCCCCTCAAACACCGAAAAGCGAGATGATGAGGCGAATTGTACTTTCGACTTTTTCATCGAAATCTCGTCATAGACAACATGGGAAGGGAGATCTTCTGGGAAGCTGACAGTGAGGACCTCCAGATGCTATCTTCGTTGAGCAGCAAAATTTTCAAGCCCCTGGACCGTTTTCCTGGTACGCGTCGCCAGAAAACTACCGCGTGAGAGGACGAGAACAGAGCATCGAGGACGCGCCGTTCCTAAAGTCAAAGTACCTTCTGCAGTTGTCATGAGAGTCGACTTCGACGTCGACACCAATGTTACGTGAAAGCTACGTACTCGGCCGTGACGATAATATATAAACTTGAGTTCCCAAGATAACCGGAGTCACTGACGTTCTCGAATCTCAAAGTACGGCAGCAGGCTAAGGCAAAATAGGACTTGGGAGCCAGAGACGCGTTCAAATTTTCGTTCTAGAGTCCTCGGAGATTTGGGACGTTGTACGACAATGTTCGAGTGTTGCAGATATTGGAATCCCGAGGCGAACGACACGATAAGGAGTTTTCAGGACCTGTTTGGAAACTGGAAAGAGTGCTTGAAGGAGCAGATAAGGTATTGCCAGTCAGTCGTATATTCCGAGGAGGAACATAGCAGTTAGAGGGATTGTCAACGCTCGGAGCCTCCCAGCGGCTGCAGTCGACCGCAACGACACGCCAGTCGAAATCCTGTTCAACCCTTTGAAACCGAAACACAAGGGCCAAGGCTCGGATGCTTCCGGCCATGTTTCACCCCCGCTTCGAACCCAGCACGAGCCAATCAGATCTCTCGGCTTGAATGTGTAATGACGCCGTTAAGCGCTGACATATTTAGCCTCCTCAACATAGTCGCCCTTGTCATCATCTCTGTCAGCGACGACGCTCGAAATTAAAGACATATAAGCGGGCCATCCACTTCGAGAGTCGACATTCCCTCCATTCTGACCTTGGAAAGTACCGCTCCCCTTGTCGTGGAAACAATGAACCCAGTCTGGTAAGTCTCCAAGCCACGATGACAAAGGATTTCGTCATTGAACCCCTTTTTCAAGCAGAACTCTCCTCCAGAGAGCAGCGAGATCGTACTCAGCACTGCCTTCACGTGCCATTAGACTGAATGGGCGAGCGTCGATATGGAGCGGAGGGCGCTCTGATATAAAGCGTTCAGACCTTGTGTCATACCCTCCATATTTCTCCTTTCCAACATACCAGAGAGCTGCTACAATGGCCACCAGAGATGTATCTTCCCAATCTGATATCTCCAAGATGCAAAGAGATCCCGATGGATCCTTCAAGCGGCAGGCATCTGCCTTCCGCAATACCATCGAACGTGGTGGCAAATTCGAGCCTGAGCGCGGTGGGTATTCGACAACAGCTGTTCCTCTGGACTCCATCGGACTCACTAGACTCATGCTCGCAGATCGTTACCACCTCTATGTCTCATACGCATGTCGTACGTTTTCTCTTTCAAATGAATGATGTTGGGACAATGTCAACTGAACCGTGTGTAGCTTGGGCCACCAGGACGTTGATTGTTCGGAAACTGAAGGGTCTTGAGGACATCATCCGTAAGTTTTGGAAACTTTCATCCTGTCGCGGTGTCTGATAACGAGCGTCCACAGCCGTGACCGCGGTTTCTCCGCGTATGGGAGCGCACGGATGGCCTTTCGCGTCTGCAGACGACTATCCTGGGACAGATCCTGACCCCTTGCACCAGTCGCAGCACGTAAAAGATCTCTATTTGAAGGCCGATCCGGACTACGCTGGAAGGTGTGTTTCCCACCTGTCCGTGGTTTTTGTTATCACTGGCTAACATTTGCTCGTAGATTTACCGTCCCTATCCTTTGGGACAAGAAGAACCAAACTATCGTGAACAACGAGAGCTCAGAAATCATTCGTTTCTTCAACTCTGCCTTCAACCACCTTCTCCCAGAAGACAAGGCAAAGCTTGACTTTTATCCCCAAGAGCTGAGAGTCGCGATCGATTCCCTCAACGAGTGGGTTTACCACGGAATTAACAGTACGTCTTACGCATCTCGGGTACACTTAAGCTAAGCAAATTTTGACCACCATCGTTAGACGGTGTTTATAGGGCTGGTTTTGCCACGACGCAATCAGCCTATGAAAAAGCTGTCCATGAGGTGTTCGACAGCCTTGACAAGGTTGAAAAGATTCTGGAAGGCAAGGAGTATGTTGTCGGCGACCGTTTGACGGAAGCCGACATCCGGCTCTGGGTTACTATCGTGAGTTTCGAGGTTCGCATCGTCACAGTCTAGGCTTGATTTTGCAATAGATACGTTTCGATCCCGTCTATGTCGGCCACTTCAAGTGTAACTTTAGAACTATCCGAGACGGGTATCCCGCCATCCACTCGTGCGTTCTACTTCTTTCTTTGGCTCTATCATTGTCTAAAGTTCTCCCAGGTGGCTGCGGAAGTTGTACTGGAACGTTCCTGCGTTCAAGGACTCGACCAACTTCGACCATATCAAGACACACTATTACTGGTCTCACACATCTGTGAGTCATTTCGGCTTGTTCCCCGACTTTGTGTCTTGCTGAATCCTGTTTCGTAGATCAACCCCACAAGAATCGTGCCGGTCGGACCCATTCCTGACATTCAACCGCTCTGAGTATCACCGGTTTTGCGCTCGCCTTAGGTATCAATCATGATTGAAGTATGGACGCAATTGAATCCATCTGTCTTTGACGCGAGGTCTTGAATTAATGGACAGGAGGCGAGGGAAACGAGTCTTCCACCGCTCAGAGCCAGCTTTAACCCGATAATGGCACCACTTGCAGCGTGCTAAATCTTTCAGTAGCCGGTAGGTGTTTATGTTCACGTTCGATGAGGACCTCGGGTAACATAACGCCACCCCGAGGTCATCATCAAGTGTCCGCGATGTGTCGACGTCTGAGTTGCCGGTATCTCTAGTCAATTTTCGCGTTGTCTTGAGACGAAACTTGGATGTGAACTTGATTCTGATTCTTCTTCCAATAGCAAGAGCGTGGAGTAGTAGCTATACCGCCGATACCCGTGAATTGGGGTGCGTTCCCAAATTTTTCAAACGGCGACGCTCGAGCCTTGAAGAGCATATCAACGAATCTTCTATGCGCTAATCCTATTCCTGATTAGCTTGCTATCTTGGCACGGCGACTTGAAACAGACTTCAAGTTTGGCTCTTTTTTGAGTTCGAGGAGCGTTGCTTTTGATGTCACCAACGTGGATGTAGTTAATCTCCTATTTCCTAGGGGATGGAACAGCCTCCGAAGCAAAGGTTGTATTGTTCAAAGTCGACAGAAACCAATGTCGAATCTCGCTATGTTTTTTGTCTCCAGCCTCCAATCAAAGGCATGGGCATATCTGAACGGGCTAAAAATAGACGCGTCCACAAACCGGCAACAAGCCAATCAATCATCATCATGGCCATCAAGTGGAAATGCCGCTTTACCTTCGACCACGGTGGCCCGAAATTCGCACTGCACACTTCATTGGATCAAGAAAGTGTTCAGGGTCGCCGGAAGGGGAGGCTATCTGGCAAGGAAAGTTGTCCGTGACGGGGAATCGGTGGCTATCGAGGGGCAGCGGGTAGTGAGTCTCCAAGGTGCGATCCTGTGTATACTTGGATCTCACGTCTCTTTTTACACTCCTCACGAGCCTAGACGCTTCTGTGTCGGGTTGTTATGTATTGAGAAGGCCACGTTCTGGGGGCCCTATTCAATGCGGGCTTGATATGGCTATTGGTCGGGATCACTTTTGATTGTTGCTGGTTAAGAAGAAGAGACATTAATGTCCCTCTGCATGAACCAGATGGTCTTTGAGATAGATAGCCATTTGCGGGTTGAAGATGGGGGCGCTTGATCTGAGGTATCCCGAGCGGAATTGCCTCTTTTACATCCATCGAGTGAGTACCTGCGTTCAGCTTAATACCAATGCAAAGCCTTGACAAGATTCCACAGTATCTTAGCCACATGGACAAACTATGTCGGCACAGGTGAAACCCCACTTCGCTCAATGGAACCGCTCCCAATCACGAGTCTTGCAATCCGCCTCCGTCGCCTTCGTTCCTGGACTTCGTGCGCTTCCTTTCTTCAAGGGGCTGCTAATCGGGGGTTCCACAGGTGATATTAGCCTTGCTTTTTAAGGCATTTATAATCCATCTCCTGGATGCCGACAACCTCTGCCAAACGATGAACCCATAAAAAGGTCCACAATCATGGCATAGAACATAGAAATGTCTTCTATCCATTACAGGGCGTCAAACACAGTGCTTCCTCAACGAATACAACCTTCTACCTGCCCGGATGGAGCTGAAACCATGGACGGATCTCATGGAAGGGAAATCCTCTTTCAGGGCATGGATCTCCATTTGGGGCGGTCAGGATCTATATTCGATCTGCTCGGCAATTGCCTGATCGGTCTGGTTGTACTCCTCCTGCTACGTAACTAAGACCGCTAACCGTTCTATCCTGTTCTGAATAGATTGCCGTTCGGATACTTAAAGACCTCAAGAATGCATCTCGAGGACCATCAGCCATACCCGCCATGGGGTCTCACCATGAATTCGCACTCCCCTCTCTCGACCTCCTCTCACTTCCTCAACGCCTCCTCTCGAATCCTCGCCTTCTTGCTGAGATAGTGCTGGCCGGATTCCTGCTGGTACATCTTGTTCCATACTTCGTCGACACGAAGAAGATTCGCCATTACCCTGGCCCTTTCCTTGCCAAATTCTCAGACGCTTGGTTGGGCTGGGTGAGCAAGAATGGCCATCGCTCAGAGGTTGTGCACGAGATGCACAAGAAGTATGGTATGTCGGCCGAGACCCACTTCAAGGCTCCGTGCGCTGACCATGTTCCGTGACAGGACCTATCGTGCGCATAGCGCCCAATCATGTGTCGATCGCAGACCCCGAGGCCCTGGGCATCATCTACGCTCACGGCAACGGCGCTCTGAAATCCGAATTCTATGACGCCTTCGTCTCTATCCGACGTGGCGTTTTCAACACTCGAGATCGCACAGACCATACTCGCAAGCGGAAGATTATCTCTCATATCTTTTCGCAGAAAAGCGTCGTCGAGTTCGAACCCCAAATCCGACTCTACGTTAGCACCTTGATTAGACAGTGGGACCGGCTCTACGACATGGCTCTCAAAGGGATGTCTGGCGAAGAGGGCGAAGGTTGGCGGGGCGAGGGTGACAGGCTCTGGCTTGACTGCTTACCCTGTGAGTTGAACTGAATCGACGACAGCCTGCTGATGTCATTGGCTAACCAGTTCCATACTAGGGGCGAACTATCTTGCTTTCGACATCGTCGGTGATCTCGCCTTTGGTGCCCCATTTGGTATGCTGGAGGCAGCTAGAGATTCCGCTCTTGTCCCAAAAAAACCAGACCATGTCATGGAATCTTACGGCAAAGAGCTCTCCAGCGAAGACGTGATTTCGATCCCAGCCGTCCAGATTCTCAATGGTCGAGGTGAATACTCCATGTCGATGGGTGTTCTTCCCGCATGGTGGCGACCCTTCGTGCGGCGTCTCCCTTGGTATTCGCGCGGGCAGAAGGACGTCCAAACACTGGCAGGGATTGCAATCATGGCAGTTGCAAAGCGTCTCGCCACTCCCACGGACCGTGTCGACCTCTTGAGCAAGCTGCAACAAGGCCGCGATAACGAAGGCAAGCCCATGGGAAAGGAGGAGCTAACGGCAGAAGCGTTAACCTTACTTATCGCTGGTTCTGATACGACGTCCAAGTGAGTGATTGATCTACTCCATCTATCTCGTTCAACTGTTTACCCGGACCCACCACTTACACAGCTCAACCTGCGCCATCTTGTACTACCTCGCTCGCAATAGAGAAGCTCAGGATAAACTGCACCAGGAATTGGACGAACAGCTCGGTGCGGAAACAGAACCAGTTATAACAGGCCTTCAAGTCAAGCAACTTCCCTACCTCGATGCATGCATCTACGAAGGCCTTCGATTGCATTCGACATCCGCTTTGGGTCTCCCCCGTGTGGTTCCTGAAGGAGGGTTGACTATTCGGGGCCAACACTTCCCAGAAGGCACCGTCCTCAGCGTTCCCAGTTATACCATCCATCGCGACCCTGACATTTGGGGTGAAGATTTTGAAGACTACCGCCCTGAACGTTGGCTCGAGCGCGATTCGACGATGATGCACAAGACATTTAACCCATTTTCGGTTGGACCGAGGTGCGTCACGGTCTTTTGTTAGCGTGGATAGGAATCGAGGCTAATGTCTCATTCTCGTTCGGATCTTGAATATGCAGAGCTTGCGTTGGCCGCAATCTTGCTTTCTTGGAGCTTCAGATTATTATTGGCTCGATTATGCGACGCTACGATTTGGTATTGGAAGATCCGGACCAGCCGGTGAGTTTCGTTATCTTGGGGAACCACTCGAGTGTTCGTCAACTGATTCGTTTTGCTCTTCTTAGCTGGAGACTAGGGAAGGGTTCTTGCGGAAGCCGTTAGGCTGCAACGTTGGCATCAAGCGACGCGACGTACTGCTCTGATTCTTTGGTATCTTGTACATTGGCCAACCCCCTCTTTCATGACAACTACAGTACTAACAGTTCTTGGCCCCTTATGTTGGTCAATATGTATCATAACATGTATATTTAGATATGACTATGTCACGAAGCGACCCCTTCGTATTATTGCCACGCAAGTTTATATGGTCTCACATACAGGCACTCTTCGCCCGACTCACACCGAATTAAGAGGGTTCCACGCGACTTGAACTAAGTAGTTATGGGGCGTGACATGTGAATGACATATCACGAACTCTTCGAAGACGAAACCAATCGTATCTGTGGTGATAAAAACAAGCTTCTTTGCTGCACGCGATTCCAGTGGGTTCTCCAAGTCCTTCCTCGTCTCCATTGCTCCCCGCACGGCCATAGGATTTCGAAAGCGAGAATCTGGAATGGATGGCAGAAGAAGAGATTCCCCCAACAGCGGCCCATTCATCACCATTCTATTCGCTCTTATCGCGCTTCCCATCTCTTTCGCGCTGTATACCCTCTATCGAACAACCCGAAGGTTACGGGAGCATACTAGGAACGGGGATGGTGGAATGGTGCCGGGGAGGAGGGTGATAACGCAGGAAAGGCCGACGCTTTGGGATGTGTGGACCGATTATCCTACTAGATCTGGACGCCCGGCGCTTGGTACTGCCAAAGGAATAGGGGCGAAATGGAACCAGAGCCTCCTCCGCAAAGTAAGTATGTGTTTATATCATTATCGCTTCTTCTCCAATGGAATGTCGGGTGGTATGTTACACCCCGCATGGTCTATATACCGTGCCCAGGGACACGGCGAATGGGCGTCAACTCAATATCACTCTGTCCATTTCTATTGTGCCATACGATCTTTCTTTCCCCTATCCTGAACCTCTAGTTTGCAAGTTCCGGTCCAATATAATATGGTTCAGCTCGATTGACGGCTGGGGTCTGACATCAATGCTAGCCTCTTAGCGTCAGCGTGAACCTTATTGGAAGTCCTAATTCGGTGGTGGCGAAAAGAAGCAAAGGTGTGGCATGTGCACCGGGGATCGACAGGATCGGCCAGGAGGCACCAGTGGTTAGAGGGACGGATGGATCACGGAGTGGAAGCGGTTGGTTGAGCGGTTGGAGTTTGAAGAGGGGACGGGTGCGTTATCGTCATCCAACGAGAGGGGTCGAGCAAGGGCACAAGACTGAGGAGAACGCAGAGGTCGAGGATTCGGAATCGCCGGACTCGGAGCTTCAAGTCGAGGTCCATGTAGCAGTCGTCATCGCTTTACCTTCTTCACCCACCACGTCCGAATCGCCAAATGACATCAAGAAAGGTCAAGAAAGCATGGATTTAGCAACAGAGACAATACAGCAGCGTGAAGAGAACGGAGCTGAGGAAGAAAGAAGGGAAGGTTCGGTGGTAGCGTACTGTCTCGGAACTGCCAAAATGCCAATGCAAGTATAAATACTCAGTCCAGTCTCGATGAACAAGCATCGTCGAGAACAAAGCAAGAGGATCTTGCATATTAAGGCGAGATCAATGGGCTCGCAGTGTGTATCCTAGAACCTCCAATCAGTGAGGTTCTCCAAGGTACGGAGAGCAGGTGAATTTACCTATATCCAAGCACCCGAAGAAAGACAAAGAAAGAGCGACCAGAAGGGTATCGTGGCTGACAGGCTTCAAGTGCAGTCGAGATTCAAGGCGACCGAGGAAGTCGCCTCAAACTCAAAATACACGTATTGTCTGTCTCCAACGAGGGCGAAAGACCGCCGAATAGGGTGTGATGGCCCAAATAATCAATGCGCATCACGCCAGCGGCTTCGCACTGGGCGGGGTCGATTGCAAGCCTGCAACGGCGCTGAAATGCTTCATGAATCCTATCCTGCTGTTTTCTGGATAGGGTATCCCATTCGGAAGTCTTAATGGGGACGTGAAGTGCGACGTAGACAGCCCGGAGAACGTCGCTGATGGTCACGAAAAGCGAGTTACGAGCTTCTATCGTCCATGAGGCCAGTAGAAGATCGCAGGTGATGGCGAGAGATGTTACTGAGGGTTGCGTCGCGGGAGAGTTGAGCTCGCGTGTGGTTAACGGCGATTCAGGTCGAGCTGCAAGCCGAGCGGAGGACGCAGGTGCTTCGCGGAGATCCCAGATCAACGGGCAGAAGATTGTTGGATCCTCCGGCTGAGGGATCTGGGAATAGTGGAGGAATCCGTGGAGGTGAGTTTGCATCATGCTGTGGATTGCGCAGTAGTTGACTTCGGGGCGGGGGGGGGGGGGGGGGTGCTTGTATGGAGCGGGTTCGTTGCGAAACGTGGTTCAGGGGTCGGCCGTGTTATATACGGCGGGTGACTCAGTCGCTGCGAGCACTGGTGTCGAAGAGTAACAATAGCATCTACAGCCTGAGCCATACAGAATCAGCTTCGTCGGCGGCAAGAACCAGATCGAATGCTCTAACAGGAGGCAAGGTACACCGGTACAGTATCCAGGTTTACTGCAATATTTCTTTCGAAACGCATTGTATTCCTCCTGGTGAAGCACACAGCCCAAGACATTCTGGAAGGTGGATTGGAGGGTGGTCAAGGGTTATACATAAGCTATGGAGCGGCATAGGAGGGAATGTAACGACGAGGCGCATCGCTCTTTTGCAGTGTGGTATGACGTGGATCGAGAGTGCACATGTCGGGGTCCATGATGGGAATGCTGAACAGGTCCGCAGCAGCGGCGTTGGTACTCCGCATTGCACAGCCCTGGCTCTGGCAGGGCGCTTAACGATAGGCAGCATCGGTTTTTCCAGGGTAAGGGCTCCATAGGCGCCCAGAGGTGCAGTCCTGTCAGATCGATATGCTTCCAGAAGGTAGTCCAGAGTGAAGAAAAGAACATGTTGAATGAGAGCTATGTCTGGCAGATTGACGACCACTTGGATAGGGAAGACAGATTCAGAGATGGGCGCTTGGATATTGTTGACAGAAGTCGAGCCTGCACCTATATAAAAGCCATTAGTAAAGTTGCTGATAAAGACCTTCAAAAGCATTGTTAAATATGAGGATTGGTGCAGGAGTTGATCATCGTGGTCGAACTTGAAGTGAGCCCGCACCTTTGTCGGGCGCTGCCTTTTCTATGTCGGCTTTTGCCGACGGGCACTCGGCTTCTGTTCTTGGAAGTGGCGGCGCTGACGCGGGGTCCGGCAACTGGCCGGCATCCGCTCTTGGTTCCTTTCCTCGACGACGACCACCGCCCTCAACGATGGCGGCATCGGGCAAAGGTTTCTACTTTCCTCAAGACCATCGCTTTGAGCCTGTGTATGCCTACGATGACTACCCTGGCGAATTCCAGCACCGAAGTGCACGAATGAAAGTCCCAAGCATCAACGTCATCCCCGACCTGCGTTTCGAGTACAGTTATGTGCGCAGCATTCAGCGCTATGTCAAGCTCACGAGGACGATAACACCAGTACCACCGTCGAAAGAAGGGGGTGAGGATGATGAAGCCAGTTACGAGAAAGTCGAACTGGTCGAATCTGAGCAGGAATTGTCGCCAGCGGCTTCCACAGCGCTAGTTCCAGTAGAAACAATCGAGGTGGAATGGAAAAAGGTGTTGTGGACGACCGCAAGGGATCAGCTTATTAGTCCTTTCCTCCAAGGAGCTCTTTGGTGAGTCATGTGCAGTGATTCTGGGGCGTCATCTTGTGTGTTCTTAGTCACTCGCTATTACAGGGCCATTGCCAGTTTCTACCTCTCCCCATTTTCTTCCGAAGCTGGAGCCAAATTGGGCACGTTTGTGCGATCGAAACTGCCATCGAAGGAAGGCAAAGGTGTCTCGTTCTTGAGGAAATACGCCGGGGCGTTTGGTGTTTCGAGTAGAAAGGAGGCATTGTCGTAGTGGTACGAATTCATCGGCTTCCGAGGCTCCTGTGTTGCGTGATTTGGCCCAGTCTCTATTTCTGTCGGTGAGTCCGGTCATTTTATGATTCCCGTTCCCTTCTAATGCTTGTACTCGGAATTCGAAGTGAAATTAACTCCGCACCTATTCTCATAATCCTATCCCCTATCTACCATCTGCATGGATTTCGCAAGTTGCTCCGTCTCTTTGGGATGATATCCACAACCCCTCAAGCGCTGTTGGACGCGTTCAATCGCCTTGTTGCCTCACAGCTTTCGGTTAGCAGGACCCGACACGTGTGACGCGCTCGCGAGCAACAGGCAACGCGCCCGCTGTCTCGCCACGGTAACATTGTGCGCAGCACCGCCCCGGTGAATATATAGACCGTCCAGCAAGATGGTCGATTCGCTACTTCTCCCTGTACCATGGTTCAACCAGAAACTCTAATAAGGAACGCCTCGTTGCGCGGCGTGTTTTCCCCAGCCATCCTTCGCCCAGAGCTCCCAAGGGGAAACCTATCCGATTACTCCCATGTCCGCCCTCTGTTCAAACGAAGAATACCGTGGTGGGCCACGAGAGCTGGAACTGCTGGAATATTGGTCGCTCTTTCGACGGTGACGTGAGTACATCGACGTTCTTTGCTGCTTATTCCTGGCTGACCGAGCCATCATAGAGTCTGGAGTGTACGGAACGCGCTGACGCGAACCGTACCTATACTAGATGCCGACGGGAACGAAACCTCCGAGCGACAGTTGGCTCCAAAGATGCAACGAGTGGGATGGGCCAGTTTCAATGTTCTTCTGGGCCTCACGAGCACCGGGGTGTTGTTTGCAAGACGGCCTCGCACCATTCGATCAGTATATGTGGTCTCCAAAACATCTCCAGCGGTCCCGTCAAGTATGAGACTGTTCTTGCAATCGGCGGTGGATGTTGAAGGGAAGGGATATGATTTGCCAATGTGGAGTGTCAAGTGGGAGGGCGAGAAGGTGATAACTCACCTCGATCCGGATGCGAACCTGAAGATTGGCTTTTGGAATGCGGAGGTTGATGGAACGAGCTATGACAGTTACCAGGGTGCATTGGACAAGTTTGACGAGGAGTGGAGAAAGCTGCATACAAGTTCGACCAAGGAGTCGAAGCATTGATTAGAACCTGTACACTGATACCCGATAACATTACAGTCTCGCATTACACTAAACACTACACCTTGACCTCTACCCATTCATTCACCCACATGTATCGGGAGAAGAGCAGATACAGCCAGCGGAACCATACAAGTTGGCTCTTGTGGGCCAACATGGCTTTGAAGGCTTGTTTATACTGAGATACCCCGGAAGCATAGACTGGCATCAAGTTTTGTGGTTTCGGCGGCTGGTCGTCCACCGGGATGATCTCGTATTTCTCTAGAATCTTGACGACGAGGAGTTCAAATTGGTGAAGAGCTTTGGAAGAGTAGAGGTCGAATTTAGCCATGGTAGGTGCCCATACGCTGGTGTATTTGCCCATTGTTGGGACGGAGACCAAGGTGAAAAGACGTGGGCGCTCATTGTCAGGCAAGTCGCGAAGGAGGTGTGTGACGCCTGCTGGGAGAGCCCTGTGATTCGGATGAGAGGAGATGCCTTTTTTGTCAAATGTAAGGATCTGGGAAAGTGTCAGAAGGACTCCATGCGAGTGTTGGAATACACACAGTCGAGATATGGTTCTCTAGGACATAAGGTTTAATGACTTGTGCAATGACAGACGAGTCCCAGAACTGCGTAAAGTTATCTTGTAGTTGACTGTGCCAACGTCAGCCCTAATGGTTTATATGAAAACACAGCAACTCACGGATGGTCAACTATTTTGCGGTTCTTCTCAGGAACGCCTAGAATGTCCAAACTGCGCGACAGTTCATCAGGACGGACGCGACCTAGTCCGTCTGCATCACCGACAGATAGACACAGAGAGTACACGTCGACTTTCTTCTGCGGCCGCTGCGCAGAGAGGACTTCTTGCGGTGTTTCGATGTCAACCAGGCCATGTTGCTGCTGTGAGGTCAACGCGAGCAATGTTGGCGCGAAGAACATGGCCTCGTCGTCGGGGTGGGCGGTGAGCAGTAGTACATTTCCTGTTGCCAGGTCATTTTCCGAGCTCATAGGCTGGTAAAGGAGCGCCGAAACCAGGGATACTATCAAGAACGATAGGGGCGCGAACATGGTCGAGTTGGACAGGCGCTAAAAATAGCCAGACTCAACGCGACCCCTGCGGTTCGAACTCCGATTGGCTCCGCCCACCACCTGCCATGCATGTTTAAAGGCAAAACCTTGTTTGGTAAACCTTGAACGTTCTAACCTCCAACTCGGAATGGCCAAGATGCCTGGCGAAGGCACCAAGAGCTCGCCAATCCTCATAGATATCGACGATTCCGACGAGGAAAACCAAATCGCCTATGAGCTGACTGCCACAGCAGAGTCTACAGGGTCACCAGAGAATCCGCCGTTGGATATCGGAGAGGGATCGTCACACACCGCGGAACAGGAGGCGAACTCTCCCGATGGCTATGGATACGGCGGACAAGGCGGGCAATCGACTGGAGCGTTGCCGTCCAGTGAGAATATCGAGTCCTTGCAATGGTTTTATACACTCACTGAAATATTTTCTTCAGGCCACCCGAGGGCGCCTGGCAAGCGGAAGCGCGAGACAAGCCTCCAACCTACCGAAGGCCAACCGCCGAATAAACAGGGGCGAACTCTTGAAGACCGCCTAACCAACCCTCCTATGAGCAAGAGTGCCAGAAAACGGCAGAACAAGGCGGAGAAGATCAAGCGGATTCAGGAAGAGAATTTGCGCCGGCTGCGACACCACCCTGCCCTCGTTCCTCGTTATCCCCGCGAGGGATATATTCCTGGACCCAATGACAACCATTTTGCGTTTCTTCCCTGCAACCAGGCCATGTTCGGCCAGTCTACTCCCGCAGGCCCATCGTACTACGGAAACGGGGCCTATCCAGGACCTGAAATCCAACAACAGTCAACGAACGCCTTCGTGGCGACCTGGGTCGACACGATGGCCTGGCCAGCTGCCTCGACTCAACTGGCAATGCCACAGCCCTATCATCCGATGACCGCGAATTACCCTCCCCCGGAGCCCGAGATCCCCCCTCCCAGCCTGCCACCTGGTCCCCAACTGCCTTCTTCGGTTCTGCCTACAGTCAATAATAAGCCTATCCCCACCGGTCCCAAGGCTGACATGCATGGTTTGCCTCCCAAACCTCCACCACAAGTTAATGTCCCTATCGGAATGAAACCCGATCAGGACCCCAATAGCAAACACGGCGTCTTCAAGATAGACAGCCTGGACAAAACCTACATCCCCAACCCCGCACGGACACTCGTTATGGAACAACTCCCCAAGTCTCACCGCAGTGTGGATTTCATTAATTCCTGGTGCAGGAAGGCCTGCGGGACGCAGCCGCTCAAGGTCCTTATCGATACGTCAGCTGCCAAGGCTCTCATCGAGTTTGCCACCTCGGATTTGGCGCGCAGAGCTTGGGAGAGCCCACGACTAGGAGCCGCCTACGCCGGTATGAAATCACACCAGCTCAAGGGGAAACCACGGGAGGATCTTATCCGGGTATGGTGGTATCGTGTTGATGGTGTAGGCGCTGGTGCTGGTGTTGGCGAGATTGAGGAAGGGGAGATTGAGGGAGACGCCCAGGAAGCCGAAGCTCAGAAGAAGGAGACTAAGAAGGAGAAGAAGGCCAGACTCGCTAGGGAGAGGGCATTGAAACAGGAGGCACGGATGGCTTCACTTGCTTCTCCAGCCCAGACCTCAGCGCCTATCGCTCCTTTAGCGCCCCAACAAACCCTGCACCCTAGTCACGCATTCCCACCCCAAGGCCCGCTGTCATCGCAGCACGCGTCAGCGCCTTTACGTCCAAGTATACAGCTTCAAATGCCTCCTGTCGACCCGGCTGGCGCTGGCATCGTGCATGAGCAAGATATGGACATCGATGATGACATGGAGGTTTCCCCGGTCCAGACTGTTACCCCCGCATCGCCTAGTACCGCAGACACTTCTCCAACTCTGACGGTAGCGACGAAGCCAGGGGCTGGAGTCGTCCGCGAACTCGCGCCTTCAGAGTCCTCGCCCACTCACACGGAACCAACTCCCTCAAGCAACCCCAAAGAAGATCTCAAGGCTCTGCTGGCTCGTCAGAAGGAGCTGGAAGCTCAGATCGCTCGGTCTAGACTGGAACTTGCTCAGCGCCAGTCGTCTTCCTCGACCCCTCAGCCACAGACAAGAAGAACGCAATCGCCCGCTCTCGTCAATGGGAACCCGACTGCAGACTCCAAGCAGGTTGAGAGTCGCCTGCGCGAGCGCGTGAAGGAGAGCCAGAAGGCCAAGCAACATCAACCGAACGCGATGAACGGCGTGGTGATCTCTTCCCTGACCACTTCTGTGGTGGAGGTGAAAGCTAAATCCGACGGCGCAGTCGACTCTATCATGGCTGACGCGGAGAGCTTCATCAGCTCGGCCATCGCGGGAGTCAAGGCGCGATCCAAAACGCCACCTCAACCGCCAACCAAGGCACCGACACCTCCTGCTGCCACTGTCCGATCCACGTCCACCAATAACAACGTCAACACAGTCGAGCTGGAACTGAAGGCGAAACGGTTAGAACTACTTGCTGCGCAAATCAAGTCTGTGATGGAGAAGCTGTTCAAGGCGAAGACTAAGGAAGAAAAGGATGTTCTGAGAGCGAAGCTCAAAGAACTCGATAGGCAGCGGTGAGTGACCAAAACAGCTCATGCTTGGTCGCGTTATTTCGTTACCTTTGGGGTGGTGAATGTTTTGGGGATTGTCTGACATTGTTTACCCTGGTTCCTAGGTCTTCGGAGGAAGCCTCAACAGCAAGTGCTGTGGCTTCAAGCGCGACCTCAACGCCGACTGTCAACGGGACTGGGTTGAAGTTGAAGGCGCCTTTGCCCTCGTTTCCGCAGGTGAAGCTACCGACACCCTCGCCGTCAGTCTGGCCACGTTTCGAACAAGAATCCAAGCAACTCATCTTGGACTTGAGCGACGACGAGGATGACGAAGATTGATCTGGACCATGGGTTGGGACAGGGCATCTGGAGCTCCTTCGTCGTTCGCCGATAGGTACGTTCCTTCACTTCGTGCTCAGCCGACATGAAAGGGATGCACGGGCGAGTGGACGATGAACGAGAGGAACCAAGAGGGCACGACCGGGAGGCAGGCACACAAGAGGCCGTGCTGCGTGGGGTGTAGGGTTGTGGGGAATGAAGAGACACGGGAGTAGTTTCTGAGCATTCTCTTTTGTCTCGTTTTGCTGAAGGCCTGCCAGGACTGTATGCGTGGTGATGTCCTGTGTTGGTTCCAGCTGCGGTAAACGTCTTTCAGCACTCTTGTGGACTGTGTGGAAACTTACCATTGTATTCCTTTTCTTTCCCTCCCTTCATTTCTCTACAGATGCATCAGAGCTCGGAGATCCTCCTCCTCGTTACTGCGCTACCTTGCTTGCTACATTTTTGCTGGCAGGACAGATATGCGTATGCGTACCTCGCCTCGCCTTGAGGTTGCATGGTAGGACAGTGTTGTCCCCCTTCTGAGGTGGCGTACTTCGTGTCGTTGGCCTGAGGAGGCGAGGATGTGGATGCTATGTTTGTTTTCTTATGGTTCTTATGATATGGCTAGGATCTTTTTCACCGCTATACTGCATTTTTCATTTGTTTCCTTTTGGCGGTGTATTCACTGCTAACACGGGGCCCCCTTATCAGGCCTTGCTGTACCCTTTTTGCACACCATATTCCAATGGCTATGCCCGTCATTCACCTTTCTATCCTATGCAGTGTTTTCGCTTTCTTGGGACGCTACTAGGTTCTCATTCAATGCGACAGCTTGTCTTGTTTGGGAATAGAGTCGTGAGCTGAGTGAAATCGATATCGATGGCTGAACAAGGTAGTATTTCACGCATAGATCTCGCATGTGAAAGATGAGCCTCGTCTCAGTGCTGCGGATCGCTATGAAGCTCGAGAGGGGCTGTGAAAGGAGGTTGTGCGGCGGGATGTTTGAAGTGATTTCGTACAAATCGATGCGAGGGTGTAACAAAAGGTGTTGAATGTTTACGTTTACAATCTAAATATAAATAATCGTGAAGGTAGAACAATCAGCAGATATGCCGGGTGTTTGTTTGGGTTATTTTCTGGTTTAACAAAGGGAATTGGAGCACCAGCAGAGTAAATGAAAAATTCTGGTTGGTTGTGGGTGCAGGAGATGAGTGTGTCGAGGAAGGGATGAGCCGAATTGACTCGGCGGTGGAAAGGTGTAGAATGCTTAGTCATCAAGTGCGCGTGACACTTTGGGCTTACAAAACGGAGGAAAGGGAGTGCAGTGCTGTTCTTTCCCTTTACCACCACCGTCGTCGCCCTTTCACCCGTTCATCCTCACACAAGTAAGTCATTGATTCTGTCCCTCACCTCACTCTGAACCTCATCACCGCCCATTCTTCCCCTATCGCTTGACAATCGCACCCCCGTCCCGTCTCCAATCGCTGCAATCTCTCGCCGATCCGACACCTGATTTCCAGAGCAACCCCTACATTCTCCCATCCAACTCGTAGACATGGCCCTTCGACGCATTAACAAGGTGAGCTATCTGCTCACGGGCCTCCTGGCGTCGCCCCTCGTCGTCCGGCGCCGTAGTGCCCTGGTCGTCCGACTAGTGCCACTAAACCCAGTGACAGGAACTGGTTGATCTCGGCCGTGACCCACCCTCATCCTGCAGCGCAGGACCGACGGGCGATAACATGTTCCAATGGCAAGCAACAATTATGGGACCCGTGAGTTTTTCTTTCCCCCACCGCTTGCCGCACGACGATGCTGACCTGATCAGGGCGATTCACCATACGCAGGCGGCGTTTTCTTCCTCTCCATCACCTTCCCCACCGATTACCCCTTCAAACCCCCCAAGGTCAGCTTCACGACCAAGATCTACCACCCCAACATCAACGCCAACGGATCTATCTGCTTGGACATCTTGCGAGACCAGTGGTCGCCCGCCCTGACCATTTCGAAAGGTGCGCTCCCTCCCCCCTTTCACCTGATTTTGTTTTGATGGAGTCTGACACTTGCTTCTTTTGCAATGTTTAGTCTTGCTGTCCATTTGTTCAATGTTGACGGATCCCAATCCTGATGACCCTTTGGTCCCTGATATCGCCCATCTCTACAAGACCGATCGCACCCGGTACGAGGCAACAGCCCGGGAGTGGACGAGGAAGTGAGTAGTCGTCTGCTTTCCGCTCTTCAAGGAGCATCTTGCTGATCTATTGTTATCAGGTATGCTATGTAGCGCTAGCGAGAGCGGGGTTCTCCCTTTGGATCGTTGTCCCTCCCATTATTACTGCTGTCCACCCTTTACCAATGTAGATTAAGTTGGGAGCAATTGTACATTTATCATGGCCTTTTCGTTCGATGTTGTCTTGTAACGTTGTACCCTTGTTCTGTGAATAACCTATACATCGCGGTTTAATTTTTTTTCAAACGGAAGGGTGGAGGCAAGTCGAGTTCGTGGTCCATCAATCCACTCGGTGGAGAAGCACGGAACGGTCCGTCTTCCTGGTGTTTGAACCGCCGCTACCTCGGTTGAAGAAGCTGTAAATGTGCATGTTCCTCGAGGTGCTGCTTGCGTTCCTCTGCAGCATGGTCGCCAGGCCATCTCCTGCGGAATGCCCTGCGGATTGGCCAGTAATCGTAATCTGATTCCGGCCAGGGCGGTTATTGGTTGTTTGAAACGGAAGTTAATCGATCAATTGAAGGGATCAATCCGCTGTTGTCCTTGAACCCCCGAGTCAAACAATCCCCAGTCCCGGCTCCGAACCCAGATGGCCCAACATTGCCTGCCTGGTCTCCTCGTCTCCGTTCGTGATTCTGGCGTTACTGACTCTTTGTGCTACAGCTTATGCGCAGCAAGTTGTTTCCAGGCTAGCCATCCGTCGTACCCTCTCTTCACTGGTATAAACATTCACGTTTCATCACGTTATGTTGATCAAACATCCGACCGTCTTGGACACTGAAAAGTTATTCTCAACGATATCGGTGGTACAACTACACCAGCTAGGGCGCTCGGTGCTGGCATCTCATATCCGTAATTACGACAACTTGTCCGACCGTGTAGGCGCCCATAACAAGCGGTGCAGTCTTCTAGAAACTCTGTCTCACAGCATTGGCGAACTACACAAGAGATGCTACCGCACTCGAGTGCGTTCGCTCTGGTTTTCCAAGCCTCATGACTAGGTCTTGGTCATCTTGGTTGCCGAGCCCTGTCAATCTTGAAATTACCGACAACTGCCATCAGGAATAAGGAGCGATGACGATCATGCTTGGTTTATGGCGCTGGCTCACCCACGGGAAACGACTTGAATCACTTCTCGGATACTGATGCTGGAGATGTATAACTACCGGTGCACCCCTTTTTGGTTCTTCCGCCGGATGCAGGCCCCTGGCCAGATCTGGTAGTCCTCCTCCCCGAGACACCCTTTACGAAAAAAGGGAACTATTCCAATCTCTAAGGTTTTCTCAATCGTTTCGCGTAGCGTTTGAGGGAATGCAGAGATATATAAGCCTCGAGGTCGCTGGTGTATCGTCTTCACAAACCCATCCTTCTCTTTTTTCATCAAGTCCAATCCCATCTGTCGGATAGCAAGCTAATTTCACCCGCTCTCCGCTCCCCAACATTATTGAATCCTTCTCCTACTCCACCGCCGCGATGTACTACAACAACCCTTTCGGTGCTTGGGCTGAATCCTCCTCCGCTTCTGGAGCATCCGTCTTTGGAGCACTCCCCTACCCCACCGATCCGGCCAATCTCCAAACCTTTTACTTCACGAATCTCAACCCGACAATTTTTAACTCTACCGTTGTCGGACCGAGGGCCCAGCCATGTTATCAAGTTGCAACGGATGCTCAAAATCCGGGATATACGGTTATCAAGAACGCGGAGGGCAGGAGCATTTCGCTTATTGAATGGCAGCAGCACCCTTATGTCGAAGTTCGAGGGATTGTTTCGAAGAGGGCCATTGGGAGCTGGCTGCGGCTGAGCGCGAGTCAAGAGTAAATCCTATCCTCCCTACTATTTCGAGATTTCGAAGCAAAAGCTGACTTTTTCGCTTTTCCTTCCCAACTACAGCTCTCGATCAATGGAGGTTCGCGGTGTACGTTACTTTTGGGTCCCGCGCAAACAATCGATCAATGTACGTTTGGTTGTTCCGTCTCGACTCGGTTACATATTTGCTTCTCCCGAGTAATAGTAGACAATGATTCCTGACGTTTGCGTTTTTTTTGACCCGCAGTTGTACGGCAGTGGCTCATCTGGGTCTCCTGTGTTCTTTGGACGCATAACCCGCGCGAATGGTGCGACGGTTTTGGAGGTCACGTCTGATGCGGTCCAGTTGCAGCTTTTGGACGTCCTCGTTACAGCCTGTTTCCTGTTCTCGTGTGGGAGGAACGTTGATTAAGCGAGGGGATAAATTAAGACTTAACGGGGCAAAGTTATGGTATGTCATTGACTACGGAACTGGTATGTGATTGCTAATTCCAGTTCCCAAGGCTTCGGCTCCGTTTGCACTTCCCGTCAGGGCGCTGCGTGTTGCTGTCCCCGACTATGATTACGGCTGGCTTCTGCAGTGCGCTGTGTGGCGACGACGCTGACAAAACATATTCTCTTCACCAACACGCACCTATTACCCCCTTCGTTCCTAATCTTCCGTTACCTTTTTGATTTATTACATTGTACAACTTGATGGATTTCCCAATTTCTATTGCCCAACGCTTTCATAAGTTATTTGAAATCGCGATTTGGTTATTTACCCGCTTTTATTATTTAGAGTTGTAGCCAGTAGAGACACTGCACTGCTTTTACTTAAGTACGACTCTATCATGTAGCTTTTAGATCGACGACGGCCAACGACTTTTCACGCTCTTGTTTCTGATGCTCGAGTCTCCAGTTTATATTTCACTCGTAGCCACCAGTTTATTTATTCATGGACGGGTCCATATGTATACTGTATCTATTGTAGATGTTTCTCTCCCAATCCATACGTATGATTTTGAAGACCTTTTTTCGTCGTATTTTTCCCCTGTTCAGTGTTCTCGGGCTGGGCGGATAGAGGAGGCTTTACCCCTGCGGGAATGGCGATCAGAAATACGCACCGGTTTTTGATGATGGGATTGATGCCTCGGCGTGATTTTGCTTCCGTTCTCGAGGTTCTTCGTCGCGTCTTTGACCTCGTCCACCATCCGACTTGCTTTTTCACCTCCATGGGTTACTACTGGAGACCGCCTATCATTTCTTCAGCGCTCGAGGCAAAGAGCTGATTCGACATTGTGCTCTCATCTGCGTCGTGGTCGCCTGCAAGAGAATTTGGATTACATATCAAGTTGGTTGAACGAGTCGTGTGTTCGTGTAGGTCCCCTCATGTCGGTGTCCAAAACACCATCTTGTCGACATCTCGCTAAAACGAAAGAAATGCAGTGACGCTGTGACTCGATGGCAATGAACTGCTGTAGAGGATTCCTGCAATGAGTCAGCAACACGACGGTCTGCGAGACCGTCTGAATCTTTCAGCGCAACCAAGCGATGAAGTGAGGCAGGAGCGCAGGTTGGGGGCGGTTATGTGTATGGATAGTACGTATCATATGTGTATTCTGGGAACGGTATGTGATTAATGAGGGTACCCGTAACCATTGTCAGTACTGATACACTTTCGCTTAGTGCACAGTATTACTTTTGGCGTTACTACCATCGATTGGCGTTCAGGACTTGCTCTCTCTCTCGTAGATCGAGATCCTCGGTGGAACGATCCCATCCGACAAATGTTGAACTTGTCTTTGGCTGGATACATTGCATTCCGTGGTCTGCCCTGATCGATGATATACACACAATGTTGCTCCCCGGTGGTCGGGTCGGGGCTTTGACATCGATTGAGGCGAACGGTGAGTTTACCTGTACTACTTCCTCGGAGAATCTGTCTCTCATCCAATTCGCGTTTCAAAAGACATTCATTATCAATAATTATTGGACTTTGACAGCCCGTTGTCGGTCGATTCGCATTGCCGAGCGTGTTCATGTTCAGTGCCGAGTGGATGCGTGGTCAGCCTGCCGCCAGGATGGACTCAAGGCCCAAGAACTGAGGTGGGACGATGGGCGGCGCTGGGCGTGTAGAGAGATTGAATTTCTCTCGAATTTGTGGGTCACGCTGTGCGCATTGTGCAAGGGTTGGGGGTGGATGGGCCTGGGCGCGGCAACAGTGATGCAAGGTCGCAACCGGGGAGACAGACGGCGGGAACGGAAATCGCTTAGTCTAATTCGTGAGCTGTTCTGTTCACCTATATGTTTTGTTCGGAACTTTGAATGTTCATTGTTGGTCTCGCTCGCTAGGTCACTTTTGGTGTAGCTCAAAGTTTAACTTATGGATCATGGTATGCTCCGTCGTCAGAGGAGGGAGGGTTTAAGAGTCTGGCGTGAGTTCGAGTTGAAGCGAGCAAGGTTTGCCAACAGAGTCTGATTCGTCGGCCTCTCTACGCTCGCTACCTCTCACTCTCCCTTAAAGTTCCTCGCTGGCTGGACCTCCGAGTCAATCCGCTTCGTTCACATTGACCATGGTCACTCGTCACTGGCTTCTCGCATTCGTCACCTCAGCTCTCCTCGCCACGAGGGCCTTTGGAGCAGCAGCGCGACCACCTCACCATCACCACGAGCATGGACATCAAACGGACGGATACAGGCTCACGGAGAGACACGTCGGCAACGACTTTTTGAAGAATTTTGAGTTCGAAGCTATCTCTGATCCTACACATGGCCGAGTGTGAGTGCGAAGCCGCGCCGCTTCTCTTCTTCGTTTGAAGTTGTTGGGGATGAATGACCATGCTGACACGTCAAATCTTCTCTCTGCAGGAATTATGTGAATGAGACGATAGCTCGTCAGGAAGGATTGGTCTATGCCACGGGAGATACGTTCGTCCTCCGCGCCGACTCAACTACGGTGTTGGATCCGAAAGGACCTGGACGGAATTCTGTGCGACTCGTTTCCAGGAGGTACTACAAGACCTCGGTTATGGTGTCAGTGAAGGAACCTTTTTCTCAGTCTCGCTTAAGCTTTCGACGTTGCTCACGAGTTTGAGGTAGATTTGACATTCGCCACATGCCTCAAGGATGCGGGTGCGCTTATTTCGGTAATGATGTGTGATTTGCAAGAAATCTCAGTGCCGCTCATACTAGGACTTGGCCGGCGGTGTGGACTGTCGGGGACAACTGGCCTAATCAAGTGAGTCCCCGCCGCTCGCGGTGTTTCAAATCGGGACTGACGGGCGCACTGGGAAGGGGGAAATCGACATACTCGAAGGGGTGAACGATCAAAGTCCGAACCAGGTCACTCTTCATACCAGTGCAGGTGAGGTCGTGGCAGTGTGATGCGCTTTTTTGATCCTTGAGACGGAACGTTGACCAATGTACGCGGTGCATAGGTTGCGAAATGCCCCCTGAGAGAATGCAAACTGGGTACGTGGTTCCCTGAGAAGGGCTTCGATCACCGCCCAAGCTCAAAGGATCTCTGTGATTTCATTTGCCACAGGACGCCGGCGTTCAACAACTGTGACGCTGCCGTAAACTTCAATGCTGGCTGTGGGGTCAAGATCCAGGACAGTCGAAGTTATGGACCTGCGTTCAATGCTATGGGAGGCGGATGGTGAGTTGTGGAGTTCTTTCCTGGAGGTTCGTGTTTGAGGGTTTTCGGACGCACAGGTATGCCGTCGAGATCACGCCTAAGTATATCAAGTCGTGGTTCTGGCCGAGGGATTCGAGCACTGTTCCGCCGGAGGTGGTTCGACAGAGGCACGGGGTGGTTCAACCTGCGCGCTGGGTGAGCTGTCCTCTCCCTTCTGCTGTGTCTATACCCTTTCTTACCGTTTTACATTGACAGGGAATCCCGGACGCGTACTTCCCTGCTACTGATCTGTGCGACTTGCGCTCCAAGTTCGGTCCTCAGAGGATCGTGATTAACCGTGCGTTTTCTTCCTTGATATATTCATCTGTTTCAGAGCTCATGTCGACATTACTTTCAGTGACGTTCTGTGAGTTGCACCTTTTTGATCCGATGGTATTCGTATGTATTCATCATCACCTTTCATTACTAGGTGGCGATTGGGCAGGATCTGTGTATGGCGCCTCGGGTTGCCCGTCGACATGTGTCGGTGAGTATGGGGATTCTAAAACTGAACTTGGGTGCTGAGCTGAGCGCCGTTAGACTTTGTGAACAATAACCCCGAGGGATTCATCGATGCCTACTTTGACTTTGCGTCCTTGAGAGTTTATGAGTAGACTCTGAAGCTATACCCTTTCTCTCAGTCCGAGGTACAATATACCCTTTGCTTCTCCCAACCTAGATATAGTCCGTAGTAATGGATAAATAGAGGATGGTATGAATGTGAGTCGATACTAATACATTATGGGATTTGGTTCGTTCAACTTCTTAGTAGGCTCTGATGGTCGTCACATTCTCTACCTATGTACCGCCCCATGTAACCTGTCCTTGGGTTTAGGGAATGAGCTCCCAACAGCTGCGGCGACATCGCCAGAGGTCATCGCTTTGTCGGTACCGTGAATCTCATGGCCTTGAGTTTCTAAATAGATACGTTAGTATCCAGAGTGTGCTGGATCTTCAGAGGTGAAAGCGTACCGTACGGAGAATATTGCTGCTCTTTACCTTTGACATCTCGACCCATGATGTACATTGCTCCCAGAGCAGCGGACACTACAGTTACACATGCGACGGCCTATTGAAGGAACAGTCAGCCACATCAGTAAACTCACAGATCACTTTCGTCCTTATTCGGCTTTTCCACTCACCGTAAGTCGCCAAGTTGATAAGTTGATAAGTGGGTTTGGTGTAGAATTTGAGCACCTCCCTCCGCAGTTATGACCACCCAAGGGCTTCGTATCTCTTTCTCTGCAACACCTTGTTGGAATGTAACAGTTTCTGTCCTATATTATACCATTGTGGGCTTCAGGGAGATTCGTTTTACGGGATGCTTTCCTGTGACAGAGACTGCCGCGTGCCTGAATCAGGCCGGCCATCGGGAACTTAGCGACTTATTGCGACTTTTACCGACTTGCGCACCTTTTTGGTACTTATTCGGGCCCAAAAGAGGCGGCCCTTATTCGAAAAGAGACCCTAGCCTATACGGCCTATCGCCTTTGGCACTTATTTTGGCTTTTTAAGGCTTTTTTCGACTTATTCGGCTTGTACAAGTGGAAATAAGTGATCTGTAGGTTTACTGATGCAGCGCTCAAGATGATTAACGGATCAAACTGACCATCGTCGTGCCACGCTTGCCAACGTTTTTGTTGATAGGTATCGAAAACATATCGGTGTTTGTGCGAGTGGTTGTGGATGATATGGTATATGAGCGCTGTCCTTGGCTGCCCATTCGAAGCGATTTCGTGCTAACATATTGAATGCAAGATCATCGTGACGTCATAACCGACGCTTGAGCGGCAAACTGGCGCCAACGGCGTCACGGTGGATCAACGTTGGAGACGCTCGGAGCAGTAGGATCCCCAACGATTTTCGGCAACCCTCAGAATTCTCCAGACACGTAGGAGCGTAAGCAAATTACGAGCGCATCATGTAAAGCGATGGAGCAGCAGTCGGCCATCATCATCAAAATATCAAATTACACCCTCAAATCACTACACTGAAACCAAGTACTTACTCTAGCGAGAGAACTCCACTAATGATCATCGATCACCATCTACCCTGCGCCATGGGCTGAGCCCCGCGAATATCTGCGTTCTTGGCCCATCGTCTTGATACTGGCATCGCGTCGTGGCTTGCGTTATGATCAGTTGGTAGTACTCCTAGAAACGAGGCGTACCGGGCATTGGCGGACGCCCGTGGGTTGAGAACGGAACTCCCTGCTCAGTGGTTATAGTGGGGCTGCTCACGATGATTGGCAATATTTCCCTCCTCGTGGCGGGTCCGGTTGATAATTGTGTACATGGTGCCTAGTGTGACTGCGCCGACGCCGAAGACGATACCGAACTGAACGGTGGAAGTAGGTTCGAGTTAGAAGAGAGGTTTCTGGAAGCGGAAGTAGTGCCCACCATTTTACGTCCGGGAGTGCTAAAGAAGCCGGGGGTCATTTTCTCAAAGTTGTCCATTGTGTGTGTGTGGCAGTAAGCTGGACTGGGCGAATGGTGTGTGTGTTGGACTGGAATTGGGGGAAAGCAATGGCCGGGTTTCGAGGTATTTCAAGAGAGCCAGTGTTTATGTCTCTGAAGCACCACAGTGGATATTCGGAGATCGTATTCAATTCTGTTTCATATGTAGGCTCCGGTTCGAAGATGAAATAGGATTGTAGCTTGCCATTTGCGATTTCAACGCTGCGGGAAGGGAGTCAATACCTTCCTAAGTGTAGGACCCATGAAGTCAGGGTCTGCGCGACGTAAGCTCAAAGTCCATTCAGTCAAGATAGTTTACAATGGTATAAATTAAAATGGGAACTATTACAGACATACAGGCGTCTTGTACATTCGTTGTGCAGATATCCTTTCCAAAAATTAATGCCAACAGGCAATCGAGCGTTCATCGTTCGTAGTCTGACCCATATGGGCACCCAGTTAGCCCCTCGGTTCTGTCTCTGGTGGGATATTTTTATCCTCTTCAATAAGCCTTTCCTTTGGGATAAAATCCTCTTCTCAGCAAATCCCCTCTTCAAACACCATTCGATTGGAGATATCCTCTTTTCAAACAAGTTTCATCGTCATCGTCATAGGCGGGACCCATCGCTTGCATTCATTCTTCCATTCCCACTCTTCCAAGGATGCCTCGCAAGCAAGCCAGATAACTTTGACGAGCTGCTCAGCGTTGTTGTCGAGAAAGACAGGTTGCTCGAAATACTCCTGGCTCCATTCAGACGCTTCGAGGCTGAATTCGAGCCATTTATAGGTGGCGTTGTCGATCGTAGCGAACCAAGCGGAACGTAACGCTTTGACGAATTGAAGGACTTCGGGGAGGATGTTTGCCTCGACCCAGCTGGCGTAAATGGACTTGATAGGGTTCTCTCGTGTGGCAGATGTAATAGCTTCATCGGTTCGGACGATAACTGTAGCGGAACGCGGGATGATAATGTTCTTGAAGAGGCCACTGCACGATTCCAAATGACTGGTTTCGACCTCGAAATATTCGAGGTGAGGGAGGGAGATCCTCTCGTGCGATGTTCGACTATAAAGCGCAAACGCGTCGTAAGCGGGCAGCCGTGAGCTAAGCTTAACATAGGTGAGCTTAGGCGCAGCCTTGAAGATGTTGAAGACCTGTTCTGCGGTCGGCGAGTGGGTGGACGACATATCCAGCGAAGTCAAGCTTCCAACTTGGAGCAAACTGGCGTCCCATGGCAGCGCGCAGTAAGACTTAAGTGAGCGGAGGTTTGGGGTGGACACATCCAAAAAGTCTGCAGGGAGGGCATAATCGTCCGTATCATCTGTGGCATTGTACCCGCAGATTTCCAGGGATTCTAGAACGTCCATTGGCATACCCTCAGAATACACCTTGACCTCTTCAGCGAACTTGTCACCGCGCTCGCAGACAAACTGAATATCCAAAGACTTCATGCGATGGGCGGCAACGAAGAGGATAGCGGCCAACTTATAATGCAAGCAGTACGGAATCTGCAAGCTCACCGGGACGGCTTGGGTTCTCGCCAATTTCTCTTCCATCCAGCCAGTGTGGGCAAAGTCGAACCAATGAAACTCAGACCACAATGTGGGACATCCAATGGCCACAGCTCTCCAGTGATGAGACACATGAGCGACTTTGGGCCAGCGCCAGGTGTACTTTGCGAGACTTTCGACAGTGGCACGATCGGGGTTGTTGGTGTTGAGGAGTTCACCCTGTTTGACCTCGTCAACCGAATCCACGGGTTCCCAGCTTATCTCGCGGCAGAAGAAGAAGATTTTAACGAGAACCTCGGGTGGAAGCTTGTATATGGGGAGACTTTCGTTCCTGAGTCGGTTCTGATACGCTTTCGTGATCATCTTCTGCGCGTCGGGTGGACCTGATGCAAGTTAGCGCAATGTTCGGGCTGAAATAACAAATGAGGACGTACCCAGTGGCAGTAGATTCTTGATCCAGTTGAGAGTAGGCATATTGAAGTGTGATTTTGTATGACACAGGAAGAGAACACGGTGGTTGCTGAACAAGTTCAACCGTACAACAAAGTGGTCGCGTTCAAAGGTGTTGGCGATTGTCCCAATTAGGTAGCGGTCTACCACATAATTGTGGCCACCACCACGTGATCGCGCAGAAAGTTTCCCGCGATTCCGGAGATCAGCACAGGCCAAGTGGCTCAGTGCGCCCATTTCCAATCCTTTGCCGCGTCCAATCTTTGGTTTAGTTTTGAATTCAAACCCTCTTCCCGTCAATCAAAGCCACAAAAGTCGCAGAACACGATTGCTTAGGCGTTGTACACCGAATGATCTGGCTACGATCCTGTCTGCGCCCCCTCCTTCGCCCTCCTTTTGGGCTCTCAAGATTTCAAGAGCCAACAAGGAGGAGCGGCATCTGACAATGTTTTTGCTTGGCCACGACTCCGACATCAAAGGCGCCACGGGAGCGAAGGGTCCAGTGCCTGTGACTCACGGCCCCATGGGCAAACTTCCTTTAAATGCTGAGCAGCAACGAGCTTTATGCAAAGCTCAAACACGCTCACAATGTCTTCTGTTGACGGTCCTCAAAGCTCAGATAACTTCGCCTTTCTCCCCCTCACTTTGTGGGATAACCTATCGCATCAAGGCTTGACGAAAGCCTGGTTGGTCGAGGGTATTCTCGACCCTAAAAAGATCGAGGAAGCCTTGGACAGAGTTGTCGCAAAATGGCCTGTACTGGCAGGTCGAGTTGAGGTTACTGGGAAAAAGGTGTGTTTTTCAGATTTCTGTTGGGTTAATCGTTTTGTTTACTTGAAGTGAAGAGATACCAAATGAAAATCCCACTCGGAACCCTCCCTCCTGACTACAAAGCCTACATCGTGACCTCGACCACCTCGGACGTGCCACTATCCCACTACGTCAAGGTTCCGCTTGCTCCCGTCACCAAGTTCCCTCCTGCCGACCTGTTTGTAACCAAAGAACGCGCACAGATGAACACTCTCGACGCCTACGCTGCACAGTCGGCACCCTTCACTCACTGGCATCTGACCCACTTCAAACAACCTGGGGAGGAGTTTACTTGCTTGGGTGTCAACTACTCCCATGGAATTCTCGACGGAGTTGGCTTTGGGATGGTTATGCATGCGTTCCAAGCAGAGCTTTCGGGAACCGAGTGGGACGCTCCCCCTCTTCCTTCACCGGGGCTGAACGAGAACGTGTTTGGGACGGTGATGGAGAGGGAGTACCAGAAGTTTAAGCAACAATCGACGCGAGAACCCTACCCGAATTGGCGCGTCGCGGGCTTTGGTGGGCTGCTCGTGTTCTTGGCCAAGAGTTTCTGGCATAATTGGAGATACGGGGTTGGCGATTACAACTTTGTCATTCCATTCTCGGTGCACACTAAACTCGTGAAGGAGGCCAGGAGGGCGTTGGAGGAGGAAGGAGTTACTGATATTCGACCGTCAGGAGGCGATATCATGACCTCCTGGCTGATGCAGGTGTGTGTTCTGGGGTTTAGTTACAATGCAGTCCCTGACATATCTACTAGGCGACTTTCATGGATGGCGGTGATTCCAGACGCCTGATTGGTCTCCAAAATGTCGGTTCACTCCGCGACGAGTGGGACCGTCAGTTCAAACAATATCCTCACAACTGTTGCACAACTCTTCGGTGTCCCCCAATCTCCGTCCACGACCTCACAACCCTCCCTGTGCATCAAATCGCGTACAAGGTGGCCCATGCCCGCGTTCATGGAAATCGAATCGCCGACGCTGTAGCGCAGTACGACCTTCTACATGAAGCAGACCGAACGTCAGGTTTCCCGTTACCAGTCCACGGGGCAGCAGATGACCACTTTATCATGTCGAATGTCTCCGTCGCTCGTATCTCTGAACTCAACTTCAGAGGAGCGGGAGGAGGGCCCGTTCTTTGCCACTACAAGTACTTCCCGGAGTCTCCGTTCACGCTGACCAATATGTTTGGTAACAACGGGAGGTTGGAGAACGGTGATCTGATTGTGAACGCGACTATCGACAATCCCAGAGCGTCCCGATTGGAGTCCGAGCTTCAGAAGCTCATAGAGCGCTTCAAGGAGTGATCGGTGTTTTCGCCCAATTCCGATCTAATCAGGGGGTGAGATTGTTGTCCTTATTCCATACGTGTTCCTGTCGTGACGACGTTCCCGCCATCTGCAGGTCTGTCTAAGTGGCGTGTTCGCTGGGCGTCAATGATATCGGATTTCCCTTCTCCATAGCTCATAATCATTGGTCTCGTTGACGGTTTTGTTTCCGGAAGAGGGCGCGTCAGGAAGCTGCGGGGCCAGTTAAGTACAGTACTTTGTTACAGCCGTCGGTTTGGGAGTGCTACACGACGCCTATGCGTGCCAAAGGGGCGACTGCCTTGCTTTACAAGGTTCATCACTCCACACGAAGGCCTGAAAGCAAATGGCATTGGGCAACAGAACAGGCCATATCTCAAACAAAACGACAGACTCGGCCAGCTACCCCATACTGAACACATTTCGCGTTCTTTGAACGAGCATTGCGGGTGTCGATGGTTAGATCCATCTCGAACGCTAGCTGCTGTGGGTGGTTGAAGTTGAGCTGGGGTTGAATATCATTCCGATGGAAGGAGAGGATATGGTTATCACGAGGAATGCGGAGTAGGATACATCATCCTATTCATTGCCTCCAGGCATTTCAGTAAAGCGGGTTGCTCTGTAGCGCCCTGCGAAGCGCTGGAGAACTGCTGCGATGATTGTCGTGGGAAAGGCTCGGCAAAGCGCGGTTTGCACTGGCACTAACCGGTCTTGAGTCTTGACTTGTTGCTGACTTTCTAACTCCGGCGAGTATCAAGGAAGCCATAATCTGACTTGTCCAGACATTGGTTTCGTAGCGAAAGCACACCGGGAGATCCCAAGACTAGTTGCCTCGTGCCTGGATCTCCTTTACTCTGGCTGCGGGCCAAGGCAGCTCCTGGATTTTGGCGCCCCGGGAAGACAGCTTATGACCTATTGACAGTATCCGGCATCAGCGACTAGGCGGTTCCAGCAAATCCTCGGTAAGCTCTAATTCAAATGTCAAGGAACCCAAAGTCAAGAATCTGACCCGTATTCATACCGGCGATTCCTCTGGTTTTCATGATATGCGCTCAGAATTGGGCAATCCAGGGACTGCTTTCAGCTGTACTCTCGTGGCTGGATGTCCCTTGTTCTGGCTACATGCTCGCTGCCCCGTACTTTGCGCCGGAGAAGTGCTAACCCTCGGTGGTGGCATATCTTCCTCAAACACTAGGGTCTCTGATGGGGTCGATTTCTACGGAACTCGGAATCATGCAGAAAGCCTTCCGACCCAGCTCAAAGAAGTTTTCCAACTTCTGGCAGGACAATGTAGGAGAACGATGTCTTACGCTCGACTTTCCTGCAGCTGATTTGGGCCTTTATCGATGCTGGTGGACGGAGGTCGAGTCTCCGTTATACATTCTTTCGCCCTGCGACTGAAAACCATCACAGCGCACTTGTGGTAGACACGTATTGTGTGCGATATGTCAGCCATCCAGAACTCCCCATTCTGGTGCTTGTCAGCCTCAATAACGAGTATTAAACTGGTACCTTCGAGATGCTTTGGGTTCCATCCCCCGGAATCCTGTTACTGTCCATCAATCACTGTCATGATATCCAGAAAGATATCGCTTTCACTGTTGCTCGCCTTGTCGGCAAGCCCACGTCTCGCCCTGGGCGGTTTTATCCAATACGCAGAGCTGGCGCGTAACGTGCCTTTGACTGCACCACACTACAGGGACATGGTTCGACAAGTCTTCATCGATGGCTATTCCGTCTACCAGTATGCTCTCGTCGTGGCGCTACGGACCCATCTCACGTCGCTGATACTGGCAACAGGCAATACGCACTTGGACATGATGTTGTAAATCCTGTTAGCCAAGGTATGTGTTTCCCTCGCAATCTCGACGTGGAAGGTCATTGACATTGTCGTTCGACAGACTTTAGCGATGACCGTAATGGATGGGGTACCTCTCTCCTCTCTTCAGAATGGGGCTGGGCTGACCTTTATGTCGTTCAGGCGCCACGATCATCGATTCACTCTCGACCATGGTAAGCTCCCGTTCTCATCCTGATTGACATGACTGGACCGATCCATTTCAGTATGTCATGGGACTAGAGGTGAAGATTTTACTATCTTGGAGATTGATCCGGTCTGATATGCTGTGGGATAGAACCTCTTCCACGAAGGAGTTCAATACGCCTCAGCCCTGGATTTCTCCCAGTCCAAAACGCCAGATACCGTCAAGTAATCATTTAACTTCTATCTGGTGTAAACCCTGTTCATTTACCAACACGAATGGTCAGCGTTTTCGAAACCAGCATCCGGTACCTTGGAGGCCTTTTGAGTGCCTACGAGCTCAGCGGGCGACAATATCCGGCACTGTTGGCACAGGCACAAATTCTTGCTGATAAAATGGTATTTGCTTGGGCCAATGTAGGCTTTCATCCTTTATCTTCGTGCAGTGCTAACAGAATGGTCAGGGAAGCGATATCCCTTGCAGCCAAATCGACTTCCATGGAAACGTGCCCAAGCAAGGAGTGGTAGGTCCGGTGCTCTAATGCCGCCAGAGACGCTGTTAATCTCTTTCAAGTCTAACATTGCAGAGGCTGGCACCGTGCGCCTCCCGCTTACCTGACCCACGCTCGGCTGAAACTGATTTCTTATCAGCTCACGTTGGAATGGGGGATGCTCAGCAAGTATACGGGCAATGATACGTATCGGCTTCTGGCTGAACGGTCGGCGTTGCATATCGCCAATATGGTGCGCCGTAGTCCAGCTCCTTCCTCGATTCTGTTCTTAGTATTTTCTCAGGGCGCTCCCTTACCAGGCCTTCCCGCTCAGGGAATTGATCCTTCTACCGGGTCTTCCGTAGGAAGCTACGTGGTGCGTGATTCTCTGTTATCTTCCGCCCATTTCTTCCGTTCGACCTAAGGACATTTGCAGACATGGGGCGGCGGCTCAGACAGCTATTTCGAATATCTTATCAAATACCCCAGGTTCAACTTCGATGCCAGCAACGTCTTTGCGGACTCTTGGAGGGCAGCCGTCGACACCTCTATTTCTACGCTCCTTAGAGTATGTTATCTTGCATTCGCGATAGATGGAAGACTAACCTGAATTTCAAAAGTACTCGACGTATGGAAATTGGACATACCTCGCTGATTATGACCCTAGTGGAACGGAGAGCATCCGGCATGTTGGCTCGCATTTAGCGTGTTTCCATGGAGGCAACTGGATTCTAGGTGGGAGGTTGCTGGATAATGACACCATCGTCAACTACGGTCTGCAACTCACCGATGCCTGCTGGAATACGTATGCTTCTACGTCGTGAGTGTCAGGCTTACTCTGGGATTGCCCATCCGCTCAGTCCGTGTACCCGTACGCCCGATCGTTGCAGAACTGGGATCGGTCCGGAGTTATGGGCTTTCACCAGTTCCGATGGCTCCTACACCGGCTCTGGGTCCAACCTTACCCTTACTGAATCCACCTTCAATGCCAAAAACGGCTTCTACATCACCCAGCCCAACTACATGATGCGGCCAGAGGTGCTTGAATCCAACTTCTATGCTTGGCGAGTGACGGGGGATACGAAATATTTTGGACGGGCAGTCACCGCGCTGCAAAGCTTCATAGATTACTTGACCGTCAGTGGCAACGAGACCATGGGCTACACGGGGCTGCAGGACGTCATGGATGAAGGCGTTCGAGGAAGCCTGAGCGACGGTAGAATTGATAAGACGGAGAGCTTTTGGTTCGCCGAAGTTCTGAAATACCTGTGTGTCATTTCCCATTTGCCCAGCGCCGCGCTGACCTTCGTTATCGCTGAGCCAGGTATCTCACATTCGATGACCCCGCTAATTACAACTTGGATGATTGTAAGTTCCTATCCTCTCCTACATTCATTGGCATGCCGACGAACGTCTGTCACCGTAGACGTTTTCAACACGGAAGCGCATCTGTTCAGAACCCCTACTGCAAATTGGGATACTGTCTACGGCAGCGGCAAGCCTTATTACCCTAACGCACCGTTCACGACTACCAAGGGCGCTCTCCCTCAAGTTAGCGGCATTCCAGGCCTCGTCTCTACCGCTCTTGGTCTATTGAATGTGGGAGCATAGTCAACACTAGTAAAGATCATACACTACCCTTTATCTCAATTATCCGAAATGTACTGTGCATGGTTCGTAAATTAATGTCATCCCAGCCGAACATGGCATCGCATACACCACAGCTATCCGATAATTCCGGGGAGGCTCTGAGCCCTCGCAATCTGAACACCCGTTACTTGCATGAACGGGGATGTGCCTCCGTTGGGTCGCAGCATGGTTTTGCCATCCTTGCCGACACTATGGCCAATCACTCTGGGACATCTCGCTCTCCTGCTCCGAAGCCGGTGTAATCCTAGAGCTCCCCTTCGACGTCGACGCCCTCAACGCCACACTGATACTGGTGGGTTCGTCAGATGGGAGAGGTTTGGGAGCTTCAGGCGGAGGGGTGGTATCATCCTCAATGATGGCTGCAGATTTGACTTGCTTGCGGCCACGCTTCCTATTTCGCGGTTTTGGTTGTTCAGGTTCCTGTGGAGGTGAATCGAGGGCAACGTCAGTTATGGAAACAGGCGAAGTGGGAATCATACGACGACGCACTGGAGGCGCAGAGACAGTCTCTGATCTGGGTTGTGTCGCAGGTACCGGTACCGGTGTCGATATGGATGGCGCTGGCGCCGGTGCTGGAGGAGCTGATACTGGGGGAGGGGGTGGAGGAGCAGGAGTGGATGGTTGGGTGCTAGCTGGTTTCCGAGTAGTCCGTTTGGCTCTGGATTCAGGTTCAGGCGTTGGCGTTGCGACAGGCGTCTCTTCAGATCTTGACTGTCGAACATCCGAGGGAGGTCTGAGTTCCGCTGTTGCTGCTGCAGGTGGAACAGCTTCAGGTTGAGGCGTCGTGCCAGCAGGAGTACCACTATGCGGAGTCTTGGCCACAGCGGATGCTCTTCCTCTCCTCCTTCCAGGTTTGGCAACACGACTCGGAACGATAAAGTTTGACAAGTGATCCGACTTGCCCACTTCCGCATCGTGCTGGGCGATATCGGCAAGCAGCGCCCCCGATTTCTTCTTAGCACCACCCCTCTTCCTCCGGCCCTTTGTAAGCTGAGAAACGACCTTGCGGAAATCGATCATGCGTTTCTTGTGAAGGTAGTAATAGTCCACACATTGAGCCGCCGTCTTGTGTGGTAGCCCTTCGGCGATGAGGCCAAATTGCTTGGGATACATGGCGTATCTGTCAAGGAAAATCCTCTTCTCCTCCTCTGTCCAATCGTCGATACCCGTATGCGGCGCGTAATACTCGGCGGGGTTCTCAACCAGGTGATTCGAGTCGTCAAAGAGGAAATCAACCTTGCCCTCCGTCACCGAAATCATGTCAGGAATGGTGGCAGCATTGCGAGAGGAGAGGTAGTTGGGGTCGGTGAGGTCATCCACACCCAGACTCGCAATGACCTGCTCCATTTCCAAATCTGACCGAACAGTATCGGTGAACGCCGAAGTACGACGGGTCGTTCGCCCGTGAAGAAGATGGTCGGATTCGGGTCCTTGGCTTCTCTGGAGGGCATTGAGAGCAGAACAATGCGCTTTCCATTTCCTATGCAGGGCAAGGTACTCGGCGCTCAGGCGTGAAACTTTATCGTTCACCAGATTTTGGCGCTGTTCAAAGTGTTCTGCCAGAGAAGGGCGAATGGTGGCGAAGTCTATGCTTTCGTCGAGCTTGCGGTGGACCTCTGCAATGAGTTTATCTGGGGTAGACTCTGCAGTTGGTCGAGGGTCAGGTGTGGAGTCGACAAGTGCTCGGTTGGCCATTAGCACTGGGTTGACGAGTTCATCCCGCGTCTGATGGTCACAGAGTAGACGGGTCATGACGACTGCGCGGAGAGCTTCTTCCTTTGACTTTGGATTGGTCAACGAAGGCTTTTGTTCGGTAGGTAGAGCATCACGCGGGAAGATTGGTTGCAGTTCGAGAAGAACTTGACGTTCAAGCCGAGGCTCATCATTGGCTTCAAACACAGGCGTTGGTTGTGGGGGTCGTACATCGGACCGAGATTGGAAGGTGAATGAGGTAGATTTAATTTGCGTGACTGGAGGTGGCGGAGGGCTGGGTTCGCGAGGCGGGGGAAGCTCGGTCGCCGGTGTTTGATCCGGTTCACGTGTGGATGACGGCGGTGGTGGTGACTTGGCCGGCTCCATTAGTTTGTCATCGTCTTTAGCGCCCGCGGTGTCATCCGCAGGCGCTGTCATGGGAGGCACTATTTGCGCTTAAATAAGTTAGCTAAGCAAAAATAATCGATAAGTAGCTTACCTGGTGGTTTGGAAGGGGCCTCATCGGTTTGAGTTGCAGGTGCAGGCTCAACCCTTGCCCCAGAAGATGGGGCATGTCCATTCAACGCTAAGCATACGAGTCAAAATTAAGCATAACCCTCGTTTCCACAACGGAGGGAACCTACAATTATTAGCAGACGGTTGTATTCCAGAGCTAACTTCGGGGCTTTCCGTTCGCTTCTCTGTTTTGGGTTCCTCAGCAAGTGGCGACTTGGCTATTTCGGGTGCATTTTCGCCTGGTACTACAGAAGACGAAAGAGGTGAGGAGGGTGCAGGTGACGATATTTGTGCAGCTTTGAATCGGTTTGCCAAGAGCGCTTGTGGCCCATTGAATTGAGGCGGAGGCGGTGTAGATGCAGTAGATGAAGGACGACTAGACGCAGTGCTTGAGGGCAACACGGCAGGGACTGATCTGATTGACTCCTCAACTCTTGTCGAACCATTAGGCACATCTGGCGGTGGTGGAACCGAGTTTTTGCCAACGTTCTGAGTCTCAGATACTTGAGTCGAAGCTATTGATGAACGAGAAGAACGACGGGACAGTTGCTTTCTGCCAGAAAAGTCAGGTTCATCCCGTGTCAACCGACTAGCCGGGACATCTGCACGCATAGGCGAGGATAAAGCGCCTCCAGCTCCTCGTCTGTCAGGAGACCTGGATCGAGATCGAGTATTTGGAGGTAGCAGAGAGCCCATCGCAGGAGGTTCATAATGGTCCCATGGTCGCGAGGGGCCTGGCGCGGACGGGACAGAGTCCCTCCGATAAGAACGAGGTGGACTAGGTTCACGATTGAACGGGCCACGGCTGTCTCGCTTATTCTCGTAAGGCGGCCTATACGAGTCGTAGTCTGCTCGTGCAGTGGGGTAGGTAGGCCGCTTCGCTGGAGCAGAAGGTCTGTAACGATCACCTCCACCATGATACCTGGGCTGCACAGGAGGCCGTGCGTAGGGATCACTGGGCGGATCCACTATCATCCTAGAAGGCTCGAAATAGCGATCGGAGGTATATGATGGACTACAGAAGTATGGATGAACAACCGGAACCTCTTTCGACAAGGGAGAACGTTTTACATACCCGTCATCACGACTCGCGCGCTCTGCCTGCCTCCAAGTATCCGAGGGCTCGAACATACGAGTGGCGAGAATGTCGTCTCGACCGCGACTGCGAACCGAGCCGGTTGGGGAGGGAGGAACAGGATCGCGATCCTGCCACCCAGGAGGTTTGTTGTAGCCAGTTTGCCAAGCGCTTGGTCGATCCCAGTGATCAGGTTCGCGAGGATGGTCAGAGTAACGTTCTGGACTTGGCGGTGGTGGTTGCTGGTCATAGAAGCCTCTTGAAGAATAGTCATGCCGGTATGCGCCCTGGCGGTACACGTTTGGGTCTTCGCCGCGAAATACCGGCGCTGCGCGTGGGGGAACACAACTGTCATATCCTCGTCGGGAAGTTGCAGGAGAGGGAGTTCTGCGATGAGATGGCGCATTTCCTGACCGCTGTTGAGTTGTAAACAACAAAAATTTGTTATGAGTGACTTGTTGCAACGAGAAGTTCTGAGACTAACATCATAAATTCCGGACATAGGCCCGGACGTTCTTCTTGCATCATAACGAGAAATCAGCGAAGGCTGCTGGGGGATATCGTAACCGCTGGCAGCCATTACACCTTGCGACTATGACCAGACACCCGAGGATAACCAAAGTTGCCAGATATGAATGGGACGGTGTTTCCAGGTAAAGACGCTTGTAAACGAGGTCGTCGCTGTTATCGACGACGTGCAGACAATTTACGAGATATGTTAGGGCCAATGGCTGTCTTGGTGGAAACTGAAGCAAAGAATAAAAGAGCGAAAAGTCTGCAGCTGGCCTGGATGGAAGCAAGGGTCCAAGTGAGGCCTTCACCGGCATCCCCAAACAACATCAATTCGCTGACAAATATCCCTTAATTTGGACTGTGTTCCCACGGACAGCTTGCCGTCCGTTGCGCGCCAACGGGCTTCAGGGACAGCGCTGAATGAATCCGCCAACTACACAGGAAAAGGCAAAGTTGCCGCCATCGCTCAAGGACCCCTCGACGCTGTTCTTCCAGCATGCAAGCGTCAGGAGACTCGTTATTCTCGCATACTGGGTCGTGTTCATCCTAGCTCTCCCAATATGGTGGTACACGACAAGCATCGAGCGGTTACCCTTGCCATTATCCCAGGCGTCACAGGAAATTCGGCGGCCACTGCAGCTCCCAGTGAGCATTTGTGTTCAAGAGTCGACAGCAAGATTTACTCCTTTGCTCCAAGACGCGCTTGGCCGTAGGAAGGAGTCTCAGAATTTGGATTATATCCAGTTCCATGTCGTTGGTCAGAGTGACTGTGGTATGTGGATTGAATCTGGCTTCAGCGCTTTTCCTTGACCTTGTATAGGCACCACGTCTGTACAAGACGTATATACCATTATCCCCGGGCACACCAAACGACTATTCAAACGAACTCTTGAATATCCGTTGAAGGACAGCCGCTGTACGTCCAAGCCTGGATGTATTCACTATCACAGTCTCATTTCAACTCCCTAGCGGTCGAAGAACTGTCACAAACCCTACTATCCCTAATCACTCCCCAACTGCAAGACAACCGAGCAGCTCAATTCGCCTCGCGGTACCGCCTATCATTCAGCCTCCTCAACGAGGACGCTGCGAGCGGCAACATCATCAAGGGATGGAATATCGAGGAAGCACTCCAACGTACGTCCAACCCAACCCACACTCCTGAAAAAGAAATGCTCATACCCGGGTATAGACTACATCACACCGATCCTACACCGAATGTCACACCTCCACAACTTCACGATCGAAAGCCAGGTCCAATTCCACGCTCCCTTGGCGTTTGAAGTACAATCCCTGCCCGACAGCGAACACGGTCTTTCCTATGAAGATCTCACCGTCTTCGTCAACTCGGCAGAATGGACTTTATGTCAGTTCATCTTCCTTCCCTTCTTGTCTTCCATTCTACCTTTAGGGTCGAGACTGATTGAAATGGCGGACCCACAACAGCCTCCAGTTTCTCAAACGACCCAGTGATCCACCTCGTTCTGTTCGTGCCTTCCTCCGGGCACTCACCGCTTAGGATTTTGGAGACCGACGGCAAGTTACTTTCCATTCTTTCCCCTCGATCGAGTCCTTGCGTCTAACACGAGGTTGATAGGCACCATCTCCACCTCCTCCGCCTTCATCCTCCCTCAGTGGGGCGGGATTGTCCTCTACAACCCTTCCCCGACTGACCTTGGGACCGACCTTTCCGCACAAGGGGTACACGACGCATTCTCGTCCTTTGCCAACCAGCTTCTCTCGCTTCTGGGCGTCCCCAGCCTCCCACCCGGTATTCAATTCCAACCCCACTCTGGGGAAGACAACAGTTTCGTGATCTCGGATTGGCAAATGGACTCGCTACTCCGCCGACGCACGGTCGAGACCGTGAGGGGTACAAAGGAGACGCTTAGGAGTTTCATCAAGCTCGTTAAGCGAATCGAGAACATGCCAATTGGAAAGAGCGTAAGCGACGACGTGCATAATGCACTCGAGTCCCTCAACAAGGTACGCACACACCCTCTTTCTCGCCAGAATTGACTAAACTCCGTCGCTTCACTAACACAGGTCTACACCCTAACCTCAACCTCCCTCTCCCAAACCTTCACCTACTCCGCCAAGGCATTCAACTATGCCTCGCGCGCATTCTTCAACCCGGGAATGCTGGCCTTGCTCTACTTCCCCGCCGAGCACAAATACGCCATTTATACACCGCTCTTTTCGACTGCCATGGCACCGCTTATTATTACTGCGTTGAGAGAGGTCAAGGCGTGGAGGAAGGAGAGGGGTCAAGCTCGCGCAGGGCAGCGGTAGGGATTAGATTCGGAAATGGGCTACTGTGATTTCATGTTTCTGTATACTAATTGCCGTGTGCCGATAATACCCATTGCCAGCGTTCCGAATCATGCCATTCATCCCTTGCATCTGGTCTCTGTCCAACACAATCGTGTATTCGCCCTGGTGCTCCCTTGGATTGACAGAGTTGCAAGGTTTGTCTAGTTCCCGATAGTGACTGGTGAACAGGCACGTAATCGGTGAATCTCGAGACCTTGGCCAAGGGGCTAATGGGGACCGAGTTCGACAAACCAACGATCGATCACCCACCTCCGAGTCGCTTCCGTTGCCCTAATTAGTAAGAACGGGGGGACTGGAAGGAAGAACAACGGAAAGGACCAGAAGGAAGGAGGACCGAGAGGGCCATCTCATCGTAAGCAGTGGTGGATAAGAGAGCCGTCGATGTCTCGATGTTCGCGAGGCGGACACGCCATCTGCCGTGTGGCAGGCTTCCCAGCAATTATCGACGAGGGGAGAAGTTGAAAGGGCAAAGACGGTGCCAGAAAAACCGTCACAAAAACAAGGCAAGCTAAACCTGACTAGGCTAGCCTCAGCACTCCTCTTGGCAAACCTAAATGGCGTGCTCAGCAACCAAAACGAGAAGCATCGAAAGCGAGAGATATCATTACAATCTGGAGGAAGGGGTAGCAATCATGGGTTGCACAGATCAGCGAAACAAACCAAACAACCGGGACAAGAAAAGGGTTCGAAGGAGAGAAGACGACGCGTCGAAGAAAGGGTAGATAGCAAGAATGGCGATGGAATAAGTGAAGCGAAAGAAAGGGCAATAAATGGCCAAACGATGCGTTGAGAGAAAGTTACACAAAGCCCCCTCCCACAACTTGCCACTTCTTCTCTCATTTCCCTCTCTCTCTCTCCTCGTCGACCGTTCCAAGAAGAAGAAAAAAAGAGGTTTAGGTTTTTTGCTTTAGTATCCATGAATCCAATCCTTTTGCTTTTTGTGAAAAAAGACCGTCACCGAAACGACAACCCCTTCTCCGTTACAATAACTGCTGCTGGCTGCATCCTCCCACACCGGCGCCCCGAAACACCCTCCACAAAATCGATCCGAGGCACCCCACCACTGCCACCACCATCTCCTAAACCACCCTAATCCAGGCTGTTGGCCTTCTCCGCATCCTCAGAGATTTTAGCCGCCTCTTCAAAGTTCTCGACCAAATCGGGGACATCATCGTCATCTTCGTCTTCACCGGCCGCTGCCCTCTGCTGGCCTTGCTGGATGGCCTGGTACGACTCGGCGAGTTTCCTTAGGGATGCGAGCGAATCAGGGCCCAATTGGTTGAGGATTCCGGGAACGAGTTCTGTGAGCTCCTTCACGTGGCCGGTTCCGTAGATCGCAAAAGTGTTGGCTGTTACGGCTGCGTGCACTGTGTAGTCGTTCGAACAAAATCCGATACAAAAAGGCGAGATTTGGGGGTAAAATGGCAGGGTTAGCGGCTGCAAATGGGAATTAATAGATCCCGCACGACGAACCCTTTGGTGCGGTAAAGTGCAAAACGTTTCCGTCCTCCCTGAACATGTTAACCTCCTCAACGCCGGGGATGGGCTGGACGTTCAACTTCTTGAGGGCCCCCTGAAGCTTCTTGTCGTCCTGAGCACCCGAAGGCTTGGTTTTTCGCACAATCTTTCTTCGAACCGATCCCTTTCCACCTGTTCACCACAACCACAACGACAATCCAAGTCGAATTCCAATCAGATCTCGCTTAAATCAACCCCCTTTGACCCACAGGAAACTCACCGATCCTGTTGGCAGCAGCAGCAGCCTGGAGTTTAGCCAACTTTGCGGGATCCATGATGATTTGGTGGGACGATTTGGAGGAGAAATAAAAGAGGGGGGCGCCGTTCGATAACTTTCAATCGCCTTGCGCGCGCGTTCACCGATTCGTGTTCTGTGTTGACACCCCATTTAGAGTTCAATACACAACAGAAACAAATACACCGGCCATCAGCGGCTTTGTTCCCGTTCGAGATTCCGAGGGATGCCGGAAGCGCCGAGGAGTGCTTTAATTAGCACTGCAGCATGTGGCCTTGAAAGTTTATTAGATAGCGACCATGTCCGGGTATCATATCAGAGAGGCTACAGAGAACGACGTCGTGAGTCGGTTTTGCAGCCCCTTGGAATTACGGTTTTGCTGAAAAGGCCCGCAGGAAACGCTCCTTCAGCTCATAACTGATCTTGTACGTTTCTTGGCACGCTCGAGCCCCTGAGCGCGTCTGAAGGTTTTAAAATAGGCGGTATATGAGAAAGAACCGAATGCTGTAAAGGCTACTCCAGACCTCGTCAGTAACTTTTCCCAGAACGATATCAGATGTACTAAACACGTTACAATAGCTGCGCCAAAACCTATTCGAAAAGCGACACGCCAATGCCCTCATCGCGTACACTGGTACCCCGGAAAGTCCAGGCGAACCCATAGGCATGGCCCTATATTTCTTCAACTTTTCCACTTGGACGGGAAGGCCTGGTCTCTACGTGAGTATCTCTACCTCGTGCCTTCCATCTCGAAGGTAGAGCTTGACTAGCATAACGACAATAACCTCCATGCCCGGCTATGTCGGTGATTTCCCACTGCGCCGTACGTCCAGCTCGAAGATTTGTATGTCAAACCTGAACACAGGGCTGGAGGCATCGGAAAGGCCTTCTTCAACAAGCTTGGGAAAATCGCTGAAGAAAAAGTCAGTTCGTTACATGGGCGCGTCCTCAAACGAATACAAACTCACCATCGCCTACATACAGAACTGCGCCAGGATGGAATGGGTCGTCTTAACGGTCAGTCGCACGCAACATCTCCCAACAACGCCCTATACCCATGAGACTTTCATTGCAGTGGAACCAGCCATCAATCGACTTTTACGAAAAGCGGTTAGGGGCACAGCGGATGTCCGACTGGGTGGGCATGCGGCTGGATGAGAAGGGCATTCGAGATCTCAGGAATCTCGTTTAGACGCCCTCTCGGTGGGTGGATTATCTCGTGTTGCGGAGTCTAGTGTCGTGCTTCGATGAGTGGATTCCCTCATGCCGCCCTTCATCTCGTGAGACAGATGGGCGTCTAAATAGACGGATTGACTAGACTCTAGACACGAGATCCACGAGGGCGTCACCAGGCAAGAGAGATTCGCAAACATGTAGGATAGATTCACATAGACGGGCACCGAGTTTGACTGACGTCCATCCCTGGAGATTCGATATTTCATCCATCTGTGTGCAAGGAGGCTCGAGGCATACAGCCCCATGAATCCAACCCGTCACGTTTCTGATGGACGGATAACGGTCACATAGCAAATGCCGACGTTACCAAGTAGCGAATCTCGGGGTGTCGTCGCGAATCTTTGAAATCGATGGCGTCGGCAGAAGCTCCCATGCACATTTGTCGATGGTTGCGTTGGATTGCCGTTGGTGGCCGCCAACCACGACCGCGTGGCTGACGTTTGCGTCTGCACCAGATCTGACGGTGACCTTTACCGTTCAAGGTTGCCCTTGATTGGCTTCCGGCGACATGCCACGCTCAAGCCTGAGATCGTGTGTTATCGTCGAGCTGGATCGGTGTCCATCGAGGCATCTGGTGGATCATTGGAATATAGATTATTAAATTTCGATTCGAAAGCAAGAGATTTGGGGTGTGTATGGACCCGTGTAAAAAGTAAGACGGCGTAGTCACATCTTCATCGCATCCTTGGTTGATATGTCGAGGTTGTCAAATACCATCGTAGCTCGCGCCTCCAGCCTGCGAATGAGAATGAAGTAGTAAGCACAGCGCGTTTCGCGGACCCGTCCCCCCAGAAAAGGTGAGGAAGAGCTAGGCCAAGGGCACGCACCTTTCTCATTCTCAAAATGATTGGCTCCTCCCTGAGATCGTCCTTCTCTCGCGCCGCCACTTCGATCGAGTATACCCGCAGGACGTTCTTCACATCGGCGGTATGAACGGAGACCTGTAACAACGGACAACGGACAGCGCGGCAGGTGTGGGTGTAATACGGTGTTGTTTGGTTGGTTGGTTGGGTGGTCGTGGGTTGTCGAGGCGGAACGAAATATAAACACGTTAACGCGGATCTCGATGGGAACACAACCACGGACATGCATGCAACTTCCCGGCCAGCGGGGGAACGATGCGCCGTGTATAGGAAAAGAGGATAGGAAATAGCAGAACACACCTTTGCCCTCCTCATCACTTTGCAGTCAGGTCCTATCCAGACCTAGAGTACGGCGAGCGGTAGAGGCCATGTCAGGAGATCGATGTGGACGCCGTTTAATGCAAACGTTGAATCCAACAAAAGGGAAAAGAAGGAAGATCACAATCAGACGACAGCCAAAGGGTTAAGAAGAAGAGACGAAAAGGAAAAAGGAAAGGGGACGGACAACGAGCGCAAACTTCTCCCGGGTGGACTGTTCATCGTTTGAGAACGTGACGCGAACATAGGCGAAGGAGGCTTTTCCATCGTCGAGGTGTTCTTGGAGTTCCTTGAGACCGCCAGTGCCCGTCTGGGTAAGCTTGAGCTTGTCGGATCTGTCTGATTCGTAGTCGAGCAACAGCCAGTTGGTCTCGGACTTGTCGTTCCGCACGTCCAGGTAGGCTGTTGGTATGGATGGTTAGCGCTGGTGTTCGACTTGTAAGCGCCATGAGGCAGATAGGGAGTAAGGACGGAAGGGGTGACATGACGCGAAGGAAGAACGGATACGTGGATAGCAGGAGATCCTCGAATCAGGGCAAGTGATTCACTAGCACAAGGAGGCATGCCTCGAGACGCAGAAACGAGATTGTAGAATCTGAAAATCAGATCGTACCTTCGGCGATGCTAGGGTCCGAGACGTCAGCCATTACTGGTGGATCTGAAGAGTATTAGATAGATAGAACGAGAAAATGTAAACACTTGATGAAATAGCACCCCTGCTATAAGTTCAACCTCTATAACGCGATCAGATTAGGCAGCAATCCATCAACGCGGAGTTTCAATTATTTCAGGGACAGCACTGCGCTCGTCGTCGTCACTAACGATATCGAGTCTGCACACGACGACGATGGCCTCCCTTTTGCGCAGCTTTGTCGAGTCTCGAGGGATTTGTCTCAGGAGCAGGCTCTCCACCCTATACGCGGCGTCCAACCCTCGACGATTCATCGGCACAAGCACCAGCACAACAGGCGGAACAGCACCTAAATCCCTCTTCGACGACGACGACACTCCAATTGACCTCTCCGAAGACGAAGACCTGGTAAACGGCGCCCGTCCAGGCACCCCACCCCTCCATGCACGCAAGCCCCCCTCCACATCCACTCCAGCCGAATGGCGAGCCCACCGCGAAGCCATAAAAAAGCGCTACCCCAACGGCTGGGCACCCACCCACAAAATCTCCCGCGAAGCCATGCACTCCCTCCGCCAACTCAACAAACTCGACCCCGAAAAATTCACAACACAAGTTCTGGCGGAGAAGTTTAGCATCAGCCCAGAGGCCGTGAGGAGGATTTTGAAGAGTAAATGGGAGCCGTCGAAGGAGAGGAAGGACAAGATGGTAGAGAGGGAGAGGAGGATTAGGAAGGAGAAGATAATGGAGAAGGTGGAGAAGGAGATTATGGCCGCTGAGCCTTGGTTGAGGCCGGACTTGGGAGAGGAGGGGAAGAAGGGGAAGAGACCAAAGAGGGACCGGTTGACGTTGACTTGAAAGGGCATTCTGGGCGCTTAATCGGCGGTGTGGTGGCTGCCACCCTCTTCCCATCCGTAGAGCCAGATTCATATATCACAACGTGTGATTGCATATCTACTGTGGCGTTCTCTACATAGCTCGCTGGACTAATGTAAACGAAAGTAGACTATACTAGCTGTAATAATTTACTACACAGGCCTCAGGCCCTTGTAATTAGCCTATCGGAAAGGATCATAGACCAAGCGAAGAAGCCGCATATACAAGTCGCGCGTTGACCCCGTGAGAGGGAGAGGAGTTAGACATCGACGCCGCACTCTAGTACGTAAGTAGTAATCGATTGCCCATAAATATGTTTGGTGTGTAGTAGCCCTATCCCTATAGTACAAAGTGTACAATGCAAATATAGTGAAATAATGAATAAGATAATAAAGAGAGACGACGTTACGCGTTACGAACGTAAGCCGGTGGATGTCGATGAGGTGGATCGGCTATGCCATATACCATGGAAGGAGGTAGAGGTAGGTAAGTAATAAAGAAGAATATAAACGACACAATAAAATCAAATGTACATGAAACCAGAGGCGTAGGCATTTCCAACGACACGCCTAGTCTTGTTGGCCGTTTCATAGAGGCGTCGAGGTCCTGGTATAGCTAATGTTGAACGAGCCGATTGGCGGACGGCATAAAAGGATGTCGTTCCAATTGGGTTGGGGGAGAGTCTTGGCGGGTTGTCCTGAAGGATCGATGATATGGTGTTCAAAGCCCAAAACGAACATCGAAGTGATCAGCTTGAGTTCGACTTTGGCAAGCCGTGTACCGAGGCAAATGGTCTTTCCTGAATGGAGGGAGGAGCGTCAGTCAGTTTATGCAATCACAGTCAGAAAACATGATACACACCTCCTCCCCAGCCAACATAACCAAAGGGGACGTGGTCCGCGTCTTTCCTTCCCGGATCAAACTTCCATGGGTCGGGATAGATTTCGGGGTCGAGGTGGACATCGCTGAATGGGTAAATCACATAGGAGCCCGTTGGGACCCTCTTGTTGTCGATATAACAATCAGGACCGAGGTTACGTCGCATGGCAGTGTGCGGTTGCGCAACACGCAATGTCTCTTTGATAATCGCATCGAGGACTGGTGTTTCGGTTTCCCATACGTCTAGAGGTATCGAGGCGAGGCGCGTAGAGAGGGGTTGGGTGGAGGGAGAGGGGGAGCCAACGGAGGCTAGGAGAGTCTCGACTTCTGCTGCTGCTTTAGAGCGCCATTCTGGGTGCCCTCCAAGGAATGTCAAGAGCCAAGACGCTGTGTGAAGTGAACGAGAAGATTCATGAGTATAAACGTCTGATGGCGTGAGTCGCCGAAGGTTCTTGAGAGAATACTCACCTGTGGTTCCTGTAGCTCTGGCACCTGCGATCAACAGACCCATGATGAACTGCACGACGGAGGACCGAAGTTAGCAAAACAGCAACTGATAGCAGATTGTGGAGGGTGATGATGAGAAAGGACTTACGCCTACGACCACAAGTTTCTCATCACCGGCGTCAAGAAGCATTTGAAGAGTATCGTTGTGCTGAGCACCCGAGGATTCTCTCTCGCTAATAGCCTTGCATACGATATCGTAAATAGTCTTTGTCGACCACAGCTTTTTGATCATGGCCGGTGTCGGCAACCATGGCAGAAGAACGGTCGCGGGAGTCGTCCCAGTGTCGAGATCGTCATAGAGCCGTTTAAGCTGCGCGACCAGCGCTGGGTTGTCCGCGATCTCCTTGCATGACACACTTCGGACAGTCAACTGGAAGAGCAACTGGAAAAAGGGGTGGCGTTGTAAGTCAGGTTGGGTTTTTTTTAATTCAGTTCGAAAGTTGCATGTGAGCAACGGGGACGGTGAAGCGGAGACGGACGTACCTCGTAGACTTTTTCAAACGGGTCGAATTTTCCCGACGTGCCCCAGCTCTCCATCTGCCTCCGAGAATCCTCCAGGAGAATTGGGATTACTATAGAACAAGGACGTTAGCTTCGCCCCAGGTGGCATGGAAGAAAAGATACATACAGTTAGACAAGGGTGCATTCCGTTGAGCGTTTGCTAGCCGCTTGTGGATAAGCTGGATCCTGCGGGTCTGGAGATCGGAGGTGACTCCACGGACCATCGGGATCTATGACCATGAAAAAACATCATAACGCGACAGGTCAGCCGGGGAAAAAGAAGCTACAGGCAGGGGAAGACAGAAGCAACGGGGAAATCCACGCACGGCACCGGATAATATTTTAAAGCCTTCAGTGAGGTCAAGGCCTTTGGCGGTGAAGAAAGATTGTCTCGCGCTTTCTCCGGACACGACAATGACGGTATTCTGCGGTGGAGAGAGGGAAGGGAAGAATAATGTCAGACGTTTTGTTCGTTTTTCCAACACGGTATGACAGGGTATGGGAGGATTGTGGCTGGATGGCGGTAAGCACACTCACCCGTAGAAGGTTGAAACGAAAGATGTTGTGTCCGCTTGCATGAAAGCCCCAGTTCAAGAAGTCGAACCGACGTCGGAAGAACGGGAGAATGTGGAGAAGAGAAGACCCAGGAAGCGGGGCAGGTGCGTCTGTGGGATCCTTTTGGAAGGACGAGGAGAGGATAATAATGATAAGAGAGAGGACGATGGCGAGCGTGAACTGCGTGGAGAGTCCTATGGACAGGAATGCACGGGCAGCAGCCTGAAGGCCTAGACAATAAGGCATGATTGGAGGAAAGTAATGAAGGGGTACGTCTTTAAAACGTCAGATACGGGTAGGGCCAGCCAGGGTACGTCGAAGCAGGTGCGATCCAGGTCCCACTTTATATGTACCTCGTAAATGCATGCTACACAGGTCCGGAAGGTTTACCAAAATATTATGCCCGGCAAACACCATGCATCATCTAATTTCGGCCATAGAATCTCGACGGAAGCGGAGGTTGAATGCACCAAACAACTTCGATCGAGGATCTAATTTGGATTACAACGTTGCTGAAAGCGGTCCCGAAATGAACTTGTAACGAGCTGCCTTGTTGCGAGCTCAAAACGAATTCGTCGAGTCCGGGCTCCCTTCCTACACGTGGTGTGCGTTGCACTACATGTGTTCGTTGTCGCGCAGCGAGGCTGCCATCGCAAACAAGCATTCGCAAAGAAACAGGGTTTTGACACGACGTGGTCCGTCCTCGGTCCACGCAAGCCACCGCTGTTAGAAAATTCGAATAATCAATTTCTTTGGGACGTGCGAGTTTTTCAGAGGGGTGGGCACACGTACCGTGGAATATACGTGAAATCAACTCCAAAAAGAAATTGTGCCTCGTTCTTTTTTCAGATGTCAAGTTCCCGATTTAACCTTGTCAGGGTGGGATTGTTCGAAGGCTTGCAAAAACAAGATATCTAAATACTTCCGACACAGCCAAAAGCGGCAAAGTAAAGCCCCTTTTGCGTCGGCTGCGTTCAGTGGGTGTTGTTGGTTTCGCGATGGAGTCTTCGAAGCGTCGACACGATGGCGATAGATGTGATTCCATACAGGGGAGCCGCTGACCTCGAACGGCTGCGTAAGAATTCATGAACCGGGCTATACCCCCGGTGTTCTCGACAGTCGAGTCCCTAGATCGCAAAGTAAAGATCAACTGGCGCCAAGAGCAGACAGGCTGGAAAACTTGACACTTGCACGGTTTTTGACATTTGCGTCAGGTCCTCTTTTTGTAATTCCGGAACTGTTGCTGTGGCTGACGCGGAGATAGGTTATAGAATTGATGACCTGAATCTCCACAGGGCCATTTCCGAGCCCCCAGGAACAGATAATGGAGGGCGGTGAACTGCGGTGAATGGGGTGGAACCTCAAAGGCATTAAATGCCCTGAAGACGATTGGAAATTACCCTCGAAATACAACGCTCGACACGAACTCCGGAGTATGCCGACTCGGAGAAGGAGGTTGAGATGTGCCACCGCCGACTGAAGCTCAGGATTCGAGAAGATAACATGACAACAAAAGCCCGACTGGTAGGCAGAGTTTTAGTCTTCGCATAGCAGCTAAGAGAGAAGGGAGGATTCACCAATGCTGTAACCACCAAGCCGGATCTTTCGAGATTTGGAAGTTTCGGTCGAGAAGCACGATCTGTCCAGAGTGGGTTAGCATCGCGCTTGAGCTTAAAGGGACGATGGGCAGGCTGCACCGCCGATTCCAAAGAGATAGGTATTCAGTTTCCCCTCGGTCCTATTCGTCAAACTGTGTGAGCCGGCAGATCTGAGGTGTAAAGAATGATGTGAATCGACTCCAGCGCCAACAAGGCGCCCTGAAACGGAACGCGAAAGTTATTTGCATAATCCGTCGAAGAAAGGCAAATACGCGGAATTCTCCTTTGTGGTTTCACGACTTGACAAACCCAAGTACAGCTAGACGAGGAACGTAGGCTAGAACCAGAACACTTCCTGTAATAAGTCGGACCGGCCTTTGGTTATCAGCGACAGCGAAGCGTGAATTCATGGTCAAAGCACCCAATGGAAGAGATATCCCCCGGCATTGTCTGAAAGGCAGCATAGAAGTCGGTTGTCTCGTTGATCTAGCCGCCTGTGGTGCTCGGTATAATCACAAGACTAGGCCTTCCGGCCGAGTCTACCGGGAGCGAAGGCGGAGGCATCTCGATGCGAGGAAGAGAGGATGCCAGAAGAGTATACAGCTCTGAGAAGGCTCGAATGCACTTGGCGGATGCTTTGGGTCTAGACGCGGAACCACCTAGGATATTCTGAGTGCGGTGCTTGTGCAGGCGGCGCTGCGCCCTGATAAAGACTCGATCATTCATAAATTACCTCCAGCTGGGTATGCCTTAACAGCAAAATAATTCCGTGAGCCAAAAGCAGCGACAAGGGGCGATATGCCACGCACCACTCAAGGTACCACACGGCGAGAAAGACGGAGGAAAACATGAGGCGTGGACCAAAATGGGATAGCTGATCCCTTTTTCAAATTTCGTCAGATACCACAAGTTGGGTTCAACATTCGGTAATCGAGACCGGTCAAAACACTCTTGAAATGAGCAAGGGCGGCAAGGACAACACAGAAATGGAACAACTGGTGGGAGGCCCCGAAGTAGTCGAACGTGCCGGGGGACCATCTCTCTGGAACACGGGCTGCGCTGGGGACAAGGAAATGAAATTTGCAGTGAGCAGGCTGTTACAAGGACCCATAGAACACAGGAAGGGAGAATCGAGATCACGTACTAGGTTACTGCGCCTATGATATACAGCGCTCCCGAGGCAACCAACCAACCGAAGCCCATGTCGTCCATGAGCTCGTTGATTCCATGTGTTGTGACCAACAAGTGTCCTATAGGTGCAGTTGCGCAGAGCCCGAGGGCAATAAACACCGAAGTGCGAGCAACCCGATGGGTTGGCTTTGCGTATTCTGGATCTAGAACAATAAATGCTGCGCCTGATGGATTTTTTCAGCAAACCAATGTCAAAGGGGGGGTATACACACAGGAACATTTTACCCACCGACGCCCATGACGCTAATCGCAGTTAGATAAAACCATTGAAAACGAGGCTGGCAATAAAACCCATAGTATATCGAGGGAAAAAACGAGCCCACGATGAGGATGACGATCCCGGAATAGTCTAAAGCATGACACCGGGTCGCTACCTGAACAGGTAAAGCGGTTTGGGTTTACTGGGAAATGGAGACATCACGCAACATACCTCCTTCGAATGGCAACCTGACGTGTGGTACAGAGCACTCCCACAGAGGCAGAAGATAGCTGAGAATAGAAAGATGTTCATGACAGCTATGTCCTTCCAGGTTGCGCCCAGGTGTGTGTTGACATAGGTTGGATAAAACGAGACCAGCAGATATGCAAAAAGCACTGCACCCCACAGATGTGAGTGAATGTTTGCTAAAGCAAGAGAAATCAGACGTAGTCACGCGTGGTACACGAGTTTACACTGAGACTTCGTGCTTACTAGTTTCGTTATGCAGATCTGCGATGTCGAAAGTGGGTTAATGTCCGTGTTTCTCTAACATGAAATGGGGAGGGAGTACATGAGAAAACCGAGTGGAAGCATCCTTTCCAACTATGCGTTAACCTACGGATTTTGACCTTGTAAGTTCCAAGTCTTGACATGAAAGCGACAACACGCACCTCCTGTAGCCATGAATGATGTACTCATTGTCTCTTTGCCATTCCTCGAGATCAGACCAGGAGATCGTATTGGAAGCGGGAGAGCCGTTCGCCTGAACGAGACCAGATTTGGCTTTGATGTGAGGCTCTGAGGCCTCGTTTTTCGAGGAACGTAGACGAAGAGCCCCTGTCATTCCAAGCCCTTCCAAAATTGAAAGTTCAGGGACCCAAGAAATTGATCGTGACCCTGGTTGGCCGTTTGTGTGGATGGTTTTGCCTCGGATTCGCGGTGGTTCAACAAGAAATGAGGCGCCGGTCGACAGTTCGCTCGCTGGCTTTGGGACAGGAAACTTGGACCTTGGGCGTGGTGGATGGTTGCCAGCAGGTAAAAGAGCGGCTGCCATCCCCAACGTTGGGGGCAGTGGGATTTGATCTTTTGATCCGTTTCCTTCTCCGGACCAGCCATGCGGCCCTTGCCGTTCCTCGGCTCGCCTGGCAGATGCGCCCCTGGTGCTAAAGTGAATACTCGTGTGCACAACCACCTTGTGTCAACTCCTCCAGACAACAAACTCGGTGCATGGGAACGTTACCAGCGCGAGTCCGATGTTGTCGACCTCTTCAACTTCTTGAGCTCCCTTTAACAAGAAGCATGACATTGACAGGAAAAACTTGAGAAAACACAAGGTCGGTCCCGAGTGTGAAGTGTGCTATATACAAAACATTACACGAGGAGTTGAAAGAGTGTGGCGTGAATGATGACCCGCTCTATCCAAGAAGAAGCGAGTCTAGGGAAAAATCATCTAAATTCTCCCTTCATCCTCAATCAAATGGATCTCCTCGAATTTGGCCCACAGTTCCTCCTCCGCCTTGTCACTCTCCGCCCGTGAACTTCGTGGGTTAGACTTGAAAGGACCTGGTTTTATCTCTGGTGCTGGCACCGTCCAGATCGTGTCCCAATCGATATGCCCACTCTTGCCATCCTCCCTGCTCCCTACAAAGAAGGGGTGTTGGCGGAGTTCGTCTATTGACGAGTTCGGCGGCACACCGAGTCTTTCCTGGGGGTGATGAACCTGAACTTGGGTTAGGCTTGACTTGATCAATTGGTCCAGTTAGAACATACTAATAGGCGCTTGATTAAATCAGCTGCGTCAGGATCGCAACCTTCAGGGATCTTGTAGTCCAACTTCTTGATACGTTCCATGATCAAGTAGTCGGTCATCGCTGAGAAAGGGTACGTCCCAAATAGATAAAAGAATAGACAAGCGCCCACTGCCCAAAGATCAGGCCTGAAAGCACATTCAGCGGTTTCCTATAGGTTGCGATAGACAAGCGTACCCTCTAGGGTTAGCTTCCTGTCGCAGAAGCACCTCGGGCGACAAGAACGCAGCTGTGCCCACAAAGGTATTTGTTTTGGGAGCTGAATGGGGTGCTCAATTCTGTGGCGATATATCTGGAAGTTACAAGACTTACTCGACAGTGGCGTTGAAGTCACATATGCAGAGCCAAAGTCCGCGATCTTAATTCGCATAGATTTGTCGAGCAAACAGTTCTCCGGTTTTATATCTCGGTGTGCCACACCCGCTTCATGCATCAGGTTAATTGCATCGATCATTTGCGCCGTGTAGTAACGTGCACATTCCAATGATAGGGAGCCTGTCTTCAGTGTCAGAGACTTCAGGTCCCCATTCGGTGCTAGATCTAGCACGAAATCTAAGGCCACACAACCTGTCAGTCTGTGTGTTGTCAAAAGGTCTTCAGAGAATGCACATACACAAATTGGCCGCGTCTTGGAAGCAATAGTGCAAACGAACGATCCCAGGATGTGGATGACTCGAGAGCGCAATGAGGGCGTCCTTTTCCAGCATAGCAGAGCGCACCATCTTCTTCTTCGACAGTTGCATCTTGTTTAGCATCTTTATCGCGAACAGTTTCCCAGATTTCTTGTGGACCCCTTCTACGATCTGAGTATTGGTCGAATCAGCTGGCGTGCCCCATTGCGTCGTAAGAGGGACATGTTAGACCGTTGCCAGAGACCCCCAGGCAATTTCCTCGCCGACATCAAAGTCGTCTAGACAAGCAGGCTGTCGTTGAACTGTAGCTGCTTTAACACTCATGGTGGTTACTGGTCGAAACGGAATGATGACGATGTCGACTCGGAGAGCTGGGCCTGATTATCAAACATAGCCAAACATCAATGGATCGCCTTCGCCTCCTCGTACCTCTCGCATAAAGGAAATGCCTTGAAGGCAGCAGGTGTCAAGGCAGGTCTGACCTCTGGCATAGCCCTCTTAGCTCAGTGGTAGAGCGCACCACTCGTACGAGCTTGAAAAGCTTCGAACAAGCAATGGTGAGGTCGGTTGTTCAATCCAGCCAGGGGGCATCCTTTTTTGCTCTATTTCAGTCTCCCTCGTGGTTATCAAAACCTTTGGAGTCGCACAGAACTGATTGCAAGCATCGGGGCACTCTCCTCTCAATGCGCAAGGTAGGCAACAGGATTGAGCCATTCATTAGATGAAAACTTTTTTCAGTTCTCGAAACAACGCTCGATCGCCCGTACGAGGGCAAATAACTACGCCATCGTTCTTCTCCGCCATATCCGTCAATGCCTGCGACGTGGTCAGACCGTGAACGAGGAAAGAAGGTGTCAGTCACAAACCTCGAGTGAGTAAACGCGGCCATTAGGGAACGCCATGGGAGGATTGTTCTCGTCCATGATTTTTCCGCTAATCCGACAGACAATAGTCGAATTGGAATGATGACTGAAGGGAACTTCCTCTGCAAGCTTCCCTAGTCCAAGGGGTGCGGTGCTGCTTCCGGATTCCCCGTCGCACACAGGACAGTCTACGTTCTTTGTTGAATGGTCGTAGCAAGCTGGAAGTTTGAGAGCAACAAGGCCCGCGTAGAGAGCAAGGTGGAGGAGAGGTTCTGTCGGAATGGTATTGAGGCTGTAAATTGCGACTCTGAATGACCGGACTAGGGAGTTCCATCGAGAATGATCGTAGAGACGCTGTGAGATCAATCAGCAGGGATCAAGAGCAGGGAACACAGGTACTCACCCTGTACGGTGCACATTTGGTGTCAGGAGGGAAGGCTAGTAGTCCAGAAGCTTGGTTGAGCTGGGACATATGGGTCTCATGCCATGACGAGAGGTACTTTCTGATATACGCGATTGCTTCTGTCTTATTTCGAGCACGACATAGCTCAATGTATTCTTGAAGACGTAGTTCAAACTCGAGAGTGCTCTGACAATGTGTAAGCCACCTCTCCTCGAGCCACGAAAGTTGGCACGCACCTTGATCTTCCTCAACGCCGCCTTGTTCTCGCTACACCATGCCAGAGCCTCTGTGCAGCTATGTCGTGATAGCGCGGCTTCTATCCTCCGGATGTCGCTGAACAATTCAACGTCCACAAGCGTCTAGGTGTCAATCCAATCAGCTAAGCCCCTATTGAACTCAAGACCAAACTACTCACCTCAATCCCTTTCTCTTTTGCTATTTGTTTCGCAGTTCGTTCCTTCCCTGTCCTCAAGCACCAATCCACAATCCACCTATCCAGACGTGTATCTGCCCACCGCGAAAACTCCACAGACGTTGGCGGTTCGCTCGAGTCCACGGTGGCTAGATGGTTCAACCTCTCGCGCATGACATCAAGGGTTGGCTTCCCTGCCGTATCTTGCAGATTGTTCAGCTACATCAGGGTCAATAAGGCTTCGTTTATGTGCTGGAAAGCACAGACCTTCTGCTTCAGGTTCTCTACTTTGCTAATCATGTTGTCAATCGCAGTCACGTAGGCTTCCGCGTCCACTTCTCCCTTCTGCGCATTGGAAACCAGCTCCTTGGCAGAGTTCTGTACATTCCCTAGATCCCTTTCAATGTTCTTCTGTGATATTCGAAAGACTTTGCGGTAGTTCTCGTACGGAACCTAGCAGGGATTCGGGACGCTTAGGGCTGCTTGATCATGCCAGATGCGATACGAAATGCTTACTCGGACGAAGGGCTGTTCAAACAATAGAATCCCTTCTACATTGAGTTTGGTGTTGTTCGCCATGAGGGTCTATCCTGTCGTCGCTATAGGCCCTTGAGCCGAGAGACGATGCTGAGCCCAGAGTCGATATGGTTGTCGGCGGACAACTTGATCAGCCCCGCCACCGTGGCGCGAACCCACCGGATCATAAACGGTCCGATAATCCCGGCCGGAGACATCACACTCGGCGAGTCGGACTTGACGGCGGAATGTCCTTTCGAGGAAACTACCCCGGCCCAATCATGGCTTTCTTTCTTTCCCTTTGTCCACAATCTCTCGTGTGACGGAATGTGTATTCTTCCCTACCCCGCGAATGGAAGGACCTGCACTCTCTCTTGTCGAATTTGGCCTAGTGCGATGATCACTGTCACTGTGTCAGCCACCCTGGGCTGGCGCCATTGTTCGTGGAATGGGAGTGCATCGTGCATGGGGACTGGACTTGGTGGGATGTGTGTCTCTGAAACCCTGAAAACCGCCTACAGATCCTTATCTTTTTGGCCCTCTGGATCTGTGGAACCTGACAGATATGATACAGCAACCCTTGACCTCGTTGACGACCGGCTTGTCACTCCAAACCATCATGCTTTCAGGTCTGAGGGCGACATGTCTAACACGATTTGATGCATCGAAATCTATCTAGGGCTGCAATGTCACTGGGGTCCTGTATTTTACGGAAGTGACAATCGTCCGTTGCATGAGGTTGGCACCCTAGAGTTTCTTGGCGTTGGCACCATTAAGCGCCCGCGAAGTGACCCTGGTGTAACACCGCAATCCAATGTGCGCCTTTCTCCGCACAGAACCCTGCATGAGAGCTATATTCGCAGGATCTTTGTCTTTCTGGAGTAACCGCCTATCAGACCTCGACCCTGAAATGATGAAGTTACCCCTGAGTCCGACAATATCGTTCGTGTAAACTTCTCAAAGCTCACACCCACATCGCGACTTTAATAGATTGTTTCCTGCAAGTCAATAACGTCGAAGACGTCATTTGTCCTGGTATATCCCGTTGAAACATAGCGGCAACGATGCGCCCAATCTCCTCCCCAGCATGTCCGACTACTGAGCGACACACCGCCGATCAGTCGCCAATCCTGGGCAACAGAGGGCAACGTGTATCTGGGGGGACATTGGTGACTCTTTTAACACAGCCACGTTTCAAGCCTCCTCGTGGTCATGTTCTTTACCACTCGGGCTGTGACGTCGAATGTAGTGGGCGATACATCCCTGGCTCAGGGACTAAGACCACAGCCTCGTATCTCTGTGGCCTTTGACTCGTCTCTTGGCTTGCTCAGAAGTTTGTCGACATTGCTGCCTTTTTGCATCCATCAGAAAGGAAAGCGCCGAGAATATGTGCTAAATTTAGTCAGGCTTCGTTGGGGGCGAAATTGGCGCTTTTCAAGGTTCGAGTATTCCGCAACATGGGGAATCTGCATGGGCTTCCGGCTACAAAGCTTAACTCAAATCATGGACGGGGGCGTGGCTTGCCTGTAAGTGAAAATTCACCAATTCATCACACCCCCATCTCTTTTCTTTTCCTTTTTTAGCCCTCGGCGACATGTCCGCGTTTCTAGGACTGACCTTGCCATGTGTGGCCCACTCGAGCATGTCTGTTTGAGCTCTTTCAACGGGTCCCAGAGTCTCCCACTCCACCCTAATTTATCGCTGACCTAGAGATCTACACAACATGCCTGATGCACGAATCGACCGCCGACGAGGACTCTAGAAATTACGGAGGAGCGACCATGGCACCTTCTCACCGCTACCACGAGCTTCCACATAAACTCAGGTGAAATCGAAAACGCACCAAGGCAAATCTGAAACGCCCAGGGGTCTTGGAGATCCTCACCACGCCGAACAGAAGAGCCAAACTACCCGGTGACTGTTGCCTTCTCGAGCCAGTTTGAATTTCCCTGCCTTACCACAGCGATGGACCCGCGGAGAGGGGCGGACGGGAAGCGCGTTGGGTGTGTGCAGCCTAGAGTATCCGCTGGTTGGTTTGCTGACGCGAAAAACAGCCCCCACTTTCATCTCCGGCGGACTACCCGCTGCGAATGGGTGTGGCTTGCCTACTTGGAGCAGGACCAGTCGCCCACAAGCAGAGTGAGTAGCACTGATGTCGATGGCTCGGAGAACTCTCGAGGTCCTTCGAACACACGAACCACTGGGCCTAACGATCCACTTCATTCTTTTCCTCGATTTCGGGTTCTTCCAGAGACACATTAACGAGTGAGGGATTGTCCGACCGGCTTCCAAGACTCCTACACGTATTTAGGGAAGCTATGACGAGAGCAGCACGGGAACCAATGCTCGTGAGCTCAACGACTACCATTTTATCTTTCGAATTGAATTCTATGAAATAGGCATCCGAGCTAAAACGCTAATTTCGAGTCGAATTTAGGAAGAAGCAATTACGGCAAAGGGTCTGGAGTCTTACGCCCTTTCTTTGGCGAGGGACGAGATTCTGCACTCACTCGCTGCGGCCTGCACCAGCCCACCTCGCAACCTACGACGCCGGTAAGTCTCTACCTTTGACTGTAGGCGAGAAACTAGGTAGGTTCTAAAGCACGGACTAATCACAGCCAATTTGACAGAAGAAAACCAACGGACAGGCGGCCCCTTCTTTTAAATTGAAATTTCAAGTGACCCTGAGCTCCAGGGCTCCGCAACTCAACCCAATTCCCCATCTTCATCCCCATCATGGTGCTCCTTCTCAATAGAACGGATTCCGTCATCCAAAAAGACCCTACCAACGAGCTCTTCTGCATAAATCTAGATTATTTACCGTTCCATATGGAAGAGCGGCGACCTTGGAGGAACTCAGGAAATTGAGCAAGTCGAGGCTACGATCACGGTATCCTAGTTTAAACCTACTCATGGCCGCGGATCGATGGAAAGTAGAGGTTGATGCATGCGGTACGATTGGGTAACGGAGGAAATCCAAGGTCCCTCAGAACTGGAAGAATGGTCAACACCTTTGTTGGAAAGCACGCAGATTTGAGTTGCCTATGAACTGACTGGGCGCTCGGCCTTCGTAGTACTGCCGGTAGCCCTTCTCAAGTTCCCAGACCTAATCGGACTAAAGCATCTATCCAACGAAAGGTGGTTCAGGCATACACAGTGGACCGTGCTTGGAAACGAAACGAGTGCATTTATCGAAGCTAGACAAGAGATATAGTTGGTATAAATTGTGGTTGTGCAACAGTTTGATCGAAAGATTCCACGTGTAAGAAATGAAAAAAGGAACTAGCAGTACAATGTATAACGACGGAAGCACAAGTTGCAGATATTGTCCCAAGAACAAAGGAAAAAAAGTAACTCGAGAAAACGATAAGAAGCTCAAATTTCATTGCGAAGAATAATCGTAAAGCACTGTTCACAATAAGGATGGTTATCCCTCTGGAAGAACGAAGGATCTTCGAACGGTTTCTTGCAGCCCTGTTCCCAGCTACGGTCAGCACAAGCTCGAAGCGACCGACGATAAAAACCACATACCTCGCAAACAAAACAGGCCCAGCACCACTTGCCTCCCAGGGCTTCAACGGCACGATCATGATCCCTGATCGACTTTTTACATTTCTTGCATTTAGGCAACCGCAGCCTGACGTGACATGGTTCGCAATAGGGATGGCCTTTGTAAACGGTAAAACCTTCGAAGTCGCCATCACCACTGAGGGCCAATTCTCCTGTTCATGACGCATGAATACGAATTACACACAGCGACCGATAAGAGAGCACGAACCTCCATTAGCCGACCTCGACATCGAAGGCGTCATGAACGGATCTCCACATTCGGCACAGAAGAAATGCTCCATGTGATACGTTCTCTTGCCCAACGCAGGATCATCGAGACTGATAAACTGTTCCTCAATAATCGAGGTCTTGCACGAGTAGCACTTCGGTGCGAAGTTCTATAAAGCGGACAATCCACCCATTCAGAATCCTTTTCCCCACTCGCAAATTCAAAATGAAACGAACCTCGTGATAATCCAAATGACAATACGGTCTTCCATCGTGCTCGTACGAGCTGACGTGTTCTAACAACGTCTGGCATACGCTGCACCGGAAACACTGTGGATGCCAGCGGAGGTTCATAGCAGCAACGATTCGGCCAACGATAGCACCTTCACATCCAGCACAAATCAACCCTCCAGGCGGTTTCCGCCCAGCCCTCGAGGGGTTCGCCTGAGGCGGTGGTCGATTGTTCGCAGCGTTGGGATCATCGTCGAATTGAGGACCAGATATACTGACGCCCGGAATCTCGAAGACGTTGACTTTTGGAACATTCTGTTGCTGCTGCTGCTGGTGCGGCTCGTTGATAGTGGGAACACCAGTATCGAAACTATCGAACGAAATCGTCGGAACATTTGAGCGCTGCTGATTATTGTTCGACGACGACCCATCATCCACATCTATCTGGATGCCGGACACGTTCGGCGAAGCCGTCGACGCTGATGACGAGTTCTGGTTCTGGTTCTGCTGCTGGGACCCAGAATCCACAAAATCAAAGTTGATCTGCGGAATCGACGGCGGCCCACCGCCTCCATTCCCATTCTCATTGCCCTGCTGCTGCTGCTGTTCCTGCTGCCTTCTTAACTCCTTCTCCTCCTCCTCCATCTTCTGCAAATTCGCCATCTTCTCCCTCCCACCAACAGGTGCAGGACACTGAATATCCTGCCTCTTCCGGAACTCGGGAAGAGGTGTATGCTGCGGCCTCGAAGTAGGATCTTGAACAGGCGCAGGAAGCGAGATGGAAGACAGCTCAGTGGAAGTAGGGGAGAACGAACCAGAAGACCCGGCGTATCGGCTATCGTATGCCTGGCTTTGAGGTCTTCTCTGTTCCTGTTGAGGCTGGTGCTGATGTTGGTATTGAGGCTGCGAGACCGAGAACTCTGTCGAGGCAGGCGAGAAAGAGCCAGAAGACCCAGCGTATTTGCTGTTGCCGTAGATTTGACTTTGAGGTCTCCTCTGCTCCTGGGGTTGCTGTTGTTGCTGTTGAGGCTCTGCATACATCGATTGTCCCCTCCTATGCTGCCCGTACTGCTGCTGTTGGCCTTGCTGATTCTGGTGGTATTGCTGTTGGTGCTGCTGCTGATAGCCACCAACACTGGAAGGAGCAGGCGAAGGGGTCCTCAACGACCTTGGAGGGGGCTCATCCAACGCATCATAACCACCCTTTATCGGTACCCGATTTCGTGCAACCTCACCACGCACCATCCCTCCTCCAGTCGGCTGACCTTGAAGTTGAGAAGGTGGCTGTTGGGATTGGTGGTGTTGTTGCTGCTGGTGTTGTTGTTGAGGTTGCTGGGGTAGTTGCCGACGTTGAGGTTCTCCGACATTCGGATTTCCGCTTGGGTGGCTGGCACCATTCCTAGCAAACCGGCTGAGCGCCGGGCTAGGATTAGGTCGAGGCGGCAACGGTGGCTTGACAGACGACGTTGAAGCTGACGATGTGGACGAAGGAGCTGGCGAGGGCGCTGACGCATAACCGCCACCAGGATGACCATTCCTAAACTCGCTCGTTGGTGTTGGCGCTGGCCCTGGCCAAGGACCGTGCTGTCCTCCTGCAGGTGTGGGAGGAAGCTTTCTCGGACTTCCTTGTCTAGACTGAGGTTGCTGAACAGGTTGCTGTTGCTGCTGCTGTCCACCAAACACGTTAAACCTCGACGCCAACGCCCTCACTCCTCCTTTCTTCGGCGATCCTCCACCTCCCACGGCACTCTGCACATCATGCGACGAAAACTCCGCCTCGCTATACGCCCCATGTCCGTACCCCTGGCCCTTGACAGGCGAAGCCGGCCCAGACATCGAACCCGGCGGAACAGATACCGGTCTACTCTTCTTCACCAACTTCCTCGGGCTCGTGCTCGTACTAGGCGCAATCGACGGTGGCTTCGGCAACCCCCTCTTCGGCGTCTTATCCAAATCCAAATCCACCTCCTCCTCCTCCCTCCTGTGCCGATCCTGCTGACGTGCAAAATACCCTTCTCCATCCCCTTCAGACTCACTCCCAACATTACTCCCCTGACTTCCAGCATACATCGACGCCCCATCCCACTCGCTCCCGCCATACAAACTCCGCCTCTCCCGGTCCTTGATCCCCAGTCGAAGATAAGGCCGTGGACTCGAAGGATGCGTGGGCGGAGGAGGGAACTCGCTCCGGCTCAAAACACTCGACGAGGACGACATCCCCGACCCCGCCGTGCGCCGACTACTGCTACTGTCCATACTCGCGTCCCGGACACGGGTATGGAATCCCCTCCTCTGCCCTAGACCACCACCACCACCACCTTGCATCTCTCCACTCTGCATCCTCCCCCTCCCCTGCTGCACATCCTCACTCCCAGTACTCATCATACCCCGACTTGGGCCTCGATTTGGATCGAAGCTTTGACTTCTTTGGTGACGAAGATTGCTGGTGCTGCCGCTGGCCCCGAAATTTCCTGGGTGACCATCCCTGCTGTTGTTGTTGTTGCTCGGCTGCATAGTATTCGTAGTGGGACGCATTGACGAAGGAGTCTGGGACGGCTGATAATGAGGATGAGGAGGAGGACCAAACCCCATATCACCGAACCCACCTTTGTCTTTTGTCGGGGACGAGGGGAAGGACGAGGAGGGGTAGTTGTTCGCGTTGTTGCTGCTGAAGTTTCCTCCTCCACTCCCACTACGATGACTCTCCGCCTCCCACATCTCCGCCATTCTCATGGTCTTCGTCGGCGATCCAGCGGGGTACGATTGTTTGGTAGGCGACCAAGACCCCGACCCTCCACTGCTAAACTTGACAGGTGATCCTCGACTCGGCCTTTGATAATACACATCATCTTCCTCTTCAGATGGCTCCTGCTGCCGATGTTGATATTCAGACTGCGCCCTTCGATGCTGCGATTGCGCCCTCCTCTGCTGTTGCTGTTGGTTATACTGCGCATACTCCTCTTCGTCATACCGCTGCGACCTCTGGCGTTCATGCGCAGCAACACTCCGACCCCTCCCTTTCCGTCCCATACTCTCTTGCTCTTCCTCCTCATAACCATGACTCTCAGCCTCCCGCCGATGCACACTCCTACTCCTCCGCACCTTCCTAGGCTCCTCGTACACCTCTTCCGATGCTTCCTCCTCCTCCTCCTCTTCTTCCTCTTGCTCGGCGTATCGATGTCGACTCTGCGACCGCGCTCGCCGCTGTCTTTGCTGTTGTTGCTCCCATTCTAACTTCTCCCAATCATCCAACTCAGATCTATGCCTCGCATGTCCCTTCCCCTTTCCTCCCTTCTTCATAGGCGACCCGTTATCAACCACCACAAACCCATCGGACTCCGACCCTCTTGATCTATGCATTGCCATCTTGGAACTCGGTCGCGAACTAGGACTGTAATCGTAGTCGTCTTCTCCACCATCACCCTTGAGTTTCATAGGCTTGGCTTTGGTCAGTTTCATTCGCCCCTGTTTCATAGTGGATGCAGAGGTCGACGACCCAGATTTCGCGTGCTGCGAGGTTCGCGATTTGGTCGGTGTGTCGTCGTAGTACTCTTCATACTGCCGTCTAGCGGGTTTGCGCTGTTTGCTTCGTCTGTACCTCTCTTCCTCTTCTTCGTCGTCCTCCTCCTCGTCTTCTTCGTCGTCTTCTTCTTCGTCATCCTCCTCCTGATCCTCTTCCGACTGAACCAAATCCCTCAAGCTCCTCACTTTCTTCCTCCGAGGCTGCTGTTGTTGCTCAGGATAGTTATGTGAAACAGCCTGCTGTCTAGCTGCCGCCTTGGCCTTCTCCAGCCCTCGCTCTCTCTCCCTTTCTATCTGCGCCTGTGCGTGTGCCTTGGCTTTTGAACCACTCGAACCCTTCAAAGGAACTGACTTGACCGTCATCTTCGACTTGGATTTCGGCGGGGGAGGCCGTTGATGGGGTTCTTCGCTGCTATATTCCGATCCTTCATACTGATACGCGACTTCACTATCCTCTTCATCGTCTTCGTCATCATCGTCGTCTTCCTCCTCTTCATCATCATCCTCCGTGCTTTCCTCATACCGCTGTCGATACCCTTGCTGCTGTTGTTGTTGATAACCCGGATGAGATTGGTGCCTGCTATGTCCCTGCCCCTGCCCTTGGGTATAAACATTCGACAATCCGGATTGTCCATGCCCATGGTAACCAGGAGGCGTACCACCGTGCGACCCCTTGGGAGGTGTAGGATTCAAATATGCCAACATGGACGGCGACCCGTCTTTATCCTTGCTGCTACTCCCATCCCCACCAACAATCCCCCGAATCTTGATCTTCCCAGTCGGAGTCGTCGCTTCGATATTCTTGCCCTTCCCAGTGGGCGTAACATTTGTGTTGGGCGAACTGTTACTGGCTTTGGGGGTGTTGTTGGAGACGGGCTTGGAGAAGGGGTCCGCGACCATCCCTGCTGCGTAGCCGAATACAGGAGCGGGATAGTCTGGGATGGTGCGCTTCCAAATCGGAGTAAACTTTTTGGGAGGTGCGGACGATGCTGAGGATGTTGATGAAGCGGAAGACGCGACGTGAGATTGGTTCATGACCGATCCTGAGGACTGTTTCTGAGGATCTGACGAGGGCTGTTGAGACGAATACCCCTGAGGGTTGGAATTGTTAGAGTGCCACCTCTGATGCGATTCCTCCTTCGTCGGACTGCTGGAGGTAGAAGAGAATCGCGGTGGACTGGCTCGCCGTTTCGGGGTGGACTCATTGCCAGTAGCCATGCTCGTCGTGCGACTCAAACTTCCCATGTTCGAATTGGAAGACGACATGGATAGTGGAGGCAGCTGTGGTGCAGAATCACCGGTTTGCGTCTTGGTGGGACTGGGAGGCCGCGATCGCTGGCTATCAGATTGCGCATACGATGGGAAAGTCGAGTTGGTCACTGGCAAGCCAGAAATCTTGCCAAGATCCACCGTCGTCCGTTTACTCGAATCGCCTGGAGTCCCAGGCAGCGGTCGACTCTTGGTCGACGAGGGCGTGGCAGCGGATAGAGGCTGCTGTTGCTGCGTTCCAACAGGCGAAGCACCTGTTGACAACGAGGTCTGAATTTGGGGTGGCATCGACATTGGCCTTCCCGTCGATGTCGATCTCGACAACCCTACACTAGGCGGGACGAGTGGTGTCGTCGTACCGGCATTACCAGCGGGTTGGGGCAGTGGCCGTCTGCCAGGAGTCTGGGGTGTCGGAGGGGGCTGCACATTGGTATTACTGGCCCCACCTGAGAAGACCGCCTGGGCCGCAGCGAAAGAAGCAGACGGTGCTGGTGGAGGTGCGGATGGCTGCCTGGGGATAGCTTGAGCCTGCGCTTGTTGCTGCTGTTGCTGCAACTCTCGAATACGAGCCTGCTGAGCAAGGAGAGCGGACGGAGAGATCGGAGGTCTCGACCCGGACAGCGGCACGCCTGTCTGTTGAGGCGGGGGTGGAGGTGCAGCCTGTTGCGGGGAAGACCCTAGAGACCCCGGAGTGCCTAGTGGAAACGACGAGGTGGGGATGAAGCTACTCGTCGGCCGGGATGGGAATGAACTGGCCGGCGGTTGAGGCGGAGGATGTGTTTGAGCCGGGAGTTGGTGTTGGACGGGGAGCGGCGGAGGTTGAGGCGACGGCACGGGATACGCATGGGGGTGCCCGTACGCTGCCTGCGGCGGAGCAGTCACAAACCCACTCGATTGCGGAGGCTGAGTCTGAAACTGACTCTGCCCATACTGGGGAGTTGGAGGAGGGTATTGCTGGTAATTGCTAGGTTGTTGCTGTTGAGCCGAGTACGTCGCGAGTCTCTGCAGATGCGGCTGCGGCTGAGGCTTTCCTAGTTGTTGGTAGATATTCTGTGGTTGCTGGTAGTACTGGTACTGCGTCTGCTGGGGCGGCTGTTGTGTTGGTGGTGGAGCAGCCTGCTGTTGCTGTTGATAGTACGCGTTGTGCGCCATCCCTGTTTCCTGTTCTCCGTGATCAGACCAAGATCGCGGTTCGGTTCTTGCTCCATACCTTTAGCTCTATCGGCTAGTGGTGTAATTTAGGATCTAGAGCCTGGCAAAACGACGGGAACGATGAGAGAAAGCCAAAACGAACATGCTTTCGATCACAATTCAACGATCACGTGCTCGGAGGCAAAACGCGTCTCTCAGGGGCAGACCTTGCCTTTTCCGCTAACCTCTCCCGGTTTGGCAACAATTCGAACAACAGGGGTTTCGGGTCTCGTATGCATGTTGTCCTATCGTACAAAGGCTACACTGAGTCTTTGAACCGCTCAACAGCCCTCTCCACCTCCTCCTTCAAAAGCCTCGCCCTCCCATCATCCACAATCGCATTAATCACCAAATCCCCGTTCTCCAGCCTCCCATTATTCCCCCACAAATTGTTCACCCTAAACGATGGAGTTGGGAAGAACCTATAGTGACAAACTGTCCTTCCTCCTCCAGCACCTCGAAAATCTAAATCCGAAATCCTCGCGACAGAAACATTCGACATGATGAAGCTCTCATCTGCGTCGGCATGTACAGGTGCGATGTACCCGTTCTGCTTGTCGGCTTGTTTGAGGAGGTGGTAGACGCCCACACAGTCCGCAATACGGCTACCTGAGAACCGCGCTTTGGCGACACGGTGTGCCAGGTGGTGTAATGGGAGGCTAAGGAGGTCGTGCACTGAGATGGGCGTGCACCGGAGGGTCGTTACGCAGTTGTGCGGGTAGAGAGCGAATTGGTTGTCCCATTCTCCGCGGAGAGAACCGACATTTTGGAGAGCGATCATTCGGTTGGCGCGCCTTTCATCTGCGTAGGTGGTCTATTCACTCCTTAGCTAACATTTCGCGGTTCCTGAAATAGTAGGACACACCTGCATCAACCATGAAGTAATCACATCCCCACTCGTAGGCCTCACATCCGTAATCCCTTCATCCTCCAATGCCTTCCTCGCCTCCTCCACCAGCCCAACATGCACCTTTTTCGGGATAACAATATTATAATCCCCAACTCCATACTTCCAATTATGCCACCAATTCCCAAACAAATATTTCACCAACCCGCCGATACCCACCACCCTCCAATTCACATACGGATTCCTAACCAACTCGTTCTCCATCAAGGCCTTCTCGTACTCCCGCTGCATGACCACCCCAAACTCGTTGGTGTTGAGACCTGGCGAAGGGAAAGGCGGGACGTCCCATTCTCTACCATTCAACTCGGCTGTAACGGCGTGCATGACCAGAGCAAAACCCTGCCCATCGAAAACACCATGGGAGTAGTTCACACCTAGACACGTATACTCCCCTTCAGCGCCTTTGAAATACGTCAAATGCCAATGGGTGAACGGCGCCAAGGTGGCAGCGTAGGCGTCCAACCCGGTCATGCCAACACGCTCCTTGAACGGCATGAAGATATCAAGCGGTGGGTACTTTGTGAACGGCGCAAGTGGGAGCTGGATGTAATGCGAAAGGGGGAGTGGGGATGTCGAGGTGGTTAGGATATACGCTTGGTAGTCTGGAGGAAGGGGGCCAAGGGGTATGTTGATTTGGTATCTCTTCAGCTGTCAATGAGTATGAAGATCGCGATATACGAGTTTGAAGACGCACCTTCCGACCCGTAACTTCCACTCTGCCGCCCACCAAAGGCCACTTCTTAACCACCGTATCCAACGCATCCCGTATTTTCTCAACGTCAAGGATGCCCTCCACCAACCAAGCCTTCGTCAAGCTCTCTTGAGACAAGTTGTCGCATAGCGTGAGCGGAAACAGCGCCGTCTCGACAGAGGATGCCGACGTCTTCAAGTTGGTGTCCTCAGTAACTGAAGCAGTTTGCAACATCGTCCGAGTAGTGAGCAGAACGTAAGAAAGCCTTCGGGCGAGCGCTATCCGGAGAAGGTGAGTATTTCAAGGAAGATAAGAGAGACAGGGCCTGTCAATCAGTTCAGGCTCCTCCAGACAGCTTGATTGCAGGGTGGACATTCCGTGCGCACGTTCAACCGCATGACCATCTCTCAACCCATAAACAATTGCAGATATACATACGTGAGTTCACGCAACCACCAGACCAACTGTGATCTCGAGCTCCTTCTCAATTGCTGAGGAACTGGTCCTTCACATCCATGCCGTATTCATATTGTAGCAACAAGAGAAGCTACGGAAGTCAAAAGTGCCGACCCAGCTCCATGATGGAAGTTGCCCTGCCGATAGTGTGGCCAGTGATATGCATCGTGTCGGGTGGGCTATCCGAGGACGGAAGTGTTTGCTGGCTTTCGTCGTCACTGGGCTGCTCGGCGGCGAGGGAGTGAGGTTCTTACGAGAGAGCAAAAGGGAAGCGCGATCATCGTGTCGGGGGCGCGGGAACTTTGGCGCACAGTCAGGTGATCCCGGCACTGCGGCGACCGTATAAGTTAGCGGCCAGACAACTGCGAGGAACTAGCAGAAACGTAACGACAGTGAATTTCATCCGAATGTAATGAGTCTCAATAGTCATTACTCAGCTTAGTCGGTACATAGATGATACACTATAGATAAACAAGATATTCTAGCAGTCCAAGTCCAAGATCTACAGTATATCTACACTCCAATTTTCGTCCACCCAGTCTTACTCAACACCTGCATCTCCTCCACAACGCAGAACGACCCAGGCTCCTTCCTCTGCCCCTCCTTCTCCCATTTCGCAATCTTCCTCTTTATCGCACCCTTAAGCCAGGGCAGCCGCAACAGGTTCGTTCCAAACCTCACAAACCACCCAACCACCTCGTCCTCCCTCGTAGGCCACACCCTCACCCGATCATACGCCACCTTCTCGTACGCCACCCTTACGCGGGGGTTAACCCACACACCCTGCTTCTCGGTCTCGGGGTTATCAACGTGTATCAGGCAGCATTCGCTCCCTTCGAGATGGTATGCCGCCATCGAATCGTCGATAGCCCGGAAGCGGAGGGAGGTAGGCGGGAGGAAGGGCTTAGCATCGAACGCGGCGATGCCGTTCCAGCACGACTTGACTGGTACGATTTCCCCCCGAAGCATAGCATCTCGACTGGGCCCACTGGCAAAAATGGGGAACCGTGTCGATGCAAATTCCCATCCGTTCGTATCGCGCATGACAAAGGTATCGTAGAACCGTCGGTATTCTGTGAAGTCGAGCCCACAGGCTGCGGAATAGTGTCCGTTTCGTGTCCGTAGTAGTTCCCATGCGTCTTCCCCCTGAGTACGTAGAGATATTTAGCATCAAAGGCAGCAGTATGAAGGGATGCAGACTAACCGTGAATACAATATCGTTCAAGAACAGAATTTTGTCGAACGACCGTGTCCCGTTGACCACCTTGGGATCCTCCAGCGGTTCCAGCACCTCGTTCCTCACTTTTGCAAGGTACGGTATCCTCCTCAAAGCCGTCCTCCCTCTGGGCGTCACCACCCACCCTGCCTCTCCAGGTTCAGGTTTCCTATTCACAACGTCCTTGTGAGTTTGTCCTCCCAAAACAATCCTGTTCTCCACCCCCATATCCTCCAACTGCTTCTCCAGAGTCCCCAGTATTGTGAGGGTGCGATCCGGCCCAGGGCTCGCTGTTATAGACACAAAGACATTCTCCTTGCCCAGCAAGAGGATCAAGGAGAAGAGCCCAGGTATCCAGTGGTCCTCAAGCAACTCTTCGCATTTCCACAGGTTGGCTGCAATGAACACGCGCCCTATCGGTTTCTTCTCGAGGTTGGAATGGGAGTTGTGGAGGGGTACATCCTCTGTTCGAGGTTCAGAGCGTCGCCAGTAGAGGAACTCGAAGACGAAGAACGCGACGGCGATGAAAGCAAGGATGCGTACGAGTTGGCGGCGCCGGCGCAAACCTTGGGGGAGATGTTGCATGCTGTAATTTGACCCTTTCATTTTCTTGGATCTAGATGGGCGGTATAAACACTCCACGCATATACAGGCCCCAGGCTGGCTGCGGTTGTTCGCTGGACCGCAACCAATGATGGAAGGTAAAAAGACGTTTCGAAGAGTAACGGCTAGGGCCTAGTTGCCCGTGCCAGCTGTAGTTCATCGCCGCCACCCATTTCCCAAACAGCTCCAAATGCGCAGCTCAATTTCGGTGGAGAAAGAATCAGATCAATTATTTCATCATTCATCCTGTGTGGGCGTAACAGCTTTGTTAATTTTTGATCCCGTCTTACCTCCGGACCTTTGTCCACCCTGTAGTTCATGGTGGGCGAACAGTGGGTCTCAGTGTGAATGGTTCATGTGGTCGTACCTGGTGCTGGTGAGGGTCAACCAGCGGCATCGTGCGAAGGGGTCTAAGTGGCTACTTGAAGCCGTCGACTGCGCACTCAACAGGAATATACAGAAGCGACGGCCAAAAATGCCCTTTGATCTACATATGTAATCCATGTGAGCACTTGGTCGAGAAGCCAACGAGAAAAGAAGTCAATGGGCGCTTACATGAAACCTAAGCCGATGGGAATCTCGGCCAGTTGTGGACACCATAGAGCATGGGCAGAACCCTCCTAGAGGCTCCACATACGTCATTGTCAAGATGCTTTCTCAGTTCTGGAATCGAAAGGATCATCGCTTCGTCAACTGGACTTCGCACGGTGTAGTTGCCTGTCTGGAATGCGCAGAGTATCTTCCTATCCTAGAAGCACAGGTAGGGTGATTTGAGTAAATTGAGGAATAAGTATCACGGAGATCACCAACTGTTACCAACACTAGTGGTGGGGGTTCGACATAAGGTCCAAGGCCTACTTCCAGGATTTGTCACGGGAGTCGTAGAGCACCTCAGGTCTCAGGAGTCAGTGATATCCTCCTCCTGCTACCTTTCGGACTTTCAAGCTGTAGGACCTCGACGAGGAAGAAAATCCAAGCGAACTAGATTCTCGCTATGCTGCCAGTGGTAAGCCTCGCCCACCCTGAGTTTTCCTTTGTCGCCTTTGCCGAAAGATAATGTCCGTGGCTGTTGTTTGAACGTGAGGGAAGCAAAGTGGCCAGATGTGGGCTGAAGTTGGTCATAAGCTGGAAAGGCGCTGTCCACCATTAACTGACCTACCGACGGTTTTCACATTTTGAATCTGAGGTCTGACGCAGCCTGGTAAGGCTCTCGGTGCAACAGATTACTGGACGTGCTGCAACAGAGGCTCGGTCGCCAGTTGAGTATAGGGAAGGACAGGGGTAACCCCCCGGGTAGCCCGGACACCTAACCCCTTACCCCCCACGCCCCCAAAACCCCTACCCCTGACTGAGGGGTAGGGGTAGTACCCTTACCCCCAACCCTGGGGGTTTTGACCAAGGGTTTTAATCATTTTGGCACTAACAATTACTTACAGTTGTCTATATGTATATTTTTATGTGTTTTATTGCACATACAGCAGTTATTTAGTAGAAAATATACATAGATGCTGAAATAAATGGGTTTTGATTGATTTTTATCAAAACCCTTACCCCCGACCGGGGGTAGGGGTTTGGCCAAGGGTAGCTGGAGACCTACCCTTACCCCTACCCCGCTCTACCCTTGGCCTCTACCCCGGTGTTACGCCCGAGGGTCGTCTGACCCTTCAAAAATCGCGAATAACACACCGCCGGACTAATTTCGTCCGGTAAAAACGTACATCTCGATAAGTGACTGAAAAGCCCTAAGGCACTGTGTTTTTCATAACCGGCGGTCACTTATTCTGTCGTATGAGTTGAGACGCGAGCCCAGAGTCGTCAACTAAGTCGAACTCTAAGAACGACTCCGAAAGAGGTTGAATGTAACGCATCGTTGATACTGTATTAATTGACGGGTTAAGGATGTGTACTGGACCAATTGAAGATCGAACTACGGCAGTGAGAATTTTGCACGAAGTCCTCACCGTCGGAAGCAAGACTATCCATGGGAGTGCACGATCGACTCCGAATCGACTAGAAAGTTAGTAGCGACTTAAACAAGAACGATGACACTTAGCTCCAGCGCCTGTCAGTACCCTAAGAGGAAACGCCCATAAGCGCCGCCGGACGGTCGGAATCAGCCATCAGTCGTGGAAAGCTAAGGGGACCTCTACGGATTAGGCACGAGATCGATAAGATAGAAGCCGAGATAAGATAACCAGAACGACGGGACCAGGAACGGATCACACGAGATGTTCTACTCGCGGCCACCAAAAGTGACCGCCATCACGGCTCTTTCCCACGTATGCAACTCTGCTTCATCGCAAAATAATTGATTGTATTACACTAGGAAGAGGATAGTCCGAATCCATTTCTGGTATATTGGTAACAGTAGGGTAGGTAATGGAGACTATGGAATTAAAACCCAGTATGCCCACCGTGATTGTCCAGGAGGGCGCAGGCACGGTCATCCATCCGTTTGATGTGAGCATTCACGGTCGTGATCGGTAAATCTTCCCATGCCTTCAGGACGGCTGCTTTGAGGGTATCGATAGATGATGGCGGATTAGGCTGTTGACTGACAAGGTCTTTGAGCGCCTTCCATAATGGTTCGATGGGGTTGAGATCAGGGGAAGAGGCGGGGTGTGGGAAGACTTTGATCTTGTTGTCCTTGAACCACTTTGTGACAAGTTTGCTCTTGTGTCCAGGGGCGTTGTCCTGCTGAAACTGGATATTTGGCCTCTCCTTCTTCATCTCTGTATAGAATGGCTTTAGAATAGGCTGTAGCACCTGATCAATATACCGTTTTCCATTCATTCCACCTCCTTTTCCTCCCGGGTACTGCAACACACACAGTGGGCCTTTCCTATCCTTCATGATACACCCCCACACCATCACCCGCACCGACGACTGCTTGAACTTGGGGACAGTGCAATCCTCCATCAAAACCTCCTCGGGCCGGCGTGTAACATGGACTCGGCTTCGATTATCGCCGAGGTAAATGTAGCATTCATCCGACCAGATGATATCCCTCCACTCCTCGTCACTCCAATCTTTCCGTTCCTTTGCCCACTCTTCCCTGGATTTCTTGTGAGCATCTGTGAGGTAGAAGACACGCCTAGCAACGCGTCGGTGATAACCTTCACTGGCCAGGACGCGTCGGACTGAGGAAGCGGAAATATTGGTGGCGGAATCAATAGCGATGTCAGCGAGAGGTTTTCGACGAGATTTTCGCGCGTTACGGATGATTTCGCGTTTGTCCCTTTCTGAAATCTTTGAAGGACGGCCAGAACGCGGGCGGTTCTTTGTTGATCCCGTGGTTTCGAACTTGTGAAAAATATCGTTGGCGGTGCGTGGCTTGATGCCTTCAGCTTCTGCAGATTTCTTGATGTTCCCGTTCTCTAGGATGCGACCAATGAGGCGGTTCTTCTTTGGAGTATCGAGCTGAGTACGTTTGGTCTTACTGGTGGTCATGTAGAGAGGTAGAGCGTAGTGTGGTGGTTCGAATTTTAATGACAACTATGACGACGCGAACTGAGCGCGTTTGATAGATTACATAATTGGCGGACACTTTTGGTGGCCGCGAGTATTCCGTTGGACAGGTGTCCTCTCCAGGACAGATGAAACGGGGTACTAACAGTCCCATGACCTGTCAACAGAAAAGAAGTAGTACAGAAAGAAGGGACAGAACGATGAGTCCATACGCCGCCCTCCGGCGGTGTTTACAAAAGGGTATACCGTCTGTTTCCGCGGAAGCATCTTCACGGAGTAACAATGGAGTTTCCCACCACACATTGGTTCCGTCCGACGGGACGGAACTACCAAAATTCACGCGCTTCAACAGCGCATCAATAGACGCCTATGGGCATACTCGGCACGACACCGCCGGGGCTTCTTTTGTCGCGTTTCCTTCCTATTTCGTATTTCTGATTCTCTCGTACCTCCGCTCCGTCTCTCTACTCTTATCGTCTGTATCCTGCGCACGAATTCGGTTTGTTTTATAGTCTTTGCTAGTCTTTATTTCGCAGCTCGTAGTCAAACAATGTGTACCATATATATAGGCCCGCCGGGCAAAAGAATAAACAGATACCCCTTTGACTCGATTATATATCTTGTCCTGATCGACACCAGTCGTTCAGTAAAACAAAGAGGAATTCTCAGAGTGTCGAGTTAGCGAGTTAGCGAGTTAGAGTCGAGTTCGAGTTTACGCGTGAATACACGAGTCTGAGTTTAAAAACGAGTCAACGAGTGATCCCGCCGGGACGAGTTTTAAGTGTTTCCGAGTTCAAATTCGAGTTTCGAGTCTAAGTTGTGTTTAAATCGAGTCGCGAGTCGAACTTAGTGTTTCCCTTGTGTGTAGAGCACAACAAAATACAAAACACCACCCGCATAAAGTCAAGAGCCTTTTCAAAGCTCTAAAAACCCTAAAAACCGTTCTATACGAGTCAGAGAGTCTTCTCCTCGTTAACTTAGTCTACTAAAACAACAACCCCATCGAACTTGCGTGCCAACGTACAGACAGTACCTAAAAGTCTTTAGATTTTGGCCGTCGGTCTTCATCTTCGTGTCACTTGTCTCACAACAAGTTCCACTCGATTCGGGACGCCGGTTGTTTTCTGCTCTTCTTTGTGCTTTCTGTGCTAGCCAGCACATCACCGGGGGTTTTAAAACCCCTTGACCATCCCTAGTTGAGTATGTCAAAAAATCGACTTGCATCGACGACCCTCCGAGTCAAAGCAGCGATTGCAGAGTCTGAGAGTGCCTTTGAATCAGTATGTCGGACGGTGGCTGAGTACTGAGCATGGAGTACTGAGGCCTGGTGTACATGCACACAATGTGTGACACAATAGAAGAAAACAATTCGAGCCCTTCTAAAAATGATGTTTAACCCTAACCCATGCTTATCCAGATCCCGATTTGGAACACGTCCTTCCTTTCAGAGGATGCGACTTTAGACGCGCCGTGCCACTGAAAAGCGAACTTGTGCCACAGGTCTTGTTCATGCAGTGAATGTATGTTTTAAATATTACAGGACTTCAAGAATTTGAAACTAGTCAGATATCACGGTACGAGCGCACTGGCCACTCTGATTGTGCAAAAACATACAAAAAGGAGCGTGGGAAATACCTTCCAATGAGATCAAGCCATTCAAGAACATAGACAAAGGACAATGACAACATGACTCGGCACTCACCGAAAGATTGACCATCGATCAGGATGATATGAATGTATTCTTCGGATGGTGGAAATAGTCAAGATTGTCGGGTTAGTAGTCAAAGAGAATTGTGAATGCGATGGGACTTGGGTGACTTTGAATGGAGAGAAACACGTGCTCAGCAAGGTCCAGGAAGAGACGTGGCCGGAGGATCAATTGAAAACAGCGTAGAGCAAGACTCACATCGATCGGCGCGGATCACCTTGTACTGTACAGTTCATGATCCGTCTCCTCTTCTCATTCCAAAATGAAGCGTACAAGTGTGTAGCATTCACAATCTGCATCCTGGCCTATCCTGGCTCAAAAAATCAGTTTCGACACTGAAAAATGTAGTCAATATCGACGTTCAAGGCGATAACAGTCGTTGAGCCAAAAGAACCAACGATGGGGATCGAACCTTCGCGGGGGCTATGAACCCAGCTCATAGGACTCGAACTAAATTAGCGACCGACAGGACTGGCGACCCATGCCCCATCATGTCGACCGACACGACTGACAACGCGGACCACCCATTGAAGCGACTCGATCCTGCAACCGATGAGCTTGAACCTGAACGACGGGACTTGGCCCATTGAAGCTTGGATATATAAACTGACCGTTTCTCGACGAGTTCTTCCCATCTCTCCCCCCCCCTCCTTTCCTCCTCCTCCCACCACCACCACCACCTGCCAATTCGCCTGCCTGCCCACCATGTTTCGACAAACCATAACTAGGCACGTTGTGAACATTGTAACACATTCGTTCATACTAACCATTGTCACAGCTGCTCCAAATGCAAGGAGCACACCAATTCTTTCGAACACTTTGACCAATGCGTTCTACACGTCGCGTCCGTGCCTTCCTCCGATTTCATGCACAAGCGCGAGGTCCATCGTGACATGAGAGGCCAGCTCTCGTGCCCATGGTGTTCCTTCAAATCCGGCATGTTCTCGGGAATTGTAAGTGTTTACCCTCCTTGTCTAGTTCGCAACATAAACCAACACACGGCCTTTCCCCAGCTTGGGCACTTGCCAGCTTGCTTTACTTGGGTGGGTTTCCACACTCATCGTTTGCAGGGCTGAGGGTGCTCAACGTCCCTAGTTGAAGGATTGTGAAATGGTCCGCGTTTATCGGTCTGTCTCCTACCTCCTTTCCATAAGCCACCGCTCATAATTGTATTGACAGCTGCCCCGACTGCAAATCAAGTTTTGGGTCCTTGGCCCATTTTTTATCTTGCGTCGTGCTTGATGTTGAGGCGCTCTTCCCCAACTCTACGGCTGCGCCACTCATCACAAGAGACCCGCGCAATGAAAAATTCCCTTGTGTGTTCTGCCGGGAATTTATCCCCTCTTCCTATGACTACCAGGTGAGTCCCTCTCCCATCCTTAAGGAATAGAATTATCATTCTGGGTGCAGTTCACTCACTACAGAAATTGTGTCTTTTGGCAAACAATGGAGTGGTCGGCTGAGGGTATCGAGGCCTTAGGTTACGCGTGGGTTGAATTTGAGCGCGAATCGATTAATGCCAAACTCGAGTTTTGGGGAGGGGAGAGTGGTTTGTATCAGACCGATGATGACGATGAAGATGGTGATGATGTGTCTTCGAATGAGTAGATCCGAGGCACGCGATAATAATTAATGCAATCAGTGTAATAGTATTGTTCATATTGCAAACAGCTGTCCAGTGTACACACAACTGTGAATCAGACCTCGAGTCGATGTCTTTCCTCCCTTTCCTCCTCCAAGTCTTCAGCAACCATCTTTAAAAAATCCTCCTCCATGTATCGTCGATTAAGCTTTTGTCGACGACTATCGCTGAGTCGAAGCCTCGCCTGCTGGAACTGAGCGTCAGCAAGACCCAAGACTGCCGCATCCAGTTTGACTTCCTCGTCTTCATCCTCGTCCTCGCTCTCGTCTTCATCCTCGCCTTCATCATCATCATCCTCCGAATGCTGAAGCCTTGCACCTTTCTTGGCCTTGGTGCTGTGGGTCATCCACCAAGATTTACCTTCAACGTGCGCCTTGTACATCGGTAAGTAGAGCGCCCGGTTAGCACAGGATGACTTCCCGTTCCCCGAGAGGTGGACGTGCATTTTTCTGGCACTATCGCACCTGACAACACAAATATGTAAAGACCCGAAGACCCGGTGATTGCAGTGGTGCAGCAGGACTTACTCGTGTTTGCAGTCAGTGCCAGGACAGCGCCACCAATCTTTCCTGTCGATCTGGAACACAGTCGCTTTCGCCAGTGCCTCTGCAAACGCGCTGTGTGCACGGGCACTGGGAGCAAGGAGTGGTGAGCTATTTGTAACGAAGCTTGATGGAGAGTCTTACACGTGTCTCTCAAGCTTGTCCAAGCATGACCAGGTCTGGTCACCGCCGCACTTTGCACAACGATAAATGGTCTTGCCTTGGTCATTATGCTATAAAATGAGATGGACTTTGTCAATGGGACAGACAAGACAAGAGAGGCAAACCAGAGAGCACTTACCACCCCCATTGATTGAAGATTAAACGGTTCGACAAGTTTCTTCATCCATTCAAATGCCACCGCATCCCGGTCCACCTCAAATGACACTGCCTCCTTCTGTTCGTCGAACTCCACCTGGACGATCTCATAAATCATTGTTGTCATTTTCATCGTCGAGACTATGGAGCGCTTGCTTGTAGGCAGCCTCCTCTTTAGCATCCAGCTCCCGCCTTTTCTCTCTTGCTCCCTCCTCCAAGAAGAGTGGCATCGCTCTTTGAAGACCCGCAAAGTCCTTCAGAACCACTTCTTCCACATTGTCCAGACTGTTCAGAGCCCCCTGGTAATCACGACATGTGTCGATGTACTGTTGCAGTGGCTGCGCACCGGTGGAGGTGTTGTCACTTGTCGTCGGGCGGCCTATGAGCAAATGCATGGTAGAGGTTGCCGGAATGCATGCGTTGCCTGCTGTAGTGTCGCGAAGAGCGAACACTAAACCAAACCAAAGACCAGAAGAGCGAAGCGGATGAGAGCGGAGAGCGAGATAAGAGCGATGAGCGACTAAGGCAGATGAATGCTGAAGCGGTGTATTGACAAAGAGGTCAAGCTGAGGAAATACAGAGGAATCTACCTAGCTTATATACCTATTCTACAGTCTCCATAGCCGCAATGAGTCAGGATGACGAGCAAATGGTGAAATGCAAAAGAACAATAAGAAGTCATGAGGCTGCGCGAAGGCTGCGCGAAAAATGAAGAAGACAGTGGCGGAGTAACGAGGCAGTGCAAGAATGAAGAGAACAATAAGATGTAGGGCAGAGGGCATAACGAGGCAGTGTTCCATGGGAGAAAGTGTCCGTGTCGAGAATAAAGGCAAGAATAAGAATAAAGAGGAAGTGATAAGGGCGATGAAAGCGATAAGATAAGATATGGAAAAATAGGGGCTCGTACCCGCTGTTCACGACACTGTGTGCCCTGGGAGCTCCTTCGGTGTCGGAATCGAGGTTGTCGGAGATTTCAGATGCCGACAAAGCCTGTGCAGCAATGCCCAGACCAAACTCAGGCAGCTGTTTTTCGAACACTTCTGGAGGAACCATAACGGTGGCGGCCAAAGTCTCTGAAGCACAAGCAGAGGTGGGATCCGTGGTGGATGAAGAGGGAGCAGTTGAAGATGAGGGAGCAGTTGAAGACGAGGGTCCAGTGGCAGTGGAAGACGAGGGGGCAGTCGAAGACGAGGGGGCAGTCGAAGACGAGGGGGCACCCATTGACCGGATGTTGTCAATAAGCTTACTCGCTGGTTGAATCTTTGACGCTTCACGAAGAACCTCATTCCTCGTTTCAAAATCATCCCCTCCGGACTCTTCTTTTACCGCCTTCCTCAACCTGTTCCTCTCCTTCTTCGAAATACTTTTGTAGGTCTTGCTCAATGCTTTGCTCCTCGTGTTCCATTCCTCAAGTGCCTGTGAACAAAACCTGGTCAGAAAGTGAAAATGAATACACGTATGATATCTCTACCTTTCGAGCCGTTTCAGAACTACTCCCTTCCTCAAAAGTAACAGAATAGGTGCTGGGAAATGGCAAAGTTCCAGCTGCATAATCAATGATTTTCAAACCTGAAGCATAACGAGGTTGAGGTATTTTCGTCAACTTATCCTTGGGCTTGAATATGAAGTGCGAGTAGAAAAGGTCCCAGGTGTCGCGAAGAGCGAACACTAAACCAAAACTAAGACCAGAGATAGAAAGCAGCAAGAGCGATGAGAGAGCTTAGAGCAATGAGCGACTGTTGGGAGTGAAGACTAGAGCGATGGATTGACGAAGAGGTCAAGCTAAGGAAATACAGAGCGAACTACCTAGCTTATATACCTATTCTACCAGTTACATAGCCACGATGAGTCGAGATGACTGAGCAAATGGTGAACGACAGAAGAACAATAAAAGATAGTCACAAGGCTGCGCGAGGCTGCGCGAAGAACAAGGATGAGACAATAATGAAGTAGAAAGACGTCAGAATGAATCGAAAGGCAATACGAGGCAGTGCGTAACAATAAGAACAATAGAGGCAGGGTGAAGGGCAAAACGGGGCAGTGTTCCATGAGAGAAAGAGTCCATAGACGAGAATAAAGATAAGAAATAGGGGTAACAGGAAAGATAAGATGCGGATACAGATAAGATAAGATGAAAATGAAAATAGGGGCCATACCAGCTGTTCACGACACCAGGCTTTATTTGTGGCCGCCATTTCTGTTTGTGATGCAGCCTATGATATAATACCCAGTAAGATATATATTCGCATTGATCACTAGAAGACAACATCATACTTTAGCCAAATTCCGCGCCTGTTTAGTGACATTCTTGTTCTCCTCTTCAGCTTGTTGTCCCTTCGAAACGAGCCGAGTCCTAGTGAAGCGTACAAGTGTGTAGCATTCACAATCTGCATCCTGGCCTATCCTGGCTCAAAAAATCAGTTTCGGCACTGAAAAATGTAGTCAATATCGACGTTCAAGGCGATAACAGTCGTTGAGCCAAAAGAACCAACGATGGGGATCGAACCCACAACCTTTGCCTTGAACCCTAACCCCAAGGGCTACAGGTAGGAAAGCAACGCACTACCATTGTGCTACGTTGGCGACGCAAAGCAATTAAGTTTGGATCTCAAAACGGCGTCTCGGAGGATAAGTGTCCATGAGCAGGATCATGTCCATAGTCCAGCTTCACTCCCAACCCAAGCATAAAATCGCAACTGTGCCTTTTATACTGAAAAGGCGTGGATGGTCTTGTGACAGGGATGGAAATATTGGAAATATGAAGGCAGAGGAGTTCCGGGAAATTTTGAGAAGGGATCTAGCTTATCGGGATAGGCTGCACGGTGAAACGTGCGTGATGAGCCACCATATTCGCCATGGGCAACTGAAGCCCTCCAAGCTCCGACCTGGTTCCCCCACACACGGGTCTTGATAAAAAAAAAGTCAATTACAATTACCGCTAATCTACAATAGTAGTGTCCATCCATTTTTCGACAGCACTTGCATCTCGTCCCATAAACAGAACTTCCCTGGTTCGTGCCTCGTCGCGTTCTCCGCCGTCCACTTTTCATACGCCTTCTCCACCTTCGCCTTTGGCCAAGGTAACGAGAAGAAGCTGCTCCATGCCCGGATAAACAATCCTTTGACCTCCTCCCGCAGCGTCGGCCACTCTTGAACTGCGTTATACGCGTATTCCTTATACGCAACGCGCACCCGAGGGTTCACCCACACACCCTGTCGCGCCGTTTCCGGGTTATCGACATGAATCAAGCAGCATTCGCTCGCTTCCACATAGTTTGTGGCCAATGAATCCTCAATGGAGCGGAATCGCAGAGAATTCGGGGGTAAGAAAGGTCTAGCGTCAAACGCAGCCATCCCATTCCAGCACGATTGCACAGGGACAGGATCTCCCCGGAGGAGGGCGTCTCTGCTTTTGCCTGGGCCAAAGTAGGGGTATTCGGAGCTTACGACGCGTCTACCCTGCGAGTCGCGCATGACCATGGAGTCGTAGAATATCCACGTTGGGTCGTGATAAAAGTCGAGTCCGCAGGCAGCGGCATAGCGCCCACCACGGGTATGAAGGAGTTCTAGTGCTTGGTGAGCCTGTGGACGCGGGAATTAGTTAAGCTTTGGGTAGAGAGGTATTCCGGGTAACGCTCACCGTGAAGTAAATATCATTAATGAACAGGATTTTGTCGAACGAATGGGTTCCGTTGACGACGGCGGGGTCCATAAGCGGTTCTAGGGCTTCATTCCTAACGTTCACGAGATAGGGTATCCTTCTCCACCGCCGATTCCCCTTCCGTGTCGTAACCCATCCTACATCCCCATCCTGTGGTTTGTTCTTCACAAACTGTTCGTGTGTCTGCCATCCCAGCACAATCTTGCGCGCGATGCCCATTTCATTGAGCTGTTTGTCGAATGTTGAGAGGATGGAGAGGGTGTTGTCTTTTCCCGGGCTGGCGGTGATCGAAACGAAAACATTGTCTTTGCCAAGAAGCATAATGAGGGACACAAGAGCCGGGATCCAGTATGATTCGAGGACATGCTCTGCTTTCCAGAGGTTGGCGGCGATGAAAACGCGTCCTATTGAGGGTGTCGTGTCGTAGTCGTTGGCATAGTCGTCATAGTCGTCGTTTCTTAGAGGAGAACTTGAGGACAAGAAAAGCAGAGTGATGGTGGCTGCGGATAAGATGGAAACAAGCCGTAGAAGGCGTCGTCGTCGAAATGACTGGACTCTAGAAGAGGTAGGGCTAAATGGTCGTTTCAGTGATGACATGGGGGCGTTGTGGAATGGATTAAACAGAGAAGAAGAGGAAAATGCTGCGGGAGGGTGGGAATATGCTCAACGTCACCACTCTTTCGGAGGGTGCGGGCGACAAAAAGACCCAACCGTCAACAGTTCTAATAGAAAACGGTCAAGGATAGAAAAAGGCCCTTGAAACGTTGCAGCCCACGCTACGCACACCGGTGAGATCACACCGTTGACCTATCTTCCCGGGGGTATTTCGTTTCGCTAAAAATTGCGCAGCAGCTCTGTCCACACGGTATAAACGGCGAACCGGATCGTTGATGCGCTTCAGAATGCTGTTAAATGCACTATTTTTAACCTTCCCTACCTCCGAGAAACCTATGTACATGTGCCTTCTCCCTGCTGTGGAGACCTAGATAAGTAATTTGAAGTGGAGGAACTGACACTCAGGTTGACAGTAGAATCGCCGAACATCGCCCAACCGATGTCCACATAACCAGGTGGCATGGGGATGATGAGGGCCCATCCAAATCTCGGTGTACACAACTCCGTTGATTCGACAAAGTGTCCGAGAATTTTGGTCATTTGACTTAAAAGGTCGAAGAGCCCGCTGGGACGAAGTCGAGCACGGAAGAACCACGGTGGGTCGCAGTTGATCATCATGATTAAGCCCCTAACGGTTTTAGACGCCCAAGAGAAGTTCGGAATTCGCGTAGACGAGTACACCCATGAGCGCTCATACGATCAGATTGAGGATGAAAGGAGACGGCAAAGACTGAGCTCGACGTGCTACCGGTGACCGACGAGTCGGGCAAAGTGTACGCCGTGGGAATAGCGTCGGGGTCGGTTCACACAGCCCGTGGAAGGCGGAGATGGTCAACGTTCGCTGTTCGCAATGGCGGCGTCATTGTCTCCAATAACCGCCCAGGACTGTACTGCAGTCTCGACAACGAAATCGATCATTTACGAGGAATATGGCTTCCAAATTGCGATACTCGAAACTTCATATTTAGTGATTTGCCGAACCGGGGCCCTTTGGAAGATGCTGTGGAACGGCCACTGCCTTTTACTAAAAGCCTGGCTGTAGGGTCCTGGACTGTTCCTTGCTAACCTCCACCACGTTCAGGAAGCATTTCGACCAGCAAAAGTCGCGTGCTAGTGTACCCTGGCCCTAGCAATTATACCTCTGCACTACCACCCGAAAACACCATCCTCGCCTGTATTGCACATCGCCGACCTTTCGAGACGACAATCCACAGCTCTGCCGAGCACCTTCGGCTCAGCATGACCTTTGCATCTTCTTCCACCAAAGTTTGCGTCCGATGCGCCTCTCCCATCGCAGGACCATCTTCAAAGGCGGAGCAGCGCAGGTCGATGCTCGTGGCATCGCCATCGGGTACTTTGGTCAATGAAGAACCGATCCCCTCGAAGCTCCCCCAGGAAGACGAACAGCTTAGCCGTGGCCCTCCAAAACCATCGCCCGTGCAGCGTCAAATAGTCAACTTAGAGATGTGCAATAAAATCGAGAAGCTTGTACCGGTCGCTACAAAGGAGGAATATGAGAGGTACTCCCGTGGAATCACGTAGTAAGCTCTTCTTATTTATCGTCCTTCCTCTATCGTTGAAAAATCAGTCGTAGCGAGAGAGGGTATCACCCCTGTATCATTCCCTCGCTCACTACCTCTTTCGATGGGTATTTATCTTGCCCATATCTCCATTATGTCGTCGTTTACGAGCTTGTCATTCAGCCCGTGTAACCCTCCAGATTGGACGACCCACGTACACCCCGAAGGATCGCGCTACTTTGTGAAAAAGACACAGGTATGTCTTCAAAATCTTTTCAGCTGTGGCATGGGGCGCAATGGCGCGACCAATTGCCTTGCAGCTTCCCGCACCACCCCACGTTCCTGTAATAGCGCCCATATATCAATACCCCTGAGCTGACCTGACTTCCGCCACCCTAAAACACAGCTCTTCACCGTCGTGACCGAAGCCCGCGTGGATGAAGCCGAAGACCTTGAGTACATCGAATATTACAACTCCAAAATCACGGCCTTCATCGTCACAAACGAGGTGAACCTCCCGCCCAATACATTTTTGGTGTTGGAGCGCCGGACATCTGGGAATTGCGGATACTACTTTGTGGACCATGGAAACCAGTGCCTCTTCTGGTTGGACTCGTTTGACTTTACACACCTCGTGGATCAGGTTCGGATACGACACACTGCATCATTGGTTGGTGAGTAGCTTCCAGTCAAACTCTCGGGTCGCTCTTTCTGAGTCTGGACTATGAAGGCTTGCAAATGCGGTCGCATTACTGGTACCACAACGAGCTGTTCCCCCACCTTTACACCTTGACGGAGGAAGACTTGGATGTAATAGAGGATATGTTGGCTCATGCAATAGGGGGTCAGTTCAGTTGAATTGTGGGATCAAGGCTTCCCGCTCTGACCACCTTTTCCAGACGTTGCAACGTCCAATACGTCTACGATCAATTATGACATAGAAACCCTCAAGTTGATGCATTCCAGCGTACAGCAGTTCCGGTACAAAGGTGACTACCCGCGTCCACCCTACAAGCCAGCCGTATCTAATCTCTGCCATAGGGAAAGAAACACGTTCAAGATCTCCTGGCGCTGCATGTTTTATCTGTAAGTCTATTCACAGGCCTTGTCTTTTCTTTCCCTTGATTTGACCTCTGTCGTCTATAGTCAGAATGTACTCATCGCTGTGTAAGTTTATCCACCGTTCGACCCCACAGCCTCGTAACGTCTATATTTTAGATTCTGAGCGATTTATCTGCCTTCACGGCGAAAAGGGAGCAAGACTCGAGAGCAATCAATCCATCTACGGTGTCTGGCGTCGGTCCTGGTTCCTCAAGATTCTGGCAACTGTTATGGCTTTCGGGCCTAGTATGCACTTTCGGCGACTCAAGGCCGTCACTGTCGATTCAATTGTGAGCAAGCATGCCTGGTCAAAATGCCGGTCAAAGTTGCTGGAAGAATGGCGGGACGTGATTCTCTATGTGGGTCGATGATTGACTGGACTGCACGCGATGGACTAACGCCAAAGACCGTAGGCCACGGTCGTCCTTACGGCCAACGTATCCTTCCTAACGATTCAAAGCGTGGACGACGAAGGTGTGGAGTTAGGGCATCGAACCCACGCACAGCGCGCCAGTGACTTCTCCATCGTGATGAGTATGGGAACTATTATATTTGGATTGTTCCTGCTAATACAGCACCGGGAATCCATGAATGTAAGTGGTTGTATTTCTGAACGGTCTTTACAGCATCTTACTGGCCTTTTGCAGATGCGCTTTATCGCCAATAGGAGTGCATCGAGACTGGGATTGGAAACGTTGGCAGTGCTGTACAGCTTGCCATACGCGATGCTCATGTGGTCGTGAGTTCTATTCTTCGGCTTTCATACCCAACAGACTGACATTGTACTAGGATGATCTCATTCTTTGTTTCCTTCTGCATCCTCTGGTACAAGTCCAACGATCGGACTGTGATGATCATCGTTTCGGTGACCTGCGGTGTTGTGGTGCTGCTGTTGCTTTGGGGCATCAGTGCTTCATTTGAGAAACATCCCTACTGGAGTTTTGCCTCCTTCTTCTCGAGAGAGAAGCCGAAGACGCCCTGGAAGACCCCGAGTGTGCTGGACATAGCCATCGATAGTCCGACAGTCGTGAAGGATGAGGAGAGGATAGAAGAGAAGGTTGGGAGGCAGAAGGCACCACAAAGAGCGGATTCGACTGCTTCGGTCGAGACGACTGCTTCACAACTGCAAGGGGAAAGATGACAATTCATGAAGAACTGTAATATGGTGCGTGAAACTTACTTTTCGGTGGTGCTAGGCTAATGTACTTCGTAGGACGTCCTCGTAAGCAGGCGTTCTTATTTAACGACTTTTGTACGACGTTATCTTGTTAGATCGATGGCATAAGGCCATAGCTCTCATCTCTTTACTGTAACCATCTGTAACGTTATGTATCAGCTATGTACACGTAGAGCAGGTACTGTATGTATTACTTGTGGAAGCCGCCAGCCCCTAAGTTGGAGGAACGTGACGAGGAAGGAATATTCCCACGTATGCGAGCCACGTCTCATCAGAGGGACCGTAGTCGGCGCGTTGCGTACAAAACTATCACTGGCGGTCGCATCCAAACGTCGTCGTCGTCGTCGATTCCAACGTCCTTGACAATCGGTGTCCGCCAGATCTCCGCCAGGCGGCGTTGCGAATCACAATGTCTGTAATGCTCACAAAATTCGAATCGAAAAGCAACCGCGTAAAGGGTGTGTATCTATATCGCCTATTCGGCCGCTCGTTGCGAAAGGGGGGAATGGGATGAAGGCGATCTGACCTCGACGCTCATTTAGGGCTTGCTTTTCACCCGACACAACCCTTGCTGGCCGCTGCTCTTCATAATGGAAGCGTCCAACTCTGGAATTATCGAATGGGTGTGTTAGTTGATAGGTTTGAGGAACATGAAGGTGCGCTCTTCTTGTCATCGCGATAACTAGCCGCGGCGAGCTCAGTCTTTTATTGTCGCTTAGGCCCTGTCAGAGGCGTGGATATCCATCCAAGTAGGCCCCTTTTGGTGACCGGAGGTGACGACTATAAAATCAAAGTATGGGGTATGTGTCGTTCATCGCACTTGGAGATAAAGTTATCCTCACAGTGAACGCCTTATAGATATCCGGCCCCAGAACCGAAGATGCCTGTTCACCCTCCATGGCCACTTGGACTATGTTCGAACCGTTCAGTTCCACCATGAAATGCCCTGGATTGTGCGTCTTCATCAATCATCAAAAGTCGGGGCTAACCACAGAGATCGTGTAGATTTCAGCCTCTGATGACCAGACGATTCGAATCTGGAACAGCACCTCTCGCCAATGTATCGCCGTTCTCACTGGACACTCACACTACGTCATGTCGGCACGATTCCACCCCAAGGAAGACCTTGTCGTTTCGGCGTCCATGGATCAGACCGTTCGTGTTTGGGATATCTCGGGCTTAAGGAAGACTTCACCACACAGCGGTGGACCCGCCTCGCATCCCGGCATGGGAGGTCCTCCAGGAATGTCGAATTTCGAGACCTTCGATTCTTTCTCCACCGTCAAACACGTCCTCGAAGGCCATGATCGCGGTGTCAACTATGCCGTCTTCCACCCTACACTGCCACTCATCATCTCAGCAGCGGACGACCGCGTCATTAAAGTTTGGAGGATGAGCGAAACCAAAGCATGGGAGGTTGATTCCTGCCGCGGTCATTTCAACAATGTGTCGAGCGCGCTTTTCCATCCCAAGCACGAGCTGATCGTTTCCTGTGGAGAGGACAAGACTGTACGAGTTTGGGATCTTGGGAAGAGGAGCGCGATTCAGACTTTCCGAAGGGAACACGATAGGTTCTGGATTCTTGCCGCCCATCCAAACCTCAACCTCTTTGCTGCGGGCCACGATAGCGGTCTGATCGTGTTCAAGCTTGAGCGCGAGCGTCCGGCGTTCAGTGTACATCAAGACACGCTGTACTATGTTCGTGACAAGTATGTGCGGTCGTATGACTTCAACACTGGCTCCGATCTTGGTCTCTTGAGCGTCCGCAAGTTTGGCAGCCCATACGTCCCTCCTCGAACTCTCAGCTTCAACCCCGCCGAACGCGCCGTCCTCCTTACTATCAATTCCGACAGCGGCCTCTATGAATTGACCAACCTTCCGCAGTCGGTTCAGGGCGAGGTGAAGGACTCGAGCGTGGATGGAAAGAGGGGCAATGGACAGAGCGCCATCTTTGTTGCTCGTAACCGATTTGCTGTGCTGAACAAGGCGCAACAGGTCCGCGGATCATTTCTTCGACATTGGCGTATTCATGCTAATCCTCTCGTCCTAGGTTATCGAAGTCCGCGACCTCGCCAACTCGGTTGTGAAGGTGATCAAACCTCCTGTGCAAACGAACGAGATCTTCTATGGCGGCACCGCATGCCTTCTCTTGAGCTCGCCCACCTCTGTCGTCCTCTACGACATCCAGCAGCAGAAGACTATTGCTGAAGTCAACAGCCCTCCCGTCAAGTACATTGTCTGGAGCTCAGATGGTGGGCTCGTCGCTTTGTTGAGCAAGCACAGTACGTCGTGCCATTATTTCCCGTATTCCACGCGGTTGACCTTCCACCCCGTAGCTATCACCATTGCCAACAAGAACTTCAGTCAACATAGTATGGTGCACGAGACCATCCGAATCAAATCTGGTGCCTGGGATGATTCCGGTGTCTTCATCTACTCCACCCTCAACCACGTCAAGTACTGCCTTCCTCAAGGGTATGCTGGTTTGACCTTTCTCCCTTCAGCTCTTCCCTAATGACTTTTCCAGTGATCATGGCGTCATCTGCACCTTGGATAACCCCGTCTACCTCACCCGCGTCAAGGGCAAGACTGTCTACTGCCTTGATCGCTCAGCTCGGCCCCGCACGATTACTTTCGACCCTACTGAATACCGCTTCAAGCTGGCGCTCTTGAAGAACAATCAGGAAGAGATGCTCCACATCATCCGAACATCCAATCTCCTTGGTCAAAGCATCATTGCCTACCTGCAGAAGAAGGGCTTCCCAGAGGTATGGACATCCACTCGTTCTGGAGACAAACAAAGTAAATTCCTTGTAGATCGCTCTGCACTTCGTTCAAGATGCCAATACCAAGTTTGAGCTGGCGATCGAATGTGGGAATCTCGAGGTTGCTTTAGAGAACGCGAAGACGATCAACCGACCGGAGTGCTGGGAGCGCCTCGCTCAGCAGGCCTTGAAGCAAGGAAACCATAAAGTTAGTGCCACGACTACACATTCCGGTTCATTTGCTAAGTGCCTGTTATCCAGATCGTGGAGAAGGCGTATCAACAAACCAAGAACTTTGACAAGCTTTCTTTCCTCTACCTCGCTGTTGGCAGCACCGACAAGTTGACGAAGATGCAGAAGATTGCGGATGCACGGGGTGATCCTATGTCGCGATTCCACAACGCCCTCTATGCTGGTGATATTGAGGCGAGGATCTCCGTTCTTCGAGATGTTGGCCTTCGTAAGTTCACTCTGGTATTACTGCGCTCGACTGAAATTAATAGTTGCCCTAGACCCTCTTGCTTATCTCACCGCCAAAACGAACGGCAAGGACGACATTGCTGCTGAAATTCTCGAGGCTGCAGGTCTTACCGAAGACGACATCTCCGATGTGCCGACCTATGCTGCTTCGACATTGAAGCCACCTCCCGTTGTCACCTCTACCGCCGACCTCATCTGGCCCGCCGTTCCAAGAGGCGAAAGCTTCTTCGACCGCGTTCTTGCCAATGGTATTCTCGAAGGTGGCGCCGATATCGAGTTCACCAACGGTGATGCCGGAACCGCTGCTCACAGCGCTTTGGATGCATGGGCCAAGGATGAAGAGGAGCAAGATGAAATCGACCCTGCAGAGGAGGGATGGGATCTTGATGCTGATGCCGGCGACTTCCAGACACCTGACGATGGTGAAGCTGCCGAAGAGGAGGAGGAATTGGGTGCTGGGGCTGCTCCAGGTGTCGATGAGAGGGATCTGTGGGTCCGAAACTCACCACTTGCTGTCGACCATGTCGCTGCTGGATCCTTCGAATCTGCCATGCAGGTGAGATTGACCCTTCCCGACAGTGGTGCTCATGTTCTGACTTCCGTTTCAGTTACTCAATCGACAATTCGGTGTTGTCAACTTTGCGCTCCTCAAACCTCTGTTCCTATCGATATACAGATCGTCACACGTCTACCTCACGCCTGTGGCATCCCTTCCACCGCTGCATCTGCATCTCCGTCGCAACCCCAACGAATCCTCGCCCAGTCGGGTACTCCCCATCGCTGCCCGATCTCTGCAATCTATACGCTCCGAGCTCTTGGAAGGATACAGGTTTGTTTCTAGCAACAAATTGGCAGAGGCCCAAGCTACGTTCCGATCTGTTCTCCAAGCACTATTACTTGTTGTTCTCTCTTCGGATGATGAGGCCAAGACAGTGAGTGCCTCCGCATGATGTGTCCATTACTAGTACTAAAACTATTCCCTCTATTCCAGTGGAGAGATACCATCACCGCCGCTCGCGAGTACCTCCTCGGTGTGACCATCGAGCTCGAGAGGCGACGGGTGGCTGCTCAGGAACCGGACAATGTCAAGCGCAACCTCGAATTGGCAGCCTACTTCACCCAATGTCAATTGCAACCCCCACATCTCCAAATTGCCCTGCGAAGCGCCATTGGTGTCTTCGTGAAGGCTGACAACCACGCTCATGCTGCACGATTCGCGAAGAGACTTATTGAATTGAAACCTGATCCTAAGATCGTTGCTCAGGTATGCATCCTTCCTCTCTCTGAAAGGGCCTAAGTAACTGACATGGATGTTTTCAGGCCAAACAACGTATCGCCGCTGGAGACCGCAACCCTCGCAATGCAGTCGACATTGACTACGACGAATTCACACCGTTCGAGATCTGCGCAGCTACTTATACTCCCATTTACAAGGGCTCGCCGGCAGTTCACTGTCCCTATACCGATGCCGCTTATCTGCCCCAGTTCAAGGGCCAGCTGGATCCTCTGATCGAACTCACGGAGATTGGAGCGGCTGCGTCTGGACTTCCTGCTGCGTGGTGAAGAGTAGACGACAATGTTGTAGTTGTGAATGGGGCTCTGTAATTCCTTGCTGTACGGCATGTTGTAGTAAACATTATATATTTCTTTTCCTTCTCTCTTTTCCGATTCGTATCATCGAGCACACCAAGCGCATCACCGAGTGTGGTCAGTGTTTTTAGTCTCGCGACTGGTCATGTGACTGTAGGTTCGTGTCATGTGGGTGGGAAATGGGCGCTAATAAAGGCCAAGACTCAAAGTCCAGGTGTTGTTTCCAACCACAGACAAGGCTGCGAGACATTCGCAAATTTCGTTCTCCATTTCAATAATTGGGAAACACAGCTGTGCATGTATATGGATGGGAGTACATGGATTGTTACCCTTCCTACGGAAATCATGGTGCGTTCAATCGGGTTCGTCGTCCTAAATTACTCACCCTGAAGCGTCGATCAGTCCGCAGGCCATTAGACCACTGAAACGCCGTTTCAAGGATATTTCTGGGTCTAGAGTAGTTATGTGAGGCCGCTTCTCCAACATTGGGATGCTAATCTAAAGCTACGAGCATATAGAGACGGAACACTCATTACACAACGTCTGCATTTTGCTCCAGCACCTCACCCATACCGACATGTCCTGGGGTGGTATCGAATCTGCCAGGAGCTTTCAAAGGGCAAGATTCAACCTTGGGTAGTATTTGATGGGAGGAAAAGGCATATAGCGAAGGCGAGGGAGGTGAGTTTCAAACTAGCTCTCTGGCTGAAGCATTTTTGAGAATGAATTTTCTAGGTGCAACGTCGACGCGCAGACCAAAATCAGCTATTCAACAGAAGTCAAGTCGAAAGCGAACGCGTCAAGAGACTCGAATTCGTGAACAGCTTTCTGGAGAAACTGCGCGAACTTCCGCATGGAAAGGCTGAAGAAATCTCAAAGGTTTTCCCCTCCCTTCAAATTGTGTCCGAAGACGCCAAATTCAAGAAGGCATACGATACGCTGAGCTCTCAGGCATCCTCTACGGCGTTGGAGCAAGTCTCCCAACTGGAACCGGGTGTCTCGAGAGCTTATATTCCGACACTGCAGCCCCTGGACGCAACGACTGAGAGTGTCGACGCACTGTCCACTACCCTCTACAACGTCTTCGAGAACTTTAGGACGAGTGTCACACTCTTGGCAAGCCGAATGTTTGCCAGCGTACCACCCGCGGCCCAAAAGGATCCAGAGGCTTCGACAGAGCAGGACTGGATGCTGACCAAGGCACAAAGTCAGTTGTCCGTCATGGAACGAGACTTGTGGTTCCAGATGTCTAGCCTATCACTGGACGCCGTTCATCAAGACCCGGACCATTTCAAGGATATCGTGGCCCGGTCGTCTTTGCTTTTGGACAAGAGCTGCAAGATGTCTGTGTCGTTCAAGCGCAGATGCAACCTCCCCAATACAGACACGTACAATGAAAGCAAGGACATCATCAGAGCGATGGGAGTCCCTATCATAGACGCTCCTCTAGAAACCGAAGGAGAAGGGTTGGCCTCCTCCATTGTCCTGCACGGTGACGCGGACTTCGTTGTGAGCGAAGACACGGTATGGCGAGATTCCCACTAGCTGTCGCTTTCTGATCCGTCTCTAACAGGATGTTCTGGTCTACGGCGCCCCATTACTTCGAAATCTCACCAGCATGCATGAACCACTGGAGATTATCTGCTCCCAGACCATCCGACAATGTCTCGAGCTCGACCCTGTTTCCTTCCTCGACTTCGCCCTCCTCCTTGGCACGGACTTCACACAGCGAATCAAGAACGTCGGACCAGCTCGCGCTTTGCAATTCGTCAAGCGATATGGTTCCATTGAAAATGCCATCCAAGCGGAACCCAAATACCCGCCCCGTATACCGCCTCGAGAATACCTAGCGGAAGTCAACGACGCTAGAGACCTTTTCAAAAATCTGCCACACAGTCCGAATTTGCGGCTGATAGAGCAGCCTGGCCGGAGCGATTCTGCGATTGCGGAGGTCATGACACGGTATAGGTTAGGACGACATTTGATGAAGTCGCCGCATTGGGCGTACGAAGACGCCCTTGCAGGCAATTTCTTCAATGACAACCCAATTGCGATATAGATGGGCCGACAGTAAGGCTTCCCATCGCTCCGAAGTCCCGTGATGGAGGCCAGTAATGGTCGCCATCGATTCCTCCACCTGCGTCATTTTAGCACACGGTTCGCGCGCTAGGACTAATGGACTTCTCGCTCGCGCCAGAGCTATGCAGTCAGATCTATATCGCGCCAGGGTCCGCAGGGGGAGAGTAATGTACAGGATGTATTGATAGGTATCTAGGTGTATGGGATATCTTACGATAGGTAAAGTACAACAGCTATTAACCCTGTGCGAATGTAATCTAATTGTACATACATAGGAAATAATGAACGAGTGTCAGATTGTCGATATCTGGTGTGATGACTGGCGTTTGCGTATACTTCAACTAATGTCACAAGTTTAAGCGAGCGGTGAATGGTCAAAGACTCTGGTACGCTTAGTCCCGAGTTCTAGATTCCGGTGGCTTGGGAAGGGTTATGGATGCGGTGAACTCGAAATCGGGGTGGTGAGACGAGGGCTTGTTGGTGGTCATAGTGGTTGAGAAATTGTCGAAAGATTCTGTTCTGGGGAAAGCGGGGAGGTATGGACTAGCATCAGAGAGTCTTCCTCGTGCACTGAAGGGCCGGGAATTCTCCAGGATCCCGGACTCGGGGTTTGCTGCGTTTCCCCATGTTTGGTCAGGCTGAAAATGTCAGTATCGAGACTTGACTTAGGTGCAAAATGGGACACACCAAAGCGTTGTCGTCGCTGTTCATCAGCCTGTCCTTGAGATGTGTGCGAACGTTCAGTGTATCCATTAGCGTCTAGTGAAGCCTTGGTCACCTGCCATACAGAAGGAATGACAGGCACACATACCGTCGTATATGTTCGCCCTATTGGGATCATGAACATGGCGTGGAGGATGGTGTCGGGGCGAACAACTGGGCAACTCTAAGCTGCGCTGGGATATTGGTGCTAGAAAGTCGACTCACGGAACACAATGAGACCTGTGATCGCCAATATAGTGGAGAACGCTCCAGTTTGGATGGCCCCTCGAATAAGGCGGTTGATGACGCTGTCTGTGGGCAGGTGTCCTGTTCTATGACGGTGCAAGAACCCTGACAGGACGCCTGAATGGCTGGATAAGCAAGTGGTAACTTTTGAGAACGCGGTTGTCTGGCCTCACCAGACACGATGATATCCAGCGTGCACTGGATGAGCAGCCACGGGATGATGAACGGCTTCAAGCCTGGCAATAGAATGAGAGTAAAGCTGAAATAGCCAGCAGTGAGTTCAGCCGTCAAGCGCTGGCATAGCGGGGGGTGATATTTACCGATCCAGTGTCCACATCCTGTTTCATATATATTGTAAGTTGCCACTTTCTTGAATTATCTGCGGTGTGTAAAAACCCACCGAATGCTGAGCGCTAGGGCGGTAGCGAATTCCGCCAGGGTCAATGCAAGTATGACGACGAACAAGGGGCGGTTCTTCAGCATTCCGTAGATCCTATGAAATATTTTAATTCGACCATTGCAAAGCGAGGGACTTCATGGCTACCTAAAGCCGAGAAACGTGTGGGTGATGCTGGCTGTAATTGCTGTCCCGATTGGAATGAATCCGCAGGGCCACTGGGGCTCTAGGGCTATTGATCAGGATGCCGGTTGAGCGCTTAATCCTACATAATATACATACGGGATAAAGCTCCAGGATTTGCAAAGTTGTCGACGAGGTAAACCCAGCAGAGATAAATCATTCTGGGTAATAAGGATCAGACGCTCGACTCGGAAAGGCCTTCATAGAGATAATTTTCACTTACAAAACAGTGTGGACGGTGTCGAAAGTCAAAAGGGCTAAGACAGAAACTCTGTTCCTTTTGATCAGGCATTCCAACATAGATGAAATCGAAGTTCTTTACGAACTTTATTCTCAAAGGATCGTTGAATTCTGCCAATGCCCCCAAAAAGGCCTCAGAACGGTACCTCCTGAACGACGGGATAGACTTACTGGAACTGTAGTAACGGACATATTGGTGTGATACGACGCCGTACAGGTACGTGTTAACTGGGAACTGAACTTGGAAATCGTTCCAATTAGAGAAATATAAAACTCACCTGCGACACCGATCAACAGCGTCCCTGCAACGCGAAGGGATTAGGAGCGCTTCATTGTCTGCCCACAAGAACTCACCCAGTACAGGATCGTAAACACCCATGTCGACCACCGCAAAACAGCAGATAGTAACAGGAAATTGGGAAGGGTGAAAAGAGGAATGGACGAAAGAAGATCATTCAAGTTTGCGCGAAAACACCCAACCTTATATTCCGAGCAACGGCAAGGGATATCCAGTGAGCTAGCCGTGATTGAGAAGAAAATTGGGGGACTAGACCTAAGTACCAGTTGACACAGCAGGGACATACGGACCGAGCGGATAATATAGACCCACGCAGTGAAGCATCCCAAACCCCGTTTGTAAATATAATTCAGGGACATTTTTGTGATCATATCGTTTTAGCTCCAGGTTTCCGACGGAACCGTATGTCAGAGCATTCACGACTACCAAAGAAGCGTTTAGTTAGTCTCTATTGAGAGTCTCCAAGTGGGACCTGCGCAGTTCTTCGTATCCTTTCGTATCCGATCCCGTCCGAAGCGCCAATGCCTCCACTTGGGCATAGATGGCGATAGCAGATGTCGACATTGTCATGCCAGTGAGGTTGCATATCAGCAGCGCCAGAACTCGGAGAGCAAGCGATCTAGACCGCGGTGGGTTATTCGCAATGGTTGAAAGAGATCCTTCGCGAGCACCAAGTGGAATCGGATCGAAAACCGTGCACAACGGGAGGGGGAAAACGGATTAGAGCATTCATGAATGCCTGGTGGTGTATGCGTAGGCAGGCATGGACTGAATTACATCCAGTCAGATCTTCAAGATTTAGACCAGGCGTTGCGAAGTGATCAATGATGATGCATCCCAAGCAAACGTGGGCCGTTTTTGGTTTCGAGCTGTCGCCAGAAGTCCTGGAAAATCCACCCATCGTTGATGTCTGAGCCAATGGCAGCATACGAATGGCGTTAACCGTTTTCACGGCGGATATTATAGAAAGTTTTCTGCTGTTGGAAGCATCCAGGTTGAGAAGAACGGCTGAAACAGGCTAGGATCGTGGAGGTTGGAACCAACCCGTGGGGATCATGGGAGTCTTGGGAATCACGAGTTCTGCCTATGCATTTTACTCTGTTTGTGCAATATAGAGCCTCCCAAGTTCTGAATATGAGAGCCACTATCTGCAATTGAGGTCAATCCTGATACCTTGAACAGCCTTTCATTCCCGAATGACTGAGAAATCTGGCCAGGCTGCCTTCAGGGCAACTGTTCATCGTATACGGGCTTCCTAAATGGCTGCGATACCTTAATATACCCTCAACTGGAAAATCTGTGATAGGCAGCGATACAAAAGCCTCCATTAGTAGTCTTAGATGAAGGGTAGTGAAGGGTTCCTGTTAAATTGCTTCCATGGAATGTCTCGTCTGGTCGTCTCATCAATTTCCTGTGATAGATGGTTTTGATCCCTGGGGACCGTCCTCCAGTCGTCCTCGCTGAACATACCATCCGAGACTCCAGGCTCATAAAGAAGGATGATGGCAGTGACGCCGCTGACGGGACTCTGTGGATTGCTGCAACTATGTACGACTGCAGGCGAGAGGTGCGCCAGATGTTATCATAGCCATCCGCAAGCCCCGGCACGCGCCTCTGGTACCCTGGAGCGGATTAGCCAATCTGTCCGAAAAAACGGAACGACTGTTGTTCACCATAGTCCATTCAGTCTCGACATATCTGTGAGGACTTGCATCGGTATTCTCCACCCTGCAACAGGTCAATTACAATTTCGTTGTATAGGAAAGGTTACAATAAGCTTCAGTAAATAGTGTAAATGACATTGCACTACCTATGCCGTATGTTTTCGTACGTACTCTGCGCTATCGTTAGCTTTTCGACGCGCATATCGAAATCAGAGAGCCTAGTCAGGACATGACGCACCGAAATTTCTCAACTCAGCTGTGTCCACTCACCTACAAGCGTCTTCCACCGATGCCGCCTGGTAAGCGCCCACTGGACACAGCCACCCTGCGTGGCGCTCCGTTGAATCCTGAGGGCTGAGAACTGATGACTGACGAGCTATTGGTCGGGCGTCAACTATGAAGAAGACAAGTGCGGGTATGGGATCAATTGCGTGATATCGATACTGGCAGAACTAGTACTGTTACATATCGTGGGTTTTTGCTGCATGGCGAGATCCACTTCTCCAGTTATGATTATCCAAAAGAAGCACTACACCAACGGCTCGAAGCGCCCTTGCATCCGCAACGCAGATGCATGGAGCTGTGTGGCTTGTTAGGAGCGCTGCCCTCGCGTGTCCAGAAGTCAATACTAGCGTGCTGGGGCAGGTACCGTGGGCTTCGTCAACGTGAAAGAACTGAGGAGAAAAGTCGCTGCAGGCTGTGCTCCTCGCTAAGTGCTTAGACGGGCGGAAGAGAGTTCTCGGGAGCTTTTGTTGGAGAAAACATCGAGATGCGGCGGAAGCGGCGAGCGAGCTTGAACGTAACGAAAGCAATGATGGAGATGGAGATGGAGCTGGCAATGTAAAGCGGCTCGGTGAAGGTGAAAACTTGGGCAAACATCAAGACAAGACCCCAAAGATTGAACGCTTGGGGGAGTCCGAACAGCAGGGCAGTGCCCTGGTACCCGAACCTGGGCATTCGGTGCTTGGACAAGAAATTATACTGCGGAACCAGTCATCAGTATCACAAAGGCGCCGTAATGCGATGCGGAACCTCCAAAAACTCACAGCATTGGTAGCGGTGCCTTCTTCCTCATCTTCCAGATAGTGTATCAAGAAACCGGAAACAAGTAGGCTGAAACCAAGGCAGCTTCCAGAAATAATTGCCAAAGTGCGGGAGATTGGGAGATAAAAGCAGAATATGTGCAAGCTAGTGATTTCATCAGAATGGAAACGAAGAGGACGTCCGACTTGACTTACAACAATAGACCCAAGGACATCGCGAATACTCGCTTCCATTTATTGACGGATTGGGACATGAACTTCCGCCAGTCAGCTTCATAGACATAGCTGTCGGTAAAGATCGCGCCCAATCGGGAATAAAAGAAGTCTGAAGATCTCAGAGAAAGGGTAGAGACGATGGGCTGTGTCCAAGAAATTTCCCGGTCGTCAGTCGCCATGATTGCGCAAGTGCGACCCAGCCGGGGTTGCTCTTGCCCATAGTGGGTCCAGTACCGGTTAGTTGCTACGGACATGCGTTAGCAGGCTGGTGTAGTACCAGTGCCAATACACTCACTGATCACCGAGCTCAAGCGAGCGACAAGGCTGATGATGTTGCCATCGTAGAGGTGGTCACGGCAGGGGATTAGCAGCTTCAAGAAGCGTCTGCACTCCTTGATGTCGTACGGGAACGTAGACGAATTGGAGGTGAGGTGATCTAGGGTGGCGTTCAATGATATGAGGGGCAGATAGAGGAAGAGAGTTAGACGAACCTCCACAACCGTGGGTTAAGTGACTGATGGTTTCCTCAATGATATTCGAGTTGAACTTGATGGGATGCATGGAGAAGTACTCGAGGTGCACCCAGTATTGTTCCTCAAGTTGGAGCTCTGGATAACGGTCAGAACAGCTCATGTGTCTTTGACGCCGCCGGCCACTCACTGAGGTGGGAGTCGGAGACTACAGGAAGCAAGCCGACTTCCGAAGTTTCAAAGGATTCCAGCCAAAAGATGGCTCGAGCGGCGTGGTCAGCGAAATAATAGTTGCAGTCTTCGCCTTCCATCTGGACATAGAGTTCCATGCTATCATCCAGAGTGAAAGCCTTGTCTTCCACCATTTTCTCAACGCGTGTGATCCATGGCAGGAGTTTGTCGACCACCGATTGGTCATACAAGTACGAGTCGGTGACGACGCGAAGCTGCGCATTGCGACAAAAGTAGGTCTTGCCCTCGGGGTGTGTGTACGCCGACCAATGCTCGGGTAGGTATTGAGGGCTGAGTGAGAATGACTGGTTCAAATCGGACTATGTGGTTTCGTTGATCGACCGGCACTTACACTGGTGTTCTTGCTGTCATATAAAGCCCTGGTTCGATCGTGGCATGGGATCGTTGTACACTGCGATAACTATGTAAGTCGATGGCTGTATTCAAAGCCGCTATACTTGCCGTTTACCGACGTCGTATCGTCCAGAGTGAACAGGGATGATAGCATAGAGGCTTCCCGAGGGAAGCTCGCCCTGAGCATTCCCGTCCTTGGGTTCAGGGAGGGCCAAAGTGGTCACAGCGTGGGTGGTAGAGTCCATTGAAGCGGATGGGGCGAGGGAATACTAGTGAGGAGACAGGTGAAAGGCCTGCGGCACTTAAAAGGTACGGAGGTGTACCTGTGCTCGAGATTGAACTGCCACAGCTCAATGTCATATAAGGGTAAACTGGTTACGGGACCCCGGGTGGACAGCTTTGGGACAGCCTCGGAGGACAAGTATTAGGGTCCGTGGGAAATACAGGTCCACAGCTCTGCAAGTTTGTGGACAACTTGAGGACTGACTATAGTCCTCATCGCCGTAGCAGCGGTCGGCTCTAGAATCGGGGGTGCTCACAATCCGTCATAACAACATGGAAGACCAAAAGACAATACGCGGATGCTGACATGGTCAACGGAAAGGTCTGAATCTACCATTGACCGAATGAGGCTGCTCCAGTCACGTTGATGCCAGTATGTATTTCCTAAAACATCTTCGATGACCGATTGCTATCTCTTCGCAGCCTACCATGGCAGAGGAGGACTCACACACAGCCGTTAAAGCTGTTGACAACAGGTATGCCGCACAATAAATTAGTCTCGATCAGCTTCTCTGACGAGGATCCCTGCTGTAGCGAGCATTCTTCTATATCGAGTGAGCATCCTTCCAAAGGCGACGATGAAGCGATCGTAGAAGCGGGAGATAACCCAGACTCCGTGGAATCTGACTCTGTCGAAGAGACACTGGCTTCCAAAGAGCAAAAGCCATACCCTCCCTCGTCGCAACAACAACACCAGCAGGCGGCCCATGGCGACGAGGACTCGAAGGAAGAAAACTTGGAAGAGGGGGAACCAGACTACGGAGACCTGGAAGAATTTCCTGCCGATCCCGGTTTGTGAGTTATGACCGATAAGACCTCGCCTGTAGAACCGCTCACTCAACAACCCCTTTAGAGGGCGACCAAGAGGTCCACCAACAAAACCTGTCGGTGCTGGTCATAGGCCAACTAGGCCTATTCGGTGATCCTAATCAGTATTACTACGTGATACAAATATCTCACACCCTTGACCCGAGCCTCTTGTACATAGCATGAATTCACCTTTTCAAAACTTAGTCAATTCAAGTATGTCCATTCTTACCAGACCTTCCGACGCCAGCGGCCGTTCCTTGAAATGCCTATTTCAAGCCAGACCGGTGCATCCGAGTCCAGCGCTTAGTAGGGTACAGCTTAGTACCTCTTCATTATAGATTCTCGTTCGACGGACAACTCTGAGACTGTGATCCCTCTCAGGCGATCGCCTAATCTTTCAAAACACCTTGGCGCAACATGATAGAGGAAAACATCGAGAAAGATGGCGAGACGAAAATACGAGGAATGGATGCGATAGGGCAAGGGCTTGCAAGTCATGTTGGATTAGGGCAAAGCGAGGACCACTGCAAAGTTAGCTGACATCCTTTACGGGGGTTACACAGGTCTAGACCGATATAGAAAGACTCCTGAGATAACTCCTTGTTATAACGCCTTCGAAATGGTCTCCACTACCATGGAAGCTTGTTCCATACAATGCGATAGCCGCGCATCGCCCATTATATGCGAATCGACGAAGCCTCGCTCACTGCTATCTCATAGCTTTGCCCTCCCGTCCGGTGGTTAACTGGTATCTCACACCGCTCTTGACGGAGTTCTGCACCTGCTGTACCCTCAACCGCTATCTGTGGTACTTGACTAGCTTGACTTCTTTCCTTCCCCTGTCAATCTACCTTGACGTTCATTTGCCGTAATTCAATACCCCACCCACGGCATTTCGACGGATGCACCCATTTCAAGATCTCACATGCTTGCACATGTGATGTCTCGAGACGCCCTTCCTTCCTTCTGCGACGCCCTTTCTCCCACTCCGGGCGCCTATAGGTGTATTTCGATAACATGAGTGACATTCCCATTCTCTTCATGGTCTAGGTAAGCGCATGTACTCCAAATACCAACATACATCGCACCCACAGGGTTAAGATTCGAGCGCTTATAGCACGCCGATATGTACTCGAGCTGACTTGAGCTTCCTTCCCCCCGGTTTCATTCGCGACCACCCACACCTTGACACTCTTTCCGGCCTGTATCAGTACCCTACCCTTTGAGATGTCGTTTATGAACTCAAAGGATTCGTCTTCCAAAAAATCTACTTCACATATCGTAGCAACCACTCTCCGGTGAGCGTCAATGTCACCATCATTATCATCCATCCAGGTTGGAACAATCTACCGGGATCGGGGGAATATGGAAGTGGCCACTACTTCTGGTCCTGTACTAGGATTCAATCCTACCGTTGTTCATAAAGGATGTATACGACCATTCCTTCCGGATGGATTGTGATCATACCGTATACATCAAACCCAAGTATCCCCTGAAGGTTCGAAGCTTGAACAGCACTTCACCATTTTCGTGTCAGTCGAAAATGTGTACCTGTCGCTGATGATAGATTTTCCTTCAGATTTGCAGAGTCATATGGTTTAACCCCAGACAGTAAAAGCGATAGTGTGAAGCAAACAATCGACACTGCAGAAAAGTGAGTCAAAATTTTTTAGGGAATCTTACATCATGGATCCATCCGCACTTCCGGCTGCATCCTGGGGGCCCAATCATCGCCTCGTCCGCCCACTGGGACATTCCATCTCCAGACTCTCTGCGGAGATACCAGGATGTATGATCCAAGTCTCGATTTAAGAATATTCTTTTACTGTGCTTTCATCATTACCCAACTGCATACTGACGAGATGTTGACCACTTCTACCGTCCCTTGGCAACGAAATCTCCACTTCTTCGGATGCTTGGCTTGGCTTGACTGGCGATGCTGGTAGAACCCGGGCTCACCCCCCTCCTCCCAAGTAAGTAAACCAACCCACATGGCCCTTAGTCTCCGTGCTGTAAATGATAATCGGTGCCCATCGCCGATGTACAGCCTACCACTCCGTAGCAGTGTCCCGCCGTGGACGCTTAATGGAACGTGCCGGGGATATATGGTCTCTCTCGTTGCGATCATGAATCTGACCGTCATCCCCGACAGGATCGTTCCGAAGGGCGACACCAAGGCCACGGCAGCGGGAGGCAGCGGCTCTGAGAAGAAGGGCGGTACCAAGGGGCCCAAAGGGTCGACCAAGGCAACCAGGACTGAAGAGGACCCCAATGGCGTGCCCGATGCTCCGATCAAGCAATGAGCCCTTCAAGCTCTTCTGGCCCTGGATCATCCAAAGGCATTGCTGGTGACCAGACCGCAATCATTCATATCCGTGCACCCTCGCCAAATCCCGCGAGACGTAACGCGTAAATGTTGTACCCATAGTAGTTACGCTGCAACAAGAGCGGAATTTACTTTGTTCGCCGAAGCTGTGCGGTTTTAAATGAAAGCAGATTCACAGCACCCGGAACTACTATCCTAAAGATACAGGTAAGTTGATAGAGCACAGAATAGTACAGGTGTGGGTGCAAGGTATATATAGCAAATGGTATACAGATAGCTCGATGTAGTTGTAAGTCTTAACTGTCGAACGCTCAGTTGCGATCAGGGCACAGCTCGTTCATGCCATACGGGACTCTTATACAACAGTCTTCTCGGAATGATAAGACGGGCGTCTCGAGTTCCAAAACAGAAGCGGAGACCAGCTCCATTTCCATTTCCCGGCTTCCTGTTCTCTGCCTCCTGCCACATGGGCGTCGATCGTCAAAGGGCTTGCATTATTGCCATCCGGTATGGTTTCAATCGACTCGTGTGAGCGTCTTCCAAGAGCGCCAGCAATCACATCCACCACGGAAGGCTCTTTGCTGGGACAGAGCTCTTGGGTTTCGACCTCATACGGTCCAGTGTCACTCGGGGGGTGGCCAGCCCAGCCCATCCAGACGCACCAGATGACCATGCCCGTAAAAAGCACCCAGGCGATACCCATAATTGTTCGGGTGGCCGCGTTCGTCAAATCGAAGCAGTTCCAGGCAAATGCGGCCAGGAAGGAGAACATCCTGCAGACATATGAATGGAGGATGAAGGTGACGGAAGGCATTGGAAGACTCACCCCCACAGGAGTAAAGCATAGGGCAAACTGTACAGGATGGCAAGCGTTTCGAGACCGAGGGTGGGATGAGACCGTTGCTTGAGGAAATTACTCTGCGCCGAGATGAACCCTGTCCTCGTCAATTTATGAGCGTGGAAATTGACGTACAACTTCATCAGCGGTGCTATGGGCCCTCGTTCTATGCTGCCGGACGAGTAAAAGGCCGATGATGATGGACCCAATACTTGCGACGATTGACAGATAGCAGCCAACTTGCACAGGACTTCGGTACGGCGTGTCCGTGTCCGTGTCGATACTTTCGATGGCAAGAAAAGCGACATTGGCGTTGAGTAAAACAGTTGCCTGTCAAGGATCACATCAGTGAAAAAGAAACCACGTCTCCAGAAAAGTACCAACGTATAGAATGAACTCCTGCCATTCATCGTTCAATTTTTTGATACTCTGGACCCAGACGGCGTTGTGCATAATCTCGTCCACCCACATTTTCTCCAAGTTGTACAGGTGGACATCCGGAGCTGAGAATAGCGGCGGTGAAAGCAGCTTGATTAACCATGTGCGTTTGGATTTCGGGCCATACACAGACAAATCGCGGTAGACTCGTCGTTGGGGGAGGCCGTGCCAGTGGTAGAATCTTTGCTGGACTAGGTGACAAAGGTGAAACGAGAGATCCGTGAACAGACGCCACGAGCATACCAAACACCTGCATGATGCGGCCTGTAACGATACAAAGGCTACTCAGAGCGAGTCAGAGACAGCTGGAAAGAAAGGACGTACTGATCAACTCGGCAACACCAACAGTATATTCTCCATCCGCCTCTGGAAATAAGATCATAAGTTGAGCCTTCAAGCGCACAGCGATATACTGACTTCTTATATTATTTGACAGACCAAGCAGTCGGTATAGCTCGTCCAGCTCATAGGGGCTGGTCGCGTACATCGATGACGTAACATCTGAAGAGATAGGATTAGCTCGCTCTAGAAGTGCTGCACAGTCGGGAAATACCCACCCCCAATATAATGGAGAATGTAGTCTCTCATTTCATGGGCTGCTTGTCGTATTCCCGTCATGGTAGAAGGGAATAACATGCAATGATACCTGTAAAAGAATCCAGAATCAACCCCGCCCACAGAGCATGAATACCGCGAACCCACCAATACTCTTCCTCAAACAAGTAACCTGTCACGACCCACATCAAAGGTTAACAACATCGCTGGTGTAGCAGATAAAGGGATACTTACGGACTTGCCTGCGAGAGGTTACCCCCGGAACATCTGCCCATTTGAGAAAATTTTCTGCATGCCAGTCATCAAAGAAAAAGATAATCCTCCTGTCATGATCAGCGAAGTAGTAGTCAGTGACCAGGCCCTTCTCCTTGTCTTCAGTCAAGTCCAACGCCAAAGTGTAATTCGTAGGCATGGTAATGCGGCGGTCTCGAATAAACTCGTCGAACACAGCCAAATCTTCCATGATTTGTTTGTAGTAGGTGTGGTTGTATAGGTTAGCTTCCGTGACCGCGTGCTGAAAAGACAGTTCAGTAAACTAGCCTCCCCTGAAGCGTTGTACGTCCCGACCTTTTCTGCATTGTAGAAGTAAAGGACGCCTTCGTGATGCACTACAGATGTCCACCCCGGCGGGTCCTCATGACTAAAGTCTGTTAGCTTCGAAAGGCAAGTAACCTGTGTCAAAAAGACGTACTCTGCAAATTCCTGCTCCATTGGGGGAATGGTCATTTTGGTCTGGACCTTCTTCCTATATCGCACTGCGGTAAACAATCAGAGCTCCCGAAGAGATGCAGAACATACGCTATGTGATGCGTCCAATATCTGGAGAAGACCGAAGGGGGATTCGGATAGATGCGTGGGTTGAACAGCCCACGCTGTCGGTGTTCGTCCAGATGATCGTATTCGCGCCTGCCCATTTCGCTGGGTAGATCACCGGTAGCCCTAGACCCTGCAGGAGACGTTGTGGTCCTCGTATCCCTTTTACCAAAGTCTATGACATTGATATAGTGGTGGCCAGCATTACTTGACCCTAGGTCCGGCGACGACATGCTGTAGCCACGCCTGGGCGATCGAGGGTTCCTGGACAGAGGCGAAGTGGAATAGTGCGGCGACTGCAATGTAAACGTGTACCCTCCATCGTCCTCTGCTTCATCTGACTGCGTTCTGGTTATAGAAGGGTTTAGACTGGGTGCAGCGCTGAAGTGATGAGTGGACCGGGAGGCGTTGGAGATGGCGAGACTATGTGTTTGTCGTGATCGTCGAGCGAGATGGAGAGATGACCGAGACTTGTCGTCGTGAATGTAAGGGTGAGGGTGTAGGGAACACGATATCGAGGAATCCAGGGTTATTATCTGCTGAGTTGGTTCTCTAGTACCAGGTTCTGACGCTGGTGTCATTGCAAGAGTTTTCATTTCGAGGTCGTCATCTGCCGATTTCGTGCTGGATTCGTTACGGGTTTCGTTGAATGTGGCATCATATTCAGGAGGTGTTCTCGTGGTCGGGTCGTCGTTACCTGATTTCTTCCGGCCAGTTTGAAATCTTCTATAGTGAAATGACCAAATCAAGCCAAGGAGTCGTAAAACTTTCGTGAAGGGTGGCGTGATGATTCCCTTGCTCTTGAGCAAGAGCGACCGGACGATGGAAAGGAGCTGCCGAAGCAGAGAGCTGCCCATTTCCGGGCGTCGTCCCTGTACAGAGGTGCTGGAGCGAAGGAAAGCTTGTTTGCGCGCATTCGCAGACCGACAAGAAACCTGACGCTTGTGGTGTGGGACCTGGTTTGATCGAAGTTCGGTGTTTTTCACACCCGCGCCTACTCGTAACTCAACAGTGGCGTAATCCCGCTCACGCTAACCTTGGGGAGCATACCATCTCATTGTGACCCTGGCGAGACGCAGACTTTGACAAGACTGTCCCTCCCCCTCGCAATTCCGGACAATAGCTGAAAGCATTTGACGGGCATCCAGGAGATCTGAGGCTCACAAAAAAATATGGCGATCAACCGCGAAGTTGGAAGAAGGAATTTCAAAGGAGAGAGCAAAGGCGCGGGTATCCCACTGTAAACAGCCGTCCATTAAATTGTTCATTAGTTTCCTGATGTAGAGAAGCTGAGAGAAGTCTACCAAGAGTCCAGGAACTCGTGGGATGATGGTCTTGGAAACCGGAGAGTCGGGGCGTTTGTTGGGGGACATGAAGCGTCGGCCTCAAGATGACTGTCATTATCCGGGTGTTGCGGCACAGTTCAAGAAAATCCATGGAACGCTGACCGCTGAGTTCATCCGCCTCTGCTTCTAAATTTGGGAGTCCAAGATTGTGTCTCCACAGGAGCGTCCGCTGCCGCCCATGGATTGTCTGGGTCCGTAGTTTTCGAGGGCTGTGGTTTGGATGACGCAGTGTTTTGGGACTCGGCCTTCCCTGTTTCCGTTTTCTCAAACGCACTAGCCAGTACTGGAGGCTCACCCTCCACCTCAGTTTGGCCACGGCCTTGCTGTATTCTGAGTGCCTCGGCATGGCCCTCAGCTTGTAATCGTCGCCGTTGTTCAGCTTCTTCTCTATCCTTTGCTTCAATCAGCGACGCGTTGTATTTGACGCGTATTTGCCGCTGTAAGTCGGCTTCAAGTTCCTATTCGCCGGTCAATAATTTGGGGAGATAAGGGTGGAAGAAGCCAGTGGAAGTTCACCTCAATTGTAGGCGGATTAGGCCGGGTATGAGACAGCCAAGCCGACCATTGAACTAGGCAAGTGTAAGAGGCGTTTTGAAGATTTCGACCGACATCCACGCACTTGGTAGCCGTTTCGTTCCACCAATATAATCCCACATATCCTCCTCTCGGCGATACACTACTGTCCGTTTGGGACGAGAGCCTGTGTTGGGCCATGTCAATCGCGAGAAAATGATCAAAAGAGGGTGCTTATACCTGCAGATATTGGGCTTTCATAAAACTTGTTACCTAAACGATAACGGTCAGATTCAAAGCTAGCTGGAACGGTATGAAAGCAACTCACCCTCAAGGTCTCGACCCACATATCGTCTCTACGAACGCGATTTGAGTCAGCCAATCCTCACAAGACTAGTAGGATATTCTCGACGTACTGGGTTCCTGAGTGCCGTGAAGATTCTGGAGAGAAAACTCATTGTTGAGTGCAACGTCGTATGCAGCGGAAGCCAGAACAAATCCGGAGCGTCATCGAAAACAAGGTGAACGGAAATTGCCGACGTGGCTGTGTCGCGGGTTGGTCGGGCGACGCCCCGTACTTAAGCGCTAAACGCAGCACTGACGCGCAACCGTGCTGCTCGATGTTACGAGAGGGTGTACACGGAATGAGAAATCACAGATATCTAGAGACAAGCATATGTGAAGGCTGAAAAGGATCAAAATCTAAAAGAAGTCTGACTAGTCGGGCGAGACCACTGCCATTGGCAGAAGGCTGGTGATAGAAATCGGTTCTCAGTCGCAGAGAGTATTTCAATCTCGAGGGAAACTTGTCAGCTCTCCCTGCACTTTTTTCGAAGTGTTGGGCGCCGACACGTTGGGAAACGAGCGCTTAAACCGGTGCGGTGTTTCCCCACACTTCCCACGCCCGACCATACCCCAAAATTGAGGGACGTGGCTTTCTTGGTCTTTCCACCATGTCCTACATCCATTTCACCTCGCCTTTGACTGGGGACCTGCATTATGAACTCGAAATGCGCGATTCAGAATACAAGGCAAGTTATCGAATCTCGCAAGTTGACGTTGTCCAATTGACTCCAATCAGAGATTTTATTTAATTCGTAGATCCCAGTCAGAGGTGTGTACAATGCACGAAGATCTTCAGTCCTCTTCAACTGATTTCCCCCATGGCGATTATATGCAATGACCAATGTTGATTTATCATTATCAAACCGCCGTCTCCCTGCACGCATTGGTTCCACCGTCGCTTCTCTCGGCTCCGAACGTATCGAGTGTCGGACTCAAGGCACCGTGAACGCTCCCTTTATTCACGGGCAACGCTCTGACTATGTATGGTGGTCAGGGTTGACTGACCTCTTAGCAACAACTTTGAAGGTTAATTTCCAATGGGTCCCTGACCTTCCCTGTTCGCATGGATGTGCGGGGTTCTTGCAGGAAACATCACTTGGTCCGAACGTATCGAGTGTCGGACTCAAGGCACCGTGAACGCTCCCTTTATTCACGGGCAACGCTCTGACTATGTATGGTGGTCAGGGTTGACTGACCTCTTAGCAACAACTTTGAAGGTTAATTTCCAATGGGTCCCTGACCTTCCCTGTTCGCATGGATGTGCGGGGTTCTTGCAGGAAACATCACTTGGTCCGATCTGTCTTTCCAACAACTCACCATCCATTGTGGAGGTGACGGTAAAGTGGTACGATGTCCCTGTGGTCAGGCGTCTCCTCTGACCATCACCAATATGCTGAACTGCATCCATTTCACGGCCGCCTTGACTGACCGCATCCAGTTCGTCAACGTCTACACCGCGGATAGCTCTATTGGCAGATCTTGGTTCAGCAATGACTACGTCAATCGAAGCCTATTAACCCGCTCATGAGAATCAAATGGGACCTCGCCTCTCTCGTTGGAGGGTCACGACTCCGCTATGTTCAGCAGATCGATTGTATCGGTAATCTAAGGTGAACTGTGTACGCCTAAACAATGCAGCCTAAGGTACCGTATAGGCTCCTTCGGCCCCTTCAGGTTGTGACGGTCTTCCTCTTCGTCCGCATGTTTCACTTTTTGGGCCTTTTCCCGCCTCGCGGCTCCGAAAGCGCGACCTCCGGGAGTAATGGGGTGTCGTTATCGCCCTCAGGGCCCATGGCCACTGGTCACTTCCGAGCCCCCAGGCCTCAACTTCGACCTCTCAACATTCAGCGCTGTTGCCCTTCAGGTTTTGCGCCATGTACAGCCTGTTGCCCTAATTGTAGATACTACTCATTGTCCGCGTCAGCCACGGCCCTCTTCGTCGCCAACCCGGAGCTAACTCGTCGATGGCGTAAGTACCACACGGTCGCTTGTGGTCATCGTCCTCTCCTGCGGCCTTCTTGGCTCTTTTTGGCCGCTTTTTGTCCAGGGTTCGAAAACTCATGCCATCAAACGCGGGGAAATTATCCCCGAATAGAGGGAAACCGTTCCTAAAATGGCTTCCCCTCCCGACTTTTGCAAAAATCCAGAGTCTGGGGGTTCTTCTCTCGCCTTCTTTCCCCTTCCCTCTCTGACAGGCTCTGACAGATTACCCCGCAGGTACAGAGCTCGTGACCATTCCCACAGCCAAGGGTCCATGCTTGCTCAATTCTCTCGGACTCGGATACTCCAAGCACCTTGGAAAACCGTTCCATGAAGGCGAGAGGGCCGCCGACGAGGACGACTATAAAAGCGAGGGGAAGATGAACGTGGAAAGTTTAACTCCCCTTCCTTCCCCCGGTTAGAGGATGTTTTCTTCATTGTTGGCCAGCTTGGTTCTTGTGCACGCAGCGATCGCTGCTGCTGTGCCGTTGGAATCTCGCTCCAACAGTGTATCGGTCACGCTCGGCGGCGGTACCTTCGTCGGCGAACAGAAAGACGGCCTTCAGAAGTTTTTGGGTATTCCCTTTGCTCAACCTCCGTAAGTCATTTCGTCTTCTTGTCTTCAACGACAGTCCCGACCCTTTCTGGTAGTGTTGGCAATCTACGGTTCCGCCTACCGCAACCAATCACCTCGTATAATGGCACCTATGACGCTAGGAAGTATGGCCCCTCATGCCCTCAGCAGTCCATTTCCTTGCCTCTGGTGAACGGTTTGGTCGGTGAAGTGACCGATTGGATGATCGGCACCATCTTCGGTCAGGTTTTCCCTGATGCAGAAGACTGTAAGGATTTCATTTCTTCGACTACTTGCTGGGATCTTGGTTAACAACTGTGGAAAGGCCTTACCGTCAATGTGGTAAAACCTGCATCAGCTAATGCCAATTCTAAGTTACCTGTGGTTGTTGTAAGTTGCGGTATCGAATACTGGTATCTACCAACGCTAACATTCCTTCCAGTGGATTTTTGGAGGTACATGTCCCATCTTTATTTCATACCGTCAGTGAATTAACCCGAGATACTTTAAGGTGGCTTCCAGCTCGGAAGTACTTCCATGTGAGTCACTCAGGGTATAGAGCGCAGCACTTGATCTGACCTTCCAACTAGGTACGATGGTGGAATGATCGTCAAGCGTGCTGTGGACCAACGCCAACCCGTCATTTTCGTGAGCATGAACTATCGGTACGTCTTCTCTCGAGTCTTTCTCGGCAGTTGACGCCAACGGAACTTCTCCTCTCAGTCTATCCGGTTTCGGTTTCATGGCTAGCAAGGAAATTCGCGATGCGGGTGTTGGAAATATCGGTTTGCATGACCGTAAGTCGCGTTTACTTTTGCTTCTTTTCATCGATAAGCTCACCATGTACCCCACCACTGTAGAAAGAGAGGCCCTTCGATGGATTAAGAAGCATATCTCCGCCTTCGGAGGTGACCCCGACAAAGTTACCATGTGGGTGCAACTTGATTCCCCGCATTCCTTCTCGATTATTGACTTCCTGATGCAGTTGGGGTGAATCCGCTGGTGCCATCTCCGTCGCGCTTCAAATGACTGCGTATGATGGCAACCACGAGGGTCTCTTCCGCGGTGGCTTCATGCAGTCCGGTGCACCCATCCCCGTTGGCCCTCTCGAAAACGGCCAAGTCTACTACGATGACGTCGTTCGGGAGACTGGATGTGCTGGATCCTCGGATACTCTCGAATGCTTGAGGGGTGTTCCCTACAACAGGCTCAAGGCTGCCATTAACAAGTCACCTTCAATCTTCGATTACCAGGTGAGGATCCCTATCTCGACTTACCGTTGTATGGAATCTGACCACTGTCTGCAGTCGCTTCGCCTTGCCTGGCTTCCTCGCACTGACGGCGTGTTCCTCACCGATGATCCCCTCAAGTTGGTACAGCAAGGAAAGGTCGCCCGTGTTCCTTTCGTCAACGGTATGTATGCATCCTGCCATCCCATGTTCCCTTTGGACCCATCGGAAACGTTAGGCAATTGCGACGATGAGGGTACCTTGTTCTCCCTGGCCACTCTGAATGTAACGTGCGTGTCCTCTATTCCTCGGTCACCCTCCTCCGACTCACCCCGCCCTCAGCACCGATGCGGGCTTCAAGAATTGGGTCAAGAACGTTTTCCTGAGGATTCCAGACGAGCAAGTCGAGAGGATCGCCCAGCTCTACCCTTCTACTCCCTCCGCTGGGTCTCCATTCGGCACTGGAAACAGGAACGCCTTGACACCCCAGTTCAAGCGATTCGCTGCCTTCCAGGGTGATGGTGTTTTCCAGGCTCCTCGCCGCTGGTTCTTGCAGCACACTGCCCACAGACAAGACGTCTGGACCTACGGTGCGTTCTATTTCCATTCTCCCTCGCTTCAGCGCCCCCAACTCACATCATCCTCTTCAGTTCACAAGCGACTCAAGGGTCTCCCTGTTCTCGGCGCTGCTCACGCTACCGACCTTCTCAACAGCTTCTTCCTCGACGGTGACATGAACGAACACCTTGTCCGTTTCGCTACTACGCTCAACCCCAGCGGTCGTTTCCACTGGCCGAAGTACGATACGAAGAACAAGCACATGCTCAGCTACAATGACGGTATCTTCAACCCTCTGTCGCTGACCAAGGACAACTACAGGGAGGAGGCCATGCAGTACCTGATCGATGTTACGCTGGAGAATCCTGTTTAACGAGTCTCTCTGAGGCCTGATGATTCAAAACTTATGAGGGGGATATGATCATGACTTTATGTGGTTATGAGATTCATGTTGTTGACGATAACGATTTATGTATCTTCTTGGAGTGACGAGGTGTCTCGTTTACTCTGCATACCCACGTGTTGAAGGGGTTGTATTTATAGGGTTATAAAGAACAAAAACATTTTCATTTTCATCCAATTTCCCGCCTCGTAACAGCTGAAATCCAACCCCTCTCCGGAAGCCTGGATGTCCACTTGCCCTCGACTCGCTGTCCGCCGTAAGTGTTGCAATTTAAATAGTCTGCCCCGGTTGGATCCTGGCGCTATCTCAGCTTGGAGGTGAGAGGACCAGAACACAGAATAAGCACGAAATCCTGTCGACGATTATGTATTCCCTTGCAAGCATAAATAAAGTACAAGGAATGGGGTGCGAGCTGACATTCGTTTTCATGTAAGGAATGAATCGCCTCAGCATCACTTTGACCCTGTTCTCTGGCCGCTTATGTTGGAGAGGGCTTGCTTTCCGGTGAGGAGGGTAGGGATAGCCAGGATAGCGCCGTAGAGAAGGACTTGACCGAGCTTGAGCTTCACCCAGTACCAGAAGAGCAAGACCTCAAGAGCGCCAAGGCTGAGAACGAAGGGAAGGATGGTGGGGGAGAGAAGCCGTGAAGGGGCGGGTGCGACTTGCGACCACTGAAACGATAAATCAGTACTTGATTGCAGGACCGAATGAGACTCGACTCACCAGGCCCATGAGAACAGCCCACGGTGCCAGTGCAATTCCAGCAAACACCAAAGAGACAAACTTGGGAGGAAGTTTCTGCTCTGGTCGGAAAGTGTGGAATAGTTCAGGGCGGGGATGGAAGGTGACTTCGTCTGGGTGAACGGGAGGTGGTTGCGAACGCGGGAGTTGGAGGTCGAAAAGCTGGGTGGAGATTGGGTCGTAGTCCGGTGAGCCAATAATCAAAGAAACCTGGAGAGGCGCGTCTCCAGTTGGTGGGAGGTACAGAGGAGGCTTTTGGAGGTTCTGTTGTGGGCAAGCCATTAAACAAGCTGATTGTAGGAGGCTGAATTAGACATACCACTTCGAACTTGGCTTTTCCACTGGGCTGCACTTTAACGGGTTGGATGCCCTCCTCACCCGTCGTTTCATCGAAGAAACGAATAAAAGTCTGGTGAGGTTGAACACCTTTTCCTGCCTCATCCACGACTTGGAACGTCAATTTGAGGATATCCCGCCCCTCGAGTTTGACCGGTTTCTCAATCTTCTTTCCAACTGAAAATCTGTACACCGTCAGGGCCAAAGCTCAGGCTCATATTCCAGAATGCGAGCGAATATCGAAGGAGAACTTACGGTTCGGCGCGTAGCTGAGTGCCAATATTGTCTGCAACGACAAGTTTTGGCGATTTCAGAGTCAGAGACGAGGCTGCTGCCTGGGCAGCTACAGCCAATAGTGAAAGACCGAGGAACCGCATCCTGGTCACTGTCGACGACGGTGAGTAAAGAGGTTTGGGAACGATACTCTGCGTTCGCCGCGCTCCAGCGCATGCCGACGTGTTAGATCCCGTGACCTCAAGATAACCCGGCATCACCGCGCCGATACGCCGTCAACCATTTTGAAAAACCAATAAAAAAGGAATAACAAATTTAATATGACTGGAAATATGGCCTTAGAGGACCCAAAGGCTACCTGTGCCTTTGTAAATCTTGAGTATGGAAATTTGGCGGTCTTGGGGTCGATGTGGATCGGGGTAACGGGTCCATTCAGTCCCCAGTCTCTACGATCGCACTGACTATTTGGGCGATCAATTGGATAAATCAGGACGCGTTACAGGTCTCTTTCATTCTACCACCATCGCCTTCAACCTGAAAAGTGAATCAACGCCGAATCATACGCCCACGCAAAGAGGTCTAACCACTGCGTGGAGTTCTGAACGCGACGAACGATGCCCCATTCAAGATCGACTTCCAAGGATGAAAGGCAACACGACGCGTTGTTTTTTTCCTTTGACGAGGAGCTGATGAAGTACAAACGAGAAGTTAAGTTACAAGATTAAAGAGGCACAGAAAGCAAAGAATAAGAAACGTAAGTCTACACGTCATTTTGGAATACAAAGGCCTTTCGACTGCCCTCCTACACGCCTTTCACTATTTAACCACCCAGCCACGACCACAGGAATTTATCGAGTGTAGAAGTAACTGAAGACCATCCCGTACCATAACCCGGCCTTTATGATCTGCTTCGTGCGGGGCGCGAGCGCGATATCGATATGCCTCATGCTGGGGAGCCATCGTTGCCTTTGTTTCTTCTCCTCGAACACCTCGGCTTCCTCTTTCCCATCGATGCTCGACTCTGTCTCTGTCGACGGGGCCTCAACGGGCTCGCATCGGCGTCTGATGACTCTCAACCTCTCCTCGTCATCTTCTTCATCGGGTACTGTTTCCAAAGGTCGCTTCAAAGGACTCCTGGCGCGCTTTTTGGCTTTGGCATTACAAGGCTGCTCACTCAACTGTCAAAGGAAATGTGGTCAGTTCATGTTCATATCAGACAAAGGAGAATATAAGACTTACCCTTAACTGAAGCAGTCTGTCCATATCCCAGTTAATGATTCTTTTGGGCTTGATCGGCTCCTCCCAAGTCAGCCTTTGAACACGCGCCTCTGCCTCCTTCCTCAACTTGATCTGCCTCTGGCGCTCTCTGTGCGTGGGCTGAGGGCGGATCCGAGGTTCCTTGTACCGTCTCCAGCCTTGGGTAGCGGACCTGCGCCATTGCAAACCGGGTGCCTTCTTTTCTCGGGATGCCATGGTCGCCAATGAAGGTCGAGACTGGTCGCCTATAGTGGGTGCTGCGACTGGTAATCCCGGGATAGCGTTTGCTTCGATGGGGTTTGCAATGTCCGGTAGTCGGAACGGCTGGAAAGCGACCTGGGGAAGGTACGTCGATTCTAGGAGTGCGGGGGAAGGGTTATAAATGAGGCTGGACTGAACGCTTTGAACTGGAAAGTGTCTCATAGCGGCCAAAGCGGCGCCTGGGATGGCAGCATTGCAATTGTTGGGAGGCTGGCAATCCTCTTCAGGCTTTTGCTCTTGCTCTACCACAGTATCGGGGGATGCTGAGGAAGTAGGCAGCATCAGAGGTACATGGAGAGCATTGGAGGCGAAGGATGGGAAGGGGATGAATGACGTTTGATGGCTACCCCTCCATTGCTCGCCACGGACCTTCACGGCGGATTCGACCAATGTACTGGCCGTCTCGACCGGTTGGGTGTTGGGAATGCCGTTCATGGTTGTATCTGTTGTAAGGGTTCGAGGCGAAATGGGAGTGAGCGAAACCACGCGCATTTCAACCTCCGTCTGTTGCTCGGGTCGGCCTACTGGAGACCGGCGGTCGTGTGAGATCGTCGCGACGGTTCTGGTTATCGCGATCGGCCTAGTAGGTGTCGTGAACGTATGCGGCCTGGCAGCGGGTGGAGGCGAAGTCGCGCCCATCTCAAAATCAGGCTCCTGGTTGGTGGTTGGTTCTTGGACGGTCGATTCCAACACAGGCGAACGCCGCATCTCAACGGTCTTCGTTCTCATGAACCCTCGGGGTGGTGTAATGAAGGCATCGCGTTTAGCCCTCTGTGCTTCAAGGGCTGCCTTCAAAGTACGGCTGGCTGGCGTGTCTTCTTCGTCGTGGAAGGTCGTCGTTGTCCCTTTCCCTCTGCAACTAAGTCAGTAATGCATCTATGTAAAGAAAAAATACCAACTACTTACTTGCCACTAGACATGGAACTCGGCGCCTGAGGCCAGCCTTGCTTTACCTCTCCCGGCCCTACTGGGGTATTTTGCATTGTCTCCTCGTAGGCGGCGAGTCCTCCATCCTCGCTCTCGCTCTCAGTGTCTTCGTCGTCTTCGTGGTCCTTCATCGTAACCTCTGAGTTGTTGGTACTGCGCTTCTTCCTCTGTCGGGTAGGCAGTGGCAGAATGACCTTCGCCGGTGGCTGTCGCGGAGCAGGCCTCGGTTTCGACCCCAGCCCTTGCAGATATCGGTCGAAGGGGTCGCCTGCGCGCTCCGGGGTGGCCGGGTCGTCGATTTCCTTCTTGGAACTCGCGCTGTAATTGCGAGCCACGTCTAGAAGGAGCTTATCCGCGTCGTCCAGAAGCTGCTGCTGGCGCTGCGCGGTCGACGCGCTCGCCGCTGATTGAGAAGGTTGACTGGGACCTTGAGTCCATGAGTTGTAGGAGTTCCTGAAGTCTGGTTTCGACGAGCTAGCGAAATTGTCGCTATTTTGTCGCTGAATTACAGGGGTATTAAACATTAGCTGGGACGAAGGCGTCGTGCGCCTTTGCATGTAAGACTTGATTGGGGTAGAGTCAGGTGGGGTGTTCTCGTCGCGAGCGGGGCTCCAGGACATCGTTGCCGTAGGTTGATCAAAAATACGTCGAAAATAGGGTTGGTCCTAGCAACAATGCGCGCGGGCTATAGAAGTGGGTGGATGAAAGCAAGGTTCTGTGGATAGCCTGGCTGGGGTGAGCGGCGACAAGGGAGAGATTTCGGGAGAGCGTCGCGTTCGTAGTTCAAATTGTGAAAGAGGGCGGACAGAAGGACATTCGAGGGGACTTCTGCTTTTGTATACTCCGCCGGACTGTGGCTTTGACATCTGTGGCAGTAATCGAAAGAAAGGAATACAGGCCTTTGTGTTGCTTTGTGGCGTCGCTTGCCACTCGTGAAAGGGGCCGGGCTTCCATTTTGGGACTGTTAAGCGCCAAGAGTCCAAGCGTAAGGTCAAAGCGGCTTTGGATAGAGGAATGGTATTCACTCGATAGCAGTAGATCTTTGAGCTGTTAGTGTCTCAATACAAAGCGATGGACATGCATCTGCGGTAGGTAATTGGCTATACAATCAAAATCTCGTAAATACACGGATCCAGCGGCTATTGGCAGGGTGTATACTTGAAAGTATACCGGGACTTTTCTGGCTGTGTTAATCTATACAGAAACAGTGCTTCAGTCGTCCTCATTTCCCAGCCTTGTAGGTATCTGGCTTGACGAACGCTGTGAGCTGTGTATTGAGCGCTTGTGCTACCAGTGCGTCGGATAGGGGCATCTCGGTGGCAGTAGAACTGTGGGAAACTGAGCTCATTGAACGCGACGCGTCACCTTGAGTTCGCCATCATCGCCGTCGTTCTTCACGCTTGACGATAAACCACCACTGCCGCCACCATGACCGACGTCGAAATGAAACCCGCCGATGACAAGAAGAAAGAGGAGACCAAGAAGGAAGAGAAGAAAGAGGAACCCAAACCACAACTAACACCACTCGCAGAGATCAAGGCGAATGCAGCCCTATTGGAAAGAGCAGTGTCTTCCTTTGAACCACGATTCACCCATCGAGTTCTGCGGACGTTGACTGCATTGCGAAAACGTATTGACTTTACGGTGCTGAGGAATGCGGTTGAGGAAATCTATACCAAAGGTGCGATTTCCCAATTTGATTAGTGACTGTTCTGACATTCTGTGTAGATAGTCCAGTAAAGAAGGAGCTGCTTGGATGGATTCCAGCCGAGACGCCCCCAACCGGGGACATGGAGATTGACTCTTCAGCTAAAAAGACGCCGACAGCTGAGCCTGTTCCAGAGGTGGAGATCTACCTCCGCCTCCTCATCCTCCACCATCTCTTGACAGCCAAAGAGAACTACCCCAAAGCTCTGGAGCTTGCAAACCAAACGGTAGAGAAGATGCAGTCACTTAATCGTAGGAGTATGGACGCTATCGCCGCCAAGGTGTGGTTCGCAGTCCAACGTGCCTATGAACTGGGTGCAGAATTGGCCGATGCTCGACCGTATGTCCTCGCCAGATATGTGATTTCATCGCAACTAAAGCCTCGATTTAGACTTTTCCTCGCAGCTCAACGTACCACAGCTCTGAGGCACGACGACGAGGCGCAGGCCTCACTCATTAACTGCATCCTTCGAAGCTACATTCAATACAACCTCTACGACCAAGCCGACAAGCTCGTCTCGAAGACAACCTTCCCTGCCTCCGCAAGTAACGCCCAGTTCGCTCGTTACCACTACTACCTTGGCCGCATCAAAGCCGTTCAATTGAACTACAGTGATGCCCACACCAACCTCCAACAGGCCATTCGTCGCGCCCCACCAGGAAAATTAGCACCTGGTTTCTACCAGGCAGTCCACAAATACTTTGTCGTGGTCGAATTGCTGATGGGCGATATCCCCGATCGTGCTCTGTTCCGACACCCCGTCCTCGAGAAAGCCCTCGGCGCCTACTTTGACATTGTCAAAGCTGTCCGAACCGGTTCCCTCTCCGAATTCCAAACCACCCTCTCCAAACACGCTGCCCAGTTCGAAGCCGACAGGACATACACTCTCATCGTCCGACTCCGCCAGAACGTCATCAAGACTGGTATTCGACGACTCTCACTGTCATACTCGCGGATATCCCTGCGCGACATCTGCGTCAAGCTCCACCTCGATTCTGAGGAGGACGCTGAGTATATTGTGGGCAAGGCGATTCGAGATGGTGTCATTGAGGGCAAGATCGTGCACGAGAAGGGCTGGATGGAGTGTGGTGTGCAGAAGAATAACTATGGACCAGAAGTTAGCGAGCTCTTCGGACGACGTATCGCCTTCTGCTTGAACCTGCATAACCAGAGTGTCAAGGTATGTATTTCTCAGTGTCCCATTGCTTCTGATGTTGACTGGCTCGTTTCCAGGCCATGCGATACCCACTTGATGCTCATAGAAAGGAGCTAGCCGCCGTTGAGAATGCTCGTGAAAGAGAGAAGGAGTTGGCCAAAGGCATCGCAGACGGGGATATTGACGAGGACGATTTCAACCCTGAGCCTGGATTCTAAGCACACTAATTATCCATGGAATCAATGCTCGAATCGATTCGTTTGCAGAGTGAATATGTTTCAGTTCGCAGTTTTCGTATGAGATGTCTTGAATTCCAGCGCACAGGTTCGTGCATTTGTCCATTGGTTCGCAGCTTTCTTTCAACCCTTTAAACTTCGACGGTGTCGACAACTCGTTGGCCTCCGTCGGGACAATCGAGTCCATGCCGACCAATTTCCCTGCCGAACTTCCTCCACCTCCAATCGGGCACCAGAGAACGAACCAGCCTAAGACCGGGCGTCCAAACCAAAATCAACAACGGCCGGTGGTCGAGTTTCATTTCAGCCTCGCTCGCATCATCCCCTCCCACATCCAATTCCCTGCACTCCAAGCGCTCCTCCTCTCTGCGATCACCCGCAGAGAAGATGATCCCGAACACCTCGAAGCGAACCTCGACAACGAAGAAATGGGTGGGATCTGCGCTCTCCTTCTGAATCGCTCATTTGGCTGCTCCGAAACATCCCAGGACTCCTCGCTGACGGGGTACACTACCCTCCCGCACCTCACGCCGTTCATCACGCAGGTCCTTTACACGACCGGGTTCACTAACATATGGGCTCTCGACGCGATTAGGGTGTTGAAGTTTATGAAGAGGAGGGTACCTTAGACTGCGGGGTACGGGTTGAGTGGACATTGACTGTTCCTCGCCGCGTTTATTCTGGTTGTGAAGGATAAAGAACTTGGAGGAGGAGAGGGGGTTCGGATCGCCGAGAGGCGCGATGGTGAATCCAAGATGAAAGTCGAGGGGGAAGAGGATGGGATGGACGGCAAGCGGGTCAAGGTGGAGGGTAAAGGAAAGGAGAAAAAGGCAAAACTTAAGGAGAGGGAGAAAGAGTCGGCGAAAGAGATGGAGAGAGATGATAAGGGCAAGTGCTCGGGAAAGGCTATGAAAGATTTGTGGTGGAGTGCGATTTCGGGTTTTACGTTGAAGGATGTCAGAGAGATGCAAGCGCAGTTGTTGTATCATCTTGTACAGTAGCTTGGTGGTCGCCTCATAAGGATGACGAGTCCCAGGGTGTCTTTATGTTTCCAAGTATCTGATTCCAGAAACCAGATAGTCGCTAGCAGTAGATGACGCTGAAGTTGAGAGAACGCTTTCAATGAATATTGAACTTGCTTTGATCCCCTTTCTCTATATGTAACTTGTTAAAATGCCTATTGAGAACCAGAGTCTATGAGAACCGCATTGTACTAAAACGATAACTTTCCTACATAGTTATCCTTGAGCCTAGTGTCAAAGAGTATGTGTATGGAGGCCGTGTTTTTGGATGTCGTTCCGTTAGGACTAGCGATCCCTTTGAAGGTTGTAAGTGAGCGCTCGCTTGCGATGTGGCATCGGAGAAACCACGGTACGTGATCTTGGCGTTTTCGGTCCAAGCATCCGGCGTCTCCATATGGGCAAGCCATCCTTTTCCAGGTAAACAGCCCCTATTTTTCGAGGTTCATGCTTCGAGTCCTCAACCGAGAGTCGCAGATTCGATGTAAAACCTTGCATTAGAGAGTTCTAAAGCTACATTGGGCAGAAGCAGAGAGTCGAATTTGAGAGGGAACAGAAACCTATATCGGAGTTACCACGGACCCGACCCATTGGCCCTTTGTGACGGAAACGGCCTCGAGGCTGCTGTGAAGGCTGCGCAGCGCCATTGAAACCCAAATGTGGAATGTACCCGACTGTCCGTCGGTGGTCGTGGGGACAGTGCCACTCCACAGCAAATCCCTGAGCGCTCTTGCGATGCGCTGATAGAAGGCAGCTGGACCCTAGATCCTACCGATAATCACTAAATGCGATCGATCACTTGGATTCTGGGTGATCCCGCCCATTGTGACCTATACTTGGGCAGAGGTCCCAAGTCTCCAACGCGACAACGTGACTCGCTCACAAAGGGAGCGCGCTCGTACACGAGGCTGCCACAGTTGCGAGGGTACAAAGCTCAGCATTCCACGGTGTCTATTGCGGTTTTTCATCTTGACCCTGAACCACTATCATCTCGTTCTCGTCTTGCTCGATCTTCCTTGCCTTTCGACCTCGACTTTCCAGTCCTCGTCTATTGCCTTTTAGCTTTCAACTACCAACACAACCACCAACGTTATCAACCATGTCGCCTCTCGCCCGCATGCAGTCCATCGTCTTCGCCTCCTCCGGGGCGTCCTCCAATGCCGTCGATAACAATGCCACCGCGTCCTCCAGCGGTGCCACCACATCGGTCCCCCCTTACTCGTCGTCCGACACCAATCCAGCCAAGTTCAACCAACAGGAACCTCGCAAGGGGTCCTTCCTCAACATGATGCGCCGCATTCCCCTTCCTGAGGAAAGGAAGACCATTCCTGCGCCTTCTGCGCGCATCATGGAGAGGCTCGCCCGGCTCAAAAAGGACGCGAAGAAAATGGTTACCGTGAAGCCTTTCAAGGTTTTCGCCAAACGACGCGCCGAAGGCCGCAAAATCGAGCGTCCTGTTGACCAGGACCTCAAAAACCTCCATCAGGCGCGCTCGAAGCGCCGGTTCCTCGTCACCACCCCGTCCAAGCATCTACGCAAATTGATCATCAAGCTCATGGAGGACCCGAAGTGGAATGCCGGAGAGTTGGCACAGGCCGACGTTGATAATATCCTCGACCGGAAGACTCAGCTGGATATCCAGCTGGTCCTCACCCACTTCCTCACCTACAGGAAGAACCCGCAGCTCAAAGGGAAGGCTTTGGGTCCCGAGCTGATGGGCCTCTATCAGCGCTTCTGTCGCGGGGAGGAGGTGAAAACGGTCGTTCCGGCCAGGAGGACTGTCGTGCCTCGCCCACCTCCCCAGCCTGCGGTTGTAGTTATCCCCGCGGCCCCAAAGGTTGCTCAGCAGTGAGTACTCAATCCTCATCGCTTTCCTGTGCAGCTTACTGATCCATCTCTTAGACCTGCAAATACCAACGGTGACGACACCGATGACGGGGGAGACACCGACACGGAGGAGAAGGCCGTGTCTGTTAAGAAGTAAGTGTCCGTTTCCTGCGCTGTTGATGCAATGTTCTGACCCATATCTGCAGAGATAAAGGCAAGGCTCGCGCCATCATCCAGCAAAACGGTGGCGACACCGAGCCTGAAGACAACGGTGCGGCTACCAAGATGTAAGTACCCGCCTTTTTACATTCCACTGTGCGATGTACTGACCATCGTTGTAGGGACAAAGAGAAAGGTCGCGCCGTTGAGCCAGCGGACGGTGGGGACACCGAGCCGGAAGACAACGCTCCGTCTGTTAAGATGTAAGTCTCACTTCCTACACCTCCTCGTGCGATGTACTGACCTATCGTTGCAGTGACAAGGGCAAAGGTCGCGCCATTGTTCAGGATGGTGGAGACACCGAACCTGAGGACGGCGGTGACACGGATAACGAAGACAAGGCCCCAAAGCCTGTCATCCAAATTAACAAGTGAGTAAATCTCCTCTTCGTTGGTTCATCATCGTTACTTACATTCTGACAGAGGAAAAGCCCCTATGGCATGGGGACAACGTGCCCAGACCATTGTCTGGGGTAATGCCAACGGGGGAGACACTGACCCCGAAGACGATGCCGACACCGAGGGTGATTATAATAGGCCCTCGAGCTCCAAGGTCAAGTTGAAGAGGTAAGTGGTCATGAAGTTTTATTCGAGCTGTTCCCTCAACAAATTATATAGGCGCAAGGCCCCAAAGCACCGCAAGCGCCCTCAAGTCCTTGCACCAGTACACGATGGCGATACCGACCACGAAGACGCGGCTCCCAGTCCGGTCGTCCGAACCGCCGTCCAGGCTGAGGCTGACCCTCCAATTCCCGATACGAGTCGCAACACCCCGCCTTCCTCCCAGTTGTCGCCCGAGGAAATGAACGCCCACCGGGAAATGTACCTTCGGAAGGTCGACAAACACCTGATGAAGGTGATGAAGGCGAGGAGGAAGAGGGCTTACGGAGACAAGGCGATGCCGACCATCGACGAGGAGGAGGGTCCCCACCCTCGAAAACCCGTGGCGAGAATGAGGGAAGCTTCAGTTTGCACCACTACCGTTTCGCCACAAAACATAACTACAACAGATACGGCCACCGAGGCCACTCCCCAGACCCAAGTGGTCGGGAACGACGCTCCAGCAGCAGTATCCGTTGCGATGCCTCGTGGCGAGCAACGTTTGGATGGCGAGCAGCCTGCTCCTGTCCAAGATAATGATGCGATGGAGGTTGATGACGCTTGCATTATGGCAGGCAGCAAGCGAAGGGCGGAGGACGAAGAGGGAGAGGAGGACGAAGAGGAGAAGAAGAGGATTGTGAGGCGTCGAGTTGGGAACGAGAAGTGGGTTCCCGGTGCTAAGTTCGAGAAGCCCAGGGAGAAGAACTGAAGGGCGAGTTGAATAAGTTGGGCTTTTATAGCCATACGTCGAGGAGAATAGTCAGGACTTTTATCGATTAGAAAAATTGCTTACAGTTTCATTTCTCCCTTCCCTTTTCTTTTTGATTTTGACCTCTGTTGGATTCGTCGCCTATGCCCATTGTTTCTTGTAATCTGTGATCTCTTGTATTTATCGAAAATCTATAGAAAAAGTTGACTCTGTCGCAAGCGTGATTCGAGAGATAACCGCAGCGCGTGAGCTCTACGGGATGGGCATCGTGGTGAGTGTGAGGAAAAGAAAAGAAATCACGGCGAAATCGAGGCTTTTATCTCGCGTTTATCGCGTTTTGATCGTATGCTTTCTGACTAACTAGATTATAGGCGAATAGGAGCAAGGGGATTCATGAGGGCGGCGGCAGACCCAAATACGCGCAAGTGGTGCAGGAATACGAGAGAGCAGATAGCTGCAGGCGTGTGGAAACTTCATTCATTCGTCGATTGAATTGTTCTATATCGTACATCTGAGCTAAATCTTCGAATTCAGACCAGAAGCGCTGAGATAGATTCGACCATTCACTGCTCCCTTTACTTTGTTTCCTCTCAACAAGGGCGAGCGGTACGAGGATCCGGAATCCTAGAAGGAAGGTGCCATTGTGGGTTGGGCTGTCGATTAGGTCAAATAGGAACCGGAGAGACGTCCATAACATGGAATCCAATAAGATGGAGCTGTTTCGCTCCAATGTTATCTTCTGCCTTCCACCATGATGATATGGTAACCAAAGTTGGTCTTCACAAGGCCAGAGGTGATGGGTTTGTCGACAGTCGAAGGTGTGAGGGCGAACGCTGCGTCTTGGAAAGCACCAACCATGCTGCCTCTCACCATCCAGCCCAGCGATCCTCCAGCTAAGGAATGGGAAGTCAGGGATTAACACGAGTTAATTAAGACCACAGCGCACCCTTGGCCTTATCCTCAGAGTATTCCTGGGCGACCTTGTTAAAGGCTTGCCCTTCCTGAGCAGGTGAACAGATCTGTAACCAATTTCTGGTCATTCAAGCAACACCGATGGTTCGAACCTGGATTTTCTGAAGTGCCTCTGAAGCCTTCGAGTGCTTCTCGCACAGGATATGGCGAACATTAACGGCAGTCGCTGCCTTCAAGCCGCCTTTGCCCTACATAAATCGTCACCGAGTCAGGCTTAAGCGTGGCACGATCTTGGACCACGACGCACCTTGCCCTTTTCCTCGACATCCTCAGGTTTTGGCTTCGCCTTGCCCTTTCCTTTACCACCTTTGTCGTTGGAGGCACCAGAGCCAGAGGCCTTGTCTTTCTTTGCCATGGTTGTGAGCAGCGAATGGGACTGCGAGGATTAGGATCGTGCGACACGTGGACTGAAATGGATTCAGCCGCGCGGTACCGATTTGGAAATTGATTAGACTTGACTAAAGGCCCTCTTCAATTTTAAGAAAACAACGCTTGAACGTTGACTCTCACCATTCACAATGGCGGACAAGATCACTCGTATCGCCATCGTCGACTCGAATCGATGCAAGCCCAAGCGATGCGCTCAGGAATGCAAAAAGGTCGGTCGACCACCGCACAATGTCTTGGATGGCTCGTTGATTTGTTTATTGTTTTAGTCTTGCCCAGTCGTCAAAATGGGTGCGTAAAACAGTGAGAAAGGCGTTCATCCAGACGCTAAAGAGGGACATTTTCCAGGCAAACTTTGTATCGAAGTCAAGCCCAGTGACAAGATTGCCTTCATCTCCGAGTTCCTGTGTATTGGTTGCGGTATTTGCGTCAAAAAGTGAGCCAGAAATCGTGGCCAGATGAGTGGTTTCTGAACCGTTCCAAAAGATGCCCATTCGAGGCTATTGCTATCATCAACTTGCCCACCAACTTGGAGTCCCAAGTCACCCACCGATATACCGCAAACGCCTTCAAACTCCATCGATTGCCCACTCCCCGTCCTGGCCAGGTCCTTGGTTTGGTCGGTACTAACGGTATCGGAAAAAGTACCGCCCTCAAGATTTTGGCTGGAAAGTTGAAGCCTAACCTTGGTCGATATGATGTGCGTTGTATTTTTCCGGCGATCTTGAGTTTATGCTCATAATCTTCCAGGATCCCCCCGACTGGCAAGAAATTCTCAAGTACTTCAGGGGTTCCGAGCTTCAAAACTACTTCACCAAGGTTTTGGAGGACAACTTAAAGGCCCTGATCAAACCCCAGTATGTCGATCACATCCCCAAGGCCATCAAGGGCGAGATGACTGTCGAAAAGATGCTCGACAACAAGCTTGAGAGGAATAATAAGCAAAAGATGTGCGATGACCTCGAATTGAACCATGTCTTGGACCGTCAGATCCACCAGCTTTCTGGAGGAGAGTTGCAACGATTTGCCATCGCCATGAGTTGCATCCAAAACGCCGATGTGTATGTTTCCATGGCTAATTTTATTCTGTTGTACTGATCAGTTCGATTCCTCTCTAGGTACATGTTTGACGAGCCTTCTTCCTACCTCGATATTAAGCAGCGTCTCAAGGCGGCCGAAGTCATCCGTGAACTCCTCACCCCCGACAACTACATCATCGCTGTCGAGCACGATCTTTCCGTCCTCGACTACCTCTCCGATTTCGTCTGCTGTCTCTACGGCAAACCCTCTATGTACGGTGTCGTGACCATGCCTTACTCGGTCCGTGAAGGTATCAACATCTTCCTTGACGGTTTCATCCCCACCGAGAACTTGCGTTTCCGAGAGGACAGCTTGAGCTTCAAGATGGTCGAAACCGCCGACGAGTTCATTGTCGACAAGTCCCGTCACTACAGCTACCCGGCCATGACCAAGACCCTCGGCTCGTTCAAACTTACCGTCGAAGCTGGTTCTTTCACCGATTCGGAGATCATCGTCATGTTGGGCGAGAACGGTACCGGCAAGACCACCTTCGTCCGACTTCTCGCTGGTGATACCCCCGATGTCGAAACCGACAAGCAGTCGTTGGCTGTTTCCCTCAAGCCCCAGACAATCTCGCCCAAGTTCCCTGGAACCGTCCGCATGCTGTTGCTCAAGCAGATCAAGAACGCGTTCATGCATCCTCAGTTCCAGACTGATGTTTTGAAGCCCATGAACTTGGATAACATTATGGACCAGGAAGTTAAGACGTTGTCCGGTGGTGAACTGCAACGAGTTGCCATCGTCCTTGCCCTTGGCAAGCCTAACGTCTCCGTCTACCTTCTCGACGAACCGTCCAGGTCAGTTCTTGCATATCGCGTTCTGATGCGTTCGTGATCCATCGCTTACCACCCATCACTGTCACCAGTTTCTTGGACTCCGAACAGCGTATCATTGCATCCAAGGTCATCAAACGGTACGTATCCTTCTCCATAATCAACCTCCCTATATCCTCTCGCGCACCGCAAACCAATGCTTACTGATCATCTTTTTCCCCATCATATGTATTGCCTTCGCGGGTTCGTACATATAGGTTCATCCTCCACGCTAAAAAGACTGCATTCGTTATTGAGCACGATTTCATCATGGCCACGTACCTTGCCGATCGTGTTATTGTGTTCGAGGGTCAGCCCGCTGTTGCTGCCACTGCTACCCCGTGAGTACACTTTCCTCTCCCTATATATCCGGTTGATAGGTCCTGACTGTTTGTACAGTCCACAGTCTCTTCTTACCGGCATGAACCGCTTCCTTGCCTCGCTCGAGATCACTTTCCGACGTGATCCCACCAACTTCCGACCTCGAGTCAACAAGCTGGACTCGATCAAGGATCGTGAGCAAAAGGGTGCGCTACCTCTTTTTCATGTTCTCTCAATACATACAGTCTGCTAAACCGCGTTTCTTCTCATAGCTTCCGGCAACTACTTCTTCTTAGAAGAAAATTGAGGCGCCCCAGTTCCCATACTCGTCTGCGCTTCCTGCCTGCCCAGCGCCAAGTTGGGACGTTTGGTGGGTGAAGGGAACGTCCCGGGTGGAGGTTTGGAAGAGGGTCTCGTCGATGGAGAGGATGAAGATGACGATAGTGATGATATCAAGGACGAGGACAACGAGGACGATTCCCATTCCCGTTCCCTTTGAAAGGGGGCTGGAGGAAGAACGTTTGGATAAGACTGCTCTGCTATACAAGATTTGAATGAACTCTGGCTCGTGGTAGATACCGATAGGGGGTGAGAATGTGTAGGAGGAGGCTGGTAGTGGACGTCGCTGGTTTCCTTTGGGTGCATACGCGTTCTCGTTTTGTTATTTACCCCCTTTGTTCCTCGTTTGTTACTACCCCTTCTTATGTTATCTGTGCGTTTGAGTTGGAAAGTGGGAAGAATGTGACTGTGGGTTTCCACCGTAATGATCAGACGTAGGGATCGGTTTTTGGAAAACTGGCTTTGAAAACCTGTAAGACTTTGTTATCTGTGTAATGGTCTGTAAATCAAGGTCGTAAACCTCCTACGAAGCCAGACCTGAAAACACACATGATGACCAGTTACTATTAGCATCGACTTTAGACGTATACGGCGCACTCCATCGTTCTATTTCCACTCAAAATTACAGCAGGAACTACAGTACTATAACATGGATGAGCGAGCAGTTAGCAGAGCTAGGAATTCCTATGTACTGAATCGAGCAATGACTTTGACGAGCTCATCCTCGAGCCTTCTAGCTCTACGGGCATTAACGAGACAATTAACGACGAGATCGCCATTATCCAACCGTCCGTTAATTCCAACCGTATTAGTGCTTCTGAGCCTTGAGCTCGACGCGGGGAAGAACTTGTATTGGCACAAGACCCTTCCACCGCCAGCACCACGCCAATCGAGATCGACAACCCGCGCAACAGATACGTTAGAGATGTGAAGGGCCTCGTCAGCCTGCTCGTGTTCGACATTCCAGCTGCCCCCGCGTTTCTCTACTTCCTTGAATTTCTCGTAGAACCCCATGCCGCTTGGTGCAAGGGGTACAGCGCGAGCCTTGGCTAGTTGATATGCGATATCATGAAGTGGTCGGACTGTGACTTCGCACACCGTGAATATCGGCGCAGGAACGATCGCCCAACAGTTGTGCGGATAAAGGTTGAATTGACCGCCCCACTCTCCCCGAAGAGAAGCAACATTATGGATTGTAACCGTTCGATTCGGGCTTGTCCCATCCGAGTACATAGTCTGTCAAGTAGTTAGCGTCGATCCAGTAGGTGTCTATCGTGAATAGATCATACCTGCATCAACCAAGCTCCCAAAACGTCCCCACTAGTGGGCCGGACATCCACCACACCAGCCTCTTCCAACGACTTGCGGGCTTCCTTCGCCAATCCTGTGTGGACGGCGTAGGGAATGACGAGATTACAATGTCGTATCCCGTAAAGAGTGTTGTGCCACCACGACCTAAGCGTGTAGGACGCCATCGTGAAATGTCCGCCCGTCGATATCTGAAGGAAGGGATCGCGCTTGTGCCGCACGTCCTTTGCCAATTCCGCCTCCATATGCGTGGTGAATGGATTCTGGTTTACGCCAGGCTCGGGCATAGGAGGTACCTCCCAACTCTCTCCCTTTAGCTCGGCCTCCAGCGCATGCATAACCATGGCAAAGCCGATTCCATCGAAAATGCTGTGGGAGTAATTGACGCCCAAACATGAATATTCTTCTCCCGGGTGGCGGAAGTAGGCGATGTGCCAGTGAGTGAGCGGGGCGTCCTCCTTTGCGTAGCCCGTCAGACCCCCCAGCGCCATGCGCTGCTCGGGTACGAAGAGACGGGAGGGAAGGCAGTCCGAGAAGGCTGGGATGGGTATCTCAACGAAATGAGAGATCGGCAATGGTGAGTCCGCAGAGGTCAAGTTGTATGGAGGCTGGTTGCTGGGAGACCTTTGAAGGGGTATGTGAATTTCAAATCTCGCCTACATTGGCAATCAGGGATAACCCATTTGAGAGAAACTAAAGCTGCTGCACCTGGCCTTTGGTACTATTAGGACTTGGACGAACTCTACCAGCGAGCAAGGGCCATTTTGCAACCACCTTGTCCAAGGCGACTCGAATCTTTTCGATGTCAAGGATACCCTCTACTATCCAACCCTTGGTCATATTGGCGCCCCAGAAGTGGTCTAAAAGTCCAAGGGGGTAGATCACAACGTTAGGAGAGGTTGGCGAGTTGACCTGGAGAGGCATGGTGGGCATGATTGAATAGACGACTGTCGACTGTAAGCTGGCAGTCGATGCAATTTATACAAACTCTGCTTAACAGATAAAGGAGCAGATGAGACCTTTAGTATAATCAAGAATTATTCAAAGAGAGCTGTTACTAGAAGACATGAAGAACCGTCTCAACTTGTATTTATCGGCCCCGAGAAGGATTGATTAGACTCTTTTGCTGGACAAAGTGGAAGTTAATCGCCACATCTGTAGGAGTACCCCATCGTCCCTCGGAGTGCAATGTAACGGTAAGTTAACCAGTACATGATAGGCCCGGACGGACTCACCTACACTCGATCGTCCCGTCCAAGTGATGAAAGATCAGTTTACTTTAATCGGCAACTCCTCGGCTATATTTGTCCTGCCGATCGTTCGTCGGGCTTGGCTACTCGGATCCATCATACTCCCTCGAGCTCCCTTCCACATTAACCCACTGTACCCCAAGCACCCTACTGAGAAAAATAAGTCATCGAAAATGGAATAAATTAGTGCGTAATTTCATACCAAACATGAAAGTCCCCATACAAGGGCGGTCATTATCTACAGTCCATAGGTACTACTACTAGTCAACAACTACCAGTCAACTAGGGTATCTGCGCAAATGCATCTACTACGAGAGTCCATATCGTCACCTACATACACACAGGGCCAGCTTGAAGGTCTACACTCCTACTGCCTAACCTACACCCCTGACTTCACACATCAACCCACATTCCGCACTGGCAGCAGCACGATTCCTTTCAACCCCTCAACCCTCCAATCCTAGCCCAGAACATATCCTCCCTCAACCTCACCAACTCCTTCCACGTCCTTTCTTCCCACGTAGCCTCCCCGATGTAGACCTCCTTGTCGTTTGGATCAGCGTCCTCCTTGTCTTCTGCAGGCGACACTGTCTTGCTCTCAGGCTCCTCGACAGGAGGGGGAGGAAGATCCTTCGGTTGTTCTTCGACGAGTTGCGGTGGGGCATTGTCGTCCTTCTCCTTCTCCTTGGCTTCAGGCGTCGCATCTCCAGTAGCCGAGGCAGCCTCGGGGACCTCTTCATCAGATTTCTTGTCTTCCGAAGTTGGAGAACCAGACCCAACAGCCCCATCTGCCTTGGCCTCACTGGCAGCTGACTCCTCTTCAACACTGACACTCGGCTCAGAAGAACCGCCACCGTCCTGTTCAGACCCCGATGGAACCGCCAACGTCTCCTTTGTAGTCGTAGACGAAAGCGCATCCACAAAGACATCAGAGTCGCCTTCAGAAGCTGGTGTTCCTGTAAGCTTCGCCTCAGGTTCTTCAAGCTGCACGGCGGGCGTCGAGTCGGAGGCTGGAACGGCAGGATCAGGCAAAGTCGATTCAGCATCCTTCTTCGACTCTTCATCCTTGTCTGCCAAAGTGGTGGTACTAGGGAGAGCTGACGCATCACCACTGTCAATGGATTCCTTCTCTTTCGCTTCTCCTTCCACCACAGCGGTAGCTTCGCTGTCCTCCTTAGCCTCCTCGTCAACCTTGGGTTTCTCACCATCCGTTTCCCCATCCTTCTTCTCACCACCATCCACAACGACATCCTTCTTCGCGTCCTCTTGAGCTTTGGCCTCGCCACCCGCCTGCTGTGGAGTCACAGGTCTCGAAGGTGGAGGGGCAGGGACAGGCCTACGCGCAGCCGCACGTCGGGGTATAGGTGGTGGGGGACCAGCCGTACCGGTGGGCGTAGAGGGTGTAGCGGGTGAAGCCGTCCTCGACGGAGGTGCAACCGTTCCGTTCGTAGCCTTGGGATCGGCGGTGGCATCGATGGGAGTATCAGGTCGAGAATCGGGCAAGGGCACACTCCGCGGCAACGAGAAACGATTCGGTCGGACAGGCGAGGCGGGTGTAAGCGTAGAGTCGACTGCAGGTTTAGCAGCCTCAGTCGAAGCATCGCCGTCCTTCTCAGAAGCTGCCGTACCATTGACTACCGGAGGTTCTGCATGCGGGGGAGCAGAGGAGGTAGCTGCAGTGGCGTTGGTAGTGGGATCAGCGCCTTCACCCTCGGTATTACCCCGGGAGGCCCGGATAGGACTCTGAGGATCAGCAGCGTCGAAGATCAACTTGTGTGGAGTCGAAGGTGCAGCCCCGTCCTCCACTTGGTGAGTCGCCCCTCCATCCTCAGGTAAATCCCCAGTCTTGGATGGCGGCGTCCGTTTCCGTCCTTCACTCCTTTTCGGTAGTGGCGGTGGAACCCCATTCGCAACAGGCGCAGGGGGAGCAGCCGAAGTCTCAATCGGAGGAGGTGGAGGAGGTAGCCTCCTCATCGTCGCAGGAGGAGCAACAGCGGAACCGCGTCGAGGCGGGAGAGGTGGGGGATCCTGCGGTGCACTAGCAGCAGCCGCAGCTTTCGCCTTCTTATCCTTATCCGACTCGCTCCAACTCACAGCCCTCTCTCCAATAGCCGTGGCGAACCCCCATAACCCTCTCTTCCTAGGCGGGAGCGGGGGCTTGGTATCCGTGGGTGTACTCGAAGGCGTGGACGAAGCCGTACCCGTCCCTGACGCAGGAGGTGCAGTTGCGATAGTGGGAATCTCCTCCTCCCATACCTTCTCCACGATCCCCGTCCGGACGTACGCCCACAACGTACACGTACTTCGTAGACGTTTCAGACACCACCCGGAGGAACACAAGGGGTATATCGTGATCGGCTGGTTGTTGTTAGGCGAAGTGTTGGGTGTCTGGGTGCCGGCCATGGAAGTGCTAGGCGATCCACCCATGGGTGTCAAGTAGGGAGTGGATGATGTAGAGGGAATAGAACCTTGTGAGAGGGACTTGGCGATTGAAGTGGGTATGTGCAGGGAGGACGAGATCGTGGAGGTTGTCTGTTGCTGGGCCACTCTGAAGATGTAGACCTGCTGCGACTGCGATTGCGTTGTCGATCCGTTACCAATTTGGGATATTGAATGTGTCGGGGATGGAGGACGAGATGAATGCGATGTGATCGAGGCAGCACGCGCTTTCTTGAAGAACGAGCCAGACCATGAGGTATTCTGTGTGTGGGTGGGCCTTTGGGCGCGATGTTGGAGGTATTCCGAGACGGTTGTGATTGTAGATCCGCAGAGGGCGCAGGAGACGCTATCGTTGTTGCTGCTGAGACCGGCAACGGTGACCGGACTCGAGTAAAGGGTGGATTCGGAAAGAAGGGAGGAGACGGAGATGGGTTCGATGGTGAGTTGTCCGGTGTGGATAGCCGAGAGTACGGAGCGTCTTGAAAGCCAGTTGAGTGAGGGTGCTAGGTCCAGCCGTAGTGTCGGGTCACTGTACAATATTAGATGAGACAAGCAGTAATTATAGAAGACAAGTACTCACGAGTCTTCATTTGAGAGTCTGGCAAGGAAAGGGAGTGGGAGAATGGTAGTCATCGCTGGTGGACCTGGAGACGTTTGGTGCAGCGAACGAAGGTGAGCGACAAAGAGTAAGAACTCTTGGTACGGGACATGCGAGCTCAAAAGCTTGATTGGTTTGGACAAGTCGACACTCTGAATCCTCTCCAGCCACTTGCCCTTGCCCATCTTGACTTGCATCTCATTGGTCTTCTTCTCCGCTTCCTCCTTCTCCGCTTGTAGAGCCTGCATCTGAGCCTGCATGATGCTGACAGCTTCCTCTGCACCCTTTAGCGCCCTCTCCGCCTCGACGACCTTTTGCTCACTCAGGTGCTGCGCGAACCTGGCCTCTGCGACCATCGTATTCGCCTGATCAAACAGCGACGCACTGAGGTCATCCAAGTCCTTCTCAATCGCAGCCCTCGCACTCTCCGCCTGTCCCCTCTGCGCCGCCTCCTCCGTCGCCTTCTCCATCAACCGATTCAGCTCCGTCGTCACATGCGACTTTTCCACCAGCAAACCAGTATTGAGTGCCGCGAGGTGCTGCGTCCGCTCCATCTCCAGCTGGGATATCCGTACGCTCGAGGTACGCAGGTTGGCGGAGGCGACGTGGAGGTCATCCTCGAGGTCGGAGACGCGATCGTACGATTTCACGAGCTTGTTGTTGAGCTCGGTGACTTGGGAGAAGAGGTCCTGGATCTGTGCTCGCAGGGAGGTTATGACCATCTCCTGCGCATCTCTGTCGACGCTGTGAGTTTGAGGTTTGTGGGTGGGGGCTGTGGGGGACTTGGGGGCATCTTGGTCGTTGTCGGTGGTAGTGGTGGAGGCTGTCGGTGGTTGTGGTGATGAATCGCCGTTCAGGATTGGAGGAGGGATATCTGGGTCTTCTGGCATGCTCGTCTTGAATGCAAAGCCTCTGGGTGGCTTGAATGGTTTGAACCCAAAACAAAGCTAGTGAGACAGCGTGGTGATGATACCATTGATGCACTCATATGTGGCTGCCAAATCACAAACACGTAAGCAATACCCGCCCCTAACACCCAAATCAGGTCATCCCGCCCTCTCCACCCGAAATAAATGGTATAGATATCTGTTGTACATGATTTTAGATACTTCTATTCTCTACAACTTTCCCTTCTCGATCCATGCATTGTGTCTCTTCACCAACTCGGCCACAATATCCTCCTCGATCTCCTTTGCATGGTGCGCAGGTCCATGGTGTTCACCAAGGTCAATTCGAAGCCAGTACTCATCAAACTCGCTTTCTTTCCGCGACACAAAGACGACTTCGAATTTTCTCCGGTGGAGGTCGTTGCCGATGACCACTTGGTGGCCGTAGCGTTCGAGGGCTTGGCGAGCTTTGGGGAGGAGGAGGTTGTCGTCGGTTTCAAGCTAGATGGAGAAGTTCGAAAATGATAGGAGATCACAGGAAGGGCTACGCACCTTGAAGGAAACGATGAAACCTTCTTTTGTCCACTCGTCTACCATTGGTTTGAGGATCTTGGGTACCTGGTCCATCTCGATATGCAGACTACCCTTCCCCGATTGAATCTTGTGAATCGACTATAACGCCATCCATTAGAACCATATCATCCTCGCTAGCAACGAAGAACTCACCATCTTCTGCCTAGGCAAGAAGAAATCGCTAACAGCAGCCGCAAGGTAGAACAACGACTTCCTCCCCAACAGAGCCATCTCCTGACTCACAGCCCTCAACAACCACAGGTAATCGTTGACAGTGACAAACGTCAAAGTATGCAACGTCCCAGCTTTATGCACGTCCTTGTACATCGAGAGCACTTCTAGCAAGTCTGCGCGCTTTTCGGGTGTGACGGAGATGATAGGTGCGGCATCGGGGTCGTTCGAGTTGTTCGCGTCCGAGAGGGGACCGTCGATTTCGAGGAAATCGAGGAAGGGGTTGGTCGAGTGGGAGTAATGTCGGCTGAAGAGTTGCAGACTGAACTGGCGGTGCATGAAGATGACGGCGTAGCCGGCTTTGAGGAAGTATTCCGCGGAGGTGGCTCCTCGGGTTCCTTTTGGCGCAATGGGAGGCCAATTCCGGGTAGCAAGACAAAAAGTTCTTCAGAGGGTTGGAAGATCTAAGAAAGAACGGGACGCACCGGCACTGAAGTTATCCAAGAATCGAACGCTATGTGGATAATATGAACTCGGGACGTGCCCAACGTAGGGAAAGGCAGGGAAAGGCTCACACATTGAGCTCTAGAGGGACTGTCGTTCCTCCACTCTACAGATCCCAATCCCAGTAATAACCGATTTCAATCCCAATACGACGACGACATCCAAGTGCCACGAGAAGCATCCCAAAGGACCAGCGCAGCAGTGCAAAAATCCAGTAAAGATCCAACAAAGCAATCAATAACAACATCGAAAGAAAGACAAGTCGACACTCACAGTAACCAAAACAACACTCCTCCCTTCCTTATTCTGCCTCTGAATGAACTCCCTCACTTTCTCGATATCATGGTCCAGCGTCGGAGGAGGCGGTTGAGTCGCAAAGTACTCTTCTGCAGAGAATGTCGTTGGTTCCGTGTACATCGTGGTCGTGGGCCTGCGCGCAACTGGTGTTTGAGATTGTGTTGATGTTGGATCGACTTCAATTCCGTATGTCTTAGCCGCGGTCTTGGCTTTTCGCTTCTCGAGCTTGTTCTAAGGGTTCTTTTCTATACCGAGGGTCTGCAGAGGGCGATAAAAACGAAACCCAGAGGATGAAAGGGAGCAATAAATAGTAGAACGAGACTACCCCGGTCAGGTCAGGTCGAACAAACCCCAATTCAATTGCCGAAAACCCGGCTACTGTAAGCGGATCTGGGCAACACCGACTCCCGCCATGTTACGTAACATTTTGGTGAAGCCCCGCCCCGCCCGCCCGCTCACGTCTTGTCGTTCCACTATACGACTATCATCTGCTGTCTTTGCCGCAGAACACAGCTTGTTATCGGGACTGAAACAGCCTCTCACTGCTTCGGGAACCCTCCTTGAAACCTACACAAGTATTTTACGGATCTCCTGGTCTGGATGCATCAAGACGATGAATACACTCGGGGACCCGCTGCAGGGGTGATCCAATAACTTGAAACTTGTGGTGAAGGTCGAAGTAGATGCTTAACAGCGTACTTGCGGGTATCGACTGGTAGGTGATTCATATATTCTTCCCTCTAGACTACGATCTTTTCGACTTACTGCCTTTACATCGGTTGAACACAACTAAGTACTCCATTATTGCGCCGGTATCTCACTCGACACCACTGAGAATATTGAGCTCAAGTTACCAACGGCGAACCCCGAGCTTGACGCCGCACAAACCCACGATCAGCGGTGGCACTTGGTCATTCACCAAGGAAAAAAGTACGAGAAGAACTTGGAGAGCCGTGTCCTGCATGCACCACAAGGCAGTGTTCAGATGCACCCAACACCCATTGGAGTCAGCGTTCTGTCTTTTCTTCAAGTTGTTCTCCTCGACACTGTTCTCTTTGAAGCCCCTATCAGCCTCGTCACCCCTTACCCGACGTCCAGTATCCCGCCAACTTTCCTACTAGTACTTATCGAGTACTTACCTAACTACGTGGGAGACACAGCGAGGTACATACAACCCAGGCGATCAAAAAAAGAAGCCGAAGCGAAATTGCAAAGTGTGAGTTTCCAACTCGTTTCTGGGTGCCTTTCCAGGACTAGTAATAATCTCAGGACTTATATAGCCGACCTCTCTCGTAACGAGTCTGGCCGTCATGGAGGATTTACCTGGTTCCCCTCATCTACTAGTGACTAGACTCCTTCACCTTGGTTGAGCAAGGCAGCACCGTCGTGCTCAGATGGACGAGGATGCGGAACGAGCGTATATGAAGGCAGGATACGCCGCGCTGGTCGTAGCCCTGGTACTCTATGGTGCGTCTCGTCAACTACCTCAACCCCTTCAACAGGCGTTAAATTTGATTTCCAGGGATGCAAATCTTCATGGTCTTCAACGGCGTCCTGCTCTACCGCGAAGCCCCCCGCCAAATCCAACGAACGCGACGACCATACACGATCCTCAGCTGTGTCATATGTGCCCTCTACTCGGTTGGCGTTGTTACGGACTTGGTGAAAGTGGAGAAGGTGTTCGTCAAAACTGAATTTGAGGTGGCGGAATTTGAGTCTTCGGTGCATTGGTCGGCCGTAATGGGAGCTACGTGCATATTTATCGGGAACCTGGCGGGAGATGCTTTGTTGGTGCGTCCGCTGTCTCCTCAGTCCTTATTCTGATACTCATGAATTCGGTTGTAGGTTTATCGGTGCTATCTCATTTGGCAGGATCTGCTGTTCGTCCTGGCTTTCCCTGTCATCGTTTTCTTCGTCTTTGCCGGTGCGTCCGCTTCCTGAGACAACGAATGTCGCCCGGTTCAGCTCGTTCTGACCGTGTACCCTGCTTACAGGACTTGGAATCGCCTATCTCGTCAAAACTTCAGTTCCAGGAGCACCACACCCCGCAGCGCTATCCTCGGCCTGGTACATGTTCTCCGCCATCCTCAACATCGTCGTCACTGGCCTCATCGTCGGCCGCCTTATGCATGCTCGCCGCCGGGTCGCTAGTGTCCTAACCCTCGTCGAGTTGAAGGTGTACACGGGCGTGGTGGCAGTCTTGATTGAATCGGCGCTCCCGTTGTGCTTGGCTGCGATTATAGCCGCTATAGTCAACCTCCCGCAGGTTGTACACCCGAGTAGAAACTTTTTCACTTCGCTGTGGGTGTCGCTGAGTGTACGTGTTTTTGCCATAGCGTTTCCATTCCTCCTAAATGCTGACACCCAGCTTTTATTCCAGGCATTCTGCCCTCAATTAATTATTTACCGGGTTGCTTCTGGAAGATCGTATACAGGGGACCCTGTACGAACGAGAGGTGTCGATAGCCGGCCTTTGGACCTCGAGTTTGCCACTACTTCTCGAAGGAACGACACCACGCTGGATGAACTCGAGTTGACTACTACGGGGTCCGACTTTCAAAAGACGGTTTCCAGGGAGCTGCATTTGGATTCGAAAGTGTCTGGTTCGGACCTAGCGCGGGGTGTGTTCTTCATGTTCAATGGATCTTCTGTGTTTGAGGTACTTATCCTTTGCATGTCTAGATATATCTCCGGCCCGTTAGCACACTTGAGCCAAAGGGACGCCCGTCTGCCGACGGGTACGACCATACGTCAAGGCGCTAGCCGCCGCATACCATCAGAATTGGAGGCGCTGTTTTGTCCTGGGCGCCAGATGGGAGCACAGAGGCCATGACAACACGCCACTGTTTGCCGACGTCGAATGCGACCGCTTCAGGCTCATTCATGAACCATGTCAATGAGCGCTGTTTTCCGGGTGCCACTGATTCACGCGAAAATCTTGGAAGGCGCTCGTCAACTTCGCCAACGCGCGTACTTGCAGCTCAAGCGCGGTGTTGGCTGTATTATGATAACATCTGCGTTACGACCGTTGTCTGTATTCTACCATGATCTCCAAACACTGTACCTATAATGTAATGTAAGTAAGGTCTAATTTCCCCTTTTCCACTGGGAATCTTTGGCCGTTCGGTTACTGATGTCCGCTTTTTCGCATCTTGCCCCCGTTGATCTTTCGTTTCATCAACGTGTTTCAGCATGGTTGTCCAATGTTCCCCTCTGATGCGCGTGTGTGGGGCAGGGTGTTTCTTCACTGAATTGACATTGTCAAAGCGATGGGCGCAAGACAAAGTGTGATTTTTCGTGGTGGTTTAAATTGGTTCCGCTGTGGTATAAAATCCCCTCAGGTTCGCAGGCCTCAGACTGGAGAGTAAGGGTTCCTTGCCTGGCGCAAAAATACCCCAACTCAACGGGTCCCGACTGATTTCCCGACTGTCCACAGGCCTGGTGCCTTAGGTTGAATCGTGCGTACTCGATACTGCGTCGCTTTCGCCATCGCTCTTATGTCCCCTTGTAGATGGATGGAAGCTCGGATGCCGTGCACCTCGCCTATGTGCGAGCTGGATACGCTGCGCTGGTCGTAGTCCTCCTACTGCTAGGCGCGTCTCCTCCCTTAAAAACTCTACTACGCATCCAAACCTAACCTCTTCCCAACAGGGATGCACATTTTCATGGTCGTCCTCGGCACGCACCTTTACCTGCAACCCAGTACCTCCGAATCCCGCGAATTAAAACGGTCCCGGTTACCGTACACCGTTCTCAGCTGGGTCATTCTGGTCTTATGCTCTGTTGGAACGGCTGTCGACTTGAGGGAGATGTAAAAGGTGTTTATTCTGCCCAAGTATGGATTGGGCGATGTCGTTGCTTCAGAGTTGTCTTGGTGGTCGATTCTGGGAGGTGTTTGTATTCTTGTTGGGAACCTTCTCGGGGACGGGTTGCTGGTAGGCTATTCTTTAAGGGTAGCGTGATTTCTCGCTGACTCGGCACGGTTCGTCTAGTTGTACAGATGCTATCTGGTCTGGCAAGATATCTGGTGGGTAATGGTGTTCCCGGCGGTTACCTTCCTGGCGTTCGTCGGTAAGTGTATAATCTCTCCGAAACCTCGACCGCATCTTCACAATTCTTCGCCAACAGCGCAAGGAATCGCATTTCTAGCGACATCCTCAGCCCCAGGGCAGCCTGCACCCTACGCTCTAGCCTCCGCCTGGTACATCCTCTCAGCAGTCTTCAACATCACCGTAACCGGCCTCATCGTCGGCCGACTTATGCACGCCCGCTACCAAGTCTCCAAACTCGTTACTCTGGTGGATATGCGCCTTTACACGGGCCCGGTGGCGATCCTGGTTGAATCTGCTCTTCCTCTGTGCTTGGCGGCGATTGCGGCTGCCATTGTCAACCTCCCGCAGGTTGCTCATCCGGCTGGGTCGTTCTTCACCTCGCTATGGGTTGCTTTAAGTGTGAGTTCTTCCGTTCTCGTTCTCGTTGTGACTTTGAAGGGGCTGATGTGGTTTTGGTATTGGACTAGTCGTTTTGTCCTCAGCTTATCATCTTTAGAGTAGCGTCGGGACACTCGTATACCGGAGAAAACGTTGTACGGTCTCTCAAGCTCGAAGATTTCGAGTCCTTGGAGCTTCGGGCCAATTCTAACTCTGATTAAACCTGGTTTCTACGGGCATTTTGTTAAGGTGCTCTTTGGCGCAGCCTCGGAAACCGAGTGGCTCGCATTTCCGTAATATCTGGAATGCTGTGAGACTTGGCTAGTGCTCCACTTGGCCAGTTGAAGGCTCGGGCGCTTAATGCTGACGGATATCGCTCAGGAGACCCAGAAAACCCCTCACTTTGGAGCAAGTGAGATGGAACACACGTCTTACGGCGACTCAGTATGTGAGGTTTGGGACCATTGTCACTGTCATGATGGGCGGCGCAAGGTGAGATGATGGGAACCTGCACCATTCCATTCTTGTAACGGCAGTCGATGGAGTCTGGTGTACATAAACCGCGATGGCTACTGGGGCTTTTAAAGAAATTTGTTCCCTCCCTACTTCACACGTCTTCACGTCTTTGCGTTAGTAGGAGCCGAGCTTGCGGAAGCTGTGAATTCGAACGATGGATCCAGCTGAGACCATTGCGATCCTTCGTTGTAGTTTTACAGCCATGGCGCTCGTGCTACCTATCGTCGGTTCGTATTCAAAATTGCTATTGAATTGGGATTGTAGATCTGACTAACTTTGTATACCCGGATCATCAGGCATGCAGATTTTCGCAGTTATCAGTATCCTCGTGTTCCACAGTGAAAGCCCTCTCGTCACGAAACGCCAACGAAGACCATACGTAATAAGCAGTTGTATAATCCTGGTGCTCAGCACATTAGGGATATCGATTGACTTGGTGAAGTTTGCGAACTTCATCATCAGAGTGGCCGATGGGAGGGCAAGTGACCCAGGGGCGGATACTGCCTGGTGGGCTCTGATGGGGGACGTCTGCAACTTCCTGGCCGTTGTATTCGGGGATGCAGTTCTGGTACGTCTGGCTGGTCAAGCATAGGCACTGTAGCAGTGGGAACTTGACGGGCGCTCTGACTAGGTTTATCGATGTTATATCATCTGGAACGATAGGAAATGGGTCATCACCGTCCCCGTTCTACTTCTTCTATCTTTCATTGGTGAGATCTCATTGGCCCTGTGTGCAGGAAGGGGACCCCTCATGGCGATTCCTTGCAGCCCTTGGAATTGCATCTGCAGCCTACGACCTCGACGACCATAAACACGACATTGGCTTCACTTCAGCCTGGCATTTCGCGTCTGCGGCGCTGAATACAGTCGTAACCGCCCTGATTGTTGGGCGCCTAATCCATTCACGCCGAAGACTCGCAAAGCTCACGAGCGCAACCAATCCTCGGATGTACACTGGCGCGGTCACAATCTTGGTTGAATCAGCTCTACCTCTAACAGTGGTTGCGACTCTGTCAGCGATCATGAACCCTCCTAGTTTGAAGATCCCCGAGTCTTCCGTGTTCACTGCTCTTTGGGTGGCAACAGCGGTACGTTCGTAAACATCCCCTCTATCGCAAGCGTGGACGCTATAGCTGAGCAAAACTTACAGAGTCTGTGTCCTCAACTGCTCATTTATCGAGTGGCTTCTGGGAGAGCCTTCAGAAATGAGCTCCAGGCTGACGATGGATTGAGTACAGAGTCTTACTGCCCACCCAGCCAAAGTATCCGCTTTGCTGTTCGTCATGTCAGGACTGCGGATAAAACGGCTGATAGAGCAAGTCTAGACAGGTTAGACACTCATAGTACCAACCCTGGAAAGATGCCATGAACAAGAGTATTGATGTTGTTTTATACGATGTATTTATAGATGACTAGTTTCAACGAGCAATTCCACAACCAGAAACAGCTATGATAGCCGTCCAATCGGAGCGCGCGCCTAACATAGACCCGAAACGACCGTCTTCCAGGGAGCCGTGACTTCCCATTGTAACATCAAGTTTACCTTGCCGTGGGCAGGAATATCGCATTTCCACCACAATCCTCCTTGGTCGGAATGTAGGACGTACGCCACGCCGTCGCTTCCCTCTCTGCTAGTCCATCCCCACTGGGCAACAACCCCTTCGCTGACTGGGACTTGTGCCGGTGCCTTTGAGAATGCTGCTTCGTGATTGGCTTCACCTAGGTTCAGAAGTGGTAGGGGAGGGTTTAGGAGCTTGACAACGATAGAGGCTTCCTCTGAAACGGGGATTTGCTCGACGACCTTGAGGTGAGAGATCGCTCGGGGCTTCGTGTTGTGGACTGTGAGGTGTTGAGTAAACCTAGTCACGCACGACTTGGTCACGAATCCAGTCTCCGTCTTGTTGCGCGATGCAGTGGGGTAGGTAACCCGGATCGGTTCGTCCAGACTAGGACAAGATGAGTAGACGATCAGAATCTAAACGGGCCGAACGCACCCAAGGTGGCAATCGAATGTTTCCTCGGGGCTTGTGAGGGGAACCTTCGAACGGGTGCTGAAGGTCCCGTCAATGTACACGCTCGCAGGGCCTTCGAGTAGCGTGTACGCAGATTCATTTTTGACTTTGGCCTTTTATATAGCAAGGGCTATCAGCATCCTCTGGCTTTGCTACAAGGAAGTGGTGAAGTACCTTGATATGTACACGCGTATCCCGCTTGGGGACAACCACGAATTCAAGATCGCCATTCAACTTCAACTCAACAATCTTCACGCTGTGAGCAATATTGTCGCTTGGGATAGTCAGCTGCCCCTCGACGTCAAAGGTGGCGCTTATGTTGCCCTGTCGGGACACTTGCGAGCCTCGAAACCTGATCATTGGGGGTGGTGGCGGAGAAGGGCTACGTTCTCCAATACTCCTTGGCGCGAGTGGTAACATGGTCGGAGGTGGTACCACAGATGGCTGTATTACAACAGGAAGTGAAGACGCCCGTGGGCTTCGGCTTCGGCTTCGGCTGCGACTGCGACTGCGACCGATAAAACAGGCTACTGGCTGCACCGTTGGAATCTGGAATGATCGAAGGGACCACCTAGAGAGGGTAGGCAAGGTAACACCAGACGCTGGGGACATAGTTTCGAGTTTGATCGCTGCGCCTACCCAGTCCTGAGCAAATAATTGAGTAAATGGCTTGCAACAAAAAAGAGGACGTACTTCTCCAGTGTATTGAATAATTGAGGCTTTGTACAGAAGTGTGAGCACTCTGTCTTTCGCTTGGGAATCGACGTGAATGTCGTAAACAGCGCTCCAAGTTGCATCGCAAACAGCTATCATACCGTCGCTCTGTTAGTGGTGAAGTCGGAGTCGCAGGAAGGATACAACAAACTGTAAGTGAGGATTAGCTCGAGTTCGCCGTCCGTTTCGGCGTAAATCCCAATGGTCGCCTTCTGCGTCAGTTGTTGGTCTGTATCAGGTCCTCTTAGCGCCATTTTCTCTTCCTTGATCTCGTTCGCCAGTCTTTGTTTTTCTTCTTCTAGCTGCGAGATCTTGTCGTCGAGTTTCGCAGCAGCCGCCTGATAGGTCTCGAAATGGTTGACGATGTCCTCGACTTTAGATGTGTCCACGGCTTCAGCTCGTATGCTACCAACGAAGGTTTCCATAGCATTGAGCGTCTTCTCGACTCTGTAGAGGGACTTAACGGTTTTGTTCCATGCTCTCGTCAGCTCCGTCAACTTTGGCGAAGTGGCTGCCCGAACCCTCGAGCGGGCTTGACGGTTGTCGGGCTCCGCAATCGCAACATCATGGATGGTTGCGGCCCCATAGCCTTGAACCCTGGGTACCGTCGTTAATTACCACTATACATATACTGATAGTGAACGGCACACCTGAGTGAATCTGCGACGATGCACTTGGGAAGGCCAGTAATGGAGATATGATTCTGGCCTGCCTTGACATCGAACCGGAAGACGCGAGTGACTTCAGCGTTGGCAGGATACACCCGCACCCCTGAGATATGGCTATCTTTAATGGATACAAGTTCGATTTTGTTGGTATCGCGAGGCTCTGCAGGAGAGTGGGCGGAGAGGTTGCCAGTGCCCATCTTTCAAGTTGGAAGTATCCGAGGTGCTGCTATATATGACGGGGGTAGAAAAGTTGATACCTGACCCACTCCAACGCTCAAATCTTATAGGTTTCTCGAGCCCCCCGTGTCAATGAGAACAATGCACCGATACGTTATCTGGCAACAGCAGTAAGGAGTCATCATTCGCAGAATTCGAAACGAGATGAACGCGCATTCCGCTGACCTTACTCGGTGTCATAGGTGACCTATTCAGGTTAAAAGTGGGCATCCATTCTTCAGAATGATCCCAGGAAGACGTTCAGATTTGATTCCATCTTGAGAGCAAGAGGAATCGTGGATGGAACGCTGTAGAGCAGCCCGGATTGGAACGTTGACGTTCCCGATCGAGTACGTTGAATTGATTGGATCAATTATTGTACAATTCCCAGGACCTTGGACACGGAAGTACCGACGCTACACAGAGGACGCCCAAGAACTCTTACAGCCCAGTCACATATTGGCCAGCCCAACGTAAGCTCAGACCACAATAAGTAGAAAGCATTCGGATTCCCAGTCGGACTGCGACTTTTACTGCTTACCACGTGATGGTTTTGGAGGTACATTCGGGCGCTTATCCCGTGGACTTGGACTTCGTTATGAAGCGATTCTTCAGTAAGACAACACAGAACGCAGCTATATTGAATATATAGGCGAATAGATAGGCAGGACTCTCACTTCATCCTCACCGTAAGTTAAGTAGAATGTCCAACCGTACCTGAATGTAGAAGTTAGGTTAGCGGTTTGTCAAAGGGTAATCGAATCTCAAAGGAAGAGTCATGTCAGAGAAAGGATTGAAGTAAGGGTGTCGGTCAAATGGGCTCCTCGTATGATACACCTCGCCATCTCCCATAGGCTTGAGAATACGTGTGGATCCTTGGGAGGGACAGTTCCCGGCCTGAATTTCCTTCGGTGTAACCATGTTCTGCTGTACACAGATCAATCGCACGGCCCGTTCCAAGAACAAGCGCAAGCAACTGGTGAATGAATCAAGCAGAGTGGCCTTGTTTTAGTGAGAAATTATGCTCTGCACGCTGCTGCGTTTTGAGTAAGACGATGTCCCCCCGGGGCGGCATTGGGCCCGACGACCTGATCAAGGGATATTTCAATGCCGGGTATCCCCTCGTCTGGTGTTGTGATAGCATAGGTGGAGAGCATGATACGGGAGGATGGCAAGGCAGCTTTGAACGCGCCTCGTGTCCAAAACCTGCAGACGAGCGGCATGGCGAGATCTCGAAAGCCCGCAGTGTGTAACTGTGGCGTAGCACCGATAGAGCCCAACCACGAAGTGTCTCATCACGATCGCTTGAATCTCGAATTCTACTCACCAGGGCAAGGTCGTCAGGCTTTTGGAGGGAGGTAAGTGATGTGGCAGAGGCTGAGCGGGGATGGGGAGGTTGGTCCGCAGCAAGATGAACCAGAAGGCTATTTGAACGAGAGAAAACGAACACGCTCGGACCATGCCTTATCGTCGCACGACGTCCTTATCTTTGACGTACAGCCCATACGTATAGCCCATGATAAGCTCTAAATTTAAACTCTCCGAATTTTCCGAAGAAGTGTAGCGGTTACAGCAATGAGCCGGCGGACCAACGACCTATCCAGTATCGACAGACAGATTTGCGGAGTGCCAGCGACTCGCGGTCGAGTGTGACTGTCATCGTTCCCTTCCATCCTTCACTCATGTCCGTGCGAACTTCGTCGATATCGAACCCAGCAGCTCTCACTTTTGAGAGGAAAGATTCGATGACTTCGGTTTTGGTGTAGGAGCCGGCTGAGACATGGATGCGGGAGTCTGGCGACCTTTTCAAGAGGGAGACTACCGAGGATATCAGGATGTCCTGGAAACCGTCGAAGTGGAGGAGGTCCGATAAGATCAGGGCATCGTAGCCTGGAGAAGGCTCGGGTAACAATGACCTAAGGGTTCTTTAGAAGGATTTCTTCAGAGTGAGCAGCAGATTCCGACGTACAGTAGAGGAGTAGGATCTTCACCCCACGCATAACCCTTGTGCATGAGCATGCAGGCAGGGTTGACAAGATGCTTGTTTCGTTGAACATTTTGCTCCAGATTCTTGAGGATGCTGTCATCTGGATAATCGGTCACGACCAGCAAGGCAGGAGGATTTGGGGATATCGACAAGAGCAGGGAAGGCAACGCTACTCCAGCGCCAAGTTCAAGGACTGAAGCGACCACCGAGATAGGATGAACATCGAAGCCTTATACGGGGTGTCCGATAACCGACTCACCGTTCTTTCCACGAACGTCCAGAAGGCTTTGTTCAATCCTTTCGGCCAGATAAATCGAGGGCGAGAACAGATGGTCAGCCAACAGTGTATTCGCCTTGAGTTGCGTTTGAGGCGTGAGGTCAGGGGAAGAGGCTACGATATTCGCACTTTTCCAGACTTGAGAGACTTTCGTTAGCGTCTATATCATGGGTTTCGGGGAGGAGGACACACCTTTGGCGCGATCGTCAACTCCAGAGGGCCATATCTGATGACCTCGTCGTCGATCACGGGTTTACCGCCCAGAAATTCCAGCGAATCGCCCAAGATGTCTTCAACGTCCATGCTTTTGGACTGTGGTCGTTCCTCTGACTCGAACCAAGGTTTCCTGCGCTTGATTACGATCTTCTCAGCTTTGGCGACCCGGCGGCAGCTGGTCAAAAACAATCCGGGAACTAGATCAGTTTGGTGTTTGATGGCATCAATCGCCAAATAACGCGCCCCATCTCACTATAGTATCCCCACCGTCGCAACCGCGTCTTTCCTCATCGTGGCAAGGCCTTTGTTCATCGTCGCATACAGCAACCATGCCGCCCAAACCCAAGGCGTCAACCGAATCTCTCAAGCAGAAGAGCCTTATGTCGTTCTTCGCCAAGGCCCCAGCAGGAGGTTCCTCGTCGTCCAGCAAGACAGAGCCGAAACCCAAAGCAAAACCGACCGCGACGCCAGTGTCGAATGGCAAGTCGGATGCAATGAAACCCAGGGAGACAATGCCACCTTCATCGCCGTTGGCGCCCAAAACCCCTGAGTCGAAAGGGATGGACACGAGAATGCTGAACTCATCTGCTGCTGCAAGTTCCACGTCGTCGCGTATAATGAGCACCCCGCCGACCAGTGACCCTATCGACATTGATATGCTCTCCTCTGACGGAGAATTGGAACTGGTCCCGTCAAAGGTACCTCGATCAGTGGTATGACCTCCTGCTTTCTCTTTGGGTGTGGTTCCAACGACGCCCAACAGCCCAGCACTAAACGCAAGTCTGTCATCGAGTCTGACGAAGACGAAGAACCTCTGCGTCCTACGGGAAAGTCTCGGCGGGCTAGACGAGACTCTTCGCCTTCTGAGGCGGCACAAAGTGAGTAGGCCTGTTCAGAGCAACGACTAGTGGGCCTCACCAGCTGTAGGGAAACGTGCCAGGCTATCCAAAGCTCTCAGCGAGGCGGAAAGCGATGACGGAGAGGCATCAGAGGCTCTTAGTTCATTCAGTCAACGACTTTCACGCTTCAAGAAGTCTCCTGTCAAAAAACGTGGGTGTATGCGGTCAAACTACATCTCCCTTAATTAACATTGTCGCAGGCTCGAAGAAACGCGTAGACGATGACGACGACGACTTCATTGTCCCGGATTCCGAGTCAGAAGATGACGCTAAATCGATGAAATCCGCTTCATCTCGCTCTTTCTCTTCCCGACGATCTGCCGCTTCCTCAGAAGATGAAGATTTTGAGGAGCTCTCCGACGACGAACCAAAGCGTTCCAAAACCAAGAAGGCGCCTGCAAAGAAGAATATCGCAAAACCCTCTGCTCCAGCCACCGGCACTTCATCTGGGGGAAATTCTTTCCTGACCGCGGCGGAGCAACGAGCCCAAGACAAGAAGGTCGACAAGCAGAAAGCCGAGGCACCATTCTCCTTCCTTCAAGACATTCGCGACGTGAGTTCTTCAACGCAAACTTTGTCGGTCTGTATTCACTGAACCGATTTGCAGAAAGATGGCCGACGTCCTGGTGAGCCCGACTACGACCCGCGTACTATCTACATTCCGAAGAAGGCATGGGCCGAGTTCACTCCTTTCGAAAAACAAGTACGTGATGGAACAGATTTCCAAGTGGATGCGCTAACGACCACCTAGTTCTGGGAAATCAAGCAAAATCACTATGATACCGTGAGTTCCAGACTGTTGGTGCCAAGCGGGTCTTTTGCTGACTTCCACGGCACAGGTGCTGTTCTTCCAGAAAGGGTCGGTCCATTTGCTTGTGGATAATTCTATGACTTAACCAACAACTCATTTGACTTCAGCAAATTCTTTGAAGTAAGCGTTTGGTCATCACCGCCCTAGCTGTCGTGTTCCCTGACATGTTATAGTTATATGAGGACGATGCTCGAATTGGCCATCAAGAATTCGACCTCAAGCTTACCTCTAGGGTCAAGATGTCCATGGTAAGAAGCTATGACCACGATGTTTTCGCCTATATGCTAATCGACACTAGGTTGGCGTTCCGGAGTCCTCCTTCAACTTCTGGGCAGCGTAAGTGGTAGTTTCATTCCAACCTTGAGGAATTCTCAATTCTGTTCAGGAAATTCTTGGGAAAGGGCTACAAAGTCGGTCGAGTTGAACAAGCCGAGACAGCCCTCGGGGCAGAGATGCGGATGGCTGCCGCCAAGGGTAAAGGCAAAGTCAGCGAGGATAAGGCGAAGGACAAGATCGTCAGAAGGTGCAAACCCTCGCTCTTCCTCTATGCAAAGTGCTAACCTAGCCGAAATAGAGAGCTGAACAAAGTCTATACCAATGGCACCCTCGTTGATGACGCCCTTTTGACGGATGAGAATGCCGGACACTGTATCGCAATCTGTGAACAACCTTGTGAAGACGGTTCCGACAGTGCCAATAAGTTCGGCATTTGCGTTTTGGACTGCTCGACCTCGCAGTTTAACCTCACTGGGTTTGTCGATGACATATGTCGGACTAAGCTCGAAACTCTTTTGCGCCAGATTTGCCCCAAGGAGCTCCTGTTCTACAAGGTGGGAAAGCCGTTCCTTGTCATTTTACTTTACTAACAAAGGGTGCAGGGAAGCTTCTCTGTCGATACACAGCGCGTGTTGAAGGCCGTGCTGCCGTCCGATTGTCTTTGGACTGGTTTGCGGGAAGTGGAAGGCTTTAAATATGACGATGCATTGAAAGCTCTTAAAGACTTGTTCCCTTCTGAAGAGGATGCAATGGAAGAGGACGAGGGAGAGGCTCAGCTCCTTCCACCGAGTGTGCCTGAGTCTATTCGAAAGATGGCGACAGACAAGTGCGCGATTGAGGCCCTGGGATCTATGATCTGGTGAGCACATCCCCTCATACCTCAGGGCTTATCCACTGAATTTATGCAGGTACCTTCGGCAGCTCAATATCGACAAAGACATTGTCACTATGCGCAACTTTAACATCTACGACCCTATGGAGCGCAATCAGGGCCTTGTTCTCGATGGACAAACCCTTGCCCACCTCGAGATTCTTCTTAACAATGAAGGGAGTGAGGACGGTTCTCTCTTCCATCTACTTCGACGATGCATCACCCCTTTCGGTATGTCCCTCTTTCTAACTTCGCCTAGTTGTGGTTGGCTGACCGTTGACGTTGTTATGCAGGAAAGCGACTCTTCCGTATCTGGCTTTGTATGCCTTTGCGTGAGGTCTCTGCAATCAATGCTCGGTATGTTGCTGCCCCTGTTGACTAAAATTTTACTAAAAGGATTCCCTAGGCTGGATGCGGTCGAGGACATAATGAAGCACCCAACCTTTGAGTCGTCCTTCTCAGAGCTTGCCAAAGGAATCCCCGACCTCGAGCGTATCGTTTCGCGGATCCATGCCAAGAATTGCAAAGTCAAGGATTTCCTCAAAGTTCTTTCGGTGGGTGGGCGGTCCCGTGGTCCACAGCCTTCGTGTTGACCATACTTCTAGACTTTCAAATCCTTGAGCCGCGGTCTTGCAAAACTCGCCGACGAGTCTGAGGAATTCGAGTCCAAGACTATTTTGGGGCTATTGCGAGGTGCACCTGACTTGCTTGTCAACGTCAGGCATTTGGAGTCCATGTTTGAGAAGCCTTCTGATAAAGGTATGGTTCCGTCTTGCTCGTGACGTCTCCCTGTTTGCTGATTCATATGCTCTCACAGACAGGGACGAGTTGAAGCCCGTTGAGGGCAAGGACGAGGAGTACGATGGGATTGTGCGCGAGATTCGCTCGCTAGAGAGGGATTTGGACAAATCACTCAAGGCGTTTGAGAAGGAGACCGGCCTCGACTTGGATTACTGGCACAGCGCGATTGGCACCAAGGTAGTGGACCAATGTGGCGGATTAACTATGAGATTAACCCTTCTATTCTCAGGATATCTATCTAGTCGAGACTTCTGCCAAGAACGCTGACGATGTTCCCGATGATTGGGTCAAATCATCAGGCACCAAGGCGAGTTAATTGAACCGAGCGCCATATCTGCACAATGCTCATTACCCACATCAGGCGAAGAATCGGTACAGCGTCCCTTCGCTTCAGCCAACGATTCGTAAGCTTAAGGAGGCTCGCGAGAACCTGAACACTGCGGTTAAGAACTTCAAATTCCGACTTTATGCGGAATTCGACAAGGATCGCTCGCAATGGTTGCGAGCCATCCGCGTCTTTGCTGAATTGGACTGTTTGTTCAGTTTGGCGAAAGCTTCTGCAGCTATTGGTTCACCTTCTTGCCGACCGGAGTTTATAGAAGGCGATTCAGCGTTCATTGAATTCGAGGATTTGAGGCACCCCACGATTTGTCTGAATCGTCACATCGAGTCCTTTGTAGAGAACGACGTCAAGATGGGCGGAGAGGACCCGAAGATCATTTTGTTGACTGGTGGGTGTATTCCTTATCGCTAGGCCTGGAGCATGTGGCTAACTGATTCATGCAGGTCCTAACATGGCGTGAGTGTGCTTGGTCTTCTCCCGTTTCACTGAAGTCTGAATCTAATCACCTGAACCACCATCCTTCAGTGGTAAATCGACTGTGAGCTTTTCCCGTTTCATAATACGCGTATCGTACTCATCCCATGTCATGTCAGCTCATGCGAATGACTTCCATCGGCGTCGTAAGCACCTTTGCCAAACGCATTTTATAATAGATCCCTGACGAAAGTACAGATCATGGCGCAGCTGGGAATGCTTGTCCCTGCGTCGCGTGCTAGGTAAGGAGATTTCCACTCATGCTCTTCTGACACTAACCTGGTCGGCAGACTTTGCCCTGTTGATTCTATCATCACCCGAATGGGGGCCTATGACAACATGTTCACCAACTCAAGTACCTTCAAGATTGAGTTGGATGAATGGTACGTCGAGGTCCAGTTAAATTATCGCTGGAAATGGACTCTCACTTGGCCACCCTCAGTTGCAAGATTCTCCGTAATGCTACACCAAAGTCTCTGGTGATCCTTGATGGTCTGTGTTCACTCCTGCTTAGCATAGTATTGGCTCCGACTTAAACTTAACATCCAGAACTTGGACGAGGAACCTCCACTTTCGATGGCATGGCTATCGCAGGAGTGAGTAAATATCCCATGGTTCCATCCACTCAATGACGAACGCCCCATTAGTCTGTCCTCCACAAACTAGCGACCCACACGTTGCCGCTGGCTTTCTTTGCAACCCACTATGGCTCCCTTACTGATGATTATGCATATCATCCCAACATCCGCCGTATGCACATGTCCACAATGGTGGACGAGGAAAGGCAGCAGGTACGCTCTTTGAGATAGCTCAACGATGAAGAACGCAACTGACGCAGGCTTCAGCTCACTTTCTTGTACAAATTGGTTGATGGAGCTGCCACATCATCGTTTGGGTCGCATGTTGCGAGACTGGCTGGTGTTCCTGACACTGTCGTTGAACGAGCCGATGATGTTTCCGCTGAATTTGCGAAGCAGTTTAAGGAGCGCTTGCAATTGAAGAAGAAGCAAAGTGCTTCCTCTCGTGTCCCCCTTGTGGCTCAGGCCGACTTCGTTTACATGCTGAAGCTCGCTACTGGCCAGATAGCTGTCCCTGAGGACCCTGCCCTGCGCAAGGAACTCTTTACAAGGCTCCAATCTGTTCTGAAAGCTCACAAGGCATCCATCCGTGCTTGATTTTCTTGCCCCTGCCAAACATTCCGACCACTTGCCACCTAGACATACCCCACTGTATATTGTGCTCTTTCCAGCTTTAGTTTTGTCAGGCGCTTGTTCTGTTCTACTGTACACCTCGCTTCTCGCTTTATTCGTAGCCGCTTGGACTTAAAATGACCTTCGCTTCCGCACGTTTGTCCGTCTGTTCAAACCATTCCACGTAGATTGGGGGTACTACAAACCTCTCGAAATTGTACATACTGTCTGGGCTTGAGAAGATTCTCATTGACCTGAATACAGTTGGAACTCCCATGGTAGGTTTTGGTTGTGGCTCTCATTGTCGAGCCAAATACGGCGTATTCGACAGGACGCATAAACGCGGATGTAACAGATATGTGAGTAGCCAGCTTTTGGAACGGGGTACGACTCCCGGATCGGCCGAGAATGCATATTGCGCTCGGGATCATATGCATTGGTATCCTTCTGGTCCAGCTCGGGAGACGTAAAATAGGCCAGAAACGTCGGCAAGTGCAAGTCAATTGTGGTCCACGGAGTGAGCATTTGAGGACTGGGTGAAGGGAAAGACAAGGGTAGATGTAATAGAGGTGGCTTCGTTGTGCGTAGCGTCAACTTTGGAGAGGTCTGAGTGACAAAACGGGTTCAGAAAAATTTCCAGAACACCTTCGAGGGTTGTAAAGGGAGATGTGTACCTGAAACGTTGAAAATCTGAGGATCCCGAGATTTCCTCCCTGATCCATTACTCCAACTTCGAAGGACCAATCTTTTCCCAAGGGACGCAGTTGAAGATGGACGTAGTGATGGCGAATCCCTAGAGACTTTGCTGTCGCTGCCGTCGAAGTCGACATGCTTCCTCGCTGATCGTGATCACCACGACCGAGCGCGCTGGAGAACCCCTGGTCGGCCCCGGAATCTGGTGGACATTGGATGTACGTCTTCCGAAGATCAGGGCCTTGAACATGCAGGACCGTTTGATCTAATAGATAGCCATGATTTTCCGATAAGGGAGGGGCAATTAGAGATGCCGGTGGGACTGGAAGAGGTTCTGAGGTCGTATCATGGAGCAGATGCACGACCGCGAGCCCGGATCTTGCACTTTCAACCTTTTGGGACCAGAAGCCCAGCGGGTCGCTCCCAGTAGATGAAAATAGAGATATTATAGGTGGTTGGACAGCAGCCTTGAACATGATGGATATGGAGAAACGTAACAGCCGATTTCCCTGCGTTGTATTGCAGCCGTCGTTTGTTTGGCAAAGCCTTCCGGACCAAGCGCCCCTCCACCGGAAAAGGAAACCGGAATACCCCAAGGGAAGCGTCGGCTAGACCGAAGGTGCCACCTCCGGAACCCTATGCAAGTTCCAAGTGGACGGGCTGTGCGACTTATCGATGTGAACCGAAGTCTTGGTATCATTGGGTCTGGCATTATTTCCCCGCGAACGCTGGTTTAGACAGCGTTTACAAATGTTGGGTCAGAACTTCCTCATGGACTATACCGACGAAGTGGCAAGTCCTTCCTTAGGAAGTCATATCGTCATGAAGTCCTAATACTCGCAAATGTGTCGCGAGGGGGCATTGTGCTCACACTCTGTGGATGGCGGTATCAAGGTTCTGGCCCAGTGGGTGGTGCTTCAGTTGCAGGAGCGTCGCACCACCTTCCCCGCAGTAAATTGTCAGTGTCCCCGGACTCCCGACGAAGTAGCGTGTTTTAATCAAGTTTAACGACAAGTCTAGGCACCCCAGTCATTAGTGAAGGTATGAAAGCACTAACAGCGCAAAAACTGTTCTATTCCATTAGGGTGAAATCAATAGGTGGAAATATAACCAGCCAATAGAAGAGGAGTATGTCACGGAAGTGTTAGAAATAGAAAGCTGTTCACTTTTTCCCCTTCAGTCTCGGAGTGCAGGAAGCGTGAGAAGGAAAAGCCATGACTCACTAGGGATCAGTCTGGTCGTCACATCCTCCTTTTCAACCTCCGGCATCTAGAATCGTCCAAAGCTCCAGGCATTCTAAGGGCCTTTGTATCGAACCTTTCTCTCTGATTGCCTTACACTTCAACAACTGGAAGCTAACTCTGCCGCAGCTGAGCTGACCTTACCAACCATCAAATTCTCGAGTTGCTCTCAATCCCTCCGGCGATCTATGTAGACGTCGACACTCTATCTGTGGCTAGGGCGGCTGTCTGTGTGGATTCCCCTCTCGTCTCTCACGCTTCAGGTCTCTCCGGCACTGTGACTGCCGGTTTTCACGTACCGAGAGTCTTCTCCGCGTTCGAGAAACATCGAATACGAAACAGCGAAAGCCTAAAACTCGTCGACACTCCAATATCCCCCCGATTCAGCTGTAATGGGTCTATCGGAGCAACCGTAGGGGTCACGATCACTCTAACCCAAAAGGCAAGCTTAGACGTTATAACGCCGGGGCCTAGGCTCATGCGAGCACTCTCAGTGTAAAGGCTTTGTGAGCGCGAACGCCGAAGTCGAATGATTGGAGTATCATGATCAAGCATGGAGGCCTAAAGCCAAAATCCTCTTTTGTATGCCTTAGTCTTCTCCCTGCCGGCGGCAACTGGTAAAAGTCTATCTCCCAGCTACTCAGCAAGTGCTACGTAAAAGAAATATTCAACCCCGCTAATCTATTCCAGTTTACTCTATGAAGGGGTGTCCCGGGCACGCTCGGCTCTCCTGCGGACTTCAAAGTCCCCTCTCGCGCGAAAGCTGCATTTTTGCTGTTCGGCCTACTAATCGATCGTCCCTCATTCGAGTCGTGTGCTACACTGGACAAAATTGCTGGCCTTACAGCAAGGCTTCATGCATCCTACAATGCTTGCAACCAGATTGGCAATTTCTTGCAAGCGAGTGTCGTCTGCCTCCGGGTCTCGGATCGTCTTATGAAATATTCACTGCGGTCTTAGCGATACACGTCCGAGGATCAAGTGTCTTTTGTTCACCCGTTTGGCCGCTTTCTGTCTTAGAGTGAGGTTAGAAGATCGTGGGGTCATGTTGCGTCTCCTATCAGCAGGTCTAAGTTAGTTGGAGGGCGTCCATGGTATTTTTACGTCGAAGGTGAAGGGCTTCAGGATGGAAGATCGGGAATCTTAATCCTGGCCTGTACTGATCTTGAGAAGAACCCACAGTATCATATCTTTCACTGCTGCCAGAGTCATTCGTCAATCATGTTATCTCTTCTTATCAGACATAAGCTTCCATACCCCATTGCACCCCAGTCGTTAAACTGCCCGCCTAAATCTGTCCTTAGGTGGAGAGCCATTCATTCAAATGGACTCGTGTTGACGGGTCCACTTCAAGGTTTCAACCGTCACAAAGCGATGAACTCAAGCCAATAAGCAAACCTCAAGTCAGGAACACAAGGTAGATCACTCCGCTCAGGGGTTACTGCATTCAATAGCGATATTTTGGGAGTTATTGCATGAAGGCCAGCAAACAGTGGCGTACTTCCTCGCGGAAAAGTGCTCGGAGGTTCCACATTCAATTTCAGCACTTTCGATTATGAAGTAACTCGATAGACTCCGATTGCCAAGGGCCATTGTGAGCTCTGTTAATTCCACTTGCCATCGAAACTTCACCGCTCGCGCCGTTCTTTACCATTAGCCAGTGAATTCCGGATACTTAAGCAGTCCCTTGGCGTTTCGACGACGAGATTTAGCTGACAGGGATCCTTCTTTCCCAACCGTGACTGTCGGTAACTGGTGGGTCCAGTGGCGGCGATGTAGTCATTCTTGTATCAGGGTGCAGTACGTGAACACTTCTTACATATTGAATAGCGAGACTGAATGCTCGTGTCCGTTTAGGTATCCTTGTCGGCACTACGTTGAAATCCCACACTTTCAATGGCAAGGACATGATTGTTCCGCTGACCTTGTCAATTGCCACAAACCAGGGAGCAGCTGGTGGACGGGTATAGGCGCGTGGCGACTCCGAGGGTAGGTAGCCTGTTTGGCGTTATAACGTTGAACAGACTGCAAAGACAGGGAGTGCCATAAATCCCCACGTAGTACACCGTGCCAGCCGCGACCAGTACAAGAGACTTTGAACATCTAACGCACATACCGATATCTCGGGGATAGGATTCCCGAAGAGCTATACTAATGTCCGCCACTCTCGCTGGACAGATTCGAACGAAATAGCCCACGTGTAACTTCAATTGGACAAATTTTACCGGCCGTCGGAGGAGACACGCCCAGCGAGCTAAACTACCAGAGTTTTTGACTTCAACTGCGCTTTTTCTTGGTTACCGAGGCCACAGCGTTTGCCTCTAACTCGACAGCTCGATGGCGGCGACCTTGAATCCAAGGATCGCTGATTGCGCGGGACTTCCGTCCTCCCAATCTCCATGGTAGATGCCTCGACTCAAAAGTGTATAGCGTATAGTATAATGCTACACCGGTTGGCTCCTCTTCGCCTCGCGTGGTTCTGTAGCAGGCGTTAAAGAGTCTCTTTGAGCCAATAGGCGCTCGCCGGTCTCCATGCGCGAGAGACGTTGGCAAGCCAGTGCAACCGAGCGCGAATCGAAGATTAGAATCCGAATAGAAGATGAGTTTCTGAGCGGACTTGTCCTTCCATTCACCGACTCGCATTCGCAATGCGGAGAGTGGTGGCCATGGGCTGGTTATGTACAAACTTGGTGCAAACAAAACGAACTCGAAAGATCCCGTAACCCTCAGACTGGTTCGCGGGCACAGACACAAGAGAGGTATTGGAAGAAAATTTATGCGCGCCCCAAGTTTATTTCCTTTATGGACCCTTGGGGGGCTCGATGATGTTGACAATGACGCTCCGGTCATGGGCGCTTAACTCAATGGAGTGTGATTTGTGACATCTTTCAGCTGGCGCCGCGGATCCCTACCTCGAGGTCTTACGAATATACACAGCCCTCTGGACTCTCGTTCTGCTTTCTACTGTGCTCGCTCTCTTGCGCGCTGCAAGCAGCACTATAGACCACTGGAAATTAAGTATGTGAAGTTCAGCAGAAGTTCCAAGCTCTTTCGGGGGGTGATCCGTCCTCGATAGCGTGTACTCTGGTATGAGATACCCGCGCTCTTACATCCAAGTGCCTATGCATAGGTTCCGAGTCATCTATCTGTGATATCACAATATCAGCCTCCAATAAACACGCCGTGTTGACTGGCCCACTCACTCACACAGAAGTCATGGGCAAGGGTCAAGGTTGACTTTCCTGAGGGAGTATGTCAAGGGTTGTATCAATTAGACTGCAGCCGCAGGTATCCTGACCTGAACTCTACCTCGATCGAGCGTTACGTCTTGCGAGGGGTTGATTTCCCTCGTCTAATCACATCGCAGGGCTCGCTGTCGATCACATAGGTTTCAAGCTATCATGTATGGAAGTATATCAGCGCACCACATCAACGGGGCCCAGCGCCTGGTAGGTTTAAATTGGTGCTTCGTGCTCAGGATCGAGCTGGTGGTAGGTGTACTTACGTTGGAATTGTGCGTCATGGCATCACCCGATAAAAGAGAGAATCAATCACACTATTCCATTGTATTTGGAAGATATGGTAGTGGATTGTGGGTGATAAAGAAATGTTAATTTCCTAAACCAGTCGAGGTAAGAGCGTGAGGTGAGCATTGCGTACCCGGCAGGATCAGATCGAGCGACATGCCCACTGCGAAGAAGGTCCCCGACTACTACCCATTGGCACTCGTAAGTTAGGGACACTGAACCATACGTGATCCGACGTTCGTGAATTCACTCATCGAGTGCTGGATGTGAACGTTGATATTTGGATTGCCGGACCGTTACCCAGGCCGCTGGCAACCCAGGCTTGGTTTTTCCGTCACCATTTGGGGAACTTGACTGGAGTATGCATCAAGTTTGTCGGGCGCTTGTCCCAGGTGTGTTGCTGTACGGGAGGGCAGTTGCGGAATTGGGGATCGATTAAACCCTATTAGGAGTTATTGTGCAACGTTGTAGGCACATACACTTAGAATAATTTGGTTGGTACGTTTGGGAGGGCGTTGTGGTGCGGTTAAGACCAAGGCTATGGGGAATGTAGATCTAGAGTAGGGGATGAATGAGGCCTTTTCTGGTCAGTAGGACAGGAGTCCGCGCACCTAGAGCATGGTGTATATGATCAGGATACAAAGGGCGGAATGCACAATCGGGACGAGCCAGAATAGATCAAGGGTGCGAGCGTCGTGGGTCGACAAAAGTAGACGGATGGAAAGTATGTGTGTGGTGTCGAAACGAAAGTCGATGTTGGCTCACCATGTAGGGAGAACTCAGATAATCAGATACTGACCCAGCGACAGAGGGTAATGGTCTAGAAGAACGAACGAGAAGTCAATCCGAAGTCGTTCGCTCAGTCGGACGTTGGGGACGCTCTCGTGAGTGGCATGGGTGAATGGAGAGAAATTAAAGCGAGGGCCATGAACCTAGCAGAGTGCGCACAACATGCATCCAGGTGAAGAGACATAATGAAAAATCGGTGTCAATAAACGTTAACATGCACAAGCCATCGATTATGTTCATCCTCGTCTGTAGCTCCTTGAGTCCAACATCCTGCACATTGTTTCTGGAAGGTGGCACTTACTAAAGAAGAGGTTTCCCCAGGAGTGACCCTGTTTCATCGATGCGTGCGGAAGCAGTGAAGGTTCGGGGAGAGACCCACACAACTGACTTGGATAGGTGTATGGCTCGAGAGGAATAGAACAGATAGGCATTTTTTCATTGAGTAGCAATGTCACCCTTGTCATCACCAAGCTTTTGTTTTCTCGACGAACATAAGTCCAAGAAGCTGTCAGAATCTGCGGGAAGCTCACGGCGATTCATTCCAAGAAGTCGCGCTTAACGGGAATGCCACAGGCCCCAAGTCACCGAGACGTGGTTCTGCGGTCCATTTAGACAAGTGAAAGGGTACATCGACGTCGCTGTAGGGCACAGATGCCGTCGTGACAACCCCCAGGGGATTCCCTCTACAATTAGATCGTGGAGGGAAATCGAAGGTAAGGCCGTGACAGATTCTGGGCTGTAGTTCGCTACGGAGATTTTCGAGGGTCCTTTCGTCAATTCAATGGTGGAGACCGACAGAATGGCTGGCTAGCCTAACTGTTTGAGAGGAAGAAAAGGCATTGGTGCACCCCCGTTTCTCCGACGTCTGAGTCTCTTCCCGAAAAAGCGATCAGCAAACATATCAAAACATGGTGACCGAACGGGCCGACGGGGGATTGGGACGGTTATAAAGGTCGGAGCAGGTTCGAGGGATCGCAACCGGGGAAAGAAACACGGCGATGGGCCAATTCTTGTATGCCACTAGCCAGATTTAAGTGCAGAGGGGGTCTCTTCAAAATAAGCGAAAAAAAAATCGTGGAAGCAACGACGCGAAGAGCGGAGTTCGAAAGAGCGGCGCATCAATGATTGGATGCAAATCCGTTCAAGATTTTGGCCTGAAAAGGCAACCCTCATCTACAGGTGGACCCAAAGCAGAGGTGCAAAGGTAAATGGCGACGACGTTGGAAGCAGGGCCGTGTGCGTGTGGTTGGTGAGGATGAAAGACCCCTTTTCGATCACGATGGGCGATAGTTTATCGTGATATGGCCGGGGACGAATTTGTGGATGAGGGAACGAGGCCGAAGACGGCTGAGGAAGGAACTTGTAATTGGGTTCGATTGCAAAGGTACGAAACGCGGTGAACGGAGATCTTGGATCTTATGATCCTCGGTTTGCTGGCCATTTTCTCTACAGCTTCCTGATCCCATTGGCGTTGGCAACTAGAACCCTTGGGGCCTTGCCTTTCATTTAGAATCATCTCCACGTTCGACCCGTTCCTCGCGCTCAACCACTATATAGTCTTTTTTTTAATTCAACGCCACTATATAAGAACCCAGTCTTCTCCAGACGTCGCCATATCGCCAGAACACCGTCCCATTCCCACTTTTGAAGATGTTCGCGATGGACTATTCTACCTCTCTTCTTCTCAACAGGCGTGCCTTTGCGCCGCCTAGCTCCCCCAATCGCACCCATCAGAGGGTCCAGTCCGTCGACCACAACTGGCAGAGGTGCCATCCCGAGCAACCAGCGCCTCTGTATCCACCGGTTTTATGGTCTTCAGACTTGTATGCCCACTCTCAGGGCCAATCGGACGTCAGCCAGGGGCTGTTGACGCAAGCCGAGTACCCAGAGTCGTCTCAGCGGACGGCCCTCTCGCCATCGCCCTCCAACGCTCTTCCCTATCCTCATCCGCGATCCCTATCTCGTTCATCGACTACCTATTCTCCAGACACCGACGTCATGTTTGTGCACCACCCGTATGGCGACGCGTCGGCAACCACCCCGCCAAGCTCGACCAATTCACGGCCCGCCTCAGCCGCCGCTCCGGAGCCGCAACTGCACCCACCCGTTGTGCAGCTTGAGCCCTCGAACGCGTCGACCACCGACTCTGCAGACCATGGCGCTCTCAAAACTGAAGACGACGAGCCTCTTGGGTTCGTCATGGAGCCAGGAACTTCTACAGGGGGTGGGTGCCTGTCATTTTCGCCTCTACCCATGGAGGTACCCCTCCGCGCGACCCAGGCTTCGGATGACATGCGAAAGATGATGAACGTCTTTCGTCTGAACCCCTTCGCAAACACCGAAGGCAGGCGTGGTGGCTCCTGCTTCTCGGATTCTTCCTCTGGTCCACCTTCCTCTGAGTCTTCCCCAAAACATCTCGAGGCCCGCCCGTTAGAAGAGGAACCTCTTCTCTTCGAATTCCAGGTCGAACTGGACAGACCAGACATCCTCTCCCCAGATCCAGACTCTGACTCTGGTAGCGACGAGGGTTCGTCAGGCGGACAGGACGACTCGCCACTATCAACGCCACCATTGCCGGCAGTCGACCTCATTAACGACGATGATAACCTGAACCTCCACTCCTTCCCTCCTGAATTCCAGCTGCACAAGGAAGCCTCCTTCGATTCTCTCAGCAACTCTATCCCTCCCCAGGCTGGCTTATTGAATTGGGACAATCACGACTTCGCTTCTGATGGGTCTTCTTCACTCTATTCTTGGGACGGGGATCGCGAAATCGATTCTAGCGACGGTGGACGGCGCAGTGCGGCAGGTCACCATTCGGGTGCATCCCGGCTCCATACCAGTACGTTTCACAACAATCCTATACTCCCCATGTAATCGTCGCTTACTCGTTTGTGTGTGTGACCAATTTAGCTGTCTCTCATCCTTACATCCGCAAGTCCGCCAGGAACTTGTATCAGCCACAAGAGCAGCGCGAGTACCCCCAGCCGAGTCCATCTCCCCCGCACGGTGGCAACATGTACCACCAGATCCCCAGGTATGCGCATGGACAACAGCAGCAGCATGCTACCTCGGATTACTTCAACTCTTCCGTCCGCATGGAGAGTGGCACTGGTATCTATCTCGACGATGGCTCAGCTCCGACGGCAATACATCATCACGCTGCCCTGCCGCATCGAACCATGGCTGTTGGCAACTCTACTAACGCGAACAACAGCACCACCTCTCCCAGCAGCACGTCACCTTACACCCATGAGCCTATGGTAGTGCGTCTCTTTGCTCCTTTTATCCTGCTTATGGACTAATACCTTGTTGATCCAGTCGTCGATAATGATGCGGCATGGGCAGGATAGCTTGGGTGGTCATGGTGGATCGTTCTCGACCTCGATGACGCCGCCTCATCGACGCTGGTCAATGCCCGAGACAACCGCTTCCAGTCTCGGCAACTCTGCGCATGCCCACAACCACGGGTATGGTCAAATTATGGTTCCGTCCCTCCCTGTCCAGTCATACATGATTCATTGAGACCGTCGCTCTTTGCTCACACGCTCAGAGCGTTGCCTCGCCGCTTGTTTCTCGCCACGAGCCTCTTGCTATTCGTTTCACGATCGTGCTTTGCTTTCCGCTGTCGCCACATCGCCTTTCTGCATTTCACCGTCACCTGCTGTCTTTCCTCTTTTGCTTTTCTGTTGCATGTTCCGATTAGTTGTATCTGTTTTGGGATTTTTGTTCTCTTGGGCTATTCGTAGTTTTCGTGGCTTAGTGGTGGCTGACACACGCTGCATATCCTTGCATAGTTAAATTATTCCTGTCTTGATTCGTGTTTCACTATCTCTTGCATTATTTCCATCTTCATCTCATCATTGCATCTTCAATCCCCTTTTCACTGCTTTGTCTTCCAACTGCTATCTACATCGTCCTTACCTCATCTTTTCATCCTTGACGTTTCTGATCGCCTCGCTGCTCAATGCTGCTACTCTAGTCTCGCTTTGTTATCTCTCGTTGATCTCGGGAGGAGACGCCACTGTGCTTTTCGATTAGACTTGACCCGATTTGACTCTTGCTACTCTAACAGACCAACATATTCTATCGTATCATGTCTTCAATTCCTAACGATTTTGGCTATCTCACTTTTTATTCGCATTGCTTTTTAACCTACTTAGTGTATTGTAACCCGTCTTCTCAGCATTAGCGCTGACCTCGTTCATCTTTCGTTAGCTAATAACTCGCTGTGAACAAGCTGAAACAGCCGATTTCCCTTGCGTTGTGTATTTGTACATTATCTTTCAAGGCCTCGTCGCCTTCCTCGCTCGCATGCGATTGATTGTAGTAGACTCACCGAATTCCAAGCGTATTTTCATCCACCAGCTACCACGTTCGATGTTAATTCTAAGCTACTGCCTATGCAGTCGCCGGGAATAGTCCTGGTTTCTGTTTCACTCGGTTGTATTTTCATTTAGATCTTTCAACTCCTTATTTCGGGTACTACTGTTCGTACCCGTTGAGCGGTGTTACTCGCAGTTAAATCCCCTGCGGCATCTTTGTTCTCTATCATAGCACACTCGATGCTGTCAGTGTTTGGCTGATTGTGGGGCTTTCCAATCCACGATCCTCCTTGTGACGTTGGGTGTCTTCTACGTGTCCTGTCCTCTCGTAAGGGGCGGTCGCCCTCAGAGGAGGTTAGAGATCAGAAACAATGAAGTACATAGCAGGTGGGAAGAGGGCGGCGAACTTGGAGGATCGAGGATACGTTACTGAATTACTTCCCTCTCAGCGAGTATCGGAATTAGCATGCTTTATGAGACTGCGAAGATGGCGAGACCGTTATGGAGAACCTACCGTTACCGTAAAGATCTAAGAGTACGTTAGGGCCAGAGATTGTCGAGGCTAAACACAAATCTAAAAGTTACCGACGGCATTCAAACTTCAAAGCCTCATTGACAGGGAAGGGGATGACATGGGAAACCGCCACCATTCACTCCGTCCGTGTGTTGTTTGATCTAGCGACGAATTCCTCTCTTGCCTTCTTGCAGTTTACCTTGAGCCACACTCGTGGTTGCCATAGGACATTCACTCTGTCGCACGAGGACGGCGAACTCGAATTCCAGTGCCAAGAGTTCTAATGTTCTATGATATGTGTTTTACGTCACCAATCCCATTTCTTGTCCAATGGGAACCCTGTCTCTCCGAAAGAGTTCAAAGTGCTATATCGAGTTCTCCGTGGGTTCAATCATCACATTCGACCAATGGCAGTGGGAGGGAAAGTCGGAGTTCCAGACATGAACTTGGAAGACTTCTCCGTTCACCATAATGCGACGCACCCACTGGCAGAGGTGAGTGCAGCGATCGGCCACTACTTACTGGTTGACAGTGGTTGTTGAGGATTAAAGATAAAGTCCCCGGGCCGGAAGGGGAAACTCCTTGGAAGGATATGGACGACTTCCTACTACCGCATTGATGGCTTCCTACCGCATTCATACTCTCCGCATATTATTAGCCACCGGTCTTGTACTGGGCCCTATTCCTACGGACCTTCACTCAAGAAAGAAAAATCAATCCATCGATAAGGTTCTGGTCTCTTCAGCTCCATCCGAAGTCCAACTCCAATGACAGGCTTGTCGATTATCAATTTTCTCTTTCATATCCTTAAAGAACCGGAGGTCTGCACTGCGCGCGGAAGGTGTTCTCTACTATCGATCATGAAATCTAACCATCGCATCTCGGTGGAAGTCAATTAAGCGCTTATTTACATGCCATTAGTATGTAGGAGCCAGGCCCGGTATAGACCCTGCGCTGGGATACACAGGCCTACAGTCGGTTTCTTCTTTGATTTGAAGTCCGAATGCAACATACACACACACATAGGCCGCAGGACATCTGCATCCATGTCATAACAGAGAAAGCACAAGTCTGATTGCCTGATCCCCGCTTATCGTGCAATTCCAGAATTACGTTGTCGACGTACAGAACATATCCGTTGGGAAAATGCGGAGAGCGAGAAGATCTGGGTATCTATAACAGGACCTTCTATGAGATTGCGGCCACTTCGTTGAACGGAGTGCGAAACGGAGGTTTGTGATTGGAGGAAACCTTTCCAACGACTGACAGAAGTGGGAAACGCCTTTTGGAACGAGGCCTTTTAAGTATGTAGCAAGAAAACATGGAAAGCGAGAAACCTTCGTGGGGCCAAAGAAAAAACTTTAGGCTTTCGTAATCTTAAGCGCTAACTGATTTTGGGGTCGCGGTCGTTTGTGCCCTTGGAGAAATTTTCAATTCGACTACAGAGTTCAGGATTCTCCCTCGAGTCTGCACTCTGGGGTAGTCGTCGCGGATGGGAAGGAGATAGGGGCTCGACACGCACGCGTCGCCGTTGATCGACGACTCGGAACCGGTCGGTGTGGGCGCATCTTCTCTCCTTCTATCCTTCTACCACCATGCATCTCTGCTTATGAGGTGGCAGTCGGCTCACCAGTAACTGAGTGCCATGTCTCTATATCGCTAAGGCCATTGCGCGAATGTTCTGGGAGAGCCACCCTTGAATGGGATCTGAATCTCCGCGACGCGTCCTCGATTTTTTCGAGATTCAACGGAGATATATCTACTCGATGTCAAGGCGCGCTTCCATTCACAGTATCACCGTGGTTGTCTCAGCTCTTGCGCATCCACTGCGTTCCGCCAATCAAATTTCTCCGTTTCCTCCAATGGGGTGCTGTCATTCTAGTGCATGCCTCTCTTCACTTAACCCGCACATCACCGAGCTGGGGATAGTGGTCTCTGAAGCCTAAGCGCTCTATTCAAATGCCAGTCAGGCGAGTGCCCAGCGGATTGTTTCTCAGCCTACCAGGCGCCAAAGGGCTAACCCATTAAGTTCAGATGCCAGCCACTGATCCTGTCTTCCATCCCGGTCACTCAACCCCAAACCGAGGTGGTGAGCCCTCTCCCTTAAAATGGGGTCCCGCCCTTTACACGCGATTTCCTTCCAGGCAAGCTTTCAAATCGATCATCGAGATTTAGGTGAAAGAGAGGATCAGACTGAGATAAGATCCCCGAACACGAGGCACCAATTACAAAACTTTCAGACTAATCATCACTGACAAATGCGACCCCCTCGATCTGTGCTGCGCGCTGACTAGTGACAATGTGAGGCCTTGCACAAGCTGTCAGGAATCTGGAAGCTGCGAACGGTGTTATTTTTAGATAGTCGCGTTAAGGTGAAGACCAGTGGTGGCTGGGTGGGCGACTGGAAGTTAAGTCGGAAGGGAGGGTAAAGGTATAACTTCTTGTGTTAGCTGTCGGTGCCCCTCTCTGCCTCCCTGTATATTGGGTTGTAGAAGAGGAGGCTGTGGCTCGGCAGGGAACAGATCCTTGTTTAAAGTGCAGCGAGAGGTCGTGGACAATGTTCGAGCGTCCGATTCCGGGTATAATGGCGAAGAATCCGAAATGATTTTTGCTGCGTAACCAGCATCCCAGAACACTCGGTCGCCAATGCGTCAACGTTCAATAAGGGCAATCGGGTTTACTGCTCTGTCTGGTCCGTTTCTCTCGCAGTGCACAATCTTACTACCAACTTCGAACGCTGATCAGAAGGAGAGGTATGGAGCACTCAGGCTGTGGGCCGGCAAAGAGGGGGCAGGGGGAGATGGAAACGGAGAAGAGGCCCGCACCGTGATGCTGGTGTTGATGTACATGCGTTGAAGCTGTTGCAAGGTGCGAAAGAACGATCACTGGGCCCAGATGGATGGGACTGGTTGCTTCGCTGGACGAAGATTGAAGAAGCAGACACCTCCCATCCTCCAGGGGCGCCCACTCCACTGCGCTGGTCGGTTGGCCTGCAAAATTTATCACGTTGGTCGTTGGGACCTGAAGCCGGAGTCAGAACCTGAGACACTGTATTCCTCCCCCTTCATAACAGATTCATGACTGTTTAATAGCGAGTGCGGATCCCAGAGCCAAGCCTTGACGAAAACGTCCAGGGTCACTTCCTGGTTTTGCTTAAAGCGCGCCTTCATTTGTCACGAAGAACATAGTAAAAGCACCGCCAGTTGCCGAGATTTCGCGAAGGCAGTGAAAGTGAAGTCAAGTGAGCAACGAATTGCATGTTATGATAAGAGAGATGTCGACGCTTTTGTTCAGAGTTCTTGAACTGATTCGCAAGGGATGATATGTGCGATTAACGCATGACTTCCCAATTGCGTGATCATAACCAGAGGCTTGTGTCCACCGGATTGGCGGGTTTGATGGCTCGTTTAACTCTGAACTGAAGCACTGCGAGGGAAAAGAGAAGGGGAAGACGAGGTTGGTTGACCCAATAAGAGAAGAAACATGGGTTATCTGATTTTGATTGGTATGATAGGGTTTTGGGTTCTTGAATCAAGGAACTGGCATACAGCGAGATGTTGTGCAACTGTCTATATGTCCAACTGTAGACAGCGAGGTGCTATGGATCGTTGGAGATAGAGGCCGCAATGAGCAGTTTCAAACCATCCCAGTGGCTCGATTGCATGGAGTCCCTCGTTGTGGTGGACCAGACTCGCTGGTTGGGTGCGATCGCAGGAGCGGTATGACTTTTGTCTACCGTGCGGACGGTGCATGGCGATTCCATTGAATTGAAGTTGTCAGAAAGCAGAACTAGTAGTAGACCCGAGGTCGAAGTTGTTTCAGTTGCCAGGAATGCTCCCCAATCAGGGGTGTATGTCGCGCGGTGAACTGTGCAGATTCAATGCAAATGCAATCAAGAGAGCCTAGAAGATACTATCTATCGAGCAGTTGGGCAGTGTTATTCGGATGTTTGTTAACCGGTCTGTCTACTGTAGATCAAGATAGGGGCTACCGGAGCGTACGTGCCGTCGAGGGTGAGGAGTGCTCACTGGCTTCATGAGCGCTTAGCACTTGGGCATGGCTGTCAGCAGTCGAGAGCCACATACCATAGTGTGTTGTTTATTGTCATTCCAACACTGCCGAATGTAGCATCTCGAGCAAAGCTCTCACTGGCAAATGGGAGCCTCACTCGTCAAAACGTACCTTGTACATATTGAGCGTTGGAACTTTGAGGCCAAATATCGAGTTAACTCTGCCTCCTGGTCTTGATTTGGGGGTGTAAGCTTACTGCTTTATTTCTTGGACGAATTCATGTCGCCATCCTTGTCGAAAAGAAAGCAAAACAATTGAACGTGAGGTTTGTCAGAGCGAGAGACTGTTCGCCTGGAGTAACGAGATTAGTCCGTCTCGTGGCACTCGCGTGGGATGTCAGTCCCACGCGACCGAGGACAGTTGTTCATCTTTTCCACGGCCATTGAACATCGTCGACAACCCCCAGCTTGAAGATCTAGAGCCCTCGTCGTCGCCTGTTTTCACGTCCAGGACGGCCGACATTGTCTGCAAGGCTGAACGACCCCCCTTGACGACCAGCGACCATGATTTGCGGGGCAACACAGTCAATTCTTTCCGAGCATGCCAATTTGCATCGCCAGCTGAAGCGAAGGAGTGCTGATGTCGGGGGGCTTCACCTTGCAACGGGCAACAGCGGACAGGGGAAAGGATGGGTTGGGACTGAGGTCGAGTGCGTACACTGCCTTTTCCTGTCCAGACAAGCTCTGAGCTCGTTTTATCAGGACGAAATATGCCGAGTTGCTTAGCGATATGTACAATCAGACTCTGAATGCTGTTAACGAACACAGTTCCACATTGTGAGTGCAGACACCAAGTACTCATTTTTATGGCCCCTGAACAACGATTGCCAGCGTGCCAACTTCGCTGCCCAAACAAACTCGATCGAGGCTCATCCGGTCGCTCGATTGCTGGCATTTCGAGCCTCACCGGTTGCCAGAAGAGGAGGTCTTAGCCTGTGGTATGATGCTCTTCGAGGCTCTCTATCGAATAGAGGGGATGGAACAGACGATTGGGATATCCTTGAGTACGTTGTTTCTCATTTTTGCCTGATTTCACCTCATTGGGAATCACAGAGCAAATATCGGCTTTCCTGCACCATCTACGTAAAATATACCGCTATGAAAACACCTACCACAACTATGAACACGCCCTAGACGTCCTACAAGCAACCCAATGCTATCTTGTTGCAGCCGACATGGTTCCACCGGTTACCATTCTGCTCGAACCAGGCAGGATCTGGAGATCCTCACGAGCACCCGACGACAACTCCCTGGTCAACCTCTTACGTTTACGTGATATTTTCGCCATTTACATTGCAGCCATTGGCCATGATGTTGGACATCCCGGGTTTACGAATGTTTTCATGGTAAGTCATCACTCTGTGCTGCCGAGTGTTTCTCATTTCGCCTCTAGAAAAACGCACAGACACCCCTGTCGATAGTCTTTGACGGCCACTCGGCTTTGGAGCAGCTGCATTGTCAGCTACTTCTCCGCGTCATGCGACACCATGGACTGGGCGTTCTGTTAGATGACCCCCAAGAGGGGGTTAACTTCCGGAAACTCTTATCGAAGACGGTACTTGCTACCGACATGAGCGTTCACGAAGACTTTATGCAGCGATTCCAAGACGAGTTGGATGGTCGACCGACCGAGTTGGCGGTTCGACGGGTCCTCATCTCCCAAGCCCTACTGAAAAACGCCGATATCAGCAATCCGGTATGTCGAATCCATCTTGAGCAACTTTTAGGCTTTGATATAAATCTCTATCATCTAGAGCCGGCCATTTCCTGTTGCGCAACACTGGGCAACAGCTCTCATGCAGGAGTGGCTCGCGCAAAAGAAGCTGGAGGAACACTTCTCGCTAGAACATAGTGTTCAGCCCTCCGAAGACCCTTTGGTCGTTTCCAAATCCCAAATCTTCTTCATCTCCAAATTTGCGAAGCCTTTATTAGACATCACGGCGAAAGCTGTCCCTGGTAGGTAAACTGTCTCTAATTTACAGTGCAACGCGCTGACGAAGATCATTTCAGAAATGGTGCGGTATGCGCAGCATTGCGACATGAATCTCGAGCGGTGGTTAAATCGCAAAGCGGAGCTCGAGGCTGCTGTTGATTCAAACTCTCCTCCACCGACCTCTCCCAACCCAACATCACCCCGGCAACCCAGCGATTTCCAATCTGCTTTCCCTCTGACGCTGCCACAAGCACCCTCAGTCCTCTTCTCCACTCCATCCGTTAGCATGGCCAACTCTGTGGCGTCTCCGGATTCCATTCCAACATCTCCGTCCGACAGTGCCGTTTCCTTCTTCTCGCCGGTCTCCGATATGACCAACCCGTTTGCAGCCCAACGACGCTCCCCCACCAGCTCGACCAGCAGTAACAGCAGTGGTAAGGGAACGAGTGTCAACGGAGCACCCCTCCCCCCCACATTACAATGACAATCAAGCAATACGAGCAGCAGGTAAAATCGGCATACGGCAATTACGGAATCCCAATCGAAATTCGTGGTGTGTGCCATCCGGCTATTTCAGCACACAGACCACAGGGTCGATTGCCAACCTTTCTCCTCTCTCTTCATCGCCGCTTTCGGCGATTGACGGCCAAAATTCACCTCCCTTCCCTGCACCACCACAGCCCGCGCCCCCGCCGACCACGAAGCCTCATGTGAATGGAACTCATGAACAGGTTCTGCTTTCGGCTCCTATCGCCAAACGCAGCATTTCGGAGAACGCGGTGCAGGACAAGACCATGGTTACCAATGGGCACATTCCCACTCGCACCAAGACCGACGATCGAACGCCTCCATAGGAGCCGAGGCACTGAAGTCAGAGACTTCTCAAGTCTTTGCAGTGGGTCTTAAAAGTGCTATTGGGTTTGGTGACTTGGGATGTGTACTGGAGCCAATGGCGGTGCTCTCATCGGCGAGTTGCGAGGTGACCTTTTGTGTTAGCCTTTGCAAGTGATGGTTAACTGGGATTGCCTGTAATGGTCGGAAGCGCGTCTATCGTCGCAAGCCTCCATTGGACTACTACCTCGGCGCCGCAGCCCCGATGGCAAGCCGACGATATCATTCGATGCCGTTCCTGTTCCCTTCGGAGCCAGGTTGGCGGGCAAGCAAGGTGCTTACATGGCGCGTGGTATGTGTGGTTGTCGGTTTCTTTTTCAAAGGACGTTGTTATGTTTGATTGATCTACCTATCGATTATCTCTGTATCCCTATTATCTCCGGCTTTTCAGTTCTGTGTTGATGCTGTTTCTGGATGTAGCCATAGCTGCATATTCGCCTTGTTCCAGTTTCTTTTTGGTTCCAACTCTTTCATCCAAGGACGTTTGTTATCTTCCCAATTTCCCGCCCTTACTGGTTTTCATCTTCAGACTCGAGGCTTTGACCCGCATTGTTTTCCTGTTTCAAGTAGTCTCAGTCGTGACTTTGTGTATACCTAACAGTTTTACTGCCTTAACCTCTTCAGTTTTTAACTCCTCTGTAGTCCGAATTTCTTTTGGTTCTCTTAGCACAGTGCTTTCTAGCTTTTTGGTCCCTATTGTACCTTCTCTATCTCTGACGTTCGCTCTTTTTCTTGCTGTATCAATAGTACTAGAAACTAGCTGCATGTGGTTTTCGCAACTTGTGATATGGGGTTTGAGTCGTTTCTTTTGAAAGTTTAAGTGCCAAGCCATGGCATTGATTTCATGTTCAGCGCCGTCCGGGACTCCGTTGGACATGGATACGGTTTAAGGTGTACCACTCTTACGACCTGATTCTCTTGCGTTACCCTCGGGCTTGCAGCGTTCTGATTTGCGGTCTCCGACCTCTCACATCCTCTGTCAGCGTTACATGGCTTGTCAGGATGACAGACTATGAGGGACATGGCTGTCCAAATAACAGCGGCTACCAACGATAGTGATAGGGGGTTAGCACTGGAGGATGAGGACTGCGGACAAAGTGAATTTCCGTCCCAGACTCCCCAGGCCGCCGCCGCTCAGCCGATCTGATGAATTGATTTCCGATCAAGTTACTCCACTTTGACACTGGAGAGGACAACGAGAAGAGGCGCCCTTGAAGCTGGAGCGCCCCCGGTAACAAGTGAAATGGACGGGAGCATGCGTGCTGTAAATCGAATCAGTATGGCAGGGTCTAAAAATAGATTTTTGAAACATGTAGGCTGTAGCGCTTCAAAACATATTTCCGAATTTCCAAGTTTGTGTCTGAGCATGCGCCCTTCTGCTCAGGAGTGCTCCTGACTCTAGCCCAAATTTTCGAAGATGGGATCCTGGGGAGTATATACCAAACATGTAGAAGTGAACTGGGCTAACATAGCCGAGTTCTACACATTTGACCTTTTGATACATATGTGAATTGCCGACTTCTACACATCTGGCCACCCGCCTTTTCATTCCATATAAGGCGAAAAGGCGGGAGACACGTGTCGGAAATAGGATATGCGCGCAAGGGACTCGCATTCCGTGGCTTTTCGTCGATCCTTTCCCGCCAACCCCTTCCCCGAATTTTTGCGATTGGACGCTCGAAGACGAGGCAAACAATTAGGTCCTGAACCCCTCTGCATTCTATTTAAATTCGATGATCAATGCCTCCAACAGGTCTTCGATTGCACACTGAGCATTCACACTCCCCGCCACGCCTCACTCCAAAACGACGGACAGTACTAACTGCCTCGATCATCTTCATTGTTGTGGCCCGCATTTGAGCGCCGTACACTGCTATCCGGGACTTCCGTGGAGAATAACCGTTACCTCCTACACTTTCAGGTTAGAGACCATGTACCATCAGGCCATCTGCATCTTGTCATAATCATACTCTACGGACATAAAAAGCAACCATATCGATAAAAGGAGAACCTGGGCAAGGCGCAAAGGGCGCAAAGGGGCGGGATGCCACAGCCAAACGTGTAGAACTCGTTTAAACCAAACCTGTAGAAGTCGGCGTCAATTGACCAGAACTGTAGAACTCGGCTACGCTAACCGAGTTCACTTCTACAGATCTGGTTACGCCTCGATCCTGGGGCACATTTATACTGTAGAGTGTCAGGGTTGTAGAATGTTAGGTGGGCTGATTGCCGAGGGTGGTAAGATGAGGAAACTCTGCCAAAGTGCGCATAGGGCGCATTTATGAGCTCGGGTGTGGAAGGAGTCTGAAGGTACATACTGCAGTGTGGGGACACAAGACCACAGGTAAAGAGTCTTTGAGCCCGGGATCTAAACGCTGACAGTCGTGTGCGGTTACATGACTACCTTATGGGGAATAGAGAGAGGTTGGGCTGGGCCAAGACATCGTTTTTGGAATGCCGAGCCTTCGGAAATGGGGGATCATTCCGCCGACACTTCCACGGAACCCGGTGATGAGACTCAAATGTTTTGCGCTGAGCCTGGTGCTAAGAGGTAATTCGTAACGTCTGATACGTGTATAGAGCTGACTATGATACTATTAGACAGTGATAAAAATTAGTGCATGAAGGCAAAGGATACCAATTTTTAAGCCATGGAGTCTTGTGCTATATGGGAAAGCTTAGGGAATGTTCCCGGTCAATATCGTTCAAGGACCTGGAGAAAACTCGAGGCCTGTCTGATCATGGACTCGATTCCAACACCCTTCCCCTCCCGAAATTCGATCTAACCATTGCCCGGCCCATGTATCCACATCGTCGTTGACAGCAGTGCCACTTATCAATTCGACTTTAGTTGCAATCTTTGGGGATGAATGACCCTGCCCGAAGAGGTGTAAGCGGAGTGAGTTGTGAGACCAAATGGCGCTGGTGGGAATATCAGCTGTTGGATCGTGGGCGGGTAGCTCGAGAATGAGCTTCTTCAAGGAAACCTTGCTTAGAGGCGGTTCTTCATCTTCATTGCCGTCATGTCTGACAAAGATGGGGTCAGCGGGAGTGTATTTGATAACAAGAACGGGCGACCCACAGGAAGAAGTAATGGGGTATGCGGAGGTACTCCAAGTTGGGTGTAAGGGTCGCCAGTGACTGGCTGAATGACAGCGATCTCTGTTCAACATAGCCGCCTATGTGGAAGCGACGGAGCGACGGAAAAAGGGGCGGCATGGGGTCGTTCGAGGCGGGTTCGATGGCTTCATCGGCTGAAAAGGATCGCAGCAAGCATAGTTCCTTCAGGACCGGGAGCTGGGGAAAGAGCTGGTCCATTAAACGAGGGTGGAAGGACGTCCAGCGGATGGAGAGGATTTCGAGGGTAGAAGCGTTTGCACTGAGGATGGAATGAAGGGCGTCGGTAACGATTTCGTCCGCGGCGATCATTTCCTCGTGAAACTGGGAGGTATGAGTGTCGTTGTCTTCAGCCATTTCCACGTCGTCCGAGTTGTTCAGAAAGGTATCCGCCTCTTGGATTAATTCACGGTATTCGTCGTTGTCGATAGCCTCCGGGGAGTCGTCTGAATCATCCAGCTCCATTACGTTCGTCGAACGTGTCGATTCCATAGAATCAGTACTTGAGGATGAGGAAGAGGCTGACATTGAGTTTTGAGGACTTTGTACGTAGTCTTCGTCATCTTCGTCTTCCGGAACGTCCAGGTAGATGTTGGGGCAATGAACAAAGAGAAACTTGACGCGACGCTGATGCTCTTGGAGTCGGGGGAGTAATGTGGAAAAGCGAAGAATCTCCCTCGATGTGGTCAGAGTGATGGACTGGTACTTGACTCGCGCGGAATAAGAATGGAAGTCACGAGAGACGAGGCTCAGGCTTCTCCCAGTTTGCCCGCCATCCCGACAGGCGAGCGAGAATATGTGTCCCCAGATCTCTGGGGGAAGTATGGCCGACATAGGGCGTCGGAATTCTGAAGCGGGGAAGGGAGATCATCTCGAATCCCTCCAAAGCTTTAAACAGTGCGGGATCGGCACCCCAGGGCCGAGTCGAGGGCATGATTTTTCCAATTGATATCAGCCCCAGATAGAAATCCTGACAACGTCATCGATATGGAGATGCTCGGATGGGGGGAAGGCGATGACAGACGAGACTCGATGCGAACCAGCGCGCCAAGCTTGACCAACGTTTGTCATAAGAGTTAATGGTGTTTATATGTAGCTCTTGACATCCGCTGGATATTACGGGGTCTCCTAGGATGTGCGTCCATGTAGCAGCCCCTCCTATTAGACCCAAAATATGTAACTGACAGATCCGGGGACCCTGACGGTACCGGCTGAAATTTGTCGCGACACGACAACGACAATTTCAATCTGCATCAGCTCGTGAGGATGACAGTTGACTAAGTTTAAGCGCTGGAGTGGCGGTGCTTTAGTCACATGACGCATGCAGTCATGTGCGCTGGGAGCTGCTCTGGGAATCGAAGTCTCCAACCTTGGACGAGATTTCGTTGGAAGGCGATAGCGGCCAGCTCTGTACAGCCCAGGATACGGCGCCAACAATCCAAAGTAACAAAATAACGTATGTAACGCGTCTTGGACTACAAAAGTCTTATTGAGACTGAACTAAGTTGCTCAGATCGAGGGCGGAATGTATCCTCATCCAAACCATATCCCCCAACCTCCACATTCTGCAGGTCTAAACTACAAAGGTGAGTGAGGGCAAAGGAAAGACAATCAGGAACTTTTGTGACTGAAGAAGAACAGGACTTCGACCGCGGATCGATCCAGGACAAGTACCATCGCCCCTAGATGCCATTGAAAGCGACCGTTTGGCCTGGGTTGACAAAACCTACGGAACACTTCCTGGGACGCATGCACCGCTGTGTACATCTGACTTCGTAGCTGTGGACCAAGGTCGGTAGTTTCTCCCTGCGCACTGGACCTAATCTGACGCGCTTCCAGGGAATGCTTCACCCAAATTTGTGCGCGTCTCGACATGGAATATGCCCAGCACCTCAAAGTTAGCATCCGATTGCAAAATACCAATATCAGCAGTATTCCAACCATTCGCTCACGTTGACTTGCGCGAAGAACCGATACCACTCGTTGAACCAGGTCCTTCAGGCCCTCCACGTTGTCAAAAGTGCAGGGCGTACATCAATCCTTCGTGCAGTTGGGTGGCGGGCGGTATGAGGTGGAAGTGTAATCTATGTCGCCACGAAACTGATGGTACGTGCGAGCTCCTGGTTTGCAATCGCAAAGCTAACTGGATCTCAAGTTGCTTCGGATTACTTTTGCAACTTGGATCACAACATGTACAGATTGGATCACCTCCAGCGACCAGAACTCAACAAAGGCACCGTTGACTTTGCCGTCCCAGAGGAATATTGGGCCCAATACCCCCCTCCCAGATTGACTATGCCGTATGCATCCAATGAGCCACAGCCGTCTGGATCTAGGCCTCCCGCACCAATGGATTATATTTTTGCATTCGACGTCACCAATCAGGCAGTGGACACCGGATTCTTGCAGTGTGCTTGTGAATCGCTGATGAACGTACTTTTCGGGTACACCTTAGAAGATGGCACTGTAGTTGAACCTTCCATCCCCGCGTCCAGTCGAATCGCGATTCTGACCTTCGACGAGACCTTGCATTTTTACGACCTCTCTGTGCGATCCATTCTTCTCTCGTGGGTGTGCGAAGCGCTCACACTTTTCTAGTCAGATCTGAACTCGATGATGGTGGTGGCCGACCTCGACGAGGTGTTTGCGCCTATTCGAACAGGTCTTTTCGTCTCCCCTGCCGAACGAGGGTACGTGAATGCAACGACATTCCTGACGTCTACTTTTGCTCACTGACCGCCTAGCGACTCTATCCGCGCGCTACTCGAGGCCTTGCCAAAACGATTTTCTGAATCTCCTGGGAGAAACTCTGCCCTTGGTCCCGCAATTCGCAGCGGTTTGGCAGCCCTATCCGGTCGTGGGGGGCACATCATCCTGTTCCAAACGAGTATGGCCAACGTTGGGCCAGGAGCTCTCCCTCTACAACCTAACGAAGATGCCCTCTACGATACGGAAAAAGAAGTGACTATGCATAAGCCCCGGGATAAGACTTGGTTGGATATTGCAGAGGAATGTGTGGACGAGGGTGTTGGTGTCACAATGTTTCTTGCGCCCAACTCGTATATGGATGTTGGGTCTATTGGCGCTGTTGCTTCTTATACTGGCGGAGAAATCTTTTTCCATCCTCGTTATGATCCTGCGAGGGATCGAGCGGTCATGGAGTCTCAGCTTCAGCGAGTGATACGGAGGATGCAAGGGTTCAACTGTACTTTGAGAGTGCGGACTTGCAATGGTATGGACGCTCTCCTTATCCCCCCGTCCTGCATAACTCACGATTTTTCATAGGACTTCGTGTCTCAAGACAATTTGGCAATTTCCTCCAGCGAAACCCCACCGATGTAGAGTTTGGAATTCTCGACGCAGACAAGGCAATAACAGTCGAGTTGGAACATAGTGGAACACTCGATCCACGGGGACAAGCCCATTTACAATGTGCGGTTCTCTACACGTCCGTAGAGGGTCAGCGGAGAGTCCGGGTCATCAATCTCTCCTTGAATGTCGTCGAACTCGCGGGTAATGTCTTCCAATACGCCGACATGGAGACCACTCTCGGCTACTTTGCGAGGGAAGGTGTGTCGCGGCTGGTTTGTGTTCGAGACCTGCGCTCATATCTGCGTTTTAGCGATGTCCAAACTTCCCCAGCAACGGATGGTGATAACGAGGGACGAGTTGACAGAGAAATGCGCGTCGATATTGCTGGGTTATCGCACTCAATGTGCATCGGCGACGCGAGTAACTCAGGTCAGCCAGACGTCCTCGATTTCAAATTAGCGCGATGTCGGCATTACTTACACCCCCTTTGGCTTACAGCTTATCATCCCTGAAGCCTTCCGTGCCCTTCCCGCATTCATCCTCGCACTTCAAAAAACCAAACCCCTCAAGGCTCGCCACGTTTCATCCGACGTTCGAAACTACGAAATCCACAAGTTGATGGCGATGGACCTGCGGAGCCTCATTTACCGCATATATCCTCGATTATTGGCGCTACACGATCTCGACCAAACGATAGCTTTGCCTCAGGAGCGCAAAGCGGAGGATGGGTCCCTCTTCACCACGATATCGTACCCGTCATGCACTAGAGCTAGTCACTATTTCATGGAGTCTGGTGGGATTTATCTCATCGGTAAGCTGTTTTCCTTCCTTCAATGTCGATCCACCTGACTAAAGGCCCATGCCACGCAGATAATGAAGAGGTTATGATCTTCTGGGTTGGGACCGGCGTTTCTCCTCAGCTGTTGCAAGATCTGTTTGGCGTGGACGATTTCATGCAACTCTCTCCCCACACGGTGCGTTACCGATTCTTTCCAGCTGTTTGGCGGTACTGATTTCCGTCTTTAGCACTACCTCCCAACCTTGGACAGTGTGCTTTCCCGCCAAGTGAACAACATCCTCAATGATCGTTATGCCCGGCGAGGGCGCTTGCCAAAGATGTATATCGCGAGGCAAAATACAGATGGGACAGAAATTGAGTTCAGCGATATGCTGGTCGAAGACCAGAACAATGGCGCAATGTCATACCTCGATTGTACGTCGTTTTTTGCCTGCGTCCTCACGGAAGACACTCAACTCCTATTATTGCAGATCTGGCAGTCCTCCATAAACAAATAACGAATGTGGTAAGTAGAAGTGCCAATGCGTCAAGTTAGCCTGTAGTATTGACGTCACACTTCGTGCAGCTCAACGGTAACGGATCGTTCGGCAGTGCCAGTCTCAGAAGTTCTCCCTGGTAGTCAAGTTAGTTGTCACAAATAGAGTCCTTTATTATGCTATGATCATTGCTTTCGATCGGGAGTATGCTATAGACGGGAAATTAATGAGTGTGGTATTCTGTGTGCTAGAAAGTCACAAGATATCATCAAAGTAGAGAATGAATGAACAGTGCGAACAAAGGTAGAGGATAAGCTATAACTGAACGAGAGGCGGGGTTTACAGGGGCTAGAAATAGAAAACCAAAAGAACACGACGATTACCAAGACGCAACAAAGGGAACAGGAAAGTGCATAGAATCAAGAGGCGCGAAAGAATGCAAAATATCGTATGGTCGAAGGTTGTTTTACAAGAAGGCAATTTGAAGGGGGATGTAATGAGACAAACAACAATCCAATGTGCAGGTAGGATGATTAATGCAGGCAAGCGGAAAATGAGCTGGACTTCAAGACTCTTGAGGGACAAGGGACGTTTTTGTCGACCGTTTCGACCCGAATCGCAGTTTACCGGAGTCACCGCGTCCCCAGGAGAACAGACCTCCTCCACCCTCGTGGGATTGAGTACTTCCCGTTCGCGATCGGAATGACCAAGCAGGAGAAGCAGGGCGAGGGTCCATAGCTTGAGGTTCAAGGTGTTGGTGGTCAGAGCTCTGACGTCGAGTGATGGTGTTGAAGTTGCTGTGGTTGTGGTTGTGATCGTGATGATGGTGATGAATGCGACCACTGCGACCAACGGTATGTCGACCATCACAGCATGCCCTCACGTTCTCCAAGCCTTCGTAGCCTTCGTCCGAGCGAGAATCACCATGAAGCTCAAAGTCCAGCTCGTCCGAGTCGTTCTGGTCGGGGACGTCGACGAATGACCTATCCGGACTGTATGGGCTTTCTGGCGCGTTCCATCTTAGATACTCCACTGCAGGAGTCCCTGACCGTTTTCCGACAGACCGGTTGATGGAGAGCTGAGAGCGACTGCGCTGCCCGCGAGGTGTCGTATTCCAGGTGTCACCGTTGCGGTGGGGTCGGGCATTGCGGGTTGGGCTAGCCAGTAGTTGATGCCGTCGCTCATCGTCGGTAGCGTCGTCGGGGCTTTGTGGCATGGCAGTTCGGTCGGCGGCGGGCGAGGTCATATTGGCGGGGTTGGGCCGGGAAAGGAGATATTTGAGGGCCTAATCAAACATCAGCCAAAATTCCAGGTATGGCCGAAACGCCACTCACGTTGAGCCAAATATCGTGCCGTTCCTTGGTGGGGGCAGTGATCTTCATTTCCCGGTTGGCGGTGGTAATGATCACACTGTATTGGTGAAGACCAGGTGGCATGGGGTTGGGATCGAGAACCGATCTGACGCCCTCGATGTAGGCTATTAGGCGGCATGAGTCAACTGCAAGTAACTGAAAGAAAGTAAAGAAAACCTACCACTCTTGGCACTCGACTCGGATACACCCGACGACCCAGGGTCAGCCGAACTCCAGTAGAGAGTCTTCGTGTAAGGGTGCACCCAGAAGAACCGCTTGTGCCTGGACTGACCATGTCCCTTCCCAATGGTCTTCCTGGTATACTTGTACAGGAACTCGCCGATCATCGTCTGTGTAATGGCGTGAATCACAGTGGGATCCGTGGATTGAGTATTGTGATTGGCCTTGGGAGTGATGTCCGCAGTCTTTTCTGGAGTAACAGGGGCTCTTCCGCTAGGTGTCGTGAAAGGATGAACATCGGAGGAGATGGAAGAGCGAGGGGAGGCCATGCCGCTGCGATCAGAAGCAAGGGAGGTAGTTGAGTACTCTCTCCGCTCCTTTTCACTTTCCCGAACACTATGCGAAGACAAACCACCAAGACCCATGGTCATGGTACCGTAGGTGGAGGCACCACCTGCAGCCGATCTGAAGCTGCTCGTCGACGGAGGCTGTTTCAACCCTCCTGTCAAAGGAGGCATACTCGATCCAGCTGCACGGTAAGCACCCTTTGGAAGGCCAAGTGCACTTCCAAAAGTGGGTGTTGTGGCCCTTTGGATGAGCTCGGGAGGTGGGGGAGAGCTGGGTCTGGGGGGCGGTGCGTCTGAGAGATGGTGTTTCCTCTCCGGGATGAACGAAGGTGGTGGCATGTTGTTCGGTGGCGGTGGTGCCTTGGGCGGTGGAGGGAGCATCATCATCGGCGGCTTGGTCTTGTCTACGACATTCAACGCAGACACAGAGGGAACGCGAGAGCGTGGGTTCTCATCACCGGTCAAGTTGGAAATCATGGATTCGATGGACTGTCTTCTGTCGTGAGCAGACATACGAGCACCGCGCGACTGACCGAACAGGCTCGAATTGGGAAGGGCGGGTGAGACGGCCGCAGGTGACATGCCCGAACTGGGAGTGGGTTGCGAGGATGGTGGCGATGGAGCGATGAACTGGAATTGCTGCTTGGTGGAGCCCACACGGAAGAGACCGCCAGGGGAGGCAGGTGGTGCGGACGTCGAGCCGGGCAAGGGAGCAACGAAAATGGGTGTGGGAGGGAGTCCAGGGATCGTAGTGACGGGAGAAAGAGGAACTTGGTCTGTCTGGATGGAAATCTCGGTGGTCTCCGGCTTGGGTGCTGGTACCCGCACCTCAACGACCTTTTCGACAATTTTCTCAACCTCAACGACTTTCTCGACAATCCTGTCCACCGGCACCTCAACCTTTCGCTCAACCTCGACTGGAATCTCAACCTTGACCTCCACAGGAACCTTCTGAACAACCGGAACTTCCACAATCTTCTCGACGATCTTGACAATTGGCTCCGGTGTAGGAGGGCGAGGCTCCACGAAATTGGCAGACACTCCAACGGACTCATAGTCGACATGTCGAACAGGTACAGGGACGTTGGCGTGGAAAGAGGTGGTTGAGCCAACAGACGATCCACGGTGGTGCTGAGAGAAGTTCGATGCCTGGATGCTGTGCATCTCGTCCTCTTCATCGTCAGACGGATAATCGTTGTCGGTCATGGTGAGGATGGAGTGGAAGTCCTCTCGTGACTCTCCGGATGGCGTATTCATCATGATACTCTGGCGAGCGTCGTGGTAATCAGCGTCGGTGTCGAGGCCGGTCTCTGTCTCATCGCCCTCATCAATATCCCCGTCGTCGTCGTGAGTTCGCTGAGTGAGGAAGGTGCGTTGACCGACGACGGTGACATCGGAGAGGACACGGTTGCGTGCAGCGACATCCCGCTTGCGTCCAACAAGATCACCGTAGACGTCGGTGGTCGGGAATCCAGTTGTCGACGACTGGTCTAACGTGAAGCTGGTTTGAGAACCGGCATCTTGTCGTACGACAGGTTTTTCGACTTCGACGATCTTCTCCACGACCCTCTCCACAATCTTCTCGACCGGAACCTCAACCGTGACCACCTTTTCAACCTCGACGAGCTTCTCCACCTCGACCTCAACAATCTTCTCCACCTCTACTGGGACCTTGACAATCTTCTCAACTTCAACCGGGACGTTGACAGTCTTCTCGACGATCTTCTCGACAGGGACTTCGACGATCTTCTCCACGATCTTGTCAACTTCGACAACCTTCTCCACCGTAACAATCTTCTCCACTTCAACTGGCACTTCGACAATCTTCTCCACCGTGACAAGCTTCTCGACTGGGACCTCAACGATTTTCTCCTTCTCGACGGTGACGATCCGCGGTTCAGGTTCAGGGATGGGGTCGGTCTGCATTGATGCTTCGGCGGGGACAGGCTTGGGTTCAGGTGCAGCAACAGTCTGATTGCCGGCATCGTCTTCAGTCTGAATACCAAACTCTGCCCACTCTTTGACGACTTCAACTCCACCAGCCACACCGAAGTCTTCCTCTTCAATACCGTCGACAAGGCCGATAAGGGACGCTCGATGCCCGGCGTAGCTTCCCTCGCCAGTAACTTGCTCGCCGAACTCGCCCAGAACCTCACCGAGTACCTCAGGTTGGGCATCGCTCGCGATGGAGCTGGGCCGATCCCTAGCCATCAACGCACTGGCGTTTTCTCGGAGGCTAGCACCATGCGCACGGCCACGTACGCTACCGCCACGGACACGTCTCGAGCCGCCACGAAGGATGCTGTGGCGCAATGGACTGCCGGCACTGTAGGAATGTGTAGAACCAGTGGAGGGGACGCGCTTGAGAACATTGGCGAACAGGGGATCCATGCCATCGACCGATGTCCGGTGGGAGGTGTTGATGTTGATCGAGGTAGAGTTACGGGGAGAAGGGGAGGCGTCCATACCGGAAGGCTCGCGCTCGTCGCGGATCTGGGAAATACCAGTGCGATCCAAGTCCGAAAGATGCATAGTCGAGTGGGAGACGGATGAACTGAAGAATCGAGACTCTTCGTCGTCTTCGTCGGACAGAGGTTGCTGGAACTCCATCGGGATAGACGGGACCGGAGGGGCTTCACCTTGGTCACGGCGTTCGGGTGAAGATGGACTTTGAGAGGCCATACCCAGACGTTGGATAAGGGTTATACCACCTCGTCCACGACCTCTCCGACCGCCGCGGCCAACACGATGAGGAGTAGGCATTCGTTTCTTCTTGCCACCATCCTCTTCACTGTCGTTCCCCAAGTCTTCAGGTTCCCTATCGTCGACCACATTGCTGTCGTCATCGGACGCGACATTCTCGGGAACGTGCTTGCCCTCGGCTTTCATTCGAGCCATCTTCTCTCGCTTAAGACTGCCTTTGAGAGTGTTGATCTGTCGTTGAGCATGAGCCAGCCGCTGTTGGAGAGCTTCGATTTCATTGGCGGGGTGATTGGGGGTTAGGAATTTGCTTCGCTTCCTCAAAGCCATGGGCGAGTCGGGGGTGCCGTCATCGTCTTGGTCCTGGTCGTACTCGCTGAAAAAGGCGGGGTCCAAACCCGAGTTGCCTGCTCCTGGTCGTCGCCTAGAGGCTCCACCGGTCGTCCCAAAAACGTCCCCGTCATCGTCGCCAGTCATGGCGGGAGTGAGATATTCATGATTCTTTCCCTCCTCCTCGTCCTTGTTTCCGTACCCAGGAGTCAAAGGACTGCCGTACTTCCGTGTGACCCCTCCAGCGCCATACATCGATTGCCATTTGGATTGCTCCACCTTCATCTTCTCGATAACGGTCTGCAAGTCGCTTTTGTCCCTGGCCAAACCTGCCGCGTGTCGCCTAGCCTGAGCGATATCCGTTTCATGTTTGGCTTTGAGTTCGTCGAGCTGAGTCTGAAGTCGCTCCGCATCGGTTTTGTGTTGCTCGGACTGTGTTTGCGTGGCGGATAGCGTCTTGGTGAGACGTTTGAGTTCCGATTCGAGCTTGGCCTGCGAGGTTTGGATATCCGAGTAATTGGTGCGAAGGTCTTGCAACGTGACTTCGAGATTCCAGTTCTCCTCCTTGTATTTATCTAGGAGGCGTCAACACAGCTTCCTGGAAAGGAGACAACACAACGCACCGGCCGATTGCTCTTGCTGTCTGAGAGCGGTTCGGAGGCTTTCAATACTTTTCTCAAGGTCGTCCTTCTCCTCCTTCATGTCCTGAATGGCCTTGTCTCTTTCCCCCAACAATGATTGCAATCGGCGAACTTCGGTGAGAAGACCACTTCCGATTTCGAAAGCGAATTCTGGAGTTGAATGAAATCAGTATATGACAGGGGATAAGCGAACATACGTAATGGCCTCAGTCTCGACGACTATGAACCGAGGCCAACTCGAAAGAATAAAAACCCACCGACGTCGTCTGCTCGATGGGCGGCATTCTTTGCACGGCGGGATTGCGCGGCAGAGGATGTGCCAACCTTGCTGGACGGGGGAGGGCGATCATGGTGCTCGCGGGGAAGCTCGACGGCCGGGATTGAGGGTGGACTAGCACCATTTAATTTCTATGATATCGCAGTGAATCAGCTTAGTTAAACTGACTAGATGACCGCCACATACCTTGCCAAACCCTATACCGCCTCCAAGCTGACTACTGAGGACCCTGTTTTCCTCGTCCCATTGCATCACGGTGGTGGCGAGATCCCGGTAGCGCTCAATGGCCTCCCGATCAAGGCCAGAACCAACGGAATTGCTGGCAATGTCGCCATAGACATCTTCCCCCTGGTATCCATCCAAGCCTGGTGTCAAAGCCTGGAGTTGGCGGATACGTTCCTCCAGCTCCATCTGCTGTGCTAGTACACGCTGGCCGAGGGTGCCGGCCTGCTGCAGCTGTCGTTCCTTAGCATCGAGTAACGACTGCAGATGAGCTTGAAGTTCTGCGGGGGAGGGAACGGCGACGCTCTCAGCCATGATTGCTGGTTATGTTGACGACGACGACGACACTGGGCCACAATTCCTATCCCAGGTACTGTCGTTTTACTGGCAAAAGGCGACTGCTGGCAGTTCTATCTGGTGCTTGACTGGTTGTCGACTTTTAGTTGGAATTCCACGAGCTTTTGGGTGGTGTAAGGCGCCGAGAAAGACTTGAGAAAAAGCTGAAAGAGACCGAGAATATGGGAGAAATGAAGAAAGGTGAAAGCAACGGTTGCTGGGTATTAAAATGAGCGATTAAATCGCAGAAAAGAGGAGAAAATGAAAAAGAGTGTTGTGGTCGTCTTGTTGGGAGCTTGTCGTCGTCGTCGGCGGCCTCAACGATGGCCAGCCACGAAACTGTGGTGCAGGAGATGGGAGACCCGGTAGACTTGACTAAAGGGCGCGTTCAACCATGCGGTCCTCCAGTTACCACGATCACGTTTGCTACTCATTTTGGGGTTCCGACCCTGACACTGACAGGGGCTCACACGTCTCACTTCGACTGCTCATTAGAATTAAGTAGTGCGGCCCCAAAAGCATCACTACGTGGGTTCAGTAACTCGAAAATGAACTGGTGCTGGACCAGCTGGTACTTCTGGTCATTCCGCTGGCGCCATGGATCTTTCTCGCTTCGGTCTAGGCCGACTACTTCAAGTCTCGCATTCCCAGCAATTACCAACGTCTGTGTCTAGCCGTTGTAAGTTGGGTATGCTCCGACCAGTGTCCTTGCTCAATAACCCCCTCTGGTGGTACCATTTCTCTGATATTGGTCTTTCTAATTACTGTCCATCTGGGTCTACTCCGACCGCTAGATACAGTTGAATGAGCCAAATTCATGCTATCTATGATCTCATAACCATGGACGAAGTGCAGAAGATGATGTATGAAATGCGGACAGCCAATTGAAATTGGCGGCTCTCGAGCATCTTGCCCGTAGGCCCAGACAGCGAACTTCTGGCGTATTTGCCTAGGACCGTATCAATGGTTCTAGTGGACTTCCACTGCGATTCCACTACCCTTGACGGTGCTCACCCTATAAGACCGTCGATGGGCCGTCCCTTGCGGTAGTGTGCTTTGGAAAATCCGCCGTCCCACTTGCACATGAACAAGGACTGCCCCGTCTCCTACAAGTGAGGGTCTGTCAAGACTGCCAGCCATTTACTGCTCAGCTTACGGGGCTCTGTGGGGTCGATCCTACGCGACCATTTAAGGCGCTTAAGGTTGTGAGACCGTCGACAACTTGGTCATATGTGTTGAACGGATAAGTATTGCCCCTCCCCCTCACAGCGGTGTCGGAAGACTATTTATCTGGCCAGACAACCGAGGGCGTGGGCGCTTAATCACATTTCCCGCTCCCCTCATGCAGGAACCGCCGAAGGCAGTGAGGCTTGAGAAGGCAGACGCATCAGGTTTAGCACATTCATCATTCCATCACCTTCATCATTGATTGTGGTTGGATTGTCGGGCCCTTGTTCCAACTTCGTTACCCCACCTCTCACTTTCACCTCTTCTTTCCACTCCTTCAGCAGGCCCGGGGACGATGTTAGCCACCCGTGACCTTCCCTCCCGTGATACCCTCTTCCCCCTATCCCAAGGTGTCGCCAGCTGGTCGGTCTCCAACAAGGTCAGAGGCTCGCTCGAACTGACCAAGAAGAACCTGAACGCGAAGAAAGTCGCAAGCGGTTTGCCACTGAATATCACAACTGGCCCGAACAAGAAACCCTCCCTACGCGTTGGGTATCCCAAGGGCTCGTATAGATTGGACGTAGAGCCACGAGGCGGGATCTCGTTCTATACGAATGGACCTAAGGGATTCAATCTGACGAACGCAAAGGAGGCGACGTTTGGGTATTCGGTGTACTTTCCCAAAGGGTTCGAGTTCGCGAAGGGTGGAAAGCTGCCCGGGTTGTGTGAGTGCTATTGTTCGCTAATTTCTCGCACCCAGACTAACGAGGAATAGACGGCGGAAACTCGGAGGAGGATGCGACGACGTGCTCAGGTGGCACGGTCGACCACAATTGCTTTTCCGGTCGTCTAATGTGGAGAAGGGACGGGGCAGGAGAGATTTACGCTTATCTTCCTGGGCCTGAACACGTTGGCTTCGAAAGCAACCGTCTCCTATGCAGTCTGACACGGAGTCATTGCGACACCTCGTTTGGAGTGTCTCTTGGGCGCGGGTCGTTCAAGTTTCCGACGGGGGAATGGACGACGATTGCTGAGCGCATAAGGCTCAACGACGTGGGCCAAGCCAACGGAGAGCTTGAGCTGTTCATCGATGGGAAGAGTGTCGTCAATTCTGTGGGCGCTATCATTCGCAATGACTCGTCCAGCCGGATACGAGGGATCCAGGTGCAGAGCTTTTTTGGAGGTGCGTATCGCGACATACCTTTGCGCCGGTGTCTGACGGTCCGACAGGGAGCACGGAGGACTGGGCGTCACCAAAGGATCAAGAGGTCTTCCTCTCAGATTTCTCAGTCGCCATTACAGAAGATTTCGAGGGGCGTCGGACGTCCGGGGTTCCTTCATATACAAGACTAGGATGGAAGGGGATGTTCCCCTTCCTTGCTCTGATGACCTGTCTATCCCTTGGACTTACATGAACCGCCCACAATGTCACATACTTTCAGTTCACCCAAAGCTTTCTATACGGGAGTCTGAAGAAGCAGAATCCTGATGTGACGCGAATGGAACTTGACATCTCTATCCGACAAGTCGGCTCTTATGGCCCTCTAACGACCAGGTAGGTTCAAGGGAATGGTTCGAAAGTCTTCTCTCTAACAATGCCTAGACCATTTTTAGTCCCCGTGACGCTGAATGGTGTCAGTTTCACTCACTTCGGAAGCGCTCCTGGACTGTGAGTACCACGTCCGATTTGTCCAGTTTGGGAGTCAAATGGCCAATGCCTTCGTCAACGTAGCCCAAGAACCCGTAAAACCCGCTGTAGTGCTCGATGCAGGCTCGTTGAAGCTTGGGGAACTTTCTCTTGTTTGCTAGGAGCTCGTCGAGGTGGGCCCATGACTGAGGTTCGAACCCCTCGAAGCTGTCAAGGCGGTGATCGACGGTCAGGTGGATGTCCTCAACGGCGTTACCGGGTGGAATGGTTTCGAGACTACTCAAGACTCGGGGGAGGGGTTCCAGGTACCCTTCTTCGGCGGTGTAGGTTGACCAGCAGGAAAATCCTATTCTTCGAAGCTTGGCCAACTGCCCAAGGTCTACAGTGGCAGCTAAGGAATGTTTTGTTGAGGATACTCGGCAGCGTACTTGCAACTACGGTTACCCACCTGGACCATCCTCTTCCGTTCTGACCGAACGCCCAAGCGCCAAAGTCTCGAGTGTGTCCTTGCACATGTCCAACACCTGTTTCATTTCTTCCCCGCCGTCCTGTTCAATCTGGAGCTTCTTCAGTGCTCCTACACTGAAAGTTTCCAGAACGTGGTTGATGACGTTAGATATGTCCGAGGAGTGACGGATGCCAGCCAGGTAGTCTAGGTTGTGAACTTTCATGCGCTTTGCGGTTGGTGCTTTCTGAATGTCAACGTTCCACAGCTTGAGTGTTCGCAATGACGGGCCGCAAGACTCGAGGAGGTGGATCGGGGTCCAAGCCAAAGAGAGAGATATGAGTGAAGTCGAGGCGCAAAGCCCCCCGATGACTTCTTTCAACTCGCTCGATAGGTGCGACCACTTCGTGTGAGGACATTGCGCGAGGGTCAATCGACGTATCTTGTTCCACGCCACAAGGTGTCCCAAGGCCTTCCCAAGGTCATCATCTGTGGACAGCCAACCCCCGCCATCGACTGTCAACGGATGATCCTCGACAATGGTTATTTCTACGGGGTAGGCAGCGATTGCGGGAGACTCGTTGAACAAGGCTAGTAGTCTCTTCCCTGGGGTGTAGGCTGGTCCCCAGTGAAGTGGTTTCGTCCACGGAGGTCGCGGGCGTCGCAGTTCGAGGGTTGAGAATATGAGTCTCTGACATGGCTCCCTAAAGGGTAAGCACGTCAGGGAACCATTTCGAAGTGCTGCGGGGTCGTCTTCGAGGTGTCGGACTATCTGCGGAACCAGCTCTAGTGGTATGGCTGGCATCTCTGAGTCTAATGAATAGGATAGCTTCCAGTTCATCTAAGCTCACTTTTATACCTCGCCATCGGTCCCGTGGCTTAATCATGGTAGCAGGTCGAGCCCAAATGGTTTACGGAAAAGATGCACCTCGCTGTTTCATTTGCTTCACATGCGGTCACTATCGAGCGAAGGCAACGGTATCTTACTTTGCTTAAACTTCACTTGGACTGGAATTCGAGACTGTCCGGCCCCACGGCTCATCGGACGCGACTCTAACTGGGGTAGACAATGGCAGAATGGAAATCGGAGAAGCCAGAATTGCACTTCACATCCGGTAAAGATGGAAATTTGGGGATATCGAAATGAGTCAGCGTATCCTTGGGCTGACTCTGGTGAGCCCGGGGGCTCTCTACTCACCCAAAATCAGGATCCAGATTTCAATCACACTGGTGGTACTGCTCGAGTGATTCGCTTCTTTGGCCATGGCTTGTATCTCCCACACGGGCTGGATGCGATGCTTAAAGTCATGCGCGTTGACTCTTGGGCCTTACCAAACGCGCATTCGTCAGTCTGACAACGGGAGTGCTCCCTGAGAGGGACTCCCCAAAAACCTCAGGTTTACTCAGCCAGGAAGTTAGTATGTGTCAAAAACAAGAAAATTGTCAACTTACCTTCACCTTGAAAACTTCTTGTTCCTTAGTTCCCCCATGCTCCTGTCTTTCCCGAGCCTGACATCGCTCCTTGTATACCTACCTCCCAATAGAGAGACACTGCAGAAGCTAATGATCTCTTCCTGACGCCTCACTGGCAAACCAGCACGAATTTCCACAAATTTCAGCGCCTATCGATGGCGCTTGATGTTTCACGTGCCTGTGATGTCATCGGGCTTACGAACAGTAAAGAGGCTTGGACGAGCTTGGACGCTCTTGGAAGCTCGATGCCGATTTTCTGTCGCATCCCAGTCAACTGGCTCATATACTCTCTTTGTAATCTCAGCATCATGTACAGTAGTACTCACTACATGTCGTGCCCGTCGAAGCACGATAGGGACTCGCGGGTATTGCCAATTCCCGTGTTAGTGGATTACTGATCCAGGAGTAGGATCACTAAGGGGAGTCGAGGGGGTCTCTTCAACTTTGGGTTGACGTGGCGTCTCATCGAGGAGGGCTAGAGTGAAAGGTTGGCAGTAAGGAGGGTGACGAGCCATTTCTTTCCCGACTTATCCGACGATCTTGCCATCGAGATGTCAGGAGCGGTCTGGCGGTCATTCTCCGAGACCGTATGTCTATTGTTTTCATATCTCATACTGGTCGCCGTCCACCGAGCACGGACTGGGATCCCCGTCTCACAATGCGTACACACCGGTATTCTTCGCGTGCCCGTCCCCTTTGAATACTGTCTTTCGAGTCATATTCGCATCCAACTTGCGCTCCCGCTCCTTAGCTGGGCGGAAGAGGGTCGGGAAGGGACCCTAAAGCTAAGTCCTTCCAGCCTGGACCGAGTAGCTCGTACTACAACATCAAAGAATCTTAAAGTAGTATCAACAGCTGTTGTTGAGTCCAGTAGAAAAAGGAAATTTGCTTACAGAAGTAGCGATCACGATTGCCCAGGAACTCGGCCAGTGGGATCCGCCATAAATGCTCCACGACAAGGGCTTGGTCCTGGAATGCAGTGTCTTCTGAACGACCCTGGAAATGAGGATCATGCACATCTATCGAGCGAACTTGAACCCTCGAATCATCCAGTGATTGCAGCAACCGCTGAGCGATCTCTTCCCTTGTCGACTCCAAAGACGACGTCGCTTCCTTCCCAACGATGATCACGTCGAATGTCTCGAGGCTCGACGGAAGTGTGAGGGCGGTGAGTTCTGAAGGGGCCATAACAGACACTGTAAAGTCGTGGTTTGAGATCAAGCGTCGGAAGGTCTTCAAGGTCGGATAATTCACAACGTCTTGGATTTCCTCTAGACGCATGAACGTAGCGATACTCGTAAAGCTTTCGATGGGAGGACGATTTCTGAGGTCGCTTGGAATGAACGGTCCGTGTACTGGGCCCATGGTGAGATGCCTCAAGGAAGCAGGGATTGCATTCTCCAGTCTCACCCAGTCGCTCTGAGGTAGGTTGACCAGAATCAACGTCTCCAGCCGCGTCCATTTCTGGAACAGTTGGAAAAGGATGGTCAAGGGCCAGGCATCTCCTCCATGGTAATGCAAATCCGATTCGACATGATGACCTGGTCGGGGGCCAATGTAGAGGTTTCGGACGAGCTCAAATCGTCTGGAGACTCGTGCGTCGGGGACGTCGTGTATCCTGTGGAACAATTCAAGCTGTTTCGACCGGGCAAACGATACGGAATGGTAGTGAAATGGTAGAAGCCAGTCTTGAGTCGCGTTCGACAAGGACAATAGGGTTGTTGAATCGGCAAGCTCGTCCTTGAGGGCCAATATTAAAACTGGATGGCGTCCTGAAGTCTAAAAGTTGCTTGTATGATATTTGTATGCTTACCCTTCGATATTTCGTGAAATTCTGAATCTCGGGGGAAACGCTTGGTTTTACTCACCTTGCGAACTAGTTCTGTTGGTAACATCGTTGGAATAAGGATTGGATTGTCGCCCATCCTCCCCCCTTTCGAGTGCGTTTGTAGCCGTTTTCTGAATGTCTCGGGCCAAGCACTGTGGTGGAACAAAACAGAAAAGGGCATCAGCCGGGCGCTTGTGTGGCTGTTACCTATGCACAACAACAGCGACAAAGCCGGTTCAGGCACTAGCGGCCCTTGGCACATCATCACAACAACCGGCGTCCCTTCTCTTTCGTGTTCGTGGTTTCGACCGTTTCTTGAGCTTCCAGACGACCCTATATTGTTGATATTGGATCTGGGAACACAAGCTCATGATAGCGATATGTACTGCGGAGAACGGACAGGTGTTTCAGGTGCGTTCGGGCTTTCAACTTGGGCAATTGTGCACGATGCTAACGGAAACTACAGACCAAGGCGTCTTTGAGAGACATTGAAAGGTGCTGTATAGCCCTCATGACTAGTCATCCACATACTGAGGATAGCACACAGAACAGGAAGCCTGGAGCAGTTTCTCCATGACGAAATAGGCATCGACCACGACGCAATCATTGCGTACATCTCCAACGGCCAACGACTCACCAATGGCAACCTCAGAGAACTGGCTGCGACACAGGACCAGGTAATTCTAGCTTGTGGTGCACTCGCAACTCTGCTAAGAGAGTCGCCAGACAATATTCGTGTTCAACAAGTACTATCTCGACTATGACATCGAAGATGTACTGCGGGACCTTCACTTTGAGCCCCAGTTCCAGCCACCCATGGAGGGTACGCTCATCATGCTTCTAGCCTGTAACTCAGCTCTTATATGCAGCATAGATTCTCTGTCTGCAACACCGCCGCAACGCCATATCCAATTCGCAGCGTCGTGCATCCGCAACGCCCACAAGCACCACGATATCATTGTCCAAGCTCAACAGGCCTTGCATTATCAGCATGAATCATTGCGGATAGCTGTAGCTTCCCTCGATGCCCACGTTCTCGTTATCTTGGACAGTTTCGAAGGCGTTGCCGCCAATGCCAAGCGCGAACTCGAAAGACAGGCGACATTGTTGGCTGGGTTGGATGCGGATTTGGAACTCATCAACAGGGTGAAGCTACACGTGGAGTTCCTATCTCCCACCGTTCGAAAATCGATTGAGAATGGAGAGTCGAAGCATCGCACCTTGGGAGATTATGTGTCCACTGTAAAGATGAAGCAAGTGGGGGACGCTTGTGCTCGGACGCATGGTGTGTGACATTACGTGTATTCATCTTCCCAGCGCTTATCTTCGTCAGAGGAACTGAAAGTCCGATTCGAGCAAGTCGATTTGGCCGTGTCCAGAGTCAGAGAAGGCTCCGACATCATTCGAGCTGTGCTCAACGAGGTTAAGTGCGTACTTGAAGCCCCATGTGCCACCAGAAAGCTCATTGCATGCGAAGGCTGATCCAAGACGCCGATGCGGGTGTTCGCCGCTCCCAGGAATTGGTGGACAAGATAATCGAAGCAGGAGCCATGGTAGAAAGCCCCGCCACCAATCTCGATGCAACATTGCAAGGTAGGCACTCTCCCACCGGCATACACTCTTTGCTAACAATTCCCAGAGCTGCGCCAGTTGGACCTTTCTCATCGTCAAGAAGTCCAGTCCATTGCCGACATCAAAGTACGCGTCCAGCCGCCTGCGGTTATCTTTATTCATTAACCAAAGCAGCACAGAACTCCTACAACCGCCAGTCCCTCTCCACCCTCCGTCGAATAAGCATTGTCAACAATGACATTATTCAAATTCCACCCAACCTTGCAGCGCTGCAAGCTAGCTTCCGGAACAAGAACAGCTTCTCCCACATTCAGCGGCTCCACAACATGCTCTACGCATACGGTGCGACGGTCATTGAAATTGTCCGTCGGAAGGAGTTCTGTGAGTTTGCTCCGAATCGCTGTTTTCTCCGTGGCTAACACTCGTAAAGCGCGTTTCTTCTACCAGAGAGCCCAGAGCATCCTAGAAGTCATGGCTAAGCTGACGTAGGTTCATTTGGCTCTCGAGATCCGAATCCTTCTTGATTACTCCTTCCCAGGTCTGGAGAACGCAAACGTCGGCAAGTGTACAGAAGCGAGGTTCTTGGCCAGCTGCCTTTCGATGCCAAGGGTATGGATGATCCTGTCCCCAGCATCGACTTTACGCCGACTGGAAGCACCGAGTTCACCTATAGCCTTGAGCGCCCTGATGTTGAGGGTGAGCACATCTATTCCACACCCCTTTCCCGTCTCACACCTTACTCATTTATTCACGCTTTCGAAGCTTTCCTTCGCATCCTCGACGACCTGGAGATTTATGCTCGCGCCAAACCGGACTCGATAGCTTTGAGTACCGTCCTGGAGAGCCGTGAATCATTACAAAAGCTAGTTGCCAAGATGGATAACCTGGAGGTCGGATTCGACAAAATTGCTGAGAAGTCTTGTAAGTGGGGCTTACCTCTACAGTAGGTCTAAGGTACTCATCAAGTCACTAGTGTTATCTGCCTCGCGGATATCCCTATCTCGCCGACGATGTAGGTGCTCACTGGATTTCCATAATCTACCTTTCTACTAACATAGTCCAGCACTTGAAGCAGATGAACAAGCCTACCAGCAACTTCTCGATGAACTGCGGTCCACCGAAGAAGCCAAGGCGCGACAGGCAGCCATCTTTGACGAAGAGAGGCGAATCATGCAGGGCGAGATCCAACGATTCAAACGACAACTGGAAGACGTCGAGCACGACAAGCAGCAGGCTTCTGAACGTGAGAATCAGCTGGAGCGCGAGCTGCGTCAAGCTCGTGGTCAGGCCGAGAGCGAGTCCGCCGCCCGGCGTATCGTCGAGGAACGGAATCAGGAAATGGCGAAGGAGATTGAAGGGCAACGTGTCGCCCTCTCACGAGCTCTTGCGGATGCGACCGAGCAGTCGAAGAATGCCGAAATGCTCCGGCAGGAGTTGGCCCAGGCTCGAGCCGAGTTCGAAGAGGTCAAGCAACTGGAGACCAGGAACGCAGCTAAAGTTGCGGCATTGTTGGAGGAGCAAGGGAACACGCTTCGAAAGCTTGAGGAGGCGCGTGCGCGTGGGGAAGATCTGGAGGCACAGATCCAGGCGGCCAGGGCGGAGAGCGATGAAGTGCGGCAGGCATTGAAGGACACAAGCGAAGAGAAGGATCGGTTACTTAAGATGCAGGCATCTGAACACGACCGGATCATTCGGGACCATATTGCGGAAGCAGATGGTGACCGTGCTGTGCTCGAGCGACAGTTCTTCGAGCTGAAAGCCGTACAGGAACACACAGAACGACAAGTGAAGGATCTCAAGGCCGAGATCGAGGTGGCCAATTCGGATGCTGCTGGGCTGCGAGACGAGCTTCAACGGGTGGAACACGAACTTCGAGACGCCAAACACATTGAACGACTGTTACGAGAGGACTTAAAGGCTGGTCGAGCGTCGCAATCCGACTATGAACGCCGCCTGGAGGAGATTAACAGACTTGTGGCGCAGATCTTGGACGTGGCGATCAGCTTCCGGAATACTCAAGTCAAGGCTCTCACCGCAGCACAGACCATGTCTTCCCTACCAACACCTGGAAACAGACATGGTGTCAATGGAGCCAATATGACCGACTCAGCCATGGTGTCATCTGGGATGCGTCATCACAGCGTTATTGCCCAGACAGGGGAGCCCTCACCAATCGATCCGTCAGACCCCGCAGCAGCTCTGGAGATTCTCAGGGAATTCGACCACGACCACTTCTTGGAGGCCATCAATAAGACCGGTTCGACGATCAAGAAGTGGCAGAAACAGTGCAAAGAGTATCGGGAACGCGCAAAAGGGAAAATCTCGTTTAGGAATTTCTCAAAAGGGGATCTGGCCCTCTTTCTTCCCACTCGGAACTCTGTATCGAAACCATGGGCTGCATTTAATGGTGCGCTCCTTCCTCGCCGCTCGTGGTTCATGACTAAACCCATGCTCCAGTCTCGTTCCCTCATTACTTCTTGCAAGCAACTGGCCATCTCGCAGAGCAGCTGAAGACGAGAGAATGGATTGTCGCAAGAATCACCTCGATTACAGAGCGGGTCGTTGACCATCAGGTGAGGTCCCCCATTGGGTGTCAACTGAAATCCACGATCTAACTTCCAGCAGGATGCATCAAGCAACCCATACGGTCTTGGAGACGGCGTGAAATACTACATGCTGGAGGTCGAGGATTGGACGCAGCCAAGCCAGAATAAACGTCGAGTTTCTTCCAGGAAAACGACGACGCTGATCGAGAGGGACCACAACGAGGTTTCGCCGTCAGCTCTGAATGCAACCAAAACAAGTCCTCCGGTACCACCGCCCGACCCACTCGTTCCCGAGGTCGAGGACACGTTCCATCCAACAAATTCAAGGCCATTCCCTGTGCGCAGTAGATCCAATTCGTCACCTACAGCGCGACCCTCTTCCCTATCGCGCCTTCTAGCTCAAGCTTCTCCCCTTCATGAATCTCCTCCTGGGATCTCCAACAAACAAGATGATCCCGAGCCCCATTCAGCACCTCTACCCGAGACTTCAACGAGCCCCCTTCCAGAAGAACAAGGCACCCATCAGACTGAAGAGGACCCACCAGCCCCAAGCCAAATTGTTTCTCCGCCCCCTCCTTCTCCTTCTCAGTTCACGGATTCTCTTCCTCGCCATATGGCCGCGGGCCACCCATCGCCGCGTCGACCAGGATCCCGAGCCTCTCGATTATCCTCGACTTCAAAATTCTCGGTGGGGCGAAAACCAACACTAGGCGTTGTCTCGTCTGGCACCCCGAGCAAGGCAGCTCCTACGGTGGCCCTAGCAGATCAGCGCATCCCTGGATCGCCTTCTTCCAATGACGGGCCCAATCCCTTCGGTTCGCCGATAACACCGTCCCCTGATGATTCAATATCCGACGCCTTGGCGAATGCGATGGAATCCACTGGGGAGCGAAGACGCACTGTCTCCTACCATGTCTCCAGGTCCTCTCCCCTAACCACGGGAACTTCACAGAGCACTGCGCAACCGCAACCCATACGACCCTCGTTGGCAGCGGCCACTGCCACCAGTACATTGGCCAACCTCGCCAGCAGCCTGGGTGTTTTTGGGAGGAAGCGCAAGAACGACCCTTCTAACCCCCGCACTAACAGTGCTTCTTCTGGTACAGGTTCCGGTGGTGCTTCTGCCGATACAGGCGGTACTGAATCCGTCAATCCAGCGAATTCTGCCAATGGTCCTCAAAGACCCACCACGGAGCCTTCCGCTCTCGCGCTGCTTGGTCGATTTTGATGGATGTATCGACGTGTTCGAAGATCTCGCGCTGTTATCGTGTCAGTTCTGTTTTCTCGCTTTCGCACGTTTCGCACATGTACATCTATTCTTCTATAATCTATATGTCAGTCGGGAAGGAACATCTTCGATCGCTTCGTAACAGTTCCTCGAGTTCTCGAGGCTATCTTCTTCACAAATGAAGGTCTTCTCGCCAAGTGACCTTAGGAGCTTGGAGCGTCTTATCGTATATTTGCGTCGTTTATGCTGGGATCATCCAGCGACGCGAGCAATCCTCGGGTAGTTGTCGAGGTTTAACGCAACATGGAGCAACCTGGGAGCAACCACACTTTATTTTTCCGATGTGTTTTTGGGAGGTGATATCGAATGTACCCCTCCGACTCCGCCTTGGATCGTCCCGACCCTGAAGCGAGTGATATTCATGCCTCGATCTATCGACTTGGGGCCATCCGAGCGAAATGGATACGGTGGTTCGGACGTTTTTAGCCGTCAAAGTTTGTCTCTGCTTGTTTTTCACAACAAAAGCCGCCGCTCATCCCCCGACGGGTGGTGCAGTCAGTTGAATTCCCATCACCATCGTATCATCGATCGACGATGTGGGGGGAATTTCTCCGCTGTGGACTCCAGGGTGTCCAACTATCTCCACCAGAATCTGACGACGCCTGGGGTTCTCTGTCTCGAACGAAACCTCGTTGCAAGACACCGCTGACCAGTATCGATACACTTTTTCTGGTCTTCCAAGCACAACGCCTGATACATGGAGCTACGGAGCGATCTTCCTTAACTTGTCTGGTCCTGGAATGCGCCGATGTGGAAGGCGACCATATGATTCAACAGACCGCCCCTCTCGCTTTTCGCCGACCAGCGCGTTCCCCGCACGTCAATCCGGGGCGGGAATTGCAGGCTGCCATCTGATTTGCAAGTCCTAGCGACTGTGAATATTGAATGCAGGCGACGGCACATTCTCGGCCTTTGCCTAATTGACCAACTCGACAGCATGGCGACTTGAATGCTTGAGAATGAACAGGGCAGAATTTGGCAGATTGCCCTGGACTCTTTTCTGGACGCTCACAGGATGAAGGCCTACACACCCGTGGGTCCCATCATTGCTGGCTGCCTGCCTGCAAGTGGAGAAATCTCGTCGAAACATTGGCCCAATTCCTGTCAAGGGTAACTTGGATCTGTCTTCTCGTTTCGTGATAATCACACCTTTAGAGGCCTAGATATGACGGTACGTCGCCTATTTGAAACACGTCAGATACGATCTCATGTTCTTACTAGCAGGGCAAATAGAGTTGGTCGATAAAGAAGGGGGAGTGGTACTGTCCAGAGATTTGTTCTCGTGAGGCCTCAGTAGCTCCATTAGGGATTCCACATCTGAATTAGGACCATCGACATTTCGGATGCGAGGCGGGAAACCAGGATAAGGAGTGGCCACTGCGGTGTACCTCTGGAAATATTCTGGAGTTACGGCAATCTAGATCCATGTTCCCATACTACCACGCCCTCTCGCTTCTCGTAAAGACACCACCCCTCTATAAAAGAACTGGTGGTTCTTCTCTGCCAACCCAACCCCGTTCTTCCCCGTCCATCTTCAACTCAATTTAGGAACTATGGGTGGTGGTGCTGTTGCATCTGCTGGTGGCAATGGTGGCTTTGCCCATCTCGTTGACCCCAACCGCAAATGGTACAACAACAAGCGAATCATCGCTTTGAACGGTTGGATCTTCTTGCTGTACGCCATTTCTTTCGATGTCCGTTTCGTCTGCCTGGACTCACCCCTTTGGTTAGCCTTATCACTTCGTCGACCAACGGTTTCGACGGGAGCATGATGAACGGTCTCCAGTCCATTCCCGAATGGAGAGACTACTTCAACAAGCCGTCCGGCTCAATGCTTGGTCTGCTTAACGCCATCCAGGTCAGTCCTTCGTCTATATTTCGTATCAAGTCTTCAACTAACTCCTTGGTATCTAGAACATTGGTTCATTGGCTGCCTACCCTTTCGCCCCCTACATCTCTGACGGGTTGGGACGAAGGAGTTCCATCTTCTTGGGTGCTGTCATCATGTGTATCGCTACTGTCATCCAGACAGCTGCTCAGTCGGTCGGAATGTTCATTGGCGCTCGGTATGTTTCCTGGATCTTGTGGTCAAGCTCAAGCTAACGCTGTAGCAGTTTCTTGATTGGTTTCGGTCTCACTTTCGCTGCAAGTGCCGCCCCCATGTTGGTCACAGAAATCGCCTACCCCACCCATCGTGCTGCTTTGACCTCTACCTACAACTCCCTCTGGTACTCTGGTGCCATCATGTATGTTCTCCGTTTCCCTGTCCTCCCGCGGTCCGAAGCTTATTCTCCATTCCAGTGCGGCCTGGTCCACTTTCGGTACTTTCCAGATGAAGGGAAGCACCTGGTCGTGGCGTATCCCCTCCGCTTTGCAGGGTGTCCCCTCTATCATCCAAGTTGCCCTCATCTGGTTCTGCCCCGAGTCCCCTCGTTGGTGTGTCAGCAAGGGCCGCCATGAACAGGCATTGAAGACTTTGGCTTACTACCACGCCGACGGCAACGAGGACGATCCCCTTGTCAAGTACGAATTCGAGGAAATCAAATCCAGCGTGAGCCTTGACTCCGAGGTCGCCAAGAATATCGGTTGGAAGACTCTCTTCAGCACCCGCGGCAACCTCAGGCGTATGCGTATTATCATTGCCCTCGCTTTCTTCTCTCAATGGTCTGGCAATGGTCTCGTTTCCTACTACCTCAACAAGGTCTTCAACACCATCGGCATTACCGACGGCACCATCCAGGTAAGTTTGGCCTGCCATTTTTTATGCTCGACATCGCTTACCGGCCTCTAGCTCCTCATCAACGGTCTCTTGCAAATCTGGAACTTGGCTTGGGCTTTGGCTGCTTCCTTCATGGTCGAGAGGCTTGGTCGTCGCTTCCTGTTCATCACTTCCACCATTGGCATGATCATCTTCTTCTGCTTGCAAACTGCCTGCACTGCCGTCTACGACAAGACCGGTAGCAAGCACGCCGCCAACGCTGTCATTGCCTTCATCTTCTTGTTCTACGGATCCTACGAGTACGTCCATTCCGTGTTCGGTGATGCAGAGAACTTACCCTCTACTCCAGCTTGGCCTTCACCCCCTTGATTGTGTCCTACACCGTCGAGATTCTCCCCTACCACATCCGTGCCAAGGGTTTCGTCGTCTTCAACTTCGCCATCTCCCTCTCCCTCATCTTCAACCAATACGTCAACCCTGTCGCCCTCGACGCCATCAGCTGGAAGTACTACATCGTCTACTGCGTCTGGCTCGGCTTCGAGCTCGTCTTCGTTTACTTCTGTGGGTGTCAATCTCTATCTTACCGCGTTCCCGTTCTCACGATTATCTTCCCACAACAGTCGTCATTGAGACCAAGAACCGAACACTCGAGGAGACTGCTGCCTTGTTCGACGGTGAGGAGGCCGCTGCTCAGCTTAAGGAGGTCGCCCACCACGCCGTCGGTGACGAGAAGGACGAGAAGACTGGCTCATTCCAGGAGGATAAGCCCAAGGTCTAAACACCTGAGGCACTTTTTTTCTTTCAGAGCCTGAGCTTCCTTTCCCCTCATACCCATATTCTTTCCCCTCGCACATTGTTCTTCGGGTCTCCACGCGAAAACAACATGGGTTTGGCGGTAATTTATGACCTTAATACTCACGCTTTCACGATGACGGTGTTTTAACATTATAGTTGAATGGCTACTGGGCTAGCTGGCTACTTTACCGTATTGTCATGGGTTCCGCCATTTCACCTGGGCTTTTCACTATCTAGCTTCACGCTCATGTACACTAGTATCTTCCACCGGGAAACCAAAAAATATATTCCACTCTGACAATCTGTTGAATCTCTTGAGAACGATTCAGGGTCTATTATGTGGATCATGTGGGGAACAATTGATCACTTCAAAGTCGTGGGCTTTTTACAGGATGTGCTTCTGAACTTCTCCAAGGTACATATCGCGTGGTTCATTCCGTTTCCCGACAGGGTTGATTTTTTCCCAGTTGCCGTCTGCCTTAGCACGCCATGTTGGATCTCATGACCGCTCGTATCCACTCGCTACATTGTCGGCATTGGAGCGTACACATCGAATGTACTGTATCATGGTTGATAAGAGACATGTTGTGCACCATTACTGGTACGTGAGCTAATTTTGTTACCTGTCTTTCCCGTTGAAGTACGTGCTCCGAGAGTCAGGTGGTCACAGAGCGCAAACAAGGTGCCCGACATGTATTCCCAAACCCTACTCTTCGGGGATAACATCCGCGACGGAAAAAGGGTAAGGGTCTCTCGGATATCCAAGCTCAATGGACAGACTGGGCGTGTCCATCCATCTCACTTGAACGTTGGCACACCTCCATTAGGTGGCCATAGTGCAGCCAGTCCATCGCCCTTTTTAGTCGGCCTGATCCTCTATCAGCGTCTTTGCCCTTATGACCAGGGCTGCAAAGATCCACAACCAAAGAAACAAAAAAAAAAAACGTAAAGGGTCGACGGAAGTGTCCGCGGTCGATAATAGCGCTGTTAAAACGCACTTTCGAGGATTCACCGAGACAGGCGTACGTCTACATACACCTGGAAGGGCTAGAGTGATAAATTTAGCTCTGGAGAGTGTGTACGTTCATGCAGCTGAATATGCGTTAAATTCCGGTTACCAGGTGCTGTAATTGAATATGAAAGTTTACGTACCGTGATTTGGTATGAATCAGAGGACCTTTCCTACTGGCAATCGATATGCCTGATGACTGCCATATCTCGCCCATGGAGCAGCTTTCACAGAGAGAATAGTCCTGAATGAACATACATACGGAGGTATGTAGAAGTAAGAAAGCAGAGATTCACATGGTCAAGGGCCGACGCCCACCGAACAGCCAACAAATCAGGTTCTCTCCTTCCAGAAGTTCAGAGCTTTCTATAACCCACGGACGTCTTCAAACTCGTTCTCTCGGTATTTTGTACCAGTGCAGGCGCTCAGAAATAACTTCACCCCGGGCTAAATGTCGCATCGCATTATTCAGACTGGATATTTATGGCGCTTCTCTTTCCTTATTCATCCTTCCGTCCTAGGCGGCGGGCGGTGCCACTAAGCCGACGATTGGCTATTGGGTCCCAAATGCGACTCTGGATCGGCTGTTAGTCATGGGCTACGATGGTATGCCGAAATGGGCGCTTCATTCCTTGATGGAAGGGCAGCATAATTGCCGAGGGCCAGATAGAACACCAGAATCGTCTTGAATCATGGTATGGGCTACACGGGTCTGATAGAACTTAACAGAACCCATATACCACATGTACAAGGGAATTCCAAGAAGTCCACCCCCTTTTTGAAGCTTAACTGAACAATCTATCAAGATCTAATGGAACTTCACTCCTATCTCAATTGAACGTCTACAGCGCTTGAAGGCTTGAAGCACCTGGATCTGAGGCCCACACAAGATTGAAAGGAGTTCACGTTGAAAAAATCATGCTCAAAGTCACAGGGGAGCCATCGACGATTCGACGAAGCAAGCTCTCCGAGTCTAGAATGAGATTGTTCCAAAGGCGGTTGTTCTACTGAACGGAACTTTGCGCTACTACTACGTCCCCAACAGTGCAATCGCATCACCGCCTTTCGTCCTTTCAAGAAAGAAATGGACCCACCGGGTATCAACACAGTACAAGGGGTGGCCCGGCTATTGTCCCAGTGCTCCAATATTGAATATTGAATGCCCGATTGCTCCAGCGATAAGTAGAAGAATGTCAATTTTACGACTCCGTCTACTCTTTCCTTCCCACTCCACTCCATGCACCGGGAGGGTTCTTCTACTAACCACAATAATCACACTCTACGCTCGACTTGACTTCGACTTCCCATGGTTCTTTGTTCACCATAGCTCCCCTGAAGTGCAGACCACATAGTCACCATAAACTTTCATTACCCCCTGTGAGAGGTGAATGAAAATTGGGTTCGTGGCACCAGACCAAGTCGATCCAATCGAACGTCTCTACTCCATATTTCGGCTTCCTGCGGTTCTTCTTCCACCCCAATTAGCCGGAGACTGAGAACATAGAAAGAAGACGATATCACGGTCCCGTATTTCTGCCCAGCAGTAATCGATGAAAACAATGAAAACCCGCAAGTGCTCCACTGACCAATGCGTCCAATCTCTGACCATCGTATTCGCTGGCTCGGAATCTGGGATGTCTGTCTAAGCCCACAATCAGCACTATACCACCAACTCCCATCCCTTCACCCTCCCCTCCTCAACCTTAGAACTTCCCCAACTTCCCCCATCCACTCCACTGCGAAAGTTGCCAAGAACCAAAAGCCCCTATCATTGCGAGCGCCAAACCACCGCCAAGCCGGAACCACGTTCTCCTCCTCGTTCCTCTCCAGTTGACGCGAGCCCTCTGCGCCCAAGCTTCAAATATCGAAACCTGGAATCCACGGCGGGGTGGAGGAGAAAGAAATAGATTAAGTCACAAAAATAATTAATCGAGTAGAACGAGCGTATCGCACACAGTAGTACGGGAAAGGTAAGAAAGATAGAAGGCCAATGGGGTACTAGTGGAAGGAGTGACGGGCAGAGACATGAAAGGGAAACCAGGTAACAGATCGGAAGCTCGAGGTTCAGGGAGAGTATAAAGAGAACGAGAATGGATGTAGGGATGGAAGTATCTCGATGGAGGCAACGCGGTAACGTACAAGGGATATGGTACAACAGCAACAACCAGTCACATTACACCGACTAGTACTCAAACCCTACCTCGCATAGAACCACTCGCAACCCATTCAACATGAGTGTACAAAGAAAAGTCGATAAGGAAAGAGAAACGAGAGGATCATGCGCACATTACCCAAGGTAACAAAAACACTAGTCGAGAAAAAGAAACACGTCCAGAACCAGGAAACGTAAAAATCATGGTGGTGGGGTTATAAAAAGGCAGAAAACGGTGATATATATAATAAAAAAAAAACAGGTGGAATGGAAAGAAAGGAGCGAGCGATTGATATTGATCGGCGTGGTCGTTGGTACCATAAAGCCTCCCTTCCCATCTTCTCCCCACTCGTAACAGAAACAGAAAAGTCATGTTATCATCGTTCCGTTTTGTCATCACAACGGATCTCGATCTGATCTCATGCCCCAGCTATATCTCGAAGAATCGTGGACATCCTGGTATCCCTAAACCTCTCCTCCACGCGCGTCCGACGACTATCCCGCCGCCCGCCGGACGCTAGGCCTCATGAGCGCCCGATCGCTCAACCTCCCATCTTTCCATCCTTCTTCTTCTGCTTGCGTGGTGGTGTCACCGGACGTCCCATGTTCATCCCTCCGTACGGATACTTGGCTTTCTTCTCCGCTGGTTTCAGGATCTTGAAAAAGGACTGATTGAGCACGATAACACCCATAGCGGTGTTATAGAACTCACCTGGAACGAGCACAACAGCGTCTCATCGACGCTCATCATGGCACCCGCATTGTCGAATTCACCACAATAGTTGGGTGCAGAGAAGAGCGTTACTAGATGCCGCTTGGCAAAGAATTCGTACCCATCCTCGACGACCTAAAACCAAGGCTTGTGTTCAGCCAAGGCTCGAGAATGACTAAGGCCAAGGAACATACCTGATGCGCTCTGCAAATCAAGTCCATGTCGTGCTTCTGGAGGAACCGCGACACCACATCTGGTCCAAAGGTAAATGATACACCTCGATCGTTTTCTGACCACCCTGTGATATCCTTGTCAGGATCGGACCAGAGGAGGTCGCAAAGGAGACCTGGAGGGAGAGTTGAGCCAAGACGGAGCTTGAGATCAGGGAGGTGCTTACCAGTGTCAGGGACGTCCGTCGGTCGCATAACCCTACGTATTTGCTCCATGGACTGTAGATCCGGACTGAGCCCTCCATGCATTGTGAAAATCTTTTCGTCGATGATGGCAGCGATGGGTAGGCAGTTGAAGCAATCGGTAAAGGTCTTCCAGAGTTTTATGTTGTACCGGCGTTTGCCTGTCGGAACCAAGTTGAGTGCACCATGAGAATTCGGGTGAGAAAAGGATGATGTTATAAGGGATAGGAGAGGAAAAGCGATTGTCAGCGTAAATCTCTTATAGGGTCGGATAGCCACAGACATTCATCATAGAATCCGTATATCCTGTTGATACTTGCGCACTCGTGGTTTCCTCGCAGGATGAAGAAATTTTCGGGGTATTTGATCTTGTAGGCAAGCAAAAGACAGATTGTTTCGAGGGATTGCTTTCCTCGATCAACATAGTCGCCAAGGAAGAGGTAGTTGGCTTCTGGGGGGAAGCCGCCGTATTCGAAAAGTCGAAGCAGGTCATAATACTGGCCGTGAATGTCACCTATTTGTTGCAAAAGCAATGGGGATCAAAAAGGATCATGAGTTGGATCAATGGTCTGATGAATGGAAGAGGATTGGGCGGCGGGGTGTGCCAGGCTGGTTTTAACAGCACCAGCACTGCCCAAAAAGCGCAGGGGTACGCACCACAAATCTTTATAGGAGCCTCGAGCTCGAGCAGAATGGGCTGGTTGATGAAAATTTCGCGTGCTTTTGTACATAGATACTTGATTTCGTATTCTTGGAGTTGGACTGGCTTGCCGGGGCGGTTTCCTCGCACTGATGAACAAAGGCAATTATCGGGGGTCAGTTCGGGTGGTCCTGGAGAGACGCTGGGTGCGCGGAGGGGCGGCTGGCGGCGGCAGTGTCCCGGACGGTGTCCTTTGGTGTGAGCCTGGTGGATATGGCATTGTCAAGAGTTGGTGTGGCTGGGTGGGGGAAGACACGTCGCACAGGGTTGAGGGTCGTATGGAATGGGGTTGTCGGTGGCCAAGGAGTGTGTCGCAGACGGCGTCGAGGGGATTTTGGATCGCATCGGGGACCATCGCCATGCCACCAGGGAATTTGGAATGGAGAGAGGCCGGGAAAGAGAGGAACTCACCCTCCAAAAGTCTGTCTATGACAGAGTCGAGATCAATCTCTGTTGCGGTATCGGTCATCATGGTGAATCACTGGGCGAGGGAGTGTCAAAGGGAGTGTGTGGCGCGAATCCTGTCGGTGAACTTGGTGTCAAAGGGCAGAAAGGAGGCGACTTTAATTTTTAGGGTTGGGCGTGGGTGGTGTGACTCGATGAATGGGCTGTGCGACCTCGATTTTCGCAGTCACCGGTGAGTTGCGTGCAACAGCGACGGCCGCAGTCGTTTTATTCTCTCTCAGCGACCCTCGACGACGCCAAAAACAGCGGACAGAGCAGAAAAAACGGATTTGGGATGCTCAAAAGGAAAGAGTCGTGGATGGGCGGTGCAAGATAACATTCGCCCATGCGGGTTTTGTTGATGACCAACGCCCAAACTACTTTCTCACGCTCACTCTGCCCTGCTCAGGCCATCGCCAGCAGCAGAATTTTTTACAGCTATAGTACAATCAATGGTACGTCCAAAGCAAAAAAAATAAATAACAAAATGTGCAATGCAGAGATACTGAAAGGGTCCATGCAGATAATATGATAAACAGTCTTATTGAGTACGTCGCAGGGCAGGCTGGCCAGCCGTGGCAGAGGTCGGTGTATACGTCTCCGTAACCGTTCCATTCTGTGTCGAAGCAGGCAGCGCCCCTGTGGAAATCGGCGCAATTTGTGGTCGCCGCCGTCGTCTCCGTCTTGCAAAAGCCATCAGCCAAAACCCCACAAAATCGCGGACCATGACATACCTGGGGAAAATGGGACCTCGAGGCATAGGCCTCATGTCAAGATCAAGAGCGATATTCGTTGCAGCTTGCAGACCCTGCATCAACGTCGTAAACACCATGCATCCCAGCGCCTATTCGGTCTCTTAACGCACCTCGATCCATTCAACAACACTGGTCACATCTTTGGCCTGCAACAAAAACTGCTCGCCCTCCAGCCTAACCCGGATCACATTCTTCCTCTTCACATAGTCGTTCCCCAGCCCGCTCTCCGCGTTCTGCAAACTGTACACCCTGATCAAGTCTTCAGGATTCGGGTCAGGAACGTCTGCGGGTCCTTTGCCTTTCCCAGTGAACGTTGTAGGATCAGCAGAACGAGGCGTACGCGGGAATGTGTTGGCTCGGAACCTCGACCGGGTCGAACTGGATGTGGTCGGTGTGACAGGCCTCGAATTCCCAACGGCCGCAGGAGGCGCCAAATTACTCGACGAGCCCGACTCCGTCCTCACAGGCGAATGTCCCGGCAAAGGCGTCGCGCTCCTCGACAAGTTCAATGACGACCTCCTCGTCCCCGACCCTGCATCGTGCCTCGTCGGACTGGGAGGTGTAACATCACTGTGCGATCTCGAATGACCTTTTCCACTACTTCCCCCACTAGGCTTCAAAAGTTGCACAGCAAGATTTAGCGCGGACCTCGAAAGCGTAGCAGTGGCCTGCCCTGAGGGCCCCTCCTTCCTCGCCGACACCGACCCAGAGTCAGGCGGAGAGGTAGAGGAACTCGAAGCCACACTAGCACTGGCCGTCGTCGATAACGAACTCGTCGAAGGAGCATCTATTGTGCCGGGGTAGGCGTGTTTCGCCTTCTCGTCTTCCACACTCTCCGTTCTTCCTGTCCCAGCCGTACGTCCCGTTCCTCCTCCCGTTCCACCCTGCGCCCCCATAGTCCCCGCACCAACCCCAACAGCCACATCCCCCGCGCCAACTTTGTTCTCCCACCACTGCTCAATAGCCGAAACACCCCCAACGCCAACAGGACATTTGTACACCCTCAACATCGTCCCCTCAAGTACGCACAGCACCCTCTTCCACTTTCGATCCTTCGCCTGTACCCCAGGAGCAACAAACTCCATTTTCCGAGGTAGGATCGCTTTGAGGTAGATCGCGTTGGAGTAGGCCGGGAGTTCCTCTTTGCCTTCATCTTCGCGGGGCTGGATTTCGTGGTGCGCGAAACGTTGCGAGGGATGAGGATGGGATGAAGCAAGGAAGGAGGGATAAGGTGGCGGAGAGGAGGACTCGTTGAACATGGGCATCGAGCGTCGTTTGCGTAAGGGGTGGGGGACGGCATCGACGTCGACATCAACTTCTTCGTACGCCGGCGCACTACCCGCACCCTCCTTCGTCCCAACACCGGCCTTCCTGTCGTTAACCCCCGCTGCACTCGCATCCTTCTTCGCCACACCAACCACCGTCGACTGAATCGTGTCGCCAGGCGCCAAAGTCTCCATCGACATCATAGTCGACGTCCATGTCTCTGGAGAGTCTCCCTTCACTGAACCACCCTCCACACCCTCGGCCCACCGATCGACTTTGTCCTCAGACATCTTTTCATCGGAGCTTATACCCATTGAAGGTCTGAAACAATGTCTCCCGCCTTCACTATCACGAGTAACAAGATCTCCATCGCCCGCGCCATGGTCAGTTGAATGAACAAGACCGTCGGCATAGGGTGTGCCTGCCGGTTTCAGAATCGACAGCCGCGGTGGCGGGTCCGCCGCATCTTCCTCGATCGGGAGGACTTTTGAATCCCTATCCCTAGCCTGTAATTGGGATTGTTAATGTCAATTCAAAACCTTACAAAAAAACGAAACACTTACCTTATCCCCATCGCTACCACCACCCCCACCCGCAGCAATCCTACTCCTCCTCTTCGCAGCAACCCCGCTCCTCCGCCTCTCCAAAGCCCTCTGCTCTTGCTCCTCCTCGCCCTCCCTAACCATCCTCTCCACCTCCTCCCTCTTCTCAATCGAATGCAAATCGATCAAACTCCGCGAGGCGTGTTTATAGATCGAGGGCCGGTGTGGCAGCGGTAATCGAAGAGTGATATGACTGAGTGCAGCACCCATAGTCGATGGTGGTCTATTTGGTTGTTGCACCCCGTGCCCGTGCGATAGTCCTCCCCCGGTAATCGAAGACAACGTCGGCGTTCCCAGACTCGAGTGCCTTTCCACTAGTGGCGGAGCGTGTCCAACAAACGAAGCCCGAAGCCGATAATCTTCAGGTCGAGGCGTGTCGAGCGGTGAAGAAGGGACACTACCCTCTCCCCTCGTAGTCGCAGTTGAGAATGCAGAGGTGGTACCACCGGGACTGGCTGAAGACCCGTACACACCCGTAGTAGCGTTCAAAGGTGGCCTAGGGCTGGTGGTCCCGGTAGTAGGAGTTGTAGCAGTGGAAATAGCCAATCTATGATGATAGTGATGATGCCGCTGCTGTTCGTCCTGGTGGTGGTGATTTTGGTGTCCAGCTGAAGCGAGTAAGGATACCGGCCGGCTTTGTGGGTTGGGACTAGAAGCACTCCCAATACCACGAAGACCACCTGGAGAGTATCTATAATGATAACCCCTCTCTTCCCCTCCACCCCCACTTCCAAGTACACTTCCATGTGACCCGTCAAAATAGTGTGAATTAGAACTGGAATCGGACGTAGCTCTCGATGCGAAGGATGAAGACTGTGAGGAAGTAGCTGCGCTATGTGCATCATGGGTGTGATAACCCGTGACAGAATCTAGAGTCAAATCTAGAGGAGGAATGAAAACCTGCTTGTTCTTCCCTTTCCCATTGACATCATGAGGGTGTAGGAACGATGAGCGCGAAGCATCGGCACTTAGGTGGGCACCAGGGAACCGAACAGAGAACGGGGAACTCGAGACATCCAAAGGAAGCAAATAACTCGGTTTAATCGATCCTTCGCTCCCCTGGTTGGAAGTTGAATGGAAGGAGGTGGCCCCTCCAAACGTCGACGTCGACGGGAGTCCTGCACTGTCAATTTGGCCAGGACCGAAGTTATACCCGGGACCATATCCACTGTACCCAGCATCACCGATGCTACTCCCACTCCCACTCGAAACCGTACCCGCCTCAGTGCTCCCTGTTCCATTCGACGACACCCGCGATAAATCGTAGGAGCTCCTCCCTTCCGATATATCCGACAAATCACTCGTGCTCGTCCCGGGTCTCAAAAGACCGTTGTCGTACCGCGAGGAATCGTCTTCGTCCTCTCCCTCTTCGTCCTCATCATCCTCCTCCTCCCTCGTCTTCATCTGCGTCATCCACTTCTTCGTGTCCTCCCACTCCTCTGCCAGAACCTTGCAATGGCAGTGCGGGCATATTTCGAAGGTGGCCGGCACCTCTCCTCCTCCCCCTCCTCCCCGACCTCGTGCCTTGACCTAATCTACCAGAGGAGGATGTGAAGGGTGTAGTTATAGTCGGAGTAGGCAGTTTCGGAAGGTTGAGGATGGGCAGAGGAGGTGCACGGATAACAAGGCTTGGAGATAGTCGCGCGGTGCCTTCTGAAGAGATGATACTGAATCTCCTTCCTGGCATCGGGATCCGGAGGGGCTTCAACCCTTTTCCCTCTTTCCCCTTCTCCCTTTCGTCCCCGTTTGAGCCTCCTTCGTTGCCATTTGTCTCGGCCGCAGATGCAGTATTTCCCGAGGCGCCGAGATTGTCATGTGTGGTTGGAGGTATGGGCGGGACAGACGTTGTCTCCTTGCTCGATGCAGCTCCCTGCTCACTACCACCTCTACCGGACGACAGAGTAGATACTGCAGTTTTGAACGACGACCCCGAAGATGATACGAGCGATGCAACCGATGCCTTGGTCTTGGGTTTGGGTGCAGATATCGAAGCCTGTGTAGATGCCGTAGGTGTAGATGTGGATGTAGATGTTGTTATAGATGAAGGTATGGATGTAGATGCCAAAGGCGCGCCGTCTTGTGATACTGATTGCACGCTCTGCGCGGAAATCGAGACAGCCTGGGTATGGGCGGCGTCCGTGTGGTTCTGCGCAGCCTCGGGTCTGGCGGTGGTCGTCGACGATGCCGTCAACGTCGTGGAACCCGAATGCGAGGCCCCCAACTGCGGTGTTGACTGTGAAGTAGGTGGGCGAGAGGCGTTGAAGTTCTCACGGAACGGCGTAGGAATGGGAGGGACAGGTGGGACATCCGACTCGCCCTCGGGTCGTAAAGTCTTAATCCGCGATCTGGACGCTCGACGTACGAGGACTTTGGTGAGGGATTTGAAGCCACTGTTGGTACTCGATTGAGAGCTTGAAGCCGTTACGGGAACTGAGCTGTCCGTTGGGACTGCCTGTTGTGGGTTTGTGCCGGATCGTTTGCGTTTGAAGAGGGAAGGCGACTTTGGTGGTGGTGTAGGTGGAAGCCGGTCAACTTGGGCTCGAGGGTCAGTGTCGGCAGAGGGCTTGTCTGAAAGAGCAGCGCAAAGTTGATTAAGGACCTGAGTTGAGGACCTCGCATAATACGCACCCGTTCTACCGTTCCCAGTCGATGCGTTCTGAGGAGCATCAGTCGCACTTTCTTTTCGCGACGCCTCCTTTCTATATAGTGATTGCAAAGATAGCGTTCGGGAGCGCCGTCTATGATCGTGAGGGGGCTCATTGGGATCCATGGAGGAGCGCGGAAGGGGGAATTCGTCGGAAGGCTCGCGGTCGTCAATTGGAGAGGCTGACGATGACGATGACTCGCCCGAATCTCCAGACTGGCGTGGATGGCGTCCCTGTCGTCGTCGCTCTTGCTCGTTGTCGTCGAGGAGTTGACGAGCAAGCATCGGTTGGGACATGTACGCTTTCATGGCGATACTCTGGCGCGAATAGGGACCGTGGTTCTCGAGGCCCTTCGAATATTCACTTCTGTCGCTATTTCCTGAACCGTCGTTGGATGCATCTTTGCGAGTTGTTGCTGGGATACGGATAATACCTTTGAAGCGAGAGAAGGTTTGCGAGAATTTGCTCGGTGTGCGAACCTACCCCACGCAAGCTTGAGTTCGACAAACTACACTGCGGGGACAATCCGGCCGAAATAAAGGATGCTACTCACCGATCGAGGGCTCAGCGGGCGCTGAGGCTGTTCCATTGTCCTCTACAATGACAGGGGACGGGGAGATGGTAGGTTGCAGAACACGCTCGAAACGCGCTACAAGAGTGGACGTCAAAGGGATGCCGGAGCCACGACTTCCCTAGTCCTCCGAGGGACAAAAGAAACAAGGCTTCCCGTAAACTCCCAAGACCCAGGCAGTGCAAGTCGAGTTTGATATGAAAAGCCTGTCCTATTATTGGGTGAAGAGGGGCCACCCAATCTGCGGCGCTTTTGCACACCTCCTGTCACTTCAGTTGTGTAATACGCTTTCGACAATCGCTCCGGGTCTTGGTACACGGCGAACCCCAACTTGCAGGGGCTGAATCAAGGTGGCCACAGACTGGAACACTCCCGAAGAGTCCGGTGTCTGACTGTGGGCTTGGTGGGATGGTGGCCGAAGTCGAAGTCGAGTCGAAGCCGGAGAGAACGAAGGAAGGCCGGAGAGTATCACAGACCCATACTGATGGAACTGCTAATCCTGGTTTACGGTGAATGGAAGAAATGTGTCGGATTTCTGCAGAATGCCTGACATCACTCTCTGTCACAAGCCCAACATATGCGCCGCCACGCGGCATCTAATCTGTAATCACCGGTGACCTCATAGTACCCTGTCCTAGCCAAGCTCGGAATGGGAGTGAACGTGAACGATCTTCCACTTTGGAAATTTGGCTAGACTGCACTGTACAGCCAAATGTCGGTTCTTGCTTTTAATTTCCTAAACGGATGGCCGGTGCTCCTTGAAGTGTTGGTTCACGAGGAACGGTGGTAGGGAGCATTGGCTGTGAACGTGCACCAACATTCTCTGGAGCGATCTAGGGAAGGGGACGACATGGTGGTGTCTTTCTGGCCCATAATCGTATATAGAGGCCACTGACAAGAGAGACCAAGCGACCTGGCATGATAGAGTTTGCAACGAGGTGGTGTAGTCAGTCTGGGCATTATAATGCGGACTCCACTTACGATTAATTGACAGTCAGACGGTAGAGAAGGACATCATTTCGTTTCTGTACGGTTGGGAGCAGAATGTCTCTAACGAATCCGCGGCGCGATAATTCTTTCAGCACCCATTGAACGATAAACCCAAGTTAGGGACGGAAGCTGCCTGATGAGGGAACAGAGTCCAGTATTTCGATCGGCGCATCAAAAAGGTCTGCCCGTCGGCCCCGCTGTTAGCGACTTTTACAGGAGAGAGAGCCGAACCCCGGGTTTGCTCTCAACAAGAGGTGTCCAGAAAGGGCGCCATGTCGATGACTCCTCACAACGAGTGATCTTCAAGGAACCAGTGCCGCCCGGTCATAGCTCCGGGCGCTAAGGGGGCCGGCAACGTACAAGCAAGTGCAATCAGTGAGACATAGCCACATCAAACTACAACCCGCACGCCTCGACTCAACAGCTTCAACTCATCTTGATTTGATCGTACTTCGATCCTGAAGGCCGAAATTCCATCGTCGCTGTTCGCCTCAACTGATACTGGAATGAAATAAGGAATGTCATGTAACTCCCCAAATGGTGCGTAATCCGTAAACAGGATTTCGCGGATCGCAATTAACGGACTCCAGTATGACGGCCAAACGTGACATTTATTATTCCACACCAAAATCACGATTTTTCCACCTTTAATGATGTATTTTTGCCTTCTTTTTGGTGTAGTCCTGATAAGTAGCGGGCAAAGCAAAGTGTAGCGCTTTTCTCTAAACACCGAAATTTTATTAACCACCGATCATTGCTCAGGCTGAACACCGACACTTTCTAAAGAACACCGACACTTTCTGAGGGACACCGACACTCTCTAAGGAACACCGACATTTCGCGACACCGAAATCACAGAGCACCGAAATCTTGTCAGACTGGCTGGATTCATGAGTTGTATACATACAAGCCTCAGGGTCCGATTGATGCAGGTTAGCACACTGTACTGAGTCTGTACCAATGACAGGGCATGAGTATATCTATTGTGGACAAGCAATCCCAGTGAGGAACGTCTATCTAACTCAATGAACTCTATAAGAAGCAGACATTAACAAATGTGATACTACTACGACGTTTAAGAAGGAAAAATTAGAGCCAGAGGCAAGTATGTAAAGGATGATAATTTATGATTCCGCGCTCGTGTTTCGGCGGATAAGGGCCCCAATGACATCCAAATTCGTGTCCCTCCGACTCCTGGCACCTGGCTCCTCGGAATTCAGTCCCTATTTGCGGCCGGAAATCGCCAGGAACATACCTACGCCTGACAAACTTATGCTCGACCCTTCACCCTATCCAGACCACAACAACTCACTCATCGCTCTCGCTTGCTTTCGACCCGTGCGGTGTTCTTTCTCCATTCCCGACGCATATCACCAAACTCGAAGGGTCACGAGGCGTTGGGCTTGTTCAACCAATCCTGGCCTAGATGTCTACCAGTATGCCGATAGAATCTCTCGAGATAGAGCGTATGCATGTACGCACCTGACTCTTCCCAGTCACAAAAGAGCCGCGATTTTACGTTCTCTTTCAGGGCGTATATATAGCAGGGGAACTTTCCCGATATTTACCCATCCTCCACTTCCAGAAGGCCATTGAACATCGAGTCCAATGGCAAGGGCGTCTTTCCCTTCTAACTCGTCGGCACTTGGAGTACCTTTCGACGACGATGCGTTGAGCAACCCAGTCAAGTCAAACCCTGTGGCCGATACCAACGAGTCATTCTACAACAACGAAGGATATGAACTGAAGCCTCTTCCTCAAGCCTTACACTCATCCCACCTAAAGGACGGGAGAAACCTCGTGTCTCGGTCTCAACCTCAGCCTCATCCAATCCCAAGTGTTGACGCGACAACCGTGGCCATCACGGTAGTCGAAGGAGTCAACGACCACAGTGGACAGGAAGCAGAACAGCTACAAGCAAGATATAGGAAGAATGGGATGATCCAGTTTGCTGCGCTGTGCTGGCTTGTGTTACTCATGGGCTGGAACGATGGTACGACAGGGCCTTTGCTGCCTCGGATGCAGCATGAGTATGGTGTAAGTGATATTTGTCAAATCCAATTGCTCTGTGCTGAGCGTGTCGCGACATGGCCTTTTCTAGTTGGGTTACTTGACTGTGTCTCTTATATTCGTTGTCAATGGAATGGTAAATACACGCACCATATTACCTCTCCGTGTGATGGGCACTGACGTTTTGGCTGCCCAGGGTCATATAACGGGCGCGGCTCTCAACATCTTCCTCACCGCCAAACTAGGTTTTGGGAAGGCACGTACCAACTTCCCGTACGCTGCTTCAACGACTTGACTGATCACCGTCTGCAGACGATAGCACTCGGCTCTGCCATCTCACTCGCCGGATATGTAATCATGTCGCCCGGTCCACCCTTCCCCGTCCTGGCGTGCTCTTACTACCTAATTGGACTGGGCATGTCTTTGCAGAACGCTCAAGGCAATGGGTTCTTGGGAAGCTTGAAAGAGCACATGTCAACCAAGCTGGGTATCTTCCACGGCATCTACGGTATGTTTTTCTACTCGTTTACATGGACAATGGTCGATTCTGACTTGCGTGTGTACCAGGCCTCGGAGCATTCCTTTCCCCCTTCGCTTCAACCGCATTCTCAACTCAGCCGCGCTGGTCGTTCTTTTTCCTCATCTCGACAGGCTTGCAATTGAGTAATCTACTTTGCCTGGTGCTCGTGTTCCGGCTCAGGAATCAGGACGGTATGTAGGGTTCTTGACTTCCCTCCCTGACACGAACCCCCCTCATTCCTTTTACCAGATGTACTCGCGGACGCAGGACAAGAGCCTTCACAAGAGGGCACCGCTGCAACTACTACTTCTGAACCAGCGTCGGCAAATGGCAGCAGAGTAAAGGAGATGTTCAAACTACCTGCCTTGCATCTTTTGGCGATCTTTGCGGTTATCTATGTCGGTGTCGAAGTTACCCTTGGAGGTATGCTACGTATTTGTCTCGCTAGCTTCTACGTCCTTTATAACGGTGTTTGTCTCAAAGGTTGGATCGTCACATTCATCATCCGAGAACGCAGTGGCGGTAGTAGCTCAGGCTACATCTCGTCAGGTTTCTTTGGTGGTACGCTTATCCTGCCTTGCCGCATTCAACCTAGGAGGGACTAACGCGTCGTTCTCGTTCCATAGGGTTGGCACTAGGACGGGTAGCTCTGATCTGGTTCAATCGATGGGTAGGAGAAGAAAGAGTCATGTATCTCTATTCCGTGGTCTCGATCGTGTACGTTCATCCGCATTTTCGATGACTGTGCCTAGCGCTAATGAGGAATAGTTTGGAACTGACGATCTGGTTTGTTCCTTCAATCATTCAAAACGCCATCGCGGTATGTTTGCTCTATCCTCTCCTTTTCGCGTACCGACCGGGTTCTTCACTGACACCGTCCAATTGCACCGTTACAGGTCTCAGTCATCGGTCTTCTCCTCGGACCAATGTTCCCCATCATCATATCGCATTCGAGTCGGATTCTACCTCGGTGGATGCTTACTGCGTGCGTGGGGTGGATTACTGGGATTGCGGTTAGTGGATCAGCGGCGTTGCCGTTTATTACTGGGGTTTTGGCGTCGAGTTTGGGGATTAGGGCGCTGCAGCCACTGATGGTGTCGATGTTGGGTGCAATGTTGGTCGTTTGGGCTTGTGTACCGAAGGTTACGAGGAGGATGGATTAGATAGAGTGAGCACCTCTGGGGTTTGTGGTTTCATTTTACTTTGGGCAATGGAAAATGGTTTTCTTCCCGGTCACGCACGAATGGTCCACTGAAAAGTCCGCTATGGAATCCCGTCTAGTAATCCATTCGTACAGTAAACTATAATAGTACACTTGATACAACAGAGAATAAAGATAAATCAAAGCAATACAATGATGAGATGAATGCAGAGAGCAGAGGAAATAGAAGAAAGGAACGAAGCGAGTAAATTACTCGTCGTCCCTCTTGCCCTTGGTCTTTGAGGGTAGCAGTTCGGGTGCGATGTGAGGAACGACACCACCCTGGGAGATGACAACGTCGCCGAGGAGTTTGCCCAATCTGAAGAGATAATGATAAGTAAACAGCCGAAGGAGGAAGGAGAAAAACGCACTCTTCGTCGTTTCGGATGGCGAGTTGGAGGTGACGGGGGACGATACGGTGCTTCTTGTTATCACGGGCAGCGTTACCAGCCAATTCGAGAATTTCGGCTGCGAGGTATTCGAGGACAGCAGCAAGGTAGACTATTTGAAGCAAGTCAAGTCAGATCGAGTCAATTTGAATCAGAAGTTTGGAAAAAGACATACCAGGTGCACCGGCACCAACACGTTGGGCGTAGTTGCCCTTCTTCAAGAGACGGTGGACACGACCGACGGGGAACTGAAGGCCGGCCTTGGATGAACGGGATTGGGACTTGGAGGCATCACCGGTGGTGGCCTTGCCAGACTTGGACTTGCCGCTAACTTTGCCGGACATTGTGTTGGATGAGTAGTTGGGTTGGGTTGGTGGTGGCGGTGGTGTTGGTGGTGAGCGGCGACGAGCAGATGGGTTGGGTGAGTGGACGAATGTCACACTGTATTTATACCCAAATCGAGTGGCGATCAAACGATCAACAAACCTTCGACGCGCGCGCGCTTCGTTTGTTTGTTGAATTTCTCGCGCGTCGCGGCGCGTTCTTTCCCGCGTGAGGCGCGCGTTTCGAACAAACAAGAACAAAGTCACGTGCATATATATAGGCACGGACGGTGGACGCTGGTCGACATTTCAGACTTTCCCCTCGCCCACCACCATCCAACGCCCTTTGCCCGGCTTTTAGCCTTCGCCACCACCGCCAACTCACTTCAACTTCACAAACACATTCCAAATGGCTCCCAAACCCGCTTCCACTGCCGGCAAGGCCCCTGTTTCCACCGCCTCCAAGGCTCCCGCTAAGCCTGCTGAGGGTGCAAAGGCTGCTAAGAAGACCTCCAAGCCCGCTTCTGGTGCTGACGGCGACAAGAAGAAGCGCAAGAAGGTCCGAAAGGAGACTTACTCCTCTTACATTTACAAGGGTGTGTAAACTCGCCACTTTGTACCAATTGACGCGTTTCTGACTCACTTTGCTTCGTTTCCAGTCCTCAAGCAGGTCCACCCTGATACTGGTATCTCCAACAAGGCGATGGCCATTCTCAACTCGTTCGTGAACGACATCTTCGAGCGAATTGCCACTGAGGCTTCCAGTACGTGTTTTTGTGGCATGACATGCGCTGGACTTGTTCTGACTGTATCTCAGAGCTCGCTTCTTACTCCAAGAAGTCCACCATCTCATCACGCGAAATCCAAACTGCTGTCCGCCTCATCCTCCCTGGTGAACTCGCCAAGCACGCTATCTCTGAGGGTACCAAGTCGGTGACCAGTACGTCTCTTCCATGTCTTTGCTCTGGTTGCACGGTTCTCATTGCTTCCTCTCCCTTCAGAATTCTCTTCCGCTGGTGCCAAGTAAACGGTCCTACCCGATTCTCGCATGCATGTCGTCTTTCACATCTCGCTTTCTTTTTGGCATCTTTTCCTTGTTGTTTTATCATTATCATCTCCGGTGTAACAATAGCATTGTATTTTCTAATCTTATCTGTACCGACAGCTATTAGACAATCAAATAGGCCGTTTGGCCTTGGATTTGCTGTAACTTCTGGCTGCGATTTGAGTGGCGATGTGTCTAGACTCTGCAGGGACATCGTTCGATGGGTTCTTAGGGTGTGTCAGTTAATTTTGCTTCCTCGTTTCTATTCTCATCTTCTCGTGCATCCAGTTCATAGTCCTCATTGTTCCCGCCTCAAGCCACTTCTGAGCGCTTTCCTGGATCCTGACCAAATATGCGTCGTCTGCTCAGTGGGCGGAAGGATCCCTTCGTCAAGGAGAACTTGCTACACAAATTGGGGGATCTGGCAGTTGCACTCCAACGAAACAGGAATATCGTTGCAACTCTTCACTGGCGCCCAAGAGTCCGCCAACTCTTCCTCAAGAAGAATGCCTCCTTGCAACACTCAGGCCGTGAGGGGGCGTCTCGCCCTTCTCGCACCATGTTCCCAACTCTGCTTCTTGCGACCGTGCCAAAGCGTTTTCGACGATGGCAGCCATGGGGCGATGGATTGACCATCTGGGCGGATTGGATGGGTACCTGTGTGGCCTCTAAACCTGCATTAAGGGACCTTCCTCCATCGACCATCGGATGGAACGATGGATAGAGTCATGAAATAAATTGCGCTCCGAAATAAATTGGGTTGATTCCACTGGATGTGGGGGGTCGGCCGTAGAACGCATACTAATAATAGAAGTGCAGAGCAGAGGCGGAGACTACTGGTGGTGTTGTGGACTTGGTAAATCGAAGGTGTATGTCCTCTATACTCCGAGTCGCCGTGAAAGGAAAAAGAGGCGAGAGCATTTCACAGCAGTCCGCCAAAAGCGCCCGTGATTGGCGCCAGTGGCCATGGATTGCAGGGAGTCTTCCATTCACAGCTCCGCAGAAGCTCAGTTGAGGCACTCAAGGGGCGCCCCTGAAGCGCCTTGAAATGGAAAGATTAGGTGTTCTCTTGTTTCGTTAATGTACTCGCGCGGTTCACTAATTCTAATTCTGCTCTGACTAGACAAGGCCGGCACTATTTAGCACCACAAAACGGTTGTGCTGCCCTGTCAACTAGGTGGGTATGCGTACCTCTCAGCCTCGCTGATAACGCTGCTTTGGCAGGCGCAGCGATTACGCCGAGAATGCGATCCCGCTTTGAGAACTCAGTCCGTCGGTTTAGGTCAGCGCGAATGGTGTGAGGCTTTTGGCTGAGATATCCGTGCTCCAGGTCGAGAGAAGGCTTCCCTTGACTATCGGTGTCTCCGAGAGTCTTCTCCCGTATGCTATCAGTGTCCTCGTATTGCGATAGATCCGAGTCCTTGCTAAACCACATGGGAGACTCGTTGGGACGAGAGGTTAGTGTGTCAAACGGTTGCTCGCGGTAAGACCGTCCGAGCGTTACTCTGAAAAGGATCCATTGGGGGGAGAGCGCCTTGCCCAGGAAGTCAGTATTGTGTGTTTCAAGGCATTTGGAGGGCTGCCTTACCGCGAATATATAGTAGAGGGCATCAACGATGATGCCTGTGGCCAGGAAATTCTGCCACCAATCCTCGGCCAGAACGCCTGGCGTCTTGCTGACCCTGACGGTGACGAGCTCCATTCCCGACCGAGCTAGCCCACACATAGTCAGCGGAACAGCGGATTCAATGAGGATCTCGATAGCTCTCTTGTGGAATGTGAGATTGAACTCTGGCAGAGCCTTCGACAACCGTTTGTAGCTGCGCCGTATATGTGAACTAATTAGCACTGTAGCGAGAACGTTGAAGGTTGAGCTGAGGAGGATGAAGGTTGAGTGGAAGAGGGGTGCGCAGGACTGTGTCCTCGCCAAGTCGATTATACGGCGCGTCACTACGCCTGGTAGAGTGGCGATCAATACGACCAAGCGAGGCTGGGCTTGGAAGGCTTACCGATTGTTGAGAGGTGGATGAGAGCTGGAACCACGACAATCCAGAGACGGTCAGCCCATATAACGTAGCATCGATAAAGCTGAGCGTTCTGGTTCAGCTAACAGGAATGTGTCTAAAGTGGGCATGTCGATGCTCACCAGAACAGTGTCACCGAAAATCACGACCGCGTAGGCTCCTCGTCGGATGTTCATCGATGTTTGGAAACCTTCGGCAAGAGCACTGAGGATGAGGAGAAGGAACCCCATGCAAATCCACGGCCAACGTCCTTTTCTTCCCGCATTGGGGGTTTCCAAGAACGTCGCCAGTCCGTACAAATTCATAAAAAGCTGAATTCCTGCCATACAGTAGCACTGTCAATGAATTTCAATGAAAATACCAATAAAGTCGAATAACGGTACCTATTGCCATCATGGACATTCCCGTCGCAGCATGCAAGGCTTTTGCTCTCGCGCCAGCTTCAATGTACTTCTCGGGCAGTGGTAGCCCAGCTGCACCTTCTGTAATCTCTGCTCTAGTGATCATAGTGGGAGGTTAGTGGCTCGCAGAGTAAAGACAGTGGCTAGGCAACTCTTATACAGTAGGGGATAACAGCTATAGGTATGACTTCCCATTGCTGGTACTTTGGAATTATACCTTTCAGTTACCATGTTCCTTTTCCATAGTACACTTACAGTAAAGAAGTACTACTCAGACTCGGGAACGCGTATAAACATGGGACATTGCTGTGAAGGATGGGCAGCACACGACCTTAAAAGGGCTAATTGGCCCTGTGGAAGTGCAGATATCTTATCAATTGAGCTTCTACGTGTAGGAGTATCTAAGCGCCCACAACAAGCGCGTAGTCACACGACCCTGGGTACATGGGTGTCCTGAAAGGATAACATCTCTTCAGATACTGAAGGAGACCTTAAAGGAATGTGTCCGGGCACTGCGCAGGTATGTCAAGCGATCCAAGTAACCCTGTCAAACTGAGAGTCTCGATATACCTGAACGTTTTTCAACCCCCAGTCATTCCCTGGAGGTGCCATCGCGCGCGCAGCTTTACGCCCTGGTAGCACAATGACGGTTAAGCGCCCAAGGATTCCAAACAAAGCCCGGCCGTGGCCTGAACCAAAACAAGTGCAAACTGCGTCGTGCGACCAGCGGATGCCGTGGAAACGGTCAATCAGGTTTGACTATAGCCATATCGACCCTGGTGTCTATCCCCCTCTATCGAGCCACCGCCTCGCACGAGACGATAATATTTAAATGGGACACACACTCACCAGAATTGAATACATGAAACAGGCAACTTACGCTCTTCGCAACATACGCGAGCTTCAAGTCGTTCAAAGGCAAAGGCTCGACCAGTATAGCCTTGGCTGGACTTGGCATTGAGGCCGATGCGTGAGAGGGAGGCCAGGGTCTTGTCATTCTTGTCGATTCTTGTGGACTCTTGTGTTGCAATCAGACCACCAAATTGGGGGGCTTTCGCGGGCTAGGCGTTCTGGAACCGGTGCCAAGGATCGACGGCATCAAAAACCGGGCATTGCCATCATCGAGAGGGGGGGACCTGACCATTCACCCAGATTATTTGGCTTTTTACTTTTCAAACTTCAAGGCTTCTTCCCATCCTTCCTGATTCTCCTTGTTCTACCCCTCCCCCCCCACCGGTTTCGGTTGGTTTCCGCCTTATAACTCTCCCCCAATTCTCTCCTTCTTCCTGGCATCCACTTCCGTCACCACCCAGTAGCCATGTTGGCTCTACCCCTTCCGCTGCTGGCCCTCAGCTTGGGCTTTGTAGCAACTACATCAGCTGTGAAGCCTGGAGGTTTTGAAGAAGCAGGCAACACGCTTGTGAGCGCGATGATGGTGAGTGACACGTCTCAGACCGTAGGATGACCCCTCTCATCCGCCAAACCTTGTAGATGTTCGTGGGCAACGAAGAGAAGGTCTACATCCTGGACAAGGCAGAGGGAAATGCAGCACAAATCAACAACCATCCAGCATGGGCCTCCGTTTGGTACGTCCTTCCGTCAAAATATGAGGTTTCGCTAGGAGTAACAACTCGACAGGGATCTCAACACACGCCAAGCTGAGGCGATGGATGTGCCCTCAAACGTCTTCTGCGCATCGGGTATGCATTTACCAAACGGCTCCTTCGCCACTTTTGGTGGGAACGGCGCAGTTGGACCCGGTGGACAAATCGGCTCAGTCAAGAACCCTGGAGGATGGACAGCATCATGGGACAGCACATATCAAAACTTCGACGGCTCTCGAGCCATCCGGCTCCTCGACCCTTGCGGCAGCTCTGACGACTTCAACTCCAGGAAGTGTCAATGGTTCGACGACGCTGCGGTACTTGCCATGAAGGTCCCTAGATGGTATTCGACTGCGGAGCCTCTTGCGGACGGCACCATCGTTATGATTGGCGGGTTCTCAACTGGCGGCTATATCAATCGGGACTATCCCAATGTCGATCCAGATGGTCCTGCATCCCAGAACAACTTCGAGTTTTTCCCTGCCCGAGACGACGAACCTCCTCAGCGTCTCCCATTCTTGAGCCGAACCTCGGGATTGAACACATACGTGCACGCTTTCATGATGCCTTCTGGGAGGATGTTCTTACAGGCCAACCTCTCGACGAGTACGTCCCTGGCTGCCGTTATTTCACTGCCATGACGCTAACCTTCACGTACAGTCCTGTGGAATTACGATGACAACACCGAAACCATCCTTCCTGACATGCCCAAGGGCGTTGTGCGTGTGTACCCCGCGTCCGGTGCAACCGCAATGCTCCCCCTCACGCCCAAGAACAACTACAATCCTACCATCATCTTCTGCGGCGGAACGGACATGAAGGACGAAGAGTGGGGTGATTTTGCCTATCCCTATATCGACACTTGGGACTACCCCGCCTCCAAAGATTGTCAGCGCATTACTCCTGAACCAGAGGACGGTCGCAGGCCAGAGTACGAACAAGACGACGACATGCCAGAAGGACGAACTATGGGCCAGTTTATCATTCTTCCTAACGGAAAACTGTTGGTGCTCAATGGTGCACTGAACGGCACTGCTGGCTATGCTCAAAGGACGAGGACAATTCAATCCCTTGGTGAAATGCCATGGGGAGAGTCGCTCGCCGCTGGGCCAGTCCTTACACCGGCCATCTACGACCCTGACGCACCTCGTGGCAAGCGCTGGTCGAAAGAAGGACTCGACGCGTCTGAGATCCCGCGCATGTACCACTCTTCGGCCATTCTCCTCCCCGACGGCTCAGTCCTTGTCGCCGGTTCCAACCCCAATGTCGACGTCAACCTCACGACCATCTATCCCACCGAGTATCGAGCCGAGGTCTTTTACCCTCCCTACTTCAAGGCGCGTGTTCGCCCCACGCCAAAGGGTGTCCCTTCGTCCCTGTCATATGGAGGCAAGCCATTCGATATCACCATCCCACCGTCCTCCTATTCCGGAGATGCCAATGATGCAGCTGAAAACACCATTGTCGCCGTCGTCAGAAGCGGTTTCACCACCCATGCAATCAACATGGGCCAACGGTTCCTCCAGCTCGAGCACACCTACACTGTCCAGAAGGACGGCACAATCGTCCTCCACGTCGCTCAGATGCCCCCTAACCCCAACCTCTTCCAACCTGGACCAGCATTCCTCCATGTCACAATCAACGGTATTCCTAGCAACGGGACCTACGTCATCGTCGGAAATGGTCAGCTCGGCCAACAGCCCTTGCAGCCCGCCAGCACTCTTCCTCAGAGTGTGAAGCTGGAAGGCGTGAAGGGAGCTTCCTCCTCTTCAGACGACTCTTCAGGCTTGGGCCTCGGCATGATCATTGCTCTTGCCGCGGGAGGATTGGCCCTTGTGCTCATCGTCATGGGTGCCATTGCGATCGTCCGCCGCCGCCGACGTGCGAATACTGCACCAAAATCTACAACCGGAGGCTACAACGTTGTTCAACCCACCCCCAACATGTCCGCCATTGCGGTCGGCGCAGGCGTCCGGGACTCTGACTCGAGCGTCTTCGCCCCATACAAGGAGGGGAACCATAGCCAGGTGTGGAACCAGAGCACGACCAGCCTCGCCTCCTATTCAGACTTCCCTCACGTTCCTTCTTCGCCTGGTGGCCCTATGAGTGGTAATGGAGGGTATCAGCAGTATCCTTACACCCCTTCCACACCCCAGCCAAGTTACCCCTATGGCGACCAGCACCAGCAGGGCTACGCTGGCTACCAACAAGGTCAGCCGCAGAGGTACTAAGCGCGCCGCTCTCCCTCTTACTCTTGATGCCATGTCGGACACTTCACGTTGTGCTACGTTCAACCTCCCTGGAACTCTTTTCGACTTTCATTCACTGCTACCACACTTCTGACATCACGGACCAACTAATGTCTATCTTTTCTACCATTGTCATTCTTTTTGCTTTTAGCCCACCTTTGTAATTACAACTAATGCGGCAGCGATGCTAGTAGATTTACGAGTCATAGAACGACTTCGATTAAATAGTTCCCCTTGGATAAGAATCTGATCTCTCCTGGTTGGTCACTTGAGATGTATCTACAGCTGCGACGGCGGCCCTCTGAAGTTGCACACACATCCGCGGTTTCCTTGACTGTCGCTCGATGTCTATCACTGTTTTGAATCCGTATTCACCCTTACTCTTACTAAGGCCAAGGATCGCCAAGGACCACAAACGCAGTCGTGTCGCAGTTCAATTGGTAGACTTCGCGTTGCGCAGCAAGCGCTCCGCTACCCATCGGCTGAGACGAGCGCTCCCGGGATCAACGAGTACTATATTTACATAAATACCCCTAGCGCGAAGGCATTGAAGTAAGACTCAGGTCAAGCACTTTCGCCTTTGAAGTCTCCACTTGCCACCCAATCACCCCCGTTTAGTTCGCAATGGCCGCACTCTCCTTGGACAGCTCCCTCGTCCTCTATTCCATTCCCGCGGCGTGGTTCACGTCGTATTACCCGAGCGTCTTGAAGGTAAAAGATACTCCACGCGATGCCCAGAGCGGCTCATCGGATCTACCTTGTCTGACTGAAGCAATCCTATTCCAGTTCCTTACTATCGATAAGACCACTGGGTACAACAAGTGCGTATCGTGGACGCGCCTCTACGTTTAGGAGGATACTCACAACTCTCTACGAAATAGTCTTCAACCCCGTTCAAATGTAGCCAAGACGAAGGAAAACAAGAACGTCCCCTCTGAAGTCGCAGACCGCATTGCGAGGATGGAGGCCGCTCACCTCAATGGCAATGAGGCATTCCCTCTGTGGGCTGCTGCTGCGGTGAGTTGCATTCGATAAATAGACAGAGAACGCTGCTCAGTTCAGTTGAATATCGACAGTTGGCAGCGCATGTCGTGGGCCTCGATAATCGAGTTGTCAACAAGATTTCCTTGGCGTTGTAGGTTTCTTCTCGCTGCGCTACACATAGGTGATTTCTAACGAAGATACCTTTCCCTCAGCATTGGTTTGCGGGTGCTCTTCAACACGGTTTACATTAACCAAAGGACGGTCGGTCAGAGCTGGCTGCGGTAAGCGTTATTTCTCGATGATCAAAGCTGGTTCAACGAACTGACCATTCTCTTCCAGAACTGGGCTTTGGGTTGCTGCAACTTGTAGGTCCCTTCCTCCTCCTCATTGCCGGAGTACTGATGCAGATACTCTCAAAATCACAGCATTGCCTGTCACTTTGCTCATCAAGGCCGCGAACAAGGTCGCTCGATCATGAGAGTCGCGCGCCGGTGGAACGAACATGGAAATAGCTTCCTCCCCGCTCAATGTATATATACTTTCTTTGACTACTAATGCGTGACGCTTTCTCCCTCTCTCCATCGTCAAAGTAACCGGTAGGGGACGGACGTTGGAATGGGTATTCTCCGGCTAACCCCGGACCAAGGGCGCTTGGGCGCTTAAATTTATCCAGTACCGATGCGACCATGGATACCTAACCCGACTTGTTATATCTGATACATGTAGGTGAACGAGTCTAGTTTGGAAACCGAAACGAAGTACTTTGGAGACGTCACAGGTTAGAGGAGTTAACGGATGTGTGGTAGAACGTCGGGTGATGGATCGGTGAAATAGTCCAGGGCTCTGGAGGATAGCTGACTTCCATTCGTAATCAAACCACATTGCTTGCCACCATATAGCTGAGCGATCCCGAGTCGTAGGCATGTACAACGTCTGGCTCTACAATCTCTTGGTTGTGTCTGTTGGGTTACTTGGCCATTGGACACCGGGGGTCGTTGCCCATGGCTTCATCCGCGAGGTCACTTTGGGCTCAACAGTATACCCCGGTTATCATCCCTTCGTCGACTCGTACGTGCTGTGTCTTGTGGTGTTCTGGACGGCGTTTAACCTTTCTGTAGTTGGTGGGACCCTCCGCCGGAGAGGATCGTTCGCAAGGTCCCCGGAATCAGTCCAATCGAGGACTTGACGTTGATTGAGTGAGTGGTGTCGATGTTCAATTTCGCGTAAACTGAAACGGTCTGAAATCGCTTCATCAATGAAGTATCCAATGTAACGGAGAAACAGCGCGAGGATACGTTACTGAGCCTGCGGCATTAGTCGGACAGGTCGCGGCAGGAGATCTGGTCAAACTGAATTGGTTGAACTATGCTGGGGACAACCACAAAGGACCACTTCTCACATACATGGCGAGAGCACCTTCCGACATCACTAAATGGAACCCTGGAACAGAGTGAGTAAGGGGGATACCATCGAACAAACAGCAAACCTGACGATGCAACGCCTCCAATAGGGCTGTCTGGTTCAAGGTCCACCACGACGGCAAAGATGAGGATGGCAAATGGGCAGCTCCCAAGATGTTCAACGAGCTGAATAGCACGTATACCTTCCGCATCCCGCCCAACCTGCTCCCAGGCCAATATTTGATTAGACACGAATGGTACGTGGCTCGGCTCTGTGCGTTCCAAACACACCAAACCCCACCCACGTACAGGATCGCTCTGCACTTTGGTGAAGTGAACTGAGAATCAATGCTGGATAACGCTGACCCTTGGTAAAACAGCGGAATCTTATCCGGGCGTTCAGATATATCCGGCGTGTATCCAAGTCGAGGTGACTGGCAACGGGGCTGCCTTTCCGACCTCGTTTGTGTCCTTCCCAGGAGCATATACACCAGAGACCCCAGGTACGTAGAAGTCCTCAAAAATGGATCTTCATGGTTCGTCTCATAACCCGTGCCCAGGAATGATTTTCGATGTCTGGAACGGTGAGTCGGGACTGCAGCAGTTGGGGGGTCCAAGCTGACGACATGAGTTGCACGGTAGACGATGGCGTGGTACGTCATGTCCACTTGAATCAGGGCAATTCTAAGCGGTCAATATAGTCTTATCCTTTACCTGGACCTGAAGTGTGAGCGTAGCCCACAATCCAACCGACGAAGTACTCACGACACATTATTCAAACACAGCTGGACCGGAGGAGATTGAACATCGCATTAATTTTACATGGGGTTAACGTCGGTTGAGGCGACGAGGCCGCTATTCCGTCCACAGGCCAGTGTCTGTAGTGTTTGTCCAGTGATATACCCGCGAAACGAACTTTGTTGTTGAACACGAACGAGCTCAGCCCGCGTTCTGACACTTCAACCCTAGGAAGGCTCCAAAGCTGACTGACATTTGAGGGGTGGCAACAAGGCTGCAGGTGGAAAAGGAAGCGATCTATTCGTCTAGAACAGGGGAATTCTATGAATCCTCTTCAGCAGCAGAAGCTTTCTGCTTTGAGAGCTCCTTCATGCGTCGAACGTAGCTGTGATAAACTGTCAGATAACATAAAGAGAGCCAACGAACAAAAGACATACTCGTCGTATTGACACCTAAAAGAAAAAAGCTTCAATAACTTCTATTAGCGGGAGCAGGGTAGTACGTACTTCTCATAGGTATGGCGCTCGTGGTCGCACTCCCATGGCTTGAAATTGTTCTTCCTCCGGCAAATGTTGAGGGGAACGAGCAGTCTTCAGTTTTGAACCAGTCCGAAGCCGTCGTGTTCGTCGTAGCGCGTCGTGTGGGTCGCGGAGCAGGAACCAACCAGGAACAGAGGATTATGCCAACCGTCAGCGCCGGAAAAGACAGTAAATGGGCAAGACATACGCTGAGCAGTTGTCTCTCCAGCCCAGGGGGATCCTGTGGGCCTTCATTTCCTCCTGGGAGAGCGTCGTTGAGGAAGTCATCTTGGTGGTTGTTGCCAGCAGCGAACTCGAGTCGTTTGCTCGTTGTGGATGGCGGCGACCAAGGAGGAAATCGGCTGACCTAAGCTTCCCGGCTGCCGCACATCGGATCACCCGCTTTTGCTCCGTTTCAACCCCCGACAGAATTCCCATTAGTACTATCGCATTCGACGACGACGACGACGACGACGCCGACGCACTCCCCGAGCAAAACAAAGAACCTTGGATCGTTGAATAGTGACTCGGTACTCAGTGCCACTAGTGGCCTCTGGGGAACTGAGAATGCTAGGGTCCGACCACACTAGTTCACCCACCACAACTCCGGTGGCTCTCCCGCAAACGATCTCAACGATGGCCAGTTCGCAAGAAGTCACGAAGCATCCAGAGTTTTACTATTCAGATGGCTCGATTGTGCTACGTGTACAGAATACCCTGTTCAAGGTGCACCAATCCGTGTTGGCCAGACATTCCGATGTCTTTGGAGGGATGTGGGATATGCCCCAGCCGGATGGGATCGAACTCGTAGATGGGTGCCCCGTCGTAGAGCTTCAGGACGATGTTAAGGACTTCACCGATACCCTTTGGGCCGTATACGATTCATTGTGCGCCATTTTCTTCTATTATTTACCGTGCCAATGCTGAACGATCCTATGTTGAAGCCACTTTGATGCGCTCGACCCCTTGAAGAGTTCTCTCAAGGATCTATTGACCTTTATCTCTGGAGTGCTCCAAGTCAGCACCAAATACAACATGGTTAAACTGCGCAAGAAGTGCATCTCACTTCTTCTGGTCAAATTCCCTAACAATTTCGAAAACTGCGCGCAACTCCTCCAAAACCAATCCAAGTACGATTCCCCGGATATCATCCGCCTAATCCGCCTCGCGCGTCGAACCAACGTACTAGAGGTCCTGCCCTGGGCATATTACCTCTGCACTCATCTATCGGTTAACGACATCATGCACGATCGGGTACTTAGTTGGGAGGACAAGGCGATCTGCCTTGCTGGTAAAGAGCGTCTGTGGCAAGCGCAGAAGAGCACTTCGAACTCTGTGCTCTTCAGCTTCACACCTGTACCACAGTGCGCATCTCAATGCCAATCTCGCCTCCTCACTTCAGTCCCTGGAACCACTCTGAACGGCCCCTCGAGCTCGAGCACGCCGTTGTTGATGGGGATGCCTTATCGAGAGGCTGAAGAGTTGCGCCAGAATCCCCATCCTTTGGGTGAATTCGATGGCTGGACTAGTCTGGAGCGGCAAATCTGCTCGAAATGCCTGAGCCATCAAATGGCTCTGCACAAGCAGGGTCGTCAAAAGATCTGGGAAGCCTTGCCTACCTACTTCGAACTGGGAACATGGGAGGACATTCGTCGGGAACAGAGTTCGTAGAAATCGCTTTCTTGTTATGCTTGCTTTCGCTTGTTGTATGGATACCTCTTGTGTTTTAATAGGGATTGTTGTACTCACACTCTTGTAATACTACTAGTTTGCGGTCACTTCTGGCATCGCAATGCGTCTCCTCCATGACGTCCCAGCTTCGGCTGCCTCTGTGGGTTTAGCCTGCACCATGTCCTGAGGCTCCAGGAATGCGGTAACAGTCACCGACAGGTCTTCCTCCAAAGGCTTGACTGGTCCGGGTACGTCACTGGGTTGAACTAGTGTCTGGGTGGGAGTCGAGCAAGTGCATGCCAAGCAATTCCCGTACGTCGACGGGAGGTAGACCGCCGGAGGTCGACAGAAGCAGTCGAAAATGGGGCAAAGACAGTAGCACTGCTCGCACTGTGTCGAAGTCCCCGGTGTAATTACCGATTCGGGGAAGGAGACGCTTGCAGCAGGTGAGCGGCAAGTCGGGCAATTGGTTGCCTTTGTGCACGAGCTGGAATAAATTGGAGGAGGCGGGTAATAGGGATAGATGGTGTTCGAGGTGGTCAAGGTCGTGGGTGCGACGGTGATAAGTGTCGCAGGGGGCTTCTTCGTAAGGGTGCTCGATGTCTTGGTATCGGGCACACACGTGCACAATCGACAATTCATTGGTGGTGGCCCGGTGTACCATTTTGTAACGTAGCCTAAGGCACACTTGCATGCGACCTTCCCGCAGTTAGGGTCGGAGATGTCCAGGCATTGCGATAATTCTGGGGATAGCACGATATATCAGGATTCTTTTCAAAGGTGTTGCGGCTTGAGAAAGCCCCTTACCGGCGTTGATAGGCTTGCACTCTATTAAAACTTGGGGGAAACTGGTTCGAAATGATGTTCACAAGGGCGTTTGCCTGTCGGTTAGAGACCTTCACTCACTCTGGGTTGGCGCATTCGGTTGGACCAGTGTACCCGAGTCCTCCACCTATCAATACGTTATTCAGCGAACTCCTCAGGGGCGACAGTGTCCAAGTGGGAGACTTACATTGGCCAAAAAGAGGTACACCAGTTGGACTCTGGGCTCTTGCGACTCTGGGAAGAGCAAAGAGCAGGCCGGCCAATGCAGGCAAGAGTGTCCCTCCAAGGCACATCATGGCGGAAAGGATGGTCGGGCACCAGGTAATCGAGGGCAAGAGCAGAGGACAGCAAGAGCTCCACCTCGTTCGATGAACGCTTTATATGAGACGCCTGTCCTCTTCCAAAATGGTTCTCGCACACGTCCCCAATTCTCCGAGGGTCCCGTTAAGTTTGGATGGAAACCAGAGTTCCCTGTTGCTCAATCCGGCAGGAAGATCGTCTTCCGACAGCTATAACGAGGTCTGGGACTGTCATGTGGGCGGTGTCGCCTGTGGCATAGACATGTCCTGAGAGCCGGAAGCAGTGGGTATGAGACAGTTGGGGGATAACGAGGCCCGTTCGAAGCTCTGAGTGCCAATACACGTCCGACCCTCTGGAATGTTAATAGTTGGACATTTGTTAAGTCCGGATAAGAATCGGGCAATCCAAGTGCTTCCCTGCCAAGGAGGTCAGAGCGGGTAGATCTTTCCCGTTTAGTGTACGACGGCAACGCACCAATCAGGCTTTCAAAGCACAGTATTAGATATATCGTGGTAGATGGTGTTGAAGAGAGGACGATGTTCCTAATGCTCACTAACAACTAACCCTCCGCAAGATGCTCAGCCGCTGCTGACGCTATGAGATTTGCGAGTTGTTTCCACGGACTGCCACCGCCACCTGGGAGGACGAAATTGAAATTCAATGCCGAAATACGCGTCAGCCTCCCGTAACCGTTGAAATAAGGGAGGAAAAGATGTATATCAATGTCCCCCTAGGTTGCATAGTTCTCTCAGTAAGCCATCTCGATTGCTTGGTCACCTCAATTTCTTCCGGGTTTCCGGGAGGCGTCGCGTCAACGTTTTCAACGAGGGCTTAAAAGTGGACAGGAACTAGCCCAAGACAATCAATCAACGACCCCCTTTAACACAATGTCTGCTCTTACCAGCTTGCCTCTATACGCCTACTCTCTTCCCGCAGCCTGGCTGCTACTCATGGCTCCTGCGTTCCAGAAGGTGAGAGTCAGATCCGGCAGTAAACCATGAATCGGAAATCCAGACGAACTGACAATTCCATTAGAGAAGCCTACTCGTCGCTAGCATGAAACTGGACAAGTAAGAGGAACAGCGGCGCGCTGTATTACGCGTAGACTTACAATATGTCCACAAACAGCGTAGCGCCGAGAAGCAACACCGCAAAGTACCTCGCGTCAGACAAGGTTGATCCGGCGCTTAAAGCCAAGGTGGAGCGTCTCGATGGCGCTCATGCGGTATGCGTTTACTCCACAGCCCCTATTTTCATGACTTGCTGAAAACACTCGCCTCAACGTTCGAACAGAATGGACTGGAGAGCTTCCCACTCTGGGGAATCGCTGTCCTTTTTGGAGCTTATGCCGGAATCGACCAGTCGATGCTGAACAAGGCTGCCATGGTGTAGTAAGTCTTCGAACGCCCACCTCGATGTTCCGAAAGGTTGTAGGTAGCTAACCCCATGTGCACCGCGCACTAGTGTAACGTCAAGGCTTGCCTTCAATTACCTGTACGCTGTCCAAACTACAGAGTTCCTGGGCAGAATGAGGTACGTTCTAACCGCCCGCTTTCTTGATTTTTATCCCTGGCTGAGCGTTCTGTTTTCTCAGGTCGCTTGTCTGGGCTGTTGGCGTCGGTAAGCTTTCAATGCATGCAGTCAAACTCGGGCAGGGACTTACCTTCTTGTCACGTAGGGGCTTCGCACTTCCTGTTTATAACTGGCGCTCTGAAGCTCCACTCGAAGTGATGGGTATAAAATCTCGGGATTAGTACTAGATCGGCGGTACATAGGACGTTTGCTATAAAGAGGGACATTGTACCCCAACTAGCAGTACCGCACCAATGCAGCTTCAAGTCCCGTTACCGGAAATTGGAGACCCAGAGGAATCAAGAAAGCGTACAGAGGCCTTCATCCAGAACTACCTTGCGCACGCCTCTGTCATTTCTGGACACGCGTCTATTACTGCCTTCCATTGTTCCTGCGTGGCCCACCACGGTATATCCCGCAGGCGAAGGGCTGACTCGCCAACCGTGAATACGTCTTCCCCGTTGACATAGTCATAGACCAGGGTCATCCGTGCAGGATACTGGGACAAGCCCGTCAAAGTTGAAATGGGGTTCCCTTTGCAGTGTGGCATGGCCTAAAACCAGTATCGCCAATTTCATGGCATCAGACAAGGTGGACCCTGCCTTAAAGACCAGGGTCGTCCGCCTGGAGGCTGCAGCCACCTATGTCTCTAAGCGAAGCATCGGAGGATGAGCGCAGGTGTTCTGGCCCGACAGAATGACATGGGAGGTACATAGACCTCAAGAGATAATGACGATCGCCAGTCATCAGTGAATCCACCCGCAGGTCGTTTTCGTGGTTCATTTAGGTTGGTGCGTCTTTAAGGTGCTTTCACGGGGATTGGCTCTCCGTCAAGGCGACGATGGCACAGATTGCTGGGCCTCTTGGCCGATCCGTGCGGCGAATGCGGTCGCTCGTAACGCGTAACGCCTAGGGTTCAAATAGCTATAATACAGTAACATACCGATAAAAATACACGGTGGTAAGGGTTCGTTTGCTCATGGTATACCGACCCAGCGGTACAGGACAGTTCCCTGGAAAGGTGGAGTAAGTCATTGGACCCGATCAAGAGGTGAATGAAGACTCACCGTACTATTGTCTTTCTGGACAGCCTTCCGATTTACTAGGGCAATGAGACACTTGTTCACACGTGCTTGGTTTAAATCGGGGGGTTTGATGAGGTCGGGAACTGGTAAAACGGATAATGAGGAGAGTGTTATCTGAGAATGGCTTTGCCACTTACGTTTCACCGTGTTGTTGGGAGCGTTCATCAGACCCTCAATGACAGTTTCCATGTTTCGACGAAGGCCCTAGGATCATCCATTGGAACTTATGTCCCGGACAATTGCGCAAATGACTTACAGGGTCGCTCCCTCGGAACTCCAGAGGAAGACAAGAGATTATACGCTCCAATTCCATCTGGTTTGGCTAGTCAGCTTTCGTACTAGCTGCCATTGACCCGTTGACACCCTCACCGATCGTTCTTTTCTCTCCTTGGCTGTCATCTTTGGCTTTGCACCGGGTTTCTTCTTGGGCGGGAGCGCAGATTTGTTTGTTGTGCTGGTAGTCGCCGTGGTCGTATTGGCCAAGTATGTTGTATCGACCTCGGTCATTTCAGTCATTGCCGTCCTATCCGCCTGCGCCTGCGCTTGTGCCTGTAAAGCTTCCCGCTCCATCCTAGCTTTCTCCTCGGCTTGAGCCCGTTGCAGGGCTTCCGCGGCTTCCCTAGCGTGTTTCTCTAAATCAAGGTTAACAATTGCAAAAGATTGGGCTAGCTCGTCACGACGGACCTGCTCTTTGTTGAGCGAGTCTAAACGAATCTGTAGATGGTGCCTTAGCCATGAGTTAGCTACAGCATCGTTCGTTGAACGGGAAAAGTCTTACCTGTATCCAATCGGTCGTCAATGCGTTCATATTCATCACGTAAAGCCAGCTTGCAAAGGATTCGTTGAAGGTCGCGAGAGACTCGCTCAGCTGCTTTATGCCCTCCATGTTTGTCTGGAGCGTTTCCGCCTCGTCCAGGAATTCAGTCATTGCGGGTTCCAAAAATCCAAGGCCATGGGGCGCATCTGGATAAGCGCCAGACCGGGACAGCCGAAAGAGTGATCCCTGAGAGATGCGGCGAAGTGGTGTTCGATGGGGCGTCTGCGTTGGATGCGACATGGCTCAAGTTGTCGACGCGTAAAAGGGTGATCTGATGCTGCAGTGGCCGCCGTTGGTCGTCGTGGACGTCGAGCAAACATGCCTTGAGGTCGTCGCGATCGCCCGTCGCGGTTGCGTCCAAATTGCAACAAACAAACTCGTCGCGTTTCGATTTCGTTCTCGCTTCGAAGGGTTCGACGGAGACCATGAAACCCCGACAACGCTATTTGCCAGAACGATGTTCTCTTTATGTAAATTCCTCTCCTGGCCTATCTCTCATCGCTTCCGAATTGCGGGTATCGTTTCTCCATGCGAAATGAACGACATTTTAGCTGTCGGGGCTGTGAATAAAAGGCCTCAATGAGCTCCAGAATCCATATCTCTTTTCTTCACCCAGGGCCAACTGAACCTCAGCTACTATTCTGTTGAAAGGTTGGTTGCCGCTGCTGTTCTTTGTTAGCAATATACTGACGACGTTTCTTCAGGACCAGATGACGCCCATCGCTGATCACCAAACTCTTTCGAGTCCCCACACCTCGCATCCCATTGTCAAGAGCCTGAGAGAGCAAGGGATTTCCTTTGTTCGCATCCAATGGGTCGACCTCACCAATGTGGTCAGGTGTCGGGTTATACCGATGTCCTCCTTCGACAAACTCCTTCGGTCAGAGCGACCAGCCATATCCATTTCCAAGGCCGTGCTTGGGCTGGTAGGCCACCACCTTGCGGAGACCTTTAACGGCACCGGCGTATGGTCCTACTTGCTCGACCTCACCTCGTTGAAGCTATGTCCCTATGCCCGACGCCATGCAAGTGTCATGGGCTGGTTTCACGAGGCAAGCCCTTCCCCAGCGAGGGACCTTGGGATCAGCATTTGCCCTCGCACCTTGCTCTCCAACGTTGTCGCCAGCATCCAGCAAACCCATTCCGTCGATCTCTTGGTCGGATTCGAGACGGAGTTTGTCTTGATGAATCCTGGATCCTTGGGATCTGTTGGATATCACGCTTATTCCACCACATCTGCTCTGTACACCGGATGCTCAGAAGCCGTTGTCTTAGAGGAAATCGTCCACGCCTTGCAATCCTCTGGCATCGAGGTGGAGATGTATCACGCGGAATGTTCTCAGGGCCAGTACGAGGTCATCACCGGCCCGCTGCCTCCCATGCAGGCTGCAGACGCATTGGTCCATACTCGAGAAACCATCTACAACATCGCCAACAAACACGGACTTCGAGCCTCCCTTTCACCCCGCCCATTCCAAGAGTCGGCCGGATCTGCCAGTCACCTTCATTTTTCTGTTCGCTCCTCCGAACCCGCCCTCGAAGAGACAGTATCCATTGACGGAGTCCAGCTGCGGAGATGCGAGGCATCGTTCATAGCATCTCTACTTGACCACCTGCCATCATTGGTGTTTTTGACTTGTCCCACTATCCCCTCCTATGGAAGGATGAAAGATGGGATTTGGTCCGGTGGTACCTACGCATGTTGGGGTGTAGAACATCGCGAAACCGCGATTCGCGTGTGCCATCCCACTTCTCCCGCCGCACGAAACTTCGAACTAAAAATGGTAGATGGCACCTCGAATCCCTACCTCGCCGTTGCCGCTCTGGTCGCCGCAGGTTCAGAGGGCATCCGCAATCAACAAGCGTTAACCCAAAGGCCACTCCAAGGAGCTTCAAGCGCGATCGAAATGACGGCTTCGCAGCGGGAAGCCTATGGAATCTCAAAGAGACTCCCACTAACCCTTCAAGAAGCTCGTCAAATGTTCCAATCAAACACGCTGCTGCGAAAGGCGTTAGGAGACGGGTTCGTGGATTCCTACCTGCATGTTAATGATGCCTGGAATGTATACCTCACTTCTCATGACGACGTTCTTGCGAGGATATTTTAATTGGACTGCTCACTTCGGTTTGTCCTATGCCTCACTTTCCGTTGCTAGTGCATTAATCTTTTGTGTGTATAATAGCATGTAGTTTGGGCCAATACCCGCGCTAATCGAGATTACTGCAGACTCTTGCATTGATAAACTGCGGTTCGCCCTTTCCCTCGACTGTTATCCATACCGTAGGGAGGCTGCAGCGTTCGATCCCAGGCCTTACTGAGACTTTCGAAATCAGCGTGGACAGCATACTGGAATGAGAGCACAATGCCCAACAGAGAGAAAGCGACAATATTTCTCGGCTTGAGCCCGTTGAACCAGCTTGCAAAGTATTCATTAAAGTAAAGGTCGCGGTAAGATCTGCTCAACTGCTTTATGTCACCCTCCTTGTTTCCGCCTAAAAACCCGAGAGATAAGCGCCAGGCCGAGACAGTCGAAAAGAGTGATCCCGAGGGATGCGGCGAATGCCTGTAATCAAGTTGTCGACCAGGTACCGTCTACCCCACCTGCTAACACCGTGCTTCAGGTTCTTGTCTATGTATGCCAGGCGACATAGATACTTCGACGAGGTAAAGCCCTCAGATTTTCTCTGAGCGCATTTCAAAAGAAGCTGAATCTCTGTTGGGGGTGCTACGGGCCTCGAGCACTGAAGAGGATAACAGTCGAAACAAGCGCTCATCATTAATTGTATAAGTAGCCCTGTTTGGTACTTATCTCGTGCTTAGTCCTTCCTGGTAGGCAAAGCTAGCTGGCATTTTCGTTTCGTGGGAGGTTATCCGATGATTCGGGTTGGGACACTGCGCCAGCCGCTCTGTCGAGCGTTGGCTTCGCCAACTTGTGTTTGTTCCATCAAACCAAACAAAGCGAGACAGTGCGCGCTGGTTTAGGAGCCTGGTTGTCGACACGTTAAACGGTGGCAACGTCCTGGTCGTCGTGGCCGAGATGGTGGGCGGAGTCCCGCATTTACCTGTCGCGGTCGCATCCAAACATTGACAAATAAACCCACCGCGTCCCCAGAAGCTCCGACGGTTTGGAACTTGGGACGTCCTCAAACCCCGACAACAATGCCCGTCTCCTTTTTTAGCTCGTCTTCTCTTCGCGAGGTCAAATGAACAGAGATTCTTCTGTCACCAGAAATGCTCACAGAATATTTAAAGGTTGCCCAACGGTGACAGTGAGCCCCGTTTCTTTCTTCACCTCAGAAGCAAACTGAATCCGAGCTGCTTCCAGAATCCTGATCCTGTTCAAAGGTTGGCCCCCCCGCCTTTCTGGATCGTATTGTTAGTGACTCCTGCCCTCAGGACGAGATGACGCCCATTGCCGTTCAACCAATTTCGACTACGAAGGCTTCGCATCCCATCATCAAGACCCTAATAGAACAAGGAATCGCTTTCGTTCGCGTCCAATGGGTCGACCTCACCAATCTAATCAGATGTCGCGTTATACCGATATCCTCTTTCGATAAGCTCCTCCAGTCCGAGCGACCAGCCATATCCATTACCAAGGCCGTGCTTGGGTTGGTAGGCTACTGCGTTGCGGAGACCTTTAACGGTACCGGTGTATGGTCCTACCTGTTCGACCTGACCTCGTTAAAGCTATGCCCCTACGCTCCACGTCATGCAAGTGTCATGGGCTGGTTCCATGAGGCAAGCCCTCCTCCAGCAAAAGACCTTGGGATCAGCATTTGCCCTAGAACCTTGCTCTCCAAAGTGGTGGCCAGCATTCGACAAACTCATTCCGTCGATCTCTTGGTTGGATTCGAGACAGAATTTGTCTTGATGAATCCGGGATCCCCGGGACCTGTTGGATACCGCGCTTATTCCACCACATCTGCTCTGTACACTGGGCTCTCCGAAGCCGTCATATTGGAGGAAATCGCTGATGCGTTGCAATCCTCTGGCATCGAGGTGCAGATGTATCACGCAGAATGTTCCCAGGGCCAATACGAGGTCGTCACCGGCCCACTGCCTCCACTGCAGGCCGCAGACGCATTGGTCCATACTCGAGAAACAATCTATAACGTTGCCAACAAACACGGACTCCGAGCCACTCTCGCACCCCGCCCATTCAAAGAGTCAGCGGGATCCGCCAGTCACCTTCATTTTTCCGTCCACTCCTCAGAAACCAACCTTCAAAAGACAGTTTCAATTGACGGAGTCCAGCTTCGCCAATGCGAGGCTTCATTCATAGCCGCTGTACTTGACCACCTCCCATCTTTGGCGCTGTTGACCTGTCCCACAATTTCTTCCTATGGAAGGATGGAAGACGGGATTTGGTCTGGCGGTACCTACGCCTGCTGGGGTGTAGAACACCGAGAGACCCCGATCCGCGTGTGCCATCCCACTTCTCCGGCCGCCCGAAACTTCGAACTGAAGATGATCGATGGCACCTCGAATCCTTATCTCGCCACCGCTGCTCTCATTGCTGCAGGTTCGGAGGGCATCCGCAATCACCAAAATTTATCCCAAAGGCCGCTCCAGGGAGCTTCGAGCGCGATCGAAATGACGGCTTCGCAACGGGAATCCTATGGAATCTCAAAGCGACTCCCACTCAACCTCCAAGAAGCTCGACAAGTGTTCCAATCAAACACGTACCTGCGAAGGGTGTTGGGAGAAGGCTTCGTGAATCCCTACTTGCATGTTAACGACTCTTGGAACGCACACATTTCCTCTCAAGGCGACGACATCACCACGAAGATATATTAATTCGACCACTTCCGTTTGTCCCATGGTTTGCTTTCCGATACCAGTGCGTTGATCCCCTGTGTGTACAGTTGGATGAAATACAGTGTATTTGGTCCTCAAGTCAAGTCCGTTACCCGCGCCCGTCGAAGTCACTTTTGCACCGAAGACGCCGATATGCGGACCATAGCCCCTTTTCTTCCATTGTCCATACCGCAGGGGACGCTACTGCGCTCGATCTCAGGCCCAATTGAGACCATCGGAATCAACGTGGACACAGCATGCTGGAGCTAGAGAGCAATATAAATCTGTTCATCAGAGAGAAAGCGACCGGCCATCACGACCTTACCGCGCGCGATCGACCTCGGTTTCACGATTCTTGCACGCCGTGCTGGAAGTCTCCGGCCTTACCACAGCTCAGAACTCGAGGTCATCGGGCATATGCGAGGCTTCGTTTGGCCCCTAGTCGTTCGATCCAACCCAGGGAGCAATAGCCAAATTAGCGAATTTCCGAACCCGCTTTGGTGCCCTTGCCCCACTGTCTGAGCTTTGAAAGCAATATAGTCGCTCACATCTCAGATCGCTGTGCGATGTGTCCCACCTATTTCACTCGACACCGGTTTACCTCGAGTGCGCCGCGAGACACAGTGCTCCGAGACAGAATTGTGGAGTCCAGTAATTCAGTTATAACTGGAGTACGACTCAAAAATCGTTTCTTTTTCTGCTCCCTGCACATCCATCCCTTTTGATTTCACAGTCGAGAACAAAGGTTAACTGCCAGATTCCCAAGCTTATCTGTGTTAGGCGACGAGATTTTGGTGAGTATATCGCGCACAATCCTCATGGCTGACACGCATTGACCATACCGCAGTGGTTTTGATTGGGCTCGTTCTAGAGGTTTCTATCGCCCTTGAACCCATACCACTGTGAGTCTACATGTATCCTTCGTTCATAATCCAGTGGTTCTGACTCTCCCTTTCCTACTAGTCCGTCGACATGTCCAAGTTCGCTACCTCAAGCGCACATCCTCCCCCTGGGACTTTGATCGACAACGACACTCTCGAGCTTGTCGAGCTCGTTGGTAGCGGCGGCTACGGTGTCGTTTATCGCGCGGTAGAAACGACGGCCAAACCTGGAAGGAAGCCGAGGACATTCGCAGTCAAGGTTCTCAGCCGGACGGATGGACGAAGGAACACTCACATCCGGGAGGCTTCCCTCCATTACCACGTTTCTGGTCACCCTCACATCATCGACCTCTACCAAGTCCTTGAAGACGACAACTACATGTACTTCGTCATGCAATACGCTCGCTCCAAGGACCTCTTCCACCAGATCCTCAACAAGAGCTACTACCTCGGAAACGACCAGACGACGAAGATGGTGTTCCTCCAAATCCTCGACGCCGTGGATCACCTGCACCAGATGGGTGTCTACCATCGAGACTTGAAGCCTGAGAACATCCTTTGTCTCGACGAAGGTTACCGTATTGCCATCAGCGACTTTGGCCTCGCCACTACCGACAAAACAAGCGTCGAGTTCCGCACTGGAAGCGTCTATCACATGAGCCCTGGTGAGTGTTACGATCTTAGAACCTGGGCTAAAAGGCTAATAATGACGTTTAAGAGTGTCAATGCGGACGCTATGCCGAAGATGCCTATTCACCCATGTCCAATGACGTTTGGTCCTTGGGCATTATCCTATTGAACATGGTGACTGGAAGAAATCCATGGAAGTCGGCCACTACCGAAGATCCCGTGTTCCAGTCTTATTGCCGCTCTCCCTTCAACTTCTTTTGCTCGGTTCTCCCGATCTCATCCTCCCTCAACAAAATCCTTATCCAAGTTCTGGATCCCAACTGGAAGACGCGGATGACATTGAAGCGGCTCAGGCAAGAGATTGAGAAAATCGACACCTTTTACTCGCCGAAGGTGGTGTTCGAGGGGAGTTTGGCGAGATGTCCTTGGGAAGTCGATGGCTCGCCGGCGAAGGCCAAGGACCAAGCTAACAAGCCTGCCAAACGGCCACCTGTCAAGCGAAGGCCTGTTCCTCCTACGCCTGCTGGCGCGAAGCCCTTTGTCAAGAAGGAGCACGAGGCTCCGCCGCCTTCAACCCCTCCTGACGCTGTCAACCGTGAAGCCCACGTTCGCCATCGCGCGACGCCGCCCCCACCCCCGCCCGCGACTCCCGTCAAGCAGGAAGCGCAGCCCCCTCGACGTCGACCAGCCCCACCTGTCGACGACTTCTCCGACGAAATGGACCACGCCAGCCTGGGCGATTCGAGGATGGAAAGCGTGTCGTTGGACGAAGCCTCCTCATCCGACAACTCTGCGTCCATCGACCTACCTCATACTCCTTACCATTCTCATCCTTCCTCATCCTCGTCTGCCACTTCATTTCCCAAGACTCCTGATACGGGCGGCTTTATGGGCTCTCGCAGGGAGAACAAGGTGGACGTTAAGATCATGGCTTCCACCCATACTTCTCCTCTTTCAAGCTTTGGCGGACAAACTCACGCCCCTACTATTCTGAATGATTTCTCCTATATCGACCTCTCGTTCTCCAAGGAATCCCTCAAGCGATCCATAGATCAAGCCATGCTCTCCCCCGCCCCTTCCCAATACTCCCTTCATGAAGCTTCCGATTTCTCCAAATGGTCGGATTCCACGGATACCCTGGCACAGGATCGCCGTCGATGCGCCAACGACTCACGCTCGGAAGTCATCCTCTACCCCGATCTCCAAACGCCCGCCCCCTCCAAACCCATCGACATTGTTGGTGCTCGGCAGCGGCGCGGTCCCTCGCGTCCGAATATGTTCGATGACCCTTACTATCCCCTACATTCGAACAGCTCTCACCAACGCGCTCCAAACTACCCGCCTAATCCATCTATGCGGCCGTCGCATGGATATCCTCAGGGGCGAGTGGCTGCGATGAAGAGGCTTTGGGAGAAGAAGCTTCCCTCAAAGCCTATGCAGTCGTATACTGGTCGTCGGCCATGTTGTAGTCCCCCGCAGGGCAATCGGTACTGGTTTACTGGAAAAGCCCTGGCCTAATTCTCGAGGCCAGGCACCTCTTCCATCTTTGTTCTTACTCGTTCCTTCTTTCTTTCTCTCTTTATGGCTTTTTTTTGGTTCTTATGGTTCATGTGCCTTACGCTATTTCGGTCTTCTACCTTTCGATAGTCTAGGAATATGTATTACTACTAACTGTATACTCTTGTATTTTGTATTGACACCCCATGCTTATGCATTTTGTACACATCTGAGCTTTGCGGAAGGCTGACGGAAGAATTTGATGGATGCTATGACGTTTTGCTAACTTGGTCTTGAACCACATCCTCACCTGGGTCCATTTACTCCCTCGATTCATGGATGCCTTTCCCTTCGGCTCCTGGTATCGAGCAACCTTGAACCTACATACGCGTCAAATCAGAGGGATGTATTGTCACGCCTAATGGCTGCACGGTCGAGCTTGAAACCCTCGTGTACAAAATGGCTGGTTCCTTGGGATTGGCCAGGATAGCTAGGCAGCTCTGGTTTTGAATAGGCGGGGTAATTCTCGGACTCGAATGGGCTACAGCTGGTTCTCGAAACTGACAGCGGAGAAACTCGCCAAATATAAACACCAAAAGCTGGACTCCTGGACGTTGTGGACGATATGATTCTCCTTCCAATCGTGTTGTTAGGCCTTGCTACCAAGGTCTACTCCCATGGATTTGTCCAGGAAGTCGTACTGGGCGAGACGAGCTATCCTGGGTATCACCCTTATGTCGATCCGTGCGTTCATTTCTTCCTTAGTTATCCGTTTGTAGTATCAATGTTAGATGTGTTCCAGGTACCAGGACCCCGTCCCTGAACGCATTATTCGAAAGATACCCGGGATCAGTTGAGTTCTTCTTCGTCGATACGCCTAGCTCACGCTTTCTCATGGAGACTGCTATAGGTCCGGTTGAACAGCTTGACTGGATAGAGTGAGTCTTCCTCCAACGAAGATCATGCGGAAAGTTGACCTTGCCTCCTAGCGTCCAGTGCAACGGCGAATCGGCGACGGGCTACTACACTGAACCCGCTCCTCTGCTCGGCAAGATTGCAGCAGGCGATATCATCAAGTTCAACTGGATAAGCTACGGGGGCGCCAAGGACAATCACCACGGCCCAATGCTCACCTATATGGCGAAAGTACCAGAAGGACGCGACGTCCGGGAATGGAGTCCCGACACAGAGTGAGCGATTTTTGACTTTTCTCCCACTCGTCTTCCTTTGTTGATCCTTTCGAAGGAAAGTTTGGTTCAAGATCGACCATAGTGGCAAGGATTCCGAAGGCAAATGGGCCGCGACAGATCGACTGAATGAAGCCAATGGCACATATACCGCTCGAATTCCACCCAACCTTCAACCCGGCCAGTATCTCATTCGACACGAGTGGTGAGTGAGGGAGCCGCAGTGTAAGGATTAGGCTGATGAGGCGACCCCGCAGGATTGCATTGCATCTTGGTGAGCTCAGTTGCTCGAACATGGGATAACAAACATAGAGGTAACGTGTGATTCAGCACACTCGTATCCTGGGGCACAGATATACCCGATGTGTGTGCAAGTCGAGGTCACTGGAAATGGGACAGCATTCCCAACTGAGTTCGTGGCATTCCCTGGAGAGTATACTGCCGAAACGCCAGGCAAGTCCTGAGTTTATTTATTTCGAAATGACCATTCCTGCTCACAGGGCACGTTCAGGTATTATATTCGATGTCTGGAACTGTAAGTGGTTGATGATGGAAGCCCGTCGGATACAAGAACTGAGCGAATCGATTTTCTGCAGACTTTGGGGTGAGTTTCCAGCGAACCGGAGCAATAACATTATGACTTAGTATTTTCCCTTCTAGCCTTACCCTATCCCAGGGCCAGACGTGTGAGTTCCTGTCAGTCCTATGTTGGCCAACTTCTGAAAAATCTATGTGTAGCTGGACTGGTGGAAATTAGTCAATTCTGCCTTCTGGCGATGTACTTTACGTCAAAGACCGTCGACCGGCGTTTTTTCTTATCCAGTTGGAGCAATGCAATATAGCTGGCGTTGTGAAATTGAAGTTCACCCTACTCTTGGCCTGACCTTCAAGGTTATGGGGTTTCTAACGGGTTTAGCCCCTGTTGAAGCACTTTGCTTGGAAGTAGTGTTGTTGCGAGGTGGAGGTCCCTCAAGGCGGAGTTACCTTGAGGTCCCGTATTTGTGATGGTGGCGTTCTCAAGGTCCCTTGAGGTGGCCTTGATGTGTTTTCCCATCCCTGTAACGGAATCTCCGGGACGGTGATGTGGCAGCGAGCGCGAGCGCTTGTCGATGCAGAGTGCATTAAACTTGCTATACTTCACTTGCTATTCTCATTTTACTACCTTATGACTTCAAGGATATGCAAGAGTGCTGTGCTTCCCGACCTCTAATACCGAATTCCCAATTCAACGTGAACAGGTGCTTGGGGCAGCTCGAGACCTTGGGATATGGCCGACAAACTGCGGAATACCCTTCATTTCATACTAATGACCTTCTGGATAGACAAACACCTTTGAATAGTTAAGAAACTTGCTCTTACCGCGAGCGTTGTTCGTGTTCATTGCAACTTTTGATTTTCTCATCCCCAGTATAGAAATAGGTATTCGTGGGAATGGACCTCAAGGTCCAACGAGGTAACTTGAGGTACTTAACGCCACCAATCACCTTGAGGTACCTCCACCTCACCTCGCAACAACACTACTTGGAAGTCGCCGTACTTGGATCACAAGGTATTTGATCCGGACACCGGCACCTCGGCATTCATTGGACATGGTGCGCGTTGCTGCTAGCATCCTGCAGAGCTTCCTTCCTCGAGTCTTACTACAGTCTCTATTCGTCTTGAGCTTCCCGGTACATGTTCCCAAACACTTCGACGTACTGTCAAATACGCACGTATCTGGATGCGTAGCCATTGCTGGCCTGCGTTCAGACGACATGTTGAAGGTTTGATCTGACGCTTTTGTGTTCACAAAACACGTTACCGTTACCGGTGCCGTTAGCCTCCACATCGTCTTCTTACATTCATCTCAACATGGCCCGAATCCGACCTTTCTCTTGACCAAACGGCTTCAGGCGCGGAAAATCCATGAAGGATACCTATGGCGAACTCCACCTGGTGAATTGATTCGTTACATAGCACATTCGGCATACGAGAATCATAACCATCATTTGGGGGCGGCATGTGCTCGTTCCAGGACCGGATTCATAGACAGTCAAGTTGAAGATCATGCGGGCGGCAATCACAGTCTGTCGAGGCGACATGATTTGGAAAACCTACACGGAATGCAAGTTGTAACCTACTCTACAGGTGCGCCCGAATGTCATGGATGTTGACTCTGAATCGTTCAGATGATTTACTGGTCGCCCACGCGTTTGCATTTAGTATCTGCTCTGTATTTTCTGGTATACGACGTGATTTTGACCTATGGGGATGAGGTGCGCTTTCCCCATGAATCGAGGTGTCCATTATACTGACTTCTGCGCAGGTTACCTACATCTGGCCGTAAGCCATCTTCCAGTTCCAAGGGCATGTTGCACAGAAACGGCGGTTAATTTAGGAATCCTTCGTCTAGGATTCCGCTGAATCGGACAAAACTGGCTTTCCTCTTCATTCGTTACTTCCCGATCCTTTTTCTTTTGTGAGTGCTCTCCCAGTCCAAGGCCCCTTGACTCCTGTGCCTGCCAAACCTTTCGCTAACGAGGCCACGCAGCTCCATCCAGTTCTACGGGACACCGAACGTTTTTTACTCGAGCCATGATTGTTATATCTGGAACGCTTACCAGGCCGTTGCGACCATCCTCATCATCGCTGGCGCCGACTACATCTTACTCTTGCGAGGTAGGTTTGCACAAGTCACCCCACCCACTGCCTTTGTAATCGCCTCCGGCTCTGACGCACTTTTTCCTTTTTTCCCTTCGCAGTGTTCGCTTTATACCCCTCTAACCGTCCCATCAAATATCTCACTATGGCCCTCTACCTCGCTGAGCTGGTCATGACGAGTGTGGGCATGGGTTTGGCTGTCCCGGAGCTCACGTACGATGAGCATTGCGGGGTAACTGACGCCCCAATTACCTTTCTTATTGCCGCGTGAGTCTGCATTCCGATCGTATCCACTAAGCCGGCTTCATCATACCCGTTACCTCGATGTATATCTTCCGTCTGGTACTCTTCTGTTCCTTCTTCATTCTGGGAACCATTGGAAGGCGGCAGTCTGTCTTCAGTCGTAATGCTGTATTGGTGTTAACTTTACTTACCCCAGTGGCGTCCCGATCCTCTTCCAAACCTACCTCTTCGGTATCATCGCCTGGAAATTTGTACTTTCCATCAAGGAGGGATGGGGCGACGTTCCGATCATGAGCATCATCATGAGGGACAATACTTGGGCTTTTACCCTCCTCTTTCGTGAGTCTTACATCGAACTACCTTCTGTTCATAGACTGACATTTGCCAATCCAACAGTCATATTGATAGCAGAAGCTTTCCTATACGGGATAGCAGAGGACGCATACATTGGGATCCTGTACGGATGGCTGAACGCCGCATTCTCATTCTGCGTATGTGTTTTCCTCCGCTTTAAATTTTGCTATTCCCAGTGTAACCCGATTTCACAGGGATACCGCATTTTGATCAACCTCAACAAAGCTGCACGAAAATCTCCCAGCGATGCCTCGACGGGCGCTAGCATACAATTTACGTCGAACTTTACGACGAAAGGAGATTTGGGACTCTCCGATTCTGAAACTGATGCGCCGACGGAAAATGAAGGGCAGGATAGAGCGCCCGGAAAAGTAGGAGAGGCGTATGAAATGACCCCAATAGTCGGGAGCAAGGGAAAGGCCAAAGAGTCGAAATTCACGGCAGCATCGTACTTGTAGGTTCGAGATACATGAACTCTTTACTAAACTTGGGTTTGAAATCAGGCTTGGGACATGGGTTTGTTGTGCGTTGGTATTCAGTTTTTTCTGGCGGAGACACAGCAGTAAATTAAATAGAAAGGGAAATTTCGACTAGGCCGGAATTCTATTTGTGATTCAAGACCACTGCAGTCATTTACACACAAGGATTACATACAGTTGAATTAACTTCTGCCTTCATTCTCTCGTGCACCAAGCCTTTTTCAACGCATCAAGCTCACTTACCACCCTCCGGGGCCACCAGGGAACCTGGGAGGCTGACCATACCCAGATTGATAAGAGTCAGCAGAAGGGAACCCTTGAGGTCCCCCAGGGAACGGGGGTGCACCGTCGTATCCTCCGGCATCAGGGAATCGAGGCGCAGCGCCGGGGAACCCAGGTGCAGCACCAGGGAAAGAAGGCGGTGGAGACCCACCAGGACCGCTCGGGAATCCAGGTGCGGCTCCTGGGAACGAAGGAGCTCCTCCTCCTGGGAAGCTGGGAGGAGGGGAAGAATACGAGGGAGAGTATCCTGGTCTGTTGGGCTCTACGAAGCTGCTATGGGGTGGGCCGTAGGTCGAAGGAGAGGGTGGCACTGGGGGAGCACCGTACGTCGAAGGCGAGGCAGGCATGGGAGGTGCGCTAGGCGCCCCTCCTCCGAAGTACGAAGCAGCTTCACCGGAGGCAGGGGGGCCATGTGAATGCCCGCCATGTCCGTGCCTATGCCCGTGTGCAGGCATATCCCTAGCATACCCGTGCGCGCTTCCAAACATCGACTGCGCAGCCGAGAACCCAGGAATATTCTGCGCGTATCCTTGCAACGTCTGCTGGAACTGGTGTGCTTGGCCTTCGGCGAAGGAACCCTGCGAAGCGGGTGGGCCACCGTCCCCCGCAGCCCGAATGTGCTCATGGTTGCGTACGGATTGTTTGGAGAGGCGTTGGATGATTTGGTGTTTGTTGGGGAGCTTCTCGACCCAGTCGCGCATGCATTGGAGCATCTCACGCTGAACCTTGGAATTGGGGTTATGGAAGTCGGGGTGGAAGCTTAAGTGAGAGACGGTGAGATGATGCTCGAACCAAAGGCTGTAAGGGATGGACCTACAGGCATTGAGTGACCTCTTCAATTGTTTGGTTCACGTTCACGCTGGCGTCGTCCCAGGCTTTGATGATCAAGGGGACGGTGTTGATCTTTGGAGTGGCGCCAAATCAGAAAGTACCTCGACAAGATATGGCGGGCTACCTACAACGATGACTTGGGCAAGCTTTCCAGCTGGTTCGTTGAGGATGAGGTTCTATCAATTTAATCAGTACCATCGTCCGAATTGAGTACCAGAGTACTTACAAAGTGGTCTTTGCTCAAGAACGAGTGGGTGGGATCCGACTAGCAAATGTTAAGTCACAACCGAGTCCCTTACGATGTGATAAGCGAGAACACGTACAGCACGAGGATCGTTGAAGACTTCGTATTGATCGTGCTTGTCGACCACTTCTGCAGAAACAGTGTGCAGACCTTCAGTAGCAGTCTTGAGGATGGGCTTCAAGAAGGGCTCGATAGTGGTGAACACGAAGACGGAAATAGAGTCTGTGATCTTATCGAGTAAGCTTCCCAGACCCGGGATTTTCTCTGAAAGAGCGAAGTTTTCGATCTGCGGTCAGTGCGGTGATTCTCGAATGGTAGGTTAATGGACTCACCGATTGTCTTGGAGATCTTCTTCATCACTGAATCGCCCGTCAGTCATGTTATGACCAATGACATACGGGGGATACACTCACCAGAATCTCTGAACAGAAGAACCTGCCAGAGGGTAGCGTGAAGCTCCTTGGGACTCATTTCGTCGGGATTCTTGCCACCCGCTGCAGGTCCTGCACGGATTCTTTGGATGTTATCAAGGTCCCTGGACATCTCACTTCCTCCGCCACCGGGAATGGCGAAGAAGAGGTCGCGCAGGGCGTCGGCGGGATCGCAAGGTGGTCCTCCGGGACCGCGCGTTTGGGTTTGAGCTTTCGAGCGGGCTTTATCGAGTTCGCGGTTGAGGTCGCTCACGGATGCTTCACTCTACATCAGTACAGAAGCGGGTGAGAAGGGATAATGATGGAAAATGCAGAAGAAGCTCACGAGTGAGTCGCTGGCACCTCCGAGCAGCGAGTGGAAGAAATCATCACTTCCGAAAGTACCGGTCACAATTGGGGCAACCCATTTCCCGTTGGGAGCCTGCACCCTGACATTATCGCCTACATGAGTAAATACCTCATTGTAGCCCATCCCAACCAGAGCCAATTCGCAGAAATTGGAATGAGCAGAGTAGTCTTCGAGGGTGTGCAATGCAGTGCCAAGGAGCCTGAAAGCCTCGTACTCGTCCTGCTTCTGGCCGCGGGATCGGTGGAGACGACCGTGATGGATGCAATTCTCGAGGATGCGGCGGACGTAGGCTTTGGAGGTGTCCCAGTGCCCGTCCTCGTTAGCGATGTAGTTCTTCATTCCGGTTCGGGGATCAATCTCGAGTTCACGGGGCTGTGTTTTGGGAGGGCGCGGATCGTTAGTATGTAATGCCATTTAGGATGGATGACGTTGGGGTGTGGGTTGAGGGGATGGGAGACGTACGTCGATGGGGGGGCGGAGACCTGGGTGGTATTGGCGAGGGTCTTCTCCGTCGCCATAGCCCTTTGGATTGTCAATGTGCTCGACGGGAAGGTAACATCCGAGACGCTCCTCGGTGATCTCGAATTCATTGGTAGCATATCCATGGGCCTTGAGGACGAGGTTAGAACTAGCAATCGAAAAGGACAGAGGCGGCGTACCATAAATCCAAGAACCATAAGCAAATTGATAATAGTCTAGAATCACGCGTCAACGGTCGAGTGGTGGCGTCAAGGACAAAGCCAAGCGCACCTGCTGAGGCATCTTCTTGAGCGTCGCAATGTCGATCGCCTGACTGTAGTCTCGCAGCCAGTTGCTGGAAGATACAAAGTTAGGATTGTCAATAAACAGAATATGTATACACACCCAAAGTAGACACGCTTCTTGTCCAAAGCATTGAACTTGCGGCCCTTGCCAATCAAGCTCGCCAGAGCGAACCCGCCGGCAGCGCCTTTGGCCAAATCGTCCAATACGTCTTCCTACAAAACGTTCAGAATTTATAAATCAAAGAATATAGAGGCACGCACGATATCGCCATGTCTAAACGCCCTTCCCTCCATATACGCAAACCTAATCACTCGGCTGCGTCAGACTGGCCGATCTCCTGCAGATCTCGATATCACATACGAAGGAATGTTGCCGGCGCCAAAGGCGTAGACGCCATTGCGCGACAGACAAAAGACCAGCACGAATAAAAGTGCTGGCAGAAAGTAGGTCGACGATGAATACGACCTGGACATGATGGTGGTTAGTGGACAAGGGATGATGCAGTGCCCCTGTCCCTGTGCCTTATGAGCCCATCACCAAAGCGGTACACTGCCGCTAATAACTAGCGAAAAACCCATCTGATTACAGAAAATTCAGGAGTTGGGCGATCGATGACGACTTGAATCTCTGGAGCTCTTTCTGAGGGTTTTATACAGCAGAAAGGACAGGAAAGCAGGTAGAAGATGGGAAATAGACGGTGGATTAGCGCCCAGCCGGCCGGAGAATGCCGAGATTTGGATTAATTTTTATTCGGCGACTGGTTGTTGTTGGTTTGCCCTTCTCCCCACACGACACTGCACAGAATCGCCTCTCTGGCCCTAATCCTTCGGGTTTCTGTATTCTAAACTCTTTTCCTACTCTTTTTAATCCTTTTCGTGAGTAGATTTTATAGAATCAATTCAAAGGCGTAGACTCACCTTTGTAAATCTAGGACTATCAACATGACAACTTCAGCTGCTCCCTCCAACGGCCCCCACCACCAAAATGTCGTTCCTTCAGAAGTCGGATGGCAGTTTGTTCCTCAGTACTACACCTTTGTCAACAAGGAACCCCATCGTCTGCATTGTTTCTACAACAAAACTTCGACTTTTATCCATGGCACAGAGGGCGAAGAGGTGAAGCCTTGCTTCGGTCAACAGGTGAGTCAGCATTTTGCTCATTTGGTGCTCGGCACCGTCGCTGGTCGTCGTCGACACCCTTCTCGCGCTATTTTTCATCGATGAGCTGGCCATTCAACGTCCAGAACACCCATCGATGTGTGTTGCGTCATCCGCGCTCGGAAACAATCGCCCTCATTTATCGCGGAATTTTTTGGAATAAACGCTAAACGATTGCCTACAGGAGATCCACAAGAAGATCACTTCGATTGGATTCCAGGACTGCAAGGTCTTCATCCACTCGGTCGACGCCCAGTCCTCTGCAAATGGCGGCATTATCATCCAGGTCATCGGCGAGATGTCCAACCGTAATGAGCCATGGCGCAAGTTCGTCCAAACATTCTTCTTGGCCGAACAGCCCAATGGCTACTTTGTCCTCAACGACATCTTCCGTTTCTTGAAGGAGGAATCTGTTGAGGGCGATGAGTTGAGCGAAACCGGCGAGGCGGCCGAGGCTGCTCCTGCTGCCGCCCCCGAGCCCGCTCCCGCCGCTGCCGAACCTGTCTACGAACCTCCTCGTGAGCCCACACCACCTCCAGCTCCCGCCCCCGAGCCCGTTGCCGCTGCTCCCGAGCCTCCCAAGGAAGCCGCTGAACCTACCCCGGCCCCGGTTGCCGAGCCACCGGCCGCTGCTCCCACTGTCCACCTTCCTCAATCCAATGGCGTCCCTGCTGCCGAGGCAGAGAAGCCCGCCGCCCCCGCCGTCGCCGAGAAATCGCGCGAACCCACTCCTGCCCCTCAACAACAGCAACAGCCCGCCGCTCCTTCTCCCGCTCCCCCAGCTGCACCACCCGCCGCTTCCACCTCCGCCGCTCCTCCCGCTCCCGCTGCCCAACCAGCACCCGCACCTCCTGCTCAACCCGCAGCTCCACCTGCTCCCAAGACCTGGGCTTCCCTCGCTGCTTCCAACCCGAAGAAGTGGGGCTCCGTGGCGCAGGAGGCTCGAGGCATCACTGAGACGCCTGCCAGCCCCGCTCCGAGCAGCGGTACCCAGACTCCCTCTGGCCAACCCCAGAACAGAGGCCCTCCCAGACACGAACACCCCGCCCTCCTCGCAGCTCAGAGCGTCACCACTCCCCATTGCTTCATCAAGGTGCGTGTGCCCCGCATACTCACGTTGACGAGTAACTGACCTTATTGTATAGGGTGTAACTGAACCCATCACCGACGCCGCCCTCAAGAACACCCTCAGCCGCTTCGGACCAATCAAGGAGGTTGACATCGTCCGCACCAAAGCCTGCGCCTTCCTCGAATTCCAATCTGTTGACTCCGCCAAACGCGCCATCATCGCCAGCTTGAACCAGAACCAGGGCGGTGAGGGTGGTGTTTACATCGAGACTGCTGAAGGGCATGTACGGATCTTCGTCGAGACCAAGAAGGATCGAGGTGACAGGCCTCCTGCGACCGGTGGTCGCGGCCGTGGTGGACCCCCTGTAAACGCTGACGGACGAGGAAGTGGATTCCGTGGAGGGCGTGGCGGCCCTAGGGGCGGAGGACGTGGTGGTCCCGCCAAGTAAGCACTAGGTCCTTGGGCAAGCCGTAGTTGTCGTGTTTCGGTAGTTGGAGAAGGTGTCACCACCCTCTTCCATTGTCAATGTCGAAAAAAAAACGCAGTTGTCGTTTTCTTTCCTCTTGGGACACCCATTGTGCATTGTCATCATTCACTTTCACTTTCGCGTTCTGCGCTTTGATGTTGTTTTTGGTCACAATTATTATGTTTGTGGTATCGAACGTTTTTTCAAATCCGACTTTTTCCCTTCTCTCTGCCCCGTTGTGGAAACGGGTTAGAGATTTGCCCCGCTCGTTTTCCCTCCCCTCCCTCATACCTCCATTCCCTCACTCACCACTTACCTCCCGCCGTTCCCTCCCTCCACCTCCCTCTATCCGCTCAGCCGTTGGTTTAGGTTTTGTTTATGTCTTGTTCCCGTTTCGCATGAACATACCTATGCACCCCTATGCCAGCTTACAAGTTGTCGTGTTGTCATTGTCCACCACCCTTCTTTTCATTCTTACTCGCAAGTACATTTCTACTTTGGAGCCCCTTGTTTTTCTCTCCGATGTTTTCTGTTCATGTTGTGTGTTCTTTTACCATGTTGTCTTTAGCATCGGTCCGAGTTGCCGTTCCGTCTGCAGTGTATCCTTATCCTTTTGCAATCCCATCCACTTGCATGAACTTCTAGCGATCCGGGTGATTCTAGTGACCTAGTGACCCATTAACATGTTTCCCAGACACTCAGGTGACGCGGCACGCCCCGGTATTGGATTGAGATTGATTGCAAAGTGGACACCGATTGGACAAAACAAGGGTTATGGTATTGAAGAGACGTAAGAAGATCGAAATCGCTCGTCATTATTACTCTGTTGGGACGTCAGCACATCGATCCATTTGCAGGTGAGAGAGAAGGTACGCACACATTAAAAAAAAGACATTTTCCCTTTCCCTTTTAAACAAGATAATACAACAACATCATTCCACCCGATAAGTTTTGCAAGATGGAGTTTATGTGATAGGGGCAGGCTTGAAGCTCATGATCTCCTCATACAACAGTTCTTTCAGTTGTTCACGGCTGATGTCGTCTTTGTGCACTGCAGAGCCCCAAAGTTAGAACAGGATCAAATGTGTCTGGGATATGGGACGTACAGTCGAATTCGAAGAACTCTGGGTCGAGCGGGGGTGCGACGGGTTCATCGTCGGGATCGTGCTACGCAGAATTGTAGTTTAGGACTAGGATGCATGGACCAGAGAAGATGAAACTTACGTATGCCTCGAGATATGGATGGGCCAAGGCGTCCTCGACAGTGATACGCTTCTTGGGATCGAAGGTCTATACGAGGGCCAGTCAACGACCTGGGACACAGAAAATTGGGACTCTAACTGACCAATGTCCTCGTCAAAAAGTCCACAGCAAGCGGGTTGGCGTTGGGGAAGAGCTGCGAGAAGGGCTTGCGTTTCCGGAAAGGCAAGGCACGGATGTAGTCGCGGGAACGACGGGTGGTGATGGCGTAGAACTCGTCGAGGGTGGGTGTGCCGAGGACGTCGAGAATGAGGGTGAGTTGGTGGTGGTAATCCCTACCTGGGAAGAGGGGTTTTCCGGACAACATCTCCGCGAGGATACATCCCACCGACCAGACATCGATAGCCTATGGATGTTGTCAGATCACTAGCCACGATCCAAATCGCAGCTATATTCGTACCTTGGTGTATTGTTTGAAGGTCAACATGATCTCAGGCGCACGGTACCATCGTGTAGCAACGTATTCCGTCATGAAACCTGTTTCGGTGCCAGATGGCTCGGCGGTCTTGACTGATCGAGCGAGGCCAAAGTCGCAGACTTTGAGATCACAATTCGCGTTGAGGAGGAGGTTTGAGGGCTTGAGGTCGCGGTGGATGACATCGGCGGAGTGAAGGGCTTTGAGGGCTCTCAGGGTCTGATAGATGAAGTACTGGGCGTGGTCATCTGAAAGATCTTGGGTCCGGATGACTCGGTGCATGTCGGTCTCCATCAGCTCCTGGATGACTGCGCTAATCGTCTCAGCGAGCGTTGGAAGAGATGGAAGGGAGAGCAGGACTCACGGTAGACCTCCTTGAACGCCTCTAGCGATGGCGGTTTAATGATGTCGAGGATAGAGATAATCTACAGATGAGCGCTGCGAGTTCAGCCTCGTTCTACAACGCCCTCGACGACGAGCACGACGTACATTTTCGCTGACACCCGCCTCGCTAAGGAATTTGAGGAGTTTGAGCTCGCGGAGGGTTCGCAGACAGAACATGGAGTGCTCGAAGGGCGCGATCTTCTTGATGGCGACCTTGCGACCGCTTGGACGGTGGACAGCAGAGCAGACGATGCCATAGGCACCCTCGCCGACGACATCGAGGACCTGGTACTGTGTGCCTGGTGGAAGACTGAGCCTGGGGTCTTCGACGACAGAGAACATGTCAAGTCTCACCAACGTTGAACCGAACCTTCCTTGGGGCAGGCTGTGCTACCGACGCTGCATGACCGTGCTTCTTGGCTTGCGCCTGCGCTTGTGCGGGGCCTGGCTGCGACATCTCTTCAGGGCTACGTCGTCGTTGTCGTCGTCCTCAACGATGAGAAACGGGGTTTAGAGACGAGAGAAACGGTGGAAAGGGAGGTTATAAGAGAGGCGGACAATAGAACTGATGTTACGGTAATAAAGAAACGCTTGATCTGGAAGAACAACAGCCCCGGTGGCCGTGTCCTCTCCCTATTATAATAAAAAATGGCCCTCCCATGAAATCCATCCAGCCCGTTCCAATTCCAAAATGCTTCGACCAACCCACGATCTCTCTGCGGAACAATTGACGCCAAAACTGCAATTGTCATGACAATGCCCTGGTTGCTACGAGTACAAATCATTTTAACCATTGATCACAGGCGCTAATATTCTCTGGCAGCTCCTATCTTGCTCGAAACTCGAGTAAAAGGTATGGCTCTAGAGTGCCTTCCTATTCTTTACAAGGAGAGAATATAAGACCTTGTAGAGTCCTTATAACGCTCGCTTTATTTGGAAAACAACGCGAGAGGTATTTCGAGGACAAGGTCAGTTGGGAGTCTTGGGACTCGAATTCGCGCCGAGTCTCGGAGAAAGGTCTTAACCACCCTCCCTCCTGGGCTTCCCTCAGCATCGACGTTTCAGCCACGCCTCCCCCGGGGGAGCGCTGTCCAGCGACATTACGTGCATCAGAAATCTGCCAAAGATCTGAACGAACCTTACGGTAAATAGGCAATGCAGGCGGTCGACTTCCACCACACCGCTCTGTCTTTATCATCTTGGTTACTCGACTCTGGGTAAAGTCACCGGTACTTCTGATAGTCGAATCTCACTGGCAGAGCTTCCTAACAGTTCCATCATGATGCTCGCCCTGCGATGTGGATTGTGATTGCCAATTGTGTGGGATTTCGTTCTGTTGGAAGGCGCTGTCCACAATGCGCTCTCTCAGCTCTCCTTGTCTACTGTCAAGCGTTGGCTATGCGGTTTTATATTCTGTTGGACCGGTCACAACAAATGGCGTTTTGATGCGCTCTATCGCAGCCTTCTCGTAGTCGTTAATTCGAACGTTGACTAGAATCGTGCAGTCAAGACGCACCCTCAGCTGGTTTTCCGTCTCTCGTTGCCACGTTGCCCAGGGAATTTGATCCGGTATCCTCGTCGACGGAGGACTCTCATGCAGATCCCCCTGCCGAATCCACTCGCAAAGCCTCAGAACACCATGCTGCATCACAGTTTTCGCCATCCCGACGATTACCCTAGGGAGTTACTAAGACTACAGCGGGACTCATGGATGTACCTTGCTTGAGCACGCCCAATCCTGTAATGCTAATAGGCGTCATGGAACCGAAGCCTGGTGCATGGGGAAAGCCCCTATTTTGCGAGTCTTTCTCTCCTAACTGCACGTCATTCTTTGTTTAGCCTCACTTCTAACCGTCGAATATAGATCGCGAAACCCAAAGCCCTACAAAAATACAGCACTCCGCTAGGAACTCTAGGTTGAAGCGATGTTGTCCAATTCCCACAATCCCCATCCAGTCCTCTACGCAGTGGATCCTTACAATTCGGGCGCGCCCTATTACACTGCCCGGCCATGAACGAAAGGGTATTTGAAGGTGCTTCCTTACTTTGATGCCTACCCCGTGCGATACCCTGATTCCTTAACCCTCTCTACTTATAGTGCGCGCACACCGACCCATGACATCTACCCCTGGTGTGGCCAACGAGGTTCCATTAGAGATATGGCTCATCATCATTCAGTTTCTCCCGCCCAAGGAGGTATCACGACTATACAGCGTTAATCGATCGCTATTCGAGATTTGCATGGACGTGAAGTATCGCCACCTCCATTTCGAAGGTGCTATTGAAGACATTCTCGCACTCCAGTGGGTCACTAACCTGACAAACCCTGCGCTGATATTGACAAGATCACATATGTAGGAACCCGATAGTTGCTCGCAGAGTCGAGTCTGTCTCAGTGAATCTTCTCAACTTCCAACCACTACTTCAGCTTCTCAGTCCCGAAGCGACTCAGGCATTGACGGAGGCATACGGACGACGATGGTGGTCACTGTTTTCTGTTGAGATGCCTCAACTACCCTCCCTTCAGTCCCTCTCGATTCGCTTCTATTCCATTCTCAACTATACGCAATTCGCTTCTATACCTTCCTCCATTTCTATCCAACCCGCCTGGAGTTGCGTTCCTCGAAGCCTTCTACATCTACGCCTTGCCATCCCCCTCGAAGCGTACCAGGATGGTGTAATAGTTCCTCGAGCGTTGCACTTCCCTTCATTGGAAGTACTCGATCTACGTATCTGGGCCGGATACCGAACGACAGACTACGAATCTATCCTCTCAAAACTCATCGCTCCTCTCGTAAACCGCCATTCCTCTTCCCTCTCCTCTCTCACCGTCAAATTCGAAGAACATGATCATATATTCTATAAATCCCCGGGACTATTCGACCACTTGGGGAGGTTGCCTCACCTCCGAACGTTCGGTGTGCGCGTTACACTGGGAAGTCCCTCCCAAACCGATCTTTCTGGTTTGTCGAGGTTCATCTCGATGCACGCGGATACGATGAAAGACATGTGCCTCCACCTACCCCACTCTTCGCAGTTTAGGTCGATGGCGCCGTTCGCGGACCCCACTCCTTTTCATGACTTGGCGACACCACAGTTTCCTACCTTTGATGGGGACTCGTTGTTCGCCCTACCATTGTTCAACCCGTCAGAGGCAAGCCCATTCCCTCAACTGGAGTCGTTCGAGCTCGAGATGTTCTTCCCCGACAAGACACGCTTTCCGGCGGAACGCTTCCTGTCCTGGGTGACAAGGCCGTCCATTACATAGCCACAATCCATAACCAGGCTGAAGCTTGCTTTGGGGAACCTCCAACTCCGACTCGATTCTGCAGGATCCTCGACTATAGAGGTCTTCAAACAGATCTTGTCGCCTAACGTCTTCCCCAGCCTCACCTACCTCTCATTATACGTACACGAGGTCAACGACGCGACTTTACTCTTCCAATTATCGCAATTGGCCCTGTTCGTGGAAGAACTGGAGTTGATCTTTAGTTCGTTGAACCTGTGGGGGGCTGAGTTGAGAAAGCTGAAGGAGATGGGGGAGAGATTACGGTTGGAAATTGAAGAGAGTCAGGTGAGTAGTCCAGTTATAGGGGTAGTCTCCTCTATTTTTTAATCTCTCCGAGTCCTGCCTTCTCGAAATCGCGCTCCGTGACACTCTGTGGGATGCGCGGGCCAGACCTATGATGGCGCTCTCTCAACGCTCAGGGGGTCATATCCCGAATTCCCTGCATTAGAAAGTCATGGCGCCCACGTCGGTAATGCGCACGGGCCAAGCCCCTAACGACGCGTTCACGTCATTAAAGCGACCACTTCCGAGCTTTCAGCCTCGTTGGAGATACGGAAGTGCCTGCAGTCCGTCATCCTCATGGAGCCTAGCTCTCGTCGCGTGTATAATGCGCCTCTAACGACACGCCCTCGGTGCGTACGCCGTATGACCAAAGGCGACGTCTTCGAGGCCTCGTGGCGCGCACCGAGCTCATAAATCGCCCCTAATGGACGCGTTTCCCGTCACCTAATCCGATATATCGGCCTCGTTGGGAGACGGTGGGCGGCGGGGAACAATGGGTGTGTTCCACATTGCCCGACAAAGGCTGTGTCCTCATGACCAAGACCCTTTGCTCCTTTCTTACAGCCCCTCTTTCTCCGCATTTAGTAACCTATTTGCTGGATTTATCTGTTTTTCTCATCGATTTACCCACCCTAGGCTTCCACGAACCCGTCAGGTGCTTCGGGATATTGTGCGAGTGTCATCGATTTGGACGCGGAGGGGCGGGGGATGGGACATCTGTGGCGAGAGTGTGCCTTCGCCCAGAAGATCGGGAGGACCGTTGCGAAATTCGGCCCATGCGCTGCTGCACCGATGGGGCAATTACCAGGATAGCTGAGGCAACCGGCGCGAGCGGGAACGATTATCGTCAGAGTTCAAAGACCACCCGGAGCATGAATCTGAAGAAACTTCATATCAAACGACGAAACTCACCGGGCCTCCGACATCCCAGGGACTCGGCCCAGGAAGCGGTGAGGCAGGCTATTGTTGGGATTTTTCCAACTGTGAAATGGTTCAATGGGCTGGAGAAAGACGACTTTGTGGAGAGGTTTGACGCTGACAGCTTGTTCGAAGTGGATAAAAGAGACGGTTTTCCGATGACTAGTGTGCGACTTGGTTAGGGATGCTATTCCGAGTCGAGGATGTTGTACTTCTTTTATCCTCGAAAACATGCGATTGGGATTGACATAGCGGCGTTGCTGCTGAAAATAGGTGGAGGCGACAAAAATGACTCATACATAAGCGCTAGACGCGTCGCGTCGCGACAGCTAATCAGTATGGACGCGAGTCACGTACCCCACAAACTTATGATCACTTGGCAATCACATCGATATCTGCAAAGGTAAAAGTTGAGATAAGCCACCCTTTTTTCCACAGGCTCCCTCGATCTAATAAACGGGGGATCGTTTACATCTTCTGGCCTGCTCCAGCGATCAACAGCTCCGTGAATGAATGCCCTGAAGAGTCGCTGTCCCTGGAAGATCATATGAATACCCTACGAGGGTCCAGAAAATCCACCACTCACACTCGAGCCAATGCAATCACATCCCCCCAACGTGGATCCATAAATAAGCTGTCATTGTCTGGGGGACGACGGCCGGATTTAGCGTACCGCACTTTGAGATGTCACATCGCAATCTGCGTCAAGCGCCTCGAATTAGACGGGTTCGCAACGTCGGACCCACATTTCTATCTTGGTCAATTGAAAGAACTGAAAGGTCCTCCGCGAGAGGGATACAGCATATTCAATCCTTCGCTCGAGGATCATTTGTTCCGAGCATGGCCTCGATCGACTCTTCTAGCGCTTTCTTCCCAAGCTCGCCGGCCTCGCCAGTCAGTTAAGAAAAAATATGCATACGAGAATAGGCGCTGGGGAGGAAGCGCGACACATACCTATTTTTCCCATGTAGTGCCGGGCAATCGCATCGATCGACGTCCTCCGAAAGACTATCGAGTGCTGAGGGAACTCTTCCACCTGGGTCTTCCATCACCTTGTCTCGTACGGAAGCATCCATGCTTAAATGAAGGTGAGAGTTTTATGATGCCGTGAAAGAAAGGAAGGAAAATGGGCCAGGCCATGTTCATTCCATCCGGAAACCGCGAGTTTTTTCCAGCAGACATACGGCGACCAGGTAGTACGCCACCGAGAAGGCTCGAGTCAGATTAGAACATTGGCATCGTTTGGATGTCTACACCTAGACCAGCATTCTCAGAGCCAAGCGGCACATCTTCTGGATTCCAATAACCGCTAAGAAGATAAAACATAGAGCCACCGGAGAAGAACTGGTATGTCAATGGTGCAGAGCACAAACAGATACGTCAGCGATAAGGAATCCTTTGGCACAACCACAGGCGTACCACGAGGTCTTTTATGTTACATCGGTCGTTCTCCACGTATTTTGACTCCAAAGAGAATGGCGTTGCGTGAGAGTAAACCCGTCCACGTTCAAGGTTTCTGACTTCTAACTTCGATCATTTGGGTTAGTGGATGGTTGAAAAGCCTTTGTAGGATGACTGTTACTGCCGTAATCTCCCCTGCATCTAGATGATCGATATGGATTGAAAGAAAGGCGCTGGACTGGGGAGGAGCTGTGTCAGGAAGGAAGGTCCCGAAGATAGATCTGACAGCCATCGCGACCACCGACGAGGGCGTTGTTTTGGGCGCTGGGGCGGGTTTGGTTACACTGAAATTAGACGGCAATCAGAGCTGGAATTTCCCCTTGAACTCGATGACGGAATAAGAGCAATACAACGGTCATTTATTTGCGGAGAAGGAAAACAAAGTGGCGTCAATTGGAGTCTCCGGATAGTAATGCTCGAATTATCCATCCGTTCGTCCAAATCGATAAAATGCTTCCGTTGATGTCCCTAGTGATCAGCCGGATAAGGGGAACAATAGCGAACTCTACCTCAAGTTGTCGCCGGCGCGCCACCAAAATCCTGCCCTTGTACTGAGGATTGGCCACTGAAACAAGGTCGAATTGCCCAGGTAAGGGTCCCAGAAAATCATCTCTCTGGCGGAGCCAGGAAGAGAGCATAGTCCAGACGTAGAACTTCAGGGTGTGAAGCGGCGGAGGCCCAAGAACAGGCATATGACCTGGCGACGATTAATTGCTTGACAGAAACAGTGAGGTAAAGGAGCCAAATACCTCCGTTTGATCCAATCCCAATCGGCAGTCCTTTGATGTGAATGTCGAAAGGGTGGAAAAGCCGCCAGCCTCGAGGATGCAACGAGGTGCTTTTAACGGGTGGTAGCTTTTCGACGATCCAAAGCAGGAAGGCAGCGACACCTTGGCCGAATGCTTCAAAGGCGGACCGTTCTGAAGGGCCAAAGGGCAAGCAAAAACGTCCTATTAGCTTCACTCCATCCACTTCTACGCGAATCTCCTCACCTTGTTGTACTTGCTTATTCGCATCCACAATGCCTGTGTTTCGAAACGTCCGCCCAAATCGTCATTCCAGTCGCCTTGGACGCCAGATCCCCGTTGCATACGACCGTATGTGCCTCGAATACATATTTTGCTTCCGCGGATAGTAACGCATGTTGTTGTGTATTGTAGGGGACGGCTGGCAGGTCCCCATCGAGGGACACGCGACACTTCAGGACCTTTGCCTTGGCCCTTCACAATATTGGGCCCCACCCTTGTCCCAATCACATCAGGGCGATTCCACCGATCAAGATCCAGCCTTGTCTAAATCACCCTCTAGCGACGAGGTCGATCCTGCTTCAAATGGCCCGCTTGAAATTGCACATATTTCAACGACTTCCACAGCCGTCCTCGCCACTTCTCCCTCATCATCGACCCTCAACGACACCCCGCCAGTTCCATCCTCCATGGGTCCCACTCGCACTCGTAGTAACTCGCACTCTCGTCGCACCAAGCCTGGTCACATCCCCCGACCCAAAAACGCCTTCATCCTCTATCGCTCCTGGTTCTACAAGAACCGCCCACCCCCACAGACTCAGGATGGGAAGAAGCTCAATCAAAATGAGCTGAGCAAGCAGGTTGCAGTGTCGTGGAACGCGATGTCGGAAGAGGATCAGGAGCCATTCAAGAAGATGTACCTCGAAGAGCTGGCCCGCCACAAGGAGATGTACCCAGACTACACCTACGAGCCCAGCAACAAGTCATCGAGGAAGTCCGCAAAGAAGAAAAAGCGGGCCACCCAGCCGAAACGCAAGAGGTCGAGGAGCGTTGACAGTGACTCTGACGACGAGAGCGTCTCCTCGTCAGGATCCAACCACAGCACTCCTCCACCCACTGCTCGCAATTGCGGCCACCACGTTGCTCTCAACAACTCCCCGCCCAAACGTCCATCGCCATCCCAACTTCTTCACCCTCACCCTCACCATCGCCAACTCCTACCCCTCCCACCCCTACTCCCTCCCTGTCTTCCGGTAGCGAGTCGGACATGTCCGATGAGGAGGATGGTTTCGTGAGCACAGAAGATATTCCCGCCGTCACTCTCCCTCCTAGCATTCTTGATACCCAGACCAAAGCCAGTGAACTCTACTTGGTGAGTTGCTCATGCATGTACTTCGTGACTAGGGCGATCACTTACCACTTCTGTATTCAGGATGAACCACGTTCGCCCTGTCTGTCACCACTTCTCTTTGACAATTTGCCCTTCCTCGGAGAGCCTTACTACCGTAGCGATGGTCCTATTCCCGTCGACGGGGGTATGGACTTCGCCTTCCCGGACGCGTCGAAAACTCTGTTCGATATCAACCAATACCCCACATTACCAGATACGCCTTCGACATTCTATTTCCCAGAGCCTTCTTCGAAGCCCCTTGACATCGCATCTTCCACTCCCTGGCTTCCCCTCGGTGCTCCCTTGGAACGCGATGAGGAAATAGAGAGACTTTGGGAACAGTGCATCGACCCAGCCGCTCTAGCATGACCTCCCATCTGTTGCCACGACCATCACGACCATCACGACCGACACGACCAATATGCCGCCCCACTATGCCCTCATTTCCATCCTATGCATCGACCATCTGTGAATTATAGATCTCATGAGTTACGAACCGACACTTGCATGTTCACCGTTATGGCCCACCATTTGTACAGTATTCCGCAACAGAAACATCAATTTTGTATTTTTATAGTGATTGCAATTTAGCGGGCACCGCCCTTCGTTACAAATCGTTTCGGTTGTCGAGAGCCTAGAGCCTAGAGGTGCAGGAGAAGAACAAGGACAGTTGGTTCCTCGCGCCTCTGGGAGGGGCATGCTGCATGGCCACTGATGCGCTTTCTCACGACTCGACACCTGGCGTTCCCTGTGTGGCGCATCATCTGTACCCTTGCTCTACTTTCGCTCAAATTACTTCGCACAAGGCTGTCTAAAAGTCTCAGGAGCGCAGTCTGTCACGGAAAGGCTCAACGATGGGTTGTCACGCCTCTCGCGGCTACCCTTGTCCTTTTTCCCGATTCTTATGCTCTGCCCAGCTGACAACCATGGAGCTGCCAACCAGGGGCCAATAGGCTGAGGCATGTTCGGAGACGTTATTCCAAAATCTGGCATTTACTGTTGATTCACTGACCGGTTGATGCACACATTCCGCTCTTCATGGTCAAAATTACAGCTAAATCCCGCTGTAAATTCCCAATGACACCCACAACCCACATTACGGATCCGGAGCGTTGTGGACCAAATCCACACCCCTGAGTTGAAGCTCTCGCGCGCGAAGTATACACCCCTCCATTTGGGTTGCCGCAAAGTCCGTAAGTCGGAGTTCCTGCACCGTTCAGAGCTTTTAGGTTGCCCAATTTTGCTGCATGTCCCACAGCACTCTTGCCAGCCGTGCAGTTCGACAAGAGGTGGCGGGGCAACCTCTGGCCATCATCGGGCTGCCAGCCCACGTTTGAATTTGGGAATTCAAGGGCTCATGACAAGGTTTCCCGCCGACCTGACCCACATGCCCAATGTGCAACGCATACTCTGTCGCCGCTACGTCTGCCATATCTGGACGGAACAAATTGTACCATGATTCCTGGTACCCCGGAGAGGTTTCGTGATTACGGGGATGGCGAATACACACCGTCTGCTAATGGCCTGCGCTAGGCAGCCAAAAAAAGCGCCGCAATTGCCGGGATTCTTCCCCTCTCTCTCTTCCCGAGCCAGTTTGCTCCATGGGACCGACAACGTCGCCGCAAATCCCGCTAGGATTCTGGCTCCCCGTCTAGATGACCGGAATTTATCTCGACCCATTAGGAAACGGTTATCAAAGGTCGGTTCACTGGGCCCGACTTCTCCATGGCTGTGTGTCCTGCGAGGTGCTTATTTTCCCTTTCAAGGAACTGCTGTACCGTCGGCACCCACATACGAAAACATATTATTTGCGTATTTAATCTTGAACTAACGTCCACCCCAAGTATTCCCCAGTCATACCGCATCATTCCCATCTCTTTGTAGGTCTTCTCTGCCGCTATCATTGCTGTTTAGCTTCTGAGCTCTACTTTGCAGCAGTGAAGATGTGTCCTACAAACCTAACCCTGGTAGCCAGACCCTACCCACCCCCACCTGCGCCACACAGTCCAACTGCCCCAGTGCCGACATCCCCGCAATCCCCGCCATCCTCGTTCCCACATCTCCTCTTTATCAGTGGGCATGGTGGCTCGGCCATGCCAGGGCGTGGACCAAGATCGCCTGGTCCAGTTGAGAGGAGTGCCACCCCTGAATGTTCAGGAAATGCACCAAGGGATACCTTGCACCCCATTCAACGAGAACGTAGCAATTCCCGTCGCAGCTTGACGCCCACCCCACCCGAACCGTCGACTGCTCAAGTAGAGAAGGCAACCAAGAAGCTGCGACGACAGGTTTCGAACCTGGAGGACGAGATTTCCAGGTTCAGAAAGCAAGAGCGCGTCAACTCAAAAATGAAGAAACAGCTGGACGAGCTCGAAGCTCGCGAACGAGGATGGAACGAAACGACACTCGCTTTATCGCAGGCCAGGGATGACAACGACCTCCTTCGCGTCCAAGTTTCGGAAATGCAGGAGACAATCGACCGTCAGATGCAAGAACTCTCGGAATATAAGCGCCAACTCGCCAAGTCCGAGGACAAGCGCTTATCGGCTGAGCATGCCAATGCACGACTCCAGCGAGCGCTAAAGGACAAGGGGTGTGTCCTCAGGAGGGAGCATCAGCATCTGAACTCCCGGATATCGCATACCGAACTCAATCTTCAACGGGTCCTCGGGGCTGTGTCAAGGAATAGCGAACTCAGTGACCGCCTTCTCGAAACAGAGCGGGAAGTTGCATCCCTTCAACGGCAGCTGGCGGAGGCAAGGAGCGAGAATGCTCGCCTTGTCTGCCTTTCTGCGCGTCGACAAGAGTCGCTTCCGCCGCCTCCGTATGAATCCACAGTTGGGCTCCGCTCGTGATCAGACTATTCGTAATTTATATCCCCTCATCCCACTCAAAGAAATTTCCTATTCGCTGTACTTTTAATGATGTTAATGACGTTTAATGTTTTCTTGGGCAACGCGGCTGGCGGGGATCGAACGTTGAACCCTCGTGGTCCGACCCCGCCGTCGTGAGAATACTCTATCCACCGACAGTTCGCGATACTCGGAATGTGTTATTTCCCTTGAACTCCTACATAGCACGGCTAATCGACTTCCTCCATATCCGTTTCTAGACTGCAAAGAAGATTGCGCTGGCTCATGGACCATGGAAGAATGACTGAAAGGATTATTCATCTTGGCAAGTCGTCACATCTATGTCACGTACATATCACTGCACGCATCACGCCTGACCCAATTCCTAGTGCTGAGTGGAGATTGAGGCAAAAGGATCGTATTTGACAGTCACGACTCACCTCGTGACGGGAAAGTTTCTGAAAACGCGTAGAATGCCTTGAGGCAGGCCTAGCGTCATTCTCGCACCTACTACTATGGCCAGCCAGCAACCGCAACGCCAGCGGTCGATGGCCGCCTTCCAGAGCTGCTCCCAGTTCTATGTCATCGACAGCCACATCTGGGTCATCAATGGTGACTGTATCAACTACCGCACCCTGGGCCGCGACGAGGCATCAAACTCGAGAACAATGCCCTCCACCTTTTCCATGCAAAGAACAGCAGCCGCAGAACAAGTCGCCGTCACCAATTCGCCTGCGCCTTGGATCTACACAAGCGCATCTTTCGGAGAAGTGAGACTGGCTTTGGGCTGTATCTCAGAGGTGATCCGGTTTAGCCAGATCAAGGGCCTCTATTCCCATACCCGCGAATTGGCGGAGGTTGTGGTGCTGGCGGAAAAAGCGTACAAGGCTTGCAGAGGGATCGACATTGCCAGTCTTGTCCAACGCGGCATAAAGGAATGCATCTCAGGACTCGCCCAATGTCTTCCCGGTATCTTTTCTGAACTGATGCACATCGCCTTCCTTTCCGATGGCGCTAATCTGCAAAGCTCCCTGTTGGGAGGTATTGTGCAACGCTGGTGGAACAGCAACCAGAAGGAAGAAGAAATCTCGACTCTGCGGGAGAAGGTGCAGAAGCACTTGGAGAATTTGTGCGGATGTCTATACTCGCTTAAATCGTAAGAATCGGTATTAAATTTTAATGCCCTGGCCGTACTGACTGCAATTCATAGATTCCATTGGTTGAAATGGGTGATGTTCCTATCCCTCGAGGACGGCTCTCACTTCAACCCCGAAATCCTGTTCCGCTTTCTGGAATCCCGGACACCGTCTCCTCGCCATCTTCGAATCGATGAGGTCCTGATAATGGAACCTCTCGCTGGCCGGCCGCTGTCAGTGCCGACTCGATTTGTATCTTCGTTCGAGGTACGCTTGCTGACACGTAATGAGATCTATAGCTCACCAACAGCATTCACAGGACTTGCACCTTGTCCTCCAGCAAGGCTGCCGGGGAACTCTGACCAGCCGTTACATCGAGTGCAACGAATACCAGTTGGACGAATCATCGACAAATCTGATTCTGGATTCCACGTGTTTCCAGCAGCTCTTCAAGCCAGGCAAACAATTTGAGGTCAGTATCCGAGTGGTAACCCACGGCACGAGGCTATCGGAGTGTCCACGCTGTGGGCATGATAATGGTTATTTAGACGGACGCAGAGTCGACGGATGGGTGAGATGGTAAGTTTAACTGCGTCAACAATCTCAAATCGGTTCTTTACAAGAGTGCGCGAAGCGGTTCGTGCCTCGCTCAGTTTAACGCTGTCGAGTATCAGTATCCGTCAATTCCGACGCCCGAGGATGACGATGTCGGCATAACGTATGTAACTCCTCCACTACATTCCTCTGGTCGGTATTGAAACGATAACAGAGCTGAGGGACAGCACACTGAGGCCGCCTCTACAAGACATGACGCTCAGGCGGACTCCAGCGCCCCTGAACATAATACTACACCAAGACAAACCGGCGGGCATCCTGAAGCTCGAAGCCCTTTGTCGGCTCCTACTTTCCAACAGGCGTCTCCGAATGGTCAGGGAGCTCCCATTGAAAACACTTTGGAAATCGATACTCCACGAGGTGGCATTTCCAGCGTCTCAGAGTAGAGGTCATCTTTTCCAACCCCGTCGAGCAAGACCGCTCTCTCACAATCAGCATACCTGCTTCCCCTGAAGTCCTACCACCACTAAGTCCAGATTTGGAATACGAGTTTGTCCGTTTGGGAGACGTATCGCCATCAAGTAGCCAGCCAAAACCTCTGGCGACCTCTGGGCGGAAAGGCACACAATTCTCGCAAGATGACATTATTGTCGTGTTGGTACTTTCACAAGCCTGATTTCCGAAACACCTTACTCACGTAGATCCAAGGTTGATGGGACCCACGGGGAGTGGAAAGAGCACGGTACGTGGCCCTAATCATTCTCCTGGCCTATTAGTGTTCTCTGACAATCTGTATCTCGACAGTTCATCAACTGCGCGATGAGGAGCCGTGTCGCTCGCGTCACACATTCGGTCCAATCCTGCACCGAAAAGATTCACGTTTATGGTTGCCACCATCCAACCAAGCAAGACAGAAGAGTCTTTTTCATCGATACACCGGGTTTTGAAGGCACTGCCATGAATGACCGCAAAACACTCAAGTCGATCGCCAAGTGGTTGAAGAATATGTTTGTACCTTTGCCTCCTTATTCTATACCTCTCGCTGACTAGATCACGCTTGACGCAGGTACGGGACAGGGGTCAGACTTAGCGGAATCCTTCTATTCCACATGATGACGGAGGCCCGTTGGAATGGGACGAAAGACCACAACCTTGAAGTATTTCAAGAGATGTGCGGCCCAAAGGCCCTGAAAAACGTCGTCGTCGTTTCTACCGGCTGGGAGGAACTAGAGGAGGATGTCGGCTCGATTCGAGAGCAGTACCTTGTTGACAAGGTCTTGGCAGAGTCCATCTCGCAAGGCTGCCGATACGAACGCTTTAGCACCCAGGACTTCGACGCGGCCTGGGATATCATTAACCTTTTCCGATGCAAGGGGAGGGCACTACTTATTCAGGAGGAGATGGCGAAGTGGAGGATGCCACTCAAGATGACCTCGGCATTCAAAGCTTTGGCTCGTTTCGGCCGGATGGGCAAATGAGAGACAGCAGCGATTTTTACGACTTTCCGTTTTAGCTTTTCCAGCTTTCTGGTGCTCTATGTAGATACTACACACATTATGGAAAATTGGAGCATTTTCCGTACCATATATCACCGATAGCTTGGACCCTCTTTTCACGCAACGAGTCCTTCCACAGGTGGCGGCAAGCCCGGATGATCAGGATCAGGTCTACACCCCCCACATGTCAAACACCCGTTTGGAAGAGTGATGATGATGTTCTGGTACCCAACCGGACAGGGTGCGCAAGGAGGCAAGGCGCATGGAATGTGCGTGGGCTCTGGATCTGGCGGAGGGCTGGTCGTTGGGGGTTGGCACAGATCCCCGTGGGGGTCAGGCATGCACGGTCCGCACTGCGTGCACCCGTCGGGGAGGGTGATCATGGTATTCTTCTTGCAGGGCGGACAGGGTGCGCATACTGGGATTGGACATATATCGGGAGGAATTGGTTCCCCTGGAAGGTTTCTGATGTGAATGGAAGTGGGAACGTTGAGTGCACCAACGATCAGGGTGGGGGTGAGGGCAACCAGTGAGAGGGCTCCATAGTAAGCTCGTCGGGGTAGGGGCATTGTCGAGTACCTAGGTGGAGCGAGGAAGAAGAGGCGTGGGATGAGCGAAATTTATGCGGGCAAAATGCCGAGTCGTTTTCTCATCCAACTACCATCTGACCAAGTCACTCGTGGCCTAGCGGTATATAAATCGCAAGCCTAGCTGCATCGATCGTCGTTGAACATTGATTTATTCCTATATATGAGATATACATGGAGCACTGTTGAGCGCTCACTGCTGTTAAGATGGGCTTCGCGAGCGAGTTGATTCGGATTCAGTAGTCGGCCGACGCCTGTTCGTTGACGAAGCTGGGCTCTTATCTTGTTTACCAGCGGAGCGCTTCGATGGGAGGGGAGTGACATGTGGGCCATCGCTCTCTGTTCTACGGGATATGGCTGGAGAGGACATGTGGACTTCATCATCTCTTGTGTGAATAGATTGCCCTGGTGGAAGAGGAGCGACGGAGGAATCGTTGGCCTGGGGACTCGCGATCGGTATAGTTGTGGCACGGACAACGGGGTTGTCATAGCCTTTGCTGCTAACATAGTCGCAGTCTTCTGCGTCAACGGGGCGCCCTGGTGGACAAAGTGCGATAGGGGGATCGTTTTCTTCTGCTTCTTGAGAAATACAAGGCGGAGGAGAGATAACGGAGCCTTCATGTCCGCCGTCGCTGAGTTCTTCCTCCTTGTCATAGATACTACGCAGCGATGGTCCATGTCCTTCGGCAGGGATAGAGGGTCCAACATTTTCCTCGTCACTGTATTCTTCCTTCTTGTCAAAGCTACGACCCGGTGGTGTACGACTTTGAGGAGGATAAGCGGGACCATCATATCCGTATTCGCTGGATTCTTTCTCCTTGCCATAAAAGCTACGACCCATTGGTGCATGTCCTTGAGGGGGATAAGCGGGACCATCATATTCGTCGTCGCTGGATTCCCCCTTCTTGTTATAAAAATCACGGCCTGGTGATGTATGTCCTTGAGGAGGTGCGCTGTATTTTTGCGTCTTGCTACTATACCAGTTACGACGCGGTGGTTCATATTCTTGCGAATAGCCATAAGGAGTAGGGGGCGGTGGAACCATATCGTTGGCCGAAGTCCGATGATAGTCGCGGTAAGGAGTCGAATTGTAGCCTGAATACGAAGGTCTCGCCCGTGGAGGGTGTGGCCGTAGAATTGTTGGTTGGGGGTAGACTTCGATGGGGAGAGGTGGCAAGTTCCGATTGAGCCTCTCTTGTATCCAAGACTTGATCCCTTCTATCCATTGCCTGTCCATTTTCTCGCCATAGCGTCGAAAAGTGTAAACGGACAAAGTACCGTAAATGAAGCCGAGGATTAGCAGGGCTGTCATGGACATCCGTGCAGCGAAAAGGGTGTTTTCTGTCAGTGGTGGATGCTCAATGTCAGCTGTACTTGTGCGCCATATGTAAGATACGATGCAGGCGATGAATAGAAGAATGGACCTGGTAGCCAATTATCAGAAGCAAGTGAGTCACTCGAAATGGCAACAACATACCAGCAAAGCCATATTGCAGGCATCGCGAGGAAGACCCAGACGTTCCAGATGACCCCAAAATCCTTTCTACTTTCCTGAAAAACCATTAGCATTTGCACGCTCCTGAGCGGATAGCAGAAAGACAGACCTCAGCCCATTCCGAGGCATGCCATGGCTTGCGCATTTTATCAAACCAAACGACGTAAAGACAGCCATACATCAAACTTATCAGGGCACAGACTAACGACGCGATTGCGGTATAACGGATAACTCCATCTTTTGCGGCAGCGTCTATCTGCAATACTGTCCAGATGGCCCTGCGTAACGATCAAAGCAAGTCAACAACAGTCCTTTTCCGAAGGAACACGAATTAGACCTTACGTTAGAAGCAAGCTGGAGATGAAGTTGAAGGTCTTCCACTCCTCTATCATCGCCCCGATGAATGTTTCCCAAGTATACATCGTCGTTTCGTACACTGGGGGTAGGTCGATTCGACCTTGGCGCCACAAGATAGAGTCAAGAGACCTTGAGCCTAAGATAAATCCCATCCAACGAATGTCGGCCGAGTCAAGGGCAGAGAACACCCCTGCAACCCGATACAGGTACAGCGAAGGAAGCCAGAGCATTATGCCGTTGTAGACCAACCAAGCTATGTACCCAACAGGGTCGGAGCAGGCCGAATTGTGCTGAGGTTTGTCGGGAATGGGGGGAATTCCATTGGAATAGGGTAGCCCGTGGGCGGCTTTCCCATCTGGAGCGCCTCCATAGACAGGGTGCAGCGGTTCAGCGAATGGTTCAGCCACCCAAACGCCTGGTCCCTGGCTCGAGTATTGCGGACTGCTAGACCACTGTGGGTACAGAAGGGTCGAAGGTTGCGAGGCAGGTTCTGTGCGTTCTTCGATCGTGCTTAGCCTTGCAGGGCGGGCTCCATAGTAATGGCTGTGCCTGTCATCTTGAGGTGTGTACGCCCCATAGCGTGAAGTTGTGGTATATGCCTCTGGATAGCCCGCCTGCCAGTTCTTCCAGAGAGAATCCTGAAGTGGCGCAAAAGTCGTCCTAGGAGGGTTTCCATGTTCGTTCGCACTGGGATCATTGACTTGGGGCATATGGCCGGGTCGAAACGTGGTCGGATAGGAATCTACACCGCCCATGGGAGGGGCACAGTTGGTTAGTCTTCATCAATCAAAATACAGGTCAGAGGCTCCATACCTCTGTGCTTGCGACCCATGTTCAAGAGCTGAATATTATAGGCCTCTCGAGAGAAGAAGGGAGAAAGGAGCGCTAGTCAAGAGCAGGAGGCTGTATGTAGCTTCCGTATACAAAATCCTGCCGGCTTTCCGGGGATTTGAGCGGAAAAGGACGTCGAAGACTAGTGACCGCTGGATGGCAGCTGAAACAAATTCGAGCGCCGAATGTCATAGCCGAGTCTGACCCATATTGCGATGTGAAAGGACAATAATATATTAGAAAAATAGAAACCGGCACTGCGAAAAGGGCGAATGGTGCGGACGGTCGCTTGCAATCTACAGGCAAGGCTGCGTCACGACGATAGAAACTATCTTCTCTCAACTAGACTCCCGTTTCACGATGTATACAATCTTCAAATTCGACGCAAGTCAGAATTGAGTCATAAGGGGATTTTATCACAATAAAACTCACTCGTAATTATCTCACTATCCGTGCCGTACTCACCACACGGCACTGGGTTATGTCCTTGCTATCCTGCCTCGTGCATGACGGTGGGAGCAGAGACTCAGAGCAGGACAGCAGGACAACATGATCATCCCGGTACCAGCGGACGAGACTCCCGCCGCGGTCGCTGACGTCATCCACTCTCACGATCATTGCTTGCTTAGCACTCATCGACACCAACGGAATTCAGTCAAACTTTCAAATGTCAAAGTTACATCCAAAACTAAAAAGTCCATCGTAAGTCGTATAAAAAACACAACAATTGAGTTAAACTGTAAGCCCTAGGTTAATGATCTATCCTGTAGAATTCATATCTATCTATCGTAGGATTTTGAGTGAGTAAAGGTCCGTGTATGCCAATCATAGCGGGGTGCGGTAGTAAGTGGTAGGGAATGCTGATGGTAGTGGTAAGGGTCGAATAGCGGGGTCGATGCGGTAATGCGGCGGCAAAAAGTACAGTGTGCAGAGAAACGAAATAAGTTAAGCGTGTGACAGCGAAAGCAACGGCGGGTGCAGGGCCCGCGAGAACTTAACACTGATCGACCAGCGAGTTCTTGGGCCAAGGCTGGCCAGAATCGGACCAGAGAGTAAGGTTCGGGTTTGAATAAACCTCCTTGTATCTACACGCGATGAAGGAACTGCGTCAGCCATGCAATAGATACGGTGACACAACACCACTCACGTCTCGATGTACTTCGCAGTAGGGAACTCGGGAGGATCACAGCCAATGTTGACCCGGTTCGCAGGTTGGTAGACGCGGATCCAGTCGACGCTCATGGTCGCCGGGAATGTCAACTGGTCGTACTCGATCACTCCGAAGTTTTCAGAGAAACCCAAATTGGCGATAATATACTGTCAAAGACGAATCGGTCACAATCAGGAGTAGTCGCGAAGTGAGCCACGCACCATTGGTTCTTGAGGGAACGGCCTTGCACCGATCTCAGTTGCAGGGTCCGGACCTAGAGCGGCGGAATAGATCGTCCAAGCGCGCTTGTTATCGTTGATCCAGGTGATGTACGCGTCGTCGAACCCGGGCTTGTACTCGAATCCATAAACGGCGAACAATCCACCGCTCAACTCGTACGCTTGCTGATTGGTGATCGCCAGTCCGCTCGTGGTTTGTTGCCAAACACCTGTGCAATGCGGGATCAAAATGTCAGAACAGGTGTTCAATCCCAATCAGAACATGGTTGTCAAAGAAGTTGGGAAGCGTTCAAGTATAGGAAATGATAAAGAGATTGAATGGATTTGCCTTACCTCCGACATAATCGTTGTAATGCGTTACGTCCGGATCGTCGAACTCTACCTCACCGGAGCTATTTCGGATAGCGTACTGGGCCTATAGAGCGTAATCACAGGTTAGTACCCCCAGAATCTTGCAACAGCAGTACTCCAAGACGTACGTTGTAAGGGGCCCATTGGGCTGACAAGGAAACCATTCCCATCCCACCGTGGACGGTAGCTTCGAACACGTCTATTTCCGGCGCAGCGCGGCCAACGTAGGAGCCATCAGGTCTAGCGGGTCCAGGATGTGATTCACCTCGGCATGTGCATGCGGCTACAAAACATGTTAACCAAAGTATCGCGTCGAAGAGAGTTAGCCGAGACTTACATAGCCGTTGCCCTGGGAGATAGGACTATCGAAGGCCATGTCAATACAATCCAAATTGTTGGGAGTTCGGTACTTACGAGAACATCACCGTTATAAGGATCTCCATTCGTCACCGCCGCCTCGGGAAGAGAAGTTCCCGGATAGGTTTGGTTGGGCAGGGTCCCCACGTCGCATGAATCATAGCTGTATGGCCACTGGTGACGATGGTCTCCATGTAAGCGGAGTAATTGGAAATAGCAGCTCAAGATAGACTCACGAGGCCTTCTAAACTCGCACCATAACCAGCTCGTCCGAGATTGCCCAACGCCCAACTGCGTGGGCAAGTTTAGAACCAAGGTCGGCTTCGGGAGAAGCAGCGAAATAAACTCACACAGCGGGCCAGAGGCCACTAGGAAAGCCGAGTCAGACAGGAAAGCAAAATCCAAATGGCTATACCACGTACGCGATAGTGCTGGATCCGGGGAGCCTCACCGATGCTAACAATAGACTGAGCATCAAAAGGGGAATGATTTGAAGGGGAATGCGGTACCTTCGAGTAGACCACCTGTGAAGCAAAACTTATTCCATGTCTGGACCTATGGGTGAAGGGTGGGTTAAGTGACCACTGCCTCGGTAACCAGGAAGGGGCGTACCATTCCGGATTTATACTCCAGATTGTGGTTGAGCGATGGATCCGCGACTCGCTCCAGTGTTAACTGAAGTGCGCCGTCCCGCGTTGTGGCTAGGTCATGCTGTCAGGACATGCATGGCAATGGGAATGAACAAGCATACCTTGTGAAGGATCATACCATTCGAGATCATTCTAGCCGCCGCCTGTCAGTCCGCCATTCACTCGCACACGACAGAAATAGCTTACCGTTCCCCAGTAATGGATGTCAACGGCTTCCCAATAGGGATCGTCTCCAGGATAGAAAGTTCGACCGTCTTCATTGAACTCATCCGAGAACACAAGCACCATCTCCTCGCCATTGTGCCAAGAAGGTTTGGTGTACGCTTCTCGTGGAGTATCTTTATCAATTAGGCCAAAGTTTCCAGGGAGTTCGGGTATCTGGCCACTTGCATTGATTCCGCCTAGGTTGAAGCCGCCTTGTGTTGTCGGCCGCTCTTTCGTCAAATGCGTGATTAGAGGGTAGCCTAGGTGCCTTGAGTAAGGGTACCAGGGACTAATGGCACGGAGGATGACATACCGACACTGATAAGACAACAAGCTCCACGTCAAACGGTGCTCCAGAAGCAAATGTGAAAGGAATACCCACAAGAGCACCAACATTCCCACTATTAAAATAGACAGGCAGCCAAGGTTGGACATCCCCCGATACGAGAAACTGCTCCATTCCGTCTTCGACGAGTCTTGCTTTGGGTCGGGGTTGTGTAGCTCGTCGTCGGGTTCTCGGACGTCCATCAGGAGTGGTGTGCCCCATTGTGCTGGAGAGGGGTCGAGCGAGTACTTGGGGCCTGTGAGCAACATTCGTGACGTTCTTTGGGGCTGCCTACCTTCTCTGATATCGAGGAATGCCTGTAGAACTGCCCGGATATTCAGTTCGCTGACCAGGGAGCACTAAGATGCTACTCACATTATGACCCCCAATCATCGACGACGACTGGCTACTAATGAGCCCCGAGAAGCTATTGATTGAGGGTTGCCGTCGTCCATTAGTGTCGCGTTGACTGTGGTGGGGCAGCAAGCTCGCTGCCGACGCTGAGGACTGAAAGGAGGGTGGATGGCGTGTCATGGGACGAGCCTGACGACGAAGGCAAAGGTAGAGTGGAAGAAGGGTGGAGCTGTCCACCTGTGATCGAAATCCATTTTACGACACACAAAAAAATGCAAAATCGAGGAAGAAACGCCCTCGTTCCGGCTAAACTCCAGCTCGGGATTTTCCGATGCTATTAATAGACGCACACCGTCATTGCCAAGCCTCGCTCCAAGCGCCTGTAGATCTTCTCAGGCCGACGACTGTGATCCAATGATGTAGAGGGCTTGCATATTACACTGTATTTCAGGAATATAAAGAGTATAGATGAGACAAGGTCAGAGAATCGCCCATTCTGCACCCTCGGTGTGTCCGCCATAACTGCCTTACCAACCCCCGGGCCCGGCGATGCGTTGCAGGGGCGGCTCCACATCCATGCTATCCAGTGCTGCTGCGTAGATCATCCTTTGGTGTGGCTTATGACGAATATAATCCCGCTTTGATAAAAAGAAGAGATCCTTTGCGTGTCGCCTTACCCTGGCTATCTCACGCGAAGTTTCGACGAATATTCGAGAATTCTCCAACCGTGATAAGATTTTCCTGCAAGATGAGTTACAGAAACCCTCGCACTTTGAATATTCACTCTCTCGTCCCGCAATACACCGCCTAAGTGGACGTGGTGAAGTAAACCATGCCGAAACTTGCTTACCTTCGACGAGTGAGTATGGCATAGACCTCGAATTAGGTCAAGCTGTCGGTTTTAACACGGTTACGGGGATCTTTGGCCGTTCCAGACTGGTTCTATACAGATGAAGACCAGACCTAGTAAAGAACGTTGGATCTTTCCAATCACATGGATTGATAACGAGGTCGGCATTATCGAGGTTGAGGATGAGAACAGTGCACTCAGAGCGGGTCAGTTAGGTGCGAGACGTCGATTAATTCAAGACGCTTGTAGACAAGTTAGATTATTGACAGTGCGCGAGAAATTGCGGAAGAGGTGAACGAAACAATGCCATTTGGTGTCAACCCTACTGTAGATTGATGGGCGCCTAATGTATATGTGCCCTCCGGATCTGCGCCGAGTGTGTCGAACAGATATACCGATGAGAATATGATAGCACCAGGCAAGTGACAGATCGGCGTTAAAGCATTAATGAACGTCCTTCAAATCCATTATAAGTAATACTAAAATACACGACAGAGTCCGCAGGAAGATGAGAGTTGAAAGAATGTCAAAGCCATGCCAGCCGCTGAGCTCAAATCATCCCCTTCATTTCACCTGCACCTGTCCAATCCTGCCACCGCCCAGGCACAGGCATCAACTGCACCCCCACATCCGTACTGCACTCTTTGATATCCTCGTTACAAACTGGGAACCAGTCTCCAATGGGGACTGGGTAGCGGCCTCTGTAATAGTAGGGGCGAGCTGGAGAGCCGTTTGAACAGGTCCACGCCCAGCTTTAAATATCCACGGACATCTTGAGTATTCGGCCCTGGGCTGCATTTGGACTGCATGTCCCGCGCGAGGGGTTGGGGAGTCTTGAGTGCTCTCCGAGGGCGTATCCACACAAGCTGAGGTCTGGACACTGCAATGCGTATTTTCGTCCAGGACTGGTTGGTTACCTCCTGTTTCAATCCAACTAGTGGCAATTACCAATGGGAAGTAGGAGGGAGGCAGGGTGGGCTGGACCTGGACTCAATAAGATAATTTTGACATGGATGGCGGCGTTTCGCCTCTCGATAGGAGCGGAAAGTAATTGTGGATCCTCGTCCGCTTACTAGAGCACGGATAAGCTGTCAATGATTAGTGGTGAGTGCGATAGAGTGGAAGGTATCGGTGGGCTCACAGAGTCTACGATAGTCCTCCACACAAATGTCCTGGATCTACGACGCGCGCAGAGCAACGGAATCGAACAAAGATGCCGACGGACGTGAATGCTGGAGGAGGGTAAGGTCTGGAGAGGTCTCAACGACAACTCAAGGGCGGAATCCTTGACGCAAATAGGACGGAGGAGTTACTGCCCCTCGACACACCGGCGACAAAACATCGATAGCAATGAATCGAGATTCAATAAACCTTACTGTACACTGTTTTACATTTTTGTGGCCTCCTTGCCTTTTTGCTTTCTAAGCGAGCTTGAGTAGGTCCCCGAGGACGCCCATAGCCGTCACAGCAGCACCAGCACCAGCGCCCTGGACGATCAAAGGCCGAGGGCTGTACCTCTCTGTGTGGTACATGATGATGTTATCTGAACCACCGAGCGAGGTAGCGAATGGGTGAGTAGTAGGGTATCTAAAAGAAAACCGGTGTAAGCACCCACAACCAATGAGATCATTACGAAAGAGAGCGAGTCTACGCACTTCTCAAGGCCAGCCTTGACCTGTCCGTTCTCTACATCGACGACACCGACGAAGCGGAGGACCTTTCCTTCCTTTGCGGCTTCTTCTCTGAGTTTGGCGAATTCAGAGTCGAATTCGGGGAGCCGGGCGATGAATTCGTCGCCTGTTGGGATGCCTTCAAGGGCGGATGGGATCAAGGATTGGGTCTTGACAGAGAGGAAAGAGTCGAGCTCGGGGAGGTTGGTGGGTTCGCTGGAGAATGCGGAGATGATTCGTGAGACGATGGTGAGTTTTCGGGCAACGTCGTAGCCGTTGAGATCATCGGCTGGGTGTGGTTCCTAGAACGCGAGATGTAGCCAACGGATTGAATTGTGAGTTGGAATGACTCACAGTGTAACCCTTTTCGCGTGCAACGGCGACGACAGAAGAGAATGCAGGGCCGTCAGTCTTGCCAGTAGAGAATTCGTTGAAGATGTAGCTCATAGTGCCTGAGAAGACACCCTCGATCTTCTTGACCTAATCAAAGAATCAGAAACGGCCTATTAAAAGCGAGAAATAACTCACCTTGTCACCAGAAGCAACCATCTCCTTCAAAGTGTTGATGACAGGCAATCCGGCACCAACGGTCGACTCGTTCAACCACTTGGCACCAGTTTGCTGGCTAGCTTTGACGATCTGGTCGAACAAAGCCTTGTCTCCAGAGAACGCCTTCTTGTTGGGTGTCGCGACGCTGAAGCCAGCTGCCAGCCATTCAGGGTACCTTCCAGCAACATCGTCGTTGGAAGTATTGTCGACAACGACGACCTGGCGATCACCAGTCAACCAGGCCTTCAACCGGCTGGTGAGCTCGTTCAAATCGGCTTTATCGCTCGAAGCAGCAAGCTGGCTCTTCCATGTGGTGAGTTGTTCAGCCGAGATGGGGTTTTCGGGGGAAGCGTAGAGGGTCGTCTTGGACGATGTGAGGGAGACAAGCTTGAAAGGCGACCTGTTTGCCGGGATCGACAGGAGCTGTCCGATCAGCTCTCCACCCACGAGGCCCACACCGACGACGGCAACGAGGATCTCCTTCTTCTGAACCGACATTGCTGTTCGATACGATAAAGGCTGAATTCGACTAGGTGGGTATGTTTTCGATGGAGATGGTTGCGAGACTGAACTCGATCTTGTAGAAATTGGCCGGTGTGATCTCGGGTGAAGTCTCTTCAGAAATATCGAGGCGTTGACCCTTGATGTTGTTGTCCTTTTGGAAGCTGATTTCAAGCAACACGCACTTCGAGAAAACATTTGCATTGAAATCTTCAATGGCGTGATGTTGATGACATCGGGGTCGAAGACGGCGCCAGGAAACCCAAACGGCCGATGAAACTCTTCACACTGGGACTACTTAGCTTCCAGGACCTAGGCGGTTAGGGCGTCCTAGTGGCAATCCGATTCGACAATTCTCCATCGACATATCAGCCCAGTATCAACGGCACTCACGACATGGAATTACCCCTATCCACGGCGGGAGTGAGGGGTCCTCTGACCGGATCCTGGAACGCGTCTCAACCAGTTTGGCGGTTGTCCCCAGCTATCCTTTCAGTCGCTTCTGAATAGGCGGCAATGATGAACAATCTATCGAGATTCAACCTTATTATATTTATAGCATCCATCCTCCCCAGAGTGCCTTGCGTGCCGTGATTCAGTCAGTTCCCATCGCTCGCTGGCGAACAGATCCCGGTGTCTGTAGGGTCTTTCCCCAGTCCCACCACCTTCTCTGGCTATATCTGTCCTGCTAAAGGCATTCCTGTCCCTTCCTTTAACCCACTGTCCTTTCTGTTATGAAACTCCTTCATGCTCTCAGCTTCTTCGGCATCCTAAGCAGCCTCTCAAGCCCGGTCCTTACCTTCCCAGTTGCCGGTTCGTACATACATCCTCTTGCCGCACCCCACAAACCCTCAACAATCTCTTCTAGTTGACCTAGGATTTCGCCAAGCGACATGCACGGACATCTCTCCAGATTGCAGAGTACGTTGAAATCGCGCAAGTATGCTCCAACATCGCCTCACAAACGGACTTCGATTTCTAGGCTAGGGAAGCATTCTGCACCCACACCGCCTACGCCCCCATTATGCATGTCCAATGCCCGGTAACTTGCGGTACATGCTCCTCGACCGTGGGCCCCCCGGCACCAACATCAAGTCCAGCCTGCATCGACAACGATCCCGCCGAATGTCAGGTGTGTTGCCCCATCTTATCGCTTGTTTGCACCACCAGGATCTAACGCTCCCAGCCAGGCCCGGGCAAACCTATGCAATAACAGCCTGTATTATACGCTCATGAAGACCCAATGCCCCAAGACATGTGGCCACTGTGCACCACTGGAGAGCACTACACCTTCTTCAAGCTCCAGTACCGCCTCCAACACACCGACCGCAGCCGCAGTTACAGGACTGGGCTTTTGTAAAGATCTCGCTTCGAGCGAAGGATGTGGAGAACGACAGACTTCCTTCGCGTTAAACTCTTTCGACGGTTGAGGCAAGAAGTGTTTGGGGGTGAAGACAATGAAAAAAGGCTGCGAGCGACAACCCCGCGTACGACAGTCTTTCGAAGTGCAGCACCAACACACAGGGCTTGCTGAAGTGTGAATATCGGTCTTTCGTTGTGGAGTTATTGGGTCGGATAGAGACAGTCATGGACTCTCTGGTATACCTGTTGTGTGTTTGTTACTTTAGGATGTATTTTAATTAATCGTAACTGGGGCTTTGGGCATTATACGCGCTTTGGGAAGTTCAAGTAGTTCGGTATAATATAAGCAACTTGTCAAGCAAATTGGGAGATCACCGAGTCTCTGAAGCCATCTTCTGGAGAATAGCAAACTCGTCTTTCCCTGTGGCCTTAGACAGGGCGAAGAACTTTGAGTTAGGATCATTGAGTAAGGTTGCAGGTCTGCAGGGTCGTCAGTACGAAACTTTCCACCACCAGGTTAGAAAACACCCACCGATCGAACTCGAGTATTCTGCCTTGGTCGAGGAGCATAACCTGTTCACAGAATTAGGAAGGGCGACAAACAAGGGATCGAAACTTAGAACCAACCCTGTCGTAGTCGATCACCGTCCGCAACCGGTGGGCAATGGTGAGGACCGTGCTCTCTGCGAATTCTTGACGGATTGTTTTTCCGATTAATTCGTCTGTTGCATAGTCGACGCTGAAAATACGGGGGTAAATGGGGTTTGCATGCCGAAATTACGAAGGATTTACCTTGCGGTTGCCTGAAGCGAGTCTACATGAGCGAAACGGCAGGAGTGGAGATAAGGCACAACTCACCTCATCCATGACAAGAATCTTCGAGCGTTTGAGGATTGCGCGGGCCATGCACAACAACTGCTTCTCACTGCCATCCAGCTTGTCAGTACAGGAAACTCGTTTCGTCAAGTAGTTCATACCCAGTTGAGAAGTTCTCGCCGCCCTCGGATACAGGTGAATCGAGATCTTTGAACACATTTACGTTGATGGTGTCAGGAAGCTCAGCGTTATCGCTAGAGGGCAGGAGATGAACGCGGCGTAGAGCTTCGTACTATGAGAAAGGTTGAGTGCAGACCTCAAACAAAGGAAGAAAGGGCTCACGATTTCTGCATCCTCATATTCATCGAAAACGTCAAGGGTTGAGCGCAATGTGCCACTTAGGATGATCGGGTCCTCTGCAGGCGACAACGTCAGAAATCGTCTGACTCGAGTGCCTTGACTTCACGTACGAGGTATGATCGTAATGCGACTGCGAACGTCGGTGAGCCCGACCTTGGAAAGGTCACGCCCATCGACCAAGATGCGCCCTTTGGTGGGCTCCACAAAGCGGAAGAAGGATAGAGCCAAGGTGCTCTTGCCGGATCCGGTTCGCCCAAGGATTCCGACCTGGAAGACTTGATGTTAAGCCTCGCGCGTTTTATACAGGAGCAACACACCCGCTCACCTTTTCTCCAGGTTTAATAGTGAAGGATAGATTGTGCAGCACGTCGGGAAGATCAGGCTATAAAAAAATTTTGAGTGAACAGCATTGAGGAAGATAATGACCGCTTACAGCATAACGAATGGTGAGTTCTTCAACTTGGATTTCACCTTGAGAAGGCCAAGACGCCGGTGGTCTGGGTTCAATAAACTCGGCGGGTTCACGCTTCAGTTCCGAATATTCTTTGACTCGCTCAAGAGCAACCATAGATTGCTCAAGGGCGACAAATCGACGAACCTAAGCGAAGTGTGTCAGTCGCTTTCGGGCCACGACGAACGCGGGTAAGCTACTTACCACAAACAAGAGGTCGTTGGTGATCGTGGTGGCGAACGCCAACGCAAAGCCCGCCAATGAAGCGTTGATGCTTGGGTTCACAAGGCACGCCAGTCCGGTCGCTCCAACCATGGCTGTGGAAATGAGGTTGAACCGGATCGACAACCAACGATTCACTGAAAAAGATGAAAGATTAGACGATCACCCTTAGCTAATATTCTATAGGGGCACTTACCCGCCCACATCCAGTAGAAGGGATTCGAGTTCTGTACACCACAGGATAAGTCTATCTTCTCACAGTCATGGACAAAGGAACAGGAAACACACTGTATCAACACATCGAAGCATCTCTCTTAGTAGCTTCGTAGATGCTCCAAAGGCTCTCAGCACAGGGACACCAGAGATAGTTTCCCCGTATATCGAATAGAGTGGCGAGCGGGATACAGAATCTGCGAAGGCAACCTATCGTCAGTATGCATCAGTATCAGATGCAATGGTTCAACGCACCGAGTCGCCTCATATCCCGCGAGGTTTGTCCATAGATTTTCGCCGCTATCAAAAGTGGCTTCAGCGTTTGCACTCAAAGCGCGTACGGCCATAGTCACGCACCATTCCAATAGAGAACACCGAGAACCGCAATGGCTGCTATAAACACAGGGCCACCGACGACGCTTACGGTGATTACAGAGGTTAGAGCTGAGAGACCCATAATCGTGGTGTATCCGAGGTTCCCAGCAAGTTGACTGTCAATGCCTTTTGGGATGGTCCCATAGGTTAGTCATCGGAAGTGAAGAGGGAAGTGGGCAACCCACCCTCGAAGTCTTTTCCGAAGCGGTTCAGAAGGCGACCGCGAGAAACAGTGTCGTGGAAGCGGATATTGGCAAAGAGAACGGTTTCAAGCAACTTCTTGTAGAGCACAGTCGACGCACGGATTGACCCATCGTAGAGGACGAGCCAACGGCCGGTACCGACGATGAGACCGACGAAGTTGATCGCAGTGTAGATTCCGATATAGAAAATAGGACTTCCGCCTGTATTCTCCAGGGCGGAAGCAGACCAATACCTGCAGACAAAAAGTGCTTAGTGCTGAACTAATGCTGTAAGCAGAATGCTGAACGCACCTGAGCCAGTTGTTCTCCACTACAACGCTCACAGCGGCCAAAACGAAAACCAGGACGAAAAGGGACCAGAACCAGGGACTGCCGCATGCTTGGAAGAACATTGCCCAAACATCCTTCTTGATACGACCAACCGCCCTGACCTCGTCTTCAATAAGTTTTCGAGGAGGTTTCTTCTCTTTCTTCTGACCATCAGAACCATGCGTCGATTCAGCAGTCGAATTGGATTCCTGCTGAACGCCTTCCCCATGGCCCAGGACCTTCTCCTCAATGTCCACCAGTAGTTTCTTTTCCTCAAGATCGTCCTTCTCCCCGCCATGGGTGGTCTGGCCAAGTGTCTTGATAAGACCTGACCTGTTGAATGAATCGCGGTCGCCGTCGAATACCACTCGACCATTGTCAAGTGCCACGATGTAGGCCGCGTCGCTCGAGCAGAGGTGGACATGATGGGAGACGAGGATGACGGTTCTGCCTTGCATGAGCTCGCCTCGAAGACATTGGTGATAGAGGTGATGGGCAGTGTGGGCGTCGACTGGATTGATTGTCAAATTGGCCTCCCCCTTCGAGAATGAGAGAACCTACCCGCCGACAAAACATCGTCCAGGAAGAGTATCGAGGCTCGCGAATAGACAGCACGAGCGAGGGACACTGCAGCGCGACCGTGAGGAACAAGTACTCCGTCGATGCTTGACTGCACTTACCTCTTGCCTTTTGTCCACCAGAAAGGTTCACCTAGAGCAAAGGGCTTCAGAGTTTGCACCCAACAAACGGACTAACAAATTTGGCTCACCCCTCGTTCTCCGATTTCCGATTCGTCGCCATCTTCCAAAATTTCCAAATCATTCACAAGTGCACATGCCTGAAAATCACAGAATGAGAGTCATGTCGGATTTCTGTAAGTATACTTCCTCACCTCGAGAGTTTCCTGGTATCGCTTTTCGTTGTATGGCAGACCGAACAGGATGTTCTCTGGGTGCAGATTTAGCCTAAGATCGATTGCACGAAGGATTGTGGACGTGGAGTCGCACCTTTGATAGATGCGTTGCGCAACCACGCAGCCTGAAAAAAATGTCAGTTAGCAAATTAACGGCATGTCGCAACAGCGTGATGGTCCTTACCTGGGGAACATAAGCACAGAGTCCTTCAACGACCCACTCCCCTCTCAATCCCGCGTTGGCACTCGATGCGATCGAATCAGGCGGCGACCGAGGGCACAGTATCTGTCCACTCAGGATGTCCGCCTCTCCAAGGAGAGAAAGGAGAAGAAGAGACTTCCCAGATCCAAGCTTTCCGCAGATCAAAGACAATTCTCCGCGAGGGAAGTCAAGGGTGAGATCGACAAGAACAAACTTCTTGGATGGTGTGGTCGGGGTCGATGACGCAGTGCTTGCGTTCGAGCCGTCTTGAGACTGAGATCGTCCTTGGGGCCAGGTCACTGTGCAAGATTGGAATGCTATCTTCGTTCCCTGTTCTTCCAGTGGTAAGACCGGGCTGACTTCGGCGCCATTCATGTATTTCTCAATTCGACGGAGTGAAACCAAGCACTGTTTCGTTGTCAGTATGCGTCGAGACGCGCGTGGAAAAAGCTATCACCTGTAGCAAATTGACAAATGTTTCTGGTAACGCGTTGAAGGCGAACTTCATCTGCGAGAAAACTAGGAGAGGTCAGTTGGTGCACGTTCGGAACCAGGGGCGGCCCCACCAATGATCTGCGGACGTGATTCTGGGGTTAGGTGACGGCGGAGTAGAGGCGAGAAACAAGACATACAGAGGTAAATGCCACTGACGGCGTAAGTGGTTGTTGTCGAACGATCGCGAAGTGCCAAAAGGTGACCAGAACCACCAGAATCGGTGTCAGGTTCCTAGAAACCTCATTCAGACAGTGAAGAGGCAATACTTGCGATTCCAACGAACCAGACGGCAATCCAGAGAGTCTGAAACCGCTGGGTTAAATAACTGAAGCGCTGAACTGCAAAGACACTAACCTGTATCCTATAGTGACGCTTCTGATACTTCAACTCTTTCTCCCGGATACCCATCACTCGCTTTTCGAAACTCCTTTCCCAAGCCATGAACTGCGACGTAACATCAGAAGTGTGAGCTTGGTAAGAGCACGGGCTCTGTACTCACTTTGAGCATGCGAATAGCCCCCAAGATCTGCCAACATGTCAGTGCTATGACCCAGGTCATGATAGGGCTGCTGTACCTCGTTCATCAAGGAGACACGCTCATCTCGGGCTTTCATTAGATTCTCTTGAATGCCTTTGGGAGGGCGGGGTTAGAGAACATAGCGTAACTCCTGGCTAGAACACTCACCTACAAACGTCTTGACCGCCAGATGATTCAACGGGAGGAACAGGCAGATGAGGGCAAGGCCATAGAAACACGACACGCCTGTAGAAGGGAATAGACGTAAGGGTTACGTTCGAATTGAAGGGATTGACCTTCGTACCGAGTAAATCGTACAAGAGGTAAGTTCCTATGACGATCTCGACTGGGTGAACTGAAATTTTCTTGTCAAAGGCGTCGACGCAATACAGGCAACAAGAGTGTCCATACCTATGAGTGTGCTAAACCACCAGGGGAAGTCGGCAATTTTATCAACGTCCGTTGTCATCAGGGTCATGATTTGTCCCTTGCTAGCGAATTCTGAGGCTGACTGTTCTTTCTCTTCACTGCCTTGTCCGTCCGGGTTTGCGTCCTTTGAACCTGCAGATGGAGCAGTAGAGGCAACATCTTTGCGGACCAGGGTTTTGGCGTAGAGAATGCTATTGAGCTGGACTCGGAATCGAACTGGAATCGTCGTTGCGGATAAGAACCACAACTGGCCTGCAACTGAGAAAATATTCAGTTTAGAAGGAGCATTACCTGAAGATGCCTGCATGAAAACTCACTCAAGTATCCGATAGCGTTCGTAGCGATAATTCCAAAAATGTACACCCAGCCCCACCCGCGGTCCTCACGGCCAGGGTCAACCTCCAGGTAGGAGATCAGAAATCGTATGAAGAACGCTTGAACGTAAAAAGAGGCGGCTGTAACTACGCCCAGAACCACCTCCAAGGATAGAAGGTAGCGGTTGAGATGCATCAACCTGTACCACAAATCCCAACCCGAGCCCAGGCGAGGTTTCCAGTTGAGAACTTTGAGCTTGGTGGTTCGCGTCGCCTTTCTCATCAGCGAGTAGTTCAAAACTGCACGGAAATAGGCCGGTAGGAGGGGCAAATCTCCGATTTCAACGCTTGAAGCCGTGTGTCCTAGCCAGACGACCTTGGTCACGTATGAGAACATGAGGGTATCCCATAATGACGATCCTAATTATAACAATACCTGGTCAGAATCCTTGCAATGATTCTCCGGAGTAAACATGAACGTTACCTGTGACTCCACAAACGTTCTCTGGGTCTGGGTTCGTAATGGACTGGACAACTTTATCCGAGTAAACGACTTCTGATGGATAATTTAAAGGGGGACCGGTAGGGGTAGTGACGGCGACGACGCAGACAGCGGAGTATAAGGCGATGACACCGTACCACAGGCCTTGGGAACCGATGTCACTGTGGGATGCCAGGGAATCCGGCAGAATGGCCGCTGTGAGTAGCAAGAGGGTAGACACAGAGGACAGCACTGCAAGGTGAAGAACCAGTTCGCAGTGAGCTGCGACTTCATCCGTGAATGAAGCCTTTGTCGACAGGACCAGAATATAGAGCGTGAAGGCCAGTTGAAGAATCGCGACTAATGATTCTGGTCGGGCGTCGTTCGAGATTGCGTACCCTAGTGCGATTGCATTAACCGCCGCGGCCAGGGCCAGAAGGAGGGCGATACCGGCTTTCCGTCGCCTCATCTGCACTCCTATGTTAAGAAACAGAGAAAATTCAGTGAATTAAAACATACGCGATTCCAGAAAATTTGCTCCTCGATAGGATGGCCGTCTATCAAGTCCTCTGGTGCAGTCACGTCGAATGGGTCGCGCTCGTCTTGTTCATAGCCTTCTGGCAGTCTAATCTTCCCTTCGGCACCATTTTCCTTGAAGTACAAGCGACTTGCGCTGGCCAGTGCGCTTCCAGCGAGGACCGCTGCGATTTCAGTTTGGAAGGGAAACATTTAGGCGGGTCGGTTGCATGCAGCCGTTGGTGTCCGTCGGTCGCGCTTCAATGCCTTTCCCGTGAGTAAGAAAGAAGAATTCAGTGGTAGGGAGATGGTGGTAGCGGTACAAGCTTCAGCTGTGAAAAACGGAATCCATATTGCAGCGATATGAGTTGCCAGGAGTTGCCGCAAACCAGGCATCAATGTGACCGTATGGGTTCACCGCGATGACTAATATCAACTAGCACCGGCCATGTACCGGGCGCTTATGGGCTTCAGCCTTCCACCATTGCTTCGAAGGAGTCCAACTACGAGGTTAAGCGGACAGAGCTCTCGGTATTGAATTTCGCATGTTATCAGGAGCAGCCCCTCTATCTACAACCACTCAGTCAATTGGCAAGGCGAATCTTATACCATGGAATTTCAAAAGTATAAGTAGCTTCTGCAGAATTTGAAGTGACATGATAAGCTTCTCTCGTGAGGAGATAGCCCTCAACAATCAGGTCGACCGTTTTAGCGCTCAGCGCTCAGGACCATGGAACTTGAAGCGTGAGAAGTTCGAACTTCGCGACCACGTGCCTGATTTCTGGAGTCACGCCGTGGGATCACGTCACGCGTTCGTGTGTCCCAGAACGGCAACAATGGGGGAACGTTAGTCTCCGTTAACCTTTCGCCTCCATCATGGCCGGCGCCTTCAGTGGCCACTTGGTCGATTCGTTCAACCAAAGCATGGCGTCGACATCTGGAAACATATCCTTCAATCCCAATATGCACGGCACGCAAGCAAACCAGTCATTCAATCTGTTCACACAGAGCTCAATGTTCAGCGAGGCGGCGTCAGAGGCGACAATGATGAAAATCGCGGCTCTACAGGCCAAGCTGAACCAGAAACTCGGTCCAGAGTATATCTCGCAACGACCCGGAGGTGGCGGTCAACGATTGACGTACGCGGAGGGTTGGAAGATCATAAACCTAGCGAACGAAGTGTTTGGGTTCAATGGGTGGAGTACGAACATTATCAGCTTGACAACCGACTTTATCGATCAGAGCGAGGGAGGCACGAAGTTTAACATCTGCGTTACGGCGATTGTGAGGGTGACGCTGAGGGATGGGGTCTACCATGAAGATACTGGATGTGGGACGGTGGAGAATATCAAGAGCAAAGCTCAAGGACTGGATAAGGTTCGACGCTATTCTATCTCTTGCATATCGAGTATTTGACGTTGTTTCAAGTGTAAGAAAGAGGCTGTAACAGACGCTGTTAAACGTGCACTTCGCAACTTTGGAAACTTGATGGGCAATTGCCTGTATGACAAGTCGTATACGCAAGAAGTCGTGAAGATCAAAGTACCGCCCGTGCGTACCGTTTACAAATGTGCCTTCCCCCTCAGCTTACTGGGTTGCCGTAGGCCAAGTTCGACAAAAGCCAGCTTCATCGAAGGCCCGAGTTTGAAGAAGGAAATTCTGCAGGTTCATCAACGTCCACAAGTACAACTGCTAGCACGTCGTATTCAACTTTGTCTGCAAGACTACCTCAGAACCAGCAGCAACAACCGCAGACTAACCAGTACCAGCGGGCTCCTCCTGCACCTCCTCAGGTTAAAACCGAACCCCAACCTCAAAGCGGGTTTGGGAACAGGCCGTCTGATCCCAAAGGCAAGGCGCCAATACAGCCACATATGCCCCCGCCCAATGGCCCTGCAAATGTGTCCCGACTGCCACCGCCTCTTGAGGCGAAATCCGATAACAGGCGGGTTTCGTTTGCAAAAGCCCCCGCTCCTCCACCTAATGGCAATAGTTCAGTGACTCTGGGAACAAGCTCTTCTGACCGTGATGAGTTTGACTCTTTCCATGGGTTCTCCGACGACGATGCTCTCTTCGCTAGCGTCAATCTCGAGGATTTGGGTCGCCCAATCGGAGACGATGATCTGGGACGGCCGATAGCAGAAGAGGCAGACATGGGGAGACCTTTGGACTACGACGACGATCCTCCAGCACAGGCCGCAGCTCCTGAACCAGCACATCCTGTGTCAAGACCGCAGCAGGGAGCAAGACCCACCAAAACAAGACTCGAGGCCATTATTGCAGCGCAACTGGAGCAGAAGCAGCACGAGGAAGTAGGGGCGAGTTCGAATAATGCTGTTGCGGGGCGATTCACTATACCACCAGGGGGCCATTCGGTCAACAACCGAGCGTCGTTCGGAACGACAGTGACGAACGAGAACAGGAACCCTAACACCAATCAGATTCATGGCGGCAACAACAACAGCACCAAGAATATCGAGGGTGTGAAGCAGAGCACGGCGCCGTCCATGGGCGGGTTCCAGTTCCCTCCCGGTATGCCCAATCCACTTCAATCATCAAACGGGCCAGGGATTGGGATGAAACGACCGGTCGATATGATGTCCAGCAGTATCAATCGTGGTTCTCGTCCGGGCATGGGCCTGCAGCAAGCGCAACAGAACTCTTCAAACGGACGGCAAGTGCTGGGACGGCTTGATAACGGTGACGGTGGAGACATAAAGAGAATGAGACGATGATCGATGATCTCGCTTCATTTTGGTTTTTCGTTCTGCATTAGGGGACCGCTGGATGCTTTCTCTTTTCGATGGGTTTCGTTACCGTTTGCTTTGACTTTGCATGACCATTGTATTCATTCTGTTCACCGTTACCTCTCCATGGTTGTTTTATTTTCGTCTGCTGTCGCAACGTTGTAGTAGTAGTAGTAGTAATATTATACAAGAGTTCATCGTTCGCCGTCAGGAGGTCGAGGAGAGGGTCGGACCAATCGGCGCTCAATTGAGCAATAGGATGATCCGTTCGGAGGCATCGGCCGCAGCGGATCAACACAGCACGCCGCCCACTCCTGAAAGCTTGTTTTTCTACTCAGCATTTACATTCAGCCTCTGTTCTCTCTTTCGCCGTCTGGGATGGGGTACATTCTGGTGCACTGGATTCATTTGTATGCAAACCGGCCCTTGAACTTGGAAGCTCTACAGAAGTCCAAGGCGCCTTCATCGCAGAACAGGTGTATAATCGAGGCACGGAACTTTGGTTAAAACGGCTATCCGGTTCAAAGTTCTGTCGTTTTCACATGCATCCTGGGTCAACTGTGGCCCGGCGTCTATTGCCCCAGCCTTAGGCATGCTTAAGCACCTCTAAGTGCGTCTGGGGAGGCTCAATAGAGAAGGTCGGAAAAGCTATCACACTCTTGACTTTCGTCATATCCCGGTTGGCCCCAGAATCAGGTTTTTCAGACCAATCGTCGCCTCGCCGGCAGCGGAGGCATCATTTCTCGTTGTCCCGAACGGTTCACCAGCATCTGTTTTTGGTATATACCAGAGGCTCCAAGCCCACGAGCTCGAGCTTGATTTCTGTCCCCTCTTCCCCGCATTTTCCCTTGTCCCACCTCCGACGCACTCTTTGTCTTCCCCTCACCGCTCGCCCCTCCTGGTAGTCGCCTCGAAACACTCGCGCAAAGATGTCTAGGAACAACAACAAGAAGCCTGTCGGCTTTGCTACCCACATCACTGCTGGAGGTATTGCTGGTGCTTGTGAAGCGGTCAGTACCCTCTTTGTGAAGGTCGCCATAGACGACGACGGTGCTCATCGTCGTTCTCCTCTAGCTCGCATGTCAACCCCTCGATACCATCAAGGTCCGCATGCAGCTCTCCAAGTCAGGACGAGCCCCCGGAGTACGTCTCCTTCTTCTCTACTTCGAACTATCCCGGGACTTAACGAGATGCATGTTGTGCTCACATAGACAAAACCTCGCGGATTCTTCGCTACCGGTGTGCACATTGTGAAGCGTGAAACCCCTCTGGCTTTGTACAAGGGTCTGGGAGCTGTGCTCTCTGGCATCGTACCCAAGATGGCCATTCGTTTCGCCAGTTTCGAGGCTTACAAGGGTTTCTTGGCGGATAAGGAGACCGGAAAGACGAGTGTGGGCGGGATCTTCGTTGGTGCGTTTTTCTCAATATTTCTTGCGGTTTACTTGGGGGCTCACGAATTGTGTTGAATAGCTGGTCTTGGTGCTGGTATCACCGAAGCCGTGGCTGTCGTGACGCCCATGGAAGTCGTCAAGATCCGATTGCAAGCTCAACAACACTCTCTTGCTGATCCTCTGGAGGCACCAAGATACCGAAACGCTGCTCACGCAGTCTACACCATCGTCCGGGAAGAGGGTTTTGCTACCCTCTACCGTGGTGTTTCTCTGACCGCTCTGCGACAAGCGACCAACCAGGGTCAGTACCATCGCTTTACCCCCATTCGGGTTCCTTTTCTCCACAAATGGGCTACCGATATTGACCCTTGTGATTTTTTTCGTAAACAGGTGCCAACTTCACGGCGTACCAGGAAATCAAAAAGTTTGCGCACAAAATGCAGCCCGACCTCCCTGAACTCCCTTCGTACCAGCACATGATGATTGGTCTTATTTCCGGTGCCATGGGTCCCTTCTCGAACGCACCCATTGACACCATCAAGACCCGTATGTTTCCCTTTCTTCCGTCACATTCCAAGCTCTTCTGACTCAACTTTCTCTCGTACAGGTCTGCAAAAGGCCAAGGCTGAGCCGGGCCAATCCGCTATGCAACGCATTGTTGCCATTGCCAGCGACATGTGGAGAAACGAAGGTTTCAGGTCCTTCTACAAGGGTATCACACCTCGTGTGCTCCGTGTAGCGCCCGGCCAGGCTATCGTCTTCGCTGTGTACGAGCGGGTAAGCACCCTCATTGAGAAGGTGAAACCCAGAGTGCAGGAAGATGATCTGCACTCAGAGTAAGCGGACTTGAGTGGGTTGTGGGAGGGTATTATTTGTAGGGGAAGACAATCGTATAATCAATCGCTATAATGTAATTCATACTGCATATCTATCTCATTTTCATTGCCTCTAAGCTTCTACTCCCCTGTGCACGAGCCAGATTAGATTACTGACTCGTTCGTGAGTTTTTACTCTTGTGGCCCCTAACGTCAATTAAGCGCGGTATGAGTCACCTGACCGTGAACTGACACGCGCTGACCGCGCAAATGTTCGACTGCCCTTTTGTCCTCGACCACAATCCTATGTGCGTTCCTTTGCGTTCAATCTAGACTGGAAGAGCACCAATATACTGGCCTGCTGCAAATCCTGAAGACCTTCATGACACGACAATGAGAGCAACGATAGCAATCACCTCAACACCGCCCAAAGTTCGAACACAGTTCAACATGGAGTCGGCGTGCAAACGAACGCTCTATGGGAATGAAAAGGATAGTTGTGAACAGAAGGATGAATTGGGAAGGATTCAGAAATCAGCCCCTACTCACCAGGAAATATTCAACTGGACGATGACAGCAGAGGCGATTGCCCCGTGCCATATCAAGGACGTACACGAGCTGAAGGAGAGTGAAAAAGGTGTGTGGTTATATGCTGTCCAAAGGCCACGAGGGATCTCTAACTGGCTCTGAGCTCAGGATCCGACTTTTTCTGGCTCGGACGAGTACCTTGTCGAAACGTTCGAATAATTGGTTTGGTGGTCGGTGTGACCGTCTACGAGTCTCGGATTATCTACGCCGGTTCGTGATTTTTTAACCCGTGCTTCTCCCAACGCTACAATTGAATTCTGCAGTCGATGATGGAACTGGGGTAATCGATTGTAACCACAAGATTGTGGTTCCAAAGGTGAAGAACACCGCGGGCAAGAGTGTGACATCATCGACGAGCTCTGCTCTGCCTGAGCTCCCCAAGCCCGTAGCAACCGTCGGGGACCTGGTATACGCAGTCGGACGCGTTACGGTCAAATATGGAGAGCGACAATTGGCTGTGAACCAGCTGGGTAAGACGGCAGCATATCTAGAGTGCGTTGGAACGCTCACCCACTCGTTTAGGCCGCTGCAAATCAATCAACGAGGAACTACAGCACTACGACGCAGTACGTAGGCTGCATAAAGAGAATTATACCTTGAAGGCTCCTTTCGTCCTCCCTGAAGTCAAGAGCCATGATCCTAAACCTGAGACTCCTCGCCGGCCTCCACCCCAACCCGGCAACGTCCAATTCAGCCTACCGCCTTCAAGTCCATCTCTATCTCTCGCATCAAGTCCCGTTAAGCCAGACTCTGTTCCACCAGTATGTGCGATTTAAGCATTTTCTCCCCCGGTTCTAACACACCTCGGATCCAGTCACCTCATAAACTTCGTCATCCTTCTCGACTACGTTCAGCGGATCTAACCCTCAACACTTTCCGAATATACCTTAAACATTTCATGGATCATGACCGGAGTCCAGCAGATCCAACTGTCGACGACGTCGATCCCTTCGTTGCCTCAACGCCAACAAAGCGAACACGCCATCTCGACGATGCAACACCTCGCGCGGGTGTTTCCTTCTCTCGCACGCCTCGACCGTCCAAAGACCCCATATCACTGCCCAAAGCCAGCTCAACCTCGCACATCTCCACCCTGCAACCGTCTACTCGACCTATCCAAGGCTATACAATCTCCTACCTCCGACGGGTCCCCGAGCTCGTCTTCCTCGCCAAACGCGTCTTGCGACAGGATGCTCGTTCTAGCTTACGCAAACGAAAAGAATCAAAGTCCCAGATCTCGTCAAGCCAACTAGCTATGATGAAGCCAACTGCGGGCGACGTGAAGAGATTGTTCAACCTCGCGATTGGGCAGCTATGGAGAGAAGGGAGTATAATCATTTGGGCAGGGCCCAAGAAATCGTGGAGGGATATCAAGAAGGATGCCGAGACGAGTATGCTATGGAAGTCCAATATGAGCGGGGCCAGTTCGATGGTCCCAGATGCATCCTCGGTATTCGGCCATTCCAAATCCAGTATCAACCTCGACCTCGAAGACGAAGGCGAACTATCCGATCCCGGACCCAACGAAGAAGCTTACATTTCCCTCAAGGTATCATACCTCGCGGATAGGCTAGAAGAGGCCATACCCAAAGTCAAGGCCGCAATTCGACGGAGAATGAAACGGGAAGACGCTGAGGGGTACTTCGGAGCAACTCCAGAACAGCTGGCGCGGTTTATGAAGCAGGATGACCAGTGGACATATGTGAGGTTGGACAGCATCGAGGAGGCGCTAGAGCATTTGGAGGCAGAGTCGAGGGTATGGCGTCCCTCGAAAGGACAATGGGATGTTACTTTATGACTTTGGCTTGCTGGCAAGCTTCATTTGGGACGATTGCTTCTCGATACTCTCCTAGTTATGCTTCGTGGATTCCGATATGACGTGTTTACTATATATATATCGTTACAAAGATGGATGGATTAAATAGTGTCTGTATGCGAGAGCAATGGTATATCGTACATAGATGACCGTGGTTAGCGAATATGTTCTACAATAATGAGTGGGATCAGCGGTCCTGCAAATCAGGGGGGATGAACGAATCGTCATAAGCCGGCGGAGGAACATCTTGATCATGGTGTTGACTACTGAGCGCCATCCTCGAAGACTCGGTCTTCAACTGCGTGTTCTCCCGTTCCAACTCCTGGATCCTTCGCTGCATTTCAGCGACACGATTGTCATGGCCCGCCCTCTCCTGCTGCATCTCCCGGATTCTAACCTTCATCCCTTCGTTCTCCCTTGTCACCACTAACAGCACTTGCTGGAGATGATTATCCTCCTGGCTTGATTGTAGCTGTGCTGTCAATTGCTCCAATTCCTGGACCTCCATCTGCAACTCGCGATTCTTCCTTTGTAGATCCTCGATCTGTGTTGTGTCGCGACTAGAAAGGAGGAGCTGCTCCCTCGACCTCTCCGCTGCCCGTACGCGTTCCTTGAGCCCTTGGTTCTCTCGAGTGATGTCCCGCAACAGAACACGGAGTTCTCGTGCACTATTAGCTGTATCTGGCTCGGACATCACCTTGGTCATATCCGCCAGTCTCGTCTTCAGCTCTCCATTTTCCCTCTCGAACTCCTCCATTGCATGCCTCGCATCCTCAATCTCGCTCCTGTAGTTCGCTTCTGCAGAACGCAACTCCCGTATCTGCGAGGTGAGGTTTGAGTTCTCCCGTTTCGACGCCTGCAACATCCCTGTGGCTTGCTGGAGCTGATGTTCAACCTGCTCGAGTTCCGCGACACGGCTAGATAGCCTCTCGATCTCTTTGGTAAGCTCCTCGGAAAGCGCGTTGTCATTGTTTTGCATCTGGGCAAGGACAGAAGCAATGTTGGATTCGAGCTCGGAGATCTTGCCTTTGAGCTCTTCGTTCTCAGTGCGCAACTGTTCGTTCTGCTGGCGATAGTCGTTTTGCTGACCGAGTTGTTCGAGAAGCGTGTTTATCTGCTTTCGGAGCGTCTTGGTCTCGAGCTTAAGTTCTTCGAGTGGATCGTCCTCGCTGAGTGGAGACGCGACGGTTCCGTAGAGCGTTCCTCTTCTCGAGATACTAGGACTTGGAGTTGGATAACGGTTCGGAGAATAAGGCTCTGTACTGAGGAAAGAGGGCATCGAGGGCGGCGTAGACTGCGCATTGGGTGGGCTGCTACTTCGTGGAGTAGCCCCCTCTGATATGGGCGATGGGTAGTGGTTGAAGGACATGGACCTGGAATGACGGAGATGGTCTGATGGAGGTGGTGGTAGGCGAGATGGGCCAGGAATGGGGAGTTCTTTGTCTGTACGAAGGTAGAAGGCGGGCTTAGGCGGCGGAGGTGGGTGCGCCGGTGAAGAGGATATCGACCCTGATCTTGGACGTAAGGAAGGAGGGATGAGGGAAGGGGGGAGTGTCTGTGGGATGTCCTTTCCTTTCAGCTTCGAATGCGTTAGGTGCATCGCGACTGCAAACTCTTCTGCATTGAGATGGACATCCTTTCGCATTGACGCCAGATTACTGCCAAATGAAAATCCCCGCGTTAGACACAATCACTCAGACGCAAGATAAGAGGATCATCGAGAAGTAAATGGCAAAGACTGACCAAATCTGGGAAAGGTCTTCTTCTGCTAACTGATACTGTTGTAGATGGTTGACAACGTCATCTTTGGATACCAACCCTCTACTGGTGGGATCGAGTTCTGAGAAGGATCGATCGTATTCTGCCTTTTCGCGAGGTAGAACCATCCATGGCTTTGTTGCCGTCTTTGGCTTGACAACAGGAGGCTTGGATGGAACACTAGGACTTCTTGCTGGAGGGACTGGGGGCAACCGAGGGCTAGGCATCGGGATGACTGGCGTTTCTCCTGGCGCAAGGAATGGCGATTGTAGTTCGTTGACCACTGCGCTGGTAACTCTATGGAGTTCATCGTGGACTTCGGGGGGTATTGACTGCGGTACGGCTGTAAGATGACAAGACCGGAGTGCTTGAATGAGATACATTCCCAAAGCGAACTCGTAGAAGTTCAGTCGTCCCCGGCTGGTGGTATCGAGCAAAGTCCTGACGAACTGTCAGAACCTTGTGGAAACAGAACAGAGGATCGACCTACCATATCAGCGACAAGTCTTGATAGGCTAAGTTGAAAGACATGAAGATATCGCGCACTTTGTCACCTGGCGCAACGTGTCAGGGCTTCAACCGCGTTCCACGAGAGGTTGGGCGCACCTTCGAGGTATCCGTCTACAAGACCAGAGTTTTGAAACATTTGATAAAACTCGTGGACATTGGCAGATCGGATGGGTGGAAAGGTCGACAATGGGGAAAGCCCTGGATCCTTCTGGGGCGGAGGTGGTGGTGAAATGCCTTCAATTGCCGGCAAGGGTCCAGCTAGTCATAGACAATGCAACACGTTCAACAGTTTTCTAAGGAGGGGGACATCGTATAGATAGCACATACGCTTCTCTAACAGTGATTCCGAGAAGGGCCTACCACTCTGCATCCATCCCATTAGCCGGATCGCCACCACCAGTTCATCTTGGGACAATCGCCCGTTGCTGTCTGCATCCGAAAGGCTCCAGATGTCGCGTAGCTCGAGTCGAGAGAGACCGCTGCGGTTAAAGATGTCGACTGCGGCCTGAGCGGTTAAGAATCCTGCTTCGACACTGTTCGTATGTTCGAGGATCTGCTGGACGAATGCGTTCTCTTCATCGCTGGGTGTGACTGTTGGCTTTTGCATGTACGGTCAGTTGCTGCGTCTTGAGCAGAATGGCTGCGTAGTCGTGACAGCTTCTGACTCTTTGATATTTAACCAAAAGAACAGAGCCGCAGCTGAAGAAGGTCGCGGTCAAGCTTGGGTTTGCGCTGAGGCCCTAGCCCCTGATCCCAATATTGATCCAGCACCGCCATCCCCCTTCGGGCTACTGCCCCCGTCTCCAAGGTCCATCACTGCGCTTTGGAACTTGCCGTCTACTGGCGACTATGCTCTCTAGATTAGTTTTCGTGAAAACGAATGCTTGTAGCAGGTGGCTATCGATTCTACAAGGTGACTATGCCTCGGACTGATAGCCAGACAGCCTGAGAAAAGTTGCCATGTACGCCAAGAGTTGATTGAGCTTTCCTAATGCTCGTCAAGCGCAACGTTAATCTCGCACAGCCCGGACAGAAAGCGGGGACTGTAGCCCTTGGCACCTCTCGAATTGGAATTGGGCTACAGCCACTCTACCTGGTACTGTACGGCATTTATAGGAGGGAAGGACGTGTAGTCACTAAGGGGTATACGAAGGGGGTACAATGGTCGACTTCCCCGGAGCCCACTGTCTTCATGGAGGATAACTATCGAAGGCATATATGCATCTTCGTCCTGAGAGTTGGTGTCGATCGAGGTTCCGGAGCGCGTTTGTCCGTCTGAACCCCAGTTTGCGAATAAACATTTCGCTGGCCCCAATGCGAGACTGAAGCGCTCCTTGGGGGTGAAGTAAAGAAACAATGATGTGTGTAGCTGGCCCTTGTGCTGATACGTTAGGTGCAATATAAGCGTCGGAAACAAGCGCAGGTCCTGGTTTTGAGGTACGTGCTTCGGCTGATCTCGATTCAACGGGGAATGTCCATCCAGGGGCCATTGCTGGCAGTATTGTCGGGGTTGCGGCATTCCTCTTGATTATCACTCCGACATTTTTCTTCCTCCGGGCTCGGATTCGATCTGGTAGGGCTTGAATTTGGATTGGGACTCGGGCTTGGACTGGTTCTCGAAGTGGGATCGCCCGACTCGGACGTTTCACGGATATCGGAAGGCCATGGTATCAAGTCTGGATCTGGAACCGCTATATCACCATCCTCTATGAGGAGTTAGTCGAAGGTAATAGGAGATGAAGGCCCTTGGTGCCTCAATAGGCCTCAATACTAACGCGTGGTTGCCTCTTGGAAGGCTTTTGGTTTCGAATAGGACCCGGGGAAGGAATCTGTTGGATTTTGATCGACATGAATGGCCTTCCGTCCAGGTTTATGGCGTCGAGCCTGAATGCATGTTCGCCGGTCTCTAACTCCCTTGAAGTACAAAGCTCCATCCTGTGGAATCGCGGGGCGACAACCGGATGGGCGAAATCTTTACTGTCATTGAAGTCTGCATCCCGAGGCGGAGCTACCGTCTGCCAGTTCATTTCTGACCAGCACAAGAAGAATGCACCAAGCGAATATATGGGGCGCATTGAGGGATCACCTGCGTTTAGTTATTCTCGAGGCGCACAAGCTGTACGATAAGTAGGTTTCCTTTCCCAAACTAAGAATAGAACTTCTCGAGAAGATAGGTCCGGCCAATGCCGAATAGCATGGGCGCTTAAGTGGGAGACCATCCCTACGTTTGGAGAAACATGAAGGCGATTAATAGTGCCTGAAGTTCCGATACGCTGTTAAAGCAGGTACGAAACTTACAGAACGATCATACCTTAGCAGCCCTTTAATCGCGCGTGAGGAAGGCTGCGACTGGACAAAGGATTTCGAATTCACCGGGACGTCAACTGCGAGGTCACTTGCAGAAAGGCACGTTACGCATGATGGATCAGCGTACGTAGTTGTGCAATGGTGTAATTAAGATTTGAACATGGTTATTTTCCCTTCCCTGCAAAGTGAATATGGCGGTGTACACGCTGGTGGGGATGCTGTGGCTGTGCTAGTTCGTTGGCGTTGTTTAGTTTGAAGAGGCTCGGTAAGCAATGCCATCAACTTGAAGGACGTCTACTTGCCCTTGACTATAGCCGCCATTCGACCAAAAGCTCATCGACATCCATAAGCATGGATACCCCCAAACGCTCGGGATCGGCTTCAGCCGACCAGAAAAAGATCAAGCTCAACGTCAACCAAGGCGCCTCCCCCGTCGACCCTGAAAATGCGACAGGAAAGCGAAGCGAACTCGAACCCATACAGTCTGGCGATATTGGCAATCTTCCAAATGAACCCTCTACCTCTTCTGGTCCAGAAACAGGCTCCGGGAAGACAAGACAGCTGAAAGACAAAGACGATGAAGAGGGCGGTGGAGACGGCGATGTGTCAATGGCTGAGGACAACGACTCTGGGGACGACAACGACGACGAAGACCCTGCTCAACTCGAAGCGACGCGTCTGCGTCTCGAAGAACAGGCTAGGAAATATCTGGCAGCACAGACGCACGAAGTCATCATCCCCTCGTACTCTGCTTGGTTCGATATGTCCAAAATTCATCCCGTTGAACGACGCGCCCTGCCGGAATTCTTCAATTCGCGAAACAGGTCCAAAACCCCGGTCATTTACAAGGACTATCGAGACTTTATGATCAACACATATCGCTTGCGACCGACAGAATATCTCACCGTCACCGCTTGCAGAAGAAACCTTGCGGGAGACGTCTGTGCCATCATGCGTGTGCATGCATTCTTGGAACAGTGGGGTCTTATCAACTACCAGGTACTTTCCGTCATTGTCCTCTTTTTGAGTCTGTTTTTGAATAACCACCCTGCAGATTGACCCAGAACAACGACCAGCCACCCTTGCACCACCTTTCACCGGCCACTTCCGTGTCGTCCTTGACACACCTCGCGGATTGCAGTCTCTGCATCCCGGGACACGTCCCACAAACCCGGCCCTCAATGGCGCTTCGAAGCAGCAACCACCGACAGCTCCTGCACCACCAGCCTCTCTCGAACTGCGATCCAACATCTACCAAACCACCGCGAAATCCTCCCGTACCCTCACCACAGCCGAGGCGACCAACCTTGCCAATGGCTCTGCCCCAGTCAAGACCAACGGCCAACTCCCAGCCCCCACTATTCACACCTGCGACACCTGCGGCGCCGACTGCACTCAAATGCGCTACCATTCTTTGAAGGACAAGAAATACGAAATTTGCGGTCCCTGCTATCTCGACGGCCGGTTCCCGTCAACGATGTTCAGCGGCGACTTCGTCAAGCTCACCAACGCTTCGGCGCCCAGCGACGATTGGTCAGACCAGGAGATTTTGCTGTTGCTGGAAGGTGTAGAGATGTACGATGACGACTGGATCAAGATTGAGGAGCACGTTGGGTCTCGCTCGGCTCAACAATGCTTGCGCAAGTTCCTCGAGCTGCCAATCGAGGATCCTTATATCAACACGGAGGGTTCTATGGGTCCTTTACGCTTCGGCCGTATACCTTTCGAGCAGGCAGACAACCCCGTCATGAGCGTCGTCGCATTCCTCGCTGGCGTTGTCAGCCCTTCCGTCGCCTCAGAAGCTGCCAAAACCGCTCTGCACGAGCTCACCGATAAGAACTCGAAGACGACCAGGGACGAAGAGGGACAGTCGGGTGAAGGCGAGGCTCCCAAGGAAACCGACGAGGACAAGATGGATGAAGACAAGGAGAAGACTGAGGCCGCGCAGAAGCCCGCAGAAGAAGGCGATAACATGGCGGTGGACTCCGGCGCAGCAGCGGCTTCAGGGGACCCGCCATCTTCCTCTGAACGCAACAAGCCCACCCCCACCATCCCGCACTCCAAGGTCGCCCGTGCAGCCCACCTCGCCCTCAAGTCCTCCGCCAAAGCCGCTCAAAAACTCGCCGACGCCGAGGATGCCCAGATCAAGAGCTCCCTCGCCCAGCTCATCAAGCTCACGCTTACCAAGCTGGAGCTCAAGATGTCACAGTTTGAAGAGCTGGAGGAGATCTTGGAGGAGGAGAGGAAGAGCTTGGAGAGCGCAAGGTTGGCTTTGGTGAATGAGCGATTGGGTTTGAAGAAGCTCCTGGATGGTGTCAAAGCTGAGTTGGCCAAGACTGGGGGTGTTGTCCAACCAGGGAGCGCGGCAATGAATGCGCTGAATACTCCGCTTGGGACCACTGGACAGGGCACCGTCGCGGCGGAGGTGCCAGGGACGCAGTCTTTAGATGGTAACAATGGCCCTGCCCAAGATGCTCAGATGATGCAGTTGACTTGAGACCTGCTTGTGGAGCCCAGTACATACTCCTCTCTGTCGTTGGACCTGTTCTCTGTGATATCTGCCCTTTTAGCGCCTATTTTGCTGTTGTATAGTTCTGACTCTTTCCTCTTACTCGTCTTGTGTGAAGGTCCTTCGCCTTTTTTTTTGACTCGCGTTTACATTAATGTATTCGATTTTGTACTATTAATCCCTCCTGAATCTGCGAGGACTGGTACCGCGCGAATCATGAGCTTTATTGAGACAAGGCCCCTCTCCTCCAGCTCGCTCAGCGTTTGAGTCACTGGAGCTGGTACGAGGAGGAACGGGTGCGCTCCGAGTCGGAGAGGTGGGAGAGTCCGACTTAGGTTAGGGTTACACTTGTCCGCACGACGGCCGCAATAACTTGTTGTCCGTCCACCATCGCGTCTAATCCCGTTCTCCAATATCCCGCCTTTGGCATAGACAATCACTGCAGCACAAGTAAGGGGAAATCCCCTTGGATTGATAATGACGGTCGCATCTAGACAGACGGCGTCGACTACAGTCCTCGAAGAAGTCGAGTCGGTGAGGAGAACGTCTGAATGACCGCGGTCAAGGCTGATGTCCAGTTATTATTGTCAGGAGTGTATCTACATCGTATATGAGCGCTTTAGTCTCCAGGTTACCTGATACTCGAGTCTGAAAGCTGCCACTTCTTTGTGCCTCATCGCGGCACGCCGCAGAACATCCAGTACTCTCCCGACACAACGGACCCGGAGGGTGATGGCTATCGCCAGGTTCGACACTGAAAACGGGACAAAAGCTTCTCTTAGTCCTGGACGGGGCTGACGACTTGGTTGTCTTGGGCTATTCTTCGAAACCCGCGTGACGTCGGCTAATCACAGCCGACCAATCCCCTCTGAACATGCCAACCCTCTGGCCTTGGCATACAGTTTGTTCGAGCCTCGAGGTGAGTCTCATTCATTCGTCTCAAAGCTACATTATTGTCGATGAAACGAGAGTTTTGATGGAAGTGTTAATTCCTAGATTGTCGCTGATTATGGCATTCACATGACGCTTTCCTCGATAATTACGGCTTCACTAAAGTAGGCGCGATTCGTGTGCACTGAGTGTGCGCGAACTCCTGTGTCAAGTCGTTATCAAAAGAGCGTAAGGCAATGTGTGCACAAAGTGCAAACACGTATGCCCTCGCTCGAGCGGATATCCGATATGATCACCTCGAGACGCTAAAGTAGCGTGCCATTTTGTCCAGCAGTTTCGGACATGACAAAAAACTTCGAAGGGACCATCATTTGGTAACCACTTACGCATTGTCAATCCTTTTGGAGCGCTCGTGTGTTTTTCCTTACCCCGGGATCACCGTGTCTTGTGGCCTGCATCCCCTCACGGGGCCTTTGCGTCACTAAACCTTAGGCCTATGTGGTGGAAGGTTGACTGAATGGACCCCGTGTCTCTCGGTCCATACTTACCCCTTGCGCTCTCTGGCCAAGGAAAACGAATAGAATTGGTGAATCCACAAACTCTGCGCTGTACCTGTTGGTGGGTGTCGGAAACCCTCTCATCTGTCGCATCTCACGTTCTGAACCTACATAGGCGCCCACAAACCGACCACAAGATTACCTCTCGCCGCAGAGATCTTCATCTCGGCATGTCGACACGTGATCTACTCACCTTATTGTTGGTGCGTCGGTCCTCGTTCAAGCGTCTATCCGTTGCACGTCTTGAAGGCCGCGGAGGGCCACAGATCGATTTTGGAATGTTGTCAGGGCACCCTTTTGTCTGTATCGAGCCTGGTTCTTGATGCGGCGGATGGGGTGTACCGACATGCGGTACTGATCTTGCATATCTTGCATACACTCATATCCTCTTTTAGAATGGTGATATCATATAAAATGCCTGAAGGGCGACATACTCAAGACACGGCTCCCACTTCAAGATACGAGCATGCCCACTGGTTCTCTACAACCTCCCTTGCCCGACTCCATCCGCTCCGGTCGACGGCAATCAGGGGCGACGGTGGACAGCACCAGGACGGTTCTACCTATGTATTCTCCTCTCGGCGAACCACACACTCCCACTGGAAGGGGTGGTATGGAACACGACAATGGGTCAGAGGTCGGAAGCCACAGAAGCAATTTAACAGGCTACAGCGCAGGTCAACTCTCCCATCTTCGTTCTCCAAGCTATTCTACACTTGCACCTTTGGGACATGAAGTGGTTGCTGATGCTTCCGACTCAGCAAGTGTTCGAACGGTGGTTGCATCGCGGAATAGGCCTCCTCGTTATTCGACCATCGCGCCCGCCGACGGGGCTCGTGAAAGTCAACTGGCTGACCAGTACCCCCTCACCTTCCAGCTCCGCAGTGGCCTGAAAAACAGGCCTTGGGCAACCCTTTGGATTCGGGACTCGCGAACGATTGAAGGACGTCGCCCAAGGACCCTCAAAGTACTAGGAAACGAAACGATATCCGGTGTCTTGGAGCTGGACCTCGAGAGCTCGCAAAGCATCACCTCCATCAAGATTAACGTATGTTCAACTTACCCTTGGGCAACCAGCTCTATTAATAATGATATTCAGATTAAAGGAAAGGTCATCACAGGTTTCCTCGACGATCATGCATTCAACATCGTCGACACCGCTATCACCATATGGGATCGGACTTGCGGTGATCCCAGGCACACGACGCCGGGTATCGCTTTTGGAGGGAAGTTCAGCAGCGGCCTCTATCGCTTCCCATTTTCCTTTCCCTTTCCTACCCATGTCAACGCCTCTAGTCTGGCAGCAGTTGATGCGACCGCCTCGCCCACCTTTTCCACTGAGGATTCCACTCACGGACATATCATTACGCCGTTTCTCGGGGCGCAACCTGACCCTCCTTCAACAAGCACACTGCCCTCGAAGGGGGATCGTTCCTCCTTTCTTCGCTTTTTGACACGATCCGACCATCCTTCGGCTTTGTCCACCCCCTCCAGTCCAACCCTTGGGGTGACTCCAGCAGCGGAATCTTCCAGAGCAGGGTCGGACACTATCCATGGCAATGTTGCCTACTCAGATGTCTATCCCCTTCCACCAACCTTTTTGGAACGCGGTGTCAACGCCAACACCAGGTATGAGCTCACGCTCTATATTTCTCATGGGAAGCTTCGTGGAGACAGCCGGTATGTTTTCAAACAGCTGCATTGCAACCCTATCTGACTAATTCGTTTGCAGTCTCCGAGTGCCTGTTCACTATACCCCCTTTTCTCAACCACCGCCATCTTCGTTGGCACGTGCCTCGGCGTACAGGGAAGGTCTTCCCATTCCGACACCACTCCTAGATCCAGCTGGGTGGTTTACGCTTGCACCTGTCTGGATTGCAGGATCGGTCGAACAGAGACGCGTGGTATTGGAGTGTACATTGTCTTTGGCTCAGCCGGTACGTCCCATCCAGTAATCTTCCCTCAGTCATCTTACAGGCTCTTCCAGCTATCTTATGCAAGAGGGACGCATGTGCCGTGCTATATGCGTCTGGCTTGTGACGACCAGCGTGCTTTGGATCTCCTTGCCGTCCCGGATGCATTGTCTGTACATCTGACTCGTCGCGTTCGGTTTCGCAGCTCCCTTGGAGGTAAGCATGGCCAGATCCTTTGGGTGAAAACCTGATGATTGACTGACCGTACGCAGGTAAATCCATTAAGGCCGGCGACGCTAGTTACATGAATGTCACACCCGGCCAGGCAATGCCACTTTCGCTCTCTGACATCATGGTCGCCAGTAAGCGAAGAAGCAATGATAAGAGTCCAGAATCCAGTTCTCGCCAAAGGGTCCCCTCGGTAGGTCCCCATCCGTCTGGGAATGTTGCGGTGAAAGCCCCTTCTGAGGGAGAGGACCTGCGTTCTGAACGGACGAGTGTGGCGATTGCTGCTGGCAGTACATGGTGGATCCCGCCGAAAGCGAGCATTCAAGCGTCGACAATCCGAGTCCTCGAAGGAGAGATACCTCTGCCACCAGACTTGTACCCCTCCAGCTCATTCCCCGCATTCTCCGTCGAAGTAGGTCTGCAAATCCTGAAATCGACTGGCCCATTCTAACCTGATGTACTCCAGTACAGCGTCGAGATGCTTCCATTTAAGTCTCCTCCGTTCCTTACGGATGTTGAACTTCCAGAGCAAAGCACTGTGTGCAGTCGCCAGCCCGTAACCATTGCAAGTTCATCACGGACAGATGAACCCGTTGCCGTACCCTTTGCTATCCGGCAATCGGGGAGTGCTCGTACGGCAATAGCACATCGCGGGAGCGAAAGCCAGGAAATTGAAGAATACATGGCGAATATGGCTGTCTGCACCAGCAATTGGACGCCAATTGAATGAAAGGTACGTAGGTCCCAATGTGCGGTGCCCATCTGGTCCTGAACTCCCGACTCCCAGGTACTAGGGCATCTCGGCGAAGATTCAGTCGCACCTGTTGTTTTGGAACAACTATCAAACCCTTCTAACTGCAGTCAAGGGGTGATGCATTAAACGCAAAGTCTGATACATCGGTCCTAGTGATCAGCAGAAAGATGGACCCTACTGCCTACTGGACATACACGGGCATTCTATTCCGCGCTCTCAGGGTCTTTATGTCGAAGTCCCTTACTTATATCAGTTCCCATTTTACATTACGGCGACTGTGTCCTATATACCCCCTTCCAAAACCACTCTAAAATGTCGGATTCCATTGACAATACCAACGACAACGGCAACTCTCCACCTGAGATCCCTCCAACAGCCCCTGCAGGCATCCTCGTTTGGACTCAACCACCCATCGCAACTTCTACCTCATACTTGAAACTCGCACCTAACAAGCTAGTGACCTTCGGCTGGAACTTCTCCTACGTCCTTGCCACACCTACCCAGCTATCGGTCTCAGCAGCTTGCAGTGGCGGGAATACCTATCCCGTGGATGTCATCCCAGGGACGGCGACTCAGGTGGTCTGGGACATGTACGGGTACCAAAGCGAACATCCAGAGCTCCCGCTTCCGCAAGCAGTGTGTACGCTGTTGGTTCAGCCCGATGACAGGACGTTTGGTTCGAGGGATGGAGGGTACCTGAGTCCGAACAATGAGTTGAGGGTTGCCATTTATAAGCCTCAGCCGTACACTCCTCTTGCCGATGGTACGTGTCGAAAACTTTCCGTTCCTTCTTTATTGGTTTGGGTTGACGCTCAAGGATCTATTGTACTACCAGGTTGGAGTTGCGTTGATTGTTCCAACGCCGGGAGGTTCGTGCCGCACCCGGCGGCGGTGAGCCTAATCGACCATTTTGATAGGTTTTCTCTCAGGAATCCATTTTCTGAGAGCGAATCATCGCTAGCGTCAGCGACCAGAGAAAGGGATGAGAGGTTTTGATATGGCTTCAAAGCGGACAAAATGCATGGACACGGTCTTCTACCCTCCTTCCCGTCTCTTCGGACAGTCGGATCCTTGTCTACCTCCCAGACTCAGGCCTATAATCATTAACCACTTAATACTCCAGGCGAATCAATCGTCCATTCAGAACAACGAAGTAATGTACAGACTAATACAGACAATGGTGTACACACAGACAACATCCAAATGCGAGCAAAGAACGAATGTACAAGTGGAAACGAGCGAGCGAGTAATTAGTGCAACAAGATTTCAGGGCTTTCAGGGCAGCGTGAATCGATGAAGAAGAAAGCGCGAAGATGTCTAAAGAAGTCCGGAGGATGAATGCATGCCAACAATGTAAAAGCAGGGGATTATGCACGAAGGAGGTATGACTGACTGTGAAGCAGCGAGCGGGGCGTATGGTGATGTAGAAGGATCGAGAGCAGTTTTCGTGACATAGAGAGTTCGCGCCGAAGGGAAACCGAAAAAAGGGGCCGTTCAAGCGCCCGAGCGCTTAACTGCATCCGCCTGGCATCAGCTCGTTCTTGGGCCAAGGTTGTCCATACTGCTCCCAGGTCGTCAAATTAGGATTCGTATACGCCTCTTTGTATCTGAAATAAAAAGGTCAGCACCGTCAAGACCATCCCATAGAGGGAGTGCGGAAAGGGAGGACATACGTCTCGATATAGGCAGCAGTAGGGAATTCCTTCGGATCACACCCGATGTTCTTTGCGCCTTTAGGCTGGTACACCCGGACATAGTCAATGCTCATGACTCCCGGGAAGGTTAGTCTTTCCGTCTCGATCAAGCCAAAGTTTTCAGAGATGCCGACGTTCATGATGATGTACTAGTGGTAATGGAATGTTTAAGTGAGACCAGCCCCAAGGGAAGTGGCAAGACGTACCATGGGCTCCAGAGGCATGGGGCGTGCAGAGATTTCAACTTCGGGGTCTGGGCCCATAGCAGCTGAGAAGACAGTCCACGCTCTCTCGTTGTTATTGTACCACGTAATATAGGCGTCGTCGAATCTATAGTCATTCATCAATGAGCGCGACCAGGAAAGGAGGACAGATAGACTCGCCCAGGCTTATACTCGAACCCATACGTCGTAAAACATCCTCCATCCAGCTCGTAGCAAGATTGGTTGGTCAAAGCCAATCCGCTAGTAGTTTGCTGGAATACACCTCCACGATACGTATTGGGTGCAGTAACATCTGGATCATCGAATATCATTGCATCAGACACGTTCAGAGTTCGGTACCTGGCGTTGAAAGGTGCCCATTGGGACGAGAGGGAGACCTATCCGTCGAGTTAGCGAACAGGCATCTCCGCTGTGATCCCGGATATCGTGAAACGTACGTGTCCGACACCTTGATCCACAGTAGCCTCGATAACGTCTATCTCCGGAGCTGCGCGGCCGACGTAGACGCCGTTGGACCTGACAGGACCAGGGTGGGACTCTCCTGGGCAGGTACAGGCAGCTAGCGAACGAAACTCTTTAAGTTGCGAACATCACTGCAAATGCCGAGATACTTACACAGACGCTGACCAGGGAGGTATGACTAGAGTGCAGTAAAATGGAAGTGTCAGAGCGTGGTACCGGCAAGAATATTTGGCAACATACCAGGGCATCGAAGTTGGCAGGATCTCCCTCCGTGGTCGCGAGTAGAGGCAGCGATGTTCCTGGGTATGTCTGATTGGGCAGGGTGCCGACATCACAGGAGTCGTAGCTATACGGCCACTAGGAAACGCAAATTCTGAGTCTATATCAACTGAGAGGTTTTTGGTTACTCACTAAGCCCTCCACACTGGCACCATATCCGGCGCGACCTAGGTTTCCCATTGTCCAGCTTCAGAGGAAATCAATTGACAGTCAGGCAAATTGGGACGGCCAAAGATATCACATACACTGCAGGCCAATGGCCACTGAAAGCTCATTTTGTCAATACAACACCAACGCACTAACCATTCGGGGGCAAGTCTCACCTGATAGAACTGGATCCCGGAAGCCGAACCATGACTTCGATCAGGCCACCGGTGAAGCAGAATTTGTTCCTTGGTACGAGGGTGAGCTCAAGTCCCAGAGGCACAAGTTAAAGAAGTTACCAGCTTTGAACCTAAAGAGCATTCAGTTGGCCAAAGGCGATTCGCAGACTCGAGGGAGGACTTACCATGGCCGACTTGTATCGCATATTGTGATTTAAAGACGGATCGGCAACCTCGTCGATAGTGATCTGCAGTGCCCCATTGGCGGTGGTTACTAGTACATAGTCAGTCAATCAGGCGTCACTTCACTCTCGACAAGCGCCAATCCATTGACACACCTTGAGCAGGATCATACCACTCCAAATCATTCTATCACCCAAGAACCGCAATGAGAAGACATAACGTCATGTTAGCGCCAATCCACAGCTATCAAAACGAACGAGATAGGAAGAGGAAGAGCGCTTACCGTTCCCCAATAATGCAAATCCACGGCCTCCCAGTACGGATCATCCCCAGGATAAAACGTCCGTCCATCCTCGTTGAACTCGTCCGAAAAGACCAACTCGAATTCCTCCCCTCTCAGATAGGATATCTTCGTATACGCCTCCCGAGGAGTATCTTTATCAATCAAGCCGTAGTTTCCGGCAAAAGAGGGGATTTGACCAGACGCGTTGATACCGCCTAGGTTGAACCCTCCTTGGGTTGTATAATCCACCTTTGTGAAATGCGAGATCAAGGGGTAACCTATTGATTCTAGGGTCAGCGCACTGTAAGGCTTTCAAGACGATAGGTTCGGACATACCGCCACTAAAACAACCATCGTTCAATTTTTAGGTCGTCAGCGCCATGTCGGGTTCGTCGGAGTACCACGTAGGAGCGAGGTACACTCACAAGAGCATAAGCAACCCAATGATAAGAATCGAGAGACACCCCACATTCGACAACCCTCTCGAAGTGAGCAGTGAACTCCCAAAATCACTCCTTCGATCTCGTTTAGGATCCGGGTTGTGCAGGATATCGTCCGGTTCAGGCGTCGTCATGTACAACGACACGCCCCATGTTCTCGGTGAAGGCGATAGAGAATACTACATATCCCACTGTCAGAAAGCTATCCCCGAAGTGCAAACACTACACAAACCTTGTCGGCAAAGGACTAGATAAGTACCCCATAGCCAAGAAAACCTCGTTAATTAGGCCAAGAAACTAACAGCAAGTGATAAACGACCCACCGCATGGCCAGATGACGGCGGGCCAGTCTTGAGCGGTACATTGTTCTTTGGTCCAGCCAGAAACACCGCTTCATACCTCCCTTCCTCCTGTGCGCTACGCCTATGCGTTGGGAGTAAACTCGTCCTCGACGACGAGACGGTCGAGCTTGGCGTTCTGTACATCGTCGGGCTGCCCCTTTGATCGTCGTCAAAATGCTTCCGAGGCTTGCGTTTCTGGTCGACTATGTACCGGCGAAGAAAGACTTGTAATAAGTAGAGAAAGACAGTACGCGCTCGCGCGTAGTATTAGTACGGATCTTCAAAGAGAGTGAGCGTTGAGGGTAGAAACCGTTGAGCGTCGCCGCCGCCCATTGGAGCTGCCAAAAGCACAACAATAACTGTTTGGGGACAAACACTCTCAAATAGGAAGGTGCTAGCCCCTATCCCTATCCGCAGTGACGCGACGGAGACTAGCCTCAGTGTCGGCGTAAACTAGATCCCAAAATCCCTCCAGGATTCTCTCAATAAGGGCGTATCCCGAACATCAACCAACTCGGACTTTGTCGCGGCGAGGTGAGGTCAAGCGTCGAGAACTTCCTTCGGGAACATTGAGAAGCACCAATTTAACGCAGCCTCAAGGAACCGTCGTAACCAATTGTGTACGGTGGGAAACATTGCGTCGAGAACTTGACATACATGTGTACAACAGACAGGATTGCGTAGGATATCGAATGTCTATGGAACAAAAAGCCTATAGTTAGTCACAGAGGTCAGAAATCGCAGGGTACATCCGTGAAGTCGAAGGCGGGTATCCCTGAAACGCTTGCTAATAATAATACAATCGAGGGACAAAAATCGAAAAAGAGATCTGAAACAGGAAGTGTACAATCCCAGCCAGCCGGAAGAAAGTTAGTTGGTTGTTTTGAGTGATGTTTTGAGTTGCATTGCGTTGACGTTGTTGTGTTATTGCAGTAGTCGAAAGTGAAATCGTCGGTTGTTGGTATCACGAGTTCAAAGCCTCATCCAATCTATCCAGTTCCTCCTTTGCAGAAACAAGAACCTCCTTAATGTGAATCAATCCCAGCTGCGTTCCTCGAAGATGACAAACACTCACCGTAGCCATAGTCTGCCGAACCTCGTCCTTAATCTCCTTCCACCGCCCCTCATATACCCTCAACATCTCCGCATACTCATCCCTCTGCCTCCGGTCTCCCCTAATCGCAGTCCGAATCACAGCCCTCAACACAAAAATCCCCGCAACCCACTCAGCTTCATCATCCTCCCACACCGCATCCCTCGCCACCATCTCTGAAAACACACGCGCAGAGGTATACGTATAAGCACCCGTCGAATCAGGTCCACCTTCCCTCCCCAACCCAATCATCCCACTTTCCAACGCAGCAGCATGGATCCTTGCCCAATGTATATGATCCTTCCTCCTCTGCCTCTCCACCGCTATCCTCTGCATATCCTCCGTCAACGATGAAGAAGTCGACGCCGGGCCCACCCCAACTCCCACCCCAACCCCAACACCAGCAGCACCCCTCCCATATCCATGCGGCGACACCAACCCGCTCCCGCCACCCGTCGAAGTACCCAACAAACTCGCCACAGGCACCCACACCGAATTCTTCCTAATCTGCGTAAACAACGCCCTCGACGCCGCCAAACTCCCACACGCCCCCGCATGCACCAGCGACGGCGGGAAATACCTCGAGGCTTCCTGGAATCTTGATACAAGCGTATGTGGATTTTCAGAGAGTGTAGCCCCGAAAAGCGCTTCGACGACTGGGGTGAGCGGGGTATGCGAGGGGTGGCTCAGGACGAAGGATTGGATCATTTGCGCGAGGATGGAGGGGTCGAGGTTGGGGGAGAGGAAGGCGTCCCGGAGAGTGTCCTGGGTGATATTTTGGGTGAGGTTCATAGGCGCCATAGAGACTGCGTGTGTCGATATGGGATGCGCATGAGTGCCAGGCTGCGTTTGCTGCTGTTGCGGTTGCTGAGGTGTAGGCCCAGGCGTATTTGAATGGCTTGCCATTGAAGGGCCCTGAACCATACCACCATATCCCAGTTGCTGGCCAATAGAGATAGGCTGTTGCTGGTGTTGTTGTTGTTGCTGTTGCTGCGAACTAGCAGTCATAACCGGGCTCGAGCTCGTCGACGGATGCGTAGCATGGTCCACATGCTGAGTCGCATACCCCGTCAAACTAGCTTGCTGTTGCTGCTGTTGCGTCGGCTGGGGCGTCACTTGAGCCTGAATGGAAGTCCATGCTACAGTTGGAGAAAGACTCGTCGAACTATCCCCAGCTGTAGAGAAAAAGTCAATAATAAGCCGAATAGAAAAGAAGTATACGAGGGTTACATACATTTGTCAATGATAGCCTGCTCAATAGACTGCTTCTTTACCGACCGCGGCTTGCCCTCCGCCTTGCGCCTATTCCGTCCAACCGTATTCTTGAACCAGTTATAGATTTGCTGGAGACATGCAAAAAAGGACATTGGCACACAAACGCGAGGCAGGGGCGCGATGACTCCGGTATACCACACACACCTCTTTAAACCTCGAATCCCCCTCTTCTAAAGTATGGAACTCATGTGGTAGTCCATAGGTATCAATGAACTTTTGAGCCTGCACCAACGCATACTTCTTCGCATCGCCCCGCACAGAGCCATGACTTCTCCGTTCGAATTCAGGGAGATGGCTGGCATTATTTCATACCGGTGGCCACGCACATGCACCCAAAAAGTCAGAAACGAAGGTTCTCCTAAAGGTAGAACTGAAATCCTTACCTCTTCAGAAAAGCAAGCTGTTGCTCTGTGTACGATTTGGGGAGCCTAGGTTTCACCCTAGGATCGGACATCTGAAAAAGTCGAAATCTCCAGAATTCGAAATCTTTGCAATCGAGTCTGGTTCGCGAGGATTGGACAGAGAGTACCCCGGCAACCGTCAATCAACCCAGCACCCTGCCAAGGGAATCTTAGTACGGCAGTCGCCGAGATTCAAAGTACGACCGCCCTCAGGATTCTTACAGCCACTCCGAAACTGCAAGGCTCTAAATCCTAGTGTATTATCTGCATTATACGATGGGGTATACTTTGATATATGCGGTAAAGAAAGATGCGCGTGTAGTAACATTAGTAACTTCGGCAACGAAAACGAATGGGCGCAAAGTGCATCTAGTTTTTGGGTTTGCGGCTGATGACGAGGTACATTGGCGTGAAGAGCTGCAAGCACATCAGTCACACATCCCGTCGACAAGTACGGATAGAGACGAACCTTGGTCTGACCACCCTTAACCAAAGCCTCACCGGCAATCCGAAGGGATTCACCAACGTCGTGCGTACCCTTGGGGACAAGCCCAATCCACTCCATAATCCGGACAGCATTATGCGTAACAATCTGTCCACTCCAGCTCATCCGCCACACCGTGATGTAATCCCAGAAGGTCTGAGCCTTCCGGATATCGCCCTCAAGAGGGTAATACCAAGGGATAGGATCAGGCCTGTCAGCCAAATCCTCCTCGTGCTCAATCTCGAATCCAACATTCTTGAGCGCCTGGCGGGCAACACGGAGGGGTCGCATCTCGGGGATACCATTGCCCAATTCGATCTGATGCGCGAGTTCCTTGTGTTCGGGGATCGAGGGGTCCCAGGCATCAGTCATGCACCACTCGTAGACGCCGAACTGTAGGCACGGGCGCGTCAATGTTATTGTGGACAGAATGAAATGAAAATGTCACGTACAACTCCTCCGGGCTTCAGGACCTTGAAAATTTCACCGTACACACCTTCCCATGTCGGAGCATGGACAGTCGCCTCGATGGCATACACTACCCCACGAAAATCAGCCGCCTTCCCCACAACAAAAACTAAAAATAGGAAACCCACCAGCATCAAACGAGTTTTCGCCAAACTGCTCAGAGAGCTTCATGAAGTCACCCTTGACAAAGGTGACCTGGTCAGAGAGACCGGCGCGTTGTGTGTAGCGGCGAGCACGTTGAATTTGAAAGTCGTTGTTGTTCAAGCCAACGATGGTGGCGTCCGAGAATTGAGCAATCTCACGGGCAGGGCCACCGACACCACAGCCGACATCGAGGACACGCATACCGGGGCGGAGGTTCATTTGGGCGGCGAGGTAGTGTTCATGGCGAGCGAGGGAGGCGTGGAAGGCTTCGCCCTTGTAGAAACGGGAGAAGTGGAAGGACTGGGCCCAGCCGTACTCGTACAACTCGGTAGCACCATCATAGTAACCTAACGAACAACATATCATTAGAACTCTGAATTAGTGTATAAAGGGCGACATACCGTTGACGACATCAGTGTACTTGTCGAGGCGGGCATTGTTGTCCTCTTCGCCCTCGGCCTGCAGGTCCTTCTTCCAGAACTTGGTGTAGTTCTCAACTCGGTTTTGGACACGGCCGTCCTTGAGAGCGGTGGTGCTGGCAGACATCTTTTGGTGAGGAAGGACCTAAATTGACGTGTCAGTACATTCTCAATTCTGCAGGTAGCCCTGTGACATGGCGGGTCTGGCTAGTCCACTTGCGGTCGTATCAAGGCATCGACGCGAAACGGTTTGAACAGCGACCACGACCACTGTCGACAGCGAGCAGGGAAGTTGGACTCACTTGTGGAGGATGGAGAAGGGGGAAGGGCAGGACCTAGAGAAACACGAATGATGGGTTGCCCACTTTTTATTGGATTTCACGACAAATCAGCTCACTTCTCGGATTTTTCGAAATCGGAGATATCACGTGGCGGCCATAACGCGCCTAACACCACCGCGCTATCTCGTTCGATATAACGGGCCCAGAAATGCCAATTTCCATCAAATGGTCTAACGGCGAGGGGCCTGCGTGTTGTCACACCTCTTACGAACCAGCAACAGCCCTGCAAACTAAGCGACAGAATCTATGTTCACGCAGTACATGTTTACAGGGAGGAATGCACGGATACAGCGGCTGACGACAATAGGGTATACATAGCGACAAGAGTAATGATTAGGCGTAAGGACGCATAAACACGAATTACAACGTAGGGTAGCATAAGACACGAATCCAATTTACGCAGCAGCAGCGGCAGGTGCGGCTGCTGGAGCACTGGCCGCGGCAGTGTAATCCTACAACGAAACAGTAAGAAACGGTTCTCCAAGTTCCAAGTAAATGAAGTAACCCACCTCCATTTCGGCATCAAGATCGGCGGCAGTCTTCTGAGGTCGCTCAGAGCGCTTGGCACCAGCACCTCCACCTCGGCCACCACGACGACGGCGGGCAGCAGGGCCACCTCTTGAAACGAACATGAGTTGCGATGAATGGATAGGGACGACAAGGGATCCAACCTTGTGGCAGCAGGAGCAGCCGCAGCAGGGGGAGCGACACGGGCGGAGAGGGGAACTGCTTTGATGGGGTCGACGACAATTTCGATCTTCATCGGGCGTTCTAGAATAGCGAAGGGCGACGGAGGAGAGAGCGAACATTCATTAGCCGGGAGTTCAAGCGAGCGCAACACCAGAATAAGAGAAAAGCGGTGACGGAAAAGTGGACAAGGGCTGTCGACCAACGTCCACAAAGGCCATCTTCGTTACCAGTGTCATCGAAAGCTTTGTCTCTGTCGTCCACTTCCAACAAACTCGACACTCCAAACTTGCATCGACCCCGGACTCTTGACGAAGCCATCTTCTTGACGGCCTTAAGCGGACAGATTGCATGATGTCGTGACATGGTGACAGCCGCTGGTGGTCAGGTGCACCCACACCATGAAGCAACTGAGTACCACATCGCCAATATCGCACAACGACTGCCGAAAAACTCGCCAAACCGCCTCGACATTCATCTGCACGGCATCGCGTCGCATCGCACAGTCGATTTGTCGTCCTCGACCGGAACCGGACAGTGATGGAGCCTGTTCCGAATCTGAGAGGGTGATCAAGCCTCACTGACTCCAGGAACATCTGCACAGAATGGGACAGCCACAAGGGCTTCCATGCAGTGGCTACACATACACAAGCACATCCGGGCTGGAGATCTCCAGACTACGCTCCACAGGGGTGGCAACCCCACTTCCAACTTCCAATAGCCGACGGTTCGAAGGGACAGAGACAGGGAGCCACGGATCCACTGCAACTTAGAAGGGTCGAAAGCATTGCGCAAGCAGTGGTGTGTGTGCTTGCCAAACATATAACGGAGGAGATGAACGGAGGAGAGTCGGGATACTAACTGCCATCGATGAGTCGGTTGTTGTATTGCGTGTAGGCCTTGTTGGCATCGCCCTTGCGCGAGAAGTGGACCGCGGCGACACCTTTCGATTTGCCGTTTGCGTCGTAGTGGAGGGTGACATCTCGGAGTGGGCCAACAGTTGAGGCGAAGAGTTCCTTATTGAAAAAGGAAAGCGGCGTTAGATTGGGGGTTCGAGCAACGTTGCAACACTGCGCGCGCGTACCTTGACTTGGGCTTCATTCACATCGATAGGGAGATTGGACACGATAATCTTGTCAGCAAGAGCAGGTTGGGCGGCGGTAACTTTGCCAGGTTGAACAGCTGCAGCTGCTGCGCGCGTCTTTTGGGCGGGCGCGGGCGCGGCCTTTCCGAGAATCTGCTGTCGTCCAGTCGAGCGACGGCGAGCAGCACCTCCAGCACCTCCACGGCGTCCACCCTTGGGCTTGGAAGCGATGATCTGCATAAATTGGATCAGAAACACGCGCATTTTTTTCTTTTTTCGTTGCTACTCACCTCGTCGAGGCTCTTGTCCATATCCATAGAGGCCATTATGTAGAATTAAGAAGTGTCGTAAAAAGAAAAAGAACGGTGTACAGGGGAAAAAAAGACGAAAGGCTGACGAAAGGGCGGGGTTGGTGGTGGTTGTTGAAAGGAGGCGTGGGGAGCGTGGCGTGCTGTGCATACCTGTCTTTATGAAGGATGCGGAGTTCTAAATTTCTTTCTCATTCTCCGCCTCGAGTCAGCAATTCCACAAAAAGCTGCGTAAAGCTTCTTCAATTCGTCCCTGAAAAGCAATGTCAAGAGGCGGTGGTCGTGGAGGCTGGGGAGGAGGCCGTGGCAGAGGTGGTGGTTTCGCTGGCGGCAGCTCAGCCCCGCCAATGGGCCTCACCTTTGCAGACCTCCAGAATCTCTCCAGAGAGGCGACCGTATTGTATCCTGTGGGTTAAATTTCCACATAATGTACGAGTCATTTGGCGTAATTGACGTGCATCAGTAGCCCAGACATTTACCGGTATTCACAGAACCCTCCGATGAGGAGCAGAGGGTTGCTGAACTCCAATTAGGCATCAGTAACCGCTTGAGGAATTCGCCGTACTACATTGTCGAACGCGTTCAGTCTACTGGTGCGTTACTCTTAAGCCTTCCACAAGAACGAAAATTCATATCATTCATCAAGATCTTCCTCGGTATTCTGACAAATATCGACCCTCGCTGAACAGCCAACCTCAATTGAAGCGGAAAGACCTCCATGCACCTTTCTTCCCGGAAGCTCTGCTAGAAGAATACTTCAACCCGCGAGGCGCAAAAGCGAGACGAGCAGCCAACGCAGGCAAAACCAAAATCAATCTCGATGACTTTATCGATGAAGGAGATGACCAGGTATGTCCCAGTCGTTTCATTTATACAACTTGTCCAATACTCATATCTGCTACCAGGAAAAATCCTCGGACGAACGGTCAGACGCAGGCTCCCAACCAGAAGAAGACTACGACGTCGACGAGGAATACGACAACGATTACGCCGAAAACTACTTTGATAACGGAGAGGGAGACGACATGGATGATCTCGGTGGAGGTGGTGGAGACGATGGTGGAGGTGGAATGGACTATGACTAGGTGCAACCTCAACCGCCGAAAACGTAACCATTGCTGTAGCTTTAATCTGTTGTACAATATCCTACGGTTCACAAAAACATGATCCATGTGCCTGTGGGCTGCACACGTTCTACTAGAAGACCTAACCTATACAATAACCAATAATTATACAACCTTAAGCAATACATATTGTACATCATAGCATAAGAACGTCCATCTGGCTTATCCGTCCTCCTGTTCCTCGCTGGAAAGAAACCAATGATGTCAAATATCAACACCCAGGGAGAAATAAAAGAACACACCTGGAGCAGTAACAGCCGACAATCATCCATCATCACATCCGTAACGTCGTAAGTCTCGTCTGTGACAGTCTCGACATATGGCAGAGCACTCATAATATCCTCCTTGAATACCCCCTTGACGTACACCCTCGAAGGTTCCTTGACCAACTTAGGCTCGCGCCACACAGCTCTACACTTCCCTCTCCCTTGTAACACAGGGTGGTCCTTGGCCTCCTTTCGAGCCGTCCTCGTCTGCGCATACGTGCTGAAATCCCTCAACCTCAAGAACCTCCTCTCCCGCTTCGGCCCTTCTTCTTCACCAGTCGTATCGCTGGCCGCCGTAGTCGTAGTCGATAAATTTGTGACAGGGGCCGTTGCCGTTGCCATCGAAGGAGCAGAACCAGAACCAGAAGCAGCAACCGAGGATGAAGAGAGAGAAGCTTCGCTCCCTTCCCAAGGTTCGTGCGCTTCCGAAACGATACTGCTCCCTCCAGCATATGCAAACTGGTGACTCCTCCCAGGCGGCCACTCATTGATGTTGAACGGACGTTCATGCGCCATCCTCGATATCTCGACACTTTCGATCGCGCGGCTACCGTAGATCGCGTGTTGCCAGTCGGTGCTCAGACATTCTTCAAACCACCGTGTGTTGGGAGGTCCCCAGGTATTCCACACGACAGGTTGACATGCCATTGGATCGAAGGGTTCCGGAGTTGCGGGTTCAGTTGAAGCTTCGGATTCAGATTCAGTGTCAGTCTGGGTTTGAGTTTGGGGCGGAGTGAAGGTGGGGATGGAATTGAGAATGTCGGCGGAGAGTGGTACAAACTGCGAACCAGAGGCCGTGGTCGTGGAACTAGAAGAAGCGAGGTCCTGTGAAGGCGGCGGTGGAACAGGCTGGGAGGTACTCGGAGGCGAAGATGTTGGAGCAGGTGGGAGATTTTGGAGAGGAAGGTCTATCGTAGAGAGAGTTGGGTCCCCAGACAACGGTGCTCGAGCGCCGAATCCACGGAGATCTGAAAAGGACATGGGACGGGTGGGAGGCGGTAAGCGCTCTATGGGAAGTCCGTCTGCTTCCCGTCGCTTAATCCATGCCTCGGGGTTATAATAAGGTATGGGAGGATCATCCTCGTCAATGGGCTCGTCAGTAAACCAGGTATAAGGAGGATTCAGCAGACAGTCGATTTTAATGAAGAATACGAATGAGGAGACGGCTTGGAGGACCGGGTCGGCTGGGTTGAAGACATACAGGCAACAGGCGTGGACGCGCTCGCCAGGGTTGGGGTAGTGTATTTGTTGGTGCCCCTTAAGGAAGCCTTCCATGTTGCTGTGCTCTTCTGGAGTTGGGACGTAACCCGGGGTTGGGTTGCTGCTCAGCGAGATATACCAGTAGGTATAGCCGTTACTGAGGGGCGGGAATGCGAACGCATATCGCATGGTAGGCTCAGAGCTCTGTATCCGAGGGTCGATAAAGTCGTAGACTTCAAAGCGTCCAGTGGGCCGCACGATCAAGCATACGTCGTGCGTCAAAAAGGTGAAATCATCGATGCCGTGTGTACGTGGCATCTTACACTAAACAGGGAGACCATTAGCGAAACACAAGCGTTAGGGGATGAGGGAAGACTCTTACGGATTGGCCAGGCCCATGATGCCAGTTCCATATCTCGAGGTAACCGCCAGAGTTGTCGAAGACTTCCTTGATCAATAGTGCCACGAGATCACCGCATACTTGTACGCGAACGGCTGTAACGACCTCTATCGCTTGAGGGTGGTTACCGGGCTTCGGCAGACATGGGAAGACTGATCGAGGGGCCTTGGGGTGAGGTTGGTTCGTCTTTAAAGATCGTATATGCAAGTCGTACACATGAGGGGACCTGGAAGAAATCAGTCAATACGAATTCAACCTCGGGAAGGAGACTCACTCGGGTGGTGCAACGACAACTAACACCAAAAGATCTTGTACGGGGTCCATAGTAAAGTCCACAATATTGAAGTCGGGCATGACGTGCGTCCAGGACTGTAGAGAGGCTAGAATGGTACCTTCCTTCCCATCAGTCGGGATCCCTATTGAAGGGAGCTCCAGGAAGGAAATCGAGGCAGTAACACGATTCTCGCCCTCTCTCCCATTCGCATAAACACCGCCCACAAATTCGTATAGCGAGCCAGTCGGCGGGAGATTGATTGTACATCGGCGGCGCCATCCTAGCATTCGCCAATTCCGCTCGCGTTCCCTGAGTAAATGCAGTCGGCTTGCGTACGTGCTCGTGTCCTTTTTCGACACTACAGAGACCATGCCGTTCTTGTGAAGCTCGATAATATAATTGAGCAGTGAAGTCTCGACGATAAGCTTCCTGAAGACTCGAGAAACCTAAAAGTGCTGTTATTATTCATCTCCTTGGGTGCGATTCTGAAGTGGCCAAGGTGGACGTACATATTGACATTGGACGAGGTCGAGGCAGTCCAAGTAGCTGAGTATATTGCATACGAGCTCCAATGGCAAGCTTGGCATGCTGACCGCCTGTCGATTGTACCGAGCCATGGTATTGCGAAAGTCGAATGCGTTGGGGAAAGCGGTCTTCATCGCGAACTGGTGCTGTGCAGGGTAAAGCCTGTGCGCCCAATATCCCTAAGAATATATAGGCCTGCAGCCTCGACTAATTGTCAAAGCAACGGTTCCCCCGTCGAGAATTGTCGACTGAATTCGGGCGATATTGTGGGTGTGGGTGCGAGCAAGGTGGTCGTTGGGAACAAAAACAATGAGATTAGCAGTGGTCGGAGAGATCAAAGTGCCCATGCACGTGGTGGGCCCACGTCCCTGGCACACGGCGACTCGGACTCCGGCTTGTCTCCTGATATTGTGTCCACCATGGCCACCTCGACGACGAATCTCAATGGACAACACTCCAGAAGCCCGTCAGCGTCGACCAGCAACGGCGACGATAAACCAGGACCATCGACAACAAACGGCGTGGCATCACCAGTGGATTCCGATGATCCAGTCGAGCGACTACAGAAGGAATTGGAGAAGACAAGGGAAGAGAAGGATGCTTTGGCTGAACAGTACAACACCTTGCTAGCAAGGCTCACAGATATGCGGACGAAACTGGGTACAAAGCTCCAGCAAGACGCTGTATGTCGCTCTGATTTGTATTGACAGCTTACATCCGATGTAACGGTTTCAGGAAGAATTAGATCGTCGCGAACAGCTGATACAGACATTAACTGCTCAAAATGACGACCTCACTGCGACTCTTGAAACTCTGAAAGAGGAACTGGTGACCTCTCATGCCGAGGCAGATCGTACATCCAGAGAACTAGACGCCCTCCGGACGCGTGCTCTCCATGACAATGCCCAAGAAAGCTTACAGCGAGAACGGGAGCTCAGAGAAGCTCAATTGGAACTAGAGAAATGTCGGATGGAGCGAGATGAATGGGAACGAATGGCAATGCAGGAGAAGGCCATCGCGGAGGATGCAAAGTCGACAATAGATGGCCTACAGCGCGACTTGGACTTGGAACGAGAAGCAAGAGAGAGGGAGGCATCTTTGCTCGAAGAGGAGCGAGAAAAGTCGGCCAATCTACAGTCTGTCCTACTGGACTTCCAATCCGGTACGTCTGGGCTATATATGAGCACTCAAGAAGGAGACTCATGCATTCACAGCCAAGGAACACGAACTGAAACAAGCTGTGAAGGACTATGAGGCACAAGTTCTGCAGGTTACGCAGTCGCTAGCAGAGTATAAACATCGAGCCCACACCGCGGAGGTACGCTCTTTCCAATCTTCGTCCGCGACATATCCTCAACTTGCCGCAGTTGAAGCTAGAAGAAAACAATACTGACATCACCAGGACGCAAGAGCTCGAGAAGGAACTGAAGGAGAAGAATCTTCTAATTGGGAAGCTGAGACACGAAGGTGCGCCCTTGTCTTCCCCATTTCACCCTCTAATCTGAGCTAACCGGCCATGTAGCTGTCATCATCAACGAGCATCTCGTCGAGGCACTCCGGCGGCTACGAAAGAACTCGAGCGAGACCAATGTCGACAGGCGCCTGGTAACAAACGTGGTCCTGTCCTTCCTCACCACCCCTCGCGCCGACAGCAAGCGATTCGAGATGTTGAACCTTCTCGCGTCTATACTTCAATGGACAGACTCGGAACGGGAAAAGGCTGGTCTTCAGCGGCAGGGAGGCCCTGCTCTATCACCTCCGGCGACGGGCTTCTGGGGACGTTCGCTTTCATCAGGCCCAATGCACTCGCCCTCGAGGAGTCCAGAACTACCGAAGTCCGATGAAACAGAGGTAAAGCATCTAGTCACCATTTCCCGTGAAGCGGCGCTGATCTTCTATCAGTCGTTCTCCCGCTTGTGGGTTGAATTCTTGCTGACCGAAGCAAGCGGGGATTCCGCATCGAAGAACGACGCACCAGCACCGACCACCAGGAACGGATCTTTGCCCAACACGCCTACATCGACGACAATACCCTTGTCTCCTCCATCGAATGCGCGTCGGTTACCCTCAGTGAGCTCAACAAACTTACCCGGCCTTACGAGTGCCAGTAGGAAGGGCAAGGAGAAGGAAGTTCCTCCTGGCTCGTAGGCTCGCGATGCATCGACCGTTCTTTACACCTTCCTTATCTTATACCTCTGGAATTTTATGAAGATGCGACGGACTGTTCACGGCTTCCTTTTCAGAAATCCAAGTGTACTTCGACTTCGTTCTAATGGAGAATTTGTTGCCCTGTAGGTGATCTGTTTCATGAGTAGGGGGGGATCGAGGTAGACGCGGAAAAGAACAAGTGGGTAGGAAACCTGACCATAGAGACGGGCAAGACGTTCTTCAAGTCTTTGTCTCGAGCAAAAACAGTGTCGACACGTGCAACCTGTCGTCACAGGCCAGTGTTCATTTCCTGGCCAAAATGATGTGATTTCTGAAAAACTAACAATGATCCTCGTCTCACGAAGAGGCCTCCGTTGACAGTTTATTGACACTCCTTCCCGAAACCCGTTGACGTAACCTGCCTTGAAACTGGAGAGATGTCAACGTTTCAAGCTTGCCAAAGAACCGGAACTAGTGAAGAAACTCGATCCCCAAGTCCTCCTCTTCATCAAGCATGTCAAACTGATTTTTGGTATCACATCTCCCCAATCCCTCCTCCCGATCCGCTATTCGTGACCTCACCAGACCCTCCACCTCACTGATGTCTTTCGTCATACTCAACGCCGCTCGGAATTGGCTGACCCAGGGCTCTCGATCACTAGCGTATGTGATTTGGCGGAAGGACATGAGTTCGATGGTTGGTCACTCATTGATCAGTCTGAAAGAGAACGTACCATTGGGCTTCTACAAAGTGTCGCACATGGGCTTGAACGGTTCGTAGGGGCGCTGTTCCCGGAAATTGCGAGCACAGTTTAAGGTAGTCCAATGAAATTTGCATTGGGTCCGGGACGATGTCCGAGAATAGGCTGTCGGGGAAAAAGGTTGAAAGTCAGTAAGTAACGTGTCCTGCGGGATCGACTCTCGAGTCGAGTCACCGAGTAGGCAAGTAGTGGGGCGAGACTCATACCAGGGATTGTCCAACAAAGCCTCGCCTACCATGAGGCCATCTGCACCAGTGTAATCGAGGTTGACTTGCAGATCCGGGAATGCACGAACGTTTCCATTGCTAATAACGGGAACCCTTAGGCTTGATTTTAGCTCCTGGACGATGCTCAGATCCGCTGCGCCTTGCCGTCTTCGCCTGGCAGATACCGTTCGAGCATGGAGTGTAATCCACGAGGCTCCCTGGGCTTCCAGACGTTGCGAAAATTCACTCGTCTTGCCCACGGGTTGGCACAGCCGAATCTTTGCAGAGCACGGCACCGTGAACGAAGTGGCCATCGAGGAAACTGGCGATACCCATGAGGCTAGGGTCGGAATGGTCTGTAGAATAGGGCCTTACCAATCTGCTCGACCAGAGGCCAGTCCCGTTGCCCAAGAAGGTATGCACCATAATGTGCGTCTCGTGCAGCTTCCTGGGGACACCCGAGATTAAGATCTAGGCACTTTCTAAGATCGTAAACCTCTCGTCCAGAAAGACAGACCGCACCGACGTACCTATCCCATCACACCACTGTTGCATTTTTCTCCCTGCTTGCACCACAAGATCGGGGTCATTTCCGCCCAACTGAACCACTACAGGCCTCGTCTTTAGTTTGGCGAACGTTTGCAAGTCTCGGAGATGAAATTCAAGATATTCTTGGTCGTTCAATAGCTTTTCTGGGAGGAGCATTTGGGTATAGGTTGACGTTGCTCCATACTGTTCCACGAGGAGCCGGAATGGCAGGTCCGACTGGTTCACCATTGGCGCTGCAATGTACTTGAGATTTTTTGAATCCATTCCGTCGAGCGCGATGAGAGCTGGTCGCGGTTGGTGACCATTGGGTGACCAGAATCAAAATCCGCGAATGCATGATGCCGCCCAATGCCGCTGGATTGGAAATTCCCACAGGCGTTCTTTGGCCCTTCTCAGAGCTCTTCGGCAACGACGACGCGGTTCGCAGGGAAACACTGCTTCACTCAGCTCAGACGGCCCCTGCTGCTTAGCGACCCAGATATTTGGTGGAAAAGTGCTGACAGTCTTCAGCTGACCTCTGGGCTCATGTTTGCATCACCGTCTCCCCTACGTCCTGTCCGAATCTGCACTGGCTTTGTGAACCTGATACCGAATGCAGGCTCTGCTCTGGAGAACAAGCTTGTTCTGACTCTCTACTTATCACACCTCCCCGCGTTTGCTGTCAAACTCTCTTCCGTGTGGCTGTCCCACAGATTTGGTCAAACTTAGTCCCTCGATTGGCAACAGCTGTCAGAATGCTCATGACCCACCGCCAGAGCCTTACCACTTTCTTCCAAGCAGAAATGCTCTTCTCCCTCGCGGAATCTCGTAACTTGTCGCGAGTGTCCGTGGTTTACCTGCCAACGTTATGGTCTGTCCCGAGGTCTACCTTATCTCCGCCAGGCCAGAAATACATACGCCTCACAACCAATCCCGAACTTCCTGCGAGCCTTGATCAGGACACTTGAGAAGCGGCCTTTCTCACCTGTATGGCTTGATCTTTATGATTCGCGAAAGGGAATGCGAATATCAGATTGTCCATGTGAGTTTATTCACATTTCTACACGTAATATCGCGTTCGACCAGCTTCCTGGACTCAGTCGTCTACTGTTAGGCGACTGCACTCCCTTGTTGCCGAAGCGTCACGTTCCTTGTATATGTGAAGAATCGTCTGACATCCTTGCAGGATTGATAGACCATATCGGGGCCCGTGATCATCTGCCGCAATGCTACGTGTCGGTGTGAGGCAAATCAACCCCACCAAAGACTCTAGAATTGTTCGAACAGAATCACAGTTCTGAATATGGAACCTCGGTGGAGATACACCCTTTCCCCTCTCGAATGCATGGCTACGAATCCGTGCGGTCGTACGCGACCTCGGTAAAGGTGGCGTTCCTTCTTGCCTATGGTCAGTCATCTCTTGGCAGTTTAGGACTAATTCCAATTTCAGACGCAGAGGCCTGAAAATTCAGTCCGTTTGTCCAAAACAGCAAGGCTGACCCGTCGTAATGGTTAGCCGACTTGATTGTTGTTGCTTGTCTCTCTCGTGGTTATCATCCCGCGCTCAGGCGCTGCGACTTCCGGACGGTTAGCAAGCGGTATCCCCTTATTTGTCCTGCTCTGCGGAAGGAGCTCGATACCTGTGTTGCATAGTAGCACGAGCTACAAGGTCACTTCCTTCCTAGTGATAATCACGCCGCAGTGCTTGCTACCTTCTTTCGAACCTGCAGGCGCTGGACCAAATACATGGGGTGGAGAGGCTTTTTGATCGGTGAAGTCTGTCCCACCCTTCTATTTTGCCTGGACGCGCTGATCATTCTCGAAATGACTTTCTATAGATAACTCAATGTTGGTGGTTTTTGGTCTCTTGTCGATCTACGCGGGTCAGGATCGAGGGACCAGTATCGAATGACTTCTTATTTCGGTCATTTCACCTCGTACGTTCTGGTCCTTCTCACCAATGACATCCAACACATAACGTTACCGCCAGCAGTCTAAGCTATTCAAAGCTAACGTTTGAATTAATAAAGATCTTTTGGGTCTCTAAAGGTGGGTCTTCGCGGTGTCCGCGCAGAACGCTACCGCTGCTAGATCCGATTTACGACGAAGGAATTGGGGCCCGTGCATCTGGTCGACATATGCCAGTACTTAACGTACATTGAATCTTCTTTCATTTCTGCGCCTCCTGACATGAACCACCTTCGATGTACTTCATTCACCGACCAGAACGAGAAGCCTGCGTCCCTTCTCACGATAATTGACCGCAGGCCCATGCAACGAGTTGTGTCTGAAGTTTCATGGACGTCACGGGAAACCATTCCCCTTCTATGGTTTTCCCCCGCCAGATGCCTTCAAGTTCAAGTCTTACGATTGCCCGAGGCCACCGGCAGAATGGGCCGTAGGTTTCCACGGACTGACTTCTGCTTGCGACTGGCGCTTACGGTGTTTTCACTGCTGATACGTTGTTAGGAACCTTCAAGACGGAGGTTCGCACTGCTTCGGAAGCGCTTTCCCGATGAAATAGGTATGAACCTTCCCTCAGAGTGGGTCCGTCAATGTCATTCTTACATCTGAGCTTCGTCGAGAAGGCTAGGAAGGGGGTGCATATAGGTAAAATGTCCGAATAGTCTTCACCCCAAAATGATCACGAGTTTGCTCGGAACCAGCACCGGCGCCTCGTTGTTGAAGGGGTAATCGGTCATCTGCATTGAACTAATACACAGTACTGAGCGTACTGAAGTAGATATGATGACTCTTATGAATTCCGCAGCTAGCGGCGCGTTTTGTGTGGGGCGAACCTCAGGTGTATCGGCTCGGAAGTTCTAGCAAAGTATGGGCCCGGCGTTTTCGAAGTAGGAGATTATGTACTTAGAATATGCGTATCTGTGATATCATAGTTGCTTGTTCCATTATACAATCCGAGCTTGAAGGCAGATTTGGCATATTGTCTTTCGGAATTCGCGTTAAATATGTTTATCCAGCGGTGCTGTTGAGCTGCTGGTAAAGCATCTCTCTGTACAGTCAATGGAGGAGCGGTACGGAGGTTTCGAGCCGTTGACAATGAAAGAAAGTAGTGGGGTGTTAGAGTGGAGGTAGAACCAATGTAAATGTGAACATCATGGCGTCCATACTACACCGGTTGTTACCGGTGGCATGACAAGGAGGCCGACAGGGGAAATGGATGATTGAATGCAGAGTGCAGTCACTAAACCTGATCAGCGACCAAGTGAGATGGTTAGGATTTCCATCCTCTCCTACGATTTTGTGCGGTCACCCACATTTTTGAATCCTATGACAGCAACGCTCCGACTCGAAGCTTCATAAGTAGAAGACAACGCATAATAGGTAGGAGTACCCTCCGACCTTTAGCCGTTCCCGTCTTTATATCATCCTCGATCAATAGATTTCGCTCACCTTCATGGTCAAGCTTTCAGAGGCGGGATCCGTCGTCCCGGGCCCTCATCAAATCAAGGAGGGATGCCATACCTTCGAATGGGGATGGACAATTTTTAGCCCGAGTTCCTGATAGTTTAGGGTGTGGGCGCTCAAAACCATTTTCGACATGGATAACCGGCCCGTGATAGTCTCCGTAAAGACTTGACTATTCCTCGCTCCTCGTCGAAGGCCGCGCCGAGCACTCGATGGAATGCTCGACGCCGCATGGTATATGTCTTTCGGGCTACCCGCGAAGGTGTTGCTCCCGCTTAGGCCCTTTCGGATGACAGTCTAAGTGCCTAACGGTTATCGATCCGATCTGGGCCATGTTCTGCAAACCGAACCTCAAACGGAAAGTCACGGTCAGTAAATCTCGCCCTCGTCGGAGAGACAACGTCGTGTTTTTGGTCCGACAGAACTTGCTGGTTCGGGTACGTCTGGTTTTTGCTCCCGTGCACCTAGCTATCCACCGACGAATTTCTACCTTTTTTTGGCCTCATCACCGTGAACTTGGATGACTGAAAAGCAATGTGAGCCGTCTATGTCCGACGTTCCTTGCGTGACCTGACTTCTCAGGATTCCAGAATGTCGTATGAGCAATGGCAATTCACCGACGGTGATTTCGCTCCTGGATTTCCTTTCTGGCACAAGAAATGACTCTCTGAAGGCCCTGAAAGCTACCGCAAGTAATGTATGTACGTTCACCGCCCCCTTGCAACACATTTGATTTCGACAACATAGTGATTCGGTCTCTGTAGATTGTGTTCAGCCTCATGTATTCGTTAACCCTCATTCACCTATTGGGACGTCAGCAATCTAAGCTGGTCCAGGGTCACTCAGAAAGTAGTTGCGTCATTAACAGGGATAACTCATTCACTACTCTGATTATCACTGTGAATTCAGGGAAAGAAATGACGATGGAATGTGTGCGGGGAAATATCCCCGATACGAACGAAGCTTCCTTCGGCACGCGGTGACTAGCATGGTCTTCCAATTCCCAAGGCAATTCACTTGGAGGTTCCTTTACTCTGCCCTAGCACCGCCGGGTCCTAACATATTTATGCTGCCCAAGTTAGCTCCAAGGCATTGGAAGGAAGAAGATCGACATAGATCCTCAAGGACGGTTTTCAGAATTTCATGTACTTTATGTCCGCAAGCAGGCGGTACCTTTATTCTCTCCTGTGGTATATCTGAAACGCAAGTTTCGCCGAGGCAATAGTTTTTGGCGCCCATATGCAGTCCAAAGGTGACTTTGTGACCAGACAGGGGCCCTGATTCTTCGGCTACCAGATTCATCACCGGCGTATTCTCACGGCGCGGCATGTGCCGGCCACTTGCCAGAACCACCTGGCGGAGGCAAAAAGAGTTCAATTCCAGACGATATTCACCTCGCCCACGGAGAAAAACGAAGTCTCCAAGGCCACCGCCTCAAACTTCCTGCTTGGAGCATCCTGCCGTTCGATTGTACAATTGTTGCTATTCCATTATCTGAATCAGGCATTCGGGTCGGTGGTGTTATGGTCGCTCACCGATGGTTCTCGCTGCTACACCGACGTTCTCGAATCTCGAATATGTTGTTTCGTACTCAGCGACGATATAGGGCTTTGACGGAGTGTACATGACAGCCCAGAGCCCCACTCTGGGTTGACCCACCGACAGTCAACAGCCACCTTGGACGCAACACTTGTCTCGACAGATTTAATGTGGCACAATGCCCCTTGCTGTACTTCGTGGAACCGCTGCAATCACCTCGGAGGCGGCCTCGGAGGTACCAATGACTGTTCCATCGGGCTCAATCACTCTTGTTATGGAACAACGCTCGACTGAAGAAGAAAATGACGGGAATAAAAGATTAACCTTGGCAAGAATGGAGGTCCAGGGCGGCTTAGACCCAACAGCTTCGGGTCCCCGGCACGGCCGCTTGCCTCGTGTGGGCAGTTAGGCGCTCGGATAAGCGGGCGATATGCTTGGTGGCTCCAATCTGGCCAAAAAAGAGGTGCGTATTAGGTCTAACCATTGACAGAGCCCTTGATCCACTTCTCTCGCACTTGTTTACATGAACCCTCTGGCTAGGGTCCGGGTTCTGTATCCTGGAACGTGGACGTCTTCGAAGGTTGTCACTTATCGCGTGGATGTAATGGGCTCCTTCGGCGTCGTTAACTGAAACCATCAAATCCATGTATCAAACCGGACGCTCTTTTCCTTTTCTTCAACTTGACGGCGGCTTCGCGGAACCAGTTTCTTCACCACCCTCCTTTTTGGAGAAGGCCGATTGTGTTTGGCAAGGCGTTGCGCATTCAAGGTTCGGAACTCAGGACCGGATGGTACTCGTGATGAGCATAAGCTGCAAGTTCTTCACTTCAGCCAACAGTTCTTTCCTACTTACCTTGTATTCTTTCGCCAGTTCCCAAAACCGTCACAGCCTTTTGCAAAGCAATCGGCAAACAACGACAGGGTTGGGTTCTCCCGGTTCTGTTTTACTGGCATCAGAAGGCGTGGTGTGTCGCTGTTCTTTTGGGATGAAAAGTGGTACAGAAAGGCGAGGGTGGTTAGGCGAAATACTCGGAATGCAACCGTCGTGTCACGAATGTGTAAGTCCAACATGCCATGATCAAAACGAGGGACTTGAGCGCACGATGTCACCTCCCGTTTCTTTGACCATTCTTGGTCGCTTACTCTTGGTCGCTGACATTAGTTCCAGAATGACGAGAGGAGCTCTTTGACGACACGGCCGGCGGGCTGGACATGTCAGCCCACTAGTCAACGCACGTCCCAACAGTCAACGAAATGGCGCAAACGTCAGAGTGGACCCGTCCATCTCGTAAACCCTCCTTAATACATCCCACAAATTAACGTCAAAAGCAGAACACATCCTGTTCAGGGACCTCCTCCATTCTGGTATGTAACCGTTTTATAACCACCATGGTCACAAAAGACGCGATCGAAATCTAATCTCCTTTTTCCCTTTCAATAGTAGAGGCTAACGAAAAGACTCGGATTCCGGTGGCTCCAGATCTAATCCCCGCTCTAGGCAAGGGAAGTTTTTGGGATGAAATCGGATGCACCCTCGAATTCCAAACCCTCCTGAAGAGAAGACTCGGGAGATCTGTACTCTGTATATTTTACGGTACGCATGTCACTGAACATGGCGAATTTGCAGGCAGCCAAGACGTCCAACCGGCCCCGTTTAGGACAGGGTGGATCCGACCGTCTTTTGGGCGCTTGAGATACCGCCAGAAGGGCTTCTCGATCGTTCCAATGCATGTGGTATTAGATGGGTGGACTTCAATTCTGCTTGCTAAATGTCGGTTCATTACGGCAGGTGTACCGGTGTCCCTCGTGTATTGCCCTCTCTACTACCTCTTTTGTCGCTGCGGGCGAACTTGGGACTTGTCGTCGTTTGACGAATCTCGATTCATCTCTCCGTCTTTCGCCTTGACTCGGGGTCTGGCGTGTAAAGAACGAAACTCTCGCTGCCTAGTCCGGTCAACTGTTACGCGCCTTATGATGGCATTGAAAAGCATGTCACAGAAGATAGAAGAAGAAGAAGTTCGGACCGCTTTTGCATCCTCCGAATGCAGCTGCGAGCCAGCGTCTGCGCCTCCGAGGGTGGTGTGTGTTCAATTCCCCCGTCCTATTGAAGCGTATGACAAAAAAGAAACGGTCATTGTGGGCGCTAGAGTTTGCTTGATTTATTGCGTTATCGTATGTGGATTCATTTGTGAGGAGGGATGTATTATGGCGGTGCGTGGCTGCGCCGGAATGGGTTGGCAGATGGTCGATCCTCATTCCTAGCTTCAGGCCCCATGGCCAAGTGAACGATCTACTCACCAGAGTGACTGGGGTATTATCGTCGCCAAGGCTTTGACAGAACGCACGCACACAAACACGCAGTTGTCGCCCTCTGCGAAGTGTCAGAATATATTGCAGGCTATACAGTCCGCGGAAGTAAGTTGGAACAATAAGATTTCGAGGCTCACAACCTGTCCGAGATGGTGTAGTATAGTTAACCTTGAGGAGACAATCAATTGAACGAGTGCAGCCGGCGCACTCGTTGGAGCACACAGATCCCAAAACCAGGCTAAGGTTTCAAGGTCGCAATTCATGTCAAAAAGGAAGCCGACGTCTACCTGCTTGCCTACCAACCTATCTACAACACCTCATTCTCCGGTAGAACTCCTAAACTACATACATACAAACCATCCGCAATCGCCTTTCTTAATTTCGCCGAAGGTCGTGCAGCGGAGCACACAAATACATACATCGACTAGTGTGCTAAACAATCGAGTCCTCCCTGAGGATTGAAGACCATTCGAATCCACCTAAGTATTCCAGTCACTTACGATTAGAAAGTTGAAATGTTGACGAGGGTACTTGGTCCCCCCAGAGTCAACGTTCAGGGTTCAGTAACGTCATTCATCCAACGCGAACAGGAGAGAAAAGGGCTAAAGACTATTCAAATGGAGGTCAAGAATCCTGTTTGTGCGTGATTTTTTTGATCGACCCTGTGCAGTCCCTGCAAGGCGTGGCCCAGCAGCCAAGCCCCTATTTTCGTTGACGTTCCTTCACTTCAAGTGTATCGCAAAGTCAGAAGTCCCTTCGTCATTTCCATCCGCTAGTGCTCTTTCACTCAAATTCAAACGATACTTGGAGCGAGATTTCAAATGCGTGAAGAGTTGAGAGAAAAATGCAATTGTGGTTCGTAATGGTACAAATGAGAGTATAGACGAGATGATATATCGAGAAATAGGTTAAAAAACGCGACAAGTGAAAACAAAAAACCCGAGAGCGAACCCTAGTAAGAAACAAAGCGTATATAACGTAAAGAGTCTGGTTCCATGATATAAAAAAAACGATGAAGATGGAGGAGAGATCAAAAAGCGTAGAGTCTGATAGTACATTTGTTACACCTCGTCGAATTTTGGGGGGATAGCGTCTTCTATGGGGGCAATAGCAAAAAATAAAAGTCGGGATGGTGGAGGGACCCGCCACGATCAAGAAACGTATTGTAGGGTGGAGGGGAGTCAAGGTAGGATGGCGTGTGCGGCATGCATGCGTAGTAGCGGAGGGGAGAGTGAAATCATCAGAGAACAGGCCAGGGTCTCGTATCCAGTCGGAAAAAACCGAAGTGAGGTCGGGGCCAGTGGACCCGCAGCGTTGGAGTTGGAATTCAGTCGGTAGATTCGAGGCTTCGGAGGGAAGAGGAGTGGCGTGCCAAGGGTGGAGGTCGCGTGGTGGAAGCGTGCAATAGGGTCAAGGGAGCGAGGGAGCGGTCATAAGGTAGAGTCGGACATCAAGGTGAATCAACCCGTTCATAATGATGACGATCGAGGAGGCAATTCGTGATGAGGTGGGTCGGAAGAAGCGCATGCTACAACGCAGGCAGAGGCGGATCGTAAGAGTCGTTCAGCGGTTCCTGCACGGCTAGTCACTTCATGAAGGAACGCCAGAGCCAACCATGACCTTGATGACCATATTGCCGTGTTCGTCTTGTCCAGCGGACATGAGCTCGAACGCCCGTTGGGCCTGCTCGAGGGGGAAGCGGTGGGTGACGAGTTTATCGATATTGGGGAGGGTACCAGAGGCGAGCAGGGCGAGGGCTTCAGGGTAGGTGTTGCAATACCGGAAAGAGCCGTGAATGTCGACTTCGCGACAGGCTGCTGCAGACAAGGGGAGAGTGACGTTTCGCGAACCCATGCCGATGAGCATCACTTTGCCTCCGGTGACAGCGGTCTGGAAAGGAGGATGTTAGTTTTTCGTGCAGGAGATTTTGTGAAGAGTGAAGGCCCCGAGGAGATGCAAGGTGTGATAGAAGGGATGATCGATGGATAATGCCAGTATCCGAGGCGTAGGGCCAGGGAGAAAGAATCCGGGGATGAAGACACTCACGTATATTGACTGCTGGATAGCAGGTAGAGCACCCGTGCACTCGTAGACCACGTCGAAACCTTGAGGATTGTCAAAGATAGACAGGACTTTCTGGGCACCGGTCTTGGCGCGTTGCATCTGCTGCTGCTCGCGCTCCTGAAGGGTCTGGGGCTGGGCACTGTCGTCTGGTGGCTGGCCAGCTGAGCAATAGACGTCGTCAGCGAAGCCATTGAGCTTGGCGAATTGTAACCGTGACTCGTTAATATCGACGGCGACGACGCGAGAGGCGCCTTTTGACTTTGCGAGTGCGCAAGCGAGGAGGCCGATGGTTCCGACGCCATATACGAGAACGGTGTGGCCGGGTTCGAACTGGGCACGTCGCGTTGCGTGAATGAGTACGGAGAGGGGTTCGGCGAGTGCGGCATCTTCAAAGGAGCAGGCGTCCGGCAGACTGGAAAAGAAGGGGGAAAGCGTTAGATTGATCCGGTGGACAGGGGCGTCAGGCAGGACTCACGGGTGAACGACGAAAGCGGGGTGGTTCATTTTGGTTTGGAGAGTGCCGTCGTTGTGTGGGAATACTGAGGCTGAAGAGCAGAACTTCATGTGCTTGCAGAGGTTGTAGCGACCGCGATGACAGAAATCGCAGTTGCGGCAGTAGATGCCAGCCTCGATGGCAACGCGCTGGCCGACGACGACGTTTGTGACTGCAGAACCGACTGCGGTGACAATTCCTCCGGCTTCATGGCCGAGGACGATGTCCTGACGAACGCGAAAGTCGCCGTTGCGGCCGTGTTCAAAGTAATGGAGGTCGCTTCCACAGAGGCCAGTCGCGACGACATCGACTGTGACCTGGTGAGGTTGAGGAGGGAAGAGGGGGCGGTGCTCGATGAGTAGTTCTCTGGGCTTTCCAGCTCGGAGGACAGCAGCGGTGGTGGATTGAGTTGCAGGCGCCATTTGTGAAATCGGAGAGGAATGCGGACTGAAAAATGTTTGGAAATGGCGTGCATTATATAGGCGAGCGCGCTATCTGTTCAGACGACTTGTCCAACGCCAAATCCAGTTCACCCAAACCAGATCCAAAGTCCCATCAGATCCACAACCGCGGTCCGACTCCCGGAATTCCCATATCGGGAATTAACAGATCTTACCCCAAGTCACGCCTCCCACTTTCGTCCAAATGTCTGTCCTCTCTTTGGGCCCATATCTCCCCTGCCTTTTTCAGAATCATCCAGCTTCTCCTCCAGTTCTCCCAGACAAACCTTCTTTTTCTAAAATTCTGCACTTCCCAAACCTCAACCAGAGGCGCACAAGGTCTCAATCGGATGTCGCCCCGACTCCCCGACGTGAAATGCGGGGTAGACCCCTAAAACCGACGCGGGTGGTATTGGCGGTCCGCCGGCCAGATACTACAAATTGGCGCCTCTCCGAACCAACTGCCTAGGCAAAGCCGCCATGGATCCTTCCCCAGCTATTCCTGCTCTCGATCTCTTTTCCCTCAGGGGTCAGAACGTTCTCATTACAGGTGCAACCAGAGGTTTGTCTTTTGCCTCTGTATCCACCTTTCCGTGCCATATATCCCTTTTTGGTGTCACCGACCCCACGCGTGTACGTGCGCACCGCGCGCGAATTTTTTGACGCCCAGAATCGTTTCATCTCCTTTATTAAACTTTTCCCTGTTATATCGGACATTTTCTCCTGTTGCCTGGGCGCCTACACAACTCAAATACACCATCAACTTTTTTTTATATTTGATTGGCGGGACATCGGCGGACGATCGAGGTGTTCCTAGCGTCGGCTTCGGCACGAGCATCCATTCTTCTGATTCCAACGATTGACTTGAATCTCCCAGGAATCGGAGCAGCGTGTGCCATCGCTCTCGCAGAAGCAGGCGCCTCCATCTGCCTCGTCCAGCGCCACCCCACAAAGGATGGCCCCGAACCCAACCTCACCACCTACAACGCCATCAAAGCTCTCTTCGACAACGACGATCCAGCCAACCAACGCACTCTCGAGATCGTCCATTGCGATTTGGACAACCTCGACGAGGTCAAGGGCCTCTTCGATCGCGCCCTCGAGGTCTTTCCAAACAAGGAGATCCATGTCCTTGTCAACTGTGCCGGCATTCAGAGGAGGGCCCCTGCGGTCGACTTTGGGGAGAAAGAATGGGATGAGGTGAGTCTTGCCCAACTCGATACCGGGATCTCTATCTGGTATCGTTTAACCTTTTGACCCTCGTTCGGAGACAAGTGGATTCTTCAGTGGAATCACTATTAAACTTCCCGTGCGGCCTGGTGCAATCCACGGAAGTCGTCATATCGCTTTGGCTTTTGTGCCACTTCATTTCCTGCATGCCTTTCATCCTCCATCTTCCTTCACTCAATTCGTCCGGTACTTTCTCCGACCGGGCTCCAAACATCGCGTTTTCCTGTCCTACCAATTTCATTCTGATCGCTTTCAATGTTTCTATCTCATATCCCTTTTCTTTGTCTCCTTCACCTTTTCAATCCGTCACCCACCCCTTCCCCATTAATTTTGGGGAGATCGAGTGATGCCCGACTTCCTGCGAGTCCTATCGAGACTTGTCAAGACCTGCTCTTCGCCTCATGAAACGCAGGATATTTCAGGTCAGGGACCGCAGGGTCACAACCCGGCTCCTGTTGCCACAAGATGCGCCCTTCATGTGCGCTGCTCGGCGAGCGTGGTGTGATATCGCGCACTTGGTTTGACAAACAGGCGAGCAAAAGATGGAATTTAGAAGTCAGCCGCCTCGTTTTGGATGGTTTTGCGTCATTCGTGACATCACTTTTTGGGTTGTGATCGTGTATTGCTTACTGCTCGGTTGCGCGAGGTGTCCAGGGGCGAGGAGGCTTGACGCGCGCATCTACTCGTGTTTGTTTCGTGCGATGGAACTTTCGTTGGGTTTGGCTCTAGTTCGCGCTGAAGATAACTGTTATCTCAATCGTTGGGATTTTAACCCCGACGCTGGAACTGGGACAATTGGGTTTGGGATTTCCGAAACTGGAAATGTCTACGCTTGATTGGGCTCCCGGTTCGATCGAGGACGCATTCCGGGCATTCCATTCTCTTTTTCATTCTTGACTTTTACCATTCCTCGCACCTCCGCCGTTCGAGTAACACCATCGCTAACGCCACCTTCCTCCCAGGTCCTCAATGTAAACCTCAAATCAGTCTTCCTCCTTTCCCAAGCCGCCGGTCGCCATATGGTACCTCTGCGCCGCGGCAAGATCATCAACTTTTGCTCGCTGCTGACCTTCCAAGGCGGGTTCACTGTCCCCGCGTATGCGGCCGCCAAAGGTGCTTTGGGACAGCTGACCAAGGCGTTTGCGAACGAGTGGAGTAAGGATAATGTGCAGGTCAATGGGATCTGTCCTGGCTATGTCAAGACTGATATGTGAGTGTTGGTTTCTCTCCCTCTCATTCTCTATTTTGGGCCCTGGCTTCGGTTTGGGTTTGGTTTGGCGAAGAATTGGCCCCAATCAGGCTTGACTTACCTTCGGAAACTCCTGTGCGGCACCGACCATTCAATGGCTGACAAAGTGTTTCATCCATTGAATGCGGAGACGGTATATCATTCAGGGCGACGATGCTATTATAATCAGCATCGTCGTCAACAACTTTCCGATTTCCTGTTTTCGCTGTTTGTCGATTTGGCCCTTCTGATGCCCTCCGACCCCTTTGGCTCGCTCGCTTTCGAAATTCCTCGCACAACGGAGAGACGGCGACTTGTGGCCTTGTTTCTGTCATTTCGCTTCATTTCTGTTGCTTTCTTGGTGCTGCGCTGGCGAGGCGTGAAAGGTCGAGCCCGGTCCTCTCCCCCGACGTCGGCTACCTCTAATATCGCATCGACGTTGACATGTTCGTCCGTCGGCATTTTGCACGGGCGCGCCCTCTTTCTTGATCCCTTCTTCAATATCGCCGCTTCAATCGTCGGAGCAGGGCAAACGGTCAACACTATCATAATTAGTTGATGAGTTACGGGATTAGATCGCCTTTCGGTCCCTAACTACTACTCGCTTCTTTCTCGATCGTTTCTAAATTGCCCTGTTTTCAATTGCTTTTCCGGCTTCCCCTTCCGTTTCTGTCATCACCAACTTGAACTCCTTCGTCTCCCTCTTCTTGTCGTTCATTCCGCCTTTGGTTGGCGATGGGCTCCTTCTCCCGCGATTACTTTTGCTTTCTATTGCAAAACGAGACCTAGACCCCCGATTGTCTGTCAAGCGCTCTTGACAGCGCCGTCTCGCGACATCGCTAACGCCCTTACCCGCTTCTGTATCAAGCTTTTGGCTTCTCGAGGTGGGCGCTTTGCTGTCTTTGCGTAATGACATCGGGGGCCTTGGCCCTGTTGTGGCACCGTCGGTAAACGGTTGCATTGGACGTCTTGATTGACTTGACTTTCTCGACTTTCTCTATTTTTCCTTGCGCCCACATCTCGTTTGCCCACACGCATCATGGGAGTTGGCTATTTGGTCTGCGGAACGATCGAGCTGGGTGTTTGCAATGGAAGGTCTGCCTATCCCAGATCATTGTGGGCAGGTTGCAGCTAGTTGCTCTGCGCTCCTTCCTTATTTCTTTTAATTGCGGTTTGCCTGTGTGTTCCTTGTTACCACCACGTAGCAGAGTCTTTCGCTGCCACTGGACGGTTCCTACCCTTCTTCTCGTCGTGGATACCAACGACCTGCCATGGCAAGTCTCGTCAAGATTCAGCGTCACTCTGAATCGCCCACAGGAGATTTCCAACCCGTGCGTTTGAATTGGACAGCGCACGGGTAGGTCGGGGTATAGAATTTTTGATATGGTTGATACTAGCCATGACCCAAACGGTGTCGCATTTTCACCGATGACCCTGACTTGTGACCCGGTTGGGTTGTGGTGGTGGTTTTTTGGTCGTCGTGTTTCATCTTCCTTTGGCCATCTTTCTCTTTCTGGTATTCGTCTCTTTACACCCTCGTTTTTGTTTGCCCCCCTTTTGCGATTCCTCTATTCATTTCATCTATGAATGCCGCCGCTCGCTCGTCTGCGGGTGCTGGCTGGCATCATGGTTGTGATTCTATCGTCGTTGATGGCGTATGGATCTGTGGGATCCGGTGTGTAGATTTTGGGGAGTGGACCATGGTTTCTTTGATGGATGCTCGACCTGCGCGAGTTGTCCTTTTTCGTGTAGGACCGGTGAGATGGCTTCCCGCGTTTCCACTCCTTTCGGGGAACGTATGCATTCATCGGTTCTATTTTTCCTTCCCATATCTCATTGCTTTTTCCTACCGCATGCGTTGCACCATCCCGGTTGATCAGTGCTGACATTATCGCCTTGATTTTTGCAGGAACGAACGACTTCTCAACGATCCTACGCGTCTCCGTCAAATCTCTGAGCGGATCCCAGCGGGTCGGTGGGCTGAACCACGCGACTTTGCAGGTCCAGTTGTGTTCTTGGCCAGTCCGGCCAGTCACTACGTTTGTGGGGAGTTGTTGGTCGTTGACGGGGTAAGTCACCGTGTTGCCTTCCCTTTTGACCGGAATATGAGCCTCATGCTTTGATACGCTGCAGGGTTGGATGGGCCGATAAACTCAGCTCTTGATTGCCATCGTGTCAAAGTCACGATAGGATGTATGGAACGGCGGAATTAGAATTGGGACTGAACTCGCTGGAGATCTCTTGTTACCGCCGTGGTATACTAATGAAATCTTGCCATTTGTATTCAAGTACCCTGGTTTCTATGAAAGAGATCTGAAGAATCTAGGTGACCCATGACGACATATGAATTCATGCCATAGCGGATCTTTCAAGACTTGTTCACCGGGATGGATGATTTCGTTTAACCGTCAGCTGGTTGTGGACTGCCCATGCAGCACTGTCCCCAATCTGTGAGTAACTTTTCAAAGCAGGGTCTTCCACGTCCATTGCCTCCGAGGGTTTATCTGGTTCTGATATCCCACACACCAGGGATGTACTTATTACAAGTTCCCAAGTTCCAGGCGACAAGATCCAAGGTTGCATGCGCACCCTCACCACCACCAACTCTAAACTCCGACCCGGTAGATTATCTAGAACACCGGTGTTAATGGTTCCTTGGGCACTTTGAAGGGAGTGCTGCCATGCAAATAAGCCATGCACCCACCCCACGAAATTGTGATCGAATTCAAGTCTAGTTGAATAGATGACCGAGGGCGTAGGGAAGGTTCTCGAGATACCGTGCTGGTCGCAATTGCTGGAGAGATGAGTATTGCGGAGGGGAGTTTTGTGGCTGGCTGGGAGAATTTTGGGGTGATTCTGGGTACGTCGGTATTCTTGGATTAACGGTCGTCATACGTTGCGGCAGTTCTAACTTGGGGAGTAGTGACAAGGCCAAGCTTGGGATGAGATTAGAGCTGGTTGCTTTGGTCTCTTGGGCCTGTGAACGAGGCTGGTTAATGAAGGTTCCAGTCTGTCAGTCTTTCACGTCGCGCGCAATTCTAGTTGCCGAAGGTGAGCGTGAGGTCATGCTGCCGTACATGCCTTTCTTGGTACACAATCCAAGATGGTGTACCACCTCGATTGTCCCAATTTCCCGTCGCTCACTTTCCTTACTGAACCGGAAAGTGGTGCCCTTTACCCAGAAAACTGGGACGAGATCGCTGCCCAAATTTCCCAATGTCCACGACACCAGCATGGGAGAACCAATGCACCACGTTCCATGGAGGAGACAATTTTAAAGCCCGAAATGAAGCAAAGGACTTAGCGAGAAGTTGAAGCGGTTTACATACGAGAGTGATACAGACCGACGGTCAGGGACCCACCCACTGTCTCTAGACTCAGAGGCCTGGATCACCTCGATGTGTGTGCGCGCGACTCCCGTGATTCGGATAGCTCGGGCGCTTACGAGGAATCTTTGCCAATTTGCGTGCACGTCGGTTATTAAGATGCTTGAGAAGTCTTTCGCAGGGCTTGTAGGCTTCCTTTGTAGTGGTGATCACTGGATATGGTATGTAGGATGGTAGGCCCAATCACGCGATTTGAACGTATTGGGTAAGGCTATACTTAGTGAACCCATGTTAATGTAGCCTTAGCAGTAGTTTCTGGCCAGTGGCTCCCTTGGAACATTCTATCATTGGGCTGGCCCCTAGCTTCTTATCATAACGTGGTCAGCCGACAGCGAACCTAGTGTCCAGGCTACCATCATACCTGCCTTCGGCCACGCAATGTATTACCTATACGCACACCCGTGAATTTCCAAAAGGCGCGATCGTTTCATAGTCAGAAACTGTGGTTCTCCCGACGCCTTATCGTATCTCCCTGCATGTCAAATTGTGGTAAATGTTGCGCGTCGGGCAGGATTAGTGTCCGACGTGAATCCGACACCAGCTGGGGTGCTGCGTTTCGATGTTGTTACGTTTCTCCTCGGAACGTTAATGAGGTTCGTTTGATGCACTGATCACAAAGGCATGGTCTTCATTCCGCGTTCCATGGGCGCTTAATTTCTTATTGACTAACTGAGGTGTCATGGACCTTGGGCCTGGACCCACTGCTTTGTGCGTTGCTCCTAGCGAGTGGAAACTCTCGGCCCTCGCACAGAGGGCGCCTATTTCTTCGGAGAACCTCGGCCATGAGTTGTTTCCTTAAATTCCGATCTAAGTTGCAGCAGCAACCATTTCCGCCCATCCGTAAAGCGCTTGCTTATCCTCGCTCATGCGGCAGCATGTGGCACCCCGTTCTGCATTGAGATCCGGAAAATATGACCGCATGGGTGTATCACCAGACGTCTCTCGATTGGAACGGACAGCTTCATTGTCGATTTTGTTTTTTTCTGGAGAGCAATGGTCGTCGATTTGCCTCGAATTGTATCACTTGAGTCGAAGGCAATCAAACCTTGGCTTATCCGATCGAATTTACGAGGATGCTCGTTTATGAATGCCGTTCATGTCGCTGGGTGGACTCGTGCTGCGGTCTTCGGTCGTGCTGCGGAAGTAGAGTGGTCAGCCTTGTGAAGGCAGAACCTCAAGCAAAATCCGTCTGAGAGGGCACGGTACCAAGCGTTTTTCCATATTGGTGACAGAGTAGTGCTTATCGAGAATCCCAGATCGATGGAGTAAGACGCCGGTGCCTATGTTAACAGAGGTCCTCCTTTTTGTCCTGTTGAGAAACAGCGAAAAGTGGGCGGTAAGGACTTTGGTCCTGTTCTTCTCTAAATTTGGAGGTACCCTTCCATGTTGGTCGATTTCATGTAGATCTCGGTAGAACTTCTCGGTTCCTCGTGGCCTAACTAGCTGGATGGGTTGGCGTTTAATCGAGCACAAGAGCTGCGGAGTCTAGCGAGTTGTATTGACGCAGCGTCGTGAATTCGAAGCCGCATCCAGTTGCTCCACGAGACCTGTGGTGGATAACCTTTTTGTCTCCCAGGAAAGAGAGAAACATTGTTGGTCACTGATAGATTGCGGCTCGACGGGGACGAAGACTTAAAGATACACCTGAAGAATCAATTGTCAAAGCCCGTCGACAGTCAAAAAAATAGGTGATCCTCAAGGCAGGAACCAGCGGTCTTGACCTCAAATGAGTCAAGGAAGTCTATTGATTCCATTCCAGGTGCCACGGCGTGAACAAACGACAAGCGGCATTTGAAATTGACGATGAAAATAGCCTTGAACACGAGGGCGCGAACACGTCCTGCCAAACTGCCAGGTTGGTTTCTGGGTTTGATTGTTAGAGTAGCGTGGTCATTGGTCGTCTAGCGCCACCAAGCTCCAACTGAAAGAAGCGAATATAAACGTGTTGGAACTCCGTGACGGCACATAACGACTTCGCGGAAGTACCGACGATAAAATAGCAGCGATGTCGAACAGCACGCCAGAAATAGTTTCGGGGATTTCCAGAGAAGAGTTCAGCTCGCAATGAACAGGCTCTCAGAGAAGGTGGTCTCAGATTCACTCGTCGAGGGTTGGTACGATGAGATGGCCCAAGGCAAGTCGGTCCGACGGAACAACCGAGTTTCGTCGAACCATAGCCAGAAAAGCACGCAGAGGAGAGCACATTTGCCATGTTAGCATTTGAGCCAGAGTCCTGGAGTTCCAAAGCGTGGGTGTCCGCTGCTATTTTCAACCCTGGAATGAGGCTTACTGCGGATGTTAGCGACGGGATGCATATTTACATGATCAAAGTGCATCAGCTTTCTAGAAGATGCGGAGCCCAAACGAGGGAGGTTGGGAGGGGTAACCGAGGATGATAACGGCGAGGCTTGAAGCTTGAAGTCTGGGTCTCGCAGCAATCTGAAATGGAATAGCAACCCTCGTACTCTTTGGAATGGTGGTAGAGACGAGCCTCGTGTCTTGAGCGAGACGTCTGGTCCCTTCGAGGGTCCAGCAGCAAAGTCCGAATGAGCAATGAGATGCCACCCAGCGGCGGGGCGCTGTGCTATACATGTCTTCCCAGATCGCAAGCACTTGGCACTCGAAAGGGCTTCTGCCAAGCTGTTCTGGCCGGAGGCGTCTATTAGTAGTGAAGGAAGGCGACGGTCCGTCCTTTGGCACAGAGCAGACCAAGTGAGCAGAGACGGCTCGGGAAACCCCAGGGGAGTTGGCGGGAGTAAGATCGCGATGAGTCCAGGAGACAGCGATTACAATAGTTTTTAAGTACTTTTAGACCTCGCTGACTCCCAGCTCTATCGCTACAATAGAGGGAAGAGGAGAGTCTGAGGTCGTGGCCTCACTGCAGGCTGGGAAAGCCATACACGTTCCAATGATAGAACGTAAATGTTTCGAGATGGGTTGAAAGATGACCGCAAGCTCATCGCTGGTTGGATAGAAGTCTGACCTGTTGACACGATCTTGGAGGCCTGGCCGTCATATAGTAGTCGAATAGAATGCCTTTAATTTGCCGTGTGAATGGCTGAACCAGTGGGGGATGCCATTGGACATTGGAACGGGAGGAGCATGGACGAGTTTCTTGAAACTTAAAGCAGTTGCCCTGTTCGTTGGCCGGCGGTTGCCGGAGTTACAAAGAGGGCGTGCATCAGATGCCAAGATCATGAGGCTGACTAGCGTTGAGGGATTCGTTTTGTGGGATGGCGTATGTATTATATACCGTGCAAAGATGCCTCCGTATCCCTTTAACCAACCGTCGCCGTGTTTCGAGAGTTGGACGAGAAGTTCATCTCCCGGAAAGACGCGAAACAGAGCATATAAGGCGCTGGGATGAGTGGTTTTTGCCCTTATTTTTGGCAACAAGAAACAGCCTCGGGCTGATATTGATGTTCCGTTGTCAGCAACAAGAAAGACTCCGTCTCCGTCGTTCCCTCGTTCATTGGAAACGTACCCCAAGATTGCCAGGGATTGCCCAAGTTCCAGCCAATGGCGTTGAATGTTTGACCCACGAACAGCCAATAGCAACCCCAGGATATCCCTACGAACCACAAGTTCCGTGGTATGGACCCCATTCATTGACATTCCCCGGCCCAGATCTGACTGTTCATTTGCTTTGGTCTGCGGTCTGCGCTGTGTCATGAACGATGCCCATCGATATTGGCAGTGCATTTGTTCAGCATCTTCCTTGAGCCTGCTTCTTGAAAATTGACCTCCTTAATCCAGCGATAAGTGTCCACGGGAACTCCGTACATCAGGGTAACCAACGGTTTCATCCGGCTACCAGAATCATCAGCGAACAAATCACTGTAACACGGGCACCCATATAAATGGACGCCGACAATTCGATGATCTTCAAAGCTTGTTCACCCCTTTCCCCTCCCCTTTCTCCTCTTTTTAATTCTTTTTAGTCTTTTTAGCCTATTCTTTCTATCTTCTAATCATGACGATTGTTCTGACACCATACTGGTCTAATGGCGTCCAAAAGCTCAAGGTGCAGCCGACGGGTAAGTGCCGCCGCCCTCGTACTTTTGACTGCCGCTCGCGAAATGTGGGGCTCATTTGACACGTCACAGGCAAAGCGAACCGCGGGCTCGTACCTCCTGCTTTCGACCCCGCGATTCACGTTCAACGAGCGCTGGCTCAACTCCGCTCGAAGGATAAGCCTCTAGAGAAATACATCTTCCTATCTGGCCTCAAGCATGACGACGCGCCCCTATTCTACAAGCTTTGCTTGGAGAACATGTCCGAAATCACGCCAATCATCTATACACCTACCGTCGGAGACGCCTGCATCCAATTCTCCCACATCTACCGGCGTCCTGAGGGCCTTGTCTGTATCTCGACCAACTTATCCCGTTCACCAACTCACAGTATTCTAGTATGTCTCCATCAAGGACAAGGGTCAGATTAAACAAGGTATGTTTCAAGTTGGCCCACTAGCTGCCCTCGCCTTACATGTATTATCTAGTCATTGCCAATTGGCCCAAGATTCACGAGGCAAGAATCTCCGTCGTGACTGACGGTGAGCAAATCTCCGGACTTTTGTCGAGCGACTTCGACTTATCTTTGGAACTAGGCTCTCGCATCCTCGGCTTGGGTGACCTTGGTGTCAATGGAATGGGCATCTCAATTGGCAAACTCTCTCTCTATGTTGCTGGTGCTGGGTAAGTCCGACATATAATTTCGCTACTCTATATCGGCTAATGCAACACCTTCCAGTATCCGACCTGAGTCCACTGTCCCCATCACTGTTGACCTCGGTACCAACAACGAAACTTTCCTGAACGATCCCTTCTACCTCGGACTGAGGCAAAAGAGGATCACCGGTCCGGAGATGGACGAATTCATGGACGAGTTCATGCATGAAATGTCAATGGCCTTCCCCAAGATGATGATTCAATTCGAAGTGAGATTAGGGTCGTCGGATATCAACCTTCCATTGATTGCTGATCGCTCCTTCAGGACTTTTCAACCGACAATGCGTTCAGATACCTTGAGCGCTACCGCCGCAAGTACCCTGTGTTCAACGATGATATCCAGGGTACCGGAGCAGTCGTTCTGAGCGGTTTCTTGAACGCGGCTCAGCTGTCTTCTGACGCCTCCGGCATGCCTATGTCGGAACACCGAATTCTCTTCTTCGGTGCTGGCTCTGCTGGTGTTGGTGTCGCTACCCAATTGATGAGCTTCTTCACTTTGCAAGGGCTCTCTGTTGAGGAAGCTCGTTCACGCATCTGGCTCATTGACTCGCAAGGCTTGGTTTATGACGGTCGTGGTCGACTTGCTGAGCACAAGAAATGTGAGTCCTTCGTTCCCTGTCGTCTGGGCCTGAACATTGACACTGTCTACCAGACTTCTCTCGCAAGGATTACAACGGCCCTCCCATGACCAACATTCTCGACATCATCGACTATGTCAAGCCCACCGCCTTGCTCGGTCTGTCCACCATCTCCGGGGCCTTCACCCCCGAAGTCATCCAGGCCATGGCTGCCATCAACCCCCGGCCCATCATCTTCCCCTTGTCCAACCCTGTCCGCCTTTCCGAATGCTCGTTCGCGGATGCAGTCAAGTACACGAACGGCAACGTTCTCTTCGCCTCCGGATCTCCTTTCCCCGAACAGCAGTACGGTGACCATATCCTTTACCCCGGTCAAGGCAACAACATGTACATCTTCCCGGGTATCGGGTTGGGAGCGATCTTGGCTCGCGCGAGCCAGGTCACGGATAGCATGGTTGAAGCCTCGTCTCTGGGTCTTGCCAACTCTTTGACTGAGGATGAACGTGCTCTCGATCTTTTGTATCCCAGAGTAGAGAGGAGTGAGTTTGCCCTTCTTCTCGATCTCGATTCCCGTGGTTCTGACATATGCTTTTTAGTTCGCGAAATCAGCGCTCACATTGCTCGTCAAGTCATCCGAGCTGCTCAGAAAGCAGGCGTCGATCGCTCAGAAGCCCTTAGGAAGATGAACGATGCGGAATTGTTGGCGTTCGTCAAGAGGAAGATGTGGAAGCCTTAGATCTAGACGTAGACACCGCCCCCTCCTTTCGACTTTCCCTTGCGTCTGGTACTTTATGCTTTCCTTTTAGATGCTATATGGTCGGGAACTTAATATTAGATGTTCCTGGCGTTTTCTTTGAGGTCGACAATGATATTCGATTCTTTGTGTCCGTCATCTGTCACATACACCTATAATACAATCACTTAGATTTGAAATCCGGTCACATTTACTCCATCTGCAACACGATTCGTCCCGCGATCTTGCCTTGCCCGAGTAGATCGTATACGCTAATGAAGTTAACTCTGTAAGTCTGAGTCTCCACAGCCGGTTTTAAAAGCGGACGTACCTCTCCAGGGCACTAAGTTTGTCACATTTGTAAAAGACCTTGACTTTACCAGCAGCGGCGATCTTGATCGCTTCGTTGGCGTCTTCACGATTTCCGACGTAGGATCCGATGATCTTGATGCTCTGCAAAGCAGCCCAGTTAGTTTTCGTCGAGCTAGAAGACAGCAGCTCTGCTTCATACCTTGAAAACGGTGAAGAAGATGGAAGCATCGAGGGTCGCTTTGGCGGGGAGACCAACGGCCATGAGCTTGCCACCGTCACGGAGGTAGTCGACGGCTTGGGTGTATCCAGAGCTGGAGGCGGTGGTCACCACTGCAGCGTGAGCGCCCTTGCCTTCGGTGATCCTCTTGACTTCTGCGACGATGTCTTTGCAAGTGGTATAGTCAATCCAGGCGTCAGCACCTAGGGATTCGCAGAGCTTCCTCTTCTCCTCGCCACCGTCGATGGCGATGACGCGACGGCCCATGTACTTGGCGTATTGGACAGCTGGGGATGGGGTAAGTTGTGGGGTAGGGGAGGAAGTAGTGGAGGCGTACCAAGATGACCAAGGCCACCACCAGCACCGGGGAGGACGATCCAATCATAGGGAACGGTTTCGCTGTATTTGAGTGCACGGTAAACGGTTAAGCCCTGTGAACATGGGAGTCAACATAGACGTGAAAAGGGAAGAGGACAATCCCTACAGCGCAGAGGATAGAGGCAGCGTCTTCGCTTGGAATTCCATCTGGGATGGGAGTGACGCAATTGACGTAGGAGACCTGGTCATGGTCATGAGACAATGAAGTCGAGTGTCATAGATAAGACCAGTTGTCACGTACCAGATACTGCGAAAAGGTTCCGTCGACAGTGTATCCACTGAGTTTCACATTGTAGCAGTCTGTGAATTTAAACCCAATGTGAGGAGGAAACGAGGGATAATAGGATGCAAATCCACTGACTTTGCTCGAAGCCTTTCCTACACTGCTCGCAGTTGAGACACCTGTGGCCGTGTCAGTCTGGATGTCAACCAAGAGACCAACATTCAAAACGTACGAATAGGCAATCCACTTTACTCCAACGCGATCTCCAATCTTCACCGGACTGTGGACAGTGTCCTTTCCAATAGCAACGACTTCTCCAACGCCTTCGTGTCCACCGATGAGAGGGACTTGGGGAGGAATAGGCCAGTCTCCGAGGGCAGCGTGCAGGTCGGTATGACAAACACCTGTGCAGTGCATCTTGAGGAGACATTCGCCGGGGGCGAGGTCCTCAGGTTGCTTGACTGGGATGTCGTCCTTAATCTGGACCTTTCCGCCTGTTTTCTGGACGACGGCTGCCTTCTGGGTCTTGGGGATCTGGGGGGCCATGGTTGATGCTGAGTGTGATCGTTAAAGGCTGAGGAGCGCTGAGGCACAGGGTCGCTCAGTGCAGGAGAGGTATGGGTTAATTTTGTCTAGAAGAAGGGTGTCCATGGATCGTTTTTATAGCTCCTGTAAGACCTAGGTCGTATGACGCAGCAGATGAGACTTAATGGACCCATCCCTTGTGAGTGGAGTCGCGGACTTGGTTTAGGAACACCGCGGAACGAGTCTAGACGGAAGCTGGAACGTTGGTACGCATCTGCATTGTGGACTAAAAACAAGTTGGCCGTGCTGAAACGAACGAAACGCGAACTGCGAGAAGGTGTTTGGGAGGAATTAGGCTCAAGTTAGGGGCGGTCAGGGGCTTCGGCCTTTGCCCGACACGCGGATATCGTGGGAATGCGGGGTAAGCGTACGTTTCCATCAGGTTCGCGACGTGAAGACGCTCGACCGTTTTTCCTTCACGTTTCTTGGTTTTCTGGATCTTTTAGAATCGCTATTATGGTCATCGTTACCGGAGCCTTTTCTCGTCGTCGAATCGCCGGCCAGCATATACCGCGAAATCATCCTGAACTTGTACAGCACAATGCCAACGTGTGGAGGAGCGACCACGTTCGACCAATTCGACGATGCTAGCCAATCTGAAGAGGCTTCTTTTGCAGTAAAGGACTCAAATTCAAACCCAAGTGGCATCTGTGTACTTGAAATAGGATGCGCCTCGTTCTCTGCTGCCATGGCGGAGGGCTGTCCATATGGCTACATTGTACAATGGTTTCCGCCCAGAGACAGCATTCATATGGCCCGCATGCTTCTCGCAAGCCTGTGTTGATGAAGGCCTCAGTGTTCCTGCCCGCGGCGCTCGCACACAGGTAGCCTGCGTATATTTACTCGACCACGCATAGGAAGGAGGTTCCCAGACACCCCACATTCCAGTATGCGGGCCTTCAGGTCACTGCTTCTGAGCATTCTGCTCTGCTTGACCCTGGTCAATGCGGGATTCATTGACGATCTCCTCAAGGCGATTAAGAACGGCGCGACCTGCGCCTCTTGCCATGGCCTGTTAGCTCCTCTCAAGCTGCTTGCCAGATTTGGCGACAAGCCCTTTACGAAGACATTCACCGCTGTTTGTAAAGTTGCAACCGTACGTGACCTCGCCTGTAGCGTCCCCTTCTTCCTCTGACCTTCCCCCGTCTAGTCATTCGATGATGATGTTTGTGAGGGCTCAGTCGGAACGCAGGCCCCAATCATTGCCCATAGTTTGCGCTCTATCGATCCTTTCGGCCCAACAGCTCGAAAACTTTGTGACACCCTTTTCGGCCTGTGCCAACCACCCGCCGTCAACAAATACGACGTTCCGTTCCCGAAGCCTCGTCCAGCCAACCCCAAGAAATTCGCTTCGACCGGAAGGCAGCCTTTCCAAGTCGTTCATTTCAGTGACATTCACATTGATCGAAGCTATACCGTAAGTCAACCTCAGATGACCTCTCCGACGGGATTCCTGTTGACGAAATCCCTTCGTAGCCTGGCGCGGACTCTGTATGTTCCAAGCCTCTCTGTTGCAGGAATTGGGCAGATCAGAAAGGGCCTGTCGTTGCTGCTGCTGGGCCCATGGGAAGTCGGAATTGTGATACCCCGACCGCATTGGCACAGAACTTCCTCAGGACAATCACCTCCAACAACAAATTCTCCATCTTCACTGGAGACGTCATTGAAGGTGAGTCCGTGATCCATTGTCGGCTGTATGTTGACGCTGACCCTGTATCTCGTGGTTAGCGTCTGTCTGGTTAGCTGACAGGGGGTGAGTTTTCTTATCATACCCACATGCGCTCCTTCTGATTGCCGGGCAGCCATGTAACCCATGACCTCGAGTTGTTTACTGGGGAAATGAACACCCTACCCCAGGTTCCTGTATATGCCGCTCTAGGAAATCAGTAGGTTTCCCTGGTTTTGTCGTCCTGCGGCACGACTGAACATTATGTTGCAGCGAATCAGCTCCCACCAATAGCTTCCCTAGGAATACTACCAAGAAGGCAAACTCGCAATGGGTCTTCGATGCCCTCAGCAAAGGATGGGAGCCCGCCATCGGGACCGAAGCCGCTCAGCAGGTTTCTCATCTATCCGGAAGCTACTCCATCGTCGTCCCTGGTACCAATCTCAGGTGCGTTACAGTTGGGTTTCTCTCTTGTGCCTGTTTGCTCACTTGTCCGTGTCATCAGGCTCATTTCCATCAACACCGTTTACTGGTACAAAGGCAACTACTGGCTCTACGACAGTGACCGATTGCAGTGAGTAATGAGCTCCAGAACGCTTTTAGTTGGCCTAACCGTTTAGCTAGACCTGATCCCAATGGACTGTTATCTTTCACCATCTCACAACTGCAGGCCGCAGAAGATGCAGGGCAGCGCGCCTGGATCATCGGGCACATCCCACCTGGAGGCAGGGGTGATGTTTTGCGCGACCAGGTCCGTTGTCGTCCTCTATACCCTTGTGGGTGCTGACCTCTCTTTTCAGTCCAACTACTTTGACCAGATCATTCAGCGGTATAGCCATGTTATCGCTGGTCAGTTCTATGGCCATAGCCACCAGGTATGATCACATGTGTCACAGAGTGCACCAAAGCTGAACCCGTTTGAAAGGATGAATTCATAGTCGGTTACTCGGACTATAGCAGACAAACTGCAGACACTGCTGTCACCTATGCACTTTTGGCACCTGCGATCACTCCTAGAGGTGAGGGCTTCTCACTTTGTGACGGACGCAGTTTCTCATTTAATTCACGGCACCAGGCAGTAATCCTGGATTCAAGGTTTATGACGTTGACCCAGATACATACGAAATTGTCGATGTCAAGGTTTATCGAAGTACGTACTCATTACCGCAAACCTTCGACCAAGGCTCATTCTCTCGTCTATAGCCGATATATCAAGTCCTGAATTCCATGTGGAACGTACGTCTATCTGTGCAAAGAAGACATTCCACCATGTTGACGAGCTGGTTCAGCCGTTTGGGAGTTGACATACTCCGCCCGGGAGACATACGGCCCATTTGTTGGCTTGGAGCCTCAGGACTCCCTCGGTCCCGCTTTCTGGCATCGGTTGACCGAGGCCTTTGAAAGGGATGATGCCCTCTTTGATGTTTACAGACGCTTCAAGCGCGCTGTGTCCGATGCAGGGCCCTGCGACGCGGAATGCAAACGTGTTTCTATATGTGACATGCGTGCATTGCGGGTAGAGAACATCTGCGTAGGTCATCCAAAGCTACCCGGGTTTTCCCTTTCGCTGATCGGAGCCACATACCCAGACTGTCTCCAAGATTGGTGTAAACTTTAGACGTGATCTCGAAGGAGGACAAGACGACCATGCCGAAGTTGAAGACGAATGCGAAGGACCGGGATTCAACTTTTTCTTCCGGGCAGCGGCCGAACGACTGGTACGTCCCATCATCCCTCGGTATTCATTGTATTGTAGTGAATGTCTCGACCAGACCGACGAAGATATGGAGGTCCTCAGAAAGGAACTCGAGGCCATTGGAATCCCTGACGACATCGCCGACCTTCAACTCGACCTCGAAGACGGAGATTCCACTTTCAACTAATCGGCGTGATGCCCAGAGCAATACTGTACGCTATACCCGAAATCTAATCAGATGCGCGTTGAACATCGTTGGAAGATTGATCGAGCATGCACACACAGGTCTCCTGACCCCACACGGCCCCGAATGGTCCTGTTTCGAGTTTATTGTTTTTTGCTGTGGTTGGGCCCTAACTGATACCTGATTTGGAAGTGGTATCTGCACACCTTCTATATCCTTCTTTGGGCCACTTGGAAGCACCCGTCGACTTACTCAGAGCCCAAAAATCTAAAGGTTTGACTTCCGGACTCCACGCCTCTCCTAGTTCCCGCCCATCATGAGCGTTGTCATCGAATGTACCCGCTCTTCATTGCCGTCGGTTCATGACGAGTTGATTGAGCACGAAGAGCACCATGACCGCTTGACGACGCTCACCTCTCCCAGCTTCTCCACATTGACTTCTACTCTGCGGTCACCGAGCTACTCGACGTTGGTATCCCATGGACGAGAAGGGTCCCTATTCGATGGCTCGGATACGCAGAGCCTTCAAACCCTTGTTGCGAACGCCAGGCCCAAAGAACCTCGCTACACGTTCGGAGCCGCTCCCAAGCCCGACCAGCTTTCGCACTCCTTCCAATTGCGCAGTGGCAAAAATCGGAAGCCATGGGCGAGCTTTTTCATAGAAGACCCTGAGATGGTGGATAATCGCGGGCCCAAGAAGATCGTGAAGGTGATGGGTGGTGATGTCGTCTCGGGCCTGGTGGAACTCGACCTAGAGACTCCGCAGGCAATTGCATCCATCAAGTTCAACGTATGTCATGCCCCTTGTCTAGTCTTCACAAATGAGTGCTTACGCATTTCGACCAGATCAAAGCCAAACTTTTGACTGGGTTCTTGAGCGAGTTCCATCTCTCCATCCTCGACCATTCATACACCGTATGGGACCGTTCATACGGTGACCCGCGACTCGAGAAGGGCAACAACAAGTTGAATGGGAAGCTCAGTAAGGGGGTTTACCACTTTCCTTTCTCATTCCGGATCCCCAACCACACCAACACGACTACACTTGCTGCGGCTGACGACGAAGTCTCCCTACAAAGGACCGACTCTGGCCCTGTTTACCTGCCGCCCAAGAAAGGAACTATCTTCCGTTGGAATAAAAGCAGCCCTCGTGGGCCCGATGGTATCGCCGCCGAGCAGGAAGTGTCGACGTCGAGCAGAGTCAATAGTTCTTTCGAAGGGGATGGAACGGGCGACGTGCATGTCCTTCCTCCGTCCTTCCGGTCTCGAGGAACCAATGCCAACATAGAATATGTCCTATCTCTCTGCATCTCTCACGGCAAGCTTCGAGGTGATAGCAAGTGAGTGCGATCGTTATCTCAGCGCGAAGGTTATTCAGCTTATCTGGTCATCTAGGCTTAGAGTCCCGATGTACTATATCCCATCCGTTCAGCCGATCCCATCGCCCGTCAAGCGGTTCTCTTCATTCCAGTACTCCAGCCCCTTGACCGACCCTAAGGGATGGGTCGAACTCCCGCCAATCACAGTCTCGGGGACCATTGATATCGAGAAAGACGTAGAATTTGAGTGTGGTTTGTGGCTTGCTCAACCAGTACGTGACTAGTTTCAATACTTAAGCCGTACATAGCTCACACCCCCAATCATCGCAGTTGTCCTACTCTCGGGGAACGGTCATTTCGTGTTTTATGACGATCTCCAGCGACGACGTGGAAGCCCTCGACCTTGTTGCCACCCCCGAATCCTTAAACGTCCGACTCTCTCGCACCGTGAATTACTCGATAAACGGGAAGCTCTGGGACAGCTCGCTAATGGCAGTCCACACATCCATTCGAGAGATAACCGGGGCCCATATGGCCAATGTTGCGCAATCCGTCTTCGAGATTGTCGGGTCCGCGGACGAAGCGGCGAACGATAAAAGTACTGTACCCGACGGAGAGCAAACCCGCGCGTACGGCAAACTCCCAGCACTGACAGGCTCTGTACCAGTGGAGTCTGCGATTTGGTGGCTGCCACCGCAGGATGAAGAGTTCTGCAGCCCAACCCTGCGGGTCTTCCAAGGGGAGATCCATCTAGTCGAGGATCTCTATCCCACCAGTTTATTCCCCAATTTCTTGATTCGGGTACGTGCTCCATGTCGGCGATCCAGCGCGAAATTGACCGGTACATGTCTCAGTATGCTGTTGAAATGCTTCCATTCGACTGTCCTTCGTTCCAACCCACGATGCCAACACCGGAATCGTCGCCGAAAAAATCAAAGGGCAAAGGACCTTCAATCAAGGTTCCATATCCGCGCAAACGACCTTATCTTCGCCGGGAGGTGACAATTGCTAGCGTACCGCGCCTTGACGAACCTACCGCCATTGCGTTTACGGACCGCCCGACAGAGAACCGTAGGCTCAAAGTGATGGATGACCCAGTCTCGTGCTTAACGCTTGATGACTGTCTTGGGGCGGCCACGACGGCCTTTGGAGGTGCTATGAGAAATATGGCCATCTAGATTTCTTCTTCGATTTTATGTGTATGGAAGAGTAGTGTCTCGTGTACCAATTGAATTGAATTCACCTTTGCGTTTGTTTTTGTTCTTATTGTTATCTCAGAGTCATAGTTCATCTCATCCAGAAACGGGATGCCAAGGAAACGCCCTTTGCCTCGATCCACGACCATGATCATGACCATGTCAACTCTGGAAAGGATAGAATCGCTATGCTGTCCTCCCAGTTCCCCGTAGAAAATGACATTCCCAGATTCCCAGCGCGAGTCGCGTTTCTCTCTGCGCGCTCGAAACCGACTCTCGACATGCACAATTGCCAGCACGACGACAGCGCTTCCCCAGTATTCAAAGCAACAACAGCATTTCCGGACAGCTGAACGCGCTGGGAAATCAGAATGAGTTCGGGGCCGCAGGGATGGACGGCGACGGTTTTACCATCTCCAAGCGACGCTACTCTTCCAGGATACGACCGTGCGGACGACATACACCTCATTTACCGCCTTCATATTCGATAATCATTGAGGCAGGTGGCTCAAGGGCGCCTGTGCAAGCTGGAAGGGACGCTTCAGATCACAGTGTCTTTGAAGTTCGCTCTGGCTTTAGGAACAAGCCATGGGCCACTCTTCGCTTGCAGAAGCCAATCCTGGACAACTCCAGACAGAAGTCGGTATTGATATACGGAGAAGAATCGCTCACTGGAGTACTTGATTTCGACCTCGATAGCCCGCAGAGTATTAACTCGATCTCCTTGAATGTGAGCTATCGTTTTGGTTACTTCGGCCACTCCGGGCTAAATCCTCTGAGCAGATCAAGGGCAAAATAGCGTCAGGTTACTTGGAACGAGCCTAGCGCACCATCTTGGACCATACATTCAGCATCTGGAGTCGTGACTGCGGGGATCCAGTGAATAGGGAATCAAGGAAGCCCTACAGTGGAAAGTTTGCCAAGGGAACATACAGCTTCCCTTTCGCGTTCCCTTTCCCGTCCCATGTAAGCGCAGCAACGCTTTCAGGTGTCAACACTTCCTCCCAACCAACATCGCCGTTCCTGTTTTTCAGTACTGGAAGTACTGAAGAAACCTCTAACACACTTGGAATCCCTGTCGAAGATCCAAGACATCCAGAGCTAGGAACCCGAACTACTCCCTCATGCAACTATCTCCCCATTCACCCCCTTCCTCCGTCGTTTGCCGGTCGCGGGTTGGAGTCCAGCGTAGCCTATGAGCTGGCTCTCTGCATATCTCATAAAAGGCTCCGCTCAGACAGCAAGTGCGTCGTATTGTTGTCCCCGAACGTCTATCACTAACGAAAATAGACCCAAGATACCCGTTACCTACGTTCCTTCTATTTTACCGCCACCGTCGTCTGTCCAGAGACAGTCTGCCTACAGGAAAAACACTCCACTTCCAGGACGCATTCTTGGGTCAATCTTGGATGAGAGAGGTGCGGACCTCGAATGCAAGGTGTCGCTTGCGCAACCAGTATGTCGGTTTGCTGCGGATTGTTACCTGGGCGCTGACCGCTCTCCAGCTAACATACACACGAGGAATGGTCATTCCATGTCATATCACCATCTCCGGTCAAGACATCCATGTTCTGGACGTGTTGGTGCAGCTTACCCGCCGCGTGAGTTATGAGCTCGGTAAGTAATTACCCTGTCATCTTCGACGAGATTCCTGTATACAGCATTCCGTAGACATGACCTCTGCCGGAGGTCCATCATCATCTGATACCTCACATGTGGCGCTTTCTGTGTTCGAAATCTCTGGAGAGGATCCTCGGAGATCAAGGAAGGTCAATACCCAAGATGAAGGAGGTATCGTCTTTTCCCTTCGTCATTCGTCGGGTTGGTTTCATATGTCATGCTTGTAGCTTCAAATGGCCCGCCTTTCGTTTCGCACAAAACCGTTATCGAAACTGCCCAGTGGTGGATTCCTCCTAAGGACGAACAGCACTCCCCAACGTTGCGTGTTTTGCACGGCGAAATACATCTGCCTCAGGACATGCCTCCAACGAGCTTACACCTGAGTTTTTTCATCGAGGTAGAGACCTCTATTTCATTGGCTTTCCCGATTATAGCACTCACAGTCATTTTCAGTACGCTGTTGAGCTACTGTCTTTCAGGACTTCGCTGTTCAGGCCCAGGAAAACGAGAACGGCAACTACTTCCATGGACAGACGAGAGCAGGTTTACGTCCACCATCCCGCCACAATCGCGACGATACAACGTTTGGACGAACCTCCGCCTGTTTCCTTCATCAAACGCAAGTCCCGACTCGTTGGTTCTCGTCGCGGACGTTCAGAGTCATTTCCCACTTAACGATCCACAATGTCGGTTTGGGCGCAGAGGCTTCCACAGTCTCCACACTCCGCGGGGCTCTTTTGGTCATTTGGTCTAGTAGTTCCAGACGGCGATAGAAAGAGTACTCCGACCTGAATACACGGCGGTGGGCTGACGAATGAACTTGCCTTGGCAATACTTTCCTTGGAAGTCTGACCTGTTTAGGCTCGATTTTCTCTTCCCTGGGTACGCTGACCATTGTTTTAGGCCTTTGGGCTTCCCTACTAACGCCGAAAGCTCAATAGATCTCAACCGTATTCATCTATCTTGTAAATCGTGCAACGATGTGAACTGTTGCTAGCGAGCGCCACTCTTTTTTAGTCTACTGGGAACACGACCTCGAAAACCAGAAAAGCCTAAAGACTATTCTCGGGCACCAAAACCCACGGTTTCCACTACGTCCTTTCTTCACTATGGCTACCGCGTTTCATCGTTATCTTTATGTATAGTGGAGTTGGTTCCATTGCGCTCTTGATCCCCTTTCACCTTGACAATTTCATTTAACTGCATATTTTCTGACGTTCAATTCATTTCCGGTTCATTCAAACGCTGGATATTGAGAGCCCGTCTCACCGAAGGAAGGAGACACTGTCCCGATCAGTTGGGGTTGGAAATTGTGTCAGCAAGGTGTGCCATCGGATAACGCGTGGACGAGCCGACCTCTTTAAAATCCTCTTCGAAACGCCGCTAGTGTGCGTCACTGTTTGTGCTCCCCTCGAGCTGCTGCCTTGTGGAGATGCAAAAGCGTAAGAGTTCCCTCTACTACTGCCCTTCGGTTTTTGTTTTGAACTAATCGAGACCGTGTTTGATAGGATATGTTATCGCGTTTAGACGGGGTGTTACGCCGGAGGAGGTCGACTTATATATGCAGACAATTAATAACAATGGTAAGGCCCTCTCTCCTTTTCAGTGGCCTTTCGCTAAAGTCCTGACTTCCGTTGCGCTTACCGTCCAATAACCGTCGTTTCACCCGATCTAACGCCCTTGGAATTGGCTAACCGGACGACCACGAACTCGATCGTTTCAACCATTCAACCCGCCACAGGAGGGAAAGTCATTCGCCGATTCGAGTCTATAATAAACGTGAAGCTTTTTCTGGGCTTTGCCGCACCTTTTCGTCTTTTTAACGGTTGATTTTAAGGGTTTCAAGGCTGAACTTCCGGAAGAATTCCTGGAGAACCTGCGGCACGAAAGAACGATTGAATACATCGGTGAGTGATTCTGACACTGGGGAATACTTGTGTTGCTCGAGCTTCTGACCTCGATGTATTGGTAGAGCCGGAGGGGGTTGTCACTGAACCAAGTAACGCACGGAAATGAATAAACGATGGCAACAAACAGCCCTCGGGAGGGCGGGCCAGAAACCCCACAGCTTTGATCTGGCTGAAAAGGAACAACGTATAGCCCCACTTGATAGCTCTGGAAACGTTTCCAAAGGGGCACGCCCTTCTTACCAACTTCTTACTGTCAAAAATTCGGGCTGACGGGTTTTGCACACAAATTTAGCGCCCGTTGTCAGCGGTTGAAAGAGGGTGCGGAAAGCGCTTGGCAGACATCAGCCAAGCCAATGAATTTCACTGATCCCCAAAAATGCCAACGGACGCTCAGCAGTCTTACGCCGCTGCGGTTCACTCGCATTCTGGCTGTGCTTTCTACAGGCGGGTCGCACGTTAGTAGAGATCCATCGGAAGTCAGTGCCTTGTTGATTGGAAGCTCACTGACCTATCAGGATATATCACTCGTGAGCATGGACAAACCGTGCAAGAAATCAGTTAATGGGCGGTAGGTGGTGGCAGGTGGTGGTGAGCTTGGAAGGCCTAATCGAAATGTCAGTCCGAGAGATGAACTTTCTCGCGGCCAGACCTACCACTGCTAAGCGCCCACATCGTCCGAAAGCGGACGGCTGAACGGGAGGACGGGCCGACGTAATGACTTTCCCACGCGTGTCCATTCTTGGCACACTTCGTGATTGTTCAAGTGGGGGACTTCGAAATGTGGAATTCGAGCACGGTAATCTCGTCATCAAAACCACTTCAACCAAGTCAACAGACTTCAAAGCCGTTCAAACGTGATCCCTGTGTGCTACTTTGAAAACCAGGTGGTGAATACAATGCGATGGTGAATTTATCTAAACTAAACGTAATCTAATCCCAACCGCCAGGCTCCTGAAAGCTCACATATTGGTGTAACAAAGTTCATAAATCAAGTTGTTTGCACACTTGTACTTGTAGTGGCAAAGGCTGACACGCCAAAGTTGATTTGGGTAGAGACGCGCCTTGGTGATATCTGCCACCAACCAGGTACGCTGCCTTATGTTTAGACTACCTGCGGGGAAAGTCACCTAGACAGCGCACACAGTTCCAGCTAGCGAACGGCACGCTTCGTTTATCAACTCATGGAAGCAACCCCAGTTACAGTATTTGGCGAAATCAATACGCGTCCTTCAAAACGACAGAAAACCGGGTTTGAATCTTCGGCCACACCGAGTAGTGGTACGGCGTTCTTTGGAGTGTATCTATGTGCGATCTTAATCCTTCTATAGTTTTGTGTCCAGAAGATACGACATCACCACCGTCCAGCAAGTACGGTTCACCTGCAGTGAGCGACGGGGCGTCGGGGTCATCGCTGGCGGAGAAACATACCAACGAAGCGTTTTCGAATCATGAACTCAAGGCAGCGTCGTTCATGTCGGCCTGGTCGCGGATTCACACTTTGGCTCTGTCGGAGGAGTTGAGGTACACACCACCACCATCGGAACTTCATCGGTTTCTACCCGCCGGCTTGGAGGAACCGCCACCCTCCTCCTCTGCCAGCACAGCTGAGGAAAACTCATTCCCCGCCTTTCCAACAAGTGAGAGTAACCCCCACCAAAGTTCACCTGACGAGGAAAAAAGGCCCTCTATTGATGAATGCAGCCCACATCAACGGCCAAAGCTTTTGCTCAAAGTTCGTCCATACCAACTACAGAATTTACTTGTGACAAAGCATTTTATTCTAGATTCCTCGGTCTCCTGAAAAATCCACAGGCCAGCTGGGTGTCGAAATCGAAAATTTAGGGAGGGAAAGTAAGTGCGCTAAGCTTGAATCCAATGCACCCGGCCTCACTTCGTCGACGAGATCCAATTCGGGAACCTCAACCCGAATCAGAACCTCCACCCACCAAAATTGCGAGCCATGCTGGCAGCAAAAACTCCATTGTGAATACTCTTTACTGTGATGGGAAACTGATAACTGATCGCGCGGCACAGGCTGCTGAGGAAAGGTTTCAACGGTTGTTGGCTAGAATCTTGGAAGACATTTCACCATGTCATTCGCTAGATGATGCTCTTCAGTCGATCCTAACTGCAGAGCCAGCGTTTGGTAGGAAGCGGACACAGCGAGAGGACATCTCGCTAACGCAACTCCCGCGGGTATTCGAGGAATATTCCGATGATACCGTGGCAGACGTGCTTTTGAAGCGCGGTTTCCTTGCCGGCACAATGGAGTACTACAAAGATCGCTTTGAAGCAGCCATTAGGGAGAGCCCAGTAACTCCGCTAAAGCTGCTACAAGTTGACGAGGTATGCTTACCTCATCAACACTTCGCACCAAGTTGGCGCTCACGCAACTGCAGGCCTTGGGACAAGTTAAGTCCCCGATGGACCCCTACAGAAATCCGTTCACGAATTGGGTCGAGGCCGTTATCAGTACTATCCACCATATACGGTTTACAGACGCATGGAAAGAAGTGCGAACCACACGAGAGAAAAAGGCCCTCCATGAAGAAGCTTTTGAAGCAATTCACAGGTCGGAACTTGCCAACTGGGACAGAGAGGAGGGACGGCGAGAAGAGGAACTCAAACTCTGGACGAAGCAATTTGAGAAAATGACGATATCTCGAAATCAAATCGTCAAGTTGTACAATACGGTAAGCTCTATCCAATATGTAGGTGAGTAAGAACGAAAGCTGACGCTGTTTCCAGTTCGGAGCCACTGTTCTTCTTGAGGCCAATACGCTTCGGCCTGTTGAAGCAGGCGATGCTACCGCCCGGACGATAACCTTTGCGTTGTTGGCGAAGCAGTTCGGAGCGGTGTATCGTACCATACTGGCAGAGGAGGAGCATCTGCTCGTTTTTCAGGCTACCTTCTGGGAAGACGGACTAGAAGCTGACAACTTGAAGGGAGATGACCTGTATAGGGACTGGGTTACGCGAAGCCATCTGTCAGCCGGTGCATTGGTTGTTTCTATCGTCAAGGCAGTGGCAGGGGAGGCGACTGCCGCTTGGGTGTCAGAATTCCTAAGCGAATACACCCCGGATGGATTTGAAGATGACGAGGATAGCGATAGTAGTGAGGAATAATTTGGATGCCGGTATTCTATCTCGAGCAGAATAATCACTTTAACCAAAAGGGAGCGAAAGTTCCCCCGGCGCTCCCGGGATAATGATGTCTGTTGCAACAACCGTTCAGATGCTGTGATTGCGGTCGAATCGTGAGTGGTGAATGGCTTAACTGAGTTTCAATGCCCTTCATTTCAAGAGTTGGTGTCGCCAATGGGCTGCAGAGCTTTGAGGAGATATATAATCATATGCCCTCGGATCGCATTGTAATCAGCGATAGCGGATGCAATCTCGAGCGCTTACTACGCTGAGAAGGATGAATCAGCGATGAGAGCGATGCATGATTCAGCGATAGGCTGTTTATGCGCTTTGATTTGTTTTGAAGGTAGACGATATCCACTTATAAGCACCTCGAAATTCGGTCGTAGCTTGTCCAAGCAGATACCTCATTCTCTCTCTCTCGAGTTAACTATGTCCGTCGAAGCTCTCTTCACCCCAGTTCAAATTGGCGATGTCACGGTCAAGAACCGCGTCCATATGTCGGCCTTGACCAGAAATCGCGCTCCTAATACGGTCCCTTACGACCTCATGAAGGAGTACTACGTCCAGCGTGTCCGAGGCGGCGCTGGGCTCATCGTAACTGAAGGTGTTTTGATAGTCCGCCAGGGGTACGTCCGCGCTGGGCGTATCGCGTTAAGGGATGTCCGGATTGCTTACATTCACGATCTTGTTAGAACTGAATGGGCGCACGCTCCTGGAATCTGGAGCGACGAGCAAGTTGAAGAATGGAAGAAGATCGTTGACGCAGTTCATGCTGAAGGAGGTCATATCTATGCTCAGGTGCGAACAAAGTTCGTGTGCGTTGTTCATCTGATGACCTGTGCTTATTATACTCCATCCGTTGCTCTTAGCTCTGGCACTGTAAGTATAGAGTTTCAACGTTCACATCGCCGTGGTGTGGGGCTCTAACGGGTGCCTTTCTATAGTGGGCCGTGTTTCGCACCCTGACGCTCCTGAGCAGAAGTTGGCTGGTACTGTAAGTCGGAGCGCCAATGATACCCGAAGTGCACTCTCTAACTATAGCTATTGGGTCGATTTAGCCTGTCTATGCTCCTTCCGCTGTCTCTGCCAGAGGAGGGAAGTTCCGCTTTATCGAAGGCCAGCCTGGTTATGTCACGGTAAGCCTTTGACGCAGTACGCACTCGAGAATAAGATCTTTTCTGACTCGACCATCTCACCCTAGCCGACTGCCATCGACGACCCCACTGTACTCATCGAGCAATTCCGCCAGGCTGGAATCAACGCCAAGAAGGCAGGGTTTGATGGTGTAGAACGTAGGTCCTCGACAACATTCCGATAGTGAACCAAGCCGCTGATCTCTCTGATATCTACCAGTGCATGGAGCCAATGGATACCTCATCGCTCAATTCCTGGACAACAACTCCAACAAGCGCACAGATCAATGGGGCGGGAGTGTAGAGAACCGCTCGAGATTCGGCCTGGAGGTCCTCAAGGCGCTAAAGGAGTCTTTTGGAAACAACGTTTCCGTCAAGCTAAGCCCTGCCGGAGGTTACAACGACATGGGGTGAGCGTCCTTTCATTTGGGATAGGATGTCACTGTCGATCTTAACGATGGCTACCTTACAGAATGCCGCTCCAAGAGACCCTCGATACCTACCGTTACTTCATTACTGAGGCCGATAAACTCGGTTTGTCTTACTTCACTCTGCTTCGCTACTGCCCCAAGCTCGACGTCGAGTACGATGGTGAGCATTTGATTTTAAACCCTCCCTATTCCGTGACGACAGATTAATGGCCGTGTGAATACCAGGCCAGAAACGGGCAACTCAACACGACGTTCTGGAGTCTTATCGCCCTTACATCAAGAACGCCAAAGTGGTTCTCAATGGCGACCTTAGTGGAGAAGAGGCTGCGTCGTTGATCTCATCGGGCAAGATCGATGCAGCAGCGTTTGGGTTCGTCTGGGTCACCCATCCGGACGTCGCTAACCGCATCAAGGCTGGGAAGCCTCTCAGCAATCCGCCTAATTTCCCCTTGATGCAGATTGGGGAGGGTGAAGACCCCAAGAATTGGGGCACTGGATACCTCGATTATCCTGCTTCTGAGTAGTAGACGAATAGGCAGACAAGTTGATGTCAGTATTTGGGGATTTGATTGTGATATAGATATGGGATTCGAATGGTATACTTTATGACTTAACAGACCGGGGGAAACTCGACCTTTTGACCTTTTCCACAAGTACTGCGTCGATCGCGGCAGAAATGATTGAGGCAGAAGACTGACGTCGTTGTAGTTGGAGGCAGATCCGACAATCCGGACGGGAAGTCTCTCGAACAGGGGTCGGTCTACTCACCGTCTGATTTCCAAGCTTTCGGAATCCCTGTGGCTGAGGCGTCTCCCCCTATGGACACCACTAGTTCCTGCTCCGGGTGTGTATACATTCCATGCATTAGCCTCTAGCCGCACGGGTATATTGCCTCAATCAGACATCAGCACGGGTAAATCGATGCTTTCTGGGTCTCGACATCAGCACAGGTATCAATAAACATATAACGGCAGAAAATGAGGCGTATTACATGTGAGGCTGGATATAGATATTGCTAGGCCTTGCTCTAGCCTCTAGAACAAGCCTCAACCCCCAAAGGAATCAGTGACCCGTTACAAACGTTCCAGTCGCCCATGTTCGGAGGAGCTGCGAGCCGAAAACCTCCCAAGTCAATAAATTAAGGTCATGTCAAAACCTAAATACGTTTTCCAAGTCCGCGAGTAGAAGTCGGAGGGTATAGACGGGGTTCTCGCTTCTACCCCTTGTCTTGATTTGGCGCGAGAGTTATATGGGGATTGTCACTGGGTGCAAGGGAAGGTGACGATGCCAATTCGTCGTCTTCTTCGTCGTTGGGAGGTTCAGGCGGTGGGAAGGTGGCAGGGTGGACATCATACCAGCTATAGAAAGCTGTCTCGACGTTTCCCGAGCCGTGCCCAAAGGCTCTTGAGTACCTGGCTGCCCCCAAGGCCAGAAGTTTGCGGAGAAGTATTCTGCGCATGGGCTGGAATCGATGCCTTGTGAGCGTGGTGTGCGATGGGCTGGTAGCACAGTGGCTCACCTGAAGGAAAGGGTGATTTGAAGATGTCTGTAGGCAATAGTAGTCCCTCAGGGTGCTTTTATATGTCAGCGAAAATATCTACACTGTCCGGCGGAAGCCTAGGTCGATCCCTTCAGAAGGGGGGCACCTTTGAGGGTCGCCGATCGGAATAGCGCATCTCGGAGTTTGGGGCAGCGGTTCGCGATCATGACCACCTCGTCTATCTTCACTCCAACACACATTATGACCGTGGATGGACGACATAACGCCTGGATCATGTGCCGCGGAATAAGACGTGGGATGTGGATACAAGGTTGCGGGCTGACGAATGTCCTCCTGAAAAAAGCAAGGAGGAAAGCGCCCGGTTTGGTGGTTTTAGAGCCTTCTCGGTCTAGTTCGAGGTTCCGATGTGTCCCGTAAGTGGTCAAGGTTTATTCACATACCAGACAGTCTGACGACAGGAAAGAACGAGTGAACCGTTTGCTTTTTGCGGACTCAGCTAGTCAAAGGCGGCAATTCTAACTCTTGAACCAGGAGACACCATGAGTCCGTAGACGGCTTTGTGGTGAGACATCGAAGCAGGAAATGCATGCACCAATCCTGTAGGCTGTCGTGTATATGTCGCCATGTCACATCCCGAGTAAGTAGTCCTGATTGACGATGAATGTGAACTAGCGGCAGCGTTGAGTCTCGATCGCGTTTCAATGGACAGATACAGCCTTTTAGACCCAGAAACAAGGTTAATCGTCGTTCCCTGCGGTTTGAATGTACCTAGCGACGATCCCTGGGGTGTTCACTGCATCTGGACTCCATATGTGCCGCAAGTTGGCTGCCCAAGCTTCCTGTGTGGGCGTTAAAGGGGTCCCACGACCAGCCACCCACCGCTGTTACGCAGGCAGTGTCCGTAAGTCATCGCTGGCAGCTTGAATTAAGCGGCTGGTATACTGACCAGGTATCCATGGCCTACTCACCGTTGTATTCACCAACGACCCCCATTTCCATCCAAGTGGACACAGAGGTCATCGTGACAAGAGACAGCGAGCCGTGGTCAGCAGTTTCCCACGGAGGAGCAAGCGGAGCAAGGCAACTTGAACCACAACCACCACGACCTCGCCGCAGCATTTACCAACGACAACGACCGCTGTCTGCGCTGTGCTCAATGTCGCTCCCAAGATCCGACTATGACCCTCGAAGAGTCTGCTTGAACCCATTCCCCAACTTTACGCTGGGAAAGCACAAGAGAACGATTGGCGTCTACCTGGCTGGTGCCTTGGTTCGTTTACACCCTTTGTCCTGGCTTTCTGGCGTCGATTAACGGTTCATGCTTTCTCTCAAATAGTTTGCGATCGCGAACTGGGCCTTCCTCGATGCTGCCATCCTCTCAGCCCATGCAAAAGTGCCATGGGAGAACCCTGATACCCCAACCGAGCCCCCGGTACATGTTACATTCGTCGACTGGATTCCAGGCATCTGCTCCCTACTCGGCTACATCGTGATCAACTTGATAGACAAAGATCGAATTCGCGGAGACGAGGGCTTTGGGGACTCGAGGGCGGTCTGGAGGGCACGCCTATTCTTGTTCATTGGGTTTGCTTTGATGGCGGGCGGATTGGCGGGGAGTGTGGTATGTCTACTGCCTTTTGTGGCTCCTGAAATACCGCTAACTGTACTCTTTAAGACCGTTCTTGTCTTGAAGTATGTCCTCCCAGGATACACGGAGCAGTTCAGGTACTACGGTTATGCAAACGTCTCGCAAAGCGTCGCCATGATGCTTTCCGCTATCATTCTCTGGATTTCCCAGAGCACCAGCAATGAATACGAATACAATCTCACCCTTTGATAGCAGCGTGAGATGTCTTCCATCTCTGTTTTGTATCCTTCTTTTCACGCGTCGTGCATCTGTATACTAGTTGATCTTCTGTGCTCATAGATTATAAACCATGGACTTGATTCAGTAACCCACGCCTTCTCGAAGCGAACGACGTGTCGTGTCGGACTAGTCACGGGGCACCTAGCTTTCCTCTTCGGAAGTTGCTGGGGAATTGCGCTGAAAGATTTCCAACCTGTCATGACACTTGGACACACAGTCTGAATCGTGCTGTGGGCTGCGCCGTGACCACTTTGTCAGCCTCGGCGCCCAAATGCCTCGAAGGGGAGAGTGTCTGGTGCTGAACTACACACTTACAGTAAGTCTGTACGGTGCTTATATCATTTGACCGAGAAGCATGACTTGAAGGCATTCAAAGCGGTACGTGCTCGCCCTCTTTGGTTCCTCCGCTGTTCCAGGTGTTGATCGAACCACCAAATTGCAGAGAAACGATTCGTTCTTAACCAACTCCTTCCGGAGGTTGATTCTCAAATCCCCATTTGAACCTTGATACGATAACTAATCTTCAGGAACATGTCTTGTGACTTGGTTTCTTCGGGAATGGCGACGAAGGTAAGAGATATAAAAGGGAGGAAGTAACTCACTCTGTAGATCAGCATCCATCCTACATCTCGCGTCGCGCCCTCTCTTGCACCGATATCAGCCTGTAGAAATGCCAGCTCTTAAAGGACAGTGTCTCTGTGGACAGTCGACTGTCACCATCGAAAACGGAGAGAACTTCAAGGACCAGGTAGGGCCTTTCCTTGCATGAGCTATATCAATCGCGTATTGACGGCGCCCACGCCATCTCAGATCATCTGCCATTGCTGGGACTGCAAACAGACCTCTGGTAGTGCCTACTCCACCAACATCCTTGCCCCTAAGAAGGATGTGAAGATCGAGGGACCTATCAAGGAGTTCGGCGTCAAGGTCCCCAGCGGCAATATCGGTAAGCGTCGCTCAGGAGTGTCAATAAGCTAGCGAAATGAACCCCATCCTATGTTTGATAGTCACTCGCGTCTTCTGCGGGACCTGTGGAAGTGCTCTTTCCCACCTCTCCCCTGGCTTCGGTGAATCCCAGGCAATCCAAACCGGGAACTTTAGGGACTTCGCGTCGAAGCCCGTTGCAACTGAACGTGAGTTGTTTTTCCTTATACCCCTATTCCATGCGCTGGGAAGGATTGCCTCGTTCTCGTTGACATTGGACTCGTTTTCAGTCTTCGTAAAGGATCGCTGGACTGGTATTCCCGCTGTTCCGGATGCCGCTCAATTGCAGACCGTCTAGGGCAGGACATGAGGAGAACTCACGGGAGAAGCGATGGAGAAGCGGGCGGGGGTGACTCGTATGTGTCAGCTGGACAGATTGCCCGTTCGTACATGGTGTTCGTATTGCCATTGGTGTTGCTCTTGTGTGAAGATCCCCGAGATAGTCTCAATGAAAAGTTTAGACCAATTGAAGAATGTATTAGCAGGATAACATACAGACCCTAGAGCAAGCTCTGCAGACCCTGCCGGTGGGATTCAAGGATACGTTGGTGACAAGAGAGAGATGTGTCACGGCTGGCTCCATGGAATCCTGCTCTGTTTGGTAGGGAAAACTGTCAGCCCCAGCTTTGGGTATTCATTTCGCCCAACTTCTAACTCGCCAGTGGCGTGCTACAATTCCTCTCTCAGTTAGGCTCATGTTGGGCACAGGGTCATTGGAGCAAATGTGACCAGTTCAGAGTTGCCACTGGGTCGCCGTTTGTGGCTTAAGGCCTTCACATATGATGTTGTCATGGGACATTCATGGTAAGAATGTACGTGTACTACTTGTCCGCGGGTATGTAGCAGCAGAAGTATTGGGCCTAATATTCCGCTTCCGATGCATTAAACTTTTTCAAGGACTTGTTAGCCTTTCCGGCCGCATTTCCTACTTCGATAAGAACCCGAATTCTGTCCTCTCTTTTGGTTTCGACGAAGACGTAGGTCACCATAATCAAATCGAGCATCCCTTCTACGCTCGGGTCGACTTCATAACAGGCAGGAGCCTCGTCATGCAGGACTCCGGCCGTTGCTCTGTGGAATTTGAAGACAGGATCCTCTCCACTCGAGTCGTCCGAATTGATGCGGAAAAGCTGTAGATGGCAAACCGTCAGCATCTGGATTTCTACCGGAATTCATTGTGCTTTGCATACCTGGGATCCACCAATGGCACGCAGCTCCCACCGATACCGATGTCCATCGGAACCGGTAAAAACACGATTCTTCCCCCAGAGGCTCCAGCCATCCTTTTGGAAGAACTCTTCTTCTGAAGTCTCGGTTCCTCCTATCTTGATCGTCTCGGAATCTACCTCGGCAAAGGGCACGAATGTCTCTGCAGAGTTGAGTCACTATGACAAGTCGAGTGCTTCGGCCGTCAAAAATAGCTACGGCGAACCTTTCTCAGCGTCCAGCTTTTCGAGGAAGGCCTTATCGTCTTTGTATCGAACTCTGTACAAGATCTTTCCAGCCTCGTCGAGATAGGCGGTGTCGACAGCTTCGTCGTCTTCGGGAAAGATTTTCATGGCAATTATACAGTAAGTATGCAAGAGAGGCACCACATCTAGCAGTCGAAAGAGGGTTCCAATAGGTCACCTCCACTCCCTATGGCCTTTTATACGATACGCAGCGTAGGCCAGCGCCCGCTGTCCATGATTAAATCAAGAACACTGTGCCCACTGTATACATTGGTGCTGTAACTCAGCACCTACAGTCTTGGGCCTCTTTCCAATAGCATTTAAGCCTCTGGACACATGCTGCATCGATTGAGGGCCCTGCAGCACCGCCTGGCCTTCGTGCTGGACACCCGGCCGTTTGAATTGGAGGTAAGCGCCCAAGGAATTAGTCAGCATTTGATGAGGTATGTTCTTTTCGATCCGCATCACGGAAGGAAAAGAGCCGAACACGAGAGCTCATCCAGCTTCATTTGCCTTCATCGCCCATGGCCAACAGTCGCAAGAAAACTGTCCGGAATTCCGTGTCTGGAGACGTTGAAGGGTCTGGATACACGCAGAATGATTCGAGTCTCAAAAAATGCCTCGGAGCGGTGGACATTGTCCTGTATATATTGTCGTTCCTGGAACCTACGGACATTTTGTCCCTAAGGAAGGTCCGTGTGCAGTTGTGTCATGTATAGCCCAGAGGGATAACGCAAAGACTAGACGTCCAAAGTTCTCTGTTCCCTCTCTAAGCACAGAATCGTGTGGATACACGCCGTGACGAACGTTTGCCGTTCGGAAGGACTGCCAACGGAATGGTTCTCTTTGGAATCCATGTCTATCTCAGACCTCGAACATCTGGCACTCTCACCGCAGAGATTCATCTGCTATATGAGGCGAAACGAAAACTCGGTTGTATCTCCTTCTCGGACCCAGATCTTCCTTCCCAAAAATCCTTTCAATCCCAACGAGAGGCTAGTCATTTCCCAGCTGTACCTGTTACCAGGTGGCCGTTTCTTGATCACCAACACGACTAGTTGTGGATTGTGTCTCTGGGACCTTGGAATCAATGCCGGACATACCCCGCGAGGTCGTCCCATGGCCTTTATATCACTTGCTTCCCCTGTTTTCCTCGAGGAACCAAATCCGACAGCCGATGGAAGAGGCATACTCTTATTTTGTAACTCAACAATCGCGTGAGTTGCCTTCTGCCAATTGCGAGTCTCCATGTGATCTCAATGTTACATCCAGGCAAACCCCCCGACAATTCGTGATTTATGAGATTTACCCAACCGCTGATATTCCAGCTTTCGTCCAGAAAGCAGACCTTCGCGTTGGAGACACTGACGTGTGGAATCCAGAAGCTCATTCTTGTGCAATGTTAGGAAACTACATTGTCTTTGAGACCTCATTGGAGAATGACCCGGAGAGATATCTTCTCAATGTTTGGGATTGGGTCGATGATACAGGTTGCAAATGGGAGACCAAAGGCGGCGCAACGGTAAGTACCTGGTCTATTAGATGGGTGGCGGTTGGACTGAATCTGAAACACGCAGTTCGCCATGGTTGAAAACACCTTGATGGCGCTGGTTTGCCTGGCCGACTCCAACGAGTACCAATTCGCTGTCTATGACCTACCCGCCATGCAGCCTCTCGTAGATGGATGGAACGTCGTGTCATGCGTCAACCATCCTCAGCTTCTGTTGAATCGTCGTCACTCCAGCTGTGTCGACTACGGCATTCACGAGGCACGTTCGTGGTCCATTCCGAGACCCTATGTCTGCTTGCTGGATGGCGGAAATCTACTTTTCGACCCTGAAGACACAGAACCCACCGTCGCACAGTCCCTTCATGCTGAACTCTACATGGTGAAAAGGCTTTATCCTAATGGCGATGAAATGATCCCAAGCTGCCTCCCGGTGTATCAAGGTAGCACGGATAACTTCCTTGGGCCCCGCTGGAACGGGAACTTACCAAGGCTCTCGACAAGTACCCTCCTCTGGTGTGCGAAGAGGCACCTTTTCATCAAATCGCGGCTACACTTGGACCCTGAACGGACGATCGGAATAAGCGCCATCTCTCTTCCTTCACCGTCGTCACGAGCAACGGACTTGACATCAACAACTATTTTCATGAAACCAACGGTAACGGAACCATTAGGCCCAGATGCGCTGTGTATCTGTCCCTATAGTGGGCGAGCCGTAATCCTTGCGGAGAATTCATTCAACACCCCAGGGGTGGAACTGAGAATCGCAGACTTCTTGCTTCCAGCTTCCTGTTGGTGACAAATGGCCGCAGTGGCATGGCTGTATTTTGCGTGTTTCTTACTTTCTTAGAAACGAACCCGGCGCTCCGTCCTATCATCATTATTATTATTTTTTCAGCAGCGACCACTGAAAGGATTTTTTTGCCGCAGTTCCCGCTGGCTTGACTGCAACCGAGGTTATGTATACCGATTCGGATTGAATCTTGCAATTGGTTACTCCGCCACACATGTACCAAACGCCATTGACCCTATCTCGGCTCCCCCTTCAATGACTTCGACGAGTTGAAACGTTTAGGGAACTGCTGCCTCATGGTGTCGCAGTGTTGGCCTCGTGTTCGTTGCGCTTCCTGGCCCTTGCACAGGACAGCCGTCAGTCCACCTTCAACTATGATTCAATGAGGCACCCCGGCGCTTGTTCATCTCAACTTTCGACCACTTCCTAACCCGTCTGACACGTCAACCCACATTGCTCCAATGCCCACAAAATCAAGGAAATGGTTCAGGCAGAGACGACCAACGGATGCGATTATGAAGGATGGTCGTGATACCGACTTTATCGTTGCGTATGGGTTCACAGCTTCTCGTCCCCTTTGCCACGCAGGCTAATGGTTGTCAGTATCATGGGCCCAACTGGAGTGGGAAAGAGCACGGTATGGTAGACCACCCTTCTGAGAGAGAGCTTCGACTAATTCATGGTAGTTCTTGAACAAAATCGCAGGGAAAGAAGTCACCACTGTCGGGCACGACTTGGCCTCGTGTACCCAGCAACTGCATCCCTATATCATGGATCATCCGTCGCTACCAGGCCAGCGTTTGGTCCTCGTCGATACCCCAGGATTCGATGACACCCTCATCGATGATGCGGAAATCTTGCGCCGTATCGCCGTGTGGCTGGCATCCTCGTAAGTCTTCGCCATTCAGACCCTTGAAGGCAAGGGTCACACATCCACCACTACTCCAGCTATGATTCCGACATGAAGTTAGGAGGGATCCTCTATCTATACGACATCAGCGCGAAGCGGCTAACTGGGTCTGTCCGGCTGAACATGAAGATGTTCCGGAAGCTTTGTGGGCGCGAAGCCTACGACAAGGTCATCATCTGTACGACAAAGTGGACGAAGAAGAATGAGGAACAGGCTGCAGCCAATCAAGAAGAACTCAAAAGGGAGTTTTGGAAGGACTTGATCGACAATGGTACGAGGGTAATGCGAGTCGATAACACGGAGAATTCCTATCGCAAAGCCTTGGATGCCTTGCTTGAACCGGTTCCAAACCAACCACGAGATCCGAACACGACCCCACGTTCGAAAGGCAAAGGGTCACGGGCAAAGGGCAGCGCTGAGCGCGTCTTGCGGATCCAGGAGGAGCTTGTACTGGAGGAGAAGTTGGTGCCGCGTACTGAGGCAGGGAAGCTATTGAAGTTCTCTCTGTCCGAAATGTTGGTCATTAAACAGAAGGAATTAGCGTGTGCAAAGGATCCTCAAACTCGAGCGAAGTTGCAGGAGGATGTCGACTTCCTGAGTCACCAACTCGAGGACCTTCATGCTTCCTTCTTCAAGAGGTGGTTCTATCGGCTCTGGCCACTGTGATCTCGCATCGTTTTGTTATTTATTTCCCAAGGGTGTGAGGGACTCTTTTGATCATTATGTGTATACTATGCTTTCTCGCCGATGGTTTCCGCTTACCGAGATAGAGATGGACGCGAAGTGAACTCGAGGGATCATTAGTCATTAGAGTGAGAATGCTGGATATTTTACAATGGAGATGCGATAAGTCAACGAGATTGTGGATGGATGGAGAGGAACAATAACAAAAGATGACGATGAGGGTAAGAGACGGCGATATAAAGTTACAATAAAACCGAAAGACAATCCGAGATTCGAGAGGGGAAATGAAGATAGTCCACGGTGGTGATGAGACGCCGTAACATGTGCTTGGAGCTCTACATACGATTGCGAAAAGTCAAATCCTACTCCAGTGTAAGTAAAGTGAACCTCTACTCAGAAGCAACGACACTCACTTTAAGAGGTAGATATTTTGCGGGGTTGTTTAGTTTCCGGTACCAGCGAGCGTCATAGAATCGGTCTTAAAATGCCGCATTTTGGGAGCGGTAGCCTGTTGCTCGGTGCTGAGAGTGGAGAGGGTCTGCGTATGCCTGATACCTGGCTTCGACACGTTCGCAGGGCCATGTGCTTCGACCTCCTTCCCGCCGTCGCCTTCACCCGAGAAACCCGGGCCGTCGTTATTTGAAGAATGTACTGTCGAGGGGTAGTCGTGTGTCGACTCGGCCTTCTTCTCCTGTTCAGTCTCCGCCGTCATATGGCTCTTGTCCTTGAGGATTTCCCTCTCAATCGCGCTCTGACCACTTCCACTGCCACTACTTTCGACGCTGGTAGTGCTTTGGACACCTGTTTCGGCGGTGTTTCCCCCGGCACTGTAACCCTGGTTGTAGTCGGTCGGGTTCATGTAAAGTTGGTCGAAGTAGCCTTTCGGTTCTTGGGGATTAACGCTCGCGAGTTGTCCACCACCAGGCGCCAATCTAACAGGCGCACCGACCGCAGGGTTCATGTACGGATTGCCAACGGCAGGCATCTCCCCTGGTCTTCCCCAAAAGGCACCGGGACTCATCGTCCCAAGGCCGTACCCTGGCGGAGGACCCAACGGACTAGCCATCGGGTACATTTGCTGGGGATGCATCATGGGATGACCCAGTGGAGACATCCCGCCAGGCATGACTGGCGGAGCTTGGCCTGGCTGACCAGGCGACGGGAACCCTTCTGCATACGACTGTGACAAAGGATGCTGAGCATACGAATGCGGATGATAATGCTGATGTTGATGCTGGTGATGATGATACTGGTGGTGCAGAGGATGGTGAGGTCCAAGAGCGTATGGTGACCCAGGGGATCCCAGTGGATGGAGAAAGGTAGCAGGAGGAGTCATTTGCTGAGGATTTTGCGCTTGGTAAAAGGGATCGAGATGCGACGGAGGCAGTGAGAGCGTTCCCGGGGCGTTCGATCCATAGCGGCGCTTAGCGCTAGCCTGCTGCTGTTGGGCACGTTGCTGCCGGGCTTGGTAATGCGTCAACGAGCCATGGGCACCAGTGACGAGAGTGAACGGGGGCATCGACGGCGTAATGGGAGGTAGTCCATGAGGCGTGGGCGGATACATCTGTGGTTGCTGCTGTTGCTGCGCGGAAGGCTGTGACATTTGATGGCCAGGATCCTGTTGGGTACCAGCTGTCGATGATGCATCCCGAGTCTCTGCACGTTGTTCCTTCTCTCCCGCATCGGTTTGAGATGGTCGAGCCTGGACTGTGGGTACCCCAGAGTAATCGAACTGCGCATAATCGTGCTCTCCTTCCCTCTTGAAAGGTAGATGTTGCTGGAACAACCCGTCTCCCAACAAGCTGCTGAACGTAGGAGCAGGCGCAGCAGCAGCTTGAGGCCCGATCGAAATCGGGACGACTGGGGGTGGTGGTGGCAGCTCGATAGGTCCCGGATGTTGTCGATCACCAGAACCCTTCTCTCCAGCCTGATTCGATTTGGGCTCAGCCGCCTTCTCCCTCCGACTTCCTGAACGTACGAGTTTGCCTGTCCTTGACAACTGAGAAAGTCGGGGCGACATGGAAGATGGAGCAGAAACGGATCGACCATCATCGTCATCCCCTTCTTCCCCAGAAACATCTGCATCACTCCCTGCGTTCCCGGATCGCAAAGCACTCCGTGCCGCTGAAGGTACACCCCTAACACGCTTCGGAGAAAGAACAGAACCTGTCGAGCTTCTGCTAGCACTGGTCCCGGCAGACAACCCGCTCCCACTCTCTGACGCACTCGTGGTGGATCCGGTCCTGGAACTCGGGCTTGATATCCTCCCTAGACTATACGCCGCCACCTTATCCTTGCCCTTGCTTCGCCCATCGCTGTCCTCCTCGTCGGCAAGGTTCCGAACTGCCAACCTTGAGCCAGTGGACGGACCTCCAAGTCCCAATGGTAACGAGTGAGTACTCGCAGCCGCGGAACTCGTCTCCGAACCTTGGATTGCCTCAGCATCTGTTCCCGCAGCAGGCCTAGAACGAGAGCCCAGTCTGGCAGCCAGCAAACTTTCCACCATCCCCATACCAAATTGGTTCCCTTGCCGTAGGTCGTCCAACCCTTCAAACACCGAAGCTACACTCGACGACCTGGTACTCCCGGATCCGATATCGCCGTACGGGTGGTGTAGGGGTTGCGACCTGGAACTGGAGGACGACGAGAGGGACGAAGACATGCTGCTCGCACTCGACGTCCTCGCAAAGATACTTGAAGGCGAGTGGACATTCGACACCGGCGCCGACGCAGTCGTCCCCTCTATCGGGCCACCCTCCAGCCCACCGATCAGCGAAGTCATCGAAGTCGAGTGAGAGTTCGACGTAAAACCTTTCGAGGACGACTGGCGCTCCTGGTTCCTTGAGCCGTGGAGAAGGTGGAAAAGCCGCTGTTCCTTCTCGCGCTCCCGCTGGCGTTCGAGTTCCCATAGTTGAAGTCGGTCGTCTTGCGAATCACTGCCACTATGGTGTTCGTCGAGGAAACTTGCTCTGGTCTTCTTCTCGCCTATTGGCTGGTCGTAGCCAAAGGCTTGGATATGACGCTCTACCGGGTCTTCGTAGCCGCTGATCCCACCGTCGTACCCGCTACTCAACCCCCTAGAGATGGGTTCGGGAGCCTCGAGTGACTGCAAAGACGGGTCCACCTCGACATGGAACGTGCGCGCAGGCAGATCGATACGAGTCGGCCTGTTTGGATTCGTTTGCTTCGCAGTGCTAGTAGGGGGAGAAGGGAGGGGAGGTGAATGTAGGGATTGGAGTTGCTGGAGGTGCACTTGCTGTTGCAATAGCTCCAGTCGGTCCTGAACTTGGAACCTTTGTTGCTCGGACAACGACAGGCGTCGCTGGCCCACACCTTCGAGGGCGAAAGCCAGGGACGAAGATTGTGCTTGCTGAGGACGTGGCGAAGCATGGTTGCCCAATGGAGAGCCAAGTCTGGCACTGAGATCAGCTGGGGGAGAAACGGATAGAGAGGGAGAGGGGCTGGCATTGGCGTTGGCGTGTAGGATTGAAGAAAGTTTGGATTGCTGAGGCCCAGTCGACCACGAAGACAGGTGATGACTTGGCTGCTCAATGCCAATGTTCGATGAACCCAGCCCAAGGTTCGACATTTGCTGCGCCAACGACAGACCATTGAGAGCGGGTGAAGTCGAGGGCGGGAAGGGTGATTGGTGGGGATGACTGCCCGACATGGGTGGAAGATAGTTAGGTTGGGGAGACCCCGTCGTTCCCATTCCATTGGCCGGAAGTGAAGTGAGTCGATCATAGTGCACCTTCAGCTGGCGGCCGTTGAACTCGTACCTGATATACAATAACAGAAAAACGTTAACCCAATGTTTAAACGCAAGAGCTACGGAAGGCACGCTTACCCATTAAATACCCGCCTTGCCCTCTCCGCTTCCTCTATGCTCGAAAATACCACTGTTCCAAACCCTTTACTCCTCCCGTCCGGTCCAAGGGCCACATCCGCTCGCAATACATTGAAAGTCAGTAGTGAAGGCGGGATATGCCCCAACTCTGCCGCTTCCGAGGAGAGACCGGAACCCTGGCCGTGCAAAGATAAAGTGCTGCTGCCAAAGGAAGTGTTTCCCTTTCCCTGCAGAATCGGGTGACTAGACGGTACCCGTCGGAATAGGTCTTTAAGATCCTGCCATTGAACGTGATAGGGTAGCTGGTCAAAGTCACTATTAGTTAGCCCGCTTGAAAATGGAAAAGGAAAGTCAGACGCCTACATTTCCAACGAACAGCGTCCTGCCAGGAGGACCGGCAGCTGAGTTAAGGGCGCTTTGGGCGAAGCCTTGTTGAAGCTGATAGACGGGTGTGGGTTGGAGAATCTGCTGCTGCTGTTGCTGGGCCAGTGGGTCGGAGGTTTGATGTTGATGGGTCTTCTGTGACGGTGTCTGTCCCATCATTCCCTGACCACTAAACGAGTGCTGGCTAGTTCCAGGGCCTGGAGAGTGGTACATTCCTCCCGCTCCCGTGCTTCCGTATCCGCCGCCAGGACCAAGACTCGTGCTCATCCCCATGCCCATCATCCCAGGGTCATACCCCATGCCCATACCCATCGATCCCATAGGCGCACCCGTCGTAGGGTTCAGCATCCCAATGCCGCCAACCCTGTCGACCCTAACTTCCAATATCCGCGTCTGCCAGTCATACCCGTTGAACATATCGATCGCACGTCCGGCATCCTCTGCTGTGGCCAGCAAGACAGTTCCGTACCCCCTAGACCTGTTATCGGGCCCAAGGGACACATCCGCTCGTAAGACTGTCCCCGCCCGACGAAACAAGTCCTTCAGGTCTTGCCACCGAACACGATACGGAAGCTGCGCTCTGGTCAGTTTGAGTTCAAGGAAAACACCCCACGACTTACATTTCCGACGAACAAGAGTGTGCGAGTATCCCTCGCAGGAACTCTCATATCCCGATCCCTCGACCCGCCTCCTTCACTGTTGCGATCACGCCTCTCGTGATCACTGCTTCGGTCACTCTTTCTACAGCTCTCATCTTTACTCCGCTCCCATTCGCTGCTGGGGCCCGACCCAGGCGCTGATCCAGAAACCGAGGACGACGCACTACGTGTCCGTGGCTGGTTGGCGTTACCTTCTGCACTCGAGGAAGAACACGTTGCAGCCTGGATGGCAGCCTCGATTGCTTCATTGGACAGGGTCTCGGGCGAAACGCTCGATGTTGGCCTGGAGTGCCCTGGCGTCGTCGTTATGTTCGATGCAGATGTTGCACTTAGTGATGTCGATTGCGTTTGCGGGCTGTTGGCAGAGGACGCGTCCTTCGCACCCATTGTCGTCATGGATGACGAGTCGGGATGCAAAACGGTGACCGAACCTTCCCATCAGCAGATAGCAAATCAGATTCCGGCTCGGCTGTCATATAAAGGACGTACTCACCTTGGCCAGCCGCAGATGCGGGTCTAAAGCTCGGTGAGTGGACGTTCATGACAAAACCGGAGGGTCCCCCTATTCCTGCTCTTGCAGTCCAAGTAGCCACGGAGCTTGGAGACGGAGGATACCCGGCGGTGGGGTTCACGGTGACACCAGCACTCGGCACACTGGCGGTACTGGAATCTTCTGCAGAGGACCCGGGAGACGACTCCGATTCTGATTCATTGGAGTCATTCTCGCTTCTCTTGGGGTTTGACGTCCTGGTAGCGTCGCGGTCTGAAGACCCTGCTGACGATTGCATTGGTGGCGTCCGAGGGTGCTGAGGACGGTGGGTTTCGAATTGATCGTGCGCTAATGGCTGTGCAGGATTCCTATCGTCATTCTGAGTTCGTGTGTTCCATGTTGCGTCGGGGTAGGTGTTTGTCGAAGAGCCCTCCATCCAGAGTTATTACAGTCCGTTCAAGTCGCAGTTGCGTAAGTGTCGCTCTGCTTCTCCTTCGATCAGCGTGAAGTGGGTAGCTGATGAGTGGGGCCAATCGGGCGCGAATGAGTGCCGTTGTGTCCTTTCCACGAACTCGTCTTTAGCTCCAACAGGTTTCCGCGGAGGGGGGACTCACCTAGTGTCTTCGGCAAGTGGTGTTTTGATATCCCTGTAAGTCCGGTTTGGAGGTTGAAATGTAGTTTCTGTTGAACAGGGCGTCGTGATGAAGTATCAGGCGCCAGTATGGTTGATGGATGGTCCAGTGGAACGTTCGAAAGATGTACGCCGTCCACAGGAATTGCCTTCTGCGTTTTGGTTACACAAATAGCTTGTCAGGTATATCTAGCCCGCTATTTGATACAGAGGTTCGCTGTCAGCAATGTGCAGCCCGCTGGGATCAGGAGGCGTCGCTTCTCACCGAAAGCTGTATAATCGATCCCTAACACCTAAACCCGGCCTAAATCCCTATATTTCTCGCAATCTCGCTGTCGTCGTCGTCGTCGTCGAGTTTGTCGCGGCCTGGGGCGATAGTTGACGATGTTGTCGACGTCGTCCGTCCGCAGGAAAGTTCGCCCAGGCGAAAATTAAACCAGAAACCCAAAGGATTGAAGGAGAAGGTTGTGAAGAGAGATATAAGAGAGAGAAGCGATGGAGACGACGATCTGGCGGAGACGTCCAAACACAGCAAAAAGGCAGGCACAAACACAACGCGTTGAGGGATCCGTTGCAAGATCCCCGCCAAGGCCAAGCCAATTAGGGTGGAGCGCTCAGCATGATCACATCACTTTCCCTTTTTAATTCCCGTTCTCTACTTTCCTGCTTTCTGCCCTTCAAACACCTCTTCTCCTTCTTTAATACTTTACTTTTAATCTCTCGGCCATCTAAAACACTTTATCTTTTTTGCTTCATCGACTAGCCTGCATGGGAGGACGAGGAAGGCTTGCGCTGAACCACGATCATGCTTCGAGGCGAATGGGGTCTAGATCCTTTACCATCTAAAGCCCGCGAGCGCCGAGCAAACCCAGTTCAAGCGACGGAAAAGGCAATAGATGACATTTCCAGCCTCCGTCGGTCTCTTCAACCGTCTGTTATTGTCGGATCTACACCGTGCTTTATCTTGAAAGTAGACATATCCAGTCCATTCAGGCAGAACCCAAGAGCCAGGCCATGAAAGAACAATTGCATCCAAACCCTCATGCGTCACTACTCGTGGCCCCATATCACACGTCCGTCTATGCTGTGAACTATCAGAAAATCGAGGGTGCACCCCCAAATTGTTAACCGCTATAACGACAACAAACTAATAGCGGAGCGTCTATTATCATTTTACCGAATGACGGCATCCTGCGCTCGACGTTCCTTCGACCCCCGAATCCTTAAACCCTCAGAGGCCGATCGTGTTTGAGTTTCCCTGCTTTAAATTTTATGAACTACCTACTACGTAGCGCCAGCCCAGTCTGCTGTGCGTAGCCTGACCACAGACCTCGCTTCGCTTCGGCGATTCGAGATTCGTTTACCAGGGGTTCCCCTTCTTGGCGACTATGACGTCACTGCCTTGCCGTCCCCCCATTTCCTCGAGATCGTCCGACCATGTCGCCCGCTCAACCTCAAGCCTGGTCATCTGAAGATCGTCGGCATTTACAAGAGGGGGGTATCCAACCACGATGTATCCGCCGCCTTGCTATTTTCGACCTACCCTTTGCCCACTTGGCCCGCTCAAACTTACTTCAGACTTCCCCCCGTTCAAACCTCTCTCACAAAACAGCGCTTTGTTCGGATTACAGGAACAGGCGGACGTTGACATTCTCCGCTACACACGCGACCTCCAGGCTCCATCCACTCTCTCTGTATCATCAATATGAATCAGGATAGCAGATGCGCAAAAATTGAATGTCCACCGTCATCGTCCGTCTACCGCACTCTAAAACGTGGTCCCGCGACATCCTTTTGTCCTCCTCCGGCATGAGTAACCCACCTTCAAGCCGTCCACCGTGACGAAAGCGGCCACGCGGAAAGAAAACCGTTACACACCAATTTATCTCGTTCCCCCACCTTTCACCCTGCTTCGAAACCTCGTTTCACACAACTTTATTCGCTTCCCACACTTTGTAAACCAGAAATATGATGAGGCCTATTCGCTGCTCCACCAATGACAACAAACACGGTCCTTCCTCTTCTCACCTCCAAAACCACTCTCTTATCCCCCGCCCCCAGCCGCGAATCTCCATCCATCATGCATATCACATCAATTCACGATCATCGAGTCACTCGAGGGAGGATGTCACTTGAGAACAATCACATCCCGTTCCTCACAAACTTCAAGGGTCTCGTGATCCACATAGAGTTACTTCCTCTACGACTCGAGAGAGGTCAAAAGAATCGAGGGTACCGATGATGACATCGTCGAAGCCAAGCACTTGTTTAAAATTGTCTGCCTCTCCCTTCGAACTATGTCAGGGCCTCTGACTACTCCCATCGACCTGGTTTCTCCAGTCACGAGCCGTTCCTCTGACGTTTGGTGCCCTGACCTCTGCGTTTGGGAATCATCGGGTGAATTGTGGAGCTTTGTGACCAGTAGGCATTCCTCGTGCAAGCTTACGATATCGAAGTGGTCGAGTCCTCGAGATCGAGGTACCCATTCCGCGGGATGTAATAATAAACAAGAAGGAAGGAGTTTCAAAACAGAATCGGATGCAAAACGCCAGTCCCCGGTCTGAAACCAGCCGCAGAGCTCAGTCCAGAAGCCCCCCGTCGATCTCTTCGGACATGGGCCTCTCGGACATTACACGGGCTTTCGCTTCCTCTTGACTCTGTCCACAGAGTATTGTATTCTTTTATCACCTTCGGCGGCTTCGTCCCGCGGCTGAAGGCTCCAGGCGGTGCCACCCTCGCGCGGCTTGTCCAGTCTTCCAGCGGTCCCGGCTCCACTGCCCGACATGATTCAATCGCCTGTCTCAAGATGCCAATCCGCAATTAAAAACAACATGCACCGTTGTTGCTCAATTCAGCGACGGCTGACAATAAACGTTGGCTAACCCTTCTCCCGTGCATGTAATTTCGTTAACGTGGGGTCCCTCGAGAAGCCACACGTTCTCTCGACATCAAGCCACCATTTGCGGAGGGGAAAGAGTCTGACCCATTCACATATCTCGAGGCGTGCGCAGTGCCATGCCAGGGGGCATCTGAGGGCGGCCTGAGGCCTGTCATTGGACTCGCGGCGATCCCGTTGCTCAGCGCCTGTTCAAGCGCCCACGAATTCCTTTTTCGGAACGCAAACCCCGGAACCTCCCGGACCGCATAGCCCTCTATTGACCCACGATCCGGATAGTCTGCAACGACCTGGGTTTCGACAATAACGAGGTCGACAAGTGTGACCATAAGCAGAGATGTTATTCAAACGAAACTCGTAGTAGTGTACACAGATATTATCAATGTCCTGATCACGATGATGGAATAAAAAAAATGCTAGCAAGGGTCACAGTGAAGGCATGTCACCCAAACCGAAGCCGATAAAAAGCAATCAAAACCCAAATAATAAGCAAAATATATATGGATACACATATAATTCCCAACTAATGATCATCAGCTCCAGGTCTTCCCCATCTCACCATCCTCGTAGCGCCATCACGCCAACTCTCCACCCGTCTTCGCGCAAGCACCGACATCGTCGAGCCCGTTGTCCCCACGAACCCCATCCCGCCCGACTGAATGGCAGCATCAATAAGCACAGGGTACCTATTAGAAGTATCAGCTGTCGAGACCACTTTCCATTCCAAGACCAGAAGGCACTCACCAGGGCCCGTACAGCTGCACCGTCTCAGAATGATCAACGCTGTACCATCCAAGCTTCTTAACGTCCTCCCACCACTCTGGGTCAGTTTCGTCGCTCAACATGATGACGTGCTCCACGGAGATCCCCTTTCGCTGCAGAAGTTCTTCTTTGACTTCGTCCACCCGTCTTGCCACGACAGGTAGGGGTGCAAAGCACTCTGATAAGGGAGTCTTGTGGTCGTTTTCGCAGATACGAGCAAAGTCGCCGTGGCGGAGGTGAACGGCTATCCACTAAGGGATGCGAAGGAATTTATGTCAAATGATGCAGAAGATAGAAGGTGCAAGAGGCGTACTGTCGGTGTCTTCTCTCCATCCGCGATTCCCAGTGTTCTTCGTACATATTGGTCTGCAAGTCCGTCAACATGAGGGGTCCAATGAAGGTGCTGTCCAACAAAGCGCCAGGCAGGGCTGAAGTCGTAGTCATATTCAAATGGCTGTACAGCAATTGCCCAACAGTCAGGTAACAGAGATGTCTCACAGGAGAGAGACGTACCAGATGAGCACTAACGAAATACAGGTAGTCATAACACAGGAGCTGGTCATCAGGAGGGAGCTTCAAGTGGAACCGCGGCGATTCTGCAGGCTCTACAGCATATTCCTTCTTCATGTCCGGAAATGCGAGCGCCGCCAGCGCCCAGAATGACAGGAACAGCTCTCGCTCTTGAGGGACGAGTTTGATCCAACTTGGTGCTTTGGTATACGAGATATCTAGTCAACCGGTGGTCAGGAGCTCAATCCATACCAAGAGAAGGTGTCTTGGCTTACCAAGTCCCAACATCTCTGGCTGCCTGCTAAACCTCGGTTTCCCTTCCCAAGGAGCCGCCGCCTCCCAAGTATTCCAGCACCCCACCTCGTCAAATTCCTGACTCGTATTTGCTTTCACCTCGTTCCACTCCACGATAGGCATCTTCAGCTCCTTTCGCAGCCTGGGGATGTCGAAAACATCCGAAAATGGGATAGGGGGTACTTCTTCTCCGATGTGAGAGGGTATAAAGGTTGCAATGATGGGTATCCGTTCGGTGAGTATTGCGAGATAGATTAGGTTAATCTGTGGATGGGAGCTTCAGTCGAGTACCAAGGTTTGTGGACGAGGAGAAAGCGAACATAGGTCATAACATCATTAGCTAGAGGAGGGCAGTCAGTACACGGTGGAAACATTGCAAACGTCCTGGTCACTCACTCCAACCAGCCGATAAAAATGTTGTGATATACTTCTTGTTTGGTAAAAGATTATCTAGAAGACCGGTTAACAACCATAAGCAGGGGTAATAAGAGTAACTGCAGCGCACCTCGAAACTTCATGGTAGGGGCACCATTCAGGACAAACGACGAATCCCATGCAGACTTCTCCTCCTGCGCCTGTGTCGTGTTTCCGCTAAGGGCCGACTCATCCACAGGTCCGAGGCTCTGGCTGCCCGAATCCCGTGTCAGAACACGGAGTAGCGCCAGGAAACACACCGTTCCAACAGTGACCTTGAGCAAGAACCGCTTACTGGTCCACCACCTCGCTCCGGAACGACGCAGTGACTCTGAATCATTGCGTCGGTGCTGGCCGATGAAATTCTCTTCAGGGTCGCTGGTCGGCACTGACGTCCATACTCCTGGGGGCATCGCAAGTCACTGGTCAGGTCTTCAGTTCGTGGTAGAGCAATGAACGACCGCCTGTGCACGAAACGGCTGATTCAATGCAAATGAGGCCTTCGCGAAGTCGAAGACTGTTGAGTAAGATTGCCTCGTTGCCGCTTCGAATTCGCGTTTGGGCGGCCAATCGAGGGCGCTTGTTGAGCGGTTCTTGGCTCCAGTAGCAGAGCCCAAAGCTTCAAGAGAGACGCTCCTGTGAAGCCGTTGCGACGATGCGCCACGAGAGACAGAGCAGAACGCGACAGCGAATGTCGACGGGATCCATTTTCGAATCAATCACTGTAGCGGACGTTTTGCCTGGCTCGGGGCGATTGATTCGGATCAATGGTCTCAACTGCAGGGTGCCATGGACATCGGGCGCCAAAGCACTTGACTGGGAGCTCGTGGCAGTAGACACTGAACGTTAAACTTCAACCAACTCTGAATTCCATGTGTAGAGCGTTAGGTCCTGAGAGTGACGCGCTCGATTTCAAGTCAAAAGGGGGGAGGACAGAGTCGCGACCAAAGTGAGCTCATACATTACAGGCAGTACAAAAGCGAATAAAATACATCGAAATCAATAGTACTCCCCTGTTTCTGAAAACCAGGACATTGTCAACCATCCTCTACGCAATCAAAGCTCTGGCACGCTTCGTCAACCCAGCTGCCACCGCCACCGCCAACGCAAGAACGAACCATTTATTCAACCGCGAGCCAGAAGAAGACACGCTGGGAGGACCCTTGGGTTTGGCTGGCAGTTTCACTTTGAAGTTTTCAGTGGCCTTCAACTTCTTGGCGGTGTAGGGGGGATAGCGGAACTTGAGGATAGCGTCGACCCAGCTGGGAGAGTCGATGGAGCTGCGCAAATGGGTGAACATATCGAACGAGAATTTGCCAGTATGCTCGCCATCTAGAAGTATTGCATTTAGTATCAGTTGTCAGACCGAGGATGAAAAGGACGCTTACAGCCACTAGGACCAGTTCCGCCGAAGGGTAAGCCGTCCACTAATGGGTTGGGAAGTGGTAAGAAAGGGTCGACCAACATTCGAGAAAAATACGTACCACCAGTGTGGATAACTACTTCGTTGACTGAATATGCACCACTCTGGGTGTTGCGGAAGACTCGGTCTTTAACAGCTTGGTCTTGCGTGAATACGTAGAGTGCCAATGGATGGTCTCTGCGAGTCTTCCAGGTTAGCAAGAGGGTTGGACGGGAATCAGGACGGATGCTAACCGAGAGTTCACGAAACGGATGGCTTCATCGATGTCCTCGACTGCAACGATTGGGAGAATGGGGCCAAAGATCTCACTGGAAAGAACACAAGTTAAGAGGTGGATAGACGAGGGAAAGGACGGTGCTCGACTTACTCAGACATCAATGAATCGTCGGGGAGCACATCCTTCACGATGGTAGGCGCGATGAACTTGGTGGCAGCATCGGTTTCACCACCGAGAACGACAGTGCCTTTCGTAGCGTCGAGCAACCCCTTCACACGATTGAAAGCCTGAGGAGTAATCATCCTTGCAAAGTTGTCTGGGTCGGAGGGTTTGGCATCAGAAGGGAAGAATTCGTTGTAGCTGTTTAGCCAAGTCAGAAGAAGATAGAAACTCGGTTCGACTAATGAGAAACCTACGTCTTGGTGAGCGCCTCGATGAAGGTGTTCTGGAAAGACCGTGGTACGAGGATGTAGTCCGGTGCGACGCAGGTCTGGCCAGCATTCGTACATTTTCCCCACAGGATTCGCCTTGTGGCTGTTTGAAGGTCACAAGTGGGGTCCACAATGACGGGGGATTTTCCTCCGAGTTCGAGCGAAACTGGTGTCAGGTGCTTGGCAGCTGCTGTCGCGACGATCTTTCCAACACGTCCTGAGCCGGTGTAAAGGACTGCAATATGTGTTAGGACGGCGACCGGCGGAGACGAAGACGAGTTGCTTACTGTGGTCCCATTGCAGTTCGAGAATCTGACCGAGGGTTCGTTGAGGATGAGAACATGTGGGCCACTTCAGAAAGGAAGATGTCTCGACATACCTTGCTGGTCTCCGCAACAGCGCCATTGACCACTCTAACCAAATCAGAGTCCAGGTACTTGGGTACAAGTTCTGCTAACAGGGAGCTGACGGCGGGTGTCGACTCGGAGGGCTTAAGCAGCACGGTGTTGCCGGCGGCAATCGCACCAACCTAATTAAATGTCGCTGTTAGCGGTGCTACTGGACGGGATTTGAAACAGCACTGACCAAAGGTCCGATAGTCAACCAAAGCGGATAGTTGAAAGGTGCAATGATAAGAACAGTCCCCTTTGGAACCTTGTTGATGGTGGGCTTCATGGCGAAGAAGTTGATATTGAAAGCAGGGTATTCGGGTTTCGCCCACTTCTCGACATTCTTGTAGGCCTTCAGAGCGTCGCCAATACAGGTGTTGATCTCAACGCTGAAATAGTTGGTTTAGGTGGTCTGGCCAGTCACCAAAGTGCAGGAGTATGACGCACAATCGACTTTCCAGTACTGGGCGTCCCAAGTCTGCCTTGAGAGCATTCTCGAAGGCTTCAAAGTTTTCCTGGACCAAGTAACCGATTTGGAGGAGCTGGTATTTGCGGTATTCGATGGAGTTGAGTTTTCCTGAACGAAAGCCTGCCCGCAACTCTTCGTGAATCTATCAAAAGAGTCAGTTAGGATGATAAACTACGGAATGCAAATAGCCGGTGGTAGGTGCTCTCCAAGCAACCTTGAGCGCCTTGAAGATTTTGAAGCTACACGCACCTTCTCGATATCTTCCAGGGAGGTATAGACGAGTTCGGGCATTCTGGTCGCGTTGTTGATGGTGGTTCGAGGTCAAGAGTATCACACTGAGCTTGTGAATTCCACCTTGCATTTTGGCTGTGGGTCAGGCGACAGAGACAAATCCCGCATGCGTACGTTTGATCGGCGGCCGTGCGCAAACAACCAACGGGTGCCTGTCTGCATTAGGAAATGTTGCCTCCTATCCGCAGGCATCGAGTCCACGGGGACCGGAGAGCACGACACCTGAGCGCTTACATCGCCCAAAGAAGTATCCCTCCTAAGAAATACTGGAAGAGCACAACTGACTGCGTGGGCACCGGTCAAGATCATGCAAGATGAATGACGAAGGTTGTCATGATTATAGTGATACAAGTAGTAATACAGGGCCTATTGAAGGTTATGCTACAACGGAACCGAAAGGATTGGGTTCAATTACAGCTTCCTGTTGATATCTTGCTGAGTTTCGCCCTTGCCGTGACGGATATCACCTTAAATCTGGTTAGGAGGCTTTACTGGAGTGCAATGTAAGGTCTTGAACACACCATGGGCCTGCTGGCTCCTGTCACCGGTAGCAGAACCGACGACCTGGTCCTTCTTTCCGAGGACACGGTCTTGCGTTCCCTCAGCGTACCCATGGGCACGAGCAGCGTTGTACTCGGCTTCACCAGCAGCGTGCTCGCTCTTGCCCTTCTGCTGCATGTTGGTAGAGCCAAAGACGTTTCCGAGCTAATAATAGGACTGGGTAAGGACAATCCCCCCTTCCAATATCGCCGAATGACATACCGTCTCCTTAGCACTGCCCTTGGTGGAGTGGTATTGACCAGAGGTCTTGCTTGGGCCGTTGGATGTCATATTGGTTGATTTAGAGTGGAGGGTTGGGTTTGATTATGTGGTTGAGTGACTTGTTGATGGGCCTTTGCAGCGATTGCCATGCTGCCCTTATATACTTTCTTCACCCGTTGACAAGCCTACGGCTTCGCACTTGTGAATTCTTCCGTCGTACTGCGCGCTGCGAAGTTCAAGCCTCAAAAGGAAGCCATTGACGTTATACCTCCACAAAGGAGTGCCGGACCTTCCGAGTAGTAGTGGATTCAGAGATACCATTCGTCATAGCGCTGGAGTACATGCATCATACATTACACCAGGCGAGGGTGTGGGCTAGAGGGGCTTAGATGGAGACTTCTTGGGGACGCAGTCACAAGGCTGAGCGGCTGGACTTCACGGTCTTTCTCTGTCTCGGCAACCTAAAGCTGCAGTCACAGGCCCGACAGAAGCTGGACGTCACTGAGATGGTCATTAGCTCACAGTCCTTGCATTGTTCCTAAATTACGAGGCGCTTGGCCAATCTCCTGCCCAGTCCTTGACCTTTCACTCCTGTCGGTGTGGAGTCAGACTCATCGGAGGAGATGGCGTCATGCGCGCCTATTGTTAGGCTTGGCACCACACTCTTGGAGCGGAGCTTACGATTGCCGTTCGATCCGCGCTGAGGCAGTCCTGTAGCATCCATGGTTTCAGGCTTTTCCTGGGTCGAGCGAACTTATTGGAATCATGATAATCTTTTAATACCACTTGACGATTGGCTACTCTAGATAGCTAGGCTTCCTCCAAGAAAGGGGCGAGGACAGAAGCCCGAGTCGGATTACCCCCTAACCACTATTCATCTCGCATTTCGTGGCCGCCACTGGCTTGCCTTCGTAATGCGGGAGTTGGCCAAACTTTACCATGACTACAAAGAATGACCTGGTATGCTTGATGTAATATGCTGCGACCATAAGTCCTTCCCGTCTACGACAGTGCATGAGTTCACGGATACTAGAAATACCCCTTAAGCACTCACCTATCTAAGTACCAGCAGCACCCGCATCATGTCCATCTAGTTTTCAAGTCTGAATGCGATGGTGGCTTTTCATCGTCAGGCCCTTTTTTACTAGGTTGAGTAGCCTGTGAGGTCTCGTCTTTGGACTCGTGTTGCCCGCTTCTATCCCATGGCTTAAGGCTACAACTGGTCAAAAAGTCTTCAAAGTCCCCGAAAGTGTGGTAAATGGGATCACCGTTCCCAGGTACATGCATGGTCTTAGATCCAATGCCTTTTGAATTGTTCTTGCTCGAGGTCGACATTGAGAGCGAACCGTCTGCCAAGGAACGAAGATCAATCTTGGTCAAGCTCGGATGATTGCTACAGACTTACTGAGAACGTCGACGCCGGTTGTAGAGACAAATCGAGCAGATGGCACTCCTGTCGATGTAAAAGAGAGAAAATTGAGAAGCTCCAAACAACGCTCCAACGAGAGCAATGTCGGTTCCATCCTTGTTCCTAATGCGGTCACTTTCGATCACCAATCACCACGCTTTGGGCAATCTTATTTCTATTCTTCTCGTCAAGGGCTGCTAACAGGTATTGTAGTCTTAGAAAAGCCAGAGGTGCGCTGTTTAATTGTATAAGACAGTCGCTTTGAAAGTTGGATAAAGACTTACTTGACGGGATTCAAGTTTTTCAGTCAAGCTCGCCCTTTGTTCTTCTGCTCCTCCTCCCAGTCGAGGCGGTGGCCTTCCTTGATACCTTCAACGATGCGCTTCCCTTCCTCTACGTCGTCGAGATCCCAGGGCTTTAAACCATGGGAGTGCATGAAGTTCTGCCAGCCACCGTACGATTGATGAATTGCATAGGTCGTCAAAGGGACGTAGGTGTCCGATTTGCCAGAAGCACCGTCGCGGTTCGAGGGCATGGTTGTTGATCTGGAAGCTACGGGCATTGTCGGGCGATTCGTGAAAGGCGTTACCATAGTTCGAGATATGTCATGACAAACCAAGCACGTACCTTGAAAGAACGTCCAGGAGGCAAGATAGAAAGATTGGTTACCGGCGGGAAGCGCATTTATAGCGCGTCGCGCGGAGTTTCAACCACTAAATGAACCCTATTTGAAATTACTGGAAGAACGGCGAAGAGGGCGTATTTAAGGCTACACGGTAAATTTCTTCGGCTAATGGAGTCCTTGGATCTATATTACTGTCCAATTGATACAGGAGATGCGGGGTATGTAAATTACAGTGAAAATCACAACAACCTAAATATCTTGAATAGTCCGTTGACGATCGTCCGCTGATCAGCTGGAGGTTTCACGCTTCGGGAGAGAAACGTTCGGAAGGGTAGGAGCGCTGCTGAAGGAGAACCTGCTGGGAGGTACGGCCATCGATACGCGTAAATCGCTGGGGGGACCCTCGCTGGGTGTGAAAGCTGAAGAACCACGCATAAGAAAGCTTGGTTCGTTACGTTGGATAGATTCTGGCGTCGTGAAGGAAGTATAGATCGTATCTTATTCGAGTTTGAGGCGCAGTGACGACCGAAGATTACACACATAACGTACCTGGGCGTGGGGAGTATTTCCAGAACTTGGAGAAGAACCGAGAAGAAGAGTTCCTCTTCTTCTGTCTTCGGCGGAGCAAGAACAACAAAATACCGACAATAATCAGGGCGATGAGAGCTCCCAAAACACCTGACAGTATTCTGACGAGGCTCGCCGAGGGCGATTCTGACTGGGCTCGAGTTGGGCCGGTTTCATCGTATGCCGAGGAAGGGAGGGCTGGAGACCCGATATCAGCTGCATTAGTGATTGTCGGTCGTGCAGTAGCTCCGGGGGAGCCAACCGATATTCGATCATCTCTTGGACCACCGTTCTCCATGACCTTATCAGCAGTCGTGTTTCTAGGATGCGGTGTGACGAAGAAATGCTGAAGGATGTACGGTGTCTCCGCTCGGATAACTTCGATGGTGAGTTTGTGTTCTTCCGTATTGAGAGAATTGGCCTGGAAGAAGGGTTGGCCCTGAATCGGGGTGTTGGCCATGGGGACCGTGGACTCTGTTGTCTGTCTGCCGTCAATGGAGTACTTCGCTCGAGGTGGCCGGTCAGTTGCATTGCTAACAGGAACTGTCCCAAATACGACTATCTTTGAGCCTATAATCTTCACTCATCAGCGTGATACAGGAACATTACAGTCTCACTTCTTACCTCTAAAGCGAAGCTCGACCCTGGCCCCTCGGTCTGTTGTGCTGTGCGTCGTCTGAAAGGTAGTTCCGTTCAGAAGCCACCTCCCATTGTAAACCACCCTCGGGTCGTTGTCCTGGATGAAGCACGCTGCACAGAAGGGGAATTTGTTGTTGTTCCCGTTGTTGAAATTTTTCCCATTCGTCGAGAAATTACGAGGGAGTAGGTCGTAGATAAGCTCGCTCTCGTCCTGCGCAGAGCCGGTAGGATACGTCGTTAGCGGGGATGCAGGGTCCTCCTCTGCGGCAACTGCATCCTCGCTCTTCGTCAAATTGACTGCCTTCCACATGAGAACTTGATGAGACGGCTAACGAATGGGCGACTCACCACTCCTTGAGACCAGTCTACTAGGAGGCATATTTTGAAGGAATGGCAGGGGGTGAAGTCCAGCCTACACGGATGTGGGGAAAGGAGCGAAAGTTGAAAGAAATGGGTATTTCGTTGGGCCGCATCCTTAAGAGTGAATAAGGAAATGCTGGAGGGTAGTAGCCATTGGAAACCAAGTCAGAACCTAGCGACAGAGGTCCACCATCGCTAAAGCCATTGAGACGTGGGTGTGTAGCCATACGAAAGAATATACTTTTAGAGACGACTGCAGGGGGCCGGAGGGAATAATAATGTCACCAAGAACCTGTGGCCTAAAGATTACGTGCAAGTATGGGACCAGGACTGACCGACGAATGATTGGACAGGAAGTCGCCAAGATAGGGTGCAATTCCAAAGGAAAATAAATCGAAGACCAGCCCAATCAGAGAAGAACCCAGACGTAACTCGGTTTCTATACGTCCCTTTAGTTTTCTGTTATCGAGAGCTTTTCTCATCGTTGGGAAGAGGATAATTCCATACAAACCCTTTTCCTCTCACATAATGTATTAAAACAGCCGAGGGGTGACACCCTTGAATCATAACAGCTACAAATAGTAATTCTATCTAGGATACTTAGTTCAAGAGAAGGTTATGTCGTAGCATTAACTCGCGCCATCTTCGTGAGCATGGCAAATTCTTCTTTTCCTGTTGCTTTGCACAAAGCATAGAATTTGGAGTCTGGGTCGTTGAGCAATGTAGCGGGCCTGGAGCAGACATTAGCTACGTTCACTCAAGTGGGTCGAGCAGCACGTACTTGTCGAATTCCACGATTTGGCCTTGATCCAGGAGCATGACCTACACAGTGATCAGAACAAGCGGCACAACATGGAGAATGGTACGTACTCTGTCATAATCAATTACCGTACGCAGGCGGTGGGCAATCGTCAAAATCGTGCTCTCAGCAAATTCATGCCGAATTGTCTTTCCGATAAGTTCATCTGTCGCATAATCCACGCTACAGATGATGGTTCAAGATCACATAATCTCATTGCTAATCCAATGCTCCTACCTTGCAGTCGCCTTGGAGAGCAGGTTAACATAGTGGGTGACCATAGAACAAATTTAGCTCACCTCATCCATGACAAGGATCTTCGAACGCTTGAGGATGGCACGGGCCATGCACAACAGTTGTTTCTCCCTGTCATCCGATGCATAAGAACGGCGAAGAGCATTACGGTCCGAGTTCTGGCCCATACCCAGTTGAGAAGTTTTCACCCCCTTCAGAAACTGAGGAATCGAGATCTCGGAACACATTGGCGTTGACGGTCTCCGGAGTTTCATCGTCGCCCCCAGAGGGCAGCAGGTGTACCCGACGAAGAGCTTCGTACTGTAATATTGTTAAATTGAATGAGCCCAAAGTCCATGGGAAGGGGCACGTACAATCTCCACATCTTCGTATTCATCGAAGACATCAAGAGTAGAACGTAATGTGCCACTCAGAATCGTAGGATCCTCTGTGTCGCAGGTTAGCGGTTTCTTCATCACGTTGGCAGAGTGACTCACGAGGGATAATCGTTATGCGGCTACGAAGGTCAGTAAGGCCGATGTTGGAAATGTCGAGACCATCAACTAAAATCCGTCCGTTCACGGGCTCCACGAAGCGGAAGAAGGAAAGCGCTAGGGTGCTTTTGCCTGAACCGGTTCTACCAAGGATTCCGACCTGAACAACGCTCAGATTTCGTCCGTTTTGACCAACGTCTTATCAACGTACCTTCTCTCCGGGTTTGATAGTGAATGACAAATTATGCAACACATCGGGAAGCTCGGGCTACAGGTAGTGAAAATGAGTGCAGAACTGGCATGGGTATCATAACCACGTACAGCATAGCGAATGACAAGATCTTCAACTTGGATTTCACCCTGTGAAGGCCAAGATACGGGCGGACGGGGTTCGATAAATTCAGCAGGTTCACGTTTCAATTCGGAGTACTCCTTGATTCTCTCCAACGCGACCATAGACTGCTCAAGGGCTACAAATCGACGAACCTAATCATAGCAGCCGGGAAACGGAGCGTCAGCCGTCGATTTACGGGCAGCAACGATTCACATTACCATGAACAGCAGGTCGTTGGTGATCGTCGTAGCGAAAGCCAAAGCAAAGCCGGCCAAGGAAGCATTGATACTAGGTGTCACAAGGCATGCGAGTCCCGCTGCACCGACAATGGCCGCCGAAAGGAGATTGAATCGGATTGACAACCAGCGGTTGACTGGGAATGGTTGGTGAGAGGGTGAACACATGATCACGACGTCAGGGCATACCTCCCCACATCCAGTAGTACGGGTTCGAGTTCTGCATACAATTGAATAAGTCTTCACATCGTTGACTTAATCAATGATGGGCCTCACCGTATCGACACATCGAAGCATGTCCCTTAACAACTTTGATGACGCTCCAAAGGCCCGCAGCACTGGGACACCAGAGATCGTCTCTCCATACATGGAATACAGGGGAGACCTTGATACAGAATCTGCGGGCAGTCACGACGTCAGTCACCAATTCCATCCTCCACTAAAACCGCGCCATTTACCAAGACGTCTCATATCTCGAGAGGTTTGTCCATAGACCTGTTCTGGAATAAGCAACAGCGCGCATGTGGGAAGAATCGAGAGACGGAACCTTTGCAGCTAGGGAAAGACGTCAGATACTATCGTCATAACCCAGTTGCTAGACGCTCACCATTCCAATAGAGTACACCCAGAATGGCGATGGCCACTACGAACGGAATGCCTCCGACGACGCTCACGGTCACAATAGTGGTCAGGGCAGATAAAGCTGTAATGATGGTTCGTCCCAAGTTATCCGCGAGGCTGCTGTCAATTCCTACGCATGGTTGGTGAATCAATGGGGGCCACGAGGGGCGGCTGATAGGTGTATTAGATACTTACCCTCAAAGTCTTTACCAAAGCGGTTGAGGAGGCGGCCCCGCGAAACAGTGTCATGGAAACGAATATCGGCGAATAGGACAGTCTCCAATAACCTCTTGTAGAGTACGGTCGAAGCCCGAATGGAGGCATCGTAGAGTACGAACCAGCGAGAGGTAGTGATGATGAGGCCGACACCGGTTATCGCAGCGTATACGCCGATGTAAAAGGCCGGGCTTTCACCACGCCCTTCCAGAGCAGAAGCAGACCAATATCTATCCGAGGATTAAACTTTGTAGTGCGGGAAGAGAGCGGAGCCGACAGTACCTGAGCCAGTTGTTCTCCAACACAGGAGTAACGGACGCCAGGGCAAAGACAAAGCCGAACAATAGCCAAAACCAATTGTTTCCACAGGCTTTGAGGAATGTGACCCAAATATCCTTCTTGATTCGACCAACTGCCCGTGTTTCCTCTTCTACGAGTTTGCGTGCAGGCTTCTTTTCTTTCTTGGATACAAGCGATGATGACACGACTGTGGAACTGGTTTCCGATTGGCTTCCCTCTCCGCGGCCAAAGATTGCTTCCTCAGCCTCTACCAGTTGCTCTTTCTCCTCGAGATCATCTTGCTGTCCCGTTTCGCTTGTTTGGCCAAGTTTCTTGATGATACCAGAAGAATTAAACGCATCTCGGTCGCCTTCAAACATCACGCGACCATTGTCCAATGCCACGATGTAGGCTGCCTCGCTGGCACACAACTGAACATGGTGGGACACAAGGATGACAGTTCTCCCCTCCATCAGCTCACCCTTGAGACATTGGTGATAGAGATGGTGCGCCGTATGGGCATCCACTTGAGAAAAGTGTTCAGCTTGGGGATATGTCGGAAAGCAAGGCTGTACACGAACCTGCAGACAGCACGTCGTCCAAGAAGAGGATCGAAGCTCGAGAATAGACGGCGCGAGCGAGAGAAACTAATCATGGGTGACAGATTAGCGGCGTTCCTCGTTTGAACGATGTAGCAATCGCACCTCTGGCCTTTTGACCACCTGAAAGGTTCACCTAGAGGGTCCAACCTTGAGAATGGGTGGGTGGTATTACAGCTGGCCTTCACGTACCCCACGCTCTCCAATCTCCGATTCGTCGCCATCTTCCAGGATTTCAAGATCGCTCACGAGCGCACAAGCCTGCAATAAGGTCAGCACAATGGAATGGACATACAGAGGGAGCGCACCTCGAGAGTTTTATGGTACCGTTCCTCGTCGTAGGGGAGGCTAAAGAGGATGTTTTCTATAGTCGACCATCAGGTCGTTGTTCTGGGAGAGGTGCTGCATGAACCCACCTTTTATGGATGCGTTCCGAAGCCAAGCCGCCTGAAAATATGTGATTTTAGTATTGAACACGCTTGATAATGTTCAGAACCAACCTGAGGCACGTATGCACACATTCCATCAACGACCCACTCTTCCTTACTAACGTCCATCTTGGAATACGTAGCAATAGAATCGGGAGGGGAGCGAGGGCAAACCATCTGCCCGCTAAGAATATCCGCCTCGCCGAGCAATGCAAGAAGCAGCAGCGTCTTTCCGGATCCCAATTTACCACAGATCAAGGAGAGCTCTCTGGGAGGGAAGTTCAGAGTAAGGTCGACGAGCACGAACTTATTGCGGGGCGTGGCCGATGCAGATGGCGCGAGGCTTGATGCATTGCTGGACTGAGATCGGTCTTGAGGCCAAGTTACGGTGCAGGACTGGAACGCAATCTTCTTGGGCTGTTCGTCGAGAGGGGGAACGGGATTAACTTCGACACCACTCATATATTTCTCAACACGGCGCAATGACACCAAGCACTGAAAAAGCAGTCAGTCGACGAGGAAAGCGCTTGCCACCAATGGGCCATACCTGCAACATGTTGATAAAGGTTTCTGGTAGTGCATTCAGGGCAAACTTCATCTCGGAGAACACTGAAAAATGAATTGAATGGATGGGATCCTGACGCTAGAGCTGACAGCCTACCGATGATCTACAGACAGGGATCAACAAGAGCCGACACAAATGAAAGGGATGGACTTACGGAAGTGAACGCAATCGACGGCGTGAGTGGTTGTTGGCGCACGATAGCAAAATGCCAGAAAGCGACCAATGTGACGAGGATCGGCGAACCATTCCAAATCGCATTCCAGAGCGTCTGCAGGATTCAGTCAGAACAATTTGGTAAAGGGTGGATCGTAAGACTTACCTCAATCCTGTAGTGGCGTTTTTGATACTTCAGTTCCTTCTCTCGGATAGCCAATACACGCTTTTCGAAGCTGCGCTCCCAGGCCATGAACTAGTAGATTCCTATCAGACCCGCCCGACGGAAACAAGGAGGGCGGGCGCTCACCTTGAGCATCCGTATAGCTCCCAAGATCTAGAAGATCATGTCAGTCCAAGAGGACGCCGAGAGATGTGATGCATCTGACTGGCCTCATTCATAAGCGCCACCCGCTCATCCCGGGCTTTCATGAGATTTTCCTGAACGCCTACGATAAAAAATTTGAGTTCACCAGTCAGGGTGCGCAATCAGGCCAAGAAGACCCACCAACGAAGATCTTCCCGGCGGCATGATTCAGGGGAAGGAACAGACAAATCACCGCCAGTCCGTAGAAACATGACACACCTGCGACACAGAAATTTAACCATATGTGAGGGTTGCATCGCATCTCCAGGTGATAATCTGCATACCAAGGAGATTGTACAAGAAATAGGTGCCAATAGCGATTTCAATCGGGGAATCTGAAGGAACATGATAATGAGGTTTCGGGTTTCAGCACTTGAGACGACGAAGGGAGAGCCATACCGACGAGGGTGAACAGATGCCAGGCAAATTCGCTGACTCTGTCAACGTCTGTCGTCATCAAAGTCATAATCTGAGCTTTGCTGGAAAAGTCGTCCTCCTTATCGTCGGATGCGGGCGCTTGCGCGTTTTCCCCATTGCTGGCACTTTGACCGGGCTTCGCGTCCTTCGAACCAGTGTTGGGGGCAGAGGAAGCAACGTCCTTGCGAACAAGCGTTTTGGCAAAAAGAATGGTGTTGAGCTGAACTCGAAGTCGGACTTGAACCGTCGTCGTCGCTAAGGACCATAGCTGGCCAGCAACTGTGGGAGACCCGCTGTTAGGAGAGGTACCGCGGGAGAGAGGTCGCTGTTCCAGAACTCACTGAGGAATCCGATGGCATTGGCGGCAAAGAGTCCGAAAATGTACACCCATCCCCAGCCTTTATTCTCGCGGTCAGGATCAGCTTCCAAATACGAAATTAAGTGTCTCATAAAGAACGCCGGCGCGTAGAAGAGGACTGCGGAAACAGCAGCAAGCGACACTTCAACAAGCAAAGCAAATATGTTCAAGCGAATCAACTTGTATCCGAGGTCCCAACCCGATCCGGGTCGTGGCTTCCAATTGAAGATTTTGAGCTGAACTGTGCGCATCCCCTTCCTGATGAGCGAATAGTTGGATGCGGCACGCATATTTCCTGGGACAATGGGCAGGTCACCGATTTCCAGACTTGAAGCGAGATTTCCGAGCCAGACCACTTTGGTGGTGTACGAGAACATGAGCGTATCCCATAACGAAGATCCTACAATCGGAAGTGAATTAGAGATTGGTTCGCGCCTTCCGACGGGGCTCTACTTTACCTGTGATCCCACAGACGTTTTCTGGGTCCGGGTTTGTTATCGACTTGACGGTCTTCTCCGCGTAGATGAATTCCGGTGGGTAATTTAGTGGAGGTCCCGTTGGAGTCGTGAATGTAATGACGCAGGCGAGGGTGTAAAGGGCAACGATGGAGTACCATAGGCCCTGGAGAGCAGGATCGTAGACAATGTCCTTGATGACGGGGACTGGCGTATCCGGTAGAATGGCGACAGAGAGCAATGATAACGCGGCAGTGCATGACAGCACCGCTAAATGCAGAATCAACTCGCAATGCGCGTCCGCATCGTCCGTCAATGAAGCTTGGGCTGAGATGACGACACAGTAGAGAGAGAATGCCAGCTGGAGGGCTGCGACTATCAATTCCCGAAGGTCGTCGTTGGAAATGGCATATCCCAACGCGACCGCGTTCAGAGCTACTGTGAGCGCCAGAACAATTGTGATGGAGAGTTTCCGCCACCTCATCTGTAATCCCTCAGTTCGTAAACCTCAAATAACAGCATTAAACCAAAACATACACGTCTCCAAAACAATTCCTCCTCAATAGGGTACCCGTCTATCACATCTTCCTGTGTCGTAACGTCGAATGGGTCGTGTCGAAGCTGGCCGTCCTCGTCATGTACCGGTAGTCGAATTTTGCCTTCGTCGACACCTTTTCTTGCAGAATAAAGCCGTATTGCACTGGCCAGGGTGCATCCGACCAGGAAGGCCCCAATCTCGATTTGGTAGCGAAACATTTTGCGCTACTAGCTAGCAGTCTAGTCCAGCGTCGGATCGCGGTAGATTGCTGGCAGCCGTTCGGAGTCTGGTCGTCGCGAACGGAAACCTGGAACGATAACAAGCCTGGAGAGGCTTCGTTTTGGGTGGATGTTCAGGAATCGGATAGGTTTTGGCAGAGAAGTATGGGCTGCTGTGGCGAATCCGGAGCCGACCAGAGGTCAGGCAAGAGTCAGAGCGCAGAATTCGCGGACCGCATCAATCGAGCATATGGATTCAATGGCTGACAAAGCAGCCAAAAACAGATTTAGGCACGGCTTGGCCGTGCCGAATGCCTTGGCGGGCGCTTAATTGCTGTTCACGGCTCGGAAGACCTGACCAGGAGAAGATAAGCAATTTTCGTTCCCTAATCAAATTGCGTTACAACCACAGTGGCTCCACCGCGACTTCCTCGAAACCCCTAGATTCCCGACGTGGATTTTTTTATGGCAAACGTTCACCGGAAGGTGCGCACAAGTAGGCTGACTTGCCGCTCCAAGCTCCGCACTTAAGTCCTTGAAAGCCTTGCACCATACAAGGTCCACATGGCGCGCCCAAATCACAAGAATCCAATGATCTATATCATGCCATACGGAAGCGACCGATTCAATTATGACTAGTCAAGCTCCAATCATCCAAAGCTACATTCGGAGGCGTAACATAGTCATCGGCACCCATACCCTCCCACTGGGGATTAAACAGTACCCTCAACGTATAACTCCCAGCATCCAACACAATGCTCAACACCCTCACCCCATCATTCGACTGATCACCAAAGGCTGGGATGGGTTCAATACCCTGTCTTTCCGCTGGCTGTTCAGAGAACCGGGCGCCTGCAGGCGGGTCGAGGAGGACGACTTGCATCTCCTTTCCATCGAGTGTAAGTGTTGCGGATGTACCGGATGAATCAATCTCGATTGTCGCGTTGGTGTGCATTCGCCATTGTACTTCAGCTTGGGCGTCTACTTCATCCTGGATTAGGATTTGACGTCGACCATTGAGGAAGCGGCCTCCACGTTTGACCGAAGTGCTATATCAAAGATTTATCAGACTAAAGTTCAGACGATCGAAACGGGGACACTCACGCATCGAAATAAGCACTCGTCATGTCCGTTGTCCAGAAAGCAGTCGAATCGTCTTCGGGGGTAAACACAGTGCTCGAATCCTGCGTCGTCCCACTCGAGTCATGTCTGACCGTCGGAGCAGCATCGACATTCTGGTTCCTCCTCCCAATCATCAACGTGTTCTGTCCCATCGTATGCTTCCTGTAGTACTTCCACCGTTCTGCATCCTGGTCTTCACCGCCAAAGTACTCCGTCGAAAGATAATCGCCCGAGCCAAGTTCACCAGCCCAGCGAGTGCCCAACGCGTCGATAACGAATGTACCAACGTCCAAGTCGTTGTGCCTCTGGTGACCTTGGTTGCGACCCGCCTTGATACCGAGGAAAGCAGCGTCCTTGTCTGTCCAGCTGCTGCGCATTGAAGCCCACTGGACGGGGGGAGAGTCAAAGAAGTGGTCGAGTGGAAGGCCAGACCAGAATGCTCCAGCCACGGCAGGATTGTACCAGAACATGCTCCATGGCTCGGCAGCATCAGCTTGCTCGCGCTGGTGGAGGATGAATTCGGGGTGATCTAGCTGGTCGCCGAGGAGGAACATCGTGTTGGCGGTGGTAGAGAACTTGTTGGGGCCGTGGTCGCCAAAGTCGAACAACGAGGTGGGTCCAAAGACATACATGTGGAAGGTACCCGTACGCCAATAGTTGGTGTTTTCTGTAAGTAGGCCATAGTGCGATCCGGTAGCGGAGAGGAGAGCAGAAGCCATCTCTGCGAGGCCGGTGGTACCGAAATACCAGTAGTTGGTCGATTCTTGCCATGAACCGTCGTCCGTGACGGCGCGAATGCAGTTGGCTTTGGCGTTGTCGATGGTGGCACGGAGGAGTGCTTCAGCCGTACCAGTGGTATCATCACCAAGGATGGCGAGAGCACCGAGGGTAAGGCCACCATTACACACGCAATTCCAATTACCAGTGGTGTCTCTGCTCCACCATCCAAAATCTGCACCCTCCCCATACACAGCAGCACCGTGCGATAACCCCAGTCTGATCAGATTGTCGCGAATGAATGTCCTCTGTTCGGGCGTCCAAAAGTCGTACATCCAATCGTAGGCGATGCCGAATGCTGCGGAGAACTCTGCAGTGTCGAGGAAGTGCGTGGGGTGCCATTTCGTGTTGTCTGGATCGGGGCCACCAAAGTCGTCCGAAACGACGTGCTGGATTTCCTGCCATGCGCGATCAGCCCAGCGGGTGTTCTGAGATAGGCGCCAGGCGTAAGCGAATGCTTTGATGCGCATCTTGAATTCGCGCGCGTTGTCGAGGATACCGCTGTCGCCGTCCATGTGGTATCGAACGGGCGGGAGAGCATGGTAATCGGATGCGTTTCGGAAAATGGTTTCGTTCCAGCCAGCGAGGTAGGGGTCTGCCCGAATGAGGTCGGGGAGCGCATCCCACTTGTAGGCGGGTGCGATGAGCCGTGGGCGGTCGTGTCTGACCTGGAGGGGACTGGGCTCGCCAAACTGTTCAGGATCTTGCGGCCAGGTTGCTGCATTGGCATCGAATGTCGGTGCACTGAAGAGTGCTGCGTTGGTCTGCCAGTGTAACTGTGAGGAGCTGGAAACGTGTGTTGGAAAAGGAAACGTACCGCTGAAGGATAGACAGGGATCATGTACTTTGAGTTGGTAGCGGTCGCAAAACGGCCAGCTTCGAGCTTGTCGGTGACCGTCGCAATACCTGGCAAACTACTGCTGTCTGTGTTTTTGTCCTTGCCCCCGTCCGTAGAGTCTTCGCTGTTTCCATCGTCGTTTTTGTCCGATGATTTTTTCCTGCTCCCCAAGACACCTCCAACGATGGCCGCGATGGCGATCACGATGAGAGCGGGAACGCCAAACTTGATCCAAGGGCTGATGCGCTTCTTGTGAGTCCTTGGGACTGGTGGTTGAGGTGGTTGGATGAATCCTGTGGAGGAGTCGCTGAAGCCGACCTCCTTGTAGGGCGTGTTGTGTGACATGGGTCTAGGGAGAGCAGCGCTGATGCTGGATATAAAACGGTAACATGATGGCTCGGTTGTAGATTACCGTGACTGCAGCGGTCACTGTAGGCCGAAACCAGTGCCCCTGTTGGATGAAACGTGGCCTGGTTCCGCCGCAACCCATTCGAGGAGTTCAACGGCGAGGTTTGGTGTGTGCCATGGTGGTCGCTGGTCGAAGAATGATTGATGGCTCGGACCCCTATCCGAGAAATATCACACGAACTCAAGCAGCGCGCTTAAACAAAGCTCAGGCTTGTCTCTTCCCCAAATTGTCGCCTTATGCCGTCTGCTGTGGCGGACCTTGGACTCTGTGCTCAAGTAACGATTTGTGAATAGAAGCATGCTAGGACGGCTCCTATCTGCCGGTGGAAGCTCAGAAGTAGAGTATACACTCGTAAGTCTACTTTCGTGCTGCTATAAATCGGGTCTTGCAGGCTCGAGTGCAGAGGAGGGGGCCCTACAGTGGGTCTGCTAAGCGACCTCTATCTGTGATTAACAGCTCGTATAAAGGGCCTCTAGAAAACCCAGATGGCCTCACCTCGCTCTGTCCGTTACTCCTCGCCATGCGAAAACATTTGACTTACAACACTTTTCCAAAGATAGACCCCCAGCCCGACGATGGCGACGACGTTGAACAGGAATCCCCAACGCCCGTGAAACACTCCGCTGAAGAGGAGAGGCAGCTCGTCCGCAAGCTGGACTTGCGAATTCTCCCAATAGCATGCTTGCTCTACCTCTTCGCGTGTATGTCGCCGACTGCCTTCATCCGCCACTCCTGACTGACCTTTCCTCACCCAATAGACCTCGACCGTTCAAATTTGGGGAATGCCCGGTTACAAGGCCTACCTGAAGATGTACTGGGTGGTGACAAGACCGGAGAGCTGTTCGACTGGGTCGTCTCTTCGTTCTACTTTTCCTATGTGCGATCGATCCTCCACATAGCCCGAACAGCCCGCTGACACGAATCCCAGATTCTCTTCCAAATTCCCGCCACCATTATATCCAAGCTTTTCCCGCCAAAGGTATGGATGGCGTGTGCGGCAGTAGGATGGGGAACAGCGTCCACCCTAATGGTACGACCGTCACGACTTCGTTGACCCATTGCGATTTACCGAGCTTGCTATACACAGTCCACTGCGACCGGCTTCTCCACTCTCGTCGTATGTCGCCTCCTCATCGGTGTTTTCGAAGCGGGTTTCGGTCCATCTCTGCCTTTGTATTTTTGTAAGGACGGCGATCCACCTCTCCCTGATATCGACTTACCCTACCCCCAGCGTATTTCTATACCAAAGAGGAAATGGGCTTGAGGGTGAGGCTACTTATACCTCCCTTTATGCAAAGTCGATCTCACCCTTCGCCTCAGATGGCGTATTGGTTTGGTTTCGCAACCGTCGCTGGAAGCATCGGCGGCTTCATTGCATACGGTATCCAGCATATTCAAACGACCATCCCACACTGGAAATTGCTCTTCATTGTCGAGGTACGCCCTTTTAGGTCGTGCTAAGGACTTTTCTGATATGCTCAACGAACCGCAGGGTATCCCTCCCATCCTTCTAGGAATCTTGACCCTTTTCATCCTTCCCAATCGACCGGAATCCACTTCGTTTTTCAATGACAGAGAACGGAAGATTGCCCTTGCAAGAATGAACCGGGCGACTCGAGGTGATGTTGGTGCCACAGTCAACAAAGGTAATGCCATTTTATTGTTGGTAGCATCTCGTTTCTTACTCTGAGCCTAGCCCACATTCTCCTTGCCTTCCAGGACTGGAGAGTGAGTCCTCTTATCATATTGTGCGAGCCACGCTCATACTGAAGTCGCGCCTAGGTATACACCGGAGGTGTCATTTATTTTGGTTTGAACTGCGCTTTAGCGTCAATTTCGGCCTTCTTGCCTACTATCATCACCACCTTTGGATACAGTAAGTTTCCCCATCTCCCCCCAGTCTCGATCAATTCTCACCCGATTTTCTGCAGCAAATGCCCTTGCACAACTATTGACGGTACCTCCGTATATCACGGCCTCCTTCGTCTTGATCTCGTTCTCTTGGGCATCCGACAAGCTTCAGAGCAGAGGAATCTTCATGTCGATTGCGTGTTGTATTAGCGGCATTGGCTATCTGTAAGTCATTGCGCTGTGCTATTCATGTCCTTCACTCACTTTCGCCGTCAACCAGAATCTTGTTGGCTGCCACCAACGTCCATGTACGGTACTTTGCAACGTTCTGCATTACCAGCGGGACCTATACCACTATCGGGATAACCATTGCTTGGTGTGCGTCAGATTACGGAGTCGTTTCCTAAGTTTTGCGCTGATTCAGTCCATTCTTTAGTCGCGCATAACCTTGGATCTGAAACGAAGAAAGCGACAGGGATGCCGATGTTCATGGCTATTGGCCAATGTGGAAGCATCTTGGGGTCGCATATCTTCCCGAAGGCAGAGGGACCGTCGTATACGTGAGCATCCTCTCAATCAAAGGCATCGACAGTTGACTCAATCAATCCTGGCTGTAGGAGAGGATTTGCGAGTAAGTGCAAGTAATCCTAGTTATCGAGTTGTATTTTCATCCTCCAATCAGTTTCTTGTTCACTGGCCTTTTTGGCTGCAATTTGCTCGGGGTTGCTATCGGTAAGCCACGTCGCTTTGTCAAGGAAGTACATGTTATCCTGAACGTCTTCGCTTAGTTGTCGTACAGAAGAGAGAACGCGCTTAGGGATAAGGTGTACGGAAAGGTAGACCCGGATGCCCCAGTCGACACCCGTGAACTGGCCGATGAGGTGCGTGAGGTATGCGCTGGTGAATATTGTGTGCTGACTCTTCACTCGTCCCTTTAGGCTCCCGGTTTCCGCTACGTCCCATAATTTTCGGACAGAACTCGGTCGACAACATGACTTTCATTCGACTTCGATACCATGCGGGAGTACACATATTATACATTGGACTGCTATTAATACACTGGCAATTGGGAAACGCTACACAAGCCCTCTAAAATGAACTCAAATCCTCGACGTAGCAGCATTCGACACGCTCTCCCTCTCATCTTTGGAAGGGAACTTGGAGAAGGCATCCATCAACTTATCCATGGGTGCAGCCATGAGACCGGCAAGTGTCTCGTACGGAGGCTTGTTGGGGGCGTTGGGATGGGACCTGTTATGGTGGATGAATATGGCGTCGTCGATTATGGATGGATGATGCATACCTGGTAGGAACGAATGCCTTGGTCCTCTCGAAGCTACGAGCAGTGCTGATGGACTGGTCTTCGCCGAGCTTGGCCTCCAACTGGGGAAACTGCTCCGTTTCCTCCTTCCTCATGTGCTCCTTGAGGTGGTCCATGATATCCTTCAGGATGGCATTGTAGGCAGTCGTTCCGACCTCGATGGATTCGAGTTTCTTAAGGCGGTCTTTGACGAACTAGTAGGTCACGGTCACGGTCACACATCAGTCTGGGGAACCCCAGTGAGTCTGGCACGAAAGAGATGACGCACCTGGTGGTCGTCACGGTCGCTCTCTGCGAGAACGTGACCTTGGTCGGCCATCACCTTCTCGAGGAGGGGGTACACCACGAGCTCCTCGCTGATGGAGTGACGGGCGATCTCCCAGGTCAGTTGGTTGGCCCAGCGTTGTTGGGCATCGGTGTTTCCGCCGTTTTTCAGGTATTGGTCGTAGAACGCTTCGATCTGCGGGGGAATCAGAGGTGAGACAAGGGCTTTGACTTCATCTGAGCTGCTCTCGTACCTCTCGGTGATCGTCCGTAATGGCTTGAAGGAGGCGGACGTGGCCTGGGGCTGTTGTAGCGAGAGTCCTCGCGAGAGGGTAGCGAACAGTCGGGAGGACAGTTCGGCGAAGGAGGCGGGTCTGCATCATCATGGTGGGAGGATTAGTCGGTGGATGTACGAGACGAGATATTTGGCCGTGGTCAGTTCAAAATGTCGACGATTATATCAACACGAGCCTATGTGCTCCTGTGGACTATTTATGATAAGACACCCCCCAATGTCACGAAAGACTTATGGAGCCCTGAGATCGTAAACACCGTCATTATCATTGATTGGTGTCGACCGAAAAGGAAGGTACCCCACCAAAAGAATATTCGGAATCCGGATTGTCTCAAAGAGGGTCGAGTTGGGTGGCGCTTGTTTAGAATCTTTAGATCGGTTGGTGAAATGACGCGGTTTTCATTGGTGGTTGAGCGCACCAACGATTCATGGTAGACGTCAGTTGTTCTGCGGGTCTGTATGAGTGAGTGGTTGAAGACTCGAATCTTTACGTCAGTAGATGAACCCAGGCGCCAATGGAGGGAGAAAAATGTGCAGAAATTGGTTTCTTGGAGGGGTGTTGCACGGTTTGAATTCCCTATACATCAATTGAGCTCGATACTATCTATCTTCTCAAGGAATCAAGTCTAACTTTGAACATCAAGCATTGAGTCGGGCGTCGGGAAAAGCGCGGGAATTGATTGCATCATTTCGCACGGACGGGCCTCGCCAGTTTTGTTCCTGGACCTCAGGCTCTTCCTCATACTTCGTGGACTTTACTATCGACCGGGAAATGAACGCCACTTTTCAGGACATTCGAGCTTCTATAGATGTGATAGGGTGATATGAATGGTGAGTTTGGGAAATGTCAACTCTATTGATAGACTAACCATGTCACCAGATTGTATGACTTCTAAGAATTTCCGCCTCGTTCTGGACACGAGGTAGCGTGTGGGCTCGTTGAACTCTATCTAATGTCGTGGCCACGACTGAGTACCTCAATGATGGCCGCGATAATCATCGCCAACTTCACTCCCTAGCGGAGCTTCGACACCGCGCGACCTGTTTCATTCCTTTCGTGATGCCAGATTCATCGCTGAAGTCTCTGGCCCAACAATTGGCCTCCAGCTCTGGGCTTCTAACCGTATCACTGCTCAAGGCTGATCATAGGCAATGGCTGGAGCGGAATATGAGTTATCTCCACCGTGTGGCAGCAGATTCCAGGGCGTTGGCGGATGGTGTCAGCCCATGGCCAGAAGCAATGTTGAACTTACCCTTCCCAGTTAATCCGCCTTCTGCCTCTTTCATATTTGTACCCCTAATATCTCACATCACAGCGTCTCCAGATATTCGTTCGAGGGTGCCTCTGCACGATACGCGGTAGCCAAAACAGGTAGGTCACACAAGCACAATCACTGTATTGCATGTTGTGACCCTTTTGCAGACTTCTAGATGTAGTGACGCATGAGCAAACCCGGTGGCTGGAACTGAATGCAAGAGCGCGATTATCCCGCTCTTTAACAATCAAGCACAAACTTCATCAGTTCATCCCATACGCAGCTATTCAGGTAAGTGTTGCAAGGCTCGAGCAGAAGAGGTATTTGACTGACCGGAATTGCAAGTCGGTCGTCAGAACCGATCTGGTTCACCGCATTATAGAATTGGACACTGCGAACCTCGCCGCCAACGTGATTGCCATGTGCACAGACGGGGAGCAACGCGACGCTTTCCTCAGCGCTCAGGATCCAGCTGTAGATCAGGAGCTCGCTGATCTACTCTACTCTGTTAGTCGAATTGTTCGCTCTCTCTCGCTCCTCACCTCACCTGCTTCATTTAGGTACTTGGATCACGACATCTTGACCCAGTCCATGCACCCATCTTGCGCGCTCTCCTCAAGTTGTCGGAGAATACTGATCTCTTACCTCAACGCCTGGCCCACAACAGCCTGCAGGTTGCGGGTGGTCCACCCATCCATAGCACTAGAATTAGCAAGATCCATAGAGGGAAGGTGGACGACCGTGTGGTGGCGGTCAAGGTTTCCAACCATTCACCGGAGCTGGAGCTAGGGGAGTACTTGAACAAGGTAGGTTATCTTCTATACGAAACTTGATCACCCCTGACATGTATCACCTTAGGCGTTCAAGCGAGAAGCCATCATCTGGAGTCAGCTGCATCACCCTAACGTGCTGCCTTTCTACGGCCTGTTCCAGGCGGAGGGAGAACATTTTTACTCCCTCCTCTCACCTTGGATGGATAATGGAAACATCACGGACTTCCTCAAAGCGGAACCACAAACTGATCGACAAGAACTGGTTCGTTTTCGTTTACCGTTCGCCTTTCTCCTTGGACTCACGCGCGCGGTCTGTAAGATCTTCGACATCGCCAGAGGCCTAGAATACCTCCATAATCTTGATCCGCCTGTAATTCATGGGGATCTTAAACCGGTATGCCTGTTTATCGTCGCTGGAGCAATGTTCACTCACCGTCCACCGAAGAATAATATCTTCGTCACTGCCAACAAGCGCGCTTGTATTGGCGACTTTGGTCTAGGCAAACTCCCTCGAGACCCCAAATGGGGCATATCACGAAGTTCCAGCCTTTTTGCTGGGAATGAACTTTACTGCGCTCCAGAACTCCTCGAAGAGATTATCGAAGGAGAGGCGGAATCTGTCAGTGATGCCACAGAGGATGACCAACTGGGATACAAGACGCTTGCTAGTGATGTCTATGCATTCGCCTGTATTTGTTACGAGGTGCGTAAGGTCCCTTTTTGCTTCAAGGATACCGCAAATGTATTCTTACCGTCCAGGTTTATCATGGCAAACCTCGATTTTTTGATCTTCACGGCCTCAGGCGTTGGAAAGCAATAGTTGGGCTAATTGATGATCCAACCCACAAGCCTGGAGGGATGAGCGACTTGCTATGGCACTGGGTTGAATGCTTCTGGGATCGCAACCCTGCAGCAAGGCCATCAATTTCAGCGTTCGTGCAGGCAATGTGTCCGACTCCTCTCAACAATCCTTACAAGTACGACACGGCCTGGGATTGGACGTTCCTGCAAGGTGAGATTCCAACGGGATGGGCTGTCAATTGAATCTGACCACTTGGCGTAGACTCACCTAATGACTATGATGGCTCAATGAAGAAGGTCAGACCTGAGGAATTGACCGACAATGACATTGTGATCGCGTTGGTACTTACTGTTTATTCTTTGAACGTAGTTGCTGACTGTCTTCCAGATTGATGGGGCCTACTGGCACAGGGAAAAGCACTGTAAGTGTCCCGGCCGTCCTGTCTCTTCCGATTCGTCTTGCTGACTCCCGTCGCGACAGTTCATCAATTGCGCACTGGGTGACGATGTTGCTAGGGTTTCTGGCTCCGTCAGGTCGTGCACTTCGAAGGTCGAGCTGTTCGCGTGCTTCCACCCGGATAAACCAGAGCAACGAGTTTTCTTTGTGGACACTCCCGGTTTCGACCATACCGAAGACGTTAGCTCCGAGAAGCAGACGCTGGCACAAGTCGCAGATTGGCTGATAAAAACGTACGTCATCCTTTTTGTTCCGCTGTGGATTGGGCTGCTGAGACAATTGCAGGTACAAAGAAAACATCAGGCTCAGCGGTGTCCTCCACTTCTGTAGCGTCACTTCAGCACGTTTCTCAGGCACCGACCGAGTGAATCTCCGCGTTTTCACTGAACTATGCGGTCCGGAAGCTTTGGATAATGTCGTCATTGTATCGACTGGATGGGAAGACCTCGAGACTGATGAGCTAGTAACACTCGGCGAAAAGCGTGAAGAGCAATTGCGAAACACGTTTTTGGATGACGCTGGCCTTGACCAAGTTCGCTACTGTCGCTTCTCGGAGAGGACAACGCAGAGCGCTTGGCGTATCATCGACCTGTTCCAACAACAAGGCAATCAACGAAGGCCACTCCTGATACAAACAGAGGTCGTCGACAAGCGGCTACCGCTATCGCAAACCTCGGCTTTTCAAGCCATTCGTAGAAGATGGAATAAATGGGCCAAATCTTGGAAAGGCCCAAAGCTCTTGGCTTAATTTCGGACTGGAAATTGACCATCGTGACTCCTTTGGCTGATGGTCAGTGAAACTCCGTCCCGTCGAAGTCCAGCCTTTACTTACCCCGCTTATCGTCCGTATCTCTTTGGCAGTACGGATTCCATCATGTGTCCTTTTGTACGACACTCTTATCACAATCGATCGCGTCTGGGAACATGCCTTGGTATGACATGGCCGCGTGGAAGCCTCGTTTCAACCAGCATGCTAGGAGCCAGCACTGCCTTGCTTCCATTGCGGCTCGTTTCAAAGAACGTGTAGCTTGTGGCCATGGGGCATGGGAAGGAGCACGAATAAGCGCCCTGGACCGAATAGCGATGACGAATTGAATTCAATACCAAATGTCAGAATGACAGTAACCAATCGGATAAGAAAGCAAGAGTGTCAAGCTCACTCTCTTCCTTACCCTATACCTTAACCCTTCACCGTTAGTTCTCGGTATCGATGTCAAGCAAACAAACCTTGGAGACATTGCATCGACGGTTACGGGAGTGCCAGTGTGGCGAAGTTAGCCTGGAACTGTTGCACGAGAAACCAGCGACCTGGATTGGCCACCATCGAGACGACATCGCTGCCATTTGCGCCGCATATTCCGAGTGTTACCCTATTCTGAAGGACGAAGGAATATCCGAAATGTTGTTTCCCGTTCGTAAAGCTTTTCATTCCACATCCATGCATCCGGCTGACTGGGACTGACGATCGATAGCGAACGTTCATTCTGGCGGCAGTCGTCCTGGGAAGTTCCGAGGAAAACACCAGGTCGGTTGCTTCGCGCCTCAAAGTTTCCTCTTTCGCTCATCGACGATCCTATTTGGTCTTCAGTGCTCTCAGGGAAATCCTCGATGCAGGACGTGGCCTGGATCGAGTGGCCCGCTTGGCCGCGTACAGGACACCCAAGGATGGGTTGCGACGTATTCTACTGTCAGAAACGGCTCCTACGCCTGGATTCATCCCGCGAAATGTCGTAGACGCAAATTTCCAAGCACCGCGTACGTCCCTACGCCCTATGGTCAACGAGCTCTTGCTCTTGGAAACGGCACATATCGCCGCCTTGGTCGTGGATTGCATTGAACAGGGGCCTGGGCAAGACACATTGTTCTTGAAAAAGGATCCGGAAGTGGACCAAAATCTCATAGATCTATTCCAAGGGGTGCGTCCGTTTACTTCTCACCTTCTAGTAAAGCGTTACTCAATGTGCAACGTCGACCGTAGCTTCTTGATTACCCTGCCCTCAAGAGTATCCACCCCATGATTTTGCGTGCCCTCATCCACCTCGTGAAGGAAGCTGCACTATTCCCCCGCTGCCTCGTCCATCAGGATGTCAACATCCCAGGCCAGCGCTGTACCGCAATTGGCTCGTTTGGAGATGTTTGGAAGGGGGACCTTCGTGGACAGGCAGTCGCAGTCAAGGTCATGCGACAACATGTAACGGGTATACCGGTGGATTCGATCATCAGAGTGAGTAACGTCGACGTCTGTGCAGGGATTCTCTTATCATTCTTAAACAGGGATATGGTCGGGAGGCCATCCTGTGGAGCCAGCTTCATCATCCCAATGTCCTGCCATTTTACGGCATTTACCTCTGGCCAAGCGAAGACTCCGGCCCGACTTGGGTTTGCTTACTTTCTCCTTGGATGGCAAATGGAAACCTTTCCCAGTACCTTGAGGCCAGGCCCGCTTTGGATCGCATGCCCCTGGTGAGCTTAAGACCGCACGACGTGTCAACTTGTCGCTCATCTTCTGTCAGGTTCGAGACATTGCTCGTGGGTTGAACTACCTACATTCCTTGGACCCCTCCTTCATCCATGGCGATATTAAATCTGTAAGATGCACAGCCCACGTTCAGTAACACTCTTTAACAATGCTCTTAGAATAATATTCTCGTGACCCCCTCTGGGACTGCGTGCTTGGCAGACTTCGGACTAGGCCGTCTCGCACCGGATGCCCGCCTGGGCTGGCGTTCATCGACTGTTGCAACGGGAGGGCCGTATCTCTTTTCGGCCCCGGAATTGCTTGTCGAGGATGTGCAACCTGCCAAAGGACCAGGTTCTCACGAGGTGACACCAGCGAAAAAGAAGTCAACCCAGACGGACGTCTACGCATTTGCCTGTGTTGTTTACGAGGTACGGTGGTTCACCTCTTACCGGTTCCGGTTGCTCAACTTATCCAGATGTACACGGGCACACCTAGATTTGTAAACCTTGCGTTGGCTGAAGCCTACCGAGCAATCATTTCGAATGAGCCTTGCGAGCGACCTGCTGCGATGCCAGAACCACTATGGGCTTGGATTAATCGGGCATGGGACCTCAACCCCGACCGAAGACCAGCGATGTCTGAATTCATCCAAGAGTTCGATACTGGGCCACCATCGATACAGTACAAGTGGGACTCCAAGCCCGTCTCGAACCTGCGATCCACGACATTTTTGGCGGTGCCTCCTACTCCGATTCGCATTCAGCCACCCAGGTTGGGGACAAGTGCGTCCTCACTCAGTGCGAGCACCATAACTAGTTCGGGTGCCTCTTCTACGACCCTCGAGGTACCGCAATGCGATAGTCCGGTTGAAGACTATGAAGTTGTCAATGGCTTTGACGACCCTCCGCCAGAGAAGTCCGCCCCAAGGCCCGAGAAGCCTCTCCCAAGACGTCCGGCCAGAGTGCCCAGGTCACAGGCGTCGTCATTCCTGGAGGATGACATTATAATTGCGTTGGTATTCTTTCCCACTAGTGTCGAATTGCTGGGCTCACCCACCACTTCCAGGTTAATGGGCCCGACCGGTAGTGGGAAAAGCACAGTGAGTGGTTTACCGACAGGCACCCTTCCTCATTGACACTGATGCATTTTGAGCAGTTCATTAATTGCGCGTTGAACGACTATGTTGCGCCCGTCTCGCACACGATAACATCCTGTACGAAGGAAGTTGGAGTGTACGGGTGCTTCCATCCGAACCAGCCGGGTCGGCGAGTGTTCCTCGTCGACACTCCAGGGTTCGAAAGTACAGCCATGCACGATCGCCAAACTTTGGAGTTGATCGCTAAATGGCTAAAGGAAACGTGAGCTTTTTTCCGGACGCATTCCCGACGCCCAACCTAAATTGTTCCAGGTATCAAACGCACGTTGTGCTCACAGGGGTTTTGCAATTCCACTCGATCGCTGATGCCAGGGTTGGAGGCACAAAAAGAGACAACTTAGATGTCTTCCGAGCGATGTGTGGCCAGGATGCGCTCAAGAACGTTGTCTACGTCTCGACAGGTTGGGAGGACTTGGATGAAGAAGAGCAAGGTGAACGAAGGCAGCATCAGCTTGTCAATGATTACCTTGCAGAACCTCTGCAGCATGGGTGTCGCTACCAGCCTTTCCTCCAGCGAGACTTCGACGCGGCTTGGGCTATCATCGACCTTTTCCAAGAGAAAAGAAGGGCGCTGAAAATACAGGAAGAGATGGTGAAATACAGATGGCGTCTAACGCAAACATCTGCCTATAAAGCTCTATCTCGCAAATTTATTAAGGTGTTTAAATTCAAACGAGGTAGTACCATGAACTGATGCGTGTATGTCATATCAATATAAAAGTCTATGCATATCGGCACAATAATCAAGTCGTCATGAGTAGTTCTGTAGACTCGAGCTTTCCGAGTGAAGGTATGTTGCCTCCGACCTCGTAAGATCCGGAACAGCCGCAGTAGCTGCACAGCCATGAGACCATTTCTTCCTTCCCACCATGACTCACTTGCGACCCCGTCTGTCGTAGTCCATTTCTGAGGCGTCTAGTCGCTGCCAGACGAGGCCAGCCCTCGGGTCTTGTCGCGGGTTTTGGTCGTTGGTAACTGTCCGACATCCAAACAAGGGCGCTTGTTCATCTTGTGTTTGACATCTGTGTCCAAAATGGTTTGTTGGATGATGTAGCACAATGAAGAGCGGTGGATACCGCATATCCGTCTGGGTGTGGAAGCCACCAGAACCACAGCACTGCTTTCGGAGCACAGGGCTGTCCAAAGATAAAGATAGATCAGCTATAACAGCTGCGCTCTCCATGAGAATCACAGCAACTCCAACCCTTTCCAGCACACCTCACAGTCGAGCTTACCCGGCTACCTTCACCACAGTAGCTCGCACTTTCTCCGGACAGGTATGTCAACCATTGTACTCTGTATGACTCGGGGGTTCTGACACGAAGATATCTGCTCTCTAGAAAAAATGCGCTCTACTAGACCTGCACTTAGATTGAGCGAGCCACCATCGTACAATGCCCCCTTCTACGCAGATCCATGGGGACAAGATAGTGGTTCCCCCACTTCTGAGACAGCCCATTCAGACTACTACGGCACCCGATCCACCGCCAGCTCGTCTCGGACATCCTCTACATGCTCCCACGTCGTTCCCGAAGCTGCCTTCCTCGCAAGGTCAGGAGGAGGCGACGTCCAATACATCGTTGACCCCTACTTCGGCTACAAAGACATTGCCGACCTCTGCACGGCCTACCTCGTCAAAGCCTTTCGGTCCCATGAAGAGACCGAATCCTCACAACGACTGGGACAGCCTCGCCTCCCCATCTTCATCGCCCAGTTGATGCACATCACCGGCGTCCCCCTCAAGGTGGTCATCGCCGCCCTCATCCTCCTCCAGCGGTTCCGCAACCTCCAACCGCCCAACGACACCCGCTCCTTCTCGGGCCACCGTCTCTTCATCGGCGCCCTAATGTTGGCATGCAACGACGACAACCTGCAGAACATGATGGCGCACGATGCAAGCAGTGCGGCGTACTGGAGTGAGATCTCACTCTTCTCAGAAGCCGAGCTTGACGAGGTCTTCAACACACTCTATGACGAACTCGATGGGAACGTTGTCGTGTTTCCCTCGTACGCAGCGGCCCTCGAGAAGCTCAACAACCCTCTCGCGATCAAATCATTCGAAGGAGACTTGGATTTCGTGTCATCTGACGAGACGGGCCTTGATTGGGAGGATGGCAACGTATCTCCGACCCTGTCAATGTCGTCCACGTCGATGCCACCCCCCGAGGCAAGACAGGATAAACTCCGCTCAAGGGGAGGAGGGACCACAGCACCACAGAAACAAACTCGCAACGTGCCATCTGTACGGACAAGAATAGCCTCTTTATTTGGGAAGAAGGCTAGGACGTGTTGAAAGAAAATGATCATTTCACAGCAACCGTGTGTTCTTTTTTGTTACAGTCTTCTTTATAGGCGCCCATCCTTTTTCCACATTTCTCTCGCTTTCTTGATGTTGTAAGTCTGGGACACTTTCCTTTGTTGTATTACTGATCTATTCTCGTTACCTGTGCTTTCTGTTTGTTTCCATTGGGTTTTTTTCTCGCTTTTCGAATTCTTCCTATCGTACTCTACAGCAACAGCTGCCACGCCTCAACCTGTATTTATAGTATTGCAACGCAGTGTATCATACAATCCGCGTACATCCTTGCTGTATCATAACACTCTTATGCTTTATGAGTGTGCTGTAGCTCTAGTATTCGTACGTTTTCAAAAATAGATGCGAAGCAATAGAAGTCTAATGAAGTGCGTTCTGATATCTGAAGCCAAGTGTAATCATTGCTTTATGTGGCCCCTTTCTTCTTCACGCAGAAAATTCCATCTCATCTTTCGAAGTTCATTCAAAGCATCGGAAAGAACCCAGAAATCACGTCCTACGCTGTCCAGGAGAAGGCCATGCATTCGTCAAGGATCTTGGTTACACGAGGAATAGTCTTTCTTTCTTCCAACAGATTGTATATATGGGTTACGACTACAAGTACAACAAGAACGAGATATCAGCGATGAAAAACGCAATCATCACCTTCCTGCTAGCAGGCCACGACGGAATACAACATAACAAGATAGACGGAGACGACACGGAGGAGCTCGAAGCAATCATACAAATCATGCATAACAAGAAAAGGAGTATCACCAGCGGTTGAAATCAACAAGGGTCACTGGGAGACTACTAGAGAATAAAAATGTACTTCAAAGCGTCAAAACACATAAATAGATCGTGAATAAGAGAGGGATGAGAAAGCAGCATGAGAGTGGAGAAACAGCAGATATAATCAGACCATAACGGCGGCAAGGTAATACGGATTGTCACATACAAGTCGGGATAACCTAAGGTCATTTGACGAGCAACAACCGGGTCCACAACGAGCACAGCTCTGACAGCGACCCAAGATAGGGCCCAGTTGAAGGTCAAAAAGCCAGTGGACACCCCGAAAAAGTAAAAACAAGAAAAAAGGAAACCGGGGTTGGGTGTGGTGTGGATATGAAATGAAACCTTGGATTGGAAAGTCTGGTCCAAGAGGTGGTCGACGAACCTAGGCCAAGGCCGGCGTCTATGTGACGAAATCGTTGACGACGTTAACGGATAACCACGAAAGAGGTGTTGGTCTATTCGATCGGGGGAGATTGTAGATTGCCTGTCGGTGGTTGTTATGCGGACATTCATGAAGCGCCAGGGGAGTGGGAATGAAGGACATTATCGATTCAAGGGTTGGGCATACGGATAAAGGCAAAACCAAGATTAAGTGTGAATGGAAGAAGATTTATAACATGCACACTCACAAGAACGAGCAGAAGACATAACACGAGGATGATAAAATTAAGGTGGCCCATTTGCCGGGCCTTCTGTCTCCGAAGTCGAGTCGTCGTCGTCGTCCTTGTCCTTGCCGTTGCGGGCAGTCTTTGCCCGTTTATTCTTGGAGGCCTCCCCACCCTTGGAATTGCGTGGCCGTTTCTTCCCGTTCGCGTCGGCACCGTTTGCGTCGGGTGCTGCATCGTCCTTCTTGGACGTATCTGAAGGGTTGACCGTTTGAGGTTGCTCCTGAGTGCCGTTTTGAACGGCAGGAGCAGCAGCAGGGGCTGAAACAGACCCTGGCGGAGGGGGAGCCATGTGTGGCGGATACATAGGGTAATAGGGAGGGTATCCTCCGGGATGGATATAGTATGGCATCATCGGCGGCTGACCAGGTGGCGGGTGAGGGGGCGAGCCTTCTGCCCCAGGTTGACCTTCAGGAGGATGAGGAAGGTATGGAGGCGGCGGATAAAGAATTGCGGGGTAGTAGCCTTCGGGAGGAGCGAAACCGGGAACAGCATGAATGGCGGCTCCGGCTGGAGGAGCGGCAGCGGGAGGGGCGGATGCAGGGGCTTGTGTACCTGATGAGGGCCAGTCACCTACGTCAAGGTCAGAGTTATTGGAGGAAGTGTGGTGGATCTCTTTACCTTGGAACGAAGGACTTTCCGATGTCGACTTGTTCTTCCGCTTGTACGGACCGCGTTTGATTCCCTTCTTGCGTTCTTTACGTTGACCGTCCACGCAGCTGTCCGAGATGCCATACTTCTGACAACGTTCACAAGGCCGGTTCTCATCGCAACGTTTGCACGCGGCGGCACAGTTGGTACACTGAGACGAGATGAATGATCATATTCGTGGTATGGCAGGCGGAAATGTACGTACAGCCATCTTCACTTGCTTGCGCTTTGGCTTCGTAACCGCTGCTGCACCTGCAGCGCCCACAGGGGGCGTGGCCAGGGCTATGCAACCAGTCAATACATGCCCTTGACGGAAGGTAATCACTGGCGTACCTTGGCCCTGGGGTGGTTGAGGGTAGTAAACGACACCCGGTGGTCCGAACATCATGTAAGGACCTGGAGGAACACCATTCTGACCGTTTTCGGCGTGACTGCCGTCTGCTGGTGCAGGAGGATAAGCGAAATAGGGGCCTGGAGGGTAAGGCGCAGCCCCGGGTGGTGGTGGGTAGGGACCGCCGTAAGGTTGTGGATAAGGGACCTGGACTGCTGGAGGTGGTGGCGGTGGATGATAGGGTTGTTCCTGAGGCCCAGAAGGCGCTTTATTCTGCTCAGCCATTGAACCCGCAATCGCGTCTACGTTGAGTGGCTCTTCGCGACACGGTTTGTTAGAAATCGGTGGCTTGTTGAGAGTGAGACATACAGTAAATTAGGGTCGACAGGGTCCTGGCGATGAGCACAGGTCGTAAAAAGGTAGCTTTGTCGTCGCTGCAGGTAATCATTGTCGTCAGCGTCGGTAAAGACAGTGAGCGGCAAGGGAACTGGACTTGCTGGATGAGTAGGAAAAATGCTCACTCCGACTTAAACTGCGAGTTTCCGACTCGTCGCCGCTCAGACTTGCTCCAAGGTCCGCTCTTGGGCGACTACAACCGCGTTGTCGGATTCGATGTCAAAGATCGCCGCTCGAACACGTTCTCTGTGCTCGGGCCAAAGTTCTACTGAGGACGCCCAACCAAACGGTCGAAATTCTGAAAATCAAAGGGGAAGGACCGTTGGCCGGGAGCGTGGATGCTGGCACAATGTGGGAACAACGCCTAAATCTAGTAATAAGTCCGTGCGCACGCTCCCCAAGCCTACGTCCTACCGCCTTTTACTGCATTATAAACTCCCTAGGGCTTCCTCTCCAGCTATATACCAACTCTGGTGAACCAGAGCAGCGATATTTTGTTGCAGTCTGTCGGACTTTTGACCTGGATGCAACTCGGAGAAACGGTCTGCACTCCGACGCATCTCCTGTACTCCGCCACTCAACTCAGCTGCTCTCCCATCCACCGATATCCCTGCAAGCGACACCTACAAAATAATCTATTATATCTCATGAACCACAACGTCTGGAACGAGCGATAGATGTCAGTTCTCACTTGAGCTTTCTCCACTGATTGCTATCGCTCCTACGAGGGCAAGTTGTGCCGATGCGCGACATATGAATAGCCGTGAAAGCATCAGGAGGAAATAAGCCATTGAATACGTCGTTCAAGTTGTCCTATCTCACGAGAAGCTTTTCCAGACACATTTTACACCTGTCTCCCCAAGTCTCGGCTCTTTTGCTCAGAGCCATTACTCCCGACATCGTTCATCGATTCGGACTCTAGCACATTCTAGGATCAGGTTCGTTGGCGATAGAACTGCTAACTATCATCAGGCGTGAAGCATGTCCCCCCTTCCACAGTGGGCGCCTGGTCCATCGTAACCTTCTTGAACGTCAGCCCTGAGGGAACGTTCACTCGGTTCCTTCGTGCGCTATGAATACCCGCACACCTAGTCTAGCACCCTGATCTCCGTGCTCAGGCTCTCCTTACGTGACGTACCCTTCTGTCGCTCATATTATCCATGCTCCCCGGCCCTTCGAAGTTCATTCCATTCGCGATCGATGTTGAAACTCTAAGCTAGGCACCTGACGTAGGCAATCACAGTTTTGTCCAGACTCAGCCTCAGAAGCATATAGGATTAGACGCTGATACTCAAACAGGGGTCCTTGCGCAGCGAGGCCGTGCCATGCCATGGTCCCCCTTGCCCTCAAATTAATGCTATTGATTCAAGTCACTGATAAGGATAGGCAGATTGTTCCTTCCATGCAATTACATTCACGGCTATTTAGCGCTCGGTAGGGCCGTTGCCAACGATATCAAGGTCACAGGACGAATAGCACCATCCGGCCGCCCATCGCGGTGACATTGGGACCAGCGCTTTATTAGCGGCTACCCACGACGTGGCAGGGAAAAAATTAACGCTGATGGGGACAAAAGGGGTGAGTCAGGCCCGATAAGCGCCCGCTTGGCGCCAGACGCTACAAACAAAGCTCCGTGTTTGGCCGGCGAATCACGCTCCACGCTGGAATGGAAAACCCTGAAACGGGATGACAGAATGTTCGCGGGCAGTTATGGAGTCACTAGACTAAACGTTGTATACACGAACCCTAGACGCAGTAAAATGCACGAACAACGTGTAAGCCGTATGAGAATTGGGCGCTTCGATGGCGTTAAATAAAGAGTGGTGTGGATCAAATCCGGTGATGGGCCAGTGGTAGTATGGCACCGTTCGGGGCTTTAAATGATGAAATAATTTCAAATGGCGACGGCCGAGCGCTTCCTCTGGGTGGATTGCCCTTTCTTCCCTCGTTGACACCACCTTCCCCCTCTCTTTTCTCCCACTACGTCCCTTTGCTCCCGTCGTCGTCCCGCCCTGTCCCCGACGTCCAACGACGACCACCGACGATCACGACACGTTTGCAAGCCACCGCACATCGTCAACACAACCTGCAGCTCAGTTTCACCATCGATCCATCCAAATCAGCCATGCAGACCTACGACCAGCGAAGTCCCTCGATAACCCGCCAAGACTCCACCGCAGAGGTACGAGAACGCTCAAGCCACAGGTTTCGGTACCAATCGGGCATTCATTGGATCCTGGCTCTGTTTGCAGATGCACCCCGAGGAACCCAGGTTTTCAGCGGCTCAAAAGGGGAAACATAGGGAGTTCTCATTGGCCACATGTCATCTGAATCGAGCGCCTACCTCCTCAGCTCGGTATGTGGATATCACTCGTCATCACGAAGGAGTGCCGCTTATGGCCACTACGGGCGCTCTTAGTTCAACGTTATTTTTGGACGACCCTCCTGTCGACCATACAAAAGAAGGTAGGTTGGAGAGGGGAGGACCAGGGCCAGAAGTTAGGACAATGTCGCCACCGGCTCGAGGTACGTGGAGCCATTTCTCTCTTTGACGCAAGGCCACTCATCCTCGTGTTATGCCACAGACGCCCATCACGACATCGTGAGTTATTCATTTATGCAAGCTGTCGGTACTCGTTTAACGCCTTACCTACCGTCTTGATCGGCGGTTATCAGGTGCATCCCATGGCATACAACCGCAACGAGCAGCCCGCAGACCGTTCTGTGTACGGACCCCCAAGAAGATCGCTATCTCACGTTTCGGCGCTTGAAGGTGTGTGATTTTCGTCATTTCGACCCCAAAATGGCACCTGATCCTTCGTTATCACCAAGATGAACCCATGAGCAAGAAACTTCGGCTCACAGTGAGTGTTGTCATCCTCGCAGCCCATTAGTCCGAAATTGATCGATTTTGCCCCCAGACACCTGCTTTCGGCCCTATTGGACGCCCTACGCCACCACACTGGAGTGTTGACATCTATGAACGGCAACTATTCCCCAAGGCACTTGGCTATCCACTCGCCATACCCGCCGGCTTGAGGGTTGGGGACGTGTGTTTCATCTCGGGAAGTGGCAAGATCCAGCGCTGTTTCAACATCACGGCCCCAACGGAACTTCCGCATTACTTTTCGGTTCTTCATCCTCCGCTAAGCGCCCTGGACACGTGCAAGTATCAAGACTTTCCACCCAAGAGCTATGTCGCCAGCCACTCTCTGAAGCAAGTGCGAGATGACCAAGCCCTCGGGTAAGTCGGTCTTGCGTTTTCATTACCTCGCCTTTGTCTAATTCCGATTGCGAACAGCGGACTTGCCTTCCAGTGTGATGCCAACAGCGAGGCTGCGGTTCTCGTGTTCCCTCAAGGCGCAGTCTCTACCGAACTCATGGACCTGTCAAGATTCCAAGAGTACATCTCTCAGAATGCAGGGAACTGGGGTATCTATCAACGAAATCTCGAGCGTGAAATTGGAGAGAAGGTCGAGATCCGCCTGGTTACATCAACTCTCACAGCGCCATTCTGGGCAAACGCAGTCGTCGTTGCGGAGGGAGCAGGAAGTATCCTCAAGTTTGCAGAGACGAAGACTATCGACGGCCGCAGTGCCTACGTCTGGGACACAAGGGGATTTGCAAAGGCCGCTGTCAGCGCATCTGACGCGTGGAACCCGGCGTCCAGGAATGACTGCACCATCGTCAAAATGTTCACCATCAGTCCGCGAAAGGAGACTATCTCGACGGCTGCCCCAGCGGATGGCGCTGGTCCTATGGAGAGTGGCTTCGTGAGTGTAACTCCTTGTCACTGCCTTGTCGAAAGCTTATCTTTTGTGTGACTAGCGTCGTGGACACCCATCGGATATGATCAATAGACGCCTGCTTACGATGGTACGTGATACTTATAGTTAGGTTTGACTTACAATAATTGATCATCATATCCTACAGGACGGTAACGCAAGAGTTGTCGTCTCCCATGACAGAGATTGGTGTGCAATTATGAAACAAGTAAGCTTCTTGGGCGCTCACTAACTGTCCACAAGTTGACAATGTTTCCATGTCAGTCGGATAAGGTATCTCTCGAGGAACCCGAGCTTCTGGAACGAGTGTTCAAGCACCACGAATTGCACACAGAGGGCGGTAAGTGGATTCAGAGCCTTTAATTGGTGTAGAAGCTGATGTTGGGAATAAGATACCGTTTTCCTGCGTTACAAACATGTCCGGGAGAAGAGGAGGACACCAGAAGACTTGAAGAAGCAGATCGACGAGCTGCGGGAATCCTTGGACAAGATTTCGAAAGAAGACGGCGCGCAACGTGCCGAGGTCCTTCACGCCATTACCACCAACATTCTCTCTTATCTTCGACTCGGAGGTTCCAAGAATCCTCAGCATGCAGAAATCCTGCTATCAGTCGCCCTGGTCAACGCCAAAGAAGAAGTATCGATTTTGGAAGCGAGGAACGAAGTTACGGTCGAAGCGTTGCACCAACTCGGCTCAACAGTGTGGACTGCGTTTGAAATGACCGGGGAACTGAAGTATCTTGACCAGGCTATCCAATCATACCGAAAATCGCTCAACCTCGACCCCGTTCATCGTGATTCCATGTCGGATCTCGCCATCTCTCTATGGGCCCGCTTTAACCGCTACAAGCAACAGAAGGACCTCGATGAATTGATTGAGCTATACAAAGCGTTGGTGTTTAGCAGGACGGTTAACGACCCTAGCGAGGTTAAATGGCTCAACAGCCTCGGCATGGGTCTGTGGGAGAGGTTCAGGCGTTTGAAGGATCCTCAGGACATGGACCAGGCTGTGGCCCATCTCCAACGGGCGTCCAGGTCCTATCCTATCCCTTGTGACCCATTCACTCTCAGCAATCTTGGCAACGCACTCCTCGCTCGCTCTCGCCATCGCCGTGACCTCAATGATCTGAACGAGGCTCTGATTCATTATCGCAAGGTCCTCCAATCCGCTTCCCCCCTACATCCAGGTCGATCGGCGTTCCTCTCCAATTTGGCAGACGCCCTGCTTGAGCGTTACGAACGCACGTCCAGCATCACTGACCTCAACGAGGCTGTTCGGGCTTACGAACAAACGCTCGAGCTTCCCCCTCCCCACCATCGTGACAAAGTAACATGCATCCTGATGTACGCCAATGCGCTTCAGGATCGGTTCAGGAAGACCTACGATGCCGACGACCTCAACTTGGCTATCAAGAAATACCGAGAGGCTAAGCTGAGGTCGTCGCCGGCCCACCCGAGTTACGCAAGGCTGATGGAAAACCTCCTCCTCGCGGAACAGGAATTACGCCGAATGAATGCAATCACAGGATCAACGAGCCCACCACCACGTTCAAGCCACTCGTCTCCGACAAGTCCTCGCTCGCAACGTGCAACGGTACCGCCTAACCGAGAATGGATCGTCCACCACCATCCCGCTCCCGCACCGCCTCAAGCCCCGCCCACACCCAATGGCAGTAGTCAGAAGTTCCGCATAGTCCGACCGCCAATGAAGAAACCCTACAGCAAGAAGACGTCGTCGACATCGGAAAGCGAAGAGGACAATGCACCAGAAGAACGACCTCCCAGTCCACCGCTTTCGCCTCGTCATGGTCTTCCGCCCCGTGCCAGGAGGCACCATACCCTCGCCCATATCCCTTAAGCGTCTGAAGACAGGCCCCTATATTCCTCAATATCCAACATCAAGCCTTTGTCAAGTATATTCGTAGTCCCGTCAAGTTGCAAGCCAATGAACATTATGACTGAATATGAAACATTTTCTTTTTTTTTCTTATCATCACTCATGACCCGCCATCCTCATCCACCCACCTACCCGCCCATGTTTCTCGGGACCTGTGTACCCATCGCGTGGGGCCCCGACTCACCTTCCAATGCGACCTTGCGTGTCCATTGAGATGGAAATGGTCGATCACCCGACGTCGTGGATGGCACTGGCTTCCTGGAAACCGGGCCGCGCTTCGCTACTAACACTTTGTCTAGGAAGCAGCGCATCTGTTCAACCTGCTTTGGTTCGGAAGCAGATGTGTTACCTCGCCCCATTCGGTGCAGTGCTCAACTACTGCTTTCGAAGTTCAGAAGGTTGGGTTGATGGGTTACCTCCTACACAAAGGGGAGTCGGCTGTTTTCTGTTCCCCTCGTCGAGCTTTCAAATTCATTGTTGCCATGATATTGTTTCAATTTGCATTCTCATGTATTTTTCTTCGTGGCTGGTCTTGTGTTCTTCCCACTTTTCTTCTCTTTCTTTTTATCTTCTTGGACTCCTACTCCTCTTCTGTATTGGTGCGATTGTAACGTCTTCGAATATTAGAGCAGATACACTACCGACATGTACAACATCGACGCCCATATTTATTTACCGAAATCGAAATGCGGGCTTAGACCATGCTTTCCCTTTTCAAGTCCTGCCAAGTGTGTGATAGGAGCAGTACCATTGTGGAATAAACTACGTTTTGGCGTTGACATCCTCACTAACTGGGTAGTGCATTGAACAATCCATTATCAATCTCCTAAACCTTGCAGCTTCCCACTTTCGTCTTGCAACTCTCCACTTCAGGGTGACTGTGGTCTTCCTTCCCGTCGCTGGTCCTGGCACCCCGTCCTTGGAACCCCCAACGAATCTGGCCTGGAAGCTGGATCTGAATATCCTTGCTTCCGTCGGATAATTCGTCGGCCCATTGCCAAACGGTACCGGGATGGCGCTGGAACTGGCGACCCACAAATATAACGTCCGCGCTGGCCAACAGCAACGCTTCAGCTACTTGTGCGGTAGTAATGGCCCCCACCGTCGAGACTAGGAGGCGAGGAAGACGACCGCCATTGCTGGTAGACTTGTCCTTGACGTTAGAAGGGAAGAAACTCCGAGCGCCGATGGATTGCATCACGTCTCTCGCAAAAGGGGCTTGATAGGCTGGCCCGCCCTTGATCTTCTGTTTCGGATGATTGCCGCCAGAGGACACGTCGAGAAGGTCGACTCCGTGTTCGTACAGGATTGGGGCCAGGCGGACTGTATCCTCGGATTTCCAGGACGGTTCATTGGGCATACTTTCTTCCAGCCACTCCGTAGCGGAAACCCTGGACAGAACTTCCGTTAGATTCCATTTCTTTCCTTTGCAGGAGCGAACATGCTATCAAGAGAACTCACCTGACAAAGAGCGGCATCTCTTCGGGGATGATGGACCGCACGGTATCAACAATCTCAATGAGAAGCCGGGTTCGATTTTCGAAGCTACCGCCATATTCGTCGGTTCTTTTGTTGCTGACAGGGCTGAGGAATTCACTGAGGAGATAGCCATGTGCCGAGTGAATCTCGATGACGTCGAACCCAGCTTTGAGCGCTCTCTTAGCGCCATCGGCAAAAGCTTGGATGATACCCTTTATACCCTCCTTGGTAAGCTCCTTGGGATGAGGGTAATCCTCCGAGTACGGGATTGCAGAGGGTGCCCAGACGTCATCTGGCCAGCCTCCAACTTCTTTGGAAGCTGTGGGTGCACCGGAGATCCAGGGCGCTACCGTAGACGCTTTCCTGCCCGCGTGGGCGAGCTGGATGCCGATATTTTGGCTCTGGGAGTGGCAGAATGTGACAACGTCTTGGAGAGGTTTGATGTGTTCGTCAGACCAGATCCCAGCATCTTCAGGAGTGATACGACCGTTGGGGAGTACGGCGGTTGCTTCGATCATGGTTAACCCAGGTCCTCGAGTGAAGATTCCTCCCACTGCATAACACCATCAGACGGCCTTGACAGGTATAGGAATACAGAAGAACAACGAACAGTGAGCCATATGCCAGGGAGTGAATTTGCCATTCTCAGCAGAATATTGACACATGGGCGAAACCTGTCATGTGTCGGTGAGCATATGTTGGTCCCTATTGGCTCCCCAATAAGCATACCCAAATCCTGTTCTGGAACTCTACACCGCGAATCCTCAAGGGGTTGAATATCTTCGGCTGGTGTGCTCCGCTTGGCTGGGGATCGAACGCGGTACCTGCAGGAGGGTCCTGCGCTGGAGTGAAGTAGGGAATGCCTTTGGCAGGGACGTTCCGGTTGCAGGTTGCCATAGTGGTAGCTTAGGCCTTGGGGAATGGTTTCTGGCTTCGAGGTCTGCGTCTATATGAGCAATCATTCATTGTCTGACCACCAAATGACCGTGTCTAAGACTGTGGTGCTCCAGGTGAACCACTCTAGTCGCACAAGTGACGTATGAAACGATATCAGTATTTATGTCGTTAGTTGCGCAGAAATAGGCTCCAAGGAGGCAGGAAACTCACGTTCTGAGTTTTGGATACTCCATGGTGGAGATGATGGGCCATGGCACCAGGCGTTCTCTCCGCCGTCATCTCGACGACAGGGTTTGCCAGTGCGAAGGCCCACCTTGGCTGAGTTTGCTGAGTTCTAATGTTCTACCTTCCGACCTAAGTCAGTCCTGGTACGCTGACTATCACCATTGCCCACACGCTGCAAGTTCTCCATAATCTCGCTGTAGCTCTGATAATGTGTTGGAAAAAAAAAACTGATTCCTCCCAGTCCGCGGAATCCACTTGCGACCGGGCGGTTACTCGGGCGCTCACGAGATTAAGCGCCCAGTAGGCCCTATGGCTTCTCAGGCTTCTCAGGATCGTCAAGGCACATGGGAGCCGGTCTAAGAAAGCCGTGAAACGCGAGGAAGGGGATGAACACACCAATCTCTTCGGTTCCATCACCGGGCCCCTTGTCCTGTGTCTAAGGCGATGCTAACTCGCACAATTTTTGTAAATCGGCGCTAGCGATAAGTATACGCTGTCGGCGTTATACCCGACGACTTTTAACCGACCACGTCGGAGAGTGGGGCTGGATGGCCTTGGTGGTCACGGCGTCTAGATTCAGCGAAGGAATTCTTGTGCTCGGTGAAACCGGTACTGCATCTGAGTGTGAAATGTGCATCCTACTCCAGCGTCACATTCCTGGTGAAATGGCAAGGTTCCGCATGGGTCATCGGATACGCCGCAATGCGTATCCGCTCTTCGTGAAGCAGGTACCTCCAGAGCCGAGACTCCTTCTAATTATAAGTAAGGCAAAGTCAAGTGATTCACTCGGGCCGTTCAATGTACCTTGTGGTTACCTCCTCCATTCAAGCGGCCCTTCTTTTAGCGCTGGAATTCTTTCTCCTTTCAAATTTCCTTAAAGGGCACCGCCTTCCGATGAGTTTTACTTGACGTACTGCGCATTCTTCTCCAGTCGCCTCCAAAGAGGCGGAAGAACCAAGTAGCGGTCTCGTCAGCCCGTTGACAATACAGATGGACGCAGTCATACGCACAGCATTTGTCCCCGGGCCACTACTTTCCAGTTCACGAGAACCATACCGAAGCTTACAACGAACAATGTACCAGAGTAAACCGGCCTCGTCCCAGATGCACAGACAAAGTAGTCTCTATGACTAAGGGATATACTTATCTCCCTTCCCCGAAGCTCGAGCCCTGGGAGTGAACCCCGGGGCTGACGATGTCATCGGACACTGAAACGCAATTTCTGCCTTCGAACGTCTCTTTGTCTCCTGTTGAGACATAAGTACAGGCACCTTACCTTCTGGCATCAAAAACGCTCCACCATGCGGGACTTCGAAACCTGCGAGCGCCTTCACTGCTTGTTTCAAAAGAGACAGAATCCAACCCTCGCACCTATCTTGCAGAGTATCTAGGATTTAGTTGATCCATCACCTCGATATGAAACAGTTCCAAGAAGAACATCTATAATTATCTACCTAAGAAGGTGTGGGATCTGGAGAAACTCAGCACGCCGCGAAGCCACTCAATTAAGCGCCCGCCAAGAAATGGCAGAAGGCCAAGCCTTGCCCAGGTTATATTTAGCGCCCGCTTGGTCGAGCAGCATCTACCCATGTGGATGATAGTTGTTGATGTCTTCGCGCGAGGTTTTGCCAGACGTTATAGGGCATACAGTGGCACCTCGTGGTGAGCGACACTTCCTTTCCTACCCCTCGCCCTAAACTCGAATTCAAGTTCCCAGCGCCTTTTGCTTTTAAGGACTCGGCTCGGAGGGTCCCAACGGTTCGCTACTAGATGAAGATTAAAACTTTCCTTCTGATGTGCGCATTAACAAGTGCAATTCGACTCTATCGGGGAAAGAGGGATGTCGGCGCGGGGAAAATACGACTGGAGGATGATGATGACCTCAAGCACGATCCGTTCGACGTAACAACGCCAGAAGACACGATAGATGGATTCGCCATTGGCGAACAGGATTTCTGGAGACACGTAGGTTTTACTTTATACAAGGCACATAACCCAGCACATGACCCTTGAAATGTAGATGAGGAGACGGAAGATGGTTGTTGCCATTCTTCTGGCTCTCGCGACTGCATTGGATGCGGCTGCGGTTGGGTATACAGTCACGAGCGACGACGCACAGAAGCTGCTAAGCGCTACTCTACAACTTTCTTTCTCCCTCTACGCACTGGCTCTCTCTGCGGGAGCATCATGGACCGACGATGCTGAAACGCATTGCGAAACTATCTTACATCTTGCCGTCCTTTCCGGTTTGGCTGCTTTGTCTCTACTCTTTACGGCGATTCTATCAGAGCCAGATAGACATAATACTCCAGGAGATAGCGTCATGCACCTCCTTTGGTATAGCGCCGTTGGCTTATATGCCTTAGTCTGCGCCCTCGCGTCCACAATCCAGACAGGCCCGCCGCTGAACCACCGACCCGAGCTCCTGTATTCGGCAAAGACAGTGAGGTCAATCACCAACACAGACCAAGAAAACGTATGTGGAAGCATTGGTGAGATTAAATTGTCCTCAGGCAAGTGAAAACGTACCGATGACCCATGCTCATAGGATCGTCTTTGTGGGGGACCCTCGTGTTCTCTTACACGACAAAAGTTGTCTGGCTAGGCAACCTCGCATCAAGTTTCGAAATTGGAGACTTACCCATCATCCCAGCAAGATTACGAGCCGTGTACAACTACTCTCGAATGAAGGATGGAATGGGAAGATTTGCGTTCTCAGTCCTCGGTTGGAAGCCTCGTCCAGGCTCAGGTTGGGACCTTGGGTACAAATTGGCTCGTTTGAACAGTGCAGCACTCATTATCCAGCTTTCGATTTCAGCTGCGACAGCAATTCTCTTTTACGCCCCTGCACTCTTCATGCGTCACCTCATTTCGTATTTGGAGGGTGACCCTGCACGAGAAGATAGGGGCTGGGGGTGGGCAAACGCTTTCGGACTTTTTACAGCCAACGCGGTCGTCTTCATCAGTGAGCACTCATTGCTCTTTACCACTTGGAGGCCATCGTCTTACGCCGCGCTGTCCACAGTATCAGCCCAGTTATGGTTCTTCGTAACGACCAGGATCGAAATACCACTTGGAATCCAAGTAAACACCATTCTTTTCGCCAAAACTCTCGTTCGAAAAGACGTCACCTCAGGCTCAGAAAACGCGATCATTGGTGAAGAAAGGGAGAATGAGGATATCGCAGAACCGTCACCATCCAATGACAGCGAAGGCAATGCGTCGAGCAAGGCACGGGTTATGAATCTAATGACAATGGATGTGAATAGCATCAGCGGAACTGCGTGGATACTTTTCACCCTCGTCGGTCAGTCTTTCCTTGCTTTATTCAACAGTAAACCTGACCAAACGTTACCTTCAGATTCCCCTGTTCAGATCGTTGTCGGTACTTACTTTTTGCATACCCTCCTCGGCGTGTCTTGTTTCTATGGCCTGGCCGTAATCTGCCTACTCCTCCCGTTGAATCACATAGCCGGGAAGACCTTCGTCGGCAAGTTCATTTCGCTGGAATATGTGACCCAAAAGTCCTGAATTTATATTCTCAGGCGTTCGCGAAAAGCTCATGAATGCTCGAGATGAGCGTGTCACACTCACCAATGAGGTGCTGGATGATTTCAGTGTGTTGACCATGTGCTTAACGAGAGCGAATCTATTAGATCCTGGGGGCCATCCGAACGCTTAAGGTACGAATTCCGCCATCCCCTCCCATGTCTAACGCTTGACATTGCCTGCCTAGTTCATGGCCTGGGAGCGCCACTTCGAAAAGCGTGTATTATCTATCCGGGAGAGAGAGTTGATGTACCAAAAACAACACTTTTGGATTGAGGTTCGTGCCTCGAGTGGACAGTTGAACTTTACTCACTGTCACTATTTATCTAGACGTTCTGGAATGCTGTCTGGTACGCTTTGGATACGACCTTGGCTCTCGGATACTCCTGACACCAGATTAAGGAGCGGTTCACCTCTGCTTGTGACATTAGTTGCGTTTTGGCACTTCGCTGTCGTTCGCCAGCAACCACTCACACCGTCCATTGCTTTCACCTCCGTACGTTCCTTCTGCATCTACGTTAACCCCATGTCTAACCAGAACGGCCGCAGATCATTGGTACCGCCTACTCCTCTAATTTTGTTCCATTGCTCACTCCGTTATCCAGTCTTCTCGGACATGAAGTACGCGCTCAACGGGTTACCCCAAACCCTAATCAATATTCTAAGTGTAAGAATTCTCTTCTCCAAGTCCTCCTATGCTAATTTGACCGCAGTGCCTGGTCTCACTACGTCGGATTGAAGAGTACTTGAACGGCGTTGAGATTGACCGCGTCCCCCCGCGAGAGGAGCAAACGACGGAAATCGGGTTTTTCTCCTGCTCTGTGACGTGGCCCGAAGCCCAGTGCCAATCCAATGTATCGTATTCCACGCCGTCCCCTTCGGCGACTCTCCGCAGCAAATTCATGCTCACCGACCTTACCCTCAAGTTCCCTCCGGGCGAGCTCTCATTGATCTGCGGCAAGCTAGGCTCCGGAAAGACGCTGTTGCTGCTTGCTTTGCTCGGAGAAGCGGATGTCATTCATGGCAAGGTGCTCTGTCCTCGCTCTCCACCCGGCTCGATCGCTTCGTGGTCTATGGTTGATTGGAGTAAGGAAGAATGGGTGACTGAAGGAATGTGCGCCTATGTCCCTCAGGTCAATGGAGAGTCTCCATCATGGACTTCCAGCAGCCTAACCTCGTTAACAGGTCGCCTGGCTCCGAAATGCGTCAATCAAAGGTGAGCGGGTATATATGGTATCCTTCAAGTCATCCAAGCTTATACCAGTTGCAGAGAACATCTTATTTGGACTGCCTTACCATGAGGAACGATATCAGAAGACACTTGAGGTGAGTTTCCTACTAAAGCCTGTTAAACATTGGCCGATATTTCGGCAGGTGTGTGCTCTCGTCAGTGATCTAGGGACCCTAGAGGACGGGGACAGCTCAGAAATAGGTGAACGTGGTGTAAGTAGCAAACGATATTAGGTCCCATCTCGGCATCTTCTTACTCCTTTCAACACAGGTTAATCTCTCAGGCGGACAGAAGGCTAGAGGTGAAGCATATTGTGTTTGGTATTTCTGAGGGACGCATGTTGATCACCGTTCAAGTTTCTCTTGCTCGTGCTGTCTACTCTCGAGCTTCCATCCTTTTCTTAGATGACGTATTGTCTGCAGGTCCGCTCGACTTTTTTAGAACTGTTTCTAATGCTAACCATCTCCGTCAAGTCGACGCCCATACCGCGCGCCACATATACCACCGGTGCCTCAGGGGCGAACTGATGAAGGGGAGGACAGTGATCCTCGCATCGCACCACGTCCAACTCTGTGCCACCAGAGCCGTCTACATCGTGGCATTGGACAACGGGCATGTGATGTTCGAGGGCAACCGAGATGCCTTCATCGCTTCTGGGGCCATGAGTAAACTAGGACAAACTGGCTCGGAAACAGGACTGGAAAGCGATGTCGTGGAGAAGAAGCAGTTGGTAGAGGTCGAAAATGACATCCTCGGCCAGGGCGAACGTAGTGATTCAGAAACCCTTCTCTCGACCACGGGGAAAGAGAAACAATCTCCCCGCCAGCTGGTGGAAGACGAAAAGAGGGAGGTTGGGCGCATCAAGAAGGATGTATGGATCACACTCTTCAGGGCCTGTGGAAGTGATTGGTTCTGGGTTTCGTTCGGCTTAGTGTTCGGGCTTGCGGCACTCGTCCCTGTCGTGGAGAATAACTGGCTCAGGTGAAATTGCTTCCCTTTCCAGCATACGATATTGCTTATCGGACTTTGACAGATACTGGTCGGCATCTGCCTTGGAAGGGTCAGGCGAGAATCCATCATTTTATATCAGCGTCTACGCCGCCATAATCTGCTCTGGTCTCGTCATCACCATCTCCCGTTGGCTCGTGTTATACCGTGGTTCCATCCGTGCTTCTCAAGCACTCTACAAGGGCCTGTTGGAGGCCGTCTTGTTTGCCGACATTCGCTTTCACGACACAGTCTCGCGTGGTCGCCTGCTGAACCGCTTTGGTCAAGATTTCGATGGTACTATGTGGCCTGTATTCCATTTTGAGGCCGTCAACTAACCCTTTATATGCCAATGCAGGCATCGACAGCGGACTTGCGGATAACCTGGGGCAAACCATCATCACAGCGCTATCCGCCCTTACGACCATCGTAACTGTCAGTGTCGTTGGAGGTGCTCCATTTGTAGTGGCTATTGCCATCTTGGGACTATTGTATTGGAACGGTAAGCGTCTAGCATATCCAGTCACATACGGAACCATTCTGATCTCGCTGAAAAGTTGCAAAGGTTTTACCCATTCTCCGCAGTTCAGAGCCTCGATTCACCCTCCAATAGATCTATGGGCAAACTTCCCGCGACCTGAGACGCCTTAGTAACTCTTTCAGTCTACTAAGTTGTGCTCGGAATCCTGGCTGATGCTCTTTGTAGATTCTATCTCTACTTCTCCACTTTACTCCATCTATGAGGAGACGATTGCTGGTGTCCAGGTGGTTCGGGCGTTTGGAGCATCGTCAAACTTTTTAAGGGAAATGATTCAATGTGTTGACACAGTGAGTCGGTTGACATTTAAAAGCTGAAAGCATGAAGAGGCTAATCCAGAGCTATAGAATTCGAACCCCTATTATTGGATGTGGGCAGGTGCGCGCGCATCTTTTGTGTTGCACTCGAAACTCACCTCCTACTCCTAGTTAATCGATGGCTGGCAGTTCGGTTCAATCTTCTCTCCTCAGTCATTGTTGGAGTCACCGCCCTATTGTGTATTGTGACCCCTGGTATCAATGCTTCACTAGCCGGTTTTGCGCTTGCCTTTGCCACAACTGTCACGAACGACCTCCTGTTTATGGTAAGTCATCTGCCCATTATAGGGCTGAGAGGCAAGAGCTAAATATCCTCCGATATAGGTCCGACAATTTGTCTCCCTCGAGCAGTCTATGGTTGCGCTGGAGAGGGTGAAGGAGTACTCCGAGATTAAACCTGAACCTGCCGAGTTCATTGAACCTCGTCCGTCTGCGTCTTGGCCTTCCCAAGGCGAAATAAAAGTCGAGGATCTTGTCATCCGCTATGCGGTGAGTTTTTTCTTTGTCCGCTGTCCAACTTCAGCTGTTCACCAACCTTGCACGTAGCCTGACCTTCCCGACGTGTTGCATAAGCTATCATTTTCTGTCAAGCCAGGGGAGAAGGTGAGGAGAGATGTCTGCATTGTCTGATCCGCCCATTCCAACAACGTTGCACCAGGTAGGAATCATAGGGAGAACTGGCTCGGGGAAAAGCACACTAGCGCTTTCGTTCCTCCGATTTGTGCAGCCCACCAGCGGGCGCATCTTGATCGACGGGCTCGACATTTCCAAGATTGGTCTTACTGACCTCCGCAGTCGCATAACTATCGTGCCCCGTGGGTGATTCCGTCCCCTTGACTGTATTCGGGTACTGATCTCCAGCATAGAGGACCCTACAATTCTCAGCGGCACTCTACGCTCCACTCTTGATGTCTTTGGACAGTATGAGGATGCAGAGATAGTAGGTGTTCATCTTTTTTTATTAATACTGCAACGTTGACAGCATCCAAGTATGAAGCACTTCGACGGGTGCACCTGTTACCTTCTGGAGGCGACATGGAAACCCCGGAGTCCAATGCATTTCGAGATCTAGACTTTCCGGTTTCTGAAGGGGGAGAAAATTTCTCAACTGGGTAAGCAACTTCTCTCGAGTGTGGTTCCGTCGTGACATCCGAATACCATGTTCAATTACCCGGCAGAGAGAAACAACTGTTGTGTATGGCGCGCGCAATCCTGAAGCGTCCGAAAGTTCTTATAATGGACGAGGTAAGTCACAGACCTAGTAGTCTCTCACCTAGTAGTCTCTCGTGACGACTATTTACTTGTCTGCCAGGCAACAGCAAGGTATGCCCGAGGTCAGCATCTCCTCCCCCATGTGTCCCTCTGATTCAGCATGCAGCGTGGACTATGCGACGGACGAGCTGATCGGCAAAACGATTCGGGGCGAATTCGCAGAGAGCACGATCTTCACAATTGCCCATCGATTGCGGACAGTAATTAATTATGACCGAGTTTGTACCGTCTTCCTTCATCCGTTCGTTTCTTCTGATTAGAGAACAGGTCATGCTCCTGGATCAAGGACATATCATCGAGTTCGACAAGTAGGTACTCTTTCACTCGCCTGAACCAATGTCACTCACATATCCTGCAGGCCTGCTACCTTGCTCAGCGATTCAAACTCCAAATTTTATGCATTGTGCAAAGCGACAGGAAAGGAGGAATTTACTATGCTTGTTAGGAGGGCGGAAGGTTATGGACCAGTAGAATGACCGATGTGCTGTCAGTCCGCCATATTCTAGCCCTCGTTGAACACCTTGTTGAGCGACTATGAAAATCTGGCTTTAGCCATTCGAGGACGGGCGCCTAATCTAGGGAACGAATCCCACTGCATCCATCGAAGACCAGCCTGAGGGGGAGGTATAATCCGAAAACACCTTTCAGGCGATGGAGCGTGCTGCACTACCACTAGCAGGCTCCGCCGCGCCTGGCTGGGAGCCTACCTCGATCGTGGATTAGTTTGACCTAGAAGTCGAAACCGCCTATGTCCATTTAAGCGCCCTTGGCCAAACTCCGAATCGAGAGCGGTGCACAGCCCAGTGGACACCTGCTTCCAACCAAATACACACCCTAAGAGAAGGAGCGAAGAGTCCGTGATATTCAATCTAGTAAAAGAGAAAGAAGATTAAAGGAGCGTGGAGGGAGGAAGATATTAGGGAACATAAATAGATGTGGTCGCTCACGGTACACAGGAAAGGATTACAACTATGGGCCCAACAGTAGGGGAGTTAGAGTCGAATGGAATGTAAGATGTTATGATGATTGATTGATCGTCCTATTTCGTTTAAGCAAGCAACATCTTTCTAGGATCTTCAATGTACTCCTTGACTTTCACTGTTGTCAGGGAAGAAACGATGGTCAGTCTAACGTGGCATACAATGGGCAATGGAGGAAAACGCACCGAGGAAAGTAACACCTTCCCTGCCGTCGAGCAGTCGGTGGTCGTAGGTAAGGGCAACAACCATGATGGGTCGGATGACGATCTGGCCGTCGACGACCACGGGCTTATCCTTGATGGCGTGCATACCGAGCACAGCAGCCTGAGGCAAGTTGATGATAGGGGTTCCGAAGAGCGATCCGAAGACACCGCCGTTCGAGCTGCAAAATGGTAAGTCAGAGCCAATCTCCACAACGTATGTCTCGATCCTTACATGGTGAAGGTACCGCCGGCCATATCCTCAAGGGTGAGTTTGCCATCACGAGCCTAGATGAAGCAAGTCAGCAAGTGGGGGTGGGGCAAGGTATTGCAGCCGTCCACGTACCTTCTTGCCAAGAGCAGCAATCTCCCTCTCAATCTCAATGAAGTTCATTGACTCTGCGTTTCGCAAGACGGGAGTGACCAAACCCTTGGGGGTGGCAACAGCAACGCTCAAATCGACGTAGTCGCGGTAGACGATCTCGTCGCCTTCGATGCTGGCGTTGGCGGCAGGGATATCCCGGAGGGCGAGAGAGCAGGCCTTGGCAAAGGCAGACATGAATCCGAGCTTGACGTCATGCTCCTTGAGGACCTGGTCCTTGTACTTCTTGCGCATCTCCATGAGCGAGGACATGTCGATTTCGTTGAAGGTGGTTAACGAGGCAGCGGCGTTCTGGGACTCCTTGAGACGCTCGGCGATACGGAGGCGCATACGCGACATCTTGACCTGTTCCGAGTGTTATTTATCGTCAACCTTCCAGAGAAACTGTGATAACGCACCCTGGTCTCCGTCCGGGACCCAGCGGCGGGTCTGGGGGCAGGCTCGCTCTCCTTTTTACTGCTCTTCTTCACATCTTCCTTCTCTTTAGGTTTTGTAACCTGCTCTTTCACTTCAGGCGTCTTATCGGCTTGTGATGGCGCAGGGGGAGCAGGAAGTTTCTTGTCTACTTGTTGATCTGCAGGTTCCGAGGCATCCTTAGTCTCCTGTGCGGGTGCAGCAGTTCCTTCAGGCTCCTTGGCGGGGGGCGGGGCGGCGGCTTCATAGCCCCAAACAGTCAGAAACCACGCGTAGATGGGAAAAACGCGCACGTACTCTCTCCGACCTCACCCGGCTCAATAATGAACAGGTCCTGCCCCACAGTAACGGTATCCTCCTCGCTCGCCAACAACTTTACAATCTTGCCGGACTTTGGCGCGTTGACTTGAACGTCAATCTGTACGTTTAGGAACAACCGGTGAATTTCGGGGAAAGCGAGCTAAACCTGGGGAAATTTGCTTTTACCTTGTCGGTTTCGATGGTGGCGACCTCCTCGTCTGCAGCAACGGTCTCTCCCTCCTGCTTCAACCACGATTTCAAGGTACCTTCGCTGATAGATTCAGCCATCTGTGGGACCTTGATTGTTTCGGCTTCATATTCCATTGCCGCCAGTCAGAAAACAGCGGGGAAGAGTATGCGGCGCGTAAACACACCCTGAATGAGTCTCGATGCATGGAACTGTGCTCGTTGAGCATGTCCATTGGCGATATCCCTGCGAATATTGTCAGAAACCAATAAACAGCTGCTCGACAAGGAAAAAACGCACCAACCCCGCGAAAAAGCGGGTCCAACGGTCCTCTGCTTCAACAGAGCTCGACCTCGAGCGATAGCAATGATCCGTTTCGACAACATTGTGAATTGTTGTTCAAATTAGAGGATATCTGGATTTGTAGCCAGGTATATAGAAGATTGAAGATCCCGACGGTTGGTGCTTACCGTCTAGGAAACCCAGTTAATGCTTTACAAGAACGCGATCGCTGCCAGCAGGCGGACCTATGTCACTTGTTTGTTCATGCTTGGCTCCTGGACGAATTCGGACCCCGCTTTTCACGGCTTCCGATTGGCTGGCACAGGGTTTGCCGAAAGCCTGGTTGGCACAGTGACTGGTGACCGGTTGACCAGCGAGCGACGAACTCGACGCGACTCTAACGCGACTCGGAGACGACGCCAACGAATAGGCAACGCGATTCACCAGAAATGGCGGTCGACGGGGACTTGTTGTCGAATGGCTGACAGTATTTCTCAAATCATGAAGGCTGGCAGCGTCACCCGCCCAGGGCTACCATGTTATCCCGGTTTGATACTGTCGAAACCAAACCCGAAATCTCTCTCTGCCTGTAATGTCTAATCATCGACGCGTTTACTGGCTCCTGCTACTGCTCTGGATCCCGGTGGTGCTGAGCGCGACTCCTGGCAGGTATCTCCAGAGTCGATCACTACACATCGTTCGAGGGTGGGCGTCCAAACGGCGATATTGGTTTAATCTTAAAGCTCATACGTCCATCCCCAGACGATGCACAGAACTCGACCAAGATCTCATTGCCTCCTTTGAAAAGCGTTTCCTTGAGGACCAGATTCTCCACGGCAGTTCTCTGCTCGACAGTTTAACCGTAAAGCCATCTGCCGGTTCCTCGCATTCTCGAAGGCAACTCCAACCAACCTCCAAACCCGTTAATGTCTATTTCCACGTCATTTCTGCCGATTCCTCTCCAAAAAACGGGAACATACCGTATGTGGTCCTTTTTCATCACCCATGAAATCCGTTTAACAGGTGTAGAGTCCAGCAGCTCATTCAACAAGTGGATGCTCTAAACAGAGGATTTGTGGAAACGGGACTCAACTTTGTCCTCGCAGGAGTGGACAGAACGGTCAACGCTGACTGGTTTGCGAATGCCGGGCCCAATACGTGAGCGTCTTAGCCTTCATCGAAAAATGAGTTCTAATCTCTACCAGCGTGCAGCAAACAGCGATGAAGACCAAGCTGCGGCGAGGAGGTCGCTCGGACCTCAATATATACACTGTTGGGTAAGATATCTCTTATCCCAAGGACTACAGTCTCAAACATATGGCTTCAGATTCACTGGAGCTCTAAGTGGACTGCTGGGCTACGCCACATTTCCTCAATCGTACGCTGCTGACCCATCCGACGATGGGATTGTGATTCTCTTCTCTTCTGTCCCCGGTGGGGCAATGGCAGGCTATGGCCAGGGCAAAACGGCAATTCACGAAGCGGGACATTGGTTCGGCCTTTACCACACCTTCCAAGGAAGCTGCCTATCACCAGGTGACTACGTGGAAGACACACCTCCTGAAGGATTGCCATCCGAGGGGTGCCCGATCGGAAGGGTATCGTGCCCTGTGACAGATCTCATTGAGGGAATGTCTGACCCAATCCGTAAGTCTTCATTGCGCTGGAAATAGCCAAAAAGCTAAATCAGCGCCGCTCGATTCCTTACAGACAACTATATGGACTACAGCCCCGACAACTGCATGGCCGAGTTCTCTCCTGGGCAAGCTCTTCGCGCGCGTGTTCAAGCGCAGTTCTATAGAGGCATCTACTGACACCACTTCTCGGCCGTCACCGAGTCTTGTCGAATCACCTTCGATTATCAGGTGGACATGGCGACATCGTTAAACTCCAGTCACTTTACTTACCTAGAGTCGCTTCCATCGCTCCATGGGCTTCGAAATGCTCCTTATCTCTCCTTGGGGAACTTTCTATTACTGTTCCTGATCGGAGTTCTACTGTGAATAGCACCCCAAACCAAGAACCATGCTTCGCTGTCCCTCCCAAAGCAGACCTGACTGAGCGGGTGGTATGTACCTGTACTCTCACAGCGGTCGCGTCTTTCGATTCTCTTTCCTTCCATTCTGAGCCAACTCCATTGTCTGTCTTCAACTCTCGAGTCCTTTCTACCTCGCCGTGTGGCTATACGTGTACTGGAAGAGCTCGAGCTCGCGGTTTCACCCTGTAGATAGCGTTGTCGTTGGGGCCTGGGTCTGACCGAGTCCAACGTCTGAGCCTAGGAAAGATTCGGACTGACGTATTCAGCGCTATTCCTGTTCGGTCCCTTCCCTTGTCCGCGTTTGCGCAACGTCCATGCATGACGGATCTCCAGGGATCTCCCCTTATCTATGACGATTGTGGCGTCGATTTCTAATGTTCATTGCGCGTTTACAGGCGCTGCGCTGGGGAAGGAAGGTACCGAACGGTGTCTCCGACCAAGACCTTTGCAAACACGCTCCCGAAGGCCTTCACTGGTCTCTTTTTCCCTGTACGTTTTCCTTAGGCAACGAAGCTCGGGCCATCTGGTTCCCCCGGGTCTTCCTACCCCAGGAAGAGCAAGAAGGTCCAAACATCATTAAGCAAGGAAAAATGCTTTTGCAAAATGCAAAAATGGAGGGGTACTCGGAGGAATGCATTCAATGCACATCCGGCAGCGATTTCCGAAGGAAGGAATGAGGCCGACGGCCTTCATCCCGGGACATGCCTGCGGGTTGACCTTTGTATGCGCGCTTCCGGATCCGACTGGTTGGTGGGTCATGGGGCCATTCAAAAATCCGAGCCGCGTGGTTATCGGCATGAGATGACGAGGACGGATCGGTTTCAGAGTTTTTTACAGGATGTTGATGCGGGCTATCCGTCGAGCACCGTCGGACTGGGCGCGAGGCCAATGGCAGCAAGACGCGAGGGGAAGATGCACATGACTAACTTATGCTGACATGACGCGGGCGCGTTGTTAATGGGCGCGTCCACTTTAAGCGCCTTCGCGCTAAGATAATAGTTTACTGGGCGTCTTCATCGTTCTCTAGTCCCTAACCCTGGCTGAATTTCATTCGATAGATTAATCTACCTGCTCGAGTAAGGAGGCGCTTAGGACAGCTTTACAGCAGTAATTAAAGCCTTGTGATGAAGTGTATGGGCTCGAGGCAAAGCCACCTTTGCCTCGAGGCGTAATGAGAAAGGGATGACGTTAACCCGTGTCAGGTAGTTTCGGGTCATCGGGTGCATGCTGACGAGGATGTCCTGGGTTTATCACGCTGTTACATACCCTGGAAGGTTGCATTTTGTGATACATTGAAGTGTATGGGACCTTCGAAAGGTTGCTTTGTGATTGGATGGACCCCTGCTTGATTTCGTCGCGAGGAGGTTGAACCGTTTCAAGGGAAGGGCATTGGAGAAGAACAGTCTTTTGTGAATAGGGGCCTACCATCAAAGCAGTCACTGTTGAGTCCTACTTAGTGGGATCTAATCAAAGAAAGGTAATCTCAATGCAAGACCCTGAACTCACTTCGGCGTTCGAACCTCCGATGAGAGGTCGAAACGGGTACCTAACGTGGGGCCATTTGCAGAGATGTTCATAGCCTTAAGGAGAATTAAAGTACAGGGGCGGTTAACGAAGCTGGACCCCAGCATCGTCGCGTATGTGGCGAACACGAGGCGTGAAACGTGGGCTTCACGGCCTGAGCACTATGAAATTGGAAATTTCACCATTGTCAAGCATGAATGTTTTTGGAAGTATAAGGCAAGCGAGCGCTGGCATGGTCTGATTCACTGTCCTTGTTTGTCTAAAGTGCTTGTCGGTCTCTGATACTAGCAGCGACGCGATGTTGACGGTGGCAGGGAAATCTTCCCCGAGGATAACCCTATGTGTGACAAGTGCCCACATAGTTTATTGGTTTCTTCCGTGCTCTGTGGAGGTGGAGTCGTGAGGATAGGGGTCGCTGCCCCACAGTATGTAGATGAAAGCCTGTACCCGTGCTTCATTTACCCAGTAGCTCGGCGGAAGAGGGGGGCGGGAGAAAGCTTGAGCTACCACCAAGTAGACTTCCTCATAGTTCACCGTCGCTCTCAATGAAGCCGAGCACCACCCTTCTGGCTAGGTCAACTTCTCCGTTGTCTCCCTGCGCATAGAATTCAGGGATCGACGTAGCAAGACACGGCCTGTACATCCACCGGAGTGGAGGATGTATACTTGCCGGCCGAAGGAAGGAAGGGTCTGAAGAAACCAGTAAACCGGCACGTTCAGCGAAGCAACCCCAAAAACGGAGTTCTAGTTCTCGACTTTGTCGAGGGCGTTCTGAGAAGCGCACTGGCCTCGAATATTGGAGAGCTATCATTGCGACCCTAATAGAACATACAGAGTCAGGACTTGAGAGAGGGTGCGAACGTTGATCTTCGCATCAACCTGAAACTAGCTCAAGCTTTCATTGTCGCTGAATCCAAGAACCCACATGAACATGAGCAACAACGAGGTCTTGTTGACCCCCCAAGCTCTTCGCAACAATTGGTGAAGCTCGAGAACGACAAAAGACGGAAATAGCAATACGCCGCCGTCTTCCAGAGGCTACATACTCAATCATTCATCAATGTCACTCGGACTTGAGAGGAGAGTGACGGTGGCGGCATGCAGGGGTGATGTACAAAACGGGTGGTATGGGTCCCAGTGTACGGTCGCTATTATTCCAGAACAGGTCCGTCGGCAGGAACATCCATGGGTAAATGGTCGATACTTAGCATGACTAGTTACGGACTGGGTTGCCGTGGCTCCTCCAATACATTCGAGTTTTATCGTTGAGGGCCGGGCCATTTGAATTTGCGCTGTCAAAATCCACTTCCTATTGCTTTTTGAGGTTTAGCGTAGATGTAGGACTCAATCCTGACAGGCCGGTCGCTGAAGTGGAAGAGGAAAAGTGGTCAAGTGGGGATAAAGGAAGGAGCTTTCGGGGCGGATGGTTGATTGCCTGGGAAATCACAATCCATGAATTGGTGTGAGTTTTGTGTGATAAGATAGAGGGTCAGTAGGTGCATTGGGAGAGGTGGGTAGATATGATACGACTTTTGGTATGACAATGCGCTCATCGTGCTGCGTGTACTGTTTGCGTGCCGGTAATCTACGACCGTGGAGATAACGTATGTAGTAGTATGAATCGAACTGAGAAGGGTTTCGCCGTCCATTTATCCGCTCTTCCTTATCCGTGGTCTGATGTCACGCGCACGCGCACATCACTCTCTCGCCCCTTTCGTGCTATAAGGGACACGTATCACCATGCTACACGCTTGCTGGGCTGTTCTACTACATGCGAGATGATCGAGAGAGGTGGCTCGAGGAGGAGGCAAAGAAAAAGTGGATAGGGCCCACCGCGTTGACGCGTGAAAACCACGCGTTCCAATTACTGTAATTAGCCCCTAAGTTCTGGAGGATGACGACAGCACTTCTTTGGAATGATACTCGGACGATGGGAGCTGCGGAAAGGAAGGCCACTAGGGTTCTCGCTGTTCTTTACTACGGGCGTACGGCCTTCAGGGTCCAAAGCTCAGGGAGGAGTGACCATAAAGAACGATTGCGACTCCAAAAATACCCGAGAGTTGTGATAAGGGATACTAAATGAATAGTCCATTTGCAGGCGGCCTTCCGTGTCTTAGGTTCAGACACATGGTCGAGTGATAGCCTCAACCTTCAGCTCCAAAAATGCAAGAATACATAACGCTTTTGTCAGCTCAAGACTACCCAAGTCCCATTGACGATCCCACCGTATCTCTCGAGCACTATCTTTGAATTCTTGGTCACCGGGTTGGGCTCCAATCCATCAGAAGACACACCTGAATGGAAAGCGGCAAAGCATAGCAGACACTGGTGGTCGTTATATATAGTATGTCGTAGTCTTCTCAGTACTTGTCCGTAGATGAAGAAGCTCTCGGGTGGTGTTAGACAGATGATAGAACTTGAGTGTTCTTTGAAGGCGAGCTTGGAAATTGTCGAAGTGAAGACAAATCTAGTGGCGTTTGGTTTCGTTTCTCTGAGAGCTTTGCTCAGATTACAGCCAATGCGATTCATTGCAGCCTGCTCAGGTGGTCGTTGAGTTTAGTATAGGGGGCCTCCAACCAGGGCCACGATATCACGATATCAGATACTCAGAGTCAGGCTGCACCTTCACCTTTCGGAAGCTTTGGGTTTGGGAATCGAGGGAGGGTCGATGAGCGAAGGAATGATATCACTCGTGTTCTCGTAGAAATTCGAAGTTTCTGAAGCCGCTAAGGATCGCACTTGAGTTGGTTGGGTCTTGAACTGTATTGAAGGTAATATGGAATTAGTAGAATGTATAGTGAATAGACTTTGGAGTGTTAGAATATGGCGAATGGAGTTCCTGGCTTGGGACTTGGAGGGAGCGGTCGAGTCATCTGAGCTCAGTCCTTTGGAGCACGGAAGGCCTGTAGTTTCGGCGATTTGGAGCGAACTTCTCGTCGAGGTATAACGCTCGACTGGCCTTCAGATTACTGTTTGAAGTAGAGCGTTGGCGCTTCAGGTGACCTCCCTTCGGAGCCAACGTTTTTGAGAATGTCCACTCTCGATCTATTCAAGACATTGTGTTTTCCGAGGAGACTGTCGGTGATTCCCTCCCTCGATCCTTGTCATATCACACTGACACAAGTACAGAAGCTGCTCGCGTAGCACATAGCACTCTTCGAAGGACTGTGCGCAACTCGGGCCCCAGTGATGGCGATTGAATGAGAAAAGCAAGCCGCGGAATGATCCTTCCCTTCCCTATCATCGACAAGCCCTGGACAATACAGATATCACTCGAGGTTGTGATATCCCGGCGGAACTGGAGACGACTTAGTGACAAGTTGTTGACATATCACATCGTGGTACTACTACTAGCGCGTACCGCTCTAGAAATTTAAAGACCGCGGAACAGAATTGCTTATGTCGGGTCTTTCCTTCCGTTCGTAAGTGGGTTCCTGCGAATTTAATGCTAGTTGGTGTGTTGAGGTCCGTGTGGCGTACATGAGGGGTATGGTGGGGAGGGAGTGTGGGGAAGCCAAGAAGACTCGGAGCGGGAAGCCAGGAGGAGGAGCGGTGAATAGAGTGGTTGCCAGAGAACTTGTATGAGTATGGAAATGAAGCTTCAGGGAGTGGGTACGGTACCTTCAGAGACGGAGCGTTGAGCTAATCTAGAGCTCAGCTGACACAGTCGAAACGGGGAGAGTCTGAATTGCGAGGATGTCGGGTCCGTAGCTTGTGTACCGAGATTCGGAGAGGTGCTCGACCGTCACGGTAGAAGCCAGCGTGCAAGTAGACCAGAGTGCGAGCCAAATGCCAGCTGTTAGGATATGTACAAAGGGCATAAGGTCGAACACATCACAAGAAAGAAGCCAACGTGTCCAACGTTGTTGAGGTATCAAGTTGTTGTTTCATCATTGTTTCTTTCTCCACATTCAAGCCTGCCGTGTTTCATATTCTCGTGTTACCAACGCTGCACTGTGACTGAGACTGACAGCCGACAGCCGACGACCGTCCCCGACAAAAAAGCATCAAATGAATCTGTCTGGTTCTTTCAAAACTTGAAAAAAGCCTCGAGGTTCGATGACGACGAGTGATAAATTTTGGGCTTTTGTAGTGATGTTGAGGATGATGCGTTTAGGAATCTCATATCACAATTAGGTGTTGTTCTGATGATGGATTCACCATCGAAGAATTCGAAGGGCGGTGGTGAGCGCTTGAGGTAACTTGGTATACGTACGTTGGCCCCAATTGTCGTTATAGCGTCGCGGCCAAAAATAAAGCGTTGAGAACGTTGTCTCCAGGGGGGTATGTACGCGTCGCGAGAAACCACGAGAAAGCGGGGAAGGCATTATTACAATAAGTACCATAATTCCTTCCCGACGATTCTGATGTTCGAACGACGGGGATTAGGATGAATGGTGTTTGTTGTATACGTGCGTTACTTCGAGACCGAACGAGGCTTTGAGATCCGGGGGATGGAAAGCATAAAAATTGACGGGCGCTTAAACTGCGGATGCGATGCGCAGCCTCCCTCGAAGCTGTGGTCGGTGATTTCATGTTACGATGTACGTTGCCTTCATTCAGTAGTGATAATAAGGTAATGACGTGTAGTTTTACTTTCAACACAACGAGAGGAAGCGCCGGGATAATTGGCAAGTTGTTGGATGACTCGATGTGTGTAATTCAGGGTGTTGGGGGAACGGGATGGAATGGAACGGAACGGAGAGGGAGTACAATAAATTCCGAGTACGAGTTGTAATAATAGGATGCATGTACGAGGGGTAGTAGTATGGAAGGGAGAAAGAGTTATTCAGGGGTGCGCTTATTCGAAGGTGAAGGAAGATGAAAGACTATATGGCGTGCTCAGCACATAGGCAGCGATCGCATTGTCCTCGTAGTATGTCCATCAATTCATTCATTCAAAGGAAGGATCTGTCAGAAAGTCTTCTTCCGGATTCGTGTACTCGGAGGAGCTGTGACGTGGAGTTCTTGGAAGGCTGTGTGGACGATTCGCCTTGTTTTGGAAGGTGAGTTTGGGTGAGACAGCAAGACGAGACAGAATCTATTGGGAGTTTGAGGAGCGAGGATATGTTGGCTCCATTTTACAGTATGCTATAGGACCCGCGGAGACTAGGACCCGCAGGGTCTGGACGGTCGAAGGTGGATTCACCCGCTGGTATCCACTCTGATAATAGCCGCGGTCACACAGGTCGAGAGGAGACGAGGAAGTCGTAGAGGGGTTCGTAACCGTTACGAGAGGATAGCAGATATAGCGGGTGTACTTAGTAGACGGGGGAGATAAGATGATGATGAATCTTTGAAATTGAAGGAAGAAGAAGGCTTCGAAGCGGTGGATACTAGGGGGCGTTATTGTAAGACGTGAATCCAAGACTAGGTGTATTGGCATCTGCCCGAGCTGCCAACGGCCTTCTTTGGTTGCTTACAGAGTCAGAGACAGGTCGGGTTCTAAACGAGGTGTGTTCGAGGTGCGAGTCTAGCCGGCAGGTATAGTTCAACATTGATTGAATTGTAAAGAAGACGATAAGATATAGAAATGGGGTTGTAGTATGTTTGACAGATATGAGAAGACACGGTGGAGAAAGAGGGTACCGAGAGGGAGGGTCTGTGGGCTTTGTTGGTCTGGAAGGGAGGAACGCCGGAAAGGGAAGGATATTGCTGTTGGGCGTTGTGCACGAGGCGAGAGGAGAAGGATTGGGGCATGGCGATGACGAGGATCTTGAGATCGCGGAGGGAACTGGAATCAGAATGATGGAACTGGTTCCGGAAAAGGGAAGCAGGTGATCAGGAGGGCTCGGAGAGGATTCGGCCCTGAGCTCATTGGTTTTTGATCGGGCGAAATGAAAATCGCGTGATGGGATTAGGGTTGCCGCTTGGGCCATGGTTGGACCTTGAAGAGTGCGCGGGGGATGGTGCAAGGGGAGAGGAATGTGTAGAGGGGGAGGCGAGTTGCTATGCAGTCAAGTGAGACAAGAGGAACAGGGTGGGCGGTGCGAATGATCTAGAAACGTAATTGATAACGTCGGTCGATCTTGTGACCTGACTAATTAGGCAGGTTGACGCCACGGCAGAATAACAGGCGCAAATAATGAGTGGACAATTGGGGCGTTCTCACGTTCGCATAATACAAACTGCCATCATCGTGCTCTCACTAATTTCCGCCAACGCCCTTCTGCCTGCCCCTCCTCCTCCCTCTCCCCTTTCCTCCTCGCCAATATGATGCTCGTACACAAGCCGCCATCATTCAACATCGCCCCAACCGTCCCCCATGCTCACCGCCGCCATCCCTCAGCTCCCCCCGCCGTCGTCGTCCAGCCAACCAAGACCCCAGGCCTGCTGTCCATCTCGAAGCCGGCCCGCACGACGCACAACCGCCACATGAACTCACACCAGCGGAGGGAGAACAACAACGCTAAGGCGCCCTCCAAGACGGCAAAGTCGCAAGCGCAACCGCTGGTGGCCCGTGCACCAGCCTTGTTGAACCCGGCTGAAATCTCACACAAGAAGCCTGCGCCGCCCGCTCTCCAGGATCCAGCGTCGCCCACCCCGCAGCAGCGTGGCCGTGGGTCCAAGCACGCTCGAGAGAAGGCCCAGCAGCAGAAGAGGTAACCGCTTTGTTCACCCGCAACCTCGAAACAATTTTTTTCTGACTGTGGCTGTTTTCAAAAGAACGCACTCGCAATCCCCTGTACGCGGCAAACACTCACGCCAACCATCTCCTCCCGTAGAAATCCAGATTCAGCAACAGTCCTTGCAGGCAGAGGTCAAATTCCCCTCATCCAACCATTTCGACCCTTTCCTCGAACAGCTCTCAGGCGCAATGCCAACCCCTTCTCCCTCTCCCAAACAACAGCACAAACAGAACCGCAAGCAGCAGCAACAGCAATCGCCGCCTGTGTCAGAGTCGATCCCAGTTACCAGGATCGTCCGCCCCAAGCCTCAGAACATCTCCCGCTAAGGCCCCGAGGTCTCTCACATGCCTTCCCGTGGCCTCATCGCCCCTCGTCCTTCAAAATTCCCAATTTGCGACGATATGACCGACGCCGGCGACCTCTCTGAGCCCGAGTCACCAGGCGTTCCGACTCCGCCCGCCACCCCTGTCCGCAAACAGGCTTTCAACGACAAGACCTACTTGGTCAATGCACCCATCTCCACCAAGGCCCCCGCCGGCTTCCCATTCACCTACCCCTCGCCACCCGTCTCCAACAAGGGTCGCAAGCACCGACGGGCTCCTAGCGAAGGCGTCTTCCATATGTCTTCGGACGAGGACCTGTCCTCCGGCCCCGGCGGTGTTGTTTTGAACCAGAACCTCTTTGGCTTGGCCAGGAACCGCTCGCCACAGGCGAAGGCTCCTTCAACCCCACCAAGCCTTAACAGGGCTGCGGGTACCGTATTCATCAACGATCTTAACGGCCAGAAAGTCGGAGGCTACTTTGCCAGCTCTCTCTTCCAAAACTCTCCCAGCCCGGACGAGCTTCCGGACCCCAACCTCTTCTGAGGTACTCGCCACTAGAGAGGGAGCTTAGAGGTTAGCGCCACATTTTTTTCGACCCTGCTACACCGCTGACGCGGCACCCGCAGCCTACCAATACTAATCTTGTCTAGATGCTTTCCGACTACTCGAGGGCAGCTGCTAGCTGCCAACGCTCATTCATCATTCCATTCCTTGCCCAGCGCCTCATTCATACCCGGCAAAATCCACCCATCTAATCGAACACAACGACAACACAAGTCAATTGTATCAATAGCCACCGCACATTTTCTATCCTCGCTTTCCATTATCGTTATTTCTTTTCTAACGACGGGTTTTCTCCACGCATAGTTGGCTCTTTGGGACGTCATCCACCGCACCATGCCAATATTTCGTTTTCTTGGGTTTTTGGGTTTTCCCGGTTGTAATGGGACCAGGGCCAGGACGCGCCTGATGTCTATGCCTTTTTCCCCGCCGCCTTCATGCATCTATGCCTAGCAAGTTTTAGGCTCCACTCTTCAACGCACCACACATCGTTCGCGACCGACCGAGTCGCCCCTGTTTATGGCTTATGTGCTCTAGGACATCCTCAAATATGACGACAGGCCACCGGGCTTGTCAACCACCCACTCTCGCGCCGGCGGGCGATGGTAGCATGGATCTGATCCACTGCGCCATCGTATCGCTTCGGCGCGCCTCCAGCTACTCCCATGCGTACTGGCAACTGCCTACGTTGCTAACCCGCACCCGTCCAATTGCAACGAACCCGGATCGTAGGCGCAAAAGAAGGGCTTCATTTCTCGCACGCATACACAACACACGATTCCATCCGCCCCTTCCTCATCATCTTGATTCACCACTTCCTCCTCCGGGTTCATTCATCAAGACAATTCAACTCGTCGCTCAACCTGTACACTATGTCGATGCGTTGGTGGGAGCGGGCTTCTCCCTAATCGTGTTCTTCCAACGTGCGTGCGTGCGTTGTGATGACTCGTTCACTGCACCCTTCTCGTCCATGCCCCGCCATCGCCTATTTATCGCACCTCAATTTCGCGCACCCACGTTTCGGCCTCTCCATCCCGCCCACAGCCATTTTCCCCTTCGGTGGAGGGTTTTTCCCCTTTTCTTCCGTCCTTCAACTTCCTCCGACGTGGGTTGCGAAGTGTGCTATTACGCAATTGTGACACCACCCTTCACTATCTTATTGCATCGTTATGAATTTACGCCTTCATGTTGCGGTTTTTTCTCTTCATTTTTTCTCTTTAGGTTTCTTATGATACGATTATTTTGTATTCAGGGCACCTCACTTTTTTCAACTTTCTTGTATGACCAATGTCTTTCTTCTTCTATGTGGTGCCCTGCATTCATGTCTCCCTTGTTCCTTTTCCCTTATTGTCTCCCACTGCGTTCGGGCTTGTGTTTCAGTATCCAGTGTATCAAGTACATCGTCGTTACACTTTTTTCCCTTTCTTTTCATATTTACGGTCTTATTGTTTCCTTGCGATGTCCTATACTTTTTTCTCTCCATCACTATCCTGGCTTTGTTCGGTGACTGGATGGTGAGTTTACAACTGACCTCTCGAGAACACTACTAACGTTTCCCTCCCCCCTCTAGGTAATCCAGCCTCATCAGCGGCCAACATACCCCCACGCCTTATTTCTTCTTCCCTTGGTCGCGACGTCGTCCTTTTTTGCATTTCATACATCGCACATCACAAGCAATCATCAATACGGACTGAAGCACCGCAATATATAGACTGTACAATTACGGTTTCTCTCTTGGGTTTTCATTCCTCCTGCATATTATTTGGCCATTTTTTCCTTCCTCCCCTCTCGATTACCCCTCCCGTTCTCCTTTCTCCTCCAATCCCCGCTTTCAGGTTGTTTCAAACGTTGGAATCCAAACCACTATCTGTACTTGTACTACTCGCCTTAAGCTTTACCCCTTCTCTTCCGCTTCCACCCCACTTCCTGTTCCTTGTATCCGCCTTCACACCCGACCAAGACGTCGTTCGACGTCTTCCACACACTAAACTACCCCCTTCACACACGCTCCTTTGTTCCGGTTTTCCTTTTTCTTCCTCCGATCCGTTGTTACCTACGGTTTCGAGTCCTTGTTGGTCTACGGTGTCATACTACATCCGTTGTACCCTCGAATGTAGCAAAATCCATACGGCCTGGACCATGGTTTTCTAGCGACTGGCCAGTTCTTTGTGGTCGGTTGCTAGAACCATGTGTTGCGCCATCTTGTTGTACCCTTGGATTTGTTCATCGTCGTTAAGTTTTTTGTTCTTGCTGGATGGACGTGACGTTGGGAGGAGGGTGTCGCAGGTCTTTGGGCGTTTCGTTGGCTGACTTGTTGGCTGGCGGGATGTTTGGAGATTTGTGACTTTGCTTCCCTTGCGTTGTCGTCTATTCAAGCGTTTCATTTGGTAGTGTTGCTATTAGTAAACAAAGTGAATTGATATTAGGTTTGTTTTAATACGTCGTTCGTTCCGTTCTTTTGTTTTGTTGTTGGAAAGAAGACACATACATTTACTAGTTGTTACTTAGTGACATTGGAATACTATTTGGTTTTGAGAAAACACTGGGTCCGACCACCGATATACTTGGTGTATGGAAACAGAATTGAACAGGGGTATCTGTCGCGAACGAACCTCCAGCGTCGATTAATCTGGTCCTCGTTCGAGTAAAGACGTCTCGCGCCTCCTTTTGAGGATGCTCATACCACATTCCCTCGTCACTTCTGCCTTGCGCGCTTCTTCTCCTTTGCCAGGTACGACGAGCGCTGGGTCCCATAGAGACCGGGGGTTCACAAGGTCGACTGGCGTAGCGTCCCCACAGTAATACGAGGATTCCATCGACAATGTTGCTAATTCGTTCTCGGCGTAGTATGGTCAGATATGATATACTCTGGTGACCTCGTCCTCGAAATACGTGGTCTGTTATGTTCGGAAATAGGCATCAAACTCGGGCGTATGTGTGACGAAAGAGCCCCCAGACTCGACCAATCTCCTCCTCGTTCGCGTAAAAATCTCTCGCACCTCCTGCTGGGCATACTGATACCACGATTGTTTCCTCAGTTCCTCTGCCTTGAGCTCCCGTTGAGTGGGTAAGGCGCATAAATCCGGGGCTCTTTCAGTACGCGCAGGGTACACAGTGACAAGAGGGATGAACTCGAGCGAGCGTAATCGAGGATATGAATCCGGGTTGGAAAGCGCAGCGTTGAGGGGAGGCCATTCCGGCTGTAAGCCTGGGTCGAGGAGCAGTCGGGCTTGTCCGAGAGGAGGGGTGACGCCTTCTACGATGTCCGCCATCCATTCGAGTTGGATCTTGATCGTTTCGAGGGACGGGTGTCCCGCGTTGGGCAGATGAGTGGTGAGGTAGCTGACGGTTTGAGGGGTAGGAGCTAGGTCTCTCATTGGGTGGTAAGGGTGGTTGGGATTGTACTGTGGTATGGCGACGGTGATGATGAGCTCGAGTTCTTTAAGGTTCGGCAAGAATGAATGCACGATAGCAGGCGCTGATGAGGTGGGTACCGGGTAAGCGCTTGCGCGGTCCAAAGGTCAACGGGAATCTTACCTGGTGGGGGATCACGGTACAAATAGTAAATCTTTATCGACTCGAGGGAACGACGAGCGGACGACAAGAGTAGTCCAAGCGACGTCCAGTCTTCAGCACGCTGGACTGAGACGGTTGTGTCTACGCGCGTTAGATGAGAAAAGTCGAGCCTTTGGAGTACGGAAATGGGTGGCGTAAAGCCCAGCGAGAGCATGGTGAACACCCTTAAGCCACCTGGAGAAGCTGTGAGGCGTGGTAGTGAGGTCGGGTCATTGGTCGGGTTGGCTTCAGAAGACTGCTCTATGTTGAATAGTCGCAGTTCGCGGATTGTTGGCGATAGTTACAAGAACATTTCTGTGGGGAGAGTCTTGACCCATCGGAAATCCAACTTTTCCAGGTTGCTGTGGGCGATAAGCTTGGTCATAGCGTCTTGGACTTCTCCATTGACTCCCCTCCACGTTTCCATGCCGTATCCGCCCTGGATGAGCCCATCAAAGACGAGGCCACGTAGATTCTTCAGCGCAGTCAATAACTTTGGGAAGACATTATTGTAGATTTCTCCAGGTTTGTGCGCGAGCCCCTTGACGGCCCTGAAATGGAAGGCCAATTGTTGGATGTAGGGAATGAGGTGTGGGTTACTTTCCAGCATGCGAAGCGTTTCTTCCAGGTAGCGGTCAGGGTCTGAGTCTCTTTTAAAAGTCTGTCTGAGACTGAGAGTCGAGAAGATCGACAACCTGCATGGATGCAATGTTGCACTGGAAACCAGCGAGAATTCGAAAAGAGCGCGGCGTGCTGGACCCACGCAGTAGTATTCATAGTCCCGTTTTTGATTGGCTTCATGACCGAGCTCGTTAATGATTCTTTCGAGGATATCGAATGGAAGGAGCGGAGAAGATGAGATTTTTGTATCCACAGTCATCGTCGCGCTGATCAGGGGGTAGGCAGCGGGCTGTTCGGAGATACCATGCCACGCAAAAAGTTCGAAAGCGAGTATTCGAGGTCCGACCCCTATATGGAAATTGGACCCCGGAAACTCCCTTAGTAATCAGACTTTCCACATCTCGTTGTAATTAAGCGCCGTAATCTACTACAGGGCTAGGAAATTCAAATTCTACGTGTTTTCGTTGGAGAAGGGTGGCGAGGTGGTGAGCCTGCTCGGGAGCTGATCGATACTTCCGATGCACCACGTTTCCTTGGACCAGGAGTCGGATTTTCGTTGCGCGCTGGGCTGCTAGTATCGGGTATAGCCAGGCCGCGCCGAAAATCAATAATTACAGCTTCCTCCACACCCAGGGCTGCGTATTCGTAGAAGCTGACTCGTACCCGGTTCCATATCTCCTTTGGAATTTCTGGAAAGTTGCCATCTTCATCCAGATGGTACTCTTTCACATGAGAGATAAAATTATACTTCCAGATAGTAGGGTGTTGACCATGCTTGTTGACGGAGCAGAGACTGCATTGAATGGGAACATTTGTGCAGGGTGACTCTTTGCTCGAGACTGTTCGGGGATTGGAAGAAGGAATTTTCCCTTGCGAGGAGGCATGGCAAGAAGGGTAGTAGTCGAAAACCAATTGAATTGTGAAGCAAATGTACAAGTTGTAGGAACACGACGGTGACGGCGCTATCTTTTCATCAGTTGTTATCTGTGATTACTAAGGGAGTTTCCGGGGTCTAACTTCCATATAGGGGTCGGACCTCGAATACTCGCTTTCGAACTTTTTGCGTGGCATGGTATCTCCGAACAGCCCGCTGCCTACCCCCTGGCGCTGATAATCTTGTCGGCGGCTTTCTGCTCTTGACCCTGGCTTGAGCGGACGTTCAAGCGGACTTTGATCGGAACAGGTGACTCTGTCATGGGCGCTTAGCCCTCCCTAGGCGGCGGTTGAAGTGTTTAGGTGGTGTGGAGAACGTGACTCAGGGTCACTGTGGGCCTCAACCCTTCATTACATACTGATTAAGTTGGAAGCAGTACCTGCTGCACCGCCCATAACTGGTTGTGGGCATCGCTGACATGGCATTCCGTACGTCTCGGTGAAAAGGGATGAACGACCCTTTGACTTCTGAGACGCATCCCACCAGTCCCCTGGCCCGTCCTTCTGCGCGATCGAAATGGGCGCTTTTAACATCTTTTGTTCTGTAGGTTGAGCCCGCCTTTGTTTTGACTTCTGACTGACTGCCTTTTTCAGGTCTCAGGAATCGCCTCTTTAAGTGGCCGCACAGATGTAACGCCGTCTACCGAGTCAAACTCTCGTGCAACTCAGTCTGACCGTCCAATAGTTTGTCAGGGAGTTGGCAGACGTTCGAGAAAAGGAAGGCGCATTCGAGAAATGGCTTGAAAGATCAGGCCTTGACAAGGACAGTGACGATGAGGGAACAGGCGAAGGACCCGACAGTGATGGAGAGGATGAGGTCGCCAATGATGACGAAGAGGATGAAAATGAAAATGACGGCAGCCAGGAGGGCAGTGAGGGTTCTGGGATGGATGTGGAAGACCAGAGTGATGCTAGTTCCATACCTTCCCTGGAGACACAGACGACGAAAACGAAGGCGATGAAGATAAAAAGAAGTTCGAGGATAGTACCGAGGAAGCCTCTGACGATGGTACGTACCTGACCCAGTCGACGGGCGCCCTGCCACTGACTTCGGATTTTCTAGGAAAGGACTCGCAGTTCGAGAACAAATTTCCCTCCGACGAAGTTCTGGAAGGTCTTCTCTTCTCTAAAGAGGATGTCAAGGCCTCACAGGACTACGTTCTGATAGCCGGGCGAAGACGGCAAGAAGAGACTTCATTGCCAGACCCCAGGTGCGACTCCGAATCACAGGTTGTGATCGCAAGGCTTAGTTAACGGGTGCTCTTTACAGAGGATCAGAGAAAGATCTCGGAAGATGACCCTTCCGTGGTGGTCTTCAACGTTGCACAGGGCGAGGATGGCGACGGGGACTTCTACAATACGAAAGACCCGGACCAAACATACGAGCTTTACATCGATTTCGGGGCCTTTCCCATTACATTCACCGCATACTCAATCCTCAAGACAGCAGCTCCCCGCCTCACCACTGAAGCTCTCTACCGGCTACTCACCAGGAACTACAGCCTGGAGAAACATCCTTACACTTCTTGCGTTATTCCCCACATAAATTATGGACCTGCGATGAAGTCCTGGGGCCAGGAGGCCATGCTTACCGATGTCATCGGCGGTGAAGATCCGGGGATGAGGTGGATGAAACTTCTGTGCAGCGAGATTCGAAGCACAGAAGATATCCTATACGAGGCGTGGAGAGGCAAGGGAAGGCTATGGACGTTCGTTCGACCCAACGTGTAGGGCTTTCGGTCTCTTCAGAAAGATTTCCGGCTCATCTTCTCTGTCTAGGTTCCCAATTGCGGAAACTATGCCCAGACTCGAGTTTGTGCAGGTCCAGCCAACTGGGACGCCTGCTAACGAGAAACTCCGGGAGGCGAAGACGAAGAAGCGCTCGCTGCGATCGAACAAGAAGCCGTCCAAATTTGTCTCTCTGCCCCTCGACGTGATGATGCTCATGTGCGAGCAACTCACCGTCACATCCTTCCTTTACGTTCTTTCGTTGAACAGGGCGATCCGTACTCTTCTCCTGCCACATGTTGACCAGATTGCCTACAGGGCAATGCAGGCCCTGGAACCGTACTACTTTCCTTCCAAACCCCTCGCCTCGGATGACACCGACAGGCAGCGAGTCGAGCTGGACGCTTGGGAGCATGAATGGAAGGAGGCTGGGTTCGAGATCGAAGGCCTCCGACAGAAGGCTCCATGGCTACAGTACCGAATCCAGTGCAGCCGCAGCCCAAGTATGAGAAACCGTAGGAGGATTTGGGATATCGCACAACAAATGGAAACGCTGGCTGTCAAGCAAGGTATTCTTGATGATTCTGATTAATTGTGTTCGTCAACAGAATCTATTTCTTTCTAAGTTCTAAGGAAAACCATTGTACATACTACAGTGTTCTATGCGAGCGGATATTATCTAGTATATATAGCAGGAGCAATGAATAGCATGATCAATGGTAAAGGGCGGTGTATAGTAGTGAAGCGGTATAATAAGGAAGATGGTCCCCGAGTTAAAATGCTCCTTAATCGTAACGGTCGTTCTGAACGTATTCCACTGCAGCTTCCACCGCCATGAACGGCGCGGGAGGAACAGCTTTTCCTGGTGGCCCCACAGACACACCCAGATCTCGGACTTCTCCATTATCGATATCATACACCCATCCATGGACATACAAATCGGGGACATTAGGATGACTGGGGGAGAAGTGCTGGAACGGAATTCATCAGTAAAGGCCCACTTTGGTTTGCATGCCTACCGCATACCTGGGCGATGATCTTGCTGCGAACGATATTCGAGACGGTCGATTTGACGTTCTCTTCCACTAGCGCTCGGAATCCGGCTACGGAAATCGAGCGTTGAGCGAGGGCTCTCAGGGAATATCGACGGGCTGCTTACGGTCGTGAGTGGGCGGGCCAGCCACCTCTTCTTCCCCCTCATTTCGCTCCCTCAGCTCGACGATCTCACGTCTGACAAAGTGGAGCGCCGTTATCAGGTTAGCAAGCCGAGGATAAGAACTGAATCACACCTATTGGAGGTCTGGTAGAGCTTGCGAATAGGCTTAATCCACGTCTGTATCGAGGTGGTTGCCTCGTCCCAGGGTAGGGGCGGAGGAGAGGCAATCGCAGCCTGCACACCGCCGCAGCCGTAGTGGCCCATAACAATGATGTGCTTGACGTGCAGATGTTCGACGCCGTACGAAACAATCGCCTTCCTGTTCACCGAAAGTCAGCCATTCGTCCTAACCCACCCAGCGCACCCCACTCACACATTATTATCCTGCTGTTCGAACAAATTCGCGATGTTGCGCTCAGCAAAGAACGTTCCAGGTTTGGCATTGAATACGGTTCCTTCTGGGACGCGACTATCAGAGCACCCCAAGAAAAGGAATTTAGGTGCTGTATAAGGCAACGTGTCCGCCGTTGTCAGCAACCAACTTGGGCTCCAACGAAACGTTAGAAAATCAATCAACCTTGGCCTGTTGATAGTTTCTTTATCGAGTCGGCATGGGTTGCACGGAAGTCTTGGTTTCCTTGGTAGAGGATGTCAAAGTCACTCTCGTTGGCCTTGGCGGACTGGGCCCTGCCAACGATGTGCACCCTATCCGGAGCTGGGTACGCAAGAGCGGATGAGACTAGGGCGAAGAGCAAGGGTAAGGGACGAAGTAGCATGAAGAGGGATGAAATGGGTGGGGAGGTTGGGCGTGTGGTGGGGTGGGTTTATCGGGTTTTTCTACTGTCACAGACCCTGTCTTATGAATCCCTGAAGATGCGCCCGGTGTTTTCTATTTTAGGTTAGCATGTCGTTTGCCGGTGCTGTACGCGTTGTAAAAAAAAAAGCCTATGCTAATCGCTTTAGAGCACACGATAACGGAGCGCGCAGGTGATATGCACAAGTGTACACACTCTTTTGCGTTATCGGAACTGGCCACGCACCTGGACCAGGTTAACCCCTTGAAATGACCTTGGAGGAAGTGAAGCGCCAAGAAAGCGCTAAGATTGGTATTTTAAGAACATTTCGCTCATTTGAAGAGAACAAGAGGATATAGTAACAGTGTCCGCAATGAAAAATCTAAGGAATGAATGCACTGAGAGCGCTGTTGCCCCTGAGGTGCCAGCGAGACCGACAACTTCGTGTTTCAAATAAAAGTTTCCGAGGTGCTGCTGATGCCCACATCGGCGAATGAATATCAGGACGAAGAGCTCAGTGGACATCTCAATTCTGGTGGAAAATTCATCACTCTTTGGATCAAGTTTGGATCTCATCACAAATTAACTCAAGTCACCTTCGAATAGGCACAGAAGTGGTGCACAGAAATTTCTTATCACATACACTACTGGTTCGACACGACGTGAAAGCCCAAAGGTCTGCAAACCATTGCAGTTAAACTTCATCTACCCTAGTCTACCGAAGTACAACTTCACATCGTCATACTAAATGTCCATTGAATGATATCGATCAGATCGATTTTAGAGTCCAAAGTAAAGTTGACACCTGAGGGGATACTTGAAGTGTATCCATCATCAATATCAATCGACTAATGAGATGTCGGTAGGAAACTTCTCCTGGACTTGCACATCTCCTCGCAACGTTTTTGTGGAGTCTCGTGCGCTGCGGTGGTCTTCTCAGCGGCGTTGACAACGGAGGCGAAAGGGACAGGTGGAATGGCCTTTCCAGGAGGGCCAACGGAGACACCCAAATCCCTAATCTCGCCATTTTCGATGTCATAGACCCAACCATGAATAAAAACGTCCCCTGCAGGGCCACCCTCTGCGCGTCGCTCGTTGGTTGCACCAGATTCATCGGCCGCGGCGAGAAGCGCATAATGCTGGTATGGAGAGAATCATCAGATGGAAAGTTAAATTTAGAATCAGCTTTCACTCACGTTGACGATAACGTTGTCCTGTGCGATTCGCCCGACGGTCGCCTTGACGTTCTCCTCGACTAGAGCACGGAAGCCAGCTAAATGACGCGGTAATGAGGAAGGGGATGACTCTGAGGCCACGGAGATGACCCACGTTCGTTGTTTTCAGGCTCTTCGACGACAGGAAGGTCCTTGATTCTCTCTCGGAGCTCGACAATTTCAGGTCTAAAAATAGGGATGTTGAAATCAAAACGGGAGAGCGCCATGAAAGTGTGACGAACCTGCTGGAGGAGGCGAAGAGTTCCCTGATTGGCTCAATCCAGTTGTACACAGCCGAAAGGGCAGCATCGACGTTGCCTTTGGGGCGGGAAGCGATTGCAGCAGCGACACCACCGCATCCATAGTGACCCATGACAATGACATGCTTCACACCCAGTACTGAGACCGCATAAGCAAGAACGGACTCCCTAGTCGACAAAGCTAGTCCAGTCAGTGTAAAGGTCAAGTCGAAGAGCTACGTACGAGTTGACATCGGTCGCGTGGAACTGGTTGGCAATGTTCCTTTGGGTGAAGAGCATTCCGGGTTTGGCATTAAAGACGGTTCCCTCGCTGACTCGGCTGTCGGCACATCCCAAGAACATGAAAGGTGGAGCTAAGGATGCATGAGCAAGATAGAAAAAAGCGATGGTCTACAGATGGCACACACCCTGGCCCTCATCGGCCAATTTCTTGAGCAACTCGGGATCGGATTCTTTGAAGACTTTGTTTCCGTCGACGAGGAGCTGTAGCTCTGATCCCGGAGCGTCTTGGCGCTTTACCAAGGCGGAAAAGGTCGTCCCGATGATCTTCAAATCGCGGGACTCGCGCACAGGGTGGCCAAAGGCGAACGACACAGTCGCTAATGCGAATAGAGCCGAGCGGAAGGAGACCATGGCGAGTGACGCAGAGCTAGGGTGTTGGATGAAGAGAAGGGATTTAAATAGGGAACAAATTCGGAGACAAGGAACGAGGTGAACAAATCCAAGAAAAAAAGATGAAATACCAAGAAAGACGAACTTGCGTCTTCTGAAAAAAAGAATAAAAGAACAAGAAAAAGAGGGATCAACCTCAAGTAAGAGAAGATGCCTAGAAATAAAGAAGAGGAACGAGGGAGTTAGATGGCTTGCCCAGAGTCATATATATAGGGTCCTGCATAAGATCCCCATCAAGCCTGTTCTAGACCAGTGTCAACAAAAGCAATATTTTTGGAGACGTAGAAACGTGGTTGAGGCATTTTTGGACGGGATATCGACAGTGGTATGGCGACGTTGTTCCACAAATCATGAATCTCACTGGCGGCCGATGATTGGACGCTATTCTTATCTGCAGGTTTGGTATGGTCGTGTGACGCCAAAAAAAATGCCGGGTCCTCGAGAAAGACGTGCTGTTCGAGTTTTACTTTAGCGGGATTTGCAACTGGAAGGCAGACTCTGGCGTCAAAGGGTCAATAATTGTCGTAAGGCCAAGGACTTTCAGAAAACCAAGCAGTCACCTTGAAGACTCGACTGGTCCTTATCAGCGGATCTTCGTATCGTGGTTGCGAACCACCGCGCGAATTAGCCATTTTGGATAGCCGGACAAAGGAGACCTTGGGAGAATTTGCCCCGTGACGCGATCAGGGTACTAGCATAGAGCCAATCATTGCAGACCGAGATAAGAGAGAGGACAATTTCGTCACGTCGAACAGGTTTCCAAGTCGCCCATCGATCAGAACTTGATATTCTGCAGTGCCTTTCGAGATTCTCGTCTGCGCGGGGCGCGCGCAAAAATTCTTCAGAAGCAAGAAGATTCAGAAGTCCGAAAGAATTCACTGGAGTAAGTCACCAACTTCACATGGACGATTGACGAGTAGCTGGTTACCAGTGCGTGACCTTGTTCCGCCGGAACTGGTTGAACAGAAAGAGTCCCAGAGACGGTTTATTTCTCATCGCAACGAAAGATGCGTTCCCCGTTCTCCAGAATACCGAGTCAAGCGTTCGAGGAAGGAGAGACAAGGAAAAGGACTGATGAACTGCGAAGAATGATCCGGCGGAGACCGAGCGGGGGCTGAAATCACTGGCTTCACGTGTTCCGCTTTGCTCGGACAGAGATGCAGCGCTGACGGTGATCTCGCGACGACGGCGGGGCCTCCTATTGACTATGACCACCTATAATGTCAGCCTCGAAAAACGACAAGGAGGTTAAACGCTCAGTACCGAAAAGATTATTTTCATTCGACAATATCAAGAGTCCAAGATCGCGACGTTCTTCCTCCGAGGGCTCCAGCAGCGACCGCGAAAGCTGGTTTCGCCATGGACGGACAGCTTCCAAGCCGTCTCTGTCCGATGTCCAAGAGTACCAACCCCCAGAAGCCTTTGAAGAGTTTCTTGCTCGTCAGGGAAGGGTGACTTCCCCTGTCGAAGACCCTTTCGCGTCAAGACCACAGACACCAACGGCGACCAAGTATTCGGACCCCATTCGACAAAGTCCCTCCTTGCCCGCTCGCCCCAAGACGCCGGATAGCCATCGCTCAGCGTCCCCATCACGGCGGTGGGACCAACTTCGCCAGCATGTTCTTCCAGTTGCTCCTGGAAGCCGACCTTCCACACCACCGGCTCAGGTACCCCGGCCTGCTTCACCTGCGTCCTCGAGGAGCGGTAAAACGCGTCTCCCGAAGTTTGGATTCAGACATGTTGTTGATAACGCGAGGGAGGCAAATGATAACCGCAAGTTCGCAGAAGACATAACAAGAGTCTGTCTCGCTGTTCGATACCCCGAACTTACGAAGGCGAAAAGCTCAGACAAGGACATTCAGGCCACCATTGGGGGCAGCGTCCTGCCGTTCATGTCGACAAACACCCTCGGCTCGGGTGCATCTACTATGCACAATACAGGGGCAACCAAGAAAAGCGACGGCAAGCGACCTCCGTCGGCACTGTCTTTTCCATCAGTCCCCAAAGCCGCGTCCTTGAAGTCCCTGTATCAACTACTTCTTTATCACTCTGCACCAGCCCCAGACACAGCACTCTCCGCTTATTTGCCTAACGAAGAGGAGGTTTTGTCTTGCCTACTTGCGCCCTTCCTTGTCCCTAGTAGATCCACACGGTGGGAAGAGGAACGCACCATTGCTCTGGAAACTTTCGAGTTATTGATCAAATCATGGTTGCCCCAAGATGAAGTGAGTCACTTTGTCCCACTGCTTTACGACTTGCTAACCTTGTCTCTAGTCTAGTAACGTCAATAGATGTCTTTGGTGCTGCAAAGCCGCATTACTTCCTGCATCGCCTACCCGAACCCTCATACTATCCAATCTCGGGCGATTCATCGCACCCGGAGAAAGGAACAAGACAACCATATCACTACCTGGGTTTCAAAGCATCTGTCATCACCTTGTAATCACCCTGGCTTTCTTGCACTCCCCTATGTCAGGGCCGTTTCACGAAGGCGAGACCAAATTACTGAAGAACCTTATCGAGAAGTTTATATCAGGCTCGTATGGGAACATCAGTGATGGGGATGTGGAGGAGACCTACGGCGTCGTCTGGCTCCAGGAAGACACCCAGGCTGTAGTGCGAAGACTGGTGTTCCTGGAAGCTTTGATGCGGTGTCTCGAGAATTCATCTCAGTCAACCCGTGTCTGGCTGCTATTGAACATTGTTGAGGTGCACATCGTACCTGTCTTATTTCAAGCCTTGATTATTAACCCTCTGATATCCAGGACTACTGGCCTCCAGCAACAGAACCGGGAAAACTGACCTCCCTACAGATGGTTATCCATTCCCGGAAGCTTAATGCATTCTGCAAGTCAGCTTCCGTTCTGTTACAAGAACAAGGATTGGAGCCTGGGGAGAAACACGCAGTAGCTCAACAAATCGTAAACATCCTTCGAACCCGTTTAATCCCAGAAACCAATCTTCTGGATCAAACCATCGCCCTCGACTGCCGAGGCCATATATCTAAAGTCGTCTTCGAACTTCTGTGCCTGGATAATGCCAGAGAAGTCGTCAGATGGGCTATCAGTACGTTGTGCCGATGGCTGCATGACGAAGATGTGCAGTGGAGGAGCACCGTGGACAAAACCCTGGGTCGAGCGGTAAGATGGCGGAATCCATCTGGAATAAAGGAGGTCTAACTTGCGTTCAGATTTCAGAATATCCGTGGCCTTTAGTGATCCATCTGCTTACGCGTATCGTCGACCAACTCCCTGATCCCGATCGAAAGACCGCGGTTGCAGCATTTCTCCCCGTTCTCAACGATGTACGAGATATTTCATGCTTCTCGGACGCAAGCTAACATCTGCCTTCAACAGCGTCTAGTCAATGACCCACCGCCATATCCAAATGTCGAGTTGGGCAATTTGTTGAATAGCCTATCCCGACTGTACCCGCAAATCTTCTTCAAACCCTTGTTCCTATGTGCCGCATCGAGCAAAGAATTCACCGTCATCAACCACCTGTGCACCTTGGTTATCTACTCCAAGTTTGTGACGGACTTCTGGTGGCGCGATGCTGAGATGATGTCGATCGCTTTGATGAGTGATGTGGGTGCGACAAAGGAACAGTCGTCTTTGCCTTCCAGTGGGACGCCTTGGGGGGTAGCGAGATTGGGACAGTCGATATTGATGGTCGAGCTCATTGGACGACTACAAGATCTTCGTAGAAACAAAGATGCCTCAGGTCCAGAACCATCCCTGGCGATAGGGAAGTTCTTGGTTGCATTGGAATCAAGGATGTCTATCCTGCTCGAAGCCAAGGTAAGCAAATCCATACCATTCAGGGGCCTTCACCCAGCCTCATTGTCGATCAGGAGAAAACGGCGCGGATACCGCCTTCTCAACGGACCCTACTCTGCATGCTGTTCCGAGAGTTCCGACTGTTGACAAAGTCCTTGAAACCGTAAGGCATTCCCCTGTCTCATGCGGCGCCATCATTGAAGCAGTTCTTTCTAGTGTTGGCTGGCTTCATCGAACGTTGTTATGGTTCTCGGACTTCTTTGAAGAAGATGACCTCTCAGGGGATCTCGACCAGGAAGTTACCGAAGCCATGGAACGCATTCACGACGTCTTCCAAGCCGCCCGAGAAAGTGCCCATCAGAGTCAAACTGTAAGTCACACAGACCAAAGCTCTTCGACGCCACGGGTGACCTGAAATAATCTGTCAGCGCCGGAGTACGATTCTGCTAGCTACCACACAGTATGAACGAGCAAGGTCGGAAACGGATCCTAAAATCCTCGACATCGGTGCTCTATTCGAGGAACGACGGGGTTTGATAGATGGGTTGTTGAAGGGGTTTGCTTCAAAGGCAATGAAACTTTTCGTTGCTGTTTCGCCATTGTTGATGGAGGACGATTATGTGGAATTGGGCTCGATTCTCTGGGAAAGGTGTCTCGATACGACGGTGGATTCTCCTTCAACTGGCCCGGTAAGTAAACGTGCAAAGACTATATGGGCGGTTGCTGACCTTCTTTTAGGCGTGCTTCTTACTGATGCAATGCGCGGAGAGGGCTACCAGAAGTTTCCTTGCCCTCATCGAAGTGGACCTTCAGAGGTACGGACCAACCACTACCACCCCGTCTTCATGCTTATGGTTCTCCAGCTCTGATGAGAGGACGAGACTCGAGGCGGTCAGAAAGATCGGTAGTCTTATCAACTGGCGATTCCAGATCATGTCGCAGAACTTTGTCGTCGACAGAGCCCATCGACCCTTCAAAATGGCTCGCCTACCCCTCCCGTTTGTTGCAACAGATATGGGCACGACCTTATACCTTCCCAGCGAAGATGCAAGTGATTCTCAGGAAAGCGAAATCCCTACCGAACTGCGCAAACAACTTGCAGAATTGGGATGGGGTGATGACAATGCTGGACCCAATGATCCTCAGCGCGAGCGTGAAAGGACTCCGATGTCACTACTACCGATCACCCAATTGGAGAAGATGGATTTTACTATCAGCACCATTGATTCTATGGCCCCAACGGTTGGTTCTGCAGCGTCGCCCATGCCCAGCCCACAACCTTCACCAGCAGTAGCGCCACCATCGAGACGACATCTTCGCCCAAGCAAACCTGATGGAGAAGAGGGTCAAACCAGCCTCCTCAGACGCAGCTCAACATCCGGGGGCCCGCAATCGAGCCATAAGCGACGAGCCATCTTCGTCCCACCTCTAACGCAAATATTCATCCGCCTTTCGAAGCTCATGTACGACCCCAACTTCCTCGTCGCGGCCGCAACGAGGGCTACCCTGCTCGACTTGATGCGAAATGATCCCCCTCTTCTCACCAGACCAGTCATGGATATGTTTGCTGGGGAACAGAAGGACATCGCAAGAGCAGTCGCTACGCTCTCGACGTACCTTCATGCTCACCAAGTCCTACCACCACCCATGAGCCACAGCATCTTCAACAACCTTATGGGATTCCTGAAGTACGCTGCACGCCAACTCGACGTTCCCGAAACACTGCACGAATATGCGCTCGTTCTACCAGTACTGGCTTCTGTCATCACACAGGTCAACGGGATGTCTATGCGAGAGATTCGACGATCGAAAACGGATCCATTTGTTGTGCCATCGGGAGCCTTGTGGTTCGCTGATACAGCTCCGAAGGGACCTATGTTTCCGCGAGGGTTTGACGACTTTGCCAACCCCTTCGAAGACGTTGCAACCCGTATTCTCTCCACGACTATGGTTCGAATATCACAGAACTTGTTGTTCCTCGCCATGCTCAAGCGGAATAGTCAAGATGTCACCCTGGTCCGCAAGAATGCGAGTCGGCTTGTGTTACCATCGTTATCTCGCGAGACGCTGGAACCTCGACCTCTAGAACTAGGCGATATGGTCCCTGATGCCCAAAATCAAGTGAATCCTCCAGAGTCGACATTGGAAACATTCTCCCTCATCTTCGCTAGGAGCCATCTCCTCCTCGTAGCCCAAGTGTTCCGTTCCATGTCCAGGCACCTCAGCGATCGTAACGAACTTGCTCTCTGGATCGATGGAATCAACAAAATTCTCTGTAAACATGGCCATGACATTGGAATTGTTGGACATGCACTGATCGGTGAGTGCTTACGAATCCCTTGCAATGTGTCTACATCTGACAGTCACATTTCCGTCAGCGCTTATGGTAGCGACAACTCGATTCCGGCGACTTTTCACCTCCGGGACGGCTTACACCCTCTTCATGCCTGCGCTTGTCAAGGTTTATGTCGAGTCGGCGACGCATCCAGGCATCCGCCCTGCGATCGAATATGCAGTCAATCGCTTCTACGCACTCCACTCCGAGTCCTTCCTCTTCCAAGCACTTGGGGTGGTTGGTCAAATGTCCCTGTTGCCAGGCATAGATGAGGCGGCGTTCTCCAAGAGCGTCTACGATCTTTTTTTTTCTCTCACGAAAGGAAGTTCAGTTTTCACTGTCGACGCTGCGGGCATCCATAACATCAACAAGACTCAAGAACGGGAGGCGTTGATCGTCAACACGGCTGAAGAGAAACCGCAAACGTTCCTGGCAAGCCTTAGGCGGACGGATTCCTCAACACAAACAACCCAACTCTCTCTACTATTTCCCGATGAGTATGAAGCCGAACGGTTACGTATGGACAACTTCGTCCGACTTTTCCTTACGGTCATCGCCCACGACATTACTATCATTCGCGCACAATACTACATGCGGCTCCTTCGACTTTTGACACCATCTCTTTTCCAGGCATCCGGATCCACGCGCAACGTTTTGGTCGAAGGCATCTCCGCATTGGCTTCCATCCTTTTGAAAGGTGGCAAAATCAGGACGGACGCGGCCCCACGTTCCACTGATGACTATACTCTCTTACCCGCCAACATGGAGAGCCATTCTTCCGAGCAAACCCGGACCCAAAGCGACCCAAAAGTCCTGCGGATGGATTATCTCCAACTCGTCCTCAGCTTTGGAAAAGCTGGAGGTGAGATATCGTCGAAGGTGTCTCGACAAGTCATCGAAATCTTCAAGCTCGTATTGAAAGACTCGAATAACGACAGTAACAAGACTTTGTCGGCATTCCTGTCCGACTTCGTCCAAACCGTCCTTTTCCCTGAACACCCTCCCGAACCCAAGGCCGTGGTGACATTCCTTCGGGACCTTGCTCCTATGCTCCATGCCTATATGGCTACCATCGATGTGACCGAGATCTTCCACGCCGTCCACCGCCTTACACTACTCCCAGCCTATGCCAGCAACCGACCATTTTCCCAGGTAGTTGTTGGCGAAATATGCACTGCAGGACTCGCCACCTGCGAATTGGCTGCATCGGAGAATCATCTTCAGACATTGGCCTGTAGGCCCGCTTTGATCCAGTTGATTGCAGAGTGCGTCTTCTTGGAGGGAGCAGATGTCATCGCAGAGATTGAGAAGAGAACGCCGACCTATGGTTTCCTTGCGGGCGTCGTCCTTCCCCTGGCCATTGCAATGAAAACCGAAGCTCAGATCAACGCCGATGGCTTGCGTACCCAACCTCGACATCGTTCAGTTCTGGCCAGCGGTTGGTTGCGACTTCTGTTCTATGTCATCGCGGCATGTCAGAAGAGCACAAAGGTGGAGGGGCTACAGAGGTCCAAATCAAAGGATAAGAATGCGCGGGGGGAGACAGCCTACCTACGATCGAAACTCCCGGTCTTCGTCATGGCGCTTCAGATCCTCAAGATTATCGTTATCCGCGCCGAAGTGGATATCTCTTCATCCATCCCGGGGATCTGGGAACGAATAGCAGCGTTCCTAAAGGCAATGCTGTCCGACGGCAACGCCGACTTCGCGGTTCGCCAGGAAATACCCTCTGCCTTCAACTCTGCCTACAATTCCCCAACCGCCTCACCCCGAGTCAGCGCGCAGTATCCATCGCTCGATCCATCACCTTCAGCATGGAGCCATCTGTCGACGATGTCCGCCGGGGTGCACTTTGCACTACAGGACTATACCTTTGCTCGTCCCCGCGTTATCGACTACATGTTATGGTCGGTTCTGGAGTTCCTTTGGGCGTACAGGACGCCACTAAGGTTGCAATTGCGACTCTTGACGACCGAGAAGATTGTCGCCCTCGACGTCGAGCTTCGCAAGGTCCAACGCGCACCAAACCTCTCTTCTCCTCGGAGACGGCCAGTTTCCTCAATATTCTCCAAGGTCCGTAATCGGGGGTCAGGATACGTTCCGTCTCCTGATGCCTCACCAAGACTTTCGCCCATGACCGGGCCAGCATTGCTGGAGCCCACACCTGCCTTTTTGGATGTTCGCCGACCCGGCTATCAAGTCTCTCCCATCTCCCCATCCGACAAACGTCCCTATGACGGCACTGGCCCTGGACCGCAGATCATCCACTTGGGACCGGCTTCGCCATCTGCGTGGCAAGGACCGCCATCTGCAGGGCTTCCAGGAGGCGGAGGGATGCGAACTGTCGTGCGATCGGTCAAGATTAAGTCGCTCAAACTGGCGGAAGCAACGTACCGAAGGATACGAGGCGTCCAGGCGTTGATGGGCTACGACCCCCTGTTGCCACTCCCAGGACAAGGACCAGAGGTGGAGGACGGTGTAGTTTTGAAGACGTGGACGATGAGCCAGGCTTTGACTGCTATCAACCAAGAAACAATGGATCTGTTGGAGGAGTTCGAACAGGCTGCCGCCGCAGAGGAGGATGATGACGACGACCTCGACGCGGTAAAGATTACCATCGAGGCTGCAGAGTCGGACACGGCCAGTGTCTCGACGTTGTTAAGTTGAACAAGTTTCGACAGATCGGTACATAGCATGACATATAGATACAATACACGGGATAACGACGATTATGCATGCTACGGAGGGCCTACTACTGTAAGGATATCACCACAATGCTAGTCAACAACAGGGGCCAAACCTTGACTCTATCACAAAAGTTCCAGCTAAAAAGCAAATGTCCATCCGCAATGGATTACTTAGAAACCCTTACGCCCAGCATACATGAAGCGTCTAAATTTCTTCCGTAGCTTGCCGTTATTCTCGTCCGCCAGTTTCCTTCCCAGCTTCACCCAAGACGGGATCGTCAGATCTTTCATCTTGTATGGCGCATACGTAGACGATTTGTTGACTTGGGGGTCCTGGAGCTCTTCTGGAAGGTTCCTGGGCGGTAGTGGGTAGACAAAGCTGTCCAGGTCGTCCTCCGGCGACGGGTGGAGTAGGGAAGGGTCGAACGTGACGTATTCCAGTTCGAAACGAGGCGGATGTGTCTTGTTCGCTTCGCCCAGGTTAGGGATGTTGTACTGCATACCACTAAGATCAGTATCCCACCGCTGCAATATAACGGAATCGTTCATTACCTGAGCATAACCCAATGGTGTCCAGTACTGGTTCAGCCTCGACGGAGACTTGGTGTCCGAGTTCCATGGCTCCTGCAAATGACACCTCCAAGTATTCTTGTACTTTGGTTCCTTGCAGTGCACCGACTTGTCACCTCGCTTTCCTCGTCTATGGCCATGCTCCCGTTTCTTTCCCTTCGTAATGCTGTAGGAAGGGTCCGTGATATTGTACGAGAAAATCCGGAAGCTTGGCAGGTAAGGGTTGGGGACCACTGCTGGGGCGACGTTGACGACCGCGTAGTTGTCCATCTCGGAGGGCTTGGGTTTTGGGAGTTCCGCAAACTCGGTGATGAGCGTATCGTAGAGAGCTGCATCGTTCCCGGTGATCCTGACTTTATTCTCTTCTTCGGGGAGGATTTGAAGGTCTATTTCCTCCAGGAAGAAGAACTGGTTCAGGAGGTCAGTAAAGGCCTTTTCGAGTTAGAGGTATAGGAGCGTACGTGGTCGACGTTCATGTGCTAGGGGAGGTGATCAGTACCACGTTGGCCTGCGATTGGAATTGAGGCTTACCCCAAACAGATGTCCGAGGATAACGTTCTGGAAGCGCAGTGCGAGCTCGACGTAGCGCACATACTGAATAGCAATCAGCAGATGGACAGGAGCAGCCAAAGAACGAACGTACACATTCCGGGAAGTAGTTGCCTGGAGAGGGCGGGACGTGTCCGATAATGTAGGTCTAGAAGGGTCCTGTCAGTATACAGACTCAATTGAAACTCTGTTCGAGCTCACCTGTAGCCCCCTGTGCATGAACTCCTTAAGTTGCACTTCCAGCCAGTCTAGCTGTAGGTTTCCAGGATCGTTGCGGTCCCGATAGGGGCAGCCATTAACCGCTAACAGGGAACAAGCAATCAGTTAAAAAGTCGTGCCAAATGCCAATAGGAGACGCACCCTTGTTCGAGTCGTAAAAGTACATGGTGTTAAGGCTGATCACAGCCAACTCGTCCGGCACGATCTCTTTAGCGAAATAGCCCCCGCGCTGGAAAACCTGCAAATATGGGAATGGGATATGCTTGGCCCAAATCCTAAAGATAGTGGTCAATGTTAATCATAGATCACGTTAGACGCCCAGCCGAATTCCTTACTTGGAGTACTCGTAGGTAATACTGTTCGGTCCTAGATTGAACACAAAGCAGGTAAGTAATCGACGCACGTTTGAGCGGAACCCCGCAGAGCCTGGGATTCGGAAGTCGATGTACTGACCTGGAGCCATGATGTTCTTGATGCCCGAAGAGTCCGGTTAGCAATTTCGAATGCGGGACGAGAGGGTCACAAAATGGTACTAACATGAGCTAAAAACGAAGAGGTCAGACGATCAGAAAAGGCTGGACTGGAACTGGACACTCACGCCATACATCGTTGTTCCCTGAGATCCGCCAATTCAGCGAAAAGTAAGGTATGAGCACAATACGCCGATAGCATAGCCTCCGTACGTACCGATAGTAGGAACCAGAGGGATTCCACGGGAAGAGAAGACCCGCTCCATTTTCGCCGCTACTGCTCTATTGAGGTCGTAGATCTCTGCTGGAGTTCTAGGAATCTGTCTGTCGTTGTCGTGTCTATCGCAACCGTTGTTGAGCCCGGATGTTTCTCCGCGCGCGACTTGAGCAGACTGACCTTGCATTATCGCCAGTCCCTAAATCCACATTCGATAAGCCTGAAAAGCATCGAAACAGAGAGGCGAGGACGTACACACGACAAAATCAATCTCGTTCCCCCAGTTCTTGCCAATATAGTCCAACGTAAAGTTGGTCAAACGCGTTGGAGCGTCACAATCTCTGTTAAACCCAGTCCGTCAAATCTCCTCGGGAATGCTACGCAGGAAAGAAGACGCACGAATACGGTGTTCCCCAATAGCCAGCGTTGTTCTTGGACTTTTTATTCCGCTTTCTATGACAAGCTTTCTTCTGGGCGGTGTTTGGTCGATAGTGTGGATCGGGGTGTATGTCGGTTATGTGCAGGAATCGGCCCTTTAACTTCTTGGGTTCTAAACAAAAAGTCAATACGATCGCAGAGGTTTTATAGTTAGTTGTTGAGTACTTACTGACATCAACCTCTGTTGCCTCTGAGGCAGTCAGAGGAACCTGGACAACAGCCCCCAGGGAGGCGCCGATCTCGAGACATAGCAGCAGACAAGTGACCGGAAGGACGAACATGGTTTCTAGGGGCGGAGGTCAAGGTGACCGCTTTGGCTTGTTGGCAGCTTTATAAGTAAGCGAGCAGCAGGACTCCTAAGCAAGACTGGATAGAGCAGAATCTAAACCCGCACACGTTCGTCAAATCCTTGATGCACAGATGTGGAGCGAAATTCTGCCTCTTCCCCTATTTGGCACCCGCATGGAAAAAAACAACACCAAATTAGATTTCTCTAGAAAAAAAAATTCCGATCACAACCAACCCCCACAGTCACGTCACCGTGAATTCGTGAAAGACTAATTTTAGTGTTTTGTCGTGGCGTCGGGCGTCGGTCGATGCGAGACCCTGCACCCTGGCGCTATCCATCGAAAAATCCAAACAGTTTTACATTACGCACGGGTATACATCTAAATCAGATACGCCTAGAAAGCATGGACGACAAGCAGGAACAGCGTGACAGCACCAACAATGACACCATGCATCCCACCATGTCCAACAGACACTGCGCTACCCTTCAAGTGAGTAGAGCGATTGGTATACGAGATCAAAGGTTCAGCGACGGTTTGGTTCGAACTGTAGACGTAGGACGTGAGATTGACACCCTGCTGCTGAGGAGGTGCGCAAAGAACGGTGACGGATTGGACCATCGCGTAGAATTGACCGGCAGCAACGTAGTCGGGGTCGTCCCAGTCGATCATGCCTCCGGCCCATTCGACGGTGCCAGGAGCGCTCGATTCGATACCAGCGGGCCAAATGCTATACACGCCAAGGTTTTCAGTAACCACATGGGACTTCGAGGCAAATTGGTTGACTTACGAGAGTTGGATTCGTGATGGGGTCGTTGGGTAGCGGTGAACGCCAGTTGCAGGATCCAAGGTGTCTTCCTTCCTGATAGTACGGATGATCTCGCCGTCGATACCCCAGCTCAAAGCATCAGGTTGCCAATCGATCTAAGGAATCATATCAGTACCAACCACCCCGAGGAAAAAGGTAAATCAACACACCGTATAATCGTGGTAGTTGGAGAAAGTATCAGTAAGTCCATCATGATAGCCACCAGCACTGGTCTCAGCTATTAAACTGGTCAGAAGGGTATATCACACATTCCCAACAAACCGGCACTCACGAATCACTCCCTGCCAGAAAAAGTTGCTCTGGCCCTCGTCGGTCTTAGCACCAGGGAACTCCCAATCAATTTCATCCTTGATATCACTCATCGTGATGAAAGCAGTCACAACGCCTCCCCACTTGCCCGTCTTCATCCTGGCAGTGATAGTGCCATAGTGCACATAACGAGTCGAGGAGAGCTTGGTGCCCTCGTTTTCTTTGGTGAGGGTCAAAGCGAGTTCAGGGCCGTCGGTTCCGTTGGTAACGAGGACATCGCCGCCTTCGAGTACCCAATCTATACAACGAAATTAACACTATCAAACTATGTAAAAGACAATCGTAACTCACCGTGAAGAAGGGTATCTCCCTGGTACTGCTTAACATCGACGATACGAGAAGTGTCGCCAAAGGTATACTGTAAAAGTCAACCTCGATTAACCATGCGCGAAGAGAAGCAAGTGTTGCTTACAGTATTGGATTGGCAGATAGGATTAGGCTTGCACGAATCCAGAGCTCTCGAAGAAAAGGGGTTGCAACCTCCAAGGCAGAACTAGACAGACAGACATCATCAACAACCGCCCCCAAGGGGTCAAGCAGCCAAGAAAAAATCTCGTACATGTCCAGTTCCACAGAACCCGTATTCACCTATCCATCATCAACGCGGCGCGGGAATTGTAAGCCGTTGAATCGAACACGACGACACGAACAGACAACTCACTGCAGCAAGGAGAAGAAAGCGGGCAGGGTGAGGTCTCGTTGCTGTAGAGGACATGCAAGAGGTTAGAGCGAGTGTATGACCAAAATCGCGAGACACGCACCAGGTAGCAGCTTCCGCTTGTCCAGCGAAGAAGCTCACCAGCAGGGGCAAGCCAATAGCAAACACCGAATGCATCTTTTGGCGTTTCCACAGGGGTATAGTCGTCGTTCGTAGGGACAGTCGAGGTTGTAATAACAACAAAAAAATCTGCAAAAAGCAAACATCATCAATATAAGCACTACTCTCCTTCTCCCGAACCGAATACGATTCGGGTCCCCCACAGTAATAAGAAAGAAGCTCACCTCAATCAACAAGACGTATTAAGCGCCAAAGAAAGCGAAAAGGTATACAGAACGAGAAAGAAACGAAAGGTCCAGCAGTCGATGGTCGGTTTGGTCGTGGTTGGGAGGCAAGAGGGGATTGGTGGGAAGTTTTGATTTCGTCGTCGGATGTTACATGGACGCATTTTCTTGGCCCAAGCTTTGTTGCGAGACTCCGGCCTGGGCATCGGGGATGCTACGCCTAAGAAATGCTTAGCGCCCAGGCCCAAGCCTGTGCAAGTGATGGTATTTTGCAAGGATACTGGGCCATGTCCCGACCTGACTTGCACCCTCTGAAGTTGGAAGACGAGGTTTCGAGGAATGGTTTGCATCAAGGCCAAATCAAGGCACGAGGGGGAAATGCCGGCGGTAACATGGAGGCATCCCACGTTTGATCCGCGAGTCAACCAAAGACGCCAAAACTTTAACCTTGAAGGTGCCCTCTGCGAAAACACATCTTCGCTGTCCTCTACACCATTCTTCAGAGAACCAACTGAGAAGCTAATTGGAAGAGTCAACGTACCAACGCTGTGCTACGAATCACATCAAAACCACATGTACCCAAAATTGAATTCTTATATGATTTGAAACGATTAGGTATTAAATAGTAGCGTTAACAAGGAAGAGAGACGGGGAAAGAGGTATGTATGGAAGTGCAGGGGATATCATCGTCAATTGGGATCCAAGATGAAAGTAGCGTGAACATAGTAACCGCAATGTAAAAGGGATAAGTCTAACCCAGGGAGTCCGGCGAAGACATGAAGACGAACGTTCGACGAAAAGAACGACCGAAAGACCCAAGAGGGAGCGAATAATTACAGAGGTGAGTCAAGATGAAAAGGATAGATGAATAACGAGGATGGGTCAATGAGGTCATTGGTAATGGGCTTGGCTCGACGGGTTCGGAGGCGGACGAGGCCCCAACTTTGGGCGAAGCCAAACGGGATGGTTGCATGGCAAGGCAAAGCGTCCAGACTCGGACTCCTTCATGAGGCAAAGCCGAGGGGGACAGTATGGTCCTGGTAGATATCTGGAAGCCATCCACAAGCGTGAGGGCATTCCCGCAGCTCCCAAATCACCGATCAGACCACCAACGTCGACGGTAACGGTGGATGGAAGTTGCTGGTCCCGCGTGCGTTCCAATGCTGATTCGTGGCCACGGGAAAGAGGATAGATAGAAAGGAGAGACGAAGAGGAACATGACCATCGTGAGCTCAAGTCTCATACTGGAAAGAACTTGAACCATCTACCTGCGAAGAATGATACGTCCCACTGGAATCATACACCGGAATTCTTGGCTTTTGTTGGACAGTGTGGGACACTGCGCTGCCATAGGCTGACGATGAAGAGGCGCAGGGCGAGGATGAATACGAATGCGCCGAGAACGAATTAGACAACGAACTGTCGTCGGCCACGGATCCCAAGGACAGACAAGGACTGGAGGAGCAGGGCAAAGCACAAAGACACGTGTTCCTCGTAGAGGATGGAGAGGAAGCTGAAGAAGGATATTCATTGCCATCACGCTGACCTGCGCCAATGAACCGCATCCCATCTTGCGGCGGGTGCAGCGTCAGCATGCCTGCTGCTCCATCATCTTCCCCATCGTCATCGTCAGAAATGTCCCCGCTTTCCGACACAGACTTCAACGACGCAGCGTTGGTCCTGCTCGTCAAACTAGGCGGCATCCACCGTAGCTTGAAAAACGGCGCTCGCGACATTTGGTGTCGAGGTTGCTGGTGGTTGCCGTCCGCTGTGGCATCGGTTTGGATGTTGGTGTCCACAGAGGGGCTGACAACGGGTGGACTGAATCCAACGACGTACGCCGCCTCAGCGGGCACATCGTTGGATGGCTGGGGGATAACACCATGCGTGCGCAAATGGCGCTTCGCGTTCGAGCGAACGCCAAAGGTGCGCGTGCAACCTGGGAAGCCGCATGGGTATGCTATAATCAAAACATGAGCCTTTATCTAGCTCCGGAATCATCAAACAAAACTCACGTCTGGCATTGTTGTGCGTGTTCATATGGGTCCGTAGGCCACTGGGCCTATAGAGAAACCGTCAACAAAATCAAAATCAAAAACAGAGAGGAAAGGTTTATCTCACCTAGGGAACTTCTTGTCACATATTTCACAAGTATGCATTTTCGATTTCTTCTTCTTCTTGGGAGGTAGTCCATCGGTAGGAGGTTCCTCGGAAGGAGGAGGAGATTGAGATTTCGACTCGTTCTGCGGAAGAGATGAACTGGAAGGGGATGGGGCACGCAGTTGGTCAATTTTGGAATTTGCATCTCGGTAGTGGGTAGATAGTGTCGCAGTACCCGGACGTTCGGGAACATGGGGTTCAATGGGCATCATAGAAGAGGAACATTGTTCATTTGGACTGTTGTTCTGTTGACCTGGAGGGAATTGGCTTTGAGAGACCCATTCGTCAGGCGATGCTCTACGCATGGGAATGGAGGTGGGGATTGGTGGGGGGATTGGAACGGGGACTTTTGGCGGGTTCGAATTATGATGTGTTTCAGGATTTGATAGGTTGAGGGAGGATACGTGACCAGTGGTGTTGGCGATATGAGGGTATGACATGGTTGAGAGTGAGGGTGCGGCGTGATTAGGGGATATTTCGGGGTTTTGGGACGTATGAGAGAAGGAATTCAGCGGTTGGGTAGCATCCTCGTGCAACACTCCCGAAGGCGTAGACGCTGATGCATAATCGGCGGGGTATGCCAAAGGTTGAGGGTGCGGCGGTGTATAAAAGCGTGGCGACGAATGGAATTCTAGAATTGAGCGCTTGCGGGGAAGCGAATGATCTAGAGGGATGGCCGACGAAGATTGACTTCCCGTTGAGGAAGGAAGAAAGCCACGATGATTGTCGAAGTGATTATGCCCATGAGCGGGGTTCAAACTTGTTGCTAAATGTGGGGCATTGATCGTGCTTGGGAGGCCAAAATCCAGGCTCTCGGTTGTTGATTCGTGGAGCGGCGTGCGCTGGCTTGATTCTGGGTATACATTGAGTCGCGAGTCAGGCCCAAACCCATGCTGACGGTGGTGGTGGGACGCTGAAGTATACAAATCTTGACTGTATGACGGAGGCTGTGTGCATTGGCTCCCCTGGTATAAATTTGGATCCTGGGGTGACTGTGTCACGCCTGGGTATGCAGAAGAAGCGCGATGAAGATGGGGAGCCCCATGGGTTGTCGACGTGGTGGAGGCAACAGAGTACGGCACGTTTGAGAACGGCTTGCCGTCCATGTCAATGAATTACAATAGGTCTCTTCGAGGTGTTCCGTCAGATAGACTTCTTCGCTGATCGAGAGCCAGATTGAAGACTTACAGAGTATTTACGCGTTCGTTGGAGGAATTGGCAGTCTGCGACGGTGCTCAGCAGTTTTCGTGGCACCAAGTATACAGAATGCGTACCTCGTCAGGCTATGGGTAGGCGACAAAGTGCTGTCGGCCAGCATAGTGCGCTGTGTGAACAAGGGCTAGCCAACAGCTCGACATGGGAAACTCACCAACGATTGACCTCTGAGCGGACTCGGAAGCGGAAACCTAATTTGGTTTGAACGACTCCAAGTCGCGACTTTCACAAGTCGGTTTATATATTTGCAGGCAAAGTCGGGGGTTGGAGCGTTTTATACTGACAGGCGCGGCTCAGAGGAGGTGCAAGGAGGTGTCCAACAGGGAATTAGAACCAGTGGACGTGGCTCCAGCATCTCGATTTCTCAGCACCTGCCACCACCCCATTCGGGTCGCATCACTTCAGTTACATCATCCTTCCTGATTTCACCTATTCAGAGTATAATGAAGTTACTGCAAAACCGCCCTGAAAGCTCGAGCAGTTCACGAGAGTATCAGTATTCGGCAGCGCCAGCATGCCCAACTCCACCGAGAGGGAACGAGAAACGCTTCCTCCAGGGATATACAGGCACACCGTCCAATCCGGGCACGCGCCGTCGAGACGGTGCACACAAGGATTGCATCGTGACTTTGGCGCCGTCTGACATCGGTAGTGAAAATCGACACAGTCTAGACCAGGGACCATCGTAGAATTACTTATGCGGAGTGTTTTACGCTCCATTGGCGGGTGGGAACGCGCGCACCGCCACCGATTTACGCTCGGCCGCGCCGAGTGATGCCGGGAGGCGGCATCAAAAGCGCCCCGCCGTGAGAACCCCCTGAGCGCGGTAAGCGCCCGCTGTCGTGGCGACCCGAAATCGCCTGCGGGCGCGGGTGGGCCTCGTTTCCGGGGGTAATTTGCCTCAGAACATGTTCCCCCACGTCTTCTATGTCTTTACTGTAGGATAAGCCCCATGTACTATGTAGAACATGCAAAATATACTGTTTTTTTGGTCTATACTTCATCCTTCCCCCAATCTAAGCTATTCCCTCACTCCTGAGCTGCAGGATCAGTCAAATGAGTGGTAAATAAGTGAAATAAGTGCGTTAAATAGCTTATTTTGCTCGATTTACGGTAAATCCAGTAAATCCAGTAAAACAAGCCGCTCGGTTTTACGGTGAGCTGGCTTGTGTGTACACGCCCATCAGGATCGCGCCTTGGACCCGATTCGTTCTCCATCGACGGCGAAAATTGATGAGGCTCCCCGTTCTGCATCACAATTTTTTCTTCCCGGCTTCGCCGGGGTACTCCTTGCGGTCCATCCTACCTTGCCATTTCAGCAGTATATACTACATAGAACCATAGATGTACACAGCTGTTCATACTGTTAAATAATACCCATTACAACGCAAATGCCGGGCCCTTGGTGGTATTCATAGCCGTCATTGAGATGTCCTGCAGAGGGCCGGCCTTACGCGCTCGCTTACGGAGAGGCTCGGTGATTGATGGGATGGCCCAACACCAAGCCTCCTTGTACCTCCCCTTTCGGAATCCGAATCTCCCACCCAAACAATGCCAAACGTTCTGATTTACCGTGCCGCGGTAAATCGAGCGAAATGTAGCTACTTATTAGGGCACCGAAGATGCTCCAGTTAGCCTCGACGGTCCCGCTGTTCGTGTCCCCAACTTTGCCTCACAAGCTATGACTTCATAACCGCGACATTGAGGGGGGTCTTTGCTCTTCTCCACCAATCCGAAAGCTTTACCGATAAGCTCGACCAACGAAATGTCTTCAATGCAGCCTGTATTTTCAGCACTATCCATAGCCTTTCCAATGAGGTCATGGCGTTTGGAGAACCGAACTGGCTATCGTTGTACAGCTGGGTCTTCCTAACCTCGTTGCCGCTGCTATCTCTTTTATGTAATGTCCGTTACCGGACAATGGAAGTGGAGTGAGTTTCTCCAGAACTTCACATTAAGCTTGTGCACGAGGCGGCCGAGGCTTCAGAGCGGGCTATTCTCGAATTGCTCCCGACGGATCATGAACATTGCTCTAAACTTACACAAACCACTATCTTTCTCTTTACTTTCAAACAGCATCTCCTCTGACCAAAGGTAGGAGGCATTTTCTCTTCCCAGAAGACTGCTGATGAACCTTTCTTCCAAGTCAGGCGAATCTTGCGTCCTTTCTCGCGTTTTCACGCCATTTAGTCCCTTTAATTAGCCGAGGTAAGAAATCCAATCCAGCAACCCCGTTAGCGCGTTCAAGCACGAATCTGAAATCATGCATAAAGATCTCGGATTCCCAACCGCAAACACCGATGATGACCACCGTCCAGGCATCTCTAAGGCTCCAAAAGCGATCCTTGCGGAAATCACTCTCCGCGACGCTTAATCTCCTCTCTCAAGAGTCTATCCGACAGCAATGTACGTGTTTGTACGTACTAGCCGCCCCATTCTGCCTTCTGCATGGACTGGGCCTCCAATCCAAACGGACGCTGACCTTCCTTCCTTGTGAACCACCTATTGGGATGCAGCAAAAGCTATCACTGAAAGGGTAGTTTCGTTGCCTCAGTTCCAGGGATCAAGAGGAGTGAGCTGTTATCTGAGTATGCCCGCTGGAGAAGCGTCAACGTCGGACCTGGTCTCTTCGATTCTTTGCCAATCAGGTACGTCGATCGGGTTGAAGCGCCCTTCCACCCGTGCACCACTTCCGGATCAAGCAACCGTACTGACAAGTTTGGTAACACCTATCATTTACTCGGTGCTCACTTGATTCTTTGGCTCTGTTGGTTCTGGCACCTGTGGGGGCCTAGACACTAAGCAGCTGTTCGTGCCAAAGATTGTGAACAAAGATGGTATCATGGACTTTTATGAGATTTTCAATGGGGAGGATTTGGCTTCTCTGCCGAGTGGGACGTGGGGGATTAAAGAGCCGGACTCGCACTGGCAGGAGAAGGCTCGGAAGACCGGTCAGTACGGGTGCTTGGATTTTATTGAGCGCCTAATCTGAAACGTCTTTCCTTTCTGGAATGTAGCCTTGACGACCGAAGCACCAACTCTTGATATGATCCTGATGCCAGGCAAGTACTACTCGCAAACCTTTCGGCACGGCTATTGCAATTGTAGTCAACTCTTTATCTAGGTGTCGCATTCGACCGTTCATTCTCGCGATTAGGACATGGAAAAGGGTACTATGACCGTTTCATCTCGACTTACGTCGCGAGTGGAAGGCCTAAACCGCTGCTTGGTATGTATATATCATTCCCTCGTGCAACAACCGCGATTTTGGCTGACACAAAGTTCCCCGCGGATCCAGTGGCTCTTGCACTAAAAGAGCAATTACTAGAAGCGGACTCGGTGCCTATGGGTGAACACGATTGGAAAGTGGATATCATTGTAACTCCAGAGGAAGTCCTCGTCAACAATGATGTCGGGGCTAACGCTCGAGAGCCTACACCGGAGGTTGTTTAGGCAATAGGCTACTAATGGCATGGGTGTTGGAGCTGTGGGGCCTGCTTATTCCACGTGTTGCTGTGAGGAAGGACCCCAAACGATAGTTTTCTTTAGGTGTATGTAAGGCTGATGCCTGATATTGTGGTCCGCCTTGGACTAAATTCGAGTTGACCGTGCAATGATCATTAATGTCACAATTCTGCCAGAGTTCGACGAGTGTCAATCTACACAGCGTCTATGGTATCGATTTCAATCCTCAGCCATCGAGTGGAGGTTAGAGCGACATGACAGTCACCGCCTGGAATCGAACACTCGACCGCCGCGCGACAGACAGGAGTCCTCTTGACCAGCGTTCGCCACAGTAACAGGGGCAAGCAAACCCACATCAAAATTGACAGCCCGGGACCACTGCGCTCTTTCCCTCGATCCTAAACCTGTCGTTCCTGCGTTGACTTGTTCGGCTATGGACTCCCTAAGCCCCCTTATCTGAAGATTGGGCTTGGTTCAATGTAGCCAAACCTGTCTCCAAATTGGACCCCAATGGGACCTGGCAGTGAGATGGGAACCTGTGTGGCAGCCTCACCCAGCTGGTATATCGGTTTTACAAAGCTGGTGTGTAGCCAATCTCGCTTCTTCACATGTACCCTTCAATGCACTGTCGTTGAAGGGCCCTATCGGTGCAACCGTTGTCGTGCAGGGCGGCCACCCTCTGAACTATTGCAGCCTGACCAGGTGCAGACCTTGTACGCCCTCGTAGCCTTGGATGTACGACTCACCCCTGGCCAGGTGAAACGTATCGCCGCGATATGCCATGCTTGCCTGGCCATTCCGAGGACTGACACTGTCGTCTCACCGGAGTGTATCCTTGACAAGATCTCACCACCGAGTTAGCGCGACGGTCATGGGTGTCCGCCTACGAGGGGCTCGACGTTTCTATCTGCAGCTTTTAATATATGGTTTTGATAATTAGCTGACCCAGTCCGATACAGACCACGTTCGCAGCGCTTGATCCTGCACCAGGTACTTAATTCATGAGTCGTGCTTTTACAATCTATAGTTTCTTCCCGTAGTACTTCGCTACACCACGCTCGTCCTCTTTGTACCCTTCGTGGCCAGCCCACGCCGGTAGGGTCTCGTTACATATGGGAGGCTGACAACTGCCGCCTTGATCAAGCCTTAGTTTCGTGGCTCGCAAGTTGCTGACCAGCTGTTTGACAGGACAGATTCCCCTTTGGAGACGCGCGGGCGAGCTGTTGCACTTTGCCTTCAAGTAAAATCGAACTTCAAGTCCAGCGCCAAGTACGACGTTAAGCACCAACTTCCGATTTGGAGGAGTTGGGCTGAGGTTAGTGCTGTTATCGCCAACGGCTGCGCTGATATTAGCGCTATCGGTGCCATGTCTCTGGTGGACGACGCCTGCTGGTCCGCTCAACCTGGACAAGTTGGAGACATCAATTGCTGCAATACCCTTGACGTCTACTTCGATAGGCGTCCTGGCGTTTAAGGCCTTGGATGGGCGACTTTATTGACAGGCACCACGTATCTTGCGATACGTGCGTCTGACCATTGAATAGTTTCTATTCTTGTTCAACTCACCAGGACTTGACATATTGTCGTCTTGGAGGATTCTGTCGTGTCACGCCACTGGGACGTAACATATTGTCAGATATTGTCGTCCTGAGGAGTCCATCTTGGACAGGCCCGTGCGCAGTATCAAATTCCTGATGTCAAGTGGCATACGAGGGGCCGGGTTTCCGTTTGCTGGTCACTCTGTGGCGGTTGTGGTTCTTGGAAGCGTGACTGACTGCTTTCATAGGCCTACTTCCTGTAAATCTCGCCCATCTATCAAGCCTATGAAGTCTGAACGTTGAACAAGCATGTATCGTCGTGAGTCATACTTCTCGAAGCGCCCCATCAGTTTTCTCCCTCGAGCCCTATCGGTGCTGCGTCATCCTCGCGGATGAACCTCCCATCGTTCAAGGATTCTGAGGGCACAGGCCGAGCGCCCTCGTACCTCGACACCCCCGGGGTGTCCTGGTCCGGCGTCCGGCAGGTCATGTAGGCCAAGCGTGGTGAATCAGATGCGCCCGCTGCCTCAACCCGAAAACTAGACCAAACGTCGTTGCGGGGGTCTGTCACGGTCTGAAAGTAGACTAAACGTCCTTTCGACTCGCCTTGTGACCCTTCATGGATTCGGTAACGCCGATGGATCCAGCTGCATACGAGGGGCTCTTAATGTCAAATTTCAGCTATCGTCTTTTCGTGACTGACCAATAGTCGACAGGTGCATCAAATGATATGAAGGTATCGACTTGAATCGGAGGGTGGTCCTATGCGCCGTGGACAGTCGAAGCCACTCTGTGCTCGCCAACGGAATAGGCTCTGGTTCTCGACTTCGACGCTGTGGTTGTACGCACCGGATCCAGATCAGTGGGATACTTTGCTCAGGGACACCTCCAGGCATGTAGGATGACATGGCGAAGGAACACTCTGATTCGCTGAGTGATGGTGGGCGTTATGTTTCTTCTCGCTGCATCCGCAGGAATACTCTTCGAATCGGGCCCTATCGGCGCAACGTCGTCCTGGAGCACGGCCCCCGCTGAACGGTTGAAGCCTGACTAGGTGTAGCCCTTGAATGCCATCGCACCTTACAAGCATCCGCGAGGATGGCTTCAAGGGTGGGGTGGCCTTGGATAGATGGCTTAAGCGCGGGGTCAAGTTCGTCGTGTGGCTATCAACCCGCGTCTGCTTGATCATAACCTGAACTTAACCAAAGGTTGTTCAGGAGTCTATCCTCGCAAAGTGTCTTCAGCACAGCGTTAGGCGCGACGATCATGGGTGTTAAGTTGTGCACGAGGGGCTCTACGTCCATTTCTATTGGTCACAGCGCGTTCCACTACCGAGTTGCTGATTAGTTCGATTCTAGATTGGCCCCACTGCATATCCGTTCCACCTGTCCTGGCGGCAAAATACTATGCCTTCGAGCCCTAGCGGTGCATGTCGCCTCTGTGGGCGAGCTCAATCGTTCATGGGTTTCGAAGGGCATGGGTCGAGCGTCATCGTACCTTGACAACCCTGCGGGGTATCTTGGCCTGACGCCTGGTGAATTGTGTCCCAATGGACCAGTGGACAAGTGAAGTGTATTTGTTACGCCCACCTCCACTCCGGAACTCGACTCACTTGTCGTTCTGGGATTTGCCAGAGTCCAAAAGTCGACTCGCCTGTCCTTTTGACTCGCCCCAGGGCCCTTTCTAAATTCACTGACGGCGATGGGGTCTACTTGCATACGAGGGGCTCAAGACATTAGTCAGACGGCTTGTTGGTTGGTTGGTTTCTTGAGAGTACAAGAGATCCGTCAACTTTTGCGCCTGGCTCACTAGCCATAGTAGGAGAAGTGCCTATCCTTGTAGAATTATCTCGAGGTAGCTCTACTTGAGTGTGACATCTTTGTAATTTGCAGTTATTGCAATGCATGGGCCCCAGAACACGCTTTTTCACCTGGCCCCTAAGTAGTCGGGACACCTTGTCGAATCTTCAGCCGCATAGTCTAAGTCCTTTGGCGCCCGTGCTGTTGGTTCGAGCACGTGAACGAAAGACAAACATTGGTAAGCAAGGTCGCATTAGTAGTACAAGCTTCGCTTGCCCGTGCCTTCGGCACAGGGGCGGTGGTTAGGGTCGGGCTTCGCCCTCCACTGACAGGAATGGCGGGGAAATAATTGCTGTGTACTCGCTGGCGCCCGCCTGCGGCGGGCTTTCGCTCGTACACGGGCCTGTGGGGATTTTGCGGCGCGTGAGGATTCCGAAAAGGGAGGTTTATTGCTGACATAATTATTACATAACATTGCTTTGTCAGCATTTCCGGTGTGCTTTCATGTATAGGACGATTGGGAGCAGCAACGGACCCACTGATTACTCACTGCAACCCTCTCACGCACAGACTTGATCCATATCGTCGACCGTCGCGCTGCCCACTCTTGCGGTGCTCATACGTTCGTTCAGAATGTGTGTCCGACTGGCGCATCCGGCTGGCCAGCTTCCTCAAGACCCGTTGAAAGACCTCATCATCGGTCGCATCTGCACGGTTTTCGCTCGAGCCCGGGGGATGACTGCATTTACGAGTTTCCTCGGTATTGCTGTGCCAGGAGTGGTGGTTTAAGGCCGGGGTCTATTCGTCTTTATAGTTACCTTTCAGGCACTGGCGTAAAACTGCGCGGTTGATGCAACTTTTGGGGCTTATCGGCGGCCTCTCGTTGAAGTGTAAGTATGCGTCCTGGTGGTGACACTCGACACCCGAATACATCGGTTGCTGGAACCTGAGAGGTGACGATGGACTTCAGTTCATTGGTCGTCTTTCTGGGAGGACAATGTGCTTCCCGCCATCGATCGACCAGGGCCTCGGTAGGCAACCAAACCAGGACGTCGTTAGCTGGGATGCGTCGATGTGTTGAGATGCTCATGGATCAGGTCAGACTTGGAGGGCCTGCTACGACACTCCACCATGGAGAAATTTTTGGAATTCTTTACCCACCGTCTGGTGGGGATCGCTGTTCTGGCGAATCGCTCTGGCGGTGGAAAGCTCCAGGTGAGTTCCCCCTGCTCAGTCAAGGTTCCTTTGGCATTTAATGATGATTTCCCATCGATTGCCATAGTTTTTGTTCGTCTTGATTGTGGCCTGGTGGTGATGAAGAAATATACGCGGCAAGACCTTTCGACGAGCAACATGTAGAACACATGGCCGCCGACGTGGATATAGCCGCTCTTGCCTCGTGCAGACACTAGTAGGATAAAAAGTAATTTGGGCGAAAGATACAACGTAATGAAGTGCTCAGAGACCAGTATTTTATGCGAGAACCTAATACTCTCCAGAGATTTACTCTCAAGAGCGCTAGTACATATCACTACTTCAAAGTTTACAACTCTTTTTTCAACTTAGCTGGGGTCATCGTTTTGATAGCCCCTAAAGAATCACGCCAAGGTAAACGCGGTGTCGTGGTTCCGTGACGCGGTCGCGTCTTGCCAACCCGTCAGTCTCTTTTTCCCACCGTCCTGAAAGGGCCTTTGTCGCTGTCGACGACGACGAAGATTCAGCCGTTCAGCCACTATCTTGCCCATGCTCTCATCCAAGAATTGCTGAAGACGACGACGAGCAAATGGGTATCACAGGCCTCTTACCGGCATTGAAGCCTATTCAGAACACCAAGACCCTCGCCGAACTCAGTGGCAAGACAATCGCTGTCGACGCCTATGTATGGTTGCATAAAGGCGTATACTCATGTGCAACAGACCTAGCACTGGGTAAGAGCACGACGCGGTAAGATTTCACCACCCTGCGTGTTATGAAGGATGACTGACTTTGGGTTCTTTGTGGCAGATATGTTAATTATGCCATGGACAGGGTTCATATGCTACGGCATTTCAAGATTGAGCCCTACATCGTCTTCGATGGTGGACCTCTGCCAGCAAAGAAGGGCACAGAATCTGAGCGCAAGAAGAAACGTGAAGAGAATCTGGCAAAGGGGAAAGCCCTCGTAGCCCAAGGGAGACATACTCAGGCGAGGGATTGCTTCAATAAATGTATTGATGTTACGCCGCAAATGGCGTACCAGCTCATCAAGGTGAGTGATCCGCCGCAGCCTGAAGGGTGTTGCTGAATGTAGCGAATATCAGAAACTACGTGCAGAAGGTGTCCAATATCTCGTGGCACCCTACGAGGCCGACGCCCAACTCGCCTACCTCGAACGTATCGGATTAGTGGATGGAATCCTAACGGAGGATTCTGATCTCTTGGTCTTTGGTTGCAAGAGCGTCTTCTTCAAATTTGACTCCACCAACTACACTGTCGTTTCGATTGAACGAAAGGACTTTGCAAGCGTTGTTCCCCCCAGATCCGACATTCACCTCGCCGGCTGGACCGACGTGCAGTTTCGATCCATGGCGATCCTCAGTGGCTGCGACTATCTCCCCAGCATCCCAGGTATAGGCCTCAAGACGGCGTGCAACCTTTTACGAAAGTACAAGACGGCTGAAGCAGTCGTCAAACATCTAATTTTCGAGGGCAAGAAGAAGGTACCACCAGGATATCTCGAGCAATACCACTTTGCAGAGAAGTGCTTTCAACACCAGAAGGTATATTGCCCGCTGCAAGAAAAGCTGGTTCCACTCTATCCAGTACCCGCTGACTGGACCCAAGAATATGAGGATTATTGCGGAGGGTATGTCGCTCTTTGGCTGTCACCGCATTGCATCTGACCCACTGTCGTAGGGACTTGGATCCAGCTCTAGCCAAGAAACTGGCTATGGGGGATGTTGATCCACATACGCTCCTGCCAATGAACGACATCAACCCCGGTTTCCTTCCTGGTTCGAAGAAACATGCCGCGGCCACCAAGCCCGTGAGCCATAAGGGCAAGGGCAAGCAAGTCCAAACCACGAAAGAAGTGAAGTCTGCATCCACCGGAGGGATCCTCAACTTCTTTGGTAACATCCTTCATGTGCAATGTCGCAAGCGGAGCCCTGACTGTTTCATGGCCAACAGGTGCCAACCCCATTATACCGCCTTCGAGCTCCAAACCATCCAAACCATCCCCCCTTACAGTGAAGCAACCGAGGGTGGTATCGGCAGGACAGGCCAGCGGAAAACGTACACTCGCCGAAGTCATGGATAGTGACATCTCCCGGAAGAAGCAGAAACAGCGACAAAACTCTCCCATGAAGGCCACTGCGCAGTCGCGATTCTTCGGGCAACAGGGCGTCAGACAAAGGAGTGTCAGTCTACCCATGCAGCCGCACGACCTCGATGGCGCCGCCGGCCCGTCACGCATTCGTGAGCAAGAGAAGGAGAACATCGTTCCTGGAGACGTCGATGAATATGACGCGTCGGACCTCTCCATGTGCGCCCAGGGCCGTCTTGATTCGGAGGTCGACCTCGACTTTGATCATGAGCTGCCAGTGGCAGAAGTGGAGCAAGAGGATGGTTACATGTCCCCTCTGGCTCCATTCTCCCCCTCCCGCGATGCCCATCATGATTTGTCCTCGCCAGTCCACCGGACTAGATCCACACCTCGACGCTCTGAATCCAGTCCGAACGGCCAGTTTTTTCGTCCCCGCTACCAACGAGACCCCGAGGAGGAAGACGACTTTGGGGAGGTTTTCTCAAGTCCAACGTCAGCGAACCGTCGAAATCGGCTTCGCTCTTGTTCTCCTCGCTGCCTGTCTTCTCCTGTTCATCATCGCGATGGTACTCCGCCGCCCATACTGTCCATGGACGTCCAACAACGGCAGAGCGCATCTCTAACGATGGAACGCGTCCTAGTGGCGGATACGCCCGTGGCCAAGCGGCTTTTCGTGGAGACAACGACCTGCGAAGCGTCTACATCACGCAGAGTATCCCTGGATCTGAGGGGCAGCTTAGGGATACCACGTCCGGAGCAGGATGATGCTGAGGGTTACCTGGAAGAACCAAGTGGCTCCACGACGCCTCCCACCTCGACCCCGGAAACGCCTATCCACGTTCCTGGAAGTCAGGAACCCTCAGTGGTCATCGACGTGGATGAACTCGACATGTTCGACATCGAGGAGCAGATGCTGCGGGACGCCCATGCTAGGAGGGATGCCGTCATGAAGGGATGGCGCGAGAAGTGGGCACACAAAGGACCTATCCCCAAGTCAAAGGCTACGACTGGTAGCAAGAACATCCAATCCTCCTCCAAATTGAAAGGCAAGGCCAAAATGACCAACCCTCCGGCTCTGAAGCGCAGCCATACGAACGTAACACCAGCTGGGCGATTTGCTCTGGGTAAATCGAAGGGTAACTCTGCCAACTCTTCTGACCAGAAGAAACCGTCGAGCACGAGATCTGCGAAGAGCGAGAAGAGGGTTTCAATGGCTGCGTTGAATTTCTTCCAACCTAAGAAGGTTGAGCAAAGGCATACCATTTTTGTTGGAGATAGCGACGACGACGAGATTGTGGTCGGTTCTTCCCCGGTAGCTCCCACCAGGACGCACCACCAGATTCGAGATGAAGTGCCCACCGTCAATAATCTCGCTCGATTCCGGTGAGTTAATCTCCTGCCTCGAGCTGCAAGTACTCTTAACAATACCGCTCCAGGTATGGATGAAGGCTTGTTGCAAGCGACCCCGCCGATTATGTCGGATACCTTTCCTCCACGAGTGTTGTTCACCGCGCTATTTTGCTTTCGAAATTCGATCTACAGGACAATCATACTGCCATTATTGCATTACGTAGAGTATTCAATTCGATAGATCTGTATGTTCCAAAGATGACCATAAAGCCTTTGTATATTATGTGCCAAGCATATGAAAACGCATTGGATAATTCAACAGTGTAGTGTTTTGTGATGTGGTTGCCCGAGGCTTCCTATGGCAAAGGTAGGATAGAATGGACGATCAGAGCTCCTTCTCTTTTCGATTGATATCTTTTGTAAGATGCGTTCCTCGAGGTCGTTGGTATAGCACTCGGTTGACCATGCCGATTGGGATGTCGTAGAGCTCGGGGACTGCACCAGGTTTGGTGGACTCTAGGTATGCGTTGCGGCCATCCTCCCACTTGGGGTATATAGTGTAGTCGTCTGTGAGAGACAGAACCGTGTTAGAATTCCCGTAAATCGACGGACTGCCTCCACCAGCGCACCTGTGATACTCCTCGCCTCATCGAAAGCAGGCGTACCAGCCAAAGCCAGAGTCATATATGTGAAATATGTAAACAAAACTGCCATAACCGTCCAGGAGGGTATCAGGATAGCCCATTCTCTGCACAATATGCGAGGTCAGTGTCCCAGATATAGCACCAAAAACAAACAGAAACGCGCACCGATTGGGGTACCATGTTACGCCAAACCATACAATCCAGTCATCGGGTAAGATAGCCCATAATAGATAGACCACAAAGAGGATATAAGTCGATGTCCAGGCTACAAAGCCATAGAACTCAGGTGCCCGGCTGCGCGTCTCCACTGGTGGCCAGGCCCGCGTTGTCGTCGTGGTCGGTGACGTGGATGGTAGGTGTTTGGCATCTCCAGGGCATTCCACGAGCTTATCTGCCATAAGGCATTGCTCAAGACAGCCTTTCCACAGAGGTCGCAGGCGCTTGCGACGAGAGATGTCCGACCGTCGTCCCAGGATGTGGTGGTCGTCTGCAAACCTTCCTCTCGATCGTCACCCTTGGCACGGTCCAGTTTGATCGGCCATCCAAATAGATACCGGGCCTGTTTGGCTGTTCCTTGATAATCTAATAGGTTTCAAAGTAATCTAAGCGCCCGAGGCGCAAGTTTGATTCACCGCAGTGGATTAAAGAGAAAACAGGGAGCTAATGTACATCCTACGGAAGTCAAAGGTATCGCGTAATATCCAAACGGAGAGGTAGGTATCGCAATCGGAAACACGTTGACGCTTGGTCATGACTCATAAACAAGTAGAAAACCATTCCTGAAACAGCAACCCTGTGTACAAATACAGGGCAGTTTTGATCCAAAGCGTAGGCATAATGCAGAGAAGCAAGAGTCATGGCGTGAGTCTAAGCAATGAGCGGTCAGAATGTTGGATTGAAGCCTCCTTGGACACGGCGAGATTGTTGCGGTTGGAATGCGTTTCGAGGGGAGCCAGCTCGTGAGGATCTAGTCGAAGTGAGCTCCTTCAATGGCAAAAAGATGACAAAGAATCTGACCTGGATGATGCATGCCTTTCTTCGTACCGTTCTTTATATCCTTGGGCATATGGGGCTGGAGTGGAACGCAGTGCCTCACGATGGAAGTGATCTTCGTGGTTGTCCCTACCGGTGGAGCCAAAAAAGGGTGACGGTGCCCGAGAAGCGGTATACGAAGGAAAAGCGTCGAAGCGGGTATCTAAGGCCGTTCCAGCAGAGAGTCTGAGATTTCCGGCATTGTCGCCAAAGGATGGATGTACAAAGTGGACCTCGACTGGGCGGTGAGTATCATACGTTTGTCCGTTCAAAGTGTTCCTAGCTTCGATCGCAGACTCCGAGGATGCATATTGGACCACGGCAGATACGGTCTCAGAACCATGGATAGGGACTGTGTGCATTCGTTCGATCCTGCCGAAGGGACAGAGAAGGGGGTGTAAATCCTGAGCCTGAGAGAACAGCAAAGCAGGGAGGTTGGTAATCAGCAGGGCCGTTGTGGGTATAGGGCTATTGACGATGGCGCCAGAATTCGAGCCAGGTGGAGTGGATGAATATTCAGAGGTATCAGAGCCCGAAGACGAATAGTTGTGTCGGTCACGATAATCCACGTTAGACAGATGGGAAGGCCTTGGTTCCAATAACATAGCTCTGTCGCCACCATCCAGAAAACCTACAAGGTGTTAGGTAACTTTCGAAAAGAAGAAACATGCATTACCTTGGGAACGTTGAACTACTGCCCAGGAGACGTCAATGGTATGTCCTCTGGGAAAGGAGGCCTGATTAGAGAGTGAAACGTTGTACTAGAGAGGACTAACTTGATCTGAGCACGGGTAAGGCCCGTCAAGGCGCGTTTGGCCTCTTCATGGCTCGACATGACAACAAAACCACGTCGCCTGGAGGAATTATCGACAGTGGCCAGGATAACACAGTGCACGACAGTTCCGTATCGCGAAAATAAATTGCTGAATTCCGTCCTAAACGAAACAACGTCAGTGTTTCTCTCTCTCAGGGTGACGTGAACACCGGACTTGGTCAAGGCGAACGGGAGTCCGAGAACGTAAAGATTGCGACGGTCGTCCAAAGAACGCCTTGGGCGAGTCGGAGGGGAGCCCAGGGGAGTAACCTCACTATAAGAGCATGTTGTCAAACCCAATTAACACAGCAAGATAAGTGTTACACACAGACTGCAACCACCGATGGAATAACCGTTCAGACACAATGCTTTCCTGGGAGTGTTGTCAGGTTTATAGCACGACAATAACAGCAAACTTCATACGTGGCGAGGTCGCGGTGATAGAAGGAAATATCCAGCGAGGTTCGACAGTCGGAGCTCGATTCTTGAAAGTGGCGAATCTCGCCTAGAGCCAAATGATGTTTAGGGCCCGGGTAACTGTCAGAGGAGGCATTGTACAGACCTATGAGCGATTTAAAGAGCGAGATGATTTCCCCGACTTCGACTGGTCGGCACAAAGGCGGGTTAGCCCAACGAGGGCCGCCAACAGCTACAAGGTCATACGCACTATGGTTTGGGATATTCTTGATCTGGACGGTCGTGGATGGGGGAAAGCCAGCTGAAGAACGGTTGGATGCGTTGGGCGAGGTGTTGGTTGGGGCCATCGTCGACGACTTCTCGAGAGTAATTCCCTAGAATCGCGAACCAATGGTGGTGGTTAAGGAACAAGCGGGAAGGCGCGTCAATTGAGAGATTATAAGGGCCGGAGATCAATGACATCCGCTTCCCACGGATCCTGCCATTTACCTCCGTCACTCTTCCTTGCATAGTTCTGGTCATGCCAATAATGTCTACGGGGCCAGATGTGCCACCATACCAGATTCAGACCCTCTTGAACGATATATTTAGTGAGTCCTTTGTTATTCTGCAATAGTGGATTCTAATGACAAGTTCATTGAAGCGCAGACAAGTTCGCAAATTACATGTGCTCAGGCGCTCGGTAAGAGCTTTGCCAGGTCAATTGGTTACCACTGTCACCTATACCTCGATCCAAGGCAATGAAATCTATGTCGGGACATCCCACGGAGAACTCTTCCAGTTCATGCTGACTGGCGCTGAGGACAAGGTCGGTCATCCCCGTCGTTTGTTGTGGACTCTGTCGACTCACTTGGGATCGTAATGGGTAGCTTGAAACGTATATCATTGTTTCACGACAGATAGTCCCGGGAGAGAAGCCAGTCGACGACATTGTGCTCATACCCAGCATCTCGCGGGCCCTGGTTCAGTCAGGTACTTCGCCCACGCCGCAGCCTTGCGCTTGCTCTGATCCCGACCTGCATTGCAGACCGTCAAATCCACTTTTACACACTGCCGAACCTGGAGCCTGATCCAATAAAGCCTATACGGAATGTCATGACCTTTGCTGTGGACGATCAACATCTTAGGCGACCGGCTCCCAAATCCAATCCTGCGCTGGGGTACTCGACCCACGTAGACCCGGTGGAATTCTGCGTAGTTAAGAGGTCCGGAATAGCCATGTTCTCCTTGAGGGAGAGATTATTTTACTCAAGGGTACGTTTGCCTCTCTTCTCGGCGTAGATCCTCTTCTCACTTGCTTCTAGGAGATTCCGCTCCCACAATCTCAGGGAGCAGGTTCGGTCCTCGCTAAGAGGGCAGGAAAATACCTTTGTTTCGCCGACAAGGAAAACTACAACATGGTCGACCTCGAAGATGCGCAGCTCTTTCCTCTACTCCCCATCTCACAGGCTCCCAGTCAGGATGGCGCCAAAATTCGGCCAATGATCAACGTTATCAGCGAGAACGAATTCCTGATCCTCTCCTGGACAGGGGCCAGTACACTTGGGCTTTTCATCACAGGAGACGGAGATCCAGTAAGAGGAACATTGGAATGGCCGTCCTATCCCCTCGGAATATGTATGTCCTTCAAGTTGATCGTCCTCCTCGACACCTTCCGATAACAGTTCCATTTCTGCCCAGGCCTCGATTATCCGCACGTCACATCGTTGCTTCCCAATGGGACAGTGGAAGTACACAGCGTCGATACCCAAGCGCAACTGCAGGTAATCCCACCGCCGCCCTCTTCCTCGCGCCCAACTTCACCTGCAGTACGGCTACCAAGCTCTCCTTCCTCCGTACCCTCCCCTCGACACCAGAACATCGCATCATCACTCTCGCAGCGTCTAGCAATGATTGCTAGTGTTGGTGGATATCAAGTGCCTTCTTTACAACGTTCTGAGTGTATGAGAAAAGTACCTTTCAAACTTCTACGGACACCTTGTTAGCTGCTCCGTACGTTATAGTACCCCGTTCTGTATGTTTAGTTAGGCTTCCGAATCCTTGAGGCATTTCGGCTCCCCTGAGGTTCGAAGTCGCGACCGCTCCGCAATCCGTGACTGAAGCGTGACCTGCTGTTTCGGAAGTTGCCGATTCACCTGGCAGCCCGCGGTTGCGCGTTCAAACCCGGCTTTCGTCATTTCACCCTTGATTCGCGTGGCTATTTCCCTGTTTCCCATCGAGAGGCGAATTTTACAAGGATATCAGCCTTGCTATATGAATACCGAGACAAAAGTTGTTTGAAAATGTCTTCGAATCGCTCCATCCTGTCTTTACCACTTAGGAAGGAGGTAATCACTGCACTCAGCGGTGCTGGCTACACAACGTTGCGTGACCTTGCGGGCGTTTCAGCGGATAGCTTGTCTAAAGGTCTGTGGAGCTTTACTGGTCGATTCGATTCACTGACCGCGCTTTTCAGAACTCGCTATCTCGGACGAAGTGGCTGACCAAATTCTGAGCTATCTGGCGCCTGCCCCGACCGCACCAGGATTGTCGATGACGCAGTCAGTCGCGGTCCTCGCCCAGCCTAATGACAAGTTCTCGACGGGATGCTCTGGCCTGGATAAAATTCTAGGCGGTGGTCTCCAACGTGGACACATTCTTGAGTTATCAGGCCCGCCTGGAAGTCCGAAGGAATTGATTGCTAGAAATCTTATCATCGAGTTCGCAAAACTCGGCCATAGCGTCATTCTCGTTGGTGTGTATCCCTTTCGGCCTGAAGCCATACTTTCAAGGCTAATTCATGGCCCATAGATTGCCAGAATTCCATCGACCTTAGGGCTCTTCAGCGTTCATTGCAAGGTGGGTTTTGACCTTCCAACGAGCTTTACCCTGTTTTTCATCACAACAATTTTAAGGGTCTGATTCCCTACAATCGGTTAGCTACCAGCGGGTGATGGACCTGCCTTCGTTGCTCCTGTTCTTTGAGCACCTACCTGGGGTACTGGCACAGCGTACCAAGGTCAACAAAGCTATGGTCTTCCATTGCAATGGTTTAACGAACATACCCTCTCTTCCAGGATACCCTCTTAGTTGTGGCATCGTTGTCCTTCCCGTTCCAATCCCCTGACCTCACGCCTGCGCGTCGAAATATCCTCCTGCAAAAGCTAAAACAACTTTTGGCGAAAGAAACGAACACTCAGCGCGTCACGGTGCGAAGCAGCATCAACCTTTACCCTTTATCTTATCCCTAAAGCTGTGTCTCAGGTGGTCACGACGTCATCTCTAGCCACCAAAATGGTTAATGCCGACGGCTCGATAGGCACGTTTGACACAGGCACCCAAGGTATCATGGTGCCGCAATTGGGTAAGATTTCAGGATCTCCTTACGTTCATGGTACATCCTTTCGGGAGTGGAACTGACGCCCTACCCACATAGGTTCGTTGTATCTTCCATCTGGGAAGTCTTGGAGGATTTTGTTGGCTCCCAATGAGCCAATGAACGGGTGCGTAAAGGATCCCTTACCCCTGATGGCGAGCAGGCGCTGACATATGAGCGATCTCCGCAGTTTCGTGAGGTTATACGCGTCGCCGCAACATCAGCAAAACCCAGGGTCGTCGTACGCTGTCGAGCCGTACACCATCGTCTCCGCTGCAGCATAGGACATAGGGGCCCACCCCTTCAACGCACCACCTCCCGCTCTTTCTGATTGGCCCCCCAACAGTTTCCCCATCATTTCGATCACAACCATCCAATAGGAGGGCTTGTCTGCTGGCGGGTGGCTCACTGGTTTCGAGTCGGAAGCTGACACGCATGATGATCTCCGACGCGCCAATATAAGATACGCCCGATCGACCCGCAGACTTCGACAAGGAAGAGCGTGGTACCCTTAATGGGTACGCACATGCCTTGCCAAGGACCGCCACCCGCCATTCCGTCCATTTTACCACAAGAGTTAGATCAAGCCCCCCAATGCGACGTCGATTGGCTGCGCTCTCGACAGGGATGGATCGTACCTCGATATCGCCGGGCTAAGCTACTACATTGCCGCCGTTTAACGCTGTACGATAATGCCCGGCATGCGCAGTGCATAATCAGTTTCACTCTGGGGTCATTCCCAGCGTGAAGCCACCAACACGTTTCGGAAATCAATCAATTCGCCCATAGCCGTCATTCTCCCACCTTTTGAATCGCCGCAACCTCTCGGTACCTCCTTTCAGCACCACCTTTACACTCGTTGCATCTGTTAATGACGGTTTAGCTGCTGGCACCGGCTCTCACTATTGGCGATCAGATAAGTACGCACAGCCGGCGGAATTGTAACAGCGGCGTCTTCCGAAGTGATCAGCCATCGAGCTCACCATTCTCTACCGAAACAAAGGGAACCAAACATCAACAGTATGTGCCCCTGTCTTCAATATAAACCCATACCGAACAATCGCAACCCCTTCCAATTCCCGGGTCCGCCATCACATCTTTCAACCATGCCCCAAGTCTCTTCGAATCCTCCTGCAGGCCCGATAACGTTCAACTACAACATCTCGACACCGTCATGTCCTTCAGCCAAGTCCATCGACCCTTCCCTTCCGACACTCCTCATGCTCCATCCCATCTACATGGAGCATCATATCTGGCATCGTTAGTATGTTCCTGGCAGAGCGCGGACGTTGTCTAAATCGCATTGCAGCGCAATTGGCGGATCCTCAGCTTAGAAGATTCAACATCGTCGTCCTGGACTCGCGAGGTCACGGTCGCACAGGCGGCGATGTTCCCACCGACTACAGGAGACCAGAGGCAGGGGAAGATGTTTACCACTTCATGGTGAGTCAAGTATGGCTTTGCGTTTCCCCCACATGTTTCACTGAAATGTTACCGCTCTCCCAGGAAGCCCTCAAGCTCCCACCGGTGCATCTGGTGGGACTTTCCATGGGCGCGTGCGTCGCGTTACAGGTCGCTGTCACGCACCCCGAGAAGGTCCTTTCGTTGACAATGGTGGCGCCATTACCATTGAACGAGGTCGGTAGATACTCGCTTTGGCACATCTTCCTCATTGAACTGACTATATCGTCAGCCTGCCGAGGTCCTGGAAGGTCGCCAGGAGATCTACGACTGCTGGGAAGCAGCTGTATCAGATCCCGAGAAGGTGGACGAAGACGCACTTCTTCACACCGCTTATGGGGCCGTAGAACTGGGATGCAATGGGCAGAAGTCTAAGCTTATCGACGTGTAAGCCCTCCCTCTTTAAGTATCTGGCACATGAGTTACTGAACCCATATGAAGGATGCTCCAGATTATAATCCCTTTTGGCCTTCGAAATTGGCGCCATGACAAAATCGAGCAACTTCATACGTTGTCTGTCAAGTTTTTCAGTGACCGAAAGCCCCACTCTACGAAACTCTTGCAACGCATCCAATGCCCAATCACTCTCGTCCACTGCGGTGCTGATATTGCCTATCCCATTGAACTCGCCGAAGAGATTCGTGATCGCATGGAGGAAGCCGGGTTGACCGTCAACCTCGTGGATGTTCCTGGCGCCCCGCATTTTGGAACTCTCAGTCATTATTTTGAGTACGTACACATCAATTCAGTGGGCGACTTTGGATCTGACACGGGTTCGTCGTCAGTATCAACCCAATCATCCACGACTTCGTCGCGCAACAAACAAAAACCCCAGTGCCCCCGGCATTGCCTTCCGTCGTCTCGCCCTTCGAAGACGAGTTCGCTGCTGCTGGATGCCCTAATCTGGGTGTTGGGCTTGACGACTCGGATTCTGACGAAGAATTCTTTTAGGTGGTTCTTCGCCTTCCTTGCTCTCTTCGGTTATGTCCTTGCCCTGTGTATTGAAGCCGTGCGCGTGTGGTACTGCATGGACATTTGTGTATAAAAGCTGTAAACCAAAAAATAGGTTGTATTAGATATGGCTATGTAGATTAGTATATGTACTCAATATCGGGATACCCTCTCATGATTCGCGCAGTTGTGTTGGTTGTTAACACTTATCCGGGATACACTTCGTATCCCGAACTTACCTGCATTGTGCTTTCCTCAGTCTTCCTTTACGGGGAAAAAGGGCTTCCGCGGTGAAATGGACAGGGGATTGTTACAAGTGGATCGATTGAGACACAGAAATTAAATGAGACAGTATAGGCTGGGGTACGCTCAGATTTTCATCCTTCTCAACACAATACCAACCCCAACCGCTCCGCAAACTGTTGTGAGCAAGATCGCCCAGATGACGACCGCAAACGGCTCTTGACTCGGGAATCCGGTATTATCCACGCTCGCCGTGAGCAAAGGAGCAGCCAACTGTGCCACAATGAGTGCAATCTCCCCGCGCGCGACCATGGCCAAACCGAGAAACAAGGCCTGGGGAAGACGGCGTTTGAATGCAGACGGAGTCGGTTGTGCGTCTTCATGTTTGGATGGTTCGTCCGGCCAGGCAAGGATCCAAAGTCCGGTCGCCGCCTTCGCGATGACCATGAGCATGGAGTAGACGATTCCTTTCCAGATGACGTCGTGCGAGGTTCTGAGAGATGGTTGACCATCGGCGAAAGTGGTGAGCTGGACGCTAAACAGGTTCTGAACGGGAAGTGAAGCACCGATCGAGGCGAAGAACAGTGGTGAGAGGAGGTTGATGAGGAGAGGCTGGATGGTTTTGGCGAATGCTGATTCGATTGGGTGAGGGATTGGCTCTTCAACAGCCTGAGAGTCTGCGACATTTGCTTGCTGCTTGGAATCGGAACGTTGGAGGATTTCGGCCTGCGGGGACACGGACGTAGTCGTGGCAGAGGATGGTGCTTCGAGGTTGTGGGGTAAATGGTCCTGGGCTGGAGGAGCAAAAACGTATGAGAGGAACGTTCCAGCTAGGTAGGCCCCATACAACTCGCTCGTCCCGGCATAATGCGACCCTGCAACGAACCCGGTGAGGGTGGCGACGATAGTGAACAGGTAAACATGGGACTTCCGAACGCGAAGCCACGGCGCCCTGAAACATGCGCCTTTGAACAGAGTCATAATCTTCTTAACAGCGACAGCTCCCACAGGCGTCAAGAAAGTGAACGCCAAGGACACTAAAATCGGTCTGACGATGGTAGACCAATGGATACTCCCTCCTCCGACGTCCCCTCCCAGGTTTGCGACAATGCCAGCAATAACAAGTCCCACCACGTCATCCGCCAACGCAGCCGTCATTAGCACCACTCCAACTCGCCTAGTCCGCATCTCATCGTTCAGTAACGCGATCGTGGTACCGAGTGAAGTCGAACACAGCGCGGCACCAGCCCCGAAGCTTTGCAGGACGGTGTATCCAAAAGCTCCATGCAAGAGGCCAAAGGTGAGAGCGAAAGGGAAGGCAATCCCGGCTGCTGCTACCAGCATGGACAGCGCGAGGTTGGCAGGTTTGAGGAGGAGGTTGAGGGGTGTGGTCAACCCTGCTTCGAAGATGAGGAGTAGGAGGCCAATGTAGCCTAGCAGAGTGAATGTGGAGAGGATTTGTGTATTGAGGAGATTGCCAACGTGTGGGCTTGCCCAGAGGATACCGAGCAGCAGTGAACCGAGAAGGTGAGTGTTGGTTATCAAGTCGGACAGGTATTCAACTACCCTGAGGAGGTAGAGGAAACTTGCGGTGGACAGCAGCACCGGGAGCGCCGGAACTTCATAGTAACTTGGGGAGTCAGACGACGCTATGGGCGCCATTTCAGCCCTTTTGATCTTTGGTTTCTCTGATTGAATCTGTGAAGAACTCCAGGATTATGTCCATGAAGACCTGATGCGTCCGAATTCAACAAGACGGTCAGCTATGACTTGGACCATGTGTACAGGACTTACGATTGCGAGGGATATGGGCTCAGAGTGGACTTCAGCACGGCAAAAGATATGCTTTGACGACGTCTGGAATCGGTGTGCGACAGAGAGGAAAGCAAAGAGTACGGTTGCGCTTGGCTCCAAGCGAAAAATGGGGCGTGTTCGGCGAGGTTTCGGCTTGATGGCTGTTTCGTCTCCGCCTCTATGATTTGTTGCTCTCCTTTACCGACTGCCACACTGCTTCTGTACAACCAATCGATACTCATTTCATTGAAGAGAGGAGAGATAGAGAATAAACCTTCCCTCGTCTACTAACACGTCGTCAATGCGTGAACGTTCGCTACTTTTCGCTGTGTCGATGACTCCGGCTGACCAAGAGTGCACGCGCCTCGATTTTGGCGCTCAAAGATCGAGGTGCAGAGTGTTCCCAGAGAATCAATACCTGAATGAAAACACCTCGTTTATAGCTATAATCTTGTTCATTCTGTCATTCATTTCGTCACATGCGAATCTCTTTCTACTCCGAACTCCAAGCTTACAAGTGGACAGTGGACAACTCCTACCTTTGGCACCTTGCCGAAGGGAAGTTAGGAATGGGCGAATCGATCACACCCGTCGGAGTTTCAGAATTCGCTCGCATGGGATGGAGCCAGGGGATTGTTCCAATTCTCTGACCCCATTTTGGCATTCTAGTTGGCTAGGATGCTAGTGCATCTGGCGGCACTTTACACATAGACTATCGCCTGTCTCATCACTAACGTCAGAGTTGTCGACCGTCCTAGTACTTGCAAGATTGGTCGGGCCTTTGTTGCGTTGATAAAACTGATCTCCGAGTATATACAAGCATACTGTATCCAGTTATTTTGAATGCCGGGGCATAGAGGACCACACATCCCCTTTTAGTGGCCGGTAATCTTTTTCATCACATCCGCAATCTCGTCTTCCTCCTTTCATCTTCCTCTGGCTTGCTTGTCGACTCTCACCCGGTAGCCCTTACATGGTTTTTCACGCACTCGAGGTCGCTCCCCTTGGGCTACTTGGCTTCGGAAAGTACTCTGCAGCGGGATGACAGTGGCTCTTGAAACTGTTAGCTGGGTGAATGGCCCGAGAATTTGCACCCAGTGCCTTTCGTTCCGACTTGGAGCAGCAACTGACTGGATCCTGGCGAAGGCAGAGACACGAAGATGCACAATCAAGCTTTCCTTTGGCTGGAGCTCACGTGGCTGAGGACTTCCGCTTGGTTTGGATATCCCCCCTCGGACCCCCTTGCCTCTGAGTAACCTCCATTGTTCATGTTGGCGACGACTGGGACTTTCGAATAGAAGAGAAAAGACGGAGGAAGTGCGCCGGACTTCTCGCCTGCGATGACAACGGCATCTTGCATACTAGCAAGGCGTGCCGTGAACGCCTGAGCGCTCCGCTCTTTGGCACTATCTTCGTCGGCGGAACTTCAAAGTTGTGATACTATGTCGTCTCCATGATGATGAGGACTCTTCTTGTGACGCTGTGCTTGGTCTATATTTCATTGTTTCAACCAAAGCGAGTTGGAAACTCCCCATGAATCCGGTGGTCGTGAATCCGGGTTGGTTGAAACCATCAAAAAACTGTCTTGGCGGAGCCGTAAAGTCTTTCGCAGGACATTGATTGGCGCCCTCAGGATGGTTGTCAACTCCCTCGACATGCAGCGTAATTGCATTACGAAGCGAATGGCCGCCACCTCATTAAGCTTTGTGTCATATGTCTAATCTTGGTACACGCACAGCTCGTCAACTAACTTGGTGCCTGCTTCGATTTTCTGCCAGGGATACACGGTGCCATTGACTCAGACGGTGAGTGATATTACAATATGATGACACAAAAGATGGCTACTGAAACTTCCTTTCCTTGGTTCAACTTTCCCGCTTTTACCCACAGGAGACGACTTCATCTGCGACCCGCAAACGGGGCCGGAGGCCGGGCCCAATACCTAAGACGAATCATCATTGGCCCCTACTAGTAAAGGAATACTTTCGCCAACAAATCCAGATCTCTCACTCCGCACTCGAGGGGTTGCTCTGTCAACTTTTGGGATCAAGACGGCTGATTCTATCACTGCCATCCATCGCCTTGAAAGTCTTTTCACCGTTCTCTACGGTGGCAAACATGTCCCAACCGTTGAAATTTTCCAACACGTGTTGGAGGACTGAACTAGTGTCACCGACTCCATTTACCGGGTGAGTTTCTCAAGCTCAAGCGGGTAGGCTCAATTTGTCAGTCCGAAGTCACCAGGTTCGTTTCCTCCTTTTCATAATTGTGCAACACAATTAGCAGCGCAGCTGACGGTCATCTGTGATGAAAAGGGCGATAAGCCGTTCGCTGAGCCTCTATCCTCTATTGCTCCACGTGATATTTAACAGCAAGAAAAGAGGAATTATATTCCGCTCTTCTTTTCTTCTTTGAATAGCCCACGCCACCATTTTTCTTCGGGCACCGTTGCGGGACATAGAACCCTATCTTATGTCAGGAATCATCCCCTTCCCCATCAACGACCTGCCCTCGGAATTGCAGCGCGAAATATTCGTTCTGGCTGCGGACAACGATCCCAAGAACACCACGAACTTAGTGCTGGTTGCTCGACGCGTCAATTCATGGTCTGTCTCTTGAATATCATCTGGACTTAGGCTAACAACGCACCATAGGGTCCAGCCGCGCATGTACCGTATGGTGACGCTCGGCGAAACCGACGTGGGTTTATTCCTCAGGACCATGGATTCCAAACCACCAAGCTTCTTTCAGAACCACGTTAGACACCTTTGCCTCACCACGGGGTTGAACATCCTTCAGGCAACTCGTATCCTGGCTTCTTGCCGCAACGTCGTCAATCTCGCCCTCTGGGTAGACTTCCTGGGTCGCGGGAACGCTCCGAAGGGCTCGGTGACCCCATTGATTTCTTCCCTTCGATTGAAACGGCTTTCAATCGAGTATAGACATCTTCTAGATGTTTACTACCACCCATCCACCCCACCTCCGATCTGGTATCGAACGTTGACCCATCTGGACCTCGTATTCTGGGTAAACACGGCGACACCTCCAGTGCCCTTTCTGGGGGAGTTGGAAGGACTCACTCATCTCTCTCTCGGCCTCCGTGGACTCGACATTCTCGACATCGACCACGACTACTTGAAGTCGATCCTCGACGACTTCCAGCGTCTTCATATATTACTTGTCCTGCTGGACGAAATGGCGCTTGAAGCTGACGTTCCGGAGAGCAAGGATCCTCGTATCATCTTCATGCCATACCCCAATGTTGTCGAGGATTGGGAAGCATACTGGATGGGGACGCCGAATGTATGGTCAAAGGCAGAGGTAGAGCGATCAAAGAGATTGGAAGCGGCGAAATCCGTTACTCTCGGTAAGTCTATGCAAAGCTCCGTGTTGGATTACCATCTTCTGATTAGTTTCAAACAGGTTCACACTCCCCTCTGACATGATGCTAAACAGCCTCGTCACTCGTGTGTATATGACAACCGGATTGTATCATCTGTCACAAGGAACCCTCGTTTCTTTTCTTCTTTACGAACCACACCCCCTACCGCCCAGTAAAAATAACACCGCCATCCCAGTCCGATCCCTGATGATTTCAGTGACATTTGATCTACATTTCACCGTCACAGACAAGGTTTTTTTTGGATCTGCGAATGCCCCTCCTGGATTGATTTTCTCATACCCGTCTTCGCCAACTGGAGCTTCACCTCTCCCCTGTTGAGGCTGGTTTAAATGAGGCAGCTGCAGGACCCACTACACAGCCGAGATCCTCCAAGTCTTTCCAACGCAAGGAATCCCTGACCATGCATCGCTGAGTTCTCGGTACGGGCCTTTCCAGAGTCTAACCGATGATCTAAACATCGGAACCTTATCGCACCTTCGCTATGGCCGTTTCTTTTGTGTTCTCTCGGTATCTCTCGACATGTCCACCATAAAGAAGCAAGAGGTTGAAGTCCGATCAAAGTTGGCGAAGGTGATCACCCCCATCGCCTCCAATTTCAGTGACGAGGACACAGGTACTTGTGGGTTTCATTAATTTCGTAATTTTCATTCCACTCTGGCTTATAATCGCTCGTCAACCTCCGTCGTTAGTGGGGACGGACTATTATTGGGCAGGTCAATAGAATTGTCGCTTGACATGGGCGAGGGTGATCTTCCGCCACCCGCGTGGAATTGAATACATATGTACTAAATCCAGGAACGATGGACCTTCGTAAAAACGAGGCACCCGCCGAGAACAAGGCCTACTCCTTTCACCAATCGCTTCATCGTCCCTGTCTACTTATCGTCATACGCGTCCGATAATCGTGCGAGAGATCATTGGAGATGATCTCCCTCGTGGCCTCTCGTGGCCTCCACGTCGGTGTGCGCCACAGTCAAGAAGCGAGGGGCTCCTAATACGGCAAGGGGGCGCCGATCGAATGGCCGTCGGTAATCCGTGTGCACGCCAAGTACTGCAAATAAATTCTGGGTCTGTGCTGATCACCTCCCAGCGACACTAAATACCCCAACTTCGGTGGCTACGAGTGTTTCTGGACGATCGCTCGATATCTCTCCTCCCAATCTTCCTCCCTGAAGTTGGCTTTCTCTAACCAACTGATGCGCCTCAACATTTTCTCCAACTCTCGGCCGTTGTAATAGTTGTGGCCGCCACGAGGAAAGCGCGTCGGAGTGGTCCTTTCATTTCCGGACTCAACGTGGAATAACGCGTATTCGCACTCGGCCTCCGGTACGAAATAAAGCTGGTCACCTGTCGCGTATATCGGCGTCTTTGCAAAGTGACGATATCCGAGTTTCAAAGGAGGGAGGGTGGGGACCCCTAAAAGGCCGTGTGTGTCAGGATGACAAGTGCTGACCTGAAAAACAAGATCGAGTACGTACCGTCGTTATATCCGCGGACAGAGTATTCAATAAAGGATTGGTCGCCGTGTCTCGAGGTGTACTCGGCGACTGTATTGTGGAAGTGGGAGACCAGAGCAGCGTCGCCTACTCGCGGAGTTCCGAATGTTGCGAGCTTGATGGCGGGCGGGGAAGGCGGGAGGAGACCCTGGTCAGAGAGGATGTCTAGTAAGAGGAGGTAGCCGACAGCCCCTCCCATACTGTGCCCCGTGATGATGATTTCGTCAGGGCTATGAAAGTTTATGAGCGCCTTCAACTCGGTTTTCACCCTGTCTGCGATGCCAGTGTACAGAGCCCAAAAGCCACTGTGTGCATTCCCACTAATGGGGTGCTTGACCTTGAGGAAGCGGAGATCCTGGACGATGTGCTGGATTTGGGCTGTGCCGCAGATGCTCACGATGAGCTGCTTGTGGGTTGGCCGGTGGAAGATGCCCACCGGGAGTTTGGCGACACTGCCTTCGAAGGAGACCAATAAGGCCGCATCGCGAAGAGCATGGTGGTATTCTAGAGGAAAATCCTCTTTTGACAGGGTCTCTATTTCCTCTAGAAGGTCTTGGATGGGAATCGAAGAATAGATCAGCTCTGCGAATTGACCTACGCGCTCAGATCAGCCGCCATTCAATGAGGAGTGGGTCAACGCGCACCTATCTCCTCTATCTCTTCTTTTATATGAGTCTGGACTAGGTGGGTATCGTTGAGCACCTGTGGAGAATGTGCTGCCAACAATTTAGAAATCCAACGAAAGTTATCCAGTCGCTCCGCAGCGTACATGCGACGCTGCTCCTCCGTCAATTGGACCTTCTCTATGAGCCTGTTCCATCGAGCCGACAGCGACATTGCAGACCTTTATCTCTTCGAGAACGTCTACATTGACTTGACAACGTTGTTTGCGTCAGTGCTTCAATGGCCAGCCCCCAAAGTCACGGTGGTCGCAGCGTGCAGGATGCGTGCCGCGCTGAGCGTCACTAGTTCTTAATGGGGAAAGAACGGATCAATGATGCCGGTCTGGGCGATCCCAGAGCCCGCGTCCATTGGCATCATCATCAGTTGGCATCGTCCCCTGTCGCTCGCTGGCCCAGTGCTTCCTCGACTTCTATTTGGGTCCAACCCCGTCGATGCTTCCATTGTGAAAAAACTCACCTTGTTCCTCAACATCGATGTTGATGAGCCTGGTTGGACCGCTATGTCACACAGCAAGAGACTCTCCCAATCGTTGAATGGCAGCTGGACACAGGATAGCGGTGGCGCTGTGGCCTCGAGTTTCATCGCTGGCTCGGACAGAGAGGCTGGGGAGTGGACGAAAGTATGGAAATCTGTGGTCGCTAGAGGTGCGTTGCTGTTGCTATGGGTCGCGTGAACCTAGGAGTCCGACTCATGGATATTAGACTTGATTGACTCGAGGATCGTAACTATTGGTGCTGAAACCAGTGTCGAGGAAGCCTGCGACGTAGGTATCTGTGAATGCAAATCTATGGTATTCGTCCTGAACCAAGATTAGCGCTTGCTATCGGAGGATATCCCCTGTTTGGTGATCAACAACACCCTTGAAGAAGCAGGAGGCCAGCAACGCTGGCTGGGCCTGTTCGACGTAAGTGGTCCCTACAGAGCTGAAACAACACACCGCTCACGCTAAAACGCCCGTTGCAGTTCGCTGATGTGAATGCCTTCCTTACCCTAGCTGCCACGAGACACACCTTTTCGTTGGACGGGTCAGACGGGGATCCTAGGCGAGACAAGATTATTGATGCTGCCAAAGCTGGTGTCGTCGCTGTTCATCTCGTTAGCAGTGAGTAACCACAGACTTTTCTCGTTATGGTCAATGTTAACGCGTTAATTTTGAATATATAGATCTTTCTGACAAGAATCCGCTGATATGTCTCGACTACGATGCCACTGTCGTCTCCCTACTGGAAGTCTTCTCCCGTGGTAACCATCGAGGTCAGTTTCAAGAAGCTACCGGTTCAAACGCATCATTGAGCGGCTACAAATCCAGTCCTGATACGAGGGAAAAGTGAGGACGTTGATTGTTTGGGAATAGTTTCGGATCGCGGGTTGTTGGCTTGGTTTGCCTCGTTTGCAAAGTCGACTCCGTCTTTCCGTGATTATCTCGCCAACCCCGCGCATTCTTTGTCACTCCCGTCCTTTAATGCCTATGGCTCCGTCGTCGCGACCACTTCTTCTGCCAGCACTCTCGATGCGATGAAACTGATGAGTGAGGAAGGGGTCAGCAGTGTCGCAGTTCTGGATGACGAGACGGGTGCGCTTTTGAGCACTGTCAGTGTCACGGATGTTGGCAAAGTACGTCGTGACCCCAATCTTACATCCCTCTCGTAACATTTGATGCGTATAGGTCGTAGTCCCGTCTCAGAGCAATCAAATCTTGAACACTCCACTTCATCAGTTCATCTCTCTTGTCAAGGTACAGTGTCCGGCCTGCTTCAATTTTCCGTTTTCGACTCATCTCTTCCGTTAGCACCCAGACGGCTCGACTGACGGAGTTGACAAGTATCCAGGTACGCATTGACGACCTTCCTTCCATAGTCTGATAGTTGATCTGTGCCCAGTGTACTCCGTGCTGCCCTCGAGCCAGCTCCGCTACACTATCGAGAAGATTCTAGCGAGTGAGTTGTCAACGTGACAAACATGTGGCAAAGTCTAACATATCCACAGCCAATGCCCATCGAGTATTTGTGGCGCGAGAGTCTACTCTTTCGTCTCCAGTATTGGGCCCCGCTGCGATTGGCAACCTATGCGGAATAGTGTCCATAGTAGACAGTAAGCGGCGTTTCCCATAACTAGCTGTCCTCAGCTTGTTGAAATTTCCCCTAGTCCTGGCCCATTTCGCAACCTTGGCCGGAATCACCAATGTTGACCCGACAGAAATGCAGCGTCATAGACGGATGTCTTCCTCTTCCTCGGGATCGAGGATCATGATGGATTCCATTGGCACTCGCTCCAGGTCTGGCAGCTTTTCTGCCACTGGGATACGTCGCAGTCCGAGCGTGATTGCTCTCAGTCCGTCAGGTATACCGCCTATGGATGGAAGTGCGAGCCCGATTGCTGGGCTGGATGGTTTGCCGATACCGATAGTCGTCCCTGAACGGAGAAAGAGCGTTCGGCTCCACAAGGTTGGGTCCAAGACGGCTTTGCAACCTGGTTCTGCTCCGGGCTCGTCGTCTGGTACCGGGGATGCGAATTGAGTTGGTGTGCTTTTTGTGACCGCTTCTCATCCTTCTTTATTCACCATTCCATTTCTACAAGTTTTACGTTTTTTCCAGCATCGCTTTCAGGGTCTGTCAACCTTGCTCCTACTCTACATGCATTTTACTTACAATGGGTCGTGCTGCATTGAATCCGTAGCGCCTTTTTCCCTTCATGAACTACAACTATGTACAATTGGGCAAATTGAAACTTCCTTCGTTTCGCACATGTTGATTGTTTCGGGTTTCCTCGCAACTTCGATGCAAGCGACAATCCGGTATTCAACCCATGGCCACGGCCCTGCACCATTCCATCCTGACTTCGGCTGGCAGCCCTGAAGAGTTTGCCGTACCCTGTTTCGTCGACCCTGGTGGCTGGCTTCATTGACAGCATGCAGGCACTCGCTTCGAACTCGCAACCGCAGGGCCCAACTTACTGCAACCTCGAGCTCGGACAATGTCCCGCTCGAGGTCAGCGTGATTATTCTGCTTTGTCAAGAATTGTCAGATACTTTCGCGAAACTGGTTAGTGCGGATGAGTGGTTAGGACGCCCTGTGGCAAAGAGCCCAACCTAACCCAGGAACTGCTGACATTGGCAACAGGCGGGAAACAAAACTCGTAAGGAAGCATAGCCATGCATCCAAATGCGTTCTTTGTGATTTGCGAGGGGGACTCACGTTCCTTCTTTTACTAACTGACAATTTGAATGTCACTAGGTTAGTAATTTGAATTAGTCTAATTTACCCGCGAGGGGTGTGGTAGTGACAGGAATTCGAATTTATCCGCGAAGGAGGAGATCTCGAGGAGACGTGACAGACCTGAAGACTTGGACTAATGTAAGAATATGCATTCAATCAGTGGTCATGAGGCCCACTCTAAGCCTTTTCGAAGTCTAGTTACGATCCCTTCTTTGGGTCTAGGTGCCCTTGTAACTAGCAGGGATTCTATTCGTCAGCTCAGGGCGTGACCCTACTCGCCTGTTTACTGTCCAATGGAAGGGTGATGATAGGGTCGGCCCCTATCGGAGCCCTGATCAAGGCGCCTATCGCGTTATCGGCCGTGATGACCCTGAGAAAACCAATCACTCGATCGGCCGGAGAGCCGTTGTTGGGTTTGGTTCCCTTTTGCTCAAAATTCTATTTACCCTTACTCCAACCAATCATGGACTACAAATCCTCGACTGATTCTGACTCGGAATTGTATTATCCTTTCCCTTCTTCTCCTTCTATTTCCCCGTTTGCTTTGATCCAATCCATACTATATCTGTCCCGTTTACTTGGACTGGATTTATAGTCTGAGTCTTACGACTTTGGGCTTTTGATTAACGCTTTGGTTTACTCCTTGTCCTGATTGGTTATTGGGAGGAAACGACGACGACCGGCGTCTCTCACTTGTGGTTGCGTTGACTTGATCATTCTCGATACTGGTCTTGGACGAGGAACCAGAATGAACGAATCAAGTCTAGGAAATTCAGTCCCTCCAGACACACCCCACGCGATCTCTGTCTCGTTACCGACATGGAGGGATAACGTCGGTTACGAAGAAGGCGAAAAGAGGGTGGTGGAGAAGATGGTCACAGGCTACCCTCGCTTCTTCATCCACCTGAGTGTACAAAAGGTGCGTGGCTAGCACACTGAGCGACCGTATTCACTGGCTGATTGTCTGCGGCACCGTCTCAACAGCTCGCTGCGATCTGCGAACACAAATACGCCGTCGGCAACGAACGATGCATGTTGTTCCCCTCGAAAAAAGTCGCAGAGCAGTGTAGGAGTTTTATCCAGCGCCGATCTGGCGTCCTCGGCAAACCCGTCTCTGCACGTATCGTCGACCTCCTCATCTGTCCCGACGAACCCCAGCCCCAGCCACAATCCAACGGCACTACCAACGGCACCGGTACCACCACCACCACCGAAGCCAATGGAAAACCATGCTCGGAAAGCATCGCGAACACCTGTGCTGAACTCCATATCGTTTTGTTCCCCGGCGACGCGTTCAGTGTTGCAAAGGAGTTCTGGCAGCATGCCGGACTGGGCATCTCAAGTCGGTTTGCGGAGAAGTGCTTGTCGTTGTTGCCCAAGGAGGATAGGAACAGGACAGTGAAGGCGGTTGAGAGGCCTGTTTCGCCCGTGCAGAGGAGAGGGTTCCCAGCTGGGAGGGGGTTCAACAAGCATTACTCGGCTGTGAAGAAGGGTGCGCAGGGTGTGTCCTCTACGTCTCCCAGGTCGCCCACGTTCCCGCCGATCTCGCCTACTACGACCAATGGAAATGGAGCGGTTCCAGCCAACAATTGTGGATGTGGCGACGAAGATGAAGCGATGGATTCTGTCTACCTCGAAGAACGCTACGGCCGCAACCTCCCTCTCTCCGCCGCCTCGTTCGCCAAGCGCGCCCTCCGCCGCCGTGTTGCTGGTGTCTTGCTATGCGATGTGCCGGATTGTCAGGGTACGGCTGGCCAGGAGGATCTGGTTGTTGGTCCGAGTACGAGAGGTGTGAAGGACGTTTCCGAGAACGATGTGTACCTCTATCCGAGCGGGATGACGGCGATTTGGAGTGCTCACCAGGTTGCGCTGGGGGCCTTGGGGGAGGCGAAGAGTGTGTGCTTTGGGTGCGTCCTTTCCCTCTACGGATTTGCCTCGTGCTGATGACCCATGTGATGCAGGTTCCCTTACACCGACACCCTCAAGATCCTGCAAAAGTGGGGACCGGGATGCCACTTCCTCGGTCACGGGCTCGACAGCGACATTGACAAATTGGAAAAGATTTTGGAATCCGAATCCCAGGCTCACCCCGGTACCCGCCCCATCCTCGCTCTGTTCACCGAGTTCCCATCCAACCCGCTCCTCCGCTCTGCCGACCTCCCTCGTCTTCGTAGATTGGCCGACAAATATGATTTCTTGATCATCATTGATGAGACGATTGGGAATCTGGTGAATGTGACGGTTATGCAGTATGCGGATGTGGTGGTTAGTAGTTTGACAAAGGTGTTTAGTGGGGCTTCGAATGTTATGGGTGGGAGGTGCGTGTTTTTTTCTCTATCGGTTTTATGGCTGGAATACTTATTCGCTTTTAGTCTTATTCTGAACCCCAAGGGGCGACAATACAAATCGTTGAAGGAGGCAATCACCAAGACGTATGAAGACACCTACTTTGACGAGGACGCCATCTACATGGAACGCAACTCTCGGGATTTCAAGAAACGGATCCAGACGATCAACCAGAACGCCGAAGCGATTTGTGATTTCTTGTACACCCGGTCTCTCAAGGGCGGGTCTACAAACCCTAATACGGCGATTAAAGAAGTGTTTTACCCCAAGTACACCACGCCGGAGCATTACGACCATTGTCGTGTTACGTCGGCGCAATCTGAGGACGGGAAGGCTGGAGGATATGGAGGGTTGTTCTCGTTGACTTTTACCTCCCTTGAAGCCTCAAAGCTGTTCTTCGATACGCTGCCGTGTTTCAAGGGTCCGAGTCTTGGAACGAACTTTACGTTGGCTTGCCCCTTTACGATCTTGGCGCATTACGGGGAGTTGGAGTGGGCGGCGGAGTTTGGGGTTGAGGAGGGCTTGGTGAGGGTTAGCGTTGGATTGGAGGAGACGGGGAAGTTGTTGGAGTCGTTTGAGCTTGCTGTGAAAGCTGCGGAGGGTGTTGTGAAGGCCTAGGCCTAAGGACGATTGGTGCGATTATTGTTTTCCGTTTCTCTCTTTTTTTATTATTTGCGAGTTCCTCCAACAGGACATCTCTATTCTGTATCAACACGCATTACTCACTTGTATCCAACTACATAGCATGCATGTATCGTCATTCAATATCCTATCTGTATCGTCCGCATTCGATGACGCTGGGCCACCCGGTCTCATTCGCGTGTCTATGATGGTCCGCCGGCTATCAAGTATGTTCTCATCATGCATCATTGAAATCGGCTCTCTTGATACCCTGGGCAGGGATGAGCTGAGCTGGCAGGGTCTTGGGGTGGATGAATTGCTTTGTCGTCATTCTTGAGGTGAGTTTCTTGCAATTGAGCAGATGCCAGAGAACCAAGAATGGAGAGGGCTGTGTCGGCCGTGAAGGGCACATGATGTCGACTTACGCCAATGCCAAGACGCGCTTGGTCTGGGGATTTCCACAGCTGTTGAGGTTTGTCTGTATCACTCTCTGACAGCCGCTCAGCCAACCGGCGGCTCGAGTAATGAGATTCGATTAGCTTTTGAGGTTATATTCATGGTTTGTGGAGAATATTGAGAAAACGAGTCAAGGGAGGGCCAGGGACCTAATTTGATATGGAGTTGATTTGCCAAGAACAATTGTGGGGATATAAGAAGCGGTAACTTGGCGAACGTTCAGGCTTTCTTTCTGCCCCCAGCACAGCACTCGCTCTCAGCGCCCCGAGGACGTTTACGGTTTTTATCCATCGCTTACAACGAAAAAGTTTTTGCACTTGAATGGTGGACTCTTCTCCCTCTTCATCGTCCGACAATGCCCAGCCCCCTGCAGCACGACGCGCGACGCGCTCCATTGCCATTAACGATGACGACGACGAACCCCCTAGTAGTAGGCCAAACCAAAATGGGCACCCTCAAATGACTACCGGTTCCGCATCCTCCTCCAGTTTTCCTCAAGTCAAGTCTCGGGACACTCTCCATCCAACCCTAGACGTCAAGCCCAACGACGACGAGGAAAAGGCCACCGTTGTCCGCGATACCAAGGATCTCAATGACGTCTACCACCGTGCTGAGACTGCTACCACTCTCGACGTCAATACAGAAGCTTTTCCTGTACCTTCGTTTGTTTCCCCAAAACCGTGGTACAAGCGCTTCCAGCTCTCCAAAAAGTCCAAACTCCGCACCCTGTTCACCCCCGCCCATGACCCTGGCCCACGCCCGACGTACATGCAGTCTTTCAAGGCTGCCCTCTTCTACAGCTGGCTCAACCTCTTGTTACTCTTCATCCCCGTCTCCTGGGCCCTGTTTTACACCGAGCAAAGCGCCACCCTCACGTTCGTGTTCTCGTGTCTCGCTATCATCCCGCTCGCCGCGCTTCTTGGCCTTGGAACCGAGCAGATTGCGCTTAGGACCAGTCAGAGCGTCGGAGGACTCTTGAATGCTACGCTTGGAAATGTCGTCGAAATGATTATTGGTGCTATTGCCTTGAGCAAGGTGAGCGGTTCTTTCCATTGTTATCTCTGACTTACCCCTGTCCTTGCGCTTGGCACTAATGAGATGACATACAGTGTGAACTGGAGCTTGTGCAGGGTTCCCTTCTTGGTGGTCAATTGAGTAATCTTCTCTTGGTTCTTGGGTGTGCTTTCGTTGGTGAGCTTTACTTTTTTGGTATTGTTATTCGCGACTAATCAATGGTTGCAGTTGGTGGATTCCGCTTCCAGCATTCCGAGTTTCAGGCTATGGTCGCGCAGTTGAACTCTTCCCTCTTGATCGTGTCCGTTATCTCGTTCTTCATTCCCACTGCCTTCGTATGTCCACATTCAATGTTTATCTAATTATCCTGCTGACATCTTCCGTAGCATACCTACCTCGAGAGTCGCTTGGCCGAGGGCACAGAACTACCCTTCCTCCTTCGAGTGAGCCATGGTAGTGCGGTCATCCTTCTGATCTTGTAAGTCGCTCCACCATCCTTCCACGCCGCTCTGACTTAGCCATTTTTAGGTACTTCGCCTACCTGTTCTTCCAGTTCTACTCCCACAACCACCTGTTCGTCGACATGGACATTCCTTCGACCTACAGCTCCGATTCGTCGAAGAGCACTTCCCGCCAGTCAATCCACAGCGGCCGAGTTGCCACTCGGGGATCGACGCCCATGCTAGGCGTCCCCAGCAATCCAGACAACCTCTTCGCCTCGCGCGTCTCCCTCGCCTCGGCTCTCGAAACCCGGACCAACAGCTCGGACGACTCGCACCACGAAACGCTCAAGCTCAACTTGCCCTCTGCGTTGCTGTTGTTGGGCAGCGTAACGGCGCTCGTTTACCTCACCGCCGAGCACCTCGTCGACTCACTCCAAGGTTTGCTGGACGACAACCCCTCCATCTCCAAAAAGTGGATTACCCTCATCGTCATTCCTGTCGTCGGCAACGCAGCTGAATACGCTACCGCCGTCCTGGTCGCTCGTAAAGGAAAATTCAACCTCTCCATGAGCGTCGCAGTGGGTAGTTGTATCCAGATCGCCTTCTTCGTGATCCCCATTTTGGTGATTGTATCCTGGGGTTTGGGCAAGCCGTTGACCTTGCTGTTCGACCCCCTCGAGACGTTTGCCCTGTTCTTCTCGGTGCTCGTGGTCAAGTTTACCGTTGAAGATGGCAAGAGTCATTGGTTGAATGGGTTGGCGCTTATTTGTGAGTTGTCTTCTTTCTGCTTTCGGATGATGGTAAACTGATGAAATGTTGTAGCCGTGTATACCCTATTCGCGGTCGCGTTCTGGGGATTCCCTGATACACCCCGTCTCATCCAAGGTCAACCCATTATCTGTCGTTAGTCGCTATCATCAAGTCCATTTGCCACCTAGTGCATGCTATCTGTACATACATTCCTCTGGCCAAGGACCTTTTTTCCCTGCTTACTGTTGTACAGGACGCTCTGCTTTTTATTCAACCCCTTCGATTAACTAACCAGGCTTGTTATGATCCTCATGTACATTCATGTCCTACTTACGCGTTATACGTGCTTTTGATGTTTTCTTGTTCAAGTTGGTTTGGTGTGGGATTTGGGCTTGTTGTTGGAGTAGCAAGAGGTGGCAGTCGTGGTTGTGCGTGACGTAGTAATTGTGTTTCTGTCGAAGCAAGAAGTTTCTCGTACATTACGCTGTACTTGTATCGTATCGTACTGAATGAACCGAACTCTCTTTGCTCGCAGTCGACGTTACCATCTATTAATCACGATTGAAACTGGATCTACCTCGATGCGACCTGCGAACAGGTCAAAGAGTTCCAAAAATTAGCCAGAAACCACAAGGGTACTGGCATTAGGCAAACACCTCGACAACGCAGCTCGTACCCTGTCCCCGCAGCTTCCTTGACGGATAGCTCCCCTGTCTGGTACAATTGAGAAAGAGCCCGCGAAATCTCTGTGGCGTCTCCAAGAGACACAATCGAAAAGGACGATCAAAGTGCCTTTTCCAAGCACAGAAACCTCTTAGTGGAGCCCCCCGCCACACCACCCACGATGTGTACCCGATTTGTTCAGCGGGTTCACTATCCGAGCATTGGGATACACTTGCTAGATGTGAACGAGGCATAGTCTCGATGTCCGTCTGCACATTGCGTTACGGATCGGTATTCTGACTACGCAAGTCGCCCTTCCTACAAGTACGCCAAATACCAAGGAATAGTGACCATCGAAGAACCCAGGGTCACATATTTCGAGGAGTGGTATCGTCGCGATTTCAACTTGCGCGCAGCTGGAGACTATCGTCGAGAAAGTGAAGTGACAAGGGCGGTGTGATGCACCACTACCCACAATGGCAGCGCAGAGCAAAATGTAGCCATCCGAATTGATCCACGTACGGATGTACGCAGATATTGGATCACCGCACCCCGCTTCGTTGTATCACCCTTTTTCTGCTCTACGCCACCTTTGCAACCCGCAAGATCTGAACAAGGGTGGTTCTCGAGCCTGGTCTGGCAGGAGAGTTTTTTAATGTAGAGGCCAGTCACCCGAGTGAACTGGAGGTGGGAGCGGGGCGGGAGGCGTGCTGAGACGCCTGGCGTTGTTCGAGGATGTTCGTGGATGAAGAATAAACCTAGACGGCTGGAGCTTGAAAAAAGGTTTGGGGCGTTTGAAGCGGAGATCAAGTTAGTGATGTCGCATATAGGGGTTAATTCCACGAGCGCCCGTGGATCTCGAGTGGCTGAATTAGGCACTATTCCTTCGATCTTACCGGTTTGTATGTGTCTTTAACCGCTGAAGAAGATGTCTACGGTACTTCAGACCTCTGAGTCCTGGCCAGGACTTGAAGGCGTAAAGCGACTTTTCATTTTGTGAGTGGCACCCCACTCATCGTACGAACGACCCGCGTCTGACCTTCCAAATACACCGTTCAGTGGCGACTCCTACTGCTCCGTCTTCAAAACTCCAACAAACTTCTCTCAGGAAATCAGCCCCAGCGCCGACAACCCATTCTACACCCCCTACCCTGGTCGAACCTATGCAGGGGAGGGGCAACCCAACTGGGTGGGACATTTTATCACAAAGTACGCACCAGGTCCACGGTACGACCCCTCGAAGAAAAGGCAGAGCAAAGACTATAAGAAAGATCCGCTTTTGGTGTATAACTATGCCAGTGGAGGCGACCGGGTCGCCGGTGTTGCGTACCAAGTCCAGAAGCTTTTCTTACCCCACGTGGGCGCCAAACCGCGCTGGGCACCTTGGGATGAGCGGAATAGCTTGTTTAGTGAGTGTTGTATTCGGTGGTCGTTTCCATCACGCATGGCTAACGAAATTGGGGCTTTTAAGCGATGTTTGTGGGCATTAATGACTGTGCATCGTTTTTCTACCCATCGGGGCTTCAGCAGTCGGAAGGACAACCCAACGTGGATCCAGTTGCTGCACGGGTAGACCAATTCATGGAACTTCAGGAGGAACTGTACGCCGCTGGTGCTCGGAACTTTGTTTTCTTCGATCTTCCTCCGATTGACCAGTCTCCCGCACGTACGTCTACTATGCTTACTCATTTCACTTACAGTAGGTCTGATAACAGCTCCCACCGTTTATGAAGTTGCATCCTCTAAAGATCTGGACCCAAACCACATCAGTCCGTACCAGAAATGGAATCAGATCCTCCTCGGGCGCCTCGAGACGTTCAAATCCAGTCACCCCGACGCTACCGTCTTCCTCTTCTCGACACACCAGGTTTTCAGCGACCTCCTCCAGAACTTGGAGAAATACGGTTTTCCAACGGAAGATAGACATCGCAAAGGCGGCTCGGTGTGGGTGGACCATCTCCATCCGACGAGCCGAGTACACGATATCATTGCTCGTTCGTTGGCGGAATTTTTGAACGGCGTTGGAGGCGTGGGAGGAAGGGATGCAGAAGAGTCCTTGGAAAGTGAAAAAGTAAAGAAGGAGAGAAGTGGAGTGAGCAAGTTCTTTCGTTCGGCCTCGTTGAAGATGGGTCTGGGCGGTAAGGACTCGTAGCGCAGAAAAGATATTGGGCCGTACTCTAAATATGTAGGATACATTACACTACTCTCTTTCCTTGGATGTCAAATGATACGTCAATATGATAATCGTCAGTTCTAATTGGGTCAGGCCGTTTCAAGGAGCATAGGAAGGCGGCGGAGGGTGGTGGGCACGGACCTGCTGGAACTTCTTGCGATTGACACTGTCCTCGAAGTGAACAGCAGGAATCGGTGAGTATCGAGTCTGTTCATGGGAATGTCCATAGGGTCCCCGAGGCGCGTTCCAGGGGAACGCAGTAGGTGCCAACGTCTCAGGGACAAAAGGGGAAATGCGGTAGGTAGGTCGTGAGCGTGCTGGATTCAGACGCAATGAGTGCCGCTGCTCCCGGGTTGTTGATTTAAACGCCCGCCCCTTTCGGAAAAGGAAGCACAGGACCACGAAGAGCGTGAGTGACGCTGCGATGGGTACCGCTACCACTAGACGCATCTTCGAGCCGTCGTTTTCGCTTCGAACGAGAGAGTTTGCGGCTGCGAGGGGAGATTCAGACCCTGGGATATCGGAGTCAATGGAGGGTATAAAGCTGACTTGGTCGACGTAGAATGCCCTTCGGTTAGGTGAAATGACCGCAAGTCTGAACTCATGGTCTCCATCTGGCAAGGGACCTGATCTACGTAGCTAGATCCTGTGCCTTCCAGGGCTACCGCTGGGTCGTGCACCTATTGTCTTGTCGTCCAAGGTACATTCCCAGTGAACGTCGGCATCCTGGTCTTGCACTGTACCCAAGAGCTCGACCTCAGAACCTTTGTATCAATCCTGTCAGAAACTGAGGAAGAAAGGAGACCATAAAGGTGGACAAACACACCTCTGAATTTGAAGGTCAAGTTCGCATTCCCCGTCGCCACATGCACTTGGGAGTCCAACCAAGGGGTTTCCTCGTCTATTTGTTTCTCGTAGAGCCTGTCTGGATCTCCCAAGATCCTTCGTACGCAATTTCAGGGGAGGAATTGTTCAGGTGGACCCAACATTCTTCGGTCGGCGTGTCAGCCATCGGTTTGGAGGGAGAGGAGAGGAGGGTGGGCCTCTTTGACAGCAGTGGAGGCGACTTCTATGATTCCATCTCACTGGTCTGAGCACGTCTGTTGCAGCCGTTGCCCAGAGTAGGGCGATCAAATCCCTGTTCAACAACCTTCACATCGAGATGTTGATGCGAGTGTTTACGAACGTTCTTTTCTGAAAAAAATAGGGGCCTGATCTTCGCGACATCTCTGGTGGCCAAGGAGTGAGCGCATGCATAACGAGAAGCGATCTTCTATGCTTAATTCGCCTCTTCGGAGATCCTTATCAGCAGCCTCGTTGCGGCAAGGACACGGTGTATTTCTAAGTTGTTGAGCTACACGCTGTTGAACAAGTGATTCCTGTCTTCCACACCGTCGTCCCCCTTGTTAGCCCCGGTCCAGACAAAGATCAAATGGGGAAGAAAAAAAATCCTCGTCGGGAAGAGCGTAACCCCCAGTCTCCATTTTGCGAGTCTTTACGTAAGTAAAGCGAGTTTTTTTAGGGCGAGAATTCTGCTCAAGGGCGTAACCTGCAATATCCATTTGGAAGGTGTTGTTCCGTGATCGGTTTCTCCGGAGCGACTACGGGGCGAATACATGAGTAGTCGGGGGAGGCAGTAGGGTCGTCAATACGAAAAGAGCCTAATGCTTTCCACAGGAAGTGATTATATGCACAATTGAGATAGCGGAGGATTTCCTCGTCGAGGCGGTTGATGGGCTTGTCTCTGGATCGAACCTTTGAGGTGTGAGACGCGCGCCAGATTACTTGTTGATGTTTGCCAACGTCCTCTGCACTGCCACTGCCGACTTCCCCTGACTTCCCTTTGCTCACCCCGGGAACACCGATGTCCTGCCATTGCTCTCCGACTGCTCTTTTTTTGTCTGGCTCTGCTGAGCACTTGAGTAGCACAATGTCTTCCTCTACATGAACGCAGACCGGAAATCCTGACATAAGAATCGTATGTAATCTCTTTAGGTAACGTTTCGAACGGGAACGAGCGCGAGCCCGCCGCAGGCGGGCGCCAGCGAGTTGCTCAATCCTTCGCGAAGCGACCCACTCGAAGCAAAGTACATGGAGCATGGAGAGCCCTATAACCCGGTAACCGCACACACGTGCGAGCACGAGCACGCCGCCTTAATTCCTAACTTGTCAACCGCAAAGACATTTTAGAGTGATTCCATATATGTCCCATGGCGAAGCAAAGAAGGCAAGGCAACTACCGGACACGCGCGCGAGCGCGAGCACGCCGCAGGCGTGCGCCAGCGAGTGCATGACCTAACAATGACATACATACTTCGTACGGTCGGCGGGAACGTCGTGGATGAAATTCCAATTTCCTGCGCGAGCCACCGAAAGTGGCTCTGCGTCGTCGATCAAAAATGGCTGAGGCCCCTATTTCTCCCCTGTCTCGAGTGTTCTGGAGGGCTTAAAGCTTTGACCCACTCAACGACATGGTACATCCTGGGGAACACCCTTATCTGTCCTTTTTATCTCGATGCATAGACTCATTTCGAAGGGGAAGTCGTAAATATTTAAATAAGCAAGGCTAGCTTGACCAGCCCTAAAGCAAGATAGCCACGCTGCTATGATATCCTATTTAGCACGGCTTCAGGTGGCAGAGGGCTGTTTCAATCTGTAGAATTGAGTTCAGAATTCGTATTCGCACAATCGGTCTGTCGTCATCCCGTCGTGATGCCAAGTTCGTGTGGTTCTGGACAAGACACATCCTCGAGTTCCACTGTCCTAAGTAATTCTAAATTTCATTTCAAAGACCAGGTAAACACAGTGGCATCGAGGCTCAGTTCGAGCATTTGGGAGGGATGCTGACAACTCCAGTCAATGGCAGTATGATATTGACATTGTCTAGAAAGTAGTACACGGCCAAAGGGAGCCTATGGTTAGGTACGGATAGGTGATAAGCCGAAATTTACAAGGCGCATTTATGGGCGCATTTGAGTATTTTAGTCACTCGGGAGTCGGAGAATGAAAGCCTCCTGTTGAGGCGCCCATGGTCTTTGAAGGACTGAACCTTGATCCCTTCTGATAATCTGATTTACGGTAGTTACTATTCACGCTGTCGTGAAGCTCCCTTTTTTTCTTATCCTTACATCTGGGAATGCGTCACAAATGGACCGTAACACAAGTAATAACTCACCATTGGAGTCCCCAGCTGAAATTGTGTTCTCGAGATGTATGCTGCAAAAGAGAATCAATGTCCAACGTCACTTATGATTTCCTCCCCAGTCTTTTGAGGCGTTCGCGGTGACTTCCGGATACTTCAAGCAATATATGTGGTCGCACTTCGTACCCACTGATAGATAGGGACTTGAGGACATTTTCGGTCGAGACTCGACTAAGCAAAGCCGCCCAAGGTTGCCCGCGTGGGAATTTTATCCAGGACGTTCCCGCCGACGATACCTACTCAACATAGTCTCAACGAAGCGACCCTAAAAGAGAAAGTAAAGACTCGCACTCGCCGTGCCCGTGGCATCGGCCTTTTCACAAGTAATTCAATTTCTGCTCGATCAAGCGCTCACCAGCGTCCTCCGGCGCCAATCTCTTTGGGAACTTTAGGGCAGGTCGAATCTTCCGTCCATCAGTGTTCTTTGCCTTGTGACGCGCAGAACCGCTCCAGCCATGTGCATCCTAACGTACACATTTAAGCCAGCACAATTGTGATGCCATACTGTCTAAGTACTCTCACCAGGTGGCTCAGTTCCAAGCTGTTCTTAATACCATGAGCACTTTCCTCCAAACTGGAAAAAAGGTGAGCGAACCAAGAGCGAACTTTTACGAGTCCGTTAGGAGTCGTTTCTATGCGGTCAGTTTTTGTGAGACTTCATTTGGGCCCGTGGGAGAGTGGATGGACAGGTGTCAAAGGGCTTCTTTCATTTAATTACGTGTTCATTTGACATCGTTCTGAGTGTTTAGTCTCGTTTCAACGTAGATCTGTCAGAGAATTGATTGACAGGTGTTAAGTGTATGACGCAATTAATGGTGGTCAGTCCCCTTCGATTAGCACATTTTATGACATCATGCCTGTGGTCCCAGTTCCGTTTCTGAGAGGCCATGTTGAGCATTGATGCCATCAAAGCACTCGGGATCTTCCTTACAAACCTGATGGCTGTTGGTTCAATCCCGGGTGGCACCATTTATTTTAATGGTGTACGATAATTTGTAAATTGTTGCTGGTTCATTGTTCAATCCCTGTTAGTACCATTTGTTTCCAAGAATATATGACTTGTTACAGGAGTTGTATCTTGATTTATAGCATATTGTTAAATAAATTGTAAGAAATTACAATAATTGTAGTGTAAAACATGGGGCCCTGGGTGCGAGCGCGAGCGCACCGGAGGTGTGCGCCAGCGAGCACCATCAATATTGCACCTCCCATTGACGGACTCGTAACCTGCCAGGAGCATGCGAGTTGGCCCACAGATCAAGTATTGATAGTAATTAGTTGCTTTCCAAGTTGCTGACGGTCGACAAGATCGTGGCGATAGGCCGAAACTACGTCGCACATGCCAACGAGCTTAACAACGCAGTTCCCAAAGCACCTTTCTTCTTCCTCAAGCCCACTTCAAGCTATCTGCCCTCGGGAGGGAAGGTCGAAATACCACAAGGAGTTGTTGCACATCACGAAGGCAAGTCCAATTATGCTCTTCATTCAGTTCATTGATTGAATGTTCACCCTGGTGTAAAGTTGAGCTCGGCGTCGTCATCGGGAAGTGGGGAAGGGACATCCAACAATCCGACGCAGACGACTATGTCGCGGGCTACACGTTAGCAGTCGATATGACAGCGAGGAACCTCCAAGATCAAGTCAAGAGAATGGGTTTACCTTGGTCAGCCGCCAAAGGTTTCGATACCTTCACTCCAATTGGGCAAGTGATTGTCGACGTCGGTTCTGAAGAGTCCGCGTCTGTGATTAACATACGTCACCCGTCTGAAGGTCGTTCATCCCCAAGGCAGAAATCGCCGACCCTGACAACCTCAGAATCTCGCTCAAGGCAAGTCCTATGGAAGAAGTCACGTACCAATAGATTGTAACCTTCCCACCAGATCAATGGCGAGACGAAACAAGATGGAAGCACTTCCGATATGATCTTCAAGATTCCCCGGTTGCTGAAGGACATTTCTGCTATCATGACGCTGGAGGTCTGTCACCATTGCCTTGACTCCGACCCTCTCTGATATCGTAGCATGCACTGCCAAGGAGGGGGATGTAGTTTTGACAGGGACCCCGTCTGGTGTTGGGCCTGTTGTCCCCGGAGACTCCGTGGAATGCTCACTTGCCGGAGCAGACGGAAGGCTGGTATCGACACTAAAGTTTACAGCAACTCAAAGGGAAGGGGGATACAGGTTCAAAGAGGACTGAAGCTGCGTCTGCGAGAAGGTCGATTGAGGATCCACATAATATAATGTACATTTCTGGTGGTTAGAGCATCAAGCCAACTTACGATGAACGCCGTTGGAAGCGTTAGAGTTAGAGCATGTTGATTATGGCAGTATATGCCGCCTTGGGACGGAACTGGCCATCGAATAACAAGGGGTTTGTGTTAGACCTCCAGGAGTTCTGGTACCAAAGTCAGTACACGATGCGAGGGACCCAAAGACGGGATCGCTTACCGCATCGCTAACGCCCCAGACAGTGATACCGATGCACAGAGGGGTGTTGAGGCAAGCACGGACAACGGTGGTGTAGTCGTTGGCGGAAGCTTGTTGGATATCCAATTCGGTAATGGCAACTTCTTTGATGCCAACAGTCCTGGCCAGAGCGTTCAGGGCGGCTTGTGCCCCTCCAGAACCTCCCGCCTTTGGTTGAAAGGGCTGTCAGTCTTCAAGTAGGGTTTACAGTGGCAGATTCCACGTACTCCGAGATGCATCTGTGTACCCATGCCGTCGACGGTTCCGGGATTCGCTTGGTTAACCCGGTTGACGAGGTTGACCATCCCTCGGACCTTAGCATTGTCCGAGTCGAGGTTGTAGTCGTTGATGTAGAGACTTTGGGAAAGACACTTAATAAACTGTTTGGCCAGTAAGACGAAACATACACTGCTTTAGGATCTGCTTTGCGAGCGGCCTGGAAGGCGACAGCAACGAAGCTCTGTGCGCGGGTTAGTGCTTATAGATCCGGTTCCGGGCACAAGCCCACTTACTTCTCCCATAACCCGAGAGAAGACGCTCTGGCGCAAGGAACCGTCTTCATTGAAGATTTCACTTTCGACCGAGTCAGTCAATATTCTTGATTCGCAACAACGCGAACGAGGCTCACTTGATGACATCCCACTGGATAGTATTGGGATGGAGTCAGTGATGGGAGCGGGTGTTATTGTGTGTATTGCTTACAGCGTATAGTTTTCCAGCATAGCGGCCAGCGAGGTTGGAGATGTGATTCTCAATGACCGTAGTCTAAGAAATGTACAGGTCAATGATGAACAGGAGGTAATTGAGATCATGTTCAATACGCACTAAAGTCGCCCTATCGTTGATGTTGTTGACCCATCCAGGAAGTTGGGAGTGCCACACTGGGATGGAGTGAGACGTTGTCGAAGGAAACTCTCAGAAATAGACGAACCCAAGGTGTGTCCTCTGATCAATTTACCATTCTCGACCGCCCAGTTGACGAGTCGATCCGCGTTTCCGTAATTGAAGCTTCCTCTGTTTGCTGAATAATCCCAAGGATAGTCAACGGACGTGATGGAATACGGCGAACCCCGCGCGACTTACGCTCAGTAGCATCCCACTTCATCGAATTTTCCTACAGGCATTAGGTCAGAAGAATCGCTCTATCTATCGGACCAACTCGAGCCAACATACAGGAGTGACTTGGCCGAAGTCCTTCTTGAGAACATCGACATTGGCTGACAGGGAGGGTTTGTAAGAGCTTCATTAGAGGTTTGAGGCATCTAATCACCGGCGATGTTGAGAGTGTTGGGGTCAGCGCAAGCTCCCTAAGGACAATGGATGTAAGGATAAGGTTATAAATCGGATCGTTCGAAGCCACGTACGAAGTATAACTTCCCCTTCGCGCCGAATTTATCCTGCAAGCCCCCTGCGCTGGCCGACGGTTTGGGCGGCCCTGTAGCTGGCGGCTGAGTCGTAATCGGAGGTAAGGTTGTGATTGGGGGCTGCGTTGTTACAGGAGGGGGTTGAGTCGTAACGGGAGGCTGGGGCTGGGTGACTGGAGGTTGTGCGGTCCCCGGCTGGCATCTGCAGCACAGTTAAAGCATGTCGACTATTCTAGCGCACGAGATACGCACTGTGAATACCAATCGTTCAGCTTGACGCATGTGTAACCCGAATCACCTAAAGACAAGGTTTGGTATCGAATTCTTCAGTTACTAAATAGTAAAGGCCGGGAAAGCCTACATTGAGTCTATAAGTTGTTGGAACGCCAAGGCTTCAACATCAGCGCCGTGTTACTTGGCGACGGAGAGATTTCCAAAAACGTACACTTCCAGTATACCCATTGCCTCCACCTACGGACAAGACTTCTCAGACCCAGTATCGGAGAGCTGCTGGTGCCCAAAATGGACTTACATTGACCATAAGGACCTACGGCAGACGCTCTGAGTGCGTTGGAGACGGCGAAAGCGACAAGAGCTAAGAGTTTCTGCATACTGGGATGGGTCTGCCAAGTTTCCTGAGAACTCTTGGGTTGCTTTATACCCCGCCTTGGCACTCTACCCCACCGACTTTAGCGACACTAGTCCGATGTTTATGCTTATCTTTGAAACGCGGAGATTTGGGAAGTCAGAAAAACCGATCTCTCTCACCAGATACAGTTTCGAGCATGCTCAGTGCTTCTTCAGAATTCAATACTGGACCGATGATAGGCTTTAGCTGCAATAGCGTTCACGTGAGAATCCCGAGTCTCGACGGTCCTATGTCTCATCCTATTTCAGATTTTACTTGTCAGTGTCAGGCCGTTTTCCGACAAGACCGAGGAATTCAGCGGGAGTTTATGGTGGTACAATCGGCATTCATGTAAGATATAACACATATTGATCCTGTTATACAAGATGTGTTTACAGCATTTGGGAAACGGCGTTGTAGGCGGCCTTCGGTTGGTAGTTGCGGTCGAAGAGCAAGGGGTTGGTGCTGGATCGCCACGAGTTCTTTGGGAAAAATGATTAGCTTCTGCCTTGGAATTCAGACAGGGAGAAACCTACGGCATCGCTGACACCCCAAACGGTAATACCGATACACAGGGGGGTGTTGAGGCAAGCACGGACAACGGTGGTGTAATCGTTGGCGGAAGCTTGTTGAATATCCAATTCCGTAATAGCGACTTCCTTAATACCAACGGTCCTGGCCAGAGCGTTAAGGGCAGCTTGGGCACCACCAGATCCACCTGGCTGTTTACAAGGCGTTAGTAATTTAAAAATCTCAAGTAAAAGCATAGACTCACTCCAAGATGCATTTGAGTACCCATTCCATCGACGGTTCCAGGGTTGGCTTGGTTGACCCGGTTGACGAGGTTGACCATTCCTCGGACCTTAGCATTGTCCGAATCAAGGTTGTAGTCGTTAATGTACAAGCTATGCAAGAGTACGTCACGGATTGTCAGAGCTCTGAAACGAACGGCGACTTACACAGATTTGGGGTCAGCACGGCGGGCAGCTTGGAAGGCAAGGGTGACGAAGGACTGTTCCAAGACAAGTGAGAACATGAGGTAGAATATATAGGTGATGAAAGACAGACCTCTCCCATGACGCGAGAGAAGACGCTCTGTCGCAAAGAGCCATCCTCGTTGAAGATTTCGCTGGCTATAGTCAGAATCTTGTGGACATACACACAATGTTCAGCAATACTCACTTGATGACGTCCCAAGCTTGAAACCGCCCCGTTAGTCTCTGAGTAATCCTAAGCTAGAGGAACACTTACCGAGAAGCTTCCCGGCATAGCGACCAGCGACAGCGGCGATGTGTTGTTCAATGACTTGAGTCTGTAAGGGTTCGGTGAATATTACCGTCAACTGGATACTGCAATAGACAGACCAATGTGTTCCTGTCGTTGATGCTGTTGACCCATTGTGGAAGCTGAGAGTGCCAGACTGCAACGGCCTTGAGCCCGATTTCCGTAATGAGGTATCTGAACACTCTTACCGAGGGTGTGTCCACGAATCAATTTTCCGTTGGTGACGGCCCAGTCGACGAGACGGTCGGCATTGCCCCAGTTAAAGTTGCCTCGACTGGCTGAAAGAAACGTCAGTTCAGCGTCCTGGACAAAACCGGACATTGCTTACGTTGAAGTGACTCCCACTGGTCATCGAAGGAGGAGGAACATTGAGGATCCAGATTTAAACGCGCATGTAGTCAATGATCACCTTCATGGAGTTTTCCTATCGAAGAAGCTATTTCAGATCTCATCCTTGCATCACAAAAGAGAACTGCCTTACGGGAGTAACTTGACCGAATTCTCGCTGGAGAACGGCGACGTTGGCTGGGTACATTATTCATGTAAGAGTGGGATCGAAGTCGATATTGAAATGGCATTACCCGCGATGTTGAGGGTGTTCGGGTCAGCGCAAGCACCCTGAAACCATGATCAGACATAGTTGTGACCACACGAGCCTTGTGCTCACGAAGTATTGCTTGCCCCTAGCGACAATCTTGGCATGAAGACTGCCTGGTGCGGCGCTACCACTTGGAGCAGGTGGGTTAGTGGTGGCAGGTGGTTGTGTAGTAGCAGGTGGTTGAGTTGTGGCGGGCGGCTGGGTGGTAGCAGGAGGCTGGGTGGTGACAGGGGGGGCAGCCCCAGGTTGGCATCTTTGAGAGGTCATCAGTAAAGAAAGGCGGATATATCACCGGTACACCTACTGAGAATACCAGTCATTCAGCTTGACGCAAGAGTAACCACTCTGGCCTGGAAGGTGGTAGAAACAAATATTAATTCTATTGCCCCGGATAAAGTGACGAGGCATCTACTGACAAGTGGTCTGAGGGACGTATGTTAGTGTAAAGGCGTTAGCCAGTCAATAGGGCGAGGACATACGTTTCCGTTATAGCCGTTACCACCACATTGACCCCAAGGGCCAACGGTATTCTGGGCGTTAACAGCAGCGATGGCAAGAGCGACTATGGAGAGAAGTTTGACCGACATGTTGAGCAGGGGATCCTCGAGCGTTCAACAGAAAGCCTCGGCGCTGCTCTTTATAGGCGCCAGTCGAATAATCCGAACATGTTGCCGCGTGCCTTGTTAACGGGGTATTCCACGTGCGGCAATGTTCCCAAAACAATCGAAACGACCCATCTGCTCCCACATGTGTGCACCAAGCGGGATTTTCTCGCATAAGAGATCTGAAAAGCGTGGCTGGGACGACAATCAGCTCGCCAACTTGATACACTGAGTACAGGTCGGGTACAGACGAATATGGCAAGGTAATCACCTGGAGAACATGGATTTAGGAATAGTTTCCGAAGGAAGGCTTCTCGTAGCCTTTTGGGTCCGCTTCTTCGAGATTCTGGGGGAGGCCCGTGGCTGACCGTTAAGATCTACCCAGATCGTCCGGGGGCCTTCGTGAGCGGAATTTTGAACAGGTGACCACCGCCCAGCATTCCTTGACATAGTGATTCCACTTCGACTCGAAGAGTGTACCTTCCGTGGTTGAGCCTGGGGTGTGTAAAATGCGTGTCTTCCAGCTTTTGCGAGTATACCTTGATTCCGAAGAATTGGCGTATAGGCACCAAGCCCATCGAACGGGAATCAGGCCGGCCTCCGGTCAGACCATCTGTGAAACATACCAGGGGCTGAGATGCGGAGAGGTGGTGGGACATAGTAGCTCGTCCAGCTCACTCGATACTACTATCTGCGGGTGAACCAATAAGGGTGACATTGACAATTGGTAACAGACTCACCATGCTGGGGAATTTCATTAAAGGAGTCCCATAGCCTCCATAACCCCGGACAGAGGAATACCGCGCTGAAAAAGGGACTTTTGACGTTTCCAAAAATGTGGACCATGTTCCCCTGTAGCCCCAACAAGCAGAGCTGGGGTTTCAATTCAATCTTCAGGAATGCAGGAACCAATGCCCTGTCGTCATAGGAAAAGTATAAAAACTGCACAATACCATGAAGCAGGCTTGCTTCTCTGTCAGGTTTCGCTTCGGAAGAATTGCTGTCTAGTCGCAGTCGACGGCTGAAGAATTAACGGGAAGAATCGAGTATTCCATTCCATCCGTGGCTAATCTCCAAAGAGAAGTACAATTGTCCCCACGTTCCCCCAAGCACGGGCCCTCTTGCTTCGACATCCTAAAGGACCATGAAGATCAGCGGAAGTGGAGAGGAGAACATACTGTTCTTCAACTGCACGGCCCGCCAGAAGGAATTGCGAGGGACAGCGGTCCGACGTTCTGCGATACACCACAACCATCGCGGCTATCCGTCAAGACCGAAGGGTCCCGCATCCATAAGCCAGACTTCAGCGACCAGAAAAAAAGCCATCCGAGCATGTCCATCATCTCCAAAACGTCAGCGACGCCCTCGATGGTCACTACAAGGGCAAACGAAGTCCATAGGCGGGCAACACGATAGGAAGAAAACCGGAGCGGATGGAAGTGTTTGGGAAAAGGTGGTTGATCGTCGAAAAGTCACATTTGCAAGTGCGGGTTCTCTTCCAGAATCTGATAGAATGCCGTGTATTCCTCCGGAGTCATCAGCTCGTGATCTGCTTCAGTCACCTGAGACAGCGGTTTTGCCTCGCCATTAACTATTGATGGAGGAAAAGAAGGAAAAAGGTCATAAGCACGTCTTTTCGCCGAAGTGATAGGTACTTACCATAGACAATCGGATCACCTCCCGCCCCGCTATCTCCTGGGTGGTAACTGATGTCCATTGCAGTGCTCTCTTCAGTGATGCTGGCCTCAACAAAGCTCGGCACACTCTCGGTCTTGGGTATCTTTGGCGTCTTCGAGCCTCCTCCGATATCCTCTGCAGACCTGGACCGCTTCCTGTAATCGTTCAACGAGTCGAGGTATTCGATTGCAGGTTTTCGGTCTTCTTCTTCGTCTCCATATTCAGAAGCTACCGCAGGTGCCGGGGTGGGTGCAACTGAGACCGTGCTTGAAGCGGGTGTCGAAGCGGCAGCGAGGCTGGCATAGTACCTGTCGAGGACGTCCACATTGATGTCGACTTTACTATCCACGTTGCTGTCGGCTGGTCCGGTGTTCAGTGTCATCGATGTCGACGAGGAGACAGAGCGTTGGTGTGATCTACTCGAGCTCGCGCCGATGACACCGAGGCCTTTCAAACTCTCATCGCCAAGCAACGTCTGCGCCTGAGCAGCCGCTATCCTAGCCGACTCTTTCACGCCCAACGCCGTCAGGTCGCCCGTGATTGTACTCTTCAAATGCCACGCCGGTAACGCATTCTGAACACGCTTTTGCTCCGCCTCCTTCTCGCGTTCCTTGCGTCTCCTTTCTTCGTCTTCTCCATCCCCTTCCTGAACCATGACGATACCGATACCATCGTCCACCCTGCCAGAAGACCCTGCTCCAGCAACTTTCAATCCATGACCCGCAGAGCTGCCCCCGCCTGAAGCCCCATCGGTGCCTCCATTCATCTGTTGTCGCTGAGCCGCCTCGGCTGCTACATGCGTCTTGACCCAGGTGGCAACATCGAACTTGGGAAGCTTCATCGCCTCACTCTTTTGCAAGCCTTCGCGGATGAAGCGCATCTGGTGGTTGAAGCGCATCATGCGATCCTTGCTGCCCTGGACGCTGGCTGAGTTCTCGTTGTCGACCAATTCATGATGGCAAATGTCGCAGGCGAAGATGCCCCGACTGAAGTCCATCAACTTGTCGGCCTCCAGTGGGGTGAAAGATTGCTTGCACTGAGGGCAGATGTAACCCTTGTTGTCGATTTCCTGTTATTTACGATCAGCCATGAACGCAATAGAAAGAGGCACATTCTTCTTACGTTCCGCAGCTTGTGGTCAATCTTGTGACGCATTTTGGCGATGCGCCACTTGACGACATTGCAAAAGTGCTCATAGTCGATGTAGTAGTACTGCTTTCCGACTGAACGCTGGGCTCCTTCCTTGAGCTCGTTTTGCCGATACCTGCAACGGGGTTTGAACAACTGTCATATTGGTGGGACACGGTTAACGTACACCTTCACCAGACAATCGTTTGACAACACAGCGATGACCTTGTTCAGCTCTTTAGGCTGCAAGCCCATTCGACCAGCGAGATCATCATCTTTGAGACTAGTCGAATGAGTGAAAAGGTTAGCAAAGCAAGGTTGAAAAGAATACAGAACGTACACCGGGTGTCTTGCCAATTGATCCATGATAATGATATACTTGGGCTCATAGAAGGCCCTTGAAACATGCTGCACCAGCAGCCGTAGTGTTTCTTGTTCCTCCTTGGTAGACATGGCTGGGGTATTCCGACTTGATCTGCCTTGAGCTTTCCAGGTCACCGCTGCGAGCCAGACGCTCGTGAAAGAAAAGAATTTAGTTGTATTTCAAGCAGAAACCCAATATGCGATACTGTGAGCCGTGTATGTAGAATGGTGCAGTGCAGGGACCGATGGTGGACGTCGTCGACAAAAGAAAAAAGGTCGGCCAGTCAAGTCGCTGTGGTACATTCCTTGTGGCTATACAATCGTGGGAATTGACGCAAATTCCCAACAACAGCCGACAACGTGAGTCGCTCGCCGCGGCGGGTTTCTTCTTCGTATCTTCATCACCCGGGTTTCGACTTCAGACGACTCAAAGGCAACGATGGCGCCCCTTTCCCTACGAAACACGGCAGAAGAATATCTTTCGACGGCATATCTACCCCCGCTGTGATATACAGAGTCACATCTGACGTTGGATTACTGCGCTCTTTTCTTTGTGACAATAGCAGTATTATTGTCCCCTGTTGCTCGCCGCCGGATGGGATAACGAATCCTCGTTGTCCAGGAACAAGGGTCATATAAGTCATCTGCTCCAAGGCGGTCCCTTTGCAATCCATAAATCTCAGAATTCGCCACTCAAAGGCTCGGCTTTCTGCTTTCGTCAGTCTTGGTTCAGCATACTGCCGTGACTGGAGGAGCGCGCAGCCATGGCCTTGTTCCTGGAGAATGATTCGTGCTCCCCAGATGTCATGAGCCATCGGAACACCTCCCGAGCCATTCCCGAGCTGACAATGGAACCTGGTCGCCTGCCAGGTTCCTCGAGATGAGCAACGGCTACTGGAGCAGAGCGTTCTGCAACGGAATAAAGGCTCAAGTACTGATCACTTGGGCAACTTTCTAGACATAGAAACCCAGAGCTGATTGCCAAATGTGAGTGGCGGTTGGTCAGTTGGCTGTCGCACGCCATTTTGACTGACTGAAGTCATCCTCTGCGTTTGGCTGGCGCCACCATGTATCCCATTGGTTATGATAGTCATCTCTTCAGGAATCGATCTGCCATCCTTTCGCTGAATGATTAAACCTGACCAGTAATTCCATTCAGGACGCGCCACATATCCGCAGGGTGGAACACAATTCGCGCGAAGATAATTGGCTCTTGTTTTCTTCCACCGGTTACTTGTCTGATTGGTGACTATCTAACGTCGCTTTTTAGGTGGATCGTCACTCTTAGCCGTACGCCGCAGGTCACTGCGACCACAATCGTGAGTACCTCAGTCCTCTAAATATCTGATAACAAGGCACACTTATGATATCATTCCAGGGCGGCGACCACATAAGGCAGAGTTGTACTGGGTCGTCAGCCACGCCGACTCGGACAGCCCCCCCCCCTCGGTTTCTCACAATGACAAGAGCGAAGCGTATATGGACTGTGAGGGCCGAACAGCATGCTGGCCTCACTTGTGCCTGGATCCAATCTGTTGCTGTCAGTTCCATTTTTCTTTTCCGACACTCTATGGCAAGCATCCCGAACATGTCTTGGAGTTTACCGGTGAGGCCAGCACTTCATTCGCATTCAACGTTCTGATCAGAAATGTAGTCGTTATTGATACAAGTAATATGAAAAACTGCCGCCGAAAATCTCCTCCACTGCCATGGTGTAAACTCCTTTATGCAGCCCGAGTTGGCTCTTCGCCATAGACAACTGTCTGGTCCACTTCGGGAGGGATGACAGTTGCACTGGGATCTACGATACTTGGGCCTTGACTGAAATACATCCATCAGCTATATGTATCTGTCGACATTGGGCAAGTCGCTTACGTCCAAACAAAGGTTTCAGTTCTGTCGACAAGGTATGGTTCCTCCTTGATGATGGTGTGGAACACCCTTGTAGCAGTGAAGACGTCCCCTTCAGCAGCCAAAGCCTAGGGACACGCTAAGGTAAGCCACATCTTTCGTAATGGAGAAGATAAGACACTTACGACGTTGGAAGCAAGGATGGCGACGAGGGAGGCAAAGGTGAACTTGAGTTGCATGATGAAGTCGGTGACTCTGAAGCTTTGGACTGGGGTGAGATTGTTTGACAAGTCTTCCGGTATATATCTAATTCCTTTCACCCCAGATCCTGGTATAGGATAGACCCAGATACTCTTACTAAGGTGGCACGAATGACCGACCGAATCTCGCGAGAAATCTTTCAACTTTTCCAGACACTCGATGAGTCGAAAACAATGCGTTTACCCCTGGAGTTACGGATTGGGTCTCAGGTGACTGTTACAACAAGCGCTCAGGATCCCCTAGTATGTCTAATCGTGACGTCTCTACCGACGCTTGGCGCTCATTGACAGCTATCGCGACAGATTCTTACATTTCTGTCAACGCCATCCTTTCTCGTTTACGTAGCTTTCTGCTACGGTGCTGTCCTTTGTCAGAGATCCCTCCAGCACGACGATTGATAACGAGATCTCAATCGACGGAACGGCTCCCCTGGACCTGATGCACTTATCCTCTTACTCATTGCAGTCATTACAATCGAGTCTCGTTCGCACGTTGTCACGGAATGGGACCTGAAAAATGAAGGATATAAACCCTCAAGTGCCGCCCTGAAATTTTCAGACTTTTTGAGTCGACAAGCTCGAGGTCTCCAACATGCAATTGCTTGCCTTCGTCCTCGCTGCTTTACCCCTCGCACGGGCTGCCATTGGCCCTGTTGGCAACCTAGTCATCGCCAACGCGAACGTCTCACCAGACGGCTTCGTTCGCTCGTGAGTAGGCCCGCGGCCTTTCACCATTTCTTTTCATTAACTCTCCTCTGCAGGGCTGTCCTTGCCGGCGCTACAGGTACCAGTCTTGAGCACCCAGGGCCTGTTATCGTGGGCCAGAAGGTAACACTATTGACGTCCCTTGGTCAGAATCCTTCCTTACACCCTTTATCTAGGGCGACACTTTCCACATCAATGTCATCGATGACCTTACTGACCCCACTATGCTTCGAACAACCAGTATTGTAAAGCAAATTTGCTTGGCATCCTTCAAACTTCACACTGACGTTCATGTCAGCACTGGCACGGTTTCTTGCAGGAGGGTACAGCTTGGGCCGACGGTCCTGCGGGTGTTACTCAATGCCCCATTGCCCCTGGTCACTCTTTCCTCTATAAGTTCCAGGCCAAAAACCAAGCTGGTACCTTCTGGTACCATTCCCACCACAGTGAGAGCGATGCTGGTAACGGACCTTGGGTCAATACTAACTCTTGACTTACAGTGTCTCAGTACTGTGACGGCCTGAGAGGCGTCATGGTCGTTTACGATCCCCTAGATCCCCATCGTCACCTGTGCGTACGCCTATCTATGACTCTCACCTTCGTACTCATTCCACCTACACAGGTATGACGTTGATAACGGTAATCCTTCCAATCCTTACGTCTCCGCTAAAGCTTACATTCAATCTTCATTGTTTCCTCATTTTCTCAGAGAATACTATCATCACGCTCGCGGACTGGTAAGCGCGCAAATAACCGAAAGTTCCAGTATCTGACTGTTTTCAGGTATCACGATCCCGCCCCTTCTGCTGGACTCGTCCCAACCCCCTGGTCGACTTTGATCAATGGCAAGGGCCGTTACCCAGGCGGACCCGTCGTGCCCTTGGCCGTCATTCACGTCAGCCGCGGAAAGCGCTACCGCTTCCGCCTCGTCTCCCTTTCGTGCGACCCTAACTATGTATTCTCTATTGACGGTCACACCATGGTTCGTAACCCTCCCATAATCCACTCCTCCCCTGCCTCATATTTTACGTTTTGCGACTGTTAGACGGTCATTGAAGTCGATGGTGTCAACCATGAACCGTTGGTTGTCGACCACATTCAAATCTTTGCTGGTCAACGGTACTCGTTTGTCTTGAACGCCAACCGGCCCGTCAACAACTACTGGGTCAGGGCTAACCCCAACCTCTGCTCTGTCGGCTTCGGTGGCGGTATTAATTCCGCAATTCTGCGATATGTTGGAGCTCCTGCCGTCGACCCAACCACCTCCCAATTGCCTTTCAGCAACCCACTCCTCGAGACCAACTTGCACCCTCTCGTAAATCCTGCTGCACCTGGCGGCCCTTCCCCCGGTGACGTCGATGTCGCCATCAACCTGGATATCTTGTTCGACGTCTCAATCCTCAAGTTCACTGTCAACGGTGCTACCTTCGATGAACCACCCGTTCCGGTCCTTCTCCAGATTTTGAGCGGTGCACATACCGCCTCATCTCTTCTCCCCTCTGGCAGCGTCTACACTCTTCCCCCTAACAAGGTCATTGAGCTCACTATTCCCGGTGGTGGTATCGGTGCTCCTGTAGGTCTTTCTTCTTCATCTTTCTCTCGATCTCGATGGTGATCACTCACTATTTGAAACCAGCACCCCATCCATCTTCACGGCGTGAGTATCCATCCGTTAAGCTTCATTAAGTCCCATGCTGACCGTTTGACAGCATACCTTCAAGGTTGTCCGTAGCGCAGGCAGCTCGACTTACAACTTCGTCAATCCCGTTGAGCGAGATGTTGTCAACGTTGGTCAAGCTGGCGACAATGTCACCATTCGATTCGTCACTGATAATGCTGGTCCCTGGATTCTTCACTGGTGCGCTATTTCTTTAGGCAGTCAATGTGTCAGAGTCTTACCCCCGTTCTTTTCAGCCACATTGACTGGCATTTGGTTTTGTAAGTTCACGTTTTGACGCATCAGGCGAATGGTACTCTAACTTCCTCCAGGGGCCTGTCTGTCGTCTTCGCGGAAGATGTCCCCACCATCGATAGCTCCGTTCAACCTCGTAAGTTCTGCGTGCCTCTGCTCGATATCATTTGGCTGACTTCTTGGCTTTAGCCGCCTGGCATGATCTGTGCCCCATCTATGACGCTCTTCCCCCCGGCACGAGGTAATCTCGCCCATGACATACTGGCACGGTATGACTTGGACAGGTTACGGAAATCAAAGTAAATGTTGGATAAGAAGAATAACATCGATATGTATATACAATAACTATTGGCTGTAACTGGAATTGCCTGAATGCACATGCTCTCTCTGCGCTCTCATACCCTCTTTCAAGCCTGCCACCAGCTGAGGACTCTTGGCATTCTCCGCAAAGCTGACTCGATCCTTGTGCCAGTCAAGCCAGTGCTCCGCTCGTACGCCATCTTGACTTTGGTCGATAAGCCCAATACTAATATCAATGATCTCTGGCCTCGATGCCGTCCACCAAAAGCACGTCGCTCCGCAGGTTCCACAAAATTCGGTATACCTACCGGGGCTGGCAACATACTGCTTCAAACCTCTGGGTCGTCGCACTGCGTCGGTGAAACAAATGGGATCGTCGCTTCCCACCTCTTGAACGTGTCGTCTAGGGACAAAGGCCCAGGATTGAATTTCGAATCCACTGGTGAGGCGACAGTAACCACAGGCGCAATGGCCGGTGAGGTACCTGGTCGGTTCCCCTGCTGCAAGGGAAGGACGTAGCCACCATTTCTCGTCGCGAATATTGCGAGCTTTCGCGAGGCGAGTCGTGTCCTTAGGAAAGATCAAGTCGGGATAGGGTGCCGTCGGGAGTCTGGCGATCACCTCGTCAGGGCGAGAAAGCGTGCATGATATGGCGCGACAGTGGCAGTAGAAGGAGAGAGCATCGCGCTGTTCCTCCTTGAGGTCAGGCGAACGCCAGCCCAGAGGGACTTGGTCACTGCCAATCGCACCCGAATAGCGAACGAGGTCAATGTCGTTGACCTTTAATAGTTGCTCGGCGAATCCTCCGTCCTTGGTGTCCGAGACATGGACATGACAGACCGGTTGAATGACACCCTCGGCTTGCTGTAACGCTCCCCCCGCCACACGCCAGTACTCCGTTCCCTCGTTCAACACACCCTCTTCTCCGAACGTTGAGAGCGATCTAGGCGGCCAGCCACCCGAAGACTGGTATTGGATATTCGGTGGGTCGAGATGAGGCTTCTCCTCTTGGAGATTCTCCAGGACGTTGACGTGAACCAACACCTTCGCTGAACACGTCGGGCAAAAGTACTGCGTCACCCCCTTCCTTTCCGGCGGCTGGTAGGCCTTGAGGACTTCATGTACAGGGACGGCCTTGTTGGTGCCCACCCATTGGGGGACGCCTACAATTCGGACGGTGTGGAAGGCCATCTGTCCGCTGGTGTGTCGGCAGGCATCGCAGTTGCACATGAAACAGGGGATGGGTAGGCTGTCAGTCGGAAAGGCAACGCGCATGGTGCTCTGTCGACAGTGGCAAGTAACTCGAACATGAGTAAGACTTTCGCTTCTCTGAAGAGGCTCCGGGCTTCCGCGTCTGGATGGAAGCGGGGTTCTGCGCGCGAGTTGAAGGTGTTGGAGGGTTTTGGGTGGGAGTGTAAAAGCTGATGTTGGAAGCACCGAATCCGAATCCGAAGAGCTGTCTTCGCCTTCGGGTTCGTCGTGGCGGACCTCTGTGCTCGCTTCGACTGAAACTTTGAATGGCGGTTTCGATTCTGAACGATGTCCGGACATTTCGACTTGTTGAATGCGAGTTACGGACGAGGGAATGAAAGGAATGGAAGAATCAGTGATTTCGATGGCCATTGTAATGAGGTCCGAGACATGGCCTATAATTAACGACGATGAGCTCATAGCGATCGACATCCAATGGAATTGGTCAGTCAGATTAATACTAGAGCTACACTGTACAGTGCACCAAGACCTGCGCGGGAATCCAACCTACGATAGTCAAGCCAAAATCCACTCAATCTAAGCCTCGATCTGAATGTCCTCTGTGACTGTCACTGTTGGGATTGGATCCTTCTTCTCTCTAGCGTCGGAGACGATACGACGTTTCGAAGGAATAGCTGGAGTTGTTATGGATGTGGTCGACGGGGAGGGAGGTGTAGTCTTCTCCTTCTTGGCGGCGCGTAGTCCGGCTAACAACCCAGATACAGACTTCGTTCCCAATGCCTGCTCCGAAAAGCCAACACGGTCCAAGCACCAGTCGAACCATCCTTCTGCCCTCGCTCCGTCTTGTTCTTCGTCGACCAGGGCGACAGCGACGCAAATCAGATCCGGTCGTCCAGCTTGCCACCCAAACACTGTCGCTCCGCATTTCTGGCAGAATTCTCGGTATCTTCCAGGGCTGGATATATACTTCTTCAATCCGGAAAGCTTCTTGCGGTCGTGGCTCTCTAAATCATCTTGTGGGATGTGTACACTCGTCAGGCCTAGCTTGTTCACAGCGGCACGGACCTTGGCCAAGTCGTCATCTTCATCTTCGAATAGGGTGAAGGACTGCCCTTTGGTATCGACCAGATTGGCGAGGGGAATGTAGGCCCAGGACTGGAACTCGAACCCGCTGGCTAGCCTACAGTACTCACAGGCACAGTGTCCTGCCAGATACTTTGTGGGATTCGGCGATCCAGAAGGTCGAAGCCACCACTTGCTGTCCTCCGAGTTGCGTACTTTGGCCAATCGTGTTGTATCGTGGGGGTGGAGCAGATCCGGATAGGCGGCATGTGGGAAAGATGAAAGAAGGGTAGGGCGGGAAACGCTGAACTGGACTGATCTGCAGTGGCAGGAGAAGCGGAGCTTGTCATTCTTCGTCGGCTGTCGATCAGATGGTAGGGCTTGGTGCTTCCATCCGAGAGGCAGTTCGATTGTCCCCTCTCCGTGGCTGTATCTTGGCAAGGAGACTCCATCGACAATCCTCAAGTGGTCAGCCAATCCCCCGTCCATGGTGTCCTCGACGTAGATGTGGTAGCCAGGCTGGACGATACCCTCGACCTTCTCAAGCGCCCCAGCAGCGACTGTGGAGTAACCCTCTAGGCGCTCCTCATTCCCTCCTCCTGCGGGTTTTCCGAGGTAACGGAAGACGAGGTGTGCGGAGCAGACGCTACAAAAATAGCGCACTGCATCGTTCGAGGTTTGGTAGGCAATCAAGTCGCCATCACCAACACACTCTGGTCCCGGTTCGACGTGGAATGGGTCGTCGGTGTCTGCGCAAAGGAGGGCTTCGACTTTGACGTGGTATACGACCATTTGGCCTGAGCTGTGACGACAGGTGGAGCAGTGGCAGAGGTCATTGGATATGGGAAGGGAGGAGGTTTGGAAGACCGCTCGGAAAGTATTCAGTCCACAGTGACAACGGGCTTTGATATATGTGCGTCCGTCATCGTGGGTGGGTATCGGCGTTAGAGGTCTTGAAAACATGGGTATTGCAAGGTATCCTTGAAGGATGGTTGTAGATTGAACGGTAGTTGAAGCCTAGAAAGATGTGAGTAATTGTAGGGAAAATTAGTGGAAAGGGAGAACGCATACCGCAGCGAGATGGTTATATGAGTGTGGTTTGAGGGGAAGCTCGATATGCCCTAATCAGCCCTAATAAGGGACAAGGATCCAGGCCAAAACTGTACAGTGTACGAGATGCGGAACTTGAAGGCTGTGAAGGGATCCCCGGACTTATCCTGCTGTAGTCCGTCGGAACGATGTCATCCCCATGTGAACGCCCGGAGCTGGCCCGCCAAGTCTTCCGAATCCCAATTATTTTTGCAGTGAAGTCATCGAAATTGAGAGGCCACTGGGGGATAAAAAACGTGTTAAACGTGCGGAAAGGGCTAGAAAGTATCATCTTGAACTTTGATAGATTAGCCCGGACTGTAACATGGTATTCATAGGTGCAACCTTATCATGCACATGTAGCAAGCAGGTGTTTTTAGTTTGCACTGGTTGTTGATCACTTGCCAACAGACAGGTAACTTGCGGTTCTAATGTTCATTTAGACCGTCAGCAGATAGTCGCGTGCCAATCGCATGGCATTTGAAAGGACGATCTGCTCACCTCGTTGAAGCCGACCAGGCAGATGGTGTCGTAAATTTGAGGAAAGCGCGTCAACTGTTTTGCGGACGTTGAGGCATCGAGATAGCGTGGAGCAACCAGCGTAATTACATACACTGTCTTCCATAAAGAGCGTTTTAGGAAACTAGTGATCCATTTGCAAACTCGTAGTCGCTAGTCGTCGACGCTCCTGGCGTTCGCGTCGTCGTCGTTCAATCCATTCCAGTCAAACCTCCATCGACCAATTTCCAGACGGGATCAATTCCGGCTGCGGTGAATACCGAGTCATCATGGATGCCGATCCTAGCCGACCTCGACGTCATAGATCATTCCCTGATCATTTGAATGCCTTTAAGCGCTCAATCGGACACCCATTTTTCTGTCGAGTGAAGAAGGATGGGCCTGTTTCTCATTGATGGGATGAAACAACGGACAGAAACCTTCTTTACTACAAAAGCTTTATATTGTACTTAAACTTTAATGATCACTTTACCAAACTGGTCAGAGCGGTAAAGAAGCTCGAATCCTTGCTCAAATTTGTCGAGCCCTTCGATAACATGAGATACGATTGGGACAATCTTGTGCTTTGAAATGAACGCAGTAGCGTCTTCCATGTCTTTGTGGGATCCCATGGTAGATCCTGCACATTGCGTCAGCTCGGCACCAGAGCATCCACGTTCGAAGAACTCACCAATGAGCTGTTGGTTATGGAGGACCTGTTCCATGTGCATCGTGACGGTAGGACCAGCACCCCTGAGTCGATAAGTTAGATTGACCTTCCCGGATCCTATTTAGTGCAATGGTGTACTCACATTCCATACCAAACCACCCTTCCGCCATCTTGAAGCGAGTCTTTAATCTTGCCAAGGATTTCACCACCAGCACCATCGACCACAGAGTCAAGCTTGGTGCCTTCACCCTGTTTATTGAGCAGGGTCTGAAGTTGAGCCGGCCAATTTTCTATAGGAACATGACTTAGGAACCCGGATAGCACGCATGAGTGAATGTCAACTCACCGTCTTTATAGTTGACTCCACCTTTCGCGCCGAGCTCGATAGCCTTTTGGATCTTCTCGGTCTTTCCACTCGTCACATATACATTTGCACCAGCAGCGACGCAGAATTGTAACGCGAAGAGTGCAACGCCGCCGCCGATGCCAGTGATTAGCACATTGTGGCCAGCCTGTACTCCAGCATTGATCATAGCAGCCCTAATAGGTGCGTCAGTTCAGGTTTCTTCATGGCATTTCTTTCGTCGAGGAGGCCCATACCTCCAAGCGGTGATACCGCCGAGCGGCCACGCAGCAGCCTGGATATCATCGAGATGGTCGGGTGTACGAATAAGCTGCTCCCTGTCTACGACAAGGTACTCAGCGAAGGTTCCGGAAGGTTCATCTTGTCGACATCCAAGGACCTGGAAACTGACCGAGGGAGATCAGTCACCCGCAAGTCCGACAATCTCAATGAAGCTTAAGCTTACTTCTTGGGATCCTCGGGTCCGGTGGGCTTTGATTTCCATCCACTGCTTGGAACCAGGAAGACACGTTTATTGATGAGGTCATCCTTATCATCATGGGATGCAACGACGACGCCTGATCGTGACAGAATACGGGTCGTCAGATCAGCGCATGTATCATGAGGGGAAGCGCAAGGGACATAGGCATTTACCTGCTCCATCACCGCCAAAGATACTCTCTGGTTTAAGGCGAGGGTACATTCCCTTTCGAATCCACACCTGATAGAGAATCGTCAACAAGTGCTTTTCAGTGTATGACGAAATGAGCGCGTACGTCTTTGTGGTTGAAGCCGACCGCGGCCACCTTCACAAGAACTTTGCCGGGGCCCAGTTCAGGAAGAGGGTAATCCACTCGGAGTACTGCATCGTTCTTGAAGTCGGGGATGAGCTGATTCTGGCTCTTGGCCTCTCGAACGATAACAGCTTTGGTGGTCTTAGGAACGGTCATTGTAGGCGAGGATATCTGGACGAAGAATGTGCAGGTGAAGTAGGATGGTCGTCAGCTTCAATCGAGGAAGTGCGTGGAACGGTATAAATGAGAAACACGGTGCTGGGAATCCAGTCACCGTGGAGCTCCGTACTTGTAATCTGGAGACTGATTCCCGCACCTAGAGCGCGCTCCTTTGCTGACTGAGCAGGTGGGTTTCTTGTCCAAGAGCGCCTCGATTTCTGATGGACCCACACCCGAAATCCCCGGTGGACGAAAGAGAAAAGATCACCAGCACTTACCTCTTAGCTTTCGTGAACGGGCCACAATACTCGATGAAGAGGTTTTGATTTCGAACCTGAACGTCACGGTTCAGCCCTTCAGGGCTGAATTCGATTTCAGCGTGAACGCATAAACCTGCACTCCCCACGAACGAGCGACGTCGCGGCGTCATGATTGACGGACATCAGTCCGCTGCCCAATACTCAGTAAGTATGTCATGGCTGGATAAGCAGCGTTTAGAAGTGATCATGAGAGAAGGGTTGCATCATAGAAACGTTCCTGGCTTACCAATTAAAAACCAGTATGTGAGTTGGGAGCTTACGATACGAGATGAAAGTGGAAGCTGAAGGCCCACCATCGTGCCATATGCATCGCGCAGATCTCCCATGAAGCTTGCATGAAGGTTGAAGGCAAAGGGTCTAAGTCGTGAGTTAAATATTCCAGAAACTCTGACAGGAGACGTGCGGTCGTTGCTCTTCAGCAATCAGACTGTGCTGTTTCCAAGCTATTCCATCGGATTCGGCCGAAGGTGAGGTTTACAGTCAGTGCCAAGGCTTCAAGCCCCGACGAACTTGGACGCATGGAGCTCCGCTTCGCTTTCCGAGAGGCAGCATCAAGCTGAGTTTGATCATGCACGGCTTGATCGGCATATGTAATAATAGGGCCGGAAAAAACCGCCTACCATTGCTAGACACGCACGTAGATTGGTGTAGATTGGCACAAAGTGTCATCTATCGCAGACAACCTAGGTTAGAACGTAGACAAATACGTTCCTTAATTGAACCAGTCACAATGTAACCTTCTGGTACCTTTACGAGTTGGTTGTAATGAAAGTTGAACAGAGTGTACCGAGTCAAGTAATCAACACAGTTGCAACAGAAATTAATTAGCGCCCGTTGAGCGGAACAGCATTTGTGTATCCGCTAAGAGCCAATTTGGGCAATTAAGCAACGTGATATAGAGGTATATGCATCGCTAAAATAAGCGAATCTACTGTTGACTGGTTAGTGGAACTTAAGCGCCCATCAGATATTGCCCCTATCTTCCCGAGCGCAAGAAGAGGGCGACAACATCCAGCGCCCGGGGCAGTACGATCTTCTGAGAAGTGTACAATTAGATATCAGCAAGAAGTGACGGCGCTGCAATGTCCAGTGTCCTTCCTGACCTCTGAAACCACTCGAATAATACAACAATCACACCAAGCCCGGGCGACTCTGTATGGAGGGCAGCACCGGACAAAAATCAAATTGATCATAAGTTGCAAAAATATCCTTAAGTCTCCGAAATCTTCAGACCCGACAATGGAATTGATCTTAAGTGTCCCAAATACCAAGATCTCTTATTACTTCGGATTGATCTAAACTTCTCAAATTGATCTTAACTCACCAAAATCCTCAAGTGCCGTGATATGTTCAGGTCTCCAGAGCGAAGATCCTCATAGAGCTTCGGATTGATCTAAACTACTCAAATTGATCTTAACTTACCATCATCCTTACAGCTGTTTGCATAATTCTTTGCGCGAGCAGTTTTGTAGAATCGCTTTGATGGGGTTGATGGCACCTCGGAAAACTCCGTTTTACCTCATCGCCGGTCGAATACACGGCTGTTTCTGCGATTTTTGGCGGGTGAAAGAGACGATTAGTTGGTGCAGACGATTGGAAACATAACCAGAAGTGGTAAGGGCACATTGACGAGGCGATAAGCTCGCGACAATGCCTGGGTGATGCTCAGAACTGAGCCTCGAGCGGGACTTTTGCTGTCATGCGGAGCTTTCCAACCCGCCATCAATTGGTTTCTGAAAAATCGCTCGCGCAAAGAATTATGCAAACAGCTGTAAGTCACCATGATATGTTCCAAATCTCTTGAGTGAAGATCCTCAGAGACAAGTTTATACTTACCTAGTCACAAAGTCTGAGAATCGCAAATGTCGGCACAGGTCACGTGACCTGCAGCGGTCCGTCAAACCCGGGCCTCAAATGGGCCAAACGCGTCGGTTCGCCGACGCGACGACGAGCGCTAGTGTTCACCACGGGTAAACCCGGGGTCTGAAAGCCAGGACCCGTACCCGGACCCTGGCAAAACCCTACCCGCAACCCTGCGGGTTTTCCGCGGGGTTTGAGCTTTATTTCGTCCAAAACGGCCCAGAAATGGGCGAGTTATGCCTGGTTTACTTAAATCAAGCATAACTCGACCATTTCATGGCCAATTTGGACGTGTAGGGGCTCGTTTTGAAGATCGCGGGTACGAAAATGCGTACCCGGACCCGGACCCGCCATTACCCCTACCCTAAACCCGCAGGGTTTGCCGTACCCCTGCTTTTCACTAACGAGCGCTAGGCGCGTCTGGGGGACTCTGTCATGAATCAGACCTTTCTTTTCCTTCCTCGCCGAGACTTGTAGTGAGTAACATAGGATGTCACGTGACTCAGACACGTGATGAGTCATGGGACCGTACCCCGCCAGCTGAACAAAACACTGCGCACGCACAGACCATGGACCAAACAAGTACATACAACTCAAGTAGTATATATAGAGTAGACTTGTAAGCGTAGTTTCCTCAGTCTTTAGCTGGTCTATTCCTAGCTACAACACTCTAGTCTTCACTGAATCCTATCGCTTTTCGTCGAGTCTTTTCTAGTGCAGCTATTGATTGCTTGAACGACAGATCAAGTAGTTAGTTGCTGACAGACTCGATAGTTTCAGAACCGATGGAGGAAGACCTACTTGGGGATCCATGTGATGAAACAACCAGGACAACAAAAAGAACAAAAGAATGAGCTTCTTGACTATTTGCAGGGAGTACGGTACGCCGGAGTTCCATGGATGGATTTTCCCATCACGCTAGAACTTCCACGCGTGGCGCGCCTACCCTAAAGTATTTTATGTAATTGGGCGCGCGTGGCTCATTGTCCTCCCATGACAAGATAAATAACACTGTAACTCAAGTTACAGCCACAAAGATTTTATGATACTTTGAAGGACAAATGTAGGTATACTATAGACTACGTATATATAAGAAATTCGAATTGGAAATGCTTCGTTCATGCAGGAGATGGTAAACAATCAAGTGACAAGTCTAGCTCTACACTCCGTATCCAGGCAACATTCTCAGCTAGCTATCTGTGTGCGTGCATTGGGGTTACAGTAGAACAAAGATTCGATCATTTGGAGAGTGCTAAGAACATCTTGTATGAGTTTTTGCTATCTAATGAGTTGGGGTAGAGATAAGGTAGTGTTTAATTGCAGTGCAAAGTGTTTTGAGTGATTCTAGATGAAGTCAGACGCTAATTTCGAAGTTCTGTTCGTCGGATCGCTACCCTCCTCTTCGGACTCGGAGTACTTCTCGTACGATGTGACAGGGGTGAGGGGGAACTGTTTATCAAAGCCCAGCAAGAGACAGACCTCCTGGCAGACATGTTCCTCAACAAACTTGTTGATACCCTCCTCTCCGAAATCACCGATTCCCGAGGCCCTAAGGAAAATGTAAATGAGAAGTATTCACTTGACAGCCGTCGCTTATCTTACTTGTGCTCTGTGTGGGTCATGACGTCGAATAAAAGGTAAACATCCTTGTCCTGATTACCTTGGGTGAAAGTCGCAGGTCCTGTACCTGTAGAGTTAGCGTCAAAATGTGTTATTCATACATGCATAGAAAAGGAAAGTGTCGTGAACAGCCGGTACAGCCCCTATTTTTCACTTTATCTTATCTGATCTGTCTCGCATCTTATCGTTTCACTTGCCCCTATTCCTTCGCTTCTTTATTTCCTCTATGGACTCTTTCATTCATGGAACACTGCCTCGTATTGCCCTTCGCCCCACTTCCATTGTCCTTATTGTTACGCACTGCCTCTTGACTCATTTTGACGTTCTCTTGTTCCATTATTGTTTCGTCCTTGTTCTTCGCGCAGCCTTCACGCAGCCTCATGACCTTTCTTATTGTTCTTCGACGTTTACGGTTTCGCCATTTGTTCGTCATTTTGACTCATCGCGGCTATGTAGACTGTAGAATAGGTATATAAGCTAGGTAGTCTGCTCTGTATTTCCTCAGCTTGACCTCTTCGTCAATACATCGACATAGCTTTCTGGTCTAACTTGTCGCTCATCGCTCTCATCTCTCTCGTCGCTCTCAGCTCTCTGGCACTTCCTGTTACGGTCAAGGGACGCGAACTCAAGTGAGCATGCACGTCGACCGTAGAGTCGTGGTTCCGAGGCGAGTTCGAGGGTATAGGCGTCTAAGAGTGCCTCACAAGAGGTATTGTCTTAAGACGACTAGAGCGAGTTCGAGAGAAGAGGAGAAGTGGGTATGATTCACGAGAACTAGCTAAGGAACAAGAGAGGTATCTGCAGAGCTTATATACCTATCTAGCTACGTTGAATATGAGTCAAGAGAAGTCAGAGAAGAAGGCTGCGCGAGCACAGGTTACTGCGGAGCGCAGCAGAGATAAATTAGAGAACAATAGAGGGTGGCTGCGCCGCAGCAAGAAGGAGTCATAAAGAGTCAAAGAAGGCTGCGCCGCAGCAGTAAGAAGAATTAACTGATAAAACAGTCACGAGATAAAGAAAGAGATCATGTGAACAAGAAAAAGAGTCATGTGATAGAGAAAGGACGCGAAGAGAAAAGATAGGGGCGGAATTCGTAACACTTCCGCTCTGGTTTTAAGGTTTGGTTTGGTTTAGTGTTCGCTCTTCGCGACAGAAAGCTTATCCTGGATATCGGCAAATACAAGAGTAGCCTTTGAGACGCCATAGACATAATGGCAGAACGCGTAAATAGTGAGATGTTTCATATCAGTCCGGGTAGACGGGTGGCTGAGTGTGACGCGAGATAAGTCGCGGCACACCAGAGCCTCAGACAAACACGTTGGCTTGAGTGGGTTAAAGTGTCGTGTTGAAAGAGACTAGCTACGTACAACGGGGGTTGAACCCTTTATATACTAGACTACCTACTTATGTACTCTAGAACTACCTAGGTACGATGAGGAGAAAGAAATAGGAATTCGGCATAGGAGAAGGCATAGACAAATAGAAGGAAGGAAAGGATAAACAAACCGAAGGTAAAGACAAATAAAGGCATACGTGAGACTTGGGAAGGCGCCAAGTCGAGCGGCGCCTTACACTGAGCATGCCATTGAAGCGAATCACCACTTCAGAAGGGTGCTTCCGCTCCCCACACCAAAGGATAAGGTTTTTCTTCGATCTCAGACTCACTAGGGACACCAAAGAGCTCGTCAGATGCGACGCCCGAAGCTGGTGAAGGCTTCGAAACCTCTTGATAGAAGGTAGGGTCCTCGAAGAAGTCTGAGCAGTGCAGCATTTAAGTAACTGGTACGGATCGGATCCGGAAAACAGTCACTTACATTGGTAGACATTCACGTCGGCTTGTTCCCCATCTCGATAGAATGAGTTTAGAAGCCTCTGTCGCAGCCCAGCATGCACGCCCTCAGCACGAATAAGCAAGTTGTGTGTCAAAATGTCGAATTCAGCGCTGAATTCTAGTCTCTAATATACTTTTGCCATTTTTTCCATTTTTATTTCATTCAATGTGCTATCTATCTCATGTATATACATTTATCTGGTGATATGATTCGCTGAATGGGTTGTGGTTATTGCAAGAAGAGCGAGCTTATAGATATTATAGGTGCGCGCCTAACGTACTTTAGGGCAGGCTCGCCGCGCGTGATGGGAGAATAGGGATGGTCAAGGGGTTTTAAAACCCCCGGGGTAGAGGCCAAGGGTAGAGCGGGGGTAGGGGTAAGGGTAGGTCTCCAGCTACCCTTGGCCAAACCCCTACCCCCGGTCGGGGGTAAGGGTTTTGATAAAAATCAATCAAAACCCATTTATTTCAGCATCTATGTATATTTTCTACTAAATAACTGCTGTATGTGCAATAAAACACATAAAAATATACATATAGACAACTGTAAGTAATTGTTAGTGCCAAAATGATTAAAACCCTTGGTCAAAACCCCCAGGGTTGGGGGTAAGGGTACTACCCCTACCCCTCAGTCAGGGGTAGGGGTTTTGGGGGGTGGGGGTAAGGGTAGGTGTCCGGCTACCCGGGGGTTACCCCTGTCCTTCCCTATGGGAGAATCCATCCATGGAACTCCGGCGTACCGTACAGGGAGGATCCATTTTGGATCCACCACCCAAACGTGTACCGGGGGGCTTGTGATCTTCGGAGAGCCCAGTTACATACTGTGGGCACTCGTGCTAATAGACTTTGTTTCTATTGCTGCACAGGAAAGTGTTACATCGCTTTCAGTTCGTTTAATAGGGGCTGGATTGTAATATTTTAGCGATTTAATGAACATTTTCTAAACTTACTATTCGTCTAGTGACTCTGGGCGCTCTTTTGCGCATAGGTAAGAGTAAGTATTTCTCCATTTTTTATGAAACTCTCGAGTCCCCCGGACGCGCATAGCGCTCGTCGTCGCGTCGGCGAACCGACGCGTTTGGCTCATATTGAGGCCCAGAGTTGGCGGACCGCTACAGGTCACGTGACCTGAACTGACATTGGTCAGAGAGACTGGACTCGCAGACTTTTGTTTGACTCGGAACAGATTGTCAGGTATAAACTTTTCTCTGAGGATCTTCACTCAAGAGATTGGAACATATAATGGTGACTTAAGGATTCTGGTAAGTTAGGATCAATTTGAGTAGTTAAGATCAATGTGAGAAGTTTAGATCAATCCGAAGTATTAAGAGAAATGGGCCTCTTTAGCATATTTTGAGTACTTAAGAATTTACGCACACACCTGATACGTAAGGAGGAATCCGGACACTTAGTAAGGATTTTGGACACTTAAGAAAGATTTTGAACACTTAAGATCAATTTGATTAATGTCCGACCGTGACCGTTATAACTCTGTGCTTCTCAATCAGACATCAACACGCCTCATACCCACTCGTTCCACCAAACCGCTTTAATCCCCTGTAAACATTCATCTAACTTTAACCTGACACACTTTTCCATGGCTGACATGGAGAACCCACTGTAGACCCAAGACCACGCAGCTTATCTTCTTCCATCCGTTTGACCTCATGTTTCTGGGTCTCCAATCTAACCTCCGAGTTCTCGATCTCCAAACTTTGTCTCCCTGGAAGTCGTAACCGCAAACCTCGACTTCCATTTGACTGGGCTCTTAGACAACTGGATTGACAGGATCCATGGAGACACACCCTGGCGGACTTCTAATTGTGTGGAGACATGTGGGACAGCAGCGTAAGTATACCCATAGTTCGAAGTATTGTCCTTGCTAAAGTTAGAGCTCCATGGGCCATCATCTATCTTTCTCGAAGCAGCGTTGTGATCGGCGCTGACTGTCTAAAGTATTTATTACAATATCCCCCATACTTATGAAGCCAGAAATGTCAGCCCTACAGGTCGTCATTGACATCGAGTTATGATGCACGTGTCCGAGTCGTAGTCGAGTGACCGGCAGCTCAATCTTCGCGTTGGCCCTGGCAAGTCCTCTGTGGTGGGTTCTCATGTCTTTTCAACTCTTTTCCACATTCGTATGCATTGCCGTTATCATTTAACCTAAACGACCCAGCTTCCTCGGCGTGAATGAACACCGAAATGGCTGACAGTTGCGCGGAGCTCGACCAGCTAACCTTCTAATATGCCATCTAATAGTACAAAATGTTTCCACAGGTATCATTATCCGTGAACCAAGACCTTCCTGACTATTGTACACCGGAAAAAATCTATTTACGAGGAAAGATAGAGATATAGCCATACGATTACCGTTCCAAAGTAACGAGGAAAGCAAGTGATGGTCCAGAATCCTTTTCCCCTCGCATCCGCGCCTGTCTCTATGAGAAGCTGAATAACTAATGACTGTGAGAGGAGGCGAAATCATGGGGATTCCGACCGTCCCTCCACAGACTGCAGATGATTCACGCGCTCGATAAATGCCAACGAGAATACTGGCCGCGGAGCGGATTTAGGCGAAAGAGTGGCGGCGTAGGCGAGGCTCTAAGAAAACGGTGGGTCCCTTGGGGAAGTAACCGTCGAGGTGGTGGAAAAGTGAGTGCGAAGCGGGAAAGGAGTGCGATGCGATGTTATGCAAGAAGAGACCGTAAGTTGCAGATGAAAATCCGAAAGTTGAAAGGTAGTGGATAGCTCCATGGGCACTAGCTCTGCCTGGAAGAGATTGCTAGGGGTATGGGAGTTGGACCGCTAATAAGGTGGTCTCTTGAACTCCTTGCTGATTTCCTGGGTCTCGGGGTCGTAGCTATCCCCACGCCGAATATTACCCGCGGCATCGTATTCGACGTACTTGTCGGGTGGGCTCTCAAAGGTTTCCATCTACGAACAAAGGCCGGTTCATCACCAATTTCGATCCAACCATTCTGAATTTACCTGGACATGGACGTCGACACCGTCGTTCATCACAACCTTATTAGATAGCTTCGGCCCAGGACGATTTTGAGAGTTTGCTTGAGAACGGAAAGCCAGTGTCGAATGTTGAGTGCTGGCACTAGGAAGAGAACACGGTGCGTCAATGGGGCGTCCATTGTACGTGGCAGAGAAACGTACGCGAATCGCTCTGCACCAGTCGAAGTAAACTGACTTAACCGACGGACTACGCGGCATGCGACGATCTACAACCTTCGGTCAGCTCGAGGTGTCAGTTGGTGACACGAATAACTCACCGTGCAAGCGATTGCAGCAGGGACATTGGCAATGATAGACATGACAGGGTTGAGGTTCAGAAGCATGAAGATCTGTGATACGCGTTAGTTTCTTATGGTAAGAGGAAAACAGCCGCCTTACAGTCGCCAGAAGGTTGGCAAGGAAGCTGAAGAAACCATATTTCAGTCGAAATTGACGAAGCTCTCAACTCGAGAGTACTCACGCAATGAGGAAATAAATAAGACCGTCATTGAAGATGAGTTCCACCAGCCGTGACCGGCCATTCGAGGGGGTGAACAACTTGAAGGCCGTCAATGCAAGGACGAGGAAGTCAAAGCTCATCGTGTAGATGAATGTCGCGGCCAACAGTTTGCTGTTGGTGTCTGTGATCACACAGCCCTGTCCTTCGATCCATGCGGCTTTGAGAAGAATACCTATGGGAAGGTGAGGAAGAGGATGTTGGGACGGTGCGATGGCAACGGACCGTGGAGGAGAAGTGACCAGTGTCCCAAGATGATAGCAACTAGGGGAACCCAGATGTACCAAGCTTGAGACCACACCGCAATTCTATGGACGAGCGGTGAATTGAAGCTTGAGGCTGGGTGGGTGCTTACTTACGTCCTGAGGGAAAGGTTGATACTGGCGAGTCCAATAGATGCGTTTCCAAAGCACTAGTGTCGCTTGAGCACAGATACCGACCAGAGCAAATGGACGACATACCTGATTGAAGGTGTACAGCCCCTGGCAGTTGATCTCGCTAATGGCGTCGTCAGTGACCTTTCAGCTTGATAGAGCGACGTCAGAAACTAACGTTTTCACGTTCAAGGCGATGGCTCTGGTACGAGAAATGAGCAATAATCTCGAGGACAAGGGCGACTTGGGCGTACATTCCAATCAATGCGAATAGAAGGCAGTAACGGTTCAAGAAGTAGAAGATCTGGTCGTCTGTTAGACGCGTACGGCGGGTGAAATCACGCTGGATACGCACCAAGGGCCACCGGAACGGCTTCTTCCCGACGACGAACTGCCAGTCAAAGCGGAGCGATGTGAACCATTCCCAACTGCAGATGATTTAGCTTGGTTTTGGCTGGATCGCCTAGGCCGACGAACGTACATGTAGAGCCCTAACAGCGCATGCATGAATTTGGCGAACGAGTCTAATGAGGGTGTTAGCGGTGCGCGTTGTTGAGGACGGTGGACACGGGCTCACCAGCATTGCTGACGATCGTCTCGGGGGACATCCAGTCGACCATTGTGAACGGCGAGGGCGGGGTACGAGGGCGGGCAGCGCAGGACGGGAGGGGGGGAACACTGGGGGGAGGTCCAAAAAGCGGAGTGCGGAGGTTTATATAGATCCCTGTGGGTGGATTTTAACGGACGTGACTTGCCGATTAGAGATGAGGCTTCTCCCTGAGAAGATACAGAAAAATGTCAGGAGCCCGCTGTTCCAAAATTCGTGTCAGCCTTTTCTGACCTCCTCGGTGTGGAGATACAGGGACTTTTAGGCCAGAAAAGATCGTCCCATGATAGTACTCTTTTGGCCGTCCTCTCTTTGGCAGATCAACCGCCCAACTGGGCTTACAATTTAAACCAGCACTGGCCAGATAGGCTTCTGGCCCGAGGTGAAAGAAGCCATGGCGATATGAAGCAAGCTCCTTCGAGATCGTCACTGCAGAGTTCAAGAAACCAGTCTCAAGGCTATGGAACGGGAGCGCGAAGACGAAGACCTCTGGACAACATCCTCGACGACCACGGCTGTTTAATCGAGCGTGGGAGATTAGCACCCAATCCGGGGATACTCCTCCGTCTGGCCACGGAACCAGATTCGCAGCTCGATCTGGTTTTCGAGGACTCCGATCTATTTGCCAAGATGGCAGTTACCTTCCACCCAACCTCCCATGTCGAGGGGACGACATTGCAGACCATAGCAACTCACACATCGTTAGGCATCGCAGTTATAGTCATCCATGGTGCTCAATGCTGACGGGCAGCTGAGAGGCTGACCAGGATGTCTTTCTCTTTAGATTCAAATGTTAAAGCTAACGTACACTCCTTCGTTGTTGGGAATTTGGGTGCTTTTAACGCAGAAGATTTACCGCGGAGGATCCGAGTGCCATGCTTTCCTTACAATGTGTGCAGTATGTCACCGATCCCAGGGTTGCTTCTCTATGCGTTCCTGAACCTCTGTCCCGACTCTCCCAACGTTTCAAGAGCGGACAAGGAATCTCCCATACTCGTCTTCTGTCTGCGGAGGGTTGCCTAGCGAGCGTCTGATACTCCATGTCCACACACCAGCCATCATGCTTCGAATTCTCGAGCTCATATATCAACGGGGGTCGATCTGTATACACTCCCTAGAACCCGCGGAACCTTCCAATACGTATGACTGTATGTATGTAGGGCGCTGGATTAAACCTTTCTCCTAGTACCTGCCGTCCTCCGGCGGCATTTCGCTGAAATCCTTATCTTAAAGCCGTATACTCCCCAAAATTCCTCGATGCGCCTCTTCTCACTCGCGGTGCTTTCAAAAGACCTCTTGCACCGCGCACCTCTCCTTCTGGAACCTGATGCGGCCCAGTACTAGGCTAGACCATGATACTGTTTGACTTCCCTCTTTCTGATGGGAGGCAGATGGGAAGAGACGGAATCAATCCAGTTAACCTCCCGGGTCGCTATCTTCTTTCCGTTTACTCGGTATCATGATCGTAACAAGCACCCTATTTTGAATTCTTACGCACTTGCACTCTGTCTGGGCGCCAGGCCTTGACTACAATTCAGTGCCTCAAGTCCCATTCTCCTCCAATCGTCATCTGCGCCTCCACGGAGACTGGTCCCTGTAATTATGCCGGTACGAGGTGGCATCATAACTTGTGATAGGCGAACAGTGAGTAGCGCTTAACTGAATGCCTAGATATCCCCGAAAGGCGTTCGCCTCAGGGTCCGAGGTTGTGGGCCTCACTGTACTCGCACCGGGACGGCGCGTGGCCAGGATAGATGGTCCCTTCGGCGGACTAGGCCACGTTTCAGAGAAAAGGCGCCGCACTCATTCATCGCATATCTTAGAATTTAAGCGCATAGTACGTAGCCTTTTTCTTTCAAGTCCCCCTTTTTGGCCTAGTGCGAGGGTTTGCTCCACTTTGTCCAGCAACTAACTGAGCTCAATCACAGAGGACGCACACAAGGAATCCGGGAGCCGGCTGGTCAACATCCCAGCAACCTGCTATTCCGAAGCCCACGTTCTGCAGCATCTCTTCGAAACAACAGAACTACTCAAGGAACAGAACATTGGAGTACATAGAACGAATTTAACCTGTCTGGCGTCAAAAGCACGTATCACGGTCTCGAGAGACGAAATCAGCCTTTAATTCTGTAATACGAGAGCCTTTTCCTAATCAGGAAGAGACATCGATGCGTCCAAATAGCAGAGGCTTGACAAGAAGACATTCCGTGAGACCAAAATATTGCGGTTTAAAGGTTTCCCTCCGATGATAGGCAGTGGAGGGCCCTGTGAAGTCTTTGAACCACCTTTGAATCACGACATCATGAAGCCCAGAGTACTGGGCCTGGGAGGGGAGTTAAGAAAAGCGACCATACTCACTTGATTTGCAGGGGGGCCTCTTTGTTCCCGCTATTCACTAAAATAAGGGCGTTTAAAGCCGTCTTCTCGGTCACTTGGGGCTTGTGTGCTAGCAGACCTGGAAGATGGAAGTAGGGAAGTCGACCTCTGACATACCCGTCACTGTCTTTGAATTCCCCGGGTTTGATAAGATTTGGCGCAATCTATCTTTGGATGCATATGGACCCGACGCCGTCGTGGTTATCACTTTTCGAAGCGCAGGGCCCAGTCACAAGGGAAACACGGAATCTTTGAGATTTGCGGGTTTCAAGGAAGCGTTTCACCAGCGTGGTCGGCCCTCGTTGGCCACTTCGTCGTATTCCATCGTTAGTAGGAAAGATTAACCGATGCTCGATAACATAACCTAGAAGCGCTTTATCACAGCTTGATTAGCCGTTGGGCATCGTATTAGTTCCTTGTCTGACTGGACTACTATCTCTATCTGCCCAATAAGGGCACGAGTTGCTTCGCTTTGCGAGGATACCAAGAAGTTCCTTCATTGGGATGGTGAAGCGAGTAAGCGAGTCCCAGCCTCCTGGAGAGTGCCCAAGGTCCTTTCAAGCGCCCAGGCCAGAGGATCCACCACTCCGAAACGCGAGAACCTTTCCCCATGGGCGCTAGTCTTCAAATAACCTCTCTCGCGAGCCGAGGTGTACGAGTGGAGGTGCCTTCTGAGTGGAGTTCATTCACTCCACTAATAATTACCTGCTGTGTACAAGCCGTTCCAATCGACAACCATGGTGCTTACAACCGGGGAAAACAACACCAGTACGTCAAGTTGACACGGAAAACAGTGCGCAAAGGATGTCGTGCAGTGGTAGAGCCGTGACGGACGAGAACTGTGGAGTGATCGCTCCAGGTCCACTCATTGTATCGGAACCTCAAGATTGGGTACCCCCAACCAAAATAGCCCTTTGAGTTCACAGGCGTGGTAAGTAGTACAAGGGGCACATGGAAGTGGAACGATGGAGCTCGTGCTTGGAGTCACGTCCTTGTCACTTCTGGCAGCCACATTCCAATCAGGGCCACTACTTACTGTAAATCGTTTAGCAGGACAAGATTTGCGTTTTCACTAGAGCAATTGAGAGCGCCACCAGTAACCAGTCAGCCACCAGAGCGAGGGGCTGATGCGGACGCTTCTTCAGTCAAAACTCCCTGGCCTCAGAGATCCCACCCTTCAGCCCTGCCTTTCCCTCAGCAACGTAGTCAGCCCCTCAATCACTCACACCGCAATTTTGCAATACGAAACGAGACTTTTAAGGCTACCCGACTCCGGGAAAAGCTGCATCAAAAGCTGTCACAAGCTCGATGAACTCCGTGGACTCGGACATTGGATTGGCGCGGGCGTCTATTTCACCGTCCCGCACTCCGACGGAGAGCGTTGTCCCAGCTCCCAACGTTGCCCAATGACAAGAATCAGCTGATGAAATTAATACAGGCCGCGGTGAGGTGTTTTTACACACAAGTTGAAGTGGGCGTTCGTTTCGGAAGCGCTCCATCAGGTCGGGCCGTACGCTGAAGAGGGCGTCAAACACCCCGTATAGTATCGTCAACCGCCGCCCATAGAATAACACTTCACCGCCCACTATTAAGCACATCGGTAGCTATAGTGGCCTTGTCCGATGCGCGGCACGGGTTCGTATACAGTCGAGAAGAATGCTTGTTCCAAAGGTTGAGGTAAGTCTGTAGGCCCCAACTTACACCAGACTTCGCAACAGGCCGAACAGCGCTTCTTACTGAAGAGCCCACGAAAACCCATACATACAGAAACAGCGCCATTACGGAAACTCGTGCCGGCATTTTCTTCTCAGTTGAGGCTTCCTTTGTTGTCTCCAAACCAGTCAGTCCGATTTTCCAGGTTACGCAACACTTACAATCTTTCTTGCACACCGCACGTTTAACCGCGTGCCGTAGGTGCTTCTTGCGAATGGTCGGAAAGGGACCGCGAAAATCGTTTTGAAAATTTAGCAGAAAGTGTGAGATGTGCACTATTCGAACCATTGTTTGATAAAAATCCTTTTGCGAAGCCCTCAGCTGTACCGTTGCCCAAGGGCTTCTCCGCCGGTTGGCTATGGAGTCCCATGAGATTGTATGCATACACAAGCAGACCCCACCGTACTTTACCGCTCATGTATGTGGTCCGTTGCGCGCATAGCTAATACTGGATCATTTAACAGGTTTCTACGAGCTTGAATAGGTGTTGAGTGGGCAATATGCAGATTCCAAGCCGGAGGTGCATCCGAAGCAAAGATAGAAGATTTGTAAGGTTCTCACTGCTTTTCAAGGTCGTTTTCGTAACCATGAAATCAGAACTCGTCAGGCTTGGTAACTTCGATTCGACGGTATAATCGGACGCCTCATCTCACCCTGAATTTCACGAGCATCTTCAATGGCGAAGGGTTTAACTCACCAAGATACGTGTACGTACATACGAGTCTAATATACACGAGTAGTAAAAGGAACGGTTTCTCGAAGGGAATGAGCTAGAGGTTAGATAAAGGATAGAAGATATGTTCGAAGGAATGTAGTGAAGGTCCATAACGCGGATGCATTCGTTGCAGTCTGGGCTCGAAGGAGTGAGAAGTGCGAACACTTTGTCGTCTGGTTGGGAGATTAGGACCGATATCCCGAATTACATACGCGGTCAAAGGAGGCTCAAAGCCTCGACCCTTTTGCTGCTTCCAAGTCCACTTCCACGTCAGTCTCACTGTCCGCTCGTCTCTTCCCATTGCCAGCTTGCTCGTACGAGTCGTCGTTCTCGACGTGTGAGAAGGTTTCCATCTACCAACCGACCGTATAAGCTGGTACGTCTATGAAAAAGAAATCGAATGAGTTAAGTACCTGAACATGAACACCATCGGACTTGATCCCACCCTTGGTGATATGATGTGCTGTCGCTGTCGGAGGTCGCCCAGTCCGGTTTGCTTGTGCATTTGAGGATTGGGTACCCGATGTACTGTCGACGTGAATGGTCAGAAGGTCCGAAACGAAGCCATTTACGTCCAGAGACTCACTAGATTTCTACAACCCCATTTCCTTTGAGGTTGAAGTTGGTTAATCTTCGGACTGCACGACAAGCAACGATCTAGAAACAAATTGTAAGCGAGCAACAACTGGGCCCACTACGAAGGAACTTACCGTGCTGAAGACTGCTGCAGGAACATTGAAAATGACGCTCATGATCTGGCTAAGATTGAGCACCATAAAAACCGTCGCGGTCAGGTTCGCGATGAATCTACAGACGTGCATTTAATCAGTTATGGTGTGAAGCGGGTTAAGCGCCTAAACTTACGCGATGAAGAAGAAGATTAGGCCATCCTCGAAAATCATTTGAGACAGCCGACTGGTACCCAAGCCGCGAGATACTCTGCTACTCAGACCCAACAACTTGTATGTGTTGATCAACAAGGTGATTAGGTCAAAGCACATGGAGTAGATGAAGATGGCAGCAAGGATCTTGTTGTTCGTCTCCGTAATAACGCACCCAACGCCATCGACCCAAGATGCCTTCAATTGGACTCCTTGGAGAATTAGTGACCAGTGTCCCAGGATTATCAGAACCAGGCCAAAGATAATCCAGCGGTTGTGAGACCAAATCGCAACCCTTGGCCCCTAGTCAGCCTTGGGCTTTCGTCAAATATCCAAGAGACTTACGTTCTAATTGCAAGATTAATGCTCGCCAGTCCAACGGCAGCGTCCCCCGCAATTTGGTTAAATGTGTACAGTGCTTGACAGTTGATCTCCCTACAGCCTCGTCAACAACAAGGACCACAAGGTGACGTTTGGTGAGTGAGACTTACGATACGACATCTAATGAGATGATTCTGTAACGAGTTTGGTAAGTTCACAGCCATTTGGACGAGAGGAAATGACCAAACTGACATGCCGATCATTGCGAATAGGAGTAGATAACGGTTGGCGAAGTAAAATATCTGATGGGAGCAGGTATCGGTGTGGGTGCAAGAGGATGATGGGCGCTGCGCTCAGCGCCAAAAGGTTCAGAGGGGACACACCATAGGCCAGCGGAACTTTCGCTTCCCTCTCACGAAGGCGATGTCAAATTGGAGGGACAGAAACCATTCATACCTAGACAGAAATCATCGTCAACGGTGGATGACGGGCGGAGCGCGAGACGTGGACACGTACAGATACAACCCAAAGAGGGCGTGGTTGAGGTTGGTGAAGGCCATCGCCTGCCTCTGCATCTGCTCTGGAGACTGCCAGTCGACCATGGTTGCGGGAGAGTACTGATGATTGCGCGGGGTATAAGGTGATGACGGCAAAAGGCTGAAAGGCACGCCTAACACCTGCTCAAGAGGGCCTAAAGGAGTGAGTGAGTCGCGGTTCAATCCTTTTTAGACGTGCTTGGGCCAGCGCAGCGACCCAAAATGGCGACGAAGAATGGAAGTGAATTGAAGTTCGTAATAGGAAGCCTCTTCCTTTTATTTGTCACTGGAACCTTAAGCTCAGGGTTCCCATTTCCCTGGCTGCCATTGAGTTTAGTCACGAATGGACAGCCGTTGTAGTTGTATGGGTCCACCTTGATTAGCGCCAGAATCACCGAATGTGCTAGATCGCGCCAGATCAGATTGTTCGATTCCTTGTTCCGTGGCGGGGTGTAGAGAAAAGCGATCCCACATGGCACAGAGTCAGAAACACAACCCTTGTGTCGCGACTGCAAGATCGTCGCCCAAAGCATTGCAATTGAAGTGGGGGATTGCCAGGTATACAAAGCGCCGCAGAATGCCGCCCGTTCCATTGCCTCCAGTCGAGTCAGATTGTAAGCCTAAGCAGTGCAGTTGCCATTCTCGAGGGTCGGGGACAACGCCAATCGAAGGAAGCGATTAGCCACCCAAAGCAACAGCAGGGTTCGACGAACCGAACTCAGGTGCGGCGAAAGGCCTGGGAGTTAAGAGTTGCCTAATCTGGCACACACGGGAGCGAGAGTATATGTCTCACCAGCATCAGCAGCTCTTCACAGCAGGCACGCCCATTGAGTACAAGCAGTGGTAGAGCAAGAAGACCGCCGAGCCTGAGAGCCAACCGAGTGCCAGACCAAAGTCCCAGTGCGCTGATGCCCGGCAGCGTGTACGGCGGAAATTGAATTCCTCGGTAAAACCCGTTTGGCTTCCTCTCCTCGGGCGCTTATTTGGCGTTCGAAGCTTTTGACTTGCAAACCCCGAGCTCGAAAAGTGAAGATAGAGCGTCTTGGATCTTATTCTCATATCACGAAGCTCCACCTCTTTAGTGTATAGGTCCTACATAACAGAGGGGGAATAATCCCTAATCAACCATCCGAATCCCGATGTTCAAGGGGTTCTTTTCTTTAATATGGATTACGCTCAGCATCGTGAAAACGCCTCCAGAGTGTATGACGGGAGTAGAAGCCCAGTAGAGTAGCTGTTCGGAGAAAAGAGGAATCCGGGTCGATATTGAGGTCACTCAGTCTCAAAAAGGGTACCGAAATCCTTTAGAGTCATCCTTCAGCCTCCAACTCGAGGTAGGCTGAAATTAACCCATTCGGCGTTTGTCCTGAGGAGCGATTTACTCAACATGAAGTCGATCGTATCACAAAAACAGGCAACGGGGTCCAGGTAGAAGAAGGCTATATTCGGCAGGGTTATAATGACGAACGTAGGTATGTATGTACGAAGAACTGGCAAACATTAATTCCAAAAAGAAATCATTAAAAAGTCTAAACCTATCAAGTGTCCACGAAACGAAGAAAGAAAGCCAGGGTCGAACATACAAAGACATGTCCGCGACAGTAATGATACACTTAGTTTTTTCACCAGTCCATAAAACCAAAAACCCTCCATGATCACTTCCCGCGAGGCGCTTACTCGACGGTAACAGACTTGGCACTAGAAAGAAGGAAAAAATATCAGCCAATGTAACAGAGAAACAATGGAGACAACATACAGGTTACGGGGGAAATCGACGTCGCAGCCGTTCATGACAGCGAGGTGGTAGCTGAGAAGCTGGAGAGGAATGACGTTGAGCAAGCCTTGCAAGGCATCGACCGTCTTGGGGACCCGGATAGTCTTGGCGTTGGCAGGGATGCCGTCATCACCCTCATTGCAAAGCACGATGGGCTGGGCCTTTCGAGCAGTGATCTGGGCGAAGGCGGACTGGACCTTGGGGTATAGAGAGTCCTGAGTCATGATGATGATGACAGGCATGTTCTCGTCGATGAGAGCAAGAGGACCGTGCTTAAGTTCACCAGCCAAGATACCTACAGTCGCCTTGGTGAGAAACCGGAATAGGTCAACTCGAAATGGTACACACCTTCTGAGTGCATGTAACTGATTTCCTTGATCTTGAGGGCACCCTCCAAGCAGGTAGCATACTGGTAGCCTCGACCCATGAGCAAGAGTGATTGCCTAGTGGAGACAGTGCTAGCCAGTTGTTGGATGGAAGCGTCGAGTTCCAGAACCTTCTTGATCATCGCGGGGAGATCGTGGAGAGCGTCGATAATCTGTCGCCGGCGTTCAGTGAACGAGATGCGGTCCTCGGAGAGTTGCAAAGCAATCATGAGGAGGGCAACGTATTGAGAGGTGTAAGCCTGTAAAGATTGGCTCAGTATGCGCGAGCAATGGGGAAGACAGACCGTCGTACCTTGGTAGAAGCAACACCGACTTCAGGGCCAGCGTTAATGTGGACACCACAGTGAGTCTCACGAGAGATCGTAGAGCCGACGGTGTTAACAACACCGATGGTAAGTGCACCACGGTCAACGCAGTACCTCAAAGCCAAGATGGTGTCGGCAGTCTCACCACTCTGTGAAACGAAGATACAAACGTCATCTCGGAAGATGGGAGTCTTGCGATCCAGGAAGTCGCTGGCAAGTTCGACACTGACAGGGATTTCCGTGAGTTCTTCAAAAATGGCACGGGTAGCCAAGGCGGAATGGTAGCTGGTACCGCAAGCGATGAACACGAGACGGCGGCCGCGACGGATGATGGGAAGATATGCCCTCAGACCACCGAGAGTGATCTTGTGCTCATCGAAGTTGACTCGTCCACGCATAGTGTTCACGACCGACTCGGGCTGCTCGTAGATCTCCTTCTGCATGAAGGTGTCGAACTTGCCCTTCATGATGGCAGCCAACTCGATCTCGAGGGTTTCGATGGTACGAGTGGTGGCAAGTTGAGCAGGGGTAAGCTCAGCATCCTCTTTTCGTCGGAATCGGTGGATGTGAAGTTCGCCCTCAGAGATGTGGGCAATGTCGTCATCCTCGAGGTACAAGACGCGCTTGGTGTGCTCGATGATGGCGGCGGCATCAGACGCGATGAAGAACTCGATGGGTTGAGGAAGGCCATCCTCGGACATGAAGGCGCGGGATTGAGTGCGGAAGACCTTGGGATTGCCTGTGGGCACGCTCAGGAGCGAGTTGGAGGGGGCTACGCGGAGATTTGAGTTACTGATTAAACGACATCAGCTCCAAACTCACCTTGCTCGACGATGGCTTCGGTGTTATCAGATCCGGCGAATTCAACGTCAACGAAGTCGACCTTGAGTTTCTTCTCGGTCTTGACACCAATGAGGAGAGGGGAACCACGGCGGGCAGTCACAGCCTCATTGGGATAGTGGCGGGACTTGAAGACGAAGGCGAATGAACCCTCAAGCTCCTTCAAGACAGCCTTGACCAGGTTGCTGAAAGTAGGCTTTTCGGCGTGTTGGTCAAAGATGTACTTGGTGAGGATGGCGACGGCCTCGGTGTCAGTCTCGGTCTCGAACTTGTAACCGCGCTTCTCGAGGACGGTTCGCAGCTCGCCGCTGTTGGTGACGATACCATTGTGGACAACAATGAATTCCGAGTTCACATCCGAGCGGATCGGGTGGCAGTTGCGCACGGAGGGGGGACCGTGAGTGGCCCATCGCGTGTGGGCGATGGAAACTTGGGAGACGGCAGTCTTCTCGACATCGATGGGAGTAGCGCTGATTTGCTTGCGGAGACCTGCAACCTTGCCAACCTCCTTGAAGAAGACGACCTCACCAGGCTTGTCGCCGTCAATGCACAGACCAGCTGAGTCGTAGCCTCGGTATTCTTGGCGAGCGAGACCAGCGCACAAAACCTCGAGAACCTCTTTGCGGGTCTGTCAGGGGGAAGCGCGTCAGATGTTGTTGTGGACGGAGATCAGACATTGCGAACACAGTCAGAAGACAGTGAGCAAGACAGTGCCAGCGGCCTTGCTCGTCGCGGATGGCGATGTGGAACTTGCCATCTCGACATCGATTAACGAGGTTTACGTACCTTCTCCTTCAAGTAGCTGCAGTAACCGAAAATTCCACACATCTTGGGATCGTACGAGAGATTGGGACTAAGCGACGTGGTCAGCGTCGAGGATGACGGCGACGATGAGGCAAAGGGGACTTACAGAGGGCGTCAAGGAATGGGGGAATGAATAAAACGCGTTTGGGGTCGTCGTATAAGAACGAAAGGCGGCGGCTGTTGCGGTGCTTCCAAGGCAGACCCTGATATCGTGCATTGGCTGGCCAAACAAGACCAAATAATGGATCGCTCGCCCGTTCCAATCAGCGACATGTTTTGTCCGTCAGCACGATCCCGCATCGCCTCTTCTGTCCCATCACAGTCATCCACCCCCTGCCTGTCTCTGATATTCCCGAACAAAAAAAAAAAAAATCCTATCGCGATTGCAGCGCTCCCCAGCTCGACAGGACGCCTTGTAGTCTGTCTAGGATTTTCTTTCAGCTCAATTGACTTCAAAAATATTCTCGATCATTCCGCTCTAGCAGCTTTTTTTTTCTCGGTTGCCTCGATCTTGGAAACCCTCCACCATGCTCGGAGCTTGCCATAAACCCCCACAAACTGGCACCAAAAACCCGTCAATGGGGGTATGTCTTCAGCCGTGGTAGAGCCTGGCCTGGAAGCAAATTAATCTAAGCATCTTTCTTGGCAACATGACCCCTATCCAAGCCTATCAAGCTTCGCTTGCTGGCGGCATCGAGTGGTGAGGTGACTCAGGCAGCTGAGGGCCATCCCGTGGTCCCTCCCGTCCCTACATCCTGGCCCCAACCTGGCCTATCCAGCGATCGCTCAACCAAGCTTCTGCTAAACCATTGACACACCACGCCCTCCCAGTGTCAACCACTTGTCAGGCCACGATCGGAGACATCTCTTAGTATGGTCATCACTTATCCTGGAAATCTACATCTCATTCTTTCTACAAAGTTTCGTTCTGAACCCGTCGGCAAGGTTTCTATTGCCTGCAACAACCCCCTCGTGGCTCACGCATGTTCGTCCTGGCTTGGCATGGATCTCCCACAAGGATCCTCGAACCCTGAACCAATGGTCTGATAGGAACGTACAACAGATGGGGGTCCAGGGTCTGCGTAAGTCCAGCCCCTTGGATATTGTTCTCATCTTTGTAAACTCGTCGTCTTTCGATATAAGTAAACTCTTTGCCCCTCACTTCTCCACGTCGGCTGTTTACTGCAAGCAACCCCGAGAGATTCAACGTAGCAGTACGTGTCACCATACAGACGGATTGAATCTAACCCTCTTCGCTCTGGTACATCATCGCGGCCTTTCAGAGAAAGTTGTTAGCTCACACTCAATCACGATTTGCTGACTCTTCTCGAACGGAACCAGGATGGTACCGATTTGCGGTGCATCCTCGTAAGGTCTCTCATCTGTGAAGCGGGATAATTTGCCCGCCCTCCACGTCAAATCGAGGCGACCGTCGCACCCAACACCGACGCTGACATGATCCTCTCATCGAAGTCAGTCTTTGCGGTGAAGTCATATTGCTCCTTGGCGTAAGCGGCGGCGGTGGCGGTACAAGCCAAGACCGTCAGCACAGCCTATCGGCATCGGATATAATAACGTTCACGCCTGCTAATGACGACTCCCTTCTTGCTTGTAACCTTCATCGAACGATATGCCAATCCAGTTGCGTGCCGCCCAGCTCATTTTTTCCTTTCGAAATACTGATAAAATCCAATTCTTACAGCATTAACGGTCCCCGCATAACCCGTAAGCGCAACCTGTACACTCAATAATTCAATTATCAGCGCGCTCATAGCTGTGTCTTTGGTGATTCCTTACTGGCAGATTCTTCACGACGACGAACCATCATTCCAGGGTACGTTATACTTGCTTATCGTTGCGTGAATGGTCTACCAAGACTCCACGAGCGACGTACACTGACATCCTCTCGTCTGATTCAATCAGGTTCTTATATGTCACTTTTGTGAACTTCAAGCCGAAGTTCTCGGTCCAGTTGGGGCGCCATGTGCACATTCGCTAGGCGATTTCCTCGGATAGAAACGACCTGAGGCACTGGCACCGTACCTTATACCGTTCCCAGCTTGCCCGTCACCCCCAAGAAGCGTGGACTCGTAGCCCCATCATCACCAGTGTACACCCCGTACAACCCGTTTTGGATCTCATGGACACTATCATCCAAACGAACCGATTTCTTCTACTTCACGACTTTCATTTTCCCGACATCGAACTTCGGACATGCATTCTCTTCACGATACCCTGACAAACATTTCTTTGTACATTGTCCGATGCCGTTCGGAACGTTCCCAGTTTCCTGACTCTTGTATGTATGTCATCATTAGGGGCTAGGTTCGATAATACACGAATCGATATATTGTATCCTCTGACGTATCTATCTTTTGCACTCGAACTATGTATTCCGGCTCCATTGACGCAGTATCGGTGGTTGTGGGCACAAAGCGACTCGGGTTTGAACTTGAAGATTAGCTCGTCGACTATGGTTCGGTCGTCTAAAATCATGTACAGCTTCCCCGCTCATTCATTTAGAAAGGTATTCGACCATCTCCTCCAGCAAGGATCGTCCATCTTATGTTAAGCGTGAAAGCAAGGAGATCTCTAGACACAGAGGTCACACCCGGTCCAGCTTCGTGTAGTTGTCTGCTTTGAGATCATGACCACGGGCTTCAAGCGGTTGGAATGTCAGGTGGTACGTTGACCATAAGTCACTTGTTGAGTAGGTTATGCTACGTTGGTAGCTCTTTATGTGCCCGTAATGGCGCCCGTTAAGTGATAAGTAACCCTGGGTGCCCGGCACATATCGAACACTCGCAACGCTCCGACGGGCGCTTATTTGTGGGAACGACTACTCTCGCACTTCGAGGATCCAGGGTTCAAACCCGGTCTCCGCACTTTCTATGCTGTTGGGATACTCGTGCACTTATATTCCTCCTTATCCGATGCTTCTCGACATAGTACATTCCCCGATGGCAATGTCCTATCTGATCTCATTCACTATGAGAAACGCGACCACGGACGTCCTTAGAAAGTCCGTGGTTGTGGGACATGTTACTTACTATTACTTACCCCCAGCCGTGTCCTTAGTTATGCTAACTAGGGACACTGAGCCGCGACTAAGGACACGACTAAGGACTTTATGCCGCGGCTAAGGACATGACCAAGGATATCCAGGCCAAGATATAGCATTACATATGTTTCAGTGTCCCGTCAACACAAATACTCGTGATTTGAAGAGAGTTCCGGTTTATTAGGTCAAAGGATAGGGTAGAGGACAAGATTCAAAGTTGTAAAACATTGAATGGATATTTTAATAAAGAGGGGGCCCCCAACGCTTGGAGTCCAATTATCTGCAATGGCGCTTAGGAATCCACCAAGGTCCTAATCGATAATCACTGACCTGTTTAGCCACGAGTCCTGCTATCTCGATCAGAATTTAATGGCTAAGTGAGTATGTGTACGTACAGGTGTACTTTGGGAGAAGTCAGGACTTTGGCTCTAGCATAATAGCACTTGGTGCTTAGCCTTTGCAATTGAGCGGCGAACGGGCTTGAATCAAACAGTTCAAAATACCTAATCATAAACTCCGGCGCTCTGTCCGCCTCCCAACTTGTCTCCATGCTCCCACCTTTACATCACTTCAAGTTTACATCGCCACACTGACTCGTCTCGTTAGGGCTTGGAGTGTATCGCCTGGCGTTGGCAACGGCTGCACGGACGTCACCATGGGTGCCGTGGAGGGACCGAATTCACGATGGATGGCAGATGCTGGTGCGTCTCGGTACTTCGCGCTGACACCAAAGCTGAACGGAACATCATGCACGTTGCACACTGGAGCAAGTGCCCACTGAAATCCTTACCACCTCTCTTCAAGAACAACTTCACCCAGGCTCCTCTCCTTCGTCTCCTCGCTGTTCTTCATGCCATCGCTCCGCTTCTCCTTGGCGTTGTCATTCTCGATCTATGCGCTCGTGCTGGGGCGTTCACCCTCAGCCTTCACAGGTGGGGTCATTGCCTCCATTCAGAGGGGGATTTCTCATAGACGCGAGTAAAATCACACTAGGCGGCGAGTGAGTAAAGTCCAACTCATCGCTGATGCCACTGTCTTGGGAGGTCTTCCTTCCACGGCGGTCGGGTCTATTTCTCACTTCTCGGCTAGGCAGAGACCTTGCGGCGGTGTCCACTCGGCATCTTTCAGCATTCGCTCAGATGCACCCGCTGTGATGATTTAAATATTCACCCCGCAACCGTTCTGGCGCCCCGCCCTACAAATAGATTTACGAGAACACTTATCCTGCCTAGCGAGTTTCCGGTACGTTTTTCCGACTCGAGAATGGATGCATTCTGGTGCTGATTAACGATTCAAACTGTATTGTAAGTCGCATGAAACTCCTAGATTAGCCTTCGCCTCAACAGTGTCCACACCAGATAAGTTCTCGTTCACTCTAATCGACCAGAGCTTTCTCAGTGATCGGGACACCATAGGTTATCTAGCCACTTCGGGAACCCAATTTAGATAGACCTTTGTATTTTTGCTTTTGCTTAGCTTAATAAAATTTATTTTGTCGATTTTATCCTATTTGATAAGAGAAGTAAAAAGAGAAAGCAAATACCCCGTGTCCCTTGATGACTGAGGAAGGAATTTGGCCCTGGTCAAGGAGCAAGGACATAGTCCCTGCTCGCGACACCAGGGACGACATAACTAAGGAATCGCGCGTTTTTTTAGGGATTTTGTCCCTGATCGTTTTTATAGGCCGCGGGTAAGGACAGATTACTTGCCCGAATGTAAGGACTTCGTCCGCGCCCGCAACCCACGGACGTCCTTGGTCGCGTTTCTCATAGTGATTGATACATTAGATTCGTGAGCGTACCCGTACGAGGAACGACGCTCAATACCCCTGTGTTTATATCCCGATCATCCCAGAGTCTGACGCCTCGTGTCTGTCCCATAGCCCATTCGTGCCTACTTTGTATCGTTACCGATTGTATTCGAGGAGACCATCCCCATTCTACCTTCATCAAACAGAAACGAAGAGGCGCTCGAGCGCCCAACAAGCACGCTGCTACCAATCTGCACGACGCACATTTTACACGCCCTAGTACTTATTGCACACGCAAGGCTTCTTTGGCTTCTCTCCAAGTTCCAGGTGCTGCTTTATCATACGCAGCTTTCCCAAACCAACATATGTTTTCTAAGTTGACAAGGTCAATGGAAGTCACCATGATGACGACCGCGGGACGACATCCTCGAGGCAAGAGCCTTGCAGCGATATCAAATAACTATCAAATGCATCCCCGATTCTTCCTCCCGCGATTGGCTCACTTGACTCGCCATGCCCCTGGAACACTTGTGGAACGTGCCCACCAATGAGTGACGTTTCTTCCATCAATCCTTCCGAAGGCTGAAGCGAAGAAGAAATCTGGATAAGCAGACTTTCCGTATGAACAAAACAGATAATTAGATTTCAATTGCCGCCAACGACATGCAGCGATTGGTTTGGGATGTATGCCAGACCACAGCTTGAAAGCGTGTGTTGTACTTAGGGCTATGTAGTTGAGTGGTCCACCATGTACTGTCTAAATCCTAAACTGACGAAACTGACGTTTAATGAAAACCCGTCAACTCCGTTCAATTTTCATCTCTTCTTTCGGTCGTATACGGTACCTGCGTTAGGCGATGAGCATGAGTAACAAAGTTCTGTGAATGTGGGCAGTGGTGCTGCAACCTCAAGGCCATTATCACCGTCAAGTGTTAAGCGCCAACGGTCCCGGATTCTGCGTACGAGCACTCATGATCAACATCTGGGATTCGGCCGTCGCTCGGCCACAACACAGCGCGGGATCTCCTACAGATATGAAAAGCTCGACATCCTCCAAGCGAAAGTCATCCAAAACCGGATAAAAAGCTACATACCGAAGCAACCCTGGAGCAGCCGTAGACTTACGTCCAAGCAGTGGGGCGACAATCGAGTGGAGCCAAGTGCGCTGTCCCGTTATCAGAACAACCTTCGCCTGTCAAAAGCTTATGGCAGCAATCCAAAGTCCGCCTTCCAGATGACCTTTCCAAATGCTGCGCACGAAGGCCCAGGGGGAGACAACGGCTTGCAGCCTGCAGCGGCGTGGCCAATGTGACCACTCGCAACGGGCGCTGGAGGAGCGAAGTTGCCGACCTCCAAGCCTCAGGGTCCACCTCTAGTAGGTGGTCCCGCGTCTGAGCGGGGGTATTTAGACTCTTCAAGGTTGGTCGATCTTGTCCCTCTTCTCCCATCTCCTTTGACCAGTCAGTGGTGCATATCTACTTTGCCAAAGCATGAATGACTTGACTCACAGACCGTCCCTTTTGACAGGCCTCGAGCAACACCCCCATGGGCGGCTGGATCTCACGCCGCTGTTGCATCCCCTCCATCTGCACCAAGGACGAAGAAGATCGGGACGAGATTCTAGATGCTGGCATAGAGCAATGGGACATCTACAAGAAGGACGGGAACACCGCCGCCTTGGACGGCTGCATCAAAATCTTCCGGAAACTGGCAGAAGAAAGCAGATGTCGGCGTGGAAGAGACATACAACGTATCGATGCGCTAACTTGGCTGGTCGACGGATTGCTGGAGAAATGTAAATTGTCGGGTGAGCGGAGTGAGCTGGTGGAGGCGATCCAGTGGAAAGAAAAGCTGGGGAAGACCTTGGGGAGGATGTCGGTGTGGGACGTGAAGCTGGCGAGTATGGAGCGCCTGGCAGATGCATACCTTGCCGTCTATAGGCGCTCGAATGAACCGGCCGACCTGGATGGGCACATCGACGCGTGTCGCCAACTTGTCACCTTGTCCCAACCTGCATTCTCAAAATCACTCAAATACAGTATCAGATTGGCGGAGGCATTGGCGAGGAAAGAATCGTGTTCAAGGTCGCTGGAGGAGTCAATCAAGATATTAGAAAAAGTAAAGGAAACATGCCAGGGCACCATAAGCGTTCCAGAGGTTCTACGACCTCTTGCAGCTGTCCACTACCGTTCTTTCATCTCATCCCCTCGCGACACCTCCCTCTCTCACCTCTCTCACCTCGACAAATCCATACAGGCCCTGGAAGAATTGCTGGCCTGCAGTCCACCACCTACGGTCAATGGCACCTCGAACGATCGACTGTCTTGGCTGGTACCAGCAATAACGACGAACGACGATCCCAGAGTAGACCACCTTTCGACCGCGATCGACTGCATTCAAAAGGCAATCCAAACCGCTGAGAAGAAGCCGCTCCTCTTGGGGGAATCCAGACTTGTGACCCAAGCCAGGTTATGGCTCGCCCGAGGCCTTCTATATCGTAACGTGGACCTGGGAAATGGAGGGGAAGGAGTCAGTAAAGCGTGCAACATTGCTGAATTGGAGAAGAGCATAGCCGACTTTGTCGCCGTCTACAGCCACCCCGACTTCAGTCAAGATCCAGAAGTTATCATCGAGTTCGCTGATGCTATCCGAGTGAGGTGCGAACAGGAAGACGGGGAGGAGGCCAAGTCGGGGGTTACTGTGGAACGCGCTGCGGTACTGTATGAAGAGGCTTTACGACTTTCGACCGGAAACGAGAAGCTTCAGCGGGGTATTTCCAATCGTTTGTCGAGGATACGTAGAAACGATCCGCCTGAGGGATGAAGGGGTGCCTGGTTGTGGGAAATAACTGCATTGCTCATGGTCGTATATGTTACATTTTTTCTCATCCATGTACCACATATTTCGCCTCGTTGATAGATCATGTCGTAGATTTCGTGTCTGGAGTTCTGCTGGGGGTATCGCATTGTCGTGGTATTAGCTGAGCTTGACGTGAGGTTGGGGTTGAAGGCGAGATTGGAACCATAGCCTGAACGTGAAGAACACAACCGCCCCAGAGACGACAACAATAATGGCTATCGCTTTGGTTCCAAAGACCGACGTCTCCTTCTCAACCTAGAAAAATCCAATTGTCAATACCCGCAGTCCCGGGGATTGGTCCACCGATTGTCTACCCACCACAGAAGTAAAAGGCGACAAAATAGGTATCGTAAAATGGGACGGTAGACCTGATATCCAAGATTTCTGAACTTTGGACGCGTGCCGAGCGTGGTGAATGGCCAGGTAGATGATGAGCAGGACGAGAACGATAACAGTGGCCATGAGAATGAGCTACGCCGCGAAATTCATATCAGAACCGCAGTAGTTATTGAGTCATGGTCTTTGCTCACCACTAGCTTCTCCAACGACGCATGTTTCGCTTCATGCTGCTTGAGCAACTGTTGAATTTCGCGCTACCAGCCAAACGGGTCAAATTTAAACATTGTGGGCTACAGTTTCCAAACTCACCGAACGCTTCATATCCTGCGAGTAACTCATTGTCTTGACCTCCCTATGGTGCATATCCTTCACCTTCAACAGCGCCTCAGCCTGAAGCGCTCGAGTGGCCCAATACTGCTCCTTGGCCGTCAGCGGCTCCAGAGATTCGAGAGTAGGTTGTTGGATTCCAGAGGCATGTCGCACATTCACTCCTGCGCCATTCGAGGTTGTAACGGATTTTATGGGACTAGCATTGGTACTGGGTGGAGAGCTGAGCTTTCTGAGTTTGCTCATTCATGGGATGGGGACGCCGACCGCGAAGAGTGAATTCGAACCGATCGCGTGTCACTGGCTGTTGGCATCAGTGTGCCGTGCCAAGCCAATATGAACGGGATTTGAATCCTTCTCTTCGGAGCTCAAAGATAGGCCTTGCCGGTGAACAAGTCGTGAATTCATTTCTGGAAATCGTCGACGTTCTACAGAAGGTTTTGCCAGGCATTCGACTTGTTTCACGTCCTTTTCCCCCAATCTTTCATCGTTTGACGATTACAAAATGAAAGAGGAAATGGCCGGCAAGTGTGGACTCTGTTCCTTGCAAAGTTCATCAAAGTCGGCACGCTGGCCATCCAAGTTTGGAGCCCAGACGCCAGTAGCTCTTGGGCGAAGAATGCTCTTCGCGAATCCCATTTTCGAACCTACAATTTGACCTCTTGCGCAGGTTTTTCCCTTGGGAAAATCTCGGATTTCCAAAGCTCTCGCAGCGATTAAAGAGCGTCTGGTATTCTGGGCGCGGTAACAATCATTTTCTTGTGTTGCCCAAAAGGAACCGAGGTACCTGCCAATCCCACTACCTTCAATCCCTGCTTGATTCCTCCTTCTGTCTCCCACAAACGCTTCTGACCATGCACACCGCCGTCCGCCCATCCTCTTGCTAATTCAATCGCTTCTTCAAATCTCTGAAATCGTTTCGTGACCTGAAGCAACAACTATGGAGAACCCACTCACCGTCATTGTCGACAACGCGAGCGACAAGCTCGGGTACAACGGAGGGCAATGGGAAACGGAGGAGGCACCCAACACATTTGGCGGCTCGCAGAGCGTATGCTTCACGGATCGACCGTCAGGGCCTTCGAACGTCTCGTTCAGCTTCTTGGGTACGTCTAATTAAGCATTATTGGACGTGACAGGCTGCCTGACTGGAGCATTGCACTACAGGGAGGAGTGTCGAAGTGTACGGAACCGTTGACCGCAGTCTCGTGATGAAGACAGTGGTCAACAAGGCACCGTATAACCCACTAGACGAGACTGCAGGAGCACCAACAGGAAGAGTACGTTCGCCTTCGCCCGCCGTCGACCATCCATCGCTACCCTGGTTATTCATTCATCCGTCGTTCACAGCGCGGCGTTAAACTGTTCGAGGCAGGCCTCATCTCAGGTTCCCATGAAGTCAGATTGGAACCAGAATCCGGTCAACTCTCTATCGACTATTTCATCTACAGCCCAGTCGGCAAGACCAAATTCAACGGCGAAGACCTCATCTTCGACGATACCCATACCTCATTAAACTTCACTGGCCCATGGACACCCATGAAAGTGACAGACCTCCCCGAGCTGCCGTTCAACTTCACACTGCTATCGACGACACAGGCTGGCGCTAGCTTCTCTTTTGCCTTCACCGGTGCGTCATTTTGGCTTCCTGTGGGAGCATGGGCTCACATGAATGATAGGAGAGAGTATATCTGTTTTTGGAGGAGCGAGACCAAATGCCGGGCGCGTCTCTGCAGAATACACCATCGATGGCTCGTCACCGACATCTGTAGTCACCACCAACCGCCGCGAATCGCAAGACGGGTGGACACTCCACCAAGAATACTTCAAATACGAAGTCAAGGAGAAGCCAGACGCAGAACACATCCTCAACGTAACCGTCCTCGAAGCTTCAGAAGAGCAGGTTCGTCGTCACCTTACCCCTTCAAGCCTCTGCTTCGTCATTGATATTCATCTTACACCTTTACCCACAGCCCTTCTTCTTGGACTACGTGATCGTACGAGGGAACGAGCACACCGAGATGGCAGAGCGCCGGTTCAAGAAGACAGGTTCTGACCTTAGCAGCGCTGGAATGAAGATTGGACTCGTGATCATGGCTATTGTCGTTGGTATCCTCCTTTGGGTGGGCTGGACGTTTTACCGGAAACGCAGAAAGGCGAAGGGGTGTGAGTAACTCTTCCTTTTTTCATTCTGTAAGGACTATAGGGATAGGCTAACGATGTCGAGTTTAGTTCCCCCCAGTCAACGATGATCCCGGTCAAGCTTCGGCGTTGGGGTGGAGGTTGAGCATTTTTAGTTGTTCTATATCCTTTCCTCTGCGACTTTCACTGCCCCATTCTTTTCACGATTTCTCATTCTGGAGTTCTGCATTATTCTCATTACCCATGCTCGTCATTCATTCGGTTTATTTCTTGTTTATCCTTGCTTCTGCTGTTATTTATCTGGCTCTGCTGTGTATCTGTAATGCTAATAAATTGGACAATACGAAAAGATTCCAAAGCTCCCCTTGCTCGCTCTCGAACTGAGCTTGTCTCCCCGGATATACCACGAGCACATCTAGCGTCGACTGGGTATATATCCGTTATATAGTACGTCAGTAGAGTCTACGAAATAGCAGAACGAATAAATCACGCATCATCCGTTAAGAAGGGGTATAGGGAGGAGGCTGCTCTGCAGGCGGCCGAGAAGGCGATTGCACAGATGGAGCGCTAGGGGGCGTGAAGCCAGGTTCAGAAGGGCCAGCACCGGAGGAAGGCTGGGGAGCCGAAGCAGTCATAAGGGTAGCACCCAACGCCGGCTGGTCAGAGCCATCCATACCCGACACATCAGGCTGGGCTTGGGAGGGAACAAGCGGTTGAGGGAGCGCAGGTGGGGGTGAGGGCGGGGAAGCGGTACCGCCTTGTGGTTCAGGGAATGACATCAACGGGGGAGATTGGGTAGGTGCTTGGGCTGCGACGTTGGGTGCTGGTGGAGGGCCGGGTGGAGGTTGCCAGGGACTGAGAGGCTGGTGTGCTGGTGGAGGCGGGGAGAGGGGCGTCCCCGAGTTTTGAGGGTCCCAGGGACTAGGTGGTGCTCCTGGAGGTGGTTGCCAGACTGGTGGCGTGTAAGGAGGCGCTGGGGCGTTCCACTGGTTGTATGGTTGGTGCGGCGGGGGTTGCCAGTTTTGCTCAATGTGCGTAGGAGGGTATTGGTCTGTAGCATGAGCTGTCAGACCGGGACCCCTGCCAATATGAATGTTCGAACTCACCAGTACGATTGTGGTCCTGCATTCGAATCTCCTGTGCAGTCCTAAACAATTTCGACCTCACCCGTCGCCTGATCCACGTAGACACGACGATAATAAAGAATAGCGCAACGACAGCCGCGATGATTGCATTCCTCGACCAGTTGTTGCTGTTGCTGCTTCCACTGGAACTATTTGACGAAGCTGAAGCAGATGGCGGGTCTAGTCTCGTGGATGATGTGGCTTCGAAGGTGATATAATCGAGGTAGAAGACCTGGTCGTCTGTGATTTCGTTGACGGTCACGTCTAGGACGTGAGGTCCAGGGTCGAGGTCGCGAGAGAAGAGTTCATGGTTGAGCAGCCACGAATCGGCGTCAACCCTCTGTGAACCATTGAAATGGGTCCTCGTCTCTGATACTTTAGACCCGTCGACTCGATACGTTACAGCTAACCTCCCAGCCCTGGGGTTCAGCACACCATAGACACCGATGGTCGCGCCTATCGCCAACATGTCAGTACTGATACGAATCGGTGTAGCAACACAGCCCAGCAGTACGCACCCTCAAACCGGAGGCTGAAAGACGCGTTCCGCACGTTCGTCTCGGAAATACTATCCAACATGGGTGAACCAGGAGGATAAGTGACGCCAGCCTGGTTTCTCCAGCTACCCTCATACTTGATAGCGTTGTCCGCGTTGTCTAGCATGAATATCCTCTTGGGGTATCGCTGAGTTCTAAGGGGCTTGTATAGGGCATAGTCAAGCGTCAAGTTGCCAGAATCTGGAAAGAATTCGATGTCGTGACGAGTCTCCACAAGGCCAGTTAGGTTCCAGAGTTGTACACCGTTCTGGTAGTGGTAGAAAACACCTGCTCAGTGAATCGGGTCAGCGTTGGGCGAAGAAAGGAGCACGGACCTTGCCCACTTGCTCCGTCGTCGTATTCAAGATTGCCCGGCGAACTCTGGTGCCATCGATCGTGTAGTTCGCAGTGATATTCTCCGCACCCGTGCCGTATAACGCGATTTCAGACCCTGTAAACCGTTTTAGCCAGTCAAATGCCCAAAGCATGGTAACATATCAAGGCTCAAACTCACCATAAAAGCTGAAGCTCAGCTTCGGCGAAGTATTCACAGAGGAATTCGTTACACATGTCGTCACCGTCTGCCTGAAAAACCCTGCCTGACCAGTTTCTGAGTTCCACAGCGTAGTGGTTGTTCTGAACTCCGAATCGTCGACGATCACATAAGGGGCCATGGTGGTGATAACCTGAAAGAAAGAGACAAAAGATGTAGAAAGCCGCTCTGGGACCTACAGCACTCTGCCCCGGTCATGGACTAGATGGCGGCGAGAAGATGACAGACGGTAACCAACCCGGTTGGGAAGCTCATATGCAGATTGTCGGTGTTGTTCCCACCTCATACGGTTATCGTGGTCTGCGGTTAAGCACTAGGCGGTGTACAATTGATGGCCTCCTGATTTCTAAAGTCAAGTGGATCCTTGGCTTACCTTGGCTCCTGTGCAGCTGCTTCCACCAGGACACAAATGGAACAAAATGGAATTCAGAGGAACTGTTAAGACCTCGACGAAAATAGCATTCGTGGACGATGAAATTCAAGTGAACTTCAGATCGAAAAGGCAAGGAGATGCAAGAGCTGGGCATTGGTCATTTCTCGCGTGGTACGAGCGCTTGGGAGAAGATTTACATCCTCCGAAGGCGTCGCACTGGCATGTGGAACGAACAAGAGGTTTCACTCGCCCACCAAGACTGTGAGAGCCTCAAAGTTTCAGAGTCGGGAAATAAGCAATGTCCCCGCCGGATGCAAGCAAGGAACTATTGATTCCAAAGATACTCGAGGATTAAGAGGGTGCTAGAACCATACTACTCGGAAGTTAACAATTACACGGTGCACCAGATTGTCGGGAAAACAAGATCTTTGGTCAGGGGGTCGAAAATTCTATTGCTGGCCATTACCCAAAGGGGTTATGGTGGAGCAAAGGCTCCATATAGGAAGGGAAGAAGGGGGAAGGGGACGTCTAACTTGGAAACCAATTACGAGAATAAACACCATATAGTTCACAAGGCAAATAAGGGTGGACGAGGAAAGGGGCAACGGGTCATTATGTGTATAGAAAGGCGACGAGAGGAGAAGTCGTATACAAACCGAAGGAATCATGTCCATTTAAGTTTGGGTTGAAGGGAAGCCGTAAATATAGGTTCAGTCATCCGGACGGAATTTTAGAGGAGGAAGTACGGGAGCCAAGGGAACAGTGTTACATGTCTAGCCAGCAGCTGGATGTGAAGGATTGATGAATGAATCCTGGGGGATATAAGATGAAGTCCGCCCCGGTTTGGGTGTCGATTTATTTCTGAGACCAGTAAGGAAGCTGCGAGTGAATGAAAGCCGCTTCGAAGGCAAGACAGGATTTGGTGGGATGGCCTTTGGAAGGGGCTTCGTAGGAGTCGGCGGTGATTTCTCGGGGCGCTTCTTACAATGAGACAACTCGAGCAAAATGTCCCATCGTCGATACCAGTTCAGAGGAGCGGTGCTGGAAGGGACGTGTTGGGATGTAACCGGTGGCCTGAGATAAAGATTCTTCGCCCAGCTAAGAGAAGACGAAACATCGGGCTCAGTCGACGAAGAAGACGATCCAGCGGATTGGTTGTGTGATGGTGCACCTCCGCAGTACCGATGACCTTTGGTCTTACATTGACCATCAACGTCACCACAGGGTTCCCATTCGGGATCGCTTTCGACCAAGGTTGATTCCGAATCGTCACTGAAACCCATGGAAGTCGTGGTGTCGAGCGAGATCTCGCTCGCGGTCTCGTCAAAGGGGTCCTCGTCCAACTCCTGCGATGGCGATGGCTGGCTTCTAGGGGTTGGCGTACGATCAGGGATCGCGTGCATATCGTGGACCCAGAGGACCTTAGACAGGGTCCAAACGGGAACATTGGCGAAGCATTGATCAGCTTCAACGCAATAAGGGTCGCGAAGTGCCGTGATATCTCCCCTACGAGGATATATGGTAAGTGGGGGCACAGATGACGGCTGGTCCTCGCTTTCGAAGGATTCCATAGGGCGGAAGCTTTTGGGATGGTTGGTTAACACCTTCGGTTTGGGTGAAACTGAAGATGAGCTTGTCTCGGAGTTCCCCGCTGATTGGTCACGGTGCCCTTCCTTCCTTGATGTCCAGAACGCTTTCGTGAGGGAGAAAGCTTGTCGAGAATAACCGTGGTGGTGGTGATTGCGTCGATAAGCGGCACGCGATGGGGGTTGGGGTCGCCGTTGAACAGACTCGTCCCTGGCCGCCAGAGGCGATGAAATATGGACGAATCCACGGTGCGGAGGAGAGATGGTGGGTGTTTTGCGGCGAGGAGAGGAGTTTGGGAAGGTATTGGGAAAAGCGAGCCGGGAGACTGGTACAATTGTGATTGCCTTAACAGGCCCCATTGGTGTGCCGGAAATAGCTCGTTCATGAAGATACGAACAGTTCTCTGAATGGGAGGTGTACCCCTCCAGACAGGACTGCAACGACGCGATGTCCGTGGAAAGTCCTTGACGAGAAGCTACCCCGTTATCGCTCTCTCCCATGCGGGAAGAGGAATGGGACAAGTCAACCATCCTGTTGCTTGTGGTGTGGTGCGCTCGCTGCCAGCGTGCTACCGCGACGTGTCGGGGTCGGCGTGAAGGTGCGCCGACGTAGAATAAAGAGTCGTAAGAAGGAAAAAGGGTGGGAGGACCGTTGAGAAACCGTCTATGTCCACCACTACGGCCTGGCGATGGTGGTGGTTGGGGGATGGTCTATGAGATCTGACTCCTGTTCAGAGCTGACCGTTGGGAAAGTCGCAGAGGGGTATGCGGACTTTGGTAGATGCTGTGGATGGCAAGATTATCCTCCAGATTCGTTCCAAGCGCTCGACCTCCTAGGCGATGATGGATAAAGAGGTATATATGTTGGTCATACCCTGTGAATAGCCATGACGGCCGTTACGAAGGGGGAGGAAGAGAAACGGTCACTGGAACATACAGGAATCAGGAAACTTGTTATGGTTGGTATGAGAGAAAATAGCGATGGAGATTATGGGGACGACTGGACGGCCTTTGGCCTTCGCCAGCCTGGTGGGGGTATTTGAAGACGACCTCATCACTTGGCTGTCCTTTTCTATTCCTTAGGTAATACTGGGAACCCCGCATCGGAGGCAAACTCTGACTTCCTTTTCTGGACCACCAAACCACCTGACGCCACTCCAACCCACCCAGCTCTCGCCTTCCAGCGGCGTCGCGTCATGTCGCGTAATGAATGCATGTCAGAGGTGATACGTGATTCGTGCTTGCAACAAGGTCAGAGATGACTGTCTTGGGCGCGTTTCAAATCCAACAGGCAGTTGGACCTCTGGTTTCGGGGTCTCCTCACGGACTCCTGCCTGCGGGTCGCTAGAAAGGAAGTATTGGAGAAGAACAGAGGAATTGGCTAGTACATCCCCTATTCAGGCTCACTGTGATCGACTTCAGTGTGCTCTATGAAACGTGAAAGGGTGATACAGTGCCAGCCGCATATACATGCCGGCCCCGCAGCTCGTAAGAACAACCCATCATCAGTGAGGAGTAGAAGTCAGTGGACTGACCTCAGCCCAGAGTAACCCTCCACTGCCTTGCGAGAGTCTCGAGTGGTTCGAGGGCCAGTCGGCCGGAGCTTCGTGCAGTCTATCTGAGTCCATTCTGTATTTCGAGGTCAAGTGGACAAACTTGGAAGGCTCCGAGAGAAGACGCTTTCTTTCCTTCAATTCTCGCCGGACTGATGTTTACATGCCGTATTGACTGGAGGCTATCCTATTGCCGATGTAGATGTACCTTAATCGCTGGAATACCGGGTGACTGGTACTAGGCACGGTGCACACTGCAGGCAGATCGTACCTATCCGTCCACTAACATCTATCTGAAGGGGTCCTGTCGCGAAAAAAGCTTGCAGTGATGACGAAAATGAGAATATAGATTAGATATGTAATCAGGTAAACTAGGTGACATCCCAATAATTGCTCTGATAAGAAGTGAACTATATAATTGTAAAGTACGTGAAATGCGAAAGACAGCGATGTCCGGTATGCAATTAGAACGTGAAGTAAGGTGGTAAGATGGCGATATGACAAGTAAATGGCCTTTTGGTTTCTGATGTGGTAAGGTTTTGTGACCTCCGCAAAGTGGTCGATAATCTGGAGCCCGAAAGCAGGTATCCCAGCCTGGTTTTATGCAATGTGTTTCGATCGTCGTGAGTTGTTGTAAGCATCGTAAGTCATGAGCACTCGTGGGTCGGTTGAAGTAGTCGTATGAGGCGTCGCGTTCCGTTATCGCAATTTGGTTTCGTTCGTTCATCGTATCATCGAGCTGGTCTCGATATATCGCTGCTCGCAGCTAGAAGTCCATTAAAGCGGACCTTCAGAAAGCTGGGCCCTGCCGCAGCATAGCCCGACCAAGGTCATCGGTCATCTTCCGAGTCGCAACTCTGGCATAAGATGTCGTGTCTTAGGAGGTCGGGAGGCGTGGTATGGTGGTGTTGGAAGCTAAAGCTGCCCCAAAAGCACTCGCAATCCGTTTTAAAGTGGGAGGTGTTCGCGTCATTATCGTTCGTCGTTTATCGTCCAGCGGAAGCAGCAGCAGAGAATTTGGGCGACATCGTCCGGTGGTCGAGAACATACAGGAGCTGCTGCTGTCCCTCCGTATTGGTTCCAAGATAGACAATGTCTCCGACGGCAGGCAAGGCCCTCGATCCCTTCATCGACGGCGTAAGAGCAGCCACCAGTTGGTGATCGGCCAGACAGATCCTGAGCTTCGCGGAGAACTCGAGTGAGATAGCCAGAGCTCGAGGGATGATCTTCGACTCGTTAGATTGGACTTTCGCAAAGTAGGGTGTTCCGGCGATGCCGGCGTCTAATTGAACCTCGGCAGCGATGGTGTAGCCTATAAATGATCCGCGTCAGAGCTCGAGATAAAAAAGGAGGGAATGGGACGTACCAGCTTCCCGCGATGCTCTGGAGTTTCGGCTGCAAGAACTGACAGTTGGGAGGGAAATAGTCCAGACGTATTGTCCATCCCTTCGGGAAGTTGGCGGGACGAAGCTGAACTTGGCAGTCCAGACGCAGCGTGGTCCCCAATGGCTGGAGAGGTCCAACTCCTGTCGGAATTCGTAGGGTCCGTATGAGATCTTGGCGCCACCGTGGTAGTCCGGTACATAGTGGAAGGGGAATCCATGGGGCATATTGGAGACCTGGCCCTGGTTAAGCTGATGCTTAAGCATCACCTTCATTTGGATCTGCTGCTCGGGTGTAATCGACTGCGAAAGGTCCAGCGAGTCGTATGTCGAAGGATGTGATGCGCGATGGGGGTGGGGTGGGGGAGAGACGTACACCTCCTTGCCGTAGGCGTGGCCCTGGCGGATGGCGTTGATGTACTGGGAGTTATGCATCCTCATGGTGACAGGCGATTAAAGAATAATAGAGAATAAATATCCGTCAAGCTGCGACTGGCGCAGAATTAAGAAAAAAAAAAAAAAGAGTAGAGGGTAGTGAGAAGAGGCTAACGAAAAATGAAGGAGAAAGCGATGAGTGAAACCTGCAGTATAGCCCACTGAAATGAAGGGGGGTTATATACAAGCAACCTCCCGGACGCCTCTACAGACTCCACGGCGAGAACACAAAAGCGCATTGTAATTGCCTAGAAGACAAAGACAAGAACCTGTTACCGTCTTCTTCAACAAATAAGCCGTAGAAACAGTAAACGCTTACCCTTTCTCGCTCGCGCCTGGACAATAAAACAAGGCGCGCACCTGTCATTCCTTCCGTCCGGGGTTGTTGCCCTAGCACCCGAGGCGATTTACATCTGATGTGCGGGCGTTAAAGATAAGAGGACTTCAACAAACTTCGCGCCAACTGGGCTAAGAAGAAATGCATGGATAGTTTCGCCATCGAAGTGAGAGGTGGACTCGGGAACTTGAACAAATCAAACGCAGGAAAATTGGAAGTCAGGTCAGGAGGGCAAGCAGCGTGATCATTGGGACCCACACTCGCCAACTTCGCACACCCCACATTTGGCAACACAGGCGCCCACAAACGCTATGGCCAACCGGCGATGGTAACGCGTATTCCTTGCACGCTTTTGTTTCATGACTGTCAGAGTCGGAGATCATTGTATCACCGAGACGCTCGTGTTCTGTATAGAGGCTGACCTAGAGAACGATGTTAGCGTCTCCGATGCGGAATCCAGCGGAGGAGACGGCGGACGTACAAGCAAGTCCCATCTGTATCTCTATCACAATTGCGTGGGCAGTGTAATGGAAGAAGCGGGCGTCTCTGATATTGTCAAGCGCATCGCAAGAACACCGATCGGGACTGAATTGAAGATTAACTCGTAAACCTTTGACTGGCACTCAACTGGTGAAATGAAGATTTAACCACAACCAGTAGATTGGCTCTGACGATTGGTTTGGGACTCGGGACAGTGAGGAGGAAGATATAGCGCTCCAGGTACATACAATTAGACATACTGCGATTCGGAGACCTGGATAGCGACTTATGCCAACTCTAATTCACGCTTCCGACAGCGGCTCCACCGTCAATTACCTGCATTGCGACTAGCCCAATAACTGCCGTTGGGCCATTCGTAAGTCGCGATGCTTTCTTTGTGCATCTCAATGCTGGGGTGACAGGATCAGACAATCAAACGAAAAGAATAACTTTGATCAAAGTGACTTGCCTGTATCCTTCATCAGGATTGACGGGCACGTTGTAGCGACCTTGGGCGTTTATTGAACAAGGATTTACGAAGTGTTCGTGGAGATGATCAACGTATTCAAGTACGTTCCGTTCCATCGAGCCGGAGATGCAGATGTAATCAATTAAACTGTCAAGGATAGATCATTGGTTTCCGGCAGCACCTCCCAAGACCGAAAGATGCGCACCTGAGGTGAATAACGTACTCGCACAATCCTACACCCCCTGCGTGCGGACAGACAAGGACTCCGAACCTATTGAAAATAGAATTAGCGCGCAGCGGATCAAGTTAAATAATAGACGAACTTTGCAGCCATTAAAAGAACGCTCAATACTTCAGTCACGCCTGCCAATCTGCACGAGTCGATTTGAGCGACATCAATTGCATCGGCCTGGAGAAACTGTTTGAAGACCATTCGATTGTGAGCATGTTCACCCGTGGCGACTCCTATCCCATGTGGTTTCAAAGCTTTGCGGATTGCAGCGTGTCCCAGGATGTCGTCCGGCGCTGTCGGCTCCTCGATAAACCTGTGAACCATTATAATCGTCAACGAGAGGAAGAAAATCTGTTGAGAACACTAAAAAACAAACCAGGGCTTGATTTCGGACAATCCCTTCACATAGTCGATGGCTTGATCGACGTCCCAAACCTGGTTTGCGTCAATCATGAGAACAGCGCCGGTTGGGCCCGCATTCTTCCCTTTCAGGGCTTCACCATATGGATCCCTTTGAGAGGCTCCAGCCGGAAGGTATTGGGGATCATCGATGATGGATCGGATGAGCTTCCCTCTTCTGATGTCGTCAGCCTGGTTAGCCCCAACCTTCATCTTGAAATGGTTGAAGCCTCCAGCGACGGCCTCGTTGGTGAGTTGCGCGATTTTCTCGTCGCTATAGCCTAGCCAACCAGCGGAGGTAACATAAGCCGGATATCTTGAGGCTAGGTCAGTCCCTAGCCCCAGAAGGTGGAAGACCATAGAGAACTCACCCAATCTCCCGCACGGTTTTCTCTCGTTCGGCTTTGCCTGCTTGTTTAGCAGTGACAAGGGCAATCGCCTCCTCTTTCGTGATGACGTCAGATATGTACCTGAAAGTGGCAGACCTGACGAGCTCTTCCTGTTGAGAACGTTAACGCGATGGGTGACAGGAAATCGAAACAGCAGTTCTCACAGGAGTGAAGTCGGCGATGAGTTTCCAGAGAGGTTTCTTCCTGGACCTCGCGTACATGTCCCAAAGAGCGTTGTTAACGGCGCCCGTGGCGATATGGATGACACCTTTTTCTGGACCGATCCTTCGCAGACTGTCAGGCCTGGGTTAGGCTTGTTGATGAAGAGAGTCCCACCATCGTAGCTGAGGGTCTGCCATCAAGTAATCCCAGGTCTTGCCCATGTCCAAGAACAGTTCGTCGACGTCTTTGTCAACGAGACGCTTCGAGACCTCCTGGATCGCAGTGCAGACCTATCGCAGAGTGATGGTTCTATATGACGCCATGATTCCTGTAGAAACTCAGGACATACGATGTCGTTTCCTCTCCCGATGGTGAAAGTCATCCCATGTCCAACGAGGTCGGAATCGGTGAACAACGTCACATAGGCCGACGAATAGTCGCAATCGGTATTCCTGTATGAATGATAAGTGTACGTGCCTACCCGATTGACTAGTCCATACATTGCATCTGTGCCATCCCCCGTCAATGAGGTTGGGAAGCGAACATCTGTCGAAGCTCAATGAGGACCACGGCCCAGGAGCATCGTAGCAATCCAGAGACTAAACGCACCGTGGGTTGCAAATCCAGTGATCTTGACCATCGTTCTCTAGTGTGGAAGACGATATCCAGCTCCCTCTATTTATCTGCCCCGGAACTCGAATGTCGATGCCTTCTGCGAGCTTCTTCAGGTGACCTGGCATGAGTAATCCTCCATGGTTCTTCCAATTGTTGAACGTCTTTGAAGGGAGGGGTCGGGTGCTTTGCATACGACAGGGTGCAGATAGTGCTTTCATACATGAATTCAGTCCTTACAATCAAGAATAGAACCAGGTGGCCATTGGGTGACGAAAAGTGACGCGGAAGAGAAGCGGTAGAACTCGAAAAACCGACGAGCGCTAAGCGTGTCCGGACGGGCCGGACGGACAACCGTTCCCATGTGGCCGGACCGTCAGTCAATGTCTTCACGTTCGCAGTAGAGCTCGTGTGTACGGGCCCAACTCTGCTACCTGATTAGCACTCGTAATATCACCTTCTCAGTGCTCAGCTTTCAAGAATCCCGCTGCTGCTAGTCTACCAGCGCTTGTCGCGATCGTGACGCATGAAGAAGGTGAAGGGCAACCCTTAAGGCCGGTTTCTTGCTATCGGCACTATAAGTATTTAACTGTTAGGACAGATATGCTGGTGTACTGTCCATTCACCTGTCCAAATGTCTAATCCGGGCAATCCAACGAGAAGGCCCAGGGAGTCCATTGAGTGGATGGTCGCCGAACGGTCACGTGGTGGACGCGCCAGAAATCAAGGCGTAGTGATCGCATTGATTGGCGATCAAACCATGGGCCATTGGCCCATTGTCCGTCGTACCAGATATCACCTTTTATGGAGTTTAACCTAACCATTGGCCTTGGGGGCCTATATAAGCCATTTTCATAGCTTCCGAATCCCATAACCTTTCTTTCCTTCCTTCCACCAGCACCATACCCACCACCATTGTCCTTTCCACCCAACTTTCACCTCAACTTCTTCGATGAACATGGCGCCGTACTCAGTGGCTGGGGACTCGAAGTTCCATAAGACCTTGTACGAGGGTGTGACGACCGACGAGAAGATATCTGCCTACCTTGAGAAGTCGAAGTACTACAACGCTGGCTTCTGGAGCCTCGCCCCCTACCCTGACGACGCGGAGGAACTGCGCGACACGGTCGGCGCCATTATCAAAGAGATTGAGGAGTACTTCTGGCCAATGAATACCACGGAAAATCTGCCCTTCATCTGTGTCGATAATGGATACGCCGACTACAAAGAAGCTGCTATGATTGATTGCCACTGGGAAGTAATGCTCGATGATGACGACCGAATGGATGACGTTTACAAAACCAACATTGAGGAACACCAGTTACTGGAGGAACGTATCACGTACGTATTTCGCGTCGATTCTACATTTATCCCTAAGCTAATTATGCTATCTAGTGACGCGTTTATCAGCCAACCCGCCCGTGAATTTCTACGCGTCCTCTTCGTGAGCGAGAACAAGTTCCGCGTGGTCCACTTTGACCGGAGTGGCGTCAAGTACTCCATCGCCGCCAACCTGCACGACGACCCTCTCGACTTTGTGCGCCTTGTCGTCGGCTTGACCTCATGCAAAGCTGACCTTATTGGTTTCGATACGAGCTTGGTTTTCAATAAGCGTGATCCTGAGATCTTGGTTCAGCCTGCGGACGCGATGGCCCCTTCAGTCTATATCATCGAGAAAATCATCCCTCCGGGCGACAACGCTGATATCTACTGGCAGACACCATTCATCTTCTTCGCACATACACCCGATGGAAAGAAAGTCGTCGTCAAGGAGTTTTGGTTTGACGGACTCTGTTTTTGCGATCCTGAACCCCGGCTCCTTGCAGAAGCACTAGGTCTCAAGGGTGTGGTGCAGATGATTGAGTATCAGGTTGTTGCTGCGACCACGGACTTCCGGGGCCCCCTTGTAGAGGAAGAACAATCTCACTATGGGTTCCAGAAGAGGACTAAGCTTAGAATGGTTCTCGAACAATATGGCAGTGACATTCACTATTTCGAGTCGAAGATGGACTTGCTTACTGCGTTTTACGATGCCATTAAAGGTGTGTTGTTTTTTTTTTGCTGTGATAAACCTCCGACCGGGACTAACACCGGGCTACAGGGCATATGAGACTTTATCTGAGAAAGGGTATCTTGCACAGAGACATCAGCGTCGGAAATATCTTACTTGGCCTTAAAGGCTCTCGTTCGCGCAAAGGATTCCGGGGGGTATTGATTGACCTAGACAAAGCCATTTACATCTACGGCCACAAACCAGGGGAACTCAAATTCGCGGTAGTGGTAAGTCCAAGCTGGTTTCCATTCGACGTACACTCCAATTCTGACTCCTCTTTAGGGAACCATTCCATACCAATCGGTTTTCGTGCAGGCAAGGGCGTTCCTTTCCTGCACAGAGCACCCCAACGCGTTCAGCAACCACGATCACTTGGACGACCTCCAATCTTTCTTCTGGGTTTTCCTCTACATCGTCATCGGATTCACAGCTCCTGGCAGGTTTCGTTCTGGCTTGACTGCTTCTCTCCCTCTAAAGATGGACTCCATGTTCGAAGAATCCAACGAACGCGCACACGACGCAAAGTCTCTGTTGCTCCGAGAGGACATTTATACCCGCGAGACAGTTGAGAGCCACGTTCCGGAATTCTGGGGACCTATCATCAAGAACTTGCTGGCCGAGTTTCGAGCGTGGACGATCGAGATGTACAATCTCAAGTTTCGGGTCTTGCACAACTTTGGGACGAGTATGACGAAGGAGCAACTTATGACTCGAGCCAAGGAGCACTATACGGCTGTCCTCAAGATGTTCGAGAACGCGATTGAAGAGCTGGAAGTCGAAGAGCAGATCGAGGCCGTGGAGTCGGAGGAAGAGCTGGACGATGACCTTGACTCTGTACTGGGTAAGAGGGATCCTTCGAGCGACCCTGTCTCTCCGAACAGCAAACCTGCACCAAAGAAGGCTCGAGCCGACGAGCCAGCCGTTCATTAGTTTTTTCATGATTATGCACGACCTACCTGCACGATATGCCCCATATGCACCCTATGCTTCATGTACATGAATGTAATAACCAACTGCCTAATAGTATGATCACCACAATTTATGGCGCCAGAGTCGAGTCGGATGCAAGAGAGGCGAGCCTCAAGTCGATTCGCAAAGCCAAAGGATCCCATAGGCGAAAGAGAATCAGGATCTTGTTAAGAGAACTAAGCACTGTCCTAGCCTTGGAGTCTGCTGAGATGAGCGATGTACAGGGTGTAATACCGTCAGGGCGATGGTGGACGCTGCCAAGTGTCGTGTGCGGAGGCAGCTGTGACGATGGTTGGGTATTTGGCAGTTCCGTTGGGATCAAACAACGCGAAATCAGCCTGATGGGCCCCTATCCGCGTCCCACGCGACGCGTCTCAGCTCCCTCGATTGAAATCCCCATATCCACTGCATTTCAATGCCAGTACATGTTTCTTATTCACGCATACATTTTAATGAAATAGGCTAGAGAGTTTAACCCCTGCTCGACGCGGTTCGCGTGCGGCTGGCTGGCTTGTCCCGCCTCGGCGGGGCAAGCGTCCAGTGATCGCCCATCAAAATTCCTCCCTAGTCCAACTGTGGCACCGTCCAACACCCATGCATGGTTTCCAACCACAGCTCTCTGAGCTTATAAGACAGGTTCGACTGCGTGGACAGGATAAGCTCCTTCCTTCCTTTATTTCTTAACACCACCAATAGAATCCACGCACCACCCTCGTGCCACAGTTCCGAGTCATACAGTGCTCACTTCGACAAGGAATCTAAGAACATAGCCGAGGACAAGTCGAGAATGAGCGACAAAGAGTACTTCACGCCAGGCGGGAGGACGTTCGATAGGAACCTCTACAAGGACGTCGCGTCGAAGCAGGAAATTAACACCTACCTCACGCAATCTCCGTACTACGACACCAAAACCAAACGATGGTCTCTTCCAAACTTTTGCACATCCGGATCGAACTTTTCGGACTCTGGCGTGAAAGAACTCCGTGTACGCATCGCATCTATTCTCGAGGATGTAGAATCGTACTTCTGGCCCGACAGGTCATCGTCAAAGACACCTGCGCCTTCGTTTATCTGGTCAGGTCCCGACGACGATGAAGATCCAGAAGAGGAAGAGTACACCAAAACCGCGATGCTGGAATGCCACTGGGAAGCCATACCCTACTCTGACAAGCGCATGGGCGCGACGTACGAAGACGCGGCATTCGAAACTCGCGAGCACATACGACTCGAGAAACGCGTCATGTACGTATCCCTCCTCCATCTCCACCGTCTGTATTGTCCAGATGAAACGTACTCACAAATAATGTTTAAAGTACCGCATTCAAAACGCAGCCAAACCGACTCTTCCTCCGTATACTCCTAATCTCACCAACAAGATTCCGTGTCCTGCATTTCGACAGAAGCGGGGTTGTGTATTCGGTTCCTAATGATTTACGGAGGGATCCGTATACGTTTGTCCGGCTTGTGGTGGGTTTGACTTCGAGAAAGGCAGAGTTGGTTGGGTTTGACGGTTCCGTCCACTTTGCGAAGAGGAGGGGAGATGTCGGAAATGGAGGAGGGAAGGGGTTAGGGCAGATTCGTGTTTTTCCTTATTCCGTCGTCCCAAAGAGGGCTCTGGCTCTCGGGGACGCCAACCAAGGTTTGTACAAGAAATCGAAATCAAAAGCGAAAACCTCGCCCGGAACCATCCCCTCCATCTACACCATCGGCCGCATCATCCCACCCCGCGACGAACCAGATATATACTGGCAATCCCCCTGGATCTACTTTGCGCACAACACCTACACCAACAAGAAAGTTGTGATCAAGGACTTTTGGTATGATGGTTTGGGAGGATGTGATCCCGAACCTGAGATGGTGGATGAGGCGAGGGGAGTGGAGGGTGTGGTGCAGGTTGTTGAGTGGGGTGTTGTTGGTGATACCGCGGTGTTTCGCGGGGTGGATGTTTCGAAAGAGGAGAGGATTGAGAAGAGGGTTAGGTATCGGATTGTACTTGAGAGATACGGAGGGATGATCATCGATTTCGAGAGTCGGCTGGATTTGCTGTATGGGTTGTTCGATGCTATAACCGGTACGTCCTCCACCCTCTCATGCGTCGGTAAGAGCATCGCTAAAACGCAACAGGCCATATGAACCTCTACCTCCACAAACGCATCCTCCACCGCGACGTCAGCATCGGCAACATCCTCCTGGGGCTCCAAGGCTTTCGTTCTCCCAAAGGGTACCGCGGCGTCCTAATCGACCTCGACCGCAGCGTCCGCCTCAAAAACGGCGTCGGACCGCCAGTGGACGTCGAAATAGGAACAACAACCTGGCAATCCGTATTCGTCATGCAAAGCGGTTGCAACCTGGATCCGAAAGTGTATCCGACGGGGAGACATGATCATCTGGATGACCTTGAATCGTTCTTTTGGGTTTTTGTATTTGTTGTTGTGGCGTATCGAGCGCGGGGGGAAGAGAACCGTGTGCATTCGTCGAAACTTGGTCTTAGGATGAACGAGTGGTTTCCGAGAGGCAGTACTAGTAGTGCCGAAAGTATCCTTGGTTGCTATACCGCGAAACTGGGATTCGTGTTGAGCGAGGAGGAAAGGGGGTTTAGGAGGGCGGAGGTGGAGGGGTGTGTAGGAGAGTGGTGGGGCGGTGCGGTAAGGGAGTTGGTGAGTGAGTGGAGGGAGTTTGTCGGGGAGGTGTTTGCGAGAAAGAGTGAGGCGTTGGATGATGAGAGCCACGGGGATGGAGGGAAGATGGACCTGTTAAGAAAGGAGGCGAGGGTGCATTATCTGAGGGTTTTAGGGATGATTGGGAAGGCGATTGGGAAGATGGAGAAGGAGGAGGATCGGGATGGTGGAGTGGATTCTGAAGAGGGTGATAAACTTGTTTTGGAGAAACGTTCTGCGGAAGAGTGTACCCGTGAAGAGCCTAAGCCAAAGAAGGGGAAAGGCGAGGAAGGCATTTAGCTTCTAGTGTATTTTACATATGTTGAATATGGTAACAGCTTGTGTGGAAAAGGATAGACTTGAGCGACAGAGACACATATACTTCGGTCCGCACAGCCCCAGACGAAGCGACGATCATATGGGCATCAAGTTTGTATGGACAGGAGAGATGGTCAAGACCCGCTAATGAAAGATTGCAGGATGTTCCTTTGCTGGCGAATAGAGGTGGGAAACAAGCTAAGTCAGAAAAGCCAGAATGGTAGAACGTCACAAATCTTGACCAGCCGTATCCAGCAAAGATTTCCGTGAGCGTCCCGAACATCGGCTACAAACCCACGGAACGCACGGCAGAAGAAACACCACCAAGTGCTATCTTTAGCACCGTCGAGACTCGCGAGCCCATCTGGTTCTTATTCTGGGTTGCCGAAAGGGAGGACAACAGCGGGGTTCTGTTGCCGAGAACGACATAATGGCGGTGTATATAGAAGCTGCAGCGGAGTGACGTGGTGAGGATCCAGGTAGTGTGTGGGGTGTTGAGTGTCTCGGGGAGTAGAAGGGGTTGGTGGGTTCATGGTATTCGTTGCTGGCATCGTCCGCATCGTCAGTCTCCTCGCATTCGCTAGTTTACTTCTGTTCTCCCGGTCAATAGATACCCGCAATGCATCTGGTGGCAACACAAGTCTCTTGTTGAAGGCGGAGAAGAGTCCAAGAAGGTCCAAAGAAAGGCGATTGAAAAGGGATGAAGGTCACGATGATCGCCTGTGTGTAGCGCGCTTAGTCATCGCCTTAAAAGGCAGGTGCTTAATCACCGACGGTCCTCGGCCAAGATCGAATGCAACTCGGTCTCAGCCTCTTTCTCACTCACTCACCTACCCCTCACTCCAATCCACTCCCAGACCCTTTCCTGCCGTCCTATTTCTGTTGACTGCAAAGATGAGTATGTCAGAAATCTGTAAGTGAAGACGAGAATAGAAATAGAATACAGGGTTTGATAAAAATATAGACTCGCTCCAATGGCTTCGAAGACGCTTTAACGACGGCGGAAACTCTAGCGCAGCTCAGCAGCAATCTTCTATTCTCCCTCTTTCGAATTCAAATCCCCCGGCTCAATCTACGCCTAATCAACTTCAAATGTCCACCTTTCCCTCGTCCCAGTCCCAACAACAACAACAGCAAATGGGAACGCCTCAAATGCAAACACACCAAACACCGGGGATTGCGCACCTCCTCCCACAAAACGATATCAACGGCAATGCGACTGTCCGAGACAAGAAGGCGCTGGAGCCTCTGTTTGGACCGAATATTGGGGCTGTGACGAGTGGGCCGGCTTGGACTGCTAGTCTGGATAAGAAGGTGGTTACCGACGAGTTGACGCCTGAAGTGGTTACCAGCTGGGTCGAGAGGAGTAAAGATGTCAGTCTCTGCCAATGTCTGTGGATTAACTATTGACGATATATACATTTAGCCTACACAACCAACAACGACATTGCAAGCCCTCGTAAACTTGAAACGGCCCACAATCCGACTCTCACCACTCTCACCCATCGCCACGAACGCTGTTCCGTCCCCTGCGACGTCCGCACAACACCACTACCAGCAGCATGCTTTAGAATTCCAATACGACGCCGACTGCCCGAAAGTATCGATCCACATCCACGTCTACCTCCCCAAAACCCACCCCGATGCACCACCAGGCGCCCCACCGCACCATCCGTACGCCAAACTCTTGATCTTCGAAAGCGTCTGTGAAGGAGGGTTCGGTCGACGGCTGAGATTGGAAGACGGGGCTATCTTCGAGCTAGGGAGGTTCGAGAAGGTGCCCAAGATTACGACTGCGTCTGCTTCTGGCGAGGGGGAAGAGGGTAATCCAGAGGAGAAAGACGGCGGTGCGGTGTCGAAGGAAGCTTCGGGCTCGTCAAGTAACTCCGAGACTGCGCAGGGTGTGCCTACCCTCACGCTCAACACCAACCTAGGCAACGACAACAACAATGCTCCCAACAGACCCATGAAACGCCTCACCCAGGCATTTAAGTTTAGACGACACACCCATAACCCGAATCGAACTATCGCAGGACCAGCCTTGGCAGTCGTGGATGCACACGCCGAGGAAGCCCAGCAAAACGCCAATGGCGCTCCCACCAACGCCAGCTCCACGGCGCCTAGTGGACAAGGCAAACCTGCAGAGGAAGACGGCGTGAAGATTACGATCAGGCTTGTAGCTCTCGATGAGCAGGGAACCGAGTTGGCTGCGCCTAATGAGCAGGTTACGTATCTGCACGTTGTGCGTGTTGGGCCAAGGCCTACCAAGGAGAGGGCGCCTACCAGCCCTACTTCGCCAACTGCACAATCGCCTACTGCGGAAGAGGGGGACAAGAAGGAGGCAGTCGAGGAGCAGGAGGAAGAGGAGGAAGATACGAGACCTTGGGTTGTCAAGGTCGTTAAGCGCGAAGCAACGGTATGTCTTAAACCCCCTTCCTACTTCTCCATCTAACACCGTCTCCGCACAGATTGGCCCACATACCTTCCACCTCCACGAAATATTCGGTCTAACCTCGTCATCCTCTGACACCGACGTCCCCGCCGCCCAACATTCCTCCCCAACCCACTCCTACCCGCCCGTCTACTCACACAACGACGACCCGCACCACGCAGACGACTCGATGACAGCTGAAGAGTGCTTGTTATGTTTGAGCTCGCCTAGGGAGGTGGTCTTACTCCCCTGTAGGCATTTGGTGGCATGTAAAGAGTGCGCGTTGAATATGGTTGAGTTTGGTGCTGGGGGTGTTATTAGTAGCGGTGGTGGCGACGCTGCTAATGCTACTACCGGTGGGACTGCGAATCAAACTACTACGAATGCGGGAGGAGGGAATACGGGTGGAGGATGGCTAGCGGAGGTTGCCGGTGCTGTGGGAGGGAGTGGGGGTGCAGCGGGGAATGCTGAGAATGGAGCGGCACCGCCGCCCCCGCCTGTTACGAACCCGAGGAGGAAGCGGAAGGCGAAGGGATGGTTCTGTCCTGTTTGTAGACAACGTGAGTTGCATTGTTCATTTGTACTGTTGAGGGATTTGAAGCCTCTTGGCTCGGTTTCGCTGGTGCTAACGCTGACTCTCGCCTTTTTTCGACAGCATATACTTCATTGTTGCGTCTCACGACTGCTCCTCCGCCGATATCCGCGTCGAAAGAGACTGTGCTGGCGGGTGACTTGCAAAGGATGTCCCTAGGCGATCCGAACGCCAACCCCGCTTCTCCCAACCTCGCCACCAATGACAATAACGCCAACAACACCAATTCCGACTCTACGGGGAATGCCAACGCGAGTGCGGATAACTCGACCTCGGGAGGAGGGCTATTGGGCAATCTGACCTTGCCCAGGCCCGCGTTTTTGAGGAGTTTGACGGGTGGGAGTAGTGCGAATGCTGGGGGTAATGCTGGGGGAGGGAGGATAACGAATGATGTGGAGAGTGTGGGTGGGCTGGCTAGTGGAAGGGTTGGTGCGTAGAGGCTTTTAAGGGTTATGGTGTCTGGGCCATCTACCTGCCACGCTGTTTGTTCCATGCCCTCACCTTTATGCGCCACCCTGTGCGTTTTTGTCTGCCCTTGGATCCGCTCCCTGCTTGGAGAATTGTCCCCTTTAGATTTTCTATGACTTGGATCATTGGGATCGTGCTTCCTCGCCGTTCCTTCGTTCATGTACCACCACCTCACGCCCTCACACCACGCGCTCCTGGATACATCCACATTTACCGATCTATGTCTATTTACTGGACTTTTCAACCTGCTCGCTCGCTCGCTTTTTTGTTGTTGTTTCTTAAATGTTGCTGTTGTTGTACTATAGTTTTACTACTGCTCCTCTTTTCCCCTCTTGGTCTCAGTATCTCGTTTTTTGTATTTATGTTTTCCGTATTTATCTATTGCTTCGTATTTGTTTTCTTTAGCGTATATATCTTTTTCTTTCCTCGCTTGACTTGTTTTTGGATTCTGTTGCTTTGCTCGTGCTCGTGCGCAGCATTGTGTGCCAGTCGTCTGATGCATTTCTTGCCTGTTTTGCTCTGGCTGTTCGTCGCTCTGGACTCTAGAAGCCGCTGGAATGGAGACTTGTGTCCAGTGGTCAACTGGAGGGTCGGACTTGGATGGATTGGATGATTGAATTTCTCTTTCTGCCTTCCGTATGCACTGCATCATCTCCTCTCCCTCTTTCTTCCTTTCTCTGCAACATCCGTCCTCCAGCTCCATAGGTTTTCAATACCTCTTCTTCTCCCCTTCCTCAACCCTTCTTTGCTTGTCGCAGTCAATCACTGGCATTTGGAACGCATTGTAACCATCACTGCACGGGTTTCTCCATTTCCAGAATTGAACGCATTTCCCCTGTCCCAAATCCCAAATTCCGATGTGCCGGTACGTCGACCGTTCCAATGCAGCAATGGGCCAATGCGGCATCGGGTTTCATGGGCGGAATGGACCCACCGACACCGTCAGCCCTCTTCTTCTATCCGGTGCATCCGAGGTGTGCGCCCGGCGCCAACCTTCTTGATTGTACACACAAAGCGAAAATCAGAGGTAAACGCGCTCTCTCTCTCTCTTGTTTGTTCTGCTCGCCAAGTCTTAGATTAGACTGCAGATCGCCCCTCAAGGTCTCAACGCGTTAACGCAGCCCAAATCCGGTTGAGAAAATACCGACGGACGCACGATGTGTCGGAAATGGATTTGTACAGCATGTCAGTGGTGGGTGTGACAATGGTCATCCCGGAATATGTGTTACAGTGAGGCACCTGTGTGCACTGACGCCCCTGCTAGGAGACTAACTCGGGAGTAGACGAAAGGTGGAATGTAGGAACGAGGTGGTGATGATCGAATCTGAACTCCGCTAGGTGAGCCAATCTGAATGCCTAGATTGTCCAGGTAAGTACTCTGCCTCGAGCGTCACAGTCTCGTGCAACTTACACAATAGGACAATCAAGAATACCGTAAAGCGGTCATCACAATGGAGGGTCAGGAGACTGGGGGTATACGTACATGCTTTCTCCATATGCATGGGCGCGCTAGTGCGAACCCTATCATCGAGGACACATGTGCGGTACTAGTAGTGGAGTCGGAAGAGATAGACACTGACAGTTGACTCTACCATCATAAGTATAGAAGGAGGACGGGGAGGAATCCCTATCGGAGGGTGTACACACGAGTCCTAGGTTCCCCTCCTTCCCCACCTTCCCTGCTAGGCCTCAGGCTGACTCTGGCTGTACCCGACAACAGAATACCATGGACTACATGATCCCCAACCTCGACTTCCTCCTCCCAACCTTATCCCAACTTAAATCACAGGCTGTCTCGCGGCTAGACACGAATCCAACCACGACGGCTCTCCTCGCTGCAGGCTTCGTTCTAGCGGCTTTCTGGTGTGGCAGTACTTTCCAGAATAAGAGGAAGTTTGCGCGGAGGAGGAAGGGTCTGCCGCTCCCCCCTGGACCGAAAGGTACACCTCTACTGGGTAACTTGCTGCAGATACCGCAAGAGCATTCGTGGAAGGTTTATGCGGAATGGAAGGAGGAATATGGTGAGTACATGGGAATTTGCTTGCAGGATTTGTCTGGTGACCGAGCGTTGCAGGCGATATTATTTACCTGGAAGCACTCGGTCAACGTATTATCGTTCTCAATTCACTGGAGGATATCGAGGCTCTGTTGTCCAAGCGCGCCACGAATTACTCGGATAGAGTGTGGAGTCCAATTATCGGCTTGTACGTCCTGTTCTCTGGATCGTGCTGGCACTATAGTACTAGGCTAATTTAGAACCCAACCGCTCATCCCACTTCTAATTTGGTTACACCAGGATGCGAGTAACTTGGGGATTCTCAGTCATGAACTACGGACAAGAGTGGAGGGAACGACGAAAAGTCTTCCACCAGTTCTTCCATAACAATAAGCGGAATATCCACCCGGTTATTGAAGAAGAGATAAAGGCGACAATGAAGAAATTGGGCGCTTCCAGTGATGGGGGATCCATCATCCGGGATGAGCTTCGTTCGTACGTCGTTTCCGTCTAATGACCAGTATACTATTTAAACCCGCACCTACGCACTATACGCAGGATGTTCGGCATGATAATCCTGCGCGTTACCTACGGATCCTACCCAAAGCAAAGCTCAGGATCTGACGAACCACCATTCCTAAGCCAAATCCTTCCCAAAGCACAAGCCCTCGTTCTAGGTTTCACCGAGTACTCTACTCCAGGCCGACTCCTGGTCAGTACCTTTCCCAGCATGAGGCTCATACCATCCTGGTTCCCGGGTGCCGGATGGAAGAGGGCCCTCAACGAGCTGGCGGATTTGAGTGATTATGTGTATGAGAAACCTTGGGAGGATACCTTGGAGAGGGCGGTGAGTGTCAGCCTTCATTTACAAAAGAGTGGAAGCACTGAGTATTCCCTCGTTTGGCTTTGTAGAAAAAGGGCGTTCAGAGTGAATACCCCAGCTTTTCAACGGAGCTGATTCAGGAGTTTGCGGAAGAGGGAACAGAGAAACGGAAGAGGCAGGAGCTGGTGGCGAAGGATGCAGCTGGACAGGCTTATGCTGGTGCGTTCCAGAGTTTTCACTCTTGTCAGTAGCGCTAAAAGTATCGACATACCTTGCACGCAGCCGGTTCGGACGCTGTACGTTCACAGCTCTGTCCACTCTGCTCGCATGGACTAACCACTCATTGCCCACTTCGTCATAATCTCAGAGCGTTGCCACAGTCTATGCCCTCGTCTTGGCACTCGCCATGCACCCCGAAGTGCAACGCAAAGCTCAACGCGAAATCGACGCCATTCTCAACACGGACGAAAGACTACCCACGTTTGAAGATCTGGCGCGACTACCCTATATCCATGCGATTGTAAAGGAAGTTGAGCGGTGGCATACCACCGTGCCTTTAGGTGCGCTTCCTTCTCTGAGCCTTGCTGGTGACCATTAAATTAACTGGACTATGATACTTATGTAGCTGTGCCACATCTGTCGACGCGGGATGATGTCTACAAAGGATATTTCATTCCCGAAAAGACCATTATCATGCCTAATACCTGGTGCGGCCCAGTTCCCTCTCAATTCGGCCCTCTTGTTGCTGACAGTACTAACACCCGCAGGGCGGTAATGCACGATCCGACGCGGTTCCCTGAGCCCGATTCCTTCAAGCCCGAACGATACCTGACCAAAGACGGGAAGATTGTCACCTCCGTTTTAGACTCGGAAGACGTCGCATTTGGCTACGGACGACGGTGAGCAGCGTCAAGTAGCATTCCATTCGCCCATACCCTTGTCTCAATAGGCCATATAGAATCTGCCCTGGTCGGGAAATGGCTTCGGATACACTGCTCCTCCTAGCACTGAGCCTCCTAGCTTGCTTCGACATCAAACCAGGAGTAGACAAGGCCACTGGGACCAGAAAGAAACTGAAGATGGAAACCCCAACTGGTTTGATCGCGTGCGTTTTACCGCTTTGTCGTGAGTCCTCTGTTGACGGACAACGCAGGATGCCCATGCCGTTCGATTGCGAGGTTACGCCTCGTTCACCGAAACACTTGAGTCTACTGAAGACCCTTTAATTGGGCTTGTATTGTATTTGCTCCGCTCCCGGAAATAAGCGCCCATCTAGTAGGCGCTCATGGTGAATGGAACAAGTGAAATGTGTCGAAGAGCGAAGTTTAACATTAAACACTATCAGTACGCTAATGGACGCAAAACGCGTCAGGTTCTAGCGAGTGGATTGGAACTCTAAATAGTAATTGGTGGTAGGGAATATATCCGTAAATAGGTATTAAATAGAGAATCATTCTCTTTTCCTCCTTCCATTCATTAGCATGAATTGTCGTTTCCACAGGCGATGGACAGCCTTAGGACGTGGAGCAGCGGGGTATGTATCATAAGGAGCATGACAAAGCAAGAGCAAATGCACGAAAGCGAATGACAAGATAGCAACAAGTAGCGGATGAACGCATCTATTCGCCCGCTTACTCGGTCTTGCTCAACGCCTGCAGCTGCACGTACTCATAGTAGTCACCACGCTGGGCGATAAGTTGGTCGTGAGTTCCAGCCTCGCTGACTCGACCTTCCTTGATGAAGTAGCTACATCGAAGATGTCAGCACAAGACGCGAACACAACAGAAGAGAGAAGACATACATCTTATCAGCGTTTTGGATAGTTGACAAACGATGGGCAATGGCGATGGTAGTCCTTCCCTTGGCAGCTTGATCCAAAGCGGCCTGGACGACCTTTTCAGAGTGCGAGTCGAGGGCGGAGGTGGCTTCGTCGAGGAGCAGGACCTTGGGGTTGCGGAGAAGAGCGCGAGCGATGGCGATACGTTCTAAATCGCCACTTGTTAGCTTCGACTCCGGAATTGAAGAGACCACTTGACTCACGTTTCTGACCACCACTGAGCTGGCTTCCCTTACCACCGACCTCGGTATCGAATCCGCTGGGCAATGACTTGATGAAGTCCAAAATGTTCGCATCCCTGCAAGCGGCCTCCAATTCTTCCCGGGTGACTTCCTCAGCAGGCTTGATGGCACCGAGGAGAATGTTGAATCGGATGGTTCCAGCGTAGAGGGTAGGCTCCTGAGATACGAGGGCGATGTGGCGACGGTAGTCCTGGACATTGAGCTCGTTGATCTTCTCGCCATCCATCTAAAGATCGACCAGTCAGACACAAAAGAAGAAGAGACACCAAGCAAGAGGACGTACATAGATTTCGCCACTCAAGGGATCATAGAACCGCTCGATCATCTGAATGACAGTACTCTTACCACTGCCGGAAGCACCGACGAGGGCCACGTAGGTACCAGGCTGGACCTCCAAAGAGAGTCCTCGCAAGACACGAACACCAGGGCGAGTGGGGTAACGGAAGTGGATGTCCTCGAGCTTGAGGTGGCCCTGGAGCTTCTCGTGGGAGAGCTTCTTACCAGCCTCGGATTCAGCATCGACTTCGGGGATGGAATCGAGGAGCTTGATGATGTCGGAACCAGCGCCCTTGGCAGTGGAGATATCGGGGACGAAGGAGAAGACGTTTCCGGCTTGGACAGCACCGAAGGTCGTGCTCTGTGGACAGCCGTCAGCATGGGATGACAAGATGTTAGACAAAAGAAACGTACCATCAAGCCAATGAAGAACTGGAAGGTGCTGGCCTCAAAGGTGGACACCAGCCTCGATCCGTACCAGAAAACAAGGGCGATGACGAAGAAGACCAACGCCTGCGACAATGCATACAAGCCGTTACTCCAAATAGCGGTTTTATTCGACTTTTTCAAGGGGATCTCGAGACTCTCGCTGTAGAGCCTCAAGCAGTCACGTTCCCTGGTGAGAGAAGCGACAGTGCGGATGGAACCGGCAGCTTCGCAAGCAAGTTGGGCTGATTCTTCGTGAGCCTTCTTGTTAGCCTGGTCTTTGAGAACGACGACGTGGAGACGGATGTAACCGGTGGAGAGGAGGAAGGGCATGCAAGCGATGGCGACGAGAGCGAGCTTCCAGATGAAGGCGAGACCGACGACGGAACCGGCGATAACAGTTGCGAAGGATTGAACAATGGCACCAAGAGTAATACCGGCGAGACCGTAGACCTTTTGAGGGTTCTCACTGAGGTTGGCAGTCAAAGTGCCGGTGCTGTTCTCATCCTTGTCGAAGAACTCGACTGGGGACATATTACCCTATGTAGCAGCCTTTGAATAGAAAACACATACTGTCTTGGCGGAGGATAGCCTTGAAGCTCAAGGAGCGGAGACGAGCAGTCAGGCTGGAGGCGGCGGATGCGAAGAGGTAGTTCTGCAATCCAACACAAATGGTCGAGATGATCGCAATAATGAAGAACCTGCAGTACCATGATCAGTATTGCGTACCAGGAAAGGCGGAAGGTGAACATACCAAAGAGCGTTGCGGTTTCCTTGCTTCATCCTCTCATCCGGGTCAAGGACGGAGAAGCCCTCCATACCCTTGGCATAGACGATACCGAATGCAGGATAGACCATACCCGTCAAGCATGCAAAGATAGCACCCAAGAAATAGCGTGTGTACTGCTCCGGAACAAGCAAGGCCATCCTCTTGAAAAGGTAGGGCAGGTTAAGATCGCCCTTCTTCTCCTTGGACTCGCGCTCCTTTTGCCGCTGTTCGACAATTTCAGAAGCCAAAGATCGACCAGTGTTGGAACGACCGAGAGGGATCTCCTCGCGAGCCATCTTCTCGTATCCAGCAGCATCAGAACCGTCTTCCTGATCGTCTCCGGATACAGCCTGACTGTCGTTGGCCTCGCGCAGTTTTTGAGCTTGTACGAGATGAGCGTAGGCGCCGTTGGCGGAGAGGAGCTCGTTATGGGTGCCCTGTTCGAGGACGACGCCGTCGCCCATGACGTAGATGATGTCAGCATCCTTGATAGTCGAAAGTCGGTGGGCAATGGTAATCGTTGTTCGGCCTATGGATCAAAGGAGAAAGCGAAACCGGGGTAATTAGCATCTACAGTTTATCCATCCGAAGACCCGAAAGTGCTTACCGGCTGAAGCCTTATCCAATGCATCCTGAACAATACCCTCGGATTGAGTGTCGAGCGCGCTAGTGGCCTCGTCTAACAGAAGGATGCGGGGATCGGAAACGATGGCACGGGCGATAGCAACACGTTGCTTCTGACCACCAGACAACAGGAAACCGCGCTCGCCAACCATGGTGTCGTATCCGTTGGGCAGCTTGGAGATGAAGCCGTCTGCGTTGGCCTTGATGCAAGCATCCTTGATCAGCTTGAACTTTTCTTCTTCAGAAGCATTTTCCCACTTGGTGCCGATGAGACCGTGAGCGACATTGCCTCGGATGGTGGTGGCAAACAGGGTGGGCTCTTGAGACACCAATCCAATTTGCGAACGGAGCCATCTGAGGTTGAGATCCTTGAGGTCGATGCCGTCAAGCTTGACAACACCCTCATTGGGGTCGTAGAAGCGCTCGATGAGGGAGATGGAAGTAGATTTTCCAGAACCAGAGGCACCGACGAGGGCGGCAGTCTTGCCCGCGCGGAATGTGAGCGAGAGGTTCTTGACGACTTGGACGGTGGGCCTGGAAGGATAAGCGAAGGTGACGTTCTCGATGGTGATCTCGCCAGTGACCGTCTCGGGCTTGAGACCTCCCTCATCGTACGAGTCGATATCTGGAACACGGTCGATAGTCTCGTATAGTTTGGCAGCAGCTCCGCAACCGTGAGTGAGGGCTAAAATTGTCGATCAGAGAGACGGTCAAAGCTGGGCAACGGCTTACATACCTTGAATTTCAGGAGCGAGCAAAGTGAGCGAGATGGAACCAATCAAGATGGCGAGGAAGACGTTGACGACGGATCCAGCAGTGGCGTGTCCTTGATTGATGAGCTTGGTACCAAAGTGGAAGGCTGGAGGTGGAGGGGTCGAATACTCAGCAGAAGCTCAAAATCGGGACGACAGGTTGTAGACTCACCCAAGCCGTAAGAAGAGTAGATCACGAAGAAAAAGAAGGCAAGACCACTTCCATGCCAACTGGCAGCCTTGAGGTCGACGGTAAGAGCCTTATTGACGTGGTTATCGTAAAGGCCGGAAAGAATTCTCTGAGTACCGAATGCCTGGGCGGTTCGAACGGTGCCAATGACTTCTTCGGCCAGACTTCCTCCATCAGCGATATATTGCAAGGAGAGTCTGCACGCCAAGTCAATCGAGTAGGAAAACAAGATGAACGAAAAATACGCACTGTTTGTAAGCGGAGATGAACTTGTTCATGACACCTCCAGCGATGGCCATGCAGGGGAGGATCGAGGACATCGCAAGGGCAAGTCGCCATGATCGAGCGTAGGCGAGGACGAAACCAGTGACGAAGGCGGCGACGAAACTGACTGTCAAAGCCACCTTTTCTGAAGTCGCTTGCTGAACCAAGTCTGGAAACACCCTGTGAGGAACGGACGCAGTACTGTAGAGCACGTTACTTACGAGTGTCGGTTTGAATACGGGTAGCGACTTCTCCAGCTCCAACATTGTCGAAGTACGCGATATCTTGACGGAGAACGGCTTCAAGGTACTTCTCACGAAGGCGCTTGGTGCCGACTTCGCCAGTATAGACCCAGACATACATGTAGACGTATGTGCACACGAACATGCCAAGACCTGAAAGAGGCCCAGATCAACAAAGGAAGAAGCATGATGAATGAAGGGGATCATACCAATGTAGCACAGGTAGCTAGCATCCAAAGCAGCAACCCGACGGAATGACGCAGCAGCTTCTGGGACAAGGGCAGCAGCGGTGGTGTTTCCAGCCTGTGCCTCGCCCACAACAGTAGCGAAGTTGACGAAGTCTTGAGTGAGGTTACCGAAGAGGAGGGACATTAGGGGCTTTATTCCGGCAGGTCAGTATCGTGCCTCGGACCAAACAATTTTTTTGCGTACCTGGGCAGCACCAGCGGCTGCTGCTGCAATCAGAGCAACGAAGTTCATGAGCAGCTCGAGCTTGGTCGAGAATCTAGAGGTCTCGTCAATACTGGATGGAGTGCGAGCTGCGGGGACTGAACAGACCTGAAGAGCTTGAAGAACGAGACTGGGGCAGTCTGGGGGACTGTGCTCTCTGCAGCGACATCCTTGTTCGATCCTTTCTCATTCTTCTCGTTGACGGACGGTGTGGTCGATGCCTGCTGTTCCTTCTGTTCCTTGGTGTGCTGATCATTCACAGCGGTGGACTTCTCGTCCGCGGTGCTTGGTGGCCCTGATTTGGACATGGTTGAAGAATCCAAGGGCCTCTGGCGTCGCGGTCGTCTCTTCCTGCGGGGCGGACGTCGAAGGAGAGTGGAGAAAGAGGATGAAAGAGGACGTAAGGAGTGTGGGGAGTTTAAACCAAATCAATGGATCATGACCTGACCCTTGCCCCTCTTATTCTTGTGAAATCTCGGGAGCCGTGTCACATAATGATCGTTGTGTCAAGACACCCCTCGTCCCGCTAGCTTTTGGACGCGTTTAGCCGACAAAATGGTGAAGAAACACGGCGAGGGCTGATGGGGTGTTCGAGAGCAAGTAAAGCCATCCAGTATGGTATGTCTTTGGCTACAAGGAGTACGAGGCCGTAAGATTTTCCAGTGCCGATCCTTGCAGGATATGCTGCAGGACGGAGGAAAGGGAGAGTGATGATGACCCAATTGCCCACACGTAAGCAGGGCCTCGGGGTTTCCGCGCCGAGTGATGATCCTGACGCGTGCGGTTTTGCGGCCACCCGATCTCTGTAGGACCAGCTTGTTGCATTGAACAGCTCCCTAGGTGTGGAGGGTCCAAGAATTGCCTCTGTAATCGTCTCCAAAGATGACAGAGAAGCTTTGAGAAACTTCTGGCGCATTTGTGTCGTGACGCGATGCGCAAAGCAAGGCTCCAGCGACCGAGATTTGTCCTCCACCGGGGTCCCCATCTTGGCCTTTCGGGCCCATCACCTAGCAACTTCTTGAAGCTGAAGTGGTACCATATCGGACTGGAAAAGCCGACTTGGCGGGCGGCTGAATGGATGGAGATTGTATACAGCCGGACTCTGCTCTGAAAGAAAGTGGAAGTCAACCGCTGGGCCTATGGGAAAGCGGACTGATGAACCAAGTTGTTTTTGAAAGGAAGAGACTATGCACCTAAAGTTGAATACTCTTGACTGGATTGGGATTGTGGACGATTTGGATAGCGAACGCGAGTGTCAGACTACACGGTGGCCGGATGATGGGCGCTCACCGCGCCTCTTTGATGACAGATCATCCGTTCCCACGCACAAGCGCCCATACGAGCCCATGCGTCCCGAGCTGACCCAACGAACTCACTAGTTGTTGGTGACTCTAAGGATTACCTTTATTCCACGACGCGACAGGGCCCTGCTAAGCAGCAAATGAGATCGAACATTCAGCACAATCGACGTCGAGAATGACTACATTCTAAAGAAGTCTTAGTTCACCACAGTTTCCAAACCAGGGTCAATAGATTCGTTCAATCTCGTTACTGTCTCATGAAATACATGGTACACAGTGAAAAGGTAATGAAAGTGTCCAGGCGTTTGAATTGCGCGTCCAATCTCATCGACTCTCCGTTCAGCCGTCTGTTCCTCGCTGTTCAGAAACCCGTGATTGAAGGTAAGGCACTCTATTCCGTGTTTGAAATGCTCAGCGATGGGCTGTTCGAAGGGCCGAGAGAGGTGGGAGTGGGGAAGGAGGAGGAGTCGTACGGCATGTGCATGCCCGAGGTAGGTGCGTTGACAGGAATGGACAACGTTCCCCGGATCACGATAAATCGCTCTCCGTTTGGATCTGTCGTCCTCGTGTACCAGATATCGTCCTCTATGTACCCGCGGTCTCTGAGCCATCGAGATCCCAAAGCGCCCGAGAGAGCGGCTAAGATGACGATTATGAGCATGCATAGACCCACTGCCCCAATCCATATCCAAGGTCGCTTTGGCTTTGGATTTTGAGCGACTGCCTGGGAGCCTGGGTCAAGTCCTTCCCTATCCAGGTAAGGGAACTTGGAGATGGCTGGAGAGTTGTATGCGAGGGTGTCATAACCCAAAATGGTATCCCGTGCAACCTTCGTCTCGTCTTCAACCCATGAGGCAGTGTCGCGACTTCCCTGCGAATCAAGCAAGACTCTTGTGGCGAAGGGAGTCTTGGATGCTGACGTCCTGTTTGAAATAAACCCGGTCGGAATCCCAGCATTATTATACTGTTTGTAAAAATAACATCGCACCACACTCACCTGCTCTATGTCCACAGGGGGAGCCTTCTCGTCTTTAAACTGAGAGGTATCAGCCGCCGGGGGGTTAGCTACAGGCGCCACCTTGGTATCCTGACGATTCGGATAGCCCATCAGTTCACCCATCGGCATATACAATATGAAGACTCGTACCTGGCCCACAATCATTGTCAAAAGGTAAGAGGCTTCCAGCAAAGATTGAGGTAGAGAGTCCGTGTCTTATATACATGCCCAGGTTATCGTCTATCTATCAGCGACCGCGCACCTGGAGCCCCTACACGAGCCCGCAAGCTGCGCATCGAAGCTTCAAAAAGGCATCCACCTCTCAAAACACCCGGCAGCTGGATCACTCGCCCTGATACCCGAGTCTCAACTCGAACACGACTGCGCTCGAGACAAATCCGCAGCGAGAAGTGCTCATGAACAGGCACGGCTGGGATTGACCTATTTTGAAGGGCCCAATAACAGCTCGAAGATGCTATTCAAGATGCTACATCTTCAAAGGAGGATTTTGGTGAGTTCAAGATCCTAATAATCGCCTTTTAAGGAAATTGTAATGCATTTTGAGGGGGTCAAAATTCTTCCTGTGAATGTTATATCGTGCGCACCATTCTCCCTTGGGTTCTGGGAGCCGCTGAAGTTGTCACTCCTGGCTGTGAGGGTAGCCTGACCATTTCACTCGGTAGTTCATCTTCCAGATTCATCCTTATCGGAGTTGCATCTACTCATCGGGGGTTTCTAGTTAGTACATCGTCGCACCTTCGATCAGCAAGCATTTCTCCCCGTTCGCCTATTCCTGACCCAGCGAGATTTCTCAGGAATGTCCATGCCCTCATACAATAACGGATAGTTAGCCAGATAAACGTCATAACTATGTCATTGAGAACGTAAAAATCCGTGTCGAAGCATGGGCGCCTAATCAGCCCACGGAGGCGCTACAGTAGGAGAAGTGTCCGATGATCACTAAAAAAGACAATGTCCATGCTTACATCAACGCTACCGTACGCCTTCGCTCTCCTCACTCCACTGAACCTTGCGTGGACACTACTGAATATCTCGCATCCGAAGGACGAGAGGACTCCGTCGTCGATGTCACCCCAGTCGGCTACGTGGTGGGTGAGCGACTGTCGCTGGCAATATTTCGAGTAATGAGCATGGCTAAGAGTGGAGCGCCCGCCAGGACTAGAAGTAGCAAGGTCACCCCTCCAATAATCATCCAGACGCGTCGCTTTCGTTTGGGCTTCGGGGAAGCCGGTGTCTTTTGAGAAACTGCGACTCCATTGGCATCGAGGTAAGACACCTTGTTAAAGTCGTTTTTCTCGATCTTCTCCGTTCCAGCCCTAACAAGAGTGTCGTGGCCGACTTTGGTCTCCTCGTCGCTGTCATCCCCAACATTTGAAGGGATTTGGGCATTGCGCTCGAGATCGGCCTGCGTTATGGGCACGACCGAGTTACTGGGCGAGATGGCGATTGGACGGTGTGTATATGCTTACCTGCTGGGAGCGCATGTTGAACTTTGTACTTCCTCGGCACCAAAGTTGGCATCGCACTGAAACTCTCGGATATTTATACCCATTACATACCAGACACACATGAGAATTCGAAGTTCTCCGAGGACCCATCTCGACGTTTAGGGAGTCTGGTGATCACCAGGAACTGCGGAATCCGAACGAAGGTAAGTAATTCCCCATCAGGGCACGTACTAACGACACAAGCGTTCCTCCGGACAATCTATGGATGTACTACGACCCTTTCGCACAATCTCGAGCAGAGTGTCAAAGGAAAGCAACTTCATACCTGGATATCCCTCAGTAAGCTGGCGATCATAGGTAGACCTCTGTGGGTAAAATGTGTGCATTCACGGTAAAGAATGCCCTCCAATACATACCAATCAATCGTCCCTTTTCTCTTCGAACCAGCCTTCCACATCAGGTTTCATGGGCTCATGCCCTGCTCAGGTCCAAACTGCACCCACTCGCGGGCGTTACTCTCCGTTTACAAATCCCAATCTCACCCTAAAAGAATGCCTTTCAAACAAAGGCCAGAGGATTCATGAGAATCGAGAAGTGATGCCTCTCGATTGACCGGGTTGAAGGGTCGAATACTCGCTCGCTATGATACCGCAATCACAGCTCATGAAACCAAGACAACTCTAAGCATACAATAATTCCGCGTGTTGTTGAGACCGAGGAATGATTTGACAATCGAAAGGCAAGGGCGTTCTGCATTAGAAAACGAGTCAGTCCATGTGGTGCGCCCTTCATACAAGGAAGCAATGGCGACGAACGCTATGAAACCAGAGTTCACTTCAAGCTTCAGAGGTATGGGTCGTCCCGTCTCGTCGAGGCTGGGTTTGACATCGAAGCAGGCGAGAAGGCGAGCGGCAAGTAAGGCGAACGTATCATTGCTCAGGTTACGCCCTGGACAGATTCTGCGGTTCGATGTGAGTCTTCGGTGACGAAAGTCCTGGGGAAGTGGGGTAATCTCACCGGCGTCCATAGCCAAATACTGCGACATCTGGGTCTCGGACTTCGGGATTGATCTTGCCATCCTTGAGGAACCTTTCAGGGTCGAACCTATGTGGCTCAGGGTATACATCGGGATCATGAAGGACGGCCCTGGATATAATCGCCAATGAGCAATACATATTGGATAGAGTGTGAGGTAACCGTACCATGTATTCGGGAAGATGACAGTCTTCGCTGGTATGAAGTACCCATTGTATTCATCGTCTTCTTTCGATGCGTGCGGTAAACCTTTGAAGCGAGCGAGTTCCAGCGGGAGATCTCGATTGGGGGGTCACTTACTCAATGGGCCCACGGTATGCCAGCGACTGACCTCTTTCACCACGGCCTGGATGTACGGTAGTTGGTTCAAGTCCTTGCACGTAGGCAGCCTTTGCGAGCCTACTACTGCGTCGATCTCTTCTTGAGCCTTCCGTTGGACATCGGGATGCATCGCAAGTGCTAGAACAAGGGCGCAGGCGGAACTAAAGGTCTGAAATGGAGTAAACAAGAATCATCCCGTATCAGATCGAGGGTATGCGATTTACCGTATCAGCGCCAGCTATCATCCACTTCGTTAGCAAAGGGTGTGCACAAGCGGATCATCGGCACTCACCTGTGTAAGCCTGCGCCGCAACATCTCTTGCAACCTGTTCTTGATGAGCGCGGCTATCCGTTTGTTCCTCTGGGAGTTCTTGAATTGCTAACGTGGCAAGGCTATGTTCGCTCTGTGTCCCTGTTTTCTGAAAGGCAGAGACTTGTAAGTGTTGGAACTTCAGGTCGAGGGTTTGAGAATAGGCGTACCACTCGTTCAATGGCGTCATCGAAAGGCTGGTCATGGATGTAGTCGTTGATTTCGGCCAGCCTCAGCATGTCAGCTTTCCATTCAGCTCCTGGCAGCCAACTTGGGACGTGTCTTAGAACGGGGAACACATGGACGAGTAGACGACCCGGGGAAGAGTATTCCACGAAGCCCTTTATTACTTCGTCGGCTGCGTCGATTAAGCGTCTGTTGTATGCAGCATCCGTGGCACCGTACGTGAGTCGCATAATGATAATCGCCAGCATGCTAGATTGGATTGAGTACTCCGTCCCGTCAGACTAAGCAGTTGACTCACGTTCGCGCCTCCTCCCTAAATGTTGCAATTGTTGGTTTGTCCACGAGTTTTCTTAAAAAGTTGAACGTCTCTTCTTCGACTACGGGATGATGCCCTTCGCTGTGGTGGAAGAATCGATGGAAGAGGCGTCGGCGTTCTAGCCACTCTTGGCCATAGTTCATTACGGAGAAGCTCCAACCAGTTCTCATCCTGCGAGTGGATTGTGATGAATTGTCGTACTTGCTGCACCAAATCGCTTCACTCACAGGTCAATAATTGGGGTTGAAGCGCGGTCGGAATAGTTCGTTCCCCTCTTCACAAGTAGTGCTTCAATTGACTCTAGGGAGTTCAAAATGAGAATCTTCTGGCCGAGCGCTTCCAGGTATATCAAATCTCCTGCAACAGTTCTGGTTTAGTACCAATGCAAGAGGCGAGGATTTGGTCGCGTACCATATTCCTTCTTCCATTCGTTATAGACCAGCCACGGATGCACCAGAGGTATCTGAAGCGCATTTCCAATGATAGGGAGTCCTCTGGGCCCAGGAGGGAGCGGCAAGTTCTTCCTTCGGCGCGCTTCGCGTCGTCGACTGGCGACCCACAAGATGGCACAGCCGACCACCAAAGTGAGTCCAATGGACCAGTGGCCACCTCTGGTCACAAATTCAGATCCATCTAGAGACCGCCAAAGCCCGCTGGTTGAGAAAGCGCTCATGCACACAGAAGCAAGGTGAAAGTCGGACGTTGTTCGATGCTGTCGGTTCAAATTCTATTCAATGGGATCAGTCGCCATTTGATGACGAGAACGGTTGGCATCCTCCATGATTCTGCAGTTCATTTGCTGTGGTACGCGCTCGTCGCGATAGTGCTGTCATTTGGAGGTCAACGCTGCGGTTAAGCGCTGAGTGGAGAACAATCCGAAGGACGAACAAGACACGGGCTGCAGCTCGCGGAGTAGCGGGGCGACTCTTTTGTTTGCCAACATCGGGAAGACCAAACAACTCATTGACCCGCCGGCCTGGGCGCTTATCGGGCTGCATTGACCAACACTGCACATCTAAGTATCTATTCGACCTCAAAGCTCAGGGAATGAACCCCTGCTAAGTCCGTTATGCGTATAAATCTATAAATCTCTAGACATTGCCCTACGAAGCTTGCAACAAGGCCACATGTTGCGGAGATCGAGGTACTATCTCCACCTCAAATGGCAAGGGAATTCTGAAACTGCATTCACTGCCAGTCACACCAACTGATTTGAGAAGACAGACTTACGAAATGAATGCGGACGAGGATTCGAGGTTTGGGCGCTTTTGGTTTCCATTCTTATCGAGGAAAGGCTTCACGTCGAAGCAAGAAATGAGCTGAGCTGCCAAGAACGTGAATGTGTCATTTCCGAAGAAACGACCTGGGCATATCCTTTGGCAAGTGTGAGCTAAGCGAGGTGGAGACCGACCGTCTCTACTGTGAGCTTACCTGCGACCATATCCAAATGCGGCAACGCTGGGATCTTGAACGTCCGGGTTCAGCTCGCCATCCTTTAGGAACCTCTCTGGCTTGAATTCGTGCGGCTCAGGATACACCTTTGGATCATGGAGAACAGCCCTGGCCAATACCTTAGACAACTTCAACACGGAAATAGGACGAAACTTACCATGAGTTCGGAAGAACGAGTGTGTTTGCTGGGATGAAATACCCATTGAGAGAATCGTCATTCCTGGACAAATGCGGGAGGGCTTCGCTTAGTCGTGAGTGAAATGCACTGCTGGACGAAGAGTTTCACCTACCGAGAGGACCAGTTACATGCCAGCGGTGACTCTCCCGGACGATGGCTTGGAGGTAAGGAAGCTGATCTATATCTTCATACGTCGGTAGCTTGAGCGGACCAACTACTCGATCAAGTTCTTCTTGGGCTTTCCGTTGGACCTCGGGATAAGACGCCAGGGCGAAGGCGAGACCATAAGCAGCACTAGCCATCTACATAGGATGGTATAAATGAGGCTGCCGATTATTCCCAGTCCTTGCCGCGATGCTTACCGTATCAGCACCAGCTAGGTAGGTAAATGTCAGTATGCTCCCTTTCGATACGTGGCTTGGATGGGCGACGCTCACCTGTGTATGCTTGTGCCACCGAGTCGCGAGCCAGCGTCTCTTGACGCGCTCGCTCGGGGTCACCCTCCTCCGGAAGCGCCTGGATGAGCTTCGTGGCAAAGCTGGTATGAGGACCCTGTGTTCCTTCTTTCTGTTAACAGCTTGTCAACAACCACTGATGCGACGAAAAAAAAAATAGAGCTACGATACCATTCTCTTCGTCGCATCCGCGAAAGGTTGTTGATGAAGATAGTCCGTCAATTTGGCGAGCTTCAACAACTCCCTCTTCCACCAAGCACCAGGGAACCAGGACGGAATGAACCGCATTGAGGGGATGATGTTGACCCACATACGCCCAGGGTTGGAATATTCGACGAATCCCAAGACAGCAGTATCGGCGGCGTGGATTAGGCGCTTGTTATAGTCCTTATCCACCGCTCCATACGTGAGTCGCATGATAATGATTCCCATGGCGCTAAACAGAGCCAATCCCCATTACAGTTTCATTTCCGCGAGAAGGTATCAACGGACTCACTTTCGAACTACGTCACGATATTCCTTCGGTCGTCCAATAAGGTCGCGCAGCATCGCAAGGAGCTCCTCTTGAACGACTGGTCGATGGTCCTCCAGATCATGGAAGAATTGATGGAATAGTCTTCGCCTGTCTCGCCATTCTGCCCCATAGTTCATGACCGAGAAGCTCCAACCAGACCGCATTCTGAGGGCGTACGGAAGTCACGAACAACGCCAGTGGAGAAGAGAAAGGGTCACGCACAAGTCGATAATGGGACTCCAGGAACGGTCAGAGTAGTTTACCGCGCGTTTGACAAGAAGGGCCTCGATAGTCTCTAGCGAATTCAGGACCAAAATCTTCTGTCCGAGCGCTTCCAGGTAGATTATATCTCCTGGTGTCGTCGTCAGCAAGAATAACAAGAAGAACTCGAGTAAAGCGCACCATATTGTTTCTTCCACTCGGCATACGTCTTCCACGGGTACTCGAATGGAATTTGTAGCAGGTTTCCAAGGATTGGCAGGCCTTTGGGTCCAGGAGGAAGTGGCAAGTTCCTTCTCCGTCTCCGAGCTTGAACATTTCGAATAACTCCGAGAATAGCGGCACAGAGGACCGCTGGGACGAGAAAGAGCCAAGCGCCATGTCGGCTGGCAAGATGTCGCGGTATATCCTCGAGAAGTGACAGCAGGGCAGCTGGGGATGTCACCGTCATTTTGGTGGAGGGGGGTTTACAGCATCATTTTGGACGGTCTTCTTATATTACATGTGTTGCGACAAGAAGCAGGGAAGGATGGCAGTGCTGCTCGAGGGAAGAAACGCGTGAGCTGGCGCTGATTTGGTGGTACGAAGACGTATTGCCCCGGTCAGTTTCAACTTTCGTCTCCATCCCTTGGTGATTCCGTGGAAAGCAAGTGGTACTAATAATTATGGAAGCTCTGTGAGAGGGAATGGTAGCATCAATCAAATATAGTCATTTGATAATCAACGAGAAGCTGATACGACACCGTTTAAAACTACTGAGGATGCTAAATTCTCATCCGTTTCAAATCTTGTCTTGGACTCGGTGCTTTCCTACCTTCTCTCACGGAAGTCAAAACACTCGAATCAGAAACGCTCAGGGCCGTGAACATTCGGTAAAGTACAGTGGGGACGAGAAGAGTCAAGCTTGGATTGTCCAGAAGTGCTCTATACCCCTTGAGACTTCAACAGGTCCAAATGTCGCTCGGACCGCGGAACGATATCGCAATCAAAAGGTAAAGGGTTGCTTGGCGAAAGAAATCAGCTGACAGGACAATGCGTCGAGAGTTGAACACGAACGAGATAAACGCAGAGGTCACTTCGTACTTGAGAGGCTTGGGGTTTCCAGCTTCATCAAGGGACGGGTCGACGTTGAAACAGGCGAGAAGTCGAGCCGTCAGAAGCGTGAAAGTGTCATTGCTCAGATGCCGGCCGGGGCAGATTCTGGCGATTCAGAGAGGGTGACAGTGAGTCCATCGCGCAGTGTGAGGTCATAGCTCAGCGCTCACCTCCGCCCGTAGCCGAACGCTGCTATCTCTGGGTCTGGAACAGCGGGGTTGATCTTTCCGTCCTTCAAGAACCGCTCCGGCTTAAAGTCGAAGGGGTCCGGAAAGACGTCTGGATCATGTAGGACAGCCCTAGTATGTGATGACAGGCTTCGTCGGTCACCCAGATGTACATTGGCATAGATTTACATACCACGTGTTCGGTATAACGATGGTCTTTGCGGGGATGAAATAACCATTGAAGACATCATCCTTGGTTGACAAATGCGGGAGACCTTCGAGATGTGGTCAGCATTCAGATACACTCAAAACGCAAGAGGAACGCACTCATCGGTGCCGATGTATGCCACCGGCTTACTTCTTTGACTATGGCTTGGACATAGGGCAAGTCTTTCACATCCGAAAATACAGGCAGTCTCTGCGAGCCAACAACTACATTGATTTCGTCCTGGGCTTTGCGTTGGACTTCGGGGTGCATTGCCAGCGCGAGGGCGAGGGCAAAAGCCGAGCTGGCAGTCTGGAAAATGAGTGAATGATCGGTAGTCGGGAATGGCGAGAATAGGAAGCAGACATACCGTGTCAGCACCAGCTAGCAGTTGCATTGATTCAGCACGAGTCGACACGCACAAAAAAGAATGGGAGACACCTACCAGTATACGCCTGAGCCGAAACATCTCGCGCCACGCGCTCTCGATAAGCGCAATCCAGGTCCCCTTCATCCGGAAGTTCTTGGATGGCCTGAATTGCGAGACTGGTATATTCACCCAATTTTCCAGATCTCTTGAAATGCAGTGAGCTTGAACAGGCTATTGAACGAACGTAACGAAGGCATACGACTCGCGTTTTGACATCGTCAAATGGCTTGTTGTGAATCATATCGTTCAGCATGGCCAGCTCTTCGAGTTTAGCTTTCCAACCTGCGCCTGGGAACCAAGAGGGAATATATCGCAGAGCAGGGATCGTATTGACGAAAAGGCGGCCTGGAGACGAATACTCCAAAAAACCAAGTGAAACGGCATCCCCCGCCTGCATCAAGTTTTTGTTATAATTTGCGTCGACTTCTCCGTACGAAAGGCGCATGATGATAAGTCCTAGGCACCTAAGTTGGAAGGCATCAGCGTCCTGGTAGCAGGTGCAATGTGAGGCCTCACGTTCGTGCTTCCTCCCTAAAGCTTTTAGGGTTGTCGGCAAGCCTTCTCAAGAATGAGAGCGTTTCTTCTTCGATCACTGGGTGATGATTTTCTGTACGGTAGAAGAACTGATGGAATAGACGGCGACGGTTCCTCCATTCCTGTCCGTAGTTCATAATTGCGAAGCTCCACATTGTTCTTACTCTGAATACGACTGAATTAGCCCGGAAATGAATGAAGCTCGACAATGCAAGCGCTTACAGCTCGCCAACGGGACTCCAAGAGCGGTCAGAGTAGTTCGTAGCTCTTTTCACGAACAGCTCCTCAATCAACTCGAGAGAGTTGAGAACAAGGATGCCTTTGCCCAGTGCTGTGAGATAGATCATATCACCTGCGGAGAGGTAAGTATGAGCGAAAGCAACGAGCATGATCAAAGAGGAGCAGCCTACCGTGCTTCTTCTTCCAATCATTATACACCAGCCAAGGGTGCTCCGCCGGGATTTGCAGAAGGTTACCAATGACAGGTAGACCTTTGGGCCCAGGCGGGAGCGGAAGGCCTTTTCTTCTGAGAGTTTGCTGTCGTAGATAAGCCGCCGCCGACGCGATCGCGCAGAGAGCCCCAAGCGCTACGCCTGTTGGCCACGGAGTGCTTTTCAGTACATGTGAGAAGAGTTGGCCAGCAATTGTAAACCGAGACAGCAAAGCTGTTGAAAACTCGTGAAGAAGGGAAATCATAGGGGACACAAGGCGCTTCAGATCATCGCAAGTCTTCTTATCTCCAGGCACTGCGAAGCTGTCGGAATATGTGGTGTCCCATTTGGAGTGAGAGTGGATGATATTGATCACAGATTGGAGACAAACATAACTTCTGAATTGTGGAAGAAGTCTATAAAGGCCCCTGCCGTTCTGCCAGAGGGTACATAAGTGCGACCAAGAGGCACTCTATTCCGACCCCCGCGCAGTCCTTCGACAAACGACACCGACTACTTGGATCCGAGTCAAGAAATGATGATGGAATGACGTTCGCTTGGGTGAAAAGTAGGTGCTTCGGAGTGAGAGGTTGGGTGAACAGGTGTCCGTGTATCCGAGTCTTGGTGGCCAGAGACAAATGTCAAAGAGAAAAGGTGGACACTGGACGGGCGCGCCTTCGCTGTCAGTACTAGTCACGTGTAATTCTCACAGCCACACGATAAGCGCCCGATTTTAAATTGCTGCGACCTGGAGACGCTTAGTAGAACCTTGAAGAGTGAACATTGCTGGGCTAAGGATGAATAAAAGCAGTACATACATACTTACGTGGAGAGTGGGTTCTCCAATTCTGATACACCGATTCTAACGAATTATACATTATACCGACCCAATCGCAATTTTACGGAGTTGATTGCGGAGTCCACATGCTTTGAAGGGGTAAACATGGTGATACTTTAAATAAATTGGGCTGAAGAAGGAATATGATGATTGTGTACGAAGAGCTACCCGGATCCCCTGTGCTTGGGGATGACAAAAGCAATTACATAGTACACCTCACAAGACCTCACACCCTGGAAGGAGCAATTCAGATTTGTTCTTGCAACAGGGCTAAATGGCTTGAAGAGCGAGGTACAACATTGCAATCAAACGGCAAGGGCGCCCTACACCACTCCGTAGATCAGTCTCTATCGCCGCTTGAACAAGGCGAAACACCAACGAAATGAAAGTCGAAGTCATTTCAGCGCTGATAGGCTTGGGGTTTCCGGCTTCATCAAAGGCCTGCTTGACGTTGAAACAAGCGAGAAGACGAGCCGCCAGAATTGTGAGAATGTCGTTACCCAGCTGGCGACCAGGACATACCCTGGAAGATCAGTACAGAGAGTGTAAGAGACGTCACGGTTGAGGGAGTATCTTGAATCTCACCTTCGCCCGTAACCAAATATCGCAACTTCAGGATCCAGGACGGAAGGGTTTAACTTTTCGTTCTCCAAGAACCTCTCGGGGCTGAACTTTTCAGGGTTCGGAAATACTGTTGGGTCGTGTAAGACAGCCCTGTACCACAAGATCCAAGGTAAGCAGCGGAAACACGTCAAAGAAATATGGGCAACCAACCATGAATTAGGAAGTATAACTGTCTGCGCTGGAATGAAGTACCCTGCAAAGACATCGTCATGCCTCGACAGATGCGGTAAACCTGAAACCTGGCGTCAGCTTTCCAACTCAAATGCAAGAGAATATGAATTTACTGAGAGGCCCAACAGGTCTCCAACGGCTCACTTCCTTGACAATCGCCTGAATGTAAGGCAGATGGTCCAAGTCGGAGAATTCAGGAAGTCTGTCTGAGCCTACGACCGCATCAATCTCTGCTTGCGCTTTTTCCTGAACGTCCGGGTGCAGAGCAAGTGCCACCGCGAGGACGTTTGCAGAACTTGCAATCTGAAGAGGGGTTAGTTTAAGCGAGGGAACCTTGAGTATTAAGTCTACCGTGTCAGCATCAGCTGGATACGGCGTTGTCGACAGAGACGATCAGCCATTCCGGAGCATGGAGAGGAATCGACCTGCACCCACCAGCATAAGCACCAGCCGCGACATCTCGAGCTACTCCCTCTTGACGAGGCCGTTCGGGGTCTTCTTCCGGTGGCAGGGTCTGAAGTACATTCGACATAAAACTAGGGAACTCCTCGCGTTTCCCAGATTTCTATAGTCAGAACCAACGATGGCATCCTCAGTCCCAACTCCAGCTGTTGCAAAAATCCGAAGGGTCTCACCGCTCTTTCAATCGCATCATCAAACGGTTGGCCATGGATATAATCGTTGATCACAGCCAGCTCTTCTAGCTTGGACTTCCATCCCGCGCCGGGAAACCAGGATGGCACATATCGCAAAAGAGGGAAGCTAGTAACCAGCAACTCGCCAGGGACCGAGTATTTCGTAAACCCTATGGCGACTGCACTGGCGGCATGGATCAAGCGCTTGTTGTACTCGTTATCCTCGGCCCCGTAGGTAAGTCGCATGATAAGGGTTCCTAGCATTCTAGCTCGGGATATATGAGCAATCACTAGGTTATTTCGGAGGGGCGGGGCCACTTACGTTCGCACTTCCTCCTTGTAACCCGTAGGTCTCTTAGTCAATTGCCGTAAGAAATTGCCGATCTCGTGTTCGATGAGCGGGTGGTGCTGTTCGCTGTGGTTGAAGAATTGGTGGAACACCCGTCTTCGTTCTCTCCACTCCGAGCCATAATTCATCAAACCAAACAGCCATCCAAATCTCATCCTATATGACCAAGGGTGAGTAATGGATAGAAGCAGCTGAAGTGCTTGGAAGACCCACAGATCAGTGATTACACTCCCAGCACGGTCAGAGTAGTTTGCCGCCCGTTTCACGAGGAGAGCTTCAATGGAAGCAAGCGAATTCAGAACGAGAATCCTCTGACCCAGCGCTTCAAGGTAAATTATATCCCCTTGTATTTGATCCTTGAGCTCCACTGACTCTTGTCAGGCCTCAGCAAGACGAATCCACGCACCATACGTTTCTTTCCAGCTATGATAAACCTTCCATGGCTGGTGAATAGGTATCTGAAAAAGGTTACCGAGGATGGGCAATCCCTTTGGACCAGGAGGAAGCGGCGCAGGCGTCTTGCGACCAGCTCGAAGGTTTCGACCGACTCGGAGGAGGACGACAACGCCAAGTATACCAGTCACAACGATCCACCACGGCACCCAGGAAGTCAATTGGTAGAAGGACGGGGGTCTACACAGTAAAGCGCTCATGAGGGCGCATACACACGGGAGGGATTTAGCTGGGAGTGGTGGCTGGTACGAAGGCGTTGAGATATATGGGTGACATTGTGTGATGCCTCGATACTGATAAGGTTACGTAGGCCTCCCTCAACGTGCTGGGTTAAGTCTGATCCAAACGTCAAACTTGTCCTCCTTTCGGGCGTTGCTTTTCAGCGCGATTCGTCCCATGATTATCGCGGTTGACTTTTCCCAATGCACATCCATCCATCCATAGTATTGTGACAGGGGGTAAAATTACAATGTACATCAAGGCCGTACCCATAAGAGCCCGACCAATTCAAAACAACATAGAACAAAGAAAACGAAAGAGAGAGAACCAAGTGTACACTCACAACCCACCGGGTTATGCAGACCCTTACAGCCCAAACACCTCCGTATGAACCCCAACAGGCCCAAGCTCCCTCCCCTCGCTATGAATCTGCAACCTCGCAACAGCATTCGCAGCCTCCCTCGTAAGGCCCTCGGGTCCACTCGCACAAACAGCCACACCACCACCCAAACCAACCCACGGAAGCCTATCCCTCACAGCCGGCTCAAACTCTACACTCTCATCCAAATCCGAGTTCTCAGATACACCAGTCGTCGCCGTCGCAGCAGTTGACGGGCGTTTCTTAACATCAGGAACCACCAACCCTTCCACCTTGATCTCCGTCGCTTTCACTCTCGCGTTGTCTGACCTCGCGTTGGAAGTCGAATTTGGAGGCGTGACGAGGTCTGTGAGGACATTGTAAATGGTCGGTCGGACGACTGTGACGTCACAGTTGGGAATCGGGGGGACGGCTTCTGGGTTGCACAAGCAGGTCACGTAGATCGAGATGTGAACAGCCAAGTCGGAGGATTCAGCCACCTTGGCAATGTCCATGAGAGCTGGGGCGAACCAATCAATTGAACCTAATCCGGGAGGAATGAACGAGATGGCATGTCAGATTTGGTCTAGTCTGAGGCACCAGGAACACAGTGAAAAGACAAGGGTACGCACCAAACGACCGGACACACCACGCAAACTCGATTCTCTTGGTGATCTCTCCACCTCGTCGGCGCAACTTGACACACCGTCCTACGATATCGTCAAGTAATCCGATCGTGAACGTAGCACCAGCACCACCAGCGAAGAGCAACACAGTCTCGTATCGTCCAAGGTCGACACTGCATCCACCATAAGGACCATCAATCATCACCTGTACAGGTACCTGCAACGACGGAGCATTCTCTTTGGCGTCGTTCGACGACTCTGGAGTGACTGCGGGCTTCTCCTTCTTGCCACACTCATCCTGCTCTTCCATCACCTTGGCAGTCTCCCGCGCATAGTCGTTCAACGCCTTGGTCCAGTCACCCATAACTCTGGCACCGAGGTTGATCCCTGCCGGAAGGGAGGTGACGCATGAGAGACCAGGTGGAGCGGTGAAGATGGAGAAGGGGTGCGATTCGAAGACTCGTCCTGAGGAGAACACGCGTAGGCGGACGTGTTGGCCTGCTACCCAGCCATCTGAGCAATCAGGAATGTGGACCTAAGAAATAGAGTAAGTCCTTGGCAGTTATGGCATCTCGAAAGAAGGCAGAACTCACCAACGTCATCTGGCTATTCACAGGCGACAACAACGCATCCTTAATCCTCGTCCTGAACATACGCAACATGAGGTCCAAGCCGTAGAATGCAAGCGGGGGATAGATCCATGGCGAAAGGTAGTTCGCACTGTGGTAGCACAATGCAACGAAGAACGACACGAATGCCAAGATGCTGGAAAACAAGGCATTAGTAAGGTCATTCAATCCATGGGAATACCAAACCAGTACGCACTGGATGACATTGAACAACTCGTAGTACCACCTGCGCAGCGGGCGCAACGACGAGATGACCATAATACACAGCACACCGAACGCCGCTAGACCCGTATCCTCCTTGCTCTCTCCAGTGATGGGGTTCCCGATACGCTTGTGGTTGAGGATCCAGAGGACACCGTGGATGAGGGAGCATAGGAAGATGGATCGACCTGCCCATTTGTGGATGTAGTTGAGTTTTTCGTAGCCGTGCCCTGGGCCTAGGATGAGCGAAAGCACCGAATTCTTCGTCGCGAAAAGGAAGACCACGGGAAGCTGTGCGAGTGCGATGTAACCTAACCACCATCTCTCGTCAACATCACAACGACCAGTAAACCTCGAGGTACTCACCTGGGCGATTGGAGTTCTTGGATAGCGTAGCATCCGTAACGATGCACACAACCACAGTAACGAGGTATCCCACAATGAGAATCACTATACGCCCATTCATCAGTCGCTTCCCCTGCCCTGATCTTTACACAACGCACCTTGCCCAGCATTAACCTCCAGTCCAGGCAACGACCACCACAGCACACTCGCGACCCTATTCAACACCGCCTCCAGCTTTCTTGCTGACACACTCTTGCCAGCCCCATCAACCCTCCGCTGCTCTTCACGCACTCCAGCTGACAGCGCCTGGTACCTCGTCTGGCCCCAACTCTCCGAGATCCCAAAGACACCCTTGAACGCCCGCCCAGTCTTGATAGCCCTCACAAACCTAGGAACCGACACCACAACAGCAAAAGCGAGCACAGACGTCCACACTATTGTAAACGTTTCTTGCCAACCGTGGTCGATGAGCGCCAGCCTACCCTCACCGCGATTAATCCAAAGTACCAACAATAAAAAACCACAAGCTGCTCACTGCGGGGTCTTAAACTCGTCCGGAACCGAAGGAGGCTTGCCAAACGACATTTCAAAGTCGAAGTGAGCACAGGCACGGCCTACGCACAACTAGCAAAACCTTCTGAAGCCTGGGGATATTGCGGGGAAGGTACAAATCCGAAGTCAAGCCGTCAAGCGTCTGCCCAGATGCCAGAAACGGGCTAATTACCCCTGGAGCGCGGTTCTTCCCACAGCGCTGAATATGGAAGGCAGTCGGTCATCACCGGAATGATCGGAGTACGGCCTTGTCCCCGGAGTCCGATCCGTGCCGTTTGATGCTCGGCAAGCCGCGATTCGGAGTGGCAAAGAGCAAGGTGGTCAAAGTGAGCGAAGCGCGGGTCTGACTGAAGACAGCGTTCGGGCGTCTGTGAGTAATAGAGAGGGGTATTATACAGTTATAAGTAAGGCTAATCTATGCGAGTAACGAAAGCTTTTTATCAGGATGTGGCGATAGTTGCAAGGATCTCCGGATGAGTCTAAGCGAGCGACAGGGGGAAAACGATATGATGGCGCTAGAAACGAGCGAAGGCAACAGTAACAGGAAACCAGGACCTAGAATTCGACATTAGACGTCTCCACGATGACCCGATCCATGGTCGACATACCTAGGCCTGAACCTGCACATTCGCGTCAGAAAATGCCTCTAGCTCCTTCTCCTTCGCCTTCATGCCTTTCGCCCATTTCTCCGCCCTCCTCTGCCGATACATCGTCAAAAGACGATACTGTTCATCAAATTTCGCATCCTCCCCCTCCCTAACATCATACTTCTTCTTCATCATCAAATCCACCTTATCCGCCCAACTAAACAAGCCGGCCTCCACAAGCCCCGCGATAACGGTCTTGTACAACACAGCATCAGGTATCACAACATGCGCTTCGTTCCTCCTCGACACAAACTCCTGGCCCTTCTCCACCAACGCCGAAACATCCCACTCCGTCGCCTTCTCCTCCCGGTACTTCTTCCCCTGGAAATAGTAGAGCTGCGCACGCCTATGCCTCTCCAACCGATTGATCAGGGCTATAGCTGTCCGCCAATCGCCCAACCGCGCATAGGTCCCAGCAAGTTCGGTAAGATGATGAAGACCCGGCGTGAGCCCCAGCGAAACCATGTCGTATATCGCCTCCTCCGCACCGTTCTTCCCCAGACCCCGCAAGAAGGGTGTGAAACTCCAGCTGCTAATTGGGTTGGCATTCTTCCGAGCCCAGTTGACAGCGAGGGTCTTGATACCCATATCCTCCAATTCGGCGTCCACGTCCCTCCCATCCCGCGCGATCTGTACGAGTTTACCGTACAACGCTTCGAGGTCTTCCGAGCTTTGCTGGATGGAGGCTAGAGCGCGCCAAACAAGCGCGCAGTGCTCCTTCGCAGGCCACAACTTGACGTTCGACGTCGCAGGATTGAAATTGTGCAGGCCGATTTCATGAATCCGGCGTCGTGGGGGTTTGCTGCTCCCCGAGCTCGAGCTCAAGATCTGCTCCTGCCCCCCGTCCGAACCGCCACTCCTCGCCACCTCCAACACTGTCTTCACCGGCACGCCGACCAAGTAAAAGTGTTCCACAAAAGTTCGGATGACGGTAACCGGGGACTCCATCCGGTGGTAGTGCAGCATTTCAGCAGTGAGGAGGTTGGATGCGAAGGGCATGTTGTATTTGAGGGCTTTGGCAAGGAGGAGGGTGAGGCCAAAGGAGTGGCCGCTTGCGAGGTAGTTCTCGAGGTAGGCTGCGAGGGTTAAGGGGTGGTAGAGGTCGGCGTGGCCGTTGATCTGAGCCTTGAGTGTCCGCAGTGATGGAACGAGTTCCCGAATCGGTAGTGTATCGGGGTAGGGTATCAGGTTGCGGTCGCGGGATTTAATCGAAGGCGCTGGTGCGGTTACTTGCTTGCCCAAGGCCTCCACATATTTAATGACCTCGTCTTTCCGAGCTTTCACGATTTCCAGGTACGCCATCCACATCGCGGGTCTGTCGCGGTTCAATCTCCGGATGACAAGGTCGTGAATGCCGAGGGAAAGATAGGCGTTGGTTTTAAAGGGGTCCAGGAATAAGGGCATTATCCGGTGGAACTCTCCACGCTCGAGTAGCGACCGCACCGCCACACCTCTTGCCAATCCCATCATCATCCTGCGTCGGTGGTCGGCAAGCTTAGGCTCCGCATCCGCCCAATACTTGGCATTCGCTTCCTCAAAATCGTGAAGGAATTCTTCGGCTTCGTCCGGAGAACCGTAGAGGAAAACAGAGCGACAGGCGTCCTTGTAGACCTGGCTGGCGAAACCCTTGGAGGCGAAGAGGACTGCGGCCTTCTGAATCAAGGGAAGGTGGGTGAGTGGGGAAGTAAAGATGAGATTTGCGAGTTGCTCGAGCTCGGCTGGAAAGGATTGAGTCATATGAGTGGTGGGAAGCAGTCGGAGCCAGGTGAAAACGGAATCTTCCTTCTCCGCGATGGAGGCAGACTTGTCGAGGGACTGCATGGCCTTCAGCGCGTCTGCTGCCGGTTTAGCGTAGGCGAGGGAATAGGGAATATCTGCACCCATTGACTGCAGCTCCTGGAGTAGTTCGTGTGCGTAGGTGTAGCGACCGTCGCTAACCATTTGTTCGATCACTTTGGTGGTACTGTGGTCGAGGGACTCCATGTTTAGGTAGACGTATTCGGAGCTCTGTTCCTCGAACACGTCGCCTGCGATGGGTTCTGGAAGGGTAGACGGAAGCGACTGCTCGATCATGTCCATGATTCCAACGACGGGGTGCTCTTTCTGCTCGACCTCAACTGCCTTGTAGTCCTGCACGTCCTCCTCGAACACCTTGTCGACGTCGATGACGAGGCCTTTGAACGTCGTGAGGGCAATGTTGACGTCGCGGTGCCATTGCGCATACTCCAGCGCGGAAAACCCAGATTGGACGATGGGGGCAATCTCGGAGAAGACAAAGTCACCATAGCCCTTCTTGGCGCAGAGAAGGCCCAGTCGCTTGACCAAGTCCAAGTGGGCTTTCTTGGTGTTGGCGAGGATGGCTTGGAATGGGGTCGAAGGGGCTGTGTTGGCGTTGGGAAGTGTTTCAAGGATGCGGAAGAAGATGTTGATGTTGGATTCCTTGTTTTTTCGCGATCCTACTGCTCCGCGGAAGAGTTCGGCGACCAGTTGCTCCCCTCCGTTCCTCGCAACCGCATCTGACAACATTTCAGAGACGGCCTCCACCTTTCCATCCTTCATCCACCGAACTGCTTTTTGCCCTTCAGTCGTCGTGGTGAGAAGTTGTGAATAGTCCCGGGTGCTGGTGGATGGTGCTGGTGTTCTGGGCATCGAGGTCGTGTTCTGTTCATTGTCGGCGGCGACGTTCTGGGACGCGGCAATGCTAATGTTCCGTGGTGTATGTCGCCATTGTGAGGCCAGTGAACGGGTGAGCGAGCGACAACCTTGTTGAGACGCTCGCAACATTGGCCACGGAGGTGAAGCAGTCAGAGCCAATAATGACCAGTGTCCAGAAATTCTCGATGCCAAGCCAACAAATTGGTCAGCAGGCGCCCACAAGGTTGCGCCCCATTTCCAGTGTTCACAACTTGTCGCATTCAAGACAGCGCAGAGAGGCTGTTCTTTAGAAGAACAGCATACGTTCTGAAGAACTGGTCCAATGTTCATTCGAGAGGGTTTCAGCGATGCTGGGTGGGGGATATGTCGCACGTGATGACGCATGGGCCGGGTGATTTTGAATCTTGTGGCTGACGGTGATTTCTGAATCCTGGTTTCTCTCTCTCCGCTGGCCGTAGAAGGCGTCTGACATCGTACCGCCATGCAGAACAGTCAAGACAGCCCGCCTCGCGCACCTCCTATTCAGTACAATGCCCCACTGGGAACTCGCTGGGCAAAGGAAAAGGCCGCCGCTGGGGGCTCAGCAGCCTTCGATCTCCCTTCAGATCCAAAGTCTATCGGTCCCTGGATCCTGGGCGAATGCATCGGCAAAGGCGCTTCTGGTCGTGTAAAGATTGCCCGCCACCAACGAACCCGCCAGCTTGCAGCCGTCAAGATCCTCCCCATTGCACCGTTGGTCAACTCCAGAGCCTCTCTCGCCACCCAGCAGGCCAAATCCGAAAAGCAGCGTCTCGGCATCGACCGCGAAATCACAATGATGAAACTCATGAACCATCCCAACATCATGCGCATCTACGACGTCTACGAGGGCGAGAAGGAGCTCTTTCTCGTTCTCGAGTACGTCGAGGGTGGCGAGCTCTTTGACTTTTTGGTCAACCGCGGTCGTCTTCCACCGAGCGAAGCTCTTCTCTATTTTCGACAGATCATCTATGGTCTCAACTATGCACATACCTTTTCCATCATCCACAGAGATCTCAAGCCCGAGAATATCCTCATCGCCTCTCTCGACCCGCCTGTCGTCAAGATTGCCGACTGGGGCATGGCGGCCTTTGCTCCCCCTATGCTCCAACTCGAAACTAGTTGTGGATCTCCTCACTACGCCAGTCCCGAGATCGTCAATGGAGAAAAGTACTTTGGAACGGCAACGGATATCTGGAGCTGTGGTGTCATTCTCTATGCTCTCTTGACTGGCCGACTTCCCTTTGACGACAAAAACGTTCGCACTCTACTCTCCAAGGTCAAGAGCGGCAAGTACGACATTCCTTCTTGGATGGATCCCATGGCCAAAGACCTCTTGACCAAAATGCTTGTCGTAGACGTTCACAAACGCATCACGGTATGGATTACCGTCCTTGAGTAGTTCTTTGCTGACCGCTTTCCAGATTCCAGACATTCTTGTCCACCCATGGTTCGTCAAGGGTCCGACATCCACCTCGCAACATACTATGGACATTACTTTGGCTCAACCTCCACTACCCCCTTCTCCTAGTACTCTGGCGCGCCCCATTGCTTCTCCTGATCTCATTGACCCTGAACTCTTTGCCTCGTTGCGTATCATCTGGGGACGACACGCCGATCCCGACGGCGCTGCCATCCAACAAGACCTTTGTTCCCCCGCAGGTCAAGGGCTACACGCCAAGGCATTCTACTTCCTTTTGGACAGATACAGAGAAGAATCACTTCGCAACCGGTCTGATGACGCTGCGGATAGGATACAAACTCCACGTTCTGAAACTGAATGTCAATCGGACAAACTCTATCTTGGCTGGGACCTCGATCAAACTCGTGCACGCAGGAGCCTCGAGGCTGTCGTGAACACTTCATCTCCGGCGGACAAAGCTGTCTCACCCTACAGATCGACCACGCCCGCGAATGAACCCTTTACTGCGGATGATCCACGATCCAATGAATTGGTGCTGCCTACTGCGTCTCGCTCAGCCCATCAGTCCATTCGACATCCGATGGATACGCGAAAGAGGCAAACGACACATTCTTACTCTACGACATCTACGGCAACCTCCGCGACCCGGAGTACAGCTTCTTCGATAAACACTATCAGCTCTCCTCGGTCTGCCATTCCCAAGCGCGGGTATACGCATTCGATGACCCACGGCCAAACACGAAGTTCTCATGAGAAACGACGTGCGACTGACCCGAGTATCCAGTCGATGCCTGGAACGCCTATACCGACCACACGACACCCCAACCTCCTCGGAGAAGATCGATCGTTCTTGAAGGAGCTTCAGCGTCGTGCATCAGCTGTACCATTCCATGCATCCGTGCACCCAGGTCGGGTCCCGCCGCCGTCTTTGATGGACGTGGACTCTTCTGCGGTCACGTTGAGACAGTCCATGGTCGAACGTTCCGATCTCCGTGAAAACGTGGATAGACCTGGGGCGGTTAGAACTGACGTTTCAGTTATTCCATCTGACAACCATATCCACCACCGGCAATCTACTCGTCGTCGTGCCTCACTAGACGCCGAAAAGGAGAACGCCATGGCTGTCGATGATGGGTGGACTCACGTCGAAACCGAGTCTGCTAATGCTCATTCTCGACCTAGTCCTTTCGGCGTAACGACCAATCGGGAGGTTGGACGAGATGTGGTCAACACGCCGGAGACCACCCACTCCATTCCGAGCGCCAAAACCAAAAAGGAGAAAGAAAGGAAAAGTCGACGTAAGTACCCGCTCCTGTCGGTCCCCCGAGTTATTGGCCCCTGGATAGATATCACCGGCATTTGGAAATACCTTTACTCACGAATGCCGAATTTGTCATTTTACAGCGCCGCCGATTGAATTACCGCCCATCCATCAGCGTCGCACTTTGGTTGGTTCCTCTTTCCATACGCCTTCTCCGGGCCTCCATGGTGGTACTGGGACTGCCCATACTGGTAGTACGAGCAACAGGATTATGGCCTCCCCTGTTGTCGGCGAGTTCAAAGGCTGGTTCTCGAATTTGTTCAACTGGAAGAGCCACTCTGCTCATCCTCCCGCCTCTGTCTTCTACTCCCCAGAAGACATCCCCAAAACTCGCGAAATGACGCTCCGGTTCTTCCAGAGTCTCGCTTTTGGCATTTCTCGTGTTATTCTGGATCTTAACGCCGACAGCAGTGAGATTTATCATTGTCGATTGGACCAGAGCGTGGTTGATCTTGCTACGAATACGACGCTGAAACCTGTCCGGTTGAGGGTGGAGTTTAGTCTTGTTGTTCCTGCTAGTCCTGGGCCCACTACTGGTGGTGGGACTGGTGCTATGACGAGCTCGGCTGGGACTACGCCGACGCCTACGCCGACCACTGCTACCTCGGAATTCTGGACGTTTACTACTGGGCAACTTCAACAACATGCGCAACAGCCGTTGGATCCTAGTTCCAACACCTTTTTGAGCGCTGGGACGGCTGGATTTGGAGCGAGAGCGACTCGGAATAGTCTTGCTGCACTTGGTCGGACGGCTTCGAATGCGATTGGGCATCACCATCAAAGTCACCATCATCATCATCATCTTCACCATCATCCTACTGTAAATACGACCTCAGCTACTACCACTACTACGGCTCCTACCTCAGGTGGGCAGGGTGCTACGGTCAACGCCAACGCAACGGCTCTGCTCTCGACACACTGGGAGATGCCTCTCGGCTGTGCGTGTGTGATTGTGATGACGTTTGAGAAGGGGTCGGGGTCTGCGTTTAGGGCGGTTAAGCAGCGGTTGCAGGATATGTTTTCGGATTCGCAGGTGGTTGGGTCGGGTGTAGGCGCGGGTGTGGGTGTGGGTGCAGGTGGGGGTGTTGGGGCGGGAGGAGGCGCTATTTCGCCGACGTGTTTCAGTCCTGTTTTGACTGCTGCTGGTGGTGGGGATCGGATGGTGATGTAGGATGGATTTCGATTTGGATGAAACGGGATTTTATTTGGGAATTCGGGAAAACGGAATTGGGTTGGAGTTTGACATAGCCAGGCGGAGTGGCCGGGATGTGGGACGGTAAGCGGTCTCACTGGGCGAGGTCGCGGATCTTGGGACGGATGGGGGATGCGGCTAGGAGGCGCCTAGTTTGGGACGCACGTTTCGGAATTCGACATACAGATGATGGAGATTCCCACAGACTATACGACTATACAGCTACGACGGTATTTACAATCTATTTGACACAGTTTTGGTACTATCTTCTACCGTCCATTCAGACCCAGGTTGCGGGATGTGAGAAGGGCGTTTTGCACTACCTGCCATTTGACGTTTCCGCAGTTTTTGAGTCTAGAATGCGTTGCTTGGGGTGACAATCATCGCGGCTGTGTCGTCCTTGTCAAGTCAAAGAGATTGGACGTCGTGGACGTGGGTTCCCGAGCACTTAAATTCACCCTCCATCCGATTTCTCCTAGAGGAAAGGAGTGGGAAGCTTGGGCTGATAGTAAGAGCTGATAGTAAGTACGGCCACTACTGCCCAGGTCTGTGGTTCTCAAAAACCGCTATCGTCACCAAACTATCAAATACATACGGATGTATGTCGCCCGCGATTGGCCTGCCTTGTCTCTCAGAAAGGAAACATCGGGTCCGACAAGTAGGCGAGATGGAAGCATGAATGGAAATATATGAATACGCCTTAGCTGTGGGATTGTGACAGTTGCTTTTTGAGATGGGAAAGGGAGTTTCGCCGAAGTGGGCTCTGATCAGTTCTTGTGTATGGTCCGGGTGATTAGGTGCTCTTGTTTTTGGGTTACAATTGCGGACTGGGCTGACGTCGAGGTGGGGGCTTAGACTGGTCATCGATGGGTGTGCGTAAAGGCGAGTAGATACATGTCAGGGAGGTAGGTGGGTGGGTAGGACGTAAACGGAATTCGATATGGAACTAAAGGCCCTTGGCCTGAGAGCAGCCGGTGAGAGCAGCGTTGGCTGGACCTTAACGACGGTGTTATAAATAGATGTCCCTCCGTCTGTTATTAGACTTCGATGGATAGATAAGGAAGCGATTTCGAAAACATAGGAGTAGGTCGTCAGTTGGTAGACGAACGTTTAGATCTTTGCTCTTATCTCGGTATCACATCTCCCCTCCAGCTTCGGACGGGTTTGATTCGCCTATCAAAAGCCTGAGGTTCTTTGTCAGGAATGTGGAATGTTATTGGTCGAAGGGGGATGATAGAGATTAGGAATCCGGATGACTGGATTTTTACCACCGATTACTCTCCCGACGGGGTAGCCTGTTGGGGCGTCTTCTCGCGTGGTGCCTATCCAGGAAGACGGCTGATCTGAAGATCTTCGGTAATGAATTACATACCGAGAGGTCACGGTTTTCCTTGTACTCTTCCTAAGCTGACTTTGAAAACATGTGCGTGTGTGCTGTGTGGGATTACGGCTTGGAAGCTTCTAACCCTCCTGGGTATTTGGGTCCTCCCGGGGCCGTTGGATGGTTCGGGTTGGACGTACGTTGAGTTGGTGTCGCAGTAGAGACCTAACACTCTGAACAAGTCAAGTTGAGGGATGAAACTTTGAGCTTCTCCCCAACTGTTTGGAATCCACAAAGCGCTTAACCTACCAAACAGTTGGCCATAAAGTACTGCCTGGACTCGGGACATGCAGGATTGCTCTATATTTATTTGTTCCACGCAATGCTTCTGCGTTTCTGATTCACATATACCCATTCCAAGCTGGCGTACGGAGGCTCCGGCTCGCTTACGGCCTCCCAACCCCAATCAGCATACAGAATTGATTCAGGATACTACATCGGGTAAAACGTAGATTCGTTCAGTCAACCCAAGTCAAGGCCTCTCTGGGGAGGGATGATGGCTGATGATTATAACACAATTCAAACTGGGAGAGAAGGCCTTTAAGCTTTAGGGCTAGAGCTTCGCCGTCTGGTAAAGTTCCCAGGAAGGAAAGGGGGAAATCGGAGAAGAGGGGCTCACTTACATGTACATGGAAAGAGGTGATGATGGCGTTATGCCATATAGACCCATTCCCGCCGAATATGGGCCAATTGAAACGGCTAGAACCGAAGGGAACACTTGGGCCATGGATGGTTGAGAATTCTGGCCAATAGTAGATGGGCATGGGGAATTCGCATTTCCGGGAGGGTTTTTCCCAAAATCGAGCAACCCGCAGATAGTGCGACTCTTTGTAAAGAGTGTCCGGTGACCGGACGGGTTGAGGAACAGCATCAGGCCGCCAACCTGGGACGAGCCGGGTGCATGTGTCACGGTATGTGCATTTGAGCTTTCAGTTTTGCCTATTCCTGGGGTAGTTGAAACTCGATTGCCGGGATGGGGGGTGTGGTCGAAAGCTGTGAAGCACCCACAGCAACGTGTCATCCCAAATGAGCACAGTCAGGGTCGCCGCCGTGTGTACGGGAGCCCAGGGAGCCCTGGCGCCTGCACGCGGCGTGATGGCAGTAGAAGCGCAGGTGGAATTGGATAATTTAATCACGGCGACAACATCAACATGCGCAAGTCATCGTAGAGACGATCTCGCTTCCGCGACAACACCGAGAGGTTACCGCGAGGTTGGGGTCCTCGTTGAACGTTTTCGGAACGTGGCCCGACTCGGCTAGGGAGTTTGAGGTCGATTCAAAACGTGCTTTCCTGTTTGCAAAATGGAAAGCAAGGGTGAGGTGAAATTCTGGAGGGTTGTGCAGGTAGGACGAGCTCTTAGATCGACAATGGGCTGGGTATTACCGAGACGCGGTCCCGTTCTGCTTTGATTTATTTTGGAAGTTTTTCAAAGTCAACCGCCGTCGCAGGAACACGATGAAACCTCATGGAAGGTGGAAATTAGTCTATCCGGTGGCCTGGAAGATGAAAAATGGCCACTGCATACATTGGCCTAGGTCCACAGAATCTCAGATGCGTTTACAACGCGTGAATCTGTTTTATTGGTGGAATAGGTCAGTGAAGAGGAGTGAGGACCAAGTTCAGGTTTTGCGTAACGTTCAGCGCCTCCAGCACGGGTATAAGACTAGTATTCTACAGTAGACTACTCAGACAATATAGATGTGGTATCCTTTTGGCGAAACCCAGGGCATACGATTTATTTGAAAATTCCGACGTTAGCCTGCGAGGACGGCGGAGTCCAAAACTCGACGGCGAGTATGCTCAGTGGTCTCGTCCAGAGCCAACGACCTCATATGACCTTCTGACTCTGCATCCTAGTCAGTTTCACAAAAACCAAAGAGGCGGGAGGCTCCTGAGGAGCATGGGGCCCGGTGGGCTATCCCGGAGATCAATCTGACGGTCGGCGTAGCGCCCGTGGTGCTTGGGGCGCTTCAGCCAATTCCTAAGGTTTTTTTAGTTGAGGAAATGCCCTCAATACTCATGTGTAAGTGTTCCAGTACAACTGGCCTAGGTTTGCGCCCGGAAAGTACGCTGATTTACATGGTTCGTGGGCGGAACCAGATCCTGTATTCTAATTCGGGCAGTGCCACATCATTTGGTTCCGATGGGTACATACACCTACCACAAACGACTGTTCGTATTGGATCACGAGCCCAAAGAATCATCGTATCAGAATGTGTATTCTCCCTTTGTTTCATCGTCCTAGCTTTGTTGACTTATTATTATCTCGAGGGCGGAGTTGTCGGCCAACCCCTAGGTGGGTGGGAGGAAATGAGAGCGCTCCACTCGCCGCACATAGATTGAATCTGGCATGACAGCTGGGCGTTCGCGCTTGGGAGTAGCACAGGTCATGCGATTCTTCATTTCCGCATCAGGATGAGATGTTACGCTAGAATAACCTCAATGGTCCGCTGGTAGACTATTATGACTCGGCCATGCCCCTGTTCGAGCACGGTGAATACCTTTATCGATCATCCAATGAATGTCCGCGATTTTTGAGTAGCGACGACTGATACCCTTGTGTCCTGTCACACTGAGGGATTGACTTTTGCAGCGTCAATTTCACGACCCGAGATTGCAACATTGATATCACCTTGTTGAGTTTACGGCGACGGTAACCCATAAATATCGATCCTTATCTTTCCCAGCCACCCGTGGAGGGGGCTACCCCACTGCCGGTCCAAAGCTTCGGGGTGGTGGATACCTACACGAGTCAGGGAGTCCAGTACCCCTCCCTGGAAATATCTCGAAGCCTCTGGAGGAGAGGCCGTTTGGGTTTGGAGATATGGTCCGGCGCCAAGCCCTGCCACAGAGCAGTGATTGGGGGCCTTTAGCACGGTGGTAGATCCATTCCACGAAAAAAAACTATGAGTGACATGAGAAGCCACGAGCGCTCCCTTCTATAAACAACTAGACCATTCGAAGTCTACAGAATGTGCTTGCACGGGACAGGTGTGTGGGTACTCTGTGTCGGATAAAGGCTCCGGGCGCCTGGAAGGATTCTTGGACTCCCTCTGGCCTCCTTGCGCAGATGGGGAGACGGTGAAGTCGGCCGATGCCGTTCCAACCTTAGATAAACGAAGGAATTCATTTTGGGGTTTACAAGGGCCACGTTGAGATTATTTCTGCACAAGGGAGGGGGGTGGAAAGGGAGGTGGACAAAAGCCATGGAAACGTAAAAGAACGGTGGGTCAAAGGGTTCGAAATGCAAGAAGTTATAACAATACCGGGACTTGGAATGTAATCCCGTAAGGAGATAGATTCTTGATTGACGATATCATTGAAATCGATGGGGCAGAAAAAGAGGGAAGGTTCCTGATATGCACGTGCTGGGTAGCGGGTGTGTGTATGCTTGTGTTGTTGATGGCTTGCCGTAAAAGGGCAACAAGTCACAATTGCTCCCAACCACCACCTCCCGCTCCACTGCGCCTTTTCCCCCGTTCTTTACTTCAGACTCCCTATATCTTCAATGGCAATCCTATACTCTCATCACCCAACTATGCCACCTAGAAAACGAATGCGACGCACAGCGACAAGCGTTATGGCCGGCGATTTCGACGTTCCCCCGCCGCGAGACGTCCTAACGAGCCTGCTGAACGGCGTGGGTCCCTACAAGGTCGTCGAAAGAGATGCAGAGGAGAAGAAGCAGAGGAGGAAGGAAAGAAAGGAGAGGAAGGAGAAGAAGAAAGCCCGTGCGTTGGAGCTCGCTGCGGCGGAGAGCAGTGCCACTATCCGAGGGTCGACGACGAACGCGACGTCTATTACTGTCCCCCCGCCAATCAACTCAAGAGCGTCGTCTTTCTGGAAGTCCAAGGCATCCAGCGTCCCCAAGGCGCGTCCAGAGATTATGATCGCATCCACCCAACGCTCCGTCTCAGTCACTCCACCGCCGATGCCATCCCCACAGCCTACACCCGATTGCACCCCAGGTCCTTCAGTCTCGTCTTCCATGTCCCACGACTCACTCAAGAGACTGCACACCCCAGACGACGATGAAGACCTCGACGGCCGCCATATACCTGCACCGGCGCCCCCTCCAAAGAAGGAACGTCGAAAACGACCAGCGGCTAGGAAAGGGTGGAAGGGCTGGGTTGAAGGGTCGCCACCGCCGTCCGAGAAACTCATCAACCTCGACGCTGTTCCCATCTTGCAGGAACGACGGACTCGCAGTGGAAAGAATTTTGACGCCATTGGCGTCGGCAAGGATGGTTGGGTCTAAGTTGGTACGTCTTGTATTTTTTTATTCAACGGTTGGATTTGACTATAACTCTGCCGGAAGCTGCAGTAGTCATCCCCCTTCCTATCCACCGCGGTTTTCCGCTATCATATCCTTTGTTTGGACGTCGAGCACGGTCAACACCAGGACGACAACCTCCGACTGCCCGACTCCCTACACTGTTCTATAGGCAAAGTGCTCCTACTTGTTGCCCTTCAAACCTAGGCAACAAAGAAGATCATTAGTGTGTGTGCGCTTCGAAATTCTCTTCTTTTTTGACCACTTCGTTTCTGTCCATTCCTTTCATCAATGCTTTGTCCTCCTTGATCTAGTCCGATTCTGGTCACGGTTATTTGCCAATGTATGTAAGATGCGTGTCTATTGAACTGCAACCTATTGGTTGCAAATCTCGACTCTACAGGAATACTATATCTACTCGGTTTTTGCAAATGGTCTCAATGCCGCTACGTGTCGGGAGGCATTATTGGCGGTGTCTCTCCAGGGATATGGATTGTACGGCATTCACATTGAACTCTGTTCTTCAAGCCATCACAATTCGCACGTCAGAATATGTGTGGTTCCATTATAACAGTCAAGCGTGTTGTTCATATATCCCATAGTTGTAATAAAGGGGACTTTGTCCCAAACTCGTTGCCCACGTCATTACAGAAAACGACCTCGAGCTTTCGATCACCCAGAGTCATGCGATCGCGTCCGTCAACGAGGTCAAAAGGCGTCGCGGATAAACTATATCGGGCCGCTGACATAATGTCGATCGCCATCAATCTTCCCGCACTGTCCGGGCGCAACACACGCAAACAATTTCGTGTCGCGCGCTCAAGCGTCGCGTCACTCTCTTCTCACTCCATATCACTATCCTCCGGCCGATTCTGAGTCTCTGGCACATCTCTGGCATCTATCCTGATATCTGGCTCTTTCTGGAACCCTTGATCAATCTCACTGACAATAAAAGCCTATCTCAGGCTAAGTTTGTCACAAACGGACTGGTTCTTTCAGCTTTAGTCAACAAAGTGTGATTCCCCATGGCACTCTCTAGGATACCCATGCCTTTGCTGCCTGCACCACCGTCTTGGTTTCCTGGGCATATGATGAAGTTCACAAAGCAGCTGCCGACATTCCTGGCTCGGACAGATGTTGTCCTCGAAATCAGGGACTCCCGCTTGCCTCTTACAAGCATCAACAGAACCCTCGAAGGTGTGTCTGATTTCTCGCGTGTTCACCGGGTCGTTATTTGCTCCATAGCAAGATGGGGCTTTTCGCTCATTTTCTGGAACCTTCGAAGCCATTCATAGTGGAATAGCCAAACACTTCCAAGGGCCCCACGCCACTCATGAGCCCCCTTTCTTACCTTTGTGCTGACCTTCTCCGGGTATCGGCCATGATATTAACTATTCCTTTGTGACCAGGTGCTTTGCGGAAGTGGAGGCTCGAACGCGGATGGGATCCAAACAATCCCGGGAAGCGATTGTTCGCAGGCCAAGCTTGCGAACACTTGGTCATTCTCAACAAACGAGACTTGGTTCCCCAGTGGGGCGTGGAGGTAAAGGACCAACCACCTATCGTCCACCCCACTGAGCTTATCGTCGCTCTAGCCCTTCAAGCGCGCGATGGCCAAGAAGTTCCCCCATCAGCAGATCCTTTTTACCTCATGGCATAGACCGAGGGGCATCCGAACCTTGAATGAAATCCTCGTAAGTAGGTCGCACCATCTTAATCTAGGCCTACTTCATGGCCGTCTCTTCGATTCTGATCAGTTCTACCCGCCACAGATATAGCAAAGCAGCATCCTCATGCACTGGAGCTAAACGTTCTCGTCATTGGAATGCCGAATGTGGGGAAGTCAACTTTGCTCAACACCCTTCGTCACATGGGTATTAAAGGAGGTCAGTTGCCTCTATCCGATCGTCTGTTTTGACCATTTTTGAAACTTGGGCCTATGTTCATCTCTAGCCACTTCGAAAGCCTTTCAGACGTCCGCGAACCCGGGAATGACGCAAGCGCTCTCTACCCGCCTGAAGCTCTCCCTGGATCCTCCAATTTATGCGTACGACTCTCCAGGGGTAATGCTTCCTTATCTTGGACGCGGTGAGGAAGGAGCCGAGCGAGGTGTTAAACTTGCCCTCATAGGTACGTAACAGCCGCCTCTATCCTTCTTAATCGGCGATCAGCTTGGTTGGAATGGTTCATGGTTTCCTCCTATCTCACCCATTCACACAGCGGGCATCAAAGAAGGACTCTACGATATGGAAGCTTTGGCTGCTTACCTCCTGTATCGTTTGAATGTACTGAATCCTATATGTAAGTGTTTCACGACACTTCACTACTGCATCCTCCCGGGATAGCCGTGGGCATTGTATTTTCAGTGGACGGGGTGCTGCCGTGTCTACAAAACGCGCCCATTTCATCGCTCTCGTCACTTCCGCTGTTTCGGGTTTAATATTTCCATTTGCGCTTCCCTATACTCAAACGGACCCGGTATGCTGACAAGAGGCCTGTCTATTTAGCGCCAGCGTACCTACACCTCCTACCCCCTGGAAGCCAACCGACCGCAGATCTCTACGAATTCCTCACCCAGCTCGGCCAGAGAATGGGTATGATCAAAAAGCGTGCCGAGGTTGATCTAGCTCGCGCAGCCGTTTACTTTGTTAGGTGGTGGCGCGAGGAAGGCGGGCTCCTTGCTGCGAAGCCGGCCTCGCAGTACTCGCCTTCCTTGGACGAGCCTTTGGTTGAAGGGTGGGGTTTCGACTTCCAGTGGGAGTGCAGGGCGGACGAGCTTGAGCGCCGTCGCCAGGAACCCGATGCCTTCTTCGAGGCTAAAATGGAGCAGTGCATCGATGACTACCTCGATATGACGAGTCGGGAGGAGCGGGAGGAGAAGAACGTCAGTCCAACTCAGGTCAAGAAACGACACATGATGGAGGAGAAGATGAAACGGCGTCTCAAACATAAACGGTAGTCCCCCGCCACTGCTCATGGCTGTTCATCAGTCCTTCGGTACTGTTTGTTGACGCCTCTGGGCACATCAACCCCCACAGTGGAGACGACACGGCAATCCGCGGGAGGCGTCCATCACGCTCAACTGTATTGACCAAGCCTACCAATCCCACTTGCTTGTTTTTTTTACCCTTATGGAAGCTCGAAAGGCGTTTATTTTGACAGACCACCCTCGCCGGAGAAACTCTTTCGATCTGATTTTCCGGTGGGCACACTCCCGATTCTTCGATACCCACTCAGGAATCATGAATCTTAATCTGGTGTGGTGCCCTCTTCCCTCCTGACGTCCTGGTCGTCAACCCATGTTCCCAAAGTGGACGATCCGAATAGCGACGTGGATCCCTCCTTCCGCCGCCCAAGTAGACTTCGCTGACCTTCCACTCCCGTGATTGCCCCATTTGGTTGCCCGTCCTCCCTTTCGGGAAACAAGCTTGAGCAACGGCCGCCGCATACTTTGCCCTCTCAAACTAAATAAAGGCTTCCCCGGGTCCTACCGTGCTTCATGGACCTCAACCCACAGGGTGGAATCCAAGACCGATTCGACGTGGCAGGAGATGGATTGGCCCCGAGTTGTTGTTGCGACATGGCCACTAGCATACTGACAGGAACGTGACAGACAGCCCACTCAGCGACGATCCTAAGTCACCCTTAGCGCCATAACTTAATGACATGGTGAGTATGGTACATTCATTTCGAGGTCGTTAGTGATATAATGATACATGTTAGATGAGTACATTTGTTTAGGGGTGCCGGACCAAAACCTGGACGTCGGCGGGTATCACGGTTCCCGTTCTACAGGCAAGATCGCGTCTTTAGTCTTGTCGCGAACGCCCTTTAAGAACTTGACCAAATCTGTCCCTCCGGTGCCTTTCAGCGCACCCGAATCCTCCTTTTTCTCCCTGCTAGTCTGGCCGAGAACGTTTCGCCGGGCAGGACCGATGATGTAAAGGGCGACAATAATCATGTGCTTGTCGCGGAATTCTTTCAAAGCTTGAACTGCAGTGTTGTAAGCCTGCAGGATCTGCTTGCCTGCCTCGCCACCGTCTCTCGCTTGGAGAGCTACGATGTTGCGAATCGGGCGAGGGTTATTGGCAAGGTGGGTGAGGAATGCCCTATGGTGGCGGGGCATGTAGGATTGCATTCTTTTAAGGAATGCGGATTTAGGCTGTTGCTGGCCCGGGGGTAACATGGTCGGTGGAGAAGAGGAAGGTTCGTCAGATTCTCCTCGAGAGTGCGAGAACTGGTCGACGCCGAGGAAAATGTCGAGAGCGTGTATGAGGGAGCTCTGGCCTGCACTGGCTCCAGACAGTTCCGTGGGTGCGGCAAGCGATGGATCGAGCTCCATGCCTTCGAACTCCCACTTGGATCCCGAAGTCGAGTCTTCGCCTCTAAACCACGGTCGAATGTCGTTGTAGAAGACCTGTGGTGAGCATCCCTCCTTCACCTTCATGAGCATGACGCTGAGGTCGTTGATCACCACTGATAGTTCGCGCAGGTATTCTGTGATTCGATGAACAGCGATATCATCACCAACGAACGCTTCGTCCATCATGTGCTGCATCAGATCTAGTGCCTCGACACCCTTCAACTCCATCCGCGCAGAAGTGAGGAAGAATTCAGCCTCGTCTCGGGTGCCGGTGAAGAGGACTTGAGTGTCGATGTTGGAAATGGTTGGCATGATGGCGTTGCCATCGTCGTCGGTTTCTTTCCCATCTATGAACTTCCAGTTGTAAAGAACGTCGTCAGAGTAGGTGAGGATAGGAGGGAGTTGCAGGTGCGCAGAGACTTGTAGCAGGGGGACCGTGATGGGTGGGGGTATTCGAATAGGGGATGATGGTGGCAGAGAGTGAATGTAGAAGTGCATGATCCAGGCCAGAACGAGATGCGCTCGTCGAAGGACAGATTCTGACTGGGTCAGATCAGAAGTTGAGAGTATAGGCAACTAGACTCGGGTCAATACATCGCCCATTTCTCATTGTTGATATCACTCACCTCTCTGACTGTTGCCCTCCAGCGTTCAGATGTGTTTTTCTCGAACTCGGTCAACCCTGCCTTGCAGCCCAACTGCAACCGCGATGCCAATGCAGAATCTAGGACTTGCTCCCAGGGCTCCCAATCGGCAGGAAGGCGTCTCAATGGTTGTTGTGGGGGCATGAAGCCCGTCCGGGTATCGACATCGAAATCGTGTGCCGCAAGGGTGGTGGTATCGACGACGCCTGCTGGAGGGCCATTTACGACGTCTGGTCGAGGAAGGAGCAAGAAATGGTTGCTATCTAAAGCATCCATGAGGTTTCTCAATCGTATCGTATGTGACTAGTTCAAGTAATGGAATGGTGGTGGATGGAGAGAAAGATAAATCTCCATTTTGTTCTAACGCCATGGTTTCTAATCGCCTCTCTCGTTTCGGGAATGCATCTTTTTTTCGGCAAATCAACGCCGAGTTCCGTGACGGACCGTTCCGGCAACATTGGTTCCGGCCCCTTGTCGGAGTCTTTTGTGGTGCCCCACATAGGCGCCGAAGGTCGGGCTGTGTCCTCAGCTCCAACCTTCAATACAATGCGAATCGACGCTTTCTCTCCTTTGCCATTCAGCGTGTATATTCAGATTAGCCGGAAGTCTTTAAAGGCTCCAGGGGGATGCCTCGTTCTTCATATCTCACTCTTTACCACTGCCTTCAGGTCTGGTGCCTTGGAGGATCCTTCCGGTGGTGCTTCAGCCCACCATTCATAAATAACCGAGCCAGCATTATCCCGCAGCACTGGGCAACACCACGGCAAGCCTTACACATCCTAACATTAACTCAAAGGGCGCCATCGAGTGGTTGTAACAGAACCCTCCGACTCGGCCAGGACTCATCGAGTCGGAGCTCGAATTTCCCTCCTTCGTTTCCTCCACATGAAGGCTGTTATCGCCTATCCTTGAAGGTGTATAAAGAGGGTGTATAGAGGGGAAGCTACTGGCTTCAAAATCTATGGCCTACATGATACATATCGGTCCGGAGTGCACTGGGGTTGTGGTTAAAGGTACCTGGCGCGTGGATGGTACGAGTGGCAGGTGGGTTGGTAGTAAGCCGCAAGTAGTTTCGCTCCCTCTCGCTCATTGGGTTGGCGAATGTGACTTGCTGAAGTGGCGTTATTGATGTTGGCGACTACATATGGGAGGTGGAGGGAAGACTTGAGCTGTGCTCAACGATATTTCGCAGGCTTTTCCGAGAAACAGACTGCACAGTGTGCGAAGAGATTGAATCAGAGCGGGATTAGTAGGCAGGGTATAGAATCGATTGAATGAAACCTAAGAAGTGATCACACTGACAGAATACACTATGAAGGAATAGAATGGGCTTTACTCGGCAAAGGGGAAGTAGAATGACCTCCGTAAACCTACGTTTGGCATGACATGCGAAGATGACAATCCACATCACTTCCGAAAGGGTACGGCTTCGTCATTGGACTGTCAGATGGTTATCTTTGAATAGGATGCTTACTGGTCTTGGCCTCGAAGAAGAACTGAAAACTTCTTGTAAATATCGGATTCGGAACACTCGGAATAGAGGTCGTATGTAGCGCAGGACCCAGGAGCTGTAAAACAGACAAACCGTATGTAAGATGATTGGAAGTTCTGTTTTCCAACGGATGGGATGACCTTGTTAGAAGCCCTGTGTCTGAGTACGAAAGAAATCAGGGGACAACTGAAATTCACGGAGAAACGACCTACAGAGTGTAAAGTGCATGAGGCGCTAGATGAGGCGTACGCTGCTGTGGCCAGCATCAATCAGGAGAAATAGGAAACAAGAAGGGACTTTTAAAGACGGTCGCGCGCTTGGGATACAGATAAAAGACGAGCGCTAACGAAAGGATGATGTCTACCGAGGCGGCGCAGGCGATGATAGACATGATAATGGTCCAAACTGCGCTCGAAAAGTCGCGTTATCGTGTACCTTGAAGTAGAAGGCTCCGGCGATGAAGGACCCGATGTATCGCACCAGAGTCATGAATGTGCAAATTGGTGCTATCATTTTCCATGGCTTTGAGAGCATGCCCCAGACACGACCTGCGTGGCAGCTCTGAGAACTTGTCAGCATGGATCGGTTGGGAGGTGTAGGATACCACATACATGAGCAACGAGCATCACACTTTGTGAGGTGAAGACGGCGACGATCAGGAATGGGAGTTTTTCGTCTCCGCGGTAAGAGTCCATGTTTGGGGATGGTTATGCGGTAGAGTTCTGCGGCTGCGCAAAATGTGCTGCCTACCTCGAACATCCTTGATAAACGGAGTCAAATCAGTTGTCTGACAGCCTGGAATTTACTCGTTACCATACTGTCGCTACCTGGATCAAGAAGGAGTCAGCACAACGTTTCGTGGCCGAAGTTATGCTACTACGTACCAGCAGCTTCAAGTGAAGTCTGTCGTCCTTGAACCTCTGGTAGTAGGTCCATACTTGAACGGTTATCATACCAAACAGGAGGATGGCCGCCAGCGTTCCTATCTCAATCGGACCAAGTGTTTGTTCAAGCCGTACTCTGGGACTCTGAGTCCATTGCGGCAGCCAGTGGACGCAATGGGTGCATGCCGGGGTGTCAGTCCTTGCTGAAGGGAGGCAACGAAAGGGAGGTGATGGCTCCTTGACATGCCATAGATATAGCGCTTTATAGTCATGATCGAGAGGCCGAGCAGAGTGTACCCTGGGGATGGCTGGATCTTTGACAATGGATGGGGGGAATATATTTCTGTTTTCTGAGCATAGCGTCAATTTAGCGAAAGGTATTTCGTCTGAATCCAATGAAACAGAAATGTCGTCAGATGCTCCAAGCTTCAAGTACAAGGTAGCTGACCTGGTTTTCGGCGGTAGCGTTGACTACCAGTGTATAGGAGAACGGCCCAGCTGAGGGCACATTGGTATTTAACGCGGTTGGATCTGTAGTCACCCATTGAGAAATATGAGGGAGTCGAATTCGCGTATGGCGAGGGCCACATTCGATCACGGAAAGCAGTAACACAGCCATAACCATGATTGTGGTCCTGCCCGACAGATTGTAGTAACAGGTTAATCATTATCTGAAAGTTGATGGTTTGGACGACCAACCTTCTGGAAAATTCGAGGTTTCTAGAGCATACTTTTGTCAACTCACTGATATAGTTCACGCAACGTCGAGGCGGGCAGTGTTGACCATCGGAAATGGGTGCTAATTCATCGTTGCCTCGGACCGTGAAGCGCGGACAGAGGCCCCGAGACCTGCTTCGCCACCCATACAATATTGTCGAGGTTCAGGTGTACGCCGCCTCAAGATTCAGAGCTGGCATTGGACTAACTCTTTGGAAGCATCTTGAATCCTCACGCTCTCATCCATCCCACCCTTCGGACAAACCCTTCCCTGGAACTATGTCGAAGCATGCTTCAACTGACAACCCAGGTCAGTAGCATCACAGAGAGCATCGTTACGACGAACCTCAAATATGCCATACAAATGGAAAGCGAAATATTATACACGGGGATATTTAAATAACAGAAACGGAAAGAAAAGGAAAGCGAGTCCATCAAAGATCGAAGTCGGCGTAGTTCTGGCTGGTCCAGGAAGGGCCGGTACCGCCATAGGGATCGTCGCCCGCTTGGGCACCCTCGCCACTAGTGCTATCCTTGTAGCTGAATTCACGCTTGAACTTTTGCGCGACGGTGTTGATGGTAGCGATAAGCTTTGTACAAGCTGCTTCAACTGCTGCCTGGGGTGTGATAGACCCATCTGTCTGGACCTTCACGATGAAGTAGGGGTGGAGAGGGTGAGGAACCTTGTATCCAGCGAAGAGGACCTCGGGCATGGCGAGGAGTTGACTAAGAGACGGCCGTGGTAAGATGAAATGGGTACGAAGATGGTGGAGGGTTACATACGACCGAAGCATGTTGCCCAAAGTGTGGTCTTGCTTCACAACCTTGATCGTAGCGGCATTAGGGATCTTACTGTCTTCTATGACCTCAACACTGGGTGGGCCGGGATACCAATCATCAACATTTGGACTGCAGGCTTAACGCGAGACGCAGACGCACGGCTTCTCGCCATCCTCGAGCACAAAGAGTTCATATCGGGCAGGAGCGTTCATAGTATTATACAGGAAACTACAGAAGTTGAGAGTCAGCAATAGGTTCGAAGCAACGAGGCTAGAGAAAAGTCATAAAGCCATGCATATTTTTCAAACGATCGTCTCCGTGTCGTGCACTCGGACGCAAAAGAGTTTGAAGGTTCTAATCATCCCAAGATCGGAAAGTCTGCTCACCTTTAAAACTAACTATTAGTCGTGACCCTAGAAGGAGAAAAAGCGTCAGTTTTGCTGCGACTGGGAAACCGGGGAAAAGAGGCTCAGAACACGTATTGTTTTCATAGAACCCACAGGCTCTCAGCGACAATAAATAAAAAAGCCATCAGAGCCGACAAAACGCAGCGAGACTCACCGTTATGACATGGATGTGCGGGTCCAAGTCGCAGTCGCGCCGAAAATTGTTCCCCTTGTTCAAGCGAGACGATTCATTCTCCGCCATCGCCAAGTCGCATCACTTCCCACGCCAAGCTACAGGCGAGCAATCAACAGAAATCGACTGCTCGTCGTCGTCGACTGCCAACCGCCAACAACCTCAAGAAGGTGAGTATTTTTGTTTGCATGCACGCCGGGGGCGAGAGGGACGCTGGGACTATGCCCGAGTGCTTTGGTGCTCGAAAATGCGTGGAATTTCAGCTGGATGGCATCCCCGGCGACGAGATGAAGTTTTGTTGATCGCTCGATTTCGCTGCAGACACCATGCCCACCCGGTTCTCCAAGACTCGCAAGCATCGCGGCCACGTTTCCGCCGGTCATGGTCGTATTGGAAAGCACCGCAAGCACCCAGGTGGTCGCGGTCTCGCTGGTGGTCAGCACCACCACCGGTGCGTTGATCTCGAAATTGCAATGTCGAAACGCCCAACTTAGAATCGATTTTCAGAACCAACTTTGACAAGTTCCATCCTGGTTACTTCGGAAAAGTTGGTATGCGATACTTCCACCTGACTCGCAACCAGTACTGGCGTCCAATCATCAACGTCGACAAGCTGTGGAGTTTGGTGCCGGAGGAGGAGAAGAAGGGCTTGACTGCCGACTCAGACGTCGTCCCTGTGATCGACACCCTGCGATTCGGCTACGGCAAGGTTTTGGGCAACGGAAAGTGAGTGAGGTTGGAAATTCGGCAAAGTCTCGATCTCTGATAAGACATTTTTTAGGCTGCCAAAACTCCCATTCATCGTCAAGGCACGATTTGTTTCACAAAAGGCAGAGTGCGTACCCTGCTTTGGATTCGCCAGCTTCCAGGATCTAAACGTTTTGCAGGGCCAAGATCAAGGAGGCTGGTGGTGTCGTCCAACTTATTGCATGATCGTCTCTCTGTTATTTCGCATGTTTTCCGTACGCATTATGAACCACTATGAGCCTATGCCCCACCGCCTCCATTCTCTAAGACCGATGCTGACCTCCGAATTGTGAGATATCTCATAATGATCGTTCATGGCACTGCACAAGTCCCGGTCAAGGACCATGTCATCGGAGATTGATGGATCTCGGGGAAGCGAGGGTCAGTGGACAGCATCCTCATTTCACCACCTTGTCGCTGTCACTCCCGAGAACCGAATAGTCCGACAGGCTCCATGTTACAAAGGAAAAGGCAATCAGCCCACCTCAACCCTTTTCAGTTTTTCTTCCTCACCCACTCACGGCTACCATGACCACCCAGAGGCAGGCCAACGAGGACGCTTACTCCCGCGCGTCCAGTCCTGAACAGACCATCGCTGGCGACGACGAAGACCTACATGGCGAGCATGTCGAATTTGACGAGCCGCGGAAAGTAACGCCGCTGCCGAAACTGCAGCTGTTCATCGCCATCTTCATTCAGGTCGCAGAGCCGGTGACCTGCACCGTCATTTACCCTATAGTCAACGACCTGATTAGGTCGCTCGGTATAACGCACGGTGATGAAACCAAGACTGGCTACTACGTGGGCATCGTGGTGAGTGTGCTAACTTGTGTGTTGATGTTTTCTGTGGACCGTGACCGATATCTCTACTTCAGGAATCTATATTCTACGCAGCAGAGTGCCTCACGGTGATGCACTGGGGACGTGCATCCGACATCGTCGGTCGCAAACCAATACTATTGGGTGGAATGGCGGGCCTGGCCTTATCGATGTTCGGCTTTGGTCTTTCAAAACGATACTGGCTACTACTCCTCAGCCGGGCACTACAGGGCGCCTTCAATGGCAACGTTGGTGTCACCAAGAGCGTCATGGCGGAGATCACAGACGCAACTAACGCTCCCCAGGCTTTTGCCTTTCTCCCTGTAGCTTGGTCTGTCGGATCTACTTTAGGGTACGTGCTGCTCAAATTTTCTGATTGGAAGCCAAAATGCAGATCTAATCTCGCACTCCGTTTCTAGACCTGCAATAGGAGGGGCTTTCTCCAACCCGGCCGAGAGGTGGCCAAAGCTTCTTGGACATATTGAGTTCCTACGCGCATTTCCGTTCTTTTTGCCGTGTTTCGTTGCGGCGTTGGTGCCAGTTTTGGCCTTCCTTTTGGCTTCCGTTGCAATGAAGGAGGTGCGAAAGGTTTCTTCATTTGCCCTCGCGGAGTTGGCAAGGCTGATATCCCTTGTTAGACAGCACCCAGTGTGCTTCGCAGACGGAAGCAGCGAGAACTCCTCGCTGATCGTACATCGGCGTCGATCAACGAAGAGCGTCGGGCATGCTCAACCTATGGTGCGGTGGACTCGGATGACGTTCTCGTCCGACAACCCGACAGACCACGCTCGGTCGATTCCATGACCGAAACCTCGGAAACCGATGCTCTGCTCTCCAAGACTACTGCTCCATCCTTCCGATCCGTCTTCATCCCCCAGGTCCTTATCCCAATCACCAACTTTGCATTCCTCGCCTTTCTTGACCAATGCGTTTTGGTGCTCATCCCACTCATTTACTCCACCCCACTCTCATTAGGTGGGCTCAGCATGGCACCATCTAAAATCGGTGGCATTCTCGGTGTGTGGGGTGTCCTGAATGGGCTCTTCCAGGTCCTGTGCTTTGCATGGGTCAGGAGGAAGCTGGGACATCGGACAACGTATATGGTTGGTATTGCGGGTATGGGTGTGGTGTTTGCCATGTTCCCTATTTTGTCGGCGTTGGCGGGGCTCGAAGGCGGCCAAGTCGGGCCCGCCGTGTACCTGGGCATCGCGTTCCAATTGGGATGTTATTCATTCTCGTACATGTCTTACGGTACGTCCTTCCTGCATTATCTTTTCGTCAAAGCTCTCCTGTGGGACCCGCTCCGTTCTTCGCGTTCTCGGCGAAACATCCCGTCATCTCGTGTGTTCCATCCCGGATGTCCACTGGGACATCACTGCTTTCACTGTGGCACTTTGTTTGCTTTTCTTGCCATTCCCACCGAACCGAACTTGAACATAAAGCTGACTGAAATGGGGTGTTTCGTATGACAGCTTGTATGTTCTTGTACATTGGCGCTGCTGCTCCGTCACGGGAGACGCTGGGTACGACCAATGGGCTGGCACAGCTTACTGCATCGGGTGTGAGAGCTTTGGCGCCGACCACAGCCTCTTCACTTTTCTCCATTTCGCTGTCTTTGGCGTCGAGGGGTGGACGCCTGGGATATCTAGGAGGTTTGATGGTATATGTTGTGCTGAACATTATCACCGTCGCGTCTCTGACTTGGAGTAAGCGGTTGGATCGCGAACTCCGGCAGAGGAGAGATTGAGGTATTCTATCTGAATTCCCGTTGACAAAATCGTTTGTGGGTTTCGATGTGTGTAAGTTGTGTACGATCTCTTATATCACTTAGCTTTAGTCGTTCAGTACCAACCGACGCTGTTCACCGAGGGATTCAGTGGAGATTAAGGGTTATTGGACTTTGTGGGCAGGTGACATCGATTGTGTGGACGCGGCGCTGTCATGAGGTCTGGCAGATGGGACGTGTATGAAGCTTGAACAGCCTGGCACCTTTCTTCTTTGGGCCGTCGTGTCAGGCCGCAATTTAGGATGGTTACGAGGATGGCCTTTCAGTCCGAGCTGTGACTGCAATCAAATTCCAGTGATTGAAGGCGAAAACTTTGATCCACTCTCCGTTGTGGCGCGGACATCTCTTCTTGAAGCGCATCGTTGTGTTCGTTCCTCTATTATTTCCTTTGTGGAGGACTCGGAGAGAGTAACCCAGTGAGGCGAAGTAGATCGGTTTGGCGATGAGATAATTCAACTGATCAACCAAGTCTATCCGCTGCGTACCATCTTGTAGCTGTTGGTTCAATGTGATATACCCGATGCGGAGCCAGTCAGAACTCCTAGCTATCTCGTGTAGATTACTCACCAAAGGCCCTGCACTGTGGATGGGCGAGTCAAGCGATTATGGTGGGAGGTAGGAAAAGGTTACACATCGACGACAGATGAGTACAATCTGATTTCCAACGCTACTTTACATACATGAGGGCTTCGAATGTCAGGCCAAACTTCTTATTAATGCAGTGTGACGGCGGTATTCCTAGAACTTCAAGGAGCTCGCATGGCGCGAATGTTGGGGTGCAAAGCACCAAGTAAGATACGCTCAAGCCTCTCAGCGGTGATCGAGCCAGGCCCATTGTATGGGACGGTGTCGACGATGTTCTGCATTGCGACAGTCTGTCAGCAAGTATTCTCAGATACACAAACAATAAGGGTGAGATTCGTACCCCCGTATCGAGTTGAGTCAACTTGGTCAACGCCTCCTTGGCCTTCTCGTCACCGCCGATTTGGACGAATTGGATACCCAGAGAGTTGGGGTGGTGGGGTGGCTTGGTTCGAAGTTTGTTCGCGACTTCAACGAGCATCTTGCCGACTTCGTGGGCGGCGTCGTCGGCTGGAAAGGGTAGCGTCAGTCAAGTTGTCATCAAAGGGGTGGGGAAGGAGGGTAAAGCGGGAGAGAAGAGGGTTGGGCAACTGACTGGGTTCTCCATCAGTAATGCAGATCAAGTCGAGAGGCTTGATTTGGCTATACGCCTCGGTTCCTTTGGCCTGCTCGAGTTTGCCGACGTGGATGTCGAGAAGTTCCCTGACCCTTCGGCCAGTGGGGGTACCACCTAGAAAACAGGAGTCAGTCTGCAATCGAGGGAGATAACCAGAAGGAGCGCAAATGTACCATCAGGTTGGACTTTGCCGATGGCTTGAGCAACCTTGTCCTTGTCTTCAACACCATTGACGAGTTCATCTCTGAACTTGAAGATGGTGTTGGAATTGAGGAAGCGGAGGTCGATACCGTCCGAGTCCCAACCGTTCTCGATTATGTAGTTGGAGAGGTTGTTGAGTGCTTGGGTAGCCTCGCGCCAGCGGTCCCCTTTCATCTGTTGGAAGGTTTGTCATTGGAACTCGAGCACAGGAAGGACAAGAGGCTTACAGAACCAGAGTCGTCGATGAGGAAGATGACGTCGTATTCCCTTGTTATGTGCGTATTAGCTGCAGAAAAAAAAAGGCGAATCAATTGAAGGGCTTACTTGAGGTAGTTGGGGAGCTTGGATGGACGAGGTCGGTCCAAGACTGGGTTGTAGGGCTTGACGACGTCCGGAGGGGGAGGTGGTGGGATAGGGTTGGTGTTAGTCTTCACCAAGTGTACTGTAACGACGCTGGTAATTGTCATCAGTTTAATGGCCAGTCTAGATCCCGACCAGGCAAGCTTACGAGTCGTCAAACTGGCCACTGCCAGCGACTTGGTCGGCATCGGAGGTATCTTCGACAAAGATCTGGTGGACAAGTCAGAGGAATAATACATTTGGTCATAGCCTGGGGCAACACATACGAAGTAAGTAACATAGTCGGGAATGTCCTCGGAGGCGCCTTCTGGTTTCCTGGACTAGAGGAAGGCCGCGTTAATATTTCGATGCCGATCTCCTCGCATTCTAATCCAGCTTTACCTCGTGGACATCCACCTTGCTCGAGGCGTACTTGGGGTCTCTGATGTCTTTCGCGCCCAGCTTGCCATCGACAGTGGCGAAGAAGGCCGAGATGGTGAGCTCTACCACCGAATCACGGGGAGCGACCGGGAAGGTGGTAGCACCACTGACAGCATTGGGCATGGGCCCACTGGTGCCAGAGTCACTCTTGAAAGTGCCAGAATTGTTACGGATGTTCGTTTGAAGGTAGATGGCTTGGTGGTACTGCTTTCGAGAGATCTGAAATGGATGTTAGATGAAATAAACGCATGTGAGTCGAAGACAATATGCTCACAGCAGAGACGCTGATGAACCACTCGGGTGGAATGGTGAGCTTAACAGAGGCGCCGGGGCCTTTGGTGTAGGAGGGACGAGCGACCATGTTGAGGCAAGTTGGGGGAACTTCACTGATTTCCTCAGAGGATATATACTATACTTTGTCCCTTGTTGGGTTTCAGACAGGTAGCTGCAAACAGCAGATGGACTTGGTGGGATTTTCGAGCGCCAGCTGGTCCCTAGCTCGATTGGGGTGCAAAAATGTCAGATGACTGGTCGGCGGTGAATAGGGTCCTTCATTGTACTGTGGTGAATGGAGTTTATCATGGCGACATTCAGGAGCAATGAGGTTCATGGACAGGTGGGTGACGTATCGATATCATGTTCCATACCATTCTTGCGTTCATTGGCGAAAGCGGAGGGTTCGTCTCTTCTTTGAATAGAAGCGAGATAACCCTGTGAAATTCCGATATAGCTTTCACAAAGAAAGTACTAGTGCGGTGAAAGATGTCCAACCTTCTGGTTCCCGAGCAATGGGGATTCCGATGTGATTGTAAAAGACCGTATCGGACGCGATTTCCCCCCTATCGTTGGAGTTAGAGAAATTTTTTCTGAGCATTGCTTGTCTCCAAAACAATACGAGCTTCATTGGGAGACGAAGAAGACGCTAAGTAGGCTCTGACCATGGTGGCGGTCGAACAGAGAGACGCGTTCCGAAGATCGACACTCCGCAAGCGCGTCGACAGTGTTTGGCCTTATTTACCACCGGCGTCTGAAACCTCCGGTGATTCTCGAGTCCAAGCTTTGCCTTTTGACTTCGACCACCTTGGCTACGACTCTATGTAGATCGGTACCAACCTCATTCCACACGTCGAGAAGTCGAACCTGATGTACCGGAAGTCGCGAAGTGGCATTCGAGCAGATGTGACCGAATACGGAGCGACCTAATGGCAGGACCAAAACCAAATGAACAGGCAGAATGTAGTTATCGACTCCTGAATGGAAGGTTGGACATACTGATTTTTACCACCCAGATTCACTCATTGGAAAAATCCTGGATTGCCTTCAGGATAGACGAAATGTAAATCCTTGGAACCTCAGGATGGCCGGTTGCAGATTCGTTGATAGTTAACGACCCAAGTTCTTGCTTTCCAAAGCCCCCAAGGCTCCCCACTCTGCCAAAGCTTGTGGACCAAAGAGACGATGACGAGACCGACGCTTACGAACATCAATGGTGCCTCCTTCACGGTGGTCGTTCCACCAGGATGGTTCACTACTGTCAGCGCGGTGCGTGGAAAGTGCTCTCGATTCTCGTAGATTGACATTAACATTCCGCTATAGATTAGCAGGCGCACTTACAATCAGCTTGTTACCTGTGCTTACAAGGTCGAAGGAGACACCAGGGCCGAGTACCTTGCTAACCAATGGGGCAACCCCAACCAGGCAATGCGCGATACCACGTCCTCTATGGATTCTATCGCTATCATTCCTCAGGATGAGACAGTGACCATGGACTTCAGCGTCTACCACCACACCAGGTCTAATGTCTCTGGCGAGGACTTGGAAAGCCCGAAGTATAGAAGCAACAGGATCAACGTCCTTACTGTAAGCGCTGGGTTACTCTTCTTCGTCCCTGACCATCTCATCACAATCCATAGTCTGAGAAACCGGCCAACGCTCCCCAAGGTTTCCCTGACTATGTCACATTTGCAGTACGTTAACACGCTATCCCGACTCCTCCGAGTTACTAACCACTGCTCAGGTGATGGTTGAGGATGGCTCGGTCGCTCTTCCTCCCAGTAGTCCCGAATATGACGACGTGTAAGTCACCTCTCTCGAAGTTGCATATCGTCACTCACTGTACGGTAGTGTCATCGCTATCAACGTCATGGAAGGCGGAGCCAACCCTGGCGGGGATCCCAAGCCAAAGCCGTCTCCCTACAACCTCCCCAACATTCAAGGCGATATTCTGTAGGTATTTGGACCTAACCTAGAATCGTCTTTTTCTTACTCTCCTATCAGACCTGCAATGCCAAAGGCGTTGGAACACTTCTACTACTTCCGCATTACCAACCTACCCGTTTTCAGGAAGGTCATGAAGGACTTCGTCATCCCCAAGATCACCACTGCGGATAAACTGGTGAACGACCCACCCCCACCTATCAATCCCAGGGACCCCAATAGCTTCAAATACCCGTGGCTGGGTGTCAATGTCGGCTTCACTCATCTCGCCATGAGGATGTTCGGCTTGAGCGACAACCTCGGCGATATCGCCTACGAGAAAGGTCAACAACAAGACTCGAAGGAACTCGGCGATGCAGGTACCCAGCGCGGCAACTTCTGGACTCCCAGCTGGGATGGTGCCTTCAAGGAAGATATCCACGGCATCTTCCTTATCGTTGCTTACAACAACGACGTAGCCCAGAAATTCATCGACGAGCTGGAGGCTGCGTTCAAGTACACGCCTTCGAGATCTGCCATCCACAAGGTGGTCAAGATCCACGGGTTCCCTCGTCCAGAGCCGGAGGATCGAAACGATCACTTTGGTTATCGAGGCGGGATGTCCAACCCCCAGGTCGCTGGCGTTACGTTCAAGGACAAAATGAGGTATCCTGGCTCCCCTCTCATTCCCATGGGTGTCATCGTCATGGGATACGACGGTGACGAGGACAAGGACAAGCGACCCGCCTGGGCCAAGGACGGCGCCTTCATGGTCACCCGCAAGTTAAACAACCTCGTCCCCGAATTTGACGACTTCCTATTGCAACATGGGCCCAGGATCTTCCCCGAGCTTAAGCCTCAAGAGGCTGCGGATAAGCTCGGTGCTCGCCTCTTTGGCCGGTGGAAGAATGGTGAGTACGACAGCCCCGGGATTGAGAACGATGATGTCTGACGGGTGTCCTTCGCAGGCACGCCGACTGAGCTTTCCCCTGACCACAATGACCCTGACATCGCCAAGGATGATAACAGGATTAATAACTTTACCTTTGATCAATCCAAAGGTCAATCTCGGTGCCCATTCGCCTCTCATATGCGCAAGTCCAACCCGCGTAACGACGTGTCTCCTGTGGAATCTGCGTTCAAGCACTTGTAAGTCTTTGTCTGGCCTTTCTAATCGTCAGGAAAGCGAAGCTAATCACGCTCTTTAGCGTTCGCCGTCATAACATGCCATACGGCCCTGAAATCACCGATGAAGAAAAGGACGGGAACGGCACCATTTACGAGCGCGGTCTTCATGTCGTCTGCTACCAAAGCAGCATTGTCCGAGGCTTCAAGTTCATTCAAGAGGGTACGTTGCTTTCATTCTCCGTTCGACTCGGCCAAGTGCCTAACCGCCCTTGACAGGCTGGTACAACGACCCCAACTTCCCGCCCAACAAACCCGTCACCCCAGGTCTCGATCCCATCTTTGGCCAAACTGGCAAGGAAGAAGAGGGCGACCATCGTTCCATGAGCGGTGCAAACCCGACTCTGGAGCAGGAAATTATGACTTTCCCTCACAAGTTCATTGATCCTCGTGGGGGAGAGTATTTCTTCTCGCCTTCGATTTCGACTTTGAAGACGTATATCGCTGCTTGAGCCTGAAGCTTTGTAGAGTACCGGAGAATGTGTTTTGAGAAGATGTACCACTGTGTATTATATGTTTTTGAACGAATGAAACGGACATGTGAATCCTCGAACTCGAGCTTATATTCAGCGAGGCTTTGGGACAGTAAGGATGGACTTCACCAAGGTCAAGCCCAATGTCGACAAGAAGTTAGGAGGTAAAGAAGGATTCACGAGGCTGTATACTCGAAAAACTTGTTCCACGGCAAGGGCACTGTCCATCGCGCCAAATTCAGTTGAGAAGGGAGGTAAGCCAGGGGACTTTTGAGCGATCTAAACTTCAAGTTAAAGCCCCATAGTACATCTGTGGTCACTCGTACATATGCATTGCAAAGCCAAAATTCAGATTTGTAAAAATGTGCATTTATCTCAATTTCGTACAACGCAATCATTATGGTACAGAAAGATAGTAGACGTTCGTTCAATGACACCCCTGCACCCCTAAAGCTTCTCAACGCAGTAGACCATCGCAACACTGCAACGTTAAGTCAGATGAGAGCCTAGGGAAGCTGAGAGGAAACTTACGCATCGTCGTATTGGCCAGTATTGGTTTCCTGGGAGGGAGTATCCTCAACGAAGATCTGGTCATCGTCAACAACATCTTCCATCGATGGCCTCCACGAGAGACTTACGATGAAAGTGACATTGTCAGGGCCCTTGAACGAACCGGGGGGCTTAGCAGTCTTGAGCACATGGATCTTGCTGCTCAGCTCATTGTTGTCGACAACCTTCTCCGCGTTCCTCGTCTCTTTGGTGGAGTGGAAAAAGGTCAGGTCGAGTGTATAAGGATCATCCTGGTCTTTGAAGGGCAGGGAATTGTTCTGGTCGAGCGTGACCTTCATGTGGTCGTTCTTCTCGCCAGGACGGCTACCGAAGATACGAGCGTCATCGTCGATGATGTCGTAGTGGACCTCGAGGGCCTGCATGTAGTCCTTGCGGGAAATCTGGAGAGGGACGTCAGTAGTGTCGCCGATGAGAAACGCGAGGCTGCGCTCTTACAGCTGTGACGATAACGTTCCATCCTTGAGGGACGTTAACGGAGAAGCTGGCTCCTCGGGGTGGGGTATGAGTAGGGCGAGTCATGGTGAGTGTTCAGAAGTGGGGGGTTTGGATGCAAGTCAGATAATCTGCAGAGGCAAAGCTCTGAAGCACCCAAGTACAACCACGCCCAATTCATAACTCCCTCCAAACGCTGAGATTCCTTCTGAAACCCGGGTTGCTGTTGAGGTGAGAAATCCTGGGGAATCCTTCCTGGTCATGCGCACCGCACAGAAGCGAGATGGAGGTAAACTGTCACTTGAAAGATGTCCTCGAATTACGAGTCGGAAGAGAACAATGGCTCAGGTGGTGTCCCCCGCCGTGGCGTCGGGACCTGGTCAGAACGAGGGTCGTTGTCGTTCGGAGATGGAGATGTATTTAGAAACCGGAGTTGGTTCATCTCCGGAGCCTTCAGCGTCGTATGTCTCGTTGGCTTCAGATGGAGACACTGGAAAGAAGACTTGTAGAAGGTTGACAGCGACTGGTGACCACCAACAGGGGACTCGAAGCAAGGCACTATCAATATGGGTGGAAAGCCACGCCGCCCTATCGACATAGATACTTCCTAATAGGTCATAAAACATGGACTCCTGATGGCCAAGGTATTGGGCTTCATTAAAAGAAGATTTGTTTTAATTCTCTAGAGTGGGTGGTTCAGGACTTAGTGTTGAGTGCAAACTTCAGTCTGTGAGGTGTATACACTGACCTGGAATTTGGAAAGGAAATCTGACAGAAGTTGTAACCGGACTTCTGGTCGATGGTCGCAACAGCCCGGGAGTGTTTGTCTCCCATCAGATCGACGCCTTACCGTCACTATGCGGTACGCCACAAACAAGGCTGACTTCCAATCTTTCTTTCTTCCGTCCATCACCATCGGCAGCATCCAAGGGTCGTGTCCAGCAGGCGCTCATTCCAATGCTTCTCAGAATCGTTCGCCACACGAATACGACGTTGTTCGGTCGCAAGCTAATCACTTGACATCCGTTTACGACCAGTTCGTCATGGATTGGCGAAACTTGAATCGTTCAATTTGGAACACGGGAACCACAGTTCGATTCGAGGTGTCACCAATGTCAAGTACCCACCTGATAGCATGGTCATCTGGTCTTCATTTGCTGTTATCTTCGATCTAGCAGGGTTGGTGGCCTAAAGCGTCCCAACGGCGTTGTTTCTTCGTGTCGAGGAACAATAGGGCACTTCCACATTACGAGCGCCATGTCACGGGAACTTTGGATTCGGATCTGCCCTCATGCCCACCAGAGACTCTAGGATAGCTCGGATGTACCGCCACGAGTCAGAGGGAATATTCAGTATAAGGACTACCCTACCCCGCCTCTAGGTCCTTCAACGGGATACCACTATGTCGCGCCCCAAGATCCTTTCTGCCACTGGCACCTCTGTCAAAATCGAGCTCCCTACTGGGTGGTTTGTCAACATCAGTGCTGTAAGTCTGCACTCTGCACGCCGTGGCTTTGAAGATCTTGCGGAGCCTCATTCATCCTCTTCCAGATAAGCCGAAGGCCTTACAACCAACTCGTCACCATTGACTTCGATGTCGAGGGCGACGAGAAGAGCCACTACCTCATTAACAAATGGGGTCAGGCCAACGTTAACCAGGCTATGCGAGACCTCGACTCCAGTGAGGATGTTGTGACCATCATCCCGCAGAGAGAGAAGGTCGTTATCGATATCAACACCTACTTCTCGACGACATCCAATGTCCGAGAAGAGGCATTGAAGAACGACAAGTATCGCAGCTCTCGAGCGAATATCCTTGGAGTATAAACAACCTCCTGCTCTTCGCCACAACCGTCTAACGAGTCTTCCAGACCACTAAGCCATCTAATGCACCCCCAGGCTTCCCTGACTACACTACCTACCTAGTTAGTCCCCGACTCCCGTGTCGATCTTGCAAAGCTGACACCTTTGTCCGCCTAGATCTTTGTGGAGGACAGCCCTCCCGACACTCAGGTCAAAGGCGCTCCCGAGTACGATGATGCGTATGTATTTGGTCTATCGTGTCTGTGGTTAGACGGGATGTTGATGGGCCCTTCACAGGCTCATCACCCTCAACATCATGGAAGGGGACGTCAAAAGCGTTCCCCCTCCTCCGATCGACACCGGGTCTCAGGCTATTAGTCAAACTGGAAAAGAGGCTGTTGATCACTTCATCAACCTCTACACCGATCCCACCATACCAGGCCCATACATCGACCCTGGCACTCTAACCCCGAAACCGAAACCCGATCCTCCCTCTCCCTATCCCGTTGGAATCATTGGTGCGGGCATCGCGGGTCTCTACACCGCATTGATGCTTGACTCGCTCGGAATCAAGTACGAGATCTTGGAGGGCTCTGGTCGTGTTGGAGGCAGGCTCTACACGCACAGGTTCAGGAACCACGGCGATGGCAAATATCAGTACTATGTAAGTTTCCTCTCGAACAAATGTGAGCATTATTGACACCATTTTAGGATGTCGGGGCCATGCGCTATCCCGACACCACGTTCATGAGGAGGACATTCGACCTGGCTCAGAAACGTTTGGGCATTAAGATGCTCCCCTACCTTCGCTCGAACGACAACGCGTTCATGTGCTTCAACGGCATTACCGTCACGAAGAAGCGGAACAACGAAGCTAACCTCGTTAAGGAAGACATTTTCAAGGTCACTGAGGCCAATGATGGCCAGATTCCCGAAGACGAATTCAGGAAGGGCTCCAGCTACTTCTGGGACGAGATCCTCAGAGAGTTCCGCCAATACTTCGTCGACTACCCCTTCCCCCAGGCTTTTGAGAAGCTCAAGAGATGGGAAGAACATTCTGTCCGAAGCTATCTTCTGGTCGTGAAGAAGATCCCCTATGTTGTCGTCGACTGGTACGAGAAGATGGAATCGCGAACTGGCCTCTTCGATCAGTCTTTGACCGAGACTGTTCTCGCCTCTCTTGTCTTCATGGACCCCAACAAGGCAAACCAAGAGGTCGGATGGTTCTGCTTCGAGTGAGTACTTGCATGCGCTTTCCTGTCAGTTCTTGCCTGACGTGCATACTAGTGGAGGCTCCGAGGTTCTCCATGAAGAAATCAGGAAGAAACTCAGTACCCAACCCAAGTTGCATATGCGCGCTGTCCAAATAAAGGAGGAAGAGGACGGAAAGTGTATCGCAGTCGAGTTCGACTCTCGTCGTGACCCCCGTCCCTCGGCCCAAGGCAGGAGCGTCAAGAAGTTCTCCAATGTCATTTGTACTATGTCTTTTGCGTGCTTGCGCATGGTCGACCTGGACGGCCTCTATCTCTCATACGGTCAGAGGAACGCCATTCGCACCCTCGCCTATACACCTTCCATCAAGATTGGTATACAGTTCAAGACCGCCTGGTGGGAGAAGCTCGGTATCGAGGGTGGTCAGTCCTCGACTGATCGACCCATCCGAGACTGCGTTTACCCCTCCTACCCGTCCGACTCTACCCATCCTGGCAGCAAGTACTCCAACTGCATGATTGCTGCCTACAATGGAATGCAGGACTCTCAGCGCTTGGGTGGTTTGATGAAAGGCAGGGACACCCCTGAAGAACGTGTCATGCTCGAACTTGTTATGCGCGACCTCGCTGCCCTTCACAACAAAGACGTCGACGAGCTCTGGGACCAATACGAGGACTACTACCCTTGGGACTTCTATCGCGATGAATTCCAACTCGGTAAGTCCCTATTATCTGCGATGAAAGAGACGGAACCTGACCCTCGTACGCAGGTGCTTTCTGCCAATTTGGGCCCGGCCAATTCGCCAACGTTTACCCTCATGTCACTCAGCCTGCCTCGACGAAGCAACGCTTCCACTTCGCCGGCGACGCTTGCAGCACTTTCCATGGGTACGCTTCACACTGACCCCGTGTTTCGAAAACCTGAAACTGATTCACCCTTTCAGATGGGTCGCCGGCGCTCTCAACAGTGCCTGGCGTGCTGTCCTGGGCATGCTCATCGCACACCCTGAGCTCAACCCCAACCCCAACGAGGACATCATCGCGAAATTCAAGAAGGAATGGGGTGCTACGGAAGAATGGGACGAGAAGACCCTTGCCAAGCTCACTTACCTCAATCGCGAAATCACCAAGTATGACCTTGAAGCTGCGAACAAGCCTTGAAAGCTTGAACGACCGCGCTCTCCGTCACAAGTCGCGTCAATCCTTCGTGTTTTGCGGCTGACAGTCCGAAGTCTCTCGGTGACGTCATCTTTAAGTTCCTGATTTCTTCCTTTTTGCCTCCGTGATCTCCCCGGGTTGATTATTCGTTTCCGATTACCCCATTTACCAGAGCAGTTCATGTTATATTCCTCCCGAGTCGAGAAAATCCAGATTGTAGCATCTACCTTGTAAACACGAGTGCGTAAAAAGTTACTTTTCGAAGTAACTTTTATTAACTTTTCCCCCTTGCCGCGACTCTGGTCTAACTTTTTCTCACGCTTTGGAAAGTTAGCAAGTAACTTCGACTAACTTTGTCCCTTTGCTTTTCTACTACGGGCAGCGATGAAGGTACGGGATATACTTACAAAGGGATGTACCAATGCTCGAGGATTATACCATTCAAATGTAACACGCGAAGATGGGTAGAAATCCCCACATACTGATACATGGGTTCATCATTGTCGTTGGGTCGGACTCGGTGAGCCTAGTAGACGTCCAAATCATGTCGGGGGTTACAGCTACTTGAGCGCAGCTAATTGACGGTCTTGGTCGACCCAGAGAACATATCTAGAGGTCTCTCTATTGCTCACTGCTTGGGGGTGGTCTGGTACAAACAAACTTGCCAGGGGGTATCCTGATGAATGCGCCTCGCAGTGACGCCTGATTTCTATTGGGCTAAATTATCGCTCCCCACCCTAATTGCTTCTACTTCTTACCATGGGATTTGCGGTAAAAATCCGAGTTCGATACGTCTTGCACATCCTGACGAGACTCACTGCCAGCGCCGAGGTCAAAAAGATTGAAATCGAATTCGAATTCAATAACCAGGCACATATTCACGACTCGGAGAGCCCCCGGTCTCCTGCGGTCAGAGTTTGATTGTAGCGCCTCTACAATCAAAATGAGTACTTACTACAGTACTCGGGCATACATGGCGCCTTATCTTCGACGTTCCTAATCACCATCGATTGGCTCACCTATCTCAACCTATCGCCAAGCCATGTCTTCTCAAGGTAGCCGCACTTGAGCAATAAGTTAACTTTCGGCACGTTACTTTTGGCTTACTTGTACCATACAAAAAAGTTACTTTTGTCTAACTTTACGCTAACTTTTTCGTCAAAAGTAACTTTGCTGAAAAAAGTTAGAAAAAGTTAGTTTAGTAGGGAAAAGTTAGTCGAGAAAGTTACTTTTGTAACACCCTGTAAACCCTTGTACAATATTTCGAGTTGATTTCCAATGCCATCGTGTTGTCCTAGTCACACCTGCAATTTGTAGACTGAAAAGCCTCGGCAGTGGATCACAACTTGTTCCAAAGTTCAAAGGCGAGGACTCGGAGCCTCTCACCGGACGGATAACATCGTTGTTAACCGAATAAAGATGAGATAAAGTACGGCAACTTCGACAGACCTCCGAAACTAAACAAATATCAAAACGTGCATTGTTGGCTCCACTGGGTCTACCGATATCTGCTTTGCTGCAACATGTGTGCGGTTTTGACTTCCGAACTTCGTTGAATACCATGGTGTCAACGAATATCCGGGCATCCCTGTCACCGGTTCTAACATTGACAAACAGCATTCAGGAGGTCAGGAGAACAAGTAACAGCACGACCTCCGACTGGTTGAGATCCCTCCCGAAAAATGGGTTTGCGAGCTTCTCATGTCAAATGCTTGTAAGACAGCTATCCATCAATAACGAAAGCCGGTGCAAGACGACACCGTTGGCTGGTCTTTCCCTGTAGTGTTCTGTGGATGAATTATGAATTCCACCGCGTGAAGCTGTGCACTGAGGGCGCCAAACCTCGGTCCGACATGCTGGACGTGAAACGGCGATTCGTTGGGATTGAGATAATCAGAGAATTCGATGCGAAAGGGCGTAAGGATTTGCTTGGTCCCAAGCCAGGGTTGTGCTGCCTCCAACCACAGTCCTGCATCCCACGCCTTTCAAGCGCAATGTGGTCTGCGGGACTATGAACAGCAGCATGGAAGAATGAATGTGTGAGCATCTCAGGGAATACAGATGATTGTCAGCCATCGTATTTTTTCTTAAGCATTGACTGTAATAGTACTCCTTGCTCGAAGGACCGCGTTTCATGTTGTCGGCCTAGCTGCGCTTCAGAACTAATGTTATAATTTATATTCTTGCGAATGGGAAGCCGCCTTTTTCGTCAGTCTACCAGATGGTCGGTAACTACCCCGGACTTGGTACTTGCAATTGTTTAGTAGCCGTCTCCCTTGTTTGGGAGCCAGTGTGCTCGAACGCACCTTTTTCTCCATACTGAGCTAAAGAAGATCGTCTCTGATGATGTTAGTGATCGGGCGGAGCCAAATGGCAGTTGGAGTTACCTTGTTCGTTCAGCGCTTAACCAAACAAGTGTTGGGCGCTTAGGGCGTACAGGAATTTCCTGGGAGTGTATTGCGGCCACTCCAGGGTATGATACGGTTGGGACGCTAAGTTAGTTCCTATCCTAACTTCTTCGCAGATTATACTCGGGTGATACTCAAACTCCGAACCGCGAGAATCGAGGAGCCCTCGAAGTTAATTCCGATTCAGCGCTCTTGCGACGCATGCGGTGATACACTCTCAATTTAATTAGCACCAGAACTTTTACCTCGTCTCTCAGACTCTTGCCCCGCTGTATATAGATAAAGCTGGGTGCCTATGCGTTCTCTGAGTTTGGACTCGACAGCTTACTTGGAAATAAGAATCAAGTGGGTGGCTTGAAGCGTTCACAAATAAACATGGCCCCTTCATAGATGTCAGATAAGTCATAATTGAGCTATATATTCACACTGGTATTGGATCTAGGCACTATACTTACCCTGCTCCAGTTCTCACTCCGCTCACAAGTTGGATTGAGTGTTATACTCTCTTTTCAACTTAGGCTCTGTCAGAAATCCTTCAGAGTTGAAGAGTTCTCGCTCGAGCCTTTCAGCTTCCCATGCATACCTGGTATCCGTTTGACGACGCATCAGCTCCCGGAGATCGTCGGTTCTCTGCGTCACCGAACAGATGGACGTTCAAATCAGGACTTGAGACCGGGGTCATGATCTCCTTCCCCCTCCTAAACTGCTCTCCTATCTTGTGGCTTGTGGATAGATGATCGCCGTTTTGAGTGACCCACGATGATTTAGGCACAATCGGTTTGTTGCCAGCGGCCTCCCCATCGGCATGAGCTAAGTAGATGAGCAATAGTGGCACGCTATTGCAGCCTGGCCCATTTGTCGACAGAAGGACAACAGAGAGGAAGCATGGAAGGCAGGAAGTAAGTTCCCGTTCCTACAATGGAAGGGGCTGACATCCATCGCGCCCAGCTTAGAACCGAGGTTCACATCGCTCTACAAAGAACATCCTTTGTTCTGATTCGTAGCCATCATACGTCAAAGTGGAATACACAGGGACATTTGCCAGACCATTTGCGTGATGCCGACTGACCGCCTCCGAGTCTTGGTTTGACAATGTCTTCAGAAGCCAGTCATTTCGCTTCCCGTACATTGAGGGTCTCCGACACGCCGCTCGCTCGAATTTTCCTCCCGAACCTACCGACGTAACGACCCACGTAACGGGCTGTCCGCCGGGTGCGATCCCTTGCTCAGGAAGTTGACAATCTGACGGTGATAGCATGTCCAAACGCGTCAACGCTGCCAACAGCCTTCGCGTGCAAAATCGGGTCTCCTGCCTTGTGCGATGGAATCTGGTATGAAAACAACGTTTGTAAATCCATTTGATGGTTATTACGCCTTCATTTTCAGGATACCACGTAAAGGTGAAGTATTTAAGGAGGCGCAAACCGCGAAAGAGGCACTTTCCGCAGCCAGGTTGGGTCCAACGGCGTTACGTCGTCTCGCGGGTGGCCTTCCCCTCTTCTCCACGAGAGTACATTTTCGATTCCTCCGCATTAGCACTTCGTCGAATCGCTGACGTTCAGGTTCCTTTTGGGCCAACGATCGGCGCATCGACACTTTATCCTTCCATAGCCCCCTTCCTGCACGCAATCAATCTAGGCAGAAAACGACACGACGCGTTCTTCACGTCCGCTTACCACCACTTGGATCGAGCCAAGACTCCGTTCCACTATCTTTGAACCTGTATAAAAGGCCGTCCAAATTCACCAGGCCGGTGTTGTAACACCAAGAAACCATGGCAGCTCCAGCAACAACCCCCCAAAGCAGCATCAATGACCTCCGTGTTTCCCTCGAATCCCTCTTTTCCATTGTAAACCCATTCAACAATTCCTCCGCTGTAACGAACTCGACTGAAACGCCCCTTCCAACCATCTCCGAATCTATCTCCTCCATCGTCACCTTCCTCTCCCCTGCCCTCGCTACATGCCCAACATGGCTGCTGTATACATCCCTCGCCATCATATCTATCTTCCTCCTCATCCACTTCACCATCTTTACTCCACCTTCGAACCTCCGTCATCTCCCTCGCGTTTCCCCTTACCCCATCATCTGGAGCTACATAGTTCGTGAGAGCGTTGACCAGAGAATGAAGCGATGTGTTCTCCCCTTGGCAGAACGGGGTGAGAGCGTTTGTGCTGTCTGGATGTTAGGTAAATGGGGAGTGCATGTACTGGACGGCGATGTGAGTGACATCTAACATGGATTCATACCTGATCCGATTCGGGAACTGATCGCTTTCGCAATGTCCAGATTTTGAAATACTTGACCCACAACCCCGCCCTCTTCCCAAAGAAGAACTATCAAGAGCATCTGCACTTCTCCTTCCTCTCCGGTCCCAACGTCGTGTTCTCCAACGGAGAGCAATGGAAGCGTCACTCTGAGAGTGTCAAGGCGGCTTTCGACAGGGAAATTCCCGTGTATAGGTTCGTATCCTTGGCGGGGGACGTGATGAACATGATCGGAGGGTCGAAAGAGAAGGGTGTCGTGAAAATCTTCAGCGACCTCGTGCAGAAGTATACCCTTGACGTTGTCGGTACGACGTTGCTGGGGCATAACTTCGAAGCCTTGAAGACCAGCTCGGATGACGAAGAGCTCTCTTTCGTCGACCACTTCAACCAGGTCATGACCTCCATCGCAACACCTGTCCGCCTCATCTTCCCCTTCCTCGACACCTACTTCCCTCGTACCGCCGTCATTGCTGAAGTCGACGCCCTGAACGCTCGGTACGATGCGGTCCTGGAGAAAAAGAAGGGCGAGCTTGGGTTAGACTTGCTCAGTTACCTGTTGGAGGATGATAGGCTGTCGCACGAAGAGCTTCGTTCCAATCTTTCCATCTTGTTCAGCGCAGGCCACGACACCACCTCCGGCGCCATTGCCAGCTGCGTGTACTTCCTCTCTCGCCACCCAGAGTACCAGCAACGCGCCCGTCAAGAAGTCCTCGACGTCCTGCAGGACCGCAAGGAACCCGCCTACGACGACCATCCCAAATTCAAATTCCTTTACGCATGCATCAAGGAGGCCATGCGTATCAACCCTCCCATCTCTCTCCTTCCAGCTAGGTGGACCACGGAGGCTGTCGTATTGAGCAACGGTCGTGGAGGAACGGAGTACCCCATCCCGCAAGGAATTTCGCTTGTCCCGAACGTGTGGGTGGTACATAACAATCCCAAGGTCTGGAAGGAGCCAGCAGTTTTCGATCCTTATCGGTTCATGCCAGGCGAGGAGAAGCGCGGTAAAGTTCGACCAGTGCACCACATTCCCTTCGGTACCGGTCCAAGGCAATGCGTGGCGAGGCAGTTCTCATTGTACGAGGTACGCATTGATTCCTGCTATGTGTTGCGGCGGAGACGCTAACCAATTATCAGCAACGAACTTTGCTCGCAATGCTCCTGATTGAATACGAATGGCGAGTTCCGACGGATAGTGAGCACAGAGAATGGGTCAAAAACGAATTCGGAGCGTTTGGATTGAGCATTCCTCACCATCTTGACATTGAATTTGTAAAATTATAGGTTTCAGCCCTTCATCACAGTCTCAAACGTATGTATAGGCGATAAGCCCAGCGATCCAGGTATCAGATTCCTGGCACTGCTGTTGGACTAGTACTCTTTCCCTGTATCATCATTCATCTCTATGATAAACATAGTAAGCACTACCAAGTCAAGCAGACAGATGTGGGACGATATACCTTCGAAATCTCAAAGAATTACGTCTGACAAAAATGTAGGACGTGCAGAACTGGGTCCGTTCCCTGAAGTCTGCTCTGAATGGTTATCTCTCTTTTCAGTTGAATGGCTTCCTTTTTTACACTGGTGGTCGTTTTGAAGACGGTGACTTATGTAAGAAGTGGACATTTGCAGATGGAGGTCAAGTCAAGAACGAATATAGTCTCGGCCAGCCAGACGTTTACTTGGCGACGAACCCGATTTGGGTTTGCCACCGTAAACGTCTGGGAACCCGCCAACAGGAAAGTGGGGGTTCGACACTCCGACGGTTCGGAGATTTTTTCTCGCTTAGATAATGCCAATATCGAGGCTCGCGTCGCGTCGTCGCTTGCTCCCTCCCCCCATCGACACCTTCTCTTCTGCATTTCCGATATTCCTTTGTATTCGATACCTCACACAATGGATGATACACGTTTACGCTCTCCATTGGTGATGGGATTATTTGAATCAGACTACGAAGAACCCGAAGCTCAGCTAACCTCAGAACCCGACCCACTCGAGTACGATTACCTCCCAGAGGAAGTCATAAACAATGCCCATTTCTCCATGGACCTTGATCTACCCGATGACGACCCCGCAGACTTCGATTTTCACCGCCCCTGCACCCCGGTTAAGCGAGCCTCACCCCAAACCGATGAACAAAAGGCCGAGAAACTACTCGGCTACAAGGCCACTTATTACCCTCGGTTTTCCCTTCTATCCTTCTTGAAGACCATATTTGCCTCGGGGAACTCGACTTTGAAGCACGCCTCCAATGTCTTCCTATCAGATAACGGTCATCTTGAACTATTAGAGCTCTGGTGGAGCGCTCTAAAGGGCAATTCAGGACTGAAAGAGTGGATTGTTGGGAAGGCTGCTGTTATCTGTGAGCAAGAAGCTGCACAGCTCTCGAATCGGGCCTCTAGTGGTCCCCATTTCGCACTCGCCGAACGTCTCAGGCTATCAGCAAAGGATATCACTAGTGTTGCCGCCGCTTCGCTTCGCTCAGCTCAGCTCAGCTTTCGCCGCTTTTGGTAAGATTTGGCTCGTAAACCGAGCGAAGCTAAAGTCAAGTTAGCTCGCACCACTGAAAGCCAGCTCAAAGCCAGCTAGCGAACCGCTCTGTTCCCTTTTAGATCCCGTGTACCGTTTCATATGTTCCTAACGACTTATTCTGCCATTTGTCGGGGCTTTAGGATGGAAATGTCTATGTAGCTATTCTCGACATGAATGTCCATCGTTACAGTGCCTAGATGGACACATATAGGTGATCTACAATTCGTAAGAGACAGTATCACTCGAATTAAGACGGATTTCGAGATACTCGAGCTCCTGTTCCCTTTGCATCCCAACACTAAAGTCAAGAATGCATCCGCCGTGGTAAATCGAGTACTTGATGACTTGCAAAGCTTCCATGAGCTCGGCGGTGATTCGATTTCTTCTTGCGGCCATTGTTTCCTTCGCGGACGAGAATACACGTTCGCAGGGTACCGCCGAGCCAGGGATCGGCAAATAATCCATTGCCGCCAGGAAAAGTGTCGGATAGCGTAACTGATTCTCCTATACAGCAAACATAAGTCGAACACATAAGAAGAAACAAGTGAAAGACGTGCCTGCCAGAAAGATACCGAGTTCGTTCCACTGAATTTGTCGAAAAGGTACGCATTTACCTCATCATGTTACGAGTCCGTTAGGAGTCGTTCTTATGCAGTTCGAAAAGTGAGACTTCATTTGAGCCTTCATTTGCGCTTGACAGCCTGTCGTTCTTTTCATTTTACGAGTTCGTTTGATCCTTTGATTGCTTTGATTGGTTTCATTTGCCGTGAGGTCCTTGAAAACGAGACTTCATTTGAGCCTTAATTTCGAGGATTTGATGGACAGGTTTTGATGGCTTCTTTATTAACTTCTTTATTCATCTAACATTGTGGTGCCTCTGCATCGTGCTTTAATGAGACTTCATTTTAGCATTCATTTTGAGTGCTTCAAGCCTCAATTTCATTAATGGATGTGTCGATAGCTGTCAGTTTACTAGGGCATATCATGCTATTTTGAGCAAAAGACTTTATTAGAGCCGTGATTTTAAATACTGTTTAAACAGTGTTGATAGTTTTAAACAAGTCTACGTGTCCCCAATGCCAGACATATGACGAAATTCAATGTCGCTCATTCTTTTCTGCCAGCACTAGCTATGACATCATTCCAAGGGTTCAGAATAGGGGCAAAATAGGAGTTCTTCCATTTGCGACTGCGGCTGGCCGGTCTCGGAGCCCCACTTTGATGACATCACACTTGTCATCAAAGCGTCCGGAATTTGCCTGATTGGGGGTTCAATTCGTGCTCGAGCCATTTATTTATATTCATGATAAGCAGGCAGTAGTCCGCGGTCAGATAGCTGTAAGTTATTAACTTGTTAGTTTAAATTCTAGTGGGTATGTTAATATATATTTAGGTACTTCATGTTCATGTTACTTAAACTGAAAATTATGATAGAATCATATTCTTGTCATATTCAACAAAATATGTGATCTTGGTGGGCACCATTGGTCAATTCTGGTGCGAGCGCGAGCGCACCGAAGGTGTGCGCCAGCGAGCACCCTTAGCTTATACCACCATACTTCAGAGACGGACTCGTAACCTGCCATGAGCCTGCGAACTGGCCCATAAAACAAGTAGGTCCTTGTCGTCATTGGCCCTCGCGTTCAGTCCTTGTAGACCAAGAATATCAGCCGCTGATTGAGATGCTGATCGCGGTTGACGGGCGTTACGGCGACGACCAGAGGGTAGACCCAGCCCAATGGCAGGTGCCCCAGGTGGGTGCAGAGGCACATCTGGTTGTTGGGGTTGCCGTGGTTGGGGCCTGGAAGTCTGAAGTCGGAAATCGTGATATGGTTTAAGCTGTTGGTAACGGCGTCAGAATTTAGTGCACACAGTCAACCAGATAGGACGTTCTCACCTTTTCCAACAAAAGGGCTTTCGCATTCTGAAAGTTCTCGCGATCGTGATTCTCATAGTAACTCAAACGTTGCGTTGGATCAAGCGCTTCGGTGTGCGGGTCAATACCGAACACTAAATGTGAATACTTGTGGGGCTATCTCACCCATTGCCATCAAATATGCTGGAACTTGGTCAGCAAGCTCGCGGTATTGCTGGAGTTTATCAAGACCAGCGTCAATGATCGACGCTGCGAGTGGGATATCAATTTTTAGCTTTGTCCAGGCGTGCTTGAGGCCCTCAAAAGCTGGAATAGCCCGCCCGAGAGAAGGTGTCTTCTCCTGAGAAAGGATCTGTTGGAATGCGTGAGGGACCTACAGTGTTTACGACCCGGATTCAAGTCAGTTACGACTTCCTAGCTATACAAGCAAAGTAGCAACTCACACATAGAATCTCTTCGGCAGTTTCTAAGGCTGCCCAATCATCGTCCGAAAGAGTATATTTCTTGAGCTCAGGAAATTCGGCAATCATCTTCTTGATTGCCTGAGCGTGCAAGTATAGGCTTGAGTGACTGGGAGGATAAGAATTCAACACTCACCTCTTCTAACTCGAGCGCACGCTCAATCATCAGAAATGTTGATGACCATCGGGTGTCAACATCACGAATAAGTTGAATCTCACGCTCATACAAGTGGAGCGTGAGTTTAGCAAAATGTTGTCGACGTAGAGGAGATGCGCGGACCTAAGAATCAATCAGAACAGCTACTGAATCTCGTATCAGTATGTATACTTACAGCACGGACAAAGGCTCGTAGTGTTGCAATGGGATCATGATCTATAGCATCCAAAAATGTGGTATGTTCCTCGGGTGTTTGGGGTTCCCGAGCGTAGTCCATATCGGTAATTGCTGCGAGAATAGCCTTACAGGCAAGGTTAACAATGTGGGGAAAACAGCTAATGCGGGGACTTAGTACAAGGGGGATTGGAGTAAATATAGTGCTTTTGCATACCGAATACGGCGATCGTCGGCGGAAAAATCGATTCCTCGAGCTTGAAGTTCTAATGCGAGAAGGCGGATAAACCTGTTGTTGTTGCTTGCATTGTCCATATTGATCCATCCCAGCTGAAAGGACCATCACTTCCATTAGTACGTGTCGACACAACGCTGAACCAATGGGACTTACACGATGCGCAATCTTCACTCGGTTGATGACATGAAGATACGCCGTCATCAAATGCTCCCCGTCGTGATGACCAGGGACTCTGATGAAGCCAATCAAGTCCGAACGAAGGCGGACGCGGTACTGGTCTCCATCGGGCGTGCTGACCTTTGTACCCTCCATCCAGTGGATCGTGACTGCCATAAATGGCGTCAGATTGGGATCACTCCACATGTCCGTCGTTGACGAGATCTTCCCAAGAGCATGCGTCTATCAAATGAATTGGACGATATGTCAATACAGCACAAGAATTTGAGAAAGGCGTACAGATTGTGAGCACCCACCTGAATATGTTCCGTCAAATGGTCAATATGATCCTCCCAAGTCTGCATCACCCTTTCGCGCAACTGGGTGCGGTGAGGAATGTCAGAATTTTTGAGGTCAGACCGGAGCATCAGAAAGATCTCGCGAAGAAACTTATTCTCGATGACATTCAAGGACTGTATAGAAACTAGGTTACGAGAGCCAAATGAAAGTATTAGAGCTGGAGCCTTACTTGATCATCGGAAACAATCCATTTCACGAGGGCATCTATAAAGGCCTCGCGGGAATAGGGATAAGACTGCGGAATTGCGCTCGAGTTTTTCTGGGGCAAGCCCGCATTGTTACCTTGCCCTGATGCCCTCCTGTGCGCTTCTACCTTTTCCTGAACAAAATCAGCGGTGATGGGAATACCAGCTTGATCACAAGAGTCGACCCAATCGGCGAGGTGATGATCATGTAAATGGGTGCGTAGGACAGTAGTTCCGGTATTTAGGCCGAATTTCTTGACTTTGAAGCGGTCGCGGTTGTGATATATCTTTCTGTAGAGTACATAAATCCAACATCAGGTCAAAAGAATGTATGCAAAAGGAAATCGCAGACTTACCGACAGAATGTGCACACTTGTGCATCCCCGTCCTCCTCATCATAAAAGCTCCAAACATCTTTCGCTTTACGACCTCCCTGACGAGATCCAGGGGTACGACGTCTGCGAGGAGAGCGGCTGTGTGGCCCAGCACGCGGTACTGATGAACCAGCCGGGGCCTCACTAGTATCAAACCGGGGCTGGGATGTGGTGGGCGAAGAATCCTCACTTTCCGATGAATCGGAAACGTGAGCAATGTCAATGAATTCCGCCGGAGAGGAGCGACCAAGGGGTGAGCGATTGGCGCATGGATGGGAAGTGGACTGGGACTGGGAAACGGCGGACTCGGACTCCCAGACAGTGTCGGTGTCCTGAATGGATGTTGCTGGTGGGAGCTGAGAGGCGGGAGGATGGGATACTGGAAGGTACGTCAATCAGAAGTCAGATTATCATTTCCGAAGAACAATAAAGTCAGATTCAACGCACGCTCAACTTGAAACGTTGTGGTCAGAGAGCCACCGGGAAACAAAGTGGATGCTTCGATCGCAGTGCTATGTCCACCACGGCCTCTTCCACGACCGCGACCACAACCACGACCGCGACCGCGAGAACGAGTGTTCGGAGCATCACGACCACTGCCAGTGTCCGCATCGTCAAGTGTCGGGTCGGGACTCGATTTCCTTTGACGTGTGTGGGGCATCGCAGAGCAGGGGTCGAGATATCGATGGAGTAGTGAATGGGCAAAAAGGCTGGGTAGACCAACCTTTTATCTCAGAATCCCATCCTGTGCACCACTGCGATTCGGGGCATGCGTTCACCCCTCAAGAACTCAGGAACATACCTAGAATCCAATTTGCTTCGCATTTCCACACCACTGACTCTTGAACGAATGCATTGGTGCCCAAATTTCCTTCTGAAGCCTCCGAGTAAAGTGCAATCCTTCACAGATACTTCATCCACCTCCAAACCCTGCGAATCTCACCGCCATTTGCAGCCTCGTGGACCCCTTTGAATTGACCTCAGAGCTTGCTGCACCACGACATGAAGCAAGCCCTGAGGGCGTGTACGCGTCCTCTAAGCCCAGGTATACAGGTTCCCTTTTGAGCTTCGGGTATGTTGCTATCGGGGAACGAGAAAACTCGTGAAAAGGCTGTTGTTGCTGCATGTTCGAAATCGGGACATGCGACTGAGCTTGTTTCTTCAATTGTGGGTCCGGTGTCGTTCTATTTTCGTCTTTTAAGTTGCTATTTCGTGCTAGGACAGTCAGGAAGCAGCCTATGGCGCGAAAGGAGAGGAAAACCGATGTATTGGGTGCACAGAGATGAGGTACAAGGAAGAAAGAGGCGAAATCATCCCCCGAAACCATTCATATCCCGATTTGGAATGACAAATCCAGCTCGTGCCGCTCAGCTGGCTTGGAGCGGCTGTGAGCTGAGCGAAGCCACGTCACAGACTATAAGCTCTGCGAACTGACGAACCGAGCTAACTCCAAGCTACCTGGCTTAGCTTGCCGGCTCAGCGGTGGAAAGCGGAGCGGCGGCAACACTAGATATCACGGTTGACATAGTGAATGAGTTCCGTCTGGCCAAATTAACGGAGATCTACGATACGACAACCCCTTTCCTTCAAACAATCCTCAGGCTGTGGTACGATCTGAGATGGACAACAGTCGTGATCGTAATCCTGTGAGTGCAACTGATATATAACATCATTCATTTACTCAGATTGAAGATTTCAAGGGCCGTACATTTATTACTTCGATGGTCCTCAACCTCCGCAGCTCACAGGTCAATTACCATGGAGCAATTAACGCCCTATGGCTTTGGGACAACCAGGTGTCAAAGCGAATGGTTCAGGCGCTAAATAGGATCGGATTTTGCTCCTCCTATCCTTTTCAAATTCGCGCTATCTCGTCCCTGAGCAAGAGTGCGAAGCAGCTGGCCCGAGTGGTCGCAAACGACTCACAGAAGATTAAGATGCTCCCATACGACAACTTCAATTGGCGCAAGCGTGCTTGGGAGAGTACTGCATTACACAAAACCCAAACGCACGACCAAACATCCGCAATACTGGTCGTTCTGGATCATCCGAAAGGCTCAGACCCGCTCAATATCACGTCTCTATCGCGCTTCAAGGAATCCGAAGGCCGCCGGCACATTATTCCACCACGCCAGGCGCTTTCAGACATTCTCCCAACCAAGCAAGATCAGCAAGCTTTCCGGGAGAACGCTATAATTCACGTCATGCAGATAATCTCGGATGAAGTCAAGGACCTCCCATTCGATTCCTTTGAAACAATTCCATCGTTTCAAGACCCCACAAGCGATTCCACCCAAGAAAACCGAGGAATATTACCTCCGCAACATTCGACCAAGAGCAGGGTTCGACTCGAGGGAACATGGTGGTGCTAGAACATTACCTCGGCCCTGGAGTCCTCTCGATTGACCCAGCATTTTTTGAATCCAATGTGTTCACCATTCTCGGGGACCGACTCACAACAGCTCGTGATCGTGCTGCTCAAGATCAGCGCGCTGTAGACCGCTCCCCTCATGCGTTTGACCATCTCTCAAGCCTGAAGATGGTGGGTGGCCTAATGCACTACATCCTCAATTTTATCCGTGCTCTCTCCAGCAATTACTGGGGAAACGACGCCAGCAAAGACCCTTTGAGCTTCTCAGAGCTCTGTAAAACCTTGCCCAATCGCGACGACGTCAAACCAAAGAAAATCGATTATTACGCCTGGCTCCGATTTCTGGATGTTGTTCTGCGGGGCCTTGTACTAAGGTCCGCCTTGGCCATCCTCAAAACCGACGACTTCGACGACTTTACAGCTGCGTTTGGACGTACACGAAACACATTGAAAACTCTGGCAATAAAGGTGGTGGACCATTATCTCCTCCCCAGTCCTGGTCGTCTCGAAGAACTCGGAGTGAAGACATTGAAAGGACACACCATTTCCGGACATGCAACCCTTTTAATGCACGATCTCATGACGGTTCGCGAAATGCGTTCAGCCATCAAGAAAGGACACCCCTCTCGGATTCTTCGGATGATTAAGTATTGGAATCCAATGTTCTATGCTGCAGGAAGCTACAACTATGCGAACGAGTGCATGGAGCTGCTTCACAACATGATCCACGAATGGCCTACCGACTATGCCGATGTTGCTTTTAATGGAATGCTTGTCAATCCATCGGGAAAAGAGGACGACTTCAAGGAGACCGACATACGAGTAGAGCATCACAACGATCACGTCAAGGAACATGCCCATGGATCTAACGCCTCGCCGGAAGTCCTTGAGAAGATCACACCAGCTATGGGCCATGTACAGCACCTTACACGGCAAACCTTCATTGACCTTGGTGTCGAGCTGCTCAATCAACACCATGCCAACGTATCACAACACCATGATGTCAAATTAACAGTTGCCCACTTTGCAAGGCATCGGGTTTTCGACTACGAGAACGACAAGCCTTCGACCCTCCCGGTCGTTGATCTCTATCGCTTTGGAGCCCTTCGCTTATCCGGACCAGACGGAGGTCATAGCCGCCATCTTGCTCGACACAAACTTCGCCTTCGATCCCGCCATGGAGAGGAAACTAATCCTACACTCCTAGATGCTGATCCAGAACTCCAAACTGCAATTGATAAGGATGAAATCGACTTTATTCTTTCCCTTACTGAAGATGATTTTGCAAAGTTAATTGCAGAGGATGATGTCAATATACCAGAGTTGAACGAGTTAGGATTGCTGTACTAGTGTAGTAGTGCACGTATGAATAATGACAGTGTACTACTACCCTAATTGGTATCAAAATGACATGGCATTTGAAGAGGAGCCCATTCAATCGACGGCGTAGATGATGGTGTAGCCACCTGCTCGGAATTCCTGGAAAGTGCCTCCTCAATTTGCTTCTGCTGTTCGCGAGCTGTCGTTCCGCATACAGTCCGAGTGATGTTCTCCAAGGTTTGAAGAAGGGAAGGGGCGAGGTCGTCGAGATGGATGATTGGTGTCACATTGTATAAATCATCAGCGGTCGAAATCTTGAGGGCATTCTTTGCGATCGACAGCAAGCCACTGTCAGTTACAAGGCACTCGGGCCCGTAAGACGGCCATTCATCCTTCCATTCCCTCCTCCAAAGCTCCCCTCGCCATTTAAGTAAGAGATTGTGAATCTCAGCAACTGTGTCGCTGTTCATAGCGATCTGGGTCGCGGATTTTGATTGCGGCATTTCGTGGACGAAAGTGTAAGGTGTTGGGAGTTTGAGGGCTGGATTACAGTTGGAGCAGCGTTCGCAGCGGGACGTGTAAGTCGACGAGGGATTTTCGAGCCAGATATTGGTAACTTGCTCCAAGCACCTGCTAGTCTGTGCGAGCTCGACTAAACCGGGATCTTCGGTTCGAGGATTCCGGATAGTTGGAGACTTCTCTTCTTCTCCCGCCATCGACTTCTCTACAAGTAAAATCCCCACAGCTGTCATCCCAGATCGACGAGCACCCCGACCACGTCGCTGTTCCCATCGGACCAATGTCGAACCTTGACAGCCATACTGTATGACAACTCGTACATGTGGGAAATCCATTCCGGCGCCTATTTTATCTGACCCAAGAAGAATTCTTGTACGGCCATCGATGAAGTCTTCAAGGCATATTTTCTGATGTGCATTGGAAAGGCCAGCATGGAGGATATCAACAAGGCTGGGAGAAAGCCCTGCTGAGCTCAACCGGAAGTGGAACCACCAAAACATGGCTGTCAGAAGGTTGAGGTCATCGGAATAGACAATTGTTGGCGGAACATCGTTATCGCACATGTTTCAGTAGGGTATAGCCATCTTATATGGTAAACCTGACGGTGCAAAAAGCCCATGTTGATGGCTTGACCTGACCAGCTGACAGATTCTGCTCCCCATGTATAATGGGTCAGCTGGAAGGTCACCTGACTCAACTCCCAAGGTATTTCAGGGGCCTTTGGCATCCCTTAGAGTATGGGTCAGCTGGCTACTCACCTGACCCATGTCTTGAGGACTTGATGATGGCCATTCTGGTTGGCCACTGCTCCCTCATCCTGTATTGTTTACAACCTGTTCTGCCTTATAGTCAGTTGTCCGTTACGCCACTGCTATAGTCACTGACCCTGTTGTCCTTATAGTCAGTGTCCATTATGCCACTGTTCTCCCTCTCCTGTATGGTCTATCACCTGTTCTCTTATGGTCAGTCACCCCATCACCTCATCATCAGCTGTCCTTCATTTATACGGAGAGATAATAGAAAAAAATCTTTTCAAATTAACTTAGTCCTACTTATGCACACCCTCCAGACTCTCCAAATCAAGGCTATGTACTCTACTGTTCTACTTCCATACTCTCCAACTCTCTGGTTAGCAGCGCTATATGATCCATGATACGACGGCGACAGTCTAACAGATTCTGCACTGCCAATTTCTCCTGCAAATAGCAGTCCAACAGTGATTCCCTACATCTTGTACGGATACTGACAAGAGTGACATCACTGTGGGCCCCTCCATCCATCTCAGCATCACTGCTAGCCTGGGAGCACAAATGTGAGATAAAATAAAGTTACAAATGATAGCAAGGACCTACCACAGAAGGTTCTACGAAGTCATCCGTATCCTGCTCCTCTATATCCTTCTGGCCCCTAGAGGGCTTGGGTATAGTAGCTGAGTCTGGGTCAATGAAATATTCCATCCCAAGGTGCTCCGTGTCATGGTCCAAGGCGTCAGGTTTCTCTCCGGAAAGCGCAGCGGAGGCCGTACCAACATCATAGTCAGCTGCAAGGTTGGCTGTATCGTACTCGGAGGCGTTGGCAGGTGAGGCTCGGGTGGTATCGGCGGAGTTACCCCGGTGTGGGCTGCTGCCAATGGCATACTCAGCTGCCAATAATGCGGTGTCGCCAGTCTGAGTGAGCTTCGGCGGGGTACTCCCAACCTCGTATTCCTCCCCTAAAGCCGCGGTGTCAACATTGGCGGATCGTTCCGCGGGTGTGTCGCCAGTCTGGGTGAGGTTTGGTGGGGTACTCCCAACCTCGTATTCCCCTCCTAAAACTACGGTGTCCACATTTTCAGATGGGCGCGCGATTGTGTCTGAAATTGCTACACCTCCCCCAATGTCATACTCCCGTGCAAGCACCGCTTTATCGAAGATTTGAGATGGATCCGCGGGCGTCTCCGCCATAGTCCTTGTAGTCGTTTCTGCATGGGCGTGTCCGTGCGTTGTCAGGACATTGCCCAATAACACTCGAGGGGGAAGCACACCTGTTGACTGAGTCTCGCCTATCGCCTTGTCGCCCCCGGATTTGCCTTCCTTCCTAGAACGAGTCGCCCGATTCTTTTTCCCTGCCCGAGCCATATACGTATGTGAGTAGGCGTTGTAGAAAAGGGTGGACGTTGATACCTACCTTTGCTCTTGGTCATTGTGGAAGGAGGTTATCAGAACGGAAGGGGCTGTGTGAGAGGTTGGGGATTCGACGGTACCTTCAGGTCTGTGGGTGGTGTGAACAGGCGAGGGATCGAAAGAGACTCCGACTCACAAAGGATAATTTTCCCCGCGAATTGTCCTCGGTTTTTCCGTGATTTCTTTAAGACACGTCATCTGCAACGGACGTCCCTTCTGACCACGCTGATGTCTTCCACAGGTTCCCAGAACGACGATTCATTGTGGGATGATGAACGACTCCCTGCCTTGGTTCTGATTCGCGAAGCCGCAGCTGTCCTTGGGAGGATGATACAAGGTATTCGCACAGGCAATCCTTACACTCACCTCGACAACGATAGCATAAACGCCAATCCAGTATTGAGGGCTGCGCTATGGCAGGCGGCCTACGTTTTAGAGAAAGCATTCCGGCGCAGATGTGAGTTTTTACTTCGGGTTTGGAATGGAGGAAAGGTGACATACCTGACCCTTAGATCGCGTTGCTTGGGCGGTGCGGGACTATATGTCTCAACTTACCCCTCGACAGGACGGACGGAATGCCGACCGCGAGGGGGTTCTTTCAAAGGAATTCCCCGCGGGCGCTGAGCTCGAAGGCAATCATTCGGTACCGGAGATGCTTCCAGCTATCATCGTTGACGCAGAAGGCCACATTCTCCTGTGTTACCTGCCCAACTGTGTTTCACCCGCGGTAATGGTATGCACACCACCCTTCGGAGTGATACAATTTCTGACTAGGACGATCCAGAGGATACTCGATGCAGCTGTCGGGGCTTTGGCGACGCGGGTTGACGGACAGTTAGAGAAGAAGAAGAGATCAAGAGAGGCTGAGCGAGCGAAGGTAGAGAAGCAGAAGGCCAAGGGGAAGAGCAAACAGCAGGGAGAAGGTCAGGAGAGGCTTGCAGGAAACTGGAGAGAAGGGCCGGAGTTGTTCAGGAAGGGGAAGTGCAATATGAACCCGGGTGTGTTGACATTCGCTCCTGCGTGGTGGCCTGTGGGTCATGAGGTGCGTCCGCGGGCGTCATAGAGCTGTTCATACAAGCTCATCAGCACTTAGAATCAACTTCCCGGCCCGGCGTCGACTTTGAAACCACCCAACGGAGATGGTCGACAGTTCCTGAAGGATATTTCACTCGCCTCGGCACTCATTGGGGCTATCCTATCGCAGATAAACGAACCGTTATTCGAAGCCGGCATCAAGGTCTTGACAGAGCTGCACTCAAACTCGAAACTCACCAAGGATCATGCTACGGTGTCGACGATCATCGAGATGTGGTTTTCCCCCTTCAGCTCGTTATCCCTCATTATCAATCGCGAGACTCCGACCCACCGCGATACGAGTGGTCCCATCTGCGGCATGGACTTACTCGTCACCGGTGGGAATTACTCGAACGGGGTGTTTTTGACGCCAACATTGAATCGTAGATGGACATACAACCCTGGGTGTGTCATTGTGTTGCTGGGAAAGGCAGTCCTTCATGGAGTCCCACAGGTGAATGGTGAGCGGTATTGTCTAGCTTACTTCTGGCGCGAAGGGTTATTCGACGCCGCGGGTGTGCAGTTCCCCTTTCCCTCTACCTGGGAAACGTCTTTGTCCAGTGTTCCAGAGTCTTTGTGTTGGTCTAGAGATAGTGGAGGGAGATAGGTGTATGTCATTGAACAATAGTCTAATAATAAATCACGGTTTGATTATGACATTATGACAAAAAGCGTTGGAATTACAGCTGGGCAATCAGCAATCGCAACTCTACAAGTCGTGCCAAAGCCTTTGCGATATCTTCATCAACCTGGCTCAGTTCCTCCTGCAATGCCGCAATCGCCGACTTCAATTCTTTGCTAGTCTTCAGACTGTTAGGGTCTCGAACATCCACCCACATCTACCCACAACCCACCAGCCTTGATCCACACTCCCCGCACAGTCTCACATGATCCCGCATGACTCCGCACATCCCCGCACTCGCCATCATCTCTCCGCATCCCGCATCTCCACATCTCCGCCACATCCATCCCACTCCTGCACATGGCGACTCCCCGCATGTGTCCGCTCTATGGATGTCCGCATCCGCAAGTCCGCAGCCCGCTTGTACCAGCTGGACCGACACGGCCCGCAACTGAGGGCCGGTGCGGACCGCGCGGAGAAACCTCGTAACCGCCCTCTAGGCGCCCAGACTCTGCATGTGACCTCTTATACTTCTTTATGACTTCATTCTCTGCTTTACTAGTTGTTCTTTAGAATCCACTTACTCATCCCTTTCGCATTCCGCGGTATTCCGCATTTCTTATGACTCAGTTTTTATCTCCTTGTCCCAGACCTTGTCCCAGAGTATATCCAGAGTATCTACAGATATATAAGCTAGCTAGATTTCTGTAGTAGATACTCATCCGGAATCTCGAATCAGACTTATACAGAACTTCCCCTCTGTCCAGTCTTGAGCCTTTAGGCTTGCTAGAGCTTTCCGCATACTCCGCACCTCCGCATAGTGTTCCTGATTCCGCTCCGCAAGGCTCTCTCCTCTCTCTCCTCGTCTTCCGCCGCAAGGCGCGTCCCTCTCTCCCTCTCCTCCCCTCTCCTTTCGGGTTGGACCATATACCACCAGCGTGGGCACAACGCAATACGTTGAGGCCAAGGTCCCTTCGACTCCGCAGACTCCGCAGTTCCGTAGAGTCTAACACAGACGCACCGCATTTCGCGTGATTGAGTTCGGTTGTTCTGTCCACCAGGCTTGAAACATGGCGTAATAGCGTTGCGACGGTGTACGTGCTTGCGGGGTTGCCTCTTCCCACCAACGAAATCCGACCTGAAAGTCCAAGTACCCCTCGGGTATTCCATTCTGGAAGACAGTCGGGAGGAGATTCTGCGCGGTGATAACATCTTTCACATCACCCGCAACTGGGATCCACCCAGTCGATGCGGACAGTAGGGCTGGGCTTGGTGGGGTACATCCGGCGGCGATAGCGCTGAGGAAGATGTGAAGCTGAGTGTTCTGTTCGATATCGTCTGCATGTAATGCCTTCAACGAGGAACGGGGGTACGTACATACTCCAGTATCAGCCCATTACAGAATTCGTCCAGCCGCCTGTCCTCCAAAGGCGTAGTTTTCGAAAGCCAGACCAAGCAGTGGGCGGTACGACGGTCAAGATAGTTGCATAGCGAGGTCCATTCGGATGTGGATAGCAGGAAAGGAGAAGATAATATTGGGAGAGTGGACATGCGAAGAGTATCTCGGGTACCGTGGTAGGAGTATCTAGGTGGTGAGTTCACACAATCTACGAAGGCGAAAGTCCAACTGGTTTGATCTGATCTTCCCCCGTTGGAAATGCGATTCCACCATCTCTAACAACTTCTCTGCTTCAACCTTCGATCTCGCAAGGTTTCCCCGACCTGTCGGCAGAATATCGGGCGGGCCGCGGGAGGGTGTTCCGGCGGGGGGAGGCGGTGGTGCGTGAAGGTACGTGGTCCCACAGACCTCGGTGGGATATAGCTGCTGAAAGTGGTCTTTGTCGTCCTGGGATCTAGGCGCCTCAGACTCGCGCTCGGGGAAGTTAATCCACCATGCGCGGGGAGGGTCGCTCACCACTGGTGGAAGGGTACTGGCCAGTCGATGAGACAAGCCCTCGACAACAAGCTCGTCGTCTAAAAGGCCTAGCCGGGTTACTTGAACCAGATGGCAGAACGCAGAGGGGAGTTGTAGATCTTTCCATCCCCACGTTGTAACATGGCAGGCGATATGCCATGAGATTATAATCTATATCGCATGATAGATAAATGCTAGCCTAGTATCGAGTAGGGTAAACGTACCAACTCAAATTCCAGACATAGGATAAACCGCGGAAACAGCTGACGGTTGTGGAGGCGACGACCTTCCGCCAGGAGGGTGTTCAGGACTGCGAGTGCGCGGGGCATCAGGACATTGATAAGGACAAGGTTTGAAACCTTCGCGGGATGGTCGCGGTTTGTTTCCATGTTTTGGAGAGGCAGGGGATGGACGATGTCATATATTCTATATACTCTACAACAGACTACGGGGTTGCATCAGAAGGTCCAGACGAATCCGAATGGGGGGATGGACTTCTATCGCTTCTATCGTCCTCAGCACACGTCATTGTGGCTGCGCGTGGAACCGGTTCCTGCAAGCTCTTGAGCACCTTATTAAAACCTTCCCGTGCGAATTGGGCGAGGTTTCGCCAGAGTTCGGCCTGTCGGTAAGCGTAGGCAATGTGACCAGGTAGGGAAACCTGGGCACACCGCGTTTCCCACTCCAGCGCTTTGGAATCGAAGAACCGAGGAACCCACTGAGTCTCTTGAAGGAGAAATTGGTACTCCTCCTCTTCCCTGAGGTACTTCTCTCGTGTTCTCATCCAATTAACCCGATAAACTGTAACATATGTCGGGTAAGTATGGTGGGACTCGTGTGAGCAGGGAAGGTCTTACGTTCGTCCAGGTACAACGTTCGATCGGATGGGTTGTTGCTAGGAATACCCCAGATCCACGATAAGTGGGAAGAACTTTGGCCCCGCGCATTTGGGTCGGCGATTGCCGTGCTGACCTTGATATCTGCTGGAGTTATGCGCTGGTACTTGAGCAGAATCGCAGGCGCCGTCCCAAGGCGTTGCAGCGCGCGGCGGGCCTGCTCATAATGGTTCACCTGCAGACGTAGCTCGTCGCGGGAACCCTTGACTATTCCGTATGAACGGGTCTTTGACTTCTTCGTTTTGGCCCCGCGGATCAGAGATCGGTATAGGTATGAGAGACGTCCAATGGAGTCCCGGATACCTTCAAGTTTGGTGTTGGCCTGTGCAACACGCATGGACCGTTCCTTTACCCGGACAGACGCCAGAGATTGGGGCCACCCTTTGACGACTGATGGGAGTGGCAGGTGAATATCTTCGGGAAATAAATCTTGTCCTCCTTCGACACCCTCTGCGGGCGCCTCGGCATTCTCATCGTTCCAGCCATCGTCCGAATCGGGTTCATCCTCTCCCTCTGGTGCGGGAACCTCCACCATCATGACAGCAACCACAGATGAGGGAGGATCCCGATTCATCCGCGGCGGCCGATTCATCCGCGGCGGAGGACTCCTCAGGTACCCGAACCGAGACAAAGCAAGAGGTCGCGTCTGGAGGTAGCAAGTTGTCGAACACAGGGGAGAATGCCGGTGAGCGTAATACACACCGATCGTCGAACGGACGTTCCAGGTCCAACACATCCAGGGATGGGGGCAATGCCTCAGACAAGGAGTCAAGTAAAACGGAGGACAGGCCACCCATTCCGAGGAAGAATATGCCGACAGTGGCCGTTGGATTGACTACTCGTGCAAAGGCCAAGTCGTCTGAAATCCAGACACGGTCTAAGACCAAGTCGAAGGGTGCTAGGCCGCGGGCGGTGGCTGGGGGTAATACAGGTGATATATTCGATTTGAAAGACCGAAGGCGAAAGGGGAAGAATGATTAATATTCCATTGTATGTACTACAGATGCGCCAATATACACACCAATCTAAATTATTGCTCCTCTGTTTCGTCTGATCCACCCCTGTCCCTTGTAGTTGGCCGAGCTCTCACGGAAGATACCCCATCGGGAACTGCAGTCAGAACGGAATCTTGAAGTCCCGCGCGAAATGATCCACTGGGATCCCGGAATTGAACCGAAGAGATTGAGGTGCCATGGTTGCGTTGCGGTGAAGAGAGGAGGATAGGCTCGAAGGCTTGTTCGAAGAGATCGGGATCGATGAATGATGGATAGGGCGGGTGTTGATGCTGAGGCAACGAAGGCGCAACGGTTAGATTGCGCATGGTGGTCAATACTGCCTCTCGCACAAGGTCGTGACTGACCCGTGCAATCTCTTCCTGGACAAGAGACCGCAGGCGTGCAGCTAGACTGTCACCAACCCGAACGATATTGGCATCAACGTCTCCGATCCGGTCCTTGAGCTGAATCTCCAGAGTATCCGATAGTATCGGGGTCAGAAGGGATGGCCAATGCTGTTCGACGTAATTGGTGATGCTCTTCGCAACCTCCGTCGGGTCGACCTGACTGTCTTCCAGACGTTTAGACTCCTTCCCGATCGTACTCTTGACGAATTCCTCCAACCTTCCTTCTGCCGCCTTGAAGAGGTGATTGACCTTCTTTGAAATCTGACCCTCCAACCGTTGTTCCATCTCCGATGCCTGCTGTCCTTCTAACTCGCTGAGTCGATCTTCAAGGACCCCCAGATTCTCCTCGAGCGATGTAGTCCGTCCTTCCCACTTCTCATGCAACCTCTCCTCAAGTCCACCACCCATCTTCTTCACCTCGGAGCTGACAGCCGATTGCACAGCTGTACGGAGCTTCTCCTTGGCCTTCTGCTGGTAGGTGGAAAACTTCTCCTGCTGCTCCCCAACACGTCGCTCAACGTTCTCGATAGCCCGCGATATCCTCTCCATTTCCTTAGGGTTGCTGGGCACGGCTGTCCTCAAGTCCTGCAGTTCCCCGCGGAGATCGTCGATGTCGGTCGTAAATGTCGTAAGATCTTCCTGGACCCTCTCCATGTCACCCTCGAGCTGCTCCAACCGACTGTCGATGTTACCAAAAGCTTGCCCGTCGGTATCTATCTTCGCTTGAAGCTGGCCGCGGATATCATAAACGTCCGCCTGAAGGTCATGCACGGCGGTAGCCGTCAGCTCCAGGTCGTTTCCCTTAGCGAAACCCGAGGTATCTGTGTGTGGAGAGTGAGAACCGGAAGGATAACAGGAAAGATAGCTTTCGACCCAGCTTACCTATCGCAGTACCCGCCGGCATACCACTTGGGAAACCGTAAACGGTCCACTGTGACTGACCCCCAGGTCCCCCGGTCGTTGTGGCCCCAGATGACGATGCCGCGGGCTTGGACGACGGACCTGCCACATTCAATGCCTCGCGTCCGGACGGCGCAGGGGCTGCCTTCATCGCCGTCGTCCCTGTCGCTGTCGGATTTGTTGTCGCCTTCGTCGGCGCCGTCTTGGTTGTCGTCACCATCTTCGTTGTCGCCTTCGTCGTTGTCGTAGACGCCTTTGAGGTCTTCGCGAATGAACACCTTCGCTTCTGCTTGCGACAGCGCCAACACGACCCCATACCAGGGCGCCAGCAGTACTTCTGCTGCGTGAAGACACATAGCGCGCATGGTTCGTCCGTGACTTCGAACCCAGAGCCAGGCGCAGGCGGTTCCTGTTGCACTGGTACCCCATCCTCCTCCTCCTCCTCCTGGCCGTCCTCCTGCTCTTCTTCCTCCTGCTCTACCTCCTTCTCTTTCTCCTTCCCCTTGCCCTTATCCTTCGCACCGACCCTCCCCTTCGATTCCGCCGTACCTTGCGCGGACGTACCCTTCGACCCCCCAGTCTTTGAGGATCGACTTCTCGTTGCTCGAGCTGGCGGCTCATCCTCCACGTCTTCCGCGGGCGTCGAAGGGCGAGTCGCAGTGTCGTCTGCATGAGTCTTCTTCTTTTTCGAGTGTTTCGCTTGTGGGCTCATGTGGGTGTTGTCGCGCTTCATCGATCTCTTCTGATCGCCTTCATCCTCGAACTCGCTGTTCATTGACACATCGTCGTTGTGGGGAACGTCGTCGGGTGGTGCGAAGTCAGGTGGTAGTGGTGGTAGGCGCATCAGGAAACCGGTGTCGAGGACAATTTCGGGTTTGGTCTTGACATCTTTATCGAGGTAGGTGCTATGGTTCTTCGCGATCTCAGAGAACAACATGCGGATGGGTAGGTCGAGAGTCTTGGGCCCTAGGCCCAGGGACTTGCGATAATCTTTCACTATTTTCTAATTAGGGGGTGCGTAAATCGCTACTGTGACACTCGTGATCCAATGCACACTCACCGAATGGTCGAGCAATATCAACAATGCTTCCCGCGGACTCCGATTTCGACTTTGATAGATTTCCCAGATCAAACGTTGGGATGCCTTGCTAAGGGCCAAAAAGCGTTCTGCCTCAGAAGTCATGAGTCGGATGCAGGAAGGGATTGTACGGCGGGCGCGGTCGTTGGAAGGTACCTGTAGAGTCGATGTAACCCTAGTTTGGGGGTTAATGCTGGCGGCTTGCTAACCCTAGCATGGGGTTTACTACTCGTGTGCACGAGGCTGAGCGAAGGTCCGCGCAAGGCGGGGTTTCCTATTGTGGGGCGGCATGATCCGCGCAATGCTGATCCGCGCAATGTGGGGTGAGCCCGTTTGTAGAAAAATTATTTATGAGGTTCCGAGAGGTTCCGAGGCCTGTCGGGACTCGGTTTCTTTTGCATGGGATTCGATGACGCCAAGACGCGATGCTCAGAAGCCACGTCATGTTTTGCGAGGTCCGGTGTTCGACTCCTGGCCATGTCAGTTTGTTTTGTGATTATTTTTTCAAATTATTTATTATTTTATTTTTGTAGCCTGCTGAGGCCCGAGGGTCCCGACAGGCCTCGGTAAATTGCCGTTTAACGGCCCACTTCCCACTATCTTTGAAAATCCATGAAACCACAATATAACATGACGTTCATAGAGGTCTAAGTAGACTAGACTAGACTGGGCTCAACAAGGTGGGCGGTGAGGATAATAACAATGATTGAGTAGAATGTATGTAGGCCCTAATACTGTAATACATGCTTTTCTCTGCCTAGCGTGCATACACAATGGCTTTCCAGCGGCCAGCCTCAATATGCTCAGTCCGCTGTCATCTATTGCCAGTCCAGACATGTTCAATCTCCAAAAAACTAGTGGGATGTGGGCCGCTAAAAGCAAGTATCCTTGGCCTGTTGGGTGGACGGGATTTCGTGCCGCGCACTTCGCGCGCACCTCTCAACCCGCCCATAACCCCAGATAAGATAAGACATACATAACGATGAGAGTCACGTGTCGGGAGCGCGTCGCGTCTTGGCGAAACAGAACCCCACGGGAAAGAACCTGAGACCCAACAGGCCTCGGAACGGCGGGTTTCCTCGAGCCGATCTGTGAAAGTCGCTATCCCGTGCTTGAAGGCTACCTGTATCTTTATTCACAGGTTCACAGGGAATGGGTGACTGAACATAAGAGAGAGGGAGCATAACAGACAGCTGGCAAGAACAGTGACCAACGATAAAGGAGAGGGAGGGCAATGGCATAACAGACAGCTGACAAGAGCAGTGACCAACCAACCAGAATGGCCATCATCAAGTCCTCAAGACATGGGTCAGGTGAGTAGCCAGCTGACCCATACTCTAAGGGATGCCAAAGGCCCCTGAAATACCTTGGGAGTTGAGTCAGGTGACCTGCCAGCTGACCCATTATACATGAGGAACAGAATCTGTCAGCTGGTCAGGTGAAGCCATTAACATGGGCTTTTTGCACCGTCAGGTATACCATATATCATGGGTAAATGTACTGAAAGCACTGGTTATCGGTCGCGTTCAGAGGAATAAGGAAGGCGAGATCGAGGAAGGAGGTTTTGGGATGCTTCATATGTTGTCGTATAACTGATAGCTCGGGCCTGAAGTTCCCAAGGTGGATGAGGTGGTATTGGGAACGTAGGCCTGCGTAGACTTCGAGTGATTTTCGGTATTTTGATGGTAAAGTGGCGGAGATGACGATTAAGGGGACGTCTAGCCCTATAACGCGTCGTAGCATGTGTAAGTTGGCGTTGGCGGGCCTCCACGAAACGCTTTCGTGAATGGTATGGGCTTCGTCAATGTAGATCCCGGAGAGTTGGGCTCGAAATTGCTCGCTGGAAAGCAACTGTGCAAGTTTCGGTGTTTCGAGCATTTCGGGGCAGATATAGATTATCTGAGAGCCACGATTAGCATTGAGACGATTGAGAGTCTCGTAGCTTGCGGTTTCGGAGCATAAGAATGTCGCAGCTATGCAGCTTGACCTACTTCTGTAATTCTTGTTAGCTAGTGCACGGTAACGATTAGAATTGGGAATTACCTTCGTTCTCCTTGGAATCCGAGACTTGTGTATGGCACTACAACGATGGATGTGCCCTTTCCCTGAGCAAGCAAAGGCAACATCCACAGCAAGGACTTGCCAGCTCCAGTTGGTGCTATGACAGCCAAATCCTGATTGCGACGCAAAACCGTGTTTGCTGCCTCGATTTGGAACGCTTTGAGCGTTTGCCCACGTTCTAATAGCTTCTTCGAATGTGCGAGGGCGTTCCATTCATGGTTTTGAAGCGGATTTTGAGGTAGCACTTTGGGGGGAGGGACAGTTGGAGGCGAGAGACTCAGTTTCTTCTTCGGTCTTCTACCCACCGAGTAGGGCGTGTACGAGGGCGTTTTGGGTGTTGCCACAAATCCATTTCGATGTAGCTTCTTCCTAGCTGAGGGATCAAGACGTAGATTCTCATAATTGAGAGAGTTTGGTACATGGGTGGCCGGGGTAGGTGTTGATGGTGTTGCTGGCACATTTTCCTTATCATAAACGGCGCGTCTCGATGATATGGAGAAGTTAAGAGGTGTCGGATTACTGGAAGACATAATATACAAGATTTCGAGGCAAAATTTAAACGATAGAGGGACAGAGAAGGCGTCGATGGGGGGAGGGAGCAAGCGACGACGCGACGCGAGCCTCGATATTGGCATTATCTAAGCGAGAAAAAATCTCCGAACCGTCGGAGTGTCGAACCCCCACTTATGTCGAGAAATTTAGGCGGGTAGGGCCAAATGTGGGTTAGGGGCTGATGGCCGCATCTGCCGCGGGCCCGACAGATCGGTACCCCACGCGGTGGGCGACCCCGCTCGGTTACCTGTTTGGGACGCGCCAAGCGCCCTGAAATCTTATCTCATTAATCTCGTATCTATCTTATCTCTTTATCTTATCAAAGGCACGTGAGTCGCCCGGAGCGCCCGAACGCGTCGAGTGGAGCAAGTTGAAGAAGCAACCGACAAGCTACCAGAAAGAGCTGTCAGAAATTAGATAAATGAAATACAAAGGCTGTCCTCAAGCTGTCAACTCGAGTGCACAGGCGCACCGTCCTCTTTTCTCTCCTCCCTTCACCGCCCTAGGGAATGACTGGCCTCAGACTGCACAAGAACACAACTGACCAACGATTCCGGATGTACGGACAGGCCGATTTCCAGGGAACGAGGGCACTGCCAACGACTCGAAAGGCGTGATGAAACGCGGGATTCAGGGTCGAGCAACACCGCAAGGCACTGAGGTGAGTGAATTAAAGCCTTTTCAATTCTGGCGTGATCCAATCTCGCAGGTAATTTACATAGGGATTGCAGCCGAGCCTGAGGAGAGGGTTAAAAGCCTTCAGCGCTTTCGCTCGAAGTCCTGAAAAACAGGTGGATCGGCCACTGCGAGAGTCCAACGCCCACTACGTAGTGCCAAAACAGGCTTCAATCCGGACCTGTCTTGCTTCGATGTTCGATGTTCTCGACATCGGCACTGCTCCCCGACGTGTGTCTTTTCGCGCATGTCAATGCATGTCTGGCACGAACGCTCTGCGCCGAAGCACAAGGGTGATGGACGTGGGTTTCAGACTCTACACCAGGAGGCCCCACAAACCACCACCATTCTGCCAAGGCTGCACTTGAGCTTGACTCTTCGACGCGCCTCTTCGTGCACGCCAATGTGTGTCTCTTCTCTAGAACGATCCCTTCGAGTCCGTAACACGATGGAGATGGAGATGGAGATGGGTTTCAGACCCGTTCTTCCATGGCTGCACTCGATGGTGCGACATGAAACATGGTGCGTTCAATGATTTTTGTCTGGTAAATACATTGCTAACACTCGCTGGATTGTTACCTCAAGTCAAGACCCTACTAGCCAACTCATCCATACGTCTACAGCTCGTATGGCAGCTGGCTCGCACGAACGTCCATAAAACATTCATTCTTTCGTTTTCACCCGTAAGTTGGTGTCGTTTGTCATACGCCTGAGTGAGTTGCTAATCAAATCTCCCCGTGGCTAGCTCCTTCGCGGGATTGCCATTGCAGTTGTACGCAAGCATTGATTTGGTACGTATTGAATAGCTGCATTCACTTGGGCGTGTAGTGACGTACAGTGGTCCGACAGATATCTATGTATTCCCTTTGTAATCAACAAATCCCAGCAACGAAAATGAAATTATTTGCTTGTAAGCCGTGATTTAAGTACAACGATTAGTTGAATTAGACTTATTGACATTGTCTGCAAACCAGGTGAATTTTATCTACGATAAAGGGGTCGGGGATCTTGACTTGCGGCTACGCCGTTTTGCTAGTCCAAGCCTCTGGTGTTCTCGAAGGATCGCTTGATAGAGCGCCGAGATACCAATCTTGTGCTCGGGGTACGCATTCATAAAGTCTGCGTCATTGGACTGGAACCTGGGGCCCTCTTGGTTATTGCAATGTACCGGGAACGATGAAAAGTGCTTACCGATCTAGATACTCCTCAGCGATGACCTTGCGGTAGTGGTACTGCTGCTTTTGGTTTGAGTCGGCGAGCAACGACACATCCCACTTCGACAGGGGCTTGGATGCGCGAGCTGGATTCGGGCAAGTCCAGTCTTCGATGACTTGCCTCCACGCAAGCTCCCTCTTACCTGGATGAATACGAGGCACAGTGTAGTAACGACGAGAAGGAATGGCGGCAGCGGGTGCTTCGACTTGAGGTTGCAGAGCTGCATTGAATGGCGCTGGAGGCCCCGAGAGCAGCTGGATGGGGTGAAACCCTTGTGACAGGGCTAGGCGCTCTGCTGAACTGGAGTGGGCAGGGAACATGCCGGTGGAAGGGGGCAGAGGGGTAGAAGCGATGGCCCAAGGTGTTGGCTGCAGAGAGGGTTGATAGGCTTGCATGGGCATGGGAGTGGTGTCGAAGCCAGTGTACGATGTGGTGTTGGCAACGTGGTAGACGTTGTAGACATGGTATACCGGGGCTGCGGGCTGGGCGTTGTACGACGTCGCAGACAAAGCCTTCTGGGACATCGAGCAGAGTGATTCGATGCTGCCCAAACGTTCGAACAGCTGCTGACCTTCGAGCTGTGTCAAGGGTCGCAGCATTCGATCTTCTCCCATGTGTGCATTGCTGGTGTCTTCATCGAAGGGGCATAGCGCGTCTCGGTGATCGTCTTCGTACATGTATAGTTCGTCTAGCAAATAGCGGATTAGCGTATCGCGCTATTGCATTTGTGAGCCAGTTACAGCACTACAAAGTTCAGGGATAACGTACATGTTCACCGATAGCCCAACCACCCCACTAGTGTTCACCACGGGTAAACCCCGGGTCTGAAAGCCAGGACCCGGACCCGGACCCTGCCAAAACCCTACCCGCAACCCTGCGGGTTTTCCGCAGGGTTTGAGCTTTATTTCGTCCAAAACGACCCAGAAATGGGCGAGTTATGCCTGAATTGCTTCAATCAAGCGTAACTCGACCATTTCATGGCCGATTTGGACGTGTAGGGGCTCTTTTTGAAGATCGCGGGTAAGAAAATGCATACCCGGACCCGGACCCGCCCATACCCCTACCCGAAACCCGCAGGGTCTGCCGTACCCCTGCTTTTCACTACACCCCACCACCGAACTCGAGCAAGCGTCCATCGCTGTCCAATGGGTGCAAACATGAACCGATATTGCGCCCCACCACGGCGGAAGCAATGGGTGGTGTACCCAGTCCCTAGGCCTGCTCCCTGCGTGAATTTGTTGAGCTTCTTCTGCACTGCGTCGCTGGTAAGGGGATCATCTGGGTGCACTGCGAGGTTTGCTCCTATGGTTGGGAAGATATAGTCGTCGGGCTCCAGTGGACGTCCAAGAAGCTCGGATTCATAGAAGTTCTTCCAGTCAAGAAGCCGTTGATACATATCAACTGCTGGGGTGTAGGGTTTGGGATAGATATTGTAGGTATGACCTAGAGATAACCAGTGTCGAATTTTAATAGGTCTGCTATCGTGAATCGTCATTGGTCGAGGACGTACCATTGAGCTGATTCTCGCCCTTAGCCATCTTCCGCTGCCACCCTTTTCGATTGAAGAGGTTGACGACAAAATACGGATAGCTCACACCATTTGAAGCCTGCTTCGGGGGCGGGGAGAAGTCGAAGTTCTTTGCTTGAAGCTGAACTGCTTCGCAGTTTCTAGAAAAAGAATCAGGATCACCGAGGCACAATCAAGAGAAGGCTGTCTCACCGAGTCCAGAGTGTGAATCCCAGAGCAGCAAATGCCAAAAATTGGAGATTTTCCGCTCGTGTTTCCAAGGCTTTCGAGTTCTTCCATTCTGGGGATGGCATAGCCGAATTGATATGGCTGTACAATCGGTGCATGTCCTCCATTTTCATTGCACGAGAGTGTTTACGCTCCTTTTCACCACCTTGATTCTTGATAGCCTTCAACATGTCCTGGACTGTCCCAGTCGAGGCCGGATTGCCTAGCCATTGCCCTGTCCGGTCATCAAAACGCCAAACGCCCATCCTATATTTATCGCCATCGCTGCAGCAAAGATGAGGGATATATTAAGCAGAAGTCAATGATGGCTACTCACAGTTGATCATAATGCTTCTTGATGGCTGAATAGACCTGGTCTGTTACACTGGAACCCCGCCCTTCGACCGCAGATTTGTACCACAAAAACATAGCAATAGCATTGGGCGTGCACTCTTTGGGTGGACCGTCAAGGGCGTAGGGAAATTGAGGGTCCATCGTAGTAGTCGAGTCGCCTGGCTCTTCGTTGCCTGCTTCGTCATCTGGAAAATCGGAGATCTGAGAGAGTGCTGCCCGATATGCTTCTTCATCCTTCTCCTTCGTGTCGTAGCTCTTGAGAAAACGCCGAGCCTCTTCTACACGGGAACTATAACGCTCTGCTGTCGCTGTTGCAAGAACCTTCCGAGAGGTCTTCTTACTGGCTGCAGCCATCTCTGTGAACGAGGGAAGCTCGCCATTGGCCGGCCCAGCCCTTTTTCGCGATGTCGAATGGCGAGTTGCTGCTGGTTTCTTTGCTGAGCCCGTGTACTTTGCAATGACCATGGTCTGAGGAAGAAAAGGCACAAGCAAGAGTTGTGGATGCAGAAAAGGACGACGATCCTCAATTCCGAGGCAAATTGTAGAGGCCTCGATCACTTGCCGGCTCAACCTCTTTTGGTATCTCTATCTGGTATCCAGCCCCTTTCTCTCGATTCCAACCAGTAAAGCATCGGATTTTATCATCTATAGTACAGGAAAGAAGGACAGTAATTAGATTCATCTCGTGCTAAATATCAGTCATTTTGCGCTTGGGATATTGGCTCCCTACGTCGTCGTCATCTCTGGCTCTCTTTCCCATTCCAGGGCGTTTGTTGGGCATCATAGTCTTCTGTGAAATGTCGAAGACAGGTGCTGGGATGAGCAACTCGGCTGAGGTCACGTAACTATTCTCTGGTGGGATTGTGAGATTTCTGCATTTAATGAACGCCTTCATCGATGGAACAAATTCGCCGGAAATAGTGGACTGGACCTTGTAGACGTCGAATGTAAGGCCACCTGGACGTGGCAGAAGTCGACCCTGGACAAAATTTATTGCACGGCGGTCAATGCAATCAGACATAGCCTTTTTTTCAACAAGTTCCGGCTACAATGTTAAGCGGTCAGGGACCAGTTGTTAGACAAATAAATGTTGTTAAAGCGTACCAGAAGATATTGACGTATGTGTTATGGACTATACGTGATACAAGCACGTGTCGTCCAGTACTCAGCGACTTTGTGGTCGATGAATCAACTCGTGACTACGTCAAGAGTTCTTCGCCTGTAGCTTTGTGAACTTCGAGCTAGACTTTGAGTGATAATTAAAGATATTTGTATTTGCACTGAGACTTGGTATAGCTTTGTGAACAATTAAGAACGAAGTGAAGAAACTAGCTAAGAGAACTAGAGAGTTTATATACTAGAAGACGTGTGTTAGCCATGAGGCGTAGTCCTCATGGGTAACATGCGTATTCCGTGGAATGTATGTAGGTTTCAATGAGTTTTTAATAAGTATCAGTCAGCAATCAGTAATGCGCAGTAAATATGAGTAAGACTATGAGCTGAAATGAAAAACATAAGGTAGAGATGAGGCAGGTATAGTAATACAGTATAGTAAGCATATATGTTCGTAACATTACCCCCCTACTAGAACTAAACTACTCCTGGAGTTTACCTTTTCCTTTGCAACGGCTAGCGAGGTGCCCTGTCTTGTGGCAAAGGTTGCAAGTCGGAATTCCGATTTGTCGAAGGCGGGAGATAAAATCACGAACCCAAATTGGGTTCAGTTCGGAACCTAAAGGTTGGTTCCATGGCTGGGTGGGGTCGTCGACGTCAATGATCTCCTTTTGGGGAGCAGATGGGGGAGTCGGTGTCGGAGGGTATTGGAGAGGGGGAAGGTCGTTGGGATCGAATGAAGTATCCCGTAGAGTCGCCCGATATATGATATTGGATGATGGTCCGGGAGTTGGCATACGAAGTTGAGTTGGTCGTTGCATAATGGGCGAGGGAATATCGTCAGGAATGGGCATAGGAGGTGGGGGAGGTTGTTGGGGAACGTGGTGATAGAGTTGGGGGCCTGGAGCTTCGGGTTGGGGGTTTCGAAGCTCCAGTACAAGATCGGTGATCTCGGGACGGTGTACAAGGTGTTCGTGAATCCCGAAGACGAACTGATGAAGAGTGTTGACTATGCCCATGAGTTGGGCGATGATAAGGGCGATCATGTGTCCGATAGAGACAATGCGAGCGACGGGCTCAGCACCAGGGGTTTCGAGAAGTCTATTCTCGAGTCGGACGGCGTACTGGGCATTGGTGACCATGAAGAGAGATTCCTCCTCGTTGAGAGGGGGAACGGGCATGGCAGGGGCAAGGTAGTTGTACTGAGGAGCAGACATGTTGTTGGGTGGAAGTGGTTTGTCGAGTGAAGTTGGTTTGTTGTTTTCTTCAATCAAGTCTTCCTCCCTTCTTTTAAGTCTAAGTCCTCGTGTTTTCTTGGTTGATGTCATGGGGCATGTGTTTGAGGGGTGTTCAAGATACACGCCTCATGTTGTCTTTCATGTTCTAAGATAAGGGTGCATGTCGTCCTTGAGTTTTTCATGTTTCAGGTTTATGAGATGTGCATGTTGGGCATGTGGCTTCCTCATGTGAGCTTGTGTTTTCGTTTGTACGCCTTGAGGAGTTCCTTAGCATGGGAAAGTTCCTTTTCCTTTTTCCATTCTGCTTCGGAGAGAGGGTATCCTTTCCATGATACTAAGAATTGTCGTTGGTTCCTCACGACTCGATGTTTGAGGATTTTGTCAATTTCATATTCTTCTTCTCCATCAATTAATTCGGGAGAAGGGAGTGTGTAATTGGGTCCGTGTGTTTCTGTTTCGACATATGGGGAAAGTAGAGTTGCATGGAAAACGTCGTGGATCCTCCAAGTCGGGGGAAGGTTGAGGCGGAACGTGTTTGGTCCAAGGACTTCTGTGATTTCGAAGGGACCTTCTCGTTTTGTTGTCATTTTCTTGGAGTATGGGAGCTTGATATTTTTTGCTTCCAACCACACTCGATGACCTTTGCGGAAAGGTCTTGGTGTCCCCTTGATTCGTTGGGCCATTCTTGATCTGGCGAGCTCGTGTGCTGCCACGGCTTCTCTTCTATCTTCTTCCAGGGCTCTGAGTCGTTCTTCCACTAGATGGGAATTGAGTTTTGGAGAACGTCGTTGGTAAGGCCTTGGGTTGGAACCCCATGATGAGTTCGAATGGAGAGTGTTTTCGATCTGCATGCCTTCGGTTGTTGTACGTGAATTCAGCGAGGGCTAGTTTGTCTGCCCACGATTCTTGGTTTGTGATGCAGTAGATCGATAAGTATGTCTCCAATTCTTGATGTACTCGTTCAATGGCTCCTTGTGTTTGTGGATGGTAAGCCGTGGATAGTGACGAGTCTATTCCAATGAGAGGGAACAGCTCCCTGAGAGCTTTGGCTGCGAATTGGGGACCTCTATCAGAACCGATTTTGTCCGGTAATCCGAAGCGTTTGAAGAGATTTTCCCATAAGAAGTTTTGTTCTATCGTCAGCAGTTGCTGTCTTCTTTGTTGGAATGAAGATCACCCCCTTACTGAGGCCGTGGTCCACCACGGTCAGGACCGAATCGTATCCGTTTGATTCCGGAAGATCCGTGAATCATGTCAATGACGACATAACCAAATGGTCGATCATTTCCTTCTATGGGCATGAGGGAGATCTTATGGGGATTCCTCTTGATTTTGAACTGCTGACATTTCGCATCATCCCTGGATATATGATTTGATGAACATCTTCATTCCGGGCCAGTAATAATGATTTTTGATGGCATGGAATGTTTTCCAACTCTCCAGGGTGTCCCGCAGTTTCAGCGTCGTGATATCGTTGGACAATCTCTCTTCGGATGTTATTGTTCTTCGGAATATATTGTCGGTTCTTGTAGAAGAGTGTGGTTTTTCCATCTTCGGTAATGACCGTCCAATCGTGGAGTCCTTGTTTCATTTCGTTTGATCCGTCTTCGACTAGGGTTTTCATGGCCTCAATCGCGGTTTGATCCATTCCTGTGGACTGATCAATTCGTTTTTGGAGTTCAAGGTCAATCAAACCTATGGAGGTATCCATGTCGAGTTCATCGATAAATAACTGTTCCTTCAATAAAATAGTTGGTAGGTCGTTTTCGTCTTTTTCCGGAATATGATCGGGTCTTCGAGAAAGAGCGTCAGCTTGAATCATCTTGTCGCCGGGCATATTTTTGAGATTATAATAGTATTCGGACAGTATCAGGGACCACCGGGCTTGTCGATCGTTGAGTTTTTGTGGTTGTCTGAAATAGGTTAAATTTTTGTGGTCGGAAAGGATGTGGGTGGTGAATTCTGATCCTTGGAGATAGTGTCTCCATTCTTGCAGGGATCGTACTATTGCAAGGAGTTCGCGATCATAGATCTCATATCGGCGTTCGGTGGGAGTGAAGGTTTTTTGATAGGAAGGCTACCGGATGCCTTTTGCCATTCTCGTCTTCTTGGGTGAGGACAGCTCCATACGCGTACTTGGAGGCGTCACATTCAATCTGGAATGGTCTAGACATATCCGGCATTCTGAGGACGGGTTCTTCGATGAATCGTTGCTTCAGGGTTTTGAATGCGTTATCACATTCCTCAGTCCAAATGAACTCTTTTTCTTTGGTTAGGAGTTCGTTTAGGGGTCTGGCGATCTCGGAGTACTTCATGATGAACTTTCGGTAAAAGTTTCCGAATCCCAAGAAGGATCGTACTTGCTTCACCGTTGGTGGGGGGTGGGCCATTCGGCCATCCCTTTGACCTTTTCTGGGTCCATCATGATTTTGTCGTGTTCTATGATCATGCCGAGGTATTCGATTCGTGTCTGGAGCGAATTGACACTTTTCGACTTTGAGGAATAGGTCGTTGTCCCTGAGTTTCTTGAGAACGATTTTAGTCATGTGTTCCAGTTCTTCGATGGTGTTTGCAGGGATGAGTATGTCATCCATGTAGATGATCACAAGTCTCCCATCGATTTCAACGATGAAGATGTGGTCCATCATCCTTTGGAACGTTGCGGGTGAGTTACAGAGTCCGAAGAACATGACTAGTGCTTCGAAGAGCCCTTTCTTGGTTTTGAATGCAGTCTTCCATTCGTCCCCTTCCTTGATGCGCACATTGTTGTATCCCCACCGGACATCGAGTTTGGTGAAATATCGTTTTCCTTTCACCCGGTCCATGATGTCGGATATTAGAGGTAGTGGGTAGGCGTCTTTCACCGTCCATTCGTTGAGATATCTGTAGTCTTGGCATGGGCGTTTCTTTCCGTCTTTCTTTGGCACGAAGAACATGGGTGATGCCATTGGTGATTTTGAGTGACGGATATATCCTTTTGCCAAGTTTTCATCAAGGAATTTTGTGAGTTCTTCTTCCTCGGCCGGCGTGAGATTGTAGATGGGAAACGATTTGGGTTTGAAGCCTTCCTTGAGATTGATCGCGTGATCCCACTCTTTCCTTTCTGGGAAACGATTTGATGCTTTTTCAGAAAAGACACTTAAGAATTCGTGAAAGGCATGGGGAATTTTGAGTTTAAGATCCTCTTCAAGAGGTGGTTCATAGTCGGTGTCTCCTTCTTCAGTGCTGGTCGCGTTGAGCCATTTCTCGTTGATTTCTTTCGTGGCTTTTCCTTCGATGAAGGCGAGGAGAAGGTCTTGATCATCTTGCTCCATGGTCGGAGATATCGTGCTTCTCCATTTGACCTCTCCTCGTTTCCAGTTGATATCGGGGTTTTCGTTCTGTAACCACCGGCATCCCGAAGATAAAATCCCACTTTCCTAATCCCGTGACATAGATAGTATATCTTTGTAGTCGTCCATTGATGTTGATGATGGGTTCAATCGTTTGTGAGATGGTTCCCTGTTTGTTTGCGGTTCCATCTACGTTTCGGACTTTGATGGGGTTTTTAAGTGTTTTTGTAGGGATTTTATTATTTGTCAACCATCCGGTGGTGGATAAATAGGTCATCCGCTCCGCTGTCGATTAGGACCGTTGTGTCGATGCCACTATCGGGTATTTCAATTGGTAGAACGATCGATCGTTTGTTTCGGGTGGTGATCGTCGCCGTTCCAATTGACAGTTCGGGGACGATCTCCATCGACCTTAAGATGTCCCCTATGAAAAATCCTCCTCGGATCCTTCGCCCTTTGTTGTGGCTCGAATGTTTGAGCTTCCCGAGTCAGGGTGTTTGGGGCAAGCTCTGTGTTGTATGTCCTAGTTGTCGGCATATTCCGCATTTGGCTTTTGGACAGGCTCGCGCCGGGTGTCCCTTTTCCTTGCAGATGAAGCATTTCCCATTTTGTGTGCCGGATGACTGCTTTGTTTGGATGGCGTCAACATCCATGGCATCAGGGTCTTTCTCCTCCCGTTTCGCTGTTTGTGGGGCGTCCCTGTAGACCACTTTGACCTTCTGTTGGGGTTCACTGCGATATTCCCGCTCTGTTCGCCACTCTCTATCCACTTCCATGGCTGCGTCTTTCCACTCTTGGAGAGTGGGTGGAACTTTCTCTCTGTTCCGCGGGTCTGGCAGCGAATTGGGTGGCGACCCTTAGTCGGAGTTCGGGGTTTAATCCAGCCTTGTATTGATCCAGGGCCCATTCGTCACCGTATCCGGTAGCTTCTGCATAGCTGTTGAACATTCCTGTGTACCAATCACAGGTGTTCTTTCCCATGTGAAGTTGCTTGAGTTGCTTCTTTGCGGTTTCCTTGTTTGGGAGTAGGCAGAAGTATTTTCGGAACTGATTGATGAAATCTTCCCATGACTGGTAGTACCCTTCCGGATCAGTGAAGGTCGGATCCGTCTTCTGAGCCTCCTTCGCCTCAAGCCACTTTTTCTTGTATTCGGTCATCTTCCTATATTCAATGGACGCCCAGTTCCGGGTTTTGTCTTTCTCCGTTTCATTCACAAGTGCGACCATGTATCGGATTCTTGCAGTGGCCTCATTCATTCGTTTTTACTATCCAAGTATGTTTCCACTGCTTGAATGAAGGTTTCGACGTCTTCTGCTTTCCCTGAGAATTTGGGTGGTTTGGCGGATATCCAACTTGGGTTTGGATTCTTCCCTTGCCTTCCGGGCTTTCTCCAGAGTAAGGAAGTCGTCGTATTTCTTCAACATTTCTTCCAAGCCAGTTGCCATCTTTGCAGTGCCTCCGCTAATTCCTTCTACATGTGGAGCAGTTTCCGTGAGGGTCTCGCTGATTGTGATGATGGCTTTGTTGGCTAGTCCCCAGATCTGATATAGGATTGCTCCTACTCCCTATCAAGAAGACTATGGTATGGACTTCGGATAGTTTTTCCGAAAGTCCGCTGGCTAGGGCGGGTGTGGATGGTAATCCGGAGAGTTGTACGATGGTCTGCCAGGCAGACTGAAATATTTGTTCGGCCATGGCTAGTCGTTATAGCGGGCCTTGGAGGTTTGAGACTTCGTTCTTCTGTTATGGACTATACGTGATACAAGCACGTGTCGTCCAGTACTCAGCGACTTTGTGGTCGATGAATCAACTCGTGACTACGTCAAGAGTTCTTCGCCTGTAGCTTTGTGAACTTCGAGCTAGACTTTGAGTGATAATTAAAGATATTTGTATTTGCACTGAGACTTGGTATAGCTTTGTGAACAATTAAGAACGAAGTGAAGAAACTAGCTAAGAGAACTAGAGAGTTTATATACTAGAAGACGTGTGTTAGCCATGAGGCGTAGTCCTCATGGGTAACATGCGTATTCCGTGGAATGTATGTAGGTTTCAATGAGTTTTTAATAAGTATCAGTCAGCAATCAGTAATGCGCAGTAAATATGAGTAAGACTATGAGCTGAAATGAAAAACATAAGGTAGAGATGAGGCAGGTATAGTAATACAGTATAGTAAGCATATATGTTCGTAACAGTATGGCTGAACCGGTATAGACGGATGGGAGAAGAGTTTTATACACTTTCTTCCAGTCCCAGTCCCAATGCTCGCAAATCAAGGTTGTGATAGCTGCCGTATTTGGTAGGTTGATTCCCCAGTTGGAAGCCGTTAGAGCACTTGCATCACCGGAGGTTTTGCTGGTCAGCGGGCAGGTGTACTGTCGGACGATGGTTGGATCGGGGAACCGATTTGTGATGGTTGAGGCAACGCGTGGCCGTTGGGACTTGAGAAAAGACGAGGAATTGATGATTAGCTCTGCCCTTCAATTTCTCCCGCCCACTCATCAAGATCATGACCATCTTCTATCGCCTCCCACAGACCCTGTAACAAGACTCTGATGCCCAGCTAGCATGTATGCAGATTCGACGGTAAACCCTTTGAGACCATCCTAAAACGGCTAGATCAGATTGCTAAACGGTAGCAAGAGCAAATACCATTCACGCACTGGGTCGTAATCACCTCCTCCGAAGATGGCAATAAATATCAGGCCAGCTCGGGAGAGCCGGACCCTTTCATAAGCCTGGAGGGTCGGTACGTGGTAGATCTCAACTTCATCGTAATTATCTTTGTTCAAGGGCCTACAGTTGTGAAATTGTTGAGAATCCAGTGTTTGAGAGGGATTGAACTCACCTTCTGATGACACTTGTTGCACCAAAAATAAAGACATCGACATCAGAGGTCAGAACGTAGTCAATTTGGCCCGTGAGATTGAGCCACGCCAATTCTGCCTCGGCTTCTCCAGGTGCCTACAGATAATAAGTTCCAAGTCCTAGCCCGAAGGAACCGATGATGGTCACCGTGTGTGTGTGGAAACCAAACGCTTTGATAAAGGCTTGGAAGTGTCCCGTCAAATAATGTGGTTTGGTTTTCACTTTTCGGCCTCGCTTGTACTGAGGGCGCCCGTTCCCATCAAAAACAAAAACGACAGCAACGGGTAACTTTATGAGCTGGAGGAGGCGATCGAGAATACATTTCATGATAGCTGGCTGTCCTATCCTTGCCCATGCAGCACGATGTTTGGACGCTTGCATCACCGCCGCTTGCGCCTCGTAAATCCATGTACTGGTTGACCCAAGATGCGTGGATAAATCGTGGCAACCGATTTGAGAACTCAGAAGCGAACGTACCTGGCATCTACACCTATCACCGGAGCATTTCTGCTGTCATTGATTCGTGCTACGGCATCGTTCACAAACCAGTCCGTCAGGCTGGTTACCTTCACCCCCGGATTCTTACGCAACAACTATGAAAGGTTAATGTTTGAGCTAAAACTGAATAGCTACTAAAGATGAGAACTGACCTCCCATAAGCCTTTAACTCCCATATTGTGCTCGAGTTGAAGAAGAAGATGCCAATTGCAGAGAGAAAGAGGAAAATGAAACAAGTGGCAGTGACTAGTGATTCGTGCTCTCGATCTGATTAAGGGTGTGCGATAGGGGCAACCCCCAAAATGGAGAAAGCCGTCATAAATCGTTAAGCGCCCGTTTAAGGCCTGTGCTTGCTCACTTTCGGAACGATAAGGCCTCTAAAATTGATTAAAATCCGTTAAATTTGATTAAAACTCTACTTACCATCGGCTTTCCTGGACTTTCCGTAAGTTAGGCCCAATTTCTGCGCTGCTATTACCGGTGTAAGGTCTTGATCGGTTGCGTGAGTAGCTGCGGCTTTCCGTTCCCATTGATCAAGGGTTGTTTGACACTCTACCCGTCGCTTGTATCTCAGGAATAAGCTCCCGCTCATGTAACCGTTCAACAGCAATGAACTTGGCCCAATTCCAATGGTTAAAGGGATCCCTCCGGGCGTCGTGCCTGCCCTAAAGTCATGGTCCATGGAGGTTAGGCGCGCGTGCATTGTCCTCCTACGAGAGACTGTAACTCAAGTTAGAGCCACAAACATTTTATGATACCTTAAAAACTGAATGTTGACATGCTCTAGACTATGTATATAGAAGAAACTCGAATTGAAAATGGGTGGTTCATGCAGGAGGTGGTAAACAATCAAGTGGCAACGCTAGCCGTCCATTCGGAATTGCAACACAATGAATTCTAGTTTCTAATAAACTTTTGTTGCCTTTATCATTTTTATGTGCCCCATACCGTCTGTAACTCATGTATATACACTAATTTGAGCATAGGATTCGCCAAAAGGGCTGTGGATATTGCAAGAAGATCGAGCCTATAGGTGACATTGTCGCTGCGCGTGATGGGTAACTTGGCTCATACGCCTTACATTGGATTGGAGTATGAGGTATATTTATTACACACTTGTAGTACAGATACAATATACCCAGCGGGTGGTTAAGTTGCAAAGCGCGCTCGTTAGAAGGAACCTTCAAGGAGGTAATTGCCAAGTCCGACTCAGTGGGTGCTAGCCCAATGCTGGATCGTGTTTAGATCTTGTTCCGCTCTTTTGGTTCTTCTCCATCCCTCGGCACAAGCGATTTTTAGCGATTTAGCGAGCATCTTAAATTTCGACGGGTACAGGAACTTTCCTGTTGGCGGGTTCCCAGACGTTTACGGTGGCAAACCCAAATCGGGTTCGTCGCCAAGTAAACGTCTGGCTGGCCGAGACTAGAACGAATACAATGGGGCTGACGACCGTGGCGAAGGTAAAGGCGTCTGAACTTAACATACGTAAACAGAAGGCAATATCCGACTTGCCCTTCGACAACTCTGCTGGCCCACATTTGACCCTAATTCCCAGCGAGAATGCCCGCCGCTGAGATCGTCTGAGATATGATAAATCCGCCAAAACGCGTGTGTAACGTGCTCATAGATGCTGTGAAATGATACGCCCGATTTTTCCAGCTTTTCCACGCGTCCTTTCTTTCCTCGCTGCCGTCGTGTTCGCTGGATTCCGCTCACAGATGATATCTTCGACCCATTCAATTGACTTAGAAATGGTTGTTCCTTGTTTTCTCCGCCACAAGCCGAAGGACTTTGGACTTAGTCACGAGCGTGCAGACCCTGCCCAATGCGGCGCGCGGTGACTTGGGCTTTCTTTCCTCTCGACCACCATCACGGTTCACCACACATACACGGGTGTTACAAAAGTAACTTTCTCAACTAACTTTTCCTTACTAAACTAACTTTTTCTAACTTTTTTCAGCAAAGTTACTTTTGCCGAAAAAGTTAGCGTAAAGTTAGCCGAAAGTAACTTTTTATATGGGGAATGTAAGGCGGAAGTAACTGGAGTGAAGCTAACTTTTTTCGTGCGTTGTCAAGCACTAAGTTCTCGCGATGGATTGCATGAGCCTGGGGAAGAGTTCAGGGTCGCGTGAGTACGAGGTGGCCTGTAAGTGTCTCAACCGTCCTCTGACCACGATTGTGGGTGGCATAACGGACTTGTAATGGGCAAAGCCCTTTATTATAGACACTATTTATAATGGACACCTCAGTCGATTCAGAGTATATGCACGACTGAGAGTACATACTTACAGCTGGCTATAGGATCTCGATTTCTACAGTAAGGGGTTAAGAGATGACACGGTCCCCACATCGCATGACGGGGTGATCAAGAACTTACACTGGATTCTGCCCCACTGTGACCGAAATTGTGTATTCATTATCATGGGGGCAAGTGCGAAGTGGTAGACGGTAGCCGAGTCCTGATGTCAAGGTGCCCAGGGCAACAAACATTGATTCAAGATTGTACCGCGATGTAATGAAGCCACAGTTAGCCCTTTTACTTCCAGAATAAACAGACGGCCTAGCACATCTGTATACGTGATGTGCTAACTGGATCGTGTATCACTGCGCGAGAAGAGCTAACATATTCAAGAATCCATTTGGTAACTGGTTGGCGCACAATAAACTATCATGCTCTCCTTTTGTTCTCGGCTTCGCACCATCATCCCTCCCCGGATAAAGTAGCTCTTGAGCCCCGTACACAACCCCTCCCTACCAAGTCGAAAGTACGTCTCAGGCTGGCAGTAAGGGGGACGAAAGTTAGCCAAAGTTAGCCAAAAGTTAGTACGTTACTTTCGAATGCGTGGGAAAAAGTTAGGCTCTATGTTCTTAGGCGGGCAAAGTTAGTCAACGTTAACTTCAAAAGTAACTTTTTACGCCCTCCACATACACCACCCCGCCGTCCTCTACATCGAAATCGCGGGAAGTGAAAACTGTCTTTGACGACGCCGATATCCAGGTAGTCTGTGATTCAGCATACAGAGCACGCAGAGAGAGGGATCAGGGGGAGGAGGTACGTCCCCATCGTGTCTAGGCATCTTTTGGATCTCCACTGTGTTCGACGCCTCCCAGGACCTATATCACCTTCCCAATGCGATGGCCCCTTAAGCAAAGCACGAACTTGGCCCAGCGTGCTCGAGTGCATCGACTCGACGTTTGCGGCCTCCAACAGCCTCCAACAGCCTCCAACCCGCCCTCCACCCGCCGGACTTTCTATAGTGGTGAGTTGCCTCAAATTGCCCATCCTATTCTCTCTTGACAAGAAACCTTCTAGCTCAGTGGGAAGTTCACGATACAGTCGCGCATCTGCATCTGGTGAGTGTCTCTTCCTTGCAGCTTGCAACGACGAAACCTAACAGAAATTCCAGAGTCTTCCCCTTGTCTGCGGCGCGGCATACAACCACAGTGGTAGCTATTCCCGGACTGGTTATCTTTTTCCTTTTGACATGTCTGCGCCAGTTGGTACTCTAGTTGTGAGAGTACGACATATGATAAATGTGATACATTTGGACGATTTCGGGTTTCTATCATTTCTAAGCGGATCTGAGCACAAAAAAGTGGGTAAAAATCGCGCTGAGAGACGATGCTAGATGACAAAATAGACGCGTCCAATTTGTCATATCTCAGACGATCTCAGCGGCGGGAATTCTCGCTGGGCCTAATTACCCGTTTATCCGTCCTGAAGTGAATCTCTTAGGCGAAGTGAAGACCCTGTGGTCTTAGACTGTACTGGTCTCAGCACGGACCACGAAGAGTACATCACCGTACCACATTGACAGTTGGTCGATGTCGAGGGTTCGGGCCTTTGGGTATGTTCGTCGGCATTGATACCCTTCCGTTCAAAAAAGGCTGATATTACTTGAATTGGTGTGCTTCTAGGATCGCTGCAAGGCACGAGCTCCCCGACAGGTCGGAGAAGGCAAGGACCATGGAACCGCAGAGAGATATAAAGAGAGCGATGCTTCGATTGGTGGGACCCCAGCCAAGCGCCTCCTCGAAGACCTTGCACGATGGCTCTATTCACCCGTTTTGTTATCCTCGCTGTCCTCCTCCAAAGCTTCACCGCCATCTTCGCCGCCCCGCAAGATGGTGATGTTGAGGTACAAGGACGACCTGGCGGCGGAGGACCAGGCGGACCCAAGCCACCCAAGTGCCGCAAGATCGAGGTTCGGAAAGAATGGTATGTTCAAGCATAGTGCTCGATGAACGACGCGCTCACATGCTCATTTCAGGCGTGATTTGACCAAGAAGCAACGTCGCGACTACATCCGCGCCGTCAAGTGCCTCCAAGCAAAGCCTTCTACTGCCTTCAACCCTCCCCGTCCTGGTGTAGTAAGCCGCTACGATGAATTCCAAGCGAGCCATTACGACCTCGCTCATCATATTCACCCTGTGGTCAGTCGCTTGATCATACTCCTCTTTTGACTTTGCGTTGAATTGTGTGTAGGGCCAATTTTTGCATTGGCATCGTCACTTTGTGACCTTGTACAACAAGGCTTTGAAGGAAGAATGTGGCTACAAGGGACCGGCAACGTCAGTACACGCGGCAGAATACCACTATGCTCTGTTTTGACATTCTTTGCTTTATTAGGTACTGGGACTGGACTCGTGACGCCGATGGACCTTTGCCGTGAGTTCCTTACCCATCATTACTACACATTAACGATGCATTAACGCTCGACTAACTTTTTAACTGATTCGTTCAGAATGGCCTCTTCTCCTGTCTTCGACAACGTAGAGGGTTTCGGCGGCAACGGTGTCCCAGGCACATACACTCCTCCACCTAATATCCCTGAGTTCCCTGGGCCTGACTGGCCCGAAGACTTCCCCTTCCCGGTCCCTCCACCTTTCCCGGGAACACTCAATGGACCTCAAGGTGAAGTGGGATGTGTCCAAACCGGCCCCTTCGCAGACCAAGTCGTCCGTCTCGGTCCCGCGACTTTGGTTATGGACCGTTGCCTCGTCCGTGGCATTTTTGAGGATGTCAAGGACAACCTCAACAGCACCGTCATTGCTGCGACACTGGCCCAGCCCACCTTTGACGACTTCAGGCTCTTCCTCGATGTTGTCGGTCCTCCCCTCGAGCCTAACACCGGTATCCACCTTGCTGGACATGCTGTCGTTGGTGGATTGATGGTCGACGGGTGGTCGGCCCCTGGTGGTACGTTTCCCAGGTCAACTTGCTCCGTTCGATTTTGTTCTGACTGATCTTTCCTTTTAACACTAGATCCCCTTTTCTACCTCCACCACGGTAACCTCGACCGTATCTGGGCTAAATGGCAAGCTCTCGACCCCAATCGACTGACTGAAGTTTCCGGTACCACCACCGCATGGCCTCCTTACACCAACCTCACCTTGGACTTCTTGATGCCCTTCACGACCCTCTCTCCTCCTGTTGCTATCAAGGATGTTATGAACACCGAGGCATGGCCCAACTGCTACAGGTATAACGACTAAATCAGGCCCTCCTAGGCTTTTTCTACCAATCCTGTTTGTAAATACTGTAATACTTCGCTGTTGCCGTACCAATGTAGGAATACGGTGGCTCGTAAATATGATTGCAACCTTCCCATTGTATGAGTGAGATTGTATGAGGGGGGCCACGAATGTAAACTCTTCACTCTGCACGTCCGGTCTTCCGAGATCAATTTCGGTCCCTCATGCTCTCCAATCGTTGAAAAAGGGGCCCTCGTCATCGTGGTAAAGACGCGATGTGAAAAACTTTGTCACAACGGCGCCAATCCCGGCCAAATCCATCGGGCACACTGTGTGCCATTGACGAGCAAAGCACCGATCTCGGCTCAGGTAGTCGAATGAACTCCTCTTCCGTTTGGGAAATGGTGGTCATGCTCACTGGGAGGCTTGAGGCTCTCAGAGGGAAAGGGATGCTACGCCCTTCCCTTGAACGCATCCTTGGATATGATTGCTGTATGGTAACCAAATTGCAGCGCGAAGTTGTATATTTCATTAAAAATCCATCCAGTCCCTTTCTAGAAGTTCGAAAAATAGTGTCCAGTGGGTTGTGGTAACGAAGGGTTGTGGCAACGAAGTGAGGCTTTGAAGTTTGGTCTATATACATATTTGGATCACTTTTCTGTGGTCTTGGTCTCCGCAAGTTCGGGAGGCGGTGAAGGGGTTGCACTGGCTTCGGGTGACCGCTGAGGGGCATTGGGAATGAGCCACCACAAGATGACGAGTACCGCCATCATCGCTATCAGCCTGTACGTCGACGCCAGTGGTCAGTTCCAAGGCTAGAGAAACCGTGTAGACTGAGAAAAGGGGGGTAAAACGTACAAAGGATGCAAACTCTTAATCCCATGCTTTTGGGAAATTGCACCGGTCATGAAGGGGATCAAAGCACTTCCAGCCTGGCCGAATCCGGCGATCCAGCCGATGGAGCTGGTCAGGATGCGTCGTGGGAGGACGCGGGAGGCGTGGTTCATTGCGAGGGGGTACATGGGTCCCATGAGGAGACCGATGAAGGAGACGGCGACGGCGCCGCCGATGAGCGAGGGGACGAACCAGACGACGAATTCGAGCCTATCGCAAAGTGCGGGATTGGTGAGCGTTTAGGGTGGGATGTGTAAGGGAAGTGACGTACCCTAGGGAGATGATGCCGTAGATGTAGAGGACGAGGCGTTCACCGACCTATGGGGCAAATGCTCAGCTCGAGCTGGACGACCGAGGAGGGTCTATCTCACCTTCTCATTAACCCATAGAAGGATCACTCGTCCAAGAGTTAGACCTATTCAATCCATGGTGAGTGCCCCCCTTACATCTGCCCAAATGCCTTCAAACGCGACTTACCTCCAAAGAATCCAGAGGAGATATACCCCGCGGAGGGTCCACCACCTCTCTCTTCAATGATATAAGTGACGATCCATCCTCCAATCGTGACCTCCACACCAACGTAGATGAGGATGAACAAGGCCAGGAAATGAACAGCCTTGTTCGACAGAATCTCTTTGATGTTGGTTTCCTTCTCTTCGCTCTTATCGCGTTTCTCAACGAATTCGCCTGCTTCCCGCATCACGTCTACGAAGGGAGAGGACTACCGTCAGGGACATGCGAGGGGATAAACAAGCGTTGGCGGGCATACGTACCGTCCTGCCTCTTGAGACGGAAAACGAGGGTGACGAGAATGGTGTTGGAAAGAGCAAGGCCAAGTGAGGTGAGGTAGTGGAATGACCACCGTTCATGCTGGGCGAATTGAGTGGAGACGAGGGGAGAGGCGAATGCACCCAAACCTGCACAATGCACATTAGCGTTGGAAAGCGAGGAGGGCGACACTAGACACTTGCCATAGGCAGCGTGCAGCACACCCATCTTGGCTTCAGCGTTCTCTGTCAGGGCTCCCACGAAGCCGTTGGCTTGAGCATCCTAAGTAGTGAGGAAATCCTGCTTCAATAAAGGCCAGGAATGAAAGAAGCCAGAAATACCCTTACTTGCAGAGCGAGACCCATGCCGTTTAGGGCGTTCACCACCACAAATGCGGGGAAGGGAGGTGCAGGGGCTTGAACGGAGTAGGTGATCACTTGAAGGAACGCGCCTAGGTGATTCTACTAGGTAAAGAACAATGCTGCGAGATTCCAAGGAAGTAGGTCGTACCTATTGCCATTACCTTTACAATTGGTCAGTACGCAGTGATAACGAGGACCCTGAGAGGAGCACCCACCTTCCCTAGACCCAATTTAGGCCCTATGTACATGTTTAGAAAAGCGCCTAGGATGAATCCCTGGAGAACTGTCAAGAATAGCCTTCATGGATTGGGGGTGTAGAGCATACCGCACATGACGAAACGAATGTGAGGGAAACAACTGTAAATCCAACCTGTCATTTTTAAGGATAAGTATTCCTGGACGAAGGTGGTCGAGGAGAGGAAGACGTACGTTATATACTTCACGAATCCTGGGCAAGAGCGGGCCCAAAGTTCCGTCGTTCCATCCGAGGATGAACAAGCACCAGCAAAGGGTAAGGAACTGAATCATTCCAGTCCTTTTCTGTTTTGCGGTCTTTCCAACTCCAGTTTGGCCATCAGGGCCAGGGTCGACCTTCTCTGAGGAGACCGTTCGGACGACGGTGGCGTCATTGAGGGTATCGGCGGGGGGTATTGATACTTTAGTTTCGTCTGAGATCATTTTCTGGTCGTTACTGTTGTTCGTGGCTGTTGTATCGTCGCCATTAGGTGTTGTCGTTGACATTTTTGGGTAGATTTCTCCGAAGCACTGTAGGTTTCGCGTCTCGCGGCTGCCTTTACGTGTCGTGGGTGATTTCTCTGAGGAAAAGAGGCTCTAACCAAGCTAATTTGTGCTTTAGCAGGTCTATGAGCTTCAGATATGAACGCAGAAGGAAGCCAGAACCCCTCGAAGGAGTGGTGGTTCGGTTGGAAGGGCAGACCTGTGGGCAGCTGTGGGGCGGAAAGTGTTTTGGGTTATTTATCCGAAATTTTCCCGCTGGTCCCTAGATGCCGTCCTCACCGTCGCTTACTGTGTTTCTCAGCTGTAGGCAATGAAAATGGATCAGAGATCGATATCATGCTGCTAAGCACGTACTTGGGCCAAAGTTATTCCCTTTCCACCTGAGAAATCAGTTCAAATGGCGAAAACTGCTTGGAGAGCCCCTAATTCAGCGATTCTCAGTCATTGACTGTGGAACGTTCGTGATTGGTTCTTCGGCCTTCTTGTTCAGGGGGGATGCCGTAGCGGCTACCACACGGTTCGACCCACCAGGATCCAACTTCCCAGCCATGGAGCTCGTGAAGAGGACGTGTCGCCAACGTATTCGACGTTGCAGAACCGAACCTGCCTGAGGATGCCGGTGGCCTTGATCGGACGCTCTAACGTGAAAATAGGGGCCTGCGAATTATGTGCTGATGGCATCAAACCATCAAGCATTCGGTATACGGGTAACTCGTCTTGGACTTCGTCAACGGGACGGTCATCGCGAACAACGACGAGGACGTGTTCAAGTAAGTGACGGTGTTTAAACAACGCTTGATGCTGACCGTCATCTTGTAGAGCTGGCCACAATATGTCCCATGCATCCCCTTCGGACACCTGGCATTGCTCGTCATCTCTGCCTTGATACCGTCGCGAAATGTCGCGTCCCAACCGAAATTGTTCGTCGCAGGAACGCCTTTAGAGGACCTGAGGTCAATCCATCAGGCCGTAACTCTCCACTATGGGCCCATCCTGGTCGTTTCTCTCATGAGCCAACCCTGGGCATTCGCCACATCTCGACGCTCAAGCCAACCCAAGAGGCCATGTCACCCGCTCTCGCATCTCTTTACGACCCGCCCCTCTTCCCGGACATCGACGAAGTCCAAGCCAACGCCAAAGTAATCAAGTGCCTTCAGCAGCAAAAATACGGCGCTGCAAAATCACTTATTACCAACATGCTTAAAAACGGAGTCAAAGTCGCCCAGCATCCGTTATACGAAGAAGCCGCCTTTGCCTTCCTCCAAGCCCACGCGACAGAGTACGGAGCGTTTCGAGAATACGCTTCGTGGTTGAAGTTCGCTCCGGATGCGCACCATCCATTGGCACGGCCTCGGGGCCAAGACCCATTCCCTTTGGTATCCGACTGGCTATTCAAGAGTGGAATCCCAGCGAAAAAGCTGTCGTTTATCTCGCTCTACGTACTGCTCCTTGCGGACAAGGGTTATCATTATATCTTTGTCCCAGAGGCCTCGCGGTTGGTAGCCAAATACGGCATCCCGTACAAAGCGCGCTTTTTCTTCCACAGACTGCTGCACCGCGTATTGATGTACTACCGCCATCGTCAAGAGACTCAAAATTCGCCTACGCTCGCGTTCACCGCTCCGGACTCACCTCCGCGACTAGTTCGATTCGATGAACAACCCCTCGAGGACCCGCTCACTGTCATCGCCAACTACTGGCAAGTTGCCGTCGAAGCGTGCATCCAAGTAGGGAACTTGAAGGCGGCCATGTTCTTGGTGGCAACCAGGAGAGAAGTTGCCTTGCCAGATCGAACCTACAGTCTTTTATTGGACGCGTTGCATGCCCAGGGGATGGATGATCGGTATTGTCAGGCGATGCGTAGTATGGAGGAGTGCCGGGAAGCTGACAGGAAGCGGAGGTTGCTGGAAGTGGACCCCAGGAAGGAGGTTCAGTGGGAGGATGACTTGGTTGGTTGCTTTGACGAGTCGGATTGGTGGGAAGATGAGCAGGTTGGATGGGAAGACTTTGCTTCGGACGCCGCCTTCGACAAGGAAACCTAAGTAGTCCGGATCCTTCCCTGTCGCCATACACGACCAATCAACCTTTCCAATATCCTTGACTTCGCCTTTCTGAATAAAAATACCGTTCTCACCATATCGCAGCACACGGGTCCGGGCTTAGAACTTGGAATGGCGGTACTAGAATTCTGTATCGGGCTAAAAGGTTACAAGGGGTGGGAGACAGGGAATTGCTCGCGACGCCTTAAGGACCGTGTCATGCCTTCCGACCACTGTCCATCTGCTAGGGCGCGGTTCCTTCGGTTTCAAACGCAGCACGGTCACCGATTCGAGACGTGGGGCCACGCAATCCACATGCCAGGGTTGAGCATGGTTTGGGAGACGACACCGATGGTTCGCACAGCCCAGGTTGCCTACCATTTGCCAGGGTTGGCACCTTGCGTTCACTTGCCTTTGCCAGTCCATGCCGCCTTGATGCGACTCGCGAGAAGCATTCACCAAGCCGACGATCGACTCCACCCGATGACATTTCAATCGCGCATCTGCCATTTGTTTAATCTGTTTCCACAGTCTTTTTCTTTGCCACTCCAATCGGACACTGGGTTTTGCTAGCCCTTTGCCCTACTTTGAACCCGCACCCCAATTATTCGCCAGATTGCGGGTGAAGTCGCCAGAGAAATGTCGTTCTAACAGACCGAAAACACCGGAATTCTTGCACGCATGAACCTCGAATTTTCCAACAAGCCATTTATTCACTCTCGATCGCCAGCTTCGTAGCTTGCCCATGACCTGCGTTTGCCGCGTGGAGGGCGCGAGGTTGGTCATCCGACTCGCATAGGCGCCGAAGGTCTCCTGCCATATTGTCAGTGAACCAATCTCTCGGAGAACCAGGCACGCAAGTATTTGAAACGGCCCCGCCCAACCGGCGGCAAGACGTCACCGCCAGCCATTCCCTCTTCACCTCGATTGGACGCCACCATCCTCCTTAATCACTGCTCTACTCTTCACCCTTCTCATCCCCAGTCGCAATGGCGCCTAGGCTCGCTCTTTCACATCATCACTTTCATAAATTAACATCAGGATGGGGGCACTCCAACTTCGCGGGAGTGAAAGGGAGTGAATGGATAGACGGATGTATGTATATCCTCCATGTTCCCAAGACTATCCAAGGCTTTTCGACTCGTGAAAGATCGGTGATCCCCAGCCACCCTTCATCATACCCCGCGCCGAAAGCCAACTCTTGTTCTTCCCTGGGAACAGGGAGGCGAAGAGACAGTGCCTAGGGGGTCGAGCCTCTGACACTGAACCGTCCATCATCATTTGTCTTCATCATCGGTTGACTGCGAGTTAGAAACAAGGTGGTCAGGAGTGAGGATACATATCCTCATGGTGATGCTGATGTAGGTTTATTGACTGCGAGTGCGACTCGGTGACAGGACAATGGAAAAGGAGCGGCGAAAGAAGACTGGGTTAGGGCATGTTATGGTTGTGTGACGGGACACGTTTGTTATTCTGAGCTTATTATAGGCTGCAATCGATTGTTATGGGTGACCTGGGGTCAGCTGGTTCTGGTTCTGTGAACATGGGGCATTTCAGGTCGTGTGAGCAGTAATTGTCTGTAAGTTCTGTCTCGGGCATGCTGTCAGTCGATTCTCATCTCCGGAATCCCTAGGGTTTTGCAGTTTCAGTTGGGTGACTGGGGACTGTTGAGCTCTGAAAGGATCAAGCGACAAGGCCAGATCCGGGCATGGTCATCGCCTGATTCGTCTTAGCCTGCTGCTCTATTGGTCAATTTTTGTGGGGAGCGCCCCCTCTGCTTTGTGTTCCTGTCACGGTGCTGTCTGTGAAACTATGCAATTGGGATGATATGACCTCGTGCGCGGCGTTTGAGACGTCGGACTTCTTATTTTAGTTTTGCACCCAGGTAAATGGTCCGTGAAAGTTTCAATAGCGTTGCAACTCCACTTTTGTACGTACATACTGATTTTTCTTTCGAAATGGTTGTTGTCGTTTAGATTTGTGCTCGACTTTCTTGGTCGCTCCACCCTGACCAACTCAGTCTCCTGGCGTCAAGGCCGCTGAGGAGCAGGTGATTGTCCGAAGAAAAGCCTTCGCTTTCGGAGATGCGGACCGACCGGCGACGCCATCAAAACAGCCACGGCCCCGTGAGATTGGCGGGTGTGATAATGGCAAGCCTTGGCGTTGGGCATCTTATCGAGCTCAGGGACCTTTTCGCAGACAGCCTGACTCTTCCGCCAACCATCACCACACCCTCCTAGTCGACGCCGGCGACGACCGCAGCACCCAGGGGTCGTTCACGACACCGACGACCAACGACAACGACCCCGAGCAGCGTCCAGAGCGGGGTTCAGGGGCTTTTTAATGCATACTTCTGCCCTACAGCACGAAAAGGACATCCTGGCATCCTTCTTTCCCCCGTCTGGAGGCAATATGTCTGTCCCAGGTCAAACCGCAGGTCTCTCAAGCGGGCATCACAGAACAGGCAATCCACACCCAGAATTAGGTCAACAACCTCCCCACGACTCCTCTTCTTCAAATTCACAGTCTTCTCGCAACAACAACGGATCTCTGGCGATAAATATGAACCATTTGGGCTCGCACCATGGCGGGAGTAACCCCAACGGCACGTCTTCAGCAGCGACGAGTCCAATGTTCCCCCCGTCGTCGCCTATGCAGCCTTCGAGTCCCAATACCCAGTTGACAATGCAGTTGTTGGGCAATTTGATGCAGATGCAGGGGCTGGATGGGGGGTTCGCATTGCCATCTTCGGCTGTCCCCATCAACTCCAATTCGAGTGGTGCATCGGATAGCGGTTCGAATACGTATGGAATCATGTCCCCGTTCGATATGCAACAGCAGCAGCAGCAGCAGCAGCAGTCGTCCACCAACAACCCCAACCCCTCGTCGCAAAACATGCTCTCGTCCCCAACGACGTTCATGGGAGCGGGTCAAAACCTGCCTCAAAGCATCCTGGAACAGCAGATCAAACTTCAGCAGTTGCAACAGCTGCAGCAACTGCAGAACCAGATCTTCCAGCAGCAGGTATGGCGTAAGTCTGTGCCCAGCAGTGCACGGTTATGCTCATCCGGTTTCGCCCTCCAGATGGCCCTCATCAGCTCATCCCCCATTCTCTCGAAAACGGCGCCTCTGGACGTGAACCAGCAATTCCAATCCAACTCCTCAGATCAGAGTCAGAATGGGAACTACCTTCCGACACCAGGTACGTAGCTTATCATCGCCACCCGCGTCTTCATCGTTGCTAACGACGGCGGGTAAAGGTCCTTCCACGGAGCTGAGGCCACAACAGCAGTCTATGGAGTTCGTCTCCCCGATGATTTTGAACAACAGTTACATGGAATCCGAGTCCCCTAATAATACCCACAACCCTAATCAGCGACAGCAGCACTCGCATTCGCAATCCCATACTCCATCACCGATGATCACCTCTACCTACCATCCTCATGACGATGCCTTTTCGCAACCTCTTCCCCCACCGATGGCTCCCCAGGCCAGTATGGATTACTCCCAATCTCATTCCAATCTGCATAGAGGGATTGCGTCAGCCCCGGAACACTTGGCTTTCGACATTCGCTCGGGGCGAGAGTTTGACTTGGACGTGTCGCCGCTAACGAGTCCATGGCTTGGTGCCTATGGCGCCACGCCATCCAACATGCGTATGTCTTCACATCGGATGGACACGCGCGGTATGGGTACCAATGAGAGGGCATCGAATGGGAACAAGAGAGCGGCATCGCCCCACAATGACGAATACTCTTCGCGGAAGAAGCACAGTCCTGCTATCGGGCCGACCTTGGCCAATGCGGGGATGTTGCCTCCCCCTTCGGGTTCGTCGTCGAGGAGACAATCCGCGCATAGGACGTCCAAGTCCACGACGTCGACGCCGTTGCTGAGAGGATCGAGGAATCGAAGCAAGAGTGGCATCTCCGGTGCCCCACCGACCATGACCCCATTGACTGCTGCCTACGACTCGACGCCGAATGCTGGAGGTGACGCTGGGATGGGACAGCATCAACATACGTTTAGTGTTTCCGGTACACCCCATGGTGGTTCCGGGAGCCTGGGCGGGATGCCTGAGGATAGTCCTTCCCCTGTCGACCTGTCCCAGATCAACCCTTCACCCCCGAATACGGACACCAATCAGTCCATGGCTTCTTCAGATATGGGAGGGTCATCGATAGACATCTTTGCTCCCGCTCCTGGAACACGCTTGACGCCAGTCACACCTGCGAGCATCATGAACCTGGGTCGGCTAGGTGCGCCCTCGAGTAGTGTTAACGATACCGGTCCTGCGAACAACACAAATCCTCCATCGAATGGAACCACGATGACGACGCGCGGTAGTAAAGGCAAGGGCAGGGCAGATGGCAGCAGCAAGCTCAAAACGATCCTCCCAGGCAAGTTGTTTCACTGTCCTAATCTTCATGGTTGCTCACTCCTCCTCTCCACTAGCTGGAGATCCTAACCCTAAACCTGCGCCCGATGCCAATTTCCCACCCGGTCAAAAGAAAACATCGCACAAAGCTGCAGAACAGAAACGACGTGATTCGCTCAAGACGACGTTTGACGATCTGCGGAAATTGTTGCCACCTATCGCGTTTGAGGATACGATTGAGGAGGAGGGTGGTGGCGGATCGGCTACAGGGAGATCGAAGGATAAAGTGTTGCCTGTTCGTGGCCCTCTCCTTCCGGGTGCTTTGCCTCCCCGTGGACCACCTAAAGCGGGCGGTGATGGTCCAAACAAGGGAGTGAGCAAGCTTCAGCTGTTGATCTGCGGTAACCAGTATATCCGGACGCTGAAGGGCCGCGTGGATAGGCGAGACGAGGAAATTGTGAAGCTGAGACGGGAGGTGTTGAGGTTGAGAAGCAAGGTTGGGGTGTTGGAGGGTCGGTTGAAGGAAGGAGGGGGAGCGGGGATGGAGCTTGATCTGGGAGATATGGATGAGCCTCCAGAGGACCTGGATCTGGAGAGGGATTTGGATGAGATTGAAGGCATGTCGGTCAGGATAGAGCGTGTGCCTGGAGGTGCTGCGGGGGATGAAGAGGAGGATGAAGATGCTTGAGGGGTAGGTTGCTGATTTTGCTGAAAAAAGGAAATCACCTTCCCTTTTCCCTCGTTCTTTCAACCTTCATCTTTCTCTTCATTCTTCTCTTCATCCCCTTATTCGTGGTTACTATACCCCTCCATCTCTGCCGAATCATGTACTGTCTCCTGGTATAGATCCGGGTCTATGCTTTCTCTTAATCCGCTTTACGACAAGATTTCAACGGACTCCTTTTTACGTATACACGTAACGCCTTTCTTTCCTATGCCTATTATTCCCTCTCGGAATTACGTAGAACACCGGTAACCCATCCATGATTCCCCCTTCCATTTGTATGACCCAAAATGCTACCCTACACTTGACCTTGCCGATCCCTGGGGATACACTCGCATTCATTAGCAACTCGACAACTGCCAAGACGTCCACCATCCAGCCAACTAGATTGGGTGGAGGATTAGGTTTTCGTTTATGTAGTATCATTATTTCTTAATATTATTATCGTTTTGGTTTTCTGTGTGCGTCGTGACTGTGAGGACTGTGTAGATGAGGGTATGTACGTATGGAAATCAATTGACGCCGAAGCACGGAGTTTGTTGAACGGGTTCGCGAGACTCAGGTTATTGTCTTCCTTCCACCACCATCGACCGCCAACCAACATCGCGTCGCGCGACCACCAACCGCCGGGTTCAACAGATAAAGACCTCTTCTCGCCATGAACGCTGCCCGTAGTCCTCTGTGAGTCCTCGTTGCTTCTGGATACGCAAACGCATCGTTGACAACTTTTGTATTGTTATTGTTTATGAATAGGTCCGTAGTATTCCTGCTACATATCGCTTTGGAATTCCCAATAGTCGTCCAAGGGCTATTCTATCCTGCCAGTCTTCCGTTCTTGCAGCTGAATAACACGGCTCTTGTGTTAGTCAAGGTGTGGATGTCGCCAGGATTGAGCACGAAAGAAGACTCTGACTGTTGAACTTTGAACAGTTGTACGCGTCTCTTAGCCTTGCGAGCTGTATCATGGCACTTTTGTGCTATTCTCTACCTGGTGCGCCTTCCAGCTCGTCCTCCTTGCAGCACCCGTTCCTAATCCGGCTACTATCTCCCGACACGTCGTAGAATTCCTTCCTGGCAAACGCGCACTGGCCATTGCTCTATGCGTCTATCATACGGCCTGTTCGACGGTCATCTACCAAGCACCCCGCTTCATCCCTCATACATTTGGGCCTGCTGCTGAAGCGTACGTTCCCTTCCCCTTTGCTTAGGCTGATTGCATGTGCTGACCGACGTGCTATTCCCATACAGACTCAAGATTACACCTGAGAATATCTGGGGAACCCTCCACGGTATCGTTGGACTCACTATGGTTATCTGGTGGCAGGGTACGGTGCATTTGGCGCACTTGATGAGGCAGGCGTTGGCTGGGGCCGGGGTGCAGCAATGAGCCCAAGGGACTAAAGTTGTGTTGTGGCGTGTAGCGTTGTTGTTGTTGTATCGTATTGTGAGTCCTCGCTCTTGGTTTTCTGTTTCTTGCATTGAGATACTGAGAGTGTTCATTTCAGGTTGTACTTATATCTATCGCCCCGAGTTTATATCCCGAATCTATACCTTCATTTCGCAAATAACTGAAACCTTGCCACGCGCTGTTTCCCAACCTTTCTACCTCTGGCGACAAAACCACAACCTGACTGAAGCCCCGCGAGAAGCCTACTTCTCGCTTCACTCAGCTTTTTCAAGTCGCGGTCGTGCCAATGCATGTCTTCTATATCACGAAGGACTGTGGAAGTCGGCTCCTTCGTTCCCTCTTGGCCCATCTAGTCGCCTATGGCTGTCGCTGAGCAATCAAAATTTAAGAAACCTCGAGATGACATAGCTATCAATTGTGCTGATTTTCTAGGCTCTTCCTTGCCGATTCTTTCCTATGTACCCTCTTTCCTGACCGTGGACCTCGGGCGACGATGGCTGCATTTTGCCAAGCCCGCATGCAACCCGGTGGGCTCCCGACACTGATCGCAGTACGCGCCGACCACTTGCCGCCTCACCCCGACTCCGACCCCAGCATACCCCGCACTTCTCCATGTGGTTCCTCCCTCATGGCACATCCGTGCGCGCAGGGGCAGGGAGGATGAAACTGTATGTGAGGCAGTTCCGAAGAACAACCTTCGCTGAGGCTCGACATGGATAATATAGTGCTACAGAGTACGGAACGTCGGGCAATCCGAGCGGCTTACTAGTACTTCCGTCATTGCGCGTCTATATTTGCTCATCGTTTGGACCCGCGAGGTCAACAAAGGACACTTTGAAAAAGACTCGCCCTCTCGATCGACTTGAGGATGCTACAGGATTGTCACTACACAGTCCATTTGGTCACGGCGGCCGAGAAGCAAACAACAAAGGGCGTGTTATTATTACTACAGGGCATGTATGTCATTAACGAGTCGTATTTGCTACAGGATAAGCTAATGCTTTCGGAAGTATGAATAATGAGGGTATATACAAAATGAGGGTGTTCGTTTTTACTACAGCGCAGTCGTCCCCTTGCCCTTGCCGCTTTCGATATCATATAAGGAATGTCGGTTTTGCTTTTCCGTTTCGGTGGGTGTTTCAACATCGGCGAGTGCATGGTGCTCGACATGCACGAAGACTTCAGGTCCGCGTGTGGCCTTGTGTGCATGGAAGTTGATCATGTCGCTCTAATGGGGCACGCTCAGCTGTCGAATGATTGCCAAAGGAAGACGAAGTCCGCTCACTGCTTTACTCGTCCTATCTCGACGAAGAGTAAAATGCGTAGAAGCCCTGGAAATACCGGAAAGACCGTTCTTGAAGCCGGATGAAGTATTGACTCCGTCAGTGTCAGTTCCATTTGTATGGCTTGCTGTGCTGGATCCGTAAAATGCAGACTTGCGGGCGTTCAGTGTGCTCATGAGGGAATTCGTGTAAAGTTTGCTTAGGGGGTAACTGAACAGGAGATGTCTGAGAAGGAGGTGAGAACCTGCAAAGAAACCCCGGTTTGAATGAACATACAGGCCAGAAGTCTAGAGAAGTAAACAGGGGTGAGCCAATGAACTCTGAACAGAGGCTACCAGAATACTTACGGAAACGAGGTAGAAGACTAAATCGAGCGCAGCAACCACCATCGTTAAGAGGCCGGTTTGCATCGTCACTAGTAGGTAGGTAGGCACGGAAGGTCAATCAGTTCCTATTTCCATGGTCACGGAAAGAGAACTTGGGGCCTCACATTTAATAATACGGTCGACGATTAGATCTGAGCGCTGGAATCCTGTCTTCTGGCGGCGAAGTGCGACGACCAGGATAATTGTAATCAACGCGTCGCAAGCACATGTTGCGCCTAGCCAGGTGCTGACAGTGTGCTGAAACGCCAATCGATCAACTTGGCGTTTTGTCGCCGCGTTAAATAACACCCACATGAAACTTCTGGAATTCAGCAAAGTGAGGGTGTCGAACGACTTCCCATGCAGTCAGGACACCGGCAACTATGGTGGGTTTGTTAGCGTTCCATCCACGAACAGGGGCTGTTTAGCCGTACTTCCGGACGTAAGGGCTGTGCTCGCCACCATGGCCACCAGCACCCATGAAATCTTCCATTGTCGTGTGAGGACACGGACTCTCCATGCAAAGAATAACTGGACACATGTAGCGATAATTGCCTGCAATAGATGTGAATATTCTGATGGGGCTGACGAAAACGAAATTGCTTTACCGTTGTCGCTGGCTCTGTGTATCGAGCGGAAGCCGCGTTATAACCTGGACTATCACTGGATAGGGTGTATAAGGAACGGACCTGTCGCAAATACTGGTGTAAAGGACAGTCAGAATGGTCTTTGACTAGCACGCCGGACGCAAGACACTCACTCCAGTCCGCCGTGAAGAGCATCTCAACTTCACCTAGTGCCATTGGTGCGCGTTAGTCAAATGCTTGAAAGAGATGATAGCTTTGAGTTCCCAAGATGCACCCACCAAAACGTAGAATCAGCGCTCGGTAGAGGTCAACATAGCAGAAGACCGTGTTGACGATATCCGCGAGGAAGATAAAAGCAACCTGGGACCGCCTCAACCGACGCTCGAATTTGAAATTCGGGAAGTGCGAACTCACAAAGCTCTTCATCCATATGGGGTCCCTCTTATAGGTCGTATAGTACAGGTAGACCTGCGTGATCATAATGCCAAACAGCAGGACGTTGAATATCAGCCCGGTGAGCATGTACCCATGGCTGTTGAGCGTAAGCAAACTGAACGGGGGAATGTAGATCCCTAAACACGTACGCGACTTCTGCTGGACCCTGTGGCATTTTGAGCGGCAGGACAAGGGAGGGGAGAGGACGGAGTGGAGTGAAGTGAAGTGAAGATGGGGTGAATCCTCTCTTGCAAGGCTGCTTTCGCCCAACACCTTTATTGCAGATACGCTTCTTCGCCCGAGCCGAAGGGCATACAAAATGGGAAGATGTGAGAATGACATTTCTCCCAGATAATCAACCTCCCAAACGTGGGCGACAGTCTGGAGATTTCCATTGGGTGAGAGAACACGGATCACAGAGGACCCTTACGTGTTGTTAGTATAAATGGCCCAAACCGAGATGTTGACGCTTATCGACCTCTCCTTCGTGCCTTGGAGTATATTTGACACCTGGCTCGCATCAAGTCCAAGCTCGGTACGGGGCCCGAATAAGCGCTGAAATTTGCGCAGTTTCACCTGGAAGGACCATTGAATGCCAATTGAATAGTACATAGATGTCCGCATATTTCAAACGCCTAAAAAACGATAATTTCGCTAAATCTTCTGTATCCCTTCAACCTTGGGCCCTGCAACGTTATTGCGTCCGCGCCGGGGACAGCAAGCGCCGGAGACAAGTGGGTTAGCGCCCATGGTCGGCCGCGATGATCGCGATGCAAAACGTGCTCGCACGAGCGGCCGAATACGACCTGGGGCTACTCCACGCTCACTTCCACGCGCTCAACACCCTCGACGTGTGGTGCAGCTCAGCATGGTGAACAACTACCCTCGCTTCGGGATCGGACGTGTTTTACAGGCGGTAAGTACAAGGGCGAGTGATCGATCACAGGCGCGGCCGCCTCGGTAGTCGGGACACACATTGGCAGCCGAAATCATCTCTCACTGGGAGGAAATGTACTTCCCGTAACTGCAAAGGTCTCTACTGTCCCTAACGATGCTGGAGCGCTTGCGCCAGCGCTGAAGAGTCCTAGGTCAGAAATAGCGAAGGTTCTCCTGCGCACTCGCTTGCGGCCAATTATCTTTATCAGACGCCATGGCTCAGCGCTCAGCGTTCATTGCCACACCGGCGGTCTGCGGATTCAACGCCCTCCACGGCAAATGCCGCCACTAATCGCAATGTACCAGTTTCACCTCCTCGAGTTCGGAATCATCGTCACCTCTCGTCACATCCGGGTCGGAGTACTGCCAAGCAAGGCGAGGGTGAGAGTCAGTGAACCAACTGGGGCTACAAACTAAATAACGGGCCAAAAAACGACGTCGCTAGAGTGTGTCAAGTAGTCAAATATAACGTCGAAGGCGGAAGTGCAATTTAGTTTTAAGTGGTTAGTCAATAGCCACGCCTAATATAGGCCGTTCATCAATCCGGACCACTGCGTACTTATATCCAGCTTGAACATAGCCATTCCTGGGGTGACGCTACATAGCTATGTACCTCAGTTATCCTAATGAACACCAATTGCATGAAACCAAAAAAAAGCCCAATAAAGCCAACAAAGGAAAACCAAGAACCCGACGAAAATCCAAAACCACCAGATGTAGCGCGCATGAACGTGTGTAACGCAATCAACATTATCGCAAGAGAACCGGACAACAAAAAATCAAGCAGAGAAAGAAAAAACATCAGTAACAACAGTAACCCTTGAAATCGTAAGAGATAAAAGCGAGCAGGTCGTAGAAGGTCATCAAAAGAGTCGTAAGATCTAATCGCAGACAGAGGTCACCACAATCGTCAGCGTGGAGTAGGTCTGTCAACCCACTCAAGTCCTCGAACTCCCAACAGCAGCCTGCACAATCAACAAACTGGCATTAACACCAGTAGCAACCAACGCAGCGCCAACATCACCCAAAGTCTTGGGCGCACTCGACCCAACACCCGCCCCCGTCTCACTCACAACCCTCCTCAGCTCAGGACCAAGCGCCTCGACCGCCATCCGCCTCGACCTCCCCGCAAGCACAATCATTGTCTTTGACAGCTTCGGGTCCGCTTCCACTTTGGCAGCCTCGGATTGGGCGAGCTCAATGACGGTGTGGAGGGGCTGGGAGGAGGCCTGGGTGGAGAAGGTGATTTTGGTTAGGGCGGAGGCGATGGTGGGAGAGTGTGTTGTTGAGGTGCCGGCGTAGCGTTCCCAGATGAGGTTGTCTTCGGTGTCGGAGGCTAGACGAGCTTGGGTTGATAGTTGGCCATAGACGGTGTCGGCGGCGGCGACGGTAAGCTGGAAACATGCATCGTCAGAGAACTGTCCATTCAAAGGGCGACGAAAAAACGTACGTGATTAGCGCCCGGGCTCGTAGGTCCGGGTGACACTAGAGGAGTATCCTTCTCCTCACTAACAACACCTTCCTCCGCTCTCTGAATGCGGACCACAGTAGCTTGAACACCACTCCTAACACACAACTGAACAAGGAAGTTGAGAGCCAGGCGATCATCAGGTCCACCAAAGAACGGAAGGAACAAATGCTGGTCATTAGAGATGGAGATCGAGGGTGCACCGCGGTCCACGAACAACGCAACATCTCGCGGACAGCGTAAGAAAACGCTCCGGATGAACTCGGAGTAGACGACTGAGGTGGTTTGGTCGGTGGTTGTAGTCCTGTGGAAAGCGCCATCGAAGGGGTTACGTCCATAATCCACTCCTTCGGGGTTCAAGAGGGAAGTTGTTCCCCTCGCCCAAGGGATGATGACCATCTCCGATTGAGAGTCGGTTGCATGCTGAGCGATGGCAGTGGAGAACTGGTCAAAGCTAACCACGGAAAGGGTCGCAGACACGACCATGCGATTGAGGCTGCCAAATGTCCTGAAAGCGGAGACGACCGGGTCGTTGTAGATGAGAGCATCAGCTTCCTTGGATCGGATGACGTCGGAAGTTCTGTTTGACAATTCCATGAGGCGGAGAGTGTCGATCTCAACTTTGAAAGTATCGTCGATATCGTCGCTGGGGTCGGGTCCGAGAGCTTCTGCGGCTTTGGCTGACACAGTTGTCTGTGATACAAGGGTGGATGTGGAGACGCTAGGTTGGAGGAGCTGCGTAAGTGTCATCGCAGGGGCCAGTTGTTCGACCTTTTCCAGGACGAGCGCGAACCGGGTCCTCAGTTCACCGTCAAGTACAGGCTTGTCACGCGCTTCTTCTTGGTCAGGCTTAGCGCCCTTTCCTGACTTGGAGATAGGCGAAGTACGGTATTGAGGAGGGTAAAAGAGGAGAGTGAGGGGCGTGGTGACGAAAGTAAGGACCAAAGCATGCACAACGAACATCGAGAATGTGATGTCGTTGAGAATATTGGCTTGCAAACCAATGTTCAACACGATCAGTTCGACGAGACTACGATAGTCGGTCAGTTCCATAGGCATGAATCAGACAGCGGCGTTGTTGCTCACCCTTTGCAGCTCATCAAAGTGCCGATGGCTCCTGCCTCTCTCCACTTGAATCCAAACAAGAAGGCGGCGCCGGCGCAAGGAAGGAATTTGGCAGCGAATGCTACAACGCAGATGAGGATGGTGTATCCCCATGCAACGCCACTGTTCAAGAGACCGAGATTGGTTTTCAATCCGGAGAGTGTGAAGTACTGGGTGACGGGTAAGAGACGCGTTGAGGTTGGTTTGATGTTCCACTTACGATTGGGATGAACAAAATACTAATGAGATCCTCGATCTTTTCCACCAACGAAATCGCGAATCCATTTTCGTGGGGGATAATGAGACCTGCCATGAAGCCACCTATCATCAATCATCAGTATTCAGTTCCTTCAACTGAGATTAGAATGTGACACAAACCGAAAATAGCATGCACCCCAATGATGTCCGTGAAGAACGCGGACACGAATTCGACCATGAGAGTAACGGTCATCATGAATGGCGTAGGCGAGCCCTGTTCCAGACTTCCGGTTCTCCTGCAAAGCCACACGAAACCCCATCGTACGGGATAGAGTAAGAAGATGGTGTATCCCACTGTCGCAAGGAGCACCCAAAGCGCCGTCAAACCGCCTGTGGAATTGACGAGAGCGACTGTCAAAGCCAAAAGTACCCAACCGATAACATCGTTCCCGATACCGGCGGACAACACTACAACGCCCACTTGAGTGTCCAACAACTTGAGTTCGGTGAGGATACGGCATAGGACTGGGAAGGCTGTGATGCCGACGGCGACAGCGACGAACAACAAGAAGTAGCCAAAATTAACCTCGGGTTCAATGAATTGGTTGTAGACTCCGACGCCCAGGGCTGCCCCTAGACCGAGGGGTATAACCAGGCCGGCGATGGACACGGTCGCGGAGGCTGTGGCGCTACGTTTGAGCAGGCGAGTATCGATTTCGAGACCGACGAGGAACAGGAAGAGGATGAGACCGACGGTTGCGGTTAGGGTCAAAAGGGGCATCGAATCTTCAGGGAATATGGTCTCCTTGAAATTCGGGATGCGGCCCATGACAGTCGGGCCCAGGAGGATACCACCAATCACCTCTGCGATTACCCGTGGCTGTCGTATACGGCCCAGCACCAATGCCAGGATCTGGGAAAAGGCGATGATGATGACTGGCTGTCTGTCAGTGCTACACTCTCCTACTCGTTCAGCAAAGACGTCGACGCACCGACTTGGATGACCCATAGACGAAAAGGATTGGAAGGGCTATAGTCTGTGGGTATGTCGCCAGATATCACTCCACCCTACTTGAGGCGTCAGGCCTGTTATGAATGTGCCTGAGAACATAATAAGCACCTGTTCTGCAGCAGCTCTGGCAAAAACTGCTACTGCTGCATCGAGTTGACGAGCGAACTCCCCCATAGTGGTGGAAAACAGACCGCTGGGGACTGAATGAAAGGGAGGGCGCCATTGGCTCAAGTACCGTCAAATACAGGAGCCCAGGACAACAACGAACCAAAACAAATCGAGCACCGCATTCCGTGATGCCGTCTATTCTTGGAACCCGTCCCGGACTCTCTAAGTAATTCAATTCGATGCTTTTTTGACGACATTAGACTCCGCTCGTTTTCTTCTGATTGGTTTCTTCTATTCGAAGCATGATTGGTGCTGCTCGATACAGAGATAGGGGTGGCGAGTTCATGATGTTCAAGGTAGATTGACGGATGTGGTGAGCGGCGATAGGAAAGGTTCTTTTCAGATATGGATGGCCTCATCCAACCTCGTAAATTATCCGCACTGATTCGGAATATCGTCTAGACAAGGAATTGTCGTTGTACGATATCAGTGAAGGGTACAAGGAACTTGGCCTACCATGGTCCAGGAATTCATCACGTTCCATCGTGACATTTAGTTCCTTCCGCCCATTAGTCGACTTCTCGGGACTTGGCTGGAAAACACCTATGCGGCACACTGGTGAAATCCAGAAACCAAGACGGGATCCTTAGCGACTTTGCATCACTAAGCCAAACCCGAGTTTTTGGTGAGCACTCTTCGACAGTACAGTTCGTGGAAGAGCGGCCAAGGTGACATAGTTGACAGTGCGAAAGCCTGGCGGTAATTACAGCTGAGAAGATGACGAAGTTCCCAACAATAGGCGCCTCAGTTATAAGCGCCGCAAATTGCGATGCCGGCAACCACCAACGTCGGGATCTGCCGTCGTGGCCCACTGGCAGAGAGACGATCGAGACGACTTCGACAGCGACTACGACGACAACATCGATTCCGAATCGCGAGTTTCAGCACTCTAATTCTTTATTATAGCAAGATATGAACCAAACTCGATATTCTAGGCCTTGAGGCTGCCTCATGGCTTCCCAGTCGTGGTGCTTGGTGACATAATGGGATGCATGGCTTTCCCATTGCAAACAACCAAGGCCGACAAAGAGTCTTCAAGATTCCATGGCTCTCTCGCTTCTCTAAGATTCCTCAAAATCTTCAACCTGGCCCTGTCGCTTGGGAGGATCTTTTCGGGAAGGTATGTCCAACCAAATTAATTCGAAAACAAGCCAAGCAGCTGAACTTGGCAGGCAAATTTGAATGGCAAACTACGACTTTACTCGGCCTTACAAGAACCCACTGGGTGGGCAACCCCAGTCTCGCTACCGGTTCTTCCGCCACAGGGAGCCTCAGCCCTCAAACCCTGGATCGACCTGGGCCGCTTCACCATCACCGGCATCAGCTAGTTTCGACACCCATGCAATCCAGCACGACCACAGATATCCTCGGCCGGAATATCATGACCCACAGCCCCACCTTACCTTTCCTGAGGCAGGAGGTTACGCTATGAACGAACACGGCCATAGAGCTTGGACTAGTGCACAGGCACGTCCTCCAGAACAAGCACCAATACACGAGGATCAAATGGGGTATGGCCCAATGAATACAAATGTCGATCCTTCACCTCCAATCCCCAATAGTACGTCGGAAACCTCGTCTATATTGAATTATATCTAATGCCTTTGACCTCGATCAGATGCTGCCTATGACCACCCACCTCCCGTCCCACCACCACTAGAACACCGCCATTCCCGAACACGGCCTACAAGTTGGTACCACCGCATGCTCCCAAGTCACAACCCAGAAACAACCCAATCCCGCGAACGACAATACCAGATGTCACTCATCCGAGACGCTCAGCTCGCCAACCTCTCCTCCACACGACCGCCAGGGCAATTCCACAACCCCTACGCTCAAAAGACGCGCCCGGATGTACCCAACCTCCCACTCCGCCCCGACTCCTCCGTTGGCGGGTGGTCGAAACGCCAGAAACAGACACGTTGGGCTGCGTTTATCATCGTCCTTGGGGGTATGGCTATTATTGCGTTGGCGATCTCTTTGGGTGTATATTTCAGTCAGAGGAATAAGAAATCTCCAGAGACGGAGGATAAGCCTCTGACGACTGGTGTCCCCGAGGATCCTCCGCAAAGTTTTGTGAGTCTAGTTTACGTCCTCCAGACGTATCCTTTGGTCTCACCATTGGTTATAAGACGGGTGGGGATGGGACCGAAGTGAGAATGAACGAAGGAGACGCGTCGTTCGTATACCAAAACACCTTCGGTGGATACTGTAAGTTTACCAGTTCGGGCTACTTACGACCAACCACTCATGGCTTCAATTCACAGGGCATCATAACCCTCTCGACCCATTCAAACTATACGCTAGACCTAACTCATGGACACCGCCTCTGAACGAATCTTGGACATGGGGCCAAGACCGAATATACGGCGTCAACCTCGGAGGATGGCTCGTCCTTGAACCCTTTATCACACCCTCTCTTTTCCAAAAATATCCAGGAACATCAGACGAGTGGAGCCTGAGTGAAGCCATGAGGAGGGACGAAGCGGGTGGTGGGATTGGTCAGATTGAGGACCACTATAAAACGTTCATTGTATGTGGATTTAGAGCTTCCTTAACTTGTGTTGCACGAATTGACTTGGCGTCCTTTTTTTGCAGACGGAGAGGGATATTGCTGAGATTGCAGGTGCATGCCATTCGTGCCATCTATCCACTGGGTTTCTAAAGGGATCTATTCAGGTGCTGGGTTAAACTGGGTTCGGATACCACTCGGTTTCTGGGCAATCGAAACTTGGGATGGGGAACCCTACCTGGAAAGGACATCCTGGACGTGAGTTTCGTCCGCTTCCTTTGTTCCCCTCGCACATGTCCTAACAGCTATGGCAGATACTTCCTACGCGCCGTCGAGTGGGCCAGGAAGTACGGCCTGAGAGTTATCTTGGACTTGCACACCTGTCCCGGCTCTCAAAACGGTTTAAACCAATCCGGACGGTAAGGATTCACCTCCTTCGTGCATTCATCATCAAACATTCATACCATACACTCCATCTCCCAGCGAAGGCTCTATCAACTTCCTCTCCGGCAACATGGGCATTGCGAACGCCGAACGCACTCTATACTACATCCGCATCCTAACACAGTTCATCTCCCAACCGCAATACCGCGACGTCGTCCCCGTCATCTCCATTCTCAACCAGCCAGCCGGGTACGCGATTGGCGTAGAGCCCATTTCGAGTTTCCATCTCAGAGCGTATGATTTGATTCGTAGGATGGTTACTGGGTTTAAGGCTGGACCAGTAAGTTTATCCCTTCTTTTCTACTTGCCAGAAACCCTCAATAGCCCCTTTTTCTTATAATTCCATTGAAGTATATCGCAGTTTCGGGATCGCTCCTCCCGATCGACGTATGGAATGAGACACCTGTTCTACCGGGTGCGGACCGGGTGATACTGGACGTTCACCCTTTCATCGCCTTTGAGGGTATCAACACCTCATCCATCGTCAATATGGCGGTGGATGGTGAGAGAGGGGGCATATGGCCTAAGATGGTGTGTGATATGTGGGGGCCTGCTTTTAACCAGAGGTGTGCATCTTCCTACGAGATCGAAATCAGGGTCTGAGGATCTGACTCTTCCCTTCGTTGCAACAGCCGTCGATTCAATGGAATTACCATTGGAGGCCAGTTCTCCGCAGCTACGAATGACTGTGGGCTGTTCTTGCGCAGTGTGGATATCGCTTCGGAACATCCGCAGTGCGCCGAATATGATAACTGGGAGAGCTACAACGAGACGATGAAAGCTGGTATCCGGAGTTTTGTCCTGGCAAGTTTTGACGCTATCGGAGACTTTTTCTGGTGGACGTGGAAGGTGTGCACTATCCTCTTTGCCTTCCCAACTTATGTGTGTCCGAAGCCTGACGCCGAGGTCTAGGTAGGCGAAACCGAGGACGGTCGAATCGCAGCACCAATGTGGTCCTACAAACTCGGCCTCGACAACGGCTGGATCCCTCGGGACCCGCGCGACTCAATCGGCAAATGCCTACGGCTACGCACGACACCCGACGTCTTCGACGGCGCCTTCCAGCCCTGGCAAACAGGCGACGTAAGCTGGGACCCCGTCATCCCAGAGGACTACCTCCAACAGCACCCCTGGCCTCCGCGTAACATCACCAACGCGGAGGTGGAGGTGGGTTTGTTGCCGACGTATACGAGCACGGGGAGCGTGGTGACACTTCCCCCGCCCACGTTTACGGTTACGACGGATGCATCGGCGGAGGTCACGGGGACGAGTGGGTTGAATGGGTGGTATAATACGTTTGATCGGGCGGGAGGGCCTACTCCTGTTGCGGGGTGTTTTTATCCGGATGCGTATGATGCTTCGTTTGGGGAGGCTGTACCGACTGAAGCGTGTGTGGGGCCTACTGAAGGGTAGATTGTAGAAGGGGGTGGGCTGGGCGGGAGTCGCCGTACAGGTTAGTCCCTCCTTCCATTAACCAAATGCACTCCACAACTGACGAATAAAAGGGGCTCTCAGCGGGGCAGGATATCGATATCGATGAAATGCTGTATTCCGTTCCAGAGTGCAAGATGTATCTAACAAAAGGCCTTTAAGATAAATACGATTATAAATCATCGCTCATCAACGATCCAGCGCGCCATTCCCATTACAATAATCCACGTTTCCAACGACTGGATTTCCAACCCACTAGCCCCAGTCATCAGACACACCTACTGAAAGAAAACATTACAGAACCCACCTGCCAGAAAGGCTTGTGCGACCCTTCAATCCCACCAAGGACAGTGAACGAAAGCAAAAGCAACATGCACTGCGCTCCCCCGTCGAGTGCACTCCCAAAGATCAAACTGTGGTCATTGAACCAGACTGGCCAGCGGTTTCGGATCCAGAGTTGACAAATGATTCCAACTAGGATGCTTGAGATGATGGAGGAGGTGATGCCGAAGGTCATTATGGATGAGTACTGGGTGCGAGTTGAATGAGGGTTGGCGCGATAGAAGGTGTGGTTTGGGTGCATACCATGAAAACGACGGGAAGCATCAGGGTGCTACCGTCTAAGAACCAAAGGTTTGGCCAGATCTAGAAAGAGCGAGAAAATGCTGTTAGCTGGGAGGCGAGGTTGAAGTGGAGGCCATACCCGGTGAAGCAGAGCTTGAATTGTGGTCAGAGAAGCGCCCAGCAGGAGACTCAGAGGCACGATAAAGTAAGGCCCATCGAAGCTGTATAACTCTTTCGCAAGCGCCCAGGTTACAACCTCGCTGTTTAAGATCTGTGGAACTTGACCGTTCCATATGTTGGTTCCGATAGGGCTCGTGAAAGCTTCTTGTTGATGTTCGATGACCCTGGCCATGGTAGCTAAAGGGTATGGACATGAGCAACTTATGGAAGCCGACGGCTTTTAGATGATTACCGTAGTTCACCAACGCTCCTGTTCTGACGATGGTCAGCCCATCTTGTAATCAAACAACGGAGAGGTTTTACTACCTAACAAAAGACCCCAGATTTGTGTGAAGAGTATTACCCGAGAGGGTATTTTGAGGTATTGGCCGAGTTTTAGCTGTGAGGTGAAGTACATGCCGTTTGACACGGCGCTTTCGCTCCAAGTCGAGAACTGCAACGAAGTTAAATGGAGACATCGCGGACAGGGGTTTGACATACGTATAGAATTCCCAGAGGGTTCCCAGGGAGGACCAAACTGCCAACCATCTTAGCTACGTGCATTGGCAACATCCAATGTCCCAGGTACGCGTTGAGCGAATTCGCGAGTGGCTGTTAGATCGTCATTTGGGAGGGTGGGGGGAAAAGCGGAAACCACGAACAAAAGCTATCGTCCCTGCGATAAGCGCCAGCATATAGGGCATTTGGGAGATATACGGATGCCTCAAGACCACCGTGAATCCTGTCATCAAAATGTGAGCATGACAGAGGGCTGAAAAGGAATGGAAATCTGACCCGCAAAGAACGATAAGAAGGCGAGGACAGTATACCACCAGGTTGGGACATTAACTAGTCGCTTACTGGGCGCCTTCCCTTCCTTCGAACCCCTGTACATAAACGGGAAGAGCAACCTTGGTCCGATGAACCAAAGAGCGTGAGCGATCAAGCTTCCAACCTTGCCAAGCAAATTCGTTATCGTCGGGGAAATTTAGAAACCGAACACACTTACACCAAGATTAGATGCTATATTCGCCCACAGAAAGGATCCTGTAAGGCCAGGAGCACCTTGTTCTCTGATTGCTTCTGGGATGATATTGAAATTCTCGTCCATGATCGCCGTGTGGTCATAGACCGTCCCGTTCGGAGAGAAGATGGTGGTCGCCAAAATAGGAAGGTTGAACGCCTGTTTTGGTCATGGATTCAGCACAAGCTCCGAACGTCGAGATAGCGAGGTGTGAGCCTACATTCCAGATGTTCGAGTAGTAGATGCCCATGGTGGCGCAATAGCAGAGGGCATATCCTATCCAAGCATTCACTGGTAGACAAGCGTTAGGACGAAGCCAATAGTTGTGGTTAAGCCCTCACCTTGAAAGCTGATTGGGAGGTGCATCACCCTTATGCAACGTCATTGACCATGGAACAACGGGCCTTGAGACGGATGACTTACGAGGAACCAATGAATTGCCAGTCGAAAGAGACACTGAACAGCCCGAGTCCTTCATTTCCACTAGCACCCCCAAACAAACTCGTAAATGCGTCCTGCAGGATCTGCGATGTGGATGTCTGGGACGCCAAGCAAAATATATTGATTCCGTTTAGGAGAGGGAAAATGTAGGCGGGGAAAATTTCGTAGATGAAGGTTGTCCAGAAGGTGAATGAGAAACCTTTCGACAGCCACTGCCGGTCGGAATCTGGCTCGGCGTGGAAGACTGGTTTCACGTCAGCATGAGCATTGGGCAGAGACGTTGTAGGCTCACCCCGGAGTAACGACAGGGGAGGCACAACCTAGAGCACGGTTACTGCGGTCGTACAATATGACAAACTGACTGGAATAGTTACACTCGGATATATCAGCCCCTTCGGCTTGACAGTGAAATGTCGGAAAAGTCCCGCTAGGGCACACCTTCAAGATCGGGATCAGGATAATGAGTCCAATCATAACTTCAGTCCGAGACTCACCCAAAGCACGTCGTGGAGAATATAAATAAAGAGGCCGCGAGGAGATCCACTTGGGTGTCGTAGTACAACTAAAATGAGGTCGTTCTTCAGAGCGATATCGAGTCGTCAAAGGGAGGAACATACTGACATATTGCACTGAGAGTGTCTGCACAGCGAGGCTTCCGTTCGCAGCAGCCATGGCAATCATCGAGGAAATTGCGTGCTTCGGTGAGATGAGTTCCTATTACGTCTAAGCTGTAGAGAGCAACTCACCTCTCCAAGGGAGAATGGCCCAGGGTTTATGACGCACAGTATTCTGTCGCCAAAGCTCCTAGACGCTTCATCCTTCCGCCTTTTCTCGACATTTTGTTCTCCTCTAGACGGTGCCTTTGGTAAAACAGCCGCCCAGAATGACCCGCCTATATAGGCTACGACTATCAGGAACGTGTTGTTAACCACCGCGAACACCGGTTTCAATACATATACCTGGGTATTGAGTGAGTTTCATCAGGGAAAACGAAGGAATATCGACGGTTCATTTGAGCGCCACGTACTTGATATATTGCTGCCCCAAGGCATCCAACTAGCGAACCAATAACCAAAGATCGCAGTGTTAAAGATCGCTCCATGCATCTCCCATCCTCTGGCTCTGGCTTCACGGTCTCCCACAACGATGAATCGAGGTAAGGGTCGAATAATAGCCCGTTCGCTAAGAATGAATTTGGGAAGGCAAATCCGAGATCTCTCTCTCTCCCCGCGTTGCTATCAATGTTCGCGTTGAGTTTCGAGTCAAGGCTGACACCCTTCTCGAGTTTGTCGTCAGAGGCCCAGGCATGGCTGCTGTTAACATGTGTAGATGCCTGAGAGCCGCCGTCGTGGTCGTTCTGAGAATTTGTCGATTTTTCGTCGCTGGCGAGATATGTGCTAGAACGACTGTCATGGGTCACCGCGCAGATGGTGGACGATGTCGAAGGAGCAGTCGAGGTTGAAAAATCGGAAGCCGACTCGGACAACATCGTCAAAGTGGTGGTCGCCTCCATCATGGATGAAGAACGGTTAGATAATAGAAAGCGCCTTGAGAGATAAGGAAGAAAAGGGCCCGTAACTGGGAAAGAACCTACCATATCTCAGTAGCAGTCATATATAGGGAACAGGAGTGAAACTAAGCGAGAAAGAACCACTGGGAATCAACCTCCACGCATCCCAGCCATCCGACCGACTCGACCTAGGCTAACCAATCCAGCCCGCTCCAATCTTCCCCCCTGGGTCTCGGTGTGGGGAGATACAACGCCAACAACTCGAAAAGTGTACAACCGCAATCTTACACTAGAGCAAGAATCAACGTCTTCAGCCAGAGATAAGTAGATAGACGTCGAAGTTCGAAGTACCGCTTTCTGACGTGTCAGAGCAGAACCCGAGCGGTGCAGGCCAGTATGGAAGCCAAACTACTCGTTGGCTCCTTGACTCAGATCCCCCCTGAGCAAGCTAACGGGACGAAAAGTAATAATCCAAGAAAGAATGCGCCATTTTGCCTATCGCGGGCAGTGCATTCTTGAACGATGTGGATCGAGTCGTGGCGAGTTGATAGCGTGAGGGTCAGAGATAGTAGATCCCCTCCATCCCTTCAATCTGGTCACATCTCCGCCAACTCCGAAAAGTCAATGTCATCCGATTGCGGTCGAGTGCAGGAGAGAGATGCATGTATGCCTAGACGAATGAACCTAGTTGTGCAAAAGCTTAGTTAGTTAGGTAAACGAAGAATGAAGGATTTGTTTAATCATGTGCTGCCGCTCCACCGGAACTGGGGATATAACAAAATAGCCTGCAGACAGTCGCCCCGAGACCCTATCAGAGAGGGCAGAGTCAAGGAAAGCCAATCAACGGGGATCCCTGACAGGAGGGCTTGAAGACTTGATTCCGTCAAATGCAGGTGTAACGTGGCAGAGCTCGACGTTCTAGACATCAACAGTCCTCTTCAGCATAGTCGGAGATGTACTCAGTAAGGGCGTTTTTCATAGTTATCCAGATATAAAGTAGATTGCCAGAACCGCCAAATAAAAAGAGTACGAACAGAACACGAGAAGAACGTAAAAGGAAGACCAGAACTTGAACCCCCGTGGAACGAAACCACGAAGTCCTCCACGGAACGGACCGAGCGAACAAGAACCCAACAGTAGCCTGCAGAGAGGAAGAGGATGGAGAGAGGCTACCATTCGAATCATCGTCCGTGCTTGATTCTAAGGTATTTAGTTGGTCTGAGCACCAACAGCCTGAGAGGAAGAGAAGAGAATCGCGTCAGTCCACCAGTGATCTCCAGCAGCAGTTGAGGCATCACTCACCAATCGCTTCAAGTGCTCCATGAACACTTGCAAGCTGACATCGTCCGTGAAGATAGCCTGACCAGCTCCAGCACCAGGGGTGCTACCATACATGGTCGCACTCATATGCGTGGTACTGGGATTGAGTTTGGAGAGCAAGAATCGGGCCTGAGAGCCGCCTTGATCACAAACAATGTATCGTGGGATAGGGAAGCGATCGGCGAGGAGGTCCTATATCAAGGGGAAAAGAGTCAGCGATGTGAAGAACCCAACAGGTTCGATAATTCTCTCACTTGGGCATCAGCGACAGGCAACTCGAGGAGTTCCTTAAAGTTCTCGTAGCCCTCCTGGTCTTGGTAGCCCTGCTTTCTCCATTGAGCAACGAGCTCTCCATGGAAAATGAGAATGTGGAAGAATGTGTCGAGGAGGAGGATGACGTCATGCTTGATGGAGACACTGTCCAGCAAGACGGGTTGCGGGGGCTGGTCGAAGGTGTATGACATGAGGGTGGGCTGTATCATGATCAGCGAATTGTTAACATCTTCTTCGTTGAGGACATGGCGGTAGAACGCTGTCTCGTCAGGACTGTTGTTGAAGACTTGAAGGAACTGGCTTCTTCTGAGGTGGAACATGAACTGAGGATAGATGCTGAAGTTGTCCGTGAGACGGAATGATGTTGGATCTTCCTTCCTGTAGTCTGCGAACTTCTGGCAGAGTCGGATCAACATACGATCTAACCACCTCAAGACGTCGGGGGAATCGTCTATTTCTGCCTTGAAGACGGCTATCCGGGCCATTAAAACAGCGGCGGCCTCTTGATCGAAGGAGGCGGCAATGGAAGGGGATCCAGCTTCCGCGAAGTTCCGTGCGATGGTGGTGACACGAAGTCGCATTTGGCCCGAGGAGTGCTGGTAGTGGGTCACAAATTGAATAAGTCCACGGGAACCTTGCTGGAGAGGTTGGCCAGCAGGGGTGACAACTTCAAAGTAGACACCCGCCGCTGTGCGCGGTGTGATAGCATTGATCTTCCATGCTGAGGTTTGACCGATACCAATCTCAGTCTCGCCAACACACGCGGATTTCTTCCCCGCGGAAATTCCGTGGCCAATCATTCCCGAGACCTTGAGCTCTTTTGTGGTCTAAGGGGGATAACGAGTCAGAGCGATAACATAAAAGACAGGGCCGTAACATACCTGAACGTCCAGCGTTGCATTGAAGCCCATCGACAGGTTGCCCTGGTCATCTTTATTGAACAGGCGAAGGAAGGATTGCTTGAAGATGGATGTTGCGAAGGAGTCGGAAAGGACGATGACGCCATTCGTGGAATTTGGCAGTGACTTCATTTCTTGCAAGCCAATCTGATCCAAGCAACCGGCGAAGAGATCGACAACGTGGCCATTGTTAGAGACTCGACGAGCAAGTCCTTCATAGAACTAGAAGTAGGTGTTGGTATACGATTAGTACGTTGAATGATGTACAACATACCTTCATGGCCCGCTTGTAATGTTTGGCCGAATCACGGTCGATATCGTGGTGACTACGAATAGGCTCCTTCAGTTCGTTGCTGACGACCATACCCGGTCCCTCGGTGGCGGGACCACCGGAGAAGAGCATAATTCTCGCGCCAGTGTTGGGGAAGGCGGTCTCAAGCAAACCGACGGCGACGCTGAGGGCGACGCCGGTACACCTCAATGGTCGCTTGTCGTTGGCGACGGGCCAGGGATCGCGGGTAAGCGACTCCAAGATCCCGGTCAGCTGGAATTCGCACTGGGAGACTGGGAGAAGGAATCGGGCTGCGCCAAAGGCCTGTTGAGACAACGGTTGTCCAGGGCGTGGTGCAGCACGGTTTTGGGATGAGAGACCGAGCATATCTTGGATTTGCTTGGGTTGATACTCCTTTCCGCCCCGGAAGACATATGACTTGGAGCACTCGGCATAGCCAATTTCATGAACTTGGGTCTGCAATTATTTGAACAAGGGCTAACAGATACGCGATCGCGAAACACATACCATGGTTCCATACGTGATCAATCCCACCAAGGCATAGGGGGGAATCAAGCTCAAGCTGACCACGATGGCATCACGGAGAGCCTTCAAATCGTCCTCATCCAAGCAGGTATCGACAACGAACAGAAAGATGGGTGGGACTTGAGCGGGTCGCGCCAAAACATATTCAATCGTCGTGTACTTGGGCAACAATTCCGGGGGCAAATTGGTGTTGGAGATCTCCTTGTAATGCGGCGGGAATGCATTTCTCGACAAGCAGAAAGGACAGATCCAGAGTTTTCCACGAATATCAATCTGGCTAGACAGTCATTTCAGTCCCAGAGCGCGATCCAATTCGCGATCTTTGGCCTACCAATATGGATTCAGGATCGCTCGGCAAGGCGGTTTGCACGCGACGGGCTCATATACGACCGGCGGAAGATCTTCTCTGACTTTGAGTGGCGTGTAGAGGGCAGAGATGGGCACAACGGTCCTGGTCGCTTCAATCCTCGATGATGGCCAGACGTTCCATGAGAGTCGAATGCCTAGAATGTCGTTGACCGTATTCAGGGACGCCGTCACTGACCAACAAACAGAAACCCACCGTCGCGCTCCTCGACGTCCTCGAAGTTCATCATCGTTGTTCGTCACAGTAAAAAAGAGAAATAAGATTGTCACAGACAATCGTTTGGCGTCGGCGACAGCAGTGAGCGAGAAAGATCACCACCGCCGCCATCGCGAGCCACGTAGGAGTTGCGTAAACAATGCACAAACAACAGCCCGGTCCAGCCGTGGGAACCGGCATGCTGGCCGCAACCTAATAGCCACGTCGCGAGCGCTAAAGCACCAATTCCTGGTCACTTCGACAGTCATGAATCTTTCACGTTACCATGGAAAGAACTGGTGAATCGGAGACTTGCAACCGGGAAGGACCGGGAGGTAACGTCTCAGCTGGCACCGATATGTGGTGTTGATTTGCTGAATGTGCTCTCAGAGCAGAGACGGCCCCGGTTGGTGAGTTTATTCCTGGGTTCGTGGAACTTCTGCAGGCTGTGGTTCCAACGACTCATAGAAGCACTGATATTAGTAGAGAACAGCACTCGATGTCCGATAGAACTACGCAACGCTCGACACCCAACTTCCCCAGACGTTCCCAGACAATGACTCGGCGGATAATGTACACGATCGACATGGGATGTGACTGAGGCTCACACGCTTTCCGAGGTCCTGATTGCCAGATCCCAGGGAGTTCACAGCCTCGCGTGCACTCCTGGATGATTGGTTAGAGCACGTCTTCGACTTCCATCGGCGGCGCAGCGAAGGGCTGTGCCAAGATGACATCCCTGTGGGACTTCCGGAAAAAAAAACCTTCTTGTTCCTGCGGCGATGATGGGCGCCTATCGCAATGTTAGAGCCTGACCCGTAAGTAAATCGATCAATCACACGTCACGGAGTAAGGCTGTTAACTAGAGATGGCTTCAAGCGTGCTCCAACCATCCTAAATACAACACGGCTGGTTCTTTTCTGCCTACCCTTTCCCCACATTACCCAGGTTCCTGCGGTTGGCATGCCAGACGACACCTTCAACTATAGTCTTGCGGCCTCAAGCACAAGTAGAGAAACATCAAGTACCGCGCACACACCTCCAACGCCGCCTTTCTGGGAGGTATGTAGACATGTTCGTGACAGTGAAGGCGAGACTTACGCATCTCAAGGCGGAGAGGCCATGGACAACAAAGGACCCGCTCCGTTTTCCTATGCCAGGGGAGAACAGGGACCTGAAATACTGTAGACGGCTTGTTGAAGAGCACGATGACGGTCGGTGTGCCGCATGGAAGGACGAAATCCAGAACCTCCTGCTATTTGTACGCTGCTTTCCTTCGATCGATATTACACCTTTACCGCTTCTCGTCCCGGGCTGACAAGGTACTTCAGGCTGGCTTATTCTCCGCAATAGTCACGGCTTTCAGCGTCGAGGCCACGAGGCTACTACAGGGATCTCCGGAGGACGTCACCGTCCAACTCCTGGGCCGGATAACTACCCAACTCGAATTTTCACACAACGAGCCTTCCTCAACGCTCCCGCGACTACCCTCCTTTGCACCACCACCCAACGCAATTCGCGTGAACATCCTGTGGGCTATCAGTCTGACCATCAGCCTCGCAGTGGTTACCGTCGGCATCGTCTGCTTACAGTGGCTGCGCGAATACCAACGCCAGGATCCCGGGCGCTCCGACAAAGATGCACTGGCAGCCCGAGATCTACGAGCTGAGTCCATCAAGAGATGGAAAATTCCATTCATCATCTCCATCCTCCCCATCCTGCTGCAAGCTGCGTTGGCGTTATTCCTTTGTGGACTGGTGGACTATTTCTTTGCCATGAGCCCGTTTGCAGCATGGGTCATTTCTGCTTTCGTGGGACCGACACTTCTTTTCATCATCATAACTCCGATGCTACCAGGCCTCCACGACTTCATTCTGACGCAGATCTGGCCGGGTCTCTCGGGTACCTACTGTGCATACCGATCCCCACAAGCATGGGCGTTCACGATGCTCTGTAGCGCCGTGGCCGCGACGTGGCACCACCTTCGTCATTTAACCAATGTAAACAGCGGAGCCGCTGAAGACATTCCACTGAAATCCTGCATCCGCGAGATCAAGCACCTTCAGGATTGGATCGCGTACGACGGGTGGCGGAGGAAGGGCCCGAGATTCAGACACGGCTTTGTCTTTGCTCTTTGTCGCCTTTTACGGCTGCATCGGGGTACTGACAGCCCAGTACTTTATGCCGCATACCACTCCTTGCGGGACATTGTCTCTGTGGATGAGGCCGAAGATGCAAGCAGGGAGATCTTCAGAACCGCCGACTTCAACATCAGAGACCAAATCCCGGAATCACTACCACCTGCAGACCAGGTCAACTTTGCTCGAGATCTATTGATGTTCCACATTGGACGGAAGGTGTTTCGCAGGGCCGAGCCATCGCGAACCTACTATGGAGAATGGGAGCATCGCCATCTACTGGAGTTGTTCGTGAAGATAACGCAGCAATGTGACGAGCTTGGACTGGAATGTCCGCCCATCTTCAACACCATAGAGAGACCCTTTTCTGACTACTCGGTTCTTCCGCATTGTGAGCATGTCCGTTTTCAAAACGACCTACACCGCTAAGCCATCCGACAGCTCTGCGAATTCAACTCTTCAAACGCCTTCACGCGAGGCTACACATGGACATTCGCCCGCTCGGAATCTCCAACATCTCTTTCCTTCAAGACGCCGCAGAATCTATGCTGGCTTTGCTACTGACGTTCGTGTTCTATCCTTTAGACGACGCTTACGCCACCCCTGACTCGACCTCAGACGCAATCTCTAACGAAAGCTTCCACCAAACATCCCAAATACTGGAAGCTGGATTCGATGATCTCTCCGCCGCAGTAGGCCAATGGGAGAACCCAAATTTCGACCTATTTGTGAACTCGTGGCAGCGTTTCCTCGACCATCCTGCGAGGACACTTCGCAAGAACGTTGCTTTAGTCTTCAAGTCGCCTGCATTTTGGAAGTTCCTGCGTACTTTGTCCATCTCACAGCGCTGGCCTGTCCCACTTACAGGGGGTGACACCAACCCTCAAATAGACAGTTGGGTGGACTTTGCTTCCGCTATAATCCGAGTTGGTGAGGAACATGCTCCCATAGGTGAGTCGCCGGTTGACAATTCGGGTTTTCGAAATCGCCTTTGCTTATGAGTTTCCCGTGCTCGTAGTCTCCCTCGTCGACATCCTGGACCTAACACTCCGTCACTTACAACTGCAACGGAACATCCAATGTATCAACCTAAAAGGCGTCGTTGGACTGATATGCAAGGCTATTGGCATCGTCGTTCTCAATGCAGATAGCCTCGACCCTTTCATGGAAGAGAAAGAGGATATCACGACAAACGTGACACTCTACAGCAAGGTCGACGCCACTTTCCGACTACTGGCCGAGCTAATGGAAAGCGGGACGTACCTAGGCCTGCGCTTCCATGCCTACTGCCTCGTACCATGGACCGACCCTGCGAATGAAGCCAAACTCCTCTTGAATAAGGACATACTAATTCACTCAGTGCCTTTCGCGGAACTGGTGTCATCCGTGGACTCGAACATTCTTCCCTTTGAATACTTCGATACGGAGATTTGGAAAAGAAGGTTGAACAGATTGTATACCTTGCTGGATATTCCTGTTCCGATTGGAGTTCGACGGACACCGATGGACTCCGAGAGTAGTTTGAATACAATAAATTCGTAGAGACACTTGTGTAGGCACGTAGCTCTCGGAAATCAAGGGACATGTAGCGACCTCTCAAAGCGGCTGTGCCGAGCAGCCTCCCGTAAAATCTGTGCCATAATTAGCAGGCTCCCAACTGGGACTACCTTCCATTTGATCATACTCAGACTTCCGACGACTTCCCACAGTGTATGAATTCAATTCACTCCAGAATGTATTACCGATCCGTCTATGTCAATCCCAAAGGCACATATACTTAAACTTCGCAAGTACGCCGAAGATCCCTCCAAACACAGTCGAACACTTTCTAAAGCTCAAACACCAACTTCCCAGCACAGACATAATCGCGATGCAACCAACCCGCGTTGCCCGTAACATCATGGTCGACGACGCCATCTGGGGCCGTGGCCTCTCGAACACACTGAGACCTCGGGGCGCGGACAGGACAGGCATGGTGCGTCTACACCTTTACTCTCTGCCACCTGATTCCCTGCCAACCATCTTATATATCTAGGCCGTCGGACTCGGATCCCTGGCCGCATTCATCGCCTTTGCCTACGGCGTCGAATGGTTGGCGGAGAAGCGCAATCCCGAGAGTACGTGTTCGCTATTCTGCCTATTGCTGAGCATACAGCTAACCCTAGATGCCGGTGGTGATGTAGGAACCCAGGCGATGCAGTAAAGGAATTCTTGTCCCCCTTCTGCGGTCCTACCACTGAAACGATGTCGACGCTCAGCTCTGCTGAACCGACAACCATCAATCTTCATGAACCCGACTCGGAATTTACTGGTCTCCTCCGAGATGACCTTTTGCTTACGACGTTTTATCCTCTTTGAAAGTGTATTTTTTTTTGTTTTCTGTTGCAAACTTGCCTGTATCAGTGTATTATATGGCTACCTGAACACGACTTGAATTTTGCGTTATGATTGGGGTGGTTATGATTGGGGTGGATGCAGGTTGAAATTGTTGTTCTAGCTGTGGGCGGGAGCGGCCGCCTAGCCATCGTTTCCCGCCCGCACCTCTTGCGATCGATAGATCCACCATTCACCTGAGACGCTCCAATAGACTAGACCCTCGCTCTATTGAGTCCTGGATCAAGGGAGTATACCTCGATATTTGACATCATACCCGAAACTGACACCACAGACGATCTTCTCGATTCCACCTCTTTCCACCATCCACCGATAATTCGAACCTCCTTTACAGACCACCACCGTCAGCTACAGATAGTCCCACCAGCAGCCATCAGCTTCACAGATCAACACAGCTATCATGCTCAGAACAGCAATTCGACGCAACGTCGGCGGTAGAGCCAGCGGTGGTTCAGGCTACAACTCTGGTTCCAAAGCTAACAACAACCTGGTACGGCTCCTACCCTCCCCCATCATGAGGAAACCGGTGCTAATCACTGAAACCCATTTCAGATGGTCGGAGCGGTGGGCTTCGCAGCCGTCATGGGATTCTTAATGTATTTGAATAAGGGGAAGAACGTACCTGCCCCTCCTACCCAGCAGACGAGTCATGGTGCGCTTAGGGGCTGATTTTGTGGTTGATGGCAGGCTGAGAGGTGGTTTAGGTGCTCCTGTACTTCCGAGACCGGCATAAGGCATCGCATTCAGCACTGTTTCTGTATTTCGACTTCGTTCACCTGTTGTATTAGTATGAAATCAGATTCTTTGTTATTGCCTCGCATCGCATCTGGATGGAACGAAAACCAGGGAATGAATGGCAGTGCCCACCTAGTACTTGTAGCATGTCGCTTTGGGTGAAATCTTCGCTTCGTGTCACTCCTTTGTCGAATCTCGAGAAGTCTCTGTTATGACGTCCCAGCACTGAAAGTGGGGCCCCTGTGTCATCGTGGATCCACATTCACATTCTGACGGATACCCGTTATATCATATGTAGTACATAGAGACCCCTACAGGTAGGACGAAGTCCCACCTACCCGTAGGCCATAAGTCACGTGAAATGAAAATTAACCTACAACGATATAACGCACGACCATAATACATTGCTATTGTGTATTACCATAACCTCAACCTCGTCTATCCGTTTCTCTGGTTTCGTCGAACCAGGATTCCTCTGGTATGCTACTATACAGCCTCCTGTTATGTAGAACCATGAGGCAACACATTTCTTTTTCTTGTCATACCTGTGAGCGTCCAGGGATTAGTAACCTAAGTATCCGACGAACCGCAGGAACCGGCCTATGGTTTCCACAGACAATGCATCGGGTCACCCGTGGTGCCTGCCACTGGATGTCCTCCCCACCTGCAGCTCAGACACCCTGAGGCCCAGGTTCGCGTTGTTATCCTGAGCCATACGCAAACCCTCCCCCGGGCCCCTCTTGACTGTGGTTCTGGGATACCACGAGTCCAGCCTACTTGCGGTCCCTCGCAACTACAGCCATACAAACACTTGTACCTTGGCGTCTACACTAACAGCGTTACAGAAAAGGGTTCCCAAGACCCACTCTAGCTGCCTGTTATATCCCAGAACCACAGCCGTAGGATGTGTGATTCGACCATACCACAGAGTAAGTTGGGCTTTGGTCTCCGGGAATCACAGGCGTGCTACCTGTGGTCAGGGTGTGTGACAGGGTACGTGGACTGTGGTACCTCCGAACCACATGTCGCATGGCCCGCAGTCTTGAAATGATACCGTCGGCTGTTGCCCCAAGCTCAATTGCAGCGGTCCAGGCTCCTGTATGGTTTGAAGATGTGGCAGGCTATGGAGACGCGTAAGTCCCCAGGAACCAAAGCTATACAATGTCTTGATAGCGGATACCATACCAAAAGCGACCAACGGTCCGTGTGAACCACAAACGTGCCTTGATATTTCCCGACCCATCCACTAGAGTGGTTCTCATCAGTCTCGCGGAGCAATAGGCTATCAAATGATGAAGTAGTCTTCTCGATCACACCATGTACTCGGTTTCTCGGAGCAACACCCACCAAGACGGGCTATGGTTTCACGGAGCAATAGGCCATCAAAAGATTAGGTGTAAATCTCGGGATAGACGGATACCAGTTCCTAGCTTTGGTTTAGCCGGACTACAAGGCCTAGGGAACACCCCACCCCTTACGATTACATTTGAACACCTAGTAGAGCTCAATTACACGACACCATGTCTGTGGTTCTGTGGATCTATACATACCGGCTTCCATATGCTATGCAGTACTTACGACGTTGGTCAGGGAACATCAGGCAGGCCGGGTGCAGTCCCATCACACCAGCTTGTGCCTATGAACAAAAGAGCCCGAACCAGAGGCGTCCGGTTCCTGGGAGCGCAATCGGATAAATGGACCAGCGTCTATGTCCAGGCCATCCCACAGATTCAGCCAAGGCGATTTTATTCCCTAAAAGAACATATTCACACTGAAGTCGAATCACTTAGGTTTCTGTAGAATCCATTATCCTGTGTCAACAAAGTCGTATTCCTTGCTATTCTACCTCCGTTTAAACTACGCCTACTGCCCTCCTTTCACGGACACGGTTCCAAACCGATAAGAAGACTTTCGAGTAGATAATGGCGCGTGTTTGAGACATATAGCTGACGGACTTGCGGATTTTCTTCAGACCGCCGTTACCACACTCAGCAGCGCTGGAATTGATGATTACCAGTCGTGGGTCGATGTTCGCATACTCCGAGAGAAATGCTGCGGGCGAACATTTCGTGTGACCTGAACTGTGAAAGTGATCAATACAAAAGTAAGTGTTCTGGAAAAATTCCGGCTCTCTGAGCATGCAGTAAGGCCCCAACGAGCATGCGAAGTCGTACACCACACGCTTTGGGGCAACAGGCCAGCGTGTAACCATTGCCGAGAACACATCGTCGCGGCCTTCGCTTTCCGCGATGCAATGGAAGCCGTAGCAGATTCCGTGTGTGCACCATGCCACCATCAGACCGCCGGTGAGACGCTGTTCTCCATACTGGGTGAAGTATTTCCCGCACGCATCGCCTCTTTTGGAAGACTTGTCCCTCTGCTGATCGTTCCGCAGCCGAGGATACTTGGGTCGATAGCGAATTTGTGGCATGCTATACAAGCACCCAGTCTAAGAAAGAAGTATGTCATCACTCTATCGCCACATACTTCGAAAGCTATCTTACCAGTGTCCAGTTACTTCGTGTCTCGCCGACCGCCGCCCCATCCTGGACGCCAGGGAGCGGTTCCTCGACCTTCAAAGCTGATAACATGTGAGAAGCACGAGTCTCCAACCACACCATGATTGGAACCAGGGAAGCGACATCATGGTGCACCTGCACGACCTTGTAAAGAGCAGGAATTGCAAGTATCTGAGTTGCTGTAGCCTTGGTGGGATTCTGCAAGAACGATCGTAGAGCGAGAACGGACGAGTTGTTTATCATCTGTAAAACCGATTCCTCAGCTGCAACCTGCAAATTTGAATTTAGTATGCACCTTTCCCCCAGAATCAGACAATACCACACGGTACCTGAATGAAAAAGTCCTTGTACGCGCTGGGGGCCTTCTTTCTCTGGGCGTACGCTGCTTCTCCGAACATCTGGTCAAAGAGGACACCCAACGCTGGACAAAGCTCCTTCAAAGCCCTCCCTACCGCCTTCACCCTGCCCAAGTGGTCCCCAATTGCCTTCAGCTCGCGGGAACGAGCTTTCGATGGCGAATCTGGTGTTTCATCTGCCGAGAAACCTTCTTCGTCATGCTCGAGAATAGCGTCGAGGCTTGGAGGGTCCACCGTCACTCGTATCTGCTTTCGTAGCGATGCATCGAGGATGAGTTGTTGGCGCGGGTGATACTTGACGTTTCTGCGAACGAGAGACGATTCGGAGACGGTGGTCGGCGGCCTCAGGGTTGAAGTCATGTGTTTCCTCCCAAAGGAAAGTGTAATACCATCCCATATCACGGTTTCAGGATGGTCTCCACACCTTGAGCACCTCATGTCGCTTGAGAAGTCCTGCAATGAGACGTACGAGAACCAAACCGATCTGAAAAGATCCTCCCCCATAAATGTGTCGCCAGTGGCTCGATATCGGCGCGAAAGATGAAGGACCCATGACGAAAAAGGCGTTTCGGAGCTGGTATACGCGCTGGTATATTCGTCCAGGAGTTCATGAGAGACAATGATCGAGTTATTGAAGTTGAATAGCCCGAGATCTCTTAGATCTGGACCTATGAACCTGCGACGCGAGGGGGGGCATTGGGGGCACGGTTGGAGTTCGATCTGATGAGAGTAAAGTCCGCACAGAGTGTAGACCTTGCACAGGCGAAAGATCGTAGGCCTGAAGCTATCGTAGAACGTGCGTCCAGTCGGGCACGGGCAAGACGATTGTGCATCGAGAAGGAAAGGAGTTTCTGGGACAGAGCGAAAGGGAGGAGGCGGAGGATAATGCTGGGGGTCACTGGGGAGTGTCGCCCAGCTCGGAACGTTGACTGGAAGGTGTGATATTTGGCCGCAGCGATTTCCCACTTTGTATTCGAAGTCAGAACGAGCATCAGAGTCCAAGATTACCTTCACTCACCCAGTTCGCTTACCGGCCTACTCGCCGCAAAGCTGCCACAATTTCCTATGTCACCATGGTCCTCCCCTTGCCCCACCACCAACAGGACTCGGCGCACGTGAATGCAGGTCGCTGTGCCAGTATCCTTCGAGCAGCGCCAGGTTCCGCTCCAGCCTCCCGGTGCACCTGTGTGCCTCACGATAGCGCGGCCCTTCAGAGCGGAAGTCGACGCAGAACGGACAGAGAAATAAGAGGTCACATCGTCATTCTGAAGGGAAGTTTGTAGGAACATGATTGCTAGGGAATGTTCTAAAAAATGATATGGAAAGTCAGTGAAGGCCACGGAAGCGCCCACCTATATTAACACTTACCTGAAACATGCTCATCCCCGAAATCGAGTAGGGATGAAACATCGTACTTAACAAAGAATTGACCATGAATGCAAGTACTATCGAGCCCACTAGGGCAAGTGCACGCCACAAGCAATGAGTTGGAGTCTGCTTCGCCGACCAGTAATTTGTATTCCAAATGGTACCAGTGGTCCTGAAGCCGTTCAGTATCGAAGTACCATCCTATGTGACTTAAGTCTTACCAAGGACTGGCCCTTTTCAATGTCCCAACCTTGAACAACGAAAAGGTTGCCCTCCAGGTGGTAGAATCCGGCGACGTGAGCGGTAACTGCATCAACATAGGTATCGAGACGATTGTCGGGCACCTCGGACGAGAAACCGGGAGCGATCTCGGGGGAGATAGTGGCTGTGTCGATCTCGGACCCAATGCCAGGATCGCGATCAACTTGAACATCAGGCGCCTCATGCTCTGCACCCTCCAACGGTTCGTTCTCCAACACTGTCGGCTGGTTCTCCTGTGGCACTTGCTGACTCCGATACTTCCCGGGCTTTCGTGGTCGGGGCTGGTACCTCACCCTCCGTGATGCTTTGGTCGGCGAATCCCAGTCATCCCTCCTGGCAGCTTCCAACAGTGCTGACGGATAGCCGCTGTCGTCGTCGCTATCGTCCCAGTTTGCCAGTCTCTTTCGTTGGCTCATTTACTGTGGTGAATAAAGTGAGAGGAAGGTGGGAAATCGGTGGATCGGGTTGCCAAAGCCACTGCCCAGTTTAAGGATCAATCTGGAGATTACAACCAATGTTCTACCCCAACATCATGCCGCCTGTTCCTGATGCGTCCCTTCCACCGAACTCAGGCCGTCACCCGCATCCTAGGCTCTCACGTGTCTTTCTTAGACTCTGATAAAACTTGAAAAATTCGTTGCTCCAATTCTCGCCTGCACCCCACATGGCTCTCACTCGCTCTCAGTCCCTCTCTCCCAAGAAGAAAAAAACCGCTTCCAAGGGCCTTTCACAGTCAAAGTCGGGGCTCCAGCAACCGAAAGCCGATAGGAGACCTCGCCAGTGTCGGAGATGTCCTGGTCGTCCCCTACTTTCCACCTGCGAACATCGCTTTCGCAAACGCCCGCCCCTTGTGACTCCCTCCGTGAGTATAAGGTCCTTGTCCTGTTTAAGTACCCTCGACTAACTTAGGCCACCATATCTACAGGATGTCGATCTACAGACCCACGTAGATTCATCGCCGAGTGCCGCAGTTGCGCCCGCTCCCATGACACCTCGCCCTCTTGTCGGTAATCGCGACCCCATTCTCAATGTGATAGACCCTATCCTCATCGAGGAGGATATGCAAACCGGTGCTCTGGTTGCAGGAGTGAATGGCCCTGCCCCGGTCGCTCCTCCCGAGATGACAGGTAACCGTCTAAGTCATCGAGTCATCGTTCTTGAACCCGATCTCATCTCTCCTCGACTTAGGCGTTGTCTCTCCGTCTTCGACGCCTCCGGCTACTCCCAATCGCTGTTTGGATTCTGATGCCAGCACCACCGTCGACGCAACCCCTACGTCCAGCCCAACTCCCTCTTCTACGACCCCCAAGGTGAAGCGAACCCAACCATCTGGCGCCAACGCGAAATGGGGTACTGTCGAGGGTGCCGGACGTGGGAACGACGTGTGGGGTGAGTTTCATCGTCGTCTCTGCCCAATGCGGTCTCGTCACTCAAGTTTGTCCTTTCAGAGGTTTATCGTGTCCGTAAGCTCAAGCCTCCTATAAAGGGGCAAGCGGAAGCTACTCGCAAGCTCGAACGCTGGACGATTGACCTCATGTCACGGGTGAGTCTCCTCTCTGTAGCTATCACTCGGTATCACTCGATCTCATCTCGCAACCCAGGCCGAAGCTATCTCAACCCGCACAGGATGTTGGCTGTATCTCGCCATACAGCATCCTGCTTCCAAGACTCCGTTCAGCCATTTCACCTCTCGCAAGCTTTGCAATGATGCCCCCGAAGATGTCGAGGTCATTCACAAGGAGGTCCGTCATACAATGAATAATCTCACCCGCGCTCACAAACGCCGCCTCTTCGAGTCGGAGAAGGAGATTCAGGCGGCCAAGGACGAGGCGAACGCCGCGACTCAGCGCGCTGAGCGCGCTGAGGACGAACTGTGCCGCCTCAAGCGGCTTCTTGTCGCCCAGGGTGTCACTCTGGACGACGAATAAGTAATGTAGCATTGTATCTCCTTGTCCCATTCACCGATGCCCAATATGACTGTTTGAATCCATGTTTTAAATATATTCTGTGGCTACAGAAAACAGTGAGACTGCTAGGTTCGTTGAAAGAGCAACTCGTTGTTAGCATAAGCCTGGGTGAACTCATCGGCACCCGTGAAAAGGTAGGTCTCCAGGTCGTCGACCCACCCTTGAACACGGTCTATGTCCTGCAGAAACCGATCGAGCTGTGCAATGACATCCTTAACTCCTCGGAATTGCAGAACCTCTCCATGTAACTCGACAATTTTTCTTCTCCAGGGGTCGAATTTGGACGATTGTCGGGATACATAGTCTCGCACATGTCGGGCACCTTCCCCATTATTGAAGAGGGCGAGAACCTGGCGACACAGAGACTGCATAAACTTGACTCCATCCCTGCCAATCATTCGCAGGTATCCCTGATACACTTCCTTAGCCATAACGACCGTCCTCTCGAGGTCTTGAGCATCAACATCCCTTTTCGTTTGAGGTTGAGTCGAGATACATGGATCATGGAGAAGGAGGACATTTACCTTTGGCATGTATTGGTCTCTACCGATTCTCGGTCTTTGGGCACGGTTTCCTTTCCTCTGGCTGCTCCTCTTCAGGGATTTTGGTCTTCAATAGAGTCCCTCGAATAGGAGGAGGAGGATTACCTATTTGCCTTGCCAGATCTCTTGTCACGCCGGCGTTTGTTGATTTCCACCTTGTTTCTGGAGAGGGAATATCCTGTGTTAGAATAGAACAAAGAAGCCCATTATATTCGCTTACCTTTCGTAGTACCTCCTATTCTTATCCCTATTGGCCTGCTTGAGTTCCTTCTTCGTTCGATATTTCTTTGGGCGACTCATTGAGGGCACGAGAGAGTAAGTGCAAACACTGATAGAGATGTGATGGAATTAGGATCGTTGGTCTGACTTTTTACCTGGTAGGTGTAGAAACTCACGGTAAGTTGGAATATGCTGTATGAATTAATCCCTGAATTTCTATGATTTTTTCGTGATTTTAGGAGCACGATAAGGCAGGGAAAACTCGTCTCAATCGTCTCAATGGTGGAGAGCGCATTGAATGACCATTCGGCCGGTGACTTCGGCAATTACCGAGAGGTCGTCCCCGCAGGAGAGAGTGCCTCCTCTGATCTATCGTTGAATTCTTCACCGACGACGACATGCTCCCCAGTACCTTAATCTTAACCTCTGAGACCGACCTGGGCGATATACCTTTAACTTCGCCTGTCGTCGACAATCCAGTCGACCGCGTCACATTCACCCACCGCGAGCTGCGTCGCAATCTAACTCGCGGGGAACTCAATCGGTGGGCTCTATCCAATCTTGTAAGGGCCTGGCACGTTGATGATTCGGGGTTCTATCGTAAAAGAAGAGGTAAAGTATCCTCTTTTTCTACTCACCGTGCTCAAAAGCTCACATTCATCAAATCACATTCTCAATGTTTTGTTTCCCTTTCACTCGACCAGACACGGGGGCGATTGGTGAGGATTACTATCGTCTGCCTCCTCCATGTGCAGGGATTCTGACAATTTCCAAGCGAAACAGCAGAAGTTCAAGGAGGAAGACTTTATTCAGGAGTGGAAAGTGTACGTGGTCGTCTCCCACACGGCCTGGAAGACTTTCGAGAAGGACGTACGCAAGTCTATCGACTCCCTTCTGAAATCCGACAAAACCATCGACGATCGTTTCTCTGAAGGAGTCCGACTTCGCGGCGCCCATAACCTACCCACCCGTGTCCCCACCAATATCAACGAGGCTGGGATAATTACCCAGTGTGATTTCCCATTCATGCTCGAAGACTACAGCGACTCGGAGGTTCGACTCATGCACGTTGTCGAAAAGTACGCAAAGGAGGTGTACGAGAAGAGTGGTGGACTGTTCGACATCTAGTGCCGCCAGAGTCAACTTACGCTCTTTCGAGGCTTTCATATTTAGTTTTCATTGCTAGATTCTCGTTTATCTGTTAGTGTGTCGTGTATTGATTTTTTTTCGCCGGGTTCTGTGAAAGTTGGGGGAGTTTTTGGTTGGACTACTCTGAAACTCACTGGAACCCCCAAAATTCAGATGCCAAATTAGGCGACAGGGGTTTCCGCGATCGATTGATCCGACCAAACCAGGTGGGAACTTTTCCGGAGATCCAAACGAAGTAGGTGGTTGCGTCACCCCTTTCGGTCTGTTTTCCGACCAAGCCCACATGGACAATCGATCGGCAGCTCTCTCATTGTTCTGGAGACCAACCCAAGATCTAGCGCCCGTATGAACGCGCAGGGAAACACTGCCTTCTCTGGCTGGCAATTTGGCAAAAAGGGTCACCTGTGTGTTCTAGACCCAACCTTACACATGATAACCAACACGGCCGGGACAACGATCGGATACGCGTACCCAGTGTTTTCCCGACCATCCGATCCCAGTGGCTTGGCTAAGGGAGGACAAGACCTTGAACTCGGGGAGGAGTAAGGCATTCCTGATTCCGAGTCCCATGCCTTGTTCTATTCGATTGGGTGCGTTGCAACTACGAGCTCAACAAGAAAACCCTGAAGCACAACCGACTTCAAGAAAAGACTCCAGGTTCCTAAGTCCAAGTGGTCAGTGGGAGCACATGCACCCTATTCCAGCATTTCAAATTTGTCTGCCCTGGTTTCCGATGGAAGGATCTGGCAATATCTCTACATGTCGACTTGGTGACTTGGATCGCAGTTCACATTTCCCATGCTTGGTGCGCTCTGCTAACTTATCTGCTCCTGAGGTCCCCACCGACTACATGTTCCTTCCCTTTGGTCACTCAATAACTCTGCCGACATGTCGAACAAAAATGCTGCTGAATCTGTTGCTCCCTCTTTCCCCCCTCCAAAAACAATCGGTACGTCGACACGGTGGTCACCACGTTCCGTTGCCCCTGCTAATGACGCGCCGCAGGCGAATTTAAAAAAGCCATTGACCTCGTAGAGGACTGGATCAAAGAACTTGAGGCCTCAAAGGCCCTGCTCACGTTGGAGCGCACGAAAACACCTAGTAAGTAATGACAAATTTCACCTTCTCGTTTGCTTAGCTTACGAATTTCTCCAGAGCACAGACGTCACGTCAAAACGCGGGCGTTGAAGGCGATGACGCAAAAGATTGAGGAAGCTGAAGTCCAATTGGCCGGCTTACGCAATGGTCTCGTTCTGGTGGAGTCTGGGGAACAGGATTCTCCCCGCCCGCCACTTCTCTCTCCGACACCCGACTCTCCACGTCCCTCCACCACACCCGACTCTCCACGTCCCTCCACCACACCCGACTCTCCACGTCGTCCCTCCACCACACCCGACTCTCCACGTCCCTCCACCACACCCGACTCTCCTTTAACCCAGTTGGGTGACGATGATGCCCGTGAGTCCAACATTCCGCTCAGCTTTCGAGGTACTGACGAGAGTTTCGCAGATGGAGAACCAGACCCCTCGTTTGGCAGCGGTGGCCCTGGCGAGGGCAGGTCTTCTCAGAACGGCGCAGACCCCTCTTTGAAGGCCCTTGGCGAAGCGGGCGACGACTCAGGCGGTGGTAGCGAGAGGGAAATGGAAGGCACGATTGCACAAAACGATGATGGATTAGAAAGTGAGTTCTAGCCATTCAGTCCCCCCTCCGTTTAGACACGGCTGATTAACGTTTCATCCAGGGTCCAAGGTCGCCCTCGACGCCTTCCATTGGAATTTGTACACGCAAATCTCCGCCCTCATCGACGAAGATGAAGAAACATCAATTCTTGATAGCGATAGTCTGGCGAAGTACATGAACAGTATACTTCTGGCCATCGAAGGGGGGAGCGAGAACAGTGACGAGGAAGAAGAGGAGCCCGAGACCCGAGGGATACTGGAAGGTGCGCACCATTCTTACTGGTGATGTAAACGAATAATCGATCGCTCAATCTCTGGTAGGTGATGATAACGAGGAAGGCGTATGGGGGTGGGGGGTATTCAAGGAAGCCAGGGTCCTCCTCGACCAGTACGAGGAGATGGGCGTTCTGAGCGTCGGTGACCGCTCAGCGATGTTGCGCCGCCTATACGACGTCATTTGCTGGGACCGTCGTTTTGTCGAAACGCACGGGGCGAGGGAGGAGGAGGAGGAGCCACAGAAGCGCGTAGAGGACGGCAACGAGCAGGGACGGTTGCAGGGACCGCAAGAGGAGGTAATAGGGAAGGCAACCGACGGCGATGTAACCGATGTAACCGATGGCGACACTCAGAAGACGAAGGGAAAGGAGAAGACGAAGGGAAAGGAGAAGACGAAGGGAAAGGAGAAGGCGGTCGATGTCAACAACGACGAGAACGACGCTGAGGAGGCCGGGGGGGAGGGGGAGGGGGAGGAGGAGGAGGAGGAGGAAAAATCCTTAACCCGCGAGCAGATCATCGCGAAACGAATGTGTGAGTTATCGCTCAACTCGATGTGGGGTATGGCTAATCTTTCGAAACTGTCCCAAGCCAATGCGTACAACGCCTTGTGTAACGCAATGACTTTCGAGCACGACATTCCAAACGGTCCTCGCTGGGACGCTCGTCGTTTTGCAGAGATGCTACACCTTTACGGGACAGGGTCCATCAATATCGCGATGGAAACCTTCATTGTCCGCAAGGGACTCACCCGATGCCACTACCACACACTGTCGGATAGGACGTCGAAGAAGAACGATGACACGCGCGATGGAGTGACAGGGGTCCACTTCAAGCCGACGAAGACCGTTTCTGCCCCTGCCAGGAACCTTCGTCTTATCCCCGACAGGCTTCCTGGTACCATCCCCCGCCTGAAAGGCGCAGTCGAGATGCCAAAGGAAGGTCCGAGTGGCGTCAACGGCCTCACGTACCACGAGCTGCGCGAGTTCTTCCCTGTCACGGAAAATGGCCGACGTCAACTGCATTGCGGCTGCGATCTCCAAGAAGCGCTCACGGACTTCTTCTTTTGGAAGGGTTTTCCTTACATCTCGTCGTTTTCGAAGGATACTGAAGAGCTCTTCGGTATGCCCGTCTCTCCCCGAATTCGGACTTGGTTCTGCACCATTCTCGACGCCCTCTCGGTCAATGTGCGAGACCTTTACGCCTACGACAAGCAAGGTAACCGCCGCACTGAGGAGGATATTGTGAAGGCGAGGATCCGCCGTCTTTGGGATACGATTGCGGAGAACGTCGAGGACAACATGGTTCTTAGGCCGAAGAGGCCTCGTTCAGATGTTGAGGATGACGGTGACCCTGGCCCTTCGAAACGTCGTAAATAATTCCTCTTTTTTTTGTTTTTATTTTTATTCTTTCCTTTTTGTATTAGGACACTTCGTGCATCGTATTAATCATTATTTCGTTCTTGCTTCGCGTTTACGTGTACCCAACGGTGGTACGTTGACCTACAGATACCCGTACCTATGGTATGACAGAGCCTTGAGGTTTGTTCCCCTTGGTATGACTGGACCACAGCACTATAGTGCGCTGTTTGGCTGGACCACAGATGCCTATAATTGAAGAGCTGGCAACTAACTGTCCACGAACCTTGTGAGTTGTGGAGCGTCTAAGCTGGCGTGAGGTTTAGAGACCATCAGGTCCCTGATTCCTTCGGCTCGGAGTTACCACAGGTCGTAAGTTGTGTGGTACCTCTGAGCAACAGATGAACTTCGTGTTGCTGAATGACTAGTAAGGGGCTCGGCTCATAGGCACCACTAGTCACCTTCGTGTATAGGAATGACTATGAGAAAACGTTTGTAGCTAGTAGTGCCCTATGTTGCCAGGAATAAACGCTCATGGTCCAGGATCGCGACAGGTGGCATGTGTGTGGTTCAAATACACCATTGACCGACTCGGATATGGTATCCGCGAGCCGAAGATTGTCTGTCTGTGGTGCCGAGATCCTGCCCCTCTCTCCATATCCTGCTATATCTTCCAGCCACACGCGCGCTTCGTATGGCCGAGGTTCTGGGGACGGCACCTATCGACCGTGGGGCAACAGCCGCAGGAAAGGCAGACTATATCATCCGTGGACCAGAGGTCATACGACGTGTGGTTATGAGGTACAGTACACCACCTTGATCCGTGGAATCCTCGAACCACGCATCATATGTCCGTAGTTCCCGGATACCACATACCCCTTGACATGTGGTGCCTCAGAGCCACACGGCGTATAGCTGTGGCCCTGGGATACCGCAGAAGTGAGAGTACTTCTGGGAAAGTTCCCTGCCTAACTCTCGTAGACAGGACTAAGTCTGTAACCTGTTGGAACAGCTCCTGACCAGAGGTCATACGACGTGTGGTTATGAGGTACTGTAAACCTCCGTGGCCTGCAGTGTCTCCGAACCACAGGTCATATGTGTGCGGTGCCCGGATACCACACAAACCTTGGCCTCTCGTTCCCCAGAACCGCAGCCTGCGTGGGATACCAGAGCAGGTAGATTACTTCTTGGAAAAAACTTTGCCTAACTCTCGTAGTGGCTGTATGTAGGAGCGGCCCACTTTATCATCTTTACGATGCGTGGTTCTGAGTTACCACAGACCTCCTTACCCTGTGGTTCTGAGATACCACACGCCGTTTGACTACCAGATACAAAATCATGCTGGACGTTGGTACTTGGAAGTTACCCTGTGGTTCTGGGAGAACAAGGACCGCCTTAACCTGTGGTTCTGAGATACCACGGACCTCGTTACCTTGTGGTTCTGAGGTACCACAGACCGCCTTACCTTGTGGTTCTGAGATGCCACAGACCGCCTTACCCTGTGGTTCTGAGGTACCACAGACCGCCTTACCTGTGGTTCTGAGGTACCTCACGCCGTTTGACCTGGGACGACTACCAGATACAAAATCAAGCTGGAAGTTGGGAGCAGTACTTGGAAGATGTGTGGGGAAGCAGGTATGTGTGGTTCAGAATACATGAGCGCTGTTCACTGATACCACAGCCCAGCCAAGTGTGGTGTCTCTAAAGTACAGTACTTGGTAATACCCGTCGCTCACCGATACCACAACGATAGAAGACGGTGCTGAAGCGTGGTACGGCGGCTAATCCCTTCTCGGTGGGCCTGAGATATGATACAGCTATTTTAAACAGGTGCCAGGGGTGAAAGGAATGAGACCTATAGATCAGAGATACCAAGCGTGTATATCCTATAGTGTCGTGGGACCGTAGCCGAACATCCTATAGTGTCGTGGGACCGTAGCCGAACATCCTATGGTGTGGTGGGACTGTAGCCGTATGGCCTATAGTTCAATGAAACCAAGGGGTAGTTGGGCGGAATGCAACGACACATCCACCTGTCGGCGCTATGGGCGGGGTGAACCACAACACGAGTATCTCTAGTTCAGACAGACCGCGTGGCTACCCTACTCAGTCTTGTCGAACAATGAGTACATGGCCTATGGTTGTGCGACATACAAAGGCCCGTGGTTCAATAGAGCCATAGATGCGTTAACAGGGTTAACAAAGGACGAAATAAAACCCCTTCGATCTGTGGTGCGTCTGAGTCGTTGGGGCTGACCACTTGTAGCTCACCCTGACCACGGAAGGGAGGGGATGTGGTACAATGGTGCAAGATGGTCGTACATGGGTGATGATTTATAACCCTTAGTTGCTGACAGCTGGGACCACAGGGAAGTATCGTGCTGTATTGACGAGTAACAGGTTTCAAATTCGACTAATATCCGGGTAGCTACAACAACTGTATTTTAAACAGGCAATCATTTAGAATATTCAATAGTCGGATTATGTGGTGGTAGTCGCCACCTCACGTGCCTGGCCTACCCGTAGGGGTCGACTCGTCCTACCTGTAGGGGTCGCGAGATCATACCTGTCCTTCAACGGCTAGCCCCATTCTGAAGCCCCGAGCCTGAAATTCCCCCTATCTTCTCTTACATTCCATCACCACCGATTTCAGCTCGCGAACCATGTTCAGAACTCTGGTCCTCCGCTATCGCCACCACGAAGCTCGCATGGCACCCGGATACTTGAGCCATAGCGGGTTCAAAAGCAACAGTTTTGTAAGTCCACCTCTTTCACTGGGTCCTAAGTCGGAGCGAAGAATGAAAGTCTGATTTCTCTCCCCTTCTCGATGCAGCTCGTAGGAGGGCTAGGTGTAGCAGCTACAATAGGATTTTTTTCCTGGTTGAGTAACAGGAAGGGCTTTGAGGCGAGGAAGGCTAGGATGCAAAGCCAAGGTGCGCCCGTCCGTCTGTATGCCTTTCCTCGAGTTGCTCATTAATATGAAATGGATTAAAGGAGCCCCTGTTTATTGTCCAATTCAGACTAAATCGGTTCAGAGGATTTGAGCAGTTGTCGGTAAATGAGATGTATAGACAGCATTCGTACAGAAGATTGTGAAATACGGTAAAGAGGCATATAGAGGGATTGAAGCCTGAGCTTTCTCGATGTTAAGGCGGGGGATGTAAGTTTGTTTGTTCGTGCCGGATCCGGCAGCCAAGCAATCCTCCCACGAGTCGCGTTGCTTAAACTCATCCACCATCCACATTGGCGCCTGACGCTACGAAAGCCCGGTAAACCCAACACAGAAACCTCGAATCCGCGATGAATGGACCAGATCGAAGACACAACATCTACCACCGCACAAAACGACAGCTCGTCGGGCACCAAGTACCTCCAGCATGGCGTCCAAACGTGATGCAAGCAGCAAAACGCGCGGCAGAGGACGCGGGCAGCAGGATTCTCATCAGCAAGCTGCCCATCGACGTGAATGAGCAGGAAGTGGAGGTGAGGAGACCGTCTTTCTTTATCCTTCTTGCGCAATTGACTCAATGTCCAGTTTTGACTTGTCCTTTCCTTTGAATTTTGTGACTCTTGCAGGAACTATTCAAGAAGACAGTTGGCCCTGTCAGGGAGTCGTTTCTGGTGTACAACTCGCAAGGAAAGTCGAAGGGGATGGCGATGGTGTGGTTTGTGAGGTCGGGGGATGCAGCTATTGCGAGGGCCAAGTATGACGGCAAAATTGTAGATGGACGTACGTGCTCGTGTTGTTCGTGCCCTGGCTCGTGCTTATGAACGTGCAGGACGGCCCATCAAGATTGAAATCATTGTGGACGGTGTTCCTGGCTCTGCATCGACATCACAGGTTGGACCAGCAGCACCGGCAGCACCTCCGTCTCTGCTTGACCGTATGGGTATCAAACCAACAGCTGCTGGACCCAAGGCAACGTCTCTTGTCCAGCGAACCAACCCACCAGGCCACCCATTACCCAATCAACCTCTTGTAACTAAATTGTAAGCCTCGTTTCTCTCGGCGCTCTTGGGGTTTTATGTTGACGCGTTCGGACAGGCAAGCACAAGCTGCCGCTCGGATTGCTTCAGGTGCACCTCCACCAACAGCGCCTCGTGCCGTCCCGCCACGTCGACCTCGAATAAGGAAAGGACCCAAGCGGCTGCAGAAGAAAGCAGTCACAGTCGAAGACCTCGACAAAGAGATGGAAGATTACCGCGCGGCAATCCCAGAAAATGGATTCGCCATGACATAGTTGCTCAATTATTTATTGTCTTGACCCGCTGTCGTTGCTGCTGTCTTGCGCTCTTCCTCGTGTTTATGTATACTATTTTTTGAAATAATGTTTTTGGGTGCTATTTGTTTTTATCTTATCACATTTTGGTTCCGGATGGCAGACAAGGCCCTGTGGACACCTGATCTCGGCTTCATCCATACGTTGTCATCATGGCCATGGCCCCAGCTCCTAATCCTAATCCGATTCCGTCTTTCCCTCTTTCTCCTCATCCACAGCATCGACGATGGTCGCACCACTGTACACGACGGCCTCAGGCCTGCTTTTCCATGCTGGAAAGATCCTCGTCTTGACCATCGGTCTTCCTGCGCGGGGCAAGACGCATATTTCGAGAGCACTGGAACGATACCTGCGATGGATGGGAGTCAAGACCTTGGTCGTTTCCCTGGGCGATTACAGGAGGAAAGTCCTTGGTGGTGCGCAGAAAGTCCCACCGGACTATTTCTCACCTGGTACGTCGTCAAATTGGATATCATCTCTAGGGCCATCTACTCACTCGAAGGTCTTTCAGGAGAGAAGAGCCCCGAGACGATCGCGCTGAGGAAGAAGGTGTCCGATGGATGTGAGCAGCTCATCTGGGACTACTTCAATGCAGGGGGGCAGGTCGTTATCTACGATGCCAACAATGGACGGAAGGAGGCTCGGGACGCATTGGCGGAGAAGTTCTCTGCTCAGGGCATTCATGTCGTACTCCTCGGTGAGTCTCCTTTCCGTTGTCAAACGTTTTCGAGTGGTTAACATCCCGAAGAATCTCTCTGCGACAACAGGGAGATCATCGAGAACAACATCCGGAGCGTCAAGATCTCGTCCCCGGATTACAGGAACTGGGACCCCGACCTGGCCGTGCAAGACTATTACAATCGAATCAAGAACCATGAGCAGTATTACCAGACGATAGATGATACCAAATGGCCGTATATCAAGATCCTGAATGTAGGTCTCACAAAGTGGCCAACGATGCCTTCCTCGCTAATCGCACTTTGCCACAGGTTGGAGAGAAGATTGACTTGAATGTATGAACACCCTTGCTAGACATCGCGTCTTTGACTAACCCGATGAAAGAAAATTCAAGGTTATCTCCAGGTACGTATCCCCAACCCATCCTTGCCGAACTCACTCCTCACCACCCAAACCCACAATCCAGTCAAGAATCGTCTTCTTCCTAATGAACATCCACAACCGATTCCGCACAATCTACTTTGCTCGAGTGGGTAACGCACACTCATCCGACTTACGTTCGTGCTGCTAAATCTCCTCTTTCTTTTTCACTTGCCCCTTTCATAAAATCTTCCTTTTTAAAATTTATAATGCCCCAAACCCAAGTCTGGTCAATCACTCATAGAGCATTCCTATAAAGCTGACTCGGATCTTTCGCCGGCTGGCTGGGAGTATGCTGAGAAGCTGAAAGACTGCGTGTTGGAGAGGAGAGCGAAGAGTTTGGAAGCTAGGGGGCTTAATCCTGCTGAGAGGAGATTGGTGGTACGTCTTTCCTTTTTCCATTTCCCTTCTTTTTGTGCTCCACGTTTTCATCTATCCTCATTCTTCTCACTATAACTAGATCTGGACATCCACACGCCGCAGAGCACACCACACCGCATGGCCCTTCGTCGCAGCCTACAACGGCGGCAACTCGTTGCAGATCCCCGAACTCCTCGTCGACGGCGAACAAGTGATGTCGCCTATGGAAAGCCCGTTCATAGATGACGACAGCAGCGATTATAATGCCTCCCAGCCACAGCAGTCATCACCGCCCAAAGCCTCTCCTCCCCTCCCTTCGAGGATCAAGGTCGTGGAGAAACCCCAGATGTTGGAGATCAACCCTGGGATTTGGGATGGCCTCACTCCGGAGCAAGCCAAGAAGTACTACCCCGAAGACTGGGATCGTTTCACGAAGGACCCTTATTCGTACCGTGCACCAAGAGCAGAGAGTTATCACGACCTGAGTGGTAAGCCCATTTCCCCTTTCTTTCCTACTCTTGCTAACAACTGGCCATCCAGTCCGTCTGGAACCAGTGATAATCGAACTCGAACGCGAACAGGAAGATCTTCTCATCATCGGCCACGCATCCGTCATCCGCTGCCTACTCGCCTACCTCATCGGCCTCCCCCCAGCCGAAGTGCCCGCTATCGAAATTGCGCGCGGGGACCTCCTCGAAGTCGTACCCACCTCCTACGGCGTTCATAGCAATGCGTTCCATTTTTGGGATGGGCCGGGTAGGAGTAGAGACCAAGGGCAGCTTGATGAGTTTAGGGATGCGAATAACTTCTATGAGAATTATGCGGAGGATACGATTGGGAAGAGGAAGATTGGGGAGGATGGGGAGGAGTTGGTTGAGAGTCACGGTGTTGCTGTTGTTGGGGGTGAGGGGGAGGAGTTTGCGCGTGCGAGTGCGGCCACTCTTGTGGAGGCGAGGCATGCTCCTGTTGTGTAAATTGAGGTCAAGTCTTTTTTCATACTGTGTTGTTTTGAGAGTGTCGGGAATAGATAGAGTTCCGGAGATTAAGGCATGGGCAGGTATCGGCTACTTGGGGTGTTTCAAGGCTCTTCTGGGAACCCAGTCTCCTAATCGGAGGATCTTGAGGCTAGTCATAGGCTCCCGGTCCACCCATACTCTAACAGGTACGACACGATACTCTTGCCAACGCAAGTTCGGTCTCCCCATTGCTGGTGTGGACTCCCCACTCCAGAGCGTCCCCCTTCGTCCTCTGTTGTACTGCATGTCCTGAGTCCACGCAGAGTTACGGAAGTTAGGCTTCGTACCGGTTAGGCCTACCTTACTAAATCACAAGTTCCCCTCGCCTTGGCCCTATGTATACGTGGGAGCAGGAATGTTCGTGTTTCAAGTTGGGAGTCAATCGCGAACGACAGGGGCTATTACACCACTTCAGATGCATCGCCGACGAGAACCTGCTGTTTTCTCCTGTCGCAGCTGAAGCTGTTTTAAGCGCCCAGTGCCAAGCTCGGGCCGGCAGACTCCGCCTTTATGATGATGATGGAAACAAAAAGGGCGTCGAGCGCGGCTCGCGGGTCTTGCTCTTGGTCCCATTCATACTCGGGCAGATAAAGCACAACAAAGGTAATGCCTCCCTTTGAAAATGTACAAAGGCCGGTAGTTGACCTTCCTGGTTACAATAGGAACCTTGATGCGGAGGCAAAATCAGAAATTGATCCACAATACCGTCTAGTGGTTTATATAAAATGGCTCGTCAGCGTCAGACCAGTGATTTCATCGGCGACAGCAGTTCGTCTTTGACTCATACCAGTCCCCGCAAGCGTTCGGTCAGAATGTCTACCTCGCGGCCCACGTCGATGACGGGGTATCCCGCCTCTCCGACTACGGCAACTATCCCAGAGGATAGCAACGATGATGGCACCATGTTCAACGACGACCCCGACCCCGACGCGTCTCAAGAACGATGGATTGCCATTGAACCGCCTACTCCAACCACCCGACTGGGCTCGTCGAGCAACCTGCGAGCAAGGCGCGATAGTGTCACCCTTGTGCGGGGTAATGCCACCGCCGGTGAGTGCAATATAGTCTGGTCGTTCGAGTGGTTGATGTTGATTCGGACACGGATACCGTTGGTCAAGGTGCAAGCAACAGTATCGCGCCGCCGTCCTTCAGGGACTCTCAGTTCGACGTCATCCTCCGACGCCAACGATACCGGCCACCTGATAACTCGGGCCTCAAAGACTACGCCGTTGTGCCGTCCCGCTTCATCAACCTCCCCAACTCTTTTGAGTTTGCAGGATGGGGGTCTATCCAGAGGATTAAGTTGTCCTCGGAGGATTTCCAAGAGGCTGAGAATCGGTTAAAGACGGTGGAGAAGGAGCGGGTGCTGGGTCAGTTCACGGCTGCCGCCTTGGCGGGTAATGCGGTGCTTGGGAGCGTGTTTTATGCATTCCCGGCGGTTGTTGTCGTTGCTGGGGCATAGTATGTGCTTAGACTCATACTCTACAATGAGCCTCGCTAACACTCCTTTAGCTCTCCCATTTCATTATTCGTTGCCACCCTCATCCTCTTCCTATGGCGACCCATGATGCAGGAGCTCGCTTCCGCCCTTCCCATCAGTGGAGCACCCTACACTTACTTGTGAGTGTGTTCATCTTTCCCATTAGTCGCCGTCGCTTATCCGTCCGCATTCTCAAGCCTCAATGTGTCAACGAAGCCTGTTGCCCTCGTCAGCGCCACCCTGCTCTTACTCGACTATGCTTCTACTTCAATCGTCTCCGCCGCTACAGCCGCAGCTTACATCGCCGGCGAAGTCTTGGCTCTACCATTCCCAACATGGATTCTGGCCGCGATGGTTCTAGTGTTATTCACAGTCGTCAGCCTTTTGGGCGTGCGAGAAAGCGCGAGGATTGCCTTGGCTGTACTATCGCTCCATGTGCGTACAGATAAAGTATTGCATGTTCTGTGTTTGGCTGATAAGAGAACCCATTAACTCTTAGGTTTTGACGATGGTGTCGTTGATCATTGCTAGTGCGGTACACTGGGGCCGAACGGGTAATGATCAGTGGAAGGCGAATTGGCAGCAGAGCCAACGAGAGAACGCCGCCGATGGTGGGATTGGAATCCTCAGACAGCTGTATCATGGTGTATGCATCGGCATGTTGGGTTTGACAGGCTTTGAATGTGGGTACCCCAGGTGCATTTCGAGGAAAATACGCTAACTTTGAAACTCGATAGGCACGCCATCATACATCTCGAGAATCAAACCCGGAAAGTTCCCCTTAGTGCTGCGGAACCTACACCTCCCCGCGATTGTGTTTAATACGCTCCTGATGACCCTTGTCATGGCCATTGTTCCACTTGATGTCACTCGAGGAGGCGCAAATATCCTGAGTGTCTTGGGTGAAATGGTGAGCTGCTCTACCCGCTCACAGTTCTTCTTGCTGACCCTGACCGTTTCTTCACTAATAGGCCGCTGGGAAATGGCTGAGAATATGGGTTGTCGTTGATGCATTCGTCGTTCTCTGTGGCGGCGTCCTTACTGGTTGGCACTCAATCCTGCGTCCCTGACGTGACGTCCCTAATCATTCTGACTTAGGCATCCTGAGTGCATGTGAACTCTTGCAAAGGCTTTCACAAGACCGAATCCTCCCGCAAGCGTTCCTAAAACTAACACGCAAAACTAACTCGCCTTACGTCTCCGTCCTCTCTTTCATCGCATTCTGTGCCATCGTCTACGCCACTACCGGTGCCCGACTCGCTGTCGTCTCGGAGATGTTCTCACTCGTGTGGCTAGTCGTGATGACTCTTTTCCCGCTTTCGCTTCTCCTCCTTCGGTTCAACCGCGGTCGTTTGGGTCGTTCCTCTCGAGCTCGATTACCCGTTCTCTTTTTCTCCTTGTTCATCGTGTGTCCTGTCATCCTTGGTGGCAACATCGCACTGAACCCGAGGACTGCGGGATATTTCGCGATCTACACGATTAGCCTGCTCTTGCTTCTGGCCGTGACACAGAACAAGGTCAGGGTGCTGAGGTGGATTTACTGGGTGTATGATCAGTGGTGTAATGTTGTTCAGGCCGACTCGAATGCGGCTGTTTTGTCGACACCGGGGGGTGGTGGGTCGGATGATGAAGTTGACGCCCATGGTTCCGTCACACTGCCGCCTTTGGGCAATCAAGTTGTTGGGAGAAATAGAGTGGGGAGTGGGTTGATGAAATTGATGACGAGGTTGAAGAGGCAGGTTGTGTGTGTTTGTGCCAAGGGTGATGAGGTGCGTGTTCTTCTCTTTCTTGTTCTACCTGCGGATGGGATGTTGACTGGAATCTTGGATAGATTAATACGCTGTTCCATATGATCCTTTACGCCAAGAGGAATGAGGAGACGTCGCATCTGAAGATTATACATTTTTATGAGGAAGAGAAAGGAGGGATTCCGTCCGAGTTGGAAGCGAATGCTAAAAGTAAGTTTTGGGTTTCAGTGTTCTTTCGAGTCTACTTTGATGCTTACGGCCCTAACTTCCGTTTATAGTTTTAGATGAGGCCTTTCCTGAGATTACGATAGACTTGGTGCGTCTCTTCCCCTCTTCCCCTTCGTGACCTATCGACTGACTGATGGTTCGGTAGTTACTCGTAGAGGGGACTTTTGAGCCTAGAACTGTGCACGCGCTCGCGCACCATTTGGGTATTCCGACCTCGCTTATGTTTATTAATTGTCCTGGTCCAGGGTTTGCGTATCCTGTGGCCGAGTATGGGACGAGGGTCATTTCGCTTTAAGCTTGGGTTTTATGGTCCGGGGTTGTGGGGTAGTACGCGATTTTGGGTAGAGGCGGGGTGATCCCGACGATAGAAGATGATCGAGGCTTGCTAGAGGGTTCCGCCTTCGTGCGGCGGTCGTGTACATTTGTAGCTTATATTTAATTCCAGTTATTTGAGTTATGTTCCCGTTGACCAAGGTGACGTGGGCTAGCCAGGGGTGCAGTGGGGGTGGCACACGGGCGCCCGGGAAAACGGATGGGCGCTACCTCTGAAAATATGAAAGGTCATCGGATAACTTTCGCAAAGGGTTACTACACATATCTTATCCTATCATCCTTTGCTTATGCGATTCACGTTTGTCTCCATTCCCTCCAAGTCTCTTGGGCGGTCACGGAGTAGACCGCTCTGATCAAAACGCCTCCTTCGCTTTTCTGTGCAGGCAGCGAGCGCAATTCGGTCTAACTACCGCCAGGCCTTCCATCCGCCAAAGTCTCTCCACGTCAAACATTCGTGCTGCCTCGAGTCGGATGTCGTAAAAGGGAAGGGAATTGCTTGGCTCCGCTCCCACCGCATGGGCGCCAATCCATGGTCTGATTTTAGGAAAAACAAAACCAAATAATGCAGTGTCGCGTTGGCAAGATCACGTCCATAAGAACGCTCGTCTGGGCTTGTCCGCAGTCAAACCACCCACCCACCCCCCTTTTTCCCCTTCTCGTCCCCAAAAAACAATGTCGTCGACGACGGTGAAGCCGACGTCGTACCCAGCCATCGCCAACGCGCCGCTCGTCGGCCTTGCCGAAGGCAACGGCACCTTCTCCAACCTCCACCTCGCCGTCCTCCTCGTCGTTGTTCCTTACTTTGTCAAGTCTTGGACGCCGATTGTCAACCGTGGAGGTTTCAAGACCTATCTCTTCGTCGCGCTCCTCACGGGCGTGCCCACCGCCGTCGGCTACTGGGCGCTGATGTCCCACATTGGTGGAAGGAAGAACACCAAAGTCGAGCTGCCCGGGAACGATATCGAGACGTATATCACCATCAAGGACCCCAAGCTCAAGGAATTGTATAATGGCAAGAACAAGATCCCTATGCAGGTCTTCCACGACGCGTATTTCGACGGCAAGATTGATGTTAATGGTGCGTTGTTGAGCGGGTCGTTGGGCGTGACGTGGCAGACAAGCTAACTGGCTCTTTCTGTTTGGTGGGATTGGGTGAATAGGTGATATGCTTGAGATTCTTGAACAACGACATGATTGGGCCAAGTTCAACTTTACATGGGCGCTGTTCAAATATGTGTTGACGGTGTTCATCCCTGAGGTGATCTTGCATACTCAGCGACAGGATGAGGAGCAGGTTAGGGGGCATTATGATCGTGCGTTGTTCTTTCTTTCGTGATATGTTTGAGGTGCTGATGGGGTTGCTATAGGTGGTGATGATTTCTATGAGTGGTTCCTCGGTCCTCGTATGATCTATACTTCTGGTGTTATTCGCAACCCCGACATCGAAGAGTCGCTCGAGACCCTCCAGGACAACAAGTTGGCTATCGTTTGTGACAGGCTCGACCTCCAGCCTGAGGACAAGTGCGTATAGTCCAGGCGTCGTTTCTTCCCAATGCTAATAAACGTCCCAGGATGCTCGATATTGGCTGCGGCTGGGGCACCCTCGTCACCTACGCCGCCAAGAACTTTGGCTGCGACGCAACTGGTGTTACGCTCTCCAAGAACCAGGCGCAATTCGGTACTGAGCGCATTGCGAAGAACGGCGTCCCCTCGACCAAGGCCCGCATCCTCTGCCACGACTACCGCGAGATCCCTGCTGGTACCACCTACAACAAGATTTCCTGCCTCGAGATGTCTGAGCACGTTGGTGTCCGCCGCTACTCGCAGTTCTGCAGCCAACTTTATGATCTGTTGGATGATGACGGTCTGTTGTTCTATCAAGTTTCTGGGTTCAGGCAGACTTGGCAGTTTGAGGATTTGATTTGGTATGTGATTTCCCTCGCGTATCATGTCCGTACCACGAGGAAACTAACGCGGTTTGCAGGGGTCTCTTCATGAACAAGTACATCTTCCCTGGTGCCGATGCCTCCTGCTCGCTCGGATGGCACGTTACCAAGCTTGAGCAAGCTGGCTTCGAAGTGAAGAACATTGACGTTCTCGGTGTCCACTACTCCGCTACCCTCTGGAGATGGTACAAGAACTGGATGAGCAACAAGGATAAGGTCATTGCCAAGTACGGAGAGAGGTGGTTCAGGATCTGGACGTACTTCTTGGCTTCTGCTACTATTGCTAGCCGGTGAGTGGGCGTTTTGCGTGTTTTTTTGCTTTCTGTGAGTGGGTTGCTGATGGCATTTTGCCCCACAGACAAGGAAGCGCTTCCATCTTCCAGATGACCCTCCACAAGAACTTGAACGCCTACCACCGTATCAAGGGTGTCAAGAGCCACACTTCCATTCACATCAAGCTTGACAAGGAGCCTTCGTAAGCCCTCATTTATCGTTTCCTCCGACTTGCGTGCTAACTATTTCGTAGGCTCGTTGAGTAAAGGTCCTTTTGTATCTTGACCACCTACCCTTGCGCGGGCAACCCCCTTTTAAAATTACACTATTCTAATCTGTTCTGAAAATAGTTGCTTTTTCACGGGATTGAATTTGTTTTCGTGAATATTGTTCGTTTCCCGTATGAAAAGGGGGTTTATTGCTTGTTGCTCCGAGTCTCCTGGTTCTCCCATCCTTCTCCCACCCGCTATGTACATATATCTAACGTACTTAGAAGCAAAAAGGTTAATTGGATGTAGCGCCTCCCTTGCTGTGAGATGTCTTGAGGAGGGTTTGAACGAGAGGAAGATGCCAAAGCGTTAGCAGGAAAGTCTTGGGCGGTAGTAGGGAAGACGCGTCGAGGGGGACTCGAAAGAGCGCAACCCACGCACGCGGATCTCACGTGCAGATCCTGCTACGCGTTCATCGCGCTTCCCCATTTCGTTTCCTTCCAACGACCATCGTCAAAGATATCGAGCCTCTCTTCTTTCCTCAACAAACCGACTCAAAAAAAGAAAGGGAAGAATGTCCAACGGAATTGAGCAAGAAGTGACGCCCCGAGTCAACTCGGCGCTCTTGTCCAACTTTCAAGGGAGGACTATTCGATTAGCTTGTAAATTGGTCAAGGTGCGCTGTAGTGTTCATGTTTCTCGTCTTTGAGCGCGAGTCATTGACTGGCTTATCTATCTACAACCCTATCTTCTCTGCACATTGTGGATATATCAACCTTGAAACAGTTCAACGATAATGGCAGTTTGACCGTGTCAGCGGCGGATGGCGGACAAGTCGTCGTGCAGCTCGTTGGGGTACGTGCTCTGACCCATTACAACGACCCTACGCCCTTTTCTGACACCCGATAACCACAGGAACACGAACCCATCTCCGACACTTACCTCGAAATCGTCGGTAAAGTGATGGATCCTACGACGATCCAGATGCGGGGTTGCATCGGGTTGGGAGCTGATCTTGGTTCGTGGCTCTAATTCTGTCTGTCTTTCGTGAACTTACGCGTAACGCTTGCACTATCGTTGGGCTTCATTGGGCAGATATGAAGCTTGTGAACGATACGATCAACCTCATTCATGATGAACGGTTTTATGGGAGGATGTTTTCGTACTGAGCGCGGGGTCGCGTTCAGGTCGTTCGTTGAGGGCTCGACCTTTCGACGCCAACTTTCAGGAAGGCTTCTGTGAAAGCAAGCAAGCGCCAGAAACACCACCGTACCATGTGCGCGTGTCTGGCCACCACATCATGATTCTTGGACCACCTGGCTGCGATATTTAGCACATCGACCGACATACCCCAGAGCTGAGCCTCAACCCCACGTTGTCACTCCCTTTGTTTTCGCAAATGCGTGCATGCGCTGCTCCTACAATCCCATCCCATCGGTCCATTCACATCATTGTACATTATCTCCCAACGAATCACTCGCCGATTTGAATGTACCGCTGTACTTCTATCGCTAGCATCAATTTCTAAAGCCTTTGGACTCGCCCTCGGTCGTTCTCGCTTGGAATTGCAGATGAACGAGGGTAGCGAAGAAGATGCGACTTTTGCAATTGCTTTCGTCTGTGATGATGGAGTCGGACGACTGATTTCCATCTCTGACACGCTCTACACCCGTTCCAACTGTTCAGCGCTTACACCAAAGGCCATAGAATGGACTCCTCCATCGACCAGAGGCGCAGCACCTCTGGTTCTGAAAATCGCAGAGCCAGGAACCCTCTGTCCATTCACAGTCAGCGAGGCTATTCTGCGAACTCACCGACCACTCAACATTCGTTCTCCCACAAAAAGATACAGTAAATTCCAAGGGATTCGAGTTTCATTTGGCAGTCGGACACATACAGACAAAACGACTATAGATATTCAATACAATTATTCAGAACAGGGATTATTATGGACCACCAGGAGCGACGCGTAACCATTATGGTTCCGACGAACACCCAGTGGCGACTTGATTGGTACAGAGACTCGGACGCCTATCGTATCGTGCTGATACGATGGGCTCAATTACCTAGTACCAGGGGGGAGTTCCTCGTAGATGGGGCAGAGATCGTGCCATGCGGGAGGAGGATTCGAAGCAGCAATAGTAGGAACGTCCTCAGCAAAGACGACGGACAGGCCACTGGAAGTAGAAGGATCACCCAAGTCAGCATATAATCCAAGGCATCGAGAAAAAGAAGGTATACTCACAGAACCAAGTGCCAATCGATGTGGCAGTGGAGAATCCAAGGACCAGAGTTGTCAGTCCTGAATCGGATGGTAACGTTATCGCCGGCTTGACCGATACTGACAACGTCTCGCTGGACAGGATTGACAAAGTTGTAGGTGGAGCTTCCGGCACTTCGGACGACGCTGAAGGCGTGGCCGTGAAGATGCATGGGGTGCTGTAGGTCAATGGATCAGTAATTGTCGCGGAAAGTGGAGGCTGGGAGTAAGCTTACAGGAGAACCAACAGAGCCACCGGGCATGGACAGCTCGACGACAGCGTTCTTGGGGAGGGTGTAGACACCACCGGCGGGCAACAAGTCCTGGGGAGTATGGGCACCACTCATGATTTGCAGCATGACGGGGAGAGGAGGCTCATCGAAGGTAGCACCGTTGACCTGGAACTTCAAGCTGGCAAAGTCGAAGACGACATCGAGGTTGATCGCAACATCGACGTCACCGGGGGTGGGGTTGCCAGGAGCAGCGGGGCTGTGGAGCGGGTGGAGGTTCGTCTCGAGGAGGGGGTTGAGCGAGGGTGATTCAGTGGTGGTGGGTTCAGCGTTGGGTGCACCGACGTAGCGGAGGATGGCAGAGTTGATTCCACCAGCGTAGCCAATGTCACCGAGATTGGGGTTAGCGCGGACCCAGTAGTTGTCGACGGGGCGGTTGGCGTTGAGGACGAAGGAGTAGCGCTGGCCGGCGAAGATCTGGATTGAGTCGACAATGAGGGGCTCAGTGCTGATACCATCGGCTTCGATGATGGTCTAGTGGGAAGAGCGGTGATGAGCGAGAGACCGGGAAAGAGAGAGAGTTACGAACCATGCTATGGCCATCAATGGAGAAGGTGTAGAATGGGTCGCAAGAGAGGGAAACCAATCGGAATCGGTAGCGCCTTCCACGTCGGACATGGATGACAGAGAGAGGGACCATAGGTCCACCAACATAACGACCTTTGCCGTTGATCAAGGTGGAATCGGGGGTGGGGACCAGACCGGCAGAGGGGGCTGGAGTGTGATACCAATCTGCCAAGGTAATGATAGTTTGTTCTGCAGATTCACAAAGGTTAGGCACGGTTTGGTTTACGAAGAGTCGAGGTAAAGGGATGAAACATACCGTTATCGACATCGTAGAGATGGCGGTGGGGGTCGTGGCGATCATAAACGACCATGACACCTCGAAGACCGTCACAGTACTGGGACACTATGTGGGAGTCGGAGATGAGGATCGCGTTCAAAAGCTGGAACAAGAGGGAGGGGTGACGTACAATGATGAGAGTGGTACCAGAAAGTACCAGCCTGGTTCTTCGCTTGGAACTTGTAACGGAAGGAATGGCCAGGGGCGATGGGGCACTGCGTGACACCGGCAGGACCGTCAGCCCAGGCAGTGCCGTTCATAAAGAATCCGTGCCAGTGGATACTGGTCGTTCGCAACATAGTAGGGTCGGTGAGTTCATCGATGACATTCAGATTGTAGTGGTCGTTCTAACAAGGCCATACCATATGAGCGTGACGCTAAAGGGGAGAGTGGAGGAAAAACGTACCTTGTTGGCACGGATAACAGGGCCAGGGAAGGCGAGGTTGTTAGCATTAGTGCCAACAAGTACACCACTGCGATGAAGATGGGTGAATTGGTTAAAGTTACATAGCTATCACGGACAGGCCATGGACTCACGATCGAGTGAAGCCATCAGGAGCGATATCCTTATTGGCGACATAGAGGTTGGAATTGGGACCAATGGCACCCAAGGCACGGGGAACGAACTGAGCGATGAGAAGGGAAGACAGCAACAACATGGTCGCAGGACTTCAAGGGAGAGAAGGAGGAGGACTTGCGACGACGGGAAGGTGTCTGAGGAATCTCGGGTCGATAGCCTGGAGGGTTTTATACCTGTGTTTTCAGGTCCTCGTAAGCCTGTGGATGACACACCTCGTGTGAGTGTGAGCGGACTGCGGGCCTAGAGTCCAAAACAGAAGAGAAAGATGGAAATTTTGACAAGTCCTGAGCTGGAGAAGGGGATGTGCCTCAGGGCCCAGGAGAGTTGGCAGAAGTTCCGAATTCGCGTCTGATTTCGCCATTTGGGTCCTGCGGTGTGGAATGTCAGATACACATCTCCTAAAGTGTCGGTGCCATAACATGAGCGCTTACCTCAAGTGCGTAGAACAACAAGAGGAAGGATTTGCAATCACGGACAAGGAAAGAAGGAGAAGGGATCGTAAATGGGATCTTGATCGTTGTAGTAAGTCGGAGGCTGATGCCCGTCAGTTGGTTATCAGACCCTGTTATGAGAGCGCATGCATCTCGAACTGGGAGTCTGGGCAGGCGCTCATGAGACCGTTTTGCTGTTAATCCAGGGGCGCCGGAAAGATGAGAGGCCCGAACGAAGTGGGTTCCCAAGAACCGAAGGTCGGTCGCGCTCCAATGAGAACCTCTTGGGACTTAGTAAGAAAGGGACGGCTGGACTTCCAAGGCACGAGCTGCGCGTTCCGAATATGACCTGAATGAAGAAAATCAGATATATATCCTGAGACTGGGCGAGGTTCGTTCTCACCCTGAGTCCCCTGTAACTCTTCCTGCCCCGCGTCCATTCCCCGTCCCCTCAACGTCTACCATGCAGCTCAAACTCGCCTTCTTCACCCTTGTTTCCATCCTTGCTTTCAACGGCGTATGTGCCCTCCCCTTTCTCTTCTGAGATATGTCGCTCATCACTGTCCATTCACAGGTGTCTGCTGAAGAGGGCGACGTCCACACCGTGACGCGCGTTTTCCACACCATCGTCAAGCAGTCACCGTACCTTGTCGACAGGACCACCACTGTTGTCTGGACGTAAGTGAACTGCCGACTGGTATCGGCTGTTGCGTTCGACTGCTGACCATGTCGTCTTTGACAGTGAGGGACCATCTATCGCAGATCCCAGCGCGACCGCTGTCCCACCCGAGGTCGACCAGACCGTCGTCTACGGTGAAGGGCCCCTTCCCACCGTCTACACCGAGGCGGACGAACTTTAACGTCCATCAACCATTCCCACCCATATTTTCAAGCGTGTAGTGTAGTGTCTGCCAGCGTCGTTCCATAATTGTGTGTAGAGTATCGATAACAACAATTTCCTTTCTTTCCCTTGATTAACTTTCTGTGTATGAGTGAATGAAGCAATGAAATATCTCACCAAGTGTCCTTTTCAAAAGAATGATGAAATGTCAATGCGTTAACGTTTACGAGATGTGAGAATGAGAGGATACAGCGCGAGCGGTTCCGAACTAGGATCCAATACGCATCTGTCGAAACAACGTCCAGGCACAATGGAGGCTTTGGGCATGGAGATAGATTCTTGTCTACCTTTTCCTTGTTGTCGTGATGGTGGTTCAGAAGCAAAACGTGTTGGGAGTCCGAGTCGGTCAGGGCCGTTGGTGGCATTGGTTCCGAGTTTTTTCTCACCACGTTGGCCGGCTGGCGCATACCAGTAGATAATCAAAGTGGTTATCTGATAATTATGCCATACTCACGGTTGTCGGGGGGCTGGCCACGAGCGCTTGATCAGCGTCGACGATATAACCAGACGCTGTTATCCGCCCTTGTGATAAGGATCTGAGGCGTCAATGGCGCGGAGGCGGGCTCCTGCTCAGAGGCGATGAGAGGCGTAGTTTTCCAGTGGCGCATCTCTTTGCATGTACATGGATGGAAACATTTCGTACACCGAACCAGATGTTGGGATGCCACGGGAAGATCAAACAATAAAGCACCTTCAAAGTTAGATAATCGCACTTTGCGATCCACGGACCAGGAAGCCTCAGTGTACCTTTTCGAAGTATTGGAGTCTAGTACAATATTGGTATCGGTTGCCAAAAGTTCTCATGCAGTCTTTCCGTTAAAGAAGATGTGCGTGCATGTGTTCGAGGATCGTCGGCATCAGTTGACCTAGGTCAATTAAAGATCTTGTTCCGTTGCTTTGACAGGTGTATTAATCTCAAGCCGACGTCACGCATTGTCATACGAGGTCGTTTGATTATCATCTCGACGTTCACTCACTCAGCTATTGTCAGAGCGGTTGGAGCTCTTCCGATACCAAGAGCACGGAGGAGGTATTTGTTCCTTGTACCTAACCATTAGAACCAGGAACACTTGACTTCAATAGACAAAGGCAGCGAGCTATATGAAAGATGGCTACTCAGGTCCGATACCCGAGTCGCAATAGCACCCAAGAAGTCTTCAAGCATTTACATGCAGCGGTTATTACGATGGTAAGTACACTCCACAGAGTCGATGATGCGCGAGCTCGCACAGCGGCGTGATCTCATGAAATTGAAACTATCCAATGAGGTCGTGGTTCTGCTCCAAAGCCCTCTATGATTGGGCTTGACAAATAAATCTCTTCATTCCCCATGTAGTGCACTAACCGGCTCCTAGACTCGCCCAGGCTCTCAGACTCAGTAGTTGAAACACGCAATGAAACGGAGATAAGGCAACATAGGCGCCGGTTCTCAGTGTACGTATCGGAGCGCGGTGACCGATCCAGTCTGAGCATTCCCGATGGATGCAACGTTATGATCCTGATCTCTATGTCCTATAGCACAAGGAACTCACGCTTCGTCTATCCTACTCTAATAGCTTCTTTCAAGCCCTTCTGCGACCGCTGGCTTTAATTAAGCACCTCGGAACATTGAATAGCTTGTCAATGCAAAGAAGCTCAAGGCTGCCTCGAAAAGGCCATGCTTCTTTTTTTTCCGTGTGCTTCTTGAGCTATGTTCTGCGCAGAAGCGCATGTAAACGCAAATGGAGAAAACAGAGCGGCCGTAAATAACGTCATCTCTAACGGAATGCCATTCTGGATACCCATGAAGGGCGGACTTGAGGTCTGTGGATGGGGAAGGTGCGCTAGAGCGAATACTGCCTTTCGGGTATCTCTGTCCCTTTCACTATCTCTCAGTATCCACCAGGTGCCGAGTCATACAGTCTCACCAAAGGAACGGTATTATCACTATCATTGTACCAAGTATCTCACCGAACGCCTCTTCCAGGACCGACGATGGTGTGAAGGTGAACGGCTTTCCCTGCAGCGTAAGGCGGCTTATCCACCGCTTATCTTCCCTCCGAATTTCTCAGAAAGCAGCCTCCGCGGGTAACACAGCGCCAATCCTCCGGACGCCACCGAAGGATTGAATACCGCCACCTCGACCACAGGCGGATTGTCGCATACACTCTCCCAGGTTATTAGGAGACCTGATGGCAGTAACTATTAGTATGGGAGACTCAGATGAAGGTGTGTACTGGAACTGTTTCATAGTGCACCGCAACGATCTGCGACTGCAGCTCAAACGCAGAGTACCCTGTCAATGCGTAGGTTACGTGTCTGACGTTAATAGCCATAAGCTATCGGTGTTATTTCTGCCTATATCGCCACGGATCTAGAGAGACTCCGCTCGTATTCGCAGTGGCGCAAGTGCCATAAACTGGATGGGAAGGTCACGTCGAAAGGGTCGCGCTGGGCGCTTCGCTGAGGCTGAAATGCCGCGCAAAGTAGTATTTGGCTATGTTAGAAATCAAAGACTTTAGCGTCTGGCAAAGCGCCCTAGCCAGAGTCTGAACTCATTCATGATCAGGTTGAGCTTCGACCAAATGTCGGACGAAGACTCCAAGAAGGCACACACACGCGCGCCATGCATACTCCCATATTTTCATCTTTCCAGAACGGTGGACTACTGAAACGGCCAAGATGGACCGTACGTTACTCCCAGCTCCAGACAAGCCTACTGGGCGCTTTGGTATGTAATCGCTCAGGTACCTCTCACTGACTAACCACGCCTATGATCATTATCCGTTCTAGGGCCTCACTGAACCGCGAACAAGGGAGTCATCCTGACGCTCATGGAACGGGATAGTTTGATGATGGTAGTATGGGCATCAAAGTCCTGATAACCATCGAGGGTCGCCTGTAAGCAGTCACGGTATCCCATTGTTCACCATCACGGAGGCTTACCGCTTTAGAGACAGGAACCCAGCATAAGGATCCCAAAGGGGTTCAAGGCCGTGGCTGACCGATGTGCAACGCCACTGAGTCTGGTTTGTACGCTTTGTGGGACCAACCCCTCGGACAGCGCGAAATGCAAGGAGATTACACACCGGTATGACTGGATTCGCGACAACAAACGGACGTTCACCGCCCTGCTCTGTCACCTGCCTGACCGCTGTGACTTGGAGTGCCATCTTTATCACGTCGTGCAATCCCTGGCGGCTTCACTCTTCAACAGCACCTTCTCGCCTTGGAGTTCAGAATTCTGGCCGCCTCTTGCCTTTGCTCTTGTCTCTGTTGCCGCTTCGCACCCAGGGGGCAGACTCTTTGTTACGCTAATACCGACAATGTCTCCCTGCGTTTCCAGTCGACTCCTCTGTTGGTAACCTCGTCACTTCGGAGGGACCTGTCGCAATCAATGCTTCTTTGACCTCTTCCTTGATGACCTCCCCCTGTTTGACCTCCTCCTGCTGCCCAAGGTTCCCCCGGCCTCTACTGTTGTCCCACAGCGCCTAACCAGGTTGTGATCGTGCAGAGATGCCTTCACATTTCTGTTGCAATTGCTTCTGGGATTGAACATCCACCCACGATGTTTATGTGGCCATCCAAATGATATTGTTCCAACGTGTACTTTTTTCGTGTTGCATCCAAATCTCAACCATCTTTTTCCTTCTACCACCACTTGCTAGAGCCTTCCAGCAAGCCAGCGCACGCTCCGGCTATTTAACCGGCCCCTCTCCGGTGTTGTGAGCATCCGAGACAGCCCTAATTGCACGTCTTCATGCTTGCACTGCAGCGTTGCTGACCTTTGTTTTCCAGGGGTAAATTACCATTCGAAGTTCTTCTCCCTGAAATTTCTCCACGAGACTGAGACAAACCCTTGCTGCGGAAAAGGTGCCAAGGTGTACCAAGGCAGATGGTATGTTCATCGTGACGAGGTTCTACCATCAGGATTCTCGCGCATACCATATCGACAGATCAGCGCCATTGTCTCTACGTCATAATGACCGCGCAAGTGACGTCGCCAGAAGGGAAGTTCACCCTGAGCTCCCCAACGGGCACCCCAAAATGCGATGATCTTTTCCCAATGCAAGATAAGGCTTAATCTGTGTTGACTATGGACAGGGTGCGCGTCTACATGTAAGCTATCTGACCAAACTTGCTTCGAATTTGTGGTAAACCTCAAGTCGAAAAGTGGAGTGAAGAAGGAGAGTTGTCTTCCCCACAAGTCGCGTAAATAACCTCCAGCGCGACACGCGGACGTTTTCTGAAGCTTGTTGGGTATATAAACCTTGTTTGTGGAATTCCATGGATTCTTCCTCCCATCCTTCCCGGCGGTTAAGGGATCAGATCGAGAGACCCAAGGTTCGACGATCCCCCTCTGTCCTCGTCCCCTTCCTGCTTTGGATTAACGCTTACCTTTTCCAAGTTTTGATCAATAATGGACCAAGGATATTCTAGGCCTTCTATCGACCCATCTTCCGGGTATCAGTGGGAAGCAGCGGGTACTTGGGAGCAGGATACCACCATGTCAGGCTTTCCGCGAGTGACGCACATAAACTCTCCTGCCGCGTTATACCCCTCCCCGCCAGGCTCCCTCGGGTCGGCCGACCGCACGCACTCGCTGCAAGAACTAACGGAGTCCTCGCTGGTTAGCACCACCAGTACAATCTCTCCCCTCAACCGAAAATCGCTAACAGTAATGTCTTTTCCAACTATCCAATGTTGCTTGGTACGGATAGATCTCTCATGGACACTCTCTCGCACTCAGCGAACAGGATGTTAACGTTTCGATCGATACCGATGTTGCAGACCGGGTCGTGTCTGTGTCGACTTCGTTTTGTCCTGGATCCCACCCGACGGAAGGAGATGTTGTGTTTTCCTCCAAGGACGATGTCCTATTCTATGTGCACTCGGATGTGATCAAGGCTGCGTGCCCAGAGGCGTTCTCGTCGTTCCTTCCACTCCCTTCGTCGATCCCAGGCGCCACGGCGAACGGCGCGGTAATCAAAATCCCCGAGGACGCGATGACGCTCAACGTCATCCTGCATCTCCTGTACGGGAGCTCCTGTGCACCCAATTCCCCCTCTCTAGACCAACTCGTCCACGCGATCGACAGCATGCCCGGATACGGCATCACCCCCTCCACCTTCATCCTCCCGCAAACACCCCTCTACACCCTCCTCCTCTCGCACGTCCCGCACCACCCCATACAAATCTACGCCCTCGCGGCACACCACAAGATCGAGCAACTAGCGTCCCAAACGTCCTCCCACCTCCTGGCGTTCCAGCTGTCGAATGTGACGGACGAGATGGCGATGCGGATGGGCCCGGTGTATTTGAAGCGGCTGGTGTTGCTGCAGGCGGGGCGGTTGGAGGCGTTGAAGGGGCTGTTGTTGCAGCCGCCGGGGTTGCATGCGCCGATTGGGGGGTGTGGGTTTGAGGAACAGAGGATGGTGACGAGGGCGTGGGCGTTGGCTTCTGCTTCGCTTGTGTGGGATGCTAGACCTGGTGGGTGGGGTTTTATTTCTAGTCGTGCGATAAGACGGGGGAGATGCTGACAAGCGTTTTGGTGATATGGTAGATATCTCGACTCATAGGATTCAAGCTGCGTTCATGACGATGCTGAAGGATTTGGAGTGTCAAGATTGCGAAGCTTCTGTTACGGCGCGGTTGAGGGACGTTATGGTGAAATGGTCTGCTTTGAAGGTGCGACGCTTAGTGGTGTTTGGGTTTCTTGCTGCTGGATGTTGACCAAATTATTGATTGCAGTGTACCGTATGAAGCAGAGTCCACTCTGGGGCGACCGTCCCTGAAAAAATTGAGTATTTGTACATGCCTTGGTTTAATTTCTGTCCTTTCTCTTGTTCTCTGGTTACGGACGATTGTATATCTGGACTTGGTTGTGGAACTTGGTTACTGTGTTTTTTAATGCTTGCATGTCGAACTCTTGCAGTCGAATGAAAAATACTATATGGGAGTTGTGATACGGAGGGTTCGACTCGGTTCTGCCACGACGTCGACGTTTCCGAGTGGAGGTATGGACTAGGCAAACGGACCTGGAGCTTGACCAGCCAGAAGTCCGTGCACAGGGGAAGCCGAGGGCCATGAGACTGGAATAGAAGCCCGACATCGGTTCCGATGGGTGGGGCAGGGGTCGTGGCCACTGTGACGAGAGATGTGCTCTGGGGAGTGGTCTGGTCACCCTGGTCAGCAAAACTGGACTCGGAACCGAGGACACGAGGGCCGCTTTCAGTTGCAGAGCCCTCTATTGGGAGTCAAAGCGATGGGGTTGATGAGGACAGACGGGTGGTCCAGGTTGCTCCAAGAAGCACGATGTGATATTGTTACAGTACGACATCCAGCTTCGACGCATCCTTCCACGTCAGTAGATAAAACGTGGCTTCTCATCGGTCAGTAGAGGTGGATGTCCGAGGGCTTCAATCTACTATCGCCAACCTTTTACACTCGTTGGTTAGAGATAGGGAAGAACGAGAGGTCAACGAGGGCGCACCTATCGGCATTCACTTGAACGCCATATCGTTGTAGTGCTTGTATCGCAAACCTGATTGGTCTGGAGGCTCGTACTTTCTGCTTCCCCAGAGTACCCAACGCCTAGGCGGTTTGCCTACGACCCCGTGCTCATTTACGATGGGCCTAGCGGGAGGATCGTTGGTTGGGATCAATCTCCCCCCTTCTTCCTCTGAATCGCCTTCCAGTCGACGTCGTTTGTTTGGCGGGCTCTGGGATGCTCGAACACGGAGGTGAGCCTGGGGTGCATGCGATCATCAGTCTAAAATCTATCCATGAGAGCCACAAAACGACGTCTTACCGGTGTCGGTGCTGGTATCCTGGGGTTATGATCTGGTCCCAGAGGTGGCAAAGTGATGCGACCCAGCCTATCGCGAGGAAAGAGGCTACAGGAAACGCTGCCTGGATGGCAAAGACATGGCATCGATGCTCACATCAGTTTGGTTGAAAGCAAACTTGGGAAAAAGGGGGGCCCTGTGTGGCCCTGTTCCTGAATTCGTTTCTGGTGAGACCGTGCCCCTCATCCAAAAGCCGACAACGACGCCATCAAATCTTTTTTCGAGTCCCCGTGCCCGTGGATACCGTTGGGTTGGTCGTGAGACTGAGATCTAGTCGCAGCCTTTGAAACTGTATCGTATTCATGATAATGTTGGGCAGAGGTGGGCTTTTAGATGACGAGAGCGTGGTGGATGGAGAGTAACAGAGTTTGATGGTATCACTGTTTGCATGTCCATCGACATCATCCGCCAATCACTGGACTCTTGACGCTGAACCAATACCAAGGGCAACGGTTTGCAGATGGATACAGGACGACCAGCAAGCTCTGCACAAGCTTCGATATTGAATGCGATCAAGGCTACACAAGCATATCGGCCAACCGTTGAATATGGAGACGAGGGCGGCGTGGTCGACGAAGAATCTCTCATATTACCTGGTCTATGGCGGGACATGAACGAGATTGTACCAGGGCTTTGGCTGGGTGGTCTGCCCAGTGCGCTAAACGCTGCCAACCTCAAAGAAAAGGGTATTGGGAGTGTGGTATCGGTCCTTAGAGGATCTGTTAAAATCAAAGAGGTGCGTCGGTATCTGCTGCTATGTGATGAAAAAGACTAATCTTTCACTCTGTAGACCTTCATTCGACATCAAATCGAAATAGACGATGTAGAGGACTCGGATATCCTATCACATCTTCTTCCAGCTGTCAAATTCATCGAGGCAGAACTCGGAAAAGGACGAGGCGTTTTAGTCCACTGTCAAGCCGGCGTTAGTGAGAATTACATTCAAATCTTCCCTAACCTCTCCCTAACTCTCCAAACAGGCCGCAGCAGCACCGTAGTCGCTGCGTACCTGATGTACACACAAAAACTTTCCCCGGAGGAAGCTTTGGAAGTCGTTCGAAAAGCCAGACCAGTTATCGAGTGCGTATATGGTCATTTTTGCCCCTATCAGCCATTTCTGACCTCCGATCGATCCGAGTGTTAGACCCAATGCTGGATTCCGTCGCCAACTTGACTTGTTCCACGAAGCGAAGCATCAGGTGTCCCAGGACAATCCGTATGTAAGGAGGTTCTACATGGAGAGAAACGCGAGTTCTATCGCTGCTGCAGGTGAGTAGAGTACCAGCCAGTGGCGTAAAGGATGCCGACAGCGAATTTCAGGCTCAAGCGCACCCAACTCTGGAAAGCCTGCGATGCTTGGGGAGCTACCCGCCAAGCAAACAGCATCACCATCGACCCCGGCTACTGAATCTACACCGGCGAAAAAGCTGAGCAGGCGGATCCGGTGTAAGAAGTGTCGGTGAGTAGCCTCTGGATTCAGTGTAAGGATTGGATTTGCTCACTGCCGTGGGCTAGACATGAATTGGCAGCTCGCGAACACATGCTTGATCACGGCCAGATTGGTCCTCCCACTCCACCACCAACACCAGCCCGTTCTCTGGACGAAGATCCTACCCCAACGTCCGCTTTGGACGACCTGAAAGAATTGGACAAGGCGCTGGACGCTTCCTCACCGTCCTCGCCTTCATCCACTTCCTCCGCGGCACAGGCGGAGAAACGAGGTCAGGACGCCTCGAATTCCATCCAGGCCCTTGTGCATACAGTCAAAAGGAACGGCAACTCCTCGCTACCTTCAACACTACCGATCTCTATTGCACCGGATGGGAGCAGGTTTATTGATCTCTCGGGGAGGCCGGCGGCGGGTACGACTGCTACTCTGAGGCCGAATGGAGGATCCCAGTCCCATCCTCCGGCTCCACCGCCTATCCTCATCAACCACAAGTGTTCCGGGTACTACGTCGAACCTGTACGCCTCCCCTTCCTCTTCCCTTCGTCTGAAGCTGCTGATCGCTAACCATCGTTTCTGGATGATGGGTATTCAGATGAAATGGATGGAAGACCCGTTCAATGGCGAGACGGCTGGCAAGATTACCTGTCCTAATAAACGGTGTAAAGCAAAGTTGGGCAATTTTGATTGGGCGGGTCAGTGTTGTGGATGTGGGACTTGGGTTACGCCGGTATGCTTTTTTTCTGGCATCAGAATCTTTTACCTCCTGGTCAAGAATCGGGGACTGATATTCTGTGGTACAGGGATTCTGTATAAATCGGTCAAAGGTGGATGAAGTAGTTGTGACCGTGAACATCTAGACCCTTTGTACTAGTACAAGAAGCAGGGATGTGAGTCGCTTTGTCGCACGTTTAATTCCGCATTTCCCGTTCTGATTTACCTCGCTAGGTACTTGCTTTAGCGATGTGCTTGTAGTTCAGGTTTCCATAATATCAAAGTGATGGTTTAGACCTGGCATTTAGGATGGGTCGAGACCTGATTCTGCCGCGAGTGATTGGGTTATGCCGCTGGCCACTATGCAGAGCTCTTGCCATTATCGTTGAAGGCTCAGGTTGGTACATTCGGGAGCATCAGGGAATGCAGCAATGGGCGGCAATTGCATACTATCAACCAGTGGAACAGAATGCAGGGGAGAAATTGCATTGCAACATGCATACTAGGGCCTCCTAGAGGATGACACTAACCTTTTAGCGGGAGTACAAAGGCGCCCTGAGTGCCGCTGGAGACCGAACTCCAGTATCACCTACCTTCTTTCTCTTCACACTCGATCCGAACTCGGTCAAGAATCAGTTCCCCTCGTGCAGCAATTACCAGAGATGTCTACTATGGCCGAAGAAGGGCACATGCAGGAATCGACCAAGGGGAAGGTACCAAGTTCACCTCCCGGACCCTCGCAGACCCTCGCCCTTCCACCGACGTTCTACGCCGACAAACTGTCCAACGCGGCTAAAGCGAGGAAACCGTGTCCTAGTAAGCCGATATTACTCTAGTCCTAGCCTCCCACGAGATAACACAGAACTAACACCACCAATCACAGTCCACGACCTTTTTGCAGTAGGAAGCAAATCAGGCATTCTATCGATGGTCCTCGGCCAGCCAAACCCCTCAACCTTTCCCTTTGAGAAACTCACGATACAAGTCAAACCGACCACCGCCGCCGGTGCCGGTGATGATAATGTACGAGACGTTACTACTAATCTGGTTCTCGAGCTCCAGGAGGAACTGGAGGTGGCGTTGCAGTATGGGCAGACGGCTGGTGTGACCGAGTTGGTCGAGTGGATTCAGGAGATGATGAGTGACGTTCATGGTAGGCGGGTAGAGGAGGGGTGGAGGGCGATTATCTGCGCCTAGCGAGGAAGTACGACCTTATAATTATCGAAGATGACCCGTATTACTTTTTGTACTACGGTAACCTGCCTCGTCCGCCTTCTTATTTCTCTTTGGAGAGAGAGCTTGGAGGAGAACTGGGGAGGGTCCTTCGACTTGATAGTTTCAGCAAGGTTTTGGCTCCTGGGTTCCGGCTTGGGTGGGCTACAGGCCCCAGGGAACTGTTGGATGCCATTGAGCGACACGTATGTCGTCTCTTTTCCCCCGGTCCTCTACATAACCTTCTGCTAAATCACTGACCCACTGACGCTGTGTAGAATTCGATCTCCGTCGCTCAAGCAAGCACCTTTTCCCAAATTATCACTCTCAAGCTCTTGCGGGAATGGGGTCTGAATGGTTTCCTCGCTCATACACGTCAGATTGCAGAGGTTTACAAGAAGAGGCGAACGGTCTTCAACGCATACCTCGAGCGTCATCTCTCTGGGTTGGCGGAATGGAGGGTCCCGGATGCTTCGATGTATTTCTGGGTTAAGCTGAACTTGCTGACTGGTAAATCATTATCATCGTTCTACTTCACGTTTCCTAGTAGTACTGATCGAAACGATATCTTTTCGCCAGCAGACTCGAGTACGTTCATCCGAGAAAAGGCGATCTCGAATGGCGTGCTGGTTTTACCTGGTCAAGTTGCCTATCCAGATGGAAGGACCACGGCGTTTGTGAGAGTCGCGTTTGGGATGCTTTCTGATGAAGATATGGAAGAGGCGGTGCGGAGGCTTGCGAAGGTCTTGAAGGAGGAGGAGAGATAACCTTCTGCTGGATGCCTTGCCCTGATTTCACACCGCGGGCATGTTGATGTTACAAAATGATATACATTTTGTGGACTGACTACTGTAACCGTACCATGCGAGCAAGTAGTACTACAGGCGACAGTCCAAATTAAACTCTACATGAGTAAGGTAGAACATTTCTTCTACATACCAAAGTCAACGGGGGTTAACCCATCGCCTTGATTCACAGAAGAAAAAAGGGTAGTAGAAATACAAAAAGTACAATTGGAGTTGATAAGAAGCCGTTCGTTGCGTTGCGTTGCATGCAAAGTAGTCCCGTGATGCCAAAAACCGTGGTATCGTGTGTTGGGGGTGGGTGGTATAATTCGTACAGAGATTTCGTTTCAAAGTTTCGTTGTTGATGGTCTTGATGCATTGTCGTGAAAGCCGTTCGAGAGAAAGCGAGAGAAAAAACAATATAGATCATAACTTAGAACCTCTTCGAGGTCTCCGCCGCCGCTTCCACCTCCACGCGATGGGCGGGTTTTAGAGTCGCAGGGGTAGCTTTACTGCGCTGGGACGCTGCTGCAGCTGGCGTTGGACACCAGGGAAGCCACAGACGACCTCCGGGAGAGGCTGCCGCCGTTGGAGGGCATAATCTTGTAAGGATGCACGCGCGCGTTCTTGGACATCTCGCGTTGTGGGTGTCGGAGTTTGACGTATTGCTGCATCGCAGAGCCAACGAGGAGGAGGGGTTGTTGCTGCTGCTGGCTCGTCTTCCCCGTCGACGAAGGTGCGGAGTTGGTGGATGTGGTGGGCATCACGATGATAGCGTTTGCCTCTTCGAATGAGCAGGGCACCAGGCGGACTTGGCCGGCGGGCATAGTCGCTGAAGTGGGTGGCGAGGGGAAGAAGGAATCGGATGAGGCAGACGAGGATGCAGGAGAGGATGCGCGAGATGAGGGGTAGGACGGCGAGGGCGAGCGGGACATGGAGGTGGTTGAGGAAGAGGTAGATGATTTGCGGAGTCCGTGGGCGTATCGAGAGCGAGGAGCCCAGATGTCTCGATCAGACTGAAAAGTGAATCAATTAGTCGCCGATATCTCGACAAATGACTATAATCGAGAACGTACCTTTCCGCTGGTGTCGTAAGACGAGCTTGCCTTGGGCACAAAAGGCAAGTCGAGGGTGTGAATGGAAGGAAGAGTGGGACGTTCCGACGTTCTCTTGAAAGAAGACATTATTGCTGAAGATATGAAAGGTTGGTTTTTGAAAAAAAGTCGAGGCAGGCGGTTTGAAGGGCGTCGAAAAGCGTTGAAAGTTGAAAAGTAAAAAGAAAAGGATGGATAACCTCCTGGATTATCAGAGCCTGCCGAAGAAGAATGTGTGTTGTCGTAAAAAGTGTGAAATATGAAAAGGTGGAATGAAGAAACTTGGCGAAGAGAGAGAAAAGGAAAGAGAACGTGGGGTGAGGAGTCAACTGGCTCGATCATTCCATCCTCGCTTTATAGTCTGTAATAGGTCAATGGTGCATTTCCATCAAAGGCTCATGAACATCTTTTTCCTGCAATAGGTCAGTCAATAGAGGATTTGTCGATTAGCGCGTCGTATTGTGAGTGAACAATTGAACTCTCATTGACCTGGCGCGTCGGCGTCAATAATTTCAGTAGACGCTTGTTTGTCGGTCGGAGTTTCAAATTGATTCAGGTGGTGCATTGTTCATTTGGCACCGCTCTCAGCGCGATGTTCACGCATATCGTCTGCGTCTAAGGCTAGGCTCCAGGGTAAGTCACGCCTCTGTACTCATAGAAAGTGCTAGAGGCGGCATGTCAGGCTCTTGAGCCGCTATGGCCCTCACTTGCTTTGCGCATCAGTGTTTGGCACAAGTTAGGTAATGCTTCCGAGTCGGCTCATCAATGCATCAAAAGTGGCCCGACTTCCTCCAAACAAAGGAAAGCAGAGGGCGCATGAGAAAACCACCCGATTCTCAAGAAGTATAGAGTAGCCCGGTGGCATTTCGACCTCAGATAATAGAGGTTTCTGTATTCCCTGAGACCATGTGCATAGTAAACATCCATCGGATTTCCAGAAGGCGAAACACTGCGTCTAACAATGGCCGCCAGCGCGCCTTCCGCAGTGCGCACCAGTCAATAGTAGGCGGGAATTTTTGTACTCTAGTTTATGTCTAGCGACTGTTGTGCTGCCTTTGCACAACTTTCTATCTCTCTTCGCGTCCCTTAACTTTACCATTGTCATCCAAATCATCGCTCTCCGAATCACTCCCCAATAGAAGGCCTCGCTCCATCCGCTCTTGTTCGATCCCTCGACCCAGGTTCGATTCCGCGCTGACCGATTGGCCGTTCCCATTGTTTGACTCTTTCAATAGCTAACATTAGATTGAGCACCGGTGCTACAGAAAATGTTCGGAGCAAAAGGACTCACTGCGAGATAAACAGCGGAGGAGATAATGAGCACTGTTCCCAGGACAGAGAGCAATGGAGGAACGGCATCGAAGAATACACGCTCGAAGATAGTGGCAAACACGATCTAGAGTACAGTCAGCATCGTGTCAAAATATTCTCGCCAGTGGGATACATACTTGAGTGTATATCGCCATACTTCCCTTCCCAGCTGCTTCTCTTTGGAATCCCAACGTCAATAAGATCTGAAGACGGTTTGGTTCGGAGGATCGTAAGGTCAGCATTGTTCTGTAGTTCAAAGGGACGACCCACCTGCGCTATCATACCAAAGAAACCCATCAAGCCAAACATAGCTAACCACGCTTTGCTAGCGGGGAGGACGAAGCGTTCGCCGGTAATGTACATCCCGAGGGCACCGACGAGCGCAGATTGACCAGCATGAGACGTGAGTGGCTGGATAGGGTGCGCTCGTTTCCCAATAGCGCGAAGGGAGATATCTCATTGTCGGGCAAGGATCAGTTCGACCGTCGAAAGATAGACATTGGGACGCTCACATGCTCCTGTTGCACCAACCACGCCGACAAGAGCAATGCTACCAGGAAGGCTCAGTCAGTCCCAGGTTGCAGCATTCCAGACGAGATCCACGTACAAGACAGCAATCGCCCTGTCGCTAGTCGTTTGAGGCGCGTCCTCTTGGGGACCAAGACCGACGTGGGGCCCGAATATCGCAGCAGGTCTGGCAATGAGTATCACACCAGCCATGCTGACCACTACACAGAACATGAGCACCCCTGCGTCACCTTCCAAAGCAAGTTGGTTGTTACCGACCTCCAGCAAACGCCTGCTTCAAGGTGAACGACTCCTTCAGCAACAGCGCTCCTACGATAGCGGTGAAGACGGGGGATAGGAACTGGAGGACTGTCGCGTCTGATAGGGAGAGATACTGCAGCGAGAAGTACATTCCGAACAGGGAGATGAACCTAGGAATTGAAGTCAGTACTGAAGCTGAGATGATTCTGACGGACATGTACATACCCGGTGAACCCTCGGAAAAGGAGCCATAGGCGGACACCTTTTGGACCTAGCCAGGGATCCGGTACTTTGGTGACTAACCTAGGGGGATGAAGGCCACGTTAGATCACGCAGGTGCAATGCGCAAGGAAAACGTACATGTATCCCACACAACAGACCCAAGTGACGCCCTAGACCGCGTTTCTTTCCTTTATTGCCCTCGCTCGACTGTTGAAAGAAGTCTACTAACCATTCGCACCGCGACGAGCTAAGGACAAACCACGACAAGTTCAGTTTCATCACCCAAAGGACCGAGGAGGTAGCAAATACCTCTAATGCAGAGACAGGAGGGTCCATGCTGTTCAGAGCCTTCACTGTGACGTTCATTAGCGAGAAGAATATCTGCGCCGCTGCGATAAGCAGTAGGCCGACGTTATCTTCAGCCAAAGCCTTCGTTGCTTTCCAGAACCCTCGTCGCGTTCTACCGGTCCCTACTTCCTCTAACAGGGGTTCTCTCTGTCCATCGTGGAACATTGTCGGCTGGCCTTGCGCAAAGGCGTTTTGGGAGTTTTAAGGAGGTGTCTGTTACATAGCCATCGAATGACTCGAATGAACAAAATAACCCGAATCTTAGGGCGATGGCGAAGAGGTGGTTGGCGACAACGCGACCAAACGCAATCGCGATCGGAAGCCCAGCCGAAATTCGCGTGACCTCATCGCACGTGTTTCGCTGGACAGGGGCTGGCGTCTAAACGACATTGATTAGCTAGTTTGAAGATCTTGGTACATTGAGAATTAAGTTTCAGATAAATCAGCTACATAGCACGTAATCGGACCTCAAAGGTTAATGCTCGACCCGGATGACCACCTTCCCTACGTGGTTCCGTGCCTCGAGATGTGCATACGCTTGTACGGCTTCGTCAAAGTGAAATACGCGGTCGATGACGGGGCGCGTATCCTCTGGGTGAGCTTCAATGAGACGAATCATTGAGCGGAACCTGGATATTTTTCAGAATACTACCATTGAATACAGCTTGACTTGTTACTCACTGTGCAACAGAGCCGATCAGGATACCCCTCACTTGAAGAGCTTTGAGAATAATCGTAGGGATCAACTCTGGGGGCGGTTGCACCTTAGAAATGAGTCAGCAGTGTCACAACCGGAAAAAATGGATATAAGGCACATACCCCGGACAAAGCCCCGACAAGCTCAAGCGACCCGCCCATCCTGATACAGTTGACAGACTTGCGAAGTGTTTCGGCACCACCGACTTCGAGGATGTGGTCTACCCCCGTCCCGTTGGTCTGCAAACGGTCAATTGTGAAAGGAATTCTCGTCAAGGGTGGAATACATAACTCACAATTCGCAAGACCTCACGATCCCAATCGAGTGTCTGAGCATAGTTAATAACGTGCCTTGCTCCTTGTTCTGTCGCGATTTTGAGCTTATCGTCCGAGGAGGACATGAGTATGGGGACGGCACCCGATGCAACTGCGAATTGAAGTGCAAACCTGCGAGATCCACGCAGGTCACAGGTTTAGTGTACGCTATACATTAGATCATAGAATGACACGTACATCGAGACGCCGCCAGTCCCCATGATAAGCACAGTCTCTCCGGCTTTAATAGGATTCAGTCCGCCTGCGAGCGCGTTATACGCGGTCACACCGGCACACCTAGAAACACAAAATCAGACCTCATAGCCTCGGAAGTGAATATCAAACTCCTACGGTAGTGTGGAGGCCTCCGTGTAGGAAAGATGAAGCGGAATGGGAACGAGCGCCTGGTTTTCGAAGAGTGCGTCGTCAGTCAAGTTCTGCAAGAAAGAGATGGGACCAATCGTACATGGGCTGGAAAGCACCTGTAGGTGGCTAGGACTCCAGGTTGCTGGAGACCCAGAGAACTGTTGGCGGTAGCCTCGGTAGGGTCCCCGTCCAAATGGTCGAGGCTGAAGTTTGCAGAAACGCGCTGTCCCAACTTCCAGCCAGTGACATCCTCTCCGAGAGCGACGATTTCTCCCGCCATATCCGAGCAAGGGATCAAGTTCTCGAATCTACGGATACTCAATTAAACGAGCTCCATTTACTGGTACTGATGTGGACTCACCCAGAGCCATACGTTCCCGTCGCAATGGCGTAGTCGCGGTACTTTACAGGGCAGCGTTAATACAAGAATGACACAGTTCGAGAATGCCGCACCTGAAGGGAGACAGCGTGTATCCGAACCAGCACTTCATTAGCTTTGGGCGACGGGGTGGGTATTTCGCGCTTCTCAAGGTCAGTATATGAGCCCGGCTATAAGAAAATGAATTATTAACAATAGCTTCAAGCAGTGATCCAAGTAAAGGAGAACCTTAGGCAGAACGTAGCACGTAGTCTTCTCCGGAACCATTTCGCAGAGTGGATGTTAGTAGCTGAGCTCCTTCGTCTTCTTCCCCCCCAACCTTGACTCCTCCTCTTATGGAACCTGTCTCAGGTCGTGACACCAATGCGATAATGGATTCTTGAGCCCCTGTCGAACATGTGATTGGCTTCTAGACCCCGTTACTGTCTTTTCTGCGGTCATATGTATACTGCTCAGTAAGCTGTTTGTAAGCTGCCTGGTTTTCTGCGACCGCTGAAGGCCTTGATCATAAGAAGCTCGGGGCCGTAATTGGTCTCCAATGCTCGGAGAACGTTCAAGGCATAAACAGCCAAGTTTGCTGGGTAAGAGTCGGGATTGAAAGTGGAGCCCTCTACACATTTCGAATTCCACATGGCCACCGACGAGTCGAGAGACAAGCTGAGAGCGACAGGGAGAATCAAAAGAGACCGGCTTTAGCAACGCACTGCCGGTGCATCGGCGTCTGCCGCGGGATTCCCACGCGTTGAGATTAGCTGAGCTGGGCGCCTTTTTGAAATTTCTTGCATCACCTCCTGGACCAATAGCCAACCCAACAGTCAACCAAAATGACAGAAACGACGCCAAAAATCAAAATTGTGAGCTCAGCTCTACCTTGAATGTATGAAGAAGTTGACGGATTCTTATGCAACAAGCCACGATAGCTCAAGGGCGCCGCACCAGACTTGTCGGCCGCTACCTACCAGCTTCATGATGAATCGCATACGATAGGAAACTCATTGCGGTGGATGTTGATGAAAAAGTGCGTTAATGATATGCTTGAATGGGTTGAAGCGGGCCACTAACGGTTGGTGCAGCCCCAAAGTTGAATTTTGCGGTTACAGGTGAATACCTCCCTCGGGTGGGCGTCCAGGAAGACAGCGTCCTTGTTTGGAACACCTGGTCCCCATTTTCCCAGCGAATCGAATGCTCATATCAACCACCAGCAACCCACATCCATCCGAAAACGTCATCAACGTTCGAATCCAGATGTACGGTGCGTACAGACAGACCCTGGAGTCCTTGGTCCATTCCGACATGTGTTTTAGATGGCCTGTCCTCTTTGGATGCCCTTTTAAAAGCCTTGAGCGACCTGGACAACCTATGCGAAGCCGTCGAAGATGCCTACTTGGAGAGCTTACGGGAAGAAAAGTTTGAACGATGGGACGAGAAGCGATAGCCTAGACTGTCGAGGTATCCATCTTTATTTTCTCCGCTGTATTTGATATTTGTATTATAGTATCACGTTGCTATCATCTTTCCGTCTGGCGTTCAGGATGCCATTCACCTCGGTGTTGCGGTTTACGGACGGTGTTTCTGCGGGTACTGGCCCCGGTGATCTTGGGTGTCTATTTAAAGCGTGAAGGTGTGTTCAGTGATCACATTTCCGCACTCAATGTCATCTAATCTATATTTATGTTAGCACGGTTGCCACTTTGGAATAGAAAGACGAAGTCTGCTGTGACCGTTTATCTCAAAAAACCGCCTGTCAGTCTCTAACATTAAGGAAACCTGAACTTCGCGAGACCCCAATTCCATTGCCTTGAAAATAGCCGTGGAACTGTAACCTACGCTGGACGCCACTTCCTTCCTGGCTTCTACGCTCATCAAACACGCTGTTCAGCAACCAGATCCCAGTAAAGGAAAAGTGGAAAATCGCATCCTTTACCTACCGAACGCGACCACTAGCGCAGAATCACAACAAGCACGCCCTTCGCCACCTTGCTATCATGGTGTCCTGCGGTATGTCATTCATGCGCATGCATCAATTTCTCCTTCATTTAATCGCGAAGGCCACAGGATTCAAGGGTACCATGTCGTGTTGTCGACAAGACGACAAACCTAGATGGACGTCCTCGCATTGCATTGCTCTGATTCGGTCAAGAAGCTCAAGAAGAGAACCTCCTTCATACGAACGTTGGAAGTCTGTCATGAGTCAACGTCCTATGATTGTGGAGAGGATAGACATCGACCAGCTAGAACTGATGAGAACAAGCCCGCGAATACTAGTATCCGCAAAAAGCAATGCTACTACGCTACGGCGGTGATGATAATCGCACTCTTGGTCTGGAGTATTGGGAAGTGCAGGAGGTCGGCTGTGCGAGATAGGCACCGATTTGCGGTGACGGTGAGAGGTCAATGACTCTATACGATTATCCAGCTGACCTGTAGATCCCTAAAAATAGAACACGGTACGCCCTGCGGCAATCTAAGCCACAGCCTCGAGATGCGGATAGTAATCGTTATCATTGTTGAAGGTTTGACGGCTGCCCTTGTTGTCAACCGCCTTTTCCCTTCTTTGCAAAAACACTGACGCGTTCTAAACCCCCTGGTACTCAATCTAATCACGACTTCCAGCTACTGGAACTCTGCACTGAGGGGAAATTGAATATCCAGGTTGCGATTGGCTATGTTTTTCGACAATGATAGTCATCTCCCACGTTGATCCGCAAGCGACTTGGGATCCAGATACAAATCGACCTCGGCGCCTCGACGCTTTGGACTTCTTTTGGGCTAGGGCAGGTTTCTCGGTGCCTGTCTCTGGGCCATAAAATGCTTTACCCCTCTGGTAGTCGTTTCCTCAGCTGGTCTCACCCCCACAACTGCCACCCAAACTTGCGTAGATCGCACTACTTGCCTATTTCCTCCACTCTCCAACCACCACACTTTACATCTACATATTTCTCTTCTAAAACCTAACCCTCCTATTCATTCACAATGGTTCAAGCCGCTACCCTCGTCCTCGCCGCCTTCGCCGTTGCCCCCGTCTTGTCTGCCCCACTTTCTCAACCCACCGCTGAAGAAGAATCATTCACGTATGTTTTTTTCCTGCGTCACCTTCTAATGCCGTTTCTAACCACATTTTCTCACCTTCACTAGCCGCTCAACCGACATCGATTCCGACGCTCTCGAGCTCCGAGATCCCAAGTTCAATTTCGGCAACTTTATCAAGAAGGCCGTAGGTGTCGCCAAAACGGTGGGCAAGGTTGCCATCCCTGCCGCTCGCCTCTTCCTGCGAGACACCGACGGCAACCTCTACGAAATTCGCGCCTTGGACGACGTGACTCTCGACCCTGACCTCCCCGCCCGCGACATCCTCGAGTCAGACGACGCGTTGCTCGAACGCGAGTTTGCCGACCTCGACACCCGCGATCCCAGGTTCAACCTGGGCCGCTTCCTCAAGAAAGCCAAGGGTGTCGTCGGGAAGGTCGGAGGTGTTGCAGGAAAGGTCGCGGGTGTTGCTGCGTCCCTGGCTCTGAGGGACGAGCTGGACGGCCTCGACCTCGATGCTCGCGCGTACCAGGAGCTTGAAGAGTTGCTGGAGCGCGAATTTGCTGATATTGATGAGCTCGAGGTTCGGGACCCCAGGCTCAGGCTTGGAAAGCTCGTCAAAAAGGTCGGAAGAGTTGCTGGCAAGGTCGGAGGTGTTGCCGGTAGGGTTGCTGGTATTGCAGGAGGTTTGGGCCTTAGGGATTTGGAGGGCATGGAGACTGAGATCCGCGAAGTGTCTCTTAATGACCTCGACTAGTGGATTACATTGTTTCGTTTATAGGGTTGCGGGAAGTGTCGTAGGTTTATATTTGGCAATATACTGTTCTAATGGAGCTTACGATCTTCTCTGGACTCAGTGGGAATAAGGCCATGGGGTGGCTAACTCGTCAAACGTCGGCAATGGTTAGTGGATCCAATGGCATTCTTTTCCCCTTACAAGAGAACACCCAAAACTGTCAAAGTTCTCACCAAGCATTCGCGTATGAAGGTGAAAAGGAAGTGTTGCATATCCTTAGGAGTTATGGACAGGCTGTCGGTCCTTAACACAGCTCGATGTTTAAGCGCCCAGATCAGCTTGAGGCGCTACGGTACGATCTGCACTCCCGGTGCACCGGATTGGTCCTCGCGCAAGGAAACCTTTAAACTTAGCCTTCCGAGTCTCCCTTAATCTTTCCCCATCCCGTTCCCGTTAACTCCTCGATCTCGATGGAAGATATACAAATAGGCATACTGATACAAATACTACTGATGATGATGATGAGGGTAAAATACAATGATGAACAAGACAGACAGGCACATAGCAACTGAACGATTTGGTGGGCGAGGAGTGGAGGAGGGTACATCGGTCCCAGAGATACCGACACTGTCGAGCAGCCACACACACTAGACATGGCGTATGAAAGAGTCACAATGACCCGCGGGCATGGGCGCTAAAACACAATCTGAGGGCGGGCACAGGGAGGACAGCGCCACCTTCAAACTACAACTTCCCACTCATCTTCCCCCTCCTCGCCAACACAGCCCTCGCCTCCTCCCGTCCACCCAACAACCGCACATAATTCGACGGCACCCACCCCCTCCGCACCTGCCCGCCCATCCCATACCCATTCCACACCCCGCCCGCCAGCCCGTCCCACCACCCCGACGGGTGCTGCTGCAGCACCTCGATCACGTCGTTTTTGGAGAAGGAGAGCGCGGCGGGGTCGGGGTCGCTGTAGGAGTAGAGGGCGATGCAGAATTGGGTTGAGGGTGTCGGGAGGGGGTAGGATTCGGGACGCTGTTTGAAAGTGGGAGGGGGAAAGGTTAGTGGAGGCTGCGGGGGGTGTTTGTTTGTGTGGAGGGACGTACGAAGGTGCTGGAGCTGGTCGATGTGTATCTTGTGATGCTTGAGTACCCGCTTGCGATGGTGTCCGTAGGACTTGGTGGTGAGTAATCGCGGTTGTGTGTATTCGACTACGGAGACTTGTCAGCCCATGGTAGTAGCCCAAAAGTAAAGCACTCCAAAACACACCGGAACGGTAAGCTGGGTTCTAGGCGATACGGGAGACGATTTCGAGGACATCTTAGGAACTTGCAAGAAGAACAGCAAGCGAAGCTAGAGAGGAGTGAAGCAAAGGTGAACAGCTAACCGCAACGTAACGGCGGGGTGAGCGGATGGATGACCCCAAGGCCCTCTTAAATAGGTTTCGCAGATGCCATCATCACCTCAATATAACAGCCTGCCCGGGCGAAACGCCATTGACGGTCACATCGCCTCCGAGTCCCAACCCGTTACGTGAACTTCCCTCTAGTGCCATCTCCGTTACCCATAAACACCATATTCTACATTCTCCCCTGCCATCTCTTCGGTACCCCTAATTCTTCCACAGAAGTATCACTGGCGAACCGACACTGGTGATCACAACCGACCAAGAATAAATAGAACCTCAACAGCAAATTCTTCCGGGTTTCAAGACAGAGCGCCCGACATTGCACCTCAAGAACCGCTGCCACTCCGGCCAGCCATTGGCCGGGTGTCAAGGAACAGTCGACGGTGGCTCTGTGGGCGGAAAATAGATTTGTGCGATTTGGGATTTGGGCTGTGGATGGGATGTGGTAAGAGACGATGGATCCATGATGTGACAGAAGGTCTACATACATACTCACCTACAGATTTGTTGGTGGCACGACGGAAGAGATGAAAGAAGCTTCGAGGCAATGTCAGTGCTCAGACTCTACTGAGGGGCTATGTATGACTCGACGATCCGCGCCCGCGTTCCTGAAACAATGCCTTCACAACGGAACGCTCGGAAACACAGGAGATATGTAACCCGGTTCGAGATGGAACGGATACCGTTGCCAAAGGCGCACGGTGGGGTTATGTGGGGGAGTTGAGGCCCATGGACGCGAAAAGGATAAGTCTAGTGTCACGAGCGGAGACGGAGTGGTGATGGGCAACACTCGAATGTCAGTGGATGGGCGTTGGACAGATGGATGGGCTAGAGGCATCAAATATCGCATCAACGAACTCCACCAGATATGCATGTATGGGCGAATCCATCAGAAGGCGCTTAATTCGAGGGGGCTTATGATGGGCATATACTGGTATTCAATAAATCACCAACACTTGTTCCATAATATCATGACTCGGTCTATGTACGCACCGGGGGATGGCACATGGGTTCAGAACACCGGAAAAAGTGATAGATGAGGCATGCCCCGGAGTGGGACGGGAAGCGTCCCGTCGACCGTCGAGAACAAAGGACGGGAGACCAACAGAATCAGAGTGTTGATCCAAATTTGATTGATCCATCTTTCCGTTTGTCCTTGATTCCGTTCCAATAGTCAGCTGCCGGAAGCACAGGCTTCCCAGCAGGCTTGACGCTAGAAAGAGCGAAGATCCCTCCACCCTCGCAACGGACAAAGATGCGCTTGGGCTGGCCTTTCTCGGTTGATGTGCAGATTGCTGAACCGGGTTCTTGAGGAAGGGCCGCTTCCACGTGCGACGAGGACCCGGGTGGTAGGAGTTGAAGGCCATGTAGCTGGACAGCTTTATCTTTCTCCCCATGGTGTTCGGCGCGATAAGTAAAAATAGGTCGCTTTGGGTGGAAAGGTTAGTAAAGGAGAAACAGTGTGGAGGGATAAGTTATACCTGGTGTGCGATCGCTCGCCACTTTTGGCAGACCTGCTCTGCCACCATCTTAGCCGGATCGACGAAAGCGTCCTGTAGGTGTATCATGGGGGCCGGGCGCAAGGCAACCTGGCTGTCAGGCTGAATCTGGGACCGACGTGTACCCTGGGGGTTCACGCTATCGTCAAGATCACCGTTCATAGATAAGAGGATGATGTCGTACCTCAATTCCCTGCTTCATCTTCCTTAGCACCCCGACAAGCAGTTTTCCACCTTCGACTGCGAGTGCATCGCGCATTTGCGCAAAGTCCGCAGTGGCTGGTTGTGCCTACGAGAACGGGCTCGTGAGTGTCAGTCAAAGGCAATACCGGTCGGCGTACCATTTTCATCGAGGCCCAGATATCCCCAGCGTCAATTCCTGCTTTGGGTGATACCGCATCCTTCTTGACGGCGTCCAGCATTTCGATGACACAGACGCCAGTCTCGGGGTCTCCGTTCATTATTGAGTGCTGAATCGGCGCTGGACCCCGGTACTGGGGGAGTAACGAAGGATGCACATTCAACCTTCGTGATGGAAGGAAGCGAGAGAGATGTTTTCGTGTTAGAATACGTCCAAAGGACGCCGTGACCAGAACATGCTGGCTTGGAGGAGGTGGTTCGTGGTTGATTCCATTCTCGTGTTCAGAACTGGAGTATCTGTATGACGAGAACGGTGCCGGGAGCTGATTGGGCGTCAGTATCTTTACACCAGAATAACGACCGCTTCGTACCTCCCATTTCCGGAATTCTGGTTTGGTGTCTGGTATGTACTCGAGCCACACGTTCTTCAAGTCTTGTGCCAATAGTTTGAGGGGAGCTATTGTCTTTCTTCAGTCGCTGAAGAGCAATAACAGCGCATTCCACTGACAAACTGATACTTGGCTCGCCCTACGTCCCACTCGTTGGTCCTGGTTCGTCACAACGACAAGTTCTTGCCAAACATCTATTCCAACGGCAGTTAGACATTTCCTTGACTTTGGATCAGATGAAGGCTGGTGGAGCGGTGGGTACTGTACTCACCTGAGGCAGCGTACAGTTCACGAAGGACAAGGCAAGAGAATTCATCCCTCCCCATGAACAACACTTTAAGCTTTTCCGATTCGAGGGCGTTGTGGTGTTGTCTCGAGCTGTGGAAACATCGTCGCGCAGCAGTACTCCCACTTGGTGACAGAATGGCCCGTCGCCAGCGTCCAAAGCCCAGGAGACGCGTCAGGGACATTGCGGACAACGGCGAGATGCGCTTGTTCGTGACGTCGACCGACGGGGAACGACGACCCGATCCGCTCGGAGCATCGTGTTTGGCGCCGGCTTGCGTTTCAAACAAAGTCTAAGATCTGAGCCCGAACGTTGCTTTGATCAGCCCAACGCTCCTTCCACACAATGCAGAGACAGGAAGCGTCCCTCTACACTGCATCAACGAACGAGTTGCGCGAGCAGCTCAGGTCGTCCAGGTGCACTAATGGAAGACTTCATGAAAACCTGGATTCGGGCTCGAACATGAAACCCGAACAGCCAGCGCCTATCGATTGTCAGGGGAAATGGGCGCTCGTGGACCACTGCCTCCGATGCCGCAATCGACTTCTAATCAGCGCAGAAGTGTCACCTCTGGGAGAACTGTCAACTCCTAGCTGCGGTTCTTACTTTTAGACCCTGACCTTGTTATCTTCAAGACAATCCCATCGTTGCGGCACAGAAGATGGCTTCTACAGGCACTCGGTGAGTCCATTTGCCATTCACTTAGTACGATGGTTACTGATGACCCCGATAGCGTATTCGCATTGCTCATAGCGATCGACACTGTAAGTGTCCTTAACAGCTTCGCCATCGACAAGCGACCAACTCCCCCTTCCGTAGTACAAATCCCCCGAACTTCGGAACCTCCGCGAATGCGTCAACGACGCTATCCTCTTCAGAAACTACCTCATCGAAACATTTGGACCACACAACGACAAAAACATTCGTCTCCTGCGGAATGCAGAAGCGACCCGCGAGGCTATCCTCTCCACTTTCTTCAGCCACCTCATCGATAATCGCAACATCCAACCTGAGGATCCAGTGATCTTCTACTTTGCCGGACATGGGATCCGAACTATGAAACCAGACGGGTGGCCTGTAGACTCGAAGGATATGAAGATCGAGGCCATTTGTCCGCACGACGAGCGCTGTGTGGACCCGAGGTCCAACCAGGCTGTCTGGTGCATTCCGGATATCACGATCGCAAAGCTTCTGAGGCAGCTGGAGATTCGGAAGAGGACCAACGTCGTACGTCGTCCTTATCTTGTCACTTCAACTGCAATCCCCTAACTTTAGACGCTCGCAGACCGTCATCCTCGACTCTTGCCATTCCGGTGGCGGTATCAGGAAGAAAGACGAGAACGAAGAAGACTACCTCCCCTATCGCTGCCGAAACGTCCTACCAGTTGATGAAACCCCCTTCCCGCCCCACATCGACCGAAAAATCTGGGATCTCCCAGACACCATCGGCCACATCTCGAAACAGTCGAACGATATCGAAGGCCTCCGCAAGAAATACGGCACCGAAACCCTTCTGGCAGCCTGCGATCCCAAGGAGAAAGCCAAAGACGGGTACTTCACGCGCGTCCTCGTCGAAAAGCTACGCTCTCGCCGTGGCGTATATACAACCCTATCCGACCTCGATGCACTCGTACCCTCGAGGTCTGACCAGCACCCAGTATGCCAAGGCAATCCCAACAAGGTCCTATTTTCAACCACGATCATCGACTCGGAGAAACGCAAGTTCTTATTGAAGCAGTTGGACAATGGGAAATTCGAGGTTAACGCCGGTGGCATCCACGGTATCGCGCGTGGAACGTTATTCCAACTCCCCAATCGTGGAGGAGTGCTTATGGCCGAGTCGACACAAGTGTTCAGCTCCATCCTCGTCAAGACACCCCAAACATCACCCAACGCCGTTCTCACCACCGGCGTTCCCGTATACGCCATCCCTTCTCTCAAGGAGTCCATCATGGCCGTCTGGCTCGACGCAAACCTCAAGAACCGACTCGGCGCCCGCCTCCCTATTCCAACCAACGAATCCTGGTTCACTTTCCTGCCAGACAGCGCCATATCCAAAGCCCACATCCACCTCACCTGGCGCGAAGCCGTCCGGTCCCAACCCGAAAAAGTCATCGTCAACCTCCTCGACCCGCTCTTCGCCAACACCAACGCCAAATCCACCGCCTTCGCGTACAGAGACGTGTGCTCGAGGTTCGAGCAATTCCTCGAGACGATCGCGTTGTTCCGGTATCACCTGGGCAGGAACAAGGGCTGCTCGAAGCTATTTACAGAGTGCGCTTCGCCTGTGGATCAGAAGGATCCATTGTGTCGCTCGGTGGATGTCGCGATGTATCGGGTTGAAGAGAAGGATGCCGGGTATGTTCCTGTGGAACCGGCCGTGAACCTCTTCAAGAAGGGTGTGGCAACCCTCAAGTCGTCGTCTAACACCCAGTACGGATTCCGCATCCTCAACAAGAGCAAAACCAGCGATTTGTATTTCTACGTCTTTTATTTCGATCCTGCGAGTTTTAGTATTGATGTATGTCTTCTCTCTATACTTATGGACCTCACATCATCCTCACCCAAACTACGTTAACAGCTTATGAGCGTCCCACAAGCAGCCAAAAAGAGCCCGGGGGAATCTATCACTCCGGGATACGCCTCCGAACCAGATCCATTCGATTTCGCCCTCGACGAACCCGACCGCGCACAAAGCGGTTTCATCAAAGTTTTCGCATCGACGCGGCCTGTGGAGAGGATGGAATCGCTGGAGCAGAAGGAAGCTGGGAGGGCGCAGTCGACGCGGAAGATTGGCCCGAGAGAAGGCGGTGGAAAGGAGGATTGGGGAGCGTGGGTTGGTGTTATTGATGTTTTACCTGCAAGGGGGGTGGGGCGTGGTGTAGGTGGGGAAGATGTTGGAACTGGAGAGGAAGTGGAAGAAGCAGAGGAAGCGGACGAAGCGGACGAAGATGAGATGGTGGGAGACGAGGGAGAAGGAGAGGATATACCCGACTTGAAGGAGAACTCGGTGGACACCATTGGTGATGAGGAGAAGCTCCCACAACCAGTTAATTGAACCATCGGGCCAGCGTGTTACCACAAAATGTTGCGCCTTCATCAGTCACGATCAGAGCGCCTTCGATACGAATTTCAGACATGCAAAGTGTCGGCTAGGTACTAGTGGACAAGACGAGTGCTCAGAATCTGGATGAACAGAGACTAGAATTGGGAGCTGTACCTAGTGGACAAGACGAGTGCTATAGGTACAGATAAGTAGCTGTAGACACGAACAAAATACAGGAAAAAACATACCTCAGAATCTGGATGAACAGAGACTGAGGAAAAGAGAAGAAAAAGAAGGCGAAAAAGATTTTGTATCGTATGAGCCCGTGAGAGAAAGAAGTAGGCGGAGTGGTACAATGAGATAAGGTACATAGACGTAATAGGCTAGGGATCTGGTCGACACACCCCCTCAAGACGCCTACGCAGAGATAGAGCAAGGTACAAGATGAAGAGCATCACGATGAGTTTCAAAAAGAGTAGAAGAAAGCGGTTTCGTGAAAATATCAGAAATCATAGCCGAAGTAGGAACCCAATTCAAATCGAAAAGACCGGAACGAATATTATCACGAACAAAATGGTAACGAACATCGATATGTTTGGATCGGGTGTTGACACAGAGAGATTGGGACATCGTGATAGTTGATTGGTTGTCGCCGAATAAGTGGAAAATGGATGGGATATTCAATACCGATAGCGGAGAGCAGGGGCCGAAGCCACAAGCCCTCACGCATGGCATGAGCTAGTGCGTAGTACTCACTTTCTGTAGAAGAAAGAGAGACACATTTTTGCTTCGAAGCCGACCACGAGATAAGGCAGTGGTTGAGAAAATAACAATACCCAGAGACGCTCTTTCTGTCCGATGAATCGGTAGCCCAGTCCGCATCCGAATACCCCGCAGTCGATGGGGAACCTAGAGGATATGGTTTGTCGGTTTTCGGATCGGAGAATGGGGAATACGCGAGTGTGAGTGAGGATGTCTTGCGTAGATAGCGAAGAACACCACGAGCGATGACAACAAGAGTTGGGGTTGGCGAAGCGTTGTACTGTCCGAGTGCCATAGCCGCGTAGGACAGGTCTGGACGAGTACAGACAGCAAGGTAGGTAATGATACCGACTATGCGTTGATACATAGTTCGGCATTCATCGGGGTTAAGATTGGTCGTTGAGGTGGGATCGTCCTTTACTTCGTTCAAGGGGCGGCTGATAGGGACAAGGGGGGGAATTACAGGTCTTCAACCCGAAGTCATCGAGTACCTCCTCGATATAAGACTCCTGGGACAACCACATTCGACGCTTGGTACGATCACGCATAATGCGGATGCCCAAGTAGAGAGAAACATCGCCAAGATCAACAACATTGATACGCTCCCGGAGTTTGTCGATAAACCAGTGGTAGAGGGGAGTGGAGTTTGTTGCGGCGAGACCGTCGTCGACATGAACAGGGACAATAATTGTAAGGGGTGAGCCGTCAGAGGGCATGGTGAGATTGGAGTCAGGGGGTGGGGAAGACCAGCGGCCGACCCAGACGGCGTGGTCCATATCGAGACGAACAAGGCCAATAGAGGTGATAACCGAGTTGAGTAAATGGTACCACTCATAGGCGGATTGGCGGAGGCCATAAAGAGCGACATGAAGACGAAGAAACATGGGAAGAATCAGATTCGGGAAAATGTGGGATCTGTTTGATGTATATGGGTTTCGAAAGCCTAGCGTGCAAAAAGGCGGTCTTGATATCGAAAGATTTCACTTCCAAATCCTTGAAGCAGGCCCAGGCCAAGATCGAGCGAATACTCGAGAGGCGGGCAACTGGTGCATAAGTGTCACCATAATCGCCTGATAAGGAGGTAAGGAATAGCTTTTGGTCGAACGACACAAGCATATTCACCTGGTCCCTGACGGAAACCTTGGGCAACCAACCTCGCCTTCTCCTTCCCTCGTATGATGGAGCCGTCGGGGTTGTACTTGTAGTCGTAAACCCATCGGACAGGAATAGCCTTCTCACCAGGCGGAAGAGGGACCGCGGTAACAGCCTTGTGATCGACACGGAGACTGTGGACTTCTCGTTGCATCGCGGCGAACCAGGCATCCCAGTCTTCCCTCCGCAGCGCCTCGGCAAGATTTTTGGGGGGACGAGTGTATGTCTTCGGACGAGAGTACCGTGCACGGTCGATAGAGGACGCAAGAAGGGAGCATTGTTCGATGTGAAAGTTTTCGAGTGAGGAGAATGACCATTCGCAAAAGGAAGAGTCAAGAAACGATAAGGCCATCAAGCTGTGAATAGCGTCGTCGGTCACCAGGGCTGCGCGGTTGGGTAGTCGAGGTCGAAGAGTCTTGAGCCTCTCCTCACGTTGGTCGATAACGTCCTTAGCCCTGATCGAAGGTACAACCTCCGTGGTGGAGACGGACATAGGGGGAAGCATAGACGAGTCACTAGAGGTGATGGAGTTGGGAGAGAGGGGAACTAGACTCTTCGACGAATGAAGGCGTCCGCGAACGTTCTCCATAAAGACACAGTCTCGGACGAAGTTCTCCTTGCCCTGGGGGGTAACAACCAACCATCCGACACGGTCTTCTTCATACCCAACGAAGATCGCCTCATAACGGGGAAGATCTCCTTTCCTTCGCTTCTCCTTGTACACATAAGGGAAGCAGAGACACCCAAAGACCCTCAGGTTCGAAATGTCGGGTTTATGGCCGAAGAATCGTTCAAATGGCGTTATGTTGGGGGGAAGAGTCGAGGTTGGTACCCTGTTGCGGACATATTGGTGTGCGAGAACGGCGTCGCCCCAGAAGAAGGGAGGAAGACCGGAGTCTGCTAGAAGCGCGTTCATACCGTCTTCGTTGGTTTGGTTATACCGTTCTATCTTTCCGTTCTGAGGGTGCGCGTAAGCAGCTGTGGGTTGGGAGCGAATACCAATCGACGTGCAGAAATCCCGAAGCGTATGAATAAATTCCCCAGCACCATCAAATCGAACAGAAAGAACCTTCCTGTCAAATTGACGTTCCCACTTCGACATGTAGTCCTTGAAGTGTTTGATTGCTTCCGGACGAGTCGAGACGAGGTAAGTGGTTCCGTAGTTGGAGTAGTCGTCGAGGATAGTAAAGAAGTACAACTTCTTTTTCCGTGATGGAGAGAATGGACCCACGACGTCGAGATGGAGGAGTTCGAGTACGGCTGAGGCACGATGTCGATTATGGGGGTAAGGTTGTTGCTTAGCCTTCGCCACAACACAAGTCGGGCATGGATGGGTGGGTGGATCTCCCTTCCTCTCGTCCAGGACCATACCCTCAACGTACGTCCCTTTAACCATCATATCTATCGCCTCTAGACTGACATGCGCACAGCGGCGGTGCCAAAGATGAACCGTTAGAGGGACGGGGCGCTGCGCCGTGAGAGTGGCGCGAAACGCGGCCTCGTGCGCATAAGCATCCTCGAACGGGATAGAGACGAGACAGAGATGGGAGTAGAGGGGAGGTGGAGACAGAGCGACGAGTGATTCGCTGCTGATCGTATGGGTGGGAAGCAGGAAGTTGAAGTATAGTAGGTACAGTCTGTTCCAATGTGAGATGGAAACAGATAAACCTGGAAGGGATTGGTGGTCACGAGGGAAAGTTATCGTCGAGCTTTGGTCAGCTCGGAAGAGGCAGTCCAAGCCTTTCTCGTTGAAAGCGCCAACAGAGAGAAGGTGGATAGGGGTGTTGGGATAGTAGTAACAATCCGGGAATCGAAGTACGATAGGTTTACCGGAATGGTAGATCTGTATCGCAACATCGCCTCGGCCCTCAATTGTGAATGAGCCCATGTTGGCCGTACCAACCTCCCGGCGGAACAAGGAGTCGAGTGTCCAGAAAAGAGTGCGGTCGTTGAATATATGTGATGAACAACCGGAGTCGAGAAGACAGTTGTACTCCTGGGGAAAAACTGATCCACGTAGATCCTGACTCGGGGCAACGAGTGCGAGGGAGGGGTCGTGTGTAGCCGTAGAGGCAGATAATCCAGAGCTAGGATCATAAGAGACATCGTCATCGTCAAAACGATCCACTAAGGACACCACATCCAGGTCGTACCAGTCAACAATAGTCATATTCTCGGTAGATGATGACATCGAGGTTTCTACAGTGGGTGGTACAAACGCGACAGAGGCGATAGAAGTGTTAGAGGAAGGGGCAGCTTTAGCTCCAGATGTCGAAGAGGAGGATGGAAGAGGGGGTGGAGGATCCGGGGGTGTGATAATTGCCCATCCTAGCAGACTCCTTTTTATCATCTCGCTTGCTCTTCAACACCTCTTCTCGTTTCCCAAACATGGGTCCTCCCTCAGCCCAACAGGTAGACACCTCATGACCCGAACGCTTGCAGTGAGAGCAAATAACCTTCGCCTTCGGATTCGCCGACGATACGGTAGACTTTTGTTGACGACGCGAAGTTGAGCTTGAAGAGGGCTTCTGAAGCTTAGTCGTGTTGTCGATTGCGAGAAGATTATCCGTCGCTGATTGGAGGAGGAAGGGAATACGGGCAAGGATGCCCTCAGGGGGAGTCCGTCTCGAGGAAGTGCATGTGACGTGCTGCCCATATCTTCCAGTCGATATCGTCGGAGGGGAAACCAAGCAGGAAATTCTGGGCGAGGACACGGCCGTCAGGGTTGTAGCTGGACTGAATGAGTGTGTTGAATTTCGAACGCCAGGTCGAAATATACGAATCGACCGACAGTTTCTTCTCCCCGTTGCAGGTAAGGTTGGTGATCTCGGAGACAAGAACAAGTGCTGACGTGTAGTCCACCACACCGTAGATCTTCTGGACCTCCCGAAGAATCTCCCGCGCGGGCATTCGACGGTTCAAACTCTTCGTCGGAATCTGTAAGCGAATTGTATCCGAGAGCTTTGCCGTAACGAGATGGGAGGCGACATTGTCTTTTTGCCACCACTGTTGGTAGAAAGCCAAAACATGAGGAGGTGAGTCCGGCGCGACCGATGGGGGGTAGGTGGGGATGGATATAGGGTCATATGGTGCTCCTTCAGAAGGTTCAGAAGCGATATGGGGATAGACATTCGCCGATAACGCAGCCGATTCCAAGGCCTCGAACCAGGCACGGAAGTTTTCCCGACCCGTAAGCTTGGGTATAGATTCCGTACTCGGTAAGCCCTTGCTCAAACCCGTGATGGTGTTCATATCATATACGAACGGTGGGTGTTGATAGTAGCCCTGAGGCGGTAACGGAAACTGATAGTGATTTGGGAACATGGGTTGGTTCGGTGGGTGAGGTGGTCGCATCTGTTCGGTAGGCGTAGACGGTGAATGTCGTTGGTGTGTGTACTGTAGATGTGGATCTCGAGTGGGAGTAGAGTGTCTCGGGAGAATTCCGTTGGCCATAAACGTGGGATCGAGAATAGCAGGATTAACAGCGTTAGTTTGACCAATCATCCCAGATGCAGCAGGTAAAAAAGGTGGAGCACCTAGATTACAATAGGAGGGATTTCCCCGAATGGCATTCTGCCGAAAGGTGTATGGGGAAGCGTTATGATAAGGTAGTTCTCTATCTACATGTAATGGTGAAAGAAGAGGAGTTCTATACGAATTCTCGGCAGAACTTGAAGGTAAACCATTCTGTGAGAGAGCCTGACCAAAAGATTGATTCATCGAATAAAGTTCTTGTCCAAAATTAGATAAATGTGGCTGAAAAGCGCCTGGAGCACCAAATGTGCGTCTACTACCACCGAAATTGTATGACGGTGGAAGGGTTGGACCAAAAGAAGGAGTATACGAATTCGGCACGTGGCCTTGAACTGGGGGTAATACATGATTGAAAGATGAAGGAACCATGGACGGTGGGGCCGTAGAAGGGCGAAATCCCATAGGAGGTGGCATAGCCACTGGTTGCTCGGGCATCGGCATAGGTGCTGGAAACACCGGGGCCGGAAGAACCCATGAAATGGTGCCATCATAGCCCGAAAAAATGGCCTGATGTTGGTTTTCACCATCGCTACCAAAATTCTCTCCAGGGTTTTGCACTGGGGAATGAGGAGGGGAATGGTGTTGACTCATAGTAGAGATAAAAGAAAAAATAGACAAGGTTTACGCGTAAGAAACAGAAAAAGAGAAAGAAATAACGGACAAAAACTGCTGCACCCGAGATGATAGGCGCACCTGTATAGCTGCCGTCAAAAAAATCTTCTCCCGCGACCCTATTCTCCAACGTCTCCGAAAAAATCGTTCTAGAAACAGCTCGGTTCCGCTAGAACTAGCGATCTGGCTCGGTGGCAAACTGTTATAGTTAGTCGCCGGGGCTCATAACCTGTCGGCTAGGTACTAGTGGACAAGACGAGTGCTCAGAATCTGGATGAACAGAGACTAGAATTGGGAGCTGTACCTAGTGGACAAGACGAGTGCTATAGGTACAGATAAGTAGCTGTAGACACGAACAAAATACAGGAAAAAACATACCTCAGAATCTGGATGAACAGAGACTGAGGAAAAGAGAAGAAAAAGAAGGCGAAAAAGATTTTGTATCGTATGAGCCCGTGAGAGAAAGAAGTAGGCGGAGTGTACAATGAGATAAGGTACATAGACGTAATAGGCTAGGGATCTGGTCGACACAAAGCAAGATGTAGTACTTGGACTGTGCAAAGTATATGAAATTACGTGCTTATGGGTCGCCCGACATGATCGAAACCATACATTATAGTCAAATTGCGGGCAGCTGACAAAAGGTGTTCAAAGTACGCTGCGGCGTATTTTGACCTGGTGCGATATCGATTTGAAGGGTTAATGACTTCAAGTCAGCCGCTCCGATCGAATCCACAGTTCGACTACCATCCTTGGCCGCTTGAGCTTCAACAAGCCAATTAGAAAAAGCAAAATGGAGTGGATGCGAGGGCTGAAGCGAAGCCAAAGCCTCATTGCAAAGTGTGATGATCTCATCGAGATGTGGTAGCGGATCCGTTGTCTTGCACCGATACAGCAGCGACACCACCAGGCCGTATATCGTATTTTCCCGGTTTGGATGGAGGTGCGGTTGGAGGGAAAGAGCCTCCCTTGCGAACGAGATGGAATCGTCGAGGTCAGCAATATCGCCTGTCTCCGTGAAGCGCTGACACAAGTACCCAGCGAGGTTGAACAATATGCGCGCCCGAATCGGATGCGGGTGAGGCCGGAGGTCCAACGCCTCGCGTCCGAGAGCGATAGCATCCTCAAGGACGTCCATCCCACCCTGCTTCAAAAACTTCGCCCAAAGGTACCCGGAGACTTCGACCAAAGCGACCGCCCGGTGTGGGTGGAGGGGCGGCAAGATGGCGAGGCCTCTGCGCCCCAGAGCGATAGCTTCATCGAGGTCCGCAATCTCGCCCTGCTGCATGAAGCGGCGGACCAGATGGAGCGAGAGATTGTGCAGGGTGGTTGCCGTAACGTCCAACAAGCCGTCCCGGTCTGGCCGGGCGCGGTACTGCAGGGATAGAGATTCCCGCCCGAGGGAGATGGCATCGTCAAGGTCGGCGATGTTGCCTCGCTTTTCGAACCGCTTGACCAGGTAGATTGCGAGGTTGTGAAGCGTGTGTGCGCGGTTTCGGTGGGGATGGGGTCGGAGGGAGAGAGCTTCGCGTCCTAGTGAGATGGCATTGTCGAGGTCGGCAAGGGTACCTTGCTTGTCGTAGCGACTGTTGGAATAGACAGCCAGATCGCGCAGTACGTCTCCGTGGTCCGGTCCACTAGGGTTGGGATGGGGCAGAAGAGCCAAAGCAGCACGGCCAACCGAAATCGCCTTGTCAACATCCTCAATTCTGCCAGAGCCGGTATGCGAATTATGGTACGCTCCCGCCAAAAGGAATAACAAAGCCCCGTTCTGCGACTTGGAGACCTCCACACAGTGTTCGAGGATGGAAACGGCCGAAGAGACACATTTTTCAGGACTCGGCTCGATAGGGATGTACATATACGTGAGCCGTTGCAGCAACTCGAGATTGGCCCGGGACTCTTTGAACCGCACCGCCGCTTCCCAGGGGGATGCCGCCCAGGTCCACCAGGCGGGTTCCCCGATGAGATGCTGCTCAGCGGCCAACTCGCCAACCTCGATGAAAATCTGTGCCCTCTCCAGACCCACCAAATCACGCTCCCATTCCGCAAGCTCCTCGGGATTGAGAAGGCAAGTTGCCCCGATGAATCTGTTCGCCCACCAGAGTGCTGTATCAATGGACATTCGGTCCAGCAGGGTTTCCAGCTCGGGCGGAAGCGGTTGGAAGCGATCCGTTCCGTGCGCAAGGTGAAACGCCCAGTACTTGGTCGAATATAGGAGGATGGGGGATAGCGGTACCGAGGGAGGGTAGGCGGCGGGTGAGATCGAGACCATGGTGCTCAGACATTTCTTTGCCGATCGAACATGGGCGTCAATGGGAGCAAGGGTTAGAGAAATCGTAGCGTCCAGCTGGAAGGGCATGCTGGTCTTCGATGTCAGGAACTCGAAGAACGACGCATGAAACCGAGTAGGTACAGGCTCAATCACATTCGGATCGAATGTCCCTCGAATTTGGAGAGTACGTAGTCGCTTGTGGATTTCTGGAACAGCGTGAGGATATTGCGGAAGGTCGACGAGCTCCGTGAAGGCAGAGGTGGCAATGGACTCTTGAAGAATGAGCATGTGCGAGAGGATCTGCGCGCCAACTTTTACTTGCTCTGGCTTGTCCCCAAGAATGGTCCGCAAGGCTTCATGGTAGAGACTGGACAGGCGCTCGTCCTGGTCAGCCATCGTTCCCGACTGAAGGATCCGTTCAAGGAGGGCGTGTACAGGCGGGCGGGTGTACGAGTCTGATAGGATGAGATTGCACACAGTGGCTGCCCACACCAGAAGCCCATTCGCGAGCTTGGCGAGTTGGGGGATGGAGTTGAGGAGCAGGATTTGCGTGTCCCCTCGAACTTCGCTGAAGCGAGATACAAAGTACCTTCGTGCGATTTCCTCCGTCACCGGTGGCAAAGGAAGCTCTTTCAACCTGTTGTTCTGCAGGCCTCGTTCGACGCTGTGCAACCACCGGCTTGTGAAGAGGAACTTGAGAAATGGCGATGTCGATGAGATGTTCTTCAATTCTCGTAGGAAGGTTTCGTGGTGGTCCCATTCATCGAGAGCATCCATCGAGACAATGATGGGGTACGGAACGTCAAGCGAACGAACCGGCTCGACGATATAGGCCTGGAGGTAGTCGAGCGTCGTCCCATGGGCCGAATTGCAGGTCCGAACGGCATGAGCAATCGCTGGCACAGCCCTTGGATGCGTCGTGGCTAATTCTCGCGCCATCATTTTGATAGTGGTGAAGACATCCTTGTTCTTCTTCTTCACAAAGAAGGCAAAAGTGGCAAGCCGTCCTTGCTGCCGTAGGATGTCCACCACCTTGTGCATAAGAGTCGACTTTCCGAGGCCAGCGGCGCCATGGATCCAGGAAACAGGATGGTCGGGATTGTCCACCCATTCCAGGATGGCTTTGAGTTCGTCGTCGCGGCTAGCGTCGAGGTATTCGTCGATACGATTGCCGTGGCGTTCAAGTTCAGGGAGGGAGTTGATGGCGTCTTGGTCTATCAACAAGGTCAGTGGGCTTCTAATAAAGGTTTCCGAATAGGGCTCACCTAACTTCTCGTGAATCTTTTGGGAGAATGCGCCCAAATCAAAGTGGAGCATCACTTGACTCTCTGTCTAAAGACCGGGTTCAGTTGCAAAAGCGGGAGAGGGATGGAGGAGAGTGTACCTGGAACTTATTGATAGCTTCTTGTAGTTCTGTTTTAAGGGACTCGATGTCATCTTTGTGTACGCCCTGATGGAAGAACCGCGACAAAAGACTTTTCTGGCTCATATCTTGACATTCGCGACCGATCTTGGTGAGTTTCCTTCCGGATGTCGAGGTGAACAACTTTGTCCAGGTAGCCCGGCAAGTTACTCACCCTTCAAGGTCGTTGAAGCAACGTTCGAAGTGCGCGGAAGGTTTGAATGTCTGGTCCATGCATAGCAGGGTAACCGAAACGACGAAGTTGCTCACGATATGGGCTATTTGTCGCATTTCTTCGACGTTTGCTCGTGTTCTCTAACCAAGACCGTCGTCAGAATATCGCAAGGGTCACTGAAATCAACCAACGTACCTCTACTGCGTTCAAGAGGCTGTAAGCAGTCCCGACAATCCCTTTAACCATCTCCACAGGTACGATCTCCGCAACGTCCTTGAGAACGGATACTGTGGTGGAAGCGGAGCCGAGCACCAAGGTCCAAGTTTTCGAAGGTTCGTCTTTGACGCTGGAATCGACGAAGACGCCTGGATGGGACCGCTAAACGCAGTATTGAACGTACTGCGACGAACACGAAGACCAACAAAACGCACCTTGATTTGTTCGACCTTGGAGCGGAGGTGTGTTGCGACTGCCGTCTCCCACTGTGTCCGTGAATGGTTCGAAGAGTGTATGGACTCGATCTCTTTCATCATGCTAGGGAAAACGACATTAGAACTGGCGAGCAGGGTACATCACACCGGTATGAAAGTACCTCGTAAAGTCGGCGACAGCATTGCCAGCGCTTGGGTGGTTAGACCGCACGGCATCGGCAATCTGAAGCAAGTGTCGAGCCGCGAGATTGACGGCGTCTTCGAGCTGAGCGCGTTCAGGTATCAGCCAGTAGAACCTAAGCCCACACCAAGGTTAGCACAGTACCGTCGAATTCCCTGGTGATGTCTGAGAGACGAGGTCGACAATCTTCAGTATCATCCTTTTCAAGTCTGGATTCTCCTGTACGAGGTATGCCAGTTCCAGCCGAGCGATATCACGACTACCATCCTCAGTACTCGTGAATCCTCCTTGGCGTGGACTGCTGGGCTGTTTCTTGCGGCTGAAAAGGTTCCCAAAGGTTTGTCGAAATCGACTAGACTGGTGTTTAGACCGCGAGGAATGCATGTCGAGTATCTGTAGGGCGAAAACAGCGTTGCTGATGCCAGTTAAAGAAGCCTTTTGTGTTGTAGCCGGTTGGCAGCTGCTGGAATTAGAACAAAGCGCTCATTTGTTCATTGTCGGATGGAGATAGTGGGTGCTGTGTATGGGCGGCAGTTTTGGTGTCGTTGTGTCGCAGCATAGCCTTTAGGTCGACAGAACGCCTTCCCATAATAATATGGATCTATTGCCTTGGATTGAAGACCGAGGGAGATGTAAAGCGCCCTTCCGTCCGAACCACCAAAGCCCGGTAGGAAAATAACGGCAATTACCGATGCCGTCAAGACGGCATGGCTTGCGGTTAAGCGCCAAGGACCGTCCGCGGTGACTACTTTTCCTCTGCACTTCAACCACCACGTCCTCAGTCAACCGCGATGGGCTCGACAACTGAGAAGCTCAGACAAACACAACTGGAGCCGGTATATTACCAGCCGGAGGCGCTCCAGTTTGCCTTGTGGCCCACCAGTACGACGGCCGAAAAGTGTTGACATCTTTAGCCTAGTCTGGTGGCTCTAACTCTATGGTGAGCGCTTAACACTGCCTTCTATCTTGAATACATCTCTTATCGCTCTTTTCAGCGGCTATCGTCTGCTCTCTCAGGCTCTTTCTCTACCAGCACCAGCTCCTAGTTGGAACCGTCCACGAAACACACATCTGTATCACCACCGTCGACTATCTGCTCTCCAACGCTCCCATGGCTCAGAAGTAAGCTCTAGGCCTCGATTCTCGAGGAAATATGCTAAGAGTGAACGTAACAACACCAGCGTATACGCACTAATCGTCGCCATCGACGAGGTACGTCCACAACCACCCACCCGCTCTCCTCCACTCTTCTAACCGCCCACATTGCAGTACAAATCCCCCGACATCCGCAACCTCCGCCAATGCGTCTCAGACTCATCCCTGATCTACAACTACCTCCTCGAAGCATTCGGACCGCACAACGCTACTTCCAACATCCGTATCCTGCGTAACGAACAGGCGACGCGCTCAGCTATCATCTCTACCTTTCGCAGTCATCTGGTCGATAACCCTGCGATTGAGGCTGATGACCCTGTTGTGTTTTACTTTGCGGGGCATGGCGCGAGGACGATGAAACCAGAGGATTGGCCTGTCAGTTCGTGGGATATGAAGATCGAAGCGATCTGTCCGTACGATGAGCGGTGTGAGGTTGAGGAGAGTGGGGAGGGTGCGGAAGGCGACGAGCGCGCAGAAGATAGGGAGGTCGTCAGGTGTATACCCGATGTGACTATGGGAAAGCTGTTAAAGCAGTTGGAGGTCAAGGGCAGGAGGAACATTGTAAGCCGTTCACAGCATCTACACAGTTTCTTCACTAACGGGCGCCCATACACCAGACCGTCATCCTGGACTGCTGTCACTCTGGAGGCGGGATACGAAAGACAGAAGATTACATCGACGTCCGATGCCGTGATGCCCTACCCATCGACGAATCGCCCTTCCCTCTCTCCATCGACCGTGCAATCTGGGAACTCCCTGAACTCGCGACGCGACCCCCCTCTCCATTCGAACCGGACCAAAACTCGCGCATCTTCGGCTCCGAGATCCTCATGGCTGCCTGTACCGCCAACGAAGAAGCCAAAGACGGATACTTCACCACCAAGCTCGTGGAAGGACTCAGAAAGCGTATCGGGGTCGATACAACAGTCTCGGATCTCATCCCCTTGGTCCCTCCCTCCACCAAGCAACACCCCGTGTTCCAAGGCAAGCCCACCAAGATCATCTTCACGAACAAGGTCATCGATAAGGAGCGCCGCAAGTTCTTGTTGAAGACTATTCCCGGGGACAAGTTCCAGGTGAACGCTGGCAGCATCCACGGGATCGCGAATGATGCGCTGTTCCAGTTGGAAGACGGCGGAGGGACGCTGAAAGTCGAGCAGACGCAGGTGTTCCGTTCTGTGCTTGTCAGAACGGCGTCTACGCCTGAGTCTGTTGAGATTCCAGACCAGACGCCTGTCTATGCGATCCCGAGTCTTCGGGATGCTGTTATAGCGGTTTGGATGGACGAGGAGCTCCGGAGGCGTGTTGGTGTACCGCACACGACGAGCGAGTCGTGGTATACCATCGTTTATGACCCGTCCCGTGCGAATGCGCTGGTGACGTTTGAGCCGTCGGATGGGAGAGCGGAGGATGCTGTCCAAGTTGAGCTCACCGAGCCTCTCTTCCGCAGCACCGGGTCTGACAAAACCGCCTTCACCTGGTCCAGCGTGTACAACCGGTTCTCAGAGTTCCTCGACGCCATCGCGCTCTTTCGTTACCAATTGGGCCGGCACAGCGGGTCCGGGACTCTGTTCACGTCCTATCCCGAACCTAACCAGGTGAAAGATACTTTGTGCCGGGACATCGATGTTGCGCTTTACAAGGTGGTTAAGAAAATTATATTTATGCAGCCAGAGGACCCGGCTACGAATCTGTTCAACGAGGATGGGGTTGCTGTTCTGCCGGATTCGACTGTGGACCAGTACGGGCTTCGTGTGTTGAACAAGAGGAAGAAGGATTTGTATATCTATATTTTCTACTTCAACCCTGCAGACCTCAGTATCCAGGTAAACTCGGTCTCTCCTTCCCCGACATTTGAAATTTCATCGCTCATACCATCTTTCCTCCCCTTTACCAGGCATGGAGCTACCTACAAGCCAGCTCCGTCAAAGAAGGCGAAACAGTCTCCATCGGGTACGGAACAGGCGGAGCACCCATCCAATTCGAGCTCGACGACCCCACGCGCGAGGAGAGCGGGTTCGTCAAGGTGTTTGTCTCGACGCATCAGGTGGAGAGGATGGATTTTATTGAGCAGGCAGGTGCTGGGGTTCCGCAGCAGTTTAGGAAGCTTGGGCCGAAGGATATTGGGGCTGAGAAGGAGAAGTGGGGTGCGTGGCTTGGGGTTATTAGGGTTACCCCTAGAGTTAAGGCTTGAGTCGCCGTGTATGTATGAGTTACTACCTGTGTACTACTTGACCGATGCAACTGTGATCGATTCGATGAACGAATGTATTGGCTTGGTGGATTCGAACGCCTCGGTAGATATTCTAGCTGTCAAGCTCCTGTTCGAGTACACATGATACTTTCCTTCCTCTTCACGTTCGCCAGGAGAGGGCAGTTTCATACTTCTGCTTTGGGCAGCTGACGCCCCTAATTCGTCCAGGGGCCTGGGAAAACCGTCGTGACCTTTCTTCCGCTCAATCACGGTCCCAAGTTGCTTCTGTTTCCCATCGTCCGCCGAATCCTTATCATGAAATGCAACATCGACACCGTCCTGATAGGCTCGAACGTTATCTTGGTGCCCTACGCGAAAACCCATGTTCCTGTTGGTATCCATAATCCACAATCTGCTTCGAGGAGGGCAGATTTTGGAGAACGCGGAGACTGATTGATATACGTTTGCGGGCATTTCAGAAATACAACGAGTGGATGTCGAATGAGGAGCTGAGGGAGTTGACTGCGAGCGAGCCGTTGACTTTGGAGGAGGAGTACGAGATGCAGGGTGAGTCTCCGTCCTGTTCTGTATACGCAAAAGTCGGTTCTGATTGGTCGGAATAGAGAAGTGGCAGCTGGATGAAGACAAGCTGACGTTTATCGTTCTCTCAAGAGAGGACGCGTTGTTCGACGAAGATGAAATTGTGAAACCGACAGATCCGAGGCTGACGGTGTGTCCGATGGTTGGAGACGTGAACCTATTCTTGTACGGGTCGTTGGAAAGCCTACGAAGGCCACTGGCGTCCAAAGATGAAGGCGATACAGAGGAAGAACAATCAGAAGATGATGACGGGCATGCTGAAGTGGAGATTATGATTGCAGGTGTGTACATATTCTCGTCTCACATTCACGGGTTCTCTAAACCTGAGTTTCGTAGAACCATCATACAGACGAAAGGGCTACGCTTTGCAAGCGTTACAGTTGATGCTGGGCTACGCAACAGGTTGCCATCTCGGTCCACAATGCACCAATGCAGACCAAGAAATCGACTCGCCATTGAAGATTGACCCGACCCGGTTGTTGACTCGGATATCAGAGGGCAACACGCCCAGCATCAGGCTCTTCGAGCGGTTAGGTTTTCAGATAACCAAGAGGGTCGCCGTCTTTGAGGAAGTGGAAATGAGGTGGAAGACTGTGAAAGGCGAACAGTAAAATCTAAGAAAAACTCGTTGGAGATTTCGAGTTGGAGGCCGAGTTGCAACCATCACCGTTATAATTAGATCCCGTGAGTCCATGGTTTGGAAATGGATTTCATTGGGCGATGATCCCCCAATCTTTTCAATTTGATTCAACAATTGATTGGCCTGGAACAAGGAAGCTTTCCATTCGTCACACGACTTGGAATTGTGGAAACTCGATGGAGACGACGGTTGCGATTGGTTGGCAACCTCGTCCCGTTGCATGTCAACGAGGGGCTTTTGCTATCTCGCGAGCCGAAATCATCATGGGTGCGGCGTGGCATCCTCTGGCCCTTTGTTTTGCCCCTCTTTCCCCTGTTCCCCATCCATTCATCATCATCCTCTTTTTCTTCCTTCTTCTTCCAAGCAAAAAGCAACTTTGCTTTTCTCTTGGCTCTTTTTCTCTTTACTTTTCTTCTACGCCTAACAGACTGGCTCTTAGGCCACTCTTTTCACGCTCTTTCATTTTTTGTTACTTCCCAGCAGGCGCTGGTGGAGTCCCGATTCACGCTCTGATTCAGTCGCTTTCTGTACGATGCAACTCCCACTCCGGGTGAGAGGATGGTTCAAGACTTTCTTGTCCGTCAGCCAAGCCAAGCTTGTCGTACGTACTTGTCCCATCTCCATCTCTTATGACGCAGGGCGCTAATACCCAATCAGTACGACAGGATCACGCTCACGCGCTACACGTCCTTCTACTTCCTCTTCACCGTCGTTTCATGCATCGTCCTCAGCTCGCTCCAAGGCGTCATTCTCTCGGACAATACCCAAGCTGTCAACATTCTCACCCGTGTCGTCGACGATGCTGGGCTCCCTCCACACCTGACCCGAATTGTTGATGGATGGTTACAACAGTGTGATGGTATCCCCCAGCTGGATGGGACCCGCTGTGAACCTGTACTGGACCTCGAGGAAGGGTCGCTTGCATTGCAACGAAGGAAGAGGGAGATATATTCGAGGCTTTACGTGCGTGCCCGTGCTTAACCACTCAGAACATGAGCTCTAACTCTTTGGCTACGGGAATAGGGACGACAAGCTGTTGAAGTGGAGGATGAGGAAAGTTCCGAGAGTTCTGAGGAGGATGAAGTAGAGTCCGTTGACGACGGTGAATCCAATGTGGATGGAGAAGAATCGGACGATGAAGAGGAGGGCAAAGAAGAGGAGGAGGACGACGACGACGACGAAGTAGTCCTCACTGTCAGCACACCTCAGCTCCCAGCAACGACCCCGATCTCTGGTTCGACTTTCACGTCCGGGTCTCAAACACTGGTCGTGGTCACCAGGACAGTCAGCGACTCATCGATTCTCAGCACTGCGACCCTTCCTGCTACGTTCCCTGGAGAAGCGGCTACCCTCTCGCCATTGCCAACCGGGGCTTCTCAACTTCCTGCTTCCCCAACTGTGAATTTCCCCGCGCAAACAACGCTTCTTCCTAATCCGACCCTGGATAGCAATACAGTGGCGACAGGCGTTCCCCTTCCTGATGCAACCCAGCTACCTCTTGAGAGTGTATCCCCGAACCCTACGTGTATCTATGCACTGAGCCATCTCGAAGATGGGTACGTTTCGATATAATTAGGCCTCGTTGGGGTATCAGCTGACACTTGATTGTACAGTCTCCATGACTCGCAACGTGAAGATGTCGTTATTCTCTTTTCTCATCTCTGGATGATGACAATCGGAATCGTTGCTGTAAGTACACCCTCGTTTACACACCTCGTGTTTGGGATGTTCATACCCACTACCTTCCGTATAGATCCTCAACGAATCCTTGCCCCACCTCGGCGCGGCTTTCTTTGCGCATATCCTTGAAGGCGCATGGGCAGCCTCGCGCATTGAGAACACCAGAACGTTGACGAGGCTGTACCGCAGAGTTATCGTTCCTGGCCCCTGCGAGGGTCGGGATTACCTGGGTACCTGGTGGGAGCAGCGGCTGCGACACACGGTGAGTGACTGTATCCATCCTCGTTGGCGCACCTTTGACATTACATTTTGTAGATCCCGATTGTCGTTCTCAACGTCTTCACCATCCTGGCTCTCGGTTTCTTCACTTGGAAGCTCTACAAAGTAGGTAGCTTGTTCATGTCAGAGCGACTCCATGTGCTCATAGACGCTGCCAGGTTTACTCTGTTCAAACTTTCAGCCGCGTTGGAGCTTCACCAGCCGTTCACCGAATGTACAGGGTAAGTTCTTTGTCCTAATTGAACTCTTTTCCAGTTCTTACCCGCAGAAATGATAGCTTCTGCTTTTCTTCTCTGTCGGCCTCCAACTCGCGAGCTTCTTCGGGGTAGCCTCAGCGGGGATGTGGATCAGCAAGATGTCGCACGGGAACTTTAGGATGTTTGCTCAGCACTGGAGGACTTACCTTGCGGTTTTCGTGATCTATATGGCCGTAAGTTCCTCTGGCCTCACCTTCCGAGGATATCAAAGTCTAACAGACGTCTAGTTCGTCCTCCCCTGGGTCATTCTGGTACGTGTTACAAAATTGCTAGACATCCAACGATGGCTCATCGTTGGTTCTATAGGGATGGCAATGTATGCGAAAGGAGTGCAGGCGCCGTGTCGCAGCTTTCTTCTTCATCTCCTTTGTTTTGGTCGTGATTTCGTGTGTCATGTTTAGCAGTGCACGTAAGAGCTCCGTCATCCTCTCTCGTTGCGCCCTCACTTAGATATCTTGTCACAGTTTACCGAGCGATCTTCATGGGTTGGCAATTCTTCGCCACAGTCACCGTCACCTCGTTCACCCTCCTGGTCCTCACCATCGCTCTTGGAATCCTCTGCAGAATCAACTTTGGCAAAGGCCTTGCTGGATATCGTAAGTGTCTTGCAGTTCATCGCTGAACCTGACCTGATCTGGATCATCTGCACTGTTCTTTTCATACCTTGGCGTCTCGATGGACAGTTGATGTTAGCGAAGCACTCGAAGGCGCCGACTTTACCCCTGTCACCTTCAGCCGCTACGACGAGAAATACGCCCCTGCTACCTTCAACAACCGCGAAACCGATGACTGGGGCACCGCCTTCGATGCTAGCGCCAAGGAGATCGATTTCAAGAACTACAATCCGGCGATGTTGCCCAACGTTGCGATCCCCGAGAAGGCGTACGACTACCAGGTCCAGGTGGAGATGGGCAGCCCGCAGAAGGATCCGTTCCTGTCTGCTCAAGAAGTCCGGATCGTCAAGGGCGCGTCGGTGTATTCTGATATGAACAGGCCGCCTATTCAACTCTCCGTTTCGCCGCCTATTGTGTCGGGTATCGCTTCGGCGAGCAGGAGGGATAGTGGTATGTCGGTCACTACGGCTAGTCCCGCGAGGCGTTCGAGCTACGCTAAACAAGGCGGTGCCTTCGCCGATGCTGCACGAGACACGCACTTCTCTGATCGCTCGAGCTTTGCGTGTGTAGGACCTACTAGCCCAATGCAGCCTCCTATCGGAGGAGTGCGTGCTCCGCCCGAGGAATCACGTCCAGTGAGCGTGGTCAGCCAGTTGGAGCATCCTCGGTTGAGGGTGACCAACCCTGATGCATACCGGGAGTCGATGATGACGCGTACGAGTGTGGCGCCGAGTGTGCTGCCGCCTGTGCCTATTCCTACTGGTACGGGTGTTGCGAGGGGAGGGAGTATTAGAGGGATGGTGGCTGCGTTCCCGGTTGTTTCGCGTAGGAGTTCGTCGGAGGATAGGGTTTAAGTGTGATTGGATGGAGGTGATGGATGGGAGAGAAGAGGAGAGGGATGAGGGTGGTTTGCAGATGGGTTTGGGTTTGGAATGGAAGGGTGGGTGACACGACACGATGCATAATCTGCTACTGTCTTCCCGACCCTGCTGCTATCAATCACTGGATGATTTGCTTGCGTTGTTTACTGGATGGACGACGCAGCTTTGTGTGCTTCTGAAAACTTGTATTTTGTACGCCGTTCGTTCTGTTTGTATTGTTGTACTCATGTTTTTCGGATGCGCGGGGTGACGTATCAATGTGAACTTTGCTGGGTTCGAATCAGAGTGGTGAAATCAAGCGCCCATGGGCGCTTATTTCATTCCAATGACGCAAGCACCGCCCACCAAGCACCGCCCACCACGCACCGCTTACCTGCATGTTGCGGTAACAGCGCAGCTAAGCCCACGGCTCAACCGTCCCTGGTATCTCCTCTCTCTGAAAGAAGCACTGACAAAAATTCTGGCGCATGTGACGGGCTCGATGGGAATTAAGTGGCACCAAAAGGTGAAAGCCGATATCATAGGAGTTGTGAAGACTCCAAAGTCGACAGGTATGTCTTCTTTGGGACTGGAGAGGTTACGTTGGCATCTTAAGTGGAATGAGTTGACCCACGACGTTCCCGGGGCATCTGTCACTTATCAATGCAAGTGCTGGAGGTTCACTCGCGAAGCAGAGGGTGAGTTGGTGAGGATGGATCTGGCAGGGCCTTGGTATTTCCCACTCGTCATTCGTATGAAGTATAAGAGCTTTAAAAGGTCCTCGAATATTGTAGATCTGGATACCAAACCCTCTTCCACCGAACTTATCTCGAACTCCTGCGTCCGACTAGGCATGAAACTCGAAATGCCTACTATCATCAATATCTTGGAATATTTGAGGCTGAATTCGACGACACTCCTTGCGGCGACGGTCGTCGCTCTGGGTTTCTTGTTGGCATTGAAGGCCCTCTCGATGAAGACTGCCTTCGCTCAGCGGAGCAAAGGCTTGCCTCTCCCTCCGGGACCAAAGGGCCTCCCAATCCTCGGGAATCTGCTTCAAATTCCAAAAGTTAAACCATGGAAGGTGTATGCCAGTGCGGAGTGGAAGAAACAATACGGCAAGTCATTCTCTATTCTGTTCTTCATATTGTCCGAGCGAAGGATTGAATCTCTCTCAATTTATAAATTTACCAGGCGATATGATTTACCTCGAAGCGTTAGGCCAACGTATGCTCGTCCTCAATTCCTTGGAGGATATAGAGGCGCTGTTAGTCAAGAGGTCGACGAACTACTCGGACAGGCCGTACAGCGCCACCTCTGATCTGCAAGTCGGCTTTTTCATCATTCCCCTCTGTGTTCCTCTGAGGCTGACCCCCCAGGCTCTTGTTGTTTCAGGATGCGACAAAACTGGGGCTTTGCAATGATGGCGTATGGAAACGAGTGGAGGGAACGCCGGAAAGCGTTCCACCAGTTCTTTCATAACAGTGCTCGTGGTATTCAACCTGTGGTTGAAAAAGAGGTTAGAGATTTCTTGAAGAGGGTTTGTGTTGATCGGGGTGTTGGGGTTTGGGAGGATCTTCGGTCGTGAGTACTTGAATACCTTATGTGTTCGAAACTGAAGTGCCCAACGCTGATCTATTACCTCTGACTTCAGGGCATTCGGTCTGATACTCCTCCGGGTCACCTACGGCTCCTATCCGAAGCAGCCTAACTCGGAAGGCCAAGAACTCCTCACAGATCTCCTCTCCATCGCACAAACACTCGTCCTAGCGGCAGTCGAGTACCTGAATCCAGGCCGCCTCTTGGTCAACGTCCTCCCCATCCTCCGATTCGTACCCGCTTGGTTCCCGGGTGCGGGGTGGAAGCGGACGTTGTTGAGATTGGCAGATTTGACTGATTATTTGCATGAGAAGCCTTGGGAGGAGGTTTTGGCGAGGGCTGTAGGTGTTTCTTTTATTACACTGTCCGAGTAGTTGTTGATTAATGGGGGTTGGCTGACGTGACACCTTCTCTTCTCGGACATGAAGAAGGCAGGCGTGCAAAGCGAGTACCCAAGTTTTGCTACAGAGTTGATTCAAGGCCTGGCGGAAGAAGGAACGGAACTGCGAGCGAGGCAGGAATCTATCGCCAAAGATGCTATGGGGCAGGCGTTTGGTGGTACGTACATATACCGAGTGTGTCCTTGGTGCACGTACATGATCCTAGTGTCCCTAACCTATGGTTTGAAACGTCTGCCTTTTTCAGCGGGCTCAGACCCGGTTCGTCAAGCAATCTGATCATTTATGATATGATCCCCCACCTCATTCGGATTCTTAGACGACCAGTGCAGGATACGTCCTCCTCTTCTGCCTCGCAACAAACCCAGAAGTGCAGCGTAAAGCCCAACACGAGATCGACAGCCTCACCCTCGGCAACACCCTCAACAACAACGCATCCGACGGCAGCTCGGATTCCAAACTCTTACTATCAATTGACGACTTGGATCGCCTTCCATATGTCCAAGCCATCATCAAGGAAATCGGGAGATGGCATACGACAGTCCCTTTCGGTACGTGTGTCCAATTACAAGAGTTCGCTGTGTATAAGTATATCGAATTTTGGCGCGCGTTGAGCTCACTGAACCTGGGTTGAACATGGAACAGCGTTACCACACATGACCACCGCGGACGACGTGTACAATGGGTATTTCATCCCTGCGAAGACGATGATTTTGCCGAATACCTGGTGAGGTCACTGCTTGAAAGGATGCCCAGCGGGAAGGTCTTTTGCTGACGATGGGTATTTAACGTTTAACTGTCGTTCAGGGCGGTCATGCACGACCCGGACAGGTTCTCTGAACCTGAATCTTTCAGACCCGAGCGGTACCTGAGTGAAGACGGGAAGAAGATAGACACTTCGGTATTGGATCCAGCGTCTGGGATATTCGGCTATGGGCGAAGGTAGGAGTCACATACTCTATGCGCCTTTTCCCCTCGCATATAATATTCACAAGTTGCCTTTTTCACACCCCATTGCTGTTTACAGAATCTGTCCAGGAAGAAACCTGGCCAACGACATAATCTCCCTTCTGACTCTCAACCTCCTGGCCTACTTTGACGTCAGACCACCGGTGGATGAGGTGTCTGGAGAAAGGACGACCCTGAAGTTTGATACGCCAACTAGTTTGCTCGCGTAGGTGTCCGAACTCTGCCTGGTCCTCCTCCTTCAAGGGTTCATTCAGATGGCTAACTTGAACACGCCCCATGTCTATGCGCAGCATCCCTGAACCATTCGATTGCGAGATCACACCCCGATCCCCGAGACACAAGAGTGTATTGGAAGCGATGTAGAGAGCTACCTAGCAGAGACGCCGCGACATGTTAATTCACTGTTGTTAAGCGCCCGTGCGCGGTCGTTGTCCCTACGAATCCAAGCACCTTGCATCCGTTTCGATCTTTGAGCTCATAGCTGAGTTGGTGATATAAAACACAATATCCATTCAGAGCAAAAGCAAGCGAGACGAAAGTAAGTAGCAGTATATACAAGCGACAACCGGCAAACCTAAGTAAAACATAGGGACATATATAAAACATAGCGACAAAAGGGAGTATAACGCAATTATACGGGAGATAAACAGGCCAAGGGGGGCAGAATACTAGAGTAATAGGTCAAATCTAACAGGGGGAATCTACATAGCATAGAAGCCTGTGCCATCTATGAAAGGATTAAGGCGGCAGGCAGGACAAGAAGGCGAACAATAAGGCAGATATATAGGGGTACTGGGGGAAGACACGCATATGGAAAGAAAGACCCAGAACCCCGAATCAACAGGTCGACTGGACTGGTTTCCGATGGGTATAGATAAGAGACAAAGAAATCTCCACATAAAGCAAGAAGAGAGAAAAGAAAGCATGAAGTGCCAGACCTTGACTGGCACTACCAAGGCCTGGCATCCTCGAAAAAGAAGACGATTCCGAAAGACACAATAGACCTATAACGCGGAGGTAAGCACTGCACTCCACTTTTACGTCGTCTTGCAGACGATATCGCAAGACGGAGATTAATCGCCTCGCAGTTTCCCAAGGAGGAAAAAGCCGGAGTAAAGGTAAAGGCAAAAGGAGTTTTTTAGAAGCTCAAGCTTCGCTTCCTCAACACCCTCTTACCACCCGAGGTTTCCTTAACAGCTGGCCTGGGCTTGGGCGAGCTCGACTGCTTGCTAATCGCCAACCCCGTAAACATCCGCTTCAACAGCGACGTGGAGCCATTGGCTTTGGTCGGTGACGAAGCGTACGCAGAGTACGGGAGCTGCGGAACGTTCGCCGGGTCCGGGCTGCGTGAGGGAACTGGAGCCTTGGTGAAACCGTAACCGGGAACGGTCTGCGAGCGGATAGGCTGGGGAGCGTGAGGGATGACTGGTGGAGCAGAGTTGGGCGGTGGGAGCCGCGCCTGGATTTGGTGCGGAGGGAAGCCGCCGTTGGTTGTGGAACCGGAGCTTGGCCCCGACGAGTTGGCGCCTGCCGAGAGGCGCGGGTAGCGATAGTGGTACGGGTCATGGGCGACACCCACAGGCGGGAGGTCCAAGCTGAGGTTGGGGGCGGTGTGGGAGCGGGAAGGCTTGGAAGGCTTTGCGGGCGACGACGAGTTGGATCGTGGGCGGGTGGAAGAGGTCGGTGTAGACGCCCGTGTGGAGGTGGGCGTGTTTTGAGTCGTACGGCTCTTTTCGACGAGCACGTACCCCTGGCCTTGGAGAGCTATCTGCTCCTTTTCTGGACGTCTAGTGGTTTGGGAGGAGCTTCTGCGTTCACTCCTGTCCTTTTCGCGGTCTCGAGAGGAGGAATAGTACTCCTGACGAGATGAAGAGCGCTCGTGGCGACGCGAGCTGGATCCAGACACCTGGCTGGTGCTAACCTGGCTCTTGCTGTGCCTGCTGGTTCGAGAAGACGACCGTGGATAGTAATCTTCCTCCTCCGTATCTGAACGGTATTTGTGGTCCCGGCGAACGTCGTATGAATGGCGTCGCTCTCTAGTCGGTCGTTCTCTCTTGGTTTCAGCTCTTCGTCGTTTCTCTTCTTGTTGTAGTTCGAGGAATTTTACGTGTGGCGTCGCTGGCGTAAATGCATTGCAGGGCCTTTGAGTCAGCGTTCCGTCGACCCAACGGGCGATTCTGTGCTGGGTTTCGAAGTAACGCTCCCAAGCTTCTGGAGAGTAGTCGTATTCTGTCATTGTTACCTGGGTATCGCAGAATAAATAAGGAATAGATAGGAAGTAGAGAGCTAAGCCAGAGCTCGGATGGTGGGAAGGAGGCAAGCAGCGGGGAACGTCACTGCCACTTCCCGAATCTTCCATCAATGTTGGGCATAGCCAAGCCATCACCTCCATCAAGTCTATCCCCGGGTGTCCACAATGACGAATTTCTGACTTGGTTCTGACGAAAGAGGTCAGAAGGAGTCAGAAACTCGACAAAAGGCCTGTCCAGATTTGTGATAGTCGGTGAACCTGTCCAGAGACGGAGATGAAGGTCACAATAGTACAAACTCCTTGTGACACGTCGACTTGGTTGTCCACTAGATCCGCGAGTCAATCCCGCTTAGTCTGCTCGCTTACGGGCTTCATTCACCCCAAGCCCCATTGTCGTGCACTTTGCTTTGTTGGACCGGTGCCAGTGTCTCGATGATTGGCGACTTGCTGTTTGCATCCCAAGACCCGACAAACAGACCCCAGCTCAGATTCCGAGGTGATCATTGGAGGTGATGCGATAAGGAATTCCACTGAGCCATGGACGAGGAATTGCTGGAGTTGCCCCACAAGGATCCATAGTGCCCCCAAAGTCGCATCCGGGATGTGAATACTTAATCCCTAGTGACGGAAAACGTCTTGTCGCCAGTGGCTGACATCTGCGAGTCAAGAGTCTGCGGATCCACTAGCGCCCATTCCCCGTATCCAGGCGTGAGCGCCTGTTTGGATTTCACGGTCGGTGTCGAGTAAGTACCTGGTTTAGTGGCTCACCATACATTTTGTCGCAACCATCGCCGATAACAAGGCAGTTGAGAGCAATGGTCACCGGTGGATAGTGGGAGTTAGCTGAGAACATGCTCCGCAGCGGAGTTTCTGAATCCCGCTGGACAATGATCCGATATGTATCTCCAGAGGCGAATTGCCATTAGTATTTCATGTTTATTATGCGAGTCCTCGAGTTGAATGCACTGGTTGTCAATGTACGTCCTTACTGAGGTGACAGCGAATGTGAATTCACAACTTTGCACCTCCTACATCTACATCGTCGATCGTCTCCACCTTTTCGTTGCCTCCCCGCTGCCTCTCCCGATACTCGCGTTCCATATCCTCCTCACCGCGTCTAACCACCCGATGCATCAATTCCACCCATTCTTCTTTGGCTTTCTTCAACCGCTCATCGGAGTCACTCGTTTCCAGACCGCCCTGGCCCACACCTCTAACCCATTCCTCCGCCTCACCACTTTTCTCGAGTTTCACCCATGTTGAGCGGAGGATATCTTTGAGGCTGTAGAAGTAGCGTTCGTAGGATGGAACCTTCGGCGTTGGAGTCGAAGTGGTGGTAGGAAGGGTCGGCGAGGAGGTCGCAGATGGAGGTGCAGGCGAAGAAACGGAATCGACAAAGGAAGCGAGTTTGTCTCGGTAGTCGTATTGATCCTGAGGCTCGAATTTATGCCAGTTCTTCATGACAACCTTCAACGCCTCGTCTGGATTTTGATTCGTAGTTCCTGTTGGGAGGAGCTCGTAGTACCGGTTCATCACTTCCACGGCTTCTTTTGTCAGATCGATGTTTTCCGGGTGGGCGAAGGCGGCTAGGACGGCTTTGGATTGGATTTCGACGAGGGGGAGGGGTGAGACGCGGGTTAAGAGGCCTAGGAAGGCGAGGGAGGTTGGTGGATAGGAGGTAGGGGATCCGTTGTCCCCATTGCTAGGGTGGTATGGAATTAAAGGCAAGAGATGCTGCGCGAGGGGGAAGACGTTGAAGGATGTGTTGTAGAGTCTGGTCGGGAGAGGAGGTGGGGGCGGTGGGTAGGGCGTTGACGCGCCATCGCTTGATGTAGGATAATGAAGAACGGATGAATCGAGGAACGGAAACGAGTACTCGTATCCTGTCGCGAGAATACAGAAATCCACTCCTGTTTCCTCCGACCCGTCTTCAAATGTGAGTGTACCAGTTTGGGGATCGCCGTATTCCTTGACTCGTCCGCGGAGTTTGAGTTTTCCGCCTAGTTTATCTTCGCTGGGTGTCCCTGTCATTGAGTGGATGACTGTTCGACCGGTGGATAAGAGTTCGGTGGAGATGTCTCGCCCGCTGGGTCCTGCTCCTACGACCAGGACTTTATCCCCGTGCTTCGGCAGGGGATGGCGATAGAAGACGGCGTGTTGGGCTTTACTTGACTCGGAAAGCCATGTCGAGAGTCCGGGGGTGGTTGGGTAGCGTGGTACAGAGTAGTGGCCGTTTCCAACGATAACGAGATCGACGTCCATACTCAGGATAGAAGTTTGGATCTTCCATTTGAATTCGCCAGATGGGTCGGATGGGTTGGGTTCAACAGACGTTACGGTTGTGTTGAATAGGATGTGCGGCCGTAGATTGAACCGGTCTGCGTAGGCTTCGAGGTATTGAAGGACTGCTGCGGCTTTGGGGAACAGGGGCGTCTCCGGGGGGAAAAGAAAGTCCGAGTAGCACATTAATGGGTGCGGTAGGTTCGTTGTGAGCATGTCGTATAGCGGTGTTGCTGGTGGGACGTCTGGCTTATGAGCATCTGGTGCATCCGGGAGCCTGTAAATCCTTCAGCAAGAAAGCGATATATTTACGAAGCTCGATACGCACCAAACGCCTCCCAGACTTGACCTAGACTCGAATACTATCGTTTCCCATAGCCCAGCCTTGTATTGAGGGCTCTCAAGTACGGCTTTGAGAGCTGCGAGGCCAGCAGGCCCAGCTCCAATTATCGCAATCTTCTTCTTCACCCCGGTCTGGTCGTCATTGGGTATCAATGTACCTGGTTCCTGGTGAGATATACGTTTCAGTCACAAAACTTGGGCGCTTATTGTATGTACTTGGGAATTGGGCGTCCATCGTGCTGGAATTAAGAGTTTAAAAAACGGAGATGACGATGAAAAGGGGGAGCAAAAAGTCTTGGCCGGCCCCGCATACGCGTTATTTGCGGATGTTTTTACGCGCTCGTTTTCAGACGCGTGGGATATTGGCGATCCCTCCTCGACGCTCGTCTTTCAGGTCTTTTGACTTTTGCTTTGTCTCGTCGCCATCGACTTGTCGAGGTCGTCGTTGTCGCTGCCGCCGCTGAGGACGTCATCGACAACCCACTCTGAACGCGATGTCGACGGTCAAAGATGCGCGTCGCCTTCGCCAGATGAGGGAGCAGACGAGTGGACAAGCAACACCGCGAGCAAGGTCGAGGGCTGATAGCGCCAGCTCTGCACGGAGCGTTGTCTCGAATCCGACTTCTTCAAGTGCTGCGATGCCTGTTGCGAATGTAGGCCCAGTTCGTGCTGCTGCAGGTTCCGCGATGGGCCCTCCAGCTGGTTATCATTTGCAAGGCAATGTTCAGACTCCCGTGACCCAACCTGTCGTCAGACATCCGATCTTCCACCAGGAAAAGTTCAGACCAAGTCCGTATCAACTCCAACTCGAACAACAACGAGCTCTGCAGCAGCAACAGCGAGTGCCAGTCGCGCATGATCCTGCCAGCTCTCAAGCTCAAGTGCAGATAAAAGAGTACCGGCCCAGAGTCGCGAACGGTTCGCGGCCCGCACCTGGGACTCCGAAGAGTGTTGCGTCCAGTCGAACACCAGCTCATGCCCGCGCAGCCTCGTCAAGTTCAGCCTCCTCAACTTCCGCTTTCGTTCAAGGCAGCAGCGGGTCTCGGATGACCCCAAGTTCGATTGCTGCCAGCACCAGCGAGCCGGCGAGCCGCAACACAGTCCAGCCGTACAACACGACGCCAATGAACACGCAAGGCGTAACCATGATGTTCACCAAAGCCCAGTTCAACGACCTCCTGGCCCACATTTCCTCCCGAGACCAACAGCTCAAGGATGAATTTGCTCAGGTCGTCCAAAAGAAAGAACAAGACGAAGATCTGAAAGAACTCACCAAGCAACTTCGCGCGTTTTGTAACCTTCAATCTCAAGCCAACGAGAATTGGGAGAAGCGGTTGGCTGGGGTGGAGAGTCGTTTGAAGGCGGTGGAGGAAGCTATTGGGAAGACGGCGGGAACGGATGATGCAGAGGGCGGCGGGAAGAGTTTGGGAAAGAAGTTGGACGAGATGTTCATTGTACTTGGAGAGGTATGGGAAAGGGTGAGAGATCCCAAGGCTGATGACTTGGCTGGTGAGTTTGGCCTTTGCTACTTGCTTTCCTTCCTTTCAAGATTCTAGTTGCCGTTATTCACTTGCCTGTGTTGCACCACGCTCTCTCTTTGCATATCCTCCCTTTTACTGACTACTACTCTGTACTAGTATCTGAAGAGGCGACCCGAGTACCTGCCCAAACTCCTATCCCAACTATCACCTACCGCGAAGCAGCGTCGAGTCCCATCAAGCGCCCAGCGGAGATTAAGAGCCCTGAACCCGAGACCCAACCTACAGGCGTTTCTCAACCCATATTCTCGCGTGCAGCCAGTCTAGCAGTGATCACTGAAGGTACGGCGTCGAACTAGTATTCACCTTTCTCGGGCATGGCTAACCATGTAATCTCTGTCGTTCTAGCTCCAAGTTCATCAACTCTGGCGACTGCAACTGCTACGGGCACGAGTACCTCCAACAGTCTTCAGTTTATCAAGGAATCTCTTTCGGAGCCGTCATGTGAAGTTGCTGTCGAGGAAGAAGGTATAGACGACGATGCAGAGAAGTTCGGCGAAGTTCATGTTCATCTTGAAGATGCCGGCGAGAGTAGGGTGGGTTCCTTTTTTTCCAATCTTCACTGGATGGGTTCATTGACCCTTTTGGACTTTGTAGCCTATCACACCCATGTCGGAAGACATAGACATGGAGTTGGACTTGGCGTATCCTGGAGAAGCATCTGTAATAGAAGACGACAGCGCGACTGAAGTAGCCCAAGAGGATAAAATGGACGAAGGAGATCAATCGGAACCCGATGAAGAGCCCAAGGAAGATATGGACGTCGAACCTCTGCCCACCGTTTCGAATGCTGTACAAATCGAGCAGGAGGCTGCATTAGCGCCGGTCCTCGACTCAGATTCGACTCCCGCTCAACCCGAGGTTTCTGCACCGGACGGCCATACCACGAGCCCCGCGCTACGAGAGCAAAATCAACCACAGCAGCCATCCCGACCACCATGCAAGGCAGGCTCGTTCTCGAAAGTGGATTGGAGCAAATGTGAAGCAGAAGGTGCGGAGGGTGAAGATGAAAACCTCGAAGGTACGCTACCATTGTTATCGAACTCGTATATATGAATGGAACCACAGCTAAATTCTTATCTTTTACAGACGCTGCACAGCCAACCTACTTCCAACCCGACCTCTCCCCTCAAACCCTCCGGCAGACCTCTTTATACAAGCCCGACGCGCCTATGGAAGGCAGCGTAGGCGAGTTACGACTAGGCGTTTTGGGGGATAACGCGCCGGTTGTCCTGGGCGATGGGTCGTTTGTGGATGACGCTGGGACGTCCAAGTCGTCTGCTGGGGGAACGAGTGGCGGGGATGTTCAGAGGATACCGTTGGTTGCGCCGCCGGAGGGCGAGCCGTTGCCTACGCCTGAGACGTCGAGGGAGGGTACGCCTGTGGTTAAGGAGGTGCTTGATGTGGAGGAGGGTGAGGGTGGCGAGGAGGTGGAGGAGCTTTCTGCGGTTGGTGAGGTTATGGAGGCTGAGGAGGACCGCATGGTTGAAGAGGTTCCAGAGGCTGAGGAGGACCTTGCGGTTGAAGAGGTTCCAGAGGCTGAGGGGGGCCGCGTGGTTGAAGAGGTTCCAGAGGCTGAGGAGGTCCCTGCGATCGAAGAGGTTCCAGAGGCTGACGAAGACCCTGCCGCTGACGAGGTTTCTGCGATTGATGAGGTGCCAGCAAATGAAGAGGCGACTGGGGTTGAAGATCTTGATGACGCTATTCCTGGGGGTGAAGACCAAGCTGATGACGATGAGGATCACACTCAAGAACCCATCGCGGTCGAGGATGTCAAAGATGATTTGGAAGACCAGGTCCAAGAACCCGATGCGGTGGAAGAGGCCGAAGATCCTGGGAGGTCTATGGACGTCGACGAAGACATACAAAGACCTCAAGAAGAGTCCGAGGACGAACTCAATATCATCGCCAAGCCGCTTCCTACCCCGAGACCGTCAGAAGGCGACAAAAAGACCGAGGTTGCTGAAGTGGTCGACCACGAGGATAAACCTTCCCGTCAGTCGAGTCCTCTGAAATCCAAATCGAAATCGCTGTCGACCAGGTCGTCCACCGAGGAACCCCTGTTCCTCCCCATCTCCGATACCGACTCTATGGCAGACCGCGCAAGGTCAAATGCGCGCGATGTGGATGATGATGATGGATCCGTTGGTGGTGATGACAGGGATGGAGGCGAAGACTTGGAGTACGTCGAAGTTGACGACGAAGCGGTAGAACTGCCCTCTGACATTGATGAAGTCGAGTACAAAAAGGCCTTGTGGCTTTCCAAACAGTTGCCGCCTTCTTCCCCACCGAAACCTGATTCCGACCATGAAGACGATGGAGAGCAACATACCGCGCCTGTTGTTGCGCCTTCTTCGCCGATCCGTCCTCCACCTTCTGATGTGGATGAAGATGAATATGCGGCGGCGGTTTGGTTGTCGATGCAGCCTCCGTCCTCGCCGGTAAAGCCTGCGCGCCGAGGAGATGTTGGAGCCACCCCGAAGGCGAAGGGTAGGAGGATGGTTAGCCCAGTGCAGGAGGAGGATGAGGATCAATTGGAGGGAGAGGACGACCAGGACCAGGGTGAATTGCCTTCTCTACCTTTCGAGGACGAGGACGATGGCGAGCGAGACGCGACAACGATGATGGCTCCGTCTTCGCCCATGCAACCCCCGCCATCTGACGTGGACCCAGACGAGTATGCGCGGGCGGTGATGATGTCGTTGCAGCCTCCTTCGTCGCCGGTCAAACCTACTACGCGTGGAGATACGCCGAAGCCCAAGTCGAGGAGAATGATCAGTCCGGTCCAGGAGGAGGATGAGGATCAATTGGAGGACGAAGTAGAAGGCACCGGCGAAGATCAGAACGAAGTTCCTCCGCCCATCTCTGGGGAGGAAGGTCAGGATGATGGCGATATAAGGGCCACGCCCAGTGCCTCTTCTCGACGAACCCAAGAGCCAGGTTCTCCGGAGATCCCTGTCCCCGCCTCATTATCCTTCCAGTTTAGCTCGACTCCAAAACAATCCCCGTCGAAAGCATCACCAACCAAGGCTCCGATCGGAAAGTCACCGTCACTCAACGCCATTTTCCCTGATTTCTCAGTTCGGCGCCGTACCGCATCGCGATCTCCAGTTCAACAACGGGGTGGGAAGGAGCATCGGGTTTCGCCCCTGAAGAAGAGCTCGACGTTACCTGGTACGCCTTCTGCCAGTACTCGAAGCGGACTGCTCGGCACGGGCTCGTTTGTTGCAGGGTTGGGTGGGTTGGCGACCTCGACTCCGAAAGGTGCCAGGACTCCTTTATCGTTGTCGAGGACTGGGTCGGTCGCTTCCATTCGGACTCCCAAGAGGAAGAGGTCTCCTTCGGTTGCTTCGGATTCTGAGGCCTCACTTGACTCGCCGGTTGGGAAGAAGGGGAAGGAAAGACAAGATGAAGACAGGGAGGAGGATGGAGAAGCGGTGCTGGCCCAATCGACAGGCATGGAGGTGGATGAAGACCAGCTGGGCGCTCCTGACCTCGACCAAGTCGAAGATATAGGTGAATTCCATGACGAAGACCAAGACCAATCGATGGACACGATGGACTTGCCTCTTCATTCACCCAGCCCTATCCGCCTGGGCTCGCCATCCGTTGCGTGCTCTGAGCACAGCTCTTCCGAGCCTGCTCCGGCGATCCGACCTGCCACTCTCCGCCAGCTGCCGACCTCAAGCTCGTCTACACCACCTGTGATCGTTTCCATCAAGACTGAGCCGCAGACCCAACCAAGCTCGAGTCGGAGCATCAAGATCAAAAAGGAGAAGGTTGGACCTCCCAAGACTCCCCGAAAGTCCAAGGCGGCGGAAGAGGTTATCGAAATCGTGTCTTCACCCGAGCTCTCGCCTAGGGCGGCCAACCAGCTTTTGATCAATCGAATGGCGAGGAAGAGGATGGAGAGGAAGAGACGCGAAGCTGAAGCTGCCAAGGCGGCGGCTTCGTCCTCGGATGAGGAGGAAGATGGAGAAGCTGCCAAGAGTGTGGACACGCGAGGTGGTGACGACGGTGTCATCGACTTGACGATGATGGCTTCGTCGGATTCGAGCTCAGAGGTCGATCAGAGGAAACGCCCACCTCCCAAGAAGCCGTTGTCCAAAACCTCCAATGCGAAAAATCAACGCCCCGCCGCGCCCACCGAGTCGGACTCTGATTTTTTCGACGTCGACAGTGACTCGAGCACAGACATTATCTATCCCAAGAAGGCTCTACATACCCAGCACGCTTCTGGAAGCAAGGCAAAGCCTGCACCTTCGCAAGGGTTGAATTTGAAGGGTCGCATCGGTGGCCCTAGCTTGGCAGCGACGAAGATTAGGAAGAGGAGGTCGGGGGATGACGGGGCCAGTGACAGACCTTTGAAGAAGGCTAGGGAACTGTCTCTAGGAATCAAGTCGGAGAAGGGGAAGGGAAAGGAGAGGGAGAAGCCACCGTCGAAGAAGAAAGTGAAGACGCTACCATCCGATAGTTCGAGCTCAGAGGCCAAGGACAACATCGTCATCAAGAGGGAAAACGTTCAGCAATCGGTTGCACAGTTGAAGAAGAATGTTGGCGCCGGTTCGAGTTCGAAGCATGCACATACCAGCGTCTCGCCTGCGGTCAGTACGACTAGCTCTGCTGCACGCAAGGCGACGCGCGAAAGAGCCAAAAATGTCAAATGGCCAAAGCCAAATGAGTTTGGTAGCAGTTCTTTCCAGCGGGAGGTGCGTCGCCCTGGTTGACTTTCCTCGGCTACCATTGATTCACCAGCGATCCTTTCCTAGTTTATTGAATGCGACGAGTAATTATCCCTCCAGTTATTCTTATTACAATAAATTATTGATCATACGACGCATAACCTCGCTTTACTTTCTTGTCGGCAACTTGCCGCCCGTAGCTGTCATGGATGGTACCACTACGGCTGCGTTGGAATTGAAACTGACGACTACCGAATCGAAGACGATGAGACCCAATTCAATTGCCCGCCTTGCTTGAGCGCTACCAAACGTTCTTCGTGAGTATCCCTTGTGACTCCTGATGGTGCTTTGAATAGCAGCTGACGGGAACCTTTGCAGTCGACGTAAACAAAGTTCACTTCTCACAGGGGAGACCGATGACCGAGGCTTGTTTGTAGGACATACGGTGAAGCTACCGCCTGTTGCCAGAACCAAGTTTTGCGCTCGGCCTGATTGCAACCAACCTCGAGTTGAGAAAGACGAATACTTTGTGAAAGCTATTATCGGTCGTCGACTCAACCAACAGAAGAAATTCGAATGGCTTGTACTGTGGGATGGGTGCGTGGTGGTTTTTATCATACATTCTATGTGCTCACTAGAATCCATGCTCATCGATGCGCAGATACGATGTCCGGGAGGCGACTTGGCAGACTGAGGCGGATATGCAAGATCCCTTGAAACTTACCGAAGACTTCCACATCAAAGCGAGGGAAGAGGGACTACAGTCTTTGTTGGAGAAGCCGGGCAAGGTTGTCCTCTTGAAGCAAGCTGTTCCACATCATGCCAGTGATTCAAACGCCGAACAATGAGGGCGATCTGCACACTATACTGATGTTACCTTCACTGGCCCTCGTATATTGGGCTTTTCTACACACGGGTTTTTTCTCTGTGCTCGTTATATTTTCGTCTCGTTGCTCTTTCCATGACATTACGCTATTGTACTACCACCCTACAGGTTCAACTCTCCTACTTCACCTCTCCTCTTGCTGTCGCTTTGCATCTCGCTTTCAACTCGCTTTGTGTATACCCTCTCACCATGGCCCTACATCTCGTCCTGCTCATGCACATACTTTTGGTCTTCTTTGCACATAGTTACATATTTTACATAGTACTAAATTGGTATCATATCGGTGTATTATTAGATCCACAGAGAGAGGCAATAGTGACTATCTACAACATGCTGGTATACATAAGGTGGAGGTGAGGCCTATTCCGTCCGTCTAGCTGAACCTGATCGACGGGGCAGTTACTCAGTGTGTATCAGACGAGAATGACGGCAAGTAGAAGGGCCATGAGCACGATTATCAGGAAGATGATACACCACCCGCTCCCTTTCTCCTCCGAGTCGCGCAAGAACTTGCGTAACCGGCGCATCCCATCGCTGACCTTGTCCTGTGTCCTGTCCACGTTTTGTTCCAGGTCGTCTAGCATTCTGATACATTGGTTAGCATTAAGTCATCTACTAGGTCGAGGGAACCTACTCGTTGTGTTCCGAGATTTCTTGTCCCATTAAACTGGCTTGTTGAGCGATAGTATTGAGTGTCCCGGCAATGCTGTCGATGGTTTGGTCCTGTTCGCGGAGCATAATCTACCAAAGACAGCGTAACATGGTTAGTTAATGGTCGCTGTGACGGGCTAATTCCAGACGCACCTGCTGCTCCTCTCTGGCCCACTCCGCTTGATCATCATCCCTATAGGGAGAAGAAAACCCGTTTCTTGAATTGCCCTGTGTTGGTGATGCTGCACCAGATGCCAACGGGTGCTGCTGGGCAGCATTCGAAGAGCTGGTCGACGCGTTGGAGTCTACTTCGTTTCTCATGTTCTGGACTTGCGAGAAACGACGTCGATTAGCTCTACTCCTCGTATCATTCAAGTTCAAAAACCAACGCACCTCAATCTCCTTCCGTACGTGTGTCACGTATTGACGTCGGGTCGCAACCTCTGCATCGTCCAATCCGAACATCCGTGCGTCTGTGGATTCAACGATTCTGCGTTCGTTCAAGGACTATTTAGCTTTTGAAGACTTTGGAGGGTCGAATGGAATGTCGAATACGCACTTGACGCTCTCTTCTAGGTCTTCTAGGTCGGCTTCTAGCGCTGCTAATGTCGCTTTCAACTATGTGGTATGAATGTCATGTCGGCCACCGTATTCATTCAAGCTGGTATATTTATCACACATACCTCGTTACGTGCCCAACTGAGTTCCTCGCTGTCTTCTCTAGCCATATTCCGTATCCGTAGATAGGACGACCGCAGCTGCGTAGCCGCCGCTAGTGAGGTTTGGATTTCATGCTGTACCGCATGGTATGGGTCCTGGAGCGACATATGTGTTTATTTAGAGGGCAATTTCTGAATGTGTCCACGAGCTGGGAACGGTTGGCTGTGGGCAGCGCTGAGGGAACGGTGGTGGTGGTTGCGGATTAAGCTGTGTCCGCCAAGAACGTCGGGAGGCGTGAGAAGGCCGCGCTAATCGGCACAGCCACACCGACTCTCAACGGCGGCTTTCAGCGTTTGCGTTCTTCGTTCATTCTGAACACTCTCTGTCATAGACTCTGAGATGCTGGTACTGAGTCTGGTATGTTCTGATTTCTAAAGTATGACTGTCCACATTGTCCTTTACCTTTCACCGTTTTGGAAGTTTTTATACAGATTCCTCTCGGATGCATGCAAGATTCCATTCGTCGAATGGCCCCGCATGGGCCAGCGACGAGGGATATGTCTTCACATTTTGAATTCTAACTTGTCCTAGATACATCTTAAACTCTTCGATATACACCGCAAAAGCCAACCGTTAGCCGCCTGGGCTGACGACCTCCAATTCATGGTCTATCTTATACCCCAGGTCCAAGGTCAACATTGGAACTTTCCTAATCTCCCCGTCTTGTCAGCTCACCCCAAGTCACCAAGCCTGCGCGGCACCACGTTCCTTCACGAATCTCTATGCGCATCCCTACCTTGCTATGTCTCGTTTCGTCATCCATTTGGACCATTAATGCAATCCCAGCTCCTCAACCCGTGGAAAGTTCAGGTGCAATCCAACCTGGACCCTGGCATCATGCGACCACCCAGCACGAAAGCCCCGCATTTACCCCCACGGATTCGCTTGTGCGACGAACCGGTATTGCTTTACGCCCTCCCTGGGAGATATTCTGTATTCTTACGGGAGGTACCCCTCGACCCACCCACCCTGCATTAGCTGTGGAGACGTCGATATCAAGCGGAGATGACTACGTTGCTGTTCAACAGACTGTTCCTGCTCTTCCTCTGGACTCGCCCACGCCGACGTCAGTCTCGCCCTTTTTCGCACCAACAAGCCAGCCAGAGTCGCAAAGGCACCCTTCTCCGTATCCGACTCGGACGTCAGCTTCTCCTTCTAGTGACTCCCAGGATACTACCTCACGTGCCCAAGCATTCTCCACTACTGCGTTTACAAGCACGGAGCCATCTTCGACGTCGAGCCAAAGCAATTCACCCGACGAGAGCGCCAGTAGTCCAGCCCCTTCCAGCGACCTCACACATTCCGTGTCTAGTTCTGTCGACTCCCCTCTTCAGACAGACATTTCGGAAGGAGACCGTAAGGCTCTAGAGGCTGAAGCCTTGTCCAAAGCCAAGCGTATCAGCTACTTCAAAATTGTCGCCATCGTCATAGCTGCATTCGCCCTGCTCGCCTTGATCATCTTCTTCCTGGTCGACCCGCGCACGTCGAGAGCCTTCCGTCACAAGCGAATCGAACCCAAATCCAGCGGGTCACGTCCTATCTCGTCTTGGTTCCCCTTCCCCACACCGCCTCCTCCAGTTCGCACCCGCAAACCGGTCAAGTACGAGCAGCAGAACTTTGAGAACATGGAGAAATCATCTGGCAACGGACCGTTGCCCCCTCCTCGGTCCAAGTTCTCGGTCTCGTCGTCGGAGTACTCTCAACGATCGAGAGACTCGGGTGGTTCGACTGATACCCTTCTGGCCGAAAACACGAGGGCCAACGTGTTCATCCCTCCCATCCGTTTGGATAGCCCACCTGTTCGTCCACCTCGGCCACCCACTGCAGACAGCCCAGCCACCATCCCCGATGCCATCTACTTCACACCGGAAAACCAGGCCTACATGGACCCTTCCTTCGATCCATCAGATTGCCCCATGGCTAGGGACAGACCTGAATCTACACGCACGAACACAACATCGTCCGACTCTCCTCTCTTACCACCAAGCCTCTTCTTCACAATGGAGGAAAACAACCCCTCCTCTCCTTCAATCATCCGTCGACCCCTCCCGAGTTACGGGTCTGTTTCGAGTGCTCCGATTAACAGATCCTCTTCTTCTCAGTTGCTTGATCCGAATGGTGGAAGGCTCCTCACAGATGATACACCGTTCCACCGGGAGAGGGTTAACAGCGCGCCGATGTTCATGGGCAATCCCTTCAGCGATCCCGATCCTCAGCTCCTCATCACGGATCCGGTTGCGATTCGGGTTCTGCAACATCGAAGGAGTCGGTCTACGTCGGGGTGGGCGTACCCCAAGAAGAAACCTGACGAGTCGTACAAACCCGGTGTTGAGGAGGAAGAATCGTATCGTGGTGTTGTAGGTGTGGCGATCTAAACCTTTTCTTCTTTTTCTTTCCTTCTAGGAATTTTAACCTTGCTCAATCTCTCACTCTGAATTCTGAATGAATGTTGAACTCGATTACATAGTGTCTTCCTCGCCAATCTTTTCACGATGATTCATGCCTCTCGTGATGAATGACTCTTGTATTAAGACTCTAGTAGAATGTCTTTCCATCCATTGACTTCCGGTAGTTAGTATCCTTATCGCTGTAATAACGACGCAGGCTCTGTGATAAGTAGATGTCCGATGCTTAGATCGTATCCTGACTGCTGCACAGTGCGTGCTTACAGGTGGGCCGCCTTCTCAACTTCGACTCGAGCATTGGCTTTCGGCACAGCGGCTGTGGCCCCACCTCCACCGAAGAATGCTTTGGCCTCGTCCGAGGTCGCTGACACCTCTCCGTCCGAGAGTTCCTCGGGCTGAAATGACTGAGAAAGTTTTCAGGGCAAGAACAGAATCACTCACCAATCCGTTGAGATGCTGGGTCTCGTTGAAATGCGTCACCTTAACTTCTAGAGGGGGAAGCTTCTGGAGGTCTATAGGTCCTGAATGACCGTCCTACGTTGCAAGTTGTCTTTGTCAGTCCAAGGGAAAAACACTGACCGAGGAAAGACGGGGCAACTTACTCTTACACGAACTTCAGCTCTAGCCCAAGCAGTGTTCAGCAAGCCCTTGTACGTCTTGGAGGCGTCCAACTTGGGATCCAGCCTCGTCACAGCCGAAACCATTTCGGAGATAGCCAATCCATGACTGGCAATGGCGATATGGACTCTTGAGTCCCCACCACTGCCACTCGTGTTACCCCCTTCGACAGCTCTAACAAGATGGGGCCACACACACTCCCTCAGCGCCTCCTCCGCCCTCCTCGCCAGATCATCCAAACTTTCACCCCCTTCGAACTTTTCGTGGCGTTCCCACAAAACGGGGTAGACGCCTTGGCTATATTGTTCTTCTCTAGTCGACCCCTCGGGGATGGACACAATCCAGGCGTTCCCCTCGGCGACACCAAAATTCTGCTCCCTTACAAGGGGCGTTACTGTAAATGGAGGTTTGGGATCTTGTTGGAGACGAGAGTGCACGGCCTTGCCGGTGTCATGAGCCCGACGGAGATCCGAGGCGTAGATATGGGTGAAGCGTGTGTTCGCGAAGAATTCGCCGACAGCTTGAGCTTGCTGATCATACGTTGCAGGTATACGGTTGGCGATGAAGTTCGATGTTTCGTTTTGTCGTTTCACGGTAAAATTGAAATGACGATGTCAGACAGGGGAGAAGAAAAAGAAGTTGATTTCAGCAAGCCGTTAGGTAGGGTACCTGGACTTCAAATCGAGGTAATTGGGACCGGCGAGACTCACCCGTTGACCTATTCAAGGATGTTAAGGATTGAGATCAGCGATAGGAAGTTCCGATACAGCGAACAGCTTCAAATCACCTAGCTTCGATAGTGGGGCGTCTTTCCAGCCTGCCCAAATCCGTTTCTAATACAAAGATCCATCAGCATTGGGCGTGTTGAGAGGCGTCGAAACGTTGGTGTCTTCGGGGTGAAGACAGTAAGACGACTCAACCTGATTCAATAGAACCTTACCAGCTTACAGTTGTGATACAATAATGAATAGTCGTAGTTGTAATTAAGAGTCTCACTGAGCGTAGTTTCACGAAGCGAAGTAAATGCTGAGGTAATCGATTTCTATTCTCAAACTCGAATCCGTAGCGCGAAGCCGTACGGTATTCTTACTCAAGGGCAAGTCAAGTTTGAAGTTAGAAAAAGGTGTTCGTCCTTTCGTCGAAGGGCGATCTATTATATTATTCACGATTTCTATCTAGAGTAGTACGGAACTATCTACGATGTTCTCATACCTTCCGAGCGCTTCCAGGGGACGCTGGGAATGTCAAGACTTTGAAGGTGAAACCATGTGAATTAAATAGGAGCAAACACGGTCAAGATCAAGGCGAGGCCTTCCAGGGTAAATAGTAACAAACATTTGTTATAGGGTCAAGCATCTGTACAAAGTCGTGAAGTCGTTACTGAGGTATGAGTTTTGTATCTAAGGGTAAGAGATAGGAACGTAAAATAGTAACAAACATTTGTTATAGGGTCAAGCATCTGTACAAAGTCGTGAAGTCGTTACTGAGGTATGAGTTTTGTATCTAAGGGTAAGAGATAGGAACGTAGATAAGATGAGAGGAAAGTAAGGAGTCACGAAGGTAAGCTGTTACTTCATTGATACATACTACAACAGGGCGTAATCGATTGGTGGAACGGGTTTACACACCTTGTTGTCTTCGCTTTCGCCATGCCGAATCTAATGCACCATTTAGCGAGCAGTTTTCGTAGGAACGGTGAAAGAAACTGACGAAGGTGATGGTAATCATCCTGTACTGAGGATTCCTGGAAGTGGTGAGTCAGGACACGCAACGAGGTATGCCGTGGATTAGGGGTTTATTTATACCCCTGATGGCAGAGTCACATGATGTTAGTGGAGCGAAGAGGGGTCTGGGCCTGGCGGATCAAAATTTAAAGGCTGCTGGTAAGCGCCCTGTGCGCCTTGTCCCAGAGTCAGATTTTCGTTGGCGTAACGGAGAGCTTCAGACTACACACTCCAATCACCTGGAAAAAGCGTGAGCCAATTGCCGTGAAGATTCCCTTTCTTCGTCCACTCAAGCTGACACTGGTTTGTAAACCTGGGGTCGAAGGGAAGTGGGCGTATCTTCTTCTAAAACGTCGCCGAACTGACAGGACCGAAGGGTCGGGGTTGCGCTGACTGCTAATGTATGGCGATGTTCCAAAGATTTTATGCAGAGAGATCGTTTGGTATGGAGTCCGACCATATGCCAAGTCCGATTGGATAGAACTTCGTGGCGGAGCATCGATGCATCAATTGCCATCAAGGGCGGAAGTTCGGTCGTGCAGCTCGATGGACTCGAGCGTTGATTCAAGGTGAAAGGCAGAATCAGTCAATCAAATGTAGGAGAAAGGCAATCCCAGTTCCAGATCGAATAGTTGAGTCTCCAGCTCAGTCAGTAGCGGTTTGTTGATCACCGTGGTTCATCAGTGCCTAAAAGCCCATGAGCCCCTTGGTACAGGAGAAGTCGGGCGTTCGTAGCAGAGTTTCCCAATTTCCTAAATCCCGCAAGATTAATCCCAGAAGACGGCGTCGCCACAGGACTGTCTGTCCTTCGTTCGTTTCGAGACACCGAGTCACTGCTGTACAAGCGTTCGACCTGCCCAGTTCTTGAGCAGTTGGAGGTCATAATTCACGAGTATTGATAAAGGCGAGAGAGCTACAGGCTTTCGTTTTATGATGGTAGAACAGAAAAGGGGACGCAACGTTTTCGATTCAGAACTGTTCAGTCACGGTGCCGCACAGGATTGCGATCCGACTTCCACGTTTCAACTCCGCATTCCCAGAGTCACATGACTGTGATGCGCTACAATTCGGACGGAGCACCGCCGCAGACAGTGGACTCGGTGTTACGACTATCGAAATCTCTAGCACATTCCTTGACAAGTGCTTACACACGCAAGGCGTCTTTATCAGCCAATAATCCTGAATTTTCTTTTTGTCTTGAACCACCATCTTTGAGGACCTTCTGGAGCTATGGCTGAGGCCAGGAGGGGACTACCGTTGCTCAGTGGACCGCCGCCGCCGCTCGCCAATTCTGCACAATCAGAAGGATGTAGACGCTGTGGAAAGGAATTCAATATCGTGTTCTCCAGGTCAAGGAAATGTAATCATTGCGGTATGTTTAGACTTCAGTACCGTTCGTAGTGAAGCCGTTGACTGGGGAGATCACATTTCGACAGGATATAACTATTGCCATAGTTGTACAGACTACCAGGCGTTGTCGCCGAGAATTGATTCGTCTGGCTATGAGATGGTACCCGTTTGTGGGTATTGCATAGATTTTCTCAACCGTGAGTGAAGCAGAACCTATCAGATGAGATTGGAACTGAACTGTGTTCCATAGTGACCGCAGCCGGGAAAGCCCAACTCAAATCTCTACCGTTGGCGAAGCTGAAGAAGTATGCGAACGCTTATGGGATCAGAATAACACACGCTGTAGAGAAGGACGACGTGATTGAAGCTATCCTATCGGCAAGAGTAGGTGATCATACCTTCAGCCTCGCTCAGATCTCCTAAGCTTGATATCTGTAGCGCCCAAACGGCTGCCTTGCGCCCGAGAATGAGGTGAGACTTTATCCACCACCGTACTCTGGACATGCGTCTTACATTTGATAAGAATTACTACCGTAGACATTCGGTGCCAGCTGCAGACCAGCGGCCAGGATTCAGAAATATGTTCCGCTCGCAACCAGCGACACCACCCCAACCGCCGCCCCCTCCTCCAAGGCAAACTCGGCCCCAATCTTTCCCTCGTCCAGATCTGGCACCAGACCCACCTCATGGATACGGTTCCCAGCCGGGTCCCTCGTATTTCCATGGCGCACCCCCGAACGTCCCGCCCCATCCTCATTCCTACCCTCAATCTCAGTCGTTCTACCACTCGGCGCCGCCTCCCCACCACCACCATCCTCCTCAACCTCCCCAACAACCTATGCCTAACTGGACACAATACCCCGGACAGCAGCAACCATACCCTACATACCAAAGTCACCATCACCACCATTTCCAACAGAACGCCCCTCCTCCTCCGCCCCCGCCTCCCGAAGCTTCTCGTCCTCCCCCACCCCCTCAACAGCGTTCCGAACCTCCCCCTCCTCCACCGCGGCCGCAACCCTCGACGAATCAAGCGACTTCGAGACCGGCTCCCCCTCCACCGCCTTCCCTTGATGAACTGATAAACATGAGCACCGAAGAGATTGGAAAGCTCAGCATCAGCGCCCTCAAATCCATCCTCTTCACCAACCATGTCAACGCTGGACAAATTCTTGAGAAGCAGGATTTGGTCAAGAAAGTGCTCACGCTGGTCGACGATGAACGCCAGGAACGCGAGCGCCAACGTCAAGCAGAAGAACTCGAGGAAATGGAGCGTCTACAGCGTGAACAGGAGGCGAGGGAAGAACGTGAGCGTGCCCAGCGGGAAAGGGAGCAACAGGAGCAGGCCGAGGCAACGCCAAATCCTCCGAGCGCCTCTCAGGAGACAGATCAGCCTACATCAGCGACGCAGGACGAGCAAGCCGAGGCTCATGGCAACGCCTCGTCGCCCCCCAAGCCATCGATGCCACCGCCTCCCGCATTCAACTCCACTAGCGGTGCGCAAAGAGGGGGTCTCTGCGTTATTTGCCAAGACAAAGATGCTAATATTGCCATTGTCGACTGCGGGTAAGTAGCTCTCGCCAGTGTTGTCGCGATGACCAAATCCCTAACTTTGCGGTTTTCACCGACAGACACCTTTGCATGTGTCGTGATTGCTCAGACCTAGTCATGGGAAGCTCCCGCGAATGTCCTCTGTGCCGTATACGGATAGTCACTGAGGCACGGCTTTTGCGAATCTACAAGTCGTAGTAGCATTTTACTTAACTCGACTATCTCCTCCTATGGGTCAGGAGCTGGAGAACCGACAGGTGTTCCTCTGCTCCTCGTTGAGACACGCCCACGAATTAAACTTAAGGTGTCCCAATGTTGTACAACCCAGTCTGTATGTATCCATGCACATGCCTCTGCTTAATGACTTATAACTTTAAGACACGGAAATATTCCCATGCATCTGGTGATTTATTCGTGACGGAGGTTCACGATCGGAAGTCAAGCTTGAGCTTGAAGGGGGCTTGAAGCTCGAAGGGCGGACAACTCGCAGTAGTGTTCGTCACGTGCTCGCGTATGACACAGGCGCCCAACCGCCCGAGCCCAGCGCTTGGAGCTGGGACTGAGCGCTGAACGCTAGTGTCGCCGCAATGGGTATCGCATAAGGAGATAGGCAGACGGTGATACCTCCTGACCCACGACATCTCTCGCTCAACGTGGCCGGGCTTCTGTGCCATCAGCAAGCCGATTATCTGCATCTTTCGGTGTTTCAAGGCTCGAGTGTCGTGTACCTCTCTACCTGCGACAGTCAAGAGTAGCCGACGGTTTATGATAGATATGATAGGCTGTGATGGCTGATTGTGGTGGTCGGTGACTTGGTGCTTCCCGACTTGAGAGCTTTTGGAAATGAGATTCCTTTCCAATCGGAATGCTAATAGTGGTCAATTCAGTTCGCATTTGGGCAGGATCGAAGACATTTGCGGCATTGAGATTCTGTCAGAGGGTAGATCCAGATGCGCGTCATGAGTTCCTCTGGGCTCACTCCAGTACTAGTTCGACGCTCCCACTCCCACTCCCAGTCCGACAACCCCGGATCTGCACTTGCTATGGCTCGGGCTTCCAGGCCACCTACACACTCGTATGCTCCCTTTCCTGTGTGATCGTTAGGCGCGTACTTGGGCGCATTGGATATCAGGTCAGAATTAGCAAGAAGCGGAGAGTAATCTGGTCTTGCATCGACCATGTGAGCTATGACAAAACGTCCCCCCTAAGAATTATTTCAGGCTAAGCTTTATTCGCTTTGGAAACTTCTGCCAGACTCTGCGGATACCCGAGAGCGCCGAGAACATTGCACACACTGAGTATTCCAGCGGTTGTTCGAGGGAGTCCCTACTATGCCCAACACTACATCGCCTGGTCAATACAGTGAAAAGGTTTCAGGGTCTGTTGAAGAGGATTGACTTCAGCTTGGCACCCGACACGGAGAAGTATTAATACAATGCCAAATGGCTAATCGCACGGAGAAATCACGCGTGGCAGGGAGGGTCTGCTCTCCTTTTTGATCCACAGTCCCACTCTATTGCTTCTGGCAGGCGTTTCATTAGCCTTACCTTCGGTTGTATTCTGCGATGGTGATGAACTTGAGCGCTTGATCACAACCCGTCGGTCGTCCGCCATTCGGTAGTACATGAACCACATACACCACTCTTCCCATATCATGTTACGGACGCGGCTCTGTTTCAGGGCATTTGTAGGCATCTCGCATAGACACACTTGTACTTCTTCGTAGAGCTCGGTGAAAGAAACAAGCCGTGTCTCAGGCTCCAACTGAATCCTGGTTAATGGTAATAGAAGACGGCGGTCACGAGCTACTCGGTCGAGCATCTACACCAAGCTATAGTGTAGTCTTCGAGGAATACACTGACTCGAACCAATCCCAATGTAAAACTCTGAAAATATGTGCCCAAGTACCCCCGTCTTCGTTTGAGAGCCTGGATGGTTCCCAGAGGTAGCCCGGCACTCCAAAAGGGAGTAGCTGCCGCGGCAACTTCAAGCGCTGTGCGGATGCGTGATCCAATCAGGGGTCCGCCTTCAAGAGTGACATGGTTGAAGGGGCCGACATATGCTCCTGGAGGGCCTGATCAGAAGCACGATTGATTATGAGATTCATTTCTTCGTTGTACATGCTACTAACCTCAGGCCTACCCCGCCGAGTCCAATTCTTCATCTGTCTCAGTGTCTCCAGACCCATTCTCCACTCGACAGTCTTCGTAGTTGGTAGCCGCCCAAAATTGATGGGACCCACTATGATGGGGATCACGGTCAAATTTCCTTTTTGATCCATCGTCCTCTGTTCCCCAAGGTCGTCATTAACTATCGTCCAAATACTGAACAAAGCCCTCCTCTAATCAAACCACGCTATAGCGTAGCTACCAGCACAACGGGGGGACCATGCAAGGGGAAGGCCTCACGTTTCAGTGGTGGAACTTCGGCGATTCACGAATAAGCTGTACAGTGTAGGTGTTTCCAGCGTCGATTAAGAATTATCGGTGGAGACCAGGCTAATGTGCTGTAGGATGCAACAACGCCAAATAGACGTTTGTTACACAGCTCACATGCTTTCTCCAAGTGCACGTTTCTCAAAATTAAACTTGCCCAGGTCGGACCACCGGCGGCTCCCAATCACTGGGGCTCTCTGGAGCTGTGTCAGATGAACGGTAGTAAAGGATGTGGCCGTAGTCCGACATCCAGTTTTACAACGCGATAGGCTCTATTCCAGCCAGCCCATTCAATGCCCTTGTTCACAGAAAAGGGACGTTCGTGATGTAAAGAGCCTCGATCAAGAATCAAGATTGGCTCTAACGGAATGTCGGTGCGTTTCACTTGACATCATACCTTGAATTTTCAAGAGGGGATAACGTCCTTCCACCTAGTAGGCTCTTATTTCTTTATCCCCACCGAACCATCAGACACTTTCGGTATCAAAGTTACCGTAGGAGTTAAGCTGTAATCGTACTCTACTCGTAGAGGATCACAGCCTACTTCAAAACCTATAAGAAAGCATCTGGTTGACTCCCATTTCCTCACCAAACCACAACTCACCCTCTCCTCCAAACTTCAAATCCAACTCCTTCAAGATGTCTGTCCTCAACCCTTACGCCAACTGGGGAACTGGGAGCAACTCTTCCAACATCCCTTCAATCCAAGGAGCGCTTCCCCACGTCGACTTCTCTGGGAGGTCAGAGCCGAAATGGGTCACCTTTACGTTCGCGCCTCAATCCGGCACCGATGTTCTCAATTCCACGGTCATTGATCAAGAACGCCGTGCACGATTCTACATTACGACTTCGATTCAAAATGGGATTCGCACGACCATCATTAGCGACTCGGGGCGGCAGCCTGCTGCAAGAATCGAGTGGCAAGGGCAGCCAATTATCGAATTGCGAACGCACTCCAACAGCATCCCGCGCCAATATGCCTCCCAGTTTGTCCAGGTTGCTCCGGATGGGAGGTCAAAGACGATGGTGGTGAACAACAAACACTTCCAGTGGACTCAAATTCCTCAAGAAGGAGTTATACGCTGGAACAACATTTCCTACAACCCCTCCGAGCCAGTTGGCGCCCTCTACCGCACCCAAGGAGTTGTCTCCCTCTCAATCGCGCCTTCCGCGGTCGCGTTAGGGTTGTTGGATATTGGAATCTTGGTTGCCATCCTCTTCTCCGCCAGTGGTTAATGGCCTTTACACACCATACGATCAAGCCTTTCATGGACGCTCTGTCATTCGCATGCACTAGACAACATCCGCACATCTATTTATTCTTTCACGACTCATGCCCATGGCGATATCACCTCTCCGCATTCTAATTTAATTTCATCGCATCTATCCTATTTATATTCTTCACGACCACCATGCTTCTCTCACCACCTTTTCAGTGCTTTAAGCACACCTTTATTTATCGATTGCTTTTTCATCCTAGAGTAACTTATTTTCTGTCCAGTCATGGGGTATCGATGTTCGCCACTATCCCATTAACGCCATTTACGACGCCTAGAGTAACACTAACCTTCGATTGGACGATACGCTCCTTGTAATTCCCCGCCGTACAGGGTCACGACGGGGCCTTACGGACCATTGGATGATTACTGTGTAGACCTAATATGAAAGTCTAACGGAGAACCAATCGGCTCCGTTCTGAGACCGAAGAGTTGTCTGGTGCAGGGCGTTGGCCCCTCCTTTAGGCGCGCATCATCGACAGGCGCTTAAATGGGTACCCAATCAGCATCGCTTTTGATGGCCGATTTGGTGGGCCAGCGACTGAGACGGGATCAACACGACACCTCATATAGGCTTACTCTAAACGTAGGGCTGTACGGATCCCACTGTACAGACCCGTTGACCTGTGGTACACACGACCCCAGCACAGCGCTTCGATCTTTGGAAATCGAGTGCCGAACGGAGCGGATTAACGACGTTCGGTCATTTCGATGTGATTTCCTGCTTCTTCAAGGGTAAAATCCGACATGGAGATGTTCTTCTTTGTATATCATCTTAATCAAATTCTGTGTCACCTAGTCCAACGGTAGTTATCCTCGTGAGCTGTCGAATGGAGTAATAGCGCCGATGAGCTTTAATAGAAAGTTTTTCACAGCGGTGGGAGGGGTGATATTCAGTTAGTCCTTGGTGAACGATCTTCTATGTCACTTGGCGGAGGATCCAATGTCAGACGGGCCAAGGAGCACCGGTGTTTACCCGGGTACGCCAGTTGAGCTACAATAAGTGACTGGGTAACTCAGTGCTGTCGCCTGTAACTCTTTCTACAGCACCATCGAGTACCATGCGAATCAACAGGCTCTTCTCCAACGCTACCGCCTTCTGTTCGCTCTACATCGTTGCCATCCACATCACAGGCGCCTCCTGCGCTGCCATAGGCGAAGTCATTGATGCTACCTTGACCGCAGAACCGGTACCGGTACCAACTAGCGAGCCGCTACGCTGTATGTCTATAGGTTTCATCTTCCTTTATCTCACCCAAACTCATGTGCTTCACTTTCGCGATTCGCAGGTGCAAACGGAAAGGTAAGCCCTGTCAAACTCATTCACCTCTTTTGCAATTGAATCTTTCGAATCCTCGAACGAAACCAGGACATCTGTAAGATACCTCCTTATGTGAAGACTAGCTCATGTGATTGAAAGCTCCTCCTAGGCCCTAAGGGATACACCTGCTGTGGCCCAATTCGCCCGGGAATCGGTGGCCTGTAAGTGCTAGCCACATTACCCCTGGTCGTCCACACCATGATGCCAACACCCACCTGTTAGATGCATAAACTTGCCACCGGGCTTGTCATGCATGGCATGATTAGAAGCGACCGGTAGTGCTAAATCTTGATTATAACAAACAACAAGGATTATCACTCAGTATTCCAAGTACTACTATATATAACCCACTATTTACGGGGCCGCGGTGGATGAAGGAACCAGGAAATATGTAGCGAGGATCGAGTGAAATACGGGCCGCAGAGTTTTTACCAGGCGTGAACAGGTAAAGGTCTGCTACCCTTATTGAGATTGAAATATCGTTTCATTAGTAGGTACTGTGTCGAAACGGTATAGCCTAGCGATTCTACCATGAGGTAACGTATAGTAAGTGCCTATGTAAACGTGACCACTACCTGTGTCTCGGGGTCGCGCCGTTAGGTTGCGCAGAGATTAAGGTGGCCTTCGCCCTATCCCTTTTCTTATTAAACTTACCATCCAATTTTGTTTGCTTCTGTTTGTTCCTCAAGGCATCCCCTGCGTTCCGCCCTCTTTCTTCTCTCCTCCTTATTTATACTTTTTCCCTTCCCTCTCACTCAAACACTCTTGGTCTTTTCTTCCTTTCGTTGCTATCGTTGCTATGCGCCCGTCGCTATCCGCACCGCCTTTCTTCACCTCCCGTTTTGTTCTCTCCCCGCCCGCCCTTTTCCTTTTGTGTTCGCAACGCCTTCCTTTCGTGCTTTGACCCTTCCTTCTTTGTATAAATGCGCTCCCTGCACTTCGCCTCTCCTCCAAACACTTCGCATCACATCGCCGTTTCCCTCTTCACCTATGTCTCTTGCAATAATCGACGGTTTCTTTGCTCTCGCCAATGGTCGCCGTGTTGCTGCCGCGCCAAAGCCTGGAACTGTTCCCGATAACCCTTCTCGACCTGCCCGTATGCTCTTTATTGAGTACGACACCACTATCATGTGCACGAATGGACAGCACGTTCCCGCCCGCCTTCGCGTTTATTCACACCCTACGAATAATCCACTCCCCGACAACGTCGTCGTTGCCTTGAAGGCGAAGATGTACTTGCCCTCCCCACCTTCCGATGACACTCTTCTCTCCCCTGATGCTCCCATTCTGCTTGAGGGCATTGTATGTGAGCCATTCCCGGGCGACCCCGCTTTGGACTCTTACGAAGAGAGTGTTCCGTCTCTCTTGAGCCCCTACGTTTTTGTGGTCGGCACAGTCTCCTCCGCTGTTGAGATCTCCGATGGGAACCGTACATTCTCTGTTTCATTTGCCGAGTATGTCCGCGACTCCATCCAGTTTAGCTCCGTCGTGTGCGTTTTCCATTCTCGACTTTATTCTTACCGCTCTGTTCTCACGTCTTCGCCTTTGTTGACCTACAGATGCGTACTCGATGGCAAAAGCCCTCGATGGAAGAATACCCCTTCCCCCGTCCTGTCCTCATGTGTTGCCGTATTCGGTCTTTGCGAGTCGTTTAACCGCTCTCTACGTGTTGGCGCTGTTCACTTGGCGCTCAACTGCAGGCCTCAGGATGCGCACTCACTTGCTACCTCGGACTCTCCCGGTGCCGGGCCTCCCACAAAAAAGCGCCGTTTCCAGGCTACTGTTTCTCCTCTCGCTTCCTCTCCTGCCAATGCTCAGGCTGGTCCATCGAATGCTCAGCCTGGCCCTTCCCATTCCTCCCCTCCCCCTGCCGCTACGGCTCCTGAACCCGAGTCCCCATCTCCACCTTCCAAATCAAAACGAACAACAAAGCCTCGCGCCGCCGCCAAGCCTACCAGGGCCTCTCTCCGCTCCAAGCAAGCAATCGCACTTCCCTCCGAGCCGAACACAGACAGCAATCAGCTACTCCCTCCTCCGGCGGAAGACGAAGACATGTATCCTGACGTCCCCCCTCCCGAGGCCTTTGGCGTTTCTGTGCCGCCTTCCCTTGATAAGGGTAAGGGAAAGGCCACTGACAGCAGTCTATAACTTTTGTCCCTCGATTTCTTTTATTTCCGCGAATACCCCGTTGATCGGTACCTTATCTACTTACTTACTTTACTTTTTGTTTTCATGGTTTGACCTTTATTTCTATCTCTTCGTGGTCCTTGCATCTGTATAGTATATAACCCATCAATTCATACTCTTTCGTTCATACCAAAATGTCCCACTCCCACTCACGGCGAGGTTACTGTCTTGAGTTTCAATCCCGCGGTGTTACCCACCGTCACGACTTCGTTGACAAACACCACTATTCTGTTACGCGTTTGCCTTTGTGCGCCTCTACTCGCCGCCTTACGCCTTTCTTGCTCAAGCTTCAGGGCCTTACTTTGACACCCGTCTCTGTTCACCAATTACGTGAATACATCATTCTCTATCATTCGCGTCCCAACATCACTCCAAACCTCTTTCCACACCTTTTTATGTCTCAGCAACGGTGAGATTCGTTTCTGGCCTTACTGTTGCTTTCTCTCTCATTGACCTCTCATCCCCATGGACACAACCAACAGATGGTCCGAGCTTTGCGCCTAGCAGCCACCTTTTGTAAATGCTTTCTCCTGTCCCCGATTTTCAATGTCCTCTTTCTCTTTTTTTGCTTCGCTACGCAACACGCTCGGCCCCTGCATCACTTTACCTACTGTAACCATGCCTTCCGTTTTCCCAATCCCTCACAATAACATGTCTTTCACAATAGTCTGACCACATTATAAATGGCGCCTTTACTCTCCTGGTCATTCCTCATCACCCGCCATCACCATCATCGTCACATCACACCGACTTATCTTATCAATGTCTACTTCTGAACATCCGTGGGTTATCCGTGGTGTTTCCAGCCCACCCATGCAATGGGGCGCTGTCCGCAATGGACGTCGTCATGAATGCCCTTATTGTAAGGTTATTCTCCTTACCGGGGAGATACCGGGTTTCTGCTGTGGCACTCGCGGAAGTCGTCTGCAAGATGTTCCCCCCCTACCTCCCTTGCCAGACGAATTCAATATTTTCCTCAACCATCCTCAAATCTCCAAAGTCTCTCGTGCCCTCAATCTAATCTTCTCCTTCGCTTCCCTCGAGACAACCCATGACTTTCCTTCCTATAGTGGCAGTGCCATGTTTGCCATCCAAGGGAAGGTATATCATCGCATCCGTCCAATGCATCCGTCCTCTGCTATGCGCTGGCTATTGCACGACGGCTTTATGATGAGCTCCATGCCTCGACGGGATCTGGCTGAAGATTTACCTTTAATGTGGCTTCAAACCATTCGAGACGCTCTCCAACGGGTCAATCCATTTGTACAGTATGTACGCATGGTCCATGACATGGCAGAGGCGTATGCGTAGGAATTATTCATAAATACATAGATCATCCATAAGTAAATTATGCATAACGACCCGGTTATGAACCCTCAGGTGGTTATGCATAACGCGCGATCCTGCCATTTGGGCGACGCGTTCCCACCCTTTTCCATCACGACAAGCCACATCACACCTTCGTGATGCCCATCACTCTCCCAGACAGACAGCGCAAGCCGCCCTTCCTGACGCCAAGAAACAGGCCCTCATTCCACTTCCTATGGACGACAGCATCTGCCACCGGTGCCACGCGTGGGTAACAATCAAAATCTTTCCAAAAGGGTCACAGAATGCCATAAATACATGGGCAGCTATAAATAATCTATGACGTGCAGACCCTTCCAAAACGAGCATTCAGGACCGGCGATAACCGCCATCAAGACATCATCAAAACAAATGTCACGGGGTCTCTCCCAAAATCCCACGCATCCGCGTCCACGTACGCGCCTTCAGCGGCCACCCAGCTCCTCCAGACAGGCCTTCACGTCCGCGACAGCAGCCTCCCACTTAACAGGGCTCTTCTTAGCGCTCGCCCACCACCGCAAACCCACCAGAACCGAAAACAAACCGCAGAATCCAGGCTTCTTTAGCCCCGACAAATCCTTACCCGTGCTGATCGGCTTCGGCAATCCCACCTCCTCGCCCTCATGCATCCTCCAGGCGGGCTGTATGCCGTTCCACCATACCAGCCAGGCCTTAGCGAACTCCTCCACCTCGTCCTCGCCCCCCAAAGCGTCATGGAATTTTTTCTTCGCCAGCCATTGCGACAGAATCTTGGGACGGATCGATGGTTTGGGCAGGCGCACGGACCCCGTATCCAAAATGGCATTGCGGGTTTCGAACGTGGACCACGTCTCGATGCAGCTAGCCCACTCTAACCCAGCCCCAGGTAGTGCCAGGTACGCTTGACCGCTCTCCACCCACGCGGGGGCCCCCTGCCTAGTATTCATACGCCGCGCACGCTTCTCCCGTCCTTGAGTAGCATCCCCCTCCTCCAGACCTCGTTTGTCTGGAACCGCGGATAGGGATAGGGCAGAAGTGCTCGCCTCGCCTTCGGACACCCGAGCCTCGTTGGCTATGGCAGGAGCAGAAGAGACCCCGGCCGACACGTCCGATGACGCAATGCCACGTGTGTCCGGCAACGGTGCGGATGTGAACTCCGAAGTCACGTTCCCCCCCGACTCGTCCCTTCCCTCCTGCAACGCCAGATTCGCCGCTTGCTGTCCCAACAAATCCACAGCCCCGAAGTCATGGAGCAGTGCCGACAATGAACCCGGTGGGGGCAGATACGCAGAGGGATTGAAATTGGGGACAGGAAGAACGCCGTAACCACTTGAGCCCGTCTCGACGAATCCGGAACCCGTACCAAACACCATGTCGTCCGGCGGGAACAGCTGGCAGCTCATTCCCCCATCGACTCCGCTTGACGCCGCGAACCCCAATTGGCCCCCCCCAATCTCCCCCACCAGATTCCCATCCTCGACATGGAGGCTTTGCCCCGCAACCTCTCCTCGTGTGCCAACGGAAGACGATGGCCCAGCGACATTCACCGAAGCCAGCATCCCCGACCCCACCACGGGGTTGACCACCTGCCGGACAAGGTTTCCAGATGGCGAGGTATCCTCACTTGACTCCTGAGAAGGAACCTGGGTGACCGCATCGCTCGCCTTCCCTTTCCCTTTCGACTTGGAGCTTCCCTTCCTGCCAGCACTCTTCTTCCCCTTCGCGTCCCCTTCCGTCTTCTCCCGTCCAAGCTCGCCATCGTCACGCGCAGCATCTCCCTGTCCAGACTTCGTTGGTGGGGTAGCACTGGATTCGTCAGGCGCCACACCCTTAGGGTGTCGGATACGAGCTGCACCGGCCTGGGCGTCTTCGATTTGATCTTCCGGAAGGTCCTCGTTCACCATCGACGGGTTCAAGGACAACAGAAGATCCAATGCGGAAGAGTCCCCATTGGCTAGTTCGCGACTCTGACGGACCTCCTTAGCTGGCATGTCAGGTAAGCCTACGTTCGTGCTGGTGTACAGTACAAGGCACTTACGATACACTAAATGTAAGAATCCGGAGTAAGGCTTCATGAAGATGTCGGCAAACTGCCTCGGTGGAAGAATTTGACGGAAGGTCTGGTCGCGGGGAGTTACCCCGTGGTGATAAGACATCGTGCGGATTGCACCACCCTCCTTGGAAGGATCAGGGCCGCCGGCGAGGACCGTGAATGACCAACCGCTTTTCGCAGATACGGTAGTGAAGAACGCGTCAAGAAGCTCGGGGAGGATCGCGAGGAATCTAACAAGAAGGTAAGCTCCGTTATTGTCTTTCGAACATGCGACGTACTCGTGATACTCCTCAGGGGTTCTCGCGTCGATTTCTTCCTGGCTAAGAACGTCCATCGCCGTGCTCATCGCCGCCGCCGCCTGTGCCTTCGCCTCAGCAATCTCAGCCTTCTTCGCGAATACGTGGGCCCTCGTTTCTTCATCGGCATCCTTCCAGGCCTTGATCGTCATATCTTGGCGCAGCGACACCAATTCCACCTCTTCGCCAGCCGCCTCCAACCTTTTCGCCTCCTCCTCTACCGCTCCTCTGACTTTTTTTCCGTAGAAGTCTTTGGAGAACAACTGCCAGTCACTCAACGACCGGCGCTGAACAGGGGCCATGACGAGTTCGATCTTTGGCCCCTTTCTTTTGAATTTCGGAACCTGGTTGTAGAACCAGCGATAGACCTTCTGCGAGCAGACACGAGGATCAGTTCCAATCTCGATGCTTTCCATTGCAATTAAACTAACCTTTCGCCTAGCGGCCTGCCAAACGCCAACGTCCCAATTCGCAGGAGGAGCCTCACGGGGCTGCGATTCCTCAACGATTTCCTTTACGGTTTTCTTACTCTTCCCGCGTCTTCCATTCCCCTGAGGTCCCGTCCCTGTGACCTGGTCTTCGTCGGCCAAACCTTGTCCTCGAAGCTCAGCAGACTGATCTGGGTCACCCTCAACCCCCTCGGCAGCCAGTCGAGCCACTTCGGCAGCTTCTGCGAGTTCTTCCGACTCGTAGGTTGGCCATCGCACGTCTACTTCGGTGTAGACGGACTTGAAGAAGTTGCTGACGGGCTCCTTTTTCTTCGTTCTCTCCTTCTCCGCTCTCGCCTGCAGGAAAGCGGCCATCTTGCTGCGGAGAAAGTTTTTCTGGACATGGTGGGTCGGATGCCAGTCGTACTATCGGTCAATGATTTTTTCAGCCTTTGCCTCAAAAAAGAATAAACCTAATCTAACTTACGGCCTCTTTTGTAGACCCACTTCCTTCCCCCGGCGGGGCGTCAGCGGAGGGGGTAGACGTGGCCATTTGTGGGGATTACAGGAGGATTCGCGTGCCACCTGGGTGCCAGGCTATTGCGCTTGCACGGGTACGTATTCTTTGTGTCCAAATGACTCCAAATATCGCCTCACAGGTATAAAAACCCTGACAGGCCGTGTTCTTATTGACAACCCAGTCTTCCACCGCCCCAAAAACCGCCTCAGCAAAATGACTGCTTCCACCACTCCCAAGGCTCTTACGCTCTCCTCCCTTGTGGCGACTTGCGCCGCTCTCGGTATCAACGTCGCCTCTCCTCCACCCCCTGGTGAGGGTAAGACGGGTTTGTGACGCTCCGTTATTCACAGCTGACATGCCCTTTCGCAGACAAAGGCAAGACCCCAGCCGCCGAACCTAGCAAGAACCGACCTGAGCTCCCCGCCGAGGTCAACTCCGAGACCCTCCGCACGATCCTCGAGGCCCTCAGCATCAGTGGCTACGACTTGAAGGACGGTAAGCACCTCCCCCTCATCCCCCGCCTCCCCTGCGCTCAAAATCTCTCTACAGAAGCCAGCGAGCTCGTCACCGCTCTCGAGAAGCGCGAGGCGGAGGAAGCAGCTGATGCTGCCTGTGCCGAAGAACTCATTGCCGAAGACCAAGCCGAACTGGAGGCTCAACGCCGTGCTGCGGAGACGGGGCCCAGCAACGGCGACGTCGCTGCTGGCAGCGCCTCAGGCAAGTCGGTTTACGCTCGCGACCTCAACCCCGACGCCCCTGCCTCATTCCGTGGCTTTGTCTGCGCCCACTGCAGCGCTTACAACCTCCTGCGCGATTCCAAGGACACCTGGTATGTAGTCACCTCTGGTACTTCTCGCGGCATCTACAAGGACTGGTAAGTGCCCCATAGCATTTTTCCCCCATCCCACCGTTTACTCACCGACGGACAGGTTGACCGTCAAGCCCATGGTCATCGGTGTCCCCCACTCGTGCTACAAGAGGTACGATACCCACGAGGAAGCTCTGGCGGCTTGGAACATGGCCTGTGCCAATGGCACCGTTGACGTCGGGGACCGCTCTGTTCGCCGCGGTTGAGCCCATCACCCTTCCATCGCCTTCGTGATCCTTCCCGGCCGTGTAGTCTTCTTGTCGCGAGCCTTTACCACAGTTTGTATTTGTATCTCCTTGCTACGTCGCTGTGTACCATTTAGTTGCTCTCAAATGTCAGATCGTTCCCTGTCGCCATTCCATTTTTTCTCCTAGCATGTAAGAACCCAGCTGTTAACACCTCTCAGCCGGGGCAGTGCTACTGTTCCACACGCTCTGGTAATGTAGTGAGCCGCCGGACCACTCCTCCTCCAGTTGACGAGGACCCAAGGTGGTGGTTATGGTCTCGATCTCCTCTAAGCTGAGTAATATGTCCTGGATTGGCTTGACCAAGGTTCGGACTTCCTTCCAGTCGTCTCCCGCCCCTGCTACGTCCAATACCGTCGCTTCACATTGGCCTGATTGCTTCTGAAGTCGCGAGAACTGAGAGATAGTTGTAGCGAGAGTTGGGGGGGTCGGCGCGCTTGACGCCGTGGAGAAGATGGATTGGCATAGATCATCCAAATATTTCCGAGGGAGTGGGCCTACAAGGACCTCACTACGATTGACCAAAGCTCGTGCTCGAGCAATCCATGTCGCCGGATTCCTAAAAGGGCAAGTTCAGAAAAGGAACATTGAATTAAACGGAAAGCCTCCGCACCTGCCTTCCGCGGCGGCAATCTCGTCTCGTTCGCGCACCCTCGCCATTTGCACCTCTGTCCTATGAGAGTATGAACATCGTCCAGGGGTTTATGTTTGGATTGACATACCGTTTAGGATGTTGCTCGCGGTAGGCCTCACGCCTGAGACGGTTAATGTCATCCTTGTTCCTTGATCAATGCGAGAAGATTTCTTTAGTTTTAACGGCAAAACAAAAGCGGGTGGGGACGAGCTTAGTACCTTGAGTAATACCGCTTGCTAGCCCTCTTTGCAGCCTCTTTTCTCTCTTCGATAGTGGTGTACTTTCGGGGGCGTCCCATGGTGGAGGAGATTAAACCTTGCTTTCTAAGTGCGGACAAACCTGTCTCTTTACGATCTCTCGGGTTTCGTCTCATTTTTACTTTTTCCCCTCGGTTCATCTCGAAACTGGTATCGTTAGAAGCGGATTTTTCCACTCGAAATTCTGGCTAATTTCTTGTGATTTTACGGGATCGTCTTTGCTAGGAAAAACACTCATTGATGTTGCTGTTAGGTCAGAGCGCGTGTTTGGAGGGGGTTGCAGCTTCGATTAGACCAAACCGAACCGTCCCCGAGGGATTCTCACTCAAAAAGCTGTCAGTGGATTCTCAATGGGACCCCGCCTCTCTTTCTTCCCCTCTGTGCCCTGCTCTGGTCCGCGCTGCAAGGTGGGTTTTATTTCTCCTACTGTCGTCCTGCACCCAATTCTCATCGCTGTTGGCTGCAGCCCACATACTCCCCCGCAATGATGTACGGTATCACCGCCCACTACAAGCTCATCACCCGTTTCAGCTTCTGGTATACCCCTGCGCATCGAGCTGGGAGGCTACATGAGTTCCTGGAAGCCTGTGTGGATAGGTTCCACACAGACTTCCCTGAGCCCGACGACGGCGATCCTCCGTACTTGCTCGCCCAGAGGAGGGCGATCAAAGCCGACGTAAGTGGTTCACCTTTAATTAGCATTGTCGAGCTTCTCATCGATCCGTCGGTAGTTTATCCATAAAGACATCGTTTGGGCGTCACACTCGCGAAGAGGGGTGGAGCCGGACATCACATGGGAGGAAGCATTCGCGCTCGACGCCGAGCAGTGGGAAGCATGTTTGGTAAGTCAACTTGTTGATGGTTGATGTGGCCAGGTACTCACCTTTGTTTAGGCAGCGCTTGAGAAGAGACACGCCGCTGCTCCACCCCGCATGCCCGGATACACAGATGTGGTAAGATAGTGTTTGTTCACTCGCGTAATGGATCCACTGAATAACAAAACCCGCAGGCGGGACATTCCTACCACAACCTGTCGCTCATGGATAAGGCGCGTGTATGGCGCCGACTCGCTGAGATTAAGCAGAAGCGGGGCTATACCTCTTCGTCGCGCCCCTCCTCTTCCACCTCCGCCGCCGCCACCAAAATCGACAAGAGGAGAAGGCCCAAGTCCAAGAAACTCAAGGTCGGAGATAAGACTCCCAACGGTGTGGTTCTCGTTGTGGACTCATCAGACTCCGAGGGTGAGGTGGAGGTTACGGGCTTCAAAAAGGCTGAGCCCATCGATCCTTTAATCTGTGTGTACAACTCTGATGGAGATGAGGTGGGGAAGGCTCAACGAGTTCCCGTTTATAACTCGGAGGGTGAGGAGATCGACGCGGTTGCGGGGCCTCTTAGGGTTGAGGGTTGAATAGATCTTACCTCTGTTGTTATATAAAAGTGCAATCATCTATTTCTTGATGCTTTCGAACTTGGGGTTATATCCAGCCCACCTCCGCCGATCGAGCCTTGACAGGGCGGGTTACGCGTTTTGGGTTAAACCTGCGCGTGGGAACAGCTTGGCGGGGTGCTGACACACCCCGTATCGATCATTGCCTTCGATAACGGTTTGATATCTGGCGACCACCTACCGTTATGCCTCCGAAGAAACGACGTCTGGCGGACAATGTCGAGTTTTACGACTTCGATGATCCTCAGTCTCAGCCTTCGGAAGTCCAAGAAGAGTACACCAGCATTGATTCAACGTCGCATGGGTATCTCGCCTCCGACTCCTTCCTCTCGGTGCCACCATCCCCCACAAAAAAACCGACTCAGCGCGCACATGCTGTCAGCAACGCTCAGGATGACACGTGTCGACTCAGGGTAGACGTGGAGGCTATGTTTGCGGAGCATTTTGCCGTCGACGTAGGCAGTCTGGAGACAAGGGAGGAAGACGAGAGGGCCGAAGAGGGCGCAGGAGGTAACAAGCAGCCCAGAGCCCAGGTTCCTGTGAGTATTGGCTGAGCGTTTCCCTCCCATGTGCACTGAACGTTAGCTTCCCAGTCAGATCTGCCCACCTCAGGTTTCGTAGAGAAGTTAGATATGTTTTTGGATGAAATTCTACGTTTGGAGGCCCCCGACAATCAATCGCTTTGCGGCTCCTGTGGTTGCGAGTTGAGCACTGGTGAAGGTTTCCGATGTAAAGCATGCTTTTCGAATGTGCTCCACTGTCAGGGGTGTATGGTACGGGAACACAGTCGCCTACCTTTCCACAGCGCGGAGGTGAGTACTGTCACCATTTGTCGTGCTTTGTGCTCACTATCCGCAGCGTTGGAATGGCAAATTCTTTGAACGGGTCAGCCTGATGGCGTTGGGGTTGCGAATTCAATTGGGTCACCCCGATGGCCAGAGGTGTCCTGTACCGAAACGCCCAAGGGACGACTCGTTTGTGATTGTTCACGCCGACGGGATATCCTCCGTCGGGCTGGACTTTTGCGGGTGTTCCTCGGGAGGCTCCCACTGGGTGCAACTCCTGAGGCATCGCCTTTTCCCTGCCACAACCGCGGAGCCTCAGACGGCAGCGACTTTTCACGTTTTGGAGACGTACCAAATGCTCGCCTTTACGTCGAAAACTTCCGCCTACGAGTTTGTGCGCGCCTTGGAACGACGCACCGACAACACTGGAACCCAAACAGTACCGGTAGGATATATCTCGGCCTCATTCATGGGACGTCGCTGACTTCATTGCCTTCCAGGACCGGTACCCAAGCTTCCTTAGAATCGCGCACCTTTGGCAACATATCCGAATGATGAAGAGGGCGGGGCGAGGTCACTCTCTGTCTGGAATCGAAGGTACGGCCCCTGGCGAGTGCGCCTTGCTGTGTCCTGCATGTCCCTATCCCCAAATCAATCTACCCGAGGGCTGGGACTCCGTGGAGGACCACAAGCGGTGCGATTACACTTGATTTTGCACCTTTTCGGTTACTGATGACGCTGATAGGTTTGTTTACCGGCTCTTCCTCGCTATGGACGCCAACTTCCGACTCAAGCGCAAGGATGTATCTTCTGACGAACGCGACCCTGGCTTAAACAAGGGTTACGCTTACATGGTCGACGACAAGAGTTTCAGATCTCATTTGGCCGCGTTCGACACAGGGGAGGACGAGGAGAAGAGCACCTGCAACAATCACGACGCCATCAAATCGGCAAGCATTCGCGGAGGGAAGGGTATTGCGACTACGGGGGTTGGCATCGCCATGTGTGCTCGGCACGACATGCGGAGGCCTGAGTCGGCAGGCGATCTCCATAAGGGTGAACGGTAGGAGGATCTCCCTTTCACTTAGGGCGTCTCTGACGCGTTGGATCATAGATTTGTATATATGGACTACTTCGCTCTGCGGACCATCTGTCACAACACTCCAGACGACGTCGTGTGGTCTTACGACATCGGATGTCAGTGGAGCCAGAAGCTTGAGATGCGAACCAAGAAATATCCAAAGGCCCTGTCCACAGGGTTCAATCGCTTGCGGCACATGATCTTCATGGTGCCCAAGTACCATTTGGCCGCTCATATTGCTAAGTGCCAGGCTGAGTACTCTTTCAACTTTACGAAAGGGGTGGGAAGGACTGAGGCGGAGTCGCCGGAACGTGGTTGGGGAGGAAGCAACGCGCTGGCGGCGAGCACCAGCCAAATGGGCCCCGGGTCTCGGCGAGACAAGATTGACAGTCACTGGGGAGATGACAACTGGTTGAAAATTGTTGCCATGGGTGCGTGACAGTGTCTTCTTGCGATGACGGCGGATGTACGTTGACTTCGCCTGTAAGCTGTGTACTTGGTCAAGCGAGCTGAGGAGGCTATTCAAAAACGGAGGGAGCAAGTGGAGGCTTTCCTGGAATTTTCGAAGGCACTGCCAAAAGATTCTGTGGCCGAGTGGACGGAACAGGTCCTGGATTGGGAGGAGGACCCTGCGTGCGAGAATCCGTTCTTGAGCAAGGCGGAAGGTGTGTTGGTTCGCTGTCTAGCTGTCGCTGTAGCCACTGATCTCCCGCGGTTACGTAGTTTTGACAGCGGATAAGGTTCGAGAGGCGTTGGCGGCGGAGGATAGAGCGGCTGTGGATGCGGGAGAGGTCGTTTTGGTGCATAAGAACGTAGGGCCAAGTGTTTTCATTAGGATGGGGTTGGAACTCGAATCAGCTCAGTATGTCGCTGGTATACGCGTATTCAACATGTTCTGATTTGTGTGGACAGGGCTAAACTAGCGATCGATACGAAGGAATTGGGCACACACTCAACGAGTCGCCAAAGAGCAATGATCACGGAGCGTTCCACGACAGTCAGGAGGAAGGTTGGGGCGTGGCGTAAATTGCAGGCATTCTTCATGCCTTCGGTGGCGGCTTACCAAAAGGAGAAAGAGGAGGAAGACTCCAGTGGCCCCGACGATACCTGCACCCTCCCTCTTTACTTGCCTTCCGCTGTGCCTGAGTCGGTCCCGTACGACAAGCGTCTTGCTAGGTACGAGCACCGGTATCGTGTCGCTCAGGGCGAGACGGTCCTGCAGCAAATCAGGACCCTCTTGATCCTTCGTTCGCACATGTGGCAGCTAAAAAAAAAGTACACGCAGGGATACCGCCAGACAACTAGGGCTAACGCGTTGATTGGAACTATCGGCACTCGTATTGACAACAACATCACACGCTACAAGTTAATTCGCGCCTGTCTCTCGAACTTGACCAACATCACGGCGGATTCGTCTTGGGAAGCAACTCTTCGGGTACTGACAGAGTCAGACGTCCGTGGGATGACAATCGACGACGATGAAGGTGGTGAGGGCTCCAAGCAGCTGAGTTGGATCTGGCGAGTGGGTTCGGTGGCAGGTGGGGGGGATCAGACGGGTACTTCCGGTATGTCATAACAGTTATAATGTGGGTTCTTTTTGGCACGGTGACGTAATTTAGACCTACGTCTCGAATGGTGCAAAACCCGAGCGCGGGCCCACCGCTGGCAGGAGGAATGTGTGCTGCTTGCTGAGGAGATTCGAAGGGTGGAAGTAACGTTTGAATGGGAGGCGAAGCGCTGGCGGGACCGGGCCGCTTTCCAACAGTCTAGTGAATCGTGGGTGGATCCTCCGGTTACGGAGTTCAACCAGCACCCTTCCGTGTACTCCTTGGAGGTGGCGGGTTTGGAGAGAGTTCGACAAGGCAAGGTTGCTTACGCTCATAGGCAGGCCGCTATAAGAGACGCAATGATTTTGCACGCCAAGAAGACATTCGGTTCCATCCGGTCGCAATTGATGGAAATGTGGGATGGAAAGAGTCCTTGGATAATGGTGGAGGCTACATGACTGTACCCTACTGTACCCCCCTTGGTTTCTCCCCCCCCCCCCCCTCGTACGATGTCTAATGCCGGGTTCAGATATGTTTTTGCGAATATCATACAATTGCGGACGATTGCTGGGCACCTGTCATGATGGATGTGGCTATGGGAATGGCGTCATCGGATTGATGGCTCGCGTCCCCAGATGCGTCGCTGGACACGAGGGCGCTGCTTCCAACCCAATGGAGAAGCAGGTCACGAGGGTGCTGGACGGCGGGGGTAGTGCCCAATGGAGAACCAGAACACGAGGGCACTTGGGTCGAGGTGTCTGCCCTATTTTGGCCAGGCACCTATCGCCAGATCTCGCTTTCTGCTCGTTTTGGGTCTGCCGGGATGCCGACATCAATGGTCCGGAGAACTGTCCTGGTTTGGAAAGTGTGTGGCTGGGCAGAGCGAGCCTGTGATCTGGTTCTATAGGAGGCGGTTATGAATAAAAATGTACCTGTGGCCATCCATGTAGTTATGAATAACGTATAGATGGATGTAACCTGTAATTATGGATAATAGCTACAGCATCTGGTGCATGGCAGAGCATGCTCCCCAGGCATCCTTGGTTGTCAATGAAACCGGCCCCTCCTCCGAGATTGCGGCACTGATATCCCTTCACAACACCGCTGTCTCTGATGTCTCAGGTCGACGCTTGGTCATTTCCCGTCAGAATAACTCCAACTACCGCATCGCCAATGTCAGTCGCCTGTGGGAGCCCCTCTCCTACCCACTTCTATTTCCCCATGCTACCCTTGGATGGGGCCTCTTTGGCTCTGTCACTGATGCGAATGGTGCAGCGGTTCTTAATGGGGACATTGATCGTGAAGCTACAACAACTCAAATGTGGCATTATCGCGCTCGACTACTTCGTGAAGAGCGTTTCTCCATCTTTGGCCGTCTCACTTGCGAGTATTTGGTGGACATGCATACACGTGACCTTGAAAGCAGGTTGGCTTTCATTCAAAGGTCCCTCGAGGACCGTCGAACTCGAGAGGATGCGCAGTTGATGGGGGAGGAAGAGGTTGAACCAAACGAGAACATCTATCTCCCTGCTTCTTTTCTGGGCTCACGAAAGTGGGCCTCCGAGCAAGTGTCTGACTCGCTGGCCATTGCTGCTGCTCTCGGGACGCCCACCTTTTTTGTGACAATGACCTGCAACCCCGAATGGCCGGAAATACAGTCGCAGCTTCGCCCTGGCCAAGACTACTCCGATGTCCCATTAGTCGTTGTACGCGTCTTCAAGCAAAAGGTCCGCCAACTCCTGAAGGCCCTGAAAACCATGTTCCCTAATGCAGGCTCCCCTATCTACACCATCCAGTGTGTCGAGTTCCAGAAACGCGGCCTACCTCACATCCATATTCTCATCAAATACCGCCGCGACTGTTCTACTCCCCAGCACATTGATAGTGTAGTCTCTGCTGAGCTACCAAACGACCCAGTGGATCGTGAACTCATTCAGAAGTTCATGATGCATAATCACCCGCCCGAGAATCGTCCCCCCTCGACATATTGCCAGAGAGAGCAAGCTGATGGCTCTCGCAAGTGTCGATTCAATTACCCCTTCCCCATTACCCCTACCACAACCATCAGTCCCGAAGGACGTGTTTTCTATCGCAGAAGATCCGCCCAAGACTGTATGGTGGTACCGCACTGTCTCCCCTTAATAAGGATGATGAAGTGTCACATCAACTTCGAAATCGCTAGCACTTCACACCTCTTCCAATACCTATTTCAAGTATATTCACAAAGGTATGTTCTCTTCGCCCTAAATAAGCTATCCGAATTTCAATCAAAGGATTTTATTAGGACCCGATCGAGCTCGTTACCGTATACTTGATGACAACAATCCGGAGGTCATCAACGAGATTGAAGACTTCTGGAATGCGCGGTACTTATCTGCTGGAGAGGCTGCATGGCGCATCCTGGGATTCAGAATTACCCAAAAGGACCCCTCTGTGACCGCTCTTCCTGTCCACGATCAAGATAACATCCGGAACCAACGTTACTCACGACGTAGCGATGAAGGCTCCCTATCCAAGCTGGAGCGGTATTTCCTGCGCCCTGACGGGACCTTCCTATATGAAGGCCAGACACGCAACTTTGACGACCTCACCTACACCGAATACTTCACCCTGTTCCGAATCGATCCCTACAACCCCGAAAAAGATGGCCATCCAAGATATTACCGCGAGCGCCCGAATGGTTTGGACGCTCCCCGTATGCATGTCATCTTGCGTGCCGGTTCCATTACACATCTTGCAAGGATCCAGAACGTGCGACAGACCCAAGGCCAGACTTTCTATTTGCGCGCGATTCTAACTCAGAGGGCCGCCAGATCTTATGAAGACGTCAGAACCGTCAACGGCGTTCAATTCAGAACGTACCAGGAGGCTGCCATTGCAATGGGTATCTTCACCGATGACGACGAAGCTATCTTTGCGATCGCCGAAGCCATTGCAGCATTGAGGACACCTCGCGAAATACGTGTTCTCTTCGTGCATCTCTTGGTCAATGACTGTGTCCCCGCTCCTTTGTTAGTCTGGGATGAGTTCTGGGAATCACTGGCTTACGATTTTACCCTTCGCAACAACGGCAATATCGATCTTGGGAGGAACGAGGCCCTCCAAGAGATGGGCCATTATCTCGGGGAGTACGGGAAGACACTCAGCGACTACGGACTACCACAGCCAGTGGAACGCATGGCCGAGCTGACCGCAGAACTTAGGCGTTGGTCGGGTCGAGAACAGGAGCTAAATGCTCAGGCAGAAGCGAGTAGACGACTTTTTAATGACGAGCAAAGCCAGGTGTATGAGACCATCATGGAAGCGATCGAGATGAAGATTCCGTTGAGTTTATTTGTCGATGGAAAAGCGGGTACGGGGAAAACAACCGTTATTCGTGCGCTATGCAATAAGCTCCGTGCCCAAGGCCGTGTTGTCCTTCCAACAGCGTCGTCTGCTTTTGCCGCTCAACTTTACGATGGAGGGAGGACCACACACTCTACCTTTAAGGTTAGCGATAAAGTCTTTCAAGAGAGAATTGTCGACTCACTTACATTCAAGGTCCCCGTCAATGAAAAGAACGAGATGCTTCAGTCCCCCATTCGCTCAACAGATGCCCGTGCTGAACTGATACGAGAAGCATCTCTGATCATATGGGATGAAGCACCTATGGCAAATCGAGCGGTTCTTAGTTGCGTCGATGATGTTCTGAGGGACGTCATGGGAACCGACATACCCTTTGGAGGCAAAGTCATTGTTCTGCTTGGTGACTTCAGACAAACATGCCCCGTTGTTCGAGGAGGGTCCCGCGCCGAAGTGGTTGCCGCTTCAATAAAGTCTTCGCCCCTGTGGAGGTATTTCACCATAGCCCGTCTCATCCACCCCATTAGGAATGCCGAAGATCCTGAATTTGCGACATTTGTCAACGCGATCGGAGATGGAGGCGGTCCCGACATACCTTTGACCGGTCTACGCACTGTCACTGAAGAGAGCGACCTGACATCCTTTGTCTTCCCAGACGAGATCCTTCTCCATCCCACCAACTGCGTGAAACGCGCCATATTGGCCCCGACGAACAGGCAGGTCGACAGATACAACACGTTGATCTTGAACCGTCTTCCCGGTCATAACAAAACATATTACGCGGCCGACAAACTGAAGGAGGTGGAAGATGCTGAGGTACCAGCCCCGGAGGCGGTGTTGGACTATGTAATGCGTCATACACCGCCTGGTTTGCCTCCTCATGCCGTGTCGGTGAAGGTGGGGTCCGTTTGTCGACTGTTGCGCAACTTCTCAATCGATAGAGGACTCGTGAAGAATGCTCGGGTTTTGGTGAAGGGAGTAGGCACGCGACTCATAACCGTTCAAATTGTGCGTGAGAGCGGGGTGCAAGAAGGCGAAGATATCTTGATCCCCAGGATAACATTCGAAGCGAATTTGTATTCAGGACATACACTGTGTCGACGGCAGTTCCCGTTAGCTCCAGCGTACGCGACGACATTCAATAGCTGTCAAGGACTCACTCTCGATCGTGTTGGCATCGACTTGACTTCGCCGGTGTTCTCCCATGGACAACTGTACACCGCGATGTCTCGAATTCGGAATCGACACCACGCCATTGTTCGAATGGATGAAGGGCAGGCTTCGACTACAAATGTAACTTACTTAGAGATTCTTGAATGATGACAGAGTATCCGACTTACTGTACTGTGGACGCGCAGCGAGGTATCAGAGCAGACATGGACGTTGGGAGAAAGGAGGTTGACCCTAACCCAAGTATGTTGATCGCAAACAAATGGGTTGAACACCGCCACCGCACACCAACGCAAGGCGTTGCTAATTGTCGTTGCTGCGCCATTGGATTCTATTGTTTTTTAAAGCAATTGTCTCATGGGCTCGCGATAATATATGGCGTCTCGATGGACCTCTATTGAAGCGGTTCCAGTGGCAGACCTGAAGCCGTAGCGAAGCGAGGCAGATCTTGTCTAATAGTATTCTAATTAGGTGTTATCTATAGAGGGGTTAGTTGAGAGAGGAAAGACTGACGAAAAAGGAGGATAGAGTATGAAAAGAAGCGTGTGCGGGGGGTTGGGTGTGGTGAGTAGTAAGAGGAGACTAGTGTAGCGTGTAGAGTATAGTGGATGTATATAAATAATAATGGAATCGAGAAACGAAAATAAGAGTTGAGGGGAAGATAGATCAAAGGTTCGAATGTGAATAAGAAGGCGGGATATAGAGGTGAAGGGATATCTAAGGGAACGTTGGGCGTGGTTGCTGGTGGGGTGCGGTGGTTTGGGTGTGGACGGCTATAGTACTCGTGTTCTCTTCCTCTTCCTCCTTCTGCCTCTCGTCCTCTCGTCTTCGTCTTCCTCAACTTCCTTAAGGTCTGGAGGGCGTCCGTGAGATGTCTCGAAGCGGTCCGTTGCCTCTGCTAGCCTTATACCCAGTGACCTGCATAGGCTTCGAATTTACAGCATTTCCGCGTTGGAATTCACCAGCCATTCCTGGTGGCTTTCCGCGCACCAGCACCCTATACTTTCCCCGGCGAAAGTCACGAAAAACCAAGAGCTTGGTATCATGTCTAAGAGGGTTAGTCGGTGTGCTATTAAGGTGATAATATCCAATGATTTTTACAATGAACAAAGGCTACCAGGGCTATGAATGACATCACTCGGCCGTCCGATGGTTGGGCAATCGATGTTCGAATTACTGATCTATTCATCCGGTACGTGAACCGACGTTGTACTTCACTGGGCCTAATTACAGCGCCGCGTTTATCAATCTCTTCCTTTCTCAATGTTCCCAATTGTCGGAGTCTTTAAGTTGCCCCCTCTTTCGAAAGCCAGTTCCAGCGGATACACGACGTGACGGTGCTGCGGAGCGTGTAAGTATTGCTCTAGCACTTCTACCGCCTCCATGGTACCAACAACCACTATTAGATGTGCCAAGCTGCCACTGGGCTTGTCGTGCATGCCATAATCAGAAGCTCACTGCAGCCTGGAACGTAACAAGCGACACACTCGACACCCATCAGTTAGAAGTAGCCAAGTACCATGTAACACACCAAACTTGACATTTCTCCGTTCAATATTCACTCTGCTTCTGACAAGGACCGCCAAGGCCGGAAGCGCAACGTTGGCACCAATGACGTTACGCCTAGAGTAGTATGTACTGTGTACTTGGTCGATTTGTCTCCGTTCTGAGGCCGACGTGTTCTCAGCTCGGAGGCCGGCCCCTATTTTAGGCGCGTATCAGAGACAGGCGCTTATACTCGCACCCCAATCAACAAGACTCAAATGATGGTTCGGTGGGTGGGCCAACAAAGACAGAGACAACATCGCACCGCATAATGGTGTACAAGAGACGCTGCTACTCAGGTGCGTTCACCTGCGGCGCATACGCAACCCCCAGTCGAGAAGTCGACGACTCTCGCATCCCGAGCGGAGCGGATTTGCGAAGATCGGTCATTTCCTTTCATTCTCACCTTTAGACAAGTACTTACTAGCAGTACTAGCTCGGGATGTGATGCGATTCCTTGCTTCTTCAAGGTTAAATCCGACACGGAGATGTTCTTTGATGTTCTCCTGTCATCTCAATCGGGCGTTAAGTGGGGACCATTAGGTCCATTATGCTCCAAGTCCGAAAACCATTACCCTCGTGAGCAGTCGCGAGCCTGTAGCAGCTTGGACACACTACGAATGGAGTAACATATCCCTGTAAAAGTCAAAGGAAACAACAACGAAGAACTCGCAGCGTAACACACCAGTTCCCACCCGCGGTAAGACTGAAAGAGGGGCCCGACGCTGAATTCTTGGTAGACCCTCTTCTATGCCACTTGGGAACGGTTACACGTCAGGGCTTGGTGCACCGGGATTTACCCGGCTATGCCAGTTGTGCAATAAATAGCTGGGCGAGTCCTCTCGTTGCCCACAGCTCTCCCTCCACACCACCGAGCACAATGCGGATCCAAAGCCTCTTGTTCAACGCTGCCACCTTCTACTCGCTCTATCTCTTCGCCGTCCACATCACAGGCGCCTCCGGCGCCGCCATCGGCGATGTAAGCAGCGACGTTCTACGGTGTAAGTCTACAAGATTCATCCATCTCTAACCTCGTCCCCAAATTCACGCGTTCCTTTGCAGGCGCGAACGGAAAGGTAATCCCATTTTAGAGTCTTTGCATCGAGTCCATTCACTTAGCATCGCCCTTGTCTATCCAATCTTTCGAATCCTCAGGATGTCTGTAAGTTGGCCCCTCGTTTGAAGATCGGTTCATTTTGGCTGATGCTCTTGCTACTAGGCCCCAGTGGATACACGTGCTGCGGCCCACTTCGCCCAGGCATCGGCGGCGTGTAAGTACTGTTCCAGCCACATCACCCTTCTGCGACCTCCATGATACCAACACCCACCATTAGATGTGTCCAGCTGCCCCCGGACATGGCGTGCATGGCATGATCAGAAGCTCGACCCAAAGTGTAACAAGCAATGCACTCGACACTTATCAGTCAGTAGTAGTCTAAGCATGTACGATCATGTATCATCCCAAACTTCAATGTTGAATTCTTTCATTGTTCACTCTGCCTCTGACAAGGCTCGCCAAGGCCCACTGAAGCACAACGTTCGCACTCACGACGTCCCTCACTTTCGGAGTTGCTACAAGGGTAGGTTTGTACAGTAGAGCAATTACATTACCAACGAATCATCTTCGTCGTAAAACTAATAACTACTTGTCCACTGGATATAGTTCCGTGTCCTAAATAAATAATTACATACACTACCTTAAATGAGGTCCAACGAGCCATTCCGGTTCGTGTAAATCAAGTTATCCACTGTCACTCCCATCGCGAATCCCATCCATGACTGGTCAACCAATGACAGGCTGCATCCTCGTCCGCTGCACCCTCTCAGGCGACCCAGCCATGGACATCACCTTGCCCACCACCTCCCCCAACCTCGACGCACTGCTCCTCTTCCCCACCTGTCGCGACTGGTCCGGTCTCAACAGCAGCGAGAGGTCCTGTTCCCGATCCCTCTCCCGATCTTCGCGATGGCGCTGGTTGGAGGACGAAGATCCTTCAACAAGCTCGATCGCTTCAGACCGACGTGCTTTGCTAGACTCGGATTTATGTCTGCGCCTCGACTCTCCATCCTCCGTTGATCGTCGAGTCCGATGCTTCGTGGGAGCACTAGCAGCAGCAGCAGCAGCTTCAGGATCGAAGTTAGGCGGGATCCCAGCCATCGAGCATCTCCCATCCTCTCTGAGGACATCAGCCAACCCCGGCACATCGTCATACCGAACCGCCGACCTACTCTCCTTCATCTCCCCATTATATGTCACATAATAGATATCCCTCCCCTCTTCACTCTGAGTCTGTCGACGTGTACCAGCGCTGCTTTTGTGTCGCCTCCTGCGCTGCTCACGGTCGTCTCCTTGGTCCTCCCGGCTCTCTCGTCGATGGCGGCTGCTCGATCTTCGCCCTCCCTCGGCTTCGCGTGAATCGCGGGTATGTCGCGAGGAGGGCGGAGGACCCATTCCTCCACGGTTATAGTCAATATCGGGTTTGTCTCTGCGTTCACGCTCGCGATCTCCACTGCGTTCTTTCCTCCTCTCCCGCTCTCCATCCCTCTCCTTATTCTTATCCTTCTCCCTCTCCTTCTCACGTTCCTTCCTCCTCTTCTCTCTTTCCTTCTCTTTATCCTTCTCCCTGTCTTTCTCCCTCTCTCGACTACCACGCCGATCCCTCTCACTCTCCTTCCGCTCCCTCCTCTGCTTCTCACATTTCGTCCGATCATACTCATAGTACGCCGCAATATCAAAACTCTCATTCCCAACCTTCGCCGCAGACTCCGAACTCGCACTAGGTGGGACCCGCCCATCCTGTACCTGATCCCCACTCGCCCCCGTGTCCCGCCTAACAAGACTAGGCGGTCGAGAACTACTAATCCTCTTCTCCCTCCCGGACCTCGACCGACTATGTTCATGACGTTCCGTCCGAAGTTCACGTGGGGTGGAGTCTTGGTCGAAACGGTTGTAGTCACGATGATCGCGGTCGCGGTCGCGTCGCCTAGACTTGCCCGACTCGCCGATGAGAGCCAGCCCCATCCCCTTCCCTTCAACACCAGGACTATCCAACCCATCCTCTAGCTCAACGTCAACGTCAACTTCCACCTCGCTCCCGCTAACAGGGGGCGTCAACAACCCTGTCGTCTCACGCTCCCTGCGACGTTCCCTCCCACTTTCACGTACTTGCTCACGATGGAGATCTTCTCTGGGCCTCTCAGCCCTCTCCCTTGACCGATCCCTATTTCTCGACTCAGACGCCCGACGATGCCTCCTTTCCCTCTCGCGCTCCCGAACTTCTTCCTCCACATACCTCCTCTCCCTCTCCCTATCCCGAGCCTCATCCTCAGACCTGCGCCGACTCCGACTAGCCGAACGTTCACGACCCCCACTCGCGCGCGTCTTCTCCCCATCTCGCGTCCTCCGAGACTCCCGTCTCTCCCGCCTCGCTTCCCTCTCCCTCTCCTTTTCTTTGTCTCTCTCCCTCCGCTCCCTGCCATCTTTATCCTTCGTCTTTTCCTTTCCCTCTCTAACTTTCTGCTCGCCCTGACCCTCTCCAACCTTCTGCTCATTCTGACCATCCCAAATCTTCTGCTCACCCAATCGCCCATCGTCCACCACCTCACCATCCACCTGCACCCCCTCACCCTTCACCTGGTGATTATTAGCAGCAGTAACAGCTTCCCAAGCGGCCATGAGCGAGTCGGACGCTGGGATCGTAGGTGCCGGTTTCCTCGATACTTTGTTTGAAGTAGTCTTGGACGTTGGCTCGTGCTGGTGCTGGGATCGGTGCTGGTGCTGGGGTTGGTGGTGGTGCTGGGACTGGTGGTGGTGGTGGTGGTGGTGCGGGTGCTGGGATTGGTGGTGGTACTGGTCAGAGCTCGCCCTCGGGGCGGGTTCATAATACTGCTCATCAGAAGTTCGAGAAGGAGGAAGTCGATGGTGCTGGGAAGCTCTCGAAGCTCCATGAGGATATTCGCTCGTCGGCATACTACCCGGGGAATGAAGCGTCCGACCATAACCCTGTCCCTGTCCCTGACCCACCCTCGCCCAATTATCCAATCCACTTAAATCATCTTTAGGTGGAACGACAGGCGGAGCTACAGCATAACCACAAAAAAACCATTCATCAGTCAGGAAACCAGGAAACCAAAACACACAAAAAGACACCAGACTTACGACTATACCTATCCCTATCCTTCTCCCTATCCCTATCCCTCTCCCTGCTCCTCTCACTCCCCCGCTTCGGATCGACAGCACCGATCCAAACAGTATCAATAACCACACTCGTGCTCGGGGGTCGGACATCCACAGGATGGCAGTTTCCCAAACCACCCATACTCGCACCCCTCCCCAACCCCTCCACAACCTCCCTCACCCCCACCCCGCCCAACCACGCCTTCCCACCCCCATGCTCCCCCACCGACCCATCAAACGCGCCAAACACCAATAAATCGAGGATGCTCAATGTGAGCACCACCTGACCGTTCTGAGTATCCGGGTGCTGCAAGTCCGCAGGTGGATCGTTGTCGGTGGTAGGGTAATCGGGGTTGGAGAAAGAGTACGAGATCGAAAGCTGCCCGCCCATGACACCCGCTCTGACGATATACGGAATCGGCTTCTCGCCTCCCGTGCTCCCCGCTGCACCTCCTCCTCCTCCACCACCACCTCTGGAACTACCAGCATAAGGACCCGCACTCGTCTCGCGAACAAGGATGCTAGGCATCAAAGCCCCTCCCCGTCCTCTCTGCGTAGCATCCAAAGGTGCATCCACCGCCGTTTTGTGTAGAGCCGGGGTGGATTTGGAGGGTATGACCGTATTACCCCTTCCATCCCTCGAGCCATCCCCCTTCACCACCACCGCATGGGAAGAGGACGACCCCCGCAGCGACACACCCAGCGGGAACGCAAACGCCAACACAAACTGTTCTATACTCGTCACCAATTTCGGTTTGGAAGTCGGCGTATGGGTATTGGTATTACTCGAGGTTGCAGCCAAATTGGAACCTGAACACAGGGGGGTCATACATACCCTTTAGTTTTAGCCCGTAACTAGCATTGGCGATTGATAAGACAAGGAAAAACACACCTGAACCAGATGCCGAACCAGGCTGGGAACCCCAAAGCACCGACGAATCGGGTAAAACGTGGATCAAATGCGCTGAGCCTCTGTAGCGTCGCAGTCCATCCACCTTTTCCCAGTCATGATCATCTTCTCCCCCACGAGAAGTCAACGGAGGAAGGGACGACACACCATTCCCACCAACCTTCCCACTAAACTTCCTACCCAAATCCTTCGTGCTGATCCTCCGACTAAGCGTGTTCCGCTTACTACTCTCAGGAGGATCCCCTTCGTGCCCCGAACTCGACGTCCGCGAAGTCAACCGCCGGAGCGGGATACCGAGCATACTCGTATGTCTTCTCTCCTTGGATTTGGACGGTGTGACGAGACCAGGCGAGGAAGCCAACGACAAAGGAGGGGGAGAGGAGTCGTCTTTGGTGGAGAGGTAAGGCGCGCTCAGTGTCGTAACGAGGATCGCCTGTTTCAACAGAACCTTCTCAGGTATAGTCGAAGGCGAGGGGAGGTAATTAATGAGCGCGTCGAACGCTCTCGTCCCCCCTCCCCCTTCCCCTGGCCTGGGGTACGCAGTGGAAGCGAAATTCGCAAAACCATTCACCCCGGCTCGCTGGATCGCCGAGTTGGATAGGTGAGGCGTCGGCGACGCAGGCGAGGTCGAGCCCGAATCGGCCGATGGAGAGGACGAATTCGAGCCAAACCCAAACAAACCATGCAGCGTCTGGCGTTTGCTCTTCTTCGAATTCGGGGGTGGTGGTGGTGTCGGTATTTCGCCATGGCCATTCGGGAATGTACGCAGGGCCGCTCCCGAGGTCGATCCGAGCACTTCCACGACGGCGAACTCGCCCGTTACGGGGTCCTCGCTGAGTTGCTGAATGCGCGTTGAGGCGGGCACAACACCGCCCGGGGGAGTGGAAGTGATGCTTGGATTGGAGGCCTCGAGTGCATTAACGACTTGAGACGCCCTTGCCAGAAGAGACATCAGCCGGAGTGCATCTGAGCCTCCCGCACCCGCACCCCCGGTCGCTGGCAGAGAGGTAACCGAACTCGTTTGCGAGGTGGTGAAAAGGGGAACGGCGAGCCGAAGAATGCGTGTTGTAGGTCCGTACGCGGGTTTCGTCGATTCCGAAGGGCTGAGCAGCAGAAGGGAATCGAGAGGCTTGACGTCGTGCGTTGCAATCAGGAGAAACGAGTCCTTTAAGAGCGAGGAATAAACGAGGGCGTGCAAGTCGGCTTGAGGAGGGGTACCAATGACGAGGATAGTTTGATGTTGGCGTGCTGAATTGAGAGGGAGAGCGTCAAAGTCCACGATCCAGGGACGTGCTGCGAATGGGTCCTTGGGTAAATTTGGCCTGAATGAATGCGAGCCCCCTGCGGGTTTGGCGCGTGTAGGCTTGCCTCTTGAAGCGGGGTACGTCGGTGGATTATAGGCTTCGGAAGTGGACTTGCTTCGAACATTGGCGATAGGTGGGTAGGCCATAGTCGTTGTCCGGGCGGCTGACCGTCGGCAGCGAGTTCCTTGTGTAATAGAGTTTGAATAAACTTGGGAATTCGGAACTGCGAGTTGCGTGGGTCGCGCTGCACCCTGAGACGCGTTATAATATCGCTTTGGGACCGCCTGTATCAGCGGATCGAACAGAGGATCGACGGGAACAGCACTTACTGTGTGACCCCACCAGCGCCAATTCTCTGATATATAGGAGATTAAACACTCCTATACCCCTCTATCCCAAATTTCCGTATGTCGTCGTTGCAGCAGGCGAAATTAGTGGCTGCTGTCCTATGAACGACGCCGGACCTGCTAAACACGGTCAACACAATCTTCCCTTTCCACGTTGCCCGCAAACTCACAGATAGAAACAGCCTGAGGGGGTGGGGTTGGAGAATGGGCTGGAATACCAAAGACGAGGGGGCCGATTAAAGGAGAGGTTGGTTTGTTAGAAGACTAAAACATTGTCATCACTGTCAGCATCGACGGCATCCATTTGATGGGCTGAGAGCTGTCAGCCACATTTATTGTTTGTCTCACCGGAGTCAGCACTGTGCCTTGCTCGTGCCGGTGCCCACATCGTCATGGACGGCGACGAACGCGTCCTGCCGCTTTGTTGGGCCTATATAATCCTGGGACGCGGCCGTACTGCGATTGAGCTGGAAGGGCCTGAACATATGGGACGTCGTCAACGAATCGAATGCTTCAAGTTGTCTTGGCCTGTCCAACGTTCCGAAAGCATGCTCGGAAGATATACTCTTCCTCGTCGTCGTCCTTTCATCATGCCAGAATCATCGTTCCCCGCCCAATGGACCAATTGGCCTGAGACGTTGTCGCCAGATTGGTGGGTGCTAAGGAAAGTTATGCATACTACTAAAGAATGAACCTTCAGCCTACACAGGAGTGGGATGCAGAGAGAGAGAGGACCGAGAAGCATAGGAGCGCCGAATTGTAGCTCGGCGATCAATGGGATCAACGGCACCGTGGGCAGGCGACAAGGTTCAATGAGGCATTTATACGGCCTACACAGAGGTCAAAATTGATGTTTGGCGTGCCCAAAAACTGCTTTGTACACAGAGAGATGGCAAGTTTTAACGCTATGGGCAATTCATTTGAGTGGACGACTTGGAAAGGGACCAAAAGCTCATCCAAGCTTCATCGGCTAAAATGCTAGCTTGGAGCTGTTTGGAGGAAGCACAGGCACGCATCCGCGAGACGCGCTCACAGCGGGAACGCCTCTTATGGGTCCCTTCCCGTCATGTCACACGGCCTGGCCGTGTTCAATCAGGTCAGGTAGATGAAGAATCTAGCTAACAGAAAGGATCTGGACCTATTGCATTAACCAGACCCAGCAAAACACCCGACCCATCTGGCGAATTCAAATGGAAAGCCCGAACTTCAACGCTTACGATGGACGACGATCTCGACTTCGTCAGAAACGGCCATTAATGTGTACACTATCTAACCACAATTGGGCTCCCACCATGGTCGATTAAGGCTCAGCGCCCCGCCGTCTATCGCCATCCCCTGCTGAACACAGGAGCAAGGTCCAACAGCCATTCACTCAAGGGCGACAACTCCCCGAAGGCAAAGTATGCGGCTCAAACTTCATGGACTCGTCAATGAGTCCGGCCATCCCCAAACCGGTACACCTGCATTCGGAGACGGATTGGAGGACGCAGTTGTGGGCGTCTGCATTCTCCCGACAGGATACGAGCACTGTCCTCAATTCATAAAACTGCTACGTCCAATGATGTCCAATCGCTTTGCCCACAACCTCCACCTCCACTTCCAACCAGACTCTACAGTACATCTTTCAACGTCCCCTCCCTCGACACCTCTGGCCTTTGATTCCACACCACCATAGCACCAGAGAAGGTACATCCCCTACCTCCTACCTCTCCTTCCTAGCCCTCTTAGCCCGCGTCTCACCCCTCCTGCTCGTTGCAATCCGTCTTCGACCGCGAAAACATCGATCTCAAACGAGAAGCCGTGGAAGAGGTGAGCCCCTTCCACGAATTGCTCCCAACAGGGACAACGTACGGAGACCTGGACGGGTTGGGGAAGATTGTCATGATTGGCATAGATTTGAAGCGACGGAGCGATGTGACTACCGAGACAGCCGCCCCCTTCCTACATCCCCATCTACCTCCTCACCGACCTCCGACCTCCATCTCGGCGCCAACGGCCAGAGTCCCTTCCGACGAACGTCGCCGGTTTATCACTATCAATTCTACAGTCTCAAAGATATCCTCGGTTCAATACGAGTCAAACCCGAGCGAAGCGGTTCGGCGGAGGAGTGGGATATGGGCCTGGGTCAAGGCAAGTCTCAAAACGAGTGATGCTGGGCGGTTAAACGGGAGCTCGGACGATACGAAACGCGAAGACCAGGAGAGACGACCGGCGGGAGGCCGCAGGAGGATGGAGACCATCGGAATGGTAGAGAACCAATGTATCCACCATGTATACTCGAAAGACGAATATACAACTTGTACTCGATAGAGCAATGGTAACTCGTAATGTCCGCAGTCGTTGGGTCAGTGTCCAACAGGAGATCATCGAATAGGTCGAGCCAAACTTCAGCAAAAGGAAATACTCGCAGGTAAGTCGCAGACCTGCCCATTGTACTCGAGACCGCGACAATCCATGTAAGTTCCTCCATTGACGATCCTTGATAAAACTAGCAGCACTCTATAGGAAAGAGAACGAGGAAATCAAGTTCCTTGCTAACTTCAACTTCCCAAAACGTCACTACTTGGAAGCCCCGTGCCTTCTCGTAATTCGCAGGTGGGTTACATTCGAGTCAGAACTCTGTCAACGACAAAGAGAAATCGGCATAGATAAGTACTAAATACAAGTGTACAGGGATGCATATAGAGTGTGTCACCCAAAAAAGCATCGAATGTAGGACAAGCGGAAACCATAATTACAAGGAACATTACTGGCTTCAAGCATCGAAATGTCGGGATTTAAGTTTCTGGGCCTCAGCAAGCCATTGCGAGAAGGCATCATAGTAGGGATTCGAAGGCTGGATGGTGGATAGAGCTTCGTTGCAGAGTGAGATTGCCTCTTCCAGGGGAGGAAGAGAAACTGTCATGCGACATCGCGACATAAGGGCAAGGACAAGGTTATACAGTGTATCTGAGCGATCTGGATGGGGATGGGGTAGTAGAGAAAGCGCTTCCCGTCCGAATGCGATGGCATCATCAATGTCGGTGAGGTTGCCTTGCTTCCTGAAGCGGTCGCGCAAGTGGATGGCGAGGTTGTGCAGTGTCGCTGACCGCTCTGGATGGGGATGGGGCCGCAGAGAGAGCGCTTCCCGTCCGAATGCGATGGCATCGTCGATGTCGATCAGGTTGCCTTGCTTCCTGAAGCGGTCGTCCAAGTGGATGGCGAGGATGTACAGCATCGCGGAGCGCTTTGGATGGGGATGGGGTCGCAGAGAGAGAGCTTCCCGTCCAAATGTGATGGCATTGTCAATGTCGGTGAGGTCGCCTTGCTTCTTGAAGCGCTCATACAAGTGGACGGCGAGGTTGTGCAGTGTCTCTGAGCGGCCGGGATGGGGATGGGGTCGCAGAGAGAGTGCTTCCCGCCCGAATGCGATGGCATCGTCGATGTCGATCAGGTTGCCTTGCTTCCTGAAGCGGTCGTCCAAGTGGATGGCGAGGATGTACAGCATCGCGGAGCGCTTTGGATGGGGGTGGGGTCGCAGAGAGAGAGCTTCCCGTCCGAATGCGATGGCATCGTCGATGTCAACGAGGTCGCCTTGCTTCCTGAAGCGGTCGCCCAAGTGGACAGCGAGGTTCTACAGTGCCATGGAGCGCTCTGGATGGGGATGCGGTCTCAGAGAGAGCGCTTCCCGCCCGAACGCGATGGCATCGTCGTCGTCGACGGGGTCATCTCGCTTCTGGAAGCGCTCGGACAAGTAGGCGGCTAGGTGGTGCAGTGTATCTGAGCGGTCCGGGTGGGGATGGGATCGATGAGACAGAGCGCCACGCCCGAACGTGATAGCATCGTCAAGGTCCAAAGCACTGCCAGTGTTCGAGTAAGAAGAGTACAGCGCGGATGCTAGCGAATGCAATGATGATCCATCTTGTGATGCGGTCTCGGCCACGCAATGTTTCAAGATATGGACTGCGGCTGTCGCGCACCTTGCCGGAACCTTCAAGTCAGGAGTATAAAAATCCCCAAGTTGAATTAACAAGTGAATATTGCCTCGGCATTCATTGAGTCTCACAGTCACCTCCCAGGGGGAAGACGCCCACGCCCACCAGGTCGGTTCCCCTATGGGGTGCTTTTGGTCCACGAGTCGGGCAACCTTGACGAGAATGTCAGACCGCCTTTCCCCCGCCAACTGTTTTTCCCACTCTGTCATCTCCTCAGCTTCTACCGCACATACTGTGGCAACAAAGCGTTTGGCCCACCAGGCTGTTATATCATTGGATAAACCCCCAAGTAGGTCTTCAAGTTCCGGTGGGAGAGGTTGGAAGCGATCCGTTCCGTGAGAAAGGTGAAAGGGCCAATATTTCGTCGAATACAAGAATGCGGGGGGCAGCGGCATTGATGGCGGATAACTGTGGGCCGGGATTGAGATAAGGGTGCTCAGGCACCTCTTCGCTGAGCGCAGGTGGGCACCTGCTGTATCCACGGCAAGGGGCACCGTTGTCATGTCCGATTGCGAGGGGCTGACGGCGCTGGAGGTAAGAAAGTCGAGGAATGACGCGTGAAATCGAGTTGACATGGGTTCAATGACGTTTGCATCGAATGTTCCCCGTATCTGCAGGATACGTAGTCGTTTGTGAATCTCGCGGACGGCTTGAGGATACTGGGGAAGGTCGACAAGTCCTGTGAAGGTGTCGATATCGACAGGCTCCTGGAGGACGACCATATGGGAAAGAATTTGCATGCCAACCTCCACATCCCGGGCCTTGGGACCGAGAATGGAGAGCAGTGCTTCGCGGTACAGGGTAGCAAGGCGTTCATCCTCGTCGACTCCCGATCCAGACTGGAGGATTCGCTCAAGGAGGGTGTGCACGGGTGGGCGAGTGTATGAGTCGCTGAGGATCAGGTTGCAGACAGTGGCTGCCCACACCAGAAGGCCCTTGGCGAGTTTGGCCAGTTGAGGGATGGAGTTGAATAACAGGATCCTCGCTTCCCCCTGAACATCGCTGAATCGAGCTTCGAAGTACCGCCGTGCGACGTCCTCTGTCACGGGTGGCAACGCCATTTCCTTCACAATGTTGCCCTTCAACCCTCGCTCGACGCTGTGTAACCACCGGCTTGAAAAGAGGAATTTAAGGAACGGTGACGCCGAAGAGACGTGTGTCAACTCTCGGAGGAAGGTTTCATGGTGGTCCCATTCATCCAGTGCGTCCATCGGTAGGACTAGAGGATATGGGAGACCAAGAAAGCGAACAGGTTCGATGATGTACGCCTGGATGTAGTCAAGGATGGAGTGATGCGTCGAATGGCATGTACGAGCAGCATTAGCCACCGCGGGAACAGCTCTTGGGTGGAGGTTGGCGAGTTCTTGGGCGACCGATTGGATGGTAGTGACAATGTCCCTATTCTTCTTCCTAACGAAGAAGGCAGACGATGCCAGGCGTCCCTGGTGGCGCAGCACATCGACAACCTTCTGCATCAGAGTCGACTTTCCCAGTCCTGCAGCGCCATGAATCCACAAAACGGGGTGATCAAGATCGTCAACCCATTTCAAGATAGCCTCAAGCTCGTCGTCGCGGCTAGCGGCAAGATACTTCTCAAGGCGGGTGCTGTGGTACTCGGATTTGGGAAGGGCCTTAACGGCATCCTGGTCTGCAAAAGGTCAGTCGACATCTGGGACCTTCATCGCCGAGAACTCACCTAGCTTGGTGTTTATCACCTCGCAGAAAACGCGCAAATTGAAATGAAGGAGCATTTGGGTCTCCGTCTGATACCCGAGGATTTTTTTCAGAAAAGGCAGATAGACTAATTCGAATGACCGACGCACTTGGAATTTGCTTATTGCACTCTCCATCTCTATCCTCAATGAAGCGATATCGCCTTGATGGACCCCCTGATGAAAGAATCGTGACAAGACACTCTTCTGGCTCATCTCCATACACCGGCCGCCAATATTGACCAAATTCCTGCGCAAGCGGCGATTAATCTTACTTGAACCCATCAATGGAGCGGCCATACCCTTCGAGTTCCTTGAAGCATCTTTTAAACTGGGCGGAAGACTGATTCGGCTTATCCGCGCAAAGCACCGTCAGCGAAACAACAAAGTCGGCTGCGATGCCGGCGATCTGGCGCATCTCCTCGATGTTCGACCGTGTTTGCTATCCAAAAGAAGTCAACAAGAAGCTAGAGAGCTACCGCGCGTCAGAACGCTCACCTCTACAGCCGTCAACAGACTATACGCGGTTGCGGTGACCCCTTTCAAGATATCCACAGGTACGATCTCCGCAACATCTTTGAGGATCGATAAAATGGTCGAAGCTGAGCCCAACAGCGTGGTCAAAGAGTTTGAGGGCCGTGCATTGGGCTGGGATGAACAGCTCCCCAATACGGTTCCATGGGATCGCTTTCAAGTTTCAGCGAATGAGCCATCGCTGTTCATGTGTCTAGCCGAAGAGAATTACCTCGAATCCCGCGATTTGATGAGAGAGGTGTGCCTCCACATCCTCCCAATTACATATTCCAGAAGCCAATTTAGCCTCGATGTCCTCCAACATGCTATTCACGACATGAGATGGCAAGCGATGCTGCAACTGGAGAAGGGCACGTACCCAGTAAAAACAGCAACGAGTGGCCCAGCTTCAGGTGCGTCGACGTCGGATTGCACGGCGTTCGAGATTCGGAGCAGGAGCTGGGCGGAAAGGTTCACAACCTCCATCAGCTGGTATTGGTCAGAGTTTATGCACACAACTACTGTAGATAACAACAACGCACCTTGTCATTATCTGGAGGAACCCGGGCGGCAAGATCGACAATGTGTAGAGTCGCTTTCTTCAGTTCCGGATCGTCCTGGATCAGGTAGGCCAGCTTCAACTGGGCGATATCCCTCCTGCTGTTCCCCGTGGGTTGGAACTGTCTTCGAACAGGATCGATATCTGTGGGCGGCTTCTTTCCCGCGAATACATTTCGTATCCCTTGCAATCCGTCCTTGAATCCTTGTCTTACTGGACCTCGTCTGCGCTTGAACCAGGACATTGGGGAGGAGAAATGGGGAATCTGGAAGAGTCGTCTTCTTTTGAAGGGCTTCTATCCTTCCAATTCCCCGCGGGCTGTGTTATCCCCTCGTTTCTCTCGCTGGTGTGTAATGGCGCCCACAAACCAGAATAGGGAAAAATACCTGTCCAATGTCCATCATGCCAAAGTTGACAACTATTTTCCGTGGGCGAGTTCAAAGCTGCTGAGTCTGGGTCTTTTGGAGTAGAGAAACTGTTGATATTGAAGGAAAATCCAGAGTTTAAAACCAAGCGATGAATGTGGTTTAAAGGGAAGTTGGAAGACAACTCACAGACTCGGGGCAGTGGTGGGAATTTTCGGTTCGTGCCGGTGCCCACCTATGGCCTACTTCCGGCAATGGAGCCCCTTAAGGCCAAACTTGCTATCAGTCCAGTTCTCAACTGCCATACTTTTGGTAAAGATCCGACAGCCAACGCTGGTGCCCGGTCAGTCAACGCCTCCGCGTAACCCAATCGTCCACTGGAGCCTCTTTAATTTAATTCTTTAGGTGCAGCTTCCGACTATATCTCATCGACGTAACGCTTCCTCCTCTTCTGTGTTCCAGTCAAACCTCGAGTCCTTGTTGAATCAAGTTCTGGAGGGGCACGCCTCGCAACCGCGAGAGCATTTCGTCGGAACGCTCGTCGCTCGCAGTGGGAACACGTCTCACGTTTCCCTTCCGCCATGTCGAACGGCCTGGCCGTGTTCAATCCGGTCAGGTCGACAAAGAATCTAGCGAACCGGACCTGTTACATTAACCAGACGCAGCAAAACACCCGACCCATCCAATAGAAAACCCAAACTTCAGCGACCTCGACATCGTCAGCACCGGTCATTAGCCTTCTCCACCACACCTGGGCTCCCACCATGGCTTTCTGAGTTTAGGCTCTGTAATCTCCCGACAGGAGGCGAGCACCGTCTTCGATTCATCCGTCCATCGTTGTCCGATTGCTCTACCCACCACCTCCCCTCAACAGACTGTACAATACATCCTTCAGCGTCTTCCCCCTGGCTCAGCACCTCGATTGGGCCTTGAATTCCATACCACCTTAGCATCGGGGACGATGGAATCCCTATTCCTACCCACCAACCTCACCCTCGTCCCACCCCTCCTCGTTGCAATCCGCCTTCTCCCGGGAAAGCATCGATCTTACTGAAGAAGCCGTGGAAGAGGTGAACCGGTTCCACCACTCGCTCCCAACAGGAACGACGAATCGAAATGCAGACATTCGAACCGACCCCCGAGAATCAATTCAGATATATTCGAGACCTCGTTTCCACCTCGCCTGCATCCCCATCTACCTTCTTACCATCTCTCCCGACCTCCATCTCGATATTACTGTCCAAAGGTCCATCCCGCGAACTTGCGCCTACAACGCTCAAGAGACGTCCTCGGCTCAATATGGATCACAAGTCTTGCAAAGTGGTTCCGCGGACGACTGCCAATGTGGTCGGAAAACGAGTGGAGGGATATAGGAGAACGATGCATCGTGGGATAAACGCAGCGGAGATGAGATGGCGTGCAAATGCCAGGGGAGGCAACGGGGAGGCCGCGGGGGGATGGGAATGATCGACGATGTGTGCTTGGAAGGTGCAAAGCTGGGAATATCTCATCGGTCTCACCTCCGTAAGGACGTATGCAGTAGTACCAATGTGTTCAACTTGTGTATTCGATAGACCAATGGGAATTCATCGCGTCTGCAAACTTCTGATTAGCGGCTGCCAATGGCATCGACTATAGATCGAGCCGAAGCAATAAAGAATACTCGCAGTGAAGTCTCAGACCCACCCAGTGTAATGAAGCTCGCATCGAATTTCACTTTCCTCACTTGCTCACGCCGATCCTATAGGGAAACCTTGAGACCAAAGTAACTGAATTTTGCATGGGATGTTCAACCTGGCAATATGTCAATTGCTCAGCCCTCGTGAACCGACCTCAGCTTGAAGAAGATAATCCTTTTCCTGCGTAGGAATTGTACAATTTGTACTCGTCATAAACTACTGTACATAGCATTGGGATTTTTGGAATAGAAATATCTGGACAGGTGGTATGGGGTACATTGCGCAATCATGGCCATCGAGGGGTTCATCAAACAACAGTCAAACACAGGACAGTGAAAACCATAATTACAAGGAGCATTTCTGGCTTCAAGCATTGAAATGTTGGTCTTTAAGTTCCCGGGCTTCAGCAAGCCATCGCGAGAAGACAGCATAATGGCGGTGCGAAGGCTGGATGGTGGATAGGGTTGCATTGCAGAGTGAGATCGCCTCTTCCAGGTGGGGAAGGGAAACTTGCTTGCGACATCGCGACATAAGGTAAAGGACAAGGTCATGCAGTGTATCTGATCGCCCTGGATGGGGATGGGGTCGCAGAGAGAGCGCTTCCCGCCCGAATGCGATGGCATCGTCGATGTCGGCGAGGTCGCCTAGCTTCTTGAAGCGGTCGCACAAGTGGATGGCGAGGTTGTGCAGTGTCTCCGAGCGGTCTGGATGGGGATGGGGTCGCAGAGAGAGCACTTCCCGCCCGAATGCGATGGCATCGTCGATGTCGGCGAGGTTGCCTTGCTTCTTGAAGCGGTCGCACAAGTGCACGGCGAGGCTGTGCAGTGTCCATGAGCGTTCTGGATGTGGATGGGGTCGCAGAGAGAGTGCTTCCCGCCCGAATGCGATGGCATCGTCGATGTCGGCGAGGTTGCCTTGCTTCCTGAAGCGGTCGCACAAGTGGACGGCGAGGCTGTGCAGCGTTGCTGAGCGCTCTGGATGTGGATGGGGTCGCAGAGAGAGCGCTTCCCGCCCGAATGCGATGGCATCGTCGATGTCGGCGAGGTTGCCTTGCTTCCTGAAGCGGTCGCACAAGTGCACGGCGAGGCTGTGCAGTGTCCATGAGCGTTCTGGATGTGGATGGGGTCGCAGAGAGAGTGCTTCCCGCCCGAATGCGATGGCATCGTCGATGTCGGCGAGGTTGCCTTGCTTCCTGAAGCGGTCGCACAAGTAAACGGCGAGGCCGTGCAGCGTTTCTGAGCGCTCTGGATGTGGATGGGGTCGCAGAGAGAGTGCTTCCCGCCCGAATGCGATGGCATCGTCGATGTCGGCGAGGTTGCCTTGCTTCTTGAAGCGGTGGCACAAGTCAATGGCGATCTTGTTCAGTGTCCCTGCGCGATCTGGATGGAGATGGGGTCGCAGAGAGAGTGCTTCCCGCCCGAATGCGATGGCATCGTCGATGTCGGCGAGGTTCCCTTGCTTCCCGAAGCGCTCGCCCAAGTGGACGGCGAGGTTGTTCAGTGTCACTGCGCGATCTGGATGGGGATGGGGTCGCAGAGAGAGCGCACCGCGTCCGAATGCGATAGCTTCGTCGATGTCCAAAACACTGTCAGTGTTCAAGTAGGACGAATACAGCGCGGATGCTAACGAATACAGTGAACGCCCATCCTGTGATGCGGTCTCGGCTATGCAATGCTTCAGGATATGGACTGCGAAAGCGGCACATTTTAATGGTACCATCTCGCCAGGAGTGTAGAAATCCCCAAGCTGAATCAACAAGTCAATACTGCCTCGAGATTCACGCAGTATCACTGCCACCTCCCAGGGGGATGCCGCCCACGCCCACCAGGCTGGTTCCCCTCTGGGTTGCCTTTGGTCCACGAGCCGGGCAACCTTGACAAGAATGTCAGATCGCCTTTTCCCCGCCAACTGTCCTTCCCACTCCGCCAACTCCCCACTCTCCACAGGACATACCAGGGCAACAAAATGTTTCGCCCACCAGGCTGTCATATCATCAGATACACTCCCCAGCAGGCTTTCGAGTTCCGGGGGGAGCGGTTGGAAGCGATCCGTTCCATGAGAAAGGTGAAAGGGCCAATACTTCGTTGAATACAAGAGTGCCGGGGGAAGTGGCCTCGAGGAAAGATGATTGTGGGGCGAGCTTGAGAGAAGGGTACTCAGGCACTTCTTCGCTGATCGGAGGTGGGCCTTTGCTGTATCCACGGCAAGGGGCACTGTTGTCATATCCGATTGCGAGGGGCTGACGGCGCTGGAGGTAAGAAAGTCGAGGAAGGACGCGTGGAATCGAGTTGACATGGGTTCAATGACATTTGGATCGAATGTTGCCCGTATCTGCAGGATACGTAGTCGTTTGTGAATCTCGCGGGCGGCTTGAGGATACTGAGGAAGGTCGACAAGTTCTGTGAAGGTGGTGATATCGACTGCTTCCTGGAGGATGACCATATGGGAAAGAATTTGCATGCCAACCTCCACATCCCGGGACTTGGGACCGAGAATGGAGAGCAGTGCTTCGCGGTACAGGGTAGCAAGGCGTTCATCCTCGTCGACTCCCGATCCAGACTGGAGGATTCGCTCAAGGAGGGTGTGCACGGGTGGGCGAGTGTATGAGTCGCTGAGGATCAGGTTGCAGACAGTGGCTGCCCACACCAGAAGGCCCTTGGCGAGTTTGGCCAGTTGAGGGATGGAGTTGAATAGCAGGGTCCTCGTTTCCCCTTGAACGTCGCTGAATCGAGCTTCAAAGTACCGCCGGGCGACCTCCTCTGTCACGGGTGGCAATGCCATCTCCTTTACAATGTTGTGCTTCAGACCTCGCTCGACACTGTGCAACCACCGACTCGTGAAGAGAAACTTGAGGAACGGCGATGTCGACGAGACGTGTTTCAATTCTCGTAGGAAGGTTTCGTGGTGGTCCCATTCATCCAGTGCGTCCAGGGGTAGGACCAGGGGATATGGAAGACCAAGTGAGCGAACAGGCTCGATGATGTACACCTGGAGGTATTTGAGGATCGAGTCATGAGCCGCGTTGCAAGTGCGAGCAGCTTTGGCCACCGCTGGAACCGCCCTTGGATGGATGTTGGCAAGTTCTCGAGCGACGGCTTTAATGGTGGGAATGGCATCCCTGTTCTTCTTCCGTACGAAGAAGGCTGAGGATGCTAACCGTCCTTGCTGGGCCAACACGGCTACAACCTTGTGCATGAGGGTGGATTTACCCAGTCCCGCAGCACCGTGAATCCACAAAACACGAAGCTCGGGGTCATCGGCCCATTTCAAGATGGCTTCAAGTTCGTCGTCGCGGCTGGCGGCAAGGTACTCGTCGAGGCGGTCGCCGCGATGATCCGGTTCCGGAAGAGCGTTCACAGCGTCCTGGTCTGCAAAAGGTCAGTCAACGTTCGGGACCTTCATCGCCGTGAACTCACCTAGCTTGGCGTTCACCACCTCGCTGAAAATGCGCACATCAAAGTGAAGGAGCATTTGGGTCTCGGTCTGAATACCGGGGGGAAATCTCAGAAAAGGTGGCCAGACTTATTCAAATGACAACGTACTTGAAATTTACTGATTGCGCTCTCCAACTCCCCTCTTAATAAAGTGAGATCACCTTGATGGGCCCCCTGCTGAAGGAATCGTGACAAGACACTCTTCTGGCTCATGTTAATGCACTGGCGGCCAATATCCGTCAATTTCCTGCGCGACCGTGAGGCTTGCTCGGACCCATCCATGGTGCAGACTCACTCGTCGAATGCCTTGAAGCATCGTTCAAACTGGGCAGAAAGCTGGTTCGGCTTCTCCGCACATAGTACGGTCAGCGAAACAACAAAGTCGGCTGCGATGCTGGCGATCTGTCGCATCTCATCGATGTTCGACCTTGTTTGCTATTTAATGAAGTCAATGAGAAACTAAAGAAGTATATTTGTGTAGATCGCTCACCTCTACAGCCGTCAACAGACTATACGCCGTTTCGGTGACTCCTTTCAAGATATCCACAGGTACGATCTCTGCAACATCTTTGAGGACCGATAAAGTAGTCGAAGCTGATCCCAGCAGCGCGGTCCAGGTGGTCGAAGCCTGTGCGTTCCCCTTGGAAGGACAGTATCCCAACAGGGAGCAGCGGGATCGCTTTGCAAAGAATGAATCATGGCTGTTCATGCGTCTGGCCGATGAGAAATCACCTTGATTTCCTCGATTTTATGAGAGAGATGTGCCTCAACATTCTCCCAAGACACTGTCCGGGAAGCCAACATCGCCTCGACATCCTCCATCATGCTGTTCATACCATGAGATGACAAGCCATGCCTGTAAAGTGGCGAAGGGCACGAACCCAATATAGTCGGAAAGGACTGGCTCAGCCACTGACGCCTTGCCGGATTGCACGGCGTTCGAGATTTGAAGCAAGAGCTGTGCAGAGAGAAGAAGAGTCTCATCCAGCTGATGTTGGTTAGGATTCGTGCACACGGCTAGTAGTTTTAAAAACAACGTACCTTGTCGTTCCCTGGTGGTATATGGGCGGCGAGACTGACCACCTGAAGCGAGGCTTTCTTCAAGTCCGGATTGTCGTCGATTAGGTATGCCAGCTTCAACTGAGCGATATCCCGACTACTGTTCCCCGTTGGTTGGAACTGTCTTCGAACTGGATCGACGTCTTTGGGCGGCTTCCATCCACTGAGCAGGTTTCGTGCGACCTCCTTCAGCCCTTGACGTATCGCACCTCGTTTCCGCTTCAAAAGCGACATTGGAAGGGAGAGACGTGGTTGTAGAAGAAAAGAGCTGTGCTGTGCTGCAATTCCCAGCAGGCTGCGTTAAGGCTTCGTTTGCCTCGTGTCAACAGCACCAGAATAAGAAAACAGACGCCCGTCCATCACATCAGGCTTGAGGCTCGATTTTTTGTCGTCCTGTCAGTGAGCATCCTTAAGAATTCGAGTCGGGCGAGTTCATAAGAGATCAAGTCGGTCCCAGTGTTTTTCGATAGGTGAAAAAAGCGGGATGAGTGATAAGTCCAAGTTCAACGTGGGAAAGTTCGGTTTATGCTGAGTGCCGATGGCTCCGCCGCTATGGCCCGCTTCCGGCAATGTAGCCCCTAAAGACCAAAGCTCGTTATCAGTCAAGTTTCAACTGTAACTCTGCTCAACTTCTCTCTTCAACCACATTCGAACTTACATACTTCTTCCTAAAATGCCGCCGTCCAACTTTCCAGAGGAGCTACTAGTGTTAAGACAGTGCCAAAAGTGCTACATTCCTGAAAGCGAACTCAAGGCAAAAGAAGGGAGGGTGCTCTCGGTGTGCGGCGGGTGCAAAAAGGCAGTTTACTGCGTGAGCTACATGCCACTGCTTTTCTGACTCTCCTGAAGTTCTAAGACTCGACGCTTAGTCTCAAAAGTGCCAGAAAAATGACTGGAGTTACCACAAAACGTTCTGCAGGTTGAACAGGGGATTTAGGGACACAGTTCGCAGGGAACTGTCTGAGGAAGAAGCCAATGGTTACCAACCGCGCGAAATGGAGCATCGTTTACGAAACTGGATTGAGGTTGACCTCCAATGATTCAATGAAAAGTTCCAATCTGACTGTAAAACGTAGTTGAACCGACCAGACCTTCAAGATACCGCCGTTCACGCCCTGAAACTAGTCGAAAACCAGGACAACCTCTTCACATACATGTTCCTAGTGACACTTCAACCTGCCTTCAAACCTCGAGAAAAGAACATCGACCCTCGAAAGGCATTCGTTATTCATGTCCTGGAACCAGTTCGAATGGACGAATTCCTCCCAAAGGACCCCGGTAACCAGGTCGCTATCAACTCGCTGAAACAGAAAGGAAAAGACCTCAGGAAACAGGGCTATGTTGGTCTGGTCATGATGCAAATCATGGTCACTGACCCGATACCGTTGGCCCACATGTCCCCCTTTGGCGTTGCCGACATCGAGACCCACAAACCGTACGATCCAAACTGGAAGGAAAACTTTACTAAGAAAGCCAGCGCCTTTCCTGGCTTCGTCCTGCCACTCTCTCCCCAATGCCCGCTCAAGTAGGACACTTCAGCCTCTTGCCCTATCGCGAAACTGTTATTCTTGCTGCTGACCTCTACGGTATCAAAGATACTTGGGTATGATATTGCTGCTACAAATTGTCTACATTGCGATCGATCAGATAGTGAATCTAACTTTCAGATAAATTACAAATAAAAAGGAATGCCGTATACCACAGGTGCAGCCCCAGTCAGGTACTTTAGCTTGCAAACGTCCCTCGACTGCGCAACCGCCGCGACAACCGACATGGACTGCTGTTGCTTGTCGCCCCGTTTCTTGATCTCGCTGGCCTTCAATCCGACCTTATCGAACACAGACATGGAGAACTTGTCGATGTCCCTGTCCGTGACGTCCCACAGGTTGGCGACGAGCGTTGGGCTATTCGAGGAATTAGATTAGTTGCCCAGATTATAATAAGTAGCAGAGGAACTTTACCATCCAGCGAGCATGTAATTGTAAGGTGTTCCAACCCTGTCGAAATCACCCATCTCACGGAGTGCCCCAGAGGAACAGCCCCACAACATCGTAGCAGCACAGGTGGGAAGGCTTCGAATTCGATGAGAGCGGACATACTGCTCACCGCCTCCATGCCCAAAGTATCTATCCAGCGGATCAGTCACAAACCATCGTGATGGGATCCGAAATCACTCACACAACGAAATCCTTGGTCCTCAACGCGTCCACAAACTGCTGCTCGCTCACAGCACGCCCCACAACACCATCCCATCCAATCTGCTTCATGTCGTCCGTCCACTCTTTGAACCGTCCTTCCGTCTTGCCAAGGTCACCACTCGGGTTCAAGATAAAGTACCCTTTGCGAGTGTCGAGGACAGCCGAGCCAGGAGGACCCCCAGTAGTAGATGCAGAGGCCGCCCTAGACTTGCCACGCTTCAAGTTGGCCAGCTCGACACGATCAACGAGGAAATCAACGCAGGGGATTCGACTGATGCTCCTTCCCTTCATAATCGGCAGACTCTCCCAAGGCAGTCCCTGGACATTCTTGTCAAGGACGAGGAAGACGTGTTCGTCCAACGCTGCTGTCATCGCCCGATTCGTCCTCCGATGCTTCATCAACCTCGCATTGTGTTCTTCCAGAACCGCTCTGAGATCGACGACGACTTGAAGGGCATCGACTTCGGCAATGGCGATCGGTACACCATGAAGCTGGTATAGGTCCAGAACGAAATAGAGCAGGTCTTCGAGTTCTTCGTCTCTGCATTTTGGTGAAAGCGTGGAGAAGCAGCGCAGCATGGTGTCATCGAGGGTGACTTGACTTGGTGCAAGCGATTGAGAGAAACCCCGTCTATGGCCTGTCGAGCGGGATTTGGTGGTGCGTTTTGGATCCTTGACGTGAAGACTGCGCTGGAACACACGGTCAATACCCGCTCGCAGCTCAGAGAGCAACTCCGGGGTCAAGTCAGGTCGTGGACCCAGGATAGTCTACCCAGACGAGTGAGCAACTCCTTCAATGGCGGCGAAAATAGGTAACACTACCTTGAACGCTCCCAGCCAGCAAAACTCGATGTTCTCCAAAAGGTCCTTGAGCCGAACATCAAGCTCATTCCTCTGCCTCCACCAATTTGACCTCGCCTCTTCATCATCTGATCGAACATGAATTGCCGATTTGGTGCCTTCATCGCTCAGTCGGATGATATCGTTGAACTCTTGCATCGCGTCTTCAAACGTAAGGTGCTCTTCGTCCTCTCCCCCACCATTGTCCCTCCTCCCTTTCAAGGGTACAGAGAACACCAATGGTTCCACGCCGCTCTCCCCGCACTCTTGCCTTGAGACAAGCAGCGTGCCCTTGTCATCGGTGAGGCTGACGTGAACGATCGTCCAATTCGAAGGAAGGTCGGCAGTTCGTGATGTCGATAGCATTTCTGGATCCAAGAGGCGGGGTTCGTATCTGCTTTTCACGTTCTCCCAATACTTCTTGACGGAGACCTCGCCCTCATCGTCCGAATCATCCATGTCGACATCGGAATCATCAAAGATTCGCCTGGTAGGTTTCGCGACTTGAGCTTGAGGAGCGCCCTTGGAGTCCATCATGGGCCATTCGATATCGTCAGAACGCAATGCTGCGATCTTCTGGTGAATGGCTTCGAGCATTTCTCGCCTGAGTGTAATAGCCGAAGAAGTATCTTCACGCTTCTTCAACATCGTAGGTTCAATCCAGCAAGATGATACGACTCACCAAGTAAAGATGACGCATAAACCGCATTCGTATCGCCCAAACGTCCCAGAGAGGTCTGGAACACCTTGACAAGGGTCAACGAAACAGCAGCTTCACGGGCCTTCAAAACATCCCCAGAGCCGACAGACAATTTCAAGCCCTCCTGGAAGTACTTCTCGGCCGTGTCCAACGCATTGAGAACGTCTTGCACAGGAAGTGCAATCTGCACGCCACCCTGGCTCGACATGCCCATCGGGATGGAAATAGCTAGAAAGGAAATGTTAGTTGGGGAAGTGAAGAGCTGTTGGATGAACATACTAGACTCAGTGAGGGAGCTCAGGAACATGTCACTTCGGAACCGGTTGTATACATTGTACAGGGTCAGGTTAGCCATGAGCGCGTTTTCCTCCACTTTGGTTCGCATAGACATGGGCAAAGACTCGAGTTTGTCTACCAGAGCATGGAAGTCGGCGTCCATATTTTCTCGCAAGAGCCAGACTGCCGTAAAAGGATTAGTATCATGAACAGACGGGACGCTGGCATACTTACTGCTTCGGCACAGGACGAGAGCCAGCAAATCAGGTACAACTACATCGCCCGAGTTCTCGTTGTCAAGCGACTTCCTGATCCTACACCAGCATCAGCAAGCCTGACCAAACGGAAAACAAAAGAAAACTTACCCCAAGAAGCTCGAATCAACTTTCTGGAACCGCCCGTTCAACTCGTCCAACAGCCTCATACTCGCGAACAATAACTCCTGCGCATCCTCGTTCAACTCAGCCTTCTCATTGAACTTGGCCAGAAGCCGCTTATTCTCAATCCTCTCCAGCGCAGCAACAACCGGTCCTTTATTCACCTCGACCTCCTCAAACCCATCATCATCTTCCGCTTGATCCACCACTTCCACTACATCCCCCTCACTAAAGTCCTCTTCACCATCCCGTCTGATCCCCAGCCTCCTCGCAGCCTCCTCCAAACTCTCCTGTGCGCTCTCCAACTTGCCCATCCCGAGCAGCACTTCACTCAGGCGCGTCATGGCCCTCCCAACCACAACACCAAGATTCAATTCCTCGCCCAACTCTTTGGCCTGCTTTAAGAAGTACTCCGACTCCCTCGGCGAGCCTCGCGTGAGGTAGGCGTCAGCCAACGCAAAGAGCGAGGAAAGAAGGCCCTGGAAGATTCGCCACTCGAATTCGCCAGCGCCTGTGCCGCGACGGTTCGTAGGCGTAGAGGACGCGAGTATAGTCTTCGACTTGGACGCGGTTTGGGTGGTATCCATCGGGTGTGCAGAGGTATTGGTGGGGGTTTCGTTGGATTCGAAGGGGTTCGAGGATGCTTGTGATTTCGAGGACTTCGAAAGTCGTGAAATGGCATCAATCGCTCTATTCCACAGGCGGAGAGATTGGAGCATGGCGTTGAGCGAAGTCGTCACGTCCTCCTGAAGGGAAAGATCAAGGAATGGACGGGGAATGAGATGATGGGAAAACATACCCTCGCAAACTGAACAAGCGCATACACATACGCAGCCATGGCACTCAGCTCCAATTTCCTCGTCCGGGTATGGATCCGTTGCACACTCGACATTCCTCGATGATCGGGTTCAATCCTCTGCGCGTGTTCCAGTGCTTCCAGATAGACCTTTGCACTGTTGACATCAAATGGCATGAACATCCCATTGCCCTTCCTCCATGGAGACAAATAGAGAAGGACAACACACCTTTTTTCAACCTCGCCGGCCATTGCTAGCGCCTCGGCGAACCTCAACAAATAGAATGCCGAGATCTCCTCAGACGCATCGCCTGCTCGAACAACATCCAACGCCGTGCCAAAGATAGTCGTGGCCCGTTTGAGTTTGCCCAACTGAACATATTCATAGGCGAGTTCGAGCGAACACACAATGAACGCTGCGCCAACAAGGAACCAATCAGTCCATGGAACGAACATGATGATACCGAACTGCACACCTTCACTCGCAGCACCCAGCTGCCTCTGACACAGTCTCCTCAGCGAAGCCAAGAGCTGGACTCGGGGAAGAACCAACGAAAGTAGCCCCAGAATCCTCACAGTGAGCACTATTTCAAAACAAAAGTATCAGCACCGATTCTTCATGCCAAGACAGGAACAAAACAAACGCACTCAACAGCTCATGGAACCTCCCAAAATCATCGAACGGGATCGGCATCACTCCCACAGATGCAACTTCCTTGCTGAGGGAAGGTCTCGGAGGAGTACCGACACTCGACACAGGGGATAGCAACGTAACCGTCTTGGTCGCTTTAGGCGTAATAGGCGGAGCCGCCGACGAGCTACCCACACCCGTACCCACTGCCACCGTTGCGCCAGCAGCAGTAGCACTCCTCGTCCCAGCCCTCGTCCCAACGCGCGTCCTACTCGAAGCAGGCGGTTTCCTCGGCGCAGCAGGCACACTCGGCGGCTCCCTCCTCGACCTCGTAGCTCGCGGTTCCACAACCCTCTTAACCACCACTTCCCCTACGCCCTTTCCTCCTGACGCAGATGCCTTCCTCCCAACACCTCCACTCCCAGAACGAGCCTTGACAACTCTTGGACTGGCAGAAACCTTCCTCCTGATTGGCGTGCCACCCACACCGCCTCCACTCCGCACACTCGACCTCCTCCCTCCTAGAACCATTCCACCGCCCGCAGCACCGGTGAAGGAATCAAAGAGGAATTTCAGGATCCTAGCGCCCTTGGCGACGTGCGTAGCAACCACACCCAACATCTCGCCATTCCCATTACCCCTCTTATGCGCATGCAATGCAACCCACAAATGCGTCGAGATCCTGTACTGCTTCGTATATATCGCCAAAGCCACGTCTTCTCCTACATTCAATCTTGCTTGTTGGTACGAGAGAGAAAGCATCTTGAGGATCTCATCCGCGAGTGACGTGGTCGACGACAAGTTGAGGGAGACGAGGAGGTCATTCGCCGGAGAACTGGTGCCATCCGAAGAATCCGGTCCCTGATCCCTATACAAAAATTCCAAACACTTCAACAACGCCCTCGCCCGCCTCACAGGCATCAAATACCCCTCTGTCATCTCACCCTCCTTGTCCTTGTCACCACCCCTGCCCCGCCCGCCGCCGGTCCCACTCCCACTTCCAACCCTACCACCTCGTCCCCTCCTTGCAACCGCACTCCTCGTAGACCTCGCAGGCGTCGCTTCCTGAGCTTCATTGGCACCAGGGGAACTGAATGGCCCTTGAACACTATACACCTCCACCATATCCTTCAAAAGTCCCACCAACACCCTCCTCGCACCCTCCTTATGTCGGTTCTGAAGGAGAGCTTCGTACTGGTACTCTAGCAATGCGCCAATGATCTTGATGTCCTTCAGATCTGGCTTCCTAAGGGATCCGGCATCAGACGAAGGGGAGGCGGAGACCCCATCCAGCTTCATTCCTCCCATCCTCTTCACCAAATCATCCTCAGATCCCGACGGCGCCACCGCTTCACCAAACCCACTCCGCACAGAGACCTCCCTGGCACTCAACAGCAGCTCGCATGCGCCCACGTATGTGACCCGGTCGAGCAGGTTCTTGAGTTGTTGCAGGAGATTCTTCTCGTCGCCCTTGTCGCTGTCGTCTCGTCCAGCTCGGTTCTCGTCGTCTTCAGCGATGGTCAAAGTCGTAGGCGCAGGAACTGCACTGTCGGGATCGAAAACACCATCCAAAGCCACCCGATCCGCTCTCTCCGCCATCCTCGTCGAAGAGAAAGGGAACACACGAATACAATCCTTGAACGCCTCATACGAGTTCTAAGCCCAATATTAGTCTCACGTCGATCACAGAAGCGAACCAGGAGCACAAACACACACCTTGCGATCCCCATTCTTCAAATAACAAACTGCCAACAATTCATACCGCTTAAAAAGCTGGTTCTCAAGGAGCCTCCACTCCCTCTCTTTCTCCCTCTCCTTCCTTTCCTTCTCCGACTCCTCTTTGCCCTCCTTACTTTCCTCTTCTTTCGCTTTGGCTCTAACGCCACCCCTCACAGCCCCAATACCCAAACCCTCTTTCCGCCCTTTAACACTCCTCCCACTGGCCTTCTGTTCTTCCTCCTTAGCTCCCAAACGGCCCTTTCTTTCTCTCCACCCCTCCAACCCCTTCTCGCCAACCACACACGCTCTCTTCAAAAAGGGAACAGCAGCACCAAACCTCTGCGCCTGATACAACCTCCCCGCAAGGTTATAAAACGCACCCGAAATACACCGCAGGTAATTCGGGATGTCCAGCTGCTGCTTTGAGCGGCCTACTTCGTTACCATCTTCGCCCCCGCCCTGGGACTGAGGTGAGCTTCGCCGAGATTCGTGTCGCACAACACCGTCACAAATCCCCACACCCTCCTCCAAATAATCATACGCAGGAATGCAACTCTCCATATCCCTCGTATCAAGCGTCGTCCTCGCCAACAAGAACAGTGTGTTCAAAGCGCGAGAAAGCACATCCGAAATGAAGTCCAGATGAACCTGATGATGGAGTTCGGGGTCGGTGGCGTGTTCATCCTCATGAATCTACGAATAGGGTGCACGATTAGCACGAATATCGAAATGAAAAAGAGTGGCCGCGACTTACCTCGCCGTCGTCGAGGACGACTAGTCCCTTCAGAACGCCCACGCAGGACTCCAAGATTTCCTCCGCAAGCTTCCTCAGTGTCTTCCCGCCACGCGCTGGTTCAATGATCGTAACACACGCTCTGCGCAGTCGCTCGAACCCACGGTCGACCTTCCCTGAGAGACGCTTGAAGTCCTCAATTTCTTTCAGAAGTCTGGGGTCGTCGGTATTGGATTCCACGAAAGGCGTGTAGACCTCTCCGCGTAGCAGGTAGTGTAACGGAAGCGATGTTTGTAGGATTTGAAGCGACGGCTGGAGATTCCGTATCGTTTCTTTATCGTCTTCATCTAACGAAGCATATCAGAGGGCACTTCTCCTAAGCACTGAAAATTACGGCCTCACCGCTCGTTCCACCATTCACACTGCATGCTCCTACAACATTGTCAAGCGCTACCACGCCCTGAGCAAAAACAGCACAGATCTTGGTCGCATGGTGCATGACCTCCTTGAGGGTCAACTGCTGTCTTTCCTTCTCCTTCTCCACACTGCCTTCCTCCCCTGCCTCCTCCTCTCGGCCCTCTTCTTCAGTGGCAGCAGCCGGCGTAAGCGACCTCGCCTTCTGTTTCGGCGTACTAAACCCAGACGGCGCCCTTGCAGCAAACACAGACGCCGCCGCCCTCCGTAATACCGCACTCGAACTCGACGTATCGCCACCCCCACCACCCATCAACGCCCCAACCCTCTCCAGCAAACCCACATCCCCCACCTTCCTCGCAAACCCGATCCACATCTCACACACGAGCGCAAACTTCTCCGCTCCTCTCCGGGTATCCGTCACCGCCTTGCTACCGTTCGAAGGTGATGATGGACGAGATGACGAAGGGTCGGTGGTCCACGAGCCTGCATCTTCTCTCTCTTGTACAGCTTCTAGTATTGAATCGAAGAATCGCAGTATGGAATTGGTGGCTTCTTCCTCTTCTCGGTTGGCTTGTTCGTCCTCTGATGACGACTTGGTCGGCCGTCCTTTAGATATTCCAGAGACATAGGCGTTTACGAACCGCATCACCTGTTCCCAGAACATCGCAGGCTCGACAACACCAGGGGATGTACATGACAGGGCGTGTAACGCGTAGCTTCGCAGGATGAACATGGTTCGAGCAGTTGGGGTAGCATTTGATGTGGTTGGCGTCGTATTTCCGGGTGAGCTCTTCGAGACTGTCCTTGCTGCGGATGACTTTCCTCTTGCCGTTGTCGCAGTCGACGATTTAGTCGATTTGCTCGCAGATGCCGATGAAGAGGATGATGAGGATGAGACAGAAGCACAAACTCTCGTCAAAACACTATACACCCTCGTCAACAAGCCATCTAGGTGTTTTCGATCGAGTTTGTGGCTCTGGAAGGTAGGGACCCAATCTAGGAATGTGCCCTCTGGGGAACGGCTGCGTCTACTGGTGTATGGGACCCCGTTATTGGGGGGTGGACAGTCCAGATATTCCACCAAATCGTTGAGGTCTTCAGGTTTGCATGTCTGAACAGCTGTGGCCAGGGAATATGCGAGATATGTCGACAGAATGGTCAAATGAAGTGGCGGGAGATTCGTATTCGTTCCAGGGGTTGAGATGGAGAGATGGTCGTAGTCATTAGATGCTGTAGATGTTGACGGCGACGGGGTCGTCGGGGAACCGAGATTCAAAGCACCCAAAAGAGGCTTATGTATCTCTTTCATCAGATCATTAGCTTCATCGTGCTATTGATGCATCCATTAGCTGAATGGTGATATCCCAATGAAATGAAACGACGCACCATGTCCAAAGCAACAAGTTTGGTTACAACGCTCAACGCTGCTCTTTCAATATCCAATCCTCCTGAAGCTGACGTTGTTGGCGTATCACCGTTTAAAGAAGCGGCTTGTAGTCTCCTCAGCACGGCCAAATGGTAACGACACTCTCCAACCCACTCCTTCGCTTCTTTCATCGATGCAGACCCAGTCCCCGACGAAGCCTTCCAACCAGCTTTAACCAGTCCCGACAGTCCTTGAAGCGACGCGTTAACAGCCCTCATCGACGTGACTCTATCCTCCTTCTTCTCCTCCCGTGGCGGTTGCCCATCGGCCTTTGCTTTCGTTGAGCTCGAGGATGCGGAGGGTTTGCTGGACGAGCTGGGCTTCGTCCGCGAGGATCCAGCGGCCGTGGTAGACGATTTGGACCGGATTGTGAGCTTCGATGCTAGAGCATCGGCCAGCTGGTCTGGCGTATTCGCGTTCGAGCTCGATGCCTTTCCCGACCCTGCGTTGGTCGCAGTATTCGTTCGACGGTGTCGCGTAGCCATGCTTGTTCTCTAAGAAGCCGTGTAGATGATCTTCTGGCTCAAATGTCGTGATATAAGTTGTAGGAAAGACCAGAGAATGAGGAAGAACGAAAAACAAAGAACGCAATGAGCGCCAGGTGGGTAGTTTGAGTTGAACCTGCACCGAAGAGCTTGAAGTGGCCTGGAAGAGCACAGCCACGCAACTGCGAGACGCGCTTCGTCACGGTCACATGAGGTGAACCCAGCCCGACAAGCCTCGCGAGTAACGCGTCCTTCCCGTTCCATCGTGTCACATAGCCTGGAGACCCAAAAGTTATGTGTGATAGGTTGCAGAGCTAGACTAAGCGGCAGGCAGCCAGTGTATAGCACCTGCAATATCAGCGAGGGCGTGTAAAAGCCCTCACCGGCAACCGGACGCGACGCTCAGAGTTAATGACAACTGGCAGCATCAACTACCTCACATACGTTGAAGCTCAAATACTAAATAAATTAAAGCAAAGTCCGAAATCACAGCCAAAAGATACCAAATATACCAGCAGCAATTACAACCCATATCACTCCCACCCTCCGGGATGCTCTCAGCCCAGTAGCGGCCCCACCCTCCCCATCAACCTCAGTCCACTCCACTTCAAACTCCTCCACCCACTCCCCAAACCTCTCCGCCACATCCACCCACACCCTCGCAATACTCTCATCCGCCCCCGCATTCACCCCCTGCATATCGCTGCAATGGAACCCATCCGTCAGGTATATCGGCCGAGTGGGGCTAGAGGGGAAGAGTCCATTGCCCGTCGTATCGTCCGAACCTCTCGTACTCGATCCCTCGTTAGAGTTACTATCATACAAAGCATACCCCTCAAACCTCGGCATCAACAGTTCACTACTCGCATTCGTCGAAGGCGGCAAATCTGTCTGGCTCAATGGCAAACTCGTCGACCACGTCACTTCCAACCACGGATCCCTCGCACCGTTCACCACAAACAATCTATCAGCAGTCGACTTCCACCCCTTGAGTTTCTGCGAAGTCGAGTCGACCCGCGAGTTGGCAGCTTCGACTTGGGCGGTTGCGTTGATGGAGTCAGTGGAAGTAGATCCAAAGGCTTCCGGGAAGGCATATTGACATATCGACTGTGTTCTCGTGAGATCGAATAAGTAGTAAGATGAGAAAAGAGACGCACCTCCCAAGCGGCTACGTCCAAGTACCTCGACACAATTGCAGGGACTTCTGGCAGATCTCGTGGGGGCCCCGTTTGGAACCACCCCAATTCGCTGCACCTATTTAAACGTCACGCGTCAGGATTTGCAGCACCGAAGAGGCGCTGAGAATACAAGACTCACACAGTCCACATCCACGCCCTATCATCATTGCCCACAGACATATCTCTATACGCTTCAAATGATTCGTCTATACAGCGCCTATTCGATCGTGAGCCCACTTTAGCCTCGGAGGACTCAAAGGAAACAAACGCACGTAAAATCCGATGACTGGCAGCCTGGAACGGTTTGAGAAAACACGTTAACAACCAACGAAACAAGGAAACTTTCCTACCTGCAGGCAAGAACACCATTCTATAAAAATCCGACCAATTCGTATACGCAGTTTCGAAACCTGCGCCTTCTGGGGTATCCTTCAAACAACCATCATCGCATTCTCCCCTTAAAGAGTCCTCAGAAAAAGACCCACGTTGACAGTTCCATTACTCGATGTTTGCAGCAAGTCGCAGAATTCGTAGAAATAGGAGCCACCCCTTTCTTCGGAAGTGACATCCAGAGATTGCCATTCACCTACAGGGCGTATCACTGCGAGACGCGGTCGTCAGAGGTAAGCCGAAGAAAGTAATATGAGACGTACGCATGTTCAGAAACAACACTACATCTACACCAGGCATCCCAAAATCCCTCTGTACCTGCTCCAACTCCGTTCCATTCCCCGTTTCCATCCAAGTATCCACCGTGGAATCGATATAGGATATCACAGACGCAACCGAGGTGGTGCAGTTCTGAGGCATATAATGCGCAACAAGGGACCAATACTGCCAAAAGTCTCTGCGGGAACCCTCGTAAGTCATCGACAACAAAAGGTGCAACCAGAACTGAACGCACGCCAAAGGCTGAACAACTCCACTACTGCTATACCCCGCCCAAAACGTCCCCGGCCTCTCATTCATAGTCCACGAGGTAAGCGCGCCCATATAACTCCCACCCATCATAACCCACGGCGTCCTATCAGGCCTCAACTTCCTCACTTCCTCCTCCACCTTCCTCTTCTCCGAATCACTCAATCGCCTCCCAGTAATCACCTTCTGTAGCTTCTCCCTCCCACCGACGGAATCAGGGTCTCCAATCCCACCGAGCGCCAAAGCCCGAGCCATGGGCAGCTCCACTCCCCTCGCAAACCCAACAAAATCGTCCATCGCTTGTTCGATCGTGTGGACTTGTTGGAAGACCGAGGTGCTGAAGTTGTTGTATGGGTTGGACGCTCCGTAGAAGCGGTGCTCGAGGAGGACAACAGCCCCGTTCAGTTGCTCCGCCAGAGTGCCTGGAAGACCCACAGGGGTTAGGAAGGGGTAGGTGTCCAGCAAGGATTGTTCCCCCGGGGAATATAGAATAATCGGTCCACCTGTATATGTTACACGTTGTTTCGTTATAATCGTGGAAAGCAGTAAGGCGAAAAAACACGCACCAGGCTTGTAGAACTCCCAAGTATGATAATACCGCTGCTTGAACGTCCCCAACTCCGGATTATTATGATCAACCAGCTGGTCATACTCATAGAGGACATCATAGTCTGGTATCGTCCTCCCCTGAACATCCGTCGCCGGTTTGTTCAAAATCCCCGATTTCGAGCCAGTAGAAGAGGTCAAACCATTAGGATGAACGTTCTTCAGTTCCTCCTCGGTAAACTTCCACTTCTTGCGGTTTCCAAACGTGAACGGAATACGATATGTCGACTCAAGTCGTCTAGCGAGGCGTTTATGCCTCGACTCCCAGAGTGCACGTTTATCTAGGTCATTGGCTGGTTCAGAGGCGGCGCCAGCGTTGGCGTCGGCGAATCCAATTGCCAAAGTCAGAAAGAGAACGACAAGAGCGCTCAGGCCGATGGGATAACGACCCATGGATGCCCCACTCCTCGAGTTCGAAGCGTCGATACTGCCTATCCGAGATTGCGCCAAGGATGTAGAGAAGAAGAAGGAGGGCGAGAACTAGAATAGCCACAGAATCAACGTCTAGTCTGATGAACAATAACCCAGGTAACTTACGACAGCGACGGTGACATTCAAAGCGTTATGTATGGCCTTGAGCGCTAGACGCCGCCCATGAAACCATCGGCACACAAGATCAGCAGGCTTGGAACTCCTTCTTGTAGAACATGAAATGAAGCGTCCGGTGTCTCATATTGCTTCCCTTGTTGACGGTTGACTTTCTGTGTGAAACCCCAGAATGAGAGGCAAATGGAAGCCAACTTCGATGAGATGGCTAACAAATGCTGTAAAGGAGCCATCTGATGGCGGTGATGGGAAATCAGCGGGTCAACTTGACTTGGGCATTGAAAACGGTGGAGAGGCAAGACGAGGAAACCATGAGCTTTGGGCAGAAATACAGTGTAATGTGGGTAATAGAGAAAAGAAGATTGAAAGGGCAAGCGACCCATGAGCAGCGCGATACCTCTAAGTTACTACTAGTAGATAGGGGCTTCTAGTCGCGCCTCGGCCTGAGGCGCCGGCCATGCAAAAGAGCTGCATACAATGTCATTCCAATCGCTACTATTACAAGGTGCTACTCCTCCGAACCTGGAACAGGCAAGTCCAAAAGATCTATGACACGAATCTCCTCCACCTCCTTTCCATATTCTAACCAAATCACAGCCATCCGGCCAGTCAACGGACAAATAGTACAAAGGTCAATCATCTCAGGATTGAAGTCTCCCTCAAGGTTCACATAGAACGTGTAGCACGAAAGCGGCTCTCCGGCGTCCAAACCGCGTCTGGAGATAGGCACCGCTGTAAGAGCCGCAGCCAGGGGCAGCTCAGGGATCGCATGTCCACTGAAGAAGAAAAGGTGGTTATTGGCGTAGGCGCCGTACGTGTGCCCCAAAAGCGACTGAAAAGGACTGTCGATGTGTGAGTCCACAATGTAGCGCCCCCGTCCCGTGTAGCTCGTGGCAGTACCGATGCGCCTCGTGGTTTGAGCTCGCGATCCTTCCGCATTGCCGACCTGGGTGTCGTCGTCCTCCGCCGTGTCCAATCCGATCGCATAAACTTCCAGCCCCATGAAGAGCCATCGTCCACCTCCCTATCTTTCCCATCGCCATCCAATTGGCGGACATTACCCTCCCCATCCATAACCACAACCGCAGGCAGTGTCCTCTCATCCGACTTCGCCCAAATCGGCGAATGAACCAGACTAAAATCGCTCATCTTCTCAAACTTGTAGTCGAATTCCTGACGCAGGCTTGTCTTCTCGGTGATGGTAACTCTGGGGAGGTCGTCGAGGTCGGGAAAGTCGGCCCTCCTGCGTAGCGATATATCGAACGTCTTGATCTCCATCACGGACGATTGAACATCCCCTTGGACCGTCACCAGGGTATCTCCATAGATCGAAACCTTTCATGTCTCCAGGTTAGCATGGGTAGTAGAAACAGACAGGATTGAAAGTGAAACAGACCCAATCAAACGTGATTATCCCCGGATCCAATCGTGCCACAGTGTCGCAGCGATAGTTCCAAATAAAAATCTCAGCCGCCTGGCGTCCCGGTTGAGTCGAGGGGGGAACGCCAAATCCCCTTTTCATGAAGAGATAATCTCCCGAGACGTGGAAATTCATCCTCGCTGATGAACCGGGAGGGTTGTCGAGCTGTGCTTCTAGTTGAAAGCCTTGCGAAGGATCATGAATGTCCACTGTATAAACTCTGGCGCACTGCTGTTCAATTTCATCGGTGTCACTGTGTCTCGACAAATAGATATCAGGAATGTGACGGAAGATCATTGTGAAGGAAACAGACTGACTCTTCAAACACGCCGCAAAGCACGACACGACTCGAGGATGTTGCAGCGATACTCGTAGTCCGGAAGTCTGGGGGGAATATGACATGGGCAACCGGGCGTCGTTTCATACGATGCTTCTTTCCATACCCCAAGTCCCACAAGCAGGCCGCAGTTTCTCCTCCATCGTCATATGCCCTCGAACGGGAAGTAGTCACCAGAAAGCGGCCTCCGGGTACCATAAACGCAAATTCAAATTCGACAGCAACAAAGCGCGGCGGGCGTAAGACTTCAAAGTTCTCGAATTTGGGGATGAACTTGGAGTGTCCACGTCTCATCCAGTCCAAGAAACGGGAAGGAGAGAGAGCAAGCCGCTCAAGATCTGCCAAGGACATCTTCTCGAGCGAGAATTGGGCGACGTAATTTTGAAGACCATGACGATGGTATAAATCCTGTACTGCATAGATCCACAGGATCTTCATCTTGGATAGCTTGTGGAACGATTTGCACGTCTAGAGTGTCGCTCAGTCCAGCATTGCCGATGAGTGGCGATCATGCAAGAATGGACGTACCCGTCGCATGGAAATGAAGTCTCGCGGTTCCAAATACCGGTGGATGGACAGCATGATGTCGCGACATGCTACAATGGCCTGGGACGACATTGCTGAGATGAATCGCCCTTTCCTGGTCGAGGTGGTAGGGTTAGAAGATCTCGCAAGCCTGACCAGTGGCAACCCAAAGTAGTTGCGCACTCTGATATATTCCATTCTCCGCTTGATTGCCTCCGAGTCGGCGCGAGGGAACGTCAACTGGATATTGAGGCAGAGTAATCACGAATATCCCAAGATCAACGAACCTTGGGCGCTTGAACGCCGAGGTCTCGCTGGCGTCGACAATGGCGTTCTCAATTTGCAATAGTTGTGTAACGAGTAGCTAACATTGTAGTCGACTCTATGTATTGTCTTGCATAAGTATTACTAGGACAATGAGCGACGCATATCGACGAGGACGAAAAGTTTTGAAAGAGACCAAGCGCGGGGACGCGTTCGCGTGTCTCATGGTTCCCTCATCTTTCGCAGATCCAGGTTCCTCGGAGACAATTCAACAACAACCTCAAATAGCATCAATCGCAACAAGTAAAAACTTCATAGCTACTAATGGTCGTTACATATTCAAGAAACATCTCCCAAAGTCATCTAAATTCGCCCCCTCCCTCCGCCAGCAACGTCCCCTATTCCTATCCCTTTGTCTGCTTTCCGTTGCTCTTGGCACTGGCCACGAGGCAACCGCGTGCCACAATCGCACTGCCACAGACGCGCCATTGACCAGCCAACCTGAACCCTCCCAGCGCCTACTTCTCTCTTTCAATTCACAACTAAATACACCTTCCCGTCCTAATCCAAACCTTTCAGCAAAATCTCACTAAAATCGCAGGACTGAGGAAAGAAACACGAAGAGCCCGGAAGCAATCAACGACGCGACGCGGTAACGTGATCCAGATAAGATTTACCCACACCCCTATCGTCATCAGATTACCAATCGCCCAAGGCTCGACTCGTTCACCGCTTGACCACCAACCACTACTATCGTTGTTGCCACTCGTCATCCGCGTCCTCTATCCTTCGTATTTCTCTCATCGTACGTCCACTATCACTCGTACATCGAGGATCGCGTTGAAAACTAACAAAAAAACAGTAAACAGAATCGAATTCGAAGATGAGAGCCACTCGCAATACCAGCGTCCAACCGAAACTAGAACCAACCGATCCGCCTCCTATGCCTCAACAAACTCGCTACTCCCTTCGTAAGACCGCGGCTCGAAAGGAAGCCATCCTCGGCACCACAAAGACTGCAAGCCCAGTCCAGAAAGCTCGAAAGCAAAAGCAAGCCGCGGCGAAGACCAAGTCAAAGGCAAAGGAACGACAGGCCACAGTCAAAGTCAAGGTGACGCCCAAACAGAAGCCATCGAAGAAATCCAAAGCACCCACCAAACGCGAATCCACGACCCCGACTTCCACATGGAGGTTCCTCGCATCGCCCAAGAGTGTCGCTTCCTTTTCGTTGTCGGTTGGGCCAATCGTCGACGGTGCCACCTCGATTAGCGCGGTAATGCGCGAGAAGGGGAATGTCGCGGCACCCTCGGTCTCCCAACCTCCTTCGCCCATCGTCGACAAGGCTCCCACCGCTATCCCCGACGTTGATCAACGCGCCGGACCCTCGACCGCGCCTGTGGCCTCTCCCGTCACTCCTCCTCGTCCTGCAACCCCGTCCACCGGTACGGCTTCCCCATTCCTCGAGCTCGCCACTGTTCGTGGCCCCACCATAAGCTACCGCAAGTCCGCGAGCCCCAGAACCCGCAGCCCCACCCCGGACTACCCATCCTCCAAACAGCGCGTCTACACCGTCATCCTCCTCGGCAACCTCAACCTCTCCGCCGCACTCGCCGACAATTTGACGACCATGACGCAGCAAACCATTATCAACGACATCTTGTGGAAGGTCAAGGAGGAGAAGAAGAAGCCAGAGTCGGCTCAGCGCGAGATGTACGGCCTCACCAAGGAGGAATTCGAGCGATTTGAGGATTTCGTTGCCGGTGGTGTTGGAAGGACCAAGGCGGAGAGGGGAATTGTCGAGGAGGACGTCATCGAGGAAGTCGCCGAGGAAGCCACCGTCTCTCGTGCTGCGAGCATTACTCCAGAGGTCGAGGAGGCTCCCGAGCAGGTTTCTCGTGCTGCGACCGCCGAGCCAGAGGTTGAGCAGGAGGCTCCCGAGGAGGTTGTTGTCAGTCGCGCCGCAAGCATGACCCCCGAGATCCAGAAGGGCCTGGAGGAGCAGGTTGTCCAGGATGGAGAGGTCGAAGAAGCCGAGGATGAAGCAACTGCGCTAGAGGAAGACGCCGAGACTGTTACGACCGGAGATGCCGGCAACGATGCTCCAGTTCGAGAGACCACCCTCAAGCCCGCCACCGACGACGACGATTCCGATACCCGCACCGAGGTTGCTGTCACAGCAGTCCAGGCTGACGAAATCTTCGGCGTTTCTGATGGAGAGAGCAGCGATCCCGAGCAAGAAATTCAGATTATCGAGCAGAACGACCACGACGGCGAACCCGAGGAAATTGGAGACGAGGAAGAACAACCAGAGCCTGCACTAGTACCGGCTCAAGTTCCTGAGGAAGAAACCACCGTTTCGGCATCGCCCAAACACGTTTCGCCTCAGGTCCACGCACATGACGATACGGCCGACAAGGCTACCACTACAACCAACACGGTTGAGACGGCCACCCAAGCAGCAGAATCGCCTGCAGTGTCCTGCGGCGAGCAACGCGAGGAGGGCCCACAGACGCCAAAGAGGTCCAGACCTATTTTTACCGCCCAAGACCTGGCGACCTACGAGAGACTCAAGCGTCTCAATCCACACGGCACAGTAAGTCCCCCCTTCCTCTCTCCCGATCCCAATCGAACCATCATACTGACTGCAATTCCGCAGGCCGCCGAAGAATACCTCAAGGAAAAGCTCAACCGACCCAGCTGGCTGGGAACCGGTGATACTCCTCCCGACCCAAACCGCAAGTTCGACGAGGCGTTCTTTAGGCGACGCGACTTGAAGTGGAAGACACTTTACGGGTTGTGGCGGTATTATGGCAGATGGGAGGGTGTGGCCGGTGAGACCAGCAAGGAATGGTGGGCGAAGTACCGGGAAGAGGTGCACGATCGGGCTTTGGTCTACAGCAACGCGGCTTGGAAGGGTAGAAGGAGGATCGTCAGGATTTTTGGAAGCGATGGCAGGGTACGTCCATCTCCCCATGGCTATAACCGGCGGATCTTTGAACAACGTGTGCTTACCATCAACTCCCCACAGAGACGTGTTCGATTTGTGATCCCCAATGTTACCCGGAAGCGTCCTTTGGATGTCGATGGAGATGAAGACGAAGAAGAGGAGGGGAGGAGGATCCGCCGACGGTGTGAGGTGAATGGTGACCAGCCCCGCGGGTGGTTCCCCGTCGTTAGGATGGAGAACGTGCTCAAGTGGGCGGCGGCGGCTGCCCTCGTCACCCTCGCGATCAGATAAAGGAAAGGGAGATCAAGGATCGTGGAATCGAGGAGCGGGTCCTGGTGACTCGTCGTGTATAGTGAATGGTGTAGTGTTATCGATAGAGTGCAGTGTCGAGATGTATCCGAATTTTCTTTTCGTTCCCCTTTTTCATCATTTTGTTTCGTTTTTCGTTCTTGTTCTTGATTGTAGTTTGGTCATGTTACGCAATAGTCGTTGTACCCATAGTTTCCTCTTTCTGTACGTATCCCATAAAACCAATAGAAAAAAACGGTTCGCCGACTAAGGAGTGTGACGAGAGTGAGTGAGAAACGAGGGTGGATGGTACGTCCGAGTCCGCGTCGAGATCCTGTCGAATGTCGAAAGTCGAGTTGGTGTTGCCTCCCGTGGCGTAGAGCGTTAGTCGGGGAACTGAGAATGTCGAGGACGTCGTCGAGCTGCGTGAGGTGTGAGAGGCGTGAGAGGCGGAGAGAGAAGGGAGAGAGAGAGAGAGAGTCGAAGGTTGGAAAAAAAGTGGCCAACTTGCGAATTTATGGCGGTTTTGGGGACCAGGGGCGTGGTGATGATGATCATGATCCCATCATCGGTGAATTACGGAAAACGCCGGTGATGCTCAAAATTCGTAGATCTTTTAAATCGTTTTGGTGGATCTGCGTTGCGTGGGCAATGTTGTATGTCACATGTGGTACGCACTTGAAGCTGGAAGTTGAGCGCTGAAGGCTGAGAATGGTGCGCAATCCAGCTGGATGTATTGGAGAAAAGTCACAGACTGTAATCTCATTTGGAGACCGGCTCTATAAATGCAGGGATCGTACTGGTATAATTGACTCGCAACATCAAGTCAACGGAAAGTCTAACCTACAGCTACACCTAATCAAATGCAGATGCAGACTAAGCATCTAAGCCCGCGTAGTAGGCCTAGGAAGCCTCTCAGTAACAGTAACCACAACCGAGCAGTCGGGGTCAGCCGGTGCAGTAGGCTGCGCCAGAGTCTGCGTGATGGTATTGGTGAATGGGCAGGAAGCGGTTCCGGGTTGGGTGACGGTGACCACTACGGAGCAGTTCTCCGAGTCGTCGTTGGTGGGTTGAGGCTGGGGTTGGACTGGCCAGGGTGTAACGGTTATGAGTGGGGGGTTGGTGGGCGTCACACTGACAACACGAGGGTTTGTAAGGTTTATGGTCACGATCGGCGGATTAGTAAGCGTCTCGGTAACGACTGGATGGTTGGTAGGTGTCACAGTGACGATGGGCGGGTTAGTAGGGGTCTACGCGTAACGACTGGGGGGTTAGTAGGCGTAACAGTTACGACTGGCGGGTTGGTAGGGGTCACAGTTACGACAGGGGGACTGGCCGCACGGGTGGAGGTGACTGGCCAGGGAGAGACGGTGACGATAGGAGGGTTGGAGCTTGGCCATGGAGAAACGGTCACGATTGGTCCAGGGGCGTTGGAACGCGTCGCGGTGACTGTTGCACGCGTGGAGGAGACTGTGCCGTCGATGCGGGTGGAAAGGCCTCCAGTGGGCAGCACAGTCACAAAGGTCGGCTCTACGTCCCTGGGCACCACAGTCACCTCCCCATTAAACAGGAGGGTGCGCGTAATGGTGCTCGTCCTAGTGCAGGTGGGCTGAGGGCCCTGCGTAACGGTGACCACAACCGAACAGTTGGGGTCGAAGCCTCCAGCAGTTCGGGTGATGGTGTTGGTGCTGCTGCAGGTGGTGGGAGCCTTCACGCTGGAAATCACGCTGCAAGAGGTACGAGAACTTGAGGTTAGAAACTTTCGAACAACGAGTGGCTTTAGAACTCACATAGGACCCGCAAGAGCGCTGTTGGCAAGCGCGGCGATGGTGACAAAGGAAAGGAGTTGGACTTTGGCGAACATCTTGCGACGCTTGTAAGTTATCTATGTAGCGTAGATGGTAGAGAAGGTAACAGTGAGTAGAGAGCAGCTGCTATCGAGCAAAACCCTTCCACTCCTGCAATATTTATTGGATTCTATCGCGGCTTCGAAAGACCGCTGTGGAATCTGCGAGTACTTGGCACAGCGACCGGAGCGCAACTGTCTACATAGTATTCATTCGTTAACGTTAGTCGTTACAGCTACAATAGATTTTCGGCGTCAAATCTTACTAAGGTAGGAAAAGAGACGGGTTTGGAAGGCCGTTGTTGGGTTCTGACAAAGTTTGAAGACTTTGTATCCGATTTCGGGGTGACCGGTGAGAACGTGCAGCATTTCAACCTGCTCAGGGTAGTAGGGTCATCCTGACCGTTTCCGAGCGCGACATGGGCGAGGTTGCAGCGTGGTTCATTGTTGTTGCACAGAAGGTGGATATATTGTGTACCATGCACGTGTAGTCGTTTAATGCACCTATCGCGCATAGTACCTGAATATCTGATCATCGATCAACAATAACAAGCCAGTAGTGCTCCAAAATTCCAGCATAATGACATTGACATTGGCATGGTGGGCTTAATACGCCGACCCCGCCAACACCTGACAATACGCGTCACCTCTCTCATCCAATTTATCGTTCTGCCGAAGCTTCTAGCAAAGCCGTCGTACCCGAAAGATTGTTCTTGGCATTCACCTTGATAAGAGAACGGCCCTTTGGCACGCCAGTGAGTTGGTCAGCGCGTGTAGAGGATCCGAACTCCAAAGACACTTCCCGTTCACCACTGGGCTGGACGCTATCCAGTTGGTCGAGTCTGTCCGCCGCGTAGGTGAGCGATTCCCTGTCTACATTCGAAGCTGCATTGACCTAAATCATTGGTCACTTCGTTTGAAGCCATTGTCCCAGGTTTGCCAAACGACCTGAGAGTGCGTCGGAGGTTTCGATGCTGCTAAACCCTGCCTGCCTTCAATTCTCAGTAACGCGCCATGCCTTCGTCAGCTATGGGGCCCTGACCGTCACTTCCGAGTGCTCGGTTGGAGCGTGGTTCATTGTTGCCACTGCACAGAAGGTGGATGCAATATGTGGTCACTCACCATCGTACGCATTGATGATGTCGTTGAGATGGACTCGATCAGCTCGAGCGGCAGATGTGTTGCAGGTCGCCTTAAGCTTGGGCCCGACATTAAACCTTTCTTCTTCCGGCCGAAAGTTTTTGTCAAGCCTTGGTCGGGTTCTGCCTATTCTATTACCTTTGGAGGAGCGCCCTGGCTCGACTATGTCAGGTGGTGAGGATGAGGAACGTCCCCGGCGGGAAACAGAAGGGTTGCGCCGCAGCGCGACTCACCTACCGCGTTAATTGCCATCACCTTGTGTTCCAAACAAACCCCTATTCACATCGATGCAAATTCAATTCAAAGGCGGGTAACCGGATATTTCCATTCACACTGACGTTCGAGAGAGATTACATTTATACAGTTACTATTAAAATATGTACACAGGCACGATCACACGGAAGAAGACACTTGATTTAAGCTGGGTCCTGAAACTAGAATGTCTTGGAAATTAGAAACGAGAAGGAAATTGTAGCAAGGCGTCGAGATGTACGCCAGGTCGAGTCGGCTACTAGTAGTACTAAACAGTCTCCATAGCCTTGAATTGAGCGAGCAATTGCTCACGATCAACAGGAGTGATGGCAAAACCAGCAACTCGGAGATTATACAGAGCAGCCATAACCCAGTGTTGACAGTGCCAGGTCTTATCTCCAGTCTTAACCGGGGTGTTGCGAAGAATATTGTCGATGTTGTCCATTTGGTGAACGGGAACCATGCCCACAGCAATCATTCCCATAAAGGAGCTGGCCTTGCCAGGAGTGACAGTCTCAGGCTTCTTGAGCGTGTAAGTATCGGTGGAGCCAGTGACTTCGTATGCAACACCAGGAGACATTTTGTCGTTGGCGTCCATGAGGATGAGGGCCCAGTGTTTGTTGCCAGGAAGCTTTGGGTGACCGTATTGAGCGACAACGACAAATTTGTTGACGGACATGATGCTAGATTTCGTGGAATAGAGAGAAGCGAATTAGAGAATTTGGGGGTGCTGACTTGCTTGTGACTTGCTTGAGTTACTTGAAGCGGGTTCGAGTTCTGGAGTTTGAGAGTGAAGAAGAAGCGTATTTATAGTTTTACGGTCCACGTCCCAGGACGCTGAGATACCACAATGATTGCCCGACAACCATTGTCTTCTTCGAGGATTCGAAAGCCACCTGACAAGGGCATACAATGGCGTCCAAGTGACCATGTTATATGCAACGATAGACTTAGGAGAACAATGTCCTTTCAATAGTGGGTAGTATCATCCGCAAAGCCGTGAGGTCTCCCTACCAATACTGAGATACGAAGACGAGGATGGCTGTGGTTCAAAGCGGTTAGCCCCCATTAAGAACGATTGGAAAATACGAGAGAGATGGACCACAACTACTTTTCGAGCCCCATCGTTCTTCGCCGTGACTACCACCATCGCAATACCCATCACGATGTTGCACTTCAAGGCTTGCACGACGGAGAACAATCAGCTCCGCGCGAGCCCCTTGATTGAAGCTGGAGAAGAAGAGCGCACAATGGGCTATTCAAACAACCATATCACCAAGCCGTTAGACAAGCCTGGTAACAGGGAACTGGGAAGAGGTATCGGTCGAAATAGGCAAAACAGACTTACTCTTGCCACGCCAACTGATATACTTATACTTATTTCCTTCCATCTCGAGAAATCCCCACATAAATCCCGAGTGGTTGTCCGAACCTCAAGCCCACCGCGTTGGTGAGCGCTTCCCTGCCTACATTCGAAGCTACATTGACCTAAATTGTTGGTCACTTCGTTTGAGGCCATTGTCCCCGGTTTGCCAGTGGGCCGAGCGGGACAAGGCCGCTCATCAGCGCAACTCGGTTGGCCCTGCACCGAAGGGGGGCGTTGTGATCTATAATCCCCAAATTCCAGAGGTGATGGCAAGGTCCCCGAACAGACTCGGTCAATACAGAAGTACATGATCGAACAAGACCTCCAAGCGGCTGTTCATCACTGAGGAAAGCCAATTACACGTGGTTTGTCTAGGGGCAGAAGATGTCGACTGATTTGCTCACTGTGGTGCCCCTGGTCATGAAACTAGGAGTACCTGAGGCTTTACTTGTCATACTACAACAGTTATATACTGTTTACCTACGTATAAAGCGAGCGTTTACCGCTAGTCACTCCTTGAAAAGTTCAGTGTAGTACCATCGCATGGTACGATCGCGACACTCTTTGGCCTTCCCGGATAGCACCACGCGATCGGATAATAACTGTGCCAGATCCTTCACCCCCTGATGAGCTCCTTCACAACCTCTACGAAACCCTCTTCAACTGCGTACACTAACGCCGTCCCTCCATCTCGGTCTGCCTTCTTCACATGTGCACCCTTCCTCACGAGTTCCTTTACAAGGCCCACAGACCCGCGCACAGCCGCGTACATCAGCGCAGTCCGTCCTTCGGCGTCGGTAAGCATCACGTCCACTCCTTCGAGATTTAACAGGCGCACGGCACAATCCAAATGGCCTCTATCCAAGGCTACGATCAGTGGGGTTTGAAGACCGCTAGTACACCGGACATTGACATTGATATTGGGATGGGTGAGGAGGCATTCCATAGAATCGATCAGGCCTTGTTTAGCCGCGTGAAACACCGCCGTTTCCCTACTCTTCCTTTCCTTGGCATTGACGTCGATAGTTGGAAGACTGAGGAATCGTTTGAGGATTCTGATGTGGCGGCGCGAAACCGCTTCGAATAACATGCGGCGGTCCACTTTGTAGCGTCACGGACTCTTTCCTTCCCGTTTGATTCTTTCGTTATCTTATCCACTCGTTATCTTTCTGTTTGTACCTATTTGCTATTACCTTTACAGTCGTTTGCATAATTCCGTTCAGGTCCTCCAGACAGAAAAACTAATTTTGATGTGATGGCGGCATCTCCGAATAGGTTGGGCTCACGCTCGAGCGCGCCTGAGGATGACAATTTCTCCAAGCCCAGCGTAGCGAAAAGCCAATATTCCATCGTTTTTTATACCATCTTCAACAACTGACCCTCAAACCTCGCTCAGGAGGTACTATGGAAAGTAGAAGTGAAAGAAATTGCTCACTCTGCTGCATCCGGTCAATCGCATCACTGATCGGCTCCTTTGGGCCGATTTTTTGTTTCCCCAGCATGAACTGAATTATGCAAACGACTGTAGATTACGTCCAGACATTTGTCGTAGTCGCATACCGATTCTTTAGTTCAATCCACCAACACGTTAAACCGTCACTCTGTGCGTTTGAGCTCACCGTGTGCCAAAACTACCCCGACGACGCCTAACAGCCACGCCGGGCCCTTTCGTCACACACTTTTCCCATTGATAGAAGCAACTCGACACAGTCATACCATCCACGCCGGGTTGCGAGATGTAATGCAGTATCGCAGTTTTGGTCATGGACGCCAACGTCGATACAGGGGTGGTCGAGCAAAAGCTTGACCAAGTCGGCACGCCCCCAATACGCCGCGTCCATCAAAGCTGTACTTTGGAACTTGTCTTTGACGTTGACCCAAGAACCAGAAGGTACAGCGTCTAGGACAAGTTTAACGATACGAATGCGAGAATCCTGTTGTGACGTGGGTTGGGTGTCGTCGTTGGCCTTGTACCCGCTCGCCTTTGCGCGGTTCTCTTTCCCCCACCTGTGCTCCTCCGAGTCTGCTCCGCCGTGGATGCATTTTCGAACTGCCTTCATGAGCACAGTCCTTCCGCATCCGTCTCGAGCCTGAAAGTGCCTGAGCTTTTGCGAATCCGCCTTCAAAAGTAGATCTACGGTTCCCTCGTGGCCAAACTCAATGGCGTACATAAGCGCGGTCCATTTTGAATGGGACCTCCAGTGCAACTGCGCTCTGTGCCTCTCGTCCTCCAGCAATACCTTCACCGTCTCGCTGTGGCCCCAGGACGCGGCTAAAACCAAAGGTGTTCTGCAGGTATTGTCTCGGCACTTGTGATCGACATCGGGATGGGCGAGGAATAGCCTGACGCACTCCGTCTGCCCTCGCATACAAGCTCTATGGAGCGGCGTGAAACCTTTGTCGTCTTTAGAATTGGGATCCAAACCAGGCTGCGCCAGAAGAAGCTCAACAATTTCGGTATGCCCCTCGCTCGATGCTGTGGCCAATGGCGTCCGCGCTCTCGAGTCCTTCGCCATGAGCAAATCCTTCGGGCCCGAAGAGATAAGAGCACTGGCGAAAGCGTGGTGTCCGTAGTATGATGCCGTATGAAGCGCGGAGTGACCCCTGCCCGAAGTGGGGTGCGCATTGAGATCGAGGAATGGGAGGACCTCGTGCCATCCATAGACTGCAGCAATATGCAACGGGGAGGCGAGGCCACATGGCACGCAGTTGCCGGTGCGGTCAGGCGGTGCTCCAAGGCCGATGGGATACTTGGTCTGGCGAAGAAGGAAGCTGAGAATCCACGGTGGCAAGTCTGGTGGATGCCGACTGGCCTCTCGGGAGTGGAAGGCCCAGTGGCGGTAGGCGTAATTGAGGAATGGGTACTTGGGCTGCTTGACGAACGCTTGAAAGTCGTCCCAGCATCGAATAGAATTATTGGGAGGGAGGTCGCTCGAATGCCAGTAATGTGGGCCATGCCACTGTTCATACGTGAGGTTTTCGAATCCGCAATGCATGAGATACCCGACGCATGTTGCAGCGAGGAAATTGTCTGGCGGGAAGCCAAATGTTCCCAGACGTGAGGCAAAGAATTCTTTGGCGGTGTGATCTTAAATGGCAATCACAACCAACCCCCAAGTGAGAACGAATGATTAAACTTACGGACTAACTGAATGGTCCTCGTCATCGTTTCTGCTTCGACCACTGACACCAGCCCACAGCAGACCTTCTTGATGGTGTTTTCAGTGACGATCGAATCCTCAAGGTCAAACTTCCATTCAATATCCCCTCGACTGTCCTTCACCGCCAGCGCATGCCGAAGCATAGGTACAGTCACAGCTTCCCTCGCCTTGACCAACCACACGATGATGCGCTTCGCCAGCAGAACTCTCTCCTCTCCCTGCGACAGGACCCGATCCCAGTTGGTCTGGTACATTTCTTCGACGCTCGATGGGAGATGGTCGAGTTTCTCCCTCAAGCTCGAGACTGTGGTACAGCCTGAAAGAGTGTCCATCTGTCCGACCGTTAGCAGGAACCTACGGCCCAATCAGCAAGCAGAAAGGGGTGGAAGGTGGACCACATACATCCCAGCTGATGCAACTTGGAGCCTTGAAACCATTTCCTCCTTGAAGTCATCCCTTCCTTCCAACGTGTCAGCGAGGTCTGAGCCGGGATCCTCCTGTATCCGATGCGAGATATACTTCCGTATATCGTCGCCGTGCGCTCGGATGTCAACCAAAACGGCGTTGGGGATGCTCCCTTCCACCCTCGAGGTGACAAAGATATTCTTCTGCAAGCGCCTGAGAATCTTGAGGAGCGACGATTTGTCCTTCTGGGAAGACAGCCCGTCCAGCGCATCGATCGTTACAAAGGCCTTGGGGAACAAGGAGACCTCATCGGTTAGCCATCGCGCCAATTCTTCCTCCGATGGCCTCGTATCGTCGTTCAGGTGCTGCTTATAATGCTCGCCTATGACCTCGAGGATTCCACTGTAGTCTTCCAAGAGCTGCCTCAGAAGAGCTGAAAGGATGTCGCAAAGAGTGTATTGCTGGTCCATCGAGTCGCAGAAGGCCATTAAGATAGGGACACGGTCGCGCGAATATTGCTGCTTGAGTTCGCGGTTCACAATAGATCTAGAGAGTAAACTCCGTCATTCAGTGAATTCAAAGACACCGAAACAAAAGGGAGATCATACACAAGAGTCGTTTTCCCAGCCCCAGCTACACGATAAGGCGACCAAAGTAAGAAGGGCTGACTCAGTACACAAAGATACGTACAAACTTACGCATTCCTCTGCCCCACAAAAGCCCTTCATCGCTCGCCGCCCACTCTGTAAACTTCTCTCCCTTGATAAACCATTCCCCAGTCCCAGCCAAAGCTCGAGACAGGGTTGAGCTTTGGTGTCTCTTGAAGTTGATCGGCGTCAACCAGCGTGCAATGATCTCCAATCGACTCTGACCAAAATCTAAGCGATCCATGTGAGCACGGGTACCGGCTAACTTTCCACTAATACGAAGCAACGGCGCTGCTCTTACCTGGGGCACCCTGGACGTGCTGGTTTTCTACATACACATGGGTGGTACTGGCATTGATAATGTCGCGGCCAACGTTATTGAACGTCCCGCCCCCGATGGCGACTTCACTGGCGCCAGTGAACATCGAGGGCCCCGGATTGCGAGGGCTATGTTCACGAGACATTAAGGGTCATACAAAACCAGACGAGAATCCAAGATCAAGCTCCGAATTCCTTGAAATCCAGCATCCAGTTTCGACATCTCCACATGAGGTGGCAGTGTGCTCAGTATCAGATCTCTCACGCCCACGGCCAGCGGGCGCTTAATTCCATTGAACCTCTCCAGCGCTCCCGCCGACCGGTACCCACCACTGAAGGAAGCAACCAAAACCCATATATAAGGCCACGGGTATACTCGCAATACGTTTCATACTATAGATACAGAGAATCCTTATAATGTAAAAGAGAAATAATGTAAAAGAGAAACGGTTAAAAAAGAAAAAGAAAAGAGAACAAGGGGAAACAGAAACCAAGAAACCAACGAGACAGATGAGGAGGGACAAGGGGGTAAAAAAGGCACAAAAAGGGGTGAAATGAACGTGAGGGTGCATATATGATGGGAGTAGTAGTATGTAGCAGTGACACTAAGACAAGCAAAATAAAAGAAAAAAGAAAGGAGAAAAAGAATCGAGGGACAGACGCAGTCAAGTAAGTAAAGGACAGTGGTGACGATGGTGACAGAGAGACAAGTGTTCAGAAATTAACTACTGGTAATAACGGGTGATGTTAGATAGTAGTATGCATATGTACGGAAGAATAATAGATGCAGAGACGCGCTTTTGTACTAGTAAATTAGGGAAAAGAGGAACCAAAAGGATTGTGAAGACGCATCTGGGGAAGGAACACGAGTCAAGAAGTTCGGAAAGAAAAAACAATCCATTTCATTTCCGATTCTTCATCTGTCTTGGTCCGTTCTCGCGAGTCCAATAAGACTGCCGAGGGACGAGTCCGACGTATCAGGATAAATAAACCAAGAAACTGATAAAAAATAGGTGGAAAGGGGGACAAGATCACGCAAATAAGGTTTAAGTAACAGAAGGTGAAAGGCAATAATACCTCTGAAACGACGAAGATCGAATAAGAACGAGCGTGTGTCGATATGTAAGCGGAGGAGGGGGCAGGCGGCGGGGACAAGATAAGAAAGATCCCCGGTAATAAAGTTAGGCATGGAAATATGAGCGATCGATACCTTGCAAGAGTCCAATGCTGTCTACGTCTTTGTCTATCTGCAGAGATGCGATGATGGCAGTGGGGCAGTGCAGTCCAATGAGGTGGGTCGCGGAAGATGGTGGTGACGAACGGACTGATAAGATGACAGGCGTGGAGGCAGGAACGGCGAGGTGGGGTCCAGGGCGTCACTACAACAACGAGGTGTTCTGCGGCGCCAAGGATACAACGGTCACCAGACCATTGTCCAGACGCGTGGGCGCACTTTTGCAACACCCAAGGGTCCGAGAAAGCCGCGACTGGATGGCAAGCAGCCGCCCTGGATTGAGCAGATCGGTCGGGAAAGGTGGTCATAAAGGTCGTAATAATCGAGACAGCATCGTGTGGTTGGGCGAGCAAGAGGTCAAGCGAAGAGTGGGGAGCATGGAGCCAGCGAGCCGGTAGATAGGCATACAGGCGTGGCGCCCAGGAAAGGTGTGAAGGTAAACGCAGCACCCAAGACGGCACTACACAAACTTGGCACCCCCTTCGCCACCACGCATGATAGCCTTCATGAACGCAAAGAATCGCTCGGCATATTCGGGTGGAGGCACAGGGCTAATTTTATGCTGGAGACAGGCAAACGAATTAGCATACGACGAAAGGTAACGGTACCTGGACTTGAGCCAGGAAAGAAAAAGCGGACATACCCGATCATCCTTCAGGCCCTTCCAGATATTCTCAGCCTTCTTGACCATGCTGTATGGCGTTAGGATATCGATGATCCCCAGGTAATAAATCATCGGCAGGGGCTCATTGTTCTCGTCCGTAGCCCTCATTCCTCCTTCGTCCTGATAGAAGAGGAAGGCGTGCTTCTCGCCACTATCCTTCTCCGGCAAGTGTATCGATGAATCAAAGCCCAAGCTCTTCGGATCCGACGACCTCATTATCCGCCGCATTGCGATAGCCTCTGGAGACTTGGCCCCTCCCTTTGTTTGGGAAGACTTGGAACGTTGGGAAGCGGGTAGGTCAGGCTAGACAGAAGTATAACGACGAGGAATGGATTCATTAGAGAATAACCCAGGAAATGATATGTAAATGACGCACCGAGAAGACTTTCAATGTGTTTTTCCGCACATTGTCCTTGTTCCCTCTCTGCATGTTATGAATCCCGACCAACAAGCTGTAGTCCATGACCGAAATCTCTTTGAGGAATTCGGAATCTCGTCGTATCTGCTCGATTAGGAACGCCTGCTTCTCCGGTCCAAAGTCCAACGTCTTCCCCCTATTAATCCAATTCATATCCTTCAACACCGCTCTGGGATTCTGCGCCGCCTTATCCTCCGGATACTCTCGCCCCACCGTGCTACCCTTCAAATCGAACGTCTCGTGGATATCTTTGTGAGGTGGGAAAAGGTTGTTCATGATGACGAAATGGATCTTCCGTCCATGAGGGAGCTTCACTCGGTGCAAACCATAGAAGCGGCTGAGAAGAGTATGAGGGTTTTCTTGGACGTGATCGTAATACTGCTTGAGGATCTTCAGTAAGAATTTGGCTTCCGAATGGCGGATGGTCTTGATGATAAACCGATAATCCCGCGAAAAGTAGAAGAACGACCCAGATTTGCCTGGAGAGCCCAATTCGGAGAGGATGTACTTGGCGGTGAGGGAGAGGAGGTAGTCGGCGGGGTCGAGGGCGAAATGGTCTTCTCGCAACGTGCGGAAGACCCAGGGAGCGTAATCCTTGAACTTGAAGTCGTATTTAGCAGAGGGCGTGAGTTCGTTACCGACAATGTCGAATGAGTACTTGTGTCGTGCAGCAAAGTCTTGGTCCGTAAGAGGTCGTTTAATCTTGGCTTGACATCGTGATACAGCGATCCGGATACCAGTCAACATGTTATACATGAGGACATAGTTGACATGGCCTTCTCCGATGAGGTTGCCAACCAGCGGACGGTCGACGTCGTCCTTGTCTCCTTTGGAGCCTTTGGACGTTTGTCGGGTAAGCGCCTCCTCTGCCTCCTTCTGCTGCTGCTTGAACCGTTTGGACATCCGCTCCCGCCTGATCTGGTCCGCATGGTGCTCGATATCAGAGGCTAGCTCACCCTCGATCGTCGTCGCCGGGTCTGGATAAGACGCATCGTCGTAGGCAAACGAATGCCCTTTCGAGTGCGGACCTGTGAAACGTTTTGTACGTGATGCAGCGCTGGAACCGGTCGTATTCCGCCGTGTCGGCCGTTGGCTTTGGGAAAAAGACGAAGGGGGTGGTGGTGGTGCAGGCTGCAACAAAGCAGCTTTCGAGGACTGCCCCGCCATGAACGGTAATGGCTCAGCCATCGACAACGGCGACGAAGTTATTGTCGGTCGGTTCACCTGAGGGGCTGTAGAAGATGGAGACGACGGTCGTCGCGGTTGCTGCTGGTTGCCAGAGCCTTCCGTAACTGTCGATACTGACCCATTCCGCGGCTTCGAGATTGTCTGGGACGTCGTCGACTCTGTAACTCCTGTCTCCTCGACACTGGCCGGCGGCGAGGGCGGTGGTGGTCCTACATGCGTGGGGGAGGTGTCTATGCTCGGACGACGCAGACAGCCTGATATTGACTTCTGGTGGGTGTGGCTGGCGTCAACGATGTCAACTGTGTCGTCTCTCGTCACTGTCACTACATGGACGTCGGCGGTGGAGCCCGCTGATATTGCGGTGAAAATGGCCTCGCCGTCCTTGGTTGTCGGGCTGGTTATTGTATGGACTGAGGACGTCGGGGAAGCGGCGGCGGTCTTGAAGGAAGCTGCGCTGGACGGGGACGTCGGGACGATTGATTGGCGATGTGGGCTTGGGACCGTCAAGGGCGACGGCGAGCGTCGCTGGGGGAGGGCGATGGCAGCTGCGGCCATGGGATTCTGGTGGTCAACAACGGCGAGCTCAGTCCAAGCTGAACCCGAAAAACAAGCTTGGCCCTCCATGGCAGGTGGCTGTGTACCCTGATATCACTCCTGTTCCCACGTGCACACAGCACTTCTTGGCTCACCTCTCCGCAATGTTTCCACCACTGCTTTGCACTCGCAGCAATGTAGATCAATGGGCGCTCTTGTCGACGAGACCAAATGTCTTCAGAACACGACCTCTGACCCCAATTCTTTCTCCCTTTATCCCCCGAGTTGGTCGTCTGGGCGGCGCTTTCCTTGGCGATGCGATACCACCGAGGCATGCTTACGCCACGATCACCTCGTCATCCCGGACTTCGTGGTCCATACCAGGGGAGAACTGGGGTAACGGGCTGGTGCAAGTCGGCGTCACGGTTTCCGATGGACTTCGGCATGGAGGCGTGGAGCAGGTGAAGCATGTGCAACTTGAAGCCCTTCTGCGTCATCCTCCCTATCTCTCGAAATACATCGGAGACGTCATGAAGCTAATTCGAGTCGTAAACTACCTAAAAATCAAAAGCCTTCGTTCTACACTCGCTCTCCTTTTCACGGATGAATGGTACCATGGCGAGAGACGAGAACACGAGGCAAATTGCATCCCAATAAGGAAAGTATACACCCTTATTCGTCAGGCAGGTTCGGATGTATATGGAGCCATCGTTCAATACCGGTAAAGATTATTCTACATCACAGATAAGCAGGAGAAGAGAAATCGACAGCATACAACTCAGAGAAACGATAAAGATACATCATCAAATCTGCGGAGACACGGCCCTCTCCCTCCCCACCAACAACACCGACCCCTTGGCCTCCTCCAACCTCGCCTCACTAGCCCTAACAACCCTCTGATCCCACCCACTCCCAAACCTCCCCAACCACCTCCTCAAAACAACCTCCAAGACTCCAAGCAGCGTAACATCCTGTGCACAATACACCATAATCCTCTCATCCAAGGGCCTCTGCTCGAACACTTCATAACTCCCATGCGGGGGTGAAAAGAGTTTGATACCAGCGTCCTTGACTTGCTTCCACTGAGGCGAAGGGCTGAGATACGACTCGATGGAGCGCGCAAGACCGTTCAGGTTCCGCGTGGGCCGTTTATTGGAGTGTCGAACCGCCAATTCGAGGATCTGCAAATCGAGCACATTACGCATGTCAATGCGATAGATATTCCACAGAGCGTCTGCGTCGTTCCTGACGTCGTAAAACAACTTCAAATAAAGATAGTTTTAGTACAAGGGGCAGCTGAGCGAAAGAGGAAAGGAGTAGCCAAACTAACCTTCTTAATCCCCGGGTGCTGGAGGATCCACCGCACGCTCCTACCCTCTCCATCGGCATGATCAAAAGCGATCGACCCGAGAGTTGTCACATCCAACAACCACACGGTGTTCGACACGTCCAACTTCATCTGGACGATACAGACCCTTCCATATCGGTTCAACTTTACACCCTCCAGGTCCACAGCGATGGTCGGAACATGCGTGGTAGAAGCATTGGGGATGGGTGCAGGGTGCGTCGTGGTAGACCCCACTCGAGTAGCAGATGCGCTGGAGGGGGCGCCAAGCGCCGTGGAAGAGGTCGAAAGAGGGATGTCGGCACCAGCGATGTTGCCAAGAACCTGCGCAGCGGGGGCAAGTGTGGAAGTAAGATCCACAATGCACTCCTCAACTTTCTCAACCGTATCAGCAACACGAATGATACACCCCTGCTGCGACGACATCACTGTAGACATCGACTTTATTGTGGACAACTACGTGCGGAGAAGACGGCCAATTCAAAGTCAGCGATGTGAACGAACGGTCAAATCAAGGATCGCAGTAGTCACCCTTGTAGGCGAAGTGGCAATTGGGTTTGTGGGCACTGGTGGCGGGTGTGCGTGAACGCTCGATGCCGTTACCGGAGGAACAGTTGTACAGAGGGCAAGCTGAGGTGTGCAAGTTATAAACAGAATCCCGAGTCGAACCTTGATTTGGGATATGGATAGGGGCTGCCACGTTCCTCGCGTCGCAGTGGCGAATCTTGTCTTCCTTCCTTCACTATGTAATCCCCCTCGAGCTTCACCCGCGCACCCGTGGCAAATCCCACCACGAACACTCGGAAATAGACTCTCACATCCGGCGAATTCAAGGTCATACACTATACACTCCTTACTCACCGGAGCTTCAGACCTCACAAATCAATCAACAAGCACATTCCTCTGTAGACCGCATTCAATTAGCCAACTCAGTTCAAACCGACCTCCTTCCTGGTCGTTCCCAAAGACAATGCACAGAGATAACGTACTTACAGTCCAATTAAGGAAGCCTCAATGAACCCCTCTCATGTGGGCGCCAAACTTCGACAACTTCCTCCGCGCTTACTGAGCTCGGATTTCGACCTTGTTTTGACCTGTCCTGTACTAACGCTCTGTGTACCACTTAGGTCGCTTACTTATGTCTTCTGTAATGCATAATGTTTATTCTTCGTGTGTCCAATGTAGAAAGACAACCCACTAACCAAAGTCCTATTCCAAAGTCCGGATCCGTCTCAATTAAGATATCTGTTTGTACGCTACTTATGATGAAAGAAAGTCCGACGAGTGTGGTGATACAGCGGCTATGCGTTTCGTTTCAACGCATGCGTAGAGTACGGATAAAAACAATAAAAAAGAATAAAAATACAAAAGAAAAAGAAAGGACAGGGAGAGAATGATGATTAGTCCAGACAAGAGATGCAAGGCACTGCACGCGCACTAGTTTCAAAGTGTCCACACAACTCCGCCCACGCCTGAGAGAGCGCAACCGTGACGATGAGAGGGTATCCACGGCACCAAAGACGACGACAACAATAGGGTCTTCCACACCACCGACTACACGCCCTGTTAACGACAAATGTATGAGCACACGAATCATCCAGGAGAAATGACAACCCATGCCCACAAGCGGCAAAAATAAGCCTTGGGATATCCGGAGCATCCACACCCCATAGTATCCAAAAAGACCGTACACTCACCAAGTAGTCCAACCACGCCTCGCACATCCGATGGCTAATATTAGGCGTAGCCGCATCCTGTCGAACAATCTCACCAAGATGGTACATGAACCATTCTTGTTTGTGCGTCAAGAATTCATGTTGCTCCGGCTCAGGCTCCCGGCGTTTAGTAGACTTCTTCTGGGCCTTCAAATTCGACGCCTTCGAATTCGCGCTCTGTTGGACCACCGAACCATGCTGGACCTTCAAACCACCAGGTTGCGAGTCCAACCTCGAAGGACTTTGGGTCTTGAGGTTCGCAGCACGCGACTGGCCTTCCCGGGCCGAATTGGGCGCAATAATGCCGGCACTGCCGTGACTTGGGCGCTTGTTCTGATTCCCGCTCGCTCCTGTCCCAGAGCCACCATGTCCATAGTTGACCAACGGCGGGTCCTCGTCCAATTCGACGAGGCATTCCTGAAGCACGATAGACGTCTTGGCGTTAATCTGTTTAACGAACGCGGTCAGTCAAGTTGTTTATCATAAAGCTGGAGGAGGAGGAGGAGGAGGAGGAAGGTGGTCGAGAAGCGAAAGAAAGAAAGCATTTAAACGGCACCCACATATCGTCGAAAAGGCTGCACCCGAACAACCACTCCCGTCGTCCACCTCGTCCACTGGATGGGATGACAATGTGATATTCGGCGGATTCCAACGCGATCTCCGGGCTACAGCAAACGAGGATACGACAAGTTCAGGTTAGCGAAGAGTTCAGATCAATCATCTAAAATTCGAGAAGAAGGGGGCCGTTCGGTAGACGAACTGAGGTGTTTCCGGACCGAACTTCGAAGTCTCTGAGGGGCGAAGTCCCAGCCGGCGGTATGCGCACGGTACTCGCGCCAGCCAACTCGAAGGCCCGGGCAAAACAAATGCTCAAGCTGCGAAAAGTTGTAGAATGAACATTTACTCACCTTGAAATGCACAACCTCAGGCAACTGCCCCTTCCTATCCATCACACTCTCCAGACTCTCCCATTTGGGAACAGGCTCCCCCTCAACGTTCAAGTGCAAGACATCAGTGAAGAGACGAGAGATGGAGGGTAGGCGGGAGCGGTGGGCTAGCTTCCTCTTTTTCCGGACACGAGGGCCATGTTCGGAAGGGGATTGGCCAGTACACGCAGTGGTCGGGGACAAAGGTCGTTTCTCTGTGGAAGTGGGAATGGAAGAGGACGTAGGGGGATGTCGTCGGATAAGATGTGTGGCGTCGTGCTCGGATGAAGAATTGGCGGAGGGTAATGAGGTCTGTGGTTGGGATTGGAGATACGTTTGTGAATGAGATCGAGAATGGGAGTGGGACAAGGAGGAAGAAGTCGAAACGACGGGAGAATCCTCGTCCCCTAGCACGTCCCGCCAAAAACTCGATCGAGTCGGAGAGGCCTTCGAACTCGACGACTCCAAACTCGAAGTTTGGAAACCTCGTTCACCTCGACCTGGTGCACGAGGCGTAGCCGGTACATCCGACGACCCCTGTTCCGACGGTCGATGAACGCCTTCACGAGGCAACTTGTTCCAACAGCTCGAGCTTGCGGGTCTCGAAGAAGTAGTAGGAGCAACAGTCCGAGGCGCAGTAGAAGGAGGAAATGAAAACGAGAATGGAGTCGTCGACCCCATCGGACCACGGAAGGTCGACACCTTCATCCTCTCCTCCGAAGCTGCCGCCGCCGTACCAAAACCAGGAACAGGCCGCAGAGGAAAACTCGACCCCGGCGTTGACACAGTCGACGAGGAGGAGGAATTTGGACCCGAGGAACCCCGCAGCTGGTGTCCCTGATAACTCCTGTAATGCGCCATCTGGCGCAACTGCGAACTCGCAGTCGTCGGTCGACAGTGGCGTAGCGGGAATGATGATGATGGCGTATGCGTGCTGGAAGCAGGCGGGGAAGAGGAGGACGAGGAATGGAATGAAAAGGAGGACGAGGAAGAAATGGGGATTGGCGCCACGGTGAATGAAGGCCTTCCTACTCCTCTTCGACTGGTGTTTATCGGGATTTCTGGTGCGGAGGAGGACCCTCCAGGGGGTGGTGTCACAGGAGGATAAACGGAAGACATGGAGGAGGAGCTAGATGGTCGATATCCTTGCATGGAAAGCAGAATGTGTAGAAGAGAGGGCAAGCAAGTCCAGCCGTAACACGAGGGGACCCTGGAATGAACACACCCAACACCGCGGTAGTTCTTCAAGCGAGCAGAAAAAAAGAGACCAAGGAAACGAAAGCAAGAAACCTAAACGACCCAAATCCTAAAACCCCACCACCCTTTATCAATCCTCCTCCAAAAGTCGCAAAAAAAGAATAATAAAAACATATCAACCAGCCAGTTTAGGAAATCTGCTATAGCGTCGCCCTCCTGCGAAACAAAGTGTGGATCACATTTCCATTTTGATGGTAGAATAAGAACGGCGGAGGATACACTGTGGGTCCGCCCTGAGAGACGTAACACCACAAAGACGTCGCCGACAAGATAGACCTGGTTGTTTTTTGATGGAAATAGAGGTGAGTATTGTTGTAGAGCTATTATCATGCGAAAAGAGTGCTAGGAGGAGATAGACGTATAAGGGCGCGCGCTTGATCTCTGGCCGAGGTGTCGCCGACCGGCGCTTGGGAGTGCTGTGGGCGTGTTTGTTGCTACGAGGCGGGCCTTGCATGACCAACCGACGCCAATTCGTGGATCTTAGTTGAATGTATAACGAGTTCACGATGTCGAGGTCTTATCATTTTTCCCGTCGCGAGGCCAGGTGGATTGAATAGCAGCCCCATGGGTTGAACCAACTTGTGGGCGGCTAAAGCGATGGAAGCCGGTGAATACGACCAAAGGTACTCAGGTGAACTGCTCGGTGTATAGATAGCGCGAGGCTAGAAGACTGTCGGGGAATTTATTAGTTCAAAGCCCGGTAATCATTGTGAACTGAATGACCAACGTCGCGCGGTGCAACTTGGATTCTGGAACTTGGTGAAATCACCGAGGATCGAGGAGCATACTCATGTTTGATTCCCATATGATGCACATAAAACATACAATTGCCCAGACTACATACGACGAGCTCAAGCAATAAGGGTGGAGGCGGTAGCAGAGTCGTACTTGAAGGTGGGAGGAATCTGCTGCTTGGACTTGTAGTAGCGAGCAAGCCTGTGAATCCTCGACTCGATCAAGATAAGACGGAACTTGGAGTCCATGTCCTTCCTGTTGACTTCGAGGTGCTTGCGGACGGCAACCGCCTTTTTAATGAGGTGCCAGAGGTCCTCAGGGATGGATGGGCCAAGTCCTATCCCCAAATAAAAGGCATATCAGAAAAATCAACGACAAGTCGTGATTGAAAAGAGGGTGAAAGAAGCGCCAAAAGTGTATGAGACTCCATTATGCGATCAGAAAGTAAACAAACACACCTTGCGATTTGAGGATACGCAAGATCTTGTTACCGGTGACGAATCGCACTTGGGGGATACCGTGCGAGTCACGGAGGGTAACACCGATTTGCGAGGGGGTCAAACCCTTACGAGCGAGCTTGACGATCTGCTCAATGACTTCCTCGGGGGTGGCCTTCAACCACGAGGGAGGAGTGCGGCGGTAGGGGAGAGCAGAGGACGCTGGACGACTGTTCAATGTCTGATCCTGTGGACTGAATTGGGCTGAACTTACAAATGCCCTTGCCGGGAGCGTGCAGGCGACCCATTTTGAATCTAATTCGCTGTCAACGTCAACCCCAACGACAAAGCAAACCGACTACTCACAGTGTTGAGGAGAGAAAGTCTTGAGGAGAGCGTTGGCGACGGCGGCGGTACGACGAGCAGCAAATCGCAAAGGCGCGGCGTGTTGAGCCGGATGTTGCCGAGACCAACTATACAGCTGTGATCTCCCGATTTGGAAGTTGTGGCTGGCGCGAAAGTTTGTGTGGTCGTGTGTTGTATCGACCGTTCAGAAGGCCCTTCCCATTCCTCGTCGACGCCAGAGGTTCGTTACCGCCAGAGGTGACAAAACACCGCATCGTCAAGGTGTGTAAAGTCCTCGTTGTCGCCGCCGTCGTAGGCCGTCATGCTGACCGTCTGTGTCCAGAATGAAGTTCAACATTGCCAGTAAGCATGGGGCAGGCAACCGCGACAGAGACAGATACTAACGAGATCTCGTCGTTTAGACCCCGCAACCGGGGCCCAAAAACTCCTCGACATCGATGACGAAAAGCGATTGTGAGCGATTTTACAGCCGGTGAAAGGATTGGGATGGATTCTGAACATTTGCTGTGCTTAGCCGTGTCTTCTACGACAAGAGGATCTCTCAAGAAGTTCCTGGCGACTCTTTGGGCGATGAATGGAAGGGTTACATTTTCCGAGTTACCGGTGGTAACGACAAGCAGGGTTTCCCCATGAAGCAGGGTGTTCTCGTCCCCAACCGTGTCCGTTTGCTCCTTTCCGATGGCCACTCCTGCTTCCGCCCTCGCCGAAGCGGTGAGCGCAAGCGCAAGTCCGTCCGTGGCTGCATCGTCGGCCCCGAGATCGCCGTTCTCTCCCTCGTTATCGTCAAGCAGGGTGAGCAGGAGATCCCCGGATTGACCGACGTCGTTCTGCCCAAGCGTCTCGGTCCCAAGCGAGCCACCAAGATTCGCCGATTCTTCAACCTCTCCAAGGAGGACGATGTCAGGAAATACGTCGTTCGCCGTGAAGTCAAGAGCGCCAAGAACCCTGACGCTAAGCCTTACACCAAGGCGTACGTCCCCTTGACTTGGATACATGTCGTCCTGCTGACCTTTTGTCTCCAGCCCCAAGATCCAACGATTGGTCACCCCCCTCCGCCTCCAACGTCGCCGACACCTCAACGCCATCAAGCGCCACAGAATAGAGCGACAGAAGGAACAAAAGGCGGAATACGAGTACGCATCTATTTCTCTCTCTCATCACTATCAATCTGATCATGTCCCCCAGCGCCCTCCTTGCCAAGCGTCTGGCAGAGAAAAAGGCCAAGGTCGCTGCTATCAAGGCTGCCCACAAGACAGCTTAATTGTAACCCTCGATGCTTGGATGGACTGTCGGATGATTTCTGGATTTTGCCTTCCTTCACATGTAGTTGTCCCTGTCCATCCTTGACTCTCGCATATATTTCATTCGATCCATGCAATCCTCTGGCGGTATATATCCCGTTCCTCGTATGCGTATGTCCCTAAGCCGTTCAATGACCACAAAAGCTATGCCTCACGTTTTGAACGCAACTCTGAAGGGTGATTGCTGAGATTGATTGGGACTTTGGTGCGGCGTGTCTACTCTCAATGGTCGACAAGATGGGATGCCAATAAATATGTCTACAATAAGATAACACTAATGATACAGAGGACCGGTGTACAGTAATGAAGGAGATGAAGGGGGAAATACATATACAGATTACTCTTCGTCGTCTGCAGGAGCAGTGGCAGCCTTCTTGCGCCCTGGAGGACCAAAAGTCAGTTCAGCCCATAAAACCGCCAAATCTATACTAACCTTTCCTCGTAGCACCACCGCGCTTCCTCTTTGCCTTGTTGACGCGATTCTGCAAGGCCTGGTCTTCTTCACCTTGGGCCTTGTGTTCTTCAAGAATCTGTACGAGGAAGAATCATTTAGTCGGCGCTCGAACGACGCGTAAAACGCGTGTATGACATACCTTTTCGAATTCGTCGAGTTCGGCGTCAGGCTTGTCCTTCGACTTGTTCTGACGGGCCTATAAACGAAGAAATGAGCACTCCACCACGTCCCAAACACCGATGCCACGCACCTTGTTCAAAATCTCCATAAATTTATCATACACGCCCTTCTCGTGCAGCTTATCACGATAAAACTGCAGCCCTTCAATAAGCTTCTTGACCGACCTCTCCGACTTGTAAGGTAGGAGCGAAAGACAATAAGCAATATCGCGCCACTGCCGCGGGCTCTCGCTAAGTTGGAACCGTCCACAAAGTTTCTCGACGATGGCGTCGCTCTGCTTGTCCTTGATAAAGTCAAAGATGAACTTCATCGTGCTGTGGAACTTGTCTTCTTCGACGGCGTGTTGGCCGGTTGAGAGGTGGCTGATGACTGTGCGAATGCGAACAACGTGGTTAGCAGGGGGCATTGAGAGAAAAGGGAAAGAGAGGTACGCACTATCGGGCAAGTTATTATAAATCGCGTTATCTTTCCCACTCAACTCGGAGAAGAACAACCTCGCAAGGTCCGAAATCCTGTCATCCTCATCCTCCAAACACTTGGCCATCTCGCCCAACTGCCCCTTCACTTTAATCATCCCATTCAAAATAAGATGCGTCAACACCATCAGCGTGTTCTTCTTCACCGTCATATTCCGATCCGAAAGACCCTTGTACAAGTCGGTCGTGTTCTCGTCGATGATGTGGTTGAAGGCTACGGCCACGTCGCCGAGGGCGATGACGATGTTGCTACGGATGTTGGCGTCTTTTGAGGTTTCGAGGATCTTGAAAAGGAGTTTGTGGTGTTGGTCGCAGAATTGGGAGCTCACGCAGAGGAATTTGCTGAACGCGAGGGTGGCGGCTGCGCGGAGGGTCGGGTTCTACCATTCCAAGTCAGTGACAGTCGAAGAAAAGACTGCGAGAGGATGGGCACACCTTGAACTTGTGAGGGCTTCCGCAAATGTGGACAAGCATGGGTCCATAGACCGCCAAAAGCGATTCAGGGCCATACAACAACTCCTTTTCACGCACACCACCAATCTGGTCAGCAATGTCATCTTCAGCATTGCCGACGACTTGATCGAGCTCGTCTCCGTCCTTGTCTTTGGCAGATCGACCGGCTGCATCGGCCTTGGCTGCCTTTTTCTCAGCTATGGATTGGGTTAGAGGGAGCAGTTATCTCAGGGTAGTCGAATTTAACCCACCAGCTTGCTTAGCGTCTCGCTGTCGCTTCCATTCACGCTCGATGATCTCCAGGAAAACGATATGCTTGATGGCAACATGTCCAACGACGAACAAGAGCTGGCTAAGCTCGAAGGCGTCACCGACGTCCTTGCTTCCAGCAGCAGAAGGAGAGGGTCTCGTGCTGATTGTCGGCGGGTCGGTGTTCATAGCATCGGGGTCCTGGGTTTGATCAGGTGCAGGTGCTTGCTGGTCTTCGTCCATTTCTTGGTCTTCCTGTGTCCCATCCCCGTTGACTTGGGTCGCGGCACTACCTGTTTTGTTGTTCTCCCCTGCGAAGGCTCGGATGGTGAGCTTCTTGATCAACTCGTTGCAGAAGATGTCTGGGTGCTCGCCCAGGGCGTAGACGGTGTTGATGACCTGCTCAGCAAGGCCGAACCAGTCCGTGCATCGAGAAGGATAGATGATGGTGGACATAAGTTTGCGGAAGATGGGATTGTCCATAGGCATACGGATCGTTTTGTCCTCGAGGGAACCTATGACTGCTGTCAGGAAGGAGTTATTTTCGAAGGAATCAGGGTCGCACCTTTGACTTTCTTCGCACTTCCATTGAGCCGTTGAAGGGCAACACAGGTGTAACGAGCGAGGGTGAGGTCAATCTATGAGGAGTCAGTATCCGATGCCCACGCTTTTACCGACCCACGTACCTTGCCCAACTTGCCCAAACCGACTTTCAACATAACCTCGACGCGATCAGAAAGTACCTCCTTGGGTTTAGCAACCCCAAGCATGCCGAGGATGATGATAGCTCCACGGCGCTGTTCCTTGGGCAAAGGCATGGAAGAGGCTATAAGAGGAGTTAGCAAACATGTCGTCGATAGGCACAGAAGACATACTATAAATCTGCCAGAGCTTGGAGATGATGTCGCGATGGATGCAGTCCTCTTCCATCATAATCCGCATCATCTCTTCCAGACTGGTGAGCTCAGCCAGCGTGGCTTCATATGTACGCCTAAACTCGACTAGTCAGCAGCGCACAGAGCGGGAGAAAAATATAGTAACTCACTCGATGAGGTTCTTTGCGATACGGTTGATCTGAGCTTTGGGCTCCAAGTCCTCGACAGGGTCGAAGTAGAGGTACCGGTAGCACTCCAAAAGCTTCTGCCGGATGCCCTTGATCTCTTTACCGTCCTCCGAGATGGTGCTGTTATCCTTGGCCCAGATGAGATGTAACATCTTCCTGATACCGCGCTGCGCAACAATCACTCAGCCTCCCCCGTTCATGCTAAACGAGAAATTACTCACGTTTGCTCCATGGATTTCAAAGACATGGGCGACCTTGAAGAAATCAATCGCCTCCAAAACCTCCGGCTTGCTCTTGGACCCCAAAAGCTTCTCGATGGTCTCCATCGCGGTCTCGATGTACGAGATAAACCGCAGAGCCTCCTGGCAGTACTTCTTGCGCAATTCCTTCTTGGCGAGTTCTTTCTCGTCCAAGTTCATGAGGACTTCCGCTTCTTCGCTGAGGGCTTGCACGTTCAATTCGGACTTGCGAGGTTTGAGCCTCCTTCGAGATGGACCCTCCCCGTTCCCATCCTCGTCAACGGACATCTCATCTTCTTGCTCCGTATCACCCTCCTCGTCTGTTTGCTCTTCGTCGTCCTCATCGACCTCCATTTCGTCGTCGTTGCGCTTCCTGATAGAGCATCATGAATATTAATGTCTGACCAAACTTGTGAAATGAGCCAACACTTACTTCTTTTTCTTCTTTTTGCGTGCTTGGCTCTCCTCGTCGTCAGCCTCCTGAACGTCGACATTCCCAAGGCCTTCAACGGCTGCCAAGTCCTTCCTAGCTTCTTCATAAGTAGCCTCCCACTTGTCCCTCGTCAGCATTCCTTTGTTGTCGAAAATCCACGGGTGAGTGACCAGAAGCCTGATGAACAGGGCGATCGCAGACTTGCGGACGGTTGCGGTCTTGTCCATAAGCAGCTGGAGAGCGCGTTTAACCATCCTCAATCGCTGTTTTGGGAACTTGGCCTTGAGGTCGCAGGTAGTCGCCAACACCTGCAAGACCTTGTTTCGAACATAGGATGACTGATCCTTTGACCGTTCAAAGATAAGGTCGAACATGGCCACGATTTCGTTTTGGATCTTCTTCTTCTGGTCTTCGTCTTCCGCTTCGCTCTCCAGTGTACGGTCCCGCTCAGTAATGAGCAATCCCAAGATCTCAACGACAGCTTGGCGGAGTGCATAGGCCTAGTGACGCAAGTCAGTAACGCAAAATGCAGCGGTGCAAAGATGAGCGTACATCTGAGTCCTGCTGGTTGATAAGAAGAGCGAGTTGCTTGAGGGTAGACCGAGGGCACAATTCCGTGAACCGGACGAGGAACCGAGCGTAGTTCCGGGGCCCTTTGGTATCTTGCTGTGCGAAGACCTTGTTGGAGATCTCTCGCAGGACCTCTTCTCCTGTTTGCGTGTGGTCATACTTGGTCGACAGCAGATAGAGACACTCCGCCATCGATTCGGCCAGGTGCTCGTAAAGGTCGAGGGACTGGGTGATGTGGACTTGGAGAGCAAGTGCCTGGTTGTGGTGCTTTACAGCTGTGCAGAAGACTTCGAACACTCCGGCTTTGATAGCTGAATTCTTCAGGTATTGTTCGTTAATGCAGATGTGGTTGTAAACCGGGCGGGTAACGCAGCTGCGGCGTCGTCAGTAGCGCCTTAGACGACACGACTAAGACCAACTCACTGCAAAAACATGTCCTTCTCGGCGGTCGTGGGCCAAATTCTGTTCATTTGAACTGTCTTCAAGAGTTTGGTTATCAAGGCCAGCACTTCGGGAACCTGGTCCTCCCAAGAGTAAGCCTCGGTGCGTTTGTTGGATGCCGAACGCGATGTCATCCTCGCCGTCGCCGCCTTTCCCCCTCGACCCCTCCTCGATTTTGCTGGAGGCGGGTCGTCTGCAGAAACTTTGACACTCTCGGAGGCCTTGCAAAACCAATGGAGCAGGTAAATGTACAGCTCGAATGGCAGTCGGTGGGATGCATAGCTGTCCTCGTCCTGGTCCCTTCGTGTTGACGCTTCGATTTGTGCCTTGAGCCCTGAGGTTATGGAGTCCAATAGCTTGCCCATGACCGACGCTGATGTCGACGCCGCATTCTTCAAGAAGTAGCAATAGACTTCAAAGACTTCTTCGATTCTGATGTTCTCGCTGCTGTGGGCTACCTGCTCGACCGCCGCTATTCGAAAAATGTGAGAACCTCGTCGACGTCGTCAGGAACCTGGTCGTACCTCCAATCAGCGCGTCTGGGTCAACGCTTGACCATCGATCTTCGTTGCTGAGGTCGTAGCCATCGCCGCTCTCGACGGCGTTGAACTCTTCCTGGAGCTCGAACCGCTCTATTAGCCTCCCGCTCATTGTCCAGCTTGGTTCAGGAAAAGAAAAACGGGGCAACGGAACGCGACGCGCGACCGTGAACGTCACGTGGGACTAATTGGCCTCGCGTCGTAGGGGCTTCCAAGTCTAACAAAACCAAATTGAAGGCCCTGGACCTGTCCCGGCCGACTCGGGTGATTGGGCGCCTATTCCAATTCCTCCCAGGTTGAATCCTTCGAGAAGTACAGTAAAAAGGTTAGTTCCGAGAGAGTAAGAGCCTTGAGCTTGCGGATCTATACAAGTCCCTGATTGAAGATGACTATTCTAGAAATCATGTAAATGCCAAAGAAGCTCGCTTTCAAATGCAATACATAACTTGCTACTCGATTTGATCCCTGAAATACTATTCAGTCGCATATTAGCTCCAAATGCTCTGTACTTCACGGCTTCCGAACTTTACCCTAGCTCCAGGGATCTCACTTGCCAGAGTTCCGTTAACTCTGACGACTGATAGACCCTGGGTCGTACGCATACTAGAGTTGGATGAAAAGAAGCGAAATACCATAGTCTGTCTGCGACTCTTTAATGATCACCGCGGTCGAAGACCAAGGATCCTTCCTCGCTATAATTGAAAAGGTAAAGCTTATGGTACCACTTGTGTTCAGGGTTCGATGCATGTATGAAGCGTCTTTATCCTACTTGGACAATCAACCACCTTCAGTATGACTTTCGAGGACCAATTTATCCTCCACTGCCTTCTCGAGTTCCAACATCTTCTCCTGTACATCTACTATCTTCGTCAAAGCCTAAGCGACTATTCCTACTACTTATGCCGCAGTTTCCTCGGTCGCGAAAAAGCACCCTAGATCTATTCCATTACATGTCTTCAAAATTCAAATCCGTCAGAAGTCGTTTTTGAGTAAGAATCAGGAAGTGTCCGGTCTTTCCCCAGGAACGTGGATTTACTGAATTCCATCGAGAGGGCATGCTGCACCGAGTACAAGTCGCAAGTCAGGGCTCAAGGTTAGAGGCACTTTGCGCACCAGATGGCGCAAAATTCAGTCTGTAGCCTCGCATGCAATCCTCCCATTATCTACCCTTCACAATGATATCCTTGAATTCCACAAGGTCCGCATAGGCTAACCCGATGACGCACCAGTGTCACAAGTGAGTTCTTGTTCTTCCTTTCCGCGGCTAAGAAAAAGAAAGCTAAGGTAGCCGCCTGGTCCTCGGTATTAAAATATTACCTCCCAGAAAGGCTTCACTTCCTTACAGATGCGCGAACAATGCTAACCGCATCTATTAGTCCACAGTCCTGGCTGGCTTCAGTAAAGGTGAAGCGGGGTGCAACTTTGGATGTCGGACCCTGAAAGACCGCACGTAAACACCAGCCTCGACTTGGCAGCGAGGCATACATGTATGATTCTAACCTTCCTCGCACCGTCACCTGGACACAAATTAGCCTCTTCAGACTTCTCCTCCCATAGGCTTGTACATAACCGATCAACACATAGTTATCACTCCTACTCAAAGCATCTGTTGCACTCAAAACAGGGTTATGATAACGCTCTCGCGCCGCCTCTCTTACATAGATCGAATGATCCCTGAAACAAAGGTATTCTATGCGATGCACCTCGAGGCAAGCAGCGGCCTTCTCGATCAAGTGCCCGTGACATTATGCCCCAGATCTTGCCTTTGTTCGTAATCCTCCCTCCAATCTTCATGATCTTCACCCCACTTCAAAAAATTGATATCCAGCCTGCTACATCTGCGTTCAGACTTTGTCGAACCCAATCGACCCATAGCCAGATGCATACCATTCCGCAAAGGCGTGGTCCGACAGCTTCGGTCTTTTGAAAGCGGAGTAGGATCGCTTTTCCCTGACCGTGTCGGCTGACCTCCCCACAATCCCAATCTCCTACGCTGATTTCCACTCCAAACATTGGGGGATAGTCGCAACAACTTTGAAGTTTCCGTCTGAAAAATCGAGGCCTCCAATAGGAAAGTGGTTAGCAGTAGTACAACCGCTGTAACGGGTACGCCGTACTCGCTCGACATGAGAACTGACTTCTCCCCTTGGACCTGAAATGACTATAACCACCTATCAGACCGTGTTTGCCACACGAAGTCACTGGTGGGAGAACATCGCTGCGGCTCCAATGGACTCTCCCATTATTCTGACGACAACACAGAAATAGAACTAACACGGATTCAATAAATAGCACGGGCCTCACGTATACAGTGCCCCCGGATTTGATTCCAACAAACAGCAACAAAAAGACGGAAGGAGATGCGCCTCAATCGAGCGAAGAAAAGAGCGAAAGATGTGTGTATTACACCCATGTCACAGACTTGGCAGGACTTGGAGGGGACGATCCCATTCAGCCGGAACACTGTGGATCGTAATAATTTCATGGCTATATCCAGAGTATGTATACACTAATTATACTCGATACTGAACGCCGGTCTCGGTCGACCACAAACTGCCCCATTTCGTCCAAGTATCCATCCAAGTTTAGGACATCGCGGGTTCGGCGTCTCGAAATTTAGGTACGACAGGCAGCAGCATGTAGATACCAATCGCAATCCCTTTGTAAAGTTATCTCGATTCATTTCTCCGAGCATGATCGTGACATGAGTCCAGGAGGTACGTACGTACGTACGAGGGGAGGCCCAACAAATTCCGTCTCCCAAAAATAGAGGTACATAGCTATTAGTAGATTAGGGTGTACACCGTATCTTAAATCTTACTACTCGCGAGAACACCCAGACTTCACGCAATGATATCGTCCATAAACAGGTCGGCGGTCCCAGTCGTGTCACGTCAGTCACTTCACAGTACCTCATCCCTCCGTGTGTGACCTTTTCGACAAAAGCACACAGAACAGATACCTAAAGCCTCCTTTAAAGTTGCGGTGACATGTCCGTAATGATAGCGTCCAACTCCCAACGGCTCACAGGCAAGTTCTTCTGCACACGGACAACAACAGTCCTTCCACGGTCCATGTCGTTTGTCACCCACCGCGAGAGTTCGGAATGACGAACGGAACGGAGATGCCAAACCTGAAACCAACGCAAACTGGACGTCGACACACATCTGAGTCCTGACGAGTGCTGCTAATGCAAGCACATAAAATCCGTAGATTAAGATTAGCGATCATGATCATAATAAAGCGAGAAAAAAAATAGCAACCATCCCATATCCAACCGGCGTCCCCATTCCAAAAGGGAATCGAAACACGAGCGGTGAACTTGGCACCACAGTCACCGAAGATCATCAGCAACAACCTCCCCGCTCCCTATCCCATTCGATCCCTTCTCGCTCAACCCCAACGCATTCGTCGTAGAATCATGCGAAACGATAGCAACAACATCCTTCTCCCCCAACCCGCGCTTTTCATCAAACACTCCTCCACTCTCGTCATCATCATCATCGTCCAGCTCCTCTTCAACCAAAGCCCCCGCGAGCCTTACAGGTTCCCAAGTCCTCTCCTTCACTTCCAAGTTCTGGCCACTAGCGATGTTCTTCGCTATCTGCCCTTCCCGCTTGAGATGCGTGATCCGGCGGAAGGAACGGGCGAGGAATGGTGTAAGAGACGGAAGTGGCCAAGATGGAGGAACGAGTTCTAGGACCTGTAGAGTTTAGGTGGAGGAGAATAGCGGATAAAAGGATCAGCCAAGTCCGACAACATCGCGACTATTTTTGCGAAAGCGAGAGGTAACTCACGTCTAGGACATCGAGATTCATGGCTTGGGCATTCAGTAGTTGGGACGCCCGCTCAGCACTTGTCGGGGAACTGAAAAGAAGAGTTCATCAGTCAGTATCGTGGCACCACAAGCGTCAAGCCGGATAAAGTCAGGAACATCCGTCTATGCAAGGACAAAACAGAAGTAGAATGAACGACATACTCGTCCAACATATAGACCTCCAACAAAACCTTCAACAGCTCCTTCTTTTTCGCATCATCAATTGGACGCTGTATTAACGCAGGAGCCGGCTTCGCCTTTCCAGATTGCGACTTGGATGTTGAACCCCCCAGGAACAACCCCTCAGCCCACTGATCCAACCCCGCAGCCTCCGCAGCCGAAATAGCCACCTTCGGAGGAATGACATCCCCTTGAAGTGTACAGTAGGCTTCAGCACTCGCCGCATCGCTGAGTTCGCAAGCCAGTGTCGTTAGAGCTGATCTATGGTTTCCAAGCTAAAATGCAAAGGTATCATCATGAGATTGGGGTTTCCACGATTGGGGAGGGTATGGAAGCAGGCTCACCTTTCCCTCTAACAGCGCCATCTCCAGTGATAAGATCTTCTCTCGTTTTTCACTGACGATTCTGGCCTTGATCATTTCGGGGTCATAGAGATGCGAGCCTGAGAGAAAAAGAACTGAACAGAGGCGAGCTCGCTTCGAGGGAGACTCCGGTGTGGTGGACTCAAAGTACGAGAAGAAGGAGGGCAAAGCGGGAGGGCCGGATGTAGTGGTCGGAGAAAGAGGTGTCGCTTTAGGGGCTTTGGAGGAGGTCGATGTATACGAAGAAACTACATTCCATGTTGAGTGAGATGAAAGAGGGGCGACATGGTAGGGCATTAACCTTTAGCTCGCCATAGTTTTGATATTGCATTGTCCTGGCGGAGGAATTGGAGCACGGTGTCGATGCACGAAAGCGCGAGTCGATTGTGTAGCTCCTTTGACTGTAGCGCAGAAAACATAAGATAGATTTCTCAAAAGTGAACAAGCCACAGACCTGGGATCGTTTCTGGAGCACGAGGTACTCTAGGTACTGTTTCGCAGCAGCAGGACTCTCCAACTCGATTTGTTCCAACAAGGCCAGGTCTTCCCCAGTGGCTGTCCGCTCTCGATCTCTCCGCTTTCCGCCGGTGTCTCTGAGGGCAGTCAGGAGCTGGAGGGAAAACAGTCACTCACTGACTGGCGAAACTAAACCACTTCAAGAACACTTACTCGGATGGCTGCCTCTTGATCGCGCTTTAATAGCCATATACCCCATTTGTGGGTTAGGGCCTTATCGCGTTTGTCCATGAGTAGGGACACCATTTGTAAAAGAGGGTCAGGGATATCTGGATCTGTCCATACTCCGTCGACAATTCTGTGAGAAGCCTGTCAGCGACGTTTTCGGAGAAAGCAGCGGCGCATGTACTTCGACCACACTTCAAGCAACTTTTCGTCGTTTTCGGGTCCACCAAGTTGATACAGCATGCACAATGCATTGTACTGGCCTGTTTCCCGGAATACGTCCTCAACTTCGGAAAGTACAATTGAGTTGGGCGACGAAAGTAGATCATAGAGTTCAGATGTCTTTTCTGACTGCGCGTAGATCTTGGCAAGGACGGTGTCGATGATCTGGATAGAGAGGTTAACCACAGTTTGTGAAAACGATCTACAATACGCACGGCTCTGATGGAACGGGGTCGCTCCCTCTCTTTCCCTTTGCTAGAAGCAGAATTGTTAAACTGTTCCACCTCCTCATCTTTGTCCAAGTCTAATGCCATTCGTCTCCGCCTCTCTTTCTTGAGAAACGTCTCCAACATTTCCAGGGCCCTCTCCTGCAGGATTTTGCGTAGTTCCGCTGTCGTCGGTGCAGATTGTGTGTTCGGCGAAAGGTGGGGCGAGTAGTTCCTGACTAGGTTGAAGATAACTGGATCAGGCCCATGTTTAAGGCGTACACGGACAGGGTTGTGAAGAGATACATGGTAAGTTCAGAATAAAGGGGAGCGAAGTAAAGGCGAAAGCGAAAGGGTTGGGGTCAATGGGAAATAGTTGGCGACGTACTGATATCGTCCACAGATGCCTCCCTGGGCATCTTCTCCGCGATCCCAGCGAACACGTCCACATGGTCCTCGTCCGAGAACAGATTCCCTCGAAGCTGAGGAAAATAGCTGACTAGGACTCGCGGGTCGAGCTGGCCATTAAACAGCAGCTTTCCAGCATCTTCAAACATTGTTTCTGAGAAGTATTGGAATCCAATTCGTTGGAATACATAGCGCAGTTCTTCGGCCTAGATTCTCAATATTAACCTGTGCCTAGTGCGGAAGAGACGGGAGCGACGTACCTGGTCCTCATCGACCTCGATGCTTTCCTCGAGCTTCTTCCTCCTAGTGTCGGCAACTGTGAAGGCATCCTCAAGCTTGTGACTGTCCAGCAGAGATTCGACTTGGGTTATCAGGCTCGACGGAACCAGTGAATGGATCGAATTCGAGCCTAGGATGAGAACATGCGAGCTGGACGTCATTTTGGGGGATCCTGGTGGCTAAAAGTTGTGTCCCTGGCTCTAGAAAGGTTTCATGAGGCAGATGGCGGTCACTGAGGCAGGTCCAACACTGGGCACGTCGACGTTGTGGGCAACAAATCCGCCGGGCAATGCGCGTCACTGTTGAGCTCGGTGCCACCTAATGGGGAATAACATTACCACGCCCAGCGTAACCCGCGTTTCGCCCCAAGCCACTAAGTCAGCACGGGCACCAAAACCTACCATAGAAATCCCCGGAAAGCAGTAAGAGCTTGTCGAACTAGATGGTCCAAGAAGAAGAGCAAAATTCTCTCATGGTATGATGACTGCAATAATAACGAGTGAAGGGCATGTGTGGAAACACGTTGCATTAATGTGGAACACCTTCATTTACTGTGAATTCCCCTGGAGTTACATCGATAATAGAGCTTGAGCTAAATAATATGAGAATTAAGTCGAATGTCAAGAGGAGCTTTAATGAGCGCCCATTCATACGGCACCCTCCAAAGCAATTCTTGAATTATCATTTCCTTCGCACACGGATCGAGTAGTGTCCATTGCTCGTCTCTCTCCCTCAGTGATACAACATTGTTCAATATCATATGGCACATGTCGATACAACCAACCTCCCCTGTATTCTATTCATGGATTGCCTTCTCTGCATGGCTACAAGCACAAGATCTAATGAATGGGAAATCGCCGAGGTAAAGATCTAATCTAAATGACCATTGGGAATTGGGGCTGGAGAAGCGTGAGCTGAGAGAGTCAGTAGCACCAAGTAAATCCCCTTAGAGAACGTTTATCTCCCACCACTACCACATTTTTAAGGAATCCAACGTCCCCGCCTCACTTTCAAGTTAAGCGCTCAAACTTCCCGAAACGGACCGCCAGAACCTCCCACGTGATTCCCAACCATGCCAAGCCACAGGTGGGGCGGAACTCGCTGCAAGCGCCATGTTCGCCTCAACTGACGACGACCATCAGCTCGCCATGAACGACGTCGGCGAACCCAATGGCCAACGACCTGACACCCACAGCGACTTGGTAGACCCTACGACGCCGACGGCCACGACGGTGAAACCTAGTGAAGCGACACCAGCCTGTGAGACGGACTTGGACACGCTCAGAGAACTGAGCCTCAAACCTGGTGGCTTTGGAGATAAACGGGCTTCCATATGGTGCGCTCCAATTATATACGTTCTGGCTAACGTGCTCATCAGTCCTGATATAGGCCTTATTTACTTGGTGTTGAACCATTACCGCAGCCAGAACCCCAAGATGCTGCAACGGACGATGAACAGGCAGAATCGAGCCGCGAAACCGAGTGCGAGGTCCACCCCGACGAACACCAAATCAAACTAGACACCGACCGCAGCTTCGTATTATATCCAGTAGGTGAAAACCCGTGCCTCCAATGGATAATTGCCCTTGGACTGACATGCGGTGCTGTTGTAGAGCGGAAGGATGACCGTGAAACTCTTCAAGAGAACTTACACGATCTACTCGTGCAACTGTTCAGAAAACGACGGAAGTTGGGCTACTTCCAGGTACGCTATTCACCTTTCCGGACGCAAATTAACCGTGTTGAATGCTTTGTTAGGGATACCATGACATAATAACGGTCATATACCTCACTGTGCCACCAGAGCTGCGCTTTGCTTGCGCGGAGAAGATCAGTCTTCATAGAGTTAGAGACTCGATGGGATCCAGTCTAGAGCCAGTCCTGGGTCTTCTCAGGTGGGTCCTTGCACGTTACAACGTCAGCTGTCGCTTTGAAACTCAAACAACATCAGAATAACGAAAAACCTCCTACGGCTGGCCGACAGAGAGTATGCGTCCACCCTCGAGCGGTACGATAAGCCCCTTCTGGTTTTGTAAACCATGAGATTTATCTAACTTTGCGAACAGGACATCTCCGCTCCCCTTCTACGCACTCTCCAACCTGTTGACGTTATTCTCTCATGATATGCCAACGCTGCCTCTGATCCAGCATGTTTTCGATTACCTGCTATGTCGACCGCCAATTGCCGTTGTTTATCTTACAGCAGTGGTAAGCACAGTCTCGCGGTGTGTTTTTGAATTAGTGTGTAACCACGCGCGCTAGATCATTCTATCACGGAAGGAGGAAGTCAAACAACTTGAACTTGACGGAGAGGAGGGAATGGCCCACAGTCTCCTCAGTTCTCTGCCGGACATTGAAGACGAGGTAGAAGAGGACCCGGAACAGGTGACATCGGAAGATATTGCTGTTAAGCCTCCGAAACCAGCTAGTCCAGGACCGGAAGTTCAAGGGGATGACGGAACCGGAACGGACGCCTCAGGTACGCCTGACCCACAGCAAACTCCAGAGTCCGGCCCTACTGCTCCCATATCGTCGCCGAAGACAACCAACGACCCCGTCCTTGTCAATGATGCGCTCCAAACGTGCAGCTCATCCAAAGACTCCCAGACCTCTTCACCTCCAACCCGATCACGGTCACGCTCAACACGTCGTCTGGTGGACGACCCTAGTCCACAAGATGACTTTTACGTTCCCAGTCTCCCCCACACGAGCCGCTCACCCTCCCGAACCAAATCACCGTCACCTCCCCCGCCCGATGCCCCCTTGACCCTCGCGCACACAGAAGAACCTCACCATCCAGGGAAACCTAAACTATCTTTGTCGGAACTTCTCAGACGCGCAGACCAACTCCGCGAAGAATTCCCTCCAGATCATCCCGAACTTGGTGTGGCGAAAATTATGGGTCCACAAAGCGTCATCTTCACCTGGAAACAGCCGCGTCCACCAGGAACGAACGTTGCAGCTGATGGTGAAGACACCGAACTAGGCGATGATATAATCGGAGATCCTGATGACGCCGCTGAAGCCATGCTCCTGCACCCCGAGCTGGTCGTATATCCTTATGACCCGAGATCAGAGGAGGCTGAGGCATCCAAAGAGGGAGTGGATGGGGACGGGGAAGGAGATGGTGACCATCTCCTGACTGGCTCTCGTAAAGAGAAACGAAAGAGACGAAAACTTCACAAGCCACGGTACAAGTTCGATGTGAGAACGAAGACTATCGTCGCTGGAACCGTGATCGTTTTGGGGGTCGCGATGGCCGCTGCGTACGGCATGCGCGCCCAAAAGTATGGGAGCGCTGGGAGTCCTTTTGGCACCCACGGCCAGAAGAAGTGGGCTCAGAGTCAGCAGTGGTTCAGTGGAGCGATTGTGGGTGCTACTATGAAGTTGGCTCAGGCCTTTGGTGGTGGCGAGAATGGGCGAGGAGAGTTGTGATATGCCCTGATGCTCCTTTCCTTATGCGACGGCTTTCCTTTCTGGACTTCGTTTTCTCCACTATCACCCTGCTATCCCAACACGTCGAACGCCCGGGCGGACTCCTTGTGACTGAGGCAGATCCTCTCGGCCATGTTCTAAACTTGGTGAACTAGAGCTGGACGCGGGCGACGCGGTGGAGGTTGACTTAGGTAGTATTCTATAATCCTACAAGTTATATTTGAATCCTCCAAACCGCCTTGCGCGAGTATTGGAGAGGTCTGCTATGTATATGTCATTCTAAATTTAAGCACAACTAATACGCGGGCCTGTCGGCGTCTAGTAAAATGTCGGGTGCAGGGTAAGTACCAGAATAAGGAACGCTGCAAGGCCTCTACCGCGATCAAGCGGTCGTGTTGGCCGCAGCGATGACCTCGTCTACAGCCTTCTCGCCATTGACGACAGAGGCGACGACTGGGATGGCTTGAGAAAAGTCACTGAACATGACGTGCTTGATGTTCTCCCTCTGGCAATACGCGGCCAAGTCGTTCTCGCCGTCGGCCTTCGCCTTAACAAAGAGGAGGTCCGCATGACGGGCAGCGGAAATATCTGTGTTGGCAAGCGTAAGAAATCAGCGAAATTTTAGCAGACCGTGGAGAAGAGTAAATGAACGCGATTCGGGGACAGCAAAGGTGGGATCGAAAACCGACGGGTGCGCATGGAGCGTGGATACCAGAGATAGCCGTTACTGGGAGGGTAGGGCCTAGGCGTATCCCGCCGGTTCGAGTCAATGAATACGGGTGAGAAGCATCCTCGCGACCGCTGAGAACATTTCCCTGCGGCTACGGAGGATATCTAAAAGTGTAAATTTCGAAGCCGTTCACATACCTGAAACGCCATCCCCGAAGAAAAACAAGGTTGGTGGGTTCGGGAGGTCGCGATAAGGCAGAATCGCCTGGGACTTATCGTGCCCGAAACCGCTTTAGGAGTCAAACTCTCATTGAGCTTCGCTTGGCCCGTAATAGAAGGCAGAGACTCACCTGGAGGGGTGTCTGAACTGAATCTCCCATTTGCCGTCAGGCTTGATATTCACGTCATTGGCAATAATGTCGATATCCTTCGCAGCTTCCTCGCCAATAAGGTGGACGAGGGTGGACTTGATCAAAGGTGCCATCCCGCTGTTGAGTGAACGAGTGGGTGTCGTTTAGCTCCATGGAAATACGAGCAGAGAGACGCATGGATGCAGACGCACTGTGCCATCATCCTTCTCCCGCGTCGACGACTCACCTCGATACGATAATGAATGGGACATCGTTAGCTTTGCACCAGGCACAAAAGTCTTTGAACCCGGGATCAAGCACGATATCTAGAGAAGAACGTGCGTCAACTCAATTAGCGCCCATACATCGCTCGGAAATTCCTCGTGCGACCTACGCTTCTTTTGGTACTCTTTACACTCGGGGAAAGTGTGTCCGTTATCAGAGACGCTCTGCAACATTTCCCGGAATGAATCCCTGGAAACATTTCCAGCCCGTTAACGGTGCTTGAACTTGGTATGACCCTGGGAATTGACATACCGGAAGGTCGAGCGACCCGCCAGGATTTCAAGGTTGCCACCCCGACGTTTTTCCTTGCCGAAACCAAGGTTATCGGTCATCACTGCAAACCGACGGGGCCATCAGTCAGTAACTGCACACCGCGATTAGGAGACTTTGCGCGAGGGGGGAGTGAGGGGAGACATGACGTCCATCCCTAAGATACAGTGATCGACGCAGATCCCATCGATAACGACTGTAAACCGCCCAGTCTGACCAGGAACTTACGGTCATTCGAGTCGATTGTGGTGATCGTCCCATCCCTAAGTGGTTTACATGGTTAACCGACTTGAACGACAATTGAACGCAGGGAGAGCCAAAGATAGGCGATCCAAAAAAACCGAGACCTGGCCATGGGAGGTCCAATGAGATTTCTGGAACATACCAATCAGAAAGAACCACGAATTTCTTGTCGCGGTGGATGGGAGGGTATGGCAGACTGCTCTGTGGTGCTTCACGGGTTTCGGTCATCTGCGAAAATGGTGAGCGCTGGGCCCCAGGAAACCACAAAGGACAGAAAATGACCTTGGGGTAACGGTGAATCTGTGGTATCGTTGCTTGCAAAGCCTTTAATTTCAAAAAGCTTGCGCGATGACTCGGCGGTTGCTGTCAAGAAGTCGAAGCCTTCTCTTCGAGTTCTTGGGTCCTGGCGGATGTAAGCGGATCCAATGATCGAATTGTGTCATCGTGATTTCTTGGTGATTTCCCCTTCAGCTTCAGCGCTTCACGCGGATGTGGTGCGCACCGTCCACGTCGCTCCCCAACGAGATAACTGCACCCAAGCAATAGAATTCTCCGCCCTATGGAATGCGGAAAGTCGAAAGAGAATGGACAATTTATGCGGAAGATGCTCGGGAGGCGGATAATGTTCAAAGGGATACATCGAATTCGGGTAGTATACGGATACAGCTATATACTATCGTCTACAGATAACAGAACCAGGATGCTATGGGATTAAGGTATAAGAATAAAGTAGTCGGGTCATGATAGCAGATACATCTATGGAATGGGAACCAATATGAAAACAGAAGGGTCTATGCAGTGGGTCTAAAAGGAAAATGCGAGTCAAAGTGGGGAGCCGATGAAAGCGAAGGGGAATAGATAGCAAGAAAGCGATTATGGGGGAGCCAGTCCTGAGTCGGTATGCGGTACAATAGTCGGGGTCTAGTCGTTGCTTGAAGATGAGAGAGGTGCGGGTCGAACGAGAGGCGATTACCAGTCGAGTTCTGGAGGGAAGTATTTTGCGATTAAGGATTGGTAGTAGGGCTTGAGCTTCTCAACGTCGCATCGTTCGTCGCTTTTGCTGTAGAGATCGTAGGGGTTGAAGGCCTTGACGGCAGCGAGGATCTCTTCGTCTTTTTCGTTGCACAAGTGCTTGTAAGCGCCTTCTCTGTGCCAGGGGTAGAAAGAGTGGTAACGAATCATGGCCAATGCCTCAGGAGGGAGGTAACTCTGGTCCTTGAAGACGTTGTATAGATACTGCCAAATGGGTCAGCTGGTGAGATGGTAAAAATAAAGGAGAGCTCCAACCTCATCGTGACCCCAGGAGAGCATGACGTTGTCCAGACCGCAGTTTGGTTTATAGATACCGTACTCCGTCGAGTAAACCTCGTCGTACGAATCGGGGTTTCCAGCGAAAGTCTCATGATAGATAATTTTATCGGAGAACTTGCAGCCGACGACAAAGGTATCCTGTGGAGGCGAACGAATAGAACTATCAGCTCAATCCGTCACAAAGACGCGACTTGTACGTACACCAACGACGTCCCACTGGCCCTCCGAGCCGAAGATGAGCAGCAGTTTCCCGAGATCATGGACAAGCCCCGCCACTTGCATCCATTCTGGCTTTCCATCACGGCGAATGGCCTCAGCGGTTTGGAGGAGATGCTCGATTTGGGATACGCTGGTCTACAAATGATGTCAGTCAGTCATAAACATTGCGTATATTCCCAAAAGGGATGTGCGCACATCAGGGTCGGATTCATCAACGAGCGTGTTCAGTAGCTCAATGGCCTCCCACACGCCCATACGGCCTCGCGACTTGGTCTTGAAATTGACTCGAGCGCGGATATTGAACTCGACTGTCTGTTTTTCTAGAAACGGGATGTGTCAGACAGGGTGGCGGGTGGCGATAGACAGTGGACATACCGTGTTGTTCCTTGTAGAAAGCCTTGACACGGTCACAGGCGGATTCGTACTGTCGGAACTGCGTTTTGTCTTTTGATTTGTCAAACTCAGACTCCTCGTTCCAGAGCCTGCCCCGCAGGACGTTGACTGTACCAATTCGTTAGACGCTGTACGCGACAATCGCAGAGTGGGGAGTGGGTCTTACCTTCGTCGATGGCGTCGCTAGTCTCTTCGAGCTCGTGGGCAGGTATCCGGGGAGTGTACTGCACGGTGGACATGATGATAGGAGTAGGAAGAGGAGAATGAAAGATTAGGTAGGTAATATAAGTCCCAAGAAGAAAGAAAGCAGGCTGTCTACAGACAGGAGCAGTTGAGGGGGACTGGATGGGATGTGGTGGTGAGACGGAACCCAAGAGAGAGACGCGGATTTTAAGGATTTTGGAACGGCCTGCACAGGAAGATTTAACATTCCCCAATCGGTATAGACGGGATCTATTGCGAAGTTGATGAAGAAAAGTACAGTCTCCACTGGCAATTTCCTAGGTTTCAGCGAATTACAGCGAAATCACTTGCCATCGTCAGGTCAGATCTGCCGACACGGGGACGCGACGGCCAGCGTCTCGATTTGGTCGTACCTCATTGGGTTGCTACGTGTACTACCTAATCCGGATACCTCGCGTGGCCAAGGTCGCGATCCGCCTTTGCAGATCCAATCTCGATTTCTTGGTCTTTCCATCCCAAAAATCCCAAGAGTACTCTCGCTTTGCTCGCATCATGTGTTACTGGATAAGGGTTGGGTATTAATAGCAGCTTGACTTTACCTTCCCTTTTGCTGCAAGGCCTAGTCGTTCCTCCAAATGGACTGCAACGAGGCTGAAACATGTTCGATCGAGAGCTTAGATTAGTGGACATGTTCATTTGGCTATCCGATTACTCTTCTCTAAGCCTGATTATCTGTGATGGGGTATTTATTGGTTAATAGAGAGTGATAACGACGTTATGCCGTCATGAACAAAAGCAAAACCCATACAGTCAACCTTACGACCTTCCCGACAGTGCCTCCACTGCTGTCAACTTTCAACGACCCCGAACAAGTACCGAAGATTTCGAATCCCTGTCGGCGCTTACATTCTCAAAGCTCGTATCATCCCTCGTATTGAAATGATGTAAACCGCCCATCTTCTTGCCTCTCCAACGATACGATGTTCTGGACCCTATAAGAACCCCTTCGTCGATACTTAAACGCATGGCGAGGCTCCCAAGTGAAGATCGAGAGTATTGGATTACAGCTGTTTGCATAATTCTTTGCGCGAGCAGTTTTGTAGAATCGCTTTGATGGCGTTGATGGCACCTCGGAGAACTCCGTTTTACCTCATCGCCGGTCGAATACACAGCTGTTTCTGCGATTTTTGGCGGGTGAAAGAGACGATTAGTTGGTGCAGATGATTGGAAACATAACCAGAAGTGGTAAGGGCACATTGACGAGGCGATAAGCTCGCGACAATGCCTGGGTGATGCTCAGAACTGAGCCTCGAGCGGGACTTTTGCTGTCATGCGGAGCTTTCCAACCCGCCATCAATTGGTTTCTGAAAATTCGCTCGCGCAAAGAATTATGCAAACAGCTGTAGGATAACACAGTCAGTTACGAAAAGTGACGAGTTTCCCATTGACTTCCTAATCCCCGTGTGCCTTCAAGATTTTGGGGGTCTGAGCGCTCCGAGTCGCAAATCGAAAATACGTCCAATACCCTCGAGTGTACTATACACCGCCTGGAGGCGTTCACCTTGCATAATGGTTGCGATTTCCGCGGGTCGCGGGAATGAAGTTCACGATGACTCCTTCTTGGAGCACCGTTTGCCTTTCATACATAAGTAATTCCCTGGTATGTTCACCCTGGGTTCAAGTCAGCTGTCTAACCTAGGGTACGAAAGCTTACAGGCAGTCTGCGAGGCCCCGATTCCCAATTTAACCACTTCAGCCAGTCAACGTTTGATTCGGAGTAAGGGAGTCACAGTATTCAGGATAAACAGCGGACTCTTAAAACGTACATACTGGTTTCAGTTAACAGCATCAACTCCACTATTCCGGACTCAGCCATTCCATTCTAATCCATAAACATTTCCATCTCGTTTGAAAAGATACCGTTCTCCAGGTCCCCGCTTCGCCAAATTTAAACAGGGTTTTTCCAATCCTTGAACCCAAGGTCAACAGCTATGGGAAGCAAACATGATCAATGTACGTTCTACACAAAAGAGGGCGCGATTGCAGTCAACTTACGCCATGGGGGTGTGATGAATCTGCAAGAAGAGCGTCGACGAGTAGACATCAACAGTTAGAGCAGCATGTTTACACCATCGTTTATGAATACTCACCTTCGTTGCTTGCCCTCGGCGGCGAGCTTATCAAGTTCAGCGATGTCAGCCTGCTCCAACTTCTTGAAGGCAGCAGCCGCTCCTTCGATGTTGGCCGAGATTCGTGCAGGAGTTACGGACTTGGGGACGACGGGAATTCCCTTCGAAACTGAATTGAACGGGCGAGTCAGAACAGGCTTCTAATGCTCCAGAGCCAGCGAGCGCTTACGCAAATATCCAAGGAGCACGAACGCGGGTTGCAACCCATGTTTCTCCGCGATACGAACCACGGTCTCGTCCTGGAGGAGCGGGGAGCCAGCTGACCCAAGCGGGGAATAGGCTTGTGCGACTATTCCTTTCGATTTAAGGAAAGCAACCAACTCGTGCTGTGGGTTGTACGGATGAAGTTCGAGCTGTGTGAAAAGAGTCATGTCCGAATCAGTGACCGTACGTCCTCCCACCACGACCTGTTCTCCAAAACCCCCAAAACATCATTTCGTTCTCCAAAGAAATGAGAGAAATCGCACAAAATAGTGATAACGATAGTCCAATTGCCTAATTCTACTCACCTGGTTAACGGCAGGAATAACCTCCGCTGACGGAAGTATCTCTGCGAGCTTTGCCTCCGAAAAGTTAGACACTCCAATTGATTTAACCTTCCCTAAAAAGAAGGCACAATAGCCATTTCAGTGACTGGTTTTAAAAACACTCCTTGGGGGCGTGTTCCTTTCGAGCGGCATATCCATGGCAGACGTGGGATCCGGAATGTGCCTTCGGAGTCGGTTGCGGTAGATAGCAAGTGGACGAGGACTCACCAGCCTTCTGCAGAGCCTCCATCTGTTTCCACGTATCGGAGAGTTTCCAGGAGTGATCCACGTCCCGCTTGCCGTCGGGCAGGGTAGGGAAAGCGGGGTGATTGCCTTTAGGGTTCAAGGGAACAGGCCAGTGGATAAGGAATACTAGAACCAGTCGAATCAGCCAAACAGCCGGCCAGAGCTATTCATGAGAATGCTCTCGAAGCGGGGCGTACAGTCGAGGTAGTCAGTTCCCAGTTTCTCCAGAGTCTCATTTAGGGACTCTTCGACTCGAGTGTGGTAGGTGCACCAGACTTTACCGGTGATCTTTCACAAACGGGTTAGTTTGATTCGTCCCAAGTTCTAGTCATAGTCCAGAAGGGACCCGAGCAGCGCAACCTACCCAAAGTTGATCTCTAGGAACACCAGAGGCCTTGATACCATCTCCCACTTCCTTCTCGTTTCCATAGACCCTGTTAGCACCATCAAGGGTCGCCCCGACACCGCCCAGAAAGAGTGAACACCAGCGGTCAATATCGATGTATCCATCGAGAACAAGGGCAACCTCTGCGGGTTTCTCACCAAGCACAGTCAATGTGACGGTATCCCGCCTCTTTGATGGCGTGGGCGACGGCATTCTCGACTTCACCAGGCTGTGATTGCCAAGTCCCTATAGCGTCACGCGAGACGACGCGAAAACGACAACGTAAAGGGTGTTATTAGTTTGGGTCGCACTCGGAGGTCGTGGGTGTGTAAAGAAAGATATATGGGTTCAGCGCTTTGGGCGACCCTTGGACGCTGAGAAACTATCATCGAACACGGTACACGCACCTAGACCGATGGCTGGTATTTCACGGCCGTCGTTCAGTTTGATCTTGAGATCGGCGGCCATGGTTGTGGTGGGATAAAGAAAAGAATGGGTTCAGAGGGTCGTTGTGGTGGTGGTTATCGATAAACCCTGAGGTGAGCTTGCTGCATTCTAGCTTTAGGGGTTCTCAGGCTGCAAATAAGCTTGTCAGCTTTCGAAGGGCTTCGAATATTCGGCATCGTCGCGTCATACGGGCGACAGGTTGCCACAATTCCAGAGTACAAGTCGTGGGGGCGGGCCGCGCGGTCCTTGCGGTCCCGCCCACTCGCCGTCCTGGGAACCCGGAAAGCATCCGCTTGGGAGCAAGTTCCATTGGAAAAGCGCCCGTAATGAACCTGTCCGTCGTGTCAATTCAGTGGGATAGTGGGATTGAATTGACTAAGTAGGTGGGTGTAGGTTATGAATAGAAACGCGGATTCGGCCGTTTGCCACTGGATGGACGCCGTTCCCATTCCCACCTTCTATGATGAGTTGGAGTCACTACCAGCGTACAACTTCGAATGAACACTTCCAAAGGTGGGCCGGGATTGCCTGGGAGGAGAGTGGCGTACCGTAGCCGCAGCCGCTGACTGACAAACAAGTTCAGCATTCTTACGCCTAGGGTTAAGTAAACCCATCGGTGACCTCGGGGTGTCCAGTTCACATCATGTGCGACATATGTTCAGTTCGTATCTTGCCAGTCTGCCGTCGAAAGTCGAGGTCCAGGAAATAGACCTAACGACCGTCCTTTTGGGTATATAGAACTATGCTCAGGCCACATGGTCGAGGAATAAAGTTTGGCGACGATCTCTGCAAAAAGGTCCTCTGGAATCAATTGGGGCTTGTTGATGATCCCTCAATGCACAGCACAGAGGGAAACGTGTTGTGGCGTGGCTTTTCTGTGACCTAGGCACCCATGGGCGCTTATCGCAAAGGGCAACCGGAATAGAAGTTCCGCTGGATATGTATGGATATCGACTCGGAGGAAAGTCAATACAATAGTTAAGGTTTCGGACATATCCTTCGAACCAAGGGGATGGGGAGCTTTATGCACAATGGACAGTTGTTACTGAGCCCCAGGAAGGCGAATTTCGAGCACGATACCGCGTGAGTCAATGACACAGCGGCGAACTCAAAAGTCCTCGAGTGTTATTCGCGTCGACTGAAAAACTGTATGCTTGAGTCGCCGATCCCCGCAGAAATTCAGGAACGAGTTGGATAGCGTCGTCGCGGTGATGAGATCCAGGCTCAAGTTGTTTGGTTTAGTGCGTTGCTTTGTGGGCGTAAAGGGTTTGGGGTGGCGCAGTCGATACCGCTCCTCGGCATGATGGCTTTGCGAAATTGCCGAAGTAAATGTATGGTTCTGGATGTACCTTGAAGCCATTCGTTAGCTGGCCAGAGCGGCTTCACACAGAGTGGTACACAGGTACTCGTATTGCAGATTATTCAGAGTGCGTTGAGGGCGGGCGTCTTCACTTCCAATTGTTCACTGGAGTACTTCCGAGATACAGTCACGGTGAGATAGAGCACCGAGGATAGCGATGGTCGGACGGCCCAGATTTAAATCACTCTGGATTGTTTAATTGGACATAGCGAGATCTAGAGAACTCAGCCAATGCTCCGAAGTCTGTAGGTACAACCGATATGAACCACGCGAGCACGAGCTTCGGAAACCAGAAGGGGTTGACAACCTTAAAACTGTGCAACCCTTGTCGAAATAAATTTCTGAGAAGACGGTAGCGAGAGGAGGCATGTAATCGACAAATTGTTCCTGTATGTAGTTGGCTATAAACTGGAACGCGCTGATCATGCAGGGACGCGATTTACAGCTTGAGGAAGGGTCTGCAGATATTTTTTCCTTTTTTTATTTTATTGTTAATCCGCATCGCATTTTGAACCGGTGTCCTTCATCGCGACGGGCGATATGTTCCTTTTACGATTCGTCTTGTATTTTTTGAAGCGAGGAGAAAGCGATACGACGATGTACAAACCAAGCACAGACTAGTCCTTCGCTGGTCCTTTTGAGGACCCTGCGCGAGAATGATACCATCAATTGATCTGCATCATCGTGGCGATGTCCGACTGTCAATATTGTGGAGTGCCAAGGGAGGTCGCGTCCCAACGCCAGTGCAGGACGTCGGCGATGTGTAGTCGGTAGCAAGTCGATTTGTGTCATTAATTACCGCGCGGGCAAGGTATGAGAGCACAAAGGCAATGCCTCTTCAAGCGCAGCAGAGGCGGTATAAAAGGCCAGTCATAACGGGGTGATGCAATTAATAAAGCACTCAGAAGACTTCCTCTGTTCTTGATATAAGTACGGACCAGGAAGTAACGATCCCTATCAGATCGACTGAACTTCGAGCAACAGCCTTGAGCAGATGTACAATGATGAGAAGGAAAGGATTAGGAAGAATTTCAGGAGTAGCGCCAAAGTGAAACGATCAGTCTGCCGAGCTTATGATTCCGCCTGTACATGTAGCGTCGGCTCCACAATTGGATGTGCCAGGGTAATAGTAGGACTCGTTGTCGAGAGGCCATCCAAAGTCCATAGAAGCAAATTTGTCGTACAGTTGCCAGGGAAGGAGAATGTTATCACCCAAACACGGCCAGGCAGTGGGAGACAATGCGGTTTCAGAATTTGACCTGAGAAGCCCGTCTGATAAGTAATAATTATAAGCAGTGACGCCAGAGGCCAGTCGACAGTAGAGGTCGATTCTGAGGATTATAAGCAGATAGTTAGGGGGCAAGGGGCATGTCGAAGCGGACGAAGTTGTTGGACAGAGGAAAAGAATGTCGATGGTCAGGAAGCCATGTGAGCCGTGGGCACTGTGGGAAAGTTGGTTTCCTAAAGGGAAAAGCTGGATCAAAGCCGTCACAGCCGTGTGAGGCAACAATTGTTTGCAAGTTCCCTCGACCAATATCGTCCTTGACCCCATCAGCTGGGCTCTGTTGGTGGTGAACCACAATCTTCCCAAGTCTCAGAGGGTCTGTTCTGCTGGCTAGAGGTCAGTCTCCGCTCAATCTACAGCTTTATACAGGTTATACTCACCCAAAAGTACCCCTGTTGACTTGGTTCAACCGATTGGATACCCAGCCATCAACAAATTGATACCCCTGGCTTTCTGCTTTTCGTCGCGCACACCGAGGCGATCGTTGTGACGTACGGGTGAATTTCCCTGATTTTGGTTCATTTTCCTGAGCAGTTGTGGTTCTGTAGCCCTCTCTGGAACAACCTGGACCATTTTCGTTCGTTTCTTGGAGATCTATGGGGTTTGGGCTCGGTTTCAAGCGCAATTCTCGGACTCAGCCCACAAAGTCCAAAGCAGAAGATGATGACCAGTGGTACATACCGTATACCGGGTCATTCGAGCCTCCACCACGGGAGCCTCCACGCCGCCTGAGGCCCAGGGACAGTTGGGGGGATCCACTCGACCCGGACGATGACGACGATGAGGGCCTCGCCGACAAGGAACTCCAGGAAAGGTTCCGAGAGTACGGGGACACGTCGAGCCGCAACAGCAGCAAGTTCACCGACGACGACCACAAACCCAGAGGGCGGGATAGGTCATTTTCATTAATGTCTGGTCGAACTGTGTCGTCCGGTATGGTGGACCCAAGCCGTAACAGCGTTCTTTCCCCGCGGAGGTCAACCGTAACCTCTGGTCAACGTCCACCTGTCCCATCCTATATCCACCTGGAGGCCGCAGGAGGCGTCGGAGAATCACCTGTACCACATGTTACCAAAGAACACCTCCTCAGCAATCGCCTCAGCTTGGCCAGCATTTTCAGCTTCGCGTCGTCCAGTCGGAAAAATAGGTCCTCCCCCGAACGCAGTCGGAAGAGTTCCCTTCGTAGAGCACGCCCGCCAAAGTCGGAATCGACCTCCAGGCAACCTTCAGAACCCAATACGCGCCCCAGCACTTCTTCTGAAGCTCAAGACTCGACGACGAAGAAAAAACTCGTTTTCCCCCAGCCCGACCCTTCCAAATTGAACGACGTTGCACCTGATGACTATTATAATTCCTACTACTCGACTTTGGTTCAAACCCCGGGACACGAGTCTTCACCTCTAAACCACCAGGGTGAAGTGCCTTCAACACAGACCCAGGAAGATCCAGCCACTTCACCACATCCCTACGCGTATATACCACTTCAAGATCCTTCCGACCCGCCACAGTCCGCTCCTTTACCCACCACATCCTCAACACAATCCAACAAACGCCCGCCCCGTCTCGGTTTCACCAATCCTGGAAACAATAGCCTAGGGGTGAGATCGCTGAAGAACTCGACTTCTACCCCTGACCTGCGCCTCCCTGCTCCCCCTCGCTCGAAATCCCGCACTTCTCCTTCCATTAAGGATCGCTGGCTCTCTGCCGAAAGCTGGTGTGACGCCATTCTTTTCCCCAGACCAAGATTTAAACAGGTTGCTCCTCCCCCACCCAGAATAGTCAGCCCGCCAGATACCCCTGTGGAAGAGAAATTCCATGACCAGGTGGCTGATTCTGCTGTTCCTTCGAGGGTGCTTGCACATTCGAAGTCTCTGGGTAACTTGAAACCTCCGCAGCCACCACTCCCACAGGTCGCCATCACCCCTCCACCTGAACCCACTCCTACTGCCAAGTCTTCCAATGCCCGACCACCTCGCCCTAAGAGTTTTGCAGCTGACGACCTTGCTCTTATCAATCCAGCATTCTCGCTTGAACAGTACGTTTTCCTTGTCTCGTTTTCGATGCCAAAACTAACTTCCGAATAGGGTTCTCCAAGAAGGGGAAAAGTTGGAATTCCAGAGAAGACAGTGGCAGGTCCAAGCTACTTCTTCAATCGGCAACTCAACTGCACGAAAGCTTGCTCGCTCGCGTTCCAAGTCTTTAACCCAGAAAGGCCGCAAAGTACAGATTCAGAACAGCATCGACTACCTTGCAGCGCGTGCTTGTCTTGGCAGCCAGAATGCTTCTCCCGACATCCTCCCACCACGTCCTCGTACTTCATCTTCCACACACGGCACGCAGTCAATGACAACCGCCGGTCGTCCGTCCCACTCACACTCCAACTCACTGACGAAATCATTGTCACTGTCCAAGTCATCAAAACATTCTCGCGGTCACTCACGTTCGGAATCGTGGAGCAAAGGAGACAACAAACATCCCCGTGTCCCTGCAGCGGAGATCAACCATACGCGACCATCGCTGGAGGTTGCCCTACACAATGACAACACGAGGGTTATTCGTTTCCCTGACCCTGCTTTCATCCCTATCGACCGGTCGAGCCCAGCTCGCGTTTCGCCCATTCCATCTGGGAGTAGTGATATCCATATGGGAATTGCTATCTCCACACCTCCGCCTCCTGACGATGGACTGGATCGTGAATCGATCAGGATGCCTGCCCACCCCTATGCTTCGGCAGGACTGTATACCCGGAGCAATCCCGCCCAAGATACGACGCAGGAAAAGAAACAACCAGAGCGTAGCGGTGCCGATTATGCAGGGCCTCACCCAATCGTTGCTCCTCATAATAACCACCAGCCTCCACGGGTATCTTCCCCCATGTCCTCGCATCCATACGCTCGGGCAGTTTCTCCCGAATCCGCTGCGTTTGTGGCTCAACCCCGCGACGATAGCAATGTTCCTGTGTCGGACAAGATGTGGGCGCAGCTTTCGCCTGGTATCGTACGCGAAGTCCTACCGGACGATCTCGTCTACTCTCCGTTCATGCAAGACACGTCTGCGGCCGATGGCGCAGGCGACGACTCGGTCGGGTTGGGTGAAGCGCTTACCTACACGAATAGCTATCGGGATAGCTTCGATAGCGGATTGGGCACGAGCGAGGGCCACGTCATTCAGCCCTACGTCCCAGTTTCTTCGCCGCAGGAATGGCAAGAGGAAGCGCCGCGGGTGCACCGCAAACCGGTTCAGTATGACGCCAGTCGACCTGCGTACCCACAACGACCTGGGTTCCCTCACCACCGTCACAACAGCTCTTCCGATGACCCGGCTTCGTCAGGTGCGGCTGCGCTCCCCAGTAGCGATCTCCTGCTTCCCATTCCTGAAGTGGTCGATCACAATGGTGTGGTTCCCTCACCTGGTGCAACCTCTGGAACCCCCTCGCCGCCCCCGTCACCTCGCAGTCTCGGCAGTCCGAATGACCTCGACAACTTCCACGACCTGTTCTACCAGCCCAGTTCTATCAGACAGTCTGCACTCGACCCCGTGGCTGACCGACCGCTGTCCCAATCTGCTTCGCTGACGTGGGAGGAGGCCTCGCGTAGCCGAAGGACTGGGAGTGGGTTGACGAGTCTGGCGAGGCAGTTGAGTGAGGAGTTTGAGCAGATGGAGAGGGATAGAGCGAGTAGCCAGTACTCGACTGGTGGGTCTTTGAGACAGGACAGCCTCGGCCGGAAGACTGCGAATGGTGGACTCGAGTTTGTTTTCGAGGAGGTCCGGACGGACTCACCTACCCAGATGGGTCATGTGCATGATCATGAGACCGACGAAGACCCAACGCTCCGCCTCAAACCCCCGTTCAGCGTTCCGGAGGACGTTGCGTCGTTCGTCGCATCTTCGGCAGAGGGTAGGACGGTGGAAGACGAGGAAGACGAAACAGGTGAGAGTTGCTTGTCATCGTACTTGCTGTCAATCGAAATGCTCACCCACGTTTTTTTTTTCTTCTTTGTTTTTTTTTTTTAGCCGTTTTCCGTGTCGGGTCCGTAGACGCGATCGCCACGCCCCCCGCAGAGACCGCCGATCGGCGTCGTTCGTTCATTGGACTGATGTCCTACGACAACCGATTCCCCCGCGATCCGTCCATCAGTCCCGACGGACGACACCTCAGCCAGTACTCGGGACTTCAACCACCCGAGATAACGCGGAGCAGTTATATGACGACGTCGACGATGTCGAGGATGTCGGGTCTTTCCGACTTCCCTGTTCCGCCTCGGGATCCGGCGCATATGTCGCTCCTGACCGCTTATTTTGACGAGACGCTCAGTCACCGGGAGATGCAAGCTCTGCGGGATACGCCTCACCCGCTCTCGCCTGAGGCAGGACGTCTCGTGCTCAGCGAGACCAGCGAAAGCGACGTAAAGCCTGCCAACAGCACCACTACCACCACCAACACTACTACTAATACTCCTTCCACGGACTAAGACCAGACCTTCCTTTGCAACTTCAACAGCGTTACCTGACATACCCCACACTCATTTCAATCCCCAGCTTCCCGTCTCTCCAATCTCCGTTTCACAACCCCAATTATGTAGCGATATTTATTCCTTATTATTGGAATTACTGATTTGTATTGCGCATTCGACAACCTATCCTTATAGCATACTGTATCCATTATTTCGTCGTTTTTCCTTTCAATTCTTTGCAGGGTTTTTCACGTTTCTCCTTGTTCATTATTATTCATAGAATAGTGACCTTTTTTGATTCGCAGTTAGCAGTACTGCTTATTATTCGTAACTCTCCAACTTGCATATTCTCTATGTACCCCACTTCGATCTCTTCGCCCTTCCTTCCCTCCCCTCCTCTTTCTTCCCCTTCTTCATACCTGTTGTTTGTGTTTGTTTCGGGCATGACTTCTTATGTAGACCATTTGGAAAGTAATTGCATGGCGTTCTGCAAGAATTGAAGATCGTAAAGAGAGGGGTATCAAACGATTACAGCAATACAGGTACAATGAGAGAACAGGATAGTCATAAATACAGCAAAGCAACTGGTCAATAGAGCATGTCAGTACAGCAAGCGTGTTGCATCTAGTCGTCGTATTGAGTAAGCTAAAGGAAAGATACGCCCCGTCAGTTCCATCCCAACCAACAGCAACAGTACCAAAAATATCAAGACTCACGTCAAGTGTAAGCGTCCGCGAGCTATTCACATCTTGATCACGATAGATCCCAACCAGCGAATTCCCTCTCTCATACAGGGTGTTCTTCAAGCTGATCACGACGAACTGGAAGGATTCGGACGCATGTGTGCGGATGTAGTTTGCAACCTTGGCCACGTTGGTGTTATCCAGTGCTGCGTCGACCTCATCCAGCACGAAAAATGGTGCCGGTTGGTAACTGAATTGCAGACCCATATCAGATAACGAGTTCCTTTTTCTTCAAGGAGTTCGAGCATGGAGCCACAAACCTGTGAATAGCAAACAACAGTGCGAGAGCAGCCACCGTCTTTTCACCGCCAGATAACTGTTCCATATCTCTGAAACGTTTCATGGGAGGCATGGCATGATACTTGATACCACCGTTGTATGGTTCCTGAATGACGAAGCTCTCAGTTGGGAACACACGCGGCAACGGAGAGATAATCTTTTGCTTTTACCTCGTTGTCTTCCAAACTAAGGTAGGCGACACCACCCATAGGCGAGGCTTTCCCTTTCGTCAAGTCCTTGTACACCTGATCGATACGATCCGAGATATGATTGTACGCTTTGTTGAACAAGTCGCATCTAGTGAGGAGAATCGAAAACACCAAATTAGCCATCTGAGTTTGTAAACGAAAACAAATGTGAGTGGGGAAACGCCACAAACCTGCGCTTCTTCACATCATTGAATCGATCCCGGGCTTCTTTCGAGTCCTTGCGAGCCTTCTCAGCCTCCTTTTCCGTAGCTGCAAGTTTACTCTCCACATCGTCCAGCCTATCTCTTCGTCAATCTCCGTCCAAAACACCCCAAATCGGAAAACCCCACATACCTATCCATGGCCTTCATATTCGGTGCCATCCGCTCGATCTCGCCATTGATGTTGACGATTTCCTTGTCGTATCGTGCAATGGCTTCTCCCGGATCCTCCTCCCTCTCATCCTCCTCGATAGAGTCAAAGTCGACTTCAATACCATAATCAGGAACCTTTTTCGGTCTCTGAGTGGCATCCTCGTCTTCGTCCACGTCCATCGCGACTTCTTCTCTAAGGTTCTGTCATACAAGCATCATCAGCCAACGAAAAAGAAACGCGTGAATATAGAAGGACGCGCGTGGATCGTCGTTAAGACAAATAGAGCTCGGAAGATGACGACATACCTCCTCCATCGGGACATTCTTGAGGTTTCCCTCTTTCAGTGGCAACCGGATCTCTTCAAGTCGGCATTTGCGATAAATAGACGACCGGTCTAGAGCCAACTTTTCGATTTCATCGTTCTGTGACGCAAAATATGAGTTTGAGTTTTATTGGCGCTTCGCGGCAAGGCAGACACGAGGCAGCCGCCAAGAGAAGCGTAGGCGCCAGAAGACGAAGAAAACGACATACCGCAGCTGAAATCTCTTTAAGAGCCTGGTCCAACACCTTGGCGGCTTTGGAGGTGGTCTTCTTCACCTGCTCGACCTCTTTATTGGCCTCTTCGAGTATCTCCTGCAGTCCTTCCAGATCTTCCTTAAGTTTGGCAATGACCGCTTCAGAAGCATCGATTTCTTCCTCGATAGAACTCTTTTGTTGCTTCAGTCTGGTCAACGACGATCGTTCCGCAGTGATTACACCTTCCAAGCGCGCAGTCCGCTCCGCGATGGCCTTCAACCCCTCTTCTTCGAAGTCACGCCTGAACACAGAAACATGAGTCACCCCACACATACACCAAACACCCCAACGAAAAGAAGCAAAACGAACTCACATGTTCGTCAACCTGGCTATTTGCGTATCATATCGAAGCCGAGCCTGACTCTCTTCCTGGGCAATCTTGAGCTGCCTCTCCTCATACTCGCGAATGTTCGCCACCCCAATTGTTCGGCAAAACTTGGCAAAGATCTTATCCTCAGCTGCGTTGATCGTCTTCTTCAACGCGTCGATTCGGGATTTAAGGTTTGCATAGTCGGATTCGCCTTTCTTAAGACTCGGGTTGAGGGTCTTGAGTTCCTTTTGGACGTGCTTTACTTCGTCTTTGACACCGGTCAGTCGGAGTTTGCATGCGTTCTGGTCAAGTCGTGCTGTTGAGTCTTACAGCGAGAAAGGGAGGCGGGAGCGTACACACCAGATCGTCTTTGACAACGCCGATTGTAGCTTCCAAACGTGTTATTTCGGAGATGAGGTTCTCGTCGGACTTCGCGCGAGGTCTTTGCTTGCTCAATTCGTGTCTCTGAGCTTGGAGACTATCTCTCGTTCGCATAAGGCCTGGTGAGAAAATCAGCAAGGAAGTCTACCGCGTCGGCAAGCGACCATACCTTGAACATCCTTCTCATCCCACTTCTTTGTCGTGTTGTGCGTACTCCGCCCACCAGTGATCAAGCCACTCTTGTGGATGACAGTGCCTTCCAGTGTTACGGCTAGCCAACCCTTTCAGCATACACAGCAACATTTAACGAAGGAGGGGACAACGAACCTTTGACTTCCTGACCCTTCTCGTAGCACACATACCTCGCCACCTCCATAGTATCACAGACAAGGCCATTCCCACATGCATAATGAATCGCACGTTCGACAGCGCTCTCGTATTGGACAACGTCCACAGCCAACCTCGCGCCCTTGGCAAACGAACGGAATTTATCATTGATAGGCTTGACTTGGATGGTGTCTAACGGGATGAACGTTGCTTGACCTGCTCGCTGAGTTCGCATGTACTGGAACGGTATCCGTCAGGCGAGGGATGGAGTATTAAGTTGAAGAGAGGCAGTACCTCGATGCAGTCGATGGCTGTCTTCTCTTCATCCACAACGATTGCGTCGATGTTACGGCCCAGAATGACAGAAACGGCAGTCTCGTATTTGCGTGCGATGGGTTTGCAAAGGTCGACAATGCGGCCTCTGACGCCTGTGCAAGCCCAGTCAGCTTTGAGGGCCATCGGAAAGGCGTTGTCATACCTGGGAAGATCCGCTGCAGACTTGCGATGGTCTCCTTCAACTTTGCTTCCCTTTCGGACTCTGTCTTGTCCACCCCGGCCTGAAGCAGTTGTTGATATACGCTTTGAAGCTTCTCGTCGATTTCGGCTTCGAGTTTCCTGAAGAAGAGGTAAGAATGTAGATGGCATGTCAATTGGAAATAGCGCACTGGATCCTCGTTCGCTCGGCGATTTGATTATCAAGTTCTTGTCGTGCGTTTGCCAACTCGACTTGCAATCCTTTTAATCTATCTTCGAGCTGAACGGTAAGAGTCAGTGAAAGAGCCCAACATCAGTGCCAAACACGTACCTCGGTCTTCTTGTCGGATAGAGTACCAATTTCTTCATTTCGAGAGGTTTGTGTTTCTTCCAGCCCCTTAACTTTCTCCTGCAGCTGTGTGAGCGCCCGACTGGTGGTCTTCTCCTCACGGGACAGTGTCTCCAAGGCCTGTCGTTCGTCGACAGCTTGCGTACTTGCCGTCGTCTTCCTGTGGGTGGTTCAGTATAAGCTCTAGCGACACAGACATTCGACGCACAGAGCCTGGTACTCAGCCAAACTTTGCTCACTAAGTGCGATGTTGTGGCTGGATGATTTACGCTGTTCCTCTGTGAATGGCCTTAGCAGAAGCTTCCAAAAAGAGTCGGAGGGAATACCCACCTGCAGCCTTTTCAGCGTCCTTGCGAACAATTTCGAGGTCCTTCTTGAGGGTTGCCACCCTTGCGCGCAAGATCTTCTCGTTGGATGCGATATCACTTTGAGACTTGAGAGCGTTTTCGAGTTTCCTTGTAGCGTGGGTGATCTGGGCTTCAATCGAGACGAGGTCAGGTTTCTTTCCATCCAAGGCCTTCTCTGCCTTCTTGATCTGCTTCTCCTTTTGCAGCACACTGGTTCTGGCTTTAGCCTGGCGTGCGCGGGCAGCCTCGAGAGCGTCGTCGTGTGCTCTTTGCTCCTGTCGTAGGCCAGCTAGTTCCTTGTTCTTCTTGACAATAGATGCGCTGTTGGATTCGATAGCTTCCTCGATGTGGTAGAGTTTGAGCAGAATGCGTTGAAGAATCAAGTCATCCTGTGTCGCCCAGTAAGAAGCTGTTGACAAGGTGAAGGACTCTTACACGCACCCGCTGTTGGCACAAGCTCGAGAATCGCTCAGCCTCCGACTTTTGCTCCTTGTACTGCTTGATCTCCCCAGCAATTCCTCGGCGCTTGGTGAAATTGAAAGTCGCATTCTCGGTTGCCTTATCCTGCTCTTCCTTTGCTTTCTCATACTCGGCCGCCAGTTCACCTGAACCACTGATTTGTTCAATGAGACGCGACAATTCTTTGGGAGACTGTGAAGCGACTGCTTCGACATCGCCCTGGAAGACCAAAAAGTTCTTTGCTTTGACCAAGATATTGTGCTGGATGAGGGCAGCGTTGTATGCTGAATATGTGACGACCTTTTTGTTCAGTTTGTATTCTGAAGCGCCGCTCGTCGAGATCCTAGAACCAACGGTGAGCACAGAAGGCATAACGATGATGACCGCTGCACGCACGTCCGCTGAAAGGTCCATTCCTTGCCATTGGCGTCCTTGAATACAGCCATGACCCAGGCCTTTTTCGCTGTTCCTTCACCTTCCCCCTCCTCATCGTCGTCCTCCTCGTTCTCATTCTGCGTCTCGCCGTCGAGCCCGTTCTTGGCCAATCTCCGTCCTCGGTAAACGAGATCTTTCAGCTGGGCACTTCGCAGCTGCGCGCTCTTGACACCCAGCACAAAGGAGATGGCGTCCATAAGATTCGACTTGCCGGCTCCATTGGGCCCAATGACCGATGTGAAGTTGCTGAACGGGCCAATAACCTGGTGCCCGCTGAATCCATAATCAACATCGTCGACTAGCTGAAGATCGAAGAGCTGGCTTACCGGTAGGACTTGAAGTCGCATACCTCTATGCGAATGAGAGGCATCTTTGGAGACTTTGTCGTTATGTTGGGCAACGAGCTCGCTGCTTAACCTTAAGGAGCTCGTCGCGGTGCACGACGACGAACGGTTCAGGCTCGTCACATCACGTGTAGCGTGACTGTGACAGGCGCGACGCGTTCAAATTGATTCGCGACTCTTCGCGCGGTGCCCCGGAACCTTTCACTTCAACAGCCTCTCTTGAACATGGCAGTTGCTTTATTGTTGTATGCTTAGTATGAATTAAATATGTATGCAGTCCTGTAGTCCCAAAAGATTCGTAGTAAAAATCGTGACAGTCATACATAGGCCGTATCGCAAAAGGCATCCCGTGCAGTAGCCGGTAGCCCAAATAAACTAAGTGCGGCCCGTAACAACCTTCTGTTCTGCAGTTAGGTAAGACTCTCTTTTATTGATAGGTAGTAACTTACCCGGATATCCCTCCACCGAAGCTCTGGTCTGTCTTCTGAAGGATCGGTGAAGAGGAACGCGCCCAAAGTGAACGCGGTCTATGGCAGGGGTTAACTTCATAGTTCACGGTCTCCTTCGAAGATCACAGACTTACCGATAGAGAGAGGAAAGCAAGACATGGTACCAATCCAACAAAGTCTATGAAAGGGTCAATGGGACGCGTTAGGGAAGTGCTATTATTAGAACGCACCAACAACGTTGCCTAGAATACAGTAGATTAGCTTTAGTTCCCCATGTCAGCATATTGGGACATACCAAATCCTTCCGGAACACCAGGCATGGTCTGCCTCAACTGTGTGAAAGCGAACAGAGTTGCAACGGGGATAAGCAAGACCTCTGATTTCTGCTTATACCCGAAGAACACATTCGTCGCCATTACGAGAGTCAGGATAATAGTCACAATCCCTTCAAAATGTCAGTTCAGTCCAATGTCCTGAGTAATGGCCGTGATGCACTCACAAACAACAATGGTCACAAAGATACTGTAAACTTTGGCAAGTCTGCTCCTGCTGAGCCCGATCGTAGCAGACAGGACATGTGGGGGAGCCCTCCCGCGAATATCACGATGCCAAATGGTAGTTTGGAAACCACTACAAGGAGCTTCGTGAGCCCTTCACGAGCGAAGACAACATAACATTCACTTACACTGCGACACCTCGAGTCTGCCCAATGCGAACAGCAACCGATTCATTCGTTCCAACTTCTCGAGCCCACATCACAATATCTGAGGTGTATCTGAGGCAAGAATAAGTCCCTTGGACAAGAAATTAGGAGTTATACATCCCACTTGCCTATCGAACGGGTAGAAAATTAAACTGGCGGGTTCCTTCTCCTTGGAGTAAAGAGCGAGATTCGTTCGGAAGGTAGGTACCCGCGAAAGGATATCCCTCTCCGCAAACCCTCTCGCATTAATCTTGAAGAGTGGTCGGTCTGGCCTATCGCTGCTCTTGACTTCCCCTCCATCATCGTCGTCGTCATCCTTCGATGCAAGGACGTTCCTACCAGTCAACCGACGTCAGTTAGCACATTTTGGAACGGACCGCGATAGACGAGCGAGGAGTAACCCACGTGTCGAAGAACACATTGACATCGGTACATGCGTCCAAGTTGTCCGCCCTACACGGCGACTTCTCTTCACCCACCAACGTCCAATCGACCTTCATCGTCCCGTCCTTCGGATCCGCTGCAACCAACACGACTTCAAAGTTCAACTGCACATCCCAATCCGTTAATGAGCGTACAAGTAACTGACTGCAAATGGAACTCACAGTACGCCCGTCGAAGTTATCCGCAGAAGGCACAGGATAAGTCATATCTTTATCATGCAGGGTGATACCCAACACGATCGAAACAATTGGAGCGAGAAGCGTGAACGCGACGGAGAACCAGAACCAGAACCGGACACGGCGAGGTGAAGGTTGGTCTACAGCCTTCGGTAGAGGTTGAGCGAGTTGCCCGCCGGACTCGGGCTCAGGTTTGCTGAATTCCTCATTGGAGTCCATGGAGACTGGTTGGTATTCGACTGTAGTTTCAGTGGTTGGGTTGTGACCTTGGAGTAGGCTGGAAGTGCGAGTCTTTGCTGACATGCAGGAGAAAATGTGGGCGCCTTGGGAGAGGCGAGAGGGGAGGAAAGGGAAGCCTAGAGGTATGCCATTCCCGAAAGTACAGGGACTCTTATAGAATAGGCAGAATGCGTCACGAACATGTCAATGATACATGGCCCATCAATAGTGCCCAAGCCATGCGTTTTCAGGGCTTCACTTAGGCGAATACATCAATGGCAAAAGGTCACACTGAGGCCAAACCTATCAAAAATCATCGATAAGCGCAAGGTGATGCCCATTGGCCTCGCCGGGGCATCGAAATTTGGATCGCGCTGACCGCATAACGCTCAAAGCATTCGAAACCATCGATATCCCTTTCCTTCCCCTTGCCCTGGCGTCTTCCACGCACAAACCGAGAAATTGAAGGTTATGCCTTGCGGCAATACATTCAGTATACGTCGAGTCAAAGCGACAAAGCAAATGCTAAAAGAACGGAATGAGCTCACAAGACACAAAGTACGCGTTTCATGTCCCCGAGTGGGCCGCGCCTGACGCAAATTAAATGGGCGCGTTCGAGTTCAGGGATTGCGGGCTCAGGCGGCCACAAGTTATCGATACGATAACCATCGGTTCATCGGCAAGTCAAGTAACCAACTGACTGCGTAAACTAAACGAAGTTGACTAATTCGTAAGAGATTCAAGCTGGGTGGACACTTTCCAAGATTAAGCGCCTGCAGCCCATCTGGCTGGGGCCACGGGCGCTCCGAAGGTTTGGATGTCCGGGGTGCGCTTTATGAGCGCTCATTGATCGGTAAAGTAGTATATCTTGTGGCGGAGTTGCGCCGCTCACTTGGGTGCTAGATGCACCTTCCCTTTAACTTGGCCTGGTCAATTCGACCATCAGCGATTCCAACGGGCCTCGTGCGAAAGGATGGTTAGTAAGCGCCCTGCGTCTTCGCGGGAAAGTGCTGTAGGGTGGGGTTGAGGGCCTCCGTCCAGTCTCCGTCTATGCGCATCAGGAATGAGGAGGATGTTTCCGAACTTGTTCAAAGGAGTTGGGCCCGAGCTGGGGCCGAGGATGTCGCCGCGATGCTTCGTGCGTCGGAGCCGTAGGAGTGGTCCTAGTGAAATAAGCGCTCGTTGAGGACTGTGGGAAAGCTGGCCATTGGCATCATAACGGCCGTTCACACGCTGCACCTTGCTCGCAGCCCACTGCCTCTTTAGCCTCCCACTGCTCCATTTGCGAGCGCTCTGGGAGCATTCTCAGCGCGATACATGGAGACCAGCTCTTTCTTTTCGTGCCAAGACGTTGTGCTTGTTATCCAATCGTATCTGGATCCACCGGACTTGATCTCTCTGAGAAAAGTGAGTGTAATCCACCCATACCGGCGAGAGGGGGAATGGCTCATCCGAGGGGTTATCTTCGTCTAAAGACGTGCAGGCTACTCCACTCCCAATCCCAATCTCGGATATTATGGCTACAAGCTGTCAACAATATCTACCGCCGCAACGGATTTCCCAAACCCTTGCTTCCCCCTCTCGATGAGCTGAACCTGCGCGACCTGGAGCGTCTGGCTCTAACACCCTCGCTGTTCCTCCGGCTCGTGGAGGGCAACCACGACGAGCACATCGCCCCTCATTCTACGCGCGTCTTGGACCAATCGACGCCCGTGGATGGTACCCTCGATTCCGAGCATGGGGCCAGCGACCCGGTTAATCCAAACCTTGCTGTGAGATTAGTCTTCCTCGTGCCGAGTGGGCGCTTTCTTGTTACGCTTTCGGGGCCGGATTATAATTCAGTACACCAGGGTGGGGAAGATGAGGACCCCGAGTTTTTGTGCTTGTGGGATCTGGGACTTGGGGATCTGTATCCGTTCAGGTCGGCGCCTATCGCGAAGGTGGAGGTGGAGTTGAGGGGGTTTCATGGTCCGCAGATCAGTCTTTCCAAGGATGGGCGGGCGGTTCGTGTTGTTGGTTATGGGTGAGTACACAGTCCATCGATGATCCACGAATTTGTTTTGATGTTTAAATTCCTATTTACAACTTCTCTCTGGATGTCCCAGGTCTCCATCCCTGGATCATATCGTGGTCTACGCAATTCGTTTGGATGTACCGCAGCCAGAGTGGGAGATAATTGCTGAGCTGTTTGACTTCCCCGATAGCTGCATCGCGGTCGTACAGTCGGGATTCAAGGATAACCGGGTGTTCATCGATACCGGTCAGGGTGTTCAACTCGTGTGGGACTTTGAAAACGACGCGATTTCGAAGTGGAGGGAATTGCAGTGGACAGAACACGTGAGTCAAAGCCCCCCGCCTGTTCCACTTACCTGTCCCACACGTTGCATTAATATCCCGCTCTATTCTAGGCACATTTCTTCGGAAATTACGTCCTCTCAACAGTGCATAAAATCAGCGAGCGCCGTGGGGAGATGAGCCTCCACCAGCTCCCGCCTTTCGAGCCTTTCGACGACATTGCGGATGCGCTTCTGCCGTACTCCTCGATCGCGGATATTCGGAGCAAGTGGAATGGGCTAACTGAGTTACGGTTGGGTTGGAAGGAGTGGGTATCGTTTGACTCGCCTTCGTGGGTCCCGGTGGAGTTTGTTGTCTTTGCGAGCCGGTTCCCTATATATACGGATGCAGGTGGGAGGCTGGGGCATGGGTTGGAGGTATACTATATTGGCACCCCTCGGTCTGGTGGTGACTCTACCATAACCGATGATGGGGTAGCTGAGGGCGAAGATATCGAAGATGTCGAGGGGATGGTACCAGTTCCCCGGCTGGCGGGCTTGACTACGGATTTCATTGGACCTCTTCCGGACGACTCTATCCCTCTCAACTACTCCCATCTTTCGTACCTGGATGGGCGGATTTTCTTCGTCTCTACCCAGCTGGACAGCGAGATGCCACTTCGGATTACGGCTTGTCGACTTCCGCCCGAGTCCTCGTTGCCAGTCGACTCGGAGGAGGGGACGAAGTTATCTGCAGGCCCAACTAGTACTAGCACTAGCACCTTGTCTTGGTCCACTGTCCTTTTGGACTTTCCGTACTCCGACGACCAACAAGAGGTGGAAGTTTATGGAGAGAAGTGCGGTGTTTGTCCTTTTAGTGGGAGGGTGGTGGTTGCTTCGAGGGATCCGGACAGGGACATTGGGAAAGACGATATTCGTGTCATGGATTTTGTTCGTTCCCCCTCTCCGATGGTGCCTACTAGTAGTAGGAGTACTACGACCTGAGGCCTCTTTGCCAAGCTTACTTCTATGTAGCCTTTAGTGGCCGAATATAGCACTCGGTGCGTAGAAGATGTTACTCGGGTACTTCGGAACGGTGGCTATCGAGTCGGTGTGGGTAGGTCCAGGTGTTTCAGCCCAGTACTCTGGGTAGCGTATTCCATAGAGTCCTCCGACTCTCTCCTACAAAGGAAGCTCGGAAAGTCGAAGTTCTCCCGAAGTTCTCCGTTGTGATACGATTGCGGTATACGGAGTACATGTACTCACAATGGTTGGTGATTCCGAATCCGAAGTTAAGATTTGGGTCTAAACGGTCGCGATTTGAAACCCATTACTTAGCAGGTACGAGCGCAGGCGCAGTTCAGGAATTCGAAACTCAATACAGATGGTAAGGATCAGGCTGCGGGGTGTGTTGGAATGGGGAGGCACGTTGCCGTGGAACGCTATTGATATGCGGACGCGTGTCTTTCCGGCAGGGCAAACCTGTAGCTTATGTGGAGGTCTTGAAAACGGTAAGGAAATGGAAGGTGGTTGAAGCTCACGTAGTCAATGTCACGGCCTGTGTCACTCTTTCTGAATCGTGATGTGATGACACTTGGTACTGGGGTTGGTTGGGAGAGGATGTGCTCATCTTCACAGTATTTGTTTTCCAGGATATTGTCTATCCGAGTCGACGTCATCGTGATTTCGACTCGGTTTGACAATTTCCAGCGCTAACGCTGCATTAAGTTGAGATGAGTTATCGTAAACTTGGAGACAGAAGGGCACTAGCAGCTTCTCAGTAGATTTGTATGGCTCCAGTTGATCTTGCGAAAAACTGTGAGGAGGTGAGGAAATTCAAGGCAAGCCAGACAAGCGCTTGAGGACTCGGAGAGGGCTCACGCAACTGTGATTGGTCAGAAGGCGGATGGAAAAGTTCCGCGAGTGTAACGGATCAGCCAATCACAAGGTGCCGCAGTTTCATCTTGTCGAGATCTTGCAACGATCCTAAGCGTTTGTCGCCGGCAGGATTACGCACCCTTGCAGCATTTAGGCACCATGGTTCAACCTGATAAGAAACGCCCATCCGTCTCTTTTTTATTTTCCCTGACCACATCGCCGCTACCGTCGACGACGCCCACAACGAGTCCGACGACCGCCAAGCCGCCAAATAGTGCCTACGTCCCACTGGGCATTCAACAGCAGCGAAGTTCGTGACGGCCATGGCGGACCAACAGCCGCACCACCTCACCGACATCGTCGAGGAGCCAGCCTCGACGGGCGTCTCGCGAATTGGCTCGCAGATGACGCTTCAGCCCAAGCCATCCAGCGTCGACGACAAGCTCGAGAAGGACATTGAAGACGATGACGATCGAGGCCGACACCCACCGCCTTCGTCGCCAAAGGTGCCCCATCGGACACGTCGTACCTCCAGTGCCTCTCGCGTGTCCATGGACTTTTTCGACCCCAGCGGCATGCAGAGTTTGAGGAGGACGTTGACGCACGAGCGCGTCGGACTGCCCAAGGGCCAGTCTGAGCCGTCTGAGTCTTCGGACACGTCGTCCGACCACACTCTCATCGTCGATGGCGACAACTTTGACTTGGAGAAGACAATCAAGACGATTATCAGACGGTGAGCGCGTTCAATTCCACGTTAACGCGCCTGTAATTTGCTGACAACTAAAAATAGCCGTGACCAGAGCGAGATTAAGCCTCGCCAGCTCGGCGTTGTTTTCCGAAATCTCCGAGTTGTAGGACTCAAGGCAGCAGCATCTTTTCAACCCACTGTTGGTTCCCTCTTCAACCCGGCGGACGTTGTTCAGAATATTCAGAATGCTCGTCATCCGCCTGTGCGCAACATCCTGGACGGATTCGAGGGTGTCGTGAGGCCCGGCGAGATGCTTCTCGTTCTTGGTAGCCCAGGAGCAGGCTGCAGCACCTTCCTCAAGACTCTCGCCAACCACCGCGAAGAATACCACAGCGTCGAGGGCGAGGTCCACTACGACTCCATCACGCCCGAGGAACTCAAAAAGTGGTTCCGTGGCGACGTTCAGTATTCACCCGAAGACGATGTCCACTTCCCTACCCTCACCGTCGAACAAACTATCAAATTCGCAGCTCGCACACGAACGCCCAGAAACCGCATCGAGTACACCCGCGCCCAGTTCATCGACACCCTCTCCAATATCCTCACCACCGTCTTCGGTTTACGCCATGCAAGGAAAACGCCCGTCGGAGACGCCATGATTCGAGGCGTCAGTGGTGGCGAGAAGAAGCGAGTGTCGATTGCAGAGTCTCTGGCTACCAGAGCTTGCATCGCTTGTTGGGATAACTCAACCCGTGGCTTGGACGCTAGCACTGCACTCGAGTTCGTCCGTGCCCTGCGCATCGGTACCGACACCATGCGTCTCAGCACCATCGTGTCCATTTACCAAGCTGGCGAGTCGCTCTTCAGCCACTTCGATAAGGTGTGCGTCATCTACGAAGGCCAAATGGCGTACTATGGTCCTGCGGATCAGGCGAAAGACTATTTCTATGAAATGGGGTACGTGTTTTTTGGTCTGTTGCATTCCCCCCTATGAACACCCCTCTTCAGATATGTCCCGGCCAATCGCCAGACCACTCCTGACTTCCTCGTCGCTGTCACCGATCCGAATGCCCGCATCGCTCGCGAAGGGGTTACAAACCAACCTCGCACCGCTGAAGAATTCGCTGCCTACTTCAAGGCTTCAGCGCACGGTCAACGCAACAAGGCGGAGATCGAGGAATACATTGCTGAACATGTCGGAAAGCCTGATGCTGCCCAACGTTACATTGACAGTGCCCGTGCCGAGTTTGCCAAGCGCAGTGGCAAGAAAAAGTGCGTACGCTATCGTCTTCAGTCGCGTTTCTATGCTAATCGCTCTGGCCTCAGTCCTTATATGCTCACGATTCCTCAGCAAGTCGCTGCCGTCATGCGCCGCAAGGTTCAGATTCTTCGCGGCGATATGTTGGCTACCGGTTTGAACCTCTTGTAAGTCCGGTGCCCATTCCACCCATGCATGACCCTGACCATCTCCCCACCACAGCTCGTATGTCTTCCAAGCTTTGATCATGGGCAGTATCTTCTTGAAGATGCCTGAGCAAACCTCCGCCTACTTCTCTCGAGGAGGTGTTCTTTTCTTGTACGTCGATCTCTATGTTTTCCGCGCCTGGGCTGACACTCGATGATAGCGCCCTCTTGTTCTCGGCGTTGGCTACCATGGCTGAAATCCCCGCGCTTTACGCTCAACGTCGCATCGTTCTTCGACATGAAAAGGCTGCCCTGTATCACCCCTTTGTCGAAGCTCTTGCCCATACCCTCGTCGATATCCCTATCACTTTCTGCATCCTCTCGCTTTTCTGCATCATTCTATATTTCATGACCGGTCTCCAACGCTCAGTTGTAAGTATAACCTTTCTACTCTTCAACTGCTGCGCTAATTCGTCCCGGGCTCTCTGCCTGCTCGTAGGACCAATTCTTGTGAGTGCAATCCGTTCAACTCCACCTTGGTCGGTACTAATTCAACACCCCAGCGTCTTCTTCCTCTTTGTCTTCGCCATGGCCGTTACCATGAAATCGTGGTTCCGTGGAATTGCTGCAGCGTTTAAATCGGAAGCTACGGCTCAGGCCGTTGCTGGTATTTCGGTGCTGGCGCTTTCCATCTACACCGGTTATACCATTCCGAAGCCTACCATGATTGGCGCGCTCCGGTGGATCACCTATATCAACGTACGTTTCTATCCCAAATTACACCAGCCATGACGTTGATCGTATCTACCTCTGTCTAGCCCCTTCGTTATGGATTTGAAGCTATCCTCACCAACGAGTTCCGAACGCTAAACGGCCTTTGTACATCTCTTGTACCCAGTGGCCCTGGATACGAGAATGTGTCCCTGGCGAACCAAGTTTGCGCAGTCGTCGGTGCCCTCCCTGGTGAAGCCTTTGTCAACGGCGCACGCTTCGCAGAGCTCTCGTATTCCTTCAAATGGTCGAATACGTGGATGGTGAGATCTTTCAACTATATATACGGTCATGGCTGACCTTTGGTCTTTAGAACTTGGGAATTGTCATCGCGTTTGCGATCGGCTTCCTCATCGTCCTACTCATCTTTGCCGAGTTCAACACGACGTCTTCTGCCGATACCGCCACCACTCTCTTCAAGCGAGGGTCGAAGAAGGCTGTTGCAGCTGCCTCCTCGGGTTCGGATGAGGAGAAGAAGGGGTCGCCGTCTGGCACTGTCGTTGTCGACGAGAAAGGCAAGGATACTTCGGCCCTCAAGGACGAGCCTGCTCTGCGTATGACTGATACCTTTACGTGGCAACATGTCCATTACACCGTACCTATCCCTGGCGAAGCCGATCGTACTCTCCTTTCTGACGTTTCGGGGTATGTTGCGCCTGGCAAGTTGACTGCGCTGATGGGCGAGTCTGGAGCTGGGAAGACGACACTGTTGAACGTCCTGGCGAAGCGGGTCTATAGTGGTGTGGTGACTGGGGATATGTTTGTCAACGGACAGTCGCTTCCAGCTGATTTCCAATCGCAAACGTACGTTGTTCTCACTTTCTATCTTTTTATCTCCTGGGTGGGACTGATGGTCGTTTGATGTTTTTAGTGGGTATTGTCAGCAGATGGATACGCATATGCCGAACGCGACTGTGCGCGAGGCGCTGTTGTTCTCTGCCAAGTTGCGACAGCCGCCTTCGGTTCCTTTGGAAGAGAAGGAAGCTTAGTATGATCATTCTTCTATTTCGATTTTTGCAGTGTCTGATAAGTGTTTTGCAGTGTTGAAAAGTGTCTTAAGATGTGCGGCCTGGAGGAGTATGCCGATGCTATTGTCGGGACTCTCAATGTTGAGTACCGGAAGCGAACGACTATCGCCGTCGAGTTGGCAGCCAAGGTGAGGATTCTTTCGCGCCGATTTGAAGTGGGTACTTACATCTATGTATGTCTACAGCCGAAGCTACTTCTCTTCTTGGACGAGCCTACCTCCGGATTGGACTCTCAAAGTGCCTGGGCTATTGTTTCGTTCTTGCGCAGTTTGGCGGACCAGGGACAGGCTATTCTGTGCACTATTCACCAGGTTTGTGATTCGCTGCGATGTTTTGGTTTGTGACGGTTGGCTGACTCCGTTTTTTATGTAGCCCTCTGCGGAGCTCTTCCAAGTCTTCGATCGGATGCTTCTACTCAAGAAGGGTGGTCAAACAGTGTACTTTGGCGATCTTGGCCACAACGCGACGACGCTCATTCAGTACTTTGAGAGGAACGGTGCTAGGCACTGTGACCCTTCGGAGAACCCGTACGTTCTTTACACTTTGATCTGGCTTTGTCGTTACTTACTTGTGGTCAGTGCGGAGTATATGCTGGACGTCATTGGCGCTGGTGCGACCGCGACTACGGAATTTGATTGGCACGGTATTTGGAAATCCTCTCCTGAAGCAACTGCTGTCCAGGAGGAACTCGAAGCTATCCATACTGAAGGCCGCAACCGCCCTGCGGTTGAAGCTGAGCTTCACACTGAATTTGCGACTTCGTGGTTGTTCCAAGTCAAGGAGCTCTTTATTCGGAATGTGCAGTCGTATTGGCGGGACCCGACTTACATTATGGCGAAGATGGTGTTGAATGTTTCGTCTGGGTTGTTCATTGGGTTCACGTTCTTCAAGGCGAAGGATACGATCCAGGGGACTCAGAACAAGCTTTTCGTAAGTTTAATCTCCTCTTCTCCAGTCTCGCCGAGTGTCTGTAATGCTGATCACTTTTTCGCTCACGGTAGGCGATCTTCATGGTGACGATTCTCAGTGTGCCATTGGCGAGTCAGCTTCAAGTACCGTTTATCAAACTTCGGACGATCTATGAGATTCGTGAACGGCCTAGTCGGATGTACAGCTGGACTGCCTTGATCACTTCGCAGATTCTTGTCGAGCTGCCGTGGAACATTATTGGTTCGACGTTGTTGTTCATGTGCTGGTATTGGCCTGTTGGGTTCTTGGCTTCGAGAGGAGGGTATACCTACCTTATGCTTGGTATTATCTTCCCTTTGTATTATACCACGATTGGTCAGGTGCGTGTGTTTTTCTTTGGTTCTCGAGTCTTTTGGGTGTGGTGGGTTGCTGATAATGGTTTTGGTTGATTAGGCTGTTGCGGCTATGGCGCCCAGTGTTGAGATTGCGGCGCTCTTGTTCTCGCTTCTCTTTTCGTTTGTCATTGCTTTGTGCGTATTCGCTCCCATTTTAGATTTCGTGATGCTGACACTCGACATGCAGCAATGGTGTCCTTCAACCGTTCCGTGAACTTGGCTGGTGGAAGTGGATGTACCGCCTCTCGCCGTATACCTATTTGATCGAAGGCCTCTTGGGTCAAGCGATTGGTCGCCAAGACGTCGAGTGTGCGCCGTACGAGTATGTCCAGATTACGCCTCCTGAAGGCCTCAGTTGCGGCGGCTACATGGACCCGTTCATCTCATTTGCTGGGGGGTACCTTACCAACCCCAACGCCACGGATGCGTGCAACTATTGCAGTGTGAAGACGACGGACCAATTCTTGCTTGCTAGTTTCAACATTAGCTATTCGCATCGGTGGAGGAATGTTGGGCTTATGCTTGCGTTTACTGTGTTTAACGTATGTGCTCTATCTCTTCTTTTTTAGTTTGTAACGGCTAACCTTGTCCACCCCTTCTTTTCAGGTGGTTTGTGTTTATGTTATTACGTATCTGTTTAGAATACGTACGGGGAGTTTGCTGCCTAGTTTTAAGCGGTCGAAGAAGAACTAGGTGTTGAGTGGTCGACGGGGATCATCGTTGAATTTAGGAAAAAGTAGTAACTTATTAATTTTATATTGCACTGCTGTGCGACATGGAACTTACCTCCCCTCCCATCCGTAACTTAGATGTTTTTTTGTAGATAGCTAGAGTTCATTTTCATGTACTGACGACTCAATATCAAGAGATGCAATGACTATTTCGGCGCGCGTTGCAAGGAGATTGTGGTATGACGTGAGTACCTCTACCTGTACGCTTATTTCGACGGCTGAGAGCCTCGAAGACCGGTGTTGCACTGCAGGCGTATCCATTCTAGATCTACTTTCTCAGATTCCGACAGTCAAGGGCATTCGTCCTGTGTGTCAAGGCTTGTGACCGTGTGGCTAGCTTCTAATGTCGTGTTCATTCCTGTACTGGTTTTTCCTAGGAATCACACATTGTAGGTGTTGATGACTCGGAGGCGGTGCGACTTCGGGGCACGAGGCCCACTGTCAATTACGACAACGCAGAGCATAGATACACAGCTCTCTTGGAGACTCCTTCAAGCAGTCCATGTATTGCTTATCCATCGTTTCTCTCCTTCAGAGTATTAATTCTCCCCAGACACTATGAGCGTGGTCGAAATGGACAATCGAGGATCGGCGGTGACTGTAGGTGAGCAAGGCCGTTTCGTTTCGAATAAATGTGGGTGAAGCTCACCGGCTTACCCGTATCAGCATGAACCTCCAAGCTCAACTCGATGGCTGGCCTTGTCTTTGAGCCTAGTAGCTGTACCATTCGCGACAATGCAATCGTGGCCAATAATGTTGCCATTCATTGCGGACCACCCACCGACTCGGTGTCGATGGATGCCCACCGAAGAGATGCCCTCCCCAAACGCTTGACACAGATGTCGGGCGGACTCAAATTCAAGCATGACCAAGAACAAGCACGTAAACTTCGCACTGAAGGGACGGGCACCTGGATCCTCGAGAACGCAACATTTCGAGCTTGGCAGGACAAACCAGGTATGGCGCTTTGGTGTCAAGGAAAGCGTGAGTACGGAGGTTACTTCCAGTTATGACTGGCTGGCTCACGAGTATTTCTATCACCTAGCCGGGGCAGGAAAGACGGTGTTATCGTAGGCTCATCAATTCAAATGGCCGAGGAGTAAGGCTGACTTGAGGCTGCACAGGGCGCTTATCAATACAGAGCTTCAAGGACGATACCCGAACGTACCAGTCCTGTTCGTGTTCATCAAGCACGATAAACGATGCACTATTCGCAACATTGCTAGCAGTCTTTTGCGACAGCTCCTGAGATACAGGGAGTACACCGATTCGGTTCTCGATCTGATTTTGGAGGAATGCACTGATGCCCAAGAGGAGGATCTGGAGGAATATGATCCAACAGACGAGGAACTGGTCAGCACTCTACGCAAAGCACTGGCCCTCGTTCCCCGGGCTTTCATCACTATCGATGCCTTGGACGAATTGGACGAGAACCTGAGGCCCGAGTTGGTCAAACCTCTTCTATCGTTGCGGAAGAATACAATGATTACCTCCAGGCCACTGGACACGGCGGGCACATCGGGTCCCACTCTCCCTGCTCCCCTATTCCTGGATATTCAGGCCAGAAAAGAGGACATTTCTGTGTTCGTCGAGAATCACCCGAAGCTCAGAACGCTCCTCGAGAACCACTCACCTATCATGGAAAAGGTTAAGCAGAGGATACAGAGCGTATCCGAGGGAATGTATGTCCTGGGTATCCTACTCCATTCAAATTCTGGTGCCTTACATATCCTTTTCTAGGTTTCTACTCGCCTTCTGGATGGTTAGAATCCTTGCGGATAGCCCCAGTCCACGAGACGTCCTAAACGAGCTCGATGGTCTCCCCAACGACCTGGAAGAAATGTACAACAGCATTTGGGAACGCATCTGCGCGCAGCGGTCGAGCCGAAGGCAATTGGCAGAAAGGATACTCACCTTCGTAATTCATGCTAACAAGCCTATGACGATCCCCATGCTTCAGCATGCATTGGCAATGAGAGAAGGGTTATTCGACCCCGACAGCATTGTGACTCAGGGAGGAACCATCGTGGAGGTTTGTCATGGGCTCATCATGATGGACGATGTGTCGGAGAAACAGATAGTCAAGCTTGTCCGTAAGTCTTTCTTGTGGGCAAGTCCAGGTACCGTTGTGTTGATGAAAGCCGAATTTTAGACCAAACTGTGCGGGATACGTTCTCGGAGCTATTGCCTATCGCGGAATCGAAAAGGCACCTTCAAATTGCGAATGCCTGCGTTGGGTACCTCCGACATGCCGGGTTTGAATCCCTTACCAGAGGCAGCATGAGGTCGCATCGCTGCAGGTCCCATCGACCATATGACCCATGTTCCAAGCGGATCACATGTTGGAAGCATTTTAGCGAATTTCTGCACCAACCGGGCTATCCATTCCTGTCGTATGCATTTAGCCACTGGGCGCATCACACCCAACAAGCGGGGGATTTGTCGCCTTTCACTGGTAGCTTTCTCTCCCGCCAATCGTGGTATCCACTCCCTCGGACCTATGACATGTCCATTCCGCGGTTGAACACCCACGGTCCTTGCAATTTCGGGGGCCCGGTGCATATCGCAGCTGCATTTGGGTTTATCGAAGCCTTGCATTCCTCAACCCTCTCGGCAGGCCTCAGGTACACGTACCCCTTTGGCGAAAGTCCCCTTCACCTCTCCATATTCCACGGCCACACCCGCTTTGTGGAGGCTTTTCTTTCATTGCAGGGACCTCGGATATAAATTCGACAGATGGTCGAGGTCGGACTCCACTGCACTGCGCGCTAAAAGCCAGACGGGATGACATTCTGCAGCTCTTGTTAACTGTTCCGAACTTGAACTACAACGCTCGAGATGCTAATGGGGACACCCCCTTGCACATTGCATCGTATCAAGGTCGCGCTTCATGGGTTGAACATCTTCTTCGACTCCCCGGCGTTCACGTTAATGCGAAAGATGGGAGCCAGAATATGAAGCGGCGCAGCGGGGATTCCGCTCTCACTCTAGCGGTGAAGATGGATCACTTGGAATGCGTGCAGCTTCTACTATCTCACCCGGAGCTTGATGTAAACGAGCAAGACCGGTCTGGAGTAACTGCCTTGATGGAAGCTGCATCTCTCAGTCGACTTGAGGCTACACGACTCCTCCTCCAACACCCTCGGATCGATGTCAATTCCAAAGACGGATCAGGGAATACCGCCCTCTGGAGGGCCATTCCAAAAGGCCTGTCTTCCAGCTACTATGAAGACCTCATTGAGCTTCTCTTGAACCGACCCGACCTCGAGCGAGAGGGATTGGAGAGACCGTTCATCAAAGCCGCCGCTCTATATCATACGAGAGTAATCGCCCTCTTCATCAAGCGAGGGTTTGACCCCAGGACATCGTTCATGAAGGCCGCTTCCAAAGGCAACTCGGCAGCAATGCGAATAATTCTCGACGGCACTCCTGGCATCGACTATGGTATGCACCAGGACAGCCGCGGGGAGACCGCGTTGTTCAAAACCGCCGCCAGTGGCCACGAACTGGCTACACAGCTCCTACTCAAACGCAAGGTTGTTCCTATTGGCCACAAGAACCATCGGGGTGAAACAGCGCTTATCCAAGCCGCTGCTAGGGGCCAGGATCTTTGCGTCGGCGCAATTCTTGAGCACTGTGACCATCACGACGTCAACAGTACCAACAACGCCGGTCAGACACCCCTAATTGTCGCGGCTCGCTCCGGATGGGATAGGGTAGTGGACCGGTTGCTGAAGGACGAACGTGTTCTAGTGGGCCATAGGACAGACACTGGAGGCACAGCAATTGACTGGGCAATTTCTGGGATAGCAAAATGGCGGCAGCCCGAAGCGGACACCACTCCTCCGGCTTCACCTACCAGCGGTACCCGGCCCCGGCGCTCTTACAACCCATCCCACTCAAAAGTCGTCTCACTTCTCCTAGACCATCCAGATATTGGCTCCAGTCTACAGCCGGTAGAATTTCGAAAGCACCCACTGGTCGCTGCTATCTACAACTGCCAAACCGATATCGTGAAAGCGTTACTCTCCAGCTCGAAATGCGACCCAAACGTCCGGGATCGCAAGGGACAATCTATCCTGATGAAGTCGGCTGCGCAAGGCTTCACGGACTCTCTCGAGCTCTTACTCTCAATGCCGAATATCGATGTCAACGCACAAGACGTGTACGGAGCGACAGCATTGATGAAGGCCGCGTACTGCAACCAGAAGAAATCCGCGCAGATCCTGTTGGCGCATCCGGGTATTGACATCAACTTGCCGCAGTGGAACGGAAAGACAGCGTTGGATATTGCGACTAGGCGAGGCTCCGTCGAGATAGCGGAGGCCTTGAAAAGGCGCGGGGGTAAGAAGGGTGGAGGTGGTAGTTTGCGATAGGGTTAGCGTTCGTCATCGCAGTCGTGGAGCTCAAGGACAATCCTCCCGTGGCAGAATCCACAATCCCCAAGAGAATCGTTACCTGAATGTAGTGTTCGACTTTCATATCGTAACTCTTAACTCTCCCAGAACGACGGGTACTACGAGATAATGCTTACGCGGAGCACTGGGCGCTGGCGGTCGCAAGGCATTCGGATGGCCCTGAACGGTAATACCATTTCCATATAAGGTGGGACCTAAAACCAACGATTACAAGAAGCGAATTACACAATACATACCTATGGACAGACACCCAGCACAACTGGGGAACGACAAACTAAGTATCACAAAGCACTGAACACTAGAATATAAGATTTTCTTTTTTTGTTTAAGAAAGAGCACGAGCCAAGAAACGTTTTAATCGAAACCTAGCCCAGTCAAGGAAGTATGTACTAACGACGTATAGCGTATAGAGAAACCCGTAATAGTAGTAGAAGATGGAATTGATACTAGTAATAGCAAGGTGGAGATGAAGCGGAGAAGAAAGGAAGAGGGGGCATGAAACATGAAACATGAATGGGAAGAGAACCAGCATTCATAACCCTTGAAACGTCGAGAACGGATGACCGAAACACCACCATAATGTGAATCGAATGCAAAAAACATCGTGGGTCCACGGCCAGTCCCAATTTCAAATTAGGGGGGCAAAGGAAGGCGGAAAGAAGAGGGAATAAAACGATAACGTTAATCGAACCGTCCGTGCTTTGATGTACAAACAGATGCAGAGATTGGGGGAAAAAACGCGATGCCTTGATTGGATTGTTCGAGTTGAGTTTGGGTTTGACTTTTTGATGAGGAGAGGGGTGTTTGGTATCATCCGTGGCGTCGATAGCGGCGACGATGACAAGTTACTTTGCCGGTGGCGAATGTATGATTGAACAGTTATACAACGAAGGTCGATAATGCGTGGTTGTTGCATGGCGGCGTGGGTCGAAGAGCGTTGGCGGGCAAGCATACTACTATAGACGTGGCTTTCTGAGAGTCATGGGTCGAAACCCGCGCGTCGGGAATGATGTCGATGGATTGTGGAGCTGGCCTCGATGTGTATGGACGCGGTTTCTTGTCCACATCGCCGAGATCTTCTTGCTCGTGGGGCCAACGTTTGACTGGACTGACGTATAGGCCGCCCAACCAATTTACGAAAAGGGGTATTAAAAGGGGATGTGTGTAGAATGGAACGAGAAATCACAAAAGAAGGTTGGAATGAAAGCGAGAAGAGCGAGCGAAGATGAAATGTCCATGGAAACGAAAGAAAGTGTGATGATCGAGGAGATGCGAGGGTCCAGCGAAGGCAAAGAAGGTGGAAAGATGGACGCGCTACCTGAAGGAGCCCCGGGTATAACGGGGTCCACAATGGTCGAAGCACGTCGATGAACAAGAGAAAGGTATCAAAAAGAAAGTGTCCGGGATGCAAGGCAAATGACAAAGCGAGATGCAGCAAGGGAGAACAGAACAAGAAACAGGTGGCCACGAAACAACATCGAAGACGCAGGTGGGTCATGACGGGTCGTTAATAGATGCATCAGTGCTGGAAGGCCGAATTGTTGAGGTTGCTGAGCCAAGGTCTGAAAGTCGCTTACTGTGGGGGAGGCGGCGGAGGGGGGTTGGACGATGATGCAGCTGGAGGCGTGGCCGGCGATGTGCCATTGGTGGACTGCGGGGCTGGGATACTATGCTCGGAACGAATGGCTGTATATGCAGGAGGAAGTTCTATCGTTTCTGCTTCCTCGTCTTCCTTCGGTAGGTACGGCACGCTGGGCCCAGCGTCGTCGTGTTGGATGATGTTGACCGGTCGCATCGCTCGTGGTGGCTGGCCCTTCCTTCCGGTTCCTATACTCGATGGCGCACCTGCCCCCACTCCATAGCCAAGTGCCACGCTTCCATCTGGTGTCGCACTCCTCGTGTAGAAGCTTGTAGCGGTTCCACTGAGTGGTCTTGTGCTCCCACGATCATCCCCATCGCCGTAAGTGCTTGCGAGAGTTGGATCAGGAACCGTGAACGGCTCTGGTCTGTAGAACTGAGGGAGATCGTTTCTGCTTTCACGCTGGTTGCCACCGTCGCCTTCTTCATCGTCCTCTCCTTCGTTGAGTAGGTCCACGGGCTTCTCGCGCTGCCTTGATCGAACCTTTCGGCGGCGGCGGTAGAAGAAAATGATTAAGACGAGGGAAACCAACACGACCAGTCCACCAACGACTCCACCAACAATGGCACCAACGTTGGATCCGCCACCGTCTACGTTATCCGTGCTAGGCGATTTGATGAGCATCCCGGATGGTCCAAAGGCGATGATGAAAGCCTACCTGTCTCCACTGTTGCCACCAGTTCCCGTAGGATACGTTCCTCCAGCTGGGGTACCCGGGGTTGAGCTGGGACTATTGGCGTCCAAACACGAATCGTCCGGTTCAGGTGGGTTGGCGACCAGGAAAGTGCCGCTTCCACCATTGCCCGTCCGCCGACTGTCTCCTCCCACAATCATCAATGTGGTCCCCACCCGAACGTTCGCCCTCCAATCGAACCCTGTTCCAAAACCAATTTCATCTGTCACTTCTCCTTGAGGTATTTCGAAGGACTGGCCACCAGGGATCACGCCGTAGAATTGAGTTGGCCTGGAGCGAAGAAGCGCAAATGGTTAGTAACGCGTTGGAATCACATCAAGAGATAACAACAAGGGGTAGTAAGGCGGACGGTCGTGTGATCCCCGTGGGCACGGCGAAGAACGCCCTTCAACGAGAATAAGGAAATGAAAGCAATAGGAACTCACCCTTGGACTTGGTCTTTCCTCGGCCAGAATATCCGCGTGACCCCACACTGGGTAATTTGGTTTCGTGGTTCAAAGTCGATGGCGAAGTCCACTTGACTTCCGACATTGGGATCGTAACAGGAGTCGTCGTCTGATTCCCCAACGCGGGCGGGAACGCTGGTGCCACCAGTTCCGAAGCCTGAAGCGTCGCTAACCTGAAATAAGCACAATAAACGTCAGTGATCCTTACCCCAACATGGGAATATAAGTGGAGAGAGAAGTGGGGATTGGTCGCCAAGACGTTCTCCCTGTCATGTGGAGAGCGTCGGTTGACCGTTGTCATCGTGTCCTCCACGACACCGACGGCGTCCAACCTTCATTGCAGGCCATGCAGCTTTTGGAAATGCAATTGTTTTCGAAACGAGAGAGAAACCCACCACAGCGACGAATTGTGAATGTTCGGGGTATTTGAGATTAAAAGTGACGGATCTTGCCCCTTCGTCGAACGGAATCTCCATTATCGACCGCACCTCCTTCGGAGTCGTCGTCGGGCCAAAAGGTATCACCAAAACTCGATAAGGGGGTCTTCCGTCGTCGCCAATAATGTCGATAGTTACATTCCCGCATTGCTTTGGTTGTTCTTTGAAGGCCCAGGTATAAGAATACGAATAAGAGGGGTACTGAAGCAGCTGAAGAACCAGGAGAGCACTGAGGGGCAGCCTCCTGGTCAACGACGACGACGACGAGCTCGACGAGGGTCCCATGCGTTCCAAAGCAATTTTAAGGTTGTTAGGGGTCGTTTTGGCGGTCCTGAAGCCTCCTAGGGGTCCCTCCAAGGTCGTTCAGGGAAACTGTGGTGGTAACGGTATCGGTTCAAGCTAGAATTTGGTCGGTATCGAGCATGTAAACGGACGGAGGCTGGCAGTTGGAGGCAGTTCAGAGGCAAGAGGCGCACACGGAGAATGCAGCCCGTCACAACAGAGCCTCTGATGGTGGAGCCGCGAACGGAACTCAAATCCAGTTATTCATCCCGATAGCGTCATACATCAATCATTTCTGCTGGCCTCGGCTGCCCTTGGCAGGGACTTGCAAACCCTGGAACCGACCATTTTCAGTCAAAAAAGGCATATATACCGGGTGGAATGGTAGCCCACAGGACATGGGAGATGGATGAGTTTTGGGTGGACGAAAACAATAGTTTCTTGAGAGCTTTGGCTTCCTGCATCTCTGTCGGAGGACCTTAAATGCCGGCATCTTCTTAACATGTGCTTCATGACTTAGGGGTATTTCGACCGGCTTCAAGGATGAATCAAACCGTGAGACGGGCTCAAAATGCCGAGAGCCAAAGTACAGTCACTTTCAAAAAGGCGGGAGGAGTCCAGATATGATCTCTACATTTGGAAACAGTGTTACTTTTTAGGGATGCATCGTATCCGTCCCAAAGTTAGCCTCTCGCCGTTCCTACAGCTGAGGAGGATACTTGTTGTTGACAGTTTATCGAGCTGCTAATGTTGATGCGATGTATTCGTATGTTTCTCAAGGTAGATTTCACTCACACGAGGACTTCGGGCCTCTATCATAATGAATGGACATCAAATTTGCGAGAGTCAAAGGTTAGAGATGTTTTTAGGCGCCAAGTCAGCCGCCCAGATCACATAATCCCACTTATAGCATGTCGCATGTCCGAGCCAACCCGTTTTCCCGTGACGCTCCACTATTGTAAGTAGCACGCGTGAGTACCAGCTCTACCATGTCTCTAATGAGCCTTACAATCCTTTGTCAATCCATCGGTATAGCATGGTGTACGACATCGAGCATTCGACACCGAAAGGGTGAGGAGGGGAAGAATTCAGGGACAACAGCCTACTTGAAGCACCGAAAGATAAAGTGGTTGAGGCTGCCTCGACTCGAGGTCAGAATAATTGTCCACACGCACAGAGTCCTGAACGATGGATTCGTTGACTATGGACATCTTGGGGGTTCGCCGAAACAGGAGAAAAGGTTATTTGAAGATATGTAGTTTGGAATATCCTCGTTACCGCTGCCCGTCTGCATCATGCACGACGATGGTGGCGTTGGTGAAAGCGTCGATGCGTGGAGCCCGTTCACCAGCCCGATTCCGGAACCCTGGGCGTTTCCCGCCAAATAAGAAGCTAGTGAATGGCCATGAATTCGAGATCCCAGTGGTTAACCGATAGAAAGACGGTCGGTTAGTACTGAAATAGCACTTAGAAAGTACTGAGTGCAATTTGACTCGGAACTGCGCACGAAAATCAACCCCTTCGACGCCATCCTATGCTTTGCCCTTGGAGTTTTCCGAAAACACTTGCTTTCCTATCGAAAGAGCCTGGAGGGCTATAATAAGGTTGGTGAGGGAAAAGGGCATGTCCATCGAGAGATTATTGGTACATCTTATCACCTGTATTTCGCTGAAGATCGAAGCCGCAGGTAACGACCTTCTCAGCCTGACTCTTTTCAAATCAGATCTACAGAGATAGTGATACTAGTGATAGTGATAAACCGGCATGTGGACCAATTCCTGTGGGTACGCTGTGGGTACGAGACAAGGATTATGGGTGCTGCGGTATAGTGTATGCGACGAACTCGGGGTCCAGTAGTAGGAGGGAATGGGAGCTCGTGATTGTAAGTTATCTATGAAGTTTGTATGCCGCGCCTTTCGTGCAGTTTCGTAGTTTGGGAGCGGTACAGGTGCAACGGCACCGATATTTCGACGAACTCGGCGTCTTGTAAATGGAATTTACTTACTGAGAAGCGATGCAGGTCATTATTCGGAAGTCGGTTTCCACATACCGTTTGTATATGTACCACCCTGGCATCATCAACGTTCGCATAGGCACTTTGACTTCTTTCCTTAGACTCTCTCCGCAATGGATAATGTCCCTCCACGTCACCTTTCTCTCCAACTCGTCAAGCCGGTGCGCCATTCGTTTCGTCCTGCTTCTGTATCCCTTGACACGTAACTTTGAAGTACGTGAATGATAGGGCCCACCATTCTGCATCATCAACACGAACTGTGTCTCAATCACGACGAAGTTGCGAGTGTGGCGATCTTTGTGAGTAGTGGATTCACTCTCAGTGGCGGGGCACTGATCTCGTCAAGTAGCTGTATGACTATCTGCTAACCCTGACCGGGGAAGTAAGACCGGTAGAAAACCGCAGAGAACTCGATAGATCTTTAACACTTCGATTTCAGATTACAATGATATGGCCATCACGAAGAAGTCTTGGAAAGATCTTCTTCCTGGTCGCTCGCTATTCCGTCTTCTTCGACATCGCAATCGCCTTCGCATGTAGGTTTCGCTAGTCTCACAGAAAACGTCGATAATTTATTTGTCAATGACAGGGAACGTCCATGACTCCATTGCATACTATGTTCCAGTGAGTCAAGCAGATGAAGTGATCTCCAAAGACCATTCAAATCGTGCACACAGACATGCATTGTTTTCCGGACCGTCTCCCAACGTGAGCAACACTCTTCGGCAAGACATAATAAGAATTTACACATAGTAAAACGCACCAGTGTTAGCGCTCATCGGAATCATTGCGTCTGAAGGTGAGTAGTACCAGTTCTCATCCTCGTCCTAACCGTCAGCGGCTCCAAAGGCATCATGGCTAGCTGCGTTTGCGCACTCTTAGGCGCCGGGAAAAGATGCAGAATCCTCACATGGTCGTTCTTCGCGGTGCGCGTTGCCAACCCTGTCGTAATTCACACAAGTCGAAGACTGATTCAGATCCATTACTATCAGGTGTGCTGCTGCAGTGCAATGGCCCTTCTGTTCTTGATGTTCCACTCGTACACAGGTAACGGATATGCAACTCCTCCACTAAATAGACACACTGTCAGACACTACAGGATTTCTCCCAGAGCCCTTCGAAGACGACTGCCGTTCCCGCCTTGACCCGCCTAACCAGGCTATCTACGAACTAGCCTGCTACTCTGTCTTACTTTTGGCCGAAGTCGGTAAGACCCCAGCGTAAAATGCGCTGAATTTCGATCTTTAAATTCCGGTATTTCCGATCCAGGGTTTACTTCCGTCGCCATTCTTTCTCGCGGCAACATCGTGGATCGAGGAACCAATTGGTAGTGATCCTCTACCGAGATGGAGGAATCTATTATGTTGCTATGCTAAGTAGGCCCTTTACCGTCCCATTTGTTACGTGCGCTTAACTTTCACTCTGAACCGCAGCCTTTACCATCCTCAACATTATCACAAACCAAGCCTATAAGGCATGCTCTCAGCTTCACCATTGGAGGAAGACATACTTACGGAGTCCGGGAACAGCTCGTAATTGTTTTCTCGTGAGTTTCAAACCGAGTAGTAGTAGTAGTAGTAGTAGTAGACGCTCTATGGAGACTAATTGGTAGCAGCCTGCAAAGATCCATGCACTCAGTGCTAGCAAGTGGACTGTTACTCGACACGAGACGAAGATTCGAGGGAACCTCTGGCAGCACTTGCCCCAGCGGGGACGAAATGTCGACCTTGCAATTTACGACACAGCCATCTGGTCAGGAATCAGCATTGGGGGATGGCGAGGATAGTAGTAGCTGTTGACATCGTCAACGCGGCCATACAGGCAGAAATATATCTGACTTGTCCTTTGAAAGAAAGAATTTTGACAGTTAGACACGAACGCTTGAAAGAAAGGAAAAAGATGGTTAGACAAGTATGTAAACGATGGAGTAATGTCAAAATTAAAACCCCACGAGCACCAGAACATTAGGCTAGAACCATCGACCACGACTACCTGACCCCCTACGTTGGAAAGGCTGGGTGTTAAGATCTGCGACGTCAGCCCCATTGGCGACGAGTAAGTCGACCACGGCTCTATGGCTTTGGAAGTAAGCTTGCGAAAGGGCTGTTGCCCTATATCGATTTTGGTGGTTGACCTTGATACCTCTTTGTGAGAGAAGGAGCCGAACGATGTCCAAGTGACCTCTGTATGCAGCCTTGATAAGTGCTGTGTCCTCCCTGTTATCCACTGCGTTCATGTCTTGCCCAGGTGCATTGAGAAGAGCTCTTGTCGCATCAATATGACCCCAGCTGGCGGCCTTCATCAGAGCCGTCTCCCCGTTCCTGTTGCGCTTGTGAATGTCGAGCCGTTCGTCTTGGAGGAGAGCGAGGATGCAGTTTTCATGGCCCCTCTGGGAGGCATGCATCAAGGGAGTTTCACCCTTGTCGTCGCTCGCGTTTGCGTCGAGATGAGGCTGTCGTACCAGGAGCTCCACGATCGAAGAGTGGCCGCGAGAGGAAGCCTTCAACAAGGCTGATTCGCCCTTGGAATCATGGACATTGGGGTCTACGCCAAGGCCAGCTTTTAAAAGTGCAGAAACACAGCCGTCTCTGCCCCAGGATGAGGCTTTCATGAGCCCCGTCTCGCCGTTCTCATCCTGGAGGTTGGGCTGGATCTTTGGGTGCGAAAGCAAGGCGACGACGTTATCGACGTGTCCCCTAAAGCAGGCCTTGCTCAGGGCGGTGTCATTTCGGTTGTTCCTGGCGTTGACCTCCAATTCCACCCTCGACAGTAGCTCTTCAACAACCCCGAGATTACCCCACGATGCTGCCATCATCAGTGCCGACTCCCCCTTCATGTCTTGCGCGTTCACGTCGCATCTGGGATCGGAAATCAACAGCCTGGCTATTTCCACGCTGTTCTCCTTGGCCGCTCTCATTAGAGGAGTCCTTCCATACTTGTCACGGATGTTGGGATCGGTCGAGGGGTGGGCCAACAGCCGGGTCAAGACACCCTCGTACGACGGGCAAGCCGTGTTTTGTAAGGTCCATTCCGCACTCTCCTGCCCCAGCTGCCTTTGCGAGGGCAGATTCACCAAGGTCATCAACCTCGTTGACGTCGAATTCACCACAAGATAAGATCATCCTCGCGATCTTGCTTTGGCCCCGTTGCAATGCCCTCATCAGAGCTGTAGCTCTGAATGGTCCTTTCGCCTGCCAATCGATATCACCTCGCTGTAGAAGCTGTTCGACGAGGGTTTCGTAGACCGCCGGCGATGAAGATGGTGGGATAGGTTCCGTGGGTCCGACGTATCCTTGCTCAGAGCCACCGAGGTCAATCGCGGGCGGTTCATCTCCATCGTTGAGCGCATGGATACAGCACCACAGCGGAAATTCATCCCACGAGCTCTTGATGTTGACATCGGTGCTTGGGTGAAGGATCAATGCAGATGCGATTTCTTGACGTCCGTAAGTGCAGGCGATGATGAGGGCTGTCCGTCCTCTGTCGTCCTGTTCATTAACGTCGATTCGAGGATGGCTAAGCAGCAGCTCTGCACATCTCCGCTGGTCCCAAAGCACGGCTTTCATCAAGGCTGATTGGGATACTCTTCCCTTTGCATGCAGCGGGACCTCCGGCTCTCCTGATTTGTTCTCGAGTGTGTGGTGGCCAAAGGACAAAAGATTCGGACTCTCGGCAGCATTGACGTGAATCCCTGGAACTTGGAGGAGGCGCGAAACACAAGCATCATGGCCCCAGGATGAGGCCTTCTTCAGGGCTGTATCGGCGTAAATGTCCTGGATATTGACGTCAATTTCCGGCGAGGAAAGAAGCTCTTCTACGAAGGGAAGCTCTCCCCACAGCGATGCTTTCATCAGGGCCGTCCTTCCTTTGTCATCGACAGCGTTGACATTGCTGAAGGGAAGAACGGCACGTGTAGTCGCCAGTCGCTCTTCGATAGTCGATGACGCAGTGGACTCGTCCTCCGCGAGGAGACCGGATTCGTGGGGATTGTTTCCTCCCTTCTGGTATTTGCTGTCGGGCATAGAAGCGGCTTTCATGAGTGCCGTCTCTCCTCGGTCATTCGCAGCTTTGGCGTCTATTCCTTCCACCGTCAACAACAATTCGACACAATGTACCATCCCCCTCACAGCGGCTTTGATGAGTGCAGTCTCTCCAATGGCGTCTCGCGCGTTCGCATCGACATCCTCCCTTCCCAGTAAAACCCCGAGGCAAGTACTGTTGCCCCACGACGCGGCCTTCATCAAAGCAGTCTTTCCCCGACAGTCGCCAGCGTTGACCAAAACTCGAGGATCAGCGACCAGAGCCGCAACGATCTGTGCGTTGCCCCACTGCGCAGCCTTCATAAGAGCTGTACGACCCCAGCGATCGCCTGCGTTGACGTCAAGGTCGGGGAATTCGAGCAGCATCTTCACGATTGCAACATACGGACTGTCATTGTCATCTTCACTATCATCTGCACGCTTGGTGACTTCCTCGTGGCGACTGTGTCTACGCAAAGGATTGCTACGCCCATGGTACGCTGCATCCATCAAAGCTGTAAGGCCCCATTTGCTGGCAGCATTGATGTCCAACAGCTCGCGTTGACCATCTTGGCTAGGCTCCCCACTATCGGGCACTGGCTCCTGTACGATAGGTTTGGCGTAGGTCAAGAGGGTCTCAACCAGGCCTGTGTGGCCAAAGCGAGCTGCAAGCATGAGTGCCGTTTCGCCTCGGTCTGACTGGAGGTTGAGAAGGGTATTGGGATTTTCGAGGAGCAGCTTCATCCCCTCGTAGCGACCCCATGCAGCGGTCTTCATCAACGGGGTTCGGCCGTAGCTATCCTGAATGTTGGGATCGAGATCGGGGTGTGAAAGGAGCGCCTTCATGCATTCAACTTGGCCCCATGCCGAGGCGTGCCACAGTGGAGTTCGACCTCGATTGTCCTTAGAGTTGACCTCGACGTTGGGATGGCCCAAGATCAAGCGGACCGCACCATCGTGACCCTGTAAGGAAGCCTTGGCTAAAGGTGTTTGGCCTTGACAATCGACTGCATCGACGGGTATGGTCTCTGACTCGAGGAGGGTTTGTACGAAGCTGGTATGTCCATTGAAAGCGGCAAGGTGAAGGGCGGTTTGTTGTCGATTTGAGGTCGTATCGCCGGGTATTGGGATCCGTGGTAAGGCACTCGACATCCCGATTTGAGCAGCAACGTGCAGCGAAGTCCCGAGATCACAGGGTTGGCAAACCTGCGCATCAAGGTCCAAAGGATACGTAGAAGGTTGGTGGAGGAGGAACTCGAGTACAATTGGGGGTAGCTCGTCTTCCGCGAGCATTCGGGCATGGCGTCCCCAGTGTTTGTAGGCGTAGGAAAGGAAGGGATAATCTGCGTGGTCCAGGAACTCCAACACATTCTTCCAACATCGGATAGTCCTATCGCTGGCGTCGAATGGTACGTGTGGGTGGTCATCGCCGTGGTAGTCTGCAAAAATGAGAGAGCGCAATCCGGTATGATTAAGATAGCCAATGCAGCTCGTAGCGATGAGGACGTGCGGCTGGACTCCAGATTCCAACACCCATTTCTGGAAAACATCCCGGGCGGTATGGTCTAAAGACAACGTCAGCTTGATAATCGAAGATCATAACGGGAAAGCGTACGGATAAGCTGCACCACCTCAGTCCCATGGTCAACCGTGACAATGCCACAACACACAGTCACTATCAATCCTGGATCAACAAGGTGCTGAGAATCGAACCGTCCCGATTCAGGATCCACGGCCAGCGCGTGTTGCAGCATCGTCATGGTGAGTGGCTGGTCGGTGTAAACCAGCCAGGCGATCACCCGGCGTGCCAGCAGAGCCTTTTCTTTGTCTTGTATCCCCATACGCCTCCAAGCATCTCGGTACATATCTTCAACCCCAGACGGAAGGGACGCCAGTTTCTTCCTGAGATCTTCCATGTCAACGCTGCCGGCCAATGTCTCGACTTGAAGAACGGTTAGAAGAAACCTGGATGAAGGAGCGGTCAGCGCACATAGTCGACCAGAGTGAAGGGATGCACTTCTCACATTCCGGCCCCTGTGGCTTGAAGAGCTGAGACTACATTCTTCAAGTCCTCCGTGTCTGCGAGTAGGTCCTTCAGCCGCGAAGTATGCTGCACTTTTCTCTTGACAAAAGTATCGATGTCTTCGTCGTGGGCTCGAACGTCCATTGTCACAGCATGAGGGAAAATCGCCTGGACGAGATCCAGGGGTCTTGATGTAAAGAGGAGGCTTCGATGCAGCGAACGGAGTACACGCAAGAGCTTCGCCTTGTCCTCCTCGATTAGCAACTCGTCCAGCGCATCGATTGTGATGAAAGCCTTGGGGAACGGCGCCAACGCTCTTGTCAACCATTCGAGGAGCTCTTGTTCCGAAGCTTTGGTTTCTTCTGTTTCGTGGCGATCGAATCCTTCCTTGACAATTGGCAACACATGTTCGGCGTGTGACTCGAGTAGTTGTCGAAGCAGGCTAGCGATGATATCCCGCACGGTGTATTGGTGTGCTTGCTGCAAGAAAACGAATAAAACTGGGAGAGAGGGGAATCTTTTTTGAAGATCGAGGTTGATCATCGACCTGAAATCAAGAGAAATGAGGCCTGGTCATCCAAAGAAAATCCACGGAATGTAACGCACGCCAGCGTGGTCTTTCCGGCACCGGCTAGCAGGGACGAGCTCGTTTAGGGATGAGATTATCAATAAATTAGACGGACGAACCGATCCCTCGACACCAGAGGACACCGTCGTCTTCAGAAGCCCAACGCTCGTATTGGTCATGTTGAAGTAGCCATCTTCCCGTGCCTTCAACACTCCTCGAGTAGGCTTCATCTTGCTGGGACTTAAAGTTGATGGGGGTGAGCCAGTGGCCGATCTTGTAAATCTCTAGCGAATCCATTAGCATTGGCGATGGATCTCAAGGGAAACATACCGGCTTCGGCATTCTGCACGGTCTCGGTAGCCGCATACCCGCCTTTGATAGCGGGCTCATATGCATCCTGGAACAACGAGACCCCTCCGTGGGTGGTCTCTGTCGCGCCACGACGAGCATCTAGGTCGGCAGCGAAATCCTGTGGGTGAGATAAAATCAATCCACTATGGCGCTGATGAACAGAGGTGAAGCGTACTTGAGTGGGACCTGAATCCATGGATTCAGAAGTAAACCTAATGCCAGTCCAGTCAGTCGTGTAGACGGGGATGAAGAGAAGTATCAAGAGCAATCAGTGGGGAGGTGTTAAGATGGGATACGATAACAAGGCGCTGGATGCCTCGAGGCATCTATGGCCTTCACTGCCACGACGCACACAAAGCTTAAAGCCCAATTCGTCAATAGAGTCGGTTGTCCACAGCCTTTGGACTGTTTGACAGGCCCCGGCCTGAACTTCTGTAGGTTGAGGCGGGCGTCGCTTCGGCCACTCTCGTTTCGTCACGAGGCAACACAAACCAATACGACCGTAGAGGTCACCGACACAACCAATCTGGTTCATGAGGTGGGCACCCCATTAGCACAGTTCACCCCAGCCGCGCTCCACGGAGATTCTAACGAGCACTCTAGCCGGGCCATCGAATGTGACCTGGCCGCACTAGTGGCTTCCTACTTTCGGGTATTCATCGCTGAAAGACAAATCAGATTTACTTTCAGAACTATTCAAACTGCAAAAAAAAGTAAAATACATACCTCAACTTTGACTCGCATAGACGCACTTCGCGCTGGATTGGCGCTGAATGGAAGAGAAGATATTCAGGTGTCAATTCAAACGATTTTAGGCGACCCTCAAGGCCTCAAAGGGCCTCAATCGCCTCAGTCGGAAGTCCTGAAATTGTCGCCTTTGCCGAACATTCAATCATTTTCCAACGTCGCTGCGGTCGCCGAGACTGAGAGAAAGGTTATGTGGATTTACGACGCGTATCCTCGTGGTCGCTGTCCATAGGCGTTGTGCACGACGATGGCGAATGGCGACGTCGATGAAAATGCAAAACAGTGACCTCACGGGTTCATTCGCGGCCCGCCCGCGAGAGCCCGGCGGCTTTCCCGCGCATGGGCCATTTCCACATTTGGACTACTCCGCCAGATAAGCGCCCATCAAGGACTGCCGATGGAGAGCTGGAGACAGCCATTTGTCGCATTCTACCGGCCCGCGCATACGAATTAAATAGTGCTCATGGTCTCGTGTAGCTAGCAGTGACATAGGAATGACTGGAATGGGTTCTAACTACATCCAGATGATGGTTCTCCGGCGAAAAACAAACAGATAGGGTGGAATGAAGACCGTAAACATAAACATAAACGAGCATTCCAAACATGGCGAGACTCCCACCTCACTACATTCACACAGCCCTCAGTTTGAACTTGTCACAACGCAAGACCCACGGTGCGCAGCATGTGACAATGCCGTAATGCTCCCCGAGACTGTTATGACTCGCCCGCCCCCAGCCTACCTTGTCTACTTACTACATGCATTACCTACTCTACCATGGCCTTCCATGGAGCACATCATTTATCGGTGAACGGCGGAAACTTCATCGACTATACCAACGCTACAATCAACTACACCACCACCATCTACAATTTCCACTGTCACCGCTGTGATTCCACACTACCAGCCGTCAGGGACAGTCCCTCTGTCCCATTTCCACCCCCTCAACACCACAGAAGTTTCACCCTCCACCAGCAACAAGAAACGAATCCCTTCGCGATCTTACACTCCGCTCTTGCAGCGATACAATGTCTGCTAAAGGGACTGCCCGAAGAAATCCACAAGCAGCTGTACGACGACCTGGCAGATTTCGAAGAGATCCTAGAAGAAGCTCGCCGAATCTTTGTGGGGAACGGCGTAACCATGGACCGCAAGGGGCTTTTCGAGCTCGGAGCACAGCTCTCCCGTTCAGCAGATGCGCTGCTGCACATCCTGCGGTCAGTCGCCCAAAGCGGGAACTCATCAACAAACAATCCAGGCGAGGCATACGACATCGCCGCCATCCGACAGCTGATTTCTGCTGAAAGAGAAGCAATCAGCGAATGCCTCTGCCACTTGAATTTGTCGGGGTCCGAAGAAACCCCTCCTAGCTCGGAGGCACACGCAAATACGGCAACATCGCCCACATTCGTGTCGCCTCCGACGAACATTGAGAACATTACGGCCGTGAAGGCCGCTCGTACAACCAACATGGTTGACGCAGCTTCCTCATCGGCAGAGATGCCCCCAAGTCCACGGGGCGAGCAGCGATGGGGGAGCCTGCACGACATCGCGCCACCTGGTGGATTCTTGCTGGAGGTCCCACCTTGCCAACCAACCAAGCGGCGCTTGGAGATCCAAGCAGGGGATGAGGACCCGGAGGAACTGGGGAGAACCATCCGCCGCCGACTCTGTTCAAGAACAGTTCGAGGACAGGGATGGGTTCCCAGCGCCAGGTTTAATCTGGACTTCCACCACACAAGAAAAGCCTGGGCGCATGGCGCATGGCGACCCGGCTAACAGCCCCACTGTGGGATGCCACCGATGCAAATAAACAGCGTCGACCGTCTGCAACGTCGTCCAGTCCAAGTTAATCGATGAGACCGTAGAACTACAAGACATACCCATTTTGTTTACATCCTTGACCACCCATTCTACTACCTCCCCACCCTCGTTCAATTTGGTCCTTTTCCCATACCACTGTAATCCACTAGTCGGACTTGCAGGCCTTCTTAAACGCTGTGTACCAGTGGAGAGTATCACAATGCATGCTCATATTTTCGCTTGCAATTACGTTCATGTGTCCGTTCGAGGTATGTCGGCACTCGTGCGCCTTACGAGGAACAAAGAAAAGGCCCTGGTGGATTGTGATGAGAGCAGAGGCAAGGTTGGGCTCGCAGCGCTGCCTTGGCTGTTGAAATCTTGTTTTGATGGCATCACGGAATCTAATCTGATCAGGTGCAGGGCGGCCCACTCGGGGGTCATGATCTCAAGCTTCAAGTCCAATATGACGCTCCAAATTCCGATTCAGGGTTTTTGTAGTTGATTACTGCGGTATTCGTACAAGGATCAGAAACCCGTTTGAATTGACAAGTAACCAAGCCAAGGGAGCAATCACATCGGTAGTAGCAAGTACTCTTCATCGGCTGTGAAGCAACCTGCACACATCCGAACCACTCTTCACCTTATCTAGCACCATTTCCCCACATTTGTCTACAACCCCAATATCTGCACCAGCATCCAGCAAAAGCTCAACAACCTCCATCCTACCCTCAGCCGCCGCCTTCATCAACGCCGTTTCCCCTTTCCCATCCCTTAAATCAACCCCATCCCCAACATCATACAACAACAACCTCACACAACTAACCTCCCCAGCCCTCGCAGCCTTCATTAAGCTCGTCTCCCCCTCCTCATTAGCCCTGTTCACATCCACCTTCCCACTCCGAAGCAGCGTGAAAACCGTCGTGTCACGGCCGGCAGCAGCAGCTTTCATCAACGCTGTATCCCCATTTTTATCTCCCGCATCCGCATCGATCCTCCTGTCCTTCAGCAATCCTTCGATGACAATGTTATGCCCATTCGCCGCCGCTTTCATCAACGCTGACGAGCCCAGATTGTCCCTCGCATCTGTCTCCACACCCTCCAAACTCAACAGCACCTGCACAACCTCCCTACAGTCCCGATTAGCAGCCTTCATAAACGCCGTTTCCCCCTGATGATCCTTCGCATTGAGCTGGATGTCCGGATGTGCAATCAAGGTATGCACAACAGAGGTCAGGCCACTCGAGGACGCATGCATGAGAGGTGTATGTCCCCGCTTGTCCTTCAAGTTGACGTCGACACCGAGGTTGGTAATCAATTGCATCGCAGTTTCCTCTCGATCACGCAGAATCGCTTTGGCCAACGCCGTTCGCCCATCGATATCCCGAGTGTTGGGGTCAACTCTCGAGTCTGAGAGGAGTAACTTGACCATACCGCGATGGCCACCCATGGCCGCCATCATCAACGGCGTCGCTCCCCGGTCATGCTGTGCGTTTGGATTGCACTTTTCGTGGGCGAGGAGCAAACGAGCAGCCTTCTGCCAGCCAGTGTGCGCAGCTTTCATCAACGGCGTCCTCCCGAGAACATCGCGACTATCCACTTCCACATCCAGATGGGCAAGGAGCAACTGAACAACCTCGTCATACTCCCCAGACCGATCCTCCTTCAAACCCAACGGTTTCCCCTCGGCTCTGAGATGCTCATTCTCCCCTCCCGCAGCAAAAGCCAACGCAGTCGCGCCTTTCTTCGTCTTCGCATTCACGTCAACATCCGGATGTTGCAACAGCGCCTCTACGCTCCTCGGTTGGCCTCTCTCCGCAGCCTTTGTCAACGGTGTATTTTGATATTGATCCACCGCATTCGCGTTCGCTCCAAGTTCCAGAAGCGCTGAGATGCATTCGCCATGCCCTCGAACAGCCGCTCGATGCAACGGAGTTTCGCCAATGTTGTTCGTGTCGTTTACGTCGAAGCCTTCAGAGACGAGGAACTCGACTGCATCTGTATGTCCTCTAAGCGCGGCCTTCAGCAGGGCGTTGTCGCCTCTTCCGTCACAGGTGAGGATGTCGACGTCGGGGTAGAACAGTATTCGTCGGATGATATCGACATTTCCACCTTCTGCAGCCCACGCAAACACTCCCGTCCCGTTGGCTTCCACCATCGTCACGTCGGCCCCGCGTTCCAACAGAATCTCGACGGTGTCTCGGAGTCCCAGGCTCGCAGCTCTCATAAGGGGAGTCACCAAGTACTGATCAGCCGCGTTGACGTTGACGTCTTCGCGGGAAAGGAGTTGTTGAACGATCTTGACTGGCGCCTCGCCTTCTGAAACAACCGGCCCTTGGGCCCCCTCCTCTTCACAACTTCCATCATCTGCACTGGCTTCTCCCTTCTCGCCAAGCCGACCACCGCCCTCCTTCACAATAGCTCTCATTAACGCAGTCTCTCCCCGGTCACTCTTCTGGTTGACGTCAATAGCTGGATGTTCGAGCAAAGCGGAAACGATGTCGGGATTCCCAAACTCAACGGCAAGAATCAATGGCGTTGTTCCTCTCTCGTTCCTCCGATTGACCAAACTATCGGCATCCGGCCTGGCCAGCAACTCCTTAACGGAATCCAGGCACCCTTGAAGAATGGCGTTGTCGAGGGAACGGTCAGAGTTGGTCTCGAAGTTGGAACGGGGTTTGAGGAGTAGGTCGACGATAGCTTGGTGTTTATGCCAGGTGGCGTACCGGAGGGCTGACCGCCCTGTACGGTCCCTGGCGAGAACATCTACTCCAGGGTGTGAGAGGAGTGTAAAGACCGCACTTTCTTGGCCATGGAACGCAGCGCGTATCAACGCAGTCTGTTCCCTCCTGTCCCGCGCATTGACGTCAATCCCCTCCATCACGAACAAAGCCTGTATGATGCGATGCTGTCCCCAGTCTGCCGCCTTCATCAATGGCGTGCTCATAAACTTGTCGCGTGCGTTGACGTCGCTGTGGGGGAGGAGATCCTTTACGATGTCGACGAGAGTATTGGAGTCGATGGAGATGCTGTCGTCCCGTTTCGAAGCAGCTTTGTGAAGTGCCGTCTCTCCTTGCTGGTCTGCAATCGAGACATCGAGATGGTCGGATTCGAGGAGTGCAAGGACGCATCGTCGATGTCCGTGTGCAACTGCTGTCCGCAAGGCGCCTCCATAGAGGTAGTTGACCTTGGTGCGCGGATGCTGGAGAATGAATCGGACAATCTGCTCGTCTCCTCGTTCTGCGGCGATCATGAGCGCGGTCTGCTTGTGGTTATTAACCGCGTTGGGATCAACATCCCCGTACTCGACCAACATCCGGACAATCTCTGTCGCCCCGCACCTAGCAGCCTCCATCAACGCTGTTCGACCTTTGTTATCCTTCGACTTGGGGTCGACTAGTCCAACCGTGCGCAGTTGCTTTTTGGGGTATCCAAGGAGGACCTTGACGACGTCCGGGTGGTTGTTTCGAGCAGCTAGATGAAGGGCCATTTCGCCTTTCTTGGATTTAGCTGGAAATTTGGACCCACAAGGGATAGAGAGGTCCATGATCGCCTGAACAGCTTCACGATGACCTCCATAGGCTGCTCGCATAAGCGGTGTGTATCCGTCATCATCTGCGTCCTTGAGCACCACGCCATGGTACAGCAAGAGTCGCATACAGCTACTGTGGCCAGAGGCTGCAGCGTTGGAGAATGGGGTTCGACCACGCCCATCCATCGAGTTGGGATCTTGGTGTGGTAGGATAGCTGAAAGGAACTGTTCTTGGCCGTGTAAAGCTGCCAGGTGCACTGCGAGTTGGTTATGCGGCACTGTTGTGTCGTCCGAAAGTGGGAAAATGTTGAGAAGGTCACAAAGGCCGTATTGTGCCGTGACGTGGAGGGGTGTTCCAAGCTCAACCTGCTGGCAAGACGTGGGGGCATACTTGATGTTGAGGGTGGGGAGTAGAGGGAAATGGCCGAATTCGCGTAAGAATGGGATGACGCCTTTGGGCAGACCGTTTTCGCCACTGGCTTCCTGTACGTGGTGTCCCCAGTGCTCGAATGCGTACCGCAGAAGAGGAAATGAAGATTGATTAAGGAATTCCTGCAGGTGCCCCGTGCAGAGAATTTGGTTGTCTGTCGAATCGAAAGGCATATGCCCACCCTCGCCATGGCAGCCTCCCAGTTTGAGTTTTGCTATCCCAGCGTGCAGGAGATAAGCAATGCATGCTTCTGCAATTGTGGTGTGGCCCAGGGCACCCAGAATACGGCTCGTGGTCGACCTGACATATTCCTTAGAAGCTTCATCTGAACTCAGATTGTTAGCGTATCGTGGAGAGAACTCGAATAATGAAAGCTCACCTGTAAATCCGACTTCCGTCGTTTTTTCATCCACTACTATGAGACCACGACAGATTACAGTCAACCTCAAGTCCCGAGGCAAGGTGAAGGATCCGGTCTCCGGATCTATTGCCAGAGCGTGCCTCAGCATAGCGACTGTAAACGGTTCCCTGGCGTGCGCCACCCAGAGCAATATCTTCTTTGCCAGCGAAGACTGTTCATCGTTCCGGTCAACGATCTCACGTATTGAGTCTGGCGTTGCAACCTGGAAATTTTAGCAGTCTACCTAGGGCTGGCATTATCGAGGAAAACTCACCTCACGGTGTAGCATGCTCGCCATCGCAGTGCACGACCGCAACCAGCAGCGCCAGTGGAGGCGGGATGAAACGTAACAGCGACAAGCCACGCGACGCCGACGCCCGCGTTCGCCATGGCCAGGGTCCACTCACCACAATTTCCCGCCCTCGTCGATTCTCGCAAGCGCCGTTGATGGCTACTGACACGATGTACACGATGGGATAAGAGTCGTTCAAATAGTTCATTGAACTGTTGAAACCTAGTGCATCGTCGTTGTTGAAGAGAACGTTGCACATCGTTGACGTGGGTCAGCGGCTTGGCCGAGAGACGCAATTCTGACGTTCTCACGCCCGGACCGCTTTCCATAGGCCACCTAAACTCCGAATAAGCGCCCACATAATGCGCATTCCCGTATGCTCGCGTTCGGATTCATCACCTTACATCCCATCAGTTTGTACAGAAAAAAGGATAGATACTCCTATAACTACGACTACTGCTTAATTATATTGAGATACGTTATCCCGAACGCGCCAGATACCAAACAACTTGATCACTTCTTCATGACCATGAGATTGCGCCTCCTGTAACGCCTTCTCGTAGTGACATAGTTCAGTTCGGTCTGGACTTTCTTGAGCCTCTACGTCCCTATCAATGCATCCAAAGTGCCCTCTGCTGCATGTATCTACAACTGATCCGTTGGATATCGACTGCTGGGCCTGTGATGCGTGACCTGCGAGTAATAGTTCAACACATCGAGTCCGTCCTCGGGTAGCAGCCTTGATCAAGGCACTCAGGCCCTGTTCGTCCAGTTTGTTAAGGTCTATCCGAGGATCCCTAACAAGAGCCTCCAGAACCTCGTCGTGACCCCACTCCGCCGCTTTCATCGCCGCCGTTCTCCCTTTTCGATCGGCGGCATTGAGGTCTAGGTTAGGGCAGAGATCGAGGAGCATTCGAGTAATCGCGGCATACGAGTGGGCGCGTAGCTCCTGGGCCATGCTACCTCTGCGTTCCATATTGTCGTTGGGTGATCGTCCTTGAGACGCCGCTTTCATCAACGCCGTGAGTTTACGGTTGCTGGTTGCATTGACGTTGTCCCGCCAGTAGTACGATGGGGAGCACTCAGGTGAGTTCCCTTCATCAAGAGGTAGGCGATAAGAGAGCAGCAGGTGGACTATGTCCTTGTGTCCGAATGAAGACGCCAATATCAGGGGCGTCTCCTTCCACGTCGATACGATGTCCGGTTCCGTCGCTGGATTAGCCAGAATGAGTTTCATCGCTTCGTATCGACCCCAGCGTGCGGCGTGAAACAAAGGTGTCCACCCCCGGTCATCTTGATGGTTAACATCAACGTTGGGGTGCTGAAGGAGGAGCTGCATGCAATCGACGCGTCCCCACGCCGATGCCCTCCCCAACGGGGTTCGGTCGTACCGATCAGTCAAATTCGGATCGACATTGGGATGCTCCAGGAGCGCCTTGACGATTAGCGCATGTCCACTCCCCGAGGCCCTTCCCAGTGCTGTCTTCTGCTCGCTATCTTGGACATTCACATCGCGTGTCGGCGACCGGAGAAGCTGCTCAACAAAGGCATGATGGCCGTTCCCTGCCGCAAGGTGCAAATGCGATTGCTGGGAATGCGAAGTGGTGTCATCGAAGTTGATTGAGGATGAGTGTAAGATGTTGTAAAGGCCGTAGAAAGCAGCAATGTGGGATGGAGACCCAAGGTCGCACGGGGGACATGTCTCGTCTATGCTGTAATGTGCATGGGTCTCCAGTGGATATCGAGTCTGCCGAAGGAGAAATTGGAGGACGTTGGTTTGGAATCTCTGTGGCACAGTCCCGAGCGTGATGGCCCCAATACTTGAAAGCATAACGCAGGAATGGATATGACGGTTGATTGACGAACGCTTCAAGGTCCCCCGTGCACCGAATGGTCGAAGCAGAAGTTGGATGGTGCTGTTTCCGTTTGTGTGGCTGGTAAGACTCGAATTGGAGGGACTCAAAACCGGCGTACGAGAGATAGCCCACGCAGCTAGAGGCAATGAGGGAATGCGGGTGGATGCCGAACTCGGGCTGGGGAATCAATTTCTCGAGGAACTCCCTGGCCGTATGGTCTGCGCAACGCTACAATTAGCCGAAAACGCTCTGAAAGGCGCGATGGGAGTAACTCACGAATCAATTGAACAGTCTTCGACGCTTTATCAGCTGTGACAAGGTTACAGCAGACATCAATTAACGACTCTTCTCCCAGTACATCGTCCGGGTCGAATCGTCCCTCTTCGTCAACGGCGAGTGCATGTTGCAGCATCGCAACAGTCATGGGCTCCTTGGCGTACATAACCCAGGAGAGAATTCGCTTCGCATCGGCCACATCTTCTGCTTTCTGGCCGCAGATTTGCCTCCATATACCGCGGTACGTATTGTCGAGGTCTGAAGGAAGGCATTGTAGCTTCTGCTTAAGACTTGAGACCTTTTTCGTCCCTCCCAAGTGGCCCTTCCCCATGTACAAGGCCGCAAGCAGGAACCTGATGAAACGGTAAGTGAATCAATTATGGAATAGGGGGAATAGACTTACATCCCATCTGATGAAAGCTGTACGGCAGTGACAAGCTCTTCGAAGACGTCTTTCCTGTTCTCGAGCACTTTGCCCAGCCGCGAATCATGTTCCACGCTGTGACAAATAAACGTTCGAACGTCTTCGTAGTTAGCGCGAATGTCGACAAAGACAGTTTTCTGGTGAGCCATAGCCTCCATATGAGCAAGGGGCCTTGAAGTAACGAAGACGTTGCATCCCAAGCAAGGTAGCAAGACCTTGATGACTGACGTCTGTGTGGGCTCAGGGAGCTCGTCCAAGGCATCCAAGGCGACGAAGGCTCGAGGGAAGTGGGCTAACGCTCGCTGAAGGCATTGTGTAAGCTCGGCTTCCGATGGTTCGGTTCTATGCTTCCTGTGTTCCTCGTAAAGCTCGACGATTATAGGAAAGACGACTTCGGTGTGCCCGATAAGCAACTGTTCAAGCAAGGAAGCTACGATATCGCGGAGGGTAAATTGGTCGATTGACCTGCAATAGACTGTCAAGACGGGAACTCCGGGGTGCTCTTCTCTCAGAAAATGGTTTACCAGGGACCTATTCGCAGCTTAATGCATGAGCGTACGAAAGCGACTCAGACACCTACAGCAACGTAGTCTTTCCTGCCCCAGCTGCCAATCCATCAACCCAGTGAACAGCAATACAGTCGGCGTTTAACACTTACGAATACCTTTGCCCCACAGAACACCGCCATTGCTTTCTTCCCATTTCCTGAACTTGTGCAATTGAAGGAGCCAGAGGCCAGTGTTGTCTACTCTTCCACTGTACGCCTCCTTTTGCCGAGCCCTGGCGTTAATGTCGGTTAACCATCTGGCGAATTCGATGACTTTATCTATCCCAAAGTCAGCCCATCGTGGTGGAACACCATATCTGGAACTCACCATCTGCCCCATCAGCGAACGGCCCGTTCTGCGCTTGGATGGTGACGTTGGTTATGCTCTCTGCGGTGTTAAACGGGAGATGACGAAAAGAATAGGATGGGATTGGAGATTCAAAATGATATTGCGTTGAAAAGAGTGTGATTGCCCCAAAAAGAGTGGGATGGGGGAATAAGAGTGGGATCCCAGCCGTCATCCCACTCTTTTCGTCGTGTTGTGACGCCAATCCCGCCCAGTCTCCGTGCCGCCCGTTGAAGGGCGGCCGTTAGAGTCAGGATTAGTTATCTGCGCGTAGCGCAGCTGTTAGGGTGAGGGTTGGTGGTTAGAGTTGGGTTTAGGGTTGGGTTTAGGGTTGGGTTTAAGGTTGGGTTGGGTAGTTATGTAAAAGGTTGGGGAAGGGAATATTATGTTGCGCGCCTTCTTCCAGATAATATGACGTTGAAGATGCTGAAAATGGAGAGAGGCCACCCCTCCACCACCATCCCACTCTTTCGAAGGTGATCCCACTCTTTTTCACGACATTTATTCCAATCTCCTAATCCCATCATATTCTTTTCGTATATACTCGTGTTAAACCTGCCGCCATTGATTGAGAAGTCACTGGAATGCTGGAAGATGGGGGATATTTGGACCCTGGATTTCCGAGAGCCACCTGGATCTGCGACTAGCTGTGTATATTCTTCGTTAATGGCCCAGAGTTCTGCGATTTATAACTGAAGATCATGCACCTTCGACGTCTTGCCGGTGTGCATCCTCGAATCTGTACAAGGCTTTCTCTCACCAGCTCGGTCAAGTGGAGAGGGGAGGTCGAAGAAGGTAGGCGAGCGCCGACTGCATCTTATGTGGATGTCAACTGATGCTGTGCAAATTCTCGAAGGCCTCGAGGCATACTGCAGTGCATCCCATGACAGTCCCATCGATAGGCGCCCACTACACGTGAAAGATCCCACGCTTTGGGCACTTTGTCCCAATTAATGATCGAAACGCCCAACAAGCGCCCAATGAGCTTGGTGGTCAGCTTTCCTCCCATGACCGTTAGAATCACCAAGCCAGGGGTTATCTTGCCTTGGAAGGTGCATCCAGTCCAATAGAACCTGAATTAAGTTGTAATTAAATGGATTGTGAACGGGAGAGAGATCGCTCTCAGAACGGCCTGCGTGTCACAGTCACCCTATTCCAAGGGTTGTGTTCGGACTGGGACGATCTGAGAGCTGTGTCCATCTTCTCCGCCGCTGTTATATGTATGCTGATTCTTGAACTGCAATACTTTCTGGCCGTCCGAAGTGCCAGGGACGGAAGAACCATGTCCCACGCGAACAAACCAACGGTTGCAGTTGATATCCGAATCTTATCCGCATACACATGTGTAATTTCCATAACGAGTGTTCAGTTCTCTATGTCGTGCTCCATCTTCACGTAGGCGATGGGAACGAATGGTGCGTAGTCACAGTAGCAGCCGTGCAGCGGAAGGCCTGCTGATATCCGAAAATCTGGTTCCAATTTCGCTTCGTGCAATTGATAAGGGGGATTGAGTTTGACACCTTCCTTTATCTTCAACAGAAGTACAGCAGCGTCGAACCATGTCTCCCGCATACCCTGTCTAGGCGGTAAGTGGCTGTTTTGAGGGATGCATCGGGTGACAGCATGCCTTTGAGTCTGTCGGCCGAGCGACCCTTGACGCTAACGTTATGGCAACGTCGCCGTACTCATATCGGACAAGGACTGCAGACGACGCCATGTGTTCACCGCGTCTGGGGAAAGATTTGAAACGCCATATCTTATCTGTGCTTCTCAACCACTGAACCATGCGATCCAATGTTCGCCACCTTCATATGATCTAACTTTCAGTGAACTTCGACCAACTGTCAAACAAGACATCCGAATGTTTTGAATGTTTTTTAGATCGTTTTCTATCGCCCCCACATGCAGATACCATTACAACTCTGCTCTAAACGGTGACGAGCCCATTACGACTTTATCATCTGACGACACCCAATGACTTTATCCATCAATGTACGGCATGCTCCTGCATATGACCCCGAACCTTGGCACATAAAGAAGCAATGGACCCCGCAGCGACCTCATTGGCAAACACCATCAGGCAGCCTTGCACATTGTACCCTTCCCAATTCACCTGGATATGTTGTCGTGAAGAAGCCTCAGCCTCCGTCCACTCCACCAATCTCAATCCGCCGCACGCAGATTGTGTTAGCTCGACCATGCGCAGGCCTGTATCTGGAAACAAAAGCCATATGGACAGAAATACAAGCGCTTTTGCCGCGCGGTACAGCCTACGATAGGCACCAGGCAGCCTTCTCTTAGTTATCTTCCGTCGTTGCATAAAAGGACGAAAGGGACCATCAGAGGCAAAGCAATTCGCCAGCTCTTCATCCTCCCCGGTTACCAGCTAAAATGCGTCTCTCCGTTCTCACCGCTGGACTCGTCTACGCTGCGACCCTCGTCGTTTCCCAGTTCGTACCATCCATCTCTTTCTATCCCGAGTCACGGAAGAACTGACGCGTCTGTTTCTACAGGAGGACATGTGGCACTAACCCCTCCCCTGCTGAGATCGCCGCCGCTGAGGCCAACTTCAGGAACCACCGCGTCCAGGTTTCCACTTCCGACTTCTCCACTGCCGCAGCCACCATCCCCGTCCATTTCCATGTCATCTCCTCCGGCTCCTCCCTCTCCCAGGGCAACATCCCGTAAGCCATACCCCCTTCCGCCCATCCAATTTTGCACCTCTAACCACAGTCACCCTTTCTTCCCAGTGACTCACAGGTCCGCGAGCAAATCGCCGTCCTCAACAGGGACTTTGCCGGCACCGGCCTCTCCTTCACCCTCGTCAACACCACCAGGACCGTCAACGCCGACTGGTTCCAGAGGGCCGGTCCCAGCACCAGCCAGCAGACCGCCATGAAGCGCGCTCTCCGCGTCGGTTCCGCCAGCACCCTCAACATCTACTCTGTCGGCTTTACCTCCGGCTCTGGAGCTGGTCTTTTGGGATATGCTACATTCCCCAGCTCCTACTCTCGCAACCCCACCGATGATGGTGTTGGTACGTATTCTCGCCAATACCGTCTACCTTCTTGGAGGCTAATCACACCATTCACAGTGATCCTCTACTCCTCCGTTCCCGGGGGTTCTTCTGCCCCCTTCAACTTGGGAACCGTACGTTCAACCAACCGCTATCATTATCTCGTCGCATACTAAACGCCTCCTTTCAGACTGCAACCCACGAAGTCGGCCACTGGGTCGGTTTGTACCACACCTTCCAGGGTGGATGCTCTGGCTCTGGCGACTCCGTCTCCGACACCCCTCCCGAGGCTAGCCCTGCATCGGGTTGCCCCATCGGCCGTGACACCTGCGCTGGCGGTGGACCTGACCCCATCCGTGAGTCTCCTCCACGCACTCCTCCTGCTCACCAAGTGTTCTGATGTCCTCCCCTTTTCGCAGACAACTACATGGACTACTCCAACGATGCTTGCATGGAGGAGTTCACCCCTGGCCAGATCGCTCGTTTCCGCAGCCAGATCGCCACCTACCGTGGTATCAGGATCTAAAGTAGGACAGTAGGCTGGACGTTAGGTTCTGGAACATACCCATCTCACCACTCGAGGCTGAGGTTGTAAACGTTAATAATAAGTGTAAATTATGAAATTCCTCGAGGCGCATAAAATACAACAACAAAACATACCACGGAAAACCAGAATCCAGATTCAACCATCAACCATATGAAGAAAAAAGCAAATCAACCAACTGTTGCCAACCATCGTGCCCTTTATACCGCAGGTACGATAAAGACCTGATCACCATTGACCAGCGTCCCCTCCGACTCCGACTTCGAATCCGTCTCTTCACCCTTCCCTTCCCCCTTCTTGACCCGCCCAACAATCGACACAGGCTCCTTCGTCTGCGTATAGACCCTGAGTCCCAAAACGACCGACTTCCCATCGTCCCTCAGCAAGTGACGCCAGTCGTCGGCTCCATCCTCGTCCTCGCTATCATCATCACCACCTTGTTCCATATTGGAACTCGGGTATACCGCAACCTCCTCACCATGTGATTCACCAGTGGTTGCTTCGTCGACTTCAGGTTGGGTTTGCTGCTGCTCAGGGGTGTGACCGAGCGCGTTGAAGACGGTGAGGCCAAGGATTCCGAGCAGGTTGAGACAGCCGATCATGAGCAACTTCAGGAGGATGTCCCACTGGAGGCCAGAACCCGCATCTTTCGCGACTGTTGCCACTTCCGTTAGCGGAGGAGCTTCACTGTGGCCGTTGGATGTGCCATTCTGGGAATTGAAAGCCTTCTCGTCCGTTCCTTCCGCCTTTCCCTTCACCTCCTGAGACTGTTCCTTCTCGCTGTCCTCGTCCCCAGGTGTGGATGGCTCTTCATCAGAGTCAGAATCACTCTCGGACTTGTTATGGAAATCTTCATAATCCTCTCGGATAACATCCTCCAAGGTCTTCGGCATGAATTGGGATTTCAACCTGCAGTTAAAGGTTAGGAAGATCATAGGACAAGAACGAAAGACACCAAGCTGACTTTGTCACCCGATCTAACGTACGACCATTGGTTAGTTTCTCCGTTAGACGCGAGTAATAGAACAGCCACTTACTATCCGCGATGCTCTGAGCTCGAATCTTATTCGTCAGGATCCTAGAGATGACTCGTGTTCGAGTCTACAAAATCCATGTTCAACCTCCTTTGATAAAATGACAACAAAATTGAACCCACATTTGGGTCATTGCCTTCATCGGAATCGTCGTCATCGACATCGCCATAAACCATAGTGTTCTCTCCCGACGATTTCTCTCTATCATATCGCACCTACACCATCCATGGTCAGCCAAAGTACGAACAGCAAAAACGAAAGAAAAGCATATAACTCACATAGACAATGTAAACTCCCGGCTCCAGTTCCATTTCGACAGACAAGCTTCGTGACTGGAACGGGTCGTGCTCCGAGATTCGTTGAAGAGGTACCAACTCTCCCAGTTTCACGACAGCAAAGTCCATGGTGACATCTGCCGTCTTCTTGATGCTTCGGAACGGGCGCTCGTTGATACGAGAGAGGGTAAAGATGGCTTTGGTCTTCTCCGGAACTTGGACAGAGTCTGACATGCTTCATTTAGAACTGGGTTTGGAGCAGGCAAAAGGTAAACTTACATGACAGTGTTCCATATGAAGGAGCCCTAGGTTCAGTGGGAACTGGAACTGACATCCACGAAGAAGCCATAATCCAAGTATCGTCGAACAGGAACGTTCTTTCAACGTCCGCGAAAGAGTCAAGGAAGTCCTTGTCTTCAAAGTACGCCATGTCAGTCAATCACGCCAATTTCCAACCAAAATCTTCACGACTTACATTCCATGACAAACTGGCCATCATCCCCAAACGTATGTCCGAGTTCGGGGAGAACCTGCAACCATTCCGGTGTCCACTCCTTCGATCCATCCGACCACGCTCCCTTCCATTCGCCCGTACCCCAGGGATTACGAACGATAACGAAACGCTTTCCGCGAGTCTCGACCGCTCTCATGATAGAGTAGGCATGATTGCCATACAGTCCTTCGACATCTGGGCTTTGACCCCACCAATCATCCTCAGGTGCGCGCAACCTTTGGAAGCTACAGGCCAAGACACGATCTTTGTTGGCCATTAGCAACTCCTCCTTCCAGAACTTGTCGATATCCAAAATGTCCTGTGGTGGTAACTATCGTCAGCGAGTTCACGCCAGGCGCAACATGTCGAGGTGCCCACCTTGATTAGGAACACAGTGGATACACCACTAACCCAAATGAAACCCGTCAGTGGTTCTGCCGAGCTCACAGATAAAAGACCAACGCACCCAGTCAAGTCCTCCACACCCTCACAAGTATACCCTCCTTCGAGATGGGCAAAATTACCATTAAGCTTCGCATAAGCCTTTTCGATGAGAGGTACCCATGTCTCCCCGTCCGCGCCAGCGCCGGCATAGAGGAGGTGGGCGCCACCCTTGAACCCCCTTCGGGCGATCTGGTTGTACCGGCTCTTGTCCTCGTGGTAGGTCAATTTAGCCTGTTGCGTAAGCTCCTCGTATTTCGGGATATTCGTGAAGAGCATACTAGAGCGTTCTCGTCAGCCCGTGTCTCCGAACTAGACAGACAAGCGTCCTCACTCGTCGATGATGACACTGTCCCAGCCATTGTCGCCATAGAAGATGAAACCGTACACTCCGACTTCCTCGTCCCTCTACAACCCCCAGTGGTAAATCGTTTGGACCACGATGTTGGAAGAAAGGCCTACTCACCGCCACGCAGACTTTCTCAATTAGGCCAGGCATTGTAGACACCGTCGCCAGCGCCGACAAGAACCAACAATCACCGAGACCACCCTGGCGAATCGAATTGGAGCTGACAGCGCCGCCGGGAGGGAAGAACAGTGGTTTATCAAACAACTGAGTGACGCGCTGCACGTCTTGCGCGTTGGCTGTCTCCGTGAACTCGGTATAACCGTGCAGACATCGAATTTGATCATATTCAAGGTCAAAGTCATGGTCTCTGCTATGGGCGGTATAGCAAACGTCCAGCACGGGACCGCTCCATGTCACCACCGCGCAGGTCTCGGTCGCGTTCAGTTGAAAGGGACAGGAGGCGTCGAGGAGCAAGCTATTCTCGTTCCAGGTCTCGCTCTGTTCAATAGCAGAATCGAGCTCCTTCGTGACCAAAAGCCCAGGCCTCTTGGGCGCTGTTTCTTCAACTTGAACTTGCTTGCGCTTCTTCGCAGCTGCCGCCTTGCGTCGCTGTCTCTTGTTCTTCGCGTTGGGTGCCATAACGTGGGTCGTCGACGTCCAGCGAGTGGGTGGATAGAAATAAAGAAGGAAGATGGGGATCTACGCAGATCCAGCTCTGGGTTCCCGTCAATACATTTATATTCCCAATGTCAGAACCGTGATGGTAACATCGCCAGCGGTGCACTGGCATGGGCCCACCAGTGAGAGACAAAGGCAGTGAAGCAACGTGTTCTTCGCCGGCGCTGTCCCAAGACGGGCATCTCTGTCATTCTATACGTCTGGAAGACGACAAGCTGACTCCGATCTTTCGTGTGTGTCCAACAGCGATCGCGATGATCACGGTGCAAATCAAGCCCCACGAAAGGAACCCAACCTTTGCTCTGAATCAAGCGGAGTCGTTCGGAGCTGAAACGGCCTCCTTTGCCGACCTCAGACAAAGGTGTCGGCCTTCCCTTTTTATTGATCCGGCTTATCAACGGCAAGTTACGGCAAAGGCGATCGAATGGGCGCTTAATTTAAGCCTTGGCGCACGCCCACAAATTCGCGCCCATTCACCGAGACCGCCGGAAAATTGAAATCCTGGCGTCAACATACATGTACACACTTGTATACACCACAAGAGCAGAACCCTGAGTACATCGTACATCGAGGTTCGAGTACATACTCCCGGTACTCCCAGAAAACAGCACTTTCTTCCCGAACCGGCTATGAAAGCATCTGCCATGGGAGCTCCTCTGTATCCGTTCAGTACCCCCCAATTCTCGATCTATACACTGAACCGCGTGTGCACACCTCACACCGCAGTTGATCAGAAGCTAAGTATAAACACAAAGACCAAAGTAGACACCAGCGCCCAATTGTGAGAAGCCCGAGGAACCCTCTACTTAATACAACACTAAACACTGAACACCAAACGCCAGCGCCCGTCTATCCGGCCGCTCAAAATTCCAAGACCGACGATCTCCATGGAGGACATCATTGAACATTAAAAAAATGCTCTAATCGATATCAACAATCAAATCTACATTTACATCTGGACTACTTGAACTGCGTGGTGGGGTAGTGCATACACAACAAATCAGCATGAGGCATACAATCGCGAGAACGCACAAATCAAACGAACTATGGACAAATGACAAACACTACGGACGATCATGAAGAAACGGGTACTAGGTAGGTCCGATATATGGATGAGGCTAGCGTCAAAGGAGTGCAAGCCTAGATCTAGAACTATGGTAGCAATGGAATAACACAACCAAAACCTGGAGGAGCAGTTAAAAGAGAGTCAAGGAAGGACGCCATGATACATACATGAAGGAGAGGTCAGAGAAAAATCTAGAACGACCAAACATCAAGAAAGAAAGAAAGGACCCGCCATTCAAAACCAATCCAAGAGTCAGCAAATCAACCCTCAGAAACACAACAACCTCCTCAAAACACCTCTCAAACCACGTCGAGGCTTGTCCTCCCGCTTCGTACCATTCTCCTTCCCCTTCTCCACAACTTTCTCCTTTCCCTCAGTCTCAACCCCCTCCTTCTCCACCTTTTCCTCCTTCTCCACTCCATTCCCCCTCTTCACCTCCCCACCACCCGCCCTACTACACCCACCAAATTCGAAACGCCATCCCACCACATCCATTTGTGCGTTCACATTTTCGATGGATCGTTGAAGTTCGTCGTAAACCGCGTCGTCATATTCGCATTCGCATGTCATAAAAAGAAAAACCGCAATAAATCGAAAAAAGAGGAATAAATCAACCAAAGTCCATACGTATCGCGTGTCGTTTCGTTTCGTTTCGAGAGTGCGCGTAGAGGAGAGGGCGAGAATGCGCGTAGAGATTGAGGAGAGAGGCGAAAGGCCAAGGGCCACACAAAATACATCATAAAAAAACACGATGAAAAAAGAAAAACTCGTCAAAAAAATCTATCAACAAAGAATCATCAAAAGAAAAAGTCCCTACAGGTTCGCTTTAACCTCCACCTCCTCCTTCTCTCCCTCCTGCCCCTCCTGCCCCTCGCCCTGAGGCGTAGGCCCATTAACCAACCCCAACATATGATCCACAACCTCCTGCGGAGTCGTAACATGCCACACCGCAAGCGTCCTCTTACTACTATGACCCACAGCAGTAGTAAACACCGCCTCAGGCTTAATAGCAAGTTCAACAGGCGGTTGGTTGCCACCCTCAATCAACGTCACAGAAAGAGGCGCTTCCATCTTCACTTGGGTCGTACCGGGAGGGAAGAGTTGGAGTGCGCGGAACATGTCTTCGTCGGTCTGGAGGGAGGGGAGTTAGGAAGGAAGACGCGATGCAGAGGTCGAGGAAAGCGTACCTTGTCGTCACCAGCACAGAAGATAAACTCCGCATCGGGGTTCTTGTACAAGATCCTCTTCACAATCTCGCCCTTGTTGACAGCAATCGGTCGAACTTCCAAATTCTTCTTGCCAACGAGGACTATACAATTCAACAAGCCCATCAGCCTTCACCCTTCAACACCTCAACGGAGGGTACGCACCTTCGATCGGCCTCTTGTTAGCCAAGTTGTTCTCAAGGAGATCCTGGCACTGTCGGCACTGGAAGAGACTACAAAACCGTCCAATCAGCATGACATCCCCTCACCACAAACGACAAAAACAAGGAAAGGACATACCCCCACTCAGGATCAGCCCCGCGATAATGCCACGTAATCGAGCTCTTCTTCACTTCAATGTGCGAGCCTTGCGTCCTCTAAAAACCCCAAAACAACCAATCAGTTACCCTCCAAAAAGAACTAAGTAACACCGAATCAAACGCACCTCAGTATAATACTTGAAAATCTCCTCAACCTCGCTCATCCAACTCATATCCAAACTAGCCGTAAAGTTCACCCACTCCGCCGATCCCCTCTCCCTCACAAACGCTCCATGCTCAGCACTAAACCCAACATTCTTCAAATGTCCAAGGTGTTGCTCAAGGAACGCGCCATCACGGCCAGAAATGATGTACACCAGATTCTTGGGGTCCGCAGAGAGCCGCTCAAGAGCTTCGAGCACGGCTTCAGAGGGAACGGCCATGGAGGGCGTTTTGACGATCGGCGAGAGGGTGCCCTGTCATCATCGTATAAAGGTCAGTTACCGTAGTCCGAATGGATAGAGAAGGAGAGAGGGTAAACGCACGTCGTAATCAAACAAGAACAACCTCTTCTCCGCCTTGGCATACAAACTCTCCAACTGGTCCTTGGGAATATAAGGCGTCTGCCTCGCCAATCCCTGCATACCCATCTGCTCGAGCAACATCTTGGCCAAAACAGCAGCCCAGCTGTGAGAAGTGTGCGTCGTGACGACTTTGTAGAGCTTTTCGTGGCGGCGGGCCTTTTCTTCGTCGGACATCAAGAGGCCTTGGTTGATAGCGGCGGCAACGTCCTACAACAAGAAAGGGTGAGATGAAATTCATGATAAAGGGATAGGTCGAAGAAAGGAGAGATGAATCGGACTGCAAGGCCCAAAAGCAATGATGCTCCCATACAGGGATGGATGCATCAAAGAACGGCGTCTCCTCCACAATAAAACACCCCGTAGGATGTAGGAAGAACGACCTCTTCCTCCACAATCGATAAAAAGAACGACCCACTCACCCCAAGATTCCAAGGATTAACCAACAACGCATCCTCCATCGTCTTACTAATACCCATAAACTCACTAAGAACACTCGGGCTCTTATTCGTATTATTCTGCGCAATCACAAACTCCATACTCGTCGTGTTCATCCCATCTCGGAGGGGAGTGATCACCGCGAGATCAGCGACGCTCAGCAGGGCGTAGAATTCGTCCTTTTTGAGGGTTTGGTGGCTACATCATCGCGGGCAACGAGTTAGCTTTGGCGGTGGGTGTGGGAGAGAGGGAGGATACGCACTAGTGATGGACAGGCACAAAGTCCAAGCTTCCGTATTCACCGTTGATATGAGCGACGATCTCGCTGACGAGACGCTCAAGTTTGGGCGAATCGGTCAACGCAGGGCTCGTCACTTGGATCATCACAACGTTGCCGATCCATTCAGGGTAATCTTGGAGCAGCTTCTCGAACGCACGGAGCTATCAAATGGGAGGATGGATCAGCGATCTACTGGGGATGTATGAAGGTAAGACGTAGACAAACCTTTTGAACAACACCCTTCACGACGTCCAACTTGTCCCGGCCAACGATAATCTTCTTGCCTTCATACAAATTGCGCAAAGCCTCAAGTTTAGGCTGAATGCCAGGTCGTTGGCTAACCCCAAAACAATCAGTCCAACATCCAAATTCCACAAGAAGGATAAACCACATACATATCCCTCGCCACACGCTCAGCATCAATACCAACAGGACAATGCATAACAGCAGTCGTATGCCCATCCACATCAATCCCCCTCGAATTCGACTCATATCCACAAACACGGATACACGTCGAAATGAAATGCCTAGAATACGAGTAGGTCTAAAAATAGAACCATCGCCAGAGTCAGCAAAAAAGGAACTCGAAGAAAGGAGAGGGCATGCGTACCTGGAAGCAGACGAGGTTGGCGCCAAGCATGCCGTCGAGGATTTCCTTTCGACCTGTGACGTCATAAGGTCAGTTCATTGTCGGGAATGAAATCATAAAATCTTCCAAGGAATAGGGGTGAGGATGAATGGTAATGGCAGGCGGGCAACGAATAAGCGGAAGGGGGATGATGATGTCGATGATGTTGAGGACGGAACAGACGAAGGGAACCTCGAAGACCGAGGATCGTCTGGTGGTCCAGACCCCCATGTGCTAATGAGCGAAGCCATGCGATGACTCGAACACCCCCGGGAGACAACGGGAAGACATCTCGACACTACATACATCCCTCCGCGAATCGACACGCATAATAACGAGAACTAGACACGGCGATTCCTCGTCGCAAGAACCTCGGCGGGCTGTCAGAAGTACAAGCACGCCAAAGTGCAGGGTAGACAACAAAAAAACAACGGATGCATGTACTCACGAGGAAGGCATCTAAAGACCTCGCTACTCGGGAAGGGTGTGTGCATGAAGAGGCCCAGAACGACGTCAGGGATAGATTCACGAATGAGTCTGGTCGGGGGGTATCGTCAGCAAACCATACACCCTCCAGGAGGCCAATCCAACACTTACTTTGGAAGCAGCAGCAAATGGTAATCATGCACCCAAATCAAGTCACCAGGCTGGTACACCTCCGCAATGCGCTGCGCAAAAGCGGCATTGGCAGCTTCGTAGTAAGGGTAATGCGAGTCGGCAGAGGCGTACTCGGTCGCCACGTCCTGCCAAAGCAGGTAATGGAACAACGGCCACAGCGCTACACAAAGCCAAAAAACCCATCAGCCTAATCTTCAAAAAAACAACCAAAGCAAACCCCTTACTCGTTTTACAATACCCATCATAATGCCCATGGGCAACCTTGTTATCGAGCCAGACAGGGACATAGGTCGTATTCGAATGGTGGTCCGTATCCCCATCCTTGCCCGCATACTCCTTCAGGGCCTCCTCCAGCGCCGCACGCTCCTCCAGCGACACATTCGCAGAGGGAACCTTGTCCGCCGAGGTATTCGTGTTGCTCGCGTTGGCGTTGGCGCCAGGGGTCAGAATGTCGCCCGTCCAGCCCACAATGAGCTGCTCGTGCGTCGCGGAGAGCGACATGATCCCCGAGACCATCGCAGCGTGGCCGTAGCGGGGTCCGACACTCCATACCGGCTTGGACGAGGGCGTCGCGGGCTGTTGTTGCTGGGCGGGTGCGGCGTCGGGGGAGCTGCTGGCGGCGGTGGAGTTTTCCTCGAGCGGGGGCGTCGGGGGTGCGCCTGACCTGGGCTGCGCGGTGTTGAGGGTCGCAGTGACGGGGAGGTAATGGACGACGTGGATGATACGCCCCGAGAGGGGGACACCGTTCTTCCTATGCTCCTCCTCGAGACGCTTGATGTTCTCGTGGACCTGTTCGAGGGAGATGTCGTCGCCTTCGCGGGTGTATGGCTCCGAGAACGAGTCCATGACAGTCATTGTGTTCTGGGATGTAGTGGATGGGTTGGGCTGAAGAGTGGACTGGATGGATATTTGTAGTAGATCAAGAAAAAGTAATCAGCTATCGCGATGCACCAATAATCGTCATGGTTGTCCAGATTTGGAAACCAGGATGCTTCACCCACATCACTTCCCACGCATTCCGACGTCTGTCCGTCACATTCCTCCCCTCTCCGATATTACGGCGAACAACCTACAACGTTCGAAAAACACATTCTAGTCTCCCGAGAAGTAACATAGAAGAATATCCATGAATATCGTCAACAAAACTGTCGATGAACGTGTCTCCCCCTCCACCCTTTCTGAATCCTTATCTTAGCGCCGGTACCCGAAAAGTTAGATTACCGCCCTCATCACATTCGTGAAGAGAGAGAGTGTGGCCTATTTCCATCGCAAATCACCCATGTCCTGCCTATTCAAGCCCCCTTCACAAAATTGACCGTCGACGCCAATTTACGTCCAATCACCTATCAAACAAACGCCGATAAGCACCTCCAAAACGCCGTCCCCGGGCCTTGCCTCCCGAATTCAGTGACTCGCCTATCTCGTTCCCCCTTGCCTCGAGGTTGAAGATGCCTCTTTGAGAATGAATGGCCTTGAGGATGCCGGCCGTCTGCCATCACGTTCATTGCCCATCGACATCGTCGATACACACACCCTCTCAGCAAGGACTACGCCCTGCAACATACCGGCCCACTCAAGCCTGACAGCCCTGACGTATGCACGCACCACAAACCCAAATGTCAATGAAAAAAACTTCCTTTCCTTTCCTTCCATGGAGAAACACCGACCCTCGATAGCTCCTTTCGCCCAATCAGGCGACGAGGCCTTGATCTTGACCACATCGAGCTCAATCCGACCTTCTTCTCGAGCTTTACGAGAGTTACTCCACCATAAGCTTTACAAAACGAGTCCTCCATAAGTTGACGAGACTAGTTCTTCAGAAATTTTACAGACTTAAGTTCTTTAACGCTACATTACATATAGATTCCACCCGACCCTCCAGGGGACCAATTTTCCATCTCCCGGAAACAGGATGGAGGCTTCCAACATCATATTTATGGGACCACAGAAGGGACGATGTTAGAACATGAATATGAAATCAGCCAGGGTTCTCCGTGCGGCAACCAAGCGGCAACCTGAGTTCATTGCGGACTTTGCCTCACCTTCCTTCCATCAACAGTCCCTCACCTTCCTTCTATCAACAGTCCCATCCTTCCAATAGAAACATCCCCCTCCCCATCCAACCTCCAAGCGAGCTCAAAGAATCAACCCCATTCTCCCAACCCCAATCGAACAACCCCAATCTCTCTGAATCATCTTCCATCTTCTATTCTAACCAACTCACCAACCACGACACCGACCCAACCCAAACGCAACACCAACCAAGCATAACCTCGAGTCTGCGCCGTGCGGACATAAAATGGTACACCACTAGCACTAGCACTAAGTATCGCAGCGCCACGACCCCGGGCCCGGGAACCAGTTAAGTACCACACTCACACTCCCCAAATCTCAGAACCACCACCACCACCTCACGATAAACACACGCACTACGCGATCTCTTCGACTCCCGACTCCGACTCTTCGACGAACAGACCGTCTAGCGGGGTTGACCAACGTTCACAGTGGACCCAAACCTTCCGTAGGAGAATCATGGCAGCAGAACCGCGAACACGCTGAGACCAATCGAAAAGGGGGTATGTAGTATGTACTACTTATACCCATCGAAAGGAGTGAGTCAAGTTACGAGCCCTAGCACGTCATGAAAAAACGGATCAAGATGATCGAAAGGGGCGACTGTGGTCGATGAAGCATCTGGCACACCTGAATTTGTGGAACACGGGCATGAGATAGATTAGAGAAAAGAAAACCAAGTCAGCGTCGTATCCTCAATACCGTAAAATACAAACAAAAAATCATTATCATCATCCTTTGCCTTTCCATCCTTTCGCGAAACCAAAAATTGAACGCTCATAATCCTCAAGCCTTGACACAATCCAACGCCTCCCGAATCCTATACTCCCAATACCTTCACAAAATCCTCAATCAGTACCAACAATTCAAAAACCAAGCACTACCAAAAGAGAACCACTCACTTCTTCCTAACGGTATCCAACTCCGCACCCAACCTCTTCCACAACCCCACCGCTTCGAAAACACTCTCCTTATCCCCCCTCCTCTCATACGCATCCGCCAAAAACTCCACAGCAGCCACGCAAGGAAGATCCGCACCTTCCCCAGGCCTCGGATTATCCAAATCCACCACATCCGCGGCGGTGGTAGGCGTGGATGGGTTCGCAGGCTCAGTGTACGGCTTGACAAACTCGATGAGCGTCGAGAAGGGGATGTTGGAGTGCTCGAGGATACCACGGAGGTAGTTCCATGCGGACGCGTTGTTAGGTGCGAGGGAGATACTTTGTTTCGTGAAACTACCCGAGGAAGCAGTCAGTCAGTCAGTCAATCAATCACCGACCCCCAAAACGATGAAGACAGGAGGAAGAGGAAGAAGAGAATCAATCACAACTCACATCAACTCCCTCTTCACAACCCTCTCCCTCTCCTCCCCACCCCTTAGCCTCCCACTCTCAAAAACCACAAAAAACCGATGATGCCACGCCGAATTATTCCTCACATCACGTCCCAACATCTCCTCCACAAAATCCATCTCCCGAATCCACATCTCCTCCACCTCCTCCTTCCTCTCCCCCTTCTTAAAATCCTCAGCTTCACTAAAATAGGCTAAAAGCCACTGCCGGTAGGACCAGGTATGGTAGTTTTTGGCGTCCTCGGCGAGACTGCGCGTGATGAACGCCAGCTCGGCTGTGGGCGTGCGGGTGTGCGTCAGGAGCAGTCGGCGGTGGTGCCAGACTTGGTAGGATTTGAGGTATTTGACTGCGAGTTCGTTCATTAGGGTTACTTCGGCGTCGAGCGGGGCTTTGATCGCTAGGAGGGTGTCGTATCTGTATTGCCTGTGCGCCGGTCATTGTCAATCAAACTGAATGAGATTGAGTCGTGGAGAAGGGGAGACGCACCATGCAGAGTAGTGCCCTGGGTTCATACGGATGATCGCCTCGGTGAGCTCAAGCACACGAGGACTCTTCTCCCCGCTCTTCGCTATCGCGCGAAAGTAGTCCGTCGCGTCTTTATCTGCAATCCTTTGTATCACAAACCGCTCAATCCAACTAAACACAAGAGAAGAACTCACATTCAGGCGTATACACAATAGGCGCAATAGGGTTCATATTCTCGTACTGCTCCAGGGGTACAACGTCCGCCCACTCCGGTCGCTCAGAGAAGAGCTTGGGCTCACTCCCAGCATCAGACTTGTCGTCGAACATCGTGATCCTCTCGTCTCGTATTCAGCCGTCTATCCTGTGGTTGTCCTCTCAGTTCACTTCACAGGGCGTCGTCGTCGTCGTTCTTCCCTGTCCTTGCTTGGTCGATTAGCCGCGAGGTCGAGGTCGTGGTCGCCGTTCAAAGAATCGACAGGGTAATGAAACAGCAGTCAAAGCAACAAACGGCCCCACCACACAAAAAGGTGTCACACTTATAAAGAGGGCGGAGGGTAAACCAGACTCTGAGACGAGAAACGAGAGAACAATAAAGACGAGAAACCAAACGGGAGGGGCTAAGCTTATTCGCGATCGTGATCATCGTGGATGGGGGAGAGATCGGTAGGTGTGGCTGTGCTAGCGGCGGCATGTGATCTTGATGCCGGTGGGATGGGCTGGGGAGTCGCGAGTTCGAATCTTGCTCGCGCCGGCGGCGGCGGGGGTGGCACACAGGCCAGAATTGCGGTTGGGAGAAGAAAGAGACTGGGGGGATAATGGTAGTTGGCAGTAATTTCGAGAAAATATGCGGCCCGGTAGTTATCCAAGGGTGTAATGATTTCATTCGATCCTGTCAGTCAAACTTTCGGGGAAGGTGTCCAAATCGACAATGTTACGTGTGGATCTTTGTATGTAAGGGCCTTGGCCCGAGAGATCTTTGTAGCCAAAGATTACCTATCTACATGAAGCCGGTCCGCACCATGTACTGTGGATGGCATCGTGATACCCCGTCCCGCGCTAAAGTTAGCCAGCAGGATAGGCGCCCAGGATGCCGCGTACATGTACAGCCATGACGAGAATGAACGCCTCCCATCGTCCAATCTGTCAAGAACACGTTATTCCACAAATTTATTCGGATGTCAACTAATACGGATAGTTCAATGTTCTACTCCTACAGTCTCCAGGACAAATCAAACAAACCTACACCCAGGGCCAGCCCTAGTACTAAACTCGTAAAAACTTCAAGGGAACGTCAAAATATACTCCTTCATCTGCTGTTCCCAACTACAATACGGCAGTCCATTCGTCTTCCCCTTCCCCGTCCCACCACAAATCTGCTCCAAAGAGAACCTAATCCTCCTAAAGATACGCGCCAGCGTATCCCTCGTATGTTGATCCCGCTTTTCCAGTCCCCGGTCGACGAATAACCGCCTAGGAAGGCCTGACACCAGAGTAATAGTTGATTTGGGGAGATTGTCGGGTAGCTCGTCTCGCAGATTAAGACCGTTCAGAAGCGCCATCTCCCCACCCTTCTGCGGCTTGACGAGACCAAGCCCATTCGAATGAATCGAATCCAACGCCGGCACATCATTCAATCCCACCAGACTATTCAACGCCTCCAACCTCGCCGGACCCCGCCTCCGCCTCTCACCCCTCCTAACCCTCCCACCCGCAGCGCCAGTAGCCACGACTTCCAACGCACCCTCCACATTCCTCCTCACCTGCTCAAAAACCGCCGAATCTGTCCTAGTAAGCTCATGCAACAAATGCCAAGTCGCATTAAACGCGATATACCGAAGCCTCGAGTAGTAGTGCACCATCGAACCAGGCGTCCCACAAACGACAGGACAATCGGGGTTCGGGCACCCAGGTGGGTTGACACCTGTAACTGGATCCTGGCATTTACCGTGGAAGAAGGATGGGAAGATCGCCTTGCGGAGCCAGGTTTGTTTTTGGTTGTCGTAGGCGGAAAGAAGGGGCTGGAGGTACTCGGTTGGTGGTACGGGCGAGTTGCCGGAGAAGAATTGGGTGTCGATCTGGTCGGCCTTTTGGGGGAGACTGGGGGTTTAGTATTTTTAGTGCTAGGCGAGATGAAGATGGGAGCGTACGAGATCGTAGAAAGTGAAATGAACGGGGATTGTGTAGTTTCCATTGAACACCCTGGTGACGGCGTCCATGCAGTCTGACTCGCAGGCTGCAACGCGTCGTGTCGTAAGAGTAATCACAAAAAGTGCACAAAGGGCGGTGTACATTAAATCGCGTAGCATGTTAGAATAAGGAGCGGAAGGTGAACGACGAGGATGTAGTGATGAGGGAAGAGGTGGGGAGGCAAACATCCCGCGCGATCGAGTAAGGGAAGGAAACCTGACAAAGCGACGCGGTGTCAAATATGGTCACACAGTTACTTATGTATAATGGGGGTCGAGAAACCGATTGAGGTCTTATACTAGGGAGGCATGCGCTGAGTGCTAGGCAGGACAACTTCCTTTCTCCCCACCTAGAAGCCATCTGACTGCCGAAAACGGCACGAGCGCTCGATGGGCGCTTGGACTCGGACAGGCGTGGGAATAGCGCTCGTGCGACCCCCAACAATGATTCAGATCGACTGTTAAGCTCTGCCGTTATCTAATTCCCAGGTTGGAATACCTTTTCAGCAACATCGCATTTCTTCGAAGCCGCAATCCATTCTTCACAGCGTTAGATCCTTCAAGTACACAGTGGTAGCTATCTCCACTCTCTTTCGTGATTGAAGTATCCTAAGTTTACGATAAGCGCCCGAATACGTGCACAAACTTGGACGAAAGCAAACCTCCAAAGGTTTCCGAGCCAAGTGTACATCGAAGGTTGTTATCGAAGATCCATAAGCTCCCCATGTGCTGAATCCTGTCCATACTGCTGCTGCCGGGATTGCATGACCTCCCAATTCCCCGGGGACTCGCTCGAAGCAGACTCAGACTCCCTCCTCCAACTCCTCCTAGGCGACTCCCTCAACCCAATCTCTATCGACGAATCATCCTGTCCATCCGACCCACTACTAGCCGGCCGCTTCCGCCTACACTTAGACACAACACCCAAAACGGCGATAACGAGAGTGGGAATCCCCAATCCCAATCCAACGCCCAACGCGATCTTGTCACTTAGCGAGATCCCTTCTTTCTCCGAGTCTGTAGCGCTTTTTATAACGACGGTGGTGGGGAGGAAGTATGTGTGAGTGTGGGTTGTACCACCGGAATCGACGGATGCTGATAATGAAGTCTGGATTCCTGGGTGATAAGGGAGCGCTCATTGTTAGGTCATCTTGTTGATATACATGATTGATTGGGATCCTCACCTCCGCTAATATCCGAACTATGCGACGAGGCAGGAGACGTCGATACCGGGGACGATGAAGGTGTAGGAGATGATACGAGGCCTGAAATCCTTTCTGTGCTCGTTCGAGGGGTAGTCTGACTCGCCGCTGCGATAGGACTACCACGAACACCCAACGCCGTAGCCGCCCACTCCGCCGATCTCGCAGGTAGATCCACATCCCTGCACTGCGGCAACGCCTTCGCCGAATTCGGGCTCACAGTCGCCATGAGATAACTTCCCGACGGCGGTCCCGGCCCCGACCCACCACCAGAGAAACCCCGATACTCCTCCTGCACCAACCCACGCTCGTTAAAATAAACACAAATATCAGCCCTCCTCTCCCCACCCAAATCAGCCAAACTAAAACAGACACAAGCAGCCGTCCCACTGCCAACCACATTTCCCTGCAGCCGTACCCCCGCGCGGTCGTAGATAACCATGGTATCAGGCGCGTCTTTGTAGACGGACATCGCTGTGATGCACCGCGCACCAACGTCCCATTCACGATTTTTGGTCGTCTGCGTCCCGCTTCACTCCCACAGTTTAATCACTTTTGCTGCTGTAAAGCGCCTCGACCACTGTTGTTTCTGACATATGGTAGTCAGTGATGTTTATCTCTATCTATTTGATGTTTCAGAAATCCCGATATTTCTCAGGTCGAGGACTAGGAATTAAGCGCCCAGATGCCATGGGTGTGAAGATAAGTTCTCCCTTCCTCCGATGCTGTTAAAAGACTCGTATTTATATGCTAACATCCAGTTTTCTCAGAAACACATCACCTTCTGTTGCACTCACATCCATCGAGATGAGCTACCTCTCTAAATCATTCTTTGTCTTTTCCACTCTTTTCGTTCAATCTCTCCTTCCCGCAGCCAACGCCCAAGGCCTGGATATTCCCCAGAACGGGCTAGTCACGGACGAAACAATCGGCTATGAGCCACTCTGTGGCACCCTCGGCGACAACACCTACACCGAATTCGAATGGGACGTCGGCGCACGCTGCATCACCGCCATGTCCGTCTTCAAAGACGCACCCGAGACCGTCGTCATCTACGACCGCTCCGGCGTCAAGCTCGAGGGTAACGTCATCGGCGGGCTCAACGCCGTACCCGTCTGCGTGTGCTTCTCCCTTGCGGAGAGGACGGAGACGTACAATGCCGACATTTGCATCTTCCACAACGAGCAGGGGAAACTTGAAAGCGATTTTGTGGGGTTCAGTGCCCCGCCTGGTTCTCCGCCGTCGGGCAGTTACTATGTCTTGTCGACGTTGAGCCCCAACTCAACCAAGGCGCTGCCCCAGTGCAGGAATGTGGACTTGCCCGCGAGGTCGGCGGAGTGGACGGCTACAGCTGCGGGCATTCGTTCCAGCGTCGCCCCAGCTGAGCCAGGGAGCCAGACCAGTATCTCCAGTGGAGAGGGCAGCGGCACACAAACATCTCTCTCGCCGAGTTCCTCCAGCGCCTCGGCCGACGATGATGACGACCCTTCCAGTGGCTTCCGTCTGGGGATGAGCTTAACCCTCGCGTTCACCACCTTTTTGGTCGCCATCTCCCTCTAAAGCCCAAGAACGCATCTATACTCACCACTTTCCGACTATTCCAGACTACCCTCTTTCAAAAACAACTTGTTACTTCATCGTTTCGCCTTTCCATCATACTATATAGTGGTAGCATCGTGTGTTCGTCGTAAATCATCGTAAACGTAGTGCCACTGTAGTAGCATCTAAACGCGGTCAGCGACCCAGCGAGCAGCCTCTTCGGCATCCTAGATGTACCCATTAGCCGACAGGACCTATAATCAATGCCACGATGAAGGACGTACGTTATGATATTCGAAATGAGGAGGAAGCGGAAGATGCACGCGCTCGCAAATTAAATCCCCATTACGACAGAAAGTCTTCCGCCTCTGCTCAAGCGTTCCGGGGAGGGCAGTATCCTTGTACGGGTCGCCAAAGGTGACTACCCCCGTGACGCGGTCGAGATCCTCATCTGAAAGTTGACGAGCAGCAAGGTGGGTCACCTGGGCGCCTTGGCTGGAAGACGGGAAACAACCATTGAGCACCAATCATCGAGCACCAGTTTTAACCAAGTGTAGTTTGAACTCGTACCTATACCCAGACATGAAAATCTTCGCATTCGAACATTGGCGGACAGTCGTCGTAACCATATTCGCCATCGTTTTGGCACCCTCAGGATCACCCCCGATGAGATATCCAATCAACCCAGCAGCGTAGGGCACGCCAGTGAATTCCACAGATTTCTCTGGAACGAGCTTGACTAGCGCATCCCTGAAAAACGGAGCAATCCTGTCGCCTAGAGGTGCAGGAGTCTCAGTCGTCCCTCGCACGAAAAAGACGTAGACATCGCTGCAGGTGCCTTGTCTCGCTTCAAGACCAATTGGGGCGGCGAAGGTGGTGGCACCGCCGAGGGCGAGGGCGACGAGGGCGGAAAACTTCATGACTGTTCGTAGCGCAAGTCGTGAAGTTAGGAGGGAGCCAAAGAAGCTGAGAATCATGTCACGGCGATGAAGGTCTTATAGTCTACACATGTCGCACGACGAAGAAGCAGCAATTCCCCATTCGCGAAATCACAGAGCATTGTACCAGGTCTCGAGACCTGCGGATACCATCTGCTTCGGGAAGGAGGTGCATGTTCACGGATTCAGTAAGGATTGGCTTGCCTGTGAAAAGGAAATGTAGTTCTCACCACCATTCGATTGAGAAGCCCATCTCCTCGTCATGAACAACGAGCCGAACGCAAGCCAGTGGAAGAGCACGCCAGAGAGTAAGATGGCGACTTGATGAGAGGCGAGGCAACGTCGAGTCCGAAGAGGCTTTCAGTCATTGCTGAAGATGACGGTGACCAACAGACAGCCTGCAGATCCATGGCCAAGGAGAAAGCTGGCTGAACGTGACAGCATGGCTCACATTGTTACAGTCCCACCTGGGAAAGCTCCTCAGGAACCAAACTCTCGGGATGACGAAATGGGCCATGTCACATCAGAAAGCTTACCAATCACTTTTTCCCACTTGCACAAGCTCCCTCAAGCCGCGGCAAGCCAGAAAAGTAGAAAAGTGAAAAGTGCAAAAAGACACGTCTACTTTTTGGAAAAGTGCAGTCGAGAATAAAGCGGCATACACGGACACTGTCATTGCGCATCCCCACCAAGGTGTACCAATAAAATACCGACTGCTTTAGTTGAGACAACCTCCGTACTGATTCCAGCCGTCACCGGAGCCTCGTTATGTTCTCTGTAACAGTCGTATATTGTGAGATGTCGTTGAGAGGAAATTGACGAATCAAACAATATATTCTCTTGAGAAAAATTGGACAGACTTAAATTTTCTTTGATTTTCGGTCGCCCAGAGGGTATATGAGTCAGATTGAGATGGACTACCTTGACAAAACCGCAGCTACGTGCATGCAAGGAGCGAGAGGAGGAGGCGAGGTGACGCGTTTGACGCCGGTGCCGACTTGCCGACTTGCGGACAGTGAAAAAGCCGGAAATGTGCGAAAGTAATGTGCGAAATTCCCGATATGATGGGACTCACAGTGAACTTCCTGCCTCTCCCCGCTTGGGCTCTCCACGGGCGATGTGCTCGAGTGGCCTATGTACGTGAATCCGACCAGATCCTAGTCGTCTGGACAATAGTTTCTGTGTCGCGAAGGATGATCGTCGAACGAGCTATGCAACTTGAAGCCAAATCCATCGGAACTTGAAAGATCGTCGGACGGACTTCCTGAAATGGTGTACCCCCGAATTCGAATTTACCCCGCATCCCCATACTGCTGGTTCCACGAGGTTGACGTTAGGCAGCCGCCATCGACACAACCCCCCACAAACTGCTGCAATCTCAGTGGATCGACGTCAACTCCCAGCGTCCAACTCGAGGTGAGATCCTGTGCGGAACTTTACCGTTACAAGTACGACCTGCAAGGATCGCACAGACTCTCAGAGATACAGTCCAACGACGCTCAGAGCTGAAAGGACAAGAGTTTAATACAAATCCAACGAATTAATCGATAACAATCCACAACGACGTCGACAAGGAAAGAGTCCATAACTTAGAAAGCATACGACATACTGCTACTACTACTACTACTAGCTAAAATTCTAATCACAAACAAACGTTTAAATCGAACAAGGAGCCCAAAACGAAGGTTGGTAAGTATAGGGGGTATGAAATAGGCTACTTTAGGAATAGAAGTGATAAAAGGGTAAAAGTTATAGAATGGGTGGCGGTTAGAAGAAAGATAAAAAGTGGTCGCTTCTGGGAGTGCGGCAGTCCTGTTTACCAGGATAGACCAGCCGAAATTCAACGTCGATGAAGCCAACCAACATCCAAACCAGTCATCGTTCGCAAACCCTCCGGATAAGCCGTATTGCTCTCCTTCAATAGCGCAGCAAGACGTTGACACACAGCCATAGGATACGAGAGGTATTCAGCTTGAGGGAACCCAGGGTACTTATTCAAGATACTGAAAAAGGTCAATCAGCATCGATCCAACTACGATGTTGACAGACGGACAAAAGGAGAGATCCATACCTTTTGATATCCTTCGTCGCCTCAGCGGGTCCGACGAGCTTGTACAACACTTTCGCTGCAGTTATAGATGCAGTTTTGGGAAGAGCCCGGGCTTTGGGGGTCGTATACGCCAATCGCATGCGTGGTTTGAACAGCCACACCAGAATCCTCGGGCGCTCCTCCTCTTCATCGCGTATCACAAACCGGTACGACGCATGAGCCTGGACAAACTCCATCATATCCTCCACTACGAATGCCGACAGCGGGATCTTGAGCAAGTTGTTACTAGGAACAACCATGTAAGCATCACACAAGCACCAAGGGAAAACATGAGAGAAAGAAGACTCACTCATTCAGGTTCGAAGTGACAGGCCTGATGGCATACTTCAAAATCCGGAAACACGTCGTCGAGCCGGCTTGGGGCTGATCACCCCCGACCTGCCGATCCTGCGACCGCCCAATGACAGCTCCGCACAGACATCGGCACATTTTCCAGTTCTCGTGGATCTATATCCGCGGGAAGCGGTAAGCAAGGAAGGAGGAGAAGAAACGTCAGGATCAGTATCAAGATCAACCATTCCGTTGCCACCAACACCCATCACGAAAAACAAATACGAAAAGGGGCTGATTAAAATCGAAATAAAGGGACAGTGAAAGATGGAATGCATGGATAGATGGATATGCCCACATGTGTAGCCCCCATCACAATGAACTTGGACAGATGAGGGTTGTTTTAGTGGGACTTCGATATAGGACGTTTTGTATCAACCGATGAAGCTGGGCCGGATACGCGCCTTCCACCCGGGCGTGAAGGGTTCGCCCCCAACAAAACCAGCAGGGGCTTCGAAGGGTTCGAGGTTCCCCCACTACCTGAGCCTCAGGACGCGCACCGACTACCAGCCGTTGGTGGGTATCCAACGCCGGTCTTCTTGATCGTCCAGCCAGCAGGCAAAGAAGAGAAAAGCCACGACACGAAAACCGAACGAACAAAAAGATGAATGAAATAGGCACTCACCGTAGAGTTCTGAGGGGCGAGCATGTTCTGCTGCGCCATCACGGCGGCTTCGAACAGGATGTAGCTCCCACCGACGAATGCTTGGTCAGGCTGAGGCCAGAATCCCGCCTTTCCATGCTTGATAACCTGATCATGCAGCTTCTGGTCCGCATGGCACATCCACGCTTCGACCAGTTCTTCCCAATGTTCCGACGGTAGATCGCGATACGACTTGACCTTGTTGGAATAGATGAGGGGGAGGGAGCACGAAGCGCAGAGGAAAGATGTAGGGTTGAGTGTGGATAGTTGGGTGGCATCTAGAAGCGGTGAACTGGAGTCGTCCGGGTCATCGGTCGTCGAGGACGACGGTCGGATAGTCGGCAGCTTGATCTCGAAATGTCCGCTCTGAGCGCGTACTTCCTTCTTCCCGGGTGTCGTCCGTGCAGGGAGCATCAGCGGCAATGATGCATGCAGGCCACTTCGGATGATCAAATGATCACCCCCTTCCGAGTGATGTTCAGGGAAAGGTGGTAACACTTCCGCAGTTAGCTCGACTCCGGGCATCTGTTTGGTGACAGTGAAGAAGACAAGAACGTGATGAAGGTTTTCGTGGTTTTCCGCGACGTAGACAACATCAAAGGCTATACCGTATTAGCAGACAGGCGGAATGATTAACGGAAACAAGGTCACTCACTGCAGTCCTTGTTCTTCTGTTTCGAAGCGGAGCCGCTTTTTGACGATGATATGCTGAGGCTGAGACCAGATTTCGAGTGCCGAAGCCACGATCGAGGTGGGGCTGAGAGGCTGCGGTGTCGACTTTTCTTTGACTCTTCGGGTGGTGGTTCGGGAGGTGGCACTTGAGCGACGAATTCCGGTAGGCTGAGCATGATTGAAGGGTCCTTAAGGAGATCTGAGTCTGGAGGTATCGCTTCTCGAATGAATTCCGGTAGTGTGAGCATAGCTTGTGGGTCTTTGACTTTAGGCTGTAAAACAGCATCCTGTGCATGCATGCGACCAGCGTCTGAATGCTTCAGGAGGCCCTCAACAAAGGCGTCTCGCTAGAAGGATTCGTTAATGAAAATAAACGACCTGGAGGATTCGTAACGCACTTTCGCAAGATCTCGCTCCTTGGCCCTCTCAAGTCTACTTTGCATCCCACCGTCCAAAACGACCGCTTGATCCTTCAGTGTCCGCTCCGAGGCCTTGCCGAGCATCTCCAGGATGCTCTCCAGCTCCCGAACATCCTTCTCCTTCCCCTTCTTCGACCTCGGTGCCGTCGCTGCCTTCCTGGCTTTCTCAAGCTCTGCCAGCCGCTCCATCTTCGAGGTTTTCAGTTCCACGCGTTGGTTGTGTAGCTGTGGGGCAACGAGATAAAGTCTGTCGATAGCCATAGCCACACCCTCCAGGTCAAGGCGCATCTTTTCGTCGTTGATGCGAGTACTGGCTCGACTGAGCGCATCTTCTGCTGCCTTAGTAGATGACTTGTGTTCATCAAGAGATAGTCGACCTGTGCCATCGTATTCGGGGAGCGCCTCCACATCATACAGTTCATCAAAGTCGTACTGCGGTGGAAGGTTTTCCTGGTAGAACCGAGGCAGGCCCTCCGTACGCTCCTTGCACATGGTGACCACGTTCTCCAGCTCTCGGTCGATCTGGGTCCACAGGATAGTCGACTCGACCTCTGAAGGGGTTTGGGACGCAAGTCGGTCGAGTTGGACGTCGTTTAGATGTCGGGTGAGCGCGTCGAACACGTCAATCGGTGGCGGAGCGTTCACATATCGACTTGGGGTACCGGAAGGCTGGGGCGTAGTGCTTGTCTGGATAGTTGACAATCGGTCGAAATAGGAAAGCAGTGTGACAAGAGATTTGGCTAAAGCCGCGTCTCGAGGAGATAAGGTGGGTGACAGCTGGCCTATCCGTTCCCTGAGCTCGAACAGCAGATCGGTGTCCGTCTCTGACGAACGTATTTCGATCATGTTGTCGTCGGGGAGCCGTGTTCGAAGGTTGGAAAGGAGTGTCTGAAGTGCGGATGATGAGGAAGATGCTTCGGGTTGCTGAAAACTGGAACTTCCGGCTGAATTGGGCATAGAATGTCGTCTGTCTGGCACAATTGACCTCCATTGGTCCGAATCAGACTCTAGCAGGTTGTTCAAGGTCATCAAGCACGACCTCTGCAGATTCGATATTGACGGTAGCAGCTCGTTCTGTAAAACAAGACTTTAATTAGCTTTGCGAGGGTTGCTATTGAGATCGACTGACCAGGCCTTGTTCTTTATGTCCCTCGTGCATCTCTTCTTGCAGCGGCTGTGATGATTGAACATCGTCCTCTACACCGTCTGCCTGGCCCTCAAACGGGTTCTCGATACTCCTCTGGATCTCGTGAACAGGAAACGGAGCTGGTACACCCGCCAGCACCGTCGGGGCCGTTTCTTCTGTAGATCTTGGTCTCGTCAACGTCGCCATGTCGTCTCTGTACTCGTTATTCCCCCTGTAGATTCTCGTCCTCGTCGTCCAGTAGCCACAGCCCGTCGAATTGGTTGCTTAGGCTAGTCTGTAGTTCATAGACTTTTTCGTGCCAATAAAGGCAACCTATGAGACATTCAATAACCTTTTCATACAGAAGCTGAAGCCAGACTTACGATAGGAAAGCTATAAAAGCTGATCGTCGTGGTGGTCGACTGTCGATTCGTGATTACTTGTGCCCAGATTCAGGCACGAACGCGTGAGAGCGAATTTAACTCCGGCTTGATGCCTTCCAAATGCCGCCCTCGTGCCGACGGTGAGCGGACATCTCGGTTACCCACTCACCAGGATGGACCTGGGAGTAAAAGTGAGCAGTGAATGAGACAGTGCGTCCCTGTAATCATTGCGCACAACCCGGCTTTTAATAACTCAAGGGAAGGTCGGTAAGGTAAAAAGAAATGGGCGGAAAAGAAACAAATTCTTACACTCAACGGGAATCGAACCCGTGCCGCTTGCTTGGAAGGCAAGCATGATAACCACTTCACCATGAGTGTGTTGCAAGACATGTGAAACGATCTTTACACATGGCCTAAAGGGAAAGGGCCAGTCCTTAGTACCAGCTTGCTCACTGATATGTCTTGGACCTTCACGCACTGAGTAAGGGTGAGAATGAAAGGTGCCTCTGTTTGGGCCGAAGGATCAGACCAAACAGCCACCACCGTTGACGAGATTGCCTCAGGCCTTTTTGACCTCGCACTCGAAGGAAGTCACTGAAAAAGCCTGCATCCAGACGCCTCAGGTATCAGACTTGAAAGGCAAAACTTGAAAGGCAAAAGATTCAAATTCGTATGCTGTTGACGCTGACACTACTAGGTGGATGATACCGAAAACCAAACCCTGATCACAATTCAAATGGAAAAGGTGAACGACCATTTCATTTCTTACGCGGGAGGAGGGGTTGGTGCGGGGGTTTGAACACCAGCCTCGGCAGCTGCTATAAGCAGGTCAGTCTCTTAAACGGACACAGAAAATCATCAGGACCACGTACCAGCACCGGCTGCGGTACCCCAGGCAGTGGCGGCTAAAGAAAACTCTGTAAGGGACAGATCATCTGTGGAATGACAATGATTGCTTACTGGGCCAGACAGGGTTGTAAGGGGTCCTGGTCAATCCGCCAGGGCCGGTCCAGGTGACAGTTCGGTCAGTGCCGACCCAGGTGTACCACCGGGTGTAGGTCAAAGGACCCTTCTTCGTGCCCAAGGGAGGATTGGTGACCGAAGGTGCGGCTCCTGACCAGACAGTTGGGCCAGGGACCTTGTAGCCGCCACCAGGGGGAGTGTAATAGACTGATGAACTGTCAGTCTACGGCGTTTCCTACATTCTCGGACTGAATACGTACGGTTGTAGACGATGCCAGGGTCGGAGTACTTGTAGGCTGCAATTGGCGTAAGTCTTCCCGCTATGAGCCGAGTGAGCACTAATACTCACCTCCGGGGAAGGAAACACCAGGGGGCAAAGAAACGGTTCCGTTTCCTCCAACAAGGATCTGTACACACTCGGTGTAGAGCTGGATACCACGGTTGCGGTTGACGTTATGTGCGACATCAGCCTCGTGCAGAGTGAAGAGCTCGGGTCTCAAGAGGTAGCTTCCGGTGCGTGTCAGCCTCGCATCTACCTCGGCAACATCCATAGACTCACTATCCAGGCTTCAAGTTGTATGGAATCCGAACAGAGTGCACACCACGGTTGTTGATCAACTTGGGAACGACGGCCCATTGACCCTTGGCGTACTCAGCCTCCTCGAAAATCTTGACCCAGCTGTTATCGCCTCCAGGAGCAGGCGCGATGTAAACAGCGATGGCACCCTTGTGGGATGGATCGATGATACCGTCGGAAGGGCCACGGTTGCGGTGGCCCCATTCGAAGGAGACGATGTCTCCAGGGACGACGCGAATCACGTCGGGTGCTTCCTTCTCACCAAAGATGTTGCATCGCATGTCGGGGAGGTCGAGGTCGCGGATGGGCCAGGAGCCAGTTCCAGAGTCGGATCCATCGATGAAAGGAGGTTCGCCTGCTCGAGGAGGGCCGTTCATCGCCGGTGGGCGAATGCCAAAGTTGGTGCCTTGGTCGACACCATTGACATACACGCTCTAGGTACCGCTAAGTACCTCAATTCTCCGATTTTAATGACAAGTTACTTACTCGCACTAGGGTGTGAGCGCTGGCGACCGCGGCCGTGATCAATACCTGGAGTAGAGCACGCATTTTCAAGTTGAGCTGGGACTTTGGGTCATCCCTATATATGCCTCGCAAGTGACCTTAGTGAAATGAGGCAAAAGAAGCTTCGAATTACTCGAAAATAGTCCGCTCCAAGCACTTCCTGACATTTACTAATCCAGGGCAATGCTGCAATTTTGGCTCAGCGCCATTGTATGAGGCAGGCTGCAGTTGGGCAAACGCCCATGACCAACGGCTGGTCGAACATCATTGTTGACCGAAATGCATACTAACCTGGCATTGCATGTACGTTGCAGAAGGATTTGTATTCTGACGTCTGACGTCGTAGTCGACCATCACCAGTGCTCAGGTTCCCGCTTCACCCACATCACTCCATGGTTGGGGAGTCCATCGTTTCTAGAATCTACTAGAGGGGATAATCAGCTTCTTATACGTTTAATTTCTTAACAGGATTTTCTTCAGCACAGATGCAAGAAACCATATCAGTGGTCTTCCTCAGCGTCTCCTGCAGTTGGGTCGACGGAAACGGCATTCTTCTTTCCACCCAAGACCCCGCCGGATCAACTTCTTCGCCAAGTCCATGTCCCGTGCGTTTCTCGTTACCGAAGATCGCCCTTTGTCATTTCCGCTTGTCGTCCGCCAGCGACTACTGGCTGTTCCCTCGAGTGCGACAGTGCATGTTTTTGACACAAAAACCTGCTCAAAAATTGCTCCGGCAGCTGAAGTTGACATCAGGTGTACTTTCATCTATTCTTGAAGCTTGCGGTAGTTCCGAGCCCCGGCCATAGAAGGATGTTTCTCGGAATCTCGTCTGCGCTCGATTCTCCGTCGGTACCTTTGCCCGCGTGGAAAACCAATCACAATCGCTCCTCGTCCGACTTCCCTGCCCTGGGCACGACGAAGGAAGACCTTGGGCACCTGAGAAGCTGTGATGAAGGCTGGGAATCGCCTTAACCGGGTCGAACCACCCCAAGGGGGAAACATCTTCCATCAAGAGAATTTGCCTCTCATTCGTCATCCCTTTCAATCACGTTTTGCGGGGAAATAGAGGTTCGCCGATTTTCCGGATGTTTAAAAGGGAGGACGCGCTGGTAGGGGTTTGGCACAGAACTTCGTCGGTTCACCATGTTCCAGAAGCTCTTCCTCGTTGTGCTTTTGTCGTGCGCGTCGTTGGTGACGTCCCACTGTGAGTCCCATCCGCTTCCCCCTCCGTGGCTTTAACGACAGAAACTAACTCCCCTTGCTAAAACAGACACCTACCCTGAGCTGCTCATCAACGGCAGGGGTACGGGCCAATGGGTCAACGTCCGAAGGACTGACAACTTCCAGAGCAACAACCCTGTACGTTGTTATCCTCTTTTTTATTTTCCGCCCCTTACAAGCTCTCTTCCAGGTGACCGATGTCAACAGCATTAACTTCCGATGCTACAACCAAGGCACTAGGTCCACTGCTCAAACCGCCACCGTCGCTGCTGGCTCCCGAATTGGCTTCACTGCCAACCCCTCTGTGTACCACCCTAGTGTTCGTCCTTCTATCTCTCATTCTTTCACAGAACGTAGGCCTAACAACCGCAATAGGTTACCAACATCTACATGGCCAGGGCTCCTGGTAGCGTTGCCAACTGGGACGGAAGCGGTGCTGTCTGGTTCCGAGTATGTTTTTCACTCCTCCATTCGAAGTGTTACAGTGGCTGACAATTCACCGTCCAGGTCCATGAAATCTCTGCCAACACCAACGGTGGCACTCGCATGACCTTCCCCTCGGAAGGTGAGTCTGGTTCAACCTTTATCCGAAAAACAGTTCTCTAATTAGGTTCCGGCTAGGTGGCTCCCGTGTCGAATTCGACCTCCCCCGAAGCCTTCCCAGCGGTGAATACCTCGTCCGAATTGAGAACATCGCCTTGCACGGCGCCTCTGGATTCGGTGGTGCTCAGTTCTACATCAGCTGCGCCCAGATCAACGTCACTGGCGGTGGCAACGGCAATCCTGGTCCCTTGGTCTCCATCCCTGGTGTCTACAACGGTCGTGAGCCCGGAATCATGCTTAACATCTACTACCCCGTCCCTCAGACCTACGTCATGCCCGGCCCCGTACGTATTCCCCTACTGAAGGACTTGAGCTCTGGTTGTTTACTGACTTGTTCTGCTTTCAGCCCATCTGGCGCGGCTAAATCCTTTCTCTGGTCCAATCCAAGCGTGGTTTACATTTGTCGTCTTAACGTACCTGGGTTAAGAAGTGTATCTATATTACTGTATACGAGAATTCAAAATAAGCTCCAGTCTCATTCACCGTCAGGGGTGCAAACTATGGACTTTACCTGTCAGCTCACGTGGGTAGTGACTCGAGCTGATTCAATGGTGAGGACGTTCCACCAAGTAGATTCAGCTCTCCCAAACGACCTTCGATCTGGACGCAAGCGGCCCGATGGATTCGACTAAAGCGGCAAATTGATCCTTGTCCTTAACCAAGGTCGAAAGAGACGGTGCTTCTGCGCACAATAGTACAGCTCGTGCATATCGAACATGTATTCTGCTGAAACATCTTTATCTCGAGGCATGAGGAATCGGTTTTAAAGGTCCCGATAGGCGCTCACAGCTTGGCGACCAGCTATCAGGTGGTTTGCGAGCCTTTTCTATTAGTCGCTTATCAGCTCAGTAGATGTCAGAATCAGAATAAGATCTTCGACGTCGCGTGTTTCATTCAATATAGTTTGGCTACTCCCCGGGTGGAATTCGGATCTGCTCTTCCAGAGCCAATCAAACGTGGCATTGACCTGACAATCTTTTGCCCTTAGTTGTAACCCCGAATCGACACCAAGGGAAGTGGAAGTATTGATTTGTTCACTTAACCGTGCTTCTATGAAGCTCGTCACTCCAAATGTTAGAATAGGCGCCCATGTGATGCCTCAGTCCGATGAAGAAGGACAGATCATCTCACATTGATTGAGACGAAAATGGGCAATGGACGTTCTTTGCAGATCCGGAAAATTCTATAGCGTTTAGATGTACTCCAGCATTCCGAGAATCAGGATACATATATCATCCCGCACCGACCGTCGGCTCCATGGTACTGGTTGGTATCATAGTATGCAGTAACCTCTCCCTGTGGAAACTCGAACTGATGGAGCGTACTGTTCTCTGTGAATTCAGTTGACCCAGATAGCTACCTCGTTGCCAAACGACATTCACAGTGAGGAGCCCTCCCGTGTTGTCGCTGCCCCGCTCAGTGCTCCAATGCGTTCAGTCCACCTCTTCTCCCTTGATTCCCCCGGTCCGTCTTCTTTTGTGCTTGGTCTCTTCTCGATTTTACAACTCCCCCAACGTGAACACCACGGAATTTCTTGGCCGTTAGGTCTTCTCCTCATGGTATGACGCGGGTTCTGGTCGGGGAAATGAGAATTACATTGAATAAACCGTATAAATACTGGAGTATCGCTATGCTTTTGAGACTGTAGCAACACCTGTTGTATTATAGCCATGCGAGTCTCATCTCTCCTTGCTGCCATTATCTTGCCATTGGCTGCGGTCGCCGCACCTGCACCCGAGCTCGAAGCGCGCCAGGCTGTCGTCAAGCCAAGGCCCTGTGTCCGCCAACTCAACCCTCCCCCAACCGCTGAAGAGACCGCTGCTCGACATGCCGCCTTCGCCCAGGCCTTCATCTACAGGAGAAACATTACCGCTGCCTTCGAGTTCATTGTCCAGGACTACATTGTGCGTGAACTCAGGCCCCTCCTAGGTTTCATTTCAACCTTTACTGACGATATAACTGACTTTAGAACCACAACCCCATGGCACAGAACGGGTTTGACTTTGCATGGAACATCCTCAGCCCCTTCTGGAATACCCAGAGCTTGACGCCCTTGAGGGACACGTACAGGCATCCTCAGGGTTGGGTCAACTACCGCTCTGGTTTCGGCGAAGTCGTTGACAGGTTCAGGTGGGAGGGCGGATGCATCGTCGAGCATGTGAGTACTTCAATTGTCCTGGCCAGTTGTACGCCTACTGAAGCCATCGAACTGCAGTGGGATGCCGGCGAGAGGTACCCTCAGTAAATACTATAAACGAATGTAGTGCATAGTACCGAGAATCCTGTACACAATTCTTGCGGTTGTGAAGTCCAGGTGTATTTATGACATCGTATGTTGTGCATTGGGTTGAAATTCGAAGAATGAGGAATGGTATGAATTTCTAAGTTTGCGTGTGCGTGGAATTTTGGAATCAGAGCTATCTTCTGGGAAATCATACATACGACATAATGTGGTACCGTCGATCATAAAGAATGCTAAGAGTACAATGCTTTAGTTTCTACTCCTTTCTGAATCTCTAACAGTAATTGCCCTTCAGAAGAAATACGAATTATTTAGCCCATAATGAAAGAAAATAAAAAACCGTCAGTAATAACATGCGCCTAGAGTACAACGCCCCCGTCTCGCAGGGAATACCAAAGATCGTGACATATTCGTTATATATCCGGTTAGTAGCCTTGTATGTTAGAGTGTTCATGAGAAATCATTTCTGACGTGGTAATTCGTTATCATCGTCTTTTGTTAGCGTTCGTCGAAGGCTAAAGCGTTAAAGCTTCGAAGAAGCCGAACTTGAGAAGCTGAGAGCGCGTGGTCGACGGCCGCGTTCGCGGACACTTCCTTGGGTACTGTGGGTCGAGACATTATCCGGCAGAACGTTGTCTGGGCTGTCGGTGCGCTCAATGGCATATTTGTAATAGGGAAGCGGGAATGGGATGGTTGGTCGCGTGTCGTGCACGGGGACTTCGACCTCAGATCCCAATCTCGTCCAAATGCGAACTGCGCCGTCATGGCTTCCCGTTGCGAACATGAATGGGTCATCGGCGGAGTGGTTCCAAGCCAGACAGGTCATATCGCCACCGTGAGCTTGACCCTTGATGAGGTGCAGTAAAGCGCCGGATTCTTGGTCCCAGATGTGAATATCGCCGGCTAGGAATAATGATGAGCAAGGTGATCAAGCAGAAGAGTGAATATAGCTTACCCTTCCCTGGACAGAGAACCAGTTCGTTGTTCTTTCCACCAAAGTAGCTGGGTCCAGCGAAGTCTACCGACACCTTGGGCATGTATGTATGTCTGAATGCTCGCCGTTAGCTCCGCCCTATCCAGAAGGAGACGAACGCATACCGAAGCGTCAGCCGAGCGACTGAGCTCATATTCTCCCTATCCCGGACCAATTCAATCTTCCAGAGCTGTGGCGGGGCCTTGTTTTCGTAGCTGATGAGTGCAATCCAATCCCCGCGGATGTTCTGAGAGATGGTGATATCGCGAACGTCGTTCAGTACCGGTACTTGGCTATCAAAGATCGTCAGTAACGAAGCCGCAATGGATATCACAGCCCGAAGCCCACACCTTTCGACCTGCTTCATTTCGAGATTATATACTACAACGAGGAATATCGTAAGCTACGTTGAATCACAGGCAGCATGCCACTCACCGACGAGCCGTTTCTCCACACGAGATTTGCTCGGTTGAAGTCCAGTCGGGGATGCTAGTAGAGGACCGACACCAACGAGACGCGCAGAGTCTGGCGTTACCGCCACATCATGAAGCTTGATGTTTCCAAAGTCGTATTGTTCCAATACCCGCCCTTGCAAGTTCATCTTCGTGACAGTCGATTCTTCCACCGAAAGGAATGCTAAAAGGTCGACAAGGTCACAACAAGACAGCGAGGGTGGTTAAAAGCTGGACCTACATTGTCCGTCTGGCATCCATGTCAAGGTTTCAACGGCGACATTGCGATTGATGGGCTTCGTGCAAATCCTCTCTGCGTTGATTGACAGCAGGTCTGAATGAGAAGACTGGAGGCCAAGGACGGCGATCGCATTAACGGACATTGGATTACTAAACAGAGAAATGAACTCACGTCTGCGATCCATATCTTGATACCACGAGGCAATTTGGTAAGGAGGATGTTCCCAGTAGGTGACCTTTACCCGCGATGAATTCCAGACTTCCATTTCCAGACAATATTAAACGTACCATGCGACTTGACCGACGAAACCTTGAGTATGTGCGAGAACACGGTGCTGCACACAGGGGTCCTACATGTGCAATCAAATCAGTCACCAGGATTACGGAAAGGCTCATGACCACGTACCCCGACTTTGAAGATGACAGAAGTCCGATCCCAGCTCGACGTCGCCAGATACCGGCCATCAGGTGAAAATTGGAGGTGTCGTACAAGGGCGGTATGAGCGGACAAATCTTGGGTGGCTTCCATCATGGATAACTTGGGCACCAGCGATGATATCCGCGACTTGACCACGGCGATAGGCTCTGGGACGAGTGTTTTCTTCTTTTCGTTGAGGGGTAGCCCACTTCCTGTGCCAGTGGAAGACGTGGTCCTACGCCTGACAGGGAATCGTCCAACCACCGGAGGTGATGTCGACGTGGAGGCCTCGCCTTCGGCAGCGCTAGCTTGGGCAGCTAGCGCAGATTGTTGCTGGTGTATCTTGACCGTCTTTATCGCATTCTTCCATAACAGCCTGCCATGACTCGGGGGAGCAGGCGGATTGGGGGAACTGGGTGACGTGATACTTGTCACGGCTGAAGTTGGCCCCGTACCCACATCGTTCGATTGGGGCGAGAGAGGAAAGTTAGCAGGCAGAGGCGGGGGCTTCGAGCTGGGAACAGACTCCACAGTTGGTGACACAAGGGTATCGGCGGAGAATCTCGTGGACCTCGACGGCTCGGGGGTGAAGGCAACGGGGAGTGTTGCGGATTTCGGGATCCCATTGGCCTCAAGGTCGTCGCTTTTCTCGTCAGATCGACGATGGATACAACTGGCCCCAATGTCTTTGATGGTCGAAGAGATCTGGTGGCAGATATGGCCAAACCTCACCAGATGGCGAGAGAGGAACGCGCAGGCCTTGTAAATCCAGTTGATTCCAGGCAGGCGAATGAACTCTTCAACGGTTTCATTGAGGACATCGCTAAGCCATTTCTGACCACGATGACGGGCAAAGGCCCATCGTTCCGAGGCAAACCATGCTGACACAGCTGCGAGACCGAAAGACGTGAACGCCGTGAGAACAGTTGTGACTGTCGACGTGACTGGCCCCTGTGATGGTAGGATTATAGTCAGAGTAGGGTCCGGATATACCCTGTGTGGCGCCACGAGGACAGGTGCGTACCTGATGAGAGGAGTAGGCGAACAAGCAGAGGCCAATCGAAAAGCATGCCACTGAAAGCACCAAAAACACGAGGGGAGAACGCTTGATCCAAATCAAGACCCACCAGGGGACACGATGACCTGGGGAACGACTGCAAAAGGAAGTTAGCGTGCGTTTCATGTTGGGTGTTTCGGAGTTGTGAGGAAATTAGACTCGGACTTACTACATCGCCTGCTTCCAAGTTAGACCAAGCAGGCTATTCACAGCCGCGGCAATACTGAAGACCAAGGAAGCGAACCAGAATGTATTGACTGCTTGTTCATCCGGGAGTTCCGCTCGTTCGAATGAGAATTGCAGGGTGGTTGCGGTGACTGCAGAGAAAAATGTTGCAATAGTGGATAAATTGAGGAGGTTGTTGGATCCGTGTTTCTGAGCAAAGCGGATCGTAGGAACACCTGTATGCAAGAGATAAGGACTCAATAACCAATAACCCAGACCAATGCTAATCGGCTCCAGTGGACCCTATCCCCACTTACCAACTTCGATGAACATGCGGAGTGACGACGTGATAGTGTCCAGGTGCTCCTTGATCTCCTGCGACAGCTCGTGGATATACCTCTGGACTGCTGGATACCTGAATTGGCCTACATCATTGGCGTTAGAGGGGCCCCCTCTCGCACGGAACCAACATACCCGAATATTCACGTAGACATGAAGCCCAATACTGCGGAAGTAGGTGAATACGGGATCGCATGCTTCAAAGCAATGGACTCACCCGGAGGTCTCCCTCGAAGGAGAGGATGGAGGCATTAACGGCCTCGTCAGTGAATTCAGGAAATTCATTGAGACAGTTCAAAAATGTTCTAACATCTCTCGCCAGGAGCTCCAACTGTTCCGGGAAGTCTTCGGGATCGAGGTTTTCCGTGACGGTGGGTCTGGGAACGTGCAGATGGGGAGCCTTTCCTCTCAGTGTGCGAGGTCTCTTCCGACTTCCTGGATATACGCCCGAATCGACGCCGTTGGCGTTTTCCCGGACGACATGCGAGACCTTGCGTGGAAAGAGATCTGCTGCGTTTTCACGATAAAGGAAGAGGAGTTGCGCTAGGCGTTCTCGAAGGTGGAAGCCGGAGGCGAGAATGGCGACAGAGCTTCCCAGTTGACGAGCGGCGTTCGCGAAATTGCGCAACTAGGGTGCTTAATGAGCGATAGGGATGACAGAGAGTTCAACGACATTTTACTTCTTTGTCTAGAGAATTGACAGATCTAAAAGTTGATTTAGACAGATAAACTACGTGAGGCATCTGAATACGAACCTTTGGAACCTGTTGAAGGCATCAGCTCCCGCTGCTTGAATATGCTCATCCACACTGGCTGAATTGCGTGTCACGAATGGCTCTCGAGGCTTCAAGACCTTTTCACTTACGAACGTCCCGATCGTCTTCGAAACTGGGTGCTTGTGCCTTCGATGCTTCAGCTTGACTGAGTATCAGTCTACAATGCAAGTAAAACGCCTAGTTCCAACTCACATTTTAATGCGCCCTCCTGGAGGAGCATCTCGACGAGGCTGAGAATGGTTTCCGTCCTATTGCTCGGTGATTGGCGGCCATTTGAGGAGGTGGCAGAGGTTGGTGGGACGGGGAGCTGTTCAGTCGAATCCATGGCGTGACTGGGCTACTGGTGAAGGGGAAAGGACTGGCGGGGTAGGGACAGGATTGTTTCCAAGAAATGAAGTGGTGTGGGGCTGATAAAAGAGGATGGAACTTGAAAACTGAGCGGTCGTGTTTCGTGCGTTAAACTCGTGTCGATTCAGTGACCATATGGCAACCTGCTAGCAGGCGGCGTTTCGTGGGGAGTTCGTAAAAGGTCGTGGCTGGATGTTAAGGTATCGCTGGTGGTGGTAAGTGAAGAAGGATCACCTAACGGCTCGGGCTCCCCGAAAGCCTATAGGTCATCGGTGCTACAGCTGAATGGAGAAGAGCCCTGAAGCACGCATCAGAAATAAGCGCCATTGGCCACATTGGCCCATTGTTGACGCAGACATCAACACGAGGCGCGTCCCCCCCATTGTTACCGACAATGGATAGATTCCTTTGTACTCGTTGCCCAGATGCAATCAAGGTGAAAACTGGGGTCTGCGCTGTGGGGGAAACGGGGTCATGGCTACGAATGCAAGGCCTCGAACGAAACGCAAAAAAATCGGGGAAAAAAGGTTACGCCCCCTTGAGAGGAATGCCGTGATTGGGTGACCAGGGATTCGAAGTGCCTCTGCAGTATACTTCACTTCAGTTAACAACAAATTAAGCCAGGTATGCGTTGCCTTCCTGGCTGAACCGTTCCGTTCGCATTGCGCCGGCACCAGACTGCTTGGTCAAATGCGCATCGCAGATTGAACTTCATACAGGATTCCGGAGTCGGGCACGTACAGATGCTCTGTGCATTTTTCCGCTTCAGCACTCCGGGATCGCGTCGTTTACAGGGAACGGTGGCATGGATTTTCAAGCCGGGATGTAGGTGCCATTGGAGGTTTCAAGACAAGGGGAGAAATATTAATCTTGGCGTTTAACAAGACATTTGTACTATTCAAGTCCCGACAAGTCGGAGACCAAATTTCTTCAAATCCGACTTCGCCGGACCTCGGCGTCCAAGTTAGTTCTTGGGCGCTACTAGCACGCAGCAAGGATTACTCAAGTACTAATAGTAGGGCCTGCCTTGATACCTCATACTTGCCAAACTTTCAGTGATCAGAAACCGAGTACAAAGTACACAGGAACTTGCCAACATGCCATTTCGCGAGTCCCAGAACATCAGGACTAGTTGTGGTACTGGTAACTGGATGATGGTCCATTTTTATTGGAACTCTGTGGGCGAGCAACTGAGGGCGGTGTCCAAGTGGACCTACTGCTTAACAGAACTTAAAGCACTGCTTGAAACATACTCTCACCCCGCTTAACCCTTGACCCCAACGATGATGGACGAGATATCCAAGAGCGACACGACGATAGCCGTCAAGCCTGTCCAAGACATCGAAATGACATCCGCGCCAGGCTTGCACTTCAGCCCAGCACTGGAGAAGGCGCTCGAGGAATGTCGACAGAAAGTCGAAGCGATTGCAAAAGACTGCAGAGGGAAAAACGTTAAGTTCAGGTGCGCCCAATTAGATCTTCCTGTGTGGAGTCCGTCTCATGCAGACGGGAATAGAGACATGGAATTCGACCTCCAGGGAGACGAGCGGCGCTGTTGGAACGCCTTCTGGGGTACTGCAGCAAGAGCGCCCACTGACGTACTGCGTGTCACAGAAATCTTCGACAAACCGGTTTTCTTCAATGCAGCTGAGTTGGGAAAGCCCAAGTCGGAGGACATCATCCAAGGCGCGCTCGGCGACTGTTGGTTCTTATCAGCGCTCGCGACGATAGCATCAGTTCCCGGCCTCATTGAGGAGATATGCGTTGCTGTAAGCCCAACCCCCGAGCGATAGCCAAATGCCAGCTAATGTTTCGAATTTAGCGAGACGAGGAGGTTGGGGTATATGGCTTTGTTTTCCACCGGGATGGTCTCTGGAAACCTGTCATCATCGACGAGTAGGTCTCCATCTCCCACTTATCTAAGTTCCTACTCACATAACCCAGTCTGCTGTTTACCAATATCCCTAAATACGAGGAGCTGAAAGAGGTTGAGAAGGAACTTTACCACCACGACAAGGATCTCTACACTAAACTAGCCAGGAAAGGCAAAAAGATCCTGACTTACGCCAAGTCTGGTGCACAGGATGAGACTTGGGTTCCCCTCATTGAGAAGGCCTACGCAAAGTTCTATTGCAACTACGACCACTTGAACGGAGGTTGGACGGGAGAAGCCATTGAAGACTTGACCGGGTAAGTCTCCGGGGCAAATGTATTAATACCTCTAAATAAAACCATCCTGCTTACATCGACGATAGGGGAATTGCGAAGGTCATCGAGGTCAAGGTAAGTACTAGTTGTCACTTGCCTTGGATGCGATACTTGAACGGAGTACAGGATATCCTTAACATCGACCAATTCTGGACGGAGGAGCTTCTCAACGCCAACCGGGACCGTGTCTTTGCTTGCGCATTCCATCAGCTGGACTCGAGCCGGAATGGTGTGGGGAACGCGAGAGTCCAAGGACTCGTGGGATCTCATGCCTACTCCGTCCTTCGTGCTGTCGAGTGCAAGGGAAGACGATTCCTCGTCGTCCGGAATCCTTGGGGTGACTCTGAGTGGACCGGACCATGGGCAGATGGCTCCAAGGAATGGGATTCCGAATTGGTTAAGATCCTTCCTGAGCTGGGACACCAATTTGGTGATGACGGTCAATTCGTTATGGAGTGTACGTCTGACGCAGCTGTACATTCAGACGTACTGTTAACGGGCTCGCCTCTCTTCCAGACTGTGATTTTCTCCGGTGCTTCGAGATCATTGAGAGAACCCTTCTACTCGATTCCTCGTGGAAACTGGCTTCTAAATGGCTCCAGGTTCCCCTCCCTCCTGCGGGTGTTCCTCCATCATTTGGCGACATCTCGTTTGAACTGACCATTCCGACTTCGAGCAAAACAATAATGGTTCTCTCCAAACTCAACCAACGCTTTTTCAGATCTGCCAATGATTGGGTCTCGTACACGATGGACTTCGCAGTCGTAAAGGTCGGGCAGTCGACACCTCTAGGCACGTCGACCGCAATTCTGCGCGGTAACCGGAGTATCAGCCTCGAACTCGACCTTGAACCTGGAACCTACCGAGTCTACGTAGGTACTCATCTTCCCATGAGATTCAATTATCAACTGACCATACGGCTTATTCCAGGCTAGATTGGACACCTGGGAATACATCCTCGGACAGAATATCCCTCTTAATAGGAGTCTTGACGATGTAAGTTCTACGGGACTACCCTTGGCCTTAGAGTTGGACCTCACTCACTGCACAGTATGTCCCTGGCCGAGATCTGGCGCGATTTATCTCCAATAAGATTGAGGCTACCCAAATCGCCCCCAGTGAGTACTCTCAGATATGATGCCCCCAAGGTTCACGTCTCAATATCCTGTTCGCCAGACGCCTACACTAGGTAAGGAGCAGGTACCGGTCCGACTACTCTCGCTCTCCAATCTGATATAATTTCCTCTAGTGCTGTTGCCAAATTCAGGGCCCTAACTTTGGAAGAAGTAATAGCCCGGGATAACAAGAAAGACAACGCTTCGGCACTGAGGAAATTCATTAACAAAATGAGGAGTCACAACAGGTCAAGAAGGTCTGCTTTTCCGGAAGTCGCCCACTCACACGACGGTACCTTCGAGAGCGATCTACGGGAGGTGTTGGTGGACGGCAATAAACCGATCGTGGGGTTGAAGGTGTACACCAAAAGTACTACGGCTGCCACAGTGAAGGCTCGATTGAACGATGACCAGTACTTCTGACTCGAGCGCTTCACTCCATTAGTTCTCCCGACCTCCCGCTCCTGCATACACGCCGGCACATCTGTATGGTATCCCACAGACTCATTGATAATGACACCTTTAGTATGAATGCATGGGATAGATCTTAGAATGGGGACGGGCTTCTTAGAAACTATCCATCCTGGCGCAGGGAAAATAAGGAATCGAGGCCATGTGAATTCCGAATCCATCTCTAATGTACATACATACTGGTGCGAAGGGCTATAGCTTCAGCCTGAGCGGGATGCGTATCTGTCCGTTTCTGAGTGTAGTTAGACATTAGAATACTTGTGAATACGTGGCCTGGGTCGTCTGTCCGGTGCCAATCTGAACCGTCATTCCAATCTTGAGTTATTTGTCGAGTACGGAATCGTTTGCGATACTCCAAAATCACGAAGAACACGCGACTGCAGAGAATAGACTCCATCACGCGTTGCGGACTGAGGTGCTGCGTTAGTTATTGGGACCTCGAAGGAGTGTGCTAAAGGATTGCCTACCGAGTCATCACGCCAGCATAAACGGGGTCCTGACAGTCCTGTCGGTCGAAAGGAACGCGCATGAGACAATACCTCGCTCACCTTCAGTGGCAATTCAGAGACTATCATGTTGCATAGACTCAAGACTGTCGAAAAGATGTCAACCGAGGGTTACGAACGGCGCGGGAAAGGCTCGTACTGAGCATGCAAAGGGAGTATAGAATCCCTGACCGAGAGATTAAGGTAAGCATGGAGTTAGACGGGTACAAGGTCATCACTCACCGTTTCTGTACAGCTGAGATACCCAAAGGGAATTCGATCTCCGGACTGGATAGCAACCGCGAACTGAGATGAAGTCGGACTAGTTTGTTAAATTTCGTCGCGTACCGTGCTCAAAAGCTTTAACCAGTGTGAAACAGACGGTCGCTGAGGAGGCGGTCAGTGACGATGTCAGGGAAGAGAATTCCGGAGTACTCACTGAGTTCCGTGACGCAAATCACCAGGTATGCCCACCGAACATAACCGATGCCCCCAACGAACACACAGTATCCTCCAAATTCTCTGGGAGCGAGATCTAACGAAATTATGTTAATATTTGCGTTGGGTATTAAAGCTCCACGCCTTACACTTCACTTTATCCCACTGTAGGTGGGTCAGAACAAGTGTCGAGACTATGCGCACCTGCAACCCCTCTGTTAGCGACGGTCTGACAAATGTTCCAGGGTCGATTAGACTCACGACTTGGAGTAGAAATAAAGGGATTGCGACCGCTTTCCGGTTCCCCCACAGCGCGCATGTCTGTAGATAAATAATGACTGATGCCGCTCAGAAATGGATACTCGCAGCCAAATGGGAATCTTTACATGAAGAGACATTGCCACCTATCGCTTTCAGCCCTGGTAAAATAGAGGACGAATTAGCCGTTTTCAAGAGACAGTGGTCGGCGAAGTGGTAACGTACAGACGCCAGACCGAAACAGTCGTTCACAAGTCTAACCGTCAGGTAAGCAATGGTTATGGTATTTCTGAAGGGATGTCGCTCACAGAGGGGTTTACAAAAGTGACAGTGTTAACTGACATCGTCAGCGAAGCCGTGCGTCAATAGTAAGGAATATTACTCACAATAAAACAGCAATGATTGGTCGAAAAAGACCAAGTAGCGATTGAGGTAAAATAGGACAACTCCAACTGATAGAGAGTTGGTCCACACGTATTCCACCTACAAAGCGTCACCTTGAACTCGGGGCAGACTTTCAGAAAGCTAACAATGTAGACTTACTTCCTGACTGAACGTGCAGAGATAGTCATACACCTGGAGTTGAGAATGCGAGATTTCCCCGAGGTTTGAAGTTGACTTCGCGTCTTGTTCACAGCAACAACGAGAATATGCTTACCAGGAGCGTCAAACACGACAGCGAAACGCGATTCAAATTTACGAGGCTTTCCATTCACGCCAGCCCTTTGCGCTTTCGTTAAGCGACTCGGTATGCTCGATGCCAGAGCTGATGATACATATGTCAGAAAACTGCGCACAGCTGAGAAACGGACAATGGAGACTTACCAAATAGTCTCTGAACCGGTGCATGTAGCAGGCCCGCTGTTGTCGTGGTGGTCGTGGTAGAGGAAGACGGGTGGCGGCTGCGTTCGACGACGATTCAATGCGATTCCTCTACATAAACCTGTCCCCTAACCAAGGCATCACGAAAAGGCCTTGGATGCACCAAACGAGGCCAATGGATGATCGTTGTGGGGACTCATTCAGGATATATTGGCATCAAAGTTTGCCGATGATGGCACGGCGGTGGGAGTCGTTCCTGATATTTTATGATGGTGGTGATTTGGTCGCAATCCTGGCATCCTCTGCGGAGTGAGCTGTTGTTTCGCCTCCCAGGCTTCTTTATCATTCCCCAGGCTCGAATGCGACTGTGAAGAGGGCAGAAGAGCTGGGCGCTCAAAATCCACCGAATTCTGGTTCTGCTCTGTTCTGCTCGACCATTGGATCGACACGGGTAAGCCACATTTGATGCCGGCAACTTCCGGTGACAGTATTTACCCATGTCGACTCGAGTCTCGGGATTTCGGAGGATGTACAAGACTTCTGCCGCAATGGGACAGAATGGGACTGCCTTCCTTCCTCCCCTTCTATAACCAACCGCATTCAATATGGGGACTCTTAGTCTTGACCTTGACCAACAAAGTCGACCCACAAACGACAACGACCCACCCACATCTCGCCTCGCTTAGTCGTGCCCCTCTGACGCCCGTGTCGAACTACTTGATCTTCTGTCAGAGGGCACCACCATTGGAGGTTGTGTGCACAGAGAGGCAAGTGAATTGACCGGACTCAGTAGCCACAGAAGACAGAGAAGGGACGCATTTTGTACACAAGACGGCGCCTCAAAAGAGCGATTTCACTGTCCCTGCGGATCCAGTTCTACTCCTCCCGTTCAGTTCAATTTCAGCCCCCAACGACGCCAAGTCTCGATGCCTCCATTTGACCGTGCTCAAACGAGTAAGAATTACATATTGAATAGTCCTACTCCTGTTACCCTCTAAACATCATTTCTCCCAGTTGGCTTTTCGTTCGGCTACTCTGTCGCCATTTTGACGTCTATCGTCCGCTTGGCGCATCGGCTGAAGCGACGACAGATATGGTGGGATGACTTCTGGGCGTTCATCGCGCTGCTGTTGGCGGCGTATAACCTGGTCGTTGCCTTACTTTTGAACCTCCCAGATAACGGTAAATGGTATTCTATTCACTCCCATAGCCCGCTACTAACAACTCGGCAGCGGAGGAGAAATACACGGTGGTCGAGTCCTCATTCATGCTGTATTCGGTCTTTCAGTTGCATCCTGCCATCATTTGGTGTGTTCTCTACCGACTCTCAGTGTATTCCGCCCTTACTTACCTTGGTCGTAGGGCAAGTCGGCTTTCAATCCTGGTCACCGTAGTGCGATTCCTCTCGCCGGGTCGTAACCGAGCGATATCATTCTGGAGCGTTGTCGTCCTATTCGTGATGTGGTTGGCCGTGGCTATCAGTGCCATCTTCTATTGCGGGTACCCCTTGATGACAGTTCCAGGAGGGGATGGTTGCGTCTATCAGACGGGGCCCACAATCGTTGCTCTCAGCTGTATGTCCTCTGCCCGCACTCTCTTGCATTGGCAAAACTGATCGTCGGTCCAGGCAACGTGACTGCAACGATTTGGCTTGTCGGGTGGCCCATTTATCTGTTCACTCGCATTAAACTAGCACGTCCAGGGCGCAACTTAATTGTTGCTTGTTTCTCGACCGGCTTACTCTTGGGCGCTCTTGACATATTCCATGCGGCGAATCTACTGACGATTAACCTGAAAATCATCAATTTCTCTGGACATTTAGAGGTGAGGCCTTGTGAGTCTTCTCTCCTACGGCGGACGGAGCTCATGCTTTCTCAGGTCATGGTGGCGCTTGTGCTATGCAATTTACTCGTCCTTGTCGCCTACATTTATCGTGTATTCCGCGGGCCCAACGGCTCCGGAGAGACGAGCAATGACCGCACCAGTGCCTCCTACAGCGCAGATTTGTCGCGATCGAAAACTGAAGGTCAGTTTCCTGGCTATGTACATATCTTCGTCCAGGGTATCTTCTAACGGTAGTTACCTTTACCCAGACGACTCCAGGCCACGGCGTGCCCGGACGAGCGGTGCACATGTAGTCACCGAAGACATCGAGTCTTCCATCGGCCCCTTGACGACGGTTTATACGAGCACCGGCGACTTTTCGCTTGGAAGTATTGCCCATACCTCTCCCCAGCAAAGCAAGGTATCCAGCTACACCTCACCTCTCAATTCATTGGTGTCCAAGGAAAACGATTCTTTTGCTTCCCAAAACCGGACTACTGACGGAAAGTAGGACAGTCCCGTCATTCCTTTCACTTCACGCTCGTTCCATTTCGAAATTGCTATCGCTGTACGACTACTGCTCTCATCGCTTTGTAACATACCTACCATTTGTATTTAACTAATAGCCTCAAAGGAGCTGTAAGCTCGCTTCTTGTCCGGACGCGCTTTCTCATGAATACTGATGTTTCCGCTTCGTTGGTTCCAAGCCAAGGTGATAGGATCGCACCAAGACCCCACATTACAGCATCGAGTACGACCCACTCAGAGATTCTTGTGGGGCTGTCGTCAAACTGTGTAAGACGGGCTTACGTCCCCGGTAAAAAGGCGGTAAGGTGATTTGGAAGAGCATTCAAATGATAGCGAAGATGAGGGCGCCTCTTCCCCGCCTTTGGGAATGCATTCGATCCCCGTTTAGCAAACAGTGGGCGATCTATTTTGAGACTGGGATAAGAGTTCCAGATGCGGAAGCTCCCAACCATGGGAAAGAGGAAGCTAATAATAGACTAACTGATTCCTTTATGCTACGATGTCGCAGCGCTCATTGAGAGGGTCGTTTCTGACGGTACTTGCTTTGGATCCTTCGTTGCGGCAGGTTCATCAAATCCACAGACTCTAGTCTCACTCTGAACATCGGAGACGGCAGGGTGTGTCATGGTGCAGCCAGCTTCTATGATGCGGGCAGGGCTCCCCACTTTGAAAATTTGCGTCAGTTTCAACCCACCCAGGGCGCCTTTTAAGCTGTTCACTACTCCCCTCTTCTCATCACCATGTGGTTGATCATAACAATGTACAGGTCCAGAGACAGGTCAAAAGTTGACGGATTGCGCTGTCGGTGAAATATTTCGATATGAGGCCTGAATGTTCGAGTTGATATGGCAGCTGAAAAAAGCTCATACCTCTCTGCCTTTTTACGCACCACCTCTCCGTGACCCCTATCCAAGAGGTGCCTATGCGATGCTAGGTGCTTTTCATGTCCAGACGCTCGCCGGGCGATAAGCGCCCGCTGCATTCGGCTTATCGGGTCCGGGCGACTCGGGAGTCGGGACCCCTATTGCCGGTCCGACTTTTGTCATCATCAGCCAAGTGCCCAGACTGGGACCGCGATGATGATTCCTGGCTTTTGAATCTTGACGACAACGACGTCGACAACCACCGTTTTCGCTACTTCACGTTCAAAGGAGACGACAATGTCTGCCATTTTTCCACAAGAGGTCTTCGACATCATCATTGACATCCTTGGAAGCCGTCCAAAACCGCGCAACGACCCAGCAGACCGACTGGACTACTTCTTCGCGCGAAATGCTCTGCGAAATTTGGCGTTGGCGGGGTCGTATGGCATCCTGGAACGTTGTAGGATTTACCTGCTCCCGACTCTAAAGCTGCGGACCCCAGCCAGGACAGAGGAATTTGAATCTTTCCATCCGAAGCTTCTGGGTGGGATTGAGGCTTTCGCTCGACCAGAGGCCCCAGTCGGCCTCGTCCGCAGGCTGGAGTTGGAATTCCGGTGGGATAGGTATAGCAATGGCGGCTTGTTCGACTTCCAGGCTGAGGCTGGGAAGTGTTTAAAGGCCATGGCCAGTCTCCTACCCGATATCTTCGCTCTTTCCTTCCCCAATCTCGAATATCTAGCCATTAGGGGTCCAGTGGACGATACACCGTTGGAACTCCGAGAGGCTGCAGTGGAGACCCTCTCATCAAAGTTCTTCAAGCGAACGCCACTAAAGGAAGTCCACCTCTCGAATCTCAACACCGACATATCCCTCCTCTACGACCTTCCATCTTCCCTGACTCGCTTCGAGTTCATCCAGGCAGACTTCATCGATTACGCTCCCTGGACGGACGAGATGCCAGTACTCGCTTTGAACGCCCCCGATATGATATTGTGGCCCAAGACTTCTGTTTGCACCGCGATCGCCTTCGAAGAAGCTTCCACGTTCAACCACCTCAGGAAATTGAACTTCGTCATCTCCGACAGGACGTCCCAAATGACCCTCCCACTCGTCCTTGCAAAGGTACCAACCACGCTGGAGGAACTGTACATCACCTATCACCGAACAGGTTAGTCTCCGCTTCTCCAACGAACTTGTGACGATCGGAACTGAAATGACGGTGACAGGATTGGGCTACGACATCGAAATCGTCCCCGATTTGCCCCAGTTGACTAAACTGGGGATCAAGTTTCCCTGGTCCCTCCTCAGGGAACGCGCCGACGAGAACATCGCCTTCCCCACTCCTTTCACCCTATGCACGCAAGCAAACCTCAACCATATTGCCTTGCACAACGTTACACACCTTGAACTCGACTACGAATGGAGGTTCACTCTTCGCAGCTACCGCGAGTACGGCAAGACCCACGAGTTGATTCAAGAAGCGAGAAGTCATCTATCAGATATCGACACAATGCTCGGGGACCCGTCAAGTCCCTTCCACCGACTACGCCACGTAAAGCTCTGGCTGACCGCACGGGTTGATTGGGAGTCGGAGGATTGTTGGGTGAAGGAAGAGCAGGAGAGGCTGGATTTGGAGTGCAACAGGCGCATCACTGAGGAGGCCAAGGTGGTCTTCAGGAAGACTCTGGGGAGGATGGAAAGTTTCGAGGTCTGGTCTCGCGGATGGCTCGGATCGCCCATTTTCAACGGCGCCTTTGTAGAGGAGGACTAGTAAGGTCTTCTACTGTACGGGAACTATATCTCACATATTTATGCACCCCAGTACTCTGACGTAGAGCATAGAAGCGCGGTTGCGTGCCGTGAAGTGCCGTCGACTTCTCGCAAGTTCGAGAATGTTGAAGCATACGGTCACCCATCAGTGTGGGGGGATATCACCAATGGCTGCGTGGAGATGTAACGTTGCTATTCGTCTATTGCCTATCCATCTGATTTAATATTCTAAACTAAACAGGATCTAGCAACTGAGGGAAAGGGGCCTATTCACTTGAGGATCTGACCCGCCCGACGATCGTGCAAGGCTCCTTGGTCTGAGTATAGACGCGAAGACCCAAGAAGACGCTGTTTCCCGCGTCGTGATACAAGTCCACCCAATTTTTGGGCATGGAAGGGGGAGGGTAAGTGGGGCTACAAAGCTCCTCGAAGTGGTGGTCGACTGTCGCTGGCTGATCGAGTTCCCGGCCAGGTGTTAATTCTTCGATCTCGAGTTGTGGGTTAGACTCTTGCCCTGCCTCCTCCGCGTCGTCTTTAATTGGCTCCGACGAGGCTCCGAACAGGTAGAGACATGTCAATGCAATGTAGTCGACTGCACGAAGGACTGTTGTGAGGAGTGACATGATCACGGTCCAGTGCAGCCCTTTCAACTCGACGGAGGGCACAATCGGTGCTGGTGGGGACTCATGGTCAACTGGCGGCTTCGGGCCGGTTTCGCTGGCAGGTGTGTCCTGTACAGCAGGAGTAACCTGGGTAGCCGCGCTCTCTCCATCCGAGTCTACTTCCTTCGGAATGCATTCATCCTCCTCGGCCAAAGGCTTCGTCTCTGGGACGTCTTGAGATAGGGGGAGTGCTGGATCCTCACCGCCGCCGGGGTCTTCATCCTCGACCGATGTTTCCACGAGGTCTTCTTCGATCACCTCTTCCAATGTTTTGGGTACGAATTTCGACCTCAGTCTAAGGCCATGATCAGTTCAGACCAGAAATTGCAACAGGAAAGGTACTAACCCAGTGTCCCAGTCTATCTCACCTCAGTCAGCGCTAGGGTTAATCTGGTTTGCCAGGGACACGTACTTTTTACGAGCGAAAGGGACTTGACCTTCGACGCCAGCAATTTTGCTACTGTCTGCGTTTTGATGGGATTGCACTGAGATTGCCTGGGTTAGTATGGGGGGTAACGGAGTGCGAGTTGGCAACCCACAGGGCCAGCGGTTGGATGGTCGATCGTCGATTCGTGTTCCGTTTTCACCTATACGAGTTATTCGCATTGGATAAAGCTCCTAATCAAATTCAAGAATAGTACGTACGTAGATCATATAGGTTGCCGCTTCGAGATCCAATTCCAGGGTGACTCGGGAGTCACCCGATGGAGAACTTACCCTCAGCGGTTTCCGTTCTCCAGCTTTGACGATGGCAAACTGGCATACGAGGGGAGGTCCGAGTGGGGCGGTCTTGAAGCCGCGAGTATTCAGCTTGGACAAGCAGATGATTGCTTTTGTTGGTTCCAGGATCGTGACTTTGTCTGGGAAGACTACGGGTTAGAGAGAATCACAAAGATAAGTCAAGTGACGTCAACCCACAAGAGAGGTTTCCATACGATGGCAGCGCTGGGACGTTTTCGACATCCACCTTCATCCATTCCGATACGAGCACCCAGCTCTCGTCGAACAAAAAGGTCCTCCCAACCTGTTCGAAGTACTTTAAGAAATCGTCATCTTAAAGAACATGAGCTCACGGGGTCTCAATACCATCGTAATGTTGCCGACTTACATTCCATGACAAATTTGCCGTCATCCCCAAAGACGTGGTCGAGCTCTTTGAGCGCGCCTAGCCACTGAGGCTCCCATTCCTTCGATCCATCGGACCAAGGCCCTCCCCATTCCGAGTCACCCCAGGGGTTTCGGACCAAGACGAACCTTTTCCCGTTCCATTCAATGGCTTTGAGGATGGAGTAGGCGTGTTCGGATATCAGACCTTGAGTCTCGTCACCGAAGAAGCTCGCGGATAGAAGACGGTCAGTGTTCGCCTTCGACATTTCTTCCTTCCAGAATCGGTCCCTATCTAGGATATCCTGAACGAAGGTTAGGCCCCGACAGAGTAGTTGTGATCGAATTAATATACCTGTGTGTAGAAGGTCGTCGAGACACCGCTGGAAACCAATGAGTTCGCACCTTGAACGAGTTGCAATGGCTAATAGAAACCTACCCAGATAAATCTTCGATAGCCTCGGTGGTCCACCCTCTATCCAGATGCTCATACGAACCATACAATTTAGCGTAGGCCTTCTCTATGAGAGGCACCCATGTCTCCCCATCCGACCCCGACTTTGCATATGTCAGGCGCGATCCCCGATTCTTTTGGACATGATGAAACAGATCCCGATCCTCGACGAAAAGCTGTCTCTCGCCGTCATCCAAAGAGTCAAAATGCCGTGGGTTTTGGATTGGTAGTAGACTGAGTCGAGGAAGTCAGGCCGAAGCTTCATAGTTATAAAGGGAACGAACGTACTCATCGACGATGACCCTGCACCAGCCATCATCTTGAAAGAAGATGAATCCATAGACACCGACTTCCTCATCTCGCTGAGGAGCGAAGCGAGAACTGAGTCTTCGAGGAAGTGAGGATAAAGAGACTCGTGACTCACCGCAACACAAATCTTTTCGATCAATCCTGGAATACAGCAGACAGTCCCAAGTCCCGCCAGGAAGTAGCAATCCCCGATGCACCCCTGATGGATCGCACTCGACTCCGCCGCACCTTTGTCGTTGAAGAACTTGGGCTTGTCGAAAATCTCCGTAACCCGCCGGACTGAAGGTTTCAGTCGGAGCGTTTCTTTCATTCCGTAAATGCAACGTTCCCAGTCCCTCGTTAAATCGAAATCAGGGTCCCTGTATCACCGGCATGAACATGAGCTGGCTGCAAGTTCGTCACTCCATGCTCCATCGTACCTGAATTTAGCATTCCTGTTTTTACAGTCCTTCGCTATCTTCTCCACCTCCTCCCGACAGGCATTTATCTCTACCTCTAGCTCCTTTGTGACCAACAGGCCGACCTGTCTTCGTACAAGGTCCACCTGCTTCTGCCTGCCGCGCCCTTTCTTCTTCTTCTGTTGAGACTTCTTAGCCATTGTCGTTTCGTATCGAGTTGTGAGAGGGCTGAGAGAAATATCCTGCAACTCGACTTCGCCCCTCGGTCTTTATATATCTGGTGCAAGGTAATATGCCACAATTAGTTAAGCGCCCGCTCTGGGCGCTGTGTTGCTGCCTTCTTCCATCAGCTGCTCGGCGTTTCCGGGACACGTGTTTTTCATGAATACTGTTATTTAAGCGTCCTTCTCTACTCATCTCATACTCCAGCTGAATCAGATGTATACGCTGCCTACAAATCATGGAGCCCTTGGAGATTATCCTGAGGCTGTACAGAAAAAAAAATATTCCTAATCGTCGACCTCCGACTTTACGGTCCCAACGATCGAACAGGGTTCCTTTGTCTGGGTGTAGACCCTCAAACCAATAAACACGCTGTCCTTGGCATCTCTGTATAGATCCTGCCAAGTCTCCTCTTCATCGATAGCAACTTCACCCGCGTACTCCACAGGGAGGTCTTGCTGAAACGTTTGCGATTGAAGATATACGGTGCCCTGTTCAGCCGTGAGAACTGGTGTTTCTGGGCCATGTTCGGTATTAGCTGCCACTTCCAAAGGTTGTCCTGCCGTCGTATTGCCTTTGAATAACAGAAGGCAAGACCAGGCCGCCCAATCGAAGAAGTGCGATATAGCCCCTAGGACAATAGCGACCAAGATCCAATGGGCGCCCTCCAGTTCTTGGAGCTTGGGTGAAGGCCCGATGTTGTGAGCAATGTTACCGTTACCGTGGCTCAACGCTACAGCCTCCCCTGCTGCGATATCGGCTTTGGTTTCGACACCCTCGCCAGAACCAGTAGGGACATCATCAATCTGGGTGCCGTCTGTTCCAGCAACAGAATCATCGTCATTTCCTTCGGCACTCTGGGCGAGACCATCTTCAATAACTTCTTCGAGACTCTTTGGAGTGAATTTATGTTTCAACCTGTACATCGAGATCAGCCATGCATATCGTCTGGACTTCTGATCAAATGCGTACGCACCCAGTGTCCCAGTCTGAAAACCACAAATTATGGCTCGGTTGGTGGGCTTTAGATTGAATTTATCGGGGCTAATAGACTTACTTTTCACCAGGGATAACGACTTGACTTTCGCAGAGAGGACACTCGTGACTGTCTTCGTCGGGAACTACCACAAGACCAACCGTTAGCTGACAATGTGCCATTGGATAATGCATGCTCTTACATTGTTGAAGTCTGGTAGGACTGAATGATGCTCCATCTTGACCTGTCGGGATGATCGTCAGAACGGGTATTCGCAGACGCAATGTTCGAATCCTGACATAAACAAAATACGTCCCAGCCTCTAGATCAAGCTCAACCGTAATTCTAGAGTCCCCCGAAAGTGTGGTCGTTCGTAGCGGCGTCTTTTCTCCCTCCTTCACAATGGCAAACTGGAACCAAATATAAGGGCCAAGGGGCACAGTCTTGAAACCACGGGTGTTGAGTTTCGAAAGAGAGACCAGGGCTTTAGTCTTCTCTGGGACGGTGATACGGTCTTGAACGATTTAACGACAATTCGCAAAGTGATTGAAAGCCACTCACAAGAAAGACTTCCATACGACGCTACCTCTGGGATATTCTCGATGTCGACCTTCATCCATTCGGAGACCAGCACCCAGCTATCATCAAATAGGAATGTCCTCCCTATCCTCTGGAACCTCTGTAAGAAGTCGTCGTCTAAAAGTCCACTACATAAGTAACCTCGGTAAAGACCCTTCAAAAGAACGGAAGACTTGCATTCCATCACAAATTGCCCATCGTTTCCAAATACATGTTTCAACTCCTTGAGGGCTCCCAACCACTCAGAGGTCCACTCCTTCGACCCGTCAGACCAACGGCCCGTCCATTCGTACTGGCCCCATGGATTCCGGAGAACGAGGAAGCGCTTGCCCTTCCACTCGATGGCTCTCAAGACGGAATAGGCGTGATTGGGGATAAGCCCTTGAGTGACAGTGCCGCTGAAGGAGGCTGAAAGAAGACGGTCGTGGTTGACCTTTAGCACTTCCTCGTTCCAGAACCGGTCCCTGTCCAAAATATCCTACCAGGCATCAGAGGTCAGCTGAATATAGCATTCCGGCGAGGACACGTCCTACCTTGGTCTTAAAGGTGGTGGAGACACCGCTATTGAGAAAATTAGCTTAGGCGCCTCGGAGAGACGTCTGAGGAACATTGCGTACCCTGATAAATCTTCGATAGCTTCCGTCGTCCACCCACCATCCAAATGCTTAAAGTTGCCATACAACTTCGCATACGCTTTCTCAATGAGCGGGACCCACGTTTCACCTTCGGATCCCGATCGAGCGTATACAAGATGTCGTCCAGTGTTCTTATGGACGTTGTGAAAGAGCTCTCGATCACCAAGGAACGCTTCTTTTCCCTCTTCTCCCAAGGAGTCGAAAGAAGGGGGCTGAGTAGTGAACACAAAACTTGAAATATGACGTCAATGCCAGTCCTTATCTGCTGAGTGTAGAGAGGCTTACTTACTCGTCAACGATGACCTTGGCCCATCCGTCGTCTTGAAAGAATATGAACCCGTATACGCCAACCTCTTCATCCCGCTGGAGAGCCAGTAAGTCCAGCACTCGCAACACACCATGCGCGCACGTGAGCACCTACCGCCACGCATATCTTCTCGATGAGCCCAGGAAGGCAGCAAACCGTTGCAAGTGCCGCGAGGAAGTAGCAGTCTCCAAGGCCACCTTGCACAATCGCGCTCGATTCCGCCGCTCCTTTCTCATTGAAAAACTTGGGCCTGTCAAAGATCTCAGAGATCCGCTGGGTGTACCACGTTCCATTGTTAGTCTCCTCGTCGTAGACCAACCCATAGACACAGCGAGACCCGTCGTTTTCGAGGTCGAATTCGGTGTCTCTGTCGACGGATCCGTGTCAGTGCCACCAACCGCGAAAATAAATCGTTTGGCCAGCAGTCCTCACCTGAACTTGACATTGCGCTCACGGCAGTCCTTCGCAATGCGCGCTACTTCGTCTCTACAGGCGTCGATAGCATCTTGAAGCTCCTTGGTGACCAGAAGGCCAACCTGCTTTCGCACAAGCTCCACCTGGTTCAGTCGCTTCTGAGCCTTCCTCTTCTTGTTCGTGGACTTTCGCTTGGCCATGATAGCGCTAGCAGGGGGAAAAACGACTGGGATGATCTTAGAAGGGTTGCTAGAGGAGTAGAAGGTAGGAAGAAAGAATGGGTTGCTGGCAGCGCCCGACACACACACACACAGGAGGCTTATATGCGTGTCCACCGCGGGTTCCATTGTCCATGTTTGTATTAGGCGCCCACTGAATCTAGTGGGCGCGCACAAGGAAACCTCGATCATCCCGTTGACCAAGCTGTACTCAGGTCAAGCCCACAGTCCACAGCCGCTGTGATGGAATGGATACTTCTGTAATTCGAATACTCACTTCTCCGCGCCCACCATATGGCAATTAACTAAGCGCCCAGTTCCATCCTTTGCCCGACCATAGACCGCTCCATGCGCCTGATCGAAAAAAACTCGTCGAGGGACCGACTTGTCACAGGACTATGGCCAAAGCACCCTCACATTCTCATCCACCAGTTCGTCGCACACAACGTTCATTTGAGACGCAAATTCAGGTCATACACACGAGCATATACATAAGATTGACAAGAAACCAAGTCAGACAAACAAGTCCAGTACGAGACGATATCGATAGTATGGCTACAGTGGGGGGTTTGACTATGAACACAAAACAAGAAACAAATAAACAAACTACACTAAGGAAAGAGAACAAGTACATAAGTATACCAAGGACTTTTGAGTTTTTGTCGGATGTAGGTGAAGGGGAAAGGGTGTTTGAACGAGTCGGCACAGCCAGTGGAGAACGAAGAACAACGATAGGGTGCAGGGTGCACAAAGCACAAAGAACCAATAAAGAGCATTTAATCTAAAGATGAAAGCATCGAGAGCAATAGTAAGGCTACAGTGGTGTTTGAGTCGAGATGAGAGGTGAGATAAAGGAAAATCATGAAAAAGGTATCATGAACCGAAACCGAGTCGAATCCAGGGGTTACAAAGATGCAAGAGGAGAACCAAGAAAGAAATGCATGTAAGAGGTTTTAGAGATGATGATGTGGGATGGGGTATCGAAGAGCAACAACCCGTCTAGCATTCCACGTACTGCACGCCGCCGTGCACGCCCATGTCGAGAGGACCATAGTTGTACGAGTTGGCGTCAGGGTAAGCACCGGTATTGCCGTAGTTCATATCCATAGCTCGTTGTTGATCCTGCTCGGCGAGATACATCTGGTCGAACGTTGGCCCCGAGGTGGTCGCGTTGGGCACCGTGGAGTCTGGGGGAACATCCGTAGGGCCGATTTCGAGACCGAGTCCTTGTTGCTGGGATTGAGCCTGGAACATGTTCGCGTTGTTGTCGTTGGACCAGTAAGAATCGGCGGGGGAAACCATGTCGTGAGGGCTGACGCCAGATTGGATGCCGGTGGTATCGAGAGGACCGAGGGTGGGAGGAAGGCCGTGCATCAACTCGGTAACGTTGAAGGCGCCATTCGGGGTGGTGTTGGTGGTTCCAGCATTACTGCGAGGGGCGTTGGGATCTTCAGGAGCCGGGACAGGGGCAGATGTGTTCTGCGTCGCGTTGAAGAAGTTGGGGTCGAACAAGCTGAGGTCGGCTTCTGGGAGAGGAGAGTCATCGCGTTGCAGTACGATGTTGCCCGACTGGTAATCGCCCTCCATAGCCGAGCCTGGGATGCCGTTGAAGTAGCCGTATCCGAAGTTGTTGTTGTCGAACGGTGCGGTCCAGTTTCGTTGCATTCCACCGAACGCGGGACCGGCACTGGAGCTTCGACGGTGACCGAGGAGCATTCGTTGCTGATGCTTGGAGATCGATGCGACGTTCAGGTTGATGTTCGAGTCGTCCACCGGGCCTTGGCTGTCCAACGATGAGTTGGCGATCCCGGCGATACCCGATGAGCTCGGAGGTGGCAGGAATGGGACGCTGGGGAGAGCGATTCCAGCACTCGAGTCGCCCATGGGCTGGTCTTGTTGGTGCTGCTGTTGGGACTCGGGATACGATGGAGGAGGCATATAGAAGTCCATAGGACCGCCGCCAAAGTTGAAGTTGTTGAAGTCGAAGCCGCCGTTGTAAGCGCCGGGGAGGGGAACTGACGATGATCGACGAAGGTGGAGATAGCTTCCGGCAGCAGCGTTGTCGCCAGGGAAGAATGAACCGTTGCTGTTACCAGAAAGCAAGGAACCCGGGGGGTATGTGGGCTGGGGAGCGGTCATGATACCGCCAGGGAACGCGATGTTCCTCTGAGGCATCGTGAGGTTCGAAGGAAAAGGTCCCGGCGTCTGGCTCTGCCCCTTGAGCTTCTGCATCTCTCGAATTCGCTGCTTCCGCAACTCCTCCAACTGGCGAACAGCCCTAGCCAGATCCTCACCCTTCTTTCCTTCCAACAGAAGCTGAGTAACCTCCTCGCACCGGATTTCCTCCTCTGGCGAAACATCCTGCTTGCGCTTCTCCGGATCGCTAGACTGTGCCCGTGCAGCAGCCTCAGCCTGCTTCTTCTTTTTGTTGTGGACAGGTCGGAAGCGGTAGTTGGGGTACTGGATCTTATGGGCGGCTTTTTCTTGCTTCGCCTTTTGCTCCCAAACCTTCTTCTCTTCCAACGGTAGCGATCTCCAGCAGTTTCCTATACAAAATCAGAAAGCGCTATCAGCAACCCTGCCATCATGATACGATTTCTGAAGACATTCGGGATCACAGCACGACGCACCGCCTCGTCGCTGCTCACCCGACTGCCAAAAGAAAACTGGGGAAACTCACCGATAATTTTGCTTAGGCTGCCATGATTAGTCTCAATAGACCCAGGTACGTGTTTCTGGCGCACAAAGTCCGCTCTGAACAACATGAAGGCGTTGGGCGGCCTGGGAATATATCCCTGGCTCCGCCTCTTCCCTGGAGGACACCGTTTGCGAGCAGGCGGCGGGGCCGGAGTTTCGGACGGCGGGAACAACTTCGGCTGCGAGTTCGGCGAGAGGGGTTCGGGCGTGGTCGGCGAGGAGTCCTCAGACTCGACAAAGGTACCCGGCGTCACATTGGGAGCAAAGCTTATCGGTCTGGGGGGAAGCCCGGTGAGCGAGGATGGCGATGTTTGCTGGGATGACTGTGGGGCGGGTTGCTGGATCCCGACGCCGTAAACGCCAGGTTTGGCGGGGGTGAACAGGGCGAGATGGGATGACCGCCGGCGATTGCGAGGGAGCATGGCGGGGTGGCCGCTGCGGAGGGCGGGCATTCCGGAGGATTAATTAAACGAATAAAAAAGAGTCTATTTGCCTGTGCGATCGTGAGGAAGGGGACGACGAGGAAGGGAAACGTCGTAGGGCGAACAGCTCGATTGCTGTGGAAGATGGCAAAGAGAGGTGCGGCGTCTGTTCTCGCCCAGCTTTATATTACTATCAATCTCTTTCCCATCTCGTCACCGAATTCGGACCCCGATTGATGACCGTGGCACCCCTCAATTTGGCAACCTGGGCCTTATTCCATTCTTGGTTTTACGTTTCCTCTCCGGTTCATCACCTTCTCCCGTTCTTTCTCCTCATCTCAGACGACTCTTTAGCCTGATATCCTTCAGAATCTTCGCTCTGTACTCTATCGTAGCGCCTCACTCAACAGCAATTGCAGAGACCCAAAAACTGCACAATGCGCCCTGAATTAAGCGGACCATTCTAATGGAAAACTCCCGGGATCATTCGTGCCTTCTCACCCAATCCGATTCTCCGAGCCATATCGTATCTTCCAATTCGGTGCACTCGCTTGTCTTCGAATTTGGCACTTCGTTTGTGCAGTGGCTTTTACCTTGGTACCATGACCGCTTCTCTTCCCCCTTCCATCCAGTCCGCGCGTGCGCACGTCAGCCGGTCCTTCCCAAAACCAACGTTGGATCTGGTTTTCCGACACGTCTTCTCGGTTTCTCTTCGCTCGAGGCTTTTTCTCGTCCCATAATTCCGTATACTCCGTGACATCTCCTGACATGTCCGACCCTCGAATGTGGTTATCTTACCCACAAGCAGAGTAGCCCGCCTCTTGGAATTCACGTTCCATCCACGCCACCCATGCCACCCGCCCGAGTCGATGAACGAACACATCCCTAGCCTCTCTGCTCCTCTCTAAACAAACGCCATCCTGTTTCTATGACCCAGCCACATTAATCTGCACCGACGGCTTCAGTCAACAGAAGCTACACTGCATGATGCCACTTACGTTGGCCCATTTTAGCTGCCTTTGTATTCTCTCAATTTCCTCCTCCCTCTCGACGGGGAGGCTTGAGCCGCTCCCAGTGCTCCATTGCAACTTCCATCCCTTCTTGTCGCTCGGATAGCCTCAAGAGGAAATCTGCGAGCATCGTGTTGCTATGTGGGTCCTGTGTGGCTAGAACTTAAGAGACTTCGATGTGGGTGGCTATTGGGGTATGAGTACACGACATTGTAATCTCGGATTATGGAATGACGAGGGTTTCTTTGGGTTGGGCGCCTTTATTCCATTTCGTATCCGTCGATTCGCGGTAACGACATCTGTGTATACGCTGTGGGTTTTCGTCTTTAACTTCTTCACGGCTTCAAAGCCCTTCCAAGCCACCGTAATCGCTCCCTCGTCGGACGGGTATAGAGCCCTCTCTAGTTGCATCCCTCTCCTTTACCATCGGACCACGCCCGACCTCACGTTCCCCTACTTCGAAGCAATCCCGATCGACCGTATCACATTCGCACCACCTGATTCTCGGGCGTCGTGTCCACCAACATAGCTTCAATGCACACTCTTAACCTCCACCGCTCGTCATTCCACGTCAGCCATCTCCTTCTTTCATGATCGCCCTCTACCATCATCAACATTGGCGTCGTGACTAAGTATCATGATCCACAATCCCACAACCAAGGCCTTCTCTCGACAGGAATCCCCCACCGCAATCCGCGAAATCATGATCTCCAAAACGCGGCTCTACAGTTGGAGGTTCTGATGACCACCACGCGACCCCCTGCAGTCCCGGTGATCCCTGAATCAAAGAGTCTGAGCAACGAACAATATCCAACGCCCATCCTCGCCCTCCCGGGGGCACACTCCGACTACTTCCCCGCGTGTTCGACTTGGAGAGATCACGGATCTGAGGTACGGTCTCCGTATCTTCCAGCTGGGACGCTTCTGGGTGATTGGAGCCCCTGCTCGATGAGATGAGTGGAGGCGCCAGTTTTCCTCGCCACGAGCGTATGGCTTTGCGTCGGAGTACGTGGGTTATGATCAAAGGGGTTCGTATTCGTTGCCAACCTTGCGAACGATCTGGAAAGTTGGGCACTAAAGGTTCTGTGCCTAAACTCACGCTCTCCGAGAACATCGATTATGTCTCGGACGAGGAACGAAGACCCTGAATCCGCAATCGCGGGCTATTTCGTCCTCGGCGTTTCATCGAATCATCAACCCTCTTCCTTACTCTGGGTACATGGTGCCACGCACGACGCGGCAAAGCTGAGTTGACGTTGGTTTGCTACGTTCTCTTTTCGCCTAGCCAGGGTCCATCATCACGCTAGCATCCTAGTAGTAGGACAAGCGCGCGTATTATGTATGCGTACGTGAAATCGTCAACCTGTCCAAGACGTTCTAACTTCTTCGTCTAACTTCATCTCCCATGACATACATACGGGACGCCATGGTCCATCCATCAGATCTTATGCCAAGTGACCACAGAGCACGGTCACGAACTCTCATTTCATAGCCAAACTGGCGCCCACTGGCCTAAGGTCGGAGTGGTGACTCCTCCGAACTCTAATCTCACCCGCCAACATCCTGTCATCAGTAAGTCCATAATCATACATATCATATCATATCTAAATCAGAATTCCGATTGCCCACCATCGGCATCAGAGGTCGGCTGGCAGGTCGTGTGTCGAAACTTGAAGGTCCACCCATCATCAGCACTTCAGTATGAGGTACATAATTTGAGAGCAAATGCAACTCACAGAATGGGTCTTGAGTAAGTAAGTGACATCCGTGAGCCCCAAGCAGATTCTTGGCGTCAGAGCGCCGGACGGACGGAATTGATTGGCGCCCATCAGCGGCACGTGATTTGACGGAAACCGCGCCGGGCGCTGCGCAGTGCACGGGGCAACCTGGACCTGCCGATTCGTTTCTCACTTCTCCGCTCTCCGCTGGGTGGGCCATGACCTCCGAGTCACTCTGACACGCCATGCCGAGGACAGCACAGTCCGTAGTACTTAATCAACCTTGACATGGAGGACACCAGAAACCCCATTGGTGAGGACGAATCTCTCGTCCTGGTAAACGACCCCAAGGTTTTGCACTGGGACCCCATCTCTTGGAACGTCGACTCGACGCTGCAACGCAAGGCCCGAACTTGCCCACCTCGTGATCTTCTGCTGAAACCAGTTCTTCGAAGCAAGTTCAGACGCCGGTTTCTGCAGCGCGCAAACGAAACGGCCAGGTGCGTCGTCGCACTCAGCTCCCATTGAGACTAAACAGGAGCTTGAACACGAACTTCCCAGCATGACCGCGTCGCCGGAATGTCAGGCGGATTTCTACGCGCTTGAGATGATGGTGGCAAGGTGGAACCGTACACATTCTATCGTCGTCCTCTTTGTTGGTAGGTACATGAGGCCTCTTCTGATTGCAACGGCTACTCATAACTCCGTCAACCTTGTAGACAGTAAGCTCTCCGTCCGATGTTACGACCCGCAAAGATGCATCAAAACCTCCCCCATCCAACGCTTTGGTAATCGGATGCGGGGTATAGGCACGAGTTAGACCTTGAAGTTGACGGAAAGGAGGTCCCGCGCACGCTCGCCCACGACACGCACACGAGGCGGGAATTGAAGCTTGAAGCTTTGTGGCAAACATCGGCAAACCCGGCCAGTTATGTTGAGAGACCGTTCCGGACCCTATTGTCGAACGTCGTCCATCCCACCATGTCGTCTCCGCAAGGGCAAGTTCTGAGTACCGATATCCTCGAAAGCATCATCGAATACCTGGGCGCGGAGAGCAGGAACCAACCCACAACATCGGAGGCCTTCCAGGCACTTCTCAACTTCTCCCTCACCTCGTCGGCCACCCTTCATCGCTGCAGGACCTTCATCTTCGAATCACTCAGTTTTGCAGATCCTGAAAGGAAGAAGAACCGACCCTCTGTCGATGTCTATATCCAGCAGTCTTTGGAAATGCTACGGGAATCTCCACACCTGGCCGTGTACATCCGAAAGATATCGGTGTGTGACATGTCCATGGTGCCCGTGTCGTCTCTAGGGTCGGACGTCGAGGATCCGCGCGAACGGGCAGCAAGATTCAAGCTGTTAGAAAAGAGGCGCACCGACTCGTTCCTACATCTTCTCCCTCAAATCCTTCATCTCTTGCCATCAATCGTCGCTGTCGATCTCAGGGCTCATGTGCTGGGCATCGCCCTGGAGAACGTACTGATAGCCTCCCTCGAACAAATCATCGAAGGATGCAAGAGTGCCAACCGCCAACTACAGAGCGTTACGCTTCGGTCTTTCTCCGCCTTTCCGAGCCGGTTCATACACCAGCTGATCGCCATGACGGCCCAACTTGGGCTAATACTCGTTAACGAAAGCGATGGCGACGACGCAACATCGACGTCAACGCGCATCCTCTCCCCTATCCGTAGCCTCTGCATCGTGACAAAGGGCCACATTCTGTTGAACTTCTGGAACCATCACTTCCCATCTTTGCGATGGCTCTCCATCACTTCGATGGCTGCGGGGACTTCCATCGGCGTCAAACACTTCCTCTCCTATTGCAAAGATACGATAGAGACGCTCACTCTGGCATTCACCACTTGCCAGGCTCTCAGTACGTACTCTGACGCGCTCTATCGAGTCCCCTCTCACCGGCTGACTCTCGATTCAAGAGCCCCTTGTGGATGACGACGATAGTGCAGTAGTATTTCCTCGGTTGACACAGCTTCGATTCAAGGCTCAAGGCCCATATTATCGGCCACAGCCTGAGAACAGTCATCTTCGGGGATTGCTCGCACAGCTCGCAGTTCCCGTTCTCTGTCGGTACCTTGAAAAATTGCCTGGCCTACGGGAGCTCGCCATAGAGGTGACTTGGGAGTCGGATGGGGGCGACGATCTAACGTCTCAGAATCTAGTGTCGACATCGGAAGAAGATGCGGAGCATCTCAGGATATGGGAGCCATTGGACCGGGTGCTCGCCGACAAGCAGCTTCTCCCCAACCTCAGAAGGGTTACAGTCAAGCCTTATCCGCTGCAGTCTCTCGCAGATGGTTATACCAGGTCTGTGCACCTGGAGGCAGAACGAGCCTTTCCTTTGGCGAGAGCGCGGTTTAGCACTGACCTCGACATCCTTCCTACCGGTCGCCATATCACTGGATTCTCGTGATTTACCATCTCTCATAGAGTAATGCTTGACCCTTCTTGTGCTGTATGTACGTTCACAAGTCGATACGGGAAACCGCTGGCAAGCTTTGCATTCACTTGAACTGAACACTGTCCCTTCAGGCAGGTTCCGGTACGAACGTGACCAGCGATCATTGCGAGTGTCAGCTGAAATTGGGCGCTTAGATCTTGTCCCACGTTTAAGTCTCAAAGTGTACCGGGTTGCGAGGATGTGGCCATGGGTGATAGTCGAGTGGCCAGGTTTACCGTTTGAACAATGTACGAGTTCATAAAGCGGTCATGTGGCCTGAACGCGTTGGTCGTGGGAATCCGCTGCCGGCGGCTTTCAACACCCATCAGCGCGACCGCGCCTACTTGTCTTTGAACCACGACCATCGACTACGCTTTCACTTGACAATTGGCTTTACGTTCTCTTTAAAAGCTCTCCGTGACTATGGAACGCCAAATAATTAGCTGTCAAGTTGAAGATTTTATTGAAACCTACCTACCAAACGACTGTTTATCTCACTGTGCCGCGGTCATGGTCGATCTACAGGACCAGAAGGCCTTTTTGCCTCGAGAATGCTCCCTGAATCAGCATTCGCCGTCACCTCCCCAACGTTCTGTTTACTCTCATGCACTCAAGGCTTTCGACGGCCTTTTCCATGTTGGCGATGTCAACCCGAATTACATCGTCAAGTCACTCCATGCCATCGGAAGGGCAGTTTGCAGCGCATTGGAGGGGATGACTGGGATATGCGCGAACAAGCTCTCAGTTCGTCCGACAGAAACCGACAACTCTGCCGATAACTCGATCGTCGTCAGTACTTGCCTTACAAAAAATATGGACGCGGCCTTGCATCCGACCGACGTCGTTGTTCCTTTGCGGGTGTCTCGCAGACAGGCCGGCGAGAACGAGGTACGTGTCACTCATACATATTTGTCTCTTTCGTCAACTAAACGGTACCACAGACAATGGATGAGCAAATGCGGGATATCTTTCGCATAGTTAACGAGGACCCTCGTCGAACGTTTGCGTATGGAGTAAGTACAGTGTCTTTACATTCGAGAACGACCGCTGACATTCTTTTGGCTTCAGATTACTGTCGAAGACGCTCAGATGTCGCTATGGTACCTGTCTCGGTCGTGTTGCATAAAGTCAACACCATTCAACATGACAGAAGTAAGCGTGCTTTGTTTTGAACGTCTATCTGTTGGGCTAAAGTACCTCTTCGCAGCACCCGGACATCCTCGTTCAAATCTTCACATGTTTGTTCACGGCAACAGATCAGCAACTGGGATATGATCCACTTGTTACACTTCTCCCCGACTCAAGCTACGTTTACGAGTTGCCGTCGGGTGGAAGCAGGCTTAACCCTCTCTACTATCGGACTGTCGAGCTTGTTTCGCAGTTCCATTCGCCCGATGTTACTGGCCGGAGCAGTCGCATCTGGAGGGTCATCCAGGTCACCTCTCCCAGCAATCCAACACGCATTCCCGGGACTTCCGAACGTATCCTCAAAGACACTTCTTTGGATGTCGATGTGCCAACGGAAGCAGAGATACAAGAGCAGTTGTTCCACGATATCGCTGCTTTCGGGAGGACGGAGAATTGGCGATCGCAGGGTATTTTGAAGGACATGCGAAAGGCCGATATCGACGAGCTGGCAGAGGCCTTTGAAGGCGAAAACTTCAAAAGGTTTTTCTCCTGCATCATAGCCAGACATCTCGGCGACCCTTCTGCTGGATCTCAGAACTTGAACACGGGTTCCGCCAACCCGTCAGGAAAGCGCCGGTGCTTTTTCGTCTACGAGCTGGTCTGCACGGTGCTCCATGATATTCCTACCCTCGGTGAAGTCGTCGATATTCTCAAGCAATGTGTCACAGGTATGTCAGGTTCATTTGCACTCCCGCGCGACTCTGACAATCTCGATAGCGTTACGCCTTATGTTCTGCGCGGGCTGGGTTCACCGAGATGTCAGTTCTGGTAATATTCTCGCGTTCCCGTCTACGCCACAGGGCCCGTGGCAGGTGAAGCTATCCGATCTCGAATTCGCCAGGAAATATCCAAGTCCAATGTCCTCCGCTGACGAGCCTCGCGTCGTGAGTAGTCTGATCTCGTACACTTCATCTCGCTCAGTACTCATGACCTCATAGGGTACACCTTATTTCATGGCATGCGAATTGCAGACGCGCGTTCCCTTTCTCCCAGAAACTGGGCACAGAGGAAGGGATCGTGTCCGCGGCCCCAGCAAACCAGTCATTCATAACTACCAACATGACCTGGAATCGGTTTGGTGGATCTTCCTTTGGTTAGTCACCATGAGAATAGGTCCAGAGCCCGCTCGTGACTTCGGCGAGCTCTTCTTTCAGCAAAAAGAGAATCCCTCATATGCAGGGATGCGCGCCTACCTTTTTGCGCTGCCAGATGCGCTATATAGCTACGAACGATTCCCCCGAACCCTTCCGTCATCCCTCTATCGTCCATCGGCCTTCCTCGACCAGCTGAACACTCTGAAGATTGATCTATACTGGGCTTACCAATCGCTCAATGGATCTGGGAGTCAGGGAGACAGGGGGAGCTATTCTTGGATCATCGGGGAAGGATTCTCGGCTTTCTTTGAGGATATCGAGAAGACTCGTGGGGACTGGAACAGCATCCAGATGATCGTACGGAGGCCTCTTCAGCACGTCCATCTCCACGACCCATCCGGCCTCTCATCGTCCAGGAAGCGCAAGTCCGAAGTTCTGACCCCATCAATAGCCCCCCTATCAAGTCGTCAACCTGCAATAGGGGGACCCGACGGCTCAGAAACATCACCCCCTCCAAAGAAACTTCGGCGAGCACCAGCCCGACGTACTCAGCCGCCCCTGCGCGATAGGCCTGTTACGCGATCCATGACTCGGAGCCAACGCGACACTGGACCGATGACGAGGTCACGGACGCGCAAGCTTCAGCAAACAGTCACCCAAGGTGGGCTGCAGGAAAGAACGCCAGTCCCAAAAGCCCGTCGAAGAAAACGTAACTAGTATAGCACTATTACTTTACCGTCTCATGTAGCCTCTTCCCTTGTAACCTACTTGCCCGTAACCCCATTGCAATACCTCATTCATGTTTGATAGTTTATGTCCCTCAATCACATAGCGCTTAGCCCTAATTCAGCGACCGTTACCTTATTGACAGGCCAGACGACTTGTCCCCCTTGCCCGTGGCCGCAATCACACCTTAGTCTACGAGGATAAAATCGAGCACATGCTCAAGGCCTTTGACTGCCTACCTACCTAACCGGTAACCGATCTGTCACAGGTCTACCTACCTACCTACCCAAAGCTGGGACCCTCGATTCGGAGTTCGAACGGTTGCGATCAGACACTGTGGGAATGTGACAATGGTCAAAATCCAAATTCAACGCGACGCTGCTTTAATCTCAACCACATCTTCCCACTCGAAAAATCCAATTACTGTCACCTCAACGCAACGCTCCAACCTACCCGGTATCAGGACGGCAAGGACTCGACGATGTCCCCTGCGTAAGTCCCTTCTTCCGCTGCCTGTTGCCGCCTATTGCGGAGTGGCACCACTGACGACGTCCTCCCAGAACGCCTAAGCGCAGAACGTTGGTTAACCTTGGTCATGGAGGGTCGCTGAGCGAACCTATTGTGACCAGTACCCCCCGCTCAAAGTTGAACGCTACGAACATCGACGACACGACGACCCAACTTCGCTTGGACATTGCTCGGTTGATGAATTCTGAGATCGTCGTCTGCAATGTCGAAGAATTCATAAAATATTACATGCCTGGATATGACAAGGACACTGTTGACTTTGCACTGAGATATTTGGCCAGTGTCAAGAGGGAGGACAGAACTACTGTTCTTGTGCCTCGCAAATACTTGGTGCGGACCCATGATGGTTTCGAGGAAGTTCGAGTGGAAGCAGAGGATGCCGAGGAGGAAAGTGACGAGGAGCAGAGTCCAGAAGATTCGGATACGGAGGATGAGTCGCCCTCTGATAATTTGAGAAAAGAGGAAAGAGATGTAGACGGACAGTCTGGGCCAACTTCCCCCTTTGATGGGACCTCAGGGAAAGAGATCGAAGACGAAGAATATCCAAACGACTTCAAGGATGACGAAGACGACACAGATGCACCTGGCACTTTGGACACACTCGTCTACTCCCATGTGCTTCACGATTTCAGGTACAAGCCATCTCTGGTAAAGAAAGAGTACCTCAAGAAGAAGAAACGGGGCCACAGGGTCGTCCGAAAGGTCAATGAGGCCACACTTTTCAACACCTTAAGGGGCATTGGAAGCGCCATTCGCTCGTGCCTCGAGGAGAAGGGAGTTAGAATGAATGGCTACACCATTCGCATCTGTGGAAACTCCACTATGGATTCGACAATCCCCGGTTGTGATCAACGGATCGATGCTGGTCTAACCCAGAAGGAAGGGAGGGGACTGGCTGTTTCGGACGTGATTGTCCCCTTTGAATTCAAGGTTGATTGTACAAATGCATTGATCTACCAGGTGCGCCCATTTTGTTTGATTTGAACTCTCCGTGCTCATTTCAATCCACAGAACCGCCGCCAGCTGCTGTCGCATGTCAATCACGCGATGACCGATGATCCTCGACGAAACTTTATGTTTGGTGTAAGTTTCTCGGACTTGTCATAATTACACACTCAATACTCACCTCAGAGCATCACTTGTAGGTTACCATAGAGGATGACATGGTCTCCTTATGGTTTTTCTCCCGATCGCATTCCGTGAAGGCGACGGTCTTCAGTTTAGTCGAGGTGCGCCCCTTGTTATCCCTTCTCAGGCTCACTTCATGGCAAGGTTCTAATAAATAACGCCGCAGCGACCTGACCTTCTTATTGGGATCTTTGTCTTTCTGTTCTGTGCTACGGACAAACAGCTCGGCCTTGACCCTCTTGTCACGCTGATCGAAGGAAAACATTTCCTTTATCATTTACCCCCCAACGAAACGAGGATTAGGTCCCAATACTATCTGACCTCAGACTGCATCTCTGAGTACCGCCCCTTGCGTCTCAGGGGACGCGCAACCCGGGTTTGGAGGGTGAAACAGGTCAAATCGGCCACTGACCACAGGCGTGTGGATGGAACAGCAGACATGATACTGAAGGATGTTTCTGTTAGCTCCGATGCGCCCACCGAGAACTTCATCCAGAGCTGTATTTTCCGGGACATGGCCAACTTCTCGAGGGATCCAAATTGGCGCGCACGCGATATATTGCGGGATTGCACAGAGGAGGAGTTGGATGAAATTGCGGGTGCGCTCGAAAGGGAGAAATTCAGGAGCTTCTTCTCCTGTGTGACTGAATATCATATTGGTACCTCAGGTCCCTTGGTCATTCCCAGTGCTTGGAGAATCCCGGCAATCTTTGTCGAGCCAAAGAAGCAATCTCAACGAGACAGCAAGGTCCATGCTAATCCGGGTCCCCAATCGACGAAGGGAACTTCTATGCAACCTTGCAGTCAAGTGAATCCAACTCCTGCTGTCGACCATATACCTCAGCAAGTTCTTGTACCCAGGAAGCAATGTCGGTACGTCTACGGTGAGGTCTACACGCCACTCAATGAGATTCAGACTCTTGGTGAGGCTATTGACGTCTTAAAGGGCTGTATCATGGGTACGTCGAGTTGGTTGTTCTCACCTTGATTCTTTGACACTCTAACCGGGAGCTTACAGTGCTTCGGCTCATGTTCTGTGTTGGATGGGTTCATCGTGACATAAGTGACAGTAACATCCTGGCTGCGCGAACAGGTCCCAACGGTCTTTGGAGAGTGAAGCTAGCAGACCTCGAGTATGCAAAGAGGTTTCCGTCTAATCGCGCTGCGAGCACCACACCCAAAACGGTAAGGCCCTTGACCTTCGAGATCAACTTGAGTGTCATGTCTGACAAGCAACCGCAGGCTTCGCAAGATTTCCTTGCGTGCGAGATTTTGTCTTCAAGACGCATTCTGGCTCAAGTCAACACTGGGCGAAGAGGGGGAGCAGTCCCGGTTGTTTCTTCACCCCAGGTAGTAACACTGGTTCACAATTTCGTGCATGACTTGGAAGCTATCTGGTGGATACTGCTTTGGCTGATCACAAAGCGTGTAAAGCAACTCGGCCTTGAAAGAGACTTTGTGGATACTCTCTTTGGACAAGAGACGGGCAAACTGGACGTCAATAGCGCTTCCAATCGGTGGAATATTTTCACCCTAGCCGAATCCATCGCCAAGCACAACGACGTGGTCAAAGCCCTCCCCTCTCCACTACGCTCCAACTTCATCGCCGTGATGGACCTTCTACGAGTTGATCTCCAAGTCGACTACCAAAGGCAGCATCGAGAACGCAATTACCATGACCCCGGAAGTTACTCTTGGGTTGTGAATGTACCATTCAGAGCCTTTTTCAACGATATCGAAGGAGATAGGGACCAGTGGGCAGGCGTTAGGCTGATCTTAGAGTCGGAGTTGAAACAAGAAAGGAAAGGGAAAATGAAAGAGGAACCCTTGTTCACCCGAGAAGGCCCCGAGCATGGCCAACCAGTGTCCCAGATTCTGCAGAAACGCAAGTTCTCAGAGGACACAGTTTCGGAGGATCAGCTTGAAAAGGATGCCACCATCTCACCCGCAGTCGTCGGCGACCTGAAGGGACGAGAAGCAGGAACTTCAATCAGTGGAAAATTGGATGGAGAGCAAGACAAGCGCGCGGCAAAGCGCATTCGGCATTGATTGCATTTTTATACACGCTTGATGATACACTGTACCTCAGAGTTAGTACCTAGCCTCCAAACTCGCTGGCCGAACGCATCCCAAGATTTATGGTTTTGATCATTACCCTATAGGATTGAATTGGGTAGCTACGAGATGTACAACAAGGCGACTTATATCTAAAAGTTCATTACAATTTATTTCATTACAATTTATTTCATTACAATATATTCAACATGAAAGCGTCCAGCAACAAACTACAACTGGATAATAAATCAAGCGTCGAGGAGTGGGGGTTGTGAGGATGCAATCGAAAATGCACGGGATCATGACAATGCAGGGGTATCGAAAAAATTGAGGAAGTCCATGTTGTTATTCTGAGTGGAACCTTGTGGGTCATGTAAATCTATGCCGAAAAAGAATGCGGATGGCGAGGTTGGAACCAGCGGATAGGATTTCTCATCCTCTACGGGGCTATGAGTCACAATTGAGGAATCGTAGGAAGCCACTTACGATGGGCGCGGTACTGGATATTTGAGGGGCAGGTCGTTCTTTCAGCATGTCACGAAACTCAGTGACACGATGATCACCATTACGCCGGGCCTGCCTCTCTAGTCTCTTGACGACTTTCCTCTGGTATTTGTTGTTAGCGCTGTACGTCGAGTCGTTGTCAGGTATTGGGTGTTAAGTGTTAAAATTTGGAACGCACATGACAGCGTGAACCAGTTGTCGGGGTGAAAGTTCAGGATAAGCCTCTTAGATCAAAATGAGTATAGTAACGCCAGAGAACCAGAGAAACGTAGACTAACCGAATTGCGCGATAACAGTCTGGTAAGAGGCGTAAGGAATAACTCGATGAAACATGCCTGTAAGAAACGTACCTGTGTCAGAGTAGGAGCCATGCCCTCGTAGACTGTCTGACTATCTTTGCAGGCAGAAACGCACACCTAGAAGACGTTCAGCCGTTGAACACGAAGTCAAGCGTGCGAAGGGACTGACCGCAAGGGACTGAAGAGGCTGGGATTTGCGGCGACAGAACCCATCGCATGGGATCTGGATATCGAAAGAGCCTCCTGGGGGTGCAGGGCCCAAAAAATATTCAAGGACTAGATGGTTGGCTCAGAGGCTGGAAGGAACACAGAATATACATGATCCAACACACCACGTCGGAAAAGGCGACGACCTCGGCTGGGCCAAGTTTTGACCCGATTACAGCGATGGTGCTTGAGATCTCGAAGGGAGGTAGTTGAACAACGGTTTAAACGATTTAAACGGACGATGATGAATGCACACCTAGCAGAGTTGCCGAGTGGCAGCAGTCCATCACAGCCTGAGGGAGTCAACACCCGTGGGGCAGAAAGGGTAGTGAGCTGGGCTGACCAGGAAGCGAGATCCCCATGGCAAGGGCTTGATTAGATGGCGTCTGAGGACATTGTCGAGGATGATTTTCGATTTATCAAGATGTTCGGGTTGAAAGCTCGGGCCAACCACTGCATCCATCGGGATGATAACTGGGAGGAAGCCTGGATGTCAGAAGATGGTCCCATATTCGAAGACTGACATACACTCGTCCATTCCATCCTCTTCCGGAGGCTCATCAGAAGCATTGTCGGCGGTCATCTTCGCTGTGTCTTCTACGTCTTGTTGACCCGAATGTCCCGAGTCTGAGTGACATGTCAGAAAGCTGTTAAAGCGTCAAAAATGGGCCACTACTCACACAGGACGACGTATTCCATGTTGTCGTTACTGACGAACTCCGATATCTCACGCATCTGTCCACCACCGAACATGAAGCGTCAGCAGCGACGGAGTCAAGAGGGAAGGTACGCACAATGTTATCATATGTTGGGAGTCGGTCTGCTGGGGTTCCAGGCGCATCGCTCAGGATTGTTATTTCCTCTGGCTTGTAACCAATACGACCTGCAGTGTCACTGGTCAACGAGAAGCACGGCGAAGGACGAAGAAATGTTACATACTACCCCGAAGGAATTCGGCCATCTGCTCTGCATCTCGCTGAGGACACCCGAGAACGTATTTACGGTGTATCGGTGTATCGGAGTAGTTGATAGCAATGAGCAGCGCCCGCCTTCCCTGAGGAGGTTTGCCAATGTTCGACTACCAGGAACAGTCAGCAGATTAGCCGCGGAGAATTGATACAGGACCTCGTCGCCGGCGACGGTACTCACAGCCAGAAGTTGAGCCGCCAGCACAGGCCATGTCTTCTTCCGCTGGGGGACCTTCAGCTTTGTCCCCTGGAGCCGGGGTTGAATGTGGGGGCTAGATGTCGACATGATTTCTTCGAGTGGACGGAGGTCGTGTGATATGGTTGAATCAGCGCGTCTGTGAGGAGAAAGAAGGGTGGGGGATGAGAACAGGCATTTTGCAAGAGCTTTTAAGCCGCCAAAGGCGGTGTTCGAAAAAGGGATGCGCGCACAGCAGTTGCGCCCAAGGCGTATGTCGGAATAGGCAGGATAATCGGGAAGCACGTGAAGCCACAGAACCGGTTCAATCGGTTCAGTTCGTTCTTGTGCTTCACGAAACGTGTTCAAGAAAGGGTGAGCGGTCTGTAGACCTGGGCACAAGAGGATGGGACTGTTCGACGGAGAGCATGGCGGCAGAGTGGATGGTGGTTAGGAAGAACGGGGTTGAATCAAAACCGACCCTCGATTCTGATTGTCAAGGGTGGGAACCGTCGCCCCTATGTGTATTGGGAGTGACAATAAGGAAGTGGATCTAGAAAACGCAAGGCCAGGAGCCATAGAAAGACCCATGCCGTCAATTTTCCGAGTAAGGTCCTGCGAAACGGTTCTGATTCTGAGTAACATCCATTGCACAACCGACGCACCTTGAACGCGATCTTTACAGCAGCGTCCGCAGTGATTACAGATCGTGATCCTTGAATGAGTGGATCGCAAATCTTTCCAGGGAAAGCTTCAATAGCCAAAAGAGTCCTTGAATGCGGCACATCAATAGAGAATGTGACGAGAGTCAAGGATAGAAAGGCTGATTTCGAAACTTGAACATCGTCATACCGTACTTTTTCATCGAAAAGTATTTACAGGCAGCTGTGAATCGGATCGGTGATGACCTCGAGGCGTGGCCTCCTCAGATCAGATGTGCGAACCAGATGCGAAGAGCTGTAAACTGGGTCGCCACAAGAATGATGACAGCAACACAGGGAGACATTGCTCCTGGGTTGGAGGCCCGGAACGAAGCTCGATAGAAGGGAGCTCATGTCGAATGTGAAGTGGATCCCCATGAAATGAGCATACGGAAGTGCCGGCTTGCTGTAAGATTAACGAGAATCATTCCAATCATCAGCATTGATTCCACGGTTTCCCCGCACCAGAGATGGAGAAATGAAATCGTGACGACGACTTCAGTTCGATAGTGGTCACCCACTGCGAGCAAGCGACATGATGCCAGAATCGATTCCGCTCGGAAGAAGCTGGAAAGAAAGGCCATACCGACAATATGTGATCGCCTCCTGTCTTTCATTCATTCGCGGTCGTCAAGGAGCCAAGTGAAAATAGCACAATCCGCCAGACAAAAGATCTCGGGATATACAGTAATATGCAGAACGCCTCGCGTTCATCGACATCGTCGCGGCAGTGATAGCGATTCGTTGAGCAGGGTCTCCGTGCACAGATAATACGATTACCAGCCCAGAGAACCAGTTCGAAATCTGTCGACTCGCACAGCCCGGCTTCGAAGTTGAGCCACCCTGAGAAGAGACGGGCGCACGCCGAACATGCAAGGACGATATGACCATTGACGAAACGTGAAACGTGTCATGGACCCTGCGAGATACAAGTAATTCGTGGTTGCCTGGGTCCCCACAGAGATTCGTAAATGCCCATGTCGGTAATATCCAGGGACTTGCGCAGCTTTCTGCACAGACTCGATCCCCAGTGTTTCGATCGCCATCGTTGCCCAAAGCCAGAAAAAAGCGCGTTTGGGCAGTCCAAACGTTCAAGGAGAACATGACACCGACCTGGGGCCATTTCGGCGAGCTTTCCACGTTCCAGGCGCAGCACCAAGAGTAGTCGTCGTCGTAGGCAAGGATTGAGAATGAGGAGCACGTCGACGTGACGGCTTGCCACGACGCGTCATTGAAAATTGATGGCTGAGTCAGCAGACTGGACGCGTGCAGGGAACGTGCCGAGAAAATCCCGATTTGGGTTCAGCCTTGGCGAGTGCGGGCGCTTATTGGGTGGTTAAGGAAGGAATCCGCAGTAGCGATGTCCATGAAGGTGTATGTGTAGAGATAATGGTAGTAATGGAATCATACACTATCCAAAGTACCCCTCTGGCATTGAGAGAGACAGACATGGAAAGATCGAATGAGGATTGGGCTGTACTTGGGTTACGATGTTGTAGGCTAGATTCACCAGTCTAATGGCGTGCCAAAAATAGAGGTGCCTTCTTTTGAAAGCCCAAAATGGAATTAGAAGGCGGCTTATGTATCTTGGACCGTTCGCGGCAGGTACAGCCAAGTTTGTGTCTTGAATCACTGCAAGAGTCAGCCTGGGGGCCCAATAGCAATGACGTCGACTGTATATATCTATTCGGTACCTACTCTCCGCCAACACAAGGATCCATAGGACCTTGAATGACTCTATCAGAGTCAAACAATGACATTCATACTGTTATTGTCTACGGGAGGTCCGTCAGATGATAACCATCGTCACCCATAGTCGACCCATCCTAAATATAGCTACCTCGGGCTGCGCATTTAGAACGTTCTAGAGCCACTCCCCTACACCTCCTCCGCTGCAAGGGATAAAGAGTACGTAGCAACCCCTTTGGATCCTCTCGGACCGTCCTTGCAATTTGCCTCGAGGCAATAAAAGAACTTTGCCTCGCTAAAACGGATCACTGTGATCATAAAAGTTCGTAATATTGTTCGTGAAAAGCTTATACTACTAGTACTGACTACACATTAGAATCGTCGAAATCGTTACATCGTGAGTCCGTGAAAGGGTATATCGGATGAATAAGTACAGTAAAGTAAGTAAAAGGTGCCCGCTCGTGCAGGGTCGTGCTGAAGGGCAGGCTAATGCCCGAGGGTATAGTAACTACATCGACTCGATGACGATTAACTAAAAGTACATTATGTACCAAAACGTCCGAATCCACAATAACACAAAGAATAACGATAAACAAAACAACAAAACAGCAGAAAGGAAGGAAGTCCCGATTGCCCATGGTTCCTACTAGAGGACCCACAGACTTCTGACCGGAACATGAAAGCTTCATCGGCCCCACAGTACACAGAAGCGGAAGGAAGAGGTACAGTAGTACTGAAAGAAACGAAGCACCGAGACGAAGCCGTGCGAGAACGATCATAATGGATCACAGAAAGCGTCCATGATCCGAGAAGAATGCAACCCTCAGAAAGGGGAAAGGAGCAGGGAGTCGGCGGCACTGGCATCGCATCGGAGAGCAGTACCACAACGAAATCCCCTGCAAGGCATAGAGGATAGAGAATGGAATCCCAACCCAAACGCATACCGACGAAACATCGGTAGTAGTAGGAAAGCCGCAGCAGAAATCGAACCCGGCTCTGAGTCTTGAGTCTCGAGTCTTCAACCGGTATTCAAAATCCACACATCATACGCCTTGGTCCTCGAAAGACCCATAAACCTCGTATGACCCATCAACAAATCCACCCTCTTCATCCCACCCGCCTTCTCCCTCGAATACTCACTCCGACTCCTAAACCGTCTATACCTCTGCTCATACGCCCGAATCGCAGCCGCCTTCTCAGACGAATGCAGCGCATCATAATCCATCTGCGTGAGATTGGACCGGAGGGTACTGTAGAGCTGGTCGAGGACGTCGCCGACGGTCACGTAGGACCGGCGGTGGGAGGGGAGAATCCGGATGTGCCATGGCAAGATCTCCGACTTGAGCGTCAGGGATTTCAGTGGGGGCGTGGTGGCGGGCTCGTCGAGCGCGTCGGGGGAGAGGTGGTGCTGGTGCCGCGACGCCGTCGAAGGGTGATCCTGGAGGTCGAAATGGATCGCAGGCCGACTCGACGCCTCCAAGTAGCGGTGTGCGCGGACTGTTGGCGCCGAGATTGTGTGCGACCGGGAAGGCCGAGTTGACGAGGATTTCTTGGAGGAGGAGGGAGTGGAGGAGGAGAATGGTTGGTAGTAGTAGGGCATTGGGCCCGGGCGAGACGCAGTGGAGGGTAGGGGGACTGGATAATCAGGAGGCGTGATAAGCGCTGCGGATGACGCTGGTGATAGCGAGCCAGCGGTTAGTGCTGGTGTCGGAGGGGAAACCACCGTGTTGGTCTTGGAGAATCGGACTTTCTTCCACAGTCCTGGCATTTCAACTGGAATAGCGCGTCGCTGGGTTGAACGATGTAATGGAAGAAGGTAAGGGCTTTGAATCGTAGGGTGGGGTGTTTGAAATAGGAAAGGGGGGCAGACAGAAGGATTGTCTATAAACGTTTTGGAGACGCGTCCTATTTATAGAACGAAGCCGACTCACCTTGAGCGGAACACAGCCCGACCATCCAGTGTTTCGCTCTACGTAAAATGACATAGGAGGCCTGTTGCGCGGAACACTGCTGCATGTCTACCGCGCCACGCTAGCCCGGTTAGGCAACGAATAGGCGCCTCGGAAGGTACAGATCGCCATTCCGTGGCTTTTGGGAGGAGGCAGACAGGACTTGGCTTGTGGGAGCAGAGAAATCCGTGTGGGGTGACATCATCGGTCGAGCGGAAGCATCAGATGCGCCCGGGATCCAAGGGGAAATGGTGTTGAATTTCGTTGAAGCGTGCACTGCATTCGCCTCTTTTGGAGCGACACCACCATAAGAATTGGCGCTCGTGGCTACAAGAGCCCACCCCCTAAACAACAAAAAAACTGCGCACCTGCAAGCTTCATTGCATTACCCGCTCTGAATCATACACAATGCTCGACGACAGTGCCTCAGAGACCGTCCTCGCCGCACCCGATGGCTTGCATTCCAGCTCCAAAGCGCCCAGAACGCCATAACGGTCGTTTTGGACCGGTAAAATGAAGTCTTTCAGAGTTTTAGACGTGCACAGCACCTGGAGATTGAGAGCCGCCCACTGCGAGGAGGCGGACATGACTAAATGAACCTCGGCAGTGAAGTTAATTCCGAATGGAAGACTGAGAGCTTCGTGCTTGACAATCTCTTGTTTAGTAAAGGAGGACGGCGAAGGATGAGTCTGGAAACAAAGAGAACACGTTAGCCACATTCAAATCCTAGTAGATCCCGAACATGTCTGTACTTACTCTGCAAGGTTACATTACGCTCTTTTCGGTTCGCAAGTGGGACAGTGCGAGGCATTTCATCTTGATGCCAGTCAAAGCACCACCACCATCTTCGGAGTGCTGTAAAGAGGAGAGTCGAAAAGTTTAAAAATAAGTTGCCAACCAGTGGGATGACGTTACTGGACACGCAGCTTTGAGGTACGATTCGAAAGCTGTAGATAGAGGGGAGCATGTGATAGTGCTGACAGTTTGACCCGCTATCCTCCCCGAATCGTTCCCATTTCCAGACTTTCTCCGGCCCTCTTCCGTCATAACGGACTTCACAAAATCTTTCAAGAAGCCAAAGCGATTTCAAATAGTCAAGAACATCGTTGCATTTCCAAACATGTCTGATTCTCGAAGGATATCGAATCATTCGAAACATGACCAAGAACATAATGTGCGAGCTTCCAAGAAACTACGCTAACAAAGCAAGTGCGTCGAACAGCGAAGGAATTACACTACTAGAAAGAAAGCAACGGCGGGACGGACCGTCAAGGCCTGAGATCCATACAGTAGCTACTTTTCGAAGTTAGTCCCGAACTACAACCGAACGCATAAGGGGTAGGGTTATGGGCAAAAGGAACAGGTCGAGTGGGAGAAGTGAGTAGGGTATGGGAAGGGGAGTGGATGGTGCTCTATACGTGTGTGGTGGGAGGATATGAAGCCAACTATCGCAATATTAGCAATAATGAAAGATAAGATAGCGTATCCAATAATCAGAGTAAGCCCGAAACACACATCATCCTCGGGCGCCACAAAAAGACCCTGGGTTGGGGTCTGAAATGCACGACGGCGTCCCTGGGTTGTCGAGGGCCCGTTTGCGTGCAGCGTCGAAGGCGGTCGGCGTTCGACTTTGTAAAGGAGGTCAAGCTCCGGCGAGGGTTGGAGTCGGTCATCATGAAACGTTGAGTTCCCAGGTATCTGGACCCTTGTGCGTGAGCGACAGGCCCATGAAGCGGTTTCGACCCATCAAAAAGTCGATTCTCTTGACACCCTTCGCTGCTTCCATCTCGCGGTGCTGGGGATCGGGGATGCGGTTGAGCCGAGCAAAGTATGCCGCGTCGACTCGTGCCTTGCCTGGGCCAAGGAGCTCGTATTCGAGGTGGTTGACGGGGAGCCGCAGGTCGTGGTAAATGGCGTTGAGACAATCTTCGACGGTTACGCAGGACCCGGGGTACGGCGATGATGCCTTGACCACGATCTCCCATTTGAGGTATTCGGGGCAGATTATGGTGAGATACTGTAGCGGTGGGTTCGTTGCTGGTTCCTTCAGAGGCGGTGGGTCGAGCTGGTCGTGGTAGAAGACTGGCGGCAGCGACAAATCATGGGAGATTTGAGGCTCTGAGAAGGGACCATACGCCAGGCAACAATGAATCTCCATCTCCTTGATCTCTACGACGGGCTCTGGGGCGTACAGCTCGTAGGGCTGGGGGTATGGCGAGCGTGGGTAGGTCGCCGACTGGTCATCTTCGAACTCTGGGGGCGGTGTCGAGATGTCTGGCGACGACGGGAGGGACGACGATGAGACTGAGGGTGAGGGCGTCGTCGGGATCGGTGAGTAAACTCTGTTGGTCGCTGCGAACTGTACGCGTTTTGGCATGTCGTCGAAAGCTGGTGGATGGATGAGAAGAAAGCGGCTGACTCGGGTTTATAAGGCAAAACCCAAATTATTGCATGAGAACCCAACCTCGTCCAAATGGGGTTAGAGATGCATCCATCTTGATCCCTAAACCAAGCATCGCACCGCCCTCTTGCAGCTAAGGTGTAAAATATCGCGCCCAACACCACACACAACGTCATGAACAATAGCCTTTCGAGTCAACAGCCTTGTAGTGCAGAGTCCAGAATATCCGAGGTTGTAGGCGAATGGCGAAAACGTAAACGTTGAACCCCGGTTGAATTTCCGAGGATGGGGCTCCGAATGCCAGCTCTCCTAGCTATACCTGATTGAAAGTTGGCATATCGACAGGTGCTTCAACGTTGAAGGAAGTTGATACTCACCATACATAACCTAAACCGTCTCCAGAGTAATGCCTGATCGCGGTGGTCCACGGCGATTCGTTGTAACCGGATATTGTTGACACGACCGCTTGCTTGAACCATCTCGCAATCTATCCGTCTATACAATATTTCTACAATTGTCAGATGCTGAAAATAACCTGAACGATAGGCCAGGAGTAACGCACCAGTTTCCTGGTGTATCAGCGGCCGTCCCAAGCCGTTCTCCAGAACCCGATAGTTCGAGATCTACGGTCGAAACGTTAGATGCCTCAATGTCGCTATGGGGAATGCTTTTCCCCTATTTCATCACGAAACTGTTCGAATATCAGCGCGCTACAAAGAAAGAGAACAAAGTTCTTCCACGTACAGAAGCCATTCAAGACTCAAAGGTTGCAAGAATAGAGGGGGTTCAAGCGGTAAACAAACCGCAGGAAGGAGCGTCAGTAGCCTGAAAGACGCCCAAAAAGGCAAGTTTTCATTTCCGCAGGTTGACGTGTTGAGCTGAGTGGCAAAGGAGGGCTTCTTCTCTTGGACTTGGGTCGAACTTTAGTTCAGGTTCGATACGAGAGTGGCTGGTAATGGACTGGGCGATGAGGGAGAGGTGTTATCATGATGGTGGCGAGGATGGAAAGCCTCGAGGCTTGTCGGTGGTTCGTCTCTCTCGCCATCATCACGTGCTGTCGACACGCTACCACGTGGGCTTAATTAAAGCCAATTTGGACGCGTCTGATAACGCCGACGCGAATAGACGCGATGAAAAGCCCTCTGAAGGACGTGCCATCTCAGCTAACCATCCTCCTCTCCAATCCATCTTCAGTCAGGGAACTGGAGCTGTACACTTCGATTCTTCGGTGTCCTAGACTCGGTACCTTTACCTATTCTTCACATGAATCAAGGCTGCTAGCCAAGCCGGCTCTTAGTTTCCCAGTAAGACGTGGTACGAAGTGTATTGAAGACCGCAAAAACCCGCAAAGCACGCTACCGAAGGTGGTTACGAGATAAGAAGAGTCCTGAAAGAAGGAAAAATGAGAGCCAGGATGTCGTTTCTTCGGAAATTAAAAGCATCCGCATCGAGTTGGTAACGTGACGATGGTTCAATCCCCTGGTTATCGAATTTCTGCTTCTGGTTGGCTTGAAGATGAGAGAAGCGCTCTACTATTACTCACATCTACTGAATTCACTTGACGTTCTCGTTTCTCTAGGTCAACGCGTCGACGCGAGACGTGTACACTAATAGGGGCGCGGGATCAGCGACATCGACGGCATCAGCGAGCTTGCGATAACTAATTTCAAATAATTGCTTTTGCAACTTGATTACCTTCTTTGCGAGCGCTAGGCTCGCAATCAACTCGAGACAAGTTCAGCGTTCATCATCCCTGCTTAGATCTGAGACACCTTTGGGCTTGATACCTCTTTCACTCAGGCCTGGGTCTCGTGGCCTGCCACGTCGCACGTTCTCGGTCCAATCTAGCAACGACCTTTTCGAGTATACTTCCGGGCGCTGGGTGTAAGTGGCATGTATTTCGGCGCACGATGTAGTAGCCTAACCTGTCATCGAACGATACCAGTTACAACGATGCCCTGCGACAGACAGAGCGGAGACGCGTCTTCAACGTCGACGTCCTCCGCCAACTCGCAGCCCAATCCATAAACCGAAGCCCAGACGACATCCATCACTTAACCAAACTAGCAGAAGGCGGTTTCAACCGTACCTTCCTCATCACCATGAGAGACGGTTTCCAAATGGTAGCCCGAATCCCATACCCGTGTACACTACCCAAGTTCTACGCCGTCGCGAGCGAGGTCGCTACGATGGATTTTCTCCGGTCGTCTGGGCTTCCTGTGCCGGAGATTTATGGGTATTCGCCTACTGAGGACAACGAAGCTGGGACGGAGTATACGTTTATGGCGTTTGTCCGGGGTGTCAAGTTGAGCGACGTTTGGTATGATTTGGACGGGTCTGGGATGGTGTACGTCCTACGCCAGCTTGTCGAGCTCGAGGCAAAGATGATGGCTCTCTCATTCCCGGCGAGTGGGAGTCTCTATTACTCGCGGGACTTAGAACATATCGGCGCACCAGGGATACCGCTTGAGGACCAGCGTTTCTCTGTAGGCCCAGATACCCGCCTCCCTCTATGGTTTGGCAGGAGGTCGCAGCTTGACGTAAACAGGGGACCACGTATGTCATTCACTCCCTTGAACCCACACTCGACCTGACCACCAGCTACAGACAGGACTCCAGAAGCCGCACTAGCCAGCCCAGCATTCAAAGAGCTGGCATATCTCGAGAAATTCGGCCAACCCCTCCTCCCGTTTCAGCGGATGCGAAGAGAGGCTTACGAGTACCAAGAACAATCGCCTCTAGACCACATCGAGAACCTGCACCGGTACCTCTCCATAGCTCCCTCGCTCGTACCGAGAGACCCAAGCCTGCACCACTTCTGCGTCCGTCACCCCGATCTCACCACCTCCAACATCATCGTTTCCAAATCACCTGGATCCGACATCGGTCACTGGGATGTAGCAGGCATCCTCGATTGGCAGCACGCTTCAATCCTTCCCCTATTCCTCCACGCCGCGATTCCCTATCACATTCAGAACTACGGTGACCCCATTTCGGAGGGTATGATCCCACCCTCACTACCCAAAAACCTCGCCGAGATGGGCGAGAACAAGCAGAGTCGGGTGCGAGAAGTCCACCACCGCCGACTCGTGCACTACCACTACGTCAAAACCACAGAAGAGCTCAATAAACGGCATTATGCAGCCTTGATGGCACCGATGGGCGTACTCCGCCGACGGCTCTTCGAATATGCCTGTAATCCCTGGGAAGGCGAGACGATCCAGCTCAAGTTCCCTCTCACAGAAGCAGTGGAGAACTGGGGAGCGCTCTCCGGCGGAAATGCTCCCTGTCCGATCGAATTTGAGGCTGACGATATCGAGGAGACGGGGAAGCTGCAGGAGAAGCAGGAAGGCGCAGATCAGGCCTGGGAGATGGTACTTCAGAGTATTGTGGGATGCGGGGAGGAGGGGTGGGTGCCGAATGAGGATTACGAGGAGGCTCTGGAACGGTGTAGGATGCTGAAGGAAGGGGTGTTGGCTCAGGCCGTGTCGGAGAAGGAGCGGGCTGAGATTGAGCAACATTGGCCTTTGGATGATATGGACGAGGGGAAGTACATGTGAAAAGTGGATGGAGTAAATGTTCTATTCCGTACGTTTGGTCTGTGCTCTACTCAGAAGACTGAACTTGAAAGAACTTTGATATCCTTTCCCTGCGTCCTCTCAATTCCCACCGCTTTGCTGGGAGACTCCCTACGGTAGCCAAGCATGCTTAGAAGCACTCTGACTCTTGAGAAAAGTCCATAGCAGACCGCAGCCGAAGGTCCTTACGCGAGAAGCGAGAGTAGCCTCTATCCTCTAAAGTAAGTCAATCCCACCGTCGTTATTGCGCAAATAGAGAAGCCCCGAGATCGAAGGGGAAAGGAAGGTAAAAAGGAGTTTGGGAAGCAATCGCATTCGGCATATCGCGGTTAATGGGCATAAGATAGGGGTAAGTTCAGGGACTGCTACTACTCGTGATTCCTTTGCGATAGAAGCTCATGAACTGTGTGTGTGTGTGTGAGTCGTAACATAGCAAGTACCTTGAGATGTCTCCACACCACCTTGATTCCGTTCGTAGAGGAAGGGTGCTAATTTAGTCTATACGGCGGGTTCCTGGCGCTTCATTCGACCTAAATCATCCAAAGGGCCGAGTGAGGTGATATTGCGATAAAGAGTTTACGATAACGAAACTATCCCATCATTGTCTCCTCCACTCGGTGACCTCGCCCATCAGCCCATCCCTTGTCGTTACCCAATCTCAACCTGAAGGGTGGAACATGTCAAACAAGCTACCTATCATTTGAACATAACGAATATGGTAGGTGTAAGGGGATAGGAATCATCGGGTGTCACACTCAATACACTCGACTCATCCCAATCCAAGTTTAATCCAGAGCCGAACGTTAGACTCCCAACTTGAAGGGCATGTTAGCCCGCTTCTCTGCAATCTGAAGTGATCTGAAACTATAAATATCATCCACTTCGTTCATTCACGAGCGCTTAAGCCTGTGTGTAGCGTATCTATCGGCCGGCTTAATGGAGCCGCCCACAATTCATTTGCAGTCCAACAGCCCAAGGCTCAGCGTCTATTATTCTATTTTTATTAGGTACCTTCCCCTGTGATACTCGGGGTTTAAAAATACTCAAAAGGCATGTCCCTATCTCTAATCATAGAACCAAGTAGCCTAACACAGGACTCCGCCCGGTTGAGATGGGACCTCGTCTTAAAGCTTCTCTCTCGATAATTAAGTCGTTGCTCAGAGAATGCTGTAGGGGTGATCATGATGATCTTTGCTGGTGTGTAAGACTCAGACTCGATTGTCCAGAGTCATCGCCTATTCGACTTCTCTGAGAATCCACAGCTGGAGAAGTGCACAATCCGATGTGTCTTTTCATATTAACTCGGGGTCTGGATGAGCAGCCCCTGAGCCCGACCCTGGTTGCTCCTCCGATGGCGCTACTACTACTTCTCGAACTGCATCCTTTACAGCGGGTAGGAAGCATTCATCCTCCGGCGGGTCGGGTAAAACTCGCAAAAGCCAATCTCTACAGCATTTGCGATTCTTGTATACAGTAGACAGGGATTCGAAAAACGAGCCGCAATCCAGAGCCAGAGATTCGCCGCTCCCGGGGAGAACGAGTCAATCTCGAATCGAAAGGATCTCGCTCAGCAAGTCGAAGAGTACCCTCCTTTTCATCCCTCGGCTCTCATTTACCCGAGATGATCTTCCGCCCGCATCTATCGGGGTGCACCGATGGAGTGGCGGCGGACCTAACGCACGATAATCGTCGACAACGCAGCGGAAATGAAAACGCATGGGCGTTCAAATAGAGAGCAATTGTTCGGTTTGATGCAGCGGCGCAGCATTCTCGCGTGGTATTGAATTGTAGTAACCCTTGTCCTCTCCCAGTATGGATGAGATGTATGCACAAGCAAGAATTAGGCGCCGGGAACTGCGCACCAGAAGCCTGGAACGAGGCGCGGGCGTTGTTTGTTCCCAACAACCAAGTTAAATTGGAGGATCCGGTGTTGCTCACAGCCAACGCCTCATGTTCTGATTTTCTAACTCAGCGAACGGCGAAATGGAAGCGCAATTGAATGTGCAAATTATGTATAAGCTCGGGGATGAAGCCATGAAACGGATGGATAATGAGTGGGATCACAGAGCAGTAGTCACACGATAGCATAGCATCAATCGTCGATTCCTATGTGGTGTGACAGGTCTGGCAAGGATGGGGCCCACCCAAGCCGAGGTGGAACCACCTTGAAACGGACCGCCGGAGGAAAGAGAAGTGAAGAAAAAAAAAACGACTCGGGGAACGGAAGAATGGTTCCAAAAAGGCAAAAAGGTATTCATTGAAAATGCTAGTGTGGGCGACGATGATGTAGTGTACATGTGCATGGTAGAGGTGGGGAAGAAAAGAAGGTTTGCGAAGATGACCTGATAGAGAGAGAGAGAGAGCAGATACTGGATACAGGTGTGACATAACGGAATTGAGCGAGAAAGAGTGGGGACGTTGCCTTGAGGCGAAATACAAGGGGTCTATCGACCAAGAAAAATCGAGAGCAAAAGAAAGTAACAGAAATATCCCTTTAGCAATAACAATACAGCCAGCCACCGCAGAGGTGAGTAGTGGGTGAGGTGGGTAGGGGGTAGGGTACAGTGAAGGGAGAATAAAAGAAATGGACAAACGGTCATAAAGGTCGTGTTCGATCATAAAAAGCAACATAAATTAACCTGTCCATGAGCAGTAGAGCAGGGCCGACGGCCGGAAATTCAGTGGTGATAGGTAGAGCCCAACCACCCCCAAAAGCCTGTAACGATCGAAACTTAACTTCGATAGTCAATGAGGGAGAAGGGAAATACATACATGAAGAGAGGGATCATGCTTCTTCAACGACGAGCTCCCAATTCCCCGTCTTCGCGTCGAGCGATAGACCAGAGAAGAGATGGCACTTCGCGAGGAGATCGATTCTCGACGGCTCCTCATACTGCGACCCCTCTTTCTGTTTCAGCGTCCTCGCTCGGTTTTGGAAGTCGAGCAGGACTTGCTGACGAACCTGTGGCTGGATCGCCGACAGGTCAATCGGCTTCTTGAGACTGCGATAGAGCCCCCATAACACGTCCCCAACGGTGAGATAGCCCCTCTTGTGGCCGTGAGGCCGGATGTCGAAGGATAAAGGCATAATGTATGATCGAATGACAATCGTCATCGAGTCAACGGGTGGGAGGACTGCGGGGCGTTCCAGGAGCTCTCGCGTCACAGATTTCCCGGGCGTGAAGGGGTCGTTGTCTGGGTTTCTCCAGAGATCATAGTTGAAAGGCCGCAGTCTCCCTGGCTTTGGAACCGATAGAGACGTTTCCAATTGAGGGGCGACCGAGACAACTGGAGAAGAACCAGGGAACTGCCCGAACAACGGGCTCGTTGAAGGTGGTAATTGCGTGTCCAGATGGAGTGGACTGTTTAGCTCGGGAGACGATAGTGTCGAGCCCGACAATGAGGGCGACGGTGTGCCAATGGAGTACACTTCGTCGTCCTCGCGGAATGTTACTCTGCGAGGCATTGTGGTGGGTGTCAAGACTGTGCGTGGGGGGGAAACAAAGAGGTTACTCAGTGAAGAGCACCTAGTAAGAGAGTGAGGGTATATATAAGTAAGATTGTTCACGATGGAAGGCTAACAGCAAATGTGGCCAAGAGACGACCAAAAAGGAAATGGGTGTGTCAACAAACCTTGATTCGCTCCGGATCGAGGGGCGGGGATGGAGAATGGAGGCAGGGTGCGGCACAATACAGAAACTCAGTGGTGTTACTTACCTGTCAAAAGGGGGAGAAGGAAGTGGATTTCAGTCGGGCCTAGGTTCGTCACGGAATATAATAGGAGGCTTCAGAAGTCCGACCAGTCTAAACAGCCTGAGTCATTTTGACCAGTGGGTGTAACAAGAGATGTGAGCGGGCCGTCCAATAGAGTTTCCTCAGTATTTGAAGCCCCCCACGGCTACAGCCTTCACTGACGAGATGGGCGGTCGACGTTATGGAGAGATCGTTACCCAACGTCAGGGGGCGGGCAGTCCGTGGATACGAAGGGGCAGTTCCCGACCCCCGCACACCATTTCGTCAGTGGGCACGAGCGCTAAAGCGAGAAGGACGCAGTTGGGCGCAGGGTTGCGGAGTTGCTTCGGGGTTGCCCGACGTCAGTCGCAGGCTGTTCGTCACTGGAAAACGAGGCAGTTCGGGACCCACATGCGCTGTCGTTAGGTAATATCAGCGGGCGCTTGTTTAGACAGGGGCGGGAATTTGGTGCGAATTGGCCGAGGCCAGCGCCCGTGCGGTGTCGCCTCCCCTGGAGACAAATTAGAGAAATTAATCATCATCATCCAAGACAGGAGACTCGTCGCAATCGCATTGGAGCGATGATGCATGCGGTGGTGGTGAGACTCGTTTGGGAGACGGGCGATATCATTTGGGAATAGTCATACAAGCTTTGCAAGATAGATTGCCTTGGATTGGCCTTGAATGAGACCCGAGTCGTACCACTTTGTCATTGCCAAAAGATGGATTTCATCCGCAGCACCATAGAGTTCAGTGGAAACCATTGGACAGTCGACGGCGATGGGACGATGATGTAGGTGGTTGTCCAGAAAAGGCCAGAAAACAACAGCAGCCGGTAGCTTCTGAGGTCCGGGTAAAAGGCTGAGCCACGATAAAGGTAGCAATACGGCATGTGGAGCCTAGGGCGCTAAAGTCAGAAGAAGCGCCCTGACGAGGCGCTGCGCATGCCAGTTCGGGTATCGACGTCACAACAGGAAAGCGTGTACCGCGCATGTCGGAGAGTTCGCGCACAGGTTCCCATGGCACCTATTTCCAGGATATTGAGCGGTAGAGAATAGGGGATAGACGACAAGCGCAGAGTCGGTCGTTGTGCGTGAAAAAAAAAGTGCTTGCGGTCTGCGAGTTGAACATTGATGTTATTTGCCAGTGCCTTGTGACCCAAGCGGAGACACACAACATGCCGGTGGCGCAGCTGTTCGCAGCCCCTATTCTGATTGGAATTCCCGACGACCATGGAACAAGGCTGTGAGTCAGTTGCACTCGAACTACAACCACTTCTGACAAGGCGGTGACGATGCTGAGCATTGAGTCAAATGTCAACTTGTTGGATTCGGGCCCCCTACTTTCTATAGTAGGACTTGAAGGCGCATAAATACGGACCGTCGCAAGGTGGAGGTAAAGACAATCTTCCCCACAATCAGCAGCACTATCTGATCAATCCCTTCATCACAATGCCAGGCAAACACGTACACTTTGCGGACGCGTTCCCCGCGACGCCTTCACCATCGTTCTCGGTGAATTCCCTGCCCTCTACTTCCGGGCCGTATACCCCCCAATCGGTATCTTTGGGGTACCTCCCACTCCCTCCTACGTATTCGGGGGTTTTCTCAATCCACCCAGTCTTGAAGTACTCTACGAGCCCAGTATTGGCTTTTGATATTTCCCTACCGACAACCTCCATTCAACCCCGCGATCCAAACGTTACCCCATACGTCCTCGCGCAACCAGCAACCGAGCCTCCCCTCCCATTTCTGGAGATTACGGCTCCTGGCCTTCCTTGGAAGATCACGATACACCCAGTTAACAAGAACACACCTGTACCAATCGTCACCGTTGCAGACGTTTTGCACGGCATCTACGCGTCTCTGCGACTGCCAATATCACAGGCAGAGTACAACCTCATTCCTTCGGAGCAAGCACGCTCTCGCATCAATGACGCATATCGCTATCGTTGCAAGCGCCTCGCAGACCCCCAAGCGGTCCAGAATACCACTGGGTTGGAATGTCCGGCGTTGCCGAAGGTCCGGCAGAGCGGCAGCGTCCGTAAGTCCGGCCGTCCGGCCACGGTCTAGCAACGTTTCCAACGTTTTTCGCTGCGGCTGGGCCGTCTACTTAGTCTGAAGGCTACCCTATGCATACCCAGCGCTTAGTATACCAGAATCCGAACGCATTTAGCCCACCGGTACGCGCTACCCCTCGGTTTTAGCGCTTGCGGCATGATCGCGTGCCGTGGACGGCTGGTTGATTAGTCAGTCCTCGCACGCTCCAGGTAAATTCGATCCAACATCGACTGGGAGGCCTTAGTCCCGTTAGAAATATGTCGGACGGGCCCAAGTAGGCATACCTAGCAAGCCTTGCTTCTAGTGTACGCTCTTAGTGTACGCTCTGGATCCAGGGAACCTCGACTTCGCTGAATCCGTGCTGACTAATCTAGCGCCTTCCAAGCCTATGTGGGCCTCTGTCTCTAAATAACGGCTCGGAAACCTCATACCTACTCCCAACTCGTAAGTCCCCTGGCGTCTCTCCCATTTTCTTCTCCATTCATCCCCTTGCCAGACTGCCGGACCACCCCTGCCGGACGCCCGGACCGACAGACTGCCGGACATTCCAATTCCGAAGTGTTCTCAAGCGGTCGAGAGGGAGTCGAAGAAGGGCATCAAGCGCATCGATTTCCTGACGGAGAACACCACTTTCATGGGATTGTCGAGCACGAAACACGGAGGGCATGTTTGGCAACTCAACCTTTCACGATAGGCGAAGGCTCCTCCCTTTTGCTGACCTTGTTTGAACTATACCCGGACACGCCTCATACCCCTCCTGTGACGACATTCAATGTAGTATCATTATTCATATGTATCATAGCCTTGTAGCATAGCATAGCAATCCGAATCAGCATTCTATTGGAAACTTTCGAGAGCGCCCATCGCCATCTCCGTTTGAGCGCTGAAGGGCTGGCGACATGGGGCCCAGAAGTTGTGGACGTCGATGGGTGTTAATGCCAAATCGGTGCTGTAAAGGAAGGCGGCGTGAAAGCGATGCTCGAGAAGCCAATTCAATAACACCAAAATCCAAGCTGTGCAGCGCCAATCATCGATTTCCCTTCTCTGCATACCAAACTCGTCACACGAAACGGCAACGTGTCTACTCGGCGTTAGATCCCAGGCTGACTGACCTGCAGACTGGGATACTCGATCGTCAACATTCGAGTAAATCGACAGCTACTGCGGGGAAGTCCACGAATAAAAGCTCTTTGTAACGATACGGGGTTTGGCATAGAATCGCCTGATTTAGAGCAGTATTAACATTGCGACACCGCGGATAATACTGCGAACAAAAGCGTATACTGCGGATGGATAGAATTCGCAGCAGTGCTTGAATCCCCGGATCGACCAGTCAGGACCTATTTATATCCCCAGAACAAAGGCAGAAAACTGGTTGTTTCTGGATTGATTCTATGCTTTCATACCTAATCCTCCGTCTCAGTCTCGATTTGAGCCAATTCTGCACTCTCCCAGGTTGCTTGGGTCTAAACGAACTGAGCGGTTTGGCCAAGGCTACCGTCGGGCCCGTATGTTTCCCAGGTGCCCTAAAGGGGATATCAAATCCGAGTACAGCTTGAAGCTGACTCCCAGATCCATCGCGACGACATACCCGTTCATATAATAACCACTGCCATGCCTCAACTGCATTTCGCTCAGCTCCCCACTCACTGTCCTACATCCATCTACTGGCGCCCCGATTTCCTCACAACAGCGTACACAAAGTATTCATAGTGGTGAGGATGTAGTCTCGTTGCTGTGACCCACGACCTGGAGGTTAATGCTAGCCCATCTCTAGCACCCATTCCTTCAATGTCACCAACAGCAACGACACACGTCCAGCTCTACAGCGAGACGCCCACGATGACCTCTCTCAGACTGAGAGGAGACAACGTCCACCGTTACCACCAGCAGTGGCAACTGCAACAACAACCAACCGGACTGAGCCCGCTGGACAGCCCGCAACTGGTCGGCTTCAACAACGGCTCGCCGTACCAAATGGCGATACCCACCATGGACTACTTTGACAGAAGCCAAGCCCCACCCCCAATGGAGCGCATGGCCTGCATTCCACTCCCTCGAATCGGTGGCGGTCCGTTGAACCCAGTCCTCGAGCGGACCCCGCTGCCCATGATCCTCTACAACATCGCCCAGACGTCCGACTGCGCCTCGATGAACCCCCGCCAACGTGAAGCACTACGTCATTCATTCGATGAACCCGCAACAATTGGCGGCGCAACCTCTGTGACCATCCAGGCGCGCTTCCTCCCCTGGCCCATCGTCGTCCAACGAAACGGGGCTGTGATCACCGTCAGAGACGTCCTTTCCTCCGTCCACTCTGCGTTGCGCCGCTTGGCTCAAAATCAAGGGCTCGTCAAGCCTGACCACCACATCCTCTCGCCCGACCACTACAGCACCATACCCAACAACCACTACGAACCAGCAATCCTCGCCTCCATTCTCGGGGGGCGATGCACCTGGGATGGCCTCACTGCCAGCCCTAAGGAGCCCGAAGTATGGATCCTACACATCAGATGATGATGCCACCTTCGCTTTCTGCAAGAATTCAAACTCACCTCAACTCCCCTCACACCTTGTTGTGCACAACCACCCTCTCGAGGCGTACCATCAGCGTCGCCACACCCTCCTAGGAGAAGAGCTTGCCGGCGGACACTGGCAGGGGATCCAGGGACATTTTCCGATATTTATTTGGCGGAATCTCTGTCTTTTTCCTTTTTCCCTCCCCTCTCCCCAGCGAGCGCACCATGGACTTGCAGTCGGATAGTTCACGGTGTGAACCGACATGGACAAGCTAACGCAGCCCTATCTTGCGCGAAATTTGCCTCCCTTTATTATGGAACAATGCTAGTCCTTAACATTGTAAAATTGGAGTGACGTCGTCTGGTCGTCCTTGGCTGGACCGTCACGGTAGATACCACATGTACTTGTCGTTGTATTTGTACCCTCGTATATGAATGTCGATAGGGTACATGACTTGGTTGAAGTCTGCCCCATTCTTTTTCTTCTTTGCGGTGTATGATCGAGTTTCGTTTTTGCGATGCGAATTTTTTCTAAGGAGCTGGTCGTCGCCTCTGAAGCTTGAAGCTTGAAGTCTGGCAACAAGCCCTTCCCCGTCGTGCGCAACCTTTGGCAACGGTGTCTCGTTATCATAATCGTTATCTTATCCAGATCCGACTCGGGATCGCTCGTCGTTCGTTCATCTTCCTGCGACGAGGACGCATTCAGGCCTTCTGAACTGGTTTGCACCCAGCTCAATTGCATCAGACCAGCCTGAGATACCATCGAGTCATTTGAAAGGTCCGATGGAAAAGCCAGGCGCTGCTCAGTTATAGGCGATGTACAATGAATCCAAATCAACAGCGGAGAGGTCAAGCCGTGTCAAGATGACTCAAGAACGGGACCGGGACAGATCAATTTAGTTTCGGTGACCGGGACCCCAGAACAACAGGTGCCCAATGAAATCCATTCGTATGTGTTTACTTAGGCAGTGGACTTGTTGATACCACAGTCGGCGCTCTCCCCCCGTTCAGCCATGCCTGCGCGTCTACACTCCTCGATCTCCACGCCAAACCTTTCATCGATTATCTTGAAGGCTTCAAGTACAGGGGTAACCCGCACGGACAGGACGTTAGATCTGCAAGGATCGCAGTACACGTATGTAATGGCCGCGCCACACAGGCATCGGATTGAGTTATGAGGGACGGAGACGTTCTCGTAGATTTGTCGCACTCGTTGACCGAGTTGAACCGTGGATGGCGAAGGGAGGCTATGAATACAGGTCAGAAGAGCTGTATTTAGCAAGGTTCGTCGACAACCACAGGCTGGAATGGGAACGTTATTGCAGCTTGTACATTTTAATGTCTCCCGGAGGAAGGTGAAGCCAAGGCCAAGACGAGGCTTGATGCGCTCAATGGCATTGTAGTCTCTGGCGGAGAGGATTTTTGCTGCGGTATCCAGTCCAAGAGTTTCGAGGTCCTTGAGGGGAACCGGGTCTCCCATGACGAGACCGACGATGCCATCTTCGAGCCAGTCGCTGACTCTGAATTCCCTGGCCAAGGTCACTTTTTCGACAAAGGATAGTCGGAGGCTTGACAGAGACTGGATAGCGTGGTTCCGGACCTAACGGAGTCCCTTGTTAATCCTCTACAGTACGAGCCCAACGGATACACCTACCCGTGTCATCTCCCACGTAGTCGACAATCGAAGAACCCCGATCCATTCATTTTTCACCAGCTTGAAGTTGTTCGTGACGTCGTCGAAACTGGTATAAACCAGAGTTATTGTTTATGGTGTTATGGTGTAGGAGACCCCGAATAGGGGGAATAACCTTGGATAGAGAACTTTCAAGAGGCTGGCGAAGTCGTCCTTCTTGTGACCTTCCAGCACTATCGGGATTGACTCATCTTTTCCCTCGCTGGAGGTTGCCCTTCCCTCAAGCGAGAACGAGAACATGTTTGAAAACACCTCTGATCCTCGCAGAGGCGGAATTGCGGAACCGAGAAGAGCTCATCTTCAACCTGGTGCGACGTTATTCAATCACGGTGGTGGCGCTACATAGCAGAGATGAACCAACCGTGAGGATAACGTTCTCCCAGAAGAATCGTCGGGTCGGGCTTGTAAGGGGTGATGAGGTGCTCTCTACAGTGTCCACGTTGAGAACGCAGAGAGACTCAGAGAGAAGGGAACGACGGGAAGAAGCGTGAAGAGATGGGCGACACCGCCGTCTCCCACGCTGGGACCCCATCATATAATCATCAGGTTCAGCCACGCGGGCCACGCTCCGATAAGCGCCCAAGACCTGCCATTGCATTTCCGGATTCAGAACTACTGCTCTGAAACCACCAATTCACCTAGACCTGCTAGGATGGGTATTAAAGTACATAGTGAGTCATTATATACCCATAATTAACAGTTCAGACCTTAGATTCAACCTCTGTTGTCACCCTCAGCTGCAAAGGCGTTGAAAACGCTTGGCCAGGTTGGAATACGCCTTTATGGGTCGAGAGTGAATGTTTCAATGCGTCATCGTTGTAGTTTTCACTCGTGGCTTTATTGAAGTAGTCAGTTCCAACGTCGCTTCCAATGAAGATGACCGTCCTAGTCGAGGTGGAAGTTGCGGTGGGAGTTGCTCCAGAGCCCTTGAACGTTGAACCGACACTGCCGTTTCGCGTTTGCGAGAGGAACTCGGGCATTGTTCCCTCGCGAACGACGTGGACAATATTGTTAACCAATCGCGTTGTCATGACGGAAGTGAGTGCTATGTGAAGCGGGATGACAGTCGATGAAACGACGGGATTCTTTGCGGTCGTCAAGAAGAAGATGTCGACAATCCCGATGATAACGACCACAGCGAAATAGAGAACACCGTCTCGAAGCAATGTGGTCTGTATGGGCGATCGGAAATTCTTGTACTGGTGGCGATTGGCAGCTGCGTAAAAAGCGGGAATGTCAGAGACGCCGCATCGGAGACTGAAGGCGATCATGATGCTGGTACCTAGTTTGTAAACCGTCAACACGAAGGTGTCGAAAACGGCGTTTCCGATGAAGGAGGTTCTGTTGGATCTTTATTAAACTTTGATTGAAATAATGCAGGGAGTGGACTTACGGTGCCCATTTCTCGCTTCGGAGAACTGTGCAACCTCCTCCAGGAAGGTTTCCAGCATCCTGTGAGAAAGGCGCAGTGAGGGAGGCTCCCAAGCACACGACCCAAAGGACGATGAGTGTGTATTTCACAGATGGCCTCTTATTCCAGATAGCCAGGCTGAAGATATTGGTCAGTGGTACTATTCTCCCACCAGAAATCTCGGCTACGTACACACGGTAGAGATAAATAAGCGAAATGGGTGGATGTTGTGCAAGCACAACATCCGTGGACAAGATGAGGCTGAGTGATCCGGAGGCGGCGCACCCTGTTTGGCCTGAAAGGTCAGACCAAACAGCCTCGTCCTTCTCGTGCCGATGAGAGATTACCATCTCTCATCTTCTCGTCGTTCTCGAGAGTCCTCATCCTCTCCACTCGTTCCTCTCTCGTTTTCGCGTCCCACCGCTCCCGCCCACCACCAGCGCCTACGCTTGGCCATCCAGCCACGGTTGCTCCGGCTCGGTGGTCATCTGGGCGTTCCGGCCAGCAAGCTGGCCCCAGGCAACACCAAGGAAACCTGATTAGGTTTACTTGGCTTCACGCTTCGTCACGGCTCTCGAGAGAACGAGCCTATCTTGTCCGACGGCAATACAACCGCGCCGCCAAAGGTAAGCGAAAGCTTCCCATAGTCGTAGCAATTCGGCGGATTACCGAGTCGGATATTGACTTGCGCCATGTTGACGATGAAGGCACCGTAACGCTGTAAGAAATATGCCCAGAGGATGGGCCGCTTCCACCATCCGTGAGTCCGGAGGTACTTGAAGTCCTGAGGTAAGTGTAAAATGATTTCCCAGCTCACGAGAACGAGAGAGCTGAGGGCCATATAACTGAAGTTGGCCCTTTGTTGGGCGGTAGGAACAGACCCTGATTGGGGTGGTGGGACCTGTGGAGAAGGGGACGCCATTTCTGCAGCTATTAGGCGATACCTGTTTTCAAAATGTCGTGTTTATATACCTCGGCAAGTGGTCTACGACCTCCGCTTATTTGATGATAAGAAGGACGCGAGAGACGACAGCGACTGAATTCGTTGATAAGATCATCGACAGATGGAGGGATAGTAATCGGAAACCAATGCTTCGAAACGAAGGGCAACAGCTACGTCTCTGTCTATTTTTGCTCGCACGCTCCCGTTTTATAGCTTACCTCGGAAGAATAATGTCAGTGCTCAATTCACCATAAGATGCATATCGATTTTACGATTATCATTCTGACAGGGGCCGTTGCGAACATGTCTGAAAGCCCGTCGTAACCGAGCTACACAGGAGATAGATTTTGCTTTGATGAATAAGCTGGAGTCGGCTTTGAACGAGAGGCCACTGAAACGAAGCACGATAGGCAACGCTGGTACAATGCTGTCGAGACGTTCAGAACGACTACACGATGGGAATGTAAAGTAAATATGAACGCTACTCACTTCTACATGTGGTCCTTGTACTCCTCAATCTCGTCACCAAACATCTCCTTGATCATACCATCCACATCAGGGCCGGGTTTTACTCGTATCCAAGTGTTTTTATGCCCGTAACCTCCCCAATCGCAGTTTTGGCAGGCTAGATGTTGATTTCGAAAGGGCAAGCTATTGCAGAACTCGCATTGGACCTTGTTTGCATATATGTCTAGGTATACACCGTTTTGCTGGGTAGCAGTGGATGAGTACTTGAGCTTGGCCTGGTCGCTCAACTCTCTACGACAGCTTGTGCAGTTGGGTGCCGCCCAGGAAACCTCCCCTTCGCAGGAGTAACATATGATGTTGTCTCTTCTAAATTCCAAGGTCCCTCCATTTTGTCCAGGTTTAGCATTTGCAATGTGGTCCCGTATTGAAAGGATCTGCGCAGCGGTCTTCCACCCGACGGCTTCAACCATATCCATCAGCTTAATCGGATCGGTGGATGTCGTCAACGCTGTAATTCCCTCCTCGAGCCATTTGGAAACCCTGTGAGCCCTGGCCAATGCTATCTTCTCAGTGGGGCTCAGAGTAATCTCTGTCGACAACCGGTGAGTTGCATGGCTACGAATCTCCGAAGTCTTTCAGCTCAGATCATGGGTTACGACTTGGGCGACTTACTTTGTTCATACCCCAGATCGTCGAAAGTTTGAGGACACTGATCCATTGGTCTTTGCTTAGGGTCAAGCGGACAGATGTCTCGGAGATTATGTCCTCCGCGCTAGAGCGAACATGGTTTCAACATAACAGCAAAGCAGACTTTTGAAGCAAACCGTTACCTGGGATAGAGGAGTCTGAGGAGACATTTAAACTCGTCCTTCTTGTATCCTTCGAGTACAATGGGATGGGCGGGGTCTGTTCCTTCAACTGGCGCCGGCCCATCTTGACCAGACGGGAGTGAGAGCATATCTGAGAACACCGCCGATGCGTTGACAAGTCCGTATCGCGGGACGCAGAACAGCCCATCTTCAACCTGTTGCACGCATCAGTAATGCTCCTTAGAAAGATCGAGGAGGATGGTCCCCAGACTCACCCTGATGATAACCGCATCCCAGTAGAACTCGGTCACCTTTTGTGCCACCACATTGCTTGCTGGTCCGGCTCCACTGATCGGTTCGCTCGAGTCGGTCGCCATGTTTCTTTCGGACGGTTTCATAGAACGGTTAGAAATTCGGAGCGAGAGAGAAGAGTCGTGGACCTGGTATTAGTGAGATGTTTCGTTAAGAAGGGAAGGGAACATGAGAGAATCCGCAATCGAGAAAATCGCACGCAGAACCCTGTCAGGTTGCTTATCGATAAGCGCCCAATGGACACGAGGCAACCTGCACTTGTGCTATTGAATTGAAGCTTTAAGCGGAAACGTGGCTGCGAGAGCCTGGTCCTTCAGCCCATACAAATTCTACCCGAATATCCACTTGGACATTTACATCCAACGCGATAGCCTGCCAACTCCGTCCAAGACTGAGGCGGGGGGTTACCTCGAGGGTTATTGTTCAAGTTGGCTGTAACGCTTGAAACCAAAAGTCTCTGCACGCCCTCGGATGTGGGAGCACTAATCGACGGTTATGAGATGCGGAGAGAGCGCCTGGAGTAGCCCGAGCGAGACGCGGGCAAGGGAGGCGGGAATGACTATTACTGTCAAGCAGCGTCCGGGCAAGTCCCCGGTGCGGGGTATATCCAATAGGGGTCAAGTCGGCAAGAACGGTGCGAATGTGCTTGGCATAACCCAGATATGTATGCCATGAACCCTAAATTGCCGGCGGAAAACGAGGGACAGCCTAACGTAACCTCTCATTAACGCGCCCCTCCCTACAACGGCCATTTCAGCTGGTTTGATGAGTGCCTCTGGGGATGTTGTAGTCTCCGCCGACACTGAAATGCAGAAAACCATTGACTGAGGACGTCCGTTCTGAGGTGAAGGGCCGGAGGTTGGGGTGACACAAGCTCCGCCGGCAATATTGGCCTCAAACATTTTGAATGCCGTAACTTCATCGCTCACCTCGAACCATGCCCCGCTGAGCTGGCAAGTTAAGTTGCCGATTCCCATCTGGAATCTCGATGTGACCTAGCGGCTTTTTCAATGGGCAACAGGTATAAATAGGTCAGTTCACCATTCATTTCAACCACCCACCATCCCGACTCGTTGCCAGCGTGGCTAGTTAGCGCCTGTCTGTTACAGCAAAGCTCATCACACCAGCCCTGTATAAAGGACCGTTGATTGGGGCCTGAAAACCCTTTTTCCGTCGACTTGTGGGTCCAGGCCAAAATTCTCCAGGGTCCGTTATACAAGACGACCCGGTCCCTTTGCCCCTGCTCTTGAATCCTTTATGCTCCGTCGAACAGTGGATCCTGGTAAAGACGCGTACGACGTGCTCCGTCGCTCCCCCTCTTCTCTCTCGAACACACCGCAGACACAGTACAGCAACCATAAACCCAGCAGACAACTTCGTCCACGATCAAGCTCAAGAGTTGACCGCCCTGTTCGACCTCTTCCCTTGCGACGCCATGCATCGTTCAGCTCAGCCAGCGCAGAAACCATGGTCGGCGCCAAGGGACCGCCGATACCCTCAGGTGGAACTAGAGCTTCATCGACAACACCGACCTCATCGTCCCCCCAGCATTCCGCGTCGCTGTTCCGAGCCGTGAAGGCAGTCCTCATGAAGCACCCGTCCCTCGATGCCGCCTACGTTTTCGATATCGCCCGCCTGCACTACACCACGTGTAAAGGAGAGGAACAACTGATCAGGTGCACCCTGGACCATTTAACGAAGCAGCCGAGCAACTCCAAGTCACATTCGAGAAGAAACAGCAAACGAAGCTGGTCGGAATTTGCGGAAACATTGGAGGATGCTATTTCGGGTCCCGGAGGGGGCTTCAAGCTTCGTCGAACCTCAGAGCCTGTGCGCTCCGTGGAGAACGACACGAAGTTCATTGTCTGCGAGGCATGCCTCACCAAGCACTTCCCGGTACGTTCGACCCCGTCATTATTCATGACGGCAATCTAACATATGAACCCTATTTCCAGGACGCAACGGCAGGTTGTCCGGCCGGTCACTTGTTTTGTCATTCCTGCGTCTTCAGGGAGGTGTTGGTTCAAGTCGACACCCAAGATCCGGGCGTCATTTGCCTAGCGCCCTACTGCCCACATCCCTTCAGTGTATCGGTACTGTCCAAGATCCTCCCTCATGAACCTGTTGGACGTTACGACCGCCTCATCGAGAGCCAGAGGTTCAAACAGATCAGCCGATTTGAACAATGTCCTCGTTGCCTCTGGAAATGTCAGATCACTATCCCCATGGATCAAGACCCTTTGTTTCGTTGTCGTAACGTTGGCATATGCGAGGCCATTACCTGTCGAGTCTGTAACCGCGCTGCCCACGGCTTCAAGACGTGTCGAGGTATGTGCGATCTATGGCGGTGTTGTTTCTATTCTGATGATGTTCGTCTTCTAGAGGTTGAAATAGAAGAACGGCGTTCGCAAGCTTCCAAGGCTGCAGGCCCCGTGCAAACAGAGGTAACTGTCGTCTTGAATTACCTGGAATTGTTGCCCGGCTAATCTACCTTTTGAGTATCACTCAGGGTCGAGTTTGACCACCCTAGATGCCGCAGGCAGACAGCGAAGGCCACCAGTAAGTGATCGCCGGACCTGTTCCCAGTGAACCCTTCCTCACGGTGAGCTCCGCGTAGCAGGACTCGCATAACAACCACAAGGTGCAAACTGTTGTCGTGAACATTAAAGAGGAACCGACTGACACCAACCCGATGCTCGTCAGTCGGCCCGCCTCTCCTTGTCCGCCTACTCCATCCCTCGGCCCCACGATTGAGCCAGACCTGACAGTTTCTGAGAGGCTCGGTAGCACCAGCTTATACGTGAGACATCGCGACCTTAGCAGCGGTCGCGGGCTCCCTCCCCCTCAGTCCCTCCGATATCCTCCAACAGCTTCGTGCTCATCGTCTCCTCGTAACTGGGTCCTTCAGAAGCCGCCTCTAGAACGCCAGCACCTCGATCGTTACACGACTATGAGTATGGATAGAGCACCTTCATCCGCGTTTCAACTACCTCCACCCCTTGCCTCGCTGAAACTGCCAGCAATACCTCCATTGGCTACATCCTGTTCTTCCGATGACTCTAACACGCTGGGTCGTCCATTCAACCTTTCCATCAAACCTCGGGCGGCTACAGCTGTTGGACCCCAATTTTTCGACCATCGGTAAATGTTGCCTAAGATACTCCGTTTGTCCTCCTTTACGCTGAGACAAATCGACCTATACCTCTTCCACTTCGTCAAGCAACTGGACTACCCATCCTCACATGCCGTTAGAGCTTTCATTGCTATCCTCTGCTCCATTTGTACTTCATACGCAAACCAATATCCTAGTTTATTTCTTACTCCCTGTTCAGATAATAGTTCATTCACCTTACCCCTTCGAACTGCACATATTTGTCCCCGTATATCGAAAGATACCTCATTGTTGTCGATATTTTCGTTGTGTATCAATACGTGATCGCTTTTCGGTAGGATATATGATATCTTGCTCGCCGACTCTTGTCTCGGAAATCTTAAGTAACTTGAGTGCCGATGCGAAGGGAATTGGTACTGCTGTACTGCGGGTAAACTTAAAAGTTGATTAGAGAATCTGTAAGATCAGCAACAAGGTATAAACTTCCCGCGACAATTGCAACTTGGTGGCGAGGCGTCACCTATAGCTAGTCTAAGGTTGGTGTGTCGGCTCCTCAGCGAGTCCTATTGGACACCCAGTGGAGAGCGCATGGGGAGTTCTGTCATCGCTGCCGTCCAATCCACCGTTCCTCGCTGCCCATATCTGTGCATCAGGCACCAAACTCTCTACGACAGCTAAGTAATTCGCTTGGTGCAAATGAATAGGAACATGCACCATCGATAAGAACGGGGATGGGTAAATTAGTCGTCTGTTCGTGGACCATTGAATAGACTTTCAACGACATCTATTACTAGTAGCAGCTGCCAGCTAACCCTCCCCTTCCAGCTAACGCTGGGTAGTAGTGACCATGGATATCCCAGTAAAGAGATTTGAAGGCGACGATAGAAACGAATCCACGATATCCAACGAAGTCGATAGGTTTTGAAATTGGTGATCACCGAACAGGGAAAGGTCCGTTGTTGAATGCTTGCGACACAATGAGTACCAGCTCCAATTTGAGACGCCTGGAAATGCGAGGCATAGTGGGTTCAGGGAACTTATTCAATTGGACAGTCGAGAGAATATAGGAGATTTACACACAATCATCGATGGATAAAGCTGTTCATATGAAGATGGAATGGGATGACACTAATCATGTATCTATCAGTCAAAGAGGTGTATTGATAGAGCGTTATCGATGAGTTCGGGTAACCGAAGACCTCGTCTGTCGGGAGCGCGTTGAAGCAGGTTGTTGAAGGCGGCGCGTCATGGACCTCGTCGTTGGGCCAGCATTGCGCTGCTCCCTGGTCATCGACCTCGTTACAGGTCGTGAGCGCTCAGCCTGAGCAGTGGAATCAACGGCTGCGACTCGCAGCCGCTTTCGAGGTCGCTGGGGCTTTTCTTCATGCTCGTGATTCGCTGGTGTTGGCACTAGCCGATTACTAGCGTCGGTCGGGACGACCACTTCATCCTCCGCCTTTCGTTTCTTGGGTGACGAAGGTACCTGCACCGGCTCGCCGACCACCTTCCGGTTATCCTCACGCTCTGTTACGACGATCAGTGGAATAGAAGCCCACGCCTGCCGAGATCTTTCCACAGCACGGAAGAACTTCGAGGCGCCCTTGCCCATCATCCACGAATAGCTACCAGGGTCTTCTTGAGCTTTGGCTTTGAATCGCAACTTGTATGAGCGCCAGATATCAAGCCTTGTAACGTCAAGGCACCGGATGAAACTTAATGGCTTCGCGTACAAACCCGATGGAAGATCCTTCGGAAAGACGGGGCCAAAGTCGAGAGGCTCTAGGCTGGACAGGAGCATTGCACGCGTCCTGCCATAGACGGGTGCCTTGCTGTTCTTGAAGAAAATATCGCTCCATTTACGGGAGGAGCTAGCGCGAGTTCTGGCGGTGACGAGCCAGAGGACGATCCACCATATTGATTCGAGATCATGCTGGGGGTTGTGCAGGATTGGTGGGAATGGTTCAAAATCTTCTGGGGAGAGTTCGGGCTCGCTGTCGTGGTCGGTTTCTGCCGAGGGATCATCACCGGGAGTAAAGGGCATTCCAGTTTGCAACTCGCAGGCCATGAAAAATGGCGTCCCCTTTGGACAAAGTAACCGGTAAGCTCATGCCGGGCGGCTCGGGTAGACGGAATCACTTACGATTGGCTCCTCTCCCTTCGGAATCTCTGGGTCCTGGAATTTTCTGGCGAATTCAAGGTCGGATAACTTCATTTCCCAAGGCGCTTCTGGGCCAGACCGAATGGCGAGGATATTCCCCACACTGATGTCTCGGTGGATCCACCCAGCGCAGTACATGAGTCGCATTGCTGGTAAAGCGGTCAGAGGACTGTGCGACATGGATAACATACCGTAACTCACCTGTGAGACACTGTTTAAGAATGTCGATTGCTTCTCCAAGTGTACGGATGTCGTAGAGGGGCGTGCAAATGAATTCATAAAGGTAGAAGCACCGACGCTTTGGTACGAAGGTCGGCCTGGGGTCGTCACTGCAACTTTCGGGCGGGCCTTGGGCGTAAGCTTGGGAAGAGTAGCCCTTGCCGACGTGACTGGCGATGATGCACGAGAAATATCTCTTGAAGTTCTCCCCGTTCAAGGCATCCGCGAGCGTATCCATATCTTCCTCTCGCATGTCCTTCAGAACGTCCGCAGAACGCCAGCCAACACGCTTCCCGAATGCGGCGATATCAGCGAAGAGCTGTCGCTGAGTATCCACCTCGGGTTTCATTCGTGCATCGAGGGACACGTCCTTGAGGATCCTGTCGGAAGTCCCGGGAACGCGTTTCAGATCAGTGGGGGAGGCCACCTGCTTCACCTTCCAAACCCGCGCGCTGCGTCCGACAGGATCATCCGAGTGGAACTCGGAAACGAGCCCGACGGTCTGATAGTAGAGGGAGCCTTTCCTGCCCTCATCTGGCGGCAGTTCATAGACGTAGGTAAAGTCCGGGAGTAGCGTGACCAAGGGATCATAACCGAGTTCCTCATCCGTGGCTGCCATCAAGGATATAAAGGTTTGTACGACGAGATTGGTGTTCTGGGTGTCGATTGTTATTATGATGGTATTCGAGGCAGTGCGATTGGGACACATACCTCGAGAATGCTGAACGGAGTAGACTTGGTGCACAGAGACCGTGAAAGATACCAGAGCGACATATGGGAATCTTCGATGGTGATCTAATCGATAGAGAAACTAATTAGGTCGGGAACGAATCGACGTCGGCGTACTTACTGCGTATAGGTGGCTCCGGCGAGCGTCTTCGTTTATCACACTCAGGAAATCTGGGAGGGGATCGGGAATGTTCTAAGAGGTCACCAAGTGGTTAGCTGGAGTAGACGGACGCAAACAAACGTTCCGCACCTGGTCATTATCTCCGATCCCAGTGGTCACGCGGAATGGAATCACAACGTCGGTCGACCGCAGGGGTGTATCCATGTTTGCAGTCAGGCAGGTGTCGATGGCGGCACCTTCCCCATCGACACTGCGGAATGAGTGATCGTTGCTGTTTGCCTCAGCGATCCTCCCCATCGCCTTGCGCACGCTATTCCATGTTGCCTGCAGCGCCTTCAGGACGCGAGTTGGTTTGACGTGACCAGGTCGGAAGAGGCCTTTAAAGGCTTTGAACGTATGAGTGCTGCGAGGTGCAGCTGTTTTGGGCTGGGTGAGGGGCCGAATCTCCAGGACCTTTTGTTCCCGCAGTTCTGCCATAATTGCGTCGAAATTGCTCAAGCCGTCCTTTGGTAGGTGGCTTTGAATGAATTCTTCAGCGTGGCAGGTAATGAGTTCATATCCCATGTTTGAGGTCGAGACTGAGCGGTGAAAATCAGATATTGACTTCTTGAATAAAACGATGGTCGTGGTACAAAGACAAGAGGTAACGCGGACCTGCCAGTGATGGGATAACCCATTCGGTCAAAGTTCCCACGTCACGCGATCGCGTCCAAAGCTCCGACTCAATCGGGATTCGCGGCCTGACTCCAGAAGCGACAGGTGGCTTTCCGCGAAACCATCGAAAATAGGGCCAGACACGGGGAAGTTTACCGATATTGGCAAATGAGCTGTTCTCTTTGTCTTAAGAATTCCTTGTCTCATCTCTATAAATGCTCTGCGCCTGATCTTCGGTCTCGTGGCGCCTGGAGGGTAGACTGGCCACCACGACTTCATGCCTTCAAGTTGACTGACAATGACTGTAGATCCAACTGTATATTGTAATTTACTTGGCACTCAAGGCTGTGAGGATTAATACACTGGCTGTATACTGGAAAGAAAACATCGGTGTCGCGCATGCGGCATGACTTAGTCTGTGCCGACTAACCCAGAAGTAAACTGTTAAGTTCAAGTTATCTATCTATGTGACACTGCCATTCCTTAACCGAAACCGCCGTACTATACAGCGAGATGGTGCCATCGATCCACGTGCTTCGAAAGATGATATACATCCTGACCGTGGTCCGAGTCAATGGCGGGCTCTCTTCAACCGTCCCTGCTTTGCTTCGTCCCCGTCGCCGACATCCTTTCTCGCACCGGTATGTACCTTGATCTCTGCCGATGTCTGCAGCAACGGTCCTGAAGGCGCCTTTCTTCCTCTCGCGCGTGAAGGAAGAGGTGCGACGACCCTATGGTCCCCACTGTCACCGCCGAAAAGCTTAGTAAATCGAACTGCCTGGTGGAGCTTGCGCTTGTGGCCCGTGAGCGGATTGGGGGGTGCGTCAGGATTTTCGGAGGACTCCTTCACTTTCGCAATCTTCCGTGTCGGCTTAGGGTCCTCAATTAGCTGGATGTTCTCCCAATCCCTTCGCGATCGCTCGATGGTACGGAAAAATCCTCTGAAAGGGCCGTTGATAATCCAAGAATAACTTGCTGGGTTTCGCTGCTTTCCTCGGCCGTTGCGCCGTTTGTACTCCAGTTTGAGATGCTTCTTGAGATGGTCCAGGGCAGTGATGAAATTGGTTGCGGAGAGTGCTTGTGGAAGGCTCTTCATAAGGAGAGTGTCTTTCAAAAGGCTGCGTTCCGCAGTCAACAGGCCCCAGCGACCATGGTGTGGCAGGGATTCGAACCGCAGCTTTGGTGGGAAAACAGCTTCTACAAATTTCTCCCTGGGAAGGCGTTGGTCTACTCGTACAGTCGACAACCAGACAAAAATCCACCATATGGACTCCAGGTCGTGCTGAAAGGTATGAGGAAATGAGTCGCCAGTTTCAGCCATACATTTGTCGTTGGCTGCTGGCAAATCCTCCGTCTCTGAGCCTAGAATAGTGTCTTCGTTGTCAGACTCAAAAGTCAACAATTTCTTCGTTGCAACTTCGTACGGTATAAAGTGGTGAGAAGCCTGTCAAATTGTGGTGCACAGCGTTCAGTTACAGCCTACAGGAGGCCGGTTGTATGACGATGTTGGCTGACTCACTGTTTTGGGTGTCGCACTGGGCGAATAATCTGACGGAAACCTTTTCGCGTATTCGAGGTCAGAGAGCTTGACTTGCCATGGACCATTGAAGGAAGTGCGGGCAGCGAGGATGTTGCCAGGACTGAGATCACGGTGGACCCATCCTGCACAGAACATGACGCGGAGAGCTGGTGTTGGAGGATAAATGAACTGTCTTGCACAGGAAATTCAGAGGAATATAACATACCTAACACGCACCCTTTTAAAATATCCATAGCATCGCCCATAGTTCGGATATTGAGCAAGGGTGTATAAACATGGTGGAATACAAGCCGACACTGTCTTCGAGGAACCAATGCCTGCGTAGGTATCATCTCTTCCTCCGGTATCGAGTCCTTCACTTGGCTCGAATCCCCACTCAGCAGTACCTCATCAGGCTTCGATGACGAGTCGACCGCCGCATAGGTGCGAACGTTATTGCACGGTTGGCTTAGCTTTTCTGGCCTCATAAAGACTGAGGGAACCCTCCAAGAATAGGGAATGACGAGAAGACCTGAGCTGCCTATATGGTGCTCCTTGACACACGAGAACAACTCTCTGAAGCGACGGCCTTCCAAGACACCTGCCAGTTCCTCCAATTGCTCCGGTGTGCAGTCCTTCAAGATATCGCGCTTGCGCCAGTTCGGATCACTTGCAAACTTGTCCATATCATTGAACATCATGTTCTGAATGTCAAACTCCGTTGCCGTATCAGAGCTCAGCGAGACGTCCTTCAATATCATCTCCCCCGTCCCAGCAACACGGGTGTGGTCCTTCTTCGATTGTACCTGCTCGACCTTCCAAACTCGAGTTGATCGTCCACGAAGGCGCAGGGCGCGCGGGTTGATGATGGATTCGATGGTTTGATAGAAGAGAGACTTGCAGCGATACTCGTTGGGCGGGAGTTCGTAAACAAATCTGTGGTCTTCAACCAGGGTGACATATGGGTCGAAGCCGAGCTGTTGATCCGTCGCGCAAAAAAGCGAGATAAAAACCTTGATTAGGATATCGGGTCGCTGAAGCCGCAAGCGAAGTCAGGACATATTAAGTGTCGAGATTTGGAAAAGTGCGTACCTCAACCATGCTGAAACAGGCGGCTTTGGCCGAATGCGACCGAGAAAAGTACCAAACGGACACAAGGTCATCTTCAATAGAGATCTGGACCAAGGTTATACATGAGCTTCGAAGACCAAAGGTGTCCAAGGGCCGAAATTGAGGCACTCACCGCATACATAAACAGCCGTCGAGGGTCGTCATTCATCGTATGATTGACGTGCGAGACCACTTGTCTCCGGTTCTATGGTCACAAGGTCAGCGCACATGATCACTTGAGAGCCAGAGAGTCACATACCTCAAATATGATGCTGTTCTTGCAGTCCACCTTGAATTCAAATGGAACAATGATGTCGTAGACTGTTATGCCCTTGACATCTTTCTTCTTGGTGAGGGCGGCGTCGATTCTCTGATCACATCCGCCAATTCCGGATGACAATGTCGTGTTAGGACACATTAAGATGTGATAGTCATTCACCACCACTCCTCTGGCACGAAGGGCATCGCGGACGGCGTTTCCAATGCCAGTCAGCGTGCTGAAGAGCGAGTCCTCGTCGACCTTGCGCAAATTGGCAACTCGTTTCTTCTTGTTGACGAGGTATGTCTTCTTCACCATTGACGGCCTGTGCTTGAAGTCGTGGAGGACGTAGGGGTAAATATCCTCCACACAGCCCGTATCTCCTCTGTCCTTCGGGTTCTCCGTCGCCTCTCCCTCGAATTCGTCGGGGTACTCCTCTTCGCCGTCGTCCAATTCGGCTTCCTCCAAGGTCACTCTCGCCTTTTTCCTGAAAATCGATGTGGCTTCTTGCTCGTCGTCCATCTCATCCTCTGTGGCAGAGTCTTCAGGCCCTTCCTCATACCCTTCACCGTCTGCACTAATGGACACCGCGTTCTCCTCACCTGTTTGCTCGGAGTCCGCAGCCACGGTGGAAGTTTGGCGTGGTACAAGAACGGTGGTGCCGTCTTGCCTCTTCTCAGTGGCCAGGCGAATTAGTACATATTTCGCTGTATCCGCGTCACATTTAGGCATATAGTAGTTGAGGAAGGCGTCGGCATCGCAAAGGACGACCTCCAAATTCATCAACCGAGCTATGTCGATGCGAAGTGTGGTCGTCGTGTCGTCGACATTGGTGATGTCCTGCCCTGTTCGTGGAGTTGTTCCTACAGGCGCTGATACAGCCCCAGGGGCAGCCTGAGCCACCGGGTCTCGCTTCGGGGTTCTGGTATGTCGTTGTTAGCGATGCCACTCAGCGATTGGGGTAGATCTCGAAAAACACTCACATTGGCTCTGTCGTAGGCCTCATAGCACCAGTCTTCTGTTATAACTCTCGATGGATCTCCTCCAACTGTAATTCAGTACGAGAAGGGTGTCAAACAGTATGGTTGTGGTTAGGAAGAAAGAGGCGTCGGCCCTTGAAATGGGATCACAGAACAAGTTTGTTCATTGACATTTGGTCAGAAAGGAAGAAAGTTCCCACACAGCCACACATCGATTTCGAGAACGCTTGCCCCAATGTCGGTCCTCAACAATTTAAAGAACGAAGCAATCACATACTATCTTCGACCACGACTGGGCCGAAGAATGACCCCATCCAACCCATCCCTCCCTCGGTTGGGCAGTGTTGTGATGCCCTGGGCCCACCTGCTTTACCGTCAACCTTGACCCCCGCCTAAAACCAGTGTCGCCTCTACAAGCCGAACCCATTCTATCACAAGAAGTTTATTTAATATGTCGGAAATTTGGGACGGCGCCGGCAACGCCGAAAAACGCCTTTTAACGAAGGCCTCCCGGTTGGCCGTTTCAACATGGCCCCAAAAATGTTGAAACGGCCTAAAAACGGCCTTCCAACGTGTAGGAAACGCGGCCTGAAACGGCCAATGACAGACGGGCGCCTATTTAATTTTCGCGAACGGCCTGTCAAACGGCTGTCAACAGGCCGTGCGTTGGAAGCCAGGGATCAACTTTCCGACATAACAGTAGGTCAAGTAACGTTATCTCTTTTGCCCTGGTCCCCCCAAGATAAGCTTATGCCCCACACCTACCCCGAGTACCATGATACCCGCTCGGAGACAGATGCTCCCCACATCCACAGTGTCGGAGCGAGGGATATGTTTTTGGGCGTCTACTTCGGCAAACCTGCACGCGTCTGATGTGGCTTGCCGCGCTTGGTGGCTTGGGGCAACTTGAAGTCCATCAAGACGCGCGCGGAAAAGCCATATCAATTTCAAGCCGCGTTAAGACGCGCCCAAGACCACAAGGCGTTTTGAGGAATACTTAACGTCCGTCGTATTGTAAGGCAGGCCGAGTGTATATATAGGTAGAAGAATGCTAATTGAACGTATATTGGCCATAAAATCGAATGCTACGATGGCATGTGACCTTCCAAGGGATGTCAATTGTGGGAGGAGGGGCCTGGAGGGCACCAGCCCGGTTTTGCCTCATGCTCGAAGTCCGTCGTATTATAAGCCTAACGGAGTATACATAGGTGTACAGGAAAGGCGTAGCATTGATCTTCTGTCATAAAACTGAATACCACGTTACAATAAGGCATGGATGTCACCATGAATCACGATTGAGCCTGTCACATCCGAGTAATGGGTCTCTCGAAACTCGTTGATTATGGGACATTAATGTAGAAATAGTCAGTGCTAGTATACTTATACAAATGCAGATCTACACTGTCACCACAAAGGACCATAACCCGAGGGTTAAAGTCAGTTCAAACCAGGACAACTGGGAACTCTGGGAGAGGAATTGCTACCAGCGTTGCCTCCAACCGCTTGACCCATGTGTCTTGAAGTTTAAGCTTCGCGCGTAGATCCGAAATCTCAGACCGAGCCTGCTGTAGCCGTAGGACTAGGACGAGCGGTTCATGGCATTGGAGGTGCGAGAGTCTTCCGACATCGAGCCCAGTACTAGTATGACATCTCGTACTCATCTCGTTTGACAGGTTTAGCCAACGTTTCCTGGCCAACCTTGGATGATATCACCCTCCAAGAACCTCCAAGAGAATTTCGCTAGTATTCCGCAGAATTGAGTACCACATAATAAGAAGCTCACTGATGGATTTGCTTGGATTTGTGGTCGTCCGACCACAAATGTAATACTCTAGTTATTGCCTCCGGGGTGTTTCATGGCGGGAGGTTCTTCTTGACGCAAGGCATTATCTCTTGTCTTGAGGAGTTACGTGAAACGTGATTGAGTATGTACTTTTCAGAAACTTAAGAAATCGAAGAACGAAAAGTCGCTCAATAAGTTTGAAGCAGGGGCATAGGGTGAATGAGGACGGGAAGCCAGAATTTAACCCTATGCCCACCTGTCACTCCGAGTACTGATGCTAGGTGCATAACTCGACTAACGATGGACCAGGACTTCTGTCGGAGGGCTAAGTGGCACCATTGTGGTGGCTGGAATCAGCGTGCATTCCAACGTTCCTCATCCCCGAACCGAAGGTCTCGGCAACGTCGCCACCGCACCTGCAATTGCGCATGAGGTCTCCGCAGACAACTGGGTTGCTCTAGAGAACGTTCAGCAAGTAACTCTTACTTAACATGAAGACTCAAACGAACTTTCATATCTCTGTTCATAGAATCTTTTAATCCATGAAAAGAAGGGAGGTTGTCTAGCAAGGTATTCAGCCTGACTCTGAAGGAAAAAGCACGCGGGTTCATTTCAATCGGCTCTCCTGCCCGATTTGAACACTCCACCCGTCATATCTCCTTCCGCTTTGTCTTGGCACAAACATGCGCTTGTGGAAACCCTCATTGGATGGCGGCAGAAAATTTGGGGCGAGAATTTCGTACATATATGTGCTCCAATCGACATTGCAAGCTCCCTCGCTTGTCGCTCTCCCTTTCCTCCTCAACCATCCCCTCTGTTCCCTGCGGACCGACGTTCCTCAGCGAACACGATGGCCAAAAAAACTGGCGTCGAGCTCAATCGACGGACAGAAACCACCATTTCTGTCACAGTAGCTCCTCAGAATCCCGACTTCTTCAGTGTCACGCCAAAATCACATACTTTGACCCCCGCCCGTCTCGCTGAAGACCTTGGAACCTCCCTTACCGACGGCCTTTCTAGGAATGAAGCAGCTCGCAGGTTAGCTACCTATGGCGAGAACGTCCTCGAGGGCGATGGTGGTATTTCGATCTGGAAGGTCCTCATCGGCCAATTGGGTGAGTTTGTCCTATACCGTGGCGACCGGATACTGACTCGTTCTTCTAGCCAACGCTTTAACTGTCGTCTTGGTCGCCGCGATGGCTCTTAGCTTTGGTGTGAAGGATTATGTTGAAGGCATCGTTATCGCTGTGGTCATTATTGTCAATACCACGTCAGTCTGGCTCGTCCTATCCGGAATAGCGTGCTTACCACAATCGCCTTTAGTATCGGTTTCTTCCAAGAATATCGCGCTGAGAAGACCATGGATTCGTTGAGGCAGCTTTCATCTCCCACCGCCTTTGTCATCCGTAACGGCGAGAGCGTGGCTATTCCAGCAAAAGATGTCGTTCCCGGCGATCTGGTTTCCATCAAGGCTGGTGACGTCGTGGCTGCCGATGTGAGTACAGCTCCTATTCATCGCGGTTATTTTCCTGACCGTTACTTCTCAGTTGCGCCTGGTCTCGGTTTCCAATCTCGAAATCTCGGAGCAGCTCCTCACTGGTGAATCTGTACCTGGTAAGTCGAGCCGTCGCCCGTCTTCTCTTCTGTCGAATAACCTGCTCTCGCTCAGTTGCAAAGAATGTCGACACTTACGACGAGGACGAGCTCGACATTCCGATTGGCGACCGCCTCAACCTCTGCTACGCCTCAACCATTGTCACCAAAGGTCGCGGAGTCGGAATTGTTGTTGGAACGGCTATGAATACCCAGGTTCGTCACCCGTGCCCCTTCATCGTGATTCAATCCTAACACCCGTCCAGATTGGCATGATTGCTGCTGCTATTCAAGGAAAGAAGAAGAGCATTGACGAGGAGATGGCGCACCGTCCCTGGTACCACCGCACTCTCGAGAAGATCAAGTACATCATGGGTCTTCGCTCGGGCACTCCTCTGCAAATCAAGCTTGCCAAGCTCGCCTACCTCCTCTTCTTGTTTGCTTGCCTCCTCATCATCATCGTGTTCTCTGTCGCCAAGTTCAAGATCACCAGTGAAGTCGTCTTGTACGGTATCGCCACCGCCATTGCCATCATTCCCGAATCCCTCGTCGCCATTCTTACCCTCACCATGGCCGTCGGTACTAGGAAGATGGCGAAAGAGCATGTCATCGTCCGCAAGCTGGACGCTCTTGAGAACCTTGGAGGTGTCACCGATATTTGCAGCGACAAAACCGGCACATTGACCCTTGGTATGTATCACCATACTCTATGGTCAGGGGATGGATAGGCTTACTTGTTTGCATGTTTCTAAATGCACAATTTGTGTATGCACCTTTCCGGAAACACTCCCGTAGGTCAAATGTCTGTTCAGAAACTGTGGTTGGCCGCCGACAAGCCTCATGACTCCGAGTTCACCGCCGAGTTGAATGATAACGCCTTGGACCCCACCGGTATCATCAAGCGGGATACGGATTCTAGTGTCCTGGATGGCGCGTCTATGCCCGAGGGCGTGCGCCAGGCCGTCTTGGTTGCCAGTCTTTGCAACGTCGCCACGTATGTCGCCTCTTATTCTCGTTCCTTCTGTTGCTGAATCCTTTGAAGCGTCCGCAAAAATTTGAAGGGCCAATGGAAGTCCACCGGTGACCCTACGGAAGTCGCGCTGCAAGTATTTTCAATGAAGCTCGGTTTGGGTCGTTCCACGCTGGCTCCCGATTCGCTCGAACAAGAAGCTGCCGCCGGAAGGCCTGCCCTCGGAGAGCCTGTCCCTGACACCGACTCAGATGCTGGGAAGGCCAAGGTTCAATTCCCGGCAGAGCTTTCTCAGTCCAAGCGCTATGAACTGAAAGTCGAATTCCCATTCTCGAGCGATGTCAAGCGTATGACCACCATCTACCTGGACAAAGAGTGCGAGAACCCCAAGGAGAACGCTATTGTACTGATCAAGGGAGCTGTACGTTGCCATCTTTCTCGCCATCCATCGATTTCTCATTTCTGCATTTAGGCCGAACGCATTCTGGACGCCTCGATTTCGTACATTCCCTCTCCAGAGACCAACCCTTCGCAAACTGCTCCGCTCACCCCTGAAGTGCGTGCCAGCTTCCTTGCGAAGTACGAAGAACTTGCTTCCCAAGGTCTCCGCGTCATTGGCCTCGCCCACCGTACTATGCCTGCTGCTGAACTCGAGGGTCTCACTCGCGAGGCGGCCGAGCAGGGCTTCACTTTCCTTGCTTTGGCTGGTATTTCTGACCCTCCCCGACCTGAAACCCTGGGCGCTGTCAGGGCCTGCAAGGCTGCGGGTATCGTTGTCCATATGTTGACTGGTGACCACATCTCCACTGCCAGGGCCATCGCAAAGGCTGTTGAGATCATCGGGCCTGATTCCCCTCCTAGTGCCGTCATGACTGTAAGTCGTACAGTTACTGATTTGTCGGGCTATCGCTGATCACTCCAAAGGCCCAAGAATTCGACAAGCTCACTGACGCCGAGGTTGACGCTTTGCCTGAACTCCCGCTTGTCATCGCTCGATGTGCCCCTGATACCAAGGGTAGGCCGCCGGTCCTCCGCTTCCATTCTATTCTTCACTGAGATCCCTTTCTAGTTCGTATGATTCACGCTGGCAAGCGCCGTGGCAAGCACATGTCCATGTCCGGTGACGGTGTCAACGACTCTCCTGCTCTCAAACTTGCTCCCGTTGGCATCGCCATGGGCATGGCAGGTTCCGATGTCGCCAAGGACGCTGCTGACTTGGTCTTGACCGATGAGTGCGTTGTACCGCTCTTCATCTGATGAAAAAGTAATTAATCCATGTTTTTAGCAACTTTGATTCGATCCGCGTCGCAGTCAGCGAAGGCCGAAGGCTGTTCACCAACATCCAGAGGTTCATCATCCACTTGTTGGCCGTGAACGTTGCCGAAGTTGTCGTCTTGATTTTGGGTCTGGCTTTCCAAGATGAACAGGGTCGAAGCGTGTTCCCGCTCAGTCCCATCGCTATTCTTTGGGTCAACATGGTCACCTCTGGACCCCCTGCTTTTGGTTTGGGTACCGAGAAGGCGTCTCCGGATTCGATGTTGAGGCCACCTCACCCCTTGAAGGACGGTGTCTTCTCCTGGCCTGTCATCATTGACTGCTTCGCCTACGGAATTGTTATGGGCGCCCTTTCACTTATGACTGTAAGTGTCGTCGCTGCTGCAACTACGAGCTTCGGCTGACCACGTGCACAGTTCGTTATCGTTGTCTGGGGAAGATACAGCGGCGAACTTGGCATCGAATGCAACCACTCCTCCGATGCCATTTGCAACACTGTCTTCCGTGCTCGATCTGCCACCTTCGCTACCCTCATCTTCGACATCTTGCTCTTCGCGTTCGAATTGAAGTCTTGTGGGTTGCTTTCTGCTTCTGTTCTTTGCACGCGGACTCATCATGTTTACAGTCGACCGTTCGGTGTTCGCTCTTAATCCCAACCGTGCTTGGTGGCTCGAGCTCTACGAGAACAAGGTCTTGTTGCTCTCAGTTGTCGGTGGAATGGTCACCGTTGTCCTTCGTGAGTAGAGTCCACTCTCGTCTATTTACGCACGGCACTCATCGATCTTTCAGCCATCTACATCCCCGGGTTCAATAACCGCGTCTTCTATCAAGCACCCATCGGCTGGGAGTGGGGTCTCGCCATCGGCATGACCATCGTCTTCGTCATCTGGTGTGAAGTTTGGAAGATTATCAGGAAGCCTCTCTTCAAGCGTTGGGATTATGGTCTTGTCCAAGTTGACCCGAGCGGAGAAGGTGGGACTGGCACGGCACCCATGGCCGGTCCTTCGGAGAAGCAGGTCGACGAGAAGGCCAACAAGGTAGCAGAATAGGGCCAGCGGGGCGGCCTCATCGTAGGCCAACTGGGGAGGAGGTTGGATGGAGTTGTTCGTGGTGGTGAATTTACGATTGAGAAAACGCTTCATGCTAGGTCCGCGGATGATTCCCCGAGTCTGTTGGTGTTGGAGTTGAAACGTTTCATATTATCTCTTCATGATTGTATACGATGGTCTGTTACGACTAGTTGCATTTCGAATATACATGATAGTTCGCGTTTTGGAATTCTATGGGCAGCTGAAGGCGGTCTGGGATCCTCAATACAGTATGAGGGTACCCCTTGCGTAACGAGTACATAAATGGAGTTTGGACAGCCTGCTGTGGTTGTAGGCTGAGTGTTTGATTGTTGGAGATGGTGCAAGTACGATCTAGCGCTGGGGGATTCCTGTGTTCGGTTCACAATTGGATGGCAGCTCGCAATGGCAACGAGGCACCGCCTACGGCAATAGGGCCTGTATGGGTCGAACAGTAGTCTATTCAATAAGAGTCTACCACCAGAAGAGTGCTTGATAGAGTTGACGCCCGTGGAAGGACCTCGGCCACTGCAGTGAAGTTTCACTAACTCCGGAAGAGTGTCGAGGATGATGGATGTAGTTCATAGAGACGGGAGAACGTATAAAGGAGAAGCTTGACCGAATATTTCGGTCTACGATTGCCTTCACCTTTGAGCTTTTACAGTCCTCATATGTCGTCTATCGTTCTTGCCGAAGAGATTCTTGACCTTCTTGTCGACATTCTGGGAAGTGAATACACTCTAACATCGCCCTCGTCCCTCCCGCTGGGTCCGAAGGAGCTGGGCACGGTGCGAGCGCTGGGCAGCTTGAGCCTAGCCTCTCGACGCCTCGCCAGCCGATGTCGAGTGCACCGCTTCTGGAAATTGACATTCCATGCGGATACCTGGCCGGGACTCACAGCACCTCCTCCCTATCGAGAAGATGCAATCCAGAGGACAGTCACACTCTTCCGCGACAACCCACGGTTGTTCTGGTATGTACGCGACATTGATGTCGTATTCCGCCGCGAGGGAGGGGACCCATTTCATTTCCTCCAATCCCTACATTCCTTCCTGCCTAACGTTCACAATGTGGACACGATGGCTCTGCGCGTACCGGGCTCTCCACGTCGTTGGAGCGAGTTCGACAAACTCACCCAAGCCGCGTTGCTTCAATGCATCAATCAAAATCCGCTGGCAAGGATGCTGAGGGTGGATGGCATCAGACTCCCGGAAAACATCCTCAAGATTCTTCCATCCAGCCTCGGGGGTTTGCGATTGCATGGCTCTGGTGGAATCGACGCTCCTATCTCCCAATGCCCTATTCTTGCACCAGAAACGAAATGTCGACCAGAAGAGCTCCAGATATCCATCAGCGATCCCTTCACGAGGATCATGATGGAACAGGAACCCAGCTTCTTCAGTCGTCTTGCGCGGTTGGATGTGTTCATCCACGGCGATAGCATCAATCTGCCAATCTTCCATCGACTCCTTTGCGATCCACATCTTCTGGTCACGACCAATGTCCACACTCTGGATTTATCATACCATGGGTCTGATGGTGCGTACCCTTTGTTTGTGGGTCAATCAGGAAGACGCGGATTTATCAGATTGTTGTGCACAGATGCCGTCGGGTTCCAGGAATTGCTGTTGGGGGAGACCAGGTTTAGACATATGCCGAGTGTGACGGATCTCACTGTCTCGGTTAGTCTTCTCAGGCGTAGCGGAGAACAGGTTTGCCCTTCGCTGGCGTCTCGGATTATACTGGCACACCTCGTACCAGCCTTTGCATCGATTCAGTTTTTGGGTATCCAGATTTCGTGGAGTGTACTTCAGGGAGTTGAAGGGAATCACGATGCCAAAATGATAGATGGGGACAGGGGATGGATTCAAAGAGGTTGACTATATCTTATCAGAAGGGAAGATTCTTCCCGAGCTTAATCACGTTGCTATTGAAGTAAACTTCAGCGATCATGGTCTTTCTGACGAGGCGGGGCCGCGCGCTGATATAGCTGGGGGTGGAGGTATGGAGTTTCAGGGAAGATTGTTGGAAGAGATAAGACTCGTGTTCCAGGAGACGTCAAGGAACATCAAGCAATTCACAATCAATGGTATCCTTCAATAGGTCTGTTATTCAATAGCCTTAATTCTTGATTATATCTGACAATCTTCAACAAACTCGTATATTTAGAGTAGGATATGTCCTAATTAACATTATCACCCTTAGCCTGGTCAAACATCTTTATACCACTGTGCTACACCTGGACACCTCTACGCGAGACTAGTGCTCACCAAGCCCATTGGTACTGTGCATATCCACCTTGGCAGGGAGCAGATAGGAGCAGCCGACTCGGATCGGCGCGACGCGACACGCCATCACGTGTCCGGGTCAACCGAACGCGCCAAGCCATTTGGGGTTGGCCGCCTTTGCGCCGCCTCCGCTCATCTTCCCACCAACCACCACGACCGCGCCGCCGACGACGACAACGACGACGACGACGGCGAACATCATTTTGGTTATCGTTGGCAACGACAACAAGGGAAGCGACGACAGGGACGTTATCCACGACGACCACATCGTTGGCATTGGCCTCGTATGCTGTGTACACTGAGCACCAGTCTCTGCGTTTCTCTGAAGTCGGGGTCCATCTTCAATGTCCAAGCTGAGGGCGAAGCCCACAGAGGTCTTCAACGTCGAAGATGATGGCTACGAAGCGTCGAGCTCATTTGGAGACACAGGCACGACTTCCATATCTGCGGCGGCACCAGGGCGAGGTACGATCCTAGATTTTTCTTCTTTGTGCAGGCGGCTTAGAATCAGTCAAGGTCACCTGAAGAAACCAAAGCCACTGCAGCCGTTCTCTACAAAAGGTTGGAGCAAGGAAACGAGCTCTACAAAGACGACAAATCCTGTTGTTTACCTTTCGGACTCCAGTGCAACCTCACCCCATGGGGCTGGAGTAAAGCGAACCTCGTCCGACATATCTCTTGGGCTAGACCCCTCTCCAACGCTACAAAAGCGCGTCAAGCAGGGAGCCGTCGCGTCCACGGTACGATCGTCCACGAATGGGAAAGAAAACCTGAATGTACCGAACAGGACCTCCAAGGACACCAAAGGGAAGGGCAAACCGACCTACCAGGAAGCCATCATGGACGTGGATGACGATACTAGACGACGCCAAAAGGAACGAACGCCACTGGAAGCACTGCGTCAGTCGGCCTCCAGGCATGGGTGTGAATCGCGGCGATTAGAGAATGTCATCCCGGATAGCTTGGCGACTGTAAGCGCGTTCATATCCATTCTTCTCCCTGTCTCTTATTTGCCTTCGTGTAGCTTCCACGAGAACATCTTGGTCAAGCCAAATCATCTTGTGACCAGCTCTTGCACCACATCAACGACTTAATTATCCAACATTACCGAGGGGCGAAGCTGATAGACCTTGAGATCCACGAGGAGATTAAGTGAGGTTTTCTCCCATCTACATCCCCTACACACTCTGACATCTATTAGGCAACTTCTCGAGAAGCGAATCAGTAGCATCGACGCGTACATGTCTGGAGTTCCGACCGAAGCCACCCTCCCGATATCCATGCCACCTCCCCCACCTCCCCTTCAGCAAATTCCATCCGACACGAGTACTACTTCGACGCTGGTTGAGAACTCCGTGTCTGCCGTTCTTCAACCACAGTCAGAGCCCATCGTCGTCGACGATGACGACGAAGATGCTGACCTCTGGGACCAGATGCCCGACGTCGACTTCGCCGAAATATCCGAGGTGCCCTCCCCAGCCCCTCCTCCAATACCGGCACAGACAGTTGACTCCGCTCCCACTTCTGCGCCCGATCCCAAGCTTCTACAATCACCTTATTACCCAGAAGTCATGCAACAGCTGAAAAACGTGTTCGGCTTGGATAGCTTCCGGAAGAACCAGCTCGAAGCTGTTTTATCGGCAATGGATGGGAAGGACACTTTTGTCTTGATGCCAACAGGTGGCGGGAAGAGCTTGTGTTATCAGCTGCCGGCTGTCTGCACCTCGGGCCCTCGTCGAGGTGTTTCCATCGTTGTTACCCCACTGGTCGCACTCATGAATGACCAAGTGGGGCAATTGACGAAGAAGTACAGGGTCAACGCTGTATTGTGGAACGCGGACAACCAGGCCTCCTCGGAACACATCACGGCTCTCAACCAAGGCCAGATCGCCCTGCTATATGTCACTCCCGAGAAGCTGGTCGAGAGCAATAGGGCCAAGGATATCTTCAAGAGGCTCTACGAGTCGGGGCTCCTGGCTAGGTTCGTCATCGATGAAGCCCATTGTATATCAACTTGGGGCCAGGACTTCCGTGAAGCTGTATGTGCTCGTTGTTCTGTTCTCGCCTCCTCCTCTGACCAATTTAACCAATCAGTACACCACCCTTGGATCGCTACGCAAGGAATATCCCAACGTCCCTATCATTGCTTTGACGGCCACCGCCAACAAACGGACCGTCGGCGACATCATCAGTCAACTCCAAATGCGCAGCCCTCTTATGCTGATCCAGTCCTTCAATCGTCAAAACCTCTCGTACAAGGTCGTCCAGAAGAGTCCGAGGTTCAAGTTCGAAATCTCCAACGAGATCAAGGACCATTATCCTGGAAAGTCAGGGATTGTCTATTGCAGAGCCAAGCAGACCTGCGAGAACATTGCTCAGTTCTTGAAGACGCAAGGTATCATCGCTGCCTACTATCACGCTGGGATGGAGAAAGACGATAGGCACAGAGTTGCGACCGATTGGCAGGAGAATCGCATCCAGGTTGTGGTCGCCACGGTATGCCCATCCTATTCCGGAGCCAGAAAATGTTCGCCTGACCCATCATCGACAGATTGCTTTTGGCATGGGGATTGACAAGCCTGACGGTGTGTTCCATGGCTCTTGTACCCTTCGCGCTGCTGACCGTTTTCCTAGTTCGCTTTGTCATTCACTACGACATGCCGAAATGTATCTCTGGGTAGGGTAGCGCCTTCCTCCTAGTAGGTCCTGTAAACTGACCGCCCCATAGGTACTACCAAGAGACTGGACGTGCAGGGCGGGATGGTTTGCCCTCCCAGTGCATACTCTGTATGTATTTATTGCTCCCAACAATATCCTCAGCTCTGATCGAGAATGACAGATTACAACTTCGGCGACCTCAATACCTCGCTCAGGATGATCCGCAGCGACGACAAGACGACTCCCGAAGCGAAAGCGCGACAAGAGGCTGACGTCAGGCAGATGTTCGACTTTGCTGCCAACCAATCCGAATGTCGACGTGTCCAACTGCTCCAGCATTTCGACGAGCGTTTCGACAGGAGGCTCTGTCAGAAGACTTGCGACACATGCGCTGACGAGCGGGAGACAGTCAAGGCGGACGTTACGAGTGTGGCTCGAGCTGCGGTTACCTTGGTCCGGTCTGCTAGAAAGGCTGGAATGTCGCTGACACCGTCTCTGCTCATGAACGGTCTGCGAGGTTCTACCAACCAGGATATCAAGTCCAAGAGGGTGGATACACTCGATGGATACGGCAAGGCCAACGACTCTCCTCAAGATCTTGTCGACCTTGTGATCAAGCATCTGCTGCATGAAGAGTATCTCGCCACCGACTCTATCAAAAACGCGCACAATGCCTTCCACACCGATGTCATCGTGGTACCGTCGTTTTCAGTTTTCTCATATGTTCTTTCTCTGATTATCCAACCTTCCAGCTGGGCCCAAAAGCCAACGAAGTTAACCACCGGAAGGAGATCACTGTCGCATGGCGGCCAAAGCTGAAGGGCGGTCGCAAGGGTCCAGAGCGATCCAATTCCACCCCATCGACTTCAGGAAAGCCAGCTTCTCGGGCCCCTAACCAACGCAGGGGCCGCAAGGTTGGAACTGAACTGGCGGACGACCCTATTGAAGACGATATCTACGATTTTCAGGACAACGTCCAGCCAGCGCCTTCGATATCAGCCCCTCCTTCGGCTGCAGCTTCGAAGCCGGCGTCTCGAAGAGATAAGCCGTCGTCCAAGGTCGTTCCTGTCACCCCAGCTTCGCTTCTAGAGAAATCTAGCGATGACCCCGCCGCGGCTTTCCACTCAAAGATGGAGGCCCTTCGACAACAGGTAAGTGGCTTCGCTGTGATATTGCATGCAGTCGTTGACATGTCGTTTCAGGTTGCTCGGGAGAGGAAGATGAACCCACAGGACCTTATTGACAATGCGGTCCTCGAGATGCTTACTCTGATGTGCCCGATGGGTGCGTGTCTCGTGTTTCAAAGTTGGTTATCAGCGCTGAAAAGTATTACCTGTTCCCTCTAGACTACCGAAGCTTCAAGGAGGTGGTCAACGACGCATGGCCAGAGTCCGATCGACGTGGGATTGATCATGCTGAAGAACTGTGGAGGCTATGTGGACAGCGTTTTCTTGACCTATGCATTGCTAACAAGACTGGAGGTCCAGCCAAGTGGGTCGATTCCTTCTTCTCTCCCGTGGCCGTTTGCTTAAGATGTCATCAGGAAACCTGTCTCGACGCGGACTGTGTCCCAACTCCGTGACAACTACGCCTACCAATCTTCCGTTACCAGCACCACAGGACGTTCCGACAGCGCTGGAAGCTCGACATCTAGAACCACAGGAAAGACTGGAACCCCGGTTGCCAAACCGCCAGTGTCCTCTGGTACTGTCGTCACTCCACCTGTGCCGAAGCCTCCTCCAACTGTAGCCTCGCCCGCGCTTGGCACTGTCCCTAACGGTAGCAGAGCCAAGAGATTTGTTTTCCGTCACTGAAGGGGGTCTTTCCTCCTTCGTTTGATGATTCCTTCGCCGGGCGCCCCCGATAGACGTCATTTCTTGTTTATTCCCTTTTATTATTGTCGCTTTACTCGTCCTTCGCAATCTGTCTGAGCATCCATTGTTACTTGTTATCCTCTCCTGCAGGCTATTACTTCATTGTACATTTTGTATTTTAGTTTTCATCGTATATCCACTTACACCGAACGTCGCTGTAATTTTGATTCTACCGCTCTGGTCAATATCTAATACAGCTTTTGGCTAATTGACTGTGTCCACTTCACTGGTATATCGCTGCGACTTGGAAATTAATTCTGAAAACATCTGCACCTCATTGACAGGACGATCAGCTCGACCCAAAAAGCCACTTCGTTCTTAACGAGGTTCGGAACCCAAAATGCCATTGGCGTGGATGTACGGCGAAAAGATTGAAGTGACTCCCGGCCGTAACCAAAAACTGGACAGACGCGGACCTAATTGTCTTCCTAGTCAAAGCGACTCGCTCAACATGGCGTTTTCCTCAGCTTGACGTTTTGTCTGTACAGAAGGGCACGTTGCTCGTGACGCGTCACGAGCAACCGCGTGACGACGCGCGCAGTCGTTGAAAGGGAAAGGTTGTGGCTGCCCAGGACCTACCACGGAAAGGCTATAGCACTAGAAAGGCAGGCATTACTTACGACCTCACTGATTACCTATACTCACGAAGGTCCCTGGAAACGAAGCTTGGTCCAGCACAATCGAGGTTCTCGAGGACAATGGCCATGGGCACGCTGTGGCATAAGCGCCCACAATCCTCGTGATCATTTTGTGGCTGTGTGGGAACTTTCTTCCTTTCTGACCAAATGACAATGAACAAAACCTGTTCTGTGATCCCATTTCATGGGGCCGACGCCTCTTTCTTCCTAACCACAACCATACTGTCTGACACCCTTCTCGTACTGACTTACATTTGGAGGAGATCCATCGAGAATTGTAACGGAAGACTGGTGCTATGAAGCCTACGACAGAGCCGATGTGAGTGTTTTTCGATATCTACCCCCAATCGCTGAGTGGCATCGCTAACAACGACATACCAGAACGCCGAAGCGAGACCCGGTGGCTCAGGCTGTCTTTGGGGCTAAATCAGCACCCGTAGGGACCACTCCACGAACAGGGCAGGACATTGCCAACGTCGACGAAACAACCACCGCACTCCGCATCGACATCGCTCGGTTGATGAATTTGGAGGTCGTCCTTTGCGATGCTGAAGCCTTTCTCGGATACTACATGCCCAAATACGACAAGGATACAGCGAAACATGTTCTTTTCCTCCTGGCCACTGAGAAGAGGCAAGATGGCACCACCGTTCTTGTACCACGCCACACTTCCAACACCCCAGTGGACTCCAAGCAAACGGGCGACGATGATGAGGTATCCGTCAATGCAGACGGTGAAGGCTATGAGGAAGGGCCTGAAGACTCTGCCACAGAGGATGAGATGGACGACGGGCAAGGAGCCACATCGATTTTCAAAAAAAAGGCAAGAATAGTCTTGGAGGAAGCCGATTGGGACGACGACGAAGAGCAGTACCCTGACGAATTCGGGGGAGAGACGACGGAGAACACGAACGATGATGGAGAGGAAGACTGGGAAGAGTATATTTACCCCTACTTTCTCAACGACTTCAAGCACAGGCCATCCATGGTGAAGAAGACGTACCTCGTCAACAAGAAGAAACGAGTTGCCAATTTGCGCAGGGTCGACGAGGGCTCGCTTTTCAGCACGCTAACTGGGATTGGAAACGCTGTCCGCGATGCTCTTCGAGCCAAAGGAGTGGCGATAAACGGCTATCACATCTTAATGTGTCCCAACACGACAATGACGTCTGGGATAGATGGGTGCGATCAGAGAATTGACGCTGCCCTCACAAAGAAGAGAGATTTCAAAGGGATAACAGTCTACGACGTCATTGTCCCATTCGAGTTCAAAGTGGACTGCAAGAACAGCATCATATTTGAGGTATGTGACCCTCTCGCTCTCGAGTAGTTCAGTTCTGTGCGCTGACCTTGATACTACAGAACCGTAGGCAGGTGGTTTCGCATGTCAATCATACCATGAGCGACGATCCTCGCCGCCTGTTTATGTATGCGGTGAGTGCTTGCGGCTATCGAAACTCTGATCATCAAAGCTCACGAGTAACCTTGTGCCAGATCTCTATTGAAGATGACCTTGTGTCCGTTTGGTACTTCTCTCGGTCACATTCGGCCAAAGCCGCCTGTTTCAGCATGGTTGAGGTACGCTCCTGTCTCCAATTTCGACACGTGATAGGTCCTAACTTTGCTTCAGCGCCCCGATATTCTCGTCAAGGTCTTTATCTCCCTTTTCTGCGCGACGGATCAACAACTCGGCTTCGACCCATATGTCACCCTGGTTGAAGACCACAGATTTGTTTACGAACTCCCGCCCAACGAGAATCGCTGCAAGTCTCTCTTCTACCGAACCATCGAATGCATCTCCCACCCACGCCCCCTACGGCTTAGAGGACGGTCAACTCGAGTTTGGAAGGTCGAGCAGGTACAATCGAAAAAAGACCACACTCGTGTTGCAGGGACGGGGGAGATGATATTGAAGGACGTCTCCCTGAGCTCTGATACGGCAACAGAGTATGACATTCAGAACATGATGTTCAATGACATGGACAAACTTGCGAGTGATCCAAACTGGCGCAAGCGCGATATCTTGAAGGACTGCTCTCCGGAGCAGTTGGAGGAACTGGAAGGCGTCTTGGACAGCCGTCGTTTCAGAGAGCTCTTCTCATGCGTGAAAGAGCACCATGTGGGCAACTCTGGTCTTCTCGTCATCCCATATTCATGGAGGCTTCCGTCAGTCTTCTTGAGGCCAAAGAAACTTAGCCACCCCTGCTATAATGTTCGCACCAATGCGGCCGTCGACTCGCCATCGAAGGATGAGGTACTGAATGACGATTCGAGCCAAGCGAAGGACTCGGAGGAAGAGATGATACCTACGCAGGCATTGGTTCCTCGAAGGCAGTGTCGGCTTGTATTCCACCACGTTTATACGCCCCTGCTCAATATCCGAACTATGGGCGATGCTATGGATATTCTAAAAGGGTGCGTGTTAGGTACGTTGCGTTCCTGTGAATTTCCTGCGTGAAACAGTTCATTTATCCTCGAACACCAGCTCTCCGTGTCATGTTCTGTGCAGGATGGGTCCACCGTGATCTCAGTCCTGGCAACATCCTCGCCGCCCGCACATCCGCAAATGGTCCGTGGCAAGTCAAGCTCTCCGACCTCGAATACGCGAAACGGTTTCCGTCAGATTATTCGCCAAGTTCCACGCCCAAAACGGTGAAGTTTTCTCTCGGTCTTTTCCCAACTGGACCTTTGTAACTGACTAGTCAACTTCTGACAGGCATCCCCACACTTTTTAGCGTACGAAGTGGCGACCAAGCAACCGATTACTTTCGAATCCCATAACGAGGACACAATCCTAGGCTCAGAACCGGAGGATATGGCGGACAATGAAAAGATGGCGCCGGTTTCCCACTTGACCGATCTTCATACCTTCCAGCACGACTTGGAGTCCATCTGGTGGCTTTCTATTTGGCTGGGGACCGTAAAAGTGGACGAAAAACTTCCAAGACAGAAATTCATGGACGTCGTGTTCCCAACAAAACTAGGGCTTGACAACCGGAAAGACCACGAGCGCTGGCGCTTGCTGACCGACAAAACACCACTTCATGAGGACAAGGACCTAATGAATAGTCTGCCGCGAGCCCTATCTCAGACCTCCTTCCTCCAGGCCCTAGAACTTCTTAAGAAGCATCTGCTTGTGGAGTACAAGAAACGTAATCTCCACGGCAAGCAAAGAGAGATAGGCAGCTATTCCTGGATTATCAATGGTACATTTCGAGGTTTTTTCCGCACGATAGATCGCTCGCGGCAGGATTGGGCTAACATCCGGCTTATCGAGGACCCGAAACCGCAACGAAAGTCCGCGAAAGTAAAAGAGCCCTCCGACAACCTTGATGCCCCACCTGCAGATCCACTCACGGGCCAGAAGCGCAAGTTTCGACAGCCAATTCGATTTCAATTTGAAAGTGATAACAGAAGAGGAGAAAGGACCATTGCTCCCCTTCCACGTCGAAAAAAGGGACAGGGACCTTCAGAGCCTTCACCATCCTTGCAGACATACAACAAGCCCACTCAAGTAAACGATAGCATGGGAATGGGAACGAATGGTGAGGAAGATGAAGCAAAACAGGGACGGAGGAAGAGAGCCCGCCGCTGAGGTCGACTTGATTACCTTGACCTAGTGCTTATTGTAATGTCGGTAGAACTGGGAGACCCAGCAACGTATTAGATGCCTACCTTGTGGCCACTGCAGCCTGAGTATATTTGTCAGTTAGCACAAATCAGTAAATCAGTCACCGATACTCTCCAGATAAGTCATTCTCCGATCCCCAGGGGGACCCCAAGCCTGAGGGAGTCTAAACGTTTGAAATTCAATCTTACCGAAGAGGTAAGTATCAGCAATATGTTATAGTTCCAAGGGTTGACGGCGGTAGGAAATTTATCATCCTGGCCCCAAACGACGTATGATCTAAGGTAGAATACTCCATGGCTATTGGAATGGGGCACGCACGTATCAGTGTCATGCCCAATACATACTGTTCGATAGTGGGTGGCAACGATGACTAGCAGGCAGGGGGGTGTCAACCGGTGGACCCGCGAAGAACACACCTCCCTCGCCGTCAAACGAACATTCGACTCGGGGTCCCAGTCTGGATGTGGAAAAGACCTGATGGCACCGTTGTCATCCAGGGGACTCCGCTGTCGTTGGAGAACTCCGCTGCAGCTTCTCAGTTCGCGAACGGGCTGCTAGCAGGTGTGCCTCTCCACTTTAATTATCCAAATAACTGCGACATAGGAGGAAGCGCAGAGGAATATCTGGTCTGGATGTCCGATGCAGTGGCGGTCCTTGCGTTGAAGGCACCTCGATGGTTTCGTACTCAGAAAGGTTCTGCCATGCCGGGCATGCCCAGGTCTGGCGACGAACTCCGATGGAGTCGGAGGGCTTTGGACGCGATCGCGTGACGTGGGAACTTTGTCCAGAATGGGTTACGTGGGCCACACACACATCAGGTCCGCGTTAGCTCTTGTCTTTCAACCACGACCATCGTTTTATTCAACAAGTCAATTTCATCCTTTCACGACTCAATCTCGACATCAACCATGGGATACGAACCCGCTACTTACCATGCTGAAAAGTTTATTCAAACTCACCTCCCAAAGGACGGACTGAGCAATTTCGACGCAATCGTCGCAGAGTTAGAGGCACAAAAGGTCCTAGCAGTTTGCTCCGGGCCCGTTGCTCAGCCCGCTGCAGCTGCGGATCGAAGCAGTCATACACTCAAGTCTTTCAAAGGCCTCTTTCGATCTGGGTACGCCAAGCCGACTCGCGTCCTGAAGGCACTGCAGGCGACATGGAACGCGGTTCGCAAGGCAATGACTAAGGTCACTCAAGAAGCCAACACAAAGAGCTACGCCATCCGCAAAGTCGACGGGGAAGATGCCCTTATTGAGACCTGCCTGACCGCCAACATGGATGCTCCTCTGAGGTCCACCGATGTCGTGATTCCGTTCCGTATGGCCACTGGTATCAGCAGCGATAATCAGGTATGACACGATTAGTCGCGTTCATTTTCGCTGGCTAACATTTGTGACCTCTTAGAACCTTCCGGACCCCCTCCCAGAATTCTTCCGTGTGATAAACGAGGACGCTCGCCGGAGGCATCTCTACGCAGTAAGTACGTTGACTCGTTGGAATCAACTGCGACCTCATTCGCTTCTTCACCTGTTAGATCACCATTGAAGGTGCTGATTTGTCGCTGTGGTATCTATCTCGATCAGAATGCGTTAAGTCTACTCCGTTCAACATGGTAGAGGTAGGTGTCCCCATCACAAATATCAACGGACCCAGCTAAACGAACGATATTCAGCGCACCGACCTCCTCATCCAGGCGTTCATCTCACTGATGTCAGCCACGGATGAGAAACTCGGTTATGATCCCTTGGTCACCCTGCTCCCGGACCTTACCTACGTCTATGAACTGCCTCCGGATGAGGGCAGGAACGACTCTCTCTACTACCAGACTGTCGAGCTCGTTTCCGAGTTCCACTCCGACGATCCTGTCGGGCGCAGCGCGCGGGTTTGGAAGGTGAAACAGGTGGTCTCGCCCACTGATCTGAATCGCGTTCCCGAGACTTGCGACAGAATCCTCAAAGACGTTTCCCTCGATGCACGCATGAAACCCGAGGTGGATATTCAGCGACAGCTCTTCGCTGATATCGCTGCTTTCGGGAAACGTCCTGACTGGCGTTCCGCGGACGTTCTGAAGGATATGCGGCAAGAAGATATAGGTACGCTTATGGATGCTTTGGACGGGGAAAACTTCAAGAAATATTTCTCCTGCATCATCGCAAGTCACGTCGGCAAGCCTTACTCCTGTCCGGCTCGATCCCAATCCCAAAGTCTGCCTTTTGGTGATGGCCCGAGCCCAACCTACGTACCAAAGCGTCAGTGCTTCTACCTCTACGAATTCATTTGCACGCCCCTCTACGATATCCCTACACTTGGAGAAGCAATCGATGTCCTCAGACAGTGTCTCACAGGTGAGTCGCGGTACGCTATCCTTGTCGCCCAATTCTCTGACTCGTTTACCAGCAATGCGACTCATGTACTGCGCTGGGTGGATCCACCGTGACATCAGTGTGGGGAATATCCTCGCCATTCGGTCTGGCCCAGAAGCGCCTTGGGAAATGAAGCTATCCGACCTTGAATTCGCCAGAAAATTCCTGGACCCAGAGATTCAGAAAGACGAGAAGCCAATCGTAGGTGATCACTTTATCGAATCCATCAGTATGTGCTAACCGCCCGCTCGAAGGGAACTCCTTTTTTCATGGCCTGCGAACTCCAGGCTGGAACGCCCATTCTCCCCGACGAGATACCTGCTTCCGATTACGAACTTGACAGCAGCCCTGAGTCCGAAGACTGGGAACCATCTGGCCCAATACTCCACAACTTCCAACATGAAATCGAATCGATGTGGTGGATCATCCTCTGGCTCCTCACCGCCAGAGTGCGTGGTAGTGCCTGGCACGAATTCAGCAAACACTTCTTTCGACACTCGAATAGCACCTGGTACGGCAGGGCGCGGCGCATGCTCTTGACCAGCCGAGATCCCCTCGATTCGGAAGAGACCTTTCCAAAGGACCTTCCAAGAGGTCTGCACGCAAAGCCCCTAAGCTTCATCCGGTGCCTCCACGCCTTCAAACTTGACCTATGGCGCTCGTACACGCTGCGATTTTCAGCGAAAGGCCAGAAGGACCCAGGCAGCTATTCGTGGATTGTGGGCAAGGGTGCTTCGAAGTTCTTCATTGGAATCGAGAGATCTCGTGAGGCGTGGGCTGCAATCCGGCTGATCGTCCAGACAGAAGCCAGGCAGGTGCGGGCACCAATGTCCAAGAAGCGAAAGGCAGAGGTAATGGTTGCTGTTCCAAATGTTGTCAGTCCGCCGCCTGTTGTGGAGCAACGTAAAGAGAAACAGCCTCACCGGCCGCGAAAGCGCCTGCGACTCACAGCGCCTGACTCCGCCACCCAGCATCACCAGCGCTCGGGACCTGTCACAAGGTCGATGACGAGGGAACAACGCAACGCTGGCCCGACGACGCGATCTATGACACGCCGGCTCCAGCAATCTGCTCCTGGCTCCTCCCGACTGACTAGATCCTCGGATAGGCGAGCTCGTACGTAGTTGTATATTGTTCTTCTGCTCTACATACATAGTATAAACCAACACGACATTATCCCTTTCCCATGCACCATGCTTCGTAGATGATAAATTCTTTTAACTGATCCATATCCGCGCCTCTCGTCCTCATTGACACATAGAAGGATCATTAGATTAGCCGACTTAGGACTCTGCGATACTTCTCGTATTATAACTCCTGCTAGCCTTTCAAGTTTCAGGACCTCACTTTGTATACTTTCTATGTCTCTGAGCACTATGCCTAGGAAACCGCTGTATTCTGTGACTGAAATGCACTTTCGAAGGACTCTGTGTTGACATTCGCTGACTTGGAGAGCGCACAAGTGTTTGAACAATGAGTAAGACGTGGGAATGTCAGCCTAAGCCCATCAAACGATTCAAGGTCCTGCATCAGCACTTGCCTTCGAACCACGACCATCCTCACTGTTGATCTCGTTAAAACATGACCTCAGGGGTGCCTGTCTCTCCAATTTTGGACTTCATCGACACCTACCTACCGAACACTAGCGTCGGTACCGTCATGAGGGGTCTCCAGGAACGTAAGGTTCTGGTGCCTCGCAGTGGCTCTAGGCTGAACCGACCCTCCTCAAGTCCGGAGAAACCTCCAGTGCATAGCCATTCCTTCAGGGCCTTCGAAGGCCCATTCGCAAAGGGCTCCCTGAAACCTTCCCGCGTCGTAAGGGCATTGAAGGCGATAGAGAACGCCGTCCGCAAGGTTATGGGGTTGAAGACCCGAGGAACTGACACCAACAAGTACTCCATCCGTGTTGTGGATGGAGAAGATGATATCCTCATTACTTGCATGACTGATAGCAACGATAATGTGAACGAACCTTTGCACTCGACCAAGGTAGTTATTCCTTTCCGTATTGCGTCCGGGACCAGTAGGACGAACAAGGTACGAGCCATCCGATCATATTCGTTCGATAGCTAATCCGTCGATATTCCAGGGTACTTCTGATCCCCTTCCGGATTTCATGCGTGTAGTCAACGAAGATGCTCGTCGAAAGCACCTGTATGCAGTAAGTGAATCAACCGTTACTCGACTGCTGTCCAACCCAGTTTCTTGCCAGATCACCATTGAGGATGCCGACATGTCGCTGTGGTATGTATCTCGTTCGAGATGCGCCAAATCTGCTCCATTTGACATGCAAAAGGTATGTCTTTCAACTGAGAACCATGCCACCGAACACTGACAACGAAACGACACTTCGCAGCATCCAGACCTCCTCGTCCGGGCATTGGTCTCGCTGATGTCGGCCACGGATCAGGAACTCGGGTATGATCCCTTGGTCACCTTGCTCCCAGACCTTACCTACGTCTACGAACTGCCACCGGATGAGGGCAGGAAAGACCCCCACTACTACCAAAACACCGAACTCATTTCCGAATTCCACTCCGACGATGCTGTCGGACGCAGTGCGCGAGTTTGGAAGGTGAAGCAGGTATTCTCGCCCACTGACCTGAGGCGCGTTCCCGGGACTTCCGACAGGATCCTCAAGGACGTGTCCCTCGATGCACGCATGAAGCCCGAGGTGGATATTCAGCGACAGCTCTTCGCTGATATCGCTGCTTTCGGGGAACGTCCTGACTGGCGTTCCGCTGGCGTCTTAAAGGATATGCGGCAAGAAGATATGGACGCGCTCGTGGATGCTTTGGATGGGGAAAACTTCAAGAAATATTTTTCTTGCATCGTCGCCAGTCACGTCGGCAAGCCTTACTCCTGTCCGGCTCGATCCCAATCCCAAAGTCTGCCTTTTGGTGATGGCCCGAGCCCAACCTTCGTACCAAAGCGTCGGTGCTTCTACCTTTACGAATTCATCTGCACGCCCCTCTACGACATCTGTACACTTGGAGAAGCAATCGACATTCTTAAACAGTGTCTCACAGGTGAGTTATGGTATGTTATCCATGTCGCGCAGTCCTCTGACCGCCTTGCCAGCAATGCGACTCATGTACTGTGCTGGGTGGATCCACCGTGACATCAGCGTGGGGAACATCCTCGCCATTCGACCTGGGCCAGAAGCGCCTTGGGAAATGAAGCTATCCGACCTTGAATACGCCAGAAGATTTCTAGACCCAGAGATTCCGAAGGGAGAGAAGCCAATCGTAAGTGATCTCATCTACCAAACCCACCCGGCATGAGCTTACCAGTTATTTTATCCAAAGGGAACTCCATTTTTCATGGCCTGCGAACTGCAGGCAAGAGTGCCTTTGATCCCTGAAGAGGATGATCCAACGATCGACAGCGAAGAGGACGATGATCTCCCGGAGCCCCTCAGGCCAGTGTCGCACAGTTACCAGCACGACCTCGAGTCAATATGGTGGATTATCCTCTGGCTCGTAACCGCAAGGTTGCGCGCTGGCCACTCGCGCGCGTGGAGCGATACCTTTTTCAAGCACAGCCGGGATATACACTATGGCCAGTCGCGTTATTGGCTCCTGTCCTGCGGGGGTTCCCTCGAGTCGCTAGCAGGTTTTCCCAGCGACCTCCCACCATCCCTGTATGGAAAGTCATTCCTTGGCCATCTCAGCGCATTCAGGTTTTATCTCTGCCGCGAATACCGGAGGCGGTATGGAGCGAATGGACTGGAAGACCCAGGGAGTTACTCGTGGATTATGGGGGAAGGTGCCTCCAAGTTCTTCCGTGGTGCCCAAAAGTCCCACTCACAATGGGGTTCTGTCCAACTAATCGTCGAGAGCGAGATTCAGGAGAACCGGTGGATTGCTGAGACGAAGAGGCAGGAGCCATCTTCGTCGTCAGCGAAGCGAAAGGCAGAGGAGGAGGTGGCAGGCCCAGATGCCATCATTCGGGCGGCAGCTGATAAAGGACATGAACAGAAGAAACCACATCCACCTCGAAAACGACCGCGACTCACGAAGACCGACTTCCCGGCTCAACCGCAGCGACGCACAGGACCCGTGACGAGGTCGATGACCAGGGATCAGCGCGCTGGTCCGACGACGAGATCCATGACACGTCGCCTTCAGCGATCTGCTGCTGGGTCCACCCGACAAACGAGATCTTCGAATAGGCGAACTCGAGCATAATGTCACATTCCTAACCCTCTCTGTTAGCAATAGAAACAATTATCACAGTATACTATTCCCGGACCCCGTCCCATTTGATAGACCACCCGCGATTCGTATAGACCGAATTTTGTAACACCACAATCTCACAGAGCGCTTACTTAGAGACCGATACATCTCCAATGATACACCTCGTCGACTCTTCATTGACACTCCCTTCCCACCTTCCCATTAGCCCGTGTCTGATCTCAGACTTGAAAGCGCCCTGGCAATCGCGTCCGACCCCCTAGGTGAGACGGACTACTTACGCGCTATCGCCAGACATGATACATGCACAATGAGGAAAATGTCTAACTTGTTTGTGCTTACTTAGAACACTTGAAGATTCGAGTTCGGCGAGAAGAGACGTGGGAAATAAACATTCAACCCATCAACAACCCGCGGCACACTTGCTCTTGCCCTCGAACCACGACCACCCTCATATCCAATCCCTTCTAAGAGCGCTCTCACTCATACACCACGTTCTCCCCTCCCCAAACAATGGACTCTAAGTTGTCTATCTGTCAAATATCGGCTTTCATCGAGACCTACCTACCCAACGAACAGATTCCCGCCGTGTCCCGGGAAGTTTCATCAGCTTACAAGAAACATGATGCGTGTACGCATACCTTGGAGATTTTCAAAGGCCTGTTCCGAATGAGTTTCCCCGAGCCAACAAGTCGGGTCCTCAAGGCGTTCCAGGGGATAGAGAACATTGTTCGCAAAACTTTGAGTAAGACGCAAAGAACGCGCCTCAATAAATACTCCATCCGTACTGTGGATGGGGAAGGTGGTATACTCGAATCTTGCTTGACCAACGACAATCATGACGACACCAGTACCTCCTTGGGCGCAACCGACATTGCGATTCCTGTCCTCATCGCGAGCGGGACCAAAAATGATAGTCAGGTACGAAACATCCTATTGTGTCAATCATCCATGTCGGTTAATCGTTATCTCAGAACCTTCGCAATCCCCTACCAGATTTCTTTCGAGTGATAAACGAAGACGCCCGCCGAAGGCACCTCTACGCAGTAAGTCGTTCGCTTTGAAATCGACTGCAAACTGACATGTGACTCTTCGGGGCAGATCACCATTGAGGATGGCGACATGGTGTTGTGGTACCTATCCCGATCACAATGCGTTAAGTCTACCGCGTTCAGTATGGTAGAGGTGCGTGTCCCCATGGTAAATCCGAAATTACCCATCTAACTGGACGATGCCCAGCGAACCGACCTCCTCGTCCGTGTATTGGTCTGGCTGATATCGGCCACGGATGAAGAGCTCGGGTATGATCCCTTGGTCACCTTGCTCCCGGACGGTACCTACGTCTATGAACTACCGCCGGACGAGGGCAGGAAAGACTCCCTCTATTATCAGACCGTTGAGCTCGTTTCCGAGTTCCACTCGGATGATCCTGTCGGACGCAGCGCGCGGGTCTGGAAGGTGAAACAGGTGACCTCTCCCACTGATCTGAATCGCGTTCCCGGGACTTCCGACAGAATCCTCAAAGACGTTTCCCTCGATGCGCGCATGGAACCCGAGGTGGAGATTCAGCGACAGCTGTTCGCTGATATCGATGACTTTGGGAAGCGCGCTGACTGGCGCACTGCGGGCGTTTTGAAGGAAATGCGGGAGGAAGATGTAGAGACGCTCTCCGATGCCCTGGATGGAGAGAACTTCAAGAGATACTTCTCGTGCATCGTCGCAAGTCACGTCAGCAAGGCCTACTCCTCTCCGGTTCTTGCTCTCAGCGACTCAAACAAAAGCTGTATACCAAAGCGTCGGTGCTTATACCTCTACGAATTCATCTGCACCGCGCTCCACGACATCCCCACTCTTGGTGAAGCAATCGACATCCTCAAACAGTGTCTCACAAGTGAGCTTACTACGCTATCCCTCCCTGAAGCCTCCTGACTTCCTTCCTAGCAATGCGACTGATGTACTGCGCAGGATGGATCCACCGCGACATCAGTGTTGGCAATATTCTCGCTGTTCAGAAAGGGCCAGAGGCCCCTTGGGAAGTGAAATTATCAGACCTCGAATTCGCAAGAAAGTTTTCTGGCCCTGGCGCGCATGAAGGGGAGAAGCCCATGGTACGTGCTCACACATTCCGGTCCCGTCACGCGCTAACACGCTATTGTTCTTTTGAAGGGGACTCCTTTTTTTATGTCTTGCGAGCTGCAGTCTGGGATACCGTTCGTTCCTGAGGATGATCAGAGAGTTGACAGCGAGAATGAGTGCGAAAACGTACAGCCGGCGTGGCACGAGCCTGATGGGCCATTGCTGCACAACTTCCAACACGACCTGGAGTCGCTTTGGTGGATCCTTCTCTGGCTCGTAACAGCCAGAGTCCGCGTTAGCACCTCGCGCGAATGGAGTGACCACTTTTTCAAGCACAGTACCGACTCCAGACACGGCGAAACGCGCTGTACCTTGCTGGTCAATACAAAGCCTCTCGATTCGTTCGCACTCTTTCCTCGGGACCTACCACAGTGTCTGTACAGCCATTCGTCAAACTTCTTGTTGGCCCTCAACAACTTCAAGCTCGATCTATGGCGCTCATACCGGCGGCGATATAGAGCGAATGGACTAGAAGATCCGGGCAGTTACTCGTGGATGATGGGTAAGGGCGCCTCAAAGTTCTTCCGCAGTATCGAAAAATCCCGCGGGGCGTGGGCGTCTGTCCAGTTGACTGTCGAGACAGAGTTGCGAGCACTCAGGCGGGCAGCCTCGAAGGCACCGTTGTCCAACAAGCGGAAGGTGGCGGCGAATGCGGTTAATTGGGCCCAGCCGGATGAACAACACGAAGCGACCCAACCTCGGAAACGATTGCGACTCACAGCTCCCGACGAGTCTACCACTCGGCCTGAACAACGCTCGAGACCTGTGACAAGGTCGATGACGAGGGCGCAGCGTGCAGGCCCGACGACGAGATCCATGACACGCCGCCTCCAGCAATCCGTTACTGGCCCGTCCCGACCGACGCAATCTTCGAATCGCCGACCTCGTCCATAATATTATAACAGTTTTCTTCTGATACGTAGTAGATACAATCATCTCAATAGCTACATTGATAAAGCAGCGCCCTCTGTCCCACGGACATCTCCTACACAACCACATGCTAGTAGAAGGGGCACTAGATTAGTCACACGTTGCTCTCACCCTGCAATACCTCTTTAATGATAACTTCCCTTGACTCTGAAGTGCATCGATCTCAGTGTGCTTTTATTCTGATGATGAGATGTATCATGATTCATGTAAACAAGAGTTACTGTGGACGTCCTCGAAGGGCCGCCACGGTCAGCAGAGAGTGATTTGAAGTATAGACGGAATTCAAGATAGGCCCTGTAACCTGATGGCGCTTGATTGATCAAAGTTCCGCTCTACGGCGCTTAACGATTAATCAAGTAACTCTTTAATCACTGTGATTAATCGTTTCCAAAGACTACTTTGCCCCTACTAGACCCTCATCTGAGTGAGGGAGGATACGGAATTGATTAATCATTCAACCTGTTTAATCAACAATCAACGCTTCGTGAACGACTAGGAGAGAATAGAGATTGATTAAGCGACATCGGACAGTGAAGGAGAGTGACTGTAGCAAAGTTCAACATATAGTGATTATAGAGACCATTAACCAATCTTGCTATAGTTAAACAGAGTGAATGAAAGAGAGAGGAGTCCTGATTAAACGGAAGCATTAATTCGATTCACAAAATCTAAGAAGTCGGGGTCTGGTATATGGAGGGTATTGAGAATTCTCGCAGTAACGGATGCAGGAAGGTACTCACCTATAGCTATCATGGAAGTTAGAAAGTTCGATTGAGCGATGTCTCTTGATGTAGTCGAGTAATAGTTCGCCTTCTCTATATCCAGTAGGTTCATCCGTTTGAATTCGCGTAAAAACAGCTTCGACTTTTTCTGCAAGCCTCCTGAACATATGTGCCTGCTTGTTAGCGAAAATAGATTGCGAAAGGGCCATTCCAGGGGTCGACGAAAGCTTCTCCCAGGTATCTGACATCCTTCGGAACGAGCGGGTGCAACGGATACACTCGACCAATTTGATCTCCCATTGTTCTCTCCAACGTTCCATTTCCGCCTCAGCACGAAACCAAGCCACCTTATCCCCTTGAAATGGAATAACGTAAGAATGTACCATAAAGAACGAAGAGAGAAGGTCTATTACTTACCTTCTTCCTCCCATTCGCGAATTTGCTCATCAGTAAGCTTTCCAATCGTTCCTAGCCTCCAAATCCATCCGTCGTTAACACTCATCGTCTTCAAGAGCCCCGAGTCTACCTGGGATAGCATAGCCTTCGCTTGCGAAGAGGCGATGTCCATTCTCCCTTCGTGTCCTGGAATCAGAGAATTAGAGGCGAGAATAGCAATTGATGATTCCGACTCACTTGTAGAGTTCGAGGACGAGTGCTTTGACGGGTTAGATGTCTGAATGCCCGTTCCAAGAATGTTCTTGACCTTTTTTGAATCTCCAATCGAGCGCTTGAGCTTGGTCGCCGGCCGTTCCGTATCTTCGATGCGTAAATGTGGGAAGCTACGAGCGTGAGTTGATAACCCCAACGAGATCATTGCTGACCTGTTCATGTTGTACTGATCAATCAAGGCTTGACGTCGTGCAGTAACACGCTCGATCTGGGCAGCTGCTCTTGTGTGCTGGTCCTGTCCACGACAGTCTGACCGCTTGTGAAGCCACAGAGCGTCAAGTGTCTTCACGTATTGCTGGATGGACATGATCGTGTCAAATGCGAGTCCTTCTCGGAGTTCAGACTCGATCTGCACCAGAAAATCAAGTCCGAGGTCTTGTCGCTTCTTCGAATCATAGTCAGATGGGAGGTAAAGGATTTCGCTGGAGATGGGTGTGCTCTTTGCAACCTGGCGGTTCACATCATCCAGCACCAATGGCGTGTAGAGCTTCTGCTCCGAACGCCACTTGTCAATTCTATTTTGCAGCTTCTTTGAGTCGCCTTGGATCTCCTTCTCGAGCGAGGCCATCGGGTGCTTCTCATTCATCAAAATCTTCATCTTCAAGTCGTGTCTAGCACATTCCAACGGCATCCATTAACAAGCCAAACAAGCATGATATGACTGATAGCCACTCACTGAGCTATTTGAATAGATAAGCCTTCATTCACAAAAAGCGAAATGTCCTTCACTGTAGATGATCCCGACAATGAAGGTGGCAACTTTAGTGAATGAGAACCCTTGGTGAGCAAGGCGTCGAAGATCGACTGCTGCGAGGGAACTGCCATAATGGATCACGTTAGTACGGGCTCAGAATATCGCTGACGAGCCCAAATTTGACTCACTTTTCCGCTTAGAATGGCTATACACACATTCAATGTCCTTCCCCACTTGCCTTCGAGCGTCTCGATCGAGCTTATCCCATTCCGATACACGCGTGAGGTGGAGCACAGTGAGGGAATAGAAGCTCATGCGATGCTGGTAGTATAAGCTCCGGGCATTCATGATCTCATCCTCGAGCGTAGAGTCTGACGAAAAGAGGGATTGATTAGATACATATCTATTACAGGGATTTTTCGAGTAGTAATACAGACGGATTTGACGAAGCTTTTTCCAGTTCCAATCCCCGTTTGCGTCGTTGATAACATCCTGGCGATGACCGTTGTTCATCTGCCGGACCTGCGGGCCCAGTTGGTTAAGTTCCGCCCAATATTGCTCCGCCGTTTCTCCATGAAAATGCCCAATGTTCGAGGTGTAAGCGTGACCGTAGGTGTACATACAACTGTCCTGGTGGTTCTGCACGTGAACGGCCGGGATGATCGTTCGGATACCTGCAACATAAGCCTCGAGAGAGGGCGCGAAGTTGCGAGTAGCACGCTGAGATAAATTCCGAGCATATCCGCAAGCAATGTCGTATGAAAGGACGATGTCGGAGTACGCGGACTTCCATGTTGCAGGCGGAGGTTGCGGCGGCTGTTGCTGTGACGGCACCGTGGCGGCGGATGGTCCTGGTAGAGCCAAGGGCGGGGATGGTAACTGGGACTCGGGCATCTTGTACAGTTGAAGGGCTCGAAGGAGGGCATAGTCCGTGTTAGCAAACCTGTAAGCAAAGCACTTAGTAGTGGTTGTTATGGCATATGGCTAGCGTACACACCTCTCACCGAGCTGTAGATCCACCATAGCCTTCACAAACAGATGTGCGCAATCGATCTTGACGACGCCGGTCACTCGCATCCGCTTGAACTTTTTTCGATCCTGCTTTTCAGCAGCATTGAGGTGACTACAAGTCGATTTCTGTATAACAAGGGACACGTGAGGATCAATCACAATCAGTCAATCGAAGAAACACCATACTTCAGTCTCGTTAGGGCCAAGGCTACCAAGGTATGCGTGATACATATCTTCGTCTGGAAAGTAAGCGCGTCCTTTGAAGACAGAACGGCTGAGAGGGTCCGTGTTCTTCATGTACTGATTTGCGTGATGATTCCCATCAGCTGTAAGCTGGAGTTGGTTCAGATGACTAGCGTGCGCAATCAGAGCTTTGCCTTTGAGGAGATGATAGACCAGACTCACCGAAAGGCCATAGGTAGCGTGGCAGAGCCCGCCTCAATGTTCAGAGTCGGTTCGGGGCATACTGGACAGTGGACTACTAGATTCTTAGCTTGACGATGTGGCAGCAGTGTGTCGATGTCATGGGCCTGTCCAAGCCGCCTGGTTGCAGCAAGGACCCGCCATATCTGCATGACGACAACAAACTGCGGGTATACATCCTGAACATTCATTAGTAAGACGAGGGATGCATGACCCACAGCACACATACCGGGATTTCATCGGTAAAGACGTTGTCGGAGAGGCGGCGGAGGGTCGAGCAGAAGTCGTATGCTGACATTTTCCCCTCGAGTTGGACGAGGTGGAACTGGCGGAGGACCGAGAACGAGAATGCAGTACGTGGTTGTGTGAGCGTTGCGGGGAAGAAGCCGGACTTGACAAGCTGCGAGACACGCTCGTGGATGCCGTGGCAGGTACAGAACCGCACGTTGGCCTTGTGGATACCGTTGACGTCCACAAGAGTCATGGGAATAGGGGAGGAGTGAGCATTGCAGTTGGCGCCGCTGTGGCCAAGGTCGACAGTAAAAGGAGTGGCAGATGCGAGGGGCAGAAGCTCGGAAATATCCTTGCGCTCGAAACAGCGAGCTTCGGGGTTCCACGCCTCGGCCCAATGCAGAGGATGATGCTTATGAGAACTCGCAAAGCACCTCACACAGGTGAGCGGATATAGAACACAGTCGCGGCACGTAACGGTGCGACGGCCGTCTCCGCACTCGCATTGCTCCTCCAGACCTTCGGTCTTCACAGTGGCTTCGAAAACCAGCGCAATGAGCCGCGGAAGTGCTGCCTCAAACTCGTTGATAAGTGCAGTGGTCTGTGAATGCACGTATATCAGTGTTGGAAGTTCTGAATGGGGAAACTAACGGGGTCACCTGTGAGGGGGCAGGTTCTTGCTTCGTAGAACTAACAGCAGGTTCTTTGACTTCGATGTTGGACAGCGTAGCGCGAGGATGAGAGGGTTGGGACGTCTGTGGTGCTACCTTCTCGAGGAGAGGTGGAAGAAAGGCTGTTGACCTCGTTTCGCCATGTGTGGAGACGGAGATCTCTTCCAGGGTACGAGAAGCAGACGCGGCGAGATTGTTGGACGGTTGGGCAGTGTTTGAACGCTGAACGCGTCGATCGGCGTCCTTGAATCGAGCAGCTTTTGAACGTAGTGACATGGATGATGTTGCGAAAATGTAAAGAAACAGAGCTGTGCGGGAGGTCCCTTCGCCAAGGACCTCCCTCACACCGCTATGTCGAGAGCCCGCCGGTTGCTGAAAATCTCATCTCCATCTGGAGGCTCTAGGATATTCGATGAAGATTTCATGTGAGCTGCCTAGGCACAGATTGCAGTGATAAGAATGGACGTGCCAACAACCGCGATTAATTTGAAATTTGACTCAGGTTACGGGTACGGTCTAGTCTTGGGCCGGCAGTGACGTGGTGGTCCTATGTGCAGCTCCATTCAAGAGGTATTATGGGCCCTCTGGTGTGAGGTCTTAAACCAAATACCGTACGCTTGAATGCAGCGAGCAATGGGGAGTAGTGGAGGAAGCGGGAGCGCGCAGATCGAGCCTACTTTCGAGTTCTGATCTCTCTCGCGCGACCATCCGAACCATCACGTGATCGACTCCCTGGGACGCGTTTCGGGAGCGCATCACGATTTGGTAGCGACGTCATAGGGCTGCCCATATGACATCATTGACTGCCTCGATTTTCAGTGAAAACCTATCTTAGGATTACCGGAGAGTCTGTCTCAAGAGTAGCGGCCGTTTCTGGGGATTAAGGTGATGTTTTATATAAATACAGCGAGGACCTCTCCTGGGTTTAGCAAGGCAACGAAAAGGGTCGTGGAAAATGAGCCTGCCCTAAAGTCCGAAGCGCCCGCTGCAATCTAGTTAAGCCATGCATATCTTTTGTCTTCAAGTGACTTGCCAGGGCCAAATACACTTTATTAATGACCCAATGCACCTCCATTACGCCCTCCGATCCAGATTCTGATATCAGGAGATGATGGTCTTTCTTCATAATTCAGTCAGGTAGGTGTGCTTTCCAGTGTAACCGGTGCGAGCAGTGGTGGGCGCTTATTACTTTAGGCCCGGTCGCGCAGGATCTATTTTCCGAAATACCGAGAGCCAAGCTCGACCAAGGGAACTGAAGAGATCAGGGCCCTTGGAGTATCAAGAGCACATGATCTGATAGTCGCCATTCAACCCCCGGGTGCTGATGTTGTGATAGCATTGCGACCGTTTTTGGACATGCCTTATCTATTTCCAATAACCTATGATCGGCTTGGACCAAAGGGTGGCCAATGGCAATCGATTCACTTTGGTCTCGGTCTGCTTCAGAGACCCTATCGGAAGCTCTACCTAATCATGCCAGTCGGTCATGCGATGCATCCGATGCCAATCTAGACCAAGGGAGGGTACCTGGCCATGCGGAGTAGGGTCCACCTGATATTGGGAGATGAATGTCGGACTAGATAGCAAAGAGACGCGAAGGTCACGTTCTTTTGACTGCTACGCGCTATGCGACGCGTTTCTCTAGCTCCTCAACGTGCCTGTTGTTTAATTCTTTGTTTAATTCTTTGTTTAATTTCCCTCGTCACTTAGGCGCCCGTCCACGTGATTGGCAATACTTAAGATTGAGCCTCTAGCCTTCGCTTCTACTTTTCCTTTCCTCGCTCGCACGCACATAGAGACTTCTGTTTGCCTGCTCATTGCTCCCCAGTCCGCTCATCACCATGGCCCCTCCCCAACTCCCCAAATTCATCTTCGACTCAACGTCAATTCATCCTCAATTTCCTACCCGAGTTTCGTGAATGGCTCGATGCCAACAACCCCACTGTCATACCTCGACATTCGGCCACTACCGCCTGGATCAAGACCACCGCCTCTGACATCATGCGCCACGAGGACTTTGCTCCTGAACACCTTCATGGCCATGAACCATCGGAGATGGAAGGGGTATGTGTTGCTGATATCCTTGATCTCGTTTACGACGCGTCAGTTAACAATTGGACTCCACAGGACATCCGTACATTCTTCCGTAACTGGAAGAACGCCTCATACAGGCCTAGGAATGCAGAAACTCAGCCCATCAGCTCCTCTCCTCGAAGGCGGCTCAACGTGGATCGTGCCCTTGAGGAAGCGATCCAGGCTGTTCTCATCCTCAAACATGATCTCTCAACCCGCGATTTCTTCTTGCTTTCCGATCCAGACGCATATCAGAAGGAGTACAACGCGCAGAAGGCAGCTCACCCCAAAGGGACGCCTACTTGTTTTATGGGCCAGTTCGCAGGCTCATGGCAGGTTACGAGTCCGTCTCTGAAGACTGAAGTATGGTGGCATAAGCTAAGGGTGCTCGCTGGCGCACACCTTCAGTGCGCTCGCACTCGCACCAGGGTCCAGAATGGACCAATAGTGCCCAGATCACATATTTTGTTGATTATAGTTCTATTATAGTTTTCAGTTTAAGTAACATGAAATACCTAAATATATCCTGATATACCCACTAGAATTTAAACTAACAAGTTACAGCTATCCAACCGGGGTCTACTGTCTGCTTATCATGAATATAAATGGCTCGAGCACGAATTGAACCCCCAACCAGGCAAATTCCGGACGCTTTGATGACAAGCGTGATGCCATCAAAACGGGCCTCGGAGACCGGCCAGTCGTAAATGGAATGAGAACTCCTATTTTTCCCCTATTTTATACCCTTGGAATGACGTCACAACTAGTGCTGGTAGAAAATAACGAACTGCACTTAATTCCGTCATAGGACTAGCTGAACCTGGAGTTGAGGACACCCAGTCCTATTTGAAACTATAAACAGTATTAAAAATTAAAGCTTTAATCAAGTCTCCTGCTCGAAAAAGCACCCTAGACTGACACCTGTCAGCGCACCCATCAATGAAATCAAGGGAAGCGCCCAAGATCAATGCTAAAATGAAGTCTCATTAAAGCACAACACAGAAGGCACCACAACGTTAGATGAAAAAAAGAAGTAAAGAAGCCATCAAAACCTGTCCATCAAATCCTCGAAATTAAGGCCTAAATGAAGTCTCGTTTTCGAGCCGCATAGAAACGACTCCTAACGGACTCGTAGCCTGCACAATCTCGATGAGAGCTCGGAAGGCTGCATGGGCCAACGCTGACCAGGCCCATTGGGAGAAGAAGAGGAATGAAATGGCGATGGATGTAGTCAGGTATGTCGTCTTTTCATTTAACTTGTTTCAAGCTGATTGACTCTTCTCGATAGCAACCAAGCCTTATGGCCCAGGTTCTTCCGCGAATCCATTCAGCACAACATTAGCCGCGGTATTGTTGGGACAGTCGGGTTTGCTATTGTCTATGGATTTCGCACAGAGAACGATGGCATCCAGCATGGAATGTAAGTACTCTGATACTCTAACAAGGATTACATCTGATCTCCTTTATCCAGCCTGTACGGTGGCCATGATTCCCTCAAGAAGGAAGAGATCAGTCATCGCTTTGAGAACCACGACGAAATTCTCAAGGCTGCTTCCCGCCACTTCGATAAGGTCTTGCCAAGTGAGTGATTTCAAATTATCTCGTTTTTGAGCGTCTACTGACGGGATGAGATATAACAGCTCATTCCACCCCTTCTGTGTACGACTTCGAGCACGATTCGAATGGTCGTTTAATTCTCCCAACCCTCGATCTCGGTCAAGCCTTACCGGGGCAGGTGGCCGATCTTCTTACGTCATTCTTGAAAACGATCTGGCGTGCGTTTATCCTTTGCTCTTCCTCTTCACTCTCGACTGACCCTCATTTTGGAATACGCTAGATGAAACCTATCCTGCCGACAATGATATGCCGGGTATCCCTTGGGCTCAGCTTGGCACATCACCTTCTATCTTCTACGACACATCTCGCTTTTCTCTCCCGCCCGGTGTGGTCCTTGGTGGCCACGCAGCACCATGCCCCCTTCCGTTTGTCCTCTCGCTTTACGATTATCTTCGTCGCCTTCAAGAATGTGGGACCCCATTCGCATTTAGGAGTAAAGACGAGATCCAGGCTCGTTTACAGGCAGTCGCAGACGAAGTAGAGAAGGATGTGGAGAAAGACGATGAAGTTTTGGGTGATGCAGCTGGTGCTCAGGTACGAATTTGGCATTTTACGGTGTTGCACGTTCCATTCACAACCGATCTGTTCCGCAGGAGACTCGTCCAGCCCCAACTGGTGAAGATCTGTCTTCTGGTCCTCCTCCTACAGTCACCGTCTCGTCGTCACCGGTTTCCCAGCCTGAAGATGCTCTATCCGCCACACACACCTCCACCGCCGACACCAACATTCCTAATGTGTCTAAATCTAATGCTGCATCTGGGGAGGCCAGGTTGCCTGCGGACCCTGCAGTTGACACCCACGTCTTGGTGCAGGGATCAACCTCAGATAAGAATCTCACAGACGACACTCGCCCACCAAAGAAGTCTAAAGCGACGTCAAAGCTCTCGAAGGCTGACCGCGAGGTGATGGCTCCCATCACCAACGTTGAGAGCAGCAGCACTTCACGGGCTACTCGGGTCCGTACGCAGGCTGTGCGCGGTCCCCAGCTCATTGCTGGTGGCCAACGATCCCCTGTTCGAAAGTGAGTACTAACTGAATTGATGCATTAGTTGACTAATCACTTATGCCTTTCTGCTTAGTCCAAGCTGGATGATTCCCGGTGGCTCTCCTGTACCTTTTGGAAAGAAAAGGTCCATAGATTCGGTTGTACCACGCCCGTGACTTCACTCATCCCTTCCATACAGGAGCGCAGAATCGGAGGCAACTCGCTTACACAGCAGCAAGCGCCGCCGAAAGTGAGGTTCCCTCTTTTAACGGATTCGGTCAGTCTCGACTCCTTTGTGTTAATGACACTTTAATCGCTGATCTCGCAGTTGCAGGCCGTTTTCATCCAGGATGTAGGTCGTCCTGGCCGCGCTCGTTTAACGTTCATCCATTAATCACACACTGTGCGCAACCTAGGCTGTCCCCTCGATTAATCATCGTTATTTATCTCCTCGTTGTAAGTGGTTACGTCTTTCTCGTCAATTTGCGGTGATTAATCATAAATCATTCTGTTGTCTTCTCCGCTACTTTATGCCCGTTTGGCTGCTCTCTCCTTCCATCGACTTGCGACGTTGATTAATCATGGCTCTAACCCCTCACCATCTCTCCTTCGACGACGTTACCACTCACCCTTGCCACCCATCTTGCTCTCCCACCTTGATTAATCATGGCTTCATTTAATCGGCGACTCTCACTCTTCCCCTCCTCTCTGCCACCAATCTCCCTTACTCGCCTCGATTAATCAAATGTTGTGGTTAATCATGGCCTTCGGTAAATCATTGTCTGCCCCTCCTCCCTACTCACTTTGATTGATCATGGTCATTGTTTAACCACTCAACTCCTTGTCATTATGTTGTCCACTTTGTTTAATCGCGACCTTCGTTTAATTATCGACTCTCGCGTCGTAGTAGTACATCTGTAATTAACCACAAGTATAAATCAATGGAACTGATTAATCGTACAACGCCGTGAAACGGTGCGAGGATTAACTGAGCGCCATCGGGGTTTTGATAGGCCTACAATTTTGCAATTAGTAGTAACGTTACAAGGGCAGTAAATCTCGCTGCCGCAACAATGTCGCAACCCCGGTAGGCGTGGGAATAGCCCATCAAACCGTTCGAAGTCCACCATCAACGCGGGACTTGCTCTTGTCTTCAAACCACGACCATCCTCATAGCTGACCCTTCAAAGGACCCCTTTATTCAATCACATAACATCATGGACGCAAATGTCTCGATCTGTCAAGCCTCGGACTTCATCGACACGTATCTACCAAACATCACTGTGCACGATTTCGTCTTGTCAGATCTGCGCGAACAAAATGTTCTGGTGCCTCGGAGTAGTTCACTGAGCCAACACCCGTCAGCCTCAGAGAAACGTCCACCGTATGCCCATACCTTTAGGGCTTTCAAAGGCTTGTTCCGAAAGGTTCCCCCGGAACCAACTCGGGTTCTGAGGGCGTTGCAGGCAGTAGAGAATGTGGTTCACAAAAGTTTGAGAACGGCCGAAGGAACGCACCTCAACAATTACTCCATCCGTACCGAGAAGGTGGAAGGCGGTATCCTTGACACCTGCTTTACCAACGATAATCATGATGACAATGATACCTCTTCCACCGAGATCGTGATTCCTCTCCGTATCGTAACTGGACCAGAGGCGAGGGACAGGTATGAAATTTCATGTCGTGCCAACTTCCGTCCTTTCCGATTAACAAACCATGACCTTAGAACCTTCCGGACCCCCTCCCAGAGTTCTTCCGTGTGATAAACGAGGACGCTCGCCGAAGGCATCTCTACGCAGTAAGTACGTTGATTCGTTGGAATCAACTGCGACTTCATTCGCTTGTTCACCTATTAGATCACCATTGAAGGTGCTGATTTGTCGCTATGGTATCTATCTCGATCAGAATGCGTTAAGTCTACTCCGTTCAACATGGTAGAGGTAGGTGTCCCCATCACAAATATCAACGCACCCAGCTAAACGAACGATATTCAGCGCGCCGACCTCCTCATCCAGGCGTTCATCTCGCTGATGTCAGCCACGGATGAGAAACTCGGTTATGATCCTTTGGTCACCCTGCTCCCAGACCTTACCTACGTCTACGAACTGCCACCGGATGAGGGCAGGAAAGACCCCCACTACTACCAAACCATCGAGCTCATTTCCGAATTCCACTCCGACGATCCTGTCGGACGCAGCGCGCGAGTTTGGAAGGTGAAGCAGGTGGTCTCCCCCACTGATCTGAATCGCATTCCCGAGACTTCCGACAGAATCCTCAAAGACGTTTCCCTCGATGCACGCATGAAACCCGAGGTGGTTATTCAGCGACAGCTCTTCGCTGATATCGCTGCTTTCGGGAAACGTCCTGACTGGCGTTCCGCGGACGTTCTGAAGGATATGCGGCAAGAAGATATAGGTGCGCTTGTGGATGCTTTGGACGGGGAAAACTTCAAGAAATATTTCTCCTGCATCATCGCAAGTCACGTCGGCAAGCCTTACTCCTGTACGGCTCGATCCCAATCCCAAAGTCTGCCTTTTGGTGATGGCCCGAGCCCAACCTACGTACCAAAGCGTCAGTGCTTCTACCTCTACGAATTCATTTGCACGCCCCTCTACGATATCCCTGCACTTGGAGAAGCAATCGATGTCCTCAGACAGTGTCTCACAGGTGAGTCGCGGTACGCTATCCTTGTCGCCCAATTCTCTGACTCGTTTACCAGCAATGCGACTCATGTACTGCGCTGGGTGGATCCACCGTGACATCAGTGTGGGGAATATCCTCGCCATTCGGTCTGGCCCAGAAGCGCCTTGGGAAATGAAGCTATCCGACCTTGAATTCGCCAGAAAATTCCTGGACCCAGAGATTCCGAAAGACGAGAAGCCAATCGTAGGTGATCACTTTATCGAATCCATCAGTATGTGCTAACCGCCCGCTCGAAGGGAACTCCCTTTTTCATGGCCTGCGAACTCCAGGTCGGAACGCCCATTCTCCCCGACGAGATACCTGCTTCCGATTACGAACTCGACAGCAACCCTGAGTCCGAAGACTGGGAACCATCTGGCCCAATACTCCACAACTTCCAACATGAAATCGAATCGATGTGGTGGATCATCCTCTGGCTCCTCACCGCCAGAGTGCGTGGTAGTACCTGGCACGAATTCAGTAAAGAGTTCTTTCGACACTCGAATAGCACCTGGTACGGCAGGGCGCGGCGTATGCTCTTGACCAGCCGAGATCCCCTCGATTCGGAAGAGACCTTTCCAAAGGACCTTCCACGAGGTCTGCACGCAAAGCCCCTCAGCTTCATCCGTTGCCTCCATGCCTTCAAACTTGACCTATGGCGGTCGTACACGCTGCGATTTTCAGCGAAAGGCCAGAAGGACCCAGGCAGCTATTCGTGGATTGTGGGCAAGGGTGCCTCAAAGTTCTTCATTGGAATCGAGAGATCTCGTGAGGCGTGGGCTTCAATCCGTCTGATCGTCGAGACAGAGGCCAGGCAGGTGGTGCAGGCACCATTGTCCAAGAAGCGAAAGGCAGAGGTGATGGACGCTGCTCCAAATGTGGTTGAACAGCGTGAAGAGAAGCAACCTCGCCGGTCTCGAAAACGAGTGAGACTCGCAGAAATCGACTCCGCCACCCACGCTGAGCAACGCACAAGACCTGTGACGAGGTCGATGACGAGGAAACAGCGCAACGTTGGCCCAACTACTAGATCCATGACACGCCAGCTTCTGGAGTCCGTCATGGGGGAGCGTGGCAGTCGAGCGACCAGAGCTGCCACCAAGAGCGTTCGCATATAGTGATCCCTTTACCCGTTATTCCCTGGATCCATAGCTAATCATATTCTTCATATATACACCGTACTTGCTCATCCTAGAGTCCTTTGTGATACCCAGTCGTAGCGGTCGTTTCGATATATCAAGTGTCTGTGATCACAAATTAGACGCGATACATCCTATCTGTAAGTTACAGATGGACGTTTTAGATATATCCATACCCTGTACTGCTTGTCCCGCAGTATCAGTGCCGAGCATCATTCATACCCATTTCTGGGATGTGTCCAAAATGTCGGGGTTTCCATTTACGGGACCCAGTCCCACCTACATATTTCACGAGGTAGATATCTCTGGTTTCTGTGAGCGGTGCATACCGCGGCCCGATTCTCGATATATCTACCTCCTATGGCATACAGGGACCACGTCTGGGCGCTAGTCGTCGCCCGATTCAAGCGCCCAAAGCCACAAAATGTCCTGGCTTGGATCCTCTCGTCCAGGCACTCTAAAACTTTGCAGAAATGATCATAATTGCAGGAGGATATACCTGATTCAAAAGAGATAGGTCGCCTAGGTCTCAGGGGCGCGGGGAGTAAAGGTCAGACAAAAGCCATTAGGTTGGCCATTGTGAACATGAATTATACTCATATGACGACGCAACATCCCCCAATTCGCTGTCCCATGACTTCACTCTCGCTCTCTACTCCATTTCTATTGATTTAGCAAGAAGTTATGAAGTTCATGCCATGGATCGCGGTTAATCTCATGTCGGCCAACTGGGGGGAAATTGATTATGTGAGTCGCAACGACCGGTGCAATGTAACAGAAGGCCATACATAGGCTGCCATAGGGCCATAGCGGTATCTGATCACATGTGAGACTTGTAGGGACATAAAGTGAATTTTAAATGTCCACATTTATGTTTAGCCTAAATACCTGCACCAACAGTAAATAGTAGCTATAGTACCGTGTCGTAGGAGGTCGAACCAACATCCAACCCGGCATCAATTTAACAAGAAAGTATCCTGAACCTGATCATCATGATAGGTGTGCCCTAACACAAGCTTTCTAATCTGTGATCTCAAGTTGAAGATTATGAGTGGCTAGTATCACAAGAAGGGGGAAGAGAAAGACGAGAACGACCCCATAGCCAGGGCATATCAGAGGGCGGGGCGGCTGTGCGCTTACTCCCTAATCGGGGATATCCCGCCTACAACGAAAATAGGCGGGACGCTATACATTTCGTCTGGTTCTCTTGCATCTTCTCTGCTGTAGTGCTAATGTTCAAATATATACCTTTTTCAGTCCTTTTCGCGAGACGATTTGAGGTTATGACCTCTCCATTGACAGTTCCTGTATTTATAATGATAGTCGAACGATGGTTTTCTACATCTCCGATCCCAAGGTCTCACCGTTGGGAAAGCCTCGAAGTTTAGAAAACACAGACAGTGCTATCCACGGTGTACTTGAAGTAGAAGCTTCCTCCACCAAAGCTACCATGGCGTAGAGCACCATCCACAAGCGCCAACGTTCTACCCTTTAACTCTCGGAGGTCTGCTCTGTATGGTGAGCATACATACCAACTTCCACTTCGAAACCCAGTTCCCTTGTGATCTTCAGCATTGTTGGAATCGCGGTTTAGCTCTCGACGACTTCAATCTACGTCCTCTCTCCGGTTGAATCTCGGTCCATTCACCTTTCAGACTGGAATTGAATCAGATTCAGTCTGAACGCCGCAAGATTTGTCTACGGTCCGTGAAGGGTATGATGGCCCTGTTTCCTTGGTACTGTTGGCAGTCTGAGTTGAGTCCGCAATTTTGAAGTTCTACACGGCGTCGGATGGGAGGTAAAGCGAAATGGTGAGTAAATCAGACGAAGTAGAGGGAGTGAAACTCACGGAGCTTCGAAGAGGGGCATCGCTCAGCATGTCTCGTAGCGCTTGTCTGCAGAGGAGAGTGTCCATGATCGTCTGATCGCCCATGGAGGGAGATGTCAGAGGGTTTCTGACCAGAGGGCAAACTGGGACACTCACACCAGCGTAGACAAACCCAATCGGAACGCCAGTTAAGAGCGGGTAGTCGGATTTCGGATATACAAGCCGTAAAATCATGGTCGCGCTTGCGAAGAGACTCGCAATGAGACCTTCACAAAGAAAGTGTACCCCGGTGATCAGATATTGTCTCGAAGCCTTTCAGGGTGACGAATAAACGACTGAGGACTACTCACCAGTTTGCACAGAAGTCCTAAATAGCTGCCATACGACTTCACCGGACCGACGGTAGAGTGTCCGAGAATCACGGATAGCCCAGAGGAGTGTACCCGCTATCAGCCAGTCTGCTGCAACCTCCATTGAGAGCCAGGGCGTGAGGGTGTCCATTATTGTGGGGATTTGGTCGAGTCTTTAGTGCATTTAGTCGAGTCAGAATCAGTGTAAATGCGCGTTTGGGCGCTAAGGGTGAAGGAGGGAGTGACTTACGAAGATAACATCCACACCCTGGTTCCGTGTACTAAGCCCAGTACTGTTGCTGTTAGGGAGACGAGGAAGAGGGGGATGACGAGTAGAATGTTTTCTCTTGTTAGTCTGTACGCTCTACGGTTCCAAAATATACCAGGGAAATCAGTCAACCATTATGCAGATAGGGCGTGGGCAATAGCGATCAAGTCGGATGGATAGAGACGCACCGGTATATCAGGAATAGCTGAGCTGTGAACGCGGTGCAGGTCGTGATGATTGCGGAAAGGGGGAACGTCCATAGCCTTGGCTCTGAAAGTCGTTATCAGTCGATCCGGACACCGTAACACGTTCGGACGGAGATGCAAGACAGTCGAGCACGTTGTGAGGGAGATTAAGAACGCTCCAAGAACAAGCGTCACGCGGCAAAAACTGGGGGTGAAGATGTATAAAGATAAGCGACGACATACCGGAAAGAGAAGCTGGGTTTCCGTAATTCATTACCCTGTCCATGCCCAATGGTCAGGTTGTCACACCACGAGGAGGGAAGGCGAGAGGTTGAAAGGAGAGGGTACTAACGCGTAGAACCACGCCATGTACGAGATCCTACGGATCGTAGCAGTGAGATCTTCAGATGCCCATGAAAGGTCAGAGGAAGCGAGGGATGGAAGACGTACGTGATAGAGTGAAATATCGTCAAGAGGAATAGAATGGCCATTGGGTATCGGATCCATGCTGGATCTTTGAATCCTGCGTGCATTTCCGAGTCATTAGCTCCAAGTCGGCGGGCGACTCTAGCCACTCAGGTGGACGCAGTCGGAAGGATGATAGGCACCTGCGAGGTAGTAGGACCCGAATTGGTATGTTAAGACGCCTGAGAGGTAGATGACCACTGAAGACTGCTGGTTAACAGGTCGTCTTTGTGGGTATGTATGGGGCCTGAGGTTGTGGACGTACAGAAGGCGGTGATTATGTGTACGCCTGGTATTTTGATACATACATTGATCAGTCTTTGTCGCAATGAATGAACAAAGCACAAAGGATGGGCTCACCGACTGTAGAGTCGATATTAGGCGACGCCATCGTGGGGCTTGCGCACGAAGAACAGGGTAGGGGTGGGAGACGACGGGGAAAGAGAACGGGGAGAAGGAACGACATCGGTACTATCGGTACTTATGGCAGGCAGTCCTTTATGTTAGCCCTTCCCCAAGATGACCCCTCCACACCCGAAGGGTCCTAGTCTACTAGCCTCTAAGTGTTCAACCTTCAAACTTCGGATGTAAGACTGTCCCGTTTACGTTACCCCACCGGTGAACTTGGGGTAGAGCATGTAAACGAGAAACCAAAACGACAAATCTCGATCAATCATCATCGTCGACACGAGGAGGGATTTTGGATTGTGTCACTTTTAGCTTGTGCAGGAGGAATGTTGGGGGATCGATGTGTCCTAGCGGGGAACTGACGGTGTTCCGAAGAGTACGGAAAAAGACTGAATGGCGCTGTGGATTCGGTGCCCCATCTGCCTCAGCACTTGTTGGGAATAAGTCGGTATACCCAGGCGAATTGGACGTATAGATAAACCATGAAAGAATTTTGTGGGGGCATCTCGAAGGGATGTAAGTAGCAACTATGTGTAGACTTTCGAGGGTTGACACTTTTCCGAGCGCCTAACTCAAACACTCAAGATCAGATATCCCTGCACCCACTCCCCTCCGCAAGTCAAAGAGGATCCTTGAGCTCGGTTGGGCGGTGAGGTTGATCAATGATTATAAAAATGACATCGCGGGTGGCTAAGTCTCCTTGATGACCTCGCGTTTGAGTACCGGTTAGCTGCCCCTTCCAATAGATATTTTTGGAAGGAGAAAAGAGGATCAGCGCGTCGGTCCTCCGGTGGAGGTGTTGTACGTGGTACATGTGTTCCCTGTGCGCATCAGGTTGATGAATATGTATAGAGTAGGACTCTTTCATCCACTCATCTGTGTACAAGTATCACGGAAGGGAAGGTCGGCCATGAAACCGTGCCTTCGTACGCGTACCGGGAGGAACGGAGTGGTGAAACGTTGATCCAAAGCGTATTGTGTTGCCCTGCCAAGATATAGGTATCGAGCCCAAGCAGACCTATTCAACTTTCAATACATTTGCAAAGAGTTCCTTTAGCTTTTAGCTCCTCCACTGGTCCCTCAGCGAGAGTCCTCTTTGGCCTTTGTGCTGATCATGGAGTCGGAGGTGTAGAGGTTGCGCACGATGGCTGCGAGTTCGATTCCGGGGCAGGGCAGGAATTATGCATACAGTTGACAAGACAATGGGAAGCAGCGGTGACCTTTGCGACTGGACATGTTTTTTTCTAACGTTTGTGTCGATGGATGTGTAGAGTTCAGCCTTTGAATAAATTAGGAGGCCTATTAGTGTATCCTTACTATTCTTACTATATACATACATATATGCGGATACTACCGGATAGTACTCGGGTTCAGATTCCATTATATAGTACAGTTCAAGAGTCGAGTGAATAAGTAGACTTCATACTTCCTTCGTTGTCACCCAGCCCATTAATATCGTTCCAAGTCAATAAATAAATAATTCGTTACAAGTCAATCAATGCATCCAGATTCTTTCCTTTTCTCTTTTTCCATCCCTCTACTCAGACTCGGGTTGTATGGTTCTTCACTTCTGAATCCAGGATCATGATAGCTCTTCTATGAATCCAGGATCATGATAGCTCTTCTATGAATCCAGGATCATGATACAGTAGCTCTTCACTTCTGAATCCAGGAAGGCTGGAACGTGTACCGTATGGTTTTGCTGCCGAGTGGGGCGTATTTATTCATACTCGCAGACCTGTTCGTATTCGCCGACCTAGTCGTATTCGCCGACATCCCTTCCTCTCTCCCGTCTCCTGACGCGCTCGAGCGGGGGCCGGGGGTGGGAGGAGGAAGCAGAGGGAGGTAGCTTACAGCCCATCGAGTGGTGCACGGTTCGCGGGGTCCGGTGTATCGAGGAAGGTCTTGAGGATGTTCGGTGTAACGAGGAATGTCTTGAGAAGGTCTGGGAGAGCGAGTAAGGTCTTGAGAATGTCCGGTATAACGACCAAAGCCTCCACGAGAAGTAAGCACGGAACCCCGACGAGGAGTCGAAGAAGATGAGACACGAGGTTGAGAATATGAACGACGACGTGGTTCGACGGTCGTGAATCCGTCTCCTGCTTCTTCTTCTTTGGTGATACGCGTGGACTCTCTGGTTTCGACACCGGTAGACTCTCTGGTTTCGACACTGGTAGACGCTGTGGTTTCGACGCCGACGCCGATAGACCCTCCGTCACCCGCACCGATAGAGAGTCCTCTGGTTTCGACACTGGTGAACTCTGTGTTGCCTACTGCAGAGCTTTCGAAACCGGCGATGGAGTTTCGGAGGACAGGAAGAAGTCGAGTTGAGTAGGAGATTGCGCCACCCCTTGCCTTACCGCGTCCACGTCCGCGTCCGCGAAGGTTTGGAGTACCACGAACATGACCCGCACCGAGAGTATAACCGCCACCACGAGCCTGGCCTCCACGACGAACATGACCGCCACCGCGAGGTTGACCGCCACCGAGAGCATGACCTTCACCACGAGCACGCCCAGCACCGAGAATACGACCTTCACCACGAGCATGACCCGCACCGAGAGCATAACCACTACCAAGAGCACCGCGAGTACGAGTACGAGGAGGATGAGCGAATGCGATCGTCGGGGGTGAGATGGGGCTCATGGGTAACCCTGAGGAACGACGGGGAATGAGAGTACCTGGGTCTTGAACGTTGAGTAGGGTCTCGTCGGCGAGGTGTTTAGTAGTCCTAGGGTTGGTGGAGTCCCATGGGTTAGAGAAGACGGGGGGTGAACCGGCGCGACTGGTGTCGGGGGTTGTGGCAGATGCAGACGCGGGATACCCTGTGGCAGAACCGCTAGACGAACCGGTGGCAGACGCAGAACCTGTAGCAGAAGTCCAATCGGTGCCGTTGTCGATGAAGCTGAAGCGCCGTGGAACCCAGCTCAGAGCGCTGCTCGTCGAGGTGGTGGGGGATGCTCGGCTGTTGAGGTCGATCGAGGCGGAGGTGAGGCTTAGATTTAGAGGGGCTGGTTTACGCGCTCGACGGAGGGGAGTAGCAGTAGTAGAACCCCTTTCGCGATGGTTAGGAGTTCGAGTATTAGTTACGCCGCGAGAAGGAGCACCCATCACACCGCTAGTTTCGTGTGTCTCCCAAGCATACACGAGTCGCCCGGGTGGGGGTGTTTCTCCGGGCATACGCTCATTCGCAAACAAGGTACTTTGGTTTTCGATTAGGACGTCTGGGCGTTCGCTCGCCCGGATTCGCGCGTTGATGGAAAGTTGAAGGGAGGAGACGAGAGGGGAGGCGTGGAGTGCGAGGAGGTGGGGTGTGGTGTAGCGGGGACCTGGGAGACGAGGGGGTGGGTTTGGGGGGTCTGGGAGGGGTTAGATGTTGTGGGAGAGGAGGGAGGGGGAGGGAGGGAGGAGACGTACCACGGTCTATCGCGTCATTAGAGATGCCACACTCGTCGTTCTCAAGGACATAACCCGTGTCGTGGGAGGGCGGGACTTCGATGGAGAGTGCTGCGAAGCGGTTGGAGAACATCGTGCAGGACGTCGAGAAGTCAAGTACAAAGTCGTAGACACTGACGCAGGAATGTGTTCAAAGGAAAGTACAAGCAGAACTAGTCTAGTCGCAGAGCAAAGCAAAGCAGAAGCAGGGAAGGAAGAGACACAGGAATACGACCAAAGTCCGTCTAATATAGGCCCAGCGACAGAAAACGAACTCCGCAGACACAGACGAGCCACAGTTCTATTCCATTCCACCATTGTCTGCTGGGTGCTGAGATGGACAATGGGTCGTTAAGAGTCGTTTTTGGTACAGAGACACAGAGAGCTTGTTGGCAGGGTGACCAGGGATTGTCAAAAGTTCAGTCATACTTAGAAAAGTTCAGGTCGACTGGATACCACGATCTCGTGACTAGGGGCTTGGCGTATGGAAATGGTAAGAGACCCCTATTTCTTTTCGACGACCATTGTCCGCTGGGTACATTCTAGTGAAATCTCCAACCCAAAGCTCAAGTGCCTAGGACATCCAAGTCGCAGAGAATTGGCATGGTGCCCGGGATACGCGCGTGGCGGGATGACGGCATTGACGCGTCGGGTGAAACGCGACCCCGTGACCTGTTTGTTTGTACTCCCACGTGAAGGCGTTGAAACGCGTTTGCCTCGTTGCGGCTCTCCGGCATCCTCGTTGTTTGTTTTCGCTCCCTCGTTCGCTCGCTCGCCGTCCGCAAACCGCCAGTCAGTGGCGGCCTTTGCGATTTTTTCCCTTTCCTTTCTCAATTCTAAGGCGTTAGGCCTTTCAAGCTCAAGATTTTAACACCCCGCCAAAAAAATCCGAATATGTATCAGATGAATGGGTATCGAATGCCACCCGCCGCTCCTGGCCCAAGCTCGAAACGAAACCCCCTGGTCAACGCCGTCAACCACCACCCGAATGTTATGCAGATGAACGCCGTACCGCCTGTGCCAGCCAAAGCCCCCGCCAAGGGCCCGTCGTCCCCGCCGCTGCCGAGACAGAACAGCAAGACGAGACCGCCGTCGCCACCCAAGGTCATCAGCGACAAGGCTGGTCGACTGCAGTTTAACCGTGTTGGATTCTTGGGCGAGGTGAGAGGTTAGCTAAGTATATTTGGGTTGGACTAACGACTGTGTAGGGAGGATTTGCTCGGGTGTATGAAGTTCAGGATCCGCGAGGAAGTCGACTTGCTTGCAAGGTAGTTACAAAGTCTGCTCTCAAGACCAAGAAAGCTAAAACCAAGGTGAGTGTTTTCTGATACTCTCCAGTCGTTTCTAATCCCTTTTAGCTCTACGCAGAAATCAAGATCCACCGCTCACTCGACCACCCCAACATCGTCACGTTCATCGACTGTTTTGAAGACGAAGACAATGTCTACATCACCCTCGAGCTGTGTCCTTCTGGATCGCTCATGGACATGCTGCGTCGTCGCAGGCGCTTCACAGAACCAGAAACAAGGTTTTTCATGGTACAGCTCATAGGAGCGTGCCACTACATGCACACGCACCAGGTCATCCACAGAGACCTCAAACTCGGAAACCTCTTCCTCGACGCCAACATGAACGTCAAGGTCGGCGACTTTGGTCTTGCTGCCCTCATCGAGAACCCCGGTGAGCGAAAGAAGACCATCTGCGGAACACCCAACTACATCGCACCCGAGGTCTTGTTCGACACCGCCAACGGCCACAGCTTTGAGGTCGACATTTGGTCGATCGGTGTCATTCTCTACACCCTCGTCATCGGACGCCCGCCTTTCCAGACAAAGGAGGTCAAGGAGATCTACAAGTAAGTTTTGCCTTTCTAGTCTTTCGCCTTGTTCTAATATTGGTTCTAGACGTATCCGTGACAACGAGTACGAGTTCCCCGCTGAGCGGGCCATCTCCACTGCCGTCAAGGTTCTCATCCAGCAAATCCTCACCCCAGATCCATCACAGCGCCCCACCCTACACGAGATCATCGAAGACACTTTCTTCACCCACGGCACCGTCCCCGCCTTCATCCCCACCTCTGCGCACGACGCCGCACCCGATTTCCGCCACATCTCCCGCAGCGCCTCCGAAGCCAACCTCAAACGCCTCCGCCGCTACGCCCTCCTCGACACCGACTTTAACAACACGCCCTCCCCTGTTCAGAACGCCACGACGAGGAACATTACGTCGAGTATCGCCCAGCAGGAGAAGGAGTTCCAGCGGGCTGTTCAGCCTGGTTCGCCTATTTCTGCGCTGCTCAGTTCGGCGAGGCAGCCGTTGTTGGTGGGTCCTACAGCGGGTGGCGGCGGGAACCCCGGAGCTGTACGTGAGAGCCCGCTTTTGCGGAAGCTGCAGGCTGTCAAAGAGAGTCCGTTGGGGAGGCGGAGTGTCACTCGCACTGCCAACGGGTACGAGGAGGATGAGAGGGGTAAGAGGCGGATGGTGATCGAGACGGAGGAGGAAGAGGAGGATATGAGGCAGAGGAGGAAGGAGCTTGAAGCGCAGAAGGCGAGGATTGTGGCGCAGATGGCGCCTGTTAAGGAGGAGGTGGAGAGGGAGGAGAGGGAGGATGAAGACGACGAGGAGGAAGATGAGGATGGTATGGGTGGGAGGAGGAGGGCGCCGCCGCCTCCGCCGCCTGTGTTTAAGAGGGAGAGGGAGCATCAGAAGGGGTCGTCGGCGGGTTCGAATCGGTATGCGGGGGAGGATGTCGAGAATGTGCCGCCGAGGTTGGGTGGGGCGCAGCAGGCGAGGAGGGATGTGGCGAAGGGGAAGGCTGTTGAGAGGCCGAGGGCGAGGGAGAAGGAGAATGTTCCCGTGTCGTGTATGTCCCATTTCTGTCCATGATACCATGAAGCTAACTCATCTCTAGCTTCGAATCCAGCACCTGCAGCACCCAAACTGAACGGCTTTGACGCGGCAGCTCAGATCCTCACTATGGCGTTTGACGCGCGGGCTGCGGGCCGCGTGTTCCGTAGTCCGTTGGGCGATCAGCCGCTGCCTGAGGAGCGGGTGTTTATCGTGAGCTGGGTGGATTATTGCAACAAGTATGGGATGGGGTATGCGCTTACCGACGGGAGTGTTGGCGTGCATTTCAATGATAGTACGAGTTTGGTGCTGAGTGCTGACAAGAAGTGGGTCTCTCCTCTCTCGCGTCGTGTTGTCGCTGACTAATGTTCGCCAACAGCCATTTCGACTACATCTCCTCCCGCCACCATGGATCCATCTACCTCCGCAAATCCTTCACGATCGACGCCTACCCTGACGAGTTGAAGAGTAAAGTCTACCTTTTGAAGCATTTTGAAAAGTATATTATGGAGCGGTTGTATGGGGAGTATGAGTATACGTTTGAGGATGTTGAGAGGACGAAGGGGATGGAGTGGGTGCAAAAGTATTTGAGGATGAAGCATGTTATTGTGTTTAAGATGAGTCATGATGTTTTGCAGGTGCGTCTCCCTCTCTCTCCCCCTTCCCATTTTCTCTAGTTCCGTATTAATGATACTTACACCCTATCGATTATAGTTCAACTTTTACGACCACTCGAAGCTCATCCTCTCCTCCAACGGTCTTCTCATCACGCACATTGACAAATCGTACAAGATGACGCGGTGGACGCTTGAAGATGTTATGGCGTTTTCGTTGCATCCGCCTCAAGGGGCGAGTGGGGATGAGATCAAGTTTAATCAGAGGATGGTGGATAAGTTGAAGTATTGTAAGGAGGTTTTGGTAAGTATTAGGAGTGCTACTAGTGCTGGGGCTGGGAGTGGTGGAGGGGGTGGAGGGGAGAGGGGGACGTCGACGGAAAGGGGGGAGAAGGAGAGGGGAGGGGAGAGGGCTGAACGGGGGGAGAGGAGGATGGGTGGGGATGATGAGAGGGAGAGGGATAGAGAGAGGGAGAGGGCGGATAGAGGCGTGGAGAGGGAGAGGCTTGGCTCTGGAAGAGAAGCTGGTTCGTCTACTGCCACTCTGAATCGGAGGACGTCCAAGTTGTCTATGCGGTAGTTGGTGGTTGTGTGTGGTTGTGTGGTGTTATGTTATGTGTGTCACCCCCTCGCGTTCTTCTCTACCCGTCTTTGTCGCCCCTCGCGTTCTGCAACCGTCTTTGTCGCCCCTTGGGTTCTCTATCTCTACTCTTCTTTGTCGCTGTCTCGTTTGTTAAGTACTATTCTACCCTTTTGTGTGTCGCTATCGCGTTTTTGTGTTCGTTTGGTACTCTAGACTCGATTTTTATTATGCGTTCCTTGACCTCGTCTGTCTGGACTAGGATTCGCTTTTCTTTTCTGCGTCTGTCTGGACTACCTCTCGCTTTTCCCGCTCGTCTCTTCTTTGTCGGTTTCGCTTCTCGTTCTCGTTTCCTCGACTCGTTCGCTATCTCGTCTTTTGAAGTTGAAGCACTCGTTTCGTCGGCGGTCGTTTGTCGAGTCACTCGTTTATTTTTTATCCGTACGGCGTAGGTTCTTTCGCTCGCTCGTTACCCGTCACTTCTTTGTCGTCTTCGTCTCCGTCTCGTCGACCTCGTTGCAGTATTGTGTGTATTCTAGTCATCAGCTATCGTATTTTTTTTTTGTTATCCGTTTCTTTTCTTTAATGTTATGAAAGTTTGGGAGTCGCCTTTTTTATGTTATGAAAGCTTGTTCTCGGAGATACAAGTTGGTGGTGAGATTCAAATTGAAATTGAAATTGGTCACAGCAGACGCTAGTACCTTCTAAAGTTCTTCGGACTCGATGGCTTTCTTTGGACCTGAAGGTTTTCTTTGAAGGTGAAGGTTGAATGACTCGTAAGAGAGAGAGACGTTATATCAGCCACTCTCTGATCTACAGAACTGTGAGGCGTGTGGAGTTTGGTGTTTTGGCGTTCGGGGGATGTGGTGAAGTGAGGTGGAGGGGAGTAATGGGAATGGAGAGAGCGCTTTAGCCTTTAAACGTTCAAGGTTGAAAGAAAGAGTATGACCGTCTGGTACCTCTCTCGATCGATATGCATCAAGTCGGGGTCGTTCAACATGATGGAGGTAAGCGACTCCTTCAACCATGACGACCTTGTCACTGACAATCCTCGTGTTTTCAGCGTCCAGATATACTCATTAAAGTCCTCATGTCTATGCTACTATCAACTCGCGGACAGCTAGGCTACGACCCCTTGATCACCCTGACCGCAGACCAAAGCTACGTCTACGAATTGCCGCCCGATGGCGAGAACAGGCGCGAGGCGCTGTTCTGCCAGACAAAGGAGCTCATCTCGGAGTACCACTGTCTCAGCAATACGGGGCGTAGTACGAGAATCTGGAGGGTGCAACAGGTATCTTCTCCCACCGACTTGACATCCATTCCGGGAATGGAGGATAGAGTGTTAAAACACGTTTCCGTGGATGCGAATAAGAGGAACGAAGGGGATGTCCAAGAATCTCTCTTCCGTGATATCGAGGCGTTTGGACGACAGCCTGACTGGCGGGAGGATGATATCTTGAAAGAAATGCCCGCTGATGATTTGGAAATTCTGGAAAAGGCTTTGAAGGGTGATAATTTCAAAAGGTTGTTCTGCTGCATTGTTGTGAAGTATGCTCGAGGCGAGCTTGAATTGTCCCCGTTGCCGTTGCCGCTGTCTGCAAACGAAGTGGCGTCCGAGCTGGAGGTTTCGCCCAAGACTCGATGTTTCTTTGTTTATGAGGGTGTTTACATGCCGCTCGAGGATATACCTACCCTTGGAGAGGCAATGGATATTATCAGGCAGTGTGTTACAGGCACGCTTTAAGCTATCGATTGGTTACGACGGTTTTCTGACCATCGTTGTGGGTAGCTCTGAGACTGATGTGGTGTGCCGGTTGGGTGCACCGCGATGTCAGCATCGGGAATATACTTGCGTCCAGACCATCGACAGGCACTCCATGGGAAGTGAAACTGGCAGACCTGGAACATGCGAGGAAGTTCCCCGATCCGAACATCCTCAGTGATGATTGCCCTATTGTGAGTCTTCATTGGCACCATTCAGTCTCAGACTACAATGATCTCTAATATCATTTGCAGGGGACACCTCACTTCATGGCTGTTGAGGTACAAAAGGGGTGTCACTTCTTCCCCGGGATTGAGGAACGTCCCAAAGAGCGTAAGACGTGGTTTCCCAAGAGACCTGTGATCCAAAACTATCAACATGATCTGGAATCCATCTGGTGGACAATCCTCTGGCTCATCACAGCAAGAACGAGGGTGCCTGTGTCGCGCGTGTTTGCTGACCGGTATTTTCGAGACAGGGACAGTCCCGCCTATCAGATATTCCGTTCCCACTTCCTCTCCGGAGACATGCCGGAGCTCGCAATAGGCCGGGGGTTCCCAACTTCTCTTCCCCCGAAGCTCTACCAGGACCCATCCTTCCTCACGAACCTCGACGACCTCAAGACAAACCTCCACGCCGAATACGCCTCTCGGAATCGTGTTGGGAAGCAGGACGATAGAAGGAGTTATGCCTGGATTGTTGGTAAAGGAGCCTCGGATTTCTTCCGTGATATTGAAGGCTCTCGAGAGGACTGGAGCGATATTGAGTTGGAGGTTAGTCGAGACTCCCATCCTCAGGGTAGCCAGACTGTTGAGGAATCCTCGTCATCGTCTTACGGAAGCTCTGCGGCCGAAGCGACGAATTGACGACGACGACAGTGATGAAGACCAACCGCTGCCACCGAGGAAGAAAATACGCGCTTACCCGGATCCCGACAATCAAGAAACCGCACAGTGAACTGGCCCTGGGATCGGGTCTATGGGTCAAAGCGCCAGCTCAATCCCGGGTCAACGACGAGAACGATTTGTACCAATGAATGAAGCTATCCACCGGGGGATCTTGCCTAGACTTTAGTCAATGTTATCCAGGAGCCTCTATGTCAACAATTAGATCCGAATGAAATACAATTTGTCACTATTTCAATGTCCGTAGACTAGAGCGCATCCTCGCCTCCTATACCCTGGAGGGATCTCCACGGAACCTTACCTCTCATGTCAGCGTATTTCTACAGACAATCGATTTCGTTTTCGGCCTTTGTGGAACATCACCCTCATCATCGAGTGAATGAGCACAATGTAAAGTTGAAAAGAGGGTAGGATACAATGATCGCTGATCACTGGCATCTAATCGTTGGTACTTCCTTCAACTATGTCGCTTATGGCCAGCGTTAGAGCTGGGAGGCTATGGCTAAGGACATGTCCTCGGCTGGGTGACAGAGCGCCCGCTGCTGTAAGTACGGTCCAGTTTGACACACCAGAAAGAATTGGTGTATGTGGGCTCGGTAGTGACAACGAGGAGACATCCTTCTTTGATGATTTGGTAACCAACTCACAATCAATGAACGAAATGACAAAGACTTAGACGATGGCAACAGTGTCGGTCAATGCACGTACAAACTCTGCTTAATCTGTGACCGGCCCGGGCATCCCATGTCATGTCGAAAGTGATGAGTGTACGACGTCCTGGGAGCCAGAATTGAGGGGTTAGACGGCAGATAAAAGAGTTGATAGGACTATCTATTGAAACCATACCGACAGTTGGTCTCTCTTGAGGTTGGGAACGACTTCGAAAGCGCCCGCCAAGATCCAATGTGGCCGTGGGAAAGGTCTACCTTACTCATCATTTGGCAAAGTTGATACTCAACCAAGTCAGCTCAACGCCTCTTTCTTCTCAACTACATCCTTCTTCAAAATCCAGCTCGCTCTCCCAGTCTTATTACTACTAAGCTTTGTTAATCTGTGAGAAGGTATTAGTAGGGCCACCATGATACCCGCCACTTGTCCGAATCCTGCGTAAGTCGGATAGCCTAACTCCAAGTTCCAACCGCAGGTGGAAAGACTAACGATGATGGTCTAGGACGCCCTCCCGCAATCTGGCTGGAAAGACTGATTTGGACTCATTGACAGAGCCAATCAATACCGAAACACCACGCACATCCTCAGGCAGAGCGGCCGTCGACGCCAAAACCAAGTCCCTTCGCTTGCGCATCGGCCAGTTGATGAATTCAGAGATCATCGTCTGCGATGCCGAGGAGTTCATGAGCTACTACCTTCCAAAGCACGATATGGACGTTTTCCAACGCGTCCTGAAGCAGCTCTCCAGGTTTCCGGAGGACAGCGAAGACAAAGTCCTCATCCCTCGTGACGATCCGAAACGGGAAGCATGGTTGAAGCAGCGCTTCGGGAAAGGTAGTATTAAGGAGCAGGCAGTAAAGGGAGGGCGATCGAGGAAGGGTGGCAAATCCCGTCATTCTGCGGATACCAGTGGCTCTGGGTCGAAGGACCTTGATGCCACCGCGGGTTCAAACTCAAACGCTACCCTTTATTCGCACGTCTTCTCCGACTTCATGTTTAAGCCCTCGCGGGTGAAGAGGCTACACGAGATCGAGAAGCTGGAGAAAAGGAAATCAAAGAAGAAGAAGAAGAACCGGAAGGCGAAGAAGGAGGAGACAAAGGATACGAGCTTGAAGGACGATGTTGAACCAGCGCACGAGAACACACAGTTCAACCCGATTGGAACAATTGGAGATTACATCCGAGCAGTTCTCAAGGCCATAGGAGTCGCGATAAATGAGTACCACCTACGCATGTGTCCCAACACCGCCATTACATCTGGAGTCGACGGCTGCAACCACAAGATTGACGCGTGTCTTACGAAAAACAGGGAAGACCGGTTGTCCATTACCGACATCATCGTTCCTTTTGAATTCAAGGTGGCCTGCAGTAACGCCAAGGTATTTGAGGTACGCACTTTGCCCGGCATTGCTTGGTTCACGCGGTCGCTCATCCCACACCACTAGAACCGTGGACAGCTAGTTTCTCATGTCGTGCACACGATGAACGACGATGCTCGCCGCCTCTTTATGTATGGGGTAAGTGTCTCGTTGAAGTGGAGACCTCCGGACTCACCCAGTTGCCGTTTATAGATTACCATCGAGGATGACCTGGTATCTGTCTGGTTCTTTTCTCGCTCTCACTCAGCGAAGGCAACCGTGTTTAGTATGATTGAGGTGAGCTTCCTGGTATTCACATTTACCTATATACTAACAGATCGTCGTGAAGCGCCCTGACCTTCTCGTACGGGTCCTTGTATCGCTGTTCTGCGCAACCGATGAGCAGCTTGGCTTCGATCCATTGGTTAGCCTGGTCGGAACAAAGAATTTCTTGTACACATTCCCTCCAAGCGAGACTCGGGCCAGCACTCATTACTATTTGACCATTCATTCGGTTACCGAGTATCGGTCTTTGCACCTCAGAGGACGTTCCTCTCGAGTCTGGAAGGTCAAACGTGTCCACTCTGCTAAGAACCACGAGCGCGTAGCAGGCACAACAGACATGATTCTGAAAGACCTTTCGCTCAGCACTGACACGCCTACAGAAGCTCGCATTCAGGAGGAGATGTTCAAAGACATCGGTGAACTTTCCCAGGATGCAGATTGGCGGAAGCGGGACATCTTGAGGAACTGTTCCAAAGAGGATTTAGACGAAATGGGGGAGGTATTGAAGGACGGGACCAGCTTTATGAAGTTCTTTTCATGCATTGCGCAGCATCATACCGGCTCCGCTAGCCTTGCTATATGTGCCAAAGGTTGGAGGCTTCCTTCAGTATTTGAGGACCCAACGGTGGAAGTACAGGCCGCTGCTGCCAACAGCAAGGTTCGCATACAACTTTCCGCAAAACCTCCAAAGACATCTGCCGACGCGGATTTGGGTAAAGGCAAGGCTACGGTTCCCACCGAGAGTATCCATCAACATCCTCTGGAACCAAGACACCAGTTCCGCGCTGTCTACGACCACGTCTACACGCCCCTCCATGATATAATGACCATGGGAGAAGCCGTCGACATTATAAAGGGGTGTCTAACAGGTATGTTCTACCACCAGCTACGCAAAAGTCAACTAACCTTGGGCGTTGACACCTAGTACTTCGCGTTATGTTCTGCGCTGGATGGGTCCATCGAGACATTAGCGCTGGAAACATCTTAGCCGCGCGCGGGAGGCCAAGGGGACCATGGCAAGTGAAACTAGCGGACCTTGAATACGCCAAACGGTTCCCTCCAGATCGCAAAGCGAGTGTCGCTGTGAAAAGTGTGAGTCCGACCCTTATTTAAAGCCGCGTTTCGATATTGACTCTGATTAGATGACTACCAATTTTATGCCGTGTGAGGTGGCGACCTCTGCGCTCCTGCTCTCTGGTGTCGAGCTTCGAGCGAAGGAGCGAAAGGCCTTGGAGGAGAACGTACGCAGTGTCATTCACAGCCCCCAACACGACTTGGAATCCATCTGGTGGCTCTTCTTTTGGCTTGCCAGCATGCGAGTAGACGAAGCACTCCCAAGGGCCCACCTCGAGGAAATCTTTCAGGACTCAGCAGTTGACCTTCCAGCAGTGGCAAACCCTCGCCGAAGCTTTTTCGTTCGGGAGCACAAACAGCACTTGGGTATTCATCGGGATCTCACAGTGTGCGAAGGCCTCCCGCCAGCGTTGCGAGGCCAGTTTCTCGAAAGTCTTGACGATGTTCGATACAATCTCCTCGTGGAATACCAAAAGCGAAACAGGCAAATGAAGCAGCAAGATATCGGCACTTACTCGCAGATCATTGCCGACTTTCGAACCTTTTTTGACGAGATTGAAGCATATAGGGACCAATGGGAAAATATCAAGTTGGTCACCGATTTGGAGCTACACCAAAGGGCGGCATATAGGAAGAAAGAAGAACAAATCGTTTACCGTGAAACACTTGATTATGGTGTGCTAATATCCAACAAGCGTCCACTCTCGGAACTTTTCCCAGTGACTGAAGAGAGTACAGGTGGAGAGACTGTGGAGGATAGCGACTACCCGGAGGACAGTGATGGCGAAGATGAGGAATATCAACGTCATCTCCCCAAGAAAGCTCGATTTTTTTAGTTCCACGTAGCAGCGCTTGGGATGCGACAGACAGTAGTGTAGTGCCACAATCACGATACTTACCACTATGTAACTGTAGTGTTCCACGTCTTTCTTGCCAATCTATTGCATGGGATAATAAGTCCTGAGTTGTGTGGACCGAAACACTTGTGGTCCTGAGGTCTATGATAGCCTTCTCCATCGGAGTTCAAGCCGATTATCCACTTCATTTCCCAGAGAAAGCTCAAGCGACGGGAGTTTCGGGCCACAGAGACTCGTCATTACAATGGTAGACCCTTGGTTCTCCTCGATATATTGATACTCCAATGTATGTGAAGGTTAGGAGCATGCTGGCCAAAGTGGCCATTGATTCGGTAGCGTGGTGAGAAACAGTCACCCAACCCCAGCAAGAAGCAGGTGAGGGCTGTGAGTGAGGTCGTGAAAGAGTTGTGAGATCAGTGAGCAGGAGTTTCGATTGCGTACCCCGAGATGATAAGTATACCGGACCCGCTTGCCTCGTGGGAACCTGTAGCGGCTCAGGCGGCACATCAGACATCAGCGCGAGTGGCGCGTCGACCATCTTGTCTTCGAACCACTACCATCGTTTGGGCATTCCTCGCAACAAATCGATTCTCGCTCGTCAGAGGAACTTATTTCTGCTCCGTAAAATGGATTCGCCACTCTCAGTATGTGAAGTCGAAGATTTCGTCAAAACCTACCTACCAAACGATCACTTGGCCAATTTCGACTCGGTCATGGAGTATCTGAAGGACCAGAAGGTCCTTGCACCTCGTGGAAGTTCTTTGGCCCAATACCCATCACCCTTGCAACGGCGACCAGTGTATACTCACGCATTAAAAGCCTTCAGAGGTCTATTCCGGGCCCGTCACGCGAAGCCGGCTACAGTCGTCAAGTCCTTGAAGGCGATCGGTACCGCCGTTCGCAAGGCGTTGGAAAAGGTCAAAGCTGCCGGTATTAACGAATGCTCCATTCGTTCTAGTGAGGTCCAAGGCCCTGTAATCAACGCCTGTCTTACCGCCAACGTCGACAGCGCGTTCCATCCAACCAACATGGCTGTTCCTTTGAGGGTCGCTGCGGATGAGGAAAAAGAGGTGCGACGTTATGTCATCACGCGCCTCCGTTCTGTTTTTCCTGACTGTGCAACACCACAGGAACCCATGGAAGCCCTTCCCCGGTTATTCGACGTTATCAATTCAGATGCCCGTCGCACGTTCACCTATGCGGTCAGTCCCGCCCATATTTCGTATGAATTCACCGCTGACGGTTTCTTTACATTAGATCACGGTCCAAAGGGATAAGCTATCCATTTGGTACCTATCTCGATCATTGTGCGTGAGGTCGACACCATTCAACATGACGGAGGTCAGTAGATATTTTCAATCCGAACCATAGACGGTACTAAGTGTCATGTTCGCAGCACCCGGACCTCCTGATCCAGGCCCTGACGTGTATAATGCTGGCAACCCCGGAGCAACTGGGTTACGACCCTTTGGTAACCCTACTCCCGGACCTGAGCTACGTGTACGAATTACCGCCAGACCACAACAGGGCCAACTCTCTATACTACCGGACAACGGAGCTCATCTCGCAGTACCACTCCGCTGACACGGCGGGACGGAGCACAAGGGTCTGGAGAGTGAAGCAAGTCACCTCGTCCGCGAGGCCAGTAGACCTACCTGGAGCCTCTGACATGGTGCTGAAACATGTCTCGGTGGATGCAACCATGCCGACAGAACGCGAGGTCCAGGAACAACTTTTCAGTGACATTTCGGCGTTTGGCAAACTCAAGAACTGGAGAGAGAACGATGTGTTGAAGGAGATGCCGAAGGATGACTTGGACGTCCTTGCCGAGGCGCTGAAGGGAGACAATTTCCGCCAGCTATTCTCTTGCATCATCGCCCACCACGTTGGTGAACCGGCCTCCACTCCTTCCACAGAGGCTGTGAAGTTATCAAAGCCTCGTTGTCCCAAGCGCAAATGCTTCTTCGTTTATGAGCTCCTGTGTACACCGCTCTCCAAGATTCCTACCCTTGGCGAGGCGATTGACGTGATTAAACAGTGTGTCACAGGTATGTCCAAGTTCTCCTGTTGCGCAAAAGTCGTTCCTGACCGTTGTTGAAATAGCCTTACGACTGATGTGGTGCGCTGGGTGGGTCCACCGCGATGTCAGTATCGGGAATATACTTGCATTTCGACCGTCACAGGACTCTCCATGGGAAGTCCGACTGACCGACCTGGAACATGCGAGGAGGTTCCCCGATCCGAACGTCCTCGGCGACGATACCCCTATCGTAAGTTGATCACCAGTTTCGCTCCTACAAAGACCTCTAACCTCGTTTGCAGGGAACGCCGTACTTCATGCCCGTTGAATTACAAAACCGAGGCTACTACTTCCCTGCACTCGAGGAACGTCCTAAAGAGCGCAAGACATGGTTCCCCGTCAAACCCTTGGTCCACAACTATCAACACGATTTAGAGTCCATTTGGTGGATAATCCTTTGGCTCATAACTGGGAGAACGACGATACCTGTCTCACGCGCATTTGCCGACCGGTATTTTCGAAATAAGGATGCTCCTTCATATGGAGCTTCCCGTTCTTTTCTTCTCTCCGGACAGCAATCGATTCTCAGGGATCGAGAATTCCCCACATCTCTCCCCCCGCGCCTGTATCAGGGACCTTCCTTCCTTACTCACCTTGACGACCTCAAGATTAACCTCCATGTTGAATACACCTCACGGAATCGTGTTGGTAAGCAGGACGATAGAAGGAGTTATGCCTGGATTGTCGGCGAAGGAGCTTCAGACTTCTTCAATGACATTGAAGATTCTCGGATGGACTGGGGCGGTATCGAGCTTTTGGTCGCCGGTAACGTCGCTGTCAACGATTCTGCCTCGTCAGCAAAGGGAAGCTCTGACGATGCATCGTGGCCGGAACGCCCAAAGCCGCCTCCGAAGCGACGAATCGACGACGACGACACGGACGATGAAGACCAACGGCCGCCACCGAGGAAGAAGGTCCGCGTTGTCCCAGTTCGGGGTTTTCAAGCACTGGTACAGCGAGCTGGCCCAGTCACGAGGTCTATGGCTCGAAACCAGCGGCCTTCTGGCCCAACGACCAGATCCACCACTCGCCGTCTGCAGCAAGAAGCGGCAGAGAACGAGCGCTCGAAACTAGCAAAACTTCCCGCCAGGAGATCCCGCCGATAGGCGATGCAACCACCCTTCGTCAGATGTACCCCTTGCGATACCTTCACGAGCACCATTGTCATAGAGTTTCCCCGAGCAACACCCCCTTTCTACATAGTAGAAAAGCGCATTATTTCCATAGATCTCATTCTTGATTTTGTAGATTAGAGTTTAGCACGCACCCAGCGGTACCTCTTCGACGATGACCCGTTTCCTTTACAGTCTGAATTCAGGAGCGTCCCTCCGGAGTCCGTGGTTTCACCTTGTGTGGGAGCTTTATGTGACATTACAGCGACCACAGATGATCCATAGTACAAACACATCTAGTATGTGATTGAGTATCTCGTTTCACTCAGCCTCAAGAGGGCTGCAGGCACACTTGACGCGATTCAACAGCCATTTTGACAGCAGAGAAATCGAAGTCGAGAAGTGTGGCGAATCAACACCCGTCGAGCAACCGTGATTTTACATCCTCCTCGAGATCAGTCGTTCGGGGCATGGCAGTGGTTCAGGTCCTCGTACGCGAACAGCCAGACAGAAAGGGGCGCCCAAGCTAAGCAACTCTATTGAGACCTTCTCTCGCCAACTGGACTGGCGAGATATGCATTCTCCGGGCAAAGCTTCCAAGCAATCTTCTCTTGCATTATCGCCCAAGAAGGGAACACAAAGGCGTCTCTGACCACAAGCCACATTGCTTCATCCAATGAATCACGCCTGATTGAGGAGGTTTAGTAGCGGGTTAGGGAATAGACGACCGTAGTCAGTCTATCCCCCATAGACAAACAGGATGGATTTAGCGGAGGTAGGGCTACAACAGCGTGGTACTACACGTAAGGAACTTAACATGGGTAAGGGTGGGTGGGTAATGAAGAATCCTCGTCGGCCAGGCGTGGCAACGATGGAGGAGAAGTACCCGTCGACCAAGCGTGGTGACGGCTGATCAAGAGAGTAGAGACTCAAGAGCGGTGAGACCTGGTCCCATCTGATGGGCGCCAGATTGGTCATCGCCTGTGGCGCTGCGATCCGTCCGTACACGAAAGGCCGCAAGCGTGCGGCGCTGCGTTTCGTCCGTAGACAGAGAGGCCGTGAGTGTGCGGCGCTGCGTTTCGTCCGTAGACAGAAAGGCCGCGAGATCGATTCCGCTCGTAGGCAGGAATCACGAGTCTCCTCTTTTGTGCTGTTCTTCATTGACCTAGTGTAAACACAGTTTAAACACCGATCAAATGTGTACCTTCATAGTACACAGGTCGTCCCTCTGAAACGAAGGCTACAGCCTCAATTACCCGTGAGTCAACTAAACCGAACTTCCATCTCTCTGGTTGAAAAGCAACGACAGGTCGGAAGTTGATGCTAGGTCGATGACGAGGAGCCGGAATGAACAGATGTGAAGAACACCGGTCGATGTCATGAATCTGGACCCTATGTCATCTTTTGGTGGATGCTTCCGGCGCAGAACTTGTCCTCCCTTCCATATCTCCTTTTCCATTGACGTTCTCCAAGATCCCTTTCTCATGCTCAGCTGCCGCGCAGACGTTTGAATCCTGCTTTTTATGTCTCCTTTGCTGCGTTCGTTTTAATATGGGATTGTGATACTCAGTGAAGATCCAATACATCTATCCTTGTCTCAGTTCTCGTACTATGATGTTGTATTCAGTGCTAAAACGCACTGGACAGCAGTTCCGCTCCCACTACGGCAGCTATCTTGTATGCTTGCCTTCCGGTATAGGGTCGCCTCGTTACTAGTCTTCTATTATTGACAATGGGCCCTTCGTCCTTTCGTACGACGGAATGGGGGTCTTTTAGGGAAGGTCGTTGTCTGGTTACAGTTGACTAGAAATTATCGCTAATTTCGAGCCTCCTTCGGTGCCCGCATCGACAGAGTCGAGAATGACGGATTCCAGCGTCCAAGTGAAGATGAGGTCATCTGATCCCGTATGTCTTGCCAAGACTCCACCCTAATTGCTTTATCAGGGGTCGTCTGGGCTCCGCGTCGAGCCTCGTCGTTTGTTTGTTGCCTTCTTACCATCGCCATCATTGGTCTCGCTCATCGTTGGTTCTTCATCCCAGCTGTACCGAGTACACCTTTGTCACACACCCCTTTACAGCGTCACACAAACACACCATCTGCTAAATTCGAGCATCACGATCGTGCTACGAGGCCAACAGAACGTCGGTTTTCGAGTTCTCCTCGCTTCAACTTTCATCGGTGCAACCGTAGCCCTGGGACTACAGTTATCGACGTTCGGTCTTAAACACCACTCCCCACTTCATCTCTCGAGAAGATCCACGATGGCTTGGAGGTGCAGCGGAGCAACCAACAAGGAGCTGATTGCGAATTTGAAAAGTGGAGGGATTTTCCACTCTGACAGGGTGATGAAGGTGCGTCTCAGTGTTCTTTCTTCTCAAGGACCGCGCCTCTTATCGGGGGAATGTTTTACAGGCGATGGCGGCTGTTGATCGAGGCAACTACGTTCGCGACAAGTCGGACGCATACAAAGATTCGCCGCAGTAAGTCTCTGAAGCTATCTGACCCTGGGCAGGTTTGGGCTGACCGGATCGCAGACCTATCGGCCATGGCGCAACAATCAGTGCCCCTCATATGGTACGTTCGACTACCATACCTTTACCCATGAACTAACGCCCCCTGAAGCACGCCTACGCCTCCGAACATCTCCTCCCATACCTCCGCCCCGGTGCCCGCGTTCTCGACATTGGAAGCGGCTCGGGCTACCTGGCCGCAGTTCTTCACCACCTCGTCTCACCCGGTGGCAAGGTTGTCGGCATTGAGCACATCCCTGAACTGGCGGAATGGAGCATCGGCAACCTGAAGAGGGATGGATTGGGCGAAGCATTGGACAAGGGGGAAATTGTGATCGTGGCAGGCGATGGGAGAGAGGGTTGGAAAGACGGCGGTGAGTAACTAGGCTCTTTGGATTTGTACCTTTTCTTCCCCATCCATGACCGGCATACTTCTGACCTTTTATCTCACCAGGTCCCTACGACGCCATCCACGTTGGAGCAGCAGCGCCGACCGTCCCTCCCGCTCTCCTCGAACAGCTCGCTAGTCCCGGGAGGATGTTCATCCCCGTTGGATCTTGGGACCAGTACATCGAGCATATTGACAAGGACGACAAAGGTCATGTCACCAAGCAGAAGGTTATGGGTGTTCGCGTACGTGTGGTTCATCCTTCATGGAGTTTTCCAGCCTGACCTTGGACGATTTCAGTATGTCCCGTTGACTGATAGGGATAAGCAAGTCGAATCATCGCGAATGAGATAACTGTGGACGTATTGACCTGGAATCGTTCGTATAGGCAACCCCACCGCAACTAAGGATCGATATTGTGAAGAGGAATCTGGTTTGTTTAGTCATCTTTCTTCTGTTTTCCCAGTCGTGTTCCTTGCATCTCCGATTTTTCATACTCTGACTCACAAGCTCAAAATGGACGTCCGCTTTGTATTTATCGACTTTCAACTAACATCATGTATCTACCTCGAATGAACCGTTTGTACTATTTGTTCTCCAGACGTTTCGGTCTCTCGCCATTTGCACCGTGACTCGATGACGCCACGATTGAACATAGGGGCCAATTGATGGCATCAGCTCTCCTTCCCACAGCGAGAGGAAACGGAATCTAATCGTCGTTAGGCTTTTGCTTCTGACCATGTCACCCGTCCTTGCTCTCGTCGTCCCAGCTCGCGCGGCCTAATCCCACTTCCTTAGGTAGTCCCACCTAGGTCCCGGAAAAGCTTCTCCACAACGGTAGTCCTGACTTCAAACTCGACCCTGAAGGCAACGAGAATATCTGGCCGCTCAATCTCAACCGTCGGTGAACCAACTCGCCGCGACTCTTGGGGATTTCGAGGTTGTTACATCGCAGCGGTATGGGATTCTACGAAAAGCAACTATCCATCCTCGGCGCACTATGTCTTCTCGGCCTAGGATTGGACCAACGACTTTCGAAGTCCAAACAGGATTCCGGCGGCGAAAGGTCGGATGGAGGTCAAGCAAGTCCCTCGGTCGTTGCCTCGCTGGCGAGGAAGTATTTGGTCGTATATGGGATCGTAATGGGTGGGCACTTGCGAATCTCGTTGCCGTTTACCGAAAGCTGATTGGAAACCTTGAAGGTGCGGACTGGTTACAAGGGCCATACGTCTATTCCCTGTACCACGAGCAATACGAGATCCCTGAACGAACCGTCGCCGTATTGTTCGTGACTGGCTTCTTATCTGCCGGACTCGCGGCTCCATTTGTCGGTGCCTGGGCAGACCAACAGTATGTCTAGCCTCGCCGCCCTGGTTTGACCTGTTGCTTACCATATTCTCTTCAGCGGACGGAAACGTCTCTGTCTCGCATTCTGCGTCACCTACACCTTGGCGTGCCTCCTTATCACACTTCCAGCGCTCCCGATCCTCTTCCTGGGTCGCATCGTCGGTGGAATATCCACCTCCATCCTGTTCTCCGCCTTCGAATCGTGGCTCGTTTCATCCGCTTCGTCCATGAAAATCTCAAGCGGTGACCTGTCGAGTATCATGGGTCGAGCGAGTTTGGTGAATGGGTTAGTGGCGACCACCGCGGGGGTGATTAGCCAGTGGCTGGTTGAGCGAACGTCCGCGAAGTTCGTAGCGCCGTTCCTGACCAGTGCGGGATTGTTGGTCGTTGCTTGGGTCTTGATTCGAGGGTTGTGGGGCGAAAACTATGGTGGCAGTGGAACCGTTGCGGGGAGAGGAAGTGTAGATCTGTTCCAGCTGAGGAAATTGGGAGAGGCGTGGCATGTCGTTCGGACAGGTTAGTCTTTCGAGTTTGGTTCAGTTTGAAGACGATACTGATATGGTTCGCATTAGATCCTTTGCTATTAACCCTAGGCCTCACGCAAACGTGTTTCGAAGGGTCGATGTACCTCTTCGTCTTCGTCTGGGTCCCATCGCTGCAAGAGACAACCCCCTCGTCGACCCTCCCCCTCGGACTGATCTTTTCCTCCTTCATGGTCTCCATGATGTTAGGCTCACTTCTCTACACCGCCATCGTATCCTTTTCCTCCCGTTCGAAAACCGATCCGACTTCCACACCGGGGTCAGACTCGTCCCTGGGGGTGCACGCCAAACTCAGCAGCCTCGTCTGTGCCTTTGGGGCTCTGGCGTTGGCTATGAGCGTATCTTCTCGGGCGGAACACATCCGATTCTGGGCGTTCTGCCTTTTCGAGGCGTGTGTGGGGATGTACTACCCGGTCCAAGGGATGCTCCGCGGGTCCTTCATTTCCAATGACCATCGAGCTACGGTAAGCACCACCTCATCTTTCCCATCCCACATCCCAGGAACTTACATCTCTTCACGTCTTAGGTGTCCTCTCTTTTCCGAATACCGCTGAACATCTTCGTCGTTGTTTCTCTTTTGAGTGGTGTTTCGTCGGCGAGGAGGGCAGTGATGACTGCAAGTGCGTTGGCACTTTCTGTGTCGTCCGTTTTGACTGGTTTTGTGATTGTTAGTAGATCTGAGGGGAGTACGGGCGCGGGAATGGGAGTGGGAAGGAGGGGGAGTTGAGCGTGATTTGGAGACCATATTCTAGCCACTTTTACTAGACTGTAGAGAGGAATCACGGTGGGGTATTCTAATAAAATTGCAACTTGAAGATAACATGCTGGTTATCGGGTATAGTTACCCCGCCTTGGGTCGTCGATTGCTGGAGACCGTAACGACGAGCTGCAGATCTCGTTTGAACAGACACTTCAGCTCGAATGCAAAATGAGGGATTAAATCCAAGAGGTATTGATTAGGTATCTAATCTAAAGGTACATAATTGGAAGATCATCGTACTGGTACATATGCGCTGCAACGTAGTCTTTACATCGAGTTCGGATAGAATAGCTGTTGGTGGTGATGTTTATCGGGGAGTTTTGCGAGTCGATGATCGAGTGGGCATAGCTGCTACCCCTTTGGTGGTCGATTGCTGGAGCCGACGAGTCGCTGATCTGGTCATAGGGCCCGCCTGAGCCTGGCTTCTCGTCATGGACCTCGTCACTGGACCAGCTCGTTGACAAGGAGACTGAACATCCAATCGCACTCGCTTGCGAGGTCGATCAGCGTCACCGCCTATTCGCCGTGACGGAACGGGGGCTTCAGGATCCTCCAACTTCCGTTTCATCGAGGGCGATAGAGCAGGCAGCAGGACAGTGGCGTCCCTCCTATGTGCGGGATGAAGAGTCAAATCAGTGTACAACTGAACACCTTCCCATTTCTCTCTCGAACCCTCGATTCTGTTGAAGAAGGTCGACATGGCTTCGCCCATAATCCGGGAATAGGCTTCGATGTCGCCTTGGCGTCCCTCCTTATTGCGCGTTTCGTATTGGTCTTGGAGGTCGTACCGAATGTCGTCGAGTTCATCGAGGAAGGGGCAGTCTTCATCCCGAAGGGGTGGCGGAATTGAATCCTCGAAGTCGGGGAGCTCCCAAAGCGAATTCCCCTGGGTTAGGAGGTTAAAGCGCGCAGCCATGGTCCCTTCGGGGATTCGGAATCCGAAGTATTCCTTCGGAAAAGCGCGAGACAAGCTCTTGATGGCTCTCATCGTTACAAGCCAGAGGATAATCCAAAACATCGATTCTACATCGTGTTGGAAGTTGCGCACCACCCTCAGTTTGGGGCGAATACCCTTCCCGCTTTGGCCTTTCTTCCTTGTTCGTGGGTAGATGTAGCGGGACGATTGCAATTCGGATGCTATGAACTGGGGTGTACCCTGCCAAAAGGATTAATTCACACAATTCATTCTAAAGAAGGAATGAACTTACCATCACTACTTCGTCTATTGCGGCACCTGTAATAGGGAATTTTTTGGAGAATTCGAGGTCGGAGAGTTTCACCTGCCAGGGGGTATCTGGGCTCGACCGGAACGCCAGAATATTTCCCGGGCTCAAATCGCCGTGGAGCCACCCGGCGCAGAACATGAGCTGAAGGGCTAATGAAGAGGCTGTCAGCGCCGTCGTTGAAATGATTGAAAGAGACATCACCTACCTGTTCTGCATTGTCTGAGGACATCGATGGCCTCCCCGAGCGTCGGAATGTCGGAAAGCGGAGTGCAGATCAATTCGTAAACGAAAAAGCATCGACGCTTTGGAAGCCCAGGATGCGCGCTGGTACCCGACGTCGATGTTTGACCCAGAGGCAAGGTGGACGTATCCAACGGGGCGCTCAGGAACTTGTCGGTGATGCAAGAGAAATAATTCTTGAAGTTCTCGCCGGTCAACGCTTCCGCGAGATACTGCAAGTCAGCGCTGGGGAAATCTTTCAGAATCGACTGATTTCGCCAGTCCTTCTTCCGAGAGAAAACGGTGATGTCTTGGAAGAGCCGCTCCTGAACATCGGCTTCTGTTGGGGTATGTCGGTCCAAGAAGGCGTCCTTGAGAATCACCTCCGGCTCTCCGGGTATTTGGGTAGGGTCGGTCTTAGACACCACCCTTTGCACTCGCCAGACGCGTGTACTGCGGCCAGCAGGGTCTTGTGCGTGGATCTCTGACACGAGCTCAATAGTCCGGTAGTACAGAGGTTCCAACCGTTGGCCATCAGGCGGTAATTCGTAGACGTAGGTACGGTCTTGGAGAAGGGTGACGAGCGAGTCGTATCCAAGCTGTTGCTCCGTCGCAGATAGAAATCCGACGAGAACGTGAATGAGAAAGTCGGGGTGCTGTGCGTGAAGGAGGTCAGCGTCGCAACAAAATCGTCGAAGGAAGCACATACATTGAATATGCTGATCGGTGCTGTCTTCACGCAGAGTGGCCGAGAAAGATACCACAGTGACATGTTCTCGCCTTGAACGGTGATCTGGTAAGAACGAAATCAGGGGCGAAGGTAAGCCACCAACTAATAGCACTCACCGCGAAGGAAAATTTTCGGCGTACATCGCCTTTCATTATGCGAAAAAGACCCTCAGTGGGATCGACGTGAGTCTGGAATTCGTCAGTTGAAATTTCCTCACATCCGACAAGATCCCTCACCTCGTCAGTGGCTGACTTGAGACCGGTGACCGTTAGCGGGACGAGGACGTCAGTATACCGAACTGGTCCATCAAGATTAGCGGTGAGATAAGCCTCAGACGGACACTCGTCCTCAATCTTGCTCGCTCGAATAGCACGGGTCTTGATGTTTGTTCCAGTAACTTTCTGTAGCGCTTTTTGCACTGCGGTTGCGACGCCTTGGAGCGACTCGATGACGCGAGTGGTTTTGGCGGAACCCTGGCGGAAAAGACCCTTGAATACGTTGAGAGCATGTGTATAAATTGGCCGTTGGTTGTTCGTTGAACGTTGTCGTCCCCGAGACGGCTGGCGGAGTGCTAGGACCTTCTCCCTCTCCAGTTCGCGAATAACGGAGTCGAAAGTCTTTTGACTGGCGTCCGGAAGGTAGGCTGTCATGAATTCATCAATTTCACAGATGGAGAATTGCGGTTCCATGGTCTTAGTCGTCTTAGCGTGTGGCGAGATACGGGTTTCAGACGCGATTGCTTTGAAGATGGTAGTGGCTCAAGGACAAGATGCAAAGGTCGCGTCGAAGGCCTTTGATGCTCTGGCGCCGCATTCCCACGCGCCTGCCTTGTACGGCCACAGCCACCGGTACTGACGCGCCGCGGGGCTTGACATCCACCCAAAAAGAAATATACATCCGAATCAATTCACACCAGCTAGACTAGTATAAATACTACGAGGAAGTCCAGTATGCCACATACTCTAGCTCGGAGCAGGCCTGCGTCGCCGCAGATTGATGCATCGATTGATAAGCCTTACTGGTGGTCTCCAGATTTCGAGCTGCTGTATATCGTGGCCAACAGGAGAAGATAATGGCTAAATACATGTCCTATACTCCTGACGCCGAAGGGGTTAGGGGTGTAAAACGTGTAGCACAGAGCGATCTGGCACGTTGTGTACAATGAGCCGGCCCTAAAGTCATTGGCGCCCAAGCGTGTTATCTAGCGCGGAGCATAGCTATTAAACTAATGCAACCGGTGATTTATGGTTATCATTGGGATAACTAAAGCATTGATATCACAGGATGGTTAGAGAATATGAAAAACAGTCGAGACTTGCAAAGCCAAGGTACATGGGTCCCAATTCGATATTCACACCTGTCAATCATCTTCCGCGAACTCAAACACTGGAATCACCATTGTTGTCGGGTCCCCATTATCCAGGCCGTGTAAGGTGCCACAAGCAAGACGCCTTAAATATCAACAAAGGCAACCAACCGAACCATCGGAGTCGTCGAAAGAGAAATGGGCAGAGGCATCACAAGTCCTGCCAGCTAAGTAGACACTGTTGGAGCGATGCGCAAGGCAGTCTCAGAAATTGAGGTTATTCGGTGTGCATCGTCAAAAACCTCAATCTGACAGCTTATGAACTTCACATAGCGTTAACTACCAGCCCCATATCCCAAAAAGCGTTTTAACGTCGCACAACGCCTCTTATATCTCCAGATAATATCACTCAAGATCGTAACTGTTAATGGTAGAAGACGTGTATATACAATGCGCGGAAGTTACACAGCTAGCAATACATGGAGTGTGGCCTTTCCCTGTAATTAAGCACGAGCCTTCTTTGACGCCGGCTGTTCTTGACCCTCTTCAATTTCCTGGTTGGTCACTTTTTCACCATGCCCTCCCTTAGGTGTCGCTGTGGAGTGAGCTGACTTCAACGTGCGATCATCCTGCTTCAGAGATTGGGGATTCGGCGCGTCCTTCGAACGTTGAGGTGCCCTGTTCATGTCGGAGTACTTGCGCTTGGTTCCCCTGGGCGCCGTTGTTCCAGGCGCTAATTCAGTGTCCGTCAAGAGCGGAAGGTCTCCCCAGACCTTCCTGCTTCCCTTAATGCCTTCGAAGAAATTCCAAAATCCTTCGCTAACGATCAAAGAGTAGGTCCCAATATCCTGCTGCTTATTTCCACGATTACGCGAAATGTACTCGCTCTCAAAGTAGATTCGCAGGAGATCGAGTTGCTCTACAAAGCCGGAAAGGCAAAGGAGCACTGGGAAACATGGGTAGACCTGTTCGTGGTCTTCAATACTATCTTCATCGGTAAAAACGCCGCGCCGAGCATGTGCGTTCGCTTCGCGAAACAGGAGATTAGCCCTTTGCAAGCTCTGCTTCACCCTCATGGTGATCGCCCATAGAATGATCCACCAAAGTGACTCCAGATCGTGCTGATAGTTGTGGATGACCGGCAATTTGTTGGGACCCTTTCTCCTCGAGACTCCTTTGCCAGTGCCGGTCTTGGAAATCAGTGATTTTGTAAGGATCTCGCATGCCATAAAGGCAGGGGTTCCCTATTGGGTCAACAACTGTCAGGACGAGCAAACAAGGGACTGGATCAGTAAAAGACTTACTGTCTTGGGTATCGGACTAGGCTGATCGTCGCATGGAAACCGCTTGGCATACTCTAGGTCCGAGAGTTTAACTTGCCACTGAGCCGTTGGGGATGTACGAAAAACAAGGATGTTTCCTGGACTGATATCCCGATGGACCCATCCAACGCAGAACATAAGTCGCAGAGCTGTGGAAAAGGAAATTAGTGACTGGCAGACGAGATAAGGTCAAATGTGACGTACGGATCAAGCACTGTTGAACAATGTCAACCAGCTCGCCCAGTGTAGGCACGTCGCTAAGTGGTATGCATGGTTCGTCAAAGATCAGGCGACACGGCCGCCGAGGATTGAAGCCCCTGTGTTGCAGCTCTTCCTGTATGGTGCCAAGTTCGCCAGGGGGGCCAGCAGTAGGCCTTCTTGGTGCCCGTGTACCAGGGGCTGCACGATTCCTGTTGTGGTCTGGAGCTATGGTCCTTGGTTCGGTAAACATCGGAGTAGTGGCGGCCCATGCCCCAGGGCAAAGCGGAGGAGTAACTTCACCAACGTGTTCGTCGATAATGCAAGAGAAATACCTCTTGAAACCGCCTTGCAATGCACGTTCCAGTGAAACCAAGTCTTCCGCGACAAAATCCTTCAGTATCTCGCGCTGACGCCATTCCTTGTCCTTAGCTAAATCTTCGAGGTCTCTAAATAAGTCGCGTTGAATCTCGAACTCTGTCCGGAACTCCTCGGGGAGGGAGACGTCTTTGAGGATCATCTCTTTCGACCCCTCGATGGCCTCCGTATGATCTGGAGACTCCACCTGGATCACCCTCCAGATGCGTGTGGCGCGGCAGATCAGACGCTGGGTTCGGGCCTCGATGACAGTTCCTGTGGTGCGATAGAAGATGGGTTTGGGTCGCGTCTTGTTGGGGGGAAACTCGTAGACGTATCGTCGGTCTTCCGTCAGGTGAACAAGAGGGTCCAATCCAAGTTGTTCCTCTGTCGCGCAGAAGAGTGAAACCAGAACCTCGACGAGAAGATCAGGTCGCTGAAAAATGATCAGATGAAGACCGGATCACAGAGTTCATAGGTGGCTTACATCAATCATGCTAAACGACTTTGCCTTGACTGAATGCGATCGAGAGAAAAACCAGAGCGACACACGGTCGTCTTCAATGGTAATCTGCAAATGAGAATCGTAGATGTTAGGCAAGGTTTACTAAAGTGGAGGCGCGTACTTACCGCGAACATGAATCTGCGACGAGGATCATCGTTCATTGTGTGGTTGGCTTGGGACACAACCTGTCGGCGATTCTAAAAACGACATTTAGTTCGTCGACAGAGCTGGATGACGCTGGGAGAACACTTACCAGGAACACCTTAGCAATGGTGTAGGCTAGCTTAAACTCAAAGGGAACGAGGATGTCGGCGATGTCGAGCGCTTTCGATTTGTTCTTCGTCAAACATGCGTCGATTTCTTGATTGCATCCAGGGATGTTGGAATAGATTGTCGTGTGTGGACACATTCGAAGATGACTACCGTTCCTTTTGATACCTTTCTCGTCCAACGCCTTGAGGATCTCGGTTCCGATTTCGCCAAGTGGACTGAACACCTTGTTCTCGTGAGTGTTGGAGGTCTTCGGCTTGTCAGATGAGCTGGTCGTATTGTTTTTGGCTTTTTTCCTCAACAGGGAGGGCTTCATTTGGAAGTTACACAGCACGTGAGAGTAGACCTGTGAGTTCGAGTCGCCTTCTCCTTCGGCTCCTTGGTCATCCTCGCCTTCGTCGTCGGATACATAACCTTGTTCCTCGATCTCCTCACATTCTTCTCCTTCGCCCTCGTTCCCTTCGTCAACTTCCCCAACCTCTCCATTTAGCTCACCACGTTCCTGTGGAAGCTCGTCATTGCTCTCTCGAACAGACCCGGCGTCGTCGCTCGGCGCATCTTCATCTTCATTCCCCACCGCGGCTCCGTCATCTAGTCCAGTCCTTTCCTCGCGAGGGACAAGGAATTCGGATGCCTTCAGAGCATCATTCACAAAGGACATCGTCTCATCATCACACTTGGGGAGGTAGTACTCCTTGAACTGGTTGTACGTGCAGACGTACATTTCCGAATTCATGAGATCGCCGATGTCCATGCGCATGTCCGTCATCAGGAAAAACCCAAAGTATAAATGATGCATCATTGAGAACATTTTGTACACTGTTGCCCCGGATGAGGCTAATGGACATCAATGTGCTTCAGTGACGAAGCCCCTGTCATTTTAGTCCATTTTGAAGCAAAAATGTGACCACTTGTTCGTACGAAGGCATAATTTTCTGGGACATTTCAGTGCTCTTCAAGTTGGGTCCTACCGCCAAATTCCCGGTGAAGTGTGGAGTTTTGACGCTCAGGCTGCACTTCTCGACATTGGCCTTTCGATAGGTGGTATGGAGTAGCAGATATTAAACTTCTTGCAAATTTACATCCTCAGGGTTGAACAAGAAGACTGAGATTCAGCTTGGAATGCGAAGCAGAGGTAGATTTCACTCCGAGAAGAAGGAGAAGCCATTCAAAGTCCGCTCTCACCTTCGCGGGCGACGCGGCAAGCTTCGGCTGTGTGTGTGAAATGGACACGTGACATGTCGTTCAGACGGTCGCGCAAGAGTCGCGACGCCAGCAAAGCGACCTTGTCCACATTCCCTCACCTTCCCTGTCCGAGGCCGTCGTCCTCAGCATTTTCTGTCGCGTTTTGCCGCAACGCCTACTCCAGACTGCGGCCGTATACAAGACTTGTCTGCTTCCCATCAGGTATGTACTCTGGAGACCGTTCTCCTCACCAGGGGTGCTCACTGCTGTAGTAGGTATCGCTCGCTATTCAGGTCACCCCCATTCGCCTTGATTCGCCATAATTTGCCAAAGTGAGACATCCCCTCGCAGCCTGACGTATCACAACTGACCATCCCTTTCTCTTCTCTGTAGCAGGCCTGAGTCTCAGTGGTTTTGCCGGTGCTCTGAGTAGGATGAGTGATATCGGGATTGGGACTTGGAAATCGGGTTTGATCGTAGTTGGTAGCCGGCTCGTAGTTCATTTCGATATATACGTCGTTCGACAAGTTCTTGTATTAGCCAACATTGAATGACAATACAACGTGGACTTGCACCATCCATCGTGACCGCTTTGATTTAAGGGAATGATGAGCTGAATCGAGCAGTGAAATGGGCCATTGAATGTTGCTTGTCTGTGCATAATTGTGTATAAATGAAGGGGCTGCATCGTGCAGTAGTTACATTTGGACACCGAATAGAAATTCGGCGCTATTGGACTTCATTTTTCTTATTGTTGCACAATAGAGGCTCAATTTACACTTTGGCTTTTCCCTGATGGTGGTGGCCTTGTCTGCAGCTGCTCGGCTTGTCACAGAGCGGGGTGATACTTTGACCTGGGGAGCAGAGGAGTGCTTGCTAGTGTTTGTATCCCGTGCAGGGATACGCGGAGGCGTACTGGGGCTACAGTCAGTAACGAGTAGAGTGGCATGCGACAGCCTCAAGGCTCTCGAGAGTTCAAACAGTTGAGAGACTTACATCGGACAAGTGGAGGCTTTCATGGTAGCCTCCATATCAAATTATCGAAAAAATGATTCAGTAGGAGGTGCGAGGAATATTCTCTGATTGTTAAGGATGTGGTTCAAGGTAAAGAGGTGTCGAGTGGCCATCTTCAAGCTTTATAACTGAACAAGAAATATTCTCCCACAACTCCACAGCCACTCTCCTACCAGTGGCATGTTCAACCGCTCAGGCCACCTGAAATTAAACCGTACGATCGATATAAAGCCGTGTGTATTTCCGTTCTTCAAGTCGCCTGGTACTCGTACACTCAGGGTATGTGTACTCGTATGATACATTTAGCCAGGTGCGAACGCGTGCGCGGACTGTGATTGATTGGGCTATCTGTGGCATGCCACATATCGAGTGGCAGTCGGTCCATGGGTATTCAACATTCAGAGGGACAATGGGAGCAAAACGCTTAGTTCACCGGCTAGATTACGACCCGTCGTCCAATTTCTGTATATCTACAAATTCGCTACAAAGATCAAAACTCGACGCTCCAGTAACTGAATTAAACCCAAGTCGGAAGCCGCGCATATCACACCGGGTATTCGACTCGATGTTCTAACCGGCTACACGTCAAGTCTGTTCAACCAATTCGCCCCCGCTGTGAGACCAGGCCAAGCCTTGTTTCTTCGCTTTAGACCTACCTCGCCTGGGTCCAGCGGGGTGTCTGTGTATCCGACCCCATCCTCGTCGATGACGGAGAAGAGATTCGCAGTAATATCGAGGTCAACCTAAAGATCATGCTCATGTTGAGAAACAAAGGTCAACTCTCGAGCGTCAAGAAACTTCCCACCGTCTTCACACCATCCTTGTTGCCTGCCACTCTCAGAGAGTCGGCTCCGCGAAAGGACGTCGGTACATCGATAGTAGACACACTCCATAGCAGTTGGCAGTCAAGTATAATAGGCTTAACAGACGAGACCCCCATCATTTATGTAAGTACTTCCCCAGCTTGAATCGAGAATGCCGTTGATATGTCGTACTCCATCTACTACATCGACCGCGAACGGCGTTTACGATACCCCGGTAACGAGTTGATAACCGGATGGGTTGGGCTGACTGGACGACGCACAGCTCCGTCTGAACCAAGTCTAAAGCCTTCTCCTGTCTGCCTCTCGTGAGATAGACATCGACAAAATCAGCGAAAGAACATATACACAGTTTCAGACATCGAGAGTTACGCGACAATTCAGTTTCAAGGATCCAAATTGGTATGTAGCAGTTCAAGAACAAGGAGGTGCTACGACAAAGTCACGCCCACACTCACCCACTTCCCAAGTTCAGGTTAACGATGGTCATTGGTCATCTAGCGCTTTAGAAACGAATCAGAACCTCTCAATGGTCAACCTCGCACGCGGGCTAATCCTCGAGAATTGGCCTATCTAAATTCCTGTATTCTCTCGTTTACCTAACTTCAAATGGCTCATCCTCATTTCCTTGATCTGTATAGTAAGCAATTATTCTCGCGTTCATAACCATCTGTAAGTTACATTTACACCACCACCCGAGGTGCCCAGCACTCGAGAGCCCGAGCGAGCATATGCCAGCCTCTCCCAACACCAACACAATACATACCATCTCCCTCTTACAAACAATACCCTCGTCTCCCATTCCAGCGCTCAACAACACCTAGTTCACAACCCCTCCACCACCGAGGACCACACATAACCCACTCACTGAATGCGCTAGACTCCTGAATGCACTGGACTCTCGGCCAAGACTTACTGTATGACAACTGATCACGAACCCACTCGGCACACCGGATGCACAACCACAAACCTCTCTCACACTCCATCCCGAATCTCGCAAATGGTTACCAGTCAGGAGGAATAATAAATCTCGTAGAATATACACTACATACACAGGACGCTGCGGTATGCATGTACACACAAGTCAAAAACAACCATAACCGAAAAACGATCAGATCAGTTCGGACGAGCCGCCAACACGCAACAGGCAAGAGGTAAGGCAGTTTTTATGGGATTTACATCGACCAAGAAAAGAATCGGAAAATGGAAAAGGAAAAAGATAAAGACAAACGGAAAAGGAAAAGGCGGGATGTAGGTACGGAAGATTACAAACACTCGTCAAGAACCAGGAAGAGAAAAACGAGGAACGAGAATGCGGAAATATGAGGAATCACAAAGGAAACTACGACGGCGAGTGTGAAACTAATACGCGATAAGGAAGAAAAGACGGGATTCCGAAGAAACCGACGACAAGTAGGAATAAGAAAGAAGAACCAGAGTAGTCATAACATATGTCTTCACGACGACGACGATAGGGGGCGCATTTAAGCACCCTCAGCCTGTCCAACCTGTCCACCCTTGGCAGCTCCAGGCGAGAATGTATGCCACCTATCATTGAATCGAACATCTATACAAAAGAAATCGGCGTCAGCAAAAAAATTCACTCGACAAATGATACGTCCAAACGCAGAAAAGGAAAAAAAAAAGGTCGCCCGCCGGACAGGTGCTTGGACCCAAGTTACATGTTCGTGCGAGCGGGGAATGAGGGAGGGTGAAACGGTGGAGGGTGAAACGAGGGAGCCAAGCGAGACGAGGAGAGTGGTACGGCTGGTTCAAATCGCCCATCGCCCGTCCATCCCCCAACTTCAACCCAATCCCCTCCAACCCAAAAGCCCAACCCCCCTCCCCCCTCAGTTCAACAAACCAAAAAAGAATCAAAAACTCACCCAACGGCCTCCCCCCATACATATAATGCTGAAACTTGGCAATCGCAGTCTCAGCCTCACTCGTCAACGCAAACTGTACAACACCACACCCCTTACTCCTCGCTCCATCAAACAAAATCTCGGCTACTTCGACTTGACCTGTCGTTTCGAAGAGTTCGACGAGGTCTTCGTTGGCCGTGGACCACGGGAGCTGTAGACAAGAGTCGTAAGTAAAGAGTCGATGGATGGGTAGGAAGTGGTTTCAAAGGGGAGGGTAGAATGCAGAGGAAGGGAGGGAAAGGGAAGGGGAGCGAGGGAGGAAAAAGGACGAAAGAGCAAAGAGAGGGACACTCACATTCCGAACCATAATCTGCTGACTAGGCTCCGGCGGCACATAATTAGGCCCAAACGGCGCATACCCCCCATACCCAGTCTCAAACTTCACATTCGAAGCCGCTCCAACACCCGTGACCGTATTACTTCCCCCTCCACCCCCTCCTCCACCCGAGGTATTAGCAGCGGAATCGGGACCAGAGTAGTCAGCGTAAATGTCCTGGTTAAAGTCACGTCCACCACCACCACCAGAGGGTCCACCTGAGAACCCGCCGCGTCCGAAACCACCGCGGAACCCGCCTCGCAGACCGCGTAGACCGCCTCGTGGGCCGCCGCGCAGTCCACCACGGAAACCGGGGCCTGTGAGACCTGCGTATCGGTCCTGCATGTATCGTCAGTGCGCCTACGCCTAACAAAACACGAAGGAGAATGGACGAACCTCGCGAACTTCGAGAATCCGGCCGTACCAATCGAAGCCATTATACATCGCTACAAAGTCGAGGGTCAGCATACAAATCCAACCTGGAGACGGTTGAGGGGAACGTACAGATAGCCTGCTGAGCATCCTTCACAGTCTCAAACACAACCGTTCCCGAACCCTTGGGTCGTCCATCCACCCCGATATTAATATCAGCGCGAACGATACTCCCAGCAGCCCTGAACAAATCTTTCAAATCTTGCCATCCAGCTTGATACGGGAGCTAAACGAATCGCCGAAGTAGGAGCGTCAGTATGGAGTTCGACTTCCGCATAGGAAGGAATAGACGCACATTCCCAACATAAAGCTGATTCCCAGGATTCCCACCACCAGGTCCACCGCTGAAATAGTTGTGCGAGGGAGGACGGGGAGGAGGCGCAGCGTGGAGACCTTGACCCGCCATCGCCATGCCGATCTTGCCTGGGACGGGCGTGGCGCCGAAACGGGCTTCGTTTTCGCGGTCCTGTCAAAAGGGCGTTAGCATCGAGTTGAAGGAGGTGTAGGGTCCGAGTCGGGTTGAAGGAGGGGTGGGGTTTAGCGCCGGGTCGAAGGGCGGGGCCGGGAATAGCATCGAGGCATGAAGCGGACGAAAGGAAGGAAACGGAACACACCTCTCGAATAAACACAGGCCTTCCCAAGAGCGGCTGCTCCGACAACTCCCTAATCGCACGCTGCGCATCTTCCTGCGAGGCAAACTCCACAATCCTGTCATCGTACTGCGTTAGTCACCAAATCATTTTTCATATTCCAACCCGCGGGACGCGAGCAACGTAACGCCTCGTTGAACGCAACGCCATGACAGGTGAAAGCGCTCCTCTAACAGAGCCGTCACGCCAAAAGCTCCCGGCGGACTGGAACAAAAACAAAAGAACAGACAGAAAGATGACTCACCCACAACCCTTGGAAATCCCAGTAGGCGTAACGAGCACTTCCGCAAAGAGCACCTCACCAGCTGCACAAAAAACATCCCATCAATAAACCGAACTCCTTCTCGTCAAAGCTTGACCGGCCAGGGTCAAGCAAGGGGGGTTAACGAGGCCAACGCAACAACACCAACACCAACAGAATGAAGACAACCGAACCGAACCAAACCGAACCAAGAACCTCCCCCGCTCTACTCCTCTTCTAACCTCCAATCCTTGACAAAGGATAAACCTCGCCAAAGTCGATCCCGGTCAGTGATCTTGGCGGATAACCCTCCAAAACTCCCCGACTCTCCTCAATCTCGACGGATAACTCCCCGGAAACCGGACCCGACAGCTCATCACAGCTCGATCCTCCCCTCTCTCCAAAAAACCAAACCCATAGGCTCGTTCGAGGTTTCGAAGAGACCTGTCGCGATGGCGATGAAGACGATGATGGTGATGACGAAGACGACTGACAACGCAACTGCCCGCCTGCCTGCCCACCTCATTCATCCGTAACCGCCAAACCTCTCCGATGACTCATCGTCACCTCTACGATAACAACCCTCCGCCAACTTCTCCGAAAACCACTGCTCCGAAACCAAAACCAGGTTCGACTCCCGAAAACCTCCAACTCCAGAATCGAAACCAACTCCAAAACCAAAACCGAAGAATGAAACAAAAAACCAAAACAAAAAATCCAAATTCCCCCACCCACCTCCCCGCATGAATTCAATCAAATCACGATACTTGACGTCGTAGCTGAGGTTGCCGACATAGACCCTATTCTCGCGTTTACTGATCTTGGCAAACTCCATCGCTTCTTCGTGTGTAGCGTTCATCGGGCCGCCGAGCGAGCGCGCAAAGGGGTCGCTGCTCAGCCCCCCGCCTCCGCCGCCGCCCATGGTGTTGGAGTCACGGTCGCGGGTAGAGTCCCGGTGGGAGCTGTACCGCCTGTCCCGCGAACGAGAGCGGGAACGGGAGCGGGGGGAGCGGGAGCGTGTGCGCGAACGGGAGCGTCGGCGGCGCCGGGGTGAGGCGGACCTGCGCCGGGAACGGGAGCGCGAGCGGCTGCGGGAGCGTTTGCGGCGCTGCGTGACATGGGCCGGGGGTTAGTGGTAGGTAGAGGGGAGGCAGGGGGAGGGGGGACGTACATCTCCGTTACGCGAGGGAGGCTCCCAGTGGTCCCCGCCGGGCCTCGGTCTTCGGGCTACCATCCATCGTCAGCACTCTCATCCAATCCAATCCTTCACCTATCCTCTGCCCGGCGAGAGGAGGTGAAGAAGGCCAAAACCACACACGCACCTAAATCCCTTCTATCCCTATCATAATCCCTATCCCTGTCTCTATCCCTATCTCGCCTATCTCGATCGTAGTCCCTATCCCTGTCTCGCTCCCTGTCCCTGTCGTACTCGCGTCCGCGCTCCCTGTCCCGGCCGTTGCTCGAGGGAGGCGGTACGATACCCTTGTCGATGTCCATTTTTTGCCTTGTGTGGTCTGTGTTCTGTCCCTTCTGTCTGTCGTAGTCGAGAAAAGAAAAGCGAGCGCCGGTTTGGTCGGTGTGGTTGGTTTTTTTGCGGACTGCGGGGCTAGAAAAAAAACGATAGAGCTACGCTAGGCGGTTTCGGTTTTTTAGTGTTCAGCGGTCCTTCTTCAGAGCGCCGAGCGAGTTTTCGTAGTCGCCGTTGGGGTCCAAGTCCAAGTCCAAGTCGGAAGTCGAAGTGGAAGCAGTAGGTTCAAGGAGAACAGTCACCAACACCAAAACGGATGATGAATGCATTTTCGCTGTGTGGGAAATTCCGGGCGGCCTTCTGCACAGCCATCCCTGAATCCCAGGAAACTGCCAAACAAGACCAAGCAATCTGCTGGCAACACGGCGAGGTCTGGTGAGAACGCGTGACGTCGAACATTTTCGACGGGGTTCCTTTTGGCTGAAATTTGTTTCGCTTCGTCACGTCACCAACTGCTCTTCACTTTCACCTTCACCTTCCACGGCTTTCAGATTTCTCGAGCAACCAACTAACGATGTCCGCCCTCCGAGCTCTCCGCCAAGTCGTTCGCGTCTCAGCACGCACCCGGTTCACCCCCGTCGCTACGCGCTACGCCGTCTCCAGACCTGTCTTCGCCAACCAGCTCTCCCGCGCCTTCTCAGTTTCCGCTGCTAAGTTCGGTAGTGGTGCCAGTGCGTGTCCTTTCCTGGCCGCAATACCAATGTCCATACCACGAGATACTGATTCGCTTTAATGACTTCATTTGACTTGTAACAGCCGACGTCGCACTCTCCCAGAAACTCGCTGAGGAGCTCCGTTACGAGCAGACGGAGAACGCGGAGGCTTCGTCGCCTGATTTCGTGCAGGAGTTTTTGCAGCAGGGTACTTGGACTGTGCGTACTCCTTGTCTCATTCTCTTGACGTGGATTCTAACGACGTGATGTGTCGTGTAGATCGAGGATACACCAGGCCAAGACGAGGTCGCTCTCGTCAGGAAATTCGGTGATGAGCAGTACGTTTCTTTCTATTCCATTCCATATCTTTACCCATGGCACCCCGGACCGAGACAGCCTTTCTCGCTGGGCCACCTAATCCTCCGTCGTTTCACTTACACGTCCTCTCTCGTCGTACTCTTTACCGACACTGACACCTAACCTACCCCAACAGCATCCGCCTCATCTTCTCCATCGCCGACATCCAAGCCGACCCTGAAGATTTCGAAGCCCACAACGAGATCGAGGGCGAGGACATCGACGATAGCGCCGCTTCTTATCCTCTCGTGCGTCCTACCCCTTGTCTCCTCTTACTTGACTCTTTTACTTACCCTGTCCCTTTCAACCCTTCCTACCTTACGCCTTCAACCTTACCTAACCCGCACCTTCACCCCTCGTTTCCCAACCCGTTCACCTCCATCAGCGCACCTCCCTAACAATCACAAAATCCAACGCCCCCGGCTCCCTCAACATCGACATGATCGCCCAAGAGGGCCACTTCATGGTCGAGAACGTGTCGTTCTACGATGACGCCAAGCTCGGGACTGAGCTTACCGCCGAGGCGGATTGGAAGAGGCGGGGGATGTATATTGGACCTCAGGTGAGCTCTCCTCCCCTCTTCTCTGTCATACTCCTCCCTTCTCTCCTTCCTTTCTCCCGTCTGCTTCCTTCCTCCCTCTCGCCCCCTTCCCTCGAACGAAAGCTAACCTCTCCTCCCCCTTCCCAGTTCAACACCCTCGACGCCCTCCTCCAAGAACAATTCGAAAAATTCCTCGACGAGCGCGGTATCAACGAGACCGTCGCGCACTTTATCCCCGAGTACGCAGAGTTCAAGGAGCAGAAGGAGTATGTCAAGTGGTTGGGCAAGGTTAAGAGTTTTGTTGATGCGTGAAGGGGTTTTGGTGATGCGTGAATGGCTTCGTTCCTGCGTACCACCTCAACCTCGGGAGAGGCTTCAAGTTGGCGTCGACCCTCGCTTGACGATGGTGAGGGCGGTGTTCCTACCATATATGATAAAAAAGTACGCATTAATTCGCTTCGTTCTCGAGACTTTAATCCTTGTTACATCCCCACCACTCCTACTTATAATGACACATGCACATGATTATTTTTTGCGCTCTTCGTCTTCTTACTTCACGGTGTCTGAGCTTGCGTGATTGCGTGGCTATCCAGGATGGTTGGCGTTTGAGTTGTTTCGATGGTTGGGGAGGAGTTGCGTCGATGGTTGGAGAGGAGTTGCTTCGATGGTTGGAGTTCGATGGTGGGTCCTTCCTTGACCTGGTTTGCATAATCTATAGTCCATCCCATTAGAAGCGGATGATGGGGTGACGACTTAGCGTGAGGTAGGGTCATTGACGATGGAAGGGAAGAGCTGGACCGATGGTGGAGAACGACTATCTTCTCCAAAAGAATCGAGGCTGGTTTACGAGACTAAGCTGGACTTCGTTATTTTTTCGTGTTGCAGCCTTGCTTTGACATGAACCCACACGAACGAAAATTAAGAGCGGCTGGGCTCTGAGCGGGTGCCAGTGGGAAGTTCTGCCACCCCGTTGAAACCTTGGCTTCGTCATGACCGCCTACAGTACAGTGTACGGTCGGCAGTCGTCCAAGTTTTGCACGCTACGCACCGCTGTCTGTGCTGAGATGTGTCGAAACATTGGAGGGTTCGATAAGATCCTTACTACCTAGTTGACGGTTGTGGAAAGAAGTAGAATAGAAGTTCGATTCTCGAATAAGTAAGTGGGAGAGAAATCTGTTTGCGTTCACATACCACCACCACACGGCTAGGGTGTCCGAGAAGGACATGGATAAAACTTTCGCGCGCGAGCACTGGGCGACCACAGCCACCGATCCCAGGCCCCTATTTCGCAGGCGGAGCACCTGGACAACACGAAATCGGTCAACGAACCAGCGTATATAGGCGAGTGGAGTCTAGTACATCCATGCATAATACTCTATAAACACCCTCATGAACAGTATATGTAGTACATAGTATGAAAGAATGATTCCGAATTTATCAGAAAGCGAAGGCCATTGATGCTTTCAATCTTCCTCAGAGGACTCGGACTCCCCATACTGGTTGAGGCCTGTAAGGCCAGAGTGGCCTTTATCCGATGGGACAGGGGAGGGTGAACGTTTGGGAGCTAAATCAACGTCAGGAACAGACATAGATTGCGCTTCCCAGTCACTGAGTTCTGCAGTGACTTCCTTCCAGATATCTGTAACATCAGTAAGTCCCAGTGCTTTACAGATGCTGTTACATCGGTGCTGGGAGACGAAATCCTCGAGACCAGACGTCCCCTGATCTCCAAGACCGTAGCTCTTCTCGACACTGAACCATCACCAGTTAAAATGACAGAAAGCGACTTTCCGGAGATGAAGTACTTACCTGTGGATCATTACATCGAAAAGAGTAAGGGCATGTGCAGCTGTTCTTCCTTGGCGAGACGACATTGGAAGGCTTGCGGAGTCAAAGCCTGCGTGGTGGTGAAGTTAGAAAGTAATAATTCTGCAATATGGGATGGAATGTACCTTGAATATCAACAAAAACAATAGAACCCTCCGAATCATGAAAGGAAAAGTGCGCTAGGGCGTCGCACGTCTGACCGACAAGGCTCTCGCTATTCGAGCCTGCTTGGGAAGTCCCAGAGAACTTCTGGACCTCAGCACCTTCGAAGAGCGGGTCCGCAAGCCACGCATGGTCCTCTCCCTCGACAGTTCGAAGCACATACGATTCTGGGACGCGAAGATCTAGCAGAATCGTCAATAAATGTAGAAATCAAACGAGAGCAAGGCTACTTACTGTATACCGAGACACGCTCCTGCTTCGAGATCGATAGAAACTTGACAATTGAGCGTCCAAGCATTTGGAGGCGCAAGAGTTCGTCCTTCAGGCATCGAAGGTTCTCTTCCGGGAGAACGCTGCTGGATCCGTCGTGAATATCGTAGAAATACTTGGCTGCAATCTTCTCCGTTCCAATGTAAGCCTAAGCTATGTAATTAGTAAAGGATATGCAGACATATGGTGATTGACAGACCTTGTGCGCTTTCTTAGTTACACCACTTGCAAATGGTGTTTTCTCGACGATGACCTTGAGCTTAACGTCTTCTTCTTCGACCCAGATAACGGAGGTTCCTTTCCCAAACTTCCATGCGCCCTTAATGACGGTGTACGAGGTGCCAGAGGGATTGACGACTCGTGTAACATAGGCGTCCTTTCCCGCAGGCAGAAGTCCTGTGGGAGACAATGGAAGTTAGTTTTCGAGATGCGACACTATACAGCTGGTCATATAAGTACTTACGTGGTTTCTTGCCGGAGCGCGATTCTATTTGAGTGCGGAGTGCAGTAGAGGCAACACTATTAGCACGCTTGGAGCGAGGAACGATCTGTGTCTAAACATAGTTGCAATGTTAAGTAATTAATACTTGCTAGTCAGAAGCAAATCATAAATGACACACCTTTGGCTCTACATCCTCAACATCCTCAATATGTGGCTCACGGCTGTCGTCATACTGAACATCAACGTGCCAGACCATCGCAGCAGCCTTATAATCGCCCGGCGGAACCAGAAATGAGTTAGTCGAGACAGCGTGCCAAAGATCACCAACTGTCCCTTTACACATCTCCGATTCAACGGTAGTCTTCGAGCGATGCCAAAGAATCTGGTACTCGGACCTGTGGTTTGCATTCAGCATCGTATTGAGGGAAAGTTGGAGAACAAAACTCACATGTCGTAGATACGGTATTCCCTCGGTTTGGCGATGTATGTGTTAACGACCAGATGGAACACGTCGTTAAATACCTCATCCATTGGGGTGTCCTCGGGGTAGCGACGCTGCCATGCGTGAAAAACAGGCCCGGAGCGGTACTTTCCTCCGTCGTAATCCGTCATCTTCTGGATCTGTATCGGTAAAGAAATTAAAAGCCGTGAAGCAATGCGCCACAATAGGCATGTAGATAGTATACTCACGGAGATGTTCAGAAGCTTGACTGGTTTAGAAACAACACCCAAGCTACCCTTTAACTTTGAACGAGCAACCTTGACTCCGGGTGCTGCACGGGCCATGGCATCTGCATATCCATTTCGCATTCGTGAAAGTGCTACTTCCGCCTTCGCCTTAGCATAGGCCTTGAGCAAGTTAGTGTCGTATACAAGTCAAAAGTGAAATTGAGGATCACTACTACCTCCGGATCAATGGCCTGAACATCTGATTCTGCCGATGAGCTTCTACCGCCAGGTAAGGTGTGCTTCCTGGGGTCGACGGGATTCGCAATGGCATTCTTCGCAAGCTGCTGAGCGCCATCGTCTGCAGATAAGGCATGAGGACAAAATGATGTGGAAACAGTAAGTAATTTCACATACCGCCAGTGTACTTCTCGCAATCGAAGCATATCTCGCCCTCGAGATGCTCGTAGACGCTACCGCATCTGCGGCATAGCCCCCAATCATCAATGCTATCACGAGCTGGACGGTTGGTGCAGCGCCCACAACGCATTCCTTCAGCAAGGAATTCAAAACGGAGTGAGCAACCAGAGCAGCGTGCCATGTTTGAGGATTGGTGAGAGAGAGAGAGATGTATAGAGCGATCTTTGAGAGTTTGAGTGCGCTAACGAGAGGCTCTGGCAAAAATTGTACCCTTTTATGTTGCCTCTCGCCTTGCAGAACGAGACTTCACACCTGGTTGGGCGCTTGATACGCGACTACCATAAACAGATACCTCCGATACTTTTCGGCTCCGGATCAACAAACACAAGCTTAAGGGCCTTCCCCCAAGAACATGCGGGAGCCTTGTGCTGTAGCCACTCTAGCCTCAGGGACAATAGTGGGCCAGTGGTCGGAAATCATATATGAATGGAATTTACTGCAATTTACAGATGGACCCTGCCACGAAGCCACCTCCGAAGTACCAAGAGCTCATGGAAAGCTCGTGTATGCTCCTGGAAAATGCCTCAAAGTTGAAAATTTGGGATTATTACGTATTTTTGAGGTGCTGCGGCACAATGAAAACAACCCCAAAGCAACGAGACAATTGCTTCTGCTCCTTGGTTCGAGTTCACCTGTAATTCAGGTAGAGAGCTTTGGGGAAATGGTAGGAATTTTGGGGAACTAGGCAGCAGGCCGCCCTCAGCATCGGAACTTAGTACAGTCCCGTCTGACCTGTACTGCGAAGGGATGGAAAATCACGAAGTTATATCACCAATGGCGACACTCATCTTTAAATATAAGGGGTGTAAAATAGCAAACCAGTCCAGCAACTTGAGTGCGTTCCTGCTCTACTTGTTCTGCTCTCAGAATGGCGAGGAGCACTCGCATTGGGACTAATAATCCCAACGGCGGGAACCAGTAGCGAGACCGTCCTATTCGTCAGTCCTACTTCGCAATATCGAGCAATTTTGCATGCGCTGACTGTCTTCTCCTCTTAGTCGAAGACATTCCTGACCTTCCTGATCGACTGCAGGTCTATGTCAACGAGGGTGTCCGTGTCAAGGACCTTCCACATGCTGTGAAGCGCGATCTTGGCGCATCCATCAGGTAAGCTTTGTGTTATCCTGCTTTCCCTCAGCCGTATGATCAGTACCACTCATATGTCACAAAGTCTCTCAAGCATTAAGAAGATTATGAACCGCTTTGATGTCAAGACCACGCGTCGTAGCGGCCTCACAGACCTCGAAAAAGGCCTTGCTATTCTTAGTGTTACTGAAGACGATCCACTCGGGCGATGGGGCTGCAGAACCGTGAAGGAGAAGCTGGCTTTGAAAGGTATCCATGTTGAACGGTGCGTGGACGCTTCATAGTTCTCGATCAGAATTCTTATATCTCATTACTTTATCTACTCAGTGACTTTGCAATGCGCTTCCGCAGGGCAGACAATGCAGAGGCATCAGCTGCTCAACATCCACGCACTCGTAAGCGCCATAACCATGGTCTTTGGTCATCTGGTCCGAACGAGGAGTGGTGCCTGGATGGACACGAGAAGATTCTTCATTCTATGGGCATCGCGGTATACGGAATCATTGACAAGTTCAGCCGCATGGAGCTTGCCCTCGTAGCCGTGCCAAATGCTCGAGATTCTGATGTTCCTGTGGCTGTTTACCTACGGACTGTGAAAAAATTTGGAGGTGCGTCGCCTTAGCAGATTCTCGGAATTGCTGACTCTGTTAACATATCATTTGGACAGGGATGCCGCTATCTTCGACAAGTGATAAAGGTACAGAGCTACGGAAACTAATTTCTTTGGTTGGGAACATGCGGTATGTCGGTTTCTCAGAGTTCTACTAAATCTCGATGTGCTCATGGAAGTCTCTAGCGCCAAGTACCAACCCCATATCACTGAGGCACAGGTTCCGTCTCATATTGCAGTATCTTCACCCGATAATATTACGCGAGAGCGGGGTTGGCGTCCCATTTGGAACAATGACCTCTCGAACATACTGTTCTTCTACCAGACTGGGAAGGAGGACAGCGGGTATGTCGATAATGATGATTTTCATATGTGAGTACTATTTTTCCCTGAATGGGATACCGGACGCTAATTATACATCCAGTTCACTCGCACGATGGATTTGGGCACGCATTGTTCAGGCTCGTTTGGACCAACTGCTTCTTGAACACCAGACTCACCGCATCCGTGGTCAGAGAAGGACCCTTCTGCCCACAGATGCCCGTCGGATTGACCTTTTCACTGATCCCGAGACTTACGGCGGTTACAACCAACTGATCCAGGTCCCTTCAGAGGACATTGATCGACTCTTGTCTGAGTATGACCGTCCCGATCTCTTCCAATTCGTCAGCGATGACATGGAGATTTTATTTACCGACCTTCATAAGTCAATTGGGAGTCCTATATTCACTGCTGCCACCGGTTGGGAAACATTCCGATGTATGTTAACAGCCTATATCGCTCGTGTACCCTAGAGATTTCCGATGAATATACTCCATGGATTTACAACGTCCATTTAGCTACTTCGCAATCCATTCTCGCTGGAAATGTTGGGCACGACCGCTGAGGTACTCTGATATGTACCACCGCGGGACGAATCATGATCTGGGCGCTTACTGGTCAATAATTCAATCAATACTGGCTCTCCGCACCTATGCTACGTTGGGCGTGCTTATGCGACAAGCTGGAAAGTCAAATTCAGGGCACCATATGGGTGTTCAAATTGAGGATGGTTTCCATGCCGGAGACCTGATGTTTCTATGTCCTTTCCTACTGTTCTAACCTTTTCCAATTCAAGTTACCCCGGGCTCTAGAATCTATCATATCGTCAATGTTTGGTAGACGAATCTTGTAAAAAGTTTGTGGCTGTATTTAGAGGAATGTGCAGAGCACGACGAGCGTTTGAACGACCGGAGGATGCCAGACATAGGGGCCTGGGATCGGTGGCTGTGGTCGCCCAGTGCTCGCGCGCGAAAGTTTTATCCATGTCCTTCTCGGACACCCTACACGGCCCGTAGCATAGCGCTAAGCTGTACTCTACCGTCTCGGACAAGTGATATCTCAGTGCTTATAGGCAGACGTTATGCAGATGAACAGTGAGCAAGAGCACATTACCCTTCGTCTGAGAGTTATTTAATCTATTTATATTATTCTGATGTTACGCCTGGATACTTACGCACAGAACAGTCCGTGGCATTCTACCTACTTCTATGTAGGAGCTTCGAGGGGAACTTTTCCGAAGCGCTCGTACTGTATCGCCGAGGGCGAAACCATCTGGGCTAAATAGGAACAAACATGATGTAACATCGTTCAGTGGGATCGAGCGGATGTTCGGACTCGTACAGTCGTGAAGTCGTTACTGAAATATAAGTTTTTTTGTAAACCTACGAGTGGGAGTAAGAGAAATACTTGAGTGATTAGCTAGAGTCTAGTACTAAGACGAGAGTGATTAGCTAGTACGAACCCGAAGATGAGAGGAACAAGTAGCCATACCTACGTCCATCCCATATATCATACATACTACAACAGTCTGAGGAGGGTGGTTCTTAGCGGAGGTTGGGGTCATTGAACGACGGAATGGAAGAGCTGCACTGTTCGTTAATTTCATTTCGCCGCCTTGCTTTTAAACTGAACCTAAACGAAAACCTACACGAACAACAATTAAGAACGGCCGAGTGCTGAGCGTTGGGCGTTGGGCGTAGATACTTACACACAAGAGAACAGACCATGGCATTCTACCTGCCTACTTCCAGGAGTCGAGGGGAAGCGCTCGTCTCCTAAACTGAACCTAAACGAAAACCTACACGAACAACAATTAAGAACGGCCGAGTGCTGAGCGTTGGGCGTAGGGCGTAGATACTTACACACAAGAGAACAGACCATGGCATTCTACCTGCCTACTTCCAGGAGTCGAGGGGAAGCGCTCGTCTCAAGGGCGAAACCATCTGGGCTAAATAGGAACAAATATCCTTGGGATCGAAGGTTACACCGGTTTCACGAGGCATAGGCTGCCAGACTCCGAGTCCTACTCTACGACGGTCGTTCAGTTTACATTGTTTCCATCACAATCCATTCCTTCACTGAACATTCTGATTCGCCATACTCGTAGGACCACGCTCCAAAGTGACTGGTAGATTCCAAAAGTTGATGTACAACGAAGCTCCATCGCCTTTTCAAATTTTCATCGCCGTAGACTCTAGTCTCTACTAGCCCCAAATCCTCGTCGCTCGTCATGACTCAATGAATCGCCCGGACTATAGCGGTACTTACATCTTCATCCTCAAGACCCAGGCTGGTTACCGGGCCAATTGGCAACAGCAAACGCCCGTCGCGCGTACGAAAGCATTGGAAGCAACGGGGTTGGGAAGCAAGGCAAAGCAAAGCTGATTCTACGATTCGGACACTCTGTCGCTGCCTGGTAGGTTATAGGTTATTATGACACAACCTGACCTGACTCGAGTCTCGAAGTGCTTCGCGTAGGAAGGCCTACCGTGACTGCAGTCTGTCTGAAGAGACCGCTGGAAGGCGCCAGGTAGTGTTGGTCAAGGGTATGAGATACCCGCAGGGTATCGGGGAACGGGTAGGCGCGGGTACGGGTATGGGTAGGGTTGTGGTCACCCACGAACAAACCCATACCCGCGCTCGCGGGTTGCGGGTACCTTCCATATCGGGAAGCTCCATCAAAACCCTCCGGCGGGGCGAAAAAATCGAGATAAAACTCGATTCTTTACAGCTCGGGGGCCATACCCTCACGGAAAACCCTGGGGTATGGGGTACCTACCCGTACCCTCCATCCTCCATATACCCGTGAGAAACCCGTACCCGCCATTGAGGGTACGGGTTTTTTGCGGGTACGGGTATGGGTAGGCCCCGGAATACCCCCGGGTTACCCGTGACTAGCACTAGCGCCAGGCGAATGCGTGACCTACATACGAGGGGAGGGTGGCTGGGGATGAGCAGACTGGAGCGTAGGCTCGATGCACCGTACGTACCCACTCTTCTCTTATCCAAATAAATAGGGACTCTCCTAACAAACGAGGGTGTAGGAAGTCTGTGAAGCTGGAAAGGCGTTCTTGGTGCTGTTCACAGTATTCACTGATAAGTCTCAGTTTCGCGCCAGGCCACGAATTCGAGAAACTGTTGTAGAAAGCTAAGCGTCGTTTGAAGATAAGGTGGATTCCTTTTCTAGAGACATACATAGATACCCATACACTCGTATAGCAAGGATAGCTTTGAATTCATTTCGCGCTGCGCTATCATTCCAAGACCGATCATTCTGTACTATATGCATCTACTTGAACACTCCAATTCAGGTAATACTTCAACTCAGACACCAGTTTATTTCGACCCAACCCTGGCCCTCTTCGCCCCCCTCTTCCTATCTTCATTGTCCCCATTCTCATCGGCGTTACCGCGATCGTCATCGGCTCCCTCCAGAGCCTTACGCTTCTTCGAATTATTCGAGTTGCCGGCTTTCTTCTCCGAAGCAGCAGTGGCTGTCTCTTTGTTGGTGACAGTCTTCGACTTAGTCTTCTTCGTGGCATCACCGGCTTTCTCCTTCGTAGCATCGCCGGCTTTCTTCTTGGCGGCATCACTGGCTTTCTTCGTCGTAGCATCGCCAGCTTTCTTCTTGCTGGTCGAGCCTTTCTGCTTGGTGGCGAAACCTTTCTTCTTCGTGGCAGGCTTCTTCGCCTTGCTCTCCTCGGCATCGATTTTAACCTTCTGCATTTCCTGCACAGTAAGAGGAACAAACTCGTATACCCGACTCCCCAACTCCTTCGCCACGCTCCTCGCCCTATCCCACACCAGACTGTCAACCATAAGCAGCTCCTCTCCCCACTGCTCCCTACTCTCCTCCACAGCGCCCCAAAACGCCTTCCAATGCTTACTACCGACCACATCCGCGTACGCTGCCACCTGCCTCCTCAAACCCCCCTCATTACGCCTATATGTCGCCTTCCACAACGCCCACGCCAACTTGTCAAGCGCCACAATGAACCCCTCAAGAGTAGACGCAACCGGAACCCCGTTGTACGGGGAGACACATACACCCTATTCTTCGCACGGATATTATAAATCCTTATCCCCTCATCCCACAACGATCTCCTCCAGGACACGGTATCGGGGTTGGCGAGGCGGAGGAATATGTTTTCCTTGGTGTCGGGCCGATCGGCGACGCGGTAGGTCGTCTCCCACATCAAGACCCACCAGATCGACTCGAATTCGTGTTGGTAGGTCTGCAACACTGGCCCGGAGAGATCGAGCTTCTCTCGGGCTTCCTCAAATCGTCGGAGGTATTCCTCGCAGGGCACATCGTCGTCGATGGTAATAGGCGGAGATATGTGTTGCTGCTGCTGGACCTCGCATGCGATAAAGCCTGGTGTACCCTGTAGTAGCCGAGAAGCGTCAGTATCTCGTGTTGGAATGATAGGAACGTCAAAGTAAAAAAGAACAAGAAACGCACAATGATAATTTCGTCCTTGGGAGGTATCTCCGCCGCAGGGAACTTCGTGGCAAACTTGAGGTCAGAGAGTCTGACCGACCAGGGCGCATCATCGGAAGGGCGGTATGCAAGAATATTGTCGGGGTTGATGTCATGATGAACCCATCCCGCGCAGAACATAAGACGAAGTGCTAAAAACGTGAGTCAATACAACTGTTGGTAATGGGTAACAGAATTGGGCACACTTACGAATAAGCACTTGCTTGATCACGTCGATAGCGACACCCAAAGTCGGAATGTTAGGGAGCGCAGTGCACACCACATCATAAACATATCTGCACTGTCTCCCAAGCGGATACGGAGTACGACGGGGACAAGTGGCCTCCATGTAGTCATAATCCCTCTTGAAGGCCTCCTCGGGAAGTTTGCTGGCCACGCTTTCGCCAATATGATGCACGATAATACAAGAGAAAAACTCTTCCACCTATCGCCCTCCAACGCGTCACCCAAAGCGTCCATATCTCGTCATCATCGAGCGCCTTGAGGAGCGGATGCTGTCGCCAATTCTTGTCGCGACCAAAGGCACCAATGTCTCGGAAGACCTCGCCCTGGACAACATCCTCAGTTCTTTTCTCTGCATCGCTGTATACGTCTTTCAGAGCCATATCGGAAGTCCCGGGGACGCGTGTCAAGTCAGCTTTCGAAACAACCTGGTCAACCTTCCAAACACGGCATCTGTAGACTTGGTATGGGCTTGAGAGGAGGCCGAGGGTCCTCATCACTAAAAAACCTTGTTGGAGATATTTGAGCGGTGGCCAGGCGATGTCCCTAGCCGCCCAATGTCCTGGTCACCGCACGCGAGCGCACACAACCGCGGCGGCGCTGGTGCGAGAGTCACCAGATGCTTTGTCTCCAAAGCGTCGCCGCGGCTTGTGAGATCTCACGCGCGCGCGCGGTCTCCGTGCGATCTCACAAGCACACCTGTACCAAGATACAGTCGGGGCCTAGGACTGCATATTTTGAGCCTTTTCTTGATTTTGTGTAAAGAGAATACAAATGCCATATATTTCACCCCTGGGCACACACTTTGAACTGCAAATCGGTCACGTGAACGCTAGTAGCGAATATCTTTGTGTGGCAGGAATATGGCTACGAGCGTAAGTGTCCATAGGCAGTTACACCTACGTCCCAAAGCAGTAAGCCTCGGTAGGGGCAGTCCCATATGCGAACTGCGTAGGAGGTTGGACGGACCTGCGACTAACTGCACGAAACAGCCTTGGGTGGAGGGTGATGACGTACAGCAGTACCTATATGTTATTTTTGTTTTATGTAGCTCTCCGCCCTCGTCTATGTCGCCGTTGTTACGCCCGAGGGTCGTCTGACCCTTCAAAAATCGCGAATAACACACCGCCGGACTAATTTCGTCTGGTAAAAACGTACATCTCGATAAGTGACTGAAAAGCCCTAAGGCACTGTGTTTTTCATAACCGGCGGTCACTTATTCTGTCGTATGAGTTGAGACCGAGCCCAGAGTCGTCAACTAAGTCGAGCTCTAAGAACGACTCCGAAAGAGGTTGAATGTAACGCATCGTTGATACTGTATTAATTGACGGGGTTAAGGATGTGTACTGGACCGATTAGAAGATCGAACTACGGGAAGTGAGAATTTTGCACGAAGTCCTCACCGCCGGGAGCAAGACTATCCATGGGAGTGCACGATCGACTTCAAATCGACTAGAAAGTTAGTAGCCACTTAGCAAGAACGATGACACTTAGCGCCAGCGCCTGTCAGTACCCTAAGAGGGAAACGCCCATAAGCGCCGCCGGACGGTCGGCATCAGCCATCAGTCGCGGAAAGCTAAGGGGACCTCTACGGATTAGGCACGAGATCGATAAGATAGAAGCCGAGATAAGATAACCAGAACAACGGGACCAGGAACGGATCACACGAGATGTTCTATTCCGTTGGACAGGTGCCCTCTCCAGGACAGATGAAACGGGGTACTAACAGTCCCATGACCTGTCAACTGAAAAGAAGTAGTACAGAGAGAAGGGACAGAACGATGAGTCCATACGCCGCCCGCCGGCGGTGTTTACAAAAAGGGTATACCATCTGTTTCCGCGGAAGCATCTTCACGGAGTAACAATGGAGTTTCCCACCACACATTGGTTCCGTCCCGACGGGACGGAACTACCAAAATTCACGCGCTTCAACAGCGCATCAATAGACGCCTATGGGCATACTCGGCACGACACCGCCGGGGCTTCTTTTGTCGCGTTTCCTTCCTATTTTGTATTTCTGATTCTCTCGTACCTCCGCTCCGTCTCTCTACTCTTATCGTTTGTATCCTGTGCACGAATTCGGCTTGTTTTATAGTCTTTGCTAGTCTTTATTTCGCAGCTCGTAGTCAAACAAGTTGTACTATATATATAGGCCCGCCGGGCAAAAGAATCAATAGATACCCCTTTGACTCGATTATATATCTTGTCCTGATCGACACAAGTCGTTCAGTAAAATAAAGAGGAAGTCTCCGAGCGTCGAGTGAACAAGTTAGCGAGTCAGAGTCGAGTTAGAATTTGCGCGTGAATACACGAGGTCCGGGGTTTTTAAAAACGAGTCAACGAGTGATCCCGCCGGGACGAGTTTACGTATTTTTCGAGTTCAAATTCGAGTTTCGAGTCTAAGTCGTGTTTAAATCGAGTCACGAGTCGCACTTAGTGTTTCCCTTGTGTGTAGAGCACAACAAAAATACCAAACACCATCCGTATAAAGTCAAGAGCCTTTTCAAAGCTCTAAAGCCCTAAAAACCGTTCTATACGAGTCAGAGAGTCTTCTCCTCGTTAACTTAGTCTACTAAAAACAACAACCCCATCGAACTTGCGTGCCAACGTACAGACAGTACCTAAAAGTCTTTAGATTCGGCCGTCGGTCTTCATCTTCGTGTCACTTGTCTCACAACAAGTTCCACTCGATTCGAGGACCGCCGGTTGTCTTCTTGCTCTTCTTTGTGCTTTCTGTGCTAGTCAGCGCATCATTTGGAGCCCACCGCGAGGGGTTGTCCAATTTCCAAGTTTAAGTAGACGAAGTTTTGCGAAAGCAGGACTTAAAACAAGTGTAGCACGATCTTTCGGCTGCGTCAGATCTTGAGTTCGGACTTAGGTCTTTGAGCTCGATCCAACGTCTGCCGGGAAACCAAAAAGCCTACGAGATTTCCACTCTCAAGAAAAGAAATCCTAAGGCACCAAAATCATCTGTTGAAGCGCGAGTAAATCCGCTCACAGGAAAAGCGTTTGAAGAAAGAACTACGAGAAGACAGCGTCAAGGACAACCTCTGGAATACCAGGAACTAGAGTCGGATAGAGCGCTAAAACGTCAAATTAAGGAGGCTAAAGCAAAAACTACCTCTGGAGAGGACGAAGAAGCCGCAGTTGAAGATCTAGTTGATCCCGGCGCAGAGACAGAGTCAGAAGAGGAATCAGTTCCTCCAACTTTCCAATTAGGAGCTAGTCAGGGACCAAGTTTCCCCGGCGGCTTTGAATTACCAAAAGCAGAAAGCGTTTCGTACCGTCGGTTAGACAAACTCAAAACCGACGTCGCAGAATTAGGGTTTCCATCTTCGCTAGGAACCCCCAACGAGCCACTTTACTTCGAGAAACATCCGTTTAGAAGTAGTTACCGCGTCACAGAGTCTTCTGCCACTGAAGGCGATTTCTCGGACTTATCCTTAGAAGACTTAGGAAAGTCAGTTCAATCCCCAGCAGTTCCGAAACCTTATAGTCCGCTAGAAGCTTCGTTAAGCCAGCGAGAAGAAGGTAAGGAACTTAGTCCAGTAAAAGAAGAGAACGAGGTAGAACTTCCCGCCAGAAGCGACGAAGTAGAAGGTAGCCTTAGATCTCACAAAAGAGACAAAGGAAAGCAACGCGCGACTTCAGAGGATAGAAGTTCGACTTCAGAGCCCACTACAAATACACCCAGCGAACCTACTACAGGGGAAAGTTTTGTGGATTTTGGAAACAAGAGCGAAGAGGATATCGAACGACTCCCTGAACGCAGAACAAGAAGAAGAAAAAGGACGAAGAAAACGAGCGTCTTAAGAGAAACGCCAAAAGAAAAGGAACAAAGTCAACGTTTCCACAACCGCCGGTAAATCAAACGGCTACTTCTGTTCAACGAGAACAAAAACCTTCAGTTTCGGACTTTGAGACTCCTACCCACGAAAAAGCACCCTTAATCTCTCCGGCGTTACGAATCCACCACACAGATGGAATACGAGATTTCTATGGATCCCAGGATCTGTAGACTTGTATGGGCTTGAGAGGAGGCCGAGGGTCCTCATCACTAAAAAACCTTGTTGGAGATATTTGAGCGGTGGCCAGGCGATGTCCCTAGCCGCCCAATGTCCTGGTCACCGCACGCGAGCGCACACAACCGCGGCGGCGCTGGTGCGAGAGTCACCAGATGCTTTGTCTCCAAAGCGTCGCCGCGGCTTGTGAGATCTCACGCGCGCGCGCGGTCTCCGTGCGATCTCACAAGCACACCTGTACCAAGATACAGTCGGGGCCTAGGACTGCATATTTTGAGCCTTTTCTTGATTTTGTGTAAAGAGAATACAAATGCCATATATTTCACCCCTGGGCACACACTTTGAACTGCAAATCGGTCACGTGAACGCTAGTAGCGAATATCTTTGTGTGGCAGGAATATGGCTACGAGCGTAAGTGTCCATAGGCAGTTACACCTACGTCCCAAAGCAGTAAGCCTCGGTAGGGGCAGTCCCATATGCGAACTGCGTAGGAGGTTGGACGGACCTGCGACTAACTGCACGAAACAGCCTTGGGTGGAGGGTGATGACGTACAGCAGTACCTATATGTTATTTTTGTTTTATGTAGCTCTCCGCCCTCGTCTATGTCGCCGTTGTTACGCCCGAGGGTCGTCTGACCCTTCAAAAATCGCGAATAACACACCGCCGGACTAATTTCGTCTGGTAAAAACGTACATCTCGATAAGTGACTGAAAAGCCCTAAGGCACTGTGTTTTTCATAACCCGGCGGTCACTTATTCTGTCGTATGAGTTGAGACCGAGCCCAGAGTCGTCAACTAAGTCGAGCTCTAAGAACGACTCCGAAAGAGGTTGAATGTAACGCATCGTTGATACTGTATTAATTGACGGGGTTAAGGATGTGTACTGGACCGATTGAAAGATCGAACTACGGAAGTGAGAATTTTGCACGAAGTCCTCACGCGCCGGGAGCAAGACTATCCATGGGAGTGCACGATCGACTTCAAATCGACTAGAAAGTTAGTAGCCACTTAGCAAGAACGATGACACTTAGCGCCAGCGCCTGTCAGTACCCTAAGAGGAAACGCCCATAAGCGCCGCCGGACGGTCGGCATCAGCCATCAGTCGCGGAAAGCTAAGGGGACCTCTACGGATTAGGCACGAGATCGATAAGATAGAAGCCGAGATAAGATAACCAGAACAACGGGACCAGGAACGGATCACACGAGATGTTCTATTCCGTTGGACAGGTGCCCTCTCCAGGACAGATGAAACGGGGTACTAACAGTCCCCATGACCTGTCAACTGAAAAGAAGTAGTACAGAGAGAAGGGACAGAACGATGAGTCCATACGCCGCCCGCCGGCGGTGTTTACAAAAAGGGTATACCATCTGTTTCCGCGGAAGCATCTTCACGGAGTAACAATGGAGTTTCCCACCACACATTGGTTCCGTCCGACGGGACGGAACTACCAAAATTCACGCGCTTCAACAGCGCATCAATAGACGCCTATGGGCATACTCGGCACGACACCGCCGGGGCTTCTTTTGTCGCGTTTCCTTCCTATTTTGTATTTCTGATTCTCTCGTACCTCCGCTCCGTCTCTCTACTCTTATCGTTTGTATCCTGTGCACGAATTCGGCTTGTTTTATAGTCTTTGCTAGTCTTTATTTCGCAGCTCGTAGTCAAACAAGTTGTACTATATATATAGGCCCGCCGGGCAAAAGAATCAATAGATACCCCTTTGACTCGATTATATATCTTGTCCTGATCGACACAAGTCGTTCAGTAAAATAAAGAGGAAGTCTCCGAGCGTCGAGTGAACAAGTTAGCGAGTCAGAGTCGAGTTAGAATTTGCGCGTGAATACACGAGTCCGGGTTTTTAAAAACGAGGTCAACGAGCTGATCCCGCCGGGACGAGTTTACGTATTTTTCGAGTTCAAATTCGAGTTTCGAGTCTAAGTCGTGTTTAAATCGAGTCACGAGTCGCACTTAGTGTTTCCCTTGTGTGTAGAGCACAACAAAAATACCAAACACCATCCGTATAAAGTCAAGAGCCTTTTCAAAGCTCTAAAGCCCTAAAAACCGTTCTATACGAGTCAGAGAGTCTTCTCCTCGTTAACTTAGTCTACTAAAAACAACAACCCCATCGAACTTGCGTGCCAACGTACAGACAGTACCTAAAAGTCTTTAGATTCGGCCGTCGGTCTTCATCTTCGTGTCACTTGTCTCACAACAAGTTCCACTCGATTCGGGACCGCCGGTTGTCTTCTTGCTCTTCTTTGTGCTTTCTGTGCTAGTCAGCGCATCATTTGGAGCCCACCGCGAGGGGTTGTCCAAATTTCCAAGTTTAAGTAGACGAAGTTTTGCGAAAGCAGGACTTAAAACAAGTGTAGCACGATCTTTCGGCTGCGTCAGATCTTGAGTTTCGGACTTAGGTCTTTGAGCTCGATCCAACGTCTGCCGGGAAACCAAAAAGCCTACGAGATTTCCACTCTCAAGAAAAGAAATCCTAAGGCACCAAAATCATCTGTTGAAGCGCGAGTAAATCCGCTCACAGGAAAAGCGTTTGAAGAAAGAACTACGAGAAGACAGCGTCAAGGACAACCTCTGGAATACCAGGAACTAGAGTCGGATAGAGCGCTAAAACGTCAAATTAAGGAGGCTAAAGCAAAAACTACCTCTGGAGAGGACGAAGAAGCCGCAGTTGAAGATCTAGTTGATCCCGGCGCAGAGACAGAGTCAGAAGAGGAATCAGTTTCCTCCAACTTTCCAAATTAGGAGCTAGTCAGGGACCAAGTTTCCCCGGCGGCTTTGAATTACCAAAAGCAGAAAGCGTTTCGTACCGTCGGTTAGACAAACTCAAAACCGACGTCGCAGAATTAGGGTTTCCATCTTCGCTAGGAACCCCCAACGAGCCACTTTACTTCGAGAAACATCCGTTTAGAAGTAGTTACCGCGTCACAGAGTCTTCTGCCACTGAAGGCGATTTCTCGGACTTATCCTTAGAAGACTTAGGAAAGTCAGTTCAATCCCCAGCAGTTCCGAAACCTTATAGTCCGCTAGAAGCTTCGTTAAGCCAGCGAGAAGAAGGTAAGGAACTTAGTCCAGTAAAAGAAGAGAACGAGGTAGAACTTCCCGCCAGAAGCGACGAAGTAGAAGGTAGCCTTAGATCTCACAAAAGAGACAAAGGAAAGCAACGCGCGACTTCAGAGGATAGAAGTTCGACTTCAGAGCCCACTACAAATACACCCAGCGAACCTACTACAGGGGAAAGTTTTGTGGATTTTGGAAACAAGAGCGAAGAGGATATCGAACGACTCCCTGAACGCAGAACAAGAAGAAGAAAAAGGACGAAGAAAACGAGCGTCTTAAGAGAAACGCCAAAAGAAAAGGAACAAGTTAACGTTCCACAACCGCCGGTAAATCAAACGGCTACTTCTGTTCAACGAGAACAAAAACCTTCAGTTTCGAACTTTGAGACTCCTACCCACGAAAAAGCACCCTTAATCTCTCCGTCGTTACAAAACCACAACAAGATGGAATACGAGATTTCTATGGATCCCAGGGGTTGATCACTTAACAACCCAACAGTTGTACAAGAACCCTAGGGTTCCTCAATTGTGGAAAGGCGAGCCCACCTTAGGTGTTGGAAGGATGACACCGGCGGCAGAAGTATGGGCTTACATAGAGCGGATGGAGACGATGTTTGAGCAAGCGAGCGTAGTACTGGACAGGCACAAAAAGAAGGCGTTGGTCGACTTCGTAAAGAAAGTCGATTTAAAGGATCAGTGGTCCCGGCTGACCCAGTATAGAGACGGGACATATGCACAATTTAAGGCAGAAATTCTGTCTTACTATCCGGGCATCAAGGAACTCCAAGAGGGAAGCCTTGATAAGTTGGAGAAAATCTTCAACAGGTATGTTAGGATTAAGATGCATGAGGAACAGAAGTTGATGGACCTAATTGCGAAGGTCAGGACAGAGGTCTCAAAAATTCGAGAGACCGAAAGGAAGAGGAAAATCCAACTCCTTTCAGAAAAGGACGTTAGTCCAGGATTTCCTGGCGTGTTTGGATCGTAACTTTAGAATGGCGGTTCAAGTACGGCTCTCAACAGCCGATCAGCGAAGGATCCTGGCAGAGTTGAAGAGAGAGAGCAGAGCCAATGCCAGAACATTGGACAAGAGGCTGAAGAGGATGGAAGCACCAAAGGGCCCAAAGGTGGAACCTGAAGAAGGCAAAGAAGGAGGACCCTCTACGGCCCCAGAAGGAGATCTTGGGACAGAAGTCAATCCTATCCAAGTTGAAGACGATGGGGACGACGACTTCGATGGCGAGCTCTACGACTCCTCAGGTTTGGAACGGGTTATGCCCATTGTTACTAAGTACACGCTAGATGATCTGCTGTACGTAGCACAAGTGGTAGCCCGGGAACACTCCAATAGTTCGGTCTTTGCGCTTCACGACGGATCTAAGTGACACTGGTACAGCAGACCAGGACGTCATTAATACCGCCGTGGCAGAAACGTTGAAGAGATTGGGTATTAAGCCCAAGAGAGAAGAGCAGCATGTGCAGGAGGTTGGACCCCATAGAGGGAGTCAAAACATGCCGCCGGGGATGTACCAGTGGTCAGGACCTTCTAAGTCGGACAACGATGGGTTTAAACTCATCTTGGAAAGACTGGATCAACAAGAGGCCAAATGGAAGGATACCCTCACGGGTCTCAAGAAAGAGCAAAAAGAACAACTGACGGAGTTTGAGACGAGAATGGAGGCCAAAATCGACAAGAGGTTGACCGACCATTCTCAGCGATTCAACTCGCACAACTCGTCAGGAGGAAACCCCATTGGTCAATCCTACGTTCCGCCGGGAAGAAGGAACTACTCGAACTCGGGTTCCTCAGGCGGAGGATACGTCGACTTTTCGCGTCGACCAGGTCAACAGGGCTACAGCCAAGGCGTGTGGCGAAACGGTGACGCTGGTGGTGGAGAGCGACGAGGAGTGACTTGCTGGTTCTGTGGTGAGCCAGCTCATGCAGTTATGGGCTGCAAAATTAGAAGGGTGATGTTGGATACGGGTCGTATTCGTCATGAAGGTGGCGATTATCGTATCCTCGAAAGTAATAGAATTATTACGCCCTTCAGAAATGGGGAAGAATTTACTCTCGACCTCATTAGAAAGAGTATGGAGAGTAGCGGCCATACGTTGGACCTCGACGCGATTAAGCGCGAGGCCCAGTACGTACAAGAGGAGCCGCCGGAGCATAGGTGGAGGGATCCGTTGACGGGTCAACCAACGCAAGAGCAGTTGGTACATGACCTTAAGGAACGGGTTAGTCAATTGGAAACGGAGAAGGCGCAGAGTTTAGGGTCGGCGCCTAACGACACGTCCGCGGAAGCGTCTGTGGCTGCTGACGAAAAGCAGCGATGTGGAACGCCTCCCCAGTGTCTACCAAAATCGCGTCGACCAGAGGGTAGTTCATGACGACGAGGAAAGCAGCAGCTGCTGCTTCTTCCAACCGGCAGGAAGTAGCAAGACTGAGCTAGAGAAGTCTAAGAAAACCGCCGGCGTAGAGAAAGAAAACACCAATAAAAAGGAGCGTGTCGAAGAAAAAGAAAGTGAGAGTGAAGAAGAAGAGGTGGACGAGTTACAACGAGGAGAGAAGAGGAACCGTTGAGGTTTGTCGCTAGGTTAAGAGAGTTGGACCTCCTAAGAAAAAGAAGAAAGTAACATGGTCAGATTCTCAACCAACGGCGAAGCTTACACCGTCCGGAACTCTACCTTATGTAGACGTCCCTCCTCTCTCAACTAAACCTTTAGGTGCATTCAAGCCTAAAGTGAACAAGGAAGAGGAGAAATCTTTTGAGAAAGAACGAGAAGTGGAAGAGAAAGGCGAACCTCTACCGGAAATCGACCGGCGGGGACCAGCCTATAACAAACGAGCACCTGTAGAACAAAATGGTGCGGCAAAAGCGATCGTCAACGAATTGCTTGAAGTCACCGTACCGGTGAACATCAAGTCGCTTATGGGGGTTTCGCCAGAGGCAAGGGAATACCTCAAGAACCTCCTGACTCGGAAGCGAGTACCGACTAGAGAAGTCCCTATCCCTAGAGAGACTGAGGTGTTTAAGCGTTTCTTTGACGATCCGCACGAAGTTAAGCGTCTACACGTTGGCTTACAATGGGTAGAAAATAGTGAGGAAGCAATGGCAAAAGCCGAAGCAGCGGTTGAACAAAGAGCCCTAGCCGAAAAGCGAGACAGAGACTATAAAGAAGCCCTCAACTTTGCGACCGGCGGTTCGAACTGTTGCAGAAAAAGGAGATGAGAAACCATTGGGGAGTATCACTATCTCTGACCCGGTGGAACAATATATGATTGAACTGGGTACTGAAGCTAAGCCCAGTTATAGTGAAAGCTGAAAGAGTCGTCTTCGTTGAGGGGTCATCTACCCTGAAATCAATGGAGCCATGAAGGAAGAGTCCTTATTAGACGGCGGTTCGACAATCTGTTCGATGCATGAACAAGCCGCAAAAGACCACGGCCTTACTTGGGATCCGGCGGTGACGGTATGGATGTCCTCAGCGGACAAAGGATTGAAGAAGTCCTTAGGTTTAGCAAGAGACGTGCCCTTTGTCTTTGGAGAAGTAAGAGTGTACCTCCAAATACATGTACTTCCAGACGTGGGTTATAGGATCTTGCTTGGGAAGACCGTTCGAGATGATAGCGGAAACGCTAACAAAGAACAATCGAGATGGGTCACAAACGATTACCCTGACCGATCCTCAGAACGGCAAAGTGGTGAGGTTGAACACTTATCCTAGAGGAGAAACTCCTCCAGAGTTAAAGGCAGAGTTGGACACCAACCGGCGGTCTTTTCAGAACTCGATGAATCATCAATAGATGTAGGAGAGCTTGCAGTCGTCTTTGAACAGACAGCTTCTGGAGAGATTAAAGTCGAAAAGGTGTTCCAGTCCGGCCATAAAAGTGGAAAGTTCAGCCAAGAAGACGTGAAGTTAATGTTTATTCAAGAAGCATTAACTAGGGAGGTGGAAAACAAGAAAGCCGCTAAAAAGGTCGAAGCTTTCTTGCAACAAGTCAGGACAGGCAAAAGAGACAAATCCGTCGGTGAAGTCATGATGTTAGATACTGTGATAAAACACTTCGAACAAATTTATCAACAGTTAAAAGAGGATATCATCGAGGATTCTGTTAAGACTTCGTCAACAACCTCCAGCGAGAACAAAGACGAAGTAGTAGCAGGGAACCCTAACGTTTAAACCAAAAATTAAAGGTGTCTCTACAGGAAAGAAGTATAAGAAAGTGGCAGATAAAGTAAGACCCATCTTGGGGACTCTAGCAGAGGAGTTTAGAATTGTTCGGAAGATTATAGGGAACCCACTGGCTGAATTGCCTAAGTTACCTACAAATCCGCCGGAATTCACACCCCAAGGAAGATACACCACAGAGAGAAAGGAAGCCATGGATAAGGTCCACGGCGGTGATTTCATTTGGCCAGAAGAGCGGAAACTATTACACTGGTTAATAGGTGTACACAACATAGCTTTCGCTTGGGAAGATGCGGAAAAAGGGAGATTCAGACAAGAGTTTTTCCCTGATGTCCCTATCCCAACGGTACCACACACACCGTGGGTATTGAGGAATAGACCAATCCCACCTGGGCTTATGGATAAAGTATGTAAGATTATCAAGGAGAAGATAGATTCAGGCGTGTATGAGCCTTCGAACTCGAGTTATAGCTCGAGGTGGTTCTGCGTACTTAAGAAAGATGGTGAAAGTCTGAGAATTGTACATAGTCTAGAGCCTCTTAACGCAGTTACGATTGCGCACTCAGGCATCCCGCCGGCAACAGAAGAATTGGCAAATCACTTCGCCGGTAGAGCTTGTGGAGGTTGCATGGACTTGTTCGTAGGTTACGATGAGAGACGATTGGACGAAAAGTACAGAGACCTTACCACGTTCCAAACACCTTATGGAGCGATGCGCTTGGTTACCCTACCAATGGGATGGACCAACTCGGTACCAATCTTCCATGACGATGTAACTCATATCTTACAAGACGAGATTCCTGCAGTCACGAAGCCGTATATTGACGATGTTCCTACGCGAGGACCAGCAACGAGGTACGAAGACGGAAAAGGAGGGTATGAAACCATTCCTGAAAATCCTGGTATCCGGCGGTTCGTATGGGAATATCTAAATGACGTAAACAGAGTGATGCAGCGTATGAAGTATTGTGGAGGGACATTTTCAGGGAAAGAAGTCGATCATTTTGGCAGACGAGTTTACAGTAGTAGGACACCTTTGTACTTCACGAAGGAAGGAAAGTTAATCCCGAACGCGCAGATGCAATCCTTAAGTGGGGAGCATGTAAAGACGTTTCAGATGTACGATCTTTCCTAGGAGTACTAGGAACTTTGCGAATGTTCATCAAGGATTATGCCCGCCGGGCAGAGCCTATCCAAGAACTAACGCGTAAAGAAGTACCATTTAGATGGGGACCAGAACAGGCGGCAGCAATGGCAGATTTACAGGAAGCCATTCGAGTTGCACCAGTATTGAAGGCTATAGACTACGACAGGAATGTGCCCTTAAAATTATCAGTAGATACGTCGTACAAAGCCATAGGATGGGTGGTATCCGTCCAGGATGACGATGACCCTGATAAGTGGCACTATGCTAGATTCGGGTCTACAACGCTAAGTGAGAGAGAAGCAAGGTATGGTCAAGCGAAGAGGGAACTCTTTGGCCTGATGCGAGCCTTAGAAGAGAATAGGTATTGGTTACTTGGGTGTAGAGAATTGATTGTCGAAACGGACGCTAAGTACATTAAAGGCATGTTACAAAATGCTGGAAATGGACCAAATGCGACTATAAATCGATGGATCGAATCCATACTCATGTACCATTTCACCTTGGAACATGTAGCTGGAAGTAAGTTTGCGATACCCGACGGTCTGTCACGTCGAGTTCCACACCCGGATGATAAGCCAAAGACTCCTTACGATCACTCGGAAGAAGAGACCGGCGGACTCACTGGGTACAGGAAACCAAACCCCGACGACCCAGAACCGTTGGACTTCGAAGAGTTCAAGCACGAAATCGATACTCGTGGGGGATATCTTCAAGACATCGCAGATTTTGAAGAAGATTTGGAGTTAGATAGAGCAGTGGCGGACAAGGTGTGGTCACTAAGGCCAAGAATGGAAACTCAATTCGTAAATGTGGAAGTACTGCCAGATTTATCCTTAAAGGAGGATCCTAAACTTCGACAAGAATACGATGGAGAGTCCCGCCGGCACCCCGCTTATCAAAGAGATCGACAGAAAAATACCGATTGTAGATAAGTGGTTAGAAAACCCTTCAGTTCGACCAAAAGGAATGAGCGACGCGGAATACCTAGCATTCGCTAGGTTTAGTACGCATTTCTCTAAGAAAGATGGAAGGCTTTTCCGTCGGAGGAATAAATGGTGAACATAAGATAGTCGTTTATCCAGAAAATCGGATGTACTTGATGCGTACAGCGCATGACGCTACAGGGCATCGAGGACATTATGCTACTAAGGAATTGCTAGCTAAACGGTTTTGGTGGCCAGACTTAGACGGGGACGTAGGCTGGTATACGAGAACTTGCCATGTCTGTCAAATCCGTCAAAAATTGTTCATGAGAATACCCCCGACGGTAACGGAAACTCCATCTATATTTCAAGTCTTACACGCCGACGTGATTCATATGAGTATTCCTAGCGATAAGTGCAAATTCATAGTTCACGGAAGGTGTGCATTGACACAGTGGATGGAAGGGAAAGCCTTACAAAAGCAAAATGCTAGTACTATTGGCAAGTGGTTGTTCGAAGATGTAATCTTAAGATGGGGTTGCATCAGAAAGATAGTGACAGATAATGGTGGACCTTTCATAAAAGGCTGTTGGCTGGTTAGAAGAGAAGTATGGAATCCGTGGCATTCAAGTAAACGGGTTACAACGCTCAAGCAAACGGGACAATCGAAAGGCCTCACTTCGACGTAGTAAATATGCTAGCCAAGGTGACCGCCGGGAATTTGTCTAAGTGGAAGTGGTATTTCCCTCACATTATGTGGGCGGACAGAATCACGATAAGAAAAAGATTTGGGTGTTCGCCGTTTTATATGGTAACAGGAGCAGAACCAGTAACACCTCTTGACATACAAGAAGTGACCTGGCTGATCGAACCTCCCGAATCGTTCGTTTCCACAGAAGACTTGCTCGCGCGAAGAGCTAAGGCGTTGGCAAAGCATAGAGACTTCGTTGAGTCAGTGAGAAGTAAGATCCACCAGGCGAAGAAAGATAGAGTAGCCAAGTACGAGATTGAACACCGGCGGACGATTAAAGACTACAACTTCAAGCCAGGAGACCTCGTAATAATGAGAAACTCCCCAATTGAGGATAGCCTTGATCGAAAGCTAAAACCTAAGTACAACGGTCCGTACGTAGTGCTGAATAGAAACAAAGGAGGCGCCTACATAGTTGCCGAAATAGACGGGTCAGTATACCAGTCTGTAGTGGCAGCATTTAGGCTATTACCTTACCACGCACGAAAGAAGATTGAGCTACTCTCGAAATATTCACGAGAGCATCGACCTAGGGCCGGCAGAGTTGAACAAACTAGTGTCTTCGCGACGAAAAGGCGAACCGGCGGACGACATAGCGTTCGAAGGAATGCCTAAAGGGAATAGACGAAGCGAACAGGTGAATGAGGACAACGATCTCGACGACTTGGGAAGCTCAACCGAGGACGGTTGATATTTCTAAGTTGGGGGGAGAGGAGTACCAATAGGGCGAAAGAATGTAACTCAAAAAGAGTACATTCTGAAGACCAAGTAAACATTAACCTAAAGTTCACATTAAAATTTTTCGATTTTCCAAGTCAAGAAGACTTAGAAAAGACTTAAGACAACTTAGAGCACTTAGGAGGAGTTCACACACAGATAGAGAGGGTGCAAAGCATGATGATATTCAATATAGTAGTAGTACTAGGGAAAAAGCGAATAATCGCAACAAAAACCTAATACTACTACAAAACGAGACCCAAAAATGAGAAGAGGCTAAGCCTCAGTCATATCGACGTCACCGGCGGCATCGACGTCGCCCCCAAGAGTGTTCTCCGCCTCAAGAGGAGGAGGGGAAGCAGGAGACTCCATAGAAGAAGAAGGAAGATCCTTCTCTCTCAGAGAGGAGGGAGTTCCTTCTCCAGATGGGCCTGGATCCTATCATACTCAGCGAAGAGTACTTCAAGGAATCGAACGTCGAGACTGAGAAGGTGGACCCGCCGGAGGATCTCAGAACGAATGTCAGTCAGCGTCGCACGAGTCGACGAACCGACGTTGACGGCGTCAGAGTAGTTGGCCAAGATGTTCTGTACTTGAGACAGAACACCATTGACCCACTCGTTGTTGACGGCGAAGTGGTCGGCTAAAAAGAAGAGAGTGAGTAAAAAGAGTAAGAAACAGAAGATGACGGATGACTTACCAGTCTTGACGAGCATCCCGTCGGGGAACAAGTTGGGATACTTGGAGGCCAAAGCGTTCTTGTTGACCTCCTCGAGCGCCTTGGTGTCAAGCGAAACGCGAGCGCGCTTACCCAGCTGAGTGGCCTTGAGAAAAGCGGGAGATGATAAGTCGAGATTCGGAACGAGGTAGTAAGGGACTCGTACGACGGCAGCAGAAGCACCGGCGGTGGTACGAGAGCGAGAAGGGCCACCACCGCGGCCACCCTGTAAAGTCAAAGAGTAAGTAACGAAACGAAGAGAGGAAGAAGAAAGAACTTACTCGACCACGAGCGACGACCTTGCCACCACGAGTCGACGAAGTTGAAGTGGAAGCAGTGCCAGGACCGCCGTTTTCAGTACCGACGATTTCCTGAAAACAATAAGTCAGTAAGGAATAGAAAGGGCAAGAGACAAACACTTACCACGTCGGAATCGTAAATGATAGCGGGGGACTTGGGTTGTTTTGGCCACCTAAGAAAGAAGGGATAAGCGAAGATAGTAGTAGAAAGAGAATAGGACTTACGCTTTTTGGGAGTAGGAGCCTCCTCCTCCTGAGTCGAAGACCCAGTAGCGAGCTTTTTAATGTTATGGAATGCCGAGCTGACGTCGAACGGAGTCAGCATCGGCAGGAAGGGGGATGGTGGGAGCTTTCACCGCCTCGCCAGACCAAGCGAGGTGGTGAGAGACCTCCGCCGGGACGTCGAGCCCGATGTCCTTGTCACCGCAGAACTCGACGAAGACCTTCAGCGCCGGATACATGACGCGAAGCTGCTTCTGAACGAGGGCGGTGTAGGCCATCTGCCCGCCGTAGAGGCGACGCTTAGGGTACTAAAAGAAAGGCGTAAGTAGAAAGGAAACGAGTAAGCAAAGAAAAGAGACTCACCATGTAAGAGACGAGCTCAAGGGCAGCCGTCTTGTACTCCTTAAGGATGCTGAAAGGAATAACTTCCTTGGCGATCGCACGAAGACGGAGGTGAACGCCGGTGAGCTTGTGGATGCCACAAGCGACGTTAGCGTTATCGTCGACGTAGATGCGCTTCATGCCATCCCACACGGACGGCGGGATAGACTTGGCCGGCACTGGGAGACCAAGAGGAACCTTGGGGTCGAAACCGAGGATCTCCTGGAAGACGGTGGAGGTGGGAGAAGACATGGTGATAGCAGAGAGAGGAAGAGAATCGAAAAGACGAAGAAGAGAGTAATAGAGCGATGAGAAAGGTGAATAGAACCAGAGGAGGTGGCTGAAGAGACTCGACCAAGAAACCGGCGGGTTTTATAGCAAAAAGCCTCTCAGTTTTAGGGAATTTCTATTGGTAGACGTGTTCAAGGAAAAATCGACACGACCACAATCTCACAGTCGAAAATCGGTGGTGCAGAACGTGCCCCAAAACCGAAAAACATGAGTCTTCCTTAGAAATTTGTGCAAAGTCGAATATCCCGAATTGGCAATACCGCCGGAAGGGTTGATGGCTTGGCAAACGCCCACATTGCCATTTAGTTTGAGAATTGCTTCCGCGGACACAATCCGAATGGGTTAAGATGATCCCCAGAAGGCAACTCAGCCGAACGGTTGGCAATTTCACCGCTTCGAGAAATCACACTAAGTCTCAGATAGGATACCGGCAGTAGAGATAACCAAACAATTGGATTTGAAGCTACACTAATATGACTACCTAAAAGTCAGTGTAGTAATCCAAAATATACAAGAGCGTATGAAGGACATGAGTATACAAAATCAAGCAGTGTGCGAAAAACAAATAAATACGAGTGTCCCCAATAAGCGCCTCCCCTGCCGGCGGCCAGAATAGAAAGAAGAAATGTCTCTCAGAAACGAGCGAGAGACACGAAAAGAGAGAAGGAAAAAGAAGAAGAAAACGACGAACTTAGTATTCGGGGGAGCCAGAAAGGTCTCCCTCGTCGCTTGAGTTCGAGGACGAGGCGCCACCACCAGAACGAGCAGAGGAGAGGGCCGAGCTAGACCTCTCGTCGACGTTCATCGCCGAACCCTCGATGCCTGGCCACTCTGGAGACTCCTCTGACGAAAAGAGACCAAGAGAGTCCCCAATGATAACGTCAGCACTGGGAGCTACGCCAGTACGATCGTCGTAGACTAGAAAGCAATGTTAGTAGGAGTAAGATAGTAAAAAAAAAAAAAAAAGAGCGATATGACTTACAGTCATCTTCGTCGTTCGGAGCGGGACCACCGTCCGCCGGGTCGACAAGAGGATCGAACGCGGGAGGAGAGGACGCGTCTTGATCGAGGAAATCGTCGAACTCGTCGTCGAGAGGACGATCGAGTTGCGACGGGGACCAGAGACGGCCGTCCTTGGCCATCGGGAACTCCTGCGCAATGAACGAACCAAAGACGTAAGGAGCGTGAGGAGGGTTGGCGACGGTAGGCAGGAGTTCGTCGTCAGGGATGGGTACGCCGGAGGCCCGACGCGAACGGGTGAAGAGCTCGTCCATACGCTGGACAAGCTCGGCCTTGTTGACGGTGCTACCGTCGGCGCCCACGAGGAAATTATCGAAGGTAAACATCGAGCGAAACTCGAGGTACGCATCGAAGTCGTTGTTGAAAAACTCGACGACGATGGCCTCGGGTCCCTCAGACGTTTCCAAACGATAAATGGCCGAGAGGAGACGAGCGTGAAGCTCGTAAAGGTGGAGGGAGTGGGTGAGGTACTGATTGAGCGAATCTCGCACCACGTTAGACTGGTGCAAGATGTCGCGCACGACAGTGTCAATGTCTAAAGAGTAAGACATAATAATCAGTACCGGCGGAGGAAAAGAAGGTCACGAGGGGACTTACAATGAGAAGATCCCTCAGCTGCACCCGCCAGCTGGTTGCGAAGGCCGCGACGAGCGTCGATGTTCAACGAAAACGGACATGGCTTGTCCGCTCGACCGCAGTTGCCGCAGCTAAGACCAGGACCACGGTACTCACACCTAGGGATGCCTAAGAAGGCACACCTAGCGCAGGGGCCCACAACCTGGGAGGGTATTAAGTTAGTAAGAAGTTAAAGAGAAAGAAAAGAGAAAGGCAACTTACCAAGGCATGGTCGGACAACAACCGCCGGGAACCCATGATACCTGTAAGGTTCTGGTAGAGGATGTTGCGAAGGTCGGTAGTCTGACGTTGCGCGGTAGGCATGTTGCGACGAAGGGATCCGACGAAGGGATTGCTCGAGGAGCGAGACGAAGCGTCTCCAGCATCCGACGAGCCCCCTTCAGAGTTAGACGAAGAAGACGAAGACGAAGAGGAAGGGGAGCCCTTAGGAGGGACTGGTGGACGCAAGTAGTGCGCCTGGCGTTCCTCCCGGCTCAGGTGTTGAATGGAGACGCCAGTCCTCTGTGAGAACTGAAGCTCGAGAGGAGTAGTGTCCCTCCCTTGGGACAGGAAACCCGTAGGATCGTCGACGCCATCCCGGCGGACGATCGGGTTGAAACCAACGGAAGGGGGATGGAAAAGCTCTCCATCGATCGACTCAAGGTTGCGCGGGCCAGTGCCGGTATAGCGCGTACTCGCTTGAGGACCTTTGGGAGCACGAGGGAAGGAAGAAGGACCGTAGACGGCGGGTTGACCAGGAATAGGCACATCTTCCCTGCGGGAGGAAGGAGTCGCAGGAATAGGAGGGATGCCGGGCGTCTTGGGCGTCTTAGGAGACACCTGAAGGGAGCGAGATCGACGAGGGGTTCGAGGAGCCTCTTGACGCACATCTTCGCCGCTAGGCGAAGGGTCGAGTTCGTCGACAGCGTCCCCGTCGTCAAGACCCGTACCAGACGCGGCCACAGAGGACGACACGGAACGACGGTCGTCTAGGGAGTCGTCAACTCGTCAGTTAAAGGAACGAAAGAAGAAAGAAGAGCCTACTTACCCAGAGTAGACACAGGAGGCACTGAAGAAGCAGGAGCCGCTTGGGAGACTGACGAGCTGGTACCAAAGACTTGACGTTCCAGACTCGAAGTACCAGAAGGCGAGAGGGAGGCAGGAGCAGATTCGCGTCCCTCCCCTCGAGAGAGAGCAGTGGGCGGCAGAACGACGCCCGGCGGAAAGTTGCGAGGACGAACAGTAAGACGAGGAAGTTGAGGGTGAGGATGACGAATAACAGGGGTACCAGGAGGAGGCGAGGTGTGGTCAGCGAGCCATGCAGCTCGCTCCCGCCTGTACTTGGCCAAAGCCTCTTCAAAAGAGACGGCCACATCGATATAGATGTGCCAGTGCTAGATATTGGATCCCCTCAGTAATACGTCACCCGCCGGGACAGTCAGAAACTTACTTGATAGTGAGGATCTGCCCTCCAAGTAGCCCAATCCATAGGCAACGCTGGAGGAGAGATGAGTCTCCATCCTCGTAAAGTGTTGTCACGAAGGCGACGAGGGATGAGGAACGGCATCTCAGCGTCCTAACAAAAGAATAGTAAGTAAGTAGCCGAGAAGAGATAGATAAGGTAAGACGAACCGCCGAAGGAACAATAGGACGGGTCAACCTTAGGATAGCCATCTGGGGGTCGGTAAAGACGACGTTCATCATTCGACGAATGCCCATATTTCGGTGGACAGGTTCAGCCCAGGCCCGCCAGGAGTAAGGTGCAGTAAGAGGGTAGCGAGGATGACCAGGGGGACCGTCATTGCCTTGATAGACAGTCATGAAGGCCATGGTGTAGGCCCTCACCGCCATCAGCGAATGCCCCGCCGGGCAACCTCTGTAAGATACACTGAAAAGTCAAGTCAGAGGACAGAAAGCTTTGAAGAAACAGCACAAAGACTCACCTAAGTCGTTATAAGTGGCGAAAGATAAGAAGTCCCACTCAGGGGAATATATAAACGCCTCCTCGAACCTGAATTGGCCGAGGAAACGATTGAGGGTGGTCGACGATGAAATTCCAGCACTGTCGAAGATAAGGGGAAGAACGAAAGAGACGGAACGTTTCAGCGTTGTCGTCAATTTGGAGACGTTGGTCGCCGATTTGGATGAGGAACTGCTGAGGCGAGAAGAATGCCTCGCAGCCGGAGAGAGTAGCAGGTTGAGGAGTGGACATCGTTGAAAGATAGCACAGTACAACAGTAAGCCAGGAGCTTGGAGAAGGGAAGACCGGCGGTCGTCCTCTATATATAGGCCAAAGAACGACACCGAGCGGATAATCCCTCTAGGAGCGCGGACTGACTTCATGAGAAGAGGTGGGGAAGGTGTTAACGCTGGTACTTCCCAAAAAGGAAAGTGATAGACCCTAACAGGAGTCAAACCACGACAGCTTGACCCTTAATATGTGGTATCAAACCCCACTAGAATCTAACGCTCTACTCATCTAAGTCAAGGGCAGAAAGATCAGAGAAAGTAGGAAAGCGAAATTGTCAATCCAAAGTACGTTCGAAAGCAACGTTTGATGCCTTGTCGTAACGGCGGCAGATTCAAGAGCCCACTTAAGCGCCAGATCACAAAAACACCACCGTATCACGACAAGTCCAAGTTTGGGACGATGGGCTAGTCTAGCAAAAGTGAATTGGAGTTCCTGTAAGGTGGCGAAGAATTTCAGAAGTCGATGTCAAGAGGAGTGACGGATCGTATATGTCGAAGTTCTTGGTACTTCGACAAGAATCTGACTGGGGACAGTCCTCATTCTAAGTTGGGGGGAGATGTTACGCCCGAGGGTCGTCTGACCCTTCAAAAATCGCGAATAACACACCGCCGGACTAATTTCGTCTGGTAAAAACGTACATCTCGATAAGTGACTGAAAAGCCCTAAGGCACTGTGTTTTTCATAACCGGCGGTCACTTATTCTGTCGTATGAGTTGAGACCGAGCCCAGAGTCGTCAACTAAGTCGAGCTCTAAGAACGACTCCGAAAGAGGTTGAATGTAACGCATCGTTGATACTGTATTAATTGACGGGTTAAGGATGTGTACTGGACCGATTGAAGATCGAACTACGGAAGTGAGAATTTTGCACGAAGTCCTCACCGCCGGGAGCAAGACTATCCATGGGAGTGCACGATCGACTTCAAATCGACTAGAAAGTTAGTAGCCACTTAGCAAGAACGATGACACTTAGCGCCAGCGCCTGTCAGTACCCTAAGAGGAAACGCCCATAAGCGCCGCCGGACGGTCGGCATCAGCCATCAGTCGCGGAAAGCTAAGGGGACCTCTACGGATTAGGCACGAGATCGATAAGATAGAAGCCGAGATAAGATAACCAGAACAACGGGACCAGGAACGGATCACACGAGATGTTCTATTCCGTTGGACAGGTGCCCTCTCCAGGACAGATGAAACGGGGTACTAACAGTCCCATGACCTGTCAACTGAAAAGAAGTAGTACAGAGAGAAGGGACAGAACGATGAGTCCATACGCCGCCCGCCGGCGGTGTTTACAAAAAGGGTATACCATCTGTTTCCGCGGAAGCATCTTCACGGAGTAACAATGGAGTTTCCCACCACACATTGGTTCCGTCCGACGGGACGGAACTACCAAAATTCACGCGCTTCAACAGCGCATCAATAGACGCCTATGGGCATACTCGGCACGACACCGCCGGGGCTTCTTTTGTCGCGTTTCCTTCCTATTTTGTATTTCTGATTCTCTCGTACCTCCGCTCCGTCTCTCTACTCTTATCGTTTGTATCCTGTGCACGAATTCGGCTTGTTTTATAGTCTTTGCTAGTCTTTATTTCGCAGCTCGTAGTCAAACAAGTTGTACTATATATATAGGCCCGCCGGGCAAAAGAATCAATAGATACCCCTTTGACTCGATTATATATCTTGTCCTGATCGACACAAGTCGTTCAGTAAAATAAAGAGGAAGTCTCCGAGCGTCGAGTGAACAAGTTAGCGAGTCAGAGTCGAGTTAGAATTTGCGCGTGAATACACGAGTCCGGGTTTTTAAAAACGAGTCAACGAGTGATCCCGCCGGGACGAGTTTACGTATTTTTCGAGTTCAAATTCGAGTTTCGAGTCTAAGTCGTGTTTAAATCGAGTCACGAGTCGCACTTAGTGTTTCCCTTGTGTGTAGAGCACAACAAAAATACCAAACACCATCCGTATAAAGTCAAGAGCCTTTTCAAAGCTCTAAAGCCCTAAAAACCGTTCTATACGAGTCAGAGAGTCTTCTCCTCGTTAACTTAGTCTACTAAAAACAACAACCCCATCGAACTTGCGTGCCAACGTACAGACAGTACCTAAAAGTCTTTAGATTCGGCCGTCGGTCTTCATCTTCGTGTCACTTGTCTCACAACAAGTTCCACTCGATTCGGGACCACCGGTTGTCTTCTTGCTCTTCTTTGTGCTTTCTGTGCTAGTCAGCGCATCACCGTCGCTTGTGTTCTAATTCTCTGTATCCAGAGGGTATCTGTCCATGGACTTCTGGCTCACAAGAATATTTACCCTTCAACGGGTAAGCATTAGTTGTGTATACACTGTATTGAAAGCTACACGAGTTACAAGAGACTGGCGGATGAGGGGGTACTAGGGAGAGGAACTGAAGAAAGGGCGAGCTGGGTGATCAATACTAAGGAGATAGCGACAGTACAGAAGATACAGCGCGGCTGGAGGCTCTGCTCACCTGTCGAGTGGTGTTGAGATTGCCGCTCACCAGAACAGTCTTGTTCGAGCGCGTTCGAGGCTTGACATGGGGTATCTATGACCTATCGGATATGTCCTTGGAACGCCGGTTCAGGCACGTCGGTGATGGTGGTGGTAGCGGCGGTAGCGTCAGTCGATCCTCGTATACGGTGTCCTACGTGTAGATAGCAGATGTGGTGGCAGATGTGGTTAGTGTCCGTAGGTTGAAGGATTGGGTGGAGATACCGCAATGATATGTCCTTGGCCCTGAACACAGAGACAAAGTTAGCGCTAACAAATTGAATGCAGAGCTTAATGCTTACCGCAGGACAGGTGCTTTTCAGTACGCATGGGCGCATGCGGCGGCGGGGCGTCGGGTTAGATGCGGTGCATGCCTTCGCAGGGCGTGTTCGAATCGTGTTTTGGACGTCGTTATCGGGGGATGAGGCGATGCAAGCCGACTCAGAACGGAGCGACGAGAGGTGTAAGGTGGGCGGTCCAGTGGGGGAGGCGGCAGAGATGGAAGTTGCCTGCAGCGAGGGACGGGGAGGAAGGGTGGGGCTTATTTACTGTTGTTTTGAACTAACACAGTGATGTGGTTTGTCCTTATTATCTCGAAGGAAACGAAAGGTTTAGTTACAGGATACAATGGTTTAACGTTTAGTTTTGAATTGGAAAGACAAATGATATGTTTTCACCACAGATATCGGGTACCCTATTAATATAACCCACTGAAGCTCAAGAAAATCAAGATGTATTTGGCAATAAACACGAGTAGTAGATTAATGTACATTTTCACCGAAGATTACAAGAAGATTACTGAGATAAATGAGCGAGTCAGTTGCAGCTAATGAGGCGGGAGCGGGTTCTGTGAAATCCGGTCCCCGGGGGGAGATGGGCCTATAGCGTTGGGATTGTAATGCGCGTCGTATGGGGTGTGCGACAAAACATGACCGCGTTGACCTGCCTCCACTTCAAATGCTGGCTGCTGGCCCCGAGCTGCCTGTTCCTGGTGATAAGCGGACTGGTATGGGTTTGACAGCGGAGCATATGAAGCATATCTAGGGTCGGAGTATTCCTGCATATGAGCCCATTGGGCGGACGCATTGGGATGTGGGCGGCCTCCAAACGACATGGATGAATGAAAGTGGTCCGGGCGAGTTTCGAGCGACATTGACTCTTGATTTGAATGAAGGTTTTGGAACGGACCACTCGACTGCCATTGAGCTGGGTACTGTCCTTGCGGCCACGCAGGATTAGTTGGCTGATGATGACCCCAATTGCCTTGGTACGGACCCTGCACGGGCTGGGATGGATGGGAAGGTCTTTGCGAAGGGGGTAATGGAGGTTGAGATGGAATAGGCGGCTGAGGCGGGTATCTGGTAGGTGGAGCCTGAAGGGAACGATGATGCTGACTTTGGAGCGTCGGTTGGGGCGGGGGCTGGCCATGGGTGGGAAGGGTCTGCTGACGAAGCTGGGTATGTAGGGGTTGGCCATGAGGAGGCACGCACTGAGGACGAGGTGGAAGAGCCGTATGTGAACCGCGGCTGGCGTCATGGGTTGAGACAATCGACTCCTCCGCATGTTCGTCATTCGTCGCAAGAGGGGCCCAGGCACTAGGATTGTCGCCGTACGCCCGAGGAGGCTGACCATGTGCAAATCCGAGGGCATGGTCGTCCCGTGACGCCATCTGCTCCGCCAGAGGAGGGTGCTGAAATTGTTGATGAGACCCGGATCCGCTGGGCAAGGCCTGTTCGGCAAAAGCAGTCTGCTGGAGTGGATGATGAGTGGGCCCCGTCCTAGCACTTGGGCCGTTGGAACCATCTTCTCTCGCACTGAGGACAGGAGTAACTGTCGTGGCCGCGATAGCTGAACTCGGATCCGCGTCCGTCCTGGGTCTCTTCTCCGCGATTTGTTCGTCTTGATTGTTGTCCGCAACGCGTTTTTGAGGAACAGTGGGTTCAGCGGTTAGCAGCGTGAGGGGATTTGTTTTCCCCGGAGCGCCTATTGGGACAACCTGGGTGTCCGACCCCCGCAAGGCATCGTCTGCTGGGAGCTTGGGCTGTTCGATCTCGTTCCCGCTACCTGTAGCATCACCGAATGCACTGTTCCGTGTAGGGTGACCACCCGCCTGAAGAGATGTTTGTTTGTACGAGCTTCCACTGGGGCTGTAGTCATTGTCGCTCGAGTCGGTGTCCGAAGACTCCTCGGTACTGGTGTCGATGATCGCTTTAGATGTGACCTTTCGACGGGTATTGCGTCGAGGCACATTCTTGACCGATTTCCGCGAAGCTCCCCCGTCGTAGTCGTCCACGTCACTTCCGCTATCCTCCTCCTCCTCCTCCTCCTCCTCCTCGTCAGAGCCACCCGATGACTCCCGCCCTTCCCCACCGCCTCCCACTTGCTTCGCCATCGGGTTCTTCTTCGTTGACTTGGAGGCTGCCCTTCCTTTGCCAGTCTTCGCCTCTTTCACGCCCGACTTCCCCTTCCGCTTTCCAGCACCCTTCTCCTGGGTCGATGTTTTATCGGCCTTCGAGGATTCGTCCGCTTTCGAAGCCTTCCGTTGCGATGAGGCTGCCTGCTTGGTGCCTTTGGTAGATGATTTGCCATCGGAAGTCGCAGAGGACTTGGGATTGGAGGTAGTCGGGGTGGCGGTTGAGGCCTTGGCCCGACTTCCCTCCATTCCATGCAGATATGTTCGTACTTCTCGATCTCTTTGGGCGTGAGCACCGTCCAGAAAAGGGTTATGGCGTCCTGGTACGTCACAAAGTATGTGGGCATGTTCGTCCCACCCCCTCTTCCCTTCTTCCTCTCCCGTTTCCCCGGTTTCTTTCTTTTGGGCGTCTCTTCTATCCCCTCGTCTTCTACATCCCCATCCTCCTCCCCACTCTCTCCTAGGCTGCCCATAACATACTCTTCCTGCTCCTCTTCGCCCAGCATGTCGTTGTTGTCGATACCTTCTCTGGCCAAAAAAGCCTCCTCTTCATCATATAGTTTGCGCAGGTTGGGGATCGGTTTGTTGTCGAGGAGGAGTTGGGCGACGAACTTGACTATGCCGGAGTGGATAGATCCAAATACCCGTCGAGCGTTCCATCGAAACGCCCACATGCGTTTAGGTTTCCTGATATCCACCCTCCCATTGTCTTCGAACCACTGGGTCACAGCCTAGATCCAGTTCGTGTTACACGGTGTTGACAAAGGCGGTCTGGGTTACTCACCTGCTCTAGCAGCGCCTTCCTCCTGTCTGACGGCTTTACGCCAGACTAGACTGTCCACGGGTCGGGTCGGGTCAGGGTCGGCACTTTTTCCCTGACCCTGACCCTGACCCCCCTAGGGTCGGGTCGGCACCTAGTGACCCTGACCCTGACCCTTGACCCTAGGGTCGACCCCGGGTCGACCCTAATTTTTAGGTCAATTAGATTTTGAATTTTTTGATGCTTATTTCTGTTTTTATTCATCTATTTTTCATGTTTAGGCCAGTGCTATGTCATTTGGATTGAACTATAAGCAAGATATCTGGTATTGATGGGGTGCCCAGCAGTCAAAAAGTTATTCTGAGTAAGATTATAGGACCATTTTCATCATTCATGCTGATAAAACATACACTTAGAGTGTACTTATATTATCCAAATTACTCTATGCAATACTAGAAGAGATTCCTATACAATTCGGCTTCTGACATGTGTAATTTTGCCCAAGTTTCTACCCCTTGGTTAAGGTAGGGTCGACCCGGGTCGACCCCGGGCCGACCCCAGGGTCAGGGTCAGCAAGCAACCGACCCTTGACCCTGACCCTCTAGGGTTGGGTCAGGTCGACCCTGGGGTCAGAGGGTCATGACCCGACCTGTGGACAGTCTACGCCAGACAATTCATGGATCTCTCGGATGAGAGTGTCTGCGACATTGGTAGCAAACTTGGCCTTTATCCCAGCGCCGTTCAACTCACGGTACTCTTCCATCGCCTCCCGCAGATAGGCGACCTGGGATGGCATGAAGGTGAACACGGCGCTTGAGCTTGGACCCCCAGCAGGGGGTCTCGAGGGCCCAGTGCCAGCATCATCACGGGATTCGTTGGGCATAGACCTTTACACAGTGTTGTGCGAAGTAAAGCACTTCGGGTGCAAGAGAACAGAGAAAGAAAAATAGGGACGACTAACCTTCCCGTTTCGATCAAATAGACGAGATCTGATCCGGTGACGGCCCGTCCCAACTTTAGGATCGTGAAAGGCAGATCGATGTTCATCTCAACCTCTTGATTGCGGCACAATGGTCAAGAAAGGGCAGATCCTTCCCTCAACGGGGTCTGTGGTGCTCATGCGAGGAAAGGTCTTCAAAACCAAGAGGTCCATCAAGTCCAAATTGGTTCCGGCGCTGCCATCACCGGTCAAAGTGAAACCCTCTCGAACGACGAAGGCGAGCGCTAATGAACGAACACGCCTATTCGGGGACGATTTTGGTAGTGTTCAAGTCACCTTAACCAGTAGTCAATCAAACACGAAAAAGGGAGCTGTTAATGTGAGTGGATCTTTATTTCTCAACTCGGATACAATCTGACCGCAGGCGGATTGGGTGTCCATTAGACGCCCACGACTATATGCTTGAGTGGGTACCCAAACAAGCCCAATACCTCGATGAGGTCATTCGTAGAGAGTCGCCGCCGTCTCCTCTCTCCTGCTCGCGCTGTGGAACCTTGACGTCTCCAGATTGGTGGCGATGTAAAGGCTGCTGTGGTACCCCGTTATACTGCGAAACCTGCTGCGGTTCAGAACACATTCTCGACCCTTTCCACCGCGTCGAGAAATTGAACGGTACCTTTTTCACCCCTTCCTGGCTATGGATAACCGGCGTCACCGTGAATCTCTGCCCAACGAGTGCATGTCAGCCATTGGAAGTCGACGACGATTTCGAAGATTCGTCTGCTGACGAGGACGGGGATGCCACGAATGACCCAAGGCCGACGATCGACCTCACTTACCAGGCCAAACCAGCAAAGAGGACTATCAGGGGATGTAGGGTCCTCGTTGTTGTCCATACCAACGGCGTCCATCACCTCCCATTTCTGTTCTGCGCCTGTCCTGATGCCCCCCAACCCGAAATACAACTCCTGCGTAAAGGCTTTTACCCCTCGACGTCCAAGTCTGTTCGGACAGTCTTCACCTTCTCGCTTCTTGACGAGTTCCTCCTCGAGACGGTCGAGTGCTTCACATCGGCCCACCACTATTATTCGAGGATTCGCCGGCTTACCAACGAGCCGTTCCCTGACTCAGTCCCGGTAGGTGGCACCCTCAGAGTTATGTTCGCTTGTCCAATATCTTTCCCATTCAATAGGATCGTACTCGTGAACTTCGCAGGGTTAGTCGACAATGGAGGAAGCTTAAGGAATTAAAGAGAAATGGGTTCTGTCACATGGGTAGGAATCCTGGAGAAGGCGAATTGGCGCTCTTCTGTGCTGCGTGCCCCCAACCAGGAATCAACCTGGCCGATAACTGGGAAGACGATGATGAGAAGTGGAAATACATGCGAAGTTACGTTGCAGACGGGAATTTCACTTGCGTTCACCGCAAAGGCCGACAGGATGACGACTCGCTCGTGTATCTGAAGAACGGGGAAGGGTACATGACAAAACGGGACTCCTATGCAGAACATCTTGACAACACCCGGGAGACCAAAGAGGTTCGTGATTTTGTGTATACCATTTCCGATGTATTCCACTCATAGCGCGTAGCCTGCCACATGCAACGAGCACCGTGCAGTTGCGGACAAGTCGAAGCTTCACAAAGGCTGCGACGTGACAGGCGTTGGGGCCATCGCATGTATGCGTCATGGAGCCTTCGCCCCCGGCTCGGTTGTCGACTTTCAAAAGGGAGAGAGGTAAATAAGGATTTATCCCACAGAAGAATGGGCTAACACAGCGAATACAGACAGGTCAATATGGACTTCGCGTTCTCCCAAGCGCTCAAGCTCACCCATACCGAGAAGATCGCACGAGTCATTCTGGCATACGACATTAATTGCCAATACTCAAAGCGGTTCTTCCAACGGTTTAGTGGATCGGATTCTCTGGAGCTTCCAGAGGACCTTACAGTTTTATTCGCAATCGGGTTATTCCATGTTCACGGACACCAGCAGTCCTGCAACCAAAGGTTCTCCCTAACGTATATGGAAGGGGCGGGCATGGCAGCCGGAGAGATCTTGGAGTCTCTGTGGGCGGTCGTCAATGAACTAGCCAGGAGCACGTCCACGATGACCTTGGCTCAACGAATGGAGGTACTCGACTCTCTTCTTGCAGATATAAATTGGAAGAAGATGATTAAAATCGGTATGTCGCGTACACTGAGACGTTTAAACCTGATCTAACCTCCAGACCAGTGGCTCGGATTTGCAAGAGCTGGGAACACGCACGTCTCGAGTTGATGAGGGCGTCCGAAGACTTTGAACTTCTCAATGAGACCGCCTCATCTTCGCAGGTCGCCAGGTGGAACGCGCAGTTGGAGAAGTGCAACAGAGAGAGAGTGAAAGATGTGTTCCCTTATCTCCAGTTTACAGGTCTTCAACCACTCAGTCTCGTATTTGAAACAGCGCCCACCCTAGCAAAGACCCAAACCTCCATGATGGAGAAAGAACAACAGATCGATAGAGGTGTGGGTGTCACGTCGTGGCTGGCATTGGGGATCAAGATTCAGGAAGCTCAGTGAGTGCCTCGTCTCTTCATTTGAACTTGCTAATATATGATCAATAATGCTAGGTTATCTCTCCAGGCTTTTGTCCGAAGTCTGCCGAAGGAGAAAACAGATCTTCAAGAGCTCTCGGTTTCGAAACGCCGAGAACAGATTCTGATAGACGTCAATTCGTTCTACGAGACGGCCGGAACTCTCTTCCCCGAGGTTGACTTCGGATCCTTGAAATGTGAAGAACCTCCTCGGGATGCTTTGGACGCCGATGAGGGTGCTGGGGACAACAGGCCAGACGACAACTCATACTCTGTGACCCACAACGACATAGAAGAGGTGCGCATACCCCTACCCTCATCCTTCCATCAAGAGGGCTTTCCTTCCCTCGACCGCGCTCGGGAAAAGGAATTGCAGCTGCGCATTGCACAGGCTGAGGAAACTTTGGAGAATATTCGTGCAGAGATTGGCCACAAGTCTTTCCTGTATCGTTCAAATGTCCGGCTGGCCAAGGGGAAGAAGCAGAAGACTCGAGGGTATGCGGCTGTTAGTGGGGTGGATAAACAACTCAGGCTGCACGTCCGTAGTGAAGGACATGGGTTGGGCTGACCCTGTGGGTTGGTGGGTATGGGTCAGGTGGGTGTGGGTGTGGGTCACTTCTGCGGCACCCACACCTAACCCACCTGACCCACGGTTTACTGGAGTCTGAAGTGCCAATGGGAAAAATGCTTCTGTATGCAACTATTTTGACCTCAATTGCTCTTGTATTGATGCTATCTACTCTATTAAGTTAAATATTTATGTCCAATATCTATTTGTACTCCAATCACTCACAATTCCACTCTACCCATGCTTCCAAAACCCATGGGTTTCAGACCCACACCCACACCCACACTCATGGGTATAGGTTTTGGTGGGTATGGGTGAGGGTCAGACCTGAGTGACCCATGGGTGACCCATGTCCTTCACTACACGTCCGGATTTACAGCCTCGCACGATGGGCGATGCAGCGGTTAGGTGCGGACGGGAACGTTCTCTTGCGATATCGAGCTATCAGGAAAGAGGACACTCAGGCTATTACCGCTGTCTACAACCCCAATGCCCGAGGCGAAAGGAATAAGGCGATGTTGTGGATTTGGAATCTCAATATCGAACAAGATTCCGAAAATTCCGCTTATCTGGAAGAATGTGAGTTCGAATCTTTGGGTGACCTGGCTACGGAGAACTAACAATGAACTCAGTATATCGGGTGAATTGGCTCAGGGCTAAATCGAGAGCGAAGAGGTGGGAGGAAGAATTTATCCTGTTGAGGGAGGAGATGGGGTGGGTGACGAATTTCTTCTCTTTTAAGGAAGAGGAATGTCGTCGCTGGGCGCTACTGAAGAAGGACTCGCCCGGGCATGTCGCATATGCAAACAGGCAAGGGGAAATGTGGCGTATGATGGGCTTGAATGCGGGGGAAGCGTTTAGAAAGACATTGGAGAAGGAGTCTAGGTCGTCCGTATAGTGTTGGTGGAACCCTCCACGTAGTTTATATGGAGCAAGTTTGTATTGAAAGCGGAGGATATGATTAAATACATTGTGTGGGCAAGTGTAGGGGAAGACTAGGCGCTAACATAGGCGCCGAAGCTTTCAAGATACAGCGATTGATTAGGAGTGTCGTAATTACAAATGCTGGTCAATCCAACGGCGGGCTCTCGTTCCGAATCATGTAGTCTACGTATGCTGTATATTCACGGGTACCCATCGGGCGCGGATTCCGAACGAGGCGTGAAGTTGCGAATCTCAGATCCATGAATGAGCCTACAAATGTGAGCTGGTCGCCGTCCTCGCTAGAGCTCCAAGACACCGGGAAAACATGGGGGAATCCCACACAGATCGTACCTGGATCAAAGTGGAATTTTCGGTGGAGACCGGGGACTGTGAACGAGGTGAGAGACGTACTTCCCATGGACAGATAGAGTGCCAGGTCATTTTTCAGTACATCACTCCTCTCCCAATATGGATGTTTGAGATTGGAAAAGAACCCGACACATGTGAACGGGAAGCCCCAGCGTTTCATGATTTCCTCGCGAAGAGACTTGTCGCCACTCCAGATAGTCCCGTTGTGGAGTCCCTCGAGGATCTCGAAGGCGGCATGGAAACGGTCAGGGTGGATCATAGCAAGGACAGCGCAGAGGATGCCAAATGTGTCTGGGTCGATGGTGTCGAGGAGTTCGAACACACGGGGACGGATATGGGGGTTTGTGAAGGCAGCAGCAGGCTCGGGGTAATGAACGGTCTACAGGTTTTCAGAGTCTGATCGAGGGATGAAAACGATTGCACTCACAGGGAATTTGTACGACGTGATAATACCTGGATAAAGTATTAACACTCCGGGTTGCAGGCCGAATGTACGGGCCTTGACCGAATGAGAGCTGTGCCGAATAAACTTGCTGTGCTCTCGTGAAGCTTGGTTAAAGATTGGGGTGGTGGCCTGGAGTAAATTTTGCTGTTGTGACTACATGAGCTGTGTTAAGGCATGATCATCGAAGGGAAACATACCCATCGACTCTCTCTAAGCATGGCGGGCACGTAGGCAAAGAGAAGCCGGTCATTTTTGTCAACGAAGAAGGTCGGCGTGTAGTGGCTCGTGGCATGATTATTCGGGGTGTCGTGGAGGTCTTGAGGAGGAGGACACCGACGAACCAGCTCTTCCTCATTGTCGCCGCACTCAGCATAGGCTTCTTCGAACTCCTCAAGTGACCACGGCATTCGCACTGTCTCGGTGAATTGGGGCTCGGCAGCTAGGAAAAAGAGACGTACAGGCATTTTGGAAGCCCTCGAAAACCTGGTTGGCGGCTTGCTGAAGCTCAGCACAAATAAGGAGCGGTAGGTCGGACTTGACCTCTCGCTTCTCTGTATCTATCATGTTATCGAGGAGACTGAGAGCATAGAAAGCATATCGAAACCCCTGCTCGAGTAGTGGGCCCACTTTATACTGGGTGCGATACAGAGTGCGGTCGAATGAAGGAACTTGGGTAGGGGACATGTTGTCAACGTGGAGAAGGAGGGGCAGACAAGGAAAGAAAAAGGAGTCTCGGACGGCTCGACGTTGGCTGATCGCACTTGAACGGATTTCGGCTCACTGAATAGCCGAACACTCCGTTTGGGGTCCGAGTCTCAGCTGAGCCATGGGCATACATCGCCTTGGCTACAGGCTCCGCTGAGACTTTGCTCTGTGTGGTGCATCTCAGCTGAGCCTCGTCCATAGCACGCGGACCACCCGCTAGGCCATAGGCTCCGCTGAGAATGTGTTCTGTGTGAGCGCGCCTCAGCTCAGCCAGGTCCATAGGACATGGATCCGCCGCTATAGATGCGGGTGAACTGAGGCCTCGAGCACCCTCCTAACAGAACGAAGTCTCCGCTGAGACCTTACAATGCCGTTCATAGGCAAGATTAGATTAGGAAATAGACAAACAGTGTACATTTACAGAATATACGAAATAGCTTTCTAGAGTATGCGATGAAGAGGAAAAAATTAAGTCTACCCTACCCAAACGTTGTCGTAGTGCCTGAGGTACTCCCTGTGCTGTGGTGGGAAGAGGTGTTTTGCACACCAGAGCTGGTCAACGTGGTAGGTTGTTCTTGAGTGACGCCGCTGCCGAGGTATGCGAGCATCTGTGGATCGTATGCCACAGATGAGTAAGAGGGGTGACTTTCTTGCATGTTCGCGTCGTTGGAGATGTCAATCGGTTCGAAAGTGAGGTCTGTGCGGTTGGAAATCTGAAAGATGCGGCAGATTGTCAGCGTCGCATGGAATGGAGGAAGATTAGGCAAAGCGCACGGCGACGGAAAGCGACTGGAAAGCCCTGGACAGCTTTTCGACCTGGTGCTTCAGCTCGGCGTTCTGTTTGGTAAGATCGGCGACGGATTCATTGAGGCTTTGAATGGTTCGGTCATGCGCTTGGAGCTGAATGGGATCGACCTTGTACTTTCTTAGTTCGCTAATGTCGTTGATGGCTTGTTCCGAATGGGCGAGGAGTGGTTCGATCTTCTTCTTCTGGAGTTCCCGAAGGTCGTTGTCGGTCTGGTTGGAATGTGCGAGGACGGCGTCATAGTTTGCCTGGACAACTGCCATCTTTCTGTACACCAGCTTGAAGACGCGTATGGCTTCGGCAACGTCGTGACGGATGTTGCCTGTGGGAAGTTCATCAGGGCAGAATCCCTAGACAGGATGAGCCTCACATGAGAGGGGTTAGGGCAGAGGAACGCACTTCAATGCCTCCATCTCCGTCTGACACCTCAGGGTAGTCCGATTTGGAGGATTCGCGATTGATAGCCGAGAGAGAGGGGTCCTAATTTGGATACTGTTAGATTCGTTATGGGAACATTATTGCGGAGCACGTACAGGAGATGGACCACGTCTGGCCTTCTTGGAAGGTGGAACAGTGGCATCATCGTTGGGAGCGGGAACGGGAAGCGTGTCATCCTCCGACGATGAGGAAGTGGGTGGCCGTTTGTTTGAGGTAGATGGCTTGAAAGTGACGTGTTTTGCGGTGGTAGTCTTCGACGACGTCCCTCGTTGCTCTGAAGCTTCCTCGCCCTTTTTCGTTCTGACAGGCTCTTTACCTTTACCCTTGTCTGATTTACCCTTCCCTTCAACCGCCTCCTGCGACTTTGTGTCGTCACGCCCATCCGCTTCCTTCCCTTTTCCCTTATCCTCTTTGACAACACCCTTACCCTTCTCCACCTTCAGCGCCACTTGCTTCTCCTTCACCCCCTTTTCCTGCTTAACCTTGACCGATGGGTCCTGTTGCCCCTTGCCCTTCCCTGTACTGGAGCTGGATGGAACGGGAGGGTCAGCCACAGGCTCGTGTCGCAGTAAAGGCTGAGGCTTCTGGTGGTTGGATGGTGGGGATTCTTTGCGTTCCTTCTCGAGCTTTTTGCGTAGTTCGGGGTTAAGAAGGGGCGGGAGTCGGGCATGAAGGTGGTCGAGAGTGAATACCGCGTCTGGAATGTCTTTGGGACTGTCCACATAATCCTCAGCGTGGGTGAACAGCCAAGTATAGATCGCCGGGCCTAGGTACTTCTCCCGCGCGAAGCCTTCTTTGATACTTTGCTCGGACACCTTGAACTGGGAGGCAGGTTACAGATAGAATACGAAAATAAAAACGAGATCGTACCGAAGCTGTCATCAGGTCAACAGTCTTCCGGTCCCATTCATCCCCGGGGCTCCAGGAAGGAACTTCCCGGATAAGGTTGTAGAGATGCTGAAGACGGTTAATCAGCTTGGTGGAGGCGGCGGCACGGTAAGTCGAACTCATTTTTTGCTTGGGCTGCAATAATTTGACCTGCAAAGTGGAAGGTGAGACGGATGGGCAAAATTGCTTCGCGATGCGCGACGATACCCCAAGACTACTGATGGATTGATGGATCAACTGAGCGATGGTTAGTGAAAAGCAAGGGTCAGCTGACCCCTGCGGGTTTTCGGGTCAACCCTGTAACGGGTCGGGTACGGGTCGCCATTTTCAGACCCGAGATCTTTAAAACGAGCCATAGATCATCCGAAACGGATGGGAAATGGTTAGAGATATGGTCAAAGTAGTATTTTGACCATATCTCAATCATTTCTTATCCGTTTTCGATGATCTAAGGCTCAACCCGTGCGGAAAACCCGTCGGGTTACGGGTAGGGTTACGCCAGGGGTCGGGTCCGGGTCGGCCTTTCAAAACCCGGGGTTAACCCCTGGTGATCACTAGCGATGGTGATAAGGGTAATTGAGATCGCGTACACCAGCTGAGCGATAGGTGAAGAATACATGGTCGTATTCCCTTGAGTCAGCTGAGGCTTGTCCAGGTACGCGACACTCTGCTTAAGAGGGTGCTCCTCAGCTGACCGTTTAACACAGCGTCGTGTGTCTGTGACTGAGCTGAGGGTGGTTTGTGTAGCGCTAAAAATGGGGCCTCAGCTGAGCCTTGAATGTAGGGTCAGCATTCAAGGCTCAGCTGAGGCTGTCAGGGACTACAGATGAAGAGCGCTCGTCAGCTGACCGTTGAGTACAGCGTCATATATCCGCGACTCAGCTGAGCGTGGTTGGGTAGGGCCTAGTAGCGCCGAAGACCGTGGCCTCAGCTGAGCATTGGATGCAGGCTCAGTACATTCAAGGCTCGGCTGAGGCTGTCAGGGACTGCAGATGAAGAGCGCTCCTCAGCTGACCGTTGAATACAGCGTCATATATCCATGACTCAGCTGAGGGTGGTCGGAGTAATGACACATTCAAGATCCTTAGCTGAACCTTGCGATTGATTAGGTGGTGGCGTGTAATGGCCGAACATTAGGTAGGGATGTGGTACTATCAAGCACGGTGTCGTTACCCGTATAATGTTATACTCATCAGTCCTGCCTATGCAGCGATGCTGTACAGGCGTCAGCTGAAGTGACCTACGTGACTAGCTTACAAGCACCCTGGGTCATTATTTAGAATTCAGATACTGGGCGAGAGTATTGGATTATTGCCATTTAATAGCATGCAACCGACTAGTAAACAGTATGATAGAATAGATTATATTACACACTACTAGTAGTCTAGGGATGGCCTCAGCTCAGTGTGGACAGAACATTTTGGGACAGCCTCAGCTGAGTGTGGGTGGTATGTCTCAGCATGACCTCAGCTGAGTGTGGATTGTAGGGGGTACATCGTTCTCAGCTGACTCCGCTACGTCTATGTCATAGGGGAATTTTACACTCCGGGCACTCTTTATATTAGGGGGGGATCTATGTATCATTGTGACAACTTGCCGTACAAGTTAAAGTAGTTCACGCCATTCCCTCCTCTTGGCTTGGTCATGAGCATGCGATTCTTCTGAGACCACATTTGCTTGACTCTCGCCACCGGGAACCCAACTTTCCCCGCAAGTGCGGCAAAGGAGTCGTTGATCACATCGAACCCGTCGTCCAACATCTTCCTCTGCTCCCGTGAGGGACGACCCATGGACCCTGAAAGCGAAGCGGGTGTTTCGTTACTGGCTTGGGCGTGGGTGCGCGATTTATCGTCTTCGGCCGTCCCTTTGGGATCAGGGCAGTCAGTAGACCAATGATAAGGACCCTATGCCACAGCAATGGGAGAAACACATAGGCAGGTTGTCTCATAGGACTTGGCTGGGATTATGCAGGGCCATATGGCTCCTAATGCAGCTGACTTAGGATTTCTGGCTATTGAGCATTCTATAGCCCACTGACATTCATCCAACCTGGTATCAATACCATCCCCCAGTATCCTTTGGTACTCTCACCATTCAAAATTGAATTTGATTTGATTCTCCTACTGATTGCATTATTAAACAGTTTTCAAGCTCGCTTAACAGAACTCTATAGCCTGAGTGTGACACATGCAATATATGTTGGCTTGGTACCCGCAATATTTTGTAGCAGTTTAGCTGGGCTTTTGTTCCTTGTACAATGTTTATGGTATTCCTTGCATAGCTGGTGTTGGGATCCCTGCCCCGCCTATTGCCATTTGGGACGGATTGGTAGGATTGGCATTTGTTGCGCGCGTTCTGGTTTGCTGTCGAATCGGGTGGTGACATGGTGATGTAGCTCCTGTATGGTGACATAGCCGTTTTCAAAATACTATCTGTTTGAGCCTGTTCACACCATTCAGAGCCGGGGGTCTGGCTGATGCAGGTCGGTAAAGGCAAACTGTATATGACGAGAGGGTCAGCTGGGTCTATCCGGAGCGGTTTTGAAACATAGCTGCCGTATGGTGATATTGGTAATTGACCCTTGACGAATGACCTAGCTTGGCCTCGTTGTATGGGCCGCGGCCTCTACCGCAGCCGTATCTAGTACAGCAGGACATGGCTGCTTTGGGGTTGATGCCCTTTGGCATTATAGCTGAGCAATAGGCCTATTGGACAATCTCTACTAACACAATGATTCAGCTGTCTCTATCCAATCGCGCCGTGACACATAGCTGCTATAGCTTGATAATCAGTTACGACAGGACTCGCATGTTGTAGCTGGGTGTGGGTCCGATCGCGCCGTGACACATAGCTGCTATATCTTGATAATCAGTTACGACAGGACTCGCATGTTGTAGCTGGGTGTGGGTCCGATCGCGCCGTGACACATAGCTGCTATATCTTGATAATCAGTTACGACAGGACTCGCATGTTGTAGCTGGGTGTGGGCCGTGCGTACGTATTGGTTAAATAGCTGAACTATAAGGCTTAGGACTACTGACGTTACCTTCATTAATCCGCTGCGAGCAATGACAATCCTGGTCCCAACCATCGACACTTACCGCACCACGATGCATAGCTATGTTTTCTAGATATTGTATGAAAGCACAACCTGTATAGACCAGCTGGGCGACATCATTCCGCATAGTTATAGAGCTGAACTATGGACCCTATTGAGCAACCTTAATATTTGAGGTCTCTGGAAGTTGGGGACTGCAGAGTTTTGCGAGGGGAGGCAGGGTCCAATGGGATTTTCACTCTGGTCAATGGTTCGGTCGCGTCATGTTTGCGGTACCGCGCGCGGAACCACCTGGTCAAGGAGTCAGTCGCATCGTGTTTGCGGTACCGCGCGTCTAACATGCGGAACCTACCCGCACTATGCGGCACCCCGTTTATGCGGTACCGCGTGCAATGAATCCGTGGTGCGGTTATGCGACTTCCAGTTTTGGTAATTCCCGTCTCCGTCTCTTATAAAAACTTGCTGGTTCTCTTCAGACGATCCGAATCGATTTGAACCCCCCGGTTTTCATTCACAACTTGATGTGAGTAATCACACCCCAATTTGGAATTTGTTGCCCATCCCGTACCGTTATTGTCGCAGCACCATGGCCCCTCTCCATCGCCTCATAGAAATTGAACTTAGGGAAATGCAGCGCTACCTACCTGAACTTCAAGGTTCGTACCGTCCACTCCCACTATCCAACTATGCAAACCCTCATTTCCTTCCAAACAGTCCGCCGCAACTACATGCGCGAAGTTGAGGAGAAAATCACTCTCAATCAAGGCACCGTTAAGGCGTTCCCTCACATACGGTTTCCCGATCTCTCCAAAAGTCCTTTCCTCAAGGGTATGCTGGAACAGGCTTCTGAGCAAAGAAGGCAGGCACTGTTGGAGGTCCGGATTTCGGTGCGGTTGTTGCAGGAGTACCTAACAAAATTAGAGGAATGGGAGCAGTCCAAGTGGTACGAGGGACCGCCTACTCACCCCGCACTGACCGACGCGCGTCAATCTCTTCTCAAAGAATTGACCGAAGGAACGATCGCCACTCTCCTCAAAGAAGCAGGAAAACACACAAAGCCGATGGAAGACGATTTCACCGCGGCAATCAAGTTGGTTTCAGAAAGCCTTACTAGCCTGTTCTAGACTTAGTAGTCTCGACGCAAAACCGTTGCTTAGTTGAGCCTAGTTCTATACTCGCCCATTACTCGCTGCATATATTCTCCAGTTCCCAATCAAGTTGTTTTTTCTGCTGTCGGTAATTCAACCGCGGCAGCGAACCGAACCTACCACAGTCGACAAGGTAAACGTAAGGTACAGGCTACAAGAAGTTGGAACAAACGTGAAAGGCTATCAGATACTAACTTGATTACTGCGGCAAATTCATTGTCCATTGGCGTGGTGTGTTTACCGGCTTGCTAATTCAGAGCAGCGGTGGTACCATGGGAAGATTGCCATGATGTCACGAAGATCGGATCTTTTTATCGACGATCACTGCCGCGCGGTTCCAACAGTGCGGTTCGAATTTAACCGGAACCGCGGCTATCGCGCTATACTCAATTCATTGCAGTGGGCGGAGAAAGCGCACCTCCAAGTAATATTCCAAGCGCAAGGACAAATCCCAGATTTGGCTCTCAGCGCAACCGCACTATGGTAGAGGGCAGCAGGCGCTTCAATGAGCAGCATCGGTTCAATCGCAATGCCCCAACCATCACGGTGTCGGTAACTACCTCAACTCTCAGATAGAGTCCTGTTTCTTACTTCATCTTGGGGTAATCGCGACAAGCCAGCCGCAAAAAAAAGCAGCCGCTTGAGTCAATTCCCAACTAAGTTGCTTTCTTCGTTACTGTAACTCATTACAGCCGCATTTATTACAGCCGCACCCAACTCTAGTCTTCCCTTCTCAGCACAGCCTCTATCGCCTCGACCCACGTGGAAATCTGGATTTCATCTTTGTCCAGGTCTCCAAGAATTTCTAGTAGTTCTTCGCGCCCGCCCTCTTCTGCTGCCCTCTTAGTTCCATCGAGGTAGGCCCAGCTGACTTCTGCCAGGCGGCAAAGCCCTTTGTACTGTTTCCTGTGAACTACTTAACAGTTAGAATGGGTATGTATCCGGGATGCGCTCAGTTCACACGCACCTCCTTTAAGTGAATCTATCAGAGTCAAGAGGATTTTCTTTTCGTTCGATACTATCGACTCAACAGGATCCGTTCCGGCCCCCCTATTGACGTGGTTGGCGTTTATTTCGGTTACATTGCACTGTATAGACTGTACCCTTCATCAACCTCTATGATACTTGGAAGCGCTTGGTAACGCAAAGCCAGTACTGACCTCCAGGCTGGTCACAGCCGCCGCATTGATATTTTCAGTGACAACTTCCTGATCAGAACTCTTGTTGTCCTGTCTGTTATCGGCTGTCACAAGGTCATTATTAGTCGATTACTATGCTTACATTGAAGCGCACCTGAGCCCTCTGACCACCTTATGCTTTTGGCCCTTGCTCGATTTTTTACCGCGAGATCTGATAGAGTTAGCGCGCAAGTTATCGCCCTGTGCACTGTGCAACTTACAGGGTCCCTCCTGTGGAGTGGCGGTACAGGTGCGTACTTTGGCTGCCATCAATGATTCCGGTCAGAGTCAGAAACTAAGGGGGAACGTTCACCCAGGTGACCTACGCATGATAAGTATTTGTTGCACAGAGCTTCGTGTCTCCTCCGCTACCCTCGTCGTTCTCTGTCTACATCCCTTATATAGATCCCCCATGTTTGTTTCAGTTTGTTTCATCCATAAGTACATCTGGATGTAACTAAATGTCTGTTCGAGCAAGCTCAAGAGCGTCAGACAGAATAGGATCCAACGTGTCTTTCAACCGCATAGAACATTCGAACACAGCCTTTGCCGCTTTTCTCACTTTGGACCGACCCGCTCTGACTCTGTCTTCTGCCTCGCGGATGTTCTTGTCTACATCCTCCCGCGGGATCCACGTGAATTGCGTTAAATCTTCCATATGATTTGCGCGATCTTCTAGGATCCAGAGCTCTGTCTCTGCCGCACCCCAGTCTCGTGCAAGCACTGTGTTGGAAGACCACAGAGTGAGCGGCTGTTTTACAGATCTCAAGCAATGAGGCAACTTACAATCCAATAACTCCATTAATTCCTGGTCACTGATCCAACTAGGCGGCAATACCTGTTGGGTATGTTCTTCTAGGCTGTGATCAGCACTCGATTCTTCCTAACGAGTAAGCGGCAAAATAACTCACTGGCTTCTTCTCCAATAGCCGAATCAGCCGCTTGGAAGTTATTGTCTAGACGTCCAATTAACACCCAACCTCAGTTCGGATAAGTGGATCACTTACCCCCTGCCACTCGTGCCACGTAGTGAAGGAATATATTGAGATATCGTTTGATATTAAGGCATATGCGTTGAAGATTGTCCTTTTCCTCCGATAGAGGATCGTAAGCGCGCATGTAGGGCCGCAAGTGCTTGATGCGCTCGATCCTCTCCTCTGCAGTCTTGGACTTCAGAGATAGGACCGCCCGCTTAGTCTCTTACCATGCCCAGATCAGGTCAGTTATGGCGCTATCCCAAATCCCGATACAAACACACCCTCACCATTCAAACTTTTCCAGTTGGATTTTATCAGGAAGTGCAACTCGCTTCCGTCGTACCGTTCGTCCCGCACCCGCGCTCCATAGTAGCCGGACCGGACTTCCTCATCCAGAAAGGTGAAAGCCACAGACATGGGAAGTGGGGGAAAGTTTGTTGGTGCCTCCTACGTACTTGAGGATTGTCTCAAGACTTAAATATCGTAATCTGCACCACCGAACGCCAAGGAAACCAGCCATAAATGAGATCGATTTCGTAATGATTTCTTAATTAAGTACATGCTCATTCCCTTTCCTCGTCTTCCAGTACTCTCTCACCAATATCATGGTAGCTTCTAGCCCGAACGACACATCCGTTGACCGTCCTAACGGACGCCGAAACATCTAGGACTTCCTTCTTCACTCGATCCCAAGCCGGCGCCAACAGAATGGCGTAATTCTGGCCAAGCTCGCATTCCAGCTCGCGTTCCAAGTCTTCCAAAGCGAGTTCGAGTTTGAGGGTCATCTTCACACATGGTGCTGTCAACTGTGAATTTAGGGTTAGAACTTTTAATAGCGCCCCGGGGTAGTTACATGGCCACATACTCATTCCTCACAAATATGGGCATCTCGGTGTAGGACGTTCTTCTGAGCCCTAAGCGCCGAAACCACGATTTATCTAAGTCCGCGATTAATTTAAATCTCCGCCTTAATTGTCCATTTTCCGTGCCACCCATGTGGTCCGTCGCCATTCTGCCGCACGATTATGAGATGCCGCATGCGGTTGTAAGCTACCGCGTTCCGCATCTTCATGCAATTTGACTTGTATCCTCCTTCTCTCGAGGGGCGACTCGCGCGGTAAATGTTAAACAGCCGGTTTCGCTAGCGATAAATACTATTGAGTTGGCCAACTACATAGTTCCCGGCCGTTCGACATTACTGAGTAGTTAACGCCCATTATATACTACTGCCTGTCCAATTTGTAGGCACAATCTGGAACTTCGGCTGATTGTGCTTCGCATCCTCTCGACAAGTCGCAGAACTTCGCGCAGTTGCGCCTGCGTTGCGGCTCCAACTAGGTCAATCGTCTCTTCATCATCGCTCCAAACAGATGCCGCCATGGTCAACTGCCGCAATTCCATGACTCGAATGGCAGCTTCATCTGCCTGATCCCATATTTCGAGGTGTGCTGGTAAAGTCCATCAGCCTAAATCGCTCACACTGAATGGTATTCCACTGCACCTCTGATCATAGGTTCAATCATTGCCTTCATTTGAAGCCACTCTTCAAATGTCCATTTGTCGGTCAGGGACGTTGCCATGTTTTAGGGGGATTAAGGGATAGTTAAGTAGTGACTTGAAGCAAATGACAAACGAGAAGTTGATTCAAACTCCCGCAGCTCCAGCTTTTATAGCCCTCCCCAATGATCGATGCATGATCCGCGGCTGGTATTGATCATTTCTTAGGCGTAAGTGTAAGCGCCCAATCTCACCCTATGCGCGTCAGTCAGATTACATAATACACTACGATCCTTTTAAAGCCTCTCGCGACCACCAAACACACCAAATCCTTTCAAATGGACCCCAGCGACACCCTCCCCCCGGCGATCAAAAAACTCATGATTCTTGCCAGTTACACGCAACAGCTTGTTCGTGAAAAACTCCATCCCCAGCTGTCACCAAGTCAACCTCCGCCAGGCTTATCGCTACAACTGCAATCCGAGGCTCGCCTTATAGCAGCGTGTCTCTGCAAGGCGTTGGACAACCCTTGTGCGTATCGTTTCGTTACTTATCGACATCCCCAATCTATTTTCTGACCATACACTGACGTCCAGTGCAGCTCAAATGGACCACCAACACATATATGGAGAATCGCCACAAGAAAAGATCGACCCTTGAAACTCTTTGTCCACCCTTTGTTGATTCCAATGGTCCACCTAACTCTGTTCTCCGAGACGAGCCGTTCCTTGTCATTGATCTCTCGGGTCGAGTAGTCATGTGTTACTTGCCATCCGTGATATGTAAAGAGAGACAGGTCTATCGAAATCCGAACTACTTTCTTTGAAATGTTGTTAACCAAGCCATAGGCCATTATCCGTGAAGCCATTACCTGGCTTTCAAACGTCCCCCAAGTCCCCCCTTTGACTCAGAAGCCTGATGGTAATTTCCGAGTTAACCCCGGGAAGTTCAGCCCTTCAACCACCGATATTCGTAGTGGAGTTGTAACATACGCCTCCACTTGGCCGATGGCTGGACACCCCGTACGTTTCTAGATTTCGAGTACCATTGTGAAACTAACTACGTCTCACATTGTCGTAGGATGGACCGTGGGCTCCTTCAGCCAACTTCAAGAATCCCAAAGGCGGTGGGCTCTCCTTTTTGGAAATGATCTCAGAATCGCTTGCGGTTCTAGGCGCCATTTTGGCGGTTATTCACCCTGCGCTTTTCGAGGCGGGTGTTGAAGTCCTTTCAAGGCTTAACTCGGGGTATATCGAAGTGAGGGATTACGACTTATTGAAGCAAGTTCTCAATCATTGGTCGTCTCCATTCACCGCCTTCTCTGTCATCACCAATCGACAAACAGATCTCCATCGCGACTCCCTCAGCCCTACTGATGCTTTCGACATGCTCTACACCTCCGGTGACTACGATGATGGTCGGTTCGAAGTCCCTGGACTCGGTATCCGATGCCGATATGATCCCGGTACCGTCATAGCTTTGCTCACTGCCGTTTTTGAGCACGGCGTGCCCCGTCAATGGTTCACGCATTTGTATCGCCCATTTCTTCCGCAGAGTGATGCTATTGCAAAGTCCCTTCCAGAAGGCCCCAAAAAACATTACTTTTGAAAATCTTCTCAAGTTCTATAAACCTCCGGTGTCTTGTAGATAGTTATGTTACTGTAACTCTTGTACATATCAGAATGAAATTGCCTTCCAGTCCTCACTCCACCGCTTAACTATGGCTTTCGAGATCTTTATTCGATCTCGAAACCCAATCTCCATCCTCTCATCATAAGCGAGCTCATCCTGTACCCATCGTATTCGATCCTTTAACAACCGGCGGATGAATCGCAATTCTGCGGTTGTTGAAGGCAAATCTGACTGGCTGTCCACCAGCGAACCCCATCCCCGCATGCGATGCTCCCACGTGGGTTCGGCACTGCGAATCAACGCAAACCAAGTTGGTTCCAGCGAACTATCGAAAGACGGTTTGTCCAATTCGCAGTACACCCGGCCTTCAAAAAGGCTCTCCTCCGATAAGTCGTCCTCCTCTAGCAGCATTGTTATCCTACCAAGCAGTCCGTGCGGCGGCCACAGGTGCGCATCTTGGTCGTGTTCAAGTAATCCCATAATGAACAGGTAGGAACAAAAGGCCATAGACTGTCAATTTGATGTCAGTGAAGGCCTTATTTCATAAAGTAACAGCTTACCAATTCCTCTTGAAAACACCTGAGATACTCGGAACGGTGGTCGAAGCTCACTGGTTCGCCACACGCTTCGGATCCTTGGCTACAACTGGCCTTAAAGGCTGCGGCAGCGATGCGGTTGCACCCCTGGCAATGCAGTTGATAAAGTAACTGGATTTCAACGTTTCTCATGTTCCCCTCGATGCGCGCATTTGAACCTAAGAGATATTGACAATCAGGTATGTAGGCGGTACATGCTGAACTAACCACTGTAGTATGAAGCGCCATTGCGGCGTTCTCCTAAGTACTCGGCTTCCTTCTCGTACTTCAAAATTGATGCCTTCACTCGTTTCATGCTGTCCTTTGGAACCCGCTGATCCGCGACGCCCTGGAGTTTACGGTCGTCGGTTATTCAGGATGATTGAAAGGTTGAACGTGCAGCTACATGCTAATTCAACATAGAGTAGATATGTCCCCTGATATCTGCCTTGTCTGTGGGCTGTCGCTCTCGCTTGACTCATTGACCTTTCCAGTTCACATCACAATTCCCTCCTTCACTTGACAGCTGAATGCTGTCTGGTGACGCCATGCGTGGGACCTTTGAGCTTGCCGAGAGCTCTGCGAACGGCATTACCAGCGGTCCGGAACGATTTCATAATCCGGTGGGATTGGTTGAACCAGAACGGAAGAGACTTCGAAAAGTCTTGAAGACGTAAGAGGAAGGTGGTTTCTGCGTCGCGGTCGATGCTGGTCGTTGTTGGTCCAGCCGTCCCCCGCGAAGAACAAGCACTTTTTGTGCCTTCAGTTCTCCCACAACCGCATCGAGGGTTTCCTGGTGGCAGCCTGGGAGATACAAGTCGAAGAATTCCTCGACCTGGAGTGTGGAAAATTCGTTGTCCATGGGAGACGATGCGAGATGTGTTTCGAAAGCAAGTGAATTGATGGAACTCGGAAAGTGAGATAGTGGTGGTTTGAAGACAAGGCGAAGCCGCCGACGTTCATTGGCAGGAAGCCTCTCTGAGTCCCACGTTCCATCAATTGTGATCGCGACTGTCTGAATCGACCGAACCCCTATCCAAGAGCAAAGCCGAGCCCATTGCTGAAAAGATTACAATAATCTCATCGCGTCCTTTCAAACATAATTGATTCAGAAAGGGCGGAGGTATACAGGTGAGAATGACAGTACCAAGCCCCTATAGGCTTCGATATGCAGGTTCACATCCAGGATAAACTCGAGGCGACAAGTATTCTGTATGTCACGTATTGAGTGAAAAAATGAAGTTTATTGACGATACAGGCGCAGTCCCGAATCGATAGATATGGATAAACCAAGACGCCAAACCTAGGCACCCCGGCCGTCTATCACATACTCTTCAAGTTCCAAAAGGTAAGCCACTCGTCTACCTGCAATCAACGAACACCCCAAACTAGTTCCCTTAGTCGCATGCAGTGGACAGACGCATAAGACTGCGTGGGAAGGGACATGGGGTGCTGGAGGGGACGATTCAGATGAAAATATCCCACTCATTCTCATTCTCTCGTTCGTACTCGTATTATGATTTTCACTCATCCTTTTGTTCAGTCAGCCTCATGCGTTCTTTCATCTTTATTCCTCCCTCGTCAAACCAAGACTCTTACACCACCGATCTCCGCCACGCGAGGTAGGAGCCGGAATTTGAGGGTTCTATTGAGCAAGTCGAGGGTCGTCGTGCATATCCCGAAAGCGTGCAAGGCTAGGAGATAGTAACACGCCATGGGGGGATACTGAACCGAAATCCGTCGGTCAACGAAGTCCACGAGTCGGGTGAGCGAGATATCTCTCAATCCTCGATGTTTCTCAATCTTACTTCCTCTCATTTACAATCGAGCAGTCCCCTCGTCTCACAGGACACTCGGTTCACAGGAGACTCATCTCATAGGATACTCAACAGGTGGTGACACAGGCAGTATAATCGCTGAGAAACGCTGGCGTAATCGCTCTGAAGGGCTTTCGGTCCGGTAGTCCTCCCCAGATATACGCTGAAAAAGGCCAACATAGTGGATGGGTGAGAGTAGTACTCTGTAGGTGACAAGTATCGCGCTGGGCCAATCGATGGGTAGATGTCAGTATAGCCGTCTAGAAAGTGACATCATCCGTATCGTCCGTAAAGGGACCAAGAAACCTTTCCAATCACGTCTCACTCAACCTCTGACCAAGCACCTCCAAGTCGCTCGTTGCAGTGTAAATATTCAGGCGGGTAGGAAGGGGGTGATTGCTGCGAATGGAGGCTGCCGGTGTCGCTTAGAAGAGGATCTATCGACCGGCGGACATTTGAGGTGGGCACAGCGATTTTTCCAGTTCGTGAATCCCCGGATCAAGTCTCGATGAATCTCTTAATGAAGCTCTCACAGGCACGCCTCGTTGGATCGCTCGAAGTACGTCTGTCTCGCCTACGCTCGAATAGGCGGTATGTCCGGAAGGCGGTGTGGGATCCCTCATGGCTCTCTCGGATAGAGGACATGCCGGGGCTAGGTGACATCTGGGCCTAGGCGACATCTCGGGATAGGGCACATTCGGGCTCGGGTGCACGGTTGGCAGCGAGGTTTCGTGGATGGTAGCGAGGGAATCAGCGCACACGCGGAGGATATGAAGTCGAGTGGAGTTGAATTGAGTCGGGGTCAGCGTTTCTAGAAGGTCGAGAGTCGCGTTTCGTTACAAGGATACGAAGTTCGTCGAGGGATGTGGAAGACGATGCAGTATCGACTCGAGGGGTTGGAGGGTAATGACCTTGGCATGAAAGAGTGGGCTCGGCGTGGTGATAGGCACAAAACACAGCAGGGGATCCTATGGGGTCTTAGGATGCCATCATCGGGGTAGGAAAAGTTTCGCGAACCGTGATTCTCTGATCCATTCTGACCAACCCCTTTCTCGAACGGCGCCTAGTTACAAATCGTTCCCAGTCGTTTCTCGGATCTCTGCCAGTCCCTCCCATATCACTCCCCCCGGTCGCTCTCATATCACTATCAAGTCATCGGTCCAAGACAGGAAGCTGGGCGGTGGTCGTGCAAGGCGAAAGCATTGCACTCGACTCTCGAGGAGGAATCAGTGGGCGTGAGGCAGGGTCTCGGCGCGGGGGATACAAAGTCGACTCCAACGCTTCAGACTTCTCAATCGCCGTTGGCTATTTCCCGCCCAATCCGACGTTGGAGCGGCTAGCAGTGGGCGGTGGTCGTCAAAGCCGATGCAGTCGTCTCTCGAGGCTCGGAGGGGGATGGCCCGTTGTGAGAGAGGACCTCGGCCTGGGGGATGTAAAGTCGAATCTAGCGCTGTCGAGACGTCCATGCAGAGGTCGGGGATAAGCTGGTTTCAAATTTCCGTCAAGGATTGCCTTCAGGTCGGCGGAGGCGGGAGACGTCGGCTTCCAGAGCGCAGGGGGAGAACGAGCGAGTGTTGGACATTATAGCCTGCGTTTACCGATTGTGTGGCTGGGTGGTCTGACTGAGACTGGATGGTCGATGGATGGCGGCGTCGAAGGTCGATGAAAGAGAAACCGAAAGCTCCACCCCACCCCGCATGTGTTGAACATCGGATAATTGTGGGACGACGCCCAAGCTGTGAGCTTCTGAATCTAACACACTCAAACAGTCAAATTTTCCACCGACGGTCCCCACACAGCGGAGGTGAGCTAATGTCCCAACCGTGCAAAGGCATTACAAATGGCGTCGCCTGATGGTCTTTACCCCAGATTATACAAGAGTTTCCCAATGCGGGAAGGCGTGAGCAAACGGATAGCAAATACCAAAAGCGCCATTTGCCGACGAAGGAAAGGCTTTCATCTTTCATTTGCTACCCCTTTTCCATTGCGTTAAATCGAAAAGGAATTTCGGGCAAAGACTCTCAGGCGACGGCATTTCCGATGACTGTGCGACCATAGGACATTGTTCAATCTCCGCTGTGCCACTGCCCAAACCCAACGCCCTAAACGCAACACCCTTCGAACCTAACACCACGAAGCAGGCTTATTCGGTCCCTAATAAAGCCAAACAATTGCGAACCCGCGCGCCGTCGGCGGCGTTCTTGACCTCTTCCTTCTTCCGACGACTTCGATTGAACGCACGCGTGCTCCGCCTTTTTCTCTTTCTCATCTCATTTCGACTGTTGTACTCTCGAAGCTTTAACTCTACCCTTCTCGATCCGGACGAAAACGCTTCCAGAACCTGGTTTTTTGAGTAAGTAAAAGAACCGAGAGATGTCCGCAGGTGCGTCGCCCTTCCGTGTGCGTGGGGTTAGTGAGGGAGTACTGGCAAGGCATACAGCCGGGGGTTATATCCTTCACTCTTTGTAGGGTAGGTTGAAGACTGCCCGACAAGCGGATGAATAGGTTGCACCTGGAAATTTCTCCCGCCTTTCTTTCTCTCCCTCTGCCCCTTCGATCCTCATCTCTCCCCACCATCTACCCAGTTTCGGCTATTTGTTTCAGCTGTGATGGGGCCAGGCTGGCTAATGGTGAGTTCGTTTCTTTCCATTTTGGGTTTTGAATGTGGCGTTCTGTGGAGTGGTGGTGGAGGAGTGAGGGCCGTCTGGCTCTCTCGAGTCGTCGATTCGAGCGCGAACAATGGGACAGACCCGCTCGATGCGTCTTCCGATCTTTGCCTATCCACCGCTCACTTATTCCCCCGCGCCTGATGGCTTCCCCGCCGTTTCCTTACTCATTTTCGCTTCTCTTCCTTTGATCTGTTTCTCCTATTCGCGGGTGTGGCTTCCGTTGTTTCCTTCGCCCTTGGCTCTCTATTTTGTTGGCAGTGCACGGCTGGACCCGGTGGTTCTCTCTGAACCCTTGGAGACGTTCACGAGCGTCTGCCTTGAGTGGTTCTGATGCGGGAAGTATTGTGGTGGGCGGGTGGAGGACGTGCTACCATTTTCCTCGTGTGGTCATCGCCGTGCTACCATCGTCCTTGTGCCACTCTGGGTCCCTTGTGTTTGTCCCTATATTCGTTCGTTCTTCTTCCTTGCTTCTCCGATCTGATGTTTGTCAATTTCGATAGCTTGTCGTTGGCCTTTGTTGGTGTTGGTGTCGATGGAGCTTGGGGAGACTGCCGAGTACACGATCTCAGACGCACTTCTGGGATGGCAGGAATAGCGAGTTGGAAAAGTAGACACTTTGTAACTGACATACTAGATTGGTTATTAACACGCGGACTAACGGCAAGGGAAGCAGGGTGATGCTGGAACGTACTCATGGGTCTCGAGTGAAGCGTTTTATCATTTTTTTCGAAGGCATAGAAGGCTCTCGAGACCAACGGAAGGCAATCCCGCTCGTAGTTGAAACAAAGCGTCGTTGAACTCGTCCCGAGGCACACCGATACGTCCGGTCTTATCCAGTTACGAGGTCGATGACAAGGGCTACTGGCCCAGTTACTCGGTCCGTTACCCAACGCCTCGGATACCCGTTGAGCTGTATGTTGTTATAAGTCACCCATACCGGTGGGACTAACCATGGCCTACCCGTAGGTATAATACCACGTGACATGATCTTAAGGCCAGGTAATGCTATCATAACCGTGCCTTAGATACCATCTTTCTATATATGTATCCCTAGTCATAGGGTTAACATTCAGGGTCTAGACGGGACTCGCGTGAATTCCAGAGTCCTGGCAGACATCGTGCCTTCGTACAGTACATCCCTGGGGCTTCTCAATCGTAATTGCCTATGATACGGTCTATCCTCGGGACCGTAGTCCATAGCATTGGCCACATAGACCATTCTTGAGGTGTCTCTAGGGACCATTGGCTTCAACAAAACGCTGCCCCACGCTCATCACTGGAAGTCCATTCCTGGTGAGTAGCCATTCTGGTGGTTTGTACATACCGCATCCCGCGTTCGTCTACCATAGTTCGGTCCCCATCGACTCTCTACTGAAGTCGTCTGGCGTCTGATCATTCCCAATGTAACACGAGCAATGTACTCATAGACCTTCAAAGCATCAGCTTTACCTGTGCTTACCCGGTGAAGGACCTTTCATATGGTCGCATAGCACTCTGCGTCGCCTTCGACACGTCTCTCGTTGTCCCCACAGACCCTCTACCTAAGTGGAACCGCTCAGTCGAGACATAGCCTGGGATGGTCCCTCCGCACAAAGATTGACCATTGTCCATAGGCACTCTCGACTGTGGTCGAGACGTTCCCCAGAGCGTCTGTACACACCTTCGAGTGAGGGGATCAATCACCATGCGAATCCATATACACGCTCGAGCGGACATACCCTCACTGGAGCGTCTGTATAGACCCTCCAGTGAGGGTTCCGGCTTGGGCAGAGGGTCCTTGGTGACAACGCGTGTCCTGTTTGAGGCATCGAACGGTACCCGACAACCACGAGAATGGTCACTCACCTGGTTAGCACTCCCCCACGACTGCCAAGCTGGGGTAGGTTGAGGCCAACCAATGTCCAAGAGGACATTGATCGCCTCAAGTCGCTCGCTCGAGGGTCTCCAGGGACTTTGCTGCGAGTAGTCACGCCCCAATCGAGTATCTGGTCAGACGCTCCACTGAAGGTTTGTTGCGATCAATGGTCCCTGTGGACAATGTATGCCAATGCGACTCACCACGAGTGAGGGTTTCGGCTTGGGTGGAGGGTCTGTGTGGACAATACGGACCTGGTTGTAACCGGCTCAAGGTACCAGACGACCACGAGGAAGGCCATTCACTAAAGGTAAGCAGTCCCCCACGACTGCGACGGTGGGTAAATTGAGCCGGCCAATGTCTACAGGGACATAGCACGGCTCGAACCGCGCGGCTAGGGTCCCGGTGGACAACGCAAGACGTGTTCCAATGGGACTCACCAGGTAGTCGGGCGTCTGTACAGACGCTCGAGTGAGGGTTTCATCTTGGAGGGAGAGTCCCTGGGGACAATACATACCCTGTTTCAAATATCGCGCAGTACCCGACGACCACGAGAATGGCCACTCACCAGGTCAGCACTCGCCCACGACTACCAAGTGGGGGTAGGTTGAGGCAAACCAATGTCTGCAACGACAATGCGCGCATTGAATCGCGCGCTCGAGGGTCTGCGGGGACTCTGGTCGGAATGATCACCTCAATCGAGCATCTGTACATACCCTCCACGGTACGTCTCGTCTTCACTCGAGAGTGCTTGTGGACAATTCCCACGCTTGCTGGGTGTCACAACCCCGGTCGAGCGTCTATTTAGACGCTCGACCTAGCGTTTCAGGTCGGTTCGAGGGTCCCTTGAAACAATGCCAGGGTCATGGGCGACGACGAGAATGCCACTCACCAGGTAGTCGTGTTGAGATCAGTAATCCGATTGCTATCTCTACCAGGTATACGGCTCACATGCTATCTCTAGCATACGCCGAGCTCACATGCAATCTCTTGCATATGCTCAATACCTGTATCACACTACGTTGAACTAGACCGGATAGCTCAGTGGTTAGAGCATCCACCTAGTGTTGGGACGGTCCTCGGTTCAATCCCGGGTCTGGTCGTTTTCTTTCCAAAGATCACTACGTGATTTTTCACATGGTAGCAACAACTGTGTCGTTGGATTGAAAGCAATCGGCTTAAGGGGGTGTGTTGAGATCAGTAATCCGATTGCTATCTCTACCAGGTATACGGCTCACATGCTATCTCTAGCATACGCCGAGCTCACATGCAATCTCTTGCATATGCTCAATACCTGTATCACACTACGTTGAACTAGACCGGATAGCTCAGTGGTTAGAGCATCCACCTAGTGTTGGGACGGTCCTCGGTTCAATCCCGGGTCTGGTCGTTTTCTTTCCAAACATCACTACGTGATTTTTCACAAGTCGAGCCTCTGGATAGACGCTCGAGTGACCGTTTACCCTTGGGTGGAGGGTCCCCTTAGACAATACAAACGCGGTTGTAACCAACGCACAGTACCAGACGACCGCAGGAATGATTACTCACCAAGTCTGTACTCCCCCACAACTGCGAAGCCGGGGTGAGTAGGGGCAAACCAATGTCTATGGGGACAATGGTGGCTTCGAATCCCACAGTAGAGGGTTCGCACGGACTCTGGTCCGAGTGATAACCCCCAGTCTAGCATCTGTGCAGACCCTCCAGTGAAAGCTTTGCGTTCTCGGGCTTCACGGAGCATGATCACTAGAGTATACGGTTCCAAGCAACTGTCAATTACATTGCAATTATTTGGCGAAGTCCCATAGTCATCTACCGAATACCCGCCGCTCTACGCTTTCGAATCCTGTTCCAAACAGAAAGAAATACTCTTGTATAAATTATCGCCCTCTGCTGCGACATGTAGCTGACCGATTTACGAATCCGTTTGAGGGAACTGTTGCCGCACTCCGCTGCACTTGAATTGATTCCAACCAATCGAGGATCGACGTTCGCGTATTCAGAAAGGAAGGCGGCGGGGGAACATTTGGTATGGCCCGAGCTGTGAAAATGGTCAATGGCGAAGAAGGTATTCTGAAAGAATTCGGGCTCCCGCAGCATGCAGTAGGGACCCAGTGAGCACGCGAAGTCGTACACGACCCGCTTTGGGGCGACAGGCCACCTAGTTATCATTGCCGAGAACACGTCGTCCCTTCCCTCGGTCTCCGCAATACAGTGAAACCCGTAGCAGATACTATGGGTGCACCAAGCCACCATGATTCCACCTGTGAGTCTCTGCTCCCCGTACTGACTGTAGTACTTGCCACACTGATCCCCACGCTTCGAGGATTTGTCTTTCTGCTGATCGTTCCTCAACCTAGGATACTGAGGGCGATGGCGGATCTGTGGCATATTGTACAAGCAGCCAGTCTGCAACGCGAAAGAGAAATTAGTATGTTTGTTCAATCACAGACACATTGACACCTACCTTCTTCCAGTCGTCAGGAGGACGGTTATCAAAGCCTTCCTGAATGGCGGGGAGCGGGCGCTCAACCTTTAGCTCCGTCAGAACCTGCGCTGCGCGAGCCTGGATCCACTCCAATATGGGCATCAACTTGTCAATATCCTCGTGCACCTCCAAGAGTTTGTAGACCCCCGGTATCGACAAGACCTCCGTAATTCTTGACCTCGTCGGATTTTCAATGAAGGATTTGAGATGTTGGAGGGATGTATTGGTAACCAACTGCAGAACCGATTCTTCAGCAGCAACCTGACAGCGGCGGTAAGTCAAGACATATAAGGAACGATATATGAAAGCCTACTTGAAGAAAGAATTTTTTATACACAGACCCGGCCTTAATGCGAGCAGCGTAGACGGACGGTCCGTACTGACTCTCGAACAAGCACCGCAAAGCGGGGCACAGTTCCTCCAAACCGTGGAGAACACTCTCGATCCGCTCCAGGTGCTCTGAGACAAGGAATAGGTCCCGCGAAATGTCACCCCCGCCCTTGGAAGGGGAACATGGAGCAGAGGTGGGAACACTATCCCCGTCGAGGTTGATGCTGTCGAGCGCGGGTGGGTCCAACACCAATCGCATCTGTTTTCGCAAATTGGCATCTTCAATCAATTGCTGTCGTGGGTGGTACTTGACGTTCCGTCGTGTCAGCGCCGATTCCGAGAAGGCTGTTGGTGGTCGCAGAGTGTCTCGTATGTGCTTACGACCAAACGCCAGAGTGATTCCGTCCCAGATGACGGTCTCGGGATAGTCCCCACACTTCGAACACACCATGTCTTGCCCAAAGTCCTGAAGGGCCACGTAGGCGAACCACACAGAGCGAAAGAGGTCTTCGCCCATGAACACCTGCCCGGTCCTCCCATATCGATGCGACATATGCAAGACCCACGCGGAGAAAGGTGTTTCGGATCCTGTGTAAGCACTTGTGTATTCGTCGAGTAGCTCGTGGGATACAAGGATTGAGTTATTGTAGTTGAAGAGTCCCTGATCGCGTAGTTCGTTAGGTGAGGAGAAGGTGGGGGCGGGGGACGAGGGAAGTGAGATGGCTCTCCTTCCCGCCGGGACGACGGTTGAGGGACTCCAGAAGATCGTCAATGGGGACAGACCTGCTGACTCGGGTGCCAAGAGGCCGCGGGCGTCGGCTAGGTCCAAGGAGGAGATTCGCGAGGAGCGAGAATCTAAGTACCGAAACCTCATTCGTGAGTAATAACTTTCCTCGATAAGTTCTCATCTCTGACTTGGCATTACACTCTTAGCCATCGCCGACATCGTCTTGTGGAACGCGATGAATGAAATAATCATACCGACGTTTATTCGAAGAGGGATTCGCGTTCACCAGCTCTTACAGCGCCGATTTGCCACCATGGCCAGGATCGTCATCCTCCAGGTGTTCATCCTCGGAGGTGAAAAGAAAAGCCGCCATCTCACCCGGTGCCATTACCACACCGTCTTCGACCACCAGTCCGAAAGGAACGACGAGGATGTGCGAGGTCGGGTGACCGGCGTTTACACTCGGAAAATCGAGCAAGTGGCTGCTCCTGCGCTTCTCCAGGCAAAGATGCCTATTCAGATGTCGCCTAACGTCACCCTAGCCGAAGGATCGGTCGAGTATCCCACCAAAGGACCCGTACGTGCCAACAACCTCACCCTCGACGAGCTCCTTGAGTTCTACCCCCGTCACCCGGACACCGACGCTCGGCTCCTCCACTGCGGATGTCTTCTCGAAGACGTCCTGCTCAACTTCTTTCTGTGGAAGACATTCCCCACCCTCTGTTCGCCCACCATCGAAAGCGAGCCCTACGGCCCCCCGATCGACCCTCGACAACGCACGTGGCTTTGCAGCATCGTGCGAGGGCTTGGTGTTGATCTCGACGAGTTGTTCGAGTTCGACATATTTGGAAGGCCTCAAGATAGCCACGGTCGCGTATTCGAGAAGATCAGCCGCCTCTGGGGCACGATTCGAGGCCAGGCCGAGCGCCCTCTCGTCCTCCCTGCTATCCAACCTGTTCCTCAGGCCAGGAAGGTCCAGAAGGAGCTTTTGGGTCTCGTTCTTTCGATCGAGTACGATGTGGACGGCGGAACAGAGGAGAAGGAGTGGAGGAAGGTGCAAGAGTCATTGTCGGCATTCTGCGATAAGAAGAAGAGGAAAAGGACCGTGAAGTACGAGAGCGAGGACGACGATGATGAAGGCGAGGGTGGTAGGAGCCGCGAGAAGGAGAGGAAGCGAGACAAGGAGAGGGACAAGGAGAAGGAGAAGGAGGAGAAGAGGCGCAGTAAGGAGAAGGACAGGGACAGGGAGAAGGACAGGGACAGGGAGAAGGACAGGGACAGGGAGAAGGACAGGGACAGTGAGAAGAGGCGCAGTAAGGAGAAGGAGAGGGACAGGGAGAAGGAGAGGGACAGGGAGAAGAAGCGGGACAAGGAGAAGAAGCGGGAGAGGGAGAAGGAGAAGGAGAAGCAGAGGGAGAAGAAGCGAGAGAAGGGGAAGGAGAAGGAGGTAAAAAAGTCCAAAAAGCGATCCAGGTCTTCTTCCGTCGACTCCTCTAACGCTGGCCCTTCTCGCCGCGATCGTAAGAAGAATCGTGTAGGCTCTGACTCGGAGTAATCATTCTTTGTGCGGCCAACGTAGCTCCCTCTGTATATTTTCGTATGCATGTATCGTCTTTTCTGTTTTTAAAAATTGTATGCACCCTATTGGAATGGTATTGGTCATCGAATGGAATGAATGCCGCTTCCTGATACTTAGAGAATTCAAAAGCGAAATGAGTTGAGTTGAGTTCAGTCGAGTTGAATTGAATTGAGTTGAATTGAATTGAATTGAATTTACTTATATACATACATATATGACTTAGTTGTTTTGTTCAGCTTGGATCGATGGTCCCTGGGTACAATCCAACGCGCGGTGAAGGCCAGACATGTTCACGAACGACTACACCAATGTCATCTGTACACGCGGTTCCAGGGAACGTAGCGACCACCCCAGTCGAGCGTCTATGGTGAGTGACATTCTTGTTGTCCTCGATGACCCTGTGTCGCCTTAAAAATGTTTTGCGTTGTCCACGGGGACCGTCTATATAACCTGCAGTGTTCATTCGAGCATCTACATAGAAGTCTGTAGGGACTCCCAAGAGCGCGAAGCCTTCACTGGAGGGTCTGCACAGATGCTAGACTGGGGGTTATCACTCGGACCAGAGTCCGTGCGAACCCTCTACTGTGGGATTCGAAGCCACCATTGTCCCCATAGACATTGGTTTGCCCCTACTCACCCCGGCTTCGCAGTTGTGGGGGAGTACAGACTTGGTGAGTAATCATTCCTGCGGTCGTCTGGTACTGTGCGTTGGTTACAACCGCGTTTGTATTGTCTAAGGGGACCCTCCACCCAAGGGTAAACGGTCACTCGAGCGTCTATCCAGAGGCTCGACTACCTGGTGAGTGGCATTCTCGTCGTCGCCCATGACCCTGGCATTGTTTCAAGGGACCCTCGAACCGACCTGAAACGCTAGGTCGAGCGTCTAAATAGACGCTCGACCGGGGTTGTGACACCCAGCAAGCGTGGGAATTGTCCACAAGCACTCTCGAGTGAAGACGAGACGTACCGTGGAGGGTATGTACAGATGCTCGATTGAGGTGATCATTCCGACCAGAGTCCCCGCAGACCCTCGAGCGCGCGATTCAATGCGCGCATTGTCGTTGCAGACATTGGTTTGCCTCAACCTACCCCCACTTGGTAGTCGTGGGCGAGTGCTGACCTGGTGAGTGGCCATTCTCGTGGTCGTCGGGTACTGCGCGATATTTGAAACAGGGTATGTATTGTCCCCAGGGACTCTCCCTCCAAGATGAAACCCTCACTCGAGCGTCTGTACAGACGCCCGACTACCTGGTGAGTCCCATTGGAACACGTCTTGCGTTGTCCACCGGGACCCTAGCCGCGCGGTTCGAGCCGTGCTATGTCCCTGTAGACATTGGCCGGCTCAATTTACCCACCGTCGCAGTCGTGGGGGACTGCTTACCTTTAGTGAATGGCCTTCCTCGTGGTCGTCTGGTACCTTGAGCCGGTTACAACCAGGTCCGTATTGTCCACACAGACCCTCCACCCAAGCCGAAACCCTCACTCGTGGTGAGTCGCATTGGCATACATTGTCCACAGGGACCATTGATCGCAACAAACCTTCAGTGGAGCGTCTGACCAGATACTCGATTGGGCGTGACTACTCGCAGCAAAGTCCCTGGAGACCCTCGAGCGAGCGACTTGAGGCGATCAATGTCCTCTTGGACATTGGTTGGCCTCAACTTACCCCAGCGTGGTTGTCGGGTACCGTTCGATGCCTCAAACAGGACACGCGTTGTCACCAAGGACCCTCTGCCCAAGCCGGAACCCTCACTGGAGCGTCTGTACAGACGCTCGACCACCTGGTGAGTCGCACGGGTGTTGTCGTCCACGACCCCAAGTCGCCTTCAACGAGTTGTGCATGGTCCTCGGGGACCATTGATAGCAACAAACATTCAGTGGAGCGTCTGACCATATACTGGATTAGGGCGGGACCACTCGCAGCAAAGTCCCCGCAGACTCTCGAGCGGCCGACTTGAGGCGATCAATGTCCTCCCGGACATTGGTTGGCCTCAACCTACCCCAGCTTGGCAGTCGTGGCGGGTGAGTGACCATTCTCGTGGTCGTTAGGTACCGTGAGCTGCCTCAAACAGGATATGTGGTGCGACCCTCCACCCAAGATGCAGGTATCGAAGGACGTACCTGCCCTCTTGCTCAGCTACAAGTAGTACCTCCCTGTCTGGGTAGACACTGAGATGTACCCCCTCACCGGCCATGTATTCCTTCCAGACATCGCAGGGTGGTCATCATTGTTCGTCTGGGTCTGGGGCGACACTGAACCGCCATCTATCGGTGGCCATGACCTATAATGAACGGTCGTGTCAGACATTGTCCCCCAATTGTACCTAGTGTCTATACATAATGTATGTCATGTACTGATGTACTATCAATGCAATGATACTTATGAAATCCTAACAATGCCACGTGTTCGTCCTACCGGTAGGATATGGTTAGTCCCACCGGTATGGGTGACTTATAACAACGTGCAACTCAACGGCTGCCCCCAACGCCTTCAGGAACCTGCACAAAAGGTGACTTCGTCGACGAAGCAGGGTCGGTAATATCTACCTCGTTTTGCTGTTGTTTAATTAAATCGTACATACGAAACTGAGATTGGTTTAAATACATCACAAACAATGTGTGTTACTTTCATTTATAGATTCATGAACGAGGGAGTGAGAGATCTAGCTTGGAGATCGTGCCCTAGTCAAGAGGCTTCCACTGCTGGCTTTCATCTCAGCTGAAAGTGCGTAACGACAGACTGCTGGGACTTGTCTGTACCATTGTGCGGCGGACAATAAACACGACGATGATGCTGATGATGAGCATTCAATGTCAAGGTTAGTCAAGAAAGAAGAGTCAACGGAGGATGGAAGTGGACACGCGGGCTGATCCACAGAGGTCTTCAACCCTTTCTTGGAAGAAAGAGCGACAAAATGCCCACGGGAATGCTTCCTGTGGTCTCTCTTTTCTAGTTCCTCAAATGCGGTTCAGCTTGAATACGCGACGGGCTTCCTTAGATAGTAATGAAACCTTGCATTACTTAAGTGGTGTACAACTACAATGACCGGCACTAGATACAATACACCAAATGAACACAGCGCAGTGAGATTGACGGGGCTGACAAGAATGGTCTTTCATCAATGTCGGGCTCTCTTTGAGGGACCGGAGTCGAAGCCATCGTCCGAGCACTCTCTCTCGTCTTTCTCACTTGTCTCGGAGCCCTCTGGCACGTCTCCAACTACCTCTGTACCTTCAACGACAGGGATCGCTTCCACCAAGACCTCGCTCTCATCTGCCCCAACACCCTCTGTCTTACCATCGAACTCCTGGTCAACTTCTTCAAACTTTCGCTTTTTCGGCAGAACCTGCGAGAAGCTCGACTGACTATCCTTTCGCAACACTTTAGCCCTGACCATTGGATCCCTGCTCCGAAGGTGGCTCTCGATTACCAGCTCGATGCTTTCCCATTCCGCGCGAAATTCCTCAATCGTTTCGAAGAAAATCGTGAACGCATCTCCAGTGATCCAAGAATATGTAGAGATGTCGTCAGCCTTCTCGGGTCCATTGCGTTCCATGTAGGCCAGATAAATGTTGTAGCGCAGGTCTTCGAGTGCACTCAAAAACGACGACTTCAAAGGGGTGGGCAGGGAGAGTAGCAAGTCCGCGTTCTTGTGAAGTGGATTTTGGAGGAGAGAACGACGCCCTCCAGCATAAATACCCTCCATGCTTTGCTGGAAATACTGTTTTCCAAACTTCATCGGAAGGTCTCGCTGGTTAACGCGCGAGGAAGATGCCCAAACGAAGATCCACCAGAAGGATTCCATGTCATGTTGGTAGTTGTGACTCACGGTTTGAGCTTCGCCGCTGCGTACACTCGGAGTCGCCACTTCGCCTTGTTTCTTGCGTCCCCGCTTCTCCTCCGGCAATCTGGTGAAGTACTGACGGGTCTGGACCTCGCACGCCATGAAGAAAGGGGTGCCCGTCTTGGGATCAGTGCAGGCTCCGTCCTTGTCTCGGGGAAACCGCTTTGCATACTCGAGGTCGGAAAGCTTCACTTGCCATCTGTCGTTCGGGCTCGTCCGGAAGGCAAGGACATTTCCTGTGCTTATATCTCGATGGACCCATCCGGCGCAAAACATGAGTCGAAGGGCTGGAGTCATGAAGTCAGTGTTGACATGTCTACGGAGATTGAGTGCAAAGGGACCTACGTGTTAAGCCTTGCTTGAGAATGTCCGAAAACTCGCCCAGGGTTCCAATGTCATGGAGCGCAGTGCAGACGTATTTGTAGAGGAACCGACACTGCCTTCTGGGGCCAAATGCCTGGGACTCGGTGTCGTCCGCAGGAGCAGCGTTGCGGAATGATTGGTAAAGATTCAGCGGTTCATTCGGGAGTCGGAAGAGATCAGGAACTGACCACGCCAACGGGCAGAGGGTCAGACCAGGGTTGCCAACATATTCCGCTTCGACACAGGAGAAGAATTCCCTGTACTTCCCTCCTTCTAGAGCTTCCGCAATGTCCATTATGTCGCTCTCGGCGTAATCCTTCAGTAAAACATGCTCGCGCCATTCTGTCTCCCCAAAGGCATCAATATCCGAGAAAAGAGCCCTTTGTATCTCCCCCTCTGTTGGAGCATACGCATCGAGGGATACGTCCTTCAGCACCATCTCTTCTGTTCCAAACAAGCGGCGGTGGAGGGTGGGTGATGGTACGCGTCTGACCTTCCAAATACGAGTGGAGCGACCTGTAAGGCGGAGGGTTCGATCGTGCGAAAGGCATTGGAGTGTGTAGTAGTATTCGTCCTCTGATCGTGTATCGTCCGCCGGGAACTTGTAGATGTAGTGGTTGCCCTGGATGTGAGTGACGAGAGGGTCATATCCCAGTTGCGCCTCCGTAGCAATCGCCAAAGCGATCATAACTTTAACATATAAGTTGGCATTCTAGGGTTTGAGAGGGGTGAGTGTGCGATGACGACGATATAAAGGGATGAGCAACTAACCTCGATAATACTGAAGGACCTTGCTTTCATAGAGTGGGAGCGAGAGAAGTACCACAATGATACCCGGTCATCTTCAACGGTAATCTGTGGCAGAGTGGCGTCAGAACTGCGGACGGGAAAAGCGGAAGAAAAGACGCACCCCAAGCACAAAGACTCGTCGAACATCTTCATTCATCGTGTAATTCACGTGAGACAGAAGTTGCTCTGCGTTCTACACAATGTTTCTTAGTAAATCATAGTTTTAGAGAGTACGAGCAAAACATACCCCTTGGGCATCTCCCTCAGTGCGATTCAACTTGAACTCGAATGGAACGGCGACGTCGGTGACTCGGAGGCGTCCTCCCCTTTTCTTCGTCATACTTGCGTCAATCCTGTGATTGCATCCAGGGAGAACACCTTTGAGGCGAGCATCTGGGCACATGCGAATGAAATATTCGTTTGCCTTTACCCCTTTCACTTTGGCGAGCGTTGTGCGAATCTGATCGTCGATTGTGGCTATCTTGTCAAACACTGACTTCTCGTCGACAGCCTGAGCAGCGTCGGCGAGACCTTGTCTCTTCAAGCTTTCGTACGTGTCCTTGAGCACCTTGGGAGATTTCATGAAACAGCTTAGAACGTGATCGTACGCCTCTCTCTCCGATCCTGAATCAGTTGAGTCGGCTGCTTGCGTTCCCTGTTCGACCTTCTCATCTTCCGTCGGGAGCAGCCGTGGTACCAGGATCCCTCTGTCCTTCAAGAGCTTGAGAGTCTCCTGGACCTCGTCATCCTCGCACATCGGAAGGTAGTGGATAATGAAATCCTCAGGTTCGCACGCGAACATCTCAGCGTTCATGAATTGTCCAAGATTGGCACGGAGGAGCGTGGTTGTAGTATCGGCATTTGCATTGGTGGTTGAGCGTCGTGGCGTTTCTTGGAGAAGAGTTGTGAAGCGATCGACCTTTCCCCGTGGCTTACGACGGGGAGTCCTGTTGGGATGAGAACATCAGCTACGACGCCACTCGATTGAAGATTGAAGACATACTTCAGTGGATGGGTAGCGGGAGGCATGGTAGTACCTTTGCCTCAAGTGTTAACTGCAGCCTTGACTGAGTTCACAAAAAAAAACGCAATTAAAGAAACAAGGATGTAGTTAAGAGTCAAGAGGCGTTGCAGCCATTCTGCAGCAAAGTTGTGTTGTGATCAAAGATTGATCTGAATAGGAAAGCGTTCCCACACTCACATGATTGCCATCGAAGGGTTGCCCATCCGAAATTCAAACGACAGACAGCCCATCGCGGTATAGGTTCAATATAGGTTCAAAATTTTCAGCAGAAAATAAGTAGCCATCCCAGAAGGCCCGGCGTTGCTTCTAAATTTACCAAAGGCTATAGATTTCCGCTGATCGACAGGATCGGAAATCCTAATCTAGGTTCGCCTGATGCTCGTGCTTTTTGGAGCCAAGCTGCGTAGCAAAAACATACATGAGATTGTAAAGGGTTTTAGACTGGTATGGGATCGGGAATTTCCAATACCATTTAAGAGAAGAAGAGCAGATCTATTATTGAGTTTTGGTACCAATATATGAAGGAATACAGAACAATGTTAATCTATCGAAGACGTCGAGTTGCAGCTCTAGTCCTGGCACCGGCTGCCCTGGTCATAGACCTCGTTATTGGGCCACACCTCTCCCCGGCCACCGGGAGTTCCATGCGACTAGCACATATCCTCTTAGATGGATGATCGGTGGCTTCAGCGGCGCTGCGCTTGCGCTTTCCAGGTTGTTGAACAATGTCGCCCATTTTACTTGGGCCAGGAGACTCATTGTCCACCATGAACACTGGTCGATCCTCCCGTTGCATCTCAGACTCGACCACAAGACGAATGGCGGCCCACCTCTCCTGAGACTCTGAGATCCCATCGAAAAACGCGGAGACGGGCTCGCTGAGCACCCACGAGTATGTACCAACGTCACTCTGCTTCCCAGCCTCGTTCCGCGTCATATAGTCCACGAAAAGATCATTTCGCAGGTTGTCGAGGTTGGTCAAGAAAGAGTCGAGGGACGACGGAAGGGAACGGCGCAAATCACTGTTGGAAAGAAGCGATTGGGACAGAAGTGAGCCCCGGGCTGATCCATAGAGGTGGTCAACTCGTTGCTGGAAGAAAGAGCGACCGAATACCCGCGGGAGTGGCTCATCAACCCTCGTGGAAATGAGCCAGAGGGTAATCCACCAAAGGGACTCCAAGTCGTGCTGGTAATTGTGGATCATTGGCGGCGTCTCTTTGGGGGCTGGTCGAACGTAACCCCGTACCCTCCTTCCGCCCACGATCGGAAGAAAATGTCGAGATGTTTGGATTTCACATGCCATGAAATGCGGAGTACCCTACGGGGGAGGGGTTAGTCACAAATCGTGGTTACAGCAAGTGACTTACGACTATCGCTTTGCTTTGCACCGCGCCGATATTGGGGAATCTTGTTGCATGTTCGAGATCAGATAGTTTGGCTTGGAGCGGCGCGTCTTGCGTGGGTCGATAGGCAAGGATGTTGCCTGGGCTGAGATCACGATGAACCCAACCCGCACAAAACATGAGTCGGAGGGCTATTCCAAAGCGTTAAAAATCAGAACTGGAGGACGACATGAGGAGGAGAACGTACCGATGACGCATTGCCTTAAGACAGCCATCGCTTCGCCAAGGGTAGCTATGTCGTCTAGAGGAGAGCAGAGGCTATCGTAGACGAAAAGGCATCGAGACTTGCGCGACGATCCGAGTGGCATACTCGAAGGATTTCCCTTGTGACTGGCGACAATGCAGGAGAAGTACGACTTGAAATTGTCGCCTTGCAAAGCCTCCCCAAGGGATTCCAGATCAGCCTGCTCGAAGTCCTTCACAATCTCACGGGTCCGCCAATCCTTATCACTGCCGAACGCTGCAATATCGCTGAAGAGTGCCCCTTGAATTTCCACCTCCGTTTGGACGTCTTCATCAAGAAACACGGCCTTCAACACCCGGTCCACAGCACCGGGTACTTCTGTAGGGTTGAGGTTGGAGACGACTTGCCGGACCCGCCAGACTCGCGATTTGGCTACAGAGAGGGGGTGGGATAATAGCCGAATGGTTTGGTAGAAAAGAGCGGTATTTCTTGTGGTGTCGGGAGGCAACTCATAGACGTAGGTGCCGTCAGGGAGCAAGGTTACAAGTGGGTCGTGACCACTCTTCTGGGCCACTGCGCAGAGAAGGCCAATCGCAATCCTGACGACGAGGTCTGGGTGCTGAAGAATGTTTGAGTAATCAACGGTGAAGTAGGGCACAAAGGGGCATACGTACCTCGATCATACTAAAAGGCTCAGATCGAGCGGTAAGCATGCGGGATACATAATATACGGAGATCTTCTCTTCGTCGAGGGTGACCTGACAGAAGAAATTAGCAAGTGGTCCAGAAACAGTGGTCGACGAAACGCACCCCGTAGACGAACGTTCGTCGCGCGTCGTCGTCCAGTATGTCAGTGGAGCGGGAGATCACATCAGGTTCCTCCTGGTGTCAAAGCTGGTCAGTGATTTTGAAGCGTTCGGTCAAAAAACGTCATACATCGCACTCATCCCTGTCGTTCCGAGCTCGTGCAACCATCAACGGGACCACGACATCTGAGAGGCGCAGCTTCTCGTCCGCGCTAGGTGCTACGCACGCCTCTAACACTGGGCCGTAGTCTCGAATTGGTCGAATACACGCCTCGTCGATGCTAGTGTCCTCAATCTTGCTCAACGATCGTCGAACGGCATTCCAGACGGACTGGAATGATTTCATTAGACGATTGGGATTGACGGTTTTGGAACTGAAGACGCTTTTGAACGTCTTAAGGGCGTGTGTATACGGTGGCCTTTGAGTCGAAGAGGATGGCTTTCGCCGAGCTGAGGGTCCGCGCGAAATAAGGACCTTGCGCCGCTTCAGGTCTGCAAGCACGCTCTCAGAGGCGTGCGACCAGTCATTCGGGAGATAATCGTTGAGAAAATTGTCGATTCCGACATTGGTAATATTGGTTTCCATTTTTGAGTCGAGTTTCCAAAATTCCGCGGACGGTGAAAGAGGTTGTAGTGGAAATGCGTTTGCGATGGGAGTGGTTCAAAGACAAGATGTGGCCGGCGCGGATTCCGAGCCGATGTTCGGATACATATGATCTATCCCACGCAGCATGTGATCGCGTATGTCCACGTGATTGATTCAACGCGGCGCGACAAAGATTCAGGGGACGTCGAACCAGCCTTTTCATGAAAGCGCTGCTGAGAATTCAACTTTCTCTCAATAAATGTCCGAGACACAACTCGGAATCATACTACGCTGGCCTACGCTCGTCATAGAAGGCTTCTATATCTAAACATTCGCACATAACGCAAGACGATCGAGCGTCTGCATAAACGGCTTCTCAAGAGACTTGGGCTACACTTGAACACGGCCTGGAGTTCCACCCTGGGCTAAAGGATTGTTCGTTAAAAGGTGAACTGATGTCGTGGCCTCGACGCGTTGAGTGAGCATGTTCATGTCCCTCGAGAAAACCTGCAAGGGTCATAGTAAGACATACCGACCACCTGGATCACAGCACCGCAGCGACCAGACCTCTTTCCTCCCATAATTGAACTAGCAAGACAAGACACAGTGTCGAATTTATATTTGTGAAAATTAACAGGTTTCAAGGTCTACGGTATTCCATGACAGGCGCATGGAGGGAAGGTGTAGTGCGATGCAGACAAAATGAACCATCGCGCAGGAACTTGAAGCGCAACCCCGATGTTTAACTCCCTGCTAAGCAATCACAGAGAGCCCAAGTTTCAAACGCAGCGGCTATAACACCATAAATGTAGAAGAGTCTATAATACTGAAAGAAGCTCGAATGGTACGAACTGGTCCGTCTAGAACAACGGGTTCGAAGGTTATAGTTACAGTATCTCTGAGTAGGTTTCATCTGACAGAATATTCGCAACCAATCTAGTGTAAAAGTTACAAAGTATTTAGTTTTTGCAACCTTGCTATTCCTTCCGTCCCAGACGTCGGGTCATGGACCTAGTGATTGGTCGATGCGTGACAGGATCCCTTCCCGGTCGAGTACGTCGTTTGGGTTCAAATCCTTCCTCACTGACATCCCCTAACTTACGTTTCTTCCCCGAGGTATCTTCCGGAGGCGTAGGCTGAAGTCGAAGTTGAGCCGGGGCACTCGATTCGTCACTGAGATATGGAGGTTGCGGCAGAGTTTCGACCATCAACTCCAATGATTCCCATCGAGCTCGAAAGCGATTTGCATCGTCGAAAAAACCTTCAAAAGCCGGCCCAGTGATAAAAGAATATGTCCGGATGTCGTCGACCTTGTCGTCGTGATTACGAGCCGTACACACCTTGTACAAATCGCGTCGCAGGTTTTCAATGGCCACTATAAAGGGCTCGACAGCGGAAGGAATCGCTTTCCTCAACAGCCGGTCGTCGACGATGCATTTCGTGAACAGGTTCGCGCGTAGCAAGCTGGTCGACATTCCCACATCCGATGTAAAGAGCTCCCGACCGAATTCCTGTGAGCGGCTCTGCTTCAACCTGGCTGTCGTTAACCAGAGGAGGATCCACCACAGTGATTCCAGGTCATGTTGGTAGTTGTAGACGACTGGACCTTGAGGTTGAACTGGGAGTTCGCCATCCATATCGACTCTGTCATAGCAGGGTGGGGGGAGGATATATGTAGATGTTCGTATTTCGCAAGCCATGAATGGAGGGGTTCCCTGTGGGCGTTGTTAGCAGCCAATAAAGGGAGGCCGAAATGAGAAAGACATACAGTGACCTGGCTTGCCGAAACTTTTCCTGAATGGGTAAATTTCGTTGCAAATTCGAAGTCGGTCATTTTGACCTGCCAAGGAGACTCTGGCGTCGAACGGACAGTGAGGATATTGCCAGGGCTGACGTCACGATGGACCCATCCCGCACAGAACATTAATCGCAGAGCTGGAGGAAGTTCAGTGGTTAGAGCAATGGGCGAAAAAAGGACGACGTGTTGCTTACCAGTCAAAGACTGCCTGATAATGTCGGTAGCCTCGCCAAGGGTTGGGATATCGTACAGAGTCGCGCAAACGTGTTCGTAGACGAAGAAACACCGACGCTTCCGAGGAGGGGATGATGGCGGTGCGTGTGGAAGTGATTCGACATAGTAAGCCACGATACAGGAGAAATACTCGATGAAGCGGTCGTTCTGCAGCGCCTCAGCAATAGACTCAATCGTAGCTGGGTCGAACGCGTTGAGAATATCGCGGTTGCGCCAATTGGGGTCCTGAGACAGCGCACGGATGTCGCGAAACAGCTGCCTTTGAATCTCAACCTCCGTCATGGTCTCCTCGTGGACCGACACGTCTTTGAGAACCCGGTCAGAGGTACCTGGCACTCTCCTTGGGTCTGTGGGGGAGACGACCTGCTTGACCCTCCAGACGCGTGCACGTCGACCCGTGAGCTCGGGGGAGCGATACTCGGACAGGAGAGGGACGGTCCTGTAGTACAGGGACGATGGCCTCTCTCCATCCGGTGGGAGCTCGTAGACGTAGCTTCCATCGGGAAGCCGCGTCACGAGGGGATCGTACCCAAGTTGCTCTTCCTTCGCAAAGAATAGAGCACCTAGTAGCCTGACGAGCGTATCAGGGTGCTAGAAAAGGGGGTTGAATACTTGAGGAGGGGCACCCGGGGAAGATCGCGTACCTGGTTTATTTTCAGTGGAAGAGATTTAGCAACGCGAGAGCGATGCATAAACCAGATAGAGAGACTGTCGTGTTCGAAGGTCATCTAATTTAGACTTAGCATGGATCGAAAGCGCGTAAACGAATGGAAACTCACCCCATACGCAAACTTCCGTCGAGCGTCTTCGTTCATGATACGATTAACATGAGAGACATATCTCTGGTCCTGAGGTCTCGGGTCAGACGTCGAGGCCATCAATCAGAGAATCCCCTGAGCATACCTTGTCCTCATCTTCCGACTGGTCAGTTCTACGGCCAGTGACTCTGACAGGGACCACGACGTCAGGGGGAGATATTCCCCCATCGCGGTTAGGCGTAATGCAGGCGTCACCGGTCGAGTCCATCGCTCGGACCTCGAACTCATTGACGCTGATCCCTTTGATCCTTCCCAGAGCTTTGCGGACAGCGTTGCCAATCGTTTGAAACGATTTGAGAATGCGCTCGGGTTTGGCGGAACTAGATCGAAAAAGGGTCTTGAAACCCTTGAAGACGTGGGTGTAGGGAGGTTTCCGAGTTGACCAGGACGCTCTCTGAGCCACAGACCGTCCCCGAGAGACAAGAATCCTTTGTTTCTTGAGCTCATCCAGCACGGTGTCGACGGTATCGGTGTGGTCGTTGGGGAGGTAACAATCGAGCAATTCCCCAACGTGGTAAGTGTGAATTTCGCTATCCATTTTGTGCGACGAAAGAAGTGGTATTGGTGGAAGTCAAAGCGATTTCGTTTTGAGGTGATGGTGGTTCAAAGACAAGATGGGACCGTCGCGCGTCGGCCATCAAACGGAAAGAACGCTCCCACGAGATCGATTTTCCACGGGATCGCGTCAACTCCGATTTGCTCGGAGCCTTCACTCTGTTCAGTAAATGGAGCGCAAAGTTGACGCACGATGGATATCAGAGTATTTTATTTCTATCTGCGTAAGTACCCTACAAACAATCGAGTACAGTAAACTAGTCTATGGGGTATCTGCTGAAGTCGACGACGGGTTGCAGAGCGTGTTGTCCGAGAGGGCTGACCCGGGTCACTGAGCCAACATTCCAAGGTAGTGGGTGTTGTCCAACGGCTCGAGCCTTTACCGATTTCTTTCTCTGATGAAGCTCCTCATCCTCATCGCGATCGCGCTTTTGTGTTCTTCGACACCAACCCGAGCCCCATTACATTACTCTCAATGTGTCCTTTCCTTTCCAACATAACCGAGGGTATACAGGCTTAGAGAGGGAAGAAGCTTCGAGATAGAGCAAGCCAAGGGGTGTAGCGTGCGGCTATCCGACCAGCAATGCCCATGTCATTTGTTCCAGAGAGTAAATTGATCCAGCGAAAATATCGGTTGGTGCGAAAGGGGGCCGATCGTTCGACGTTGCGAAAGGCTGTTGACGGGTGAACCCAATCGGACACGTCGCTCGAGGGACATGGGCCGCAACACACGCCCTTATCCAAATCCAAACTCTTTCCGAACCCAAACCCAATTTTTTTTTTTCCAAAATCCAATCTCAAAACCAACGGCGCAGTTCACTGTTGGGGGTGTCAAGTCAGGTGGAGGTCACCTAGTGCAGAGTCAGGTGGACGTCATCTAGTTCAGAGTCAGGCGAAAGTGGCGCCGGGGAGCGTCGATATCCATTCCCGCGTTCCAATCCAACCAGCGTTGCACAGTAAGTACTCCACGAAGCCACCGAAGAGATACGTTACCAAGGCCAAGCAAGCACAACACAGTCGGAAAGCTAGGAAGCCAGCGGGTCGTTGCGAACGTAGATGCAGCGTCGATCAGAGGGGTGGAAGGGTGTCCCGACACCCCGCGGAGGGGATACATAGCATAGTCAGGGAGAAGCATAGTCAGGGAGAGAGAACTCGGCGCTCAGCGTTGGACGACGTCGAGGGCTGGGAATACCGAAGGAGGAGGAGGGGGAGATACGCGTCGAGGTGGGTGCAGCGATTTCCCCAGTTCATGAATGAATGACCCGGAGTGTAAACCTCGATGAGTCCCTTAACGCGCCCCATGCCTCATTGGATCGCTCGGAGGACGTCTGTCTCGCCCTCGACTACTCTCGAATGGGCGGTATATAGTCGGAAGGCGGTGCGATATCCCTCAGGGCTCTCTCGGATAGAGCACATCTCGGTAGGAGGCTTCTCGGGCTGCTAGGTACCTCGGGGACACGGCGGTTGGCAGTATGGGGACATGGTTGGTAGGGTTCGGAGGTTAGCGCTTTTAGAGAGTCCACAGTCGCGTTTCGTTACGAGGAATGAGGTAGTCGGCGGGGGGATTTAGAAGGCGATGTAGTATCAACTAGAGG